GTGTGGCCCCTATACCTCCCTCCCTTGAACGTATCTGTCCTGACCGAACTTCGGCATACCTTGTTTATTCCAACATGACAAAAGACGATTTTGTGAATTGGTGGCTTCAGACAGACTTTGGACAAAAAAAGCCGATACGGTGGGATGCTCGACAGCAATCTGATGTGTGGAAGCACTTTGACCAGGTAGCAAAAGCGAGCGACGGAATGCCCAAGGTTATGTGTAAACGATGCAAGAAGGTGCTCGATCATCCACAACAACATGGGAATGGGACCACAGCGATGATCAAGCATTTGAAAGGGATTGGGTGTCGTGGCACAAATGGGCATAATATCAAACAATTTTTCCACGAGGTAATTTTATCTTATATTATGATATCTTTTTACTAATATCTTTCTAATATAGGCTACACCAGCTTCAGATAGTCTCAGTTTTACTCAAGAGGCTTGGGAAGCAAGTTTACTTCGTTTCATTACTGATTCCCGGCTACCATTCCAAATCCTCGAACACCCCGACTTTCATCAGTTGATTTACATGGCCTCCCGTGCCCCAATGCGTCCACAAATCCCATCTGCGAAAACAGTTCGACGTCGACTTCAAGGCACGATCACTGAGTACCAGAATACTATCCTCCAAAAGCTACCTAAAGATGGTAAGCTATCAATTGCCCTTGATTGCTGGACATCTCCATTCCAGCAAGCATTTATGGCAGTAACTGGTTATTTTCTTGATGAAGATTGGAACTATCGGGAGATACTGCTTGGCTTTGAACCACTTCATGGAACACACTCGGGTGTCAATCTAAGTGCTGTCCTTCTTGAACTTCTTCAAAAACACCAGATCACAGACAGAGTGCTTGCAATTACTACTGATAATGCATCAAATAATAGCACTATGATGTCGAGTATCCAGGATTCTATCCAGTCTCTTGAGATTAGCGATCATACTACGATCATCAAGGTTCCCTGTCTAGCCCACGTCATTCAACTTAGTCTGAAGCAGCTTCTTGGGCAAATGAAGGCAAATCCAAAGAACAATATAGCTGAAATGCAGTGGTCTGAAACCCAAGATCAATTGATCCGCTCAAGGCAACAAAAACGAGAGATTGTTGACACACTGAATAAGGTAAGTTTATCTCTTCAGATATAAAAACTATCAACTTATTTAATTATATATAGATACGAGGCTTAGCTGTTTTTATCAATGCTAGCCCTCAACGTCTCGAGCTGTTTTCTAAGCTTCAAACAACCTCAATACCTCTTGTGCCAATTCAAGATGTTCGAACACGCTGGAACTCGACCTTTCTTATGCTCCGACGTGCCAAGCGATTACAGTCTGTCTTTGACGAGTTCTGTACTAAATATGGACATTCGCATTTGAAGCTTGATCAAGAGCAATGGCGTCAGATCGACTACCTCCTTTATATCACTCAACCTTTCTTCCAATTCACGAATGCGCTTTCGAAAACAAAGGATGTTACCATACATCTGATCTTTGGTATCTATAATAAGCTTTTTGATCATCTTGAGAAGTCGATCAACCAGCTTAGATACAAAAAGGTACCTTGGAAGAAGATGATGCTAAATGCGCTTTATGTGGCGAAGACAAAGCTTTCCCAATATTATAGCAAGACAGATGGCGTTCCTGGAGACCTCTTTGCTATTGGAACAATGCTTGCACCGCAGAATAAGCTCCAGTTTTTTCTAGGAAAAGATTGGGGCGATGAGTGGCGTGATCGATATCGCCAAAGCTTTGTGGATTACTTTGAGTCTTATAAGCAACGTCTGTTACAGAACCAGACATTACTAGAGTCTCATATATCCACAACACAGACCTCGGAGTTTGATCTTGAACGGATGCTTAGAGAGTCTGAATCTCAGCAAACAAGCTTAACTGAGCGGGATGAGCTTTCAAGATATCTTGAATCTGGTCAGTATTATCTTGGTTTATTGTGTGTTTTATTAATAAATATTAGGTACTATCACTGGAGTAACCATTCGAGCGTTCTGGAAAGACCATCAACATGAATTTCCTGCTCTCGCAAGCCTTGCACGGGATATTCTTACAATTCCTGCTACAGGTGCAGGGGTTGAGCGTCTCTTTAACTCTGCTCGGGACATCTGTCATTACCGTCGAGGCTCTCTAAGATCTGAAACTATCCAGGAGCTCATGATGTATAGGTTCGCAACAAAATTTGAGCTTGAAGATGACAACCTTACTCTTAAGAAGGAGTATCTTACAAGTGGGGAGATTGAGACAGAGAGAGAAGAGAAAAGTCCTCAGTCACTACAGGATATTGATCCTATCAGTGATAATGAAGAGGAGGATATAGAGGTCATACAAGAGCCAGATACTACCCAGGGCCCTTCTCATGAAGCTTTATCTGACGATGAAGCTACAAATCCTCTCCCAGAGACTCAACAACGGATTTCAGGTAGAAGTCGGAAGCGGAGACGGGATGATGATCAGTTTATTGAGTATTAGCTATAGAATCAAATTGACCTTGTTTTAACCTCTTTAATACTGAGAAATCTCTTGAATCTTGACTGGTAGTTGTATATGAAATACTCAAAATTACAGCTCGAATATGCATAAAATATACAAGTCACGGGGTCCCACCTGTTTGTATTGTTTGACTACCCGCGGGTACCCAGAAAATACCCATGGGTATTAACCAGCTTCCCACTACCCGCACGCGGGTAGGCAAACCCTACCCATTACCCGCCAAGAAATGGGTAATGGGTACCCCGTTTGGGTAGACCCGCGGGTCGTGGCGAGGTCTAGCTCTGGTAAATAGAATTATTGACTAGCTTGAGTAGCTTTCCAATATAGCTTGACTATTATCGAACACATCAACTATTGACCCACTTTAACTTATTAATCTCCCTATGATTGGTTATTTATTGAGGGCTGATTGAGGGCGGCCCTCAAATCGGCCCTCAAAATATGCGGGCGGCCCTCAACCAGCCCTCGAAATGTGCGGGCCGCCCTCGAGCGGCCCTCGAGCGGCCCCCAAACGGCCCTCGAAAACATGCGGGCCGCCCTCGAATCACCAATCCGCCCTCGGTTTTTCGCTGACTTGTGTATCCCCTCAAATCTAGTGATGCTTTTAGTTCAAAGATTATTATGGGGGCTCTTCTATTAGTAAATATAGTATGATTAGACTTTATCGGGGGGGCTCACCTTATAAAGAAGAATTATATGATATTTGGTGAAGAATCAAGAATTTATGAGATATGTTTAATGTTCTTGTTATTCCTACCAACATGACGTTGTAAATATATATATCTAACCCAACCATATTGAACTAATATATTCAAAAATCATCTCCTTTCTATTCACCCTCTACCATTTACTTTTGGAGATTCAAAACCTGTAATATAATCATTACCTACTATGCTTTATTACAATACAACTAAATTTCTTATAATTTCATAAGACTTAAATAGTGATACCATGGAGAATAAACTATAAACAGGAACAGGCTTAAAAAACAGTAATTAAATAGAATGAATCAGCAGAATTATACATCTAAATGAGGAATAGCCAACTTTTTTTATGCAAATGAGGGCGGATAAGGGCCGCCCGCGAGCGGCCCTCTGAGGGCTGAGGGCCGGGCGAGGGCAGGCAAGAACCCGCCCTCCGCCCGCGAGGGCCGGGCGGAGGGCGGGAGATACTGGCCCTCGAAATGTTTTTGACGAGGTCTACAAATCAAGCCAATTTACCACGCAGGAGGGCTCCACAAAGGTGTAGCGGATGTGGAGGTTTAGGGCACAATATTACTCGTTGTACGGAGCGTTAATTTGAGATAATTTAATATAATTTTTGTGGAGTTATTATTGATAGAAAATTTAGATGGGTGGTGGATTAACGGGTTAACCGTGTTAACGGGTTAGCCGTGAATACGTCAGTTAATTCTGCAGCGCTTAGCTAAGATTTATAGCAGGAGGCTTAACTAGTTAAACAATGTGGCCACAAGTCTTTCCGAGATATTATCCTCATCAAGGACATGCGATAGGTACGCCAATTCGGGATATTGATCGGCCCCGCCACTGCTTGGTTTCCATTTCGATACTCGTAAAGATGCCTATCAAAATCAGGCCTGAGACCCAACAAGTGCTACCTCATTCTTGAGAGGGGCCCCCTGACCCTCTGGGAAGGTAACGGTCGTGGCAACTACTGCAGCGCGTGAGAAAGTCTTTGCATTACTAGTATCAATTCACAAAGAATATATTCCCGCAGAACTGGCCATACCAAGAATTCAATTGAAACCGAATAGGGTTGGGTTTGTTGTAGGCGTGATGGATGGTAGGAAGTAGCGACGTCGTCGCAGGCAGACATCAGAGCATATGATCCCCGAATGGATACGGGCGACGATTTTTTGGAACAGAAAGATCTGGTCATGGAGACGACTGCCTCGAGAACCACTGTCACTCCTCGTACAAGGATCCCAAGAGCGACCAAATTGCCGCTCTGAGCACTGGCTGTAGCCTCATGCGAATACGCCCGTTGGGACGTGTGCAGCCATAGCTGGCGCAGCTCGGAATTCTACGAAGTTCTCACATGTGGAGGCACGCGCTCGCTTGTACAACCTTTTACCAAGCGGGGGTCAGTCAGATCTGAAGGGGCCCCAATTGCCGATTCAAGCAGTCAGCATTGCGAAAACGCTGACTCGCCCTGTGGGGCAGGTCTACTGGTCCCAGCGATCCCTGCGTAACTGCATAACCATGGCTATCCCCCGCGCGGGGTATGGGTACATCACTGGACTAGAGATCTACAGGACTCAAGGAATGGATTGGGCGAGACAGGCGTAAGAGACCAGCGAACCAGGGTGGTCGAATCCTAGCCCCGGTCCACTCTTATAACCCTCCTTCGCGTGTCTATAAAGGATAGAAGAGCCAGATATCCGGCGACCGGAAGATTTACTTCGTCTTCATCTTTTCCCGTCCCCCTCCCTCTCCCTCGTCCCAGCCGTTTAGATTAAACCACTGCCCGCCACCATGTCGGATCTCAAGCGACCAGTGAGGATCGCGAATTGCTCAGGCGCTGCTAGTACAGGCCCCTGTAGGAGACGGTCGTCGATGACCGCCAATGCAGAATTCTGCTAACAGCCGTTGTCCTAGGCGACCCGGGTGTCCATATGTATAATCAGGCCAAATATGGTCCTGTGGATGTAATCACCGGCGACTATCTTGCTGGTAAGTGGTTGGACTATTTCAATGGATTGCATACCGCCGGTCATCTACAAAACCGGGAGTGTTGCACAATTGGGCTCACTCATCAAATCGCAGAAGCCAACCTGGCCAACCATGCCGTGGAGGTCAAAGATTCCAAAGGCCCCGGCTGGGTTCCAACGGCATGGGATGGGCTACAACAGACTCTCGACATCGCAGCGGAGAAAGGAATCAAGATCGTGATCAATGGCGGGGCAGTCAACCCCAAAGGCCTAGCGGAAGAAACGCACAAGTTAGTCAAGGAAAAGGGACTAGACTTAACCGTCGCGTATGTGGATGGTGACAACGTCCTCCATAAGGCGCAGCACATTCTGGAGGGTATCAAGTCTGGGGCCCTCACTCACCTGGATGCCCAGAATGAGAGCGTCCACCTGGCGAAGGGCGCCGTGGATTTCTTGGATCACCCCGACACCACGCCGGTGGTCTGCGCGAATGCCTACCTCGGCTACCGTGCAATCAAGGCCGGTCTCGACCAAGGCGCAGACATCGTCATCTGCGGGCGCGTAGCCGATGCATCCCCCGTCATCGCTGCCGCGGCCTGGTGGCATAACTGGCAGGAGTCCGACCTGGACCAGCTGGCTGGCGCCCTTATCGGGGGCCATTTGATCGAATGTTCCACCTATGTCACGGGCGCAAACTTCTCAGGCGCTTTCCGGTACCCCCCCGAAACCTTTGTCGGCCTCGGGCTTCCCATTGTGGAGATTACTAGCAGCGGTGAATGTGTAGTGACGAAACACGAGAGTCTCAAAGGCATTGTTACCCCGGACACCGTCAAATGCCAGCTCCTGTATGAGCTTCAGGGAAACATCTATTTGAACAGCGATGTGAAGGCCGATATCACCCATATCAAGGTGAAGGAGGAGGCGACGAACCGGGTGCATGTCTCGAACGTCAAAGGATACCTTCCGCCTCCCACCACCAAGCTAGCCGTCTTCTATGAGGGGGGTTATCAGTGTGAAATGGCACTGAATGCGACTGGATATGCGACAAGCCACAAGTGGGATATCCAAGAGGCGCAAATCCGAAGCAAACTAGACGAATGGGGCATCACAGACCAGTTGGATGAGCTCGACTTTCAGCGCGTGGGTGTGCCCATGGAGAACCCAACCTCGCAGCTGGCCTCTACAACATATCTACGGGTCTTTGCGCAAGCTAAAGACCCAAAGATTCTCGGCCGCGTAGGAGCCGCATGGCATTTCTATGGCATGGCTCACTTTGCGGGGATGCACTGCACCCTAGATATGCGGACAGCGATTCCCAAACCCTTCCTGGGCTTCTACCCCGCCAAAATCCCGCAGTCCGAGCTTGAAGAAGCCGTCAATATCTTCAGTCGGGACTCGGTGCAGCATCCTAAGCGCACCGTTGTTGGTCCCCCCAAAGCAACAGAGCCTCTGAGGGACAGAGACAACTACGATCCGTCCAGTCCTGCTTCGCTCTCTAGCTTCGGTGAGACGGTGAATCGGCCACTCGGAGATATTGCCCTTGGAAGATCGGGAGACAAAGGAGGGAATGTGAATATCGGCCTTTACGTGCAAACGGATGAAGAGTGGAAGTGGTTCCGCTCGTTTATGACCCGCGCCAAGATGCAAGAACTGATGGGTAGAGACTGGCAGGATTGGTATTTCATTGAGCGTGTGGAGATGCCCGAGATCCGTGCCGTGCACTTCGTCGTGTACGGGCCTCTGGGTAGAGGCGTGAGTAGCTCGAAGCTACTCGACGGTCTGGGCAAGGGCTTTGCCGAGTTCATCCGTGCCGTCCATATCCCTATTCCCAAAGCATTCCTGTAAAGGAGCGGTCGCACTCGGGCTCAATTTCATTGATCATCGTCGATTATCGGTCGTGACGTTCGTTATGTACGTGCAGTTTAGACCAAATCCTATTACGTCTACTCGAAAACCCTATGATTGTACTCGCATGCGAGAGTTCCACTGGATACAAAACTAGAGAATGCCTCTCACCAGGTATCCGAAGTGCAGAAGCAATTCTCGATTTAACATAACTTAAGAGGAGCGCCCCAGATTTCGTTAGTTGGAAGATGGAGCGCAGGTCTTGTCATGGCTTGTCAACATGATCGTCGGTGTCCTGAATCAGCTTTTCGAGACACTTCGCCTTGTAAATAGCCCAACTTAGGGGCTTAACTAACCGTGTTTTCTTTCTCACGGGCCCCTTCGTAGATCATCGATCAGCGCGGTCCACGGGTAGCCGGAGCTAAATTAAGTAACCCAGATATGTAACTAGTTACTGACTAGTTAGGCGTTAGCAGGCACCGTTCTGTGCTCCGCCCAGCACGCAAAGTCAAGCAGGAACTCACAAAGACCAAGTAGTGGGCAAAGGTCCCTAGGAAGCTTACAACAGTCTAGATTTCAAATTGAGTGCTGGGGGGTACTTCGGTTCAAGCTATACGACATTATGAGTAGCGTCAAGGTTGAAGTGTTTGATTTCGAACAGATGCTAGGTATCAAAGACATGCCGCAACGCCTTAAATTAAGCGAAGATCCCAAAAACAAAATATATTTCGCCATTGACAGAAAACCCCCCAAGTCAAAACTCAACATTGCGGATGTCTCCAATGCACGATTTCGTTAAACCAGACCAAAAGACAGATGGTATAGGTGCTGTAGGTTTCCAGCGGAATAATAAGCCCGCTTGGGAAAAAAAAAAGAAAAAAACAAGGAACCAAAGAGAAGAAATGCCCCAACGGTACTTTTGTAATAACACACACCCTTTGGAAATCCTAAGTGGGACAGTGGACGGCTGGCTGGGTGAGGTGATTAGGCCTGGGATAAGGGACCCGACCACGGCTATCCCAGCCAAGAAAAAGAGAAAGGGTGGAATGCAAGTTCTGGTAAAGAATGCGCACAGGAGAGAGATCATCAGATCGGGATATAAAAATCAGCTACAATAAAACGACCCAAACAATGACAGACCAGTTCCCAATAATCGAACATTGGCAAAAAAAAATGAGACTGATAGGCTCCCTGAAGTCGGAGCTGAAGCAATGCGTCGAGGATATCTAAAGGCAAGAGACAGGAGGAAAGAAGGCAACGAAGGAATCCATATACACGAGATGTAGAGGGCGCACCGGGAGGACCACCTGTGATCCTAGCCGGATTAATGTGGTGTTCAGAGCAAGCTCCAAGAGGAAATGCATCAAGTCCACGCTGAGGGATATTATATGCCAGAGGGCGCCTTTGTAACCATCTTCCCGTTGGCACGCTTGTACGCCATTCCCATGCCAAGTTCAGCCAGAGCAGCCCGGCTTTCGGCTGAGAAGTCACGATAGGCGGGGTAAGGATCCGTGTCTGGTCGCATGCCATTCTGCAATGAGCGATCGTCGGAGCCGAAGGACTCGTCATATGTACGCTTGGTCCCATTGGACTCGGAAGAGTAGATTCGTCGTGAGCCAGAGATTTGGTCATATCCATTTCCAGGAGTAGGGGTGGGGGTGACCTCAATGGATTCATGCACATTCGCAAACTCCGGCGGGATGATCTTTGAGTTCGGCATGGGCACCATGCCAGCGGTGTGGTCTGGTGCCATCACATGAGGCATCATATATGGGCTTTGGCTGTTCATGATGTACGGCACTTGCTTGTGAGGTTCCATCTGATAAGGATGCATCGGAGGCTTGCTGTAAGGGTGCTGGTATTGATGCACCTGGGGGAAAGCATCGTACTCGGACACACTGCCGTACCGCATGTAATTTGGCTGGGGCGAATACATCGGGTGGTGGCTGGGAGGAGTAGGAGGCATCTGGTGAGCAGGTGGGTAACCGCCTGGCGCTGCGTTGAATTCGAGATATGACATTCCGGCCCGCTGGTTAGGGAAAGCCGGCACAGATGGCCGTCGGTCGGGGGCGTAAGGATAGGCAGAGTCAGTGGCGCTGCCGTTGCTATTTGACCGGGCACGATCCATTATTGAAGGGGCACCGAAGTGGGGATCAGGCGAAATGTACTGATCCGACCGAGTGTATACCGATGTCGTTCCTTCATCATACCCGTACTCGTTATCCTGCTTTTCGCCCCGACGTCTCATGCGGACATCACGACGAATACGAACGCGGCATCCTTGTTCGGCGATAACACGGCTCAGAGAAGTACTGGTACTCAAGCCAGGGAACTTCTTGGCACTATATACGTTGAATGCCTTGGACTTGATTTCCAGGCGGAAATTCAGAAAGGCTTGCGGTGATCCAGGCTTCTCCGAGGTGCCGCACACCAACGCGCTGGGGCCAGGTGAGCTCGAATCCTTATCAGCATCTTTGGGATCCTTCATCTCCTCGTATAGATGGAAGTTTAACACGTAGCGACCCTCGTGACGAACCGAAAGGTCGGGGAAAATAAAATATCCTGCCTGCGAGGGACGATCCAGATATGCGATGCCAGCCACAGGGACACCAGTTAATACAGGGGGCGATGGAGGGCCGGGCATGCGGCCTTGCGCGGTGGGACGGGCGGTTTCCAACGTAGCATAAAGAAAGAAGTTCGCATTGTACGCGAAAGTAATGTCGGTCATCTTATCGCTACCTGGCTCGGATTCATAAATGCGTAATTCGACGACGGGCGGCGGGTCGACAGGGCGACGGTCGGCGGATGCTGTTCTCTGGTCAGCGATAAAGATCCCGGTCCAGAGGGATTTTGAGACCTACACTTAGCTCCGGCGCCGCAAGCTCTGGCACGCTCTGGTTGTTGCATGACAAACATTCTGTATGTGATCTTTTTATTGTCGCGAGTAATTCGAGAAGATGTGGCCGGCTTTCCCTGGGGAGCACCCATGTGCAGATTTGGAGGCGTTCTGGACGCCATGTTGAAAAAATTGTGTCCTCTCAATCGTATCTTCTCAGTCAAATGTTCAGGCTATACCGCAGAGAGTGTGCCAATAGCAACCTGCCGGGTCCATATATCGCGACAGGATCGTCCTCAAATCGCAAAACCAGGCAAATATATCGAGAAATTCCCTCAAAATGGGCCGACAATCCGAGTCCCTTGACAATTAAGGACTTAGAAATGATACAGGCAGATGAGCGATACCAATCCGACTAAACCGACCAAACCTAGAGAGTCGAAGGGTTGAGGTGTAAGAGAGGGGAGAGGAAAAGAACACACAAGAGGGGAGGTGACACTAATGCGGCGTGACTCGATAGATACGGGGCTCAGGTATGGGCCGTGGCGGCTTGGGCCAAGTCCCTACGTAAGTAACTGCGTATATTACAAGGCTGGTACCGTACATGGTCCCCGATCGGGCTTCTCTTTTCTTTCCGATCGAAGTATTTTGTTCTTCTCTACTCTGTCCTGGATTAATTTACTAGCCATTCAATTGCTCTGATCTAGATACCCTCTTTCATCTTTCATCAGATTTCGATCTACTTTGAATCGGACGCGATCGGTATGTGAAGCTAGCATCTCCATTCGGGTATTAGGCCCCGTTACCCCGAATTTACACGACAACTAAATCCAGGGGTGGAAACAGGAAAAGCCAAAATAAAATAAAATAAAATAAAATAAAAGCGAAAAGAAGGAAAAAAAAAAGAAAAGAAAAGACTTTCAGGGCTGTCGAATCCCACACGGTCTGCGGTCTCAGAGTCCTCCACCCTGCTCCTCCTCCGTGCTAGTGTGGTTCATTTTGAGCAGATTTCCCTTTTTCTCGACGGCTACACGGTCGGAAGTAAAGTACATGGCAAAGCGCGAAGGTCATACCCTAAATCCACGCATTAACACGATATACACATAGGAAAGGAAACAAAGGCGTATCCTGTGGTCTTGGCCCTTGGCCTTGTCCATCATGGTCATCGAGTTTCCCGAGGTCCATGCCATCGAGCAAACAAAGAACATGCTCGCCCAACATTCCTTTCAATCCCATCCGCAGCCGCGCGACCGTTGCCTGGCATCCAGAGTCCATTGGCCTCGGAAGCTTTTGGCGACAGGGAAATAGAGAAAAGAGGAGTCTGGTTCTCGATGCACATTAGGCTGCATAGAGTAATCAAAAAGGCGGACAGAAGCCACCCGAAAGTCCCCCAGCCTTGCGCAGGCTCAAGACTCACAGACTCTGACGTGGTTGCCAGGTATCCCCTGCTGTATGTACGGAGTACCGGGGCGGTAATGCTGATGAATCTTCGAGGCATCTTCGAACCCGGTTTCGATCAGTTCGAGTTATCTGGTTCCAGTTTCTGTCTTCCCCCGGATCATCGAAAGCTCATAATTGGACCCAACGAGGGTTCCAGAGGCGACCCGTGGTTTGTGACTCGATCTTCATCTACTCCACCTTGACGTGCAGCGCCACCAATCGGGGGACTCGTAGTGGGGTTTCCGAACCGATCTGTCCTCTGTTCTGCCTGGTTTTGTCTACTGGTCTGGAGGGTAGAAGTCCAGATCTGCGTTTTTCTCTGGCCAACTCTTACGACATGCGAGACTGTTCAACGCACATGGTGCAGTTGGAATGAAGTCTTGGCCAGCATGAAAAGAAACACAAATCCTCCCCCCTGTCCTCCCCCTGTCCCCTAACTAGCTTCGTTGGGCCAACACCCATGCACAGTTACGTCTCGTTTGGTCTACTTTGGTCCTCGCACTGCACACCTAACCCTAGCCACATCAACTTGCATAAGTCCGGGTTGACAGTCTTCCTTCGCGGATTGTACCACATTCCCTTCAAGTGGGCGGCTCCGTATGTATCTCTTCAGCATTGAGGATCAATCCCCCACTTTTACCACGCGGCGCGGTCCGCGTTCAACTCCCCATTGGCTGGCAGCTCGACGGTCCCGCGTGTCAAATACGTAGGGCCCGGATGCTCATTATTACATCGCTTTCGGCCGTAAGGATGGATCTGATACGGCCGGCTTGCACACTATATAGATCTGCACATCATGGCCCACATGATCAGCTCTTTCGCAAGCACCCAGCACAAGCCCTGATAGGGCGGGAAAAAACGTGGTCGGAAAATCAATTACTTCATTCTCCCCATCGGCATCAACCTTCTGGCACACGGATGAAGGAGCTACACCAATGGCCGCTTCGGGGGTAAAAACCCCGTTCCTAGGGCTCAACCCTCAAGCCTGGGATCATAAGAGCACCAGGCTTGCGATCCCCAGGCGATGTTCGATCGCACACTGTAACCCGGAATCGTGTGGGGAAGTTTTTTGGTTACAGAAGCTTTTTTGATCTGCCCCTTAACTAGTAGTACGGGGTAGTCTGGGTGGTTAGCCTTGGGGGGGTTCAGGTGAGGCGGATGTATTCTAATACATAAACATCTCGGGCCGCGGCACAGGAGAGAGGGCTTTGCGTTCTTACTCCTCCCGCTATTGAAATCACGCATTGCATAGTGACACGGCCCCAGAATTAACTTCCTTCCAGAACACTTGAGAGATCAAGCCCTGGGAAAGCCCCGGTTTAGAGCATTTAGAGACATGCGCTCTTAGTTTATCGGTCGTAAGGATCTCGGAAGTCCTACTTCCCCAGCCTTCGGGCAATTCCCGCGCGGGATCGAGCGGGATGTGTGCGGAGGATTCAGCCTACGTTCAAAAAGGTTCAACGGCTGCCGTTCCCCTTCGGCCGAGCTTATCAAGGTTTGAGAAAGCCGGCGATTCGGGGAGCGCTTAAAGTGCCCTAAGTCAATCCCCGCTACTCCGTAGTGCCCCCCCTAATGGAGTAATTTTGATTGATCGATTAGGACACAAATCTCCGGTGGCAGCAATGATTGGAAGCTGCTTAGCTGCCTTCCTATTCGAATAGTAAACGCCACGATTTCACTTCGACAATCTTACTGCCCCCGAAACAGGGTTGCCTTGACTCCTGAGGACCCTGTGGATGAAACGAACCGCCCGTACCATGATAGCGCGACCCCCTACCACCACGTGGGCGATCAACGGACTGGGCCACCGCGCCTACACCGTGACATCACGGACATCGCAAATTCCAAGGCTGTACTAGTAAGATCGGCGACATCTGTGCCACCGAAAAGGAAATCATCCCTGGTCACGCGGCACCTCGCACAAAACCATCTCGCTCTCTCATGAGTAATGCAAACGGTCTAGGCCCAGCCAACCAACCACCCTGGCCTGTTCCTGATTACGGTCTCAGAATGGGGCCGTCCGCCCATCCGGGGTCTCTTGTACGGAGTACTTCGAAGTAATAGAAAAAGAAACATAAACACACAAAGACAAGGTCGGCTTGAGCCGCTACTTGCAACGGCGGGAGGATGGGTGGCAGGGTGCAGGATCATGATCCCCTCGAGGCCCCCCTGGCCTGCGTCGGAGGCTGCCGCAGTCAAAGAATCTCCTCTCAAGCCTCCCTCCGGCGCTACGAGATAAAAACTGAACGCTCGATTGGATTACGCCATCCGCCCCCTGGTCGAGGCCGGCGATTGTCAAATCATGCTCGAACCACGCATCCCTGTCGTTTTCCACGAGTCGCGAACGGGCCTTGCGGCTTTCCTATTTGAGGTAGGGATGCGCGAAGTTCGTACCTTTGCTGCTGCTAAGGCAGGTGGCCGCATTCTCCAGTGTCACTGGACTTGGGTTGGGGCCTTCATTATTGGGGGCTCAGATGCGTATAGTCGGTTAACGAGGATTAGATCAGTTTTACTAAGGATCGGCGGCTTTGTTGGCGCTGGACGGTGTAGATGTTCTATTGGGTTATGCGAGGTCGACGGAGTCACCTGGTTTGTTAGGTGCATATCGAAGATGCAAGGTAGGCGCTTACCCGGGACCTGTGCGTGGAATCACATATACGCCGTACAAACTGTAGACTTGTAGTGTGCTATGAGTCCGTTTCAGGATCGGAGGACAAAACGAAATCATTTGAGTTGTTAATAACTACCTTATCTCCTAGTTAGGTGGGTATTGACCCCATCAGATACCGATAAAAGTTAATCGCGATTGAAATCCCCAATGTCATTAGTACTATCAGTACTTTTACCACGGGGTCCCCGTAGCTTCATCTTGAGCGAGGCTGTGCTAGATAAAAAGCAAAAGCAAAAAAAAAAAAAACAAAAACAAAAACAAAAACGAAAACCCTTGGACCTTCCTATTCGAAAAAGTACCTGCATGGACACTACCTTGTTGTGCTCCGGGCGTTTCAAGTTTCTGGGGGCGTCGCAACGTCCAATGTCACTCGCAATGGTTGAGATTCACCCTGAGAGAAAGCAAAATCCTCGGGGCACGCGATTGAACCCAACTTTTAGGACTCCGGAAAGCCATTTAGAATGATTCGGTTCCAGGTTCAGGTACTTCTAAATCAGATATGTGTACTTTCTGTCTTTCCACCTGGTCCCACTTGAACTCGCATTTGAACCGCCAATATACATGTCTTGAAATTGGGCTTAACTTTGGGTACATTCACCCTCGAAACATTGAGTTTGCCAAGCCTGCAAACCCCTGCCAGCATCTGTATCATGAGCATTACCAGGATTGCGTGCAGGAAGCGACCGCGAGCAAACGCAAAGAATAATACTTGTACTTGTGACCTACATAGTGAATAGCATTTTGTTTCAACTTGAACCTTAGAAGTTCTGATTCGTGAGTACTGAAAACTAAGTAGTACCTTGAAAAACGCAAAATTCTTGAAAGTCGAATCAATCTTTCGAGGTTGGAACGTTCAGACTTTCGGTTGAAATATATTCGGGGAGGTTGCGAATTGGCAAGACAACTTCAATTTGGGATGATCGCAACGCACAATATGCAGCGACAGAAAGCTTCTTCGCTCTAGGCTTGATATGGATATCCAAAACATAAGATAAAATTGAGTTTTTAGTTTCAAATCCACTAATTCGAGAAGAACCTGGCCGTAAAATGCATGTTGTGCCTGTTCATCATCCACATGTAAGGGACTGATGTGATTGGTTCCCGACGGAGCCTCGAGGGTCGCGTCACCGAGCAGCAACTCAGATTCTCGTGATTCACTCCTATGGATCTTCTAGCCGTGCTGCCTGACTTCGTGATCAAACCATATGCGCACATCCTCCCCCGCTTGAACGCAGCAAGATCACCGTTGTCGATCTCATCACCCTCGACACGCTCGAGATCGCGAAACGCGCCCATGTGCCCCCGGCGGACGTGAGGCGGCTCGCCGCGAGTGTCGTCGATGCCCTACACACCGATTTGGGGGTCGAGAAAACGCCCATAGACCCCTTGGAAGATGAGCCTAGCTCCAGTATCGATCCCAGAGCAGTGTCGACTAGTTTCGGACCGTCCACGAGACTTCAGCCGAGATGGAATACTATCAGCACTCTGGACTCCACCATGGATGGGCTTCTTGGAGGCGGGATCCCCACAGGATATGTGACTGAGGTGACGGGCGAGAGGTAAGGCAGGAACAAGGGCCGTTATTTGGCCGGACCCGACGTGTTCTGACTGTTCGCGTTCTAGTGGAAGCGGCAAGACCCAGTTCCTCCTCAACCTCCTCATCAGCGTGCAGCTGGCAAAGCCACACGGACTGCGAAAGAACGCAATATACATCTCAACCGAGCATCCGCTGGCGACCAGCCGGCTTGCCCAGGTGCTAGAATGCCATCCGTACCTTTCTGCTCTCCCTGCAGGCCAGGCGCCCTCCCTCCAAAACATACTGGCGATCAACGCCATGGACCTCGAAACGCAAGAGCATATCTTCAATTATCAGCTTCCAGTCGCGATAAAGAGATACAATGTTGGCCTGGTTGTTGTGGACTCAATTACATCAAACTATCGCGCTGAACGAACCAACTCCAACATCTCTGCTCTGTCTCATCGGTCCACAGAACTCGCTAAACTTGGCCATATGCTCCGCAATCTTGCCGCAAAAGAAGACATCGCCTTTGTGCTAGCCAACCAAGTATCGGACCGGTTCGATCGTATTGAGACCGGCGAAGATTGGGGCCCACGCCCCAATATTCCGCCTGCACTAAGCCAGAGTGCAGCTGCCCGGGACTCGGGTACAGCGTCCCCCCGCCCTCGCAATAGAACGGAGATCCTCGAACCTGCAACACAGTCACTACAAGATGAGCCACCTTCATCCCCCGCATCGTCACAGTTCCCAGTCCCCGAAGACGACCAATTCGACGGGACTTATCTGCTCGGCAATGCTGCGCGTAACGAAGCTATGAGCTTATTGCACCAGGAACGTTTCTTCACTGGTTGGGGTGACAGTCCTTGGTCTGCCACTTCGACCCTCAAGACGCCTGCTCTAGGCTTCTTTTGGTCCACACAGATTGCATGCCGAATTGCTCTGAAAAGAGAACAGACGCGAATTGCTATCGCACCATGGGGTGGTCGATACCCCCTATCCACTCCTAGAGAGCAGACGGATATCGGTCCGCAGGACACAGGAAATGGGACAGATCCGAGGCCCGGTTTCTTATTGGCAAGTGAAAGCCAGACCGAGAACACAAAAGCTGAGCCAAAACCTCAGGTGCCTATCCAGAGCGAGGAAGTGCCTGCTCTTCCCTCACCGCCAATAACAGAATCCCAAAAGCATGCTGTTCTCTCGAAGTCTGATTATGTCACCAAACGGACCATGAAAGTTGTCTTCGCTCCTTGGACTGCAGGTCCGATGGAGTCGGACAATGAAGACGAAGGAACGCCGAGACCCAGGGAATCGTTGAGAGAAACGAAGTTTGAGATATGGAAGGGGGGTCTACGAAGTATATGAGATCCAAGGCTATATCTCAGGATCAAAATAGTACCTGCCGAGGTTTCTAAAGCCAAAAATGAACATAACCCTACTTCCAACCGATCTATCGAGTAAATGATCTTTCTTCCGTGAACCATGTCATACCGTGCAGCTCATTATATCTGCTCTCTCAATCGACCTTGTGCTGCCTCCCAGTGCGAGTGGGTCGCTTCGGCCAATCAAATCTGCATATCGGAGGTTCCTTCCTTTCCTTTTTCTGGCCCCTCAGTAACTAGTGGTCAGCAACCACCATGCATCCATGAATCGATAATGACTTCCTTCTCCACGATTTCTCCTTTGAACGAACTTCGCAAACTCTTGCATTGGGGTAGTACTCCTGTGTGAGCTTGAAATAACTCGACGCTACGTCTGACCTCGGAAGTAATTCCTACGTCCAATGAATTCCGGGCCTATGCGCAGCATGAGCAACAAGACAAAGCCAAAGCAAAGACCAGTTACCTTCTCTGGGTTGGTGGCTATTGTATCTGCGTGGACTCTGTGTTTCATTGGATTCGCTAACCCTGAATAGGTGCTGGACCTGCAAGGAACGTAAGGTCAAGTGTGACGAGAATCCTCGGGGCTGTAAGCAATGCGCACGCCTTGGCGAGAAATGCGGTGGATATAATATTAGGCTGCATTGGGTCTCTTCCTCTACTGACCAAGGCTCCGTGAAATCCCGTAGCCTGGGTGTCGGAAGGAGAAGAATCGAGCGGGGTGAGTCTGGCCATCAAAATTGGTGATATATAGATGCTTATCATAGGAACAGATTCGATCTTATCTTTCAATCTTGATCAGATTGATAAGTTCTTAGATGATATCGAGAGTGATGCTGCAAACGGGGTCTTGTCCACTTACGGCCCTTTCACAGCATTCTCATCAACTACTAGCATCGATCCCTCATTACCGCCACCACCACGGTTAGAAGGATCCGCTGTTGCTTCCGAAAGCGAGCGGATCAAGTCTGTCATCGAAGATGTCGAAGGGGTATCCAGCTGGAACAGTCAGCTAGCGACGGTTCAATCCATCTTTCCAAAGCTCAGTACCCAGGACCAAATGCGACTGGCAAACTACATCCATCTCCAGTTTATTGTCTCCAGTTTCGTTGAGGGCAATGAGCAGGGTACGAACAGTTCGAACCAAAGGCCACGGATTACGCATCGGATTGCAACACACATTTCAGGTCTAAATACACCTTTATATCCTCAACCCCAGTTCTTATTTCTCGAGGGACCGAAGACAAATGCCCTCTTCGACTACTACTCCACCCGCGTCGCTAACGTCCTTCAGCCCCTTTCTCACCCCGAGAACCCATATCGGTCGATATATGTGCCATTAGCCGTGGAAGGGGTTTTCGAGATGGGTCAAATTGCCAAAATGGTAGCGCCATGTGTCAAAATTTGCACTTTCCATGCGATAATAGCTACCGCGGCCTTTCATATGCATGGCTCCGATGTTTCTGGAAGCTCAGAATACCACAAAATTGGTCATGTCCAACGCCAAATGGCACTCAAATGCATGCAGCTTGCCCTACTAGACGAAACTCTTCCCACAAACTACCAAAGCTTCATGACCGCCATGATGTCTCTCCTGACAGTCGGAGTAATGGAAGGTCGAATCCTCGACTTCCACGTCCATATTCAAGCAATGATCGAGCTTCGGAAGAGTCGGCGCGACTGGAAGATCCTCAGTTCTCAAACCCGCCAACTCAACGACATGAGCCGCTTCCTTATCCTTCTCTCCCGCACAACCTCGCACTCCATCCCAGCCCCAATAACTCTCGAGTCCCAGCAACCCCTCCCCTCCCATCCAATCCCGCCAGCGCCTGCCCCTGCCCCCCTGCTTCTCCTACCTCTACGGCATCACAGCTGACATCGCCCAAGCGATCGACGAGAGATATGCACACTCCGCACGCAGCTCCACCACCCTTTCCTCGCAGCACAACATCCAATCCCCGATCCCTTCGCCCTCGCAGCTGAGCAACTAGGCAACAAACTCATCTCATGGCACCTCAGCCCCGACATTGCCCTATCCATCTTCCCCACAGACCCGTCCATGCAACTCATCTTCTCCCACCACGCACAGGCATGGCACGCCGCCGCCTACATTTACTATCTGCACTGCATCCAGGGCATCCCGCCACTAGGTCTGATGGAACATGTCGCCCGGGTTGCGTTCCATATGCATGCGGTGGAGGACCTGAAGCTGCTTACACCCGAGTCTGGGCCCATGGCGCCGATCACGTGGCCTGCATTCGTGGCGTCGTGCTGCGCGGTGCAGAGAGAGACCTGGGTGGAATGGTGGGGGCGAGTGCAGTTTTATCGGATCGGGGGATTGGGGAGACAGTTTGAGGTTGTGAAGACTGTGTGGGAGGAGATGGATTTGGGGACAGGAGAGAGTTGGGTGGATATTCTTGGGAGGCGGGGGATTGAGGTTTTGGCGTTGTAACATTGGAAGGTGTGTGCCGCATTCTGCAATTTGGAGATGAAGATATGCATGACTTACTCGTAGGTTTGCTAGTAGTTTTCATTCAACTTGCTCTTGTTGGAGCTGTAGGTGGATTTGGCTTTTGGAATAAAGCATCAACTTAATGTGCCACTGCAATCAGTTAGCCGATTCGTTTGTTCTGGCTGTATAGTTCATCCATTACTGCCAGTGGGCTTGGATGAGAATACCTACCATACTCGATGTTTCAATGCTTAATGCCAGTTGGTTTACGTCTCCTAGCCGTTTCTTGCAATCCTGACTATCTAATTCGAACAGAACAGTGTTCACCAGAGAGGTTCGAAAGATTGGCCGAGTCCATGGACGTGCTAGTAATAGACTCTGTTCCTAATTTAGTATGATCAGAAGTCTCGGTCAAACATTGCGTAGGTACGGTTGTCGAGCATTTCACATACAAGTTCTATTACAGACACATATCGTCCCGGTGGGGATTTGCCTGAGCAAGCTTTCTTTTTCTTTTCTTTTCTTTCTATTGAGATGTTTTGATAGAATTGCTGATCGTTCGATAAAGGTTTCGATGAAGATTTGAGATGCCAGTAATCCTGTGGAAGGATGAAAGAATCCCGTGTCTGGAACTATAGCTGGTGAAGGCTTCTCGATCCCGGTATTGTTTAGGAAACCCCGGTCAATTAAAGCAACTTAGTATCCTCAAAACGAAGCTAAGATTCATTTGGAGAATACAAAGACAAGAAATGTCCCAGCCTACTCAGTCGCACGATATCTAGTGACAAAAGCATGAGCCCCCCAAAGAGGCAGACCAGCCCAATCAGATCGACTGAATATGAAATCCTCTGATTGGCCGGACCTCGACCCCGCTCTGCAACGGGTTTCTTGTTTTCTGCTCTTGACGTCGAGCCCTTCCCTGCTGCCTGGTTTCTTTTTTAAATCTGGCTTCGTTCGCTCTTTGCCAGACTAACGTACAGACAATGCATGGATCGACGACTGCCTCAGTGCGAGATGGCTGCTCAAATGTTGACACCCGCCAGCCACAAGGCGCGGACTAATAAGACATACAAGGCAATCTGCCCTATGCAGAGTCTATTTACGAATTACAGCAAAGCTGACTTATAACTGACGAAGAAAAAAAAAGATGCAATAGTGCTCAAGCTGGAAACTAACGAAGCCGAACTCGACCTCTCAAGCAGCCTACCACCGCCAACCTCTTAAGGAAAAGAAGCAGAAGAGCAGATCTAGGCTATATCTAGAGACCAACAAGAAAAAGATTGCTCTCTATCGCCAAGCCGGGGTGTATGCACGCCAACAGATATACACAGATAAGTTCGAAAATGGGAAAACAACGAAACTCAACAAAACCACACCGTGACGGGGGCGAAAATGGCTGGGCAATTTTCACCGGAGACCAGATCCGCCCTAATTATGTATCTTTTATCTTTTATCTCTTTTTCGTTTATTTGCCGGACTTGCTGGGAGGGACACCGATGCCGTTCGTGTTGCGGTAGAACAGCACACCGTGGTTCTCGCCCGTGGTACCCTCGGAGGGCTCGACCCACTGGCAGATGCGGGCACTGGTCCACATCGCCTTGAAGAATCCCGTCCAGCCGGTGTGCGCCTCACTGCGGTAGTGTTCACCCATGACGCCCTTGATGGCCTCGGAGGCCTCATCGGCGTTGTAGAAGGGGATGTTGCTGACATAGTGGTGCAGGACGTGGGTCTCGATGATGCCGTGCAGGATGTGGCGGCCGACGAAGCCAAAGTCACGGTCGATGGTGGCGGCGGCACCGCGAGCGAAGTTCCAGGACTCGGGCTGGTAATGAGGGAGGGTGGGGTCGGTGTGCTGGAGGTAGGTGATGGCAACTAGAGAAGCGAATTGTGTCAGTTTGCGGGTCCGGGATCTTTTCATCTCTTGGATGTGGTGCTGATTGATTTTCAAGGAACTTACCGAGCCAGTGGTTCACCCACAGGTAGGGGATGCCGTACCAGACCAGCAGGTTGAGCCAGCCGTAGGTTGAGCCAATATAGTACAGCACGGAACCAGTGATCAAGAGACCGAGGTCACTCAGAGCAATCAATTTAGCATCCTTCGCCTCGTACAGAGGGCTGGAGGGGTTGAAGTGGTTGACACCACCGAACCAGCCGTTAGCCTTGCCCTTGCCGCGGCCCTCGAGCTGCTTCTCGTGGTTGTTGTGGCCGGTCACGTTGGTGATCAGGTACATGGGCCAGCCGAACAACTGCTGGAGGACGAGGTTGAGGGCGGTAACGATAGGAGTCTCCTCCATCAGCTCACCGAGTTCGTGGACGGCCTTGCCAAGGCGGGAAGCCTGCTCTTCACGGGTGCGGGGAACGAAAACCATGTCACGGGCAATGTTACCGGTGGCCTTGTGGTGCTTGCCGTGGGAGATCTTCCAGGAGAAGTAAGGCACGAGCAGAGCCGAGTGGCAGATCCAGCCAACAGTGTCATTGAGAACCTTGGAAGGAGAGAAGGCCTGGTGACCGCACTCATGAGCCAAAACCCACACGCCGGTACCGAACAGACCCTGGATGACGGTGTACAGCCCCCAGAGAGCCACACGAGCGGGGAAAGAGGGAACGGTCTCGGGAGTGACATAATTGTGGAAGAGGTAGAAGACGGAGCCCAGGACGGCGACATCTCGGAAAACATAGTACAAGCTGGTGATGGCGGATCGGTGGAAACAGTGTGCGGGGATGGCATCACGGATCTGCTTGATGGTGAAGTCCGGGATCTTGAACTCATTACCATAGGTATCCAGCATCTTGCCGCCGTTGTCCTGTTCCGAAGCCATGGAGGACAGAGAGGTTGACGAGGGCGATTGGCGAGGGCTATCGAAGGGGGAGGCCGTCGTTGAGTTGGTCACCGAGGAGTCCGTGGTGGGGTTGCGGTGCAGCGCAACGCGCTTGGGGACAGCAGTGGACGCCATGCTGAGAATCGAAGAGCGAAGAACGGAAAGTGAACAAGACGGTATATGCCCAGGGAAAAGACGAGCAAGTATGGGTTTTATGAAGGTGGTATGACCAGGTTAGCCGAATCCTACTAATGTGACAGGATTCTCCGAGGACCAAAGCCAACCAATCTATTCTGGTCGTCTGTTGGGGAAAATCAGATGTCAGTTGACAATTGGAGCCGCCGAGAGCGGAACAACACCGACCTAATGGGTTTGGCAAATGTCCAGCTGCCAGGTTCTTCCTTGGATCTTTAGAGTTCTGGCGGTTACACGGGGTGGAGAAAATGTGAAAGAAGAAAAGAAGCAGGACACTCCAGAGCTGAAAAGCTGAAGAAAACCCTGGGGCCGATCGAAGGATAAGCGAAGGGGGGGAAAAAAACGCAAATCGATAAGGGATGATTATGATTGTTTCCTAAACCGTGGACGAGGCCAATTCCACCAGGGGAAAATGTGAAAATTGGGAAAAAGGGACCAACCCAGGGATCCCAGAAGTGGGTCGTGGGAGGGTATTTTTCCAGTACAGGTATGGTCATGTTCCGTTTATTACGCCGAGCCCCTCTGTTAAATAGTGCGATCCAGGCAGCGATTGAGGTCTCAGCGGAGCCCCGAGGACTGAAATTTACGGTACGGAAGTATGGAGCTAAACGCTCTTATACGGTAGTCTGTAGCGTGGCGACTCCCCAGGGACCCCAAAGGTCCAGTCTGCGCTCGAAGTGCATGAACGGGGCCGATCTTTCTCCTTGTCAGAGTCTTCCATTGGGCCAATTGGCAGATCTCACGCCACCCTGCTGCACCTCCAGCCACTTCAAACAACAATGCGAAATAAACATTCGGGTGAAACTTAACACGACCCACTGGGACGAGCTCTTCACGTCCGGGGTGTCTACGCTTAATACAGGAACGATCGATGTGGTTTGTATTCCCTGTGGCCTCTGGTCTTGCCCTGACGGGGAATTTACTAGTACTGATATGCTTACTGACATGTTTCGGCCCATGTGAGGCGTCGATCAGCTCTATATGGGATCTTCGGACAATCACATGCACGCCCCTCGAAAGACGGTGTGTGTGGATTGACTGCTTCGAGGGCCTCGGCGGGTAATTTTCGTGCATGCGCGCAGGCGTCATATAACGCGGAGCGGATTGGCTGATCAAGATCAGCGTGGCAATGGCCCTCACCGATGGCATGTGATGGGCCGAGCCTTTCGATAAGATTGCCGAGCGATAAGAGATCCCATTGAACTGTGATGCATAATACAGAGCATCTAGAGCGACTCGACTGTAACTGATTGGCAAGCATTCCGGGTAGGATACCGCAGAATACGACAGCCGACTGTACAATGTAGAACCCCGCTGAGAAGGGGCGAGGCTTGTTGGGCGAGGGACGGACCCGCTGAGGTTTTGTTGAGGAGCTCCCCCGCCAATCACACGGGGCCCCCACTGTTATTTTGGAATTTGCAAAACGCAGTTCCCGCCGTATGCTCCATGCCGGGACGTACACACTAATAGCTCGTCAATTCACCCATCGACCAACCTTATGTAGAGCGGAGTTTAGGTAGTAAAGGTGTATGCGAGATGCGATCGATGGCCTACAGCTTATAGTATCAGAGTTAAGTGGGACATTCATCATTGACATGAGTCGTCTATGTACAATTCTGCCTCTTTTAACAGCCCTACGATCAGTGGACCTCTGCTCGCCGCTCAGAATCTACCAGCCAAGAGGACCCATTCGGGTTACCCGAAGCGCTCAGGCTGACAGTCGTCTTGCGCAAATCGGGCAAAACGAGCACTGTCTCCCCATGGTTGCGGTAGTCCGCTTCACAAGGAATAGGATCCCGCTGCGCAGGCGGGATCGCCAACCCTGTCACTGGATCCGTGGTGGCTTGCGTAGGAGCAAAACTACGGATCTCGAGCCCGGGCAGGAGTAGATGTCCTGCCTTTTGTGGTAGGAGAAGGATTGTGAATTTGGTGGTTTCGCCGTCCCGCGCGAGGAAGGTACCCCGGCGTCGGCCTCCCAAGAGCCAGCACTCGGGATTGGCGTGCATCTCGAACGTGCACTCTAGTGGCTCACCGGCGTGTTCTTGGCTAGCAGGGGGGCACCAGCGGCGAGTATGGCGGAGGCACAGTTCTGCGGCGATCATGTGGCCCACCGCGGCATGGGGAGTGCCCGCAACGGACGCATCTTCGCTTGGGTGGAGCTGCAGCTCGGCCGTGTGCACGACCTGGATTTGGGGGATCTCGACGGGGATAATAATGCTGCGGGGTGGGGATGGTTGCTTGAGCGGGGAGACGAATGATAGGGTTGTTCTGATGCAAATGTTAATATGGGAGGGGAATGCTATAATACCTTGTACGCAAATCAACTCACATCGTGCCACGCAGCTAGCCATTTCCGCACATCATCTGTGCGGTCTCTGAGCCCGCCCAACAATTCTTCCCATCGGACGCTTTTGTAAGGTAGCATCTCCACCTCTCGTAATAGGCCAATGACTTCCATGTCCGCAGTACTTAACTGGTTCCGGAAGCTGTTCACCACGTGCGATGTGAGCAGTGTGGCGTATTGGTGATAAGGGCTGGATCTAATAGCGGTGGTGAAACACTTCTCGATCGCATCGATACATTCGTCGTTCACGCAGGTAAAGTCCACGCGGAGACGCAGACTACGTCCTGACGCAGTGGCCGCGCTACTGCGCGGACGGATCTTGTAGAGCAAAGACGCAGGCTGCTTCGGGAAGACGTCCAGAGTGACGGGGCCCGAGAGAGTCGATTGGACGTCATAGGACTCTGAACTGGGTAAACTGCATTGGGCGATGCGGAGTGGGATCAGCATGGCGGGGCTGACCGTGAAACGTGAGAATAGTACATCGTCCTTGAAGATATCCTGCACATTGACAGATATGGGCAGCGTAGCGACCACGCTATGCACGGCTGAGAAGGAGAATTTCCCCTGTCCAGTCTCATAGCTGACCTCTGTCCGCGCAGATAGAGTGGTAAAAGCTTCTTCAACAGTATAAGGAATACGGAGCCGTACAAAGGATTTCGGAGGCAGTTGGGTGAACTCAATGGCCCCCGACTCGTTGTTCGCCGAGATATTCAGCTCGCCATCGACCACCTCAGTCTCCGCAGTTCGAAGCCTGAGCCCTGCTGTGGCTGGTCGTACACGGATTGTGCCCCTCTGAATGTCATTCCGCCCGCTATTGAGTTCCAGCTCTAGGGTGCGCATTGACTCCAGGTTGATCAGATGTGGCGAGACTACTGTTGCCTGTAGACCGTCCGATGGGGGGTAGCAGAGGATGTGTGGTCGGGGGTCTGCGTCTTCTGACTCGACGGTTTCTTGGAAACCCACTGGAAGCCCAGAGTGTTGACCACTGTTGAAAATGAATAGGAGATTATCGGTTTTCATTTCCACACGATCCACATAATATTTGCCTTGTAATGTAGTCTGAGAGAGTGAGTTAGCTGTGGACATCATTAGACTCTCTGATTCAAACACATACGGAGGAATCGATGAGGATCTTCGTCTTGGTTGATTTAATCGTGAAAGCTTTGGCAACTTCAACCCAGTGCTCTGTGCTTTGGGTGGCGTTAACGCCCACCAAGCGTACCTTGATTGAGTTCACGTCGATTTGCGGGCCAAGCAAGAATCGCAAATACATTTGAATCTGGAAACCGTCTTTGTCGTCATATAGCTGGATTGCCGGGTCTACATGTAAGTCCGCAAAGAAGTCACTCAGGGGTGCAGTGATATCCTTCTGCAGGCCCCCCCAGCCCCTCGAAAAGGTCAGAGACATAGACAGAAAGCTGTTCCTGTTCTGTTAATGAAGATGGTGTAGATGTGGCCTTTTGTCTGTCGGAAAGCCTCGATTGCGAATAGGCAGCAAACTTAGAGAGCAGTCTGAGCATCATCCGAACATAGTCTTCATTACGCTTGAGCTCCTTCAAGCATCGGGCATACAGTTCCAGCATAATGCCTTCCAAGACAACCCAGAGCTTGCTGCCATAGAATGGAGCCAATTCATGGAAATAAGACGCTGCTGCCTCGTAATCAGCTTGGCGGAATCGAAGAATGGCGATGTCCGCAAGGGCCATTTCAGTAGAGTTTGTACGGCTGGCCGCCGTATTATGACGAATGATGTGGTCTGTGAGGTCTTCATAGAAGGTCAAAAATAAGTCTTTTGACTCTAATGCGGCCTTGAGAGAGAGAAGACTAATTCCAGAAAGCGGGGTCCGCTCTGGTTTTTCTTCTTCCTGCAGCTTCGAGGATTCATCGTCGTCAAGAGATACAGTTGTAAGGTCCTTTGGTCCTGAGCGGTGACTATCATCGAAAAGCAAGCCAAGATCGGTCCACTTCTCGGACCAACCTCTTCGGTGTGCAATCTCTTCGAGCGATCGTCGGGCTAGAAGGAGTAGCTCGCCTCTTGCAGAAGCAAGTTGCTCTGAGCCAGTTCTCGAAGGGAAAACGGAGGCAGCCTTGGGATGGTCGATAGTCGAGCGCCGTGGAAGTGGGCCGGCCGTGTCTGACAGATCTTGCGTCACTGGACGATTGGAACGGTTAGCGGCAGATTGTATTAATGAGCTCGTACGACGCGGTGCATCTGCACGGCTCTCTGCCGCTGAAGCTTCAGCGGCTTTCTTGACAGCGATGATAGAAGATTCGGGGAACCTTCAATCCAGGGGTGAAGGTCTGGTCAAGAATTTGCAACGCCGCTGAGTAAGCCCAGGATGAGACCATATTGTTAATGATATGATATTTGGCTTTCTCTTCCACATCTTTGAGTCCGGACTCGAGGTCGTAGCGGAGAGTGCGTGCCGCAAGACTGATAAACTCCGTGGATCTCGCACATATTTCTGAAAGCGTCACGAGGTCCTCAAGCTTGTTCGTCTTTTCATTGAGACTCAATGATGGAGCTTTTGCTGCCCTGAGAAGTAATGTCAGCTGTCGGGAAAAGACATAGGTGCGGAAGTTGAAGATGGAAATGTCGCTCGACAGAATCATCTCCCGGTACGGCATTCTTGTGGAGGACAATGGATAATCCTCTGGTCGTATATCCAGGGCAGAGTAATCCGCTGCGTTGACACCATCCTTCGACTCCCCAGATTCCAATGCCTTTTTGACAGTTTCCACCAAGTCCTTACTCGATGTCAGGAGAGTATTGCCATGCTGCTCACCAGGCTCTTCAAGCTGATCGCGAATAGCTGCATCCAGGCCCACGGAAAGCTCATCGTATCCAACCAGGGCATCTTCGAACAGGCCGACGTTCTCGAAACCTCGTGCAAGCCCTTCCTTGAGTATGAAGAACGTACAGAAGTTCCACCCGGGAAGACTTCGCTGCGAATCTTTTTCTTTGATATCTTCTTCGTATTGAGCGACTCGCAGGTCAAAGGACGCCAATATGCCATTCTTCATCTTGTCAATTAGATCTTCAAGTTGCTCGCTCAACTCGGGTGAATTGACTTTGGCATCTTTAGGCAGACGCAGTTGTGCCACGCGATCAGTCGCTGTCTTGGATGACCCGTTAAAATCCGCCTTAACCTTTTCCAACACGGTTGATGTGCTTCGTCCCCATTTTGAAGCAGCCGCCGGCGCCTTCTCTGCCCCCTCGCCGTTTTGGACCACATGTAGAATAAGCCATTCAAATGCGTCGTGCTTCTCCTGGCTACTCCCCCGGGTGTCTGCGAAGTGCTCGATGCCCCCTGCGCCTTGATCCAGTCGCGCAATGTCTTTCGCGCAGTAGCCTTATAGGTGTCGTTATCGTCACAGCGAAGGAGGAAGACTTTCAGATACGGAGTCTGTCGCAAGCCGGGGATCTGGTGACGCCTGTGGGGGACCGCACTGGAGGGTTCGCTGGATGACTTGCGCTCGCCATCTTCGGCAGAAATGAAGCCGATGCGGAGCGATTCGATCGACCGCACGGGGCGGGCGGGCGATTTCCAATGGAGATTCTTTAGCGGGAGTTTTGATTCTATAATAGGCTGCACTGAGGAGAACAAGCCAGACGGGTCCGTGTATTCGACTGCGAGCTCTGTTAGTAGACTGACATTCCGGCCTTTGGGGTCATTGTACCAGTCACATTGCTCGAGGCCGCCTGCGTGGGGTCCATGATTCCCGCGGTTTAGGAGACAGTCAATGGAGCATGCCGATTTTCCCAGAGAACGCAGAGGTGGCAGGAGTTATGCGGTCGACGCAGTCGCGGGGTGACGCTGAAATTCAGAACCCCCGAAGGCCAGCTATGGGCGCCGCACAGGCCACATCTTGGCGCGGCGAACCGCTATATAGATCACATGAATCACTAAATATATCAAGTCTGCGATGTATATTTAATAAACTGATCGTATACCAGATGGCTATTCTGGTTACTTTAGTTCCCAGATGCTCAACATATCGGTCCCCTTCCCACTTTCATACGATCTCTCAGGTTTTACATGCAACAAACGCTTGAAGCTTCCCCCTGATGAATTATCTGCGAGGTTAATATTGATACCATCGCCTCCCGTGCCAAAATGTCCCAATGTACGCCTTTCAATGACCATGGGGGGCCCTGTTTCCGTTGGATCTTTGAAGAGAGGAAACTCTAGGCAGACTAATACTCCACCGGGGGCTAGAAGTTGTGCCATGCGCGATGCCCACTGAGAACGCATCGTCGGATGGAGAGCACAGAGGAACTATATGCATCGTTAGATAGGCCCATGAATATCAAACTGGAAGCCTCACTGTGTAGTCGTAGATCACGTCGAACTTGTTTTCATCCTCTGGGCGCGGTGCAAAGAAGTCTGCTTGTATAAAAGCAACAGTACCTCTGCTTTGAGTGCCATTCCAGCTGGCCCCGAAATTGTGATCTTGGGGATTTTGGAGCTCGCGATCCGCATATTCTTTTGCTGCCGAGAGTCCGATTTCCGAAACATCCAGACCGTAAGCATCAAAACCGTGGAGTGCCAACATGACGACATCATAGCCCCTGCCACAACCCTGAGCGCCACGGCATTTTGTTAGTAGCAGAACAGACGCCAACCAATAGAATAGACTCACAGGTACCAGAGCTCTTTTCCTTCGTCCGTCAGGTCCCGATGGAGACAGAAGATCTCCCCGTTGCTCCAAGATATCTATCAGCGCAGGCGAGGGCTTCCCTCTATCCCAGAGGGTTTCTCCCGCCTCCCACAACTTTGACCATGTGGAATTGTGAGTTTCAACGGAGCTATCTCGTCAGTATGGTGGTACTAGTATTAGTATAACCTAGCATTGTGGCTCACTTGTTCGCAAAGTAACTGACTAGGGGTGCTTTATCGCCCGGAACAGGAGAGTCCGTACTCGTCATCGTGCTGCTCAAGGAGGTGAATCAACACTAACGAGTGCAGAGGGGATGTTATTCGGAGAAAGTGGGTATTGAAGGAGATTATTGAGGGCTGAGGATTCAAACGCCGAACTCCGGAGTCATACGGCGATTATAAAAGAAGGCCACAGCGATCCCCGCAGTGTCTTCTGCTCCCGCTTAACTTTGGGCCACTATCTGCCGAATCAAGCCACCCGGGCCCAGATCAAAGGGACCTTCACTCTGACGGTCTTGGGGCTAGTCAAATGACACGCTACTCGGGAATTACTAGTATAAACCAGGCGAGGACTGGAAATTGAGATAAAAATAAAGATTCATTCGTCTATGCTAGTAGGCCTGTCAGCCATGCTCCTGAAAGCTTGAGTGTATGTAGTCGTACCCTGTCATTATACGCAGAACAAAAGAGGCAATTGCCCAGGAAATAGAAAAAAAAGGGCAAAGAAAAAAGGGGGGGGAATGGGGAAAAACTGAAAAATGAAAGATGAAAAACGAATGGCGTAGATGCCATACGCGAACGCAACACCCAGCCCCAGAAAGAGGAATGATTAAACTTATGAAAGCCCTATATAACCGTTTCCACAGCCCGCTGTGTGTGGCGAGCCTTCAAAAAATCAAAGCTGTCCGTGACGCCTTGCCAAAGCCCAGGAAGATAGTTCCGAACCCAAGCACAGATAACCAAAATCAGAAGAGGAATCTAATAAAGAAGTCAGCTTGGTACTTGATAGGGGATTAATGCTGAGACTTACCCAGAAGAAATACAAATTCCGGTCACTTCCCAGCCCCTTCATGCGTCGTGCTTGATGTTCTCGGAGGTGTTTTTGCTGCTCGCGTGAAATAACCTTGCGTCCAATAGTGATGTCCTGGAGATCAACCTTGTTCGACGGCGCATGTTCAATGGCCACAGGAGCGGTGGATGTGGATGTAGATGTGGATGCAGATGCAGATGCAGAGACGGCGGTTTGCGCCTCGAAGTGCTGATCCAGAGCCGCCTCTGTAGCGGCACGCAGAAGAGCACTCTTCTTGATCTCAGCTTCAGCCTCCCGTTCGTGCTGGTGCGGATAGAGTTCATCGTATGAGGGTGGCTGGTTGTGGGTTGAAGTAGTGTTGCCCTTCAGGTAATCCCACCATCCGTCTCCAACCGCAGGCCGTTGTGGCACTAGATTTGTTATTCGTCGCATCATATCGTTGGCTTGGTAGTCCGGCATCGCAGGCATTGCAGGCATGGGCGGCAGGGCAGGAATGTTCGGGAATGCATTTGCCACACTTTGCTGGAATTGGTTGATCTGCGCAGCAAGCTGGTTGCGCCATGCCACGATAGCTGCTGGTGGGGAGAACCCAGGTCCATTTCCGGAGTTCGTGCCTGGTTCTGTTTCCGCGATCGGTGGAGCAACATCGCGATGCATACTTGACCGACGTGAAAGACTCATCTGAAGTGCATTCTCATCCGATTCATCGCTGTCCAGCTCTTCGCTACCAACAAGTTCTTCGGAGTCATCAACTGCGTGATCCAGAGATCCCGAAGCTGACGAGGCCTCCCAAAGCGAGTTGAGAGAGGCAGAACTGCTGTGTCTGCGACGTGAGGAAAGAGAGCCAACGCTACGAGATCGGTAATGGCGAGAAGGAAGTAGAGCAGCTTGATGTGCGGGGAGAGTTGTGGCGAGGTCCGCAGGAGTGAAGCCACGAATACTGCGTATGCTGGGAGTGGCACCAGCCAAGCGAAGTCGGTTGACAATGTGAGCATGGCCGTGAAGTGCAGCCAGGTGCATCGGCGCATTGCCAGTATTGTCCTGCACATCCGGGTTGGCACCACGAGCCAAGAGACCAGCAACGAAGCGAGTCAGGCCCAAAGAAGCTGCAAAATGAAGCAGACTCTGTCCAGTAGCACTACGAGAATTGAATCGCGGTGGTCGGGGACTATCGTCCAGATCGATAAACTCAAGGTAGGTCAACATCTTGGAGTCAAGATCACTGAGTTTACCTTGAGATTCCAGCCCAGGCACTTGACGTTGGTGCCCTCCTGAAGAGCCACCTTGCATATCTTGTTGCATGCTGAAAACGGAATTTGGATCGCTACCCATGATCTGTTGAGCGGTCTGGAATGCATCTGCTTGGCTTCCCAATTTTTGACCAAGAATGTTCAGCGCCAAGCGGTACATCTGAAGCTCGCGGTCATCAACATATCGGAAGAATAGCTGTTGCTTTGGCATCAAAGGTTGCGGTTGCTGAATCTGACCAAATGTGGGGTGCTCGTGCTTGAACATGACTGATACTAGCCCTGGCTGGAGCGCAGGGGGCGTCAGACAATTCAAGCATTTATCGCCCCAAAAGGTTGTGGTTGTCGCAAGTGTATCCCCAAAAACAACCTCCATTCCAGGATAAAAGCCACTGCCCAACAACGTAACTTCTGTCCCTCCGGTGATCGAACCTTCCGCCGGAACCAACTTATGGATCACAGAAGGAAGACGAGTGGGCGTAGAAGCTAGGGGAGGCCATATCTGACCCGCAGTATTAGCGCCAAGTAAGGCAAGATTCTGGTCAGAAAAGCCGTTCCGCCCCGAGTTGCCCGGCGTCCCAGGACGACTGGGGTGAGCAGAGTTTGGTGCGGAGGTAAGAGGCTGCTGAGCCAAACTATCCAAACTTTGTCGCTGAGCGGGAGTGGGGTTAAAGAATGGGTTGTTATCGTTGCTTTGGTTGGGAGTAGGTGGTCCGTTTCCGTATTGTCCAGACATGGCCGAAGGTGTCACAAACGGGCGTTCTGAAGGTGAAGCGAACCCTCTAGCTGCCACAAGCTGTGCTGCATTGTGCATTGCTGAGTTCGATGACTGGGGAGACTCCATTCGGGTCATTGTCAACTCAGATGGTAACCGTGCAGAGCTGCTATGCTTCCTTCGTTTGCTTTGTGGGCCAGAGAAATCAGTTGGAGATGCCTGCCGCGAAAGAGTACGAGGAGTCTGCGAATTCGAAGAGAGGCCATTAGCGGCTGCAGCGAATGAACTAGGAGTCAGCTGATACTGCGAATTGAATCTTTGCTGAAGGCCCTGCAGATCCGTTGGTGACTGTGGTGTTGCGAAAGCACCATTCGCATTCTTGTCAAGGTTTGAACCGGAGGAAAAGACTCCTGCCCGGGAACCTGGGTACCGTCTGGTATAGACGGCGAAGGCCCGGTGGGTACAGGAGCTGGGGGAGCTTGTGTCTTGTGATCATCAGTGATCATGATCGAGTTGGTAATGGCTTGTGAAATGACATTGTTTAAGTGATCCTTAATTGTGAAAATGACCTGAAACCCGATCTTTTCGTTTTGATGGCGACAATAGCAAGCAATTCGCATTGGAAGCTCCACCTGCCTTGAGCCAGGGGGGGAGACTTGATGAGTCGTTGTAGTTGGTCGAGCTATTCTTCGAAGGCTCAACCCATTCCTTGATCTCGCTTGTATTGAAGACAATGACCCTCTTCTCCTCATCTTTCTGGAACAGTTCATCTTCTTCAGGTTTGCGCTGCTTCTTTCGTGAAGCACGTTTTCGCTCACGCTGTATACAACCGGCGCAAATCTGAACGTCACCACCATCTAATGGACGGTCATTCTCCAGGGACCTATCCCCTGCAGTGCGCGCAAAAGCTCGTTTTAACTTTTCTCGGTCTTGCATGGCACTTGTACACACAAGGCTTGTGTACAACTGTAGGGTGTCGGGTGTAGGTTCAGTAGAAGGGGAGGCGATGAATTTAAGTTTCGAGATGGTGTGAGACGGAAGGCGTAGCTTCTCCACGCCTTCTGGTAAGGGGGAGAGGGTGAGGCGGATAGGTATTTGGGTCTCGACGCGAGATTTGAGAGACGTTGGGTGGACTGTGAGAATAGGCTTGACCGAAGGTGTATTATCCGTTTGTGGTTGAGCAGTAGACGAGCCATAGGATGCTGGGAACGGATAGGAGGGAGGCGATCCAAAGTTCACGCTCGGTGACATTGAAGTGTGCATAGGAGATTGCCCATTCATATCAATGCCTCCAAAACTTTCTTCAAGGAGCGAAGATGGTGAATGTACCCCCCCAATGGGAAGTAGGCAGTTTTCCCTTTCCGTTGCGAAATTTCGTAGGAAATGGCGACTGCTGCTCAGGGAGACCAAACGAAAAGAACGGGGATCCAGCGGCGGGAATCTGGAAAGAATTAGAATTTCGGAAATCAGTACATAAGGCGTGTACAGCAGGCACGACTTACCGATGTATCAGTGTCCTCATTCGATTGCGAAGCCGGTGGCGCCTGAACCGTTGAAGGGCTCCATACGTTCATTTTGGTTCCATTCGGTGTGCTCGGGTCAGGGTGGTTCGAATTCTCAACCTTGAGCGGACTTGGGCTGCTAGCAGCGCTTTCGAAATCAAAGGCCGCATCCATTGCCTTATTACTCGACTCCAGGTCGGGGCCTTGACCCATAGAATAGCCGTCCATAGGGTATGAAGGCTCAATCGTAAATGGTGACTCTTCTTTCACGGAGGACAGTTCAGGGTGCATCCAATCCTCCGTCGAGAACCCGGCGGAGATAAATGGGTGATCGCTGTGGGCGACAGAATTCGTCGAGGCGATCGACGCCTGTCGCAGGTGATTACTAGGAGACTCCGAAGAGGAGCTGTGGCTCGAGTTGTCAGGGGATTCGGCTGGTGAGTCGGCTCCCATGAGGGGCTGTTGCCTTAGGGGGGTGCGGGTTCTGATAAGACTTCGAGGATTCCGGCATGGCGTTTGAGTGTGGGTTTGTCACCCGAGCGAATAGATCGTCAAAATCTCCTCCGGCAGTATCTGAGGGCATGTTGAGTTTGGCAGGATCGAGGAAGTCCATGTCGGCATGGTTAAAGGTGGCCTCCATTTCATCGTCCATGATGATCGGGTCCAGGTTCGGAAACGCGGGTGAGGAGGGTGCCTCCGTCGGTCCCATACTTTGCTAACCCCCTGAAGGCCAGTTCTCAGGAGGTTGAAGGAGGAATGCGACGTGCCGGGACTGGTCTCCTATCCGAGTACGGGTGTTCAAGTACAGATGATCGAGTTGCGACGACGTCAGTTGGGCAAAGCGAGGAAGGCGGAGCGGATGAAAGACACGGTGTTCCAGGGCAGGTCTTCCAAGACCTAGCTCCCGGGACGGCTGGTCGATCTCAAAGTGGTTGGGGATGCTGGGGTACAGAAAGTGACTGCCTTGTGGAGTCCAGAAAGGAGCGGGAAAAGTGTGAGCGATCCAGCCCGCTAAACCCGGCAGAATCTGGAAGAACGGGAACGTGCGAGGCGCGAATTCGACTTGGCCTAGCCTCCCATGGCCTTTTTACAATTATTATGGAAGGAAATTGCTCTGGGGCGTGCGTGCTATTGTCAAGCAGAATTAGAGGTGGAGCTGGGCCTCGGAGCCGTTTCTGTCTACGATTCAGCAGGGTCTTCCTGTTACACTGACTCACGGCGGAAAGTCTACCTTATTATTTCACGACAAACTTGCCCAAAGTAGATTAGCTTGGTAAACCCCATACACTTATATTTTACAGCAGATAACTACAGGATCAACAGTACACCAGATTGGTCCGTACAAGCTTCGCGGTGGCTATTCAAAATGATAGCAAATGATTATGGAGATTGAACTTTGGAAAGTAGTATCTAATTGTCTAGAATGCCTATGCATCTAATGACACAATTTAGGCGAGAATCGGTTGGCCCATTTCCTTGTATGTAAATAGACAGTAAGGTATATACGAGGCTAGTGGCGAATAGGAAGGAAGGGGCGCTGGTTTAGAGGCCTCGTGTTCAGCGATCCTTGGCGCCTCAGGCTACCATCGAGCGGTGACCAATGTAGGCGTTACCCGTAATACACAAGCATCACGATGATTTGTCCATCTCCTCCCTCACATTTGAGGTCCGTGGGCGCAAGGTATACGTCGAATTATGGACCCTGTGTGTTGGCCCTGGGGGTTTCCAAGATTGAGAGGGGTCAACATCTATCTGTACTACCTATGCAATTCGTGCGACTGTTCAGGCTAATTGGTAGACTGTAGAAATGTGAAAGCAGCCCAGCAGTGAAAGCCAAAAAATGCGACGCTTGCATTGCTCATGGAAGCGCAATATTCCGAAGTAACCCCTCTTAGACGGTCTGGGCTCGCTCAGGCTTGCGAGGCAAACTTAAACAGCATCATAATCCACCCTGGGTTGACCGGAACCTATAATAGCTCATCCTTTTTACCTTGTCTGAGTCACCATCGCACTAGCGCACATTGTTTTTGAGGAGGGAGATAACTGAAGCCCCCGGGGGGGACAAAGGTACGCTTAGGCGAGTCTTCCATCGGTTACAACTCTGTCGCCATCTGATTAACACCTCTTTATGGATGGCTACGCTTGGTGGGGGATAATTTGAAGTAAGGAGCTCGGATTTGCTATCGCGTTCGTTCTCCAATATCTTTTAGCAGGCCCCCCCGATCAATTGCCGCTTCGCGTTAAAATCAACGGAAGTAATAGACTCCCGTCATCTGCGCCACCCGGGCACTGGAAGGGGCTCAAGCAAAGTTTGAACTCGGCTATGGGCTCGCATTGGAAGAAGCTGTGTATCTTGTCGGCTCTAGAGGCACTTTTATGCCGCTAATTTGCGATGCCATCAATTGACTTTCCATATAACTTCTAGTGCCGATAAAAGCGTGCCCCCGCTTCCGCAACTGTACTTGGCAGCAAGGCACATACGCTATGCAGTAGGTCTCGAGAACTATCTCGTCCTTTGTCCCGGCACAATATGCCCTGTGTTTGCTATCAAGGGCGCGGACAGAAGTCCGACCGCTCCTGGGTGCGCTCCATTCCCGCAAGAGGATCATTGCTACTTTCCCTTCAACCCCATCTCAATAAATGGTAGAAGGTAATTACCGTTTTTGCACATCCCACATCAGTCGATCTCAAGTTCAGCGTAGGGAATCTTGAAATGCACTAAACCAGGCCCAGGTTTGCACGCCACTGCTTCTCGGGCTGTTTGATTCTCATTGATGCAATTATACGTGTCCATGCAGCAAGCGGCCGAGCCCGGGGCCTTGAGAAGAAGTCTAGATCATAGCATGGATAATCTTCGAATTGCACTAGGATAGGTGCGGCGTATCGGGTCCACCAAATGTTTCAGAATAATTCTCCGTGGATGTAGCCCCCTCACGGGAGCAACCTTCGTCTTGATTGCTGTCAGGGCGGATGGAGAAATGATCAACCTCATGGGTGCTCCTTTCTTCGCATTACGGCGAAGCAACATCCAGAGAGCATGTTACTGAAACCCCAGCCAAACTGAAGATGATCGAATTCTGGACCTGTCCCCCTGCTCATGCACGGGCCACGACTTTTATACTGCTTTGACAGCTTAACGGCTTTGCTGCATTCAGAGTTTCGACTAAAGTTGCCATCGAGACTGTCCCAATGCTTTAAGGGAGATCTAATCATAATGGACACAAAACAAGCAGGCCACAGTCACCCAATTGCCGCTGAGATATAACTCTTGGCAGGAGACCAAGCTTCGAACTCCTCGACAGCCATGGCCCTCAAGAGGGGAGTTTTTAATGAACTCAATGGACAAAGCGCACGTCAAGCGACCCATGGACGTCATCTTCTCTGTACGGTCTCCCTGTTATACCACCGAAGGTGGGGTGTTCAGCCGGGTGGCTGAAACCTTGACCGTCGCAGAAAGCCGCCCAAGACCGACAGCCTCTTAATGGCCAATTTGATCGAAGCGCCATGCTCCTATTCTCTTTGGAAATACATATGTTGATTATAATCCCCTATTATGGTCTCTTGGCAGTCTAAAGGTCTTCCTCTTCATTTACCTGCTACTCTTGAGCTCCGCCCTTTCGGTTTAGACATGATTCTCCACCTATGAACGACCACGCATCGAAACGAGAATAATTGAGGCCACTGTAAACGTCGGATAAATCAAGGGAAGACAGCCATGGTGGAAACCACGCGAGCAGAGTGGAGACACAGCGTTCTTCCGCCCTGAAGGATGGGCCTTGGCGTTTCCTCTTGAAGGATGAAGAAGCAGTATATAAAGACTGCTTGGGCCAGCGGCATGGTGCTTAATCCTTCTCGTATCATCAGTTTTTCTCGTTCCATTTTTTTTTTTCAAGGTCTAGTACCCTTCCGTTCTCTTCGCCGGGTTGACTTCATTGATTGAAGTCCCCATTCACTCATTTCTTGTTCGCGACTACACTTGTTCGTGGACTCAAAATAACGCTGTGCGTTTTCTTCTCCGCCTTCACAGGAAACAATAGAAAAAATGTCCTTGTCCAAGATTTCTGGGCTCATCCTTGGCTCGGCAGCTTTGGTGGCTGGCCACGGCTATGTCAGTGGTGCTGTAGTTGATGGCACGTACTACGGTGGATACCTTGTCAACCAGTATTCTTATGAGAGCAACCCCCGGAGGTCATTGCTTGGTCCGAAGATGAGACTGATTTAGGCTTCGTTGATGGCACTGGATACTCGAATGCCAACATTATCTGCCACAAGGATGCCAAGCCCGGCGCTCTCGAGGCTTCTGTCAAGGCTGGTGGCGAAGTTGAGCTCCAATGGACCGACTGGCCGTCAAGCCACCATGGACCAGTCATTACCTACCTGGCCAACTGCCATGGTGATTGTTCCAGCGTGGATAAGACCTCATTGGAATTCTTCAAGATTGCCGAGTCCGGTCTCATCAACGATGACAATGTTCCCGGCGAGTGGGCAAGCGACAAGCTCATTGCCAACAACAACAGCGCAACTGTCACCATCCCCAGCAGCATCGCATCGGGAAACTACGTTCTACGTCATGAGATCATTGCTCTCCACTCCGCTAATAATCTCAACGGCGCCCAGAACTACCCTCAATGTATCAACTTGAAGGTCACTGGTGGCGGCAGCGACTCTCCTTCCGGTGTTAAGGGTACTGCTCTTTATAAGAACACCGACCCTGGTATTTCAGTCAACATCTACCAGTCTCTGAGCACTTACGACATTCCTGGGCCTGCTCTCTACACTGGTGCTGCATCTGGCTCTGGCGCAAGCGCTACCTCGGCGCCAGCTTCTGTTGTGGCTACTAGCACTGCCGCCCCAACTGCAGTCTCTACTGAGTCTGCCTCTTCCTCCGTCAGTGTTTCCCCAGTCCGGAGCCCTTCGCCAATCCCCCCCTTCCTCCAATTCTACGATTCCTCGTCCCTCCTTTAGCCGACGCCCTTCGCGTCCTTACACCTCTACATCCCTCCCTGCTCCTGTTACCACCTTTGTCTCTGCACCCGGTGAACCTGACCAACCTCAGGGGGGCTACTTCCACCGTTGTCGACACTTCTTACGCCTGGACTACTGAGCAGGTCACTGTTACTAACACACCTGTGTTGCAGACCCAAACCCCTAAGCCCAATGAGCCCTCTCTTGCTACCATTACTGAGACTGCCACCGCAGCTCAGCCCACCGAGACATCTTCCTCCAGCTCTAGCACCGGCACCAGCTCCGACAGCGGCTCTGGCTCAAGCTATGACGCGAGCTCGTGGAACTCCTATCTCAGCACTCTGAGCGCCGACCAGCTTCTCAGCTTGGTACGCTCAACTATGAAGTGGCTTGTGACTGATCAGAAGCACGCTCGCGATCTGTCGAAGTAAATTCGCAGGTGTGAGATGAAGCGGATGGACAAGATGGTTGGCGTAGATGAGAACTAGTATCAGGATCTTTCCTGTTCTGGAATCTTGAGGGTCTAATCTAGGAGGCAATAGGTCTGTAGATTAGGTCTGTATATTCTTATTTCTTTTCTTCTACCTCCAGTAATATGGAGGTGAGAGGCACCTTTATAAGGATGCTTCTTTTCTGTTTTCGATTGAATGGAACTTGTTGGGCTTTTGCTTTAATTACTTTTAAGACACTTCTCTCACTTTCAGTTTAGGTCTTCGTGGGTCTTCTGGCTGCTATTCTGCGTTTGCATGCGGACCAAAGTTGGTACGCGTAAACAAGAGATACTCTTTGCTGTTTTTCTCTCACTGTCACCTCCTCGCCAACTTCTTCTCTTACCACTCTCTCTACCTTACTCCTTCTCCTATCTCTCATCTCCACCTCAAAAACCCTACGTATCCATCAACTTGAGTATGCCTTCATTGCCCCGCTCCCTCTTCTTGCGCATACGCGTTATCATCTTCGCGTCTGCTCAGTACCGTCACTATGATTGCCGATTTCCAGTTGGTCATCGAAGACATTTCCCACCTGCCTGAGATTAGGCTTTTGTTAACGCCATCATAGCAAGATGGCTTCTAAAGGGTCCTATGGCCACCTCAAAAAAGAGGGGTCCGAGGTCCCCGAGGCGGCGTCAACTTCTGAGCCGACTCGCGAACTCGCCCACGCCTCCATGGGGGGATAGACGCGAGGGCGAGCTCGGCCCAGATGAGTTGGCGTCGGTCTTCTCATTCTGCCGGCCCCGCGACCTTCCCCTCCCCCGTGGACTTCCTTCCATGAAGGAGCCCGACCGGATCTATATCACTTGGGAGGGCAGTATCATTCTCGAGTGGACGGCGACTTCGTGCACTCCGGCCACTGTCATGACTTTCAATCCGGTGCACGCGACTGAAGCTAGCTCGAACCCAATTCAGAGCTTCTTCGCTGGGGAAATAGGGGCCATGCGATTCGAAATCGGTACTCTTGAACAGCCCCAGGAGGTCCTCCTCCAGGGCAACCTTCACCACGGTATCAACGCCCATGGCCACACGTTGAATGGGAACAGCGTTTATGGAAGTACTACGAATGGCTATACGATTTTCGGCAGCACTACCCACGGCAGATCGGTTTTCGGCGACACCATTGATGGAAGCACGGTCTACGGTAACACTGTGAATGGCACGACGGTGTTTGGAGATACTACCGAAGGCCAGACCTTCTTTGGCTCCCGAGTTCGTCGCAATGAGCTCGTGCTCTACATGTGAAGATCCGCTGGAGTTGCATTTAGACATGGAGTGTATCTCAAGGAAGGGTGATGTGTACGGTATGAGAATTTGCGGATGTTTCAAGTCTGTTGTGTAGTCTTCTTTCCGTTTGCTCAAGAAGCTACGCATCCCGGAGGGGCTCTTTTAGGGTCCTCTCCCCCTCCCCCGCCCGACCTGTTTTAATTCTTTCGTTCACATGCTTTCTGGCCGAAAGAGATCGGTTTTAGATGGCCAGTGTATAACTATTGATACTCCGGGACTCAACGGTGGCCGCTGATGCAAGCCGTAGTATGCTTCCGTACAACTTTAGAAGTCCAGTTCATGCCTGGATACTAGTACATTCTATTTATACCGGATTATAATGGTATCAGACTTATCGTAGGTACTCGTTTTAACCGCACAAGGCGATTCTAGTACGTGTCAGCTCTATACTATTATTGCATCATCATACTTCCTGCAGATTATCTAGTTAGTGGTGCCTACTAGTACTATTATGCCTACCTTCTCGGCCATGGTCTATTTCATAATTCTCGTATATTGGCTATGTTATGAAGATGGTATTCTAAAAGTATATTATGGAGAGGGCGTACTAGGCTGCTGAATACTCATAAATCATGACTGTACTTTGCGCGACCGAGGATAACACTGATTGCTGCACAATTAAACCCTACTTGAGTGGTTGGCCATATTCTCTATTCATCATAAATCAGCACTTACCTACCTCTAGGCTTTCCGGAGCCATTTGAGGAAAGCCTTTGATCCAAAGGGGAATGACGTCTCTTTTAGGACGCGGCCTAGACATCAACAGCGTGGTTTGATGCTCTTCCATAAATATCCACTTGATACAATCTTCAACTGCAACGTAGAAAGTTCAACTAACAAACAAACTCTCGCTACTTTGCTAATCACCTCTGTTAACATTACTTGAGATGTCCCTCCGTCGTGAAGAAGAGGCTGACCTCGAGGCTGCTGGCCATATCTATGATCTGCAGATTGCCAGATTTCTGGATTTCCAGACATCAAGCTCCTCGCAACTATTTGACATAGATGGTCTTCTCATCACAGAGGCTAAAATGCGTGAGAATACCCAGCGGGAGGTGGCCCTCAAACATCAGCTTGCAATCTTCAAGAAGAAGGTCAAGTACAAGCTGCCCTTCTTCAAATCTATCTGCATTGATGCTCACCTATTTGATGAAACCTTCGCCTTGGGTGAGCATTATTGGTTCCTGGAAAGACGATGGGCGAGGATCAAGGCTTCACTCGGGGACATTCCGTTCTCTCGCGGCATTGATCTATGGAGATCCGACCCGAGATGGTACATGCACCGTGCTCTGCGTGAAGACTGTGCCACCAAAGGAGGATGTTGCGGGAGGATGTGTGGATGTTGCCTTCGTCGTGAGAATCTCGAGAAGCCATTCGCTGGCGGCCATTGTACCGTGGAATGCTACTGTTGTAAGAAGACTCAAGGACGTCAAAGTGGGCTTCAACGTCTTCGACATCTCCATCATCAACAACAGGATGAGAGAGGCTTAGCATCTGGGCTGCAAAAGAATGAAATTTCGAATCAGATTCGGTACGCATCGTTGCTCGGCCTTATGCCTGGGAGCAATGACAATCCCTTCAACCTCATTGACGATGTCCATGTGCAATACGGCCGCCCTCTCTCGATAAATGGGCATGTTTTCAAGCGGTCATCAAGAAGCGAGGCTTTAGGAATTTCCCATACTTTTCCCTCGCGTGAATACCAAGTTTAGCAATTCCTGTTTCAGTTCAAGACTAAATTTGGGCTTCGTCTTGGTTTATCGTCAATGTTACTAATATCATTATCTCGTTACTCTTCTAGATCAGAGGCACCATTACTATTCAATAATAATTCATGTGCATATAGTCCATGACTCAAATCTCGTAATGAAGACTATACCTGTAGCAATAGACATGAGTCACATTGATATACAGTCCGTTGACGTGGGCTTTCGGGTCGATGTGGAGAATGCGCGGGTATTTTTGGATTTTGAGAATCTTGTCACCTTCACCTCTTAGGCTTGCGAGCATCTAACGTCCCTCAGCTTATTTCCTCGTATCCCTATAGCTTTGGAGAAACACCAAAGCTATCTCGAGGACGTTCCTGAACCGGTGCCCGCCATGTTCAAGAAAAAGCCCACGGTCGGTGATCTCCCCGCATTGCCCCTCTGAAGCTATCAGCTCTCTCTCACCATGAAACCGACTTCATCTACAAAGACTAGTAAGCTTTATTTGTTGAGACCCGTCTGACATTTCCAATAGATCAAGAACTTGTCGCCTTTAAGGTCATCAGACAGAAGGAAAATCGCCGACCAGATCATCAGCGACTACAAAATTACCGTCCCCTCCAACCCCGCAGAAGCAGGCCCCGACACGCCCAGCACAACACCAACCCTCAGCGCAATCCGTAATGCCCTCCTCCCCGACAATGCACAAACGGCCCGCTTCACCACGACTGCCGGCCCGGAGCTGAAACAAGTACAGGGAATTGTGTACGTTGGCGCGCATCCAGACGAGGAGGAGCGGGTGCTCTGGTTCAAAGTGGAACAAGGCCCCGGGTCAGACAAGCGCATCTACCCAACGGTGTATACGCTATGGCGCAATGCCGACTTAGTCCCCCTGGTGCACACCCCGGAGATGGTCATGCGGAAGCTGCAGGGTGGAGCGGACCTTATGACGCCGGGTCTAGCTAATGAGCCTCCGTTCCCCGAGCGTGCGGTCAAGGGGGCCGTGGCAGCGGTTGCGAGCTTGGACAGGCATACTGTACCGCTTTTTGTAGGGGTATGTGAGATTGATGTCTCTGCTCTTGGTGAGGTCCAGGGGTCTAAAGGCCACGCCATCCGTGGGCTCCATTGGGCGGGTGATGAGTTGTGGGCTTGGAGCTCATCACCCCGGCCGGGACGTCCTGCGCCAGAGTACTTGAAGGGCTGGGATGAGGATGCGTCTGAAAGCGGTGGGATTGAGGGGGGGTGGGAGAGCTCGATCTGACTGGAAATGACGAAGAACCTGCCAGTGCTGATGTTGACGCAAATGTCGATGAGGGTCAGGATGATGCTGAAGAGCCTGTGAAAGAGCCTACGACGAAAGGTAAGTAAACTCAGCGTAATGTGAATGAGGTATCGGGTTCTGATAATAATGTCCAGAGGTCGATGATGCTTTTGTCAACGCTTTCGTCTATGCTCTTTACAAGCTCAAGCAGGACAACCCTACAGCAGTTAACCACGCACTTACATTACCCGTGTCGCCTTCGATATTGATATCCAACCTCATTACCCCCTACCTTCCGATCTATTCCGCCAAACAGGCGCCATTTTACAACATCAAGAGAACTAGTTGGAAGAATGTGAAGAAATTCATCAAGCATTTGGATAAGTTGCAGCTTGTCAAATCTAAGGACCGAAGTGGCCAAGAGACCTATATTTGGGACGTTGATTTCAATGACCATCGAGTTGAGAGATTCGTTCCTTACAAACTTCCGTCACGGAATGTCCAAGAGAGCGCTGGCAAATCATCCGCTGCTTCGAGCAGTAACAAACCCGCAGCAGCAGGCGAGGATCCGTCAGTCGGACAAGTCATTACGGTGCAAACTCTTTACCGACCGACGTCGAAGCTCATGCCGGACATCTTCCCAACGCTTTCTATTAGCGATGCCCAAAATTATTACAAATACACCGATGCATCGAACCTCTTGGACCAATATCTCCAATCACAAGATCCGCCTTTGGTGTCCCGCGAGAACCGCCGGATCATCAACCTAAATCCATACCTCGCAAACAAAGTCTTCACGTCATCTTCACCTGATGACCAAGGAGCATTGAAGCGTGGCATGGTCAACCGCGACGAGCTTCTGAATCGGATCATTGGAGACAGCTCCTTGGTGCAACCCCACTACGTCATCCTGAAACAGGGCCAGACCATTGCAGATGTGAAGCCGAAGGCCGGGGCTCCACCCAAGGTGCTTGTCACGATCGAAAAGCGTAATGCTAATAAGGCATTCACTCGGGTCTCTAATCTGGAGGTCTTTGGTATCATTCCCTCTTTATTGGCCGAGGAGCTTCAGAAGAAGTGTGCGAGCAGCACAAGTGTCTCGCAGGCTACCGGGGCACCAAAAGGTGTGATGGAAGTCTACGTGCAAGGAGATCAGCGCAAGATTTTGAACACAGCGCTTTCGCGCCGGGGCCTGCGCAGCCAGTGGATTGACATCAAGGATAAAGCCAAGTCGAAAGGGAAATGAACACATATCGAGATCTCTGGGCCTAGACTAGGCTTGAAGATGCCAAGAAGATTGCAGGTCTTGACATGAATTACAAGTAGTCAGACTAGGTGTAGAGGGTAAGCCGTACTATGCACTTAATTGACGGAGGAACGTATGAAGTGCTCTCGAGAGCCGTTCATGGGCAAAATGCCCCTTCTCCTGGCCAGGTTAAGGCGTACTATTGAGCCGAACATCTAAGGCGCGCATAACCGCGTCACCTACAGAGGTTCCACTAAAGTGGATACAAGTACTGAATCAATTCTTGAGAGAACTGTACGTAAATGGTAAGTGTCTGTAGGTAGGAACTGCTGGGGGGCTTTTGGAGTTAATAATTAGGTTCCTAGACGGGTGTACATCAGAAGGCATCGATCATGAAAAGCACATACTGCCTCCGTGCGCATACATCATTCCTCCAGCGGCTATACAACTAGTACCACATCTATCTAAATTTACCTATCAACATGAAGCTCTTCCTAAGTTAGGAAGATCACCAGGTCGCTCAACTGAACCGCATCTTTTGCAGAGCTCTGCCCTTGACCCCTCGTCCAGCAACTTCTCCGTGTCTTCACATCGGCCCTCTCTAGCTGCATTGACGATTTAGCTTTCGGTAAGCCAACTCTTGAGAAGTTCTCTTCCAAGCTGGGACTGCCAATGATCTTTGGGCAAGATTCGATTCCGAATGTCAATGCACTCGGCCAAATTTTCAATTGCATCGGACTTTTTCCCCTGTTCCATTTGCATGCAAGCTATGTTCTGCAAGCTCCGCGGAGTAGCCGGATGGCTTTCTCCAAGTGTCCTCCTTTGGGCTTCTAAAACTTGATAAGCCAGAGTCTCGCCCTCTGCAAGTTGGCCTCCTTCGCCATAGAAAACGGCTAAGTTGCTCATAGATTTCAACGTATCGGGATGCGCTGGCCTCAGATCCTCCTTTCTGATACGGACGACCTTCTCTTGCAGGTTCATGCTCTCTTCTGAGTGCCTCAAGAGATGTAGTACCCATGCCAGATTATGCATAAAATTAAGAGTTGTAGGATGTCTCGGCCCTAATGCTGAATACTTTTCGCAAATAATGAGCCCATCTTTCAACATTGCTTCCGACTCGGATAACCGGCCTCTACTGCCATACGCGGTCGCAAGATTCATCATCGCTTGGATGTGATAGAGATTTTGTAGAGGAGCGACCTCTCTCCAATAATTGAGAGCCTCTTCGGCTAGCCTTTCTGCATCTGAAAAACGACCCAGAGAATGGTAACTAAGGGCCAAGTTCGATTTGGAGGCAACTGTATCGGGGTGGTTGGGGCCGAGTATCCTGGTCCTTGTCGCAAGGAGCTCTTCCCCCAACTCTTCGCTTTTTTTCCATTTCCCCCTCAAATGATAAACAAAAATCAAGTTGCCCGTGCTCGTGAGAGAAAGCTGATCCTTGAGGCCGAGCGTCTTTTTGCGAACCTCGACCGCCCTTGCGCCTATCGCCTCTGCTTCCTCCAATCTACCTTGCAAAACATAGACATGGACCATGTTGCTAAGTATGGTGATTGTGACCGGGTGGTCTTGACCGTGGAGCTTCTCACTGGCTGTCAAGCCTTCTTTGGAGAGATCCTCAGCTTCACTGTGCCGACTGAGGTTCATACATATGAAGGCAGTGATTCTGATAGAATAAATTGTATCCTCGTGATTTGTACCAAGAATCTCTTTCCTCGCTCGCATTGCAGTCTCGGAAAATTTAAGGCCAACTACGAGGTCGTCTGACATTGAAAAGCTGGCCGCGTTGCTTAAAAGGTCAGCCCATTGACAGATATCACTTTTAGAGGCCGGACGGTGGTTTAATGCTGCTCCGACATGTGGAAGAAGCTCTTGGCCTAATCTCTTGCTCGCTGGAGTTTTTTGGTCGGAAGGAAAAAACCCCCAATAGGCGTTGAATAAATCGAATGCGCCATATTTCAGCATCCATCGTTCTGTCTAGCCATTGCCGCGTTGCAAGTTGCACCAATCGGTGCATTTCAAAGGAAGTAGCGTCCTGCCCAATGGAAACGAACGAAAATTCTCGTAATACCAGAATATCTTCCATAAAAGAATCCCTTTCAGCTTCAAGGCTGTCTTGTTGGGGATTCGTGGAAAACTGATTTTTGCATCGGCGTCCATAGCTCGTCCCACAGCCCCTTTGAGACCAGTTAGCCACTTGGTTGCTTTCGAATGGCGGGGCTCGTCAGGAATACGAAGCAACCGCTCTGGGATCGCATGTCTATCAAAAAAGCTCATGAGAGCCAGAAGATTCGCAGCAGACATTCGAGTTTCTTTAATTTGGTTAAAGGATAGCTGCCATGTAATCAAGACAGAGTTGCTTGCCTCCCAGTCTCGATCGTAGTTGTTTGCTTCATGTGCGAGCAGCTTGAACCTTAAACTATCGTTCCTTTCGAACTCCTCGATATATTTCTGGATTGAGAACAGTGGCGACCGTTGCTTGATGTATGCTGCTGCTTGTATGATGGCAAGTGGTATGAGGTCGAGTAGTTCTAGAAGCTTTGTTGCAGCTTCTTTGTCCTCTGTGCCGAGGTTTCCACCCAGTTTTGCCTCAAGTGGCATTTGGGCATCCGCATTGTTCATTGGCTGAACCTGAATATGAAATTTATCATTGACGAATCTCTCGGCGACCGCTTTCCTTCTAGTTGTCATAATGATAGAGCCGCTGGTATTTGTCGGTATGAATGCGCGGACGGGGAGCATAGAACTTCCGGGACCGTTGTCAGAGTATCGACGTTCATGGAGAAAGGAATCGTCGTCGACGTTATCAAGAACCAGCACCCATTTGTGCTTTGGATCTTGAAGCCAATTTAACACTGGCCTCATGAGGTCGGCACTAGAGCCTTGATTTCTCGTTATCTTGCATCTTTCGGCGATCTGGTGATAGCTTTGCTCGAACCGCACCACGTTACTTGCGTGGCACCAAAAGACAAAGGTATCCGGCGCCTTCTCCCGAACGCGATAGCAATATTCGACTACCATCTTGGATTTTCTGCCTCCAATACCGATATTAGCTGACTTGTCGGACAGTCGATGATGATACAAGAGACGGTATCTCAGACGTACCCAACACCCCCAAATCCGACCACGGCTAGCTTCGAGCTTGGCTTTGAACATTTCTGGTTGATCTTCTCGAGCAAGGCTTCTCTCCCGACAAAATCTGGATCCCGGTCGAATGGGACATTAGAGAAAGGCTCCGGTGGTGTTTTAGGACGGTCACCCCCCTAGATGAGATTACCAGTAAGCCGCAGCCCTTCCAGCCAGATGTGGTGCTTACCGAGATAATTCACATAAATGCTACCAGTATTGCTTCCCACTTGCGTTCCAGTGTTTTCAGTGTGCGAATTGCCAAAGTATATGCTGGTTGACATGTTGATCCGCTCTTGGGCTAGGGGACTCGGAAGGCTGGGCTCTTCGTGGTGAGGCTGAGGGCCGCCCCCGCATCAAACGGGACTTTCCTGGCACGAGCGTATGGGCCTCATCATGCGAAGCACGCTCGTACTAGAAGATGGATGTTAATAATGTCCCGAATCCGCGTAATTAATATGTCATACATTTCACAACCCTACTAAGTCTTCTATGAGGTATACAGATACTGTAAAAGCTATGATCCGCATTAAAACCTGTATACCCGGCATGGGACGGAAGGAAGAAGGCTCAGGATCCTAGTATCACTCGTGGGGCGAACTCGAATGAAGCTCATGCTACCTAATATATGTGCATAGTCATTGTTACTGACCGGAGAGTGTATCTAGGCCAATCGTCTTCGCGCCCACAAATCCATATCGGAGATATGCCGACGATCCACCCCCACGTTCTCCGTCGCCATCAGCCTGTCTCGGCGCTAAAACAACCCATGACATCCCGCATCGAGACTTTTCCCTTCACTTAGATCCTACAGCAACCCAAAGTCTCCTTTTTCCTTTTCTGTTTAAGGACTCGACGGCAACCGCTGTAGCATTATGCCCGTCTACCACATCGGTATGCCTTCTATACCCTCCCCACCTGACTCCCAATGCGGAGAACCCCCCCTCAGAATTCCAATACCTCGAGCGAGCTGCTAACAGGGCCTAACAGTTCTATTTCGCCTGAAACAAGGCGTCACTCAGGCTCAATTAAGCGCCTGGGCCGAGAAAACCAAAGGGATGGTGGGGCAGATTCCAGGTATGTTGTCTCACGCATCGGCGATTGCCTTGTTTGAAGCGAATGCCGAGCCCAAAAAGATGATAATAACAGATGACTGACATTTTTCACTCTTATTGACAGGCCTCAGATCAATTGAGGCAGGTCAGCCTCTTCCGATCAGTGTCCCTCGTGCGAAAGGATTCGATATGGGTCTCGTGGCCATTCTGGACTCCCCAGAGCATGTTGCTTCGTATGCGACACATCCGGCTCACTTGGAGTAAGGACGCCCTTTAACAGAGCTCATTGACAGACGCTAATGAGACTCCGCAGAGTTCATAAGATCCGGGAGGAACTGTGCGAAGACACCCTGGCATATGACTTGGAGTTCTAACCGCATATGTGTTACTGGCAGCAAAACCAAGAGCTAGCTGGAAGCATGGGAATATGGATAATTTTGCCTATGATAACTCGAAAGCATGAATCACGTCCAGATCATAATTTATCAAGCAAAAAGAAAAAAAAAGAAAAAAACGCCGGAGGGTCTTTCCCTATGTAACTTTGCCAAAATGGGTGGCCCGTTCCATAATACTTTTATAACCCGCCCAATGACAAGAGAACAAAAAATGGATGATAGGAAAATGGAGTCAAGTCTCAAGCACCGTATTTACTCCTTAGCATCAACCTTCTTAGCGGGGTGATCGCCGTTGGCCTCTTCCTCGCGAGGACGTTTCTGGCCCGCGTCAGCGGTGCTCTCGACCACAGGGACACCACTACGGCAATGCAGTTAGCGAGGTGGACAATCGCAATTTCATGAAAATATTTTACTAACCGTTCATCCTTCTTGGCCTCGGCCTTGTCGTCCTTGAAACCGTTCTTCTGGTCATCGGCACGGCGTTCGCGCCAGTCGCGGTTGTCATTACGGTCACCACGGTCGTTGTTACGGTGGTTGCCGCGACCACCACGGCCACCACGACCGCGGCCGCGGCCACCGCCCCGACCACGGCTGGGCTTGACATTGCCAGACTTGATCTCCTCTACCTTCTCGTCACAGTACTGCTTCTTGCTCTTGATAATCAGATCCTTGCCCTTCCACTTGGGTTTCTCCGGAAGGTCCAGGAATTCCTTTTGCTTCTCTTCGGTGGCGAACTCGACGAAAACACTGCCCTTGAAACCCTTGTCATCACCACGACGCAAGCGAATAGCGTTAATTGGTCCGTAAGGAGCGAAGAAGGCCTCAATGTCATACTGGGTGCTGCCCTCTTCGCGTCCAAAGCCCTTGGCGTAGATGCTGCGGGCCATGGCCTTGTTCTCAAAAACCTTGATCGAGTCATCGTTATTCTCGGGTAGAGGGACCTTACGCTTGACGGCGGTGTCGTTGTCAGTCAACTCGAGAGTCTCGGAGGTCTTGAGAGCTTCGACGACAGCGCTGAAAGGCTGGAAGCGCTTCATACGCTTGAACGAGTGGATGGTTTCAAGGGGAACGGCATTGTTTTTGGCGCCGTCAACCAGACCCATCAGGAACTTGTCGCTAAAAAGGTTGGAGTCGGAGAAGTAGAACTCGACCTATTCGAGTCACATTAGCGGGCGCCTTTGAGAACGCGACGGACGGCAAAACTCGATTTGTACCTGCTTGCGAATCTGCACTGGGTCATCGGTCTCTTCCAGAGTGGACGGGTCGAATCGCGCATTGTTCATGTTGCGGCGGGGACGGCCACCATCGCGCTGGTGAGGCTTTTCTTGTGACTTCTCAGATTTCTCGCCCAGCTTGGCGGCTTCGGCGACAATACGCGCTTCGTCGTCCTCCTTGGTAGCTCCCTCGGGCTTGGTGTTCTCACCCTTCAGTTCAGCGAGGACATCCCGGACGTCCTTCTCGGCCTCCACGTTGGCGGTAGGCTTCTGTTCGTCAGACATTTTAAGCGGGGTGGTTCGCGCAAAGAACGCGAAAAAAAAGGTATCGGCGGGATGAGATAAAGAAAAAAAAAGAAAGTAAAGGCGGGCAACGGCTTTGGCAGGTTCGTATGACTCAAGATAAATTCGAGTCACTGGCGGGTTGGCGATTTATGCGAATCACCAATTGATCCAACCAATTTACCTCCGAAAATGGAAATCTGGAAATCTGCAAGAGGAACAAAGAGAAGGCTTCGACCTGAAGCTGTTGGAGTGAATTTTTTTGGGGGGAGCTGTCGGCCCTGCTGCCTCAGGCGATGACGCTAGCCCCAATCAGGTAAAAGATCTAGACAGACACATTAGTACATATTTCCTGCTGGCCTGCTGCCTCATCGGATTCATTTCTTTGAAAATTTTGAGTATCGCGTAAAAATTGTATGATTGCATGCATGAAGTGATATGTCTTCTATTTTTGAGGTGCCTTTGGTGGTTTTGGGGTCCGAAACATGAGCAAGGGCTGCAAGGCTATTGTTATCAAGCAGGGTCACGCCTGCCAATCTATGCGATGACCTTTTTGCATCTCCATAGAAGCTCCATCAGCAAAGCTTCCCAAATAAACTTACTCCAAGAAGAGCAAATATCTCATTTCTTTACGCAGCATCGTTCAAGTCCCTTCATCTCATATCCGTCGGCAACAAACATGGCGACAGACAAATGGCCGGCCAAAGATGTAAAGAAAGCCTTACCATGTATTCCCCTGAAGTACTGACATTCCTTTAGATTGCGTATTTGGCTGTGATCGGACCATTCATGCTAGCAGCAGTTTTCGAGTGGCTCCTTTGGCTCGCAGCATTCCTCTTTTGTCTGGTCAAAGTGTATCAAAAGGCTGATCACTGGAGCATCAAATTCCTGGCAGCTGTCATGGCGGTCCTGTTCACTTTGCTACGGTAATGCTAGGCCCTCCAGACCTGTCTCCGGAGGTACTAGTGTGAGACTGATCCTTCTCCAGTTTGGCCTTCCTTCCGGTCATGCTCTTCACATTACCGCTACCCGCCCGAGCAGCACAATATTTCCCGCAGGACGTCGTTAATGCCTTTCAATTGTTCGCGTTTTGGTCTTTTTCGATTCTCCTGATCGGTCCCTGGCTTTTCTGTGTATACGGGCTCGTTGTGAATTCGATTGGGCGAAAGAAAAGGATCCAGGAGGCCTTGGATGATCGTACTGCTCCCAAGACGGTCGTGGTGATGCCGGTCTACAAGGAAGAGCCTGACGTACTGATCAAGGCAATCGACTCGGTAGTTGACTGCGATTACCCGGCATCTTGCATACATCTCTTTCTCTCTTGGGACGGCCCCATTGTGGATGAGACATACATGCGCATCGTTGAGTACCTTGGCCTTCCAGCATCCCAGAAAAGATATCCTCAAAGCATCGACGTGATTTACAAGAACGCTCGTATCACTGTTTCCCGCTTCAAGCATGGTGGTAAGAGGCATTGCCAAAAGCAAACCTTCAAGCTCATCGACAAAGTCTACAAAGAATACTTGAAGAGACATGACGATCTTTTCGTCCTATTTATCGACTCCGATTGCATTCTCGACCAGGTCTGTCTACAGAATTTCATGTATGATATGGAGCTGAAGCCGGGAAACAAGCATAATATGCTTGCGATGACGGGTATTATTACTTGTACCACTGGTAAAAACAGCCTCTTGACGATCATCCAAGATATGGAGTATATTCACGGGCAGCTTTTCGAGCGCACGGTTGAATCCGGCTGTGGAGCGGTGACTTGTCTACCAGGTGCACTCACTATTTTGCGGTTTTCTGCATTTCGACGAATGGCTAAATACTATTTCGCTGAGAAGGCCGAGCAGTGCGACGACCTATTCGATTTCGGCAAATGTCATCTTGGCGAGGACCGGTGGTTGACCCATCTGTTCATGATTAGTGCGAAGGGACCATACCAGATTCAGATGTGTACGGGTGCCTTCTGCAAGACCGAAGCAGTACAGACGTTCTCAAGTCTTTTGAAACAACGTCGCCGTTGGTTCCTGGGGTTCATTACCAATGAGGTCTGTATGATCACTGACGTGCGGTTATGGATGCGATATCCGCTATTGTGCTTGGTTCGGTTCATGCAAAATACGATCCGTACGACGGCGCTATTATTCTTTGTCCTGATCATTGCCTTGGCCACAACATCGAAGCATGCATCCGATCTGCCAGTGGGCTTCATTGGAGTCTCGCTCGGGCTGAACTATCTTCTCATGTTCTACTTCGGGCTCCAATTGAAGCGTTATAAAGCCTGGCTATACCCCATCATGTTCATCATAAACCCAGTGTTCAACTGGATCTACATGATGTATGGAATTTTCACTGCAGGTCAGCGGACCTGGGGCGGCCCACGAGCGGATGCTGCAGCTGCCGATGAGAATACTTCCCCCGAGGAAGCTGCTGAGTACGCCCGGGAACAAGGTGACGAGCTCAATGTTAATGTGGATACATTTCGCACCAACCTCCACCGTCGGCGATCTGTTCCGATCCGTCCCCCAGAGCGCATTGAAGGACGATTTACCCCAGCCGCGCAGCTCCTTGATGGCTTCTACACTCATGCCGAGGGAAATTCGCTCCCTGATATGCGTGGCCTTATGGCTCCCCGGATGCCTGGGACATTCCGAGACTCACTTGAGTCCGTTCTCAGTGCATCATCTGATGGTGGTCACCCTAACCCAATGGCAGTAACTCGCAACATGGAAAGGTTGATGAGCGAGGAGGATCAGCAAAAGCTGTCTGATGCCAGACAGTCTGGATTTGCGAGTGATGTCGTTTAAGGGCTCGTTATCAGGCCATTACCAGCAGTATTCGTTAGACTTTGTCTCTTCCTCTCTTTTTCAGAGTATCATTATTTTTGAATCCAATCCAAGTGACGTCAATACTGGTATTCGGAATCCAAGCCAAGGCCCTGACCTTTGAATGTGACAAATAATTTGTTCTGGTAGAGGGATAACCAGAATAGGGGCCCCAGAAGGCACCAGGCATCCAAAAAGCCTCACCTCGGCATTGGTTCTTTTTATTTCAATTCAGGCGTATGACATGAAAAGGCCCGCGTCTGCGTACACCAGTGGGACCGATGGGGTTAGGGTCTAGTTAACTACGCAGTAGTTATGACACACGCGGTTCCAAGTGCTTGGTGCCAAGTGCTTGGCGGTGAACGAAATGATTTTTCTGCGCATCTACCCCTAAGCGGTGAGTGTTGCCCAGCCAGTGACACATCGTGGAAGTTCTGGTCTCTGCTGGAACTTTCGATGGCCACACAGACGCGGATGCCAAAAGTGTGCCCGTATATAGTCCCAGTATTCATCGTAGGCTTGCACAGGATCTCTTTATGAAATTTTGAAATTTTAGTCTCTTTTTTTCTCATTAGCTTTTCTGTCCTCTGGACTTGATACCCAGCTCTTCTTCACTTCAGCCCCGCCAATCAAGTGGAGTGGCGTGCAAATTCTCCCCTCCAAAAGTTCTTTCTCACCTTCCTTGATCCTCTCTCCCGCAATCTCCCAACTACCCCCTCCTCGATCAATCCACATTCTCTCCTCGCCTACAATGTCTGTTGTCGGTATTGATTTTGGTGCGCAGAGCACCAAGATCGGTGTTGCCAGAAACAAGGGCATAGATATTGTGAGTTTTAGCCCCGCTAAGCCCCGCGCCTCCATGTGCGCGGTGATATTGGATCGAACAATGATTAACTGAATGTGTTCTTCTTGGTATAGATCACCAACGAGGTGTCTAACCGTCAAACTCCGTAAGTTAAAGCCTTTTGGCAGGAACATGGGCATCCAGCTCCAGCTTTCAGCTTCCATTTTTCATTTCTGAATCTCGCTGACTTTTTTTTTCTGCCCAATAGCTCCCTCGTCGGTTTCAGCGCTCGCAGCAGACACATCGGTGAGGCCGCTAAGACACAGGAGACCTCCAACCTCAAGAACACTATCGGATCTTTGAAGCGCCTCATTGGCCGCTCTTTCGACGACCCCGATGTCCAGATCGAGCAGAAGTTCAACACCCCCGCCATCATCGATGTCAATGGTCAGGCCGGTGTTGAGGTTAACTACCTCGGAAAGAAGGAGAAATTCACCGCGACACAGCTGGTTGCTATGTACTTGACTAAGATCAAGGACACGGCCTCGAAGGAACTGAAACTCCCTGTCTCTGATGTCACAATCAGTGTGCCTGCTTGGTTCACCGATGTCCAGCGCCGGGCTATGATCGATGCCGGCGAAATCGCCGGTCTTAATGTTCTCCGCCTGGTCAACGACACCACCGCTACTGCTCTCGGATACGGTATCACCAAGATGGACCTGCCCGGCCCTGAGGAGAAGCCTCGCCGCGTGGTCTTCGTCGACATTGGTGCCAGTGACTACACAGCGACTGTGGTTGAGTTCCGCAAGGGTGAGCTCAATGTTAAGTCGACCGCTTACGATCGCCACTTCGGTGGTCGGGACTTTGATTTGGCTCTGACCGAGCGCTTCGCCGATGAGTTCAAGGAAAAGTTCAAGATCGACATCCGCACGAACGGTAAGGCCTGGTCTCGCACCGTGGCCGCTGCTGAGAAGATGAAGAAGGTTATGTCTGCCAACCCTCAGGCTCCTATGAGCATTGAGTCTCTGATGGAGGACACCGATGTCCGCGCCATGGTCAAGCGTGATGAGCTTGAGGACATGGTCCGCCCCCTCCTTGACCGAGTCACCGTTCCCTTGGAGCAGGCTCTCGCCGAGGCTAAGCTCACTGTTGACGACATTGACTACATTGAGATGGTGGGTGGCTGCACGCGTGTCCCTGCTATCAAGGAAGCCGTCTCCAAGTTCTTCGGCAAGAACCTTTCCTTCACTCTCAACCAGGATGAGGCCATCGCCCGTGGATGTGCTTTCTGCTGTGCCACTCTCTCCCCCGTTTTCCGCGTTCGGGATTTCGCCATCCACGACATCGTCAACTACCCCATCGACTTCACCTGGGAGCAGTCTCCCGATATCCCTGATGAGGACACCAGCCTTACCGTCTTCAGCCGTGGCAACGTGATGCCCTCGACCAAGATCCTCACTTTCTACCGCAAGCAGCCCTTCGACCTGGAGGCCCGCTACTCCAAGCCCGAGGCTCTTCCCGGAAAGGTCAACCCCTGGATTGGCCGCTTCTCCGTGAAGGGCGTCAAGGCCGATGCTAATGACGACTTCATGATCTGCAAGCTCAAGGCCCGTCTTAACCTGCACGGTATCCTTAACGTCGAGTCTGGTTACTACGTTGAGGACATGGAAGTTGAGGAGCCCATTCCTGAGGAGGGTGACAAGAAGGACGGTGACGTAAGTTTTTTTTCAATCTTCTGGCATCCACAGGATTATGTACTAATGTTTTCTAGGCTATGGACACCGACAAGCCCGAAGAGCCCAAGACCCGCAAGGTTAAGAAGCAGGTCCGCAAGGGTGACTTGCCTATTGCTTCCGGTACTGGCGGCCTCGATGAGGCTACCAAGGCTGCGCTCCAGGAGCGTGAGAACGCCATGTACATGGAAGACAAGCTTGTCGCCGAGACCGACGAGAAGAAGAACGAGCTCGAGGCTTCTATCTACGAGCTTCGTGACAAGATCGACGGTGTCTACGCCGAGTTCGCCAGCGAAGAGGAAAAGGAGAAGCTGCGCGCCAAGCTGATGGCCACCGAGGTATGTGCACTATCAACCTATTTGAGTACTCGTCGAAACACCAACTAACTGGGTTGCAGGACTGGCTCTACGAGGAGGGCGAGGATACCACCAAGTCCGTCTACGTTGCCAAGATGGATGACATCCGCTTCATCGCCGGTCCTATCATCCAGCGTTACAAGGAGAAGATCGAAGCCGAGCGCGAGGCCGTCCGCAAGGCTGAGGAGGAGGCCGCCGCCAGGAAGCGTGCCGAACTCGAAGCTAAGAAGAACGCCGAGGCTGAGGCCAAGAAGGCCGAAGAGGAGGCCAAGAAGGGCGCTGAGGGCGATGCCGAGATGAAGGATGCCCCTGCCGAGGGTGAGGCCCAGGGCGAGGCTGAGAAGCAGTAGATGTCGAATTTGCCTCGCTGTTGATTCTCGCTCTCCTTTCAAACTGGGCTTCCACTTCCGCAGTGGATGATTGAATATGACGCCCGTATGATGACGAAAAGGGTATGTTTTTAACGGATCTAGACCCGATCAACTGGCCCGTTGGTCAAAGTTTTTCATTTTCCTGTTCTTAATGGCCTTGTCATGATGTAGATCGTTTTCTTCGCAATGAATAGATGAAAACAGTCATATATTGGTCCCTGTAATACCATCAATTATAGATGGCTTGCTACCTTGGTGCTTTGAGCAGCATCAACCAAAAAAAAAAAATTGAAAGAGCATATAGTGGCTCCAACGTAAAGCCTCTGGTCTTCATGTATAATGTCTATTTCTCTACGAACCGCTCTATGATTCCTCTTAGAAGTCTGTTCCAAGTCATATCTCGTCGATGTCCCACGGTTCTCCCCTTGAGTTCCGACCTCAGAAAGGAATCCAAAACAATCGCACCAATGGAAAGAATACTCCCCGGATACTTCATCCCCAGATTAGAAGCCTGATCTCCATGAACATCCACAGCCAAGAAAATTAGCGTCTATAAGCGATCTAAATCCAGGAATCGAGGAATAGTCTGCCGATCATTTGTTCATGAACACTGTAAAGCTACGGCTGGAGTTGAGGGATCGGAAGCCCTTGAATCTGCGCTGTAGGACATGATATCCGACTCCACGGGTTTACGACAATGATCTGGGATTAAGATCAAGTTCGTAAATTGCTCATTTTGTTCCTTCTGTTCATACAAATGTAATTCCCAAGTGTAATCAACGAGGCATAGCTCATGGCGGGTGATTCAGCACTGCTACTGGTATGGGGGAAAAAAAAGTTAGGGATTGAAAATATTCGGCTTTTGGAGTAGAACGGCAATGCCTACTCGGGGATACTGCATTGCCGGTCACTACTCGTAGTCTATTATTATATACATCAAGTCCCGCGAAAATGCTATTTTTCACTTTTCTCCTGGGCGGTCTGCCGGATCTGTTCCATTTCCCTTGCACATATTGCCCCGTACTTGCATCGACTGCGGATCGCAGCTCCGTAGTAATAGAACACAAAAGGCATTGGCATGCATGCTAAGGACAAAAATGCCGGAATACTCGAGGCCCAGTGAATCCCCAGCCCCGCATACATGTACCGGGTGAAAAGTGGGAAGATGCCGCCGAAGCTGTACCGGAGAATGGACATGGCCGCAAGCACCGACGCCGAGTATAACGTGTAAGAGTCGACGAGGTAGTTGACGATACCAAGGTAGATGAGAACGAGCCCGAAGCCGAAGGGAATCATCGCAGCCACGCTGGACAGCCAGTGGATGGATGGCGAGTTTGTCCACGCAAACCAGAATAACCCGATCGGGACCGTAACGGCAGAGACCATGCTGGGCGGGAGTCGGGCTTCCGGTGGCGGGAACCCGTTGTGGTTCTTCAGTGTCTGGTCGTATCGCTTATGGTCCCAGAGCGTATAGAGTACGCCGCTGCAGGTGCCTATCAGCACGCCAATGAAGGGGAGGCCGGCGACGCCCTCATTCCAGCCGCGTTCTTGCTCGTATACCACGGGGAAGGCATCGAAGAGCATATAAAGCGTGCCGTAGATAAGCGCAGCATAAAAGGTGAACAGAAACACAATGGGTTCGCGGATCAGCAAGATCCAAGGCCGTGAGAAGATGGTCTTCAGGCGCGAGACCCACTCCTGTTGGGGCTTGCCGATATCACGGACACTCATGTAGCACTTGCCGGTCTGTTCTGACAGCTTCAAAGCCCGTTTTCGAAGTAGAACTGGCGCATAGGTTTCGGGGAGGAAGAAGATGAGAAGGATCCATACCAGACCGGCCAGGGCTGACAGAAGGCCTTCTACCCATCGCCATCCTGCGTTCATTGACAGGAATCCACCAATACTGGGACCGAGGGCAGGACCTGGTTTTCGAGGTTCTGATTAGCATTGACGTTTTTGATTCATTAGGACAAAGGCATACATACCCGCGTAAGGGGTCGCAGCAAACAAACAAAGTGCTAATCCTCGCTGTCGGGCAGAGAACATATCTGACACTACTCCTCCGGAATTACTGAGGGGAGAAGATCCAAAGACTCCGGCAAAAAAGCGCAGGATCACGAGGGTTTGGATATTCTGCGCACCGGCACAGCCTGCTAGGAAGGCACTCATGCAAAAAAACGAGATAAAGAATGGTATCTGTCTGCCAATATTCTCGCTTAACGGCGCCCAAAGAAGTGGCCCTACGGAGAACCCAATGACGTATAACGACAGGCCCAGCGTGGCAACTTCGTCGCCGACCTGGAAGTGCGCGGTGATGCTATTTAGACTCCCGCTATACGCCGACGAAGCCAAGGACACAGCCAGAGTCGCGAAGCCCGTCAGACACGTGATGAAGACTTTCCTCGCTAAACCAAACCGCATGGGGTCGCGAGGATCATCCGGTAACCAGGTCACCACGAATGGATCGCTTTCAGTTCCTGAACCGGCATACTTATGATCCAGAATCTCTTGTGTGATCACGCCTTGGTCAGACATCAGACGCCAGTAGGAGATCCTCTTCGGATACACAACCGGCGCCTTTGCGCCATCCTGGCCTGCAGGATCATGCATGTCCAGGGGGTATGGGGAAACAACCCCAGCAATTGCTGTCACCTTCCATACTTTAAGTACCTCTGGGGGCCTCCAACGTCTTCTCGGAATCGCCTTAATTTCGCCGAAAAAAAGCGGGCCAAAACGGCCGAGGCCCACCCGGATATCCGGCACGTCAATCAGGTCTTTCGTTCCTGAAGGTTGGGCAGTCGCACACTCGTCCGCAAGTGGCGAATTATTGCATGCTTTTCCTGCTTCTCATGTGGGCCTGGTCGTCATCGTGGCCCCCAGATTTCTACTGCGTAGACTTGTGCCAGACCTCCGAGGGTGGACTAATTGAACATAAATCGGAAAAAAGGTCCGTATAAAACGGCCCCGAGGTGTGGGTCTCCCCGGTCCTCATCGTGAAGTGCTCAATGAACGAAAAACAAAAAAAAAAAGCCGTCTACAGGCTATAGGCTATGGCGGTATTAGGAAGAGAAATTTGTTTCCCAATAGGAGAGCAGCATGCATCTAGCATACTAGAACGTAAGCCAAAACAACTTATAGATATCGATCACGCTGTTCTTATAACAGCCCTCTAGCTCGCTGTTCTGCACTAATAGCATGTTCTCCATAGGATATCCATGACTATTAACAAAATGGGGCCAATCATACTGGGGCCTCCACACTGGCGATTGCTTAAACGCAAAAGTAATGTGGTCGATGCTACTCCGTAGAGCTCGATGCAAATGAGTAGCCTTGAATATACCGGCCAATCATATCACGAGTCCTCTGTTCAGTATGGAATCTGCCAACTGTTAGTTCCACAGATCTCAGACTATCCACGTAGTCCTGTTTGCACCCAATCGTCCTCTTCAAGTTCCCTCGCAGAGCTCCGTTTTCCCGGCTCCCACTGTAGCATCTTTCGCACGAGGCAAAGAAACTTCTCCTTTTCCTCTCCCTCAAGAGTCGTTTCCCTCGCTTCGAGTGGCGTGTATTCTGGTACTGGGATTCCAGCGCAGAAGTTACCTAGAAAGTCAGACACAATGAATGATTACCCTTCTTGTTAAGAAGTTGACTTACCTTCCTTAAAGAACTTTCCGGTTAAATCCCCTTGTGCAAGAAGACTCGGCGGCGGTGGGCCGAGAAGGCTTATCATTTCGGCGAGATGCGCTCGACTCCGGTAGGTCTGAAATTCAGGATCCCGGCCCGAGAACAGGGACCCGCCTTCGAAAAGGTCCCAAATCTGGTGATTTAACGTCTGCACCACTAAGATGGGACTAATCACCTTACCATACATCCCACATTCCATATATCAACACTGTATGTCCAGGGAGCTTCCAGAATTACTTCTGGTGCCCGGTAGATATCAGGCTGAACGTCTTCCGTGTGCTTCTCGTCACCGAATACGGCCGAGCCAAAGTCGCATAGGACCGGGGCATCCAACCTCTTAGGCATTCTAAGCTCCCGGGAAACATAGATGGTCCTTCCGTCTAGCTCTTTCCCTGGAGAAGGATCCCGAAGCTCATTCTCCTCAAAATCACTAAAAACCGAATCATCGTCGATGCCAAACATAAGATTGTCGGCCTTGATGTCTAATGGAATTGTTCAGTTAAGAATAGAAGCAGAAGACAAAATGGGGAGAAATACCTGTATGTATAATTTTGCATTCTGTATGGAGATAATCTAGGGCCAAAAACAGACAGTGAAGCACAACCACCAAGATTGTTGTAGGCAGTCTCCGGATCGGGTTGCGAAACAGGAAAGCCAACACACTCTCCCATAAGGGAGGATGCACAAGGCATCGATGTTTCTCTTCAGGGCCATCGACATCAAACGAGTCGAGCAACGACCTGACATATTCACGACCTGGATGGTTTTGCGAGGCTCCTTCTATGCGTCTGTATATGTTGAGTTCGTCATCCAGTTGCTTCCCCAATGATGCAGAGTTGATGAACATCTTGAGAGTGACATAACGACGGTGTCTGTGCTTTCAGTTAGCAATCGACTATAATATATCTATAAATATACATTCCATAGGCGCCTCACTCTATATCCCGCACGAGCCACACAGTTGAGCTAGCTCCAAATCCGAGCTTTCCCACTACTTGATATCGGCTTTGAAGGATTTCTCCTATTTGAGTAGGATAGTACCGGGTAGCAACATAACCTGGGATGGTCTCCTCTTCAATTACCTGGCTTACAGGTATCCGAACGAAATTCTGGTTTGAGAAATTAAGGGGTTTCCATCTTCGTCCGAGCAGGGGTAAGGACCGTAGAAGAGACGTTACCATCTCTGATATGAGGAAGCAGGTTTATTGCAGAACTATGGAAGAACTCAGATCATTGGTGGAGGTAGTGGGGGATGTGGGGAATATCGAGATAATTTTGGATGGTGGATGCGCTGGTAGCTCTCAAACGGGACGACAGAAGACAGATCGGCAGGTCAGGTGACTGGACTGTGTACGGCGTCGATATGGCGTTTTTCGAGGGGCTGATAGAAAGGGGATGCCTGATGAAGGGTATCCTGGGCCCGATTGGTATTGTAGCGCATCCAAACAAGGGCCAAAAACCATTCGGTAATGCTCAAATTGAATGAGAAAGGGTATATAGATGTATTACCATGGGTCCAATACTGTACAAGAGGCCAGCTCTGGTGGACGATTGAGTAGAAAGTCAAAAAACACAAAATGATAACGCTATGCAATCCGACAAGGAATCCTCAGGAACTGGACCAAATAAACCAAGAGTCTGCTGTGCATCGATCAACCCCGAGTTGTCCTAGAAGTGGATCATTAATCGAGATGTTATTATTCCACAGGGACTAGAGCACCTACGCTTCCTTTGAGATCTCCACAGCCAAATGATCAAGAGGGTCCGGCTCATCGCTCTTGCCAGCAGCGCGGCTCGTAGCCGGGTGGGTTCCATCTTCCGCACCCGCTTCGTCTTCGTCTCCCGCGCAGCCGCAGTCATAGAATGCGCCCAGGTCATTACAGTCGAACTCGGGCTTGTCGAGCATCACATTGACCTCGTTGTGGATGAAGCAGGCCCATCCGGCAGCCGCTTTTCGTGACGATACTTGGGGCGGATATTTGTTCAAATGCTGTTGGAAGTGCTCCGCGCATTCGCCGCTGTCACACCGTTAGCCCATCGTCATGTAGGTCCGCTGTAGTTTGCAGGGTACAACAGGCAGGGGATCGTACCATGGGTATAGCCGTGCAAAGAGATATATGTAAGAGCGCAGCGCATCTTGTTCGTCGGTCGTAGGTTTTTCGGGGAAGCGTGCCATCACCGTGTGGAAATACTTCCATGTTGCGCGGCCTAATTCAGCTCTGTAGAACAGCACGCGGCCTTCAGTTAGCTACCGTTCGAGAGCTTCTGAACTTGAAGAGCCATTCAGGGCTATGCTTGCTTACTTGACCGTTTCATTCCCAAGTCTGGGCATAACCACTGCCCCTTTCAGCAGGTCATCCTGGATCACGATTCCCGGAGCGTTTGTTGAGGGATGAACGATGTGTCCCGGGGCGCGCACGGCTGGACTCGGAGGCCCTTGGGGTCGAATAAAGAGGAAAAAAAGCAGACATATTGAGAGGGCGCCGCTGACGACGATGCGTCGCGCGATTTGCCGGTTCGCCATGCCGCGAGACTCGGCGGGGCGGTTTGTCGCAGGAATGTGCGTTAATCGGGTCCGCGGGTAAGCCGGCCGCTTGAATGAGCGACGAGTCGGTGTCTAGGGGGAAAAAGGGCTAGCTGAGGACTTTGGAGAGAGTGGAAAGATATGTTTGAAGGGATTCGTCGTCTCCACGTGTCGCGGGCAACAGCTTAGTCATGACGTATTCGTAACTAACTAAACTAACTAGTTAACAGCCCTGGTGTTGAACACCGCCATTATTTATTTGATTAGCTCAAAGGTTCAGTAGAAAGTATATCCTGAGTGTGAATCAAAGGCTACTCTCCCAATTACAGCCAAATTATCTTGGTTTCCAAGGTATTCGTTGCTGTAAAATTGAGCAGTCGCAAGACAAGAAGAAGAATAGACAATGGTTACTATCTAGATCCCGGCTGGATCTGGACCACTTCTTACTAGCAAATCCCATTTATTCTAATCTATACCAGAAACATAGTCGCAGTCGGCCTAAGCACTGTGACGGGCGGAAGCACGCCAGAAAGAATGTACAGTGTATTCATTCGCCTGGATGCAATGGCCATCCAAGCGCATTGCGGAATCATGCATGCAGTGCCTCGACGGAGGCTAGTGAATCGCTCATGCTAGGGGGTAAATCTTCTTTCTTGGTACCCCAATCACTCTCCTTGTCCCCTAATGTCAATTCAAGCGTCCAACCTTGGGTGAAAAACTCATGGCCGATCCAGTTCTTATTGTAGGGCTTGCCATTTAACTTTGCGCTCTGGATATAGATATTCTTGTACGAGGAGTCAAAATTGACATTCCGAATCGTTGCCGTCTGGTTGGTCTCGGGATGGGTGTACTCGACGGACTGAAAGAAAGGAGGGGCGATGAGATAGACGTTTTGTCCTGCGTTGGGGAACAGACCCATCATACTCCAGGCGAGAAAAGAGCCCATGGCACCGGAGTCATCATTTCCAGGGAGTCCGTCGTTGGTGGAGTTGAATTTCGAAGGGATATAGCTGTGAGCTCGGCGAGCAGACAGCGCAGGCCGACCGGCATAATGATACTCATAAACGGTCAGGAAAACAGGCTCGTTGCTGATGTCGGCAAGACCGGATTCGTGGAAATAGTCCAAGCGGGACACGAATGAGTCGGCGCCACCAAGAAACTTGATCAAGGCTGCCATATCATGTGGAACGTAGCTATAGGGCTGTTAGCATACTGACACCGGAGATGGTAAACATCAGACACGTACAAGAGATACTCCCAGACACTGGATTCAAAGGTCTCTGATGGATTAGAGGTCAATGAGCAGAAATCTGTCAGAGGGCTGCAAGCAATAGGGTCCTGGTAGCCCCATGTGCCATTAAGATACTTGGGCTGGAAGAAACCAGTGAATCCCGTATCGGTGCCATTCGTCAGGATTGACTTTTGATCACGCTTAAAAAGATTCTTCCAGTTGTTGGCTCGAGAAAGATAGGTCGTATAGTCTTTCTTGCCCAGGCCTTTGCCCACGACTGCCACGGAATGATCATTATAGGCATATTCTACCGTCCGCGAAATACTGCGAGAGTTGGTGCCGAATCCTAGATAATCGAAGTCGAGGTACGGGATGTAGTGCAACCTCTTCCAGCTCTGAAGACCCCCGCGGCCTTCGTAGGACCACTCTAGGGGCTCGTTCTCTGCGTCGTTCACCAGTGCCTTGTAGGCCAGCTCCCAGTCAATACCAGTCAAGTTCTTCACATATGCATCCGCAAGGACAACATCCGCATTAGAGCCACCCTGAGTCCAGCCCTTGCATAGGCTCATGCGACAGTCTGGCAACCACCCTTCGTGCTTATACGTATCAATCAGACTGCGAACCATCTTTGACTGTGCGCGGGGATCCAGAATGGTGAGGAACGGATGCTGAGCGCGGAAGGCATCCCAAATACAGTAGAATGAGTCGAAATACGGCTCATCGCTGGACCATAGGGGGTTCTCCCCCGTGAGATCCTGCGGTGAGAGCATGGTGTGGTAGATACCAGTCCAAAAACTGCGGAGAATATCGTCGCTTACTCCGCCTGGTGTGACTTTGATTGGGCTAAGTTTGTCGCGCCAGGCGGTCTCAGCTGTACTTCGCAATGCGTCAAAGTCATTTAACGGATCTGAAATCTCCTCTGCATTTGAGCACGCCTGGTCGGAGCTGATATAACTAACGCCCACCCGTGCTGTGACGGCCCCGTTTTCTGGCCGATTAAAGGTGACAAATCCTCCGGCTTGAAGATAGAAGTTGTTAAACCCTCTAGTAACGAATATCTCTTTTGGCTCAGACCCGGCGCGATCATTGACCCAGATCCCACTATCACGAACCGTCGCGCCCGAGAAATCAGCGCAGAAATAGGCCTTATAACTCCCTGCGCCAAAGCTCGGTAGAAAAGTACCGTTGCCCTTGACACGGCTTGACTCTCTATTGATGCTGATAGATGCATTCTGTCGGGTATCGTAAATATCCGTCAGATCAAGCAAGATAGTCGGATCCAGCGCCGTGCCATTCTCAGTCTTCTCTTCAGGAAACGTGAACCGATACAGAGCAGCTCGCCGCGCAGATGTCATTTCCGCGCGGATGCCATTTTCGAGCGTCAGTGCAAAGTACCCCGGCCGGGCCTCGACCGAGTCATTCTTATAATGCACAGCACGCGCAGCCTTCGGAAACTTGCAATTGTTGATATCGTTGTCAGCGCAGTACTGCGGAAACAGCGGAAACTGTCCCATTGACGGATTTCCACCGGTACCGCTATCATGCATGTGTGAAAAGCCAGTTACATTGCTCCCATCAGTAGAGAAGCCGCCTGTATTCTCGCCATCGACGTCAGCGACAGGTTTGGCAAGGCCATAAGGCAGACTTGCGCCCGCGAAAACATTGCCGCCATTTGTCGACCCGATCAGCGGATTGACGTATTTGAGGTCATCTCTCGTAGCTGTTGCCGGGGAAAGAGCTCCTAACAGCACGAGGGTGATCCCCAGGACGCGGGTATGCAAGGGGAGCATGACACTGGTACGGAGCCGGAAGCTGGTTAAGGCAAGTGCCTGGCGCGTCTGGCTTTGCTGACCCGGCTGTGTGGTGGGCAAAGGTGGGAGAATAAGCAAGCTGGTTAGGAATGGGATGTTACCTTATCGGAGCGCAGCGTCGCATTGTTAATTTGATCGACAAGCGGATCATCCTTACAGCGTTAGCGTAATCTGCAAGGGCCACCGAGTTTGCGGGGTTAAGTGAAGGGAAATGAGGAAACGTGAGCTTTGATGGAGAGCCCGGTGTATTTCATTCCGAAAGAGTGATTCGATGCATTCAAGGATCATAAATAAATCGAGCTATGGAAGTCCATTTTTGTGCCACCTCGGCATCACCCGCCTGTCCTTAAGAAACATCGTTAGGATAGGGCTGAAGAAAGCCCTGCGATAGAAAATGCATCAATAGAAATCATATGCTTCGAGAAAACCGCCATGGAATCGTAAAGTGAGTAAGATCATGAAGCTATTTGGCAAGAACTGCATAGCGGAGCAAGACCGGAAGCTTATCAGTTAGAGATCATCGTGCCCTTGTTTTGCTTCTTGCCGACGTCGTAATTCTTCCACACCGCGACGGCCGGAACGAGCAATACAAGGACACACGTCGATGCAATGCAATTCATGCGTTGGGCATACCCCCAAGCGTATACACAAGCATCGCGAAGGGGAGACCCAACAGGATATGTTTCCTGCACTCCGATGCCCGCGGTGTAGATTTGGGTGGCATTGGCTTTGAGGTCTGGCGGTAAGTGACTCGCCAGCGCCTCTACAAACACATTGTTGTAGATTGAAGCGGAGACTGCGTAGCCGATGGAGCCACCAATGCTCGAGAACAAGCCGATCAATGCCAGCATCAGCGGGGTTCCTTCACGACCGCCACAGGCCATGACGGCCATATCCTCTCCAATTACCAGCGTTCCACCACCAAAAGCAATGAAGATCTGGCTCATGATGACGTATCCTATGCCATGATCTTGTCCACGAAAGTAGATCATCAATCCAGAGCCAAGAAGCATCAGTGGCACTCCGAAGAAGAGACATATGTACTTGAACCGGCGCGTAAAATAGATAACAATTCCCAGTATCGGAGACCAAAATGTTGACCCGACATTGTAGATTTGCATCATGTAGCCAGCCATTGTCGAGTTCAAGTGGTAGGTAATTAGGACGAAGTTGTAGAAGTATTGATCCCACAGGTAAAAACTGAAGTACATGACAGCAGAGCAGGTGCAAGCACCTAAGATCGTAGGCTGTTTCATCAGATCATATTTGATGAAGTGGGTTCGGGTCCCCCACTTTTCCCAGGCAGCGAATACGAAAAGCATGACGACACCCACGGTTATTTGAGCAATGAAGGTAGCACTGTGATACTGGGAGCGTCCGTATTGTGCTAAGCCGAATGGCAAAAGTATAAGTACCCAAGCTGCCATGAGAAGAAACGCGCCGATGACTGTTCAAGTTAGCTTTTGAGAATCCGGAATGCTGGACGTAGCAGGCACTCACCATCAAACTCGTGGAAATAATGAACGATAGATTGCATCTTCGTCCTTCCACTTAATTGACGCTCCCAGACTCCTATCTTCACAGCCTTCCACTCATAAAACTTGAACACCAGAGCCAGTGGGCATATGACTGCAGGTTGGATGATACAAAACATTCCATAGCCCCAACGCCATCCACAGAGTAAGCGGATTGACGTAGCTGCCAAAGGGCCAGTGAACGCGGTGCATATGAATGGCGTTGATGCAAATGCGAACGCAAATGCCCTCGAGCGCAACCCGGAGGTGTCAGCCACAAAGATATCTAGGACCAGGTAGATACAACTGTATCCGATCCAGTAGAGCACATATCCAGCAGCAAATGCACTCGGGCCATTACACGCGGCCAGGATAATCATTCCTAGAATGTATATTGTCGTAGATACCAGCAAAGCCTCCGCTCGACCCCAAAGGTGCAATGTCTTGGCAAGAGGCAGCTTGAGAACGCCGTTGATGACCGAGGAAAGGATGTAGGCGGTCGAGACTTGAGGCGCCAGCTTGAAATCGGAGTAGACAAAGTTTATCAGATTGCTGCTGATCGATGAATGAAATGCAAGCATAAAGAAGCATATCCAGATCCTTCAAGTTCATTTTGGTCAAACAACGGATGCTGTAAGCAGATAGACTTGTATACTTACCAGGCGTATATGCCGAACACAGCCGGCTTACTCCAAACAAGAGCGGCAGCTTCAGCCCTCTGTTGGCCAAGACCGACCTCCGTTGTGACGTGGTCAGGATTCTCCGTATTGTGCTTTTCATCTTCCTCAATGCCGACGGGCTCTCGCGAATGGGCGGGGGCGGTCGTGTCTGTGTTCGCGTTGGGATCGGTGGGGGTGGTAGTCGATGGAGCAGACTTGTCAGGAGCACCCAAATACTCCTCTATGCCTGTCAAAGGACCGGTGGCTCGGCCATCGTCATTCCGATCGCGAATGGGATCGAAGACGCCCATGGTGACGGATCTAGAGATCTGCACCAAAGGCCCTAGGCTAGCGAGGAGCGTCTTCAGAGGTTCATGAGGACTGAAGATGTTCGAGGAGAGATGGAGGAATCCTGATTATGGGGTAAATGTTTGATAGATGACCGGAAGCAAGGATTACCTAAATCCAGCTCTCCACCTTGAAGCGTGTAATGGAGTACAGTGCGACAGAAAGGTGGACTAGAATCAGATAAGCTGTGGGGCGGATCAGATAATCATAATTACAGCCAATCAAGTCTCATTAGCAGCCCCACTACAGAGACCCCGGATCCCAATAACTTGATATAATTGGCTGATGTGCTGTGGTCTTACCATTATAGGACTAGCGCATTTCTATTGTCGGCGTCGCAATTACGACTCTGTCCTACCGTTTGCAGAGGCGCGCCGAGTACTCCACGGTTTATGATGCATGGATTACGAATAAGTTCCGAAACAAGAAATTTTATCCCCCAAAACGTGTCAGCTTAAATTCTACGAGCACTATGAAGCATATTGAACTAGGCTGCTCAAGACCATAACTCGTTACAACCAGAGCGCGGGTACTGAGAGAACTTTGAGTATAAAACGCCATGATATGTGGCCTGACTCAGGCTAGCCTCTTTAAAGAAGTTGTGACGCAATATCTTCATGTACCGCAATCATTCACAAAAAACTTTACTACCATTGATAAGCTGAACAACAATTTTACATTCATAATAAATATTGCCAGCTCTACAATTTTCTGGTGTAGTATCAGACGATCTGCCATTAGTCAAGCCGTGGCAATACTAACACATAAAGCTCAACAGCATGTCGATTCGCTGGGGGCTTGGCATGCACCGTTAGAGTTTCACCACGTGGGCTGTAGAGGCAGGTAAGCCCGTCATACGTCTTCTCTTCGACTCTGAGACCTGCATCAAGTGTCCATGCAACGTGGGGACGATCTTCTCAAATACATAGGAAGCACCGTCTTCCAATTCCATCATACAAATTTGGATGTCGGCATTCGGGCCTGGGTGGTCGAAAAAGTGCCCAAGCTGCTTCATTCTAACGCCATCGGAAACTGGGAAATACTGGAAGGCGGACGGATGTAGCAGAATCGGTTCATCGTAGCCCTCGGGGGGGAATTCTGAACTCTCTGCCTGTCTGCGCCAGATACTGTTGCTCATAAATCGCCTGGGCGGCATCACACATCGTCTCCTGGCCAGTGACTGCGTCCTTCTCATAGTAGATGCCGCCTTCAAGACGACCCTTAGAATTAAGATTCTTGAGGGCCGTTTCACGGTGTCGTGCCCATTCTGGACCAGTCTGGTGCTCTCCATGGAATCCGAATTGAAGCAAGAGGCCCACCCCTTGGTCCTTGCGCTGGGGGCCGTAAAAAGCACCACGGGGGAAATATGCAAGGTCACCCTCGGGGATATAGCGACCAGGCGCATAGTTAACTATTCCAGACTCGGTGAAACGAACCTGTTGAAACGCATGATGATGCCTTGGTGACTCGAAAGCTGCGTCTCCGCTTTGATATTGGCTTCGGATGAAACGAAAGTTCAGCCCATCGGGTTCGCTTGCGGAGAGCAACGCCTGGCGCATTGTGCCGCCCTTGCGAATAATATGGCTGGCCTGTGTTGTTGGGATTTCGGAGATTGCAATGATCTGCATATTGGATAACTTCAGACTTGATTGTTCACAGCGAGCTTGCTTGATGCGGTCTGCGTTCTTCTCTGGAATCAGGAGATTTTCACGTTCGTCGAGCCTTTAAATAGTTACTCTATCGGTCTTAATAACATTGCAGTCTTCAGCATCATTTCATGTTTGAGATATCCCGGTCCCGGCCTTTTGGAAAGCACTTTCTTGAGATCACCGTTGGTCGGCATGGTTTGCTAAGCCGTTAACGGCCCGGTGAAAGGGAAAGTGACCCGCAGCCCCTCCAGTCTATAGAACTGGAGATTCTCCCATAGGCTGGCAGCAGATAACGATTGGCAGTCAGAGATCATGTCGTCGCTCGGTCTCAATCGCGCACTTTGGGTCGGAAGAGCTACAAAGGGGACCTCCCGGTACCGGCAGGATCTGCCTATCTTTTCTACCCCACGACGCAGGATCTCCTTCCACTGAACCGTAGCTCTTTTTTTGGAAAGTCCTACAGCTAATACAAACATTTAGTATTCCTATCTCTTTTTTATCTCGTTATGTCCTGTGAGGCTTGTCGTACTATCCCTCCTGTGGTGCCCACAGGGTACACAGCAAATGGACGTTATCTGGACATTGCTGGAATCAAGACATGTGAGGATTTCTGATACTCCGGAAATATTGATAATTCAGGGTTTGTTGACGACCCAGCAGACGTGACAGGCCCTGAAACTGCATCAGTTGGCATTCTAGGCGTCTATGATGCTTTTGGTCTCGCATCTCAGACCCTGCAAGGAGCCGACCGTCTGGCCAGCCAGCTCGATGCTCTAGTTTTAGTCCCCGACTTTTTCCGTGGTGATGCTGCTCAGCCTGCATGGTTCTCTTTAGACCCGGAAGAAAGGTCAAGAGTGTTGACTAAGTTCATGGGTGGAACGGCAGCACTGCCTCAAAATTCTGAGGTTCTCATTGCTATCATGGCTGCAAGCAAAGCCCGATTCACGGCAGTACAGACTTGGGGCGCTTATGGCTTGTGCTGGGGTGGCAAGGTAGGACGGGATGTCCGAACCCATGTGAACATTCTGTACTAAAGGAAACCAGCTTACTGTCCTTAATTCGGGGCCCGATACACCATTCGCGGCAACTGGACAGGCACATCCTGGGTAGGCACTGTCTCCTTATTCTCGTATACATTATCTCTAAACTGACAACGCTACTGCCAACAGGCGATTAGAGAAAGTAGACGCTGAGCGACTAACCATTCCGCATATTGTCTTGGCATCCAAAGATGAACCAGCAGATGTTGTGAAAGAATACTCACAAATTATCTCTGGAAACGGAATTGGTGGGCATGTTGAAACTTACAGCTCCATGTGGCACGGTTGGATGGGGGCGCGCGCTCAGCTTGAAGATGAGCATGGTTGTGCTGAATACATTCGAGGGTGCGTCCTGTCTGAATTTCCCCCCATTCAGCTTGTGACATTGCTAATACCGGTTTATGTTTTAGATACAACACGCTCGCAAGCTTTTTCAAAAAGCATCTGAAATAACCGACGTGTGCTCAGATAGTTCCCAGTTGAAGGTTTTCAGAGCGGGGGTAACTGACACCCTTGGAAGGACCACCATCATTTGTACCCCTCCTAGAATAGTCCTGGCCAGCCCCGCAGTTGACCATTACTAGAAGTAGGTCTACTAAAACATGTTATCCGAGTTTTTGAGACTAAGTCAAGACATCTGGGAGTTGTGCAGAAACAGGAATCGCCTGGCATCTGACATATCCTTATCGCTTTAGTATACTACCAAATCCAAAGACGTGGACCCGAGAATGATACAGTAGGTAGCGATTAGCATAGATCATGATGTATCGAACACAGCCACAGCCCTCTTGCAGTGATCCCGAGTGCCGATCCCCGGGTTATCCTCCGTCGTGCATGACCCGAATGGCGCGCATTGGATCGTTCTCTCATCCGGTGATCCAGCCCTCGGCGCATGACCTGCATGTCTGGCGCTAGGCCTAGATTTAGTCGCATTCCGGAGAGACAAAGCTCTGCCTTTGGAATAGTATATCTGCTCTCCCTCTTGTGTATTCCAGGTCACTTATACAGACTAGTGAGGGAGCGATCCATGGTTGCCGCGATATCGCACCCTCGTGATCCCCGCAGGATTGCCCTAGTCGCTAGTTGCAGATGGCCTCGGCTTTCTCAAGGTTATGACGACAGTACTAGTACCATTATGTCTGCCAGTGCCACCGGAAGAAGCAAATCCAAAGATACTGCCAGATCTTTCGCTTTTAGATAAATCACTGCTAGGTTACGGTGCTTTGAAAGGACTCGCAGGACGCCGTGGGTACTTGTACTGGCAAGCAGGGCGTATATAGTCCCAACGCGATAGATTAACATCGTTGCCTAGGTATCAAAGCCAAAAATAGAGAGCTGTGGAACGAGGGGCCATGACCAACGGGCAGATCTATGGCAAGGCCCGATGCACGATGCAGGCTTCAGGTGATAGCAAATGACAGCCCATGGTCTCCTGACTCCTCGACCATCCACCAACCAACCACGCGATCGCGATCGGCAGCACGGGAATCGCCCACCTTGGAGGGCCTTAGTGTATTGAGCGGCGCGTTCAGGCGCGAATATGAAACGGGCCAGAAAAGGGGGTGGTCCTTTTATTTTACCTTGACCCCAGAAACTGTTTTGAACCTGAGAAGTTTGGTCTCAAACCCCCCTCCCCCTTTGATACATCGTTCTTGCGATAACCTGTTGGCTCTTATCGCCATCGCATCCAATATTTCACCCGATTTAGTCTAGCGCATTACTTCATTGAGACTAGCGTCCATCTACGCGCCCTCAATTTTCGACGCGCGAAAAAAAATACCTGAAGGCGACTTTGGCCTCTGCTGAAATTCTGAAACTCTGAAACTCGGCAGTCCGGCGCATGTGTATGTGCTTTCGCTGCAAGGGATAACCTTCTCTGTCTCGGGAGTTTCTCCGTGTCATCCATCCCCAGAACTTTCAACCTTCGCATTCCCCCTTCGCTGCATCATTCTCTTCCGGTTTATACCCTGCGCTTGCGCTTTGATACATCCCAGGTGGGGTGAATCGTTCGAACCATGGTGTCGTTTTCCTGCGAGGTACGCACGAAGGACTGTCCTCTTACAATGCTGAAACTCACCTGGACTGGGGGTTCACAAGACTGTTGCTAACGGTTGCACGACGACAGGGCTGTGGCGATGTCCTCACCAAGAAGAAACTTGATCCCCACCGCGGTCAGTGTCGCGGCGCATCCTTTACTTGCATTGACTGCATGGTTCATTTCAATGGCACCGAGTACAGGTCGCATACGGTATGTCAACCACTGGCTTATGCTGCTCCTTCCCAATGTTATGCCAACTGCACCCCGCGCAAAAATAGAGGGGACGCGATTAGATGCGCTCAATTGATCTTGTTGGAGCACTCATTCCGCTGTTGTCATGGCCGTTGCTAACAATTGGTTGCCCCCTTGCATAGTCGTGTATGAGCGAGGCGCAGAAGTATCAAGGCGCACTGTACAAAGAAAAACCGAACAAAAAAGAAGAACCAAAACAACACACCAAATAAGAACGGCAATCCAAATGCGCGCAGCCAGCAGCCCAAGGTTGAGGATGCTCCCGATGTCGACCTGGTGGAGCCCAAGTTGACCGACACCTTAGCCCCTCCACCGGCACCAACCCCTCCCCCTGTCTCTCAAGCAAAGCCAACCTCAGAGGCTATGACCAAGCCGGTCAACGTCTTTGACTATTTGGTGACTGATGAGACGCCCAATGCCTCCAAGGTTTCTCTTGCTGCTCCCAAGGAGCAAATGGCCATGGTTGACCATGCGCCATCCGTGTTTGAACCCAGCAAAGCTTTAGCCCATCTGGACACCAAATCCGACGACGAAGGTAATTACGACATAGCATATGAAGAAAACGGTTTCTCATACGGCGCGGAACCCATTCCACCCTCTCTCTATCCCAATCAGCTTCCTAATATCTCTACAGAGTTCGTGACTCCAGCGCCAAAGAAAAAGAAGGACCGCCGCAAGGAAGACAAGCGTGCGTCGGTCTCCGCTAGTGAGAAGAAACGCAAGCGTGGACAAGAAGATCATCTCAGCACCCCTGCGAATCACGACATTGACACCCCTATGGTCGACGCCCCCTCCAGCGTAATCAACAATGCCGGCACCCCCCTCCTCAACCATTCCGGCCTGACTGGCGGCTTGAACCGCATGATGCGATCCCCCTCGCAGGATTTCGACGGCTCTCCTGAAGTGGGCCGTCAAATCCTCCAGGATGCATCTTCGCCTATCAAGCGCAGCCGCCGTAACGGCAAAGAAACCAACGGTAAGGAATCGAACGGCAACGGCGACCCCGGTCTCGGCATCTCGATCAAGAATCGTGCCGAGCGTCTTGTTTCTTCCATGTTCGGAGGTACAGGATCCGTCGTCTCCGGAAGTAGCGGCGGCGGGACGGAAAACTCTCGCGCGCTCGTACGTCCTCGGCGCGGCAGCGACTCGAGTGCAGACATGCAGCTCGAAGTGCGCAAAAAGAAGTCTGGTCGCGCACGCAATGCGTCTGACCAGTATGCTGAGGTCCGCAAGTCCAAGCGTAAGAGCAGCAACCCCAATGACGGTGATCGGCCTTCCCGTCGCCAGAAGCAGTCTGATGAGCGCCGCCGCTCTGACTCGCGATCCCCCCGTCGCGATAGCCGGCAAGTCACTGTCTACAAGCGCTCTCAGCCACCTGCGCGCAGGGAAGAAGATCCTTTGATGCGTGAGATGGCAGAGCATTTCCTCTCACTCGTGTCTCGCGATTCTGAGCGCGGCTGCTCAATTCATAAAGCATTGAAGCGCTTCCACCGTGACTTCGATAATGGCTATGAAGCTGATCGCGAACGTCAAGGCGATGATGAGAAGGATCTCTGGCGCTCTTTGCGACTACGCCGGAATGATCGCGGTGAGATTGTTGTTTTCGTGTAAAAGATACTTAATTGAGCGGACTATTTACTGGGATTTGGGCCCCTTTCAAAAACGACAGGTTTGTCTTCCACAGGATTCGATGTTTCAAGTGGTCGATTTGGATGAGTTTGGATTTTGCATAGCGACCAGCTTTGGCTTTACGTTTTTGTCTGATGAGAGAGATGTATGTTTATTGTTACTGGCTCGGATCGAAGCTAAATTGACGTTATTTTATGTTCTGAAAGAACCCTTGAAACTTGATGCATTTTGGCTGCTATCTGCTGGATTGGGGTCCTTGGGTGGAATGGCAGACATATTATAAAGCCATAGCAAGGGTACATAGGTAACTACTAGATAAACGGTCCTCGAGGATGGTTCATCAGCCGTAGTACATATATGGGACCAGGGTATTTTCGAATCACCCATGCTAATCAGTGATCCAGTCTCACCACCGAGGGGTTTTCTGCAGACGTATCATCCACACTCATTCAAGTTTATTCCCCCAAAGCTCCCACATAAAAACTTGTCGAACTGCCCCACCGTGAGTCACCTACCACTGACATTGACTCACGGCGCCACCGAGATACCGCCTATGTTTCCGCTCGATTTTGCCGCCTCGAGGGTTTTTATCGCAGGCTTCCAGCAGCTTCGTTTCTTCAAAAACACGTTTTGCCCTTTGAGGCTTCTATCGGCTTCGGTTTTTGCTTTCCTTTGTCTCTGTTATTTGTTTTCAGCCGCAGAAGCAACCTTTCGCCCCGGGTGATTATCGAGACCTCCATAACGACAGTTCAAACACTATCTACTTTCATTCCACGTTTCCTGGCAAAGTCGATAACTTCCATTTTGTATGAGCGCGTTAGCAGTCGCCACTTCCTCTTTGCACACATCGCAAACCATGTCAGACGCAGCTCCCCCTGTCTCCGCCCCAAAAGCTCCGCGCTCGAGAAATAAACGCCGCGGGAGGGGCCCCGCCAATCCAGAACACTCACCGAACAGGCAACCGCAGCCATCGGAGAACCAATTCTCGCAGTCTGCCCCTCAATTAGAGCAATCGCGAACAGAGCAACCTGGAGGCTCAAACATACAAAATGATCAATCACGCTCCCGCCGAAGCAATCGACGAAGAGGCCGCGGCAGTGGCCATCAACAAACAACCGAGGGGGATAGACCGAAGCACACTGAGCGGTCATCTCAGCATCAATCTCGTGGTATGAGGGCTCGGGGATTTGGCGCTCGGCTGACGAAGCCAGGCGAAGAGGCCGAAGCTCAGCAGGATAGCACCTCTGCGAACGACAATCTTCGAGCTGATGCACCAGATTTCGTTCCAGGGATGCCGGCTTCAAATAACCAGTCAACTCCATCCATACCTGGGCCGTCAATGAAAGGGAAAGGGAAGCCTAGATCAAAGCCGTCACCCAAGGAGCCCAAAGTCACAACCAAATCAGTCGCAGACGATATTGCAACCCGTATCCACGAAGACATTGCCCATAACCTATACGAATGCCCAATCTGTACGAGTGAACTGGGTCGGCGATCGAAGGTCTGGTCTTGCGAACTGTGTTGGACTGTGTTTCATCTGAGTTGCGTCAAGAAATGGTCGACTAACGAGGGAGCTGCTGCGCAACGAAATAGACAACTTGAGAACGGTGACGAGCCTGTTGCGGCTCGTGCATGGAGGTGTCCGGGCTGTAACCTGGCTCATGAAACACTCCCCACAACATATTCTTGCTGGTGTGAAAAGGAGATCGACCCTCGGCCTCTACCAGGTCTTTTTCCGCACTCCTGCGGCCAGACATGCTCTCGTCCCCGCAAGGGCTGCCCCCATCCGTGTGATTCGACGTGCCATGCTGGTCCTTGTAAACCATGTACTGCCATCGGACCTACCCAGGACTGCTTCTGTGGTCGGAATTCCTCAACTAAAAGGTGTCAGGATACCGACTACGAGCATGGTTGGAGCTGTGGCGAGACTTGCGGTGACCTTTTACCATGCGGAGAACACACATGTCCGTTGCCATGCCATGAAGGGCTATGTGGAGCATGCGAGGTAAGGATTGAGGCTCGTTGCTATTGTGGAAAAGTACAGACAGAAATGTTGTGCAATTCCAAGGAAGACGAAATGGACAGTCATATTATTTATGACGACGGGTCTGAAGAGGAATGGACGGGATGCTTCGGGTGCACAGATATCTGTAACCGCTCATTTGACTGCGGATTACATTCTTGTGAGAAGAATTGTCACCCTCCGGATTCACGCCCAGCACACTGTCCGAAGTCGCCAGATACCGTACTCCGTTGTCCCTGCGGGAAAACACCATTGGAAAAGATTGATGGCTATACACCTCGTACCTCGTGCGAAGACCCCATCCCGAATTGCTCGGAGCCATGTGGTAAGATGCTCAGCTGTGGCCATTCGTGCGATCAAATCTGCCATACTGGTCCATGTGGCTCATGTCACCGCCGTATGCCAATTCAGTGCCAATGTGGCCGCACCACATCTATGAGCATTTGTCACCAAGGAAATATCCAGCAACCCCAATGTTTCCGCATGTGTAAAACGACTCTTCACTGCGGCCGCCATACCTGCACAGAACGGTGCTGCCCGGGAGAGCAAAAGGCTATCGAACGCCAAGCCATTCGACGCAAGCTCAAATCACATCTTCGCCCCAGTGATGAAGATATTGAAGCAGAGCATATCTGCACGCGGATTTGTGGTCGGACGCTGAAATGTGGACGACACACATGCCCGGAGCTTTGCCATAAAGGCGCTTGTAACACCTGCCGTGAAGCGATTTTCGAGGAGATCTCGTGCAATTGCGGCAGAACCATCTTATATCCACCACAGCCATGCGGTACCAAACCTCCAGACTGTTCGTTCCCTTGTGAGCGACAGAAGCCGTGTGGTCACCCTCAGACTGCCCACACTTGCCATACCGACGAAGAATCGTGCCCCAAATGCCCTTTTTTGACCGAAAAGAAGTGTTTGTGTGGCGACCAGATCGTGAAAAATGTTCCATGCTGGCTTTCAGAGCCTCGGTGTGGTCGACCTTGCGGGAAGCAGCTCAAATGCGGCTCTCATTTCTGCAGGAAAGATTGCCACCGCGATGGTGAATGCGAAGATGAGAAGAAGCCTTGTCAACAGGCTTGTGGGAAGACAAAGCCTCTATGTGGACACCCATGCACTGAGCCTTGCCATGCTCCATATCCCTGTCCAGAAAAGACACCCTGTTCATCCACAATTGCGGTAACATGCGGTTGTGGGCGATTACGACAAGAGCGACGCTGTAATGCCTCCAAGGCTATCATATCCAAGGGTGTGATGATCCAATCAGAACGCCTACCTGTCACGACTCCGCTGACCTGTGACGAGGAGTGCTCTCGTTTGGAGCGAAACCGCTCCCTCGCTTCAGCTCTCGGGGTTGATATTAATCAAAGCACCACGGTGCCAGCGTTTACGGCAATCAACCTTCCCTATTCTGCTGAAACCCTTGACCAGTACATCAAACTCGCCTCAACGGTATCTCTATCCACCCTTCAAACCTACGAATCAACTCTCCACTCTCTGGCCACTGATACCACGACCCGTTCCGTCCGCTTCGCTCCAGCCAAGTCCACCCTCCGCGCGTTCTCTCATTCTCTCGCCACCGATTGGGGCTTTGTGACAGAAAGCCACGATCCGGAACCTCATCGCCACGTCTTCGTCTTGAAGCCCCTTGCCTGGACTCCGCCAGTCTTCGGAGTCGGCAGCGGGACCTCAATCGGTATCGGTGGTATGAGCGTCCGTGAATGTGTCAAACTCCGCGAGCGCGAGCGTACCAAGGAACGCGAGGCCCAACGTGCCGCAGCACTGGAAGTCAAGGCTGCCCGCGAAGCTGCAAAGACGCAGTCCGGCGCAGCAGGCGATGGCTGGGCGCAGGTTGCGTCACGTGGGAAGAAAGGTAGTGCAGAGAGCAGCGCAGCGAGCACCCGGAGTTCGACCCCAATGCAGAGCTTGTTTGGTAGTAGAACAATGTTCTCGGCATTAGGCGAGGTCGGGACCGGGAAGAAAGAGCGCCTTGTTCTCCGCCCTGGCATTGGAGCTGCAAAGCCTGCTAAGCAGCCCGAGGTCGTTGATAGCTGGGAGGAGGCAGAAGAGAGAAGAACAGGTGGAACGGGAGCGGGCCCATGAAATGGACGGTCCGCCTGAATCTGGACCTCTACGTGAGCCAGAAGCATCAGGAGAAGAAAGCTTCGGTAGTGTGGTTGAGTCAGAGGAGAAGAACGACCAGTTGGAGCCGTCGAACACTTCTGGTCTTCCGGGACAAGGCGAAACCGTTGAACCCGCTGCTACGAACAGCGTTAATGAGGCATATTGAATGAGGACCGATCCTCAGAATAACTCATGATTATAAGAATTGAAACGTGTATCTAGAAAAGATTTTGCATTTGATACCCCGGCAGCTCTTGAGGACCCCGGTGGCTGGTCGATTTTTCTTGGACGCGGGGCATCCCTCTTCACAATCTTGTACAAGCATAGTAGACTTTCTTATGCCATTTTAGCTCCATATTCCATATGCAGTGATTGTTTACTGCGTTCTGACGTGCTTGAATATAAGTTGCTTGGGCTTAGTCTTCAGACATAGTTATGAGAAGATTATCGATGCCATTGATACCATAGCATGGTCACAGTACTAGTGGACTTCCTACTTCATACCAGCAGTCCTCTACCTGGCCTTCTGTTGCTAAATGCTAGTCGACTAGAGTAGACCCACATAGCTACTGGGGAAATCATCTTCTGGTGGCTGGGCTGGCGGTAGAGCACCCCAGTAAGTGTTGTGTACTATCTGTAGACTCCAATTTTCATGAACGTATATGAAAATGAAAGGTGAAAAGGTGAAAAAAAAGAAAGAAAGAAAGAAAGGGGGAAAGGACTGACGCCTTGAATCGAACCAGAAGCCTCCAGAAAACTGATATATAGCAGCTGTTCTTCAAATAGGGCTGTCGAAGTGAGGCGAATAACTTCATCAACCTTTTTGATATATTCCGATTTCTCAACAACCACAAAGACTAGAGTGCTCAAAGTACAGTCAAGTTGAAAAGAAAGTCTCCATGAATACTCTTCTTTAAATATTCAAAAAAAAAACATTGTCCCGCGTGCCTAGGACACGCGCCCATCCCACCCCCCATTTCCTCCCCGACGCTTACCTCTTGGCTGGGTTCACCAGAAGTAACGAGCACATGTCGACCAAAACGGCAAGTGCTAGATTGCGCATAGGGGCGTCCCCCCAACTGCGGCACCCGGGGAGGGGTTGAGGTGGAAGGCCATTACTTGCTCTATAGCCCTGTCTCTTCCCCTTCCCAGCCTTCAGCTCCCACCAGACAACTTTACCAAGTGGCTTATTTCTTCGCTTTTCAACACCCTCACTTTGACATTAATTCCTGACTAGCCTGGCTGAGAAAATGTCGCCAGACCCTCTACTACTATACCAACATTTGACTCCAGCAATAAGCTCCTGGTCTCTTCGCCAGCCCATACACTAGGATCTTTGGTCATTACTTAGCCGGTCTCGAACAATAGATATGCCTCCCTTGGGCCCAGATGAGCTTACGAAGCTTATGGATCTGTTGCTGGAAGTCTTGGGCAACGACGGTACGCGATACCGTGTAGATATGGAAGTGTAGATTGTTTATTGTACATGAAGAAAAAAGCATGCGTTTTTGGATGGTGCGCCGAATGTTTCTGGAGCAGATTTCGGTGGCTTTAGCTGCTTTCTGGCCTGAGTGGGGCGGCCAGAACTACTTGAGATATTTGTGAGACGGTTCCTCGCCGGCATAGGAAGACAAGAGGCACAGAAAGAGAAGAGGCTAGGAAATAATTTAGAGGCCGACAGCTCAGCTCTTGAACCAGAGGGACTGGGAAATTGGACAAGATTATCCGAGCGCCCGTGAAACTCGTTTGCCTCCTTAAAACGGAGTCACCCTCCATGTCCAAGTAGACAGCAAACACCATCACGAATATATTTCCCCATCTACACATACTCTATCCATCTTCATCTTAGAATGCTCATCAACTTCTACCATGCCCCCTCACTGGTAGCCCATCATCAATAAATATAGTATATTCACATCCACGTCTTCCTCATCTGCAGATAGAAGTGGCCAGGAGTGCTTCCATGGCAGACTTACTTTTGCATTTCTTGACTTACGAGTAGCCACTAGTAAGTGCGACGAAGGTTTATGGGGAGAGTCATGAAATACTGGTACAAGTCTAACCATCCACTGCTTCTACTTGCAACATCAGGTCTTCAAGGATTAAGATTCTACTTGCCAGTGCTAGTGAACTTCCAAGTCTTCCATTCCTGGAGAACCGCCATCTCTGCCGGATTCCTATAAACACGGACGTTGCCCGATGGCTGTTGGTAAATAGTGATTTCATCATCGAAGGCCAGACCTTCACGGTTACAACAATTATCCCGGTATACCAGTACTTGGGGGCCGGTAACACCGAAGAACAGGGAGGGCCAAATTTATGACAGACTCTTCTCCAGCCAACGCCCCCGCTACTCCTCCGGAAGAACCTTGACAAACATCAGACAGCCGTGTTCCGAAGCTCTATATGGGCCATGCAGCATTCCAGGCTTGCGATACGCATAGGCACCCATGCCCCAGGCCTGCTGTAGAGAGAGGTCTTCTAGTCCGCCTCTCAAAAAGCATACTTCTTCGATGAACGTGTGTGTGATGGGCTCGTCGGCAGGCTGGGTGTTAGGCTCCCACCACTACAGAACAGACTTGTGCTCTGGACCTCCATTGAGGAGCTCCCATATTCCTGACCCGACATGATACCATGGGTGCACCGACGCTTCGGTAGAAGTACTTGGCTCAGGAAGAGGCGGGAGAGTGGTGGATTCTTTCTGGGAAAATGACATAGCCAACAAATTGAGTGGTTTGTGGGAGAATCAGTTGATTAGGGAGGATGACGGCAAGTGAATAGAGGCCAGGGTTGAATTCAAGTGATCGACGAAGCTCCAGGGCTCCAAGCCCCCGGGGCCTTGTTATGTATACTAACAAATTCAACCAATTGGAGCACTGGAGTTAAAGCATCCTAGGTGAGAAACTCATCATCGCCGCCATAAGTAGTAGTCAATAGGAGGTCTTATAATTAAACTACAAGTCTGCTTGTACCAGTCGGTCGCCATTTCAGTGTTGGCTATGATTTCTTATATGTAAATCATTATGTAGACCTTCTCGATGTACATCAGAAAGAAAGTCGCAGAAATCCCGACAAAGCATATCACGCAAAACACAGTACTCAACTCCGAAATCAACTATCGCTTGAATCAAGAAAAAAAAATTCACTGGAAGGGTACAAGAACAGGTCTGTCGTGGAGAGATAAGGCTGAAGGGGTTTCAGGTCCATAACAGAGGCTATGCGGAATGAGGAGAGAGATGCTGATGCTCCAACAGGGAACTCTCGCGAAAGGTAACGTCGAGGACTACACCAAGGCTGCTCTGTACAGCCATCTTCAATCGTAAGAGGGTAGGGGGAAGGGGGTATCATGGTTTCGTGAAGATACAATAGCGCCAGGCGTGGCACAGTGTCTGACTTGTAGAAGCAGGCCTTCGTACCTACTCGCTCTTGGCATCGGTGTTCACCTTTTCGCTAATAAACGAGTGAATGTGGTCAAAGTAGCCAGGCTCGGCCACTGAGTCGTTATGGGCACCGTTGGGCAGAGTGCGCCAGACCTTAGTTTCTGCTTTGCAGAGGTCGAACAGTTGGGCCATGTGGGATGGTCTGGAGCTTATGAGTATGCGATAGCCATTTCCAACAGGATCATATACTCACGGGACAATCTCATCCTTGAGTCCACTCAGGAACAGGATCGGGATCTTAGTGATCTTAGGCAACATGTCTTCACTGCCCCAGTTCTGGTGACAGAACCGCGCAATATATCGCGCAGGTGGGATAATTCTATGATTCTGTGAGTACACGGCGTATGGGTGATACGGAAGGTCACTCACGAGGGAATAAGTTTTCGAATGCTCAAGAACGTATTTTCCAATATTAATCCCGCAATATCTCCTTCTTCTTGATTGGTCGCAGTGAGGTAGATAGCAACCGCGCCTCCTAGGCTTTGTCCATAAATGACAAACTTGTTATCGCGTGTCTCCGGGCGCTGGCGCAAGTACTCGAGTCCGGTCTGCGCATCAATTCTCAGGCCAGCTTCGTCGGGGGTGCCCGTGGACCGTCCATAACCTCGGTATTCCACCATCAGAACGTTGCATTGCAATGTTTGTTGAATTATCTTGCCGATGGGAACTCTGTGACCGATGTTACCGGCGTTTCCATGGAACATCATCACGGTGAGATTTCGGGCCGCGCGGCCTTTAGGCTGCCGCAGGAACAGGGCATGGAGAGATTCGCCATCGGGGGTGGGAATTTGGAGGTCTTCAAAGTCAGTGACGCCAAAATCGCGCGGGCTAGGCACATTGGTGCGCGCATCGACGGGGATATTGCGTGGGTAGATCATTTCACTGGTCTTGTTAGGCACGAAATAACACTTCGAAACGCCTCTAGGGTTAATCAGATCAAGGAGAAGCAAGCATACTTCTGTTTAAAATACAAGAGGCCACTAGCAACAACAGCCAGTCCCGATGATGCTAGGACGGGGAGTCTAAGAAATTGCACTGCACTGTTGGCTAGGCTGGCGATGCTCCATGTTGGAGAAGGCGGCGGAGGAGATTCGGACATCCTCAAATGGTCAAGAGGGATGGAAACCGGGAAAGTTGTAAGAGACTGAAGAGAGCGAATTGGACCAGCTAGGCTATCTTCACAAATTCAATCAAAGCTGGTTAAAAGAGAGGATGATAGTTCGCTAAAGAGGGGATGCTCAGGAGTTCGGTTCTTGCGGGGGCTGGCGATAAACATGGGTCTCCTATCAGCAGCGGAGGTTGGCGCTCACCGCCCTGAGGACGCGTTGGAGCTTCTGCCTTTCGACCACAGCTTATAGCATCATCATCCCTCCGATCTTCTTCCTTCCCCAACCTCTTGCGAATTCCCCGTCATCCGCCTTACATACCTCCTTAAAAACGGCAAAATGGTCTCGAGTAACGGTGTGACTGGGGTGCTCGGCGAAGGTGGGTGGAAGCTATTCACGGGCTGAGTGAGGAGCTAACTTTCATCAGATGGCATCCACGTCGACATGAATCACCTGAAGAGTGGAGAGGTCAAGTGAGTATTTGCTCTTTGCAGTACCAAGCCGATATCTTTGCTCAGAAACAGAAGCTAATCACCTATTCTCATAGTCTCGGAACCTCAATGTGAGTAACTCAGAGCTCTCGCCAGTCGCCGCTCATTTCGAAATTCCTCTGACGAAGAATAGCATGGCAATCAACTTCAAGGACGGTGTCATTCTGGGTGCTGATAGTCGAACAACAACCGGAGCATACATTGCCAACCGAGTCACAGACAAATTGACCCAGGTCCACGATACCATCTGGTGCTGTCGATCGGGTTCTGCGGCCGATACCCAGGCTGTTGCTGATATTGTCTCCTACCATCTCAATATGTACGGTGTCGTCAACAATGAAGCTCCCAGCACGCAAGTGGCAGCATCTCTTTTCCAGGAATTGTGTTATGAGAACAAGGATGCCCTAAGGTTCGACAACCCCAATTGGCAAGACCCAATGAAAGTTCTGAAACTGATGCATCTTCAAACAGTGCCGGTATTATCATCGCTGGATACGACCCTCGACATGGTGGCCAGGTATACTCGATTCCGCTGGGCGGGTCCCTCCACAAGCAGCCCTTTGCGATTGGTGGCTCCGGATCAACCTACATCTACGGCTATACTGACGCGCACTGGCGCGAGCAGATGACAGAGCAAGAAGGTATCGATTTCGTGCGCAGCGCATTGCAAGAGGCAATCAAGTGGGATGGTAGCTCCGGCGGTGTGATCCGACTGGTGGTTCTGACCAAGAAGGGTGCTGTGCGGCACTTGTACCTACCAGACACTAACTACACTGGGCCCGGTGTGACGAATTAATCTCTTTCCTTGTGTACTCATAGCATGAATCGGGTGCCTTCTGGCCAATGCAAATGGTTTCATGAATCGCCCCCTCGAGCAAGTGACCGAGATTAGCGCATCTCCCATATCGGTGCTAGCGTGTATCGTTCGAGGTTGGGCCATAGGGGTGGGGATTATGTAGAGGCCCAACGGTGAGCAAGGGCCATATGGTCAGCAAAAGGATTTCTCCTGGTATTGTGTACCGTAGTAGAGGAGATTCCAGGTACCCAGATGGTGCCCCATGACGTTATCGACGTTATCAAGAGTAATATCAAGTCTGCGTCCTTTTTCGCTCCTATCAATCTTGCCGAAGAGACCCAGCCGCATGGATATCATCCTTCAACGGGGCTTGGAGGCTGGAGTGCAGGCAAGATGCATGGGGCAGATGGACGATCAGCTTCCAGCAGATATGTACACCAACACAACAGGAAATTCAATCTCACCGAGCCCAAACGCAACCCACGGCTCTAGCCGTGAATCATCAGGAATCATTGGGGTCAAGAGCACCACGGGTGCGCAGATCGGGCTGTCATTCGCCCGATATAGACTCATTTCGGGAACCCACACCGTCTTTCTCCCCTTTATACACGATAGGTCACTTCTGGAGGCCCTCCTGATTCGAAGATTAGAGACGATTGGAAGCTCCAGGGCAATGGGGGAAATATGTGGGTAATCTGTGAAGTCCAGGCTAGTGCCCCCCCTAGACTCCCCTAATCCCTTCTAGATTGCCGGTTTCTTACTTCGCTCGCTTTCTCTTTTCCTTGTCTTTGAGTAGCCTGTTTGTTGTGTCTTAAGTTTCCTTATCTCGCTTTCTCTCCTGTAGCTTTCACCAACCGGGCGGCGTTTCATAGTTGAAACCAGAATCTCCTGAACCCTTGACCCCGGCTCTCACCCATATTTCTCCAAGCCCGGTTCCCATCTCCACTGACCTCACCACCGTGGAACCCAATTCCTGTTCCTTCACTCTTCTGCCCTCCGGTCTTCATTCGCAACAACCTGGCCTCCACCCTTCTGCGAATCCCCTGAAAACGGTAGCTTGCAATGCCTTCGATCGGACTGTAATCGCCCGAGTTCCTCTCCCTTTCCCAGAGCACCCATTCTTGGGGGCGACGTCCATTCGACGCGCCTGTTCTACTGGACACTCGGGACTCCCGGACCTTCTATCGAACCAGGTAACATATACCCCCCTCTTTCTCTCTCCTCCTTCTGCCATAGCGCTTGGGCACCCCTCCTTCCCAGGCCGTCCCATCCCTTGCCCAGCTCGCCTGCAAAAAGGTCGGAGCCCAACGCTGGATTGAGCTTGTGGCTGACTTGCTTCGGAGCATACCAGAGTTAAGCATTAGCTTGTCTTGCTATGGGATCTGTTCTTCTCCGCCACGCGCAGCCGGACCAGATCGACAGCAAGATGCTTGGCCTTGAATCGGAGTATTCGCGCCAGTTGGACAGCCGCTCTAGATCGACTTCCTCCAACACCCCCACCTCGACCTCCGCCCCGCCACCCGTAGGGTCAACTCGGCAGCCCACGCATAACGATGCCTCCGCCTACATTAACTCACATCCTTCCACTCACGGCCTTCGGTGCTCCGACCCCATCCAGCCTGCGTCCATGCCCTCCTCCAACTACACCAACTACACCTATCCGGCCGACCGTCCCTCCTACTCCAACTCTCAGACTCCGCAATACTCATCTGGCCACCATGCCGATGCTATGATGGCCGTCCCTGCATACGCCCAGCCTTCCCCGGAATCACCGCGTTTGCAGCCGACCTTACCATCCATGACCCCGTTGGGTGGATCAGCATCAGAATCTCCGACTCCCATCCGGGTGCAGAGCTTATCACATATTCAGAGTCTCGCAAGTGAAGAGTTCTTAGCTCAGTCTCACCGACCACATGCCCCGCATGGCACCCAGCATCGGCAGTTCGAAATTAGTTCAATGCCAGTCACGGATATTATCGAGATGGTCGCGGGCCTGCTCACGAAGATCACCACGACCAATGATCGGCATCACGAGCATGTCCAACGGCACATTCCCCCCCCAGAGGGCACTTCCAACTTGAGTCTTCAAGCCACCAGTGTCCTGGCGTTCCATGGCAAGAATGTCCCCAGCATCACCATCCTCAGCTACCTCACCCGCATCCACAAATATTGCCCCACTACCTATGAGGTGTTTTTAAGCTTGTTGGTCTATTTCGACCGGATGACCGACCTCGTCAACCGGGGAAAGCTAGACCACCTGCAGCGCCAGCACGCCTCATCATCTCACCATCACTCGCGCGCTTCATCTGGAACACCTGTCGAAACACCGGCACGACAATCGAATACTTCTTCCATTGTGACCCCGCCCTCCTCGGGAGACTTGGCTGCGCAGGAAGCTACAGGGCACAAGTCCATTTCCCCGCCATATATCCGCAGGGCGACGAGGAAGATCTCTCCCAATTCTTTGTCGTCGATAGCTTCAATATCCACCGCCTTGTAATAGCCGGTGTGACTTGTGCGAGCAAATTCTTTTCTGATGTGTTCTATACGAACTCTCGATATGCGAAGGTAAAGCCCTGGTGGCGATCGGTACGATGGAATTCAACCTGCTAACAGGTGCATAGGTCGGAGGCCTTCCGCTGGTCGAACTCAACCATTTAGAACTCCAATTCCTCTTGCTGAACGACTTCCGTCTCGCAATTCCTGTCGAGGAGCTGGAGGCATACGGGACAATGCTGGTAGAGTTTTACGCGCGCGAGGTCGTAGCGCAACAGCAAACCTCCATCCCCCGGGCCATCAGTGACCCAGATGCCATGTATATGAGGTCTCGCGACAAACGGCAAGAACCCAGCCAGACCCCCACACCCCCATAAACCAGTCACCTTCAACTCTCTAAATGACTACGAGGCTGCTCCCTCGTTCCACCATCTGCCTTATATATCAACATTACCTCGGCGCGCTGTGCGTTAGCTGACTGACCTGCTCGTGCTATATTGCAAATGCAAGGTGTTTCCTCTTTTCCTGCCCCCGCCGCGTCTGATCGCACATACCCCTCGCCGCCTCCACATCTCTCCGAATTGCTGCGTGCATTTACACGCCACGGCTTGTATAGATTTTCGATCTTCAGTTGGTTGGGCTGATTTGGGTTTCCAATGATACTCCATTGTGCGCATTCTATATATTACATTTTGTGGGTCCTCCATTTGTCTTATTTATCGATCTATGTGGTTCTTTGTCCGTCTCTGTCACAATGATCTGCTTGCCTGTTCTCTTCTTCCTCATGGTTGGGCGTTCCCGGCGCGGGGTTGCATTGCGAGTTGGGGTCTGAGCTTCCAAATGTATCCTGATTCATATAATGACTATTCATCCTATAGGGAGTATTCCCGGTTCTGTTTCCGACCATCCCTCGGATCTCGAGCATATTAAACAGCGTGAGATTCGATACTAGTATTCGCGAGCCGCAAGCTCCTTATCACGATTGGGGAAATGGAACCTATACTAATAGCGGACCTAAGGGAGTTTTTGCTTCCTTCTTACTGGTTAATAAGCTCATTTTATCATGATACCATTCTGCTGTCTTTGCGGTATGAGCCTGGATTTGAAGATCCTCTAGCACCTGAAAAGGTTCTCTAGGAATGGATCGCCAACCATTAGGGCCCACGCTCATAATATTCAACAGTTTCGCCTTCACGTATACAGATCAATTAAATAACCTTCGCCAACCCACGCGCCTGACTCTCCAACGGAGGCGCCATGGTGCGGTAGACCCTCCGGTATGTCCATCCAGCATCGTAAGAGTCCGTCGGACAACCAGTCCCCATTCTTCATGAGGATACCCGACCCCAAGTTCGATAGCACCACCCAATGTCAAGACCGAGTGCGTCCATGATTTCCAGCAGATGAGGATGGTCAATCGGTGCTGAGGGCTGCATGTGATTCGGAGTCCGAGTGGTTCACGCTAGGTGACATGGGGGTTGAAAGTGGGACAGCCGATTGCATTCAAGTCCACGAAACGCTCGGTCCAAAAGCTCACATAGTTATATTCGCATTAGTAGTAATCAGCATGGAACAAGTGACTCTCGCCTTGCAGTCTAGAGTAGCCCCCAGCTCTTAGTTCCACGTATATCAACTACTTTTTACCTTTTCTGAGGCTTGGAATAGAGTTCTCGTAGAATTTTCAACATGCCAAGGGCGCATGTTCCCTTTCCCGATTGTCCATCTATCTACCGTGGTGGCATACCAGAGGCCATTGTTCCTAATTGGGAGTACAACCTGTAGACTAGCAGCGCAGCTACCCAGCTACCCTCGCTTCTATATCTGAAGACATAGATTTCGAGCTCTTCTGTTCAAGCAATAATAGCCGACGCATACCGCCGGAATGATCTGAACTGTGCTGAGTGGTCAAAAACACCCGAGGTGGTGCTGGCACATTCTGGTGTATATGATGTACGGCTTCCGAGCATGCCTGGTGTCCCCCTTTCGGCACTCTGTTTTTATTCCTCCTGATCTGGATAAACATAGGTGCATTGCTTTGCATGACCGAGGGACTATTTAACAGAGGCATTTTGATACTCCTGAACTTTTTTACTTTCGGTGATCACTTTCTGAAATACTGTTTGCTCCCCTGGCTTCACTATCGAAGGCTCGGCTATCGTTTTCATTATATTTTTAAATCCAGCCCTCACCGTCTCCAACGTAATGCCTTCTCGTGTGGAGGTTCTTGCTATCTCAGCTCTCCTCTGTCAGGCCCTCCCCGGGGCTATTGCTGCTCCGGGCAGGATCTGGGGATGGGATGAAGATACGGGAGCTCCAGCTGGATATGGTAGTCTCGGAGGCGTCGATGGAGACGAGGGCCATCCTAGATTCTCTGATCTCGCCAGCCTTGAGCATAGTCTTGAACAAGGCATGGCCAATGGAGGTAATAGTGATGCAGGGTTCAGCAGGCACGGTGGCCCTCCCGTGACTGTGACCATTTCAGACTGGTAAGGAGTAGCTCTCGCTAAGACTTGACTCTCGAGTTCTAATGATCGTGTCTGACGATACGAACAGTACAACAGCCCCTACCGCCACCGCTACGGTGACGATCACAATGCAGGGCAGTAGCTACGGCATTGGGACTGTCACCCGAACAGTTACCAACACCGTCACTAGCAAAGGACCCTTGGCCACTAACACCGTTACTAACACACTGACCCGAACAATCAGCCAGTGTGCAGCCACTCCAAGACCAACAGCCAAAATCCGCACGATCACCGCCGATGCATCCACCGTGACCCAGATGGTCTCGGCCTCAGTCCCCACAATCACCAGCACCGTCACCGACACGCAATACACAACGACCGAATCCTACACCGAAACCGTTACGGAGACCCTGATCAACACCGAGACCAAAACTGTGTCCGTCACCAGCACCGTCAACGCCCCCGAGTCATCCAATGCCCCCTTGACTGGCACCATCACCAATAACATCAACTACGGTAGCTGTTCCGATGCGACTATCAACTATGCCACGGGCCTGCAAGGACACACCGACTACACCTACACGACAAGCAACCAAGCCGACTTCCCCTTCGGTGCCGCGCTGACGATCGACTCTGTGGAGGACTTCATTTGCACTCGCCTCCGTAGCCCGTGCAATGCTCCACAGGAGACGATCGACCGCTGCTACGACGCGGAAAGGGCTGTTGCTGGTCACTCCGGGCAAGAAGCCGCTCGAGTATGGAACGAGCTGATGGGATAAGTGGGCTTTATAGCTAAGGACGGCTGGGAAGCTAATGTTGTATTTACCTTTCTATTTGGAGGCTCGGTTGATGTAAAAAGGCCGCGAACAAAGCAAGCATACTCATGTATGAGACAGGTGTGTTTGTGCGGCAGGACAGGCATATATGGACAGAATGGATCATCTCGGGTGCATTATTGCGCAGAATGCGAAAAGTATCGAAAATTCCAAGCAGCGGTCCCTACGGGTAGCCACTCTTCTAATTTGTGCAAAGGAGGAGGGGAAGGAGGTGTTATAGAGAGATGCGGGTGTGGTCATATTGGGATCAAACACGCTCGAGTCTACGAGGCGAAGATTAATCAGCCCTATACTGACAAGCCCCTGTGGCGCAATGGTTTAGCGCGTTCGACTGTAAGTTGCGGCTCGGTCGCTGTTAAATTCGTAATCCAAACTAATTAATAATCTTAGTCTAATCGAAAGGTCGCGGGTTCGAATCCCGTCAGGGGTTCTGCATATCTTATCGTACTCTTTTCTTTTTTCTTTTCTTCTTTTTTTTTTTGCTCTGCTTGTGTTTATACTGATTATTTTCGTATAATTTTCTCTTTTGCCATAGAGAAAGCTTAAATTCATGTCACAGGGTGAAGACATTATCGCCAGAAGGTGCAGGTTACGTTCACTTACTGGAATCGCTCGGCAGTCTTTCTGCGCCTCTGGAAAAAGAGGAGCAGACCGGGACTTACGCTCTTCCTGGGGAGGTACTTCAGTAGATGATGAAGCAAGTTCAAATCGCCATGCCCGGTGGCTTCCAACATCGGATGGAGATAGTCCCGAAGGCCGTACAATAACTCCTCATGAAATTTATGAAGCCTGGATAATGGTGCTCTTGGGGCTTATATCAGCGCGTTGTATAACAAAGTCGTTCCTCAGGAACTAATAGTTACTTTCTACTCGGCTCCAAGCTAACCGTGTACCACTACCTATGTTGAATCGCTCATGGAAGTTAGGGCTTCTCGAAGCCATGGGTTGCGGGGGATATTCAGAAACAGCTCTAATACATAACGAGGCAGGAAGAAGCCCTTGTAGACAACCACATCTTGGACCAGGAGACCTATGTAGCGCGAAGATAAAACCCGGAAGCGGTATAAGCACGATGCCATCTATTGTCCGTAATAATGATCAATTATATTTCCAGACTGAACAAGTAAAATATGTAGGATATGTATGCGTGAAAATAAAGACATAAACTCGTCAAGGCAAAGAAACTATTCAATTCGCGGCGGACTCCTAGACTTCTTGCCCATGGGACTGCGGCTCAGACTTGCTCTATAATCAGCATTAGCAACAAACCCTCAGATAACAAAGCTCAAGTCCTTCGAGGGTATAAAGGAAAAGAAGGTCACTTACGATCGTCGACGCTCGCCCTCCTTTCTAAATCCCTGGATGATCCGCTCCATCTCCTTCCGCCCCGCAGTTGCATCCACCTTCCTCCCCCCAAGACTCATGCTGACCTTCTCATGTGCACCCGCCTGAAGCAAGCGTTTGAGCAGTAAATGCCGCATGTTCATACACACGAAGACACCGCAGTCACTCCCACCGTCCTGCTGAGGCGAGTCATTCAGATGCATAAAGCGAATGGGCATGTTGAGGAGGGCGCCGAATTTCCGCGTCACGGTCTCCGCCTCCCACACGTTCCCTTGGTAGAGCGAGTCATAGTGGAAGGCGACCCGGTCGACGATGGAAATCAGCAACAGAGACCAGTGGGTGCCGCCTTCGGCTTGGGTGACGTTGCGGCAGTCATTGATGGGGAGGAAGACGTGGGTTGCGCGGGAGAAGTCGGGGAGGACTTCGCGCAGAGTGCGCGGGTCGGGTGTTTGGAGAATCATAAAGGACATGCTTGGGCGGAGGAGGATTATGTTGGAGGATTTGTACTGCGTGAGGAATTCATGTTCGAGGTACCTGGAGCGTGGGTCAGAATTGGGTCTTGTGTATAGTTTCGTGGACGCTGGTTGGTCCCGGGGGTCTCGGTGGCCTTACTCTTGCCAGAAGGAGATGATCTGAGACTATGTCAAATTTAGGCTTCGAGAAGGATCTGATGCGCATGGACTTACGTTATCTGTGAGCCAGTCGTTCTTTAGCGTTTGCATGTCTTCTCTAGTCACTATCTCGCGTTAGTCACTATTTTATGTCCGGCTGGAAAAGGATTCGGTGCCTACATCGGACATCGTAGTCTAAACCCCAGATCTACAGGTTAGCTCAAGCCAAGAAACCCCACGTCGGTCTTGAGAAACCCAAACTCACAGCTAAGAAAGGCATCCTCGGGCGTTAACTGCAGCGATCACAATCAGTAACCCGAATTGCTCCTAACGATGCGACAGAACGAACCATATGACCCCGTATCTTCTTCTGCAACTTGTGTAGCCCGCCATCCAACATGTTGGCAAACTTCAGCTGCTCTCACCGATAAAAGATGGGCGTTAAACAAGGCCCGGCGTATAGCGGCAAAGTCCTGCTGCGCCACACTGCGCTACAACGTGAAGCACTGGCACGCGGAACCTCGGCAGAAGTATACGTCACCGCGAGATCGCAGGCTGCAACGACAGTCGCGCGAAGGGTGGATCCCCCAAATAGCTCACGCTGCGCCTTTCTCCGAGCAGAGAAGAGGGAGTGAGGTCTGAAGAAGATTGACTTTCGGACGCTCCTACAAGGCCGTCAAGTGGGGACCGGTCGGATGGTACTCCGGATTGAACCAGAGCCTCGGAGCACGACGCCGTCTTCAGCCTTATGGTGGCGGAGAAAGACCTCAATGAGAGATCGAGGAGATCCACGCACGAGCCGTCAAGACTTTGGCAGTTGGAGGGAATTAAGGGCGATCTCGTTCTGGCGATCTCGTTCTTTAGAGTTCTTGGCTCGGAGAAGGGAGGAGGGGCAAGAATGGACTGGCCGGCCGCCGTCGGGGCACCCGGGACAAATTGGAGGAGGAAAGTATTTAAGAGAAGAGATTCACGCTGGCATTGTTACAGCTTCGCAAGAGGACCACCGGGGATGAGGATCCCTGGCCGAAGTTCGGAGATGTTGGGCTGCGTCACACGATGATCACGTGTGGGGCGGTTGCGTCTCTTAAGGTGTAGAAGTGTTGGACGTTCAGTCGACGTTATGGACCTTGACTTCGACTACTTTCCTCTAGATACTTTATACTTATGAGAAATCACCAGTATGGGTACAGCATTACCTAGGTATCATCCAAGCATTGTATTCCTACACGTACTACTGGCAGACATACTCTAGTCCAGCTGCTCTGCAATGCTACGAACTGTCACAGACGTTCCGATTAAGAAGATTAAAAGAATACTGAGGGGTATCTTAACGTACATCCCAGGGCTTCAATGGAAACTCATCGTGCACATGATAGACAAAGAACAAAAAATGACGGCGGACATAAGCAACCATTTTGAATTCCATCGAGCACACTGGGGACCTAGAATATGGTAGAAAAGTGGCATAAAAATAAGACACCATCGGAAGTAATAAGGCCCGAATAGACGTTAAATACCAAAGTAAATAACGAATAATTTCATGCTCATGTCAGGCATTAACCGAGACACCTAGGACGATAATTTAGCAAAGTGCTTGTTCCAGATCCATCCCACTTGACTCGTGGGGTCATCTTGGTTGCGAGCCAGCCAGAGCTCGCCCTTCTCGCCGATGACATCGAAGATTTCGCCAGCCACATAGGTCAAGTAAGGGTATCCGGCCTCACGGCGGGCACGGTCGATATTGAATTCGTAGATACTGGCCGCAAGGAACAGGACTTTGGGATCGTGACGTGGTTCGGCAGGCGCTGGCGCTGGCGGCTCTGCGTTACTGGGGCGGGACTCGTTGGCACCATCGGACATTGGCATTGCAGATGAGAAAAAGCCAGAGTAGCGACTGGGACTGAGGGGAGCAGTCTCGTTCTCATTGGATGTGGCATGAAGGATCTCGGCAAGTAGAGGTGCGTCCAGGCTAAGGCGTGGGAGACCGGAGAATGTTCCAGCAGATTGGCGGCTAGCTTGATTGTTTTCACCTGCTGACATTCTGCTGCGCGGCTGGCTGCCAAAGATGGAAGTGCGACTGGTCTCCGGTGTAGCAGGAGATGGCGCATCACCATTGGACATAGCTGAATTGGCACGTCGGCGACTCGCATTCGACTGGCTTTCCCGGCGTGGGAAGCTTGATCTCTTCGGTGAGCTAAAGAGCTGGCTCATGCCGGTGCCAAACTCCTGAGAAAGCTTTGGCGGTTCGGGTTCCACCAAGGACGGGGGCCGGTTCGAGCTGGTCACGGTAGACGAGCGACGTCCTTCAGAAGGGGTATTGAAGTTAACCAGGTTGACGGCATCTGCCAACAGAGATCCGTTACAGATTCCAAGAGAGAGAACCTGAGCCTCGGAGAAAGTGTAGTCGCTGTTCCAGTCGCGGATGATCTTCTCCAAATCCTGGGGGAAGTCATCCACATGAGCGTGGACTCTTCTCTGAAATGTGTTCCACCACCGGGTTTGAATTTGGATGAAATTCATGAGACACGTTTCCATGAGCTTTGCAGTCAAGGAATAGAGTCTTGGCAGCTCGTCCTTCAGAGTGTCGTTCAAGGCAATAAACTGTTCACCTTGTTCGGTGGTCTTCTTGTCTGGTTTGTCGCCACGCTCTGCGAGGGCCTTGTAGCGAGCATAGTCAAGGAGACGCTTGTCACGCTTCTTCATAATCCGCTGAGGACCTTCGTGCAACTTAAGCAATGAGATCATCGGTTGGATCACGCTTCTGCGGACCACCTCGAGCTATGTAACATGTTAGCTTGCTGACTGCTTATGTACGTTTGATGAGAGCTTACATGTTCAGGCAAGACCACCGTAAAGATCTCCCGCATCGAGACCTTGAACTCGCGCCATTTGCTCTCCAACTCTGGATAGTTGGACTGGGCGACGTTGATCATGTTGTCAATGGCAACCACAAAGTCGTTCAGCTGATCCATGGCACGCTGTGTTTCTCTAGTGTACATCTCGACGTCCCGCATGACGACCTGCAATTGGAAGAATCCATCACTGAAGCGCTGAGATAACGAGTCGTATTCTTTGTCTTCCACCATATCCGACATCCCCACTTGCTGGCGCAACTTCTCGGTTCGGCGACCAAAAGCCTTGGATAGACCGGATCGAACGTCCGATTGGTTACGTTTGCGGCTGACAATCTGACCCACGACATCGGCTCGCTTCTTCATATCGTTGATCCGGGTGGAGACCTTGCGAACCTCTTGGGATGCTTTCAGCAGATTGGCATGGTCTGGGTGATCTTCAGGCGTAGCTTGCAAGAGCTCTGTCAATAGCAGCGGGTATTTAGTAATTCGCTGTACCGGCTTGACCAGCAAGGAATCCAAATCCCAAGCTGTTGTCAAATCAGATGCCCACTCTCGACATTCTTTCAACCATATGGCAACCTTTGGGTTTTTCTGCAGACTCAGAAGCTTCTTGTTCGCAGCATCATGATTACGGAGGTAGTCGGAATAGATCTTTTCCATCTGACCCATATTGAGAACAAATGCATCGCCGATAGAAGTAGCGCGATCATTTTCGTAATCATCTGGACCCCCGTTATGGGAAATTTGCTCATTCCCACCTGATTGGTTGTCTTGGGGGCGAGCGTTGCGTCTGCTCCCCCAACGGGCCTTCTGCTCGATATAAACAGTCTGTGCAGCGTGCTTCAGAGCTTCCGAGAAGGCCAGAGAGAATTGGACAAGTTGGTCAGAGTTGCCAAACAGTATCTTCACGTCCTCTGCGGAGAGGTCAAGGCAGGAGCCCGAAGTTCCCTTGTAGATATCTTCAACAACCTTCATATCACGGCCAAAGGCAGTCTCGGTGTCAACAAGCTCCTTGATGATATGACGACGCTTCCTCAATCGCTGCTGTTCAGGCGATGGGGACTTCTTCGTGTCTGTCCGCGATTGATCAGCGGAAACTGCCAGAGATGTTGCAGACGAATCGGCAGGGTTAGGAGAATGGCTAGGGCCAGCCTGGCGCAGAGAAGAGTCCTCACTGCTTGCGACACTATGCCCTTGTCCGCGAGCGGTTGGCCTAATGCCGGGATCGCGACTGATATCTGGCTCCACATCTGTGTAAACGGAGGCCGTAGCAAGCTCGGCAACTGTTGATAGAGTATCGATGGGGCTTCGAGCATTCGACAGTCCCAGCCCATATTTCTGTCCATGAGTAGCATCGAGTTCCGCGACGGGCTCCATAACCTTAGGCACGGATGCGGCTTCGGGCATGTAGGTCTGCTTTTCCTCTACAGGCGTGGAAGCTGTATCGTCGGCCGCATATTGCATCCAGTCTAACATAGAAGGTGATGCATCTTCCCAGTCACCAGGCTGGAACAAACTGGCGCGGTTTTCGCCCGACGGAGGAAGGGCGACCGACGGCTCTTCTTGCAAGGTATCTGGAACTGCAGGACGCTGCTCGAGTGGAGTGTATGATCGGGGAGGTGGACGAGAGCGCGCATTTGCATTAGAAGGTCCAATTGAAGGGTTCGATGTCGGAAGGCCAACATTTGCATGTCGCCCGCGCGTTAGCTGTTCCAAATAGAGCTGGGTGACACGCCGAGAATCCCATTTGCCCTGCTTAGCAAGACTCGGTGGGGTGGAGAACAGGCTTTTGATGGGATTTGGCATATCTTGAAGAGTATCTGGTCCCATAATACCAATATCCTGGAGTGGACTAGTAGGCTCTTCATCTTCGATGACTGACGATGGGCGTGTGGACGACGAGACAGAGCATGTTTCGATTGTTGGAGCTCCCTCATGTGCCGGGGTCGGCATTTGCAAGATCAAATCGTCTCCGCTGTCATCGTCTTCATCACACTCTTCCTCGATAGTTTCATGATTTTGGTGCACAGATGAGGACCATGAACCCGTACTCCAGCGAGCTTTGTCTTTGGAATCTTGTTGACGAGCCGACTTACTTCCACCATCATCTGGAGGGGAATGGAAGTATGTTGTCCCACCAAGCATCACCTCGACTGGAACTTTGTGATCATCGGCCTCGGACAAGCTGCAGTCATTGTCATCACATGAATCAGCACTTGAACTTGATTCACGGATGTGCATGATTTGACTCAACAGGGCACGGTGAGATACAGCTGCATTCCGGGGAACGATTTCTAGTTGCGGCTCGGGATCAATAGTCGTAATTTGGTCATCGAATGAGTCCGCGGTAACGGCGGACTGTGGAACGGCGTTCTCATTTTGCTCCTCCCCTATTTTCTTTTCTGACTTTTTGTCGAGAGCTTCAGTGTTCAATTGGAGTTGCGGGATTTGATGCGGGTCCAGCCCGTCCCGATTCTGAATCTCCGTAGACACTGTCACTGTGGTAGCCATTTGTGATGACTCTGGTGTATCCTGCCCATTCGTAGGGGGGCCTGCGTCTGCTTTGACCTTAATTTGAGTTCGTCGTCGGAGCTCCGCTGCCTCTTCGGCCTTCCTTTCATTCTCTTGCACAGTGCGGTTGAAAGCTTGCTGGATACGCTGCCGACGGGTCGCGAAATCAACAGTACCAATTTCCGGCACCTGAGAGCGTGGCCGTTGACCTCCGGTACGAGAAGCTTCGCGATCGGCGGCCTTTTGTAATGACGAAACTCGATCCCCGATTCTAGGACGTGAAGTTATGGTGTTATTAGAAACCGTTTGACGGGGTCGAGAGCTTCGTAGCGGAGGTGATCTTTTAGAAGGAGCGTTGGAAATGACAGCCTCAAGCTGCCGGCTCCGTTCATGTAGAGAGAGATGGGTTCGGCCATTGTTCAGGACTCCACTGCCACGTGGGGTCGAATTCGAGGGACTGTTGCCGGCTGTGCGGGGTGGACTCGCACCAGCCGGTTTAGGAAGGCGGCTGCTTCCTTTTGGGGGGAAGCCGACCGAAGTGGAACGATTGCTAAACGAGGACTTCGCGGAGGGGGAGACAGGTGGAGACCCGGAAGCAGAGCTGCGGCGGTGGGAGGAGATAGGAATGCGGGACCTGGAATTTGGGCTCTCAGGGCCGTCACCGGTCTTCATAAGTCGCAAGGGCGCTGGGACTGCCATGTCTGGATTCCAAGCTTCTGCAAGGGGCCCGCCCAGAGGTGTTGGGAAATCACTTCGCGCGCGTCGATGCCCACTGCTATTTGTATCGAATGGTAGTTGAATGGCCTCCAGAGAGCTTGTTTGCCCCAGATACCACGCCGTCGGGGTAAGCGGGGTCCGGGCTGAGTTAGGATCAGAATGGTCCAAGAATGCGGGATTGGGGCTTGGAATGCTCCCGTCGGATCCGCGTCGTCTGGGCTGTGTTGATGGTATTCCTAATCCTGGATTGTTCACTTGCGTGTTTACCGTCAATAACTCGCCAAACAGCGGTCGAGGAGCATAGGAGTCCGAGGTTCGTTGGAATAATGGCAGAGGGACAGTATCAAAGGGACCAGGCTGCGACTCTGGGCGAATCGACTCAGATCGCGCGACGTTGTTAGCGAGAGGTCTCTGCGACGAGAATTCCGGTAGGGTGCGCTGTCGGGGTAAGGGAAGATTGCGGTCAAAAGGTTGGGTAGTATCGACCGGGCTATCGGTGATCGATGCAGGTCGAGAGCCAGCGGGAACAGGTAGGACTGGGTCAGGGTTGTTGTTGAATTTGTTAACAAGGTCTTGGATCGAGGGCTTGGTTTTGATGGTCGGGCTTCTTGTGGTTTTAATGGATGGGCGTGAAGTGGAGCTGGTATCTGACACCGAACGGATAGGGCCTTGTGGATGGGAAAGCTCTTGCACATTTGCTAACATTCGAGATGATCGATTGTGGATATGAGAAGGACCAGATGCCATGCTGTTCCCGGGCCTTGCTGTCACATCATCAGAGCCGCTGCCCAGCTTGGGTGTGGATGCGCCCAGGCTTCCGCCCTGTCGATAAAAGCTGTCGGGATCAGGGGACTCGCTCCCGGTCCGGTCGTTTGATGGATCGCCTGGCGGAAAGTGATTTGTCGATGCCGAACGGGTCTGTGACTCGAGTCCCGAGCGGATTGGGGGATACGTGGAATGATCCAGGGTTGCGGGGGAGAAAGGTGTGATCGGTGAGACATCCAAAGAGCTTCGGTAGTCGGTCAGGGATAAGCTGTACGAGGTGGCCGATGATTTGCGCCCAAACGGGCCCTGCTGGCGGTCCTGAGAGCCAAAAGGCTGGTCGCCATTGCTGCTGGACATTATTGCATGCCTCAGAGCAGCCAACGTGGAACAGCCACTCGGATCAGAGTGGGATTGATGCGTTGTTCCGGGGTGGTCGCCCAACGGGGGAGTGTCGCAGAAGTCGCTTCAGGCTACAAAGCAATCCCGGGTGGCTCACCCCCATCCAGCACTCATATTTCGAGAACCCGAGTATTCCGCGTACACAGCTTGTCCAAACCGAAACGTTTGGAGACTGGGATGTGGAGAGAAGAAGAGAAGAAGTTTGTAGGAGTGCAGAGATCCGGTTGAGGAAGATCGGCTGTACCTCAGGGAGATCAGGTAGGGGACTACAGATGACGAATAAGAAGAACGAGAGATCCTGGTGGGCACTGACGTTTGTTCGGCGCGTAACAGAGCTGGGGCTGCTGATAGGCTGTGTCTTCAACCTGGTGAGGGGGCGGAAGTTGAAGACAAGTACTCCGTAGCGGGCCCGATGATTAGCTCTTTCGGATCGGCAGGAGAAAGTACGGGGAACGGTCAAGCTCGCAGCAAAAGGATGCGATATGACAGAGCAACTCCAAGGATTCGAAGTAAAGTTAAAAATGGTGGGAATAAAGAAGGCAAAGCCCATTCGGGGTGAAAAAAGAACGAGGACTTATGGACCCCCACGTCTGAAACGCCGATTACTTGGAGACTCGCGGAGGAGGGGGGTAAATCCCTTTGTTTCTATACTTTCCCTTCAATTTTGCGGAGCCTACATCATTGGTGGCATCGTACTAACATCCTCGAGGGTATGGGTAGCTTATCGACTCCTTCATCATGATCCCATCAGTCTTATATTATCATCGTCGTCACTGCCCAGCTGCAACTTGCATGGCCCTGGTCCGTATACACTATACCTTGTAAGGCATGCCCGCCTGCATCGGACGTTCTCTACTAGTAAAGGGTTAAAGGTCCTCCTGGTTGGTCATACTAGCTGCAATGCCTAATGATTGTCAGACTGTTCACCAGCCATCCTGATCGCGATCCGGAAACTTGAATCTCATCTAAACCACCCCGGCCCCCACCAGGGGCAGCAGCACCGAAACATGGAACCCAGCTGACGCGGTGGAGACGCAATTCCTGCGCAAACGTTTCTAGACTTTGGGACCCCATTCCGTGGGTCATGGTTATGTTAGGCCTCGCGCTGATTGGTGCGCCTCGCCGTTCTTTCTTCGTACTGTGATCGGTGTCCTGATCGACAGGGCTAGGAAAAACGTGGTTAATTTGGAGATGAAATCATCGAACGCATTGATCAAGCAATTTGATGTTAGTAAGAAGTAGTCGGGTGATTCCCACATACCCGCATTGGGTTCCTTAGTTGGCCAAAGTCTGGGTCGCGGTAGGAATTGGTTTCCGACGCGTCTCGGCTCCAGAGTAAACACGAAGTACGCAGCATACGGCAAAGCTTTCCTATCCAACCCTCTTCACAATGGGGAAGAAGCGCAAGAGACCCAGCAAATCTGGGCTGGCGAGCTCCCAGAGTTCCACAGCCCCTCGTTTCAAGTCTACTCCAAGCAGCCAGGGCCAGCAGGCCACCCACCCGGTGATATCGCTGTACTACCGCCAGCTCCTCTCCCTTCGTCAGTACCTGCTGGCTCAATTGCCTATCTCTTCCAAGTCGCGACGCAGGCGACTCGCATCTTTGTCGGCCTCCTCGAACGCGGCTCATGGACCCGCCCTCGCGGCCCTTCTAGATTCCACCTTGGTCGGTGTGCTAAAGGACCCATCGCCAAGTGTTGACTCCGACCGTCAACGCGATTATCGGGCCTTCACACAGTCACAGTCACTGTCGACTCTTATCAGTACGGACACGGGCCCTAATTCACCCCAATCAGAGGTATGGACCTGGAAACCCGCATCTCGCGCTGTTTTTGAATCCAGCTTGGAACTGATGCTAACGGTCTAGGTGGTGGATTTTGTGATCGACCAACTTTTCAAACATCATGGATCATTTCAAAAGTTCCAGCATCTGCTCACTCACGGATTTCAACGCTCGTCAGTGGGAGTTGATGCCCCCGCGAGCAGTATTCCGGGAATAGTGGTGCGATTCCCGAATCAAAATGTCCGGATCCTGAAAGAAGCCCCGTGGACGGAGATCCTCGGATACCTCGGCCAGAACGGCGATGAAATCATGCTGCGGCTCTTGTTTGATTGTGGAATCTTTGCCCCAATAGACGCTAAGAAGGGGGTGTACTACCAATTGAGCGGTATGTGAATAATCTGGCCCTGGAGAGTCAAGCAACGCTCATATATATCACAGGCTTGGCATTATCGTCGTTGGAGCAGATTAATCAACCACCGGCATTGGTCAGGCAGCCACAAGCTAAGGGCTCAAATGAAGGGAGCAAACGCATCACTGATGGAGCGTCTCGCAGTCCAAACGAGATTGTCTTTCTTCGCCGGAACATGCTTTATTGCAAGTTTGCCTCGGCACTGAAGAAAAGAATTGCCCTGGGTCTTGGAAAAGCTCGTGAGTTCGAATGTCTTGTTTGATACATTGACTGCTGACTGGGGCCAGATGTTCTGAATCGCTTTGCCTCTTTGGATTCGAGGGCCCAGACGATACATGTGATGATGTACATGTTTCCTCGCCAATTTGGTCTTCGAAACGCTTTTTCCTCTACAGAGGACCACAATGCACGAACAGACTATTTCAAGAGTCAAGCCTTTCGTGAGGATGATATCTTCCGGGAAGGCCGCTCTTTGAAGGTTCCTAAAAGGCTGAGAGGGACAGCAATGGAGCTTGTTCATTCATTGCGGATCAGACATTCTCGGTGTTCGTATGCGGAGATTCTTCGATATTACTGTCCCACTAGTGTGAGTTAGCTTCGGCACTTGGATTCATTCGAGCATTCGTTTCGCAATACGCCTACTGAACCTTTTCATAGTCGAATGGGCCCTGGAGAATGGCCGATGTGGACGAGCCAGCTGTCACCGAGGAGAACCAAACAGTCACTTCATCTACTGAGAACCTGGTCACACAGCTTCCACACAAATTATCACACCTGGAGACGAACCCCCAGATTCCTGAATCACAGGATGCCGCCCCAGTCAAAACTGAACCACCAACAGTCAGTCTAACTGACTACGCTACTCCGGCCAGCGCGGTTTCAGCATTTTGCCGCTCGGTTCTCCTTAAAATCATCCCCCTGGGGTTCTTTGGCTACGGACCGGAGGGCAAATCAAATCGTAGGATTATTATGAAGCATGTTGACTGCTTCATCAGACTGAGACGATTTGAAAGTTTGAGTTTACATGAAGTCTGCAAAGGCCTCAAGGTTTGTTTCTCAATCAATTTGCTCAGAATCACTTTCATTAAGTTTATTTCCAGATAACCGCGATGCCTTGGCTTGATTTGCATGATGTTCAAAGAAATGAAGGAAGCGTCAAAGCGAAACTCTCTCTCTCGGATTTCCAAAAACGCACAGAGCTGGTTCATGAATTCGTCCACTACATCTTTGAATCAATCCTCGTCCCGCTCGTGCGCCATAATTTCTATGTGACCGAATCGCAGACCCATCGCAACCAACTATTCTACTTTCGTCATGATGTATGGCAGCGTGTGACGGAAACCCCCTTTCAAAATCTGAAGGCAAACATGCTCGAGGAACTCGACCCAGAAAGTGTCAAGCGCATGCTACCTCATCGAAGACTGGGGTACGGGTCCCTACGGTTACTTCCCAAGTCTTCGGGCCTACGACCGATTCTCAATCTTCGACAAAGACCTCTCAAAGAAAGCGTGTATGGAGGCAAAAAGCGATCTTACCTAGGCGCGAGCGTTAACTCCAGCCTTACGCCAGTATACAATATGTTGACATACGAGCGAAAGCGAGTACCTGCCTCGGTCGGGTCCTCTTTACATCATGTGGGAGAGATACATCACCGAGTAAAGCAGTTCAAACGAGGGCTGATGCAGCGATCGTCAACCCCTGGTCAAAGGGTTTCGCGGCTCCCACAACTCTTCTTTGTCAAACTCGACATTCAAGCTTGTTTTGACAACATTCCTCAAGAGCAATTGATTCAGCTCGTCGAAGGTTTAGTTTCAGAAAAAGCCTATCACATTACCAAACATGCTGAAATCAGCCTGCCGTCAAGGGATCCTCACGCCAGGCCATCACGAAGGTTCTTGGGACGGGCTGCACCTCTTTCAGGGCAGTTACAATTGCCCGACCTTGTGGCCAGTGGAGAGCATGTGCACAAAGGCAACACGGTCTTCATCGATACAATTAACCAGAAGCAACATACGACCGAAGAACTTCTCAACCTCTTCTATGAACATGTGCTTCACAATACGGTTAAAATGGGCAAAAAGTATTTCCGTCAACGGAGTGGCATCGCACAAGGTTCTGTGCTGTCCAGTCTTTTGTGCAACTTCTTTTACGCCAAGGTTGAAAGAGATGTCTTAGGCTTCTTGAGACCAGATGACTCGCTTCTCATGCGATTGGTGGACGATTTTCTGCTTATTACGACTGATTGCGAGCAAGCCAAAAAATTCTTGGAGACCATGATTCGGGGACAGCCAGCCTACAATGTTGCGGTCAACCCAGCGAAAAGCATGACCAACTTCTCGGCAGCAATTGATGGAATCCATCTGCCACGACTCGAAGGGACCTCGCTGCTACCCTACTGTGGCATCATGATCGATACTCACACGCTCGAGATCAACCGAGATACGGACCGCATCATCGGCGACGAAGCCGCAGCCGCCATCTCGAATACTCTTACCGTTGAGGCCAACCGACTGCCTGGCGCAACGTTTCGCCGCAAAGTCCTGGCCCCTTTCAAACTCCGCATATACCCCATGTACCTTGACGACGTGCACAATTCTCGCAGCGTTGTCCTCGGCAACCTGTATACAGCGTTCGTCAATGCCGCCATGCGCATGTACCTCTACGTGAAATCCCTCCGGAGCCGCGCCCAGCCCACAGGACCAATTATTATCCAAACAATCAACGATCTCATCCACCAGACCTTCGGCGGAATCAAGGCACGGCGGGAGTCTGCTTCGAGTCCGCTCTCCTGCTTTGTCCAGTTGCGGCATCTACAATACCTCGCCGTTGCTGCCTTCCGGTTTGTCTTGCGGCGCAAGCAGACCCGATTTGCAGCTGTGCTGCGCTGGCTGGACTGTCTCGGTAGGCGGACTAGACCGACGTCTAATGCAGATGCTGTAAGGTTGCTGCAGGTAGTCAAGAGGGGGACGGCACTATTTGACGAATGGCGTTTCTAATTCATGCCGAATAAGTGACCAGCAGCGCCGATCAACAACATATAATTGCCCGAACCGACCTTGTACGAATCTGGGACAGAACTTAGAGATTAGAGATGTCTCCACCACTTGAAATTTCCAGGTACGATCACGTGATCCAATTAAAGGCCTCCACAGGATCTGAGTGAACCGCGGTAAAATAGGTTCAGGGGGCAGGAATTGAAAGATTGTACCAGTATATCAATAATAGTAACTGAGTCTGGACAAGAATGTCACCCAGCAGATCACCGAGTGGTCAAGGTACTAGAACCGGATGGACGGGCCCCTTGGGACCCTTCAAACCTTGAAATGAAGGTTGATAGCTTGAGTACCTTTACGGTACTTACTACAGTATGGAGTAGCGCTAGTAAATCCAGGTACCGTTAAAGTATAGCGACCGTGGCAGTGCAGCCCCTGGACCCGGCCTTGACAGTCTCCTTGGCACTTCTGGTTCTCGAACAATTCAATCCCGCGGCTCCTGCCTCAGGCTCCGCTTTCATATCTTTCGTTTGCAGCGACTCTCTTTCACTCCGCGCGCGTCTTGATCGTTGATCGTTTTCAGCTGTTAGCTTTCTTTTTTCCTTTCTTTCCCGACGCTCATTTTATTGTCTTTTCCTTTTCGAGCCGCTCGCCCAAGGACGCGATCCCGTCTTCCGCGCCTCCTGATTATTTATCTTCAACTTCGATTTCCGTCTAAACACAAGCCTTGATCTGGCTTTCATCGGGCTTCTGCGGCTGAGCCTGCACTTTCGCTTCTTCTCATCTTCATTAATTGTTGTGTTTCTATTTTGGGTTCTGCTTATCCCTCACCTCTAACCACACGATTCGAGCCTTGCGTGCCAACTTTTCCCTTTCTGCTCACATCCCCCTCCTGTCGATTCTTGCCCATCCCGGTTTATTCAAGAGAGCTGGAGTTGCGGAGTACCGACTTCTTTGAACTGAATTACATGAGATCATGACCACCGTCTGCCCATCACCTAATTCCCCGCCCGAGTTGTCCGGGTCCAAGTCCTCGAAATCCTCGTCGTTCCATTCCTCGCAGATCGACACCCAAGAAAGCATCTTCACGGATATCGGAAACTTCGAAGACATCGGCTTGGAGGATGAGGCCGAACTCCCAACCTCTGAACAGACCACCCCTTATGGACGTGGTCTGACTTCACGATCGCCTGCTGCTAGGCTGCCGAGTAAGAGCCCCGCGGCAACGACACGAGACCTGACAGCCACCCCGAGGCCACGAAAGCGAAGCCCGTTACCTCCAATTCGCAACAATATCAATGCAGGCTCTCGAACACCCCAATCGGCCAGCCCTTTGTCTACCAGATCGCCGAACCGACAAGACTCCACACTCAGCTCGGGTGGTCTGACCCCTTCCCAACCACGCCGGTCTCGATCAACATCCCCATTACGAGCATCGTCAAGCCGTTCTGCCTCCAGCAGCAGTTTGGCTCTATCCCCGCTCTCCTCCCGTGTCCCTACGCAGAAAGGGAGCTGGCAGCCAAATCGTAAGTCTGTGAAGGACCTGGAAGAGGAATACCACGACTCGGACGATGAGTTACCGGATGATGCCAGTCTTGGAACATTCCAATCTCGCCTAGACCTGCTCAAGAGCGGCCCCAGTCCCGTGCCGCGAGCCCAAGTGGCCGGAGCCCCGGGCCTAGACCCTTGCCGATTTACCATGCGGTCGCCGAGGATTCAGTATCGCCCCGGAGAGACACTGCGAAGGAAGCCCGTATGAGAAGGGTCCAACGGTCGAGTTCGGCGGGTCCTGAACGGGGCCAACTATCCCCACGTAATCCCCGCGCATACTCGTATAACAGTTATCTGTCGGATCTGTCGGAGGAAGCTCGGATCATAACAGAGGCTCTGGAACACCATGCCGATGAGAATGATCGCAAGCGTGAAGATGCAGTTCAAAATGGTACTTCGCGGGCGTCGAGCCAGGACTCAAAGCGGTCGTCGAGGGAGAACATCGAGCTTCCTCCATTGCAGAAGTCCAATATTATGATTGATCCTTTGCCTATCAGTCGGGAAAAGGAAAAGGTTCTTACTCGGACGCGTCCTAGTTGGCTTCCGCCCAAGGATCAGAAGGAAGAGAAGAAACACTTGAGAGAATATAAACAGATGATGGCGCGGTCTCGCGAAGCGGGTAAGCATTGGCTCAGAATGCTTGCTTCATTCAATGCTAATTTGCTGAATCACAGATAAGAAGAGAGCCGCTCGAGCTGCCTCCGCCCAGTGCGAAAAGGATACTACGCGAGAGGCCCTTCAAAGTATCTGGGACGAATTCGTGAATCCCAACTGGGAGAAAGCGCTGCGCGAGCCCCGCACTAGAGAGCTGTGGTGGCGTGGAATCCCCCCTCGCAGTCGTGGGACCATGTGGAAGCGCGCAATCGGAAACGAGCTGGCTCTGACTGAAGAATCCTTTACCAAAGCTTTGCAACGCTCCAAAGACATCAAGTCCAAGTCGAAGACTGATGCCGAGCCCAGCGAAAACAATAAGCGGATGCTTGAGTGCTTCGAGGCTATCAGGACAGATGCATCGAAGGCATTCCCCGAACTCAATCTTTTCCAAGAAGGTGGCCCGCTTCGTGAAACCTTAATAGATGTCCTGGAGGCATACTGCATGTACCGCAGCGATGTCGGGTACATCCACGGCCTTCACACTATTGCCGCGCTGCTCGTCCTACAATTTTCAACCCCCGGTTCGGCCTTCGTTGCCATGGCCAACGCTCTTAACCGCCCGTTACCTGTGGCCTTCCTCACCTGGGATCGCGGTGCCATGAATCGCACTTACACTCTTGCTTCCGAAACCCTACGATACAAGTTCGCCCGCGTGTCAACCCATCTCCACGACACCCTCCGCCTGTCTGAGGAAGAGATATGGGAGCCAATTTTCCGCTCACTTCTGACGAACGGTCTCGATCTAGACCGCCTCGCGCGTGTTTGGGATTGCTGGGTTTTTGAAGGCGATCGGATCATGATTCGGGCTGCCGTAGCGATAATGGGCTGTTTGCAAGCACAGCTATTCACCTTCCAGCAGCCAGACGACCAAAGCCGACTCGCAGTTCGAAACATTCTAGGCTGGGGTCCTCGCCACGTCGGCGCTAATAACCAGAAGCCAAAGGAGCGCCATAGCGCCCCCGCTGCCGCTGGTTTCGCCGGCCAGGTCGTTGGCTCCGGAGAGGCTGATTATTGGATCCTGACCGCTGCTGGCAACGAGGACGGATTCATGGCTGCCGTACGAGAAGCTGGCAAGGTTCGACAACAATAGAGGAAAATACAGGCCTCCCTAGTTCAGCTTTCGCTTTGATTCTATTTGTCCTTATTCTTTGAGCGCCACCAACTCTTCACTGATATCCATTCGCTCGAAACCTTTGAAAGCGCTTTTGCCATGATTTTTTCTTTGCTGCCCTCCAGGGCTGTCTTGTATGACTCTGACTAATGACGCTGTTATTTGGGCGCATCCCATACGCATATTGTCTATTGTCTAGTACTCGACCACTATGCCGATCCACCGGTTCCTCCTTCATACGCATTCTGACTTTGGTCATTGTTTTCTTGTTGTATTTTCTCTTCTCTCTCTGTATTCTTATTATCATGGCCCTCGGTGCATCTCGTCTTTCTACCCTTGCTGTACCTGGATAGCGGTACACGTAGCCATTGAGACTTCGTTGAACTTTCAATATTGTCCCAGCTCATGCCATTAATGGGTATCAATGATAGTATAAGTGTATAATTCTATGAAGGACCAGTAGAGTAGTGGTTTCTATATGATTCGGGTCCAAGTTTGGCCAATTTATCTCGCCATCTGGCTGATTTTATATAACTTATCTATACACTTTTGGCCAGCTCTTAAAGACCGTACTCCAGACAGTCTAGGTTTAGCAGATTAGCTCGTGTACGATCTGGCATATTCCTGTAATATCATGGTGTACTAGTAATCATTCAATTTTCGAGGATCCGGGGTGCTTGCTAGCTGATCAGGATCCGGGGGTCAAGGGTGGGCGGGTTGATAACCCAGGTTGAGTTGGCCAGGCCAGCACCTTTCCGTTCAAGCTGGTTGGGTCAATATGAAGGGGGGACTCATCGCATAATGACCTGTTGCGACGACTTGATCGGACAAAGGTTGGTAATGCCGGGATACTTGGTGCCAACTTGGCTTTGGTTATGAAACCAGCTCCTTGCTGGAAATATACTTGTACTGGCAGAAAATTGAACACGTTAGATTCATCGATTGGGTTGTGCCGCTGGATAAAGTTTATTTTTAGAGGTACTCGTAGACATCTATCTAGGTGTGCCCATATGTATCATGCAGTTGGGGCATTCTAAGCGCCATGCATGCAGAGGTGTTTTCATGGCGGTTACATGACTCGATGGCGTCAGGAACTCGCCTGGGGGCGACTTGGGGCTGTGCCTATTATCAACCTACAGCGGCTAGCCATACACTCAATTTTCAGTAATATGGATCAGACCATGCAGCTAACCCCCCCTTTTTTTATTATCTTGCTTGGACTTGCCCTTAATTGGCGGATCATGCATTTTTTTTTTAATACGAAACAGTTCTGGTTTCTACCAGTGGAAGCTGGGCCGTTCCCCTCAGGCTGGCGCTTAGAGTAGGACTACTTAAAATCTTGCTTTACACCTCGTTCTCAACAGCACTTTCTGTACAACATTGCGATTTCATTTGAGCTAAGCACCCAACACATCTGGTGGAAGCCATATTATTTCAGCCATTTTTCATTACCACTCCACAGTCCGAACACAATGCCGCAGCTGCGGGCAGAAGATTATACAATCGGATGGATTTGTGCTTTGCCCCAGGAACTAAGGGCAGCAATCATCGTTCTAGACGAGATACACCCTGATATTCGTGGATTATCAAGTGTCTACACGCTGGGAAGGATCGGGGAACACAACATTGCGATTGCATGTTTACCCATGGGAAAGCCTGCGAATTGCCCGGCTGCCCTGGTCGGAGCCGACATGATGAGAGATTTCCCCTCGATTCATTTTGGCGTACTGGTAGGAATCGGGGGAGGCATGTTCGACAACGGAGTCCGACTGGGCGATGTGGTTGTTGGGTATCCAAACAGTCAGTACCCGGGGGTTGTGCAAAGCGATCTTGGGAAGGTAGAAAGCACAGGATTCCTCCCGACCGGTTACTTAATGCCTCCACCAAGAGTCTTATTATCAGCAGTGGCGAGCTTGGCTGAAGGCCGGAAACAGGGAAAGCCGAGGCTGGAGCACTTTATCGAGCAGACTCGGAAGAAATGGCCCAAGGTGGCGCATCAGTTCAACCGGCCCGCAGAGACCCAACGCCGGCCGCAGCCAAGTGGCTCTCGAGTCTCCGCAAGTCCAGGGAAGGTTGGTCCAAATATTCATTATGGCCTCATTGCCTCTGGGAATCAGGTTGTGAAAAACGCCAAATATCGAGACGAGGTGAACAGACGTTTCCATGGGAGAGTACTGTGTTTCGAAATGGAAGCTGCCGGCTTACTGGAGAAATTTCCATTTCTCGTTGTCCGAGGAATTTCCGACTATGCAGATTCCACCAAGAATGATGATTGGCATCATTATGCGGCGTTAGCTGCAGCGGCATATGCCAAGGAGCTTCTTCAATATGTACGGATGCCTTCGAGGCTCCCTTCGAGGCTCCCTCCGAGAATGTATTGAATACACAAGCTGCATCCGTGCTTTTTCCTTTTTCCTTTTTATTGATTTTTGTTTTTGTTTTTGTTTTTCTCCTGAACGTCTTGATCGTCCAGTGATGCCAGTGGTCGCGAGCTACCTCACAGGACTGGGAATATCAGAATCTAGAGCTGGTCAGGCTCTGACATTGTCTGTTTTGGCCTTATGCTGGTTAGAATGCGGGCTGGCCCCAAAGCCATATGTGGATCAGGTTTATGAATCGCTGTGTACATGCATATCAGCGCATGTTTCTCCTTCCCTACAATCGTACCACGGATACTGTCTGAAAGGTATCTTATCCCCAAGTTTGGTATCTTGAATTGTACGAAGTACATGTAGCCAACGACCAGCACCGACTTCAACATTTATCCCTTCATTGTCACCCTCGCTTGATTGGAGGCCTCGAGCGATTTCCATAAACTTGCCCTTGTGAGACTATCATTCCTCACAGCCCCGTCTCACCTGCTTCGCACACAAAGACCCCAGTCATCCATTCCGTTCTCAACATCTGCTTCGCAGTGAGTCGTTTCCGGGGAACGGGATGCAACATAGCATAGATAGCATTGCGCCGTCTCTAGAAAGCACCGAGTTAGCAAATCATCCGACAGCATAATATTGAGCGGCACCATACGCAGCCAAGAGCTTCAATCAGCGGGTAGCCATCCTCAGAACAGCGACAAGCCAGATAGTCCTCAAACCGTGAATCTTCATGATGTGGCCGAGCACTCCTCCACGGCAGGCGCCCGTTTATAAGAACCAGGTAGATAACAGCGGCAGCCCAAACATCCGCCGGTCGAGGATCTTTACTATGTTCTTCGCTGTGAGATGGATCCTTGCCCTTGTATTGGCGCGGGTGAAATGCCTCTGGAGGGATAAATGGGAGGCTCATTCCAGGGAATGTAGCAGAGGTGGACGACGTATCGCCAGAGCTGCCACGTCTGGAGCCATTTCCGCGAGAAAAGGGAGCGAGGAACCACGGCAATGACCAGGACCCTGAAGCTGGTGAAACCGGGGTCTGGGGCGAGTCCTCCTCTTCGTCGGAGGCTATCATGCACTTTTCCCAGATGCGGCAGACGTGGCCGTCGCCGAACCCTGCTAGTTTCACACAGCCATTTCCAGTGAGGAGCACGGTCTCGAGGCGTACATCGCGGTGCGCTGTCTGGTGTTCATGGAGGAATGCGAGGGCGCGAAGGATCTGGACTAGGATGCAGTCGGCCTCGTTGGACGGGAGGGCCCCGGTGCGTGATATCAGTTCATGCAGGTCGCCACCGGCACAAAAGGGGGTAACCAGACAAAGCTCTGCACGGTCGTTATATAAAAGGTCGATGATAGGAAGGATATTGGGGTGGTAAGGGTGTAGGTCGGCGATGAAGGTTGTTGAGCAGGCGGAGGCATGAGGCAAGGGGTTCGATCGTGAGCTGAGGATGTCGTTGCGATACACTTTGACGGCACAGAGCTGTGGCTGTTCGCGTGGCCCTCGAGGCTTGAACTGATGAAGGCGGATTGTGCTGTTGGTACCGTAATGCAAGATCTCCAGCATCCGGCCATACTTTTCTGCAAATGGGCGGCAATCATCCACGCGGGGTTGTTTTGATGCCGGCGATGAAGGAGGGGAATTCAGCATCAGTGGTTGGCGCTCTGTTGCAACGGATGCTTTACTGTACTGGTCATCACCCCTGTAGACGCGCTGACCGGCGCTTTGATCTTGGAGCAGATTCTCTGGCGACCATTTGTGACGTTCCGTATAGTGGGTATGAGTATCATTACTGGGTCGGCGCACAGGGGTAGCTGCCCAGCTCTCCAGCTGTGGGCCTTTCATGAGGTACGGTGTATCAAATGAGTTAAGAGGAGGAAGTTGGATTAAGAAATGAAAGGAGACAGTTCAAGTATGCAACGCAGGGTTAATTTTCAAAACAAATCCTAAAATAAGCCTGGTATGCGTCGGCGAGTATTCTCGAGAGATCCGGGGATTTTATAGATCGGGCCCCTTGCGCCGCTATGGCTATCTTTAACCCTCATAATGGTACTCGTGGCTACATAGAATGACACCAGTACATGGCCTTGTGATGTTTCTCTCCAGACCAGCCATGGTTGAGTGTGCTAGGAATGGCCTTGCTTGGTTGATTATCTCTCTCGCTAGGGAGCTGCTGCGATTGGATGGACAAAACAACGCAGGAAGATCAGGGAGATCGCGTATTTTGTCGTCTAATTCGAAAGATGAGCGATTTTTCTGCATGAATTACTGGAAGCGGGGTTGCTATTCCTTATCAAGGAAGATGGCAAGCAGAATTTTCTTTTTGTAAAATGGGGGCCTAGAGAGATCCTGGGATTCCATTGCACATCCAGTTCAAGTGCGGAAGTCAAACCTCTGGCAAAGAAAAATCGCTCACTTCCAGCCGAGGATTAATGTCCCGCAATTTTTTTTTTCCTTTCTGCTCTCGTGGCTAAAGCTTGTTCTGTTAGGTATTTTTCAATTTATTTTTCGAGTCTTCTGCGCCATTTCCAGGCAATTACCTCGCGATGACCGAAGAGATTGTTTGGCTGCCATGTTTCAACTTTGGGACGCGGTGCAATCCATTGGATGTATGAGGGCTAAGCAATTCCTAGTTCTGTTTTGGTACTGTCAGATGGGAGCATCCATACCGCAGGGCCATTTATTATTGGGCAGGGGAAGCTGCAGGCGGTAATATTACTGTTCGACCCGGTATATCAAGTATCTTTGCAGTGGGAGTTTTGGGCCGAATGAGTCTATGAGCGATTTCTGTGGGAGTGGATATTGTGTTGGTGGAGCTGGGAGTACCTGACCGATCTATGGCGAACTCTCTCTCTTGTTTGTACCGGAGGCTGAGCTGTCACTATCTGAGAATTTCGGGTCATGGCCCCTGCTGGCTTCTACAGTATGATAGTGGACCCTAATATGCCGCTGTTCGTACTACAGCGCCTCTCGTGGCTTGGATCCTGTCGCGTGGTTCCGCTTGCATGCAGTATTATCCCGATCCAGTAGACGTAAATCTGACCGATCTCTTGTCGGCTTCCTAATCCATAAGGCCGTCGCCAAACGGGTGGACTTTCCCGTCTGTCGCAAGTGCACTGTGTGGCCTATAAAGGGTCGGCGCGCGCAGATTTCAAAAAACCCTCTCAACATCGCTTTTTTCGCCTGTTTCTTCGTTTTTGATCCTTCGGCCCTTATTTCCTCCCGTTGCCCCGTTGAGGGTGTCTGGCTGCCTGCCACCTCTCCTCCCGTTCTCACTTCCTTCAGCCTTTCCCCCTCCTCTTTCGGGCAACCGCTACAATGGACCATAAGGCATCTGAGAACATCACCAGTATCGATGTGGAGGCAGCTGCGGCTGAGGCTTTGGATGAGGAGCGCATCGGCCGCCGAGGAATCACTTTTGAGGATTCCTCTGTGACTGATGTCGATGGCATGCGATCTATCTACCAGCCTACCCAGGGCGGCCGACCACGTTCGATGAGCCGAGAATCCCGCGGCTCACGCAGTGGAATTAGTGTTGCCGATGGACCAAGCAATGCTGGACTCCCAATCGAATTCCGTACCCTTTCCATTCAAATATCGGAGTCTCAGACACGTCCGAAGGAGGTAGTCACGGAGCCCCCCAAGGAGAAAGTACCCAACCAGGACTATTTCGAAAGTCTGGATTTCCACCATATTTCGCAAGAGAAACTGTGCCAGGAGTTCAATGTCGATCAGCGCACCGGACTGAGCGCTGATGCTGCTGCCAACCGACTCCAGCGCGATGGTCGAAACGTACTCTCTCACCATCGTGAAAACTACGCCAAAAAGTTATTCTTCTATGTCTTTGGTGGCTTCTGCTCCATCTTGTGGGTGGGAGTCATCATATTCTTTATTTGCTGGAAACCCCTCAGCAATCCGCCTTCTCCTACTAATCTTGCCCTGGCCATTCTGGTCATTCTGGTTATCGTCCTGCAAGCCAGCTTCTCCGCTTTCCAGGACTGGTCGACCAAGCGTGTGATGAACTCGATTCTCAACCTTCTACCATCAGAGGCTTTGGTTTTACGTGATGGAAAACTCACACGCATCCCTGCCACCGACCTTGTAGCCGGTGACATTGTCCAGATCAGTATTGGGAATAAGGTCCCTGCTGATATGCGCCTGCTCCAAACTTCAGGCGATGTCCGTTTCGACCGTGCTATCCTTACTGGTGAATCTGACGAGGTCGATGGAGCCATCGACTCCACCGATGCCAATTTTCTCGAGACTCGTAATATCGCTCTGATGGGAACTCTCGTCACCAATGGAAATGCCACCGGCATCGTGGTGCTGACTGGAGGCCGCTCAGTTATGGGCCGGATCGCCAAAATGACAGCCGGGGTCAAGCAAAAACCCACTCTGATCCAGAAGGAGATTAGTCGCTTCGTTACTATCATCATTTGTTTGACCATTTGCTTGGCTTTGCTGATCCTTTTCGCTTGGGTCGGATGGCTTCACAAGGACCACAAATCCTACATGAGCGTAGTAGCCATGCTGAACAATGTCATGGGCTGCGTGGTGGCCTTCATTCCCGAAGGTATGCCCGTTGGTGTCGCTCTGACCTTGATGATGGTTGCCAGACATATGAAGGCGACCAATATCTTGCCAAAGGGCCTTGCAACAGTCGAGACTCTAGGATGCGTTAACGTGATCTGCTCGGACAAGACTGGGACCCTGACCCAGAACCGCATGTTTGTCAAATCGCTGGGGATGGTGGACGGAGAGTTCAGCGTTGATGACTTGCGGAGCCACATGGATGAGTCCGAAGCCCTGAGAAACATGCTCCGGGCGTCTGTCCTGTGCAATGATGCCAATTTCGATTCGGAAACTTTGAATCTGCCAATCCATGAGCGTGTTGTCAATGGCAATGCAACCGATGCCGCTGTGCTTCGCCTGGCCGACAGTGCCGGTGTTGCCTCCCCAGCAAGCCTCGCGCCATATGAGCGTGTCCACCAAATTCCTTTCAACTCGAAAAATAAGTGGATGCTCACAATGCACCGTGACCCCAGCATTAGTAAGGGCTACATGATCTACGTCAAGGGTGCACCCGATGTTTTGCTGGACCGATGCTCCACTTTCTACTCTGCTGTCGACCACGCCATTCGTCCCCTGGACCGAGAAGCCCGTAAAAAGCTATCCGCCTTTCAAGCCAAGCTGTCACGTCGAGCGGAACGTGTCATTGTCCTTTGCCAGCGCCGCTATGACCCCATTCACGCGGTTGGATCCAATGGGTTCAGTGACGAAATGCTGGACTCCGGCGTCCAGGATCTGACTATCATCGGTATCTTTGGTATCATTGATCCGCCTAGACCGGAGACAGCCCAGACCGTTGCAGCCTGCCGCCGAGCTGGCATCCGGTTCTTCATGGTTACCGGCGACTTTGGCCTGACTGCTGCTGCGATTGCTCGAGACATCGGGATCTACGAGGGTGATGTTGAACCAGACACTGTTGATGATCTCAACGCTGCATTTCAGAAAGAGGACCAAGCGTCCCTTTCGTTGTCCCGCAAAAGCCTGCTTCTGGAGGGCTCCAGTCTTTCTGCCCTTACCCAGGAACAATGGTCTACTGTTTGCGAGTATGAAGAAATTGTGTTTGCTCGAACTAGCCCAGAGCAGAAGTTGCGCATTGTCTCCGAGCTCCAGGCCAACGGGAACACTGTTGCAGTCACTGGCGATGGCGTTAACGATGCTCCTGCTCTACGGTCAGCCAACGTCGGTGTCGCTATTGGATCGGGCAGTGATGTTGCGATTGAAGCTGCTGACTTGGTCCTGCTTGATCGGTTCGACTCCATCATCGAAGCTATCCGCTTGGGTCGCTTGGTCTTCCAGAACCTTCAGAAGGTGATTGCCTATCTTCTTCCAGCTGGTAGTTGGTCTGAAATCTGGCCTGTGATCATGAACGTCTTCTTCGGCGTCCCTTCCCCGCTGAGCTCATTCTTGATGATCATCATTTGTGTCTTTACCGATCTTTTCCTATCTCTTTCACTGATCATGGAGAAGGAGGAATTCGACCTCATGAGCATTCCACCTCGCCGTCCCAAGAAAGACCATCTGATCAACTTCCGCATCTACGGCCAGGCCTATCTCTTCGTTGGTGTGATGGAAGCCTTCAGTGCCCATGCTATGTTCTTCCTCTACATGTGGCAAGCCGCCGGGATTCCGTTCAACGACCTAATTTTCGCTTTTGAGAAATACACCGCTGGTTTCCATGGGTACACGCAAGATGAGCTCAACCACTTCAACTACGTCGGTCAATGTGTCTACTTTGTTACCCTGGTCATCATGCAATGGGGCAACATCCTTTCAGTGCGCAGCAAGCGGATGTCAATTCTCCAGGCTGATCCGATCCGCCCTGCCCGTCGCAATCCATGGCTCCCACTTGCCATGCTTATCTCCCTGGTGATTGCCATCTTCGTGACCGAGGAGCCTGGTCTGCAGAGTCTGTTCTTGACAGCTTCGGTTCCCATCAAGTGGTGGTTCATTCCACTCGGTCTTGCGGTCGGTATTCTTTGCATGGATGAGCTGCGCAAGTTGCTAGTTCGCTTGTTCCCCAAGGGCCCGGTCGCTTGGGTGTCGTGGTAGAAGCGGATGGGCTCTTATGATGCCGCCAAGTTTGCTGAAAAAATATCTTTTCGCTTTATGCTTTGATCAGCGGGTGTATTTGTTTTCTTTTTCTTTCTTCTTTTTTTTCTTCACGATACTCAAGGTTGCATTATTCAATGAGATATGAACTTATCAGTGTCGCATTTGGGCACGACTACCGCCATAGAGGGAACGATACCAGACGAATCAACATGAAGTTAAGATGTGATATTACTGTGCAGTTTATCGAGATAGCCCGTCTCCCTTGAAACGTTCAGATGTTTTTTTGAGTAGAATACAGCAGAGTCCTGGCGCCACAGCGACCACTATCTCATAGCTTGGATTTGGTCAGGGCCTCACTAACCGGAGCGATCTCTACCATCATCTTGCCCGTGTTCGCGCCAGCATAGAGATCGACCAAGGCTTGAGGAGCCGCCTCGATTCCTCCAGGGACGATATGCTCCTTGCGCTTGAGCTTTCCTTGCGAAAGCCAAGAAGCCAGCTCTTTTTGAGCAGCAGCATACTTCTTGATGTAGTCAAAGACAATGAAGCCCTTGATGGTAACCCGTTGTGACTATGCGCCTGTTAGCAATGTCCTCGACCCCAAACACACCAAATCCAGACTTACAATGACAGTCATGAAGCTCGCCGGACCCTGCGGCTTAGCTGAATTGTACTGACTGATTGCACCACAGATCACAAAGCGCGAATCTCTGGCCGCACGTGCCAGACAAGCATCCAAGATCTCACCCCCGGTATTGTCAAAAAATACATCGATATACTCCGGGGTGGCCTCCTTGAGCTGCTTCTTCCAATCCTTATCCTTATAGTTGACCGCGGCATCAAAACCCAGCTCCTTCACCAGAAACTCGCACTTCTCCTTCGACCCCGCCAACCCGACAACCCTCTTCGCTCCCTTGATCTTCGCAATCTGTCCCGCCACCATCCCCGTCGCCCCCGCCGCGCCCGACACAACGACGGTGTCGCCTGGCTTCGGTTTCCCAACCTCCAGCATGCCAAAGTACGCCGTCAGCCCCGTCATGCCGAGCACAGACATTGCGTCCGTCGGCCGCCCGCCCTCGGGGATCGTGATCTTCTCCACCTCCTTTTCGCCCACAACCGCGTACTCCTGCCAGCCGGAGTACGCGAGCACCCAGTCGCCTTTCTTGTGCTTGGAGGCGAGCTTGCTACCGACGGCGAGTACCTGGGCAATGCTCTGGCCGCGCATGACGGCGTTCAGCTCGACGGGGCGATGTAGGAGCGTTTGGCGGTTAGCCATTGGCGCATGGCCGGGTCGAGCGAGAGGTAGTGGACGCGCACGAGGAGCTTGTCGGCGGGCACATCGGTGGGTTTGGCGACCGTGTTCACGCGAAAGGTGCCGGAGTTGAGGGCTGGATCGATGGCCGGGGCGGGCGTTTTGTTGTAGAGGATCTGTTTATAGGACATGGTGGAGATATTGTCTTCTTCTTTTGGGGAGGAATTGGGGAGGCAGGGCTCAGGAGACATATTGCCATCGCGCCATTATATGGATGTGGAGGGCGGTTTGCGGGGATGCCGCAGGGGTCGGAGTATCCCCATATTAGGAAAAACGTCCCTTTGTAAAAATGAACCGAGGTTCGGTGACTCCGGTTTGATCGGGCTCAATAATCAAAAATTTCTAGGTACAACTTGATGCCTGGTATAACATCTAATAACAGTTAGCCAGGATGTTCTCCGTACCCCGTATGATCATCCGACTAATACGTGTGTACGTACTTATGTAGATCATTTCGATTCAGGTTTCCCCACGACTATCAGATCTGTGAGTTCACGTTGACGTCATGAGTTGGCGAATCTAGTATAAGAATATTTGCCTCGCCGTGGTCCATAAGCTTAGTTGTAAAGAGTCAGAACTTGAATCGAAACATATTTTTGACCCAAAATAAGCTTTTCACATCACAATGAGTGCTTCTCACGGATCTTCCACTGGAGCCCCTGGTATTCCCACGGGTTTGCACGACTCTCGCAATGACTACAACCCAGCTACCAAGGGCTACAACCCCGCCACTGGCGCCAACTACTCGAAGCCCCAAGAGTCACTACAGTCTCAGCCGACCACATCGGCATCCAACAGCTACGATGGGGTGAAGACTGACCGTGTTCACCACCCACCCCCCACCGGCACTGCGCAGCGAACCCAGTTCGGCGAGTCGAATGACTCGCGGGCTGCGCAGGTTGGCGGGGGTGTAGGCAAGGGTATCAAGGGCTTTGCGGCAGGTCTACATGTAAGTTGACATATCCTAGCCCACCTTGATGGGACCCCGATTCTCAATCTATATACCTGTGCCATCAAATCGGAATTTAGCTAACCCCTTGGTTCTAGGGCGCCGGAGAGTCGTTGCGTGGGGCGGCCAATGCGGCTGTTGACCGGGCCTTTGGATCCGACGAAGGTGCAGAATGGAATGAGGAGATCGCGCGTCGAGGCGAGAACGAGATTCGGAACAAGGAATTTGGGAAACCTCTGCCCCGTGAGCATTAGGAGCATGTAGGAGCATGAGGTAAACCTGCAATTTAGGGCATGATGTATGATATGAATAGAAGAATAACGCACGGAACATGATCGAATGATAGCACGATATAACGTCATATAATTCGGGGGGGGTCCACTGGTTCAAGTTATGCCTGCGTAAACAACAATAGCGAGGTACATATCGATGTCATTGCGCGCCAGTTTCTTTTGGTTTCCAAGGTTGAGGGGGGATCGATCTCTTCCGGGGGCCAAAGGTCGATCATGGCAGAACATAAAGTACCAAACAACACAGCCCTTCCCAGGCCAAACGTCCAAGCTTCCAAACAGCAAAAATAAGCGTTGCCAATCCAAGTAAGCTTCGACCGTCCAAAATAGGCGACATCTGGCGATTCCGAATTCAACTTTGCCTTCTTGCCGGACGAGCCGGAGGCTGTGCGGACCCAAGTGGACCCCACGGTTCTTATAACGATCGCTGCCCGCATTGCGGATCGTAAAAAAAAAAGAAGAAATAGACCTTCAAGCTTCCTTGATCTTCACGTTCGAGTTGGAACGTAGTACATACAGGGAGTGTGATACCGCAGTCTGGGACATATCTTGTATCACTTCCCCACTAATTTGCACAAGCCTCTCCGGGTCCTCTTCTGCGTTGTCCCGGGTTCCTGGGCGCTTTGGGGCCAAGCTTTTTGGTCATACTCTTGCAGACGACCCCATGCCCTTCGAGCATAAAGATTCTTCCCTTGTCAACACGGCATCTCTGCTATGGTTCCGTCCATTTCCGACCGGGATCAGGCCATAACGCCTACGACCAAACGCCCCGATCAGGAAATCCCCGAGCAAACGTCCAGACAGCAGGACCTCTACACCTCAGAATCCTCTCTCAATGCGATAGCTGCGATTTCTGACTCGCCATCGCAGTACACCTCCTTTTCTAGCTCCGACAATGAGGAGGCCGTACACAGCTCCGACCCGGATCTCGACCCCGAGGTGAACGAAGATGCCGCCAGCGAGGTCATCGGCGTCAGCATTAGTCGCGCCCAGAGCCGCATGAAGGCGCGTGCAACACCCGCCGAAGAGAAGAACCGCGTGCTCGAACAGCAGGGAAACTACTTTGTGCCCATCCCAGATGCCACCCGTGAAAACGGCCTGTTTGTCTCGGACCTAACGGAGGAGCCCGAACCAGTGAAAGACAGCCCTCCCCGGTTTCCCCAGCGTCTTCCCCAGCGTTTCCCACAGCGGTTTCCCAATATCGAGATTGCAAAAAATCGACGGCCTCGCGACGATGCGGCCGCGTCTCACCCTCCCGCTCAGACTGTGGAGCCAGACCCGCGCGCCGGCCCCCACGGAGACGATACTGCAGTCGTCTCGAAGGATTCGGCTGGGGCCCAACGCTCGAGCTTTACACGGTCGTTGCTGAAAAATTCGTTACCTCTTCGACCGCGCTCCTGGTCGAATGAGCTGAAGAAGATTCTCCCGGATCTGGGCTCGCTGGCCAAGCGACCCTCATTATCTTTCCGTTCGGGAATAACGCAGCATAATCGTGGTCGCAGTCAGACGGCCGAGGGGTCCCCGTATAAGCAGACGGCTCGCGTGCCGCAGCGAACCACTTCATTGGTCTCTCGCCATCCCCAGTCGCCCCGCACCAGTGATCTGGAGCATGATGACGAGGACGGCGATGATGCTCGGTCGATTTCTGAGTTAAAGCCGTTGGAAGGGAGCTCCGCGGTGAAACATTCGTACTCGCGACGACCTAGTACCACCGGACCTCGGCGACCGCCAAGCTTGCGACGGTCCTCGTCGGACCAATCGCTTTACTTGCGTGCGTCGTCCACGGCGTCTTCGCTGGAGCAACGGCCGCGCTATGAGAACGTTCATTCGCAGGTCAATAGTCGGTTCAAGGCGATTAAAGATTCCTTGCAGGACTCGAGTAGTCGGCTGCTTAGTATGCCTACTTTGAATCTCCACGACATCCGCAATGATTGGACGTCGAAGCCTTTCTTCATTGATCGTGGAAGCTCGGTTGGCGCTTCGTCTGCCGCGAAAGACAGGGCTCTGAATGGGACGCATACCCATACAGAACCGCCGTCCCCGCCTCCACCGCCAAAGAACCATCCTCAGTCGACTCATCCTGTCCTAGAGGAGGCAATGAGGGAGTTGACGGGTGATGTTGTGATTCTCGGAGGCTACCGGGGCTCAATTCTACGGTCTGCCAAACCCCCTCACCAACAACTTTGGGCACCGATGAAAGTGGGATTGAATCTCCGCAAGGTCGACTTGGAAGTAGGGCTGACTCGCGAGGACGAAGAGAACATGGAGGAAAAGATCATTCCATCTGGTGTTTTATCACACGTTGGCCCTGTCGACGTGTGTAGGCGACTCATCAAGCGCTTGCAGAAATGCGACAACGCTATTCGCGGCGATCTCCGTGTCTGGAACTACGGCTACGACTGGCGTTTGAGCCCAGACTTATTATCACAGAGGCTGATCGGGTTTCTGGAGAACCTTCCATCAAATCAATCAAACAATACCCGACGCGGCGCATATGTGATTGCCCACAGCCTCGGCGGCCTCATCACCAGACATGCCGTGAACCAACGACCTGATCTCTTCGCCGGCGTCGTCTACGCCGGCGTGCCACAACACTGCGTTAACATCCTGGGTCCTCTCCGCAACGGCGACGACGTGCTTCTCAGCTCGCGCGTCCTGACCGCACAGGTTAACTTCACCTTCCGGACGAGCTACGCCCTTCTCCCAGAAGACGGCCACTGCTTCATAAACAAGCATACCAAAGAAGAATACCCCGTCGACTTCTTCGACGCCCGCAACTGGGACGAATACCGCCTGTCCCCCTGCATCGCCCCCCCCACTGCCGCCTATGCCCGCCAACCGCGGCCTGATCAATTTCAATATTACCAAGCGCTTCTCCCTGGGTGGCCGTGAGGACCACGCTTCCTCTTCCGACGCTCAGTATGACTCAACCACAGATGAAGAATCGTACCCTGGCAAAACTCCCCCTACCCCCCAGCACAGCTCCACAGCTCCGCTCCCGGAAGCCGCTGTCGCAAACGCTTCCGAAAAGCTCCACAGAGTTCCCTCTGCGGCCGACGGCATCGTCGGCCCTGTCCCGCATCCACGCGGAAGCTCAGGAACCAGCAAAGCCTCGACAACAATCACCATTCCGCGCGCTGCAGCGGTCGAGTACCTGGAGCGGACGCTCGCAGAGGTCAAACACTGGAAATCCGGCCTGGAATTCAACCCCGAGCACCAGCAGCAGAATAAGTATCCGCCTGCCGCAGTGCTTTTCGGCAAGAGCGTTCCGACTGTCTACGGTGCCCGTGTCACCTCACGCGAGGCGATCAAGCACCAGGATGCGTACGATGACCTGGCCTTCGCAGCGGGCGACGGTGTCTGCCTCGCCTCGGCAGCGATGCTACCGCCAGGGTACCGAATTATCAAGGACGGGCTTGTCAAGAGTGACCGGGGTCACGTGGGGCTCTTAGGTGATCTGGAGGGGGTTGGGCAGTGTCTCAGGGCTATTGTGTGGGGGGAGGAAGGAAGGCGTTGGCATGGGAGCTTATAATTAGGAGATCAATCTGGGTGGTATACCCAGTGGATGGTTATATTGTTTATTTGTTTCTTTTTTCCTTTTTCTTACCCTGTTCACGTTTCTTGATGATACCACATGTCTGATGAATTGAAGCCCGGCTTACACGGTACCAGATCACGGCCGAAGCCGCTACATATGCATTGTACGATATAAATTATACCTAGAGGAAATGGGGTTGAAGAAATAAGACTTATGTTCGCATATGAACTTGTAGAAGCACGCATGAAGAATACAGCTATGACAATTGGCATCTCTGTTTTATTAGTAGCCTCTATGTGAGCTATTATGAATTCCAAAAGACTCTTACCTAGGGTAATCTCGAGAAGCCGAAGATATATTAGAGGTAGTAGTCTGATTATCAGGCAGGCAGTGCTCAGGTGTAGCCCATTGCTTCTTAAGGGTCGCATGGACAAGTTATGGGTCTTTCCCACAATCCGCAACTTGAACCAGTGCGACAACCATCAAGGATGAAGGGATTGAAGCCCATGGCTCCAGCATGGACGTGCACGGCGGATGAGCAATTCTGTCCAATATGCTTTCTGACATGTTGCTCGTGGACGCAAAAAGCAATATCAATCCAGGCATCACACTCCTCATACCAAATTTCAGTCCAATTTTGTGAGAAGTGACTTTCAAGCCCTCCAAACGGTTTTTTATGCACACTAATCGACATTTCAGCGTCCGTATCGAAGAGTGCTATTAGCCTGCACTCAATTTATGATGAAAAAGAGCGCAAATGTCAAGGAATTGCTTTTGCATAAACCCATACTCTATATGTACTTTTATTAGAGATCCACAACACCCTCGAATTGCACCCAAAGCTTCAAGACCTCAACACAAGAGACCGTAACGGGGACATAAAAGAACATTCTCAAAACAAGCCACGAGCAAAAATCTAAAGCCACATATATCCGCTCTAGTTCGTCCGCGAGTTCGCAATGTTCAGTGTCAGGATATCCACGGCCCCAACCTTCGTCAGCTCGTCCATGACCGTCGCAATTCGCTTCTTCTCCACCATCGAGCTGACTGCAACCCAGTTCTCCTCTTCCAGCGCGGTGACGGTGGGCGCGCGCTTGCCGGGCGTGATCTTGCACGCAGCGACAAGCTGGTCACGCGGGATATTGTACTGGCACAGCACGAACTTCTGGGCTTGTATCACACCGCGAATACGAGAAAGAATGATCTGCTGCAAAGCACTGTTGGAGTTTCGGGATTGACAAGGACGGCCGTGCTCTCGACGACGGTGTCGATGGCTTTCAGGCCAGCGGCCCGCATAGTCTCGCCAGATTCTGAGGAAGGAGCGTGTATATCAGCAACGATTTCACAACAAATACAGTAAGGGAATTCAGCTATTCCGGTAGGAAAGCATACCGACTAAATCCACAATACCGTCCGCGACACCCAGCGCACACGCCGCCTCCACACTGCCCCCGACAAACTTGATATTAGTGCTCAGCTTCTCGCCCGCAGCCTTGCCCTCCAGCTTCGCGAAGAAGGCATTGGACAGCGACGTGAAACTTGTAACGACATTCCGGCCCACGAGCTGCTTAGCTTCGCTGATGTCGCCCTTCTCGGGGACCTGCACCTGCAGCTTGCAGCCGCCGAAACCGAGGTCGAGCACCTCTTCCACGCCGGAGGTCTCGCCCTCGGGTAGGTTGGCGTCATGCTCGGCGACCTGGTCGCGGCCTGTGATGCCCAGGTCGACGCGGCCCTCGCCGACGAAGGTGGGGATGTCGGCGGCTGGGAGGAAGATCAGTGCGATGTCCATGTTCTTTACGAGGGCGATGTCCAGGCGGTTCTCGCGGCGGAATTGGATGTCGCTGCCGGCGAGCAGTTCAAGGGTGGCTTGTTGCAAGCGGCCCTCTGCGTGATTCACATGGTTAGCGGGTGATTAAGAGGTAGAGGGTGGTTTGATGCTCGTTCTCTATGCGCTGTTGGCGAGGACAATGCCATGAGTCATGGATGGAAGATGAGAGGATACTTGCTTTTGGGCACGGCGAAGAGGAGTCTGCCTTCGAGGCTGTGAAGGACCCATCGTCAGCTATTTTATTCCTGTTGAAGATTCGGCATTGGAGAGGGCATTGAGTCGTACTGGTTTACGAGATCCATGATGGGCGCGTGGATGCGGGGCGGTGTCGCAACTTTTCTTCTTGAGGTGAGGAGGGTCAATTGCAGTGAGTAAGTTCGCCTTCAACTTGACAGTGGTTTCCGATGACGGTATAGTGGTACCTGGTATTATAGCAGGTTGTCCGCGCAATAAAGTGGCTGGACAAAATGAGTCTTTACAGAAATTCGGAGGGGCAGCGATTTCCGGTGACGCTGCGGGCCCATGTAGACCGGCAACGGAGCCCCACGTGCTGGGCAATAGATCAATGGCTGGCTATATGTGAAAATGCATGATGACTACTATGAAAGTGCTAGAATATCAAATGCTCCTTGGCGATCTACAGCCGGTCGTACTACCTGTATTCCTTTCTGAAATCCCGTTTGCCCGCAACCACAACATGGTGATTGGCTCGAGTGCATCGAAGGATGACTAACATTGGTGACTAGATTAATGCCCCCACTTTCAGGTGTCAATTATATCGCGGACACAAAGTTCTTGCTGACTCAGCGGGATAAAACGCTTTCATGCCTGACGGCTCAGGTGTCAGCAGCCCTGAGCCCTCGCGTAATTTGGAACCCACACAAGGCAAATTCATCTTCACATCCGCTACTTCCACCAGTCCACCCAAATTCTCACCAACCTCGCCCCCGAGCCCTCCTCATCCCTTCAAGATGGATTCCGCTAAGCAGCCCGTCAAGCTCGTCAAGGTGACCCGTGTCCTCGGCCGCACCGGTATGTGCTATTACCAATCCAGTCCGCGATATAAAGCTTTGGAGATCCGTTTAAGATTCCGCGGGGATGTCCCGCACGACTATGGAAATCCCCAAAATTTATTCGCAAAATGGACAATCCCGACTTTCAAAACTGTTCCCGATATTGATTTGTGATTTTTATGATTATAGGCTCCCGTGGTGGTGTTACCCAGGTCCGCGTCGAGTTCATGGACGACACTTCCCGCAGCATTATCCGCAACGTCAAGGGCCCAGGTATGCGATTCCGAAATCACCCAGTCCCAGCACCCATTTGAATATACCAGAGTATCGAAAGAGGAGGATTTCAATGAGGGGGGAACAATCCGACATTCAGAATCCACAATGGACCTGGGGTCATCCGATATGGGAATTGTTGATACTCGGGCACGCCCACGCGAATCTAGAACGCTCCGCTAATACAAGCCGAACTTTATAGTCAAGGTTGACGACATCCTCTGCCTGCTCGAGTCTGAGCGCGAGGCCCGCCGTCTCCGTTAAAAAACCCCAAAACGATTATTTGCGCGCGCTATGTCTTTCGTCTCTTGTCTCTCGCATATCCCTCCCGTTCGGTTTTTCATGATCGTTCTTCGGCCAAAAAACACTGTCCCCAAATTTCCTTTACCTCGCCGTATCTCGACTCCCGCATCTTCCTTACCTCAACCGCCGCGCCACCTGTCTCAACCCGCCGTCCGAGTCTGAGTGATCATCGACCGGAGGTTCTGATATAGGTGGATGGGATCTTCTTTTTTTTTGCTATTTGGGTGTACCCTCAAATGCAGGAATATCTCCAGAAGTCGATCTGGACTCCGATGGGAGAGAGAGATGGAGAGAACGTGCATATCCAAAAAGCCCTGTTACTATGAGAAATGAAATGAGGTTGCGCGAGAGCTGATTTCACGGATTTGTGGGTTGGTCTGGTTTGGTCTGGTGTTTTAATACTACGCTCCATTCGGTGCGCTTGCATATGGGCTCAATGCGACAAATGAGGTTGTGATGTGCTTTTCTCCTTATTTTGGCTCTAGCAGTGGTAGCAGGATGCCGAGGCTGTCAAGTCTGACCGACTACGAACTACGGAATCAAGTTGAAACCTCCAGTTCTAATTGTCGTGCCAGCTGGCGAATTGTAGTGTAGGGCATCATCTCGCAGGGCTTTGTGTTGATTCATGCTTGGAAGACAAGCTGCAAGCCAGTAGTGAGGTATGTTGTAAGCTAAGACTAGGCCCTGCTATTAGGACTAGTAGGGTATATCTACCTTGAAATCGCGTCCATAACAAGCCAGACCTTGTAATCGCTTTTTGACAGGCATAATCGAGGACAAATCTGGACTGAAACGCGGCTGTTTCTCATCCTTGATCAAACTCGTTCGATATACATACAAAGCTATAGGCCTTTTGATATAATGTACAAAACGAACACGAGAAACTTCATGACAGCTGCCCAGCACTAGCAAGTAGCCGATCAAGCAGCTCATCATCGCCACTATCCCCAGTAACAACTCTCCCCACAGCCCCCGCAAGCGCAGCAAGTCGTTTCCTCTTTATCGACTCTTCTAGCTCCGCACTCTTTTCCTTCGCAACATCCAGCACCGAAGAAGGCAAATTCGCCAGCCGCGCAACGTTCAATCCGTAGCTACGATGTGCGACGCCCTCGCCCACTTCATACAAGAACGTGATGTCTTCGTCGCCCTCCCGGACTCGGTAAAGCGCATATGCACATTCCGGAGCGAGTTATCCGGGAACGAGCGGGCCATGCGGGAGAGATGCTGGTAATGCGTAATGAACAGCGTAAGTGAGCGGATGGAGCGGACCATGTAGTCCAGCACAGCCTGCGCGATAGCGACACCATCATGCGTTGATGTGCCGCGGCCCAATTCGTCGAGAATAACCAATGACCGGGGCGTGGCTTGCTTGAGGATGTCTGCTGTTTCGGACAGCTCGACCATGAACGTGGACTCACCGGCCAGCATGTTATCAAAGGCGCCCATGCGGGTAAATACCGCGTCGAGGAGGCCCAGGCGCGCGGAGGCAGCGGGGACGTACGAGCCAATTTGGCCCATGATGGCGATGAGGGCTACGTGCCGCACGTAACTGGATTTTCCACCCATGTTGGGCCCGGTTACTAGGAGCGCTCGGGTGGCGTCTGTATCCAGGGCTGTGTCGTTTGGTACGTAGGTATCTGTGAGCAGACGCTCAACCATCGGGTGCCGCCCTTGTTCGATGTGGATGCATGGGTGCTCTGTGTATTCGGGCTTCACGTAGCCAGGTTGCTGGGCGATGGCTGCTAGGGAGAGGAGGCAGTCGAGTGTGGCGAGGGACTGCACGCAGTCTCGGAAAGACTGGTATTGTGTGGCTATTTCGGCTAGGAGTGCTGCGAATGCTTTATCGCATGCTGCTGCCAGAGCCTCTTTGTGTTGGTCCCTTTGACGCACCAGTTGTATGACTTCTGGTGTGTGGAAGCGAGATTTCTGCTTCGTACCACTGACCTTGACCCAGGAGGCTGGCACTTTCTTAATGGCCAGCGAACTGTTCTCCACCTCAATCAAGTACTCGATTCCGGAAACAGTGGCGTATTCGACTTTTTTCCTCCCCAAGCGCTCCCCGGCCACAGCGAGATGTTCTTCCAGCTCATGTTCAATGCTGGCTATCCCAAGCTTCTCATTACTGATCTCTTCCGTCTCCATCTCTTCGCGGAAGAATGAATATTTATCATCACTTCGAGCGGCGTGGAGGTTGATCCTATCCAAGTAGCGAGTGACATCTGCTTGAATTGTTGGAAGGGACGCAATAGCTGCGCTAATCAATGGCGAGTCAAACTTCGTATCTTGTGGAGATTTGACCTCCGCGAATTCCATTGAAATCATCTGCATGGTTTGGAGGACTGTAAGAAGCTCGGGTCGCGTGCACTGGTCAGGTTAGTATAGAGTGGGACGCATCGTTTTCGATGGCTTCTCACCTTGCCATAGTAAATTCGGATCAAACTCCTTTCCAGGTCACTCTTGATTTTCCCTAGTAGAGCCTTCATTCGTTCCGCGGGAACTACGCGGCTCGGATTCGTCAACTCCTCCACGGCGTTCGTACGTTCTTCCAACCGTGTCTTATCCAGCAAAGGCCGTCCAACCCAACGCCGCAACAGACGTTGCCCAAACCGTGTTTGAGTCCGATCCAGTGTCCAAAAGAGGCTTCCTTTGGACGAATGATCTGTTTGATTCTGGTAAACTTCCAGGCTGACCAGTGTGTTTCCGTTGAGAAAGCATGTGCGATCTTGCAGAAAACGGCTGGAAATACTTTGTCAGATCGAAGACATGCTCCAGACCATAGTCAGTCATGTGCTCAATCATCGACGAAAGACAGATGGTCACGTTTTCTGGCAGTCCTAACACATTCTTCAGGAGTTTGGCCGCCTCAACGTCCTCTTCAGTGCCAGTAGCCTTCATCTTTCCAGCGTAGAAGCTCGATACATGGCTGTGCGCTTCCGCGGCCGCAGTCTTCTTCTTTGCAACCCGCTCCACGCGAACGGCGTCTCCGAAAACATTCGTCTTACTTCCAGACAAATGTTGCACGAGCTTTTCGCTAGCGCGAGACATCTCTCCCACAATCACAATTTCACAAGGTGCAATATGCAGAAGACGAGTCTCGATCTCACTCCGCATAAACCCATCCTCGAAGTCATCATAGATGATATCACCTGTAGCTGGCTGAACACCGACAATACCGACATGCACACGCTCATCATTCCCCCAGCCTTTGGCATTCGTCTCGGTGATGCACAGCATGTACCCTGTGGCAGGTGAGAGCCCTCCAGCAGCAGGGGCAGGGCCCTGAAGACCCTCAACATCGTCAATATAAGTACCCTTCGTGTAAAGATTGGTCAACTTGCGCACAAACGGCGCATTGCGGTTGTCCCCCGCGGCTTTCAAAGCAGCAGTCTCAATCTGCCGAACCACTCCAACCTTATGGCCTGCTGTGACAAGTCGCTTGACATGGACATGCAGCCGGTGAACCGGAATACTCGCAGACGCAAACCGATTGATGTGAGCCTCGGAGGGGTCTATGGCCGACAATTTAGCACTTCAAGCCGAAATATCCCTCGGGATTGGCGTAGTACTCACGCTCATCGAACCTGAACTTCCCCGGAATACACACAATCCCCAGCTCCTTCGCCGCCACGCGGGCATCCTCTCCAAAAAACCGAAACTTGTACCCTACCTCCACCACTAGCACGGTATCCATATGCTTGCGCTTGATCTCAATAACCTGCTTCTCCATCGGTGTCAGTTTACTTGCCCCGCCCTTCGCAGTGGCCTTTCCTTTCTTCGGTGGAGGCGCAGGCTCGTCGTCCTCTTCTGCTTCTCCTTCCTCGCCCTCGCCCTCGGTCGCACAGTCATTGCTTGCGCTTCGGCCGATTCCGATCACACAGTCCACGCCGCCGAGCTTGCGGACAAACTTCTGGTGGAGCTTCTCCTTTTCCCTCTTCGACTCCGCATCTTCCGCGTTCTCGGCGTTCGGGGCGGGAGAGCTTTGGAACTTGAATATGTCGGTCCGCTGGCTGCTGCTCAGCTGGGACAAGGGTTTGGAAGGTTCGAGGGCGGGCGTGTCGTCTGCTGTTGTTTTGAAGCTATCGGTTCGAACTCGTTTTGTGGGTGGTACGACAACATCGTCATCGTCGTCTTCGTCTTCATGTTCGATCAGGGACCCTGCTTTCTTGATGCCTTGTTCTGGATGGGGGAAGCTGGTCGTTTCTTTGATGACAATTCTTGTGGAGGCTCTGGGTTGTTGCTTGTTGAGGCTGTTCGAGGGGTTGAGGCGGACTTTTGCGTGAAGAAGCTTGAGATGGTCTGTTGCTTGCGTTTTAGGGATGAGGATGGTGCGGAGGACGATGGAGAGGATTGAGGTGCCATGGTGTAGGCTGGATGGAATCAGAAATTAGATATCAATTTGGAAAATGCCCTTGCCAGTCAATAGAAAAACCATTAAGCCACAGTGGACACCCAGTACTTGAGGTGATCTATCGAGCTTGACGCGTGAAGAACGCGTGAGGCGTTAATGGGTTGCTGACTCACCTTATCGGCGATAAGCTCATGTAGATAAGGGGGGCTTGTGGTCTGAGTCCGATTCTATATGTAGTTGAACACCCTCATTTCTGATGAACTTGAACGGATTGTACCGGCTATATCTGTTTCAAGCTGCCTAGTAAACATGCTAAGCTGAGGTTCAAGCTCCAAAATCAAGGATTCCGCGGACATCATTTATATGTACGGAGAGACACTTGGAGCTGAATGGACTCCGATCTGAATCTGAAGGGGTCAAGGGCTGAAAGGATGTGTTCAACTTGGCCTCGGAACAGAAATATTTGAATCTCATTAAGAATAATGAACTAATTAACCGTACTGGTACATCACGGTGTCCTCCTTGCTGCCCAGAGAAATGCCGATCTATCCACCTTCCAAGTCCTTATGAAGACAGACCATGTTGTTACAAAAAGATTAGGTAGCAGCTCACGTCATTCCAGCTCTCCGATAATCAGATAAAGTCGCCTGCACTACCTGGCTGTAGGACAACTGCTCCCATAAACAAGACCGAATCACTCACCTACCAAATACAGGGCTAGGTCATGTTGCTGGCGCTCCTCGTCAGGAAGAGTAGCCTCGGACGAAAGTGCTGTCGGAGTCACGGCCCATTCATTGTTGGCTACCAAGGTGGCTTCGCCATAGGGATTGCATTCATAAGAATCCATTTTATGCCCAGGCGCCAAGAGCGGGTTTGAAGCTCGGTACCCGATGCCAGGAAGCTCGTCATAGTAGTACTGGGACAAGGAACTGGGATTGCTTGTTGCAGCCTTCTGGGCGAGGGAGAACTCCAAGGGTAGTCAATTCGGCCCTGAGAATTGAGAATAGGCTCCATGTTTTCTTTATCTACTCCTTCCTGGTCGGTCTTTCTGGCCTGCTCATTGTCATCCGAGGCCCTGTCCAATACAAGACGAGCCGGTGTCAAAGTTAGGGTATCCCTCTGAATCTTTGACAAGAGAGCTTGGTTTGCCAAGCTCGGTGGAATGCTTGCGCTCTCATCAGTAAAGACACTGAATGCCTGACGAGGACGTTTTCCAAATGCTTGGACTGAAAGAGCAAAGTCATTGTTCTCCACGAGTGGCCGCTGGAGCCCAGTCAAGCCTCCAGTGGGTAAAGAACATCCGTTATGTGTAGCATCAGATGTCGCGCTATGCTTCCGGCTGCGTGTTGTGACTCCTTTGGAGCCCTTCCTATCCTGAGGCCACATGATGTTCGGGTCCAAGCTTTTCTGGAGAGCATTTTTCTTTGGATGAGTACGGGACTTCGGAATTGGCGTCTCGCCTTTCAAAGGGCTGTCATTGTCCGCATTGCCGTCGATCAGCCGCTCCCTGAGTAGATTACCAGTGGGAGAGAAAAACAAATTCTGTAGGCTCAATCTGCAAGGAGGACTGTTCCATCTTCTTCAAGACTTCACAGTCTTTCTTCTGGTTTCTCTTGCGACGCATTTGTTGCGTGGCGGAGTCAAACAAGTCCATCCCAGGCCAAATTATACCTTTCAACCGGGCCATTTCGTCGGGCCCTACCTTGTAATCAAACTCATCTGAAGTGTTCGTGGGGAAAGTGCTGTCGAGCAAGGGCTCTGAAGCATTCTTCAAATCCAAAGATAATTCGCCGACGATGCGTTTATTCCGATGTGGCTGTGGTGTTTTGGGGATAGTTGTTATAGGGAAGCTACCTTGCCCATGGGTATGTCCATGCTGGTTATCTGGCCCACTGGCGGCTGTACATGTCGCTGAGGTCGCTCCAGCTTGCAATTGAGACGACGGACGGTCTTCTGCAGTAAAAACAGAAGGAGTGACAGGGCAAGAAGACTCATCTATCGCTTGTGGTTCTTTGGTAGGGCCCGGGACCATCAAGCGGGGATCTAAGAAGTCCGGCACAGCTTGAGAAGATTTCGACGAACGTCGAGGCTTCTTTCTTTGCGGAATCTTTGCTTCACCCTTTTCCGCTTTGGACTTTCGCTTCTTCTTTCGATCGTCTTTGGAGGTCATGCGATCCGAAAGTAGCTGCGCGAGATCGTTGCCACTGTACCATTCGTTGTACTCGTTTAGGAGCTCGGCAGCGGCAGGATCTTGAATAGTGCGGACTTGAAGGTTGAAATAATGAGACAAATGGGCCTTCGATGCAACATGGGTCAACAGATGAGACACGTCGCTGAATTGTGGAAGTGTCGGGCAAATGATGCAATGCAGCGTTGCAGCGTCCATTGTTCCAAGAGCAATTGGCCGCAAATCCAGAAGGAAGCAACAAGAAAAGCCAATGGCAAAAGAAAATGAGAAAGCAAGAATCAATGCGAGAACAGAGTGTCGAAGGAGCGATGGGAATCAGACAAAAGAGAGAAGGGAGACTGGCTGGGGTCTGACATCAACGGGATGGAGTACACCCGGAAACCGCTCCAACCGCTCGAGAGGGGGAAGGAGCCAACAGCGGGAAAATCTGCGGTAGGATGGAATATCAGGTGGATTGCACTGCATTGGTATCATTTGAATGTGGGATCGATGCTAATGGTCTGGCTATTCTATTATTACTCAGATAGAAATGTGCCACGATGTCTTAACAGCCTTCAGGCTATTGTGGGATGGTATGAAGCGGAAATAAGTCAAAGTGGACAATTGCTCTCCTCCTGCCTTGTATCCCATGGCCTATGGAGAAAGAGAACAATGGGTTATTAGATGGCAGGAGGAATGGGACGAGTGAATTCACTTGTGTTATGATTCACTTCCCTAGGCGCCGAGAAATGACAGACTTGGGCATACAGCTACTCCCGTTAGTGAATAATCGTGTTCCAAGGGAGTTGGCCCACTTACTAAACGGGATCTATCTCCTCTAGCCCTTCGAACTTTAGCAAACTTAGGCCTGCCAGGCCAAAGTGAGTATGATAGACATCCACCATGTTTCCAGGTCGATCGGCAAAGCCACCTGCATTGGGGTCCTAGAGAGCAATTAGCCGTCGAACTCGCATCATGCCTCCCAAATTTGACCTACCTGACACTGCAGAACAAACCCAGCCAACTTCTGTCCATCAATCCAGTGAAGCCGATCAATCATAGCAAGACTTGATCCCACCCACCAAGCGTAGCAGGAATCAGGTAACTTTTCGGGACGGCCATTAAAGCCACCCTTGTCAACCTGCCGTTCGCTGAGCCAGGCTCCCAATCGGTCCTTGTTGATCAAGTCCAAGCGACCGGCAATAGACAGAGCTCCGATACACGTGAAGACCTGACCAGCATGAGACTCAGCCCCGGGAGTTACGCCATAGGCTCCGTCTAAGTTCTCACAGCTTTGGACATAACTGACGGCCTTAGGTACATCGACCAGATCCATCAGACGCAGCAGAGACAGAGCATTCAGAGCACCATAGAGGAATCGAGTGTCAGTTTCACCCCACTCGTCGCCCATGAAACAACCCTCTTCGTTCTGCAAGCTGGCAATGACTATTGAAGTTCAGTATATGGATAAGAGAATCTCTTCAAGAGGAGCAGCGTACAAGAGCCCACTTTTTGAATACCACCTTTACCATTCTGAGCGCCTTTGCCCTTGGCCTCTAGCTCATCCAGTGCATCCACAGTGACAAGAATTTGCACTGCTGATACTGTATAGAGCATATGGGCATCGTGGCCTGGGGCAGCACCGAATCCCCCATTCTCCTTTTGGCAAGAGAGTACAAAGTCAATAGTACTTTGCCTGGGTAGAGCTTCGGGTGCGCCCAGTAAATGAAGGGCAGTTAACCCCCAGTAGACACCATTCAGACGCAGGTGCTCTGTCAGCCAGTACTCCAGCTCATCTTTCCTCTATTTTACAGTCAATGAATGCCTCGAAGTAAGACTGAAAAGAGGCACGCACAGTGTCCAGCTTGGTGATGTAAGTGATGTGTTTCTGGGTGTGTAATTCTTGGTCAGAAGTAGCGCCTCCCGCTCTGCCAGGCCCTGATACCAAGGCCATTCTGGACAGTAGAGCTATACCGGCACGTGCGCGCTGGTCGTTAGTTGCGGGAAAGGGGGAAAGCTTGTTCGGGAGGAGTGGTTCAGGCTCAGATCATGCTGGTCATTAAGCTAGGATGCATAAGCGGGGACCGCTCTCAAGCAGAGCCGCGGGAGTAAGCCAGGATCCCGCGAAGCGAGTAAAATGTGGCTGACTTGGGCTGACTTGGGTCAGATTTGGACCAACCGGGATCGCGCTCTTTTTCAAGGGTGTGTGGTCACGTGGGCGGTAAACACAGACATTTTCTCCACTTGTTTAGGGCTCGTGCATAAACGCATAATCCCGGAGCGAACTTGTGCATTCGCACTGTTCGCGCCGTTACACGGCCACTTGCTCCATGCGCTCTGACAGAGTTAGTTCGTTCGGGATCTTTGTCACGCTATGTTTCAGACTGGCATTACATCCCAAGAACGGGGATTGGTCAAAGAGCCCCCACATATTGGACAGCGTGGCAAAGAAAAGAATTCATCAGCATTACTGCGTACAATACTATAAACACCGCACATAGTTAATCATGCTGATGATAATTCTGGAAAGCGGATGACCTTTCCTTCTGATAGGAGCCAACGTGTGCTTTGTTTTCCTCTCAATGTCACCTGCACGGGCAGTCTTGGAAGTATTTTAAAGTCCATATTTCGAGCCAGCGTTTTTAGTACTCCAATAGCCTGCGTATTCGACCTACTGAGTAATAATACAGGGCATGTCGGTTGATTGTGGCATCTAAATTCAAGTTGAAGGACTCAAACTAGATGAACCGTCAGCGAGACCGGTGAAATAACCCAACAGTCTTATTATGTATCGACAAGATAAATTTGGGAACGCAAAAAGTTCCATATCAAGCTCCCCAGCAGGGTGGAAATGTATCTTAGAATTTGAGACAAGTGGGGTGACACCAGGCCTCCAGCCACGGTTGAGGGGATACAAATGGAGTACTCCGTAGCTACCGGAGTTATCAGGATCGGTGGGTGCAGTCTGAAACTTGGATCAATTTAGGAGACCAAGGGGCGAATCAATGTGGACCTACTCCGTACATCCGCGGCGCCTACGGCGTACTCCGTGCGCTGGGTACTATTCTCAGTGGCATTGGCCAGTTTGGATTTGCCCAGTACTTTTGCAGGAGAACTAGAGCCCTCCAGTACTCCGTAGTTTGAAGGCGTTATCTACCCTGTGCCGTTTTATGCAAGGTCCGACGAATCCCCACTTGGTGCTATTTGGATCAGTCTAAAATGTTGCGACCGGCTCAGGTACCTGCTCCTGAATCTCACCGTGTTTGGCTCACCAAAATTGTATCGAGGTCCACTGGCATCATACCCATGGACGATCGGCCAGGTACGATGCAGTGCGCTTGGATTTGCCAGCACAATGACTCCGTCCCCACTGGCATCGAGCGACCGACAAATCAGGCTCGCATGCGCTACTACGTAAGGTACGTACACCGTCGCGCCCGTGGCTCCAGCTGCCAGACCCAATGGTACTGAGTGGATGACTGATCGAGCGCATGTCATACTCGTACACGTATTCACTGCAGTACAGTCGTTACTCTACACCGCTAGGACTGGGAGAACGTGACAGTCTCCCAGTCTTCTGTTTATCCTATGTCGCGCAGCGCGTCCGAACAATAAATACTCACTGGTCCACTTTCCCAGTGCCCAACATCAGGGCCATAAGAACAAAGCGTGGAAAAAAGAAAAGGAAAAGAAAAAGAAAAGGATCGACATGCAATTGGGTCATGGGAAGCCACTGAGAATGGTCTTCCTATGAGAATCATTGGGAGGATGATGATCCTTGGTCGGATGTGACGTCGTCCCGCGGGAGGTTAATTGTTGTAGCAAGGGAATGAGATTGCCTATATAGTAGATGGTAGGAATTGTATAGTTGGTATCTGTGACTTCTAATTCCTACGTACCGAGGATCAAGTATACAAGCAGTTCCCCACCGTGATTTTCTTGTCCTTGGTGGACCACTTCTCCATACAAATTTATTTTAAGCGTAAGGCAACAGAGGCCGTGGATCTTCGACCTTGCATAACCGAATCCCCGTGGAATGTCCCTTCTGCTCGCCAATTTCCCTTCCTACATTGTTGCGTGAATATCACAAATTTACGTCCTCCGCGTACGGTTGCCTGCCCAAACGACTGCAGCTGCTCGGCAGTGTCCACTTAGGTGTCAGTGCTCCTGCTAACGCAGCCACCTCAGCGCTAGCTCGTTTCAGGGGAATTCCCTTGTCCACCCATTCAATACTCCTATCTTGATTTGGTTTTTTTTGGGGTTTCTTTCTCTTTCTTTCCTTTTTATCTTTTTGCGCTTTCTGGTCCCGGATTCCTTCTCATTCTTTCGTTTTTCAATCCTGAGTCATTCTCTCATTCCTGTAGGGGAGGCTTCGGATTTCTTTGCAGGTTGGGCGACACGCTTTTACCCGACCCCGTCCGCCGATCATCGATCCGCCAGAAAGAGGGGAACGCGATCAGGTCCTTGCAAGCGTCCACAAACCTTCAGGGCATGAAGGGTAGCCTGGTGAGTATTGGCATCGATCTCTTTACAACCTTCAGTCCCGTCTACTGTGTCAACAAGGCAGTACCTGGCCTTGTTTACCGAAGCCCAGGGCTTGGATCTCCGACCCCCTGCATCACCCACCATCCAAGATGGTTTCACTTGACTTTTTTGAATCCTGACATGGTGACGACTATCAAAGATGTCAGAAGCACAGGGCTGATTTCTGTCTTCTCCTCAGCTTCCATTCCTTCGATCACATCAGCATTGGCATCTCTCATCGCCCGTCCACATTCTTTTTGCGCCTTCGAGTGAGCAGTTCCAAGGTACTTGCCTGAAGGGCGCCGCAGTCATATCAGCCATCTATCGCAATATCCCTTATTCGCAACTGCGGCCACTCTAGCCTAATACGCTTGGCTAAGCCGGAAGTATCTGTTCAACACCGGACTGCATACGATACGTTGAACTCGTCACACACGCGCGACCACCCCTCCGATCACTGGTTCCTTGACTTGCGCTGGTTGATCTCATCAATTGTCGCCTAGCATGCCATCCAAAACCCCGAAAGTCCCCAATTTGGATCTGAGCGCAGCCAAGTCCGACTCGAAAAATGCCCAAGTTTCATCTCTGTCACCAGGCGCCCAGAACTCCGACAACCTGAGTCCCTTGACACCGCGTTCGCCAAGATCCATGCCCGGCTCGCCGGTAATCGACGGTACAACAATTCGCCCAGTGAAGGAGGATTCGAGCAGCAAAAACACAAGCCCAATGTCATCGCCTAGCCACCTAGCTGTCGATAATGAGCTCAATGAGACATTAACTGAACCGTCGACTCCTGGCATTACAGCTATTCCCCAATATCCATCTCCGAAGCAGTCTCCTAAACATACCAGAGACGCGTCACGGTCATTCTTTGGCCAGCTGAAAGCACCAAAATCGTCCCACAAAACACAGCGTTCGGACGGCTCAGACATTTCAACAGAGCCACCAAAAAGCCGAGGTCACTCTAGCAGGGGCCATTCGAGCCGTGGGGCTTCAAGAGACGGGAAACAGCCTCTGCCACAGAGGTTGTCAGAGTCGACTCCCGATTTGCCTACACTCTTACTTCAGGCAGAAGAAGCAGAGAAGAGTGAGATCGCACCTCCAAACAAAAGATCCGACATTTTCCTGAACGCTTACGTTGAATAGATCTAGATTCTGTCGGCCATGGTACCGTGAACAGCAGCAAACACGCCGCCGAGGCTGATTCCGTCCCTGCGAAAAAGAACAAGCGATTCGCTAATCTTTTGACACGGTCTCGCTCCATTCGAGTGGACGATAACGCCGCGAATAGACCCATGCCACGAAGGCCATCACTTGGTCTGGCCAAGCTCGAGGAATTCAAGCCTGAGTCGCAAAAAGCCCACTTTTCCCCTACCACTGTACAGCCTGAACGATCTAGATTGGCAATTCCCGCGGATAGTCCTTCAGTCCGGAGAGACAAGTCCACCGGTGGTTCCATGGTCCCCTCACACTCTTTGAGCCAGGTTTCCGGTGTTTTCAATACATTCAAACAATCATCCAGTGGAGCCGCAGATCATCTGGGCAAGGCTGGGAAGGGTTTCCTCAAAAAGATCACTCGGAGCGGCAGCACCAACGAGCGCGATCTCGTCACCGACGACAATTATGTTTGCAGCACCATCAGCCTCCCGTTGTTTGAGCAAGCGAGAAAGACAAGAATTGCCAAGAAATTGGAAGATTGCAGAGACAAGACAGAGTTCTGGATGCCTGCTCTTCCATATCGCTGCATTGAGTAAGTGTCAAATGCAGTATCAAAGCACCTGTGTGGACTAACAAGGCTTCTCAGTTACCTCAACTTCAAAGGCTGTGAGGAGGAAGGTCTTTACCGAGTTCCAGGAAGTGGTAAAGAAGTCAAGTATTGGCAGCGCCGGTTTGATACAGAGTTGGATGTTGATTTGTTCGATGTACCTGATCTTTACGACATCAACACGATCGGGTCTTTGTTCAAAGGCTGGCTTCGAGAACTGCCGGATGAGATTTTCCCCAAGGCGACTCAAGATTTGATCGCTCAAAAATGCGAAGGAGCCACCAGTGCGCCTCAGCTGCTCCGCGATGAACTTTCTAAGTTGCCGCCTTACAACTACTATCTGCTCTTCGCCATTACCTGCCACCTGAACCTTCTTCACTCTTACGTGGACCAAAACAAGATGGACTATCGCAACCTATGTATCTGCGTACAGCCTTGTATGAAGATCGATACATTCTGTTTCCAGTTCCTGGTCTGTGACTGGAAGAACTGCTGGCAGGGGTGCTGGACCGAGAAGGAGTGGGTCCAAAAAGAGAAGGAATTGGACGAGGCAGAAGCGAGGAAGGCCGAAGAAAAGGCACCAGTCAGTGATGAAAGGGCGATCTCATCAAGCTCCAGCTCGGAGGAGAAGGAAAAGCCTCGTCCTCAGACCCGTGACCGAGGCCGAGGCCGCAAAGCTCGGCCGAAGGACATCGAGACCTCCCACACCTCCCACACCTCCCACACCACCCACACCGCACACACCGCACACACCTCGCACACCCGAAGCGTCTCACAACTTCCAGAACTCGGACCTCCACTGTCTCCGATTAAAATCTAGGCTTCAAAGGCCCCCACTCACCATCCAAGGCTTGTGTGCAAGGCACTCGTCATCGTAAGGCGCAGTCCACTTTTAGGCGCCTTGTATGCCTTTGGCACGGACTCTCTTGTCGGCTGGACCGACCCTGCCTCTGATCAACTTTGCAAGCCATGCCAGCAGTGCTCATTGGTTTACGCCGAAATGAATTCCTCGCATCGTTGTTTCCTTGAGTCTCACGTTAAGCTGACACTGGGCCTTACTGCCTTTGAATTCTCGTGGGCTGGACAAGCATCTTCAGTGCATCATCTCCTGGCGTCTCCCTACCGGATCTCGTATCATTCATATTCAATTCTCTTGGTGTATATTTTGTGGTCATGTTATCTCTGCTGCTCCGCTCCGGTCAACAACCATTGCTTTCATTGCCATCGTTTCTTATCGTCTTTTTCTATGGTCTGTCCTGTTTCAGCTGCGTTTTCAGATATCCCTCTGTGGCTTGTTTCACTTGCTTCATGCTTCCTGTCCTTGCACTTACTCGGCTGGTCTTCATTATTTATTCGTCATTCATGGTGTTCAATATCTGGCGGTTGTACAATAGCGATTATGGTTGGCATTTTCGGTTTAATGGAAACCAAATCGGTTCAGCATTTACATTCTTTAGCTTGAAGTTCCTATTGAGTAATTAACTACCCAAGTTATGTGACTAATCGTGATGTCCAAACCACACTACGGGTGGACTAGTCGCAGATATTAGCTGTCCAGCGTATGCCCTTTGGGCTCCCTACACCAGTATCTTAGGCTACTAAGAGGGTTGCATCGAACACAAACACTCAAGGATCATACTGAGAGAAACACGAGCTGGAATAAGAAAATGCTTTTGGTATGTCTTAACTAGATCATCTGGTCATGAATGATGAGTGACCTCAACTCCAACCCAACGCCCGATGAAAAAATCCAAGATGTGAAAGGATATACAAGATAACAGCACCAAAGGTCCAAAGCCCTTACCCTCTACTGGGTTTCTTAGCCTTGCGTTCATTCGCGCGCATTTTGCGCTCATTGCGCTTAATCCTATCCTTACGCTCGGCACGCGACATGCCGCGGATCGAGCTACCCTTCTCGGCAGCCGCCTCCTCCTTCTTCCAGTCCTTCTCCGGAACCTCAACAAGCCACTGGTCTTGATCGGCCTTGTTCTTACCCTTGTAGCCCCAACGCGGCACCCATTCGCCCGTCGTCTCATCGTAGACAAGGTTCTTGCGGCGCTCTTTATCGGCCAGCGCGGCGCCGGGCTTGGAGCTGTACTTGCCGATGCCCTTCTTGCGGGCGAAGAGCTCCCACTTGGTGGGGGGTTTGGGGGTTGGCAGGGGCTTATGGCGGGGGAGGGTTGTGTTGGGGGCTGGGAGGCTCAGGAGAACGCCGTTGTCGACTGATGAGGTGATGTTGCAGGTTGTGAGAAGCTGGTTGATGAGGGCCTGGGTGCCATCGCGGGCGACTGCTTGCAGAGCGCTGTCGAGTGATTCGCCCTGTGGGAGCTCTAACGGGTTTGGGTCATTGGCCATGAGGTTGCCTAGATCGAAGGTGTAGGGGGTAGGCTTCTCGACGGTGATAGGACTATGGTTGGTTAATTTATGGTCTTGTTGGGACATGTTTATACGGAGATATAGATTCGGGGTTCGTACAGTCTTTCCGGCTTTGAAGAGCCAGAGTTGGCCATGTCAGTGTCTGTCATGGCGGATATATCGTCGGACGACAAAACTCTGCTGCAAAATAAAGAGATTTCTCAACAAGTGGTGATTGTATCTTTATCTCCAGACGAAAAAAAAAAGTTATCGGCGCTCCCACTTTTCTGCCGCGCATGACTAAGGAGGTATGGACCGCCTGCCTATATTAGGAAAACGGGATCGATTCATCAAATTGTTATAGGCTCTTCTCCGGTCCGCCTCTTTCACCCATTATCTTACCACCCCAATCCGCCAGAATTGTTCTACACTGGCCCTTGTGCCGGTGCTACTGAACAATGGCTTCACCGTGGTGCTGGAGTTGCCTCTCGCCACTCCGAACACCACGAGCAATCCTCCCCTCGTCAACCACCACAACCCGGATAACAACCGCCGGATTCCACTCAACAGCGGTTCAATATGCTATGCCCGCAAAGAAGAATAAGAACAGCATAACCCAACTGAAGTACCGACAGGGTCAGACCTTGCGCAGGAAGAAGAAGAAGGCGACCGAGAACCGTGCGCGTCCTCCAGCCATTGGAGAGCGCAAGGCCATGCGAAAACGCATTGTCCTTAGCAACCCCAATGCTTTGGAGGTTGAAGGCATGCAGGAACTCTCCCCTGAGACAATGATCGACAACCGTCTTCGCGGCTCCGTTCTGGGCCTGCCGGTCACCATGCTCGATCAATTGAGAGCTGTGCAGGCTTTCAAGCCCCGGCAGGGTTGGAACATCTTCCGTCGTCCGGGCACTGTGCTTCGCCGGGATGCGCTTGAGCTGGGCCAGCTGTTTGAGAAGATTTCCGGTGATGATCCTGCTGAAAAGGGCAAGGTTGTAAGAAAGATCATCACTGGACCGAAGGGATCTGGAAAGACTGTTCACTTGCTGCAGGCTGCGGCCATGGGATTCTTGAAGAACTGGGTGGTCATCACAGTTCCCGATGGTATGCCTTCTTCAATATGCCCCTGTTGAGTGTTAATTGATTTTCGTGCTAATATGTGAATTCCTTAGCCTACGAACTCGTCTCTGGTACAACCAGCTATTCTCCCATCGAAGGCTCGAACCCACCGCAATACGTGCAGCCCAATGCTACGTCTGCTCTCCTCAAACGAACTGTCGAGGCTAACTCCAAGGTTCTGGAGAGCCTGAAAGTCTCCCAGAAACACGCCGGATTAGAAAACTTGAAGCCAACCATGACTCTGAAGGACTTGGCCCAGCTTGGGTTGGGAGATGCCGCCCTTTCCTGGCCTGTTTTTCAGGCTCTGTGGGCCGAACTCACCGCCACCAGCCCGGCCCCGGGAATGGAGAACGGATTCCAGTCTCGACCTCCCACTCTTGTGACTGTTGATGGCCTGTCCCACTGGATGACCAAGACTGCCTACCGCGCCGAGGACTACAGCTTCGTTCATCCTCACGACCTTGTGTTCGTTCAGCATTTCCTTTCATTGCTCAAGAGCGATAAACCTACGCTGAAAAACGGCGGTATGCTTCTCTACGCTACCTCCACCTCCAACAACCCCTCCAGCTACAGCCTCGAGGTTGGTCTGGACCAGATGATCGCTCGCCAGGATGGTGTCAGCCCCACTTCTCCCGACTACCCAGCCCCTGAGGCATACAGCAATGCTGATCCCCGTGTGCTCGAGCTGTTCAAGCCCACCGCTGCTTCGGGTAAGGAGGGTGTGCTTGAGCTGCAGACTCTCGGTGGCCTTACCCGCGAGGAGACCCGCGGTTACTTGGAGTACTTTGCTCAGAGCGGTCTGTTGCGCGAGAACATCAATGAGAAATGGGTCAGCGAGCGATGGAGTCTATCCGGAGGTGGTATCATTGGCGAGCTGGAGAAGCTTGGCCGTCACGTCAGCGCTCCTGCGAAGCTTGCCCAGCCTACCCCGGACGTTGAGTAAGGATAGGTATTGTAATAGTGTGCCTTGACCTCTTGCACTTGGGCTGTTGATAGCCTAATGTGCTGTACTGTAAATGGGTTGGATCTCGTTTAGGGCTGACACTTCTCTTCGTGTACTTTACAGACTCTTGAAGCCCTTTTTGTTTTCGTAGTTTGTATGGATATAATGGATTATTTTTCTACATGGCTTCCTAATTTTTTGTCAGACTCGAATCACTTTACTGTGAAAGAATTGCCTCATTCGAACTATGTAGTTATACCACTTGAGACCTAAAGAGCGAATAAATTACCCCGACAACCCAAAGAAGTACTATGCCAGAATTCTTTCTCCCCTCTCAGTTCGAAGACTAAATTGATTCTTTTCCCAACCTCTGCATGATCCCTTGCCTGGTTCTGCCGATGCTCCATGGTAGCCTTTTCTTAACTGTAGAGTTTGTCCTTTTCGTGCAACTCCACGCTCCCCTTAAGCAGGATTTGCCACGAACATCGCCCTTCCTTTGCGTGACTTACTCGAATCAAATCTAATGGCTCTGTGTTGTCGGCCACGCAGTCTTTTATACATGCGTAATCCGGGCTGGTCACTACTTGCGGATCATCATGTACAGGGGAAGAGTCTGCTTCGGCGTTATTGAAGCTTGATAGTAACTCAGCTGGGACCTCTGTACCAGGGCTTCAATGTTGTAGAGGTACTCTGGCTGTTGTCACGGCGACTTACCTCAAACCCTTCTGTAGAGTCATTTCCATTCGATGAGAGCGGCAAATAGCGTCGGATAGTAAGCTCGTCGTAATAGGTCGGACTTTTCTTTTTCGCATTGGAGTTTGTGTAATATGAATAGTATGGATAGTATGGATAGGTCTGATATGCCGGGATAGGCCCTTGGCGGTGCTCATGCCCAAAGGGCTTCTGATCTTATGTATGCTTGACATTTTCATTACTCCACGCACGACGTTGCCTCCAAACACTTTTCACATTTTCCCTTAGGCATGGTTGATTCTCATTACCAAGAGCTCAAGCCTTGGGATTTTAGGGCCCAGGGGCTTGACTTTTGAATGAAGATCGGAGAGGGAGAAGAGAAGAGATCAATAACTGGAATGGCAGTGCAGGCTTACCAGGGTCTTCATCTGGAGCAAAGATGCTGGTCTCGCAAACTATATTTGGCCATCGCTCAAAAGACATCAACGATGACTGCCATGAAGACTTGGGGGATAGTAGCATCCTGGTCCTATAAAGAGGATACTTTATCAAGGTTGCACAAGGCGCAGCCCTACGAAAGCCTCGCCGGCAGCTTGGCAATTTGAAGGACATCAATTAACAAAGAGTTGCGGTTCTCTCGAGAAGTTCTTTTCTTATCGTGCTTGCAGACCAGTGAAGATACCAAAACTGAAACTTTGACGGATTGCGACTTGGAATGTCTTCCCTTGGTGTACTCTGTAGTTACAGTACGATGCAGCAGTGTATTGACATCAACATGCGGCCCCTTCAAGGCTTTTGGGGGCTACTCGCAAGCGCCTCCTTGTGGGTCAGAAGCCTAAGCACCATCAGGAATGGGTCTCGCAATCTTCTGCTGTGAGTGGCTGAGTTTCGCGACCTTGAGGCAAAGCTGAAGAACGCCCAAAGCTCAGAGGAGTAAATTGGCCCCCAGGATACGGGCACTTAGGCCCACATCGCCCTCCTGCGACCAACTGGGGTTTAAGTTGAAGCGACTGAAGGATTTATCAACGCTCTCGGTGTCCATTTAGCCCGCAGCTAAAACATCAGGTAATTGGATTAACCGGTTCGAAAAAGTCCTCATGGCCTGATTCCCCCGAACCCCCGCGCCCGCGGCTTTCAATCCCTTCGAGGCTCGCAATGGCAGGGCAGGATGGGTTTACGCTCAAGCTAAGTCAGAATGGCGTATACGCCGTGTTGCTTGCCTTCTGGTGCGTCCAGACTGTGAATGCGGCCATCTTGTTCGGACTGTTCGCTTGGTGGACCAAATTCCCGGGGTCCAGAACGCTTCCGCGGTGGTTTGTTATCGCTACGCTATTTGCGAAGACTTTGTACGCCGTTCTAACGGTCGTCGTTGCCTCAAGCTCGGTTTGCTGATATTCCGAATCTGCAGCTCCGGCGTCATCCATATTATCGAATTTTCCCTGAATTTGGCAGGAGGAGAGACCACCCCGCAAGTCGCGGCTCAAAACATTCTCTGGACGCTCCTGTACTATGTTTCAAGATGCGGCACCTTCTACATCTTCTACGAAATTGTTCATATTTTGATCAATCGCTTCAATGATCTCAAACAATACTTCGCCATCACGAGGATCGTACATGGGATAGTGATGGCTGCAATCATTGTTACCGCAATCGTCGCCTGGATCCTCTTGCTAGTCCTTGAGATTCGCGGCAAGAAAATGGACTATTCAGGACATTCGTCCAGCAATGGCGGAGAGACAGCCCATAGTGTTGTTTCTTGGGTGGTTGGAACAGAGATCGTGTGCTGGTGCGCGTATCTCACAGCCAAAGGGTTCAAGCATCGTGTGAGCATAAAATGGAAGGTAAGGTGACATCCGGCCTTTGATTTGACACCTTCTGACTTCTCATTCAGGTTTTACTCATCGCTGCTCTCTTCACGACTATCTTCTTTGCGGCCTTTACTTTTTTCTCTGCGCTCTACGATATCCTCTACGTCTCGCCTGGAGCGCTATTTTCGCCCGATAGCTCTGCGCTTCTTGGTGGCTCCATCTTTGCCGCTTTGCAGGTGATCTTCGATGTGCTGGCTTGGGTTGTATTGCTTTTTTGCTGGAATCAATGGGCGAAGATTGAGCAGACGCAGAGGCGAGTCGTAGACAGAGGCCCCAGGGATGCTGGCCCCGCAGAGATCGGGGATAGCAGCTCCGCTACGTGGCTTGTCGAAGCTGATTCGGGCCTCATCCCAGAGGTGGACGGTACTCCCAAACAGTACCATGAGGCTGATGGTCGTACCAAGGGGATTTTGGAATCCAGAGTCCACGGCAAAAACATGGTCTTTGAGCTGGATTCGAGGCCACGATCCGAATTTTTTAATGCAAAACAATAGTATAACGAGACAATAAAGCATACATAGAATTCTAGTAAAGGTAACAAAAATCTCCATAGTTGTCGATCGGATCTATTTTTGGACGCATGACCATGGCACGCAGTTCTCCACACGTGGACTTGTAGACCAGGGCTTGGCGCCTTACCACTTGCGAGAACACAGCTCGATTTGAGCCTCGCGGAGTATCCAGGTGATCGATCCTTACCCAGGCAGGGGGCGATCTCATCCTTCTATCCTCCACACCATTCTCAGTGCTCGGGATCTCCGTGTTGAAGATGTACGGATCGAACTCCTCCAACCCCGCGCAGCCCGAATGGCGACTGCCTCCGCGGCCTCCCACATCGCAGCCTGAAGCTTCCCAACCACCGCCACCCCCCACGCCCTCCGCCTGCACCGGCTTCTTATTCTCCAGCGACTTATGGCCCGATATCAAATGCCCCGAGTCCTAGCAGTGATCCCCGAACGTGGGGCGTACGATATAACCAACACCAAATTCATGCTCCACCCCCGTTACCAGTACGCCAAAGCAGTCATCGATAAGAGAAAGGGAAGATACTGATGCTGCTTATAGCCTCGACCCTCGAGTACAAACGAACAGCCCTATGCTTATGTGCACCCCCAATCACACTCGCCTGTCGGACAAAATGCCTTCCCTGCCCCTGCTCCTGCGCCAGGTCCAGCGCCAGCGGAATCACAACCGCAGTACCATCTGGGACAAAGCCATTTCCCACCTTTCTCCGGTCCACAGCCACCTCTTTCCGGTCAATCGCCGCCGCCTCCATCTTATGAATACGCTCCAAGCCCAATGACTACTGTCCCGCCCCCACCGCCAAAGGTTCCCCAGGGATATACCGGACATGTAGAAGCACAACCCAATCCGCCGCCACCACCCCGGCCGCCATTACTTGCGCAAGGTGTAGGACCGGCTGCAACAACAGGTTCATATGATTTCCGACCTGTGGCTTCTTCGAGCAGCAACGTAGCCCCGGCAAATTATTCGGCTCTGGGCCCTGGCTCTCCTTCCGACTGGGAGCGCTTTGGACCAACCCCTGGCGACTTTGATGATTCACCTTGGTTCCCACCAAGACAATCACCTCAACAACCAGGAATGCAAACGCCCCCAGGGTTCTCGACTGGAGTGTCTCAATCTCAAGCTCCGGCAGTGAGTACCACAAGTGCGCCTCAGCCTCCGATGAATCCAACCCTGCCAGCTCATGGTGTTTTGAGCCAAGAGATGCATCCCCGGAGAAGTGACTCTGTTTCACCGATCAGCCCCTCTCCTTCACAGAGAATACATACTCCTCCATCCGCAGGGAGGGCGACACCACCAGCGGGGAAGACGGCACCGCCAGTTCGTATGGATAGCGTAGACTCTAAAGGTTCCGGGGTTTCAGAGCGTGCTGAAAGCATAGACCATGTCATCGATGCGTGGGTCCGACCTCTGGAGCCTGCAAAGCCGGCCCAGTCTGATAGCGGCACATCTACTCAGCCAGATGTAGCTTCTCCAAGCAGCCAGGACTTACCAGCAGAGCCTACAAAGCCTTCGTCTTCTGTCCTAAATACTGCATCTACATCCATGGCCGTTTCTTCGGCTACTGAAGAGCCAGGTGCCCCAGCTGCACTCAAGGCGGAAGATCCGTATGAGGATCTGGATCCATGGTTCAAGTCTTCTTTGACACGATATGTTGCTATGCTGCGCAAAGAGGCGGTTGCAGACTCTGATGAGGAACGATACAAGATTTTCACAGCATTCACGGCGAAGGAAACCAAACTGCGGGAGATTCTATACAATATTGAACATGCACCCCCAGAAGGAGCACCACCTCCAAGCCACGCTATGCCTGAGAAGCGCACTTCAGTCTCCGAAGAGCCAAAGGGGCCCGAAGGACCGAATCAGTCAGCAGAGCCGGATGAACGCAAAGTTCCTATCGAGTCTGGGTTAATCCCCGTGGAGAGCGAAGAGCTTGTTCCGCATCTGCATGTCACTAATAACAAAGTCAATGAGGAAGACGGAGATGGGGACGACGCGAATGACTCTGGGAGCGAGTACAGCGCGGGCGGGCGGCCAATCTTTCGCAAAAAGACGACGCAGCCTCCAAGACGCTTGTCGCACGATTCCTCTAAACTTACTTTGGACGGCCCGGAGCAGGAAACCCCCCTGGAACCGCTCAACTCTAACCCGCCACGTCCCATTTATACCCCTTTCCAATACAAGGAGGGTCCGCAACGGGGTTCGGACGATCTACGATTTGACCGCCCCGCATACCAAGGCTACTCTGATTTGCGACAAGCCTCAAACACGAGTGGACGAGTGATGTCAAATGCCCTTCCGGTCCCCGCCACGGGGCCCGATACATTGGCTCCGCCCTCCGGGTTGAATGACAAGGATGAGACCTTCCTTGGTCTCATTCGTCACAAGAGCAATGCATACCAGACGATGAGCCGCCGTAGTGCAACACCACTAGCGCTTTTGCCTGAATCTCTCAAAAAACGAGGGCGCTCGGGTACCTTGGTCGAAGACTTGCGTACTCTAGTGTGGACGCCACTGGATAAGCAGACGGAGAGCTCATGGCACAAGACCACTCGTGAAGACTTGGCGAAGTACCCCGACGATTTTGCATATTTGAAGCAAACATATGATGACTGGGAGCGCACCGCTTCCGCTCGGCGTCATAGGCTAGAGAAAGACCGCGCAGCGCGACAAGAGGATTCAGAAGCTCATATAGATGAGCTTTTTAATGAGAAAGAAATAGGCTATGCCGACATCAACACCCTTGAGGAGCAATTCCGGCAGAAGGAGGCACGAGTCCAGCTTGACGAGGAGCGACAAGAAGTGGAGAGCTTTATGACCCACGTCTTCAATCCTCTTGATGAAAAATTGAAGAATGAGATTGCTGCTCTGCGCAAATCCTATGACTCGGCGCTGAACCAGCTCGACCGCGACCAGAAAGGGAAGAATCCCTACGCTGAGCAATGCAGCCCGTCTGTCACTATGAAGATGGTCAATGAAATCCATAACAAGCTAGAAACCCGCTTCCAGAAGCGGCTAGAGCTTGCCTTGGACTGCGAACAACGTCGCAAGAAGGCGGAACGCCGCCCGCTGGTCTTCATGGGTGATATGGCCGGTCTTCGGAAGCTGGATGGAGACTTCGACAAGATGGAGAAACGGAACCGGTTGGAAGCCGCCAAAGATCGAGATGATCGGGCCAATCGACTCATGGATTCGTTCGATGATGCAATTTTGCATGGACTGGGTATGAACCAGAGTCTGTTGGACGAGCTTGCGTCCACAGTCGCTAAGTTGGACGCCACCAGCCTGCGGGCATCCGGCCTGCCGGATGCCGAGATCGAGCAGGTGCTGAAATCGGCAACCACTTTCGCTGCCTCCCTTCGCTCCGACTCGGAGGATATCATACGTTGCTCTGCTGCCGCCGACGTAGCCCTGAATGATGCAGATTACAACGTATCTGTAGCGGAAGCACACTATGCCGACTCGGAGCCGGATGTGTTCACACGGCTTGAGGCCGAGAAGAAGAAGGAAGACTTGATCCTCCAACGTGATCTCGATTCCAAACTGGAAAGCATCTGGAAAGCTCCCAAGGAGATCGAGTCGACTGTTCAGCGCCTTCTGAACGAATTGAGAGACACGCCCCGAACTGAACCACCCAGTTCATCCTTAGAAGATGATGCCCCTCCCCTGCAGAATTTGCCTCCTACGAGTCGGACGCCGCCGAGCCAACTCTGTGAAGGCCCACCTCTCGAGCTCCGTCCTGCAACCGTTGCACCGAGTCAAGCGCCAGGTTCACCTCCGCCTGCAAGCCATACTCCAGATCCTGAAGCCGAGCATAAGGAGAGATTGCGCAAGGCTTTAGAGGCTGCAAAGAAGCGGAATGCTGCTCGAACTAACCAATGAGGGGATTTTTCTTTGGATGTTGGCCACACGTCATTTCCTTTTATGAAGCCATGACATTTCTAAGTTTTTTTTTTCTTCTTCTTTGTTTCTTGACTCGGATACCCTCGTTTGTTCAGTAAACCAACAGAGCGGGTGATGACGTACCAGGCCCCTCGGGTGTTCTAGACCTTTGCGTTCTATACTCAAGACTATGCTTCTGTAAAGGGGCATCTCTCCAATTGACTGATATCCCTGCAAGTATCCCAACACGAATCAGAAGAATAGCGAGTGTTGGCTCACCCCACTTGGTGACGAAGGAATGTGATAGAACAAACCAGGATGCATGATTCTTGGAAGTAAAACTTAATCGGAGCAAGCCAATCGTCTGTCTCAAGAAACAAGAACACCGGCTAAGGTGCTCAAGCTCGGTCAAGCCTGAAGGTATCTGGATAGAATTTGCAGTTCAATCTCCTAAGGTTGGTAATAGCCTCAAGTATGTGGAGCACAGACCAAGCGAATGTTTCGGATTCTTTTTCCTCTTGTTGCACAAAAGTGCTTGGGTTGGCCCAACTGCCAGGAACTCTGTAATCTCCCTCTAGAAAACCTGATCTAAACATGTGATCTGCTGCCGTCCAGCTAAAGTGGGTAGGACCACCAACTCTTTTGATCCTGCCTCAATACGGAGTCTATCCGCATGGTACTTTTGCTGTTGATCATAATGGAACCCCAGCCAATCGCGCCTCGCCCGTGTGGCTGCGCCTGAGCAGGGGCCAGGTCAGTCAAGTGATACGCTGTGGTCGACTACAGCGCAAGATTATCTTGAAGGATCAAAAGCATTGGGTGTTGCGGTGACAAAGAAAGCTGCAGAGCACCGCAAGCACAATTTAGGCGCCCGGCACAGCGATTACTGGCTCACAGCCAGTCCCTGGATCTTTAGACGCCACTGGACTGCCGATCACCATGCGCAGCCTTGCCAACCTCACAACTACCACCTTTCTCATACGTCAGGCGTATTTGTCCATCAGCCTAGTATTTCGCATTCAGCTCGAACAGGGATCACCGGCAGCTCGCGATCTCCAGCTCCCGGGCCCTCTTGGGGCCGCACAGCTTCTTTCCCCCGGGGCGCGAAGCGCGTGTGATTCGCCATTTCCCTTGCGCTAACTGACAAGGTTGGTCGTGGAAGAGGAAAACGAAAACTAAACCGCACGACCAAGCCACGGTGCACAGTTCGCGCAGTCGAGCCCGCCCCCCTGACTGTGCCGCATGCCTCACTGACGGGTGGGGACCGTGAAATCGAACTGACCCAACGCGAATCTGCAAGGTGATTCAAGGAATCACCAACGATTCAGTCCCAAAGAAGACCGGCGTCTATCATTTTTTTGATTTTTTGATTTAATTTTCTTTTTGATTCCCGGGAGGGGCTGTCGGCACAGCCTCTTATCGGTGAAATTGGACCAGTATTTTGTGTTCGCTTCCAGGAAAAGATCCTCGGCTCGAGCTCTTTGATTCGACCGAGTTTGGTCCCAGAGATCCCTGATCCCCAGGCAATAGTCGCGCGAGCCCGCTAGCTGCGCAGAGTCTCTTATATCCGAGATGAAAATGCACAACGTTTTTCTCCCAAGGGCTAGATTGTGGGACCTTCTGTGCCAGGGGAAATTATTGAGGTCATCCAACAGAAGGATAGGACGAATCTAGAAGCGGCCCACCCGGAAGAAATGGCATGCTTTTCTCCACGCTAAGAACCAAACCCCGGCGATCGCATCCTTTGATGATGTAGGCGATGACCGGATCGTCCAGCCGTGATTGCACAGTGCACTCCGAGTCTTGGTCGAGCTGTGCTTCGCAGATTCGAGGGTTCATGGCCTTACCCTAACCGTGAGTGTTTTGCTTTTTGTTTGCCTGGTGAATGAGCCGGGCAACAGATCTAATCGCCCTTTTGGGGTGTGCGGTTGCAAAGTCAACCAAAGTCCATTGGTATATCTGGAACTGCTATGACTGCTACTGCTACTGCTACTGCTCCTGCTCCTGCTTCTGCTTCTCCTATAGATGGCTGGGTGAGCTCTACTTCTTTTGCACGGATTCAGCTGGATTGTTCCGAGGATCAGCCTGGACTCCGTTCCGAACAAAGATCGGTCACTGATTCGTCGCGTCAGGCCAACAGAGCCGGAGCTTTCATACCACACGGCTCCCATGTCTGTGCGTTGCTGATCAGCCTTTGTTCCAAGCCAAAAGTTAACGGTTTGGCCTTGTTAAGACATCATCCCTTCGACTCCTGTGGCACCTGGAGAATCTTGGTTTACTCTTCCCCCATCCCCTTTTCCCCTCCCCAGCCTGTGCTTGTTACGCGCCGTTGGGGAACCGATTCCTGCGCCCAACCCCAGCCGATCATAGCGACTTCATTCGCTTCCCGTTCGATGGTGATCATTTTTCTTTTCGTTTTTTTTTTTTAATTTATTATTTTTGTTTTCCCGTTCTGCCCATTCGCCGCAAGATCTCCGATTGACCAACGGCAAAAGATAGAGTCAAAAAAGTCACGAAAATCCCCCCCTCCACCCCCACCATGCTCTTGATAGCAGAATAGCAGACTAGCAGATGCGACCTGGCACAGGAGAGCAATTCCCAAGTTGTGTCATTCCCAATGATTTAAAGCGGGCGCCAGAGAGAACAATCCATGGGTGAGGTGTACCCGCTCCCATCCATGGGTCGGAGGAACTCTCGATTCTTCTTCCCTTCAAGGAGCTTTCTTGTGGAGATACTCGCCCTGATTCCCCCCCGCCCCTTTCGTATTCTGCTTCGGTGGACGGGTGTAAATATCCTCGGACCCCCCCTTCTCCCCCTCTTCCTCGTTATGTCGACCCCGACAAGACAATTCCACAGGCTATCTATCGGACAGAATATGCCTGCCGAATCCACCAGAGAAGCCCACACGCCGCTCCATGACCCTCCCGACGAAGACGAGGAAGATCCCAGCAACGAGGAAGAAGACGACTCCAGCGAGAGCGAGATGGACAGTCATGAAGACCCCAGCCCGTCAACCATCACGTCACAATCTCGGATCACCTATGATTTGAGCAGTCTTGATGCCGAGGCCAGAGCCAATGCTCTGGTAGGCCTGAGCACTCAATTCGAGGTCGTCGACTGCCGTGCTTCGCATTCTGGGTATGATTTCCAGCTTCTAGAGCGTCCACAGATCCACCTTGGTCAAAACCCACCTTCCTGCACGTGTCTGGCTTTTCAGTCAAACCCGCAGGTGGCCTGTCAGCACCTCTTTGTACGTTGTATACCATGTGTCTTTCCCCTCTCCCCCCATGTCTTAGATTAAGAATCAGGTGGATCCCAGAGGACGCCAATCGCGGGGCTATGCTACTATATCAGCGTGACATCGACTAACACGGCCGTCTGCAATAGTGGATTTTCGACCAGCTCCATCTCTGCTTCGTCTCAACGCCTACCGCGGTCAAGGCGTCCCTCTCCCACGACGGCCATCCGCGTGTGAACCAGCGCCTCGAGGAACTGCTCGCAGGCCAGCTGGATGCCATTGCAGACCGGCTGAATTGGCAGTGTCTCCGGATCGAGGGGGATGGCAGCCACAGGGGCATGACGAGAGCAGAAAAGGTCCGCGACATTTTTTCTGCGTTTAGCAAGGTTTTCCCCGAGGACTTTCGCCAGGATCTCACGGAGACAACCGAGAGACGCACGCCCGAGCAATGCGTGGTCCAGGGGGATCTGGAAGCGACCATGTTCCGGCTTGCGGTCCACGACGACAGCGTCTTTAGCAGTCTCTGCAAGGCCATGCCGTCCGGTGCCTGCGCGTCTATCTACTTCGACAAAGTCCAGGAACAGACTCGGCGGCTACTAGCTGACTTCGATCGATACTGTATGACCGGCAGGCGACCTGTTGATCCTAGCCATCCGGGTGGTGGGGCGGTGGAGGTGAACGAGGTGGTTGCACAGCTGCGCCGGATAGTATCGTCTATCCAGGCGAACATTACGACTCGGGCGCCCTATGGCTCGGAGGGGGCAGCCAAGGTTCTTGTCTCGCTTCTCGATGCCGTAGCGTCGCGCAACAAGGACCCTTTGGAGGGCAACCAATGGGGTCGGACGTCTTTCCATGGAGAAGACGAGGACCAGCGCAATCTTTATCATCTCCTCATCGGTTCGGAGGCCATGGATCTGAACGCAGATGCAGAGCTCTTCGTCCTTGACGCCCTTGGAACTCTACATCCCTCGTACCTTCATCTGTACCGCAAAGAGTTGCGCTCTGCACAGAGCAAGATCGAGGTGAATCGCGCCCCGAGGACATACCTTCTTCATCTGGGCCAGCTCGTGCGAACCGCCGAGTCGAATGCCGCCGGCCAGATGGGATCCGGCCAAAAGCGGCCAGCCGGCAATGGAAACCCAGGCAGCGTTACGAAACGAAATCGATAGGGCCGGGGGGGGTTTTTTTTTCTTTTTTTTTTTTTTTTTCTTTTCCTATTCTCACTTGTAACTACTTGGGCGGCTGTCTTACTCCTTCATTCCAATACCCCATGCATTAAACTTTGTTTCTAAAACGAGACCATTTGCCGCGGGCCCCCCTTTTGGACGCTTCCAGGCAAGGTCATTGGCTAACGCACGTAAATGTCATCATGCCTATATCTCTTCGCAGCGTCATTTCCAAGTCAAATTCCGTCAAAACTTGGTCACCGAGGTTCTCCGAGAAGACCAGAGTAGGATTCCAAATTGTAGGAAACCCATGCCCACGGGTGCGGTGCCGTGATAACCCTGGATTGGGACCTTTTGCATGACCTTCACACCGCAGGGATAGCGTCATAACATCCCAATACTATGGTGTCGGGCCCTCCCTTTCCACGGTCCGGACTCTACGGGAGGGCCTGTCACTTGTGCAGCCAAGATGCAGAATTAGCCCGCTTTGACGAGGAGAACCATGGGTGGTCGCGCTTTTCTGGGATGTGCCCCACTTAGCTTGGTGGAGGGGGCTCAGGGGTACCGAGACTTTCGCGCGGACAGGGATGGAGGAATGTTATTTTCACGACCGTGTTGGGGAGTTTTGCAGAGGCGGGGGTGCTGGAAGCAGAGGTGCAAAAACTATTGACAGCTGCGCAGCTCAAGTCATGAATATAAGCTTGGGCCGTGCAGAAGAGGCCTTCGTATCGCACGTATGAAATGCTGCACAGCAACGCTCATTTGCTTAGCGGCACGCGGAGAAGCGGCTTCTGCGCATCAATTTTACCCGTCAATGTTGCCCACTGCTTCTTCGGTAGACTTGAATTGAGACTGAGCAACGGGCCCACTAGCCGGGTTTGCTCGGCTCTTGCATGGCTCCTCTGGTGTTTCAACGGTCAGCGTTTTATGTAGAAAATGACTCGGAAGTTTCTGCTACTGCTTCAGGCGACGTACCTTTGATCCTTTACAAAGAAATGGAACATCGCAGTTATTCAACATATACAAAGTCCCCTGTGTTAGCTGGGGTGGGGTACCCTGAAGAAGTGGTCGGCACATGGGCCCGTCCCCAATGGGTCCTATTCCGCCTATAATTTGGTCCTGACAGGGACGGATGAGTTGGGGCTTCTCCTCAGGGGCTAGACGCGCGGCATCATGTTGATCGAGTTGTTGGGAATGCCTTTTGTGGAATTGTTCAACTAGGGCACTTGGGGCTCGAAGACGGTTATTGTAACTTTGACATTCCTTGCCGCTTCGTTCGACAGGTATCATCCTCCTATCTAACGACCCATGGTCGAAGTTTCGGCAGAGACCTGACTTTGGTGGATATTTGGGTTTTCCTAATCAGATTCAGGCGACTGGTTGCTACCATGATTGGCTCTTTTGCTACATCTGGTGAGAAAGGTCGGTTAGGTAGCCAAGCTTGGACTACCGCTGGCTGGCTTCGATTTTCAACAACACAAAATGTGAAGCCCGTTGGTGTTGTGCTGCATACTACTGTGCCAGACGACCCGGTCACACATTGCGAGGGCATGGTGGTTATACGCGAATTGGGCGGGAGCCACCGAGAAGATGTAGCGTTTCCGGCCAAGACAGTCCAAGTCTCATGGTGGTTGGAATGGAGCAAAGCCTCTCAAGTCACCGGGTCTGGTCCTATGAGTCTACAATGAATTCTACCCATTGGTGAGATAAGAAATCTAGCGATGGCTCTTCTGGTTATTCGCAAATTAGTGGGACTTGGGGATTTACTAGTAGCGAACATCTACCGTGTTATCGGTACACGCAGTGATCTCTTTCTGGTTTCGTACTATAACCTATTTTGAAGATCCCAGATAGTGATGACCAGTAGTCAAGCTTTAATGGGAAAATATCTCTGCTTTTGGCTGTAATAATATGGGCCTTGTCATTTTTTGAGGCCATTCCAAGGTTCAACACGAATACCGCATCTGGGTAGGATTGTATGAGACATGGTTATAGCATGGACAAGAAACGAGGAATGAAAAGGTAAGGCAGAAGTGAAGGTGAAGTCTAAATGTTCGAACCCTCAACAGAAATTAGGAGAACCTCTCTATGGGTATGGCATCTCGTAGACTGAACCTGGGGTAGACGAGCACTGAGCAGATCCAGTGATCCCCATTGCAGATATGCACAAACTCGCTAAACTCAAGCTTATGGTAGAGCCTTCGAACGCACGAGCTCCCGTCCTTCGCCCAACGATTCTGACTTCCCGCCAGCATATACCAGACGAACAAACACGGTCTTGTAGTTGTTGCATTCCAAACAGTTTGAAACCTGCCGGTCGATAATAGGTTAGTACGGCCATTGAACTGACTTTGCAAGTCTGGGCCACACGAACACCCATTCCTGCTGCATCGCAGTCACAGCCCGCTGCTGGAAATGAGCACAGAAAGTAGCCTCGGAAGCTGACCGTATTTTGATTCTTCAAATGTTCGATTTGGGTACGTGAAGGCACGAAATTGAAGAGCGTGAAATTACGAGTGTCATATGTGGGCATCTGGGGCACCTGCTTGCAGTAGGAAGCGTTACTCGCTCCATTTCGCAAAGTCAACAAAGCCCTACTTGGAAAGGATCGGGATGGCGCGGGCTATGGTCGGGAGCCAGTCGGATGGTGGGACGTTCGTTTAAACTTCTAAGACTGAGGCCTATGCGTGCTTGAGCGTCAAGGGTATCCAAGGCAATCAGTCCAATGATAAATATAGGCAACCCGATTCATTTCCAATCTACCTCGCAGAACCTAGTCTCCATAGTAGCTGATTATGCATCGTAGACGCTGATACTCAGTATGCTGGTTTCAATGTGGCCCGTTCGCGTCCTTCGGTCGCGACTCTCTTTCGCCCGATATCAAGAATATGCAGTTGAGTCTGAGAGGATCCTTTACGGCATAATGTCGTGAAGGAACGGAATGGAGAATATTCCTGTGCCCGTTGATCAGAACACTGTATAACGGCAATCCCCCATGTTAGCATCCTGTGTACAGATGCATTGCGCTAACCATGTTAGAGAAACGAGGCGCTAAACCATATCTGGTCCGTATGTTAGCCGACCCACGGCTCGGAGTGATGTTACATTTTTTCGAGAGTTCCTCCAAGCAAGGCCGGCTGGCCCAATGGCAAGGCGCTTGACTACGAATCAAGAGATTGCAGGTTCGACCCCTGCGTCGGTCAATTTTTTTCCTTCTTCTTTGGGGCCCAACACTGAGACATCGCGACAAACGTGCTTTCCTTCAAATTTTTAAATTTTTTCAAGATCATGCGTGCTCTCTTACATCCTGTTACTAATAGCTAAAAGTGCAGCAGATCGAGAAAATGGTCAGAGGTGGACTAGTAACGGACGGGCCTCGAGTCCGAGGCCGGGTAGATATATATATATATACGATGGTGCTGATATTAGGATAGCAGACAAAAATCTCAGTAAAACTCGAATACTTCGAGACCTCCGAGTCAAGAAAACAAGCTTCAGCTTCATCACTGCTTGAAACAATTTCCACAAATGACAGAAGAATCAAACTAAGAAAGATCCAACACCACCCTTCCCTGCAATTTACCTTCGGCCATCTCCTGGAAAACCTCCGTCAGCTTATCCATCTTCTCCATCCGATAATGCGTCTTGATAATGCCGCGCTTCAAAAAGTTCAACGTCTCGATCGCCTCAATCCGGCTCCCCACCGCCGACCCCGTCACCGTTTGATGCTGAAGGATCATCGACCCCGGAGTCGCGGACGCAATCGGCTGCGGCTCATGCTCCGGAACCCCCACACAAACCACCGTGCCATTGAATCGCAGCATCGGCAGCGCCTGCGCATACGCCGCATTCGCCGCCGTACACACCACCACCGCGTGCGCGCCCAGCCCATCCGCCAGCTCGTGCACACGCGCCTTCAGCGCAGCCCCCTGGTCGTCTTTGGGGAACTGTGTGATGTCGACGAAGTGCTCGGCGCCGGACGAGCGCACCAGCTCCGCTTTGCTGCCGTGGTCGATCCCGATCACCCGCAGGCCCATCCCCCGGCTGGCGATCTGCACGGCGATGTGGCCGAGCCCGCCGCCGGCGCCGGAGATGACGACCCATTGGCCTGGGCGCGCGTTGCTCCGCTTGAGGGCGGCGTAGACGGTGACGCCGGCGCAGAGCATCGGGGCTGCTTCGGCGGATGACACGCCGTCGGGGATCGGGGTCACGTAGTTTGCGGGGCCGAGGGCGTATTGCTGGAATGTGCCTGGGGTGTAGTAGCCAGAGATTTTCTGGTTGAAGCAGACGCCGTCGGCGCCGGCGAAGCAGGGCCCTGGTGAAAAAGGTTAGTTCTTCCCCTCCTTTTTTTTTTTTAACTTTTCCCTTGGGGAATAGAAAACGTACCGCAGTTCCCACAGGCGCTGGAGACCCATTTGATACCCACGCGATCTCCGATCTTGAGGCCGGAGCTCTCGGTGCCTGGGCCCAGAGCTACGACCTTGCCTACCCCCTCGTGGCCGCCCACTTGGCCAGCTTGGGTTGGGGCGGGGAGCACGGCCCACTACATTCAGTTAGGCGGGGTTGCCGCTGCACGACTTGAAGTGATACTCACAGTGTTGGTCATTACGCCATAGTCAGAGTGGCACACGCCGGAGTGGGTCCTGACAATGGATTAGTATATACGGGCAGCTGAGAGGCTGGGGAAGCGATTGACGAACAGATTGATGAGGACTTCGCCGTTGCCGGGCTCCGGGACGTCGAGCTCTACTACTTTTGTCGAGATGGTGCCTGGCTGGTCGTAGATGACGGCCTTTTGTTTCTTGGGGATCTCGGGTGCAGCCATAATGGTAGGTGTGCAAGGTCCGAGAGGAAAAGTGTCAGATGAAGCGCAGTGAGACTGTACAAGGGAAGGTCCTGGTCACAAATAATCCATGTAGGCGGGGAGGGAGAACTATATAAGGTTCAACTAAATTCCTGGAGTTTGAGGAGAAAAAGCCAAGGAATTATGTTCGCGGGGCGCGGTGCCGCAAGTCGTATGCAAAACCATGGTAACCTAGATGTATTCCCCGTAGCACCTGAACACGAGCATACTGGAACACTGCCTTCGACGGGCTGCTTCCAGGATACTGCCTCAATGAGCTGCTTCTGTTACAAGGAAGCCCATAGTCGCTCTCGTTGCAGTAATTGTCACGATAGTCTTCTGTCAACTCGAAGCTGCTCGGGTATAGGAGAAAATAAAAAGCATGGCGTCTGACCCCATGCACACTTGCGGCTCCGATATCAAGGTAATCAAAGTAATGAGGGGCAAAGTGGAGTTCGCGACCTCAGCCGAGGGCGACGGTGTGATCGCGGCGCCCATAACATGCGCAGTGGCGATTTTCATCCCAAGAAGACTGCTAGAGATTCCAGCCCAGAGGCAGAGAAAAACTTCCATATTTCTACCGTATTGATTCCTCAAGGTCCTCAAATGCGTCCCGGATGTGCCCATTTTGCTAGCCCACTAAACCTCATTTCGTATGCACAGGGTGGGGCGTCTTACTGGCGTCTACGTCACGAGTAGTTTATTCCAGCGTCTGCTCCATGTATCTGCGCCCATGACGCTCAAGTAACCGATCTAGAAGGTATTTCAGAGGACTATGGACTTCGTCGAACTACCCCGCATCTTCCCCGCTGGTACGGCTACTGCGGGGGTGGGGCTAAGAAAACCCCGGAGCTACGAAAATGAGGTCACTCGTAATGGGCCTCGTTCATGTACGATGTAAAATATGGGGCATTCTAGCAGGATTCCCTCCGCAGACCCCGCTATAACGTGAACTCTAGTCTGTTTCCCGCATAGTCCCGCGCGAAGAATCGCGAAGGATATTCCTTCCCTGGAGTACCTGCGGCCCGGCGACTTAGTCTCTCGTACACATGATACATGCCCGACTTGGCTACTAGTACTCACCGGAGTCCACCTCGCCCGGCTTGTCAGCAGATAAAGGCGCAGACGGGCCGCCCGTGGCATGGTGGTCGTAGATGGCCTTCTTCATGGACTCCAGCTCCTCGCGAGAGCCCAGCTTGAAGCAAGGGTGTCGGCTGTGCTCTGGATCGGTAGGGCCTTCGGTGACGTGGAGCTGCTGGCCGCTATCACCAATGTTGTACCTGTGCCGTGCACCTCGGTTAGCATGTACGGACCCTCCGGAGCCCCTGAGTGGGAGACCAAAAACCATTTGATAGTGCCGATTTGGAGCTCTGGAACGGGGGCCGGGATCAGCCCGAGGGTCTGGATGTAGAACTCGTCTGCATCCTCCAGGGTCCCAGGGTGGACGGTGATGTTGACGTGCGCGATTCCGGTGATGGGCATGGTGAAAAGGGAGTGCTCGGAGATGAGTAGTTGGTGCCTCTGCACGATCTCACGGGTGTCGTGTTTTGGTTTCCTTCCAGGCGGGCACCCCACGCTGGCCCGATAATCGAGACCGGACAAGCCGGAAATTAGATCCCGAACTACGATTGGGGGTTGTCATCTCCACTATGGACTCCAGGGGACGCATCATCGCACCAACGGTATCTTCTCTATTGAGAATCAAATCACGAGGCGTCGAGGCGGAGGGACTGAACAGTCATCGTAGATGCCTTCTGGCCATTGCCTAATGTTCCTTGTGAGAGATCGGGTCCTGCTACGGCTATGGTATCAAGAATCGGTCTTGGATTGGAAGAAGTACAATTGTATAACAGTGTCACTCGCAAAAGTAGTACCACATGAGCATTAGTCGTCAACCAGCAAATTAGAACAGAGAGCGCACGATCCTCAGAGGGGCCGCCTTGAAGTACTCGCCCCAGGTCCGATACTCAACCTTTGCTGGTAGGTCATAATCAAGCGAGTCGTCGCGCATGTTGGTCAAGATATCCATATCTCGAACCTTGACCAGCCAGGCGCCCCGCTCAAGCTTAGGATCCTTGTTGATCATGGTGTAGACCAGCCAGAAGACGTAGAAGAAAATGATCAAAGGCACGGCAAGATAATTCTCAAAGAAGGTCTCAGCATCCAGCGGCTTGACCGAGGTATAGAACACAGCGATCAGAACCAGAACGTTCAGGAACACGCCGATCCAGCTGCCAATAACACCAAACGGAGCAGTATAGACAAGCTCCTTCACATCCCGGCCGTTGAAAGCCCAAGCTTGACGGAATCGGATGTGAGCGAAGCAGATGCTGCCCCAAACAAAGAACGAGATGACAGCAGAGAGCGCGAGAAGCCAGTTGAAGATCGCGTCGCCGGTACTCGAAGCCTCGTTGATGAACGCCAAGAAACCAAAGGCGATCTGGAGCAGGATGCAGTATATGGGGCGTCCGGACTTATCAATATAGGCCATCCATTTGGGGGCCATGCCGCGCATGGAGAGCGCCTGGAGGGTGCGACTCGATCCATACGTAGCCGAGTTCGCCACACTAATCACAGAAATGGTAATCACGGCATTCATGACAGACGGGAGACCCGAGATGCCCGCGTTCTGGATGGCCACGACAAAAGGAGAGGCCTTGGTGTTGGATCCCGAGGCACCGCGCAGATAGTCTGCGTCGTGGGGAACGATGAGACCGACGATGAAGGTCCCGAGGACATAGAAGATCAGGATGCGCCAGAAAACCTGCTTGCAGGCTTTGGGGAGAGCCTTTGCCGGGTTCTTCGCCTCGGCAGCAGCGAGGCCAGCCATTTCAGTCCCGCTGAACGCAAACGCAGCGGTCGTGAACACCGAACAGAACCCGTAGAAGTCAGTGAAAGCACCCGGGTGGTGCCAGTACTTCGCACCAATGTATCCGCCCACAGGTGCGCCGCCACAGTCGATGACGATACCCAGGATGATGAAGCCGATGACTGCAATCACCTTGATCATGCCGAGGATGAATTCCACTGTCGAGGGAAAGCCGGTTAGCAGAGTAATGCGGGAAGCGAGGAGGGACGCAAACACGCCTTCACCGTAGCCCTTGACTCCGAAAATCTGAATGGCGCTGAGAACAGTCAAGAAGACTGCAATCCATATACCGATGTTCAGATCATCTCGCCAATACTGGATCGTGATGCCCGCAGCCGTGATTTCGAACGGAAGGATGACAAGCCAACTGATCGCATAGTCCCAGCCAACAGCGAATCCCCTGGGTCTTGTCAGTAACGGAAACCCGACCCGGATAAAAGAGGACTGGCAACGAACCAAGCAGGGTTGATAAACCTCACACAGTAGGTGAAGAACGCTCCGTTTTCCGGGTAGAGAACAGCCAACTCGCCCAGTGCATGGATAGTCAACAAAAGCATGAGCCCAATAACCAAATAACCAATGAGCTATAAGATGTGCCACAGTCAGTGACTTATCTTGATCGACTCGAACCGTAGCAAGACAGTAACATACCAGAGAACCAGGCCCACCCGCATGCAGGGCACCTCCTGTACCAACGAAGAGACCCGCGCCAATGGCACCACCTAAGCACCCGATGAGCACATGCACCAATTGAGTGTCCACTTCCAGGGCACTCCTGGTGGAGAGCCTTTACATACCGATTGCAATCATCTGCATATGCCGACCCTTCAGGTCTCGCTTGAGGACATTGTGGCTCTCAACATCGTGGACCTCCCCAGGAGTGGCATCGTAAGCTGGCGCAGGATTAGGAGCCAGCGACTCCGTGTTGACCGAGATTTTCTTCTCAGCCTCTTGCTCCGAGGACACCATCTTGGTAACTCGACGGGGAGTCAGCTACAAGGTAGCAGGCTTTAATAAAAGGGGGAAGATAAGAGCAGTGCCATGCGGGATACGATAGATTTTATATGGGCCAGCGACCACAAAGGCACAATTTGTCGCATAATAGCACCAATCGAACTAGTCCTTTTCCGAAGATCTGCTCCAAAGCAAGCGATTTGACCAGGCCTGCGGTCAGACCTTAGAATGATAAGCTTTCTGCATTTCTGTAGCATCTTCGTGGCAACCTCGCGATACGAGGGCGAGTGGCTGAGGTTCGATAGCGCACACAACCAATGGGCACACCCGCGAGCCAGTGGCGATAAGCAGGGTCTGATATGCCAAGCAATGTAGAGAAGGGACGTAGTCGGGCGTAGCTCTTGACGCGCGCGGTATCTTGGCAAGATAACCCGAAGTCCTTATCGCCAGCCAATGGCTTCGGGATCTCCGACGCAGACTAAACAGATGGGTCAGAGCTAAAACCAGGCTAGGCCAAGGCTAGTTCAACAATGCACAAAGTAGCGACAGGATGAGAGCTTGATTGGACCGCTGGCATTTGCTAGGAAGCCTTCGCTTCGACGTCGGGCGATATTTCTCGAGGATTCTGCCGCGGGCACGAGGTCAAATTCGAAGGCTCGAAGGCTCCAAAGATCAGCGACCATCTTGCATGATGGCGTGCTTCTAAGTCAACCCCCCCCGATCGTCTGCATACTCGTGGCGATGCATTTCCCCAGCTAGAAGTTTCTGCCAGTGATTCAAGAAAGAAATGCCGAAACCACCCCTGCCCTCTGAAAAGGGAAAGCCCAGGCTAGCCTATTGAGCTGAGCCGCGTCATTTCCAAATCATGGCATTTTTAGAACGAGATCACGGAGACTTCCTCATACGGTCTAGCATTCAGTCTCCGATGCGGCAGGGCACTCATGCCGTGGTGCTAGTCATCTTTCAGCCATAGTGTCACAATAAACCCCTAAGCCACTGATTGACCGGGCGTTCAAAAGGCCACCAAATATTGAAAGGGAAAATTGGGCATGTGACGGCATCGCCATGGGTAGATTTGGGAATTGACTTGCAGTGGAACTTGAGAGGCCCTTAACGCGGCAAGAAGACGACCTGCAAGGACACCCGCATGTACTACAGGAGATCACATGCTAAACTCCTCGAGGACGGACAGTAGTGCTTCAAGTTGCTCTCTGAGTACGCCAGAGCGAACAGAGCCCATCAGCTCCAATCTGGAATTTCCAGCAACTTCGTGGCTCACAAAGGGGAGCGTCTGAGGCCAGAGACGGAAACAAGGGAAGATGCGGGGCCACATCCCCAGCCCTCGGGTGAGAACCCCAAATGGAGATTATCCAACGTCATTGCCAAAAGCTTAGCATCTAGAAACGAAACGCCTCAATGGCGCAGGTTGTCGGGTTATGCGTCAGACTCGGTTGACGAACCCCACGATTCAGCGGGGAGATGTGAATCTTATTACAAATCAAGTTCACGGAATTAGTTAACCAACCCGTGGACTGTTAACGCTTAGCTATGTAGCTTGATGCTAGAATCTGGGATTTTCTACACTCATATTCGGCCATGTCAGAAGAGTTTCCCCGACAAGCTTTTCGCAGAACCGATGATTACACCCCGGCACGCCCAAAGTCAAACTCGTGTCCGAGAGTTTGCCTCTCCCTCTTCACCCGACCGCAGTCCTGATCAAAGTCCATGCGGTGGCATTGAATTACCGCGATGCAAATATCGCAAATGGCGGCAATCCCTGGCCAGTGATACCCAATGGCATCCCTGGAAATGACGCTGCAGGAGAGATTATCGCGGTAGGCGACCGGGTCTCCCTCGTGGGTATTGGTGACCGAGTAGCTCCCATTACGGACTCTGAATTCGTCACTGCTCGCTCGACCGGAAGGTCGTGGCTTGCAGCAAATGAAGACGGGACCTTGGCGACCCATCTCGTGTTCGACGAAAAGCTCGTAACGAAGCTCCCTGCGCATCTAAACTGGATACAAGCAAGTATCATTCCGTGTGCAGGCACAACGGCTTGGTCGGCGATCAAAGGGGCTACGGTTGGCCAGACCGTCCTAATTCAAGGTGAGAATATAAAAAGGGGCGATGTTGTATTGACTCAGAAAAAGAAAAAAAAAGCAAAAAAAGAGCAGTGCTAATTAGTTGCTAGGAACTGGTGGGGTCGCCACTTTTGCACTGAAGCTGGCGAGGGTAGCCGGACTGAAGGTGATCCTGACTTCGTCGAGCGATGAGAAGCTCAATGCGATCCAGAAACGGTTTGGAAAGCCAGAGATACAGACAATTAACTACAAGACCCACCCGGACTGGCACGTAGAAGTCCTCAAGCTCACTAATGACACCGGTGTTGATCTGGTAGTCGAGAACGGCGGGAGTAGCTCGCTGGTGCAGAGTATGCAATGTACTCGGCGGGGCGGTATTGTCAGCCAGGTGGGATACCTTGGCGGTTCGAAGCCTGAAGAGCTGAAAGAATTTATCCCTACGATCATTGACCGCCGACTGAACGTCAGGTAAGCTAGATCTCGGAGATTGGGCTGATCTGTAAGGCTAACGTGAGTCAGGGGGATCAATGCAGGGTCTAAAGACGACCAAGATGAACTCATGGCCGCCATATCGGCGACTGAAATGACGTTTGATGATATTATTGACTCCGTTTGGCCATTTGAAAAATCAGATGAGGCGATTGAGTTTCTTTGGCAGGGGAAGCAAGTTGGCAAAGTTGTCTTGGATTTGGGCTCGTGAGTCGCTGTTTCGTGCCACAAGAAGGTCCTCAGTCGATTAAACCCAAGCTGCGATGGAATAAAGCCATTCAATTTCAGTGATTATCAATCGTATTAGGATGAGGTGGTAAACGCCCTGGGGAGGCGAACAACACTTTCGTGTTCGCCGACTTGGCCAAGCCCATCATTATCTTGCCCTAGCATTTCTCTTTTAGGTACCTATTGTGGCCAAGTCGCAGCCTTTCGAGTTGCCGTGTGCCAAGAGCCATTGCCCCAAGTCCCATGTGACGATGACAGCCTGGGAAAGGAGAAAGCAGAGTCTTAAAGATCGCAAAGCCAATCACCTGGGCAAGACAGACGCTTTTCATATGAAATCAGCGCAATCCTGAGCCTGAACCCCGGGCCCCGAGAGACAAGAAGACGGAGACCAATGAAAAGTCAGCGCGGTCCTGAGACGAACATGTTCGCCAGATCCATTTTAGAGCGACAGGGGGCTCCGGTTCATCGCGATCCGCACCGCTTGGCTCCCGGAACTTGTATCAAAGAGGAAAAGCGCGTTGAAGGTGCAGGATACCCCACCAACCACGACCCAACCATGGCCTGCAGATTCTGGCAGTGGTAAGCTCCTACGGGTAAAGCCCACAGGCTCGACCCTCGAGATCTGCAAGCCAAGGACTTTGACGGACGATGAAGCGTGTTGGCTCTACCGTTTGTGATTTGGTCATCCAAGGCACCCACTTGCCTCCATACCGCGCCAGCCACAGCCCCCTGTGGGCTTTGTTCGCTGTAGTAGCATCGATGGTTCGATGACATAAATACGAGCCGTGGTTTCCATCATGCGTCAATCGTTAGGCCCTCATGGAGAACCTCGACAAGCCGGCCTTCGGCCCGTACCCGCCGCCCAAGCAGTTTGTGCTGTGTTTCGATGGCACTGGGAACAAATTCGCGGGAGATGCCTCTGATACGAATATCGTGAAGATCTATCGCGTAAGCCACTTTGCTCATTCTACTGCGCCCGTGATAGCGTACAATCGCTAACGGTCTCAGATGCTAGATAGGTCCCAGGGTTACCAGTACCATTACTACCAGCCCGGGATCGGGACATACGTGACATCGCACTCGCTTGGGAGCAAGGGTCGCATCGAGCGAATCAGATCCTCGTACAAGAAGGCCAAGGATGCCGCCCTGGGTTCGTCGTTTGATGAGCATGTGTTAGGGGGATACAAGTTCCTGATGCGGTACTATGCGCCGGGGGACGACATCTACTTCTTCGGATTCAGCCGAGGGTCTTACACCGCTAGGTTCTTGGCGGAGATGCTGGATTTTATTGGCCTGCTGCAGCCCGGCAACGAAGAGCTGGTTCGCTTTGCGTGGAAGACGTTTGCCAAGTGGCAGCAGCGGAAGGACTCCACAGATCACGACCATGTGGAGAAGCACAAGCTGTTCCAGTTTATGAAGGCGTTTCGGGAGACTTTCAGCCGACCGGTCAGTCGGGTCAAGTTCATGGGCCTGTTTGATACGGTCAACAGTGTGCCTATGTTTGAGAATGCTTGGATGGAAAGAAATAAGTTTCCCTACACAGCGCACAGCACGGCCCGCGTCATCCGACATGCAGTTTCCATTGACGAGCGTCGCGCGAAGTTTAGACAAGATCTCATCTCAGAGGCTCCCCCCCGACACCAATTGCGCACTGCCCGAAAGCTGAAGAATCTCATCCCCGGCGTTGGCGGTGACGAGCAGGATCAAGAAAAGGACCAGAAGCACGACAATGTGAATGTTCCTCAGATTGTGCTACCTACCGCGGAAAGCGGCACCTAAGACGAATCCACGCGTAAATCTCGCCGGGGCTCACACCAAAGCAACTTTGAGGAGCGCTATCGTGCATACTCGCCGTCTCCACGCCGACCGAGTATTAACGGCCCACATCCCAATGGCCTCGTGACCGACCAGCGCTCTCTCAAAAGTGCCGTCTCCGGGACCTCGCTTCAGATCCCTCTCTTGCGAGCCCCAGGGCCCGACGAAGATGAGGAAGAGCAGGATATCGCCGAGGTCTGGTTTCCCGGCCAGCACGGTGATGTCGGCGGAGGCTGGAAGCTCAATCCCGAGGATAAATGGCCCCTGAGTCACATCCCCCTCGTTTGGATGATTCGAGAAGCACAGCATGCTGGTCTCGATTTTGATCCCGAGAAGCTGAAACGCTTCAACTGCTACGAAGATCCCACGCTCGAAAACCTGGGCCTGACAGAGCAGCCTGGCATGAACGGAGCTACAACGCCCCCTGGCGAGCTCTGCCGCGATGACCCCTTCCACGACACGTTGAAAAAGACCATGGATCACGGAATCGTGCATGATTGTCTCACTTACCGCGGCGGGCTCTCTGTGTTTTCTACGCTCGCGTGGCGTCTCATGGAATATCTACCTTTTCGCCGAATGGATCTTCAGAGTGATGGGTCGTGGAAGCCGATCCGGTGGCCTTTGCCATGTGGAGAGCCTCGCGATATCCCTGACAACGCACAGATCCATATCTGTGCCATTCATCGTATGCAGGTGGACACGAGTTACCGACCTGGAAACTTGATTATTGGCGGCGGTGGGAGAGGTGTGAAGCGGGCTTCGGATAAATATGGTATCGGGCAGTGGGAGGTTTGCAAACATGAAGGTGATCTAGTGCGGCAGACCTATACTCGCAAGAAGACCGAGACGGCTTGTGTCGACGACCATCTTTAAGTCTTACTCTCCGCCTCTCTAGTTATGCAGTCTTATTCTTATCCTGTTAAGTCCTTAGGTATTGAACAGAGCGCAGCAGTATCAATTATTGTCTAATTCGATTAACATATCTGGCCGGACCGTTCACCGGTCGTTGAACATCAATACAAAAGCCGATGGCCCGGCATCGTTTCACAACGGCGAGAGGGCGTTCAGCACATGGAATCGAGGGGTTGGCAAGGTGGTACATGGACAACGCGGATAAGTTTCCGCTGGGGGGAAGGGAACTTAAATATGCAAGTGCTTGCCTGACTGGGCCCAGTCGGGCCCCGGGATCAGGCCCCCTTGGCTATAAGTAGTCTAAACTACTTCTCTTCGCATTTCAGCCGAATCTACCAGCGCCGCACTATCTTTCTCACCTTATTCTTGCCCTGACATCATGGACATCGAGCAGGTTCGGAATCTCTTGAAGGAGACTCAAGCGACCGTCGATCTATACTTGTCCACCGGAAACGACGACGCCAGAATCGACGCCCAAGAAAAGGCGGAACAGCTTGCACGCACGCTAGAGCGGCCGAAAGATGCTGTTCTCAAGTTGGCCTATTCTGTGAGTCTTGTATTATGTAAAAGTTCGAGGGAACAGAATGCTTAAGATGAGTAGCCAACGATATTGACAGCCGTCAAAGCGGCTCATGATATGAACTTATTCGAAGTTCTAGCGAACGCAACATCGCCCGTAACCCTGTCTGAGCTGGTCGCAGCAAAGCCAGCCGATCCTCTTCTCGTTGGTAAATCCACATGACTCTATCTCGATGGCACGCAAGAATGTTTGAGCTGCACTCACAATATCTAAAAACCAGAGCGCATTTTACGGCTAGTAGTTGCCAACGGGTTTGCGAAACAGACCGCACCGCGTGAATATTTACCCACAAGCCTATCGAAAGAAATGACGAAGCAAGGCCCTGTGGCAACTATCGAGTCCATGTATGTCATTGTGCCTTCTGGGCCTCACTAATGGTCACGATTGACAAGCCTGCTCGACAAGGTTCATAGAAATGCTCCCTGCATTGAACAAAGTCCCCGAGTATCTCCAGAAAACGAACTACCGTAATCCAGATGACCCGATGGCCACGGTGATACAGCACACATACGATGTGAAAACCGACGGCTTCACGTGGCTGAGTCAGAATCCAGCCGCGTTCGCACGATTCAACAGCTTCATGGGGGCCCAAAGGGCGGGTCGGCCGCACTGGGGCGATTGGTTTCCTGTGGAAGAACGAATATTGACGCATCCGGCTCTCTCTTCTCAGACACCTCTTATAGTGGATATCGGAGCCGGACGGGGGCATGACTTGATGGGGTTTAAGACACGATTCCCACATGCAACGGGCAGGCTCATATTGGAAGACCTGTCGCGGGTGATAGAAGAGGTAAACGGGCCCGAGCTGGAGACTTTCGAGATTGAGACAGTTGTGCATGACTTTTTTGCGGAAGCGCAGCCTATTTCAGGTAAGACTGCTGCGGTAGGTATAGGTAAATGGGATATCATGCTAATTTGGATGACAGGAGCTCGGGTGTACTATTTCAAGAATGTCCTGCATGATTGGTCCGATGAACAGGCGGCGATAATATTCAAGAATCTGAAGCCGGCGATGAAGAGAGGGTTCTCGAAGATCATCATGGAGGAGTACATATTGCCTGATACCAATGCCCGGTCGCTCCCTTGTATGACTGATCTTTCCGTTATGATGTTTTGCGCAGGGTTAGAGCGCACCCGTCAAAGATGGACTGAGTTGCTGGAGTCTGTTGGGCTGCAGGTGGTCAAATTCTGGATGCGCGAGGGCGATGAGTTGGGAGTCGTGGAGGCAGCACTGGCGGAAGAATGATAGCTTGAGCCATTTGAATTCGAGGGTTTGGTCAACACTTGACCCGACATGGTTCTTGGAAGCATAATTCATATGATGAGATAGTCATCGTGATGAGCCGAGTCTGCTCGCTGTGTCTATCAAGCTTCTCAGCGTAAGATAGGCCAGAGTGAATAAGGTATGACTTACAAACTGCATCCAAGGGATGTTCTCTCGTTCGTGATCTGCTTGTTGTTCCCGCGCCTCCCATACCTTGTCAAGAAGAACTTGCGGGGCCGTGATGCCTCCAACCATTTCAGATCTGACTTTGATATCGGAGAAGCGGAGTTGGATGTAATGCTGAGAATGGCGGGAGAGGCAGTCCGCTCCCGACATAAACAGAGGAAGGACCAGGAGTTCAACCAGGGGACTGGATCCGGGAACATTTGCAACAGCGTCTAGGATGGCGCATACAGATGCTTGGATATGAGGCTCATCGGGGGGGTTCTTTGATATCGAGAAGCCGCCGAGTCCGAAGAATACACGCATGGCGAAATGATTCGGCGACCGATAGCCAGAGGGGATTAGTATCAGGATAAACGGATCTTGAACCATCCCACTGATAAAGCTTGTCAAGGAGTGACTTCAGGTTGTAGGCGTATTCTTCTGCGGGGGAGTCTCCGGCCAAATGCTTCTTCGCACTGTTCAGGACGTTTCCAATAATAAGAACTAAAGCTCGCGGACAGCCATTCACCGCTTCAAATCGCAGGTCACATAGAGAAAGGATTTTATGGCGAAGCTGTTGTGGGAAGCATAGTCTCTGAGGAGCTGAAAAAGCTCGAACAATATCCAACCTATTGCTAATCAATCATGGCACCAACACAATCTTAGAGAGGATTTCAACTTACCATACAAGATTTCCAAGAAAGAATACTGTCCGTTCATCCGAAACAGTCAGCCGTTGATCTAACATCAGCTGAGAGCAAATGGACATGGCGCCCGAAATATGAGCACCGTGTGACGAAATACCCGACTCGCAAATCTACCCTTATTAGTATAAGTGGCTATGAAGCAGCCGTAGAACCACACACATCATGAAGAAGTAGAATCTGGATGGTCGCAAAGACTGCATCGCGGTCATTCTCTGTAAATGCTTCCGTCCCAACTCTGCCAATTGATACCCCGAGTTCAGCAATAGCCTTGGCCCGATAGCTGAGGGAGACGGATTCACGCAAGCTTGAGTCGGAGATCAAATGGCCCAAATGACAAGCAGATAGCGCCAGAACGGCGCATAAGAGTCCTTTTTGCTTGCGCGCCAATGGGAGAACGTAAAGCCTGTATGGATTTTCGCCATCATCGACAAATTGCGCAATCTGGTGGGGGCAGATTATTTTATCATCTACGCGTGTGAGCTGGGCGGGTCAGGCTGGCTTAGAGACGAAGATCTTACAATGAGAAAGCAGCCGCTTTGCCTCTTTTGACGCGAGAATGGCTTCATTTCCATCCGGCGGACGCGGAGCTGAAGAAGTGGCTTCCGGCGGACGCGATTCGCTTGAGGCAGGGATACTGGTCTCTAAAGTAGCTGGTGGTTCGTCTGGGTCAACCGGCTGAACCCTGTTCTTCCACTTTCCTCGACTGGCAACTCCACAGAAGCGAAACTTGTCCGGATAGCCCAAGCATTCAAGCCCCTTGCCGATGCAGCGCTTACAGGCCGGTCGCGCTCGATCGCATCGACGGGATTTCTGACGGCACGTCAAGCACGCAGCTCCTGGAGGGCATTAGAAGATGGATCACCCGCTCAGGTTGATCAGGCTGATTTGCGCACCTAGGTTTCCCATCTACGAGGAGTGTTGAAATCCTTATCTAGACGCGCTGTGCAATTCCGGCTCTCAATTGCGCCAAGGACCGCGTTCATGCCTCAGGCCACGAGGCCGCTACACGTCTCTATATACTTATCATCGTTACAGGATGGTTCGAAATCAGATTCATCACTTGCACACAGAGATTCTTTCTCGAACTCAATTCTGAAACACGCTAAGATATCCTTAGATTATGCCTATTTAATGATTTGAATCGTATTGAAACACAAATCCACGTGATAAATAGTTAAATAGATTACTCGAAATACCCCAACTGGGAATACGGCTGCTGGTGTCTTTGCGCCAGCTAGAATAATAAAGCAAGCTCATCATTAAATTAGTTTATAAAATCACAGCACGGAACTATGTCAACTTCGAAGGACAGAGAGTGTATTTAAATATCTTGCTCATCTACCTAGCAGTCTCCAACATCTCTGTTTCCCATTCCAGCAAAGTTTGAGAACTGGATATGGTGTCGTAATGATTAAGCCCAAGTATTTGCTTCTGCTTGGCCAGGCAATCTCGTAGTAACTCAAGGGCTTGGGTATTACACCCTAAAGATTTCCACGTGAAAGCGAGATTGGCCATACTCGTGAGCGTAGAGGGATGGTCCACGCCGATCTTCATCTTACGAGTCTCCATGACCTGCACAAAGATCTGTTCTGCCTCCTTCCATCGGCCCTGGTTCCAATACGTCGATGCCAGGTTGGCCATACTCGTTAGTGTGTCAGGATGGTCCACGCCGAGCTTCATCTTGCGAGTCTCCATGACCTGTACCTCGAGTTGTTCTGCCTCCTCCCATCGGCCCTGGTTCCAATACGTCGATGCCAGGTTGGCCATACTCGTGAGCGTGTCAGGATGGTCCACACCGAGCTTCATCTTGCGAGTCTCCATAGCCTGTACCTCGAGTTGTTCTGCCTCTTCCCATCGGCCCTGGTTCCAATACGTCGATGCCAGGTTGGCCATACTCGTGAGCGTAGAGGGATGGTCCATACCGAGCTTTATCTTGCGAGTCTCTATGACCTGCATCTCGAGTTGTTCCGCCTCCTTCCATAGACCCTGGTTCCGATACGTCGATGCCAGGTTGGCCATACTTGTGAGCGTGTCGGGATGGTCCACGCCGAGCTTCGTCTTACGAGTCTCCATGACCTGCACCTCGAGCTGTTCCGCCTTCTCCCATTGGCCCTCTAGTGAATAGGCTTCAGCCAACATCAAAGTACTCGCAAGGACCTCTTCATCCTCTGCGCCAAGCATTTTGACTCTATACTTATGCGCTTTCGATGCCATATCCCTCACATCCCTAGTATAGCCGCTCTCTGACGCAAACCATGCGCCTCTATAAAGTAGCGTGGCCCATCTCAATAGACACTCTCGTGACTCTGGCCGTTGTGACATCGCTGATCGCACGTGAGGATAGAGAGACCGGCATTTCCCCCAATTTTCATATCGACCCGTCGGGAACTCTTCGTACATATTGCCGATGAATTTTTCCTTCCATCGTTCTGTCTCTCCATGAGAATTCAGCCATGCGCGCGTAGTCAGTTGCACTAGTCTGTGCATAGCAAAGGAAGCGCCATTCTCGCTAACAGAGATGAAAGAGTAATTCCGTAAAATTGCGACATCATCTTCAAATTCCGTTCCTCCGTCGGATTCAGATATTTCCCCGTCGCTAGAGTCGTCGAAAAGCTCTGTCCTTGAGGTACAGCTACTGGGTGGCTGGCGGCGGATAACGTTCTCCGGTATCCCTTGTCGATCGAAAAAACTCATAAGGGAAAGTAATTCCGCTGCGGATGGCTTTTCGTGGCGAATATAGTCGAATGATATTTGCCAAGTCAGTAATATTGAGTTCTTTGCTTCCCAATCCCGGTCAAAGTGACCTGCCTCTCTTTTGAGAAGCTTTATCGCTTCGCTATCACTCTTCTGGAAATCTCGGAGGTATTGTGATACTGAATAGCGAGGTGCCCTGTTTCGAATGTAGCCCGCGGCTTGTGCTATTGCAAGCGGCATAAATTCGAGTTCTTCCACTAACTGCTGGCTCTCTTGGCTTTCCTCGGGTTGATCAAGCGTCTTCTGAAGGAGTTCAAGTGCCTCAGACTTTGCCATTGGGTTAACTTCAATGAGGTCCTTATGCTTGACCATCTTGAGCGCAGCCTCTCTGCTTCGACTTGTGACGATTATAGATCCATTCCGGCATCTAGGAATGTATTCTACAAGGGGTTTCGTTAAGGCGTTTGGTGGCTCGTTAATTGAAACTCCCTTCCCCGCCGCGGGAAGCGAACAAAGGAACTTGTTGTCGTCCGCATTATCAAGGATACAGATCCATTGCCCTTTCTTCTCATCTCCGAGCCAGTTTTCGACCAGTTTGAATATATTGATATTAGGATCCAGGCGACCCCCGGAATCTTAAGCCGGTCTGCGATATCCCGAAAACTTTGCTCGAACCGGCCCTCGTTACTTGCGTGGACCCAGAAAATCCACGTCGCTGGTGATTCGGACCGGATCTGATACGAGTATTCAATGGCAAGCTGTGATTTTCTTCAATTTGTGAGCAGTTAGCCAAACACTATTCGCACGACACTTACCCGACACCGCCAAGCCCGACCAATGCTATTTTCGACCCTGGCACGGAGCTTTTCTCCCGTATTTGATGAAGCAGTGTAGAACGACTGACAAAGTCCGGATCGCGCGCGAACGGGACCGTTGATAAAGGGTTTGGCGGAGTTTCTGGTCGCTCTAAAAGCGCAACGGCTGTTAGGCTATCTCCATCTTCGTCGGCGTTTCTGTCTTACCTGGAGGCAGGTAAATTTCAGCGTTGATCGAGCCACGATTCTCTCCAATCTGAAGCGCACGGTTGTTGCCACTAAATGAAATCGATGTCATGATGAAATAATGAGCCTCGTGTGTGATTCATTGTGAGGCTTCTCGCCCGATTCCCACAAGCTGAAAGAGGGGCACTTTTTAATCTCAACATCATGTGACTCCCAATCGCTTAGCCAGGAAAATCTGCGCCTTTTAGCGAACCCATACCGCTTCCTGGATGTAGCTGTCAGTCATGGTTCCTTGTGGAGTAGGACTGGTGCGTTCCTGGGAACGGATCGACCCGATCCAGACTTCACATTCAGCTGGCCCACAATACAGTGATCAGCCACAATTCCCAGATCAGATGCGCTTTATCCCTATCACCTGAAGCGGCTGTCTCCCAAAACTTCACTTTGTAATTGCTACTATCAAGATCAGATACTATAGCGTGATACACTTCTTCTTACCAAAAGCATTTTTTCACGGCCGCAGCTTTGTGAGGGACATGAAGCTCCCAGGAACTCCCCATATTGTCAAGTCACGTGCATGGTACAGTGATCGTCCTCAACATATTTGAAGGTAATACTTAGCCTCAGTTTCTTACCTCGACGAAACAGCTCGGCCAACATAAGCAACTTGTTTTCCACACCCGCCCAATCGATGTCGAGATTATCGAATCGCCTCGTCAGGTTGCGTTGGAAGAGATTATTTACTGACACAACAATGGATGTGTCATCCGACCTTACCCTACCTTTACGAAAGGCTTTCCCTTCTAGCAACTTTTCTAACTTACGCCTCAGGGTCGTAGACCAGTAAGCACTTGGAGTCAGGGCTATATCCTCCTCCGTGTTCTGAGATATAATGCGCTTATTCACCATGACCTTCCACTCTATCGTGTACCGGATGTAGCTTGCTGGGAGCTCGCCACTTGGAATTTCATCGTCCCACTCGGAGAGCTGGAGTATTCTAGGATTTTTCGGGTGGTATTGGCACAACTCTCCGAGATCGTTCTGGGTGTAGCCGGGCGAAGGGCTAAGCTCATATCTTGACATAGGTGTACGACCGGGGTATCCTGGAGTGGGGGCATATTGCGAATATTGGTCTGAGGCATCCAGATCATAGGAGGGCTGGAAAGTATTTTCATTATAATACGAGTCAGCAGTCATCGTCCTTGTTCTAACGGATCCAGAATTAGCATAGTGTCGCCTGTGCGAGAGTCCTGGTTTCCAACCAGAAGGCCAGCATTGTTACACAAAAGCACCGAAAGTGTTCACCCCACCAAATAGTATCTCTATACACGCTCGTCAACAGTGGTCACTTCTGTGAAAGTGGGGATGAGTGGCTAAGAGAAGGAGGGAAGGAGCCAGATTGACCAGGCAGACTCACCATCTGTTTGGCTGATTTGCAGAAAATTTGTTCTATGTAGACACGTACAGACTATACAAGTCTAATACGGAAGCTATATTTATATCGTAATTTACAAGTGTACTGGAAAACTATCAAGAACTACGGAGCAGGGGTAGCTTAACCATAATTGGTTAGTGTGCTTCAGAAGAGGGTTCGCGAAAGATTTCTTAAGTGTGAAGTGGTGAATCTGATTTCGACCCATGCTGTAGACAAGCCTTTTGCTATGAAATAGATATCTCCGCGACGACAATGTAAATCTTGACATTATCTCCAAAAACCTTACCGAGTTGAACTAACAATCAATTAGGCCATCATTCGTACCTTGGGAAAGCGGCTGAGCCCAATGACAACCTGTCAGATTATGACCTGAGCCAATGACGGGTATACACTTGAGCGGAACCCAAGAAATTCCTGTCTAATATTGGGTCCGCTCAACTGGAACCCGCCAAGGAACAGAGCACTAGTTAGTTAGTTAGCTTGGTCGTCTAACGTCAGCATGGTAGACTGTTCCAAGGTTTTCTTGCTGAGATATCTTGGCAATCTTGGCAAAAGGGGCGGGAAGGCTAGGATGACTGTTAGGTGTCCAACAGGATCCCCGGGGCCAGCACGTTCGAGCGTAGTCAGCGACCAGTGGAACAAGCAAAGGGCTTCTAGTAGTATGCTTAACCAAACTAGGCAACTTATCTGGAACCGACGGAATAAATGCCAGGGAAAGCCCAAAGGGACTCAATTCGTGAGTCGTGAAGCCAAGGAAGTATTGGAACTGTTTTGAAGTCGGGATGCCAGTTGCTTCATACCATCAACTTACTACACACGACCGTTCCAAATACACGCAGACACGAGACAGTTCTGAGCGATCAGTATCTTCTATTTCCATTACTATGGATAAGAAGGGGTCGAAAACGTTCGCCAAGAGCTTCTATGACTACGATCAGGCTGTTCCGAGTCAGCGATGACATCGAGACCTCAGGGCAACGCGTCACACTCTATATTAAGTATACAACAGCGTAAAGATCAGCCGCTAATATGATTGATATCGTAGGAGGCTGGGTCCCCAGGAGAGTTGGGCTCCACATACCTGAGGCACTGATCGTCCAAATGGACCAGGCCTTCTACCAATGTCGACCTGGACCTGAAAGACGCGGGTTTGCAAGCCTGGGAGCAAGTTTGTTGAGTAAACTCGCAGCGTATCCCCCCTGAATCACGAAGCTTTAGAAGCGATGAAGCGAGACTTTACACAGGGGATGCTCAATCGGCAACCGGAGCATCTCGGCTCCTGGAGATGATATGCACGTGGGATCGTCGTTGTGGCCCCACACTGAGAGGTTTCAAGGTACCCTGCAGGAGTTATGCAAACCCCAGGTTCTGATGCATAAGTAGTTTCGGATCAACCCCATCTCCGCTGTTTACCTTGTTCGACCCCCAAGAGATACCCTAATGGGGTGTGGAAACTTGACAAAATTCCCGTCATATCTTGAAATGCAGGTCGCCTGTACTGGACCTCGCACGCTTTTCGTAGTGAGTCTTGACGTGTGGACTCCGTCGATTTTATCTTTGGGCACAATTTTCCATACTCCTGTCTGACCCGCATCGTAAATGGTCTCCACTTCGCGTCCCTCCATGATGTTCACCTTTGCCAAGCACACTGTGGCAAACTACAGCGCCAGGAACGAGCACCACCAATGAGATCTGTAGAAGATAGACCCAGCACTATGGGAAACCCCGGGCCTCCTTTCTGCCCCAGGTTCTTGAAGGACACTCAACACCTTTGCAGCCCAAAAGGGGGATAGGTATACTCCGTAGATCATCATACGGTTTCTGAGTCAGCTGTGGGCCGATATCGAAGCCGGCCCTGAATCAGGGCGAACAGTACACGGCTATCTTCCCAACCTTTTCCCCCCTTTACTACGTTCCGAGGCGACGGAGCAAATTTTGAAAGTAGACCGCCCAATTGGTATGTCAATAACCGTATTCTGTGCTTGTAGGTCTGAGAGACCCCAGGTTGGTGATAAACTGAAGCAAGTCCCCCCGAGCTACCTCGGCTTTATGCCAACCTCGAGCATCAATGAATCGGCCCATCTGGAATAAGCTGGGGTTCACTAAAGATGATGCATGATATAATTCGAACTCCACATAATATGGCATGATTGGTCGGAGTAGCTTTGTCTTTGGGGGCCATATCGGGCGCAGACCAGTCTGACGACACTCAGGTATCCCGTCTACAGGCGCTAAAGCGGTGGAGAACAATCTGAATACCCCGAAGTATGGAGTTTCCGGCGAAAATGATCATGCGCAGTCTTCGTCCATTCAGCCTCGGCCTCATTGGCATATGGACAGTGAGGATGGATATGCATTCATTGACGTAGTTACGATGCTTGAAGGATTGGGGGCGGGATAGGCCTCTCTCCGGGTATAAGAGAGGCTCTACGACCGCAAGGGAAACAGCATCCATCAACTCAATCAATCATTTCTCTGCAATACTTCCTTCAGAGCAACTCTTGACCACCAATTTTTCCCAATATGAGGGCCACATTCATCTTGTCTGCCTTGGCGAGCCTGGCCCTTGTTTCAGCCACCCCTCTTGGTGCCGACGTCCTTACGAAGCGCGATCCAAGTGACAAGTCTGGCAACACGCAGATCGCTCTCGAATGTACAGGCGAGACGCTCCCCGACCCCGGTGGCGATGGGGGCGCAGGAGAGGGCGGGTTTGGTTACTTCACGTCGAACATGAAAGCGAGTATCAAAGGTGGTGACGACATCGGCCCAACTGCCTGCACCGACAAAGACGGCACCTGCAGCAATTGCCTCTTTGAGGACTCTGGCCTTAGCTCGTCCATTAATGTCACTGGGTGCTGGAACCCCCCCCGCTGGTACCTCTGGCTGCAGCATCGAGTTCTCGTACAATGACTACGACTACAACAGCCAGAACAAGGAGCCCTACTGTGGCCACGAGAATAGCTGGGGTCCTTTCACCGACACCATCGTTGCGATTTGCTACTTTAATGCTTAAGCGAAGGCTTACAGCATATGCATCCTGCTAGCCAGACTGTGACTTTTTTTTTTTCTTTGTCAGAATCTGGCTTTGGATGACAGCAAGGGTTAGGTGTGCAGTCATGGGGGACCAAGGGAATTTGTAAATACTGATTATTGATGGACACCGTTACAATATCAAGCCTCGTTGCAACTTTTCGCCGGATTCCCACCAAATCGTATACCGAAGTAGTCGTAACATGGAGAGCGGGGGCCATAGTTCTCCGATCAAAAGGCGAGCGGGTAAGTTGTTGACTCAAGATTCTCGGAGTAAGTCAGTCCCCCCCTGTCGCCGAACCTCATCCAAAACCTCCATGATCACAAGACTTTCCTCCCACGGAAGGCCCTCGCTCTCGAGCTTTCCATCTCGCAGACATCTCGCAACTTCATCTGCTTCCCAGAACATACCACGGCCTTCCGGTACAGGCATATGAACGTCTTGCACCGTGGTCGGCTCATTTGGCTGACTGCTCGGGATCACACGGTACCATTGCGGGGCAAAAGCAGGTCCAAACACATGAATATGGCCCTTTGTGCCCTGAATCTTGATCGAGGGCCCCGCCGAACCATGGCCATCTGGATCGGTGCCCACACGGAATGCGGTCATAGCAACAGCGGTGGACGTTCTTTGGGGTAGAGCGGATGGGGTTGTTGTGGGGAATGTGATCAGCATTGTAGTCTCTTCATCCGCACCCGTTCCCGGGAAGTGTGACATATGCGAGACAATGTGAGATGGGGGGCTTCCTCTGAGAACGAGGGAGGGTATGATAGAGAATTTGGAACACCCAGGTTAGAGAGTAGATACCCACTAAAGGTTTGTTAGTTGCGGCGAACGAAAGCCACAGTGCAAGTTGACTCATAGGAATAAGTGACTACTCACAATCGAGCAGAGCTCCGCCGGCTAAGTCCTTGTTGACCATTCGATGGTCGAGGCTCCATTCTGTCTCGGGATGGACTCCGATACTCAGATCGGAGACCACCCGCAGGACTTCTCCGATAGCCCCGTTTTGGATGAGCTCTCGAACCTGGATACTCAAAGGGAAAAAGCGGGTCCAGACGGCTTCCATGAAAAAAAGACCCTTCTGCTTGGCCAGTTCGAACAGCCGCTTTGCTTGGGCCGCATTGATGGTCAAAGCCTTTTCGCAAAGAACATGCTTGCCAGCATGAAGAGCGAGCATCGCATGTTGATAATGATGCGAATGAGGACTCCCGATATAGACGGCCTGCACCGCGGGGTCTTTCACAACTTCTTCATATGATCCATAAGCGGTAACTGGACTGGGGATCTGGAGCCTGTCGATGAATGATTCCGCAGATGATTTCTTGGAAGATGATCCGACAGCCGTGACTGTATGAGTCACGTCCGTGGTGCCTCTTTTCTCCGGGGCTATCAACAAATCCCTGGTGAAGGCTTGATTTTGACCGTCAGACCTCCGACAGCAACTACAACGAATATCAGTCCTGGTGGAATATACCACTTACTCTCAGCGATGCCACCCGTCGCTATTTGCGAATATTAGCCTCTCCTGTTCCTCATGGAAGATGTGTGTCGATTCACAATACTCAACTTACCAAGAATGCCCCATTTCAGGTCAAACACCATTTTGCCAAAGTTTCGACGCGCCGAGAATATCTTAAGAGAGTGTGAACGCCAATTTGAAAGAATCTGAGAGCAGGGCCTTTTCTTATTTTCCAGGTCGAGCCTCGACCGTTGCGACGAGACCCACTTTGAACCTTGCAATCGCTTACACCTGCCAAGTCTCAAATGCCGACATCATAGCTAGATAACCCATGGTTTACCAGCCTCCGTTTGCAGTCCATCAAATTTAATACCCTGACTCCGATCCGGGTGATTCCACATTTACATCCCGTCATTATCGGCTTTGCATCGCATGTCGCACCCCGCATTCGCGGATAGGACCATGCAGCGTTGTGAAGAATTTAACCCCACATTCATGCCTAATGGAGAAAAGGCATGGAACCGATCACCTTCGGTTTCATTTTCCGAGGATTCCGTGCTTTATCGGGCTCGGCCCGATGTTTCGACTGCCCTGGAGTTGGCCTGAATATTCAGGCTCGCATCAAGGAAGCCCCCCCTACAACAGAGTAGATCTAATGTATAGAAGATAATCGCCCCAGATGTTATTGATATGGCATATACTTGTAATTTGAGTAAGGTATTCAAGATACCCACGTATTCTATTTGAAATATCTCGATGTCTACGTACCGTAGCCGCCATGAAGAGGCGCTCGGCGCAGAAGTGCAACCGGCTCATCGGCCTTGGCCCGAATGAGTGACTAGTATTTAAAGCATCACCAGAGTTTCAAGCTCATTGCTTCTTTCCTTGGCCTCAAGTTTCCATGTCTCTACTGGTGACAGTTTGCTCACAGCACTTGATCCATCATCACTCGTCAAATCATATACTAGTACTACACTATGTCCGACACAGCTCAACAGACCCGCTACGTTACACCTGCAGACCACCAACAATTTGTCCAAGATGTGCTGGTTGCGAACGGTGTGCCAAAAGACAATGCAGTGATAATATCTCACTGTCTTCTGCAAGCCGATCTACGAGGCGTGGACACCCACGGCGCAAATCGGATCCCGTCGAACATCGAAAGAATCCGCCACAAGATTCTCGACCCTACTGCTGAGCCCCAACTACGCCAGGTCACCTCGGTCGCCGCACAGGTCGACGGGAAAAATGGCTTTGGGTTTCTCGCCGCCGACATGGGCATGCAGCGCGCCATAGAAATGGCACAAGAGGCTGGCATTGGCCTGGTCTCCGTGAAACATTCCAACCACTACGGCATGGCCGCCTGGATTGTCCAGAAGGCCATTGATGCGAACATGATGGCGCTCGTCTTCACGAACTCATCGCCTGCCCAGCCAGCCTGGGGGAGTCGCGAGAAGCGGATGGGTGTGTCTCCTCTCGCGTGTGGCGCCCCGGCTCAGAATGATGCTCGGCCTTTTATTCTCGACATGGCCCCCTCGGTGGTCGCCCGGGGTAAGATTTACAAGGCGCTTCGTCGGGGCGTGTCTATCCCCGGCGACTGGGCCCTCGACAGCGAGGGCAAGCCGACGACCGATCCTGCGCGCGCTCTGGAGGGGGTGATGTTGCCGATGGGAGGCCCGAAGGGTTCTGCGCTTTCCATCATGATGGATGTGTTTTCCGGAGTCTTTTCTGGTTCTGCCTTTGCTGGACATGTCGGGGGCCCTTACGACTTTTCCAAGACGGCTGATGTGGGCCATTTTTTTGTGGCTATCAAGCCCGACCTCTTCATGTCGTTGGCTGAGTTCAAGTCTCGTATGCAGTACTTGTATGAGCGGGTCACCACGGGCGTGAAGGCGGAGGGTGTAGATCGAATCTATTTCCCCGGCGAAATCGAACTTATGAACAAGGAAAAGCGGCTGCAAGAAGGCATTCCATTCACCCAGCCCGAGATTGATGCCATGAACAAGGAGGCAGAGCGGGCGGGAGTGCCTTTGCTGAAATACTCATGAACTTCGATATCCTGTGTAATTTATCATTCATTTGAATGGCGCCCAATTTTCCAAGTTTTCTGCTTGCCTTTCAGGTTGACCAAGCCCACCCCCTCAATTCCACAGGGTCCAATGAGGTGTATGAATGTAAAGGGCTATCGACCTTTCTACTTAGCTAGGCTCTGTCTTCGCTGAATTGAACTTTCAGGCTACGCATCGTTGAGCTAAATAGAGATCAATAGCCCAATTTTCGATGACCTCAAGCCCATCGGCCTAATACCCTGATACGAAAATACTGCTAGACGACTATCGAGAAACGGGCCATCTCTGTTCGTCTAGCTGATCGCCACGAACTAGTTGTCGTGGAGGATTCGGGCCTTTTTGTGGGCTTCGCACAGTCCATAGAGCGCACACATCAGACCCTCGAGGAAGCCAAGAAGACCATCATCCCTATACTAGCCTTTGTTTGTCACATCCTCGAAGACATTTAGTATCAAGGACACACCAGCCGAGGGGCGTTGCATTTGAAAGAAAGAAAAAAGATGGAGCAAAAGTGAGGGCCTCGGATCTCTGTCTTTCCGATTTCTTTTTTTTTTTATCTTCCTCGTTGTGTTTGTTCCGGCGCTGTTTGCTGTTTAGGCCTGTCTCTAGAATTCCCTGCGCTTCATTGTGTAGCCTCTGCAACATGGTGAACGTTTGATTCCATGGCGTGCTTCGCTATAGCAAAATGCCGAGCCCCGTGGCCACGCCATATTCCAGGGACTCGGAGATGGCTATTTCCAGGAGATTGAGTGCATCAAGTTTCATAATTTGAAATGATGTTGAATGGGCTAGGATTTAAATATTGTATGGCCAGCTTTGCGATGCCATTATTGTGATCTCACTTTGGATTTTCAATATCATGATAATATTACAATCAGTGCGGAGGTCGGTACTAAAATTTTGCCTGAACAGGACGTTTGGGGATTATAGCTTCCTGGTGTGGGGTATACTACTCTTGACCCTATGGGGCTTTATATATTCTATATACTAGTAATTAATAAAGTAGTAAGTCAATGCATCACACTTCTCGGGACTGACAAGTTACTGGTAGCTTCTTGCTATCACAACTCTAGCAGGGAATATTGTGAGCTGGTACTGACATGTGTTATCCGCGTCCCTTGACCGTATGACTACCCATCTAGGGCCTCTCAGGCTGAAAGCTTCACGTGGAGTTCCACGAAGAATCCTTAGGCTTATTATGCATTGAACATGTAGTGACAGGGTTAGAAAGGGCATCTCAGAGAGAGGTGACTACATATGTGACGCCTAAGGAAAGCCTTTGCTTCTTATTGGCTTGGCTAGTGGCAATAGCCCATCCTATGACCGAGCTCCACTAGGTACGAGCACACGAACGCAGAGACACACAAAAAGGGGGGGCAAGGAGAAAAAAAGACAAGACAAGACGCCAACAAGTCCTTCGCCAACAACCAGAGCTAGCTGTTCTGGTGGATGCGGACGAGGATCTCCTCCAGGAACAGATCCAGGACCCCTTCGATCCCGTGGCCTAGTGAGACGGGGTTGGCTGCGTCTGTCCGGTGGATCCGCTCCAGTGCCCCGGAGACTTCCTGGGCATATCCATTTAGTAAGGAATGGACATGCTGGTCACGTTCCCATCGCTCAAAGCTGCCAGCCGAACGCGGGAAATTCTCAGGGCGCTGGCTCTCAAGCTGGTGGCGGCGACGGGAAAGAGCCGCCGACAAGGCTGGGATGAGAATGTCCAAAGCCGTGGCATGTCCAGAGGGCTGACCAGAGCCAGCGACACTTCGGATATCCTGTTCGTAAGACTCATCGTCGGAAGCCGTATGGATCCCGGATGAAAGGGAGTGACCTCGACGCTCGTTGATCTCAGTGGCAGGAGTGGGCTCGGCCTGATCAATTTCCCGAAGAAACTTTATGTTAGGATGAACTGCTTTTGGACGGGGCCCTTGTTGAAGGTTTTCTTGAACGTAATCGGAACTTACCGCCAGGACCGGGTTAATGGGCCCAGAGAGAGGGGGCAGGGGAAGCTGGCCCGGAAGATTGGTCTGGGGCTGAGAAGCCTGGCGAGGAGTCTGCGCCTGTTGCCCGGCAAGGTTGGAGACGCGACGGCCTTGATTCATCGCGGGGCGCTCGGGGCTTCCCATGGCCATAGACGGTTGGTAGGATGGAAGCCTTGGAGAGGGAACCGGTGGAAGCGCGTGAGAAGATAGAGAGGGTTGAGAAGGTTGAGAGGGTTGAAAGGATGAAGATGATTGCGAAGTTCTGTGCAAGGGGGGAACAGGCGAAGAAGGTGAGGAGGGGCTCTTTAGGTGAAGAGGGCTTCCATATTTGTGTTGAAGATCAGCCTGGGGCACTGATTTGGTATTCAATTTGTCGTCCAAATCCCAATTGTCCTTTTCCTGGACATTCATTTTGGACACTGATTCAGGGAGACCGCGCATTGGCGCTCCAATTGGTTTACCCGCGGGACGAACAGTACCAAAATCCCATAGATCTTCATGCTGCTCGACTCGTTCCTCGATGGAATTATGAGAGTCGTCCCAGTCGTCGTCTTCTCCACCGGGGTGTGTTGCCTGCCAACGCTCCGCACGTTCGATTAGCTCTGTTAGATATGTCGTCCGCTTCGCACGTTTAATGAATGGATGTTCTAGTAATTCCTTTGCACTTGGTCGCTCCTTTGGATCCCGACGCAGGCACAGCTCCACAAATTGCTTGAAGTTCTTGCTGAAGTTGCCATCCAAGACCGGGGGTGGATTCTTGGGGATCAAAAACAAAACCTTCATTGGGTGGATGTCTGCATAAGGAGGGTCTCCACAGGCCAACTCAATTGCCGTGATACCGAGTGACCATACGTCTGCTTTGTAGTCATACCCTGATTGCTTGATGACTTCAGGTGCCATCCAGAATGGAGTGCCGACGAATGTGTTTTTCTTGCTGATCGTGGCTGTTAACTGGCCCGAGACGCCGAAATCAGCCAACTTCACCTGGCCACTCGCGCTGAGTAGCACATTTGCAGCTATGGATGTGTTAGTCAGTGTGCCATGATCTTCAGGAGCATACGAACCTTTGATATCACGATGCAGCTTGTGATCCCCATGGAGGTAATCCAAGCCCTTGAGCAACTCGCGTAGGATAATCGCTATGTATTCTTCGTTGATGACACCAGGGCGTAATAAGCCATGGCAGCTTCCGCCGGAACAAAACTCCATGATAATCCAGAGATCGGACCCTTTGAGATATGAACCATGATACTTGGTCACATATGGTGACTTAAGCTCAGATAGGATGGCGATTTCTTTGATAATGTCGTCAACTTCATCCTCGGCATTCTCGACATCAATGATCTTTATAGCGACAGACTCCCCTGTGCGCTTATCGACACTATTTCAATGAATCAGCAATGATTTGTGGGATGTGATAAAGGCCACATACCCTTTGAACACCTTTCCAAAGCTGCCACCGCCTATGATTTCAAGTTAGCAAATGAGCATGAACAAGTGGCATGCTTGCCTTACCGATACACGTCTGCTTCGTGTAGATGGTCTCTGGGTCAATTGCTGCCGACATCGTGATGGTTTTGCAATGAAGTATTCGAAGCACAAAGGAACAAAGAAAGGGTGTGTATGACCACACACAAAATAGCACGTTATTAGCCACTCAGTATGGAAAGGCTAAGCTTGCAGTCCTTTAGATTACTGCAAGATCACCTTTCGCAGAATAGTAGGACCAGTGACGTAAGTCGGCTTGACTTCGATAACAAACGGAATACGTGTCCTGCAGATATCGACCAGAGCAGTTGAACTGCTGATATCCAAAGAGATTATTAGGGCGGCAGGCAAAAAAAGAACAGACTCGCAAGAGCCAGTTTCTTCGATGTGAGTCGATTGCTGATCAACGTGCGTCGAGGGATGGATAGCAGACGCCTCGATATCAGAGAATGAAGGAAGGAAAAAAATTATTCAATGGAAAACACGCTCAGTCACAGCAAGATGGGTATGGAGGCTTTGCAAAAAGCTACAGCGCCTGGAGAAATGTTGGACAAGCTTCGTGGGTGGGTGATCCTGCTTAGGGCCAAGTCTTGTGTCAATACGGACGACGTAGCGGTCGAATGGTACACCAGGACTTCAATACTTTCTCTTAGGAGTATGAATAACCTGAAATCAGTGGACTCACCAATGCTAAAACCCAACTTGCCTCTATCTACTTGGTACGCTGATCGCAAGGAAATGGCTGCCGGGTGATCAGCGGAGGTAATGGGAGCCCATCATTGAGCAGAGAATCAATTATGGCTATCCTTGGCTCTTTCCAGGAGCATGAGTGTATTCGAAGGCCTTGAGAGCCAAGGAGGAAGTGCAAGCCAAGATTTTTTGGAGGATGCTTGAACGAATGCAGGAAACAACCCTTGTCACTTTGTTTATCAACGCGGGGACATTTTGCCGAGCGGTCAGTCTTATCTTAGGACGATCGGCGTAAACAAACGGCTACTCCGATAAGCCCTTACGATTCTACAGGACATAGGGCAATTCTATAGATGCGACGAGGCCAGGTTAAGGAAGATATTTGGAAGCGTGAAGGCTTTACACCCTGAATATTGGACGAATGTGATGAGCTGCGACTATGTGCAAATATAGGCCCTTTTAGTATCTCAAAACATTAAAGGTAAGATAGTAATATTGTGCCAAAGGGCCGCCTGTTGCATATTCTAGGAAGACTAGATATTGGATGTAGGGTATAGAGAAAGCAAGATAGGTTATGGAGGTTTTCTAAATCAAGGCTCAGAGAGCTCAATCCTCCAAGTATCCTATGTTCACAGTCCCATTCTTCAACCCTGCCTCTTGGATGGTTAAGGACAGGTGATCTATTAGGTTGGTTCCCATAGAGTTCAAGTCAAACTCCAGACCAGCCTTGTCTTCTAAAGGAGGCTCGCTCTTTAACCACTCGTAGATCCTTTGCACGGGATCTGACAACGCGAACCGCCTGATGATACGACCTGCAGGGTGACGGAACTGAATGCGAGTAGTGGTGGCCGGATCAGCAGCTGGTTCAATATGTGGCCGGTCACTGGGGATGGAAGCAAATGCCGAATTTGCATTCGCTTCGGATTCAGCGTCGGTGTCCACCATAGCATCGTCCTCATCTTCTGTGGCACGCCCTTTGCCCTTGATGTCCCCTGTGCTTCGCGTCAAGTCATCAGGGTCTTCTCCTTTGAGACCAGAGGCTCCGCCATCACCTAGGCTGTTCCTCATAGCCAATTCTAGCATTTCCTCTTCCGTCATGGCATCCACGGTCTTCTCGGGCTTCTCCGATTTCCGCTTGGCGACCGGGTTGCGCACATTGAGATTGAGGCTGTACCGGTCAAGAAATTCGTGAAGCTGCATGAGAAAGTCGGCAGCCTTCACGACTGGTTGCCCAGTCCAAGACTTCACCATCTCCCCAGTTCGAGGATCAATAATTGCAATGTGTGGGTAATTATCGGAAACCTCCGAGCCCTGGAAGTAATACTGAAGGTATGGTGCAGCAGTGGGATCATCCTTGGAAAACTGCATGAAAATAAAATGTTCCCTCACTGTTTCCTGGATTCCCTTGTCTTTCCATAAGTCTCTGTTCAGAAGTTGGCAGTCGAAAATGGATTGATCTTGGATGTTGACCAGCAGCCATTTCTCGTTATCTCGGCCCTCTTGGCGTGCAACATCCCAAGGCAACCGACTCATAATCTCGAACGGGGGCCGATACATCTCAGCTAGCATGTTTGATTTGGACGAGGTTTCCGATGCACCCCCTGTGGCCCGCGATAATCTTTCTGAATGAGATTCGGAGGTATCGCCTGACCAGATCGAGGCCGTGTCCTGCTGGTTGAAAATCCCGGGTCGGCCTAGACAACAGATATTAGCATGCATTTCGTTGAAGAGCTTTTACAAGCGTGACATACCTGCTCGCCCGCCTCGCCCGCCTCGCCCCCGCGCACGCATCTGGCTCAGAATACTGGCATGCATTTCATCCTCAAAATCTGCTTCTGGCCCCACCAAGGTTTCTGTTGTGCGTGCCATAGGCGCCCGGACTCCATCATCATCGTTCCCAGGTATGATGCCTCCATACATCTCCTCTTGAAGTCTACGGGCCATCGCCGCGTCGTCATCAAAAAATGCATTACCAGGCTGCTGCGTGGGCCGTTGGGCAGGAGTGTCGGTATCCGAGTCGGAGTCTATGTGGACAACGCCAGATTCATCTTCGAAGGCGGGTCGGCGCGTCGGCTGGGCGGGTTCTGCTGTGAGCGGTGCACCCTCATTCTCAAAATAGAGTTGCATAGCCTGTTCGATCTGGAAGTCGGCAAGCTGCAGGTACTGCGTCGCGAGCTCTGGCGTGGCGCCGGTAATTTCGGTGAACTGAGCCACCACGTCGCTCTCCATTGTGAGATTAGCGGAGAAATTTTTGAAAGATGGAGGCGGTAAAGTTTTCAATACGAAGAGCTATGTGAGAACCGAACAAGGTTGATGAGTATCGAGCTTCGCTGTAAGCTCTGGAACCTTCGTAGATGGAGAGGCAACTGAGTGCAAACAGGTGCAAACCAGCTCGCGGGGATCAACACAACCCCGCGCAAATGACCTCAAAGACGACCTCAACCACGGATGCAGAACCGTATTTGAATCGGTATAGAGAGAGTAGTGGAATAGAGGAATTCTTGGAATAGAAAAGTGTGTTGGAAACTTGTCAAATGTGGAGAGATAAAGCGAAACCCCCCTCGACCTCAAAATGACATAATTTCAGAGGGCCGATCTGCACTTACGGTTGTTCCCGCCGTCCGGAGCACCTCTTTCGCGCTTAACCAAATTAGGTTAAAAAGAATGCGACGCGACGCGTTCACGCGAGAAACCACGCTCCTTCTCCAGGAAACCGCTGCCCACGCTTCTTTCCTACTGCCCAGCCCCACGACAGTATGGCCGCCACGGTTCTGGGAAAGCGCACTCGCGGCGCAATTGACTCAGAAGGTACGTTCTTTCCTTACTATCCCACTCTTAAAACCCATTCTTGCTCATTCCATTTTTAGCGCTCCCAGTTCGGACCGCAAGCAAGCGCCGAGTCATTGCCCCTCAGGCAAAGCGCGATCTTCCTCCAGCACCAGTTCGTCGGACCCGATCTACAGTCAAGAGGAAGGAAGCCGGGCAGGCCCCAGACCAAGAAAATGGCGACGTCAAGAACAAACTTGTGAACAATGTGCCATCAAAGCACACACTACGTGATGAGAAGGGTGCGTCCCCAAGGATAATTCCCATTTCCGCACCTCGAAGTTAGCGGCGGATAAGCGGAGAGAATTGGGAATATCCCAATAAACTCATGGACACGGCTAATGGGTTGCAGTTCAAATAGAGGCGAAACCGGAAAAGGCCGAAAAAGCCGAAAACCCCAAGCCTGATGTCACCGAGAAACCAGCGCAGGTGGAATTCAAAACCCCTCAGCAGAAGTCACGCTTCCGAGATGCATTACAAAATTCCCCTGTCACTCCTCGACATCGAGTCCAGGTCGGGGCAAAGTCTGTGACCCCTCGAACTCCTCGACATGCTGATCTTCCCCCTACCCCTCGTCCAAGTGCCACACCGACTACTTCGCAGACCGTTTACTCACAGGCGCGGCAACTTTTTGCGCGAGGTGCCAGCTCCGGGCGACTCATTGGACGGGATGCAGAAAGAGAAAAGGTTCGCACTTTCATTCAAGAGTGTGTTGATTCTCAGAAAGGCAGCTGTCTGTACATTAGTGGTCCGCCGGGGACTGGAAAAAGTGCCATGGTTGGCGAAGTTTGTCGAGATATGGATCTGTCCAAGGTTAAAGTCTCCCATGTCAACTGTGTCAGCATGCGAAATGCGCGGGACGTGTACAGCAAACTCCTTCAGGATTTCTGTGAAGAGTCGGACGTGTTTAAGAAGAGTGAAGCTGACCGACTAAAGTCGATGTTCGTTCCATCCAAGCCGGACGGCCTGTATCTTGTCAGTCTGGACGAGATGGACCACCTTCTGCAGGGAGACTCGGGCGTGTTGCAGTCTCTCTTCGAGTGGTCACTGGGCCCCAAATCCTCCCTTATCTTGATTGGCATTGCCAATGCACTTGATCTCACTGATCGGTCGCTTCCCCAACTTAAGGCGAAAAACCTGAAGCCTACTTTATTACCATTCTTACCCTACAATGCGGCTTCGATCGCCGGCGTGATCACCGGTCGTCTGCGCTCTCTGATGCCCGTAGCACCAGATTCGGACCCTAAGTTCGTTCCCTTTATACAGCCGGCAGCTATCCAGCTTTGTGCCAAGAAGGTAGCCTCTCAAACAGGCGACCTTCGCAAGGCCTTCGAGCTCATGAAACGAGCAATCGATGTCATTGAACAAGAGACTATCCAAAAGCTGGAGAAACAAGCATCGGAGTTGGAGAATACGCCAATCCTCGCAGAAAACAAGAATCTATCCTCACCATCAAAATCAGGAACTGGTCCTCCGCCCATGACTATGGCCAGCTACAGCGCATTGACAGCTCCTCGTGCAAGCATCGCCCATATCGCGCGCATTACCACAGCCGCCTTTGGTCAAGGCACTGTACAGCGTCTGAAGAACTTGAATCTGCAGCAAAAAGCTGCCATTTGTGCGTTGATTACTTTGGAGCGTAAGCGTCGGGAGAATGAGATTCCCAGCACACCCTCCAAGTCGCGTCCTGCGGCCCCGACAGTCAAACAAGCCTTTGACACATATTGCGCGCTATGCCGCAACGACAATATTCTTCACCCATTGACTGCCACTGAGTTCAAGGATGTTCTCGGTAACCTCGAAACCATGGGATTGGTAGGAGACTACCAGGGTCGTGGCCGTGGCGGCACTCTTGCTGGTGGCTCTGATGTCCGCCGTACCCCGTCCAAGTCCGGCAGTGTCATCTCCACTCCTCACAAGGGAATGGACGAGCAAGGTCTTGTCTGTTTCGTCTCCCAGACTGAAATCGAGGGCCAGATTGCAGGCCCCGGCGAGGGTATTCTCAGACGACTTCTTCGTGGTGAAGGACTCTAAGCCCGCCTATTCTTTCCAGCTCATTTCCTTTGACTCCACGCTCTATTCATTTTAGCATTCGCATTATTGGAGTCATACCAGGGTGCTCTTAACTTGTAACTTGTACAAAATCCTGCCGCATACTTGGTGTCCTGCATCTTTATGTCAGCGTTGTTCATGAGTTCCTTTTGTTATTCTTTCACTGACAGTCACTACTCTCGAGAGTCCTGACTCTGTTTTTCGAGGATGCTAGAGAAGGTTTATTCGAGGTCATTGCTATGAACCAAATTTCCAAAGACAATCTGAAGGAATATGCTACTGTGCCGTTAGTGAGGTAAATCTCTTTAGCCTCATAATAATCTGTAACTCTCTCTCCTGGTGACCTGCACATGTTGGATCAAGCAATCCACTTTGTCTCCCCAGGCGCAAAGCGAGGGTAACAACCCGAATGCGGAGCACGTGCACAGTAGAGCATTGCATAGCGCAATTGGAGAGATTGGAGACGGGACGCAAGCTATATATGTTAAAATGCTAGAGCCTTGATGAATATGGGACATAGAAATCATATCCGAAACTACAAATGTGATAACCCCTAGGAAGCAGAAGCCTGCAGCGTATGGCCCTCTGCACATGTATGTATCTACCGGGAAAAGAGGCCGATATCAAGGCGACCACGTATATACACGTAGGGGGTGGCGGGGGGTAGTAAGAGCTGTGCATCGAGTCCTTCGTAGCCAATGCCCTGAACGATGGTCGCCACAAATAAAGATAAGGATGAGACACCAATCCCCATGCAAGATAGGTGGAATAGTGCAGCCAGAGCCTGGTCTCTTCCAAGGTAGCTTTGGTATCCGTCCAGCTGAGTTTGTCATCTCTGTTGAAAAAGGCCAGGACGAGGCAGCCCAGCAAGCTGTACATGGGATCTCAGAATTGACAAAGCCAATGGCTATAGCTACAGATAGATATGTATGCATGTTTGACTTATCCTGGTTGGTTCGATTTGTGCATTTTCGCCTGGATATCATCAAGTCAATGAACTAGTAGTTCTAATGCGCAGTTCTAGTAAATCACACTAGGATTCAGTTAAGTCGACCGGGAATTGTTTATAGATTGGATACTGTAAATGCCTCCATGTGTAGTACTAGGAAATAAAAATAATATGTAGTTAAATCAACCCTTTTCAAATTCGTATTTTCCCTTCTCTGTATATCCCCTAACACCGTTTCCGAGAAAATAACACTATGATCTAACCTAATCAACTAGGTTCTGTTTACCAACTTCCTTCCCTAAATTCCACGGCATACTCAACACCTATTTTGAAGTATGACACTAGATTTCATTTCAATCGACCGGGTTTTATTAACAGATTCCTCCTTTTGGATACTACAACAGTCTTTACACCCAGATTTAGAAAGTGACACCAAGATCTAGCAAAATCCACCAGGATCAACTTTCGTGACTTTTCCGCCAGATACTAGCAAAAACATTTATTGGCCCAGCAGTTCTTCTTCTTACAACTACTCCCCATCTAAAGCTTTGATTGGGTGTAGCTTGACCATACCAGTTCCACCAATCTTCAACAATTCCACCAGGATTGACTTTCATGACTTTTCCGCCAGATACTAGCAGAAAAACCTTTGCTGGTTTTGTATTTTCTCTTCTTACAACTACTCAACCTTCATGGCGTCATTTGATGTAGCGTTAAAGCCCCGGTTATAGAACGAACCTTCACCGCCAGGTTACATGGCACTTCAAACGCTTCATATGCTACCAGGAAGATCACCAATGCAATGCGATACTGCTGGTCGTTCCCGTCAATGTCGTGCCTTAGATCATCGGCGGTGTTTTTGTTGAGGACTTTCGCATTAACCAAACACTTCAGCTTAACTAGGCCTTCTTGGACAGACCCGGTATCGGTAATTCATCCCTATGTTCGATCGACTTGAGGCAACATAGTGAACAAGTGAACGCCACGAAGGGTAGCGATAGCCATAGTAAGCTCTGGCTGGTTGATTTCAGCTCCACATCAGTGCTCTGTGCCCCCGGGAAGATGGTTGACATAGTGGCTGCTCACTGCGTTCCTCTGACAAATGCACCGAATAGATTCGTACGAGCAAGGGATCTACCTGATCGTGCGGTGGCCGTTTCCGAATCTAGTTGCGAACAGCGGATGTTGAGCTTGGAAATGCTCATTTGTCAAGGAGATATCATATTCATTTCAAAACGTCCACACCAGGTTTAGCATCGCTCGCGTCCCCGGTTGAGAGGGGGGGAGGCCCTCAGGATTATGCATTCTATAAGACACAAGATAGCACTAGGATGCGACAGCTCACATACGGCATATTCAAGCGAGATGGAGCATCCTGAACATGCGTATATAAATTGATGCCAGTATCGTTGCCATTGATGTTCTATCGCCCGGAATTGCAACCTGTTCTAACCAGAATAGAACGAGAACGCGAAGGGGGCGGCCCCCTTTGGGGCCAATCTATCATACCTGAGCGGAACATCCCGGCAATAAGTCACCAAGTACCTAACTCCTGGAGTTTTCAAGCTTGTTCTTTGACACTTCAAGAATGTCTGGTTCTGCGGAAGTGGCAGCTACTCCTGTAGCTGATTCAATCGCACGAGATAGACTCCAAACGGAGGACATACAGTATCCCAAGTTCTCCAGCTTGGTATTGATCGCGATCGTCCTATGTTTGGCTACTCTCTGCGTAGCACTGGACAACACCATTATCTCGACAGCTGTGCCTCGTATTACACATGACTTCAACAGCATTGATGATGTTGGATGGTACGCATCGTAAGTATCCTCCGGGATTTAGAGTCGCGATTCACAGAGGCGGCGGACTTATCCCAACGCCTTGCACAGAATCTACCCCCCTAGCCTCTTGCGCATTCCAGCCTTCCTACGGCAAGATATACACCCTTTTCTCCAACAAGGTAGTATTCCTCGCATCACTGCTGGTCTTTGAAATCGGAAGCGTCGTGTGTGCTACTGCGCCGAGTTCTCATGTTCTTATCTTTGGGCGGGCATTGGCAGGCTTAGGCTCCGCCGGCATACAAGCAGGCACAACACTTATTCTCGCTGAGTGTGTTCCGCTCCCTAAGCGACCGACTTGGAATAGTATCATTGGAAGTTTCTTTGCGATTGGAAGCGTGGTTGGCCCTTTACTGGTATCCTACCCATTCCTTCCGGCGAAGCCACATCACAGGAGCTAACCGCCACAACAGGGTGGAGCTTTCTCGGATTCGACTACCTGGCGTTGGTGTTTCTACATCAATCTCCCGCTCGGTGGTGCTGTGATGATTTTCATCGCCTTTTTCTATAACGCCCCCAAAGGAGCCCCAGCGAGAGAGCAGAACGGACCGGACTTCGCAGTCTCGTGGCGAGCTTTGATGTGGCTGGCACTGTCACATTTGTCGCAGCAACCATTTGTCTTCTGTTGGCGCTCTCATGGGGTGGCACTACATATTATTGGGGCGATCGGCGAATTATCGCTCTGTTCACGCTCGCCGGAATCCTCTTTTGCTCTTTTGCGGGCGTTGAGCACTGGACGAAGGAAAGCGCGATTGTGCCCTTGCGCTTATTGCGGAGAAGAAGCATTATTGCAGCAATTATTTTCGCAGTATGCCTTGGTGGCGTGTTTTTCGTAAGTCCCCCTCGTGCCTGATTGGTTTATATGACTCTACTGACGAGACTTTCATTATCGCAGGTCAACGTCTTCTACATCCGTGAGTGCCAGAAGGCCCAGTTCTAAGAAAAAAAAAATATGCTAATAGTAGTCCAGCGCTATGGTTTCAACTCGTCGATGGCGTATCTGCCGTTGAGTCCGCAGTCCTCTTCATCCCATTCATGGTCAGTGTCGTTGGTGGATTCATGCTCGCCGGTTTCGGAACCTCCGCGACTGGGTATTACACACCATTTGTCTATGCCGGATCCATCCTTATGTCGGTAAGTACCGGTCTTCTGATGACCGTCCATCCTCGGTCCACCTCCCGAGCCAAATGGGTTGGTTTTCAAATCCTGTGCGGAATGGGAATCGGCCTGGGCGAAGAACAGGGTCTTTACATGGTGCAAACGACGCTTCCTGAGCATGACATAGCGACTGGGATCGGGATCATCTTGTTTGCGCAGACCTTCGGAGGAGCTTTATTTGTATCTGTTGCACAAGCGGTGTTCCTGGGAAGTATTACCGAGGCGCTGAACAAGATAGCTCCTGACCTGAATCCCCAGTCAATTGTGAGTGGTGCAACGGCAAGTCTGCCGGGCTCTTCTACCGGTCAGGTTTCAGCGGCATTGCAGGCAGTCTACGGTCGAGCGATCAAAGATGCCCTGCGTGTGGGGCTTATACTGGCAACAGTATCAAGCCTAGGTGCTGTGCTGTATGATTGGAAGAGTCTGAAGGCTAATACCGACCATGCGAATGGAGAACATGGCAATGGTCATGAATTGGAGCGCATCGGAGAGCAGAAATAGAGGCTGGAATCGCGGCATGTTAGGACGACTATAGGTCGGTTCAAATTGACTATCGATAATTCCGGAGTACATCATGCTTCACAGAGCACCATTGTCACTAGCCCTCTCGCTCACTTCTACGAAGCCTGCACAATTCTATCCAACAATTTATGCACCCGAAGAGAAGACTCGAAAGTAGAGAAACGATCATCTTGCCCTTTAGCAAAGGCATCGTAAACAGCCGCCATATTCGGCTCCTCTGTCGTGGCCACATCCGAACTATGTATCGTGGAGAAGTCAATCGCCTCTGCAGCATTCTTTCCAACTCGTAAGCGCAGAGTTCCTTCCGGAGGCCCCGTCTGCCAAGAACCTGGGGGCCTGGTCAACTCTAGCTCGCCCTTAGTTCCAGTAATCACCCAGCAGAATCCGACATCATCGACGGCTTCCTCTGTTGCCCGGACACTGATGGATGCCAAAGCTCCATTTTCGAGGGTTCCTTGAACGAGCAAGTGGTCCGGTGCGGTCCGAGGATAGTTTTCCTGGACTACCTTCCTTGGCCATCCACGATAGTCGCCGTGGGGTAATGCGTCTTCAAAATCGACTGAAGATCTGCAAAGTCGCCGAGGACCTGAGTAAAGCTATCCAGAACTTATAATGGTCAGTCAAGATTCTCGGATTGTGGGAGCATTCAATTTACAATGGCCGAAGAAGATGGTGAGCATGTTGCCACCGCTGTCTTTGGAAAGATAGTACTCTGCTCCAGCAAACCAAGTCTGTGTAGGGAATGCACTGTTTGCCACTACAACGTTCGAACTGGTCAGGTTACCAAGGACACCGCTCTGGACGATTTCCTTGGTCTTGATGACGATTGGATCCGCACGAGCCTGGAGTCCGACCACCGTCTTCACGCCATTAGCTTTTGCCAGTTCTGTCAGCTCGGCCGCTTCGGTCGTATTGGCACCCAGGGGCCATTCGACAAAAGCATCCTTTTTAGCATGGAGAGCCGGCTTGATGAGATCATAGTGCTTGGCGACATTCACGGAAACGACGACCAGGTCGACATCTGGGTCGTTGGCAATCTCTTCAGGTGTACCGTAGGCCCTTGTCTCTGCAGGCAAGCCGTGAGCTTTGATAGATGCCTTTGCCGCCTCGACAGAAGAGTTGGCGAGCGCCACCAGCTTATAGTCCGGCGATTTGAGCAACCAAGGGAGGTGGGCTTTCGCAGCCCATGCTCCGGCTGCAAAGGAGGTGGATGTGCTCGAAAGTCCAATCAAGCCAACGCGAATCGGAGCCATACTGAGTAATACCGGATGAAACGGGAAGTGATAGCAAAATTCGCGGTAAAGCAGTAGTTTCCTGTTGGAGAAAGCTGGATCGTCTGTTTCCCGGGCCTCTTTGATTTATACGGTGTGTCCCGACGGATCCCGAGGAAATTTCAAAGCATTGATAATCGGCGATTCGTCATTGCGTGAAGAACTGCGGGGAACCCATGCATGGCAAGAACGCAACACTCGTACGATCCCATTGAGCCAAGTTGGACGATAGACCCACCTGAACACCGGCGCTAGAGGACTCCCACAAATCTCCAGATCGTCGATTTAACCTGGGTCGATCCCCAATACTTGACCTGGAAACACGGACGGAACTCCCTGTTTATTCCCTTGAGTGGATGTCTTCCCGACTGTCTACAGATCTGTTTGTTCCAAAGTCAGCAGAAAGTCCAATAGAGTGAGTCGTGCTCCATATCCGAGTTCTCCTGGACATCAAGTTGTTGCCAACGTCGACCCGTGTTGGCGAGCCAAGTGAAGCCATTGGCCAATTCTACTGTTTCCTGAAAATTGCCACTGTAGCACATCTGGCTTGCGATGACTGCAGATCTGCAAAGACCTGATGCAGTCGTGAGACTCCAACCTGCTCACGCTGGGCTGCAAGGAGACTGCCATGTGCACGGATGAGCCGCCGCTCCTATCGAACGAGAAATTGTTTCATGAATTAGAATAAGTATAGAAACTGATTGGGCAGGTCAACCGTGGGCTGAAGGGTTGGCGAGGTGGTGTGCGGGTATGGATATGTTTGGGTGGTTGATGTGGACAGCTTCGAAGTTAGTGGTTGATCATCGGCGGCAGCAGGTGTGTTAGCTATCTACCGGTGTCCCTGGCGAGAATAAGGGTGAGAAATTCCAGAAACACGGTTTCTGCGCTTTTTCAAGTGCGCGGGTCCCATGTGTGGCGGTGTCTTTCAATACCAGTGATGGACCCGTAGTCAAGGGACTTGGATATGGGCAGCCTTCTACTGGGGGAGGTAATAGAAGAAAAACATACCTCTCCAAAAAGAAAATCGGCCATCTCGTGGATCGAACCAGAGCCCTCCGGAAAACAGCCATGGACAGCTGTTTTGAGGTGGCCCTCTTCAAGTGAGGCGAAAAAGCTCATCTTCATTTTTTATATTCGCATATTTCTCAGCAACAAGGTAAGCTACAGAGCTGTGAATAGGGTCAAATGAAAGAGGCAGACCACTAGAGGATCAAAATGAAAAAAAGAAGCACCCCCCATACGCCAGATGTCTCCTTTGTATGGGGTTCCCACCCACCCCCCATTTCCTCTCCGACATCACTTCAGGCTGGGTGCACCAAAAGTGACGGGACTGTACGGCCGGTTGCCAAGAGTGGCTAATGGGAGCATCCTCCCACTAGACCACCCCGGAGAGTTATTGCAAATGAGACTTGTTAATTGTCATATAGCCCTTCGCCGTCCTCCTTCAAGTTCTGTCTCTGTCCTTTCCCTCTCAGACTGAGCTGCCTCCTTCACCCTCCAAGGCCTTCCACAGCCGACCCCAGAGCATCTTAGACGTGACTGAGCTCACCTGCCTTAGCCATTCGACTAGTTGCATCTCCAAGGGGCTTTGCTCATGCTGATCTCTACACAAAAGCCCCCTTTCCCTCCAATTAGCCTCCTGTAGTGTTGGCTGCCCCCTCTACTGGTCTTGGCCTCATAAGCAGTGTTTGCAACTACTTGCATCTACGTTGGAAGGATGGCATAACCGAGGAAAATGGACATATGCAAGAGACGAAATCCAGTATACATACAAGGGTTTCACAAACAAATGAACATCCAAAGAAGAGTAGCATGGAACACATAAGGGAGCCCGAGCTGATGCAAAAATAGGGGGCCAGAGAAGAAATACGTGCAAGCAAGGCAGGGGTATGAATGCAAGCACGCATAGAGGACATCAACGCAGGGGAATTTAAAATTAAAAACAAAGGGAGGGGAACAGATCCCAACACCAGCCATCGCCAGACCCGGGTCTTCATATAGGATGGATCCTGGATGATTAAACCGGGCCAGGCGAGAAAGCTATTTGGTCTATACATGGCCTTGGGGCCCCGAGGCTCTTCTCCCTGGGATCGTCAAATGATTTTAGTCATCCATGGGCTTGTCTTCCAGAGTCACTCCCTTGGATTCGCTCTCGGCGACGCTGCTTCGGCTGCTGTCGGTGCCGGCGCCGGCGCCGGCGGGGAAGCTGGAGATGCTTCCGAGACCGGGCTTGCGGGTGGACCGGGCGCCTGAAGAGCGGTGGGGGTTGCGCTTTTCAAACTCGCCAGTACCAGGGGCAGGGGTGGGAGTGGGAGTGGGGGAGCCATCTGAGACAGTCTCTGGGGGGAGGGGGACTGGGAGAGTCGGAGACTGTGCTGGCGCTGGTGATGGCAGGAGAGTCCGTCACTGTGCCATTGGTAGCAGCCTCTTCCACATGAGTGTCCACAACAGGTTGAGGGTGATCAGGAGTCGGGGGCGTTTCATTGCTAGATGGGTTTGTGGGCACATCGAGGCTGGTGTGACGCGCGGTACCGCCGGAGCGGCGGTCTGCCGGACTGGACACGTTAATTGGGAAGCGGCCGGTCTCAGATGCGCCGCTGGAGCGGTCACGGCGGTGGCGTTGGCGGGTGGACGGGCTGGCGGCACGGCTGCGGTTCACAATGGCGCGCTGGCGAGCCTCCATGGCAGCACGTCGGTTGCTCTCATCGGTACTGATTGCTCGCGGGCGACTGGAGGTAGAGATGCCCAGAGCACTGGATTGGCGCTTCAGCTCTCCAAAGATAGAATCCTTGTGGGCAAAGAGGTCACGGATCAGACGGTAGCTGTGGCGCTCATCCATAGTGAGGCTGCTCTCTGTGCGCGGGCGCAGCACACAGGGTGCCAGGACCTGCGCCAGCGAGGCAATGTATTGTTCATCGGCTGAGGTCAGATCAAGCAGACGTGTGAAATGGGTCATGATGGCATCAAGCGTGGCAATATTGACGAGACGGAGTTGTCCAAGGGTGCTCTGCAGAACCTTGATCCGTCCCTCTTCCGTGGTCTCGTGAGCGGTAGTCGAGTAGATTGTTTTGACGATTTCGTAAACTTGTGAAGAAACAAGAGAGTCTGGTACAGCGTTAGCTTACTGGTCCTATAATGATCAGCGAGAGTGACATACCTGGCAATTCAAGAAGGTACAGTTTCAAAACGCTGGCGACGATGGGTATCTCAAACTGGGGGAGGACTTCGCTGTAATCCACTTTGCTGTTGTTCAGAGCGTTGCGGAGCTCATGAGTCTGCGCAAGCTTGGGGTTATGCAACCAGATAGCCCGGCGGGCCTCGTCGCCTTCAAGCTCGGGGTAGCCTGAAACAATTAGCTTCCGTGGGTAGTCATTGGTAGCAGAATGCTAGACGTACGGTTGTCCAAGTAAGTCAGAAGAGTAGTGACCAGAATGGGAACACGCTTGCGGTCCACCCGGGCTCTAGCTTCAAGGTCAACGCCGAAGTTTTGTTCTATCATGAGTCGAGTCAGCTAATGCGTAATAGTTGTCTCCCAATGCGAGTGATTCACCTTCCACAGATCCATAGTAGTTTTCGTACGCCTGGACGCGAGGAACAAAACCACCAGTGCGGTAGTTCTCCAGTAGATATCGCAAGTCACCGAGGGGTTGGATCGTCTCCTGGTAAAGCATCATGTGATCCACAGTACTTTGAAGGTTGGGAATCACATTGCTGATAGCGCCGGAGAAGTCGAGTACAACCGCCTTGATAGCCTTGAGGCGATCTAGCTCACATTGCTCCATGAAGCGCAGGTTTTCAATAATATGTTCCTCTAGCCGACAACGAAGCTGATCGAGTTTACGCACAGCCTGCTTGTAGCGCTCGTCCGCTTCGGTAGCCTCTCGCCGCAATTTCTCAGCCGGAGTCTCATTCGGGTAAGGGTTGTTGAGTGGATTCCAGCGGTCGATCATTTCGGTCATTGATTGGATGGGTGAATCGACGCCATCTTCACTAGAGGCCGCAGAAGTAACGCGCATCAACGGCTTCTTCTTTTCTGGGATTCCGGTGATTTGGAAAACCTTGCTGCGCCACTGGTAGTTCAACTTGGAGCTGTTAGCAAAAGTGTTGCCTATATTGCCCACGAGGCGCAGGAAACCATTGTCCGCCAGGTCTTGGCCAATACGCTCGGCCTGGGCAAGATTGCTGGCATCCATGTTATTCTGGATATACTCCACAATGTCTGCGCCGGTGGAGACGTTCTGATATGTGCCGATAATGGGAACCTTGGCCTCGCCAATCTTGATGTTGTCAAGCATGTGGGTGAGAAGTTTCTTCACCTCCTCTGGAGGGAAGATGCGCTCTCCTATTTCGATCGGATCCTCCTCCTCCTCGGGCCCTTCGTCGCTAGGCAGAATGATTTTCGGTGTGGGCTTAAGTCTGGGGCTGTTGTCCGGATCCTGGAAAGCAAGCTTGTTCTCTTCTTCGAGATCCTCTACCACACGACACTTGTTGAAATAAGTGCTCCGAAGCTTCTTCACCAGTTCCATCTGCTTGGTGTGCTCCTTGATGCGCGCTTGGAGGCTATCATGGGACGCCTGCACACGGTACTCATGCTGTTCGCTCCAGCGCCGGAACGGCGCCACCACAAGTTCGCGAATGTTGCTGGCAATCTTTTGGTGATTCCGGGATGCTTCAATCATTTCGGTTCGAACACCTTCGTATGCCTTTATAAGTTTGATGCGCCGTCAGTCAGATGTATCAGAGTGCGGTGGATATATCCCTCATACCTTTCTGACACTAGCTCCATCGTCCTTGCCAAAGCCTCCAGCTGTAAGGCGATCGACATTCGGTGCGATATCTCCCATGCGGAGACCATATTGATCCTCCGCATCCGCTCGCAGCGATGCAATCATCAGAATCTGCTTGTTCTCCACAACGCCCTGTTGCAGTTTCCCATACAGAACCCCGAGGCCCGTGGCATAATCTGGCGTCCAGAATGAATCCGCGAAGCCAGGCATTGTGACAGGGATAAAGGGTAACGCGCTTCGTAGATCAAATGTTATATGCGAGACGTATCCGAATGATATGGATGGCGAAAGGGGAATCGAAGGATGGGATCAATGGTCGTGGCTGTGGAAAGCACCAGGTCCGCTCGGTCTATTACACCTGGGCTTGTTTTCCAAAGCGCAAGATCAGCCACCCAAAGCAGGCCGGCTGACTTATGAATCGAGTCTGTCGAAGAAACAGCGCTGTGCGCGGAGAAATGGAAGGCAGAGATGCAAGAGACCGGAGATTGCAGACCGCGCGGCAGGCAAGCGCCAAGCTGCGGCGGCAGCGTCTTCAGGGCGAGGATAGGGAAGAAATGAACGGAAAGCGAGCCGAGCAAGTCGGAGGAAGAATTGAAAGGTGCAACTAAAGAGCTGCTCGACCACAACAAGATCAAACGAAGGAAAAGGGGTGCAATTCAAGAGGAAGGGCCAGATGATGAAATTCGGTGCAGTTGGGAGTGGCCTGTAATAATACTCGTACCACAACAGTACTGAACGCTCCAGCCTTACAAGCTCCACCAGACTATTTGTCCTATTTTTGGGGACAACTGAAAACACAATAGAGTTAGGGTTGACAATAGACACCAGGACAAGTTAAGTTTCAGGAGAAAACCCTAATCCGCAGACATTTATCAAAGCTCGAAAATGACTGAGCCAGCTTTAGGTATACCCAATGGATTCGGGAGATGCTGATTTGGCCCCGAGTAAGACACGAGGCGGGTACCTCACATTCAGGTTTGTACAGCCACACTCTTCGTAATCGTAGTACGGGACCCCAGGTGCAAACATAGCAAAACTCCAGATCGGCGAGATTTTCGGCGTAGCGGCCAACTTACTTTCACAACACGTCTTCGTAGGATCTGCACAGCAACATCTCGTCTTCAGACTTGGCCTTGAACTTGCATTGAGCTAGAACCTAATTTTGTTATGCGCAAATTCATAATCAGCCTTGATAATGAAATATTCCACGGAGAATTGCACATCATGGTTGGGATTCCTATTATAAGAAAGTCTTGACCTACCGGACGAAGACCAGATACAAAGGTTCGATCTGACTCACAGATACGCCCACTGTGCAGAAACATCTCCTGTGAACGGCCACTGGCATTGACTGAGAGAAGCAGCTCAGAGTTGGATGAGGCCTGAATTTACTAGTGCTAATGATTTACTGGCATAGAAGAGTGGCTACGTTGAACTGATTATTTGGAATATTAATGGTATTTTTGCAATAGGCACATAATAGATAAGTGCTCCTCGTAAAAGAGATGAATTTCAAGTCATCTGCGATCCAAAACTGGACCCAGTTCAAGTCATTAGCAGAAGAATTTGTAGATCTTCTTCCAAGTGGGCCACTCAGCCTGCTCGGCCTTCTCCTGTTCGATCAGATATGCTAAATCAATATCGCGACGACCGGTCGTAAGATCCATATCCTTGGCACGAATGAACTTGGTGCGGAACCACAGCTTGTATGGGATGTAGAACAAAAGCACGATAGGGGCAGAGATATACGCGTTGAAGAAGCTCTCCACGAGCTCACCGGCACTCATTTCAGCATAACCGACAGGAGCAAAACCGACCCAGAACTGGGCGACGAGCACCAGGCAATTGAAGATGAATCCAACCCAGGATCCCCACACGCCGACTGCGGACTTGAATGCAAGCTCATTCAAGCTGTGACCCTGGAGCGACCAAGCACGGCGGAACCGGATGTGGCACATGCAGACTGATCCCCAAGTAAAGACCGATGACAGACCCGAGATGGCCATCATCCAACCCAGGACATCGCCTTCTTTGCTGGACACGGCGAGGTAAGAGAGAAGACCGAGCACCGACGCCACGAAGATTCCCCAGATAGGACGACCCTTGCGGTCAATGTAGGCCAAGAAGCGAGGCGCCTGGCCCTGGTCGGCGAGGGCAGCAAGAGTACGAGAAGATCCGTAGATGGAGGAGTTTCCAACAGACAGGACTGAGATCATAATAACGACGTTCATGACCGAGGGAAGGCCAGAGATACCTGCATTTTTGATGGCAATGACGAAAGGGGAGGTGTTGGCATCTGGAGCACTGGAGGAGGCGTTCAAAAGTTGAGGGGTATTATATGGGACAAGGAGACCGACAAGAAGCAGGGATACCACGTAGAAGAGAGCGATACGCCAGAAGACTTGCTTGATGGCCGAAGGGAGAGACTTGCGGGGGTTCGCAGTCTCAGCAGCAGCCAATCCAACCAGCTCTGTTCCCGCAAAGGCGAAGGCGGCGTTGACGAACACACTGCAGACACCCTTGAACCCATTGTGGAATGCACCAGGATCATGCCAGAACTTGCCACCAATGTAACCACCTTGTGGGCCACCGCCGCAGTCGAGGATGATCCCGAGGATAATGAAACCAATGACTGCAGTGACTTTGATGATAGCAAACACAAATTCGGCTTCACCGTATCCTTTCACACCGAACAGATTAATAGCAACAATCACGAGCCAGAAAATCGTAACCCAAACAGCATTTGAAACGTGGGGGTGCCAATAACCAATCGTAATTGAGGCCGCAACGATTTCTAACGGTAGAACTACCAGCCATTGCATCGCGTAGTTCCAGCCCATAGCAAAGCCCCAAGCAGGGTCAATGAAACGAGTCGAGTAGTGGGAAAAGGATCCGGCGACGGGGAAGACCACGGCCAGCTCGCCCAGAGCGTGGACGGTACAGAACAGCATGATTCCGATAAGACAGTAAGCAATGAGCAAGGCTGCCGGGCCACCGGTGCTCAGCACAGCTCCAGAACCGACAAACAGACCGGAGCCTTGAAGGAAAAGCGTTAGGATAAATTCTTCAGGGTTGCGACTGGCTCACATGTTACGAGTAGGGGGATTTCTTACCAATGGAACCACCGATGGCAATCATCTGCAGATGGCGGCCTTTCAAACGACGCTGAAGGGGAGACCTAGCAGTGTTCTCAGCTGCAGCCTCCATATCGAAGCCGGAGCCATCAGCTCCAGCTTCGCGACCATGGATCACCGCAGTATTGGGGTCTTGTTTGAAGCTGTCAATGAATCGCTGACTCCAGGTTCCTCGGGGAATCTCTGAGCCATAGACGGGGGGTGGTTCAGTGAGGGTGGGGGAGACCGAAGTCTGTTCGACTTTTTTCTCGTCCATGGTGAAAATGGTGCGAGTCGGGTTGGGAGGGAAGAGGATATGAGATCTCTCGTAGAGCCTTAGACTGGCTAAACGGCGAGATGAGGGGAAGGGTGGGAACAGCCGGTAGAGGCGAGGATCACAGAACGAAGCAAACAAGAAGGATGGGCGGGGGAAGATCGCGTTATTTAAAAGAGCACCCCAGTCGAACAGTAAGCAATTAGGATATGGCCCGGTAGAAAGAATGGCAAGTTCCTTACGAGAAACTTTTCATACTCTATCTTGGTTGCTGCGCACGGAGCCAATGGGGACGGCCATAGATACGGATGGCAAAAGCGCTTGAGACTAGACCAGGCAGCCTTGGATGCCCCTAGTCCACGTTGGGTGCGAGGGCTTTTTTCTACCCCGGATGGCGCGGTCGTAGTTACTTTTGGCTTCGTTTATTTCCCTTCCCTCTCTTAATTTTTCGTTCTTAAATCCACCCAGCCATTTTCGGAACTCCTGTGACTATTTTGTTTTCTGTCCCCGAGACTTGGAAAGGCTGACTCGATCTATGAGTCCTAGGGGCTGTGCGTCTGGGATAGAGGTACTTAGTTTCATGGTTGCCCCCATAACTGCGATAACGATAGCGCATATTAAGGGATGCGAACGGGCACGTTTTAGGGTATATCATTATCATCAAAGCAAATGATCACACGTAATAGGCCAAATAAGTGGACCCCGCTTTGCCCCGAGACCCATACTGTACTTGCAAGGGAAAGAGTCCTTACTTTGGGACCGGAATGGCCGACGCTCCAGCCCTGGAGGCTGCGCTGATTGAACTGACTCAGCTTGGTTTGAGTTCTTGGCCTGCAGCCGCTGCATATGCACCAAAATGGCCTTCGCGTCCCAGTATTACGCCCATGAATTTCTCCAAAAGCACAGGTCGAAATGGGACTCTCGACCACGCGGGTCAAGCTTTGCTGGGCCTGGGACCCACTCAACCCCCATCTGGGACGGCTCTCCGCACATTCCACGCGATAGGCGTCGCCGCGGCCAATCAGACCCACCGCTAATGCTTCCATCCTGATAAGCACACGTCTTCCCATGGGCTAAGAATGTCTTTCGTGGCTAGATCCTACTCTAGGAATCAGCTCCGGCCCCCCCCCCGTGCCTCCGAATGTCTTGCGCGCACGATCGGTCTGGCGTCGAATCACTTGGACGTCCTGTGGGCTTCCCGACGGACGACCGCCTAATCACACTGGACTGTGCGATCGGGGCAACCTTACCTACCTCTGAGGCAAACCTGAATGGCTTGACCGAGGATGTGGGCGCGGGACTAAACAGATGGCTTCTCGAATGTAGTTAGCCTGCCCGTATTCCGTAGTCTACATACGGTCGTGATTTGTTCACCTGGTCTGTGTGGCCCCATGGCGGGCTGCCACTGATATGCATGGAAGGACGGTAGAACCAGCATTCGCCGGGAGCGTTGGCCCTTCGGCGCCAGGGTTATCACGCGATGTCGCCACAGTCATTCGATGCTGGGACCCATGGACTGGGACGGGGGTTCCTTCGACATGCAGCTCGTATGCCACGCTGTGCAAGAGAACAAAGCGCCTATAGCTCCTCTGTGGTGGGCTACTGATCCTCCCAAGCAACAAGCATCCAGCGGATGAATCCTGCACAGTGACCGTGCCAAGCCGCTCGTCCCAAGTTCCATCGAAATTAGAATTAATTATTTTCCGGGTGGTGAGGGCGCGGGCTAGGTCTCGGTCCAAAACGGCTGAGGCTTTGTCGATCGTGTGCGGCAGGCTTCTCGAACCTCGGGGACAGCTTTCTGTGCGACAGAGTAGATAACGGGGGATCGAGATAAAGTAACGAACCAACCAACAAAATGCGATGTAAATAGCACCTGTCATCGCTATCAGAGCTATGTACTTCTCGGATCAGAACAACCGGGAATAGCCTCTTAGATCCACTCGAGATACTAGAGACGCAGATGTTAGAGGAGAGGCGGCCGGCCACCACGGACCTAAGCCCCACAGGGACGCCAGAAATGCCAGTGGTTTTTTTGTATCCTGGGAGCTTGGCTTTCCGCCACACCAGCGAATGGCGCCCAGGGAGCCCTGTTACTGGCTTGCGTCCGCTGCTAAATAGCCACCGTAGCATTGAGCTGAGGCGGTCATTTGGCTTGGGAATTGCCTCAACCGAGAGTTTAGGATTTGTCGAAGATCCTGTTTTGGATCACCGGCTAAGCGATGCGACGATGCAAATGCCAACCCTGGCCATTGACTGGTCTTGTTCGACAGGATTTGCCATGTTGAGATCGGGATTTTATCCCCTTTGAAAAGAGCCCTGCGGAATGGCACTATAATCAAGATTCCCCTTTGGATGAATCCTTTTGCCTCACAACTCTAGCAAAATCATGATGTCCCAACGTAAGTGGGGGCTGGACTTTGCTACGAGGCACATCGGTTAAAAAAGCCGACCGGGGCGTATCACAAGAAATCTCGAACCGCGGGGCCTTTGTCTCGAGAATTTTCACCGAGGCCCCCATCGAAAGTGATTTGAACAATTCCATGCTTGCTTGGTTTAGAGTTGACTTGCTAACCCGACGGTCTCACTTTAGTTTCGTTGATAATGCGGGGATAGAAAGTTGTTAGGTAACAGTTTCCACATCGTGCCGTCCGTGACTCTGGGGTAGTGAGGTTGACCACGGGAGCGCGACGGGGATGAAACACGGATGAATGACTGATTCATGTTGCTTGAATAAAATCGAGATGGAATTTTTGACCGTGTCTTACTGTACTGTAATGCATGCCGGTGATACGCGGCTAAAGTGACATCTGCTGCTATTCTTGCTCTTAAGTGTGTTGCCTGATGTGCAAAGAAAACAGAATTGTAGATCGTATTGGGGTATTGCAGGCACGATGAAGGTCAAATTGAGAAGTACTTTGTGACTCCTGGGTAAACCTCGATGATCAGGAAAGGCCTCGCTCTTTTGTCGTTAAGAGAATATGCTAACTAGGTACTGGCCAGGGCTGAATTCCGGGTTTAGACTTCCACGTTGTGTCTGGCCACGCGAGTCGATCAACCTATTCTCCCGGTATCATATTCTTCTCAAGTTCAACACGACTATAATAGTGCTAGAATGATCAATGCAGGACTGGAGCCTTAGAGGACTATATAATTCTGTGCTTTTTTTCGCGACTGGAGATAAGCGCCCCTAATCCAAAATAGCGAACACCCAAGCTAGCACGGCGGCTATCTACATCCTCAACTTCTGCAATAAGGTTGGCCCAAAATCCGGGGTGCATGAGTCAATCTATGCCACAGATCTCTAGTGCAAATAAACAAAACCTAGCCCGCCTTCTAGATGCAATAGAAGCAGCCACGCCGGCGCTAGATAGCTGATCCAATAATGAGATACGCAGTGGTTCGAGGAGCTGATAAGAACAAAAGCTAAAGTTGACGACCGTGGCTTAGTGGGGATTTCCCCTATCAGTGCCATCACGCTCAATTTTAACGTTAGCTGGGACTTGGTATGCCAGGCTTTCGAATTGAGAAACCATAGCTAGAACGAACAAAAGAGAAACGTGCTTTCCCAAGAACGCAATCCGGGTACGTTTGCAGCAGGTATATCCCATGGCCATACAATAACTATTTCTGAAGGCCTTTGAAGATAACATCTCAGTCAATCAGCATGAGAGGGGCAAGGTATGCTGGGAAATGGGAAAAGATGAGGTGATAAAGATCTATCATTGAACTTTTAGATCATTTCATTCGGTATCATTAGAGAACGGTAACTTTTCATCAATGGGGACCCATCACTTTACGTGAATCAGCTAGAAGTAGGGCCCTCTCCACCCGGGATCAACTGTTCAACAGATTAGATTGGAACTTGGAGATTGATTAGAGAGCAGTTATGGATGGCGTACCATGCAAATGTTGTTTCCGTTCAGCAGTAGCTTCGGGAGCTTGGTCTGAGTACCTGAATAGTCACTGGTCAAGTTAGCTTTGATTTGATGACACTAGAAAGCGGTGCATATTGCATGCAGAGTGCTAGGGTATTCCTAGAAGCCCAAGACCGCACATGTGGGCATAAAGCAGGAAAGTTGAAATCGCAAAACGAAGGTCCAGCGAAGAAGATTGAAGACTCACAACTCAGTGACATCCTCTAAGACCATGTCTACAACATAGGTGAGCACTTGTAACGTAATACCGTGATTACCAAAAAGGTTACTCACTGACGTAGTCATCGAAGCCGAGAAGCGTGCCGGAAAATTCTGTCCCAAGTTAGCCTGCTACTCAGTACTGCCGCTTAACAGAGACTGACCCTTGTCACCCTTCATGACAACCCAGATACGGGAGCCGACACACTTGTCAATCAGCTCTATCAAAGGGTTAGCGGGGTGATGCGCGATGCTGAGGAGTCAAGGGATTTACCGAGAGGCAGAAGTTGGGAGGCCATATTGAATGGAGGGGGGCGGAATTAGCAGTTACCGCAACGTCCACTTGGAAAAAAAGCAAGCTTGTGCTGAGGGAACGCTGAGGAGCACAAACGATATACAAAGTCGGCACGGTGATCTCTGGCAGGAACTTGGTTTTATCCGCGCCGACGGTTCCTTCCTTATTGGGTTTAGCGCGACTCCCCGGATTCAAGCCGGCAATTTGCTCATCAGATCGACCGAACCGCGCGAGCTTTCTGTGCAGGCAACCCGGCTAATTTACTTGCAGAGGGCTCTGTTCTGTCACATTGAAGAGCTATGCTGCAAGTAGCTCGACATGCTTGACGAAGCAACATGCGCCGGTGTACTGGTCTCCCAGCAGGCCTGAAGAACCCGCATTATGTTGCGACACCTAGCGGCAAAGCGCATTTGAAGAGCAATGCTTACTGTCAGCCCCAAAGCATTGGCCCAGAGAGGTTAGTTCAAAATTATTGCCTTCACAATTGCTTCGGGTCTTTCCCTAAGACAATGACAGGGACGTTCTTTCCCTGTTTTCTCGCCGGCATTCGTACCTCGGTCCGCGTCGACGTCCGTTTACCACTACCACTCGAGAATTGTGTCCAAATGCGCAGCGAAGCTTTTCAAATACCGCAAGGTACCGAATACGGCTGGTGGATGATGAAGAAGAAGAAGAAGGGATGGACGCGCTTCGTGGCCGGTCACGGAACCTCGGTCGCCCGGTTCGCGCACATCTCTCGTCAGAGGGCTCCCCAAAAGACATGAGAACAATCATTCTATCTCGGCAAAAGGTTAAGCCTACGCCTATAGACCCAAGGAAGGTCGCAAGGCTTGAGAGGCAATTCCCCGATCTGCACCACCTTCTTGACGACTTTCTGGATGCACGCTTTTTTGATGTCGAAAATCATCTTGTTGCGCTTGACGATATCAATCGATTAATACGGGAATCAGTCATAGGGAGCTTGAGACTCTCAATGGCACAATCCCGTCAGCGCTATCGGCTCCTGCAGACCCAGTTCCGCCAAACCGCCGAAGAAAATCTTGCGAGGATTGAGAAAGGCACACTCGACTTGTACCTGGACTTTCTTCCAGCGGAATTCGAGGAAGTCAAAACATCTATTGATCGCATGAGAAGCCATATCGACAAGGAATATTTGCTCCCGAAGGAAAGTGCAATCCGTAATATCGATGGCCCTCTTTCGTTCTCGGAAAATATGAACGAAGAGTATCTGAGCTTGCAGACTGAAAGTCGCAACGTGCTGGAAGGAATCAGGCAATTGAAATCCTTGTGTAGCTCTTTACAACAGTGGGACTTTTTAAGGGGATCTCGCTTTGCTGAACACAGCCGACGCCTCGCCCATCATCGAGCCCAATTCGCTATCGCAGCTCATATGTGGCGTAGCACTTGGATGAACAGCCAACTGGCTTTGAATCCTCTGCAGCGGGGGCAGATGTGGTCTATCACAGAATTCGTCCAATTTGAAACGAGTAATACTTCCCCGCTGACACTAATAGAGTCAACCATCCTTGGAGACGCCAGTGATGAACATCTGAAAACCATAACCAAGAGTCGCAACATGATTGCTACGACTCTTCAGCAGAACTACACAAAAAGATGGGATGGACCAAAACCTCTAGGAAGCCCTGAAATGGACAAAGCTTGGCGTCAACTCGATGTCATCGCGCCTTTGGAGATGGTCATCACGCTTACTTGGTGGCTACAAACTGAAGTTTCATATTTGATTGAGTGTATACAAGGATCATTTGGTCCCATGTTTGATCATATCAGCGCCGATATGCCCACCAAAAGCGGCTTAAGTGGGTTATATAAAAGAATCATCGACCATCGAAAAGCCCTTCTGAAAGATGCGCTAGAATACAAGTACATCAACTGGATGAGACTTCAGACTGAAGAAAAGCTACACGAGCTTGGAATGCCGAATGAGTTTCAAGCACACGGGTTCCTGATTCCGCCAAAGCCGCTGAGTCAAGACATGACTCGCTTTCTCAATTGGACTTACCAATACGCTGACATCGCCAACCTGACATGGATCCGGTCTAAAGCACTCGAACTCATCATCCGTCCCGAGTCCGAGGTTTTCCCCTTCATGGCGCGAATGACTCGGCTGCACAAGAGCATATACGATGAGCGAGTCTTCCACGTTCCAGAACTTGGCTCAAGGAGAGGCAGGATGAAGCAAGCATGGAAAGCGAAAATCGCGAGGCTCCAACAAGAACCAACACCCCAGTCGAACCCAGAACGGCTCAGCGGATGGTCCTCTGATGCTTTGTACATGCCATTTCCCGAGACGACCCTTGCGGACAGTTCGTCAACCGGAACAATTGACCAACCCGAAAAGAAAGAACCGCAAGTAGATTCTCGCGGCGGGCAAGATGCCCTTTCCTGGATGACTGATATACTTGATCAGCGGAGTGTTCATCAAAACAGAACTACCGGTGGTCACAAGAAAAGTAAAATCTTACAAAGAAAGAGGGTCGATACTCGTATCAAGGGCCACGGGCCACCTCAGACTCATCTTTCGCTATCAGATCGGATTTTTGGCAAAGAAGTTACGCCTCGCCGTTCACGACGCAAGACCGTATCCAAACAGAACACTGCGCCATCGCAGCCCGAGTCGGCTCCCACCAAACCAGCAGACCATCTGTCGATCAAATCTAAAGGGGAGACGAAAGGTCCGTCTGCGGACGCCAAGAAGTATTCATCCAAAAAACAGGAGACGAAGGCTCGACGAAACCGCTCATCCTTTCATACATCAAAGCGGGTTCATGAGACTCGCGGGGCATCTCGAGCTTATAGTACCAGTCGCACTCTCCAGGCCAACGGGGGGACTTGAGGAAAGCTGGGATTGTTCCCGCGAGTTGCCAGAGTCAGGCGACATATCTGATGAAGCGGGAATCACCAACAAGTCAGACCCAACATCAGCGCCCCGGGAAGTAGCCAGTCCTGAATCGAAAGCCGTGGACCCCGCATCTAAACCGCTATTCTGGAGTCACAGTTCCCAAACACGTCCTGATGGTGGAAAACTGATTGTTCACTATTGCCGGAATCTCGAAAGCACTGAGGAAGTGGCGAAACTTTTTCACAACAGCCCTGTCATTGGATTCGATATGGAGTGGAAATCAAATGCATCTGCAAATCACAGTGTCCAGAGTAATCTATCCTTGATTCAAATTGCAAATGAGGAGCGCATCGCGCTCTTCCAAATCGCCCTTTTCAAGCCGGCTAAAGGGCTTTCAGATCTTGTTGCGCCTTCGCTCAAATTGATCCTCGAATCGCCTGAAATCACCAAGGTGGGCGTCTCGATCAAGGCAGATACCACTCGTCTCCGCAAGTATCTTGGTATCAACGCCGTTTCTATTTTTGAGCTCAGCCACTTGTTCAAACTGGTGAAGTTTGGTCAAAGCAATCCGAAGCTTGTGAACAAAAGAAACATCAATCTGAGTGATCAAGTGGAAGAACACCTTGGGCTGCCACTCAACAAGAGCGAGGACGTTAGATGTTCGGATTGGGCTCGACCTCTAAACTACAACCAAGTCCAATGTATGTTACTTCCGGCTAGTTTTGTTGGGAAGCCAGAAATGTTCTAACTGCGCCATATAGATGCTGCCACCGACCCCTACGCCTCCCTTTGTCTGTACAATGTGCTAGAACAGAAAAGACTGGCCATGGACCCAGTTCCCCCTCGACCTGCCTACGCCGAGCTCAACCTCCCAATTACACTTCCCCATGGACAGGCTGTGAATGCCGAAGAAAAAGAGGTCCCTATGAAGTCCGAAGATGAGAACATCAACAATCCTTAGATCTGCACCTTTATGTTCGATACTGCATCCTTTTCATTATCTGCATTGGTCAAGCCTAGATGCGGCCCGGCGGTGTATGCTGCGGTTTTTGTCATGTACATAGAACATTCCAGCATTCTTTGAGCGTGTGTGTTATTGATATCCTTTACGTTTATCTTCCAATTTACCTGGAAGGTCTCATCTCAGGTCGAGCAGTTAACGAACTCTTCTAGTACATCTGTTTTTTCCATGTATATATATATGGAGGAGCTACTGAGTAGTCGACTAGTAAGCAACAAATATTCATAGGAAGATTTTGGGGGTATATTATGGCAAAAAGTATCTACATGATTCAAGTTTTCGTTCTTATCCTCTCAAGGGTAACACCTTGGATAATAGCACATCCTGTCGACAAAGCGGGCACTCAGGCTTCTCCCGGACCCAATCTCTAACACAGACCCAACAGAACACATGCCCACAGGTTGTCACACTCGGATCCTTAAACATTTCCAAACATAGTGTGCACTTCCGCTGCTGCCCCTCCGGAATCCATGCAACAGCTCCGGGATCTTCTTCCAAGTCATACCGAGGCGTCGAGCCCGACAACAGCGGCACAGCAGCCGGATTCTCGACAGACTTCAGCAACGCTCCACTCTCCTTCTCCCCACCACCCTCAGCATGGCTATCATCCTCCCCATTAGCACTCTGAGCCAACTTGCGGACATGCAAGAACCCCTGCACAGCAATCTGCAGCACCATCAACACCCCCAACACCTCGTACCCGATCCGCCGCTCACTGTCCTCAATCTTCTTCGTAAACACATACCGCAGCCTCCAAATCCGCTTCGAAAGATGGTAATACGAGCCGGTAAAATAGAACGTCGCGATACTCAACGCGTAGATCGGCGAAAGCGAGGTAATCGAATCCAGATGCTGAAGCAGATACTGCTGGACCCGCAATTTCGTGAAAAACGGCTGCTTCTGCGCCTGCTTCGACCCGATAACGGGCTTCTGCAGCAGACTAGCCTGCGTAGCGCGGAATTGCTCGCGGGCGACGTTTCGCTCGAGCTTGTTGCGCACGCGCTGCCTGAGAGCGGGGAGCAGCCGGGAGAGCGTCCACGGCACCAGGATGCTGCTGAGGATGTAGCCGACGCGGCGGGATATGGTGGGGAGGTGGAGGGTGTCGTCTTCTAGCTGGACAAGGTCGCAATATTCCTCGCCGAGGGTGCGATTGCCGATTGCGGTGGTGAGAGTGAAGTAGAGCAATTCCGTGAGGTATTTGATGGCGTCTGAGTAGGTGTGGGCGAAGCGGGCGCCACGGAGGGCGCGGACGATAGATTGGGATTGTTGAATAAGGTTGCTGGTTAGGTAGACATCTTTTTCGTGGGAGCGGATGATATCTGGGCTTGTTGCGAATGGGTAGAAGTGTGTTGGTACGCCTAAGCCTGTGTCTGGCGTTGGGAGGGAGAGGCCGGGGTCCTCCTCGGCCATTATGACAGTGATGGAAAGTGCGTCCTTGTAAACTTATTGGCCGAAGGTGTCCTATAAAGGATTGATGGGCATCTTTAGAGGGTCTTTATTAGCTCATTACGCCTCGGACTTCCCCAGAGTCTCGCGGTTCCCCGGCCTGCCTCGGCTGGAAGTCAGGTGACCTGGGGAGTTAAATTCACGTGATCTAGAAGGCAGAGTGCTGACATAAGGCGTATCACGAGGTAATCCAAGAGATTAAATTACGTATTATATTACCACCAGCCTCGATCCGGAACCTGGATGCGTGGCCTGCAGGATCTTTTTATAGCTCACAATAGTGAAGCGCTAAAAGAGGTCGTTGAGAAACTAGAGTCCCCCTGATTCACCTCAGAATCTGAGAGGGACCAGCTTCTCTGAATGATGAAATGGAGGATTTTGGCTGTCACCGAGCACCAATGTGACGTCCGTATCGTGTCCTTCAGGGCCAAAGGTGGGTTTTTTGTCGCGGTGGGTGCAACGATCACCATGATGGTATCGAGTCAGAATGCAAAGCCCCCCGACCCGGCGGAGCCACCAAATGGAGCTACCAAACCTGCAAAGCCCCTGACTGCTGATCAGAGCGGATCGCCTGGTCCGGACTCTTGTTACAAGACAATACACGATTGAAGATATTGAAGATGGACCCTTCTCAGATCGTATCAAAAGCTGTTGAGGCTGGCCAGGCCCCTGTCAACAAAGTTGCTCAGGGGTTTATACTCGTCGGCTCCTGCACCAGATCAGGGCCAGGGCGGGTCTCTAATTCGCTGTAAGCCTGTACCGCGGGGAGATTGGACAGTACCAAGGTACATGAGACCTTTGTAATGAACAGACCCCTGGCCCATTAATGCCCCCCATCATGGCGTATTGCAGGCTGGAGTGGAGCATCCAGACCCTCCCAAAGTCCACAATCCACGTAGGCGCGTGTCGTTTAACTGCTTATGAAAGCGTTCTGAAAGCGGCCAGGGAAAAGTTCCCAAGTCGTTGATGATCTTTCCTATCCTAACTCACCTCTAGTCGTTCTTTTTGGTCTTTGGGTTTCCCTCTTAGTTCGACTCGATCTTTGTCCTCTCCCTACTTCCCGGGGTCGCGTGTTCTCCGCCCAGCATCCCCCTCCCGAACCCTCCCTCCTTCTTTCCCCCCTGATGGAATAATGGGTCCAGATCAACATGCTCAATTAGACGGCTTCGGTCTCACCCTCCCGTTTCCAATCCGTGTGGCAGCTCTGCTTGCTCTTGGTAAGTTGAAGCCCTGTGAGCGGGATGTGCTTCGGCGACTAATTCTCGTCCAGGTTGGTGGGGATGGGGCCTGAATGTACAATATTTACAGAAGGCTCATATTGTAAGTCGCATGGCGCCCCTACACAGGCTCGAGAAAGACATTCCGCTCATCCGATCTCCCCCTACTAGAACATAGCCAAACTCATCGGCTATCCGGACACGCGGGCACCGGGCCAGCTCTCGATCCACAGCGCCACATATCGCCTTTCAACCTACTTTACCATCCCAATAGTCATCTGGCTCATCGTCTTCTGGGTGGCAACACGCCGAATTTATGATCTCGTCGAACGACTCGATTGGATCCCACAATCTCTTTGGGTAGTACTGCTCATTATCTTAATATGGCCCCTCAATCGCGCTTCTCGCCATGGCCGCATTCAGTTTCTCCTCAGCTTCAAGCGGGTGCTCATCGGAGGTCTGGCCTCGGACGAGCGCAAGTTTGGAGATATTCTGCTGGCAGATGCTATGACTAGTTATGCCCGAGTCTTCGGGGACGTCTATGTCACCTTCTGCATGTTTTTCACCGGCGACATTTCTGCCACATCGAAGCCGATCCGGTCCTGCGGTAAACCAATTGTCGTGCCAATTATCATCGCCGTTCCATACGCAATTCGACTACGCCAATGTTTGACAGAGTACATTCGGGCGCAGCGGGCCTCTTCGCAACCCGGCGCTGGCAACCAGCATTTGGCTAACGCCCTGAAGTATGTCTCTGCGTTCCCGGTCATTTACTTGGCGGCCAAGTTGCGCAACTATAATCCTTTGGACTTCAACGGATACAGTGAGATGAGCATGATGCGTATTCTGTGAGTTTTTCTCATTTCCAAAATTGCTCGTGCGCGTGGCTCATGTGTGTTGCTATAGGTTCCTCTGCTCGGCCGTCAACTCGGCCTACTCATTCTGGTGGGACGTGGTGAAGGATTGGGATTTGACCCTCTTCAGCGATGCGCGTATCGACCCATCAGGCCGCTATGCGTATGGGCTCCGAGAAAACCTTCTTCTTGGTCCCCCACGGTTGTACCACTATGTCATAATCGCGGATCTTGTCCTCCGTTTCTCATGGGCATGGCGTATATTGCCTGGTCTCTCGTGGCTCTCCGAAAAAGAGAGCGGTCTGTACATTCTGATGTTCCTCGAAGTGGCCCGACGTTGGATGTGGGTATTCTTACGAGTTGAGGCCGAACACCGTACGTATCATCTTCGTCACACGGAGGTCCGTCTGTGCTCCTAGGACCATGATTTATGGCCTGGCCAGTGCGATTTCAACTCTTCTTCCTTTTACTAACCCGCGTTTTCGTTGCACAGTCCGAAAAGTCGAAGGCTCCGGCTTGAATGGCCATAGCCTCCCCAAATGGAACCAACCCAACGGCAAACCAATCGATTGAACGAACCCTTTTTTTCCCGATCGGCGTCCTCTTTTTGAATCCTGGAACCCCTCACCACTACATCTGGAACGAGTATGAGACACAGAACATAAATTTTAGCGCCCACTATGAGCACAGATTTGCTCTGATTCTCTTCGGATACCACACGCCACTCTCCATTGCGGCTTAAAACCTCCCTTAGATATGAGACCCGAATCTCTTTGTTTTTACTTGGTGTCAGGAAGCGCATATCTGGAATTGTTTCTTTTCTTCGTTTTTCTTTTTTTCCTCGATATCAGCCCTTATACCATACTAGCCAACAGGCAACGGTTCTTTTTCGTTTTTGACGTTTGGCCTGGTTTTGATCTCACACCGATGCCTAGATTTAGGTCTCGGTGGTATCGTCTAAGATCTAACCTTCATGGCAGGCAGTTTTCATCTTGTGACTTGTTTCCCCCACCTTGTGGAGTCGCACAACGCGTCTTTCAGGAGCTGTATATAGATTTGATTCATTTGCTCCATTTTCTGATCAGCCTCTCCGTTATTTCCCCCTATCCTTTGGTTGTTTTTCAAAGCTGTTGCTACGTCTCAAGACTAGTATGTATATTACGGGTTCGGACTACATAGGTCTAGCTAATAGGGTTCATCGTGCATCATCTGATCAGAATGATCAATATGGTTTCAAACTCCATTCTTGGAAACTTCATCGCTTATACTGTTACCCTGAATGAACCAACTACGTCAAGAAAGTCATCATCGAACTAATCCGTCCGTCTCCAGATATCAGGACCATTCTTCCCTTCAGTCCACCGCTCCCTAGCCAAGTCAGCGACACGCCCAAATACCAAAAACCGAAAATGAGATCAAGAGGGGGGGGGAAACTCACCAAACAACCATATCCTTCGCCTCGAGATGCACTTCAAACTTACATGTCTGCGCGGTACAGTTCGGCACAAACGGACAATGATGGCTGAAAAAGCAATCATAGTCACTGCACGTCGGCCCATTCGTACAAAGCCCCAGTCTCGCCCGGTACCGATGCACCGCGATCTCGCGCTCCGAGAGCACAACATCGTGCTCGTTATGGCACATCGCGCCCCGCCGGCACTGGCCCTGCAGGTACCGGTAGTTACAGAAGCCGCGGCACTCCGCCGTCTTGACCTTGGCCAGTTTGGCGAAGTAGCTGTCGAAGGCGGGCTGGTCGGCGGGCTTTTTGTTGGGCGGGTCGATGCGCTCGCGATGCTCGTTGTATAGCACTGCGCGGGTTTCGCTGGGGCTTGTGAGGGAGATGTTCTTTTGCGAGCCGGGGCCGCAAGCAGAGGCGTAGGTTGGGGCTGGGAGGTGTGTGGGGTAGTGGACGGACATGCCGCCATTCCCGGAGATGGAGATATTGGGGAATGCGCTTGGGGGTGAGGGGGAGATGCTGCTTGTGCGGTGGTGGGAGGTGCTGGAGGTGGTTGTGGTGCTAGAGGCGGAGTCGCGGCGCCAGGAGGGCGCTGTGATTGCGGCTGTCTTGGGGATGATGATGGGCTTTGTGGTTTGGGATGGTGAGGCTAAGCCTGGAGGCGCGTTTAGGGTTGATAGTCGTGTAGCGAGAGGTCTTGTGGGCGAGATACTGCCGCCGGGGAGGACGGTTGAGAAGAGTCTTCCATGGAGAGAGAAGTGCTTCTGAAGACGCCGTCGAAACGGATGATAGGAAAGGTGAGCATTGTCCTGAAGGAAGGCTGGGCTGGAGTGGTTTCAACGAGGGTAATCCTTTCACGACTCTCTTCGTCGCTGGTGTATTTCTGGAGATCATTCAGGTAGCCATTATCGTGGCAGCCAGCGAAGAAGATCTTCTTGCATTGATAGTTGGAATAGTAATGTTTAAGCATGTCTATCAGGTTGGTTAGGACCTTTCAGTTGATATACTAACAGGCGATCTTGGAAATTACCTCGCATCTTGGAATCGGCATTTTCTTTGCCTGGTCCTACATTGATAAAATCGTACTCGCCTCGGCTGGTCGTGAATTGCTCAGCAAAGGTAGATAGGTCACTTCGCCCCGAGATGACTCTGGACAAATGAAGTGTTCTCGCTAGATCATTCATGTTGGCAAAGATGCGGACGAGGATGGTGATATTTTCGCTATCAATCAGGCGCTCGTCTTTCAACGAGTCTCGAACTGCTTGGGTGAGTTTACGAGAAGCATCGGTAGCTCCTTCTCGGGGCTTTGAGAGGAAGTCATCATGGAAGATGGCACCATCTCCATCGACTAGAACAACAACAAAATCATTTTGGGACTGCCAAGGTCAGGGTGTGTGTGAAGTGGTTAGGTGGATAGAAGACGCACCGAGCCGTATTTTGCCCACTGCCCGAGGCTCTTCTGGGTCGATACACGATATCTTTTCTCGCTGTTCAACTCAAGCTCCAGAACCCGTACCTTATTCTCATAGGTCTGGAGCATTTGGAACATATTCTGGCCATTCAGTTCAGCTTTCGGTGGCTTGGAGTAGACAGAAGTTTGGACTGGTTAGAGGCCGTTTACGCCTTGTGGGAAACTCACATCTATGAGCCCATTCTTTTCATTTTCTCGCTTGGTGAAAGCCTCGAACTGAGCCCTCAAGTTGATATTGTCTGCAAGCATCGTGGATTTAAATAGAACAAACACCAAAAGCAAAAATGTCACTAGAATGTTGTGGTGTACTCTTGTATGGCCAAGATTTGTAGTAGATGGTTAGCGATTCAGCTGGATTGACCCGGGCTAGGGGCCATTTAAGTACCCTGAGCCCGCCGAAAGGGTTAAGGAATAATATTTTGAATATTTATCCAATCATCCTGTGCCATACAGCCCCGGCAAATACACAGTCTGTGTACTTGCAGCCGGCGGCGCTAAAAAGGATGGCTAGATTAGGCCGGCGCTAACTGCTACAAGATGTGACGGGACTTCAACACTACACCGTTGATCACAGAAGCGCCCCCGAGGTCGGTCTTAACGCCCACGATATGCTAGTTCCCGCTTTGATCTCCATTCGATGAAACGTTCCAAACTTGGATAGTCGAGCTCAAACTTGGAACACAAACTTTTATTATGAAGAGAATGATGAGTAGGAGCCACTGAGCTGCCAGTGGCTGCGATCTCTGAGCGGGGTCGGGCAACAATTATAGAATGAGGCGTAAATCAGACGGGTTGGAAATGTTTGAAAGACCCTCGAATCTGCCTTGCCTGCATGCTCGGCAATCTGGCAGTTATAGAGAGCCACGTCGCTCGGAGCATAGCGACCACGTAATATTGCGAGGGCACTCAGCACAAATGGTACAACTAGTAGCATGGTATTTGCTGCGATGAAATGCATTATAGGCTCAGGCTAGGGGATCTGCCTGGATTGTATGTATCGTATAACAGTACATAACGCCCAGTCGTTCGCCCTTTTAAGAATGCGTTTATTCCCTGTACCGGGAAGATGGCTTCTCTAGAAAAGCAAACACCAAGGGAGTCACTACAAGTATGACATATTGACGGATAGAATAGCATACACGAAAGAGCTATGCGTGTAGTGAAGAAGCCAGAAAAAGTACGTTTGATGTTCTATTGTAGCGAGACTTGGACACAATCAATGACGGGAATCGCTGGAGGCATAAGCATAGTATGAAAGAAATTCTCAAGGACTAGGGGACCATGCACGCCCTTGAGGCTTCTAGTACTCTACTGCTTCGAGATAATGGTCGAGCAATGCCAGTTCATGTGATTTAGCCGTCAGGCGCAAGGCCTCCGTGTTCCCAAGCTCAATGCAGTCAGCTCAGCTACCGGATACTAGTACGGACCTCAAGAAGATCTGGGCTGTCGCATAAAGAGCGTCTTGTCAGGTGGGGTGACCCATTCAGATGAGTCATGGACCGACTGCTTGATGTGGACTGCATTATATCGCTCTGACCAGAACTACACTGGTAAGCCTATTGGTATCCGGAACATTTCGGGTTTGCTTCTGCGAACAGTAGAATATTTCCCATATACTTGCCGAGACGTTGCTCCTTTGGAGACCCGGAATCCAATAGGCAAATTCGAATTGATTACATACCAGTCGAGGAAAGATATTGATCAAGCTTCAAAGCGGCCGGCTGACCAACATGCTAGCAAATAGCACATCCATGTGATTTGCTCGACTTGAGCGAATTAGAAAATCTCCAAGGTTTGGTGCATTCAGACTGAATATCAATCCATACTACCCCGTGTCAAATTATGCATCCATGGATATGTCTGCGAAGGAAAATGTTGTTATTATTGACATATGTTCATTGCTGACTGACAAACTTTGCTTCGAATCACAACACATCACTACCAACGCCAAAAATTTCGCAGAACAGATAGTTTGTAGCCCCAGATATTGCACAGAATGGAAGAAGATTAATACCCCGGTTTCAGAAAAGCCTCGCTCAGATCATGCTTGTCGTACAACGTGCGTAAGCCAATGCATCATCGACGTCCTGAGTCCCGATCGTGAGAGGGTGCATGGTTCTCAAAAAGGTCTTCAAGATAAGCACTGGGCGCCCTCCCATGACTTGGCTGGCTCAGGTTCACCGAGCTAGTAGACGTTACGTACGAGTTGCGCTGGTGGTGATGTGAGTCATTATAGTCACCAGTAGGCGGCAGAGGGGGAGAAGGAGGGTAGCCCTGTGGCGAAGTAAAGCCACCATGTCCCGAATAAGTAGCAGACTGCGGACGCTCCTCCTGAGGGGTCGACCTGCTCGCAGCGGCATAGAAGCCTGCAGGCATGTAATTCGAATTGCGGTTGCCGGTAGTGACATTCAGGCTGTGATGGGATCCAGCTGCAGCCGCGCCGCCCGCAGTTGGCGAATAGAACAAACCGCTTTGATTTGCAGAAACCCGCCGTGACGACTTATAGGAGGCTCGAGTCGCCGTGCCGAGCTTGTCGAGGGATACGTCCGTTGTGGGTGCGGCCGAATATGAGGAACCGGATCGCTTTTTGCGGCTTCCTCGAAGGAGTCTCTTTGATTCTGCGGATTGTGCGAGTGCGGCGTTGCGCACTGAGCGGTTGACCGACCATGCGACCATTCCCCTCCATGCAAGTACAGCGAGCCCGATCAAACCCAGGATAGCACCGACAGCGATGAATACCGTGCCTTCCGGTGTGTTGGATGTCTGTAAATACGGTGCGCCATCGGTCGGGGGAACGGTTACAATAGCAGCGGCGCTGGTCGAGGTGGATGATGGTGTTGATGTGGTTGTTGTGGGAACGGATGTTGTGCTATCGGAGGAGGTAGAGGTTGTGGAAGCCGTCTCGGAGGACGAAGTGGATGTAGTCTGATCCATGCTGGCAGAGGTTGTTTTTGGTTCTGCCGAGGACTCCGACGAGTCGGTAGTGCGAGAGGTGTCAGTCGTGGAATCGGTAGTCGATGCAGCTGATGTGGTATCGGCCGCGCTAGTGGCTTTATCAGTGGCAGAGGGATCGCCGGTGGTCTGAGCGGCTGTGGTTTCAGTCGCTGCCGCCGGCTCCGCAGATACAATAGTGACCAAGAGAAACACGAGGAAGAAGAGGAAAATCCAGGAATGGTGGGCTTTTCGAAGTCGCCCTGGGCTGTATCGCATGGTGAGTCCGGCGTAAACAATTGATCGATCTCTTCTCCACAGCGGGTCGGGGCAAATGTAGATCAGTGTTGAATAAAGAAGCTGCCAGTCATGCGTAGAACTGCAATGCAATATCTGGCCCGGATGACGGCCCTAATGAGCCAAATATCGTACTTGGCTCGCTAGGCTCTTCTCCCACTGTCTGAGCTGAGTCGGCTGGATCGTCTTGTTGAGGATCTGGGTGTCTACTTATGCGAATTCAATTGTAAGCCATGAGAGACCGGGGAAACGAGCGACGGGGTTCTCGAAGGAAACGAGTGATGAGCACAATTCAGAGAAGAAGAGGCCTCCCTATGCAGAAAGCCAGAATTCAAAGGACCCAGTAGCCACTGCACGCTGGAACGCTAAGGTCGGCTACGCACACCCCAGACGAACAGGTGTCACATGATGGCTTGGTCCTACCAGAAATAGCATACAGTGACTTTGTAGTGGTATTTGCGCATCGGTTCATAGTTCGTTCAATCTTTATGCTACCCTCCTGGCCCAGAAGCGCTCATCATACTATATACATAGATAACAATATCTACAGATATCACAGATATTCAAGTCAAGGATCGGAATATACTAGGGGACAAATACCAATGGAGTGACTGTATCAAGTGCAAGATTGTATATCATACAGAAATTCGACTGAACTCAATACCCGGAAGCTTAGAATAACAGAAGTGACCTCTCGAGGTCTGCATCGAGCAAGTAACACACGCCCCCCTCAACGAGAGCCCATTTACTGCTCTTTCTTCTGGCCAGCAGCAGAGGTATCCTTCTCGAAAGCAGCGTATGGAACCTGCAAACTGCTCAGAGCGGAGACTCCGACGTATAAAATGATGAGACATAGGAACGAGGCCATAAAGCCCATGAAAATTCCTATTCATTGTCAATTGACCAATCAGGGCAGAGGGGGGGGGGGCTGGTACAAACCTGGAGTAAAGTATTGGTATTCGTCAAATAGAGATTGGTGACGGTCCGATTCAGAGGCAATGGAGGCAGAGTAGTCAGAGAAGTCTCGCTTAAGTTCCATGCGGAGGCCATCTTGGTTCAATTCGTTCTCTGATTCGTAGATAATGGAGTCGGTGTCGGGGAACTCGCGCGGAGAGGTGACATAGAGGAGGGTATACTTTGCCGAGGAGGGGATGCGATCAATGATATCCGATAGAAGACCATCTAGGCAAGTGTTAGGATGCAATCAATTCCACCAAGTGGGCATCTGCATACCATTGTCGGAAAGTTGCTGGGCGCGATTGGAATCCAAGGACAGCATGGGGAACTCGATATCAATCACACGGGGACCGGCTTCAAACTCGCTGGGATATGAACCGGCTTCATCATTGTTAGTCCTCGTTCCACAGCTAAACTGCTGACCCATGATGAGCCCAAGGGCAACTTACATGAACCGTCAATGACAGTTGTCTGGGCTTTGCAGTTCTCCTCCAGAAAACTCTTGAATTGCTTTGCTTCGAGCGACCCGCTAACTTCGTTCACACTCATCTTTGACCGAATAGACTTATCCTTGCCTAGGACCTTAGCGCCAAGGCGGGGTGCGGACTTGCGCGTCGAGTAGTCGGAGCTATGAACACCGGGTTGGGAGACAATAACATAATAGTCAGAAGGGCAAGTTTTTAGAGCAGAAGAGACGTCATCGAGAACTGCGGCGCCAGACTTGATGTATGCGGAGTTCGTCAGGACCCTATGACAAGTGATTAGCTGGCTGTAGCTTGCTTGGGGGACATGACCACATACTCGGAGGTTGATGCTAGGAAGAAAGGCGAAGTATCTCTAAAGGCATCGACCGCAGTTGCCCCAAGGGCAAGCAGTCCGAACCTGCTGAGATGCATTGTGCTGGAGTGGGATGATGTTCAGAGCGCGACGTTGCTAAAACGGGGAGGTCGGACTTGGCCTTCGGAGGCGGTCGACTGGGCCCGGCCCGCCTCGAGCTTTATGATCCAAACTTTTTTTTTCTTGCTTCCGTCAGAACGATAGCGCTGCATCACTCTCTTCCCTCCAAACAGTTTTCCTTTTGAAGAGATTGCGGGATCTCTGAAATCAAGATGGGTCCCATGAAGAAGCGTAAGCTGAACACCAAGGTGGAAGAGATCAATTTCGACAATGACGCTCGCCACGAATTCCTTACTGGATTCCACAAGCGCAAGGTGCAGCGCACAAAGAACGCGCAAGCAGCAGCCGAAAAACGAATGCGTGAAGAGCGACGGCGTGAGCGTGCGAAGGTATACTACTATGAATTTGGAAAATAGGCTGCAACATAGGCTTATACCTGCTTCAATCTAGATTCGCGAGGAGCGAGCGAACGAATTCAAGAGAGCCATGGAGGAGCACAAACTTCAGCTGAAGCGCCTCAAGGAAGAGAATGACAGCGATAGCAGTGACTCCGACCCCGACGAAGATAACGAGGAGTGGGAGGGCATCGAGGAACCGCCGGCTGTGGACTACGAAGCCGAGTACATCGACGAGGACAAATACACTACAGTAACCGTTGAAGAAATGGATGCCACCCGGGATGGCCTACGCAAATCAATACAAGGTGAGGACTCAGACGAGGGAGAAGAGAAATCAGAGCAACCTACCACAAAAGAGGAGCCGCCCAAGCCTGCGAAGAAGGCCCGCAAACCCGCATCGGACAAGCCCAAGAAAAAGAAGAAGCAATTCCGGTACGAAAGCAAAACTGAACGGAAGCTTACCCAAGCGAAGCAACGCTTGTCGAAGTCGAAGAAAGCCAAGGCGCGCAGAGAGCAATAGGCAAAAGCGAGATGTCCTAGGGTTGTACTTTGAGAGCGAGCTTCTTTATACCACATTATTACATATCTGGGTCGCTAAGGGAAATCCCAGCCTGTCAATAGTAAAAGATTCTATGATTCACACGAAAAATGATAATCGAGCTTAGTAAAGACATGCGATTAGTGCAGCGCGGGACACAAATGCTATGAAAAACGTCGTCTCCACGCATAGGAGACGCAACGTAACCAGTCACAACATGAAGAGTAGACAGTTGAGAATAAGGAAGCCTGCATCCACCCCCAACCTCTCCTGATCCCCTCAACCAACACTTTGTCCGAACGCTTAAACATTGCTAATGGAGACCTCAAGGTCGTGGAGGTCCTTCTGGAGCTCGGCGTGCTTCTTGGCCATCTCCTCGTATTTGGCCTCCCACGAATCGCGCTCTGTCTCGAGTGCCTGCACCTTGCGCTCGTAGTGGTCGCCCTTGACGTCGGTTTGACGGAGCCTAGGCAGCCGTTAGTCGGAACAGCACAAAGGACGGTCATACGGTTAGCTCCATACTTCTCATTGGTCTCTCGGAGAACCCTCTCGTTATCCTCAGCCTCCTGCTCAAGCAGCGCCACCCGACGCTGGAGGGCCTCATTTTGGGTGTCGTGCTGAGCACTCGAGTTGGCAGCCTCCTTAGCCTCCTTGAGGGCTGACTCCAGCTTCTCGACTTCTTCCTCCAGCAGCTGGTTGCGGTGGTTGAGGGATGTGATCTCCTGCTCCTTGGAGAGATTCTCCTGCTCCAGGGTCTTGAGCTTGGCCTTCAGCTCCTCGTTCTTCTCGTGGGCATCGTCGGCCTCCAGGCGCAGGGCGTTCATGCGCTTTAAGATGGAGTATTAGCACGCTTTGAGTTTGCGGAATTCGAGTGGTGATATGTTGCTGCAGCCATGTGCATGGGGGACAAGGAAGCTTGAGCTACCCCGCCGAGCAGGGGGCTGCGGGCTGGAGAAACTCACCTCCTTGATCTTGTCCATCTTGAAATAATCGAAAGAAGGGAAGTAATATGTATTGAAGAAGGCGAATAGGCGATCGCTCAGCGAGCCAGTGGATGGAGGAGGATGGTGTGGTTTTTGGGGGGGAGGATAGATGGAGGAGAGGAGAATAATACGGGAGAGTATGTCCACAGTTGTCAAGGTTGCTATTACTGTGCACCGTACACAACCGCCCCGCTATTCCTCTCGTCCAATCAACGCCCCAAGATCGGCGCGTCTCCACGGGCAACCATGTCCGAACAACACGGTCAATCGAGGACTCCTTCTTCTCACGCGTTCTCCTTCCCCAAATCCAACCCACTTCGCACGCGAATTGAGAGTTCCACCTCCAACACGATGTTGGCTATTCGCGATCAGGAGAATTTGGTGAACACCCACCATACCGCCGCTGCCGCCAAGCCATTGAACCAAGGTCTCCGGCAACTAGGCCCCAAAACACCAGGCAAGAAAGTGTCTCTTAACGATGAGAATAAGCCTATCGCATTCGGAAAGCAGAATGTCAAAGGGAACGGGAACAAAACTGGAAACGGAAAGCCTGGCAAAGATGCATTCGTCACGCCTATGGGTATGGAACTAATCGCCCGAGAGCCAAATACGACGAGAATTGAAGGAAGCTGACAATTGACGGGACAGACACCCGAAACCGTGCTCCACTGGGAATGAAGACGACAAATGCGAAAGCGAAAGGATTGCAGACCCCCGCACCCTTCGGCGGCACCTTGAAACCCGAGAAATCGGCTCGAAAGCCGTTAAGCACCCAGCGAATCAAGAAGGCTGCCCCAGTGACTCAACAGGCTCCGACGAAGGTGTACACAGAGGCACCTCGAGAGGATGTTCCGGACATTGAATACATGCCTCCGAAGCCTAATGGTAAGATGTCAAAGTGGTTGGAGGTATACCATGAAAGGCGGCCGCTAATTGCATTTAGATCTTCCCGACTTTCCTGACGATATCACTTACAATACAACATTCCCACAATTCCGTCCGAAGAACCGTGCTTTGGGCCTGGAAAGCGTTTATGGAGGACAAGAAGTTGGCAGTGATGGCCTTACACAAAAGCAGCGCAAGTTTCAGCAAGATTCCGCCCAGTGTGATAAGATGGTGGATGATATGATTATGAAGCAGCTGGAGAGCGTTGGTTTCAACGAATCAAGCGAGGATGAAGGCGATAAAATAATGCCGTCGGTTTCGACTGGCTCCGATACCCAACGAAAGGGACCCGCAAGCAACACCAGGTCTCGCAATATTTCGACCCTTCGGTCCCGCGAAGCTGCTGCAGCTCTTTCCGGCTCTAAAAGTACTACCGCGCCCGCTAGGCCAGTGGTCGCCCCAAAATCTCGTCTTACACCCTCCGTTCTCATGCCCAAGAAGAAGGCTCGCGTACCTACCAACCCCTCGTCCATGCGAACCACCGCTGCTGCCGTCACCTCCAACACAACCGTCGGATACACTAAGGGACGCAGCGTCTCAACAACTCTGCGAGAGAACAAGGCTCGCCCAATGGCAACTTTGTCACCCGAGACCTACTTCCAACTTTACGGGCCACCTCCTTTGGGATCGAAAATGTGGGTGCGTTGTAAAGCGGCTGGCTGTTTCGATAATGAGGAGGATAGCGAAGATCTGCAAACATTCGGAGAGGACGACGAGGCAGACGATTTCCAGCTCACTCTGTAGCTATTACACACAGCGTCGGAATTTGCCCTTTGGCATATGGTCATTGACTATCGTTACTCTGCGCGAACTTGACCACATGATGTGCAAGTTTTTGTTTGAATATATCTTTCCTCGGTGTGCCTGGGTTGCAATGGGGGTTAAATTGTGGGGGATTATTTTATCGGTGTTTCTAGGCGTCTCTATGGAGTAATAGCCTAAACTTGTCCGCAGATCATACTGTTTCAGGGGCTCCCACTTATGAGCAAAATCCACGATTAACCCGTTAAGATGGTTAAAAATTGGTCTATCCCCATTACCAATTCTTCACTCAAGATGACTCCACTAGAAAGATATAAATCAATCTCAAAGTAGCGCTTCTGGCAATCATTGATCTTATGTCCTAACTTCCCCCACTCGTTGCACTTTTATAGAGCCCTCTTACATGCGAAACTTGCCCCATTAAACGGCTGTCAAGGAACATGATCCTGTTCTGTTCAAAATGGCCTGGTCATATTTGTGGAGAGCCAAGGTGGCGCTGAAAACGGGCTACTGATCAGGCATTGCCCCAAGGGGCGGCTCTAGCTGGCGGGATCCTTCAAACGTATCCGCCGACTGGAAGATAAGGGCACCCGATCCGAGCTTAGATGGATGCCGGCACATCAAGGAATCAGTGGAAACGAGATCGCTGATGAATGAGCGAATGAAGTGGTAAGGGTTCATTTCCCCGTATACTGACGCGTCAAAGAGGAAACTAGAAAAGCACTACTCAGCCCATGAGACACAATCATGAAATGGGGCTCTAATTGGACTTCATTAGGGTATTATTAATAGAGAACGTGGTCAGTCATATTGTCCCCAATCCCATTCATGATGGCTCTGAAGAACTCCAAGTCATGGACGGCTCTGGATATCCAGCTCGTCGACGCTCCTTGTCCCAGAACTCTTTTACGATCTTGACATATGCAGTTTCTTCAACAGGTAGCTCCCATTCTTTATGATGACCTTCGGCAATTTGAATATAAGGCTCCATCGTCTGAACCAGATCGTCTGGAGGGGTGCCCGGAAAATGAACCAGAAGGTCGCCGGGGTGTACTTGGAGACGATCCGGGGAGTCCTTGTTTGGACTCAACCCATCTGGAGATCTCATATAAGCGTTGAACCATCTTAGAGGGCAGTAAAGGACTGATTTCGAGAAGAACTCGACGTCTTCAAAGATGTTGTCCAAAGCAGATTGATCAGTCCAATAAAGGTCTGCATCGGGGTGAACCGTGGTATAAGAAATTGCGGCTGCAAGTAATTTGACCGACCATTCGTGAACACGTATGAAGAAAACCCCATTGTTCATACCATTCCAGTCTTGGGTCAATAAGAGATGGATGTCGGAGAGCTCTGGTGGTGGAAGGAAGGTTTCAAGGGGCATATTAGGATTTAAGAGGACTGTATCGCTATCAAACCAACTAAATAGAAGATTATTAGCGCAGGGACGAGCATTCAGAGGATGGTATACGTACAGTAGCCACTGTAGCCGTTGGCTTGCTGGCTTTTCCAATTCTTGGAGCATTATAGACATCAAGACTGCATATTTATTGTAGGTACCCTCTACAATCGGATTTCGTAGCACATGAAGAGGGTATCCCAATCGGCGGCTGTGCTCTTCGTGCGTCTTCATAGCTCGTTCATAAATAGGTTTATCGCCATAAATCATGGACACTTTTCCAACGGCTGGCCGCCCGTGACTATGGTTCAGATATGGCGTAATAGGGTATCTGTGGCTTGAATGCATATCGACTGTAGATTATTTAGCATAACTGGCCGCAGTTTAGACATAGAGAAGCCGTGGGACCAACCATATCCGGCAAATAGCTTGTAAAGCACCCAAATTCCTAGCACGGCTAAGATCACATGCTGAAACCCCCCTTTGTCTTATGCGTGGACTCTTTTTCGTCCAGTTTTGGTCCATCCCAGTGACCGAGGACAAGAGATGGGGCTTCTTTGCGGTTGAATAGGGCAGTTTGAGAGTCATGGGTTGCGAAGAAATCGAAACGACGGAATAAGGCGCTTGTTGTTTTAATCAGACGGTGTCCTACCCCACCGATTAAAAGAAAAAAGGAAAGCGACCATTTTCTTTTCCTTCTCGGACTGTCTAGGGAGACTTTGGTATTTATACGTCGTCAAAATGCGCCTCGCGCCCATAGTGTCGGCGGGAAACTTGGGCCTAGAGAGATAGTATCCACTATGTTACCGAGTTTTAAGGTATCGATACCAGTATTTCAGGAACACAGGTCATAGCTCTGTATCCAGGCGCTTAAGCAAACCAGGTGACTGGCTGCGAGGAGTAATCGTCCTGCAAGCCGCTAGGCGCTAAGCCGGGATCAAGATTCGGCTCCGTCTCATAGTGGAGTCGTTTATCGCGATGTTTCTAATAATGTGTAACTTTGATCAGCCCAACCCCAAGGGCGACCGCTAAGAGCTTTGCGTGTTCGCGGACCGTGGAGGCTCTAAGGGGCCGGCCCGAAAAGGGGTTTAGGGGGTTATTTGATGGCTCTGCTTGCCAGGCTCTGCTTTCCCTGGTCGCGATTCCTTAAATCTTTGACTCGCGTCTTCTTTGTTGGTATAATCCTAACCTTAATCGTTACTTTATCGTCTGTATTCCCCTGGCTCCAGATGTTTCGACTTTAGCTGCCAGGCGCTAACGTGCCGCCCTCAACTTTGTAACTTAGTCCCTGTCAGGTCTACGAAGTAGTTAGACTAGGAACGATAATTCGGGTAAGCGCCCGACCGTCTTAGTGGTTCGTAGTTCGGAATCCAGACGATCGCTATTTTATTTAACCGTAATAGGCTAATGCATGACTCGCGACCATGACTTCGTCTACGTGGTTCCGATACGTAGCTTGGCAGATAGACATTCAAACCCCGATCACAGCTACCCATCCATGGATGCGTTGGAGGCATAATTACACAGAGAAATGCATGGATATTTGATATATGATGAGCTGAGGACACAATAATACTAACATTCATCCGCGGCTTCCCTGCATCAAGACCCATTGGAAGGGGGTAGGCGGGGCAGGTAAGCACCTAAAGCGTATTGGAGAGACTACGACATATCCCGCTCATGGCCCCTGTTGAATGTTTTCAGCTGGTCGACCGGTATCATGGAGAGGGTTCCTAGCAAATGAAATCCAATTGGCAAGGATTAAAGAGGCCCTTGGGAGGGGCGTTCTGTAATAAAAATACCGCGTCTCCTGATTGGGCACCGAAAGACAACCGGGCACAGTCAAAACAAAAGCTTGAGCCCCGGGGTCCTTGACCACTCCGTACTGCATACCCTAAATATATCTTAATCTCGGCGGGAACGCCATCTTTAATGGTGGGTCACGGTGTGATGGTTGAAACGTGCGTATTTTACTTGTATAGAGACGGTAAATTGCATAGGCAGGGCGGCTACGAAGCGCAGGCTACTTCCCTATACTTTGGGGGGTCCCCCCGTCAGTATTTGCAGAGACTAACGCCAGAGAACTTTTGCACCTCCCTTCTTCATACCTATTATACTTCTCTTCCCGATAGAGGGCTGCAACGGAGCTGTAGGATCTCCGCATATTGACGAAGTCCACAGCAGCAGTCAATTTCAATCAGGAAGCTGAGTTACCCGCAATGGAGTTTGTCGATGGCGGATTGTCCATGACAACAGTCTTTACGCCTCCTTCGTCTTGCTCAACTGCTGCTTGGACATACGAGCCTTCACGGATAAATTTTGTCAAAAACGGACTGTTGCTCCAAAATGCCGGCTACGATATCATGTCTTTATGTTGGCCAGATGGCTTCACGCAAGTCGGACGAGACTTCTCGGCGATCTCCCAGATCTACAGCCCCGGCTGGTGTCCTGAAGGATACAGTTCTGTTCATTTGTCAGACCTCCCCGGCACAGGATCGATGACCGGGGTGACAGAGGCGACTTGTTGTATGAGGTACGTCTATTGATGAATATCAAAATGGTCTTGGTCGCTAATGCTACGTAATGCTAGTGACTTTACTTGGCTTGAAACAGACTGGAACTCCGCACAAACATTCGATGGCTGTGTAAGCACTTATCCAAAGGGAAGCACGACGGTCATCCATACCGATGGTGCAACGTCGAAAACAACAATCACTGGGCCGGTTACGATGTGGGCACAGCCCATCGTTGTCCAATTCCAGTCCTCCGACTTGAGTCTCTTTTCAACGTCCACCCCTGTTGTCGCGATGACTTCCAGCACGCCTTCAGCATCTCCGGGGTCCAAAACCATCTCATCTCCTGCTGTAACACAGACCAATCTGGCAACCAGTACTTCCTCTTCTGGTTCCGCCTCTGCTGGTTCCACCTCTGCTGATTCTACCTCGGCTGATTCCAGCGGATTATCTTCTGGTGCGAGCATTGGACTCGGCGTGGGCGTGGGTGTAGGAGGTGCTGCACTGGTTGCCGCGCTCGCCATGTGGTTTTATCGTCGGTCCCAGAAGAAACGTGCTGCGTCTCAAATTATACATCCAGTTGACGGCCGAATGCAACAACAGGGACAACAATACTACCCCCACCACTTTATACCATCTGAGCCCTCAGAGGTCCATGCATCGGAAATCCAATGGAAACCTGCCGAACTTCACGCCTAGACATGCAATTAATGGTCGGAGTTTGGTGGAAAGCGCACCCACATTATTACTACCCTCAATAAGTTTTCTCACTTGAGCGATCTTTGCTTTCAATGTATATACCTCTATACTATATCCTTTTACGCGCATTATTGGGGCGTCGAATGTAATTATTGACTGTAAAGCTGAACCTCATGAAACAATTCTCAATCGGATGATGGCGAATGAATCTGTCTACTAGCTTGCCCTATGTAGCATTCTAGGTGTATGCAAGGGTGTTGTCTATCCTTTTATTTACAGTCCTATTAAATTTATATCTTTATATCATAAAGACTCTTTTTTGTTCTTTCACCACGTACTATTTGACTGCCATGATTTGGACTGTTCATCTGATCCGGAGTGACCTCCAGTTCATCCTATATGCTCCGTCAGCGATGAAAAGAGAATCGTTCCCCGGCGCAACTCACGGCAAAATCCCCAGGAATAATTAGCCCTGGTACACCCCAGCTTTCAACGCCGGAATGCTGACGAACATATTCACGGTACTGCGGAGCTCCTGGCCGAACCACATTATCGGCGACCACCAAAGCACCAGCCGGGAAAAAATCCAGCTCTTCGCAGAGCTTGAACTCTTGCACATAAAGGTCCTCGTCGTGGTCCAAGAACCAAAAATCAATCTTCTGAAGGTCTCCGTTCACTTTCAGTCGTCTGATGGTGTCGGTAGCAGACCCCACAACAACTTTGACAATGTCACTCAGCCCAGCGAGGTCAATCAGGTTCATCGCAATGGACGCAATAAGCGGATCATACTCGATACTCCAAAGCTTTACTCCCTCGGTGCCAGCTTGACGAGCAGCGTCGCCAAAGAGAATCGCGGAGTAGCCAACATACCCTCCCAGTTCAACAAGGACAGCAGGCTTGTCTTGTTTTATGAGGTCGGCCACCTTGCCACCCTTGTCCCAGCTAATATTAATTAAGAAGTCTGTCTGGGCAGAGAACTCATCCATGGCTTGCAGAATGGTTGCCGGCGAGCCTCGCAGCCTATCCATAGACAGCGAAGGGTGGTTATAGATGAATTCCAGGAGAGCGGTCTCGCGTCCATCGTGGGACTCTTTATAGTCGTCCCCTAGGATCTCGTACTTGGCGATCGAGGGATATCTTTCTTTGAGTTCAGGAGAGAAAGGCATCTTTGGGAACAGAAGGTTACAGGGGCGGGAGAAATGAGGGGAGAAGGGGGACGTGACGGCGCATTTTATACGCCCCGAGATCCGGAAGCTAGGGCTAGCTTCCCCGGAGGAAATTTGTGCCGAGAAAATCAACCACTGTGTGCAAGTGATGGTAGCATTACAAGATAAACCTGTGCCCTTTGAGAAGATGTGAAAGATGGCAGAAGGCGTCTTTTGTCATAATGGGGATTTTTACCCGTTCACCGGAGAGGACATCTGACCAAATTCCTCTGGTCCTACCCTCGTTCGCCTCGACCTCAGCCTCGTTTATCATCATCATATTAAACAAGGCAGTATCCCCATACAGTAATACTGTGACTGATTACAGGCTTTCGTAGAGAAAACCGTAAATAGCATCTACAAGTCCATCACTACTTCTGCCTCTTATTTAACACACATACAACTTAATTCTCTTATCCTAATCAACAAATTGTCCTCAAATGCCACTTATTTGGTCTCTTAATCTTTTGTTCCTTCCACTGAGTTGATTGAAGCATCAATACGAGCAGGGAATCTGAATTCTCGAACTTGAAAGCGGTCAGCAAGTAATCAGGATGCTATTCATCCCGCAGCAGCTTTGGGACTTATCGGACAGCAGCCCATCCAACCGCGAAACTGCGATAATTCTTGTTGATACCATTGAGATTAATCATCTGGGAAGTGTAATATGCAATCCACCTGGCTCCGATGTGACGTACCCAAAAGCGCATTGCGAGAACTGTTACAATAAGCGACAGTGGTACATAGAGAAGATAGGGGTCAAGGGCCAGAGCATCTCGCAGCTCCCCCGGAACATAAATACTTGTGCATCGGAAATTAAATTGAGCACGTGCTATTCCGAGAAATTAGTTTCATTAACAGATAGAATCAGCCTAAATGGAGTCTAGTTACACTTGTTTATCTCCGTCGGGTATAAGGTATGGAGGATTCGATCAAAGGATGTGGATTAGCCACCTGGTTCTGTCTCGTGGTTACGCTCGAGAATTTTTAGGTTTGTCTTGACGCTCGTGGTTTAGCCGATCTTGCTAAGGGAATGTATGACCCACTGCCGCGTATGGCTTCGGATCACCGACGACTTCCCGACAAAGTAGAAACCCCAGATCAGTATGTAACCGGCAGGCATGCTGGCCGGCAGCGAGACATCTATCTCGGGCTGGGGGTCATGGGATGCACATACCCGAGCGCCTGGGGGACAGTAGCAAGCATGTCGTTCCCCGGGTTCGTGCATCTATTGGAAGGCCAGAGAGGCTTAGGCCCGTGCTGAGATTCCTCACTCTTACCAGGAACTTTACGGCTGGCACATTCCACTCCATGGCCCTGGGGGTGTAAGAAGTCATTAGTAATGCAGAATCTGATGTCCACGGGTCTACAAGGCAGAAGACCTGACAATGATATTCGTGTCATTCAATGCTCCTATCAAACCAACTCAAATTATTAACTGCTTGCACAAATGGTCAGATCTTCAAACTTCAGGCAACTACGTTTTCTGGACCATCAACGATACCACTGACTGATGATCGCTTTACAGCTTCTATAAGGGCCTGTCTCCCTGATATGAGAATAAATATTCTACAAGGCATGATTTCATACACAGAAGGTAAATCTTCGCATTTCTGCCTCACGGCCCTTGCTAACATCTGGAAAGGCAGCTGGTCACTGTACACAACTTCAATTTCCGAGATCGTACTACATAATCACTATAGTCCCCTGCCAGCAGAGTCAGTTCTACAAACGGAGAAGTCCCTCTCAATCTGATTGAAGGCGAAGGCCAGTTCGACGGTGTCCTCGGGTACTGGGCGTGTGCAGCTCTGGCGGCTCATATCATATTTTCAGACTTTGAAAAGCACCCTTCGAAGCCCCTGAAGAGCCTGCATTCCTTTTCGCGTGCTTTGAATGCGGTTACGCCAGAAAAGTTTTAAAGCTTGAACAGGAGGACATCGAACCAGGAAAATCCGATGTCGATCCCATCAGGAATGGCGTCATTCAAGAGGCGCTCGAGTTCTTGCGGCCCAGCGCAATGAAGCGAGAAATTTACTTCACAAGCCAGCCCATACGCCTGATGCTGAGAAAACCTGCAAGGAGCCACTCTCTTTAAGACTCGTGTTCCTGCCGACGGAGCTCATTTTTCAGTGACGGGATCTATGCAGTGACTCGCTAGGACGTTCAGTTTCTGGAACGTTGGTCAACCTCCCGACTTTACATATCAGATGCCCCAAAGACGAGGATAAATACAGTAACCGAGAGCATACATTTGCTCTATGTGACCCTGCTAAGATTCATCATACGTTCCAGCGTGATTTTCCTCGTGGGCATCAACTGTTGAAACAAAACAGCCCGTTTCAGAGACCTTGCCGATATGAGATCACTTTGGAGATACTCCCCGATATATTCGAGTTTCCAGAGCCCTTCTGCCATTATTGTGGGCTCCATCGATTGTTCAAATAGTGTAGAGCAAAGGGCCTTTGCATCGTTTTGTAGAACAAAGACACTGTGAGCCTCGTGATCTTTATGTCACGTCAGAGATTCCCAATGTGTCCAAATTGCTTTATGGGCCTCAGCTTGAGGCTTTATTCCATAGCCTTTTGTAATGAATCCATGCTCGCGAAGTGATAAGGTGTTTTAGAATTCATGGAACTTGCCTCCTTGCATATCACAAAGGTCCGGAATATCGATCATGAGTCGTTTCGAGATCAACAAAGGGCCCCCCCCCCTCCATCTCACTTTTTAATATCTATAAATAAAACTAATCGTATAACTATGGATGTCAAAGTATTTGAATCACAAAAAGCATGGGGCAGAGGCTCCATTGAAGAGTTAGGCAGAATCCCCCCACCGCCAGGCCTTCAATCACAACACTGAGAACACTACAACTGTAAATGAACTTCTCAAACAACACCTGGGCATCAAGCAAACCCATCAGTCAGACGAGATGGAAAAGGGAAAGGGAAAGGCGTCACCAATCCTCCTCAGTGAGCCTCCAATCTGCGCTGCCCATGGTAAGTCCCTTTGGCTGGCCGTACTGTACATCTTGTCTCTAACCAATAACAGATTGGACAAACGCAGAAAGGTTTCTCGACCGCTTTGAAGAACTCCCTTTCCATGAAAAGCTACAGTTTGAAGACGAGGTCAGCGAGGCGTTTGTAAAGTCAGAACACTTGCCTGGATTTGAGAACGCGATCGAAGAACGGATGATGCTTTTCAACCGCGCCTTGCAGGATGCCAGATCTTTTCGAGCTGCCTTGAGGAGGGGCTCGATTGGCGGCACGAGGCTAAATCTCCTGAGAGAAGCGGTCTACACAAGATTTGCAGAAGCAATGAATGAATTTGAACGCTGGACAGGTTAGTGATTCAACTCAGTTGATTCTAATGATTTCAACCGATTGCTGATGGGTTGTAGCAGACCTCGGGCTACCCATTTACTAGTATTGATCACTCGAATACTCCATTATGAGTGGGAGGCTCGGTTTCAAGCGTCTGCAGGAAGCTTCGCAAGTATGGGAACGGGCCATTTGACATGTCCATTGATCTTGTAGTAAGAAGATATCGTCTCCATAGCTTGCCAATATCAGTAAGAAAGTCACTTTCCTGCTTCTCAGACATATCAAGAATATTCCAGGCAAGTAGAGAGCACTCGTAGGCAAGATTTCATGCTGCGGGCAGAGCGCGGCCAAATTGCGGGGAGTTTGCGGGGAGTTTGCGGCGGCTCGGCAAACTTACAAGGATCTCAACGAGGTAGTCTCTAGCCCTCTTAGAATCACTAAGAAAACAGCTGGTGCAGCCAAGCCATTCAAATGATTTCAAATCAATTGATCATCCTTTGCGATGTCGCGGTGTTCCGTTCCCTGTGGCCGCGGCACCATGAAGGCTATAAAGCTGGCGAGGTAATTTCACACTGAGCTCTAATCATTTCAGCTCACCTCGTCTCAAAAGCACAACTCCGAAAATCATTTTGAATCAAATTATTCAATCCTCAGTATGCCTCCCCAAAAGCCTGTTAGGATCATTCTCGGAACCCACATGGTAAGGAGCTTTCCTCTGCAAACACCGATCTCTCTTTCACAGTTCAAAGTTCGCTGGATCAAGAAAGTCTGACTCAGTTCTTGTGTTGACTTCTGGTCATAGATAGGTGACGTCTCACAAGTTCCCGGAGTCTTGCACTTCGATACCAAAGAGGACGTCCAGGATCTTCTCGACGCTTTTCGCAACCGCGGATACAAAGAGCTCGATACCGCGTCTAACTATCTCGGATCCGAAGTTCGCTTAGGCCGTGCTGGAGCCGGTGCTCATTTTACAATTCACACCAAGGTCCGAAGCTGGGGTGATGGAGACCTGGAGCCGGCAAAGATCGAGCAAAGCATCGCGCAGTCTCTCGATGAGCTCCAAGTCTCGTCAGTCGAGACCATGTTTCTGCATGTCCCCGATCGCAAGACTCCCATTCAGGATACCGCCAATACAATGAATGAAGCCTTCCTTCAAGGGAAATTCAAAAAGCTTGGCCTGTCCAACTATGCTCCAGCGGAAGTTCAAGAATACCTCGATATCTGCGAGCGGGAAGGCTGTGTCAAACCCCGTGTCTATGAAGGACACTACAACCCCATTGTCCGTGGCGGAGAGAAGGAGCTTTTCCCACTTCTTCGAAGGAACAACATTTCCTTCTTTGCTTACAGGTTAGTTGACCTTCCGACAATCTGCTGATGGTCCTCGATCTGACTTCAATTAGCCCGGCCGCGGCAGGCCTTCTCTCGGGACATGCCGACACGTCGAGGCGCTGGAAGGCCGATGTAAGTACCTGTATCTCATATCGCTATAACTTAGCTAACCCATGATAGAACACTATTGGAAATATATATAGCTCCCATTACGGTAGCTTGAATATCCCAGGTGCCATAGACACCGTTCGGTCTTCTGCTGAGAAATACGGCATTACGGGCCATGCGGCCGCCATCCGATGGACAGCTTTCCACGGTGTTTTGGATGGAGAATATGGGGATGCTCTGATTTTTGGGGTCTCTAAACTGGAACAACTTCACAAGACCCTGGATGCTCTTGAAGAAGGCCCTCTTCCCGCCGAACTTGCTGACGCAATCAGTGCTGTCTATGCTACCTTGGGAGATACAGCTCCTCCATTTCATATGTAGAGCGTTAGGTGTGTCTCACTATAATCAATCTTGTTATTTGATCAGGATAGATTCATGGCCAGAAAGAGACAATTTCCTAACAGGATGAATGCTATCTACATGCGTTCCGTATTAACAGTTCCATCTGCAAAAGGATTTATTTTATATCGAGTATCTTTCATATGTCCATTCCAAGTACGCGAACCCCAGATTCAGTGGTTCAACATCGCATCGCTCATCTCCTGATGCCTCGAGACGCAAGATGTTACTACTACAACCATGTCTTTGCCGGATGCTGTTTTTGCATTGAGAACGAAAGGGAGTTGGCGGAGGTTGGACCGAATTTCTTTTCTTCTAATTTCCTCGTTGAATGCACAGCGGAATTCAAAAGTGGCCGTTATCTACGGTTCCATAGTCTTTCCGTGAGTGCAAAGAAGATCAAGGTACACTCCGTATACTGCGACCCGTAAGCGTCGAACCACGATCTGCCCCACTCCGCCGATCCCCAGCCACCCCGACTTTCTTTAAACTTGCCTTCTGCCAGCATTTGGGGTTTCTTTTTTCTCTTTCAGCATTCCAGTCTAGACACGAAGAGCCAAATCCACGCTCTGCACCTTACACCGCGCTCTGCAGAACAACCCATCTTGTCCGCGCCACACAACCAACATCCTTGTTCAGATAATCTCCACATTCCACGGGTGTCAGCCTACCCGCCCACCCACGCGCAAAACATGTCATTCGCGCTCCCAGGCGAAGAACCGGACCTCGAGCTCGAAGCGAGCCGAGTCGAAATCGCCTCACCACCCCCATTCAGCGTCAACCGGAACGTGCACAACGACCTCCTCCTCTCACACCTCGAAAAGCGCTACACAACAGTCTCCATCCCTTCGACGTACGGCCGCCTCTACTCCAGCCCTGCGCCCGGCACAGTCGCCGGTATTGTGATTGGCAGCGTGGGCGGCGTCGTCCTGCTCTTCTACCTGACGTTCCTCGCGCTGAATCCCGGCGGTCTTGCGCGTGGCAGTTCGTCGGAGATCGATGAGGAAGTTGTCGTGCGCAGTCGGCCGGGTTCGCGGCGCCACGAGGATATGATCGAGGTAGTGGAGGAGCGAGATCGGCGCCGCGATAGCTATCGTCGGAGGCCGTCGCCACGCGATCAGATCATTGTTGAGGAGTCGATGACTGGATCACATACGACGGATAGCCGTAGGAACGATTTTGTCGAGGTTATTGAAGAAGAGTCATCTGCGATATCATCTGCCTCTCCAAGGCCGCCGCGTAGGAGGTCGAGGAGTCGGAGGTCTGGCGTGAGGAGTGTCAATCCTCATGACCATGGCGGTGGCAGTGATTTCAGTGAATACTGATATTTCCATTTGGGCTACGTTTCTATGTTAATGCGTTTGGGAAGTTTGGACAGCTTTGGCTTTTGCTTTGCATCTGCGATACCCTTTCATAATATGCCTTTTTGATGCTTTTCAAGGACTCCTGGAGTCAATGTTTTACGTTCAAGTTTACGTCTTATTGCCCTCTTCACAGACTTCTAGCACACGTCATGGACACAATGATCGCCACGAGGATAGGGATTCACAACATAAAATCTGCATAGTTACTATGAGTTCAAATCCAGCATAGGAGCAATGCAGTACTATCCGCCACTGGCGCGGGCAGCGTAAATTATTCCACACTAGGCTATACTATAGCTACCGAGGGGATCCTACGGCTCAAGTATAGGCACTCGGCCTTGTACCACCAAGTAAGCAGTCCATGCAAGAAAAGAGGGTCTCTGATTAGCCTTCCGAGACAAAGAATAGACTCGAGTATATGTACACGATAGAAGACAAAAGAACGCGCATGAAAAGAACCGATCTCCAAGCGCCACCCGGGTATCTTCCGAACCCGGAAGCCCCGCAACCAATGAAAACCAAACCATACGAATCCATCAAGCCAACAAAACATATCATTCCGTTTCGCGGCCGCATTGGCCGTTCAAATTAATACAGAAAAGCGCACGTAAGAAGACGTGCACCACCCGCCGCCACTGCCAAGCCGCGAGTGGCTCAGAACAGGATATCCAGGCAGCAGCAGCAAGCAAGAGCAGCCATGAGACCAGCACAACAACCGCCAGCATCAGCTGCGGCGCTTTGACGTGGCGGAGCTCCGCCAAAGTACCCAGGCTGCGGAGGCGGATAGCCCTGTTGCGGTTGATAGTACATGCCTTGGGGCTGAGGATAGTAACCTTGTGGAGGTGGGCCGTATCCCTGTTGCTGACGGTAGGCGTCGCCTCCTTGGTACCCTTGTGGTCCTTGGTATCCTTGGTTATAATACTCGTTTGAGGTGCCTGGAGAAGGTCCGGGGTAGCCGCCGCTGCCGGGATTGTTGTAGTCTTGCTGGTACGTGGGAGGAGGACTGGTCTGTTTAAAGCGGTTAGTTGGGGACTAGAAGCCTGGAGGAATACTCAGAGGCCCGAGCATCGAGGAGGACTTACTGGCTTGTTATAAGACATGACTAGGCTTCCTGATGCGGAGGAGGAGTATGTAGATGCTGAAGGATTCTGGAGGATTTGCCGATGTGGAGCTTCCGGATGAGATGGATGTAGACTGGACTCTGAGCAGGAAGGGGTTTATGATATAGGGATCCCGCTTTAATTGGGAAGGTCAGGATCTATAGGTCTCAAATAAAAGAAAGCGCCGCCAAGAGACAGAGACAGAGAGAGAGAGAGAAGAGAAAAAGCCGGAAAATACTTGGAAGGTGGGAACATGTGCCGATCGCCCGTTGCAGGAAGTGGACCGCATGAGTTCCCGGGGCCGGGGTTGGAAGGCTGACTCATCCACTAACCTTTTGAACTAGTCCTATATAGGAAAGGAGGGGTTTATCGGGCCAATAGAGAGCATTCATATGCCGGGTGCCTCGATATGGTATAGCTACGTCTACAGCCAACGCTGCAAGCAATTTCGAAATATGTCTCGACCATTGATGATATAGGCTACAGCATATGCAATGCGCATCCTCAGGACATGGAGAGTGCACCCAGCAGGGATTTCAACCACTGGTCATTTACATGATAGTTGATTCTGCGATTGGTTGGGAATTCCTCGAACGAACATGTTTTGTAGAGGGAAGATGGCTATGAGACAAGAAAGCCGTATGAAGTGCTAAAAAGGAGATGTTGATTCAGACTTTTGAGAAGAATTTTGGGGCGCTGTCCATGAATCAACGCGGATTAATATGCACATCAGTCAAGAAACGAAGAATCAACAAGAGCGGGAATGCTAGACAAAATGCTAGACTGGAATGGGAGGAGATGGGGGTGGTGGCAGGTAATTTCGATATGGCCTCGGTGGTGACTATGCATTGTCTTCCAAGGAAGCCTTCTTCAGCTCATCGGCCGCATCGGCAGCGGCATCCTTCTCCTGGGCGAGTTCAGCCTCAGCAGTAGGAGCACCATTGGCCTTAGCAGGCTTCTTGGCAGCGTCGGTGCTTCGGTCATTAGACTGCGAGCTTTTGGCTTCTTCTGCCTCAAGGCGGTCAATCTCTTCCTTGGCCTTCCTGATGTTCTGCGGGGTATGTTAGTTCAATAGGTTCCAGTTGAGCTGAAAAGAGGCCCAAACGTACCTCTTCAGTCTTGCTGGCCTGGTTCTTCTTCCACTCAGTGATCTTAGCGGCCAGCTTCTCCACAGAGGCAGGGACATCCGACTGGTTCATAGGCGGATCGATCTTAACCTTAGCGAAGTCCTCAATGATACCAACGTTCATGTTGAACTTGCTAGTCTCGGCGCTGGGAGCAGCGCCCCCCTTCTTTCCCTTCTTGCCCTTCTTACCACCAGATCCAACAAAGTAATCCTCTTCCTGATCCTTGCGGACCACCTTCATGCCCTTGATCCCGGCGTCATCAACAGTACGGCCAACACCGGCGCGGAAGTTGCTTCCCTCGTCCTTCTTATCTTCCAAACCGAGGAGAGAGAAATCATACGTAGGGTCAAAGTGACGAATAAGACCCTGAGCAGTAATAATCTCATCAGCGTAGGCGGGCTGGGAGGCCTCTTCCAGTTTCTTATCAGCGACCTTCTTGCGCTTCTCACGCTCGAAAGCATCACGCTCGGCCTTCTGACGCTCTCGGCGCACCCGCCAGGCCTCATCCTCATACTCCTTATAGGCGCGACGAGCCTTGTAGTAGGCATCCTTGATCTCGCGGATAGCGGTATATTTCTGCTGCTGATCATTGCGCAGCTTCGTGCGCTCGTCGCGGAGGGCATTCAGGTTCTTGAAGACGCCGTCCTGCTCAGCCTTGATCGCATCGAGCTCCTTCTGGATCTCGTTGTACTTGTCACTGAGTGCCTTCGCCTCCGGGTTATCAAGGGTCTTGCGGAGTTCAGCAATCTGCCCCTTCAGCTCGTTGATGCCTTTCTGAGCCTCATCCAAGCTGGCAAAGCCCTTGCGCTGCTTGCGGAGATTGGAGATATCCGACAGAGCCTTGCGCTCATCGACCAATCGCAAAGTACCAGAGTCGACTTGCTTCTCCAGACGGGCGATCTCCCGGTCAATCTCGTCAACGTTCTTGAAAGACATCTTGCCACGGGAGTTGTTCTGCTCAGCAATGCGGGCCTTCAGTGTTGACTCCAGAGCATTGATTTTCTCCTGGGTGCTGGACCGGGAAGACTTGAAGCCCTGCTGCTTCTGGCGGATGGAGGACAGCTCAGCGCGGAGTTCCTGTTGCCGCTTGGCAGTGGGCGAGTCCTGGTTGTTCGGCTTCGCGCTGTCGAGTTTGGCCTTGATTTGGTTCTTTTGCGCAAGTAAGCGACACTGATTCACGCATTTTGTTGTAACGGGCACGAGGACACAGTTGTCCCCGAGGTGGGATATCAATGGCAATTGCACCACGGCCGGTAGCCAAAGGTTGCAATTTCCGAGATCAAATCAATGGATCATTATCATAGCCACATACCAACTTCTCTTGAGCCTCAGCGTGCTCTTTCTCGGCCTTGGCCAGGTTGGCCTTGTAAGCCACTTCATCGGGCTTGGTGGGCTTAACCCGAGGTTCGGCTGGGGCGTTTTCAGCCATTGTGATGAATAAGGGGGAAGCGAAGGAATGAGAAAAGACGAACTGCTTCCCAAAAAGCTGAGGAAGCAAAATGAGGGGAGGGAAAGGGAAAAAAAAACAAAAAGCCCACGAGGGGAAAGGGGAAGCGATTGGAACAATTAAATTAAAATGGTTCGGTCGGTTTCTCCGCTTTGTAAGGGCTCGTGGCAGAAAGTTCCCGCCGATTTTTCTGAACTTCTTATCATTCACTTTCGGCCGTCAGTTGGGATCCGCCCAAGCTTTTTACTCGGTGGTTCTGCCTGGGCGCTTTTTCTCTTTCTTTCCCACTTGTCTCACGTGCCCTACGCAAGCATGGATGGGGATATTACCCAGCACGGCAACGACGCTGCCGATAAAGAAGTCGCCCGTCTATGGCGCACTTGGCGAACGGTGCATGAGATGCTTGCAGACCGAGTAAGTGCAATTCAGAAGGCTTTGCAAGCTCCCAGAAGGGATGCTTGTTTATTGGTACCTAGAGCTAATGTCGAACTTGGAACTACAGGGCTACGAGGTCTCCGACGATGAGTTAACGATTTCCTTGGAGAAATTTCGACGAGATTATGCCGACCCTCTTGGCTTCCCAGAGTACGCGATCTCCCAAACCATTTTCGCAGACGAGCAATCGCAAAAATCTACAACCGCGTTGCTCTGCGACTGACCAGGGAGCCATTGGCTAACATCTATCTCTTCTACAGCCGCGCCAGAATGAAGATTGTCGCACGTCCCACTGAACTCATGAAAATCAAGTACACAGCTCTACCCAGCAAATCCAACCCCGACCCACAACCAGACTGCGGCACGATCTACGTCGACTTCTGCGCCGATGCCTCCGGCGTCGGTACCAAGCAAGTCCGGGCTTTCAATCACACCGTCGATGAGAACAACTATCACACCGGTATCTTCATCACCCAGGGCAATGTCTCTCCCTCCGCCTTGCGCCTGCTTGCTAGTATCCCTGGCCATATCTGTGAGCATTTCCAAGAGCAGGACCTGCTGGTCAACATCACCCGTCACGAGCTTGTCCCCAAGCACGTCCTTCTGAGCCCCGAGGAGAAGGCGAAGCTGCTCGAGCGCTACCGTCTCAAGGAGTCGCAACTTCCTCGTATGCAAATCACAGATCCCGTCGCTCACTACCTGGGCCTGCGCCGTGGACAAGTGGTAAAAATCATCCGCAGGAGTGAAACGGCTGGTCGATATGCCAGTTACCGATGGGTGATCTAGGGGGCCCAAGTGGTAGTAGCTCTCGCTAAAAGGAACAACATGTCATCACGGCCCTAAGGGTCTGGCGAGGACGTCTTGTTGATCTCTTTTCGGAGAAAAACTTTGCATTCTCTCTTATGTTTAGAAAAAGAGACACACAAACCCCTGCGTACACCCAAAAGCCTTTTCGCCCCCTTGGTTTTCCGGACGGTAGTCCATTCTATTGAAGAGGGCTCAGCATCCGAACCATGGTGATTGAGTTGGGAGGATCTTATCTACTACAGGCTACCAAAAAAGGTGTTGTATCACGGGCAGCATGGCGTACAGGCGAAGCTCGTTCATCTAGGAGGGGAAGGGATTCTGTCGTGATTTACACAATAATGACTACTAAGTTTGCTGATAACCCAATGAAATTTTGTCCATATTAGAAATCTGTGCTCGCGCAGTAGCTGTCAGTGTTGATACTAATAGACTGCCAGTCTCGCAGCAGTATCGTCTACCACTTGTATATGTAAAATATATGTAGTACAAGTATTATTCACGGAATTCATCCTCTCCCTACTTTTCATGGTTGCTAATAATCTTTCCGAGTTGCCCCGAGGTATATCAAGGTTAACCGGAGCTTTCGTCCCAACAGTCAGAACATAGGAGTCGACGACTTCGACACAATATGACCTACTAGCGACTGGGGTTTTCAATAATCTACAATACTAGACTGCTACTAGAAGCTCCATTCTATCCACCACTGTCAATCTCCAGACAGAGAAGTTCTTCCAGATCAGATCCCTGCCATCATGATCTCCTCCTTAGCTTGCCTTCCTCTACTAGCAGGCTTTTCTTAAGCATCACGAGAAGGTTTCCACTATATCCTTGTGCGCCTCCTCGACTGGTATTTGCTGACAATGATTCTGAGTCCAATATTACCATTTATCTCTCAAGCGGGTTCAAGTTGTTGATCACCAGTTGTAAATTACTAAATAGTAATTAGGCACGCTAGTGGGTTCCGAGATATATGTAGAGAGTAAAACAACTTGAAACTAGCCGCTGATCATACTTCCTGACGTAGGAACCATATTTCTTGCCCTTATCCAGTTGGTCATGAACGAGACAATTGTGTCGATTTTCTGAATCTACCGCGCAATGCTATCGGGCGGTTGTTCTTAGCGAGGGATCTGTGGAAATGCTGGAAAGAGGTGCGGTGACAAATCCCAGTGTGCTATATAACCATGCTGTCGCTAATTTTCAGTGTCTCGTCCAGTTGCCAGAGTGGTTAATGGGTTCGCCTGCTAAGCGAATGTCTTCGGACACGCAGGTTCGAATCCTGTGCTGGACGGTTTTTTTTTTCCTTTTTCTTTTCTTTCGGCCCCCGGCCCCCTTTTTAGTTAGTTGAAACTCCACCAGGACCGGCCCTGACTAACTAGAAACAGCCTTGACGAAATAAAAGACCGCCAGATTCAGACCCAAGTATCTTGGTCTAGGAATAGCGGGTATCTCGATTACGTTTCTGATGTTCGTTCCAATGATTATTGGCGAGCTTATGTTGGCCAATCAGGAGATACAGCGGTCAGGATCCCTCAGCACTGTCGATGCATACTGGCCGGCGAAACCTCATCTTTACATTACTTCGTCATTGCCAAAGGGCAATGGAAATCGCGATGCCAACTTTATCAAGCTTTGGAGTATTGAGGCTCTAGGAAGCACCGACCCTTCCGTCATTGGTATGCTGAGTAATTTCCTCGAGATGGGCCTATGTCGAGTGTTTCAATCGCTCCCCCCAGCAGACTTGGAAGCAGTTTTTGGCCCACCTAGTCCTACTCATGGAGAAAAGTATACATTCATCGGGCTGAATTTAGTATCTCCCCTTCTTCAAGGGAGATATCTATCCCCATGGACGAGGCATAAACATGCAATTCGGTTGAAGGAGGCAAATGATCCTGATATACGCGCATATCCCGATCACCGCCTGAAACACGATCATAATATCAAGCGATACCAGAAACTTCAGCCAAGCACGTGGACACGTCTCACACATGAAAACTGCAAAGCAGCAGTTGAGTCTGCTGCTACTACGGACCTGATCCTCAGCCAAAAACTGAAGCGTTTTGTGGAAAGCTTATCAGTCGCTACCAAATCAGCAAAAGATCAGGATAGCTTTGAGTGGCTACATACGGAGCTTAACGCACTTTCTTTGCTAGATGGGTCTTTCAGTGTCTGTATGCCGATCGGAAGCTCAAAAGCTCAGCTGGGTGTGATTCTGAGCGAAACCTTCATTCAGTCTGCTGTTCCCTCAACACTTCAAGATTGCGGGTTCAACGAAGCAAACATCTTGATCTGGGCAGCGAGCTTCCAAAGGTCGCATATTGGACCAGGGCTAAAACTTGCCACGAACAAGCTACAAAACTTTTCTTCTAGATTTAGAGAACTCAACTTTGCTGTGGCTTCACACAGTCAAGTACGAATAGTTCTCGTCGCAGACAAATTAGCAGAAGCAGTCTTGTTCTCAGATAATTCGAGATTCAAACGCTTTTCTTTGGATCTTCAAAATCAACTTTTTGAAGGGTGGATTAACATTGAAGAGGAGACGCCAAGCTGTATCTATCTTTCGCCAGAGCCACTTTTAGTGGCTCTCTCCAGTCATGACCGGAGAAAGGTCAAAAGATTAACAACCCTTCTTCGCTTTTCAACGTTTCTCCTCAACTTGAAGAACATAAATCCATCCGCCTGCTCGTCGGCACTGGCAGCGATCGAGATCATTCGCCGATACGACATGGAAAGGGACGGACACGAGAAGATGACAGCTGAGTCGGTGGACCCTTATCTAGAGGGGTGGCTCCACGAGAAAGGATTCACTAGTTCGGATATCAGAATGCTTGAAAAATGTGCTGATTCTCTCCACGCAACAAGGACTTCTGCAGGAAGGATTACACCCAGTATTAGAAATTTATCCCCATCTGGCTTCGATCAGTCAAGAAGCCCTTCTTATTCAAGCAGAAGCCAACCAGGATAAAGCTGAAGAATTTGGGATAGTGATTCAAGGCGACAATTTTTTCCTTGATATAGCCAATCCATACACTCAAGTTCTTATAAACAGCAGTGACAAGAAAGAGTGGGATAACTACTCTAGGAAACGCTTGCAGTCCCAAATTCGCCTCTTACAAGGCATCGAAACGAGAGTAAGTTGGAGCAAAGGCGTACGAAGATTCAGATTCTACGCGGGCAAGCTCGAAGTATATTTCGCATATTCTACTCAAATTCAGGATTTGTTTCCCGATCCTTCACAGTTGAGATCTTTGACCGTCAAGCTTGAGCTAGAGCCAGACCCAACTAAGAACCATGATGGGTTCTGGGCTCGTTCATCGGTTGAGGAAGATCCAGCCAGAAGATTGGCTATTAATGTCAGAATAGCCACCGGCCAAGCATCTTACGCTTTTTACTGTCATTCTGATCAACCGAGGGCACCGCATCGAGCAAATGCATGTGTTGATTGGTTGGAGGGGCTTACAAAATTAGAATCTGCTCGAAAGCCCCGTCGCTACTTTCGATTTCGTGCAGATCAGCAACATCCAGGTGTTCCTGAATCAGGTTACACTGACATCAATGGAAATCTTGAGCCTCCGTCGAAAAAGAGAAAGCGGTCCGTGGCACCTGGTCATCTAAAGCGATGAATAGTGTAGGATGAGCGGCCTGAACTCGCCATGACCCGATGAAAACGGCAGATTTGGCCCTCTCTTCCCTCGATTTCCTAAAGATGAATGAGGTTGGGGATATAGATGATACAGAGCATAGTAAGAAGCTTTAGGTTAATGTTTCAGCTATTACAGTACAGACCGTACATTTTCAGTAAGAAGAAAGTGCCACAAGTCGAAGGTTAGGTTGTACACCTAAGCTGGGATAAGGTGGCCTAGGGGGAAAGAAGCAGGCCAAAAAGGGAAAAAAAAGGAAGAAAAAAAAAGATGACGTCCAGCACAGGATTCGAACCTGCGTGTCCGAAGACATTCGCTTAGCAGGCGAACCCATTAACCACTCTGGCAACTGGACGTGCTTACGTATTTCCATGAATTTCATATGATTATAGCCCAAGCGTAATTCTTGTAAAAAAGGCACCCCCCGTTCTCCTCCTTTCCAGTAAGTCGTTTGAGGATACCTGTTGCATGCGAAGAGCGGCAAAGCCGATGTACTGTCACCGTGGCTGTGGCCGAAAGCCCTCATTGGCTGGCATTTAATTGCCTCTGGCGCAATTTTCACTTGGCAGGGTCTATTGCCATGTTTTGACTATAATGCAGTTCAGGGGCTTCCCTACATCGGTCGCAAATACTAAAGTCGAAGAAGTAGGACCGCGGCCCAGGGGGCTAAACAAATACCATCTTAAGTAATCGCACTAGAACAGTTCTTCCTTCCAATGGGCATTCGTCTTCCCCAGAACCACGATGCCTCGCAAAAAGCCCATGAGCATGCATCTTCTGCCAGAGGCTGTACAAATCGTGACAGGCTATCTTATGGCTGGAAAACCTGCAGCGGTGTTCAGCCTCGCGAAGACCAGCAGTATGGAGTCGGTGGTGCCCAGTGAGCTGAGCCATAATTGAGCCATGCATGAAGAGCTTTTCTTGTAATAAGACACCTTAGAGAGTCCCCCCTAGTTAGGTTGACGGTACCGACAGAAACCATCATACGCACGACAGGAAAATTTTCATAGAAGAATCCTGAATGATTAACTCCATATTATTAGACTTTTATCGCTTTGCTGAAGACGGGATTGAGAACCCCCTTGTCATGAAATCATTGCGTTTTGCCCCGTCCTTTTGTTCCTTCGTGTAGAGGCTATCAATAGTCCCACCGAGCCCCATCATCTTGCGCCGCTTCTGCTTCTCGTCCTGTTCACTCAGCACCTTTGCTGTTAACTTTGCGGTGGCAGCGTTCTTGATTCCATCCCCAGGTGTAGATTTATTACCCGAGCCGTTCGTTGCTTGTGTTGATTTGGAAGAAGGCGTGGATGATGCGGTCGCGGTAGCATCTGGAAGATCGGCAGTAGCGTTCTTCTTTCGCTTCTTTGAGCTAGACGCTTTCTTGAGTGAGTGAGTCAAGCCTTGCTCGGCAAGCTTTCGACCACGAGCGATTAGTCGCTGCTTATCTTCTTCTTTCACGGGAAGAATGGTAATAATGTTGTCTTCTGAGTAAGGCTCGTTGCACTGGAATAGCATGAATTAGTTAATGCAGTCCTTGGGAAAGCACCAACTTTCCGTATGTGTTCCACTTACCTGCAAGCACTTGTCTCCCTTCAACTGACGAATCGCCTCCTCCGCGAAAGCATGTCCACATGGAACCAAGTAGACCGACTTGACCGCCGGACCCAGGGACTTGGCCGTGGCAGGGCAGATCCAGCCCTCAGAGCGTCCATGACGGTCGGCAAGTGCCCGGTCAGATGGGTGTCCAGCCCGCTCGGTGTCCACCTCGAAGTGTACCTCGACGACGTCGCGCAGCGACTTCACGCGCCCACCCAGGACTTCCTCGCAGTCGGCCTTGGAGCAAATGCCCTCGACTTCGCCGCCCGGGAGCAAAAATTGAAGAATGGCATCCTTATTGTAGAGGTTCCCTGAGGAGTCAGACACAACTGGTCGGGAGAGAGGTTTCTGTGATAGCGGGCAGTTGGTCCAGGCATGCTCTAGATGTTCGCGCTGGGTTTCTTTCAGCTGGGCTGTACTTGGGGCACGGGCGGATTCTTTGACCAGCTCACGCCGGGTGGGGATACTGGGACCTGATTAGATAGGATGTTCAAACGTTGGAGCTTTCAAGCAGGAATTCTCTGGGACTTACCTCCCACCGTCATTACCCATGGTGAGTGTGAATAGTCTGGAGATGTAGGTTGCGCAGATGCGATCGCCACACCAGATAAGGGACCTTATCGATACCCGTGACCTTGGCCCAACCCTGGAGGGCGGTAGTATGATGAGTCATCCAGGTCAGTGCGCCCACCGTCCGCATCAGGCCGGGGAAATGTTTATGCTAGTCAAGCATGCATGGATGGTATCTAAGATACTTCGGTCTCAAGGTATCTGTGGATTCTAGTCGATGGTAATTATCAATTATCAAGACCTAGGTCTTGCCTCTTGTTGTATCAGGTGGGTCATGTATAGCAAGGAATGCTATAACATGTACGAACCTTGTGGTGGTGAATATTCCGTACATCACAAGATGCTTGGGCGGCCAGTACTCTTGGTCAAAATACTCGGACTTGAATTCGGAACCATAGCTGGAAAAAGCATACAGGGCGATGAAGGCGCTAACAAGGCGCCATACCACGGAAAATATCGTTACCCACCCCATTTGGGATCACAGCCCCGGGGCGTCTTGCCCTGATTCGGCACAGCCCCAATAGTTTAATATTGCTTAGTTCTCCTTCGTCTCTTGACTCCACCCAAAGGTTCCCTCGAGTCCAAGCATTTCGGAGGATCTGAAAGGAGGGAATGACGTACGTTTGATCCTTGCAAGTGTCCGCGCAAGTGAAACGTCCTGATGCACAGGAGCATGTGGCGGTGTACTCCGTACTTATGTTTCATAGAACGCATTGGTAACGAATCTCACCTTAGCAAGACGGACCTGTAGTTCCCGCAGCGACACTGAGCCCGGTTTTCCGGTCGGGCCAAAGATGCCTGACCTTCCATTGGTCCCCCCTACAACGTCTTACTTTTACTATGAGAGCCTGTTGGAAGACTTCATGGTTGTCACATTGAAAGTCGAAAATTAGAATCTGTTTGAACCGATATCTGGTTGACTGAAAGCACAGCCCAGCGACCAGAATGGGAGCCACAGCCACGGATCGACGCCCAGTCCGCCCCCATTGCTTGATTCAGCCCCCAAACTCTGGCATGGTCACATCCTAAGCCACCCCCGATAGATAGATTACTGTATAATATACGCATATTACCACTTTATCTCGTACTCAGCGCTTTAGCGCGCCCCGTTTAACGTCTGTATTACAGTATCAGGCTTCCCTTTGATCACCTTCTATACGGAATACGATTGTGCTCGTGCGAAGAAGAGGGGCCAGCCCCATTCACTTTAAAAGCCTTCTTCGTCTTCCTGCCATACCTTTCCTTTTCTCATCATCCCAAGAATCTCCTACCCGCTCTTGCATAATACTACCAATCTTAATATAAACCATGGGTCTTCTCCGAACTGGTCTTATTGGAGCCATCGGCTACCAGATGGGCAAGAAGTAAGCGCTTTCTGGCCCCAGGGGTGGAGAAATGGCCCCTGAGAAGAATATAGACAAGTGCTAACAAATATCTATAGCAGCAATGGCAATCAGCAACAGCAGCAGCAAGCCCCTCCTCCCCAGGGCTACTACTACCCTCCCCCTCAGGGCTACTACCAGCAGCCTCCCTATGGCCAGGCTCCCTACGGTGGTCCGCAGGCTACCCCCAGCAGGGGCCTCCTCCCCAGGGCTATTACCAGCAGCAACAGCAGCCCTATGGTGGTTCATCGCGTGACATGAACTTCAACGGTGCGCCTTCGCAGGGTTACTACCAGCAGCAGCCCCAAAGCCAGGGCCCTCCCCCTCAATATACCCCGGGCAATAACCAGCAATACTACCGCTCCGACGAGAAGCGCTAAAGCTTTTCAGGGCATGATTCTATACCCAGAGACATCCTCATAGAGACGGAGTCATGATGTTACCTTCATTGCATGTTAAAATTGTTTTCTCGGATTGTTCGGTTTGCGGGGTTTTTTATTGATCTTATGTACTGTTCCGCATGTCAATGACAGAATTTGATACCGGAAAGTGAATAAACTCACTTCCTGATGAGCATTGAACTATCCTCGGCTATCATACGTCCGCATTCTACCTATGTATGATGTAGTCAGCCATAATACCCTATATGATTAGGGACTACAGCAAAAGCTGGATCCAGGTCAAGGATCATTTTCATTTGGTTTATGGTTCCTCTATCAAAAAAATTGTTGCCCCAAACATTTGAAAGTATTCAGATAAGGCCTCTGTACATAAGTCACGTCAAACAAACTCTGCCCAGTACGACCAAGGAATGTGTTGCCCTTCATATAATTATCGCTTCATTGTACGAGGGCCATGTCCTATTCATCCATCCACCATATTCAATTTTTCTCCAAAATCTCTCTCTTTTAGCTTCATTCAAACTGTGTAGACTGACAGAATCAAATTGGGATAAATACAATTTTTGCGGACCTGGAAGTGACACAATGAAACCGGAGAATCGGGGTTCTAGTGGAGTATGACGGCAGTTGGGACGTTCCACACTGGGGTCATAAGGTGAAGGCGGGAGCCAAGGCTGGGAGCCTGGGATACATGGCTTGGTTATCTGCGAAAATAGCTGAGCTCTACGGATTCTATTTTGCTTTACCATTCAGAAAAGACATAAATAGCTGCAATATCCTGCCTTCTGGCCTATCTTCCACTATATTACCCCGAAATCTTAATAGAACTTGGAGAGAAACCGTTCAGATCCAGTACGTCGCCAGGTTAGAAGCGAAGTTAGCATTCCAGATTGAATATTTCATTCAAGCCCCTGAGTAGAATCAAAAATCATCACCAGATTCTAAAAAAAATCACCTTCGAGGACCTCCGTCACTATCTCACCCCTTCGGGTAACCCATCACCAGCTCACGCCATATTACCAAGACAACAACCTATCTATTCGAGCCTACGTCCCATCAATGCACGGAAACGACCGGAATGAAAAACTCGAACAATAATTAATCTTTTAGTAGCATTGACCATGCTTTTTTCAGCAGCTGCTAAAGCGCGGAACTTTTCTGTTTATGCTTCCGATGGACGTCCGGATACCGATGCAACCTTGTATGTGCCCAGAGAACGGCGCAGCATCGGTGCTTTATACTGGATAGTATGGGCGATTGCTGGGTATCATTCTATGGTTCTCAAAATCAATGCACTAGCGGTGGCCCTCAAGGAGATTACAATTCTTTATATGAGGGTCAGCCGATCAGTCCAGATCATAATTGGGACTGGTATGAGATTTGGGTTGTTAAGACCGATCTTCCAATCGGCGTGGCCCCAGCTCCAGGATTCAAGGTGTTCTTGTGACGGAGACACAACCCGATTCAAGTTTATATATCTTTCAGATATGTACATCCTTTCAACTTAAGCACTAATTTCTTCCTATATACTGTAGTAGGACTACAGTCGAAATCAGATTTACCTCTACACTCTTCGACTTCTATTCCCAAACCCTACCTTGACGCTAGGCTTCGAATACTAGAACTACAAAAGGAGTGGAATAAGAGGAAACAGGACAAATACAACAACAACCTCGCTCCCTTCCAGCGATAATCCATTCCAACCTTGCACTTCCTATAGTTCGAACGACATCTCGCCACATCAAGACGGTGATAGGTAGCAAAACCTAGTAACGTGGACTGGGTCCAACCTGGAAGTTTGGGCGGTGCTAGAGTTGAGCGGACCCAATATTAGTCAGAAAACTTTGGGTCCCGCTCAATTGGGTGCCCCCACGCCCCGGTATCAACAGCTGGCCCGAAGCTGTCTCCACACTCTCCCCCAAGCTCAATGCCTCAAACATGAGACTCCCTCAGTCGCTCTTGTTGCTGGCCGTGGTCGGGTCATCTGCCCGAGCTAGCAGCGATAAGATCCCTCGTCCCCGTGGCGTATCCCCAGACTGTAAGCCCTCGCCTCGAGTCACACCCAAACAGTGTCCACACCACACTATCACCACCCCAAAACAGACCCCGTATTCTCCCAACACCCATTCTCAGCTCTCCTCATCCTCCTTAGGACCAATTCCACTAACAATTGGAACCTGCAGTCGCCAAATTCTACCAAGATCAAACAACCTTCACATGTATCTCGAACCCAGACACTCGGATCCCCTTCACGGCCGTCAACGACAACTTCTGCGACTGCCCCGACGGCAGCGACGAGCCCGGCACGTCAGCTTGCTCGCACCTATCCCGCAACTCGCCGCTCTCCGTCGCCGAGCGGCCCGGCCACAGCGAAGCTGAGCTCAAGCTCGCGCTGCCGGGCTTCTATTGTAAAAACAAGGGCCACAAGCCTTCGTACGTGCCATTCCAGCGGGTAAATGACGGCGTATGCGACTACGAGCTTTGCTGCGATGGGAGTGATGAGTGGGCACGGGTTGGGGCACGAAATGTGAGGACCGGTGCAAGGAGCTTGGCAAACGGTGGCGGAAGCAGGAGGAGGCGAGGCAGAAGGCGATGACGGCTGCTTTGAAGAAGAAAAAAGAGCTGCTCGATGTAGCCGCGAAGGAGGAGCAGGGGATCAGGGATGAGATTGCTACTGTTGAGAACGAGGTCAAGGGCGCGGAGGAGAATGTCAGGGTTCTTGAGGAGAGTTTGAGGGTAGTTGAGGAGCAGGAAAGGAAGGTTGTGCGGACGAAGGGGACTGGTAAGGTTGGGGCCTTGGCTGGGTTGGCGAAGGCTCGGGTTGAGGAGCTCAGAGAGAGCTTGCTGGAGGTGCGGTTGCAGAGGGATGAGACTAAGCGAAGACTGAAGGAGCTTGAGGAGATCTTGTCTAAGTTCAAGGTTGAATATAACCCGAACTTTAACGATGAGGGTGTTAAGCGTGCTGTGCGCAGCTGGGAGGACTATGCTGCTCGCGAGGTCGCAGAGGCTACTGAGGTTTCTGATGCTGACTTGGATGAGATTGCGAAGGCTGATGGCAAAGATGCTGGCATTGACTGGGAGCATTGGGAAAACCAAGAGGATGGCTGCAATGATTCCGACCTTGGTAAGACTCATGATCATGCATTCTGAACATGAGAGTTTTTGATACTGACGAAAAATTCCAGTCTACAAGCTTGCAGCCTACCTCCCGCCCTCGTTGGTTGATTTCATTGAGGAAAAGGCCATTTCTGTAAAGTCATTCCTCGAGGACAAAGGGTTTATTGCCAAGAGCAGCGGTAGCAGTGCGTCGGAATCAAAGGCTGTCACCGCTGCACGGGACGCCCTCAGGGCCGCAGAAAACTCTCTGAACGACCTCAAGAACAAGATGAACGACAAGCGTGATGATCTTACGAAAGACTACGGTAGGGCTGGAATCTTCCGTGCTCTCAAGAACACTTGTATCTCTAAGGATGCTGGTGAGTATACATACGAACACTGCTTCCTGGACAGCACAAAGCAGATCCCGAAGAAGGGTGGCGGCTCCATGTCTATGGGCAAGTTCGCTCGCATCGGATCTACGACCGTCGAGGAAGTCGATGAAGCTGGCAATATCATCACCATCGAAAAAGTCGCGCTTGAATATGAGCGTGGTCAGCATTGCTGGAATGGCCCTAACCGATCCACTAAGGTCATCTTAGAATGTGGCGAGGAGAATGAGATCCTGAAGACAGCAGAAGATGAAAAGTGTGTCTATTCTATGCTTGTCACTACACCTGCTGTCTGTCCTGGAGGCGAAGAAGAAGACGCAGCCTCTGCGAAGGACGAGCTGTAAAGAAAACTTGGAATTCGTCTTGTCCATGGTTGATGTACCAATGCATGTGGCTATCCGTATACGGTGTCTTAGATTTGAGAAATGAGATTCAATTAGCTAGTTTCATTGCTTGAGATATGGTCTTGTGTTTTTGAATGATCTCAAGTCTAAGATGCCCATGTGACTGAAGAATTTTACTACTAATACTCCTAATCGGAAAATTCTGGTCAAAATGAAATGAATCAAAGTTCTTCATATCTCCATCGAAATCATCCAAATCCATCAGTACTAATATCTTTCGTATTCTGCCCTGGCAGTTTCCGCAGGCACTCGTCTACGATAGTACCCTATGAAGACCCGAAAACACCCGAAAGACAGCTACACAGATACAGAGGACTAGCTTTGGCGGCGGAAAATATCGGCCTTTTCTTGATTTATATTGCAACATACATATGTCGTCGAAGTACCAGGTTGATACTCAGCCCCGTCCAAAAAACTCCAAATCCCCAGCCAGAGAGAACCAAAACATCTCGATCGTAATATTGAACATGAATCAGCGTAGATGTTCCCGAGTCCCGAGTCTAGTTAGATAGCAACGGGAGTCCAGGCCGGGTATGTGTAGTTGAACTGTTGGAGGAGGACGGCTGCGCGGACGAAGTGTTGTTGAATGGCTTAGTGCTGGTAGAATGATCAGAATTCAAACATCAAAACAAATGGACCTTATCATGATATAGTCTCATCAAAGGTATCGGGAACATACGCCGCAGCTGGTGCAGGAGCAAGAGTTGCAGTTGCCGGAGCAAGAGCAGGAAGAGCAAGAGCAGGGAGACATGTTGATTGTTTGGTTGAGGGATAAACCACAAAAAATGATCTTCAGAAGAGTTGGTAGAATTGATTGATTGTAATCGTGGATGGTTCTAAAAAGACTTGATGGAGGGCTCTGAGCCCTTCTTTATAGTTTCTCCTCGATGCTCTTTTGGTTATATCAGCATAGGCAGATGGCCCAACCACGATTATTTGCTTTTTCTCTACTTGCTTTTTCTCTACTTGCTTTTTCTCTGCTCCGAAATACCATGATTTCTGTTTCGTTGATTTTCAACCTTGGCCCGGCCACTATCGGACATTCCGCATGAGGGCAAGGAAACCCCTCCATTACATCGCGTGGTCGAGTCAAATGGACACTGTCCACAGGAAAAGCTCTCCACACTTCTCCACCCTCTCACGCGCTATCCGCCTACGACGGTTCCGACAGTTGAACGCTTGCGCCGATTGGGGGAAGCCAAGGCCAAGAGGAGCAGCCAATCGAGCGAGCCGATGCTGCAGCCCGGTCGAGGCCCATGTGCTTGCAGAAATGGAAAGAGGGGTGCTCCTGTTTCTCCGAATCGGTTTCTGATGTGGAGCGTTGCTCTCACCCGTCGCCTCTCGCTTCTTAGCCCGTCATCTAGGGCTGTAGATCAATGTGAGCAACGTATGGATACATGGGTGGGTTCCAAGAGGCTGGTTGGGGTTTCAGTTTCACGCTTATAGGCTGCCTTGCTGCCTTTGTTTGTGTTCATCAGCTGTTCCCGTTCCAAAGTTAACCAGCTACTGAGCGGGGCTCTTCCCTTTCTCACTTCCTCGTGGCCTTTGGTAATTTAGTATAGGATTGTTCATCTTTGGATATAAAAGTAAACAAGCTGGATGTCTACGTTAGTTGGTCCTGTAATCTGACGATTATGGGGCTTTTTACTGTATGATCCTTCGATTATGCAGGGAAGGTGAGCCTCGGGCGATGTGGACCGGTCAAAGCTGCGCAAATCCAAGGCACCGTATGATACGACCTGCCTTGGTTTTCCCGCTCTGTCTCGCCTCTCATAGCATGCGAGCGGTTACGAATGCTATTGACTGATACCACTTTGTGCTTCTTCCTGTGGAGAAGCCACCTGCCTGCTCTGTGATTATGGGACAACCAGGCTCCACAGGACCTCGGAACGGGCCTCGAGTAATGGGTTCACGAATAGAGACTAGTTTACGCTTCAGGTGCGTTATTTTACTAAGGCGTATATTTTACGGCGCCAGGAGCGGCCAAGGTCCGTAATTTTGTCGAACGGCCTATGAGAAGGCGTTTTGACGAGCGGATTGAGGACCTTGGAGGAGGGTGGCCGTATTGCCTCATTGGCAGACCGGGGGGGCATTTCTGTGGTGGATTTTCCAATTCCACCAAGGTGGAGTTCGTCTTCTGGTTTCACTCGCTCATCGGCTGCTCTCGAGGGCAAATGACGATGTTTGGAAGGGGACAGAGCGAGAACCGATGCCCTAGATGGGGCTTTGAGTTAGGCGGATTATCAGAAGCGGCATTTTCGGGCAAACCAGATCAGGAAAGTTCATTCTAATGATCGAGAACCACATCTGGACAAAAGATCCGTCCGAAAGCGCAGCAAGCTGCCGAATCTCAAATGGATTCCCTGTCATACTTGACCTCATAATAGCATGCCACGGAAGCTATCATAGCCCTATGCGCGAGAAGCGCAGCTTCTCGCACGGGTCCAAGATTCTGCCCGAAAGGCTCTTGGGATCCACATTGTTCAGGATTCTTTCTCCTCATAGTTAGCACTAGTAGAAGCGCCGAGGACGGCTAGAGCGTTTCATCTCGTACCAGGATAGCTCGAAGCTTCCGCGCATATCGTATCCTGTATCACGGACCCTTCCAAGATGCAAGCTGTAAGATTATCATTGGTCCAGTGGACTTGTTTTCCAGAGGTCAAACCATCTTCCTTTTACGGACAGCCACCGAATTGTAATTGTGTTCCTGCGGTTGGGGCTGTGGGGAGGAATAGAGTTTCGAATGGATTCCTACGTTTCTACCACTTAGGAACCTATTTCGCTGAAATCAGCCGCCCAAGCCGAAGAGAAATTGTACAGAGAAGGTGGAGTCCTACCGCATCTGGGCACCGTGACGAGGGTTCGGCGCTGGATGACTGTCCTCCGAGATACCAAGTCTGCGGAGTGGAAGCTATTCTCGGTGGACGGTAAATGGGCATAACCGATGCCCCATTGACGTTGTATTCAAACCCCGAGCGGGAGCGGGCTTGTCCGAGGGGGGGGTCTACGTCAGCAGAAGTCCATAATACAACAGCGATCATGAAGTACGCTGGGAAGAGGTTGGCATGCATGGGATATGTCGTGGGACGCAAGTGATCCAAATGCTGTGCAGCTGTTACGATCGTCCTTATCTCCACTGAGTCTAATTCTCTAATTAATGGGTCTTGTGCCCCCAAGGTACTTGTTCAAGAAGAATAAAAGTGGTTGAATTGCCCGTGGTCAGGTTTGCCCCGGAAAATGACCGACTAGAAACATCTGGGTGGAGGACAACAAGACATCGCCTCGCGGTTCAGCCTGTCGAACTAGGATCTTCCCCTCATTCCTTGATCTCCGCAAGACCGATCTTCACTCAACATAAGCACAAGAAAGGAACGTCGCATGAGTTTGGAGCTTCAACCCCCCAGCGAGTTGTTTATTTCTGAAACAGTGAGTTAGCTGTGTCCTTTGCGTGGTGAGGATATCACGTCACATACGGGGCACTGGCAGCTGCCAGCAGGGCAGGCGCACGAAGCACCGCAGCTGCAAGTGTGGTCAGGGCCTATAGGTGGTGGTTAGTCGAAGACGGAAAGACTCGTGGGAGACTGCGGGTGGTCAACACCCCGCCATGACCCCGCCCCGGTAAGTTCTTGAATCTGTACAAGGCAACAGGGCGCGATCTGACGTATCTGACTGGGGAGGGGAAGTTGCTCACCCATTTTGATGGTAAGGTTGGTTATCTAGAAAAGACTTGAAAAGTTGGGTTGCAGAACTTGGAAAGGTGAAGAGTCTGAGAATGATGGGGAGAGAAGAGGGAGCCCACCCAATAAATAAATTCCTCCCGTGACTTACCGAGGCCAAAACACCGCGATCAGGTCAAATCATCAAATCATCAGTCATGTAGACTCGGACTTGCGGCCTCTCGAGCACATTTCTGCACTCTTGCCCCGCCTGCGCGCATTATTTGACGTAGCAGCAGTAGGGGCCCCAGTGTTTGCTGCTGTTTTCTGCCTGACCCAGGCAGTCTTTTCTCACTCCTCGTTGAGTTTACTATGCAAAGACGCCAGAACAGTAACACAGGCAGAGACACAATACCAAGTGATTCTTGTGCTACTATGTATGTCACTCATTGTCTGAGTTGCCGGTGCGGAGACTGCATTCTGCACGCAATTAAGCACACCACACCTGCCAATCAATTGCAGATGCAGCTGCAGTGGCATCTTATTCTATTCGCACTCTGCTGTATGAATCACTATATGCCCCCTCCCCTCATATTATACAGCATGCGCTCTTCTCTGGGAACCAGCTTCGAGAATGTTTTAGTTTCTTTTTTTTCCCCGCCCCAGTCTAAGCCGTCTCATTTGCCACTGGCTCTTCTGATGTTACATGTACTGGGCACTAGTGAGCTGGCAGCTAGAACCCAATTGGGATATACTATTAATATGAGCCCTAGTAAAGGTCAGATCAGAATAGTACTAAGAGGGAGGGTTAGTAATGTTGCTACGTAAAATAGGCAAGCCGTAAGCATAGATCCTATTGTTATACAGCTCAATGGGAGTTCTCTCCTGATGCTAAGCAACCAGACTTTGTTCATGAACACTCTATCACACGAAAATTGTCCCCGAGTGTCTCGCAATTGCATACTCAGATATCTGCATTAAGGCAGATTAGCTTTGGCAAATACAGAACCTGTCTACTATAATTGGAGCTTCTGTAGATAGGCATCTTAGTTGATACTTAAGTCACCACTTATTGTGCTGAGATCCCTGAATGGTCAACCTGCTGGCTTTCCTTTGTATTTCTGCATGATTATAAGCTGGTCCAGTATAGAAGGAGACAGAGATTGCTATCCTTGGATGAGAGTAGGAGACTAACCAGCTGGTCACTGCATAATCCGGGCGGTGAAGCCCATCTTTATTTCTGGATTCACCGCCTGCGGGATGCAGATTTTATGCCAGATCCAGGGTAGCCTTTTTTTTCCCTCTCCGCTTTGATGGTGTGTATTTTCATCTGTTGACAACTTCTTGTTTGTGTCTCCGCGCGTTCGGCCAATTTGTGCTTTACAGGGAAATCCTCCTGTAAGCCCAGCGCAGGAGGCATATTGCTTGAACGCCCCTGTCCTATTCTCAGTCGACAATCTCGTTAGAGATCCAAGTTCTGCTGGACACCAGGTCGCGTGTAGGAAGATGACCTTACCTTTCCAATTTCGTGGGAATCAGCCCCCAAAAGACCAAGGAAGACGACCTGGAAGAGACCAATACAGACCATCCAGAGACCGTCGTGCCCGACCCCGCCACGAATTCACCTTTCGAGCTCCTGTACCTACTGCCCAGCGACCGCTCTTGAGTGGAAAGCGCGAAACTACTCCAGAGCAATTGCAGTCTGCTGAAGGAAGTGGGAAGGTGGCCCCCAAGTTTGCGTCGTTAGATGCGCTCAGTGACAGTGAAGAGGCAGAGATGGAGTTCTCTGATGACTCGGAGGAAGAGGAGGGCGCGCCTCCGCGCAAGAAACAGGCGCTTGGTCTAGACGGCAGCATGAGTCAACACGAGGCAGGTGGTCTGGATGAGAATGGTCGCCCGCTTACACCTGCTGCTGCCCCCGCTCCTGCTCCCACTCCTAAATGGTCGAACCCCGATCCTTACACGGCGCTTCCCCCACCTGACGATACGCAACACAAGAAAATCGACATGATCAAATTGATTCGCAAAGCTCGCCTTACAACTACTGAGCAACCGAAGAAAAATGACGCTGTTGTGCAAAACGAGGATTTCATTTCCCTCGGTGCCGCGGAGGACAAACTGGACGATAGTGACTCGGACAACGCGAGAAAGGCACCTGAGAATGCACCAAAGGGCCCTCGCGGACTGGACTCCAGAATCACTCTGCCACAGGGGTCGAAAGCTCCTACAGGGCCGAAAGCGATGGGCCTTCAGGACGATCAGATCAAGGTGCCCTCCACCAAACTCAAAAACCCTCCGCGCAAATTCAACACCGATGGATCGATTCACCGAAGCTGGCAGCCCTCGAAGGAACAAGATACAGCTCCCTGGATGCATGGCCGGACCCAAGCAACGCACATGCCTGCCAGGTAAGTTGCTCTGTGGGTTATATTGCATTGTAGTATTCTAACACATATAATAGACTGCACAGTGAAATCATCGCTTTCTACAGCTGGGTCAAGCCGCACGATTTCGAACAAATTGTTCGCGCTGACCTTGTCCGCCGACTGGACGAAGGTTTCAGGAAACGGTACAGAGGTTCCCAGGTACTCCCGTTTGGCTCATTCGCTTCTGGGCTATACCTGCCTGTGGCAGACATGGACTTGGTCTTGCTATCCCCCCCAGTTCCAAGATGTTGGCCGCAGAGGCTTTGGCGAGAGGAAGGGCCAGATCTATGCGTTTGCTGCTTATGTTCGAGACCTGGATATTGCTGTCCCAGGATCAATCGAAACAATTGCGCATGCGCGTGTGCCAATCCTGAAATTCGTGGACAAGCTGACTGGCTTGCGGGTCGATCTGTCGTTTGACAACGACAGTGGTCTGCTGGCTAATCGGACGTTCAATGAATGGAAGCGGCAATTCCCAGAGATGCCTATCATCGTTTCGGTCATTAAGCAGTTTTTGCTTCTGCGAGGCCTGAACGAAGTGCCAACCGGAGGCCTCGGGGGTTTCTCCATCACTTGTCTTGTCACCAGCATGCTTCAGCATATGCCAAGAAGCCAACACCAAAACCTGGGCGATATTCTGCGACGGTTTTTCACTTTTTACGGCAATGACTTCAATTGGAGAGATATGGGAATACGAATGAACCCCCCGGGTTATTTCAACAAGGTGAGTGTTGACGCTAGCTGTTCTGCACCCCTTAAACGAAACACACCGACAATATCTGACACCAATCGAAATCAAGCTCTTTGGAAAAAGGGATCGCCTAGCGATCGAAGATCCCAATAACCCTGCGAACGATATCTCTGGCGGAACGAGGGAGGTCTTCCTCATCTTCCAGTCATTCTCTAATGCTTCCCGACAATTGGATGATCAAATGAATGCGCTCACCAAAGCCAATGACGACAAGACGAGCATTCTGAAGGTCATCCTCGGGGCCAACTTCGATGAATACGTCGAGCAACGAGAGCAGCTCTACCGAGTCTACATGTCGGCTCCCCAGTTTGCGAAATACCGGCCCCCTCCTCCACCTCCCCCCGAATCTCCACCGCCCCCGCCCCCCCCTGCTCCTCTGTAGGTTCCTCTTCGTGCTACGCCAAAAGGAGGGAGGGTCCTTGATCACCAGTCAATTTCGAATTCCTCATTTTCTATGTTTTACGCGATACCCCAAGTTTTGTTTCCCAGGAGTCAATGGTTGCGATGGGGGGGTTATGGGTGGGTATGACAATCCAGATTTCTAGTTACTATCTCTTTGAATTCCAGTGTTCTTATTCGATATCGCCCCAATCACAATTGGACAAAGAGTCGCTGGCAGCCCCGAGCTGGAACTGACACTTTAGGTATTCGTCCTGATCGTGGTCTCGATTTGGTGGCTGTTTCCCTTCGCTCCTGCCCATTCCACGAGAGTCCTTCCTCGAAAGACCCCCGTTTCCAAACACTTTCATCTCCTACCCAGCTCGCCTTATCTACCGCATCGGGACAAATACCGCTCTTTGTTCCACGGTAATCCAATCCTATCCTAGTACACCATTGAATCACAGCAGCCATGTGATGTAAGTGGGCATCACTGAGCTTTATGCTGTTGCTAGATCCTCCCACATCCTCCCCCCCATCTTTCTCATCAAGGAAGGGCTATAAGCGATTCCTTGGAGAGGACAAAAGAGGGCAGGAGGAGATGAAGATGGTCGGGCGTCGGCATCCAGCAGATACACCTTGTCGAATAGGTTGCAGTAATAAAAAAAAAATTTGGGATCTTGGACACGAGGGGACTATTAACTTCAAGTCCTGAGAGTGGACTGGAATCGGCCCCAGCCTAACGCCAATCATGCTGACCTCGGGATATTCCGAATTTTATCCAGTTCTGATGTCTCAACTGTCCTTCCTGCTCCGCTGGCGGGAGCTCTCCCATGATAGAAGATGCCTTCTATCTATCACTGCCACCATTTGTATCATAACCGGTTTCATCCAAAAAAAGACAAGATACCTAATTCATCCATGGATAGCAATGAAGCACCTCGTGTCTCGTTGTATGCTACTAGTACCCTTTGGACTAGGTGAACTTGGTCATAAGTCATGTCAATCCCGAAGTACTGGATTGAGGAAATCAAGTGGTATTGTGCGTGCATAAATACTTATACAATCCTCCTATTTATACCCATGAGGAGTCTATTTACACCCATTAAACGGCCCAAACAACAGTTTCGGTCTTATGCAAGCTGCTTCTCTGCATCGAGCGGCGGTGTTAGGATCCCTTCTTCTTCACACCCAGTGCGTGCCTCAAGGGTAGTACTGGGTTGAATGCCGAGTTCGTTCAAAGTCGACAAGTGTTCGCTGGTGATTTCATTCTGGAAGCCCACCGGTGGGCTTGCCCAGGCATAATCCATCCATTCCTCGCCAAGAACGTCTCGGATCTCCTTGGCCAACTGCAAAATATGAATGCGGCGCTCTGAGGACCACGCCCGGTCCGTGATCAGACCCTTGGAAGGAGTCAGAATGTTAGAGGCATGAGGTGCAGACGAAGGCACCGCACAAGCTGAGATTTCGGCAGGCGTGGAGGGCCCAACGGCCTGAAGCGTGCTCTCGGTGTCCGAGCCATCTTCGTCCTCATTCCAGTTCTCCAAGCCATCGAGAATACTATGCCACACGCGCAATGTCTCATCCAACTCTTCAATATTACTGACACCCATCACGCTCACTCCCAGTCTCTTTCCCGTACCAAGATTGGCCACCGAAAGAAAACCAGGGTCCGCATTCGCCGTCCTCGCCAACGGCGTACCCAGCGCTCCAGCCTTCGCTCCAGCCTTAAGCCATGACTCTAGCGCAAACCGAATGGCAACAACTTCCAGCTTCTCGCCACGCTCCGTCGCAAGGTCCGCAGCCCGCTGGATCACCCGCCGCAGCGCATCCGGCGCAGGATGGAAATCCCCCATCGCACCCACCGGCACACCCTCCCTGCGTAACAGCCCCATCCCCAACGGCGATGCATTTGGCACAACGTCAACGCCCGCCTTAACCAGCCGCGACAGCGCCCGGCTCCGCAGCCGCGTATTCTGGAGCGTGAAATTCGCATACGACATCACGATATCCAGCGGCTCCCCCGTCTCCCGCAGCACCAGTTCCGCAAGCTCGCTCAGCACATCCACCGGATATCCTGAGATGCCCACGTAGCGCAGCAGCCCCTCCTCATCGCGCAGGCGGCGCAGCTCGCGCACCGCACCCAGGACTTCGGCGGGGGTCACGAACTCCACGTCATGACAGTAGACGACGTCGAGGTAGTCCGTGCGCAGGCGCTGCAGGGAGCGGCGCACGCTGTGGCTTACCCAGGCGGGGCTGTAGTCGAATGTTGAGGAGGCGATGCGACCGACTTTGGTGAGGAGGTGGTAGGAGGAGCGAGGGAAGGAAGACTGCACAAATGGGGTTGCGAGGGCGTGGCCGAGAAGGGTTTCTGCCGGGCCGTAGTAGGGAGATGTGTCAAAGGCTCGGATACCGCGGGTGAGAGCGCGCTGGACTAGTTCTGTCGTTGGGAGGGCGTAGGGATCGGCGTTGTACTGTGAGTTGAAGGTTGCCGTGCCCATAATCAGCGGTGGGAGGGTCGCAGAGAGTGGGGCCTGGGAAGGAGGCATGGTGGTGGTAGATTGTGATCAATTGGAAGAGAAATGAAAAGAAGGGAATAGGGGAGAGGGCCAAGCGAGAGGAGACGGCTCCTGCTGGAAATCCATCGGGGTTTTCTCGATCTGGTTCCTGCATCGCCTTGAGAAATTTCCCCCGGGTTCCCCATCGGGGCTATGGCGCAATAGTGGGGGTGGGATCAGATCGCCCGATCTGAGCAGCCAGTAGGCTCTCGATTGTGCATAGCTGACCCTCCATAATTATGGCGTATAGTGACTTCTGTGTTCCTAGGGTTTCTTCGTTCGGTTCTGAAGGGAAGATTATGGGTGTTCCTGGTCGGCGGTGGCAAAAAAGGACCGGGGAAAAAAAGCAAACATGGTACTTTGAGGAAGGCCTGAGGCCCGTTGAGGCTACAAGAAGATTTAGAATCGAAGGTATTAGAGGTCAGTCCGCATGGTTTCTTCAAGTATTGTACATGATATTTTTTTCATACAGATTAGAGTGGAGAAGAAAGGTGTGGTACCGTAAGACGAGGTGATGTTATACACAAAAGGGACTCGAGGCCGAGATCGGACGACTCTTCTCGCCGCAAGAACCAACCCACGATGGGCAGATCACAAAACCAAAATGCCCATGTCTATAAAGAGATAGGAGAAACAGTCGACATCTCTCCCATATAAACCAAACGCCATGCTATGCCAGTATAAAGTTGAGAGGCATCCGAGGATCTCCGGGGTTGAAGACGAGGGGCGCCGAAGCCCAGGATCCATTGCAAGGATGCGCGCATGTGTAATCGGAAGAAGCCAAAGCAGAAAGTTCGACGATTAGAGGCGCACATTTCCTTCACCGGTCCTTGTAAACCTTGGGGTTCCAGCCTTCGCGAACCTCCTTCTCCTGGGCCATTTTGCGCTCCGCCTCGCGAATCTCCATTTCTATCCGCTCGCGTGCCCGGAGGATTTTGCTCTGAAGATAAAAGCTTCCGCCCTTCTGGGGGTCGTTCAGATCGAATAGCTTCTTGAAGCGTTCCATGGTGTGCTCGAGGCTGGCTTCTCCGGCGACGGGAGGCTTGACATTGAGAATCTTGCAGGCCTCATCGAGGGTCAGACCTGACGAGGTAAAGCCACCACGGCCCTTGGCTCCAGCTTGCTTTCCAGTAGCCTGGGCCTGCTTGTAGGCTTCCGCAAAGGCGCGACCGAAGACTCGGGCTCCGGTAATGATCACTTGGGTGACGATGCGATGAGCCTGTGGTGAGAGAAACGAATTAGTCGTGGCCCAGCAAAATTTTGTCCCCGTCGATTATTTCGATCGGAAGGCGAATGGATATGATGCGGAAGGACTTACCATGTCGAGGGCTTGGGTGACCTGGGGCGATGATCACAAGGAGGTGAAGTGAGGAAGAAGGGAAAATTTCGGCAGCGCGCTTTAGCGCCGGTCGGGCTTGGATCTATACGCCGGAAACGCGGCAGCATCTACTTATGAACCTATACGCTATCTTCGAGATCTTATACTCAATGAATAGTTTTTTATCTACCTATCTACCAAGAATAGTCTCTCATCCACCCTGCGTCCCCTTGGTTAAAGAAGAGCGCAGGGTCGCGTGCGCAGGAACGTTCAACGCCGAATCAAAACGGAAGTAAAGAGCCGGACAGCATCCACAGTCACATGTACGCAAACCCCCCGCAGACCATCGTTGAACCGAAGACGTAACCGCCCAACCAAGGATCGCTTTATAAACATGGACGCCTGCTCCAGGGCTGTTTCGGTTGGCTGAGGAACCTCACCTGATGACGGCTTCTTGATTGGATGGCAGCTCTTGGTAGGTTTGAGTTCCATGTGAGCTACTAGCTCGTTACGAGTAGCGGGTAGCTACTTGCTCCCTGTAAACGTTCCTGCCTAACACTAACGCCGTGCTCATGCGACAGAGGACATCATCCCGTGGGTACCCTCCATGGCCAGCCCAAATGCTACTCAGGATGGCTATCCTGAGTCCCAACCACCGACTGTCGCCGCCTTTTCTCCCTCTACTATCTCCGGCGCTGCCCTCACCTCGCGGCAACGCTCAAGCGTCATCGTGCATCGCAAATCCCCTCTACTGGTGGCTACGCCGCCGCCCATCACCAGGGCACTCGCCTACTCACATCCGTTCCTATTACCGTTGAACTCGCTGGTGGGTTTGTTGACATGGACAACGGGGGATGCCTGGCAGAGCTTTTTGCTCGTGGCCACCTTTTGGGTGGTCGTGTTGTACAGTGATATCATTATCCTCTACACGGGCCCCATAATGGTTGTGATAGGATTAATATTGGGAATGTATGGGCGGCGATATTCACCTTTATCGTCCTCTGCTTCGACGGGGAGTAAGCATCTGCGAAAGGCATCTGCAGACTCTGCTCGTCAACAGAAAAGCCTCGACGACATCGTCGATACCCTTCGAACCTTCACAACTCGGTGCAACATGCTCCTCGGCCCATTAATCGAGTTGACCGATTTTCTTTCCACACAGCGAACAGCAACATCAGCGACTACCCGCCCTGCTCTAACAGCTTTGTTTCTTCGTATCATCCTCATCACCCCGGTCTGGATTATTATGACCCTGCCTCCCTTCTACCTGATCACTACCCGACGAATTATCATGATCGCGGGAACTATTATCCTCACATACCATTCTCGACCTGCGCGTGTTTCACGCGTGATATTATGGCGCTCTCGCGCTGTCCGCCGTCTTGTTTCGATGGTGACCGGCCTGTCGGTCTCAGAAGGCCCGAATAGCTCTCAGAAGGCCCAGGCACAAGGCGTGGGATTGAACATTGCAACCAAACGCCGCGGAGACGACGGAGTGCGGTTTACTTTCGTTGTTTACGAGAATCAACGGCGCTGGCTGGGTATCGGCTGGACATACTCTCTGTTCCCCTCCGAACGAAGTGCCTGGACTGATGAGCACTTGGACCCCGTCCCCTCGAAAGATTCCTTCGAATTGCCCGATGTACGAACTGGGGATGCGAAATGGCGGTGGGTCGAAGGATCCGAATGGCGTGTTGAAGGGGCTGAGACCGCAGCTGGCGGCAAGTCTCCTTCCGAGGGGTGGATCTACTATGATAACAAGGTGCTTTCCGAACAGGACACTAATTTTCTTAGGTGCGCATATTGCTGACTTTGCTTTAGTGGAATGATGGTCGCCGTGGTCAAGATGGTTGGGATCGATACACACGCCGCCGCAAATGGTTCCGTGATGCGGAGTTAGTCGAAGTAGACGGCACGAGCACTTCAAAAGAGACGGTATCCAACCTCACCCAAGCCCTCGAACCCGAGAAAAAAAACCCTTGACAAAGTACCCACTAGCCTCTCTCTCTCAATCAGTTCCACTGAAAGCCCGCCGACGACGTTGGTTCAGCACAAATAAGGAGAAAGATCCTTTCGGCAGCGACGGATCTTCTCCCGACGCCGGCCGCTCTACTGGTGCTAATGCTACCGATGGGGCAGAAGATGTCCGGACTCCATCGCGCCCCATCAGTTCCCGCAAGGCCTCGTCACATGGTCGGGAAGGTAGTGATAGCTCTAGCTTTCGCGAGAAGGAAATGGCTGCTACTCAAGACCATCTTGATAAGTGGGGGACTCGAGCGATGGGGGGTACGGAAAGGGCAGAGCGTGAATTCGGGCTGAGTGATGAGGTGAATATGGGGCTCAGCTAATTGAATTCTTACCACGCGACTGTCAAAACCTCTGTTTCATGTTCATTTTCTCTTTACTATCCTTGCATTAAGTTGCATGTGGCCTGGTTTGATTTATTAATTTGGGGCGGGGGGCGTCGAGGTTTTTTTGCTGGAACAACTAGGTACTGGAGTTCTCAAATACCCAGCGACTGGAAATGCAGCCGCTAATGAGAATCCGTTATACGTCTTTGATCAACCCCGTATTCACGTATTTTGAGGACTTTTCTCCCTAGAACATAAAGTACAAAGTATTTTTGACAGTCATAGCTCGTTAAAAATCACGCAAGGATCAAGTCCCACTGCAGCTCATCTAGAATATCCAACCAATGAACCGGGGAGCCGACTTCATGCTGGGCCGAGGCATCTTGCCTCGCCCATAGAATACCCAGTAACTCCTTCGCACGCCGAACATTTCCGATTCCAAAATTAACCTGAAGCTTCCCCAGGCACCGCAGCACAAGGTCTCGGTGTCCAATTGTCTCGTTCTCGCAACCAGAGATGAAGAGAGGGAATGTAAGTGCCGAGTACTCGCAGTGGTCGTCGAGAGGGAATGTCTCAACCCGTGCAAGACAGCGTTGCACGGCCATTGATTTAGGGATTGAGACCAAGGAGCTCCAGTCAGTCATCTGTAGGCTTGAGGCCTGACCTAGAACCTTGATTGCTAACCATTCCAGGACAGAATGTAGGTAGATGAATGCTGCGTCACGGAAGCATTCGGCGACAAGCTGGAGGCGGGTTAGTGATGCGGGCGTCAAACTCTGTGGGATAATGTAAGACGTTGAGTCGTGAGACCACGCGAGGAGAGCGCCATTGCTGAGAGGCATTAGTATGGATACGACTGGTGTGCCTTGTGATGCATATTAATACGTAGTCATCAGGTGAGACATACATAGATGCTATTGCCAGCCGAAGAGCAATATCGTCGCCTTTTAAAGAGGGTAGATCTGCGATGGCGCCGCATAGTTTCAGAATCTCTTCTGTATATCCGATGTAGATGTCCAGTCGGGGAGCACCAAGATCGGTATCCGTGGGGTTCGGCTCTGCAGCCGTGATGCGCTTGCGGTTACTGAGCCGAGCCATATTGTATGCATAGAGGTAACTGATAAAAAATTAGGATGGACGAGAAGGGAAATGTAAAGGCTATGAATATAACGTACAGGCCCCGAAGGAATTGGCCTGCATCTGGGTCCATAGTGCGCAGCCCGCCGCGCGAAGCTATCATGCGCTGCAGAGCACTTAGGTGCACTCCCCATTGCTTGACGCTACCACGTACAATTTCGTATTTGCACATCAGCCCAACTGCAAGCATAGCATCATCAGTTAAGCTCCCTTGTGTGCTGTCATTAAGTGCCGCGCGGAGCCCGGCAAGGGTTCGGCCATAGAAGTTTGCCGATGCGGTCAGGGCGCTGAAAGTTTGGGACCGATTCGCAAGATGAAGAGCTGATACCGCGCATATAGCTTTCATTAAGAGTGGCGAGGACATCGCTCGAGGTATGAGCAACGATCGAAGTGGATTGTCGTCGCTTTCAAGGTTGGCGAGGAGCTTGGAGCCCTCTTCCACATGGTATTGCAGATAGTGTAATTCATGATCTGATAAGTGGGGGACGTAGTTTCGAGGGCGCTGAATCACTGCTAATGAGATTTCTTCATTCGAATCTTCTTCAGGGGCATCGCTCTTGGGGGTCTGAACGCGGGGGGGAATTTTGTTCTATTAATTGGTAGGGAGGCGTAGAATTGACCGAACCGCTTGGACATATAGAGATAGGCGACCCTTGTGACCCCTGGGTATCTTGCCATACATCTGGATGCGGTGATAGCGATGGAGATAGTAAACCGGTGTGAGGGGAGAGGCCTGACCGCCGCTTTGACAACTCGGCGGGTGTGAAGATATGAGCCGACGGGCCAAGAGGTTCAACCCATAGAGAACCGTATCCCTCACAGGTTCGACCTTGCTTGGTGCAATTACGACAGCTAATAAGAGTCAGCGACTAGTGCTAAGGTGAACTGATTAGGAGTAATACCTCGGCTTGGCCTTATCGCAGGCTTTGCGGCGCCTTTTACAGGTTAGGCAACCAGATCGAGTCCATGCCGTGCCTGTTTGTCGAGCTCTTTTCTTGGTTTGGGTAGTTTTTCTGACAGGCTCAGACCCGGGCCATCCTGTATCAGTGAAGGTAGTCATATCTGAATGTGAACTATATCCGAGAAAAGAGTGATCGAAGTGATCTTCCCCGCGATTTGATAGCAAATCTAGAGACGCTATACCCGATAGGGGCAATCTTGCGCTGCACGTGATCCTTATCGCGATATGGGGTTTTCGTGTTTAATTCCGACGTTTAGAGCATGAAATAGAGAGTTCCCTAGATGGACCTAGATCAGTAGTCAAAATATGCTAACAAGCCCTGTGAAGACCTGAGTTCAGCCTCTCGCCATGCTGTCTCGTATATCCCAGCGATCGACAGGCCAAGCGGCAAATGCCCAGGGCATCGTCCGTGGCTTGACCGAATCGGGAAGGTCCACCCAGATACTTGCAGCTGCTGATAAGATCTCAAACATTTAAGTCCGCACAATTTCCCCAGCTCCCCCGCGTCTGGAATCCCAATTCATAATACCTGGATCGCTTCGCAACTATGGTGGTCTCCCCGCCTCACCCCTTCGACCCCATCACGCCCACTGAAATCCAGCTCGCCGTGCGCATCTTAGAGGCAACCTTCCCCGGAGTCTCTCTGCGATACAAGAGAATCGATGTCAATGAACCAATCAAGAAAGATGTCGTGCCATACATCGAAGCAGAAAGGCTGCGAAGGCCGCTCCCCGCCCCTCCAGCTCGTCTTCTATATACCCTCTTCCACCGTCTAGACACCGGCGCATTCTATAAGGCCATCCTGAACGCTGATAGTCGTACAATTGTCTATGCGAAGGAGCTCCCACGTGAAGTCCAGGTATGTCAAGAGAAAAACCCGCACCTGCCAATGCATTTTAGATCGCTGCTTGGTTATATGTGACTGACATGTCATGTTATTCGCAGGGACCTATTGATGTTGATGAAATTACGGAGATCGAGGAGATGTGCATGAAGCATCCTGCCGTGCTCGCAGAGATTGAAAAAATGCAATTGCCCCCGGGTGTCACTGTCTGCAATGACCCATGGATGTATGGCACGGACAGCGAAACCGAAACTCGAAGGCTTTTCCAGTGCTTCATGTATTTGGTTGAAGTTGACCACCCCCAGAACAACCATTACTCGCTGCCCTGCAAGTTTTCCCCAGTGTTCGATGGTCTCACGCACGAGCTCATCCGGATGGATTATCTCCCGGGTGGGGCGGATCACGCAAATACAGAAACACAACCTTGGAAGCCCGTGAAGACGATTCAGTACGCTCATGACATCCTTGATGAGCCCCTTCGGACCGACCTGAAGCCCTATATTGTCCAGCAACCAGAAGGCCCGTCCTTTACTTCAGATGGAAACTCAGTTTACTGGCAGAAATGGCGCTTCCGGGTTGGTTTCAATATTCGCGAGGGCCTGGTCCTTTATAACATCCTTTACGACAACCGTAACGTTTTCTACCGCCTATCTATTTCTGAGATGACGGTCCCCTATGGAGGTTGGTCTAGCTTTGTCTTCTCATGGATAGTATTTCTTTACTAACATATTCTCAGATCCTCGAGCCCCGTACCACCGAAAGCAAGCCTTTGATGTTGGTGATGCCGGCTTCGGTATGAATGCGAACCAGCTGTCTCTTGGATGTGATTGCTTGGGGCATATTAAGTACTTCGATGGCTATCGGAATGATTCCAAGGGGAACCCCGTCCAGCTGAAGAATGTGATTTGCATGCACGAACAGGATAATGGTTTGCAGCACAAGCATACCAACTATCGATCTGGCGCTGCTACCGTTGTGCGAAACCGCCAACTAGTCCTACAGATGATATGCACCGTGGCAAACTATGAGTATATCTTTGCTTATATTTTCGACCAGGCCGGCGGCATCGAGCTCGAAATCCGTGCGACGGGGATCCTCTCAACAGTTCCCTTTGATAATGAGAATGGCAAAACTGTTCCATGGGGTACTAACGTGGGCCCCGGAGTCATGGCGCCCTTCCATCAGCACATGTTCTCATTCCGAATCGATCCAGCAATCGATGGTTTCAAGAACACTGTGTACTATGAAGACAGTGTGCCTATGCCAGAAGATGAGAACAATCCCTGGCTCGTTGGCTACACTACCGAGTCTAACGTCATGAAGACATCTGGCTCGGCCAATACCAGCATTGATCGCCATCGTGTCTTCAAGATCCGCAACGATAATATCAATAACCCGATTACATATAAGCCGGTTTCCTACAAACTCCAGGCCGCGCCAAGCCAAATGTTACTGGTCAGCAAGAATGCGCTTGGTTATCGCAGAGCTGAATTCGCGACCAAGCCTATCTGGGTCACTAAATATCAGGATGACGAGCTTTACGCAGCTGGAGAATTCACCAACCAAAGCCGGCGGGCTGAAGGTGTAGAAACCTGGGTACGGCGAAAGGACAATGTCGAAAACGAAGATGTTGTCTTATGGCATAGTAAGTATCCCTCAAGACATCTTTTCTACTGCCATTTACTGACAGCTCTAGTACAGCTTTTGGCCTTACCCACAATCCTCGTATTGAAGATTTCCCAATCATGCCTATGGAGCGCGTTAGTGTGATGTTGAAGCCCGACGGCTTCTTCACCAAGAACCCTGCTTTAGATGTCCCGCAGTCGGCCCAGGCCTTTAACAAATCCACACTTCACGCCGAGGCGACTAGTTGCTGCGGACACACCGGCGGTGCAAGCGTCAGCAAGGCCAAACTATACAAAAGGTTGGACTAAGGGGCTTTTCGAGCATTTTATATACCCTTTTCGCTTTGGACCAACTGCACAACATGTAGAGCATGTGGAATGACTTGATGATTGGTACTTTATACCATTTTGATTCTACGTCTTCGAACTTGAATGCACCTCGATTTGTTTCACGCAATTTGAAAATATGTGCCCTTAATGGATATCTGAACCAATAGTATTGGAAAGGAAGTCCGTGAGCATTCGCGTGAGCCTCTTCCCTTAGACCTGGAACAGACCAGATGCATTTCTCAGTAGAATACTAGCTCGGACTAGTTTGGCAGTGACCTTGAAGGGAACAGGCCATTCGGATTTGCCTACGAGGATCGGGAGTTTTTAGCCTGCACAGCTACACTCCGTTCTTGAATGAATATCCGTGTATGGGTTGCTCCCTTTGGATATCTGGGTCTGATCCTGGGGAACTCTTGGTTCTCACGGCGGGCTGTTTTTGTTCTCGCACGATCAAATTGCTGACGAACTGCTGTGGCTAAAACGATCCTTACATCGTAGGGCTACAAAATTTCAGATGTCGTAAATCAGGGCATCTCAGCCCCCTGTACAACTGACCACGTTTTGAAACGGAACAAGATAACTCTTTGGCCCGCCAGCAATTTACGGTTCTTTGGCATCCAGTGTGTACAACCAAGATGGACCCGCGGACAGACAACATAGAGGAAGTATTATCGATACGTAATGCCGAGGCCGTGGCTTCGAGGATTCGCAGACTGCTGGTTTTAGTGTTGTATCTGTGATGCCCGATCATCACCCGAAATCGGTGACTTTGCTGATCGGTGCTTGGGCTTCTCAGCGGACTAGTTCAGAGCTTACATTACTTGGACAATCTACCATAAGCACATGGTTCTGCAGAAGTGCCAAGCATCGCTTATATAGGTGGCTTTAGTGGGGGTGTTGTTTATGTTCAAACCAGGCTCGGAGATGAAGCTGGATCAGGCGTCGAGCATTAGTTAGCGGGCGCCATGCATGAAGCTATGTGACCCTTGGACCCTTATTGACTAATTTGGTCTCCGTAAGATAAGCTTTGATTTCTCAGATGTTACCTCTGCTTTCTATGATTTCACTTTGACAAGCGACAGTGAACCGAACTCCAGTTAATCGATTGGAACTATTGATAGCGCACGCGAGAACGGCCAAGAGACTGCAGTCCTCACCTAAATCGGATATCAGTTGGTCAGACCCTTAAGATACAAGATACAAGATATATACGATTGAAAGTAAGCTCAGATAGAAATAGGTCCTTAAATGTCAAACATAGCCCAACGCTTCCGGATTTCGAGAGGCTTTGCAAATGGGCCAAAATACCCGACGATCCCTGACCATCCGAGCTCCCAATGCACGTCGGAAACACTCCGCAGCATATGAAGTCCATCATACCTTGTGGCGTCAACCCCTTGACCAGAGATTCAGGGATCATTGAGTCTTAGAGGTCATTGACGCCCCCTGGTCTCTAGAATCAAGGCCCAAAGCTTGGCCCAATTGACCTTCAAATTCACCCAGTGAGCCTAGGAGACTTGACCAATTTAAGTTGATTTCAGAAAAGGTTTAATTTGAGCTGTACTTTATTTGCTCAGTATAAAACAACTATTAGACCATGTGGAACAGAATTTTTGCTCACCAAATGATTTACCGTGGAAATCTATGCCAGTATCCACAATCTGGGTATGTGAACTTCTTTCCTTCACGTCAGCCCTGGCTTGTGGCTTGCAGGAGTTTTCGGGGCTGTAAGCTATTAGTACTACTTGACATTTACTATGCCGGCGGTCCTGATTTCCTATTGGTACGTTATTACTACTAACTTGGATTATTGACCCGCATGTGCAAGAGAGAACAGGGTTACAGAACTTTCATGGATGACTGTCTGCAGTGAGCTACTCGGGACAAGGGAGGCCCTAAATGCTCCATTTCACGAGGGAGTATGCGCTCCTCTCGTCGCAGAATGGTCGGCTCGGTAAAATTCCCCTTTGCCTCTTTGCCTGGAGAAAGGCTCGGACTCGATCCTAGTATGATGCTCCTTGGCAAGGAAAGATGTCGGATGAAATGGAGAAGACAGTACTTTTCGTGAATTTCCGACCCACCCGCCTTGCCTCGACCAAAGATGCCCTGAGCGGGATGATGGAAAGACTATAAATAAGGGCTCTGGGTCTCTGTAAAGCCCTCGTCCTCCATCATACTTCAGATACTCGCGAAACTTAACGCCCATCAACAACTCCCAAAATGAAGATCCAGTTCCTGCTGAGTGCCTTCACCATTGCGCGCACGGCAACGGCATTTTATGGCCAAATGGCTGCTTCCGACTACATTCTGAATGAGGGCGGTGTCTCCCAGGACATTTACTTGACTGATTACAACACCGGATCTACCTACATGGCAATTCTCTATGGAGGCTTTAATGCTTGCACTTCTACCGAGTGCTCCGTTGGGTAAGCAGACTACGACTACCCTGAATTTAACCAAAGGAGCTAAGTTGTTGGTCCAATGTAGCTTCGTGGAGACAAGTCCTGGTGGATATAACTTCGGAGCAAAGCTCTGGCGTACGAGTGACGGATGCCACAATATTGATTTCGAGGGCGCTTTGAGCGCTGGCCACGGCTACTGCTGTGGCTCTCTTCCTTGTGACTTCAGCGCGTAGCTGCTATAGTCACACCGCGGCCACATCTGCCCTCTCGAAGAGCCCAGTATCAGTTTACCTCGTTTATTGAATCTTGCGTTGGACGGCCCGGGTGCAATTGTGGATTCCAGTGTTTGGCGATCATGAGGTATAGCACCTAGCTGTTCTCGCGCATTCGGTTTGCTGTCCCTGTAGTGCCTGATTTCTCCAAGCTCGCGATATGTTAAGCACGTTTATACCAAATCTCATAAAGTCATGCTTCTCATTTTCTTCAGCCTTCGCATACCCAGCCTGGACATGACAAAAGTTGCGACCACACAGCCAGATGCTAGTAAAGCGAATGCCATCGAGCTTTCTTCCATGTAGTTGACCACATTCATGCCCAGAAGACCGGCGATAAATGTGGACACGGCAAATCCGAGCATCCAAATTTCCAACTGGGCCTCAAAGACCATGATCTGATTTCGGCGCACATCTAGGGTTGACTTGATTGCTCCTGCTGTGCGTCTCACTTCGCCAGCTAAAGCGTTGGCGGACTCTGCGATCGCATCCGCATTTTTATAATATGCCTCCAATAAGTATTCAACTTCTTGGTGGTCTTGTATAGCATGAGGCTTTCCTGCCAGGTTGTCTGACAGATACATAGTGGCCATATCGTCATCATTACTAAGGAGTTCTTGCATCGCCGATCGCACGCCACGCGCTCGTTGCTCGATGGCGACTAATGTATTCCCATTCTCCAGCAATGCTCGGAGCGCAGTGAAAACAAAGTCTTCGTTTCTTGATTCGCGGAGGTTCTTCTTGACATCCTCCTTGAGAATCAGGTGCTCCGCTTCCAGAACGGCTGTAACAGATGCTAAAGCCGCGTCGACAACACGCAGTTCATACGGAAGGCTTGTGGGCCCCGAAACAGGCGCCGATGAAATGCGATTCTGGAGATCGTGCTCAAAAATATCTTGGAGTTTCACTCCTCCGTTTTCAGAGTCAAGTAAGAAGAGAACCACTTGATCGGGCTGGATAATTAGCCGCAGGGTGAAGATACTCATAAAGATCGCCGAGGGTCGCACGAGGATATGCGGAATCCCTTCGGAGACAAGGTCAAGATTGCGCAGGTCTCGCGCGTTCAGTCCAAATCGACTCGCCACGTCGGCTTTGGTAAGTCGAGTTTCCGCGGACTGGACGGAGCCGTCGGCCTTGAAGATCGCGCAGCGTAGCTCGGTCGCTTCATTCATGCGACTGCGGGCAAGCGCAATGGATTGCCTGAAAACTTCCTGCTTAAAAGCATTCTGGGATTCGATGTCCACGGATGGGAGGTCGGAAGTGCCATGTTTCTGGTGATTTATGACGGTAGTATTATGTCTGACCAACATGGGAGTAATTCCGTGGCTTATGCCAGGGCGTCGGCATCGAAATTGCGACGCCAAGAATGGCGATTGAGTCACATGGCTTGTTTTTTGCATAGAAGAGCAGAATCTCGCGATGAAACGCTCTCGCATCGCTAATGTATGTGCCATTCTCACGGCGTTGGTCTCCTATGCGCGTCAACCGGGGGGAACGGAAAGAAGGAGCCGAGCTAGCACTATGGATGCACGTGATATCCAGTGCGATCTATACTCCAGGACATCTCCTGTAGGGCATCTATTTTCGTCAATTATCCGATGAACTACTGAGACTAGTTATACATCTTCCTCGAAACTTCTACGTTCCCTGGGCATAGTCAATTGTTAGTTAGCCAGGGTACGGGCTATGATGTCATGCATTGCGCTCAGGTTTTATTCTCCATATTGTAGACCCGAGGTTGCGATCTCATGGGGCATAAGACTCAATTTTAGATAGAATATTTGAATGGCCTCTCACATAAGATCCTCTCCATTTAGTCCAAATAGCTCCAACGCGGATGGTTGTCCATTATCCCAGGTCCCGAAAAGCGCTGACATATCTTGGGCCTCTGGATAGGTAAGATAATCCATCATATCAAGGCCTAATTGATCTTGCGACGGGTTCGGACGATCAGCCTTAGCCCTTCGACAGTCATCCGGCAGCTGTAGGGTGTCTTCCTGTTTGTTGTATTCACCGACACAAGATTTCTGGGCTTCCACCAAGCCGCGCGCCACTCTGGCAAAGTTGGCACCAATACCGTATAGACGATCCGATGCTCGCGATACGGTCCGAGCGCAATGAAAAGTAGCAACTACGTCATCAAGAAGTTTGACATCTTCCATGCTTGTTGCGGCGATAGCATGAAGGAATATCACGATAAATGGAGTGAACGAAGCGTAGAGGAGAATCCTACCAAACACAATTTAGCTGATGTATTTCAAGTCACGCCCTGGTAGACGACCTACCAATTAGCATACTCTGCGAGGGTATACAAGGATTCTTCATTCGAAAAGCTGGGGAAAGCTTTTAGATGCGTCTGAAGGCTCAAGCGAGCAGCTTCGAAGCATTGCGAGCCAATCTCGCTTCCTTTGCTCAAAGATGAAGGAGCTCGTAGCAGATTTGCGAGAGTTGAATAATGCAAAATATCTCGAGTCTGTTTACTAAGAGCAAAAAAATCAGGGTATTCAACTTTTGACGAGTCGATCTGTACATCGGCAGTAAGCTACCATTGCCGTTCTTTTCTTCCATCTGTAGGATTATAGGATCTCCACTTACTTCTTCACTGCGCTTCTGGCATTCCTCCATGGCAACCGTCAACTCCTTCACGGCCCTCGTCCGTTCTGCTTCTGATGCTTTCAAAGCCGAAGCGGAGTATAGCCTATTGTAAATCTGACCTTCAACTTTGGCAAGTTTGATCATATAATCGAATGACTCATCCCAGGCCCGAAGTGCAGGGTTTGAAGATACGGCCGGTATCTTTACGTCAGTATCAAAATCCTGTATATAGGAAGCACGTCCTAAAAGGAGTGACATGGTCTTGTCGAAGACATAAAGGGTCCAAAATAACCGACGCTTGTTTTCTGAGTTGGCATCGTTCTCTTTTTTGTACGTTGATTCGCGATGATAGCCTAGCATCTGACAATGCCGGGCGGCGTTTGATACTAGATGACAGGAGACCAAGGGCTTCGCTTCGTCTCGGGCTTTAATGAGCTTGAATAGGAGTTAGCATAAGCTTCGGCAATAGATGGAGCCAGGTACGAGAAGCCACCCACACCCATGGTCAAGGCGATGATATTCTCAAAGCTGGGAATATTTAGAACGTCGTAGTTCTCTATCGCTGCTTCAAAGTTTTGTTTGCATTTGTCCATATAGGTTTTGAGGTCATATCTCTTGGATAGGTCGTCCTTCCACATTACAGACTCTTTCATGAGGAAAAATAAACACCCGTGCATTGCAGCCACAGTGCCAGAGGACACCGGCCGCATTGGGAAGTAAACTCTTTGGCAGAGTCGTTCGACAAGATGGATATCATTCACGGGATATAATGTAAGAAAGAGGGACTTGCGGTCTGGATCTTGGGTCCATGAGTTGAAAGGAGCTTGAGAACAAATGATCAACCACGACAACCTACCTTGATACCATCGAAGTATTGCCACCACTAATTCAGCTGGTAATGGGAGTTGCATCGGTGCAGACTGGTGAGATAAATCCTCGCCGGAGCGGTGATTCTGCGACGCAGGTTGCAAAAGACTCTTGAGTGAATGGATGGTTGCATGGATATTAGATAAATTTGCGTCTGGCCCTGAGTCATTTGAGTTGGCTAGAGTCTCAGCTGTCTCTCTTGCTTGTGCAGACTGCATCGAGAAAGATGAATCTCCTTCATAAAGAGTGACAGGCATGTTTGAAACGGGTACGACTCTAGGCGTATCTCTATTGTCTTCCACAACGGGGGGAGAGCCAGAGGAGCTACTCGGGCCATCTTTATCTTTAAGCTCCGTTAGCTGAGCTTCGATGGACCGAAGTCGATTCTCCAAAGCCAACATAGTCTGCTCCCTATATAAAGAAGTAAGCTTCCGATTTGGCGCCGAGTTCTCAGGCAATAAAATACAGCTGAGGTTTCTGCTCCTGCTTCAGCCGTTTCTCAGGGCCGGGATCAGCTTTTTGGCAAGCAATGCCCGATGATTGGCAATTTGAACATGGCATAGACCGGTCGCAGCGGATCTGGTTCGAGCTTATTAACATTAAAGTTCCATCCAGATTCACGGTCCAAACAAACGTGTCAAACCTTTCGTATCTTACATCCCTCGCACTGGAAGTAAAGCGTTAGTTTGCCACGTGCATACTTGGGAGATGACGGCCCTTGCGCAATGCGGATGGTATCAGGACATACTGCTCTTGGTAGGGCCGAAAGACGCTGCCGCTTGTTTTGAATCGTTTCCATGTGATCCGAGTCCGCCATGGTGTATCTGGTAGAGTCGAAAGAGGAGCGCACGATCCTGACGGACGATCGGGTCCACGGGCGCGCGGATTCCGCGCGCCCGAGCCAACTCTCACAAGCCCCCCCTTCATGTGGAACGCTTTGGACGAATCATAACCTGGATTGTGGATTAAAGAAAAGAGTATATAACTATGGAGACAGAAGCTTGTTTATCAAAACATATCGATGCGATCTCTCTCAAAGCCTTTCTAAACGGAAGGTTGCGGGCCACACTCTATGCTGGAAAGATCCTCAAAAGTAGCGATCAAGGAATCGGATAAGTCCTCTCCTGATCTGGATGCAAAGGCACCAGCCCATGAGGCTCAAGGCACCATCACAGATGACAAGTCATCACCGTCAACACAGGCAGCCGATATGCATTCTTCACAAGAGAAATTGACAAAAAAATATACTCCGACCGAGGAGAAGTTATCGATCTGGAAACTAGTGCCCATCACAGTGGCTCTCTGTGCGACTTTGTTCTGTATGTCCTTGGTGAGTCGTGCGTGGGCACCTCGTCTAACCCATCGACTAATTTTCTTCTCTAGGATCAAACTATATTGGCAACCGCAATCCCTAAGATCACCACCCAGTTCAGCTCTCTAGATGACGTTGCCTGGTATGGGAGCTCGTACCTTCTCGCCACGTGCGCTGTGCAGTTGATGTTTGGAAAGCTATACACCTTCTATCCCTCCAAATGGGTCTTCCTTTGCGCTCTTCTCATCTTTGAGGTTGGATCAGTGGTCTGTGGTGCAGCGCCCACTTCGGATGCTTTGATCGTCGGACGATGTGTTGCTGGTCTTGGGGCCGCTGGTCTTTTCTCGGGGGCTCTCATTATTGTCAATACCACGGTTCCTCTGCGAGTCCGTCCTATATACATTGGGTTGGTCTCTAGTATGCATGCAGTTGCAAGCGTGGCTGGTCCAATGTATGTTGTCAATTTCCATCTCACTCTGCGTTATCTGTAAGGTACTAATCCTTTGTTCTACAGCATGGGCGGCGCGTTTACTGACCATGTCACATGGCGTTGGTGCTTCTATATCAACCTCCCATTCGGTGGCCTGGCCGTAATTTGTGTCCTTCTTTTCCTGCCATCAAACACGGTGGCTTTGAGGGATCTCCCATGGAGAGAAAAAGTTAAACAGCTTGATCTGCCTGGGTTCGTTCTTCTGGCTCCATCGATTATCTGCTTGATCCTTGCATTGCAATGGGGTGGCACTTCTTATCCATGGAGAAGTGGTCGTATTATTGCCCTTTTTGTTGTATTTGGACTATTGTTCATCGGCTTCTGGGCGGTTCAGGTATGGCAGGAAGATCTCGCTACCATCCCCATTCGGATCATCAAGAACAGAAACGTCTGGGGCGGAATATTTTACGGAACGATGATCTCTGCCTCCTTGTTTGTGTTTACATTCTACGTATGTTTCTCAATTCCATTTACTCATATGTCATCGAACGACTAACAGACCTCAGATTCCTATCTGGTTCCAAGCTATCAAGGGCGATTCAGCTACCCAGTCCGGTATCGACAACCTGCCTATGTTGATTGGACTCGTGGTTTTTGCTATCATCGGAGGCGTCCTTGCTTCTACTACCGGATACTACACACCATTCCTTATTCTCTCTGCAATCATCACATCCGTCGGGGCCGGAATGCTCACCACTCTGGAGGTAGACTCAGGGATCGGTGTCTGGTTTGGCTATCAGGTCCTTCTTGTCGCTGGAGCAGGTATCGGTGCTCAGAACATGCTGCTTATTTCCTCCGTAGCTGTGGAGAAGGTTGATATGCCCATCACAACCTCGGTTTTGACCTTCACTCAGGTATTGTCTGCAGCAATCTTCCTTCCAATCGGTCAGAGCGTTTTCCAGAATCGACTTGTTGTCGAGTTGAGCTCAAGGATATCAGCCTCCGATGCAGCCATCGTTGTGAACGCTGGCGCAACTGGATTTCAAAAGAGTCTATCATCGAAGGTGCTCCCACTCGCTCTGGAGGGCTACAATAAAGCGATTACCGAGACCTTTTACGTTGGCGTTGCCTGCGGCGCCCTTTCCATCGTGGGCACTCTCGTTCTAGAATGGCTTTCTATCAAAGATGTGAAAAATGACCATGATAAGAAAGACGAAGAGAAGGGTATTGAAGACGGAAACACCAGGGCGGATGCCGAAGGCGACCGACCCCAACCCGCAGATGCCACGCAGACCTGATTTCTGGCACAAGTGACTCAAATTCTATTCCTGTTATGCAATATGATTACAGAGTCCCTAGAAAGCGTCCTTTCATTCAATAGCAGATCTCATTCTCTCTCATCAGTCAATCGAAAAATTCCTAGGGTTGATTGGTATAACCAGATGCCTATCGGCTACGTGTCTATCCTCTTTCTCTCCGAGCCTTGTGGGAGTCGTACATACTCGGTATAGCGGAGTGCCCTTGATTCGGAAATTTCCAATTCTACGCATACAAGTGAGACATGCATACGCCCGTGCGGTCGGACCGGGGTATGGACACTCAATTGAACGGGCCCAAGAAGATGCAGACTAATTTTTAGGGCCTGTTTAACTTGTCTACATGATTCATAAATGAAATATGTATTCTATAGAATATACCAAGTTACAATTCTATATAATAACACTAGGGAATCCTCATTCAGGCCACTCCGAAAGTAGATTATGCCATGCTATCCAGGGAGGAAGGTCTCCACTGGATGTTGCCCAAAACGCTTCTCCGGCGCAAAATATAAGGGACCACGACATGCAATGTTATAAACGCCAGACAGTAATAGAGCATTTCCCTCCAACAAGGTATAATGTTTGATGGAACTTTGTCAAGGAACTCAATAACAGGATTGATCTCTTTGTGATACCTGGCCTTGGGAGTTATCAAAAGCTCGGAATGACCCGTATCGGAGCCAGGTGGATTGTTATACGATAGCTCTCAAATATGGAGATATTATCAATGGGATTAACAGGAGCCAACGCAACTTCGCCGTTAGACGGGACGCTGTGTAATGAATCTTCCCAAAATCACCGTTGGTTGGATAGCATCTCGATTGCCCCGAAAAGAGTCGTGTTGGTGTGCTACGGAGTCGCTCTGGGTGAGCAGGAAGAAAAGCGCTTCCTTGGGGATGTATATGATCGACATGGGAGAAGATGCAGTTTATTTGAAAGTTTCATGTAGTAAATTTAAGAACGGGGTTCCATTCCCCGGACTCGTCACTATTCATAGTACGAGGGAGACCGTCACTCGCTTGAACTCGGCAATTTCGAGGTTCGTAAGCCCAGAGCACGGGATTTCCATGGCCCCGTGGATTTTTAAAGCTTTCAGCCCTAGAATATTAACTAAGTATTCAGGAAATGATCTTCCTGTCCAAAAGAGTTTGAAATCAGCATGCACAGCAGCCTGAGACAGGACTTAAAGAGGCTGGAACACCTATGAAGCTTTCGAGCCCCAATCTCTTATACCAGCCACAAAGCCAATGCATAATCAGGACCTCGAATCTTAGTCTATGCTTGGCACTTCAAAGAGCAGCAGACCACGTGTTGAGGTTTTGAACAGGTTCTCAATATCTGCAACACGGAAGAGGAGAGACTAGTCGCCATTGTTTAACTAGGCATCCTAGCATACTTGAAGAGATTGCCATATGTCGGTCTCAATGTCGCAGGAACACCATCACTCCAATTTTTCAATGCTGATACTACCTCCTGTAATTTTTTTCAAGCTTTCCCTCAAGCTCAGAACACTTCTCTTCAAGGGCGGAATTCTCTGACTCCAAATCGTCAATTCTACGACCAAGTTTGTGCAACACATCCAGGGAAAAGTCACCTCCCTGTAGGACAAGCATATCGAGATGCTCACTCAAGAGGGTAGATAACTCCAGCGCAACAAATTGCGACAACAGTTTTCTGGCGGGGATTTGGGCATCGCTAGGCGTTATGTGATAGACAAGCTGAATGGCCTCTGCTAGGGCAGGCGATAGGCCGATCTCCAGTTGTTGTAGAATGCAGAGAGTTTGTGCAAGGCGATGCAAAGCAAAATCTTCCAGGTCCGACATGAGGTACTTGTGGGCAAAAGAGAAGATCTTGGCATGAGCCAAAGCCTCAGTGGCAAGAAGTTGGCCATCCTCATCCCCCACCTCGGGTATCGCGCTCGAATTGAGATCGAACATGTCTTCTATTGGAGTCAAGGCTCGCGCATCAACACCATCTGATTCTGCAGTGTGACTTTCGTTTTCTGTTTGGTCTGCATCGTATAGAAATTAGCTACTAACTTAGCGCTAAGCTCGAAGCTATTCTTACCATTGGTATACTCCCCCTCAGGAAGGTCTGATCCGGTGGATTGCGAATCATCGACGCCGGCTTCGGCTTCACTAACTTTGTCAAGCTCCGGGGTAACTTGAGGAAGGGAGTAGTCTCTAGTATAGAGATAGCTCAAAGCACATTCAACCGTCTCTTCTTCGTATTCAGTCAAGTCAATCGTATCATCTCCTGCCCCCTTCCAAGAATCAAGAATTTGCGGGCATAGTGCAGATGAGGCAAATACTCCGGGATGAACGTAGTAACATTTATCTTCTTTACCAACTTTCAATCTTGTAGGCGGCTCTGTAAATAGGTGTCTGGACGGGCATTAGTTGGAGATGCGGCAGCGAACATTAGCAGTACTTGCCCAGGGCTTGAATACGTTGCTGAAGACATATTATGCACTTAATAGAAATTCGTTGCGGCGATAGGGAAGCCGTAAAACTGAGGAAGGGGGAGGGGGGAAATGGAAGGTTTTGGGGGGGAGGGGGAAAGATACTTTCATCACATCAAAACGTGCCAATCGGACTTAGCATCTTTAGATGCAGCCAGATCATGCAGCGGGCTGGCCGCTAAGGCAAGCGCTTCTTTGGATTCGGCCACGTGTACCAGGTTGACTCGAGTTGCATAAATGTCACAATTCGTGTTGGCTTTCACGTATTATATCGCACAGGAGAAGGAGAAGAAGAAAAGATGTCCCAGCAGATCAGGAAGTTCCTTAGAGCAAGATGGCCCTCAGGTGCTGTATTCTTTCTACTTGCGAAGGAACCCACTAGGGGAACTGGCAGAATTTTTTTTAATGATCCCATCTCTTTGAATTGAAAATCGAAAACCCTCTTCGTCCACCTAAACCGTTTATTCTCTGTGCTCCAAATGCAACGCGGCACCCGGGGCGGGGTCGTGCTGTTAACGCGTAATCCACGGCCAAAGGTCCAGGGGTGTCCAGTGGCTTATCACAGTCAACCTGATCACCCCACCGGAAATCACGTTTTCTTCCCTACCTAGTTGGGCTGTCAGTGACGCAAAGTAGAGCCAAGTTTAGTGAGCAATTCACAGCCTCCATAATACTTATATTTCTAAATATTATTGTACGGGCCTCCCAAGGTGAGAGCTACCTGGTTATATACTGTGTAGACACTGTTGAGGCCCTGATAGCGTGCAACACACATTATCCAGGCAGCAGAGAGCTCCGATGTGGAAGGGACCTAGATCCTTCGCATAGCTGGAAAACCCACTTGCACTTAGCACAGTACTATCATCTATCAGCTGTTGGAAACTAAATGATGACTGAACACGGAGGGTGAATCTCCAAGTTACGGGAGTCGGAGTACTGGAGTACTGCTTTTCTCAAGAGTTCTCTATCTTGTCAAACCTGAAATTTATTGATAAGTAGGTAATCACCACGAGTGTTGCTAATTGAAGCCTGTGTGGGGCATGCCACATGCAAGTCTTTGGGTCATTCAAACTCGCAGTCAGACTTGAACATGAACACTGCTTAAAGTACGATGGGAATAGTGGAGAGTGTCCTTGATTCGGAAATTTTCAATTTTAAGTTTCGAATGGAGTTCTTGGAACCAGAAGAGTAACGTCCCGGGAGTTTTATGAGTATTTTGCTTTTCGATCTATAGCTGGCAGTATCAATGACCTCGGTGATGAATTCTGCAACATGAAGTCCGAGGTTTCTTGCGAGGTTCCCTTTTGAGAAGATGCATACCGATACTAACAGGCACCACTATTCGGCACAATCAGTGAGGCAATATCATGATCAAGGTATGAGTATGTCGAAGACAAACACAATCTTGAGTTGGAATGTCCCGCCTTAGCCCATTGCATGCCTCCTGCAAGTTCTAGAAGGTATATAGTAGTCGCCCACGTGCTGTATTCGCAATGTTCTGGGTCGGCCCCAGGCAAACCACGTCTAGCCCTCTGGATGCCCATGCCAAGCCATATGACATGGCCGGTGGAGTGGAGCAAGAGCAGTACTGGTATGTGATCAGTACGAGACACCGACCTGCTAGTCAAGCTCAGTTCTGAAAGCCTCCCTGCCGTCACGGTCCAGAGAAGGAATGTAGTCTCTCCCACGCGAGGACTACGCGCCATGCATGGAGAAGGGATCATTGCTTATCCGTTGACTGTCAACGGCGGAACGATACACGTGACTCCAGGTTAGCAGTGGTCCCGTGCGTGAACGAACCCTGGGGACACTGGGAACTTCCCAGCAATCCTGCTGGGGAACGCTGATCTCCTTTGGCTCGCCCAGCGGGAACATGAGCGGTGCAACACGGGGGCCCGGCAATGAGGCAATACTGAGGACGTCACTAGTCCAACTACTCGTATCCGCATTTTGTTCTATGATCTGGGTCCGAGACCTGTTGTAGAGAAGAATCTTGGGCCTAAGGGATGTGCCATTGAGCTTGTCCACTGAGCCATGCGGGACATTTTATGTGACGACAGAGCTGGAGCTGAGAGCAGTTTAGCGTATGGAGTAGTTCCCACCAGAATCTCACACCGTGCCATCATGAGTTGAGTCCCCTATCTCACTCCCCCCTGGTAGGTGTAGACTATAGGAACGGTCGGTAAGCTGTGGTATCTTGATATCAGCATGCCTCCATATAGCAAGACCCAGCGCACCAAGAGACGCCCCATTCCATTGAAACATCGTGGGAACCAAATTTGGCGCAGGGCACCCCTTGGCCACATGCAAGAATGCGCGGAGACTCATTTTCCGAGCGGGGCCCCGTAACGATTTTTCTCTCCGGGTTCGCCAAGCCCTGATCCCTGCATGCCAACATGCCAACATGCCAACATGCCATCCCGGCTAAAGCTCGGATGAATGGACATGCCTCTCAGTCCTTGCCTCGACAATCATCAGATTCATTGTCGTCGGATGCACTGTCCAGGTAAAAGCCATGCACGTATTTCAAGTCCTCGTTCCTCCCAGGAAGAACCCGACTTTCCAACACGGGCCGACGAGCGAATCAACAAGCGACAACCGGGAAGCCCGACCGCAACGCGCCGTCGGAGCCAATCCTTGCCGAAGACTGCCAGAGAAAGTGGAAGTTGCCCGGATTTGGGACCTGTTTTGACAAATCGGCTCCAGATTCTCCACTGGAGTCCCCGCATCGTGCCCTTTGCGCGTGGGGGTTACACGGGGTCAACATCGGAAAACGTGGGGGATCCTTGCTACCGCATTTAAAGAGATTTCCCCCGCGCTTCCCCCGTATTTTCTGTGAGAAGTCGGTTCTTCATGATGGCCCCAGATACCATGCACGACCCGATCGAGGTCGAGGCGGCGAAGCAGACCGCTGAGACCGTGGAACATGTGGCTCAGCCCAATCAGACTCCGTTGCCTTACATCGACCCGACTCGTCGAGCAGCCGTGGAGAAGAAGCTCAAGCGCAAGCTGGATGCACGATGCAGCGTGTTTGTCTTGATTTACATCATGAACTATCTGGACCGAAACAATATCTCGGCCGCCCGCTTGAAGGGTCTGCAGTCAGACCTGAACATGACCTACAACCAATACTCGACCTGTCTGAGCATTCTCTACGTCGGGTACATCCTGATGCAAGTCCCCTCCAACATGTTGATCAACCGCATCTCGCGGCCGTCGATCTACATTGCCATTTCCATGACTCTTTGGGGTCTGATCTCCACATGCTCCGGCAATGCGAAGACCTTCGGCGACATGGTTGCGATTCGTTTCCTGCTTGGTTTCGTCGAGGCTGCTTTCCTTCCGGGCGCCTTGCTAATTCTGTCCAAGTGGTACACGCGAAAGGAGCTGACCACCCGGAACGCAATTCTTTTCTGCGGTAACCTCATCTCGAATGCTTTCTCCTCCCTGGTTGCGGCCGGGGTCCTATCCAACATGGAAGGAACCTTGGGCCATGCGGCTTGGCGCTGGCTCTTCTGGATCGAAGGATCGGTCACGATCACGATCGCCATTGCTGCCGGCTTCATCCTGCCCGATCTCCCCACCAACTCGCGTGGTTTCACCGAGGAGGAGCTCCTGGTGGCCCAGCTCCGTATGATCGAAGATGTTGGCGAGGCGGACACCGACGACGAGCACCAGAGTCCCTTCGCGGGTCTGATCATGTCTCTCAAGGATTTCAAGATCTACATCATGATGATCTCCTTCACGGCCTACGTGCTTGGCCTGTCTTTCAACGCTTTCTTCGTGAGTTTCAACCATGCTATCCTTCATCATATAACTGTTACTCACCACTGCCATAGCCCACTCTGACTGGAACCCTCGGCTTCGGCTACGTCCCCACCCTCCTCATGAGTGCCCCTCCATGGGTGTTCGCCTGCCTGTTCTCCCTAGTCAACGCCTGGCACGCCGACCGAACACAAGAGAAGGTCAGTACCAACCCCCCCTCTCCATCCACACAAGAACCCAAACTGACGCAATCCCCAGATCTGGCACATTTATGGCCCAATTGCCATGGGTCTCGTGGGCTTCATCATCTGCATGTCCACCCTGAACGTAGCCGCCCGCTACGTCGCCCTCTTCCTCCAGGCCGGCTCCTACGCCGGCTTCATCGTCTTCTACTCCTGGATCAGCAGTTCCTTCCCCCGACCCCCCGCCAAGCGAGCCGTCGCCCTTGCTCTGATCAACGCGTTCAGTCAGCTGGGTAACGTCGCGGGCTCGTATGTGTGGGATCTATCCGATAACGGATACCGCAAGAGCTATGGGATTGTGACTGCCATGTACGGTGTCACGATTGTCGGGTTCTGGATCTTCCGGATGATCCTGGTCAACCTGAACAAGAAGCTTGCGGCGAATGAAGACGAATGGGATGCTGGACACCCCGGCCAGGCTGGCGATGATATGATCATGGAGAATGCGGATGAGTCGTTGCGCATGCGCAAGGGCTTCAGATACCTTGTTTAGACAGCCTGCGGACGGTTCTCGCTGTTTTATGTTTCGTGATGAATGAATGCTAGGCCTGGGTCTTGGAGGCTCTGGGTAACGTCAATGAGAATGAAATTGGGTCCATGATCAATTACCCTTCTCTCCTCCCGTATGAAAGTATTCCAATGTTACCCTAGCACACCCATATACCACCGGTAAATTTTCCTATGATACAGGCACCGCCCCACTCTTCTCAACCCAGTGCTGAATCTTATCCGGCCCCGCAATAAACCTCCACAGCATATGCACAAACCCATCAAACTCCGCAGCAGGGTACTCAGACAAGTAGTGTCCCGGCTGCATAGACGGCACCAGCAAAGGCGTGTCCGCCCGAGACAAGTTCACCCACTTGATAGCCGAGTCAGCCTCCCACAGTCCCCGGCGCGCCGTCACCATGACCGCCCCCGAACAGTCAGACCACCCGTGCACCATAAGCTGGTAGAGATTCAGCACTGTATCGACGACCACTTGTGTGCGCCGAATACTCTCCGTCAGTATCCACAGCCGCCACAGCTTCGTGGCGGCATTGTATTCGCGGTCGAACGGGCTCGTCCAACCAAACGGGTCTGTATTCAGGTCAAGGTCTTCTTGCTGGTGTATTTTAGCTACTTCGCACATCCATGTCACCCACTGCCGTAGTGTGGAGATCTGTCTCTCGGCGGAGGCGCGGTGGAGGATGGAGCCGTCGAATAAGCGGATTAATTGGTAGAAGAATAGAGCTTGGACGCAGGCGAGATGCAGTTGCAGTCCTTTTGATCCGCGTTCTGTGGGCAGGCCTTGCTGGATGAGGGTGGTGGCGCGCTCGTCGGCGATCTGGAGGATCGTGGGTGTCATGGCTGCGGTTCGGCTATTGTACGATGCAACCGTTGTATATGCATCTTGGAGACATCTCGGCATGCCAGATTCATAGAGACGGCGATGGATAATGCTACTGTGGCCGTTTTGGATCCATGAGTCGAGCATATTGCGGACGTCGTTGAGGAACGGTTCTAAGGAGGCGAATGTCTTGCAGGCTGGATCTTCGTTTTTGTGTTGCTTGATCCAGGTCTGATCTTCGAGGAACCAGGGCTTTGAATGCAAGAGGGAGAGCGATCTACTTTGCGGCGTAATAGCTGCATGTGGAATCTCGGATATTGGGGCGGACAGTGGTGGGATGTACGGTATGAGTCCATCTGATAAGGAAACATGGAGATCTGTGTCCGTCACCTGCCAGCCTGGGAATTCAAGGTCTTCCCCCATGGCTTCTGGTGGGGAGAGTTGAAGCATCGACGACTCTCTCGGCGCTTGATTCTCGTGTTGGCGGTCTCGCCGCCTCTTTGGTTGAGGCCATGAGCAGTCGACATCTCTATCTAGGCATCGCTGACATTCGGGAGCTTGCTTGTCACATCTGCGCTTGGAATTCGCGCAGGGGATACATGCCTTTTGACGGGGAATAACAGGCATGGTGAATTTGCTTAACTCCCAGGTTTCCTTTACAATTAATGTAGGGGGGCTTGCGAGGCTCTGCTGACTATTGATGAGAGCGCCCCAGGCCCTGGGTTAGCTGCTTACAAATGCACTCTGGGGCGCTGGGCTAAATGTGAACATCTCGGTCTTGGAAGGACGCCCGACACGTCGAGTATTGAGCGTCATCTATTATATATAGAAACTATGACCTCCATTGGAACCTACGGTAACGCGTCGAAAGCAGACCATCGACAAGCGTCTCCAATCTACCCCATGCGGGGAAGAGAGGAGTGGGGGTGAAATCCGTGCATTCCAATCAAACCTGGAGAAAGCGACAGACAAATATACTTTTGATTGGTCGCTGACGCTTAGAAATGGCTTTGAAGGATGTCATATTCCGCAATCGCGGAATGAACGGTCGTTCCTGATAAATCACTCGCTTCCAAGGTTCCACCGGTTTAAACCCCCGGTGTCTCCTGTCTACCAAAGTCGCCAACTTGTCATGGCCCCTCGACAGCTCAAGAAGCTCCAGGTCGGCGTTGTTGGTATCGGTCGCATGGGAAGACGCCATGCTCTTAACATCCTTCATCTGACACCACGTGCAGATCTCCTTTGCGCTTGCTCCCCTGCTCAAAGCGACCTTGACTGGGCAGCAGAAGCCATTGTTCCTTATGGGACCAAAGTATGTGCTACTTTCGAGGAAATGATCGAGGTCCGTGGTCTCGAAGCTGTGATTATTGCTTCGGCAACCGCCTTGCATGCAAGTCAGAGTCGGATTGCTATGGAGCGAGGGATCCATGTGCTCTGCGAAAAGCCCGTCACATTTAGCCTAGAGGAAGTAAGTTCCAATTTGTCTGGAATCAGGTGATCGTATTCTGAGTATTCCCAGTTAAACGCGATTGTCGAACAATCGCGTCGGGTCCTGGCACCAAAATCATGGTCGGCTTCACCCGACGTTTTGACGATAGTTACAAGGACGCGCGACAGAAAATCCAAGCGGGACTAATTGGGCAGCCAGTTGTCTTCCGCTCCCACGGTGTCGAGGAGTTCGATAATAGCGGCTTTTTTATCAATTACGCCCGAGTCAGCGGTGGGATTTTCGTGGATAGCACTATCCACGACATTGATCTTGCTCTCTCCTTCTTCGGTGAGGACATCCAGCCAAAGAAGATCTGGGCTGCCGGCGTTGTCGTGAAGTATCATGAAATGAAGGAATTCCACGACTCTGACAACGCCGTCGGCGTCGTGGAGTTTTGGGGAGGCAAAATCGCCCAGTTTTACAATTCTCGAACGGGCAGCTCAGGATACGACAACACGACAGACATCTTCGGCACAGAGGGAAAGATTTCAATCAATTCCAACGCCAGGAAGAACCGAGTTGAGATCACTGGCGCTACGGGGGTTAGGAACGAGACCCACGGAGGGTGGATCGATCGATACGAAACTGCGTTTGTCAACGAGGTCAATGAATTCACGGCCGCCATCCTGGATAAGACTGAGCTTCCCATAAGGCTCGATTCAGCAGTGAGCTCCTTGAAGATTGCGCTGGCTCTTCAAGAAAGCTTAGTATCCGGCCATCCTATCCGGTTTGATCAGAATGGCGAGAGAATGTCCAGCCCCAGTGCAGTCTTATGAGTCTAACGAAGATTCAATATGGAGATCAGTGGGAAAAGGCTAGAGAGCTATACATAGAACATCCAAGTGGGCAATACAGAACCCTGCAGTTTCCTTCTTCCTTCCTTTTACGATTAATATCAAGTTTGATTGGACTCTTCCACAATAGCAAAGTGATATCAGCTAGCAACTTCATGACATGTGCTAATAAAATATTCAAGAACGATCAGTTGCAGCAAATTTGGAAGGAACAAGAGTCTCCAGCGACTCCACGTTGCTCGCCATTTCCATGCTTTTGATTTTCGACTCTTCGTCCTCCTGTTGCAAGTGATCATCCGCATTCAAGCCCCAAATCGAAGCAAGACAAAATCGTCGCTGGCAGATTTCCGAATAAACGTTTCTGTTTTTCCGGATGTCATAAAACAGGAATCTGAGAAAGTACCATCTTTTGAATTTCTTATCGATTTTGAACCCTCGATGTTCTGTGCAACATGTACATTCGAGAGTGCAATGTCCAACGCCCAGTACACCTACCAAGCTGTTGGCGCGTTCAGGATCAACACAACATCCACAATCACGGCCACAACAGCCCCCTCTCATCCTACAATCATCAACAAGGACTGGATGCATGTACCACTGAGGATTAGACCTCCATTGTTCAAACCCTCTGCTCAAAGGTCCAGAGTATGCCACAATGTCCCCACGGAAAGAATGCCAGTACAGTGTATTTTTCCAAATTTCCTGCTTCAGTTCTGCCATTTTTTTCCCGTTACTTCTTTCCTTCCTTAGATTAGGCTCTCGCTGGCATAAAGATCGGAGCAGATATTCATAATAAAGCAGTTTTGTCAAAATGCCCTCCTCACTGTACTCGGTGGAAAACTGCTTGTTGAGGTTGCTTAGGTTGTATCTGAATCTCTGGAGAGTGTTGATGCATCCTTTTTTTTGCAGCAAGGCCTCTTCAGGAGAAAGATCGCCTGGTAGACGTAGCATTTTAGGGTCCACTGGCTCTAGGGGCCCCATCTCGCCATGTGTTTTGAAATTTCCATCAGGCATGGCGCGTCAAGCACTTAGGCAATAAGAGTATAATCAATTGGCGGGTATAATTTTTGCTTCCAACAAAAATGTAAGTGGCAGGTCTTGAGATTTAGGAGCAAGATGAATCTGCTTGCGCTTGAAGGCGGTAGCTAATGGTGTGTCTCACTATGACGCTTCTATATACTAAGATGCTTTCGTAATAATGTGCCGTTGAAAGACAAATTGAACCAGCTCCAATGCGAAACTATTATGAAATATTGTAAACCCGGCAAGCTAAAATAAAGCAGCCTATTTCCGTATACGGGAAACGCATTTCATGAATAAATAAGCGAGGTCTCATAGCATTGGTAAGCTCACTAGTACCTAGCGGGCGAGGGCGGATTTTCCCCAGTATCGTATCCCAGGTTGTGGAAGACGACTGGCCGTCGCAAGGGCCAGGCTGGATACAGCATGCTGGCTTTGGTGCTGACCCGGCGAGACCGCCACTAAAATTCCTCCTGTATATTAAGACTATTTAGAAACCGAGACAAGACGAGGGATGCGATGCACATTTTCCACGCCTTCACCTCCTATCCCACCTGCCCCCCTAAAGCCCGTAATTTGCCAGCAAAATTCTGCAGAGCAGACTCGGTTGCCACATCATTGGGGCAGATTGGGATATCTTGCCTTGAAGAGCGTATCATATTTTTCCCGTCTCCAGAGCGCCTCCACAAATACGCAGAATGAGAGACCGTGTGCCTCTGCTATCTGGAAGCCAGACGGGTAGATGTACTCAAGGTCGCTGAGTATAACGAACTCTATTGTTGAGACGTTCAAAGGTCGTGATCGTCCACCATGGCCAACTTCGACTGCGTCTTTCCAATCTCTTCAACAAGGACATTATCTGCCTTGTGCTCGAGGCGTTGAGCTGGCATCTCACCAGCTCCAACTTGTGCCATTTTGGTGCCACTCCCCGAGGGCAAGAGATCATAGCCAGGTGATAACAATGATAAGAGGCCCTCACTGCTGAGCAGACGAAGCAAGACTCTAGATAGCCTGCATATCCCTACCGCAGAGGTTCATCTTCGATGATATAGGATCTGTAATGGAGACCAGTACCACACAACGAGGGAAAAACGTTGTCGCAGGTGGCCCTCCTTCGTGAAGGCCACCTGGAATTGTTTCCGGATCCGGGCTCTGCAGTTAATGACTGCGACCAACTCTCTCTCCCTCGTCCAGGCTATATGTCTTCCGGGTGTCTTCTGGCATCTCTCTCAGAGTCCGAGGCAGAGCCTCGTCCCCTACATTCGCCATCCTCTTATATGTAAGTCTAACGGCTGCAAGATTGATCATCCCAGCAATCGGATTTCCCGATGCTGCTTTCTCTCCTACAATAGTGCTCAGTTCGGCCATATCCAGCTTTCGGCGTCTCGTTACTTGCCGACGTTGTAGACGAGGACGAATTTACTAGGCGCTCAGTTCCACCATCTTCCTAGACAGGTAAAGTTAGATCATCTCTTATTCCTGTCTTATTTGGTGGTTGTTCTGTGTCCAGCTCGTCCGCTATAATGTTAGGTTCGAAGGTACACCGGGTTTCGGGAAATTTGAGAGATGTAAGAGCTGTCGTTCGTCACCTCGAAGAGAGTTGTAAGAGTGAAGTCTGAGAGGAGAGGAGGGATTGTCCACTATCAGCAGATCTGAGATTTGGAGTAAGGCGTAATCAATATAGCATAGTTGGTATAGTTCAGTACTCAAGAGACTTGATAAATATGTTATCTTGTGACTCCGATAAGAATGTTGGATTTCCAGGCTGCCATAAACTGGATCCAGTATGGACATATATCGGGTTTTGTAGTGCTGTAAGCCCTTCGATCTCTGGCCATGTTAAACTGCTGGGTGTCCTGCCCTTGGCCCTCGTTCATCCATCGCTGACATCGACTCAGCCTCATTTCTTATGGTACCCCCACCCATCCCTCGTCTTCAGACTCTTCCTGTGCCCCCTCAGCCTTCCTGGCTTCCATCTTCGAGTTTTCAAGAAAAAATGTGAGCAAATGAAGGTGTGGGCATAAAATGGGCGCCGGCGCAGATCGTTTCGCGCAGAATCATCGTGGGAGACTGCGCTGCGGTGTCTTAGTCGCTATGGCGATGACCTCGCACAGATGAAAGATCAAGACCAAGATCAAATGAACCGGGAATAAATAGAATTAGCGACGAGTTGAAGAAGTAAGAGCGAAAGAAGATGAAAGTAGTAGATTATCATTGGTGATTTGATGTGACACGCGTGGCGGTTGTTGGTTGATATAATGGCTTGAGCACGGATCGAGATGAAGTAGAAAAAATATACATGAAGAAGGGATACAAATTATCAAGAGTGCTTGCCAGACAGCTACCCAACTTTGGAAGTGGTGATCAAGTCAGGTCGTGCTCTTAGTACGGCCATTGACCTCTGATCCCTTCACATCTCAGGGTAGAAATGAGAAGTGTATATCCAATCCAAAGTTTCAGCAGCGCCCATTGCGGTCATGGTAGTTGGTGGCTCACTGAGGACAGCAAACAGCCTGGGATTTTCACCATGAGAACTCTTTTCGAGGGCGCTGGTCATCTTTTCCAGAAGAATGCTGAAGAACAGTACTGGCTGCTGCAACCCCCCCTTTGTTAGGCCGAGGGAGGCCTTCATCTTCTCTTGTTTCTGCAAAACATATGAGATCCCCACATCGTTGGATCGAGGAATAACTGGGATGATTTTGTGTATTAATCGTTCCGTCCAGCTTTGAAAAGTATTACTTTCTTCGTCTTTTCTCCAGGACGCCGCAAGGATGTGTCCTGACCAGGGCTACGCGATCGTTGCCATATGACGGCCTGGCAACGATCACATAACGGCATAATGATACTTGAACCTTCCAGTGGGCTGATATATACACCCTTCTTTACGTCTTCAGAACTAATAAGTGTAGGCTTCCCTTGGACAAAAATCTCCGCTACCTTAGAGGGTAGTAGTATATGTCCACTAGTGTCCTAGAACTGCTGGAGAGATTTATATCAGACTCTGGGCATTATGCCCAATTACATGGCAGGCTGTGAGAGATTTGATATTATTGAGAGATGGGGGTACTACAACTCGCAAGAGAAGGCCCATGTAAGATGTACTTTCTTTCCTTCCACATCACCTATGTACATCTCACTTCATCCTAATAAGCGCCACTGCGCTTTTGGTACTTAGGCTGGTCGACCGACTCGACACCACGCAAAGCAGTCAGAACAGGAGTAGTAGAGATCAAGTCAAGTCCACCAAGCTTAGCACCGTTCTGGTCTTGAGCCCAAAGGGTCAAAGCGATCCAGTTTCTGCCCTGGTAGTTCAAAATACCCTCCGGAACAGGGTATGCAGTCTGGGGGCCAATATTGCTGACATATTTCCCGTACTGGTATCCGTTCACGAAGAGCTGGACACGATACGGCGCCGGCGACGAGCTCGAGTTCCTGAAGTCGAAGTACAAAGGGATATCCCATCCCTTGGGCAGGTCCAGATCGAAGCTTGTACTATAAAATTGGACACCAGCCTGCGATACGCCTGTGAAAGGGCTGCTGGTATTCCACTCCTGGCTTGGTGGCTCGGGCTGGTGGAAGCCTTGGCGTTCAGCGTAGAGACCACCTTCATTGAGAGGACCACGGGTGAGGTCTTGATAGTCTTCGCCACCGAGATTTCCGGTGAGCTTCCAGGTAATGGCATCGGCGGATCTGCCTGAGAGAGTATAGTCTAGGATACCACGAGGGTCTTTAGTTCCTTCATAGCCGGGGCCGTTGTTTTCGTCCAAGCCCATATTGTCAATAACGATGGTAAGGACGTACGTCTCTCCCGGCCTGAAGACTCGGGAGTTTGTAAGTAGAATTGTAGTCTTGGTAAGCACCACTTCCAATCCAGGATCCAATGAAGGTTGAATTGATCCAAGCGGAATGCCCGTAGCCCAGACCTCCCTCAGTGTGGAAAGCAAAGCTTGTCTCATTGCCCGCGGAGACAAATGAGCCGCGGTAAATGAACGTTCCAGTGCTGAAGCCATAGTCGGTCGAGTACAAGGAAGTTGGGGTCTTGATGGGATTGGCGCTGTTGTTGGTATAAGGGTGGTTGGCCGCGGTCCAGGCCGAGTCGTCATATGAGGTTTGGATCTCCGGCAGCGTATCGATGGACTTCCAAGGCAAGTCTTTCAGACTTGGAAATTTGAACTTTGGGGCCTTATAGTGAACTCTGGCAGACAGAATGCCGTTTTTATCTACCGTTGTATCAAGAGTCTGATTGTTGATAACAATCTTCTTCGCCGATGATGGAGCTCCGATGACCTCCACGGTTGTAGTAGCATTGAAGTCGGCGCTGATATGCAAATCACTACCCTGCAGGGATGCGGTTCGAACAAGGTAGCCAGCCTTAACAATGACTGACGAGGCGGTGGTTTCCTGCGAGCTATAGCCGACTGAACCATTTGAAGACAGTTGTGGGACCCAGTAATTATAAGCAGAGTTTCGGTCTAAGCACGCTAAGTCAGTCAGGGAGGCCAAAAAATGGGCTACATGAAGCCTACCCAGCAAAATGATCCTCAGGTCATCTACCTGAACGATGCGACGACTTGTCGACACATCCCATCCAATGATCAGGGCCGATCCGACCTTTTTGGAAGTAATGCCAGACGACGAACCTTCCACAACGGAAGACTTAGACGCCCCCGAAACGGCGAGCTCATGGTGCTCGCCTGTGTCGCCATATAAGACAAGGATTTTTCCGTTATCCGTCTTCTTCCAAGTGAAAATTTCACCCGTGGAGTAAAGAACGTTCGTTCCTGCCACGTCATAGTTCACAACGTGAATCTTCAAGTCGCGACCACCAAGCGTCAGTTTGCCGCCAAGCTGAGGAATCGAAACATTACCAGCAACTGGTAGCTTCAGCGTGTATTCCACGGAGTCTCGGCTGGAATAATCGGAATGGCGAACGACGAAGAAAGACGAAGCCGAGCTGTTACTTCCGAGAAGTGGAGTGACAGTCAGATCCGAAGTGCTTGTATATGTAGAGCTTGTGGAGTTTCCGGGGGCTGTCAGCAGATAACCCGGCGTGACCTTCATGAAGTTTCCGAGAAGCTTGAGTTCGCTGTATTTTTCACGAGTGATGTTGCGAGACTCGGAGATAGCTGCACCATAATCGTAAGAAGTGTATCCTCCAGGATGTCCAAGGTTGCCCCAGTTGGTACCACCGAAGATCTATAACCGTCAGCAAAGCTCTCAAGCCTGAAGTCAATCTTTCACTTGCCATGTACAGATTCATAAATGCAACGCGGAAGCTAAAGTTGTTCTTGTAAAAGACCCGCACGAACTCGTTGTTCAGAAGCTCAGCACAGTTATCAAACCCACTTCCACCCCAGGGGTCAAAGGCACCACCTTGGAACTGCGGGTTGTCAGTACAGAGCTCCTACTATCTTCATGCATTCCATACCTCAACAATAGAATATGGTGTGGTAGGGCTCTGCTGCTCATGCAGAGACCAGTAATTGGTAGGAAGATCGCCGCTCGGCCAGACAGTAGGATTCGAGCAATCGAAGCCAAGTGGATAGCCGTCATGGCCGTAAATATCGACCGCACCCACTCCAGTCCCCGGAGCCTCATGCCCCTCTGGAGCCGCGTCGTTGCTTATTAGTGGGATGACAATACCCGCATTACGAGCCTGGTCCTCAACGTATTGCATGTAGACGCCATCTGGGAAGTTATCAACCCCACAGCAAGCACTTGTGTACTCGTTCTCTGGCTGGTACAGGATAATCGGCCCCCCGTTCGTGATCTGAGCTTTGGCGATCGTCGCAGCAACATGAGCGACATAACTGTGAGAGCGGTGTCAGCATTTATCAGACTATTGAGTCCTTCTTTTTCCGTACTTGTTAGTTGAGTTGAGGTATGCTTCATCCCTCGTCCGAAGGGTACCATTGACACGCGCCAGCCATCCAGGGAAGCCGCCTCCAGAAACTTCGGCGTTGATGTAAGGGCCAGGGCGAGCTAGAAGATAGATACCGGCCTCCTGCGCAGCATCAAAGAAAGGCTGCAAGTCGAAGATACCGTCAGCTCGGTAGTGGCCGGGCTTGTGCTCTACCAAAGCCCAATTCACATAGAAGGATACACAGTTGAAGCCAAGGGCCTTGACTTTCTGGAAAATATCGATCCACAGAGATGGGACTGGTAGACTGAACGTACACAGGTCAATGTTTTTTTGAAAATCCTAAAAGTCTCCAGTCAAACATACCGAAATGGATGAACTTCACCACTGAAAAGCATGAGGCGCTCGCCATTGATGAACAACGACTTGTCATCCCAGGTAACCTAGAAGCAATTAGGATACGAAGCGATTCAGAATACACCACGGCGTACGTATTTCTGGAGCTGCTCTCTTTTCGCAGGATCAGGGTGCTCTGTAATTGTAAAGCCATTGAGCTTATGGGAGATTGCTGCACCAGCAGCCTGAGCCGCCAGGGCCGCCAATGCCCAGGTAGCAGCGAGCTTCATTATGCCCAAGATCACTGGCAAATACGAACAGAGGATTTCGAGGGCTCTCTGGCCCCGTCAAAGCCAGGGGGGGGAACCCTTCATAAATACAGTTGCATTGGGGCGGCGATCGACAAGCGAATCAACCCAAGTTCCGTCAATTCGGGGAATTGAGTACCGACGCGTTGTGCCTCGCATTCTTCTCTCGCTACAACCCCGCAGGACCTTTCTGCAGGGCCGTTCTGATGCATGTCGTCATTTATTCTTCATCGACAGGGTCATCGACAGGGGCGCCAAGCGGGGAATTGCACCAGTAAGCGACTATCGACCCGTTCCTGCGACTGGTCTGAGGCACCGTGGTAGACAACTTGGTCGGCTCGTGCGCTCTTCCCAACCCCTCCGCTTCCCCGCGTACTGCAGGGTCAAGCTCCGGCTGAACGCCTTTGGCTAGAGAGTCCGCATTAATACGCTTTCAATTACGAGTTATGCTTGTGAGTCTCCAAATCGGCTCCATGTGCATTGGCCTGAGCCTGAAGGCCGACTTCCCATAGCTCAAGAATGCGCACTTCTCAGAGGATCAGGTAAGTTTTGCCCCAATGCAGCAACAGGAAACGGCCAGGCATTACAAAAAGGTCTAAGCTCTCTCCACAAAGCAAGCTGCGGGGAAGCCAGGATAATAGGCCCAATTTACCCGTCGCCGATATTTCCCCGACTGGGAGGCACCTTATGATGCAGATCGCTTGGGGCGTTCACGCGCATGGCTCGGATAAATCCCAGACCTCCTTTCAGTTGATTTGTTCGGCTCTCAGAGACAATGGATCATCAGAGAACTTATAGTGAGTTTATTGATTGCTTTTGATACACTCAACGGGCGTGAGACATACCCCGAGGACTACACGAATTGTAAAAATAAATCAGATCATTCGTCGAAACGTTCCCCGAAACTCAAACCGTTGTATTGAAAGTGTCCTCCTCATCGCCGATCTTGACGAAGCTTTCTCGGCTCTCTACAAAGGCCTGTTCGTCCTCTGCGAGCTGGGTGTCTTCGTTCTTCAAGGCGGCGTTATCGGCACCGGCGGTCGAGATGGCCGGGGTCTCCTGCATAGGTGTGTCTGTACCTGAGGTTCCAGAGGCATCGGGCTTGTTCTGGTTCTTCAAAGTCGCGTTTACGAGAGGGGTATCGTCGTTGAAAATGCGGAGCAACATGGCGCGCCGCTCCTCCTTGGGAAGCATGAGGTTCAGAGAGTGGAGTGATCGCCAAAGGGGTAGCACCATGCGCTCGCTGTAAGCAACTTGTTAGCAGTCATCCTTCCTAGATGTATGAAGTGTTGAAAATGGGGAACATACTTGAGACCATCCTCCTTGCCGTTGGGCTCAACACGCAGAATGCTGCAGCCCATCGGGATGTCCTTGACCCGGGCACCGATCTCACCAAGGTTCTTCCACCCGTCGTCATTGACCTTGGGGGAACATCTCAATGAGAAGCTTGCGCAGAGTCTCTCGTGCGGTCAGGGTAACAGATCGCGCCTCACCCACCCAAGGCTCGGTGATTTTCAATCCATCAGTCTGGATACGCCAACGGCACACGTTCTCGCGCTGGGCATCCTGCTTAACAAACATCTTGACACCGCAGTGGACAAACTTCATGCCAGAACCTTCGTTCTGGGTAAGGATGTCTCGTGCGAGAGCACTGGTGTAGTAAATTGTCTTGTGTGGAGCGCCGTCTGCATTGCGAACCATGAAGCGATCGCGGGGGAAACGCTCAGACAGCTGATAGAAATCGAAAATCGGGGCCAGCTCTTCGTGATTGGGGTCAAGGTACTTGTATGGATCCTCCTGGTGACTGCCCTTCTTCTTACCCGGGTAGCCTGGTCCCGAAGTGGGCTTGGTGGGAGCTGCTACGTTCTCGACCTGTCCTGCTGGAACAGGGTCATGAACCGGGCGGTCACCAACCAAAGCCTCAATTCCGCTATCGAGTTTCACACGTTTAGCCGGTACTTCTTCTTCAAAGTCTTGGTTATCGCGCTTAGCGTTCGCGGTGGCATCGGAAGCGCCTAGAGTAGCAGAGTAAGGAGGCTGATTTGTGGCCTCGGCAACAGACTGATTCTTGGCGAGCTCTGCTTGGACTTCAGGATCTGGGACAACAACATTATCCAAAGAGCTCAGCTTTGCTTGAGGGTCATCGTTGCTATTCTTGCGGGCATCAAGCTCGGCTGTCAGATTGGCGACAGGGGTGACTGGCGCCCGGGGAATGACACTTGAATTATCCTCTGGCTTGGCGCGGATTTCAGAGGTCTTCTCCAGAACGGTGATAAAGAAACCACCGGTGTCCTGCTGGTGAGGATAGATACGCATGCAACGCTCGAGAGGGAAGGTCAGCTCCCTCGCCAAGAGGAGGGAACATGCCCTCGGAAAGTCTGAACAGCCCCTCAATGCCCTGCGATTCCTTATGCTCCTCAACCTCCTTCCAGCTGCTCCAGATGCGGCCTTCACGGTCCATGACCTTCCAGGTCTTCAGACCGGCAGCACGCTTCAACCCAGGCAACTCTTGACTGCAGTCGACAATCTTGACATTCTGGGCACCGCCACAGCGCTGAATGGCACTAGCAATCACCGACTCGTTCTCCACAGGGTTCATACTGCAAGTAGAGTAGACCACTCGTCCACCGACCTTAAGCATTTGCAGAGCACGAACCAAGATGCGAGCCTGCGTGAGATGAAGACCGAGAGCATTCGAAGGGTTCCAGTCCTTCCACACATTGTAGTTCTTGCGAGCAGTACCATCACCCGAGCAAGGGACATCGGCCAAGATACGATCGAACTTCAAGTAACGAGTCTTCTGGGGGCCCTCAACATTGGGAAGTGGGGGCAGTTTGATAGATGGGTACATAGTGGCGTCGTGGTTGGTCACAATCAAGTTAGGCGAGCTCAATCTTTTCATCTGATGGATAAGAAGGTGCGAGCGCTTGTAATCACTGTCGTTGGCAATCAACAGACCAGTAGTCCGGCCGTCATCGTTCAAGCCCTCTGGGCCCTGGGGCTCCGCACCAATGGTACCAGCCTTCGCTTGTTCGGCAACTTCTCGGATAGACTCTTCTTCGCCCGCGTGTACCATCTCCATCAGCTGGCAAGACTTGCTTCCTGGGCAGCACACATATCCAAAACCGTCATGCCGGGCTTCACATCGATGACGAGAGGAGGAATCATACTGACAACCTCCTGGCGACTGATATTTCCGACCTCCGTCTCGGCAACAAGGAACTTCTGGAAAGAAGCAAATGGTGCGTGTCGTCGAATGACATTCTTAGGTGTCGTCATCTGCCAGGCAAGCTGGTCGGGGTACCAAGAGACTGGGCGCGGGGGCTCGACAAATTCGCCTTCATACTGGATAGACGTGATTTTGGGAATATAGAAATCCTTGAGACGTTCTTGCACAGCAAGTGCATGGCTGGATAGTAACACACCAATTAATATTTTCTTCAAGCTTTGGGTGCGATCTTCGTTCGCAAGTGGGATGTGATTTTTTTTTTTTGCGACTTACCCACGGGACCCAGTGAAACGGAAGCTATTGGGCAAATCGCGCTTCAGCGCAGCCCAGAATTCTTCTCTCTCCTCCTCTGGGACGAATTCGGGCTCATTATAGTAGCGCTCGAGCTTCTCGTTGCCTTTGTTCAAATTGTCCGCCCAATTGTCGCGAGAGCGGCCGCCGCCTCCGCCTCGACCACCGCCACGGTTGAACTACCGGCGTTCAAGTTAATAAACATGCCAATCTATTATATATTATCTCACTGGAACCATTTCGCAACATACCTTTTTTACCGCCGCGTTTACCCATTGCGATCAATTTGTAGCTGGGAATGCAAGCAAAAGCGGTTCAGAAAATCTCGCGGAGATCATTCATCGGATGAGGTAATCTTGATGAGTGCAGGGGGGGGGCAAAAACTTACCGCCTTCAATATCTGGCTGGTATTCTCAAGCCCTGGCACGGAGACTTATACGATATAAGAGACTACATTCAAGAGAACTGTGAGATATGTACGAGATGACTTTTATTGGGACGCAGTGCGCAACAAAAGAAATAAAGGAGATAGTTTGGTCTACCACGTCTTCGCGGCAGACTATATAGTCTACTGGTAAACCATTAATTGCTATTTCACACAAATCAGGGTCTAAATAAAACCCAAGGCAATGATTGATAGTACATTCAAACTCCAACCCCGCACGTCGGGTCCATGCCCTGACGTTGCTGGAGGCCGTCTTTAACACGCAATTTGGATTGCGACCAGCTTAGGACAGCATGCGGGTCATGTCGTTGCGGATGCGCTGGTAGTCGAGGATGCCCTCAATGCTACCGACAGCACTCATGGCAAGGTCCTGGTCCCACAGCTTGCGGGTAGCGAAGTCCATGACATCCTTCTCGGTGATCTGACCAACGGCACGCTCAACATCCTCAGGGCTGAGACGACGGCCAGTAGTGATGATTTGACGGCCAATGTCCTCGGCAATAGCAGTGGTACCATCCAAGCTGAGCAGAATGGAAGCCTTCAGCTGGGCCTTGGCACGTTCAACCTCAGCGGAGGTAACGTTGTTAGTCAGGCGAGTCCACTCACGGAGAGTGAAGTGGATCAGGTCATCGAGCTGAGTGAGGTTCTCGGAGACAAGGTAAATACCCCAGAGACTATATACACGTTAGCTTCGGCCACCTCCGACTGGTCTGTTGTGGGGCAAAAACTTACCCAGTGTCGCTGTAGCTGGTGGAGAAGCTCATGAAGCTGTTGGCAAGGTGGTGCTTGCTAACGTGAGAGCTGAGCTTGCTTCCGAGGAAGGGAGACTGGCCCATGGCACGGTCCCAGTTACCGACGATAGCCTGGGTGACCAGCGCAGTGAAGTAGTCATCATCCTTCCAGCTGACACCCTCAACGGCAAGGGCGATGTGAGCGGAGGGGATGGTGTCATCGCGGAGACGGACCTCAGAACCGATGAACTCGGGGGTGCGCTTCATCTCGGCAGTGAGGGCCTGGGCGGCGGAGGTAGGGGCACGGTTGGGGAGGCCACCGAAGTGCTCCTCAGCGAGGCGAACAAGCTGCTCATGGGGGGATACCACCAGAGCCAACCAGCACCATGCGGTCAGCGGTGTAGTTGGTCTTGATGTAGTCGGTCAGGTTGTCGCGAGAGATGGTCTGGATGTTCTCCTTGGGGCCGAGGATGGTGCGACCAAGGGGCTGGCCCTGGTAGGCAGTGGCGTGCAAGTGGTCGAAGACGACCTCCTCGAGCTGCTTGTCAACCTCCTCCTGTTCGCGCAGGATCACATCACGCTCACGCTCAATAGCGGCGGGCTCGAGCTTGGAGTTCTGGAGGATATCGGAGAGGATGTCGACGGCCTTGGGGACATCGGCATTGAAGGACTTGGCATAGTAGACGGTGTTCTCGCGCTAAATTATCGGTTAGTCGTCATATGAACATATATAAGTAGAGGCTGTCGATTCCGGCCGTACCGAGGTGTAAGCGTTGAGGTGAGCACCCATGTTCTCAATCTCGAGCTCCAATTGGTGCTGCGAGCGCTTGCCAGTGCCCTAAAACTGATGTCAGGTGCATTTCGGAGGAACTAAAGTGTGGTGCGGACGAACCTTGAAGGCAAGGTGCTCAAGGAAGTGGGCAGTTCCGTTGGTCTTGTCAGTCTCTGACCGGCTACCGGCATCGATCCAGACACCGACGGTGGAGGTCTGGGCCCATGGTGAATGCTCAGTGGCAATCTAGATGGGTTAGTAAATCCCAAATGGCATTTTTTCGAGTTGGCCGGGCATACCGTGAAGCCGTTGGAGAGGGTGGTGGACTGGGTGGTAGACGGCAGCGCAACCGGCGACGCAAAGCCTCGCTTCACGGGCTGGATGGACTTCAGGGCCGCACGGGTCCGGAGAGCCTGGTTGAGGTTGAAAGCTAGGCGCCGAGAAGCCATTGCGGGTAATGGGGTGGGTAGAGGGGGGAGGAAGGGGGATGAGAAAAGAGCTGGCGCCCTGAGGTTGAGGTTCGGAAGTGAAATTCGTGCCAGCGCCGCGCTGGCCAATCACATGACCCGCTTTGCAAACCGCCCTTTCCGTCCCGATTCCTTCCTTGCACGAGCCTCTCAAGTCTACGTCAAGCAGGAATCTTGAGCAACAGATGGCTGTAATTGAATTCCCGGGTTAGTATGTTTTGGTCAAGTCGAATTTGCCGTATGTTTGTCGCAGAGGGTGCATCGATTTATCGAGATCATCCCAATTGCGGTTCTACTGATCGGCTGCAGCGCCTCGCTTGAACAAGTTCATCGCCAAGGCATTACCTTGAGTTTGCGACCACCTTCTGCGCCAGATCATCACCTACATCACAAATTTACTTCTAGTCTATCCCCAAGATATCCAATAGAGCACAGTTATGAAGCCACCTGTACGGTGATTCAACCGAAGTAAGGTAAAAATGGTTGGTAACTATTCAATATGAGTCATACAAATTTGCTGGCAAAATGCTTGATATTCTCCTGGATCGAAATATCAGGAGAGAATCCTAGCTTGAACGCCCTTTCTGTCGAAAACTCTGGAGTCCAACCCTGCACGATTTTGTCGGTCGCAGCATCGTACTTCTCCTCGACAAGTGCTCGTCTCTCCTTGCCACCAACAGCCTCCAATGCGTCCAGCATTTCCTGAACACTAACCTTCAAACCAGGCAAGTTGACAGATCTTGACACGCCCCAGGCTTCTTTGGGCACAGTGCTAGCATGGATGATATTCTTGATAATCATTTTCGGCGAGCAGATCCACATCTCTGTGCTTCTATCCACTGGCAAGATAGCCTTCCTGCCATAGAAGGGCTCCCGAATAATATCGCTAGCGAAGCTGCTTGCAGCTTGGGTGGGTTTCCCAGCGCGGACCGTCACAGTTGGGAGACGCACACATCGTCCATCAATGAATCCGCGTCGCGAATAGTCGTTCACCAGGATCTCAGAAATCAGTTTCTGGGACCCGTAAGAGGTAGTAGGTACCGGGGTAAAATTGGTCTCATTTGCGAGTACGCCCGGCGGTGCCAGACCGTAGACTGCCAGTGAGGACGTGAGGATAACCTTTACTCCTGGTGTAGTTTCACGAATGCGATCAAGTACATATCGAGTAGAGTCAAGATTCACGCGGAATCCGAGCTCGAAGTTTACCTCGGCGCCGCTGGACATGATGCCATGGAGCAAGTACACAGTGTGGTAAGAACGGGAAGAGCTGATCAACTCATCTACCTCTCTAGCTGAGGTCAAGTCTGCTTTCACGGCGACCACTCGACTGGCATGCTGCGCAGCTGCCTCCGGTACTGGGGGCTCGACGATGTCGACAATCGTGATGGTTGTGGAAGCGGGAGTACTGTTCAGTAGAGCTGCAGCAAGTTCTTGGCCCACGTAACCACCAGCACCGGTGATTAAGATTGACATTTTAGTACGGAGAAAGCGGATTCCAGGGCAAAAAATAAGGGCAAAATTACCTTCGTATCCGAGAGAGAAAAAAAAGGAAAAAAATCGTGTCAATGATACTCGGTGGTACCGGTGGCTCTCTTCCAGCTATATAGTTCGGCAGGACAGAGCTCCGCGGTGATCTTTGCGGAGCGAAACCCTCCTCCACGCTCTTGTCAGTCAACATCAACCAATAGAAAGATTCACAAGCAAAGATCGAAAAGGCAGAATTTGGCCACACGCACCAACTCCGAGTTGGCTTACGCTGAGCCCGGAAATTTGGTAGCCAGACCTCGGGGAGAAAACCGATTACCGGCTTAGCAACTGCTATGCGGCGGAACTCCGAGGTGTCCAAGCAATGGATCTCGGAAGCAGCAGAAAATAGAAGGAGTTGAGAGCAACATGAGGGGATGGTCTCGAACTAACTTGTTAGAGGGAGCTCTACGCCCCTTGGCAAGCTTGAATTCGACCGCCAGTGTCACTGAATTTGAATGTCTTGGCCGAACCTTCGGGCCCGGAAAGCATGTTGCCCATAGTACAACTTGAAGAGAAGCACAATTCAAACCCCATATAGGCAGAAAATAGCTCAAACGAAAGAGAGCCCGCGACCTTAAGAACTTAAAACTTGGGACTTGGGTTAACCACTAGATCTACTAAAACAGATGACGTAGCTTGATGTGAACATTCCCAGGACGTTAACCTAAATTTTGTGACGCAAGCAAAAGTACATGGGCAGAGATAACCAGTCACACGAAGAGAAGCATTGAATACATCGCATATCACGGGACGCCTCTGAAAACAAAGAGAAAAGGAAAATGACATGACCACCAATTAAAGCGACACCTGCTTATGAGGATCGGCTGTAGATAGCGCCGACCATGGCGTGGTCTCTTTCGAAAGGCTCCAAGGTCAATTGCTCCTTTGGCTTCATCTTCTCCTCGCGCACTACAAAAAAGTCAGTATAAGCCAGTTGACCGGGGATGGATCTAACTCACTCTTCTGCACCTCGTTGGCGAAGACGACATCGGGCTTGGCAGTTGAGTCGATACAGCTGGCCTTGATAGAGACAAGGACACCACCCTGGTCCTTCAGGAACATGTGAGCGTTCAGACCGACAATACGGGCCTGATCAGGCTGGGCGACATCGGCAAAGATGACATCGACCATGGGGACAAGCATGCGGTAGCGCAGAGGGTGACGAGCATCCTCAACGATAGGGATGACGTTGGTGCGGTGAGTAGCCATACCAATCAGGTCACGGCCGGAACGGTGAGAGAACTCGACAGCGTAGACATTACCGGTAGGTCCGACAATATCGGCGACGTGAGAGACACTGTTGAGAGAACGCAGATTAGCAAAGCGTTCAAAGTTTTCCGATGGGCTCAAAAAGCACATACCTAGTTCCGCTGGCACCACCGATGTAGAGCACTTATCAGGAAAAAAAAAAGATTAGTCCAGTTTACCGCATTCTTTCGGATCCACACTCACCCTTAGCACCAGGCTTAATGTAAATGTTGTCGAGACCACCGAGAACACCAGCGGCAAGCTTGGAACGGAAAGGGTTCCAAACACGGTACTCGACCTTGGAAACAACACCATCCTCGTTGGCAGGAGCATCAACGGAGATACGCTTCTCACCGTAGACAGCCTCGCCAGGGGTCAAGTTCTTGGTAACGAGCAGATCCTCCTTACCGCCGCGGGCAACGAAGATACCGGCGTGACGGTGAGGCTCAATGATGACCTTCGCACCACCCTTAGCACCAGCAGCACCGCCGCGACCACCACCACGACCGCCACGGCCACGAGGAGCTCCACGGCCGCCGCCACGACCACCGCGGCCACCGCGGTCACCGAAGCCACCACGACCACCTGAAAGGTTGCATACAAGTCAGCGAAACAATCCTTTTGCAATCAATATAGACAGAACTCTGCCTATCCTTAAGACAATCATGGAGCGCAGGCAAGAGCCATGCACCCTGCAGGTCGAGCTTGAAAGGTTGGAAACTAACCACCACGGCCACCACCACGACCACCGCGACCACCACCGCGGTCACCGAATCCACCGCGTCCACGAGGGGGACCACCACGGCCACGAGGAGCGAAACCCATTGTTGTAATGTGTGGTTGTTGAGTAATAAAAGGAGGGGGGCGAGTGGGTTGGAATTGAGCTACCGACTGCTCAGACCGAAAAAAAAATGTCGAAATTGACGGTGGGTGAAAATCGACACTAAAAAATCGACTAGGGAAGGTGAAAGTTGGCAAAATCTGCCCAGGCTTTGACAGCAATTATGGTATTGGCTGAAAAAGCGGTGTCGCCAACAGTTAGAAGTTGGTGCTGCTCGTTGCTAACAGTCGAGAATTTTTTGCGTTCGCTGGATGGTTCAGAAAATCAGAATCACGCTAGCCCGGTACTGGTTAGCGTCCCAGTATCGGCGGCGGAATGGTCACGTGGTATAAAATATTTCTTTTGGTAGTCACGTGCAGTCTCGAGGATTCGGACTGGGTGTACTCCGTATTTGATGGAAAAATGTCCTCTTTTAACCTGCCCCAGCTGCTCACTTTGCATGTCCTCCAGATAAATGCACTGCCAATGGTAGTTTACGTTTCATTTTGACTGGCGTGGCTCTCCAAGTACCCATTGCTATCATATTAGTACAAGTACGTCAATTCAATGAAAGTCCATCAAGGTCAACAAATTGTATTAATAACGCCAGCCGGTGCATTGCATGTGGTATTGTCAAATAATAAGATAATAAAAAGCGAGCATAGCAGATATTAAGGCATATCCAGACTCAATACCAATACCACTGTCTATTTACAAAACAAAATGTCTCAAGCCATCTCTAGTCAAAAAAATAGTAGTTGGCTGAGTACTGCATCTCAAAAGAGGGAGGCTGTCCTTCGCAAGTCTTCGGGGCTGCACCGGAAGCAGTGTTCACTCGGTAGACGGCCTTGTAGTCGCCAACAGTGCCTGCGACAGTCTTGAGGTATAACCAGGCCACAGCCCCATTTTGTCCCTGGAAGGCATTGGAAGGAGCCTTGAGCTGGCTGACCTTGTTGGTCATCAGCACGCCAAACTGCCTGTCGATGGTGGTATCCAGGTTGAACTCTGGGGTGGTAGCGTCGTGGAAGAAGTGGTGGCCAAGGAGCTGCATATTGCCAAGAGGAAGACGAAGGCTGCTGAGGAGCTTCGTATCAGTGGGCAGCGACATTCTGTAGGCGGCGTTGGGCATCAATTCCATAAGGTCAGGGTAGTTAGCCGCAATACAAGTCGCATTAAAGAGGTCTGCCACGGCGCCGATTGCAGTAGGGGTGGTCTCCTTGGTAGAATCGGCACAGGTGTAGTTCTGAGGGAGGATTAGCCACTATTCATGAAGTTCGCAAATGTTGCGTCTTTCATACCTGTGTGCCACGGCCCAATGCGACATACTTGGGTTTCAAACCCGAGGGTTGATCCGCCAGGCCGGCAGCGTAAGATGGAAGAGCAATCTTGCTAACATCGCATGCATAGGCAGCGCCGGGGTTTTGTCGGTATTTGTCGATATACTGGCTCACTTTGCCATAGTAGTCAAGAAGGTCTTCGGAGAAATCAAAGTTGTTATCGAAGATCCCTGTTGGGGCAGCATTGGAGACTGCGGCTAAGGAGAGGAGGAGAGTGAAGAACTTCATGGTGTTGTGATGATGGAGGGCGTGGAGATGTGGAATATGGTATAAAAGGGTCACGCAGAAGGGAGGTATAGTGCAGATTTTGACAGAGATTATCGTTCTAGGAAAATCGTAAATAAGCCTTTAGCAGCACCAGGCTGGTAGGCAGAGAACTGAAGGAATGACTTGGGAGATGGGTATGTCGAATCTGCCGGACCGGGATGCTTAGGTACATATAGATGCGGCGTTGATTGCAATAGCGCCAACTTTACCTAGCCAGCTCAAGAATAGAAACACCCGTCTAATTCGAAACAACGACCCATGGTTATTTTCTTCACTCCATCCTAAATCAAAAAAGGATCAATGCAGGTGGCAGGCACTAGCAGGGGCTGGTGCTTAATGGGGCATGTTCATTGGTGCGGGGAGGCGCCGAGTGCTGACTCTCCCCGCCTCTGCCCGATCTCATTCGCTCTGAGCCCTAAACAACTTTGGCTAAATCGAGATAGCAGTGCGCTAAGCAAAACAGCGGCCTTCTGACTGGGCGGCACCAGGAAGCGGATTCCTCACCCGATCGCCCAATCTCCCAGAAAATCTCCGCAGGCTATTAATAAACCCTAGCCAGCGTGATGAGGGATGCGCGTTACAATTGCCTCGCTGGGTTAGTGTGCAGAGATGCAACAGGGGAGGGTAAAATTAAACAGCTACTGAATCCCGAGCGCGTGGGCAAGAGATCGAGCTTAAGTCCCTTTGCTTTATTATTGGACGAAGCTGAACCGGCCTCTCCGCCAGATCTGGCTGGATGATGTTTGAGCAGCCACCCGACTCGTACGCCCTAACTCGCGGGGAGGCTGGATGGAGCTGGGAGGCGCCGAAATTTTGGAGGTTTCCCCGCCTCCCTTGGTTGTGGCTGCCCGCTATTCCCTAAATCTGAGCAATGTTACAACACACCGGCGCGTGCGATATTCCTGTGGGACGCCACATAAATGGTATTGTAAGCATATGATGAATACAAGCAGCCACACGAACACCTGTTTTCGTCTGTGGTTGGCTTGACCTTGGATATTTTAACCGACCGCGTCAAGATCCCCAGACTATTATTATACCGACATTGTACCAATTAGGGAAATGCCAAAGCTGACTCAGGTGCAGAGTATGGTCCACGACAAAAATAGGCGTCCTTCATACTAAACAGGCTTCGAGTCAACAATGCAAACGGGAACCGGCGGGTGAATCCGACTCATGTCCTTTAGTAAATTTTATTTATGCTGCAGTGCCTAGGAGTAAGGACCAGCACGTAGTCAAAGTAACTTGACCCGAATTGTTAAATCATTCGCCTGAAAAACCTGCAGGGAACGCGCTATGTTCGTTGTGCCAATTTTGGACTCGACCGTGATCACGCAATGCAAGCCCTTATAAGTATTGGCAGGGACGCAGAAAGACAAATGATCATGGAAGGTATACTACTACATTCTTACATCGGTATGGAGTCGATCGAGAACATGGTCAAAGTGGCCGATGGATTTCCGGACCCCAGCGACGATCCCGGAGGTCGCGAAATACGCATAACACCGCCTCTTAGTTACATACTAAGTACATAGCTTGAAATGTCAAGCCGTTCTAAGAATACCCGGGGTTTACATTTGGTCAACTCTGCTTATCTTCGAAGATTATAATCAGGGTCACGGTCAGAACGATGGTCCTCGTCCTCTTGCTAGGCCTAACGACTGTAAATACAAAGCCAGCATCGAACAAACAGGTCAAACCTGATTCAGGGGATCCCGTAGGGCAAAAAGTATTTCTGAAAAACGCCGGAATCATGGTTAGTCGGGGGAATGACAGAACAAAGGAGACAAAATGAGAAAAACTCCAGACCCTCGCTAGACAAGTACAAACACACAATACCATCTCTTCAAGATATGCAACAAGGTGCAGTCTAACTAAGAAGATACGCTCCAAAGCCTAGGTTGCAAACCCTTCTTGCTGCCAATCATCAGCATGGAGTTGGCCACCACTACCGCTGCCACTTCCGGAGCTAGAGCCTCCACTGTTCCCATAGGCCGCGGCGGCGGCACTGCCCACGACACTCATAGCGCTGTGCTTCTCGATTTCCGTGGTACTCATCATGTAAAGCATGACAAAAAGGAGTATGTGGAGAGCGAAACAGTACCCCGCAAACAGGTTTCGACTGGTCCGGTTGGCCATGATGATACGAGTGAGCGAGAATACGATCCGCTCCGGCAGATTCATACGCTTGTATGCACGCGCTGATTCGCGGCCGCGAAATGCAGCAAAGGGCGAGATCCGGGCTTCGTAGGCGGACTGGTACCGATCGAGAGAAAGCCCCGAGGGCGTCTCTGATGAGCTATAAACAGAAGCGGAGCTAGGTGCATTGGCATACGAAGATGCTGACGTAGAAGCACCCTGCCCACGGCTGTAGGTGGAGACATATCGCGTCTTCTCGTAAAGACTAAGGTTGTCCTTCTGGAGGGATGAAACCTCTTGTCTCAGAGACTTTACGGTCGCATACAGTTTGGACAATTCCTCCTCTAATTCTGCATTCTTCTTCTTGAAGCGGTCTCTCTGGGCTTGGATCATAGGTAGAAGACCGGAGCCGCCGCCGACAGCTTCTCCAGCGCGGATCGCCTCCATAGTATTTGCCGATGCAGCACTCTGATCAAAGCCAGAGATGATTGAAGAAGTGGGGGACGATGCACCCCGTCGAGATGAATGGGGATAGCGAGAAGAATAAGTTCCCGCAACAGACATGGCCGACGATGGGAAGGCGTTAGCCGCTTCTTGCTGTACCTGCAGCAAATCATTTTCAAGGGTTGTTGACAGACCCCGGGACTTTTCGAGGTCTTTCTTAGTTGTGGCGAGCTCGTTGCGGACGGTTTGGAGCTGCTCCTGAGCCTCGCGTGTTGCGACTCGTAAGACAGCAAGCTCGTCAGTCAGCTTTTTGTTGCGTGCAAGCAGGAGTTGCTCGAGGGAGTTATTTCCCTTCGACTTCACAGCACCACCGTTGGTATCAGTCGCGTCATTCTCTGTACCATCGCCAATATCTTCATCGTCACCAGCCGTGAGTTCAATTGACCTTAGCATATCCAATTCGCGACGAATATCATCGTAGTCGGCTACCTTATCAAGACGAGATCGTAGCTCATCTCTCTCAGTAATAGCCTTCTTAGCGTTTCGCTCAGCCTGAAGGAGCTTGCCCTCCCAAGCGTGCCGGGTTGAGTCTTTATCATAACGTGCGGCATCTAACTTGCGGAGCAGGCTCGAATTCTCTGATTGCAATCGGAGATACGCTGGGTCCTCTTCTACGGACCCTGGCCTATCTGCACTTGCGTGTGAGACGGACTGGGCCAATTCTAACCGCAGTTGCTCATTTCGAGCTTCCATATCGGCCAATCTTAAGCTTGTTTTCTCAAGCTCTGCAGAGACCAGCTCCAATTCGGCAGCTGATGCACCGCTTTGAGCGCCATCCTGATCGTTATCCACACCCATGCGCTGTGACACTTCATAGCTGGCCTTGAGTTCCTTGATCAATCGGTCCTGGTTTTCCACCTTCTCCTCCAGGCTCTTCTCTTTCGCGGTCCAGTTGTTGGTTTTCTCAGCAAGGACAGCCTCCCAGGAAGCTTCGATTTCCTTGGCACGTATTTCCTGATTTTCCTCAAGCTTCTTTCGTGCGGCACGCTCTTCCTGGAGCCGGTTCTCTGTTTCGTCCTGCTGCCTGGTGAGGCGCTCCACGGATCGTTGTAATTGATCTCGCTCGGAAGTGAGTTTCGGAACTGTGTCTTCGGACAAGACTAGCGAATCGACGGAAGCTTCAAGGAGGGGATAAGGATCTGGGGCTTCAGATAAGGACGAGTATAGTTGAAGGAATGCAGAGGAGGACGCTTTCCCTTGGTTAGTTAAGACATCGATAAATGACTGGTATGCTTTCAACAGTCCTTTGAACTCTGAAAGCTTCGCCTCATCATCTAACTTCCTAAAATCCTTGGTCTTCTGCGCAAGGTCTTTCCGTTGTACTAAAGAATCACGCTGATATTCCACAATCTCAGATGCTGTCGTGTCGAGTTTCGCGATGATATTGGCCAAATCGATACCTGTGTACATTGAAGTTAGTATACCTCTACGGAAAAAAAAAAGCCCTCCGAAACTATTATTATAACCCACCTCGCCAAGCAGCAATGGCTTGCTGGAATTTGTTCGTCTCCTCGGACAGGCTGCTCAGAGCTGGATCCGGTTGAGTTTCTTGCGGTTCCTGGGCAGCAATACCCTCTGTAATCGCAAAGGAGTCCATGACGAAGATTCCCCCGGAGCGTCAATGCAGTTCACCCCACACTCAAGTCGCAATTCACCGGCCAGTAATTAGGAGGGGAGATCGCGCGGAGTTGCAATAGGACACGCGGCGCGACGGGCCGACGTTCTTCCGCGTAGAGTAGGCCACGGCGTGGAAATTAAGAAGAATGCTTTGAAGGAAGAGTAGCTTGGATTTCAATGCGTGCTATTTGAGATCATCGCGACGAGAGTGGTGCTTTGACAGCCGTTCAGATCTGAGGCATCCATCCGTCGCTGGTCCATGAACCAAGTGGCCCCTGAGGCTGAGGAGCTGACCGCCTTCCGTTACAACTCCATCTACTGCTGGAGGGGAACGACGATCATTAGAAGCCCAGCCACGATGGCTTCAGATGGTGGACTAGGTCCTCGCAGGAGGCGTAGGCTTGGTCCCCCGGCAGCCGAGCCCTACGTGCTGCGATCTCTATTCGAAGACGTGCCGCTCGCAACTGAAGATAGCTCCGACGTTTACATCACCTGCGTTGAATACTGGGGTAAGCTGGAACAAGCTCTAGTATTCGGTTCGGAGCTCTGAGCTAACCTAAAATTGATTGACAGAGCAAAACCTTTACATCGGAACTTCAGCGGCAGAGATATTGCACTTTGTCTGCCTTCCAGCAGCCTCCGACGATTCGGCTGACCCGACGTTCATATTAGCCTCGCGACTACCTATACCATTTCAAAGCACACCGGAAACGGGCCCTAAAGGCGTTCAGCAGATCGTTATACTTGCATCGGTAAACAAAGCTTGTATCCTCTGCAATGGTACCGTTACGTTCTACATGCTTCCGGAGCTCAGCCCGGCATTCGGAAACACCAAGGTCAACCACTGCCGCTGGATCGGCGGCTTGGATCTCGATCGAACACCCGAATCCGAAGACAAGCCGGTAGTAATGATTGCTGCACAAAATAGGCTTATGCTTGTACAAATAGGAGACGAGGCCCGTCGCATCAAGAACATCGCTTTTCCCGGGTGTTTGGTCGCAGCGCGCAGGGGCACAATTGCTTGTGCTGCTGATTCCCTTTCATACTCGCTCCTAGAGGTAGAATACCAGCAGCAGATACCTCTCTTCCCAATTTCCTCATCCAATGAAGTCTTCGAGTCAGGAAATGTGGAAGACATCACACCAGCCCCCCAAACTCCTCTTAAACGATCACCCTCATCGTCCTATCCAAGTTCTCCTCCTACGGAGTCCCAAACCCATGGAAGAAGCACGAGCCTCAATGCCTTTGTGGGGATGCTGCAGCCTCAATCACAAACGCAAGCAGCTCCCTCTCATAGATCTCCTTCCCCCGCTGGAACACCAGACCCCTTCACATCCTCCGGCACTCCGAGACGATCAAGCTCAGAAGATCGAGAAGGCAATAAGCCTCCAGAAAAGGACTCAGAAAATTCAGAACGTACTGAGAATGAGGAAGCACAGCCTGCTCCTGATAGTCTGAAGCCTTTACCCCCGATTCCAAAGGTGGTTTCGAACCCCCTTCAGCCTCATATTGTATCACCAACCCCCTCAGAATTCCTCCTTGTTACCGGCACCGAGGAGACCGAACCCGGTGTTGGAATGTTTGTCGACACTGATGGTGAAGTTGTCCATGGGACGATCAACTTTTCTCGGTACCCAAAATCAGTTGTCGTTGATGCTGGCAAAGACGACCAAGCACTTCAGCCAAACAATGCCTCCAGAGAGGAGTTTATTATTGCGCTGATTAAAGAAGCCGACAATTCGACCGCTCTGGAAATTCAGCGTTGGTATGACGACCCAGCAGAGATTGAGCAACATAAGAAAAGAATAGCAATCCCATCTCCTGAAGGTGCATCTGCTCAGGTTGGACTACGACACACCGTTAGTCCCAGCCAAATTGATCTTCAAGATATTGGCAATCTCTTACAGATGGTCCGGTTGAAATCACCTCTATTGTCCCCGCATGCTTCATCTTCGGATCCGCGAACACAAGCGTCTATCGAGCAGCTTCAGAAAGAAAAAGAGCTCTTTGAATCCCAAGAACTCTCAGATGCCGATAATACTAAAAAAGAGCGAGACTGGGAAAGTCAGAGGAATGCCGAAGAGGCGAAATTTGCACAGGGCCTGGGTAAACTCCAAAGTAGTCTGGTTCTCTGGTCAGGCTCCCAAATATGGCGCATTGTGAAGAATCCCCTGGTTGTCCAGCTTGAGAACGCACTGGAAAAGGCCCAGTCCAAAAGTGATGGCCGCCATATCATTTTACAGAGAGACTTTGTCATGGACCTGATGGTCTCAATCCAGGACCTTGAGCCGAAGAACGAATCTGAGTTCATTGGTCTTGGCTATTTGAAGCAAAAGGCCAGTCTCCTCCTGTACGGGGATCTCCTTTCTATGCGCCCAGAGCATACGAGCGATGCCGCGATAAATAATACCGAGAAGGCTCTTTTGGCGGGTAACCTTGACCCGCGCCTAGTCTTATTGTTTATTCCCCTACTCCGATGTGAGGTCCAACAAGGCCCACAAGGAATATGGAACCATGCCGGACTGGTGTCTCTAACACATAAATACGTCAAGCAAGTAGAGGAACGAAGCAAAGAGTCTTCTGGGGCAGCTGCCCATGGCCCGGTTCTCAGCATGCTGAGGCGTTTCCTCTCTTCGTGGCAACAGAAGCGGGGCTACGGTAGTATCACAGACGAGAACTATGTCTTTGACAGTATTGACGCTGCTCTTTTGCATCTGCTCCTTGAGCAAGACAGCCACTTGACTGCCCAGCAACGTGCTCATTCACATACTTCGAACGACTTGAATCTATTAGTTGATACCTGGAAAGGGAACTTCGAACGTGCAGTGATGCTCTTGGAGCAGTACAAGAGACTCTATGTCCTGAGTCGCCTTTACCAGAGCCGGAAGATGTATGGCAATGTCCTCAAGACATGGCGAAGGATCATCGATGGCGAGCTGGACGTCGGAGGAGAGGTCACCGCCCATAGCATTGAAAAGAAGATGCGTGAATACTTGATCAAGATCAAGGACGCCCAACTAGTCGAAGACTATGGCTCCTGGCTTGCGGCCCGGAATCCCAGTCTGGGTATTCAGGTGTTTGCGGACAATGCTAGCCGGGTGAAGTTTGACCCCGCAGACGTCGTTTCTTTGCTCAAAGAGCGTGCCCTTACGGCCGTCCAAGTTTATCTGGAGCACCTGGTCTTCGCTAAACATTATACGCAATATGCGGATGACTTGATCTCCTACTATTTGGACGAAGTCATCTCGGTGCTCGAAACCTCACCAGAGGCACGGGCATCCCTCTCAGAGTCATACTCCACGTACCGGGCTCTTCGACCCCCCAAACCAACGTACCTGAACTTCATTGTCGAGAATAAACCCGAAGAGGCTTGGTGGCAATCTCGTTTGCGACTTCTCCAGCTGCTTAGTGGAACCTCGGGCACCCAGTTCTCGTCTGATTCTCTCTCCCGCAGGAATCACATATTCCATACCTAAGGTGCTGAAGCGAATCGAGCCCTTTCAAGACGACCTCGTCTCAGAGAGCATCATTCTAGACGGGTTGCAAGGTCGTCATCGCGCTGCACTGCGACTCCTGACACACGGCCTGGGGGACTATGACTCCGCGATCCGGTACTGTCTATTCGGTGGTCCACGCAGCCCAACCTCCTCAACCAAAGCCGAGCCTGAGCTCGCGGACTATGCGTTGCAGTCTGAACTCTTCCGCGATCTTCTAGATGAGTTTCTTCACATCAAGGATCTGTCTGAGCGCATAGAGCGAACAAGTGACCTCCTCGCGCGTTTTGCGGCGTGGTTCGACGTCACTGAAGTCTTGGAGCTCGTGCCGGAAGATTGGTCAGTTGACATCCTGGGCGGCTTCTTCGTGCATGTCTTCCGTACTCTTGTTTCGCAAACTCGCGAAGCGCGTATCGAACGAGCTTTGAGCGCGGGGTTGAATCTTCGTATTGGTGTCGATTATACTGATAGTATGGAGAAAGCCGGGCCTTGGCTCGAGAATGGAGATGGTGTGAAACGTTTGAAGGGCGGTGGCCCTCGGGACCTGCAGCACCCGCCGCCAGCCGTGGATGGCGATAATGTGGAAGACGATGGCGAGTTTGGGGAAGTTGTTTCTCCATCGCCTTGAAATGGAGTGGTTTACGGGCTGGGGTTGTACAGTCATTGACTCTCATTAAAGCACCTATGATACCTTCAATTTATTCATCCTGGAGCATTGAACGTGGAAGTAAAGGCATGACGATTGAGTAGAGTTCGCAAGAAATTTTTGCTTTGAGCTTTGCTTTTATCGATGGGACCTGATTGCCGCTGACACCCGTAGCAGCACGGTGTCTCTTAGTGCATAGAGATCCACTTTTGCCTCCGAAGGGTTGACAGGAGATATTGTGTCATCCGTGCGTGTAGTGGCGTGGGAAAGGTGCAGACAAGATCGTCTGGACATGTACGAACACCTGGAAAGTCGGTATAGAGCCAACCTTCCTGAACACAACGCCGTGTGCCGCCATCCAACGACTTCCAAGGAATGCTCCCCTTAAGCACGACCTCGCGGAGACAAGCAATGCTGGGCTGGTCAAGCGTTGCACTGCTGGGCAAGGTCTCCCCAAACGGAGTGTTGCGGAGGCCGAGGAAGAACTCTCTGTGCTTACCATCTAGAAATTCCTGGATTCTGCTCTTTTCGAAAGGACAGCTATCCTTCACGTTGCGGGACAGATCCACAACCTGCCAAAGTAATCAGTAGGATGAACCACTACAATCATCGGGTATGGACGCGGGCTCGACACCTGTTGCAGAACGACCAGTACGGCGGCAACTGCCGAAGGGTGGCCCCTTGTCAAGTTGAAAACAAAGTCGGAAGCAGAATCACTCAGGGAAAGGGTGGAAGCGTGGTGTCCACAGAAGCGATGGACATAGTCATTGAATTCCGAGCGGGTAAAGTACAGACCGAATTGAGGCGAATTTGGCGTGTCAAACTTCGGGACGATCGACACACGCTGCTGCATTTGGAACCAGGCCTGATCATGGGAAGCGAAGGGGTCAAAGGATAAAACGTCGATACCGAAATAGGGATCTCCCTGTTGCGCAAGCAGGCAGACGCCGTTGTATCGAGTGTTTGGGAAGCCACGTATAAAGCCAGTCCAAAAAGTCTCCTCATGATAGGTGTGGTGCACATTGTCCAGTATCCAAAAGACGTCCATACAGAACATATCTGTGTGGCCGATCTCATGGCCTTCATCTTGAGCATGTTCAATCAGCATGCCACAAGCAGTCCTTGTATCTCTAGGATCCTTATTAGGAGGAGGCCAATCATTGTGGTAAATGACCGATCGACCACTTTCTTTAAGGTGGTGACGTAAAAGCAAGGCCAGCTCGGTCTTGCCTGACTTTGGCGGACCGCGTATGTAGGTCACGTTATGGGATTGTATAAGTTCCGCCAGTTCTTGCACGGTGTCAGGGCGGGAAGAGGTTGACAGTCCTAGAGCCATTAGTGCTCATCAAGACACATAAGCATAATATTAGGGAGAGACTCACTGAGAGCTATTGGAGAGGCTACTATCCTTGTACTGGCGGAGGTCATGGCTGAATCTCGCGTCCGGGAAAGGCAGGAAGAGGGACGAGACGCTGGGGATATGTGGGGATGTGAAAGCGTCCCGAAAGGGGACACGAGAAGAAACCATGATTATAAGTACAGAAAAAGAGGAAACAAACGAAGAGATAAACAATGGCTCTAATTTGGAGCTCCAAGGTTTTCCCCCCGACTCTCAACCTTAAATTACCATCTCTATAGTGTAGGATTAGAAGCGCTGCAATGCCTACTAATACGGCATGATTCCTGAAGCCATGTACAGCGTTCCTGCCCGGCGCATCCTGAGACCATCCGGGCGAGAATGGGCATGTGCTTTTAAAGGATGAATGGACTTTCCCAAATCCCTATGTATTTGCGCATATATACTCTTTCATCTCGTTGGACATGCGAGTCATTCTTTTATTTCAAGTTTATGGAAGGTTTGGTATAGTATCCATGTTTCGTGTTTGAAGCCTCCATCATAGAGGCCACCACGGATCACCGCAAACACGCTGCATGCGTTCCCTTCATCACATGTCCCACCCATGAAGAATTGAGACCCATTGCTTTTGATGGTTTCCAGAGTAGGCTGATGTCATGCAGACGTTCTCCAAGAAGCCGGGTATCTTGCTTGGATCGATAAAACAGAAGTAGTGTATGGTTACTCTTCGGGCTGGACAAATGGATTGGGAATCTCCTCACTACCATCCGCTGGAGAAATCAACACGATGAGGGTCCCGCGGGCGACGATCAAGCCCAGCGGGCGGGTGGTCAGGTTGCCCTCGTCATCTGGAGGAATTTAGAATTTATTCATGAAGAGCATATACTCGCAGAACATAAAGCTCCCCAGAAAGAGATACATACCGCGCATGGCCTCCTTGACATCGTCGAGCACAAGGTTCATAAGTTGATCATAGCCCTTGAGGGTACCGGTAACTGGCAGAATCGATATCAGTATCAAAGGCGGAACACACAGCCATCAAAACCTTTACCTTCGCGACCGCCATTGAACTTCACCTGGACCTCCTTGTCCATGTACTTGTTGAGATCGAGGATATTCTCCTTCTTCGGCTTCTCTTGCGCAGCACCCTTATCACCTTTTTGCTGGGGCTGACGCCCGCCGCGACCACGGCCGCCACGGAAAGAGCCTCGTTCGGACATGTTTAAGCGGTGAGATGGGTGGGGAGAGACGGACAAGCGACGAAGGGGAGGTTAGAGGGAAGCTAAACCCAGATAGGGAACCAAGCGAGACAGAGGAGAGTGCAGTATGAGGGATTTTCGGCGGAAGTGATTGGGGCAGAATCGAGGTGTCCGCCGTTGCCCATCCCGCCCGTAAGTTATGCGTATTTGACTGGTATTGATACGCCCAGCGGAGATTTGGTCGACGTTCCGATATTCCGGGAGCTACAGCAGTGCCCGTTCTCGATGGAACCCATTTTGGTACTTCCCAGCAGCTTGCAGGCACTCCTCGCCAATCAACAACATAGCGCTAGGCTGTCCATCACATCATTTCAGTGACTGTAACTCGATCCGGTGGAGAATATCAGCCGTACCAGAGCTGGCTCTAGGCGGCCACCAAAAGGCCGCCAGGCACCCACGTTTAACGAGAGTAATCATCCCAATTGAGGAGCCCGCTCATGTGGAGGCCCCCAAAAAGGCTTGTCTCGTTGATCAGCACTATACTGTATTACCATTGCTCAATGTTTGCGTTACAAAAAAGGCTTAAGCTTTTCCCCCTTGGATCTGGTATCCTGAGGTCCTAGGCGTGGGTCTCCCATTTACATAGGCGCCTGCAATACGCAGCGGGGCCTCTCGGCGGAGAGCGGGACCCTCCGCTGCGTATTGGTAAATACTCCCTCCCAGTGTAAGTATTGGGTACCTCTTCCAGGCCGGGGGGGGGGGACTTGACATTCCCCAAGGCCTTGTCTTGTTCTCCTCCTCTTCATGGGCCCCATGCTGTTTCTCTGTCGCCCAATACGCCCGCGCGCTTTCCAGTAATCCTCCGCTCAGGTTCCGCTGTTTCTATATCGTCTTCGGAAAGCCTGCTCGCCCCTGTCTTGCCCCTTTTTTTTTTTGGGGAGACCAATCCCCTCCTTTCAGCTACCCTGGGTTCTGCTGAGCCACTCACTCTCTTCCCGCTGGGCCCCTGGTCGCGAGAGGGACTGAAGACCGGCTCCTCAAACAGCAACGTCCTCCTTATGAGTGAACTAGTCACCGTCCCGACCAATTCCACCATGGAGTCCCGCAACCCGACGGCGGAACCGTCCAACAAGCGGCCTCGATCTCCCACGATTGACCACCCGCCCCAGTCCAAAGTCCCCAAGACACACTCGAACCACCTTCAGATTAACTATCTTGCGCGCCAATACCCCGACAACTTGCCGCTGGTGTCTGCGGACGATACCATGCCTGCGATTATCCACCTGATCGGCGAGTATGACGGAGTGCTTCAGCGCCACGAAAGTATCGCCGGGAATCTGGGCGCATGCCCGCTGGGCCCGATCTTGATCAAACGCTTTGAGCGCCTGTTTGACGGGCCGCCGAAAGTCCTCAAAACGCATGGCAAGGATGGACCGACGGTTACTTGGCTCGATGTGGTCGAGTTCGCCAAAAGCAAGCCGGAGCAGTTTAATCTGGAAAAGACCCGCAATGGGGTGCGCGTCTGTCAATTCTATACCAAGCAGTGTCGGGTGGAGATTAGCGAGGAGGATTTTGTGCTCATTGCGTCGGGCATGCCGCAGAAGATGATTCCTCCGCAGCCTATCATTGAAGATGAGGAGAAAGAGCTTGGCGGGTTGGAGATTCTGGAAAAGAACCTCCAACAAATCATCCAGATGGCAGATCAAGGTAAGTTCGAGGATCTTCTTTGTCCAGAGTGCCATATTTTGACCCAATGCTTACCTTGACGCATATAGTGTCTGCTCGGGCCCGCCAACTCAGTTATCGTCTCAAGAATCGGCGCACCGCGATCATGACCCGCCGGGAGAACGATGCTAGTCTGCAGATGCGGTCGGGAGACCATGCCAACGGCCATTCTACAATCACGAACTCCCCCCGGCTTCCTGGCTGTGAATGCAGCGCGAGCGGAGGCAGAGGCAGAAGCCCACGCTTCCCAGTTTATGTTCCCGCAGTCCAACACCGATAATGTGACGATAATCAATGGAACTTCGGTCAAAGGTGCATCCCCGACCACCCGCTCCGAACTGATGAAGAAGTTCTTCACCACAGCAGATCGCCAGACCCGCGGCTTAGAGGATCCCGCTGCATCTGGCAACCCTCCACCAGCACCACAGCCACGAGGGTCCGACCCCGCCGGATACAGTCTCTACAACACCTCATCCACCCCGGTAGCCATACCAGGCACACCATCCTCTCCTCCCCCCACCCAAAACCGCCCCCCAAGAAAAGGACGAGGGCGGCCCCTTCAAACAGAGATGATAGCGCACATGGAAGAGCTCCAACGCGGCGAACGCGTTGTACCACCTTGTGACCGTTGCCGACGCCTCCACATGGACTGCGTCAAGAACCTCACAGCATGCGTCGGCTGCACCAAGAAACACTGCAAGTGTTCATGGCGCGAAGTCAAGGAAGAAGAAATCCGCGCCGCGGCATGGAGCTCAGCCCCACGCGAGCGCCCTGAGCCCGATCGCCCCGTGTCACTGCCCATCCAAACTCATCCAACCGGCCCATATTCACCGCACGGCCCGCACTCGGCAGACCCCCCCTCCAGCTCCCGCTTCAGCCCCAGAGCAATATCCTCGATATAGTCCGCAACATAACCGCCGCGAGTCGGCTCCCGGAGCTCCCCATGTGACACCGGGGCCCGGCGCCACTCTCCCTCTCTCCTCGGGGAACTCTCCGCGCAGAGCAAAGAGCGAGACCGAGAACGGCGGCCGGTCTAGACCTGCGCCGAACGAGGAGGAGGATCCGGATGCCAATCAGCGGTTGATGCGGGCTATCATGGACACGGTAGATCATCATACGCGCGTGGCGGCTGCCGTGCAGGAGCGGGAAAGGGTGGTCGAGCGCGCTGGAGACGTCTCTTATGAGCGTGAGACGGCCGATCGGGAGCGAGATCGAGATCGAGATCGAGATCATGCGAGGGAGCGGGAGCTTGAGCGCGAACGGATGTATGAGCGCGAGCGTTTAACCCGGCTTCGGTAGTCATTTGTTTTCTTTGTTTGTATTTTATATATATTTTGTACAGGTTTGGCGATGGCGAATGGTGAGTGATGGAGTTGTGTTTCGCGCGAAATGGACAGAGAGGTGCAACTTTTTTTTTTTTCATTTTCATCTCTAGTTCATATCTAGTCCATATATTGTCTATACTAGTATCAGAGCATGCGATCACATTGCCGGTTTAGCACAGTCGATACCACTTTAAGTTGGGCTTTATCATCGTATTCCATTACTCTAAGAACTCGCGTACCATCCACCTCAAGAACTGTCAGAACGTGATATGTAACACAATCAAAGATGATAGGTGATAAGACCCGGATATAGGATTCCGATAACGAACCTCTTTTGATCTATGCCGTATGCCATTGAAGACAGAAACAAAGCTCATGGAGTTTAATGAATGTTCCCTTGAACTTTCGATGCAGAAATTGATGCCTCCGGCGGGGGTTGACATGAAATGGCCCGAACCCAAGGCTGGTAGTAAGCGCTGATCAAAAAGTCTGTACGACATACCTTGATCAGGGATTCAATTTCACCCTTTTCATAATATCAATACTCGGATCAGGCAACGATGGTTCCAAGAAGATCCTACTCATAAGGATTATTATCGGGCCCAACCCTCCTAGCAAACGCAAAGACCGAGCCATATGTGCTAGTGTTACACCAGAGGGGCGTTACGTCCTCCAATTCAATAGGAACGACTATTGTTAGGGCCTAGTTGGTAGCGACTGGGCCGTTAAATATGGAATTGGACTATCTCGGATATATCTCTTCCGAACATTCAAGCTTCTTAGTTAGCAGCTTAGGGATCGCTGACCAAGAACTTAGTATGGTTCCGTGCGGGGAAGGACCGGGTATACTCTCATGCATGCTACACCTACAGCGATTTGCACTAGAACGTACAGTGAGAATTCCAGAGGTAAAAAGGCCAATATGCCCCGACCTTGAAGTTTGTCCAAAATATAGAAACGAACTTGCCAATTGAAGATCGGCAGATGCGATGCCCCAAGCTCGTCAACTGCCGTGGGGGTTTCCCGGGCCTCAGCGGGAGGCAAAAGTAATTGCGCCGCGCTAAATCGCTGGACGAGCGGGGCCTGCGGGGAGCCCAACGCTCGGAAGCTCCCAAATCTTTGGGGAGCAACGTCCAAGCTCGTAAGAAAGTACCCTCCCCACCATCCTCCGACTGGACGCTGCCGTATTTCCGTAGAGTGTATAACCCCCCGCTGTTGTCCGACAGTTCAAGACCGAATTCCCCTCAAGATTCTCTCTCAGACCTTTCACTCCACGGACTGACTATACCCAATTATACCCAACACCATCACGATCGAAGCCAAGGCCTTCAATACAGCCCATCATGGACCCCTCAAAAGTCAAAATCCCTCCAATGAAAGATCTGAATATCGAAAACATTACCGAGAACGTCATCGCCATAAACTCCCTCTGCGAAGACGCGCGCATGAGATATATCCTTGAGCGCCTGGTCACCCACCTGCACGACTTCGCCCGCGAAACCCGCCTCAGCACGAACGAATGGATGGCCGGCCTCCTCTTCCTCACCGAAGTCGGTAAGAATTGCAGCGACGTACGCCAGGAATTCATCCTCCTCTCCGACGTCCTCGGCCTCTCCCTCCTCGTCGACTCGATCGACCATCCCAAGCCTCCCGGCAGCACCGAAGGAACGGTCCTAGGGCCCTTCCACACGCACGAGGCGGAGGAAATCAGCGCGGGACAGAGCATGTCGTCTGACCCAAAGGGCGAGCCCCTCCTCGTGGTGTGCACGCTGAAGGATACCGAGGGGCGGCCGATCGAGGGGGCGAAGATTGATATTTGGGAGACGGATTCGTCGGGGAAGTATGACGTGCAGTATGCGGAGAGGGATGGGCCGGATGGGCGCTGCGTGATGAGGTCTGATAAGGAGGGGGTGTTCTGGTTTAAGGCGATCACGCCGGTGCCGTACCCCATTCCGCATGACGGGCCTGTGGGGGAAGTTGTTGTTGAAGCTGTTCCGGCATCCGTATCGACCTTCGCACATGCATTTTATGTTTGAGAAGGAGGGGTTTGATCATTTGATTACGTATGTGTCTCTGTTTCCCAAGTGCGGCGGGGTTGGGATGATCTTGCTAACACGGATTATAGTGCGTTGTATCTTCGAGGGGATCCGTACGAGACGTCGGATGCTGTGTTTGGCGTCAAGAACTCTCTCGTGGTGGACATTGGAAAGGCGGGTCCGGAATATGCGCAGAAATATGGGGTTCCGGAGGACCACGCGCTGCTCACATATGATTTTGTGCTTGTGCCGGATGAAGAGACTGCAAGCTTGCGGGCACATAATTCAAAGGTTGCGTTGGATAAGCTGGGACGGAAGGTTAAAATTGTCAATGGGCTGCCTATCCCAGATCTAGATTAGTAGACCTTCAAGTCGCTTTGAAATACGAAAAACGGACAAAGAATTGCAATGCGGTCTGCAAAAATACCATTATGAAAAGTGATCGGGGGCGATTCGCTTCGTGCGAATGTGCTATCGACACGCAAGTCCAGAGATTTGTACAGGCCTATATTTCTTGTTCGTAAACCAGTCCCGTGGATTGAAATAATAGTATTGGGTTTCTTCATTCTTTATCTGTATTTCCCGTCAGATTGTGCAGGGATATGGCTTGAAGATATATGCAAACGACTGCAACAGGAGCCGAGACCCTCCATCTCAGGGAACTCCAACAACACAAGCGGCTGTCTGGATGTGACGCAGACGTAGCCTGTGTACAAAGGAAGAGGGGATGTGTCAACAATAACAGAAAGGGAACCAGAAAAAAAGAAACCTTAGGGCCGGGTACTCAGCGCAACCCTCTCACAAGATTAATTTCGAAACGCCGCGGCTGGCAGGGTTAGTGCATCCGTCGAGTCGGCTTCATAAGAGCCTGGAACGAAGACTCGAGGGCCTTCTTGATCTCCTTGTAGCTGACAATGAAGCAGCTTTGTTCGTCACGGCTCACCAGAGTGATCTTCTCTTCAGTCCCCGCATCAAGTTTATTCAGGCATGTAATAACATGGCCGAGGTCGACAACAGGATCTCCCTGGGCGTCTACTTGATGGAAGACGTAGTCACGGAAGATCTTGAGGAAGTAACGTTCGCCGTTCTCAGACCACTGACGATCATGCTCGTATTCGGGTCGTTCGTTAATAAAGTTGAGCTTTGTCATTAGACGTACCAAGCGTCCATTCTCCAGTTCGCGAGAGAGGTCGGATGTGAGTTGATCGTCGAGGTGTAGCGCGGAATCAAACGTCGACATCAGCTGGGAGGAGATACCAGATATAAATACATCGATGGTGTGGTGCTCCTGAGCTGAGCTTGGGGTCTGGAGTGCATTCAAGAGCCAAAAGACAGAGGTTTTCATCTGGGGCCCATATGCCCGGGTGAAGTGCTCCATGGCTTTCGTAGGGTTGTGCATTACACTGGGAGAATTTGCTCCAAGGGCGACAATCAGTTGGCCGAAATTGACCAGGTCCTGCCGCTGCAGGTCGGCAATGGTCCGCTGTGTATCAAATTGAGTAACGTCCAAGATAGCGCAGGCATTCAGACGGACGCGGTTTTTGCCCGTCAAGAGGACCTTGCTTGGCTCGAGAACTCTGGCAGCGAGGCCATTAGAATGGATTGCCTTCAGTCCATTGGCGATCTGGGTCATATAGCCCCATAGAACCGGCTCAGTGACGGGAGTATTGTGGCGAGTTTGGAAGCGGTTTCCTGCGCCCAAGTGCTGCTCCGCAAGAGTCTTGGATAGTGGATGGTAGTCGGTCACAAATATGAGGGAGCTATCTTGGAAACTACGGCTCGTAAATGCGTCGATAACAGTCACCACGCTTCCACTACACACACGTTTCCATGCCTGGACGGATCGAATGGCTTTCTCATTTGTCAAGCGAAATCCTAGTCTTGGTTAGCGATTCCTCTGCTGCCGTATCGGAGTCACCATACCTTCGAGCCGTCTAAGCACGTAGAATTTGCCATCCTTGCTGGATTGGGCTTTGTACACCCAGCTAGGATAGCCAAAGGTAGCCGCGTTCTTCTGGTGGCTGAGGTCAAGTGGCACTAGAGAGTGGAAATAGTCGACTTGGGCAGGGAGTTGAGTGTCTTGAAGAGCATGTCAGTCCAATGCAACCTTTCAGATAAAATCTCAATCAACGTACTTGGGAGAGCTTGCAAAGTGGCTGCAGACTTCTTCTGCATTTCCTCTCGAAGGTCGTTTGCGAGGAAAAGATCGTGGACGTTACGCTGATAACCTAGAATATTTTGACTGTGAGGGCCGATCGGGGCGTAGAGGTGATATTGGGCCTGAACAGGTTAGTCAATGATGCATGATGAGATTTGCATCGAAACGTACCGGTTGCTGAAAGCCAGCCTGAGCTGGAAAGAAAGCCCCACTGAGCGCAGCGGCAGCGGCATCGTGTGAGTATGGGTTGGCGGGAACAGCTCCAACAGCACCTGCTGCGCCCAAAGGAGTCGAGGCCGTCACAAAGGGGTCGTAAGCAGCAGAGGCGAGCGAACCGTTCCCATTGCCCTGCAGGGACGCCTTAGGCAAGGTGTTAGCTTGTGGGGGCTCAAATGAATGCGTGAAATGGGTTGGGTTGGAGAGGCGCGTTCGCCTGGTTCGAGACGTAACGTGCTCTGCTGGGGCTACCCAGCCTTGAGTGTTGGGGCTCAGGTCCACTGCCGTAAGTGCTGACAGAATAGCTAGCATGACCCCAGATGGGCACCAATTCTAAGAATTGTAGCATCAAGAGGCATGCAGGGTAAAACCCCTCAATAAAGAGACAGGGGCGGGTAATAAAATCCAGCGCGTCCAACTTACCACATGGTCACCGAAACCTTGGGGTACAAATTCTTGCACATCAGCAACCGTCCAGTCGGAAGCTCCTGCGTCTTGTCCCGCACTTGGAGTGCTCGAGTTAGAGCCTTTGCCAGTCAGTGGAGATCGCAACTCGGGACTAAAAGACACCATACGGGATGAGGAAATTCGTGGTTGAAACGGAGCTGCACTTGCAGCTTTAGGAGAGATAATGGATTTCTTCGGGGCGGATGAGCCGTTGCCGGATAAAATAGAAGGAGTGAAGCTGGGCGAATCAACATTGAATCGTTTCTTGTTACTGAATCATGGAAAATCTTGTCAGTCCCAACGATGCAAAGAAAAGTTGTAGGATAAAATGGTGAAATACCCGTCTGACTGATGCGCTGCGTTGAGTTTCTGAGGATCGTGATTGAAAGCACAGCCTGTTAGAAGAACCATAAGTTGACATCATTCCTCACGTCTCATACCGGTATAGCTAGCTACCTTTATCTTCGAAACGACATCGGCCATAGATAGTCACATTTCGACATAGAGTATCTTTCGCGTTCTCTATTTGTCGAGGGTTGAGTTAGTGCAAGTTCCTCCAGTTATGACCGGCTGATTGAGTATTCCCGATCTCGAAAGCCTCTAATGCATGCTTTCCTCCCAGAGTTGAGCGCAACTTACCCCGTGACTTCATTTTGGGCGAACCCAGCGTACGGCGGGAATCATCCAGAGGAGGCTTGCCGGAGGAGGCCATGATGATATGGCTAGTACCGAGGATATAAGATCAGCGCAGAAGGAACCCCATTGAAACGATATGGAATGGGACGATTGATTGGACGGAGAGGAAACCACATTCCTTGCGATGTGATGTCTTTCTCGGCGGAGGACGCGTTAGAGGGGGGAGGAGGATCGGATCAATGGGGAAGTCAATGAGAGGCTAGGGCAAAGAGATGGAACTGGCAGATCAGCAAGAAGATAAGGATACAGGACCCGAAGAGGCTCCTCCCGCCAAATCTCAAGCCGGGGAAGATAGAACTGATAGACGACGCGGGGCGAGGGCGAACTCGAAGGGGCGTGCACGGTCCAGGCGGTCAGGCCCGCGATCGAATCAGTCAAGCTGATGCTCCAATGGATCCGGTGATAAGAAATGTACGCAATACCTTGTAGGGAGCCGATTGGACCTGGACTTACCCTGGACTCTGGATAAGCCAATTACTCCAAAGTCTCTTGTGCCTAGCAGCTAAAGCGTCTTAGCTTTCCACGCATTTGACGTACCTGATGACCTCCCCTAGTAATCGATGATGTAATCCCTCTAGAAAAGCTATCCAGTGAAGAGAGCAGTCAGCTCTAACTATTATTTATCTAGTTGCGAATACTTTTGTCACTAAAAATGCTTCACTGGGCCCTCTGATGCCATTCTGTCAACTTTAGCGTATATGGGCTCATACACCCAGTACATTTATCTGTTTGTTCACCTTCATGCTGTCCTCCTGATGTAGCAGCAGCTTGCCCAGGATGTGTAGAACGGGCACTTTTTTGTTTACTGTACACATACCAGAGGAAAACACCAGACTTGAGGTTTCAAAGTGCCTGGCGTAGGAGAAGGAGAAGGAGAAGGAGAAGGCGAAGGCGAAGGCGAAGGCGAAGCTACGATGACAGATCTAATACTCAACTTCAACCACCCCTCCAGCCTATCTCGTCCAAGTCTCAACCATCGCCTCGAGGACGATATTAAGGCTACACGGAACTTCTACGACTTCGAGACGCGTTGTATGATTATTACCATTACTGGAGCCCCGCATGAACGAGCAACCAGAGGATGGGACTTCGTCCTGAAAAACCAAGCAATAGCCTCAAACCTGGCCATCGTGTCTGATGCCATCGATCTACTCGTATAGCTGGAAATTCGAGTCACAAAGAACCTGACTCGCAATATATGCCAGAGGATAACATTCGTGATTGGCCAACAGTAGTATTGGAAGTGGGATATTCCGAATCCCGGGTAAACTGAAATGTGACGCGGCATGGTGGTTAGCCAACTCGAATAGAGCAGTCAAACTGGTAATTACTATTGCGATCCACTGAACTCTAGCACAGATCACTATTGACTGTATTGTGCTGAATCGAAGTACCTCACCGACTCGCTATACTCGTTCACGTTACCGCCAAATGACTCGACAACAGCTTACTATCACACGGGATCAGAATGGAGTCGCAACACAGCCCTCAGTGCCACATCACCATCCAAGAGATAATGGCACGCTCTCCGTTACCAGGCGAGACTGACATTCGCGTTCCGGTGCCTCATTTAGAGGAATTTGTTGCTGACATCTGGTTTCGGCAAGGACTTTAAAGTTCTTTTATAATAAGCTCTTTTTTCGTTCCTGATATTCTTATTCCGGTACTGCGCTTAGAGCTGCTATTATTCGGTTAAAACAAGGACTTTGAATGAATTTTACGGCTCATTTTTTGTTTTGACATTCTCTACGGTAGTAATGATAAAGTGCTAATTCCCGGTAGTTAGTTTGGAGCACCAATAGATACACCGAAGACAAAATAAAACGAACAAACTCGATTTCCCCCTTGTGGGAACTAACTAGATTAGATGGTCCCGCTGACGTACAGGCGGGCTAGGCGGTGGCGATTTGCCCGCTTTTATGCCCTCTTGGCTTCGACTGCTCCGGAGCTCTAACCTGTCAATCTGTTCACCATGGCCGACCTTGATCTGGACCGGCTTTCTCCTAGCGAGAGAAGTGCCCTTGAACAGTACACTACTGTAACAGGCCAAGAACCCGCCGAGGCAATCCCTTTACTGCGGCGGTCCCAATGGAACGTTCAGGTACAAGCTGTCTTCTTTGAGTTTCGCCGATCGTATATTAACCCCCACGTCACCAGATTGCTATTTCCAAGTTCTTCGATGGTGAGGGACCAGATCCACTGGACGAAGCTCGATCTACAATTCCGTCATCGCCACCACCACGACTTGCTCGCAGAACCCAAAACTTGATGACCGAAGACATCGCTGAACAGCTATCCTCTGTCGCACGGGGCACAGATCCAGCTCCCAGAGTCGATACGCAGCCTGAAAACCAACCTGTCTACCGCCCGCCCTTTGTACTTGCCCTCCTTTTCACCCCATTCAATCTCATATACAGACTGCTTTATGGCTCCTACCGGTTATTCGGGACTTTGTTCCCATTTCTTCCACGGCTCTTCAATGCAACTTCCAACCCGGCCCTCCAAGGTGCTCGACGGAATACCACCGGCCGTCGATCATTAGGCCCACAGGACACGGCCGCTCGATTCATCCGCGAGTTTGAGGAGGAACATGGATCACACTCGATTCCTTTCTTGGAAAACGGTTACAACATGTCACTGGAGAAGGCGCACCGCGACCTGAAGTTTCTACTGGTTGTGCTGATTTCCCCCGAGCACGACGACACAAGCGGGTGGGTGCGGGACACTCTTCTCGCACCAGAGGTGCTGGAGGTCATCAACGACCCGCGAAATAATATTCTAGTATGGGGTGGCAACGTCCAGGATTCCGAAGCCTACCAGGTGGCCAACTCTCTGCGAGTCACCAAGTTTCCATTCGTGGCAGTGGTTGTCCACACCCCCAATGTCTCCTCCAATGCCATGTCCGTAGTCGGACGAATCACAGGGCCCGTCTCGCCGACCGAGTTCGCAACAAAGCTGCGCACGGCTGTCACATCCCATCAAGAGCAAATAGAGGGCATCCGGTCCACACGCGCCGAGCAACAGGCTTCGCGGAGCCTCCGTGAGGAACAAGACTCTGCTACGAGCGGTCTCTTGCGATCGACCGGGAGCGGGCCCGTCAGCGCCGAGAAGCCGAAGCCGCGCGCTTGCAGGAAGAGCAGGCAGCAGCGGAACGCCAAGCAGCTGAGGAAAAGCGGCGACGGGACCTTACTCAATGGAGACAATGGCGGGCGCAATCCCTCAGCCGGGAGCCAGGCACCGACGTTAAAGATGCAGTTCGCATTAGCGTACGACTTCCCTCGGGCGAGCGTATCATGCGTCGCTTCGCCCCCGATGCTGATCTAGAAGAGCTCTATGCTGTGGTTGAATGTCACGAGATGTTAGAAGATGCTGGTCGAGCTATGGGTATTTCCCAACCCGAAGGGTTCGTGCACCAGTATGCTTTTCGACTGGTATCGCCCATGCCCCGAGCTGTGTTCCCTGTGGAGGATGGTGGTTCAATCCGTGATAAGATTGGCCGTGGCGGGAACCTACTGGTGGAGCCTATTGGAGATGACGAGGATGAGGACGAGGAAGGGGACGCCTTATCTTCATAATATTTCTGTATCAAATGTGACCCTTGTGGCTTTCCCGACCATCTAGACTAGCTTGCTACCTTATCCATGGATCAGCTTATGCACGCCAAGTTGGAAATATTTTGGTCCGTCTCATTGTTAACGGTACGAGGCTAGTACACGTCACGGTGAGATTTCGCCAAGGTCAAGGCGGATCACATGCTCGATGTTTCGGTATATGAAAAAAGTCTAAGCCATCTGGGCCATGATCCAAGCATGTCATTGTTCAAGGATACATCCAATGTGATGCAGTTGAATTTACATATGATACATATTAGCCAAATGCTGACTGACCTGTTTTCACCCTCGCCACATCGACATACGCATGCAATATACGTTATATGCCAGATCAGGCTGGGAGGTCCCGGTCACATATCTCGTTGCTGAGGAACTTGGATTCGGAGACGGAATGATTTCGGAGCCATCAGGTTGGGGCCCGGATACACAGTAGTAGACGGAGAGTTTTTACTGCGCGTCCTCAATTCGGAACCGCGACCGATCTACTAACTCCGCGATCAGTCTCGTAGGAGCCGTGGGCCGAACGTCTCGGCAACACATGAATCATTCTTGTAAGGACTGCGGATTATGCGGTACCGTTTCAGCGGGATAGAAGACACAAGGGTGCGGTTACGCAGTTTCTCCACCAAAGTACACAGTACAAGAAGCTCGGATGCCCGGGAACACCGCATCCGAGCAGAATAGCTGACTCAGCCTATTTATCCCTATCCATTGTGGAACGAAGAGTGGAACCGGATATCCGGGGAAACCAATGCATTGTGGGTCGAGTGCCACGCTGACACGTTTCGGAACTGGAATCGCTTGCTCCCGGCCCACTTTTTGTTACCTTTTCGGTGGCCCCCCTCCCTTTCGCGGGGATTTAAGGGTTTTTTTTTTCTGTTTTCAACTGGAGGGATCGTGGTATGAAAAAGTTACGAAAAGCCTGGCCGTCAGGTCGGTATTATATTGCTCGGCATCGTATGCGCCCAGGCTGGTAACGTCACAAACCTGTTTGATTTTACCTAATTTTCCTGTACAATGCCCTAATCGGGCTTAGATGGCAATCTCTGTTGTAGTGCTGACTCGACTGGCTCCGGATCGGGCAACCAGCCGGGCCCGGACCCCTATTGTTCGTAGCCGTTTATAGTCCGGAGTCTGGAATCGGGGGGTTCTCTCTGTCCCGGTTCCTTTTAATTCTCGTAAATCCCCTTTGTACATATTTCCCTCATTGCCTCGCCCTGGCATTGTAATCATAATACTCTTTCGGACCATCAAAAGGTTTTATCCCCGCATCACCGTGATTCAGCCTGGCCCGAAATCTAGAAATTTCTGATACCCGGCTCAGATTTTACAACCCATCGCCGCTGATCACCCTCAGGGAGCCACAGCAATGTCGCTTCTGGGGACGATTAACTCGGGTTTCCCCGATTCTAATCAAACCGTCCCAGCTTCGCGGGAGGCGCGTCGCCATGACCCCGCCGACAGCGAGGATGAGACGACACTGGAGGACAAAGTGAATGAAATTTCGGCGGAGGAGCAGGTCGAGCAAGAGGTGCACCGTCTCGCACGGAAGCTTACGCGACAGTCGACCAGGGGACCGGGTGAAAACACCTTCCTCCATACCGAGGAGAATTCAACTCTCAACCCCGCCAGCGAGAACTTCGTTGCCCGCGACTGGATGAAAAACCTGCTCGCAATCACCTCGCGCGAGCCTGATAAGTACCCGCCCCGCCAGGCTGGTGTCTCGTTCCGCAACCTCAGTGTGCATGGCTACGGCACGCCTACTGATTACCAGAAAGATGTGTTCAATTCCCTTCTGCAGGTTGGGGCTATTTTCCGCACCCTGACTGGGACGGGCAAGAACAAGATCCAAATCTTGCGAGACTTTGATGGTCTCGTTAAGAGTGGCGAGATGCTTGTTGTCCTGGGTCGACCAGGAAGTGGCTGCACGACGTTCCTGAAGACTCTTGCCGGAGAGATGAATGGTATCTATAAGGACGAGAAGTCTCACATGAACTACCAGGGTATCTCTGATAGGCAGATGAACAACCAATTCCGAGGCGAAGCTATCTACACTGCGGAGACAGACGTGCACTTCCCACAACTGTTAGTGGGCGACACTCTGAAATTTGCCGCGCTCGCTCGTACACCCCGCAATCGCCCGGGTAACGTCACCCGAGAGCAGTATGCAGAGCATATGCGCGATGTGGTCATGGCAATGCTTGGCCTGTCGCACACCATCAACACCAAGGTCGGGAATGACTTTGTACGTGGTGTTTCTGGTGGAGAGCGGAAGCGTGTTAGTATTGCTGAGGCTACTCTGTGTGGCAGCCCCCTGCAATGCTGGGACAACAGTACCCGTGGTTTGGACAGTGCAAACGCCTTGGAGTTCTGTAAGACGCTGAACCTGATGGCCAAGTACAGCGGAACTACCTGTGCGGTTGCTATCTACCAGGCCTCCCAGAGTGCCTATGATGTGAGTCCGACGTTCGGCCGTGCTTCTGTCGCTTCTACTAACAGCTGCGTATAGGTGTTTGACAAAGTCACTGTGCTCTATGAAGGTCGCCAGATCTACTTTGGCCGCACTGACGAGGCGAAAGAATTCTTCACCAACATGGGATTTGAATGCCCCGAGCGCCAGACGACTGCCGATTTTCTCACTTCCCTGACCAGTCCTGCAGAGCGCATTGTTAAGCCTGGGTTCGAAAATTCCGTTCCGAGGACCCCTGATGAATTTGCGGCTGCATGGAGAAACAGTAAGGAGCATAGTGCATTGGTCAAGGAGATTGAAGAATATCATTCAACATATCCTATCGGTGGAGAATCATTGCAGAAGTTCGTTGAGTCACGCCGGGCAATGCAGTCAAAGCACCAGTAAGTCTAGTTTCTTCCAAGGCTTGAGGACCCCAAACTGACCTCTGTTATAGACGTGTTCGCTCTCCCTACACTCTCTCCGTCATACAACAGATCAACCTGTGCGTGGTCCGTGGCTTCCAGCGTTTGAAGGGTGATGCTAGTTTGACGCTTTCTGCCCTGATTGGCAACTTCATCATGGCCTTGATTATTGGTTCGGTGTTCTACAACTTGCAGGACACCTCGTCTAGCTTTTATTCTCGCGGTGCCCTTCTTTTCTTTGCTATCCTGCTTAATGCTTTCTCCAGTGCCCTTGAAGTAAGCCATATTCTTCGCAATCTGATAGAAAGCTTACTGACCATATCATTTAGATCCTCACACTTTACGCCCAACGTCCGATTGTCGAGAAACAGGCACGATATGCAATGTACCATCCATTTACCGAAGCCGTCGCCTCCATGATCTGTGACTTGCCCTACAAGTTTACCAACGCTGTGACATTCAACGTGACCCTCTACTTCCTGACGAACCTGCGCCGCACACCTGGTGCTTTCTTCACCTTCATGCTCTTTTCTCTGGTAGTTACATTGACCATGTCAATGATCTTCCGAACAATTGCCGCCTCTTCCCGCACTCTCTCACAAGCCCTGGTACCGGCTGCTATCCTGATTCTGGGCTTGGTTATCTACACTGGTTTCACGATCCCAACCCGAAACATGCTCGGCTGGTCGAGATGGATGAACTATATTGACCCGATCGCATATGGCTTCGAGTCGCTGATGGTCAACGAGTTCTATAACAGAAAATTTCGCTGTGATGGACTGATTCCAAACTACCCCGATGCTTCATTGCAATACCAGGTCTGCGGAACCACCGGGGCGGTGGTTGGCACTAACGAAGTTCTTGGCACGGATTACCTCCTTCAGAACTTCCAGTACAAGCATAGCCACAAGTGGCGGAACCTTGGCATTATGTTTGCGTTTATGGTTTTTTTCATGTTTACGTATCTCCTCGCTACTGAGTACATCTCGGAATCGAAGTCAAAGGGTGAGGTTTTGCTGTTCCGTCGCGGACACGTCTCGAAGCTGCAGGTTCCCGACGAGGAGCAGAGTCAGCCTATTCCTCACTCCGAGAAGACCGATACGGCAAGCGAAGAAGCTACTGCTGGTATTCAACGTCAGACCGCTATTTTCCACTGGCAAGATGTGTGCTATGACATCAAAATCAAGAATGAGGAGCGACGGATTCTTGATCATGTCGATGGTTGGGTCAAGCCTGGTACCTGTACTGCTCTGATGGGTGTCTCCGGTGCTGGTAAGACCACTCTGTTGGATGTTCTGGCTACTCGTGTTACTATGGGCGTGGTTACTGGTGAAATGCTGGTGGATGGGCGCATGCGCGATCAATCCTTCCAACGGAAAACTGGCTACGTTCAGCAACAAGACCTGCACCTGTATACTACCACGGTCCGTGAAGCACTCCGGTTTAGCGCTCTACTCCGTCAACCCCATGCTACTCCCCGCCAGGAGAAACTCGACTACGTTGAGGAAGTTATCAAGCTCCTGGGGATGGAGGCCTATGCAGATGCCATTGTCGGTGTGCCTGGTGAAGGTCTGAATGTCGAGCAGCGCAAGCGTCTCACTATCGGCGTTGAGCTTGCCGCTAAGCCTCAGCTGCTGTTGTTTTTGGATGAGCCTACCTCTGGTTTGGATAGTCAAACTTCTTGGTCAATTCTCGATCTGATCGACACCCTGACCAAGCACGGGCAAGCTATTCTCTGCACCATTCACCAGCCCTCGGCCATGCTTTTCCAGCGCTTCGACCGTCTGTTGTTTCTCGCCAAGGGTGGTAAGACCGTTTACTTTGGCGATATCGGCGAGCGATCATCCATTCTTTCCAGCTACTTCGAGCGAAACGGTGCCCCGAAGTTGGCTCCCGACGCTAACCCCGCTGAATGGATGCTGGAGGTTATTGGTGCTGCTCCTGGCTCCCACTCTGATATCGACTGGCCTGCTGTCTGGCGAGAGAGTCCCGAGCGAAAGGAAGTGCGCGACCACCTCGCATATCTCAAGGAAACTCTCTCTCAGAAGTCCATCGATGAATCTAGCAAAGATCCCTCCAACTATAACGAGTTTGCTGCTCCTTTCTCTGTCCAGCTTTACGAGTGTCTTCGTCGGGTTTTCAGTCAATACTGGCGCACCCCGGTCTACATCTATTCCAAGGCAGCCCTCTGTGTCCTTACTGCGCTCTACATCGGTTTTTCTTTCTTCCAGGCCAAGAACAGTCTTCAAGGCCTTCAGAATCAGATGTTCGGTATCTTCATGTTGATGACCATCTTCGGTAACCTGGTCCAGCAAATCATGCCGCACTTCTGTACCCAGCGCTCTCTGTATGAGGTTCGGGAACGACCATCCAAAGCCTACTCCTGGAAAGCGTTCATGGCCTCCAACATCCTTGTTGAATTGCCCTGGAACACGCTCGCCGCTGTCCTGATCTTCTTTTGCTGGTACTACCCCATCGGGCTTTATCGAAACGCAGAGCCTACAGACTCCGTCCACGAACGAGGGGCCCTCATGTTCCTTCTCATATGGACCTTCCTCCTGTTCACCTCGACCTTCGCTCACATGATCATCGCTGGTATCGAGCTCGCTGAGACGGGTGGTAACATCGCCAATCTGCTGTTCTCCCTCTGCCTGATCTTCTGCGGTGTCCTCGCAACACCGGAGCAGATGCCTCACTTCTGGATCTTCATGTACCGAGTCTCTCCCTTCACCTATCTGGTTTCCGGCATGTTGTCCACTGCAGTCTCGGGCACCACCGTTACCTGTGAGAAAGTGGAATATCTGACTTTGAACCCTCCACCGGGTAAAACCTGCGGGGAGTACATGCAGGCCTACATCAATACTAGTGGTGGCTATCTGCTGAACGAGAACGCTACCTCCGATTGCTCGTTCTGCACCGAGAGTACTACGGATAGCTTCCTTGCCAATGTCAACAGCTACTTTAGCGATGCTTGGCGCAACTTTGGACTGATGTGGGTGTACATCATCTTCAATATCTTCATGGCTGTTTTCATTTACTGGCTTGCGCGTGTCCCCAAAGGATCCCGCAACAAGTAGGGGATTGAAGCCTGCACTCCTTGGCTAATTTGCTAATAACCTTTCTTCTCCGTCTTTTGCTTTGCTCTACTCATCTTCTATCCCTACATATTTGTTCTTCCCTTCGGTTATATGTGCCTAGAGGCCAGTCTGGGGTATTCATGCAAGTGCCTACTTCGAGAAATTTTAGAATATTGTTTAGAATATTATGTATATCAATTAGATCCAATCAAAATGTTGATAACTGATACTGATGTTTTCCCGAAGTTCCTAATAGTACTTCCTTGAAGAGTCACATTAACGCCTAAGGATTCTCCTTAGTCACTTATTATAACTGATTACTGTGTTGTTCATAATATACCCGCATAACTATGTATATGCTAGGGAGATATCATGTACTAGTAGAAAGCTAATAATATGAATCTCTTCAGGGGGAAACATGCAAGGATAAGCATAAATAAGAAGGATATACGGACCTAAAAGGCTAGGCTTTTTACAGATGTATAGTCTGTATAAAGGATATTGGGAAGATTTTGGATATAGCGGCTTATTCCGTACATGACATACAGGGACCAACAAGCCGACAAACGAATTTCCCAGTTAGTGAATGTAGGAAGCACATGTCTACCGTATCAGTGCTGTATCCAGAGGAACGAAGAAGATAAGTACCTTGTGTTGTGTCTCTCACCTTCCGACCTCCCTCCACCTGCAGTCTGCCAAAGGTTCGTTTCGTTTTGTTTCGTTTCGATAGATTCCCTGCGATCTGCCATCACAGGTTTCGTTCTTAACCATCCATCAGTGTCCTTCTATCACGAAGGCTATCATCACCAAGGCTCATAACAAGATTGGCAACAACGCGCGCTCTGTTCACCCAAAATGGCGCCTCGTACGGCGCGGAAGACTGGCAGCACGCGCAACAAGCGCGCCAATAAGCGTACCAACAAGCGTACCAACAAGCGTACCAACAAGCGCACCATGTATCATCGCCTAGCATCCCAGTAATTGAAACTTTCATTAACTATAGCTGCATCAGCCTGAACAACCCACGCACTGCAACCGCGCCTGCAACCACAAATAACACCTCAACCACGGTGGCCGGCCCCACTATCCCACCCATCGCCAGCAACACCGAAGAACAGGAACCAGGTGCATGGGCCGAGTTTGTATCAACTTACTCTTGGGGACGAGGCAAAAAGAGCGCCGCTTTCCAAGCCCTCCGCGCCATGCCCTCGCGCCGCGAGCTCCTCGTTCGCTCCGTCCCCCACTGGGATGCCAAACTCGGACCAGCCCAATCCATGCGGGCCCTCTACAACCGCATCATCACCATGGCCCAGAATGTCGAGTCGGCACTGATGCAGATCAAGGGCGAGCTGGCGCACAATAGGTGTTGCTCTTGCCAACGCGACAACGGCCCCTGGAGCCGCTGCGTCATTGTCCGCAACCACGATGGTTCTCCTATCCCCGATATGCCCCTCGCCTGTGCGAACTGCCATTGGAACCGCGAAGACACTCGGTGCGACTACGATCCCCGGCCCCATGTCAGCCGGGCACAGGCCTGGAATCGCAGCAGCCACGGTGGAGTGGGCCAGGCTACAACTGTTCCTCCTGCTGCGCCGTCCCCTGTTGACACCCGTGCCAGCTCCGGGGTCATCTCTTCGGCTGATGCGCTTCTGGACTCTCCCGCTCGTCCCTCTCCAGAATCTGCTGCTGAGTGGGTTACAGAGTCGATCGACACTCTGCAGCTTGGGCAGCAGGATGGAGAAGCACTCCACCACTATCGACTCGTGATGGAGGACCTCAAACGCGTTGCGTTAGAGGTGCTGGCCGCCCGAGAGGAGGCCTGGAAGGTGGAACAGGATATGAAGAACGCAGAGATGCTGGAACCCTCTCTCCTGGGCGAGGTTAGTGCGATGCAGGAGGAGTTGGCTTCTGCCGAGACGCAGGTCTTGGAGAAGATCAACGAGCTCCTTGCCCGTGTTCTAGCAGCTTAGAGAGAGAGGGATAACTGATTTAGGATGGGCAGAGGGGGGCAAGAGTAAATTGAGAGTGATGGAAATAGGGGGCGAGGAAGAGATGAGAGTGATGTACGAGTAGCAAGAATGAGGCCCAAATAAACCCTCTGAACCCTTATTTCTCATGCTTTTTCCTGAGCGGATGCTTGTGGATATCGTAAGTCTTGGTCAATGATGGGTGATTCCATACTCATCTCGAGCCTGTTAAAACCAACTAAGGTCTCTTTTTCACAAGTCTGGTGATATGGTTGTGCTGGTCAATGGACTCTTTAAGAAGACATTTTCAAAGTCTTTGGCTGTAGACTTCATAGGAGGGGACGTCTGGACATGGACCCCGGGTTTGGTGAATTCAAGTCTCCTGCAGGAATTGGCGTGAAGCCAGCATGTGAACTACTTGGTACAGTAGCCTAAAGTTGCTCTTACTGGATGCATTGGTGTGGGAGAGAAACTATTGCGGGGTACAGCCCAGGTGGGGGCTTGAGGCAAACGGCGATCGCTAAAGATCCCCCGCTAGCGTGCGTTAGCGTCCGTTAGCGTCAAATTGTGCCAACGGACACCGCCATGGACTATAAAAGAAAAAAAATTTCGTCTTTCCAACCCTTTCTTTTCCTTCTTTCTTCTTCATACTTACCAAGTTTGGGTGGCCGGGGATCATGAAGCCGGCTTACCGCAGAACAGTCCCTGCATTGCAACTCGTGGTGGAGTGCTCTGTTCAGCGGCCTTCGGGTTTCTGACAGACGTAATTTTTGGCAGCCCCTTCATAGGACCTTTTTTCATCATGCCTTGGGTCAGTGACTTGAGTATGGAGAAGAAATTGTTTTATGTGGGCTTTTTAGTCTTCTTGTGGTTGTATACACCCAATATGTGACTCTATAAAAGGAGGGTGATACCCCCTCCCCCCCTTCCGCTATACCCCCCAGCTCTTCCTCCCAGCTCTTTCTCCCAGTTCTTCCTCCACCCCTCAGCTATTCTCAAACCCCTTTGACTATTCCCAGCCCCTTTCGAAAGTAATACCCCGCGCATTCGCAAGCCCCGGGTTCTAAGTATAGAGGTCTGCTGTCTACTAGTCAACACCAGTACCCACTCCTCCTATCTATCCTTCGTTGCCACATATAGGTGTAGCGCATCATAAATTGGTTACCCTTGGTTTTGTCTGGTACCTACGTCCCTCAGCCAGCGTATCAAGAGACAGTTACCTCAAAGAGGTATACTATGCGGCTCCTCGACCCCAAAGCATAACAGCCCGTAAAGAGCGATCTACATTGGAAATATCTTTAATGTTGAAAAACTCCCAACTTCAAAACATCTAGCTCATTCTCCAGCAAAAGCCAGATTTGAAAGGTATCACAGAGGGTGCCAAATAGCAAGACACAATTTCAAAAACACAAGATAAAACATGCTCAAGAGCGCAAGAATCAGGGTATCAATGAGCAACTAGACAGACTAATCGCTTATAAGATTCGTTAATGCTCCTGCTCTGCAGACCCAAACTGCACTCGTCTACCCTGCTGCGCTGCGCCCCGATTCTCCCCACCTCGGTAGGCTTATACGGGATCTCCTCGTGCTCCTCGTAGTCATCGGCAAAGGGATTTTGCACGGCAAAGTCTGCGGAATTATACTCTACCGGTTCATACCTTGCTTGGGACGCATTCCCACGACCCTCGGTAGCGGTCTCATTGATCTCCGTCAATGGCTTGCGCTGGATTGATTGAGTGGGGGCGCGGTCATTCAGCGAGCCCATGGTGCTGACAGGGCTAACGGACTCCTCTGGGTAGCTAGAACCGCTGTACGCACCCGCAGCCAGAGGTGCTGCGCTGTCGGGGTCCGAGGCCGGGCTCGTAGCAACGCTGGAGATATTCGGCATGGCGCCACCACGGGCCTTCCGGGCACGGAGCAAGGCGCGCTGTTGCTGCGACAGGGCGACGGTGATCTCGTCATTGGTCTCGATCAAGGTGAGGAGGGTATCTTCGTCGGGAGAGGGGTTCGTAGCATCGATATACCCGTGGATTAGGCGCGAGGACGTACGGCAGCGGTCCGTAAACTCCTTGATCAGCTCGTTATTTTCCATCTCGGCGGCGGTGGTTGTCTGGACAAACTGCGTAAGCAGCTTGGCCGAGTTTCGCGCTTCTTCTAGACGTGCGGCGAGTTCACTTGCCTCGGGGAGGTCGCGGGGGCGTGGGCGGCTGCGGCTTGGGCTCTGAGAGTTTCCGCGCTGCTGGTGTTGGGGGTTGTCGGAGGCTTGTGGGAAGCGGTTGATCTGTAGAGGACTTGGTGTGAGCTGAGATCATTCATGTTCAGAAATCCCGAGGGGGTTCCCAGGGGGAAAAGGGTTCGCGATGCACTTACGAATGACTTCTGTCCCTTTGTTTTCTCAGTCTGCCACATGCGGATCAGCGGTATGAGGTGCTCGTCCGACCCATGCGTGGTTTCAAGTTGCGTCAGATACTGTCGCAGATAATTTTGGACGTAGTAGTCCCGGCCATAGCGGAGCAGATCTTTGACATTTCCCGTGAACTTGGAGTCAATATTGCGGGTGAAGCTGTCGCCAGGGTTGTCGATCAGGATACGCATAAGCATGATCGCATTATATTGGACATGGCTGGGTGAGCTGGACGGGGTACTCAGGTATTTGCGGATGTAGACAGCAGCCTCCTTTGCTGCGCCTGGGTTCGACTCGGCGAGTTCGACAATACGGGGGAGGTGAACGAACTCATTGCCACGCTAAGAGAGGGAGTTAGCGACGCGGTCGCGCCCCTCCGCATGTTTATCGCGTCAACTTACGGACTCGGGGCTATTACTGGACTCGACGAAGGTTTTCTGGAATCGTTAAGTGGCCGCCTTCAGCGATTGCGAAAAACACTTACGATTTCGCGAGCCAGTGTCTCCTCCGAAGAATTGTCCGTTCGCTCAGGGCCGTCGTTATTGACACTGCGACTATCACTGGGGCCTACGGCCGGTCAGCGACAAAGCGGGATTGGCCCCCGGGGGGGGGGGGTTATCGTACTTAATGAACTCGGTCGCCGGCTCAAACCACCAAGAAAACGCTTCATAGTCGGCATTTTGAGGGGCTGCAGGAATCTGCCAGGAGGTATGGAAGGTGGACTAAGGTCTGCCCTTGAAGCCGGGGGGTCCAGGGGGCCGAATATAGTGTGGGTTTCGAGTTGGAGAGGAAGGAGTTTCGAGCTACAGGCGCTAAGCAGAAAAAGGGTCCCACGCGCGTGAATCGGGGGCGCAGGACCAACGATTTCTATAAGAGGGGCATCCAATTCTTGTGGCGAACGCGGACTCCTATGTTTACGTAGGCTTCGCGTCGTCTCCACAGATCTCACGCATGTTTTGAATAAGTTCCAGGGAAAGGGGAGGGGGGGTCCAATCTACATATGCTAGTGAGGCTCTAAGCACACCTCGCGTTATTTATTTAGCCGGCCCACTGCGGTAAATCCTAAATCTCTCCCCTCGATAGTGTCGAAGTGACCGACCACATACTAGGGTCGCCGGTTGTGGGCAATCAATGAGGATACACCAAGCTTTGTGATCTTCTCTGCAGGAATATAAATTCATGTACTACTTGTAATATCATGTCCCGCCAGCAGATTAAGGATTATCACTACTGACGTGGGATTGTGGCTGAGGCAACAGCATTGGCACCGCCAAGACCGGCCAGGTCACACAACTGGCCAGCGTCCACCTCTTTCACCACCTTAACTCCGGAGCAGCAAGAGGATATATGACCGGGCTCAAGGTCAGCAGGCAGCAGCGTCTTTAAACATGCCCCTCCTGCAAAGCGTCGGCCATCGCCCCGAGTGTATCAAAGCGCCAATCAAAGATTGGATCTGGGGTATTCCCCATTGTGGCGCCGGGCCGCACAATCCATACAGACTTGATGCCTGCTTCCCGCGCGGGCTGGTGATCGTGGAACTGGCTCTGTGCTGTCTGGAGAATCTGACTTGGTTCAATCCCGAAGCTGGCCTGTACGGCTTTCTTCATGTAGGCGAAGTTTCGAGCATCCGGCTTGTAGGATCCGATCTCTTGGGCGGTTAAGATCTGATCGAAAGGAAAGCCTTGGAGACTGCCCGCATTGGACTTGGCAAAGGAGGCCTTGTCGACGTTCGAGAGGACCACAAGCTTGTAATGCTTCCGTAGTCGGTGGAGTGCTTCCACGGTGTCTGGGAAGGCTGGCCAGGAGCCAATAGATTCCCCAAACCGTTTGCTCTGCTCTTCACTGGGGGTGGGGAGACCCAGTCTCTCTGCAAGGGCTGGATGCACAGCAGATAGGAGCTGCGAGTAGGGCATATCGGGTGTGAGGCGCTGCTGGTTGCTCTCCAGCTCTTGGTAAACAGTCAGCAGGTGCTCGCGAGTAAATGGCTGCCCGCTGGCTGAAAGTATAGGCTGGAGAGCTTCCAGAATGCCACCCTCCCAATCAATAAGGGTTCCATAGACATCAAAACATAGCAGACGGTAATCGGTAAGTCGAGGCATTTTTATGACCCAGAAAGAAGGTTGAAGTTGGCTCTAATTCACCCTCCCCATGGCGTTTTTAAAGGCCTTCCCCCCCCGCGCGCTGTCACTAGAAGGCGCCACCTTAACTAGATCAACGGGTCAACTATCTCTTCCTGCCGATAACTTGGAGCAAGGCCCGCTAATTCGTGGATCTGTGAACTTCGAAGCAACCCTTAGGCATACATCTAGCTAAGAATGATCGAATCGGACAAAGCTTACCCTAATCCCGCGGTCTTCTTCATGCTAACCGGATACTGCTACTGAAAACATACTGAAAGCCCATCCATCATGAACGATTTAAGACTATTTTTGATACGCAGTCGGCCATCCTTCGATGGCGAGGACGGTCATGGACGGAATGTCTGGAGTCCGGAAGAACCATGAATCATGAACGGATTGAGTAGTACAAGAGATATCCATCCGGAGCCACGCCATTGAAACTTTTGATCCCTTCTCCTTCATGTCAGTGCTTAACCTGAAGGATCTTGTGCTATCCCGTATCATTTCCGTTTCACCAACATTTGCGCAAAGAACTCCAGCCAGAACGTCCACCGCGTTCCTTCTACCCTACTGTATGCTCATCTTTTCCCCCACGACTCGCTTAAGCCTCAGTAAGGGCACGGCGGATCTGGGAGCCGCGCTGGCGGGAGGAGAGGTGGAGTTTCTTTTTCGACCGGGGCCTTCTTGACTTCCTCAGCAGCCTCGGTGAGGATCAGCTCGATGTGGCAGGGCTGGCTCATGTAGGGGTTGATCTGTTCTTCATTAGTTTCCAATTCTCAACACAACACACTTGAAATTAACGTACTCTACCGTGCGCCCGGTAGGTTCTCCGCCTCGAGGCAGGAGCCTGACTGGTTTGGATGTGCTTAATAACCAGGTTGGAGGTGTCCAGACCCTTAGAATCAGCGTTGGCCTCGGCGTTCTTGAGGAGGTCGGTGATGAATTCGGCGGACTTGACGGGCCAGCGGGCCTTGCTGACACCGAATTGCTTGCCTAGGATAGGAGACACGTTAGTGAGCTGCTTATGCATGCATCATACTAGATGTATAGCAGAGGAGAGGTTTCAAAGAATGCACATCAATGTTGCAAATGGATAAGGGCAGGGCCAAGTTATTTCGTCTAAGAAAGCAAATCCATCCCAGCCCATTGAGGGATTATGTATCGGACACCCTTGCCATCTGCATCAAAGATGCGATAGAAAAAAAACAAGTTTCACTCACCCTGAGCGGTGCGACCGATGGAGCCAGCATAGCGGCGCATGGGGATGGCCATGGTCTTGTTCTTGACGTTGTCGAGGTAGACAAGAGCCTTCTGCAGGTTCATGCCCTTGACGGCCTGAGCAGTCTCGCGGGTGTTCTTGAAGCTGACGCGGAGGTAAGAGCCCCGAGCGCGGGCGCTCTTCGCGTTGGGGATGTCCTGGCGGGCGTAACGGACCTGTAGCAAAAGGGAGATATCAGTGACCATGAAGATTGACAGAATACGTTGTTGCCGGACATGGGAACATGTCGATTCGAGAATCTCAAAAATTGGATACGGTCGGGTTCGAATCGAGCATTATCGCGCATGAAACGACCTTCCAGACGTAGAAAAAAGAGGAATTGAGAGTATGGACATGTAAAACTCACCATCGTGAAGGAGTTGGCGAGGGGGAAGTCGGATGGTCCTCGGGGATGATTGTCGATTCTCTTCGGTCGATGCGCTGACACCAACCCGGAGGGTGGTGCGGATTTTTGCGAGCAGGCCTAAGCGAGCCCTAGCACTAACCAAATCTGGACAAGGAGTGGCGGGACCACATTATAGTGTCACGTGACATATATAGCTACTGTGGCCCCATATGGAAGTCCAGAATTATCGTGGCAAGAGCCAATCAGACCTATCCAAAAATTGATGGTCAGAGTCGTGGGCATTTACAGCACTTCGGAGTAAACAATTCTTATTTTTCTATTTATGACCGGGTCTGTTCCGGCACCTGTGTGATCAGCGTCCCCTTCTCTATGGCAGAGCGCAGATTATCCAAAACCAAGATCTCCATCTCCTTTTGGGTCTCGTAGGTCATGGTGCCGATATGCGGCAGTAAGAACACCCGAGGGTTATTCACAAGACCAGGTTCAATAGCTGGCTCGTTCTCGAAAACATCAAGGCCAGCAGAGCGCACCTTGCCAGAGTCGATCGCTGACACTAGTGCCTTCTCGTCAATGATTGCTCCCCGGGCGGTGTTCACAATGACAACTCCGTCCTTCAGTTTAGCGAGTTCGGGGGCGCCGATGATGTGCCTTGTTGATGCGTTCAGCGCCAGATTCAGACTAAGGACATCAGACTGGGCTAGTAGCTCATCAAATGAGACATAGTTTGCTCCATTCTCCAAGTCGGCCGACAGGCGTGAGCGATTGTGATAGATAATTGTCATGCCGAAAGCCTTTGCGCGCGTCGCCATTTCGCGTCCGATTCCTCCCATGCCCAGAATCCCGAGAACCTTGCCCTTGGGGTCATTGCCGAGAGGAGTGTTACCAAGCCATTTTCCTATCAGAATCACGGTTAATCCTATGACAAGATTGCCCGTACTACGAAGAGCATTGAACTGCACATACCCTCCCGCAGCGCCGTCAAGGGCACGTATGCCTGGCGCAGCGCTCCAAGCATAAGGAATATTCCCACATCAGCAGTCGCGTTGTTCACAGCTACCGGGGTGCTAGAAACCGCGATGTTTCTCTGCGAGCAGCCAGCTATATCGATATTGTCGTATCCTGCACCATTGTGGCAGATGTAGCGAAGCGACTTTGGCAACACTGAGAGGATCTCTTCGTCGAAATTACCCGTGATCTATTCCCTGAAATAAGCACCCCGTGTGAACTTCTACTAGGCCTGGGGGGGGGCACACCTTGTTGGAAGTATTCGACCTGTAGATTACGACCACGTCGTCGTACTGGCCGGACTTGCAATTCTGGATGAATTCTTCTCGTGTTCCGGTCGGGAATTCCTATATCAATAAGTCATTGTCTTCGCGTAGCATGGTCTTTGTGCATACTTTGAGGCTGAGGATAGAAGATAGGCCCTCCCACTCCTTTCGAGCGTGATTGATGGCTCCAATGAGCAGCGCTGTTTGGGGCATGATTGCGGTCCTAGGTCATCGCGCGTGAGCGGTCATGTTCTCGCAACTAAGGCGCATCCAAGCACTTACTTTCGATATGGTCTATTGCGTGAGAGAGGAATGTGTTAAGGGACAGATTTCCAATCTGGCTCTGCTAAATAGGAAATGCGTCATCTGCTACCGACTGATGGCGCCCCCCGCCCCTCCAGGAAGACCTCCGGGAGCTCAAGTGGACCCCGGAAATCGCGAAAGTAGTACTTGGAAACCCTCATGATGTTATCTATGGATAGATGCTATATTTTGTTCAGCTCAGTGGATTGAACACACAAGCCATGCTCTCCAACCACGTCTATTGGTTTCATCAATGATTATACCTTCACAATAGTCGAACTTGATCCATCCCCAGCCCGCGGGAACCCCCACGTCATCCCCAAAGCGACAACGGTCGGCTATTGAATATTACCGCATTGGGCGACGTCCTTGGAGGAAATCCGACGCCTCTCCTTCTTCCCCCACGGCAACAGGCGGACAAAAAAGGTGGGGGGGGGGTAGATGAGGGAGAATCTGGGAAAATAGATGCCGCGAGAACAATCTTCCACTCAAAGGACTGCTCTCGTGTTTTCAATCTTTCTTCTTCACACATCTCTCACTTCTTCAAAATGGCATCAACACCAGCTACCGCGCTCGTCCTCCATGGCGCTAAGGATCTCCGCATTGTAAGGCCTCTCCACACATACAAAAGAACACCCCGCGTCCACTAGCATACTCTATATCCCAAAACAAGCGCTAACATCTGCTAGGAAAAACGCTCAGTCCCAGCCCCATCCGACGGCGAAGTCCAAGTCGCCATCCAAGCGACCGGTATCTGTGGCTCCGACCTGCACTACTACGGCCACGGCCGCAATGGTGACTTCGTCGTTCGCGAGCCCATGTGCCTGGGCCATGAGTCTGCTGGTACCGTCACAGCCGTCGGCCCCGGTGTCTCATCCCTGAAAGTAGGCGACCGTGTCGCTCTCGAAGTCGGCCTGCCCTGCCGCAAATGCGCGCTGTGTCAGACCGGCCGCTACAACATCTGCAAAAAGATGCAGTTCCGCAGTTCTGCAAAGCTCTTCCCCATCTCGATGGTACCCTGATCGAGCGTACAAACCACCCAGCCGACATGTGCCATGTCCTGCCTGCCTCTGTCAACGATGCTGCCGGCGCTCTTGTTGAACCACTTGCTGTTACCCTACATGCTATCCGCCGCTCACACCCTCCTACGGCTGATGAGGTCGCCGCTGCTAAAGCTGCCGGCGAGGGTACTTCTGCGCTGGTCTTTGGTGCGGGTGCAATTGGCCTCCTGACGGCCTCCGCGCTGGCAGTTTCGCAGAACTTCTCCAGCATCGTGGTCGCAGACATTGACGCTTCGCGCCTGAAGATTGCCGACAGCCTTGGCCTTGGTTTCAAGACTACGCTGATCCCGCGTGATCCATCAAACCCTCCCCCGGCTAAGGATGCTCCTCACGCAGAGCAGACCGCGTGGGCATTGGAAACTGCTCAGCGCACCGCTTCTACTTTAACCGAGGCTGCCAATAGCATTGACAGTAATGAGGTTACCGGGTTCAGCCGCGTGTATGACTGCACTGGCGTGCCAGCGTGCGTGCAAGCTGGCATCTATGCTTCGTCCCCCGGAGGTGTAGTGGTGCAAATTGGTATGGGCAATCCTATCCAGACTGTTCCCGTGGGCGCGGCTGCGTTGCGCGAGGTAGATCTTATTGGAACATTCCGATACGATGGCCATTCCTATCCAGCGGCGATTGAGCTACTGGCTAGTGGTAAATTGGCTTCTACCGTTGAGAAGACCGTTACGCATCGTCTACCATTGGAGGAGGGCGAGCGGGCTTTCACCCTTGCAGGCAAGGGCATCGACGAGCAGGGCCACCCTGTTGTGAAGGTGATTATTGAGGGACCGCGGGAGACTGCCAACCTGTAGGATTGATACATTATTGGGGAGTTGAGGTGTGATGATGATGGCTTGAAAATACCCGGTGTAGATGAAGTAAATTTAGGTCGCGCGTTGTATACAACGTCCATGTACATTTGAAGTGATGCATTGAGATTGAAACATATGGATTCCATTATTTAAATCAATTTCCTATATTTGCAATTATAGTTTATCTTAAATTTAAGCCAGCCAGGACTTAGTAGTATAGTGGAATTTGAAAGACCAGAAAGCTGTGTGGGAAGAGAGAATTAATAGACATCTCAAAATCTCCTGAGACTCGTTCTTTCGTCCTAGCACTTTTTCCTATAGTCAGAGGTGAAGCTCTCTTGAGGACTTGAAAGGCAAAATCTGCAATCTGAATGTGGGTTCGCCTATAAAAGCCGCTTCATTTAGACCCCTTAGGCCAGATGCAGGCCCTGACCAGTCATATACCCCGTTCTGATACGCATAGTGACAACATTAATCACTTTTTCCGGCAAGCCGAGACACTTTAGTGGTAGCATAGAAACGACTTGAGGAATCGCTGCACGGTGCGGCAGCATGCCCATATCTCCAACCATACTAGGGAAACATCATTGACACTGATATCGAACTCGGCTAGGCGATTCTTGAGATTCCTCATCGTACCGCCCAGGCTACCCTCGGGGGCTGCATAGTCTGCAATTTATCAGTACCATAGCCACCACGCCTGGAGCGAATGAACTCACGGCGTGTATTGAGATAAAGATGATTCATCCCCGTCTCTGATATTTCATATGCTCCGCAACCCCTTCCACCAGTATAAGAGATGCGGTGTACAGGATGCACGAACCTTGACACTCAGAGTTTAGTCGAATTCTTCAGATTCGACATCATGCATTCGAGACCAGGATATCTGAATATTTCCCGTGTTCTGAATCGATTTGACGGTCTGTTTCTTCAGGCTGCTAAGCTAAACTGCGAACTGGGTGGTCGAGATACGCAGTTCCTTGTCAGCAATCTCACACCGCAAGGATTGAATCACCTTCAGTTCCAAGGGATGCTCTTCATCCCGCATCTCAGCGCGTTTTGTGTGACTGTTAACGAAAGGTTTCTGGCAAAACTAAAAGAGCAGGTTACTACTCATGTCACCGAGCCATGTAGGTGGTTGCCAGGACTGCGATCGATCTGGGGCCGTCTGATATGGATCAGAGGGATTTTGGAATGTATCCAATCCTAACAAGCCGCCAGATATCTGGTCGCCTGAAACGTAATCTCCTACAGCCTCTAAGTCAAGCCATGAGAAGTCATTCGCAGGGCTGAACTCCATGTAAGAAGCGTCTGTGACGGGGTCCGGAAGTGTTGTTTGCATGCTGTAGTCAGCGTTTTGGGGCATTTCTGCCGATGTAGCAGCCTTTGGCTTCCACAGTAATTCAAGAAGACGAGAGTAACGAGCTCCAACATCGTTAGGCCCCGCGCTAGCTTGTTTGAGGACTTCCATAGTTCGGGCAACCAGGCCTTGGACCTTGGCTTCCTCCGAAGGTACCATCATCCCGAAAGATCGAGCCTTATAGAGAAAGACAGCAGAGTAAATACCGTACCTAGGATGATATTGGTAAGCGCTTAGAACCACGTCGTCATAAATGACTCACAGGTAGAATCGTAAAGGCATGAAATGCAAGTGCCTCTCAGGGTCAACTGAATCCACCAAGATTGTCAAGTACGCCTTCGCTGCATCGACCGATTCGTAGATGAACCGAGCGTCTTGCATTGATGCAACATTCTTGAAGGTTGTTCTCAATTGTTCTCTTTGAGAAATCCCTTCTGTCTTCGGCTTCACCAGAGATTGCGAGATCGCTGCCTGGAATGCGAATGCCGTGGTATAGAGCCGCAGATACTCGTAGGAGAGATTCAACGTTGCACGCATAGCGGGGGGAGCCTATTTGGATTAGCCGAAGTAATGTACACTGTACATGTCGGGATGAAACTCACAATTTAATGGCCCCCACAGGGATTTCCATCTCAAGATGGCAAGACGGAAGTCGTCCACGTATTTCACATAATCCCCCATCAACATCATTTGATTGCTAGTCCGCATGCCCGAGTATAATACTTCGTGGACATTTCCATAGAGTTGTGTCAGATCCAACATCGCCTGGAAGATCTTGGAATAGTCCTCTTCGCCATCCTTGGTCGGCTGTAAAGACGGGAAGTCCTGACTGACGAGACCAGTCATTGGGCCCGGACCACGCGACCAGAAAGCTCGGCCGATTCGTACTGAAATTAGACGATCACAAACGTAACATGACGCCCATGCCAATCGGCGACGGGCCTCGGTCACTTGGTCACCGTGAGGATCGCCACGGAAGGACGTGCGATCCAATCCCATGAAATAACCCGATCGGAGAGCTAGCCCTACATGCATCCAAGCAGCGCGGTCTTCCTCTCCGCGACCCACCCTCTCAATGTGAGATCTGAGGCCTTGGGGCTCCCATTCGGCCAGCAACAAGAACGCCTCAACGGCATCCACATCGCATTCTGCTCCAGCCGAGACATCTGTTATTAGGTTGAGCATGTATTTTGACGAGCACTCGTGGATCTCGGGGCGATCGACAAGGTCTTTAGAGGCGATTGTGAGGATCGCGGTAAGCAGGAACTTCTCATTGGCAGCGAACTCGTCCAGCGCGGCCCGATCAAAGTATTTGCGCGGTACAAGTGGGAGGTAGGGGTGAAAGTTCTCTTCATAGCGCACAATTAGCTGCCACACGGTCCCCGGGTCTAGGGCACGAGACTGAACCAAACGATATGCCCTAATGCCCGTATTAGGAGAATTGTACTCAGAGACACCATTGTGTAGTCCATTATGCGCGGGCAGGCTTCCCGAACCGACCCTTGCGGACTCAGTGTAATGGACTATTGCAGGTGCATTATGGGTAGCAATGTCGGTCAGACGTTGCCATGCATCGGATGGATTGCGCGGGACTGAATCCATAGAGGCTTCATCGTCATCTACTGCATGCGTGGTTGTTGCACCTGTTGGATTAGGTGTGAGGAAGACGACGGGCCCCGGGTATGAGGCCGAAAGTGCATTATTGGAAACGGAGTCATTTGGACTCGAGATCTCGTCAGATTCCTTGCTTGGCGGAGTATTGGAGATAGCCTTTGTGGTATGCTGGGCGGGAGTGAAGTTTTTGATCTTATTCTTGCGGATGCGACGACCGCCGCGATTGGAGCCGCCGAGAATACATTCGCGATGTTCGCGAACACAGCGCTGGCATGGCGGTTTCCCGGGGTTGCCATTGCTATCACTGCAGAGACGATCAGCCACTGTCGATCCGGGGATAACGGCTAACTTACAGATCGCAGCGAGACTTGCGCTGCCGGCAGTGCAGACAGGCCCGAGACACGCGCCTCACGATCTGGTCGGGCCGTCGGTCGGGGTCTTGCGACGGGGAATGCATGATTCTCTTTTACAGAGAAAAGAAAGAAAAACAAAGGCCGACGAGTAAGACCCACAGAAGAAGAGAGCTCGAGCTTTACTCATCTCTCCGCGTGAGAGAAATGTGGGGTTAGCTGGGGATAATTGAATCTCCCCATACTCTCTCCCTTATGACTCGGTACCGTGACAGGCAGGAAGACTTGGGTGGATCTGGATTTGGAGAAGTCGCGCGTGGCCCCTAGACAGTTCCTTCCAAAGCTGAGGGCTGAACAAGTTCACCATCTCGAGTCTGGGCGTTCTCTCTTTTCGCGGTTGCCGACGGCGTTTGACCCGGGAACTGCTCCTTCCCGATCAGGCCGCACCCCGCGTGTGGGGGACTTGTCGTCATGTTATCTTTTTGTTTGGAGGGGTGTTCTCTTCCAGGTGACTCGATTCTTCTTCCTCTTTCACATTGTACAGAAAATTATGGCCGCAACAGTAGCGTCACTTTTCTCTTTGGAGGGCAGAATCGCTCTCGTGACTGGCGGCACTCGAGGCATTGGCCAAGCGATGGCCATTGCCCTCGCTGAAGCTGGCGCCGACGTTGTTCTGGTTCAGGTACGTGATTACAATCCGCAAAGAAAACTATTGTTAGGGGCAAAACTAATTCTCAATTAGCGAGACACGTCGAATACAGCAACCAAAGACCACATCACCAACCAGATTGGCCGCAAGGCATGGATTCACATTGCCGAGTTATCTGATCGCAAGGCTGTTAAGGATATTGTACCGGCCTTGGTCAGCCAGGGAATCAAGCCTGATATCTTGGTGAACTGCGCCGGTATCCAGCGCCGTCACCCAAGTGAGGCATTCCCCGACGAGGACTGGGACCAGGTACGCCAGGATTCTTGGGCATAGGACTATGGGACGTTTCGCATAAGCTAACATACGGCGGGCTGAGTAGGTTCTGAATGTCAATCTGTCCTCAGTATTCACGCTGTCCCGTGAATTCGCGGCCTCATTACTCTCTCGTGATCCTTCCCCCTCCGGTCACCGCGGTAACATCATCAACGTCGCATCCCTCCTCACTTTCCAAGGTGGAATCAACGTTCCAGCTTACGCAGCTTCTAAGGGTGGGGTTGGACAGCTGACCAAGGCTCTTTCCAATCAATGGGTGTCCCGGGGCATTAATGTGAATGCAATTGCTCCCGGATACATCGCCACGGACATGAACGAGGCCTTGATTAACGACCCCGAACGTAATGCCGCTCTCCTGGCCCGTATTCCTGCCGAGCGATGGGGCAAACCTGAAGACTTCAAGGGTGTGGTGGTCTTCCTAGCTAGCCGGGCTAGCGGCTACGTTACCGGCGAGATCATTACCGTTGATGGTGGCTGGATGGCCCGGTAATGGGTACTTTGGCCCTAGCCCTTGTATATAGATAATTACGCATCCAAATTCCCGAATTAAAGCCCTTGAATGAATTTCGGTGTACAATCATGTATCTATGCATGTTGCTGAGAATAATTGCAGATCATGACATCGGTTCTCTGCAATCTTTCCGATCAAGTCTGATTCATTTTAGCCGCCCAGGTCTTATCAGTTCAAGCGGTGGTGTTCTCCGAGAAATCCAGAACTTCAACGTCGGACTCGGGTTGAGACAGCTGGTTTAACGACTAGCGACCAGGTCCGAAGTTCTGCGACCAGTCTCCGTATTATTTCACCCCACTTTGAGTTACCATGCACCCTCGAGCCGACGGCGAAACTACTACCATTGTTGTACCCGGTTCCATCTGTTGATACCCATTTCCGCCTCTCGGCACACTCAAGGTATTAATGCAGGCAATTGCTTAGCCAATCTCAATATTCATCACCGGGTTCTGCGTCCTATGAACTTGAAACCCGAGCCGGTGGAGATTTCAAGGGCGTCACGCCAGGATCTGCAACGAACCACAAGTGGCAGGGATCCTTGGGTTTTCACCAATCAGGGCGGCCGCTTCTGCGGCTCCAGCTCTTCAAGAAACACCGGCGCCCTTGCCATCTAAGCGCCCTTCTTTGATAGGCTCTCGCCAATTGTGGCGGTTTGATAGATATGGCGTTGGAGCCAACCGATCCTGATCTGACCATGCCACGCCCTGTCATACGGTCGCAATAGCTGCGCATCACCATATTTATAATTCCCCCCCATCAACCCCTGGGGCCCCTGATGAAGCTTGACTTGTACCTCATCATCAGATCTCATTCCTTGTCCGATCAGCTGGGCTCCTCGGTCTCATCCTTTTACTCCAGATCTCGCGTTGATCGCATCTCTATTGATCAATTCTCTTTGTCCTATGAACATTGAAGCAAATCTGATTATTCTTCTTTGTCCCATTCTTCCACCACGTGGCTCTGCTGCCTCATCCCTTGTTTGCATTCCTTCCGCCTGGACGATGCCTGGTAAACAGCAATTCCAGATCTCTGCCTTGTTGATCTACTGAGACTCGGATTCTTTTCTGATCAACCATTAGCTCTGTCGTCACTGTTGACAGTCCAGCAAAGTCATTCACCCGCTCGCCTTCACTTCTCACGTTTGATACAATGAGCCTTTGACACTGGTTGTTCGTCCCCCTTCCATCTGCCGAGTTTGATCCGAGTGGATGATACCTTTTATTACAACTCGTCTCTACCTGAGACCATCCTCGGATTCCGGACACTGAATAACTGGTTTATTTACTCCTCCGTTTCTACGAACCTCCCACGAAGCTGGCAATACTACATATCCAGCTAGCGGCAAAGAGCACGAGCTTTGGAGGCTCAAGATCTCTCCGATGGCCGCGCCTTCGAATCTTTCCAAGCGACATTATGGATCGAATGCGACATACAACCCTTTCGAATACTCGCGAGGACTAGCGGGTGTGAATGTTTCCCTAGATGTGATAATCACAAGGGTCATCTATTTGTCAGTCATAGGTTTTGCGTTTGTCTTGTTCTGCGGTCGAATCGCACAAATTAGCCATGCATATCTTCGCCAAGTCACCGCGACTTCGTCAAATCGAAGAGAGCAAAAGTTCTGGAGCCTCGAACAGTCGACATGGTGGCCCTGGGTGAAAAAGCATATTATGTATGCACCTTTAGGGAAAAAGAGGCATAATCGGGAGATCCAGCTTTCGTCTGCCATCAGCGTGGGCACATTGCCTTCTCGGTTTCAAACTATTCTGATATCCCTTTATTTGACAAGTCAAGTCGTGTATTGTCTGTTCTTAGACTACGCTGCAAACGAAAAAGCTGCCCTGGTGGCGGAACTCCGTGGACGATCAGGGACACTGGCGGTCCTGAACATGGTTCCACTCTTCTTGCTTGCCTCGCGCAACAATCCTTTAATCTCTATCTTACACATCAGCTTCGATACCTACAATCTTTTGCACCGCTGGCTTGGTCGCATTGTCGCTCTGGAGACTGTCGTCCACACAGCCGCGTGGGCAGTCAACGCGGTTGATGAACAAGACTTCTCAGACATGCTCAGACGCCTAAGAACCACGCCTTTCTTTTCATGGGGCCTTCTAGGAACAGTCGCGATGGTATGCCTTGCGCTGCACTCTCCGTCGCCTCTCCGCCATGCTTTCTACGAGACATTCCTCCATCTCCACCAACTCTTTGCCTTCTTAGCTTTTCTGGGAGTATACATCCACCTTCAGATCGACGCCCTACCGCAGAAACCCTGGATCATAGCTATTCTCGTGATCTGGGTCGTTGAGCGCAGCACAAGGCTCCTTCGCATTCTCTACCTCAATGTCTCAACTACGAATGGGCTCACGAACATGACAGTTGAAGCTCTCCCTGGCGAAGCTTGCAGAGTAACCTTCCACCTCCCGAATCGCGCATCAGTGCCATCCGGCAGCCATGTGTATGCCTACATCCCCAAAGTGTCATGGTGGATGTCACACCCTTTCTCCGTAGCCTGGGTGACACCCCGAATCAACGCCCACGCCAGTCCCTATCCAGCTCAAGGAGCATTTGCAGAGAAATACCGATCGATGAACCTCTCCTCGCTAGAAAAACAACCTCTCGAGGACCCATACAACACATCCCCCCACCCAACAGACCTCTCCCCTGATTATCAGCGCCCGCGCAGGGATGACCCGTCGCCTCTACAACCTCGCTAACGCCCGACCATCCCACACCCTCGCAACAAAAGGCTTTATCGAAGGCCCTTACGGTTCCCATCCCGCCAATGCCCCCAGCTACGGCACAACTGTTCTCTTCTCTGCTGGTGCAGGCATCACACATCACCTCTTGTACACGCGCGAGCTCGTCATGCGCGCAGCATCCGAAACAGCAGCTACCCGCCAGGTGTATTTGATCTGGAGTGTGCGCTCCACAGATCACCTAACATGGGTTGGCAAATGGATGGATGAGATCCTGAGGCTACCGATGAGGCGAGATATTCTGGTCGTAAAGTTGTTCGTCTCGAAACCAAGACGACCAGGGGATATTGTGAGCCCGTCTGCGACGGTGCAGATGCTATCTGGGAGATGCAAGCCAGATATTATTCTTGATGAGGTCTTGCCAGGGAGAGTCGGTGCAACGCTTGTTTCTGTATGTGGACCTGGGGCTTTTGCGGACGAGGTGCGGGCCGCCGCGAGGGGGAGAATCGGGAAGGGTGCTGTAGTAGATTTTGTGGAGGAGGCCTTTACGTGGTGAGGATTAGAAATAGATTTATTCCATCTTCCTCTGTATGCCTTGTCTTGTGTCTTAGTAGAGGCGGGCTTCCTTCTACGGTCCTCCATGTCAACTTTAGTTCAGGAATGAGCCATCTTTGGCAATCCTTTCTACCAGAACAGCATCCCTTCGACACCCACCTCTGGCTTTTGCTCATGCTAAGCCTCCCAGGAATATGGTAGGTCAGTCTCCTTCGAGTCGTAGTCTTCATCTGGTACTATGAATGGATAGTCGTCATAATCATGGCGGAACGGCTAATTTGATACCTGAGAGGTCCACATTCCATCTATGCTGGGTACTTTTCTGGAGTTTCTTTGTTTCGCCAACCATAATAATTCCAGCAATCACTGGCCCGTAGGATGCATTTGGCACCGGCGGGGTGTCCCAATGCTGTCAACATGAAACGTGCCTGGCGCGTGGGGCAGGGGTACGGTTGGCGTCCAAAAAGTCTGGGCTGCCAACCTTGTCTCACGCATAGCTTGTTCTTCCGCCGTGGTAAAAGGAAAGGAAAATAGGAGACATACCCTGAAACTCTTCTTTTCTGCAAGACGCTTCTGCCATCGTACAATCGTAGTGGGGATATCATAGGCGGGGCGAATAGAAATATCGGCGTTTCAGGAGGTATTCCAGCGGATTTGACCCGTCTATGACAGCTATTCTAGAGGACCTTATCCTCCTGACATTTCGGCTATGCATGGTAATTCTCCATCTCGAGTATGTACTATCCGGCTGTGGGACCTTCGAAGCAGCCCCTCCGTCCTAGGGCGTCTTGTGTATATAAGCTGAGAGGCAGCCAATTCTCATCTGCTGGATAACGAACAGCAGGTCTTTTCTCAAGAGTTTCCTCTCTTTCCATTCCTTCTCCTCTCTGGTCTGTGACCGTGTAGATTTTGCCCTTCCTATTCACTCGCTATACATCAGTTTTGAGATAACGGTACCGGCTTACCGATTTGCCCTCAATTTCCAATCTATCGCCAGCCTCGATTCCAACTATGCAACAATACATTGCCTTTGCCGCCCTTGCCGGCCTTCTGCCTTTGGTCCACGGACATGGTTTCGTGACCAACCCTACACCGCGCCTGCCCGGCTCGGCCATGGAAGCTGCATGTGGCCAGCAGGCCTACAATAACCAGGAGGCGGACCGCTATGGAAATGTGCAGGGCATGCTACAGGTCGCCAGCTCACAGAGCGACTACAATGCTGCCGAGTGTGACATCTGGCTCTGCAAAGGATACAAGTACGCGGACAACAAGAAAAATGTCTACTCGTACTCTGCAGGCCAAACGGTCGACTTTACGGTGGACATCCGGGCCCCGCACACCGGTGTCGCCAATGTCTCGGTCGTCGACACAGCATCTAACACCGTCATTGGTGATCCGCTGGTCTACTGGCCGGTCTATGCTTCCGTTGCCACCACCCTCCCTGCCAACGATACCAAGTTCAGCGTTACCATCCCGGATGACCTAGGTGACAAGTGTACCACCGGCGGTGCTTGCGTACTCCAGTGGTACTGGTATGCTCAGTCGATTGATCAGACGTACGAGTCCTGTGTAGACTTTACCGTCGGTGGCTCGGATTCGGGCTCCGGTTCTTCCAGCTCTGTCGCCGCCTCGCAGGCCGTGACAAGCTCATCTACTCCTGCCGAGACTACGTCTGCCCCTGTGCAGACCACCGCTCCTGTAGAGCCCTCTTCTGCCCCCGCTCTCGAGGCTTCCACCACTCTTGCTACTCGTGCTCGTGCCTCTGCCACTTCCTCAGCTGCCACGTCCGGCGGAGCTACTGCCGGCGTCATTCCTGTGAACGGTAGCGCCGAAGAGCAGTTGAGCTGGGTTGAATCTGTTGTCAAGTACCTGGCCAGCGGAAACTAGAAGACTTGTATATCAAGGAATGGTGTTGAGGATGCGCAATGTACATTCTCTGCTCTTGTACTCTGTAGCTGTTGGTCGAATTAGGGTGTCATGTAGACTTACAAACACCCTCCAAAACCCAATGAGAGATTTAAATTAAGCCCTCTGTCCTTTCTGTACCCAACTGCATATCCCACCCCGTGTAACGAGAGTTGCGAGGAACGTCTGCAGCAACCAGCAACTGAAATCCGAAGGTTCCGCCGGGAGTTGAAAAGGGAAGGTTAGATCTGCGCAGGATTAGCGGCCCCACAGGCTCCATATTCTTTCACCGGAACACGGGCTGCGTGGTTCGATATCTGTTTGGGGCTTGGGGCTTGGGGCTTTGAAATCTAGCATTTTGGAATTTGTGCTTCATCGCAGCGAGGGTAGCTCGATATTTTCTTATCAATGACTCGAGGCTCAAACAATTTTGGGTCGATACTGCATAAATTATGCAGGTAAATAATCTCCGAGTCGAGTTACATATGACCCTGCCAAGCACGATAAGATAAGCACTGCCACTGTCGCCAATTTTCCTTTGCTTTTTTTCTTTTGCTGATCGCCCCCCTTACTCCCTCCATTCTCTCACACATACCGTCACCATGGAGGAACACTTGCGCCATAGTCTGTCTAACCACCCACATGCTTTGCAGCATTTGCATGCCTCGCACCGGTCGCCCGACAGGATGACGCCTCGTTCCCTGACCGAAGGCACCTCCACTGCGGTCGAGCACGAGTTGAGCATGATCTCCCATCGCCCCAGTGATTCGGACGAAGAGGGCCAACCTCCGCCACGTTATACCGCCGAAAGCGATCCTTTCCAATTAGCTTCGAAGCTCAAAACCGAGGAGGAGATCCGCTCCATCAAGGCCAACACTTCCCGCAAACGCGATGCCTCTGCAAAAGGGTCCCGGGTCCTTGCCAAGGGCAGGCAGGCCATCCTTTCCCACAAACTGCAGGACTTTTATGAGAACCAGAATGAGAACATTGAGATGATGTTGAAGCCGGTGGAGGAGCATGTGCGAGCTGCTCGCGAATTGAACAGCGAAAACAGCTTGAAGTACAAGATCGCCGTCTATGCTAGTTTCGCTGCCAACGTCATTCTTTGTGTCGTACAGGTCTACGGTGCCGCATCCTCGGGTTCCTTGTCCCTGTTCACCACTATGGCGGACGCGATCTTCGACCCCCTGTCGAATCTTACTTTGTTGCTGTGCAACAAGGCTGTCAACCGCGTTGATCCGCGCAAATTTCCCGCTGGCAAGGCTCGCATTGAGACCGCGGGCAACATTTGTTTCTGCTTCCTCATGACTGCTGTCTCGTTCATTATTATCGCCTTCTCCATTCGTGAGCTTATCGAAGGTTCGGAGACCCTCAAATCGTCTTTCCACCTACCCTCCATCATCGCCGTCTCCGTGGCCTTCTTCACGAAGCTTGGTCTTTTCCTCTATTGCTTTGCTCTGCGCAACCAGGTTTCCCAGATCCGTATTTTGTGGGAGGATCATCGAAACGATCTGCTCATCAATGGCATCGGTGTGATGACGTCGATCATGGGAAGTAAGGTCCGCTGGTGGATTGACCCTATGGGCGCCATTATACTGTCGGTGTTGATTAGTTTTCTGTGGCTCCACTCGGCCTATGGCGAGTTCCAGCTGCTGGTTGGTGTCACTGCGGACACCAAGATGCAGCAGCTCATCACGTATATCTGTAAGTTCAACCCGTTGTCGATCTAAATTCCGCTTCGATGGCGCTGACCGTTCATTTTTTTTTAAAGCTATGACCCACTCCCCGCTCATTACTGCTATTGACACTGTTCGGGCTTATACTTCGGGCCCTCGTCTTCTCGTCGAGGTTGATGTTGTCATGGACGCGAGTGCGTCGCTCCATGCAACCCACGACGTTGCGGAAGAGCTCCAGATCAAGCTGGAATCCCTCCCCGATGTCGAGCGCGCCTATGTCCACGTGGACTATGAGACTACGCACAAGCCGGAGCACTTCCTCAAGAAGGAGCTGTAAGCCACGAAAACACTTTTATCTTAAATCCATTCGCAATTCCCCATAGCCTCTTGGATTTGCTTTTGGACTCGAGATCTTGTACATAATTTGTTATCTCCATAAACATCGGGTGTCATGAAGCAAAAATTGCCCTATTGAACACCTCCATGCTCTGTATCAGACTACCACACCTCGCTCTCCCCCCTCCCCCTCAAAATAAATGCGGGATGGACGTCGATACGAGCGTGGCGGGCCCCGCACCTCCGCGCGATGGGCCAATCAGCTCCGCTCCCCCAAAAGCGTTGCGATACCGCGTTGGGTTTAAGTTCGCGGATTTTATCGCTCTTTTACTCGGACACTCGAGGACATTTCTGCATCCCCGCCTCCCAAGCTACAGGTCCGGTCTGGCCTTGGCTAGGTCTTAGTCGGCCCACGCGAATGGGGACATGTCAGAGCCTTCGACAGCGGTGCGGCCCACAAAAGGTAGTAGCATGCCCTAAATGGTCCTCTTCCCACGTGTGTCAGCGCTGATCCCGCCGATAAGATTGTCCAACCTGCCAAAAACGACGCATCAAATGTGACCGCGGCTTGCCCGGCTGCCACAAATGTAAAAGCGCAACCTCGAATGTCCCGGCTACGGCATCCAGCTGAAATGGGGCCAAGGTGTCGCCAGTCGGGGCAAGCTAACTGGCCAGTCGATTCCTGTGCGCGAAAGCCAGGTCGAGACGTTGACTAACGCCATGGTCGTGAGCGGCTCCAGCGCTTCCCAGTTTACCATCCCCAGCTCGATTGATTTTCTCCGAATCCAGCCTTTCTCTCCGGCGACATTAGGCTCTCCTGCCACCGAACTAAGTCTGACTAGCCCACGTTTTCCGTACGCATCGCAGTTGCTTGCCTGGTACAAAGAACGGGTTGCGCATAGACTGGCATGGATCGATGGGCCGCAGAATCCATGGCGCCAGATCATCCTCCCACTGGCTGAGAACTCAGAAACCGTCATGTCCTCGGTCCTGGCCCTAGCCGCGCATGACCTCGCCTCGCAGTACCCGCGGCAGGATCCTTGGTTCGTGAAGTTTACAGATATCTCCAATGCATTCCAAAACAAGGCGCTAGCCCTGCTCGCGCGAGAGCTCAGCTCCTTGACCGCATCCCAATCCCTAGAGTCGCGAACTGATGCCTCGCTCACTCTCGCATCCGTGATAATCATCTGTAACAACGAGCTCCTGAACGCCGCCTCCGCCGGCTGGCGCATCCACCTCCAAGCCGCCCGCGAGCTTATCCTCGTAAACACCAACCAAACTCCCATCATCCAGACCGAACTCGCACGCATCCAAGAGTTCCTCCTGCAGGAATTCTTCTCCACCACCGTCTGGACCCACCTTACCACCTTCGACGACGCCAACGAACCCACAAACAACATCCCCCAAGCCCCCACAAGCACCGAAGACGCCGCCGTAGCAGACTTCATCCGCATAATCCACCTCATCACCCGCCTCGAGCGCCAGAAGACAAACTCCCCCGCGCCCCTGCCCCCGTCCGTCATCCAGGACACCATTGCCCAGATCGAAGCCGCCCGCCTCAAATCCCTCCGCCTCAGCGACACCGTCACCTTCTGGTCCGACGCCGACCGTCGCGACTTCGAGCTCGTAGTCTGGATGTTCTACCACGCCAACCTGATCTACATCTCGCAGGCGTTCCCGGAGCTGCGGCACGAGCGCGTCGACGTGCGCAGCTCCCGCGAGCAGATCCTGGCGCATGTGCGACATCTCTCGGAGACGCGGAACGGGATGTTTGCGCAGGATCTGGTGTGGCCACTGTTCGTGGCGGGGACGGAGTTACGGGGAGATGTAGCAAGTCAACGGTTTGTGCAGAATGCTTTTCGCGACGTGATGCGGATTAGTCGGACGTTGGATCGGGCGAGAGTGGTCGGGTTCTTGGAGACCTGGTGGACTTATGAGGGGCCGGTGATGGAGTCGTGGATTCAGTTGGCGAGGGAGAGGCCGGACGATTTCAATTTTTTGTTGTTGTGATTCTTGTGCTGGCTGCTTCTTGAGCGGGGCTTCTGTTGATAGGCATTATGGGCTTGGATGTATATGGGTGTTCAAATCTTGCTTCTCAGGTTAAAGAATGGGTGGGGATTAGTAGGGAAACTCAACTTGCGGCTAGTACGAATTCCAAGTTGTGCTCGATGACCTTGGTCAGAACGGTCTGCTATACCACTGTAAACAGGACGGAATCTAATTCCGCAGGGCTGACCGCTATCAGGGGGAGTAGTAGCCTTCACTTGATTTCGAGGTCTGGTGCTGGTTCTTTAACTTGGCATTTATCTGACCGAAACCCGATTGTTCACCAAGCTACTTTGATCTAAGGTTCATCACACATCTAATAACCACCAGGTTTAATGAAATTCCACCAAAAAATGGATCTTTAATTGTTTCCGAAGTCTGGTGGATACCAGAGGAATCAAGTAGTGCCTCATCTTGATTCGTCCGATATCCACCAGGTTTGATAAAATTCCACCAAAAATTGGATCTTTAATTGTTTTCGAAGTCTGGTGGATATCAGATGAATCATGATTAGGCACTACTTGATTCATCTGATATCCACCAGGTTTGATAAAATTTCACCAAAAAATGGATCTTTAATTGTTTTCGAAGTCTGGTGCTGGTTTCTCTAATCTGGTGTTTGTCAGATCAGATTATTAACTTGAGTTCTCAGGTGATAACCACCAGGTTTAATGAAATTTCACCGGAAAATGGACCTTTAATTTCAAGGACGGGTGGATATGAGATCGCAAGGCTGACCTACTACGCTAGGTCTCGGCGAGAGGAATGAATGTTAAGGACAGGTAGGATGCAGAAACGGATCATATGGTAAAGTGACTTGGCCATTGAATACGCATCTCGTCCGTCTAGCGTATGAATTATTGGCCTCTCTGTATTTCCCCGTCTCGGGTGGCAAGACGTTTCTAATCCTGAGATCCATTTGACGTACTGTTACTAGTATGGGTTTCCTACATCATAACGCCCCCCCCCCCCAACAACCGAAAAAGAATCGTAAGATTTATCATTCCATTGACCACTCTATTAGGGATTTTATCATGTGAAATATTCAGTGGTATCAAATCCTCCGATAGGCTCCCCATTCTGTTTCAGAGCCACTATCTAAAGGAGAAAAGAAAAAGAAAAGCCTGGAAGGGGATACATAGCAACAGGCGATAAGAACGGAAATGTAGACTGGAGTCGAAGGAAAAAGATACAACTGAAGAGCAAGGCTACATTAGAATGCCACCCAAATGAGCCACCACAAACAAGGGAAAATCTAGGCAGTGCTCTGCGAGAACAGGGCAATGGTCGAGCCATAAGTGCTCTGGTTGGGGTGCTGAGGAACCATGCTCTTGCCGTCAGAGGAAGTGACCATGTTGACGGCCGCCTTGGTCGTAAGACCGTACAGGTGCACGTCAGAGCAGTCGACCTCAACCATGTTCTGCTGGCAGTCCTCGGAGTTGAGGCATGTCTGGGCGTAGTTCTCGAAGAAGCTGTACAGACCGGCACCGTAGGCATACACGTCCGAAGAGCCGAGAACACGCAAACCCCAGGCCTTCTTACAACTAGCGGTAGTACATGTGGAGAAGTCGGGATCGTTCCAGGTCTCCTGAGGAGTGAATGGGTACAGCGCAGTGGGGTTGGACTGGTAGTAAGGAGTTTCACTCTGGATCAGACCCATGAAGACGTTCTTGGCGTTGGAGACCTGGTAGTTGTACAGCTGGTGGTGCTCAGAAGCGGTTCCATACAGCCAGACAGGGCCCTGGGACTCGATGAGGATACCACGGCCAGTGTAGATGTTGACCTGAGCATGATCGGGGAGGTCGAGCTCGTGATCGGCGGTCCAGAACCAGGTGTTCTCGAAGTAGGCACTGGCGTCCTTGGTGACATGCATGAGCATGAAGGCGGCGATACATTCGTCCTTGGGGGTAGTCTGCACGAGAGGGGTCTTCTTGCAGGTGTTGCTCTGCATCTCGGTACCAGCGGAACCACCGATGCGGAAGTGGACGTCCCACATACCAGCAGAGCCCTGGGTGGCACCAGCAACGTTCCATTCCATAAGGATAGCACCAGGGGCAGGGCCCTTGGTGGTGATGACAAGGTCGCTGATCTCGACGGAGCCAGAGTCGCCCTTCTGGCCCACCTGGATGGCAGGCACAGGGTTCTTCTGGTCGGCGAACTTGCTGCCGTGAACCATGATCATGGGCCAGACCTCACCCGTGATCTTGATGTCCTTGGGGATCTTGAGGGTGTCGGTGATGACATAGGCGCCGTGGTCAAAGTAAACAATTTGGTCAGAGGAAGCGCCATCAAGGACCTTTTGAAGAGCAGCGGTATCATCGGTAGAGCCGTCACCCTTGGCACCGGCGGACTTAACACTAACAAAAGAGGAAGCAGCAACATCCTCGTACAGAGGCTTGGACTTTTCGAACACAGCGCCGTTGGCAAGGAGGCCGCCCGACATGGTAGACTTCATAGTGCTCTGAGTGCGCGCAGAGGAAACAGCCTGGGCGGCACCGCAAGTACCACTGCTGCCGGAGTCGGCTCCTGATTCGGAGCCAAAGGTGCTGCTAGAGGTACCCTGAGGAATCAGAGCGCTGGCAGTTCCACTAGCCACAACAGAGGGGCCAGCTGGTGCTTGAGTAGTCTCCGAAGGCACGACAGGAACACTGGGTGACGCAGGGACCACGCTGTTGGAGGCAGCAGGCACTACTTCGCTAGTAGGGGCAGACTCACCAGTAGCGAAGGGAACGGGGAGATCAACGGTTCCAGTGGCACCAATAAGCGAAGATAACCAGGTGTTGTCAAGGCCGGGAATGCCAGTCGGGAGAAGAGAACGATCACCGCTATCACTACCAGTGGGAAGAGCTGCAGGCTCGGAGCGAGTGACGGTACGCTCGGGAGCGGGAAAACTGTTGCTAGCAAGGGAAGAAGTAGAGTAGGAAGCAGGGCAAGCTAGCACAGTAGACATGACGGTCTTGGTGACAGTGATAACATCCTCGTCACCCGGCGCAGGAGCCGAGACCGCACGCTTGCTTGGAGCAGAGCCAGGAGAGTAAGTGTTACCCTGGACCCAGTCGGCAATGACGGAACCTCCTGCAAGGACATTGTCACCGTCGATGCTGGAAACCGCGACCTTTGAGCCAGAGAAGTCGACGTTCCGGAGTACCAAAGTGCCACCACCGTTGGGGATGCTCTTCTGGCTCCAAGCAGTGACGACACCGGTCGGGGTGTTGGTAAGCTTACTGTCGAGCATCATAACGGAACCAACGGTCTGGTTGGAAGGAGAGTTCGACATGTTGAGCCCGACCTGGCAGTTGTTGATTTCGACGGACTTGAAGGTCCACGCCCAGTTCCAGTTCATGAAAATAGCAGTCTGACAGCCATTGAACTTGAGGTTGCGGGTGGTGAACTGCTGGTTACCGAGGAACATCCCATAGTTTCCGCCATTGAAAGTGAGATCGGACATGAAACCTCCAGATCCGTTGTCCATGAAGATACCCTGTTGCTTGTTGGCAGCACCGCCGCCCTTGACCATCTCGAAGCGAATGTTCTGCAAGCTAGTAGCCTGACCAACTTGCCAGTGAATCCCAGCACCGGAGCCCTGGGGCATGCCAGAGATATCAATCACCAGGTTACGAATAGCACGGAAGAAGTTGTTCTGATTAGTGTACCAGTTGCTGCCATCATTTTCGTAGGGGTCGGCATCGATCACGGCCATGCCCGAGAAAGCAGGAGCGGCCTTGATAATAGGCAGATCAGTAGCATCACCAACAATCTGGGTATAGTAAAATTGAATGATAGGCTTGGAGACCACGTAGGTACCGGGAGGGAAGTACACCAGGGCGGGGGTGGTGGTGGAAGAGTCACAGCCTTTACCGCAGCGCCCTCCGGAGGAGATGGCCTTGTTGATAGCAGCGGTGTCGTCGGTCGAGCCGTCACCTTTTGGTGTATTAGTGCTCTGCTCAGGAGAATCCAGCTTGGATAGGACATACCCTTGGCGCCAAAGTCCTTGACGTTCCGGAAAACTTGATAATCGGCGTTCTTGTTGAATGCAGCAACACCCTGACGCTTGATATTCGCGACCCAGTAGCCTGATGAGGCCCTCTCAGACACTGCCAGGTCCTTAGTCACCGGTGTGACTGGCACAGCGCTCACAAGAGCGGTTGGAAGGCCCAACAAGAGGATGATGTGGGCGAAGAACATCATGATAGACGTGTGGAAAATAGCCATGTTTATGATAGCTGTCGCTGAGCCAGCAGCGAAATCGTGTCCAAAGTAAAGAATGGATTCCTAAGGGAACAAAAGGATTCAGTAACCAGTACTGAGGAAAATGAAGAGGTCTGTTTTCCAAGTAAAGCAGGACCTTGTCAAAAGGCAGAAGGAAAGAACTGGGAAGCTAGCTGCGTTCACAGAAAGATTGAATGTGAAGCAGCTCCAGGCCGGTGACTTCCAAAATGGAGAAAGAAAAAGAATGGAAAGAAAGAGTGAATTGTTGAGCTTCGAAAGAACAAAGAGAAGAAAGGACGAAAAGATAGAAGAGACCGAGTTCTGGACTGACCTATATTGTTCAACTGGTCCCTGCGGCCTCAAATTGTCCCTGAAGCACTTTCCAGGCTCCGCTTTCCTACGCGCCGCCGCTGCAGAGTCCACGCCCACCAATCACTCAGCCCCACCGAAGGACTGGCGCCGATCGTGAAACGTTTAAGTCGACGGCTGAAACGCTAGAGGAGCTAATCACAAGGACGGTTGTTGCAGGTTTGGTGCCAAACAAATTGGTCTGATTACTGGGCCTAAGCCACAGCTGAAGGAGGCTTGTTATTGGTATACCCCTGGATGAGTCTGCAGCCTGATCCGTGCTAACGAGCGAACTTTCAAGATCTCGAAAAGGCCCAAAAACTGGAGAGAAAAACGAGAGGACTCAAAAGGGATCGCGCTGGGCTCTCCATTGCTATTATAGGATCCTCCGACCCGTAAACAGGATCGGCCAGAGCATTCCAAGATACTTGATCGCATGGGAACTGCGTGTCCCATCCAGCGGGAGAAGGGGCATGGGATCATGGATAATTCTCCCCGGTCCCTTCCATCACAATAATTGGCAACAATGGACGCGATGTGGGACGGGTGACGGTCCTCCTGGTATGGAAGACCAGTGGAGCCCCCCCTTTACCCTCCGTGGTACTCGCGAATGCACATCAGGGGCAAACTCGCTCGTTCGCGCCTCGACCCAAGGCCATTCTCCAACACAGCCGCGGCTTCTGGTATGGTCTAGGGCTGACACTGTGAGCGTTGGCTGTGTTGACAGCCTCGCGTCGTAGACTTGGTTGTTAGGGGAAGCGGGTTGTTATGGGGTCGCATTCCGAGACGCGGGGACGAAATTCCTCATGACAGTCATGACGGAGGAGGCATCAGCTCCACCAAACACGGCAGACTTGGCAGGCACAGGTCGCAGAGTTCACGATCCCTCGTACTGGAACGATGATCAGTCCATGTGAAGAACCTGATAAGCGGGAGCTGCTCCGCCAAGCTTTTCCCCTTGTCGACGTACTATGCAGGTGCTGCGCTTCTGGCATCTTACACTTTTAGCACAATAGACAGGTCTCCCGATAATATTGGTCATTGCAGGTAAGAACTTGTTTCTTTAAATTTCGATCCGGTTCTTTGTCCTCTTCAATTGCAGAGGTACCAGCGTTTAGCAGATAGATCAGACGCCAGCGGGCACTGTTGTATGGGCAATTGGACAAGGCCTAGTCCGCAAATATATACATATACCGCTGGCCCGGCACTACCCGCGATGTGAGTTCAGTCCCCTCCATGTAAGCCTTTAGGCTCTAGCTCCATTAGATTTATGGAAGAGCTCCAATATGCGCGTACTAATTAAAAAAAATTAGATACCTAATATGCTGTCTAGGTTTGCAGCCTAAATCCTTCACATCTCCGGATGTCCGGATCCAAAAGCGGCAAGTAACTACTGCTTTGGGAACATGAATACAAACTCTTGAGAACCTTCAGACGCCACAATCTTTACATATGCGATTCCCGAGGTCAGGACCACAAAGCTGAATAATATTCGAAATTTTTTTTTTAATTTTTTTTTAGAGCTATGGAGACAACTTACCTCTATATACAACGTTAAAGGCCACGCGTCCGTCTCACCACGGGTAGAGATAGGCAGCGAAAACTACTAACCCATGCCCCGCTAGAAGGCTAGACCATTCGGCCCAACAGAGCTCCGAGTCTCCGTACGCCCTCAGTCAACTGCTGTGGTTCCGCCCATGCAAAGCATAGGCGAAGCCGATCAGAAAATCGATTCTTATCGGCGCCTTGGTCACCAATGACCTGGAATAGGGTCCCTGGAGCTAGCCGAAGGTTCTCCTCCCGCTGAGCGCGCCTGACTACATCTGCTGCATCCACATCACTTGGTAGCTTGATCCAAATGAAATACCCACCAGCAACCGGACCGGGAGGTTCTGGCACGGAAACTCCGTGGGGGACCAAATACTCCTCAATCGCGGCGATCATCCTGTGGTATCGATCCCCATAAGCGGGCCGCAGAGTATCCCGAACATAGGTTTCCAAGAACCCAGTGGCAAGTAGCTGGTCAACGCACGCGGCAGACAGCTGCGAAGGAGCTCCTCCTGACCGAGAAGACCCTCTGATCATTCGTCAGCAATCGTTGGTACATCGTCTAGCTGGAAATAAGACTCACACTTGCGACAACCCATACGCAAGCTTCTCCGACGCTTCTGCCCATCCCGTGCGAGCCCCGGGGCTGATGAGTTTACTAAAACTGCCGTTGCTGATTGTGTGGCCCCATTCATCAACGGGACCCCCGTCTAAGTAGCGATCCACGTCCACCAAGCGTGGTGCAACTGGGTGTTCAGTCTGTGCAGGGTCTCCACCCGGAGTGGACGGCCACTGCAGCATATCATAAACGTCGTCTGTGACCAGCAGGGCATCGTACCTTCGAGCCAGACGCACCAGCTCCTCTCTGTGGCCCACAGACATGATCTTGCCAGACGGGTTGGCAAAGGTCGGCACGCCGTAAATAACGTGCTTATAGATCTTGCGCCAAGGCCGGGGAAGTTTAATTTTCTAAACAGACCATGTTAGTTTTGAAAATCTCACACCGTCTTCTCTCGGCGGTAGACGCAATTCCGTATGGCCAAGATACCGGTTCCGTGTTCCCCTCTGCTGCGGCCTTCTTCTCCGCCGCCTGCAATCCAGCCTCTAGAAATTCGAGGTCTAACCCCTCGTCATTCTCTGGGACGCCGTGCACTCGCCCATCAAAGCCCGCATCATCGAAGATACGGCCTGCCAGGTGGTAAGTTGGTTCTACCATCCAGACGGTGCGCGTGTAGAGCGGGTCAGTGAAGACCTGGAGGACGCAGGCAAGATTCTGACTAGCCCCGCCCGTGATACAGATGCGTAGTAACGAGATACGGTCGCAAGGCTGGTAAAAGGTCTCCAGCCAGTGGGCCACGTGGGCCCTGAGAGGCTCATAGCCCTCATCGGGGCCATACTGGAGCGCAGGGTTCGTGATATCAGGCGTGGTTAGCACGGTCGTGGCGGAGCGGAGCAAATCTGGTGCGGGTAACAGCGCGGGGTTCGGCCAACCACAGAGAAGATCGATGAAGTCAGGGGGCGCAGTCATGATGGAGTGAGAGTTGACTTATGAGGAGGCTCAATGTCAAGAGCCAAGAGCTCTCTCTCTGGGGGCGGATCCGTTATGTATCCGTGGGCGAGACAAAGTGAACATGGAACCAATTAAGCGCGATGAGGGGGACAGGCACTGATGGCCGAACCCCCCCCCGCGTTACGAGAGTTGGATGGTGCTGTTAGAGCAGCAGGTGCTTAGTGAGTTCGCGTTGGAAAACTCGACGTTTTTCTTTTCCTATTTCTTTTTTTCTTTTTCTCTTTTTTTTTCCTTGACAGCTTGTTCTCCCAACTGTCCTGCAAACAGGCATACTGTATGTACATGCCACGTCAGGTACGGTATTGCCTCACTTGCTGGTAACATGACTAGCGTCGCTAGGCATGGCCCCTCTCTTCCGGGACTGGGTAAGTCCCGGTCGGATCTCGCGGCAACAAGCGTGCAATATCAATCATATCCAATTGGATGAAATGAGATAATTGGCTCTGCATAGTTAACTAAAACTAAGACAGCAGTATTTTCACCCCCACTAGGCCGTACAAAGATCTTCAAGATGGGGGTCCTCATGTATCTGGATCTCGTCAAACCACGGGCATGTCCCATGGACGGAAACTCAGCCGCACGAGAAATGAAATAATCACAATTCATGGACGTCAGATATGACAAGGCGGAATTCTCAGATCGAATCTTCCTACGAAGTATCCCGGGGCAGGGCGTGGGTCCCGTAATGCACAGCCAAGGAACCACCAGAGCTATTATTGGCATGCAAAGGAACCGGATCGAATGACTGGGCTTGATAGTTTTGGGTAAGGCTCCGAAAATCATGTAAAGTAACAGGGAAAACTTATGCAGTAAAAAAAAAAAGCCTCCCAAGGTTTTTTTCGGACTCGTCCCTTCCACACTTTTATTCCTGAAACGCCCCTGAGTCGGGAGACAATTTTCTCTCGTTGCTCTGGTCGGAAGTCTGAACTCATTCCCACTACCATTCTTTGCATGTTCCCTCCTGCCGATCCATTCTCCGGAGAACCCACCCCTGGTCACTCATCCCCCCTCTTCATGACCTACGCCTAACTTGACCTGCTCTTCTTGCTTTGCGCCGCGGTCGCTTACTCTTCGATTCCTCCAATTGTGCCCCCCCTATACCTCTTAGGATGTTGTCAGCTCCCGTTAAGTCGGCGAAGCGCATCTCGTCTCTCTTCTCTCTAAGCCACAAGGATCACAATTCCGGTTCTCCTGCATCCCCGAAATCCTCGCCCGATGGCCAAGACCGACGCCCTCGAAGTAGTTCTCGACCAACTCGCCATGTTTCGACCCCTAACCCCGGCTCGGAGCCTCGAACCATTCCAAGTCCCATGGAGCGCTTTGATCTGGAGAGCCTACCACCGCCCCCATCATTACTCTCTGTAAACCAGGATCTAGCCAACAGTGCCCCCAGTTCACCAGATGGCCGACCATCAAGCAGAGGGCGCGAGTTGGCCAGACCCGCGAGTTCGGGCGGGTTGGCCGTTCCAGGGTCGAACTCAGATTCCCGCCCGAGTACACCATCAAAGCGCCGCAGCTGGATGCCCGGAGCCATGGGCGCCCGGTCACGCGCCAGTTCAGTTGATATGAGAAGACCTCCACAGAATCTCCCCGCTGCATGGATTGCTGGATTGGACCAGAAGATCGTATACGACTTAGGGCCGCTCTCCCGGGGCGAACGGGTACGCAAGCCAGGGCATCCGAGAAAAAAGCCCCTGGATATGAAGATCGCTGACTGTGGTGTAGATCAACGAACTGTGGAACGAGCAAGGCGATACCTATGTGTACCTATTCCCGCAAGCCACCGGCCGGCCTCCGTCTTTCAAGGTTGACTCCACCATTTTCGCCGAATCCCCATCTCTGACCTTCCTTGCCCGGGGCACCGATGCGAAATCCAGTGGCCTCGATCAGCCAATGCGCTCCCTCTCCGTGCAGAGCCCGACGGGAACTACCCCGGCAAACGCTCTTGACAGACTGAATGGTGTTGCTGATGAAGATTATGAGAGCTCAGGCAGCCAACGCATGGCTTTTGAAGATGGCGTTGACGAAATGCAGGAATTGCATCTGTATCTCCCAATCCCACTCAACAGCGATGTGTCGATGCCGCAGTCTCGTCTCTCGCAAGATGACACGGAAACCCTCCTTCTGTTCCGCAACCTTTTCGCTTTTCTTCTGGGACAGGCGCTAGTCGCTTCTCCCAAATCCGCCTCCCTATTCAGCATCTTCATGGACGTTGCCGTTCTTCTGGCGCGCTTTGAGTTTACAAATCTGGACGGATCCAACTTCGGTGAAACGGCTACGTCGAGCTTTGCCAACTACTGCGATGAATTACGTTTGGCTGATGTGCGAAAGAGTCGGGAAAAGACGATTGAAGCCCTCGTGCTCGGCGAGCGTTTACGGTACTTCCCGCTCTACCTGGAGGGCTTTGTCCATGGTGTAGGAAAGCTTGATGAAATCAAGCAGCTCCGTAGCCCGAAGTTCAGTTTCATCCACCCCACCACCCAAAAACGACTGGAGCGTGGCTTCATCGATTTGGATTCCCGTCTCCGTGGTCTGTACATGAAGCTGACCGACTTTGACTTTCCTTCGATCTGGTCTGGTAGTGCCAACTCGGCCACCTCTGCTGAAAGCAAGGTCATTCGTTTCGGCAAGTGGCGCAACGCGTTTGCTGAATTCCGTCGTTTCACCCTTCAATACTACCGCAACAAGTACGGCTCTTGGCCACCGAAGGCTCGGTCGAAGAAGAATGAATTCGAGGAAAGCGGTCTTAACCGCATGCTCCTTCTCGACCTGTACCATGATCTGACCGATCTCTACGATATGCTTGTCGACCGCACCCTTCTGACCACCCGCTCGATCGATACCTCTGGTGCTGGCGGTGACCCTACCCTGACTGCTCCTAGAGATGTCATGATTCGGGCCCTCCGCCAGTTGCTCAGCGAGTACGATCGCAGTACTCCCCCGGTACTACCTCCAATTCCGTTCGATATACCCAAGATACCCGGCTTGCAAGTGCTACACCGGAAACCCTTGGACGAGAAGAAGGAGAACAAGTTGAAGAACAAGAAGATCAAGAACTCCGACACCAACGCGGTTCTTATGGATTCTTATAACCGGGATTCTATGCGCCCTACTGCCTTTATCGAAGCCTTCATGCAGTTCGAACGACGCTGCGCTGCTGGTAAGACCCTGGAGGACCTGATTGACCTCCGCTGCGGTCAATGGATCTTCCTTTATGCCGTAATCCAATCGCTGCCCATGCTCGTAGTCGACGTGCCCGATGTGCGGTTTACCGAGAATGTGGAGTACTTTCTTTGCATCGCTCCCCGCGGCGGTGCTCCTTGGATTCAAAACGACACCAAGTCCTCTCGTGCCTGGTTTGGAGTCGCCGGCGGTGCTGGTGTTGTGAGCCTGCCATCCGATGTGGTCATCAATGGTGTCGAGGGTGTTTATCGTCGCAGTCACTGCTGGCAGGTAGCAGAGAAATGGGCCGACATTGGTCAATTGAACGATCCACCCATGATCGAGGATGCCGCCTGGGATGAAAATGAATCTTCCATCTCATCGCCATATCAAGCCCAGCAGTCCTCGGCGGGCTCATCTTCAGACCCGCAGCCTCCCCCCGATGAACCTGTCGCACGGTGGGTTGACGCCTCCCCCGCCTGGTATCGGCAGAGATCGGTCTCCCGCCGGTGGCCGGCCACAACGGACGTCTATACATCCTGGTCTCGAGGCACTTCCGCTGCCTGCAGGCATCGCTCCCATTGAGCCTCCCACCCGCCCTGTCAGTCGCTTCAATCCCAACATGAGTTTCGATGATATCCTCCGGGAGGTCCCCAAGAAAGAGAAGGGGAAGAAGCACTGAATAATGCCGTTTTCGATTTTCCTTTGCCTTTCTCATTCCGAGCTGTTCGCGCACTGCAACGATGTGGTTTTCCACAAGCCCGATCGGCCTTTTTTTTCCGTCTCTCAACTCTTTCTGCTTTTTCTCTTGTTCTGTCGATAGGCGCATATTTGTCACATGAAAAAGGTTGTACGGCGCGATGCACAGGGCACAGAACAAAAAACAACCATTTAATGTACTGGAGACGCATGGGAGACACACAGCATCATAATTCATCAGCATATCAGCATCGGCATCTCCGGAGGAGGGAGCCTAATGTCTTTTTTTTTTTCTTGCTCTATACTCTGGTTCTCCTATCTCACTGCTGGATGCCCCTGGTATTCTCTTTTCTCCAATTACCGGAGACTGATAGAAAATAGAGATTTTTAATGTCTGCTGAAACCAAGTATCACCGAGTATATTAGACTTTGTTGTGTTGGGGTGTTCCCCGTTTTGAGCCTCAGAACCATGGAACCGGTTTTGTATAACCTCCCCTCGCAGCATCTCAATATGCCTTAATCTTCAACCCTTTCAATCCCTCTACCTCCAAACGAATCCCGAGGCGTCCCCCCCCCACCTTGCAAGCCGCCTCGAATACGAGCTTACCAAGCCACCTGCACAGAAAAGCGCCCCAAGTTCCACCGCAGATCCTTACTAAGTTTGCCGCTAATGATCAAAGTTAATGCGACGATTTCGACGTACCACTTCTTCACTCGGGGTTACCAACAAACTGCCGTGGCCAGGATTGCAGATCTATGAGCATCAAACCGTAACCATGGCTTGAAGCACACGGTTGACCACCCCTCACCCCTCCGCAAAAAAATCAGATCAATCACCAATGCCACGCTCCCGCACCCGCTCTATCGGGAGCGAAGGCCACGAGCGCCTGGAGCCCCAGTTCCTCCGCGCCGCCGAACAAGACGACCCAAGAGCTCTGGCCAAAATCATCGCCCTCGCCCACGAATATGGCCAGTTCAGCGACAACTTTCTCCGCGTGGGCCTCATGCGCAGTGCCGAGCGCGGCAACGTCCCGGCCACCGAATATCTGCTCCACGCCGGCGCAAAGACGGACGTCGCGAGCAGCCGCCTCTCGCCGCTGCTCCGTGCTGTCGAACGCGACCATTACCAGATCGTGCGGCTGCTCCTGGATGCGGGTGCAAGCCCCGACTCAACCGACAAGGAGGGCCGGACGGCGCTGATGACGGCTGCGTGGAAGAACCACGCGGATGTGCTGCAGCTGCTGATCATGCGGGGCGCGAATGTCAACGCGCGGGACCACAGGCAGCGGAACTGCCTGCACAATCTTGCCGCGGACAAGGAGTGCCGGTTTGGATGGGGGAGGAGATTGTGGAGTTGCTGCTGCGGACGGAGTGCGAGGTCGACGCGACGGACGAGCTGGGGCGGACCCCGCTGCACTGGGCGTGCGCGACGGGGAACCGCCGGCTGGTGGAGCTGCTGCTTTGCAGGGCGGATGGGAAGAAGGCGGATATCGATGCGGCGGAGCAGCGGGGGAAGACGGCGCTGCATATTGCAGTGATCCATGGACGGGTGGAGATCGTGCAGTTGCTGATTGCGCATCAGGCGGCGGTGAATGCGTGCTCGGATGGGGCGTGGACGCCGCTTCATAATGCGTGCGATAATGGGAATAAGGCCATTGTGCAGATTCTGTTGCGCGAGGGCGCGCATATCAATAGTCAGTTGTTGAATGGTGTGACGCCGTTGCATCTGTGTGCGCAGGGGGGTCATGTCGAGGTTGTCGCGTTGTTGCTGGAGCGGCCGGATTTGAAGAGGAGGGTGAGGGATAACTTTGGGTCAACGCCTTTCCTGCGCGCGAGCCAGTTCAAGCAAAAGGAGGTGATCAAGTTGCTTGCGCCGTCGAATAATGTGGATGCGCTACCGGACGATGTCAAGGATGCTTGTAAGGCATTTGATGCGACGGTGATCTCGTTCGGAAACTTCAAGAATGAGAACAAGGTCGAGCGCACGTCGGTGTTTAACCTGCTCTATGGGAAGGACCCGCAGAATCCGCATAAGCAGGCTTTCTCGACGCAGCCGGATCAGGACCGGGCGACGGATTTTCGCTGGATTCATCTTCCTGCAAATAACATGTCGTGGGTTGAGTCCCTGATCACGAAGAGCTTCATTGAAGAAGGAGCCCACGACGTCGAAGGATTCAAGGGGTTGGAAAAGTCGTTCAATTATCAACATCGGGGAAAGAAGGTCCACTCCAATTTCATGAGACCGTTGTGCCAGAGTACGCCGCGTCTCATGAAGGCAAAAGAGGAGAAACCGACGGATGATTATGCCTCGGAAACGGGGCAGTCCACGGCAGATGGGAGCTCGAGTCGCAAGCACAAGGGGTCTATCGATGACGGCTCGAAGAAGCACAAGAACAAGAATAATCCAAAGCAAGGGAAATCTGGAAGCAATCCCGGGACACCCAAGTCTGAAACAAAGAGCAAATCGCCATGGGGCTTCAGCGATAGATCTCGATCGTCTCTTCCGTCAACGACACTCTGTAAGGAGCCTCCAGGCCTGGTCTCAGCATGTAATGTCTGTATGTACATGCCATATCTGCATTTCGAGACCATCGAGCGCAGACAGATGATGGAGGAAGCCATTCGACGAGCAGAAACTCTCAGCTTTCAGCCACAAGGCATCAAGAGGACGCGAACCCGTGACGAAATGCTGATAGAAGCACATCTGTCCACGTCAACGACCTCGCTGCACGTTCGTCGGACGTTGGATCAATTTGCGTATCCCAACATCGATACCGCGAGTCGAGACAAGGACCAGGTCGTGTACAGATACCAGACGAAAGGTCCGGGCCGCGAGGAGGCGGGAAGCCCGAAGATCTTTATGGTTGACCAGCTCTGGATGTGGGTGCTAGGGACGAATCTGATCATTACTAGCTTCCCTATGCGTTGGGACCAACCCAAGAATGACCCGCTCAACGTGCTTGACGGGATCATTGAGGACATCAATTCCAAAACTCGAGACCCCGTGCAATCGGTCTATGATCTAGCGATCATCATCACCAATCGATGCTCGGGCGTTTTTGACCGTCACCGTCTGGGCGACGACCAGTACCAGTTTCTTGACATGTTTGAAAGCAGCATCGGTATAGCCACCGATCGAGAGACAATTCTATTCAATCGCTTCAACAGGGCGTCTGCGCAAGCATCGAAGTGGCTGAAAACACATCGCAAGCTCAACCGTTCTTCCCGCATTTATCGTGCGCGGAGTGGCTCCTCAGATGAGAATTCTGATGACGACGAGCGCGTCCACCATGATGGCTCGCCTTTGTTTGTGGATGACCTCCTGGATATTGGTAAAGAGACCGATCTACTTTCCGAGGCCAAGGATATCCGGGATGAGCTTAACATGATAAACACCGTTCTGGAACACCAGAGAAATGTCCTGCGAGACCTTGAAGAGGTCATTTGCGATATCTATTACGGCCAACATCGCTCGCAGCACGAGGTCAAAAAGCGCTTCAAGGATCAACAACGCATGATCGATATGCACATCAAAGATATTGAGCGCATGGATAAACAAACAGCCCGTATCTACGACTCCATCACTGACCTCCTTGACCGTAAGTCCTGGACCTGGATGACCAATTACCCTGCGATCCTAACGCGAAACAGTCAAACAGAAACACGCCAATGTCTACGAGGCTCGCTTCGCCCGCGACCAAGCCGCCGGAACCAATCGCCAAGGCAAGATTATCATGGTGTTCACCATCGTCACGATCATCTTCCTGCCCCTATCCTTCATTGCCTCCGTCTTCACCATCAACATGAAGGAATTCTCAGACCTGGATCTTCCGTACGTGGCCAAATACACGTTCGGAATTGGATTCGCCATCTCAATCCCGCTTATCCTCGTCGCCCTCTCCGTCGATGATATCGGCGACTTCTTCAACTACAGCCGGAGCTGGCTCTCGGGCAAAAGAAAACGAACGAACGTCCCGGATAGCAAAGACGACTACCAGGATCTCGAGTTCAAGAAGAACATTAGTGTCGCCAGGTCGCGCAGAAGTGGGGACGGCTATGGGCCTGGTCTGTTTCCCACGTCGACGCGCGGCACGGGGTCGTCGCCGCGACCGGAGATTTATGTAAATGGGCGCGCGAATGCGCTCAGGAAAAGTTTTGAAGTTTCTCAGAGTTTGGACTATAGGCGTTGATCGTATGAGCACTAGACGACAGTAATGACACGAGTAAAAATTTATTAATTCAAGATCAGGTCAGCTAAGCAGCCACCGCGGAGGCCTCAATTTTTCTCCCCTTCTTCTAGAATAGAGAGACTGAAGACTAAGATGCGGCAAAAGAGCTCGTATATCCTGTACTAGTAGTGTGGTAGATAATGAAACTCGTCATGGCCCTTCTACTAGCATGATACGGAATTCTGTACTGATTAGTTAGGACCCACGCGAGCCCTAGAGCCCTGGAGCGGGGCGCCCAAGCTGTATTACTGAACAAGGCTTAGCCTCCAGCTCCAGCAAGGGTCTACTCGGAAGGAACAGTTCTGAATCTCGTAGCCTGGCAAGCCTCACCTTCACTCTTGGTCGCGGATTGAAAGCTGCAGGCGACTGGAGTGGCGAAGATAATGTGTGAGTCACCTCGGGGATGTCAACCGCCCGAGCCCCCTCGGACTTACCAGTTATAGAATCCGACCAAGCTACCTCTTTCCCCGGCTTTCATAGCTTGGAGCTTCTGGTATTTTCTACCTTGCACCAGCTGACGCGCTGTTCTTCAGTTCGGATCTCATTAATCAGATTCGGCTTTATTGATGCCCCGAGTGGCAACTCCAGCGTGAAGGCAACATGATTGCGTACACCTCGGTGTCACGATCCAGAGGGTGACGAGGACGATAGATGCCTGCAAGTCACGAACTATATAAGCTCTGGAAGATGTCTTCCCATAGCTCCTCTTACTTATTAGATCACATCGCATATCTGCTTTGATCTTCCCTGATCCTTCTACTTTCTGTACTCTCTCACCCCTTTTCGCACCGTCACATCTACCAACACCCTGTACTTCTAGATCTTTTTTTTTTTCTGGATAGTATCAATACAAGATGGCTTCAATCTACCACCTCAACAATCCCCCGAATCCTTGGGAGTCCCTGTTGACCGGCCTTGAGGACCATCCCTTCTTCGCCGGGCGAGGCCATCACGGAGGCCGCCATCATCACCATGGACCTCCTCCCCCTCCCTTCTTTGGATGGGGTGGCCCAGCTCATCACGGACACCACCATCCAGGCCCTCATCCATTCTGGGGCATGGGGAACAACGAGGCTGCCCCTGAAGACTCTCAGAAACCCCACAACGCCGAGCCTACACCCGGTCCTTCAACTGAGAAGACCCCCCAAGCAGAGCAAGAGAAAGCCAATGCCGACAATGACAACGAAGACGATCACCCCCGCCGCTGTGGTAAAGGAAAACAAGCCCACGGGAAGCACGCTGGCGGCCGTTGCAGAGGCCGTGGCATGGGTGGTCGCGGCGGATGGGGTCGCGGAGGATGGGGTCGTCCTCACCCATATGCCGGACACCGCGGCCGTGGCCACCACCGCGGCTTCGGCAGCCCTGGCGCTCCCGACTTCGACTTCTTGCGCCAGCTAGCCTCGCGGTGCGGATTCCCCATGCCCGAGCCCAGCGCCGGCACCGCCGACTTCGCGCCTGTCGTCGACGTCTTCGACGCTCCTACGCAATACATCGTGCATGTGTCGCTCCCTGGCGCGAAGAAAGAGGATCTGAGCATCGACTATGATACCGACGAGTCGGTCCTGCGCCTTGCCGGGGTCGTGTACCGGCCTGGCGTGGATGAGAACCTGCACCAGGCTCTGGTCATGGAGGAGCGCGGCCGGGAGGTCGGTGTCTTTGAGCGGGAGATCCGTCTGGGAACGAGCCAGGCGCCTGCTGCTGTTCTGGCGGATGAGATTAGTGCCAAGCTTGAGGATGGCGTGCTGAACGTGACTATCCCGAAGATCTTGGTGGAGGCACAGCCGGAGCCAAACAAGACTGTTTATGTTGAGGATCTCAATGAGAAGTCGCCCAGCAAGACGGTGACGCCGGCGGAGTCGGAAATGAGCGATTATGATGACGAGGAGGAAGAGGCGAAGGAGTACGTCAAGGTCCCCGTGCAATAGATGGGGTTTTGGGATTTTTAGGGTTCAAGTCTTTTGACCACATATGGAGGTCGGTGTTTCTGTTCTTTCTGTTTCTCAGCTCTCGGTTTTGAAATAATATTGCTGCTCGTGGAGTGGCTTAAGCAAAGATTTTTCCCGATTCGCTTCCTAGTGTAGAGTGTTGAAAGACCTTGGTCTGGTAGTCATGAAGACTCGAAAAGTATACTGACCCTTGACAATCCCTGGAACGAACATGGCGTTCATCGTCGATGACACGATACAGTCCTTGCACGGATTTGCGTTTGAGAAGGATGTAGGCTGTGGATTACGCCTGAGAGACTGCCTGCTGTGGATCTTCGTTCCAATCCATCTGGACACATCGTATTCTCTGCCGAGTGCTTGGCCATGCCGCATCATCCACCTTCGTCTCCATGACAGAGTTCTGTCGCTTGTCCAAGTGCCGACAGAGTGTAGCTGCGGAAGAATCTAAGGTCGGATCGCTGAGTGCTGCTTGCCACTGGCAAACGTTGATAGTCACTCTAAAGAGGAGAACGGTCTAAACCCACCGTCATGGGCAACGCAGAATGGGTCTGAGAATGCCCACGTTCGCTTCAATTACTGAACGCTGGGAAGCAGGTCGACCTTTAATGGCTTCGATAAGTAATACTTATGCTTCAGGTATTGTTCGGTGGGCTTCAAAATCACAGATCGAGTACTAGTGCAGTACAGCCTGCGCTTTTGTTGACCAGTCCACAGCCTAGTTGAGGCACCGTAACCTTTTCAACTTCCCGACATCCGCCCAGGCCGGAACCGATCGTGCTACGACATGCTGCGAGGGCTCGGACTACTGGACGCATGAGATAGAGCGATCTCCGTAGCCAATGCGGACGACTAAAGTATCCAGTCAATAGTCCCCAAAAAAAGTTGAGCGATTCGAATTGTTCACACTCCCCAACATAATCAAGTTGGTCGCCTAATCAGCCCTGGGCGCCTGAGCACCAAACCGGCCCTGGGGGATCTTTGGTCTCGACTCATTCGACTCATTTGACCGAACAAATGTGCTGCTTATCGATATTCCCAAAGAGGAAGATACGACGGCCATGCATCCGACAATGGGCCGTGCGACGAGCCCGGAGGACTCGTGCTTACGGGTTACGGAGGCCTTCTCCACCTTGGATTCTGGAAGCTCCGCCTTTCCCGTACTCTATTCTTCTAGGGGGTTTCACTTCTGGGATGCGAGACTAAAGCTTGCTGGGGGCTACGTAGGACAGTCGTGGGATAGTCGTCGCGGTGTTGCCCGCTAGGCTCCAAGTACGCAGTACGCACGCGTATCAAGTAACGTACTTTGAGCTTAGGCTGAGGGAGAAATGATTCAAGAAACGAAAAAAAGGAAAGAAATGAAATGAAAAATGAAGCCGACACTTTGCCCCAACCGAGCAGTTCCATACCGACCCAAAGTACTGGGTCCAAGTGGATCGGGAACCATGTGTCCATACGGGACCGGAGACAACCCATAGCGTTGAGTTAGACAAACAGTAAGCAGCTGCGCTCGACTGCTCTCACGGTCATGATTCAGGACAGAACTTGCGCCCGTAAAACAGGCCAATCAGCCCACCCTGTGATTTGCATATGAAACGTACCATAAGCTATGCACTCGTGCCGCGGTGTATGCCCAGGATCTCCGTCTCGATACGCAACACGACCAGCACGCAACGATACGGGACCATGGCCAGTTTTCCGGAGGACTCGATGATGAAACCGGTGCATCCAAACCCCCCCTTTTTTCGAGACACCCCACAAGCGGGAGTCGGCGGACGTGATCGTCTCCGCCATCCGCTTAACACGAAATACGAAAGACCCACGCCCAACGAGGCAGTTGGAATGGCCATCCAGGATCAACAAGCAGCACCTCCCTCGCAGTCCAGGATCAAGTTTGCCCTGGATCGACCGCGCCCCCCAGGTTTGCTGTTGCATCCTTTCACCAGTCATGCGCGGTTCCGTCCCCGTTATGGAACTGGAGGAAGGCGATCTGGAAAAGAGTGCTGACAACTGACGCAGAGTGACAACAGCTTGACTTCATTATTCCCCACTGGTGCTGCTGCCAGGTAGATCGACATTTTCCGACATACGCTCTCTTGCCCAACCATTGCACAGTGTGGCAGCTTCGCATCGGGTGTTAGCAGTTCTCGGCCAAAAAGGCGCCCTGCCGTTGATAGGCCTGTCTAGAGTCGCTTATTAGCACAGAAAGTCTGGTAGGCCCAGAACGGTTCTCGGCTCGCTAGGCAAATTCTGGAAATTCTGGTTTCGAGAATCTTTCTCTTTTGTGTTTGCGGGGAAAAGAAAACCACTAAGAACGAGGCCGTGATGCTGCCCAATGAGACTTGCGATTGCTCGATTCAAAATGCAAACCGTGTTGATCTGGCCAGCAGGGGACTAGTAAATGGTGCCACTTGACTCGCTATCAGACGGCCCTTCGGAGTCCCACTGCTATCTCCGGAATGAAATCATGAATTAGATAGTTCGAGATCTCCGTCTTCGGTAACCTGCTCAGACTAAAAAACCGAAGGGTAAAAAAAAAAAGGCGTCGCATGGCCGAGCATCCAATCCGCGTGCAGCAAGGGGTAGATTTGGTCCAGGTGATACATGGGCGCCACCCAAAATACGCTCATTATTCTTTTATTTCTGGTCTCAGCACCCGTGAATCGGGGGGGGGGGGGTTCTCTCTCTCCACCGAGTGCTTAAAATCTGGGTCTGTCCCTCGAGCGCGCGTGAGGAGGTCAAATTTCTGTCCGTTCAAAATGCCTTCCCAAATAAGCACCTACCATGAGTCCGTCCCTTCCAATCCTTCGTTCTACGCATGGAGCTAATCCTGTCCCAGATCGCCCCCAACAGACCCGCCGATTAAGATCACAGTAGGCAAAGGAAGCACCTATTATGTGCATCCGGGGGCCTTTGCGCCGTATACGTCGTCGGCATTGCACGCCCAGATCCACGGCTCCTGGAAAGACACCTTCGCGAAAACGCTGGACTGGTCCGACTTCGACGAGCAGACCATCGAATGCGTGTTGCAATTTCTGTACACCGGCGATTACGATACTCTCCGGGCAGCCTCGGAGCCCAATGGGGAACAACAGACCACATTTCAACTCAACTCCAAGAAAGGTGGGTCGGAAGCGAAGCCGCGGTCCTGGTCAGCAACACTAACAGACGCACCAGCCAGCACCGTCAGGCCCCCGGCCAAGAAAACCACCCCATCGCCAAATGAGGCCATCGATGGGCCCGTGAGCGCGCTGAAAAACGGCCTCAAGACAAGACTCGAGTCCAGCCAATCAGAGGAGCCCCACGCCTCCGAGGCTACAGTAGCCGAGATCGCCGCGCACGCCAAGGTGTACGCCTTCGCGCACCGATTCCTGTTCTCCGAGCTAGAGGAGCATGCGCTGCATCGCTTGTCGCAGGGCCTGGTGTCCATCCAGAACAAGAAAGTCAGCTTCTATCCGCACATCGCCGAAGCCATTGATATCATCTACGCCGAGACTCCCAGCTTCTCCAACAACCCCGCACGGAAGCTGATGACTCAGTTTGTCGCCATGGGATATACGTCGCTGGAGGGCGAGGACCTCGACATCCTGATCGAGGAGGATAGTGATTTCGCGGTGGATCTGTCGCATGCGCTGGCGCGGGCCTTGTACCAGGAGAACCCCCTGCAGGATAAAGTCACTGCGATGGAGAGGCAGATGCGGGAGATGGAGGCGAAAATGAAAGCGCTGACGGCCGAAGTCAACGGCTGGGAGAAGTGGGATTCTCGCCTCCCATTGAATGAGCGGAGGTGGCCAGCATCGTACTACTAAACTGACCCTGGCTTTCTCTTTCAGACTTCTCGGACATTTTTTTTTTTCATTCGATGCTTTTCTACTTTGGTTCTTGAAGCGTTTGGCGTTGGGCTGCAGACTGGGACTGCGAGCGGTCACGATTTATGATACCATAGCATATTTTTGTAATCTTTTCAACATTCGGTTGCTTGTTTCAATCTACCCCAAGCTTCAACAATATCAATTTGAATCTTCAGGACGTTGGCCCAGCTTAATTAGAAACAAACCTGTAGACATCCGACCTCTCGGGCAATTCACGCCCATACCTGCAGAAGAGGTCGTGATCGCGCTCGATTTGGGTTTTCATTCATAATAGTCGCCCCAGATCAGCACCTTCTATGCGCAATTGCATGCCAACCGGCTCTCGATCACGCTCGATCGCGCTCGATCGCGCCTGACTTTAATCCGGATTATCTTATCGTTGACGTTTCTGACGTCACAACGACGTTGATTCCACGAGGTACTTGCAGCAGCATCAACGACAAACGATTTCAATTGATCATCATAAATAACAGTTGGACAGCTCCCAAATCTCTAATTCCCAATTTATTCCCCGACCTACACATCCCGTCCATCACCATGTCCACCAACCCAACAATCAGCACCAGCTCGGGCAACCAGCCCGTAGACCCATACAAGTCCCAGAACTCCGAGGACCCCCCTCTGGCCACGAAGATCGAAGAGCTGACCGACTTCATCTCACAAGTGAAGTTCGGCATGCTGACGACCAAGCAGTCGGGCGGCGATTTCCTCGTGTCGCGATGCATGGCATTGGCCGCTAAGGTATGTCTCAAACCCCTCCCCATCTAGAACATATACATCGCATCCGCTCCCTCCCATAATCTCTTAAATCCAATCTGACATATTTTCCCCAGGAAAACGGCGGCGTCGACCTCCTCTTCCATACAAACCTGTTCTCCGGCAAGACCTCAGACGTCTCCATTCACCCGCAAGAAACCAACATGTCCTTCCTGGACCCGGTCAGCGGCGCCTGGGCCTCCATCTCCGGGACAGCGAGTGTGATCGCCGACCCGGCGGTGATCGAGAAGTACTACTCGCCAGCACTGAAGGCCTGGGTCGGAGACCTGGGTGATGGCGTGCATGACGGAGGGCCGAAGGACCCCCGCATCGGCGTGATCAAGCTGGAAGCTAAGCTGGCGACGCACGTGGCTGCTCGTAAGGGCATCATGGGGCGTGCTTATGATACCGTGAAGGGTGCCGTGCAGGGCAATGTGCCCGCCATCAACAGCATTCGGGAGATTAGCACCGAGGAGCTGGATGAGTGTAAGTTGGATTGAGAACCCATGCGTGTCTTGAATTGTGAAATGGAATTTACTGACGTTTTGGCAGGGCGTAAATCGCACTAGATTCTGAAATAATGACTCAATATGGATACTGAGTTAGCGTTATGCTCATGAACTTGCACTTTGTCTTATGTCTTCTGTTATATGTAGGGCTTGCCGTGGGTATTTGATATCACGCGAATGCGGCTGAGTTTCTACTCACTATTCTATCAAATTGGAGCTGTACGATTGGCAAATGGTATCTGAGGATCATCTATTTTGCTCGCTGAGCGCTGCTCGAAGAAATAAACCAAAAAAGGGGGGGGAAACAAAACAAGTTATGGGTATCATGCCCCCACCACCGAAAACTCCTCGAAATATGTAAGAATTGTCTAGAAGAAAGCGCCATCCCGCCTGCGATCAAATCTGCAATATATCAGTAAAAGCGACGAAAAATTTTTTTTTTTTTGTAAGAGGGGGGTTGACTGACCAGGCGCAGGGCCATCCGCGCAGGCACCCGCCCATTGTTCAACAGCATGGCTGTTGATTTATGGGGGGTGGCCTGGAGCTTCCGGTAGGCCTCGCGGATGTGCCGCGGCTCAATGGGCGTTCGACCCTCTTCCGGAGGATCGAAGAGGCCTGTCTCGCGTTTTCGCTTCTTCGAGTTCTCTCCCGTCGCGTCCGCGCCACCACGGTTCTTCTCGTGATCCTCCCGCTCCTTCACTTTCAACGCCTCCTCCGTGAGCGTCTGCACGATCTCGAATGTGAGGAAGCCCAGGATGTCGACAATGTCGTCGTTCGGCTTCGACTCCGTCACGATTCCGAAGCCGGCCCACTCGCGGAACCGCTTGCTCTTGCGGTAGGTGAATGAGGCTTGTCGGCACTCGGACCAGAAGACGTACTCCTCTTTGGTCATGTGCTTGGTTCGTTCGTCGGCCGCGGCAAGACGCTGGAGGGTCGCGTAATTCTGCTCCTCTTCCTCCTCATCTTCCTCGTCTTCGCGCTCGGGGATCTGGACGGAGAAAAAGCTGTGGACGTCCCAGGCCAGACCGACTTTGGCGCGCTTGTTCTTGGGCTTTGCAGCCACATCTTGTGGGCCAGCGGCCACACCAGCCGCATCGTCGGCGCCCGCAAAATCAGCGGCATCGGCTCCGCCCTTGTCGTCGGAGTCCTTCACGTTCTTTCGCACATCTTTCCATGACAGGAATGTGCGCAGACGGGAGACTTTGGCTTTGTCATGGCGGATGAGGAAAATGAGGTCATCAGTAGAGATGGAGCGAGAACCCCGGCGGGTGGCCAGGAAAGTACTGCGGGAAAGCTAATAGGTCATTAGTTACGATGGATATATGTGGGAGCAGGCTTGGGAGACCGGCTTACAATCTCCACCACTTGTTGGCGAGTAATATCTTCGATCAGAGTCGTCGTCTCGATAGAAGGCTCCGCGGTCTCTCCGGACACAAACATCATCTTCAGAAAAGATTAGTATGTCTTTCCTTCTATGGTGGCTCAATCTCCTCGGAATCGGTATCAGATCTCCACCCTGTTTTTGGATAGTCTTGTTTTTCTGAGGCTTTTGCTTCACTCTTGCGTTTGGATGGGTTGACTGGATAGACCATGGCAGGAACTGATTTGAACTTGTTCTGCCCATTCTTGCCCTTGAAGGTTTTGAAGAGTGGAGAAACAGATTTTTTCTTCCAATTGGTGAGACTATTGTTGATTCTCAAGCGGGCAAGGGACTTGATCATTGGAGCAAATAGGATAGTAGGTGCATCAGTGCGGGAGCCATCGGGCGTCTCCTCCGTATCAGCATCGTTTAGGTGATTGTAGGAGCTGTCTCCCATCGGATCGACAATCTTGAGCCTACGCATGCGTAAAGCAAGCTGGGAGATGGAACCCATACTCGAAATATTGCTCAGAATGAGCGGGCGTGTTTTGTCTTTTCTTTTCTTTTTTTCCAAGAGCTGGCCCTGGAAGGGCTCGGTCCAAGTTCTCCGTTGCCGAGTCCCCGGCCTTAAGACGAATCTGATTCAGAAAGATCGACTTGAGATTGGGTACAAAGTAAAGGCCGGGACGGAAATTTCGCATTTTGGAACTGGAGAGTAGTGGCAGAATGTGTTGAGAACATTGCAACCATCATCAAATGGCCATCTTGTAGAGCTGCTGATGTTGCTGAATACCCAAAACAGCTTAGCGCCATTGGCGATACGGTGGGAGAGCTCCATGACCTCGAAGCCATTCATGCACCCTTGAAACCAAATTCTCTGCGTCTCAATAAGATTGTAGCGTAGCTGTAGAGCCCGCGCATGCGCATGCCAATTGTAGAAAATGCCGCGTTGCCTCCAAACAAGGCCAACCAATATATCCAAGAGCCACGGACAAACCCGATAATCCGAACGCAGGGAAACCAATACCGATTCCAAAGGTTGTTATCAGAGTAAGGAGCGGCGACTTACCTGCTGAATCTCCTGGCGATACTTTGGCTGGCGATCCGAACTCATGATGGCGGTTTCGGTCGCAGCTGCGCTGCCCTGCAATTGGACTCTGGGACGAATGGGATTATTCGCGATAAGCCGAGTCGATCGGGTTGAGATGCAAGGATGGACGTCGGGATGAGGGTTAGAATGAGTTTGTCAAACGCTGTTCAGGCGCAAGCCGGCAAACGGTAGTGAGAGACGAGGAGTGTGAAGTCCGGGGTCCAGATAAGGCGCGGATCGCGATAGCCGGAGAAACTTTTCCACCGTCCTCCCCGATAATTTTGCCGCGGGCACCCAATGCATTGATCAGCTCAATTGCTCTCGCATTCGATCAATATGTTGCACCTCGTGGGGCTCGGCCTTGCCGATGAGACGGATATCACGGTGCGCGGACTAGAAATAGTCAAGAAAGCAGAGCGAGTCTATCTGGAAGCATACACAGCCATTTTGCTGGTTGACAAGTCGAAATTGGTATGTAATATAACATTGATGCTCCTTGAGGAAGACAGAGAGCTATACCGGAATTGGAAATAATATTAAGAGAACTTACTGTTATAGGAAGCGTTCTATGGCCGTCCAGTTATCGAGGCAGACCGAGAACTAGTGGAAAGCGGCAGCGACGACATCCTTGCCGGAGCGGACAAGACAGATATCGCGTTCCTGGTCGTAGGAGATCCATTTGGGTAATCTCCCGCATAAATCGCAGGGAACTGTACGCACGGCTAATCCATGACAGCGCGACTACCCACACCGACCTTGTCCTGCGTGCCCGCGAACTCGGCATCCAAACCAACGTTGTCCCCAATGCCTCTATTATGTCTGCCATCGGCTCTACAGGCCTCCAGCTCTACAACTTCGGCCAGACTGTCAGCATGGTCTTCTTCTTAGACAATTGGCGGCCATCTTCATTCTACGACCGGGTGCGCGAGAACGTACAGATCGGTCTACACACACTAGTTTTACTGGACATCAAGGTGAAAGAGCAATCGATGGAGAACCTTGCACGAGGCCGTCGCATCTTCGAGCCTCCACGGTACATGACTGTTGCCCAGTGTGCGGCCCAGATGATAGAGACGGAGGAGACCCGAAAAGAGGGCGTGTACACACGTGAGAGTCTGGCTATGGGAGCTGCCAGGGTTGGAGCCCCTGATCAGAAGCTTGTTGTGGGAACCCTACAGGAATTGACAGAAGTTGACATGGGCGCACCGCTGCACAGCCTTGTGCTTCTGGGACGGAGAACGCATGATCTGGAGCGCGACTACATCCGGCAGTTTGCTGTCAATGAGGCCACGTTTGATGCGAGCTACCAAAAGAGCTATGGGGCTAGCTCATGATTGACGAATAATGTAGACCAAGATACTATGGATTATATTCAAAAGACTCAGCGAAATCCGTTATAAGATATTCTGGTATCAGGGATATCATAGGGAAAAAAAAAGCCATTCCATTAAACACGACCTTAAGTCTTTTGACCCTGATATAATTGTAGTGCTGTATAATGTACCACCGTGGCGACAGACAACTGATGCTCTCAATGCCAGACGAATAATTGCAGAAAGACAGGACAGAAGCGCTGGCAGGATCAAGCACAGTAACATTTCAGAGCCCATGAAGATAAAAGAAGATGGTATCCTGATAAGACAAACAAATCAAGGTAAATGCGAAAGGAAAAAAAGCCCTCGATGATAAGAGCACCTCCCGACCGGGAGAAGCCAGACAAGACCAAAGAAATAATCTATGTTCAAAAGAAGCCCGCACACCGAACATGCAAAGAAAAAAAAAAGGAGACCATTAAGAAATGTACAGCTATGAGAGGCAAAGGGAAAAGGCATTGATCACATCATTTTATCACTTAATGGCCGTCTATGGCCTCATCCTCTTCACCTGGAAGTCGGATTTCGTGGCCCGAGCCTTCATAAACAAAGATTGCAGCGATACTGCCAAAGACTGAAACCAGGGCAATGAGCCACCAGGCAAAGCCGACCATGCCAATGTCCAAGCCATAACCGTACCAGGCGCCTGAGAAAATGGGGCCAATGGTACGGAAGGCGGATGACACAGACTGGCCAATACCGTGGATCGTTCCAAGGACAGAGGGGTGCGGGGAGCAGTTGTTTAAGAGAATAATGGAGGTTGGGAGTGTGAAGGTTCGGGCGGTTACTTGGAAGAAGAGAACAAGGATGATCCAGAACCAAACCCAAGGGCCATTGGCTTGACCGGGGGCGGGGTGGTGGAGGGCGCTAATGAAATATATGGTGCAAGAGCATAGGCGATCGGGAAAAGAGCGAGGAAGTACTGGTAGCTCTTGACTGTTCCCAGTCGCCCATTGATGGAGGGGTAGACGGTGAACTGAAGCATCATACCGATCAATCCAAGAATCGAGGTGGCGAAACCGACACTCTGAGGAAGCATACCCAGTCCTCCAGTGAAGACGAAGGGTAAGCTCTGGGCAGGGCTGGTTGGGTCGTTCACATCATAACGAGGGGTGGACAGGAAAAGGAGCCAGAGATTGTTGAAAGCGCCCATCTGGAAATCGAAAAAAGCCTGGGCAAGGAGAGTGCACAGGACATTTTTGGTCCAGATTCTGCGGAACGGCAGTACACGCTTCGCACGGATGGGTTTGGTCGCCTTCTCCTCGAGCTCGTAGCTCTCTGAGGAGTCCAAGCTACCAGGGCCAAGCAGCGGGCCATCCTCATCGTAATCGCGGAATGGAAGTCTTGAATAAATAGGCGAGGAAGCACCAAAGAAGCCTCTCACGCCGCGGGATATGTATTTCATAACGTACGAGCCTGGGCCAGGCTTGCCCTTGCAGGCCTGCAGAGTTTCCTCCAGTCCATATGCAACGAGGAAAGCAGTAGTGCTCAAGAAGAAGAAGTTCGCCAACATAGGCAAGGCATAAGGGTACTTCATCAACCACTGGACCCCATTTTCACCTCCAAATGAGGAGTTGGGGCCGAAGAGAAGCGGATGACTTCGGACGGGGTCAGCTAAGAGACCACCCATAACTGAACATCATGTTAGTACCGACATTAGACAATTTTATACCCCGAAAAAGAGCGCTATATTAAAAAGAAAGAAGCTTCAATACTAACCAGGTCCAAATAACGAAGCCACATTGAATCCAATTGGCAGGATTAAGAAAGCACGTGAATGGTACTTCTTCTCCTTCACGTTTTCTGCAATCATCGTCCGGATGATGCCAACAGTGCCGTTAATGGCGCCACCGAAGGAACGCCAAAAAACTGCTTGCGCGAACGAAGTCGCAAAAGCGACGCCCAGACACGACACTGCGGTACCAACCAATCCCACCAGGAGCACGAATCGCCGGCCACCCCACTCGGCGTCGGCAACTCGGCCCCAAGGGATGGCTGTCGCAAACTGGGCAGCGGTAAAGGCACCTTGTAGGATCCCCGCTTGTGTAGCGACATCGGAGTCAGAGAGGTTCTCGTCGAACGACTTAAGCTGATAGAACATATAAGCCTGGAGAGAGGCGATTTGTAAAAAGTCGAAGACGCGACAGAGACCGAGGAGGGCCAATTGGCCTTTTCGAGGCAGCGACAGCCATGTTACCGGGGCCGGGCGTTGAGGTTGGGCCGGGAGTTCGGACTGTTGCAGGGCGAGGAGCTGCTGCTGGCCCTGGGAACGGCTGCGCATATGGCTATGGCCCTTATCCTTCCGTGCGTGTATATCCATCGAAGAGTTTTGTAACATAGCGGGCTCATCGGGAGGGGTCCTCGTCCACGCTGGCGAGGGACTGCTGCGACTCGCGACGGCGGCGGGACGACTGAGGGTCGGACGGTTCGCCTGGGCCGCTGGTTATATGGTTGAAGCCGGTCGACCAAGATGTCGTACGCGAGTGGCGGGCATTATTTGGCTTTTGACCTGGGGGGCTTCGCAGCAGGCATGGAGGAATGTATATGTAAGCGCCGGGAGAGATCCCGCGGGCAGAGGTTAACGCCAACGAACTGGAGACGAGTTAGGGCGTCAGGTTGCGACACCCCCTTCGTTTCACGTATTTTTCCTTCGAGGTCGTTTCCACGGCTGTAATTGGCCCGGAGCACCAGCTGCGCATCAAGATAAAGGAGAGGAGGATCGATGCACTGGTACTCTAGGGTTGTATTTCGGACTATAGTTTGGGGCCTAGAGAGTAAAGGGAAGATCCAGGAGATCTTGGCCGCGATGGTTTGTTTTGTTCCTTTATTTTCGGTTTAGATTGATGGCGCCATAGTACGTGACTTCCTGTAAGATGTTCCTTCTTTTTCCCATGTCCGTTATTAACAAAAAGGAGGTGATCTGTAAAGTCGGGGCTGATCCCGCTGGCAGCTCGTACTTGATCCACAGGGGAAGGGAATGCCCACATTACGTACTTCCCTTTCTTACAGCGGACCTAAACCTAATAGAATCCCGCAGTGCCCATGCCGACGTCATTATCTGAGTGTCATTTAACAGTCACACCGTAGGATTTGAGTAGCTCAAGCAATGGCATAGTCTACGGCATAGCACGATCAAAGCACTGCTACTATTGTTGACTCTGATGCTCGAAATCAAGTGATATATTATGATCGGTGGAGGAATCCCACAGACTACGGACTCCAAAACAAGGATCGTATGTATTGTATGTCTCGTATTACAGTACAGCGTGCAGCTTGCGACGACCGCTCCACCCGGGCTTGCCCCCTGCCTCCACTGCCATCACTGCCACGACTTCCGATGTCTCCCCTTTGGTCGCTCTCCTGTATGTCTTCTCCCTGATATGTTCTTGGCATTTGTGCCATGAACCGTGGTGGAGGTCCACCGCCCTCCACAATCTTCGTATTATTTACCGCGATTGGCAATCCCAATCTAACCCACTGTTTCGTATTGTTTTTTTTTTTTTATGTTTACCCTCCGGCCAGAGTGTTCTGGAGCTCTGCCCATCGCTCAGACGTGCTTCCGCTATGGATCTTAGCCCTACGTAATGAGGTGATTGCGTCCGGGGGTGACGACTCGATATGCATATATGTTAGCGCCCGCTCAAAAGCAGCAAATCCCCGTTACCGGCCTACGCCAGACAACGTGGCCTCTGTTATGGCCTTCAGTTCATGTATGCTTTGGGTAACTAAATCCGACTCCGACTTGTGATAGCGCAGCAAACTCAACTGCCACACCTGCGGTTGCGTGGAACATTGGTGTACCGTACGTGGCATACATTGCGGTAGGGATGGGCTAAAACGGCGCTTCTGCTTAGGCGACTTCCTAGAAAGGCCATGTACTCGATGGTCAGTGTCAAGCTCGTAGGAAACTGGGTTGCGCCTTTTTTTCGTTCTTCCCTTTCCCGAAACGGCCAGTGCATCCTCCCGCGACTCGGACGTCCGAGAACTAGTGATTTGCTTGTGGGCCAGCTTGATGGAGGGTGAGCTGGGAGTTCGATCTACATTAACGGGTAGAGTTCGCCTCTACCGTGCTGGCACCGCTCTCCGCGTTTCAGCTGTCCCTGCTCATGGTTGTCTCAGCTACATTGGCCCTACGGCTGGTTCTCTTGAAAATAGACCTTCTCAGGATTCAGCAATATTATGTGGCGATGGGCGGACGGTAGAATAAAGCCGCACCGTAGGATTCCTAGCTGTCATTGGAGCAGGCCTGCTGACGATCGTCGCAGGGCACTCGGAGCCAACCCCTATCTGAAGCACTGATAAAACATGTCTACCCCTCCCCTTCACAGCTATACGCAGGACCCCAGACTGAGAAGACCGCGGCTGGGTAAATTTTAAACCGGCTTGGAAAGCAGTTTCTAATATCGCCAGGCCCGAAAGAGCCGGCTGTAGAGCTGGTTTTCGAGTCCATGGACAAATTTCAAAAGTGTGGACAACTTGAAGGACCCTGTATCTATGTCGACGACGTCAACATTTCGTAGGTTTGACTACAAAAAAAAATTTCGTTTGTTCTTGAATATTTATTCTTATTTCACTTGGTTATGATGAATTGCGCCTGTCACGACTGGGTGGGAATGTACATAAGGACACGGTAATAGATACCATGATGGAAACTGAAGGGGGAATAACGGTAAAAAGGAAATGATAGAAAGACCGGCTAAACAATGCAATGAAAGCAGAAAAAAAAAAAGAACGAAAGCAAGTTTAAACAAAAAAGAAAACAAGCTCGATGAATGATCAATCCCTTCGATCCATTCTTGCTCGTCTCTGTTCGTAGGTAGGAGGGTAATTGTGATCCGACAGCGCGAAATAGGGACCGCTGGTATTTTTCTCTCCAGCCCATCGGCGCCAATTCCACCATGGAAGAACATTAGGATTCGCAGGGGTTTTATTCTGGTTGCTCCTCCCCGTAAGCGATTCTGCGGACTCGGCATCATCATTGCAAAGATCCTGCCGTTGGTGCCGTTGATACCGGCGGTAGATGAAATAGAGTGGGCCCAGAATACCGAAGAAGAGTACTGCAGCACTCCAGCTGAGGACTTGCTTTTTCCCCTGCCTGTCGTGCTCCGCAGCCTCGTTCTCTGCATCCACGTGGGGGAAACCCGATGGATATGTCCCGCCATTTTCCAGGTCCACCCAAGGCACAGTGCTTACGCCCACGGGCGGGATCGTGATCGGAGCGTCGCCTTCGTCTGGGAGCCCGTATGCGGGGGCGTCGGCGCAGGTCTCATCTTGGCAGAACAGGCTCAGGTCTGGTGACGGGACGAAAGTGTACTTCACTTCCGACTTACCCAAGATAACGCCGTCCTTGTTGACCGCCTCAGCTCGAGTCCAGGGGAAGAAGGTGGCGTTGTGGTACTCGGTTTCGAAGCCTGCTTTGTCGATGTCGTCTAGCAAAGTCCAAGACCCGTCCTTGTCATGCGCTCCGTAGAATCGCCAGCTCTTAATGCGCGTGGCACCGTTCCAGCTGGCATAGAATGTCGTGGGAGAGAAAGGTTCGCTGGTTCGAGAGTATGTCCATAGCGCAGGGGAATCGGTCGGATTGCCCTCCCACTCGAATTTCATAGCACGGTAGTTCATCACCGGGGCTTCGGCAAATGACGCCCAAAGGACTAATTCGCCCTCTTCGCTGTGCTCTGAGACAAACACATTGTTACCCCATCCCATGAAGACGTTATTGTTTGGAAGCCGTTGTAGATTACCCTGGCTGGAACTTACCAAACCAGGGATTTTTGGTAGATACTCTCGGACTTGCAGAGCCGTTTTCTCGATGTGATCGATAAGAATAACCATGCCGCTCGAGTAAGGGTGCGTTTGGTTGAAACCATTGTAGCCGTTGTTGTAGAGCGAGACCACACTGTGAGTTTTGTTTTCATATAACCACCGTGCATCGTGTTGCTGCGAAAAGCTGAAGTTGATATTTCGGAATGTCGGGTTAGAACCATGGAGCCTCCAGATCACGGAGCCGTTTTTGCCGGAGACCTTATAAATGGCACTTGTATGCCTTGAGGAAATCAAGTAGTCTCCATCTGCGTTTTTGTCGATCGAGTTGATGTGGAAGTAATCCCAAGGTTCGCTCACATGTAGCCCGGTTCCCGAGGTGTCGGTTGCACTGGGCAAGGTGTAACTGTTGGAGGGATCGACATGGTCAAGAGAGCGCCATTCAAACAGCACTTTGCTGGTCTCGATATCGACTTCCTGGAATACGCTCTCCATCACCCATCCAACCCCTGTTTTGATATTCCATGGACTCATATCGAACTGGCGTTGCTGGTACACGGTCATCAAAGCGGTTTTACCGCCGTTGATAGGCATGAATTCATGCATATCACTCGAGGCCATCCCCCCCACCTGGCTGTACTGAGCGCACAATGCGATAGGCATTGTCGAGGATCACTCCGTGTCCGCGACAATATCCTTTTTGTTGGTTGCCTTGAAAGAAACATAGATGGTTTGCGCCCTTATACTCGCAGACATGCATTCCATGGGCATTTCCCGGTCCGGACGCCCCCCAGCCGCTCCATACTAGCTCCTGTTCCAAACTCGGTCAGCCTGTGGGTGAGATGAAAACTTGAATTCCCAATGACCTACCCCTGCATTATCAAAAATATATGGCCCCGGGTTGCGCGCCTCATATGGTGTTATGAAAATATAGCCGTCGCTGAGCTTCTCTGGTATGCTGTGTTCGATTGTAAAGGTGGGAGGGGTGATATCGGGTCTCTGCTCATCAATGAGTAATTTGCGAGCGCAATCGACATGTCAAACCTACAGATTTGTAGAAGGCCGTAGGCTCGGATACGACCTTGCCAAACGTTAAAAGTAAAGAAAAGAGGACAAGTGACTTCGTCCTTACAGAGGACTGATTCTTGGCGAACATGGATTCTCTTGCACATTACCCCGATAGTTGGAAGAAAGCGGAGGTACAAGCAACACGGCGACAGATTAGCACCGGCACAAACCATTCATAAGAAAATCATCAGGAGACAAGTTTCCAATCCAGTTGAACAGACCCGCCGATGTCACTGGCAAAAATACTGGAGTACATGGTGGGGCATCCCGTAATGGTGGGGATGGTTAACCGCAGTTATTGGACCACACGAGGCCCAAAGCCGTGGGAGGCTTAGTCCGATTGCCCTGTATCTAACAAGGGCGGTCGCCAAGAGAGCCAAGTTTCTAAGCCAGAACCTAGTTTGACGTGGGGTAAGCTTGCAGGGAGTATACTGACTTCCGCTGAAAACCATCGTCAATTCCCAATTATAAAGGCATGCTCATGTTTCTCGAAGTTCTCCTTCCATACGGTAATCGCTTGAGGCGCTTTGACTCGTCAAACGGGAAGTATCCTTCTCGTACGCAGTACGGTATTGGTAATTCCGTCCGAAATGGTGGCCGCGTCATAGTTGAGACTAGAGTTTAGGGCTTTAGGTGATACGGTTGGTTATGGAGGAAATCAAATGAAATTTCCGTATAAGATCGGCAGCCATTGGATTGTATTGAAACGATCTACTTATGGCGGTTAGCCCAAATTGCCCACCTTCGTTGATTGAAGAAACCCCGCCCGCCATCCCTGAGGCTGTGCAGTCTCGAGTCTCCATGATCATCAACCAGGAGCTCGAGAGTCCGTGCAAACAAAGCCTAGCCACACGGCACACGTGGTCAATACACCCGAGTTCTACATACTCAATGAAGCTGGAAAGTGCCCGTATGTGGCTGGCGCTCACGCAAGTGGCGCCTGCTGCCCTAATCCGTACCACCGTCAACTAATATCTGTACATATACGCACAGGCATACGTCTTCTACCGCTGTCCTTTGCCGTCCCCTTGATTGGCAGATATAACTGCCGATATGCGAGAGCTGACGTTGATCCTTGTGCGCCGTGCAGACAGTAGCCGATGACAGTCCAAGGCTTAGCATGCGGAGGCGCGCAGACCCGTGGTGGACGCGTAACAAAACTAAAGACTCTCTGTGTGATAGGACGTAGGAACTATTCAATACGCCTATCTTATCTACGGAGGGAATTTCAATTGGTTCAATGGATTTAAATCTCCGACTTGACCTTGAATGAGTCCATCGTCAGCACGGCAACTGATCTTTGGTCCCAGTTACAGACCAAAACATACAACCGAGGGTCAGCAATAGACTGAACGATTGATATGTCAAGTTAACTCAGTGCGACTCCGAAAAGCCGCCGTAGATACTGAACTGGCTTAAATGAAGTTTTCGAGTACTTCCGTACGCAGGTTGCCCACTGTCCTGTCTCGACGCTAGCTGGGTGGCGTTGCCCTCGGGAGCCAATGCTTGACCCCTCGAGATTCCACCCCGTAGGCTTGTATCAAGTAGCGCCATTGCCAAGCCATTAGCCTGCTCACGCTGTCCTGGCCGCGTCGCTGTGTTACGAGTACGAGGGATTCTTCCGTCTCTGCTCTCCTCTCCTCAGAATAGCCGGAGAAACTTGTAGACGTCAGGTCGGTCTCAACATTTTTGTTTTTCGCTCACTGTGTATTTACCATCTGATTTTCATTTCCTTCCTGATGCGTGCTTTTGACCACATTATAGTTCCTGACAAGGATCACCCTACCAGTAGTACTAAATTTTGACTACGGGTTGATCATGGTTCTCCCCTGGTACTCTCTACCAGGGGGTGGGGGGTGTAGCAGTTCAACGTTGCTCTATGCCAGTGGCAGCCTCGAGCGTAAATGGCGGTCGAAGTAAGGTTATGCTTTCGTCCCATGGGAAGCCCACGAGGCCGCACTCGTCACCTTGGAATTTTTACCTCCGAACCCCCGGTCTCGGTGACTTGAAATAGAATCAACAAGGTTTCAAAAGAGTATTGTCCCTAGGCACACACTGCCCAAAGATACCTAATCGGGATAAATACTACGAGTATTAACAAGGTCAGAAGAAAGCTTGGTTAACGTAATTCTTTGTATTCTATTCCTCGGTACAAGAAGATCCATATGGCTAGCTTCAAGATGCATTGCCGAGATGAAAAGCGTATGCGCTCAATAATAAACAATAACAAAAAAGAAATGGGATCATCCACCGCATATCCAACAGCCAGTATAGAACATAAAGATATGTGCATTATGAAAAGAGTGTCCAGCGTACCGCCAGGCAGTTTTTACCCCAACGACCCAAAGCTGCGCCAAGGACCAAATAAGAACATTAGGGGATATGAGGTAATAACGCGAACGCGACATAGAAGAGTAGTGGTGCCAGCACACACTACAACGGACCCCGGAAGGTCGCAATAAATAATCCAAAGATTAATTTACCGCACGAAGCGCTTCCAGGCCATGGTAGCAGCAAGGCCGGTGGCCAGAAGCGCACCGCCCATGGTGACCGCTTGCAGAGCAGCGTTCATCATCTGGTGGCGGTTACGGGTGCTGCAGCGCTTGTAGAAGTCGGCCATGTCGTTGCCACGGGGGGAATGGAGTGTCGGGGATCTCCTCTCCGAGGAACTCGCATAGTGGGCCCCATCCGTCGTTGATGTTATATTCCAGCAGACGCTCGGGAGGCACCAAGCTGCGCACCTCGGCGACGTGGTCGTTGTAGACTTCCTTGCCGTGGGTGGGGAAGTCGCCGCGGAAGAAGGTCTCAAAGAACTTGTTCAGCATGGGGTAGTACATGCCGGCGGCCCAGCTGAAGTTCGAGACGAACTTATGCTCGGGGTCGCTGACACGCCAGTAGACAGTCTTCATGACGGAACTGGAAGATGTACCGTTATTTTGGGTCCCTTCCTAAAGATTATTTCATTCCTTTGGGCTTGACTTACGCGTGCCACGAGTCGACGTCTCGGGTGGTCAGAATGACCTTGGCATTGGGGTATGCCTCGATAAGCTCCTTAGCGAAAGCACAGGCAGGCCAGTCACAGACGGCCTGACAGTCTCCCAGGAGCTGGTCCCATTCCTTGCGGCCGAACTCGCCGATGCCATCGTACTTTGCATTGAGGGCATCGTGCCACATCAGACAGTCCGGAGGGTTTTCAACACTGGCACACATCATGTGGTAGCACTTGGTGTATCCAAGACGCTCAAATGCCTTGCGCAAAGCTGAGAAAGATCGAGTCAGTTGGTTTTAGTCCTGCATGATAGCGGGGGAAGGGAGATAAGATCCTGAAGATCTTCCCCGTAATGTGTCGTTAACTCACACGCAGTGCCAGTACGGCCAACACCCAAAGCCAGCACCTTCATGGGCACGGTGCGGTGGCACTTGCGGCGGTCAATGTTGGTGTCATTGGTGAAGATATCGGTTATAGGCTGAGGAGCCAAGTTGTCGGATAGCATCAAGGACATGATGGATAAGGCGTGATGGTTTTACGACTGATGAAGATTAAAGAAGGGAAAAGAATGTCTAGGACTCCTGAAGTTGAATTGGCAAACGAGGGATAATGCAGGAGAAGTGGGTATATAAAGAATGGATAGACAATCGAAGAAGTCCAGAAGGGGAACACGATTTATGCTATGTATGTTTGATAAGGGGGAGGTACTTTAAAAAAAAAGGTTTAAAACTGTAAAAATACAGCAGTATTATCGATCCTGCACCGATTAGGTGGGCAAATAAGAAGTGGGCACATCTGCGACAAAGCCGGAGCCAATCAAAGTAAGCGAACCAGTCTTTGCAGCCGCAAGGGCGTTTTGCCCCTGCGAGTGGCGATGCTTTGAGTGGTTCGAGGCCTGTCAATCCTTTCCTTATTGTATATCTGGTTGCATTGGAGTTTCTCTATCCTTTTGATTCCTCTACCTCAACTGTATTCTCAGCAGGGACCTAGATAGGATATCCTCGAGTCTATTTCTACGCTTTTTCTCGCCTTCTCTCTCGCAGAAGGAAAAAATCAATTTTGTACCGTGTTTACATCTGCCGATCGTATACTAAAGCACAGGGAACCTGCGACGTCACAGGCTAACGTAGGGATACAAGGATTGTCAGGGGGTGGGGCCCGCGTTGACGGTAATGAAGCTGTCACAGCCCCCCCAAGAAGTATTTCGGACGTATTTTACGCGTATTTGAGCTGCCAAGAAAGTAACCGCCGTGTAAAGATGATCAGCCAGAATCTTTCTAGACTGTTGAGCGGGCAGCGGATGGGGATGGCCAGCGCCTTGCCCGGCTTTTTGAGACGATCCGTGCCCTCAGCGGCTTTGATTGGCCTCGTAGCGGAGACAGGCAACGCGTCCAGGTGGAAGTGGAGAGGGCGAAGCCCTTGAAACCGTTTCCGCTGTGTAAATTAGACAGGAGGTTCCATGTTCTGGACAAGTCGCCATTCCTGATGAATGTTTACCAAGAAATCGTCCGCTGAATCACAATTGCTGCTTATCACTCGACAACCGTTCGTATCGCAGCGTTGCAATATGCCCGGCTTCACCGTCGGGTGCCCGTGTCCAAAAGGGAGGAAAATCGACGGAGCGCAGAGTCGATCGCAATCCTGCTCGGCCCAGAGGCACGAGGTTCCATGCACAGAAACCAATGGTGCTAGGTTCCACCACACCAGGTTGATTGCTGTCATTGCTCGCTCCGGGTGGAGACCGATGTGAGGATAACGAGTTCCACCCGTGCCAAGAATCTTCTTTCCTTCCCTCATCCTCTTCGAGGTCGTGATCAACACGCGTATCAGGATTTCGTGGCCCCTCCGTCCGAGACTGGGCGACTAGAGCGGGGCAGTTGCCGCAGGAGTCGGCCAAGGCTGTTCAGGGGAGTCATGCGATTTCTCAATCGTGCATGAAGTCGCAAAAAGTCGGCACGAGGCTGTAGTTTCACCCGCATCTTAACTAGAAATCGAACCCGTTGCAAGATACCGGAATCTGCCCGGGCTGAAGGGGGACCCCTGGACTAGCCAGCATAGTGGACTTGATTGGGAGGAGCTGCGACAGGTGATTGGGGTTTTCGGTGGCCAGTGCGATTGCGGTCGTTAGTAGGTAGGTTTCGTAGGTGATCCTGTAAGTCAGTCAGGGGGCAAGTGAGGGCTATGCTTCCATTGTCTTTCATGTTCAAGAGCAGGACGCCAAACAAGCGATTAGACGCGACGCAGGAAAGTCCAAGGGAATAGGGCTGATTATAAGGTGTGTGCCAAGCCTGTCCCTCTTGTGCGCCATCGATGGCCGCGATCACCTCATGATCACCTCATGGAGGCTTGGACGATTTAGGAAATCGGTTGTGCCAAGGGTCCAGTCAAATGAAGGACAATCTGATATGATCTCGACTACGGTATTAAGACGCCATTGATCAGATTGCCCATGGTATCTGCCTGGTAATTGTAAGGATTCGGGTCTTTCTAGACTTGTTGTGCGCTTCCTTGTTCTGAGGCTGCAAATACGAATCTGGCAGGGGGTCTTGGAGGCTTCGAAATTGGTTACCCGGGGGCGTCTACCACCATTCTATTCCATTACTGTGAAGCTAGATTGGCATCCTATCAGGATCGACAATTGGATATGCAAAGAGGTCGTACAGAAGAAATCAAGAAAAGAAGAAGCATGTTTCCACAGCGGAACCCCCAAACACCAATACAACTCCATGCAGATAATGACTATGTGCACTGCGATGCATCCCGAATCCATACATACCCATCCCAGAACTAGAATAGCATCTGCCATAACCCTACTCCAATTTGTCGAGATGTTCCAATCGGGTGAGCACCACCTGTTTGCTTGTTTCTTCAATCTCGCCCGCGAGAAAGACCTCGTCTAGGATAGCGTAGACCTGTTCATCTCATGTCAACACATACGACCCCGCTGCCAGCCTTTTCGTCCCCTCTCACCTTATAGAAGTTGAATACTAGATCCAGCTCACAGACATTCCCAAAGAACTGATCGAGCACCTCGACGAAGAAGTGGATAGCTTCCAGGTATGCGAGCTCGTTGTCATTGGCATCCACGCAGACACAGAAGAACAGCCCTGCATATCGACGGTAGACGACCTTCGTGCTGCGCCGGAACTCCACAAAGTTCGACTGGTATTTTTGGTCTCGGGGAGCAACCAGGCGATGGACCTATGCGGGGGTGTTAGAGGGTGCGGATCGGGTATGCGCGCGGGATTGAGGAGGGAATTGGAGACGGACCTCGCCCTTGAGCTTCACTTTCTCTTCATCCTGTCAACCTTGTCAGTATGGCCGATAGCGAAGAGTTGGTTGGATGGAGGCGCTAGGGCGTTCGACTTACACTGTAAGGGGCATACCATTTCGCCAGGCGTGTTTTGCCCCTATACTCTCGATTAGCATGACTGCGCACACCCAGCTAGCGCAAATGGTACAAGCTTACTGGCGATTCTGGACGAGAATGAATGATAGGACCATTGTGGTAGATCACCTGGCTAGCATCTGCGAGTCGCGGGGCTTCGGATGATGCGCGACTTGATCTCCGCGGTCTCCGCTATCGTGAAGCTGATTGGGATACTGCCGGCTTGGCTCACCGCCTGGTACCTTGTAGACGCCGACCATTACTACGAACCAATCCTTTTATAGGGATAAAGCAGTTCTCGACTGTTGCTTAAATTGAGCCCAAATGCACAATATTGATTTCCCGAAACTCCGAGTAGGTTTTGATATACAAAGTCTGGGGGATAGCCCCTAATACAACATGAATTCCGACCATCAGTAAGCGTAACACATGAAATTCGTCAGATTCCAGCCACAATCTAGATCAGCTTCCAGCTTAGATCCTGGGTCGGGGAGGGGGTTTATAATCTTGCCGCCAGGCCAGGGAAGGGTCCCAGTATGCCTGAGACTCGAGCCCTCGAGGCCGCTGTGACTATGAGGTGCTCATTCGACTGAAGAGACTGGTGAACCGAGACTGAAACCAGAGAAAATACATCAGTAAGCTAGAAATACGCACGGGGTAATAGATCAGGCATACCTTGTAGCTCCGTGGTGTAGTTGGTGTTTGAGGTGTACTTGGTGTACTTGGCTCGGTTGGCGCCTCAGTGGTTGACCCCCTGTCCTCCATGTAGCTGTCCACATCGTCAAATTCATCCTCGCTATCCGATCGAGGGTAGTATCTCTCCGGATCCCCATTGTAGACCATAAACCAGCCGATTTTCTCTCCGGGAGCCAGCATATCCCGTAGCTCCTCCAGTGCTTTGATCTCGTCCTCTGATAATCCAGCGCCAGGTTTCTCGACTAGATCGGACACCGTTTCCCCCGGTGCCAGGTCCTCAGGCTCCGAGCTCCCGTCCGGAATCGTCAGAACTCTGACGCCCACATATGCATATTCCTGGCTGACCGTATTACTCGTCTCGTCGCAGGGGTCATACGACTCGATGAACTGCAGCGCCGGCAAGCGCGCCATCAGCTGCGGTGCCGTGCGCTTCAGCGACTCGCCCAGCAAGTCCGATGTGACAGGCTGTTGGATGTATTCCGCCGCCGCGTCTTCCAGGTTGTGCAGCACCACGTACACCCGGATCCCCGTAAAGCCAGAGCGCGGCCAGCGGAAGCCGTGCAGCATGTACACGGGCATGGTTCGTAGATTCGCAGGGCCCGGGGAAGTTGGAATAGGTCGGGGGCAGCCTGGCGCGTTTATCTGGTGCCTGCTGGGACAACAGGTGGCGCGGGCAGAGTGGCAGCTGTGGAGGGTAGGGCTTGCATACCGGGGGTTCTGGGGCGTTTGACGTAGGGAGGGGGCTTCGTGGGGGGAGTCTGGAGCGTCCAGTGAGATGCATCGAATTGATGAATTACCCGTTTTCCGTTCCGGGGATAGCGCCGATTCTAGTCTAACGGCCCGCGCTGTCAGTTTTGGTACGCTTGTGGCTTGCGCTTTGCACCTGCATGGGTGTGCTGTTCTACGGGGGCTTTTCTATTCCCAATGGCTGTGGACTATGTATTGTTAGTATGTACCTTACAAGTGACATGTAGGAGGCACAAGGAATGTTGTTAGTCATTAAGTTGTATGATTTTCGAACTTGAGACTCTAGTCTCAATTTCAAACATTAGGCTAAGAGCTTCAGTCTCGGACAAATTGTTGGGCCACTTGAGCCGGGGCAGATTCAGAATTGAGATCAGGAGCCAGACTACTTATACGTGACATAGTGACATACGTGAAAAGGGTTAGACGAACTGAATTCGATTTGGAATTCATCTAGTCGGGGGGGTCAAACTTGAATCAATCAGGATTTGCAACGGCTGACTGCATCAAAGAACCAGGGTCTTCGGAAGCTCGTATTCATATTGGAGGGAGATACACCGTCCTACCATGTGAACGATCGGCGAGTCCACAAACGTAATAGAAAGCTATTCTGTGACGGCCTAACAGCACGAGATATCACGGGTAAATCCACACACCGTTTTAAGGCTTTCTCTTGAGCTCAGCAAACCTCCTAGTGAGTTCGTCGAGCTCCGGGATGCCAGTACCACCCTTAGCCTGAGACCTGTTGGTTGTTGCACTGCCTGCCTTCCCAACATCGTTTGACTCGTCTCCGGGAACCTTGACGCGCGGATTTGGATTATCAGTTCGAGGTGCAGGAGGTGCGACGCTGACCGGGCTGCGGCCATCAGTAGGTCCTCGAGAGGGGTGTCGCTTTGTTCAATTCACTGGTTTCCGATGCGCGTCTCGCCTCTGAGAGGTCTGGTTCGACAAAGGGATCTCCTTGCTGCTTACTCGGTGTCTGTGGTGGATCACGACTGTCATCCTGACCATTAATAAACTCCGGTGGAGCATCTCCAAGCCCCTCTTCTTCGCCAGCAGGCCATGAAACTCCGTATGCCTTTGCGATCTCCCGGAGATAAAGTTCCACCAATTCTTGCCCCGGTGGACGAACACGCAATCCCTTCAAAAGCCTATCGGGGACCTTGACCGTGTCGATCTTATTTTCCTGCGCCAGTGTCATGAATTCCTTCCCATATCGCTCCCCCAGCATATTCCGGAGCATCGTGAGTTCGCGAAGATCATGCGGAAACCGATGCCACGCGTAGAACACAGCCACAGCAGCCTCGTCCAGCGCCGTATCCATATAAGTATCCTCATCCTCCGACGGTAAATCGGCCGTGTTCGCTTCTTTGTCCTTTTTCTGCGATCCCGCGAGCCAGGAGAAACCAAAGCGAGGCGCGGAACTCTCCGCAGGTGGGTTGGTAGAGCCGTCAGCTGCGGCTTGCGCCTGTGTGTGTTTCTTAAGCAACTCCTTGGCCCGGAGGCGGGCACGCGTGCCCTTCTCGCCGAACGCTAGCTGGTCCAGCACGTTGGCGCGCGCGAGGAGGAGTTCGCAGTACAGCTCGACCATTTCCATCACTTCGACGGCGATATCGGTTGCGATGACATTTTCGACGCGGATGCGGGCGGAGGCCTCGCGCCCTTCGCTGAGAAGTTGAGAGAGTTCGCGGCGCTGGACGACGGAGGACGCGGTGTCTTTCTTTTGGAGGAGACGGAGGCGAGGGATGAGGAGTCGGAGCGTCGATACTAGTCTGGTCTGCGGAAGAGTTCTGTCAGCTCTGCGCGTGTCGCTTTGCGAACCTCTATGTGTACGCTGTTGCTGGGGAGGCTTGAGATCCATCAAGATGGGTCGCGATGACGGTGCGGGGTAAGATGCAGGCAGCGAAGGGGGCAAGTTGGAGGAATGGTGGAGCAGGTAGGAAGATAGAAACCACTGAAACAAAATTGTCTCCTTGTGGCAGGTCACTCACTGTTTGCGCCGAGGGAGGCATTTTGGCGTGGATAGGGTGGATGTAGAGGAATGTAGGCGCGGGGGTGGATTGGGGGGGTTGGGGGGTTACCGGGGCGCCCTTGGGTGATTGCCTGCTGAGCGTGTTTACGCCAGGCATCATCAGGATAAGCTATGCGGGAACTTGAACTTGAATGCTATCTATCAATATAAAGAAGATTTTCTCCTTTGCTATTATTTTGTTCATGAGATTTCTGTAAGGGAATATTTTATTAGTTACGCACGGATATATATCAACTTCAAGTTGATGATAGTAAAAAGACATAATGCATTGTTTGGGCTCGAAAAATGGTGCCTTGAACTCGAAGACGAAAAGACGACAAGCAGTGTATTTCGAAATTACTCACAACCGGCCGATACTCCTACTCTATCACGTGTCAATATGTATACATTCTATATCCATAGCCAATCTCGACCAAGGTTGCCAATATTGAATATCCAGTGGGACCGAGACTCCTCCGAAGCATCTGCTTGATCCCAGTAATCTTGAAGGGTCTTCGCAGCATTAACAGCATTCAAACACTTTGTGACCACCCAAAATTTCTCCAGGGAGCGTTCAAGGAAATGTCTTTGAGCTTGGCCTTGGCATTCCAAGCCAGCAACGAAGATAGGCCAGAGAATGCACTTGAACATCAGGTAGTCGTCTTTCAGGGAATCGATCAAACCAAGAAGCTCAGACAGGAGTTCCTCTTGGATAGTAAACTCTCCCGTCAATGCGTTCTGGATTCGCCGACCGTACATGAGAGTCCCCACTTTGTATGCCTGTGATAGTTTAAAGAGACTTGATATTTCTTCTTGAGAGGGGGTTCGTGATTTTTGCACACTTGACGCCCACGCGTAGCAGTCGAATTGCTGGACGAGGTTCAGTAACGATACGATTTCCTTGCTCTGGGAATCAACCGAGGTTTGATCCAGAGGTGGTGAGACCGCAATGCTATCTCTTTGGGTAGAAAAGCATTGAATAGCAGTCAGGATGTATTCTGGGCATCCAAGGAAAGAGCGCTCGATGGTTTCTTGCGGCTGGATTTCTTTTGGTTCGAAAGGAGTGAACGGGGATAGCAATCGTGGGCGCAAGAAGGTCGCTCCGAGTGTTTCAATTCTAACACGCATGAATCAGAAAAGACTTAAAACTTCCAAGATGATAGGGACTCACAAATGTATCTGCTTGGTGATGAAGGCGCGCAGTTCGCGCACTGTCTCACCTGGACCTCCATTGATCACAGCCTCGGAGTCGGAATGCAGATAGGTTGAATCGATCAGCTTTTTCACTCCTTCCAGATGAAAATTCCAGCCATCACTGCCTGACTCCAGCAGATCTAGAAAAATCAAGAGGAAGATGCTGGCCACAGTGGCGTCGTCGGTAGGTAACGTTTTATGTTGTATTGAACGCGAAAGCGACTCGACAGCTTGGTCCTTGAACATAAGTGCTTCGCGATTGGCACTGGCATACGTCAAAAGAGTTAGTGGATCGGCTTGACGGAAGCATTTGCCAGTATTCGCATGATGGCGTGCTGCAAGTGCGAGGAGCGCTTTGAGGAGGATGGGATCCTTCAGGCCGATCGGAATGAGGCTCCTGAACGGATTCTTCTCACTATCATATACGATAAACAGTTTGCATATATGCTCATTATCTGGAATAGAAGGATCAGTAGGCTACCCTTCCAATCTCAGGGCATCTCAAACTTACAATAGTCCATATAGTATCGGGATACTGGATCTAGGTTGGATATTGATGGGTCTTGTAGAGCCGCTGGTAATCCTTTCGGCAGGTGAAGGGCGAAATCTACTTGCGAGACAGGTTAGCCATCTCTAGTCGCCATGCTAGCAGTACCAACACTAGATATGTGGATAAGGTGGGGCTGTTCTGCACGGGGGCTTACCACTACTATCGCTATGCCTGAGAGTGCCTGGTCGAGTCAATGGGCTCGAGCGCGACGCAGTAGTGGCTTTGCTCGTTTTCTTGCGAGGGACGATGGCATTACTAGTGTGTGCATAAGACTGGCCTTGCATCTTCCCCCGAATAGCGACGCCTTTGACCCATCGGACAGGTCTTTTGTCGAAGCATTCCCGGCCAGCCTTCAGGCATTTAGCACACGGTAAGCTGGACTGGTCGCATTGAATGCGCCGGGTACGACAAGTATAGCACGGGGCAAATTTGCGCTCCATCAGAGTTGTTGTAGCTGTCAGACTTGATGTCTTTGCGAGTCCAGCGAGTTTCGCTGACTGATGGCTTCGGAACGAAGCGGGGCTGCGACTCGGGACTGCTTGTATCCTGGAGAACCAAGAATCACCGCCCCACGTGCGCCAAGACACAAGGTGGGTTTTAATCGATAAGCTTGCAACGTACCGAGACCCAACTAAGGAGAGCAGCTGTGCTGGACGTGGAGGCGCCTTGCCCCTTCTGTCAGGGCCAATCTTGCATGCCCAGGAGTGCCCAGGCGGACTCGTTAGCAGTTAGTCATCCTCTTTAACTATGCCCGCCGGGACCGGGCGGGGGCTGGGGGTCGGTTTCGGATCCCAACGATTTGTTCTGAGAATTGTTGTGTTGGGGTCCATAGCCTTTCTGGCTGAAATAGCGGTAGAGTTGGGAAGTGGCTGTTGAGTCATATTTAACAACTCTCTGTCGCGGGCAAAGCCAGGACTTTCAAAAGTGAAAAGCCTTACTCTTACTATTCCTGATACCAATATGCCTGCCGGTAGCTGTTTCTGCAAGAACGTTCGCGTCGAATATGATGGCGAGCCCATCGTGACTGTGAGCATACCCGTTCGTGAAGAAGCCAGTGGAATACTGACCCAAGTCCTGTAGGCCTTGTGCCACTGCATTGATTGTCGCAAGCTCACCGGGGGGCTATACTCGTACAACTTTCTTGTGAATACTGCCGATCTTAGGATCACTGGGAACCCCAAGGCGGTACCTAAGAGCGCCGATAGTGGGAACAGCATCAAGAACTACTTTTGCCCCGACTGTGGTATGTATCGCCAAAGGGGGTGGAAGTGTGCGTTGAAGCGGCGAGGACTCACCTGTGCAGGGACACCGCTTTACGGCCATAAACTCACATCCTCAGGGGAACCCGACGAGGCAACAGTTCTCCGAGCTGGCATTTTGGACGATGTAGATGTCATTCAGCAACAAATTCCCGGGGTTGAGCTATATACCGCACGACGTATTTGCTGGGTCAAGCCTTTCGAAGAGGCCATTCAGTCTGAGGGTATGCTGCCGGCTCGATAGTCAAAGGAGTCCATGACAACAGAAACCAGTAACCGCTTATCCACCTGAAATACGAGCTGAAGATCAGTTGAGTAGCATAAGGATCATAGGCCTTCTTCTGTACTTGTAAGACAGCATTACGGGAATAGCAAAGGTGGCTGGTATGTTAAGCCTAGGCTGAGGCAGAGAGAAGATGGTAGTACTCAGACACGAATGAACACAACCGCCAGTGCTTGATTAGCTACTCAAGGCTGGTAAAAGGGCCTCACAAACAACAGGATAGTAAAGGGCTTCGAAAAAAAAAAATTCAGGTAAAGGGGCCTCAACTAAAATAGCTATCAAAGATCATGAAGCTTTGAGATAGCAGTCCATTACTCATGACACTGATCCTTACTCTTGTTGGGTGATGACCGCGTGTAACGACCAAGTAATAGCTCCTCCACTAGCACGCCCCCGAGGACGGCGCAGAGGACCCCAAAATTCAGGCTCATAACAGCTATCATACTGTAATATCACTTGTTAGCACAAAGTATGCCATGAATGGAGATATAATCCAAAATTTACAGAACATAGACAACAATAGTTCGAATGATCTCGAGTAATGCGAATATGGAGTTGTTCGTCCAGCTCCGAGTCCATCGACACCATGACCGGAGCCAAGCCATGAGGTTCGCGAACTTTTGCGGCCAAGTGGGGCGACTCTCGTACAATAGAGAGTTAACTGGTGGACCTAGAATATGCGCCGTGGGCAAAGAAACGGCTTCTTCAACCGCATCTAGCTCCTCGAGTTCATTATCTTGCGACGGCGGGGTGAGTTGGTATCGGGCTGCGTGGCGATGTTGTTGGGTAGTCCGTAGATCCACCAGAAACGCAAAAAGCTCGCAGAACGCCGCTTCTGGATGTGCGAGGACGAGATGATTCTTCAATAGGCCTAGGAAGCCCTTCAGCACGGGGAGAAGGAAGACAAAAGCCAGCAGCAGGACATAAGAGGCTGTTGTCGTAGTTGTCCAGCTGCTGAATAGAAAAGTCACCTTGGTGGTGAAATCGAAGACCATTGGCATACACATCTGGGAATCGTAATCGCCGGAGGGAATCTGTGCTAAATGGGTGGCTTGTGAAGCCATGGTGGTTGTCGTTGGGAAGGTTGACAGGCGCGACAGTTTTGGCTCCAAGTCGCGAGGTGGAAAGGTTTGGGTTTGTGGACGTTCTACAGTAGTAAATTCCACCACCAAACATGCAGGCGTCCGCCTGAAACCTGAAGTGGTGTGTGGAGATCAGAACGAGTGTTGGTGTATACATCGCTCCCCAGAGTCGTCGTACTACAGTGCAGGCCCCACTATAGTACATGTCCCGATCGAGTGGGGACGATATGGGCGCAAATGTGCTCATGTGGGAGTCACGTACGTACTTTCTTTCTATTGGACAAGGTTTCTCTCATTTATAGTAAGTCCTTTCCTTCAATTTTACCTGCATCTCAGAACATGCTTTGTTGTTTAATCTATGTGCCAGGCTATCGCTTCAGCCTCTGAACGGCTGGTTCCGCAGCATGGCATGATCACACATTGACCCATTCTCTTCGGCTACGAATAGGACTGTCATTCTATGTTTCTCCTCTAATACCGTCCACTGATATAACATTCACTATGGAACAAGATACTGGCGTGAGCCATGAAATCACATCCTCCTACCCAATTGAACGAGAAAGAAGATGTCCTGTCCTCCAAATACCCGTGAGAGCCCCCTTCCGAAGACCTCACATATGCTTGATATTTACCTTACTTCCAGCAATGGACGGGATTTAGCATGTTCATTCGACATTGTATTTGTTACACACCAGAGACCTTCAGTATCCAAAATGAGCTCTGTCAGCAGGCTGAGGCATACCTTCACGCTTCAAACCCCAGAAATGCAATCGACAGTGGATTGAAGGCTCTCAATGCGACATCTGTTTCCCCAGATCACGATATTGCTACACCTTTGCTTCATGCCTATTTTGATACATGGGAGCGGGTGTACTGCGTGGTGCACAAGGACACATTCTGGAAAGAATATTATGACACTTGCATCGGCATCAGACGAATGTCCTTGGGCTTCAGAGTTCTCGCATTAGCGATGATGGTCCTCGGCCAGAGGTCAATTGATCATGACATGCCCTCACAAAACCAGGATCATTCTGAAAGACTCTCCTCGTGGATAGAATGCGTCGAGCATTATTGTTACTTGTTGATCGACAACCAGCGCTTGGATCTCCTTTCGCTGCAAACAATTTGCTTATTCGCTTTGTACAAAGGAACAACAGCTGATAGAAAAGAAGCTCGAACTTGGATACAAAGGCTGGCCAAGATTGCTGTACACGCGCGACTTCATCGGGATCCTTCCGACCTGGACGCCATGTCCGACTTCGATAAGCAGCTCCGACGACGCCTTTGGGCGAGTATCGTGGAAATTGACATCCAAGTCGCTCTCGAACAGGGTACAAGCATTCCATGGGTTCAAAATGTGGATTATGACGTGGATGTATATCTTGGTGGAAGGCACACGTCGCGACCCACTCATTTGTGGCCTGGGTGTGAATTACAAAACGCTCTATACGAATCTGCCAAGGATCGGATTGCATTCCTCCACGCGACCGTCGACGGTACCTTTTGTGAGAAAAATGCCGAAGATAGTGCCAGAACATTGAGTCGCACGCTGGGCACACTCGACAGCATTTGTGTGTCTTTCAGCATGGTAAATTCAGCACCGGAGCCACGGATCCTTCTGCGGCTTCATGTCCTGCGTCCTCTCCTCAAAGCGATGCAGATCATCATCTTCCAATTGAATAATTCTGATCAAATAAGAGAAACTATGACTATATACCACAAGCACGCGCTGGAGTTTCTGCGTCTCTATCTGAAATTGTCCACCAGCTCCCGGAATGGATCACTGCTGTCATCCACCCTTTTCGAAGTACTCTCCCCATCATGCAATTATACGCAGATGGTCGTCGACTCGCAAGTAAGCAGTTGAGCAAGTCACTTTTTTATCAAGGCCCTAAGCTTCTAACATCGTGATAGGTGTTCCTTATCCGCCGAAGACAATATTGATGTTTGTCCAATCTTGGGCAAAATTTGAGTTCGACGATCTGGACCGATTGTCCGATCGCGCGATCAGGGAACAATTGATGTTCTTTTTACTCTCTCAGTACTTGAAAAGCAGAGGCTCACGCTCTCGAGCTCCACAACTGCCTTACGAGATGGGGTCATGGAAATACCGGAAGTTGTGCTCGGCATTAGCACAACGCAGGCGCGCTCCGATTTTTTATCTCGAGGTGGCGGAGATGGCATGGGCTTAGCACTTACTCTGCATTAGTCTGAGCGATTTGATTTATAAAGGCATACTCAATTCGTTCGATTGATGACTTTCTCTCGGAGATCGACATCCGGCAGGGGTGATCTGCATGATCGCGGTAGTTTGAGCGATTTATTATCAAACCAACCAATCCCGGAAGCAGACTCAATTATGCAAGCATCATAAAAGCCGATATCCGGTTCATTCCAAGTAGGATACTTCTGCCGACATTTTTCTGCGTCTCATTTTATTTTTGATCTTTTGTAATTCGACACCCACCTGGTCCTTGTGTCAATTTGTTCGTGACGAGGAACCACCATGCCTGTGGACAAGCAAGGAGTGAAATGGGCATGGTAAGTCACCAGCACAAAGAACGTCCTGTCTTCTAGAAACTGGCTAATCCGAACTTGTGGAAAGCGAATCGTGTATTCGCGGTCATCGATCCTTGAAATGTCAGCACTTCGGTCGGCTCATGAAAAAGGTCCGCAGGCCTGGCAGGCCTCTAAGCAAATGCCCATGTATAAAGCAGCCTTGCGACTGCCTTGAGCACTGGGCGTTCGTGTCAAAAGGATCCTTCGGTGAGTCTTAGGGTCCTCTTCTAGACTACTGCTCAAACCTAACAAGCCAGACATCTGCGTGGTGCATTGCCTAGACTCTAGCAGAACGACGCATCAGGTCATTTCTCCAAAAAGGAAGAATCCTTTGAAAATCAAACCAGCAAAGCCCGAAGACGTCTTTCAAGACAACGTGATCTCAGAGCAGGATCGAAATCCTCTAAAAATATCATTTCTAGTTCATCCCACCAAGGAAAGCTCAATGTGTCGACCAAACGAGCAGCGAGAAAAGATGATATCTGAAACTGGGACCATTTGCCAGGGGCGTGGTTTCCAAGCTATTCAATGAACGTGATTGGCAGTCATTCCATTAACCGAATTAAATGTTGGGGGGAATACACTAAGTAAGACATCCGACCACAAATGTGTGGCTGATTTGATAACATTGCATCTATTCAAGCCCATACTGTCCCTAAACCAGGCCCGTCAGAGCTGAAATAATATATTTCTTGGGAAGAGAAACAATTTATATGATACGCTTGACTTGGCCCTCTTCGTGAGCAGGGGTACTAGCCTAATATATGAATAGATTGTAATAAGTTGCCCGAGCCGACCTCAGTATTCTCCTGAATGGAAATCACTAAGTTGAGGACATTCCTCCACTGCTCGACCGGGAACATGTTTTTGGGTTGCAGTAGTTTCGCATGGATAATATCTACTGTAATTATAGAGAGAGATTAATCCTGACATTAGGTCGTCTCTCTGATAAGACCCAAAGAACGAAACCGACAATCCATGCTGGGGTTACTACAAGCCCATTAGGACTTTCAATTCCTTGACAGGCATGGAGCCTCTGGACTCACTGGAACGGTGCAGACTAAGTGAAATGCGGGCGAACCTGAGGCCCTCCGCGGGTGTACCCTTAAGAAGTGGTCCCATGGGTATATATCTATAGTACAGGCATTAACAAAGATTTGCGAGGCATTTTGGGAGTTAACATAGACATCTTACCGGTTCTGTAAGAATTTGACACACCAGTATACACCGCAGAAAACAACTGCCAGGACGACAATCGTAGCAAGGACTGCGCCAAGGACGTGCCACAGCCTCGTCCCGGCCCCCAACGCCGCTTACAGGGCCGTCAGTGGCATGGTTTCTGCCATTTTGGTGATCAAAACCAAGGAAAAGGTGTTCAAATCGACTTCTTGGATGGCTAAGGGAAGAGGAACCACAATGATTGGGAGCGACGGCGAGGTTACTCCGCTGAGAATCTACCACATCCTGGATCTCAAAGAACCACTTTGGCGCCGGAATCGGTGAAATCTCCATCTCTGGATATGATCCTCAGTGTTAAGGCCGGCGGCATGTATTGGTTGAGTCTTGGTCGACAGTAAAGTAATTCAACCGATGAGATACGCATGCGATGGATCCGTAGGACCTCAAAACAGTGACTTTGGAGTTCGTCTTTGAGGGGAAACAGGGCGTCATCCGGATACCATGCGTTCCCGATGCGCAAAGGGCTGATGTAAACCCCGTTAACGGCATGCCATTTTGGATCATTGTCATAAGGAATCCCATGGAACCTCCAAGACCGTCCATCAGATAGTTGTAGTTGTGGATGTCCTGTATCGGTTGGAGAATTCAAGCACGCCGGCCCGAGATTCAACGGGACTTAAATATGCCTGTTTTGTATCGACATATGGCGTGATTGAACTCCGGTTCGAATGACTGTTCACTTTGTCTGCTTCAGAGTCGTTCGTAGTCATGCTTGCCAAGGACGAGGGGATAGTGACTCGTTCTGCTTCCCAGAATAAGGAATGGGCCGACTTGCAGAGGTCGCTGACCAGACGCTCGCCCTGATGCGCCATCATTTTGGATTTCAAAACTGGGCCGCATACGGCACAAGTCTCCATAAATCCACAACCGAGTTGATATCTCTTCTCTGGTTTTGGGTCACCCCGTGTATAGGACGCGTGTAGTGGGGGTAAGGGAGATGAAGTGGGGAAGTGGAGAAGATGAGGTGGGAATGAGAAGAAGAACCTGAATATGTGCAGGTCATTCAGACAATCCGATAATCATTTTTGCGACTGGATGCCTGGATGTCGAACCGAATGTCAAGTCTCGTAATCAGGCTTCCAAAAATCTCGTAACTTAGATTTGATTATAAAGCATATGCACGGAGTGTCAATTAACTGAGTTGAGAGCATTTCTACGTATAGTGAATCGCTACATCACAATAAGCTTCATATGTCAGCGGGGTGCGCATTGCTTCGAGCGAGTGATACACTAGCTTAGCAATATGATAGGAAGCTTCATATCGTCGAGATAATTATGAAAATTTTCTCGTGGGTCCTTGGGATACGCATTTCCATTCTATATTAGTGACTAATATTGCCAAATATTCGGACTCTGGAACGTTCATGCTGATAACACCGCCTGGCTTTGTGCAGTAAGGTCAATTTGTGTGCTAGGCCCTGACGCATTTGGTCCCGGGAACTCCTCCGTATGAATGCAAATAGAAGATGATCCCTTTCCCTTGGGCAACGAGGTTGCTGAGATATGACACGCGAATGTGACTCGTATCATCATAGGCACAGTTTTGAGTCTCTCCTGCTGATGGTATGACCGCTTCCACTTTGCATTCTTTAGCGCGCAATTTGCTTGCGAGAAGACCGTATTATTAACCTTAGTGCCAGGCACCCGGGACGAGAATGATAACCGGTTTGGTAAATTCCATTGGATGACAACTTTGACCTTAATATACCCCACGTTCAATCCTCGAATGAGATGAGGTGGTCTGAAAAAGCCGTTGCTGAAGCTCAGATGGATCATTGTGACTGGTTGGGACGCCTGGTGGTTGCCCCGCTAGCCAATTTATGCAAAGGCTGCACTCATGATCGCGTCGTAATTAAATTGAATTCTTAGTTCACAGCAAAGAAGTAAATATAGGTTTCTAGCAACATTATCCGAAGGGAAGTCATACAGACATGGTTATCATACAGTTGAACGTCATAACTTGGCAAGCATGTTTGGTGTAGTCCCGCTCATCTCCTGCCTCTCCTTACTTTGTCCACGAGGCAGACCACGTCTCGCTGCGACGTGAATTTGTTGGATCGTGGTACTATATCAGTGGTGTTGAACACCATTTCGATCCATTGAACTTGAAGATCCGCAGAAGCACCCACGTCCATATCCCCAGTCCACGAACCACCATCACCCCACTAAATTCGATCAGGGATTGTGTTACATGATGGGTATGCCAATCGGGAGAAACTCACCATATTCAATATCACCGAGCTTGCTTTCTTGGGAATGCTGTACGTCTTCGTAGTAGCTAGTGCCCCATTGACGTACCAAGCACTCGTCTCAGGGGTCCAATCCAAGCGATGGTCATTCCAGTCAGTCCAGCGCGCTCCCCCAGGCAGGGTCATATTAGTGGAGGCATCAGGCATCTCCTCTCCATTACTATCAGTGCCAGGCTGGTTGGTATAATGGATTCGATTTGTCGGATCACTCGTCAACATCTCGATGTCACTCTCGCAGCTATCGTCGCGGTAGGTAAAGATACCGGCACAGGCACCAGCTGCACCTCTGACACGAGCGCGAACACGAATCGAAGCGTGGAGGATGTTCTGCTGCTTGAACTCGATTTCTGCGGTGTTGTAAGAGTCTTTAGTCCTGGATGCCCGCAGGGAAAGATATGAATTAGAATCTTTTGCTTTCTCGTGTCCTGTTTTCGGTCGTTAGTGCGAGAGAGGGATGTCTTCATGGGCACATACGAATATTGACATTTTGAGCAATGCGCTGCATTCTGACCGGCCTTGACGGTGCAGGTGCTGTGCCCCAGGTCTGGATGCTCCAGTCATCAGTGAAGGCGTTTGAGTGGAGCTGATACCGGGCATCTTCATATCGTTAGCGAGACTATTTGCTCTTGCGATAGAGAATGTGCGCAATACCTAGGGAGCGAAAATCGTAGAAGCGATGGTGCTTGAATCTTGCAGAAGTGTCGCTATCCGTTTGGTAGTAGTGACAATTGATGGACATGTTTCGGGCTGAAGCAATCCCTAAGAGAAGCGCGGAGATACTCGTATAGAAGAGAAGCATGATTATGTGCAGTAATTTGCATACAAGCCTTAGTTGCTTAATTCTCGAATCTTGTAGAGGAAAAGAGATCGATGAAAGCTACAGATCCAACAGGAGGATTTGGTCCATTTCTACTTTGCAACATAACTGCAGCTCCAGAAGGGCCCCTTGGAGCATTCCGTCCTTCTGGTGCCATTATTAGGCGCTCACACGGAACTAGTATTGATCCGTGCCATTATTGGGTAAGATCTGCACAAGCAATCGACATGATTGGATCAACGCAGTCACTAATAGCCCCTCATATTATCCAGGCGTCTGGACTTGTTCTCGTGGTCTGACGAACCATCTTTGGGCTTAAGCGCCGTCGATCTTTTGCATGGCGCTCAGTCTCGTAGTCGAGGCTGAAGATGGTACGCGGGTCGGAAGACGTTTAAATCCCCCGGTATTCCGTATTGACAGTTGGTCTGTAGTCCATACAATATTTTGGGATTTGGTCCAGCCGAATAGTAGCACTTAGTACTAGAACTGGGAGCATGAAACTTCAAATGTTAACTTGAAGTTGTGGGATCTCATCTATTAAGCCAGATAATTCCAAGTACTGAGCGTATGTTAAAACCTCAATCGAGAGCTCAACTACTAGTACATGACGACTTGCACTGGCAGATCTCAGGTTTGACCAGTCCAACTGGAAGCTTACTCGTTAGTAGTAGTGCTTGGACAATGGCTGAGAGCTTGGCCACGTTCGACCTATCTTCGCGGGTAGAGCTTCGCCTACATGTCTTGAGCTTAGTTCTAAAAGGAAGAAGCCGATGGCTAAGATGAATTCTATGTTAGAATGCATGAAGGGCTATATGAGATAGATGGCCTTAGTTATAATAGATCCCGTGTGGTCCTTGGGGAGTCCGGTCCTAACGTAGACTTGACAACCCGAGTGGTCGAAGCAGGGAAATCCCGCCCCGACAGCAATGACCCCTTCGACAATCTTCCCGGTTTGGATGGATTCCCCGGAGGCCCTGAACGCTAGACTAACCCAGCCCCCCACATAGAGTAGCAGGAATTTCCACCAATTATGGCTTAGGCGTTCCCCTGCAGCTGGGAAGCCACGAGGGCCGCGTTTGTGTTTGGGTATCCCCGTATACGAATCAAGTCGACCAATGGCCTTCTCCACTGGGCGGGTCTGGCCTTATTTGAGTCAAAATCGCAAGAGCACCGTCCCACATGACTTCTACCCCGGACTTCCTGTCCATTTGCGTCTTGGATGTGCCCTCCGAGCTGCTGTAGAACGGTCGCATCCTAAAACGTAACATGCCGAAGGCTTGGGTGGTCAGATTCCAGAAAACGCCACAGCCAAAGCGGGAGGGCAAAAGGCAAAACAAGCACTGAAAAAATTTCTTGGGACTCGTAATTCTTTCTTGGAAAGCCAGGCCCCGCATCCGTCTCCCCGGATTCGTGACCACTAGACGACCAGGAAACGACCAGGAGGTGACCAGTAGGCGGCCGTTAGGCGTGAGCCTCCCCGGTTCAGTCCCCCTTTTCCCATCGTCCTGGTCCAACCCACGGCCCGCCGCTGCCCTTGGGCGAGCCTGGTCGGTCCAATAGGGTAATTTTGCAAGCAGCCCAAGTTGCTTGAGTTGCTGATCTCGGCTAATTAGTTCTAGCCGGTCGTTTAAGGTTACATTTCTACCGGGGATCTAGCTCTGCTAATATGAGCCTCGTGGGGAAAATGTATCACGCGGGGAGAGGTTAGGGACGCAACTAGCGCCATCGGTAGGGAATCATATAAGATTTGGGGATGCTCTCCCCTGCTGCATTCATTCAAGTCTGTTTCTGGGTGGCTCTTTCCCTCCTAGGCCCCCCCCTTCCCTTTTGCTCACTTTACAACCCCCCCCCCCCCCCTTCACTTCCCTTTTTCCCTTTTCAATCCTCCCTTCGCTTGATTCTGGGAATATCAATCACTTCTACTGGCGTCAGGCATTCTTGCGGCGAGCCAACAATTGAATAAGACGGGCGATTATGTCTGCGACGACTGAACTCAAGGGCGCCCTGCCCTCGGGGAGAAAACGGAAATTCAACAGAATGAGACGCTGAAGAACGAAGATCTGATGAACGATGCCTTCGCCGGTGAGATTCGCGAGCATGAGATGGGTACATGGGAATCGGTCAAGACTCATCCCTGGGCCTGCCTGTGGGCTTTCATCATGTGTTTCACGATCGTAAGTTAGATCGAATCTACTTCCCCCACATTTCGGGCGTACCCGCTGACCCCGATGACCGCGTCGATCAGGTCATGGAATCCTTTGATATGTTCCTGAATGGCAACTTCGTCGCACTTCCAGCTTTCCAGAAGAAATTCGGTGTTCTGGCGGACGGGAAATATGTCATTCCTACTCGTTGGCAGAGTGCTCTCTTCCAATCGGGCCAATGCGGTGCCTTTGTTGGCGTCTTCTTGGCTGGGCCGATCACTAACCGCATCGGTTACCGCTGGACTATGATCTTCGCTCTCGTCCTCATGAATGCCACCATCTTTATTTCTTTCTTTGTGAGTACCTCAATCCAGCCCGTACAGCTCGCGGGATCTAATTCAATACAGGCCGACTCCCTTGCCGTCCTGACGATCGGTCAAGCTTTCGAAGGCGTGCCCTGGGGTTTCTTCATCGCCAACTCTCCCGCCTATGCCAGTGAGGTCGTGCCTATCAATCTTCGTGGCGTAGTGACAGCCACTCTGCAGATGAGCTGGTCAATCGGATCCATCATCGTCGCAGGTGCTACATACGGCTCCAACAACTGGACGTCAAAGTGGGCTTGGAAGCTTCCGCTCGCTTTACAATGGATTTTTCCCGTGGGTGACCACTCCTCCTCTAGTCTATCGGACATAGATGGCTGACTTTTGCAGACCCCTATCTTGATTCTCGCTTTCTTGGCTCCAGAATCTCCGTGGTGGTTGGTCCGCAAGGGACGCAGGGACGAAGCTCTTCGCTCTATCGAACGCCTCGGTGACAAGGGTGAACAAGCCCAGAAGTCGCTCGCTATGATTGAGCGCACTGTCGAAATCGAAACTTCCATGGGTGGTACCCCTACCCTCTTGGATTTGCTCAAAGGAACGGATCGACGACGGACTATCATCACTTGCTTGATGTATGCGTCCCAGAACTTTGCTGGTAATTTGATTGCCAACCAAGCAACTTACTTCTTTGAGCGTGAGTAGTCCCTCGACTAGAAATGTCCCATCAATACTGACTACCGTTCGCAGAGGCTGGTATCTCGTCTCAAAAGTCTTTCATGCTCAACCTGATCAACTCCTGCCTCCAATTCGTGGCAAATGGACTTTCCTGGTTCCTGGGTGCTTGGTTCGGTCGTCGAACTGTCTACCTGTGGGGCACAGCTACCAACATCACATTCTTACTCGTCCTGGGAATCTGTGCTTCTGTCACCCAAACCTCGGCCACAAACTATGCTCAGGCTGTGCTTGGAATCCTGATCTCCTTCGTCTATGCAGGTACCCTTGGTCCCACCTCCTACACTGTCATCGCCGAGACATCGTCTGTTCGTCTCCGCGCTTTGAGCACCGGTGTCGGTCGTGCTGCGTACTATGTCGCTGAGATCCCTATGATTTACCTCTCCTCCAAGATGCTCAACACGACGGGGTGGAACCTTGCGGGCAAGTGCGGCTATGTTTGGGGAGGTACAGCAACAGTTTGCTGGCTGATGGCTTATTTCTTCCTTCCTGAGCTGAAGAACCGATCCTACCGTGAGACGGATATTCTGTTCAATCGGAAGGTTCCTGCACGGAAGTTCAAGTCGACAGTTATCGACGTTCGGGACAATGAGTGAGAGGCTATGTCTTGCTACGAAATTTTATCTTAAGATATTACATGGCTTAACCTTTTTGAGAAAAGATGGGTTTCAATGATTTCTTGCACTAATCGATACAAACTCGAGTCAATGCATATTTGACCTGGCTGGTTCCACCTTGAACCTCTCCTACCTGTCGTAACCGATCATGCCTACTAATAGTCAAGTAGAATACTCGAGCAAGAATATATGCAGTACGCGGAGATAATCGAGGTGACGCCCTGTACTAGTACTGCTTGACCCTGGACAAGACATGTATACTAGCATGTCACGAATTTGAACTACTCACAACCCATATGTGGAACACATAAATTGGAATGCCTAACTACATAACCCAAAGACCAATAACAAGCGCTATTTGCAAACAAAGTGAAATGTTGTAAGAAGAAACGAACGGGACAGGCACAGAACCGAAGTCCTATGCTTGTAGCAGGGCCTTTTCGACATCTGCCAGGGAGGGGAATAACGAAGAATAGAAGCTCCAATGTATATACGGATGCCAACATTACATACTACAACCTATCTACGCAGAAACATATTTCCCTCCAACCAACTTCCGAGTCGTCGGAACCTCCTGCCACGAAACAGCAGACGGGTCGTGAGGCGAACCCTCATCCGAGAACGGATCATTCGCCGGGGCGTCAGCCACAGCCTGGCTCACGCCAAGACGATCTGCGCTGCCGGCGCTGTGCAGCTCGAATTTCGCTTCCACTTTGCCCTTGCGCGGGCCCGGCGAGGATGTCGCGAAGCGCACGAGGAATTTGCCTTCCTCGCCTGTATCCGGGGCTTTCACTTCCAACTCGGGGAGCCGCCAGGTCACGGTTGAGTTTTTGCGGCGGAAAGTGGCGCCGGTGTTCGGGTACATGACAGCGCTGGAGGCGTGGGCGACGTTCTCGCGGAGAGCCTTGGTGGTCTCGTCTTCCGGGGAGATGTCGAGGCCGACAGTTAGGACGACGTTCTTGAGGACCAGGGATCCGGCAGGGTGGGACACGAAGGCGGGGTTGATAGAGTAGAAGATGATGGCACTGGCTTGGGAGTCTTGGATATTCCAGACCGGTTTGAAGATCACGGGACAGTAGGTGGATGGGTTGGCAGGGTCAAGGTGCACTTGATACTTGAAGGCGACGGTGGGCAGAGGCCGGGAAATGCTTGCTAGCTGCAGATCGTATTCTCCGCGTTTCTCGTCGGTGGCTTCGCGGGTCACCTCATGGACGAACTGTGGGTTTGCAGCAATCTTTTCAAGAACTGGGAAGTTGTCGAGGCGGATTCGAGCTGGTTCGGCCGAGGCTCCTGGGATGGGATTATGGGCCAAGGCAAGTTCGCCCATCACGACGGATTTGGAAATGTTACCATCAGAGAACCAGGCGTTCACGGTCTCGACGATGGAAGCGTTTAGGCCTGGCTCATGAAGCTCCGGGTGAATACTTGGGCCGTGGCCGTGAATAGTGTGCCCTGAGCGAACAGACGTGGTGTCGGAGGTAGCATGGTCATCAGTCGCGGTGCTGAGCGATGGAGTATGTTTGATTGGCGACGAAGGCAGTTGGACGTCAGAAGGCGGCGCCTGAGAAGAAATCATATCGGGGCTTGGGTTGGGGATGTAGACCGTGTTCCTCACATCGCGGCGGCCGCGAACAGTGCCACCAGTGCGTCGGATACCAACGTTGCTCTGAGCTTGCTGTTAATTTGAAAGATGGTGAGTAAATATAGCTAATGCATATATGGACCGTATTCGCTTACCAGTCGAAGGGCATTTGCCATATCGTCCATAGCCTGCTTTGCCTGGCTCTCATCTTCTAAGATGGGTTTGTCACGAATCGTCAAGTTCATACCGGAATCATCCAGACTGGAGAAAGGTGGATTAAGAACCGAAACTCATTATATTTTGTCCGAACGAAGAGGTTGCTCACCTTGCCGCTTCTCTCTGGGCGCGTGTTATTTCATCAATAGTAGAAGGCCGTTCAGCGAACCCGTCCGAGTCAATCTGGGCCTAAAGATTCTGGTTAATGAACACGTTCGCTGCTTAATAAGATGGTTTGTGTTTCGTACCTGGCCTGTCCCATTGCTGGTAACTCTGGCATGGATATCCGGGCTAGCGCCGTTCGTAGCTGGCGCAGCGGGTGTGGATGAGGTGACCGGAGCGTGCGTGATAGCGTCAGGATCATGATCTTGCGACACACTCGAGTTCCGCATAGGCTCATCATTCATGAAAGATGTAACGGGGCCATCAGCAGTAGAGGGTGGGGATTCTGGGATTTGCATTTCACGCGATGAGTCGCTTCTTTTGAACGGTGCAAAAGGGCTGCGCTTCTTGTCTGCCTTCTTGTCAAAGCTTGCGCCTGGAGACACGACCATGCTCTTTCGGCGTCCCATTACAGTACCAAGTCGTCGTAGGCCTCCCAGCGGTGTTGATTTAGCGGGCGGCTCCGGGTCTACAAACGTCATTATCAGCATATAGGTTTTATGTTTGACAGCTAAATACTCACGGGTTGGTGTTGGCGTGGATGTAGCCCGATCAGGTGCTGGCCTTTCTGATCCAAAAGACCGTTGGCTGGCTGCATCATCCTGGATCCTCGGAGGAGGGGGAAGGGGCGGAGTGTTGTCAGGAGCTTCAAAGGCTGAGGCAGCAGGAGCGGCCGGGGCGGCCGTGGGAGTATCCAACTGAGATGTTTGTCTTCGCACCGGCGCCGGGGTAGTCGGAACACGGTTGCCCTTCATCTTCGCAGCAAAGGTCTGGATTTCATCCGCAGTTTCGACTTGCAGAAGAACATTCAGGCAACTTTCCGCGGCTTGCCGACTGCGCTCGACCTGGTCCACCTCGTGAGTCTGCCATTGTGTCAGGACATCACGAAGATGGTTCAGTCGGCCCTCGTCGGCAGCCTGGAGTTGTTCAAAGACAAAGGGGGCACGGGACTCCCACTGTTGGGTGACTTCTTCAACTGCATTGATCGCGACCGTCAATTGTCTCGGGTTCTTCGCACTCTTGTCTCTTGCCTTCTCGACCTTTTTCTGCGCAGTCTCGAGATTCTTGGCCAGACTACTCAGGTTATTCTGGATTCCTGGCATTGATTGCATGTCCCGGTTATTATCGCTGTAATCCCTGAGAGGTCGTTCCACATCTTCCTCGATCTTGTTCGCCAAGGTCTCGTGCGATGTCGCGAGGGCCTCAGTCGCATTGATGATGCGCTGCCAGGGGATTTGGAAGATTCTGAGTGCTTGTTAGGCCTGAATACCCCTGGTGCCGAAGGCCGAGGACTTTGTAAAGGCAGAGAGGGCGACTTACCCCAATGCAGCGCCATTGTCCAGCTGCGGGCGGGATGCCAGCCTGCGCAACCCTTGCGCATATGCCTCTTCCACGCGGCGACGTTCCTATCCACATCAAAGTCAATCTCTGCACCCCGCATATCTAAAGAATGCGACCACGAGTAATATGCGGGGAGGCTGGCACAGCTCGGTCTTACCTGGAGAAAGTCGGCAATATCCGTATGGGTCTTGTTGATCACGCGGACTCGGTCATTTAGAACGGCCGAGGCTTGGGTTGGTTGCAAAGTGGCCTATGATGGGCGAAGGAAGCCATTGTCAGCACACACAATGTTGGACTTTGGGAATGAGAGCTCCGGGGACCGACTCACCAGCAGTGCTGGGTACTCTTGCCGAGTGAGGTCCATAATTCAAGGTCGAAAGCCCGTGAGGAGCGCGTACAGCGCATAATCAGAAAAGAAAACAACGCTGTAAAGGTGAATTGAGGGGTGCGCCCAAGGTGGAAGACCAATGCAGGTTGGGTCTAAAGGTGGTGATCATTCGATCGCCGAGGGCGGCCATGGGGATGGAATGGAGGATGACGAAGGCCGGGAAACGCAGTGTGACGGGGCTTGGCGCGGAGCAGCCAATCACCATTGCAGCTGAGAGACGCATTCGGTTCTCTCGCAGTAAGAAGGTCACCTGACCTCTATGTCATTGCTTCCTGCGGCTCCGGGACTCCACATGGTCCCAAACTCATGGAGGATCATCCAAGCTTGAAAATTGAGGCAACCCCTGTGCAATGGACTGGCAGAAGAGCCTGGGCTTCACTGACAGGCTTCGCGCCATTCAGTCTCTGTAAGTTTGATTGATCCCATGTCATTGCTCTATGCTAATATTTCTTTCAAGTACCACGGCCTTCCAGCAAACAGCATCATCAGCTGCATATACAGAAGCTCAAAATAAGGCCAGGCAGCTTGAAAGTGAAGCCTACAGTCAAGCAAAGACGAAGGTCAGTACACCCTTGGTGAGTCCACGGCCATTTACGAACTTTTACCACTTTTAGGATGAATATGATCAAACATGTCAGAAAGCCATCGATGCTGCCGAATCAGCCGCGGGCGGGGCCAAGGATATAGACGTCCAACATGATGACGAGTTTCGAGACCCAGATGTCTCTTCCGACCCGGTAGGCGAAAAAATTGGACCTTACTTATCCTGCTTTCATCATTTCGATGGATTACATTCGCGTATTTACAGGACCAAAGCCGACGATGGCTCTTTGCGTGCTGTAAAGATTATGACCCCCCACATGATGATGGCCCCTCACGATGGCCTACGTGAAGTTCGCCTATTGAAGGAGGCATCTGGGGATCATGTGATTCGTTTGATCGAAACCTTCAAGTTGGAAGGAGGCCGAATCGTCTTGGTCTTCCCGTTCCTAAGATATGACTTGGAGCGTCTGCTTCGACGTGATGCGATAACTGCTAACCAAACCCGCTCAGTACTCCGGGATCTCTTCTCTGGTCTCGCCCACTGTCATAAACTAGGCATCATTCATCGCGATATTAAGCCATCAAATATCCTGCTGGATTCTCCAGATGGGCCGGCCTATGTAGCCGATTTTGGCATTTCATGGAAAGAAGGAGACCCAGGGTGTGAGCCCTCGGATTCCAAGATCACAGATGTGGGCACTACTTGCTACCGACCTCCCGAGATTCTATTCGGGTACACTGGTTACGGAACATCCTTAGATCTTTGGGCCGCCGGGTGCGTGGTGGCAGAGGCCACTAGCGTTGGCCATCGGGCTCTTTTTGACTCTGGGCCTGTCGGGAGCGATCTATCACTCATCCAGTCAATATTCCAAACACTAGGGACACCCAACGAGCATACTTGGCCCGTGAGTTCTTCTACACGTGGGACGACAAGTTAATAATGTCGCTGACGAGACTGCAGGGAGTCCATGTGCTACCTGATTGGGGAAAGGTGGAATTTCACCCCTTCCCAGCACAGGCGTGGGGGGGCTATAATGCCAGGGGCGTCCTCCAATGCCCGAGATCTAGTCCGTCGGTTGATTCGTTACGAGGCCAGTCAGAGGCTCTCTGCGGAGGAGGTAAGTAACCGCGAGAAGTAGCTGCTCCACGGCTTTCTAATCTCCTTTCTAGGCCCTCCGACATCCCTACTTCTCCGCACTTTAATATCGGAGCATGTCTAGCCAGCCACAGGAAATTTTCATCGGGCTTGGCCCCACTTCGACGATTTGGGGAGTTCGGGCGTACCTCACAATCTCCTGGCATTGCATGCCTGCACCCCCTACTGGTATGCCCGGGTAATTGTACGCAGGGAAGGACGAATGATCATGCTCCATACACTGATCATACTCCATACAAACCTCATGGATCACTATCACGCCATCCGCATCATCCAGGAACTTGTTCCTGATCTGAATAATCAAAGCAAGCTAATAAAGATTTATGATAAATCCACTCTGACTCCCTAGATTTGTATAGGGCCAGGATGGTAGCGAACCCTATGTAACAGATTTTCCATCCCGCTGCACGCGTGGACGTGATTCAAGTTAGCAACCACCAATACTATCACCTGACCACTAATATTAGAACCCAATTAAATGGCCCTGTCCCATTTCCCACTTCCTTCTCACATTCACCTCCTCATCACCCATTATGGGTGTCAAGAAGCAATGGGATTCGATGGCGAAACACCATCGAATCAGTATTGAAAGCGCCCTTGAGGATATATCAAGATCCTTTAAGCCGAAGCTGGGCCTATTCGACAATGGTGAAGCGGGGCCAAAGGACGGCCTAACATCCTATTGGTCGAATTAGGGCTAGAACCCAAACCGAGACCGAATCCCTGGCGAGCCCCCATATAAAAGCGGCTACCTGTTTAGATAAGAGTAAGCTTTAGTCTTTGTTCAGACCGGAGCCCTACTGTGGCATCCATCGAATACCATTATCTCGCCTGGTCAACTGGTGCCATCCAAATCTGGTAGTTCCCTCACAATGGGCCCTGTGACCTTAACAAAGTGGAACAAACACTGGCCTGGTGGTATCCCCCTCATTCCTTCGCAGAAATGAGGAACAAGTGGACGACGTAGCCGCCGCCTCTCGTTCATGGAGATTCTTTCTCCGTGAACAGTGGATTGATGTCCAAGATGTCGAAGATGTCGAAAATGTCGCGGCAGAGGAACAGAGACGAACTTTGATTGAGCGATGGGCAACAGCAGATCAGGAATTCCGCGATGTAAATTTAAAATCCTAAAGTGGTCAGATGGTCCTGGATTTTCTCTCAATAATCAACATCAAGATAGAGCTATGAATTCCGAGCACCAGACGATGAGCGTAAATTCGAAGATCCTAATGATGTAAGATTTACCCCCTTCTTATTCTCGATATAAGTCTAAAAGTATCAGGATGCATGTCTTACAGGGTTAGTCCACAAATTGGACGACGTTCATATCTGTCTCACAAAATGGACACCTGAGATACAAGCCCTACTTGCGAAGTGTCTTATTACGTTATTCGGATGGATGGGTGATCAAGAATATATGACTACGACAACGTCAATGTACTATCCTCTGGAAGATAACCAAGGAAATATTCTCGACATATTTAAATTCCGACAGAGTCTCGCCCGGCCCGATTTCCTGGATGTATGTATGACGGTTAAAGGAACTCTGCTGTTCTCGGACTGCTTTCCTAAATTGATTATTGATGACTATACTCTTGAGACAGGACTCTGTCTTTGGGTTCAATATCAGAACAATGGAAGGCCAGAAAGGGCTTGGCGGGCTCAGATGTTTATGGATGAGTTCCCACTTTTCTTTCTTGCGGTTCATGCTAATTCGGATCCGCTGGGTGAGGTGCTCGAATATATGGAGAACGAGACTCGAAGATAATGATCCGGAGGTGATATTGGAAGAGAAGCCGTAAGTGATGTTAGTCCTATATTAGTAGATAATATTAACAAATTTTAGGGTCGATATGCAGCGCCCTTTTTGTGGAAATCTTTGAGAACGATCGGCGCGACGATGTGGACCGTTATGCTCCGGGGTTCCGCGAGGCTGAAGCGGCAGGTAACGGTTTGGCGATTGGATATGAATTAGAACGGATCCTTGCAGACAGTGGAGCCCCGCTGAAGATTAACGAAAGGTGATTCTATAGTCAAGAAAAACGTTTGCTAGCATGAAATAACATTGTGACTACTGAGCCATTACTCGGATATTCATCATAGTCATCTATTTCGCACCCAGTCGACGCTCAGCCTATACCCAAAGGAGCGCTTTGCTCCACAGTTCTGTTTATCTTCCGACCTATTTTTTGATAGACCTCAATTTTCATTGTGCCTGTACTTTTTGAGGTGCTCGATCCTCCGAGCTCTTTTCCCTCAGATGATGACTGACAGGGGCACGATGACGCAAAAATGGTGGGCCTAGGTCGCCCGCCATGTACTCATCTAGAAAAAGGTGTTCTGCTCTTATCGGATACTAAGATCTGTATTTAAGTCGTGAAGTATGAAATGCAGCTATGTTCCTTCATTTTGACTGACAGCACAGATTTTCTTTGTCGTTTATTGTAATCTCTACTTTCATTCATTCGTTCTGGCATTTTGTTGGGATCTTTCCAGTCATGGGTCAAAAGACCTTCTTCAATAAGATAAGACTGCCAAGTAACTGGCAAAGAGCAGCTATATTTTTGGCGTTCATATAGAAGAGGCTGCTATCTGTGAAAAGGATAAAAGAGTATCTAGGACCAAGAAGATATATTCTGACGTTATCCGTCATTGGATGGAGTGAGTTGTGATGTACTTGTCTAGGATGGCCCGCCGTATACGTTTTTGACTTGCTCTTAGCTTCGTTAAATAGAATAAAATCAAAGGCGATGATTCTGGGTTAGGCTATGCACAAGGATACAGACTGAGGGACCTCGGTAGTGGACCTCACTGACCATCACGTGATGGGACTGAGCAGCTCAGTGAGCTCTAGAGCCCGGACTGAAATTAACTCAGTCCGACTCTGAGCGCCCTCATAAAAGCGGCGGCAGCTAAGATAGGAAAGCCCAACTTGGGATAGGAAAGATGTTATGTATAACTAGGTATCCAACAGGACTTAGGTTCATAAAGTAGACGCTATGTGATTTTGATTTACTCGTGACTCGTGGTGTGCAAACCGGCAGGCCCGGAAATTGCACCTGCATCCACCGTTCAATTAGAGAGTGCGCGGGGCCGAGGATGAAACAGCCCAACCACACCGGCGGGAGTCTGTGCCCCCGCAGGGCCATGTAGGATCAAAAAAGCCCTTCCCACGTTGTGGGGGGGAATTTTCAGTGCCTGAGGTCATGATGCATTTGGACTGGGAGCCTTGGAAAATCTTCAGCGACCATAGTAATGTACTCTGTAGGAGAGAATCAGGGGCTACGGAGTAGAATGTCTACATCGAGGGGAGAATCGAGACCCGGTAGAACCCAAGGTTCCTTTTCCAGGAACCGATCCAGTGGGCCAATGGCAGTCTCCCTCATCCACTGATCTTCACTGTATCGAGTTAGATCACCATCGTCCCTCTCGTACTGCCAAGGTAGCCGGGGTCCAAGACCCTGAATGGGGGCCTTCTCATTTCCTGTATACTGTGTTTGCGCAGCACCCTTCACTTCTTCACTTCACTTTCGCTCTTACGACCTGGACGTCGTTGTCCTTTCCTTTCGTTAACTTTTTTTTTTTTGACTGGAGCGTCGGCAGTGCTACGATCTCCAGTTGTCCATTCTTTCCATCCACATTCCACACCGCGTGTGGAATATCTAGCTGCGCGATTCCCCCAGCGAGTCGCGCGTTGGAATTCGAGCCTTGGCGCCCGATCTTCAGTGTTGAACTATCTCGATCTTTGATGATTTTCACTGCCTGTGAACCTGATAACTCTGGAGCATCATGGTCCACGGGCACGGACATCATACCCACGAAACCCTGGAGGCTCTGGAGGCACGTTTGGAAGTGCGGGATGGCGGGGGTGACGACAATGGGGTGGTCATTGTCTACAAAACCCTCCTACCGGATTTCACAGGAGAAATTGGAGGATATCTGACGGGTGGTATCAACAACAATAACAACAACGGCGGCAACGGTGATGCCCAGCCAAAGACTGCCGCTGCTAACAATGTAGGCGTTGGTCCTCCGGTCGGCGTCACCAAAACTGCCTCCGAGGAGAAACCCACAGAGGAGCCCAAGACAACTCAGGCGGAGAAAACAGAGCACCAGGAGCCTCAGACGACCGAAAAGGCACAGGCGGACACAGAGACCAAGGACGAGCAGCCTACCGAAACCAAGAAGGACGAGCAGCCTACCAAAACCAAGATCGCAGCTACTGAGGCAAGGGCAACTCAGACCACTCAAACCGAGACCCATGAAAGCATCACCACCGAGCCTCAAGGGACTCAGAACGCGGCCACTCGAACTTCGTTTGTCACGTCAGCTACCCCAACAGCCGATAGCTCCCGTGATGCCAGTAACCTAGCTGTCACAGGCTCAACCTCCGCAGACTCATCTGCCGCCTCATCCACCACTATCAGCTCTCAATCGTCTGGACTCACCTCGGGAGCTAAGGCTGGGGTGGCGATTGGTGTCATCCTGGGTGTTGGTTTGATTGCAGGTCTGATTTTTTTCATCTGGCGCAAGAAGAAGCGTAGCCAGGATCTCGACGAGCCTTTCGATGAGAAGACCACCGCTCCTCAGGACCTCCCCCTCCGCCAATTTCCAAGCAGGCCCCTTCGGTTGCCCCTCAGCTTGCCAATGTACGCCCTGTTACCCAGTTGATGATTCCTGGCTTCGGCAACTCGGCTTTCGACGCTCCTGCTGCTGCCGCTACTGCCGGTACCGGTGCTGCTGTTGGATCAACAGCGGTTGCCTCTCGAAATCTCACTGGTGATTCATCGCCACCAAGTCCGCCAAAATCTGCTGGTAGCGGCACAAACCCGTTCAATGACCCTGAGAACCCATTCCATGGTGATGTGAGCCCATCAGATGACGCGCCCATCATTGTTTCCGATTTTGCACCTTCCGACATCCCCACGGCAGCCACTGCCGCTGGAGCCGCCGGGGCTGTTGCAGCTGGTGCAGTGGGAGCTGCTGCCGTAACACGCAAGGAATCCAACAAGAGCGAGAAGGGCGAGAGAGGCCGTCCTACGTCGGCTGAATCTATGACAGCTCCCCCAGGTCACCCTTCACCGAGCCCTGTCAGTGCTGCTGGCGAATCTGTCGCTGTACCTGGAGTTGCTGGTATGGGCGGCGGTGCTACCGGTGCTACCGGTGCTTCCGTTCCCGCTCCAAATCCTCTGAACGTCCACCGTGTGCAAATGGACTTCAATCCATCAATGGAAGACGAACTGGAACTGCGTGCCGGTAGCTTAGTCCGCATGCTTCACGAGTACGATGATGGATGGGTAAGTGGCTCCTTATATTATTTCATTCCTTCACAAGTCATATGCTGACCAGTCGCTTTATAGGCTCTTTGCACACGCCTCGACCGTACGCAGCAAGGGGTGGCCCCTCGATCCTGTCTTTCGGCACACCCTGTGAAGCCGCGCCAGCGACCTCCCCCTGGGCCCGGTGCTGGCCCTCGCGGACCCATGCCCCCTCGAGGACGGATTCCGTCCGGTCTACCTCCTGGCCGGTTCTATCCTCAAGATGCACGTCCTAGATCCCCTGCCGGACCACCACGCTATCCTCCCAGTGGTCGTTCTATGTCCCCTGCTGGTGGTTTCCCTGTTCCCCGATCTATGTCCCCTGGCCCACGTGCAATGTCCCCTGGCCCGCGCGCAATGTCTCCAGGCCCGCGCGCAATGTCTCCTGGTACTCGATCTATGTCCCCAGGCCCCGGGGTGCGTCCAGTGCCTCGATCCATGAGCCCTGGTCCAATGAGCCAACCTAGTATCCAACGGCCGGCGGTGCCAGCGGCACAACGCCAGCGTAGCAACAGCGGCGGAAACATGTCACCACCAAACGTTGGTGCTGCCGCTCCCTCTGTCTCAAGTCCTCTGGCCTCATCCCCCCCAGCCCCAGCCCCTACGACCCAGCTACCGGCTATCCCCAGCGGCGAGCCTAGTTCTCCCGGCTCCCAGATCCACAGGAAGCCCGTGTGTTCTTCGTCCCCATAACTTGCAGACAATGATCACAAAACCCTCTTTCTGAGCTGAGTCTGTGAAACATGCACTATATCTCGCCAACGCTCCGCTTGATGAAAACTGGCCTAGTACGCCTCGAGATTCCTACGTCTGTGACGGACTAAGTTTCTTTTTTTTTATCTTGCTTTTCACATACTATGTACACTGCTTTTGCTAAACGCATGTTACTTTCTGTATTTGGCTTCTTCTAGAGCTGGCTGTTTACGGCGCGTCTCGATCTATTTCTTTAGACGCCGGTGGTTTGCACTTTCCCTTTCCGATTTACTCTCCATTGCTTTCACCTTCGAATGGAGGATTACTCCTATCTACTTCGTTGACATGCAAGCGGTGAATATTTAACTTCCATGACTCGGCAAGATTCTGAAGATACCTTTGCTCTTTGTGTTAAAAACTCGGATCATAATCCTAGGTCGTTTAACTAGATAACTATTCAATACCAAAGCCAACGCATTCCCCAAATTCCGATTGGATAAAATACGAGTGAATACTAGTACTCTTTGTGCTCGTCATGATCTAACAAGGCTCCCCGAGCACGCCTAGAAAAAAAAGGGAGAAAACACAGTGTTTCATAATGATTCATGCTCATTTATTTTGATAGAGGTTCTTACATGAGTCCTCTTTAACCCGAAATTTACTGGGAAGATATGTATCTCTATAGATGAGGCACCTTTCCACTCGCAAGGAGCAAGTTAACAATACTCAAGATCCCCTCGCCGAGAATAAGCCCCGAGGCTAAGACGACTACAGTCGAAGAAGCAGCATCTGCCTTCTCTGCTGCCGGTCCGGGTGACGTCGAGGAAGCCTGGTCTATGTGACCACTTGCGGAGTTTGCGTCGCCGCCCCCAGAAGCAGGCCTGTTGGAGTCCGCGTGCTTTCGGGCCCACCACCACGCGATGAGACCACCGATAGCTCTGGCCAATGTAAAAGACGGAACGTTGAAGATGCCAACGGCCACCGCGATACCACCGGGGATCCAAGCTCGCCATGCAGGAGCTTTCCCGCCTTGCGCGTACGAGGGTGACGCAGCTGCGATCCGGAACCCCGTGAGGATCATCCAGATCAGGCCTGCTAGGACAGATGCTTGCCATGCCATCGGAGGCAGACCCTCACCCGTCACAAGACGTGCAGTGAATATCCACACGTAAGCCGTTGGAGTCTGGAACATGTCACCCGGGATGTCGTAGACGCTGACGTACGTTTTGTAGATAGCGGTGGACAAGAAAGCGCCAACAAGGCTACCGATCATCTGGCCGTAGAATTGGGCCTTGGGGCTGGCGCCGAGAAGGTGTCCTGTTTTCAGGTCTTGCATCATGTCGCCGGCCTGTAGGGCGCCGGACTCAGAGACTGCGCCTGCAAGCAGGTTTGTGACGAGCGCTGTACGCCGGGAAAAGCGTGAGGCGGGCGTGGCGAGGGAGAAGAGGAGTTGGGTTAGTTTGCTGATGCCTGAAACTGGGTTGAGGTCTGTCTCGCCAAGGGCACGGACGCCCATTATAGATAGTAGCACTGCGAGGAGCGTTGCCAGAACAGAGAGTTGCGGGGGCACTATGTCGCCGAAGACATAGTGCATACATATGACATTGAGAATGAGTGTTAATGGTAGTAGAATGACGACTGTGCGGGTTGAGATGAGTTGGGACGGCGGGGCATCTTCGTCGTCATCGGCGACGCGGGTGCCATATTCCTCATTGCCTGTAGACGGGCGGCTAGAGTCTAGTGCAGAGTAGTTGATATAGGAATGTCCAGAGGATCTTGAACGAAGTCGCAATTCAATCCACTGGCCGAACTGCGTGGAGCGAAGGAAAGCTAAGAATTGAGGAGTCCGAAACACCAGGGGCTTGATGACCAGCCAACCAAGGCTGACCAGTGAATCAGCGAGCATTATTGCCAAAGATACCCAGACAATCCAGGCTTTACTCCCATCTTCCCAGCTATCCACAGGGCCTGGTGCCCATCCACGACTCTTCGCTAGGGGAGAGAGGATTCCCCAGCCAAGTACCGCCCCGAAAAGCATGTGCATGCAGGTCTCAGGGCCCATGATAATTCCTTGGCCAATATACGCCGGCGACGGATTGAGAGTCCAAAGCCAGTTGTTGGCCATGTATAATCCGAGGAGCGGGATATCATGGACAAGTGGAACAAAGTATGAGAAAATTGTCTGTTGGGTATTTGTTAAAAGGAGAGGGAAAAATGCCAAAATAAAGGCAAGAGGATAACTCACGTATACACCAGAGACCACGAAAGCACCAATCAACAGGCGCATTTTTGAGCGCCAGTCCTGGTTGTGGATAGCTTGTTCCTCTGCCTCGTTATCTTTCAAAACGAGAGCCCTCGATTCTTCTGGCTCGGCGGCATTCGGATTGCCGATTCCAAGGCTTTGCTGGCTGTGTTGGTCTTCGATTCGCGTCTTTTCATCTTTCCCGGCACCGTGGAGAACCCGAAGCATAAGGGCAGAAGCAGTTCCACTAGGAAAACGTAACTTCTCTCGAACAATGACTTCTTTTCGCAGCGGAACCGCAAAGACAACGCCAAACAAACAAACCCCAAGACTCCATATGACTAATTTCCAGAAGCTTAGCTTCAAAGGGCCCCCCTCGCCGGCTCCGCCATTACCTGACGGCCCATCCTCGCCGTCTTTCAAAAGAAATTCAAGGGCGGGAATCACACCCACAAAGCCACACCCAAGAGGCATGGTCCCAACGGCTCCGGCGACAGTTTGGATCAGAACATTTTCGATCGGCGTGAACGGAAACGACAGGTACTTCGTCAGAACCTTGAAGACCGAGAAGCCAATCAAGGCTGATGGCATAGCCATCGTACTGATCCATCCTGTTTGAAGCCCGAAATATGTGTTGGAAAATGTGATCAATGCACCAATAACGAGGCCGACGGCGAGGGAGCGGGGTGTGAAGCTCTGTGCGGAGGTGGACGATGCTCGTGAGGGGATGGCAGCGTCAGCTTGTGAGTCCTCGGGCAGGTCTTCCAGGGGCCTGCCCGTCATCCGGTTTACTGGATCAGAGGCATCGTCTGCCATGCTGATGGTCTGGTAATTCATCGGCCCTATGGAAGCATGTAGGATGGGCAAACGAGATATTTCGACCGTCCGGGAGGCTGCTGATGACTCCCGGATGATTAATGATAAGATAAGTTGAGATCACATGACGATAACATCCATTATTTTGGAGAGCAGTTCTGCGTCTTCAGGTCTTCCAGGGCTTCCAGGGCTTCCAGGGCGTTCATTGGTCAGCACTATATGAGTTCCAGTTGGAGCACAGGTTCTCGTGGATCTTGGTCGCTTAAGACCAAATGATCTTGGCAGCTCCCATATTGCCTCGATCTTGCCCCACCGTTCTGGATTTCGTTGATGCTGGGATTCGGAGTCTAAACCTGAAAGGGAAGTCATCATGTAGACAGGCCGGATTTACCTTGTGAAGGGGATTGCTCGCCCTACACTATTGATTTTCAGGGGTAAAATATTCTGTGCGGTCTATCGGTCTATTTAAACCCGCTAGGTCCCTTTGGTTCCGTCTGAATATCCAGCATTTGTTTCGTCCGTTAATATGGCTACCAGTGCAGAACCGAGAGCCCGAAAAGGGCAAGGGCCTAAACCCAAGTCCAATCCTAGGGATCAGCCTCTTGAGGAAGACATCATTTCATTTGCAACAGAACATGTCACTGGTGGTTGGAGAGAAGGCATGGATCCCAAGGTCGACTACTCTGGACATTTCGAGTTTGGTGGATCTCTTGGATGCTTAGCTCTTATGATCGGTTTTCCATTACTCATGTTCTATATGTGGATCGGTGCGACATATTACGACGGCAAACTTCCGCTGCCAGAACCTGGTCAGACATGGTCTGCCTTTGGAAGCCACTTGGTAACGCTGGTCTATACGGGTGCATTTCCTCATGCCAGAGCCTGGCGCATCTGCTGGACGTACTACATCTTCGAAGCTGCCTGCTATATATTCATGCCTGGGATTACGTGCTACGGCAAACCGCTTGCGCATCTGGGAGGCAAGCAGTTGAAATACCACTGCTCTGCTTATACGAGTTTCTACTTCACAATTTTTGTCATGGCTGTGCTGCATGGCACTGGCATATTCCCCATTTACACATTCTTGGATGAATTTGGGCCATTGCTGTCGGTTTCCATCCTTTCAGGATTCATTGTGAGCTTTTTAACCTACATTTCGGCGTTTGCTCGAGGCGCCCAGCATCGCATAACTGGATACCCTATCTACGATTTCTTTATGGGTGCAGAGTTGAACCCGCGTTTATTTGGGGTTCTCGATCTCAAAATGTTCTACGAAGTTCGTATTCCATGGTTCATTCTATTTGGTCTCAGCTGTGCAGCAGCTGCTCGTCAGTATGAACAGTATGGCTACGTCTCTGGCGAAGTGCTTTTTCTGGTCATGGCACATTACTCCTATGCGAATGCATGTTCCAAGGCAGAGCATCTTATCACAACGACATGGGACATGTACCAGGAAAAGCTTGGCTTCATGCTCACCTTCTGGAACCTGGCTGGTGTGCCTATGTCATACTGCCACTGCACTTTATATCTCGCGAATCACCATCCCTCTGAGTACGCATGGAACAAATACGCGCTGGCAGCATTTTTCCTGTCCTACTTGTTTGTGTACTGGGTCTGGGATACTGCTAATTGTCACAAGAACTCCTTTCGCATGATGGAACGTGGCACTTGGGTAAAACGCAAGACTTTTCCTCAGCTACCTTGGCAAGAGGTCCACAACCCGAAGACCATTGTTTCTGAAAAAGGGGATACTATTCTTGTAGACGGATGGTATGGGCTCGCACGCAAGGTCCACTACACCTGTGACATGTTCTTTGCATTCTCCTGGGCCCTGATCACGGGCTTTGACAGTCCATTCCCCTGGTTCTATCCGGTATTCTTCAGTATCATGATCGTTCATAGAACCATGCGAGATATCAACAAATGTCGATATAAGTATGGTGCTGCATGGGCCGAATATGAGAAACAGGTTCCCTATCTCTTTATTCCAGTGAGTTACCGTAAGGGCTTGAAGACGCAGTGGTCCTGCTAACATATCATGACAGTACATAATTTAATGATGGGCGGGATTCTATCTCATGAAGATCTTGGAAATTCGAAACAATTCCATATCCAGTGGGATGTGGTTATAGGAACTTTACCTCCTACGACATCCATTTTTACTTTAAGTGTTATTATGGTACATTGCAATAATCTTCAACCCCATCCTTAGTATAATTGCTCTAAGCCCTACTTGTACAGTTGCGTGATACATGTGCCTTTTCTATGTTCAATGTGCATCATGTTCCCCTGCTGGGTTGATACGTCTGTTTTTGATACCGAATACAGCTCAATTGCATCCCTATCGCGACAGCTAGGGTGGATGTCATTTCCTTGATGCTATCGAGAAGTTGAGTCCCAAATCTGGATTCTGTATGCGCGCGGTCTGTCTGAAATCTCTCGGCGTCGACATCATCACGACCTCGACGGTCTGTTTGAAACTTCTGTTTGAAACTCCTCAGCGTCGACATCATCACGACCTCGACGCTCCTCCAGGACACCCTCTTCTTTTTGTTTTCCTCTTCTAGTTCTTCTTCTTCTTCTTCTTCCTCCTCCTTTCCTTTTACGTTCTCCTGCAATCGCACCTGCTCGCCAGCATCTTTTCAATCAACTTTGCTGTCCAGCATCTTTTCAACAAGCCTTACTGTCGATCATGGCGTTCATGAAACTTGTGACCATGGACTCATGGCAGTCCGAACTTGGCGTCGAGTCGCCTATCGTTTGCTTCCTCAGTACTTGCTATTCCCCGAATACTCAAAGCTACTCCGATGAAGAACCAAGGCTAATACGCCCCAGCCAAGGATCCTGAGCATGCCGAATGCCTGATGGACCTACACCGAATCAAGTTTGGGGTCATTTCCACTCGCCCCTATCGCACCTTAAAGATCGAAGCCGACAGTCACGACAGCCTGCCTCGTGACTCCGAATATCTGCGCTCTCTGAAAGAGCTTGTCGAAGAAGGCCGCGAGCAAGGTTGTGAGGTTATCCTGGTCACGTCCTCGCGCGGTCTCCAATGCCACCCGGCCACGTTCGGTGAGATATTTTCTCGCCGTGACTATGAGCCTAGCCACAGTGTCAGAATCACTGTGGTTGATGACCGCGCGGGCAAGTTCTACCACGTAGACGGCCAGAAGGCTTATCAATGGATAAGCCAGCGTGGCCTCGTTGGTAACTCCGCCGAGCCACGGACCTTCTTCGGCTTCATCAAGTCAATAGGAGGCGCGAAAGAAGAGGACGAGGAGGATTGAGGGGAGTGGAGCCAAGAGCGGGGGTCAACCCTGTGAGAGGGAAGTAGAGGAAGCCGGCAGTTGGGGGGAGGATCCTTATGTTGTTGGGTTTTTGTTATTTTTTTTTGCCCCCTCCCCTTTCCTCAGCTTTAGGAATTGAATACTGCTGGCACCTCTAGCTTTTTCCTTAGTAGCTGCCGACTGGCATTGACTGTTCGCCCTCACTGCCGAGTAAAGTGACTTCTTTTTAAGCCCTTTAACAATAAAGGCAGTGATCATAATAAGACCTAATAAAGAGTTAAAACAAATCGACGTGCTGAATTTCCAATGGCTGTGCCCGGAATAACGTAATATTTCGGGTGATAGAGGTAGTGAAAAGATAGAGCCTTCAATATATTTCAGCCCTGTAGTCTCATTTAATCTAGATTCAAGGTCTCCGTCAAGTTCAGGCTTTTGTATTAGCTTAGAAAGAATTCCCTGGGTATGTCCAGTACGACGTTGACCTTGTTAGGGATGTGTCCTTGAGCCTCCGCCAACCCTTGATTCAGCACCACACAGGGCCATTCCCTAAGCGATCAGCAAATGGATTCCCCAAAATGATTGCCTCTACCAAGATCGACGCATTCCATTCCCCAAAGTATATCTAATCTCCTGCTTTGCGTACTCCGCGGTCACTCGAGGATGTGTTCCTGCATTCCATTCAGCTCCGAACTCTTCTCTTACTGGATGAGAACAACTCGAATGTTTATTGAAGTGAAAGTCGCGTGTTTAGACGTTTTTATGAGCTTATTTAAATCCCACAGGATGCCCCTGTGGGTGAGAAGTTTTCTGAAAGACATCGACACCCTACGACAACCTACGACACGATCGACACTCCGGGCCCTAGCCGAACACTTGCACCCCCGCAGGAAACCGTTCAATCATCATCAGCATGCACTTCGCTACTGTAAGAACTCTACCTACCATACCGTAGGGCGCATCCAATACTAATCATACTGCAGACTCTCGCTGCGGCCATGTTCGCACTTGGCGCCCAGGCTGCCTTCCCTGTTGCCAGCCTCGAGTTCCAGTCGTGGGAACAGTGTGAAATTGGCTTCTCTGTTCACGGCGAGCCTAAGTTCAAGGCTGATGTGACTGCGACCCCCTTGACGTGCGACAAGACAACCGTCGACCGCGACTGGAGCATCAACAACTATGCTTTCAAGGCTTTCATCGACACCAAGGATGCTCTCCTCTGCTCCGGTGTTACTATTTGGAACTCTGATGATTGCTCTGGCGAACCCTGGTCGTTCGTGCCCTTCGATGGAAAGCCTGTTGTCGAGGGCGTTTGCCTGCCCGATTCTTTGGACCCTGGCTTTGTTTCCTTCAAGCTTGATTGCTTCGGTTTCCCCGGGGGTGCTGGAGGTCCCTAAAAAGCATGCAGACTGCCTGGGTCGCATCAAAGCCAAGCCTATTGACAAACCCGATCTTGGCCTTGTTCTAGTATGGATACATGATTCTTACAACTTGTTTTACCTCATCCTGTATTCCAATTTTAATCTAAGAAAATCCATTCCCTAGGGTTTGATTATATGCGGATAGATCTCCGTACATAGTAAAGCATGGGTAACTTGCGCACTTATTTACTCGCTCAGCAGGTTTTAGACTACTGATAGCGTGGCACTGAGCCCCAGTCACATGATCCTGATAATTATCAACTGGAATGTGTCCTGAATGTGCTTGCATTGTTTGGATACATGTTGGGTTTTTTAAGCAAGCCCGTTGTTTACGTGGGCATATGAATTTCAAGAATCAGGTTTCGGGATCATCTCCTAGCAGCAGAATTATCATAGACGAGCTTCGAGATATGTTGGGCTATGTCAAAACTACCAAGGAAAATGAATCAATTTTCTATTGCATTAAGATAACAAGAGCTGGTATACGGCCTCCAAGGTTCCCGGATTGGGGTGGTGGTGTTACGTTTGTTGTACCGCGCCACACTTGAATCCTTTCAAGTTTCCGCCACCGCATTTCCTCTCTCTCCCGCCACCCCTAAAAATACCCTCAAACGGTTTTCCCAACGTGCCCTCTGAATATTTGATCAGCTTTCCATCGCGGATCTCCACTCGGTGATCATGGGCCGATCGGACGCGTCAAACCGACGCATGATCCCTTGGCTGTACGACCTCGTTCTGTGGCTCTTCACTTGGGCGTTGGACCTCTTTTTCCGCGAGATTTATCCCCGCGGAGCATGGCGCATCCCCGAGAAGGGCGCCGTGCTGATCGTAGCCGCCCCTCATGCGAATCAGTTCGTCGATTCAGCCATCTTGATGCGTCTGCTCAAGTCACAGGCTAAGCGACGCGTTTCCTTCCTGATCGCCCAAAAGTCCATGGATGAACCTTACATCGGGACGCTAGCATCATGCATGGGGGCTCTACCAGTGGTCCGATCAATGGATTTAGCGAAGCCCGGCAAGGGCAGGATATACTTACCTGAACCGGAGAATGACCCTCTCCTCGTCCACGGCGTGGATACTGACTTCACGCAGCCGGAGTTCACAGTGGGCGGGCCAATCACCATCAAAGGCCCCGATGGGCCCCAAACAGCTCCCATCGAGGAGATTCTTGGCCCAACCTCATTAAGGCTCAAGAAGGCCTTCTCAACTCCTCCAGCGGACGACCCCGGGCACAAAGGCACTACTTTCAAAATTGCTCCTCATGTCGACCAAAGCCGAATGTTTGCTTCGGTTTATCAGGAGCTCTTAAACGGCGGTTGCATTGGTATCTTCCCCGAAGGTGGTAGCCACGACCGCTCAAATCTATTGCCGCTGAAAGCTGGCGCAGCCTTGATGTCGTTGGGTGCCTTAGCCGAGGACCCCCACTGTGCTTTATCTATTGTTCCCTGCGGTATGAACTATTTCCATGCGCACAAATTCCGCTCCCGTGCGGTGATCGAATTTGGTCGCCCCATCCACGTGCATCCCGATCAAGTCGAGGCCTTCAAGGCTGGAGGCACTAGTAAACGCAACGCTGTAGGCTCCCTGCTCGAAACGATCTACGAGGGTCTTGAGTCCGTAACCCAAATCAGTCCTGATCATGAAACCCTCATTTTGGTTCAATCTACCCGCAAGCTATATAATCCCATCAGCAAGAAGATTCCACTTCCATTAGTTATCGAATTCAACCGGAGACTTCTGAAAGGTTACTCCAAGCATCGCGATGATCCTCGGATTCAAAGCCTCAAGAGAGCTGTGAAGGATTACAATGCGCGCCTCGACTCCCTCGGGATTAAAGACCATCAGGTGGAATGGGGCAATTTCGAGGAAAAGCCCTGGGCCCTCACCCTCATTATTCTGCTCTACCGGTTGGTAAAGCTCGCCTTGCTCAGTATTGGCACACTTCCCGGTGTGTTGCTTTTCTGGCCTGTCTTTGTGACTTCAAAAGTGATATCCGAGCGGAAGAGGAGACGAGCTCTCGCAAGTTCAGCTGTCAAACTTCAGGGTCATGATGTGATGAGCACCTGGAAAATTCTTGTGTCCATGGGACTTGCGCCAACTCTCTACGCTTATTATACGGTCGTTGTGACTACTTGGCTCCACTACAATCGCCGAGATGGCTACTACTCGCAGTCCGTCCCTTGGTGGATGGTTGCAAGGACCTACGTCCCTGACGTCCTGCCATTGTGGATCTTTGCTATCTCATTCTATCTCTTCATGATTTTCGTCAGCTATGCAGCACTCCGATTTGGTGAAGTAGGGATGGATATTGTCAAATCACTTCGTCCGCTTCTTGTCGCCTTAAATCCACTGTCATCATCGTCCCTGAACAACTTGCAAGCACACCGGGAGGCTCTTTCGGAAAGAGTGACAGAAACTATTAACGATCTTGGATTTGGCATCCTGCCGGATATGGATGCTGAAATTCCATCGGACACCTACAAACCAGATGCCTACCAGTCGCGACTCAAGGAAATGCCACCTAGTGAACCTGAAAGCCGAGAAAGCAGTCGCGGCCGCTTGGATGACACCTCCACTGACCCTACTATCAAACCTCTAAGCTCGATCAATTCCGCGGGTGATCTTGAAGACGTGGATCGTAAAATCCAAAAGCTCCAGTTCAAGCGCAGAGGACGACGTTCGAACACTTTCAATGGGTACGAGACTGGCGAATCTATTTTGCGGTATAACCCGACAATTGAGGCAGATGATAAAAAGAGCAAGTGATTCCTTTCATTCGACTAACGCTTTGTCAAAGAGATACCCGACTGGATCTTCACGATATTATCGCGTGTGCAATCCTTGGTACATACTCTACAGTAGCTGTTCTTGCTCTTCGATTGAGATTTATTGGACCTTCGAAATAATCTCATGAATCCTGGTCATTATCAGCTACAGTCAAGCTACTAGGAACCCCTATCCAATACCCAACCCTGGCTGCTAGGGACAGTCGACCAATAAAGTTCAGGGAAGTCAACTTTTCCAGAAGACCTCCGAATAGTATCTTTAGCGCTCTGACCTCTGTGCGACAACTCCCATGCTCCTTCAAGCCCTGTGAGAGGTGGAATTGCCATCCTCAGGAATGTGCCAAGTCCTTTGGAATGCCCTATCGAGCAATCACTACCGCCAGATAGTATTAGATCGGCAATATACAGACCACATCAGGAAAGGAATGCTCCATCTCGATTCCTACTGGTACCCAGCCATGAACCTTTGACGTTGCCCGCCACCAGGTATGACGAAAAAGTCATCCGAACCAAGAAGAAGCCTCCATCAGTGGTGCCAGCCGCGTCTCAGCATCTGTCATCGCCATTCCAGCTGTTAACCTGCCATCTGAATAACCGTAATTCCCACCTAAAGGAATGATTGCTCGATCTATAAAACATGTTCAACCCGCTTACGGTGATTCTCTCATCAAACATCCTTCAATTCTCCGGTCAGGTAGATCACTACTTCCAGATCTCAAGACCAATTCCTATTCAAATTTGGCAACATGCGTTCCACCCTTGCAACCCTTCTTCTCCTTTCAACTCCCATCCAGGCTGGTTTCTCTGCACGGATATGGACACACTTCTATCCAAACTGCCCAGGTGACACCTTCGGGGACATGAGCGCGTATGAGAACTTTCGCGAAACCTCCCCTTCGAAAGACATCCCAATTGGCAAATGCACAAACTTCGCCGTTCCACCAAACGAGTACAACCTGGTTCAAGCCGTTTCTATCGACGGCGAGCTAATCTCCCCGCAAACCGGACACCCGTTCCCACCAGGTTTCGGCCCCAGGCAAGACTGCAACATCACTCTTCACGAAGTACCCGATTGCTTCGATGACCCGCTGATCACCAAGAAATTGCAACACGGCGTCGAGGTGAGCGAGTGCTCCATGCGCTCGTTTGCCACTTACAGCAATGTCTGGGTCAAGCTCGTTTGCTCCGACAGCGCGTCATCCGAGCCCAAATCCTTCGACAACCAACCTATCGATACGCCACGCCCAGACCAAGCCGACGGCACTCAGCAAGGAAGTAATGTACAAACTCCCGGCTCCAACGCCAATTCATGGCACCTAGCTCAAACTTTGAGCTCTGAGCGCGAGCCTCACCAGGAAGAGCGCGTGGAAAATGAGGGCCATCTTGAGAGCAGCCAGGTTGTCGCGAAGATCATGGAGGAGATTGCGCACCGCAAGCACGGCCTGAATATTGTCTCTGGGAAGCCCAACTTCACTAGCCTCATTAATGGGACGAAGCTACACAACAATGGTACCGCTCCTGGTAACCACACTATTTCTCGTCGAAAGCTTTCTGTTCTGCGAAACCGTCCAACCCGATTGTACTAGTCTGTGTTGACTGTTTTCATTTTCTTCATTTTCGAGCGCTCTTATGGTTTACGAATGATTAGCATAGCAAGGATGTGAATATTTCAAATTGATATACCCGATACTTTTCAACTCCTTATCTCGATTTGGGATTCCAGAATATGTACGTCTGCTTGGCCTGATTACTTGACAAGGATTGTGTAGTCACAAATGCCTCCCCAATAGGTAATTCATTTTGTACGGCTAATATATCCGACTTACAGTAATCCAGCATTTATTATAATATGGCCCGGCATGTGGGCGATAAATTACGACTCCGTCAGTGCAGGCCCACTGGGACCAGCACAAGATCGAGATTTCTTACAACTACTGGAGTATTTGGCCTATCAGTAGTGACAGTCGTCATAAGCCTCCAACTTAAAGCTGTCGCACCGCATTGTTTTATTTTCACTGCACAGCGTATGTATGTAGAATGCATGGAGCATTGCTTGATCGCTTTATGATGCATGTAGTGTTTGACCAAAATCATTCAGACCCGCATTAGAATCCGAAACTATCCAGCAGCGAATTAGCATCCGGCTCATGGAACATCGTTGGGGGCGGTTTCGATTTCTCGGCTTGCTGCTTAGGCTCATAGCTGCCATCAGCACCATATGCTGTTCCGGTCTTCTCGTTTTCAGACTCGGAGCTGGCAAGGCGGATTGGCATGTCAGCGACGACAAGACTGCTGCGCCGACGAAGCAACTTCCGGTAATCCACACCATTCTCATGCAGCTGACCTGCAGGGTGTGTTTGCAGGGCTTGTGTGAAAGGACTAGCTAGGAACTCCCATCGTCGCACCAGATCTAAAGCAAGGAGGTCACAGCCCATACGGTCATATAATCGTGCGTTGCGGAGAACAAATTCCCACTCCTCGCCCGGTCGGATTTGGGAAGCACCTTTAAGAGTCTGTAGGGTCTTTTCGCGCAATTGGCGATAGAGAGCTACGAGTGCCGGATCATTGGATAGATAGGACTTGGATTGTAGGGTGACTCGTCCTGGAGTACCTGGAGAGGTGGGGTTTTGTAGAAGGAGAGATTCGATAGGTGACTTGGAGTTAGTTAGTACAGATTTGGGTAATCCTAGAAGGAGTGAACGTACAATAAGTGCCCGCACTGCCATATCACGTCGTCCAAGCATCCAAAATGCCCAGGATGCCATCCATCGATTCCCGTCAGTGGCAGCTTGAGGCAAGATCCTCTCTTCAAGCAGCCCCCGAAGAACAGGCCCGTTGTCCCCTTCATACACTCGGGTGATGGCGATGGCAAGCTGGATATCACCCACTTGGTTTGCAATCACATTTGCAGCATCACGAAGATGATCCGCCAGAAGGAAAAATGATGCGGCATATTCTATTCATCATTAGTCGACGTCGAAGTGTGTGCCTCGCCTCGCAAGGGACAGCATGAAAAGACTTACCGAACCGTCGCTTCCCAAGAAGAGCATAGGCATTCTTGAGTGCCGCAGTGCGCCACCGTGCCTCCTTGAAATCATTTGCAAGCAACTTTTGAGTGGGCTTTTGCTCGCGATTCCAGTGGGCAATACGCCAAAGTCCTTGGAGGATGTTCTTCTTTCCGAGGGCAATATAGTAAAGAGTACAATCGATCGGATTCCTTTCTTCGGTCTTGGTGTATTCGCTCCGAGCCACAGACTCGAGTTGAGTTTTCTAAAGATAGGTCAGTCCGGTCGAAAAGGAAGAGAAAAAAGGGATGCGCATACCAGCGCCACCGTATCTGCCAACCACATGAATAAGCCACTTTCTCGAGCAGCCTTCCATGTCATCTTCCCACTGAATTGCCTGGAAACAAGATCCGTGAGAATGTCTTGGCTGCCGCTGTGGTAAGCCCAAACAATTTCTCGCCACGACACAGTTTCTTTGTTGGCCATGCCTTGACTTCTACGAAGCATGTGCTGTCGGAAGAACAGAAAATATCGAGCAGCATTATCGTCCATGGAACGCCGATGTTTCTCAACAGTCGCAACACACTCAATGGTATCAACCAGGTGAAACTGTTCATGACTGGATAATTGAGGTAGTGCGATACGCGCCAGATTCTCGTTGAGATTTGCTGCAATATTTTCATCGACCACGAAAGATTCGTCGTCTACACCGTCAACGTGGGATGACAGCATCTCTTTTGTCTAATATTATTTGAGTAAAGCATATCATGATTTATGATGTTGCGACTTACGTCTTTGTCTTCGTAAAAGTGTTCGAGAGGCATTTCCAAGAGTCCGTCCAATTCATCTCCTTCAGTATAGAACTTCAACTTGTGATGAAGATTCAACAAGATCGAGTGAACCAGGTTGGACTTCCCAGCAAGAATGCATTGGGCTAAGAATTGGGGATGGAAAGCGGGCAGCGGTCCGTTCAAGCGACTCACGACGTCGAATAAATCCACAAATGATTGCCCACGGGATGGAATGCGAAGTTCTGACACAAGGTGGTCTGAGACGTCGATATCCTTGTCATAAACGAATAGTTGATTACCCGCGCCAATTACTAGGTTACCATGGGTAAGCCAGCAAGAGTCACCGATAGGGTGAGGAGTGAGATCTCGGATCCAGATTTCTCGTATTTGCGTCCAGGAAGGCTGGGCGTCCAAATAGTCGTAACGAAGCTGCGACAAAAGAATCACTTTATGAGGAAATCCTACCGCAAGGATAGACTGCATATCTGGAGTAGAGGTCCAGTCGAGATCTCGAATGATGTCATGCGGTGCAAACTGTTCTTCAAACTCCAACTGGGCATTGTTAATATCCCAAATAGTTAGGTGAGTCCGACTTGCGTCAATCAGAGCGGCTTTGCGAATTGTACTACCGCTCGCTAAAGAGGGATTTTCAATTCCAGTGTCGACTGTTGATTTCAGCAGCCATTCAACGCTGTTGCTTTTGCGATCAACCTTGGCGGTCCAGGTTCTCACGATGCCACTCAACGTGTAGGAGAGCGCGATGTCGGGTGAGAAGGCATCGAATGATCCAGAGTGCTTTGCCTTTGGACCCGCCGGATCCACAGGCAGGATATACGCCAAGTCCTCTCTCAACCCCATGTCAAACTCGCAGAACTTGCGGATTTGACAGTCACCCCCGTGGGTTTGCCATTCGAGTTCCCACGCGATGCCATGCATGTCGGCCGCAATGGTGGCCACATATGCCAACCCAGGACTTCCATCAGGAGTTGGGAGAGGCAGCACGCACAGCGGCTTGCTTGATAGACTGAAAGGCAAGGATGCAAGTTTTCTGGCATGGTAGGAGCTGTAATCCCACAGTGATACCCCGTCATGATGGAGATTGACAAGGAAAGTGCAGTTTTCAATGACACACGTTCGATGAATGTGTTCCTCTGATCTTAACGTGCTTTTGTGTATGAGCATCGATCCGCTCTCTCGCCTCTTTTGTTTCCATATCATGGCTGTATTCTCATTCGTTCGTGAGACAAGGGTGTGGCCAGTGGCATTTCTGACAATTTTTTTCACAGGGCAGTGTGTCCTGACCATGAGGCTCTGGGCAACACCCGCCTCGCTCTATGTGCGGGATCAAAGAGGACATCGACCTTCGAGTCATACCATTCGATACGACCGTCAAAATGATGCACGACAACGCTAATTTTGTCGTCTGATGTACTGCTTTGGAAAGTGCTTATCCGCGCATAGTCCTCTTCGGGCTCTAAACCGGGCATGAAACCAAAGTCTAGCCCTTCCACGTGAAGAATATTGAACAAGCTCAAGCTGGTCTTGGTCTTGGATCCAATGTCTTCGAGGGCCCAGGCGGAAATGTGACCTTGACTATCGGTGACCATGCAGATTTCGGGGCTTTTGTTGGCAACTTCAATGAGATGTTCCAAGGCATGGTTTTCTTTATTCCCCGAGTTACGCTCCACAGCGCGCTCTGTCGCGGCGCAGAAATCGCGACTATCCAGAATAAATCCATAGCGTCGTTGTGAGCCTCTATTGAGACCTGAAGCATCCCTTGGCTGCAACGATGCCTCCATGTCAATATCAACCCATAATTGCAGTGGCGATAGGGCATGGTGGTCTGTTGCTGCCCACACTCGAATTTTGTTGTCGGCACATAAAGTGTAAAGAACGTTATCCATAGACTGTTCCCGGTGATGAGGTAGCCGCCAATGTATGCCAGTCACTATATTCGGGTGAGGCAGATAAGAGACTTCGAATCGCACTTCGTTCGTGCCAAATGCAAGCCGTCTCCAAATCTTGGCCAAGCGATCATATTGTCCTACTGTTACCACCAGGGCAGCATCGGGAGAGAATTCAGCAAAGATTACTGGAGTGCCGAGTTTTCTTTGCCAAACGATCTTAGGCTCGCTCTCAAGTGCCCAAAGAGCTAGGTGTGAGTTGCCCACCAGTAGTTCGTCGCCAGCTCCCCAAGACAGTGTTCGAATCGGCCCGTTGTCGTCATCGTCGGCGCGAAATGTGTGCACAAGAGACCACTAGTAAGATTGTTCGTCAATATCACAACTCCAGGTTTCATCCACTGGTCATTGGTAATGCCAACACGTACCTTCAATGTCTCCACCCGGACACCCCACGGCTCGTAGATAAAAACATCCGGTCCGCCAGACACAGCGATCCTCCCAGATGCCTCATCGAAGGCTACCGCCTCGAGCTTATCGGTGTCGTCGACATAGATGGTTTGAAGGAGGGTTTGCGGACCGCCGAGGATGACAAGCGCGTGGCCGGAGATGTATGCCTGTTACGGATGCGCGAGCGCGAGTTAGCGTCCGAGGGGACAATTAAATAAATGAAAGCTGCATCGTAGCCTTCTTCAATAGGTGGGCCTTACTATGACGCGAAGCCCATCCCACAGCGTGGTGCTGAACGACTGGAGCTTCGCTGGGGGTCTCCCTGGCAGTACCGCTCGCATAGAGACGGATGGAAGCGACTAGTCTGCGCTCGCTGTCACGCTACAACATTGCCGACTTCAAGAATGTAAAAGAGACGAGTCGCATGCAAGAGCAATTCCAGCGAGAGCCGTGATTCTAAGGGTCAGCTGGGTTGGGTGATTACCTGCGTATGGGGAGATTCAGCGGGCGGTCAATTACGCTTGGCTCCACTCAGTGCGATGACGGAACGCGATCACCTTTGCTGATCACTCTCCATCTTATCTCCAAGTATTGGTAGTCTACCAATTCTACAAGTAGAGGTCTACAACTGTCTATTTCCTTCAGTAGAACACTTTCTTGGTTGGAAATTCGTATAATACTCATAATATTCAATCATGTCCAGAAATCCATCCCAGTATAAACCCAAAGCTTCTTGACAGGGCCTAGACATACAAACCCCGTATATGCTGCGCCTGTTGCTATGCATGCAGAGACCGATCATAAACAAGGCACCACAAAGAAAAAGCCAGAAATTAATGTCGCGATGTACAAATCTTATGGAAAATGGCACGGCGGAAAGTGAAAAATGATATATCGGATGAAAGGTTCAAGGACGTCGACTCGCGGATTTCCGACCATCTGTGGGTGACTCAGGAAGCTCCTCGAGCTCCTCGTCGGCAAATCGAACACTAGCCGCTATGGAATTCCCGCGGCTTGTAAGCGGTTGCCGCGGGGAAGTATTTCGCGTCGAAGAGCTAGCACGAAGCAGGCGACTGGCAAAAGGAGTATGCAAGGGGGTGGCGGGGGTTGTGGACATTTGCGCCAGCGCTCGGGCCCGGGCAGCTCGCTTGGAGGGAGAGGACATGTTGTTTGGAGTAACCAGAGGCGTTACGGAGACCGGCTCCTGAGGCCTCGTGGTTGAATTTGCCAACCTGAAGGGAGTCTTTTCAGATGGATTTTGATACCACGGGTCGAATAATGCTGACCTTGGAGGGTCAATTTCACCATACTGTGAGAAGTTGGTCTGCGTCAATTCTGGGCCCGGAGAGTCTCGTGCCTCCAGCTTCAGCCGACTGCTTTCAAGCCAGTGGTGAAAGTAGTTTCTAGCATGTTTTCGGATAGTTCTTTCTCTCAAAGCCTCGGACGTCTCCAGGGTGCTCCGGAGTTGGAAAATCCGGAGACTGAGCTTGCGGAATGCAGCACCAGCATGGCGAAGCACATGCGAACGGTACATGGCGTCTGCTTGGTCTTCCATTTCACGGCGAATGACGAATGCCTCAGACAGTTGAATAAGTTGGTCGAAAGCAACTCGGTGGAAGAAGTGGAGGTCGGCATCCTGGTAATCTTGAATCCTTTTCATCGTCTTCTTATGCCAGAGGGAAAAGGCATCAGATGCATCACTGAGAACTTGAGCCCGATCGACATCCTCCGCCTGTTGCTCCATATTCATTATGTGTGAAGTTTTGGAGTGCCAGATAGACAATGCTTTTGAGGCCATGTTAATCTTGATTTTTCGTCGGATCTTTGCATAAGCATCCTTCCGACGCTGTTTAGTGGACTCTATGGTTGCTCTCCGCCAATTCTTCAAAGATGCCTTCATCAAAAAGTAAAAGCGTGCATCATCAGCCCAACCTTCCATTTTCTGAATCTGTTGGTGCTTCGATCGCCAGGCTGTGAGAGATTCTTCTGCAAGACGAGGGGCATAGAACTCGAAAGCCACATAATCTCGCTCTCGCTGGAGCTGTAGCCTGTCTCGCCATAGGCTCAGCTTCGAACGGGCCAAATCTTCTTCGCGGTGTCCTTCGTGTGCTTCTGCCTGAAATAACAGTCGGGTGTACGTGTCTCGAGTGTTATCGACAAATCGAACAAATACCTCACGCTTGATACGTTGTTCATGTATCCTGCGCATGAGCTGGAATCTCTCCATTAATATCCATTTGTACATGACTTCCATTTTCATTCGTTCATTGACACGAGCTCGGAGAGCCAGACAACGCAAGGTATCATTCCAAGAAGTCCAGGCATTGTGCTTAACCCTGAGCTGGTCCACTTCAATTGCCTGATCAACCATGCCGGCTTTCGACTTCCATTTCGAAAGAGCGCTTCGAAGCCTTCTGGTATTGGCTTTATCGACTATTTGTGAGGCGGCAGGTGCTAACCGAGATTGCACTTTCAATTCGCCGAACATTTCCCTCAAGAGTCGTTGTCGCCGGCTTTCTTGGGCGTGCTGCATCATAGCAGTGACATCTTTTGTTTTTTGAGACCATGTTTCGACCACAAACCCCAGCACCGATCGCCGGTCTTGGATGGCTATCTCCTGATACTGCTCTCGATTGGTCCTAAATTTTCGCAGCCATGCAAGGAGTGACCTTCTCTTCAGGCTAGAGGCGTACCACTCAGGTGCTCGTCTATCACAAAAGCCCCAGAACCATTCCCAATAAGAGGCATGTTTTAACTTCTGGGCATGAATCGTGATAGCCTGGCTTTCTGCTTCCTTTAATTGCGCCGCCTTTTTTCGCCATTTTTTGAACGGCGCCCGCAGACCAAATCGTTGGGCCTTTAATTCATTGACGGCAGTAATCTCACGCCATGCGTTAAAGTACTTGATACTCAACACATGTCGCCGAGCTGCAGAGGTACGAGCAGCCTCTTCGGAGGTGAGCTGAGCCCAATGAGTGAACGCCTTCGTCATCAAGTACAAATCTCGAGCACGGTTGGCACGTTCATCTAGATGCTTGAAAAAGCGCTCTGTCCTGGCCTGATGGTGCTTTTTTTGGATTATGGCTCGCCATGGCTCAAATGCTTGTCGTAGCAAGGTTGTGCGATCTCGAGTGATAGCTATGCTTTCCCTCTTCTCGCGCAATTGGCGCATTTGGAAGGCACGTTTAAGCCACTGAATCACGATCTTACGACAAATTGCCCGCTGTCTGTACATATTGAATGTTGATGCATCGCGAAGGAGGTCAGCGAGCTGAGGTCGATAGAGAAGCTCTGGAGGGGCCTCTCTTTTTCGAAAGAGTCTTGCTCAGGGGCTTGAGATACGTTGGTCCGCGAGCCGTCGGATTGCGAGCTTCCGGATGAGACTACCGAGGGAGTGCGACGAGCTTGTGCAGAAGCCATCATCCGCCGTGAACGGTCCTGGTCGACTGCTGTACGAGCCATGAGCCCATTAGTCAACAAAGCAGGGTCCTTGTTCTCCTTATTTTCGTCATTGTCGAACTTGCTTATGAGTTGACGACCAACAGCAAGGAATTGTGCGATCAGCTGAGTACGATCCGGGGATCTCGTTTCTCGATATCCGTTCGTGGCAGGTGTCGGCGATAATTTTGGTTTATTGAATTCGGACTTTGCGGTTTGGAGTCGTGACAGAGATGACCGAGAGCTCGGCCTCTCAACATGACTTCTGTGGCTGGCGTCTTCGCCTATGTCGAGTGTGGTATTAAAGGAGGCTCGTCGCTTCGGTGTAATAGGCGTACCATTCGCTCGAGGGTAATCTCGGTTCTGCGTCTGGTTGAATGTGTTCTCCACCGACGAGACCCCATTTTCCAGAGTCTCGTTTACCCCAGTTGTTCCGTCGTCTCCAAATTCTACCACGATTCCTATTTGCTGGAGCGCGCTCTCGAATTTGTCGAAGAGCGTGGCGCCCTCCACACCCTTCCCTCCCATCTTGAAAAGGAAGCGCATGCAGACATGGCCAGGGTCTGCGTCAAGACCATGCTCTTGGATGACATCGTCGTAGGCAGCGAACAAAGCTCGAAACGGTAGCTGCTCCGCAATCGGCTTGCTCTCGGCGCGAGTGACAACTTGGTAAAGGAAGCCAACATCTGGAGGCGGATACTTAGATTAGATACTAGGACACCGAGCCAGAGGGAGCGCAGCAAATGCTTACCTTCGTCTGAAAGCGACGGGATCTCTTCGGTGGAGGCGCGCTGTTGAGGAGATATCTGAGGCATCGAAAAATCGCGACCTATGGCGCGCCTGTCGCATCGGGGTCAATAAGCCGACAGACCAAACCAACCATCGCGAAGACGGGGCAAGCCCGGTCGGAAAAAAAAGCGCAGATATTGTCTGCGACACAACGACAATTGACACGAAGCGAAAAGCGCTGCTTTTGCCTGCTCAGACCACACCTCGGAATGTTTTGATTCGCGACTGAGAAACATTGCTGGGGAATCACGTGGCGGTATGCTGAGGTAAAGAATATATGCCTCACATATTAGGTGTCAACTATCTTATCCGTCCAACCTCATCATCTTCCCTCAAAATTAGATATAACAGCCAATAGCTATATTTCATCAAAATGCCAGCACAAACACGCCCCATTGAGAAGATCGCCAAGGCTACTGCCCAATGCTCTGTTGAAGTATGAACCCATCGTGCCCCGAGGGAAGCTTATCCACTAACCTGATCCATAGGCTGCGGCATACGGTAAATGTGTTGTTGCGGACTACAGCACTGTGCACAAGGACATGTGTGCTAAGGAATTCCTGCGACTAAAAGACTGCTTCTTGGTAAGTGGGATTGAGCTACCATTTGCCCTGGAACAACAAGCTAACACATTGCAGGCTGCGTCTAAGAAGGCTTGAAAACTATCCATTTGCATTATTTTATTTCCCCAGCACAGGGCGATTTGCATATGTGGCGCAATGATTTTTCTGTATTATAGGCCTCCTTGAACCATTAGGCCTTGTCCTGGCTCATCTCCAATAGAAATGACCCGTTAGATCTAGTCCGGGCGGATTCAATCACTGCAAAAAGTCCCACGTAGCGAGAGCGTGGACCTTGGTTACATGTAGATACTCGTCAACTGATGCAGACTCATTTGTCGCAGCCACTTCAATATGATCAATATTAGTATTGATATTCCAAAATCTTCATAGTTGAAGTCATAGCACTTACTGCTCTCTGGGCTGCACCCATACACGTATGCGGGCACACCGGCGTACCGGTAGTGTTTGCAGTCGGTAGCGCCCATCGATGGGATTAGAGCAGGGCGGGCAGCCCCGACCTTCTCTGCGTTCTCTATCAGATACCCAAGCAAGGGGTGTTCAATAGATGAAAAACTGTTCGGGTTGCTCGCAGCCTCTTGTTTCTTCAGCTCGATCTTGGCATCTGGGTAGTGTGGTTTAATTGACTCAATAACAGCCAGAACTTGATCTGCCACAAGGCCAATTGGCAGGCGAATATCGATTTCAAAGGTACAAAGCTCTGGGATCATGTTGACTTTGAGTCCGCCCTTGATGGTACCGATATTCACCGTAGGACGAGCGATCACCATCGAAGCGCCAGGTCCCATAGCGTGATCGACGGCAGCGAGAGTCTCGGGATTTTTCATATGTCTGTCGATCTCAGGAGGTGGTGTTGGGTTAATCGACTCGACTTCTTGGACCACCTGAGCGAGGAAGCTGGTTGCGGTACGGATTGCACCTTTGCTACAAATAATTACTCTCCGTGCGTTGCATAGCTAACCTAAGCCATTTATTCCTTACCTCAGGTTCAGATAAGCCCCCAATGCTCCCTTGGTAGCCACAGACCCTGACATCCTCAATGTCCCTTTCTCGGAGAACCGAACGGTTTGCCCAGTTGGCTCAGCACTGAGCATGACATCGCCACCCCATCTAGCGGGGTCTTTTTTGATGAGATACTGTGTACCCCATCGACCTCCTGTCTCTTCGTCTGCCACCGCGCAGAGGGCAACACTTCCGCGGATGTGTTTCTTCTGAGCAAACAAAGCTGCGTATGCTACCACCAAAGATGCCGTGCCTGATTTCATATCGACAACACCTCTGCCATGGACTCGTCCACTTTCAACAGCTCCAGACCATGGGTCCCGAGTCCATCCATCGGTGTTTGCAGGCACAGGGAACACATCCATATGACCATTCAGGACGACCCGTGGTCCTGGGCCCGCCCCTCCTTGAAAGTCACTGATGACATTTTGAAGGCCTGGCTGGGCTTCAATAATCTCCGCAGTAATGCCATGGCCCAACAAATAATCAACCAAGACCTTTGCAGCTGCTATTGTGTCTCCCGGTGGGTTCGGAGATGCGGCGTGTACGAATGACTGCAAGAGCTTTATTTGCTCATCCTTGGTTGAATCCAAGGCGGCTAGAAGGTTAGATTTGGCCGACATGACTGATATGTACTCGAATGTGTTCAGGCTCTGAATTACGGTAAAGAGTTTCGCACAGAAGAAAGGTCAGTTGCTCCGTTGAATTCTATTCTTTGGCCACAGATCAGCGCTTGCAAGCTCACTGGCAAATGGATCATCCCGTGCTGATAAGACGTTTAACGCGGGGAGAAGCGGGCACCAAACAGGGAAAGGCGCTGAGCACACCCCCCCCCCCACTATTCCATCTCCTACAAGTCTTGTTATCCCGTGTTTTAGGAACTTTCATAGGATCAGAACTGTCTTAATACTACGACTACTTGATCTCGTGCGTAGGACTAGAAATGATACATGATTATCACTGGCAGTGAAGTTCATCAATCAGATAGGACATGCTTGGCCGTAAGCAACACACCAAATAGAAGATCCTCTTCCGGCGAACTTGCGAATTTTTCCAAGCAAAAAGTCAGCTACAACCTTGCAGAGTTTATTGGCGGGCTCTATCATTGCTAAATGCTAGGGAGATTCTGAAGTCTCCCTAAGCTTGACCAGTAAATCATTCGAATTTCAACATGTGATTTTTATTGGATGTAAATCTGAAAATGACAACAAGTAGCCATGTATCTATCTACATGATATTTTGGAAGCTTTCGACGATTCAAGATACGCGGGAGGCAGCTTACAGCTTAACCAGACGCAGCAGGAAGGTAGCGTTCTGTACCTCTTGCTCTTCTTGCGAGATGGTTCCCTCTTCCTCGGCACTAGGAGCCTGACCATCAACCAGCGTACGCTGATCAAGAGGCCGACGCACAGCCTTCTCAATGGCTGAAGACTGAGACTTGAAAGCCTCGTCAAGCCCGATGTTATCCGGGTCAGTGAGGACGGTGTACTCCATCTTCACGTCGTCAGTGGGAACCAGGCCAGCCTTCTTGCGGAGGCGCTGGACACGGTTAATGATCTCTCGACCAATGCCCTGGTGGGCCAGCTCGGGGTACAGGTTTGCATCGAGAATAGTCATCACCTCGGCGTCGGTGTTAGGTTCCATGCCAGCTGAGCCTGGGTTCTCCTTGAGACCGCGCTTCACGACGAGGTCGCCGGCTACTAGCTCGATGCCATCGACAGTGGTCTTTCCATTTGTGAGGTACGCCTTGACATCATCGCTAGACAGAGAAGGCAGGGCCTTCTTGACCTTCTGGACATCCTTCTTCAATTTCTTGCCAAGCGTAGGCCAATCAGCATTGACGCTGTATTGGACATTGTACTTATCCTCATCACTAGATAAAACGAGATCAAGGACGTTGAGCTCTTCCACAATGTAGCCTTCGAGTGACTTGACGTCGTCCAGGTATTGAGGATCGTTGTGGATCACAACGAGTGTTTTGAGAGGGGTCTTGAGCCCAATGGAACGACGCTCGCGGGACACGCGGCCAAGTTCAATGACCTTCTGCATACGTGCGACACGACGCTCCACAACCTCGTCGAACAGCTCTTGGCGAACCTCAGGGAAGGAAAGGAAGTGGACACTGCGGTTGTCTTCGGCGCGCAATGATTCAGGGATGTGTGGGAGCAAGCGCTGGTAGATATTATCGGTGATGAAAGGGGTAAAGGGCGCCAGGCCTCGAACAAGAGTGTATAGGACCTCAAAAAGAGTGTTCAAAGCGTGAAGGGTATCCTCAACACCATTCTCGCCCTTGAGACGCTTGCGGTTGAATCGAATGTACCAATTGGTCGTTTGTTCAATCAGCTCCAGAACTATGTAAGTGTCAGCGTATGTTCAAATCCATATCTATAAAGATAAACTCACGTCTTGGGACGACTGTGTACAAGCGGTACGCATGCATCTCCTGGTTCACATAGAGGATGAGACTCTGTGTAGTGGCAAGAATCCATCTATCCATGACGTTGGTGTTCGAAGCCTCGGCCTTGGGATCAAAGACGAAGTCGACGTTGGAAGTCTTTTTGATCAAAGCCACTTGACCCTCAAAGAACTTATAGCTGTTCCACAGAGGTAGAAGCACTTTGCTCACGATTTCCTTCACGCCACTCTCCTTGAATCTCAATGGCTCCGCGCGGACCTGGCGCAAAAATAAATATCAGTACGTGCGTTATTAAAACAATCGATGAGATTACATACCACTGGGGAGTTGATCATGTACAAGCGAAGGGCATCAGAGCCGTACCGATCGATTACCAAGGAGGGGTCAGGGTAATTCTTTAGTCTTTTGGACATCTTCTTGCCATCCTCGGCAAGCACAATACCCTAGATGAATGAATTAGTTTTTTCTTCCTTCGCCAAATAGGCTTGAAAGACACAAACATTGACAATGACATTCCGGAAAGGCAGCTTTCCAAACAAATGAGTCCCAAGAACAGTCAGGGTGTAGAACCAGCTATAGGCATGTTAGAATGAAAATTAAGTCGTTTAGGGTATTAGACGATTATAGAGATAGCGTACCCTCCTATAAAGCATTTAGTTAATTGATTGATTTGGCAAAAAAGAAGGGTAAACATACGGGTTTGGTCAAGTCCCTCTGCGATAAAGTCTCCAGGGAAACTTTCGTCGAACTTGTCCTTGTTCTCGAAAGGATAATGTTGGGAAGCATACTTTCGACAGTTAGTAGGTGTCTATCAACTGAAAAACAAAGAAACAAGAACTTACCGGCATGCTTCCAGACTCGAACCAGCAATCGAAAACCTCTGGCACACGGCGAAGAACGCCCTTGCCCTGCTTACTTGGGATAGTGATGTCATCCACTTTGTCTCGGTGAAGATCAAGAAGTTCTCCCTCGTAACCACTCAATTCCTTGAGCTCTTCGGAACTTCCGACCGCGACGACTTCCTTGAAGTCATCGCTGACCCACAAAGGAAGGGGCGTGCCCCAGAATCTGGAAAAATAGTTAGTCACTGGGATATATAGTCAAATTGTTTGATCAGTACCTGTTCCTGGAAATGTTCCAATCACGAGCATTCTGGATCCAGCTTGCAAATCGTTTGTCCTTGACGAATGATGGGACCCAGTGAGACTCTTCAATGCCTTGAAGCATTTGAGGGATGATCGGGGTGATCTTGACGAACCATGAAGGCACAGCTCGATAGATCAAAGGAGTGTCGGATCGCCAACAGAAAGGATAACTGTGAGTAATCTGACTATCCACGAGAAGACGGCCAGTGCCCTTCAGGTGTTTAATGATTGCCTTGTCGGCCTCCTTGACATGTTGGCCAGCGAATTCACGCACTTCCGCGGTGAACCTTCCGGTCTCATCGACGGGGTTTGGTGCAGGACGAGTAGGTGAAATGACTTCGTGCTTGACGGCAACTTGGTAATCGTCCTCACCAAACGCTGGGGCTTGGTGAACAATACCAACACCGGCATCTGAAGTGACATACTCATCATTCAGGACTTTGAATCCATGGTCCTTGAACTCATCGTAGAAATAGTCAAAAAGAGGTTCGTACTTCCAGCCCAGCATCTCAGAGCCCTTGATCTTTTGAACGATCTTAAACTTTGCCTTCTTAGGGTCTTTGTAGATCGTACGCAACAGACTCTCAAGGAGGATGTAGTGCTTCTTAGTAGCTTCATCAAAGATCTTGACATATTCAAAGTCAGGATGAGCACACAGTCCAGTGTGAGCTGCAAAAGTCAGTAACAATGAAAATACACGGCAATTCCGTGTCTACTCACAAGGCAATGTCCAAGGAGTAGTAGTCCATGCCAGCAGACAAGTGTCGGGATCATCAAGCAAGGGGAATGTGACAACAACTGCTGGGTCTTGAACATCCTTGTAGTTCTGCTGGGCCTCAAAGTTGCTGAGAGGGGTATTGAGAGCAGTTGAGTAAGGCATGACCCGGTAGCCTCGGTAGACCAAACCTTTGTCGTACAGCTGCTTGAAGACCCACCATACAGACTCCATGAAGGTGGTATTCATAGTCTAGAAGTGTCAAAGTAGTCACACATTAGCCTCACGGAAAGCGTTGCCAACTGCGCCTTGGCTGGAAAGGAAAGGGCATACCTTGTAGTCATTGTCGAAGTCAATCCAACGGCCAAGTCGCTCAATAGTCTAATAAGATTTAGTATTTGGTCAATTGAGCACCTCGATGACGACTGACCTGTCTCCATTCTTCACTGAAGCGCATGACAATAGCCCTGCATTCAGCATTGTATTGCGCGATTCCAAGCTTTTCAACGGCCTCTAGACCACTCATGCCAAGCTTCTTGTCGATTTCGTATTCGACTTTTTAGGTCAGTACTATGCCCAGCGAGCAAATTAACAAATAAAACTAACCTGGGACGCCGTGGCTGCGATTTGTTAGCTTTGTCCGCTTGGTGCACATGTGTCCTATTCGAGTATTCAACTCACGTATCCCATCCAAATCGTCGTTCCACGTGATAACCCTTCATGCTCCAGTATCTCGGGATAATGTCCTTGATCGTAGATGCCAGCAAGTGACCATAGTGGGGAAGACCTATGACATGTCAGTGGATGTTGGTTAGGGAGATTCGCATACATACCAGTCGCAAATGGAGGACCATCTAAAGTGTTTCAAAAAAAACGTCAGAGTGGGAAAAATGTAGAAAATTGTGAGCGAAATGGGCATACCTAGGCTACATATTCGTTAGTTCGCGGATTCGAGAGCTGCACGGTTCAAGGGCACTTACAAAGTGAATGGTTGGCGGCCCTGAGACAGCTCAAGCTGTCGTTGGAAGGCATCAATCTCCCTCCACCGATTGAGGATGACCTCCTCCTCGGCGGGAAAATCGATAGACATGGTGCTTTTTGGATAAAGAAGTTCCAAGTCGAGTGAGTACAAGGAGCCGATAAAAATAAGACTCACGAGCCTGACTCACCCCGCCATAATTTTGCCAGTGTGTGTGCGTCTACCGCCTTGTGTTCTCACCGCCCTAGTTTACCCCGCTGTGCTTTCTATACTCCCACGAACGATAAAACACCTTTTGGAATAAAGAATCTCTCAATTGGTGATTGAAAATTTGGTTGGAGTTTTTTTGATCGGCGGAAGCCCCTTTGTGCAATCAAATTAAAGTGTTACATACGACTGGCATATCGAATGGTATGGTCTAATCTACATCATCTTCCTCGTTCTCATCCTCATCATCTTCATCCTCATCTTCGGAAACTTCTTGGCCAAGCTCTTTCAGGCGTTTCTGTAAGGTCTATGTTAGCTCATATGGACATTTTGAGGGTTTTGTCATGTATATATCGCAAATCTTACCTTATCCTTTTCTCTTTTCGCCTCCAAATCGCCGAAAACAATTAACAAATCATCCAGTTCAGTCTGGGTCCCGATACGCGCTTCCTCCTTCTCTTTGGCTTCAGACTGCGCCTTCGCCAGCTGTGTTTCCACTTCTTTGCGTGCATCGGCTTCCTTTTGAGCTTTTGATTCGGCCTCTTTCCTTCTGCTTTCGGCCTCCTTAATCTTGCTCTCCGCATCCTTTGCTTTGCCTTCGGCCTCTTTTGCCTTACTCTCGGCTTCCGAAGCGCGCTTTTCCAACTCGGATATCTTTGATAAGAAATTGTCGTTGACAGCGTCAACGTCCTTTGGTGGATCTCTCCTTAACCTCCTTCAGTTCGGACTGAAGAATATCGTTCTTCCTTTTGAGTTCGGCTGTCTCGGATTCATGTTCACTTTTGGCTGCAGCCAGGCTAGACTCTAGGCTTTCGATTGTTTTCTTATAATCTGACATGTTTGCTTCATGTCCGCTCTTAGCAGTAGCAAGAGATGATTCTAAGGTTTCAATCTTGACCTTGTAGTCGGCTATGCTTGCGTCATGTTCGCCCTTGCTCGAGGCAAGTGCGGCCTCCATGCTCTGCAATTTCTGCTGAAGGTCGGCCACTTGTGCTGCATGATCCTCTCTGGAACGGGTGATGATTGACTCGAGCTTCTGGATTGTTTCCTGGAACCCAGCACTGTCACCAGTATATTGCTCTTGCAATTTGGTAAGTTGGGTTTCCAAACCGCGAATCGTAGAGTGCAGGCCAGCTGTCTCCTTCTCGTGGTGTTCTCGAACTTTGGCGCTCTTGGTTTCATACTCGGCGGCAGCCTGCTTGAGCTGGTTATCGATAGCACGAAGCTGCTCATTATGCTGCTTGAGAAGTTCGTTCTTCGACTGTTGGTATTGTTCTTCGAGTCTAGACAGTTCTTGTCCATGGGAGTAATGTAAAGCCTGCTGACTCTGCTGGGCTTTAGAAAGTTTCCCATGCACTTGACTCTTTGGTCTTTCGGTGGTCTGAAAGCTCCTGATCGAGTTTCCGCTGAACATCAACCAGATCGCTCTCCAGCTTCTGGATAGATTGGCTCCGGTCTTCAAGCTCGGCACGCAAGGTATCCACAAGGTCTCGCGAGATGCCCTTTTCGACTCCATTTGCCACAACAGATATTTCAAAGCCGGGTTCACGATCGATCGCCCGAATCAGACGACTGAAGTTGTCCTTGAGGAATTCCACGAAAGCGCGATCAAAGAATACCTCGGGAAGTCCCCCTTCCAGTTGTCCAACAGCTGTCTGCGGGAGCACCTCGAAATCGCGGACCAAGGGACATTCGCGGAGTTTCGTGATCTTATCGATATATTGCTCTCGCCCTAATTGGTCGAGAAGCAATTTGTGCAGAGTGACTCGGGGAATTGGTGAATCTCTTGTAGAAAATTCGTAGATAATCCCGAGCAAGGCTGTGCAGAGACCGGGTACCAGCCTGCTTGGGGTCCGTTGATGCTTGATCTCTTGTAAGAGAGTTTGAATAGAACTTCCCTCTCCGAGAAGATCATTGACAACGTCCGGATCTTCGAAGAGCCAGCCACAAAGTAACATCAGATAGCCCACGGTGATTCTTTCATCGTCCCCGCGTTGCAGACCAGTGATCAAATTTCCAACCACAGACTGAACACTGGTAACGACTTCTTCACCGCTCTCCGCATCACCTTCGGTGACCTTCATGGCTGCCGCTTTTGCCTCGGAATCATCAAATATCAAATGGAATAACAGCACACACGCCATCCATACTTGATAAGGATCGGCATTGCCCCGCGACTCAGGGGCAGTGAGCAAGACTGAAATGATATTTGGGATTCGATCTTGCCCGCTAGTATGACCCTCGATTGCACGACGCAGAACATGCATACGAATACCAGGATGGTGAGCAAAGAACGCTTTCATGCATTCACAAGCTGCCAAACGTGCATCCAGTAGATTGTTGGGCGATGGTTCCAAGCTCAGCTTCAAGAATGCCTCGATCACATTAATGCGCTCCGGTTCAGCTGTTCCATTGGTGGCTGGGTCTTGAGGTTTCCGCGAACCCCATACAACTTCAATATCACCAAACCTCTCTTGAAGGGGAGAATTTCCACGAATAAGGTCAGCGCAGGTCGCCAAAGCTTTGGACGTAACGCTGACACTGAATCTTTGGCCGAAGGCAATACTGAGAGCCTGTTCAGTGACACCATGTTGCCAGAATGCTGTCTGGTTGCTGGGAGTTCCTTTTCCGCCACGGATTAAAAACAGTTGAATGATAGTCAAAAGGCCCCAAACATTCTTGTCACGGTGAACAAGTGTATATTGCGGTGTAGCTTCCTCACCCTCGTGCTCAAGTTGGCATTCGATCAATAGCGTTGTGATCTTTGGCACACATCCTGTCTCCCGAAAATATGACTGGTTTGAAACATTGTACCTCAGGAGATGTGCGAGAAGGGAGAGACAGTCTTCGACGACTTCGGTACCAAGCGTTAACGAACCTTCCGCATCGATCAAGGAGAAGAGAATTTCGAAGGCATTCTCGAAGGCAACGAGCTTCTGCAATTCTTCTGAAGCAGGCGTCAAGGCGATGAGCAAGATTAGGGCCTCTGCGTATCGATGAGACGACGTCATTAGATCCGGCCTAGGTATAGCGACAGCTTGAAGACGAGGATATCATACCGTTACGAACTGGCTCTCTCGAGTCCGTTAATACATTCACAAGCCGTGAAATACCCAGCGGGGCCGTTAATATACACTCTTGTGTTCGTTCGGGTCTTGCACCGGAGATGTGGGACATCAATTGGAGAGAGTATAGCCGGGAATAAAAATCTCGTGTCTCAAGAAGATCTAGCAAAATTGTGATGTTGTCTTGCCTCTGGGTAAACTCATCTGCCAACCACAGGGCAATTTCATCCGAAGCTTCGGGACTGGACTCATCAGGAGTAAAGAGCATCAACAGGGTTTCAAGGACCACTTTAGTGGTATCCACATCCTCGCCATCATTGCGCAAGGTGCTGATCAATGATCGCAGTCCTCCGGAAGCGACGGACGCGGGATAAAGCTTCGCAAAGCTCCGTAGGCCTTGAATGGCAGCCCGTCGATCTTCTAACAACGTGGCGCTTTGGAGCCTATTGCTCAGGATGTCGATAGTATCTGTGGCCGTTTGTTTGGCCGGGGCCTGTGATTCAAGGATTCGGAACATCGCAGGTTTGTATTATCATGGTCACCGCCGGCCAAGGGCAAAAGAATTGGTTAGCATCAAAAAATAAGGCCAAATAAACAGTGCGGCGGCGCCGATGGCAGATGGGGGAATCGTTTGCAGTAAAACTGACCGCCTGAGCTTCAGGTATGCCACCGCCTTCCGGAATTAATCTTGCAGATGAACCGGGGCGCATTGCAGCTTATATATTGCTTTTGTTAAGACTCAGATTTTGAAGTGGATTTCAAAAAAATGTATCAATCTTACAAGGTATGCACTATTACACCATCGGACTAGATTCGAAGAAATTAGCCAAAAGAATTATGACCTCCTTCAATCTTAAGAGACAGGCATGTCCTAGAATCTTAGTGGGTCCCGGGGCCGTTCATCCACGCATGACTAAGGATATCGGAGCTAAACTTATCTCGCCGCAGAGACTTTCCAATTCCCTCAACACCCGCATTTTCGCACTGCGATCCTTGACGCGGTTGCATATACATCTTGTCTGGCTTGATTGTAGTGTCAAATTTGACATTGCATTGGGTACCACTTCCAGCTTAGGTTGCTGTGCTTTCTAGCACTACCCAGGCCATCTTTCCGCTCTCGAGGCCAGGCGTTTCAAGCAACGCGCCGAGTCCACAAACTTTGATCCACGACAAGTCGTGACACCACCAATATGGGTGTCCCCGCGCTTTTCCGATGGCTATCGAACAAGTATCCGAAGATCATTTCACCGGTGATCGAGGAGTTGCCGCAAGAAGTTAACGGTGAACAAATCCCGGTTGATACGACGCGCCCCAACCCCAATGGAGAGGAGATGGATAACCTTTACTTGGATATGAATGGAATCGTCCATCCATGTACCCATCCCGAGGGTCGCCCACCGCCAGCCAACGAGCAAGAGATGATGCTGGAGATTTTTAAGTACACTGATCGCGTGGTCAACATGGTTCGCCCACGGAAACTTCTGATGATCGCTATCGGTGAGTACAATCTAATGACTATTGCTACTGCATGTAAAGCTTTCGCTAACGGCGGACTCCGCGTATAGATGGTGTTGCCCCAAGAGCAAAGATGAACCAGCAACGTTCCCGTCGATTCCGATCCGCGCAAGAAGCTAGAGAAAATGATGAGAAGAAGGAAGAACTTCAGAAACTTATTGCCAAGCAGCAAGCCGCAAAGGGCGCCGATGCAGTTATGCAAGAGGAAGTGATCCAGAAGACATGGGACAGTAACGTCATCACTCCTGGAACACCTTTCATGGACATCCTTTCTGCTTCCTTACGCTACTGGATAGCCTACAAGCTCAATACGGATCCTGCGTGGGAGAAGTTAAAGATTATCATCTCTGATGCCACCGTTCCTGGTGAGGGTGAACACAAGATCATGGAGTTTGTGCGGTCCCAACGAGCATCTCCAGAGCATGACCCCAACACTCGCCATGTCATTTATGGTTTAGACGCTGATTTGATCATGCTTGGTCTTGGCACCCATGAACCTCACTTTCGCGTTTTGCGTGAAGACGTTTTTTTCCAGGAATCTAAGCCTCGAGCGTGTAGGTTATGTGGACAGACCGGACACAAGGCCGAAGAGTGTACTGGCAAGGCGAAGGAAAAGACTGGAGAGTTTGATGAGAAGCAAAATGCCTCTCCACTCAAGCCCTTCATATGGCTTCATGTCTCAGTTCTGCGTGAATATCTCGCTGCTGAGCTTCATGTCCCTAACCAGCCATTTCCATTCGATCTCGAAAGAGCGTTGGATGACTGGGTCTTCATGTGCTTCTTTGTCGGAAACGATTTCCTGCCCCACCTACCTGCTCTAGATGTCCGTGAGAATGGAATCGACACCCTACTTGCTGTTTGGCGTGACAATCTTCCGGCTATGGGGGGGTTACCTCACGCAGGATGGACATGTTAACTTCCCGCGAGCGCAGATGATCCTGCAGGGTGTTGCCAAGCAAGAGGACGCAATTTTTCGACGCCGCCGGCAGGCAGAGGAGAGGAGGAGGCAAATAACAGAAGACGGAAAGAGCAAGATCAGGCTCGTGGTGAACGCAACGAACGTGCCCAAAAGCGCAGACGCAGCTCTCCCAGCTACGATAACAAGGCTCATGGTAATGATGGGCCACCACCTGGACTGGAGCTTATCACGCCTGGTCGTGGTCACTTGGCTAAAGAAACGAGAGAATTGACCCACAGTATGGTTACAAACCGTGGCAATGTTTATCGCGCCAATATGGAAAACAAGAGCGCCGCAGCTGTATTGAAGAGTAAACTCATGCAAGGCTCGCAGAGTAACTCTACTGCGGATGCTTCAGAGGCAGATAGTGTCGCTATCAACGGCGAGGCTTCAAATAAGGCAGCCGAGCCTACTTCACCTTCAGTTCTCGGTAAAAGAAAGGCTGACGAGGAAGAGGACGACCAACCGGATGAGGAGGTCGGAACTCCTGGCAGAGACTCTCCTCCTCCGCCTGCCCCCAAGCCCCAAAACGATGAGTCTCCTCCGGACACTGTGAAGCTATGGGAGCCCGGATATGCCGATCGATACTATGAGCAGAAATTCGGTGTCGATCCCAATGACCATGAGTTCCGTCACAAGGTTGCCCGGGCATATGCGGAAGGCCTGGCATGGGTACTTCTGTACTATTTCCAAGGGTGCCCTTCGTGGACATGGTACTACCCATACCACTATGCGCCTTTCGCTGCGGACTTCGTGGACATTGCTGATATGAAAATTGATTTCAAGAAGGGTCAGCCTTTCAAGCCATATGAGCAGTTGATGGGCGTTTTGCCAGCATCATCGAACCACGCACTACCCTCTGTATTCCATGATCTTATGAGCAACCCGGAGAGTGAAATCATTGATTTCTACCCCGAGGATTTCCCTGTAGACTTGAACGGGAAGAAGTTCGCGTGGCAAGGCGTTGTCTTACTTCCATTCATTGACGAAAAACGCCTCCTGGGTGCCATGGAGAAGAAGTACCCCCCTTCTCACTGAAGATGAACGTAGTCGCAACACTCACGGTCAGGATGTTCTTTTACTATCGGAGGCGCATCCGCTTTATCAAGATCTTGCGAATAAATTCTACTCCAAGAAACCCGGGCCTGCGGAATACACAATGAACATGCGTATCAGTGATGGGTTAGCTGGTATTGTTCAGCGCAATGAAACTCACATCCCTCACGGGACTTTAGTTTCGAATCTGGAGGAATACGGCATGCCCAGTCTCGACGATGACCGCAGTCTCACGTAAGAGCCTATCTCGTTTTTCACTTACCCTCGCTTATGCATATGCTTACAATGACTCGCAGTGTAAATTACAAGATTCCAAAATCTACTCACCTTCACAAGTCTATGCTCCTCCGCGGCGTCAAGTTCGCCACGCCAATGTTAAACCAAGGTGATGTCCGCGCCGTCCAAGGTCGCGCGCAGCATTCAGGCCGCTCTTTCGGTGGAGCTCCCCTCAACGGTCGAGGACGCGGTGGCCGCATGGATTACAGCTCATCGGATCGGCCCAACCCCTTTGCAGCGCACCTTGATCCCCGGTTCATGCAACCCCCTTCTGGCTGGGTTCCTCCTGGTCAAGGAGCTGGGGATTTCTCCCGAGGACCACCTCCGCCCCAACGTGGAGGAATGTCGCACCATAACCAAGGCTATCCACAGTACCCTCAAAGCTACCAGCAGTTCCCTCAGGGCTATCAAGGCCAGGGCGGATATGGTGGCAATCATCAAAACCATGGGAATTACGATAATAATCGAGGGGGCCGAGGCTCTTATCGTGGCAACAAGCCCCGCGGTCGCGGTGATTATTCCTCTAACTATCGCGGAGGTAGTGGAGGCGGTAGTTACGGCCGCTATTGAGTGCTATCACCACGCTTACAGGGCGTTTGACTGCCATTTGACTGGAGCTGGAACCAAGGAGCATAGTCCTCAGAATATGGGAATGGAGGTGTTGCGGAGTTCATAGGAACAATCTGATCTGATTATTATTCTTACCAATATATAACGTAGCAGGAACTTTCATGTTGTCCCTAGCCAATAGTCGTCCCTTTCCAAAGACTAAATCAACCACCCCCGCCTCAGTACTCTAAGCACAATTGGAGAAGTTTAGCTCCGAAACGTCCGTACGTCACATGTCACAGAGTGAGAGCTAGGTCCTTTTGACTCAGCGAGTAACAGCTAAATGGTGAGCTCCCTTATCTTTCTTTTCATGCGGCTATTCATGCAAGTCTCATACGATGGCAACTACAACTGCAACAAGAGAGGAGCTTCCAGTCGAACAACAAATGTCCATCCTCTTGCCCAATTTGCTGGACCAGCAACGGCAGCCGTCACCTGGAGCAACCTCGGAACCTCTCCGCACTCAACCTGCCCCTTCCGCGGAACCCAAATATCCAACAGGCTCTAAGTTTTGGTGCACCGTCCTTTCACTATGTGTGATTATGATTCTAGGTGGCCTAGATGCCAACATTGTCGCTACAGCTGTGCCGAGCATCACCAATCACTTCCGTACCGTTGCTGATGTGGGATGGTACTCATCTGCATTTCGACTCTGCACCTGCGCGTTCCAGTTCGGGTTTGCAAAGCTCTATAAACATTTCTCGATCAAGATCGTCTTCTTATTCACCAACGTCATTTTCCTCGTCGGCTCTTTACTCTGTGCCACAGCGACTTCATCGACTATGTTCATTGTAGGGAGAGCGGTAACGGGTCTGGGGTTTTCAGGAGGCTTAGCTGGGTGTTATGCTGTTATAACGCATATTATACCACTCAACAAGCGGCCGGTGTTCGCGGGATTAATGGCGTGTGTGGAATCGCTGGCAATCATTTCGGCGCCCATAGTAGGTGGTGCATTGACGCAGTTTCTGGGGTGGAGGTGGTGTTTCTGGTAAACTAGTTTCATCGCAGACGTGGACAAGATAGCTTACAGCTGACTTTTCTGCAGGATTAATCTCCCCATTGGAGGGATATCACTGGCGGCGCTACTTTTTCTTTTCTCGGATCCAAGAACAAGTCAAGAGGACAACCTTACATTCGCTGAAAAGATCAGAGAGGTTGATCTAATCAGTAACTGCATATTCATCCCATCTTTAACAGCACTTTTTCTCGCACTATCTTGGGCTGGAACAAAATATCCTTGGTCAGATGGGAAAGTAATTGCATTATTCGTTGTTTTTGCTGTTCTCCTCATCGCCTTTTTCTTTAATCAATACCGACGTGGAGACTCGGCAGCACTCCCTTTTCGCATAATTACAAATCGAAATGTTATTGCTGGTTTCGTCTTTACAGCGTGTACTAACTCGATGACAAACGTTTTGGAGTGGTACTTGCCAACGTATTATCAAGTCGTCCGGTCTCATGTATGACCCTTGGCCAGCACTTGACTGAAATACCCTCACTGACGATTTCCAATCTTTCTAGACCCCAAGTGAGAGCGGCTACCTGATGATCCCTATCCTTGTTGGGATGATGCTCGGCCTCTTCCTTCAGGGAATTGGCACTACAACGTTCGGCTACTACGCCCCCTTCATGATCTTCGCTTCCGTGTGCATGCCAGTTGCCTCGGGTTTAATGACAACATACAATCTACACTCGTCCCTAGCAAAGATCATCCTATATTCCGGGCTTGTAGGGTTCAGTGGCGGCATCGGCTTCCAAGGGCCCCAAGCAGCTATGCAGACAACCTTGAATACCGCAGATGTCAACATTGGGATCGGGGTTATCTTGTTCGGGCAGAGTATGGGGCCGGCTGTGTTCGTCGCTATTGCACAGGTGATATTCACAAATGAATTGTCGTCAAGTTTAGAAAATGCTATACCGGGTCTGTCGGCTGCTTATATCGAACAACATGGACTTGGTGATATTAAGAGCCAAGTTCCTGCGCAACGTTTGGGTGAGGTTCTGAGGGATATTGACCGGAGCTTGACGCACACCTGGTACCTCCTGTCGCTTTAGCCTGCACGACAATGGTGGGAAGTCTTCTGATCGAGTGGCGCTCGGTCAAACAGAAGCAGCCGTGAAGGAAAGGCATGACGGAAAAGGTCGAATGCTAAAGCTTGCAGATAACTTTGTCTTCGCAATGAATATTCATGCCCCTTGAGCGCTTTTTAAAACAAAGCAATAATCTCCTCTGGACCAACACGAGTAACAGCCATAGCTTTGCAAAAAGCTAAGGACTTCTCTGAAACTGTGCGGCCCACTTCAGTACAATCTACTTGAAAGCGTCATATTTGAACTAACTCATATATAGGTCTGCATTTGCTATACATTTTCAGGTGGGCCAGTTGAATTATCATTCAAACGTGTGCATTACGGATTCCGAACTTTTTGATCGAGCCTTTGCCATAAATTTGCAAGGATTGAACTACCTTATCTAATTTAACAAGAACTTTCGGGTTGTCCCTAGTCGGTAGCCGCCCCTTTCTTAAGGCTGAGTAGATCAACAAACCACGTAGGCATGATTGGGGATATCACATAATTATGTTGTTTCTTGGCACCTCAGTAAGCAGAAAAAGAGCTGCTTTTTGAATTTTCTATATTAGGGCAAGATCTACACGGCCTGACGGCGGATGTCAGGGAGCTGCATCACAATGCTCAAGGCTTGTGGATGGCTGCGCATGCGAGGGTGAAAGCCGATGATGGCAGATTAAAGCGACTAGTGATATTATGGGCAAGCCTTTGCGAGACCAGGAGTTAACTATTGCCAATTAGTGGCCACAGAAGTGCATCCATAGTGCCACCCAGATCATTTGAGTCAGAAGGCGGTCAAGGCTCACCGCGGCGAGATCGGAGGGGTTTTTCGATTGAGTCAGGGTCTCTTGTTTTTTTTCCCAAGCATCTTCCTGGTCGTGTTTGCTGGGTAACACATCTGACCCTTATTTCTGATTCCCAGGTAAGCATTGGCTATCTCTGCCTCTTTCCAATTAACAACGGTCCTCAATCATCACTGTTGTGTGCACACCTTGCATCGCTAGCTCCGTTGGTGGGGTTTAACCAGTCAACTTCCCTCGGAAAGTCACCAAAGCATTTTATACTGACAAAACGCGTAGAATGAATTAAGCAGAGACAATTAAACCCCGGAATCGTCGTCAGATCTACAACCCTTCTCGCCACCATGAGTGAGCCCACCAAGATCAGCATCTTGGGCCGGGAGAGCATTGTCGCTGATTTTGGTCTGTGGCGCAACTTTGTCGCGACAGACCTGATCACCGGCCTGCCCTCGACCACCTATGTCCTTGTTACCGATACAAACCTCGGATCGATATACATCCCTGCCTTCGAGAAAGCCTTCGAAGCTGCTGCCATTTCGGTTTCGCCAGCTCCTCGTCTTTTGACCTATAATGTCGCACCGGGAGAGAGCTCAAAATCCCGCCAAACAAAAGCCGGTATTGAGGATTGGATGCTAAGCCAAAACCCACCATGCGGCCGTGATACAGTTGTCATCGCGCTTGGTGGTGGTGTCATTGGGGACCTGACTGGTTTCGTAGCGGCCACCTACATGCGCGGCGTTCGCTATGTGCAGGTGCCTACGACGCTTCTGGCCATGGTGGATTCCTCAATTGGCGGGAAAACAGCCATTGACACTCCATTAGGCAAGAACTTGATTGGTTCAATCTGGCAACCGTCAAGGATTTACATCGATCTCGAATTTTTAGAAACCCTTCCTGTGCGAGAGTTCATCAACGGTATGGCTGAGGTGATCAAGACTGCCGCCATCTCAAGCGAAGAGGAGTTTACCGCGCTCGAGGATAATGCAGAGGCTATTCTGAGCGCAGTCCATAGCGAAGTGAAGCCTGGAAGTGGCCGCTTTGATGGGATTCGAGATATTCTCAAAGCCCGAATTTTGGCCTCCGCTCGTCACAAGGCGTACGTTGTCTCTGCCGATGAGCGTGAGGGTGGCCTTCGCAACCTTTTAAACTGGGGTCACTCCATCGGCCATGCTATCGAGGCGATCTTGACCCCCCAGATTCTCCATGGAGAGTGTGTTGCTATCGGGATGGTGAAGGAAGCAGAGCTCGCTCGTCACCTAGGCGTCCTTAAGGGTGTCGCAGTGGCCCGTATTGTCAAGTGTATCTCGGCGTATGGCTTGCCTACGACTATCAAGGATTCCCGCGTACGTCAGTTGACCGCCGGTAAACACTGCTCTGTCGAACAGCTTCTATTCAACATGGCCCTGGACAAGAAGAACGATGGTCCCAAGAAGAAGGTCGTTCTGTTGTCTGCAATTGGACGTACCTATGAGCCTAAGGCCAGTACGGTCTCCAATCAAGATATTGGTGTTGTTCTGGCTCCTAGCGTTGAGATCCAGCCTGGAGTGCCCAAGACTCTTAACGTTACCTGCGCTCCCCCAGGCTCAAAGAGTATATCTAACCGAGCCCTGGTTCTGGCTGCTCTCGGTTCTGGAACTTGTCGTATTAAGAACCTTCTTCACTCCGATGACACGGAGGTCATGCTTAATGCCTTGGAGCGTCTCGGGGCTGCAACTTTCTCCTGGGAAGAAGAAGGCGAGGTTCTTGTTGTGAATGGAAAGGGAGGGAATATTACTGCTAGCCCCTCACCTCTCTATCTTGGCAATGCTGGTACTGCATCTAGATTCTTGACAACTGTGGCAACTCTTGCCAAGCCAAGTACCGTTGAGGAAAGTGTCCTTACCGGTAACAGCCGCATGAAGCAAAGACCCATTGGGGATCTTGTGGATGCACTTACCGTGAACGGAGCCGGAATCGAGTACTTAGAGCGCAAGGGTAGCCTTCCGCTCAAGATTGCCGCTTCGGGTGGCTTTGCTGGAGGCAAGATTAACCTCGCTGCCAAGGTCTCTTCGCAGTATGTCTCCTCGCTGCTCATGTGTGCTCCGTACGCCAAGGAACCCGTTACCTTGAAATTAGTTGGAGGGAAGCCTATTTCGCAACCTTACATTGATATGACTACCGCGATGATGCGATCTTTTGGCATTAATGTGGAGAAGTCCACCACCGAAGAACACACCTACCACATCCCGCAGGCTAACTATGTCAACCCTGCTGAGTATGTTGTCGAGAGTGATGCCAGCTCTGCTACGTACCCTCTCGCAATAGCTGCTATCTCTGGCACAACCTGCACTGTCCCCAACATTGGCTCCAAGTCTCTTCAGGGTGACGCTCGTTTTGCCGTAGATGTTCTCCGGCCTATGGGCTGCACCGTCGAACAAACTGACACCTCCACTACAGTCACTGGACCCAGTAGCGGAATTCTTCGTCCACTTCCGAATGTTGATATGGAGCCAATGACCGATGCTTTCCTTACTGCGTCAATTCTTGCGGCTGTTGCTCGAGGCGAGGGCTCAAACCACACTACCCGTATCTACGGTATCGCAAACCAGCGTGTCAAGGAGTGCAACCGAATCAAGGCCATGAAAGATGAGCTTGCTAAATTTGGTGTGGTTTGCCGAGAGCATGATGACGGTCTTGAAATTGATGGAATCGAGCGCTCTACCCTCCGTCAGCCCTCTGGTGGCATTTTCTGTTACGATGATCATCGTGTGGCCTTCAGTTTCAGTGTCCTATCCCTCGTCGCTCCTAAACCAACCCTTATTTTGGAGAAGGAATGTGTTGGAAAGACATGGCCCGGTTGGTGGGATACCCTGAAGCAGATGTTCTCTGTCAGTCTTGATGGCAAGGAACTCACAGAAGAGGAACTCGCCGTTTCAACCCAGGAGGAAAAGGCAAGCGCTTCTATCTTCATCATCGGCATGCGCGGTGCTGGAAAGACCACTGCTGGAAGCTGGGTTGCCAAGAGCCTCGACCGCCCTTTCATTGACCTTGATACCGAACTTGAGAAGACGGAGAGCTTGACCATTCCAGACATGATCAAAGAACGCGGCTGGGAAGGATTCCGCGAGGCTGAGCTTGCTTTGCTGAAGCGCACTTTGCAGGATCGCCCAACTGGGTATGTCTTTGCTTGTGGTGGCGGTATCGTTGAGCAACCAGAGGCACGAAAGCTTCTCACTGATTATCACCAGAATAAGGGAATGTTCTTCTTGTCATGCGAGACATCAAGGACGTTATGGACTTTTTGCAGGTTGATCAGACCCGCCCCGCCTATGTGGAAGATATGATGGGTGTATGGCTTCGTCGTAAACCTTGGTTCCAGGAGTGCAGCAACATTCAGTACCATAGTCAACGAACAGACAAGAAAGACCTTGCTCTGGCATCGGAGGACTTCTACCGCTTCATGAAGGTGGTCACTGGCCAAGTGGATAATCTCAGTGAGATCAAGAAAAAGAAGCACTCTTTCTTCGTTTCCTTGACCCTGCCAGATCTTCGTGAATGTGCTGATATTCTGGGTGAAGCATGCGTGGGCTCGGATGCTGTTGAGCTGCGTGTTGATCTCCTCCAGGATCCTACCAGCGACAGTGACATCCCTTCCGTGGAGTACGTCGTTGAGCAGATTTCTTTCCTCCGTCGTCAAGTCTCGCTCCCTGTCATCTTCACTATTCGCACCAAGAGCCAAGGAGGTCGTTTCCCTGATGATGCTTACGAAGCTGCCAAACAACTCTACAGACTTGCCTTCCGTACAGGCTGTGAATTTGTTGATCTTGAGATCGCATTCCCCGATGAGTTGCTGCGCACTGTCTCTGAAATGAAGGGATACTCTAAGATTATAGCGTCGCACCACGACCCTCAAGGGAAGTTGTCGTGGGACAACATGTCCTGGATTCCATCTTACAATAAGGCTCTTGAATACGGCGATATTATCAAGCTTGTTGGTGTCGCTCGGACCTTGGAGGACAACAATGCACTTCGGAAATTCAAGAACTGGGCAGCCGAATCGCACGAGACCCCATTAATCGCCATCAACATGGGCGATAGTGGTCAACTCAGCCGCATCCTCAACGGCTTCATGACTCCGGTGTCTCACCCCAGTCTTCCTTTCAAGGCTGCCCCCGGCCAGCTCTCCGCAAAGGAGATCCGCAAGGGCCTTTCATTGATTGGCGAACTCAGGGCAAAGCAATTTGCAGTCTTCGGCTCCCCAGTCTCCGCCTCTCGGTCGCCACCCCTACACAACGCTCTTTTCGCCGAGACTGGCCTTCCTCACAGCTACGGACGTCTGGAGACTACCAATGCAGAGGATGTGAAGGACTTTATTCGAGCTCCTGACTTCGGTGGTGCATCTGTGACGATCCCCCTCAAGCTCGACATCATGCCTCTTCTGGATGAGGTCGCTCAAGAGGCCGAGATCATTGGCGCTGTTAACACCATTGTCCCCAAGGAAGAGAGTGGAAAAACACGTCTTATCGGCTACAACACTGACTGGAGAGGCATGATCAACTCGCTTCGCAACGAGGGCGTCTTTGGGTCTACTGGCTCGGAAGGTGCCATTGTTGTTGGTGGCGGTGGAACTGCTCGTGCCGCCATCTACGCTCTCCACCACATGGGTTATTCCCCTATCTATGTGATCGGACGTTCTGCGAGCAAGCTGGAGGGCATGATCTCGACTTTCCCCACAAACTACAACATCCGAATTGTCGACAACCCTAAGCAACTTGACGCCATTCCACGGGTTGCTATCGGCACTATTCCTGCCGATGGGCCCATTGACCCTAGCGTCCGGGAAACCCTCTGCCATATGTTCGAGCGTGCCCAAGAAGTCGATAACAACCCCAGTGAACTCGAGGCATCCCGTGTGCTTCTGGAGATGGCCTACAAACCCTCTGTAACTCCTCTAATGCAGCTAGCTGCTGATGCAGGCTGGAAGACCATTCCTGGCCTCGAGGTCCTTGTTGGTCAAGGCGTGCACCAGGTTTGTCTTTGCTTTTTCTAATCTAGTTAGTCATCTGAGCTAATCACGCCTCATAGTTCATTCACTGGACTGGTATTACTCCCTTGTACCACGTTGCAAGAGTAAGTACCAACCCTCCGTCCCATGCGGCTATTCATTTACTTTTCTCGAGCCCTAACATCTGTCAAATAGAATGCTGTCATGGGTAACGACTCTGCATGATTCAGTACATCTGTCAATATTGAAAATTATGATTTTGCAGCTTCAGATCGTTGCTGAGGCTTCTTTCCGGGCATCGGTTCGAACGGTACGATGTTGGCGGAGATGTCTGTGTTGCCCTGTAATTTTTCCTCTGCTGGGTAGTCACAAAAATTTTATTATTATCTTATGTTGCATTCTCCAAGGCCTTGCTTACTAGTGGTCTTCCACACTACCCTTCGCTGGGCAATAGTCGGCATAACTGATCCGTAGGGGAATCAAAACGAAGCTACCACACTGCAAATCCGGATGTAGTCAAATCAATACCATCCAGTCGCAACAATACCATTCTTCGCCCTATGTATTACATGGTTGACTGTGCCTTTACCTCCGGTCGCTTGGATATGGTGAGCCAGACGTCCCTCCAGTACCCAATTCCGCCCTTCACTATGAACTTGGCCTCGGGCTTATCCTTCGCTTGTTCTGGCTTGAATTGTCGGAAAAACTAAGAATAATCAGCAAAAGCCTATGGGGGGGGTGAAATAAAATTGAAAAAAAAAAAAGAATGATCATCTCGCGAACAGTGCCGTCTTACCTGTAGAGGGCCCTTGAACAGCTCCATCATCGCAATATCCCGTCCAAGACATACACGCGACCCATACCCAAACGCAAAGTTATACTTATTAAACAGTTTCGCCTGCGTCGGATCCAACCAGCGCTCCGGCCGGAACTCCTCCGCATCTTCACCATACAGCGCAGGGTCGCGGTGCACGATGTACGGGTTACACGAGATCTCCGTCCCCGCTGGCGCCAGTTTCCCATAGAGCTTCAGGCCCGGCTCCGAGACATATCGGGGAAAGATGTTCGGAGCTGACGGGCAGAGGCGCATCGTCTCCTTCACGCAACCCACGAAGAAAGGGAGATGCTCGAGGACTTCGCTGTACTGCGGAACCTCCGAGATGAGGCCCTTGCTCGACGCATCGTCGATCTCTTGCATCATGCGCTCGTAGGCCTCGGGGTTCGAGAGGAGGAACTGGATCAGCGCTTGGAAGGCGGTGCCTGTTGTGTCGGCGCCGGCTAGCAGGACCAGCAGCACTTCTGCGCGGATGTATTCGAGGTCCAGCGGGTTTCCGTCTTCGGTGCGGGCTTCAAGGAAGGTCTGTAGCAGGTCGGTCTGGGGGGGTCTTCTCGCCGGTTTGGATTTCCTCGAGGCGTTTGTTGATCAGGCGGTCGCGGAAGCGCATGAGGACGCCGATTCCTGAGTTGTCTTGGGGGGGTTGCGACGAGGTACTTTTTCAGAAATGTGGTTTTGATCCAGGAGGTGAAGGGGTGGAGCCGTGCGAGCACCCCAAATGCTGGGAGACCGTCATGGAATCCTTGGATCAAGCCGCCGATATCTTCTCCCTTCTCGATGAAACCGAATGGTGCGCCGAACCCGATCTCACTGATGATATCGTACGCCATGTATCTGTACGCGGTGTGAGTGTCCAGCTGGGTATCTGGAGATGGGGACCCCTACACTGCCCACCAAGCAAAGTCAAAAGGCTCGCCGGGCTTCGCAAAAGTTTCATCAAGCTTCTTGCTCCATTCCTTGATCCTGGCATCTATCAATGGCTCCATTTTCTTGACGTTTGTGAAGCTATACTTCTGGTTGTCAGCTAGACCCGTCCAAGTGACTTGATGGTTGCACTCACCGGCCCCGCAACATGTTTTCTGAAGACAGCATGGGTCTTATGAGACCTCATATTGAACAGGCTCTCATTTTCTCCGAAGCTGCCTGTGATGTAGTGGCCTGTTTTGTCGGCATTGCGGTGGTAAACCTCCGGAAGCTTCGAATGGTCGTTGACGAGTAGTAAGGTTGGGGAAACGCGTACGACAGGACCTAGGATGTTCTTCCATGAGAAAATATTTGACACACGTGATCAAGTGTATCGGACTCACCGTATTTCTTGGAAAGCTCGTAAAAGGTCAAATATTCAGTCTCCTTCAGGTTCTGAAAAGTAATCCAGAGCCTGGTGGCAGACGCCCAAAAAGGACCAGGAAACGCCGAGAGCGGATGGAAAAAGCGATAGTAAATGATTTGATAAGCGAACCTCAAAAGTACATAGGAAAGTAAAACGAGTACAAGGTTTGTGGCTGTCAATAAAGACAGCACGTTTTCTGCTAGACCCATGACTGTTGATGTTCGGATCTAACTCCAGCTTCTCAGCCAAGGAAGCCCGCCGGGGGGCATGAGATATAAGCGTCCAGCAAGATCAAACCCATCTCACGCAGCCCATTGAGTTGTAAGGGGTCATGCTCGATTGGCTAGTGAGCCCCGCTGGACTACTAGTACGGTGTACGTCTATCTGCGGTAACTCTTAGGGCATGCAATCCAGCAAGTCCAGGAGATCCACCAGAGTCTAGGACCGGACCCCGCCGAACGCATCCCCCTCCTTAACCGGATAGGCTCGTGCTATAAATCTGGTACTCTGTCAAGTTTTCCTATAATTCAGGAAAGCGGCTCACGAGCTTGAGACTCTCGGGAGGGGGAATAACCCCGACTTTCCACCTGTGCTCTCATGCAGATACCAAAACAGCCGTCCTTCCGTGCAATAGTGGACACATGCAAAGGCGAGAGAGAACACTGAGCCAATCAGCCATTTGTGGAAGACGCCCCCCGGGGAAGATACCACGACTGTCGAAAGCTACAGGGGTCGATTCTCGGTAACCGTTGGCGTCCATGGACAATAAGGATCGGCAGCACTACAGGCTCTGTTTGCGAGTTCCGATTCGTTGCATGCTGCCATTTACGTGGGAATACGCTTCTTTGTCCTTTTTTCTGGCGCAGCACCCTGTCAACGCCCCCACTTGGTCGGCACGATTCCAGCATCAGGCTACTGCGTAGAACGGGAGCGGGGCCGCTTGAACGATGGACTCCACTTCGACGATTTCACTGGGCAGCGTGGGGCTCGCCAAATTAGCCTGCACTTGGCGATGTTGAGGGTGGAACATCTTTCACGCTGATTTGGGGTGTTCCCACGAACAGGTTCATTTGGGTCCCTGTGCGGCAGGATGGTAGAGGAACCAAAAGGCACAGCCTGAAGACCAGTGTTCATCGAAAATGGATTCGCATCCAGATTAAGCCGAATTTAGTTGATGTCATTTTTACCCTCCTTCCTTAAGGCCCTGATCTCGGATAACATTAAAATGGGAAAATTCAAAAAAAAAAAAAAAAAAAAAAAAAGAAAAAAAAAAAAAAGAAAAAAAAAGCCAGGACCGTTGTGGTCTCCACTTCATTGACTTTCTGCCGCACATGTCGTCTCAAGAGGTTCTGCCCTTCGAGCATAGACCGCTGGACACTTTGCTATTTCGAGAATATCTCGGTTCGAAGGCAGTTCATACTTCTTTCCTAGCGCCGAGGGTCCAATGTACTGTGCATGGGTTCATCCAGGTCGCATCCCATTCGCCGTTTGGGCTGGACGAGCACAGATCTGCAGGCGGTCCACTGATACTCTTCTACACGAGGCGACAGCAACCTCTGTGTTTCACGGTCGGGATGTTAGGAGAGAAGAAAAACAGATCGTGAGATTACCCGACTTTGAAAACATGTGCTCTGGGCCCTTCACTGGAAGATAGCTTTTACGAAGCAGGAACTGTACGGGGATGGCTTTCTGGCTTGGACATCTGGGGCCCTAAAGAACTTTGTGATGCATCACACCTATTCAAACTCAATGATCTTCTCATCATTCCACGTCCCCGTGGGAACCGAACCCTGCAGGTGTCCAAAGTGTCACCGTTGCTGATCATCTCGATGGCTTACTCTACTACCAGTAATATTGGTCTTTTTCCGACGAAGTCCAATTTCGCTAAGGCTAGGCAGCGCAGCATGTGACAATGGCCACAAGAGCCCCGTTGGGCTAACACGGCTCAGGGGGAAGGTAACGTCGTCACGCAAGTCGATGTCACTTCTCGTGCAGATGGCTTGCGGGTGGAGTCGATGGCATTTAGGTCCCTTTCCTTTGGCACCCCGAGAGGATGGTAAACGGCAGAGATCAATAGTATGGAACAGCAGTGCTCAAAGATCGCAGAAACACTGCCTCGTATACTTTTCGGGGATATTCATCCCAGTCATTAATGCCAATGCCGATCTAGCGCCTCTCGTGTAGGAGATTGACAAACATCCGAGCTCGCGGAATCACCCCAATCACTAATTGTGGCGACGAGTGGAGCTCTACATCACGCCGATCCCGATATCAGAAGGACTAGGGGTCTTGGTTTTCCAAAAGTACTCCCGTAAAGGGCCAGAACAACTTACTTAACATCTCGGGTGCCAGGAGGCAGATATTTGTCATTAGTCCGATTCAGGAACCCAAAAGTACCAGATCCACACGGCAGCGCACCGTCCAGCAACGCTCCCGCTGGGTGACCCATGCAAACTTGAAGGAATTGTAAGTCGCCCATAAACTCTCCCACAGACAAAAATAGACTTATTTCTGATCCGATGTTCGTTCTTCTCCAACACATAATCTTGGGAATCACTTTCCCGAGCGGAGAAAAGGATACGGCACGCTGAACGTCCCATTTTCAGCTCAGCCCGAGTAGAAACCAATGAGGACGGCCTGTTTTCTCGGGGTTGGACCGCAGGCTCGAACAAAACGTACCTCGAGGGTGGAGATCTTCCCACTAGAGACCGGGATCTAGGTGGGTCATGTGTCAAGATGGTGGGCTCCGAAGATTCCAAGCCAATCCGTATCCAGACTCCGGGCCTGGAACAGGATCGCTATCTCCTACTAGCAAAGAGGGGCCATGATCCAGCGTCCTAGAACCTGGGGACTTGGTTTCGTCCAAGGTCGCATCTCCGGGCCCGGCCTGCCACCGAAGCCCTAATCAAGCCTCTCCGCCAAGGAGCCATATACTGTAGTTGGTTCGTGTTTTTGTCGCCGATCTGCACTGCTCTCCCCTGCTAAAGGGAGGCCCACGTTTTGGGGACTAAGCTAGCTCGTGTTGGATTATTATCCACAATACGAATGACCCTATCCTCGTTTTTGGAGGTAATAATCCTGGGGTAAGGTGGACATGGATCCTGCAATCAGTAGTAAAGCTGGCGGCCCAAACGAGGTGAGTGGACCTCCCCCGAAGCCCCTGTTCAAGAGGATTTGTGAAGATTTCAATAAATGCAGGGTTGAGGAGCTTTCTCTTGCACCTCTTCTTTTTCTTGTACCCTCTTGTACTGTCCGGTGGCCTTCTCCCGGTGTCCTGGTGACAGGCCAATCTGTTCATCTGAATCAATACGCTTCTTGGTCCACTGGCAAATTTTTTTAAACCCTCCGTTCTTACTTGTCCTTCACAATGACCGCCGATCATGGTTCGCAAGGTCCGGTGGTGACATTGCTTTTGCAATCCTTACATTCATCGTGTTGGCCCTGAGGCTGTTTTCGCGCATTTACGTTCTGGGGAAATTTGGCATCGATGACTGTAAGTAGCTCTATTGATACGAGGACGAAGTCAGAGGTTTCTGCTAACGAATCTGGGAAGATTTGATCGTTGGAGCTTGCGTAGGAAGGCCCTTACCCGTGCACGCGATCTCAGCTAAACAGATGAAACAGCTCCTGGCTTGGGCATTTATCGCTGCTACTCTTGTTGGTATGAAAATCTCAGCATCCGGATTATCAAGCCTTGTCTAACAAATTGCAGCCGTTCAGAATGGACTTGGTCAACATTATGCCTACGTCGACAAAACAAAGATGGTTGAGTACGCCTTTGTATGGTCTATTCCAAGATGATCCCCAGTGGTAACGCTCGCTGATTTAATTCAGGCCGTTTGGCTGAGCTCCATGTTCTATCTGGCCTGCCTTGGATTTGTGAAAACCTCGGTCCTTTGTTTTTATATTCGACTGGGCGACCGGGTGCTTACCCGGATGTCCTACGTGATGATCGGAGTCATTGTATGCCAAGCCGGTTCCTTCGTCCTCGTTGCAGCTTTCCAATGCAGCCCGGTAAGCATGGCTTGGACGAGCACAGGCCCAGGGAAATGCGTTGATATCAATGTCTTCTACCTGTGCAACGCGGCTCTGAACATCCTTACAGATCTCTTGACGTACTCTTTGCCGGCCCGAGTTATCTTGAAACTCCAGATTCCTCAAAAACAGAAGATCGCCCTAATTTTTATCCTCTGCTTGGGTCTCTTGTATGTGATCAAACCCCCCCCCCCTTGTGGCGCTGTGCGGATGCTAACGAAGCCCGCTTCTCTAGTGCTTGCATTTCATCAATCATCCGGATCACGTACATCCCGGCCATGCTCACCTCCCCGATGCTACCTACGCAATTAGCGGTGCCATGTACTGGTCTGTTATCGAGACCAACGTTGGCATTTTTGCCGCATCCATCCCGTCATTCAAAGCGATTGCCTCCCGCTTCTTGCCTCGATTCATCGGGGAATACAGCAGCGGGAGGAAATACGGGCCTTGGTCTGGGAATACCCCCGGAAGATGGGACCGGTTTTACGAGAGTGACCGATCCCAATGCTTCGAAATCCAGGACTGATGATGGGATAGCGATGAGCTCCCAGATTGGTGCAGGGAGACAGAAACCATTCCAGCCAGGAACGAATAATTATTCCTGATGGCAAGATCTTCACTCAGACGGAGATCGAAACCACTTTCGAGTCTCACGATGACTTCCTGTCGTCCTTGGATCGGGCTCGACGGCCCAAACGTGGCATGTAAACAAGATTGCATTCTCCCCTATTTCAGTACCGATTGCTTAATAACACACCTCATCCTATTACAGTGTTTTGCGTCTTGTAAACGCATTGAAGCAATGGATGTAGCGGCCTCGGACAATACCACAGATCGATATGGCTACTGGTGCTCGAGACAATTTGTCATAGCACCATGATACTAGTACCAAACAACGCCTTGTTAAGCAAGGGACCCTCCAGTAAACGTGGGGAGATAAGGGTGGCTGGATGGCTCTTGGTTCTTTCTCCTCTTAGCTTGGATAGCCCTACATCGAGGCGCCTACATCCGGTTGGCCTTTCATTTCTTGGGTTGGCCGACTGTGTTACACAGGATGATCATCTACAGATAGATCACTAATTGGTATCGCTGCAAATAGTGAACAAAGGGCACCCTAAGTAAAGAAGATACGTCTGTGTTCTATGGTTCAGAGTTATACAGCAAGTGCTAATCCCCAAGGCCAGGCTCTTTAATAGCGAGTCAACGCTGCTCAGGAGTGTTATGGGGATGATTTTACACTTCATTCTAGAATTACCCCTCATCATCTTATCTGGGGCCCAATCGGACAATTCATGGCTGTGGCCAACTGTTGCCCCAGATCACATTCCGCAGTTGTGCCTCCTATCGATGTCGACCCAATCTCCACCCGAGCTATGAACCTCGGTCGATCTACTTGAGTTTTCCCAACTCCCCCTTCTCTACATCACATCGACACGGCTCATACCACCCCATGGATCTCATTCTACAGGTCATCTTCGACCAATCTCGTGATGAGTCATCACGCTCGGGGAAGCAACTAAACCATAAGAGGCATGAGGCTCTCTCGGGTGTCACCTAACTCGCGATCCCGGCAGAGCCAAAAAAGCCAAAAAAGAAAAAAAAAGAAAAGAAAACATCAGAACAAAAAAGACAGCAAGGAACTCCCCGACCTTGGAAAAAAGACCTCGAAAGCAGGACCCCACTTACCTTCCTCCTCTAAGATGATACATATAGACAACGAGCACCCCCCGCCCGAGCAGCAGCCAAAAAGACGCAGGATGATGCCGGACCACGCAAACAAACGATTCTCCTCGCCAGCAGCCATCAGCTTTGTGCCGCACATGGGCCTTCCCATACCTATGAGCACGCCAGACCTCTCCCTCTCCGCCCGCGCACACCTGCACACATTCGAAACCGCCTGCCGAGAAGGCAACCTGCCCGCCGTCATGGCCGTCACGCTCTCCGACGCCCGCACCCCCGAGCTCCTCCACCACGGCCTCATGCTCGCGCTCGCAGCAGGCCACGTCGAAATAACACACCACCTTCTTGCAAACGGCGCCTTCATCGACCGCCGCACGCCCGTGCAAATCCTGTCTGCCCCGGAAGCCGTCCAAGTCCCGCTCTTCGACCTCCTCGCCCAGCACGGCTGGACGCCCGGCGAGCTCGGCGCCGTGCTGCTCCCGCGCGTCGTCACTAATCTCCCTCTGCTGAACTGGTTCCTGCTGCATGGCGTGGACCCGAATCTCGGGACGGCCGCGGGGGATGTAGCCAACGACCCGAACCCACGGTCTTGTGCAGCGCTGGAAGCTGCGTCTGCGCGGGGAGAGGTCGAGGCGGTGCGGCTGCTGCTGGATGCCGGGGCGGAGATCCACTATGGGACGCCGTTGCATTTTGCGGCGGGGGCGTGTTCGCCGGGGATTTCGCCGCGGAGCGTGACGACAAAGGAGTTTGATGCGAGTCGCATTCCGGTGATGGCGCTGCTGGTGGAGAGGGGCGCGGATGTGAATCAGAAGGGAGAGTCGAGGGTCGTTGTGCACCATCCCATCATGTATGCAGCTATGGCCGGTGCTGTTGAGCGGGTGAGGTGGTTGGTAGATCAGGGGGCTGATCCGGAGGCCAAGGGGGCCTGGGGAAGTGCAGCCGAGTATGTTGCTATGATTGGGAGTGATGAGATGAGGAGTATCGTGCAGCGGGGGATTGAGAGGAAGCAGCGGTCGAGGATCTCGCGTCAGAGCTTTGCTATTCGCCCGAAATCGGTCGTGAGGTAGGTTGGAGCTGGTTGGCGTGTTGACTTGGAAGGGTTTTTCCTCCTTACGTTCATGATGATACTATACGTACACGACTTTGATAGATGTAGATATACCCTGATGGCATTGGTACATAGCATAATTACATGGTTTTTTTTCGCTGTGCTGGACCACGGCGCTTGGGTTTATGAGCGTGTTGACAGATCTACGATATCGTGAAGAGCTCCCTTGTATACAATGATCTCCCGGCGTTGGCATTGATCAATCGCTTTGGAAGGCTTGACTGTCCGATATAGACCGGCAGCTGCGAGGTACATTCCCTCATCACTCAGGTGAAGTATCGACAGCTTCAAGCTACGACATGGGTTTGCTGTAACGTGAAGTACTGATACATCTCCTCAACGAGGTTCAGATCCCAGCAACTCGCAAAAGACACAGAGCACTACAACAGAGCAACATGCCTGGGAAACTCAATGAGAACCCGTAGACTATCCAAACTATGGATCCAAACCATGGATAGAAATCCTAATGCAGAAGGTTCCCCGGAGCCGTACCATTGTCTATATCATGTCGTGCAAGTCTCAGCTCATGTCCGCGTCGCCGTTTCCACATTCAGCAGCCATCTTCCAGAGCTCCGCCACATCTCTTCGATCTTGCGATCCTTCCTGTCCGGCCCTACAATCCACGTAGTCCCCTGTTAGGCAACTCCTTTTCCCCAAGCAATGATTCGATATGAGGCCATTCTGAGTCCATGAAGATAAGCTCCGCCACACTTCATCTGCATGTGCGAGCCAAAGTATATCTCCAAAGCCAATCTCTTCATATGAATTCGTAACTGCCCATACAGCAGGCATCTACATAAAACAAAAATTACATACCAGCCATCAACATGGAACATAGATACAAGGCATCCCTAGTTCAGAGGGTCTCTAAAAATAGGCTCCCTTGACGAAACATCCCAAATAGTACCAGCCACAATCTACATACGGTAGTGGATCCTCACCCACTTACCCAAACAGTCTCCCAACGACTCCCCGCTAACCCAGAAGAGCCAGACCACGGGTACCTGTTACCCCTTTGGGCGAGACGCGAAATGGCATTAGTTAGTTAGTTACTCAGCCCGCATTATTCAGCATCCTCGCACCGCCACATACAGGGGAAATACAAAGCTGGCCCACTTATTTCCGTTATCGATAACCACCTCGCATACAGCGGATTACAGCCTGAATGCAGTGGGTCTTCCCCCCAGCTCGCAGCTTTATCGATGGTCAATCACGGCAATGATAGTCGCCCGAGAGAAAGCCACCACCCACCCCCCCACCTGTGGGCCTGAAAAAGTGGTGTCCGCTGAGCAAAAGCTGACTCCGCAGAAAACCCAGCCCTTTTCGCCCGTAAACGCCGATTGCTGGGCCAGCAAGCCACAAGTGACCTGCGGTGGAGAGAAAGTGGGTTGTGGACGGCCCCGACAGTCCACCACACCCAATCTAAACTTTGCGACTGGCATCGATCTCCAGTGTTACGCCTAACCTACTGTATGTACACTCCTCTTCCTCCTCCCGGGCGGTTCCACTGCTCGACGTGTCCGTGTGAATCAATGTAACGATTGACCCGGGACCCCTCGGAAGAAGCGGTTCTCTGTTCTTTTCTTTTTTCTAAGTTTTCTCTAAATTTTCCACTTGATGCCCCCGGCTCGCACGGGGTTCCAAGATCAACTGCTTATCGTTATCGCGGTAGCGCTACCCGCCCGCGTCAATCTTCTGCCTACTCGAGCGATCCCGAGCCCGCTAGTGGGCTGGGACTTGCTTGAGGATGGTTGCAATTGGCCACTCTCATTGGCTAGAGACTAACTGACCCTTTTTTGTACACTCACATAATCAGCTGTGCCTCTCGCGTCAGCGGTTTATAAGCAGTGCTACCTGGGCGCCCCGGTGGATTTGAGGCGCTCCATGGCGTTCGAGAGAGTGGGAGGGAACCACCGGCCTCATCCTTACAACGCCTGTGGCTTGAGGGCTGGAACCTGGTGTCTGGACTTGGGCTAGAATAAAACGAGGGAGAGCTTTGGGGGGGAATTTTGGAGAGGGGCGGGTTCAATTGTTTGTTTTTCCCCTTGAAATTCTGTAGGGCTTTGTATCCCCAGGTAGGGTCGTTGGATGTTAAGATCGGGATTGTGATTAGGTCTGTGTAGCTACCGTCGGACTTCGTTTTTCTTTTTTTTTTTTACAATTATTCAGAGCTATGTTCACTCCCATGCGATTGCCTAAATTGTGTTTACTGTATTTAGAAAAAAAAATAAGATGGAATTGAAAAGCCTAACGGTAGGGTTAAAAAGCTCGGGTTAAAGCTCAGGATTGGGGCCGGCTTACGCGGTGTGAGAGGAGAGACATGAACGCGAGTACAGTGGACACAAAGTCAAATTGGGGATATTGATTCGTCGCATGAACGGCAGAAGAGAGGTGGGAAGGAAGCAAAATCCCCGAGCCAATGTGTGAGGGGTGGATACGGAGGAGAAAGGTAGCTCACCCAATGCAACAGGGGCTGGTATGTGGCTTGAGATCGACGGGTATGATTGGGGGATAGAGGCTTATACAAATTTGGTGTGCGCCAAAGCTCCACTGGGTACGGAGTTGATCTGTGCTTGGTGGATGGGGTCGAAACGTCCGGGCTCCATAAGATGGCAGCGGTGATGTGGGGCTCTGATGGGCTGCTTTTGAACTGAGCACAAAGGGTACCTATGCCCTACCTCATGTAGTCAGGGTCTGGGCTTCCTGTTGTAGGAATTGTCGGCCTGCATCACGATTGACAGGCATTACGAAGCTCCTCGCTTCAAACTCCGCAAAAGTCAAATTTCGAGCTCCGTGACTAATAGGATCATTCTAACTACATCGGGGAGAAAATGAGATGGTTTTGGAAGCATAGAAACAGATATCCAGCATGTTCTTCTTGTTGTAGATATTAGACAAACAAAGATAGTAGCAATAATGTACATCTTTTTCGGGGGGGGGGTGCTATACATATCATACAAAGGTCAAACAATAGTATACGCGACAGAATCCTTCCCACGTATATACAAACACCAGCCGCCCATCCAGAAGCAAAAGCACCATCCAATGCAGTCAAGGAAGAAATTGCATGCAAGAGACATCGACATCATCGCGTAAGATCGTAGGAATGGAAATGATAATAATACATGACACAATGCGGTTCGTAATAGACGTGAAAAGCTGCAAGCGAAGATAACAACTGAGACAGGGCCGTACAGACAAGATACATGCTGCTTTGGGGGGGAAGGCGTGTTGATCAAAAATGTGTCGCAGGATCGAACATGGTTCAGAATGGCGCCAAGACGCCCGCACACGTCAGGCAAAGGTAGGGGGTAGAGAGGGATTGGAAGCTCATCAGTCGGTGGGGTGCGTCATCCTTTGCTGTAAAAGACCCGATCTTGCGACGTACATTCGACGTCAACCACAGGTCGTGTGGGCTCGGTGGATATCATGACGTCAGTGGGCTGGGGTTCAGGCCACAAGGCCACACCCTGCCAATCCGGGAGTCCCGAAACGGAAGCAGACCCCGACGATCTGGGACGGACGGTGGGGCTAGTCTCTCAATCGAGCTCTCCATCGAGCGCCTATGATGTCATGTGCGAAGCTTCGTGCCCCCCTCTATAGGGTTGATCGAGAATTATCGTCATGATGATGGTCGCGGGTAAGTTTAGTCTCTTCCCCGGCGACGCTGCTTGCCAGGCCAGTCCACTTCGGGGTGCACAACACGCATGTGTCGGGTAAGGGCGTCGTTGCGGCTAAACGTCTTCTCCTCGGTACAGAGATGACACCGCACCTTTTGCTTGCGCGCATTGTGGATAGTATCTTCATGACGGGTCAAATCGTAAGGGCGGGAGAAGATCGAGTTGCAAGGCTTGCCAGTAGACGGGTTGATACGCTCGCATCGGTGCGGGCCGGCCTGGGAATTGCGCATTGAAGTATCGCGGGCAACCAAGTGACCCCCGGGCGATGTCTGGCGATGAGCCTCCCGCTTGTGGCGCTGGAGCTTCGATGGAGACTCGAAACGATGAGTGCAGCCATGGTAGGTGCAGGTGTAGGTACCGGTATCTGAAGAAGTGTTTCTGGGACGCGAGAGAGTGGGAGTCTCCGCCTGCAGACGTGGTGACACCTCCACTGAAGCGCGTACCTCGTTAGAGGGCATTCCAGAGAGAACATCGGGCTGCTGCAAGTAGCTCTGCTGCGATCGCTGGAGTTGCTGAGCCAATCCGTAAGGAGCCTGCGAGACCGGAGCGTAGTGAGAAGGGAAGGTGTCCATCGTAGCCATAGGCTGCGCCTGGCGCATTGTGCCGCTGTCTCGGCGAAGGCCGAGAACATCCCCGAGGTTGAAGTCGGACTGTCGGGGGGAACAGCGGAGCCATGGCGGCATCTTCGCCTTCGTTGAAATCGAGGACGGCGTCCTTGGGAGACATGGTCTTCAAGTCGGACTGGTTGGAGGATGCCGCATTCATACCATTCTGTGCCATCGGAACACTGGTAGCCATGTGCGGATGGAAGTTCGCGTACTCGGAGCTTTGGCGAAATGGGGATCGTTCGCGCTTGAGACCGGATACTGGCGACTGAGACCGAGCAGAGAGGTGTCCCTGGCTGGCGGCTTGGATGCGATCGGCCATCATGTTGCGGGGAACCATGAGGTTTTGACTCATGGGCTTTGACATCTGTGGAGCAGCCATCACAGTCGGGTTAAACAGTTCATCCTGATAGATATCTGAGATAGTACGATCGAGCTTAGGGACTCCAATGCCCATTCCATTTCCATTGCCGTTGGCATATTCTGAAGACACGTCGCTGGGTAAGTACTCGTCCATCCACCAAGTTGGATTAAAGCGCTGGGTCTCACCATTCGTCATCTTGGACAGATCGTCAATCTCGTCCAAGCTAGTCTGGGGGGTGACTGGCGAATTGTGGCTCAACGTAGAAACCGAAGGAGCAAGAGAGTGCGAGTGCTCGTTCTGTTGTTGCTGTTGGGGCGATTGTTTCGTTTGGTCCATGATAGCCCTTCTCATGGCTGACTCCGCCTCCACACTGCTGGCGTCCTGAGACGGGTCGTAGTTCTGGAAGGGTGCGGCCAGGAATGAGTTCTGGACGGGGGTCTGCACTGGGGTAGGCAGAGGCTTGTTGGAGCTGTCTGAGCGACGATGTGATGAGCCGGATGGTGAGGCCTTGGAGGGGAACGGAATGCGAGCGGGGCTCAGAAGTTGCAAGTTATTGTCCCAAGCTTGGTTGGGAGCCACGGGTTGTTGGGTCAACATTGGGGTATAGTATTGCGGGTATTGGCCGAGATATTGTGATGAGGGTGAAGCAGAGCTCTGAACGTCCATGGATGGGTTGTAGGAAGACGCGGGTGTCATCGAAGGAGCCCCGTAAGAGCTGATTGTCCACCGAGGTGGGTGGGTAGGGGTTGGAGAAGGTTGGCGAGGAAAAGGTGGGTGAGGAAGGAGCGGAAGAGGGCGGAGAGGCGAACTGGTTTGGCTGATATTGGAAAAGCGGTTGAAGATAAGATTGCTGGTACTGCTGAGAGTTCTCGGCGAACTCAGGTGGAAACTGATCGTCTTGTATGATGATGTCTTCCGGGTTGTATGGATCAGTGATGAGATCCTTACGTGTATACATAAGCATTATGTTCTCACGTAGAGGACGTCAACAGAGGTGGGAGGTGGGGGGAGGCTGATTTGCCACCGGGGATGGCAAGATTTATATAGGTGAATTTCCGACGGCTCAAGGTCCGAGGGATCCCTGGGGGTGGAAAATGACTTGAGATTCTGGGTTGGAAATCTGGTTGGTTGAGAGGGAAGAGTCTGGAAACGTCGAGAGGCTCAGGCAGGTGATGATGGTATGGGTGAACCTTAAAGTAGGAAAGTCTGGGAGGGTGAGATTGGGGTTCTTTAATGAGCCGGGCAAAAGATGAGTCTTACCAAGCTTGTGCCAGGATTATAATAAGTAGAGTTCAATAATGAGTAATGGAGCAGAAGGGAAACGCGGCACACTTAAGAAGATTCTATGGCCGAAGTATCAATTCAAGCCATGACGTTACCCCATGCTTGCAGGGGGAACCATTTGCCCAATCAGCAGCCACCTGGCTGCGATTGCTGGGATTCTTACCGTCGAGCCCGGACTGCCCGACCATCTTTCATACCGTAACGAATGCTCGGTTCCGCGCTATTCCATTTTGGGCCTTCTTTCTAGGATCCCCGTACCGTACGATTACCAATTCCTGACCATGATTACCGAGAACGAGAGCGACGGAGCGAGGCTTTGTCCCAACCCGACCCACTGATCTACCTGATGTCTGTGCTTGCAAAAAAAGGGAGAATTATTTCCAAAACAGGAATAAATAATACATTAATTCTAATTTGGAGTATCGCGAAATTCCGTTTGCCATTTTGGGCTTTTTCACCGTTTCTTTTTTTTTTTTTGAGGCATTCTATTTGTTCGATGAGTATCCTTTTTCTATCCCTCCCTTACTGCGTACATGGTCCTCAATCATGTCGATAACTGGAAGGATTAGGGGCTTTTGTCAGCGCGGACCACCCCACCTGGGCACCAAATCCACTTCATTGTGAATCAAAAATGAACATGACTGAATTGTGCCGGATGAGACATGACTCTAGGTCGAGTCATCGTAACAGATACTCATCCTCCAATCAACTTGAATCTATAGACCGAAAACCAAAGCCAAAACCGAAACCAAAACCAAAAACAAAAAAAAAAAAAAAAAAAAAAGAAAGAAAGAAAGAAAGAAAAGGAAGCAAACTAGTTCTGTCTGCATTACGGTAAGTCCGAGAAAATTCCAGCAGATCTCCAGATATCCTCCAAAATTAGGTTTTCTCAGTGACAGGGCTGAGCCACACTTGGGGTCATGCGGTTAGGAGACGCCGAATGCTGCCGACTACCCACAAAGGCCCGCATAACGAGTCCCGGGCCAGGAATGCCCCAAGCCACTTGTTGCTTGCTGCGCCACAAACGTGGCTTCCCGGTCTCCTGGGTCCTGCATTCTCTGGGGTAGATTCCACTTTTTTTTTTTCGCTACGATTGTATTGGCAGACGTGGCTATTCTAAGGCAAATGGTGACTTTTTTTTTTTTTAGCTTTTGTTTTTCCGCAGGTATAAGCTAAACAGATCCTGTACGCAGTGGGTGTTTGGGTCTTTCTAACCGAATACTCGGCAGCCTGTTTCTTTAGCTTCGTCCGAGACGGATCAGCTGACACTGGGCAGCTGACCCCGGATCTCCTGAGTCAAGCGATCTCCTGTTCCATGGGCAGACTCGTCGGAGCCGCGCTCGCGAATTGTGAGGCCCTTCTCGGCTACTGTGGACATGACAGTTCAAGGCCTTGGCGTCGCAGGTCACATGGGTCGTTGCCTTGTCTTCCAACTACATGCTTACAATTACGGGATGAATGTCATGGAATATCTGGCACGATCACATGGGTGAAAGCTAAGCATGCTCAACGATTCCTTATCCCGGTGACTAACTTCCTGACTCACAAAACGGTTGGGGGGGCCCTAAGGGGAACAGAAAAATTTTCGCATTCCGGCCCTGTTCGGCAGAGAACCGAGCTGAGTCTATATGGCTAGTGTAGATCCGATGTGCAGAAACAGGAGTCTCGGAGTTACGGGTAACAGGCATGTAACTATGCAGGTACTCTGTAAGGCTGGTTACAATCGGCTAAGTTTAGCGCCCAGCAGAAGCTAGTCTTGGTGCTAACGTATCCTAGCCTCCTTAGGCTCGGGAATATCTGATCGCTCGGGGGAGGCCCGTGTAAAATGGGGTGTGGCTTGCCAGCGGAGAGATGTCGAGATCGTTCCCGCGACCGGAGCACACTAGTCCTCTGACTGGAATTGAGAGGTTTTTTTTTTTTCTCTCTTTCTTTCCTCCCGGAGCTCTCTTGCCCGTTATTCTTGTTTCTGAGTATGCAGCTAGCGCTAACTAGGTTCTTCCCAAAATCGATAACTATTCTGCCTGAATTTTGGCCGAACTAAACAAAAAGCAATTTTTGATGTTCTGATCGGCCCCCCCCCGGGTTGCCTGACCACTCGGGGCACCGAGAGCACACGCGGGTCCGGGGTGCCGTGATTTCCGACCAGTCTGGACCGTTCAAAGGTTCCCCAAAGAAAAAAGACCCTGGGGTCCAGATTCGATAAACCTAGAAACCCTGCCCTTGGCATCTATCGCGGCCGAAGGGAGGGCCTCCACTGGCATGAGACCCCTTGATGTAGAGTATTCATGATCCGGGGGGAGAGTGGCAAATTTTGTCACTATGCAATACGGCCGAGTATTGGCCCATCGTCAAGGGTCAGACACCAAACCACAACCTACCGAAGGGAGAGGTATCGGGCGAAGCTGCCAGTCGCGATTGGGCCACGCGACCAAGGACATACTAGCTACCTTCTGAATTAGGCTGATTGCCAACTGTGCAAAGGGGTCCCGCGGAGATGTGGAATTCCTGGTCGGCCTGAGGAAAGAAAATTTTTCTTCGGCATGGCATCCCGTGAGCTTGTCAGCACCTTAACGGCACCAGAATGCCGTTGCTCTTGCAGAAGGTATACTTAGAACAAGCTAATGCATGAGAAGAGATTTCAATGGAAATGATTGGTTCAAGTGGAAGGGCTCAGCCACATCCGCCCAAGAGGGCTAGTGGTATGGCTAGGGGTATTGCAGATACGTGGCTTACGCCAGCGATACCATACAGAATGGGCGCCAAAGGGTTTCTGGAATCTGTCGAATCCTTCTAGCGGCAATTTCGGCACCGGGCTTGTCCGGCCTGTTGGGCCTTGGACTGTCAGACCTGCATTAGTCGCCTCGTTTAGTTGCAGTCTTTCCCCTTGTTTCCGTTCCTCGGAGTTGCATTGCTCAGCAGTCAGAGATTTTCTAGTTCCTCGTGTCGGATTCTACATTCCCTACAGACGCAGAGATTTTGCTTGAGTCTCACGGCGCACGGTCCCCTCCCTGGCCCCACCCGACACTGGATGTTTGTCTCCATCGACTTCCGACTCAGATAGATTCTTCTATACGCTGTACACGCCATCCCATCCATATTTTTAGAACTCCCGAGTGGTCAGAGATTTCTATTCATGTGACTCCTGGACGATGCCTGTAACAGCAACGCGCAGAAGATCCATGATGTCGGAGCGACTATCCTGTTCCGAAGTAGACTGTATACCTCTGACCACCATGTCTCAGTACACGGCCCAAATTTGGTAACTTGTTTAGGGCCAATTACCCGATAGACGGTCTTGAATGTCTAAACGATCTTGCTTGCATATGGCATTATTCCGGTCTTACTTCCCGATCCAACCCTCTCAACTTCCTGATTCAGCGGAACGTGATTCGGTGGAGTTTCCTGCCGAGCTGGATGGACTGGAGGGCACCGGGGAACAGGAACCAAGCTGAGTCTAACTGCCCCTAGCCCAATCACATCAGTCGTTCAAGGGTACTCGATTTGTCTGGTCGAACGCTTGTTCCTGATAGGACGCTCGATTGCATCTGGGTGGCGTTGTTAGGCTAAGCTGGGTAAACCCACCGCGACGTGAGACACAGCTAGCAGCTTACTGGGACTCGTAAGGGGCCCACTCATTATCTGTCAACTTGTTTCCCCCATCAATCATTGTCCAGATCAGGGATCTGACCTAGAAACCTGCGGAGAACCGAGCTTTGTGTTCTGCGAGCCGCTGTTGTGCTCATCCCTGAGTCTGGGATTGATCACATGTGATCAGACAGACTATCAGCTCCGATGGCAGGCCACTAGGATACATGTTTATCGTTCGTGAATAAGTGATATTAGGTGTGGCGCTCAGACCTATACCGGTACCAGGTTCATTCTATGTACAGTCTAAGGCACGGTCCACTCTAAACAAGTCAGCGTAGCACCTACGAATTCCAAAGTTGAGGCTAACCGTCCAGCCATCCAATAGGGTGTCGTTGGATATGGGGGCACCTAGTCTAGACGAATCCTCTATAGACTTGCTTGCGCACTTGTGTATTCAATTTGTGGGGCTGGGCTTGAACCTGCAATCTAGACCGCCTCAGAGGACTCTAGATGCATGCCGTAGAGGGCTTCAATGGGGGATGAGGAGGCTCAAGCTACGAAGGCCGTTAGTTAGTTTTGAAACATGGTCCAGGCCATCGATCCAGATGCGGAACTTGACCCACCAGCGATTTTCGTGAACCGAGAGGTGTTTACCTGGAAGCCTTGTAATTTAGGTGTTGAGACATCGAAGAGCCTCAATGCACCTTCCCACGTAAGTTGCTGCGTACTGCCCGGGCCCGCCAAGGCTAATTTGGTGCACCTGGGCATTCAATTCGGTCCGCCATGTATGTTCCTAATGTCGAGTCCCATCGCGGACCTCTTTTCCAATGCACGTCTGCACATTTTGCGACGGGGCTCGATCCAGCACCGACTACTGCTGTAAAGTTCCGCTTCTTGTATGTCCTTTTGCCTCCGTGGCCTTTGGTATTCCTTAATTAGCTTGGACTTGTCTCAGAAGGATGGACTTTGTGTGATTTGGGTATTCAGCGGTTTGAACAAGATTCTGCATAATGTCATGACGGTGAGGTGGGCGAAAAGCGAACCGTAGATCTTTTTAACCGGTGCCAGCAATGTATTCCCACATGTTTAGTTCGGGCGCTTCTTGTCATCAAAATTTGGCAGCGAGTTATAGGGCCGAATACGGAGACGACACTTGACGAGATCTCAAGTAGCAATTCCGTTGCTATGGCTGAAGTCGGAGGACCGGGATGATACGCTACATTTTTCGAGTCTCTGTCCAGGCAATATATTGGATATTAGCCATGTGGATCATCATGGTGCAGCTATGTGAGGTGTTGGATTTGACTAATGGCTTTGTATGCTCCTAGTCTCCCGAGGCGGTCATCTGCTCAGTATACCATCTGCAGCCGACACATTCGCTCCAATAAAAAAAGCCATGACGGGAAGTTTCCCTTTTCTGGTTAGTTCTTCATCAGGTAGATGTAGCAGGTCCCATGGATATGGGCTCTGATATGTGCGTGACTTTATCACTATAGGATGTATGGAGATCTCATATCATAACTATAGATCCCTGTCACCCAGGGGTAAGCCTTTTCCTATGAGACGTGCTATCGATAGCGATAGTATCAGGTCACAGTAGGGATCAGCAAACACGGGCTGTTGGCCGGTTTGGAGAACTGAAGACTTTTTCCATATGCGTAGCACCCATGGGTATCTCGGGTGTATAACCGGGGTACGGTAGAGAGGGCCGCTTACCTAGCCTTCGAGTTGACAGCTCGACAGCAAGGCAATTAAGAGTAGACTGTGGACAATGGACATGTCTCCCCTTGTATCGATATTCGCAGTCACTTGTCTTGGGGGCGTTGAGCTCCATCCTCATATCCATGGTGTCAGCTTTGCATCCACTAGAATCATCAATGTCTGCCATTGTAGTCGAATTGTTCACCCTGCAACAGCATGTGGGCTTCTCATGCACACTCTTCTTGGACCTCTTCTCTACCGGTTTTGGGTATTCCAGTCCCTCGCCAGAGTGTACTTAACCCCAGCTCCTAGGAGCGGGCAGAGGAAGGAAGGATCTGTTGAAGATAGGAGGCTGCCGAGTCGCCTTGGGGATATGGAATTCCCCATGGGGTTTGATGCTGATATACCCAGTTAGCGTCGGATAAGCAACTTCATGACGCCCGCCAACCCATTTGATACGCGACACTTATATTCGTTAGCCTCTCCTACCAGAATTATCTGATATGTCCTCCAAATACAGCGGCCTTACGAGCCCTGTTTCCAGCCTGGAATTGGAGAAGTGGGACGAGTCTTGGAGTCAACGTATCACCGTAGCGATAGCAAATTTCCGGACGAATCAGAAAACAAAAAAGGTGCGAGAAAAAAACATACGACAGTCAGGATTCCCATGTGGTCACCCACCATAGTACTAACTGACCGGCGTGTGGCTTAAGTACGGCTGAGCGGACGGGAAGCCCTGTTCTCCACACCCTGTGGTCGTATGTGCTAGACTCTTTAAGAGCTGGATGAAATCGGAGCAAGGGATTTGGTGTTTGCAGCATTGGAGTCATAGTTTGAGCTGCAAGAGTTAACTTGAGGATAGAGGAACTTTTCGAGAGGAGTCCCTGTTTTGCACACAGAGTGGATCTTATACCAAATAGTCATCACGGTCAGTTCGTGGTTCGACTTGGGGCAAGGTGCCGCCACGTCCCTCCCTCCGTACGTTCATTCTCGTTCCGCGTTCGACGGTCGGGTCTGCACGATCATGGGATAGTAAAAGAATCTGCCGGGCCTTGGTTTCGCGGAGTCGCATTTGGTCCGACTTGTTGTCCGATTATCCGTCGGCTTGTTTGGTGGTGGCCTTACTGCCTTTCCCCATACGAGTGTCGCAGGAACGGCCGATGGAGAGTCGGTGGTGTCTGTATACGCGGTAGTGCTCTTTGCTTGTGCCCATGGCAGGTGTATCCGGGCTTCTTCTCATCGGCTTGTGCCGTTCGCTGGGGGCATATAGATTCCAAGGCGAGACTCTGGGTTTAGCGAGTATGCTTCGTGCCTTCAGTCGGTGGCCAAGAACTGCTTCTCCATGGAGCTATGCGCGGCCCCGGTCTGTTGAGTATCCTTTTGCTCGTGCTCCGGCAGCCAGTTCTCTCGGCCATGCAAGGGTGCTGAGTTGGAAGGGGGGGTTTTCATCGGCTGCAGCCGGGGCTGTCGACGGAACAGTGCAGCCAATGCATTCTCGGTCTGTCGCGGAAATTGGAAGTACCAAGTGATCATTCGCACCTGGATTTTGACTATTCTTTGGCTTTTGAGTTACCTGCTTCTTGCGGAGTACTTCGACGTTCTGAGGGGTTGGTCTGTGCGTAAAGGCAGGCCTTGGTCGCGCCAAAAAAAGTTGAACCCCACCCAAGGGGTTCAACTTGGGGTTCAACTTGGGGGTTCAACTCTCCATGTCGGGCAAACGGTGGTCGGTTTTATAACGCTAATTGTTGCTTTTTGTGGTCTTATATATGATATAGAGCCTTCCTGGAGACCTCGTCCTTATTTTGGAGAATATTGGAGAGTGTAGACGTGAACTGGGCAATTTTCTCATGACTTTGATGTTCTGATCTGAAATATATATTTTATACGATGAGTGTACCGTACCCATCTCATGTACCTCCAAACCAACAAATCAATAAAACATTCATACAACGACTCGGAAAATACTCCAACAACTCCTAGAATGAACGTAAATAGTATTACTGCACAAGAAATCCAAGAGAGACTATAGAGACCAGCATAACTCTAAGCTCAACAGAGCCAGCACTCCGACCGAGTACAGGTTAAGTGAAAATGAAGTAACTCCCATTAGACAACCTAGCACTGAAACAGAATAGTACTAAATTCGGTAAGAAGCAAATAAAGGCAATGGCAAACCACTAGCGACATATGGAGACAGCGAACAGTACACAAGACAGGGATACTAGGAGCCCGAAAAGGCAAACAATCACAGCCAAAACGACAGCCAAAACGTGCCGGTCACAGACCTGGAATACTCGCGAAACATAGCGGACAAGGATACCAGACGGAAAATAAAAAGTTCATACCCAAGAATCAGCCCGAAGGAGCCATTACAGAATATGGAAGACTCGAGATTCAAGTATCAGTTGTTGTATTCGTATCGGATCCGCATGATCGATGCGTTGATCCCACCATTCAAGTGGTGCCAGCCTACTATGGTAAAAGGCCGCTATGATACAGGAAAAGCTCGGAAGCGAACACTAGCGAACCCTTATTGGACGCAAAAGTGGTAATCGTTGTAGTAAAAATCAAACCCAGAGACCCATGATAAAAGCAATCAGAGAACACCCCAACGTCCCATCATACCGTGTGTAACAACCCGGAGAAAAAAGCAAAAACATGACACGCTTAGCCACCGAAACCGTAGAGGGTACCTGAAAGCAAGATGTTAGAGACGCGTTGCAGATAAACAAGAGACGCGTGAAACTTACGGCCCTGGCGCTTGAGAGCGTAGACAACGTCAAGAGAAGTGACAGTCTTGCGCTTGGCGTGCTCAGTGTAGGTGACAGCGTCACGGATAACACCCTCGAGGAAGGTCTTGAGGACACCACGGGTTTCCTCGTAGATCATGGCGGAGATACGCTTGACACCACCACGGCGGGCGAGACGGCGGATAGCGGGCTTGGTGATACCCTGAATGTTGTCACGCAAGATCTTGCGGTGACGCTTGGCGCCACCCTTGCCGAGACCCTTGCCACCCTTTCCACCTGTAGAAGCGCGTTAGCAGGCGCGTCTTGAGGCTGAGATAATTCCCAAAGCAGGATAGCCTCGAAAAGAAGCGTCGGAGGTACTTACGGCCAGACATATTGGATTAGAGTACGAAAGTTTTGAGGTTGTTGAAGGGTGAAGTGGAGACTCTTGTCGAAGATGGATTGGGGAAAAGAAGATGGGTCGGAGGTACTGGGGAGGGGGATATATGTATCGAAAGCCGCGAAGACGCGGGAGCCTGCGAAATCACAGAGAATCACCACGCTAGTGGGTGGATCCGCCAATCAACGTCGAGGATCCGAGAGACTGGCGTGATCTGCCGGTCTTGCCCCTCTACGGCCAAGATGCCTGAGGAAGGCGTTTTGATTCTGATCTTTCCCTGTCACCTCCCCTAAACATGTAAATCAAAGTTCAAAAATAGCCAGGCCACATTCCATACTGATTCAAATGGATCTGGAATGTGAAGATCAATAAAATCAGTGTTGTGGTAACTAGGATCAAAGGGAATGGGCGGAGGAGGTATTCGAGATCCGTGATCCTGCAATTTGATTGGCCGATACGGCGGCCGCTCGCTTAGCAGGTTTCCCTACAGACCCAAACGTACTCCGTAGGGCGAAAATCAAGGGCCGCTTTCCAGCAGCCGTTTTACTGATCCTGATCCAGCCTTCTGATTCGTCCACCCGCAAACTCCCAGATCACCACCCCTTCCGAGTCCTACAAATACCCTTCCCCCCCACCTCCAACTTACTTTCTTTCTCTCTCTCATCCATCCGCCGTCGACAACCATCATCGACAACTCTCGACTTTCATCAAAAAAATTTAAATTTTCCATCAAACCAAATTTGGAAAAATGGCTCGCACCAAGCAGACTGCCCGTATGTTTATCCTTGAGCCCTCTACACCTCGCTGTCGCTGCTCTGACTGAGGGGATCGTGCCTCCACCTCGATGAGTCGGGGCCACCTTCCACTTCGGGAAGGCACTGACGCGTGGACGCGTCTCATCACAAGACTTACTAACCTCACTTCTCCTTACAGGTAAGTCCACTGGTGGCAAGGCTCCCCGTAAGCAGCTCGCCTCCAAGGCCGCCCGCAAGGCCGCCCCCTCCACCGGAGGTGTCAAGAAGCCCCACCGCTACAAGCCCGGTATGTTCACCTCACTTCGGCCCATGGATGTTTCAATTGTTCTAACGGTCCAATGACAGGTACCGTCGCTCTGCGTGAGATCCGTCGCTACCAGAAGTCCACTGAGCTTCTGATCCGCAAGCTTCCCTTCCAGCGTCTGGTTCGTGAGATCGCACAGGACTTCAAGTCCGACCTGCGCTTCCAGTCCTCCGCCATCGGTGCTCTTCAGGAGTCCGTTGAGGCCTACCTCGTCTCTCTCTTCGAGGACACCAACCTGTGTGCCATCCACGCCAAGCGTGTCACCATCCAGTCCAAGGACATCCAGCTTGCCCGCCGCCTCCGCGGTGAGCGCTCTTAGATGTGCTGAGGGTGGCTTTTTTCTGTTGACACTTATGGGATGGCGATCGGGGTTTGCTTTTTCTTTTCATGACTATCGGCGACACATGATATGGGTTTTGCTTTTCAATATCAAAGGGTTTCGGAACCGGATCGTTTCTGAATTTGATTTCTACTATTGCGCAATCAATGCTACTGCCAACACCCCGGCCGGGATGGTTAGTCATGGGCATGTACATTAAGTCTCTACCAAAGGTGCCTTAGCGCGCACTCTCATGACATCACGCTTAATCGCGTTCTACTCATTCATTTTGTGCCCTTACTCTTCCTGTAGCCTGAAAAGCCTGTTACTCGAAGGAACGTGTCGCTATTTAGTCCAACAAAGCATGTTTTGCCTCGGTTGACGATTTGCGTTCTGCTTCAGTGTTTTGCTTGGGATTGGTAGGTGATCTTTCGCCAACATTCCTGGAGCCTAGCAAAATTAACATTTACGAACAATGAAACCCTTATCTACAGGTATCTATCCTGAGAATCATGTATTTCAGTGTTCGCACATCTCGACCTTGAGCTATAATCACATGCATATTGGTCGTTTTAAGTGTCCTGAAGAATGTCCTTCCTTTCGGAAGGGCTGGGAAGTAATGTACCTTCCAGCATTCTTGGATCACATCACGGAGTATACAATAAGCCCATTTCGCACTTTCAATTTCGGCAAATCCTGATGGCTTGGAGTGTTGGGCGTCTGTTGCCTGCCTTAGGGTGCAGTGGCCGCTCTGGTGGGAAATGTGGGTATTCAAGGAGCTGCACTGAGGTTTTAATTCTTTGATCTTACTGCCCAGCCAAGTTCAAATGAGTAGAAAATTTGTACAGAAGTAGGTCTAATATAGATGAGCCACTATGCATTTTTTGAAGAAACGAGCTCATTTAAAGATTGTAAGATCAGCCGATTACTCTGTGACCTTGTCTATAAACTATGGCCCCATACCAGTGGAGACAAAAGACACAGTACTTAGGAGTCCAGTCCACGGGTGGCAGAAACCACAAACCGCCTTACTGGCTAGTGGTCACGGGACTACTGATCAGGTGACACTCGTATCACGATGACACAATATCACGTGATAACAAGAGCCGCATGACGAGAACATAGTTAGCCGGAACTAGCCCTGGAGGGGAGATTTTAAGCTAGTCTAAGCTAGCCAGATTAGGACTAGTACATCAACACGCGCCCCCAGGTGGGTTATTTAATCCTCTACAGATCCTCCAGGACTTCCTCTTTTTCTTTCTCCATCTTCTGTTGCTTTTGCTGGAGCTACTGTCCCAATGCGCATCGTCAAGTTATCTCGACTCAGCCTAGCCCAGCGGCCTCTCTGGACAGGACAAATCCATATCAGTCTTGGGCGAGGGCAGCCCTTAGCAGCCGCGCTCTTCAATCGTGTTTCCAATGTCGCTCGATTCTATCCGTCATGACCCGTCGTGTCCTTCATGAGATTAATTCGTGGAGTTTTCCGTCTCGCGCCTCAAAACCCCTCACGGGCCCCCCACACTCTCCATGGACCTCGATGTCTCTTACATCGCTCAGCATTCTTCATGCATCTAGCGTCTGCACATCTCAACGTCTTCAATATAATTCAGATGCCTTCGGGAAATTACTCCTTCACACCTTATTATCCTTCGTGGTCCTTCACGTCGTTTACGGACCTCACCGTCTCATACACCTCAACGTCTCATATACCTCAACATCCTACATTGACCTTCCTGTCTCTTTTGACCTCACCGTACCTTGTCTACATAAAAATCTTCTATGATCTCGCTCATCAATCTCGCTACACCTGAGTCCAGCTCGCTCATTCTCCGCACCGAATTTTTGGACTAAATCTTTCTTCACGGCTCGGTCTTCAGCCCCACGCACCCCGGACTTTGGTACCTCGGATGAGAATGTGTTATACATTTTGAAGAAGATTGTTCAGTGTCCCGGCCAAGGCGGTATACTTCGGTTGCCCCTGGTTATACGCGCTTTAAATGCTACCTCCAGAGGATTCATAGTCGATAGTGCGACTTCTGAAGATGGAGCTCTGGTGTGAGACGCGGGTGATTTAGAAAGTCACACGGTGTGTTCAATCTGGTGCATAAGGGTGTTGTGTATTACAACGCTGCTTAGGTCGTCTGGCGCTGATCCGCATAGAACAGCACTCAGCAGTCTTCTTCATTATGGATTTCCAAGATCTTATCTCTGGAACAAACCGATATGAACATGACAAAGTGGGAACCTCTCATCAAAAAAAGTGACTGGGGGTATTCTGGGTCAGCCTCTGCTCCCTTGGTGGAGTCGGTTGATCTACAATTTGGCCTACTATCCCAGCAGCCTTGGACAGAGCAAGCTCACAAGACCTCTCTGGACAGACATAATAACCCCCCCCGTCCTGGGTATATGTCAGGACAAGTCTAGGTGGGATTGGGTCAAGATGACCAGGTGAGGATCGAGCTGTTGGCATCATTGCCAACTCGTCATAATGCTCTTCCTTTTTCCGTTTATACAAAGTCCTGAGAGCAATTCTTTCAATCAGAGCATGCAATTGAAGTCTATTTCCTATCATACACCCACTCTGTAGCTTTCTAGTGTAGAGAAGTTTTCTCCTTGGAGTTACATGATGCTCAGCACTGATGGTGCTCCCGTTTTCAGTAAGTTTGAAAACATGGAGCTACAAGACTCTGCCCAAGAAAGAGAATAAATGGGAAATCTACATAGAATATCGCGAGCTCAGAGTATTTTAAACCGTAGGCGTGCTCATCTCTTCCCAGTTTGTTTCGGTAGTAATGGGGTGACGAAGAGCACCAGGAGTGATTTGGCAAGCTTCTCGCCCAGTACTGCCATTCGTTTGCGATACCCGACACCAGCGTGGGTCAATATCCACCAGGAAGAATTTTCGAATTTTTACCCCCGATACTAGCAACCTTCTTCCGTGATTTTCCTTCTCCTCTGTAACCCCCGAAACCTTTCTATAGGTACCAATATATCGCGTTTACTACCTCACAAGGACGCCATCAGACTGGGACAGGGATGTGCCCCACGGACCTATTGCATAAATATTGAGTCCATAGTACGCGTCATGAGCATTGTATTCAGAGCCTTTGATATCCAAAACGCGCCTTCAGCCTGAGCACCCCCGATACGAGTAGCATGAAGATCCGTACCGTGGGATACGAGGCGACAAAGCCAATGTCGATGAAAACGAGTACCAAATATTATGTTGCTAAGACTTGGGACTTTTTCTTAAGGGAGGTGCCAAACTGAGGGTAGCACCTGTTGACCAGGCAAGGAGGATAGTATTCGATGAAAGTTTCGCGCTAGTGTTCCGACTGAACAAAGCCGAAAGCTTACCTTTTTTCCTGGGTAGGTTGGATCCCTCTGCAAGAAGCTTCGCTAGTGGATCTACCAGGAGTCGGGTCTAATCCCTTTTCATTCGGACACACGGGGAGCGACCCTTCTATGTCTCAAGATCCAGCCTATAAGTTCGGGATAACTTCAAAGGTGATTCAACACGAATCCTGCGTTCCTGGAGACTTTTATCGAATGGGGGCGCTTGTCAACCGCCATGACGGCAAACCTGTAGACGTCGGGCTCATCTTGGCGAAATGATACACCTACGGAGTACGGAGTACAGTTTTATTTACTCAAGTGGTCGATCGTCATGACTTGCACCAAAGAGGTCTAGTTTCGTTGCGTTTTGCTACGGGGCGTTTGTGGCGGATCATGCCGAGTCGGAATCTCATCGCCGATCCCCGAAATGGGGCGAGACTACGGCTTATGTTCCTGAATTCTGACGGGTGTTGGGTTTGCAGGTGTCAGCTTATAGTCTACTTCATCACCCCCACGGGACATCTCTACTGAGTTGGCTTGAAGTGGGAGATTTATGTAAGGAACGGGTGGTCTGGGGTGCGGATGGTTCGATCTTCGGATGGTTCGACCAGAAGTGGCCATTGAATCGAGGCTCGGGGCTAGTCCGCAACTAAAAGGAGCAGGACAAGGGTGCCGAGGTAATTTCCAGATAGGGGTTAGAGCCACGCCAAGGACCAGATCGCTGATAATCTTAGCCTCTCGGGTGCTCAGGTGTCGGCAAACTGGGTTCAGGGTTAATTCGCCCCGATGACGTTTACTCTGGTCATGAACCGCGTTGACCTCAACAGGTTGCCTTAATGAGCTGAAAGGAAATTTTCACGAGTCGAACGTTGTGCTGGCTTGGCGATGATCCCGCGATCTACTCCGTACTCCGTAGACCGAAAGTCGATCGTGTGTGGCGTTTGAGAATTTCTGATTCAAATTTGGACGGGAGAGTACTCGGGACCAGGGGTGAACCCGCCGAGCCGTGGAAGCCACTCGGGCGCGTGGCGTGACCCTGAGGTGTACCCGAAATTACGCTGCGTAATGGATATATAACGACAGAATGTCCACGTGGCCTGTCTACTGCTGCGTCGCACGAACGGGTATTTCGAACAGAAATGAGCGTTTACAGCTCACTGATCGGCACAAATGAAATCACAACTTAAACCATCTGGTACATCGAAGACACGGACGCCAGAGGAGTTCGGGATTCCTCTCCCGTGTCTGGGTTTATCGGTGTCCAAAGGACCCACTAGACATGCACAACAAGCGGACATCAAGTCCACGAGGTGGATTTGTAAGATGAAACCACGGTCAGGGAGCATTGCCAAGCCAGCCAAGGACCATTGCTTTACTGCACCAGTAATGGTCCAGTTCACTTTGGGAAGCATTAGTGGTTGTGGGCCCCATGTGTGATCAAGTTGAGCAAGACAGGGCCCGAGGACACGATGCGATCGGGTGGATCCGATGCCGTTTGCCTGCTGCTAAGAAGTTGTACGAGTGCAGTGATTCAAGACCGTCGAGATCCTTCATCATTCCTCAGGTTAGAGATACCGAGTGCGGTCGAAGAGTGCAGCCGGCAGAAGTATGGTGCCGAGTTGCCGGAATCACAAACCTTCGAGTCGCACAAGCCATGCATAATCCAAACGTGGCAGGTGCAATGGAGTTCCGTGTGCATATTCTATGCATAGAGCGTCACGTGGCACCGTTTTCGTCGTGGGAAAACGCAAGCCACAAGGAAATTCTCGCCTGGAAAAAAGCCCCGAAACGCCAAGATCATCGAACCCTCCAGAAAGGTCCTAGGCGCCCGGGCTAGGGCCTTCACGTTGCACGAGATTTCCACCATTAGAGCTATAGGGGCTGAGCAGTGTGCTGTGTCGCGATGTGATCCCTCGGGGCGAGTGGGCCCACGGTGTTTCTCTCTAACGCTTTTGCGTTGGTTTCCCGCCCGAACTGGATCCTTCCATGGACGGAGTTAGATCCAGGCCCGTACGCCCACTTGCTCATTTGCTCACTCATGGAGTTTTCTTTTTTGTTCACCCTTTATGCATCCCTAATACCCAATTTCGCTGTACGCCTATTCATAAACCTTGGAACTGGAAGGGCCCCAAAAAATAAAAAAAGGAAAACCCACGAGTCCTGTTAGCCTCACACCAATGAATTTAGTGTGCATCTCCTATTAAAGAGGGCCCGGATCCTGATTTTCCAAACAAATTTGCGGTCGGTATTGTCTTCCCTCGTAAACTGCACTGTTGCTTAACCCGGCGTGTTATTCCCTAACCCTTATCGGGGCAGCCCCCGCAAACGGAAACCCATCTCAGAAACAAGGAACAAAGAGAGTTTGCCCCCCTCCCCAGGGAAAACGAAAAACACACGCAGACTTGCTTGTAGCTTCATTCTCTTCCCTTTGGATGCACTGAGCTACCCCCCAACACTGATCTTCGAGCAAACGATCAACGCGATTCTTCGAGTCGATTCCTTTAACAACCATGTCGGGCGAAAAGTCCCGTGACGGCGAGCAGATCGAGCCACCTGCGACTCGCACGAAAATCCCCTACTGGAGACTCATCATCGACCAGGGTGTTGTTACCCCAGAAATCATCAACTATCCGTACTCCGGCTCCGGAACGGAAGATGATCCATACTCAGTATCATGGATCCCGGATGACCCTCGTAACCCCATGCTTTTCAGCGAGGTCGAGAAATGGACCTATACAATGCTGGTCGCATTTGCGACGCTGGCTGTTTCGCTAGTCTCTTCTGCATATACAGGTGGTGTTCTGGAGATTGAGCAGGATTTCGGGATCGGAAATGAAGTGGCCACCCTCGGTGTGTCATTGTTCGTCTTGGGTTTCGCTGTAAGTTCCTCGGGACGAGTACATTTGCGTTGCGAACTAATCGCTGACTCGCCATAGATCGGTCCCCTTCTCTGGGCTCCTCTGAGTGAGCTGTTCGGTCGCCAGCTCCTTTTTACCACCACCTATGCTGGTCTGACCGCGTTTAACGCTGGTGCCGCCGGTGCGCAAAACTCCTGGACCCTGATCATTCTCCGTTTCTTCGCTGGCGCCATCGGGTCTTCGCCTCTGACCAATGCCGGTGGTGTGATTGCCGATATGTTCCCCGCAAAGCAGCGTGGTGTGGCTATGAGTATGTTCGCCGCTGCGCCTTTCCTGGGCCCTGTCATAGGTCCCATTATTGGTGGATTTCTGGGGATGAACGCTGGTTGGCGGTGGGTCATGGGATTCCTCGCTGCCTTCTCAGGCGCCGTGTGGATCATGGGTAGCGTGTTGATTCCAGAGACCTATGGGCCCGTACTTCTTCGCCGCCGTGCGGCGAGGCTGTCGAAGCTCTCTGGAAAGGTCTACCGGAGCAAGACGGACATTGAGCAGGGTAGAGTTGCCCTTGGAGAAGCATTCAAGATCGCTCTATCGCGCCCTTGGATTCTTCTTTTACGTGAGCCCATCGTCTTCCTGCTGTCTCTTTACATGGCTATCATTTACGGTACACTGTATATGCTGTTCGCTGCATTCCCAATCGTCTACGAGGAGCACCGGCACTGGAACCAGGGTGTTTCCGGTCTGGCTTTCCTCGGAATCATGGTTGGTATGCTTCTTTCTGTGGCCTACTCTCTGTGGGACAACAAGCGTTATATTAAGACCGAAGAGGCCCACGGAGGTTTCGCGCCTCCAGAGGCTCGTCTACCTCCCACCATGCTTGCGTGCACCGCGATTCCTATTGGCCTTTTCTGGTTCGCGTGGACGAACTACCCTTCGATCCATTGGATGGCCAGTATCGCGGCTGGTGTTCCCTTTGGTTTCGGAATGGTCCTGGTGTTCCTTGGCATTATGAACTACCTCATTGACGCATATACCATCTTTGCCGCATCTGTCCTGGCCGCCAACTCTGTCCTGCGTTCTCTCTTCGGTGCCGCTTTCCCTCTGTTCACCACCTACATGTACAACAACCTGGGAATTCACTGGGCGTCCAGCATCCCCGCGTTCCTGGCTCTTGCCTGCGTGCCGTTCCCCTTCTTGTTCTACAAGTACGGCCCTGCGATCCGTGTGCGCTGCAAGTTCGCGGCCCAGTCTGACCAATTCATGCGTTCGATGATGGAGGGCATGAAGTCTGCCCCGGCTAAAGAAGAGGAGACCGAAACCTTCGATCGCACGGAAGGCCCCCGCACCAGCACAGGATGACGCTTCCAGTGGATCATCCTCCAATGTCGAAACGTCAGAAGTGCAGCGCACTCGCAGCCGCGCTAATTCGAACGCCTCGTCCCTTAGCAGAGTGCGTACTTACGAGGGTAACCCCTTCGACTTGGATCGCGTCAACACTAAGGAATCATTCAAGAGCAAGAAATGATTCCGATTTCTCGCCTTCCACTCCCATCTCAACTGTACATGCATTTGGATCGCATTGTGCTGCGCGTCCGCCTAATCTTCATTACCAATATCTCCTTTCACTGCCAATATCCCTTCACTTGTGCTTTCCCTTATGCTCTCCCTTCACTTATGTTTTCCTTTTTATGTTTTGACTCTGACTGATTTTGCATCGCATGCTGTATTATTCCCCCGCATGCGCATATTTTCTTGTTTCACATCCTGGATATCCAGTGAGCGACTGATGTACTTCTGCTTCTGGTAAAAAGGGGACCGCACAGACTCGATAATAGCATAATTTAATATTGAAAACATGTCTCAAAGTCCGAGGGGGATATCCAGAATCGTGGTAGTAGACCCACCAAAGACTCAACATTCTGGAAGTCCCGTGGTTTCAGCAGTCCTAAGTCACGGACCAGATAGTGCTTCGACGTGCTCAGGGATCTGAGTATCAAGCGGAGTTGCGTCGAAGAGCAGCCCCCGGGGCCGTAGATCGGACTTGCGTTTCGGCCATTCACGGCACACGACTGCTTATCCGAATGCCGGCTCTTGCGTGCGCGTCTGGATTTTTACTACGTTCCTTTTCTCTTTTGACCTTGGATTTCTTTCATTCCAGCATTCATACCCCCCCTTGGCCTTCGAGACCATTCGCTTATCGCGAGATTGAATTTCCCCTTATCGGACGCCCCATTCCGCCGAAGTCGAATCTTGGGAAGGGCTGTTCTGCTACCAACTCGCGATCTATGCGACCACTCTAAGAATTGGATATGAGTCTTTTTCAGAAGGGACTCAGTGCCCAGGTCTCAGCCTTCGTGACCCGACGCCGACCGACGACCCCCTCTGTCAGCCGATCACCGCTCCGTCGAGTCCGACATCCTCGTCGCAACCAATCCTCCGAAGCCTCAAAGCCCGAACCACAGTCGCAGAAGAAAGCGGTGGAAGATGGGCCATCTGGGGAAGCAACTGCATCTTCTCCGGCCCCCGCGCCCCAGCCAACCCCGGCGGGTGTGGCCGCGGGCGCCGCCACAACAGTTGTACAGCGCCGCGGGTTCGGCGACCTTGTAAAAGCAACTCCCTTGGGCACATTCGGCCGATGGTACGCTCGGGCGCAGCAGGCTCGGCCATATACCACACAGCTCTGCAGCTCTGTCATAATTTATCTGTTCGGGGACCTGAGCGCGCAAATGTTCTTCCCGCCAGAGATCCCAGTGCCGGCTGAAGAGGGCCAACAACTGGAACCGGGACAGCCACAGGAGTATATGGAAGGTTCATATGATCCATGGCGGACTCTTCGACATCTGTGCGTGGGTGCTACCTCCAGCATCCCGTCGTATAAATGGTACGTGGGCATCGTGTGAAACACGTTATCGAGCACATGGGGCCTAATATGAAATCCCAGGTTCATGTTCCTCCATAATAACTTCAACTTCTCATCCAAAGCCCTCTCGGTGTTGACCAAGGTCGTTGTGCAGCAGATCTGCTTCACCCCGGTCTTCAACACCTACTTCTTCGGCCTCCACTCGCTCCTCGGAGGTGCTACTTTAGAGGAGACTGTCGAGCGGGTCAAGAGGGCTCTTCCGGTGAGTATCCAGAATAGTATCAAGCTCTGGCCTGCAGTTACAGCCTTTAGCTTCATGTACGTGCCGCCCGAATTTCGGAATGTCTTCTCTGGCGTCATTGCTGTTGGCTGGCAAACGTACTTGAGCTGGCTAAACCAGACGGCTGCTCGCCAAGTTAGAGAGGCCGAAGCCGCGGCCGCGGCGCAATTGGGAGGGGCGTCTGTGTCTGGGGCTTTGATTCCTGCGAGCGCTGCGTGAAAGGCTCGCAAGGATTGACAGACATTGTAGATAGAGTGTGTCTGAAGATGGCGCTGTTCAGTTGGTCTTTTCTTCTCTTTTCTTTGGGGGCGGTGCATTTATTGGATAGATACCATTTAGATTTAGAACTTAGCATTTGTCGGCTTGATCGAGATTTTGATTTCCCATCACCCTCCGCATAATGATGCCACTGGGATGGTTGACAGACCTGCTGGTATGACACTACAAGTAACACCACAATATATAGCTGAGTAGAAACCCCTTTCGTCTGCAATCAAAGACCGACGATTTCTCACCCCAGCCACCAAACTTCATGTAATATGCAAAAGCCTCCAACACCCATATGAAGCCTTGTCCCGAATTTTAAATTCCTCGATCCGTATTGGCCCGCGGGCCCCCGATGTCATCTCCATGTAACGACGCGCCACCCATCTGGCCCAACCCCACTAACAAACCTCGAGGGTATGATCCTCGGAGAAGTGCTGCGGGCATGTCCTGCAAACTGCGAAGAAAGTCCCTCGACTCCGATAGCAGCGAATACGGCTCCGATTTCACACCCGATGAGCAGGCCCAGCTGAACGAGCTGCTCGCCAAAGCGGACGCGGAGAACGCGCGCGCCGCCGCCCCAGTCTCAACTCCCGCTACTCCCGTCGCATTCGAAGACCTCGAATTGCTGCAGCCCGTGACGCTATCGGCTCTTGTCGCGGATATTGAGGATGGCATCGATGGTCCCCCGAGCCTCAGGCTGCCTAAGGTGCTGGGCAGGGACAGTCCGAAGTCCCCGTGGAGACAGGCTCAGCGGCCGACGGTGGAGAGGGTTACAGGGAGGAGGTGGGCAGGTCAGGGGGCAGGCTACCGTGCCGACTCGATTGGTACGTATATTCTCCAAGTCTCCTTGACACGGGGGGTCTTTGGTTCTATGGGCTTGAGCTAACATGGTGTAATCCGAAGCGTTTAGTGGAGCACCCCAGTTCCAGTGAAGGTCGAGAACCCGAGAGAGAACGCGCCCGGTCGCTCGAGCTGGAGTGGACGCAGGTAGAGCAAGCCCTGCCTACTCAAGACACGCGGACTCCGATCGAGCGCTTTCGGAGACCTCCTAACAAGGCCTTTTCGGTGACGGACCTAGTTTCGCCTGCGTGGTGCGAGCTGCAGTACTGGTACACACTTACGAAGCATGGAAGGAAGAGGAGGACGCCCGCCATGAAAAAGGGCAGTGTGGTGCATAAAGCTTTGGAAGATGAGATCTATACTACTGTCCCTGTAAAGATCAAGACAAAGGAAGATGCCTGGGCGCTCAGGATATGGAATGTGATCCAAGGACTGCGGATGCTCCGAGACTATGGAGTAACTCGAGAACTCGAGGTTTGGGGCATGGTCGACGGAGAGCTGGTCAATGGCGTCATTGATCAACTGTCCTACGAATGCCCTGACTCGGACCTCGAGGCCTCCGCCGCGGGCTATTACGAGGAAGCGACCGCGTCACGGGCGGCCATGCCAGAGTATCAGATGTCGCTATCGGACTACTTGCTCTCCTCGTCGCAGGGCGGACGGAGACTGTCAGATCTCTCTCGAACAGAAGCACCTGCGGAGAATGCCCCTACCGCTGCTGACCCCGGCCTGCCGCGAGCTGTTTATGATCTACCGCGAATATACATGACCGACGTCAAAACTAAAGCGAGTGGCTCGGTGCCTACCGTCAAAAGTACTGGCTTTCGCCCTACGCTTTTACAGTTGCACCTCTACTACCATATACTCAATCGGATGGTCACGAGTGATGATGTTACCATAGGATACCTTGCGGCACGATATGAGCTTGACCTCGAGAAGCCATTTACCGACGCCTTCATTTCTGAAGTTGGAGGACTAAATGACGAATTCTTTGATACGATCTCATCTTTTCCTTCGCAGTCCTCAGAGACCGACATTGGCGATGCCCCTACCCCAGATGATGCGCAAAGAATTTCCCAAGACGATCCGTTCCCACCCAGCTCCCACGATGATAGCCGTGACTCGACCAGCCTTCTTATGACTTATGGAACGCTCTCACGCCTGTGGGGCTTCATGAAAGAGCAGATCCGCTTCACTTTCATTCCACAAATGTCAGAGACGCACCGCGTTGCACCTTCGATTCCAGCAGAAGAACAGCCCGCATTGCTGGAAGACTATCCGACTCTTCTGTCCCCGGTGCTCACAGCACGCTTTGTCTCCTCGGCTCTTACCGAAGAACCTCAGCCACGACTTCTCAAAAGCAGGTCCTTCCTGTTTGACCCGAATAACATGAGCTCCTACATCGCCGACCAGATGGAATGGTGGCGTGGTCAGCGTGATCCCCGAGGTGTTGATATCATGGAAGCATGGAAATGTCGAATCTGCGACTTTCGTGACGAGTGCTCCTGGAGAGAAGAACGCGAGATGGAGTTCGCAAGAAGGAACCATAACCGCTAACCGACTACGCTTACTACCTTACCCGCATCCGCAAAACACCAAGTTTGAGGACGAAAGGCCACCAAAAGCACGCTGTATTGACATCGACTCACTCTTGTCCTGCAGGATCCCATGAACACACAAATATGCTAAGATACATACTCGTAAATCAGGGGCACGAAGATCTAGACACAAATCACATAGAACCTAATAAAATCACCTTATAAAGGATAACTGCGCACTTCATCTTCCTTATCCACCTCCAACCCATTAGCAATCTGCTCCGCATGCTTCTGATCCAAATACTCCAACAAGACCTCCTCATACTTCTCCTTCCCCTTGTACCTAGAAACATCCTCCCCCCAACTCCGAACCGCGGAAGCCAACCGCCCAGGAACATACGGCTCCTTCACAATCTCCGTAATCGGCTCAAAATACGTCCGAATAGTAAACACCACCGCACCAGACTTCGGCAACCGCCTCAGCGACTGCCGCTCCGAGCGAAAGAAATGGTGCTCGATAGCCCTATTCTTCTCCGCCGTATTCCACGACACGGTCTCCGCGTCCTCAGGCCCGATACTATACGACCACGCCAGATCCTCGTCCACCTGGATGAAGTAGTTATTGCGCAGAACAGGCTCCTCCGGCCGCAGCCGGCGAAAGAAGTTCAGCATGCCCTTTTCCAGCTTTTCGCGGAACTGAGGCACGTCGCCGGACGTGTGGATTTCTGAGAGGGGCATCCCGAATTTGTCGCTCAGGCGCCAGAACCCGGCGAGGAGGATCGCGCCGGCGAGCAGGTAGTACTGGCCGTCGGGGCGCTCGAACATTAGGGCCAGGTCGTCTTGGACAAGCCGGGCGCAGGTTGCCATGGGGTCTTCGGGGAGAGGGCGGGCGGTGATGTCGAACGTTTCGTTGGTGGCTTTGTTGGTTATTCCGGTGGGCGTCTTTGCGAAGAGGGTTGGGTAGCGCTCTGGGAGGTAGTCGCAGCTGGTTTTCGGGGAGGATGAGTCTGCCGGGCTGTTGTGGAGGAGGGGGAGGAGTGCTTACAGCTCTTCGAGAAGCTCGATGGCGCCGTCCATTGCTTCCGGTGCTGTGCCGTAGCACTTTTCACCACGCTCTGCTATGCGCCTTTTCTTGTCGGCATGGTACTTCAGGTAGTGATTGTCGAGCTCTGGGTTGAGTTAGATTATGTAGATATATGAGGGTGCGACGTTCGATGATTGCGCATCTTACCGATCCATTCATCCCATTTCATACTTCGTAGTCCCAAGGTAATGAAATACTTTCTATGTCGAGGACCTTAGCAATATGCCTTGGAAAGGAACACGACACCGGGGCTTACTGGCCATAGCGAAAAGGCCGATAAGGGATCGGCTTCGTGGTATGGACATCCCAGTCCTTGTAGGGTGTTGCGGTAGGCCTCTTGAAGTCGGACGGTGGCCATTCTGTAAAGACTCAGTTTAATGCAAGAGACTGGATGTGGAGCGAACGTACCTCCGGGGTTTCTTGTTACTTTCCGCCGTGGGCTTCCAGACATTGGCTTTTCAAGATCAGGCGACGAAGGCCTGTGCCTTGTATTGGGGGAGTTCATCCATTTGCGTGAAATTGTTACTGCACATAACGCGACAATGTTGAGGAAAAGAAACGTCGCGATGATGTCCTTGGACGGAAGGATGGATAAGACTGCCCCTCGCAGGGATTCGGTATCTATTGCCATAGGTGTCAAGAGAATATGCTTTCATAGAAGTTTGGAATGATGTTCAATTGATCTGTCCCATTGGACTGTGTATGGAAGGGCCGAGATCAGTATATAGCTTAGTAGATAAGGAGAGGATTCAATACACAAGCGACCAGTGCGAGTGAGTTCTGACTGTTAGACCGTACCATATGAAACCACGCAATGTTTAACGTCTAGCGTCTCCCTTGGATTGCCATTCCCGTTAGGTAGATGCGAAGTGTCTTTATCGCTGCATGCGGATGTACTGTATTCCTCAGGCTCACGAGCAGTTGCGGAGGGTAAACGAGGGGCCACATTTGCTCGCATCTGAATATGGCCTTTGGATCCGAGGGCGCATGGGAGCAGGCCTATCACTGGACAGAGAGATAGACGCCGCCTTGGGTGACTTGATATCTACCGTGAGGGGGGCTTATCATCCATTCGCTGTGGTAGCCCGTAACACTTAAGAGCGCGTAGGGATTTCTTCACCCGATTGGGATTAGATCGCCTGGTCCACTCGCCGACCCCAGATTTTACGATCGGCGAGAGGGGTCTTCGAGGTTTATGAATAAGTACGTCATAGTTTCATTATTTTCTGACGTATCTCTAAATGGTATGGAGTGGTAGATCGATCACCTTCACGGCATTTCAGGATTCGGCCTTGATGTCATCAGGCCGGCGTTGCAAGAGGCAGTACTCGCCCCATTTCCGTTGGAACTGTTCAGGAATAAATGGTAAATCAGGGACCCAGATCAATCGTCCGAGCAAGCCGGTCTGGGCTGTGTCCAAAAATTTTGCACAAGACAGAGTCTTCCATTGGGCATTGTCCAGGACATAGTGTGGTTCCAGCTCCGTCGCTTCGTGCCTGGGGAAATAGGAATCGACGAGGAACGAGCATTGAGATATCTCGGTCTATGGACATTAAGTTAGTTCAAATAGTCCAGAGGCTGGTAATCATCAAACTTACATATTTGCTTGGATCCTCAATGTTGAGGTCGTTCATACCCGACGGAATCTTTGATGTCCCTTCCAGACGGCCGAGGTAGCTTGGCGAATCAGGGAATTCGCCTGGAAGTAGACCACGGAATTCGCTTCGAATGAACTTGGCATGCATGTTTTGCGGGAGGAAGTATGACGATGGGAAGCGATACCACTCCTTGCCAAGGCAAACAGATGCTTCAGCCTCTTCTAGGCCCACTCCCTGCAGAGGCTCGAAAACCTTCAACGGCGCAATGTAGGCTGTTACCATCCCCAGTGTGCGGAGCATGCCGGCATTGACGGCCATAAGGACAACAGACACAGAGGCCATAAGCTTGATCTTTGCAGGAATGCGGCCTATGACGTCCTTTGGGTTGCTGGACCCAAGATAAGTGAGAATTAAATGGAACGAAAAAGCCGCAGAAAGAGCAAGGAATGGGTATGCCGGGTACATGAATCGCTCCTCCTTGTGTGGCTGCATAGTGAAAATACCAAACCACATATAGAATGGCGCGACAAATGTGAGCGAGCGAAAGAACTTCTGGACCGATCCAGTTTGGGAGCTGAAGATCACCTGGATCAGGAGGAGCGGAGCAGAGAGCAACGCCAGCACAAACCAGATGTTGAAGTTCAGCAGTAGGTTGCGAACATAGAATGTCCATGGCTCAGTGCCAAAGATATCAGGCCCTCTTCCTTGACCGCCAAGTACGTTGTATGCAACGATATTCCAAGGGACAAAGACAATCTTTCGAAAGAATGCGTAGTCGATTGTTACCTCGAGAGACTGTGATGCGAGTTAGTATGTAGAGCGGCCCTGTAGGCTGGTTGTCGGGATATTTACAATTATCGAGAGACACCTGAAAGCACCATCTATGACAGCCAAGACAAAAGGCGCAAGGGACCCTGATAAGATCGCAATGATACCTTCCTCGGCTATCAAAGGAAGGATCAACGCTCCCGCAAATGGCCAGCCAACAATTGCACCAAGAGCAAACCACATGATGCCCTGTGCAATTTTGGGGCCACCTCTCAGATCCAAGAAAGCTGCCAGCCCGAGCATGGAAGTGTACATTGTGAATGTCGATGGCAGAAAGGCCGTGGACGCATGGAACATGCCAGGACTAAAAAGGACGACCGTAAGGAACAGGAGACCAATTCGAGGGTTGATGGATCGGCAGATGGACGAATATAATCGGGTTTGGCAAGCAGTACAAACAAATGCTAGGAACATCCGTATAAAGTAGAACTCCGCTGTTTTCGTGTGAACCACTAGCGCGCCTATCTTGCCCACTGCTGCATGAAGCGATACGTAGAGCCAACTTCGGATCGAGTATGTCGGCGAATATTCCCATGTCTGGAGCCCATAGCCATGGTCGAGGTAGTGTGTCGGTTCCCAGAAATTGAACACTTCATCGCAATCTTGTATCGGCGCATAAAAAGCTGCAAGGCCATTCGTCAGGAGACATAGGTACAGCACGACGTTTAGCGGGAGGTAAAAGGGTGGTGGTGGGCCCCTAGTCTGATGTCAGCGTCGTCTTCTTCTACCATTGATGGATCCTGAGTCAGAAAATATTTGATCTTACCGCGCTTTAGTCCGAGGTGTGTGGGCTGAGTGCCCCGCGTCTTTTGCCATGGTGTCGTATGTGTCCAGGTGCATTCTGTCCCGATAACAGATAAGGAAGCTTATACGGCGACCCAAACGGCAACTAGTGCGGTTTCCGCAAAAAAAAAAAAGTTGAGGCGCATCGAGTCTGTTTTTCTTCCTCGACCAATCTTCACTCACCCTTTGACGAAAAGACGGGACTTTGTGCGTCATAATTCCTCATCTCCTTTATCCAGAGATGAATGACTCAAAGGATCCCCCAGGCGAGTTGCTGGACTCCACAAATCCATCCCCCAAACTCGAGGCATCCCGCATCGACACCCCGGGAAATGGGACCAATTCTTACAATAACTCTCTGAGTGCACCCACCACATTGCCAGATGGGTCTTGCAAACAGGCACTGCCCGCTGCAGATCCTCTAGCACCAGTTCAACCAGCGTCAGCTGATTCGCATCCTGTGATTCCTGGGCTTGGTCTTGTGAACAGCAGCAACAACCAGCCCACTAGCGAACCATCAGCCGAGCATGCAGCCCAGCAAACACCCTCGAAGACCCTCGAACATGATGCGGTACGCCAAGAAACAGCCCATACCACTGCCACCGAAGAACAACAGCCGCAGGCTCAGGCGGAGGATGTTGGCCGTGATGCGATGGAGGTTGACGAGGTGGCAGGGCACGGCAATGAGCCTTCATCTGCACAAGGTGCCATGAACCAAGATGGTGGTGACAATCCGGAGTGGGAAGTTGACTCTTCCCCATATGAATCGTCTTCGGACAGTTCCACGTCCTCCGATTCTGATGATAGCGACGAGAGCGACGACGATAGCTTCCATAGGCTGACCCGTGAAGAACAAGCTCGCCTACTCATGCAGGTTGAAGTATCCGACGACGAAGGAGAAGAAGGAGCATCGGGTGGTCAAGTCCGTTCTGCGAACGAGATGGCCGAGGAAGCACTACCCATCCCTGATGTTACAGTCACTCCCGAGATGGAGATCGCTTACCTGGGCAAAGTTCAGAATGTGGTTGATAACTTTGTTCTCATCGCAGCTAATACTTCTGGAGAGTACCAGGTCCTTCAGCAAGGCTCGTTGCTTTGCTTCGAAGATCGCAAGGTGGCAGGCGTTGTCGCAGATTTAATCGGACAAGTCGAGCATCCATTTTACACTGTCACCTTTCCGACCCCCGATGATGCCAGACAGAGCGGCTTGTCTGTAGGTACGCCGGTTTACTACGTCGTGGCTCATTCTACATTCGTGTTCACCCAGCCCCTCAAGGGTATGAAGGGTAGCGACGCATCGAACCTTCATGACGAAGAGGTTGCTGAGGATGACGTTGAATTCTCGGATGACGAGGCTGAAGCGGAATACAAGCGGAAGTTGAAGCAGAAGCGAAATGAAAAGAAAGCAGGTCGATCCAAGAAGGGTCCTCCTGGACCTTCCAATTTGGGGCGCAGTGTATATGGCACCGATGGATCTGGAGATGGCTACAACCGTCTTTCCCGCCCAAAGAACTACCATGAGATGATGGAAAAGTCTGAAGCACCAGTCGAAGGAAGCGAGCGTGGACCTAGTACCCGAGGAGGCTATGGCCGTGGCCGTGGTTCTGATCGGGGTCGAGGCGGACATGGAAGAGATAGCCGGGGCGACTCACGCCGAGAGAGCCACCAATCTCATCAGCAGCCTGATGCCTTTCAAGAGTTGCAGCCACCTGCGTTCCAACCCCATGTGGCTTATGGCCAACCAGCCTACCCGCAGCAGCAGCCTGGTCTCGTGATGCCTCCATTCCCGCAATGGCCTCAGCAGCAACCAGCTCAGTACCCTGCTGCTCCAGCCCAAGCACCCCAACCATTCCCCTTCCAGTTTCCCTTCCAGCAAATGCTCGGTCAACAGAACTTCCCATCCATTCCGCTTGGCGCACATGTCAACCCTATGTTTCTGGCGATGCAACAATTCCAGCAACATCAGCAGCAACAGCAGCAGTTCCAACAAGCTCAGCAATGGAGCGCTGCACAGGCTCAGAACCAAGCCAAACCTGAGCAGGATCAGCAACCAAACCTGAATAAGAGCAACTGAGAGCCATACTCGCACTAATTTGCCGGTGTGCTTGAAATCTCTTGCCTTAATACCTTACGAGAAGCATTTACAAGGCGTCGTGGAATGGTAAAATAGTTAGGAATGCAAAAGTGATTTACTGGGTGTCGCCTCAGGCGGAGATAGGCTCTAACAATGTTTGTAATAGGAGTACATATTGTAGTATTGAAACCTGCCTGAAGTATCTTATTGAAGACAAAGTAAGAATAAGAAGAATTATGCGTCGATCAAACTGGTTTCGAGCATGGAGTGATCGATCCTCTTGAGCGCGATCGAAAACAAAGAATGGGTATCGATCAAGTATTCATAGCTTGGCCTTGCTTGAAGCTTCTTGCTAAGTTCCAGAAGTTGTCCATCTTGGTGCGAGATAGTGTCTCTTTAGCATCGGCCTCTGTCTCGCAGATCCTGTCACCTAGCCATTTTCTGAATACTCGTGCCTTAGCCTGGCCCTGCCAAATCATGTCGCACGAATTTTGAGAGAAGTCCCGCGGCTCGCCCTTTTCATCTTCCGTCTTCAGCCAGATTGGTTGACTTTCGTTAGGCTTATCCGAGGGGGACGGACCGGGATTATCGGTCCAATCAATTCGATTAAGCATGAGCTTCCGGTAGTTGTTGACTGAGTGTTTGCCACCTTCGACGATGACTAGATTCATTTTGGGATTCAAGACACAGATTCCAGTAAGCTTGTTCTGTTCAGCATTCTTGTTTATTTTGAATCGATTCCGGCCGTTTGCAAGGCTGTCAATTCGGTAGACCGACACATAGATACCCATCGCGGCATCCTTTTCTTGCTGCGACGCAAGTTTTTCCCGGCGTTGTTCCTTCGTCAACTTGCGTGCTGCGTTCTCAGCCTCGTGCTTCAAGCGGCGTTCCTCAATCTCTTGTGTCACACGTGCCTCGACGGCCGTAGGATCCTTCACTGCTTGCTCTCCCAAAACCCTCATGAGATTTGATTTTTTGACCTTGGGAGGTGGCGCCGGTACCAGACCCAGCCGAATCTTTGCCTGTTCTTCTTTCAAATCGGCCATACGTCGCTGACGGCGGACCTTTGCTTGTTCCTTCTTCGTAAGATACATAGGCTTCTGAATAAGCTTAAGTGAGTCCTGTGGGGGCGCAAGCTGGATGGGATGTTGAATGTAGTGAGTAACAAGGGAGTCGGGCGTGCCAATCTTCAGATTCGCGGGGTTATCGGTAGCATCGTAGCTGTCACCATTGACCAAGCATTCGTCCCACCACTCGATAGCTGGCGGCTCGGGAACTAGGAATCCCTTATCCACATCGGGGTCCTCATCAATACCCGCCTGTCGTGCGCGCTCCGCAATGCGCCTCTTCATGGCTTCCAACTGCTCCTGTCGTCGTATGGCCGAGCCTTGCTGGATGTATTTGCCCTGTGGATTGAAGACGAGCGGACGCGACGCTCGGGGTTTGGCCTTCGGACCTAGACTCGGGTCATAGTATGGGTTGTTCTTGATCTCCTCAATGGATGGTCCAGATAGATCAAGTTGCTTGCCGCGGCGAGCCTGGCTTCCTGTCTTATTATCCTGGCGGCTTTGGCTGAAATCTGGTGTAGGTTCGGAAAGAGCTGGATGAAGGCCAGTGTACAGGCCACCATGTGCCTGGCTATCGTCGTCGAAGTTTCTTTGGTAGGAAGGCGCGGGTGTAGGGGGTTCTTGATACGATGGAGGGTTGGACCTCTTCGCAGCAGCAGCAGCTATTTTGGCCTTCATCTGCTCCAACTTGGACATCCCAGAACTGACGGGCGGCGGAGCAGGTGGTGTAGGGCTCGACTCCATCGGAGAGGCAGGCGGTGTCCCGCTACCCAGTCGCTCTTGGAGACGTGCGCGCACCGCTTCAGCCTTCGCTTTTGCCTCTGCTATCTTTTTGTTGATGTCTACCGTGGGATTGGCAGGTGCTGGGGATCCATGGTTTGATCGAGCTCTCTTTTGCGACATGCTCTCATCCCCCTCAGGGTGAGATCGCTTGAGCGCGTTGTTCGCGTGGTCCGCCATGGTCTTGGGAAGGGGACTGGTGTGGAGGTCCAGACACCTCTCAGAGACCACAGAGAAGAAAGATGTCTGGGATGCGCCGACGGTTGAATCTAATTGGAATACCTACACCATTCACCGCCTTCCCGAACAATCAGAGCTGCGTCTGGGATGGTGCGTTAAGTTAGGAAAGTGCTGACTGTCTATTGTTTATATATCCACTGCAAGGTCATTACTTCATGATAAAACTCATACGCATGAAAACAAGCATTTTTGGTGAATCTCTTTAGAATGTACAGACAATCTTGTTTGTTGAATACTTGTGATATTGGCCTCAGGATCTGGCAATCTAACAAATTGGCCCGCCCGCGCTATCTGACCGCCGTAGACGCAGGCATCCAAATCGGGATGGGCGGTGGCAGAAAAAAAAAAGTTACTGTCTTTTCTCTTCCGCATCGAAAGCTTTTATAGACTTCTTTCCCGAGACTCTCGACTTCGCACCGCCAGCGTTTTCTGTTGCTCAAGGAGCTACAGGACACAATGGTGTCATTCTCTCGACCAGTCGCCTCGAATATAGCCGAGGTCGGCTTTACTGTCTATTCGAATGAGGAGATCAAGAAGCTCTCGGTGAAACGAATTCATAATACCCCAACTCTTGATTCTTTCAATAATCCGGTTCCTGGTGGTCTCTATGACCCCGCTATGGGCGCATGGGGCGACCATGTGTGAGTATAGACTATTTCCGATATACGGTTATTTCATGCCTCTAACTGAATGGGCTCCTTAGGTGTACTACCTGTCGCCAGAACTCTTGGTCATGTACTGGCCATGCCGGTCATATCGAGTTACCAGTCCCTCTATACAATGTGACTTTCTTTGATCACATCTATAGGCTCCTTCGAGCTCAGTGCGTGTACGTTGTCAACCTGATGCCCCACAAATTTGCACAATTCTCACTTTTTCAAGGTACTGCCACCGTCTACAAATGTCTCGCTCGCAGGTCAACATGTACTCATGCAAACTACGCCTCTTGCAATACGGTCTTACAGACGAGGTAGCGGTTGTGGATGCTATGGGGTCAGCCAAGGGCGCGAAGCCGAAAGCCGGCAAAGCCACTGCTGATGATTCGGACGACGACGAAGAAGACGATGATGAGACTGTCATGGACAAGAGAACAGCATACGTCGAAAAGGCTATCCGGGAAGCCCAGAAGAGCGGACGATTGGATGGGCTGATGACTGGCGCAAAGAACCCCATTGCTGCAGAGCACAGGCGCCACTTGGTCAAGAATTTCTTCAAAGACATTAACGGCAATCGGAAATGTGCCAACTGCAATGGGTGAGTTGTAGCAAATGCGAATTGCACTTGCGCAATGGCTAATCCTTTCATAACAGTATTACGCCATCGTACCGAAAAGACCGATACAACAAGATTTTCCGCAAGGCTCTTCCGGAAAAGTCTAAGTTGGCCATGATGGCTGCTGGCTTCCAGGCACCCAATCCCCTTGTGCTCCTTAGCTCGCAGAAGAAATCTGCCAGACTGAATGGCGCTCAAGCGAATGGAATCTCAGATTCTGTGAGCGTTACGTCCGAACACGGCGCCGAGGAGGAAATTCAGCGTGCAGCAGCAGCCAGCTCGCAAGAGCAATCCGCTAGTTTCTTGAGTTCGTCCGAGGTCCATGCGGCCATTCATCTTTTGTTCCAAAAAGACGGCGGTATTCTCCAGCTCGTCTATAACGCCCAGCCTGTGCCAAAGGGGACTAAAGTAATCACCGCCGACATGTTCTTTATCAAGAACCTATTGGTACCGCCCAACAAATTTCGACCAGCAGCCCAGCAAGGTCCCGGAGAAATTATGGAAGCCCAACAGAATAGCATTTTCAACCAGATACTCAAGCAGTGCGATCAAATCAACCAGATCAGCAAGGAAATCCACAATGAAGACGAGAAGATCGGATTCCGCGCACGAAACTACGGAGATTTTTTGCAGACAGTCATCGCTCTCCAGGACAGTGTCAATGGGTTAATCGATAAGGAGCGTACCTCGGTTACCGGGAGTGCTGTGGCTTCTCTACCCAACGGTATTAAGCAGATCCTGGAAAAGAAAGAAGGTCTGTTCCGGAAGCACATCATGGGAAAACGTGTGGATAGTTGTGCTCGTTCTGTTATTTCACCCGACCCGAACCTTGAGACCAATGAGATTGGTGTACCGCTCGTGTTTGCAAAGAAGCTTACATTCCCAGAGGGAGTTACCCAGAATAACTTTTTTGAGATGAAAGAGGCCGTTATTAACGGTCCAGACAAGTATCCTGGCGCTTCTGCTATCGAGAATGAGAATGGCCAAGTCATCAACCTGAAATTTAAGAGCTTGGACGAACGTACCGCGCTTGCGAATCAGTTGCTTACGCCTTCTAACTGGCGGCTGAAGGGTACTCGGAATAAGAAAGTGTACCGCCATCTTACCACTGGTGACTACGTCTTGATGAATCGTCAGCCGACTTTGCATAAGCCATCGATCATGGGTCACAAAGCACGAGTGCTGCCAAATGAACGCACAATTCGCATGCATTACGCCAACTGCAACACCTACAATGCCGACTTCGATGGTGACGAGATGAATTTGCACTTCCCACAAAACGAACTCGCTCAGGCCGAAGCACGCATGCTGGCCGATGCCGACCACCAGTATTTGGTTGCAACCTCAGGAAAGCCTCTGAGAGGTTTGATTCAAGATCATATTTCCATGGGAACCTGGCTTACGTGCCGGGACAGTTTCTTCGACGAAGAAGACTATCACCAGCTTCTCTACAGCTGCTTAAGGCCCGAGAATAACCATATTGTTGGTGATCGTATCCAGCTTGTGGCTCCTGCTTTCATTAAGCCCAAATACATGTGGACCGGCAAGCAACTGATCACAACGATTCTGCTCAACATCAAGCCTCCTTCGCGTGCAGGTCTCACCCTCAAAAGCAAGAGTTCGGTACCCTCTGTGCGCTGGACGAATGGGGGCGATGAAAAGAACGAGGAGGGAGACGTTCTTTTCAAGGACGGTGAATTCTTGTGTGGTATCTTGGATAAAAAGCAACTTGGTCCTTCTGCTGGTGGTCTTATTGATGCCGTACATGAGATTTATGGCCACACGATTGCTGGAAAACTCATCAGTATTCTTGGTCGCCTTCTCACCCGGTTCTTGAACATGCGCGCGTTCACTTGTGGTATTGATGACCTTCGGCTAACCAAGGAGGGTGATCGCATCCGTAAGGAGAAGCTGAGCACTGCGGCCGACATGGGCCGCGAAGTTGCCCTGAAGTACGTCACTCTCGACCAAGCCGACGTGGCCGATAAGGATGCCGAGTTGAAGCGTCGACTGGAAGATGTGCTTCGTGATGATGAGAAGCAGAGTGGACTTGATAGTGTCTCGAACGCTCGAAACGCTCAGCTCTCTTCTGATATCACAAATAGCTGTCTTCCTGCCGGTCTTGCCAAGCCCTTCCCTTGGAACCAAATGCAGTCTATGACCATTTCAGGAGCCAAGGGATCTAATGTCAACGCTAATTTAATTTCCTGCAACCTTGGACAACAAGTTCTGGAGGGTCGTCGTGTGCCCGTTATGATCAGTGGTAAAACCCTACCATCTTTCCGGGCCTACGAAACCCACCCTGGAGCATACGGATACGTTTCATCACGTTTCTTGACGGGTCTCAATCCAAAGGAGTACTATTTCCACGCAATGTCTGGTCGTGAGGGTCTTATCGATACGGCCGTTAAGACCAGTCGCAGTGGATATCTTCAACGTTGTCTGATCAAGGGTATGGAAGGCTTGCGGGCTGAGTACGACTCGTCTGTGCGGGAATCTTCAGATGGAAGCTTAATCCAGTGGATCTACGGTGACGATGGATTGGATATCACCAAGCAAGCTCATCTGAATGATTTTGACTTCTTGGCGGAGAACTACGAGTCCATCCTTGAGCAAGTTCAGTCTACCCATTATAACGGTCTAGTCCGGGAGGATGCTTTGGAACAACAAAACAAGATTGTGAAGAAGCTCCGCAAGAACGCACGTGTGGATGCTGATCCTGTTCTATCTCAATTCCCACCTGGAGGTAACCTGGGTAGTACTTCTGAGGCATTTGGCTTAGCACTCAAGAAGTACGTTGAGGAGAATCCTCGGAAGCTCATCAAGGAGAAGAAGGAGGAGGATGGACTTACGAAGAAGGTCACAAAAACAGCATTCAACGCCATGATGAACATGAAATACATGAAATCAGTTGTTGATCCCGGTGAGGCCATTGGTGTTATGGCTGGCCAGTCTGTGGGTGAGCCCTCTACTCAGATGACTTTGAATACTTTCCATTTGGCTGGCCACTCTGCAAAGAACGTTACGCTTGGTATTCCCCGACTTCGAGAAATCGTCATGACTGGAAGTGTGTCGATTATGACTCCGACAATGACTCTTTTGCTGAACGATGGTATCTCCAAGGAAGATTCAGAGAAATTCGCCAAGGGAATCAGCAAGCTAACAGTGGCTGAGCTGGTTGATAACGTCCGCGTGAAAGAGAGCATTGGCGCTGGAATTGGCCATGCAAGGGCCAAGATATACGACATCGAAATTAACTTTTTCCCCGCCGAAGAGTATATGAAGGAATATGCTATCGAAACCAGGGATGTTCAAAATGCTCTGCAGCGCAAGCTTATTCCTCGCTTGGTGAAGCTCACGAAGGCTGAGTTGAAGAAGCGGAAGGAAGACAAGACTGGAAATAAGGTTTCGACTTCACAGCCTGAAATCGGGGCAAGTGTTGGCAGGATCACCGAGGGCCCAAGTGGTCCCGACCGTGAAGCCCAGCAGGCTGACGATGACAACGAGGACGATGAGGATGATGCCAAGCGATCCCGTGGAGCCCAGAACAAGAGCAACCAGGTTTCGTACGAAGGCCCAGATGATGACGAACGAGACTTCATTCGGAATCAAGACAATGAAGACGAGGAGGAAGAGGAGGAGGAAGAAGGCACCAAGCCTACTCGTGACGTTGATATGGACGATGACTCTGACTCTGACGACGAAGATGATAGCCAAGAGCGTGAGGACGATGTCAAGGGCAAATTTGAGGAGATCACCAAGTTTAAATTTGACCCTAAGAACGGGAGCTTGGCAAAGATCCAGCTCCAATATGACATCGAAACACCTAAGCTCCTGCTTCTTCCTCTGGTCGAGTCTGCCCTTCATTCTGCTGTGATCCAGTCCATCCCCGGCCTCGGAAACTGTGTCTACGTGGAGGCCGATGAGGCGAAGGGAGAGCCGGCTAGCATTATGACCGATGGCGTCAACCTGCTGGCTATGCGCGATCAACAAGATGTCATCAACCCCCATTCAATCTACACCAACTCGATCCACGACTTCTTGAGATTCTATGGTATTGAAGCTGCGAGAGCCGCGCTTGTGCGCGAAATGGATGCCGTTTTCAAGGGTCACAGTATTTCCGTGGACAGCCGACACCTCGGCTTATTAGGTACGACAACCTATTTTCCCCTAACCCCTTTTTTTCTTGCCGTTGCTAACCACATTTTTCATAGCTGACACGATGTGCGTCTCCGGCACATACCGTGCGTTCTCGAGAAATGGTTTAATTAAGGATTCTACCTCGGCGTTTGCTCGAATGTCCTTTGAAACTACGGTAGGCTGCCTCAAGGATGCTGTCTTGGAACGAGACGTCGAAAACTTGAAGAGCCCAAGTAGTAGAATCACTGTTGGGCGTCCTGGTACCGTCGGAACTGGCGCCTTTGATGTTCTCGCTCCTGTTGCATGAGCTACGTCGGAGATTTCCCTTTACGTCTCCCAACCGATCCTCCATGAATGTATATTTCCCAAATACTTTGTATTTTCTGCTGCCTTCTTGCGACCTTTGACATTGTTTCTTACGTTGTTCTTCTGCCATGTCTCTCTTGCAGTGCTTCCCGTCATTTTCATGTGTCGATGATATGGAGTTGAGTGGGACAAAAAAGCGTGCTTCTCGCATTTAAAATACTTGAAACAAATCAGATCATTCATAGAAACAGCCAGGACATTTTTTTTCTTGAGCTTGCCTTTAAATCACTACTAGTCCAATTCTTAGGGTATTTCTGGACATAATGTTTTTTATTCAACCTAAATCCCAGATATGTGTACTCTTAATGCGAAGCCAGTCATCGATGGTTTGTTTGAACCAAGGCCAATAAAGCAAAAGTGGTAGATCCACCTTTGACTATTCGCTACTAGAGAAAACCCCTGTCGCTTGGCATGAAGAGATTGTAGATTGCTGTATTGTGAGAAGGGATACAAGCCGGATATCAAAGTTGCAAATTTGAATAACGCCTTCAATGCTATGTTCACTCATGTTGGCCCTCAAACTCCCTTGAAATGTTGTAGACCAGCTGAAGAAAAGATTAATATGTATATAAGAAGAGGCGGCATATTGAAGCCTGCATAGGCACACGATGAAGAGCCCCAGAATGGGTTATTAGGCATCAAGCATCATCATGTCTTCATCAATGCCATCGTCATATTCGTCCTCGACCACTTCGACAGCCGACGTCACAACGCCATCCATTTTATTGCCATTGGCAAATTCTTGCTGCATCACGCGAGCCTCTTCCGCCTTGCGTTTGGCTTCATGACGCTCAATGTCTGCCAAGCCCCAGGTCGAGATCCCCTCCTGGTCCTTGGCTTTGAAAGGCTGTGCCATGGTGCGCAAGAAATTCTTGGCAGTGGAGACGGCCATATCAGTGCTGAGGTTGGTTTCGCTGTCGAGCATGGCCTGGTTGATCCATTTTGGTAACTGGTTCCGCTTGCGTTCAAAGCGACGGTCGGCTAACACCATGACTCCGTAGTCGTCTTTGCCACGGAGCACGCGACCGAGACATTGCGCGGCATGGCGCATCGCGTCGAATGATAGGAAGTCATTTTCTCGGATGCGGTAGTTCTCTCGCAAGAACTCTAGACGTGCTTTCAAGATACGTGATTCTGTATACTGGAATGGCACACCGATGCACAGCACAGCACGACCATAGTGATGGTCGAAATCGATACCCTCGGATACCTTGCCTCGGGCGACACACATCAAGAGTGCACCTCGTCCATTGCAGCAAGCTGTGCGGTATGTCTCCAGAGCGAGAGAGGACTCTTGGGCATCAGGCGTTTCGACTAGGATCAATTTGTAGTTCCAAATTTGATCCAAGATGCCCATACCCTGCCACATACTGATGATAGATTCCATGTACAGATACGAGGGGAAGAAAACGACGACACCATCGGGGGTGATACGAGAAAACTCTGTAACCAGAGAGCCATAATTTCGCACAACACCAGGATCATTACGGATGCCGAAAGAAGATGACACCTGTGCTTGGTCGGAACCTCGAGTAACAATCATGGGCAGGAAAGAACGTCGAGCCAGGGTCATGCTGTATGATTCTTGTAAGACGGTCGTGAAGCCGAGCATCTTGGGATACATTTCCAAGGGGGAAAGAGTTCCGGATGTAATAATAACCGAGCTGAAACGGTCGAAGACTGGCTTGATCGCAATGGCCGCATCTAAGCAAGTGAAGTGAAGGATCGGATTCGGTACTGTGGCCGCTTCCGACTCGAACGGCTCAAGGATTAGAACGAAACCTTTATCATAGGTTGCAACCAGGGTTGCGAATGTCGCGACTTCTTGGAGCGGTTGATAGTCTTCAATGTTAACAAGCTCCAGTGTTCGAACCAATGAAGTTAGTCGTTCTGCGCAGAATCTCAAGGGCTTGCGCTCGATGTACGTGAGGTCTTTTAAGTGCGTCAAGAACGACGGAGGCGTCTCTGAGATAGTATGGGTCACCTTCATACGTGTCTTCAGATACTCGATGAATCTCTTCAAAAAAGACACAAAATGCTCGGCTCGACGGATGTTTCCAGGGACTGCTTCTTTCAGCAGATCATCGGGCAGCACAGGATTCGAGATGAATTGCTCCTCCTCTCGGGCCTGCTCAGCCTGCTGCAATCCTTCCACGAGTTTTGAGTATTCATTCTGCAGTTTTTCCGCATCTGTGCTTTTCATTTCCTCGATCTTGCGTTCCAAATTGCTTGCACCTCTCGTAGCCTTGCGGAGAGAGTCCTCACTCAAATCGATACTAAGCGATTCGATACAAACGTTATCAATGTTGTGTGCTTCGTCAAAGACCACGATACAGTCTTTCGAGAGTTCTCGGGATACTCGTTCGGCGATCTTCGGATCAAGAAGATAGTGGTAGGAGTATATGATCACATTGCACCATGGCATCTGGGTAACCCATTAGTACGATTCTCGAATAGAGGATCCTAGGAGCATTTCTACCATGCGACGTGCTGAGAAATATGGACATTGCTTGTGATCTTCGCCGTATCTCATGAGGCCATCGAGGGTGAACACACCAGGTGGGACGAGATTATGCGGCTCTAGGAGATCAAGATTCTGGATATGGTAAGCTTCATTTTCGTAGATTTTCATAGGGATCACAGACATCATGATAGACACAAAGGTCCACGTCTTCGCCTCGCTCTTTCTTCTCTTTGACGAACCCGGCCGTTAAGCTCCGACACCTCGCATCAACTACAGTACCACTCTTCTCTCGCCTGACCGACGGGTGGAGGCACAGGTTCTTTCGGCTGGTAAGACCAAGCGCACGGAATTCCTCTTCATGTCCCAGTTCTTTCGCACGGTGTTTCATGAGCGCTTGAAGCTCGGCCAGTGCCTTCTCGATCTCGGACATAGTACGTGAGCAGTATATAAGCTTTCTGTGCTCGGGGTAGTGTTGCTGATAGGCGACAATCAAGGATAGAAGCGAAACGGTCTTTCCTGTTCCTGAGGGCATCTCCAGCACGCAATGACCCCCGGCATCGAGGGTCTTCTTGAGGTCGCACATGTAGGCATATTGTTCCGGATAGATGCGAGGATAAGGAAACAGCACCGGAAGGTCACTAGACAGAGAAGACGATTAGCTGACGTATTCAAGCTATTGGGATCGGGTCGGTTACTCAATGAAGAACTTCATTGTAGCTTTGTTCGCCGATGGCGAAGCCAGAGGTGAACAGAAATGACACTCAAGCCTAGAACTTTTCCCTTTCAGAATAGCAGACGTAGTGTCACGTGACAGTTCCCGATTGGGTCGCCGCAGTCGATTAGATAGTTCTCTTTCTCTTAGCTGGACTTGGATACTTTCTTTCCAATCAGTTTGTTCTAAGATCCAGACTGGGCTGGATCGCTTTATTTGGACCCCGTCAATTCCTCCATTCCTTGTTGACGGCGTCTTCCCTTCCTGGTTTCATTCACTGTCGAATCTTCACCCCACTATCCCACTGACCTCATACCCCACATGAGCAAAAAGTTCAAGTCGCAGGCCTCCAGCAGTCGCGCAGCGGCGGGAGCCTTTGGCTCATTTGGAGGGTTTTCTGGAACGTTTGGGAATGATGGGCGAGAGCCGTCGTCCCTCACATATATTACAGAACCTCCAGACCTGTCTCGCATTTCCGAACAACAAGTTGTGATTGCTTTCAAAAACTTTCAAAAGAAAGATGATACTACCCGCACGAAATCATTGGAGGAACTCAAAGATTATGTTGTCTCCGTTGAAGAGAAGAACGGTACTCTTGACAATGGCTTTTTGGATGCATGGGTACGCGCTTGTATCAGGACTGCTTAATCATGGATACTGACCCATATATAGGTCAAAATCTACCCCAGAGCGTCCATAGATACCTCTCGAAGGGTAAGGCAGCTGGCGCATATGATTCAAGGCCTCGTATCTTGCCTCGTGGGCAAGCGAATTGTACCTCAGTTGCCCAAAGTTGTTGGAGCATGGCTAGCTGGAATCTACGACAACGATCGACCGGTCCAGCGCGTGGCCCTGGATTCCTTTACCAAGGTATTTACGACTGAAGAGAAGAGAAGCAATGTTTGGAAGATCTATCAAAGCTCCACCCTGGATTTCATCGATGATGTTATCCTTCACCAGACGCCCTTGACTTTGAGCGACGAACGAACTGTCAAAAGAGATGATGCGGAAGCAAAATATGCGCGTGTTGTAGGAGCTGCACTGATGCTCTTTAATAGAATCATAGGTATGGCGTTGGAATCTTTATCCCGGTGCTTCCAAGCCCAAATCCTAATCTTTGTATGGACAGGAAACTCACCGAATGATGATTTACAAAAGAATGCGCCAGAGATTGAAAAGATCCTGAGTAGTAAAACACTATGGGGCTTCTGTAACCATGAGGACCCTTTTGTCCGCCGTTCGACTTACACTCTTCTTCGTGTTGTGGTTTCTCGCGAACCCGGATGGGTGGACTGGAAGCTCATCAGTTCAGCTATCATCGGAAAATCACTATCCTTGCCGCAACTAGGGTCTTCATCAGAGCTATCAGAAGCTTTGTTGGTTTTGACATCTTCACGACCGCATGTCTGGACGGATGATTACATAGGGAAAACCTCTGCTTCGAAAAGGCTACGGCAGTATATTCAAAAAGGATCACAAGGTGGCTCTGGAAGCTTTTGGTCGAATTTGGATAAGCTCCTTCGAATAATTCCCAGAGAGATTCTTGTCGGAGCCGACAAAACATCCAGTGATGATACAGTCAACATCTCGAGTGCAGTGGCTTTAACGGAAGCTATTCAAGAGGGCCTCACTGCAAGAGAGGAGCCTCGCCAGAATCTCGTTACCGGGTGGAAAGCATACATTCGCGTGGGCTCTTGGCTTGGGATTTTGATTCCCCAGGATCAGCGATCAGAATTTATCCAACAGAGGCTGGCTCCCTTAGCGATGCGATATGTGCGACCAGACCCTGAATCATCCCAATGGGCACTCCCTTCTCAGCAAGCCCAAGATATCTGCGCCGATTTTCTAGCAGTCCTCATCTCTCACGAGCATGGAAAGGAGCTAGAGCCGCTGTGGACGAAGCTTGCGAATGACCTTGTCGAGGCTGTCAAGCTGTCGTCTCCAGAGCAATCACGGGATTTCAACGCTTCACAAGATGCAATTTGCTCCGAAGCTCGCCGCCTGTTTTCCTTGGAGCCAACAGTTCTATCAAGGATAACAGGAGCTGAGAGTGAATCGACTACTCAGTCAGTATTCGAAAAGGTTAATCTTGGGCTGGTGGAAAGCTGCTTACAAGTTCTCCGTTCTCGGAATGGAAAGCCCTACGGAGCTGCTGGAGTTGTAGAAGAGTGTGTCTGCACGATGCCTTCTATTGCAAAGCACTCCCAAGAGCTATTGAGGTTTGTCCAGTCTGAAGCTCCAGATATGCTTTTTACGCCCTCTGGCAACCAAGTAATCAGTATTATCTTGGCATGTCGTGAATGGGAGGGGTATTCCTCTAGCTTTGAGAGTGTGGTGGAGCGGGCTTTGCAACTGGAGCCAGAACAGTCAAATGCCCATATCCTGCAGAACCTCCTGTCCAATATCGATTTCAACGAAGTTGGGGACAAGGAAAAACTTCAAACTTTGGTAATGCGGGCTCTAAACAAAGCCTGCAAAGGCAGTGAGCCTCATTGGCAGATTATCCGTGTTGTGCTCAAGAACCCGAGTTCTCGCAACGGATTGACGGACCGCATTTTCTTGACGATTGTTGATTCGCTAGGTGAAGAAGAAGGAGTATTCGACGTGTTGAATGGTCTTAATAGCCTGGGAAAGACAGTCCCCACCGCCATCAAGGACTTTCAACATGGGCCTTATGGCTCGAAGTTGACCGAGAAACTTTTGTATCTGGCTGAGTCACCATCAGAAGATATTGCCGCTCTGACCGAATCTTTAATAAAGTCTTTCCGAGAAACCGTCGTCGGAGATACCAGTTCGCGCTCAAAAATTGAGATTCTCAAAAACGGCTTCAGACATGCTGGTGAAGAATCCTTATCGTAAGTCGCCGAGCCCGTCATCATAGAGACCTTATTTTAACAAGGACAGCATCGAATCCCTGTCCGCTATTGCAGGAGATCTTCTGCAACAAATTGAGGATGGCAAAACAGATTTCACAGTGAAAGACATATTGCCATCTGCTAGTGACTGGGAGAATGCTCTTGCACCCTTCCTGAGAATACCACCTCGACCTTCTACAGCGATTACCAGTCCCCTTCTTGGTGCAGTTCACCTAGTACAGCCTGATATTTCGGATTCTTTGAAGAACCTATGGCTCTCCGTCCCTCGAGACTCCAACCGTTGTACTGCGGCTTTCCGTGTCACGGCTTTCATCACCAAGCTTATGTCGTCTTTCGATTTGGTCACCAAGCTAGATTCTGACGACCTTGAGTCTTTGTTTGTCTCCTTCCCATTGGCTTTGCAGCTCATTGACGATGATCTGAGTATTGAGAATTGCAATGGAATCTCAGGCGTTGAGCTTGCCGACCAGCGTGATGAGTATCTAGAGCTTGTTATTCAAGGGCGGGCAGTGATCAACAAGTGGATGCATTCGAAAGCCTCATTGAAATCATCTCAAGATACGAGTATTTCTTCATACTTTGTCGCTTTATGGGAGGAAAAGCTGGATCAGCTTAATGAAACCTTTGCCGTTGACTATCGTATCGGCCAAACTTTCGTTAAGTTAATGACTTCATTGGACATTAATAAATCGTCTGATGATGTTGCCAAGATTTGCAGAGATGGTCGTACTGCTAATGCCATCCGTTCGGCATCATGGTTTTCCGTTTTGAGAAGTTCGATTCTGACCAACTCAGTCGGAAGCCGGATCTGTAATGAGCTCGTGGCCGATTCCACTGGACTTAAACCCGATGGTTCTACTTCGCAAGGTGAGCTTCTACTGAACCAAATCATATTTGCAAACTAACATGGCATAGGACTTCGGAAACTAGTGCTTCTTAATATCCTGTTGTCAGGAGAAGAGGATGTCGTCTCGACAATCCCTACCCAGCGACTGGTCTTCCTGACAAAGAATCTCCTCGAATGCTTGCAATCAGATGCCCTGAGCCTTGGTCTGAAAGCCGAGATCTTGCAGACACTGGCATTCGTACTCCTTGGTCTGTCAGAGATCTATGGTTCTCACTGGGAAGAGATTATCAAGGCCTTGATATCTATTTTCAAGGAAGTTGGCGGAGGAGAAGAGGGCCTTCCGTTGCTAGTATCTGGCTTCAGACTATTCGTGTGTCTGAAGAATTTGCTCGAAGGTGAATGTAACGATGATCTTCAGGACACCTGGTCAGATCAAAAGACCGATCTCTACGAGGCTTTGATTTCCACCATTGGAAGATTCGGTAAGCAAACCGCTAAAACTTCGTGAACAGCATCATCTAACCTTCATTAGATTCATCAACTGTATATCACCAACCTCGAGATGTTGCAGTTGATCTCCTCCGTCGTATAATCAGTACTATTCCGGTCGAAAATCTCAAAGACGTCCGAGTCAGTGCCGTGTTCCCACTTTTGACCTCACATAGTCGTGCTGTCCAGCGAACTGCATATGCACTCCTACACCGCTACATCCCACAATCCCAAGAGCAAGTATCTTTTGATGTGGCTCTGTCCAAGACTGCGGTCAGTCTGCCAGATGAACTCCTATCTCTTCTCCTCGAGACTCCGTCAGTCGACACGATCCTGAGGTCTTACGAAGACGACAAGACCTGGACTAGTGTTCGTTCCTATCTTCTGAGCTGGAAGGTGGTGTTTGATCATTTTACGAACGCAGTACGTTTGGATCCCCGTGAAACCCTCCAAATGCCTTGCTAATGGACTGCCCAGTCTCTTCCCGTTCAGGAATATTATGCGACGAACATTAAAGAGAACAACGTCCTCATACCACTACTCGAGTTTACATTTGATTTCTTGCAAAAGTCACAGGGCAAACTTGTCGATGCATCAAAGTTTGACTTGCAGTCATTCGAGCCTGATCAATCAGAAAGCGCCGAGAAGGAGATACAGTGGCTGCTAGTCAATCTCTATTACCTTTGCTTGAAGCATCTGGCGAACATGACCAAGAACTGGTGGATTGACACCCACAAACGAATTAAAGGACCAGTGGAGGCATGGACAGAGAAATATGTGAGTTTCAAATGTCTATCTTTTGATCAGTTTCATTGAAAATATCTGACAAGAATCAGATCTCCCCGGCAGTAGTGGAAAGCGCGATCCAAGGCGTGAATGAGTGGCTGGCCACCCAGGATCCCGACGAGGAACGGGCGTTGGCTGTGAAGATGTCTCCACGAACTGCAGAAATCATTGCCAGCATCCTTGTCGACGAGGAGTCTCCTCCCGTTTCCATTTCAATCTCTCTTCCGCCTGCATATCCCCTCCACCCGGCCCTGGTTGTGGGCCGCAGCCGTGTCCTGGTTGATGAGAAGAAGTGGAAGAGCTGGTTGCTTACAATTCAAGGAGTCATTATGTTCGCTAATGGCAGTCTGGTAGACGGTTTGCTGGCCTTCCGAAGGAACGTGCAGGGTGCTTTGAGGGGACAGAGCGAGTGTGCTATCTGTTACTCAGTCATCTCGACTGATATGCAGACCCCCAACAAGCGCTGCGCAACCTGCAAGAACACTTTCCATTCCGTCTGTTTGTTCCGCTGGTTTAAGAGCAGCAACCAGAGCACTTGCCCACTATGCCGAAACAACTTTGTGTATGTTTAAATCTGGATGTACATAGAGAGAAACAAGTGGAGTAGTTGTGAGCAAAAATAAAATAAAAATGCCAGATCATGACACTGTTACGAGTGAATCTCTAAACATTCAACTGCTGATAACAGGCATCTTCTCATGTTCATCCCACAAATTAACAAGGGAGATTTCTCTCCAACCCAGGGGGGCATGCATGCTAAGAGTCACTAAACCGAAAGCTATTCTTACTAGCAGGTGCATGGCCTCACTACCTAGATTGTATAATTCTCGAGGATCGCAAAATTACGCCTTTTCCATGGAAACATGAACCCAGTATTGTTGGAACAGTCAGAATAGCCCACAATTTCCCCCAAATACTGTTGAACCGACTTCATACGTAGTTGGCGTGTAAGTATGGAGCTGTGGGATTTGCCATCCTGCATTCGCTGACAGCGCTTACTCTCGCGTATCTCCAGCACATGCGACAGAATAAGGACAAATATACCATGACTGAAAGTTACTGTGGAGGAGGTTGAAAAAGGTAATGGGGGGGAAAAATCTGCTTTAGCTCCAGGAATTGATAAAATGCAACCTTGCCTGGACGAGCACGCGGTGTGAAAGAAATCCAATTCCTAGTACCATATTACATATCCGAATGAGTAGATCTAAAGGGCTCGACAAGACCCATATTGACAGCGCTTCGTATGCTTGAATCAATAGCATCGTCTTACTTTTGTTTGCCCAGAGTCAATCCCAAGGCCGGGATTTCAACACCAACAGCCTTGCCGTCAGTATTCAATGCGAAGGTAAACTCATCCAAGCCATGGCCGTTATACTGAAGCCTTTCGACATCCATCCACGAGATACAGGTGGCAGTTCCAGCATCCGCAAAGGCGGTCTTATCCTGATAAACAGCTCTGAATGCCTGCTTGGAGTTACTCCGCTCAGTAGGGAAACAGACGAATGCTCACGTCCGTCCCGTTATGGATATTCAGGAGTTCGGCCAGGGTGTTTCTGAAATCAACACCGTTGCTAACGAATTCATTCACGAACAAGCCAGGCAGCTCATCGACGCCAACGGTAATAGAGGAGTTGAAGTCACCCGTCAAGTTGGCGTAGGCCCCGCCGAAGTTTTCGGCGGCCTGGCTAATCGCAATACTGGTGAGGCCCTTGATGACACTCGACAAGTAATCCGCGTGTGCGTTCAAATCGGCAGGAGACTCGGTGTCAGCGGATAGAATGGCGAATCCAACGCCATAGGATGGCACTAGGCCAAGGTAAGAGCTGTAGAGACCATCGCCATTCCCTTCATTGCTGAGTATATTGAAGATCTCCACCATGAATCCGGTATCATTGTAATTGCTGGTCACGCTGTAGATACCCCACGGGGTGCTCATGGAGTTGGCTGGGTTGGATGTGAGAGACACGGGCTTGAGCCAGCGGCGTGTCTGAGCTGGGGAAAGGAGGCGCGAATCGAGAATCGCTTGTCCGACAACAGAAAGGTCTTTTGCGCTGGAGAACATGGACCTGGAACTATTGGGGAATCTGTGTCAGATTTGATAGACCAGGAAGGGAAGGATAGTAAAGCTTACGCTGTCCGATCCTGCTTACGAGTAGACCATCCACTTGCTTCTTTGCTCACCGGAATAACGCCTTGAGATGAATCCACAGGCGCAAATACGGTAGTTTCGTTCAAACCGAGCTTGTCGAGTATTTGCGCTTGAAGAATCTCTTGGAAGGGTTTTCCGCCGCGTCTTTCGAGCAAGTATCCCAGTAGCTGAAATGCTGTGTTCGAGTACAGCGGTGTATACCCGGCTGGGGCAACAGGGGTGACTGAAGCGAGTTGCTTGATGAAACCTATTCAAGTTAGCACGTTAAAACAAACTATCCTGGAGCTATTGTATACCTTCATTCCTGCACTTATCATCACTTCCACAGCAAGTTGGGAGGGGCTTTTGGTGTTCTGGTAAGCCTGCCCCGGTTGGACCTTGGCTGATCAAATCGTTTGGACAGTCTGCGGAAGGTTTGTTAGATGATGCCTGGCATTTTTATTCAGGAATAGACCAACAGTCCCGAGGAAGTCCGCTCATATGGCTAGCAAGATGGCCAATCATGATCTCATCCCATTGGACATGGCTAACAGGGTCGGTCGAATTAATCGAAGCATTGGACAATTCCGGAAAATACTTCGTGACGCGGTCTTCCAGGATATCTCCGTCTGCGATGAGCAGACTCCATACAGTGAAGACCTCAGTCAAGCCTCCAATTCCATATATACTGCCCTGAGAAACATTCTTGGAGCCCGGAGACGACTTTGCCAGGGCTGGCGAAGTATAATCAAATTCCCAGAAGGAAGGCTCGGCTCCAGCAGTTCCCTCGTTGGACGAAAAAAGCGCGATGCTGAAGGAGGTGTTTGGTGAAATGCCACCAGCGGGACCGTTATACGTGGTAACAAGATCTGTGAAGTTATTTTCTAGGACCTTCAAAGTTTCGGCCAGAGTAGAGTCGTTGTTGTTGAGTGTGTAAGGGGGGTAGGAAGGGCCGAGGAGTGGACATGGTGTGAATGACAACACGGGGCCAACGAGAGTAGGTAGAAGAAAAAGAAAGACAGCCCGCATGGTGAATACTCGTATTGAGTGGAAAGTTCGCTGAGCTGTTGTTCTACTATGGTTAGCTGAATGGTGAGGACTATATATGTAATGTTTCTCGGCTCGGCGATGCAGATCGCGAGAAGTGCCTGAAGGCTGTCGGTCGGCGAAACACAACCCCAGACCCGCTCTTCTGCCACAGCCTTATGATATGGTTTCCTTTTATAGCATGGGAGAAAGGACGATCACCGACTTGCCCCCAATAGAGACATTTGTGACTCGAATTGCTGCATTGATCGTTACAATACATGAAAGATTCGGCTGCAAGGCCTGCTCCCCTGGCTTAGGGTGGGCTTAAGCTGCTCACGATCTCCTTCGAACTCTCGTGCCATCTACCTCATGGATTAGCGAGCTTCTGTCCATCGCCTTTCTCGAGCGAGGAACGTGTCAACATAGGGTCTGGCCGTAGTGAGACCACTCCAGTTGAGAATAAGGCGTTCGACATGACCCCCGAGGAGTTGGGGTAGTTCTCTGGGATCACCGTCGAATTTGTGGCTCAAAGCCAACTGCTCATGATTTGGTCGAGAGAAGCAGTAAACAGAAAATCATTGGCCATCCCACAGCCTACTTCCGGATTCAGGAGCATGCCATCATAAGACATAGTGCCTCCAAAATCTTCGGCCACCGGGGTTCCGCCCATACCGCCGACAAAAGTTTCATCCGGATGTGGTGTATGTTCCGAAGTTTGTTCTTGCATCGCAGTGTGACTAATTAGCCTTTCTTCTATTCGAGACACTCTACTCCTGAAATCGACAAAGGTATCTCGGTCGCCATTCATATCCACGGCGGAAGTTGAGAGACCCTCTAAGCGTTCACGGAGCTGTGAGAGTGTGCGAAGTAACGCCACTGCCTGTGTTGACGTTGCCATGGCAGCAGTATGTCTATATGCAATCAACATGGCAAACGCTGTCTGAATCCACATGGAGTTGGTAAACCCTACTTCCAGTCCAGCAGGAAGGGAGAGGTATAGGTCTAGTAAAGCTTCAGCAGAATTGATTGCGGCACACGCCATCTCATCATATTGTATCTCGGAAGGATTGATATTTTGCTCGCGCCGCCGGTTGAACATGCTTAGAGAAAGCTGGTATAAGCCCAGGCTGGTAGCATAGAAAGCCATGCCAAGGGGGCCTATGTAACCGGAATATCAGCGAAGGTTAAAGAGAGATGGTAGGCGTGGTCAGAGGACTCACGAGTATCTTCAAAATTAGAGGGAAGACGTTTGTGAAGGGTCTGGAGGTCCGACTTCAGGCTCGAGAGGTACATTTCTGACCCCGAGCCAGGCTTGATCAGCTCTTCCCCGTTGCTCGTTGAGAAGCGATCAATTTTCTCGGCAAGCTGTTGTAATTGAACAAGATGACAAATGATATGGTCATGGGTATATTCAGCCTGGTTTTGGAGGGACTGGATACATTCCCCAAGATAAGGGAAGTAAGGAAAGCTATTGTGCTTGTGTAGGAGGATCGAAACGCTACAGAACGTGAAAGTGAGCGATGAGAGTTGGCAGAAAATCGCTCTTTAGACTCACGTCGATGACAAGTAGTAACATCCGGCGACTGCCCGCTTTTCATCGTTGCCCCAGGCCGGTCGGTTGAGTGACCGGTTATTGAAGTCGAACTTGGGTTCAAAACGCAATGGAGTTTTATGTGATATAGTCGTTGGCGGACGATCTAACCGCAGTTCGATGATGAGACTGATGGCCAGTTGAAGATACTGGGTAAACCGTTGTGGCTTGGTATGATAATGAGACCTGTTCTGTCACGTCAGCAGTCACTCTTGCCCCGAACTTCAGATATGCGATCATTACCAGGCCAAGTAGACAAGGAGCCCTTGCAGCAAGTCAAAAGAACTTTCGCCGCCCATGATCATCCGCAATGCAACGACTTTTCGGAGCTCCGCCCCTAGCGACCGCTGGAGGGACAGATTCTTGTACGATGCTGATGCAAGGATAGCCAAAAAGAGGAATGGCTTCTCTATTCGAAGCTGAGGCGCCGAGGTTTGAGGAGGCACGACCACGAAGGGGAAATTGGTAACAAGATCGCTCTTGAAGGCCTGCAAATAGTCGGCGGCTGTCTGTAAACCCAGCAGCCCTTGATCAATCACATCAAGCCCCGTAGCAGTACTAGTGCTCAGCTTGTTTGCTGCACAAGCGAAAACTTGACTTGGCACATCTCCGCTAGCAGTCTGGGCGGCGGTTAGTTCGCGGACTTTTGACTCCAGAGCCTCAATCCTCCTTCACTGGATGTCAGCACCTGATCCATCCGATTTGAAGGTAGTATTTTTTTTTTGGAGCCATACCGGTCTTTCTGGAATCCGTGGAAACGTCGCCCAGTTTGACGTTTAACGCATTCGCGCGCCAGGCGCAAGCATCTTTTAGCAGTCAATCCACCACACCCACGTTACTCTAAGAGGGATATACATACCGCTGACACGTTTGTGGGGTTTCCGGATCTCGAATGCATCGGACCTTGGAGGTCGCGCAGCTCTGACAAGTCTCGGAGATAGTCGAGCGCGACTCTGCTACTACTTTCGCCTGGGGCATCTTACGTTATGGCAAGATCGAGATTCCATGATCCTAAAGTCACCGAGACCACAATGTGGCAGTGTTCAAGTCGATTCCAAGGAGGCCTCGATGACTAATACTTGGGAAGTTTCAGCTGGCTTCTCATGCAGGGCGTTAAGGCTGTGCTGAGCGGCTTACTAGGTATCTATCGAGGAAGCTACCGCGATGAAAGATTTTTCTTTTACAAGATAATCGTGAACGCAGCGAGTGCTCTTGCTCGTCAAACGATCTCGGCCCAGAGCGATATCCAAGGCTCCAAAACTTCCCTTTTGCGTCCGCAATACGGACGACTTGCCCCCGCGGAGATTATAGCGGCTTGGCAAATCGACACCTCGAGGCTGAGGCAACACGCAGTGCAGAATCCACGTGTTCAGCCCCGACAGACCCTCATAGCCGGGCAATACCCGGAAGGATTCCGGAGTGGCATGCTGTTCAATAATCAGTCGATTCGTTGTCCGTCTTGAACGGGCCATCACACTATGTCGAAATGCAGGGGGAGCCCCAAAAATGATATACTTGGGCCTTCTCCAAGTACCTATACTCGGGGAATTGAACTGTCACTTGGAAATGAGGGTTGGTTAACTATGAGTGATTGGGGTTTATCATCAGGAGTCCATCATGTAGCAGACATAAATTGAGTTCGACTGGTTCATGCGAGCGTAGGGCCACGGCATCCTCTCCGAGGCCCCCAGACGATCGGGGTTATATCATTTGTCCTTCCATTGGCGGAAGACGGATGTGCGCAGTTCCCCACGAAACCGGTGGACGAAAAGAAAAGACCGGATCAGCAGGTCTCGAACTCGACGATCCGGACGACTGGGCTGATGGGAAAGGGCCGTTTTCGACTAGGATTGACCGCGAAAGGACAACGTTCGGAAGTGCACGTGGTGGGGCTCGGTTCCTTCTTGTTTATGCGATTCAAGGTGGATGAGACTTGATTTGGGCCACTGGTCAGGGCTGAGATTCCTGCACAAGGATACGCAATAGGTACTCTCGTACGGAATACAGGGTATGCAGGTCCTTTTTCCCGATCTTGTACGCCACATCCATGTCCCTGGGAGGCACCCTCAGATGATACGAACGCCAGCATTCAGCCATTTTCTTTTTTCTCTCCATACGAGGCGAGGGTGTTCCTGACTCCGACCCCACTGGAACCGAGTTTCTGTGAGGCTAATTGGTCCTTCTCCACCTGCCAAGCAGGAACCATTGGGGAAGCGAGTGTGCTATTCGTCGGATGCGAAATTGTTCCTGGCGCTAAAGTACTAGTGGCCTCCTCGACGTGTTTGGGTCAGGGGCAACTGGGAGGGTTTTGTTTTGCACAAGCATCGCATGTGGCTCCCCATTTAGTTTAGATCATCGCTAGGGTTCATTGGGCTCATTTCCAGCGACCCTGGAAGGGACCACTCAGGGTCTTTCTCCGCCGCGTGACGGTGCTGCGGCTACCTCGCGCTCGGATCTGTGAAGCACGTTTTCCCTAAACAGGCCATAGTTCACGTTAGCTTTGTTGGACTCCGTACGTCCTGGTCCAGGAAAAATGGAGAAATGGGCTGGCCCTTTTCTTGCTTGATTTTTCCCTTCTCCATCCTGCTTTCTTGACAACCTCATCTGCCGCGCGCATTGTGTCCTACGGCCTTCGGCCTCGTTGCCCTCACACTCTTTTGATCTTCTGATCTTATCCATTCGTTTGAAACCCTTTTCGGCAACCGACAATCGCAATACACAATGAAGTTCGAGGTTACATCGGTCCGCGCCGCTGCTTTGGTAGCTCTTATTGCCAGCGTTGAGGCTGCACACCATGGCCATCAGCACGTCCACCGTCATGCGCCGGTCAACGCAACTCTCCAGAAAAGGGGCGGTCAGTGTGAATTCCCATCGGATGCTGGTCTTGTCGCCGTGACGCCGGGTGAGAAGAACGCTGGGTGGGCTATGAGCCCCGATCAAGCCTGCATGCCTGGTCACTATTGCCCGTACGCCTGCCCCTCCGGTCAGGTCTCGATGCAATGGGATCCCAAGGCTACCAGTTACAGCTATCCTATGTCTATGGTGAGTGAATGCTTTTTTTATTTGTCACCCCCAGAGTTCCGGCCTATTTACAATTGACAGAATGGTGGTCTCTACTGTGACGAGAATGGCGAAATTCAAAAGCCATTCCCTAACAAGGATTACTGTGAGGATGGGACCGGTGCTTTGCGAGCCCAGAACAAGGCCGGCAAGCCCGTGTCTTTCTGCCAGACCGTCCTTCCCGGAAACGAGGCCATGCTGATTCCCACTTTGGTTGAGGAGCTGACCACGCTGGCTGTCCCCGGCACATCTTACTGGTGTGAGACTGCCGCGCAGTACTACATCAACGCGCCCGGTGTGTCTGTTGAAGAGGGCTGCGTTTGGGGTTCTTCTTCCAACCCTGTTGGTAACTGGTCTCCTTACACTGCTGGTGCCAACACTGATGCGGATGGCAACACTTTTGCCAAGATTGGCTGGAACCCTATCTACCTGGAGCCGGCTACTCCCTTCCGCAATACCAAGCCTGAGTTCGGTATCGAGATTGTGTGCGAGGGTGGCGGTTGCAATGGTCTTCCCTGCAAGATTGACCCCTCGGCTCACGGTGTCAACGAGATGTCCGCAGCGGACGTTTTCACTGGTGCTGGTGGTGCTACTGGCTGTGTTGTTACTGTGCCTAGCGGCTCCAAGGCCAATGTTGTCGTCTTCGCCGTCGACGGCAGCTCCAGTGGCGATGATAGTGACGATGATACCTCCTCGACCAGCAGCAGCTCTAGCACTAGCAGCGCCAGCCGCACCAGCAGCACCAGCACGTCTACCTCGTCTGCTTCGTCCACCAGCTCTACTCAGAGCACAACTTCCACCAGCACAACCTCCATTTCTACCAGCTCGACGTCCAGCGCTACCGGAACTGCTACTGTGACTGCCACCTCCACCAGCAAGTACACTAAGTCTATTCCTACTACTTCCATGAGCTATACCTACCGGCCCCACGTGTTCCAGCCCACCGCCAATGCGGAAATCGAGCCTACTGGAACTGACTCCGGCTCGGGATCTGGCACCCAGGCCACCGCAGCCGCCGCTACCACCACCGACAAGAGCGGTGCTACCAGCGCCTCCGTCTCGATGATGAGCCTGGTCTTCGGCGCTGCGGCCGCATTGGCCCTGCGCCTGTAAACCTGACTAGTCAGGTATTTTTTCTACACAAACAGTTATAGGTGTATTGATACCCTGTTCACCGCCCCGCGGGTCCCATGTCTGCCGAACCTCTCGGCTGTTGACGTGCGCTTCGATTCTTTGACATATCTTTGAACCTTTTTAATTCTTCATATCCCCCTTTATTCTCGTGACACTTCATACCTTTTGTGACGACTTCCGACGTTGCCGACTTTTCAGCCTTTACGACTATATCTTTTGCTCCTCAGCATATTTCATCTTCTGACTCTGATCTTGTTTTGCATTATGCATTGGGTTATATTTACTTCGACGACCGGTGACGCTTTTTTGAGCATGAGCCCAGGCTTGGACGGGCCTGGAAGACAGGGACCAGGTCTGTCCATCTTTATTTTCACATAATTTCTATTCCAACGCATGTCATCTACTACCAGAGCTGGGCATGGGATTCCTCGGGGATCTTTGTAGATGAGATTGGTACTCTAATATACCCACTTCGGACAGTCCAGACTTGTTCTGTTAGATTGATCGTTCCTGTAGAATATCCTTCCATTGAGTGTGAAGGAGTGGCTGAGAGTATTCGAATGAATTGATTTACTATTAGTCGTAGACTTCAGGTTGCCAGTCATCTTTCCACGGCATATCAAACTACTTTCTTTTGACATGATTCATGTCCTTACCTGTTGTATAACCTTTCCCCTCCAATATAGTCGATAATGGCAAGCGGACCCTCTTGCATTCTGGGGGTTCGACCTTCCACTTAAAGCAGGTGCAGAGCCATAAAGCCTTAGAATTAGTGTATTTCAAACGTGATGCAATGAAGACGGCGAAGAGCTGGACCAAAAATATTCGTAGCGCAAAATTTAAATGTAGGAGTGAATGAACGTATTTTACATTTACATGATGATCGGTAGTAGTCTCACAGTTGGTAGTACCTGATTGCCAATTCCTTCAAGGTATGTCCCATGTCGCCCGGGTATGCCCTAATGATAATGCATGCCTCGTAACTTCCAAGGACCTTCGACTTGATCAAACAAGAATAGTTCGACATGATGGAGAAGAAAAGGAAGGAAAATTAAGAAAAGACGAATAGGGAGAGACATGGTTTATCGTTGTCATCATCGCCAAGTTCAAAAGGCCGTGGCCGAATATTACCCGGTTCAAGCCCGACGACTGTGCATAGGCGTGCTAATAATCCACCTGGTCGATGGGAATAACCATATCGGGCCTTCTAGCCAGATAAGCCAGGTTGTTGAGGCCTCGTAGTCGTACTTCGCGCATGTATTTCCTCTGGTGAGAAGGAATGTCAAGGTACACGTCTCCTTCTGGGTCTCCATTATACATGCTCCAAATACCACAGCCGATCAGCACGGCAGCCACACAACCGACAATTATAGCAAAAACGTAGAGGGAGAATCTCCCTGCATCTTCACGCTTAAGAAGGGTCTTGGTGGTGCTTTCCACGGCGGAGATCATGAGAGGAAGAGGGGCCCTGAGACAGTGGTCAATGGTTAGTATCGACATGTTGATAGTCCTAGAGGTTTCTCGTTGAGGACTTACATATTGAAATGATGTAAAGTCTGTTTATAATTAATGTGATTGGCTGTAGAATGTAAAGACAGGAAATGTGTAGAGCTGTTGAACCGTAACGAGAGACTGGTGTGATGGATTTGAGAGAGAAAGTTTCGCACATGCGAGACCGGTAGATATATGGGCCAAGGCAAAACCGACTCGATCCTAATTCACCTTGGTACTCCGTACTGTGGCTCATTCCGAGTCCAAAGATAGCACTGCAGCTGAAACACATCCCCCTCTTACCCCCGTAAGCCATATAGAATCTACAAAACCGTCGCCCAAAATGGAAAAGCGCAACTGGAAAACCCATGCCATGACGTCATAAACCGAACAGGCCAATGGCAGCCCTCAAATGCTCGAGAGGCCCATGCTTTAGCGTCACCTCGTATCCAATCACAGCCACCAAAACCCTTCCTTCGTCCGTCCGTATAATCTGATCTCTCGACCCTAAATCACGCTAATTGTGGCTGACTCTAGTAGACCCTCAGCGTACTCGAGACATCTTATGCCCATGCTTCACTCTTCTAGAGGTGATGAAACTGGGGCTCGTGCACGGGTACATACCCAGTAACGTGTATCTCCTTTTGAATCCCCTCTAGCCCTAATACCCGATGTCCGCCACTAGGAAACCGTCCGTGTTGGGGGCACCAACTCGCGAAACGTGTGTATCAATTGCAAGTCCACATAGAACACGCTGCTGGCCGAAAGCGCTTCCTCTGAAATACTAGTACCCTACCTGACAACTAAGCGCACAATTCGTCATAGCACACACTCCGAAGAGGAACTCCACTGCAGTCGCTGCACCAGCACAGGTCGCCAGTGTGAATATGGTCCGCACAGGAACGGTCAGCTCGGTATTTATCGGAATTCGCTATATCCGTGAACAGATCCCATGGCACTAGTACGTGACCCGTACTCTAGTTGACGCGTGGCTCCGATTTGTAGACCCGATTGGAAATCAGGAGCGCCGAGCCTTCGGATTCTACTTAAAAGAGGCGGCTCCCGCTTTGTCAGTTGTATTTTATTTATGATTCTGGTGAAGCACTGTTTCATAGATTTGTGAAAGAGGTTGAGCCAGTGTGGCCAAATTCCTGGAGCTGGCCAACGTATAAGCCAATGCGGGCTCATCGTCGACGAGACCAGGGCAAAATGCAACACTCCATACGTTATAAACGCTTTGCTCAAGTTGCAAACCGATGGGCCTTGTTAAAGCAATGAGACTGCTTTCTTTATCAGCACTCACAGTTCTCTACGCCAAACTGGAAGCCGACTCTCTGAACCTGTGTGTTCCGGCACCTTAACGGGGCTCCTTTCCTAACTGGGCTTGCCACTTGTGACGTTCAATTTGAGTCCACGAGTTCAATTTGAGCTCTGGAGCTGCAACACAGATCAATCCGAGTCGCAAGACCCGGCTATCTGATGCCAAAGCAGCAAAAACTTGATTCCGGTCAAGTCCATTTCCCCACGCGAGCAAAAGATTCACCCTCGGACAAAGTCCGGCAGGCTATAGAAACTGGCACTCTGGGAGGTTCGTTTCTTGGAAGGCGCGCTGCCGTCCTGCTGGTTTGGCTGGACGGTTTTTCCTTTCCCTCCCGGGACAAGAAGGTGCGATGCACTCCCTCGAACTCGATAAATTAGCTGGAAACTGATTTCTCTCGGATTCGAACACAGGACTCGTTTTAATGCAGCAATGGGTCGCGCGTGCAAACCACTACGCCACTCACCCTCGTGGTGGTTGAAGTCGTCGATGTTAGGATTATATGGGACCCTTCGGAGGCTTCAAATTGAAATTACATAATATCAAGCAACGCCGGGTTAAATTTTATCTCATTTATGGGTTCAGCAGAATGAGAGCTTTCATTTGATATATTTTGAGGGGGTTTTGGCAAGTATTTTGGCTGGAATGGCGAATTTGCTGAAGAGACGACATCATTTGGGGAGGTGAAGCTATTCGCGCGGCCGTAGTGACGGGCCCGCAGCCCTAACTCCCCGATACAAACAGCAGCGAAAGCGATTCTAAACTACCGGTTAGGATGAAAATGAGCAATTCCACTTCACAAAGAATATACGATTGTCTTATTTCGATCTCCAAGGTATACTCATGATACCTGATAGGTGAATGCCTTGGAGTCTGCAATGTTGGGCTTTGCTCTGAACTGCAATCGTCGCGACCTCTAGTCTTACTGCCGTCTCATGGAGAACGAAATGATATGCGTGATCTATTTTCGATAGGCCTACTACTTTTTATATCTATAATAGAGGCATGGATGCCATTGTCTGAGGGTATTTCTTCTACTAACCCGCCGACCGTGAGATACCACCTTCCCTTCTTTTGCCGACCTGACATCTTGACAAGAACCACAGAAGACTTAAACCCACAACTACAAACATCTCGCTTCAATTTAGGTGCCATGCTAAGGCCAGATTCTGCTCCGACCGGTCGTGCAGACGATTGCTTTGCTCTTTGCAGAGCCAAAGCCGTCCGGCCTCACCCGTACCCTCCATTGTGGTATCGAATCCTTGACAGCTTCGATGGGCCTTTCTCAGGTATCCTCGCTAGCACAACACCAAGACTTTCGTGATTCCCTCGCCTTCGTTCCAAAGGCCGACATTCCATATCTTGTCGAGTTCTGGGAACCTTCTCCTCCAATCTCCAAGGCCGGTCATTGTCCATTTGATTTATGTCCAAGCCGCTAACTTCGTCTCATTTGAGTCATCTCAGAGGCCAAATTCGTCCCTGGTCACTCCTGTCGTCACAGATCCAGTACGAACGTCTCATATATCCATTACCTTATGCCTCTCTATCTGCCGGCATCTATGCATACAGCGACTTGTCTTACGTCTTTTCCATATGAAGGAAGTGGAAGTGTGAATTATGTGGGCAGCAATTTGAGGAAACACCCATGACACCATGGCGCATGATACATGACGCATGCCGCAGAACCCAGTTCCCCCGCGATCGAATACTTGGAACACGATCACTCCGAGCCCTGATGAACCACAGAACGCGAAATTTTTGACACACACCTGTCCTTCTAGGCATCTTGTTACAAGAGTCTATTATCATATCTGCTATCTTGACTCTGCCCTTCACGCAAATCCTTGACCGCTAAATTCCTAAAAAAAAAAACCCCTGAGGATCAAGAGTACCTTTTCCCACCGTCCGCTTCTCCTACTTTAGACGCCTCTTAAGGTCTCGAAGAAGGTTAGTTTCCAAAGAATGAAGTCGGAATATCTCTATACTTAGCAGATATACTAACGGAGCTACGCTGGATAAAGTACAAGATCTATTGCAAGCGATCCGCTCGCTCTAATCGCTATTCTCAACGGAAGCATGCATTTAATCCAGCTTAACCAAGGTTTTGTACGCCTGATTACCCAGATCGTTGATCTTACAAATATCGAACATTATCCGCTGCACATACAGTTCTGGGACAAACGTTTTCGGAAGCAGTTGGAAATCATTGTCAAGAGCCAAGTTCCGAGCAACTATATCCAAGAGGAACTGCGAAATAGAGCTCGAAACTGCGCAGAAGATGGCACATACTCATCAGACATCTTAGATGTGGTTCGGGCTGTTTATGATGATCCCGCTAGCAACAGCATGGACTTTCAAGATTTACCCTGACTCGGAGCGCGAGTCAAGCCACCCTGCATCGTACATGGGGATGGCGAAATGAATTTTCCGCTTTAAAAATCACAACCCATATCAATATTCACAGCATGTCGGTCGAGCACAAACCACGAGTGTCAGATCACAAAAATAGAACGAGAAATGAAAAAATGGAAATGGAAAGGAGCGAAAACAAAACTGAAGAACTTTCAAGATACAAGCTCCTGCCTCCCCTCTAAATATCACGCAGGGTAACACACTTTCCATCGCCAGATCCAGTCGTAACGGCGCTCGCAGTGGTGGCTCCAACACTCCTCATTCTTCTTGCACAAGCTCCAGGGCTGCCACGGCTCGCAAAGAGCAGGTTTAGAGCCGTGCTTGATGCACTTTAGGGAGCAACAGTCGGAATTCTGATGGCACGGCTGAGATGAAAGCTCACAACCTTGGGGCGGGGGAAAAGCAGGTACGGGTGTCTTAGGCTTCTTAGGCGCCTTAGGCTTCTTGGGCCTCTTCTTCTTCTTGCCCCCATTGTCTCCAGACCCGACCTCCTCCGGCTCCTGTCCGGCTTGTTCTTCGATGCGCTCGAAGCAAAATCCCTCGAAGCAGTAGTCCTCTGGCTCACAGCCATCGTCTGTCTCGCACTGCGCGAGGGGTGGAAGACTGTCGATGTTCTCAAGCCCTTCCATATCACGAGGTTGACGCTTATGCCCCTCGTAGTCGGGGGGGAGATGCATTGAAGAGTCTCCACTGGGGTCAGCTACCACTTCGGGGAGGCTATTGGTAGAATGCCATCTCTCTCGATCGCATAGCACCGCCACCAAGACTAAGATGAGGACGAGTACTAGAACTCCTGTCGAGGCGATGATTGCGGCCTTCTTCTCACCCCGTGCTCTCTTTTCCGCTTCAGTAAGCTTGTCGGTGTCGACAAAAAGGGGAGCCCAGGTTTGGATGACTATTTCATATTGCTCTGGACAGTAGACTGGCTTGATGACTTCTGGCTTGATGACTTCTGGCTTGATGACTTCTGGCTTGATGACTTCTGGCTCGATGATTTGGGGCTCGATGATTTGGCCCTGATTGATATGGGCTTCTGCGGGCTCTAATTTGCTTGATTAGTATATTTGAAGGCAAAACCACGAAGCTCTCACAGCTTAGTGGACACAGGGGCCGTGTACTCTCGACGAAATGCATGTTTGCCAAAGGGGATGTGGACGTGGAATGACTATTTCATGCAAGAACGGATAAGAGAAGAAGGTCTGTTGGCTATAAGTAGCAAATGCTCTGAAGGAGGTACTTTACGAGTGGGAAAAGAAGAGACAGAAGAGATACGAGAGCGAATGCTTATAGCTATTAGGATTCCATGGCCGCCGCTTGATCTGGGGATCCGAAACCATTCCGGATTTCAAGCTGCCAGGAAAGGCTCCGAGCGCCTTAGCAAGTCCTTCTTGAGAGCGGTGCTACGTTGATGTGACGCCTGAGCCCTATCATCATGATTCCACACTCTCTACATAAACCTAGCTCGCCTCTACAAGTATGAACGTATGGACAATGTTGGACAACAATGCTTTGGCCAACCCCAGCCGGATATCTTGACATGCACATGATACTACAAGTATACAAGCGGATACTTTTTCTTGCCAACGCTGGACTAATTTGCAGGAGCCTGCAAATCCGACGTAGCTGGCGGTGACTCTTCCTGTTTCTTCAAGATGTATGCCTATGCTCCCCCCCCCCAACTTGTCGTATAGTCGACGGAAAGTCCGGTACTAATGAGCATCGATATCTAATAGCACCGTACGTACATATTTGCTGCACGTAGCCAAGATGAACGGGGAAGAATTGAACAGTGGTTGGTCAAATACAATAGTTAGGCATTGGTAACAAAGGCACCTTATTATGATAGCACCAAACTGACATAGAAACATAGCACGGGGTTGTGCCGGGGAATCGCTTAAATGAATATAGGGGGGAGGAGTTACTGGCCCTCTTGGTGGGTCCTAGGAAGGCCACGACCAGATCAGAGAAGCGCACATCATTGACATCATACTCTAGATGCCCGAGTGGTTTTATCATAGAAATCTAAAGTCATAGCTGCAAGGAAGCATGGTATGTCTTTCCTTTCCTGGGCCCAGAACTTGAGGAGGGGTTTGATCTCCATGGCGAAGAGGGTGTTGTTTCCTCCGATTAGCTTCATTGATCCGTTCTCGCCATCAAACTCGATTGAGTTTTCTCCCCCGTTACCCATGCTCCCAGGTCCGCGAGAGTCAGACGAGGCACTAGGATCACCATGTCGATACGCGGCAGACAGGTGGAACATCGATGTGACACGGACACGACCGCTGGGAAGGATATCAAGCTTATACCCGAGTAAAGACGCCACGGCTTCTCGGAACTCGATCGCCTTCAGCGCATATACTTCTTTGAGTCGACGGTTGGTCTTTTCTTTGTCTGCAACCAACCGTTCCATCTCTTGTAACTCGAGTTTGAGGCTCTCAAGTGTGCTGACAGGCACAACTTTCACGTTAGCATGATCTCCTTGGAGCTGGGCTAGCAGATCTCGGTTTTCGGCCTTAAGAGTGCGGAGGGTCGACATCTTGATCTTCTCTACTTCGGCAGTTGGGTTGTCTCGCAGTTCAAGCACACGAGTGCGGGATTTCGATTGAAGCGACTTTACTTGAGCTTTAGCGGCTTCCAACTCCTTCTTGACAAGAGTTCTGGCTTGCTCAGATTTGCCCAGCGCGTCTTGCATTTTGCGAAGTTTTCTCGATAGACCAGCAATTCGCTCGCTCTCATTCTCGCTATCCGCAGATGAAAAAGGGCGTTTGGTTCCACGGGTTGGTTGTTCTTGTTGAGGCGGGGCCTCCTGCTTGGATAACTCTTCGTGGGCTTTTTGCAGTTCGCCACGATACTCGTCCACAAGTTGCTGCAGCTGGGCGATCTGTTCTGACTTTTTGGCGTCGAATTGATTCTCATCGCCGTTCATGGTGAGTTCTTCCTCATCGAAAGTTTTCAGCTGTGCACGTAGGTATTCGACTTCCTTTACGGCTAGCGCACGCAATCGTTCCAACCGCTGGCGGGCTCGGGTGTCAGCGGGAGCTCCTCCAGCAGCGCGCAAACTTTCGACTTCTTTGTTAAGCTTTGTTGTCTCGTCTTCCAAGTTCTTGATCGCTTCGTCCTTCTCCAAAAATTGAGCGTCGACAAGACCGAGCTTATCAACCATTGCAGCCTTTTCGATTCTTTCCTCCATAAGAGCCTTCACAACAGCCTCTGGGTTGTCAAATTCTGCGGATCCATCATCGCCCTGTAGGAGCATCGTCCAGGATTGCCGCTCATCCTCTAGAGCTTGTTTCTGGAACTGCAATGTATTGAGTTCTGCTTCGAGGCCACTCATAAGTTGTAGTTGATTTTCCAGCGATCTCTTCTGTTCCTCAACAACCTCGACGTTCTTCTGAACCTTTCGGAGGTGTCGTAGTTCCGAAGCCTGTTCTCGGTTCGTCGTTTCCAAGTCGCGGATATGATTGACCTGTTCTGACAACTGTCGCTTGAATACTGCCATTGACTCAGCATCATTCCCTTCTGACTTAAGACGGATATTCTCTGCTTCGAGTTCAGCTACCTCTGCTTCGCGTTCGGCTAATCTTTCTTGTGTTGCTTGTTGCGCATTTCGAGCATCTTGGAGGTCATTCTGAAGCTCTTCGATTGTTTTCTGAAGCGAAGCGCGGACCGTTTCGAGTTCGTTGATCTGGTACTTGAATTGTCGCTCCTGGTCAGATGCCTGAGCCCGGCTCTCGTCACATTCCTCCTGTAAGGCCTGTTTCTCATCCTGGAGAGCCCGGATCTTCCTCTCCAGCGAAGCCTTTTCAATCAAGGCTTGCTCTTGGACTTCATTCAATTCTTTGGCGGAGGCTTCAGCTTTGAGGGTCGCCCGATTGCTTGCAGATTCAGCAGCCTAGAAATATGAGCTGAGATCAAACCAATATATCTTGTATTTTAACGCACCTGTGCCTTTCGAAAATCGGCATCCCACTTCAGTTGCAGATCTCGGGACTCCTTCTCGTATCGAAGAGTCTGAAGATCCCGCTCTTGCTTAATATTTTCCAGCTCGTAACGGAGAGTGCTGACTTGCACACGCAACTCATCTTTCTCGACATCTGCAGAATTCAGTTAATCTTCCTATACATGTTCTTTCCGTTGCATGTAGCCCAACTAACCGTGAACTGGAGCGGGTATTGAAATCGGCTGGGAGGAGCGACGTGATTGACGAAGCACGCTCCGCCGAGCCGCCGGAGGCCCCGAGGGAGTTGAAGGGGAAGCAAAGCCAGCAATCAGCTGAGAGGCCGGACGCGAATTCTCGTCGTGCTCCATACCGCCCTAAGAAAGTCGCCGTTAGCTCGAAACGAGTTACGAATTCAGACCACAGGAGCCTACCAACATGCAGGACAACGGGGAAGGCTGCCGGACCGCACTACAACAAGCGGACGTGTCTCATGAACCTTTGGGGTCTTTGAAAGAAAAGGGATCTGAAGGGCATCCAGATCGGAAAGTCGCGCGTGGACTCGTTGTTTGGATCCTTAGTCATTCAATGTGGAGCTTCCAGATACGGTTTAGCGTCAAAATTTTAAAGAAATTATTTCGCGGAAATCTTCCCATAGACACACACCCCGAAAAGCTCACCCAACCTCCCCACACCCACCCTACTCTCTCAAATCCGTCAAAATGGGCAAGGATAAAGTCGAAAAAGAGAAGAAGCGCGCTGAGAAGAAAGAGAAGCGCTCCGAGAAGGATGGCGTGAGCAAGCCCAAGAAGGAAAAGAAGGACAAGAAGGATAAGGCTGCTCTTGCCGATGCGGTCGAGAAGCAGATCACCTCCCAGGTCATTGAAGGTCTGGAGAAGGCCATTCCTGAGGGTGTCACTGCTAAGGGCGAGATTGACATTGATGTCGTCGATGCTCCTGCTGAGCGCCCAATTGGTGCTCTCGTACCATTCGCTGAGCCACTGGTCGAGGACAAGCAGGCTAAGAAGGTTCTTAAGAGCGTGAAGAAGGGTAAGTCGTCTCTTTTAAATTTGTCTACTCATGAAATTGCGATTTCGTCCGTATAGATGCAATGGAGTATTTCTGTGCGAAGAATTCAATTGCATTGTGTGGGCAAGTTCTCGAACACCCGTCATTTCTTCAGTAGGGCCGAAATATGTCGTTCGCACCCATGCTAACAAGAATCCTTCTCCAGCTGCTGTCAACAAGTCACTCAAGCGTGGTGTCAAGGAGGTCGTTAAGGCTCTCCGTAAGTCTCCCGTCCCCGCCCCGGACGCAAAGATCGATCTCCCCAATGGCATTGTCATTCTTGCTGCCGATATCTCGCCCATGGACGTTATCTCCCACCTCCCCGTTCTGTGTGAAGACCACGGTATCCCCTATGTTTTCGTCACCTCGCGCGCCGAGCTGGGTGCCTCTGCTGCTACCAAACGCCCCACCAGTGTTGTGATGGTTGTTCGCGAAGCCGGCAAGAAAAACAAGAAGGACCTTGATGCGGATGCGGATGGTGAGGACTTCAGCAAGGTGTATGAGGAGCTCGCTAAGCTGGTGGAGAAGGAGGCTCAGAAGGTGAACCACTAAACAGTCTCATGAGTTGCTTTTCTGTGTACCTCCGTTTTCATATTCCTCCTTCTGTCCTTCACATTCTCGACAGCTCGTGGAGGCTTTTCTTGTATAGGTTTTATGTTCTTGTCTGATAGGACCACGCATGGCTTGTTAGGGGTTCGGCCTCTGGGTGTCATTTCTTTCCATTTTTGCTCTACTGCAGCTCGGCGTTTATTTCATGGTGTATGAAAAAAAAAGGCAGGATCAGTTCCAATCAAAAATTTACCATACATACCTAATATTCCGGCCCCAGCACTTCGCCTTCTACCGTAATGGGTAGCGTTGCTCGATATTAGATATTGTTCGAGGGTCTGGATTTTTTTTATTTGGCAGACCGGCAGCTATACATGGCTAGTGGACGGTAGGATTGTCTCTTCCTGGCCACGAATTGATAAGACTGTCCGTGGGCCTAACCAAGAAACAAGCACTTTGATCACTGAATTTAGCCACAGTCTTAATCACCAAAGTACCAGTAGTAATTATAGTTGCACAGGCTCACCAGGCCTGTTTCAAGTTCATGACAACCGTTGGCAATGTAACAAGCGAGGATAGATCGAATTTATCCGGATGGTGTGAGCGTCTCCGATAACGCCAAGTATATAATCTACCTTGCATTTGCCCCTGCGCTATTGAGACTTAAAAGCGCCCTCAATTCGGCCGGGCAAGTGGATCTATCCCTTTGTCTTTTGTTATCAGTCAACAAGGGATATAAACCGCATACCGTTGTGCACATCAACAAATTAGCAACCAACCAGCAGCTACCGTAGAAGGTAGACCCATTTCTTCCAGTGATCGGGTCTACTCATTGCCTGCGTCCCCTAGATTCAAGGCCGGTCCATTTTCTGTTTCAAGTATCGAGTGACCTCGAGTTGTACACAAACTACGTCTAACATGGAAAGTCTCACGGCCCCTGTGACCTTTCCTGTCCCCTTTGCCTTATACTAGTTGTCACCACAGTTTAAAAAGCGACCCTTCCCACTTACCAGGACACGCGACTCTGCTCGACTTTCCCCTCTACATCGCGCCTACCACGCCTGATCTGGTCGTAGCCACCCATTCACCGTCGCGCATACCCACCAACGACACAGCAGAATGCAACTCTTTCTGACTCTGAAATGGATCCTTTGGGTGGCTTTCCTCGACGCAGCTCGTACCATCATCGCCCACCCTATCCCAACGCTAAATTGGGTCAACACGAATGAATTCAAGGACCTTGAATCTCACGGCGCATGGAAGGTCTTGCGAAACCAGATCAAAAGCTCCTCGGAATTAACTAAGCTCGAGGACAGAGAGGTCAACTAAAGCTGCCCTTCCCGCGTAAACACCACGCTCGCGCTGATAAAATATAGTCCCAGGTTCGCTTGACCAATGATCGCGGCGACGAACTGATCAAGGATGAATCCTCTGGCTGGCTCTACAAACACGGAAAAACACTCGACAAGGCTATCGTCTCAGTTATGGTTCCAGCTATAACTACCTCGGCGGCTCGTCTCAAGACGAGCCGTGAGAAACATCGCACCAGTTACCGGAACTACAAGAAGCCCGTTTTTCATGAAACGCATTCATACGACGGAACTCTGGGCCACAGCAATTCTGAGATGACAGGGCTCGACAACCTGGCGTGGAAATCTTCATTGGAGTTATCCTCTGACCACCATTCGCCGGGGACTTCATATCGATCCTCTTTTCCTTTCTCCAAATTCGCCCTCGCCTCCTCCGTTCCCACGATCACATTTTCAGGAGCATTCGCGACAGTCATGATAGGAATGAATTTCGCGTGGATCGCTGTCTTGATAATGTGTTTTTTTCGAGTACAGAAGGTATCTTTGCAAGCGCATTAAGATTGCTCAGCTTGCTACTGCGAAGGAGCAATTAACCCCGAGTCATGACTACAGTTCCGCCGGATTCTCGAAAATGCATTCAGAACTTGGAGCTCGGAGCGCCCGCCCGGCAGCCTGCTTTGCGCGAGCTACGACAGAAACCAATACTAGTAGTCCTTTATCCGACGAATTTGAGCTGGACTCCGATGGAGCGACAGGGCTGGAAGATTATCGCATAGTCTGAGCGTTGGCAAATCATTAGCAGCCTATGGTGCCTTGAAGGCAGCCCCAATGTACATGAAACAAAATCGATAGCGCCCTAATATACCTAACCTAAGCTTACGAATTATTCGTAAAACGGAAACATGCTTGAAATCGTAATCGTTGATTTCTATTGTACATCTTTTATCCGTGATTCATCATGAGCAAAGATCCAAACTGGATTTTTGAAACCAAATGATAACGCTCGCTCAGCCAACAGATTTAATCATACATGAAAAGAGTTTAAGCACGCTGGTCAGCCAGGTTGCCATAAGGGTTCTGGTTATCAACACCCTTCTGTCGGGGTCCTCCGACATCAGGGCCACTCTCGAAGTTGGTGCGCTGGAACTTCTGCTCCGCGGCACGACCAGGATCCTGCTCGGAACCAATCTCAGAAGTGAAGCTGGCATTCTGGTAGTCGCCCGAGAAGCCGCCTTCTTGCACACCACGGTTGTCGGAGCTGTACTGGTTGCTGCCGCTGGCAGAGGTCTGGCCGGAGTTCCGGCCGCCAGTGATACCAAGATCCTGCTTGGCAGCACTTGGACCTCCAGTGTAGCCGCTTTCGGGGAGGTGGGCACCAGGGAAGTCGCCCTGGCCACCGAGAGCATCGGGGTACTTCTCCTGTCGGCCAAGGTCCTCGCGAACACCGCCGGGGGCCGAGGGGAGGGTGGTGGCGGCAGAGGTGTCGGTGTTGTTTAGAGTAGACTTAGATCCAGAGACGCCGAGGGGCTCGGCGCCACGGTTTTGAGAAAAAGCACCGCCTTGACGGACGGACTCAGCGGCGAGAGAGTCATTTGCGACGGGGCCAGAGGGCTCATCGATAGGTTGTTGGTAAGCCTCAGGGTCGGTGGTGACCTTAGTGCTGCGAGGGCCGGGAGGGATGGGGGTGCCTTGGAGATCCATTTTGATAAGAGAAGAGGGTATTTAGACGCGGGATTGGATTGGGATAGGTATTTTTGACGAGAGTCGAAGGATTAATTGAATGATTGGGGGGGACTGAAACGGATTTAAAGAGCTATATATGAATTTACAGGTCTCCGCTTTGAGTATCTCCAAGATCGTGGTATCAGAGTGAGTGATGTCAGACTTACGATAGTGCCCCAGCCCTCACCGAGAGATGTCCTGATCGCTCTGTGAAGTCACGTCAATCGGCCTGGTAGATATGGAGAGGGTGGCGGACTGGGGCAATCGAGACAAGGAACAGTGGAGCTTTGCTGCATCTTCTGGCCCCTCTACCACTGTTTCTGGGAATAAAATTCACTACCATAAGAGGGGCTGGTCCCCACATTCTTATTGCGTCGTGGGTCGTTGAGTTCATCGAGTTCTCTAGCACCCAGAGCTCAAAACTGGGCAGAAGGGCGAATGCGGTTGTAGGTTGACGTCAGGCCCGGCAGGGTTACGATCTCATGCATCCACCAATGAGATCTTCGATGGGCAAGCTGGCAATCTGCCATACCGACAATCGATTCACTCCTGGCCAATATGCCTCTACGATTATCCCTTAATATTGATGATTTAGCCCTAGGCATTGATGTCCTGGAAGCTCATCTAAGGGTATAAGAACCGTCGGCTAGCAACCCACCAATTAACGTGCGAAAACTATATGAGGTCATCCGCGGCTTCCCCACAATAGTTTAGCATTTCTACCTCACGCGACCAAAGATAAGGTAGACAGTTTATGCTACAACTACGGAATACTATGACTGGGGATATACTACACTTGCTAAGCTTGCTACGCCTGGATGTTTCGTAAAGTGCTATGAAAATTTTCATTCGCTCATGACTCCGTAAAATTGGTATCATACATATGGATTTCGTAGTCCATTAGATATTGTCTTAGCGGGCGAGAGCATCGGAAGGAAGGCCGTCGAGACCCTCCTTACCCTGACGACCAACCTTGCTCGCGGGCTCAGTGTTCTTGTGCAAGTCACTGCCGTCAACACGGACGCTGCTCTCGGCAGTGGCGGGCTCGCGCAGGGCGCTATCTCCTTCGCCAGAAACGGATCCCGAGATTCCACCAGAGCCGACGTTGACAGTGCGTTGGTCGGAGGAGTTCCAATCACTAGCGACTGGGGGTTGGTCGGGAAGAGGCAGGTTGGACTTGACTTCTTCAACTTTTTGGTTCTTGTCAACGCTGTTCTTGTCGACAATAGACTAAGTCACAGCATGGTCAGCATTCGTCCTGTGTAGTCAAAGCAAATATATGCTTACCTTCATGGCAGACACTTCAGAGTCTGAAGGGTTGGTACCGCCGTGCTGATGAGCAACACGAGACTCGGGCTTGCGCAGGTCCTGGCGGGTAGTGTGGTAAGTCTGGTCGGTCATTTTGGACGTAGAAGAGGAGGTTTCGAGATGATCGAGAAGATAGTAGAGAAGTTGTAGATGATGGGAAATAAATGTATAGAGGGTATTTGGTATTTATATTGCTTAAAGGATCCGAAACCAAGCTACTGCCAAGAGCTTTCCTGTCATAGGTGGAAACGTGGAAACTTGCTTGTCGTGACGTTGAAAGTGACGACATACCACCAACCCAGTCCGTGGATGTGCATTCCCCCGTTCTCCACTTTGGAGGCCTCAGCTCCCAAAGACGCATAACGAAGCTGGCATTCCTTGAATTTGGCGTCATTGAATTTCACTAATCTGGGAGCTATCCAGAAACTTCGAATTCCCCTGGAGAAGTGCTGTCGATCAAAAAAGTTAACGAACTCGGGTCAACAGTCACCGGTGGTCATACCCGGTAGCTCTGCCAAGGACTTTTGCTATGACTTCCAATACATAATACCGCTTGGCTTAGCAAGATACACAAGTCTTCAACTTGAAGTTCCCAACATTCCTTACTAAACAAACACACTGTTGGATGCCAATCTCAAAATTGCATAACGATTGTGGCTTGTATAGTTAGATTATACTGCAGAGCCGCATCGCCGGGCGCAACGCTGGCACTGGGGAATTCACCGCAGCTTCGAAATGATCGAAGCAAGATGCTCCTAAAACAAAGTACAATCGGAATAAGAACCAATTCTTTTACGAGTTCCGTAGCCTTGTACCAAATGATTATTACAAGTGTAGGGGACTTCAAGAACTTGCAGCTGTCCAACAGCAAAATGGATGAACCTACCGCCTTGGCTCCAGACCGGCAGAAAATGTTGCTTATCGTGTTTTACCAGGCCGATCATAAAACGCAGGCTGCTCAGGTCGTCTTTCGGTCTCGTTCTCGTAGCAATTGACAGTCTCCAGGATGCCTCGAGATCCACTTATCGGGCTTGTGGGAAAGGTCAGTACCCTCTCCTCTCTATGTCCTCGTGGGCACCCCGCTAACGGCATGAGGGGCAGCCATCGAGCGGAAAATCCACGACCTTGAACAGTTTGACCGATGCCAGTTCCAAAGTCGGTATGACGCGTGTCCTCGCAACAAGAGTTTGATCATTGCTAAGAAAGTCTTTGACATGCAGGCAACTTCCCGTATGCTCGCCCCTGCCATGCAGACCCCCCACTTGTCGCAAGCTGCGCTAACGACTGCCCGGTAGCTTCACAACCATTGATCCCCAGCGAGCGATCGGATACCTTCAGATCGACTGTCCATGCGCGCGCCATAATGTGTCAGATAAATGCCGGCCGAACTACGGTGGCTGCCACGAAGGACGACGTTCGGTTCCCATTGAATTGTTGGATGTCGCAGGGCTCGTTCCCGGTGCGCACCAAGGCCGAGGACTGGGAAACAAGTTCTTGGATGACTTGCGACATGCCGATGCTTTGATTCACGTTGTTGATGTGAGCGGCACGACTGATGCCGAAGGGGAAAGCAACCCGCGGCTACGACCCGTCTGTTGATATTGAGTGGCTGCGCGGTGAGATCGTGCGATGGGTGCTCGGAAATTTGATGGAAAAATGGTTAGTTCGCTGCTCGGGGTGGGTTATTTTCGATATTCAGGGCATGGAGCTAATCAACCTACAGGGGTTCTATTAAGCGAAGGCACACTGCGACAAGTCAGTAACTATGCGTTTGACGCCGAGCTCGATATCGGATGGAAGCCCACTAATATGATAACAGAGGCGAACCCAGTTGATACCTTACAAGGGCAATTCTCCGGTTATGGAAGTACCGGAAATGTCGTTGCGCGTTGCCTGGATAAGCTGGGCCTCAAAGAGCCTCTTGAAGAATGGTCAGATGAAACAGTCAAACTTGTGGTCGAGACCTTCATCGACGAGAAGTTTCCCACCGTGTTTGCTTTGAATAAGATTGATCACCCGGATGCCGACAAAGTACGACTACCACACCTGACGACCACAAACCAAATGCTAACTTAAAAACAGAATATCAGCAAAATTGCCAAAATGCAAGATCCAAAGAGCATTGTCCTATGTTCGGCCATTTCAGAAGTCTTTCTTCGGAGACTTGCCAAGCAAGGATATATCAAGTACGTCGAAGGAAGCGAATTTGTAGATACTCGAGAAGATCTGATTGAGATGGGAGACCCCGACGGCGGCGGTCTTAAGGAAATGGACGAGAAACTGAAAACGTGAGTACTTTTCCCTGACAAAGAATAGTGTGGTCGATGCTGATGGTACCAGGCGTGTTGAAAATCTGAAGGACATGGTATTATATCGGTTTGGCTCCACCGGGGTGGTCCAATGTCTCTCTAGAGCAGCTGAACTTCTGGGATTGGTCCCCGTATTCCCAGTCCGAAACGTCCAGTCGTTCAATTCAGGTGCTGGCACCGCTGTCTTCCGAGACTGTGTCTTAGTGAAGAAGTAAGAGCCGATGATTCATATTAGAAAGAAAAATGATTGTCTAATCTATCGACAGGAACACTACGGTTGGTGAGGCTGCCCGCAAAATCATGGGCGATGTGCCAATTTCATATATCGAAGGCGTTGGAGGCACACGAGTCTCAGAGGATGATATCGTGGCCGTTGGAAAGCATGATGTAAGTACTTTCTCGAGTCTGACGGATTGAACTGTACTGATTCCTGGGTTCCAGATTTTATCGTTCAAGATTGGCCGGTAAATCAAAATTCAGGCTTGCATTGGCAGTCTAGATGTGAAAATAAAGATAGCTCAAACAACTTGGACTACGCTGGCGATGTGTAGATAAGCCTCTCTCATGATCTCTCCATTCCATCTTCCACTAGGAAACCGCCTCCGACTTCTCTCTTCTGTTCCCTCCTGGCCTCTCTGCTGAAAATTCTTCATCTTGCCTCTCTCCTGCTTTCTCTTTTGTCTCAATCCCTTCCTCTTCGTATATAAACTTCTTCTGTCTCACATCGTATTTTCCATCCAAGGCCCCCTTTCCAAAATCTTCTCATTCTAACCCGTTCTATCACTTCCTGCATACCAGTTGATCAATCCACTTGATTGCACACCATAGCCTCAAGGCGCTCTAAGAAGTGTTCTAAATAAGCGATCAAACCGCGGAAGCCAATTTTCTCGAATGACAAGATTGCCATCGAGAGGCTTACTACCAAATCCGATGCCGGAAAGCGGGAGAAGATGCGGTGGAAACATCGTCGGCAACTTCTTTCCGACTGTGAACCGCAGGAAACCTAATATTGAAGACCACGAACTCCATACGGTCTCCGTTTCTGGCATGATGATATGCTGATGCTAAAGGTGTTCGGGGCGGATGAAAGACCCACTGAAGCTTCCGAGGACCGAGCAACTGAAGTTTCCGGAGAAGCAAGGTCGATCCTAGATCAAGCATGGCGAATGGCCTATATCGTAGTTCCAATCATTTCAATGTGATATGTTTCTACTCTGGGAGCTGCTTTCCTTCACGTTGTGAAGGCACTGCGACATGAGAAGCTAACGTATTACCAGGCTCTTCCTTCGACTGGCGGAAGGAGTTGCCCAAGCGCGAATCGTGGTCGAACTACCATACTATATGGGAGTTATCCTGAGGTCCTGGTGCCGGTACTCCTACTAGCCGTGGCAAATGGGTTAGAACGGGCCTCCCTGCATCAGATCAACGCTGAGGCGCGGCATTGCCTCTTCTAGCAGCCCCGATCTATGCATCCAACACACCGCAAGACTGTGACCGACAGACTCATAGCAGAATGATTGCCCTCTAGTTTCATCGAATTCATCCTAATGCCCGATATTGTTGGGATCCCCCGTGTTCAGGGTGATCGGCACACTCTGCCGAGATGACGTAGGCTATTCCCCAAGCACCCAATGCTTGGCTCTGAGACGCTGCCACATGTACACGAATTCCAACACGACGCTAAACTCTACAAGAACTCTGGTTGGGCCAATGGCCGGTCGCACAGCGCGCTTCGGGCCACATGTGCCGGTAGAGGCGTCAGCAAATGACTACTGCACCTTAATAGCATAGGGATCGGTGGAAATCCAATCATACATTTGCTCTCCCCCACTCCGCGGAGATTTGCATGGTATTGTTCGCTTCTGGAAGAACCCAGGTATACTTATAAAAGCCCTCCACAGACCCGACATCAGCAAGCAGCCCATAAGCCCATCAGCCCTTCTTACTCGATGACCATGTCGAAAGCGCATTCGCCCCGAGACAAGAATTCTTCTGAGGGCTCGGACGAACAATGGAAGGTCGACACTCCCTTCGGCCCTCCTGAACTCCCTCATTCGTTCTCCAGTGGCAGCATCCGCCGAATCCGCAACTCTCTCTCCAAGCTCTCTCCCTCTGCCCTCGCCGAGAAGGATTTGCTGCGCAAGAAAAACCAATACAAACAGCCCTTGACCCGACGGAACGTGAATAGCCTGGTCACCGCGCAGGAATGGCAAGAAGCATGCCAGCCCAATCAACGAACTTCCGAACTTCAAGTGACCGAATGGCTTGAACACGTCAGATCGAGCGACCTGCATACTCCACCCATTGGGAGCACAAGGTTCAACTAGACTTCTTCTCGGCTCCTTCTCGACCTGCCTACCCCGCACGCCACGGCTGATCCCATGCACGAGGATTCTAGTGCCGCGCGGTGGCGGGCTTTGCGAACGGGATTGGACCGGATGGGCCCCTTCCCCAAGGACTGGGGCAGAAGCCGCCCTCGTGCTTCCATTGCATCCTTGGTCCTTGGCAGAGCGTCATGGCGCGCAGAGGCGCTCCTTCTCTTACGCATGCCCCGCGAGGCTTTAGCATGAGCTGATCGGGGGTTGTTGTTACTCCTCTCTGTTCCCGCGTGCAAACTGTCGCAATATCTGGTCTTATCGGTGCCATAGTCGGTATCCACGTTTGATAGTTCGTGGCGATCCACCTTTAGTGAATGCTTGGCGGGTCTAGGTCGTGTCACACTATGAATTGGAACGAAACAGAAAGATTTGACGAAGGCATGAGTTCGGAACGAAGCAGGGACGAGCAAATTACAATGTCTACATTAATAATAATAGCATGGATATGGAGTGATTGCAATTTATTGGGTTGTTGAATTAACAGTCTTCAAAAGTACAGAAGAAATCGAGTAAATGGGGGGGGTATAAACGCTCCATGTAGGATGAACAAAGGCGTTAGATAGGGAATCCTCAACCCCGCCATGCAGCGGGGTTGCTCCAAGCCCGACAAGAGCTCCCAAGTCTCGATATTCAACCCACCCCGAAGTAAACCCCCCCTATATTCCTCTTGCAAGTTGATCAACGTTAGGAAGGCGCTCATGCCACCAAAACGAGTCGCAATTATCGGTACCCGCCCTATCCGCCGTATATCCTTCCCTAAATTGAAACCCCCACTAACCCCCCAACCTCTCCAGGAGCTGGTCCATCCGGCCTGGTTACCGCAAAGACTCTGCTGCATAATTTCACGCGTGGCTGCTTTAGCCCCGTCGTATTCGACGCTCGTCATGAGGTCGGAGGCCTTTGGCCTCGCTCTAGCCCCCGGCCATGCGGGATGGGATCATCGATCCCTACATGCGAACCAATCTCAGCAGGTTCACTGTGGCATTTTCTGACCTTTCATGGGAGTCGGTGCTGGGCGAGCACGTGCCGGATTTCCCGCAGGCGTGGCAGGTTGGTCAGTACCTGTCGGCTTATGCGACGAAGTACCTCGATGATCAGCATCTGAGACTGGGTCGGCGGGTAGTTCGGACTGTACGAACGAGGGAGCCTGCAGCCAAGTGGAGGGTGTCGTGGGTCGAGGAGAGGTAGGGCTTGCCAATCATTCTGTGAAAATCGGTTCTAGACTGACTGTCCGCTATCAAGGAGGTCTGACGAATCGGTGGTTGGTCCAGCCACGAGTGATGCGGAGGTCACTACTGAGGACTTTGACCTGCTCGTGGTGGCATCCGGATACTTCGCTCGGCCATTTATTCCCGAAATCCCAGGTTTAAGGGACTTCAGCGGCGTGCTACATAGTTCGGCCCTCCAAAAAGGTAATGGCATTACGGGGAAGGGACCTGATACCCACCGGGGAAATGTTGTAGTCATCGGTGGAAGTATGTCTGGTGTCGAGGCTGCATCGACAATCGCACTTCGCCATTCTTCGGCGTTACTGGCGACAGGTCTAAATCCCCAAAGTGCAAACATAAAGGTCCATCATATACATTCACGGCCTTTCTGGAACCTACCCACTTATATCCCCCATGAAACAACCAACGGAGTGTCATTTCTGCCCTTGGATTTGGCCATGTATGACCTAAGTCGGAGGCCTCCCGGTCCGATCGACTATACAGTGGGACCGGTGCCGAAGGACAAGGTTGCCAAGAGCAAAGACTACTTCAGGTCTCTCCTTGGGACAGAATATGAGAAAATCGGATATTTGGACCAGCCGAACACTAGCGACGACTCAAGTCTTCCACCCCCGTGGGTTGCGATTGGAAACGACTATACAGACTTTGTTCGAACCGGGGCCATAGAAGCCACTATGGGTCGAGCTGTTTCTGTGGAGTCTGATCCTGAGACGGGGCTTGCCACTGTCAATATCAAGAGAGCCGATGGCAGCATGCAGAGTCTCAAACAAATCACTACAATCGTAATGGCAACGGGATTCACTCCTTTCGAGTCGCTGTCCTTTCTTCCAGAAGACGTGTTGACCAAGTTGGAGTATACTTCTGAAGATCCGTTTTTACCAATCATTCTAGACAAAGGCGGCACAATCCGCTCAGAGGTCCCAGACCTTGGGTTCTGTGGCTTCTATCGCGGTCCCTATTGGGGAGCGATGGAGATGCAGGCTAGATTTCTTGGCGACGTTTGGAGCAAAGATAAGCTACGACCTCTCAACTCAGGGTACCAGATTAAGGTTCTTCGAACTCTGAGGGATCCTGCTTTAATTCACAGTCGCAGCCAGTTTCCCATGGGTGACTATGTGGGACTGATGGAGACGTTTGCTAAAGATCTGGGGATAGTCCGTACAGAGCTGCCAGGCAGCAATCGAAGTGGACCCGTCATCCCTGCTCGATATCATACTATAGGAAAATCTTATTCTACATCTTCTACATCGTCAACCATGGAACTTGAGGTGGAAAGAACATTGAACGCCCTGAAAGCCATGTCTCATCCTGATCATGGCGCTCTCAAAGCCGCGCGGGCATCGGCTGTTTTCCGGGCTCTTCAAGGCACTTGGCAGTCCTTCAAAGTATTGGCGAAAGGTAGGAAGGACAGGTCTGGAAGCATCCATTTCGCTCCACGTTTTCCATCCAGCCCTGGCTATGAACGAGAATACGTCTGTGAACAGCAGCTTGGGCCCCAGGGTAAGGGACCTTCGTACGTTTATCGCCTAGCTATTGGGAGCGGGGGCAATAGCCCGCATATTGAAGTATGGTCTACGGACACTGCACGAGGCTTCTTGGCAAGAGATCTGGATCACATCATTGACCTTGGCTGCTTAAGGTTCCAAGAAGATGATGGAAAGCGCGTTGCCGGGAAATATGTGATACCCGCTAACGTCTCTCCCTGAAGTGACGCCAAGCACCACCTTGCTGGCCAATCTGAAGTCGAGCATGAGTATATTTTCAACTTTCAAGCTGTCTCAATCCTGAGTTGGAGTCGTCTGGACCGAAATAGTACCCGGCAAACTCAATCCCACGGAACTCAGATATCACAGAACCACTTCCTGTTTGTACGGTAGCTGCAGATAGAAAGCCAATGCAAGATTGGTCCGGAATGTCGAACCGATCTCGATCTCTTCCTCTTTCCTCTCTTCTTTTCGTGACATCTCCTTCGCTCCAGACTTTTCGGCCCGCAGCAAACTTTACATGCTCGTCGGCGCCGCCCGGTGGCGATGCCAATGTTGGAATGAACCACGGTTCAGCCCTAGAATCTGGCAGGTGTATGACCCGTTTAAGCGATGCTGTTGAATACAAGCCAAGCCTGTCGCCACAGCTCGTCCACTCGCTACCGGACGGAAAAAAGAGCCTGGCCAGCTCGAATCTGGGGTAAAGTTCGGGTTTTGCAGACCGGTCGATAAGATCCAGGGTCTTGCAGTCTCGATCATAAACAATGTGCTGCCGATTCGGCCGAAGGTTATTTTTTTTCAGTAGCTCTATACTATATGTCTTTAACTTCTTGATTTATATAAATGACTTCAGGAACAGCCTATCGAATTATTTAGTTTTCGAGGGCAGTCAGGTCAGTTGCACTTCCAAGGAGCGTGGCCGGTCTACCACGAGACTATCCATACCGGTGTTTGCCCTAACTGCATTGGAGGCAATCTTCTTCAACCCTTAACAATAGCCATGGAAATCTCAAAGAAACCAAGACGAGTATCACCTCTGTGGCAAACCTCCCCCTCAGACCTCGACCCCATCTCCGAATGGCGCGCCTGGCAAGCCCTCTCCGTCTACTTCGCCGTGCTCCTCAACCGCCAGATCCGACGAAGATGGGAGCTTGAGAACGAATGTCTTGCAAGCCGCCCACTCTCGCACCGTCTGGCGAAGGTTTCCATGCCAATCATATTCCTTGAACCAGTCCCAACCCTGCACAGGCCCTGCACAGCTCCGACAAGCAACGCAAGAGCCAAATACGATCCATATAATGCCCCCGCCCTGGAGGCCTTGAAGACAAAAGCGCGGCTCCTGCGCGCCCGCCTCGAAAAGTGCAAGGAGCTCGCCTCCGAGATCGAGCGCCGCATGCTGGACCCTCGCGTCCCGTTCCCGACGCACTTCTGCCATACCTGCGTCGTGGATGGGGACGTTGCGGATATCCTGCTCACGAAATGCGGGCACCGTGTGTGCCACACCTGTCTCTCCTTTGGGCTGGATGAGAATGGAGCCTACGAGTGTAGTATTTGTATTGCGCCGGCGCAGTTCGTGGCCAGATCGCCGCTTACGCGGCAGCGGTCGTCGTCGGAGCATATCTCGAATGCCTCGAGGAGGCTTTTGCCGTCTGCGAAGAGGGCGTCTGTGCTGGTGGCACCGGTTGTTAGGCAGCGTTGATTTTTTTTTTTTGGGCGGGGGGTGAACCCCACGCTGGTTACATTGCGTCGCATGTCACTCGCATCGTTTACTACTCTCCGCGTGATTTCATACACATGAAAAGAGGTGCCTAAGAACTGGGAGGCAAAATAGAAGAGATGGGACTTCAAGGACCCCATCCGACCATAGAAGGATAGCAGATTTAGCAATATCATTTCTAGACTTTCAGAACCTGGACATCAAATGCATCATACGTGGCGACCAAACCGGCCACTGGCCGCTTCCCCCAAGTCCAAAAAAAACGCCTTTTATCAAACAAGCAAGCTCAACAAACCAAGCGGACACACAGTCTATCGCTGGATGAATTCAGAAGACATTGTACACGAAGAGATAATAATGTAACCGCTCCCCTTATTTCCGACAAGGGGAGGGAGGGAATCATGAAAAGCCCGAGCAAAGCAAACCCCCACGCTCTGCTCATGGGTATTACAGACAAGGAAATCAAAAGAAAAGCGCAGTTTCGTCAAGAGCCTTTCACATTCATCGGTCCTCCGCGTGTTCCCCGTCGTCGATAATCATCTGCACGTCCTTGATCGGGTGCAGGAGCATCGGTGGAAGACACATCCGGCCTTCGCCGGCGAGCTCCCGCTGTTCGCCGCCATCGTTATCGACGCGCATGCCGAGCCAGCGTCGCCAGAGGTTGGGCGAGAAGCCCGCCGAATAGAACCAGGTGGTGCCGCGGAAATTGTGCTCGCGGTCGCCGAAGACCGAGGTTCGCGCGCCTCCGGATGCGCCGTTGCGGCCGGCGTTGAACACGGATTCAAGGTACTTCGTGGGCCAGCGGCGGTCAATGTAGACCGCGTGCGGCACGTACACGGCCTTGAATCCGTGGTGCAGCGCGGTCGAGGCGGGCCACATCTCGGAGAACATGCTGTGGCGTCGGAGAGAGGTCTCGCGGTGCATAGTGATGAGGAGTTTGCGGGAGAGGCGAGATGCGGTGATGATAGCGGTTCGGCGAGGTGGCATACCATGCTCCTTGTTGTAGCCTGTAACGTCGTCTCGGAGGAGCCAGGTCGTGCCCTCCGGGTCGTACAGCGGGTTGAACACGATCAGATCTGCCTCTTCGCCGACGCCCCACTGGTACTGGTCCTTGTCGATTGTTGTTGGGGGGATGCCCTCGCCATCGACTTCGAAGATGTCGCGCTCGTCAGGCCTTTCGGGACCCCAGATGAACTTGTCGCCTTGCTGGTGTACTCCATTCGCATCGCGGACAGCGCCATCGGAGTCAGGCTTAACAACACTCCACATGTTGTTGGGGCTGTTGGTGCCAATCTCCGTTTGCACGCGGACCATCTGCTGGAAGTCTTCCCATGAGCCATGGACAGAAGGAACATAGAAGCGGCCATTGCGCTCCCACAGGCCCTTACGTGGCTGCTTCTTTGCCCAGTCAACAACCTTACTGAAGAAATGGTACCAGTGGCCGGTGTAGCGGGCGTCCATCTCCCAGTTCCAAAAGAAGTCGTATTCCGGATGTTCGTAGGCGAAGTACTGCATCGGCATGTATGTGCTACGATAGACACCATGGATTGGCAGCCCACGCATGAAGGTTTCCTCGAGGGCTCGGTACATCAACTCCATCTGCGCCTCTGACCATAATGTTCCCATCCCACGGAACTCTTCTGGCAGAGCGTCATTCAGCACTCGTTGATAGGTTTCGTTGTCTGACCAAATCGGGATTTCGTTGTCCTTCACATGGACAAGGAAATGGACGGTGTATTCACCACCTGACGCTAACGAGAGTTCAGAAATCAAAGATCGCATGTACAGGATATCTTCAGGGGTATAATGGAAATCATGCCAGGTACGGATAACCACTGCAGTCCTCGGGAGACGCTCCAATCCAGCCTTCCCCTTGGGCTCAGGGTTCTCGTTGTGTTGAGCTCCGACGGGTCTCGAAAAAGGCCGGTGAGGCGGCGGTTCAGGAAGATCCTTGAAGCGATGGATGTTCGCGGCAGCGCATCGCTCCTGCGCCTCAGCCCAGTCTACACGGCGATAGTCTCACCGGAGGCGCATCTTCCCAAATACGGTCTGCTCCGTCCCGGTGGCCCTCTAGCCCAGCACCGATGCCGCCTTTTTTGACACCATATCCGAGACCGTATGGCCCCAGACGGCCAAAGCGATCAAAGCACATATCGTCGCGAATACCAAGCATCGTGTTTGAGCCCATGACCGGGTCCGGGAACCCCTTGGGCACACCGGGGAAAGACTGTACGGGTGGGATACGAACAAGGCCCTCCTTATCCAAGAAACACTCATGTTTCTCCCCATATTTTTCAATATACTCCTGCGAGGAATAGTCTGGGTAGGGGTTGAACGCCGAGCTCAGCAACGACGGCTTCAGGTCTCTAGACGCCAATTTACTAGCCTCCTGGTTGCTCTCCTCCCCAGACGCAGCCAATGCAGGCGCACCATTTCCAGGGTATTCAGGGACGTTGTCAGCGCGAGACACGAGATTCGTCAAGCCGCCTTCGTACCGACTGAGGAATGGGAAGCTCTCCCACATGGGCGGTTTGGGCGTTCCGACCTTGGGCAATTCCACGGCGACTTTGGAGACGGAAGAAGAGATTGTGAAGCGGAAGAGGACCAAAATGAAGATTATTAGCGAAAAAGAATAGGCCGAAGCAGAGGTATCGCATAACGCGCTGTGGGACGCGAAAGCCCACCGCGGATCCAGTGCCTCGTCGACTACCGCCACGAACGGGTGGGTATGAGAGGAGGAGTGACCAGGGCCACTATCGAAGTCATCGCTGCGATCGCTGCGGTCACTTAGACTGCGATGGTAGGGGGAACGGGCGTGAGAGTTTTTCTCGACGTCGCTGTCTGGTATACGGGAAGAATAGGGCGACGGTTTCGTGTAGGCCGCGGAGGACCTCCTCGCCTGGACGGTCATTGTGACGGAGGTGTCCGCATCGAACGGCCAGAAACTCAAAAAGAAAATCGAATTAGGAAATATTGGGGGAGGAGGGGAAGAATTAATACTTTAAAAGGGTTTAGGAAAAGGGGAAGTGTTCGATGGCGATTGTTCGTTTCGGTGTTTTGGGGTGTTGATCGTCGGCCTGGCAATCGGGGATCAGACCCGGCCTAGACTTTCGTAACACACACAAAGCAATTCTGCTGGGAAGACTGGCGGATATAACGAGGGTATATTCTTGCAAAAAGCCAATGGATCGCAAATACTAGAGTAGTCGAAACAGCCAAGGCTCCTCATAGCAAATGAAAAACAACATTAGCGACGAAGAAAACAGGGGAGTTTGTGATGCCAAGAACACGCTGGGAAAGATTACGCATGTCCACGATTTTCCCTCAGTCCGTCTTGACGTGGCTCTAAAACGGGTCAACTGGTATATTTGGAGCCTCCTTGCCTCTACGATAGCGTAGACTGGTCATATAGTGGGAATTACCGCTGAAATCTATCAGATTCGTTGCCCTTAGCCCCTCTACTCCGCATTCTAAGGAATTCCCCATTCGCCTACCACTTATGACATTTACTCTGCACGCAGAAGGAAGATGAAGAGCAATTTTGACGTGGCGCCAGAGAAGAAAAAAAAAAGAACAAATGAGGCTAATAGCATAGCGTAGAGAAATAGAGCCGTGGAGAGAAACAGACAAAGCACCGGTAGAAAGAACCCCCTGTTTCCTCGAGAGATTCCAAATGGGCCATGGCTTCGCGAAGCAACTCTCGCCATAGTCATCATTAATCCATCATTTGCAGATCTTCCGTGGTATTTCTCCCGCTCTGCTACATACACACACAACCATCCCCAATCGTATTTGTATTATACTCGCTTAGTCGCGGTTAGTTTTGCGGAGAGTGTCGGCCAACCACTCCAGACCCTCGTAGAGACCGTCACCGGTGGTGGCGCAAGTAGATTGGATGTACTAGAAGATGTCAGTTTGTGCATTTCCAAAAGTGTGCATGCCTATTTTAGGCACAAAAGAGAGTGGCAGCATACCCAAGCACGGCGGGTGAGGCTTTGAAGACCCAGCTGCTGGGTGATCTCGGCGGGGCTCATGGCGTTCTAGTGATAATGATCAGTCTTAGCTCCAGGGCGCAAGGGTGGAAAGGGGCTCTTACAGGCAAATCTTGCTTGTTGGCGAAAACCAGGAGCAAAGCATCCCGAAGCTCATCCTCGTTCAGCATGCGCTGCAACTCCTCACGGGCCTCGACAATACGGTCGCGATCGTTGCTGTCCACCACGAAGATGATTCCCTGGGTGTTCTGGAAGTAGTGGCGCCACAGAGGGCGGATCTTGTCCTGACCACCGACGTCCCACACGGTGAACTGAATGTTCTTGTAGTCGACAGTCTCGACGTTGAAGCCTAAGGGGGAGCCCAGTCAGCCTTTTTGTGCTCGATGCACGGGCGCCGAAAATCTGAGAGTCGCAGTCGCCTCAGAGCGATCGGAGTGGAGAAGCGAGAGCAAACTGACCGATGGTGGGGATGGTGGTGACGATTTCACCGAGCTTCAACTTGTAAAGGATAGTGGTCTTTCCGGCTGCATCAAGACCAACCATGAGGATTCGCATCTCCTTGCGACCCCAAAGACGGTCAAACAGCCTCGAGAAAGCTAAACCCATGTTGACGTTGCCTCGAAGCCTGGGGCGGGAGGTGTGGTGTTAGTGATGGTGGTTGGAAGGGGAAGTGGGATTTAAGGGAGGGGAAGTGTGGATTAGGAAAACGTGTTGTGGACGGATTAGGGACTTCAGGGGTGGGATTGGCCACCGTTGGAAGGGGGGGATTGATGGGGGCGGAGGGTCTCACCGGTAGAAGAGGGAAAGATTTAAGTTGAGATTGGTTCCGGGGAAGTAGGGGAGAAGTCCAGTTCGAAGGAGGAGGAGGGAGGGAGAGAGGAAGGTGTGGTTTTCCTTAAGGTTGTCTGGCTACACTGGGAAATACATAACCAATTCTCACCGCCCATGTGGAAGTTGCAAAGAACTACGGGGGCTATCTAGTCCTGCCAATTCCCCTACGGCCTCTGACCAGGCCCATTGGCTCTTTGATTCATCCTGGCATTCGGTTTCCCTCTAGGCATCCGACGTGGTGGCCGTCTGTGCTCTTGCGATCGCAAGAGGACACCGTGTTTGCCTGTATTTGCGATACCGAATACCGGAGGCGAAAGGGGACTCGCCCCAAGCAGGGCTCTCCACCCCATTCTCGACCCAGATCCAGACGCCCATTTCCCGCCGCTGATAGGCCCATTGACGACTTATCGGGGCCCAGCCTAGTGCCTCGCGCCGTGTCTGCGATCCTCTTTGGATTCTACCTTCAAAAGAGATGGCACCATCCTCCCGAGCAATGATCCCCACTCTCCTGTCCATGGATATACCTCTGGCTTCTCATGGCATTGGCCATCGTGAGCGCCTTGCACGTTAAAGGTAGGCTCCACTGTCTGTCCGGGGATCTTCACCGCATGCACTTTACCAAAATCAAAGCGCCTGAAGGTTCTGATGAATCCACTAACCGATATTTCGGGTCCCAGGACTGACACGAGGTCCTAAAGCCATATATTGATCCGTTGGCAAGAAATCTAGCCGTCATGGCTTCCAGCGCCTGCGTCTTAGTGACTCAGTCATACCCCTTGACTCGTCACGGCCGTGAAAAGTGTCAGCCAATTCATTCCTCAAGATTACAAAGTTGAACGGCAGTGCTTTGCAGCGAATTTCCAATGCCTGACTGGCATTATTGCCCATCCTGGTGATCGGCAGCTCCTAATCGTGGCCTTGAAAGACTTTGAGCGGGAGACAAGCGGACTTTGAGAGAGAAGATTGGTGAAAATGTTTTTCTCTAGGACTTATCTATATACTTCCCCGTCAGGGCTAAATGAACGTAGAAAAATGAGCCAGTGCACAATGGCGATACTGGCTATGCTGGCTGTAGTATAACACTCCCATCCAATTTGGCCGGCCCCTTGTTCCCAGGATGCTATACACGCCACGTGGTCTTTCCCACGAATATTGCGCACTCTAGGAGTATTAGTACTGGCAGTGACTAGTGCGAGGAGCATAGTAAACCGCTTGAGGACCTATTTTGATCAATGGCACGAATTATTCAAGCCACATACTCTGTCAGAGCCAATCACACTACCTACGTAAGACAGAAACCACTAGCCGAATCTGGGAAGGCGGGGCATGTGACGTCTCCATGCCTGAGGTTGGGGCCCATGAACCGAGATCTTCCAGTCGCGAGTCTCTTTGGACTTTAACAAAACTACGATTCATATCCTGGACTCCACGCCATCCCCGGAATCCTTCTCGGCTCACCTCTCTTCTTCCTCGGCTCCAGGATGGTTGGGACAAAGGCCGGGAAATCGTCAAGACCGATGCCATCATGTACCGAGTGCCATCGCCGAAAACAAAAGGCAAGACCAATGAACTCCAAATCAGAATACATCTAATAGTTCTGGACAGTGCAATCGCCAGTGGCCATGCAACCATTGTCACTCACGGAAAATACCGCATCTTTGCAAATTTTCCCATAAAAATAGTAAAATTGGATCAAACTCTTTAGATCAGCCAAGGTAGTTGACGATGCTTTGCAGCTAGTGCATCGCTAATCATTTAGACAGAAAGGTATCATCTGACGAATCTTCCGATGTCAAATTAGAGCAAGCGTCAGACGCACCGTCAGAACTGCGGGCTCTTGGTACAGAAGACGAACTCAGAGTCCTTGGATATCTTCCTGATGATCATAATCTGCTTATGGGAAACCCTTTAATGGTATGTGTCGCTTGAAAGGATTGACCCAATATCTACTCATTTTTCCAAGGCCAGTGAGGCACAATCGAGTCAATCCGGCGACTCGGCGTCCCCGGAAGTGAAGGAAGTACTGCGGCTTTTGCCCCCGAAGCCGTATACTGATATCCTCATTCAACGCTATCTCGAAACAACCAACTTTATGTACTACGCCATATATACACTTTCATTTTCCAACGACTATGCTTCTTGGTGGTCAGACCGGGCTAATGGAAGATCACTATCGCCTGAGTTCACATGCCTTCTGGCGCGAGTGTGTGCCTGTTCAGCTCAATATCTAGACTCTGAGAGCCAACGGAGGCTGGAGTCAGATCTAGGCGAGCCATCTCAAACACTTTCAGAAAGCCTTCACCACTCTGCGATACGGTTAAGCAATACTATCCCCCCTGGCCGTGGTGGATTAGTACACGTACAGCAACTGTTCCTTACTGCGGCATGGTACAAATCCGAATCATTATTTGTTGAATCATGGCACTCCTTAAGTTCTTGTATTCACGAGGCGCAAGAGCAAGGCATGCATAAAATATCTCAGAAGACGGGTCTATCTGAGTTTGATGTGGAAATGCGAAGGCGTATGTGGTGCATTCTTTATACTTGGGACTGGTAAGATTCCGTTGTTTCCTCGTCTCGAATCCAAGATTCTGATAAGCCTTAGGCAAATGGCTCTTCTTCTGTCCCGTCCCCTCATCATCAACCAAGGCTGTCGCTCTTTCGAGTTGCCAAATATGAAGCTTGAGGCTCAGGACCCCCAAGATGGGGCCCCTTCTCCCATTGCACACATCCTGGTTCAATGTCAACTAGGTCTGACCGTCACGAGACTCGACCCAGCCCCAGAAGGCGCGGTCGATACTTCCAAGGCCGGATTGCTGAAGGAACTTGTTACCGAATGGTTGGGCTCACTGCCCCCAGCGTATCGTGAAACAGATCCAGATACTCGCTGGGATGATCAGCTTCTGTACATCCCTCTTCAACGTCGACAACTGCATGCCATTGGATATATGACCATGTTCGGACCTTTCAAACCTTACCTCACCAAGGTCTATGATTCTTCTAGTACGGGAGCTGACAGAGCTAGCCGAGAGGCTGCTGTCGACGTTGGTCTTCATTTGATGACGGTTTCTCGTCGGTTATTTGACCAAGTATTCCCTATCAATGCGAAGTTCCATATTGTCACTTTCCTGATATTTGACACGGCAGCCTTCTTATGTTCTGCTATTATCCATGACAAAGACCATAGTCTTCCTCGGCACGAGGAGGTTTTTCGGTCTGTCAGGCTTGCTTGCTCTTTGGTCAAACAGCTCTCACCCATCACAAAAACTGCGGCAATATGCTACCCAGTCCTGACAAAACTCGCAAACAGCCTCAGAAAACCGGCGAAGAAGGCAAGCCCGGGGCCTGTGGCTTCAGATTCTATCTCTCAATTAGATTCACTGGCTGGCTTAACGCCCGAGTCATCAACTGAGACAATATCACCAGACGCATTAGGTGGCTCTTCAGAGTCGATAGCTGCAACTGATGTGTTCTTTCCGGCCTCACTCGACTTCCCCGTACAAGCCATGCTTACACCACCAATAACAGGCGTCAGCGACTTTTCTGACATGGATATTGGACAATTTGACCAGATATGGGACTGGCAGGACCTTGACCTGAATTTTTTGCCAGAAATGCCTGTACAATGAAAGGGGGCAGGGTGTTGTTTGTTAGGCTTGGTATTCATGTACAAAATTGAGCTTGCCAGCCATCCTCCGGCTATGATTCCTGCCACCGTCAATGCTAATAAGCCAATATATGATTCCCTGTAGACTACGTATCCATGGGAGGAAGTAAAGTACCCTGCTCCTCCTAGTAGACTTATTCTCGAGCTGATTGACAGGTGCTACAGGACGATATCCCAGTCATTGTATGTGCTTTTATAATAGTCCCATGAGCATACCTGAAGAACTGCTAGTAGCTTACTCAGAACATCAAGGCTGGTGATCTATTAGAAAGTCACTTGACAAAACACTAAGTACATGTTGTACATCACGTGATTGTAGGGCACCCCTTACGGACATTAATATCACATGATCTCTTTCGTTTAAGGGCAACGCTAGTCCACTCTAGGTTTAGCGGATTCCCACACCCACAAGCGGAGAAATTTGCGGCCTACTTTTCTTGTTCTTCAAGACATTCCTCGCAGAGCCATACCATAAGAAATTTCTTTTGGAAGACTGCCGCCATCATGTCCAAAATCTCAGTCGGTACGTTCAGTCCATATAGACACCATATCTAACACATGCTGAATTCCCTCTAGCCGGAGTGCGGGAGAATGTCCAAGCCGTCCTCGACTACTCTCTCAACGAGAAGAAGCGTAACTTCCTCGAGACCGTTGAGCTTCAGATCGGTCTGAAGAACTATGACCCCCAGCGTGACAAGCGTTTCTCCGGCACCATTAAGCTGCCCACCATCCCCCGTCCCAACATGAGCATCTGGTGCGTTCCCGCATCGTTCTATTCCACATGCTGTCGAACTCGAACGCGCATGGCGATAGACAACCCAGTCCCAAGTGGAATAATACTGACTCTCTTTCAGTGTCATTGGTGACCAGCACGATCTCGATCGTTCCAAGCACCACGGCCTTGATGCCATGTCCACCGACGACTTGAAGAAGCTGAACAAGAACAAGAAGCTCATCAAGAAGCTTGCCCGCAAGTACGATGCCTTCCTTGCTTCCGAGGCTCTGATCAAGCAGATTCCTCGTCTGCTCGGTCCCGGTCTGTCCAAGGGTATGTTAAATCCGCCGCAAATTATCAAATTCCCACCCCGCTAATCTATATTTCCTTGACAGCCGGCAAGTTCCCCACCCCCGTCTCCCACGCTGAGGACCTCCAGAACAAGGTCAACGACGTCAAGTCCACCATCAAGTTCCAGCTCAAGAAGGTTCTCTGCCTTGGTGTTGCCGTTGGCAACGTCGGCATGACCCAGGAGGAGCTTGTTGCCAACCTCATGCTGGCCATCAACTACCTTGTTTCCCTGCTCAAGAAGGGCTGGCAGAACGTTGGCAGCCTTGTCATCAAGGCTTCCATGTCTCCCCCCAAGCGCCTGTACTAGATGCTTCGTCACTTCATTGTGCTGTCGTATCTAGTGTCCAGGTTGTGAGGCTGTCATAGTTTAGTGACCCTAAAAAATAAATGAATCACGACTTGGTCTCTAGATTGGTCTGTTGTAAACACTCCAGATAAGAGAAAATTCTGGTTAACTGTAAATATGTGGTGCACCAGCGGCTATAGAAGAGATTCCAATATTATAATACATGCGCCACGGGTTACTCCATGCCCGGCATCAACTCGGTCTTGTCCAAAATCATACCGCGCATGCCGATAAACTCGCGAAGACTTTCCCATTCTTCGCCAGTCTCCTCGCCACGCATGTATGGATCCTTGAATCCCCAAGCAACAGCTACCCTGTCCATCGCAGCACGCTCCTCCTCTCGTAGCCAGCGATGGCGCAGAGGAATACCAGGAAGCCAGACAACCCGCTCCATCTGATCATTCGCCGTAGTAATAGCGACAATACCCAGGGAAGCGGTGCCACCAACATAAGCTAGAGATGCGGCGAACGCAATTCCAGTGGCTGTGCTAGGATCCATGGTATTCTGGAAAGTAGCTGCCCAGGAGGCCAGCACATAGCAGGCAAGGGGCGCACCAGCCAGACCAGCCAAGGGGATACCGGCCTTGCGGAAGATCTTGGCGCGGTGGAACGCAGGCGCGCAGAAGGTGTTGTCGATGATCGCCAACACAAGCGGCAGGTTCTTTTGAGCAATCGCCACATCGAGGGCCATGTTGGCCAGCTCCGCCGGGACTGCACTGTTGACGTTCTTGGGATTGGCTTTGTGATACTTGATGGGGGAGCTGTTTTCTTCAGGCACGGGTTTATTCGCGTATAGATGGAAAATTTCGGGGAAGTGCTCCGCTCGACGCAAAAGCGTTTGGGTCTTGGTGTAAACTTCCAATGCTTCTGGGGAGATAAACACCTTTTCATCCTTCAAGAGCTCGGTTGCGATTTTCGAAATTGAGTCCGCGACTTGCGGGTCGAGCGTCGGGAAGGCCGTTTGCGCGCCCTTGGCAGCTTTGGTGTCTTTCTTTTCGGCCATGCCCAACAAGGAGGATACTTCGTTTCCGTCGCTTTTCGCAGATTCGGGGCTTTGGTCGCGGTCTAGCATAACCAGGGATTCGACCAGCTTTTGGCATTCTTCGAGGACCCCAACTAAGTCTTCGTTAGATGGCGTTCGGTCCGACTTATGTATGACAGAGGCCTTTTGTTCGATTTGCCGAATGGCTGCTGCAACATTGAGGGAATCGGATGCATAGTAGCGCGAAGCAATGAGTGATTGGTAATATGGAACGCGCGGGCTTCTTCGAGGTGATTGCAGGGCTAGACGGTCGGTGGTCGGGCGGTTAACGTGTGTGGATAATCGGGCACTGGACAGAAGTCGCGACGCAGTCGAGGCTTGGCAGAACTGGCAGACCGAGCCTTGCGGCGAAGGCTTTGAAGCCCTTAATGCGACTCTTCTCATGGTGAGTGAGGGATGTCTGGAGACAGTGGAGGACCGCAAGTCGCGGCAGGTCTATTTTTGTGATAGGAGAAGGAGGCTCAAGGCGGAGACTTTCGCCCGGATGCTGTTCACTTCCCCGTAATCAATCCTGACGTCTTTACCTTCTGCCTTGCACACGCCCTCCTTCTGGTCAAGGAGCGCAAGTCTACCCTTTTCTTTTCATGACAAATTTCTAGACGCTTGGTGCGGCTCTACACATCATAGCCTGATCGCTCCTTCTTTTTCTCACCAATATGCCTCCTCCCCCTCCTCCCCCTCCGCCGCCGCCGCCGCCGCCGCCTGGGGGGTTTGGTGGCCCTCCCCCTCCCCCTCCTCCAGGCAATCTACCAAGCAGACCTTCAAAGGGTGAAGTCAAAGGCCGAGTAAGTGTTGCAAAACCGTGCGAGTTAACATGTCCCCGACAAGATAGTGAAAGAGATGGTGGCCTAACATCGTCAAACAGGACGCTCTCTTAGGCGATATTCGCAGTGGCACAAAGTTGAGGAAGGCTGTCACCAACGATCGATCTGCTCCTCAAATCGGAAAACCTGGAGGAGGTTCTGCTGCGCCCGCTATTGGAGGTGCGCCTCCAGTGCCTGGCGCAAGACCACCTCCTGCTGGGCTTGCTCCACCTGTCCCCTCCGGACCAGCCGCAAATAGACTACGAAGCAACAGCGAGGGACCGCCTGCGTCAGATGTAGGAGTCAGCTCACCAGCAGCCCAACTAGGTGGTCTCTTTGCCGGTGGTATGCCGAAGCTACGCAGTCGAGGTGGCGGAGTCGACACAGGAGCGAATAAAGCAGAGTCTCCATATCTCTCGGACTCGGAGACATCTCGCCCAGCGCCAGCTGCGCCATCTTTCAAGGCACCTTCCGTTCCTAAGCCTCCTGGTGCAAAGCCTCCTCCCCCGCCGCCAACTACTGAGTCTCCGCCGGCACCGCCTGTAAACCCATTGGTTGCAAGTCTAAAGAAGCCGCCCCCACGACCTGGCTCCAGACCTTCTTCTACATTATCTTCAGCGAGCACAAAATCTGCTCCAGAGGCACCTCCCCCACGTGCTCCGCCTCCACCTCCTGGTGGCCGAGCGCCTGCGCCCCCCTGCTCCTCCAGCGCCTCCAGCTCCCCCAGCTCCCCCAGTATCTCGGAAACCATCCGGTGCCCCTCCACCTCCGCCTCCGCCTCAAGCAAGCCCAGCAGCTCCTCCTCCGCCTCCCCCAGCAACAACTACAAGGGCTCCTCCTCCACCTCCCGCTGGAAGGCCAACACCCCCTCCACCCCCGCCAGCAAGCGGTCCGCCGTCGATTGCTGCCCAAGCAGCACGTACCGCGCTGGGCAATCATACTAGCAGCACTCCTCCCCCGGCCCCTTACTCTGCGGCTCCTGCAGCTCCTCCTCCTCCCCCTCCGACTTCACCCCCGTCTGCTCCTCCGCCTCCTCCAAGTCAAGCACCCTCCCGTGCGTCTCCGTTCCCGTCGGTGTCCAGCGACCCCAAATTGGACCCCAGCTCCTACACGCTTTCCAACGGTGGCTCCTCGTCCCCAGCGGGCAGATCGCGGGCGTCTTCCACAAACGGACCGTTCCGAATAGATGACAATCGCTTCAAGTTCCCGGACGAGTCCCTGCTTCCTCACCCTGAGCAGTTCACTCCTAAGCCGCGCAAATACAGGGCCGGAAAAGTCAGCAGTGTACCCTTAAATCTGAGTGCCTTGGGATGATGATAGGTGTGTGAGTGAATAGTGGTGCTTGAGGTTGTGCACAGATAGTGAAATTATACCTTAAACATAAAACCCCCGACAGGAGTTCAAGTACGTTAAGATATGGCGGTCCAAGATGTACCATGGATAGACTTAGGCAACCTGTCATTACTAAGGGTTGAATGTAATTTACCAACTTAGAGGCAGTGCTATTGGTGGTGGGAAACAAACTCTGACCTTCAGGAGAAAGACAATCAACTTCCACGTTATTGAGGTTGCCAACTTGTCACTTGATAGTACGCTGACTTGGACTCGGAGATATTGTTCTGGGATACATTTTCGACATAACAGCGTCAGCCACCACGGGCACTACTACTAGTAAACCCAAAGCTAAATACCAAATGCACTCAACTAGTTCAAGAGAGCATTGCCAAATCATGTCCAGGAATTGGGTTCTATCCACGTGACCCAATGTTAGAGTTGGAATCCAATTCTCGTCTCATTTCGACTCTTCAGTTGAAGCTATCTGCACGTGATCACTGCCAATCAGTGCAAACGCGAGACGAACTTCAGGTCTGCTCATCTCCTCAATTGCTTCAGCACTCTTGTTCACCCTTTGATTCTGCTCCTCACATAGTCTCTCAAGCTCGATGCCACTTAATACAAGGGTCTGATTCTTCTGTTCACCCCCGCATAAATCGCCCTTGGGGATCTAAACGGTCTCTTGGATCTACCACCAAAAACCCAAACCTTTCTACTTCTGGAGCTTGCAAAAACGCGACTTTGCCCCTGAAGCAGCCCCGAATCAGTACCTGAAACTTCGACCGCGCCAATACCTGCAACATCGGAGAAATATTGGGCGCCTGGAGCTAGGAGCACTCGGGAAAAGCCGCCGATTCATCACCACGGGCAGCTCTAGAGCTACATCTGCGACTCTTTAGCTGCGATCGGCCGGTATTCGTTTTGACACGATCGAATCCAGCGCAGGCTTGATCCCGGAACACCTGGTTAATCCACGTGGAGCCTCTTACCCCGCACACCATGTCTCTTCACCAGTACATCAACAGTAAGTATTCCATGCCAAGGAACATATGGCTGCGCATGTGCTCATGTTGTTCCACTCTCTAGAGAAGGTCCTCGTTCTGACTGTAGATGGCCGGACCCTGGTCGGTACCCTCTTGTCTACCGATCAGCTCACAAACCTTGTCCTCTCCGGCACAGTCGAGCGCATCATCCGGTCCCCAGACGACGACGAGCCCTCCACCGAAGTTGAACATGGACTTTACCTGATTCGAGGCGACAATGTTGTGCTTTGCGGTGAGGTCGACGAAGCCATGGATGCAGACATCGATTGGACCAAGGTGAAGGGCGAAGTGATCAAAGACACCAAGAACGCATAGGCATGGAATCGGCTTTCTTCAAATGCTCTGTTCTTTTTTGTTCTTTTCTTGATTTTCTCGATCTTTGGCGTTAGCGGTCTGGGAAACTTGCATATGATGAAAGGTAGAGAGATGCGAGTCCGCGGCAAGATACGTATCATATGGGGAGACATTTTGAGATTTGCATGTTCATCCCAGCCCTCTTCCGGTGGCTGTCTTCCTGGGGAACCTTGTGGTGACCAAAGCTTATTTCATGATGCAAACTGCCACTGAGCATCCCATGCGGGACTCGATATTCGGGCTGGTTCTTGTCTGTCTTCGGGGACTTCTCAGCATGGATATTTCGTGGTTTAATATTGGCCAAGAGTTTCTTGAGGGGTGAACTCGTGGATTGCTGACCGCATTCTCTCCCCCACGCGACGAGGAAATGGAGACGAACGCGCCAGTCACGATTCTTTTTTATTTGATTTTTGCTTTTTATGCACCACATATGATACCTCGTCCAGTTCACAATTGACATCCGTCCACATGGCACCCTGGTTTGCGGTGTAGCAGGCTCCACTAGACATGAATTGTAGTCTGACAAGGCAAGCGCCTTGATTTGGTCGGTCTCTGTGACTGCATTGCCCGATCTGCATGCATTGTACAATTGTACACATCGTTACCCGCTCTTGGCGCTGATTGGGGCTGAGGGAAAATGCGGGCGCCTTGAGAGGGGCAAGGGGTAACAGAGGCCTAAGAGGGTTGGGCAGAGAAGGACAAATGGCCACAGGACGAGGACGGGTCTAGAGCAAGACTACAGTAATGTCAATGCCGGAATGTAGCGTACAAGCGTTGGGTCGAATGGATCCGGATAAGTAAAACAGGCGCTAAACAATGTGACACTGGGCCCGCGCCCAACTCCTGAGTTCGTTTCACCCTTGCCACGCTCTTTAAACACCCACCCCTCCCAACTTTCCCCATCGCTGGTCGTGGGTTCTACACGTTCTTTGGCTAGATCCGCCCTTCATGTGGTCGAAATTATTGTTGACCCCATCATCGGCATCCCACACTTCATACCGGGCTGAAAGCCCGTCGTGTACGGATCTCCGGTGCTTTCCCTTGAAGTACAACTCGAACAGACCAACAAACCAATCACTACCGACACAGCGTTAAGAGGAAGAACCAGCCTCCACCCCCCGCGCCATGTGGCTTTACCGCGGTGCGCAGTCGGCGGTGTTCTACTATGCCACTTGCACACCATGTGCCGAAAGCGCGGACCGCCGAAAGCGCAGGAAGGATGCTGCTCGAACTCAGCGTGAAATGGAGCGTCGGGCCCCCGAGATCATCACCGACCAACCTCGTCTATTCCCGCAACCGACCGCATTCAGTACGAACCCAGGGTGGCGCGAGGAGATCGCCATGGGCCCAGGCCCTCCGGCTCGCCGAGGTGGCCACCGCAACAATCATCAGCGAACGAACAGCTGGAATACGGACGAGAGCTCGCTGAAGGGTCAAGCCGGTCCCTCGAAACAACCCCTGGGCGAACGCTTGAAGTCAATGCGCTACCAACGCGAGGACGAACCCCTTTGGGGTCAAGAAGTACGCGGATCATCAATTGGCTTCTCTGGCCGCGGTCGGGCAGACCGCAGTGAGCCGTCGAAGTACTATATTGCCCGTGCACCCCCTGTCAATGACCTCCATCCGCCCATTGTGAGTGGGCCCATCAGCCGTGCGGAGACCCGTTGGATGCTCCAACCCCCGCCCAGCGCCAAAGTGATGGCTGGAAAGGAACGCTTCGACTTGACGTCCCCCAGCGACAGTATGGGAGGATCTTTTGGGGACCGCCTTGCGCGTGTAGACAAGCGTCTCTCTCGTCTTGACGAGAAAGCACCCGCCCGAAGCAGCCACGATAGCACCCGCGACTTATTTGCCGCAGACTTGCTCCAGGAGCCGCTCCAGTATCGACCATCGATCACGCGCGCTCACTCAGACAGTATTGGCCGCGAGGAATTCGAAGCCTCACGTACATCCCGACCGGATTCAATGGTTTCAATGGCCCACTCCGACCAATCTTTCTCTACTGAATGGAAATACCCCGAAACGCCGCGCACGCGCCCGGCTTCTAAATCTACGCATGAAAGCGATAAATTTCAGGCACGTCCGCAGATTTCTAAGACTCTGTCGACCCTACACCGTGATAACAAGAACAAAGTCCAAATGTTCCACGTCGAAATCAACGACGAAAACCGCGACCAGGTTGGCCTTGGACAACTAGAGCGCATCCGGCCCTGGCGCTGGAGCATGGATATCTGAAAAGAAATGAAAGGCAGAAAACCTCACTTATTCTCAACCTCTTCTTCAATATCTCCCTCAACCTCAATCTCTCGAAGCCCCTTTCTTTGCACCCACCACATCAACCCTTCCCCTTTCCTCGGTCTACGGTGCTTGGCGTTTAGCATAGAGCAATCTCGTCCCGTGCTTCACCGCCCCCATCACCCCCATCTTCTCTGACATGAAACATTTATGGCTGGCCCAAATGCATTTGATGCAGAGAAACCCGCAATTTACATGCTATGTTTGGCTCCAAACGAACAGCGGCGAAAATGGGAAGTTGCTCCCACTTTCCACTCCCCCATTCCTTCCACAATTCCTATTTCCTGGTCCCTGTCGATCCCTACCTCTTTTAGCGTTAGCCAGGACCTGTGCTTATCTTCTTTTCTTTAGCCTGTCTACCATCCTTCCTATCTCTAGCCTAGAGCCTTTGCTTTCCCTGTATCATAATCACCTGCGACTAGTGAGTCGCCTACATAGCGAATTCATTGCATGAAACCTTTTTCAATTGTTGAAACTCGTCTGGCACTTGAATCTTTGGGTATGTCCTTCACGGTATGTTTTTCACCGATTGAATCATTGCCGTCATCTTTGTTGGAATTAAGGGTGTCCAAGACAAAATAATTACCAGGGCTAGCACTCAAGTCCTAGCTCCGGATGTCTTGTCATGGTCGAAAATGATTCAAAGGTTTCTATTGGGTATCGAGTTGACAAACTTGAACCTAGCTCGTACTAGTACTAGTAAAGACAGCAGAGCCATGAAGATTGTTTTTTTTTTCCCTTCCAAGTCCTCCAGATTTGCCGTCATATGGTCTACCAACTATACGCAAATGAAAGGGCTCCGAAATATAGTGAAGTAATCATCTGGCCGTTCCCGCCAGCTTGAAACAAGGGTAAGGTAAAACTTGAAGGGGCAGCTGGTTTTCCAAGGCTCAGAGCATCAAGTTCTGTTCCCTAATAGATAGTTGATGAAATCCATTTTTATATCATCACATGGATCGTGCATTTTAGGTGGGAAAGTAAATGAATAATGATAAATGGCTGCAGAGGCACACATGAAGGAGTCAGACTTAACCGAGGTCGACCCTTGAAGACATAAGAACAAGGCCGGATGGGCTTTTAAAACACCAGACATGATAGATGGAGAGAGTGAAAGACGGGATGATGATGCAAGAGAGAAAGAGAATGGCCTGAAGGCCCCAGTCGCGGCAGACAAAAATGCTCCAACCAAATTATGAAACAGACCCCTACTGAGCGGAACGTACCAGCTTGTTGGGAGGTGTATCCAACTAGAGACGCGGACTCAGCGCTGGGAACATTGCCGTACATTCCTGAGCTGGTTTCAGTCCCTGGGTCAGGCTGTTTGGCCAATAGATTTTGAATGCCGGGAGATAAAGAGAAATAGCGGAAGGGTCGTCTTTCCCTCTGTCACACTAGTAAACCTTCTTCTTCTCATCCATACTCAATTGGCCAGGGCCCATATTAACCAGCAGCAACAGACCACCCCTGTGATCGTGATCGTGTTAGGTCCACAATAAAAAACAGTTCTCACGGGAAGAAGAGCCAAACATACACAATTGATAGAATCTGGAAGAAGTCGTACTTGGCGAAATCCTTGTGCGGGTGGTGTGGATGGAGCTGGAAAGGGAAACCCTTGGTTAGCACTTGGAACAGGACAATGAGCTCTAGATTGACTTACAGTCCAGAAGTTGTTCACAAGCAAGTTGAACACACTCAAGAGTACGACCAAAATAATGGCGCTCCACTTAGCCTTGAAACCAACAATGACCATGACGCACGCGACGAAGCCAAAAATGCTGACCAGGACACGGCCCAAGCTCCACTGGCCGGAGAAAACGAAGCCGACAAACAGGAAGATCAGCAGGACACGGCCAGCAAGCTGCACGTACATCTTGCGGTCCTTCTCGTCCAGCTGGGGCAGACCGGCGGGAACGAACTTCTTGCGTACCCACGAGTCGGACAGGACCATCAGAAGACCACCGACCACACTCAAGTTGCGCAGGAAGAAGTTGAGATCAAAGATCAAGCCGTACCCGAGACCTTGAGTAACAACAACGGCTAGCAATCCGAAGACACCGAACTCAGTGCGCTTGCGGGCAATGACGAGAGTAGAGCAGGTGACCATAGCGATGACATTGATAATAAGAAAGAGGTGGGTGATTCCCCATGGAACTGTGAAGGTGGGGACCAAGTAGGTTAGCCATTCATCCGAACGAGAGGTTTATGTCGAGGCCTGGTCACATCTAGAGAGCATGTGCGGACCGGGGCCCGAGGCGGGGAGAGCCCTTACTCTTCCTGAAATCGCGGAGGTAGACGAGCTGGTCGCTCCATTGTGTGAGGATGCGCAGGGAGTCCTCAATGAATGTGACAACAATGAGGAAGCGGCCAATTGCAGGGAGGTATCTGCGTAGCCAAACGAACAGCGTGTCAGTGATACTGTAGAAGATCCCTTGTTTCCGAGAGAGCTGTGTCGGCCGGCCTTTGACCAGGGCGAGCAGGCAGTGAAAGCTCCCAGAGAAGGTAGAAATTGAACGTACGGCTTCACTGGATCAGATATAGTATCCAGCCAATCTTCAATCTTGCTAGTCTGCTCGCGAATGGCGTCGAGCGGACTGGGGTCGCTGGAGGCGTCTGCGCTACTGGGCCCACCGAACGGGTTCTGGTGGCCGAGATTGTAGCCCGCAGTGCCACGGATCTGGGCCATGGCGGGAGAAGGGGTCGGGAGGTAAGAGAGGATTTGAATATAGAAGACGAAAGTCGTGAGGATTGAAGGTTGCAGGGGAGGGTGGTCCGAGGGAGTAAATACTGAGGTGGAGCCGTATACAGAGGCGGGCGTGTCCTTCAGGCCACGATGACCGAAACTAGCCGCTAAGCCCGTTTGGGTAAAATGACGACAGGTACACATTCTTACTGGGTGAGCAGCCCTTGTACAGTTTGAGACCATTGTTGTTTTTAGATTAAAGTTTTGACGATTGGGGCGGTAGATTCTCAGACTCGTTGGATTCAGTTACGCTTGACAGATAATGCTTGAATGGTGATACAGCGGAACAAGAAAATAAACTTCCACAGATCGCTTGAATGGTGCGTGCTTTTAGTCCCCTCAACCGAGAAGGCTTGACCACGACTTTGCGCGCTGTGGGCACCTCTGTAAGATGTGCTGGTATTGTGGCACACTCCCGAAACGCCAAAGCCAAGTGAATAATACATACAGTTCAAAGTTGCGAAAAAAGGAAGAGAAATGGCATGTAGACGAGGTGGTGGTGAGACAGGATAAGTTTAGGCGGCCCAGTCAGAGTCCAATGGGTGGCCTTTCTGGGTAGATCGCAGGATGTCTGGGATGTAAGTCGGGGTGACGGTGACCCGGGGCTCGGGGGTAGCGGCGGCGGGTGGAGCTTCCGAGGCACTGGTCTCACTAACACTCTCATCGGCCTTGCCAGACTTCTTCTTGGGCTTCTTAGTTGAGACAGTGGTCCACTCGTCCTCAGCAGCACCCAGAATGCGGATCTGCTCTTCCTCAGAAGGGAGGCCGGCGTCCCACTTCTTGGGAGCCGGGGCCGCGGCTGCGGGCTCAAAGGTGTCCAGAAGGTGGACAGGCGCAGCAGCGGGAGCGGCGCCGGGTGTGGTACCATTAACCTTTGAGGCCTCCTTTGGCTGCCAAGCATTGGTGGCTGGGGGGCTGGGATCGGGCAGCCTCCCGGCGCTCCGACTCGCGGGCTGTGTGCAGCTGCTTTTCGAGCAACTGCCGGCGTTGCTCTTCGGCTTCCTGGACCTGCTGTTTGCGGGACTCGTTCTTGAGACGGTTTTGGCGCTGCTTCTTGGTCTCGACGGGCTTGAAAGACTGGGCCTTCTGCTTCTTGGGCTCGGTCTCAACATTGCCAGTCACACGCAGCACAGAGGCAGGGGGAGCGGGGGCCTCCAGCATGTCGGAGACATAGCCTGCGGAGCTGGTCGCATTCACCTGGGGCGAGTTGGCAGGAGACAGGTCATCGTCCGCATCGGCGCCGGTGGTGGAAGACGCGTGGGAGCCACTCTCAAGTTTGGCAGCCTTTTTGGCCTTTTTCTTCTGGCTCTTGGGGACCTGGGCCTGAGAAGTGCCATTCTTGATACCGGCCAGGCGGCGGGCCATTTCCTTCTGATCGACATCGTTCTCTGGCTTCTCATCCTCCGTGGTCGGGGGAGAGACAACTGTCTTCACATCGGTCTTTCTGGGGGTGGGCTCGGAGGGCTTGGGCGTCTTCTTCTGCTTAGCTTTCTTCGGCGCCACTGCGGCCTCGGCCTTTTCAACCACGGGCCGGACAGTAGCCTTAGCTTTTGGCTGTGTGTAATACCAGCCCAGGGTACCGGCGAACGCAAGCAAAATAGCCCAGCTCCAGTAGGGATTCATTGCCATCTTGCTGGGAAAGCACGTATGGTTAGCATCGAAAGCACTGGAGGTTTTCGTCCATATTCGTTGGGCTACCCGGGGTTTCTTTGTGCTGGGTACATACTGTTTCGAAGACACTTTTGCGGCAAAACGGTCAAAGGTAGGATCAAACCACTAAGTAGTGGTGGATATGGCAGGGCAATTGCGCACGCGCAGGAATGAATTGGCACACACAATCGCGAATCTGAAGAGGTTGTACACGGCCACAGTAGGGACAGGGAGTTTCGCCTCCGAAAGAGTATTTAGCGGGCTGAGTCGTGCATAGACACTGGGTCCGGGTAAGCGTGGCGAACGTATTTCCGCGACGAGGGGCGGGTTCCAATCGCAAGCCGGAGCTGCGTTGCTATCAGAAAAGAGAAGGCTAAATTTCGTTGAGACGAAGATCCCGGCGCAACACGCTGGACAGGGTTGCGCAGAGAAAGACACCGAAAGTCAATAGGCGACAGACAGCCAACAAAAGCGTCGGTAAGTGGTTGACCAGGAAAATCCAGGAGACAGTCGAAGGGAAGGAAAGAAAGGAACGTCGTGAGAGGAACAGGAGAAGGAGACGAAAAGGACACGCGGAGCATCCGAGGTGGGCGTACATGTATGGTAACTTGTAAACGGGGTGTATCACCCGGTAATTGAGTGACTAGACTCTCGACAAGCCAAGATTGTCTTGGGGACAACCTGTGCCTCGGAAACCAAAACTAAATACGACCGAGGGATGGATTATCGTAGACGGGAGTACCGGAATTGAGAACGATGCATAGTCTTCTATCGGTCGAGATCAATATTCTGCATCCCTGAACACCAAAGTTGCCATCCTATAGATTGGGCGGTACTGCTAGCGGTAATACAGGGTACCGTTAATCCCCTTAGGATCGTCCAAGCGTCGCCAAGTGGGGCGCAGGTGAATGAGGGACGGCGCGAACAGGCCACTGTGTCTCCTGGGTCTCCTGGGTCTCTTAAGGTCTCTCATATGGCGCGTGCGCTCCCTGCGGGTACATTGTAGCATTTACAGTACAGGAGAGCAAGGTCCGTTCGAGAAGCCTGATTGGCTCCGCGCAGCCACCTCTCCAGTTTCATTTTAAATCATGTATGTTTAATCATGGACGATTATGTGTCCACTGAGATGACGGAGATGCAGCTGAGTACGTCGATCCGGCAGGGGATCGGGCCCTCCCTTGCAGCTGTAACCCTCACGCCCGCCACGAGGGGAGAGGACCCGCGGAGAGTGGCCGCAGACTATAACATGTAGCTTGGCACGAATTACACCAGAGTAAAGCACTATGACTATCAGAGCACCGTAGGACCACAGGGCTGCATTGGGATAGAGTATATACTGCAGGAGAACCTTTCGAATGTTCGACCTGTTATTTGACGTGCAGATGTTCGTGTGGGCGATCGTAGCCAAAAGGAGTTAGTGGTGGCGGGAGAGGGGTTAATGCCTGAGGCGGAGATGATAACAGATCCTCGCGAGTCTGACGCAGGCACAGCGCAACTCCGCTAGAGCTGCATTTTATAGAATCAATATGGCACCTAAGAAGATTATCCTTGACACTGATCCTGTGAGTTGAGACAGCAAATATCAAGGCCTCCAGCTCATAACTATCTAGGGCATTGACGATATCCTTGGATTGCTTCTGGCTTTGTCTTCAAAAGCAGAGGACCTCGAGCTTCTACTTATATCTTTGACGTTTGGAAATGTCGAAGTGAAACAGTGAGTGATCATGACAGATGAGCGGAAAACTCTCAGTGAGCTAATTGGCCAAACAGCTGTCTGCGAAATGTGATCTCTATGTTTCATATCCTCGAACAGGAGATGCAGTGGCGCCGTCAGAACGGGAAGCCGGAAGGCTTTGGCACCCTGAGAGCGTCACGCCCCGTGGTTGCCCTGGGAGCTGAGCAGCCCCTCGAGGAACAGAAAATGCTCGCTGATTACTTTCGTAAAGTTCCTTTTCACGATTGTCAATAGCATATCGACTTACATTACCCCGCAGATGGAACGGACGGTCTCGGCGGTATCCATACCAGTGTACGTGCTCAGGGTTGTCTCAAAGTGAATTCGAGTGAAATAAAGCTAACATCTTATCTCAGCACCCACACCTTACCCCGACTCAAGCATGGGAGCATCTCTTTGACTCCGCTCAGGACCCCGAGGGCATCAAGCCTGTCCAGACGGGCGCCGCCCCTGGTGACCACTTTTACATTCCATCCAAGCTTCCTGCATATAAGGAGATCTTGCGTGCTTTGCGTGAGAATGAGCCTTATACGGTAACTCTTGTTGCGGTCGGCCCCCTCACCAACCTGGCATTAGCAGCAGCAGAGGACCCCGAGACCTTCCTCCGCGTCAAGGAAGTTGTTGTCATGGGCGGCGCTGTCAACGAGCCAGGAAATGTCACACCGGTCGGTGAATTCAATGCCTACGCAGATGCGGTCGCTGCGGCCCGCGTATACGCCTTGACGTCCCCAAGTCCCCCTTCCACTCTACCTCCCACTCGGGGTCCTGACCCCCCCTACCCAGCCAAACTCAGTCGCCCGCTGACTCTGCGACAATTTCCCCTCGACATCACTTTGCGCCACAACATTTCTCGGGGTGAATTCAGGCAGGCTGTAGCTCCCCTGCTCAAAGCCGGCTCACCTCTCGCCGAGTGGGTTGATGCATTCATGGGCCACGTTTTCCAGACATTGGAAAGACTGCACCCAGGGCACGAGGGCGATGATGCCGAGCTCAGTTTGCACGATCCCGTCTGTGTGTGGTATGCTATCACAGCAGATGATCCGAAATGGGCCCCATCAGCTTCTTCCCCTGAGGATATTCGCATCGAGACGACGGGGCAGTGGACTCGTGGTCAGTGTGTTGTTGATCGCCGTAATCGCCATCGCATTGAGGATGACAAAGAGAGCTCCAGTGATCATGGGCTGTGGCTGAGCCAAAGCGCTGGAAACAGGATCTTGAGGATGGATGCTTCGCCAGTCGAGGGAAATTTCGGCCGGGTCATTATCCAGAAACTGTTTGGTTAGAGCGCTGGGTATTCCGGGGGACTTTGGAGATGCCCATGCCTTTTTCCCTACTATTTTGACGTGCGTCAACTATAGATTTGCTGGTTTAGACTGGTCAGATTCTTTCAAGTTGCGATGATTGAGCCAGAACTTTTCAAAAATGAGAAATGGGTTTGACCAGAATCAAGTCTCCCCTGGTTCTTGAAGAATACAATAGATACAATTATCAACAACATGGGCCCCCGGTGGGTGCCTTCCGACTCTCTTGATTGGACATTCGTCGATTTCGGCTGCCAGTCAGAATGCTCAGGAATGTGAGCGCTCTACTGATGAGACTCAGAAAGGGCAAGTAGTCTCATCCGACCACGAGTTGTCCCCAAGAGGTTCTGCAATCTGTCCAACACTCTACTAGACAACGCTCTACAATACCAGAATAATAAGAGCATTATTCCGTTACTGATGATCTTCTTGCCTAGTCGGTGACTACCAGCCTCTTTGTCACTGTATGGGGGGAACAAGTCGAGCCAGCCAGCCGCTGGAATGGAATGCGGTAACCCAGGAGGCTGGCTATTATTTGTTCTAGACAATTTCACCTCACCAAAGTCCTTTCAATCTAGGAGTGCTACCTATTTTAGATACGAACGGGTGATCAACAATTCCAGCTCGATTGACACGCAAACGATTCTATAAAAGGTGATCAGCCCCGGAGGTGGGCCTAGGGAAGTTATTTTCGAACCCACTCTTCCCCATATCGCGTGAGTTACTTCATACTACTTCCCCCAGGGCTTTCGGTGAATACTTGCTTTGTTCGGATCTAAGATTTGCCCACTATGTATCTCAACAATTTCTCCAGCTTCCTGGTGGCTGCCCTTGCTGGTACTGCATTCGCAATGCCCCATTTCTCAGGAGCGTACCATGGCGAGCGTATCGCGATCTCGGTGCCTGGGAATGCCACAAAACCACACAATGCAAGCACGCCAGCAACCACGGGAAGAGTGCCATTGACAAGCGGCATGTCGAGGCCAAAGAACGGCACGTCGCGACACATTGCCAGTGTCCATGGGCTGAAGGGAGCGTCACAGGTCAATAGTAACGACCGGTGCAACGATCTATGTTCCCTGGAGGCGCATACCTGCAATCTTGCTGTTCCGGATGATGATAAATTCTGGTGAGTTGAAGAAAAGATTCTATGTCCCAAAGGGGGGTTTAGTAGCTGATACTTAGTGTCTTAGTTGGCGTACATATCTGCAATGCGTTGAACACTGCCGGTCGGATTCAAGTTCCTTCGTACGGTGAACCACCAGAAGAGAGACATCTTGATGTTAAAACGACCTGCTGGTACTGCAAAAGTGTTCAAAAATAATACGGGAAAGAGGCTTGGAAGGAGCATTATTTTTATATCCATGGACGAGCGACGCGGAGTTATGTCATGTTCTTCATACTTAATCAACTAATTATTGGGAGCTGGAATGAATTGAGATTTTGCTAAGTGCTGCTACTAGAAGGCCGCTACACTGACCTATTATAGTTATGTATTGAGCTTAGTTAAACATTCATGTATATGAAACATTGTAGCGTCCAAAGTAGCAGGTCTTGCTTTATCTTCTTCTTTTCTTTCTTTTCAGGTTATAAATATCAGCGCAAAAATCCAGTGATGTCTTAAAACTTGACAAATCTCCACGTCGGAAGCTTACCAATTTAGTATTGGTATTCGGACTGATACTGGGAACCCTTTTTGTCTACTTTCATATCGGATGTGTCGTGTGAGTCGGGCAGACCAGGGTAGAACTATGAGATCTATAGTGGATATGGCGTGAAAGTAATCCACCTCCGATTGGGGGCAAACTCTAATCATCTATGGTGATCGTCCCCGCAAAGCACGAGAGAAAGACTTTGGCCTCGAGAGTTTATCTTCAGAGGCTTCGAATGTCGAAAAAGTTCATCATGGAGACCTGTTGGTACGATGAATATAGTAACAACGCATGTGAATAGCTACTGTATGCGACTCCTTCAGCCAATCGTTCGCCTTGCCATCCCTCCTACTATGCCTCACAAGGGGAACTACCAAGCTACCTTAGTGGCGAAAGGAAAGGCCGAGTTTTTCCGTATATTCTCAACCAAGTATAGCATCTCAGGGGGAAACCGGGATACAATTTCTCCCGGGAAGGTTGCGATAGGCGCGAAAACCGTGGATCAGCAGTAGCAACTACAGCCACATGCTTCGTCAGTCAAGAGGGAGTGTGAAGCGAAGGAATTGGCTCGGCGCACCCACGTGCTTGACTACCATAACGATTCGAGCCAGTTGAAGAGCAGCGCAAGTGGAGCAGCTTGCTGCGGGTCGTGGAGAAGAGCAGGGGAGAGGAGCAGCGAGTCAATGTGGTTGATAAACTCCTGGCTCCTCCACTCGTCCCGTCCAATCACCATCCACGATCTGCCCACGGTCTCGATGGTTCCCCACCAGCCAATCATCGGGGTTGATTGTGTCGCGTGCGCCTTTAGCATCACGAGCCCTGGTTATGATGGCCGCGATTATACATAACTCCACGCCCGCTGAATGCAGCTATGTGGACGAAAACTTGCCCCCTCACTTGCCTTCGTGCCAATCTCACCCCCCCCCTGGGGCGCGCCCGCTATCCTATAGCTGCTGCCTCTACTCCTGAGTCCTGAGAATATGTCTCGTTCTCGATGCCCTCCTACCCCGGCCATGTCTGGCGAGTTCATTATTAAGGATCAGCCTATGGACGGCACTGATCAGTTTGCTTTGCCCCCGGCTGCTATCAGCCCGGCCACCGCCAGTCGTCGCTCTTCCCGATCAAACGATCCGACTTATGCTCCCGTTTCTCCGACAAGCCCTGATCTTACTGGTCGTGGCTCTGTGTCATCTCGGTCGGGCAATGCAGCTAAGCGTCCGTTAGAAGACTTCGATCTTCCGCCTCCGCCTACTCGGACCCGCAAGATTATTCAGATGAAACCAAAGTCGCCCGCTCCCTCAAAAGCGCCAGCAAGGCCTAAGGAAGGTACCAAAGCCAACAATCAGACGTCGCCCGAGTCTACCAGCAATGCACCCTCGAAGAAGAAGAACCCCAGCGCTACTAGTGCCGCAGGCCGGAAGATCGCTCGCAAGACTGCTCATAGTTTGATCGAGCGGAGGCGGCGATCAAAGATGAATGAGGAATTCGGAACTCTGAAGGATATGATCCCGGCGTGTAGAGGACAGGAGATGCATAAGTTGGCCATCCTCCAGGTGAGTAAGCCATTCACGAGCGATCCACTCTATCCGGCTGTTTCTGACATTTCATCAGGCAAGCATCGACTACGTCAACTATTTAGAACGATGTATCTCCGACCTCAAGACCGCTGGTGGAAACCCTCTAGCAGGCCCTCCTTCTCCATCCTCCCCGGAATTCTTCTCAGAACCGGGCGGGGATGCGGCTCAACAGCCTTCCCAGCGTCCTCCATCATCTTTATATTCCTATTCGGCTTCCGAGTCCCCTGATACAATGCACCCCAGTGCCCACGTTTCCGATACTTCTCCGTCATTCTCGCCCCGCACCCGCATGCCATCAGTGCATACTCTGCCGGATATCGCCTCCGTCCTCCCCAGTCCTGCCTTGGGACCGGTCAATCCTCCTATGGAGAAGCTCCAAGAGCTCCAAGGCGTGGATCACGAGGCGTCGGCAGCTCTGCTTATGCTTACTCGAGACCGCAGGGGCACTGCCGACTCTATAAACGAGAACTTCGGTAGCAGTACTACTCTGGCGTCGAAGCCGGAGGAGAACAGAGCGGCTGATGCCCAGCGGAGAAAGGGCATGAGTGTGCGAGATCTTCTCATCTCATGATGCACGAGTACACGAATGGGCTGGTTTGAGGCTTGATTGCAGTTTATAGTTCATTGGTAATTCTGGATTGGCGTTATGCATGGGCGGCTTCCTTGATCAGATTGTGTTTTATGATGCTGTTGTTCCGTTAAATTGCCGTCTAATACCCTGATTGACTCCTTGAGAGGGAGTTGTATAGTATAAATCAGGACAGACCTTGACCTAGGATCATGGTTAGAGGGGAAATGCCGCTTGAAAATACATTGATCCTGCTGAAAGATCGACCTTCGACTGGTACCGATAATGTAAAGGAACGGAAGATATCGTATGCCGAGCGTGGATCTCGCGGATCTACTGTGTAGTTTACGTTTACCATCTGGGCCCCACGACCCGGAGTGGACCCCCCGCGCTTAATTGGCCATCGGCAAACGGTCCTTCGAACGCCCGTGAATCTGAACTCCAAAGCCCGTTGCGATTCTCAAGCGGCCTCTAGCCCATAGAAACACTCTAGGGCTAGATCCATAAAGCCATTGGGCCATAGGCCAGAGCCTGGAATCTCCCCACATTGCCACATGGACGAGCCGCGCCGCTACAACGTGGAGCGGTCCTGTCTCCGCTGCCACGAGCGCAAGGTCCGATGCGACAAAAGGTCGCCGTGCTCCAAATGTGTGCGTCTAAACCTCCCATGTCACTACCCCGGCCCTAGGATTGAGAAGCGGCGCCCTCCGAGATCGGCCGATGCCGATGTGGTCGCGAGGCTGGAGCAGCTGGAGCGAGCTATTACTTCCCTCGCCGCAGGGCCGAGCCTTGGCAACATTCCAAAGAATGCGGAGGCCCCTGTGCGTGAGACGGCGCTCGATTCGGAATCGTCCCTACCGTCGTCTTCGGCGCAGCATGGGTTTCTGGGCAAGGATGGGACCTACATGGATGAACCGCTGCTTGCGCGGGTGTTGGAGAAAGAAAAAGAGCTTCAGTCTGCTATCGGCTCACCGCGGACGGGGAGCGGAATATTGGGAAAGTGGCCGCGGTTGAAAGCTGATGGGATCCTGGTGAATCCGTTGATCACGCAAGTCGATATCCGGGGCTTGCTGCCCGGCCGATGGCAGGCGACTATCCTGTGGGAGACTTTCTTGCATCGTGTGGACCCTGTCCTCAAGATTTTACATATTCCCTCTGTGAAGCCTCGGGTTTTTGCTGCGATTAACCGACCGGATACCGTCTCATCAGATATCCACTGCCTTCTTTTCGCTATATGCTATAGTGCCTCTACTGTCTTGTGCTCAGATAACCCGGAGAATGAAGCGGCTAGAGAGGATCTGAGCAAATACCAGCAAGGCCTGCAGCTTGGTATCTTTCATTCTTCATTTCTTGATGCGCCTACGTTAACCTCACTTCAAGCAATGGCGATCTACCTGGTAAGTTGTAAAATTTCCCGTTCCAAAAAAGAACCTTAACATCTACTAACTTAGTCGGGGGGGGAAAGATCTGTCTGCGATGCAACAGCAGCGGGCGAGCTGGATTCAACTTACGCGGCTTGGCCATGAGAGCCGCCCAGTCAATTGGAATCCACCGTGACGGAAAACACTTCAAACTTTCACCATTAGAATGCGAGCTTCGCCGACGATTATGGTGGCTTCTATATGCCACGGACGTTCGAGCGGCAGAAGACCACGGCATTACAATAACCGAGCAAGAGCTGGGCGGCGACTGTGACGTCCCCGCAAATATCGACGACCAAGACATCAACGAAGAGAAGACGGAGCGCGTCCCCTCGCAACCTCGCTGGACAGAAATGACGTTCCCCTTGATTATCATTCACATGAACCGAGTATGGGCCCATCTGATCCGGGCCAAATTCGACGGTGGCAATGCTGAGAAGCTTGTCAAGGAGCTCAACACCCTTCTCAACGAGTCCTTCCTACAATACTGTGACCCGGATATCCCCATCCAACGGCTCGGGCTTCTTCTCTCGCGGGTCCTGAAGTGCAAATTGGAGGTGCACATCCGCCAAAAGACCCTCCAATCTCAAGGCCCCTCCTCCATGAACACCGAAGCTGGCCAAGAGCTCCTCGCCACAGCGGTCAGCGGCTTAAACTACGGTCTACAGATGTGGAGCGACGAGCTTCTCCGCAGCTACCGCTGGCTGATTTCCACCCATACACAGTACCATCTGCTGACTTATATCCTGTGGCATCTCTGCATGAGTCCAACAGGCACCCACGTCGAGGATGCCTGGCGCACGGTGAACATTCATTTCGATGTGGCGGAGAAGGACCCCTCGTGGCCCGACCCCGGACCCAAGTGGCCTATGATGGCGCAGATGCGTGCGAAAGCGCTGCGGATCCGCGCGGCGCATTTCCCCGCCGCAAGCGAGCAGCCACCCTCGGCGCTTGAGGGGATCACGCTGGAAGAGGCCGTCCAACAGATTCCGGAGACGGAGATTTTGGACATGGACTCGCGGGGACTTTTCTATGCTTGAATTCCCCGACGTTTGGAATTTTACGAATGTGGAAAATTCTTTTTGATGGGGCCCGGGTCGCGGCCGATAGGGGGAATACAGCGATGTACAGCGGTGAATTCATTCCAACTAACGATAAACCCAGATGACCACGAATAATAGGAAGACATCTACCCCAAGGGTTAAAAAGACCATAAGCCTTTGGAGTATGCATATCAAGTACTATCTGCATGAATATATGAGGCTACCGCTATTATGATTGCGTTATTATTCTATGACCCATAAAAATACCCCAAATACAATGCCAGTCCGATGATGAAATTCGTTACGATCCCTCACAATAACCCCTCTCACACCTCTTCAGGAGTCGTCCTGCCGCTCGAGGACTTCACTCTATCCGCTTCGAGCAGCTTCTGACAGAAGGGACTGCGCTTCCGAATAGCCGGGCCATAGTAGTACAAGGCGAACGGAATAGGAATGCAAGCCAAGCTCACAAACCCAAGAATCGAGGTCCCCCATGCAACACCGAGTTTTCCGTAGAGCGGATCCGCCGCAAGAGGGAACAGAGCCCCCGCGACACTCCGCATGATCACCGAGGCGGCCAGAGCACTGGCCGAGTAGATCCGATAGGCATCGGTCAGGTAGGTTAGCAGCGAGATAAACGTTGCCTGATATGAGAGTCCGAAAATTACGCCCGACAGCACCGGCACAATCCAATGGATAGTTGGCCTGGCGGACCAGGCGAGCCAGAACAGGCTGATGGTCAGACAGGGGGCGGAGGCGCATGAGAGTGGTAGTCGCTGGGTCTCTGGACCGGAGGCCCAGGGCTTTTGATTATTCTGGGCCTTCTCGAAGAAGTTGTCGTAGAAGATGGAGAAAATACAGGATGATGCGGCTCCGATTCCAACTAGTTGGGGTTAGTTTTGTAGATTCTTTGGTATGCAGAATTGGGAAACTGACTTGGAATATAGGTGAGAGATGTCTCCGCAACGTCGAAGCCATAGGTCCCCTCGAAGATAATGGGATATGCTTGGAAGTAGAAGTACACCATGCTCCATGCGAGAGAGATATCGAGCGAGATAAAGAGGACAATGGGCTCAAACAGAAGCATCGTCAGGGGGCGAGTGATTGTCTCCCGCATGCTGAATGCGTGATCGCACTCCGTTCGCTCCTGGGGAGCAACATAGTGATTATTTCCAGTTACTTTCCTCAGCTTCTTTGCTTGGTTCTTGAGCAGAGCAGGTGCGAAGGTCTCTAAATGGAAGACTCAGCATCGCAGAAACAAGCACTATCTGAACCTGGAAGGGGTCCTAACCTGAGTAGAAGAGAATGCTAAGCCAACCGACAGCACTCAGGATGATATCGATGCGAAAGGTCCAGCGCCAGCCATACTGGACAGAACAGCCGGAGATTATGGGTCCGACAATAGGCCCAAAGCTCGAAGCCTGTGGCGTTGTTAAAAGTGGGCCTTAAGATACAAAGTAGACGCGCCTGTGGTTACAGTTTAAGAAACCTACCGCCATGTACAATGCCATTGCTCGACCGCGAGTCCGCATATCCTCGAACAAATCTGCATACACGCCCGCCACAACCGTCTGGGGTGCAGCAGCCATCGTGCCACAGATCAGACGAAATACAAGAAGGGCCGGCCAATTTGGCGCAAAGGCACAGGCAATCGTGCCAAGGAAGAATATCGTGAACGACCAAACAAGGACGGGCCGTCGCCCAATAATCTCGCTCCCAGGACTGAAGACGATCGGCCCTATCAAATACCCAATCAGAAAGATGGCAGTTGGCAAAATCTTCTGCCCGTTGCCAGATTGGCCGAAGTCCTGCATGATAGTGGGGATGGCATTGCTCGGGAGAGAGGACGATATGCCGCAGTTAAGCACGATTAGTAGCCCCGCAGCGGCATTGAAGAGCTTTTTGTTCTATGAATCATGTGCTGTGAGTCTTCAAGCTGCGCCACGCCATATATTGTAACATGTGAACAGGGAAGCTCACGAATGTCCAATTGACCGGGTTGGCCTTGGATCCCGTTGAAAACTCGACCACCGTTTCCTCTTCGGATAATCGTATTAATGTGTAATCTCCGTCCTGGAGCGGTTCTGGACCCATTGAAGCAGTAGACCTCTCGTCTGCGCTAGGCCTTTTTTCTAACCACAGGAAGACCGTTAGACATAAGAAGTACATGGGGGAAGCGGTTCAATCGTACCCGAGAACAGATTCATGGTTGAAGCAACAAAGAAAAAAACTTATGAAATTTTGAAGAGATCAAATTATAAACAAACGTTTCAATGTTGAGAACTTCCAGGTTGAACCCATGCCACTATTCCGACTTCAACAAAGCGGACTTGACGCTATATAAACCTACTCTGATCCATCAGACCCCTTAGTGGAGTTACGAAGCTATTATCCCAAAACTTGACTCACGACGTCTAGATCCTCAATTATGCATAGTGTTCCAGAATCTCAAGTCTGAGGCCTAAGTAGTGCACCAATAGAATGATCTGTTTACTCGAGACTTTGCGCGAGTGGGTCAGCCCCGGACCGGGGCCGGTCCTTAGGGCGATTTCGAGTCCGGGGCCGGGCTGGGTCCGGATTGTTGACGAGGCACCTCCAACGCCTAGAGCGTTCGCAATCCCACATGCCCGGTTGTGTGTGGTATCGATGTCCTTTTGTGTGCGTTGTGCTATTTCACGTGAAGACCCGCTAACCTGTTTATGGCGGCCTGATCGTCGGTTGTCGCAAAATCTTGGTCTGCCAACTAAAAGCTACGGTGGATTCGACTCGTAGATTAGCGGCGCCGATCACTCAGTGTTACAGCCTGTTCTAACGAGTCTGGTATTGGGGTAAAAGTCCAAGATCATAATCACATCAGCCAGGAAGGTAGGTTTTCTATTCTATTGCGGCAACGAGGGCATCATGGGCAAGAAATCAAAGATGTCGTTCTGCCCCTCCTCGAAAAGGCCAAAGGATTCTGCAATCGAATTCGACATGGTCCAGTTCGGGGCATCCATCACCTCAGGGAGCCGCGGAAGAGGCGGTCTGGCAGTTGATGCATCGGTGCTTGGCATAGTCATACTTGGGTCCTTTTCACTCGGAAGGGTCGTGTCGTTCCTGTGCCGAGGATCCTCCAGGGCCAGGGGCGGGGCACTGTCCATGGGACTATCTGCATAAGACACGGGCCCATCGCTGTGATCTGAATGGTTAGGTCCATCTGCAATTTCATCTCTCTGTGGATGCCGGCTGGCAATCAGGGCGCGAGCGTAATTCACGAAGATGGAGACTGTCCGATGGATGTCGGGATACGGTGGCTGTTTTAGGAAGTCGCAGAGTTTCTCGGCCCTTTCGAGCAATAGACCTTGATCGATTAGGCTTGGTCGCCATCTGGCAATGCGCAGGGCGAATGTGGCTTGCTACGTGTTAGTTTTTGCGGATAATGAGTCGGACACCAATGCATGACTTACTGACAAATGCCATCGTCAAGGCAGGGTAGGTCGGGGCCCATGGTAATTGGTAGCGGTAAGATGGTTCATTGATGAGAAAGGCGAGTTGGTCCATGATCGTCGTGACGAGAGATTGCCACAGATTCATCACATTCTGGTCGATTATTTCAGACTCCGAATTCGAGGAGACAGGCTGGAGCTTTTGGATGCGTGCAAGAGAGGTGCATAGAACGAATATTTTGGCGTAAATGAGCATGAGCTTCAGACTACTGCGTTGGAATGCTCCAGCGTGGAATCCATTGTCTGTTCGAGGTTACATTTGCCCTTGTGAAATTCGAGAAAGCGCTTACTGTTGTGGATTTCATCCCAAGTAGTCCACCAATTTTGTAACCGGGTCATGATTGCCGGAAGCTCAGTATCAACGATATCCCGCACTGTCCCGGCGTTCTCTATGGTGATGCGCGAATGCCCTATTCTTCATCAGCCATGGAACTCGGACTCCCTGGGTGTGGCACACGAACCTCGAAGTTGGTGGAGTTCGATTATGCAGACAGTGCGCATGTCACAAGGCAGCGAAAGCGGATAGTCGAGAAATTTACGGAGTTTCATAATGTCGACCTCTCCGATTCGCGATTTGCGGCCCGTCCCGGAGGCCACGTCCAGTTCCAGTGTAAAGCTGATCAGCCACGTACGGGTTTCCCAAACAAGCTGGCGATCTGCCATGGAGGCTGCCAGAGAGCTCCTGGGTATATTCTCTTGCGCCAGTAATGTATCCAGGGACTTCTCCAAGCCGGAGTCTAAAGCCGTGCGCAGGATAAGAGCCGTTGAGAACCATGTTTTCTCGGAGTATGCGGCGAGGAGAATCATTCCTTGGACCGTTTCAAGCTTCGTCGGGCGTTCAAAGAAGCTGTCCTCGGCAAGCCGCTGTGCCTCGTCTTGCAAGACACGCTGCATATGTGTGTCACCACGCATGTCAATAACGGCCCGACTGGCCAAGTATATGATAACGGTGAAGCAAAACAAAGAGCGCGAACGAATGGAATCAAATGTATCACGAATTGGGTCGAAAAGGGGCAGATAGTTCTTACTCCCATGGAAAAACCTGGTGGATGCATTAGACCTTTTGCGAACAGTCAATCCTAAAGACAAGCTTGCACTGACCTCTCATACATGACCCTTGCACGCTCCTCGGGAACAATGCCGCGGGCAACGATGTCACCCTGAGCGTCTCCACTTGTCGAATGCTCCAGGAATATCTTCATAGAATTAACTAAAAAATTCCTCCAGCTGGCTTTGAATTATTTGAACTTACATGGTTTGAGTCCAGTAGATTGACCGACATAGAATGAACCGCCGAAACGGGAGCAATCATATCACTTGGGCTCAGCTGCTGTGATGATTCGGCGCCGCCGTGATCAGCAGTTTGAGACCTTCGAAACCTCCTCAATGTTGACGAATCGGGATATGAGTCCATGGAAGAAGCATTAAAGCTGACGCCTTGGCTTGCAACCGGGGAATATTCCTGTTCTCTCGAAGCCGGCGTATGGAAGCCGCTTCGGGGATCTAGTGGCGATGCCACAGAGGACCCACTGGACATATAGAACATGATCAGCTTGAATTCGAAGAAATTGGGAAGATAAATCCTCGCAAAGACCTACCGTGCCGGAGTAGATTTGCGGCGGCGATCGCTGCGACGTCGGCCGTCTTCAATAGGATCCAGAATGCAATCTCGCCCAGTTGAGCGGCAGCGGAAGCAGGGCACTTGCTGACGCGCATCGCAGCGCATCTTTTGCTTGCGACACCATCGGCATGCTTTGAAGAAGCGGATCGGCACGTTCTCTGCGCGGAACACGATCTCCGATCCTCGTTCGCTCATGGTGCGCCTGGATCGTAATTTTTGTACAGACGTGGGCCGCTCGACGCGTCACTACTTTAAACCGCCGTTTCAATTGACCTGCAGGCCTAGCTCTGGACAACGTTTGACTCACCGCGTTGCCTATAGTCAACTATTGGGAACCGGTTATGCATCAACAGATCGGGGTAGAGGGGCCGGTCACGTGAACTTCCATAGTGCGACTATCTTAGTAGAGCAAGCTATCCGGTATCCTATTGCAAATTGTAGTTAAGGAAAAGACTAGATTGCTATTGAAGACAGATGGATGAAAAAAAAAAATCCATCAGTCGGCAGATTTTGTAAAACAGCCCCAGTTGTAGGAACACTACCATTGAATCGCTTGAGATAACGCCAAACCCTCCAAATGCCAGACTCCCGCAAACCCACGCCGTACTGAATACAGAATGATTGATCAATTTGAAAGACCACTTGCCTGACGGGGCAGCTCGAGTAGCTTCTGAATATCCACCTCTTGACTATAGTATGTCTCCAGGTACAAGCAGATTGACTGGCATTCCAAGCGAGCTCGCCGTGCGATCCACCACACGGAGCCACATAGTGGCGCATACCAATATGCCGTCAACAGAAGTGCACGTGGGTCCTTTAGCTCTAAGAGGCGTCGGAACTCCGGCGTCATGAAGCCTATGAATTTCAGCCAGAACGGTATCGAGTCCCGGTTGCATTTAAGATACCGGAGCCCAGCGAGCATTGATATGGCGTAGTAGTAAGGATTTTCTTCAGGATCTGGCGTGTTATTTATAGAGCATAGCTCGACAAAGTCCTTCGGTAATTCATCTATTGGGCGGCTGGCAGGTCTTTCCATGATTGTGAAAAAGGTGTCTTTCATGCTCCGGAAAATGCTGTCTCCTCGGAAGGGATCGGTTAAGTTCAAAATAGCCTCTTTCCTGGCAGACATATCCATCCAGTTTAGGTCTGCGGATTCGGATGGCTTGAATGGCCAAGCTTCCCTGGGAGCGGCGGCTTCAAGAGTAGTCATACTAGAGATGCCGAGCATGGCAGCAGATGCCCAGATGGGATCTCGGTCATCAGGATGGATCTGTGACGATAGCTTCCGGCTCAGCAACTGAGCTCCTTTGGCACCATGGTAAGACTCAGCAAGGGACTGTTTGTGGGACCCTGGGCCATCTTGTATGAACCGGTCATGTGTTGCGGTAATCGTCAAGATGATGTGCATGAGAAACGGGCGCTGACGGTTGCGTCAGCACACTAAACCCAGCCCTGGAGAACGGGCTTTGGTGGCTTGCTTACCTGAAACGCCAATTCAACCACCTGTTTCTGGTAAATGTTTTCATTCCCCGAGCCACCAAAGGTGAGGACTGTTCGATTGATAAATCGATCGAAAAGCCCCTGACAGTCAAGAGTCATCAGAAAGGAATCACGGCCCACCCCCACGACCACAATGGGATCAAGAGTTCTCCGACAAGGATCTGCGTTAAAGATCACTTCGCGAAACCCCCCTATCATTGGCCTTGTCAGTGGGCTTTGCCTGCCAAGCAGGCTGCAAATCCATCCCCGGTGGGGCATCATAATTGCAGGTGACCCCAAAAGACATGCATTTCTGGCATTGGGGTCTTTGTTCGTCACACTACCCGCATCATTAGTGATGAGCTTCGTGATTCTCTCTCGGCCACCTACTTTGACCCGGCGGAGCTTACAGTTGCGGCAACCCCGTCGGGACTTGTTGTGTTTCCGTCGTTGACGGGGCTCTTGCTGCATTGAAGCGGACTTTAGTGAATTCATTGCCATAGTTATTCGCTGTCTGGAATGTGCAGAATTAGCGGAAGAGGGTTTAATCAAGCATGTCGCCTCTCCCAGGACTTAACATCAGGCGGCCCGGCCCCACCCTGTTTAAGTCCGATGCCTGAGCCGCCTTCGATTGGCCCATCTGAGGCAGCCCCCACTCACGCTAACCGCGTTTCGTATTCGTTCCTTTGGAGTTGTCGCACTAAATCTTGGCCCGCTTCCGTCCCCATCGATTTCTATACTTCAGAGGCGATCACGTGCTCTCAGAAGAGGCGCTCACGTTGACGATGGAATTAAGAATCTATTTCCATATCTCCGTTTGAGTTTCGAGGGTGAACAGGTATAAAATGATGTCCAGTGCCCTCGGGATGCTTCTCTTGCAATCAACCAACCGCCTACACAACTTTGTTCAAAGTCGACTCCGACATCCAATCTATTCCACAAAACCATCAGCAATTCTTCATTCCATATAATCAAATATGCGTGTTTTTGTGACTGGTGCCTCTGGCTTCGTCGGCCAAGCCGTTGTTCAAGAGCTGCTTGGGGCCGGTCATACCGTTCTTGCCCTGGCTCGCTCCGATGCTTCTGCAGAAGCCCTCCAATCCAAGGGAGTCGATGTCCTTAGAGGGAGCATCGAAGATACTGAGTCCCTTAAGCGCGGTGCCTCTGAAGCAGACGGTGTGATCCACCTTGCTTTCAACCATGATTTCACTCGGTTCGACGATAGTGCCGCGGAAGAGCTGCAGGCGCTCCTCGCCATGGGATCCGTCCTCGCTGGAACCAACAAACCTCTCGTCTTTACCGGCGGGACCCTTTCTCTGCCCAAGGGCACGGTCAGCGACGAAGACACCCCTGCAGATAGCACTTCGTTCCTGGCTGCACGCACTTTGACCGAATCCAAGGCGCTTGCCTTGGCAGCTCAAGGGGTGCGTATCAGCTTGATCCGCCTGTCTCCAACCACCCATGATGAAAACGACAAGGGGTTTCTCAACATAATGACCCAGTTTGCAATTGGCAAAGGCGAGTCTATCTACATCGGCGATGGTCTTAACCGCTGGACTGCTGTTCACCGAGCTGATGCTGCAAAACTTTACCGCCTCGCTTTGGACAAGGGTGTGGCTGGATCTATTTATCATGCAATTGGAGAAGAGGGTGTTCGTTTGAAGGATATTGCGGAGGCTATCGGCCAGGCTTCGGGTGTTCCAACCGTGTCGAAGACCTTTGAAGAGGCGCTCAAGCACTTTGAGGGGTTCATGGCTTATCCCGTGAGCTTTGACGCTCCTGCTACCAGCAAGAAGACCCAAGAACGACTTGGATGGAAGCCAACCGGGCGAACCGTTGTGGAGGAAATTCAAGCGGGCGTGTACAACTCTCCGGCGGCAGCATAAATATCGCTTTTTGTATTCAAGTGCTTTCTCCAGCCCGCTTAGTCACGAATAAATCCAACGCTTTACCGCAAGCACTTTCAATAGCTATCTCGGGTGACCGGGATCGTTCACCTGCAGCATTAGCGGCCGTGATGTCGATCCAACGAGGATTGGCCTTAGGTTACAGAAAGACTATGCCTTTGAGCTTTGGGAATAAAGGGTAAGTCAGACCAGTAATCAAGCATGAGGCACTCAAGACAAAATTCAAGAATCTCCAGTGACGGCATTCTGTGGACCATCATCTACCAGTAGTGGACACATTATGCACCCACAACAAGTCCGCGACTAGTCCTCCAGAGGTCAGACTCACAACCACAGGGACACACCAAAGCTTCTCCAAGCGATCGGACAAGCCGACACGGTTTATGAAACAAGGTGGTTCGCGTCAAGGGGGGATAGTGTAAGCCCGATGACACAGTGCAACCAGCATGCGCAAGCACAGAGGCCAGTTGCAGTTTCTAAAAACTTCTAGGTCCCAGATGGTTCTCCGGGCTCAACTTGAAGGCAGCAGTGGCCTTGGAGATGTAAGAGGCCTGGACAGAACCGACGTACCTGGAGAAGGAAAGAACGGAGAAGAGGGAGAAGTATATGCCCAGGCGAGGACTCCAATTCCACGCTAGTGACTAGCGTGGTTTGAAATGCGCTTATCCCAATACGGTTAGATATTAGCCCCATATGGTAAGACCGCTCAAGAGGTGGAGGATTGCCGGTCACTGTTACTCGATTCTGCTACTTGTCATCGCCCTCATATTGGAAGATGTCGTCCAAACTATAGCAAGTTAGAGTATACTTGCAATGGCCGATCGAATCACGTGCGTCGCTCGTGTTTACCCGCCGAATCGCGCCTGACGCAGTACGAGGCAATAATGACATTATGCCCGACAAAAGCCCTGAGGGGGGACTGAATCCTGTCGAGAGGATAACCCTTTCGTCCGAACATTCTGATAGGAAGCGAAAACTGCGTAAAGGCACAGCCAGTTGCTGGGAGTGTAAGCACCGGAAGAAACGGTGCACATACCAGCCAGCGTCCCCTGCTGAGTGTGACTCTTGTCTACGCTTGGGCTTGACGTGCGTCAATCAGGGGCTTCCTGATCCTACGGACCACAGATATGACAAAGTGCGCCAGCGCATAGTCCATGTTGAGGCCTTAGTCGAGCAACTGCTTCGACAGAGGAACCGACAATCAACACAGTCGTCTTCCACGCCCAACACGGGGACGAAGCTCCCAAAACCAGCTATCTTGGACCATTCGAGCTGCCCAACTTTACGATCGGTCGGTCATGAACGGTTGTCGCGGGGCCGATCGCTTACTGCATATCTCGAGTCGATGTTCCCTAATCCGGCTATTTGCGCAGTTATCTTGAGCAGCAGTAAGCTGTTTTCCTCGCCCCTTCAGATTGATCAAGGCCCGGGAAACTCTCAGCCAGTAAACTATCCAGGCAAAGACCCCATTATTCCATCAAATTCTCACCCGCTTGAGTTTGCTCGGAGATTGGTTCAATTAGCGCTCTGCCTGAAACAATTCGATGCCCCGTCAGCACAGCAGTTCCAGAAGCATCTCGGCGAACCTGTCCCCATTGTGGCCCAGAGATTTTCCAATGTGGCCAACCATTATGTCCTGTCTCAGGACTATCTCATAGCGTCCCTGGAAGGCATTGAAACATTGATCCTCCAAACACGATGGTATGCCACTGTTGGCAACTTTCGCATAGCATGCGAAATACATCGCCGTGCAACAAGAATCGCCCTTTCAATCAACATTTTGAAGCTGATTGAGACTGACTATCGCGCGGAAAAAATTTGGTTCCATCTGGTTTACAGCGATCGCTTCTTGTCACTAATGCTGGGCATCCCCTCCGCGAGCACTAACGATGCCTTTGCACACCCGAGCCGATTAGCCATCAACAGCCCCGACGAAAAGATGGAACGCATTCATACCTTGCTGGCAGGCCAACTCATCTCGAGGAATCTGCGCATACAGGAAGCTACGTCTGAGCAACAGAAGGGCAGCTTAATCCTTGCACGAATACAAGGAGACTAAAAGAATCGATGATCAGCTGAAGAAAGCGGCTCGCATAATGCCTACAAATTGGTGGCGAGTTCAGTCATTGACAAATGCGGCCTCTGATCGCGAAGTATTGCAAAGAACAAGCAAGCTTCTCCTCCAAATGCACCAATACTTCCTTCTTGTCGCTCTCCACCAACCTTATATCGTGCCACTCGCAAGTACGGGATATGACAGTATAGATCACACATATAGCCAGCTCGCAGCTACAGCTGCTTGCCGCGAAATGTTGCTTCGTTTCATCATTGTCCGTGATTACCATCGGTCCCCGTCTTACCAAGCTCTCGAGGGAAAGGCTTTCACGGCGGCCATTACTCTCCTGTTTGTCCACTTCAACGGCCATAAGCTGGGACACGCGAATTTCCTGGCGCATCAAAGACCGCAAGATCTGGACCTTGTTGAACAGACTGTTGATTTGTTGGATAGCCTGGCCACCTCCAAGCGGAATTTGAACTGTGCGTCCCAGTCACAGACGCTGAAGCAATTCATGAAGATCGACCAAGAAGCAGCCGATGGATCTCTGTTCATTACCTGGAACGAGCAGCAAATCACTGGGAAGACCAAGGAAGACATGAATCCCCAGAATTGTCTTCGCCTTCCAATCCCATATTTCGGAATTGTCTCGATATCCCCATTCGAATCTCCAGAGAATGTGCCACGGAGCGAAACTCCACGGCTAGGACTCAGAGCATCACAAGAAATTTCAATTCTACAAAAGACTGGCGCAGGAAGCACACTCTCTAATATGGACGATACCATGGCTTGGTTCAATAAGTGGGTCAACGATGATTATATTCCTGAAAGCTCATGATCAAGTCGAATGACATTCGAGTACCCAGAGAAAACAATTCTGCAAATTGGCGCTATGTAAAACGCTCCCCGATGCCCTCCCTACTCCTCCAAAGCAGGGGTATCACCGAAGGCGAAACCGGTCATATTCTGGAAACGCTCCACGAGAAAGCTCTGTCCTAGTTGTCTAAGTTCCTTCTCTTCTTCACTCGACAATCGTATAAGAAGACTACCCAAGTTCTCGTCCAATCGCGAAATCTTTGATGATCCAGGGATAGGGAAAATATCGTCCCCCTGAGCAAGCAGCCAAGCAAGACAAAGTTGCGCGGAGGTTGCATTCTTCGCTTTGGCGATCTCTCCAACCCGGTCGAGAATGCTCAGGTTTGTCTTGATATTATCCTCTCGCAACCAAGGCAGATTGCCACGCCGGTCACCAGGCTTGCTGACATCCTCCCGCGAGCGGATCCGGCTGGTGACAAGGCCATTTCCCAATGGGCTGTAGGCCACGATAGCTACCCCCAGTTCCCGAGCAGTCTCTAGGAGCTTCCACTTCGGCCATTCTATCTCCATACAGGACAGACTATATTCAATCTGAACACAAGCAACAGGATGCACAGCGCATGCACGTCGCAAAGTCTCTGCGCTGCACTCGCTCAGTCCAATATGCTTGACCTTACCAGCATCCTTGAGCTCTACTAGAGCTTTCATGGTCTTCTCGATAGGTGTGACCTTATCCAGCCGATGGACATAATACAAATCGACAAACGGAAGTCCCAGTCGCTTTAGAGACTTCTCCAGAGCAGCTTGGGCGTACTCGGGAGTCGTGTCTACTTGGATCTTGCCTCCCACCATGTCGGTGAATCCGAACTTTGTAGCGAGAAAGACATCCTTACGTTTCTCAGGATTGGCTGCAAACCACGCCCCTAGGACATCTTCGGAGTTGCCGTATTTATCGGCTTCGGCACTATCAGTCATGCTTCATATCATTGTGTTCCATGGAGGCATTACCTGTGTCCCAAAAGATCTCCCCTCTCTCGAAAGCTGCGTCCAGAAGCTCGAATGTTTCATCATTGGTTCTGGGGGCACCGTAGATGCCGGTCGTGCCCATGAGGCCTAGGCCCAGTCGAGGGACCAGAGGACCATTGCGCCCAAGGGCTCGAGTAGGTAGCGTCTTTCTGGAGGCCATTGTTATGGTCTTGAGTTGGATAGGAATAGTACGTTAAGTGATGCTGAAAATGCTTCTGCACTGGAGTGATTCATGTTGCGATTTTCTTTCGTATTTATTGCCCCCGGTAGTTCGGCCTTTGCGGCGGAGGAGAGAAGACTTGAAGCTGTAAGCTTGGTCTGCTTTCGCTTTCAGCCAGTCAGATGCCTCCCCCGCCAATGCCCGCTTAATTCCGTCCCCATTGCTTCGTCCTCATGGGTTGGAATCTCTGCATTCGAGGGCCTGAGCATTTGCATATTGAATTTGAGGGTGGCTTACCCCGAATAGTCTACGCTCTGCTTCATGAAGTATTCTATATCTGTCACGATGTAGGTCTATCTCTCAATTGTATGTGCGCGCTGCCGCTCACGTGTAGCATTCGAAAGCCCGGCCTCGAGTGCTTTGATCCGCAAAGCAACTTGGAATAGATGCCATAACCAGGACCTGTGCCTATTATTCATTATTAGCCATGCAGTAACTAGATATTAAGAGTGTGGCGTCTACTATATTGCCAGTCCGAGGTCGTATTACACCACCCGCGCAAAACTCTGTGTGCACTCGGCCCCGTTACCATCACCCCAACAACCACCCACACCCTGATTTTTCTCCTACGCCTCCCGGATGGCATCGATTTCTTTCAACTGATATTTTAGCAAGATAACACAAAAGGTCCATCTACCGAAAGATACACAGGTTTAGTTTAAAGAACACAGGATGTACGTTGTAAATTGGCCTGTACACTCGCCTGATCTTAACCCTATTTAACCGGTTTGGTATATACTAAAGCGTTAAATTTTTTTGTATATTTGAAGACCTTATGTAGGTGGGAATATCTAAAGAGGACCGGGCCTATTTGAAGAGTGTATTACTGGTGTATAGGATATTTTAGACCAGACGAATATTGATACGTTAATATTGAGTTAGGAGAGAAGGATAGATAGATTGTATGCGAACTAGGGTATGATACAAAGTATTAAGCAGATGAACTCTGTAATAAACCTGATTGTTTAGTATATTGAATTTTAGTATGATCCAATAAGGGTTGGTGGCGTAGGATATGTAACCATGAATCTACATCAGTATTTGATGGGGTAGGTAGAAGCGGAATGTACACGGACTTTTGTCCCCTATTGTATAAAGCTGGCGTCTTCATCGTTTCATCCTCTTGTGATCTCTCCGAAGGCGAACTTGGAGCGGACTAGGCATGTAAGGTGAAACCACGACACTCCCTGTGATGTCCACGTTAGAAGAACATGATAGAGCTCCCCATCCAAACTCCCGTTGCACAAGAATGGAATCGAGCAAGGAGGGCTAGGCTCTTGGAAAAGACCACGAGGATACCCGCTTAGGGTATCTTGAGTAACAAGCATTCTAAATCACCGAGAAGTGGCCATTTGCTCGGTTCCTTAAGCAAAGAACTCTTACGGTTGCAGATTCTTCCAAATACGTTCGTCAAGCGACGTAGTACTACACGGCAAGTCAACTTAGAACACGAGCAGAAGATTTTACCTGCCGATAACAACGCGCCCACGGACACATCAGCAGAAAAGAAGCGTATGGAAACCATTTCAGCCCCGTCCCATCGACTTATTCTCCGCGTCGTGGCAGCGCATTTGTATGCTTACTGTTCCATTCATCCCCCCCAAGAGTCAACAAGAATGGCTATCCGCTCGCCCGCCCCGTGATGTGGAACGATTCGGAGTGAAAACTCGAATGCTTGAGACATGCGCCCGGTTTTTTCGTGCATTAGTGGTGCTCGAAGTCCTGAGGCAGTCGTAAGACACGTAGGATCTGCCATCACTGACTTATCTTCTATAAAGAGCTTGGGGGTGTGCTTCTGGAGAGTTCAAACACACCATCATCCGCTGTGCCTCAACATTGCTCTACACCTCAGACAAAATGAAGCTTATCGTTGTCGTCTCTCTGTTGGCGGCTTTTGCCATTGCTGCCCCTGCCGTGCAAGATGTGGACCAGGGCCACCAAGTTGGCTCTGGTATGGAGTCCAATCACGGCAATCAGGATATGAAGATCGCGCCGCCCGCGGGGCCAGGTCAAGACATGGGCGGCGCAGACGATATCTTAGTCGATGACGAGTCGATTCGGTGTGCAATATGCAGAAGCGTGAGTCTGGTTTCTTCTGGTCTCCGGATCAGGACTGATGGTTTGCTTTAGGCTTGTCAAATCCTCGGCGGTACTGCGCGAAGGCTTTGTGTGGATGTAAGTGCCTCGTACATGTCGAACTTGGTCGATTGACCCAGGGCTGGGCGTCAATGGCTAATCAACATGCGCAATGAGCTAGCGTTGCAACCACGCTTCATTTTGCCGTTAATAAACCCGTAATGAAGTCTCTGTTTTCAACAAACAGAGCCTGAAACAATGTAAGGGACTATGCTGGTGCCTTCGTCACCGAGTTCTACCCAAACTGAAATCTTTTGGTGCTGCACGGCCTGTACTCAGGAGGGCATCCTGCTGTGTAATGCGTGAGGACGCACTGGGTACTTAGGATGTTCTGATAGCAAATTCAGTGTGGGATATGTAGCGCAACCTGTTCTCTTGGGGAGAAAATGGCAATCAAGACTGATTTTCGACAAAGACACGAGATCATAACCATTATTTCTATGATAGCAATTTCGGATGGTAAGGTCGTCATGTTATGGCCCGGAATTGCAGTCAGCATAGGGAATGATGTGCGCCAAATTAGTAATGATATTAAGTATATACGGTAGCTGAGGATGTTCTGCGAGAGCCAAGTAGATGCATAAAGCTTGTTTATCATGTTCAGTAGGCCATGCTTCAGCTAACGCCTCCTAGATACAAAGCCACGTCGAATCGAAAAGCAAAGACCAGAAATAGCTATTTACAGCTTCTCACTAGAAGGAAAAAAGCACTTGATGAAATGTTTCACTGGGACCGGCGGGCCATGAAATATGTGAGGAGGTTCAGAGAACCCTCGCCGGCAGGAGGGGTCACCTTCTGTACGCGGTCAAGACCAAACTTGAGGTTTAGTAGGGTGCAAAGCTCTGTGGCCTGCTTGCGTACTCCGGGTCGGGGATGCCCGAGATGCTGGCTGAGAGCTGAGCCAACACTCGCGAGGACCTCGTCGGAGATTTCAACAGGGCCTTGGGAAAGCACATGGTTGATGGTAGAGAACCCCATGATGATGGAGCGGGATGACTCTTCTGTGCCTGATTCGTCACCGAATTCCATCCCTTGAAGGACACCGCTGATGCTGGTCGTGATGGGTATCAGGGACGACAGCAATTCTGCAACTTCTTCTAAGCAAGCAACAAAGTGTGAGCTTGACTCATAGTGCCGGCGGGCACGGATGAGAGCAGCCATTGCTGGGATGTCGAAGCGATGGAACAATTCACTTGTCCGGAGGAGCATTGATCGTATGGTCGCCAGGATCTGTGTCTTGACATCATGGTCCTTACGGCTTAGAGGTGCAGATTCCAATTCGTTGAGTAGAGCTTCCAGGACAGCATAGTAGTCATCATCCCGCGCTACAATCTCTGGGCCATGGTATTGGAAGAGACCTTGCAGCTTTCGGTATCCAGAGATGTCCATATTCTTTGACGCGATCCGGCTAAGCGCTTTGGGAAGCATCTCCTTGGCATTAACCGGGTCTTTGGAGCGGGGGCTGGGGCTTCGATGTCTCTCAGCCCATTTGCGGGATCGTCGAGGCTCCTCGGGGAAGTAGGCAGATGGCCGGGCATCCGCGACCCGCAAAACAGACTCATTCAATGGCACTTCCTCCAATGCACCGGGCTTGGCGGCAGATCGCGGCGTGGCGGGGTAGTCTGTAGGCTTTGTAGCATGTGCAGTAGCATTCTCGTTGTTAGGGCTCATTTGAATATCATTTCCCGCAGGCTCTGGTAAAGAAGGCTCTCGCGCGCCATGTTCCAAGGGCGTTCCCAGAGGCCGGTTGCGTGAAGGTGACGGAGAGCCTCGAAGGGGCGTTCTGCGCACTGGAGACTGGAAATGAGGCTCATTGGTGCCATCAGCAGCAAGGCCGCGACGAGGAGTCATCTCCGGTGCAGGGGCCTTGGCTGGTGTGGTAGATTCCACGGGAGTCGCTGCCGTATGGTCCGCCATCTCTTGCCGCCAACGCTGTGGTGACTGAGTTGGCGTCAGATGTTCAACAGGGTCAATCGGAGGAGTCTCCTCGTGGGCAGTAACGGGCGTTGCAGGATCCTCGTATATGACCATCTCATCGGGTTGACTTTTAGTGGCAGATTCAGGAGCCGGTACGTCTGAATGGCGTGGCGGCGTTGAAGGCTGCCGCTCACGCTCTGGTGAGACTGGGCCGGTCGACGGCTCCTCTAGAGACATGCGCTCTGGTTCAAGTGCAGGCACTGGGGTAACGGTACGATGGGAGTCCATCGGGGCATGACTGATATGCGACGGCTGAGAGGCTGACAGAGGGGGGCTTTCGAGCACAATGGGTGCTGGAGCGTCCTCTTCAAATTCACCATGCTGACCAGCATTACTGGATTTCAGGGCTTGGCCAGCCAGTCTCTCATTAGTAGAGCGACTACGCGATCTGCTTGCCGCATTGAGATCACCATGCGATTTCGATTTAGAGAGGTCGAGCCTCTTTGGCTTGCTTCTCGTTGTGCCTGTTTGCGTAGGTTCGTGGGGTCGAAGGCGGGGTGCGTTGATAGGTTTTGAAGACGGTGTCGAGGCTTTGGATCTCACTGAGCGCGGTGAGCTGACTTGCTTGCTAGACGTTGCCGCCCTTGAATCGGGCCGTCGCGCATAAGGATCAGCTGTCGCAGGCCGACTTATTTCGGCACGTCGAGGTTTCGCACTAGGTCGCACAGGGGCAGAAGACAGAGAGGACAGGGGGGCGCCTGTGGGGACCGTTCGAGTAGCTGGTCGAGGTGCAGGCTCTGATGGTCGAGCCTCGGGATATGCCTGCGCTGATTCCGGCCGGGAAGGCATCTGCGCCTTCTTACGAGCGGCAATCGCCTCCTTGAGAGCCGACCGAGGGGCCCTGCTAGGTGTTGTAGGTTTCTGCGGTGCATTGGGGTTGGCTGGGTCTTTTTCAAGCAAACTTCGGGATTTTGCGTCAAGGGTACTCGAGATTCTAATCAAAGTTAGTACGATAATGTCAAGAAATGGGACTCACGAGAACATACAGCTCTGCACGATCAGGCCATACCCCAAAAAAGGTCCAGAATGTGCCTCGTGTCGCTTCTCGTACTCCAGGATTGGCGTCACCCAGTCCCTTTTTGATAGACTTCTCAATAAGTTCCACGCCACCACCGTGCTCAACGGTACTCTTGTGGTGGGATTGTCGATTGATCAATGTTCGGAGCCATCCTGCAGCAAAAAGGCGAACCTGAACATTCTTGTCTTGAGATGCCCAATGAACATGCTGCAGAAGACGAATGTTATATGACACATTTGCAATGACTGTATCGACAGTTATATTTCCATTTTGAGCGGAGATCTTCTTCAGGGCACTGCACAGTTTCAGCAAATTTTGCATCATGATTTCAACCATCGGATCAATCCTCGGGCCACAGATTCGTGCCATGTCTTGGATCAAAAGACAGCCATTGGTACTCATAGTAGTTCGCAAAGAATTGACGACCTTGAAAAATCCATCCAATAAGGATTTGGCAGCATGGATGTAAGCCTGAGAAAAGTCATGAGGTGCGTTGCCTCGGGTCAATCGACGGAAGAGTATAACGTTCTTCTCTCGCTTCATCCAGTTGTCTTCTGATTCTTTTCCGTCAAACCAAGGCAACATGTCACGAACGAGATCATCGATATCTCTGCTTGAGGAAACTAAGAAAGGCTCCAGCCCATCATCTTCCGGAGTCCCAGTCCCGGCAGGCGGTAGCTCTGCCGGGGTCTTCGGTCTGGCAGGGGCTTCAGAGGAGCTGGAGGCGACGGGCCGCTCGTGGTGGCTCCTTGATGATCCTGGTCGACTTACAGGAGCTTCTGGTTCTGGAGAACGTTGTTAGCAAATTTTCAGAAACGAAGAATATGGAGAGTTGGAAACGCACCATCATCGTCCACGTCAATAGGGGCACGCGATCGTGAGGACATAACAGACAGTGGCCTTTCAGCACGAGAGATAGGGCGAGCCGAGCTTGCGGTATCAGGTTCAGCTAAGCCAATCCCTGAGAGAATGGCAGTTGCGATCGATTTTCTCACGCCACGAGCGACCAGTTGCTTCTGTAAGTCCGATTTGGCACGTGCGGGTGCATTCCTGTATCAAGGATTGAGAGTCAATACCAATAGATGGAGAGGGGTCTGGGTTGGTGGCATACCGGAACAAGTCAACTACAACCCCTCGTGCTGTATCTCGAACAGCGCTATCGGCGTCTTCCAGGCATCCGACCAGGGATGGCACGTACTGGCGGAACAAGAGACCATGGTTCTTGGTCATCTGCAGACAAGATGAACGTGAGTCACTGCGAGCACCCTTCCAACTTGTAGGCCGACTTACATTTGACAGCCAAAGAAGACTGCTTTCTTTAGCGCGAGGATTTTTCCCCACCATTCCAACTTCGAGTACGAAATATTCCACCTCATTACCAACAAGGGGCCACAGCTCAGTGAATATTGAAGCAGATAGAGCGCGCACGCGTTCCTTATGGTCTCCAAGCTTTTCCATCAAGACTGGGTAGAAGTTCCGTGTCTGGGCAAGAATCCATTGTTGTTGTTCTTGGATCATCAGCCGCTTGAGGAAATGTCCCAATGTCGAGAATCCGGCCGCACAGACGGAATAGTGTTGGGATGATATGGCGAGCTTCAGGGTCTCGAAGATGGTCATAATCGCGCCTTCAGGGACATTCTTCTGCTTGATGTCGGACTTGATGCTTGTGAGGTGTGCGACCCTGGCATCGATGGATACATTGGGGTTCTTGAAGGCCGCCAAGAGCTCCGCGGCTTTGGCCTCCATTTTGGACTCAAGGTATTCTCCTTATGTTAGTCGAGGGTCATGAAAAAGGGCACCGGCGCTTGGTGCAAGAGGCGAAATATGGGTAGGCCTGGGCTCTCGAGGAAAGGCAATAAATCGTCGGAATGTATGGACGTGCGGCTATGCGGTAAAATCTCTTAGCGACTTTTGTAACTAGCGAGTGCCTTTTGCGACGCAGGTGGTGGCAAGTGGAGGGAATGATTCAACAAGCGAAGCGAAGCAACGTCGGGAGTCATCGAGGCGCGAAGATATCACAGCGGCCCAAGACAGACGATCGGAGTCGCAGGGAGCTCGAAGTATCATATGAGAAAAGGCACGAACCTGAACAGCGCCGAGGCTAAGTTGGACAGATAACGCGAACGCGGTGGGATGTTGACGAGGGAAAGTTGGACAGCAAGGGGCGATAAGCGCGGATAAGCGCGGCGGGCTCCACTGCGATCGAAAAAGGGGGGAAGATTCTCAAATCCGACAGGAAATGATGAGTCTGGAGATCTTGCTATAAAGAAGCGATAAACAGCAGAGCTGTTTGTTCCATCCAACGAGAGTTGATTTCCAGCGTGGCCAACCGTGGTTGGGTTCGACCCCTCATCCCGAGCCCAACTTAGTTTGTTTATGCATCGTTGCAGAGGGCAACCGCTGTTTCTGTACAGACTCGCCGTTTTTGGATGTGACCTACTAGTAGTTCTTGGGGGTTTATTGGTTGACTTGGTTAACTAGGTTCAAGTTCCTGGCTCAATATGTGAAGACTTTTGCTTCCATCAAGAGAGCTGCGTAATGCTCGACGTATTCGCTGTCTACATATAATAGAGGACCCGCGCCCCTGACGTAACATGCATTTGGAGGGCAAGTTGCATGACGATCAATTGTCAGTGAATTGTCCGATTTGCTGTCCAACTTGAGAGCTGTTCTAGGCGACCTGTTGGTAGATAGTACTAGTACAAGAATCTAAGCCCAAGCGTGCCAGTCAAATTATACTAATCGGCTCAATGATCTGAAGTTCCGCGCGTATGAGCAGAGCGCACCATGGGGCCAGAGCGGACATCCCCGCAGTCGATCCCTTCGTAGTAGCTGCTAATTGGATCTGCCTCGAATTGGAAGTTGCGTCTGCCAGACTTGAATTTGAAGTTAAGGGCGTCCAGGCTGATAGATAACTCAACTTGTACTGCCTGCTCTGTCTATTCTCTATCCTAGCTTCAACTATACATACCGGTATCAATTAGTCCTCACATAACCATGACTGAGATCACCCTTTTGTCAAACCCCACGCCCAGCGCAGTGCCCAACCCTAACGAGCGCCAGAACACTCAAACACAAGAAACCAAACATGATGATACTCCTCCGGACCCAGAATTTCCAAAGCCAAAGTATCGCCTGCACGTTGAAGATCTCCGCCATCCCGCAAGCTCACCCTTCAACGCAGAATTCGCACAGCTCGCAGCTGTACTCGACAACGCCCTCAAACAGATCATTCAATACCTCTACACCCCGCCGCATGTCTCAAAATCGGACCCGGAACCCAAGGGCCAGCGTCCCTACTTCCATCCCTCAATTCCACCAACGCGCTCCGTCACAATCATCCTCCGCGACTTTGACGGCGTAGCCTACACTACAGGAACCGACATCGACAATGATCACAAAGAGATCCATGTCTCTCTCAAGTATCTCCACAGCCTCGACATACACAAGTCACGCACCAGCGACCCGGTTCGTGAGATAACCGGCTTCCTTACTCATGAGCTTGTGCATTGCTATCAGCATACTGCACCGGTGGATGACGGGAGTGGGAAGACCATTCCCCAGCCGCCTGGAGGCTTGATTGAGGGCATTGCGGACTTTGTGCGGCTGAAGGCTGGGTTGCAAGCAACGCATTGGAAGAAACCTCAATCTTCAGAGCAAAGGGCAGCGAAGTGGGATGCTGGGTATCAGAACACAGCCTTCTTCTTGGCGTGGATCGAAGATGTTTGGGTGGGGAAGGGGGCGATTGGCATGCTGAATGATCGATTGTTGAGGACGGGATATATTGGGGAAGGCGACGATAAAGATCTAGATAGCGGCGAGCCGGGTTTCTGGGTTGGTCTTTTCGGGATTGGAGTTGACGACCTGTGGGACGAGTATGGTCGCTATCTGGACTCACCAAGCACGGCCGCTGAGGGTCACAAAGACAAGCATCACGCTTAATAGACTGAAGAGGTATTCAAGGGCATGGAACAGGTATCCTACGCATGATCATTTGTTTGATTCCAAAATATTAAATAGCGAGCGGGAGTTGTAAATATGAGTTCTATTGTTATTGACATGCTACACTCGGTAAGAGCGCAGCACTCTATACAAGCCCGGGGCAGTGGCCTCGGTCCGTCTCCGTTTGACCAGTTTCTGAGAGGGAGAGGTGGTGGTTTGGTAGACAAAACACGAGCAATGATGGTCACACATAGGAAATCCAATGATAAAAAAAAAATAAGAAAAGAAGACACCGGATGAATCGAAAAAGAGTTCACGAAATACTCATACTATACAGTGCCCCGTCATGCAAAGGATCCGGGCAATCAACTCTTTCTCCGGAAACCTGCTCCCTATGCAAATAATGTGGCATACCGGAAAGATCGAGAGAAGAGAAAGAAACCAAACACATCAAGAACCATGGCTTCGCGACGCCGGGTGATGACAGCGTTCGCTCTCTCGTAGCCCACCCATTAAACGATAACCTCACCCAGATCAACGTAAGCCGGGGTCCAGGGCGCAGCCCCCTCCTCCTCCATGGAGCTGGGGACACGCACATTGAGGGGACTGTAGAGGTACCAGGCCTTGAGGGCGGAAAGAGCCGCACGTTCCCGAGCCTCAATCAAACTGGCGCCAGCGCCCTCACCAAGCTTGTCTGGGCCGGAAAAGATGCCGACCACAAAGACGGGGTGTCTGCTCTTACGGCCAGTCTCGCTGATGATCTTGGCCACGGGCTTCTCGAAGCTCTCACGAGCGCACAGACGAGCCAGATCACGAGCTGGCTGGGAGAAGTTAAACAGTTCGGAGATATTGAGGCGTCGGGAAAGGATGTGTTGCTCGTAGAATCGCTTAGCGGCCTGACGACCAGCATGCAAGTAGATGGCGCCCAAAACGGCGCGCACAAAGGTAGCACTAGCCTGTTCAGCGGGCACACCTTGGCTAGCGGATGTTGACCCCTTGGTCGCCTCGCCGAATGCATCGTCGTAGAAGATCTTTGAGGTCACGGTCTTTCTCCACTTCTGCTCACTAGCATACGGCCGAGCAGACTTGATATTCGCGGTATCTTCAACATCTGCTCCAGGCTCTAACCTCTGGAATTGGAGAAGCCCGGGGTCGACCTCTCCACCAGGAGCGGAGGCATGCTCAACACCCCACTCGCGGGCCACGGAGGCAAGGGTCTTAGGGCCAACATAGGCGTACATGGCGGCAAAGACAACGGTCAAGGGAAGGCGAGGATAAGTGCAAAGAAGGTGTTCGGAGGTGTAGTAGGTGAGGAGGTCCTGACCAAGAGTGGCCAGCGATTCGTTATTGAAATCAGCATTTGAATCAGCAGAGGCATCTACCAATGTGCGAGCGAGGGTCTCGAGCGGTAGGCGGGAGGGGAGGTAGAGTCGAGCATGAAGGGCAGCGAGTTTTGCGGAGGTGCTTGCGGCTTGGACCGGAGGAGAGGGATATTTTAGTTGCGTTTTTCGGTTGTGAACGCTTTCGAGGTGCGCCTTCAAGCCAGGGTCTTCCAACGGTGAATCCTCAAAGCCATTCTGAGGTGCTGATTCGGCTTGCACTGCAGAAGCAGTAGATTGGTGCCGTAACCGGGTTGCGTAGAGGCGTTGATGCAAAGTACTTGTCCTAGCCCGTGGTGAGAGGACTGTACTGCTCCATCGCTGGAGCTGTACTCTCTTCATCTGGGCGGCGATTGAAGCAGAAACCGGAAACGAAGGGAAATCAAAAAGGCTTCCGCGTCGCGCTTCTTCAATGGTATGGAGACTCGCGATGCGGCCAAATCAACGGGAGGAAAAGAGAAATTGTTTGCAGTCACGGGACTTGTGATCGTGTGAGCGTGCGCTAGTTCGAAAAAGGCAATCGTGGCTTGGCATCGAAGTTGCCCTTCCGACTTCGAGTCCCGCTTGAGAGACTTGTCCAGCTCGCCTGTCCTTTCATACCCCAACAAACTTCCCTCAATTACATATCATTCACAATGGGTGGTGGTGGAAAGATTCCGTTTGTTTGACCTGCTGCTAATGCTTATCATGGATGCTGATTTTGCGGTCTCAGGTACCCCAAGGAGGTGTGGTCCCCGGCTGGTGGTTGGTACTCTCGACCGGCCAACTGGAAGGCCAATACCGCTGTCATGGGCGCTTTCGTTATTGGAGTTGCTGCAATTGCCTTCAGCATCAGCGCCGACCGTGAGCACCGTGACAAGATGCCCGAACCCGGCCGCTTCTTCCCCAGCCGATAGTTAGTCCCACCCTGACATGTCCCGGAACAGTTGGATGTCCACATACTTACTGGTCTCCTTTTTCACCATTTCTAGCTGGAGTCGACAAATCCGAGAGCACGAGGCACAGCAGGCTGCGCAAAACCAGTCATAGAGGCCACATTCATACCTATCGAGAGGACAACAAGTATGGTCTAGCATGACGGAACAATTTTCTTATGGTGTCTTTTTTACAATCATTTTCTCATTCCCTGGCTGTACGAAAATAGAAGGGCGTTCCTCTATCAACCTTTGGTCAATTGGTCAATAGGTGTCTCTGAGGAGACTCTTCCAATGTGTTCAATAATCGCTGCGTGTACAGACGGACTCGTTCCGTAAATTCAGTCTGATTCCACAACTCCCTACCATCTTCCATGGAAAGCCGAGGTACCCCAATCTGCTCCACCACGAACCCCGCTGCAACAGTTGCGCAGATCAGCGCTGGAGGAAGAGCCTGACGCCGTTCCCAGAAGGCCAGAGCCTCCTTCCATCGCGGCGAGGACGAAAGTATAGAACCGATAATTTCGAATGGTTCTCGTCCTACACTAATTACTCCCTGGGCGAGTGCCCCGAGGAATGAGTTACCAGCACCCGTGGGATCAATCACCGCTGTAGCTCCCGAGATATCTGGCTGGTGGTATGCTGGAAGCCATATCTTCTGATCCCTAGAGTAGGCATAGCTACCATCCTTCCCAGCTCTGACCACAAGGCAACCGTCCCCCGTAGGCCCGATTCCAGACTCCATGATCTTTTGGACCAATTGTTGGCCCTGTTCACTTTCTGCAGCCCACCCAGGTTGACCAAACATGAATCCCAATTCCAAGTGATTCGGGCTTACAACATCCACGACACGATTTGCAGCAAAGAAGTTAACTTGCTCCTCTGGTGTACAGAGGTCGGGCACTGGCTCCCACACGAAGGCTGGCCGTTGCGAGGTATCCGCTCTTGATGGCACCCTTCCTGCTTGCCGCAGTTTTTCACGTCGCTGCAAGATTTCTTGTACAATAGACATACAACGGGTGGCTGAACAGACCATATGGAATGTTCGGGACCATATTTGGGAGTCTGAGAGCATCGACGGCTCCAATCTCAGCTTGGGTGTAAGGTATTTGAAATCTGCCGCTCTGGTTATCATCTGTAGACTCTAGTTTGCAAGACGGCGCAGTTCAACATACCCCTTTTTTCATCTGGGTGATATCCATTCCAGGCCTTTGTCGTTAACCTGGTATGATCTTCTCTGACTACACAATTTGTACCCCATGACTTGATAGCAGCCAGAGTCTCTGGCGGGAAATCCGACCCAACATCCACAATCCAGCTCACAGATTGTGCATGGATAGAGCCGGCCACTAGACGTGCTCCCACAACGGCAAAAGATGCGGCTCCTCCAATGACATTCTTCACGGGTGGTCTGGTGTCACCGAACTCGATATCGTCTGTATCAACTTTATGAGTGAACGACCGCGGGGTTGGATGTAGAAGATAAGGCTTACCCAGAATGAACATGCCTAGAGTGCAGAAGTCTACAGCTTCCAGTGGAGGAGCCGTAGGTGTCTCACCTTGAGCCATGACGGTCAATTCAAGGACAGACGGGGCTCTGTTATAGACCAATTGGCAAGAAGAAAAGGCAAACAATATCTTCTCCGGGGGACGTTGAGTGGGTAGTGGAGCATTGTAATCGTAATACCTAAGATACATACTTGAATGGTGATAACGGGGCTCCGGGGACGTATGTACGTTACCGTTGGTGGCTCGAGCTGCGGCCATCGTCAGGAGCTTGAAGGCGCCCCGTGGCTTGACTCTCGCAATATCTCCTCCCCTTTGTACATTACCTTTAGGATTTGGGAACCATAGGCCTCCATTTATATAACGCCTCCTCTCCCTTTATCCCTTTCTTTTATCTACCCCTTTCCCTTCCAAAACCTACAAGAGCTGGTGCCTGTCATGGCGAGCGGCGGCCATATGCATAACTTCACCACCCTCATCAAGCGGTAGGTTCCATATGAATGGCCACTGTTTTATACCAGCATTGCTGCTGTCAAATTTCAAATCCCGTTTGCTCAACACCAGCATTCCTTTGGCTGTGGGCTGACTCTGGATCCCTTTTAGGCTCGAGGCTGCCACCTCACGCTTGGAGGACATGGCGATGTCTTTAGATGACTCCAACGCCTCTAATTCGGCCGGTACTCCTGCTGCTTCTCCCGCAGTCCCCGAAACTCCCAAGTCTGCACCTCCCCCACCTGCTTCACCAGCTGCAGCTCCAACGCCCCCGCAGATCCAAGACTTTGATGCCTTGATCCAGGGTGATGTCCAGAACTTCGTAAAGCTGAGCGAGAAGATCGGCGGATTGGTTGCAGAGCAGGTACGGAACCTATAAGGTGGCTTTTTTTTTGATTCGTCCTAACTTGAGATTCAGTCCAAAGCAGTTCTGCAGGCCTTCCAGGCCGAGCGCACGTTCCTTTATGTCTCGACCAAAGCCAAGAAGCCCGCGAACCCACCTCCGGAGCTCATGACGGACCTCCACAAGGCGTCGGACAGCATAAACAATATCCGGGAATCCAACCGACATTCCCCTCTCTTCACCCATCTGAGCGCAGTCGCGGAGGGTATTGTCGCGCTGGGTTGGTTCTTCGAGCCTAAGCCTGCGGACTTTGTGGCCGATATGCTCGCCAGTGTCGAGTACTACGGCAACAAGATTCTGAAAGAATACAAGGAAAAGTAGGCTCGAATACACTACGTCCTCTTTCCGAGCAAGTAACTAACAGCAACCACAGGGACCGAACACACATCCAATACATTCAAGCATACTACCAAATCTTCAAGGCCCTCGGCGCCTTCTTGCAGAAGCACTACCCTAAGGGCCTGACTTGGAACAATGAGTCTGGCGTTGATGCCCTGGAGGCGTTGAAGCAGGTCAAGAGCGGCCCAGCTTCCTCGCCCGCTGGTGTCGTCCCTCCTCCCCCCCTCCTCCTCCAGTGCCATCTCTCAACGTTCCCGGTGGTGGCGCTCCTCCCCCACCTCCTCCCCCAGGCATTCCTCCAGCCCCTGCCCCATCTGCACCGGCGCCCGATATGTCCGCCGTGTTCGACCAGCTTAACCAGGGTGAGCAGATCACCTCTGGCTTGCGCAAGGTAGACAAGTCGGAGATGACGCACAAGAATCCCAGCCTGCGTGCCGGATCGACAGCACCTGGCTCCAGCGCCGGCAGGGGCAAGTCACCCGCGCCCAGCAAGAAGCCTAAGCCTGAGAGCATGCGGACCAAGAAGCCCCCGCGCAAGGACCTCGAGGGCAACAAGTGGTTGGTCGAGAACTTCGAGGCACCGGAGGGTATCATCGAAATCGACGCGGCGCAGAACCAGTCGATCCTGATATCACGCTGCAACAAGACGATTGTCAAGGTCAACGGCAAGGCGAACGCCATCGCCATCGACAACTGCAATGGTCTCTCCCTCATCGTAGACTCGCTTGTGAGCAGTCTCGATATTATCAAGTCGCCCAAGTTCGCGCTCCAGATTGACGGCACTGTTCCTACTGTCCTTCTGGATCAGGTCGATGGTGCAACGATCTACTTGGGCCAGGCTAGCCTTGCTACTGAGGTCTTTACTAGCAAGTGCAGTGCTGTCAACATCATGCTTCCGCCTAAGGAGGGCACTGATGACGATACCAAGGAGTGTCCTCTGCCTGAGCAGCTCAAGAGCTACATCAAGGACGGTGTTTTGGTGAGTGAGATCGTTGAACACGCTGGTTAAGCCCGCACCGCTATGGACGTACTTAGATTTTTCAAGTTCTTGCCGATGTATCTAAGTTGGTGGTAAATGGATTCTTTTAATATGGCTTACTTGACAAGCGATGTACTGCCAAACTTTAGTATTGATTGGTATCAAAGAAATTGTAAGACTCAATTGAACAGCCGGTAAGCCAGAGATTTTTCTGTTTATGCTGAAATGTTATCTTGAAGTGTGTAAGATACTAGGCGTCACGAGATGATAATTGAGTTCATGATGAAAATGGGATTGTTATTTTGATGGAAAGCTGGAAATATGTCAAAGAGCCTGAGTATAATCTGTGCTTTGGCAGGACATTATATATATGATAACAGCACACTTAGCAAAATGCCAGACCACACGCTTGGATGAATAGAGAAGCCAAATAGTAATCGAGAGAAGCTTGAACCGGGGTATATATACTTGACGGCCTCCAGGCCGGCCAGCGTGCTTTGAAAGGGATCCAAATAAGAAAATAACAAATTGAATGAGAAATGGTATGTGAGTGGATAACCAGGTCATAGAAAGACGTAGATACGCCTCTTGTAAATACTTACCAGCTTGGCAATTGCTAGTTGGTACATTGGATATGCTGCAGACAAGCGGATACATACACTAGATATTTCATCGAGCAAATCCAGTGATACGAGGCTTGTTCTACGACTTGCATTGGCAAGAGATTAGGTTAAAGTAAAAGGTCCCAAAATGCACCTCTCAACGGCGATCAAGGGCCCCTGGCCTGTGGACATCTAGTCCGCGAAGCCGCTTGGCAAGGAGACTCTCACCGGTATCGGCGCTGTTCGGCCCAGACGAAGTGAGATGCCCTCCGTATCCAACGTCGCCCTTGTTAAGCTTGTTGTAGAGGGTGGCTTCTGCCTGGTTGAGAGGTTGACGCGGTTGGTTGAGGCCCATGTGTTCTGCTGCAGTCCAATGTAGCGGACCGCCATTCCCAGACGAGGCGTACGGGCGGATCATTGGAAGGGTACTTTGGCCAGCACTGCGCCGGCGAGAAGCCTGGTCGATCGCGAGGCGAGTGCTAGTGCTCGCTGAAGTAGAGATTGTAAGCTCCCGAGTAGGTTTGTAGGGAGTGTACCGGGGCTCAGGTAACTGGATTTCATTCCGTAGCTTTTCTTTACCGTCTGGCACTCTGTTGGCAAATACCACTCGGACACTCGAATGGAGGTAGAAGCGCCCTCGAGAGGGGCAGCAGATGTTGAGGTGAATAAGGTAGCGCAAGGTCGGCTTATCCCGAGGGTCTTCAGTGGGATTCAATGAAGCTTCGGGACGGTCGGTGCCGAAGTTTTTGCGAGCATTCAATGGCATGTCGATTATCGGTCCTGCCGAGTAACTTCTTTGCCGGATGAAGGTCTTCGTTCCAGGCTCCATGTCGCTGAGATCGTAAGGAACGAGAAACAGTTTGACAGCAGTTTTGTGTGGATTCTTGATGATGATTTGTAATTGGCCCTGCTGAGGAATGCGATAGCACCCACCTGGGGGGGCATTTCGGAGACTCCGCTCTGCGGTTCTTCTTTTCCTTGCGTCGCCTTGAATCCGCATCAGAGACGCGGGGAGGTCCGGCCTCGTCGCGATCTATCTCTTCGGGTGCAACGGCTGGACTGTAGTGACGCTTACGGCGTCGGCTGGTGCTTGGGTCTTCTCTGGGAAGCGAGTTCTCTAGGTCAATCTGGCCAACATAAGGACTGGGGCTGTCATCTGAGATAGACCGACCATTTCCTGAGGTCGGATAGCTGTAGAAGACAGCTGGAAAAGGAACTGTGACATGCGGAGGGCATTTAAGATGCCCTTTGCACTTGCCCTTCCCTAGAACACCAATTTGGGCCGTGAAGTCGAGAGGCTTAGACGGGTTCATAGACATACGGCCTCGCAACAGCGATTCTTCATAAGAGCCAACCATGGGTGCATGGGGTTTAGGCGAGGCATCAGATATGAAGGATGATCTTCTCGGTCTGTCCGCAGAGGCGCTCGCAGTTGACGCCAGCTGAAGGCTATACGCCGCAGTCAAAGAGCGCCTAGGCGAAGACGGTGGATGGAAAAAAAATGTCTCGCTCACTAGGAGGAATATGGATGTTGACTGCCCGCATGGCAGATGGGCTTTCTTGTAGGTGTCGAAAGGTCTCTGGAGGCAGAGTTCGCCGTCGGTTGGCTCTATCTACCGCCCCAGGGGTCTCAGCAGGCGAGAAATCCAAGTCGGTGTTATTTGCCTGATGAACTAGAGGGCTAGTAGGGGCCTTAAGAACATAACTAGACGAGAAAGAGCCCAATGAGGGTGCTCTTGAGCGGGGTTGGAAAACCGACTCACGCTCGCGTACATCGCCGAAAGCAGGTGCACGTCTCGTAGGGGTTGGAAACCCAGAGGGGCCAAACCATGGCGTTGTAGGAGAGGTACCAAGACTAGGAAATGGAGAAGAAGGAATTGGCACCGATAAATGGGGCCTTGGCGACTGCGGTGGCTCATGGGCGGTAGCACCTTCTCTAAAGTCACCTGAATGCAAAGCAGATCGTGGTCTTTGAATATCAGCTGCCGACCCTAACTCTTCTCTCGCCGGGCTTGCGCTCCTGTGCCTTGAAGGCAGGTTATCCTGCATACTTTCTTCATTCGGCTCCCCCAGGGTGTCTTGGGCCATGTGGGTATCATCAGCGCTGCTTTGCTCCTGTGAGTTCATAAGATATCAGCATTTGTCCGCAAACAGTCTAAGCAAATTTCCACGACATATGGTCATTTATATCGAAATGAGCATGTGTCATCGTCCAATCCGAGCCCAACTCACCCTGTATTGAAGCTTCCAGTTCGATGACTCTTTGATCCGCTGTATGAGCTCCTGCCGGTCATTGTTCCCTAGGTTCCGTTGCGACTCCATATTTGATTGTGGGCGTGCCATTTGTAGCGAGGGTTTGTAATCCTTGGTGTTCTGTCCGGGTTCACCTTGTCGACCTCCAGAGGACCCTGGGGCTGGCGGTTCAAGTTGGCGGTCCAGTGACCATGGTGAACAACATCGGTGGTCCGGCTTCTGGAACAGGGGCATGACGTGGAGCGCTATGAGGTCTGAAACACCGACTCGGACATTGCACAGGGACGTGGCGAGTCCTATTGCACCCAGAGCCGGCAGTGCCGCGGTGGGGTTGAGGGTGCGGTGAGGGATTAGTTAGGGATAGCGATGGCAAGGTTTCAAGAGTGATTGGCGGGAAATCAACGCAAGTTCCAGAGATTACGCGAGAATGAGTAAACTAGTCAACTAGAAGGACGTGAAGAGTTCGGAGTGACAGTCCGAGAAGACCTTACGGTGTCGTGGGTCCGGATGAATCATCGTCATGGGATTCCCGGGGCCGCTGATCTTTGGGCCCGTGATAAGGTGCCTGATAGCGTGATAAGACGTTGCAGGGGACGATTACATGGAATTTTAGTACTGTGTATATTTTCGAGTCAAATTTAGATCACACCGGTCTACATTGCTTATTTAGTTATAGTCAAAAGTTGTGAAATTACTGAGATTTCCTACAAGACCCTCCGTACCTGTGATGTGCAAGGCTTGATGTTCGTAGTACGGAGTTTAAGAGACGGATTCCCGCGCCGCTTTTTTTTTCTCCCTTCTCCAACTGCCATCACAGCCCTCCACCTCGAACCACGCAATATTTACCTACTGGTCCTGACCTTTATGATCATGGGACCGAAACGTACTCATGGGGGCGAACATGGCCCATCACAAAATCCTCGCGCAGGGCCTCCAGAGAAAAAGCGCAAGGGCTTCAGTGTCGGACCAGCCAACCTCCCCGATGGAACCTACCGACGCAAGAGTAAGTGCTATATGAGTCTCTAATACCTTTAATTCAGTAGGTTAGATTGGCTAATGGTATATTTCCATTGTGCAGCACAAAAGATCAAATCAGACCTCATCCAAAAAGCCAAAGTGAAAAAAGCCTATGCCAAAATCAAAGCTCAAGAACTCGCCGCTGGAACACCGAAGTCTGTGTACGATACTGCGGAGGCACACAACGCGGAAGCTGCCGAACCAGCCACGCTGGAATTACACCCCGACCGGATTGCGATGCTGAACGAACCTGCGCCGGAGCCGGCACCGGCACCCAAGCCAGAGCGGCGCTCCCGAGACAGAAACGATCGCTCGCAAAGGGAGCGGAGACCAAAGCGCACCGCATTTGATAAGGAAATTGAGATGGCAGAGGCTCGGCGAAAGGAGGCCGAGGCCCGCCAAAAGGAGCGCGAGGCGAAACAGAAAGAACGGGAAGAAATGAACCGCGCGAAGCGGCCCGACCAGTTTGGAAAGCGAAGACTAGGCCGAGAAAGCAAAGTCCTCCTCAATCGGGTGCAGAGAATAGTTGGTCAGACCTAGAATGGCGAGGGCAAGGAGTGGATGACGCAGGGCAAAGTCCCATATCAAAAAGTTACTGTACTGATTATCACGATACCCGATGCACAGAAGTTCTCATTGCATGCTCTATATGCCAGCTTTATTAGATCTACACTATGCAGATTTATCCCTAGACCCGCCCCGTGACCGCCTAAAGCAGGCAAATTCTCCTTTCGTCCGGTCTCTCAGACGTTTCAGCACAACTCGCATCTCGCCGAGTTCAGCTTGTAACTTTTGCCGAGCTTCGTTCGTAGTGCGCCGGTCTAGTTCGATGTAGATTTGACTCTGAATCTCGGATGCCTCTTCCGTTGAGTAGTGGGATAAGGTCTGCGCGAGGAACTCTGTATCCAAGGTCGCTTGCATAAGACCGCCAAGGTCATAGTTGGTCTTGGAGCGGAATGATGCGAGCAAAAAAGACGAGATTTGCACCAGAAGATGATTAAGAATGGTAGCGAGGAGCGAGGAAGGAGCATTAGGCGAAGAGCGACTGGCGCCTGCTGAGACAGTGGATGGTATTGTTGTCGAGACCTCGGTATGGACAAGTACAAGCGTGAGTAATGTGTTATAGACATACGGTCTCACCTGATCAGGGTGATCCGTCGAGGGCGCCCAGTTAGGAGACTCAATACCCGTGGAGATGGTGCTCTTTAGGGATTCGATCGTAGGGGTGGTGTATGACTGGAATAACCGGTCTTCAATCTGCTTGAGAACATCCCGCACAGTCTTGCTCTCTTCGGTTAGTTTAACGGAAAAGGCAGTCTCGAAATTTGATATTAGCTGCGGCACATGTTCGGCTTGGAGGGCCTTGAGATTCGACAAAGTAAGAAGGATCCGAATGTTCTTATGACCGATTAGCACTGGCACACGATAACGAAAATGAGGTCGCACCACTTACCCTGTCCTGGGAGTCCACCGAGTCGGCAGCAAGAACCGCTAGCGCAGCATCAAGCACCTGGCTTGTCATGACTGGCCGCGCGATAACCCACTCGCTGTCTTCGTCCGCGGTTGTTGCATTCTCAGCATTTTCCACCAGCCCACTGAGGGCTTTGTAGATACTAGACACGAACTGCGTGCGAACCATTTGAAGTAGCTTCGCTGGTGGTTGAGTCACGACATCTACCGAGCCAGACTTGGCCATGGCCTCAGAGATATACAAGATCTTCTGCATACCGCCCAGAATTGCGCTCTCAAAAGCCACGAAGAATCCGGGCATTTTTGTGAGATCTCGCTTCTCCAAGTCTCGAGTCCAATCCTCGAGCATTTTACAAACCTCGGCATCCTTGCTCCACGCCGTGCATGCCACTCGGGCAGATCTCTCACGAGCGGTGCTAACGAGACTTTTAAGAAGTTCATGGGCCCTTCCATGAATGTTGACAGGGCGTAAAGCTGCCATTTCGCTTGCAGCAGTACCGATTATGACAAGGAACTTGCTGAGATAGTGAACACCACTCAAAGAGTTAGACCACGGAGGCCAGAACGCAAACTCCTCCCAGTGTTCTCCATGGCGAGGCATGACCAACGGAATGTTCTTTGGTTCCAATTTGAAGCGGGACTCTGTTGGCGTAACACCATGCGATTGGGGGCTTGTAGGGCTAGGCGGAATCGGGGATGACAGAAGAGACACATCCTCCGTTGGAGGGCCATTGAACAGTTCTAGGACGTGTTCTCGAATAAGGTTGACCAACTCCACAACCCCTCTTTCAAGTTCGTCCACATTCTCAGGTGAAAGACGATGGTGTTTTCGGCTTTCACCTTCAAATCCAGTTGGAAGAAGTCTTTGTCGACTACCATCGATGAACGATGTGGCCACTTCCCAGAAATCGAGCACCTCTCCTAAAAGTCCACTTTGAGATGACAGGAGTCTAGTGAGGAAAGCTTGAATGCAGCCCCAAAGCTCAATAACGTGATCGGTGTCTAATCTTCCTGGAACTTCGGCGGAGCTGTCGCGTGGCGCGAGACGAAGATAAGATGCTACAGCCTCAGGCGGTGGCCTGTCCTCGGCAGCAAGTCGACGCCGTAGGATTTCGATCTCAACCTTGCAACGCTCGCAGAATGATGTGATTTTCATCTTTAAGAACTCATATCGACTACGGAGCCATATCCAAATAGGATTATCTTCGACCCCGATTTCCAATAGAGCGCCAATGAGTTCCATATGCTCTTCCACAGGGCCTGAAGTTGTGTTTGTTGTAGAAGTCGTCGGAGCATCACTCAGTCGTTTCCAAAGATCTCGCTTAAAATCTTCAATCTGGTGATCCACGTCCATCCACATGCGGCCCATGGCCAAAACGGTATGTACTTCATGGTCGGAAAGTTGCCGGCGACTGCTGGATGCCTGTTCAACGATTGCTTTGCCTCGATTTGCAAGAGTCCTCGCCTTGGTGTATTGCTCAAAAACCGAATCATAATCCCGCTGCTGGATGGACTTGGATAACAAGCTTCCGATTTCGTACACATCCCGCTGCTTTTCCATCGTCTCGACTACCGACTTGAGCATCTGCTCCCGATCACGGCCTCCCAAGGCAGGTCCCCAAACCTCTTCCGCCTTGACAGATGCTTCCACAAGAGGGCCACGAATTCCCCTCATACCATATTCACTTTCTTTGGTAAGCGCAGTTTTTCGCGTCGAGCGACCATAGCCAGGAGCGGGGGAATGGGAAGGAGATGGAGAAGGGCCTCGCTGACCCGAAAGGTTTCGGAGATGGCTAGATCGGCGCGGAGTTAAAGACTGTTCCTTTTCGACGCCTTGGTCTCGCATTTCCGCGTATACGCTATCGATGGTTGCCTTGGCACGAACGAATCGCTCAAAATTGGCCTCCACCAGAGCCTTTAGTGATGCAGACTTCTGGTCGATCGAATGTGACAGGTGGTCAAGGCCAGTCATGAGGGTTTCAATGGAGTCGGAAGAGTGTACCTGGGACAGGAAGAGCGCGGGGGGAGAAGGAGGTAGACGATAGGAGGAACCGCGAGTGTTTGCCGCCCTCATCGTCTAGCCGTAATCCCTTCTGCTTCAGGGTCCTCAGGACACTGTCACCCGTTCCGAGGGGATCAGGTTCATCATTCTGGGCAGTTTCCCTGCCATCCTTGCCGCGCCGAGATCCAAAGTTTCGCCAGTCGCTAGGGGTCCGCTCGAGTGCGAAGTACCGTGACTTGCGGGCACGGGACTTGCTTTGCTCGACAGACTGCTCTTCGTCCGGGTCAAGCTCGTCTAACTCCGCGGGCCATTCTTCAGGGTATTCGGAAGGCAAGTTGTAATGGCTGGCGACTTCGAGATCGGACATGACGGCCAGGTGTCCGGTGGCGACGAGGCAGATTGAAACGGAAATAGCGTTGGGGACCAAACCCAATGCTTACAGTGGGCTTTGAGGCCTCGTGTCCGAGGATATGCTGCAGGGGCAGCCACGATCTGGAGATGGCGCTACCAGGAGGGGTCCAAGAAAGCTGGTACGGAGCTACAGTACGGAGACAGCGGATTACAGTGTTAGGCTAGGTCCTTCCCATTTTGGGCTTAGCGCCCCCGCCTCCAGCATGTACTGTATGTCTCTACGTCTCCATGTCTCCCCTCGTAACGTGGACAGGGCTCGAATCTGATAGGTAGTGCTTTCGTCGCTTCTGGTAGTATTGTTGCCTTGGGAGTATAAAATATGATCGAGCCCCTCATACAAGATCAATATGTTTATGGTAGTGCAAAAGGGGCCCCAATCCCAAACTCCTTGCAAGGGGGCGTCTTACTATAGGCTTGCTTTTCATCATGAATAGCCTCGAGGCTTCCCAGTGTACTGGCACCTGGTTCAATCCAACATCATTTACTAGTATCGGATAAAAACTATAAGTATGCGGGACTGCTAAATTTTACTGGCCCTTGATGTTAATGCTCAACTTCTTTGTGACTGCTCCGGCATGTCTCCGGCGCTTGGAGCCTTTTTCAAGTTTCGGGAGTGGGACCCTGGGACGTGAACTTGATTCTAGTACCTCAATCTATGAATAACGTAGCAATAACTTGAGCTGGAGAGAACTGCACTTGATCTTATCTTGTAAGACGCAAATTTCATTGGCATATCAACGGGGATGCCTGTATCGCTCTAATAGAACTCGAAAATCCGAGAATTGGCCGAAAATCGGAGTTTAGGTCTTTTGGACCTGGTGGGCGTGACGGAATACATACGTAGTGATGTTTACGGCTAAAATGCCAAACGTTGTATTGCGATTAGTTAAATCACCTCTAGGTTTTTCTAAGAGCCCAATATCAGAACCTTGAACCACCTGCAGATTGATAAAATACACGACAAGCAGAGTGGACTCGGGTAGCCGGGGAAGAAGGCCAAACCACCCAATCCCGTCTTTGCTCCCGGGCGGACCGAAGTTGATTCTTTCGTCTCCTCCCAATCTCCCCTTCTCTCTCCTCCCCACCCACCCCCCCCCCCATTCTTTTAAGGCCCTGTTCACGATGCTTGCTGCCAGAAACTTTTCCGCTGCTCGCCAGTGCTTGCGCTCCGTCCGCATCACTCCCAGCTTCGTGACCCCCATCGCTCAGGTAGGTAGCCTCCCCTTCCGCGAAATGTGGAAAAGGATAAAAAAAAAAGACAGCTCAATTGATTGACTTTGCTTCTTCTGGTAGATCCGAAACGTCTCCAGCTCTTCTGAGGATGCTGTCGCCAAGTTCAAGGGCCAGAAGGGTGCCGATGTACGTTCCTGCTAAATTTTCTGCGGTGCCGCGCGGCTGGCGCAACAGGACAACTCTCCCGCAAGCGCATAATGTGTCGTCCACAATAATACTAACGAATTGCTCCGCGTCATAGGGCAAGTTCACTGTTACTTTGATCGAGGGTGACGGTATCGGCCCCGAGATCGCTCAGTCGGTCAAGGACATTTTTGAGGCTGCCAAGGTGAGACTGCTCTGTCGCCTCGACTGGTTTCGCGCAATTGGAGAAGCTAACAAGTTTTTAGGCCCCTATTAAGTGGGAGTCCGTCGATGTCACTCCAATCCTCAAGGACGGCAAGACCGCCATTCCCGACGAGGCCATCAAGAGTGTGCAGAAGAACTTTGTTGCCCTCAAGGGTCCTCTCGCCGTATGTTTTTCCTTGTCGCGACTGTGCTGTGCATTGGGAATCCGCTAGGCTAATCATGTGCTTTTTACTGCTCTACAGACTCCCGTCGGAAAGGGACACGTTTCCCTGAACCTGACTCTCCGCCGTACCTTCAATCTGTTCGCCAATGTCCGTCCTTGCCGCTCCATCGCCGGCTACAAGACCCCCCTATGACAACGTCGACACCGTCCTGATCCGTGAGAACACGGAGGGTGAATACTCCGGCATTGAGCACGTTGTTGTGGATGGTGTTGTGCAGAGCATCAAGCTCATCACCAAGGAGGCCTCCGAGCGTGTCCTGCGTTTCGCCTTCCAGTACGCCCAGTCGATCCAGAAGAAGAAGGTCCGCGTCGTGCACAAGGCCACCATCATGAAGATGTCCGATGGTCTGTTCCTCAACACTGCCCGCGACATCTCCAAGGACTTCCCCGATGTCGAGTTCGACGCTGAGCTGCTGGACAACTCTTGCCTGAAGATCGTCACCGACCCCACTCCTTACAACGACAAGGTCCTTGTTATGCCCAACCTGTACGGTGACATTCTGTCCGACATGTGCGCCGGTCTGATCGGTGGTCTTGGTCTGACCCCTTCCGGTAACATTGGTGATGAGTGCTCCATCTTCGAGGCCGTCCACGGTTCTGCTCCCGATATTGCTGGCAAGGGCCTTGCCAACCCCACTGCTCTGCTTCTCAGCAGTATCATGATGCTGCAGCACATGGGTCTGCACGACCACGCCAACCGCATCCAGAAGGCTATCTTCGACACCTTGGCTGAGGGCAAGGCTCTTACCGGTGACCTTGGTGGTAAGGCCAAGACTCATGAGTATGCTGAGGCTATCATCAAGCGTCTGTAGGCTAGTCGCTTTTTGGATTTTCTGTACTATGACCCCCCTGATCTATTTCTTCTGTACTTCTCGAACGACATTAGACTTCCTATAGCGATCGAAATATACCTACTTGTGGAGTTACGAGAAAAATTCACCTTTCCTTCTCTCCAGAGGAAAGCTGCATTATTAAAGTCGCACTATTATAAGCAGCGATTCTATTTCCATAAACGCATTCATGCATGACCCCAGAAATTGAATCTGATCACATTCAAAGTCGCGTTGTATCTGACCTTGAAGTTCAAGTGCCTACTCTAAGAGGTCTCCTTTACCAGCTGAGACTGTCGGTCCACCTATACTACAAGCTGACATTGCGCTTGTCAAGATACCATCAAAACCAGCTATTAGTTCGCAATAAGATCATTCAACTGTCTAATCTCGGTTTCTTTGTCAATCAATTCATGTCCATCGGGATGTGAGGCTTTTAAGCTCCTCCAGTTATCGTCGGGAATTGGACGAAAGACATTGATTATACTTGGGGTCCCTGCCTCAAGAAATGCAAGCTTGATTTGTGCGGAAGCGATATCCTTACCAGAGTCTCGGCGATAGCTTGCTATAAGTGCGTGTGACCGGTGGGAAACACGCTTTGTCCGCGAAGCTTGTGGTTACTATGAGCACCAGCCACGAAAATCCTGCAGTCAATCTTCAGAGATGGAAGCTCAAGGATACAGCAATGTCCTAAGTACATTCCCTATTCCAAGTGGGAGAGAGCGAATCACAGTGGCAGTTCGATTTGCATATTCCCTCCAGAACACCCGGGCAGGGCCAGGAAGTCATGCAGATTTTGGATCATCATAATCTATCCTGAAGAGGTCGTATCTATGTCTACCTTCGATGCATGGCTGGGCGCAAGCAGGATGACCTCGAGAGACTAGTGGTTGCGGTGTGCAGTGCCAATACTAGTATTTTAGTTGATGAGAACCGGACAATAGGTAAGCCCGCGGGCCTAAAGGTAGAGTACTCCATGTGAATACTAGTACTCAAAATTGAAGCGTATAGGGAGGGTTTACTGACCTCAAATAGTAATACAGAGCCATACACGCTGTAATAAATCCAAACGCCAATCCCAATCCCCCAGGTATCAAATCAACATATCAACCTCCAGATAGCAACACGTTTAACGTCGACGAGCTGTCCTCCGAATTGCAGTACTTGCTGTGTTTGCTGCGGGTTTCTTATCCTTCTGTTTAGACCGTGACGCTCTGGTGCTGCGTGGCCCACCCTTTTCTTCCTCGGCCTCTTCAGCCTCACTCTCTTCTCCGTCGCTCCCCTCTTCGCCCTCTTCGTCTTCATTTCCACCTGTATCGTCGTCAGATCCTGCACCTGCATCAGAGCCCTTCTCGTGGCCATCATTCTCAATTTCGACCTGGATTTTTGTTGATCGTGTCGCCCGTTTGCGAGTGCCGTTGTTGGACTTGCGCCCACTACGAGATGGGGCAGGAGAGGAGGCAGGTTCCGACAGAGCTACGTAATTAGCGGCTGCCATGGAGACTTTGGAGGCAAATTCTTCAACATACCATCTGTGTCGCCTGCTGTACTTCCATTTTGCGAGTCACCTCGAACGCTGCTTATAGGAGAAGAAGATCCATCTTCGGCGAGCCGCCTTGCGAACATCAAGTCGCCGTATTCTTCGTAGGGCAGTTCGAATGGGCAATACCAGTCGCTCTCGCCATCTTCGTCATCTTCTTCGCCATTCCAACCTGTGTAGACGGGATTTTCCTAAACAGATTGCATGCGTTGGTCAGAGGGGATTCAAACCATGGAATGCATTGCGGAAAGGCTCACTCGTTCATCCAAAGCTTCTAGGTTGTAAAGTGTGCCCAATTTTTTCCATATCCCAGGGATCTGCATATGCTCCCCATTGGACGGACCAAACCCTTGACTTTGTAGATAATCTGCGATTGCGATCATGCGGAAGTGCTTGTGCATGCCTAGGCAATCGGTGTTAGGGTCCCGAAGAGTAACGCATATAGTGCGTACTTACCAACAGGCTTCCACTTAATGATAGCCTTCAGCAGCGCTGTTTCTTGCTCGTCGGTCCAGGGGTCGTTGAGGTGATCGTATTCTTCTTTCTCAACGCTTGCGCTTGAGCCGGGTGTATTCGCGGCGGATTGTGCTGCTTCGGCTTGAGGAGTCGAAGAGTGCGTGCGCTTCGCCTTCTTTCGCGGTCCCATGGTGTTATCGTGTCTTTTCCAGCCGTAAACGAGGCTGTTCGTGGAAAGAGGGTGTGGGTAGTGACGGACTCTGGGGGATTGCGAAGTCGAGTTTCTGTTATCGCAGTGGTCCGTGCACGATAGCTGCTTTCTATCCGCGGGATGCAAATGCGGGAATCTTTCAACGCGCGGCCAACGCGATTGCCCGGGTTATGGGCCAACAATGGAGTTCGACGAGAGCCTTGATCCGTTTTCGAGCGAGAGTCTATGGAGGCTTTCGAGGTTCAGCGTGGAGGCCCTACAGCCGCCCGATGAAATCCCATGGAACGCGACCTTACCTGGTACGCAAATCAGCTCCGTTGTCCTGGTCTTTTACTATATTAGATGGACGCTGACATGGGAATTGACAGATATCTCTAATTCGATACTTAGAGAAACCCTCAATACTTCCGAGAAACCAGATTCCGTATGGAAGTTGAATTATTTCACTGATGAACTTGGAGCTCCCGGATCTTTTGATGATTCGATCGTCAACCCTGCCATAGAGACCGAGTCTGTTACGCCGACGACTAGCTCGCTTGACACAGATGATCGGAGCAATATATGGTCCTTGGATGCTCTTCAAGAAGGCGATCTATTCTCTGCGCCACTGAAATCGTGGGAGAAATTCCATTCTCAATCATTCCAAGAGCCGGTCTCTGCATATTTCAGTGAATCGGGCTCGCGAGGGCTCGACGCCGCGTTGAGGCTCAAAGATGCAGCAAACTCAGATGCGCCAAATGGGCCTGTTCGAGAGAGAGCTTTCGTTCGATCGCTCTTGCATCTGGGATTGGGCTGGAGTTCGCCGTTCTTCTGCTACAATGCGCGCTCCGGCAAATTCGAGAAGTATCAAAGGAGCATTCGCGTCTCCGGCGTGAGCACAACTAATACCGACAAAGTCATCTCAGACTTGATGCAATGCGGATCAAATATGCTATTCGTTCGGTCGTTCGCAGAATCCCAAACATCGAAAGCTAAAAACCTGTCATCCCTCTTCACATTGCGTGGTACCATCGCTGTCGTTCTCTACCATCTTGAAAACCAAGTCACCGGCCGTTCAGAAAGCCTGGTGTCGCTAATCCAGGTCTCTACGTTATTCAGGCGATGCGGTGAGCTAGTTCAAGCCCTAGCTGATATAATCAGGGCAACGGAAAGGGCCGCTTCTGACGCCCAGGTGATATCTATTCTGATGGACCACGCTGCAGTTCTTGCTCTGAAATATGGGTGGATAGAAAATCTCATACAAGAGATTGTTGTCCGTGTAGCAGATCCCTGGCTCGGCTTCATTGAAGGTTGGATTGGTCTTCGACCGGAGATACCAGCTTCAACAGAGCTTATTCAAAGCGGCGCAACGTTTGTCGGCCAGGGAGCCCACGAAGATCTGAGCAGGCTTCGGATAGGACCGTCGAAAAAGATTGACTACACGTACCAAAAAGAACACATGCCTTCGTTTATCCCTGCCGATCAAGCGCAGGATATTTTTGAAAGCGGAAGAAGCTTAAGGCTGCTCAAAAAATCTCACCCAAATCACCCAATTGCTCGGGGTGATGTCCTTACTAGATCAGGTCTGATGCATCTCCACTTCGCAACCAATTGGGCTGATATCGAAAAAATCCACCGGAAAGCCGAAGAGTATGAGTCCAGGCTACGAATCGAAATCCTCCGTTATCACTCAGAAGGGTGGAGGCCCGAGCCAGAGACTGGCTATTTCTCGGTTGCTCAAGACCATGATAGAGATCAAATTGTTCGCCAAACCTTCCAGCTATTCGATATAGATGACGAGGGGCAAATGGCTGATTCCGCAATGGATCGTAAGAGTATCTCGAATGACAAAATTCGCTCAATGATCCGTGACGGTAGAGACGTTGACGACTATTCTATGGAGCCTGTTAAGTCTTTTGGACCTGAGTTAACATCTGGCTTGTACTTATCCCTAGCCCCGGTCATCGCATCTCAAAGCCGCCTTGTTGATTTCTCGTGTCTTCATCACCTGTTCACGGAGCAAAATCTACGGCAGCACCTCGACTTACAATGGCGATTCCAACTCTTGGGTGATGGATCTTTTGTGTCGCGTCTTTCACATTCGCTTTTTGATCCTGAGATGGAGAGTGGAGAACGCAGGGCCGGGGTAGTTCGAAGCGGCGTGCATACCGGGTTGCGGCTAGGGAGCCGCGATACCTGGCCTCCCGCCAGCTCAGAGCTGCGCCTTGTCCTCATTGGACTTCTCGGCGACTGCTATTTTTCGGAGCCGGAGCCAGAGACTCAAGAAAACCCTCAAGCTCAACGTGATAACGAGCTTCCGGGGGGGGCTTAGCTTTTCTATTCGTGAATTGACTGACGAAGAGGTTGAACGGTGCAAAGACCCCAATGCTATCGAAGCACTCGATTTCCTCCGTCTTCAATATAAACCCCCCGAGGCACTTGAAGCTCTCATAACCCAACGGTCGCTCGATAAATATGACCGCCTCTTTAAGCAACTACTCCGTCTGCAACGCATGATGTCTGTGGTAAAGGGCCTTATTCGTGATTCAACCTCGCGATCTTCTCTTTCAGGAGATACTCGAAACATCTTCCAAAAGTTCCGCATCGACGCTCAACACTTTGTTCTCGCTCTCAGCGACTATTGCTTTAATACTGGGGTTGGGTCAATCTGGAATCAATTTCAGGAGAAGCTTTCCAGAATCGAGCGCTGCCTTCGACGCGGTGACATTGACGGAACAATTGAGACAGCCCACTCAGTCCATCGCCTCCGGGACCTACATGAGGATGTACTCGACCAGATGCTGTTTGCCTTTTTCTTAAGCAAACGACATGCCCCAGCGGCTAAATTGCTCGATACCATATTCAGCATCATCCTCGCATTCAGTCCATTATCGAAAGCTGATGGCAGTGGGCTTCGCCATGGAAGTGAGGGTACTGTTCATCATCTGTATGCTACGTTTCGGAAACAATCGTCTGCTTTTGTTGGATATCTGCGCGGCTTAGATTCTGGGAAGGCCTCTTCCAAGCCTATGCAAAAGTCTGGGGCCTTCTTTGCGTCGCGAAGCGATCCGACTAGTGTTTTTGACCATCTTCGTGTAAGATTAGAGATGCGACGCTACTATTGATCTTAACAAAGGCCTTGATACAACCTGCATGTCCTAAGGAGGCACTTATTGACGATTTATGATCAACACGAATGTTCCTTGCCGATAGATCTCGTTTCACGTTCTAAATATTACCCGAAGGGTATATGCAGGGTAGTCGCTCAAAAATGCCATCAGAACACAATTTGAAAGCCACATTTAGAAAAAATGAAGGTCTGACTCTTTCCACCCCTGGGCGAGGAGGCTCTTCTTTACAGATTTCTCCATTGCCTCTGGCCCACACAAGATAACCATGCTTTCACCATTCGGGTCCGGAGTAACGTACTCCGTGAGCAATTCTTCAGAAATTCGCCCCCGACGACCTGCCCAAGAATCCGACGCCTTGGTGAGCGTGTGGACCAGAGCACATTTCTGACTATCCAATTTGGCATAGTCATCCAACTCCGCGCGGCATAGAATGTCCTCTTCAAGTCTATTTCCATCCAGAACGAGACACGTTGTTGGATCTTGAGGGTCTTGCATGACAGCACGCAGAACTTGAAAGATGGGAGTAATTCCAGTCCCACCACAGATCATTTTGAAGGAACGAACCTTTCGTTCTTTTCCGCTAATCAGGACCCGCCCATTGCCCAAGTACTCGAAGCGGCCGGTAGGCCCCTTGCACTCGATATCTGCTCCCAGCGCCAGTTCGTCGAGAGCCGTGGTCATCTTTCCCCCAGGAGCAGCGTCTGAAGGAAAGTAGATCTTAATAAGCAGTTCCATTTTGCCTTCCATTTTCGTGTCCGATATGGGAGTATACGACCGGATTAGTGGCTCCTTGTTCTTGGGATCTGGCACCTTGATCATAAGGTGCTGACCTATCGGAAGTCCCAGTAATTGGTTCTTATGTTCCAAATCGAAAACAAAGACGCGAGTGTCCTGAGAAATGTTTCTCTTCTCGACAAGTCTGGCCTTTGTCCATGTCCTTGACTGGAGAAATGTCGGACGAGGCTCATCGGATACCGTTACGGTACTGGCATTGAGGGCCACGACAGAGGCTTTGTCTAATGTGCCGATGTGGTAGTCGGGCATCATCATCTTCGCAGTCTCACTATCTGCTGGAGATTAGTATCGAGGACGATATCGCTGTGACTCAAAGTGATACTTACGGATTGCAAGGAAGTCTTCGGAAACGTCCAAACCTGCAGAAGCTGTGATACTGATCGCTCCTCCGGGGTGGCCGTCCAAGAACCCTGTACCATCATATACTTCTCCATTAACCACAAACCAGGGGTTCTCGCTTGTGCTGTTCGCCTTCAACTCTTGAAGGTCTATGATCCGGCTCAGTCCCTCTTTCTTCATGTTGATTTCTTTCCCTGGCTCAATCTCCATAGGGGCTTCTCCTTCGCGTCTATCCCCCCCAGTTCCCGTTCGTTAAATCCCCCCCCGGCTTTCTTCACTCTCTCCATCCAGCCCCCGGATTTGGTAGGATGCGTTGGATGCTCGAACCTGAGAAGATTGTCCTCTTTGCTGATCGTTACCCGGAACCATGGGTTGTTCATCATTCCCAGGACCGACCAATACATGTCGCGTGGCTGTGCCATCATGCTCTCGTCCATAGCTCTAACGAGCAATGCATCGCTAGTCGCGAGGTCAGAGATTGGAATAGAAAGAGACCAGAAGGACCAGCAGAAGCAAGATTCGCGCTTCCACATGTCTACCTGCCCCCCAAACAGGTCGCCGTCCCACTCCCGGTATTTGTCCTCTGCATATTCGATATTGGCAAGACGCCAGGCTAGATGGCGACACATACGCATCAGCACAACTGGATCCTTGAAAGAGAATCGATTCCAAACCTACATTTTCCCCTGTCAAGCGATATTTCGACCCGCGTAACCCTTCGACCGCCGCCTGCGTAGGCATATCCCTTTGCCGTGTACGTTGAACTAGCCGTCGAGAGATCTAGCTCTTCTTCATGTTCCGGGAAGACAGCGACGGAGTTCACATTCAGGTCGTAAATGGCGTATCGCTCGTCCATCCACCACTTCTTGTCTTGTGCCGACATTTCAGGTGATACCATCGTCCTTGAAAGCTCAGTTAGTACACGGCACTAACGGACCTGCGGAGTCAACGAGCCAACTGCTTACGGCAAAACGCGATTATCATTAATATGATACCAATTGTCGCTCGGGGCATCTGTCAAGATCAACTTCGTGAGCCACTTCACACTGCGCCCACCAATCTGACCGGGAACCACGGCCCGCAAGGGACGTCCGTGATCAGGGCGTAACGGCTCCCCGTTCATTTTGTGCGCAAGCATAATGCCGCGATTGAAGTCCATAGCCCAATTCAACTTGACAGAAGTGCCGTAAAATCCGTTCGGCTTGAGCAAAATCGTTAGTCTCTTGATGTGTGGAGGGAGACGAGTATATTCACCAACTTGTCCGCGCCTTCCATGCATACGTATTTGGCTTGACGGAGGGGCTTTGCACTGCGTAAGATATCTGCCAGCATCGGTCCCGTCCATAACGCAGTGGAAAGGCCTGCTGCACCCCACGAGAACCCCTTGGACTTTCGGACGGTGTTTTGTTCCTTTCGTCTGTTTCCGGCGCAGACCAGCGTGACGGGGGTTGTGATTTGGTCATAATTTTGGAGAATGTCCCGCAGGGTTAGAATGATTGGGGTTTCCACGAGCCTGGGGACGGCATTAGCTATCCTCATGTTTTTCTTTTGATGATTTCGTGTCTATGAGATTATACCCTTCAATCCTCAGTTCCCAATTGGGAATATCTTCGTCTTTGACTTCGGGCACTGGCCCGTGGTTGCGGACATAGAATAGCTCTGGTGAGGTAAGGAAGCCTAAGAGGAAATTGATATTAGCTCTAGATCTACATTGTGTTTCCCATCACCCTGGTTCTACAGACCTTCCTTGTAGAGGGCCGTCAAAGGCGGCTCAACATTGAAAGGGTGAACACCCGTCAACCGAATAAGTCTGGGATCTCGCGGTACATGCTTGTCTGGTGTAGTTTTATCGACGTCTAATACCTCGGTTGGATGAATCGATGGGGGCGGCAAAGGGACATCAGGCTCTCGAGGAGTTGGGAGGTTATGGAATTTGACCTTAACGGCTGTAGGTGACGAATCGTCTGTATCTGAATCAACCAAACTTTGGGGAGGTGATGGAGATGTCATAGTGGTAGAGGTATTGGAGCGACCCGCGTAACTATACACCCCAGTATTTCTTCTGAACTCTATAAGAACATGAAAGATCCCCTATGTAATTAGATCATCGAAAACCGTTTTGGATTTGAACACCGGGGCCTCTCCACTTAGTGTTTACTAGGGCTCTGTCAAGAAAGTTCGTAACATACGAGGCCAAATGAACATCTCCGCGGGGGGGGGATTGGGAGACAAGTGGCAATCTACATTAGTCACTTCTCTGCTTTTAGTCATGACGCTGACCTGCAGAACAACGCAATGCTGAACAGCCGATGTCGATCGTCCAACTCTTGCCTTATCTCTATACCCAGCGGGGCCAATTAAAATGGGGGTTGTATCTCCGCGGAGGATTTTCACCATTCACGATGGCCCTACTTCTTCCGTAACACACGCTTGGCCGTGTCACTACCCATGACCATAACTATTTTCTTAAACGGAAATGTCGTAGAGCTAGCTGCTCCAAAATAATCCCGTCCGTGTTACCTCCTCATCCCTCCATCATGCCCGTGCTTGATGGTCTTCGATTCGGCGAGCCGGTTGATGCCAGCCCGAGTCCGAGTACCTCGAAAAGGCATAGAATCGTAGTGGTAGGACTGGGAATGGTGGCTATTGCCTTCATGTGAGTCGGGGAATACGGCGTGTCCTGGGCCACGCGCTGACAAGGGTAGCGAGAAAATCATCAAGCAAGACACCGACAAGCGATACGATATTGTAGTTATCGGCGAAGAGTCACACGTCGCATACAATCGAGTGGGCCTGTCGTCATTCTTCGAGCACCGAAAGATCGAAGATCTATATCTGAACCCGAAAGAATGGGTAAGCAAACATGGAGCAGAGAAAGCTCATCCAAAATGGTGGTCTCTAATGCTTGGCCAGTATGCCTCGATCAAAGAACGATCATTCGATTATCATCTCAACACAATTGTCACCAAAATCAACCCCTCAGAGAAATCAGTTGAGACATCCACGGGAGATACCGTTTCCTACGATACGCTGGTGCTGGCTACTGGATCGGACGCAGTTCTACCCACGCAGACCCCCGGCCATGATGCAAACGGGGTATTCGTATACCGAACCATTTCGGACCTGGAGCGCCTGATTGATTTCGCATCCAGTCACAAGGGCAAAACTGCCGTGACGGTTGGCGGAGGTTTACTGGGGCTGGAAGCGGCCAAGGCCATGACAGACCTCGAGGACTTTGGGAACGTCAAATTGATTGATCGCAACAAGTGGGTTCTGGCTCGTCAGCTTGATGGCGATGCGGGATCACTGGTTACTCGAAAGATACGAGAGCTGGGACTAGATGTTCTGCACCAGAAGCGGGTCGCTGAAGTGAACACTGACTCGGAGAATAATGTCACCGGCATTACTTTCGAGGATGGGGAACACATCGACTGTTGCTGCATCTGCTTTGCTGTAAGTTATTCGGGCTTTATCCACATCCTCGCCGGCGAAGGGCTAACGGGCTTGGAAAGATCGGTGTCAAGCCACGAGATGAGCTGGCATCTGCTGCCGGAATTCAGTGTGCTGGCCGGGGCGGGTTTGTGATCGATGAAAGGTCTGTCTCGGGGCCCTGTGATGAAGGGAGCAATTATACTGACTTTCACGTAGCCTTCAAACGTCCGTGCCGGATATCTTTGCCGTCGGAGAATGTGCTAGTTGGGACAATCAAACCTTTGGGATCATTGCTCCGGGCATTGAAATGGCCGATGTGCTGGCTTATAACCTCACGAACATTGGCAAAGAGCCAAGGCGCTTCACAAGACCGGACCTGAGCACGAAACTGAAGCTCCTGGGAGTCGATGTGGCGTCTTTTGGCGATTTCTTTGCGGATAGAGATGGTCCCAAATTCATGCCAGGCAATCGTCCATCAATCGGCGGAGCTGGTGATTCTGGTGACGAGGAGCCACCGGTCAAGGCTTTGACCTATAAAGATCCCTTTGGGGGAGTCTACAAGAAATACCTGTTCACCATGGATGGGAAGTACCTCCTCGGTGGAATGATGATTGGAGACACTAGAGACTATCTGAAGTTGAACCAGATGGTCAAGACCCAGAAGCAGCTTGAGGTGCCTCCGAGCCAGTTTATTCTGGGAGCCCAGAAAGAAGGAGACGAGAATGCCGATGACCTGTGAGTATGCATCCAGCACCGACTTTTCTATTGGGCAACTTCACTAATCTTGCTTATTTACTTCTTCTATAGTGATGATAGCACCCAGATTTGCTCGTGCCATAACGTGACGAAAGGTGATGTGGTGGAGAATGTCAAGAGCGGCTCTTGCAAAACGATCGGAGAAGTCAAATCCTGCACCAAAGCTGGCACCGGCTGCGGTGGCTGCATGCCTCTTGTGCAATCGATATTCAACAAGACTATGCTTGAGATGGGTCAAGAAGTTTCCAATCACTGTTAGTGTACCCTGCCACTGCTTCCTGTTCCAAGGGCCTGCGCTAATCTTACTGCACAGTGTGCCTGCACATCCCATACTCTCGCGCAGACCTTTACAACGTGATCGCCGTCAAGCAACTCAAAACATTTGTCGAAGTTATGCAAGTGGCTGGAAACAACCCAAACTCCCTCGGATGTGAAGTATGCAAGCCTGCGATTGGTTCAATTCTGTCGAGCTTGTTCAACCCCCACGTCATGGACAAGGGATACAACGATCTCCAGGATACGAACGATAAATTCCTGGCAAACATCCAAAGGAACGGCACATTTTCGGTTGTGCCTCGCGTGCCCGGTGGAGAGATCACGGCCGATAAGCTCATTGCTATTGGGTCTGTTGCGAAGAAGTACGGACTTTATTGTAAGATCACTGGTGCCCAGCGGATTGACATGTTTGGGGCCAAGAAGAGCGACCTACTGGACATTTGGACTGAGCTAGTGGATGCTGGCCTGGAGAGCGGCCACGCCTATGCGAAAGCTCTCCGCGCGATCAAGGTTCGTATCTATTCTTATTATTTCGTGACCGGGTCCACTAACGACCATCACAGAGCTGCGTAGGCACAACATGGTGCCGATTCGGGAGTGGGAGACAGCGTGGGAATGGCAATCCGCCTGGAGGAGCGATACAAGAGTATAAGAGCTCCACATAAATTCAAGGGCGCGGTCTCCGGCTGTGTTCGAGAATGTGCCGAAGCCCAGAATAAGGAGTAAGTCTCATAATAGCAAGCTTGGGGGCGCGGGAACGGGTTCGCTAATTGCTGTTTAGCTTCGGTCTCATTGCCACAGAGAAAGGGTTCAACATCTTTGTTGGTGGCAATGGAGGGGCAAAGCCTCGACACTCAGAGCTTCTCGTCAAGGATGTCCCTCCGGAGATGGTCATGCCAGTGATTGATCGATATTTGATTTTCTACATTCGCACCGCAGACAAGCTCCAGCGTACCGCTAGGTGGATCGAGAACCTGCCGGGCGGAATCAATTACTTGCGCGAAGTCATCATCGACGACAAGCTCGGCATCTGCGCAGAGATGGAAAAGCAGATGCAAGATCTTGTGGACAGCTATTTCTGTGAATGGACTGAGACTGTTCGAGATCCCAAGCGCCGGAAGACATTCCAGCAATTCGCAAATACCGACGAAAAGGTCGAAACTGTGGAGGTTGTCCAAGAGCGATCCCAAAGCAGACCTACTTACTGGCCCAACGAGGCTGCCCAAGAGGACTTTAAGGGCCATCAGTGGTCGAGCCTGTCATGGCAGCCTGTCATCCGAGCCGATCACTTCTCGGACGAGCCGCCGCAGGTCTCATCCGCCAATGTGAAGCGTGGAGACACCCAGCTTGCCATCTTCAAGATCAAGGGGAAGTACTACGCGACACAGCAAATGTGCCCTCATAAGAGAGCCTTTGTGTTGTCGGATGGCTTGGTGGGAGACGACGACGCCGGCAAGTATTGGGTCTCGTGTCCTTACCACAAGCGCAACTTCGAGCTCAACGGTGAGCAAGCCGGCCGCTGCTCGAATGATGAAAATGTGAACATTGCCACCTTCCCCGTTGAAGAGCGCGACGATGGTTGGATCTACTTAAAGCTTCCCGGAGTCGAGGAGCTGGATGCTGTCTTGGGAACCGAGAAGTGGAAGGTCAAGAAAGGCGAAGTGCCTGACCCATTCCTGAAACTCGACAAGAAGTACAAAGGGCTGCGAGGGAAGAAGATGACTGCTGCCATTCCGTCGGAGCGGCCATCTGTGCAACCAGCAAGTCGAATCGACTGGTGATCTCATGGTGTCTAATTTCTCGTTGTCGATGATAATATACTACGTTCGGGAGGTCAGCTTATTGAATAGCATATCAAATCCATATCTTCAGTCATGAAATAGCATTCACTACTCAATATCAAAGCCCATCATCTCCTGCTAAGAAGTATTTCATGTTATGCTCAGAAGTCCTAAAAAGTCCCCTTGGGCCCAGTAGCTATGACGCAATGAGCTTTCGGACGGTTGTGGTGCGGATGTCGACCCACATGGGAGTAAACAACACGCCCGTCATATCCAAACTAATTTTAGCCCATCACTGTACGGAAAAAGAGTGGAAGATTAATTTAAGGTATTTCCGCGGAGCCACCGGCACGACCCACTAGTCGGACTGACACCTCGTTCCTTATCTCCCGCGAATCCAGCATCCAATGAGATGCGGTCGATTTATCTACGCGGTGGGCTGATGGACCCTTCTCCGGGGCACAAACAATATCCTCAGTTCCAGAACTCCCTCAGCACCGATGACAGACACTTTCCCCAGTATCCCCGCGGAGTTACTGTCCGGAGATCTGGTTACTTTACTGCTCAGCTCATGCCGAACAGAGGATTCGTCATAGGCCACTTGTCCGTTCCTTATCGTCGTCAGTGTCCAGCACCAAGTCAGCCGAGGATATCGTGCCTCCATCTGGTGAACAGAGAAGCCGGGAATTGCCAAGATATCTCGACGCACGAATCAGCGTACCAGGATAACTCGGAATAGCTCCTTTCTGCCAGATCTGAATTGGCATCCCCAGAGGACTTGGTATCCGCGAGACGATGGTATTGTTTGTCATCTTGACGCTCGTATTCGACGACACACGCCTGAGGTAGATATCATCGTTCCTCTTGCTATATAGGACGCGATTTCTTGATTCCGTTGTTCCTACTCAGTCAATCTGGTCAATGAGAGAATTGTTTCAGCATATTATACCCCGAAAGAATCAGTCCTATCGCAAGCGGTGCTGTTGCTGGCTTTGTTGAACGAGAATCTTCTCTGCGCTGTGAGCCATTACCATGGCCATCGGTTTCATTAAAAGTCTTTTTGCTTCTCCGGAGGTGAATCCATCCAACAGGAAAGCTAAGACTATTCCTATTCTCAACCCCGTCGACCAATATGGTCGGGTTTTCTTCTTCTCATGGCTTGGCTTTATGGTGGCATTCCTCTCATGGTATGCTTTCCCACCACTGGTACGTTGCCCCTTACCTTGGAAAGGTCTTTGCAAAGACGTCGAGACCATACTGACTATCGGTCCAATCTATAGTTGACGGATACAATCAAGAAAGACCTTCATATGAGCCGAGCGGATGTTGCAAACTCCAACATAGTGGCACTTCTTGCGACGTAAGTCCTGTTTGATATTGAATGCAGAAAAAAAAAACACCACCAGCTCACCCGATCTAGTCTTCTTGTTCGACTTGTCTCCGGTCCCCTGTGCGATCGATTCGGCCCACGCTTGGTGTTTGTCGGCCTTCTACTGGCAGGGGCTATTCCGACCGCTATGGCGGGCCTGGTGACAACACCCAAGGGACTGATCGCCCTGCGGTTCTTTATTGGAATCCTAGGCGGCACTTTTGTTCCATGTCAAGTCTGGTGCACTGGGTTCTTTGACAAGAACATCGTGGGTACAGCGAACTCACTAGCCGGGGGCTGGGGGAATGCGGGTGGTGGGATAACCTAGTATGTTTCGCCAAATGGGATCATCAGGACGCTGAGGAAACCAGGCACTAACCACGGTGCTCTTCTAGCTTCGTTATGCCAGCTATCTACAACTCCCTTGTGACGTCGCAGGGTCTGACCCCTCATAAAGCATGGCGTGTAGCCTATGTCGTGCCATTTATCATCATCACCGCGGTGGCATTGGCAATGCTGTTCCTTTGCGAGGATACTCCGACTGGAAAATGGTCGGAGCGACACCTCTGGGCTCAAGAATTCAGCCAGCCTCAGATACCGTCTGAGGGCAACATCGTTGAGCTCCATGCGAGCAGCACGCCAACCGACGTCTCGAGCCCTCCGTCTACATACAACGGGATGACAGTCGATGTGGAGAAGAAAGGGACCCAAAGCCCTCGCATCCTGGACAGAGACATGCCGGCGGTGGGGCAAATCAACAACTTCAGACCAGAAGCCGTGGTTGCCCCGTCGCGGAAAGAAGCGTTGGCCGTGGCTTTCAGTCTTTCCACTATGGCCGTCGCAATCCCTTACGGGTGCTCGTTTGGGGCTGAGCTCGCGATCGACTCTTCCTTGGGCAGTTACTACGCCGCCAATTTCCCATCTCTGGGGCAGACTGGATCAGGTCAATGGGCGGCCATGTTTGGTCTGCTGAACATCATCTTTCGCCCTGCGGGCGGCTTCTTGGGGGACCTGGTATACCGCTACTCAGGTAGCCTCTGGTCGAAAAAGCTGTTGCTGACCTTCCTGGGGGTTGTCACGGGTGCCTTTCTTCTGGCGGTTGGGCTTACCAACCCAACCGAAGAGGCGAACATGTTCGGGCTCATGGCTGGAATGGCTTTCTTTCTGGAGGCGGCTAATGGAGCTATCTTCGCACTTGTGCCTCATGTGCATCCGTATGCTAACGGTAAGCCATCCCCCATTTGTTGCATCTCAACTCAAGTCCAGTTACTGACGGCAGATGTTCCAGGCATTGTCTCTGGTATTGTAGGAGGCTTTGGTAACCTCGGGGGTATCATCTTCGCGATTGTTTTCCGATACAACGGCTCGCAGTACGGAAGGTCAATGTGGATCATGGGGGTGGTCGCTCTAGCGGCCAATATCGCCGTTAGCTGGATACGGCCTGTTCCGAAAGCCCCTGTAATCTCTCCATGAGTTCCATAGGATTTATCTGTTACGAGCACTTGAAAATTTCCAGTTCACTTGTTAATTAAAGTTCAATCCTAAATCGCAAATCGTACTTGCGGCTCAAGCCAGCGGTCTCCGGGGTATCACACCCCGGAAATAGATGAATGGGTGAACGCTGCCGCGAGGACGTGGGGCTCGATCGACCCTGCCAGTTTTCTTCTTCCGACTCACTTGTTTTTCTCTTGGACAGTAAATTCAAACTGTTGATTCAGCCGCCATGTCTTTTGTTCGCCCCATTGCACAAATCGTCCATCTTAAGCCCTCGGCCGTGGCTGCGTACAAAGAGTGACATACCAGACCAAAGGTACTGCAACAGATCAAGGACTACGACATTCAAGGCTATAACGGTAAAATAGCATCGCCATGGGACGATTTTCTAATCATACTTCGACTCAGACTCTATCTTTTTCGACAATGATCGCACGCTTTCCGCAACTTTCAAATATATCAGCGCAGACTTCGAGGGGCCCATGGAAAAAAAAAAAAGCATGCGAACCCAAAATTGAGAGAATGGTGGGCCATGACAGACGGAATGCAAGTGCGTATGCTGTGGTAATGAATTATACAGTCTTCTACTAATGAATCTGCGGCGAAGGAGAACCCAATCCCGGGAGCTGCGGGTAGTGCCGATGGCCCTGGGTGGTAGAAGGTCCTGGATGAAGTCTTCTACAAGGAGTGGAAAGCGTTCCGGACGAAAAAACGAAAACTATAGATAGTCTTCGGATTCACTTCTTCTTGAAGAATTGGTCCAGTCTCTTTTGCTGTGCGTCATGCTTTGCGCTGCCAATCCCACCGCGAGTGCGCTGAAGACCTGCGAGATGGTCTTTCATGTCAACAGCCTCGATGGTAATGATCCAACCAGATGGCACAAGACTGTCAGTTTCTGGCGTGGGAGCTGGGGCAATCGTGCTTGGCTGGATCGCAAAGCTCATGAACCCAGTATTGGACCAAATAGGGGTGAAGACCCCTACTGGCAACCCATCACGGGCTGCATTGCCGGTTGAGAAGCGTACTTCACCTGGCTTAAGGGAATCAACAAGACACCCCCACAATACACGCATGAAAACACCATGAGATACGATAGCCACATTCATGTCTGAATTCGCGGTGTCGGAGAGTAATGGCCAGATCTCGTCCGTCAGAAATGACATCGCCCTTGTTGTCATGGATTGCACACTTTCGGCCTCAGCGCTTGTATAAGAGCTCCCTTTTTCGGGCTTGATTGAAGAGGCGCCAAGTACATCTTGCCTCATGGTAGCTGACTGGATTCGCTGTCCCTCTTTAGAGCCGAAATCCTTTTCTCTCAGCTTCGGGGTCATTAGAAGTGGTGCTCTTCGGGGCTGAAGACGGTTTATCCCTTCAGCTGTCAAACGGGTTCGTGTTAGATCAGAAGAAAAGATTTGACCGAAGTGGACGCCATTGGATGCAAAATATTGGGCGACAGACTCGATTTGTAGGACGCCATGATTAGTGAGGGCTGAGTCCGTAACACCGGCCCTATTGCTTGTGTTAGGTATGGTAGGTATGCTTTGTACACAGTACATACCATACATGGGCCACATTATGGACGGTCTCCGCATGTCGAATGAGGTAGAGCCTCATCGCGGAGGCCTTGGTGGCGAAGTGGCGATGCAGTGGAATCGAACCGCCCTGGGTGTTGAAGCCATATGGAAACACCAGGTCACGTGGCCGCTACACTTGTTCACCATCATAGATTGTCATGATCTAAGGTAGAAGGAAGGAAAAGCATTTATGTGAATGATCCAGAAGATATCGCTCTACGAGTACGCATTCCCATTTACGGCAGTTAACTATCCAGGCCGGCGGCATCAAAGGAAGAAAATTGAGGGAAGATGAGATTGATGGACATTAGAGCAGTTAGGACTGTGAAAAAAAAATTGCCTGGTATGAAAACACCGAACTAATTGCTCCGAAGGTATGAACCCTTTAAAACGTAACACAAGTGGTATGAGCCATGATCCATCATCACATCAAACGAAGAAACGCCGATTGGCATGAAGCCAATCCCCTCGTGGTATTGTAGAACTTTTCGGGGATATTTTGGGTCACCAGAGGACAAGTCAGGGAGCAAGCGCTTAAGCAGCAAGCTCGCGGATCTTCTCCTGGACACGAGCCTTCTTCTCGGCGCGGGAGAGCTTCTTGGTCTTGTACTTCTTGCTCTCGGCCTTCCACTCCTCCTTGGACTTCTTGGGCTCAGCACCCTCCTCCTTCTTGAAGGGGTCCTCACGGATGGCAGAGTGGGCCTCGGTGTAGAGCTCCTCGAGGTCTCCGGAGTCGATCTCCTCCTCGATGTACTTGGCGAACTGGGACTTGTAGCGCTCCTCATCCTCATCGGCGAGGGTCTCCATGTACTCAGAGACGTGGCCGCCGACAATGTAGTTGCGGAGAAGGTCAGCATCGAGCTCCTCGGTCTCGATGTCGTAACCGGGGAAACGGCGGGAGGAGTGGGGGATGAAGATACCACCGTCGGAGGCACCCTTCATGGCACCGAAGACACGGTTACCGGTGGAGGTGCGGACGAGACCAACATCAAGGAAAGCCTTGAAGGGACGGCGCTCGCCATCCTCGGTCTCAACGGCCTCAGCGAGAGTGTGCTCGCCAGTGGCCTCCTCGACACCAGGGAACTGCTCGTTCAGGCCGAGCTTGGTGAGAACACGGCGGGCAAGGAGCAGACCGGTGGCGTAGGCGGCAGCCCAGTTGGTAAGACCCTGGGTGATACCGTAGGCCTTCAGCTCGTGGGAGTAGGCGGCGGCAATGACCTTGTCACCGGAGATCTCAGAGTGGACGATCTGAGTGACGATGTCGCGGTTGGTGAAGCGAACAACCATGCGGTACTTGGGAGCGTTGTACTTGTTCTTGGCCTGGGTGATCAGGCGCTTGCGAGCGTAGTAGTCGGTCTTACCCTCGCGGCGACGGCGGTACTTAGTCTGGTAGCGACTGGTAAAAGTCAGTACAACGATTCTCACTACGGACGTTGCGAAGAGTTTAAGCCCATGGCATTGTATAGTTTCACGTACCTGAAGTAGGCATCGTTCTTGACAGTCTTGGTGAAAGGCTATACAAGATAAAACGAGTCAGCAATTTGCGCTTCAGAAAATGTCCGAAGCATCTTGCAGGGACCCGACTCCAGAATGGAGGGAAAGCAATGATGCCAGCAGTGGTAATTCTTCAACCGACTGCAGCAGGCGAACTCACCATGGTGACGGTTGACGGAGCTGAGGCCTGGTGTCGACTGGTGTGGGAAGAAGATCGAGTCGTGTGTGCGGACAATCTTTTGTGGGGGACTTTCGCTTAGCGGGGATGCAGCCCACGCCACAGCGTGGTTGGCCACACGTCGACGACCCGCGAACTGGAATGGCTTAAGGAACATCCTTTTGCTCTACACTACGACGCCTGACTTCTAATTGTAGTTCTTCATTTTTCCACAGGGAAAATGACTTGCTAGACCTGCGAAGAGCCTCGAAATCAAATGCCAATTGACTACACTCCACTTGGTGGAAGCAGGTGATCGCCCACGCAAAATGGTCTCGAAAGAATTTGAACGGAGCGGGGAAACAATTACGCGGTGGATCTCAATCACATGATATACAATGAGCCATACGGCTGTACTGCACAGGCGCATCTCTCATCTATATCGACTCGAGGGTATTCCAATTGGTCGGGACGCTGTTACTGTAGTCCTATTATGATTTCTTTTAGTTACACCGGGCTACCAAACAATGGTGAGTTATGTGCATATTAGTATTTGGTCAGCAGCACGGTGGTGAAAAGCTTGGAAGTCATTCTATATATTCCGAGTTCAGGTCGGTATGCTACTTCTAGGACTGGATTCTTGAACTCGACTTCCACTTGAAAGTTTAGAAGCAAGAACTTATAAGCCATAGACGGAGGTCTTTGAAGAATGAGAGTTATTAATTGATCTGCTTAGGACTTACGAGAGCAAAAGTCCAGCTCGTCTCTTTTGCCAGAACAGGCTATGCCTAGAGGAATACAAGAAAAGCAAAAACAAGCCTTAGGAAGCAACGTTGAATTTGATTCCCGCGGCCACTCTCCAAGCCTCTGTCGAACTCAGACTTTGAGAGCAGCTTGTCGCTCCTGGTCTTCTGCATCTTTTTCATCAAGCTCTTCAACAGCATAGAACGTCTCCTTGTTCAAGTGCTTGAACCTGAACCAAAAGATAATTCCCTCTGCTGCCAGCGCCACTGCCGGAGCACCCCAAATCCACAGCAAGTACGGATCCTTCGTCACCGGAATAAGGATCTCTCCAAGTGCGCTGCTCAGGGCGTTCATGAACAAGAAGACGGCCATAACCAGCCCCTTCATGCTCTTTGGTGCTCGTGCATAAGCCACCTCATACCCGGTCACTGCGCAGAAGCACTCACTGATGGCTGACAAGATAGTGTTTGGGAGCTGCCACCAAATGCTAATTGGGGCCACCTGATCACAGGTTGAGGCTTGATACCCACAAGGCGATAATTCATAGACTTTCCACTGGACTAGCGTCCCTGCAATACTGGAAAGGGTGGCGAGGAAGAAACCGAAGCTGATTCGGGTAATCGGACCCGGGGTGATCTTGAACCGTCGCAGTGTGGGATAAATAACATAAGTGAGAATAGGGACTGTAACAATGATGGTCAACGCATTGAAGTTGTTCAATACATCGTTGGGGGCCCCGTTGGTCACCATGGATCCACCCTGATTAGTGGAAACAGAACCAATCCCTCCATCATTGAGATACCAGATAGGATAGTAGAGGAAGATGTCGCATGCCCCAAGAGCCTTGGCGACCTTGTCGACGGTTTTGTCTGTCCATGTGACAGTAGCTCCCTGGGGTCCAAGCTTAGACGGCTTGGCTGCATCCCAGAAGTCCTTTCGCCAGAACATGAGTTTGTTCCCGCGCAGGGCTTTCGCGATGATCTGGAACGCCTCGGTGATTTCTTTGCCTCCATTCGGAGGCTCTTTGTGGGTCTTCTTGTAGACTGCCAACAGGAGAATGGGAAGCAGAAAGTATATTATAGCAGACAATAAGAAGGAGAGCCAGTACCCGACATACTTCTCCGCATAAGTGGTCGCAAGCATGTAAAAAGCACCGATGTTGACGAACCCATAGAAAAGAAGCATGATTCTGTTTGCGGTTGCTTCTGGATCAACAATGACCCTCTCCCCAGACTTCAATGTCCGAACGAAAGGCTTCTTGTGTGGACTTTGGTCGAGGACCAGAGGAGCGACATTTGGCTTGAAGATGCCCGCTCCAAACGCAAGGATCAAAAGACCAATGATGAACGGCGGAGCGGCGTTCGATGGCCCTCTCTGTAGCACGGATGGGATAACACCGACTAGTTGGATGATATGGGCAAGGCCACAAAGAAGAACACCCCAGATAATAGCCTTGTACCGTCCAACATAGACGTCTGCCCACCATCCCCCGAAGATAGGAATCACGTAGGCCAAGAATGTGAACAACAGCGTCAAACCACTGCTTGCTTGCAAGCCCATTCCGAGAGCACCTGCAGTCTCTTGGGTGCCTCTGGGAGGGGCGCCAGCTCCATTTCCACCTTAAAAGCAAATCATCAGTATGCGTGCCTCGTGCCCCAGAATCGATAGAGCATACCTTTTGGTAGCGGGTATTCGATGAAATTCGAGTACACTGTTTTGGCGCCATAGTAAGACGCACGCTCTGCAAATTCAACCAAACAAAGTGAGAAGGCCACCCATGGCAAGTTATCAGCGACCCGGCGCAGAGTCACGTTTTCTTCCTCGGTTGGAAGAGGTTTGTCGCCGTCGGCGTCGATCTCCTGCGTCTGTGCCTGCACGTTCTCTGGCTTTTCGGCGACGACCTCAGTCACACGCTCTGTCTTCACTTCGTCCATGTGTACCGCTGCTGATTGGAACGAGCGTTAAAAAGAAGGTTGAAACTGGCAACGCGATGCTTTCTACGTACCCATGATGGACTGAACGGCTCTCGCGACGAAAATGCCTTGGTAAACAAGACCCTGGCGGGCCCTGGCATTATAGCCCCGGTCGCCGTCCAACAAATATCAAGCCTAGATAACGCAATAGCGGTGTTTTCCGTCTGTCTAAGCCCAAGTGGCGATGCTAGCAGCTGCTAGTGGGAGTGCCGATAACGCTATCGCTTGCGGGATGGCGCGAGTAGCGCAGATGTAACTCTACAACCACACGGTCCAGTTTTCTTTCCCAATGAGATCCCTGTCTTGGGTTGAGTTGCAGCTGGCTGCCGCAAATACTTGCATGGCAGCTCCTCCCCTCTGAGGCCTCGAACCAACGGGGCTATCGAGCCTTGCTCGCGCAATCGCCTCGGGCCTATGCTCATCCAATCGATCTCCGCTGTTGGGTTCGAGTGTTCTTTCTCTAGTGTGCTTCTAGAAGGACTCGTCGAGATGAGCTTACATAAATTGGGGCAATTCTCACCTGGAATCTTGCTAGGACAGGGACAAACAAACCGGTCATTTATATCATTGAACTTATCTGGGCATTGCCGATCATGCTCAAGATAGCGCGGGTTGGGTCCCTAGTACCTTTGCCAGCAAATGGCTGGATATCTACCCCTTCATTTTCGAAAAGCGATTAAACAGAGACGCATGTCTATTCATACTCAGATAACACTTTCAAGCCTTAGTGCTAATTTGCAAGACCGAGAATTCAGCCCTTCTCTTCCGGTAGATTCCTCCCGTAACCAAAGCCGGGGAACCAAGGGGGGCTCAGTCTTTACCTAGGTACAGTCCGGCTAAATTACGAATACCAGCTCCTAGCGCGAGCAACTTTACGTCCGAAGAGGGCGTCTAGACCAAACCGAGTGCGCATCTCCGGGAGTGGGAAGTGTGGCACCGAAAACCTCGGAGTGGAGCTTTCTGTTTCCTAGACGGCAGGCCACGCAGATAAGTATCATGCGTGGGATAGCATCGGAATGACTCCAGAGAATATCCACGAGGGTCAACGGAATTAGGGCACCAGCCCCGCCATGATATGGCGTAAAGTGTGCATCGGTCCTCTTTTTTGCCGCTGGTACGGATGGCTGCAAACCCCTATTCATGCATTATACGAAGCACTAGGCGTAATCTAACTAAACCCTCAAAGGCTGACCTGATTATTCACTCGTCAGACCGGGTAATTTGCCTATCACTCCTTCCAAAAAGGACTCAACACATTCGAAAAGCAGTATTTGTACGAACAGGAGCACGTCCACAATGACCGGCTACTCGAGAAGCCAGTAATGAGGGGTTGCTGCGAAGGAACTTGGAGTCGTATTCATCGTCCTAATTATACATAAAATCTGAACTCGTTAGAAGACAGGGTATTGTAATGGGAGAGTTGTATGAGGCAATCGCTGCGTTTCGATAATGCAGGCGGAAACAGGCGCCCACGAGGGACTCAACTGTCCAGCAATTGATGCACACTCGCCCACCCACTGGTGGATATTATCCTGGGACAGACGGAATGGCGGTCGACCCCACCCTCGCTGGAAGTCAACGTGCACAAAAGGGTTGAGATGGGCCATTGCCCAAATGACCACGCCAGCGTGGTAGATCGATATTATAGACAGAATGTTAAATGACGGCTTCTGCACGTGTGTTTTGTTCGTTCGCATCTTGTATATTTCGTCGTCGAGAAGACACCATATTCGACAGGCATGGTATAGCGCAACGTGCGCTGACTCCGTCGTGGCCCATAAGGCAATGGCGCCAAGATCCATGTTCAGATAAGACTGACCGGAGATGTATAGATCCGATGATGAAAGGTTATGTAGGGCGTCGAGGTTGGCATTCACTTGGACGTGCCAGAGGTGGTACAGTAATGGGTCAAGTGTAAAGGATCGGAGAAATTCTTCTTGGGAGACGTTCCATCGCTCAAGGGTGCCGGAGATCTTGGAATATTGAACAGGCAAGATGTCGCTTCCCTGCTGCAGGAGCTTGAAGTTATCTTGCTCTTCTTTTTTTGAATGGGCATACTGCATCGCTTGGCATATACCGAGAAGCCAGTTCTGTATGCCGTACAATACAAGGTCGTGCACGGAAGGAGATGTAAGAGCGAGCGCATTGCTGCCAGACGCCCCGTCTGCCACCAATCGAACAAGATCTGAATAAACCATGTTGGGACTCCCTATCCCCTGACTGGCCGTTAGAATCTTTTCCCGCCAAGCAGGCCCAACATATGTCCAAAGGTCTTGCTTGCATGGAAGTGACAGTTTAAGCTCATCAAAGGATACCAGCGGTTTCGTATTCCAAAGAACGCCAGAGAAGATCTCGCACCGAAAGAACCCAAATACCAAGCGGCGTCGCTTCTCCAGCTTGATCCATTCGCGAAGCCGGTTATCAGCCTGTTTCCCATAGTTGTCGAACAATACCCCGGCGGGTAGTGGCGATGATTCACTCTCCTCGAATAACCTAACTCGTCGAGCGTGGGTCACCAGGGCGGCACCAGCCTCTCGCGTATACTTCAGAGCCTCATGAGATCCCAGGTAGAGTGACATGATTTCCATGAGCAAGACCGCCTCGAAGATCGCGTCAGACTTTGCTTCATCCGGGGGGCACGAGAGACATGCGGCTATTAATTTTGGTCGTAAAGCAAGGTGCATTTCCAGGCCGTATCGCTTGGCCTTCGGAGATTCCATGTACATAGCACCAATGGAACCCATTACCAGATAGAGGAGGGGCTCCACATCATCATATTCGAAGCCTTGGAGCCAGGTGATAGGCCACAGAGGGTGGAAATTATCGAAGAATGACTTGACGAATGTATGTAAGAGATGAGTTTGCTGAGGAGCCGGAAAGTAGGCCAATTGGTATGATTGCTCGATTTCGCCTGCCAAGGTGATTCGCTTGCGGTATCGAAATTGAATCCCCCTTCGGGGGTAACCTGAAGAATTCGAGATACGCCTCCTCGGCGATCCTGCGAACTATTCTTGAGCCTTCATCCAAATAGGGCGGCTCGATGTCAAATGAGTTATTGAGCTCTGGGGGGGCTGGTTGTGGAGTCGGAATGGTCTGATGGCACGAGAGGTGGAGTTGGATCGATCATAGTCTCGCCAATGAACCCTTGCGGCTGTTTTGAAGGGTCTGTATATAACCCCATTACAGGGTTCATTGGCTGAGAAGGGAGGATGTTTAACGGCATCTGGGAAGACTCAGCACGTGGAAAGTAAAGATCAAGAACAACTATCCTACCGTTTGGCTCCATTGCCCTTTCACATCCGAACCCATCACGTTGAACTCGAACGCATCAATAGGAAGAGGATCGACAATATTATCGATAAGCGGGTTGCTCCTGTGATCGATTACTACCTCCGCAGAGAATGTCTGGGCGGGACGGCTCTCCGGCATTGGACCAGAGAGAGGCATGTCATTGGACGTCTCCGTTGTCTGCATCGCCCGGACACTGGGCCGTGTCGCCTTGACCAAGAACGAGCACTTCTTGTCTGTCATGCGGCATGCAGAGCATGGGCGAGCCGCATCGCAGCGTGTCTTGCTCTTCTTGCATTCGTCGCATGCGCGCACGGCTCTCTTCCTCCGATCCCGAGCAGTGATGGCACCGTCGTCACCGTGGAGCTTCTGATGTCGATTCAAAACATCCATGCGGGGGAATTTGAGCCGGCATACTGGGCACTGATACCATTTGCTTGGATCGTGAGTTTTGCGGTGACGGAGGTAGGCGGGACGGCTCGTGTACTGGCGACCGCATTCGTCGCACACCGTGATGTCTGGCTTCTCATCAGGCATAGTGGCAGGGCATGATTAAGGAGATTCAAGAGGAATATAAGTCTAACATTCGGAAAGGGTCCGACATCAGGCGGTTTTACCGCTCACCTAATCCTTCTAATCCTTGGGTCGTGATGGTCGATTCCGTACAATCGGGAACAAGAGGCGGATTTGCGGATCGGCTTCGACGCCCCGCGTACAGAATGAACATCCCACCCTCCAAACCCAATCTTGTTTTGGCTTTCGATCCTCCAGTTGACCCCCGCAGCTCCAATACGCCCGTCAGATTCTGCAAGAACGTATTACTACCCAAGCCCTTCGTTTCTTCGGCCCCCAAATTCTGCCCGTCCTGTGGCGAAAGGCAAAAGGGGGGTTCCTGCTTTTAGCCTACAATACGGAGTTCCTGCACCGTGTCCCAATCATCAGCAGCACTAGTCGCACTAGCGGGAACACGCATGTTGAATCACCAAATCAAACTTTACGTTTATGCACAAGAAATTCCAGACCCTCCCAAGTCCAGGGCGCTGCAGTCTCGATTGGAGCCAAGGCTTCCTGGCTAATGTACGTCGGCAAGTTGCTCGACGCACAATAAGGTGGTACCCTACCTTTGGGAGACGAACAATGCTTGTGGCTTGCTTCTCTGTGGAGTGGCCCAGGCATCATCCCTGATTTTCTCCTGATCGGAGAATATCATGGTTCATGCGTTTCACCATCTATAAATATGCACAGCACGGTCGGCCTCAATCCTGGGCTTTATCTCTAAACGCTAGTGGGCAAGCAGGAGTGAGTCTAAATCCAGGCTAATTAGGCCGATGTTTTCGGGGAACCGGTGAATTCGTACTTAAAATGTCCCGTGGCATCACCCACGGGTTGAGAGTGGCTCATGACAGTCATTACATGGAGATTATTCATTCCTTCGTTTGGAGGCTGGTTTCTCTCAATATAGGCTTACAACATAAAACTAGCCCCTGAGGGAAGCGGCGCCTTGGGGGTTGGTCCCATCATGTCGGGATGTGTCCGGATTGCGCCCCTTCATTTTGGCTTTTTTCGTTTCGAATGCGAATTTGACCTCCCACATTTTAAGGTAACTTTAATGTTAAACAGGTCTCCTCACCGTAACTAATGTTTCCCAGGGCTTCTCTGTCGTTGGCTATCCTTTGAGACACATCATGTCGTCTGACACGTGGAAAGATGCTTATTACATCCTATTAGGGGGTAAAGAGTCATACCAACTCAGTAAATACCTTATATGGAATGAAAAGGATCTCGCTGAGGCTACTTCATTAATATATTCATCTTCAAGCCCGGAGCTTGTCCCTAGGGTTCCCAGAAGACCAGATCTAGATTGTAGGGATACAAGTCCGGTTTTTGGGCAGTAGGAGCTCCTGATGCGCCCCATTGCTCCACTTCAAATGCTAAATCCTTGCCACATGGGATGACGAGCTCGTCGTGTGCTTTGACTGCCTGCGAAACATCCTTCTCGGATCGGAAGCGAGACAGATCGCCGACATCACGGATTGCTGTATTCGCCCCGCAAGGTTGGCCGGAATCATCGTGTGCGCACCATCGCCGAGGACAAGTACTTCGTTCGAGTGCAGTGCCTCTTTTGCCCCCGGCATGAAGAATCCTGCTCTTCCTGCGAACCGAGGCGAGTCGCCACCAGCCGGTGTCCACTTTCCACCCCATCTGGTGCTTAAGCTGAGGCGGACTATGGGATCAGTAAGGTTTCTAGACATGCCTTTCATTGACAGAGCCTAGCATGGGATTATGAGGATCAAGCATATACCGAGAATGACGGTCCTCCATTTGACATTTCATGCCAAATGTTCCCAGTTGGTGATTTTCGAATGGGCTGTGGTCTATTTTGGGAAACTAAACCATGTCCCAGAGTCTCTTCCAAAAGGGCGCTGCCATACCTCCACATCTTTAGGAGGGTAAAGATGAGATCTTCCACGTCGTTGATTGTACGCTTACTGGGGATCGTCGACTGCCGGCTGTCGGTGAGCCCAAGGAAGTTGATGATCAGGACTAAGCTTCTCCAATATATTGGTCAGTGTAAGGCCACCTCCCTAGGTGCTGTTTCAGATGCTTCGTCAGGTATTATAAAGTTCAACTTTCAATGTGAATGATTCGGAAGACATGCTTCATCCCGACCACAGTAGATTCAAGCTTGATACTAGTGAACGTGGGAAATAATATTCCCTACGATACCAGAAATTTTCATTGGTTTGAAGACTTAAGTCTCGATTCTGATATTGTCCATTCCCCAACTACAATCGCGCTTTATCTTCACTTTCCAGTAGTTGAAGCCCCGTGATTTTCTCTAGCTCCTTCACTGCGTCCTGTGTCTTTCCAAGGGTAACTCTGACGGTGTGCAAGCCTGCGCGCTTTGCCGCCTTCAGATTCTCGCCAATGTCATCAAAGAAAAAGATATCACCGGCAGTAGCCCCGGCAAACCCGCGCTTCTTAGCGAGGGAATCCATCTCTTGGATGGCAACCTGGTATATTCTTGGATCTGGCTTTCTCAGCCCTGTATGCGCCGAGGAAATGAAGAAGTCAAACTGTGACCTGAGACCAGACGCATCATTATTGTAAGGATGGCCCTCTGGAAACTTGATGGTGTTGGAGAGAGCACCAAGGAGGAATTTACCCGAGGCCCTCAGCTTTTTCAAGGCAGGAAACATGTAAGGGTCTGGCGCGCGCGATACCCTCATCATTTCCCAGAAGAGCCATTCCGCGTCGACCTTGGGCAGTGGAGGCACGGTCACTGTGCCACTTAGGCCTTTCTTTTTATGCTGCTGTTCGTGGAACTGTTTCCACAACGTGAGGTTGCAGAGATCCTCGTTGAAAGCCGCAAAGAAATTGGCGTCCATAGGGATCTCGCCCCGCTCTATCCTATGCCAGCTGCCGTTTGGCGAGGTCCGGGAAATGCTGAAGTTCACCCATCCCGGAGGAATATTGTTGGATAGCTCGTAGTCGAGGATTGCCTGGAATGGCGAGACAACCTGATCTTTATCAGCTTTGCTCTCTTATCGAGCCCGACTGACTTACACACACTCCTCCGATGTCAAAGAGGAGACAGACTGGCCGATGGTTTCCTCCCATGTCAAATGGAGTGTAAGCCCAGTACCTTTTGTCAGATCGAAAAGTAGGTTATTGAGAGATTAAGAGACGATGGGGGCTGCTAAACGCCGGATTGGAGCTCTGCCGGAGAAGTTGCTCTAGTGCGAGTTGCCGAGGTCCTGGAATATGGGGGTGGAGGCCGAGGATATAGTACCCCGAGGGTCTCAAGAGCCAAAGTTATCAAACTTACCCTGGAAATTTACAGTATGGACGTGAGTGGGCTAGAAGAAAGCATTTTCTCATTTTATTCCAAATTCCAAAATATCTTAACCAGCATGCTCCCATCCTGTCTCTGAGCAGGGGCTGACACGGTACACGTGATGTTATCGTTATCGATAAAGACGCGTTTTCGAACGAAGCCATCATTCCGTCAACAACAGAGTCCCATGAAACAATGAAATGATGGACTCGACGCGGACGATCTCTGAATTGAAGTCGGCTTTTCTACGAGGCCAAGTACGTATTCTCTCAGAGAATCTCGAGCCACCCGAAGACTGGAGGCACTATGCAGTGGAGATCAACGACGACGAACTACCAGACAAGGTAATTGAAGATGTTCTACACAAAGGTACATTAACTCATGTCGTTCTCGACAACATGGCCCTCGTTGCAATCCCTTCCCTTGGCCATACTAAATCCTAGTGCAGTAAACCAGGCGGCAAAACAGCACAACCGAGTTGTCTACTCTTCCCAGGCAATCCATCATGTTGCCAACCAGATTGCCAGTCTCTATTGGTCCTCAGTCAACCAGGAGGCGCAGAACAACAGTGTGTCTGCCAATGGTGTCGATAGGACCGCAGATCTCTCGAGACAAGTGTATGCTCACTAGCCCTATCAATGCTTTGGAAGCCATGCGCTGATATACTTCAGGAGCATTACCAAACTGCCTCAGGATTTAAATGGCCAAGGATCGAGCAGCGACGAAAACGAACGGTGAGCGCTTGCGGCCACTTATCCAAGCCGCCAATTGGCTTTTTGGCTAACTTGATTGTCCAGGTACCGGCTGCTACGAGAGAAGCTCGTCAGTCTGGATCAGCAACGTCAGCAGAAGCAGCGACGCTTGGGCCAACTCAGATATCTTCAAAAATTACTTGAGCCCTTCAACAAACCACAGGAGAACATTCAGCCGAATCTTGTTACTCGCGACGGAGAGCTTGCACAGGAACTCGAGAGGATGCGCATGCTCGTCGCGCGGGTTGGCGGAAGGATTGCACAACAGAAGCCCAGGGGTGACATCCAAGATGGCGAGTACTCACTACCAGGATCAAGTAAACGGCTAGAAGCTTTGATGGACGCTGGGGTATGAATTGACGAATTGATTTAACGAACTCTTCTTGGACCATGACAACCCTTGTATATTTGAACTATCGTGGTCCATGCGGTATGAAAGCTCTTACACCGTGTGAACATATTATAATCATAAATTGAGTACAGTGGGAGGCTCTCTACGTTCCTCATGAATCAGCCGTCAGGTACTGCGAGAGGCGGATTTCTATTCTAAGGGAGCCCGCATGCATTGACAGCGGGAATAGGAAAGCGCTCTGGGAAGCTTGAAATGGCAGGACTAAATAAGATGCAAATGTCTGGGCTATCTATTGTAGCAGGAGCGATTCATGAGGGGGAGGCCAATTCTATGGGATTCCGCTGGCTCATTCAAGTTTCGCACTCTTCATCGTCATTGACTTCCCGGATCGCCGGCTATCCTCACACTTCGAGTCTCTCGGACTCGTCTGAGTTCCAAATCTGGGTTCGTGCCGGTACCTAGACCCCTGGAGACAAAAAGGCCATGTGTGAATAGGATCACAGCCCCGTACCCTCCTGTATGTATCGATGAGCTCTCTGAACGCACTGGATAGGATGAAAAGGCTGGTTGGGCTGGAAGGAGGCGCTAGCCCGATTTGGGATGGCGCGCGAGACCACATCAGCGAGAGCACCATCGTCGATGTTGACCACTGCTCCGACGCCGTTGATCCCCCTGTTGTTCTCGATTGCGCCGCCATCATCGAGGGTGCTACGCCTTCTTCGCCTTCTAAGGCAACGTTTACCCGTGGGCATCGCCGTCGCTCCACCCACGTCACTCGCCGGGACCTGGAGAAGTTTCAGAAGGAGGTCCTGGGTGTGGAAAACCACGCCGCCTGGTACGACGAGGAAAACGGCTCCTCGCGACCGATCAATCCCAACGATCCGCAGCTGGAAGAGTTGAATCGTGCCTTTGCGCGCGCTGATATGTCCATGAACAGTGGTCCTGGAATGTCGGGCAACCCCCCCTCGGGCATGTTCTCCGGTTACGTCGACGGCTCCCCTGGCACGCCCAACATGGCAAACATCCCTCGTCCACCCGTCTCTCCTGCACTCTCTCACCAGGGCTCCCAAACTAACGGCGCCGGGATGGCGGCTATGAATGGCGCCATGCCGTTGAATGCCGGCCATCAGATGGATCTGCATCATCTCTACGATATGGTGCTGGAGCTGAGTGAGGTTTTGAAGAACAACCGTGAGGTCACCAAGAACATCGTCACAAGCGCCGAGGAGATCATGGTATGTTTGCGCGCTCTGATTAAACGCATATCCAATTTGCCAATTTGGTTGGAAGCTAACTTGCAGCCTATCTTCAGAAACATGGTTCCTCCGAAACGGCAAGCCCTGCGATGCAACAAGTCAATGGCGAGATAACAGGTAGGCATCCCACAAGGCGCGATTGTCTAGCGATCAATTCAACGAGACCTCAGTTCTAACATTCCTATTTGAAGCAACCCGGATCCTGGAACTCGAACGTGCGCTCGCCAAAGAAAAGCGACTTGTGGAGGAGCTCAAACAAGAACGACAGGAGAATGCGAAGCTCATTGGCGAATATGAGGCCGGAGTGGGCACTATGGTTGAGCAGATCCGAAACTATTGTCAAAACAACAATATGCACTATCTCTACCAGAAAAATCACTATAACAACCTCTTGCAAACCGAACGAGACGCCCACCTCGAGAGCCGCCTCGACCGTGACTATTGGCACGCCCAAACCATGCGTTGCGCAGAAATGATCCGCACTGCACACCGCTTGCGATCTGAGGAAGATGCGTTACCAATCCGAATCGTTGCGGGGCTCCAAAACGAAGTCCGAGCTTACCGCCACGCCTTAGGCATGGAGCCTGAAAAGCCAGAAGACGAATACGGTTGGGAAATTCTGCGCGACCTATCTAGCGCGGAATAGATGTTCTAATTCCGCTTGAGCCCGGGGGAGCGACATAATTCCGGGACTGACGACATTTTTCCATTATCATGTGATTTTGTGGGTAGCATGGAACTTGAAGGCGTTTATATATCCTTGGAGGGATTGGATGGCGTTTTCTTTTCTTTTCTTTTTCTTTTTGGATTCTCGATTTTACTTCTAGGAGGAGGGCCGGAGGGCCAAAGGGCTAGAAATTATGGCATGTCTCGTTCAATACCTTGCTGCAGATACCCGGTTTTTTTGTGTTGCAGTGCATTATTGCGTATGGATCGACCGGGGAGGGGGAGGATGAATGGAGTATGTGCATTGACGATCACTTTTGGGGAGACCCAAGTGGTTCTTAGCCCAAAGCCGCTAGTCTGCAAATTTGCAGATTCGCTCCTTGGCTGCTGTTTCTTCTGCGAAATCGGCTCTTGTTCTTCTTTCCCCACATTATCCCGCATTTTGGGACAGCGCTGAGTCAGTCATCAGGTGGTTTTAGCCGACGACTCTGCCAATATGGAGTGCTCGGTTGTAGAAGGGCCTCTCCTCGTAGCCGTCTGAGTTTTCAATTACTTCGTTCTGGTGTATTAATAATACGAATGAACTAACTAGTTAACTAACTAGTTAGCTTCTTTGGCAGTAATCGTTGGGTTGCTACCTCACGTGGTGTAGTGGAGACTCCATCCATAGTTCTTCTACAGTCGATGACCGAAACGGCTTCCACAACTGGGTTATGTCACCGGAGAACCTTGGACTTCATCCGGGGTTGACTCCATGGGTTTTTTTTTTTGCCCCCTAGGTCTTACCCCCTTTCCTTCTCTCCCCCTGATAATGTCGCCACCCGTCCTGCCGGTGAATCCCTTTGGTCATCTGTAACTAGACCACCCTCGCCTTAGTCACCATCGATACGGTCGCATTCTCATTCGATCCGCTTCTCTTGGAAAACGAGTGCCGGTTTCTTGAGAGAAACGGTGAAATTGCCGCAAGAGTCCTTTATTCAAAGTGGGGGAGATCAGCCCAGCCATGCGTCATCCGATCTAGTTAGTTAGGGCACTCAGATCATCCGTCATTATATTCCGCGCCACACTACTGGTTTGCCCTTCATAGCGCTGGACGTCCGGCAACTTCACAACAACCACAACCGAACAGTGAAAGGGAGCTCAGCATGGAGGGCGTTCAGACGGTAGATGTGAGCTGGCTCCATCACTCGCAGAAAGGTAAAGACCCTGCTCTAAACCCCCACGCGATGGGCGGCTGGGTCCGGGGCTCGGATCCTCCAACGCCCGCCTCCGCGCAAGGGAAAGATGCAGTGTAAAGAAAAGCAATGGCTGACAGTCTGATTACTAGATCACCTCTCCCGCACCAAATCTGCTTCCTCGAACTCTGGCGACAACAAGCCCGTCAATGGCAATGATACCACCACCCCTTCCCACAAATCTCACCGGCGGAATCGATCCAATAGTAGTCCCGCCCGACCTCCGAGTGAACCCCGAGAGCCAAATGGGTCAAGAGAGCCCGAAAATGGTCTCCCAAAGATAGATGAGAAGCCATTATCTGTGGATATCCCTCTACCGCCTGTAGACACAAAGCTCGACCCGAAAATCTTGGCTGCGTCGGGTCCGCCACCGAAATCAAGTCCGAAGCAAGTCAATGGGCGCCGAAACTCATGGATATCTACTATATCTTCCAAATTCTCCTCTGGGTCCACTCCTCCGTCCCAGTCGAGCTTGAAGGGAACTCCTGCTAGTCCAAAGGCCACGTCGCCCATGGATATGCACAATCCGTTCGGAGCCGCCTATTCGCCTGGTGAGAGGGATCTCGAGAAGAAAGACGATCCATCCAGTTCAACAGTATCGACATCCCCTAAAGGACCCTCCTTCCTGCACAATGCGCTCAGGAAGCTATCTTCCAACTCTGGCGGATTACCAAAGATTCCGCCCAACGTGAAGTGCCCTCGACGTATCATGAACCTTGACCAAGATCGAGATCGGTGCAAGATCTCGGACTTGAATCAAGCGAAGCTGAAGCGTGTGGCTTTTTGCGTCGATGTGGAAATCGCAGGGATATCTCATCATGATTCTGATGAAGACGCTCCTCCAACAAATCAGTTACGCCAATCCCTAGCCGAACACAACCGCCAAAAAGCAAAGAAGGCGGAGATCAAGGACAAGGCGAAAGAGGAGGTGGGTGCTGCGAAAAATACCCACTCTGCAGTAGCAGAGAAGGAAGATCCGATGCCAACAGCAACGCCAACGCCTGTTCCAACCCAAGCTACCGGTCCGTCCGATGCTCCAGCGTCAACCTCACCTCCCGAACCCGAAACGCCCGCGGACAGCAAGCCGAATGGCGAAGTGAAAGAAATATCGCGCAAAGCCGAGAAGAAGAAGCGTTCGGAGGAGGAGAGAAAGGAGCGCAAAGAGCGCAAACGGAGACAAGCTGTGGCCAATGGCACTATTCCATTGCAGCTCGATGCTGAGCATGATGAGGAGGACTCCCGCCCACCGTCTCCCACGGGCTCTCGCTCCAAGACTCAAAGCCATCCTACCACGGATCCTGTGCGTATCTACCGCCGATGTTGCCAACTGCGCGAGACACCCGTTTTGAAGCGAGTCGTTGACGAGATCTCTTCACCTTCATCGACTCTTGCCGAATCTCCTGGTACTGTCGCTACACTTGATCTGAGCAACTTCCCCATGACGCTTCAGGATATCTCAACCTTAAGCGATTGGCTCGCCGTGGTCCCGGTTCGCAAGTTGCTTCTTGAAAGCTGCGCTCTCACCGACGAATCCGTGCGGGCTATTCTCTCTGCATTATTATCTACGAAGACTGTAGAGCAAATGCGCTCGAGAAGGCGACGAGCTCGCAGATTCGAGGCCTCCGTCATTAAGGAAGAGCGCTGGGGTGTGGTGGAGAAACTCTCGTTGAAGAACAACCCGAAGATCGGCCGCGAAGGATGGCGCCATATTGGGCTTTTCGTCCATCTATCCAAGTCCTTAAGGGCAATCGACTTGTCTGGCATACAGTTCCCAAAGCCACGAGTCGTCTCTGCTGGGTCAACTGGGCCTACCACGGCTGGATCCGTTGGCCCAGATGTCTGCGACACTTTCGCATGCGCCCTTGCAGAAAGATTCCACGGTGACCATCTGGAGGAGCTTCTTATGAGTGAATGCAGACCTTCTACTGAGCAAATCAAACGGATCTGCGAAGCGACAACGAAGATGGGACTTCGACGGTTGGGTCTCGCGAACAATGATCTGACCAGGGAGAGCTTGGAGCATGTTGTCAAGTATATGCAAGATGGGAAGTGTGAGGGACTCGATCTTGGAGGCAATGCGCTCAAAGACGATCTTGATCTTATCATTGAGGCCATCGAGCCGGAGCAACCTCTTTACGCCATTAGCTTGGCTGATTGCGGACTCGATTCCTCGGTCATATCGCCTCTACTGCAAGCCCTTGCTCGACTTCATAATCTTCGCTTTATCGATTTCTCTCACAATGCCCTACTATTCACAGGACAGCAAAGCGCTCTGGGTGTCTTCAGACGCTTCTTGCCCAAGATGCCATCGCTTAGACGTATTCATCTGGCAGATGTGAATCTTTCCCCCGACCATGTCATTGGACTCGCGGAGGTCTTGCCGGAGTGCCCCGTTCTCTGCCACCTGAATATTTTGGAAAATCCTCAAATTACTGCTTTGGCGTCAGCTGTTGATCCAGCAGTTCAGGAAGAGGCTTGTGCCGTCTATGCTTCCATGATGGCTGCTGTGCGCGTATCTAGGACAATCGTCGCAGTGGATATTGAAGTCCCGACTGCGGAGAATAACGAAGTTGTTAAGGCACTTGCGTCCCAAATCGTCGCCTACTCGCTTCGCAACCTCGAGGGAAGTGCGATTGGCGAGGAGATTACGGGACCACTTGCGCCATTGGCCGACAAAGACGTCGTTGTGCCAGAAATCCTACAGCACATGGTGGGACATGCCAGCGGCACGGAAGAAACGGTGGACGATGACGACGAGGCTGCGCCAGATGAAGATTACGTCCTGGGCGGCACAGGTGTCGTCAAGGCACTCGGTGTCTGTCTTGGAAATCTAGACCACCTTGGGGATGCTGGAGAGGTTTCTGCGCCGCCTAGTGGCGCCAACACACCTAGGCGTCGGAAGTCAAGAGGTGTTGTTACCAAGAGACCTGGCGATATGTCGAAAAATCTTCTCGAGTCAGCTCGTAATATTCGCGCTCGCATCCAGACTGCCCTCATCCGCGAGGATCGGGCGGGTAACGATGCCAGCTACAGTATGATTTACCCCCGTCCTTGTCCAAATGCTCACAATACTGATCATCATCGTCATCTTCACAGGACGTCTCCAATTTTTGGACATGACTTTGCAACGCATGATCCAGCGCTTCGAAGACGAGTACCCCGAAACGCGCCTTGCTTCTCAACCTGCACCGCCCTCTACTCCTCCGGATACCAATTCTCAACATTCTGGCGAGGACCTCTCAGCTATGGCCACTAGTGCCAATTTGCATGGCAGTAGCGCAGACCACGAGAACGCTGTGGACGATGAAGATGCCGACAATTTCGACATCACCCTCTCTCGTAGTAGCTCTATGACCTCGCTGCATGCCCGCGCCATGACATCGGAAGAAGGCCATGTCCATCGAATTGGCCAACATCTTCGGCGCGACTTACTAAATCCCCCCTGCTAGCCAAGGTGATGGTGATGAAGATGACTACTCCCACATTCTGGCACTCCGCGAAAAGCTAGAGCGCTTGCAGGATCGGCAGTCTCAGTCACCATTCGAAAGTGCCGAAGCTGAGCGTACGTTTGCAGAGCTCGGTCATACCGTCGATGAACTCTGGGCTGCGAGAAAGCAAGATGCTGAGAGCTTTGAGAGATTCAAGCAGTCGCAGATCGCAGCTCAGATCAACAGTGGGCTGCGCCGTGCTACTTCTGTGTCCAACGGTCACGGTCCACAAGGGAAGAACGACTCCCCGGACAGCGACTCTCCACCATCTTGAGATGATTATCGGCTTATGAATGTAGTCTATACAAATGTCCTCCTTGACTGATTCTATTTTGAAAGCGTTCTCGTATGTATATACCTCATTTCTTTTTATTCGTATATTAGGCCCATACCCAGCGACAGCAATGTATCTTTCGTTTTGTCCTTATCTTCATAATTTCGCAAATGGTCAACATAGTGTGATGAGTCTTGTCCATCGTAGAGCACAAGGATTGCAAACCAGTGACTCAGGCCCGACGAGACAGTCTGCACATTCGGCCTGGATACATATACCAGTACTAGCAGGGCCTAAGGACGTTTAGCTCATATACAAGTAGAGCCTTAGGAGGAACTTGCAGGTACAGCGATGTGGAGGCGGTGGAGCCAACTAGACTTCCTCGGCAGGATTTCCCCGGGTTTATCACATGTGAGCGGACATCGTCATTACGCAGACTCGACTCCAACTCCCTCTCCTCTCAATTACAGAACGTCGCGATCCTCGGTCATGCCCGTACCCGACTCTGGTTGATCCGTCGAGTCGTCATGGCTGCTCAATCTAAGCTGATGCCACCCGACCGTTCCGTGAAACAGATCCTCTCTAGCCTCACCTCCTTGTACCTCCGCCACCGCACCAACATCTCCCGCGGCGTCTATCTCGCCCTCTTTGCTGCTCTTGCAAAGCGAATCCACAATGCTATATCCGAGCAAAAAGCCGCCTCTAAGCAGATCGAGTTGCGGAGGCGACCGGGGACCCAGAGCCTCGGCGATGACGAGCAGCCGCGCAAGAAGCGGGTCGAGATCAACCGCGAGTTTTTCACCAAATTGCTTCGGTTACTGCGGATTGTGATCCCGGGATGGCGTAGTAAAGAGCTACGTCTTTTATTGAGTCACAGTGTGTTCCTTGTGCTGCGCACGCTGCTGAGTCTGTATGTTGCTGAGCTGGACGGCAGGCTGGTGAGCAACCTTGTGCGAGGCAAGGGCAAGGACTTCTTGCTCGGACTTGTATGGTGGATGCTTGTGGCTATCCCTGCTACGTTCACTAACTCGATGGTGGGTGTTCTTTCAGTCCCAGTTTTGCAACGAGGAGGCGCAATACCGAGGCTAACTTGCATCTTCTTTTACCTAGCTTTCATATCACCAATGCCGACTCGCTCTCAGCTATCGGAAACGCTTGACGGATTACATTCACGAGAAATATTTATCTAATATGACTTTCTATGCCATCTCCGCGCTTGACGACCGCATCAAGAATCCTGACCAGCTGGTCACAGTGGATGTGTCTCGGTTTTCGGACAGCCTGGCGGAGTTATACTCCAACCTCGCTAAACCCATTCTCGACATGGCCATCTACAATTACTCCCTTTCGAAGAACGTCGGCGGAGAGGGGTTATTCATCATGAGTCTGCTGGTGCAGCTTTCCGCGAACGTAATGCGCATGCTGACGCCGCCTTTCGGCAAGTATGTTGCCGACGAGGCTCGTTTAGAAGGAGAGTTTCGCTTCCTCCATTCCAGGCTTATTGACTACAGTGAGGAGGTAGCTTTGTACCATGGTCACGAGGCCGAAAAAGATACCCTGGATAAGGGGTATTTCACATTAATTAAGCACGTGAACCGGATCCTGCGCCGTCGCCTGTACCATGGATTCATGGAGGACTTTGTGATCAAGTACTTCTGGGGTGCTCTGGGTCTGATGCTATGTAGTGTGCCTGTTTTTTTTAAGGTTCCAGGACAGGTCAATCACAGCATGAGCGACCATACAGAGAGTATGTTCCCCGCTCTCCTTGTCATACGAACTGAGTCCTGACCAGTCCTAGGTTTCGTTACAAACCGACGAATGCTTTTATCATCATCGGATGCCTTTGGCCGTCTTATGTTCTCCTACAAGGAGATTTCCGAGCTTGCCGGCTTCACCGATCGGGTCTCATCTTTACTAGAAGTCATGGATGATCTTGTCGCCGGGCGATTCGAGAAGAAGCTCGTATCCTCAGCATCGACAGAGGAGAACGCAGCCGTGCTTTCGGGCCGCGGCGAGGTCTCAGAGAGTGAATCTATCGAGTTCACCGATGTTCCCATCGTCTCGCCGAACGGCGATGTCCTGGTTCGCAAACTTTCCTTTACCGTCCACCCAGGCGACCACCTTCTGATTGTCGGTCCCAATGGGTGCGGCAAATCATCGCTCTTCCGTATTCTAGGCGGTCTCTGGCCTGTCTACGGTGGATCAGTCAAGAAGCCCAGCTTCGAGGACATCTTCTACATCCCGCAGCGGCCGTACTTGTCCCGCGGCACTCTGCGTCAGCAAGTCATCTACCCCGATGGCGTGCGCGAGATGCGTGCGAAGGGGGTCACTGATGCGGATCTGTTTGAGATCCTCTCCATCGTGGAGATCGCCTCGGTAGTGGACCGCCCTGGTGGCTGGGATGCGGAGGAGGAGTGGCGCGATGTGCTGTCCGGAGGCTTGCAGCAGCGGATTGCTATGGCGCGTCTGTTCTATCACCGACCCAAGTTTGCTATTTTAGATGAGTGCACGTCCTCTGTAACCCTCGAGATCGAGAAGGTTATGTACGAGACTGCCAAGAAGCTCGGCATCACTCTGATGACCGTGTCGCATCGCCGGAGTCTCTGGAAGTACCACCAAAAGATCTTGCAGTTTGATGGGCAGGGAGGTTACGTGTTTACAGGGCTTGATTGGGAGCGCCGTTTGAAGCTTGAAGAGTATGTTCGGGTTCTTGCCCACCCCGTTTGAAACAAATGCTAACTCCTGTACAGCGAGAAAGAAGAATTGGACATTCAACTCCGGGCAGTTCCCGAGTTGGAACGTCGAGTTGCAGAGTTGACGGCGGCTTGAGCTGGTGATTTGTATTTCAACGAAAGACGCGCCCCATTGGACTGGAGCATTTTCTTTTCCCTTTTTTTTCTTTCTACATTCTGGGATGGAGCATGCGTCTTCGTTTTGTTCGATACCATCGGGAAATGATACATCATGTCTATATAAACCGACTCTCGCATGGACCAGCTCTACAACCCCAATTTGAGAGTCTACAGAAGGATGAGAGACCGCTCACAGTATCGGTAAAATGGAAGTTGCATCGAGACTCTAGAATCATGCCTCGGTTGACTTTCTTCGTTCGCCACCAGAATCCGCCAATCAGAAGCGGCAGAAGTGACAACGCCAAACCAGTTGATCGTGAACATCAGAACCTGATATCCACCGACCCACTATGATATCGCGGTCCCCTACGTCATCCGACGAATACCCTGTTCTGGATTGCCACGGGGTCTCCAGTTTAACAGTAGCAGCTCGCATTTTTCTTCACTTTTCTGCAAAACCCTAGTGTTTCCCCGGATTCTTTCCCATCCATTGTCATTTACATCTACGGGCAATAATGACGAACACCAACATGAATCCCGCCAATGAGCAGACCAAGCGCAAGATCATTATCTTCTCTGGTATGCTCCCCCCTTGCAAACTGGTCCACTCTAATGATTGCAATGGCGATCCATATACCAGAATAGGCAAATGAAGAGCCCAAACTAAACCAATCCCTTAGACTTCGATGGCACGATCTTCATGCAAGACACCGGGCACATCCTCTTCGACGCCCACGGCGTTGGCGCAGAAGGTCGCGCCGCCTTAGAAGCGCAAATGAAAACAGGCGAGCGTACCTTCCGCGACGCCTCTGAAGCCCTTGGGGCTCGCTCCGCGTCCCCTTCGAAGACGGCTTCGTGATCATGCAGCAGAAACTCGAGATGGACCCGGGCTTCCGCGAGTTCCACGCTTTCTGCCGCGAGAACGGGTACCCGTTCAACGTGATCAGCGCGGGACTGCGGCCTATTCTGAAGCGGGTGCTGGACCTCTTCCTGGGCGAGAAGGAGGTATGTAGATAGAACTCCCGGGCTGTTCCCGACGAGTTCAACCACGAGGGAAAAGCGAAATCAATGCTAATCGGTTACTCCAGGCCTCCTCAATCGACATCGTCGCTAACGACGCCATTATCAACCCGGACGGATCGGAGTGGAAGCCGATCTGGCGCCATGATACTGATACCGGACACGACAAGGCTCTTTCTGTCAACGAAGCGCGGGCGCAGGCGCAGGCACAATGCGAGCCTGATGAGATGCCACTGATTGTGTTTATTGGCGACGGGGTCTCGGACCTCCCGGCTGCGCGCGAAGCGGATGTACTATTTGCGCGGGAGAGGGTTAAGGCTCGAAGAGTATTGTATCGAGCATAAGATCTCGTATACTCCGTTTGATACATTTGCGGATATTAAACAGGAGATTGAGAAGATCGCGCGCGAGGACCAGTCGAAGACGGGTGGTGTTGGGAAACCGGTGCGGTATAACCCCCGGGCGAATATGTGGAGACGGATTTCGAGTAAAGAGGCTGTGAGTTCAACTGGGTTCTGGTTGTGAGAAGGAGGCATGGAGGCTGACCCTTTTTTCTTTTTACGCAGGTACCGCAGATTATGGCAGCTGCAACGCCGTCAAAGGAGGAGAAGATGTTCCTTTGGCCCGAGACGTTCTCGGAATACATCCCCAAAACTATCCAGGAAGACGAGGTCGCTCACTGAAGCCTTCGTTCTCTAATACGATTTGATTGCCTTGATGGCGATGTCTTCCTTGATGACTCGTGCATGGGATTGGAGTTTGGTTTTAAATCCCTAGCATGCTTTCATCCTCGTTCAGAGCCCGAGTCTTTCATCTTTTATAAGTTTCTTCCTAATGCAGCACGATATAGACCTAGAGCTGCGATATGAGGTTTTGAACTGGGCATATAATATTTTACTATGAGGCTATATTTAGATTGTGCAAACTCCTCAATCTCAAAACATACTACCATTATATCCTTACGACTAACGAGCATCTAATGCAAGTCTTCACCATGTCACTTACGATAAAAGATTGATTTGAATGAATGGCGCTGCTTATGAAATATCAAGAGAAACTAGAATCGTGCATATGCGTACGAAAAGGGACCGGATAAGCATGACTTTAAAGCCCCACGGACCCTAGTCCTTGACCGCCAACGGCTCCACATTCCAAATACTGTCCGCGTACTCGTTGATGACCCGGTCAGTCGAGAAGAAGCCCATCCGTGCGACGCTTGCGATGGACTTGGCAATCCATTCCTTCTGGTTCTGGAATTCCTGGTCGACCACTGCGTGGGCAGCGATGTAGGAGTTGAAGTCATCAGAGACAAGGTAATAATCACCATGCTCCTCGATGGAAGCTGTCAGTGCCGAGAAATGAGCCGCATCGCCAAACATATTGCTCTTGATGGCGTCGAAGACCTTGGCGAGCTGCGGATCTAGCTGGAATTCGCCGTAGAAGTGGCGGTGTCGGAGCTCTTCTACGTCCTCCGCAAGGTTGCCGAAGAGGAAAATGTTTTGCTCGCTGATCTCGCGAGTAATCTCAATCTGGGAAGGAAAGTCAGTATGGAGTCTTTGAACACATGTCAAGGTCCCGGGGTCGTACGTTAGCTCCATCACAGGTACCAATGATGAGGCCACCGTTGAGCACAAACTTCATGTTACTGGTACCACTGCCCTCCGTGCCAGCGGTCGAGATGTGCTCGCTGATGTCGGAGGCCGGGCAAATGACCTCCGCCTTGCTGACGTTGTAGTCCGGGATGAAGATCACCTTGAGAAGGTCACCAACATCAGGGTCCTTGTTCACCACATCGGCTACCTTGTTGATGAGGTGGATGATGGTCTTGGCCATCCAGTATCCCGGGGCGGCTTTTCCGCCAAAGATTGAAACTCGGGGCACAACCTTCTTCTTCTCTTCCGCCGACATGCCTTTGATGGTCAAGTAGCGATGAATCACGCCAAATATGTTGAGTTGCTGGCGCTTGTATTCGTGGATTCTTTTAACCTGCACATCGAATAGAGCATCGGGGTTGACCGTGTAGCCAGTGGTCTCTTTGATGAGCTGGGCGAGCCGCACTTTATTTCTAGACTTGATCGCTGCCCATTCCGTTCGGAACTCCTTGTCATCGACAAAAGCTTCCAGCTTGTCCAGAAGAGTAAGGTCAGTCAAGAATTCATGACCCCCGAGTTTCTTTGCGATCAACGCAGAGAGCTCGGGGTTGGCTTGATGCAGCCATCGTCTGGGGGTAACACCGTTGGTAACGTTGGTGAAACGGTCAGGTCCATAGATCTCGACAAAGTCTTTGAATAGAGTTGTCTTGAGCAGATCAGAATGCAGTTCAGCGACACCATTGACCTTGTGAGATCCAATGATAGCCAAATAGGCCATCCGAACCATCTTGGGATGCGACTCCTCGATAATGGAGACGCGCGTCAGGAGGTCCCGATCATTCGGGAAATTCCTCTCAACATACTGCAAGAAGAATAGGTTGATTTCATAGATGATCTGGAGGTGGCGGGGAAGCAGGTTCTGCATCAGCGGAACAGACCATTTCTCCAAAGCCTCTGGAAGAACAGTATGGTTCGTGTATCCGAAAGTCTTGGTCACGATTCGCCAGGCCTCGTCCCATTCCAGATCCTCAATGTCAACCAAGATACGCTGCATTTCGACAATTGCCAGGGTCGGGTGAGTATCATTCAGTTGGATTGCGACCTGGTCTGGGAACTCGCTCCAGGCTCGCTTCGTCTTCTTGAACCGACGCACAATATCAAACAGAGAGGCCGCACACCAGAAGTACTGCTGCTTCAGCCGAAGCTCTTTGCCTCGTTCCAGGTTATCATTGGGGTAGAGCACCGCCGATATAGTCTCGGCTCGCTGCTGGTCAGCCACGGCACTTTCGTAGTCGCCTGCATTGAATTTCTGGAAATCGAACTCGCCAGTGCTTGCCTTACTGGACCACAGCCGAAGGTTGTTCGTCGTCTTTGTTCCGTACCCAGGAATGGGCACATCATAAGCCACGGCCTGGACAATCTCGCCGTTTTCCCAGAGATGCTGGACCTTGCCGTTCTGGTCTTGCGTCTTGCGGACGGTGCCGTAGAACTGAATGTCGACTGTGACGTCGTGGCGAGGGAATTCCCACGGGTTGTTGTCAAGCCAGTAGTCGGGGATTTCGACTTGATATCCGTCGATTATTTCCTGCTTGAAGATACCATAGCGATAGCGAAGCCCGTAGCCCCAAGCTGGATAGTTGAGAGTGGCGAGACTGTCCAGGAAACAAGCAGCTAAGCGGCCAAGGCCACCATTGCCAAGTGCTGCATCGTGTTCCTGGCTGATGACATCCTCAATACGGAATCCGAGATCCTTCAGTCCATCTAGTCATCGTTAGAGGCAGCCTCATAGGATCATTTTCTTGAGATACAAACCTCGAGCGGCTTCCTTCTGGCCCACATTGAGCATGGCATTGTCCAGAGCACGGCCCATGAGAAATTCCAATGACAAGTCTATAAACATCCAATAGTTAATTCGAGGTAAGGCAATTTTCCTTTTTTTTTTTTCTTCCTTTCTTCCCCTTTATTTCGAGAATTTGTTTGAGGCTACGTACAGTACACTCGCTTCTGGTCATTGAAGGTCTGGCGCTGCTGCGTTCTATTCCATTCGATGATAAGCCGATCACGGAACGCGAGGGCTGTTCCCGAGTAGGCCGCACTGTGAACTTTACATTAGCACAGCAGAAAGTAGACACCAGTAAGAAATGTGCAGCTCACTTGTCATCACAGTTGTATAGAGATCGAGCCAGGGTGGTCTCGATGTGGCGCACCAGCTCTTTCTGGCGCGGCATTAGTATGTCGTGATCGCATACCTTCGAGATTTCGGGAGGGGGGTGCTTACTTCAAACTGCTCTTTGCTGGTGAACTCAGAAGCAGACTATTCACGAAGATCAGATTTCGACCAGCTCTTTCCCGAGCGACCTCATGGGGGCATGTCGCTTACATGTTTCCGCCATCTGGACCGAGACACATTAGCCTGGGATAGTCCGCTTTGGGGAAAAGGGAAAGGAACTCACGCCTCTCGCAGCTGCTCTGGGATGCTCGCTTCGACGGTCTTGATATCATTGGCCCCGAAACCGGTAAATGTACGCTTGTGCTTAGGACGACTGAAACCAGGGCCAATGGGCCCTTGGAGGTCGGCGATAGGTGCGCCAATAGATGGACGGCGTTCTCGGCCAGGGGACGACATGTTCAATGAATTATGTGCAGGGACAAAAGGAAGAGATCAATGAGCGGAGAACAGAGGGGGGGGGAAGGAAAGAGGGGACATGTACTACAAGAGGTGAGAGGGGTCGGACTGAAAGTGCAGGGCATGTTGCCCGAGCCAAGATTGCCCAATCCGGAATTGCCAGCAGATTGGTCCTGCTAATCTAAGAGTCGCATTACTATGACCATCTGCCCATAAGTCCCATGGCTTCGGGCTCCGCAATGGCCTGATGAGCAGGTGATTCCCGTAGAGCTTATGTGGGGTAAAGGGCTAGATCTGATTACCCGTGCGATCCGTGTACCCCCAAAGGTTTTCCCTTCCAAGGTTGGTGGCAAGCAGGGGTTGAGGGGGTTGCCCTGGCACGAATTGGGGAAATTCGTTCTGGTGCCCGTCATGCCACCGGGATGCACCCACGGTATGCAGGATGATGTGCTGATCCGGGGACGAAGCTATGGAGGACCCACCGTGGAGTATATTTCCATCCCCGGCTCCCGGCGAGAAAGTATCCATCTCGTCATGACTCGATCTTGAGATTCATGCGAAGACGAAATCTGACTCGTACAGAACCAGATCTTACGACCCTACCATCTCTAACCTGCGTATTGCACCCGCAACCCCAATGCTCTTGTTTCTCGTCGATCGGCATGCATACCGGCTGAGACTAGTAAAACAGTTGGAAACCCTTTGGTTATAGGGGAGCTGACTTTTACTTGGGTATCACTTACATCTCCGGAGATACTGTTCCTGAAGTTGCTTGTGGTATCTCTGATGCATCGGATGATTTCTAGGCTGTCCGCCCCAAGTTACTCAATACGACTAGTAGCTTTGCCCAGTTGCCTCCACAATATACATCGCTGGCACGGCTCTTGGTTCCATCCTCGCCGCAAGGATTTCCCAATCCAATAGTGCAGCCGACTCCTCCTAGTCCATTGGTAGTGTTAGTAGATACGAAATAAGTCATCCAGCATGCACGCTAGATTCAAACATTGCATTCGTGAACCTGCATAATTGTCCCTCGGCCAAGCACAACGCCGAGCGAGCCCCCTCCGATCAGGCTACCCTCGCGCCAGAAACGAGAAAAGGAAACCTCAAATACAAATCGAGAGAAAAGCAGCACATGCAGCTCGCTCAGAGATAAAGGCTTGTATGATCACGTGGAGGTACTACACAGAAACAAGGATTGGTACATAAAACATGGTCGGATAGAAGGGACAGCAAATCCACACCATACTATGCACGCCCAAGAGAGATCAGACAGTAAATAACACCGCAAAGGGTAAGCGCTTTGATTTTTTTCAAATGGAAAAAAAAAAACACGATGCTCCTGTCCTAGGCGGAGAACATAAAAAGCCAAGCCAGATGAAACTGGATTATTTCGTTCCTAGCCATGCCGGGTTCAAGATTTAATGAAACGTCCTTTAGAATGGAGTAGTGGAACAGCCAGATGCCTCCTGAATGATACCCGGCCAAGCGGAGTATCGCAAAAGCGCCTGGGATATTATTACCCTATGAATCATTTGCGCCGTGAACACCTGCAGCTAGCCCCAAAAAGGCAAAAAAGAAAAATCAATAGTTCGAGGGATATGATAGAGAGTCAGGTCGGAATGTGAGGGTTGGACCATCGGATATAAGAATGTCAAGATGCTCTTGGAGGGGGAGGGAGACGGAGGTAAGATCAAGGATCTGGAGGATTAGGAGGATTGAAAAAGAAGGCATAGTTGAAGCTGCCACAAAGCGGGGATCGAGTGCGGGGGTTGGACATTTCAAAGAATGCCGGAATCCTTTAATGCGTTCTGGAGAATGGTCTCTTTGACGGCGGCGAAGACCAGTCTGATATTGGTGGTATCGGTGGCTTGCGTGAGACTATCGGGAACGGTCAGACGCCATTCCGTCTCCGAGGCAACAAGGTAACTTACTGTGGGTATAGGTTCAGATGTTGACGATTTACTTGGTTGAATCGCCAAAGTAGATATTTGGCGGCACGGTTGACATCGTTGCCGCCGGAATAATCTGGGAAGTATTTGCTCAATGGAGAGCGGGGAAGCTTTTCCCGGAACAGATCGACCTTGTTGAGAAAAAGAATGATACTGGTGCGAACAAACCATCGTGAGTTGAGCACCGAGTCGAAAAGAACTAAACTCTCCATCATACGGTTCTTCACAAATTAGTATCCTTGCCCGAATGGTCGGAGGGTCACCCAGTCGTACCTGGTTGCTTTCCTCCAGCAAGGTTTGGTCATATTCACTAAGCGCCACGCAGAAAATAATCGACGTGACATTCTCGAAGCAGTGGATCCACTTCTTTCGTTCGCTTCGTTGGCCACCGACATCGAACATGCTATTCACGGGTCAGCCACAGTTGATGAGAGGGAGCGGGTAATTCCACATACTGAATACTCAATTGGCCCATGGTGAAACGCGTTTCATATATACCCGTGGTCTTAGTTCGTGCCCGTAGCACATCCGAGACATTTGGGATGTAGTCGCTTGCGGCTATTCGCTTCGCATGTTCGAAGAAGCTGATGTCGTGTTAGCACTTCAATCATGGACGCCAGCGCATTGAGGATTGAGGGTCGATTGTCGCTTACTAGGGGGCCGAATCCATCAAATAAAACTCATTTTGACGTTCTAATACCGTTGACGTACATGGGTCGTTCCATAAGTAAGTAATTGCATCGCCGACTTTCGGATCCAGCGGTGTATTGGGATCCGGGTCGACATGGTATTCGTCGAGGAAAACGATAAAATCTTGCACCTTTTGACTGGAAGGCTCGAGTTCGAATAAGCGGTATCCCTCAATAAGCGCTTTGGCACAGTCAAGAAGATTCTTATAGACGGTCAACCGGTAAAGGGTGAGTTCTTCGACGGAATATCCATTCTGATGGATAATCTTCATTTGCTTCACAATGGTCGATTTGCCGCTCTCGCCGGAGCCTGGTGTCAACCGGTCAGCTCCTACCATTACACCCGGATCAGCTGGTTATGAGCAACCTACCGAGCAAGAGAATCTTGCATTCCCTGCGTAACCTTCTCGAGTCCTCATCGAGCTTTCGATCAATCATCTGACTGTGCTTCTTCTGTTCCGCGTCCTCCGTGGACTCGGTACTAAAACAAATCCCCATGGTCACGAGCTGTGGTCGTCGACCAGCAGGGGAGTTGACGACTTGTCCACCCGCAGCCGCGATGTGGCGTCAGCCGAGATGGCCGAAGCCTGCGCTTGATTGGAGACACCACCCGCTACGAACGGAGGATGAATTCGGTGCGGCCCAGAGCGAACAAACAGTCGTGAAGCAGTTGCGACGAAAGGGATTGTCACAGACAGAGCACCGGAAAAAGGCGGATCGGTGGAGAGAGGCGGGGGTTTTGAAAGCGGTTGGAGCGGTTGAAAGGTTTCGTTGCGGCAAGCTGGGTGGACGGCGGCCAAGACCCCGACGGTTCCCAGCGGCAAAAGGGAGGGCGTGAAGGATGGGGGATTTCGGGGACGGGCGAGGGGGGCGGGGAGGGACGGAGAATAGAATCGCGGGTCGAGGGAGAGGTATAAAGAGAAGAAGAAAGACACTCACGAGCGAGGTAATAGTGCGCACATCGTCATGCTGGGGGAGTGGAGATGAGAGGAGATGGATGGGGAAATAAGAATCATCTTACAGTAATTACCGCCCTTCTGAGTTTTCTTACGAGGCCACCTGGGGCACTTTTACCACTGCCGCCCTTGGGGCGTAATCCGTAATTTTGAAGGACGCGCCCCGAACCAGCCCAGCGTTCTCTCCAGTGATAGGGGAGTCTCCACGGAGCCCTAAGAAAACGAAAATATTTGCCCAACGGCTATCCGGCACTACGGGGTGTATGGAGTCCATATGGTCGCTCCGTACCAGATGCCCTATGGAGAGGGGCTTGGGGACTGGGGGCGGAGTCCTGGGGGCCACCAATGTCATAACTCCCCTTGGCTGAGAGCCGCTTACCTTGAACACCAATTGACAGGGAGCGCCGTGATCCTGATGCCTGAAAGTAACTGCGTGAAACAGAGGCACACTCGACATGCAAATTCGGAGATTGAGGCTGAAAGGAACCTGATCATCCCATCCATATGTACATACAACGGGTGAGATTCCTGTCATCGAGGGAACAGTGCCCCAAAAATACCCACCGGAGCTTTAAGTGGAGAGTCGTGACGCACATGGGTGGCTTAACCCGCCTTGGCTCTCGTACCGGTACTGTACCTTCAATAGTGGACAATAGTCTCCACTGTATTGGTTACAGAGTATATTCGAGACCAGCCCTGCGATGAACTCTGGCCTCAATGGCCTAAACTGCAATCCAGGAATCGCATGGGTTTATCCGCAGATAGCTTGTCGGAAGTATCAGATGCTGTCCATGACCAGGATCTATGCTACGTCGTAGGTACCGTCTTCAACCATCCCAGAGGTGCGGTGAATGAAACGCTCCCGTCGATGTACACCCGAGATCTGCCTTGCCCCGATACTCGCTCTTAGTTCGCTCGTGTTCAGTAGCCTGTTACTAGTCAGAATTTATGGTTTGCCCTGGGAGCCCCCCTTTCGGGCAAGCAGAGACCTAAAACGGATAATTAGTGAAGAAAAAGAAAAGAAGAAGCCAGAGCCCTGCTAAGAAGGGGCAAAAACAAATGTAGGTCCCCGTCTCGTCTCCCCGTTGCTCCCATCCCCTGGCCAAGCCGACTGCAGCCCTGGAAAAGCCTTTGTTCCGTGCAGTAGCGTGTCCTCGATGTGTTTCACGCGACTCCGTGGTTCAAACGAACAAATCATTATGTTATGAGTGTTCTCTTTGCCTGTCAGACTCCCTGCTACTTCTTGGCGCTCGACGCGATGCGCCTGAAAGCTATCAAGTGAACAAAGTTGGGAGGGGATCATCGAGCTGTTTGGGGTGCTTTCGACAGACTGAGGGACTCCCCACGTGTACTACTGGTAACTGACAGGTACGAACAAGGTTCACGTGGATAACTCGATGGGCAAAGTAGCTTTGTCCAGAAGTTACCCTCTTTTTTAAACCCCAAGCATGGCGATCTAGCGGGTTCACAACGATCTCGGTCTAGACCTGATTGGGGAAGTCGATTGGAAAAGACGATCGCCCTCGCGGTGCGAGTCTCATGCCGAGACACAAGAACCAGCCAAAACATTGAAGAGGCCCAAGCCTGTCCTCGCCAATGGAACTGCGTCTGAAAACAGCATAACCCCAGGTGTGAGCGGGCTAAGCGCAGCCTAATCCAGAATCCCGACCCAAGGATTCCCAGTGTTCCCGATTCTCCTGAACCTGATATCTTCGGATCTTAATTGGCTCCGGATTACCAGCCCTGGAGAGCTGTCAGATTCCGAGAGGCTAGGGATTGGCCCCAGCCGATATGCTGAACCACATCTACTCTGACAGATTGGCGTGGGATGGACCAACGAAGTGGGTGTGGCGGTGGGAAATCTGGTCCGAATAGGCCTGGTCTGGCCCCGCGGTGGAAGGCCGCATGGTGGGTGGGAACCCTGATTGAGGGCACCTAGTTGTACGGAGCAAGTGCAACACTTCTCTGGAGGCACCACAACCCAACAACCGCATGGCAGGAAATCGTCATGGGCTACGGGCTATTGAGATAAGGAAATCTGCAATTGATATATTCTACGCAGTAAAACCAGAATAGACCCCTCAAATAAGGGTAAAACCCTGGCAGCCGTCCTCTTTTCTTGTTCCCCAGCTGAGTCAGCCGGCGCGGGAAACCTGGAACTTGCCTGGTCGCGGTCGCGAACGTCATCGTCCTTGTTTTCTGCACTTTTGCTAGAGCCCTTCCCCACATCACCATCCCACCACTCAGCCTGCCCCTTTCCCTGCTTGTCGTTCCCTGGCTTTGCTTTTTAGTGTTTCTACACTCTCCCTCTTCAGGTTCAACCACCCCCCCCCCCCTTCAACTCAACTGTATCGCACTGCTTGCATCGACAAGATGGCGGAATTCGTGCGGTCCCAGATCTTTGGCACCACGTTCGAGATAACCAGCCGGTTCGCATCGCCCGAGCGCTAAGGTGATTTTTGATTGCTGAGGATTTTTCAGGTATTCGGACTTGCAGCCCGTGGGCATGGGTGCCTTCGGACTGGTTTGGTATGCCTCTCTGTCCTTTCGACCCTCTGCTCGCCACTAAACCAGACGTGCCCCTTTATAGCTCGGCGCGAGACCAATTGACCGGCCAACCCGTGGCGGTCAAGAAGATCATGAAACCCTTCAGTACTCCAGTTCTTTCTAAGCGGACATACCGAGAACTGAAGCTGCTCAAGCATCTCCGTCACGAGAACGTACGTGCTCTCCTAGAATGCCCCACCTCCCGGTGCGGGCCTCGGTGATACGCGCCGAAGAGGCTGACCTCCCCCGGCAGATTATCAGCTTGAGCGACATCTTTATCTCTCCTCTCGAGGATATGTACGCCACCGAAACCCACCCAGCTTCGCATATGTACTAACAACTGCAGCTACTTTGTGACCGAGCTCCTGGGAACCGACCTCCACCGCCTCTTGACTTCTCGACCCTTGGAGAAGCAGTTCATTCAATACTTCCTCTATCAGATCCTTGTGAGCCTTGACACTCTATGCGACATTGGTGATGCTTCTAACCTCCAATTTAGCGTGGCTTAAAATATGTCCACTCCGCGGGTGTGGTTCACCGGGACCTCAAGCCCTCCAATATTCTAATCAACGAGAACTGCGATTTGAAGATCTGCGATTTTGGATTAGCGCGGATTCAAGACCCTCAGATGACTGGTTATGTCTCAACTCGGTACTACCGTGCCCCCGAGATCATGCTTACCTGGCAAAAGTACGACGTGGAGGTGGATATCTGGAGTGCCGGTTGTATCTTTGCAGAGATGCTGGAGGGAAAGCCGCTCTTCCTGGAAAAGATCACGTCAACCAATTCTCTATCATCACCGAGCTGCTAGGCACGCCCCCAGATGATGTGATCCAGACCATTTGCAGCGAGAACGTGGGTCGCTCTGTTTATCTTGCAATGCTTGGCCAGGAATTTACTTACAAATCTCTCCGTACAGACTTTACGGTTTGTCAAGTCCCTTCCAAAACGCGAACGCCAGCCTTTGGCGAACAAATTCCGAAACGCCGATGCCGATGGTAAGTGACTGGTCGCTCAACGTCTCGCTTGATGGGCGAGTTCTCGTTGTGGATATGGTCTAATTTTTATGTAGCTGTCGACTTGCTGGAGAAGATGCTAGTCTTTGACCCCAAGAAGAGAGTACGGGCAACGGAGGCGCTGGCCCATGAGTACCTTGCACCTTACCACGACCCTTCGGACGAGCCAACGGCCCAAGAGAAGTTCGATTGGTCCTTTAACGATGCAGACTTGCCAGTGGATACATGGAAGATCATGATGTGAGAACCAACGCATTGGATTTGTCTTTTTCTGACACGACATCTTCGCTAACTGCCATTCAGGTACTCTGAGATCCTGGATTTCCACAACATCGAGCAAGGAACCGAAGCTAGCCAAGCTCTGTTACCTGGCCAAGATCCAGCAGATGGGCCGCAGGCGTTTGCATAATCCTTTCTAATGAGAACCCCTTTCCTTAATTTTGTGTCGGTACCCAGCAAACGCCGGATCGTGATCCATATACCGGGAGAAATTTCCTGCAGACTTGGCGTGTTTTGTTTCTGTTTCCTTGACTTTAAGAAGCCAGTGCTGATAGCTTCTACGGCGTCGTTAAGAGGACGGTGGTTAGGGGGAATCCATGGGCCGAAATGAGCGTTGTGTATTTAAAAAACCTACTATTTTTTTGTTCTGCAAGACATTTAGAACAAACCTAAAGTCCTGTGGGGCCACACCGCCCGCCACGTGAACGATAACCGTATCTCCCCTGGGCTGGCGATTCCCCGTAATGGGCTACGATCCCAGTGGAGATCTGCCCTCAACCCTTGCTTTCTCTCCCTCCGCATGATCGCCTGATCGTCTGATCGCCCCCTATGCCCGTTCCGAAACACGATCCCATTGTGCTGGTGATCGATTTTCACCACGCACGGTGCGTTTCCCGAGCGCCCACGAGGATCCCAGATAGTGTAAACTAACGCGCATGCAGGGGCCCCGAAATAGAACATTGCATCTCTGACGAGGGTACGAATCCCGCCGTGGAAAATGACTGGTCATTGCTGCCATTTATGGCCCTCTCCGACGGTGCTCATCTGTACGAGACTACCCCTCCTTCCCCTCCCATGTGTTGTGAACCCGGAGTGCAATTGTTGGTCCGTCGTCTTCCGCGAGGCTATGTCATTTGCTCTGCGGGAGGAGGCGAAACATGCACTTTGACGGTCTAGATTGTGCTGAGGCTGACTCGTATGCGCCGTGTCTGGGATAGGTCGACGGAGGAATTCTCATATTTCACTTTACGTCAAAAGGAGACGCCTGGGGTTCCTGCCAGGTCGCTATTCGGTATCGCGTGCTCTCGCCAGATCGATTCGAAGCTCTTGATTAATCGCCCTCCGGAGGTGACCCGGTCAACAGTCCAGAAAGCGGTGGTTGTTGTGACAGATAGCCCGCAAAGGGTGGGACAATTAAGAGAGAAGCTTTCGGTTGTGACATCGGCCTGGTTTGCACAAAGGTATGTGGACAAAAACCATAAGGAGACAGATCAATGGTTGCAAATTACTAACGAAGGGAGTAGAGATTTCTCGGATATTGATATCTTAAAGGTATCAAATGGGCACTATTCAGAGGTTGTTTGAACAAAGCTAACTGGAGATATAGAAATTCCGCGAAGGCCTAGTCATTAGTCTTGGCAATGATGAGTCGAAAGACCAGAATCTGGGTGAGTACAGGACCGCCATGCCATTGTATATTCCCGCTGACTCCTTGCCAGGTCTCTCCTTGCGAGAAATGATTCACGAATTCAAGTACCAGACTCTGGTCCTATTCAAGGGGCTGCTGTTGCAACCGAAGGTATGTCACTATGGTCCTCCTCCAGGGCTTACTAAACAATGCTGACTATTCCAGATGCTGTTTTTCGGTACTCGCTGCGAGCGCCTATGCATGATTCAGTTCTCACTTATTTCTCTAATACCCGGTCTGATAAACAGCCTTGAAGACTGCGCAGACCCGTCATTTAATACCTACGAAGAAAATGTGGAAAAGCCCACCTCGCTCAAGACAAGCGATCGAAGCTCTTGTATGTTTCGGCATCTGGCCTAGTATCGTCACCCCACGCTAATCTAATCAGTGCTGGCGTATATGGGTCTTCCTCTACAGATATTTGGCAAAGTATGTGCTTCAAATGAGCGTCTTCACTGAATCTACCTTGAAACTAACGTGCGTTGTAGGGGAGTATGTTTGGACCATATACCCCTTTGCAGCAGCTGGATCTGCTGGCAGATGATGGCACAAAGTCGTATGTGGTGGGATCAACGAACTCTCTTCTTCTTCAGCAGAAAGATCGCTACAGTGACATATTAATCAACGTGAGTGACTCTTTCCACGGATTCAATAGAAACCCTCTGCTGACCTATGCATCTTCAGCTTGACGAAGATACCATCAACATATCATCACCAACACTTCGCAGTGCGCTTGCGTTGTCGGTTGCTGACAGGCGCTGGATAGATCTCTTAACCCAAATTGTCAATGAGACTTGGGTTGACGAGGACCCGTCACGCCCCAAAACATTGGGTTTCATGGGGTCGGAAGAGTTCATTCGATTACAATTTGAAGAATATCTTCTCGCGCTACTATCGAGTATGAAGTACCATGAAGAGCTCACCACCATTTCTACCGAGCCATCGAACAGGAGTAGAGCTCACCTCCAGACTTTCAACATCGAGGGCGACCCTGCCCTGGACTTCAATGTCGAGTTCCTCTACCAGTGGCAAAAAACCCCTAACTATGCTCTTTTCTCACGGTTGACCTCAGATGCCCTCCTGTACTCCATTACCGAGCCGAAGCATCCCAGCGCCGGTGGATTAACCATAGAAGACATCCAGCGCCGATTATCTCAACAAGTAGCAGACCTCCACCTTGACGAGCGGGTCCGCGAAGGCCGGGAAGCTCTCAACCGTCAGCTTGCTGCTGGTCAAAAGAAAGTCAGCGCGGCCTTCAACAGCTTCTGGTCAGACATTGAAACAATGCGCGAGGCGCAAAAGAAGCGTAACGAGGAAAAAGCCGCTTTATCACAACGTACTTCGATCGACACATCAGTCTCACCACCAACGGCCTCAGCCCAAAGCTCCCCCTCCGAAGCCTCAGGCTGGTGGCAAGGCCGTCAAAGGCCCTCCATTGACCTCTCCAACGCTCAAACCACCATGAGCGCCGCCAGCCAGAAAGCCGGTTCATACTTAAGCTCCTGGAGCTCCTGGGCCAGCGAGAAGCGGAAAGAATGGCAAGACAGGCGTGCATCGCCTAGTAGCGGCGTGATACCCTCACCATCGACCCCGTCTCTTCCCGCCGTTACCGAGGCGGGGGAGGCAGACCGCGAGCGACGGGACTCGATCTCTCGCCACAGCGAGGACGGCGGCAGCCTGACTCGCAGCCTGAGCCGCCGAAAGCGATGGAGTAATATAATTCTGCGTCGTGATAGCGGCGAGTTCAGTCTGCCCAAGCTCGACGATAACAACACGTCGGATTCCGACGTTCCATTCCCCAGATCCCCGCTATCACGGGGTCTCCCGGCCTATGAAGCTGGAGAGCAAGTTAAAGATGAGGTCGAGCCCTTAGGTCTGTCGCGTACCGATAAGGGCCATGTTGAGCAGTCTATCGACGCGGATGGCTTCTCCTCTGTGGTTCTCACACCTAATGAAGGGCTGCGTGTGGATTTGGATCCAAACCAGCAAGCCGCTCTCCAGAAATTGGATGCTCAGCCAGAGGTGTCTGTTACTGCACTGCCTGGAAAGGAGAATGAGTCTCCGATGCATGGTGCTCCCACAACTGCAGGGCCATGAGTTTGAACATACTTTTTGCATTTGTTCGCGTTGGTATTCAGCGTTGCATATCTCCGAGTCTCACAAAGTCGAAGTCTATAAGCTACAGTTCCTTGCTTTCGCTCTTGAGATTTCATTTTAAGACCATCGTACACGACTCTTGTCGCTTTTAATTGATGACCGATCATACATATTTGTTCTCTGGGGGGTTTTGATGAGACAATTTACACGGAGTGGATGATGTGTGCATGTTATTAGAAATAGATCAAATAAATTCATTATCGACGCTCTACCTTGACGCGTTGCTTCCTGGCCGACGCCTTCCTTTCAAGTGCTACTGGTAAATATGGGATGACCGGGAGGGGGGTTTTCTACAACTGAGCTAGATACCAAATGCGGAGTATAGGAATAGTGAATCGGGTTATCATTGGTTTGTCGTCTCAGCGCTATGAGGAAACATGAAGCCATGAAGATAGGCAAAAAAGCAAAAAAGAAGAAAAAATACAATGTGGTGATCTTGATCCGGTAGCTCCTTAAGATTTCAAGCAAATCCAGTCCTGGTTTCCGTAAGAGATGATGTGATGTAATTCGGCCGCTCAAGTCCCAATGGATAATGAAAGTGGTCGAACTAGGAGAGAGAGCCATAGCCGTAATAGGGCACGAAGAGCGTTAGGCGAGTTGAGAAACTTGGAATTTGAAACGGAAAGGCAGAGAGTAGAGCTCTTAGGCAATGTAAGAAATCTCGTCTCCGTCGAGGCGTTCGATGTAGTCCTTCTCCATGAGAGCTTCGATATTCTTTTTGATATCAGGAATCTTGGGGGGGAAGCGCGCCTTTACTTGCTGAATAACCTCCTGAACGAGTTGGACGTGCTTCATCTTCTTGCGGGACTTCATGATGCGAACGATGGCAGACTGGGGAAAAGTAAGCACGTCAGTAAGATGCGCAACAGGTGAGTAAAAAGATTGACTTACCTGGAGCAAGAGCTTTCGATCTTCTTCCACCGTCTTGTGGGTGTCATCGGCTTCGACCTTGGCCTCTGACTTGATCTGGATATTGAGGTTCACCTTGACCTTCTTGTTTTTGAAGTTGTAGTTGAGCGAGAACGTTGTACCGGGCTCTGGCTTAGCACCCTGGGGCTTGCAAGAAGCACTTTGGCCTTGAGAAGAATGCCAAGGTTAGGATCAAGCATCTCACTGTTTAGAATGGTGGCCTTGTGGATGTCTTCGTAGGAGAGGGTGTCGCTCTCGTTAAACAGCAGCAAGATGCCCATCTGGAAGGTCGACACCAGGAAGGTGTAAGGGATCTTCGCGTTTTTGATATAGTTAGCCTTCACTTCACCCTTACAGAGCTGCCAGAGCCATGTCAACTTGCGACCGCTGTGCTTGTCGAAATAGAACTTTTGGAACTGCTCTGCAGTCTTGGCAATCTCCTCTGGGGCGGAGAATGCAGTGTTTGGTGGGTTGAGAGGCCACATTCCAGTGCCCAGGATCTGGAACTGACAGTCCACAGCCTTCTTTCGCTCATCGTCAGTGAGCTCTTTCTCTTGCCAGTCTTTGTAGTTGGCGTTGAGATCCTTCGAAATTTGAATATCTTGGAACATGCGCTGAAGCTTGTTAGTGTATTCGAAACCGCAGGCCTCCTTCAGCTTGCTGATCATGCTTGTCTCCGCATCATCGGACACAGAGCTGGTGTGGACCAGACGCTTGGCTAGCATCTTTGAGTAGAATTTTTGGAAGACGTCCTTGTCCTCAATATATTTGAAGACGGTCATGATTTGAACGAGCATCTCTTCAAGCTCAGATTCCTCGGCTGCCTTAGATCCTTTCTTCAGCAAGGAATCGGTGTACTTGGCGAGCAACTCGGGAGATCGAGTGCTGACTCCGTTGGTGACCTTATTACGGTTGACGAATTCTCGGCAGGCATTGTCGAGAGATCGCACGAATTCGGACTCGCCATTGAAAGCATCATCCACAAGGTTCTGGTACCTGGTATGGACCTGGAGGAGAGCATCCACATACAGCTTGGGCTCCAATGATGATTCGTCGCCTTCTGACTTGACCTTTTCTATCGCAGCCAAACCGGCACTTCGCACATGGGCCTCAAACGTCGAACGCAAAGGATCCAGGCCTTCCTTGATACGGGAAAGCAAACTATACATACGAGCCAGATCCTCCTGGCGCTCGTTATCCAGCAAGACTTGGAACTCGTCCCGTAGCAAAGCGGAGTGATTCGCGACGAGGACGTCTCAGACAAGTGTTTGTGAGGGCTTTCTGAACGTCAGGGTGCAGGTACAAGCCCACTCGAGCCTTCTCCTCCTCAAGTCGGGCCTCGGCCTTCTTCATGTATTCCACCACGCTGTTTTCAGCCACGAAGACCTTTGATTCGTTCTGGTAATAGCTTCGCGTAGCGTCTATGAACGGTTTCTGGAAGTATTGGCGGTAGACGTCGAGGGTTGACTTCTTGCTATCATTTTCGTCCAAGCCCAGGGAGACGAAGGAATCAACGATGCTCTTGATCTGCATCTGTTCGATGGTTTCGCCATTCCGCTGCTTCTCGATCAAGTTTAGGACAGCATCCATAACCTTCTTATGCACATTCTCAAAGAAGTCGTCCTTCCACTTGACCAGGTGCAGTGTGTAAACGTCATAAACGTGCTTCTTTCCTTCATCGATTTCTCTCTTCACCCAGTGGCGGTTGAGGTAACTGAAGAGATGATTGATATATTTGGCGGCAGTCGTGTAACGGGTCCACTCGCGAATGTAAAATGCTAGCAGGGCTTCCTCGTTGTGGCTCAGGGACTCGGTGTATACTGTCTTCAGGTGACGAGAAAGATACTCTCCTAGAAGCTTGTAGAGTTCTTCGCCCAGTAAGTGTGCTAAAGCGTATGGGCAGGGACTTGTTAGCGAGGCCTTTTAGTAATGACGGGAGTTTGAAGGGTGGCCATGTTCTGAGGACCAGACATACCTCCTCGGTGTGCTTGCAATCCCTGGTTGTTGACAACAGCTTTCTGGGACGTGCAGAAGTTATGAACAGCCGTGTAAAGAGCCATGTAGATCTTCATATCCACTCCTTCATCGAGTTTGACCATAACACTGTTGATTCCGCCCTCCAGAAATGACCAGCTAAAAAAAAGCACCCATATTAGTACCCATATCAGGACTCATATTCATGGAAGTCAGGACCCACGTTTCATCCAGGTCATCTTTGTGAGGTGTTTGCGGCATGACGGGTGGCATGTTTGCGAGCGTGGCGGGGTTCGATGTGCTAAGTTAAGAGCACGAGGTTCGCTATCAGGAATCTCAAAAGTCTGTCTTCTGTCTAGAAAGTAAAAGCAGTAAACCCGGTCAGCTTAGAAAGCTCAGGATGGCGAAAACAGGAGCACTGACAAGGCGGCGGAACAAGCGTAGCGCCACGGACGAACAAGAACGCGTGATATGGGAATAGGGGCCACGGACAACCTGGATGAGGCTAATCCTGGCCTCGATAGTCTGGATGAAAAACAGGAAATACAACCCAGGACTCCAGAGGCGAAAAGAAATGAAGATCAGGCAGACGAGGTGGGCGGCAAGACTCTTGAGGCTGAGGAAGGGCGTGGGGAGAGAAGTCCATTATGGCAGGCGGTGAGCGCCCCAGTTGGGGCTGGTTGATTTTATGTGTGGCTTGTTTGTGATTCCTTAGGATTTTGTATTGCTTCGCTCGTGGAATTTATTCTAAATAGTATAAAAGAGACGGCAATACGGCCCGTACTTACGATCCGGCCTCTTCACTCTCAATAATAAATCTAGAATAGTGTAATAAGACTAGACAAGCCAGATTGTAGACGTACAATGGGAACTTTATCTGAACCCTGCTGTCTACTTTTTCTTATGCCCTTTTCAATCTCCGAGTCAGTAAGCTCTACTAGTGTGCATAGAACTAGTAATAGAACTGAATACCACCAAGGAATAAGGTTCTTCGAGTTAGAATAACGTGCCTGTTCTAAAAATTTGACATGAAAGATTAATGTACCTCTATATGTACTAGCATTGATACACAAGTTCTGCATTCCTATAGTACGATTTGATATCATGTGCATCGTAAGACTATGAGGGAGTTTCCAGGTTTTCATCCGCCATACACTCCAGCATTATTACTAGTAATATAATACATGAGATCTCATTACAGGTAGACCGTTGGGGTTCATTCCCGGTTTATTTACTGAGTTCGACATGGAGCTTTGGGCAGAATGCCACATCTGTCCAATCTCGAGAAGAAAAAGCTGTTGAACCGAGCATATCGATGACCAGAAAGGGCAAAGACAAGCACATTCGAAAGCCGGCCAGATGACCCCAATAATGCAAGAATGACGTCATCGCCATAGTCATAAGAACTGAATGTGCCATGAGGATCATGTGCAAATTAGAGTATCAACACACAGAGCCAGCCATGGTCATTACCCCAGAAGCTGATATTCAAATCACTTGCCGGCAGATCCCACCATGGGACCGAATCCCCAATACATCCATTCAAGGAAGACCTCTCATCATTTACCATGGGGCATTCGATGCCACAGCCGCTGACCTCACTCGGCACCTCGGGGAGTAGGTGCGGTTCTTCCACAGTGGACATACACCATGTACAGCCAGACTCATTTCCATTCCACCACTCACGAGGTTCTTGCGGTCGTGGCTGGTCGTGCTAAGCTTTGTTTCGGCGGCGAGGGAAATCCAGGTCGATTTGAGCCAACTGTAAAACGCGGGGACTTGATTATTGTGCCTGCCGGGGTCGGTCATAGACTATTAAGGGACGAGGGAGACGAGGCGTTTCAGATGGTCGGTTCGTATCCACATAACAAGGAATGGGATATGTGCTATGGGCGCCCCGGCGAAGAAGAGAAAGTACAGCAAATCTCCCAACTCCCTTGGTTTGACCAGGATCCATTATATGGGGAGAACGGGCCGGCGCTTCGTGTACATTAAAGCACCGCTGGGCGTAGCTAGCAGGGATCCTAATGATGTACCCGTTCAACAAGCCTTTCGAAGGAGTTAGCGAGACGCCCAGCCAAATTTGAACTACCAACGTTGACTTACCGAAGAACGCTGATGGCGAATGTCATGAGCCAAGCAATAAGAGCAACGAGCAACACGGATGCGAGAGCCTTCTGCCTGGTGCAGATTGAATTATTCCGAGGATCAATCCTTGCGTTAACCTCCGATTCAGTGCAAGACCCGGTGACTTCGTTCAAAGAGTTAAATGCCAAACTCAAGTTAGCCGAATCGAAGACTATGAAAAACAAATCCAGCAAAATAAGACGTGCTTTCGCGAGAGGAGGACGTAGTCCAAGAGGCTTCGAGGAAAACTCGTCGAACGTGATGTAAACAAGATATACCAATGCCACAGCATCGACGATGATAGCCATTAATGCGGACGGGCCATTGCGATGGTGATCCTCGTCTGACATATGCTGAATTGAGCCCCCCAAGGCTAACGCAGAAAGCGAGAAGCACCAGACAGTGAGACGAAAGATTAATGGCACGATTGCGCTTCGTAACAGCGTGCTATGGAAACGCTTGAACCAGATCTCACGGCGGGTTCCACTCGTAGTGTGTAATGGGAATTCCGGCGTGTCGCCTTCCAAAAGCGTACCACGCCATGGGCCGGAGTAATTCCCCATATTTTCATCCAACCATTCCGGCGTAACCTGTTGCGTTTCACTGCCAGGTTCGCGAGGGTATTGAATCGTCCGAGAAAAGGTCTTCCAGCGTGACTCGCGGTCCGGAGAAGGGGAGCGGTCGTTGTATTCGTATTGGCCGGACGAATTTTCGGGTCTAGGCTTCGCATATGGCGAGTGATTGTGTTGCGCGACGCGTGCATCGTTTGGTTCTGAGGGTAGAAGACGATCTGCCGGTGAGGCATCTTCTTCCTCATCTGGGTGTTCTTCAACTGATTGGATCCAAGCTGTACGGTTCGGGAGGTTAGAGAAATTCCCTTGGAGTATTAATCAATCACGGACCAGGTAGAGTGCGTAGAGGGACATGCGCGGACGGGGCAGCTGTTTGGTTCGCTGGAAAGTCCGGAGTCTGGCTTGCCGTAGCCGGCGAGGTGGAGGCGCTGTTCCGAGAAACATTCGAGTGCGTATCTAAAGTAAGATGGTTTCCGAGGCGCGATGAAGGTGTATCCGATGCTTTTTCTGACAGTGGTTCGCCAATCAGCCCACAAGGGGAATCGCTGGAGCTCTTCGCGTCCATGGGCTGATCCCTCGCAAGGAAGATTGATAACTCGGAAACAACGGGAAACGTCGATTCTTAATCGGCATCACCTATCAAACCGAGACTTGGCGAATTAGGCCAATCGATTTGGCCTACTCAATGGGGGAATAATGTTTGAGAATGGAAAGAGCGGATCTTTCTTCAGTCTTCGGATGTTGGCAGACTAAGGAAGCAAGGAAGATCAGATCGATAACTGGGCCTCGGGCCAATGACGTTGCCGCCTTGGGCCGTTTTTGCTCCAACGTGATCCATCAAGTGGCTCCCCTCGTTTCCAACTCCCTCGTCAACAGAGCTACCCATTTCCACCAGGAAATGTTCTCCTTCTTTTCTCTTTTATCACTGCCATCCTAGACTGTCCCCTTTACCCCCATTGCAATGCGCCTCTTCCTCATCCCCATCTCCACGCGACGGGCGTTGATCTACGCTCGGCCACTCCGTAAAGACATCGCCAAGGAGCTATCGATGCTTGACCGGGTGACTACCAAGGCCGCGCAACAATGGGCTAAATGGGAAGAAGCTGAAAGTGGATGGAAGAAGCAGCTCGTCACTTGGGGGAACAAAGTTCAGCAACGTATTCCATTCGAAGAATGGGGGCTAAAGAGTATCCCGTCTCTCAAATCACAACAGAAGGTCGACAAGGAGCACGGGAGCAAAAAAATCGATCTTCTCTTTCCAGGCAACGCGGTGCACGTGGAGAAGATCCCAAGTTTATTGCATAAAATTGCGACAGAGCGACAAGAATTCCACAAAAGCAAGATGCGGTGGAGTTTGGGAACCGCCCCATTAACCGCCCCATTTGCTCTGATCCCCGTGTATGTACCTTGGAGCCCATGCATCTCTGGAACATCGTTATTGACTGCATGTCTCCTATAGGATCCCCAATATCCCTTTCTTCTATTTGGTGTACCGTGGCTGGTCCCACTGGCGAGGTGTGTCGATGATCATATTGCTGTTTCTCCTGAATAATATTGACCGGTCATTCGCCATTAACAGCACTAAATGGCTCTCGCCATCTTGAATACCTTGTTGACAAGAAGCTTCTAAACCCTATCTCACTGTCCGGACTCGAGCAGCTTTACTCCAAGCGTACCTCCAGTGCACTCGATAATACCCCAATTAATACCCCGGCGGCGGAAATGATCGAAGATATTGAGCAGAGCGAGGAGAGAGTTCTTTTGAAAATGTCAGATGCTAAGGAGCTAGCCAACATCCTGGACGCACCTGAATTGGCTCTAGAAGCGGAGCGGGCGATTGTTCAGGTGGGCGAGCAACTGGAGGCGCAAAAGGCCCAGAAAAAGGCCCAGCAGAGCAATTCTGATGAGAAGAAAGGCTCATGACTGACCAAAATCCCCTGATAGAACATCTATCTTTTGCCATATATTATCTCCTAACCCAATGTACCAATAGCTCGTTACAATAGACAGCTTGAATGACTAGGATACCCAAGTCTCAATATTATTTTGCACTGGAATAAATCCCCAATTACCGAATTTAAGAATTGACGCGCTGTGTAGTGATGGTGATATGCAGATCCCGTGGTGTTTGATGCGACATAAAGCTGAGATGGATGAATGTTGAATCCAAATGCCCCACAAGTACTCGCGTAGGCGAAAAGTTCTAATGTACAGTTTTTTAAGACTATTTACAATGATCTATGATGATGTATAAGACCGCATCTCTTTGACAGTACCCATGCCGTTCGAGAGCATCGTTCGATAGACTAGACGTCGTAGTCTCATGCAAATGACAAATGATTATAATGACGATAGAAACGTCGACCATTGGACCTCGGCCATTCCAATGGTATTGAATGAGGAAAAAAGTCATTCGAAAGGTGATTTGTTGCAGGTTTGGAAAGGTGAAGGCGAGGAGATCAGCTGCTCGCGCTGCATGTCCAAGCACCAGAGCCTGAGTCCTCGTGGATAGCGGCTCCGGAGACCCATAGACCCAGTCCGCACTTGAAGAGGTCAGTCATCACAAAATGAGAGGAAATGAAGAGAAGCGAGAGTAATTCTTACAATAGCACAGGCGATGGCTAGAACGAAGACATTCGTGATTGTCAAGAAAGCCTTCTTATAGTTCTTGAAGTACTGGCCACGGTTCATGTGGAACCAGAAGATGGCAGGCAGGCCGACTATCACTTGATTAGTACATTTCATCAAATTGAATTAGATGGAAAATATGAAGGATGGCCATACAGCTGAACCAACTACCAAATAGCGCACTCTAGAAAAGAATTGTTAGCCTTGGGTTTGCCGTTGGAAAGTATTATGAATACTCACAATGAGACTCAGAAGATCGTTGAAGACAGGGATTGACTCTGCAACAACCCATGATACGACCCAGACCCCGAGACAAATCCCAACCCATGTACCGATTGAGAAGAAGCTCCGGCTATGCATCTTGTCAGATCCCCGGAACATGCGCACGTAGATGTATTTACAAGCGACATGGCCCAGAACAACACCAGAAAGGATAGTCTGCCAGTTATTAGAAACAATACCACTCATATGGAACATGACGGTGTACTCACAGTAGGGATAGCGAGTCCCCAAGCAACCTTTCTCATCAATGGACTCAGAGATTCAATAGCCGGCGATTTGACATCAGGCCCGACATATCGGTAAATGATCAGAGCGCTGATAAGGTACAGAACAGTGTCAATGATTTGAAGCATCGCCAGGGATTTATTGAACGTTCGCGGGTCTTCTGTCTCTGACATGAAGCCGAAGTATGCAACATGCGCAACTATATAGACGCGGTTAGCATGATAAGTCTCGGCACTACTAGCAGCATTAGAATTTTGAGAATTGTAATCGATAAACATACGATAAGCAAAGATAATGTTAGTCACTGCCAAGAAGCCCTCCCGGAAGCTGACGTTGGTCGTAGCGTGAGTGGGGATATGGCCTTTGCTTTCAACACCCACAGTGATCATCGTCACCATCACAGCAACGAACACACTCACGAATGCTACAGAATGCCGATGAGCTGGCCGTCCATATAACTATAGGCCATTTGGGGACACTCACATATAACAGACATCACATACACTTTGTCCATGGTCCGAGGCAAAGCGCCCAGGAAACAGATGACGAGACCAACAACACCAAACACTAGTGTGCAAGTGCCATGGTCTGTCAAAGCATTCATGAGGATGTTAAACATCAGAATATTGCTGGCCATCAGGAAAATCAGTAACAACAGCTGGCCGATTCCCATCAGTTCACGGCCGACGCGACCCATCAAGAGCTCGCCTGCGTCTCCCATGCTATGGATATGAGGATGACGAAGTTTGAATTGACCGATTTCATAGCCGGTGTACCATGACAAGGCTGAGATGAAGACAATCATGATAGCAGCTCTTTTGTAAGGTTAGCATTATCACAGCCACAGGAGAGAAAGAGACAACGCACGGTGCCATTCCAAGAGTCGCAACTGCTGATGGAAGAGACAGAATTCCCACAGAGACATTCTCAGCAATCATGACTGGAAGCCTCGGTTAGATTTTGAGGATGATATGAGAAGTATTGAGTCACTCACGCATCCCGCAGTGCCTGACGATCTTGTTAATATCGGATGAATTATGACTTTCGGCCAGAGGATGAAACATACCACCACTTCATAGTTCGATACTTGACCTCGGCTTGATCTTCATTGCCAAAGGGCTCCAGTTCACCTGCCGATAAAGGCTGATCCGCATCTTTCTTGAGGGACTCATCGCCGGCTGATTTTGCCTGTACCGCGTATGACTCCTCGTCAGACATAGCGAGAGGAATACAATGATCTTTTCAGATCAATGCTTGGCAGATGAAGGCCAGATGAGTCTTCGAGGTCTCAAGCCAACCTTGAAATCACAAAGCCAAGAAAAATTCTGAACGTGGAACTATGTGGAGCCCATGTGTATTCCGCTGCGGCGGGAGCGGGTCAGGTTGGATATCTGAAGTATAGAAGCGTAATGAAAAAACAGGAGTGGTTCCCCGTAACGGTATAGCTTGCAATTCTGCATGAATGTGGGCCCATTAAGAGAATTACCACCAATAGAAAAAGCTCTCCTGAAACAGCACGTGATCTTCCCGGTAATTTACCTCGTACTGGTCACCGAGTCAAGCCGAAGCCGGTCGTGAAATCCCTTTTCGGTCCCGAATTTCTCATTGGATCAGATTCCATGAATAAAAGACCTCGCTATCTCCTTGAGTAGGATTGTCTGTGTCTGAATTAATTCATCACCTGCTGGCGGAGTGCTAATGGCTGTCTATAACATTCACCGCGGCTTCTTCAAATGTAATTGTAGCAAATCCTTCTCCAGGGGAGTGTTTAGTGGCTCCATCCCGTATATACGCATTGTAGTCTTTGGCGTATTGAAATATCCCTCGTCTTCATTTGAGACTGCAAAATCGGAGTCCCCCTTTCAGTTTCATTCTATGAAGCAGAAACGATAATTCTCTTGATTAACCTTAAAGTATATCTAAGGCAAGTGAGAGCATTAGCTTAGCTAATCTCGACCGTGGCCGTGTATACACGCATGATTCCCAAAATCTGCTTATGGAGTTTGCCTTTCCATATCCTTTGTTAATCATACCGCTCAACTACCCGGACAGATTACTTTCCCTCCGGCATGGGTTCTCCTGCTTTCCTTGTGTTTCCTATAGCCACCGTGCCTCGGATCGGCCCCTGTGCTCACTCTACAATCAGGTCCTCACTTTCCACCGATTGACTATAGGAAAGGTGAGTCTGATCCCTGCATCAGACCGTGCCAAGGCCAATTTGCAAGCTAACGTGGCTGCTGAGGATGAGGTCTTGGTAAGGAGTAGCCATGATTCACTTCGAGACTGTAACCCGGTATATAGAGTCCGAGAGCCTACCGGAAATTGTTTCTGGATGGTTAAAGCTTGCGACGTTCTGAAGGCTCGCCAAACCCATGCAGGTGAGTGGGAGGATGTGCTCTTCCGGAGACCATGGTGCCTAAGGAAGGTAGCCTAGATCAGATTACCTTCCACAGCCCCTTCAAGTACCGATCAAACTGTCGAAAGTTTCTTGACCTCGAGGAAACCAGAATACTCCAGGAATACTTCTCTGGCTCAAGTGATGCTCATATCCTAGTGTGAGGATGGATCATCATCTTGTTTCCCGCTCAGAAAACCATTGGAGCAGTCATACCCCGCTTGATAGCCAGCAGTGGAGTCAGAATATTTGGCTGTGATCTGAAGCTGGAGGCCGCCGAGAGAACCAAGTAAGCGTATCCTGGAGGACAATGTACATGCTACAGTAGAAGTTGTGGTGATAGATATTTTGAGTCTCGTCAATATCAAAGAGATTCTTGAAGCGGTCATGAAGTTCCGTGGCTGGATTGAGTCCTCCTGAGAAATATCCGTCAAATTGCTAAACAATGCTTCCATCACGGGACTGCGGTACATTAACAAGTGACAGATCGCGTGTGCATCCGCAAAAGCTGCTACCGTTCTCTTTACCGAGTCTCTTAGTGCCATACAGTTGCTGCGATAGTGTTGGGCCTTAAACTTCCTCGGTGGTAGGGCGGTGATACATACATCCATAGTCACTGCATCCCGTACTCGTAGTACGACCCGCGCAGCCAACCAACTGGCCGTTTCCGGAACTTGAAACTTCTCATTATTGAGAAAGGAGAGTCGTGACAAAGATCGGAGATGTAATGATACAATCACTCATATTTTATTGTAATGCGAAATGTCTTTTGGATCAGCTACAATCAATAGATCTAGTAGTTCACAGTAAACAGCGATGACCTCAGATCCCCTGAAGGCGGAGCAGTGGGTCTCCACCAACCTCAACGCCCAAAGCCGCCCCGGTCTCGACCTCCACAACTCCCATTCACCAATCATGGCGACCAAGAAGATCGAACAATGGGAGATTGAACGGTACTGGGAGATCTTCGCCTCCCTGGCGAACGGTCAAACACACCTGAACAGCTCCCAGGCCGCCTCTGTCCTGCGCAACAGCCGACTGCGCGATGACCAGCTCGAGAAGGTCTGGGACATTGCGGATGTCGACGGCGACGGCGAGCTCGACTTCGAAGAGTTCTGCGTTGCCATGCGCCTGGTATTCGATCTCGTCAATGGCGTACGCAATCCCTTCTTACCCCTCCCTTTTACCCTCCTGCCCCTCTCCGGTACTGAATCGCACTGACGTGGCGGTGCGATAGGAGCTACAAGAGGTCCCAGCAGCGTTACCAGACTGGCTGGTCCCCGAATCCAAAGCACATCTCGTTCAAGCAACCAGGGCATTAGGAGGCCATCAAGAGCAATTCGAGCGGATAGAAGACGAGGACGACTCGCTCGGCCTCAAGGATGGCTTCGACTGGTACATGAACCCAGCCGATCGATCCAAGTACGAGGAAATTTACAACGCAAACAAAGGCTACCGCGGCCAGATCACCTGTAAGACACCCCACTAGCTACAGACCAGGTCCGTCGCCACCTATATAACTAACCCGGAGCTCTAGTTGATTCCCTAACCCCCCTCTACGAGTCGCTCGATGTGCCCGACACCGACATTCGCTCAGCCTGGAACCTCGTCAATCCTTCCGCGTCCCCCGCCATCAACAAGGACGCAACCCTCGCCTTCCTCCATGTCCTGAACTACCGCCATGAGGGGTTCCGCATCCCGCGCACGATCCCCGCCTCACTGCGCGCCTCCTTCGAACACAACCAAATCGACTACCAGATCGACAACAACACCCGTCCTGCCCAACGCTGGGGCGCCGAAGGGAACACCGAGACATCAACAGGACGCAAGGCCAAGTTCGGCGACACCTATCTCAGCCGGCTGGGCGTGGGCGGCAAAGGCTCCTACCAGCCCAAGGGCACCGATTTTGGTGATACAGTACAAGACGAGGAGTGGGAGAAAGTCCGTCTGCGCCGGGAGCTAGCTGAGCTCGAGGAGAAGCTCAAGGCTGCAAACCAAGCCTCCGAGTCACGGCGGGACCGACCCCGTAATGACGGGGGCCCGAACTGGGTGCTTGTTAAGAAAGAGGCATTGCAGCTTTTGGAGTATAAGGAGCGGGAACTAAGGGAGTTGCGTGAAGGCACTGGGCGGTCGAAGGATGGACAGAGTCTTGAGCGGGCGAGGGAAGATGTGAATACTGTTGGCGAGCAGGTGGAGGGACTCAAATCTCATTTGGCTTCTCGCAAGTCGATCCTTGCGGACTTGAAGCAGCAGATCGAGGATGAGAGGTCTCGGCGATAAAAGATTGGCCGCCTAAGCTTGGGGCTGGCTTTCTATTGCTGTCTCTGCTTGTTTCTTTACATGTTCACATCATACGTCTTCCATACCACTTTGTATAGCGACACTCGCGAGAGAAAAAGGCGATGAATGCTTTATTCTTCAGGTGCAATGACCCGCACAGACTCTCTGGACTACTTGATTTTACTGCCTGTAGGAGATTTCCAAATTACACTTTACACATGGGATATATTGAATGCCAATTTACACTACTTTACTTGACTACATAAGCGCCCTTCACAGAGTTGCACCCCGCAAGATTCGTCAGGCACCCAGTTCAACGGGTCCCAAAAACAACATGACTACCTTTGGGGCCCGCTCAACTCCAGCACTTGACCAGGCCCCAGAATTGTTTTAAGCATAGTCAGCTTAATCACATAATTTATACGTAATATATGTATCATACTATATACAATAACTAAGGACAGTGCTAGTTAGCTACACCTTCTGCTACCCCTTTACCTACACCCTTCCTTCAGCTGTTCCCACTCCTTCAGCTCTTCCCCTCCTTCAGCTGCCTCCCTCCTTACACTGTTTAGGAAATATTCATGCCCGATAATATCCATCATCTTGTAGTAATAATATTGATGCCTTAACCATAGCTAACCGACAATGCGTTGCCGATTTAGCTAATGGGCTCGATCTTAACCCTATCGACACAGCATTTCCGGCCCAAACAAAGCGAGTTCCTACCCAAAAAGAGACCTCACCCGAATCAATCACCCTAACCAAAACGATCATGCACAGTACAGACTCGAAAGCTGCTAGTGCATCCTTACTTACGCCCGCAACTTGCGTTTCGGGGCCTGGCTCTCTTTGCTCCGTCTGTCTGCCCTCGATATGGGCCCTTCAAGAAGGTCGGATTGACGCCACCGAGGAGGAACAAGACCTTCAATATTCGATACGGGGTCGCCGGTCCAGTATCGCACGACGACATCCCAATCATCACCCTGTAAGAGGAACTTGGATAGATGACGGTCATCAAGATTCTTGAATACTAAAATAGCATCTCCATGTCTTGCATATTAAAGTGCGTAATCGAGAGACGGGGTAGTATAAAACCCAGGGCCAAATTCATGCCGCAAACTTTGGCTCAGTCAAGTTGGCATGAAAAATGTATCCGAGGAATAAATTGCTTGGCGGGTCACTCCCTTAAACAGCAGGTTGCCGTCTAGGGCAGAGATGAAGTGATTCCTTTGATCGGCAGCTTTTCGATTAATCCGGTGTGTGCGATTTGGTCTGACTTTCATACGACTAATCTGGGATAGAAAAGATCGGCCGTGGTAGAAAGGGAGGTCATGGCATAGCGTTAAAATCCTCGGTCCACTTCTGCGCACAGCGTGCCTTTGTGGAAAGCGTCTTGGTAATCATGTAGACGTGTTCGTCAGATAATTTATGTCCAGCTGGAGGTAGTTAGTATCGGCCGTCGACGAATACCATCTCCGTGTGTCTGGGGAGGGAACCCCAGTTGGCGGGATCATTACCCTTATGGTCGAGCTTGTCGTGCCATTTAAAGATCTCCTTAGTGATAAAGCTTTCAACTCTGCCTTATCTGCGCTAGTACAGAGCGTATCGGTTAGTTCGCGATTGGAAGACACGGCTTTCTTCTTAAAACGGCGTCTTTCAGTTTGATCTTGGTTCTCTGTTTTGTCCTCGGGTTCTTGACTGTCACTTCCTTTCTTGTAGTTCGATGTTTTGGTCGTAGACATCTCCTTCCTGTTCTATATCGGTGTCTTGGTGGTAGCTTTCGTCCTCGGTATCCTCGGTGTGTGTTATCATGGTAGACGGTGGAGATGTCATGATGGGTTATATTAAGGTAAGGCGATATAGGAGCGAGTAGTAAGGTGACTGGGTATGGAATTATATATATATGGAGGTGAGATAAGGTGAGTAAGACAAGATGTGTGTGAGAGAGAAGTAAGGCTCGAGTTGTAGGATATTTTGGGGAACCCGTAAGGGTATGTTGAAGGGCTAATGATCTTGGACCGGCGTCAGATAGAGCAGGGTCGGCAAGAGAGGATCAGTGGGTAGCAGCGGAAGACATTGCGGCGGACGAACTCATCGCACTTGGCCTGTATTTCCCTCCACGCCACGGGGGCGTCGTCATAACGCACGTCGACGGCCAGGATGCCCATCCGGATATTGACCACGAGGTCGAGATTTCTGGACAGGGTAGGGAACTGCGCCTCATATTCCCCAGTTGGCGTGGCAGCAGCGCCCTGTGGGATAAGCATGATATTATCCGTAAGGGTGTAAGCAGGGTCGGTGATCAGCTCTTGTAAATAGTCGACCCTAGCAGCCATATAAGAGGCTTGATATTCTGCCCATCAACTGGACGCCGGGATACCCAGCAAGGTTCACAAACAGTGCATATGCGCTCTGGAATATGAGGAGAGTCGAGGTTGTGGGATAGATCGCGTCGAGTTCTATTGTGTACCCAGGCGGGAGGGTCTCGATCCAAGTGAGGAACCTTTGAAGCTGTTCTCGGGTCATGTTTTCGGCAATGCGAACCGAAAAGACCGCACGTAGCGAAGGGGCAGTGGTTCTTTATTCCTGGGTATAGTTGTTTCGCAATCTCGTGAGGAATAGGGCCAGGGAATGGCACACCGGCTGCCCATATAGGGGAATAAAATGTGTCAAGCAGATCAAAAATATCCCTAAAGTCTTCCCATCTAGTGGGCGGGCGATAAATCTCCGGGGGAGTAGGCGTATCATCTGGAGTAGGCGAGGTGGCATCTGCTATTCTTGTGGGCGAAAAGCGATTAACCTCCAGAGGAGGCTCCGGCAGTGATGTTTTAGGGATACAGACACAAGAGTATGAGTCTGTTTGAGCGGTATTGGGGCTGTGAGGGGCTGTAGGATAGACAGAATCGGTTGCCCTGACAGGACAGACTCGAAAGCTGCTAATGCATCCTTGCTTACCTCCATAACTTGTGTCGGGGCCCGGCTCTCTTTGCCCCGGACGTCTGTCTACCCTCGATATGGGCCCTTTAAGAAGATCAGATTCACACCACTGGGGAGGAACAAGACCTTCAATATTCGATGTGTGGTCGCCGGCCCAATATCGCACGACAGCCTGTGAAACTAATTTCGACAGACGATGGCAATCAAGATTCTTGAATACCAGAATAGCTTCAATATAGCCTTAATATAGTGGAATTCGCTGACAGGCCGGGCTCATAACTGTTGGAGCTGCAGGAGGAAGGTCTGTAATGTACAGTGTGGAGAGGAACAATGAGTGACTCTGATTGTTCTGAAGGATTGGTAAACGGTGGTAACGGCACAGCGTGTTTCGCCACACCCCCCAGGGCTGTGTAGTTCGCTAGGTTGAACTAGTAGGCCTGGCGCGTTTAGGCCATATTCAACAAGTCATATGACCTCTTTAAGTTGGGATCAAATCATGTTTGCTTCGTGCGGCTCTATGATATGCCGCATATCCTCTATCACGAGCTTCCGACGGCTATCTTCGGAATTACTTTGAGGGAGGACCTTTTTCAGGCCATCTGCAGGCGTTTATTGGTGAGGATCCATTTGATTTCGAGTATTCCCCTCTGTATTTGCTTATATAGCCAACTTTGTGCGACATTGATATGCTTGAATTTAGTGTCGATCCCCAGATTTTCGCGCAATTGTGGACGCTTGGCGCATATCTCGATCCTCGTCTTCGATAATAGAATTGACCGATTCGATATAATAACTCGCATAATCTATATCGAGTCGTGGTCGCTGGGTTCGCGTCGTTTGGAGGATGTTTGCCTCGTCGTCGCCATTGATATAGTTTAATAGGGTTAAGATCAGGCGAGTATACTGTGAAGGGCTAAAGTAAGACTTGACTCAATCTATACTAGGCCACGAACTGTGTTCGATAAACTTAAGAAAAGGAGTTCAATACACCAGTCCTCCGCCATTAGTATGCCAAGGTCACGTATCCTACATGATCAACATCGGGCCCTGGCCCGTGACATATACAGTCTAATTTTTTAACCTACATCCCGTGCTCTTTAAACTAAACCTATATATCTTTCGCAGTACAGATCTTTTTGTTATCTTGTTAAAATATCATTCTAGGTTGATAGTGATCGATATTATGGGAGGTGTAGGAGAAAAAAATAAAAATGTGGGTGGTTGTTAGGGTGATGGTAGTAGGGCCTAGTGCACACAGACTTTTGCGCGGGTGTTGTATATCGAATCGATCAACTCTATTATCGAGGACGAGGATCGAGATATGCGCCAAGCGTACACAACTACATTCCATATTGGCAAACAACAACACCGCTGTGTCCTGTATATCCAAGTGTGTACTCAAGACATGCGGTTATGTAGAAACCCGGGCCAAATTCATGCCGCAAACTTTTGCTTAACAAGGTTGGCATGGAAAATACGGCCAAGGAACAAATTGCTTGCGGGTCACTTCCTTAAAGAGCAGGTTGCTGTCCAGGGCAGAGATGAACCGATTCCTTCGATCGGCAGCTTTTCGATCAATCTGATGTTTGCGATTTGGTCTGACTTTTACACAACTAATCTGGGATGGAAAGATGGGGAGGTCTATTAGGGGCGCCCTGCTTAACTTATCGACGCTAGTAGATACATTGGATGGTATAGTATTATTATAGCAAGAGATACTGGCTTCTTAGGCGAAGGGGTCCGAAAATGAAAGGTCTTCTATAGCTCTACGAGAGATAAATTCTTGTTTATAAAGTTGTTGTATATACTAAAGTGGTGGAGCGCCCTGTGGGATAAGCATGATAATTATCATCCGTAAGGGTTTAAGCAGGATCGGTGATCAGCTCTTGTAAATAGTCGATCTTAGCGAGCTACAAGAGGCTTGATATTCTGCCTATCAACTGGTTCTCTATTCCTGGGTATAATTTGTTCTGTAATCTCGTCGGGAACGGGCTCCTCTTCTGTCGTTATTGGGCTTAACCTTGAGATTATGAAACTCGGTGAGTCGCAGATGGAATGATTGTCTGGCTTGCTTTTGAAATTGCCGTCCCAATGAAATGGAAGACTCAGTCACTCTTTCCAATATCGTGGTTGCTTTAATGCTGCCCACTATCGGCACAGAGTATTCATCTTTACTTAAGGCCTGACCCTCATGTCGCCAGAATACGAATACACTTGGTAAATGGAGGTCATGTATTAGCCAATGAGTGCTTCACTCCCATTAGCCTTAGTCTCCACGGACACGAAAGCTGCGCCAGTTCGGTCCAAGCCCTTCTCGTTCCGAGCATATGCCTCTTCACTACGATCAGTGAGAATGCTCAAGTCCTCGTCCGAGAGGACAGAAGAGCCGGCCCCGACATCGAAACGCTCGAACTCGTCCTCTCCGAGAGCTTTGCGAATATCGTCAAAGTCGTGAGAGTTTGAATTCGGGTCCAGAAGCGAACGGAATTTGCCCTTTTGAATAACAAGCCGCTCCAGGCGTCGTTTAGCGTCGGCCTTTTCCAGTAATGTCTGCTCCACAGTGCCTTTGGTTGCAAGACGATACACAATGACTGGCTTCTTTTGGCCGATACGGTGAGCGCGGTCTTGCGCCTGAAGGTCTTGCTGAGGGTTCCAGTCTGAGTCGAACAAAATGACCGTGTCAGCCGCGGTAAGATTAATCCCCTGGCCACCTGCTCGAGTACTTAGAAGGAAGATCTTGAAGTCCGGATCAGTATTGAAGGCTTTGATTTGGTCCTGACGATCTGACTGCGACATAGCACCGTCGATGCGGCAGCACTCCCAGGATCGAAGAGTGGTTGCCCATTCAGCGATTATGTCCAGCTGGACCTTGAATTGCGAGAAAATCAAAATCTTGTGGCCTTTCTCAAGTAGGCAAGGAATGAGTCTGTCTAATAGCTGCATTTTACCAGAAGCAGATACCAGAGATTCGTCGACATCCCCTTTCCACGGCCAGTAGAAGTTGTGGGGGGAATTACAAGCCATGCGGGCTTGCATGACTGGGTTCTGCATCTTCTTGTGGCCGATTTCTTTCTCTTTGGAATTGTTAACACCTGTTTGAACACGAAAAGAAAGGGAAGGGGATTGATAAGCACGAACTTGCTAAGTCAAGGTTCTTCTTCTGACGAAGTTCTTCCAGCTCGGTATCATCGGGTAAAAACTCGACCTCATCCTCCTCGTCATCCAATTCTTCTCCGCGATCAATCTTTCGCAATCGTGCATTGAACTCGCGGTCGCTCATTTCCTTGTATGTCTTGACAGAACGACGTCTGCCGGAATCGCCTCGCTTTGACTGTGGAGATGTTTTCGTCCGCTTAACAGGAGAACCGGACTCACTGCTCTCGCGCCGCCGTTTGGTTCCACGTGTCTTGCTGCCGCTAGCCTCAGTTTCCTTGTTTATGCGTTCAAGGGCTTTCGCTTCGAGGTGCTGCCGTCCAGTGCCGTTGAGAATCTCGCGGTACAGATCCTTCTGCTCGGTTGTCATAGGCGCATACAAAATATACTCGCGCTTCTTGGGCAACGAGTGCTCGACATCGCTCTTGACACGACGCAGCAAGAAGGGTTTCAGAATCGCATGCATGGTCGAGATTAGATTCCGGTTCCTTTTCTCGATTGTTGCTTCTTGTCCCTTCTCGTCAAGGACAGATGAAAAATCGAACCAGCTCTGAAAACTGTCAAGGTCATTGAAAATTTGTGGAAGCAGAAAATGAAGCAAAGACCATAACTCAGAAATGTTATTTTGCAAAGGAGTCCCCGTAATAAGGAGACGGTTAGCAGAGCGATAATTCAGGAGCTCTTTGATCAGTCGACAGTTGAAATTTTTCAAACGATGGCCCTCATCCTGAAATATGTCAGCATTTGTACAATCCGTATCGAGTGACCCAACCAAGACACACCACGATGATGTATTGCCAATCGTACTGGCTCAAAAACTTTTTGTCATTGATACAAATCTCATACGAAGTACAGACAACAGGGAAGTCCGCCTTCTTCTGGTCTTTCACCTGCATCTGCTTTTTGCGCAACTCAGCACGTTCCTCCTTGCTACCGTGATATTTGACAGCGTTGATACCTGGCGTCCACCGCCCAATTTCTTCAATCCAGTTTCCCACCGTGCTGAGTGGCCCAGCAATCAAGAAGGGACCATTGCTTTTAGACTCCTTCATGTGAGCGATCATGGAAATTGCCTGCACAGTCTTGCCGAGGCCCATCTCGTCCGCGAGGATACCACAAAGACCGTTCATCCAGAGTGTCTTAAGCCACTCGAGGCCTTCCAGCTGGTACTTCCGCATTTGACCTCCACTAACTAGCTTTGGCTGCTGGGTAGCCACCAGATCTTGCTCTCCGAGAGCGGTTGGATTGGCCTCGAATTCATCCGCTGCTTGAACGAGGGCTTCTTGCACCGTCGTATTTTTTTCGGGCACTTCGACATCAGCTTTTTTTGAAAAACCTGGCAATGGAGCCTCCTTCTTTGCTCGCAATTTTCTTGGGGCGCCCTTTCTTCGTGCTGGCTGGGCGGGCGGTATCTGTAGTCTCTGCTGTGGCATCTTGTTCGGCATTGCGACGGGATTGACGACGTGGTGCGGGCGCTGGCTTAGTCCCAGATTTATCTTTCTGATCTTGTTGCTTCTGAGAAGCTCTTTTCTGTACTTCCTCCTGCTGACTTCGCATTTTCTCTTCCATGATTGAGGAGAACACCTGTAGAAGAGTTAGAGGCTTTTCTCATGATTTCCTGCAAAGATAGCTGAGGCTATCGATAATAGACGCCTGCATACTTACCTTACTTGCTTGCAAGAGATGCATCAGGGCTTTGACCCCGTTGTCAACAGCCTCAGGATCTTCCAACCCTGAGGAATCCTTCTGGTCCGCTTCCGTGGAACCGGCTTCAGCACCCTCACTGCCATCATCGGCGACAGGAGATGAGGCGGCCGTTGACTCTGGCTGGAAGGTACCAGCCGGGGAATCAACGGTTGACTCGGCACTTGACATTATGTGAGATCGAAATCAAAGAGGTGTGAATTGGCAGTGGACCAAGTAAATGAACTCGACAGGGGGGGTTAAAGGCGTGGATAGGGATAGGGGCGTTGTTTGGAGACGAGAACCCCCTGGATCGGCTTCCGGTCTTAGAGAAAGTGCAAACGAGAGACAAGCACAGAAACCCGATCTCTGGAGGTCGAAATCGGGCTCAGCAAAGAACAAAGACCTCTATAACCTTCCAAGTTGGGATGAACAATGAAGACTGGAAGCGCGTGCCACGCGCGGATTTTCGCGTCACCGCACGGACCAAGTGGTAATGGCAATTACGTCGATCCGACACCCAGATCGAGATCGATTTCAAGACAAGCCTGACGAGTCATACAAAGACGTCATTCATAGCACAGGAGCAAGAGATTGTATTATATACTAGTAGTTGTTCTGAAAGGACAGGCAACATGTAAATAGGATAGCTTGCCGAGTATTGACAGCTCTTCCTCGGGCCCCGTGTGGACGAGACGGGCCATCTCTAGCGTCAGGAATTCCACCGAGGATTGGAGGTACAAAATAGATGGGTCACGTACGACTTGTCTGTCCCCGAGCCTCTTCATAGACGCACCGCTGCATAAGATCAGGGCGGGCACTGGCATATCCGATATCCTTCACAATGCCCAGGTCGGGCACCACACTAGGAAACCCCCGAGCTCGGGTCTACCTGGAGAAGGCACTGTGGGAGCAATTGGCCGCGCCGTAGTTGACGTAATGGGGAAGCCAGGAGTTGCTTTTGGGGGTCAATCTGGCTGTATATTTAGTATCTCGAATTTGGTGCTGCTACTGTTGTTGTCCTCCTACTATTAGTCGCTTGATCACAGAGTTAGGACTACCGGTAGAACATTCCCAAAACCGCTAAACGGCACAGCCGTGCTGTTGTGACGAGCCCTCGCTCTGGTGCTAGATTATATGTTAGTTAACTATAGTATTTAGGTAGTTATTGATACAGAGCTTAGTCAACGAGTGTCATGTGCTGGGAGGTATACAAAAGCCCATGTGGTGATCTTGCTGCACCCAATGAGAAGCGTTCGGGTCAAAGGTGAAATCGGAGGCGCTCCTTAGGGGATCTCGCCATGGGTCTGAATTTCGGCTTATCTGTTGAACCCCCAGTTCTTTACTCTTTCAACTGAATGCTGTGTTTATACACTTCTGATTTTGCAGGTTTGATATTGATATTTCATTGTGACTAATAGTAGATTACTAACTAGTAGAGAGAAGGGGGAGTTCTTTAAAGAAGGGGAATTCTTTAGACCACAATTTTTTGCTATCGTACAGTTGAGTTCTCGTTCTTCCTTTTAGTACATTTCCCCTGGCAAATAACCACGTCCTCACCTGGATATTAGAACCTTCCACTGCTTCTCAAATCCAATCAAAATTTCCTCCATCCATATTCTCATGTTTCATTAAAATCATATCCTCGCATATTCCTCAATTTCAAAGCAACATCCTCCACATTGTGCCCGTTAGATTCTCTCGCATATTCACAATTAGTAAATTTGAATCAAGATGACCTCATCCAGCACTCCATCACCTCCATCAACCCCTTCGGAGTCTTCAATTTTGCTTCCTCGGACAACCTGTTTCTCCTGGTCATCAGTGAGTTCTTCAGTTTGGCTTTCCTCGTAAACATGCGTTTTATCACCAGGCTCATGCTCCGTACCAGCGACCGACGATGTCGTCTCCTTCGCCTCTAAATCCAAACAATCACTCGGCTCGTGATGATCACTGAGTCCCAGCTCTGAATCCAAGCCACAAGTACACCTCCACTCAGACAGCCAGCTTTCATCAAGGGGCTCGCCATCTTCGACAGGGTTCAAGGGCGGGAAGCTCTCCCCCGTCTCCAGAAAAAAGTCGTCCAGCTTATTCTGACTCTCCGAGTGCGGAGCATACGGAGAGCCCGTAAGCATAGGCGAAAAATTACGGAAATGGTTTTTCGCCCTCTGTGTCCCCAGCACTCCCGACGAGCCGAGAATGTGAAATTCGAGGGGGAATAGCAGATACGAGTATCCCCATCTCCCCCGATCTTCGAACAACCATAAACGGGAGTGCCTTCGATCAGAGGTGCGTAACGGACAGCACTCATCGCATTTTTCTCGTTTTCTGCACACTGGGGAGACATACTGCGCGCGGCCATACGGTTGACATGAGGCAGATTCTGAGTCCTGGTCTCATTTTCGGCCTCGCGGGCCTCGCGGGCCTCTCGGGCTTTCTCACGAGCCTGAATAGATTCCAGATGAGCTTCATTAATAGCAGCTTCAAAGCGCCGCTGGGCGATGGTGTGGTCCATAGCAAAAACCTTCCAGCTTGGCGCCAGCACGCGCATCAGAGGCACTTTGGTCGTGGGTGGAGACGGCTTCTCGAGCGCGGCGCTAACATATGGGAATGTCATGGAGGAAGTCCCATCGCCAACAGGCTCGTCGATCATTTCTTCATGCCGTGCGGGAGCGCGGCTGGGCGTCGTTTGGACATACTCGGGGATAGTTTCGGTTTGCTCCAGGGATTCTGTCTGTTCAATACTTGGGAGGGCATGTTCATAGGGAATTCCTTTGTTAATGATTCGATGACGAACCACCGCGCGTCCTCCAGCCGAAACTTCTAATCGAAGCCCGCCGTTAGAGTCATTGATTTTGTCTGGGGAGAAGCTAAGTGGTTCACCTTTGGGACTTTGCTGCGGCGGGCGGACAAATGCGCGGAAACTTGGTGAAACTCGCTCCAGTCCGCGGTCACTGGGTGGGCGCCAGTTCGATGGGTGACCCCTGCTCAAAGCATTCGAACGATGGACCGGTACATTGGTTTCAGGATCCTGCAGGTACAGGTCGCGTGGGTTAACGTATTGCACTCCACCTGGGCCTTTTTCACCTTTCAGTTCTCGTGTCCAAGTAGTCTCGGCCCGCGTGTCAGGAGGCGAGGAATATCGAGTTCGATTGGAGATCTGCTGCAACTCGATCTCGCACTTTCCTGTCAGGTCTTCTTTCCATTGAAATATCTCCGGCTCATCATGTTCGTGCTCCACGGATTCTTGCAACTCGACCATGCCATGACCCCATTCACCGGCGAATGCTTTAGAGAGGCCCCGTCGTAGCAAAAACTGCCTGGCTACTAGGACATCCACTGACTGACACAAGTTGACATGGACAGATCCAGATATTGTGTCCTTCAAACTGTCTTGAGCTTTCTTCGATACTTGGCGGAGTACAAGCTGCAGAGGCACCTTGTGATTCTTGATATCACTATTGTCAAATGCCAATAGATGTTGTAGCTGGATGAAACGCATCTCAGCCAGACGAAGGTTCTCTCGCCGATCTTGCTGGACCCGAGTCGAGAGATAAGCCTTGTACTTGCTCACGTCTTCATCAGTGAGATCGAGCTTGTCGAGAAGTTGCTTGCAGTTTGCCTCTTTCTTAATATTTTGAACAATCTCGAGTTGAATTGCGGGATGTATATCACTCCACACTGGATTGATAATCTATTGCTATCATGTTAGTGAATCGCGGTTCTTTCGCCTCCATATAAGCGATGGTCAACACATACCTTTGCGCCAAGATTTTCCGAGTCGTCGATTGGCTCTTCAAGATCGCTATCTTCAAACACACGGGTCCCATTTTTGGGAGAAGGAGCCGTATTCTCCATATTCGTGACATAAGTAACATTATGTTCAGAGTTGCTGGAACGAAGATTTTCCAGTTGGTTCCATGGCAAAAGATTCAGAGGATCGTCCGACTCATCAACATCTTCATCACTCTGATTAGCTTCTCCCTCATGCTCGGCAAACTGCTCGGCGGGCTGTTGGGCAGGCTTTGGGCCAAATGGTAAAGATGGGAACGCAGCAGGGGGCAAAGTAGGATCGAACGGAGTGGAGGTCGGCTTCGGGGAGGATGGACGACGGTGGGCAAATGGAAGTGGCGATGGAGATCCTCGTCTGTCATTATTTTCTTCGCGAGACGCTCGGATCGATTTGTAGAGAGCAGCGTTTTTGGGATCGACCACATCATCGCCATAACGCACCGGCGCTCGGATCGTGGCGCGGAGGCTCATACGACCCATGTTGCGTGTGTCTGGAATGGTACACAATTTGGTTAAGAAAAAGAGGAACTTTAGAGTTCAGGATATTAGCTCCGCCCCAGACGCGTCTTCGAGTCCAAAAAAGTGAGACTTAAAGGACAGGTTTATTATGGTCTGGATGAGACCCAGGGGAGACCCGGGTCGCCAGTGACTGATGAACAAGCTTAAGCAATATCGAAAATGCAGTGGTTGACAGGTGTTGAAGTTGACAAGAAAGAAGGAGTCCGAGGACAAGAAGAAGTTGGAAAGCTGAGTGGGAGAACTCAACTATTAACTTCTATCACTTGTGACCTTACGCTGACACTGACTCTGCCTTTTTACTCTTTGGGGGCAAAACATCCTGCAAAACACTTCCTGCCCTGTTTTATCTCATGCTACAGAGTAGCAGGCATTGAATAATCTATCCAAGGGTTTCTCACAGCAACAATGGCATGGCATACTACGAGCAAGACTATCTGGGTAATCTCCATACTTTGTCCCCAGCCGTCATAATGTATAGCCGTCTTGGAAGCGACTTTTCGAAAGCGCAATCCACACATACCCAAATATGGAACATGGACTTAATACAAAGTCATTTCATTCGTGAAGGAAGTGCTTGCCAATTTATACAGGGAGACGGTCTTCAAAGGGTGCAAGAGGCCTCCGCTCTGCTAAATCATCTTCATCATCAAGGTCCATATCCCCATGATCCGCAACATTCTCTTCAATAAGGCGATCTGCGAAACTGCGCTTTCTATGAATAGCCTGCGCAGCAGATGGAGGTTCGAGTCTCAGGGCCCCAGAGCGGCTAGCAGAACGCGTCACCGACTCCACGACACGCTTTGCGCCAAGAATATCCTCAAACGACCGTAGGATAGTCCTCATAGGCTCGTCAAATGAAGCACAGTATCTATTCTCTTGGATAAGCCGAGTTGCCTCTTGAGCAGTCTTATTCAGCATGACCATGATATAAGCCACAGTCACGACAGCGGAACGGTCATTACCCGACTCGCAGAAAATAAGCACTTTCCTCCTCGCTGGTACAGAGCCGTTCCCACTATTATTTTGAAGTTGGATTGGGATGGGCCCGTCCACCCCGCAAGATGATCATTTATTCGTCTGATTGCGCGGGGAAAGGAAGAAATCAATTCCTGCCCATCCAGGACATCGATTGTATCGGCCATGATACCCAGCTCTGTGGCCGCCTTTTCGCCAGACACCAGACGCGCCTGGGCAGAGTGGGTATTACGAATAGCAAGAAGCAAAGTGAAGCCTCGCTCCTGGAGCTTCTGCGTGTCGCGTAGAGCAAGCTGTGGGCCAAGTGCCAGAAACGGGAGAATCAGCTGGGCCTCCCGCCTCATCTCGTAAGTCCATTGGCAAGAATTAAATCGACGGGTAAACCCGTCTAGATTTGCGCGTTGGAAGAATCCTGGAGGGATATAGTCTCCTTCCGAAAACTGATGCGACGCTTGACTGAATCTGTTATTGTCGACGATGACAGTCTCACTGTTGTTTAGAGGCGGAGTAGCAGTGAACGCGTACCGTGCGCTGGGATTCGCATTGGGAAGTGCCCCTGACACCGTTGTGTATTGTTGAGTTGGGGTGTAAGTTGCGTTCTCATCGAACGACATCGGGGTCTCCACGAATCTCCGAGTCGACATGGTGCAAGTTGGGTAGGCTGGAAGGCCTGAAGGCCTAGGCTGAAAGAGAAGAAGGTTTGTTGTACAGCAATAGAAATTGCCTCCTTCCAACAGTGCAAGCCTTTCTAGAGGAGACTTCAAAACTGTGGCAGAAATATTGGAAAGCGATATGTGTGGAGGTGAAGAGGATAAGAGCTCTAGGGCGGCGCGCAATATGTCAACAAACCCCAGAATTATCCCACTTCACTGCTCCACAGGGTTCGCTCAGCTACTCAGGACATGCACAGGTTTAAAATGCGCGAACACTAGGACTCAATGGCTCTGAGAATAGCTGCGAGTTAGCTATCGCGGGGTTACATGCAATCGTGATCAATCAGCGATTAGGTAAGAAAACTTGGGAGGTTCCAAGGTCCGACGCGATACCCGCGTCTCGATGCGGCTGTTCCGTGCTTTTGCTGATTCTCCGTCTATGCATTGGCTTGTGTGGGAATAATTATGTGGGAGGATAGTGCACTCATATGTCTTCCATGCCGAAGTCTACTCCTGGCTGCCATCCTCTAGTACTCTTCGGCTCTCAAAGCGTCGAAATCACTCGAACTCGAAGAAAACATAACATGACGATATCAATATCGCATCTCTCTCCCTGGGATAGGATTTTCAATGTATACCGGTAGTAGTGACGCATACTAGGGTAGTACATGTCAGCCTCGCCGCCCAATATATGAGGCACTAATGTCTCATCACGTGATGTGGTAGATGTGGCGCATATCCACCTAAATGTCACAAGCATCATGGTACGAGCTCCGTGAGTCACATAATCAGCGAGGCAAGGGCTTCAGCCTATCATCCTCGCTAAGCGAGAACAACAAGGCTTCACGAGGCCCAGTCTCCAGACTCGGAGATATAATGAGACCCGCAACCCTCGTCTTGGGGGCCAGAGCGTCAAATAGTTCGCTGTAAGCCACAGTCCGAGTGACCTGCATAGTTCAGTCATCACGGACTTTGCAAGTTAATACCGCGGACTCCGACCCTTGGGCTCTGAATGGGTAGGTTTGTCATTCTGAGCATATGTCCGATCCATTCGACACCCGGAAGGGGCCGGCCGCCTTGTTGGGGCATACCGGGGGCCACGACTAGCACAAACTAAGGAAACCGGGCCAGAATGCCTCTTAATGCGACAAACCGTCGAACAATGTGCAATTCGGGTCGAGTGCCTGACAGCCGTATTGGCGGCCTTATTGCAGGGCTTTGGCATGCAGACGCCTGGTCCGGATGTATGGGGAATTTGGAAGAGATGAAGCATGTATCGGGTACTCTTTCACGCAAAGGGATACCAACAAGTACACCCAGGCTGACTGCACGGTCAGGATCTTGGCCCTGGTAATCCTGGCTCGTGCATCTGGGCTTTGGCCAGCGGACACTAGTTACATGGATGTTTATTAGAAATCCACGCTACTCCATTAGGAGTCCCCGACATAGCCTTTTCTCCCCTTTAGAAATCACCTCGTATCACCGGTCTCTGCTCTCATTGGATAGGGAGAGTATATTGCATGACGGCCGGATAGGTGCCTCGAGTCTAACTTAATCCGTGGGGTGAGAATGGCCTGTGGCACCACATTGTGCATACTCACGATGGACTCGTCGTTGTGAGCCTCGGTGACTTTCTAGGTCATCACACCACTGCGTATCCATATGTTTCGAGCCTAGGCACTGTCGTACTGATTCTTCATTTGCCTTGCGAGGCGAGGCTTTCGAACAAGATTACTGGCGGACACCCCGTCATATAATATTGAAATGCATCAGATCCGGTTCATGTGGTTTGAAGCAAAATAGCACTACGGCTGTAAGCTTTGAAAGCTGCTAATAGTCATTACTTAGTAGCGTACACATGAAATACCTAAGCGGATGAATCCTCTTTAAGCTAAAATCGATAATAGCTGATTACTAGGACCAAGGCCCGACGATCTTCTAGGGCTAGGGGCGTGCCTTTCGGGCGAGTCGAGGTCATTCAGCCTCGAATGTCGCGCGAGGGCACAGTTGGCGATTATATTACGATACGAATACAAGGGCCCGATCCCTCGAATGAAACATGAAAACGCAAAGTTCAAGATTTAGGAGATTGAGAATGAGATTGTATCACGAGATTAATTGGCAAACTGGGAGGAGAATCGGGGAAAGGAATAACTGGGTATATGAGGTGACACAAAGCGGTAACACCCACGATAAAGAACACCACCTGGCCCCTTGTCAAGTGAAGTAAAAACGCCGTAGCCAAACCCGAATTGGTTGGTGGGGACATCGAGACCATCCCGAACAGAACCCAGATGCAAAACAAATAAGCAAATTCCGAAGCCTGAGAAGGAACGACCCTTCCAGGAACGCCCGTAGAATGCACATGAATAAAAAAAAAGAAAATAGAAAGCCATAAGTGAAGAGGCCGTAAAAGCAAGAGAGCCGTCATAATTCAGCGTTAAAAAAGCGTTTTAAACTTGAGAGGCCGCTGGAGGCAGTCCAGAAGGAATTGCCTGGACGAGAGACGGGCTGTCGACATCCGGCTGGGGTGGTTGGGGAATGGCCTGCTGGAGCCCGGCGACAATGCGCTCAAGTTCCTCCAGACGACGATCCTTCTCTTGGACTTCCAGTCGCAGTCGTTTGACTTCGTTGTGGATGTCACCATTCTCCTCAGTTCCAGGCAGCTCGCCGATGGGGGGAGTCCTCGTGTCGGCGCTTCATACCGGTAGCGGGAAGGGAGTTAGCGCGGACGCCTTCCAGTTCATTAGCTCGTTCCCAAGGCATGTCAACCATAATCGAAGGAACACCCCCATCATCTGTATGCATGTGTCGCCGGCGCAAGTGCTCCCTGAGGTTTTCTTGACGAGTAAATCCATTCCCAGTGCTTCGGTTGCAGTCGGCATAAGGGCACATCAGAGGCTTCTTGGCGTCCGTGTTCTTCTTGTGTACTTCGCGTTGGTGACGCAGAAGACCACCTGAATAGGTGAATCCTTGCACTTTGTCGCATCCTGGTTCGTAGCACTTGTAGGGACGGTCATGTTTATCCATATGTTTGCTAGAAGGGGTCTTGTTAATGACTGAGATAAGCGGGATAGGGGTTAGAGAAAACTCACTTCCATTCACAGGGACGGCGGAAGATAGGGGGATGTTCCTGGCAATCCAGATGGTCGCAGTAGATCTGGCCGTCGGCGTTCTTGGGAGGATCACGAGCGCGCCGCACGGAGAGGCGCGGGCGCGCGCCCTCGATGTAGGCGAGAGAGGGTTGCTGCTCATTCATTCTGGCAATTGAAAGAGACTCTTGAGCAGAAGCTAGAACCGAGGCAGCATTAACTCCGTGAGGAGCTTCACTTCGAGGGCTAGGATAGTCAGAGCCGTCGCCCATGTCGCGTTCGACCCCACACTTAGGTTGTGATGTAGTAGAGCCGGTAAGACGCGTCGACCACCCACAACCACAAAGGGATGAATAAGGCGGGTGTAGTTAGGAGCAGAAAAGAGTATAGATTAACACTCGATCAGAATCGTTGAAAGGCAGGCCAAATCAAGCAGTATTGCAGGGGGGGTGGGGGGGGGCAGTTAGATGTAGAGAGGAGTTGCCAGAGTTTTCAGGTAGAAAATTGAGGCATCCCTTCCGTCCCTGGGCCTTTTATAAGTAAGCCGGCACGCTCGGAGGTGGGCTTGGCGTATCCGCCACTGTGGCGCAGTCAGATCTTTGGATTTGGCTTGGAGTCGTCAACTTCTCCAACGGGATTCCCGAGCAGCTGAGTTTCTGCAGCGATTCCTGTAAAATTTCTGCCCAGGCCATTCCTTGTCTTTATACTGGACAAGCTGTGCCGGTTGGGTTGACCTTCGACGGCTCCACTGCGTTGGCCACCCATGAGTCATACAGTTCAGGTAGTTACCTAGGTTCCAAGAGGACTCCTAAATTAGCGTTAGGCACCAAGGCACAAAAAGCCCAGTCATGGCTGCCTTACTTCCATGTGGCGGTGTCGTGGATCGTGGGGGGAGAGTTTATCTGAACGCAGGGATTTGCAGGAATTTGCAGGGATTTGCAGGGATTTGTGACAGCCGTTAGGCTACCAAATATCTGCCGAATCACTTCCCTCGCAGGGAAACAAACTTTCCGGTTGAGATCTTGCAGAAGCTTGCGAATCTGATGGCTATGCTAATCCTATTCATAGCGAACCTTTAAATGGCCGCAGATCATAGTGGAGAGGCCAACGCTAATGCGAATAGGCTCCAGTATATTTGGGGAGGGGGTCTGCGCATGCCAGAAACGTCTTATCCGCGAGCATAGAAGTACTTCCTGATAATCTCGAATGAAACCCTAGAACAATACTGTTTATAGCACTAATGCAGAATCTTCTCTATTTCCGAGCCCCGAGGCGTCCTAGACAGAGTAATCATAGCAAACTACAACTTCTGTTCTAGCGGCTGCAGATGTTCCAAAACCCACCCGATCTCCCTTGCCACCACGTCCGGACGGATCAAGTGCACATTATGCCCGCAGTCTGGTACATGCACCAGATGCGTTGTCATCGACAGCCCCAGCTGGCTTTCCTGAAGATCCCGATCAATCGTAGGCCACCGATCCAAAAGCTCCCTCAACGCCTTCCGCTGTAGGTCAGACCCATTCCCCACCTCGACGCCTCGGCTGTAAATCCGCTCATAGTCGCCCGGGCTATTACACCGGATCACGCTAAGCGGTTTCACCCCCAGAGCCCTGCGCTCTAGCTGCCGCTTGGAGCGCAACGTATCGCATACGACCACGAGCGCATTCGCCTCGGCCGCTGCGGCAGCTGCTCCGCGCGCAATATCAATTGCCCGCGTTCGCCACTCGTCTCGCGAGAGCTTTGCCTGCGCCCGCAGTCCTGTTACCTGGGCAAAGCGCAGATCGCCTAGCACAGCGACGAGGTTGGGATCTGGGATCTGGAAATAGTCGCTCTGACGCTCCGTCGAGCCGTCCGCTAGGACCATGCCGGCGACGGCGTCAGCGTGCAGATGGAGGTATTCGCGGGCAACAATTGCCCCATACGAATGGGCTACTAGGATTAGGGGAGGAGAGAGCTTCATAGACTGAAGGAGGCTGTGTAGATCGCCCGCGGCAGTCACGGCTGGCGAGCATGATAAACTTGGCGGACCTGTCTCACTGCGGCCGAGCCCAGAGCGGTCGTAGATCAGGATCCGGGCCTTTGTGGCAACGACTTGTGTGAGGGCTATGTAGGATGATGCGACATCGCCAGCGCCGGCGAGAATGACGATGAGCGGATCTGAAGTGTTGAGCGGAGGGCCACTGACCGATACAAAGAGTCGGTGTGTTCCTATGGAGATCATGGAGGAGCCACTTGCTGTCCGCCAGTCCGAGTCCGGTGGAATTTCCATCATGTAATCGTTTAGGTTAACAGCCGTGATGTTCAGACTATTCCTCCCTCAGTGATTATGTAGCCAAGATGATGATACTGGGGGCGGGGAATATAAGTACGAGTAGAAGAATATCAGCCCTCAATGCGGGATTTCATGTTGGGGGCGACCAAACTACTACGGTCAATTTAGACTCCAGGGTGATATTTAAGAAGATTAGAGGGTATAAATGGCCCAAGAGGAATTTCAAGGCAAGTCGAAAATGATGTACGACAATTCTGCACTTGATCCGATTGTTATCGGATCAGTCCAGCGCTTCAAACCACAATAGGGGCAAGAGTCTGTGCATACCGCTTCACCTACCCCATCAAATACTGAGGTAGATTCCCGATTACATATCCTACACCACCAATCCTTATTAGATCATACTAAAATTTAATATATTGCATAGTCAGAGTTATATACACACTTCTCTTGCTTAATATCTTGTACAATAACCCTGGTTGGTATACAATCTATCCATCCTTCTTCCTATACTCAATATTAATATATCAAGCTTCGTCTGGTCTAACACATCCTATATAGTATGAATACACTCTTTAAAATAAGCCAGATCCTCTTCAGATCTTCCTATCTATACAAGGTCTTTAAATATACAAAAAAGTTAACATTTTAATAGTTTCCAGACTAGTTTAATAAGATTAGGATCAGGCGAGTATATAGATCTTTTTATTACTTTGCTGAGATATCATTCCCGATCGATAGTGATCGATGCCATTGGGGAAGTGTAGGAGAAAAAAATAAAAATGCGGGTGGTTGTTAGTGTGATAGTAATGGGGTTGAGTGCACAGACTTTTGGCTGGGTGGTGTACATACAGTATATACAAGAGTTCCCGAGCTCACACCAAAAAAATTCGGCATGCATCATTCAAATTAGGAGACGGAAATCGAGTGATTATTACATTTATTCTACGAACGCAGAAAATAAAGAGCCTTGTTCTAAGTTAATGAAGTACTACAAAACTTCGCACAAGGACACGGAACCTGAATCAAAGAAACGAATGTATTTTAATACTAAGCAGTATGGAGGGGGGAAGGACCAGGCGTTCTGAGCAAAACGAACCGCTAGAGGAAAAAGCCCGAGCGGACGAAGCAACCTTTCAAATTGCCCAAGACTTTCCGAAGAGGCTTGCGGCTAGGCTGCAAGATAGGCTATCGACGACAACCTACTCCTCTGAAGAACTGAGGCAATGGCAAGGATAGGACTGTCAAGGGCCTGTTCATCGACATCCGCACAAGGTCTAAATTCACGGGCAAGAAAGACAGTAGCCTTGGACGGAGGGCCCTGCCTGGGTGGCTGATGAGGCGTAGGGCGAATGTCCACTGAGTACGTTGTCAAGGATAACTGAGCCCGAATACCAACGAGCTGGCCTTGGCCACGACGGTGAGGTCCTGATTGGCAGATCTGATGGAAAGAGTTTCATATTCCCAGCGAAACTTTGCTTCTTCTGGTAGCAAGAGCAGGCTAGCCAGGGAAAGCAACACTGACGCATCTAATTCAGTCGTAGTTACCGCCGACCTGGCTGGCAAAAGCAGTTGATACGCTGCGTGCGTCATCGTCATCATGAATCTTGTGGCCTGGGGTGCCACGGGTGACACGAATGCTAGCAGAACTGCCACCGAAGATGCTGCCATTGTCGGGGACTCCGCCACGGTAAAGTTCACGCCCGCCGGACTCCACGTAGCGCTTCAGACGATCGGACTGACTTAGGCTGGGCTGCTTTGTCATGTCATTGAGGCTCATGCTTGTGAGACTAACGCCACCTTGATCGACGCTCCTGCCGTCGACAATACTTCCGGTGACATCCGACTCGGTAGCAGCAACTGACTCGCCAGCAACACTGGGCGCGCCTTTGCCCGGCCACCATTGGGACGACGACCGGAGAGAGACGGCCAAGCATCCGTGAAATTTTGGAACATCGGCGGATATCCGGAAGGAAGGCCAACACCGCCGCCGAGAGCAGAAGAGTGGACAGAGGAAACATCATCAGGGATATAACCAATAACAGAGCCTGAGTCGTGATACTCATTACGTTGACCGTTGCGTCCGTTCACCACGCTGTTGTTCATGCTGGGTACTTGGTTAAACGACATCTGGAAGCGCTGTGGACCTCTGTAGGCCTGCTTAGGACGGCTGAACTGGATCAGAGACTCCTGCAGGTTAGACAAGGGACCCTCGACCAGACAGTGCCGTTCCTTAAAGTGCTGCAGAAGGTAATTCCACAGAGGGTGCTTGGAAAGCACCTTCGGGTTACCAAGGATCACCAGACCAAATCGGGCACGAGTAAGGGCAACGTTCAAACGACGGGGATCGCTCAAGAAACCTATCCCTTGATGATCGTTGGAACGCACACACGACAGGATAATGTAATCTTTCTCTCGTCCCTGGAACGCATCGACCGACGCTACTTCAATCTCCTTGTAGTTTTCCTTCTTGAAAGTACCGTTGGCCTGCATAGAGCTGACAACGTAGCTCCGCTGTCCCTCATATGGAGTAATGATACCAATATTTGCGGGCTGCACACCTGCTTTGAAGAATCGTGTAACAATCTTCTCCACATTAGTGGCTTCAGTGCGGTTAAGGTACGAGGTTCCAGAAGCAGAGATTTCCTCGTTACCTAGGTTGGACCAGAACATCATAGGCTGCTCGATCATTGGCCATGGGAAATCAACGTCGCGAGCAATACGTTCTTGGTTAGTGACACCATTCTGCAGCGATCCTTCGTAGAACATGTTCGATGGGAACTCGGAAAGACAAGGATGCATACGGTATTGAACGTTCAGTCGGATGGGCGCGCAGCCTAAAATGACAAGACGCTCGAAAAGAGACTGGTTCAAACCGGCCTTGGCTGCTTTCTTGTTCATGATGACAGGACCAAGTTGCTGGTGATCACCGACTAGTACAACCTGTTTGCAGCCCAAGACCAAGGGAATCATGCATTCTGGCTCCGCAGACTGGGTAGACTCGTCTATGAGAACCGTCCGGAACTTAGACTTGGAGATTCGCGGGTCACCAGCTCCAACGCAGGTGCAGCAGATGACATCGGCGTTGGTCAGGATTTCGCGCTCGGCAGCGCGAGTGAGTTGCTTCAGTCGCTTCTCATCTTGACTTGAAAGTTCACCGAGTTCAGACTTCAGCTGGTTGAGTTTGACAAGCTCGATATTGCTATCATTCATGCGCACTTGCTCGTGCAAAGATAGGAATCCAACGGGGGACTCCACATCTTCGCGCGACTTAGCAGTCACACGGACCGTCTTGAGACCAGTCCGATGAATGCGCTCACACAATTGATCAACCGCGACGTTGGAAGGAGCACAGACCAGGACTTGACCGCCGTTGATTTTCGCCAGGTGATAGATAATAGTAGCCGAAGTAACGGTTTTACCAGTCCCTGGGGTCCCTGGATCAAGCTAAGAGGTCTTTGGAGCACACTCTTCACGGCGTTAATCTGACTACTGTTCAGATCAGGAAGGCCAGGAACACTGAATTTTTTCGGGATCTGGGTCTTCATGGGAGCTGCTGCAACCTCGTGACCCAAAAGACGGTGGAAGATGTAACCGGAAACGCTCTGATCATCGATGGCAAAGTTCTTCATAGCACCTTGCATACGATCGAATGATGTCGATTTCCAGACGTAGTCGGCAGTGAAGTTGTGAGTACATTCAGTGGGTACCGACTTATGATCGCCCTTGGAGCGCAATTCGATCGTAACTTCATCCGACTGGTTGTTTGGGATTTTGATCACATAGCCAACACCTTCCCACTTAGAGCGAAGCTCGCCAGTGTACTTCAAGCGCATTTCATCGCCAACCGCCAACTTCACATCTCCCAATTCAAGCTTGGGGAGAACAAAGCTTGCAAGATGCTTGTTGTTGAGACCTAGGTCCCACCGCACGATAAGGCCATCTTGCGATTGAGATTCTTTGAGCTTACGGTCATAGTCGGCTTCAATCTTAACGAGCGGGCCGAAAATGTTCTGGTACTGGTAAGCATCGTCGTAGCGCAGTAGAACCGGTGCCGGCTCGTCATCTACGGCAGTGGCTTTCTCGAGATCTTCCAGTGTAGCTTGCGAATTTTCCTTCCAGAGTTCTTCCAGTCGAGCGATCAATTGTGGACTAAGATGGCGAGCTCGGAGCTGTTCCTGGTCCGTGGGGGTACCCACAAGCCAAGGCAGGAACGACCGATCTTCAATAAGCGGCTGCCAGCGTGAAGTATCCCAGTTCATATCCTTAGAGGAAGGCATAGCGGCACATGGCTGGCGACAAAGAAGAACAACGACAGTATCCGATTTGGCAGGAATGAAACCGAGGAGAAAGACGTTCTTGGTACCGCAGTTATAGCATTCGAGGATCGTATCGCCGAGGGACGAAGCGGGGTGTAGCTGAACTTCCTTGTGGCGCGCGCGAACAAGGTGATTGACGATATGTGACGAAGACGTATTTCCCCGCGCACTGCAAAACCACTTGTTGCAAGGAAGACACTTCACCACGCTGCTCGGGTTATGGATGCCGCAGTACCTAGAAGCCCCTTGAAGTCAGCTCTTTATCGCGCCATATGCAAATTTCGCAGACTTATCGATACTTACGCGCAAGCATGCTCAGGAAGCTCTTTGTCCTCCTCAGCATAGCCCTCGCCCTTTGGGTTTCCATTGGCCGGTCCACCCACAGTACTCTCAAGGTCATCGTCCTCAAAGTCGGAACCGTCGTCTTCGTCGTCATGCATGCGAGGTCGAGGTCCACTACCGCCGATATCTAGGTCCCTGAGCCTTGGACCCAAGTCTCCGACGCGCGAAGCGTCGTCACCGAGGGCCGAAGAGTAATGATCCATTTTGCGATGGTTTAAGTCAAAATGAGAGTCGTAAAAAGCACAAGCTGAAAAACAACCCAGTCAAATCCACGTGAAGCAGTGACCATGTGCAGTCAAGCAACGAAGTATGGAGATCGTAAGTAAGGGAGTGTAGAGGACAATCCGGTCGTCCAGTGTAGTTCAAAGGCCCGAGTGCGTGCCTGAGGGGCAAAGGACCTGGGGTAAAAAGCTGCTGAATTGAATGGTCAGCAGTGAGGAAGTCATGTGAGGTCATGCAAAGAGGCACTTACACAAAGCCCCGCTCTCTGTTTCTCAAAGGACCAAGAAAAGAGAGTGGAAGAGTTTGTACAAAAACCCTCTCCGCATTCTACGGCTCACTTTCTCGATCGGTGGGCTCCCACTACGGCAGCCGCAGCGGACCACAAATGCAGCCCCGGAGATTAGAAAAAAAAAAAAGTTACCCGCATTGTAGATCTGCTCACTCTCGCACTTTACACTGAGATTAATCTCTCTTCACAATGCTGGTATGTGCTGCTGTTATTCTTACGATGCTATAAAATATTCTAATAAATTTGTTATAGCGCCGTCAAGCTAGAGAGCGTCGCGACTACCTCTATCGCAGAGCATTGCTTCTGCGCGATGCATCAATTGCAGAGAAACGAGCCCAGCTGAAAGCTTCTTTAGCTTCCGGCAAACCGTTAGACCCTTCGATTGCGAATGATAAGGCTCTCCGTGAAGATTTCAAGTTTGATGAGTCAAAAGACGAGAAAGATGGGGAAATGGATATCGACGACGAGTATGCTTTAACCTCTGGTGTTATCGACCCTCGACCCCTAGTCACTACATCTCGTTCACCCTCCGCTCGCCTCGGCGCCTTCGCAAAAGAGATCCGTCTTCTTCTACCGACCTCCATTCGCTTGAACCGTGGTACCCTTGTGCTGCCTGACCTTGTTTCCAGCGCAAACTCTGCTGCCCTCACCGATATGCTCCTGCTCCACGAGCACCGTGGTACCCCTACTGCTCTCACCGTCTCCCACCTTCCACATGGGCCGACAGCTAGCTTCTCCTTGCACAATGTCGTTCTCCGAGCAGATATCCCGAACTCGGCTCGTGGAACTGTATCAGAGAGCTACCCTCACCTGGTCTTCGAGGGTTTCAAGACCAAGCTGGGTGCCCGTGTTGTCCAGATTCTGAAGCATCTTTTCCCTCCCCGCGACCCAGGAAAGGTTGGAAACCGAGTTGTCAGTTTTGTGAACAAGGAGGACAGTATTGAAGTGCGACACCATGTCTTTGTGAAGACTGGATATCGTGATGTTGAACTTGCGGAAGTTGGGCCACGAATGACAATGCGCTTGTTCGAGATCCGCGGAGGCTCACTGGAGAAAGGATCCAGTGGTGATATTGAATGGGCGCTCACTCAATATACCCGGACCAGCCGGAAGAAGGATTATCTTTAAGAGGTTCATATTTTGCATTCAGGTGTCGACTTGGCGTGAGGTTTACGATTACGGCATACAAAGTTTTACGGTATACTATGGCTTAGGCGTATAGGTTTTGCAAGGCATCAAGGCACAATAAAAGATTGTCATACCACGAATTTTCAAATCAACCGCCCGGGTCTATACCAGCAAGAGCAACGAGCGAGACGAACCGAACGAACCTCAAATTCAAGCTGGGATAAGTACTTTGTAATTCTCGAGATTTGGGCCTGCCATAGTAACCATGCATGCCACTTTCAAGTTCAAAGGGCTTTCATCCATATAAAATGAGCAGAGCGGAGAAATTTTGGAAATGCTAACGAGAAAAATCAAACCTTCAGAACTAGGAAAGCCCAGATACATCCCTTCAGGCCGTCATTCCTCATATGGGTTTGCGACCATTCAAGCTTTAGTGTTCGAATAAACTCGATCCATCCATTTTCTTCGTGCCGATAGTGCTTCTCTCTTGAGAGTCAAATTCGCTTTCTGCGCGTCCCTTAGCACCATTGGCATCCTCTTTTCCTGGGTCATGTTCAGGTTCTCTGGGAACAACCGATGGCTCTTTCGGGGAATGTGCACAGGTTCCATCATGTAAGATCCTAAAAGAGTCCTCTTGTATTCCACAGAATACCATCCTTCGTGCATAGGCAGATCATTCCCATCTGCATCCTTTTTCGGTGGAGGAGCCTTGTTGTCGAACCTATCGTCCCACTTTTTGCCAGTTTCTTGAGCAAAGAATTTCTTCAAGCTGTCTTTGGCACTTTCAAGTGTGCTCCTTGGAGGTGATAGAATGGCAATGTCTGATGTTCCAGTACGACTGTACTTCGCATAGGCAGAATATGAAGGGGGGCTCCTGTGGTCTTCGAAAATCTGCAATGAGTTTAGTCACTGTAAATTTAGACATTTCAAACGGACCTACTGCAAGAGAGAACTTCTCCCGTGGAGCCCCGGGCTTCACCGAGCGAAAGAGATATGCAGACCATTCCTCGCTTGTATCTGGGTCCCTATAAATTCGCTCTTTGACTGTTTCGGGCGTCAGCTCCATCCCGTAGTGTAACCAACTTAATCATACGGCGCGCACTCATGAATCTCGTACCTTTGGTCCCTTTCTTCTGGGAGAAGGGGTCCCCTGTATTTTCGGGTGGAGTTAGCAATATTCATATGCTATTCAAGAAGCGAATCAACTTACGAACAACTTGCTTTCCGTCTTTAGCTCCAAATCTTTTGCTTTTGCTCTTGGCCCTCGGGCCAAATTGGTTCTCAAGCAAGTATGGCTCTTCTACCTTCGGGCGTTTGGACTTTTGCAAAAGCGAGTCCTCTAGCCAGTCATAGGTCACAATTTTCACGGTGCCGAGTTTCTTGGCCATTTTGACTAGAATTATCAGAAGTGATGTTAGTATATATCTCTTGCTTCAAACAAAGGAGGTGTAATGGCTTAATACCTGCTTCCACATTCTGCTTGTAAGCGTCGAGTGAGGTAATGAGATGGGTGACATGAGAATGAACTCCTCGTGAGAATTGGCCGCCATTGAATTTGACCCACTGTGCTATTTTGTCGCCGTGCTCAAAATGACCAGCAGAAGCGGCATGAACCCGTGCGAAAGTCTTTCCCATTCTGATGTAGAGGCCAGTGAGAATAAGTGATGTTGAGATCCATGCAGTGGCTATGGGTTTGGGCCGTTGAAAGACGTTTGATCGTCTCTAGGCTTTAATAACTGCCCAAAAGGCTGTATGGGACGAAGGAGAAGGAAAAATAGAAACCAATGTTCGATAATCAAGATATTGACTTTCGTTGAAGATAGTGAAGCTTGAGACCAGGTGAGGTGAGTAGGGTGATGACGAAGATGAAAGGTGATGGCTAGATGGATCTCCAGAAGTCTGCAGGAGCCCTGGGGAATCTAGAAATGGGGGTCAAGTCGATTTTAGACCATTGACGGAAGAGTCAAGGTCAATACACAGGGGATCCGTAAATGAGAAAAGCAATTCTTGACGATAGGGAGTCCGTGGCTAGGATAGAACCTGCTGTAGAATTAGACTCATGAGAACCACGCGGTGCGAAAGTGTATTGATTCGTCTACAGAATGGTACGTACTAGAGGAGATATAATATCCCAATGGTAATATGGAAGGAAGCTAGGAAAGGTGAGATAGATTTGAAGAACCAGCTCAAATGAATATGCCATTACCAAAAGCGTATGAGAACAAAAAGTAGAATGTATATAGAGTGGGCCTTAGTTGGGCCTTACTGACGAACACTCTTGGCGGCCTTCACAAATGATCGAATCTTGTCTAGATCTTGAGTGCCACCCGTCTCCACACCAGAGCTTACGTCCAGTCCAACGACCCTGGAGCTGGAGTTTCCAAGCTTCTTCACGACATCAACAACATTTTCAGGATTCAGACCGCCAGCCAGAATAACCCGAAGGCCCTCATCGCTTTCAAGGACCTTCTGAACCCAATCCTCTTCAAGAAGCTGCCCAGAACCACCGGACCCGGAGTCCAGTAAAGGAAGAGTATGGTAAGCGCGACGGGCGATTCCGATGTCTCCGGGTGCAAATTTTCGAATGACAGGCACTGGGATAAGGCTTGCCCACTCTAATGGCTCGGAACCGTGCAGTTGCACAACGTCAAGAGAAAGCTTTTGTTGCTGGGAAAGAACATATGATAATGGCTGGTTCATGAAAACACCAACCAACAATGCTCGAGATGGGTGGCGGAGAACTTGCGTAGAGTGCTCAAACCATTCAGAAGATGTTGGTTTCGGCGTTTCTTGAATCTCGTTTATCTGGGTATTAGGACGGGGTGTGGACTTGACCACCTTAGATATGCTAATTGCAACCTCATCTGACACTGTTCGTGACCGGCCGGGAACTTGGATGATTCCAATCAAGTCAGCACCAGCTTCAATAGCAATTTGAGCCGCCTCTGCAGACCGCGTGCCGCAGATTTTCACCAGTGGGGAGCTTGATGATGATCCAGAGCCAAATTTAGAGCCTCCCAGTAGATGTGCGACGAACGCAGATGTATCTGGTGCACGCATGAGGGCTTCTCCAACCAATATTGCCTTGACGCCTTCCTTCCTGTAAGCTTCCACGTCCTGGGGGCCCATAATGCCACTGAGCGCACACACGATAGTGCTCTCTGGAACTTGGTCCATGAGACGGCTCGTGGTGCCAAGGTCAACCTCAAAGCTTGTGAGATCCCTGTTGTTGACACCGATCACTTCAGATCCGAGATCGACGGCAATCTTCATTTCTTCTGGCGTGTTGACCTCGACCAAAGGCTCCATTCCGAGGCTGCGAGAATATTTGTAAAGACGAGTCAGGAGCTCCACACTAAGCATCTTCACAATAAGCAGCACGGTATCAGCACCTGCTAGCCGAGCCTCCAAAATTTGATATTCCTCGAAAACAAATTCCTTTCGCAAAACAGCAGGGCGATTGGTGAGACCTTCCAAGCTCTGGCGAACAGCTCGAAGATCATCAATTGTACCCTTGAACCACTCAGGCTCTGTCAACACAGAAATCACACTAGCGCCAGCTTTAGCGTACTCCCGAGCCTGAGCAGGGGCACAGACATCAGCCGATATGATACCTTTCGACGGAGATGCTCGCTTAATTTCCGCCATCAGGGCTAGAGGATAGTCGGATTGTCTCAAACGAGCAGGGAAGGAAATCTGGGGAGGGGCTATGTTTAGATCATAAGATGCCTGGAGGGTTTCTGGTCGGAGAGCCGGAATCTTCTTCTGTTCGGCCACTGCGTTGCGGCGATGGGCGTAGATCTTCTCAAGAATGGATACCTTCTTATCCACCAGAGCAGCTGGCTTAGCAGAGGTGGCACCCAGCTTGTTACCCTCCCAAGTACCGGCAGTAAGCTTCAAAAAGTTTCTGAACATGCCACGGCCATACTCGGTGAGAATACTCTCGGGATGGAACTGTACACCCTCTACGGTAAATTCTTTGTGCCGGACTCCCATAATCACCGTACCACTGCCATTCTCGAGCTCAGCCCACGAGGAAACTTCCAAGCAGCTTGGCACAGTGGAGTTGGTTCCGGCCAGCGAATGGTACCGAGTGATCGAAAATGTCGTGGGCAATCCCTCATAGACACCCTTCCCATCGTGCTTTAAGACCGAGGTCTTTCCGTGCAAGATCTCACCAGTTACGTCAACTTTCCCACCAAGTGAAGAAATAATGCATTGCTGGCCCATGCATACGCCAAAGATTGGTATCTTGCCCTTGAAATGTTGAATTGCATCGTTGCTGATTCCAGCGTCTGTCTCCGGATGACCGGGACCGGGGCTGATGACCAGTTGGGTTGGTTTCTTCGCGACAAGCTCCTCGACAGTCACTTCGTCGTTTCGAATGACGGTCACGGTGGCTCCTTCAAGAACTAAGTATTGGTAAACATTCCAAGTAAAAGAATCGTAGTTGTCGATCAGAATGACATTCGAAGCGCTATCCAAGCGGGAGGCTTTGGTGGGATGGTGGGGGGAGTGGTCGATGAAGTCCGCCATTTTTACGGTCGTGGCGTGGGAAGGAGGGCGGATCTGTTAGACCCAGGAGCTGCTGAAAAGGCTAAAGACACAAACAGCCTCGAGAAAAATGCCAATTCGCTCCACGGACAGTCCAGGTTGATCAAAGTGCCACCAAAAATCCGAATCATAAAAAGAGGGCTTGACCGCCCAGCGCTAGTCCCAGACGGGTAATGTGGATTCTTGTTGACCGCAGGCGCGCGGTGGTGAATAATTTGTGAAAGCTCACTCAGACTGCCAGAGCTACAAACACCCTCCTTCTTGACCTTTCCAGTCTCTCATCCATCTCCCTCATCCCAGGCCCTTTCCTCTACTGTGAAATTCTATGATGATCTAAATTGCCTTGCCAAATGGCTCCCGTCCCGGAGGCTTATTTCCCGTCCCTGGACAAGTGCTTCTCCGGGGACGCTCAACTGCTGTGGGTTTCAATCCATATCATACCTGGCCAGCTAATACTGACGATATTTCAGCGCCTGGGAAAGAGCGTTTCTTCACTTGAGTGATCCTAACACCCGCCTCGCCGACGAAGACAATGTCTCCGCTTTCCTGTCGCACCCAGACAGCGTTCAGCTTCTGTCGCAAAGCTTAACCCCCTTCACTCCCCCGTCGCCCAAAACCAAGTCTGATTTCGACTCCAAGACTTCCGCCATTCATGTGGAAACCAATTCAAAAAGCTCCTTTGATTTGAAGGAAATCAAAGCTGACGCGCAATGGCTTAGCGAGAAAGCCAAGATCGACGAGATCACAGCTCTGCGCATTATAGTCCTCGAGTGGCAAAGTCGCCCTGCAATACGGCTTGCTAAAGGATTTTCCAATGAGGAAGCAACTAGCATTCAAAGCGCGACCGGATCAGACAATTTGGGGATGTCCGTGGCTGGGCCAAATTTAGCCAGCATCCTCAAACGCACCGGCGAGGACAATGGCGATTTATTCGATTCGGAAACTAGCCGACGGCTGCGAATACGTGAAATCTATATCTCGGAAAGGACCCATGTCCTGAAGACATACCGCAAGCTACTCGCCTTGTCGCTACACAATACTCCAAACCCAGTAGCTAATGAAAGCTCCACAAAAGTTGAAAGCAAGCCTGCCTTGCGCAAGTTGGGAGTTACTTTATTTGCCGACAAGTCTACTGGCAACGCATTGAGTGAATTCCTGAAGGAGTGTATCTCTGCAATCTCAACTCGTCTGAACGATTTTGCGCAAGAGGACGGATGGTTGGGTGCAGCTGAGAGCAATTCAGAGATCGAGCTTAACTGGAAGAAGTCTCTTACAGAGGAGGTTCTGCATATTATGCAGCTCATGTTTCATCAGCTTCATACATCTGCGGAGGTCCCTTCTGCTGACCTCTTATTATCGTGGCTAGAGCTTATGGATCAGCATAACTTTCTACAGTCATATCAGGTGGTAAGTCAATGCAGTGAGATTCTCATGTTTAAAAATCAGCCCCATCGCCTCTAAACGAGCAGAACTAATGAATGTCGCTCAGTTCTGTGAGAATCCGACAGAGTTGTTGCTTCCTCTTCAAACATTTGCTTCATTGACTACTCTAACCTTCCTCAAAATCCACCTTGCCATCCCAGCGATCATTAATAGAGCTCAGCCGCAAACCTTCCCTTCAAACCAGACAGCCTACTTTTTGTCTAAGGAGAAGGCACCGCGGATCAATGGATTTCTCCCTCAATTTCGCTCAGCAAGGCCATGTTGCGGTTCCAGCCACTTTTTCGTGGGGCCTGGTACTGCACACTATTCGTGAATTGGCTACGAACGATGCCGAGACTCGAGAAATGGAGCAATTAGACAAAGCTTTAGACTCGTTCCAGTCCAACACCCCTAACAGACGCTCTTCTCGCACCTCAGAGCCTACCCTTTATGAGGATCTGTATGATTCTTTCAAAGATCCGAATTTCCCTGTGGAAGATGTGATCTTCACATTGACCAATGATGATATGAGCGCCTGGACATTTGAAATGATCACCTCTATCTCCACTGGAGCCATTGCAACATCTGCAGTAGATGATGCCTTAACCTACCAATTCATCCGTCTAGCTCTGCTCAACCTTATACGAGTATCAGTGACATTTTTCGATTACTCGCCGGAGCTGATGGAGGCTGTTTTGGCGATCCTCAATGGTAAGCCGGGTGGCTCTTTTTTGGACCTAACCGGTTTATTGGGGCCTGATAAAGATCCTAAATCTGTCTTCATTGAAGACGCGGCTCTGATGCGAAACATTTTCGACGTTGCACGAGCCCGATTCCCATACGAAACCGTTCCCTTCCTGAGACTCTGTCGTGCCTTGATGGGAGGACATTCCATGAACGAAGAAGGATTGCCCCTGGTCTTTGACTTGCTTGAGAACATGGAGACATTCACTCAAGTTGTTCCTGAAAGTTTCCAAGGATACAAGACCACACGGGAGGATGAAAATGCGAACTTTGTATCCTTGGTTCAATCTTTGAGGATGTTCGATTCGGTCTCCCGTGATCGTCTTCCTGGGGCCGAGGCTAGCAATGCTTTGGTACTTAGGGCATCGTCTGAAATTCCTACATCGACCCTCGGTCAGGTCATATCTCAATCCAAGCCAGCTGTCATCATGTGGCAATACCAATATTCTTGTCTGAATTTCTTGGGAAGCTGGCTTGAAGAATGGAATGAGAACGGTGGCTTCTTTTCTAGTTGTGACTCGGAATCTGCCACTGAAGTAATCGATCTCTTGGCTGATCTGGTGTTTCACGCTCAGGATCGAGGCTCTATGGACTCAGTCGGTGTAAGTGCCAAGAGGGTCCTCGAGATGGCGAGTGACGGGCTCTCTCGCAAAGGCGATATCATCACAGTGGTCTTGGATATCTTCGAGCGCAACTTGCAGGATATTGTATCTCAGCGAGATCCTTCAAAGGCACTTGACCCGATCATGGCTTGTCTACGTTTCATTCAAGCAATCTTGAAGGTGCTTCCCTGTCGAGTATGGCCGTTCTTCAGCCGAAGCAGCTTCATTGGATCGGACGGTAAGGGGGGGCTAATGACAGCAATAATCTCAGCTACCGAGATCCCCTCTGGTCAATACCCGTTCCTTCTCAGCTGTGTTGATCTGTTCAAAGCTGTTGTCGACGATGCGGCTTCGCGAGCAGTGCTACGCCGGTGTCCCGGCAGTGTTTCGAGCAGGTCACAGATTGCGACCGACTGGAGCGCAAGCGTCCCGTCCCATGTAATGAGATCGACCATACTCAATCTCACACGTACTATGGTGGATATCTTCAATAGCAGCGGGAACTGGAGATTCGACTTGCCAGAGCAGCGCTTCCAGATTAACGCGTCTTTGGCAGCCATCTTTGAGCGAATCATCTACTGCGCTTATGGCATTAATGAGGAAACGAAACTGGATTCAAAAATCACTGGCGTGTTCTCCACCTCCGCAGTGTATCTTTTGGATATGCTCCGACCACGCTCGACTGCTGATCTACCATTCAACCCCCTTCTTCGGTTAATATCAGAGGGTCTATACACACCATCTACGAGCCTTCTGCGGTATCTGAACCTGGTTGAAAACCAGGTCAGTTCCACTTTGAAACTTTGCGTCAAGCTTGTGCAAGCTGCGGTACTTGCGGAGCTATCTGGAACAATTCTAGAAGAACAACTTTTCAAGGCAGCTCCCATCCTGGTCAAACTCTATGCTTCTCATGATGCTTACAGGCTGCCCGTTACATCGTTACTTGATGTCCTCATCTCTCGTGCTGCATCGAGCTCTGACAACGAACCTCCATCACTGGTTGGTCATTTGGGGGCAGACTCAGCATGTTTATTCCTTGATGTGCTCTCGCAACTCGACAAACCCCTTAATGACAAAACCTTGCACCTGTCCATATGGCGACTACTATCAACTTTCGTTAGCAAACGTCAACAGTGGCTCGCAGTCTTCATCCTAACTGGCGCGTCCCCTCGTCAGACCTTGAAGAAGTCCGACAGATCGAAGGATCCGAGCATGCGAGGCATGCCTTTCTTGCAGATCGCCCTGGACCGACTGGCCCATATTGATCAGGAGGAACCTCAAGTTGCACTCGCCTTACTTGACTTTGTTTCCCAAGCTCAAGAGAATTGGCCATGGGCCACCCCGCAATTGAAGAGCCACCCTCAGTTTCTCACCGCAATCATTCACTACGTTTCGAAGCTGAAGATATCAGCATTGCCAGTGACCGAGCAGATCTTCATTACTCGAATTGCAGCAATGGTTGCCGATATCTGCGCTGTCTACCTGCATGCGGCCAAGGAGGCACGGGACGAGAGTTTCGTCAAAACATTAATTCCACTAGTTCAATGGTACGCCAAGGATGCTGTCAATGTATCAGGGTACAACTCCTCGTTGCATGCGAACTTGAAAAAGAACTTTGAGAACCGGTATACTGGATGCAAGATCATCGATTTCAAGCGCACCGCTCTTGAAAATCGGACACTAGGAAATGGATACTTCTACGACCTTGCAATGGGCCAGCAGATGCTATCCTACGACTTTGCCTGGGCCGGAAAACGCGGTCAGGGCTTTGCGGAGGAGTTTGAACGAGCGAACATTAACTTGTCATTGGTTGAAGCTCAAGTGGTAAGTTGCATTGGTCCCCTTGTAATTGCTTTATGAGTACTAATACGCGAGTAGAGCCTTCTGAACAGCTGGAAGTACTTCGCTATCGAGCACTCCGCAGATTTCATGCCACATGCTGAAATCCAAAAGTCAATGGCCATTGTCGCCCAGGACTGCCTGGAAGCTAACAGCAGAGGTGTTCCCTCAGAAGCAATCTTTTCGCGTATTCAGCAGGTCCGAGTTGACTTTGCTCAAGCCCTGATCCAACGGTTGGTTCAAGTCGGCGCCCGAGGAAACGAAGCATTCGGGTTACTTGAGGTTGCATGGAAGGCGATCCGCGCACGACACTCCTCCTTCGAGCTTGCGCTCATCAACGATGATACAGAATACTACCGCTCTCTGCTGAACGTGCTCTTCCTGGCCTTGCAATTCCACTTGGGAGACTCTCGAGGGACCGATCCAGCTGCAAAGAGCAAGGGCGCTGTGTCTTCTGATTTGATGATCGCTGTCGAAGTGGTTGATACCATCGTCGCGCAAGGTTTCAAGTCACTCACAGGCTTTCTGCATGAACAGCCCCGAGAAATGCACGCCGAAGGACTTCGCCATCATCATCGCCATCCTCCAGATGGCCTTGCAAGTCAAAGACATTGAGAGGCTCTACGAGCACATCACCTATCACATCGCAGAAAACAGTGTTTCGCGACACGCGACAACCTTATTTTCCTGGGCCGATCAGCTTACAGTCAATGGTGACCCCGTGTACGGAGATCTGAGTCTATCGATCCTCGTCAAGATGTCCACTATTCCGACACTCGCAGACCATCTTGCCGCCGAGGGTGCTCTCATGCAACTCTCAACATGCCGTCTCACCAACATCCTACGTCAACCTAAAGGCTTCGGACCATTCGACCCGGTGCCTCGCCTATACACCATCTGGACCACGGGTGTGCTCCCTCTCTGTCTGAACCTGCTCTACAACGTCATCCGAGCCACGCCCGAGGTTGCCGCCTTCCTCAACCAATTCGAAGGTCAGCTCACCCGGGCCGCGGAAGTGTTCTCCCTCGGTCACCCAGGAACCTCGATCGGGCCACCATCCAAGTGGATTAGTCTGAGTATGGCATCGGAAGCATACTCGCTCTCGCTGATCTCTTTCATCATCCAACGCGCACGCGAGGCCGGCCCTGGCACTGGCCTGGATCCCCAGTCCATTCAAGAACTCAAATGGGATCAATCGCAGGTCAAGGAAGACCTTGAAGAGCTGCTGAATCGGCGTCCATCTCTGCGTGCTCGTATCACCGCTACGAATGAGAAGGAAGTCGAGTGGGCTCGACAGAAGCCGGTTAATGCCAAGCTCGGGGCAGAAAACCGGTTGGAGGAGAAAGTTGTGGGTGAACTGCAAGCTGCTTTGACTTGTTTGACGGGCGAGGAGGAGTCATGAGGTCCATGGTGTTAGCGCTTGTAGCTGTATTGCATGCGAGTTCTTTCTTTTCCTTTTTCGAATTTGGGTTGGGTATCTACAGGTTGTGGCAGACCATTGTTCTGCGAATCATATTTTTGCATCAAATACTTTGAATTCAACGTCTAGGCAATTGCCAATCTTCTAGAGCCAACCCGTTCGGTAGAATGATGCTCTACCTAGATATTCACAATAAGCACCGGTCAATCGAGCCTGTGCAAGTACGATTTCACGCGGACCGAGGCCCGCCAGTCGGGACGCGGATCCCCCGCATTCTCTTGCCTGTAGGTTAATTTTGCGGGGAAGCTGCATTCAAATCGAACGGTTATTCTGGGGTCGTATTTTTAAATGCTGAGTCTCACCGAAACCTATTCCTTTCAAGTTACTCCCCCCACAGGATCCCAACATAGACTTACCATGCCCTATCAATCTCGCTGGAAAATCGACGTCCCTGACGCTCATCTCGCATCGCTCCTCCTCCAATCCCCCACAGCACCACTCTCCACCACCAAGAAATGCTTTATTGACGCGGACCGCCCAGATTCCCACTTCTTCACCCCCCATACTTTCCGCCTCTGGAGTCAGCGGTTCGCCGCCGGCCTCCGCAACGCAGGCCTGCAACCCGGCGACCGCGTCCTCCTCTTCTCCGGCAATAACCTCTTCTTTCCCGTCGCCCTTCTAGGCGTCGCTATAGCCGGCGGGATCTTCACTGCCGCAAATCCCAGCTATGTCGCTCGCGAACTAGCATTTCAGCTCGAAGACAGCGGCGCCACGTTCCTGCTTTGCGCCCCTGGAAGCCTAGATACCGGCATCGAAGCAGCGCAGCTCGTCGGCCTACCCAAAGAGCGACTCTTCGTCTTCGACACCGCATTGTACGACGGTGCGGGGGCGCCGCAGCAGGGTTGCCCCTACTGGGGCGACCTCGTTGCGTCCGCGGAAGAAGGTCGCGGCTTTGCGTGGGAGGATTTGCGGACGCCACTGTTAGCTGATAAGACGATTGTGCTGAATTACTCGAGCGGGACAACGGGAAGACCGAAGGGTGTCGAAATCACGCATAAGAACTACGTGGCCAACATGCTGCAGTATTCGTTTCTGGGGACGCTGAATCCGGACTACGAGAGTCGGCGGGCGCGGGCGCGCTGGCTGTGCTTCTTGCCGATGTATCATGCGATGGCGCAGAATATATTCATCGCCGTGGCGCTGTGGCGCGGGACGCCGGTTTATATTATGCCGAAATTCGACTTTGTGAAGATGTTGGAGCATGTGCAGCGGTTCCGGATCACAGATTTGACGCTTGTGCCGCCAGTGATGGTGATGATGGCGAAGCATCCTATTGTCAAGAAATTTGATTTGAGCTCGGTTGAGACGGTGGGCAGCGGTGCGGCACCGCTAGGACGAGAGGTTTGTACGGAGGTGGAGAAGTTATGGCCGCCGGGGAAGATAAACGTGAAGCAAGGGTGGGGAATGACAGAGTATGTTCTCTGTTTTCCTCGTGTCTATTGGACATGTGCTGATTGGGTATAGAGCGACGTGTTCTTTGCTTGGATGGGATCCTACCGAGACAAGTACGTCCGCGTCTGTGGGTGAGCCTAATGCAAACTGCGAGGCTAAGATCATGGATCTGGACGGAATCAGGGAACTAGGCCGCAACCAGCAAGGCGAACTGTGGGTACGAGGGCAGAATATCATGAAGGGCTATTGGAGAAATCCCGAGGCGACGCGTGAGACTAAAACAGCCGATGGATGGCTCAAGACGGGAGACGTCGCCTATGTGGACGACGAGGGCAAGTTCCACGTCGTGGATCGGTTGAAGGTGGGTCCAGGAGGGGACAAAGCAATCCTGAAGCGATACCAAGACTAAAGTGTTGCAGGAACTGATCAAGGTCAAAGGCAACCAGGTGGCGCCTGCGGAACTCGAAGCGTTGCTGCTGGAACACCCCGCCGTGGCGGATGTGGCAGTGATTGGTGTCTCTGTGTGAGCTTTCCCCAGTTTGAATCTTCTTCTATCTTCTGATAGATAAACACGTGTCGAGATTTAACAAGAAACAGCGACAACGACGAGCGACCCCGTGCGTACGTGGTGTTATCGACGGGCCAAACCGCCAGCGCGGAGGAGATCACCGCATTCCTGAATGGCAAAGTCTCCTCGACGAAGCGGATCACCGGCGGAGTTGTTTTCCTCGATGCGATCCCTAAAAATCCTTCGGGGAAGATCCTGCGCAAAGTCCTGCGCGAGCAGGCACAGGCGGGGCTGAAGAAGCAAGGTGCCACAGCCAAACTGTAGTTAGTTTTCGATGCACTCAAGTCATTCGTCGCTGTCATTAGTTATCTTCAACATGCATTCCATGGATCCATGAACGCAAGCAATGGACCCGTCCATAGATGGTGGTCTGTAGTTCTTGTCATAGCCGCCGATCCCTGTTCGCCCTCCACGAATCTTGCAGAGAGAAGCCCGAGGGGTCAAGGAGGGGCAAAAAGACCCAAGTCTAACGGGAAAATCATTGGACCGACGAAGATCGAGGGGCCCTGGGCCCACTGATTGGACTGGGCGTCCGCTAGGGCATAACTTAGCGCGAGACCATGAAAGACATTTCCTGGTAATCGGGGAAGTATCAGGGCCGGATCGACGCGACAGCTCTCTCAGTGACCAAAGCCATGGAGACGGATCGGACACAGGGTTGTCCTCCGTCGAATAGTCCATGGTACCGAGGCTCTGTGACCTGGATGGTTCGCTGATTCCATGTAAAGTTTCCTGGAGGGGGGGGAAGAAAAAAGGGCCAGACCGCAGATCATGGCTGTGCTGCTAGTGGCGCCCCGGGGCTGCAGCTGAATCTTTCCCCAGTCCGATTGTGGCTGGCGCGTGTGTAGCTGGACGACCTTCCCATTGAGGATTTAGCCAATTCCCATGTCTTGCTTCCATCCAGCCCTATGCCCACCCGAACGAGGTAAGAGTTACCTTACTAACGACCTCGTATATTCGGTGGTCACAAAGTGACATAGCCTGGTGGGGTCGGCGTACAAGAGCGTCCTTTGTCCGGTATCACTGCGAACCCCGATTTCGCGTCCATCTTGGTGGGGTTGGAAATCAGGAAAAAGAAAAAGACCAAAAAAAAAAACAAAAAACAAAAAAAAAAAACACGTAAAACGAGAAACAGAGTTCAATAATCTGACTTTCTGATAGATCACGCCACGGTTTAAGGTGCGAAAAGCCTCATGTTTCTCTGATTTGGTTGCGAACCATGGTGTCACCTGGAAATCATCACATCATTGCATCGTATAGATCATGAGGGCCCCGGCTGGGGTTTAGGTTGTCAAGAGGTCGATCCTATCTTTGTTTCCCCAGGCCGCCCACTGTAGAATTTCGTATAATACGGCACTCGCCTCCATTCTGGAGCAGTAATTCTTTGCCACCAGTTGAGGACGCTCCTGCACTTCCAACCGAAAGATCCGAATTCAGCCTCGATCCCACGATCTCTCGAGCTATATAAGCAGCTACACAAAGACTCGGACGGTGGCCTCGACCGGACCAGAACGCAGGCCTCAAGTTGCAGCCCAGTGACACACGAAATGGTGACATCAAAGCCAGTATAATCCCACAGTACTCAGATTCTACACCTATACGAACGACAGCCTCGGTCCCCCGAACCTCCCACGTTCCAACAGGGATACCCTAGCAATATCATAGAGCGCAAAGCCACGATGGAGAAAACAGACTCGCAAACGCCTTCCACACCCACCGTCATCCCAGCTCCGGTCTCTGCGTGCGATGTATTGACGCCACTGTCGCAAGACACGGGTCTTCCTACCAGTGGCGCCGTCGCCGCGAGAGTGCGCCAGCAGATGCGGGAAAATGCAAGTTCGCCTTCACCCGCGAGTTCGCCCTCCTCCTCCCATTCAGACTCAGCGACCCGTTCGGGAGGCGAGCTGAGCCCCGTGCAAAAGCGGAGCGAAACCCTGTTGCCTATGGGTAAACGCGAAGGCGATGCGGTCAGGACGTGGAGACGGATGATTGTGGAGTACAGGTAGCGCGGTGCCCTCTCCTAACGACGGCGTTTCATGTTTGATGTTTCGTATTCTGGGCTTTGGTCTGATTCCATGTCATTTTAGCCGGTGGTACACGTGGTTTGCATTATGCATTTTGACGTTTATGTTGATGTTTAGGAATGAATGATCCACGGCCGTAATCTGCTTCCTAAGGTTTCCCGGTTCCAAGGTTCCAAGCCACGGATCATGCTTAGTCATATATAGTTGGGGCGCTTGTGGCTTCTTCACTCTGCGCGATATCTTGACTGATACTGTCCTCGCCTTCGACCTCCCTTTGGCTTGCGCGCGTAATGGCTGTAACCGCTTTTCCTGCTGCTGGAGAAGCTCCAGATCTCACACTGCTCAATGTAGCCCGGCTTTTCACTCGTCTCGAGCACAATCTCCTGTCTCCGGGTGCTGAACTCCCCACGCTGCGGCGCTCCGAGTTCCAACGCATGCGGGTGACCAAGGTAGATAACCCTGCAATAGATGAGAGTTGGAGGGGAGGCTCATGCGGAGCTTCGGCCCCACAGAATATACGGATTCAGAACTAACAATTCGCACTAGAATGTTGAATACGCCCGCACTCTCCTCTCGCAATTAGAGCGCAGCCTCCCCCAACTCAAACAACCTGACCGCCGCGCCGAAGCCCAAACAGAGATCGCGAGAGACCGCCAGCTTCTCAAACGGATGGAAACCGTTCTCAGCGAGGAAGAGACTCGGGCGCCCCAGGACGATACAGACACCGAGGATAGCGAATGGGCCGACGTGCTATCCCAACCCATTGCCCCCGAAAAGCCAGCCAGCCAGCCAGACAAAAGCAGCCCTCATACCCCAAGTACAAACACAAGTACAACTATCAGAACTCTACCCAACTCTACATCTCCACCCTCGCCTCCAGACTCAACCCGCGCACCAGAATCCTCCACTCTCCGCAATCGCCGAACCCCGTCTTCACATCCTTCAGCTCAGGATTCCGCAAAAGCCACCGGCAACTCCCGCCTCGGCGCCTCAGAAGACGCCCTCAGTGCCCAGCGCCTCGAACAAGAAGACCTCACCACCTCCCTCCTGTCCCTGGCAAGCCAACTCAAAGCCTCCTCGCACAGCTTCCAAGCCACGCTCGACAACGAAAAGTCCGCGCTCGACCGTGCCGTCACAGGCATGGACAAGACCTCGTCGACGATGGAAGCAGCGGGGCAACGTATGGGCATGCTGCGGCGGATGACGGAAGGCAAGGGCTGGTGGGGGCGGATGATGCTGTATGCGTGGATCTTCGGGCTGTGGCTCGTAGCAGTGCTGATTGTGTTTTTGGGGCCTAAGTTGCGCTTTTAAGGCATTTTCCAGGCTGCAGGCCGCGTGGAGGTCTGGAGGCGTTTTCGGCTGATTTGCCCTCTGCTTTTGTTAATTTAGATACCCGGACTGTAAGCTTTTTTTTTTGGACCCCAAGTTAGAATTTCTTGGCTTTTGTAATTGCATTCTTCCTGCTTTTACTTCTTTAACTCTTTTTTTCCCTCTCCCTTTTTTCCGAGTTTAGTTTTGTAAGAGGTTCAGCTCGCCACTGGCATGTTCGGGTGTTAGTCTACGTAATTCTAAGTCTACGTAATTTATGGCTCGGGGAGTGCGCGCAGCCGCCGGCGTGATCTTGCGCTGAGCATGTTCAAACTGACCTCATGCTACATGAAGAGCATTTTTGAATAGTCAGAAACCTGTTTCAATTCCTAATTCTGACGATAGCCCAACCGACCTGGCATGACACATGAGAAGGGGACATGAGAATCCACTATCATTTCCCCGCGCACTGCCGAAGATCGCACAAGGGAAGATGAAGGGGTGAGACGGTATGGTTACATACAAGATCACGATAAAAAAAAAGAGAAAAACAGAGGGGATAGCAACCAAGTAGGATATCCAGCGTTCAATGAAACATGAAGGGGAAAAAAAAAGAAACGAGAAGAAAATATGAGAAAAATTCCTGGTCTGCGTCGTCGAGAGCAGGAGGAAGAACCGGCTAAGAGATCGTGTCAGGGACGAGCGCAAATTAGAAGACACACAAGAAAAGAAAAGAAGTAAAGGAAAAGAAAAGAGATAGAGACAGATGAGAAAAGATGTTCAACGCCGGAATTCTTGGGTAACAGGGCTTTTGATCACATCCTGACGAGATATGATGAGCCAATGAAAAACAAAACACATGCGATCTAGTCCACATCCCGACACTCAATTCATTAGATCAAACCGCATTGGCGCAGGTTCTCTTGGATGATGATATCTGGATTGGGAAAAATAGAAAGATTAGTACGAAATATCGATTCAACGAGGGTAGGGAAAGACATACCGTTGACAGCGGCCATGACGAAGCGGATTTGGGTGGTGTCAGTGGCGCAGGTGAAGTGAGTGTAGATCTGCTTCTGCTCGGCTTGGTTGAGGGAAACGAAACGGTTCAGAATGTAATCGCAGGCGGCGGCGTAGTCGGCACCACCCTCGTAGTCGGGGAAGTAGTTCTTCATGGGGCTCACGGGAAGCTTCTCCTTGAAGCGGTCGATCTTGTTGAGGAAGAGAATGATCGAGGTCTTGACGAACCAGCGGGAGTTGCAGATGGAGTCGAACAGAGTCAGGGCTTCTTGCATACGGTTGACGGTTTCATCTTCAAACAGCAGCTGATCGTATTCGGAGATGGCGACCAAGAAGAGAATGGTGGTGACGTTCTCAAAGCAGTGAATCCACTTCTTTCGCTCGGATCGTTGACCGCCGACGTCGAACATACGGTAGGTCAGATCGCCAATGATGAAGGTAGTCTCGGTGATACCGGTGGTCTTGACACGAGAGCGGAGCACATCCTGGTCCGTGGGGAGGTAGTCGGGCTGGCCGATACGGTCAATGGCATCGAAGTAGCTTTTTTTCCCCGCAAGGTTAGTTTATGGCACTCCGAGGTGTCCATCGAATAATTTTCAACTCACTATTTCGCAGAGTCATTCAACTGGTACTCGCGAGAGCGCTTGAAACACTCCTGCACGCCAGAGTCGCGCCACAAGGCACCGATCGCGTTGCCGACCTCGGGAGGAATGCTGTCACCCTCGATCTGTGCTGGTTGCATGAAAATAGTCTGGACGTGGTACTCGTTGCGTGCGTCCTCCAAAGGCAGCTCCAGGGACTCCATGGCCTCCAAGATGACCCGCATTGACTGGACAGTGTTGCTGTAGATAATTTCCTTGAAGGACTCGCGCTCGTCGCGGGAGTAACCGCCCTCGTGAATCAACTTCATCTGCTTCAGAATAGTCGACTTGCCCGACTCTCCGGCACCTATATTCCATTTCCGTCATATTAGACTAGTTCTTTTCCTGTCGATGGCTCATGCGATCGCCATCAAGGGAGGAGCTGGAGTCGAATCATACCGAGCAGCAACATCTTGATCTCATTCCGTTGCAACATCTTGTCGCGCTTGAGCTGGTTCTCAATCTCCTCGTTGCGGGCCTTCCCCTCCTTATCCTCGGTACTCATCCCACAACCCATTTTGGCGGTAGTATGTGGCGTTAACGAAAGTGATGCGGTTCGTGCGAGTCGATTGACTCGAGTGATTCGTGTTCAACAGGGACTGAGCGACGGAAATGGTCAGCAAACTTTTGCCCCTTTTCCTATTGATCTCTTCGTCGTTTTCCGTCGGGCTGGTCGCGTTCGATGGAAGGACAGAATAGACAACGGTAGTACAAGCCGCTGAAAACCGACGTTTCAGGACGCAATGGGAGTCGATGCAAGGGTGAAACAAAAGAAGTTTCCCACGAGAGGATGGACAGCTGCAGGAAAAGGGGGCACCCACCTTGTAGTTGGAGGCCCCTTGAGGAAGGCGATGAGGGGTCGGAAGGAAGAAAAGGATGTCGGACAAAAGAAAGAAGACCGGGCTACAAGAGCTGGAGAAGGAGGTGATCAGGTAAGGGGGAGGGGGGGAAATTGGGAAGTTTCAGCAGGAAAGGAGAGAGCGGGTAATACAATGGTATGGGACCCACAAGGTTAGCTAGATCGACGAGATTGATGAGTAGAAGTACGCTTCAAATACACGCGATACCGTATTTCTTGGTACTGTCTAGGCGGTCCCATTGGACTGGGCCCTCGGATTGGACGAGCAATTGAAAAGAGCCCCCACTGCGACAGTCAATGACCGCACCGGTCCTCGCCAATCAAAGAGTCCCATTACCAGCGTTTCTGCCCCTTTCGCTCTCAGAACCGGGGGCCAAAGGAATTCTATAGGTACAAGGTACCCTGCGAGGCTCGAGAGCCGTTTAGCGCTGGAGTAACTATCTGCACTTTGTCAGCACATCTGGCCTTGCGGCATTCAGAGTTCCCTACTCGTCCTCGTTTTTAGGGAGTAATAGTTTTATCTCTCATTTCTAGGGAGTATTTGTCTCTCCGCAGATCACCAAGTGGAGAGAACTTTGGGGACTTGGAAACATGACACCATCGGGCAATTCTCGTGGTCTCCACGCGACTAGTTTGAAAGTCTTGAGGATTGGTGATCCTGGAAGACCTCTTCAGGGCTCATGCACTCCATAACTCGACAGGGGGATTCGCTGCAACACCCCGGCACCCATACCCAAAGGGCGGCACCCATACCCAAAGGGGTATGGGGGTTTTCCATTACTCTAACCGTTTTTCCCTCGTAGAAGCCGCCTTGTGCCCAGCTTAGCCTGACGAGTTTAATTTCTCGGCTTCAACGGAAGAATCTGCGCGGCCAGACGCTCACCGTCACACATCAGTATGTGACACACGGGCATGCCGAGAAGGACCAGTGGAAAGAAAGAAAAGCACACAAAGAACCCGGTTTCGGTTTCAAGGCAGCTCCTGTTTCAGCGACCGCTATTGAGGCGTTGAAACCTGAATGAGCCGGTTAATGCACCGCAACAAAGAACGGCCAGAAGGAACCATGCTCGCGTTCAGCTGCCCGTAAGAGGGACCATCTCCATCAAGTCTTGAGAATCTCCACACGAGAAAGCCTGAGCACGCTGATCGGACCGGGGACTGTATTTGCCCATACGGCGCACGTTCGCCTGGCCTTCATATGGCCGTAAGCCCTGTACGGTAAATGGGTTCCTTCAAAGTACACAAGCTAGGGCAGCCCCTGATCAGCAGAGCCCACCGACTCGCCACCAGGGACAACCAGCCATGCACGAGGACATCAAAGATCTCGAGCGGGGAATGATATGGCTCTGGCAAAGGGGGCCTTTCTGGCAATCAGGAATTACCCACAGCGCACATGGCGAAGCCCACAGAAGAGGCCCCCTTTCGAAGGTCAGATTTTCTAGAATTTTCAGGCCGTCCACATACATTGCGCTATTGTTCTCCGCCCCACCCGCTAGGCTCACTAGATCATGCTCTACCGTGCAAGTTCTCCTGACTTGCACGCATTAGGGCATGTTAACTTAATTTAATGGGGCCCGGAGATAGGATGGAAGATAGGACACTAATTATCAGGCCAATGGCAGTGCTTTGTACCTGACTCAGTATGGGATTAAATATTAGCCAGGATTGCAGTCGGTCCTTTGGTCCTTTAGAAATCACCGTACATTATACGGAGTATGCACCGTAGAGCTGAACGATATGGGTGGTCCTGGTATGGCTGCCATGCTAGTAGCTCCTGCTACTAGTAGTGCCACTATAGCCGCGGACGACAGTTGGCGATACAAGTGCGAGAGCGCCAAGCCACATAAAGTTTCTGCTCGCCACGTACCGCATGTTGAAGTTTTTCGCACCAGCGGGACTGGAGTGGTCCCACCATTCAAGTCTTTGGGTACTTTTGCTCCATTCGGATCGTGGACGCCCTGATAATGTTGCGATTGATAGCAGTGTTCACATGAACGACTCGAGGTTCGAGCTCATATTATGCAGGTACAGAAATAGATAGCTGTAAGCCACTGCTCGCCTCCTTTTACGCAACTCTAACAAAGAACTATCTTTATCTTGAATACCTGCTCTGAGGCTTTGATTGATTCACTTTCACTGGGCACTTCACGTTACAAGCATAGGGAGTCCGATCCAGTCCCCGCGTTTTCTCCACTGGGACGTGGACGATCAAAGACGGAACCACTATTGAGTCCTGTAAGGAACGATAGGAATGAAGCAGCTCATTGACCAGAGGGGTTGATTTGGACAGACAAAGCGACGTGACATAAAATGATCTACTAGTACTATGACTGAAGGAGGTTGAGGCGGGTCTTGAAACGCTACGACAGTACTAGCATTGAACACCCCCACGATCTGCGTAACGAAACATAATGTCCGCCCTTCGGGGTAACGAAGAACAGGTCGAGCTCGAATGACATTTCTGATCTTTGGGCTCTAGGGCTACACTGGTCTCGTGTATGAGAGGAGTGCACATTGAGTAGATGTGTAGCTCACTAGTAGCCTGATCGTCTATCTTGAGCTTCCGCTATGAATAGAAAAGTCCAGCAGCTACTCGAAGTTGAGCTATCTGGATTTCTTTACACTGAGCTGCTTGTGTATTCACACAGATCGTTCACAATCTCATTACTCATATTATCAGGGGTTAATCAAGGAGATAGTCTACGTCCTGCTGGATTCCATGAGATTCTGTCGCTTGCCAAGATAATATTGAGGGCATGTAAATCGATGCCGGAGACTCGAACTGCTTTTACGATAGTCCTGGGGCTCAGCTCTGAAAGCCGTCTAAATCGCAGCAAAACGATTATATTTACCGTGTTATATTGTATTCCATTAAGCCTTACTTCCAGGGTTAGTAGTCACTTCAATCAAGAGTCCATCCATGAGGAAAATGGCAAGCCTGGGAAGTACCCGCAGTCTGCCTTACAGCTTGGGATACAGACAGTCCAGGCGTCAAGCTTACCGTCTACAGATGATTCATGTACTATCTACATTGGCTCCGATAGGAATTTTGCTCATGAAACTTCCCCAGGATGCGTCGGCCCAAAGGACCCCAGGCCCAAGGAGGTAAGATCCACGGATTCGATCGGCGGGGATCGATCGAACTCGATTTTTCGGGTCCCTGGCTCCACTCTTCACCCTCTTCTTCCCCTGGGGGATTCTCCAACCCTCCCCCTCACAAACCACCATGTCGCACGAAATGTCCCACCTGGGCCCCCAGGGTACGTTTCACCCATCGCCACCCTCCACACATCAACCTCCATCTGGCGGGGCTCCCAATTGGTCTCCCTACTAACTCCGACCAGCCTTCAACCACGACCAGAGCAATGATGCGGAGGCCGAGTACGACCGACTCCGCGATCTAGCTCGCCAGGAGGCCGCTAAGCGCGGCTCATGCTTCTCTCGAGTAGGACTTCTCAATTCCGATCCCGGCACCGAAAGTGCAGGGTGTGCGAATTTCAGCTAACTTCGTCTAGTCGCAAGAAGCCTACGCGAACGGTGATGGCGCTCGCGCCAAGGAGCTGTCCGAGGAGGGAAAGGCGCACGGTCGGAAGATGGAGGAGTACAACAGGCAAGCTTCCGAGTTCATCTTCCGAGAGAATAACGCTAGCGGGCGCGTTGCGGAAGACACTATCGACTTGCACGGCCAATTCGTTGAAGAGGCGGAGGAGATTTTGGAGGAGCGTATCAAGTACGCCAAGGCGCATGGGCAGAACCATTTGCATGTGTATGTTTCCGTCTCTCCCTCTTTGGACGATTCGCTCGGGTCCTAACTAAGCTGCAGGATTGTTGGAAAGGGCAACCACTCCGTCAACCACATTCAGAAGATCAAGCCTCGGGTCGAGCAGGTCTGCCGGGAACTCGGTCTGCAGTATGCCACAGAGGAGAACGCTGGCCGTATCTATATCAACTTGACTGGCGGCGAGGCCGTTATGCCGCCACACCACCAGGCTCCATATGGGCAACACCAGCAGCATCAGCAGCCGCATGGCCAGTACCCTGGGCAGCAGCACCAGCAACAGCCGCAGCAGCAGGACGAGATCGAGCAGATGGTCAATGCTATCCTACCTCGTGTCATGCGCAAGATCGAAAAGGCGTGCTGTGTGGTCATGTAAGGTCGAGGTGGGTCCCTCGTGTGGGTATTGGATGTCCAGTTATGTTTGGATACGTACTACTTTGGTTAGCTTTTTGCCCCCTCTCTGATCAGAGATCATGTTTACCTGATACGTAGCTTGAGAGGCGTACGGCTTGGAGATAAGGTTGGAGCTATATATACCCTATGGTCTGATTATGCACAGAGGCATAGTCATTTAAAATTCAGCGTCATTCGTTACGAATCTCTTAATAGCAAGTATGTCCTTCAGAAATAGATTGAGATGAGACAACATTAAAACCAAGGGCTAGATGTGAGGGTATTGAAAGATCGCAAGAACTCTACCAAGACCAGGCAGAGAGGAAAGAAAAAACAAGACTAGCTTGGAACCACTCCCTCACTTTGCAGCCCCCTCATCCACTAGAGTGGAATGAACAATCTTGTTCAGGACAGCACGCACCATAGTGCCATCCCCACCCCCTTCCACACCAGGCATTGCATCAATAGCATCGATAAGTGTCAGCGCCTGTCCATGCAACTCCTGAACAACACGGCGGGTATGGTCAAAGCTACCGGTGCTCTGCATATACTGCACAGCATAGCGCTTGACTTCTTCGTCCTTCGTCCTCTGCTTCAAGATACTAAGCAGCTGGTGGCTCGCGGGGTGGGAACGAATGGAGTGAATAATCGGGAACGAGAATTTGCCCTCGGTCAAGTCCTCGCACATGCCCTTGTTCTGGGTGTAAGTGCTACTAGACAGATTCAGATAGTCGTCGCAGATCTGAAAGATCAGGCCCAGGACATTGACAAGGCTGACGCAGTCCTTACCCGTGGCGCTTTCGGCTTGCATCAGCTTCACAGCGAGCCGGAATAGTCCCCCCGTCTTGTTTCCCACCATCTCGAGGTATTCGTCTTCGGTGGGGCAGGTGAGGGTGTCGCGCCAGAAGAGGTCCATGCCCTGGCCACGGTGGAGGTTGAGGAGTTCCTGAATAAAGATATTGATTGCGGCGGGGTTGTTCAACTGTTGGATCTCTTGCAAGGCGAGGAAATAGACGTAGTTGGCGGAGTTGATGGTTTGGGCTGTACCGAAGATGTTGTGGGCGACGGGGACCCCGCGGCGGAGCATGGAGTTGTCCTGGACATCGTCGATGCTTGAAAGCAGCAGGGTGAGCTTTAGCTTTTGCCTTTCTGAAGCGCTAGGGGCTTTTGACCCGCTTGTTAGCTTAACGGTTAGAGGATGCTTACAGCAAGGAAGCTGTGTGTAGCATGGCTACCACGCGGGTAATGATCGCCAAGCTGGCAGGTGGAACCTGCAGCCAGGAGTTGAAAGCATCGATCAGCGCACGGCGAATATCCTTGCCTGGGTGTTCTTGCAGGTAGTCGTAAGGGCCTAGAATGATCTTCTCGTTCTTGGGCGACCAGGTACCATCTTTGTACTTTGTTCCGTCGACGCTGGACCTGTTCCGGCGATGTTTAGCTTTGATCGGCGAACTGCTGGCAGCGGGGTCGGCATCAGCGACTGACTTTCGGGGTCGGTGGCCTAAGCTGGTGGCATTTGTAGAACTTGTCCGGGGAGGAACCGGACTTGGTGGTTCAAGGTTCGGGGCGTTGGACGAGGAAGACATGTCTGCCATCGATGGAGGAGCTTGTAGCGGGGGAGGGAAGAGGAAAGTTAAGAAGCTGGAAATATGAGGAGGGGCCAAAAAGAAGTTCTACGAGTCAATAGGCATCAACGAAAGACCATCATTGCGAGCCTCAGACATCCGCCCTTTTATGTTAAACGGGTTTCTTTGTGTAGTTAATGGGCTTCTTTCACTCTACGAGCAGAGGGGAAGATGCCCTTGAACTCGCACTAATTGGGAGCTTTGATCGCCTCGGAGAGCGGATGCTGGGCAGCGCCCATGGAAAAGCAGGGATCGGCGACAAAGAAAGCCGTCATCTGCATCGAGTTACATATATCATATCACGAATCACAGGGCATAAAGTGGAGCTGCGCTAGGAGGGGTTGACCAGGGAGTGAAGGGTCGGTGGCTTGAACAATAGGAGGGGTTCATATTGTTCTTATCGCATCCCGTATAGACCCATTTGGGACCTTGGGAGGCCACGTCTAGACCTTCACCCATAAGGCTGAGACTTGGGGAAAGAGAGAAACCGGTTTTTAGCGCCGTTGCAGAAATAACCTCCAGCTGGCCAGAGGCTCATCAACCGCCACTGGCGTCTTTGCTCAAACGAGCATTAGTTGCTGCTAAATCGAGGGTGACGGGCCTGGAAAAGTGGAAACCGCGATGGAGCGGCCCGCAAGAAAAAGGGAAAGCGCGACCAGGTCGCCCCGGCAACCGCCCTTGCCCTTTCATGATCTGCCTTTATTTACTTCAGCTGCAGCATCTGACCTCATCGCCTCACACGGACCACATGAATGGTTCGTTTTTTGACTTATTCCTTGTTTGCGGATTGTTCAGCTATCCCCAAGGCTGTGCCTTTCCTTCTTATCTGCGGCATCCGCCGTTCTTGAAACAATTATTTTTTATACCCTTAACGATTCTTTTTTGTTTTCACGCCTCATGGAGAATCTACTAGCCCACTCCTTCGACTACTTATCCTCTTACGAGCCTAGCAAGATCCGCAAGGGCTTGCGCCAGGTAGAGGGCCTGCTGGCCCAGATCTGCCTGTCCAAGTCCAAGTCTACGGCCGATCGCAGGAGGTCATCCTTGGCTCCCGAGGCGCAACCAGCCCCTAAGCCTCTATCAGATTTGCGCGAGGACCCAGCTTTCCGGGAGTTCTTCAAGCTTCAAGATGGCTTCCAGTGGAATGGTACGTCTCCTAGTTTCGGCTGTTTCATCATGATAGAGCGCTAACAGAGAATGTTTAGTTGCAATGCGGCTCGTCGCCTGCCTCGAACATCTCCTCGGCCGCGGTAGCAATGGCACAAATGACATGCTGATCGTCTGCACGCTGGATCTTATTCAAGGCACACTGCTCCTCCACCCCCCCATCGCGAGCGCTCTTCGCGCGCGAGATCTACATGAACCTTCTCCTCGACCTCCTTGATCCGATCAATTGCCCTGCGATCCAGTCCGCGACCCTGCTTACACTGGTCACTGCACTGCTGGACTGCCCTGCCAACACTCGGACGTTCGAAGACTTGGATGGCCTCCTCACAGTCACTTCGTTGTTCAAGCAACGGGCTACTTCCCGAGAGGTCAAGCTCAAGCTGGTTGAGTTTCTCTATTTCTATCTTATGCCCGAAACCCCCATCCTTGCAACTCCGCCGGGCCTACAGCGGAGCCCGAGTAAACTTTCGCGACCAATATCACAAAGCTCACATACCTCCAATGGGTCTGCTGGCAAAACGAACCGTGATACGCGCACCACTGATGAGAAACAAGCCTTACTGGGGCGCTACTTGAATAATGTCGAAGACCTCGTTGAAGATTTGAAAGAGACTGCTCCATTTGGAGCAACGGTTTACTGAACGAATCCCTGATCATGTGCAACCTCATCCACTGATATGGTGGTGGTTTTTTCTACAGGGACCAGTTGCCCTTTCATTTTCTTTCTTTCCTGTTTCTTTTTTTCTTCCTCTTTTCTAGCGAGCCTTCCTTCTTTCTCTATTTCCATTCACAAGTCCCATATTCCGTCTGGTACGGTGTGCTACTTCAAGACTAACGCTGTCTCGGATTTCAAATATTGCGTCGTGTCTTTTCGGATTCTCTTTGATTTGGCGAGTTGAGCTCTACTTTTTTCCGCCGCCTTCTTCCTTTTTTTTTTCTGTTTTTTTTTTACCTTCTCCTTTTTCAAATCCCTCCCAATCTTTGACTTGCGTCATCCTCTGCGATTGGCCCTGAGCCTAGGTTTTCTCTTGTCTTTAATGGCACCATCATGACGATTGTGTACGATTTTTCTGTGTCATTTTCTCCTCCTGAACCTACCGCGGCAGATACATAGGGATCTATCAGATCAGATCGCTCTTTAAATTAGAGTAGGTAAATAGTCTAGTATCCAAATAAAGAACCACATTGTCTCCTTCTCAAGTACCGCTTATGGAAGGATCGCTGAGCTTGATATATGTAGTGCTGGGAAGAATTTTGGTGGTGTACTTCCTTCAGGCGCTGGTAAAGCGCCAGAGGCACCAGAGTCAGACTATAAACTTGGGGAGGCTGCAAGTCTAAAAGCAAATACTCAATGATCATCCCAAAGAGCCCTAGCGGTGGCAGTATTGGGTTTATCGTCTGAGGAACGCGTTTTTGATGGCCAGTAGTAGATGCTGGGGACCTTCAACTGGAAATTAAATACCCATGAATTGAGTGCTATGCACGATTTACCTAAATGAATTCCGCAATGCGGTGCTTAGCGGTCAGAAATAAACATGCAAATTTGAGGGGCTCTGGAAACTAATCATACGCCAAATTCAAATTGGGGCCTTAGAATCTGTCATGAATACCCAATAGACGGCTGGCCCACCAATGAGCCTCGAATCTTTACTAGTAACTCCGAATAGTGTAAAACCGGGCTTCATGAGGCTTAGGACATATCATTGCGGCGTCTTGCGTTGGTAGTGGAACCAGTTCTGTCCAAAATTTCCTCAATGTATAACCGCTCCGATGCTCCGATCTCGTATGGGAGTCCATCCATCTTGCAGATGAGTCAATGCAGAGTCCAAAGGTAACCTTGGAATGTGCGAGGTTGAAGACGGGGGACCGTGCTATCGCGCAGAACCATACAAAATTCTCTCCTCCTCGCCTGGGAATCTATTCAATAACGTTTGAATAAAGCCGGGCATATCCCCTTGAAGGAATACTTGGTCAAGGAATACTTTACGGCCGCCGCCTCCATCATGAAGCCCGGGGCTTCTCTCCTTCTGACCAACATGCACACGGACATAGGCGCCCTTAGCCAAGCGGGGGTTGACGGACATTCTAACGGGGTCAAGATCCGGTCCACGAGCTATTGCCATTCGATCTCGGATGTGGTCGCAGAGGCAGCAAAAGCCGGGCTTGAGACCAAAGATTTTGATTTGATCTCAGGGTCCTGGAGGTATTCTAGAAACTGCGTTGATAACTACCCAGGCGAGGCACACGGCGAGCGAGCCAACGAATGGGCAGGCATCAAAGTATGGTTTGCGCTCTGTTTTCGCAGAAAGATGGACCTACAGGGGCCGAAAACAAAGTGGGAGGAGTGATTATGCATCTTGTCGCTAGGATAATAAAACAGGTCTAGAAAAATCGTAGTAGTCTTTCTCGATGTTGTACAAGATTGTTGTGCTTCCGCAGCATTTGAGCCAGTCGATTTTGCTTCCACCCCAGCTCGTCATCCAGGATCAGGTGGGTGTAAGCAAATACGCTAGCGTCGAAAAGACCGGGATTGGGCCGGCCAAAGAAGTGGTCGTCCTCTCCTAATAATGCGGCAAGAGCTTCGAATGCATTGCCCGCGTCGCCTTCCAGATCGGCCACATCGATGTACCGCGTCGTCTTCAAGAGTTCGTCGCGTGCAGCTTGCTGAAGCTGGAACTCTAATGCAGTCCGTACAAGCGAATTGGATGTTGCTGGATTGATGTAGAGCCGACGGGCCACAGCATTAAAGTTGGCCTCGTCAAGGTAGAGTGCGTACAGCTGTACATACGCATCTGTTAGTGAAATCCTCGCACCGTCCCTACTATTACTTACCCAGGCATGGCGAATCCGGTGGTCGAGGAGAGAAGCATAAACTTCGAAACGGAGATTTAACTGTTGTTCTTCTTCGCAGTGGACTTGCTCAATTGCCCATTTCTGCAGCTTGTGAGAAGGAATCGCATCTGATGACCCTGCCGGGAGGGATGGAAGGAGGAATGGAAGTGCACCAGTCGGCGAGGCATGGTTGTTGGACGCGGTAATCTCGAAGTCAATACCGACAAATTTCAGGTAGGCCTAGAACGATCAACATCAGGGATACTGGCCAACGCGCAAGCCAACAGATGATCGTACCTGCCACTTGAGGCATTGAGGATTGAATGAGGGTCTTCCTCGACGCGCGCCTGCGGCATCGGTGAAAACGAAGAGCTGGTTCTCGCGTCGTTCGGATGGGATGCGTTGCGGAATGTCATTCGCGGGATAGGTGACCAGGGGGAACTTGTCGAAAAGGACTTTTATGGGAGTTGGGATTGAGAAGAATGAACGAGCGGCAGAGGCTGGCTCTGGGCCCTCACTGCCTTTAGGAGGCATGATGATTGCTGTTGGGGGAGTAGGTCACTTCTGTCGAATGAAATCACTCGGAAATCACGGGGAAAGTCGGCGTTAGTCAGCGACCGTTTCCAGGTCCCCGCAATCGCAGACTCGCTGGTCCATATCGTCCAGACTCTGTTTCTCCCGTTGTGTGTTGTCTCTGGCCTTCTTACGCAGCGTTGCTTTCCCCAGTCGCCGTCCACTCGCTGTTGAGGTTCCCCCGATGAACGTCGAGGCCTCGATTCGGTGAACTCGGTCTTCAAAGGCAGGCGTTGGACTCGGAACAGGTGCAATCCAAGCGCCTAGACCTTCATTTCGTTACGCCTGGATTTGTGCTCAAGAATATCGCCCATTCGTTATTCACTACAACCCTAAGCTTCGAGTCTCATCGAATCCCTCCGTTATCGATACCCGCTCCGCTTCCCGCTGCCCTGCAGGGCTTGTGTCTCGGCGGAGTTCGACTCGCCCACTCGGGCCATACAACCCCCACCTCGGCCCATTTTCATTCCGGATCGCAGGACTGCAATTAGTTCAAACTCGGCTCAGCACTCTTGCTCAACGGTCCTGGAAGCCTGGCGCAACTGCGCAGCCGCGCCTGCGCGGAACAATATCCACCATTGTCGTCCGTTTGTCGCTCGGCATAACCTTCCCATTTGATTAAAAATCAACCAAAAAATGCCACTTGACGAAGAAGGGGCCAAATGGTCATGGTAAATCACTCTCCAAAGAACGCTTCGCATTTGGCGTTGTCTCCGGTCCCCAATCCCAACCGATTTCAAAACATGCGCTGACGGGTCTGCAAATCTAGCGAACCATGTATTCGCGGCCATCGTTCCTCAAAATGCGAACACTTTGATCGCATGATGATCAAGGTGCCCAAAGCTGGTCGACCACTAGCCAAATGCCCACATCCAAAAGGATCATGCGAATGCAAGAAGACCTATGCGCTGATGGTCCGAATCCAAAAAGGTAATCCAGGTCTCTTCTCTCCGCCCCCGGTTGTGGCTAAGTTGATCATCTAGGATCCGGCTGTGTATGTCGCCCACTTTACACAGTGCCTGCAAGCTCCAGTGATTCCGATAGATCGACCCCGGCATCTGCACCTGCGATTGCATCACCGAGCCCCGGCAGGGTCCAGAAATCCGGAAGAAGGCAAAGCCATATGCAAGCAGCCCCCGAAAGTCTTGCGAGGGCTTTGGATTCAATGCCCGATCAATTCAAGCAAGAGGACGGCATTTCCTCAACTTACATGGCAAATCTACCTAGCCATCAATCGTCTAATAGTAACCAAAATAGTAGTGCTGGATCTTGCTGCTCCTCGACCCCTGCAGTGGCTACTCCTAAATCCACAACGGACCGATGGAACACGGAAGGTCTGAAATGGAAGAACCTTCTGCAGATGCAGGATGGTAAAGCTTGGCCAACCCCATCGGCTTCTACGTCAGGCCCGTACATGTCGTTTGGTATAAGCAGTACAAGTCACCCAGCCTACATGAACAATTACAATGCCACAACCTCGATGCCTGCGACCCCATTTCCTGGCCTGGTCAATGGCCTGGGAATATCAGATCCTGCCATGAACCCGTTTACTACGTCATCTTCGAACTCTTCATTTGATCCTGCAAGCCTGTTCAACGGCGAAGGGTGCGGAACGGAATGCCAATGTGGTGACGACTGTCAATGTCTCGGCTGTTCAGCACATCCATTCAACGATGCCACGAGAGAACGCGTACAAGAAATGGGCGTGTTGATGATCGACGGGCAAGGCCCAAGCCCGACCCCTCCGGCCTGGCCGCCAGTCTACTCAGGCGAATATTTCTCACCCGTCAATGAGGTGCCTCCAAACTTCTACCAACCTAACCCATACATCGACCAACCCTACGGGAACCCGCAGCCCTCGGTCAACGGTTACTCGCCCTCGATCGCGGATGGACCTCAAACCAGCGGCCTAATGCACCCCGCGGAATACCATACTCTCGAATACCCTGTCGGAATCTCCTGCTCCGATGTTACTGGCAGTTGTCAATGCGGCAGCGATTGCAGCTGTATCGGCTGCTTGACACACACAGGCCATGTTGGCTCAGATGCAAAGACTCCTTTCGAAGAGCTGGCCCAGCAACCCGACCAACAAGACCCAGCTCCTGCTTCATGCTGTGGTCCGCCGTCAACCCGGGGCCCCGCTCCCTTTACGTCCATGATATAAAAGTTAGATCTATGAGTGGGTTCCTTCCATCTTGGCTATTTTACCGTTGCGTCTACGATCCGAAGCTAGATCCACGAGCGGGATTTCGATTTCGAGTTGGGGTTTTTTTTCTCTTCGTTTGTTGCATGATTTATGATTATGATACCCGATTGCTAGAGCCTTGCCGATACCGTTCTGTGCTCTGCTCGGCTGGCGCTTTCTAACACTGGAGGGGGCGGCCGATTTTCGATCTTTGATGCTCGTCTTCATGTCGAATGTCGAGCTCTTTGATCTGCTCTCTACTCCTTAAACAATACACTTCTCATCTCCCAATAGCCTTGCTTCTGCTACGCCCTACTCCTGTGACTTGGATAGATTCTAAAATAATTCAAGATGATCAAAGCATGCATTGGGGATATCTTTAACTCTCAAGTAAACATGACCGTACTGTACAGAAGAGGATGCCGAAGTTTCCTCCCTCTTTATGCTTTGTTCCATTTCCCAAACCTCACGTAGTCATCATAGAGCGATTTGAAGACCGCGCGACCGGAGCCATCGAGCCCTGCATTCAGCGCCCGCAGCGACTCCCGCGACATAACGTCCAGCGCGGCGTACATACCCGGCATAAGTGAGACCTTGACGTCTGGAGCAAGCGAGCCGCGCAATGCACACTGCGCATACTCCATGATCACATACTGCAGGTACTGACCGGCGATGCGCTTGGCCTTCTTCGTCTCGTCGATGAGGGCTTCTCGGGAAGCGCCGGGCTGAGGCCGCAAAACGGCGGACACGGTGGGATCGCTGAGGGTGGTGAGGAGGCGGGTGTAGAAGGAGCATTGGGCGGGCTGCAGAGGGGCAAGCCAAAAAGGCTGGGAGAGGGATGAGGGTTGGAAGCGGGATGAGCGAGCGCGCTTACGAGATCGTGCGAACAGGCAACCGAGGAGACGCTGCATAGCGTTGACGACGAGGTGGAACCGGCCGCCGATTTTGACTCGCTGCAAACCGAGGACGACGCCCATCAAGCGGCAGAGACGAGTGTAGATTGTGGCTGAGTAGGAAGGCGAGATGCGTGGGCCGGCTTTCGAGGCGGACGTTGCAATTGCGGCGAGGATGGTGTCAATGTTGCACTGTGCCAGACTGCGAGTGTGGACGCGCAGGAGGAGAGTCAGACACTCGGCTGCAAAGCAGAATTGGTCGATTGAAGTACTGCGCGTCATCGCTTCAGCGAGATCACTGCAAAGGAGCGAGAGTTCGTGGGCTACGGGGCTTTCCTTGTTTTCAACTGGCGCCAACGAGATAATGGCGAGGTAAAGGACTAAGAGCCGATATCCGGCACCATTGCCTGTCAAACCGAGATTCCGGACCTCGCGAATTGACTGGGTGATTCTCGTAAGAGGCATGGCACGGAACCGCTCGGTGGTCGCTCTGATAAACAGCTGCTGATCCTCAGCATATAAAGACTGGAGTGTTAAGGTCTCGGCGCATTGAAGAACAGGCCCAGTGATGCTTGTCTCGGGGCCTTTGGAAGCAAGGAGACGCCGGCGAATGAGTCGAGATGGCTCAGAGTCAATTGACATTGCCATGTAATGTTCGATCTTTGATAGGAACTTTTCCACTTCGATGTTGTTCGTTGCCATATCTTCGAAATCTTCAAGCGCATCAATGGTCTTGATAAGGGTTATGGTCTCCTCAAGCTGCTGCTTCCGGCATTGGTCCTTGACAGATTTCATATCCGCCAACACCAAGCCAAAAACGCGTTCGCGACATGCAGCGAGTTCATTCTCAGGGAAGGCCTTTTGAAGCTGTCCTCGGTGTAGCCACAACTCAGACAGAGACAGACGCAAGAGAAAACACGTCATCGAATCACGATCGATCTGTCTCAACTTGGCAGCCTGCTTAGAGACCCTGGAAAAGAGTTTCTTGAACATGGCATTTCGGTCATCTTTTGACAGAACTAGAAGTTTAGAGATGATTGCGCGATGAAGACTCCGGAAGGCTTTCATAGTTTGGAGATCCAGGTCGGTGCCCTCAAGGGAAATAGCTCGAGCTTCGGCCCAGATCGGTTCCCAGTCAGCAGTCAGGGTCGCGTCACATTTAGGCATCGCCGCCAACTTCGCCATCATAGTCAAAATACCAACAGTGATCTCAGACGAGCTGTCCTGCTGTAACACAACGCTGTGCAGGGTGTCCAAAAGAGCAGTCCGAAGACCCCGAGTAATTAACGCTGCTGGGATGCGTTGCAAGCTCTCCACATACAGTCGGCGATTGATTGGGTCCTGCTCGATATTCTTGTTGAGGAGGAGGGTCACGTCAGGAACAAGAGATGGCACACTGAGCAGATACTCATGGCAAACGATAATTGCCCACGCCTGAAGGAAGCGCGCATCGTCTGCTGCAGCTTCCAAAGGCAATACTGACGAGTGGTACTGGGCAGCGGCCAGTACAGAAAGATGCTTGAGCAGGCGAGAGCGGTCCTCAGATGCAATTCGATCCCAAAGCACTGGCAGCCTGACTAGAGCCAGGATATAAGCCAAGCCTAGAGTGCTCGAAGACAGCAAAGTATCAATACGACCATTCCAAGGCGCTTTCATCGAAGACTGCGCATCTTTGGATGAGACCGAGACAAGAAGTTCAGTGGCATTTCTGATGATTTGGGCAAATGACTCGAGTTGCTCGGCGTTAGGGTCGGCCTGTATGGCGGCTAATGCTGATCGGAATGCTTCCCAAGACTCAAGATGCGCAAGGGGCGCTTTGCTCAAGTTCTTATGGTTGCGATGGATAGTCTTCGCGGCAATCTCAACCACGGATCCGCTCTTCTGTGTCATTACATCAACGCGGGAGGTGTTTTGTAGAAGATTTCGCAGAAGTCGCCATAAGCGCCAGCGCCAATGTAAGACCTGTTTTGAAGAAAGCGTAGACGTAATACTTCCCACAAGCAGGCCAAGAGTCTTATCGGAATCTGTAAAAGATAAGCTTCGCCCACGGAGACCTGCCTCCGCAATGACGAAATGGGAATAAGAATTGGAGGTGTCGGAAATCTGGCCATCGGCGTTGCGTGTTTCAGATGCGGCAGCTCGCATCTGATTCGCAAAGGTATTTCCGATGAGGGAGGTACGAAGCGCATCGCTGTACGCATCGCACAAGTCATCATCTTCCCAAACAGAAAAAAGAGGTAATTTACTGTTGCCATTCCGAGCTTCTTGTAGGGTGAGAAGCTGGCTATGCCATATATCGACAAACGCAGACAAGTCTCTTGCAGCTGCAAAGCCACGCAGGAGTGGTATGATGATATCGTACTTGATAACATCGTAAGTTTCAGTGTCACCGGTGATATTGGTACGCCATTGGAGCATGACCTTATCGAGCAAAGCCTCAAGCAGGTTGCGGGCGTCCCGGAGACCGGAGTTGGGCAAAAAGACATCAACCCCAAGGCTGATGACCAGTGCCGTGACGGCCCATTGGACTTGGTCTAGGCTGTCCTCGAAGAGCCCTGTGAATCTCGCATGCGTAAGAATGGTGTGAAGAGATAAGCCAACGTTTCTTTCCAGAGCCACCTGGAGGAGTCGCTCAAGGATAGACACGAAATGAGAGTTGTAATGAGCTGGGTCATCTTCCTTCGCGTTCGAGTATGCCAACTCGGCCACAGCGACAAATAGTGTCTCCAACCAGGGGGCTTCACGCGCTTGCCGGCGAAAATCATCCCGCGGAACTGCTCGAACGGCAGTATCAAAAAGCTCCGGAAGAAGCTCAATAGATCGGTAAAGGACGCCCATCTCTTCTTGCGAGCCTTCCACATGCGATTTCTCGCGTATGATGGGCCTTAGGGTACCAGTGACGGGTTCCACAGCATTCCAATCAGGCTCCTCTTTAGAGTAATCGATGCCAGAGCCCCCATTCTCGAAGAATGCAGCACGCGCTGGGAGTAGAACATGAATAGCAACAATGCGTTCGATGGCGTGGAGAAGGTAAGCCCTTTCATCCGTGTCGAGGTTGATACCCCGCAAGCAGAATTGCAGTCTGAGCGCATGGGCAAAGCTCGACTTCGCGAAGCACTCGTTGCTGGTATTGTTGTCAGTGTCATCCTGGCGATGCGATCTTGACTCCCACAGCTCGACCATTGCTGGAAATACATAGAGCAGGTGCTGCAGATCTGTCGTTGTCCCCGCATGAGAAAACTGCGTGATGGCCACGGCCCCCAATTCCAATGATCGCCCAAGTAACACCGCAATTACGTCTGGCTCGCCCCTTAGGACGAGCTTGAGGTGAGAGCTCGCAACATCGTCCATGCTAATCGTATGTTGAGCCAGTGTAATAACCCCATACAAGCAGTCCAGCACCCGAAGGAAAGTGAGAAAGCACGATGAGGGGGTTTGCGGCGGGTTGTCGAGATCCATAGCATCTGCCTCATTCCCAGTATTTGCCCTCTTTCGCTTTGTCCCCTGAAATCCCATCTGCTCCTCCTGTGCTGAGGAACTAGAAAGAGTGTGACTGGAATCGGACTCTATGCTGGGAATAGCCAAACCCTGCCCCACAGCTGTTCCAATATCAACCTCAAGATCTGCTACCGTATCGCAAATAATTGTAAGAAACTTCTGGTCTTTCATGATGGTCGCGAGATTCTTCGGTGAAATCATATCGATCAGTTGTCGCAGGAGTAAAAACGACGCAGGTTCCACGCGATAGTTCTTCCCCATCCGAAGCTTTTTCAACAACCACCGGAGCACCCATTCCTCCTTGGGGGTAGGATTCGTCGTAACCTGGCCATCTCGATGAACTTCAGGGTGGCTTTCGCAGAGAGAGAGGTCGATGCCAATAATCTGCGCTGCCTCGTGAAGTTGGGTACCCGGAGCACCGCTACCTTTTTCTAGGCGGAGGAGCGCCTCTTGCGACGGACGCGGACGCTATGGAGGTAAATTAGTTTTGGATTATTTTTTTTTCTTAAAGAACCAGCTACTAGTACATCAAATCTTACCTCCACGAGTAAAGGCATGTCGATACCAGACCTTGAGGTCATATGAGGGGCGTCGTTCACTGCGTGGAGGAAAAAAAGAGTCAACCCAACGGGTGGAAAGCACGGCGAAATCCCCCGACCGCCTTTGCCCGATCTTCCTCGTCACTTCCGACTCCCTGCGTCTCCTCTCCAGACCTCATTCTCTTTCCTCCAATTGTCCTCTTGTGACTCTCTGTACGGGACTTGCTATCCGGAAACCAGCTCCTTGCTCTCCAGCTAATCTGTGAACTCTTCAGATCAATCACAATGGCCGAAAATGAGTCCCAGGTCGCGCGGGTCACCAAGCCCGTTAGCGAAGCTCTGCTCAACGAGAAGGTACGACTATACATCACGAATGCAAACTCGTTTGCATGATTGCATTTCCCGGGCTTCATGGCTGCTTCTTTGGGTCATGTGAAGCCAAGGATATGCGACGCGCAAAGTGTGGAGGCCTCGGCTAATACGATGTCGAACAGTGGGATCGTGCCATTTCCTCCATGATCATCAAGTCCTCTATCGGTCTTTCTTTCGGTGTCGTCTTCTCGGTGCTCCTCTTCAAGCGCCGAGCCTGGCCCGCTTGGGTTGGCCTTGGTTTCGGTGCCGGCCGTGCTTGGGAAGAAGCTGACGGTACGTTTACTGCTGCTCAGGTGGTGCGGAGAAATTGCCGGTACTATGGGACACTCGGCATTCGAGGAGGCCTTGTTTCAACATGATTCACCTTCATTTTGCTGTGATCAAGAAGTAATCTCTGGATCCCGAGGGTCTCCGGTGCCGACTATTGGCTTCTGTACCCATGAGGCTTGCGCATGTTTGTTGGCATCTGAACTAACCGTTTTACTCATGTAGCTTCCTTCCGCCGTGGTGACTCCCCCGTGAGAGATGCTCTGCGCCGGTAGACTCATGGCATGGTGACCCACCGTGTACGATAGTCTGTACAGAATTCGGGAGATCGACGACATGTTCCCTATAAAACAAAACGCTCAGATAGGCACCCGCGTCGCGACTCATGACCCACGCCCTCTTCAGGAGCACGGCATGCTTTTCTTTTATACTTTGCAAGAATCATTTGTACGTCTTAGATCTGCAATTTCGTTGTCTTGGTCACACCTGGAGTAGAAGAATCGCCATGTAGGGCAAGTAAATGCACAGGCGACGATGGAGCACCTTGCTACTACTGAGTCACCTTCAAGTCGTATTACCATTTGGGGCCATTCCAAGAGTCCTAGTAAGGTCGAATGCAATAAGTGACGGGAGCATGTAACCAAGTAGGACCGAGAGCCTCTAAGTACGCATTTGGGGAGCGCCTGCTCGTAGTACTTGAGGTGTAGGTGGATGTAATCCACCTTTCCAGTAGCATACCTGGAGACATGCCTAGATGAGCCACTTGACTATAGTTCAATTTATAGAGCACAGAAATCCGCCATTCATGAGGTGGCACTGATCAAGCCTAACAAGATGCTGTGATCGCCGCTACTGCGGATTGTGCATGATACCAAGTACCTTCTAGGGGACTTTAAGCTTAACCCTCTCAAGGTCCACGGTTCCTGCTGCAAGACTCTTCGTCTTATCGCATGGACGAAAGAAAAAGAAACTCCGGAAGCATAGAATCCAGGCTAGTCAATCGTGTGATGTAAACGCGGTGGGGACTGGACTGAAACATTGAATAGCATAAATAATTGCCTTTGATGGCAAAGGGTTCAACTAGACTAACTTAGTTAACTAACTCGGTTTACTAAAGCTTGTTTCGGCACGTGACCCAAAAACATTACTCGATCTCATCGAGTCAACCGGAGATTGGGGCGAATCTCCAATCTTTGCAGAGAATTCGGTGCCCCACCATTGATATGGAACAGACCAATCCCCGTCGTCCATTTGTTGCTTGCGGGGAATGAGTGGACCTTTGGGGGCATCCGTTCGCGCCCGATTATCGCAGCAGCTGCTGATAAAGTTGTCTTACTCGAGCAGCTCAGGCAATGGAATTGATAGTTATCCGTTCAGGCTCAAAATACCTGCCAAAACGGTCCATCCGGGGGATGATAACGCACATGGCGCTCCCGGGCGCATGATCGGCAAATTGACCTACCATGATTGATTCCTTTATCACACCAGCTCGGATACCAAGGATCCCTCCAGGTTCTTAATGGTGGCCTCCTCCTCCTCGTCGTCATTATATCATACCCCAGTCTCTCCTGTTCCTCCGCTTCTAGATTCCATATCGGATTTTTTTGCGTTTCCCTCTCCATTCGTTCGGTACCTGAACTTGGTTCTGGGAGTTGATCGTTTCTCCTTTAGTTCCTGGTATAGAGGGCAGTTGCTCCAAGTGGTTGTTCTACCAGAGCCCTCGACAAAATGTCGAAGATAAAATGGCTGGCTCGAAAGTTAGAGGTGGCCCATGAGCCAGGCTTGAGCAATACTCAGTTATTATTAACAAACGAAGATTTGCAACCAGGTAAGCTTGTGCAAATGATTTCCAGAGAAAACTTCTGCTGATTCTCCTTGACTTATGCAGTCGAGCCCGAACGTCGTCTATGGAGCTGGCTGAATTATATCGCATTTTGGATTGCTGACTCGCTGAATATTGTGAGTTCTCGTCTATGGCAATGCCGAAAGGGCTCCCTTCTAATCTGCCATATAGAACACTTGGATGATTTCATCCTCGATGATCGTCGGGGGCCTCTCATGGTGGCAATCATGGATTTGTGTCTGGGTCGGATATTTCATCGCCGCCGGATTCGTCTGCTTGACCGGTCGCATCGGTGCGGTATACCACATTTCTTTCCCCGTCACTGTGCGTGCATCCTTTGGTATCTGGGGCTCTTTCTGGCCGGTGATCAACCGAGTGGTGATGGCCATCATCTGGTACGGAGTGCAAGGTTACATTGGAGGTATGGATCCAACCACCCATATGGAAAACTCGAGTATTTACATATTACTTTCTAGGTGAATGCGTGACGTTGATGATCAGCGCAATTTGGCCTAGCTACTTACATCTGCCGAACACAATCTCCCCCGGTGCTGGGGTCAGTACTAGGGATTTCGTGAGCTTCTTCCTATTTTGGTTGTGTTCGCTTCCAGCCCTCTGGTTTCCGGTCCATAAAATTCGCCATCTATTTACCGTCAAGGCAATCTATTCGCCCATTGCTGCGATCGCTTTCTTTGCATGGGCCATATCCCGGGCCCATGGGATTGGGCCAATTATCCACCAGCCCAACACAGTCCATGGCAGCGACCTATCATGGGCTGTCGTTAAGGGTATCATGAACTGCATCGGCAATTTTGCAGCGCTAATCATGAACGATCCCGATTTCTCACGATTTGCTCGTACTCCCAAAGATGCACTATGGTCTCAGCTCCTTACTATCCCCATCGGCTTCGGTATCACCTCCTTCATCGGTATCATTGTATCTTCGTCCGCAGCAGTCATATACGGCAAATTGGTCTGGAATCCTCTTGACCTGCTCCAGATGTTCCTTGACGGAGCCAGCTCTGGCCAAAGATTCGGCATTTTCGTCATCGCTCTCGGTTTCACTCTCGCACAACTAGGAACCAACATCTCCGCAAACTCCGTCTCCGCAGGAACAGACTTGACAGCCCTCCTCCCACGATACCTGAACATCCGACGTGGTAGTTACATCTGCGCCGCCATCAGCTTAGCGATCTGCCCGGTAAGCCCTATCCCCAATTATTCCTCGATCAAGGGGAGAAAAAGAAAAGCCACAGCCACTAATTACCCCAACTACAGTGGAAACTCGCTTCCTCATCCAACCAATTCACCACCTACCTCTCCGCCTACTCTCTCTTCCTTTCCGCCATCGCCGGCGTAATGATCTGCGATTACTACATTGTACGCCGCGGGTACCTGGACGTCAAAGCGCTCTACAGTATTGGCAAAACAGACCCCTACTTCTACACTTACGGCTTCTCCTGGCAGGCCTACGCCGCCTATCTCTCCGGAATCCTGATTAACATCGTCGGTTTCGTGGGCGCAGTCGGTCCAACGGTTCCTATCGGCGCGACATATATCTACAACGTCAACTACTTCGCCGGTGTCATTGTCGCCGGTGGAATGTACTTTATTCTGACGAAGCTCTTCTCCCATTCCGGCGACTAGTGCGACGTGGAATGAGGTTGACATTGATACTGAGCATTTCTCTGTTGCGTACGAGGGGCAAGCCGTGGATGAGGAGAGTAGAGGTGATTATGTGAAGTCATTTGACGAGTCGTTCCCGCCGGATGATCAAAAAGGGTTGAGTGCGGCTTCTAATAAGGTTTGAGCGTGCTGCTTTGGAGATCTGGGATGGCTATGATGTCAAGCGTTTTTGTTTTATACTTTCTGTTTAGCCTAAAAAGACGAGATTCAGTTTTCTATCGACTATACAATACGATGAAATTATCATGGCGTGGATAACACTACTGAACCTGAAGTCTACTATTTCCATATGCAGTAGCCTAGTAAAATCATGTGACAAGAGACCTCTCCCGGGGTTGTGGTCTATCCAATTTCAACGTCCAATGAGGCTAAGGAACGCGTACCATCTATATATAACTATTCAGAACCAAGCGGGCCTCGCGAAATGGAAGTTTCTTGGGTAATCGATGTTGAGATTGTTCTATGACTAGACGACCGAAAATGCAAGTAGAAAAGCGAGAATCAAATATCCATACGGTCCAGCGCTTCATCTAGTAAACATACAATATGGGAAGACAAGGAGAGAACAGAAAGAGCGGATGACGGGTGATACGCCTGCACCCAGAAGCCGTCGGTCCCGAATGAGCAAAGATGAAAACAAAACCACCCATTCGTCACGACATGAAAAGTTGAGGAGAAGGAAAAATGGAAGACGGGTAGATAAAAACCATAGAAATCAGCTATGCAAAGCAGCCCGGTCCCAGAACAAGCAGAAATTCAGAAACCAAACAAGGTCACCGGTGATATGGGCGCCTTTCCATTCCCAGATGACCAACCATGATGCGGAGGGAAGCCCGATGTTCCCTATCCATGCAGTAGGATATGATGATGATGATGATGATGATGATGATGATGCAGACGTAAAATTAAAATCAATGAGGTTGCTCCGGTGGCCAGCCACAATGTCCTTCCCTGTTATTGACTCCCGCAAATGCAACCGATTGGGTTGATGGTGGCTATTTCCGCCGAAAACAAAAACCAAAAAAAAAAAGAAAATGGGAAAAAGGGGAAACGAAAAAGAAATAACGAGATAACCCTGGGTCTTACAAAGAAGCTCGCATAAAAACTCGATACATCCAAACAGATAAACAAAAAAGGGGGTATCGCTGCAACAGGACGTAACAAATGAAGAACCGGAATCTGCGAGGGAAAATGAGAGAGGGTTCGGCCCGTAAACCAAAGAAGTCGGGAAGTGAGTATTGAGGGTGAGGAGGAAGAAGGGACGGAGTACTACCGTCAAGGTGCAAAAGATGAAGTAGACGCTGCGGAAACAGTCGGCGTCAAGTTTGGGGAGCTGTCTTTGTCATCAGGGCTGCACGATTCGCTGGCCCGAATAAGCTCCTTTTCGCGATCAGTAGATGAAGAACGCTTGAAGACGGTCTGTCCAATCTGTCGTAGAATACCCATGCGCTCCGCGCGGATCTCCTCAACGTCAAGACGCTGGACTGGAACAGGATCCTCTTTGATAATACGACAGAACAAAGTCGAGAACAGGTACTGGTCACCGCTGCCATCGTAGAGAGGCAAGTAGCGGTATCCCTGGGAAAGGCTGGAAAGCTTAGCAGTGAAGGTCGCCAATTGCACACTGTTATTGCCAGCATTCCGGCCATCCACCGAATTGTAGATGGTCCAGCGCACAAAGACGAGGTCGGGGTATTTGGTCTCAAGAGACAGCTTGAACCGATCGTTGAAAACCGGGCTGTAGCCATTGCTTTGTTCGATCTTGGTACGGCGGCGATGGGGGTATCCGATACCTGACATGCCGCCGCGGGTAGAGGCATCCATGCCACCCTCGCCAAAAGCTAGACTTTGACCGCGATCATCGGCACTGAACATCTCGATGTCCACGTACGGGTTGATGTTGTCGTCTGGGCCAATGCTGCGGGGACGTGGAAGCTGCTGTGCAGAGATGACGTCAACAGTAAATCGGACAAGCCTTCGCTGCATCTTGAGCTTTTGCCCGTCGCTTGGAGGCGGCAGGCGAAGGCTTTCGGGCTTGAGAACGTATCCGGTGCGATCAGTGCCAGCCGCGAACATGGCTTGGTTCATCTGCATTCCGGTATCGTAAGTCTGCCAATTCAATGCCGCCATCTGTACGCCTCGGCGCCAGAATTTGATTGGATCGAAGTTGGACGAGCGCAGTCGGAATCCTGAAGGATACACACGGGTGAGATACTTGCGATTGTGCGCCTCGAGCGAGACTTTATTGTCGTGAGATTGGCAAATACTCTCGAAGGCGCGCTCTGCAAAGGAGTAGACGTGGTTATACTTTCTACTCTCAGGGAAGTGAAGCTCTGCCATTTGTATCCACGAGTGTAAACCCCAAGATCAGATAATGGTTTGGTAATTTTGCTTTTCTGGCGCCGGCGCTTCTTTTTCTCGTTGTGGAGAGATATCAAGGCGCCATCACTGTCTTCGGTGGCACTGCTCATGCTTGTCGCAGTGAGAGAGCGTCGGTCCTGCGTGATATGAGGCCCAATACCGTTGGTGCTTCCATTGAAAGTGGGTGGGCTCGAAAGAGGCGGCATTCCATTTCCATTGAGCGCGATCTCAGGGGGAGGAGTAGGGCGGCTGAAGGGAGTACTGGAGCTGCGTTTGCGCCCATGAGTGCCGACAGTGCCTGTCGTTTCGACACGAGGATCACCGTTGAGTGTCTCATCGCAAGTCTTAACCTTCACCAGGATGCGGCCCTTGAGCTCCTCCGGAGATGGGAGGATGAAGCAGTTAGTCATGAGGGGCTCCAGGATGAGTTGCTCCTTGAAAGTATCTTTCATGATCTTGACCATTGCCACCTGCTGCTCTGGGCTGCAGTGCACTTCGAGAGAGAGTATCAAAGGGAATTCGGAGGAAATGAAGGCGTATCTGTTGATGACTGTGATACAATCGGCAAAGAGAACACTAGTAGTCATTGTACGTCCATGCGAGACGATTGGACGGCCATCAGCGCCATCCCAACAATCGATCTCCACACAACGGCACCCTTGCTGAAGGGCACTGATATAAGCCTCGGTGCTAGAAGCACCGGCGACCTGTCGACCAAGGAGGTAGGTGTTATGAGAGCTCGAGATGAAATACTCATTCAACGGACGATCAAATGTTGACTTGGGAGCACGAGATGCGTAAACTCCATTACTAGGCGAAGCCAAGTAAGATGTGAACGCGTCAAGACACATGCGGCCTTCAGGAGCAGCATTTTCGGCTCCTTCCGAAGGCTCTGAAAGACGAGGCTTTGATTTCCGGGTCAATCTGTCGAACAAAGTGACCCAATGAGCACGGTCTGAATCAATGTCCTCCTGCTGGACATCGCGCAAAAAAGCCAAGAACTCGTCTTGGGTGAGGCCCATCTTGGGATTAGCACCACTGGCCTTGTAGATTTCCTTGACGTCCTTCCTTTCCTTGAGTCGAGAAAGAAAGTCCTTGAACTGCGCGAAGTTCAACTTCCCGCTATTATCGACGTCGGCCTTGGAAAACTGAGCCCGAAGCATGTTTTTGGAGAAATTGATGTGCAAGCTGCGACAAACAGTCTCAACCGCGCCGAAATCAAGACTCGGCTCTTCACCGGGCCGGGTGCCTTGAGGGAAAAGCCGAAACATCTCCCGTTGCCAATGGGCCTGGATGACTGTTTCACTTTGAGAGCCGGATAGGCCGGCCATCAGCCCAATTCGATACCGGGCGATATGTTCCAGGGTTGTGGTCCACATTTCCAAGATCCGGTCTGTAGGGGCAATCAAGTGGAGAGTCTTCACAGCACGGCCACTGGAGCGCTCAGCATTAGCAATAACGACTGTGAACCACCGCGGCTCCACATCCTCGGAAATTTGATGTTCTTCTCGATAATTGCGAGCGTCAGCGCCAACCCGAATTTCCTTGATATCATCAATGTAGAAGCGCTTGGCAGGATTGGAGAGGTCCCAAAAGACCTTTGCGGCGTCCAAGTCGAGAAAGAAACGAACTTGCTTCCGACGCTTTTTGGTGACTTTCGTCAAAACAGTGCCACGTTGCACTGCAGAGTCCACCTTGGGAGCAATGGCAGCTGAAGGAACAGGACCTCCACCCACATCCCGAGCAGACATCATGCGACTTTCACTGCGGAAGCTCGATGGCTCTGAACCAACCCAAGCACCCAATGCATCTAGAGCTTCGCTAGCTTCTTCCTCGTTGCTGGAGTCTAGCGCATTGTCTCGGTTAGACTGAGGGCCAGCTTTGCTGTCACTGCGCCGACGAATGATGACGGGACCAGAACTTCGTTCTCGCTTGTCGGTTTGGGAGGCGCCAGAGGGTCTCCTTCGAGTAAGCTTGTTTGCAGCACCTCGAGAAATCCGTCGCATCAAGCCAGGTGCCTTGGAGCTTTGGGTCGCATGATCGGCGCCATTAGAACAATTCTGGGTGCCGGGCACGGCCATGATCGACTCGGGGAGCTCGAGCGGGCCGGGGATAAGAGGGAACTCCGGGTTTCGGCCGCGCGGGCCTTCGCTCGCAGGCTGAAGAGGAGTACCGGCAGGTGTGAGAGAGTGCGGAGTACCTGGGGCTGGGAATGAAGAGGCGGGAGTAGAGATCGGTGAGGAGGTAAAAGAGGGTGCAGCAGAAAGAGGATTGCCAGAAGGCACGCCATTCTGTAAAGCGGCTTGGGGGAGACAAGTAGTGAGTTTTAAGCCGGCTTGAGGCTTAGAGTCTATAGTCGGCGAAGATGTGGTGTAAGCCATGCCGGCTTGGTGCGTTGTCAGGAAGATAGCTCAGCTATCGCCCCAAAGAGTCTTTTGAGTTTGTAATTCGTGAACCGTGCCAGAGTTAGAGTCACCTGGACTCTTTTAAATGGCGAATCGGCACCGAGGCAGGGGACCAGCCAGCCGTCAAGGTGTGTAAGAAAGCGAGGCCTGAAAAGCGATCCGAGCCAGCAAGAAATAAAAGAGAAATTAAGGCAAAGCTCGACACAGTAAGAAGGATGATGGTTCAGCCACGTTCCTAGCAGAAATGATCCGTTCTTGAAATCTGCATCTTGGCCTGACCGGGGTGTAATACGGAGCAGCCCTGCCAGCGAGCGCCTCACGGGGCAAAATGCCAGGAACCCAGGAGATTGGGAGCAACCACTATTTCAGATAGCAAGATGAGAACAATAGCAGACGCAAAAAGAAAAAGGGAAAGAAAGAAAGAAAGAATAGAATAGAATAGAGAAGAAACCAAAAATAGTGGCCCTTGATAGCAATTTGCCAAAGTTGGGTAAGCCCGTGCAACTGGAAGATCCCCTTCAAGCTCGTTGCCGATGCTAACCACAAAAGACGTCACACTGGGGGGGTAGATCAAAACGGGAGAAGATCTCCGAGTCCAAGGTACTGACCCGGGGATAACGCCTTCCAGAACGAGAGCTGAGGTTCCCTGTCCTACAAGCAATCCCGGTAACCCCTCTTTTTCTTTTTCTGTTTTTCTTTTGGTCGATCTTCCGGTGTCAGTGGGGAAAGCTGGCCGCACGCGGATAATGGACCGGTTGTGATATAGACCAATTGACCCGGGCGAACCGGGGAGGGGGTAATGCGCCTTGTCGTGAGCGAAGAGGAGGGTTGCCAACGCAGGTCAGAGGCGGGACGCGCAGGCGCATATGCGGGTTCAGACCCGGCGATCAGGAAGAGCCCCAAAGTGTAAGTTGCTAATCGCGTGTCCCACGCGGCCGCGATGAGGAAAAAAAAAAAGTTCCCACCAGGGATTTATCTGCACGGCCCACAAGTCGAAGGAGTGCGATTGGCGATGAATGGTAAAATAGGGCTGCAATGAACGGTGGGAATACCCGCACTAGAGAGCTGCGGGCGCTTTTTTATGGTCTCTTTCTTTTTTGTCTCTGGCGCAAAGCGCGATGCAGAACGGGGAATTGCGACACCTCGGAGTGGGGGGAAAGCGATGCACGGGGTCGAATGAGGAAATTCGAACAATTCGCGGGTGGTAGGATTCAAGTCGAAGCTGCTGATGTTGGATTGCGCTTGAATCGAGTGCTTTTGTTCGGGTTCGTTGCCAGTTTCTTTTTTCGGGGTTGTCGGCTGCAAGCTGAACCCGTTGCTGCACGGTTACGTGGTAGCCGTTCGAATTCGGTCAAGATGCAAAACTGCGCGATAATGGTCGTCAAGTAGATTGTGCGATTCTTTCCTTCGATCTTGAAAGAGAACAAGAGAGAATGTCAGAGAAGGCCGGGAGAGGATCAGAAGACGGGGAAGGGGGGGGGGATGAAAAATAATTAAATCAATGAATCAATCCCAGTGGTTCCGCCTGGAATTGAAGCTGGAGTGGAGACGTACGAGGACGTTGCAGTACCGTTAGGTATTGGTAATTTACAGGACCCGCGTATTTGTGTAATCTCAAAATTACACTTTCTTTTATTTTCCCTCCGGTTAGGCTCTAAGAAACCTAGGTGGGTTGCAAAGTCAGATGGGGGAAAAGAACGCACAGGAGGGGGACCTGAGTATAAGATGATAGGATGAAAGCGCTGCGTAGTTGAGGGAGACAGTTTGGTCTTTGGAAACGCTAAAAATATCGAAAACGTGCGATAAAGAAGAGGTATTAGGGATCTGATAATGGCGGTCGTGTGTCTATCTATAGCCGTTGAGAATGAGGCTTAGAGGCCAGATGGAGGTGGTGGGAGAGATGGGGCGGGAAGAGAATAATAAGACGACTGATGGAGTACATGTAGGCGTCCTGCGGCATATTAAATATTCGTTGAGGATGCGAATTATCTATTTTGTCTTTTTTTGAGAGTGGGCTTCGGTGGTCCTCCTACGTCCTAGGTTTGTCAAATTTGTCTATTTTCACATATATTGCATTTTCATTTTAGGTATCTACCGTGTCTAAGAAACAGAGAAGACGCAAAGGTGGGCACAGTGCCAGCACAAACCAAAGGCCCACGGGCGGTCCGGCGCATCCATTGTCGCTGCCCAGTGGCCCAGGGACAGTACGACTCTACTCCAGTCTCTCCGTACGACCCTTGTTCCGGGGGTTGCCTATCACCGTGGCTAGCTCAGGAAAGGAGGGATGACGACGTGGAATGCCATGACTGCACGCCAAACCACAATGGGGCAGATCTTGGGGTCCATGTCATTGGCCGATCCCTTCACATCCGGGGGAATCCCATCGGCTGAGCGGCCGATCACAGTTTCAGATGCGGAAAAAACGAAATAGAGGAGCTGGAATCAATGAGAGCCTATTGCTTCGATTTTCAGAATAATGCCTAGTCCGAGACCGCACCATCGGCATCGCCGGAGCATTTTCTTCCGATTTCCTACAGTGGAGCCCGTACTCCGTAATTTGAACAGTTTAATTCCATTTTCCATTGAACCTTCCATAGTAAATGTCTGAACACACGGGCTCCAGTTCCCCCACACCCGCCTCAAAATTATGATCCCCCATCTCCCTTCCCTCCCCCCATTTCTTGCCTTTTTTACTCGACTCCTTTCAGGGAGTTTGCCGCTGTAGTGGGGAGGACGGATTCCATCCCCCCCGAAATCTGAGAAAGCCTGAGCTTTTGAAAGAGAGCACATAAAACATGCCAAACCTCAGTACCGTACCGACCCACCTCGTCATCCCGTACTTTTATGTCATGTATTTTCGGCTAGCACCGACAGACTGGTCCCGGGGGAAAGAGATGCGGAGCCTTGGATTCCTGCGTTTTGATCTTGGACAGCCAACCTGCCCATACTCCATGAACCCTGTTATCCCTTCATGTACCTGGATACCACGCTAGGAGCTGCTTCTTCTTGTTGGCTAATCTATCCTGGTGGGGGGGTTCAGGCTCGACGCCCCTATCTTTGTCTAGTAGGGTACCACGAACCACTCAACAGAAGGCCATCCGGGTGCCACAGTCGATCGCGATGCGCATCAATCCCTCCTATTCGACCAAGTGGGGACTTTGAGGGGATAGCGAAAGGAGGAGCAGGTGGTCTGACTGTCCCTTGAGCAGAATATGCAAGTCGACCATGCGATGAGCACTTATCGGCATATCTTCTGCGGAGTACTATACTCGCAAGGCTGCAAGAGGACCCTCGTGAGGCTGGAGAGTGGCAGTGAAGCGTTTTAGGCGGTGCAGGAACTCGGTGGATCCCCGCAGAGATCGGCTGTTTGGGGGGGTCCTTTCACGAACCGTCTTAGTGGAGGGCTACTATTTTTGATTATATTGATTTCCACTTTCGAAAAAAAGAAAAACAAAACAAACCCAAAAACGACAGAAAAAGAAAAAGAAAGAATTTCTTTTTTCCCACTTTAATATCGACTTTCTTTTTTCGGCCTTAACCCCCTTCTCTCTTTGTGTGGAGAATTTTCCATTCGCCTTCCAAGGATCCCGTACCGTTGGGCCCGTTGACCGCAACGATTAAGTTGGAACTGGAATGAGCGGTCTGATACTCCGTACAAGGATTGAGGTTGCCCTATGACTCTTACTCCTTTGTACCCTTTCACCTGGGTGCAATATGCACATTGGTAGTAGTTACCTTCCAAAAGAACCCTCGGCTCCTCATGAGGGGGGGAACCATATGTACAATGCCCACTCTGCTACGCTCACTCCCTGTACCTGCGGTTTTGCTTGCATCCGTGTCAGCTAGTCCTCCCAAACTAGGCATGATTCCGATATGCGACAAGCCGCTTCAGTCTGCCTTGGATGCATTCTCCCAGTCTGATAGCGGGGGGGGGGTTTCAAGAAAACCTGTTCTCTTGATGCGTTGGCGGGAAAGCAGTGGAAAACGACGGATCTCGTAATCTTGCTTTCTCGTGGCTGCTTGCCGCTTTGGTTGTTCGTTGCAGCCTCGTCCTCCGACACCCACGCGTCGCATGTCGAAACCCCTCCCTTGATCTGATCCTGCCTGCAGGTATTGCCGCACGAGGCTCCTTAGCGCCCACTGCGCTCGATCGCCGTTACCAATGGCGGCCTTTGCCCTATCCGACGGGCGATAGCGATCACGTCGCCCAACCAGAGAGTGCAAGAATGCACACCCGTGGACCATTTGTCGCTGACTGCCCGAGGCCCGGGGACGCACGTGGGGATGACTCACGAGGTATTGGCGCTTCCTGGGTAAAGTCAGGCCTGTAGGATGTAGACCGCGACCCTCCGGACCGGGGTTCTGAGTCAGAATCCGTGCGCGCGTTATCGCGTAGGAGACGCGGTTGTGGCGGTTTTCCTATTTGCATGGGATGCGACCAGGCTTACCTTGTAGGGCAAGCTGCGTTTCGATAAGATAAGGAGCGGATGAGTCGCCTCACGGTTTCAATTTACTTTTCCCACATGACTACAAAGAAGCATATGCAACGGCGCCACGTTATCTCAAGCTGAATTTGGATCAACCGTCGCCTAGTTTGTTGCAAGATACTTGCAGTACGCAGTAGAGGCGGGCATTCTCCGACGCAGGGATTGCCCTGGCGACAGACGTGCTCGACGGTCAGGGCACATTGACCGCTATCTGTTCTTTTGCCCCCCCTTTCAGCGGGGCCGAGTGAGGAAACCGAGCGGACGGTCGCCCGACAATCATGATGATCGCGGGAAAATGAGGGGAGGGGAATTTATCGGGGCCACATATCCACCATCTCCTAAACTCATAGTTGTATGTGACATTCCATCTCTGAGATCTGAGCTCTGAGTCGTCGCCCTACTTGCTGGCTTTCTCGTGACACGGTGCAATCACAAATTCCAGCTCCAATCACCGCCCTCTGATCGCACTGCCCAGGATTACATCGCTCTTGAGGCCTGAATTGCCCAGTTGGGCCTAGTTGGGGAAATGTCTGAGGTATGATTTCCTTCCAAGGTTCTTGGTTTCTTCCATTGGCGTAATTTGAGGGAAACAGTTAACGTTGCGCTTTTCGAGAAGGCCCGGACCCACCTTGGCAACTCGTTCTTGTCTTGTATCTGACGTATTGAATACATGACCCAGAATACCGTATTCTCTGCGAAGCCGGTAAATTTCCCCTCCATATGTACCACCACCATGGGCCACCCCGTAGATTACCAAGAGCCCCAGCTCGAACTAACTTAGCTTAGTTGATTATAGAGTAAAAATTACGACATTCATGCACCTATTTGGGTTAGTCGGATCATCTTGCAGAGCATATGCTAAACACTTTCGCTAGGGCAGAGTGTTTGCAGGATTACCCCCCCGGCGGCCTACGGTGACAGCTGAAGAGACTTCAGGGGAAGTGTGACAAGGTTGTCGAATAATCGCAGCGACAAGGGACATGGGTTCCACTTCCCTTCAATCCGGGGGGGATTTTCACAATCACCAGCTAGGAAATCTCGCGAAAGCCCTTCGACACCCGTACAGGTGACAGACAGTCACTACAGAGTGACCGGGGTTGTGTGATGGGCGCATGTAAGTAATACCAATCTCGCAGCCGCTCCTTGCTCCGATCAACCGCCCTAGATAACCCAACCCCGCTTTCTGGTGGCTCCTACCCTATCGCACGCACCCAGCGAACCGTCGGTGTAATAAGAGCAGGAAAGGATACCAAAAAACTATCTCCTCCTCTGCCCTGCTTGGCTCCTTGGTTTCTTGTGATTGCGGGGTGATTTCTGTCCCTCGGAGGCCACCGGGAGATATATCCCTTGTTGTCTTGTTTCTGGTTTCTTGAAAGGAGGTGTCCGGGAGATGCTTGGTGGCCCCTCAGCCTACCAGGTGCTAAAGACACCTTCGGCCTGACCCAGCGCCCTGGCTCTTGAAGATCCAGCGAATTACTTCCATGTCGTCAGGAGGTGACGGGAGGGTAATGACATCATGAGGATGAACAGAGTCCACTGCATTCGTAATTACCGTTCTGTACTGGGACCAGAGTACGGGGTATGCGGTGTGAAATACCGTTGCGTATCGACTTCCGCTATTAAGACTTGAGCTGAGGCGGATCCAATCATCGCCGCGCGCAGACGACTAATTGCAACTAATGGGCCCAGGGGATTAAGGTCGGCCACTCATCGTTCAACGTTCAGGGGCACCGTTTAGGGTCCCTCACAGTGGGTTTACCGTAATCACGCTGCACTCAATTTTTATGGGCTCGGTCTTGGATCTTTAGGAGCAGGTTTCTCTGCATTCCGGGGTGTTCGCTCAGGTCCCTTTTCGTCTGGAATGACTCCCAAGGGGATGGATCCAAGAAAGAGCCGACAGGGTAGCCGCCTGGGCAGTCAGGCGGTCTAAGCTCTTTGTTTTCTGTTCTTGTTCTTCTATTCTTTTCTTTTTCCCTTGGTTGCCTGTCTACTTTGTTTTTTTTTTTTTGTTTTTTTTTTGTTTCTTTTTCTCGTACTTTACCCTAAATCAATGATCGTTGGGCGGGAAGGTACCAAATCCCTGTTCCCAACAGACTGGGACGGGCATTGCGCCGCATTTGAGCTGAGGACGTAGCGGGAAATAATTTATCTTTTATCTGCAGCTCTTACGTGAAATGAATCCTAATCTCAGCCCTGTCAACTAATTATGGAAACAACCCAAAGGCGATCTAGCAAAGCAGGACTCCACTGAAACAACACATCATGGTTCTTACTGTGACACATCGGGGCCTAACTTCAATACAGCGCTCTACCCCAAGCTCGGAGTGCTCCGACTTGTCCATATTTAGGCTCGAGAGCTCTAAAAATATTCCCGGTGAAAAGAATTCGGTTTTTTGGGGGGGGGGGAAGCAAAAACGTAGAAACAGCTAAAGAACAAACCTGCAACTGTGGAAGTACTTGCCGCCCGTCTCAAACGCTCCGTCTCATCCTGCAGCCACTTCGGCACAGCCCCCCCCCCCGGGTACGGATCCTTCGATGCGTCTTCGATGCGGCATCCAGCTTCCCTCTTCAGCTGTCCTGCAAGAAGGTCACCCCGTCATCCACAGGTCTCCATCGCCCACCAACCCGCTTGACCATCGGACCCATGCAGAAGGTTCTATAATGGCATCGCGTGGGCGGCACAAGCCGGTCCGAATCGCAACTCTGCTCTTTGACGCACCCTACGCCCGTCTTACTACTTGAGCTCCACTGGGCCCCGGTTGACCCTGTCCCATTGCCCGGGCAGTTGGTGCAATACAGCAGCACCAGATGAGTGGTTCGCACCGAAGGAGTGTAACCGGCAGGGACCTTTTGTCGCAGATGCCTTTTTTGTCTGGTTCTATTGACAATAACGCGGGCCCTGCATTAAAGGACCTTGAAGCAACCCTCCCCTATATCGGTGCGGCCTGGTTTCCCTGGCATGCATCAGGGCTGTTTCTTTGAAGGAAATATATCCTGCCTGCACATCTCTGTCGCTGCTTTCGATGACGGCTCCGCCGATTATCCCGGATGCATGGAGTATTGACCTTAGGTATGTACGGGTGCATGGATGCTGGCATTGGAGCTGCTAGCTCGACAGCTTCCCCGCTCGAAGTTAAACTTCTCTTTTGGAGTTGGTCATGCGGCCTACTTGCGATGTGGCTTTTGTACGAGCAGGTAAGTTGAAAGGTGACATCTCGGAATTGTATCTTGCTGGTCAAGTGCGGCAGTTCCGAGATATGGACGGGGGTTTGACTGGACGCCTGGTTGCACCTAAATTGAGCTTGTCGGCAACTGGCGCACAGACGCAGGCTGGGAGAACCCTGGTCAATACGGGGCAATTCAAGTTTGTTGGCATATGCAGTACAGGACGACACTAGTCGTTCTTTGATGCGAGAGGGCCTGGTAGGCTGAATATTGAATTTTACAGGTAAAAGCACGGTTTTCTACTCTACTACGGCCTTTTCTATGTAATCAGGCAAAGGTCCTGCTCTGTGCAACCCTCTACTGCCCTCTTTCTATGCTGTGGGCCTCGTCGTCTTAACTTGCCCTCGGCCATAACAGAACGTTCTAGACAGTATCCATGACCTGGAATACCTAGCACTAGTCTTCATCCAGCGTTTCAAGTGCCGGCGCCCACGCCCACGGCTCGTCGTAAACCTTATGGCCCCGTCTACATAAAGCCCGGGATTCGTATTGTCAACAAGCTTGAACGAAGGTCCGGGTCGCTGGGCCTGTTTGATGTATATGAATCTCGTTGGCAGGGTGGAGTGAAGAGGGCACGTACTCCGTCGAAACGGATAAACTCCGAGACTCGCGAATCCGGGGCTACATCTTTCCCTTTACCCCTGCACGAGACTCGGATTCTTCAACCGCCTTTCGTGCAGGCCACAACATACCGCTTCACCTACCCCATCAAATACTGATGTATATTCATAGTTACATATCCTACATCACCAACCCTTATTAGATCATACTAAAATTCAAAATACTGAATAATCAGGTTCATATACAGAGTTAATCTGCCTAATATTTTATATAATAATCTTCGTTTGTATACAATCTATCCATCCTTCTTCCTATACTCAATATCAACATATCAATCTTCGTCTAGTCTAACATATCCTATATAGTATTAATATACTCTTTAAACTAAGCCCGGTCCTCTTCAGATCTTTCTCTCTATACAATATCTTTAAATATATAAAAAAATTTGATATTATAGTCGTTTCCAGATCAGTTTAATAGGATTAAGATCAGGCGAGTATACCAGCCAATCTTCAACATACATCCCGTGCTCTTTAAACCAAATATGTATATCTTTCGCAATATAGATCTTTTTTTATCTTGCTAGAATATAATTCCAGATTGATAGCGATTGATGTTATGGGGGAGGTGTAGGAGAAAGAATAAAAATGTGGGTGGTTATTAGGGTGATGGTAATGGGGCCGAGTGCATACAGACTTTTGACCGGGTGGTGTATCTTCATTGCCGGCTCCTTCTTGAGACGTGGCGCGGCCTGCTTCTTAAGGCCTGCCCTTGGCAGCTCCCCTTTTCTCAAAGGACAATCCGAACCCGGCCGCTGGGTCCGTATGCTCCACCTTTCATGTTATAAGGCTGGGGGGATCAAGATCCAATTAATACGAAACCGAATATATCTATGGTCTTCGTATAGGGGGTTTGGCGACGACATGACAGACGCAGCTTGGAATTGATGGATTTGGTGTCTTACGGTATTGTAGCTTGCGTAATATCAGCTTCAAAATTACAAGACAGATCGTTCGCTCTTCTGCGAGGTTTTTTTGGTGTTCTGGAGGGGCCGCGGAGACTCCGATAGTTACCCTCGCTACCAGATCTTAGAAGTGGGAAGTGATTCACGCACTCGGCCGGTTCAGTACGGCGCAGACCCGTGGTTGCCGCAGCTCAAGACGGGGAGCTGCGTAGATCAGCAGACCACCTCAACCGTGTTTTCCAAGTTCAGACGACATAATTCTGATCAAGAGGACCTTATAATTATCGTTCTATATGGGTCGTGTAGAGGCTTGCGCCTGTGTTGAGAGCTCATCCTCTAGAGACTAGCCGAAAGCTACCCCTCTTTCCATCTGGCTCCCCTCAAAATTGGTAAAGTATCGCATACGAGCTTCGCGCCATGGGTCCATCGAAACCTGTAGACAGGGACTTTACAATTGCACTGCCCAAGGTAGAGGTACGCGAACTTCCATTCCTCCTCCAACCAGGCCGATGGCTAATGGGCAACCACCCCCCTTCCCCCACATGTAGCTGCACGCCCATCTCAACGGCAGCACCAGCCGCCAGTGTTTACACGAGCTATGGAAGCGCAAGAAATACATCAATCCCGATTGCTCAATCACGGATCCGCTGGTCATGATGCCTCCGGATAAAGTCGACTATACTCTCCAAACGTAGGACTCCGCTCCAGCCAGCGCCTCCCGATAACGAATCCCTAACCTTAGTATAGCTTCTTCCAAACATTCAGCACATTTATATACCAGCTCTGCGACAACCTGGAAAGTCTCGCATACGCCGCGAACAGCGTACTGGAAGACTTCTGCGCCGACGGAGTTCGCTACCTCGAGATTCGCACAATCCCCCGCGAATTCCATGGCAAGACACGAGCAGAGTACCTCTCCACCGTCTTAGATGTATTTTCCGCCTTCCAAGCCCGAAACGCAGAGATGTCCGTCTTCCTCATCGTTGCCCTAGACCGCGGCCACACGACAGCCGCGGAGGCAATGGATCTCAGTCCACCTCGCCATCGCCAACCGCGAGCGCGGGGTCGTCGGGGTCGACCTCTGCGGGGACCCGACAAAAGGCGATGTGACGATGTACCGCGACGCGTTTGCGCATGCAAAGGCTCACGGGCTTGGGCTGACGGTGCATTTTGCCGAGACACCTGTATCGGGAACGAGGCGTGAGTTGGATGCGTTGCTGGACTTTCGGCCGGATCGGTTGGGCCATGTGATTCATGTCCCTGAAGATATTAAAGAGGAGATCGTGCGGCTCAGGCTAGGGCTCGAGCTGTGCATGTCTTGTAATGTGCATGGACAATTGATTGAGGGGGGGGTTTGCAGACCATCATTTTGGATCGTGGAGGCTTTCGGATTGCCCCATTGCGCTGTGTGTAAGTGCTGCTGTTGCATATATCCTGCTGCGGGGCGGAACTGCCTTGAAAGATTGGGCTAAACCTAAGACTCAGACGGATGACGTGGGGTTTTTCTGTAGCCCCGTCTCAAATGAATACCTACTTGCCGCCCAGCATTTTGGCATCGACCGAGCCGGGTTGGTGAGGATTTGCGAAAAGTCGGTGGACATGATTTTCGGCGGTAACGATGAGAAAAACAGACTCCACAGGCTACTGACCGACTTCAAACGGTCGGATGCTTGAGATATTGGTACCGGGAATTGTTGTCTCACTTTAAAGTGCGCGAATGTGGTGGCGTTGGTATACTTGACTGAAAAGGGTTCCCGGCTCTGATCTGGCATCGAGATTACGAATATGCTCCAGGGCAGCCGACTTTCCAAAGTTGAAGAAAGTGGAGAAAGTCATTACTTTCTTAATAAAACAGCCGAACATAACTACATCTTTCCCGTCATTGATGACTCCAACCTGTCACCGCATTCTTGATGGGGTCATTATTTGCCAAAAACTAGTGATCTAAATATATACCAACACAGGATCGCATTTGAGCCTGAAGGCTGAATAGCTTGAGCGGGGCAGAAAAAAACGCATTTTGGCATGAATTGCATCATCGCGCGGATTAGCTAAGTCGTGGACCTTGTAAGAAATCCTCCAAGCCGACCAAAGCCAGGCAGCATCAAAAGTTCCTATGTTGCTCTTTTCCCTAATTCGGTGGCCGCCGTGGGGCTCAAGTTGCGATAGAGCCGATCTTAGATCCAGTTGGTGCCCGCCATTCCCATTTTGGAACATCGTCTGATTGCTTCAGCGAAAGAATAGCTCAATTAAATGATTCACCTGCCCGCTCTTATGATACTTAAGCAGGCTCGTATCCCAGCTTCAACTGCCCCAAGAGCATCAGTAGTTCCTAGGCTCAACCCTTGGAGCTCATCTCAATAACCTAACAAAGCTATCATGTCGTCTACCGGAGCTCTTCCTCAGACTTTAAAGTCTATCACGACTACCAAAATCCGCGAGTTATCCAAGCAGCGTGTTCTCTTCGACAGAAAGAAGAAGCAGATCGTGGCAGATGCCACTGCAGCCCAGGATCTTCGTGCAAAGGCTCGGATCCTGCTTGATGGCCTTTCCTCTTTGAAAGGGTATCCCAAGGATCCCCTCGACCAAGATGACATGGACCTGGACCTCCCTTCGTACTACCGCAATGAAGATGGCACGGGGCTCAACACCCATGGCATGGGCCAGCTATTCCAGGCCGACCACACCAACATTCGGCGATTTCTTCTTCAGGCCCGATATGACGCTTCAATATCCGACAACATGGTGCGCGAATGGATTTCAAAGTTAGAGAATGAACTGCAGTTCCTGGAGCTAAAACACGAGCATGCTTCCTTCTACACTAAGCTCGTGACGGAATGGCTCTCAAATTTGGACGAGTCGACATCATCTCCCGAGATTGCAGGAGCCAGCTTTGAGAAGGTTGGTCGGGTGGAGATGCATGAGCAGCGAGCAATCTGGGAAGAGCTTGTCTTCACTCCAGGAGATCATGTCGATAAGGATTCAATTCGTGCTTATCTCGACAACCTCTTCACCAAGTCGAAGCTCTCGCGCCAAGCCCTCGAGCTGCTCCGCGGCGACATGCATAAGCTTGGATCGGAGCTGGCTACTCAAGGAGAGTGGCTCGATGAGAAGTCGCTCGAGTGGGTCTCAGATGCTTTGATGAACTCGGACATGCTCAGCGACGAGAAAACAAACATTCTCAAGGAGTTCATGCGCAACAAAGAGGTTCACCAGGAGGTAGCAGACGTGCTCAACATGCGCCTAGCTTCCTTAGAGAGCTGGAACTGGGGAAATGATGGCATTCCAGTCGAAATGCGTCGGCAGTTAAATGGAAAGTACCGCGTATTCATGGATGCGGATCTCCTTGATAGCCTTATGCTACAATATCTGGGTACGACTTGGGCTGTGAAATTTCGAAGCACTGCTTCAAAGTTCTTTAGGTCTCTGGCTTGGACTCCGGTCCAAGAGGATATCCCTGAAGAATACCGGGAGAAGCGCAAATACTTTACTCAAGACACTGAGCCAGACCAGATCCAAGGTATAAACGGTGAGAGGACCTCCAGGTACCAGTCGGACTACTTCATGAGTCAATTGCCCGAAACGGTCATGGAGGGTTCTCGCAATTATGACGATGACTCGAAGTCAAAGAACGCTTTGGAGACAAAACACTCCCTCCTTCATCTTCTGATTACAGAGTCCATTATACAGAAGGAGCTGAGAGGGGAATTTACCGCCATTCGGTCTGACTATCAGTGGTTTAGCCCTGGTTTGTCTCATGCTACCATCTTGACAGTCCTGGGATATTTTGGTGTTCCTGAGGTGTGGCTCAACTTCTTCAAGGTGTTCCTGGAAGCACCCCTCAAGTTCGTCCAAGACGGACCCTCTGCTTCCACACGAGTCCGAAAACGCGGTGTGCCGATGAGCCACACACTGTCCGACTTTTTTGGAGAAGCGGTGTTGTTCTGTATGGACTATGCAGTTAACCAGGACACCCACGGCGGTATATTGTATCGACTCCATGACGATTTCTGGTTCTGGGGCACCGAAGAGACCTGCAACCGGGCATGGCTTGGGATGACCAGTTTTGCAAGTGTGATGGGCTTGCAGTTCAACATGGAAAAGACAGGGGCTGTACGGATGGGATCAGCAGCCCTGACGAAGAATACCATTCTGCCTCAGGGAGACATTCGTTGGGGCTTCTTGGTTCTTGACGCAGAGAAGGGGAGATTTATCATTGACCAGGCCCAAGTGGACCAGCATATTGAGGAGCTTGATCGGCAACTCTCGTCTTGCAGGAGTGTTTTCGCGTGGGTCCAGGCATGGAATGGCTACTTTGGACGCTTCTTCACCAACAACTTTGCTCGTCCCGCGATGTGCTTCGGCCGGGACCATATCGATATGGCCATCTCTACCCTCAGTCGGATCGAGAAGACTCTATTTTCCAAGACATCCGATGGGGCTTCTCAAGGAAAAGGCGGAGTTACGGATTACCTACGGAGTATCATGGTCGAGCGATTCGGTGTTCGGGACGTGCCAGAGGGATTCTTCTACTACCCCGTGGAGCTTGGCGGTCTTGGTCTTCTCAATCCATTTGTCCGTCTACTTGCCATGCGCGAGAACATCAAGCAAACTCCTCAGAAGCGACTGCACCGGGCCGTGGTGGCCGATGAAGAAGACTACCTACACACAAAGCAGGAATTTAAAAGCTCGAGGCACTCGACCTTGCCGTATGGCGAGAAAGCAACATCATCCATGACCCTGGAGGAGTTCATGATGTACCCCGAAACGTTCAGTTCGAATTGGCTTGAAGCCTATTTAGATCTAAGACATGTGCCCGAGGAATTGAGTGTCTCACCCACCGCGAGCTTCTCCAAGCACCAGAGCGGCCTCGAGTCTCGAAGATCGACCAAGGCCAGCCCGATTTCCTCCAGATGGGAGTTAATGACCCCGTACTGGCGCTGGGTTGCTGAGCTATATCATGAAGAGATGGTGCGTACGTATGGAAGTTTGGCTGCCGTGAACCGGGAGTTTATGCCACTGGGAGTTATCAAGACTTTGCAGCAGGATCGGTTCCGGTGGCAGGGCTGAGGATGGCATGGAAGGCATCGGAGTCGGGCTGTTTAAAAATTATACCCAAAATATATGGTACTTGATGCAGAAGAACTAGGTAGATCGCGGTCTTTCAATATGACTTAGAGAATAACGACTCGTTTCTAGTACCCTTACCCGGCCAGTATCCAGGAGAAGGGCTGTGCCAATGCTCTATGCCACTTTATGGCCAGATCCATCACTGCTAGTCTGAGACACGTACTAGGATCACCCAAGTACCAGAAATAAAAGGCGCACGGCGTCAAGACATGATGATCGTAGCAGTGCTATAAATTAGAGCCGCTTCCATTCTAACGAGTGACTGATAAGGGCCACGATACAAGCCGTGGATGAAAAAAATGAATGACTTTCTTCTAGAAAAAAAAAAAACTTCCCCCGGTACTAGTCGAGTAGATGAAAGGTGCTGCTGCCGCAGGAATGCGTACCAAAGGCGGTCGGTCTGGCCCACATGGCCCGCAATCGGAATAACCACCCAGCAACAACAGTTGAACCCTCCTTTATTTCCCCAATTAACCTCCTATCCACCGTTATCATGGATCCTTTCTCAGCAGAGGGTGGTATGTTCTATGCGAGCCCTATAATTGCCTCGCGCGAGCCGCTAACCCCTAACAGAGCTCCTCAACATCCACACGGCCTTCCACTCTGGCCAGTACCAAAGCGTGCTCGATTTCGAGACCGCCGCGCTGTCCCCCGAAAACCAACTCCCCGCTCGTGTCCTCAAGCTCCGTGCCCAGATCGCCCTTGGTCAGACATCCGAGGTGCTTGCTGCCGTTTCCAGCGAAGAGGATACCCCTGACCTGGCCGCCGTCAAAGCCCTGGCCCAGCTGGTTGCTGGGGACGCCGATGCTGCCGAGCAACTCGCCCAGGACCTGGCAGAGAACTACCCAGAGAATTCCTCTGTGCAATTCCTTGCTGGAACCGTCCTGCAGGCACAAGGACGCAGTGAGGAGGCGCTTGCCTTACTAGGCAAACACCAGGGTAGCCTTGAGGCGTGAGTGAACCCGCAGCGCATGCCATCTCGCAATTGATTACTGACCGTTGTCCCCGTTGCTGGTATAGAGTTGCGCTTATTGTTCAGATCCACCTCCAACAAAATCGCACCGACCTAGCCCTGAAGGAAGTCCAGGCCGCAAAGCGATGGGCTCAGGACTCGTTGCTGGTCAACATTGCCGAGTCCTGGGTGGGCCTAAGAGTCGTACGTTAACAGCAGTCGCGAATCCTCACTTGAGCTACCTGCTAACATTAGTTTCCACAGGGCGGTGAGAAGTACCAGTCCGCTTTCTACGTCTATGAGGAACTCGCCTCCGCCCCCAGCACCAGTGCGCCTCTCTCCATCGTCGGCCAGGCCGTCGCAGAACTCCACCTGGGCCGCCTCCCCGAGGCTGAAGCCGCTCTGTCCGCGGCGCTGGAGAAATATCCAGAAGACTCGGAGTTGATCGCCAACAGCATTGTTTTGAATGTTCTGGCTGGCAAGCCCAGTGCTGATCTAGAGTCGTATGTAGCCCCACCCGTTGTTCATCCCATCGATGGAAACTGTTGTATATTGACAGGTATATATTCTAGGAAACTACAACAGGTACAGCCCTCGCACGCCCTCCTCGCTGATATCCAGGAGAAGAGTGACTTCTTCGACACTGCGGCTGCCAAGTACGCACCCAAGGTCTCATCCTAGGGGTTCAAAACGTCCTTTTCTATTTGACGAAGCCTTGCTTTTTGTTCTTTGGAGCCAGGGTTGTTTGATATCCTGTTTATGAGTTGATACGACCTGCTTAGTGCCGACTGAAAACCAATGATACTCTATTTAGAACCGATCTTAGACTCTGCTCGCTCATATGGAAGATACCACTTTATGGTCTGAGTATGCCTTCCCCTTGATGAACAGATGGACTCATCATAAAATCATTTATTGCCATTCCAAGATTGCCCCTCAGAAACACCGAAATAAGCTATTAACTACACTTGCGTTACCATGCCTGCATATGCGTGCTCGGTAGACTAACCCGATATACCGGCTTCGCAATTATAGACGCGAACGAATCCACTGCCGCAAGTCCTTCCCCGTCTGCGTCTGCCGCCCCGCATCGACGTACAAATGCGCATCGTGCGACTCGTCATATCCCACAATGAACGTGGTATTCGGGAAAACAGACTAAGAAGATCAGCACTGCCACACACTCAGAATATCGAAGATGGACGCCCGATAAAGAAAAAGCAAAGAAAAGAAAAGGGGAGGGAAGAAAGAACATACCTTGATCTTCTCCGCTATATCCCGAATCGGCGAAAGCAATATCTCGTCCGATCCCGCAATAATCAACACACGCTCCGTCTTCGCATCCCTCCACCACTCCGCCGGCGCCCTGAGTGGCTCGCTCCAGGGATCCCCTTCCCGGCCCTCGAGATACATCTCCGCCCACCGCTTCAGGACATCGACCGGCACGCAGTCCTTGTACATGTTCTCCGTGAAGGAAGGCCAGTCGGTCCTGAAGCTGATCCATGGCGAGAAGCCGAAGACTCCCGCCAGCGGCTCCGAGAGGTCAATGGGCTCGATCTCCGGGTGGGGGTGGGAGAGATGCAGCAGGGTCGCGAGGGCGAGGTTGCCGCCTGCCGAATCACCACCGACAATGACGTTGGACGGCGAGCGGCCGGAGGCGAGGATGTAGCGCAGGGCGCCGGTGGCCTGGCGGAGTTGGGTCGGGTAGGTGGCGTAGGGGGGTTAGAGAGTAGCGGGGAATGAAGACGGCGATGTCGTGTTCGTTGGTGGACGTGTTTAGAGCGGCGAGGAGGTCGAGCCAGAATTCGAAGTGGAGGGGCATGGGGGCCATGGAGAAGCCGCCGCCTGTGGAAAGTTAGGGTTTGCTATAAGAGGGCCACATTTCTGTCGTTCATGGGGGCAATGCTGTGTGACGACGGGGGTGGCACTTAAGTTTTGAGGCGGAAGTGCGTACCGTGATAGTAGACGACTACGTTCTTAGCATCCTTGTTTCCAAGCCAGTAGCCTTCTGTATCGTGGGGGAGGGAGATGATTGATGGCTCGAGACCTCGCTTTTTCATGACGGAGCCATACGCCTCGGCAAAGGTGGGAGCTAGATACCTGGACTCAAGCGGGTTAGCTGTCGTACTCTATTGCTCCAGGATGCAGGGGTGTCCGACTTTTGCTGGCGATGAGAGATTCGGTCCACAAATGTCCGGATGGCCGCTGCTTGGACATGGTGCCGGTAGTATCTGGGGCTGGCTTTGCCCCGGAAGACTCCTGTGAGAGCAGCAAACAGTAAACTCAAGCCGGTGCTGACTTGGACCAAGGGAATGTCTGCTTTCTCGAAGAGCCCTAGTTCGGGGACATCCGTACGCTTTGCGGCCATAAGACCAATAAAACCTTTATTTGGTTTCTTTGATTTTCTCGTATTTCTCACTAGGAATTATAGAAAACACTTAAGACATAGGGACCAGGTGGCCCGGGGGTAACTAGGTAAAGACGAGCTCCCCCGCTTTCCACTAGAGACTCGGACCTGCCGATCATGACCTCGGTATCTGGGGTCCCCCACCTGCAAAGAAAATACGAATTGTGAAATGCCCAGGTGGGTAGAGTGCCGCTTTGAGATGCGGCCCAAACTCGGGGGCTTGAGTAGATACGAGCACAGCCATACCTCAAGGCTGTATGGATTTGTCGCCGGAAGATTGACCCTAATGCTAGTTTGAGCATATGGTTTAAAAAAAAGGCATTTCATGGTTTATATCTTTATATCCATTATTGCCTCATGTCTCGTAGCTGAGAAGGGTTACGAGGTAGAACAGTACAGGAACCGGAGTAGACAGCCGAGGCTTAGCTGTTGGCTATAATTGTCGCGGACTCAGACTAAGACTAATCAACAAAGCCGCAGCTGATCAACTCTAAATTGGTCTACATGGAGTAATTATTCGCATCCAATTTCACATTTATTTGTAGAGGCGGGAACCTCGCAAATTCTGTGCGTGGGACCCATCACGCATGACAAGCGCAAAAGACCGACAAACTCATCTGATCAAAAAAGCATCTTTGCATTCCCTTGATGCTCCGTCACAGATTGGCACGACTAGGCGCTATTGCATAACCAGATTAGAATTGATGCACTAATGGCCATTGACCATATCCTCCTTACCAGTCAGCTCGCAGAATGCTTTGTATGTCGTAAAGACATCGTCCTCGCCCTCCCCACTACCAGTGTTTTGGATGACACATTCCGCATCGGCTCCGATGAAGAAGACATAGCCCTCCTTGACCTCCTCTGTCTTGTGGCCGACGGTGATGCTACCGGAACCCCGGGTGCAGATCAAAATGCTGGGCCCGACAATACCGTCAAAGGTAGCCTTAGCTCCCGTTCGGTTCAGATCAGTCTTGACCACACTAAACTCCTCGATAGGAGGGTCGTAGAGCAAAGATGAAGATCCACTCGAATAAGCAGTTGCGTTCAACACTGTGAAGGGGTAGTCCTTGGGCCGAAGCTTTTGCTCTTCAATGGGGGCATAAGAGTAGGTCAGCATCTGAGTGAGAGTGCTGATATCCTTGAACTTGGGTGTGAAACCCGCCCGGACGACATTGTCTGACGAAGCCATGCATTCGATGATGTCGCCAGAAACATAAGCATGGATGTCGTCAGCCTTCAGGAACATAGCCTCGCCGGGTTCTAGAGTGATGAAGTTGAGGAAGAAGAACACAAACAGGCCAAGGTCGTGAGGGAACTGGCCATTCAGACGGGTAATGATCTCGGCTAACTGTCTGGGGTTAGCAGGGTTGGTCTCAACGTCGCCGGGCAGAGTCCCGAAGCTTGCGGGAGAGTTCTCTGCCAGAGCAACCAGCTCGTTTGAAGCTGCCTCGATGTTCTCAGGAGCTGATTCCATAAGAGAGGTGAAGATCGTGCGCAAGGCATCCTTGTTGCGCTGCATGACATCCTCATCCTCGGATTCTTCGTTTCCCTTGACAATCTGCTCGAAGTCATTCGCCGCCTGTTGTCCCACGAGTTTGCGAAGAGGCTCGATGGCTTGTAAGAAGTGGGTGATTTCCGCTAACGGACGGAATCCGCAAAGACCTTCGAATGGAGTGATAGCGATGGTCATTTCGGGCTTGTGGTTGTCGTCTGATATTGCATTGGTACTCGATCATGGCATTCCTAGGGAATTCGATAGTACGCACCAGGGTAGTTCCTCGGATCCCGTGCGTGCAGCTGCTCTGCTAGCTTCTTATTGGGGTGGGCCTGGATGCTGAGAGCTTTGCGAATGGACAGAACCTTGAAGAGGAATGGAAGTCGGCTGCCATAGCGTTCGCTCACTTCGGTGGAAAGCAAGGCCTGGTTGTCCTGGACCATGTCGAGGAGAGTACGCTGGGTCTCTACATCTTTTGAGGGCAGCGACGGGTGGGTTCCCATCCATAGCTGAGACAATATATTCCCGTTAGCCCGCACGTTTTCAAAAACAAGTTCCTGAAGTGAATGACACATTGTCATACCTCTGCATATGGCTTTTCAGCCTCGATCGTAAAGTCCGAGGCGGCAGTGGTGGCCGCATACCGTGCTGCAGCCGACTCTTGACCAACTTTACCTATGACGGAGTTCAGTGCGGGGCATTCAGTATGGGGGGTTGCACGGGCTCACCCCAGTCGTAGCTGTTGACGCCTAGAGAAAGTCAGAAACGCAAGCTCTAAAATACAGAGATTTGAGCCATACCGCATTGTAAACGAAGCAATGGGATCTGCATTGTGGAAGGTTTGTTCCAAGGAAGAGAGGGGCGGCTCCGTGGTTTTCTATTACGCAGAATCCCCACGTGCCAAGACTCTCGGTGAGGTCACTGAAACGACACCACAGATGGGCTCCGCTTAGATTTAATATGGATGCTTTATGGGTTCTTGATGGATTTTGCATGGAGTTTTAACCTCCGGATTCCAAGTGATCTGGGCGGATTCTGTACATTCTTGGCCGGAATTTGGAAGATGGCGACCGCAAGCGGAGCTGGTTACGAGCATTGGCTGTGGCCGCAAGGGGATTAACCTAGCAGGGTTCCCACCATCTATAGAATCCTCGGTCCACTGGCCTGGAAGATTGATCTCTCAAATAAGAACGGAAAAGACGAGGATTAGAAATAGATACAGCTTCCAAATGATCTGGTATGTCTGGTCCCATCTTATTGATCCCAAGTAATCTAATATCCTGTCGAGAGCCATTCCAACCTTATCTTGAAATTATCCACAGGGCGAACGGAGCCTTCATCGGGGCACCAGCTGAGGCCTTCGTAAACGTACCCAGCTCCTTCGTTCAGCTAGGGGATCCTCATGCATAAGCCGTAGCCGCTACATTTAGAGTATAGATCAGTAGGCGTTCAAATGTGCGGAGGGGGAATTGCAGGTTTACAGCAGCTCAAATGAGATTTTTCTGCGGCAGAATTCGCCAATCAAACAAACTACAATGCGGAAACTCCCTGACGACCGAGACCTTTGGTATCAGACATAATCAATAATACTCTGTCTTCTCGAACGCCTTCTAAATTTGGCGCCACGATAAACTTCACACCCGCGCGGTTACCCCGACCGCCTTGGCTTATCGGGAATCGTCCGATCCCCCCCAGTTCTGGAGCTCTCCGATCCCCCTGCAACTCCCGCATCCGAGGAATCCACCATGTCTCGAAACCGCCCTCGACCCCGTGACAATGGCCTCGGCAACAACGAGGAGATGGAGCTCTGGACGCGCATCTGCCAAGACATTCGCAAAGCCAAGGAGACGTTCGAGCAGCAGGCTTCCCTGTCCGTCAACATCAAGACACTGGTAGACAAGATCACTCGCGAAGGCAACAGTAAGACCGATCTTCCTTAGCATCGCGCCGTTGGCATGAAACATCGGCTCCTGTCAGAACCTGCCACTAGACACCCGGTCGCGCGTTGCATCGGTCAATCAATAACTAACCACCTGTTTGCACAGGGCCCAGTCTAGCAGACCACGACCAGCTTGACACGTGGCTGCGCCAGAGCCAGAAGCTCAGCGAAGATGAACGCTCGATCATGCAAGATGAACCATGCGATGTGATCAAGAACCTGGAGCTCCTTACCGCGCTCCGCAAAGCTTCCGAGGCCGAAGCCCCGCCAAACCGCTCAACCGCGCTTTCCAAGTCTCGCAAGAAGCGGTCTGACATGGAAATTTCCGCTATCGATTCGCCAGGTGCGCCGGGAGCGGATAAGGGCCGCTCCAAAGGTGCGATTCCTCGTAGCACGAGCGTCTCGAGTACCCAGGCGCGAGAGGGCCGGAATGATGGAATCACGGTGAAGGTCGAGGAGGGCTCTGAGAGTACCAAGGGCACTGTTGCGGAGCGGACTGGTCAACTTGTTGTGGGAGCACAGGTCGTTTTCAAGCATAACAAGAACAAACAGGGTGTGGAGGGTGAAGGGATACAGTGTATTATCAAGAGTATCTCGGGAGATGGCCATAAGAAACGGTACACAATTCCGCTTCTTCCGTTTTTTTTTTTTGATCTGACCACCATCGGCTGATTCATTCATTATATAGCTGGTACGATGTCCAAGACCCAGAGCCGAACGAAAATGGTGAACAGGGGGCCGTTTACAAAACCACTGCCGCATCTTTGATTCCAATCCCTCAGATGACTGGGTCTCTGCCTTCTTTTACAGTCGGTAAACAGGTCTTAGCAAGATATCCCGATACCACGACGTTCTACCGCGCCGAGGTGATGGGATCCAAAAAAGATGTCTACCGCCTGAAGTTCGAAGGCGAAGAAGATGACAAAGAGATGGAAGTTGACCGGCGCTATGTTCTGGATATTCCGAACAAATAGTATGACTGATGAGAGGATTCTATGATTGATGAAAATACTATTTAGCAAGGCGCTATTCGGAGTTTGGCAGGGCTCTAGCCTCTGGTAGGAAATGAAATGTCTTTTCTCCGTGTATTTTATCCTCGTGCACTGTCATCTTACATCCTCAAATTGACAGCTCCAGCTTGGGTTTGCCCTTTTACGTATTGATGCTCTGGCTCATTTGTTGAAATCTCGAAATTTAAGTTCATGGTGCAGCCGCTTTCTCCACTCATGATCATTCAAAATCGAATGCACACGAGCTTCTAGCCACTCTGTGTTCCCCCAGAAGCCCCAGGAAGCCTGGAATCGACACCAGTCAGCTAGCGCCGTCTCCCAATGAAACTTGAATGTCTCCCATTCATAGAAAGCTGGCTCCCTCCCCCTGAGAAGCCGCGTCTGATATCGCTTTAGCAGCCGAGCCTCAGGTTCGCACATTTCCAACTGGTCAGGCAACGGCTCAGGATGGTCGGTCAATAGCTCCAGTGGAACTGAGCAGGTAAACAGTTTGGCCAAGTCGCACACCCCAAGACCTAAACCGACATATTGGAAGTCGAAGAACGCGACCTTATTCCCTTCAGTCGACGTGAAGAGGTTTTCTGACTTCACATCACCATGAATATACGATTCTACCAACCTCGATTCTCCCCACGGTGTTAAGAAAGAGGCGATCTCATCAGCCACCGGCGCCTGTGAATCCGGGGTCAAGGGACTGCCGAATGCAAACGACCATTCCGAGTTGTCCGCCTGCAAAGATGCGAACTCTGTCCTTCGAGTCGCAAGGTAAGTATAGCCTCCGTTGAGCCACAAGCTACTCCCTGGGGTTTTCTCCGGATCCTGTCTCCTGAGATACTCTTCGATTGGGGGCAAGACGTATGGATCCAAGCCGTTCTGTAGTAGATTCAGATCCCATGAGCGGCGGTGAAATGACGCCAGCCATTCCAATGCCCCGTGTACTTGCGTATGGTTCAACACACCTCGTTTTTCGCCTGCGATTGGATATTTCGGGCGAAGATCAACCATTATAGTTGCCGTCAGACCCTCCAGTTCTGCTTCGCCTTCCTTGCCTTTCATGTTCCGAGTTGATGAAAGGCATTTGGCAACGGCGATATCGTCACCCAAGAGCGGGACTACTTCAGTGTAGAAATACTGCTCAACCTCATAGCTGAGTATTTTGCGTAGATGTCCCTCATTTTGCGTGGGGTTGTCGTGATCGAGTTTTTGTTTGGGGGGGGAAATGAGCTTTAGGATGAGAGGATAAGTAGACCCCACAGCTCCAGTATCGACTCCGCAAAGCTGCGATAGATGCTCCGCTGCCTCGGCGGTCGTGGCACGCACCGTGAGGCCGCATATCTTCCCGTATCCTGCCCAGAGGGTCTGCAGAGTGGTGATTGAGACGAGTTCGAGGGAATTCCATGACAGCATGAGACTGGCCACGTGTCTGGGGTCATTGGCGAGAGCCATCATACGAACTTGGTGCCAGCGTTTCCAGTGCTATACAGTCAATGTGATCGGCTGTCGGTGGCCACAACATGGCTATCTGCCATCCCACGATCCACGCCCGATATTGAAAATGTTATGTAAGCATTTCTAGATCGCCCGGGCAAGCCTCTAGGCCTCAAAAACGTCAAAAGGCTCGAATGCATCTATTTCTTGCTAACTAGGAAGTTTTTGATACTACTCGTATGCACGCCTCGTCGGGCCCAGTAGCTGGGGCATCCCCTGGTCTTGCGATTTTAAAGAAAACTGTTTCAGCATAACATACTTAGCATCTGGTCCTGGGATCATCTCATCGATGCGAATCCGTGTCAGCAGAAAGAACGTAAAAAGATGTCAGAAGCAAGTTTTACTGTTGCCGCCTCAATCTTCAATGTACTTTCGACTTTGCAATCGCTATCGGCATTCTATCAGGGTTCTCGTATTCTTCCCGCGAATTCTCGCGCACGTGGAAGGAGCTGCTCGTAGTCCTCCACTGACAAGCCTTCGGATTCCGTGCGTGACTCACGACGCTAGGCGCTATCCTCCGGCGCAGTCAATCGGACGCAAAGTACTTTTACTCTTCTCATGATACAACTAATCTAACCTATGAAGTGGTGGAACCATGGGCCGACTGTGATAAGGTTCCATGTGATACCAGATGTCTCGCGATGATTCGCGCAGGTTGGTCCAAAAATTTGACTAACATCTGAGTCGGCGTCGGCATACCAGCTGAGAGGCCCCCTAGCCACATGGTGTTCGCAATCTGACCTGGATGGTGGGGGGCCGTAACTAAGTGGGGGGACGAGGGGCTATGCACGCGATGCCAAACGCCCCACCGGTTCAACATGGCCCCTCCGGACAAGGCCGCCAAGGCACACAGCGCACACCTCGAGGAATTCAGCTCCAAGCCTATGTGCGTTGGGGTGCATTTCAAACCGACTGGCATTTGCATCCGGCGCTAAGGCAGCACTCGTCTTCAAACAGCTGGATTCTACGGCCTGGGTTTGTCCGGACAGCCTATCACGATCCCTGACGTCGCTATGTTGAATAGATAGATGAAGCGCCGAGGTCTGCATAGCTTTGCATAGCTCTGCATGCTAGTCGCTTGCCATGTCTCAATTTTGGCATCAACGGGAAATCACGGCCTATGCTAGGTGTTGGGAACGTATGATTGCGCGATTATACGACTTGGTACCTTGCTGGAAACAGCAAATAGCCATTGCTACTCTATACTAGTAGGTGACCTCAAAATCTTTGGAAATGTCCCAAGTCTTTCACTTCTTAGAGTAGCAGTACCGGATGGTCATGATGATTACGTGGAAATGCACTGGGGGTCTGGAATTCCTGACGGAGACATGGACCAGAGGGAGCCGGCTTTTCCCCCTTCAGATGTCAACCTTTCAGCGCATCACGTTTCAATCTTATCGCAGCTGAGTCCTGATCGTGGCCTAAGTTACTATGGATAACAAGGAGTCAGATAACCCGGATAGAACCGTTAGTACCGTTGTGCCACATCCTCGGTCCCATCTCACCAATGCCCGTCAAGAGTGGCTGCTTACTTGACCCGGGATTGGTCAATGAACACAACCGTGCAGCTGATTGTTGGAGCCTCCCGAAAGAATGGGCATTAGACAATGGGCATTATCACTAGGGTTAGAACCCATGAGGCAGGATCAGGTGCCCCAGCTGTAGTGATTCAAAGAACGGGAAGCCGCTAGTAGCTCTTGTTATACTAGAAGTATAAGTTTCTTGGGACATCCGAACTTTTCCAAACACCACTGGAACGTACTAGTAGGCATGTCCAGTACATCAATTCAGGAAGTTAGAAGCACCCGGGTAGAGCTGAATACTCGAATCAGGAAAATTAGATATTTCATTGCCCTATCATGTGCCTGGGCAGCCTGGGTATAATGGACCCAGAATGTCAAGGTATCGGGTTTGCCTAACTGCTTTCAGCTCCGATATTCCACGAGGCTTTTCGGTTTTAATTTTCAATATTCTATGTTGGCCGTCATGGGTCAAGTATTGGTGGTTTGAGGTACCTCTGGAACCTATCCCGAACCCTGCCACCTCTTGCAGCCTTGCATATAGCCAATAGAACGCATTGCATTGCCGACGCCTTTTTCTGCTGTTATTCGACCTTCCTAAAGCAAATACGAAATATTTAGAATAGGAAAAAGAACAGGAACCGAGGAGATCAAATCAGAGAAATGCAAAGTCTTATAAGAGGCTTGAAGTAAGTCCTAGGAACAGCAATCTGGCTTCTCATTCTCAGACAAACTTGCCTGTTCCGTTCTTTCCACGATTGAACAACTTCTTCCCCCGAGGATTCTTTGAACCGACATGGCTTTCAGATTTTCTTTGCCAGACATGGCGAACACAACCAATCCTTTGAACTACCCAACCTTCCATCTCACATTGAACGATGAACTTTCTGAAAGATTGATTACCATTTCACTCATGATCGGGGCAATCTGCTTCACTTCATACGTTTTGACTCGAACATGGGGGCCAAAGGTGCCCTTTTTTGGTACCAAGTCTCAATGGGAGCCCTTCGTGGTTTCGAGCTTTCGATTCCTATTCTATGCAGAGGATGTACTCCTTGAAGGTTATAGAAACGTGAGTAGAAGTTCCACGCAAACTCCTAACTATCCCTGACTCAACCCCGCTCTGAGCTTAGTGCAAAGACAAAGTCTTCCAATTTCGCCGAGCAGACCGAGATATCCTAGTTCTGCCGCCTAAGTTCGTCGATGAGATACGCAAGCTCCCGAACAATGTGGCGAGCCCTATTGTTGCCCATGCCAAGAATTTATTAGGCCCGACGACCAACATGAATATCATTCTCCAGAGTAACCTGCATACTCGTGCTCTGCAGTTGAAGTTGACGCCTAATATCAACCGTCTTGTTCCCAGCATGCAAGATGAAGCTGGACTTGCCATAGAGCGTCAGTTCGCAACATCTGAAGGTCGCCCCCCCCCTCTCAACAACCATCTAGAACAAAATACTCACCCAATGGTACAGATGACTGGGAGCCCATCAAGCCTTACTATGCACTTCTTGATGTCGTGGCCCGCGTCAGTGCCAAAACCTTTCTCGGAAAGCCACTCTGCCGTAACGAAGATTGGTTGGAAATCACAAAGAACTTCACTGAAAATGGCAAGTCTGGTTTCATGCCCCTTCAAGTTCAATACTAACTGTATCATAGCCTTCGGTGCCATCATCATATTGCGTCTGCTACCGCAATGGACTCATTGGCTGGTTAGCTGGCTTATTCCTTTCTCATACAAAGGTGCCGCTTATCTCAGGAAGGCCAAAAGCATCTTGGTACCGGAAATTGAGCGACGAGTGGAGATGAAGCGCCAAGGTACTGCGATGGGAGAAGACCTTGAAAACACACATCTATCATGGATGATCGATATCGCAACCGAAGAAGAATGTGATCCTGCTTTCCTGGCACACCTGCAAGTTGTGATGGCCCTTGCATCAATTCATACTTCGAAGATGAATGTCATCAACGTTCTATACGATCTTCTAGCTTATCCCGAATACCTCGAGCCCCTCCGAGAGGAGATCCAAGAGTTGGCCAAAGAGAAACCTTGGAAGACTTGGGGCCGACTGGAATTCGGGAGACTCCGCAAATTGGATTCTTTCATGCGAGAATCCCAACGTGTCAACCCCCCCCACTCTCCTCTCCATGCACCGGGTGGTGTCCGAGAAGACCGAGCTTTCTGACGGAACTGTTATTCCAAGAGGAGCTCACATCACCATGGCTGTCAATGCAATCCAGAATGACCCTGCCGTGACCTCGAATCCCGAGACCTTTGACGGTTTCCGTTACTACGAGCTTCGTCAACGTGAGGGTGAAGAAAACCTCCATCAGTTTGCCACAACCGAAAACCGCATTCTAAACTTTGGGCACGGGCCAAATGCCTGCCCTGGCCGTTTCTTTGCAAGCATCGAGATCAAGATTATTCTTGTGCGGTTACTGATGGACTACGAGTTTCGGTTCAAGCCCGGCCAGAAGCGCCCGCGGAATATGTACGCGCACGAATTTGTCTTCCCGAACCCCAGCACTGAGATTTTGGTCCGTCAACGTCCTGCTTCTGAGAGACTAAAGACATGAGGAAGGGGTTATTCAACCAATATCCGAAATACCAATTTTAGAAGGATGGTGGAAAGAGAACGGAAGGATGAACGCTCACGTCAGCGATCACTGACACTGCATCTTACGAACCCTGCTTATTCGCACACATTGTTTGCCAGGTTCCGGCTTCCCCTCCTGCATGACATAAGGGTCCTGCGGTCAGCCCGGAGTGGGTGAATCTTAACAACACCACATGCCTAAACACCACATGCCCAGGTAATCAGGAGAAGTATTACAAATCCACTAGCAGATCTTAGCTTAACGTCGGACAATTGTACCCTTTTAATTTGTGAAGTTCCCCCTCTTGAGATAGACTATAATTCCTTTCAGAGTATTTTATCCAAATGCAGCCCATTGTTTCTGAGAATATACTCGTCAACGGCCACCGGGTCTCTTTCGGTGTCTATGGCACAGGAGAACCTGTAGTCTTGATACACGGGACTCCATCCTCGTCCCTCATTTGGCGTAACATCGTTCCCAGACTCACCAAAGCCGGATACAAAGTTCACTTGTTCGACCAACTGGGCTATGGAGTATCCGAGCGACCGTGGGATCCAAGCGTCGACACATCAATGTCAGCTCAAGTACCCATACTCGAGGCACTCTTAGAGCACTGGGGCATTGACACGTTTCATCTAGTCGCCCATGACATTGGCGGCGGTATTGCCCAGCGATTTGGTGTATTTCACCCGCAACGACTCCGCTCCTTGACCCTTATCGACGTGGTCAGCTATGACAGCTACCCTTCCAAGCGGACCAAGGAGCAAATGGAAGCTGGCCTCCAAACCCTCTACGATAGACCCGCTGAAGAGCATCGGGCTCATTTCAAGGACTGGCTTCTTTCCGCCGTGCATGACAAACAGAAGTTTGCCGAGAGTAGCCTGGGCACGTTTGTGGATTACATTTCTGGGCCTATTGGACAGGGGAGTCTATTCCAACACCAGGTGCGACACTACGACCCCGTCCACACGATGGAGATTGCCGATCGTCTGGGGCAGCTTGGGAACGTCCCCGTCAAATTGATCTGGGGCGCGAATGATGCGTGGCAGGTGGTGGACTGGGCTCACAAGCTGAAGCAGGCGATTCCTGGATCCGACTTAGAGATCATTGACGACTGTGGTCACTTCTCGCTGGAGGATCAGCCCGAGAAGATAGCAGATGCCCTAGTCCCTTTCCTTGATCGCTGTGAAATCTAAATGATTATCCGAAGCTCTCTCGATGGTTGTTAGTTATCAATGGTCTCGGAGTAAGGTTAGGTAAAAGCATTGCCGATGTACGAAATAATATGGCATCTGCATGAGATGGGTATGTGCCAGGCTTTGATCAGACGTGGGACCTCAGGATCAGGCCAAGATAGTATCGTCAGACGATCTAGATCAGATAAAGTGACAGGTGCGGCAAACTTGGCAAAAGCTCGTCGACGCTGCTGATTTAACTATACTCCATGTGAGCATGCAGGGGCCCTGCGGGGTCCCGCGTGGAAGATGCTAGAGTAAGCGTTGACGTGCGATGACTCAGCCCCCTCATGCACACCAGCTCCGAGGCCGCTCGGGTATCGTAATGGCGATGATTGTCGCCGCTCAACTCTGCTTTTTGCACAATTACTTGATCTGGATGCCTCCCTTGTGATATTTCTCTTTCGGACCTCGTCATATAGTTAGCGCCCCGAGGATTTCTCTCTTATTCCCCGTTTCTTCCGAGAACCGTCACCCGTCGCAATGACGGATCTACCAGCGCACGCTTCTCCCAAACTCGAGCCACAAGCCGCTCCCTCTGACCGACCAGAAGATCAATCCGACAATGTGAGCTCAACTAGTGGTACCGCAACTGGCGGGCAAACCCCAGCTCTCCCGGAGTCGCTCCTGTCACCGGCGTTCACCCCACCCGCCACGCCAGGTGGCACTTTAAACCTAGACACCAATCCCACCAAAAGACTACATCAGACCCAGGCGGCCAGTCTGCGACATTTAGAAGACCCACCGAAGAAAGCTCCCAAACTCCTCCCTGAGCTCCCTCATGTCGAATGCATTGTCCGCGCCCGCATCCCAACGACCACCGGGGCAGAGATGTTCCTACACCTTTACCATAACGACCTAGATAATAAAGAGCACCTGGCAATTGTCTTCGGAAACACTATTCGCAGCCGGAGCTTGGATCGTGCGCGGCCGGGCGAGACCGAGATGGACCGCATGATCCGGGGTGCATACGTGGGGAAATTGCACCCGGGGCGGGTAAGCAGTCGGTTCGACGATGAGAAGCCCTCGCCGTCTGAGACCCAGAAGAAGGTCGAGCCGCCGCTCGTGCGCATTCACTCGGAGTGCTATACGGGAGAGACGGCGTGGTCAGCGCGGTGCGATTGCGGCGAACAATTAGACGAGGCCGCGCGATTGATGTCGTTTCCCGTCGAGGACTTGTCGGCGGACGCACCACTAGAGGCGCAATCCCTGAAGTCCGATTCTGCTGGAGGCGTGATTGTCTATCTTCGGCAAGAGGGTCGAGGTATCGGGCTCGGAGAGAAGCTGAAGGCGTACAATCTTCAGGATCTTGGGTCAGATACGGTTGAGGCCAACCTTCTGCTACGACACCCTGCGGATGCCAGAAGCTATGGGCTGGCCACGGCCATTCTGGTAGATCTGGGCTGCGGTGCCGACATGAACCCTGATGGAATCCGGCTGCTTACCAACAACCCAGACAAAGTGCGGGCTATTGAGGGGCCGAACCGTGAAGTCATGGTAAAGGAAAGGGTACCGATGATTCCACTAGCATGGAGGACTCACGGTGAACGAGGAATTAAGAGCTCGGAGATCGAAGGCTACTTGCAAACCAAGGTCAGTGGGCTATGTTTCACCTTGCAGCTTCCCAGGCGCTAACTTCGACACAGATCTCCAAGATGGGCCACATGATTCAATAATGCCCTCGGGCTTCTTTATTCTGTCTTTTATTTGTATACTGGGGGCTCCTTGCGAAGCACACATGCACTACGAGCCCTCGATGTGGCCGTTCTTTTGTCTGCTGTGCATATCATTCTCCGGGCGCACTGTACATGATCACGATTCGAGTTTGGCAGCTTTCCCCACCCCGCCCTTATTCCATTTCCCACCAGTTCTTTATTCTTTTCTGTTTGCATGGATATCCCATCGGAAATGCGCCAGCATAGTTCATGATACTTAAGCCTCAAATTTGGAGGTAAAAAAATGGAGTTTTAGGTTACCTTGGCGGTACTTGTGGAGCTCTCCGTTATGGCAGGAATTCCCTTCGTAGATCTCGATGATGGCATGACTTGCGACCGCAATCTCGCCTAGACTTTTCTCCACCCTCTGGAATGGCACCCATACCCCAGATTGATTCCGCAATGGGCTGAGAAAAGCCGGGGTCGTCGACCGCTCAACCTTGCATATCCAAACTTTCGCACCCGTGTGAACTTTTAAAAGGTTCCCTTCAGCTTGACCCACCGCCAGCCCATGCTGCGCAATCTACAAGCCCCAAACGCTACTCGTTCAGTCTCAACATACCCCTTCTGAAGAACTTCCCCCACCCCTCCTTCCCCGTCCTTGAATGGATCTGAGCCATCGCTCGCGTGCGTGAGGCCATGGCCACCGGTACTCCCACTCCTGGGAGTGATTATGCGGCGTCGCCACCGCTTGAAACCGGCGCCGGCGGTCGCTCACTGTCGACACCGGGCGCAAAGCCAAACAATTCGCCCATCGAATCGCGCGCAAACTCTCTAGGTCCCGACTCCGTGGATTGTCAGGATGGCACTGGTTCAGCAACTGTGGGACGGAAGCGCAAGCTGAATAGCACGTCGGCTCGCGGCGTGGCCAATCTCACCCCGGATCAATTGGCGAAGAAACGGGCGAACGATCGTCAAGCCCAACGCGCGATCCGGGAGCGCACGAAGGGGCATATAGAGGCGCTGGAGCAGCAGGTGCGGGTTCTCTCCTCACAGAAACCTTTCCTCGACCTTCAAGCTGCGCTGCAGCAGAATGAGCGAGTGCGGGCGGAGAACAAGGAGCTGCGTCAGGGACTACAAGCAGCAATGGACATCATACGGCCATTGTTAGCCCGACCAGAGATTCCTGGTACGCTCGGGATTATGGAATTTCTGAGATTTATGATGTGTTCTAACAAATATCCAGAACTACCAACCTATCTCACTCAAACGAAGCCCGTACCACCCACCGATACTCCTCCCCTCCCCTCTGCCGAGACATCTACGCCTGCACCTGCCACCCAGTCTTTCGATAAACCATCCGCCGACTCGCCTGCAAGCCTTGATACACCGTCGCCCACACGCTCCACATCTGCGCCGACTAGTCGCCGTAATAGCAGTAATGGAGGTCCCCAGGCATCCTCTGTCCGATTGGCACTTGCCCAGAACATCGCTCATGGCTTGGATTTTGGCATAGAAGAGAAGCTCGGCTTCAACTTCCTTCTAGACCCCTCACAGAACGTTCCCAAGGTTGACCGGCTTCATCGCAATAGCTTAGAGCAGGCACGCACCGCCCAAGCGACTACTGCTTCTCCTTTATACCCCGCCCCGACAACCTGCCCAAACGGACAGCCGTTACCTGGACAGCCACTGCCTGCATATGCAACTCCAGTCAAAAATATCCCGCCCACCTGCCCCCTCGACAGCATCCTACTAGACTTTTTACATAACCGGCAGCGTGAAGCCGCGCAAGGAATCCCCCGACAAAAGCTCGTCGGTCCGCCATATCCAAGCGTGTCATCCCTGCTGAATCCCGAGAAGAGCGCCGGCTCCCACCCTGTGTCGAAAGTGTTCACTGACATCTTGCGCACATTCCCCGATATCTCATCGCTGCCAGACCAGGTTGCCATCCTCTATGTCATGTTCCTCCTCATGCGTTGGCAGATCTACCCGACCCAAGAGAACTACGACCGGCTGCCGGATTGGCTTACGCCGCGAGCCACTCAACTCCTCCAGCCCCATCCTGCATGGATCGATTACTTACCCTTCCCTCGGATGCGGGATCGCCTCGTGGCCTCATACCAGGACTACCCGTTCGAAAACTGGTTTATCCCCTTTACCCGCGGGCTATCGGTCAACTGGCCCTACGAAGATACAGACTGCCTGCTCGTCGCCGGGGACTCAGACGAGTTCCTCATCAATCCGGTCTTCGAGCGGCATTTGCGCAACCTGTCCAATTGGTCTTTAGGGCCCTTGTTCGCAGAGTGTTATCCCGGCCTTGTGGACACCACTGTCATTAGACCAGATAAAGGGCTTTCGAAACGAAACGGCTCGACGCCTAATCGGACTGTGTAAATCAGTACGCGTCCCTCTAATTATCTTACCATCTTTCTTTATCTTCGGTCTTCGACACCTGGTCAAGATCCTTGCGCCTTTATGTCATCTTCTCTTCTTCCTCGTGTCTTTCTAGCGGTTCAAATTGGCTCTGGGTGGTGTGGCTGTAGACTATGGTGTTTCCATGTTTTGCAAAACTATCTTAATAGAAGTTTGCATCTTGTGAAAAAAATTTGTCGAATTTTTTTTTTTCGGACTTAATCTCGTACGTGAAGAATCTTGGAGATTGATCTTCTCCGCCCCAGGATTTGGGAATGTGGATGAAGTAGATGTGGAAGCGTAGTGACTGACGCAGAGGCAGGTGGCTCGAGTGCCAGCCCGCTTTCGAACTTGGCAAGTGGTGTGAAGAAAGCTGATGACGACAGCATCTTTCTTTACAAAGCCTACATTCTAGGTCTGAACGCGAGCGAAGACGTCCTGACGCCGTAAAGAGTAAGGGGTTTTGGCTCGCGATCTTCCGGACTTCTCGCTTTGGGAAACTAGAATTGATGACCTGTTGACGGAAGATGGGTCGTCCTTGTTCATCATTACGGTCCAGCCGGGTCACAGATCTTTGGCACAGGTGACCCTCCTTAGTGAAAGCCACCTCGAACTGCTTCCGGATTTTGACCCTGCACTTGATGACCTCGATGGGTTCAGTTTCCTCCAGATCGTAAGCTCCCCAGACATCCTCAGGCATATCTTTCAGGTTCTGAGACAGAGCCTCCTTTTCTAGGTGAGTCCAACGGCAGCGGGATCTATCGTCCCCCGCAGTCTGTCACCTGTGAAACGATTATATGAGAGATGTCTGGAGGAAGGGTGAGGGTTGTCCACGATTGGCAGAATAGAGATCTGAGTGGGACGTTGCCACTGTGAGGTGGCTAAAGTTGTTCACCGAGAATTTTTTAAGAGGAACTCGTCTGTTGGCTTCGTTGTCTTCTATACTGCGCATGGTTTTGGCTCGTGGGGTCCCCGATACAGAGATAATTATGAAGGATTTGAGCATTTACTTTAATTGAGATGTCTTGGCTCCTAAGCCTCCACGGAACCAGTTATAATTATAGGTGTAGTTTATAGTTTATTATCAAGTTCTACATGGTTCTTGTTTAAAATCAACGGCACCATTTCATTGGTCTCCTGATGTTTCTAATGATTAACCTACAATACTACTTCTGTAGTTGACGATACTGCTAATGTATCATAAACTCCATCTTAAGGCACCCAATAGCTCTCAGAAGATAAGGACTTGAGATCTCACCTTGCTTGATCAGCTGAATAGCATCTGGTTCTTGCGTATTACCTCAAAAGTATAAAAAGTGGATCGTTGTCGGAACCGATGCTAATCCCCGCTAAAGACCGCCTGTGTCCGATCACCATATCTGCACAGAACAGCCCTGAAGCTTATATAGGGCTGCCAAACGTCAAATTTTTTCAGTGTTTTTCTCTTCCCTCCATCAACACGAAGAAGAAATGCCTCGCATACTCGTTACTGGTGCCGGCGGCTACATGCAAGTGGAACCTGAATACTTCCCAACCTACAGCACTAACTAGCACATAGCGGGGGCTCTATTGTCGCAGATCTCCGGAAAATAGACTATGACTTGCTTAAAGCATGTGAGATATATGCCGCTGTGCGTTCGAAGGAGCAAGCCGAGAGTTTGGCAAGATTGGGGACTAGCGTAGTGCAAATGGATCTTCGCGCTCGAGAGAATGTTGTCGAATACGTTGTCTCGAAGGACAGTTCGTACAGCCCTGCTCTTGAGTGTATCCGTGAAGACAAATTATGATCTAACGCAGCTGATGATATAGTTGACACTATTGTTCACACTGCAACCTGCATTGATAAAGAGGCAGTATCGAACCTCATCATCGGTCTCGAGAAACGACGCCAAGCCACCGGGAAAGAGTCGCACTATGTACACGTAAGTGATCATGCTTGCACGAGCGCACTCCCTTCTGACTGAAGCTAGACGTCCGGTTTGTCGGCATTCGACGAAGTAACTGGTTGGCCTTTTGGTCCGACCAAGGACAGTGATGCCGTGTACGAGATGGAGAAACAGACCGAAGATGCCTACATTGTCAGACACGTAAGTGAACCCATGTCAAGCAGTCCCATCTCCCTCTAATGGCTTCCTTTGTCTAGGTGGACACGTACGTCATTGATCAATGCGAAGCTGCCGGCGTGAAGGGGTACCTTGTATTCCCTCCTACTATCCACGGCCGAGGGAGCGGCGCGTGGAACCAACTCTCTCCACAGATGCCAGCTATTGTCCGAGCAAGTATTGAGTTCAAGAAAGTGCACAAATTTGCCGAGGAGCGAGTATGTCGCGACAACACGTAAAACGGAATCACAGTTACTGACCCTCATTTCAGGACGTCCCTTGTCTCATATATCCGATGTGACTGCTTTCTATGCTTTGCTTGTCGAAGCAATTCTTGATGGAAAGGACATCCCGTCCGGACGGGATGGCTATTACTTCATTGAGTCATACACGCTCTCCTGGTGGGATATTCTCGGCGGATTAGCACAGGTTCTATATGCCCGAGGTCTGGTGTCGACGCCAGCCACCGAAGTCTGGCCCTCAGATGAGATGGTGGCCCAGGCAATGGATGTTCCGGTAAAATTCGCTTACAGCATTTGGAACCCTGGGTGAGTGGCCTCTTGAGCACGACATCATGTACCTACTGACATCAGCTTGCAGTAACTTGAAAATTATCTGTGATCGTAAGAATATTTTGGGGTGGGAGCCAGCTTGGAGCAAGGAGAAGTTCCTGGGCACTTTGAACAGTGAAGTGGACGATTTTCTGGAGCTGGGAATGCCCAAAAGCAGTCTGCTTAGTTCGTTGAAACCAGGACACAACAATGGCAAATGAGCGGTGTCTCTATTAATGCTGCAACATTCTATGATGATTTCCTTACCTTACTCGAAGTTCTAAATGTCCTATATCCTTCTTACAGATCAACCCTGTCGGCTCTTCGCATTCCAAAATTCAAGACCGGCCTTTTGCCGCAATACGCCATACATAGAGCTACTGTCCAGACATTCGCCTGCGTAGTCTCGTGCAGCCTCCATGTTCTCTCGAGCTACCTCGAGACCGGGGAGCTTGACGCCCGCTGCTTCTGCCATAGTCATGGCGTGTTTGGCATCTTTAATTGCAAGGGATACACCAAACCCGGGACGGGAATCCAAGGGTGGAGCGTAGGCACCCGTAGTCAACCTGTCCATGTATTAGAACCGGCTTATCGGCGCAGACATCCAAGGTTGCAATATTACCGTTTCGAATATCCTCCAGCGACTGCACCAAAAGCCTCTCCAATCAGCTCTTCCATGGGCCCTGTGCCTAAGCCGGTCTTCTCAGCGAAAACCTGAGATTCGCCCACTGCCTCCATCATATTGACCGTAATAATGTTGCTATTACAAGTTCAGTAGTCTGTCTCGAAATCAATGCTGTGATCGAGAGGCTCACCCGGCAATCTTGAGCAACGAGGCCTTGGCTGCATCCTCACCACACTCAATGACCTTCCGTCCCATGACATCCTGAATCAATGGTTTGACGACATCGGTGGCACTCTTCGGGCCACCGATAGCGAAGACAAGCTTCCCATCAACTGCGATGGGGTTTCCTCCAAACACAGGCGCTGAAAGAAAGGAAGCTCCGGGGGCCTTCAGCTGAGCAACAGCAGATGTCACCGTGTCCGGATGAACAGTGGAGCAGTCTACGAAGACCTTATCAGCGAGCGAGTGCCCAGAGTTCACCGCAGAAGAAAGTAAAGTCTGCAAGACCGAGTCATTTGCAACCTGAATCATGTATTAGCAATGCTTGTATGTCCCCCTTGAAAGCTCCATGCGGAGGCCATAAGCTAGGGGGTGCTCACCATAGTGAAAATGATACCGCAGCGAGACACAAGCTTCTCGAAGCTTGTCTCGGGAATGCCACCCAGGCTCTGCAACGGGGCTCCGCGGGACATGGTGCGATTTGAATAAAGCAGGTTGAGAGCCTTCTTGGACGCGAGGTGTCGCTGCAGGTTGCTCGCCATGGCGAGACCCATGGAGCCGAGGCCATACTAGAGAAGCATTAATCCGAGCTTCCTCAAATTCCAAGGCGACTTCGTTGAACTCACCCAGCCGATTTGAGTCATGGTGTTTTCGAATGTGGTATTCCGGCGAGGGTCTGAAAAGGGATCTGCCCTTGCCGATCTGAGCTTTGCTAGGGACCTGACTTTGGATTACTTGAATGAAGATGGAGCGATCTGGGATGGCAGAGTTTAAACCCCCCTGGTGGAGCTTGGTTTGTCGGGAGCTTTCCCGAGGAAATCGGTGTCGGCCGATAAGGGGCCCTGGTCGTTCAAAGAGAATTAATTGGTGATTCTTATCGGATGGAGGCTGCTGAAGACGCTTGCCAGGAATATCCGTATTCACCCTTGATAACTACGTGAGACGACCTCTGCTCCGTCGTCTTTCGGGCATTTGATTTGACAGCAGATTGGGCCAATCAGAGTAAAGCCAACATTGAAGGTACTTTGTGATAGTACCGAGCCTATGAGTGTGCTTTGGAAGAGACAAATATCTCCAGCTAGTCGGTATATCGGCAGGCTAGTGGGCTGTTTACCATAGACCGTGAGTACTCGCAGTCCTACGCTGTAAAAGTGCTCGCGGTACTATTTACCTACCCAAGTAGATGGATGCCTAAGCATGTCCAGAGACCATGACATCTTGTCGAACATGTTTGGATTATCAAGGACTTCGCACACCAGCTGAGCGCAGAGACGAATCATCTTATCTCCCGCAATTGGGCCCAGCCCAGTCTACTTCTTGCTGGCCGTAACTGCGGAGTGGCTGATGCAGTTACAGGTCTGTAATGACGTGGCCGCGTCGCCCCAATGCGGGGAAAATGCCGGTATGGTATGGTCACGTAAATAACGGGACGACGATGATGGCGGAGCGAGTTGATGCACCTCAACTCACCATCAACCTCCCCCACCTCTACACCTCCAATTCCTCTATTGACCCCCCATCCTTCCTTCACACCCCTAATCTCCTGTCATTCTCTTTCCTTTCCTTCCTCCAACATGGCGGAGATGCCCATTGGTAATTGCGAAGCTTCCCCAGGGATGTTTATCCCCAGCTCCTCCAAGCTAACTTAGTCTGCAGTCCTCGACGGAGGAACCGGTTTCCTCAAAGTCGGCTATGCCGCCCAGGTTAGTCGCACGATTTCGTCTCATACTTCCAGGCCTCGCTGACTCGACTCGCACCATCAGAACTTCCCAGAGCACCAGTTCCCCTCGATAGTGGGGCGCCCTATTCTGCGAACGGAGGAGCAGCAAACTGGCGACATTGTGGTCAAGGATATCATGTGCGGAGATGAGGCCGCAGCTGCACGATCAATGCTTCAGATTAGCTACCCTGTATGTCATCCTCCGACGAGAGTGTACCCTCGCCCATTCGAACCCCCGCCCGCCATCTCGGTAGGCAGCAAGGCGACATGGTTGTTAACATGCAGGACTCCTCGGCCTATATCAGATGGAAAATGGTATCGTCAAGAAATGGGATGACATGCAACATCTATGGAACTACACTTTCTACGACAAGTTGAAGATCGACCCTACCGGCCGCAAGATCCTCCTCACCGAGCCGCCGATGAACCCGCTTAAGAACCGCGAACAGATGGCCGAAGTTATGCTGGAGGGCTACAATTTCGGAGGTGTCTACGTGGCGATCCAGGCAGTGCTGGCACTGTATGCCCAGGGTCTGAGCAGTGGTGTGGTTGCAGACTCGGGTGACGGTGTCACCCACATTATCCCAGTCTACGAGTCCACGGTGCTGAACCACCATATTAAGCGACTTGATGTTGCAGGCCGCGATGTCACCCGGAATCTCATCGCTCTTCTCCTCCGCCGTGGTTATGCGCTGAACCGAACCGCCGACTTCGAAACCGTGCGCCAGATCAAGGAGAAGCTCTGCTATGTCTCTTACGACCTTGAGCTTGACCGACAGCTTTCTGAAGATACCACCGTTCTTGTCGAGTCCTACACACTTCCCGATGGTCGTGTGATCCGCGTCGGCAGCGAGCGCTTTGAGGCGGCCGAGTGTCTATTCCAGCCTCATTTGGTCGACGTAGACCAACCCGGCATGGCGGAGCTTCTCTTCAATACAATCCAAGGCACCGACGTCGATATTCGCTCCAGCTTATACAAGGCAATTGTGCTCAGCGGTGGTAGCAGCATGTACCCAGGCTTGCCCTCGCGTTTGGAGAAGGAACTGAAGCAGCTGTGGTTGACCCGTGTTCTGGGCGGAAACCCAGAGCGTTTGAACGTATGTCTGGATGGCTTATAGACCAATCGGGGCTAGCAACTGACTATTTTTCTCTTTATTACAGAAATTCAAGGTCCGCATTGAGGACCCGCCGCGACGAAGGCACATGGTGTTCCTGGGTGGCGCTGTGCTCGCTAACCTGGTAAGTTTGTTACTCGCCATAAGTTGAGACTCCATTTCAGATACTAAGAGTCCATACCAGATCGCCGATAAGGATGACATGTGGGTGTCTAAGCAGGAGTGGCAGGAACAGGGACCCCGCGCCCTGGCAAAACTCGGTCCACGATAAACTATTGTATTTACGCGGTTATCCCTTTTGGCCCTGACGTTTCTTTTTCTTATGCTTCACCCTCTTACGCATCGTCCACAAGCCATGTCCCGCTTCTCCCGTTCTCACTTTCTATGTCTGGCGGTCTAACTTGTCGATATCCTTCCCATCCATCTTGTTTCGTGTCTCACTACCTTCTCCATATCGTGTCTAGAATAGTTCGATGCAGGTGGGCCTGGGTCCTTGACATAAAAGAAAGAAACTCTTCAACGATTGCTTTTATTGGGTTTCCGAACCTAGCCATCAAATCCGTACGAGTCCGTATCGACTTCTTATGACCTGACACATACCTGGCATTTCGATGCGCTCCGAACGACATCCTAGTAGATTTCCCAGCGATATGAATCATCTTAGTTCGGTCACATATATAGAAACAATCATAGTTGTGATTGAGAAAAATCAACAGAAACCCCGAAAAATAAGAATAAAAAGTGAACAATGCAGAGCCCTAAGTCATCTTCCGAAATGGGGTAAGCGGAAAGGATATCAAAAGAAAAAGACACGCTATGTCTCATATGCCCTAGGTGCTACGGCAAGTATCACCACCAAAGCCGCCACAATAAGAGACCCAGCAATAAATGCAGTCAGAGCGACACTTCCTCTGCTTGCGGGGAACTTGCCTCGGACAATCCAGTACTGGCTCTCGAAGTACCGATGGAAGCCAACGAACAAAATGAGAATGGAAACCCCGATGAATGTCGAGCCGAGCGGCTTTCCGATACTACGGAGCCGAGAATTGTCAACAGATGATGCGGCTAACGTGTCGAGCATGGAAGGGGAGTAGAAAGGTGGGCGGAGAAGAGGGTCAGCTGCGTGAGTGCTCGAGTTGGCATGTGTGGATGCTGTGGCGGTGTTCAGGCGGAAGAGTTGGGTAACGGCTATGCCGATGGAAGCGAAAGCAAGGGATGTACGCATCCATGCTAGAAAGGTTCGTTCTGAGAACATGTCAGTAATGAACTCTCTAGATTCATCTAGAGAGCATATTTACCTAGAGCGAGATGGTCACGTGCGACACTGCCCTTATTCTCTAGCTCCAGGGCGCCGAAACGATCGATGAATTTGCCGAACTTCGACCTTTTACGGCCTGGTGTTTCAGCTCTAGGCTCAGTCTCCGCCCCATTTGTTTGGAACGGCTCTTCCTGGGTATCTTTGGGCTGGCCAGGGGCCGCTGAAGATGTGCTTTGCTCTGTGCCTTGGTAATTTCGCGCTGACCTGATACCCCGGTTGATGGGGGAACCTCATTTGGCGGATGGGACGGCTGCTGAGTTCGAGATTGACGGGACGAAAAGCTCGAGTGGGACCTGCTGTTGCTTATCGACGATGACAGGCCTGACTCTGCACGGGTAGGCGACGTGGAGGACGAAGAAGCCGCGCGACTGGCTTCGCTGTGGTTCAGGGCACCTGTCGGAGTCGACGACGATGGCTCAGGTATGTTCATAATGGCGTGATTGAGCCCTGTTGGTCACTTGATGGGCCTGGCCAACCAGGCTAATGAACAAGGCGGGCGTTTATGCGGCGCAGGTGCCCCAGGATAGAAGAGACAAGATGCTGTTGTGCTGAATGGTTCCCCACCTGGGCCGACGAGGATGGTTAATTCCACAACCTGAGAATGGTTGCACAGATCTCGCTTCCTGTACAAACTGCTCTCGGTCGGTACGATTCGTCAATGCTCGAGCCTCATCATGTGGGCAGCCGGTATGTTCAACGTGATATTGCGAAGATCGGGTCGATCATTGTTTTTCCGGGGAACATCACCTGGACTCCACCGCGCTAGTCCGAATGGCGTCATCTCTGGATTATTTTAGCAGGCGGTGGGTCCTTTTCTGCCAAGGCGGTCTGTTTGCGTCAAGTGTGTACATAATCCATCCATCTAACTATCATTAAGTTCGAGAGGTCAAGGAAAAGAGTTAGTTTCTTCTCCTCTACCACAACCAAAAATGACTTCAGCTCTACCACCTCAGCCCGCCAAGGTAGACCTGTCCAAGAAACTCTCAGAGTTGCGGTCAAGCAACCGGCGATCTCAGACCGCTTCGTCTAAAGACCCAACCCCAATCACCCCTCCTCTCCCTTCGCCGCCAGACCTGTCCGCCCACACGTACACGCGCCCTACCCGCCGCATCCTCTCTGCGAAGGATCATGAATTATCCCTCTCCTCTCCCACCTATAAGCTAGTGCTAGCATTCATTTTCCGCCTGTCCGACTCTGTCCGGGGGCTTTCCCTCGTCGACCTGCGCAACAAACCCACCTCCGATGCCGTCCCCAAGGTCACGAAGTTGGTGGGTCAACTTAATACCCTCGTCGAGAAACACCCAGCACTTGATCAGGGTGGGTCACGATTTGGCAACCCTGCATTCCGAACGCTCTTCGACGACGTCGCCACTCAAAGTGCAGCCTGGCACCGAGACATTTTGGGTGTCACGGACTCCGCTGCGGTCGACGAGGTATCCACTTATTTGATCCATTCGCTCGGTTCAAGGGACCGGTTGGATTATGGATCAGGACACGAATTGAACTTTATGATGTGGCTCCTGTCACTTTACCAGCTGGGTCTCCTTCCAGCTGCAGACTTCCCGGCCATGGTCTCCACCGTGTACATCAAGTACCTGCATCTCATGCGGGAAATCCAGTCTACATATTACTTGGAACCCGCTGGGTCGCACGGTGTCTGGGGTCTGGACGACTATCACTTCCTTCCTTTCTTGTTCGGTGCAAGCCAACTAGTGAACCATCCTTACATTACGCCTCTGGGAATTCATAACACGGCACTGCTGGATGAGGAAGGAGACAAGTACCTGTACCTCGACCAGGTGCGATGGGTGGATAGTGTAAAGACCGTCAAGGGTCTGCGCTGGCACAGCCCGATGCTGGATGACATTTCGGGGGCGAAGAGCTGGCTCAAGGTAGAGAGCGGGATGAAGAAAATGTTTGTCAAAGAAGTTCTAGGCAAGCTACCCATTATGCAGCATTTCCTGTTTGGGAGCCTGTTACCTGCTGCTGAGGGGATGGGTGAGCTCTCTGAGGAAAGCGAGGATGTGGATGGCCACGACCATGATCACCCCCATGGACACGCACACACCGATTACTTTGGCGACTGCTGCGGGATCAAAGTACCGAGCACCGTGGCTGCAGGTGCAGAGATGCGCAAGCGCATGGGTGGGTCGGGGCTACGCCCAATCCCGTTCGATTAAGTGGCAAGCCAGCATGGAAAAAATCGCAAAAAGGCGACTCTGCGTAACGTATAATATAACGAAGCTATTGAATGATTCATCTGCGCTAGAAAGGATGACCGTAATACGAGACCAAAGTCTGTATCAGAACCCTGAATCTCATTTTCCAGAGTCCCGATTGTAGTGTCCCCATGACCAGCTATGGTTGCAAAATTAGGCGACCAAAAGAAAAGAAAGAAATAGAAAAAAGAAGAAGGGAAAAAAGCAAAAGAAAAAAAAAAACAAAAAACAAAAAAAGCAGAACAAGCAATGTACCTATGTTACGCTCATATTTGGTCCGCATGGAAAACTTTTCACTCCCATTGTCACCTCACCTGCACGTGTCTCGAGTAGAACCATTTACCAGCCGCCACCGCATCTCGCAGAAGGTGATTGACGGCCCAATCGCCTCCCTCCCCGGCCCAAAACATCAAGACCATGAATTCTCCTTGTCTCGGGAGCAAAAGCCATGCAAACGGGGTCCCCAAAAATCAGACGGGGCATACCAACGCAGCTACCCTGCGTCCCGAAACTACGGGAAGGCAGAGCCCCATAGCACGGTAGCATCATCATTCAATAGGATATTTATACACTGTTTGTTCTCTTAAATCCAAGTACGGTAAGGTAATATAAGCAGAACATTAAGGAACAGGGTACTATAGAAGCTGTCGGTGTCTTCCAAGCATAATAATTTACTGCCGGTCTTGAAAACGGGGCGGGCATAGGCGTAATCCGACCAATAGAAACACCAGAATCCATGATTGACATTTAAATGTACCCGAAACACTCCCCTCGTTCTACTCCGCACCGTCTTCAACTCTCCCCCCACCCTCATTTGCTCTCCGCACCCACCATGCCGGACGAGTACTTCTCAATGGGCGGGAAGCTCAAATTCAAGGGCGACAAGGCCGCCGACGCCCGTGTTGACAAGAAAAAGAAGAAGAAGGCCAAGAAAGAGAAGGCCAAGACCGAGGGCGAGGCAGAGGCCCACGACGCCACCGAAGCCAACGCGTCCAGCGAAGCTGGCGCGTCCACCGAGCAGCCGACTGACGAGACTGGCCAGAGTGCTTCGGGCTATAAGAAGACGGCGGCCGAACAGCATTTCGACGAAATGCGTAAGAAGCGGGTATGTTATCACGTCTAGCGCGCTCCCGGTCCCTTGATGTGTCGTGTGTTGTATTTTCCGTTTTTCCTGGGTTACTGCGTTTCTTTCCTGCTCTATTGGATCTATCAACCTTTTGCTAAACCCAGATGCTCTAGTTACACGAGCGGGTGAAGCGCGAGGGCTTCAAAACCCACAAGCAGCGTGTGGAGGAGCTGAACAAGTATCTCAGCCGACTCAGCGAGCATCACGATATGTAGGTAGCCTGCGATTTTCCTGCCCGAGGCCATCGCCGCTAACATCTTTCCCTCCAGGCCAAAGATTGGACCGGGTTAAAGCATCCATACCGACCGGGCCTACCATATCCCCCATTCGCGCCCCTTCTTTCGCACACCTCTCGCATTGCCTTAATCCTTACGTCTTATCCTCCAACCATATCCTGTACCTCATATTCTTTACTTCCTACCCATGTACAATACCAAGATGAAGCCCATTCTGGCATATCCGTTTAATTCCAATCGATCGGCTAGCGTGGTCGAAAAGGCCATGGAAGTCCATGGCATTTGATCTCTATGAAGCGGACCGGGGATTATCAAATCCCAGACAAGATTAAAACGACGCGATGATAAATGCAAAACCAGATAAAAAAGCCCCCCCCTAGCAGCCCGAGTCGGCGAAACCAGAAATAATGGATGGGAGAAAAAAAATAAGAGAGAAGAACGCCATGTCGATGAAACCCCATCCCCCATAGGAATAGAAAAAGGGGGAAATATAAAAGCGGACCGAAAATCAAACAAGAAGTCCACACGGCCACACGGCCAGTCAGGCCGTAGCCACGACAAAAGCCATCGCAAAGACCCCGTGGCAAGAGGAAACAGATAATGAAGTCAACACCACGCTAAAGATTCAACCGGCTGAATTGAAATAACAGGAATCAAAGTGGGATCCCTGTCTGAACGTCGATCGAGGATCCCCCAGAGCCGCCGCTCTCGGCAGCTCATACCCCCTTGACGACCACCGTCCGCTCGCTGTTCAACTTGTCCGCATTGCGGGCGTGGGATTCCTTCTTGCAGTCCTCCAGCCCGGAGCAGGAGTGGGCTTCCAGCATCCGGTGCTTGGAGCAGAAATGGCCGCGGCAGAAGCTGCAGTCTCCAACGATTCGCTGGGCAGCCTCCTTGCACTCCTTGAAGTTGCACCTAGGCTTCCGGGGGGCCATGATTGGAGTGTGTGTAGGTTTGTGGAAGGAGGCGACGAGCGGGAGAGGATGGTAGAAGATGCCAGGAGACGGAAGGATGGAAGGTGTGCAAGGTTGAAAGGTTGGAAGATTAAGGGACTTTGGCGTTGTCCACGGGAACCTTGAAAGTGAGGCGGAGTCAAGGGATCAAGGCGTCGGCCTAAGCGCGGGTTGCTGAATCACTGGTGTGACCGAGGCAGCTGATACGGAGGGTTGGAGATAAGCGGCGAATAGCGCGGCTGAGGGCGTGACCAAGTTGACCAAGTCGCTTTCCAAGCCAAAATTGGTGACCCGACGAGATAGGAGGATCGGTGAGTCACAAGTGGACTAGAGCGATAGTGCGAAAGAAATTAGTTGCTCGGGCGAGGGTGATAGGAGCGATGAAGGGAGATAGGCCAGGAACTGATGATGGAAAAGAAGTAGATAAATAAGGGGCAAGAAGGGAAGCAGGGATTCAGGAAGGGAGGGAAGGAACCGGAACAGAGCCACAGTATATATAGTCTGAATAATAAAGCCGGAACGCACGGGTGAAAGGCAGAACCAAAGGTCAAACGTTCATGGCTGAGTCAGTTGAGGCGTGAAGTGACGGAATGAGCATGGAGGCGGGTCCCAGAAGGTTCGAAGATGCGAAATAATACGGATACGCGGCCCACCCTTTAGCCTTCTTAGCCCTCCTTACTAGTGCATCCTCTCCCTAGTAGTACCACTTTCCCCCCTTTTAGCGCCAACGTGGCGCCTCTCTGTTCCCCCGGGGCTGTCGGGTCCTTATGTTGCCAACCTAAGCCATGTCCCAAGGTTTCAAGGCTCTCCTGGCCCTAATCTACTCCATTTCATTGACCCAAGGTACCCCTGCCGGACTGCGTGATCGGTTCCACCTCCTTTTTTTATGCCGCCTGCACCTTTCAGCACGCGGATGGTTGCCCTAAATCAGATCCAATGATCGGAATGTGTCCGTGCGAATCAGTGTATTAGTACGGAGTATCCGTCTAGATTTCCCCCTAGGCTGGTTGAAGTGGTTGGGAGGTTGGGATTGGTCTCGGGGATCCAAGTGCCAACTGTTCAACCCCGAGGGGTGAGCCCGATACCGCCGAATACTGGGTTCAGTCACATTAGACGCCATCCATGGATATATGAATAATTCAATCGTACCTCGTAACACGCCGAAATCTGACCCAGAGAATGCTGTGGGAGATCAGCTACCCGGACTGGCCCCAAGGTTTAATTCCAACGCCACCAGTGGCAATTGGCGGCTCGTCCGAATAACTCGGACAGGCCCGAGAATCGGCCTGCAAGGCGAAACCGCACGCATCTCCAGGGGCTAATGCAGTGTCTGCTTCGAGTTAATGCCTCTCATAAATATGTGCTGGATATGCAGGCGGCTTCTTTTTTGGGGCGGTGACTAAGACTCGTCCACGTAACCTAGTTATCTATGTATGGATTATTATGGATGACCCTCAAACGCTCCCACGCTCCCTCCCGCTCGAATCTGGCCCTGCTGGCCCCTTCGTATCTGGCTCCTCCGCTTGCCTCACTTCTAGGGGGGCGTGGTGACATTTCACGCCGTCATTGCAGATCTCAGTCTAGCGGAGCCGCCAATTGCGTCATGTGGGCTTCATTGCGGTGAAAGATCTTTAGGCTAGTATCCATCACTGTCCTCCGTACACCGAATTCTCATAGTGGGAAATATTCTAGGCTTAAGGAGCCACAGTCATCATCGATGTCAAGTCCCACTTGCTGCATGTGCCGGTCATTACGGTTCTCTCGAGTTTAACATAGAAATTCCCGAGCCCACATCAAGAGCCCGCGATCAGACGTGAATAGCATCAGCTCTCACTCACCCGTGTGACGTGTTGGCGAGCAGTCGACAAAAGACTGGTTGCAGGTGGCCATAATGCTGCTCATTATGAACTCCGTCTGATTGAACCCGTCCTCTCTAACCGGAATCATGGTTGGTCTGGAGGGCCATCTCGTCCGCCTTGTCCTCGCGGACCACGTCGGTCGAGGCAGTGTAATAGGTACTGATAACGGAGACTACCTAGCTGACGATAGATGACTCTCCGAGGGATGTAAACTCGATCTTCTGCAGATATAAGTCAAGCAAGAAACAACTCAAGCAGCTTTATAACATGCTCTAACTCAATTTTGCAGCTATATTCTCGATTTATTTCTCATAGGTCGGTTGGCATAAGTGCAAATTCCGTGAGAGGCTTCGATGACTCAAGCAGTGCATGCAGGTAGCTAGATAAAGGTCGACATTTGCATTCCACCCTAAGTCAAGTGCAACACGCGTCTCATCAACTTCGAGATAATACAAATATTCATGATCCGAAAGAGCCTAGAGCATGGCGAACCAATGACCAAACCAAAGAGTTCATGTCCACCTGACTCAACGAGTCCTGATTACCTCCTGCTGGACCCCAGCTCTGCAGTGTCTGCTTGTTACCCAGCCTAGAATGAATGCAATCCCCAGTCCCTGATATCCGTCTAACGGTAGACGTGCTGTGTCTTCACGAAGTCGCCAGCATGGAACTCCACAGTGACATGCTCTTCAGGATCACCGCTGTGACTGCTAGTATGGAAATTGCATCTTGGATATTATAGCAGAATGAAAGTTCATCACAGGGGAGGGGGCCTAACGTCACGACAGCCTTGTCATATATTCTCCCATCTTTCCCCAAAAGGTTGTCCTGGTGATGCTTCCTCACAATCCGTTCGATCTCAGTCTTTGTTTCTGGGTGCGTGGAGTACATGGTGGGTGGCTTGAACTCAACAGGTAATACCATAACGAAATGGAAGATTTGAGGGATCTCCGAAGGTGAAGTAAGAGGAATAAGTGACAGAGCGTAGTCTTTGTTTTCTGCGAAGTTGGCTGAGGGAACTTCTTAAATATGTACATTGCTTGTATTGCCATTAAGAGCTTTTTTTAAACCCGAGACAACTGAATTTACGAAACGATTTGATCGGCGCTTAGAGAAACGGCCACGTCTCTTAAAAGTATTAAGCGCTTCAATTGGCATTTTGATTGGGAGATAATTTCGGAACAAAATGACTAACATTTCATCGCTCATTCATGGAGTCAATTGGGTAAAGAAGCGACTCTTTAATCAAATCCAATTTCGTTCGGCGTGAATTATCAACGGTCCCCGGTCGGCCACCATGGCTGACTCATGAAAATCACCTGACCGTAACCACCCAGACCTGGCCTGCCATCGCTTTCACTCTCACTCTCGAGATGCAGAGATACGGAGAGTCAGCGTCGAATGGATTATCCAAAGAAAGGAATGCGTCGATTCGAACGGATTCATGATGTTGTTGAACCAGTTGAAGAATACCGCGTTGGAGGCTATCATCCGGTTCACCTCGACGACACTTTTCACCAAAGGTATCAGGTCGTCGGGAAATGGGCATTTGGCCAATTCTCTACAGTATGGCTTGCAAAGGACACAAGGTGCGTCCTTTGCAGTCTTCTATAAAACCTTATAGCAGTCAAACTCATGCCTTTCCCCTCCAGGCATCAAAGATATGTGACCCTAAAGATCCTCAAAGCCGATGCCTCAGAGGGTAGTCAAGAGCTTTCTGTTCTCATCCATCTATCGAAAACGCGTATCGATTGCCCGGGACGAGATAATGTCCTGCAATTATTGGACCATTTCGAACACAGGGGCCCCAATGGCTTGCACCTTTGTCTCGTTTTTCCGGTTATGATGTCTGACGGTCAAGAAATGACGGTTCGAGAAAGGCCACGCCATCCGAAATATGTTCGTGAGGTCTCAAAACAAATCCTGCGGGGGTTAAATTACCTTCACGATCAGGGCTTAATCCATGGAGGTATGTATCTCCGGCAACCAAGAGACTTGATTCAGTAACACTCAAACTGTGCAGACCTCCAACCGGCAAACATATTGTTCACTGTGAGCCCTGACTCACCAAGCGAAATACTTACAAAGCCTGAGCTCAGTTATGTCAAATGGCTCCCTGGCGTCGAAGTTGATAACAGTGCTCCACGGTATCTGGTGTGTTCCCAACGTCCCCGCGGGATGCTAGACGACGCGATGTTCTCTTCACTAATAGTCAAGATTGGCGACTTGGGAGGAGGTATGTGCTTCCTTGCTATTCAAGTCCATGGATCTAATGGTGGTAATAGCTATATGGAGCCTGCAGGACAACGCCTGTCCCGTAACGCCAGCCGCTTTGAGAGCACCTGAACTACTTCTCCATCGTCCGTGGAATCAAAAGGTGGATATATGGGCCTTGGGTTGTCTGGTAAGTCTTTCGTCCCCGCTGCATATCATTGCTTAATCTTCGAGTGCAGATATTTCAACTTGCTACGAACGAAACCCTCTTCCCGGCTGGGTGTTTCGGGTACAGTAAGGCCGAAATGGATGACAATCTGCTATCTCTCATGCACGATTTCTTCAATGGTGGCCTGCCAGGCTTCATTGTGCGTATCCGCGAGAAAGTTCCGCCTGAATTTGGTCAAAAAGAGTCGGAAAGCCTTGCAGGCTTCCTTTGGGAAATGCTACAGGAACGTGCGGAGGATCGAAAATCGACCACTGAGCTTCTTAACCATTCGTTCATCCTCTAGCGAGGCGTGTGATATCTATTTCGTTGAGGTCTGGATCACAATTAACACAATCTCAAGATCTATCATTTCTTACTCAGATGGATTGAGCCATTGTCGACTCCGACTCGAATTCCATACTTATCGGTACCAAAAGCTTATAATCCAGTCTTTCCAGCTTCTCTGAAGCCACTTACTCGGAATGGTTCCCCTCTAACATACCTAGAGGCCTTGTAACATACAGTGAGCATTTTGTCTGTGCTACTGACTGATCTTTAACCTGCCCTACTGGAGCAAGCAGAGGACAGATATCACCTTGTGCCAGTATCTTCCATTCCATATAACGCTTTTCAGCTATGTTGGATACTTATGGATACAGTAAGAGCTGGGGGGGTATGCACGAGGGAGGACTTGGGGATCATGTGCCTCTACACCTGCTTCCATGTTTTCACACCAGATTCCATTTAACGTCGCACCCATTCAAGTTCATCAGGCACCGGCAGACTGGCGTAGGACCACCTGCTATTGCACTCTAGGCGGAAATATCCGAGTCAATGTCGTTTTCAAGCCGGTTTGCATAAATCTGCAGCGAGTCACAGAAAACATGCATCATCTCAAAGACGTGATCCCCCTTTAATATCTTCGAAAGCAGCCGCACCAACACCGCCCCCATACGCCGCAACTGCTGGGCCCCAAACTCGCCTCCCAGTCCCCCCGGCTGGGCCAGATCCGCCTCCCGGAGCACGCTCAAAATAATCCGCAGCAACCGCCGCGTGTCTCGATGTAAATCGGTCGGATTCAGCGCTAGCGTCTCCAGCCACTTACAGAGGAAGAGGGCACATTCAAGGTTGCAGAGCGAGTGGATGGTGCTCCAGGTCAGGGTCTGCGTTCTCGCTACGTACTCCACGCCGAGTCGGACGGGGATGGAGAGGGCGTGGATGGATTGCAGGATGGCATGGTAGATCTGCGGGGTCTGCATGGCCTGAGGCGAGAGCGCCGCGCCGGGGCCGGGTCGGGAGCCGGTCGGCAAGGAGTGCTGGGTGGGTCGGGGTGCGTTGCAGAACGAAGATGCGATCGCGTCGGGGTCTGCGGTTCCCAGGTTGCGGTGAGGCCCGAGGTTGAAGTGTAACCGGATGCATGCGATGCGGAAGATCGCGGTTGCATTGAAGCCGAGGGGCCCTTTCGGGGATGCGGGTGTGATTGACGGATCTGAGCTGGTTTCCCAGCCCTTTTGCCATCGCCGGAGCGCTGTGTGGAATCGAGTCAGGAGTTCGTGTGGGAGGGCCATGGGATGTCCTTCTGATGAGCCCGGAAGGCAACACGAGGATTCCCATGCAAGATAGATCTGCTGGAAGATGCCGTGGATGAGGATGAGGTACCCAAACGACGATAGACTGGAGTAGATACGATGGTTCGGCTGGTGACGAAACAGCTGGGAGTACACCTCGCCAAAGGTCACGGACTTGGCCCATTTGGAACGGAGCGATTTCCAGTCTGCTGCACATGTGGCCGACCAGAGTTCTTCGGGCCATGGGAGAAGAATAGATGTTATCTCGCTATTCAATATTTTGGGAGGCATGTTGTAAAGAATTGTCTGCACATTGCATATCATGTATGCGATGTATTTCGTGCGCCTCTGTCCCTCTTGCTGAATCCAGGCAAGCCATGAACCGTCATCGGAATGCCGGTCATGTAACAGGAGACCGCTATCTTGAAGATATAGAGACATTTGCCCCGCCATTCCCAAAGTATCGTGGAGCAGATCATGATTTCCCCATGTTCCCAAGGTGGTGAGGATGATCTGCGCTTGCAAGACTTCGAAATGGGTTTTCTCAGTACGATCTATCGTATCAAGTTGCGATCCTGGGGTATACAGAGAATTCGACGTGGAGTGCAAGTTGATATGGTCGTTGATCAGTGCCCGAGAAGCTTTGTAAAACTTCACAGCCCGTGCTTGCTCGAAGCGATATTGAGCCCCCATTGCCATTATTGCAAGAACCAATGCGGGTGTCAGATGGGCAACCGTCACAGTTGGTAGATGGAGGAATGGCAAATGGCCATGGCTTCCAGTGAAGTATCCTTCTATATATCTACAGAACACATATTTTGAAGGGAAGCTAAATGATTCCGGAAGAATATGGCGAACATGCTCTATCTTCCCCAGGGTTAGTTGGTAATCCTCTTTGCTGATCCGCCAGGGGATATGAGGCTCGGAGGGAATACTCTCGCTAGTATGCAACACGTTATCGGTATCTTGAGAGTCTTCATTGTGTTGTAACGGTGGTAGTTGGAAGTTAGACAGCGATGCATCGTCGTCAGAGAGCGGGCTATCCAGTCTCACGTTGCCAAGAGTATCGCCGGTCATAGGGGCAGTGAGCTCCGAATTGATAGACTCCGGGATGTCTAATTCCGGTAGAGTGATAAGTTCGTTGGGAAGTCCCCGTCCAAACCCCTCGAGCGGGAAAGTGTCCAAGCTGCCCCATAATATATTGAGGTCATGCAGATTATCATCGACAACATCTCGAGAGACGCCTTGTTGCAGGAAAGACGTAGAAGTTCCCTGAGGGGTCTGGGCCTGGTTGAAAGGACCCGCTTGAAAGCTCGACATAGCTTGGACCTGAACATCTAAGAGGTCTTGCGATGGCCTTCGTGAAATGTGAGAGCTGCCTTTCACGACGGAATACACTTCCGAAACATCGTTTTGAGGCAGCTGTGGTTCCCCATCATTCCCAGCAGGGTCATGTCGGGTTGGGTCATCTTTGATCTTTAAATGACGAGATAAGAGGTCCCTATTAATGCTTAGTTTCGCGAAAACAAGGTGCACTTTGACGGTTGAATGAGTGCATGTACCGTCTAGTAAAGCTCTTCCCACAACGGCAACTGAATGGCTTCTCTCTAGTATCTGTTCGAATATTAGTCGCCAGCAATAACCTCCGATATACAGTCGTAACCCACGAGTCCGTTCATGACGAACCAAGTGTTCCCTTCGTGCAAATCGCCGCCGACAGAACTTGCAAGGCGGAACATCTACTCGTGGCCGCATTATTCAACTTGGAAAGTGAAAGCCCGCGGCCGTGCACTTACATCTTTCTGACCTGGCGATGCTTATCAGCGGAGCTTGACTTGGGGACGCTTGAACAACCACTTACGTAATCGGATGGAATCAGCCCTGGAGGGCTCCAGGGCTCGGGGCTTTGGGTTGACCATTCCAAGGTTGTTTTACGGAGGCGGATTATTGAAGACCAATGCCAAGGTCAAAGGATCAGACTTGAGCTGCCATCATAGGATCTGCCAGGTTGCTCATTGAGAGCATCCCGGGGCACTATCAATACGGAAATTAACTCATCGCCTACTATCACAGAGGCCAATCTATAGAGGGAAACGTCCGTCAATAGAGGCGACTGAACTTCGATATGTAGATCTCTAGCCCAGCATAGGGGAATCAGAAAGAGGGCGAGAAGAATTAACGACACGCCTTCGTATACCGTCACTCATGTTACTGAAGGCTGGCCTTCCCACGACAAAAAGATATCTGGTTCCATGATATTAGGGAAGATCAATATACTTTTCATCAATATTCATTGTCACTTGGCAGCTAGTAGTCTCGCTCTCAAAGCCAATCTTGACCCCGTTTCTCCCGATCTGTGGCCGGATCTCTGTACACGCCATTTTTGGCAGTCTGAAGGTTCTCTCTAACAATGCCAACAAGGAACTGAATTCCTAGTCCTACTCCGTCCAGCACTCTCGCCCCCGTTCCTTCCACGGCCTTCTCGCACACAGAGCGCATCTCCGCCATTCCGGCGCAGCCGAGAAGCACACAGTCAGCTCCTTGCCTATGAACCAGCTGGTGGATCTTCTGCGTCATGACCCCGTGGACTTCATCCTTAGGCTTTGAGTCAAGCTCTAATACGCCGAGCTTAGCAGCCTCGCAGCCTGCAAAATATTCCGAGAACCCATACAAAGATACGGTTCGCGCGTGGATCAGTGCTGATCGCTCAGAGGTACAAATGATCCCCATATTGTCACCCAGCATCCGGGCCGCGTACATTGCTGCTTCCATGATTCCCTAGTACGGGTTGCTCAAAGCCTTCCTTCAGGGCTTCAATTAAAGGATGGGCACGGAAACAGGCCACGAGGAAAGCATCATACTTTCCCGCGATCGGTGTTATGGATCTGATACATGCCTCAGTTGACAATATGGCATCCGTTTGGGATTCGATTGCCAATGGTGCTGGATATGGAGCAGTGAAGCCGTGAACAACAACATCCGATGGTAAGCTCGGTGCGATCGCTGTTAAGCAGTCCCTCGTCATGTATTCACTTGAATTGGGGTTGATTAGAAGGACGTCGATGGGTTGGGGTCTTGCCGTGCCAGAAACACTAGGAAATATCACCGAAGACATATTGGCCATTGCGAGAAAATGAATGTACGCAAAAATTAGGATAACTATAGAGTGGATCTGTCCCTCGTTTTTGCTTAGAAGACGAGCGAGATGGCCGATGACCAAAATTTCTTTGGCGTGCTTATCGATCCTGGCAGGCTTCCTGGTCGGAATTTCTGTCTCGCCGTACGCACAGAACTCCGCTTGAAAGCATCGCAACTGTTATCAGGCCAGCCTGAACGGAGGATAATCGTTATCGAACGCCAAGCGAAATTGGGGGTTTTACCCCAAACCCCGAAATTTTCCGGGAATAATTGGACCTGATAAGGAGTGCAGTTGCATCAGATACCAGTAAGATAGCGCCTCCTAGGAGGCCCACAGGAATTAGCTCCTAATATCCAATGAAGCTAGGCTGCGATAGATGGCCGCTTTCCAGAGTTCAGTCCTCTTCTATGATTTCACAAGTTGGCATCTCAAACTAGCATCCATATACCAATAAACAAAAATGATAAAGCAGAACTGAAAGCTATGCGTAGAACAAGTAAGTTACTCATAGGAACGAACACATGCTGACCAAACTTCCCCGCGCTACCGATATTCTCCTAGTACTACTACCATAGCGACATGAATATTAACTTGATTGAAGATGCGTGTGAAAGCGACAGCTGAATTCATTGGGATAATTCTATTTATCATGGAGCTTTCGGAAGCCATAAATCTCGCTCTCCTTCTGTCATTCCTGCCGGCAGCTGTCCAAGCTTCCCAACCAGAACTTTTCCATTCTCTCTTCAGAAAGTTGCCGAACCCCTTGGCACCCACAACAGATCTTTCATCTGCATTCCATACAATCTCGCCCCGCAGGATAGTATACCGAGGCCAGTTTCTGACACGCATTCCTTCAAATGGTGTGTAATCTACGCCGTGGTGGAGATTGGCTTGCAGAATGTCTCTTCCACCTTGATCCTGAGGATGCCAAATCACAAGATCTGCGTCAAATCCAGGCATGATTGAACCTTTATTTTTCAAGCCGTATAGCCTTGCTGGGTTTCCAGACGTCAACTGAACAAATCGAGCAAGGCCGAGCTTGGCCTGCTCTTTAGGAAGACAGCCTTCGGATTCACTAAAAAGGAGGGAGAGTCTGGTTTCAATCCCCGGGATCCCCTTCGGGATTTTGCTAAACTTCGGGATGCCATTGATTATTCCAGCCTTCTTTCCCTGTGGGTGGTCATATTTTGATGGAGCGTGGTCCGAGGAGAATACAGTGAATGTGTCATTCCGGATTCCGCGCCATAAGGCCTCTAGATCCTCAGGGTGATGACGAAGTGGAGGCGAGCAAACCCCCCTTGGCTCCGTGGAAATGATCATGCTCCTCATTTGCCAGTCTGTCCGAAAGTAAGAATAGATAATGAGGACAGGTCTCTGCATGGATAGGGAGGAGCCTGGTCTGGGCATCTCTAATGTGTTTCATAGCACCATCCGAAGATACATGGACCAGCAATACTGGAGCATCAACCAGCTCTGCAATTCGGATAGCCCGATAAGAAGCCTCATCCTCTGCGATCTTTGGCCCCGAAATTGCGTGAAAAAATGGGGCTGTGTTTGCGTTCCTTTCAAGGCCTTGAATCAGGAAGTTGATCATATCCCCGTTCTCGGCGTGAATCATGGTGGTCAGTCCCAATGACCGGCATGCCAATAAAGTTTCAAGCAGCTGCTTATCCGATAACTGGTACAAGTCATAGGTCATGTACAGCTTGACGCTCGTGATTCCTTCTTCCTTTGCGATCACCGGTAGTTCTTGGTTGAGAATCGTCTCGGTGGGATTGGTGAGGATAAAATGGAATCCATAGTCGCAGTAGCTTTGATTCCGGGACTTGCCATGATACTCCTCAAGAACAGGGAACAGAGTCGTCATTTCTTTTGTCTGAGAAACAAAGGCAAGCACGGTCGTGGTGCCCCCAGCAACAGCGCTACGAGTCCCTGTCTCCCAGGTGTCGCCCGTCGGCGCATTTCTCTGCGCAAGATGAACATGCGAGTCGACACCTCCAGGTGTAATGTATGCCCCTTGGGCATCGATGATCTTTGTTTCGGGATTCTCTGGAAGATCATATCCTATAAGGGAGATCTTTTCTTTAGAGATTCCGATGTCTTGCCCAGCCGGAAGCACGCCACTCTCTGTGACCTGGAGAGGATCAGCAAAACATCCTATACGATAGGCATCCAGGTGATACGAAGCCGATATCAGTGCAGATGCTTACCATGAGTCCATTCTTGACTATAGTATCCAGCCCCATGGTGGTACTTGGTGATCAAGGGAAAGTGGACAAGTTTGTAATGGCGCTAATTGCTCTTCAAGTACCTCAGGCTGTCTAAAATCATGTAGATTCATTGCTTCACTAGCGCTATCTAAAACTATCGAACAGAAGACCACTCTTATCGGAGTATGGTCGCCTTATCTTCCTCGTCTTAGAGTTACGACCCCAACTTCTCGGAGCCAATGCCGATAGATACCCCTCCTGCCCCGCATTACTTCCAGCTAATCAAGACTCCCTCATATCTCCGTATGGAAAGCTTCGTATCTATACCAGGGACACCCAGATACTGGGTCATTATCTATGATAAGACCAGTGCCGCGTTCGCCTATCACCGCCATGGCATCTACCATTTCCGCCCCTGAACCCGGGGCGTATGTCCCAGCTATCATTTTCTTTGGTCCGGAGACCGACACATTACCAACAGAGCAAGCCAAATACTACGCATACCTCGCCAACTCGGGCCTCAATGGCCTTGTAATTCTAGGTACAAATGCCGAGACATTCGTTTTGTGGCGGGAAGAGCGAGCTTCGCTCGTGAAGCTTGCGCGTGATTCCGTTCCAAAAGAATGCCCTGCCGTTGCTGGAAGCAGCGGCCATTCAACATCGCAGGCCCTAAAATTCGTTACAGATACTCTGGTGCTGACTATGCTCTGGTCTTGCCTGCTGCGTATCTCGGCAAACAGGCCACGCCTGCTGTGGTAAAGAAATTCTTTTCTACTGTGGCCAAGGCATGGCCTTTGCCAACCATTCTGTACAACTTCCGGCGTGACGGATGGTCTAGACCTTGACGTTGATACTGTCAGTGAGCTGGCCAAAGCTTATCCAGATATCGTTGGTACCAAGTTGACCTGCGGCTCAATTGCCAAGGCCACTTGTCTAGCCGCAAGTTTCCCTCTTGAGCGATTTGCTGCCTTTGGGGGCCAGTCGGAACTTTCTCCTTGGAGGGTTAGCTTCTGGCACTGCTGGGTGTATCGGCATCTTTGGAAATGCATTCCCCAAATCCGTCGGTACGGTCTACCGGCTCTTGAAGGAAAGGAAGATGGGAAGAGGCTCTCAAGCTCCAACGAAGTGTGTCGCTTACTGAGAATGCTGCCAAGGGTGGGATTGCTGCAGCGAAGTATGCTGCTAGCCAGTATATTGCCAAGGCAGCTGGCATTGAGGGTGACTTGGAAGCACTCCTGCGACCACGCCACCCTCATGAAGAGCCAGATCCGGCATACAAGTCAAGGAACAAAAACTCTGAATAAGATTGAGAAGAGCCTAGAGAGGAACCCTTGTTTTATAATTTCAGACACGGCGCATTTCAAAGTGAGCGCCATATCGACTTCAGTTCGATTAGTCTTCCCCATCACGGCACTATGTCAGTGACTTAGGTATGGAGAACAGGTGTTCCAACGTATACGCTGCAGTAGCAAGTTTTTGTGGGCAATTGGTTGGCCCCTAGCAGGTTTGTTGGCCCCTGCAGATCCACAAAGGTGCACGTGCCTTTACTGGGATGTTTGTTGCAATTTATTGACAGCCCTTACCGCTAACGATCACGTGCCAGAGCAGCGCCCTCGGGTATAAAAGTCTTCATCCTGCCCGCCCCTTCCTCTTCTTTTTCTTTCTTCTTCATACTTACCTTGTTTGGGTGGCCGCGATCAAGAAGGCGGCTCACCACAGATTGGGCCCTGCATTGCACATCGCGGCGGACCAATCTGTTCAGCGGCCTTCGGGTCTCTGACAGGCGTATTCTTTGGCACCCTCCACATTGTGGACCTTTCTTTTCATCATGCCTTGGGTCAACGACTTGAGTATGGAGAAGAGAATTGTGTAGAAACAAGCAGTAACCCTGGGAACTATCACATGTTTGTAATTAAATAGGCTTGTCGCGTCGCGGCGCGTTTGTGCTAGTTATTGTGCTTTGCAGCCTCCCGAATCACGGTTCTCACTGGTCGTGTGATGTCTGTCACGTCCACGGCGGGTCTGCTCATCAGCTGTGGGTTGACTGTGACTGGTATACCACGTGTTCCCTTGCACTGTCAAGGCCCTCTATCCGATCATTTAGGCTGCACATACCACGCCAGTCTAATTTCAACCCTCCGGTACTTCATACATCGTTCACTAGGATTCTTAGTATCGGCGTCTTCCGTCGACAAGGATCCATGCCAGTGGAAGCCTTTCTTCGAAAAATCCTGACTTGATATCTCTCCCAACTAGATTTATTCAAAAGTCAGACTCCTAGTATACAGTACACTCCGTCACTCCACCCGCTCAAGAATCAGGACCTCACTATAGCAGTTCCGGCTCAACAACCCCGGTCTGTTGCAGGATCTTATGGTAGTGCTCTGTTCGCCGATGCTTCTCAAAGGCGAAGACCGTATTCTTCGGTCGATGACAATCTGCGAGGTCGATGGTGGCAACAACCAGCTCATCTTCCTTGGTGGTGGCCTCTTTAATGATGTGACCTAGTGGGTGGACAATCATCGTCCCTCCCACAAGCGGATGGCCATCCTCCGCGCCCGTCTTGGCTACATTGATACTGAAGCATGCATTCATATAACTGTTGCCCTTGACACGAAAGCTTGTGATGCAGCATGACCATGGCCTCGGCTTCTTCGTCACTCATGTCCAGCTTGTGGCCACTTGCTGTGGAGGGGAATGCAGTAGTGTTATATCCACAGCAAAGGATCTCCGCTCCTGGAGACCATACACGCGCCAGGCCTCGGCCCATCGTCGGTCGTTACAAATCAGCATCCCGACAATCGGATCTCCTCTCCCAGCGGTCTCAGCGGGGCTACGGCGCGCATCTGACTTCTTCAATGCCCCTTCAACCAGCCCGGGCGCTCGGAATGCGGGAAAGCCAAGGTCGCCTGGGCGAAAATAACGTTTCTCCAGTTGCTGGAACGCACCAGGTTCAGTGTGCGGCTCCACGGTTCCTGGCAGATGGACTTTGCGGTACTTTCCGACCACTCGGTCTGCCTGTGCCGAGTAATAGACACAGGAATTGTAGTCGATGTGTGACCCGTCTTGTTGGGGGCTTCTTTCGGCGTATCCCACATAGACATCGATACCAAGAGACCGGGCATAATCGAAGAGAGGCTTTACAGAAGGAGACTGTTCAATACCACCTTTTTTGGGATCTTCCACGTCAAAGTACTGATCTAACTCTTTCTCCTCTAGCAGATACCGGGGGAAGAACGTAGTGAAAGCAAGCTCTGGGAAGACTGCGAGCTTGGCTCCCTGCTCGGCGGATTGGTCTAGCAGCGACAACATACGCTGTAAGACGTCATCTCGGGAATCTGCGAGATGGATAGGCCCAAGTTGGCAGGCCGCGACTGTGACAGGTCGTGGCGAAGGTTTGCTGGAACTCATTGTAGATATGATCGTATGACAGTGATGGGAGTCTTCGAATCGCAAGGAAAGGATCAGCCCATTATTTCTACTAGTATCGCGGGGTATTTTGTACGCTGCAACCGACGTCCATCGGGCATTACCAGATGAATGGCAAATCAAACGTATGGTAATATACTCTTGGGGTCGGAACCCCTCATTCTGGTCCAAGTCCCTTATCGGGCATGGGTTTCTACCCCAAGATTCTGTATTGTTTCTGGTAATTGGCTCCGCTTATCTGCACCCTTATCTGACCACCCCAATTCCAGTATCGCTGTGATGGTCTGAGAAGCCCTGAGGGGGGGGGCACATTCCGCGTATGGAGCAGGTGCAGACTGTGACCGGAGAGAAGAGAAACAAGAATTTAAGCATGGCGCGGTTATGGCTCGGACAAGCCAGCTTCGCTGCCTATGATCCGTTGGATCCTAGCGTTCTACGAAGACCGAATGAACCCCGAAAGCAGCAATAGAATTAGACTTGAGAGATGAGCCATATCTACAGCCACGATGATGTTCCTTTGGAGATACTTAAGCGCTGCTGGTCCCATTAATGGTTGATCAGGAATGCGGGGGAATAGGCAGCCAATAGCACTTGGTCTGGATATCAGTTATGTCTATTCTACGAAACAGCAAGACGAGTAGCTATAAGTGTCATGTACCTTTGCTAGAACATTTCTTCCTGAGAGATCTCTTGCGCTGCCTTGTGCCACCATATTATATACGTCCACCACATTCAAGATGGATGGGTATCTGAAGGGTAATATGCAGGACGAGGAGAAATCTATCAGGACGTCGATTGAGAATGGCGCCTCCTGTACGCAAGAGGACTCTGGTGGCCCAATTGGCATTCGTGAATATGCCATTACTCGATTCACATCTCTCAAGCCTCCTATGAATAGTGTGGCTAACCCATTCACTCTTCTTGCGATGCTCAACGCACAGCAATGGGCTTTCGTCGCTGTTTCTTTCCTCGCGTGGTCGTGGGACTCGTTTGACTATTTTACCGTCTCTCTTACGGTCTCCGATCTGGCAGAGACCTTCAATACATCGACTGCCAACATCACATGGGGTATAACCCTGGTTCTGATGCTCCGTTCAGTTGGATCAATCATATTCGGTATTGCCGGCGATCGATATGGAAGAAAATGGTATATGCCATAATGCACTGAGTTTTCTTGAGCTTTCTGACCATCACCCGTCTATTCTAGGCCTTTTATTCTCAACCTGTTCTTCTTCATAGTCCTAGAACTGGGCACAAGCTTCTGTCAAACATACCACCAATTCCTCGCCGTCCGCGCTCTATACGGCATTGCAATGGGCGGAATGTACGGCATCGCAGCCGTCACTGCCCTCGAAGACTGTCCCATAGAAGCCCGCGGCCTTGTCGCAGGGCTAATGCAGCAAGGCTATGCATTCGGCTACCTGCTCGCCACAGCATTCGCTCGCGCACTGGTCAACACCACCAGCCACGGATGGCGACCATACTTCTGGTTCGCCTCCTGTCCTCCCATCCTGATCATCGCTTTCCGCCTCAGTCTCCCCGAAACCCAGGCCTTCCGCGACCGGCAGGCCAGCCGGGAGAGCCAGGGGAATATAGCCGGCCAATTCATCTCGGAAGCAAAGGTTGCGCTCAAGCACCACTGGCTGGTCCTATTGTATCTCGTCCTGCTGACCTCGGGCCTCAACTTCGTATCGCATGGGTCGCAGGATCTATACCCGACCATGTTGACCAATGACCTCAAGTTTTCCGCGAACGCAGTCACCGTCACGCAGGTCGTGGCTAATCTGGGCGCGATGACCGGCGGCACGTTTGCCGGCTACTGCTCGCAGATCTTCGGTCGACGGTTCAGCATGATCATAATGTGTATGATTGGCGGGGCACTCATCTACCCGTACTCGTACACGCGCACCCATGCTGTGGCTGCCGTGGCGTTCTTTGAGCAGTTTTGTGTCCAGGGGGCGTGGAGTGTTATCCCGATCTATGTCATGGAGTTGTCGCCGGCTTCGTTCCAGACGTTCGTGGTTGGTTCTGCGTATCAATTTGGGAATCTTGCTTCGTCGGCTTCGTCGACTATTGAGGCGACTATTGGTGAGCGCTTCCCTTTGGCGCCGTTGGTGAAGGCCGATGGGACCACTGTGGCGCGGTATGATTATGGGCAGGTGATTTGTATCTTCACTGGGGCTGCGTATGCCTACAGTCTCGTGCTGCTCTTTCTTGGTCCGGAGAAGAAGGGGAGAAATACGAAGACGGATGAGAGGATTGATGTTGAGGAAGTTTTAGTTGAGAAATTCCGAGGTCGCTTGACCTAAGAAGCCCTCTGAGGCTTCGTAAAACTGGCCTCCCTTTCTCTAATTGGATCATGTACTTATACCCATGGTGATGACCAGTTACAGGCCACTAAAGCAATAAGTTCCAGTCATTTCATCATATTTATGGACTAGGGAGAGAAGGAAGAGCAAGAAAATCCCAGATAAAAATGTGGAAGCACCCTAAGTAAGCGCCCAAACCCCCGTGCTCCGTGCCGAAGCGATGAGTAGAAACCAGCAGCAAACTCCGCACTCTTTGGTTCTATCCTTTACGCTCCAAGTTGGTCCTTGCCTGCATCAGGATCAAGATAGTCTTCGCGCTCAGCCGCTTCGTACTCCGCCACAAGATCCATGACGACTGCACGAGCTTCGTCGAACTCGCCCAGGCCGTCAGAGAAGGGCGCTTCCTTTTTGTATTGTTCCAAGAAAGCGTTGCGCTTGCGCAGACGGTCGTATTGCTGGATGATACGCTTGAAGAGCGTTGCCACGGACGTATGGTTCGCAAGCATCAAACCGCTAACGCGGTTGGTATGTTGCAGATAAGGCGATTTCTTCGTGAGTGCCACTTGGATACTAGCAGGACCCCATGGGATAAACGATGCGAGTCGGCGTTCCCGAATCCGCAAGAGGGACTTATGGACGTCGGTAGGATCTGCTTCACCCTGGATGATGTTCAGGATGCTGATGTAGCAGCTGGATTTGCTGGGGTTGATCGAGACCATCCGGTTCTTTGGCTGTAAAAGGCGACGCATAACATCAAGGACGGTCGTCTTGCGTACAGTCCGGGCTTGGTCAATGTTGTCACCAGTAAAAGGGGTGTAAGACGTGAGGAGGAAATGGCTGCGGGGCGTAGGGATCAGGGAGGCAATGATGCCAGCAAGGTCATTGTGCATGTATCCAGGGTATCTGAGCGTTGTGGTCGATGCTGACATGACGGTTGATACCTAGAAAGTCAGCTTGTGTTCCACAATAATGCGTACGTCCTGTAAGGCTTACAAGCTGGTTGGTTTGCTGGAACGAAGGCTCTTGTACATGAAGTCGGTCAGCCACGATCCTTGACAAAGCACCGTTATCAAGCACGACGACCGAATCGGCATCCTGAGTCAATCGGCGCATAGATAGCAAGCTGTTGTAAGGATTGACAACCACGTCCACCGATTGTGTATCTGGGAAAACAGAATATGTCTGAATGAGCTTCTTGGGGAAGCGGTCGTTCATGCGTTCCAGAATGAAACTTCCCAGGCCTGATCCTGTCCCTCCAGCAATCGAATGTAGTAACATGAAACCCTGTCCATATTGAGTGAGAGTCGTTTTGAATATAGGCGGGTCAAACTTACCTCGAGCGAGTCACTTCCGTCCGCTTCTCGATCAATCATATCGAAGATCTCCTCTTGCACGCCCTCGCCTGCTGCATAACCAGCACCCCAGTTGTTTCCTGCGCCAACACCTTGCTGTCCGATAAAGAAATTCTCGGGGTTGTAAATATTGCGATAGGGGCCCGACTGGATGTTATTCAGCACCTTTTCGAACGTTAGTCAATGCGCTCGTTTGCTCAGAAAGTGTTTCATGTTTTGTATTGCTCTGGGGACGTTCGTACACGTGGTTCTAAGTCGAGGAGAATAGCCCGGGGAATATAACGGGTGTCGTCACTCTAGTAATCATGTCAATACCATTCTAAAGGATTGTCCTGCGAGGGCATACCTGGTAGAAGAAAACGTCCTTGCGATCCCCGCCCTCGCTCGCGAAGTCCTCGAGGTTACCATCTTGGCTAATTCCGTGCTCCTGGCATAGCTGCTGCCAGAATTGAGCACCAACTAGATAGAAGTCAGGTCAAAGATCCCACTAGGTCTATTGCCTTTCGCAAGCAGTGTTGATTTCGAGGCGCAAACCCAGTCAAGCGCATTGGAGCTTCAAGCCGATCGGGGATCGAGATGCGGAGACACATACCGTTGTTGCCGCACTGGCCGGCTTGGATGGTGATGATTTCCCTACCGATCACTCTTATATCAGCGGTGGAATTATCGGAATGGCATACTCAATTCTCTAGGGTGCTTACCGAGGCATCGTCGTCCACACCGTCGAAGATGAAGGAGAGATCGATTGGGGCACGCGTACCGCGTTATCGCGGGAAATAATTATTGTGCGGCCTCAGGCAGCAAGGGGCGTCAGCATGAGAAGTCGCTACAGTAGTTAGTTGGGCAACGAAATCGAAATTTAGCCTTCTTCGGGCTGAAAGGGCTAATCCTAATTGGGCTTGTGCATTTTCTTGCGCTATTTAATCTATGCATTGATGATTAACTTGGTTATTGAGAGTTCAATGTCTGTCAATGCTGCCATGACATCCATCAAAATCCAGCCTTACAAGCTGTCACCAAAGTCCCAGCTCCTGAGACAACGCCGTCCACAATCCTGACTTTTCGGCCCTTGATTTCTCCGTAGGTTTGGATGCAACCTGCACGAACAGCTTCCTCCATACCTGCCATTCCCGCACAACCCATGCAAATGGCTCCTACTGGGACCGAAGAATCTTGAAGCAACCGCTGAGTGGCCTCGCATATTTTTTGCTTGACTTCCCGTGGATCTGTTGTATGGAGCTGCCCAGCTGTCAACCCAGTGGTCTGAACGCCTGCAAACCGGGTAGAGCCCTGAGTGCCAAGCATAGCTGTGACAGCTTTGTTGAGCTCATCTTTCCAGGCACTGCCCGTCGACACAATGCCGAATGATTCATCGACTTCCTTTTTCTTCAGGCTGCCAATGGTCTCGAAGTTGAAAGCGCTGATCAACGAAAGTGACGCCGTGATGCTAGCCTCGAAAATACCAGTCACATATTTCTTGCCGACAGAGGGATCGGCTTCTTCTAATTCCCTAATACGCTGTCGCAATACGCCCACGAGCGGGTGTGCCGAGTAGCACGCAACCAAGAACGCATCATACTGTGGAACCAAGTCTAGAACTGACCAGCAGTTATATGCTGATCGGGCCGACTCTTCCCCACTATCGATGCTGTCGATTGGTTCGTAGGTATGTCCCCCAACTGTGACGGGGTGGTTGGGTGCTGTAAAGTATTCGAACTGTACATCGACGTAATTCAGGCGCGCCAGGATGGGCTTTAGGCCATCTGTCATATGAGAGGAGGTATTGGGATTGATGATCAGGATTCGAATTGGTCGAGCATCTTGCACGGCAGCCATGGTCACAGAGAATGGCCGAGGAAAAGACCCCACTAATAGGCAGATTGGTGCACCAGATCAATGCACATAGAAAGCTCGGAGTTAATGAATTAGGTCCGCGGCATGGAAGCTTGCGCGTCGTTAAGAGAGCGAGAGAGCCCACCGTTACCGATCTCCATGATATCCGGCTCTCGCCGCCCCTCCCCGCTTTGCCCTCCTTGACTCAACCGCGTAGGATTTCACAGCCATGCCTCTCGTCGCACAGAACAACTTGCCCCGCATTATCCTTGGGCTGATGACCTTTGGTCCCAGCACGGAAAAGGGTGCTCGAATTACTTCGTTGGACGATTTCAACAAATCCTTGGACTACTTGCAGCAACAAGGCTTCAACGAGGTCGACACCGCCCGAGTGTATATCGAGGGCGAGCAAGAAGCCTTCACTGCGAAGGCCAAATGGAAGGAACGGGGCCTAAAGCTGGCGACAAAGTGGTACCCCAGGGAACCTCATGCCCACAAGCCAAATGTCATCCGCGAGAAGCTAGAGCTTTCTCTTAAAGAGTTGAACACCGACTGTGTCGATATCTTCTACCTCCATGCACCAGATCGCTCGACGCCATTTGTGGAGACCCTCGAGGCTGTCAATGAGCTTCACAAAGAAGGCAAGTTTGTGCAGCTCGGGTTAAGCAATTACACATCCTTTGAAGTGGCGGAGATTGTCACCATCGCCGCTACCAGGGGCTGGGTTCGCCCTACCATCTACCAGGCCATGTACAATGCCATCAGTATGCTCATCCAACGTGTCCCGGTTGTCAGAATGTGCTTTACTAACACCACTGACTTATAGCCCGCAATATCGAGGTTGAGCTCATTCCCGCATGCCGCCGTTACGGTCTGGATATTGTTATCTACAACCCCCTTGCAGGCGGTTTGCTCTCGGGCAAGTACAAGACCTCGGATGTTCCCGCAGAGGGCCGTTTTGGCGCGAACAGCACGACTGGAGAAAACTACCGTGGACGCTACTTCAGAGACAGCACTTTTGAGGCCCTGAGCATTATCGAGCCTGCAGTTGCGAAGCACGGCTTGACAATGGCAGAAACCGCTCTGCGCTGGGTACATCACCACTCTGGCCTCAAGATCGGCCATGGCGGCCGCGATGGTATCATCATCGGCGTCAGCAGCTTTGCGCAGCTGGAAGGGAACCTCGCGGATGCGCAAAAGGGCCCCTTGCCCCAGGAAGTTGTGGATGCTCTTGATCAGGCTTGGTTGGTTTCAAAGCCGCTCTCTGCACCCTACTGGCACTTGGAGCTGAAGTACACGTATGACACCCAAGAGGCTCTCTCGAAGCTGAAGATCTAGAGCCTGTACGCATGACCCGCTTCTCTCAATGAATTAGTGTAGAAAGATGGAGAAATGAAACCCCATTAGAACACAGTACTCGTGCTTAATTATCAAAGCAAAATTCAGGGTTCTGCATCGATAGTTGCATGTACTAGTTCGTTAGGCGTGCCATCTGTGGACGCGGAACAGATTTAATCCCACTTTCTTTGACTCCTCTTGGCAGGAATTGTTGTGTCGCTCTTTTCGGACTCCGACCAAAACAAGCGGCGACTCCCGAAGGAATCTTACCCCGCCTTATTAGTGCTGACAATTAAAACCAACAACTTCCCAAACTTGAGGAAAGCCGACGAGAAAGGTCCCTTGAGCGCAACACCCAGTATGAAAGTTACCATTGAGCCCTATAGCCCTGAATGGCCTATTCTGTTCGCCGAAAGAAAATCGCACCTAGAGCAGATTCTTCAAGGGATCCCCATCGTATCAATCGAGCATATTGGAAGCACGTCTATCCCATCGCTTCATGCAAAGCCTGTCATAGATATTGACATTATCATCAAACCATCTTCCCTTGAGGCCGGTCGTCAAGCACTTGCCGCCGCGGGGTACGCGGACTGCGGCGAGCTGGACATCCCCCGGGCGCTATGTATTTCGACAGCCAGGGTTTGACAAGCTGGATGCTGCCCATGGACGAAGCAGTGATGGTTCTGTCAGATACAATACCTATCTCGCTATTGACGGGTGCGAGTCCTTGAGAAATCATCTCGATACCAAACGCGTGCTTCTGGAAGATGAAGAACTGCGCAAGGAGTATTCGCAACTCAAACTGAAGCTGCAAGAGAGCACTTTTGATGGCATTGACCAGTATTCACGTGGCAAGACTCCTGTCCTTATCAAGATTCTACGGAAAGCCGGATGGACCGAAGAAGAACTACAGCCCATCATAGATAATAATAGCTAGCAGTCATTCTAACTCAGACAAAGAGCTTTGTGATCCTTGGCCCAACAAACGCCATTAGCCGAGCAATTCATCAGCTGTGTTCAGCCAAGATATTCAAGTAAGAGCAGCTACTGGATTTATTCCAAGATTACGCTACGCCCCCTCTCTCGTATCTCGTCATTTGGGCTATTTATGGTCACTTGCCACGGCCGCCTGAGACCGCCTCGAGGGCGCTAGTCTATATTAGGACTAGAACTGGGATTCAGGGACTCATCACGTGATGATGTCGGGCCCAAAGCGGGATAGTCCACCCCAATGACGAAGCCGTCCATTCCCCATGGGTATCGTGGTATCGTGTGCTTCCTCAGGTCACAACCTGCGAAGTTCACAAGCCCTCGAGTCCCTGCCGGTTAGCGATAGTTCCGACCAAATCTACTTCTTTCAAATACCCGGTCCTCTCCTCGGTACTCATTCCCGGCGCACCAACGCGGCCTCCGTGTATCTTACACCGTGGCCAATTATCCGCTAGTCGGACGCTTAATTGGTACGCTCTGAGGAGGCTTCGAGAATCCGACTGTGTCTATGACTCTCGTTCCTTCGTCTGGTCATTCTTCAAAGCGGCTGGTTGAGATCACTGGATGAGTGGAGCATCACTAACGTGTTCGATCCTTATCTGTTATCTTCCACGCAAGGAGATAGGAGGCAAGCAGGGACAGCGAACCTTATCCCTGCCCAAATTTCCAGGCCCTCCCTGATTTAGCCTAAAGTGTTATCCAGGCTAGACACACTCTCGCCGTTGTGGCTTCGGACGGTATCGAACTTGCCCCGGCGCTGGGTCGTGATTCCCAAGACTCGGACGAGATGAACGTCAATCGCCCCCCGTTACATCGCCCCACGGATGGCCGCTCGCAACAGCCGCTCCTTAAGGATGAGCGGCGAAGCCGGCTCTCACAGTCAAGTATTGGCAACGGGGATGCAGAAGGCCGGCCCATGTTACACCATACCCGTCGTCCAACCATTCAGAGTCAAAGCTCGGGGAACGATGCTGCCCGGGCGACTCGCAAGAAGTACCTGATCGCGTCGGGCTTCTTGCTTCTGAGCTTAGCGAGTTTCGTTGTCCAGACCGAGACTGCAGTTTACATTCAACACGATCTGCATTGGGACAAGCCGTATGCCATGCTGTAAGTTTCGATAATTGGACAACATTCGGAGCTTTTCTGTCTCATCCTCGCCAGCACACCGCTTACGGCTAACGGATCTCTTCCCCATGCAGGTATATTACCCACGGATCATGGATATTGCTCTGGCCAGTTCAGCTTGCTATCCTGCGATTTCAAAAACGGAAACTATCATGGGAAGCATTTTGGCGCCGCCATGTTTTCCTCCTCCGAACGACGGCCCAGATGGTAGAAACACAGGATGTTCACCTTTCTTCGCGCAGCTACCACCGGTCGCCAGTCCCATACATGCTGAGGACCACGGCCTTCGTAACAAGCGCTCTCACAATTGCTGGCGGTTCTTGGTACGTCGCCGTCAATCTGACGACAGCCAGTGACTTGACAGCGATCTACAACTGCTCGGCCTTTTTCGCTTATGCCTTTTCGATTCCTTGCTCAAGGACAAACTCCGACTTGACAAAGTCCTTGCGGTCTGCGTCGCCATCATTGGCGTCCTGGTCGTTGCATATGGAGACCGCCCGGATAAAAAGGTATCCAAAGGCGGCACAACGAAGGAGGACAATGAGGCATCCCACCGCCTCTTGGGAAATGTCATCATTGGAGTTGGAAGCGTGCTGTATGGACTATACGAGGTTCTATACAAGAGATTTGCTTGCCCACCCGAAGGCACCAGCCCGGGCCGGGGAACTATCTTCGCCAATACCTTTGGTAGCTTGATTGGTGCTTTCACTCTTTCAGTTCTGTGGATCCCTATTCCAATTCTACATATTCTGGGCTGGGAAAAATTCAGCTTTCCCACGGGTGAGGCCGCTCGGATGCTTCTGATTTCCATTTGTGCCAATGCCAGTAAGTTTCTTTTCCAACTTCGCATTCTTGACATGAGACTAATGCTTCACCAGCGTTCTCCGGCTCCTTCCTGGTGCTCATCTCCCTCACCTCCCCTGTGCTTTCATCCGTCGCTGCTCTCTTGACGATCTTCCTCGTGGCCATTGTCGATTGGTTCCGTACTGGTCAGCCTCTTTCTTTTGCAGCCATCCTCGGAGGTATCTTGATTATGATGGCGTTCTTCCTCCTGAGTTGGAGTACATACCGTGAACTCAGTGAAGAACGGAAGAAGCACTTGGAGAACGACCAGGTGGAATCTGACAGTGATGAGTAATTCTGCATAAGATACATTGCATGTCTCACATCTCTTGAGTCAATATTTAGCGATTTCCTCTTAATCTGTCGATTTTAGTTCTGTATATAAAATTCATTTCGATGGTATCCAGGCCAGCGGCGTTCCGGAATACCACTGATTCATTGTTCTATACAAAAAATTTTGATTCCTAGTCCAGCTTTAGCCCGGGACAAATGGTGCATTGTTTTTGTTTATTGCTTGCTAATTCAATGGTGAACTCAAGTTGTCCGTGATTGTCGCCCGATCCACGCCTATCTAGGCGCTTGCATCCATTGGATTTGGTACATGGAGGACGATATGTAAGCTGTCTCGGACTCCCACGTCCTCCTCCTCGAGCTTTGTGGACACACCTACTGCTTTACACCCAACGCAGCCCACTTATGACAGCGACGAAAACCATGGCAAACCGTGTAGCACAATAATCCCTCCAGGGGCTTATGCTGGCATTACCGTCGCAGTCGTTGTGATCGTTCTTCTTGTGGCGTTCTGCACGATGCAGCTGACGATGCTCCACAGCAAGCGCGCTGTCGCTGCAGCTGCGGCAAAATGACCTTCGCCTGCCCCTAATGTTAACAGGTTGGCTCCCACTATTACAGCGCCTAGGACAACGTCTAGGGGACAGACGATAATACAGTCCACTGCCAGTGGTAGAACACCGCCTTCACGGGCTTCCAACTCCGACGCCCTCGCCGTCATATAGTGAGCGGTGTCTAGACTCCGAGGTAGAACCTGAGCCACCGATGGAAGAAACGTGAGACACGTACTGGATCTTTCATTCGAGGCCTGCTTGAGAGGCGCATACTAGTATATACCCTTTCGCATAATGTGTAGCTCTATAATCCATCGAGCATTTTTATGATGTGAGAATCTCAGTCCATTTCCAATCATGCCATTCCTAGATGATGAGCAAATTATCTTTAATGGCTATAACATGATTTAGAGCACTGCTCTTCTGATGTTTCTGTGGAAGCAGGGATCGTTTGTAGAACCCAAAAAAGCATGGGTGCGCGCGAAGTCTTATTCAGCAACCCGACTTTCGCAACGCCTTTTAAGTTGGGGCCTATCGCACAACTTCATAATATGTCCGATCCTTTCCCAATGAATCGTCTGCTCTTGTGTGCGTGAGAAAATGGCTTTTGGGGATACTCGATCTAAGGCGTGCTGGCGCTGCAGGAAACGACGGCTTAAGGCAAGATGACTCCGCATCTGACGAGGACCAACTTCAACTAATCCGGGACAGTGCGACTTACACCCAGTGGCTTGCAGTGCATGCATTCGAGCAAATGTAGTCTGCTATGGGTACCGTGACTCCAGTGAGCTTCAAATCAAAGACCAAACTAGTCTCACCCAGAGCAAGTTTCTATCGCCGGATCAGCCGCGGTCTTTACAGCAACCTATTGAGCAGCAAGCCAGAGAAGCATTCTATGCCCATTACGTGAGCGAGGGCTCAAGAGGATGGGACTTTCTCATTCCTTATCAGCTCTCTGCCAGTAGTCCTGAACTCTTAAATCGCTCTATTGATGCCGTCAGCTTAGCAATCATCGCTCAGCAACGCAGCTCGGCTTCCATCATGAGCTCTGCTCAGGAACACCTTGGAGTTGCACTTCGCTTGTTAAATAGAGCCATATCACATACAGACCTGACTTCGGGTAATGAGCTACTCTCGGCAATCCTTCTGCTGGACTTGTTCACCAAATTGACTTGCCCGGGGCCTGGGGATCTGGCATTCTGGCGGGGTCATCTCAACGGTGCTTTGGCGTTGATCGACGCCTTGGGCCTTCACAATCTGCAGGATCGGGTGTCTTTACGAATACTATCTCGCTTTTCCATTAATTCTGTAACCTCATGCGTGGCCAGTGCAACTACCGTGCCACGCCAGTTGGGTCTCGTATGGGCACATGTTACGAGTCACATGGCGCGAGGAGAAGATCCGAAGTGGAAGCTGACGCGGTATATGATCGAGTACGCATCGTTCCGTGCCTCAGTCCGAGAAGGAAGAGGCAGTCTACAAGGCCAGGTCAATATGGCGCGACTGTTCGATCAAAGCTTGCTACAACTTTCTCAGCAAATGCCACTAACTTGGCAACCAGTGAAAAGGACACACATCAATGCGTTTGGAAGCGGCTTCGAGTATCTGTCCTACAAGGACAGACATGTAACTCAGTGCTGGAATGTGCTACGGTTAGTCCGGATAATGGTCAATGAATTCTTACTGGAGCATTCCGTCGAAGAAGGCAGGGAGGACGTGGTCGGTGAAACGCCCCAGCAAACGATCATTACGCTGGTGGACAACATCCGATCTTCTGTCTATCAGTATGCAGGCGGCTGTTGCCAACTCCGGACAAGGAATCCCAAGACTCGCAAGTCTATTTCGGCCCAAGATATCCACTCTCAACCGGCACACTCTCCCAAGCAAGTGCTTGACTGCTACACACTCATATTTCCTTTGTTTGTAGCTGGGCGTTCGACACCTATTTCGGCAGACCAAAAAGCAGCAATTGTCCAGAGCCTGCGCTTTATCCATATGCATTTTGGAATTGAAAATGCGTCCTTCGCGGCAAACACAATCGAAAATCAGCCAGACAAAGACCCGTGGCAGGTGTTCGCCATGCTTGGTAGCTACGGATTTGCGGCCTAAGATAAACCATAGTCCAATATACAGGATTTCGGATCCATTCCGCTCACTAACAGACTAAATACTTGAAACCTATCATATTCGAACAAGGCTGAATCCTGAACACAATTATTCGATGGCCAAAGATGCTCAAAGTACACTGGTGGGGCATTTAGGAATGCGCTAAGCCTAGTACGGTAGGTAACTCGACGCTAAGTGGGGATCATGCCTGTCACAGGGACGGTCGGGACCCTGTACGTGGGGAAGATGCAACTTTAGAGCTTCAATTCGCGATTTGAACCATCGATTTGAGTATATAATTCGAAGTGAGAATCCTGTCGGCATTATGCATAAGTCCGTGTTTCATCCGGTCGAGCTTCTAAGACCGGGATCATCCGGGAGTTGAATTTTTGGTTTCCAGGCTACGCGATATATAAAGTGCTTTCGCACCACTTCTCAATTGATACTTCAGCTCTAGAGACTTGAAGCTAGATCCAAAAATCCAAATTGATCTCATTCTCACTCTCACCATTGACAATGTCATCTGCCAACACTATTCTGATCACCGGAGGGAATACTGGTCTCGGCCTAGAAATCGTCAGAGCCCTTAGCAAGGAAGCAGTCTCTTATAACATCATCATCGGTAGCCGCAATCTGGAAAAAGGCATTAAAGCCGTTACCCAAATCCAAGAGGAGCTTCCGCAATCACAGAGCAAGCTCAGCACGGTCCAGATCGATGTTCTCTCAGATGATTCCATCCGAGGAGCAGTGGAATACGTCGCCTCGACATTCGGCAAACTAGATGTTCTTATCAACAACGCGGGTGCCAATTTCGACCACGATATCCAAGGCGGCAAACTGAGCCAACGCGATGGCTGGAACCTGGCTTGGAACACGAATGTCACTGGCGCGCATGTGACGACAGTCGAATTCGTTCCACTGCTGCTCCAGTCGGCTTCTCCCGACTACTCTTCATCACAAGTGGTACCTCCCCTCTTGCCTACACGGAGATCATGGAATCGCAGTTTGCGGTGATTAATGCGTCCCCGGAAGCTGGGTGGCCTAAGCCGCAGACGCTGAACCCGACGGAGTCGTACCGCAGTTCGAAGGCTGGGCTGAATATGATGATGCGGCAATGGTACCGAATTCTGAAGAATGATGGCGTGAAGGTGTTTGCCGTCTCTCCCGGGTTTCTTGCTACAGGCCTGGCCGGTCTTGGCGAGGAGACTCTTAGAAAGGTATGTCTTGGAGGAAGTGTATACTGGTCCTGCATGTGACTGACTAGAATTATAGATGGGGGCTCGTGATCCCGCGATCGGAGGAAATTTTGTCAAGGATGTTGTTTTGGGGAAAAGGGATGCCGACGAAGGCAAAGCCATCTACATTCAGGGCATTCAGCCTTGGTAGATGTCGAAAGTTGGAACGAGTGAATTGGATTGCAGCCGGTACTGCAAGAGACCCTCAATCAAGCCTGGATTCTCTGCCATGTTAATTGGATGCCCATTGGATCGAATGTAACGCTTCTTTCAAAATGTGTCACATGCTTCACATTCACCTGGACAAGGCAAATGCAGACGAGATAAATACAGTCATTTCTGAAAATTGACAGGTCTTTGCAAAAGGCGACTGAGTTAGGTGCTTATCTCTCGGGGTTTGAAGAAGATCCATGAAACGGGTCAGGGGGGTTCTCGAACAAACGTAGTGGCACAATGCCTTCCTTAGGCCGGCTAAAAGATTACCTCGTTTCAGGCAGACGTGGCTTCGATCGTTCCTTCACGTCTTCGATGCCACAGTGTCAATTTTTAGTGTCGCGGCCTAATGCACCTAGCAAGGGTCCTTCCGCCAATCGCCTTGCAAATAGTGCTGGGGGGTTTCACGCTGGAACGGCCCCCCCTATGGCCAATCTTGCAAAAACGGGATCTGTCTTTGGGAACTCAAAAGAAGATCGGCGCCCAAGCCTAGACTCGACTCATTCTCAATGAGATGGCAGCCACGTCGGACGTGTGCTGGAAGCCTGAGGTTGGCTGGCTGAGACATTCAGCTCCAACCAGCCCTGGAGGGGGCTCGGATGAGAGCATGTGATTGGCTTCGACAAGATGCACTCTGCAGGGATTCCGCATTTTGACATGCGAATGCATGCGTGGCCGGTAGAAGATGCCAGGTCTGCCCGTGCTCCTGGCCGGAAAGTTTTCTCGAGTCCTTGGACCTGAGGATTTGGATTCATGGCCTGTCGCTTAGAGTTCCGATCGCCTGAATTTGATCGGATGAACCCATCCAGGTTTCGGGTTCATCACAATCACTGGCATAGGGCCCGTTCGGCATCCCGTATAGGGAGTACAAGCATTTTGATCAACTGTTTGGCTGGTCGTGGGTTTCTTTATTGTTCCAGCTCTCTCGTAGCTTTCTAGTAGATCATTATATCCGCGGAAGGTACTATTACACAGGTCGATTTCTCCGTTTCTTTGACATGTACAGTAAATGAAAAATCTACAGGTCGCATGGGGCTGTACACCCACTAGCGGGGTTGTTCACTGAAAGACTGGAGAATATAAACAAAACCTGAACTTGTCGGTCTAGGCACACCCGCCGATGTCCCACGTGGAAATCTATAGCGAATATTATTCTGACCCAGCCCGTAGCCTTTGCAGTAGGCAGCCACAGTGGCGATTGCTTGATTGGGGACGAAATTCCAAAGCAGCGCAATCGGACGCGTACCCTGCGTATGAGTTTCGGGCGTCTGGTGGTCTAATTCTTGGCTTTTCTTGGAGATGTGCGGACAAAAGTACAGGTACCCTACGAAACGTACACCCTAGTATGTCAAGGTCGAGCCGTGCAAGGTCACCATCGGCTCGCAGGCATCAAGCAATTTAACCTCCTTCACGGGCTATCAGCCCTCTGCGTATGTATTGAAATACTTGCATCGCCCGGCTCCCCCGTTGCCGCCCCAATTGCGTTCGACGATCAGCCCCACGCAGCTCTCGGCCTCTCTCTCCACAGCCAATTTTGCATGAGCCTGCCCGTGTTGATTGGCTGGTGACACGGGATTGACGCTAGGGGCAAGAGGAAGCAAAAGGCAGAGGTGTTTCAATAGCGACACGCCAGGAGACTTCAGCTGGATACCTTGACTAGTGCGTGCTAGGCCCCTTCCCCTCTCCTCCAATGGGCGCTTCGTCCCTCACTATTTATATCCTCTTTTTTTTTTTTTTTTTTTTTACACTCGTAACGAAGGGCCCTGTAACTGCGTACGGTGTACTCCGTACAGCTTGTACAATGAGAGCATGGGACTCGATAGCGCTCCTTTTGGGGCTCGCCAGGACCATTTGGGTTTAAGGATCTCCCCGATAGCCACTTGGGCCAACGATCTGGACCCTGCGGGAGCTCTGCGCCCCGAATCTCATGAAACGAACGACTCCGACGAACGCTGGGGGGCCTGAGGGGGGGAACAGCAATCTTGGGAGATAGGTAACTAATCGCGAAGCTTACGAGAGGAGGCTGTACCAGGATTACGACGCAATGTCCCTTTAACCCCTTTGACTTGAGCGGACCCCCCAGCGTGGCGTCCGCAGACCCACCATGTCAAGCGAGATTTGCCTGCCAAGTGATTGGATCCTGGCTTTAGACTCATTGGTTCCTGCAGTCCACTTTTTCTCCGGACGTGGCGCGATGATGATTGGTGACACGGGCTGGAACCCCAGGAGGGGCGATGCCTGTTATAGGCACCGGCCCCATTTCGTGGTGCTAATGAACGAACCGCTTTCCCTCGCGTTACCCGGTAGCAACCAGAGTAAAGTCATGACGTCCTCCAGGCGGCTAAGCCACTGGGTCGACATTTCGGATTTCACATTTTGAATTCCCCCAATTGTTTATGAAAGTAAATCCGCTACTTTTGAGGTTTGGGTACGCTGAGATAGTTACCTGGCGAAGTCCTTGCGTCGTCTACTGTCGCATAGCTCTCGCACAGCTGTCGCTTGGAAACTAGTCACCTGGAGCCCGGGTGCAACCATGGTTGGAACTCCTATAGTCCAGTTCATCTCCATAATAGCATATTAGAGTATAGCCACATGCCCGGGGCTCAGGCCAAGATCTGTCTCAGGCAGGAATCAGCCACACGAACGGCCCTCTTTAAACTCAAACAGGGCCAAAGCGGTCCTTTTCAGCCGAGTCAAGGGCGCAGGGATCGGTAATCTGTAATCGGTGACCTGTAATCTACATCCCAATTCGAGGGCAAAATGAACAACGCAAATGAGGGCCGGTAGGGCACACGATGAGAGGTAATTTCCAGCGCTGCTATTAATCAAAACAACCAATCGATAATACTGGGCTAATCTCCCGGGGCCCCAATCTCTGGGAAATCGCGCGGCCTGACTGGCTAGGAGGCCGGATGGAGCGGGTAATACGCTGGTACCAAACTTGGATTGCCTAGAGAGGAAGAGGATTGCTCTAACCTCCGCCCCTCCTGGGTTTGTATTGGGTCTTCTGTTTCCTCTTCTTCCCTTCCCTTCCTACCCTCAACCCCTCTCGCCCTTCCCTCCTTTGGCCTTCGTCGTGGCCGTCCGTTCCTTTTCCCTCGCCGTCCTATCTCCGACTCTGCCTGGTGCGGACGTTTCGATGAACGCTCGACAGTGCTAGCCGGACCTCCAGATTCTTTGAACTTTCTCTCTTCACCAGGGAAGTCCAACGATCTGGAGGTCTATTACGTCCGTCTGGATCGCTGCGTCATTTTAATTATCGCTTTTTTTTTTTTCGTTTCTTGCACAGCATTGATGGCTTCCATATCGCTTCCCCCGGCCTCTCGGTCGGGCTTTGAACAGCATTTTGATTCTTCGTCTGGCACCGAGTCCAATCGTCGCTTGACGATGCCTCATTTGCCCAATCCGCCTTTTGTCTTTCCAGCCCGAGATCCTGATGCCCCGGATACTGCGCCGGAGACTGAGGGTCATACGCCGCCGCCTCTGCCTGCCTTTTCTTTCAACCCCGGATCAGAACCACTTCCACCACCTAACAATGTACCAAGCCGACTCAACGGACATCGCAGACGGCCAAGCGAATTCGTGGGAGGTGACCAGTTGGTAACGCCAGGCGCAGGAGAATCGGAGAAGCGCGAAGAGCCTTCAGGTCCTGTTCAACCAAGTGCTCCTGGGCTCGGCCCTAGCCGGGGCCCAGGGCGCTGGGGCATGCCCATCGTCGCTCTGCCGCAGTGTCTGGCGTGGATCTGAATGCCATCCAGAGGGCACTTATTCCTAACTCAGGCTCCGAAAGCGCTCCGACTCCACCGGGAGATCCTCTGGTGAACAAAAGCCATGATGACATCTCAAAACCGCTCTCCTACTCAGCAGGGAGTCTTGGTCGCCCAACACCTCCAGCCTCCCCCCGTTTTGCAACCGTTCCGCCAGTTCCAGATATTCCCCCAGTTCCGCCTATTCCGAGCACGATTAATCTTCAACCGGCTCCGAGCGACGACGAGGAGAAGCCAAGTCGCCCCGTTTCTGCAATTTTCCACCCACCTCCAGATTCTCCATCATCGGTTCTGTTCGAGCCTCCAGAGATTCCAGCGCCGCCAGTAATCCAGGAACCACCTCCTGACCGCAAGATCAAGCCGAGGCCAAAGACCGCCGATGCATCTTTGGCATTCCAACTGATGCAGAGCCAGGAGTCGTCGAAAGACTCTCCTGTCAAACGTTCTAAATCGACTGGAAATCGTCGCGCTCGAAAGAGCATGTCAAACCTGCTTGATATTGCCCTCACGAATCACGGATTAATCGATGACGCTCATTCTACTGACACCTCACGGCCCTCTTTGTCTGACGATGGATCTGAAACCGCTAGCGACGTTGACGATGGTGACGAGTCAAAGCCACGGTCCAAGTCCAAGAAGAAGCAAAAGCGGGTGCGATCGTGGGCTGGTTCCTTGCTGACTCGCAAGGCTAAACATCAAAAAGACAAGAAGCAGAGACCCCCGGCCTTGACTCCCCCGGCCCTTTCACGGACCAACTCTGATGTGGGATCGGCTATGGATGTTGATTTAGATAACGATGTTGTAGTCATTCGGACGCCCACTAATCCCGACGCCCCATCGTCTGTCCATCGCGCCGAGGGGCAACCGTCTACGTTTGCGCCTGCGCCTCCTCCTGTTCCTAGCCTGGAAACAGCATGGAAACCAAGGACTTTCTACGAACAAACGGCACAGGAGGACACGCTAAGCAGCCCGGTGATCGATCTCGATGCCGCGTTGGGCCCATTCAATACGCCAGATATGCGCCCGGCCCGTGGCACCCCAAGCAAGTTCGTCCTGGCAACACAAAACATGTACAGTGGTGGCCGACGTGGTGAATTCGTTGGCCCTGAGATGCGATACCACCGCCGTACAGAAAGTGCCCCAGTTATGCAACCGTTTGATCGAAGCGCATTCACCGCGACCCGTCTGGGCGGTGCTGCTCCTGACACTCCAGATGTATTCTACGAAGAAGAGGAAGACGCCTTCCTGGCTGCCAATCAATCACCCAAGAACGAGCCAGCCCCGGGGGCAGCAGAAGCGGCCGCAGACTGTTCTATCGATGCTCGAGTGGAGACTCCCCTAGCTGCTATGGGGGATGATGAGAAGTCAACCAAGTCCGTCCAGAGTAGTGATTCCGCCGATACTTTAACTCGTGCCCCAACACCGGCGCCTAATCCCCAGCAAGCTGGGCTTGGGATCCAGTCTACAGCCGACCGGCCTTCAAGTGAGAGTCAAAGCGAAGACTCAAAGGGAAAAGATACTATCGAATTCCTGCCGCTTGCCAAAAACCCTTCGCCCTTTCCCCCTCGCAGCCCCGTGGAGATCCTCAAATCGGAAGAATGCGCTCCCAAACAGACGGGGCAACTGAGCCCCGATGTATCACCCCGGTTTTTAGCCGTTGACAAGCGACCAGCAACATCGCCTAATGAATTACTGCCCAGCCTCCAGCCCAGCCTTCCGCCCTTCTCATTATCAGCAGGCGTTTCACCGTCTGATTCGTCTTTCCCGTCTCCTGATGTGCCACGATTTTCCGATCGCAACTTTTCCAGCTATTCCCATCACCATCTGCCCTCCGACTATCAATACGCTTCGGTCGAAGACGTGCCGTCTTTGACGAGCAGCGCCTCCACTATGACCAACACCCTGGGTCGGTTCTCTGCTTCTTTCTTCCCTCGTGCTCGCCTCTCGACCGACCGTGCTGCATCATTTTCCGCGACCGTTCATCGTCGGAACAGTCACGCTACATCATCCAAACGGTCTAGCCTGGCAAGTTTGTCGAAGCTAGTCGGAGGCCCCAATTCCGAGCGAAGCAAGCTTAGTCAAGAAGAGAAACCGCCGAGTGATATTCCCGAAAAGAATAGAAGGAAGAGTCGTCGACTGAACCGTCTGATGCATTTTTGGAAAGTGAAAGACAAGGAGAAGTCGACCACTGATCCGGCCGGCCCGTCGGAGCCATCTGTTTAATGGTGTCAAGTTCCCCCCTCTTGTCTCGGTGCATTGTATTTCTGATTTCACGGCGCACATCTCGGCATAGCGAATCCTTGCCTTTAACACTTGTTTTCTTCCCACCGCATCTCGTCCTCCACCTTGCCGACTTTCACTCATATTGATTCATTTTTACCAATTGGGATGTACATATTTGCCTCTGGTCTTTTTTAACTTTCTTCGTGTGGATTGCTTTATTTGTTATCCTCGCTCTGACGGTGATTGTCCCGCCTCCTACCCCTTGTGTCACTGCGGACTTCCATCACGAATCTCTTTACCCCCCAGGTCACTGTAGCTGGTGCCTGAGTACGACATGCCCTCAATTTCTTGTTCATCATTTATGTATCGGTGTGAGCGACGCACGGATTGATTGAACCTTCTCTACGATCGTTGTCCTTGTGGACCTTGACCTTTTCATTGCCACATTTTATCTTCTCTATTTCTTCTGATGGCGGATTGCCTGAAATATTATTGTCGCCTCTATTCTGATGGCGCTTCTTACTCTTCATTCTGGTATTCTATGGCGTGGGCGTTGTATCTAGTTTCGAACCAAGGGCAATTTCACTTTGATAAGCCGCGATAAGCCCAAAAAAAGCTGTCCCTTCGTAAATTTCCCCGCGCCGGGAGCCCGCGCAGCTGCCACAACCCCAACTTGCCTTCGAGCTCGGGAGAAGCTACTTACTCGTAGCCAGCACAGCAAATCCCCAAAATAAGTCTGCAACCTCACCATCTCGAGATCTCGGGGCAATGCCACCCCCGCGCCAGGGCGACCGCAAAAGGCAGCCCGCAAACCCCAAACCACGTCCTCACTCGCAAAAACAGCCCAATCGCAAACAAGAGCAATCAAAAGATAAGCATGCCGAATCAACCGACCTCGACTTCTCACCCATCCACATATCCCTCCAACAGCTCCTCCTCGATGTCTTCAAGACCGCACTCCTGGACGAGCCCTCTCCAACCCCTCGCCGAGACGACGACTCCGAACACAGGCCCGAGTCCCTAGACACAAAGTCTCTCATTCAAACTATCAAATCGCACCTCTACCAGCGCGACTTTGACTCTGCCTTTGCCGATGCAGGCGAGGATCTCTTGCGCGCGTACGCTTTACGCTGGAGCGCTGCCCGCGCATTGGGGTATGCGGGGCTTTTCAAGGGCGTGCTGGCCTGGATGAAGCAGAGCGATAGTGCGAAAGACTCGGCCCAAGCAGATCCACGGATCAATCGGCCCACGCGGGCGGTTTGCATTGGCGGTGGTGCGGGGGCTGAGATTGTCGCTTTGGCTGCTGCGTGGAGGGACTTGCACGTCAACACCGGGGACGCAGGATGGGAGCAGCGCGTGGCTGTTCTGTCTTTAGCAGAGCAACAGGAAGATCAAGATGGCGGTGCATCACTAGCAGGCGAGTCCGTCGAGGGCGGTCCTGCTCGGGGGGGACTCTTCACAGAGACCGCCATTGTCAATTGCAGCTGTCGATATCGCCGACTGGTCGAGTGTTGTTGAGCGATTATCGAGGACGATTTCCGCGGGAGATGTCCCTGTGGTACCGTCACTAAAATACAAACCACCTCTCGTTCCGTCCTCGACGGCATTGGAGGTTACGTTCCGCCGCGCAGACGTGCTCAGCCTCCCTCAGGAAGAACTGGAAGGAGTCGTCTTGGGCCAACCGCGTAGCGACCCGCTGCCCTCTATCCTCGTGACGTTGATGTTCACCCTCAACGAGCTCTTCTCGACGTCAATGGCCAAATCTACCGGTCTCCTCCTCCATCTTTACAGACATCATGCCTCCCGGCTCTGTGCTCCTGGTCGTTGACAGCCCGGGTAGCTACTCGACCTTGAAACTGGGCAAGGGCAAGGATGGAGCCGCGCAGGAGAGGCAGTATCCCATGAAGTTCCTGTTAGATCATACGCTTATGTCTGTGGCGGAGGGGAAATGGGAGTGTGTTTTCTCGCAGGATTCGCGGTGGTGGAGGCGAGATGCAGCGCGGCTAAGATATGAGGTTGGGGAGGGTGCTGGGTTGGAAGATATGCGTTTCCAGGTGCATTTATATCGGAGGTTATAGCATTCGACGCTTGGTTGTTCTAGGAAGACAGGACTAGTCTTTGTTAATCATTATTCAAGGAGATCCCCTGGTGGGATGCGGTCTTCGTTTATATTGATGCTTGACCTGTACAGCTAAGTAATTTGGGGACTTCCTCCCCTATCGTGATTACGGGTCTATAGATGTGGAGCGTACGGCGTGCGGAAAATGCTGATATGGAGGAGAGGTATGGTATTGCTACAGGTTGAATCAAACCCCCAGACCAGCAGCCTGAGGTAAAACGCCCGGTTCAAGCACAGCCGAGATGGCGCTCAGACACGGCGTGCAATTAAATGGTACAGTTCTTATAGTTCTCTTTTTTCCCACCCCCTTTTAAGTACGCAGACCAAGTAGGAGGCTAGTGCTCTTGCCGCCATCCTTTCCCTCGCCACCAGGCAGATATGTGACGTTAGGGTTGGTGGACAGGGTGTTAGCGATCTCGCGGCTAGCTTCGATACGACGGATCTCAATTAAGCCGTTACCAGCCTTGGCCACAGCCTTGGAGATAATGTCGGCACTCTCAGCTTCACCCTCTGCACGGATGACATTGGCTTGGCGCTCCTGCTCGGCGCGCTCGACGATGAATCGCGCGCGCTCGGCGTCTTGCTGGGCGATCTGCTTCTGCTCGACGGCACGGGTGAATTCCTTTCCGAAGGTCATGTGGGTGATGGAGACGTCTTCCAGGGCAATATTGAACTGCGAAGCTCGCTTGAGGAGGTCTGTTCGGATGCGGTTGGAGACGGCTTCACGCTGGGTGATCAGCTCGGCGGCGTCGAATTGGGCGACGATAGCCTTGAGCACTTCGTTACCGATGGAGGGGAGGACACGCTCATCGTAATCGGTACCGTATGACTATGACGGAGAGTGTTAGTATGCCGGTGAAGTTCCTGGTCAGGGAGAGCGAAGCTCTCTGGTTTTGATGGAGATCTTCCGTACTTGATAGATTTGCGGGAGCTTCGGCACATCCGGACGGTGCAGGACACGCAGGGTCAAGCTGACCATCTGCAGATCTTTACTTCCGGTTGTAGTGGAGATATTGCGTGGCTTTGTTCGCACATCGTAGAGGATGGCCCGTTGGAGCCAGGGGATGAGGAAGTGAGTGCCTTCGTTGACGACTTGCTCCTGCACACCAGACAGACGATCGAAGATGACCGCCCGCTTTCCACCCTGCACATCGTAGATGGAAGCGTTGACAAACATGGCGCCGAGCGCCACGGGGCCGGCCAGCCGGTAGACGTTTTGAAGAACCTTGGCCATGGTTGGGATGGTGGAGGGGGGGGGGGAGGGAGCTGCTTGATGGGCTGGAGCGTAACAAATGGATGATGCCGGGCTTTTCTGGCCCAATCGGGTTTAGCGTCAGCCCGTCCAACTTCGTTCCCGACCTCGAACGTCTTTTCCTCAATCCGCCCTTACCTGCACTCTCTCTCCCATCTCTCTCTCTTTGCTCTACCGCTTGAACTCGTTTCACAATGGGTGGCACTGTCGATCCTAAGAACGGCCAGTAGGTGTTCCCTTTCCCTTCCAAGGTCCTGTTGGTGGCTTGGAGAGGCGATGGTTGTCCGGGTGAACCCGCTTGGTCGAGCAACCAGACAAAGACTCCCCTCCAGAAGCGCTGTTGCCTCGACCTCAATTCGGCTCGATCATCTGGTTCCTGAAAAGCTAACAATTGACTTCTAGTTTCATCGGCAACTGGGGTGAACTCGGTATGTGAATTGAGCCATGTCACACTCGCTCCCGCACACTACCCGGACCCTCTCCTCTCTCCAATCCGATATAAACAATCCAGACGAGGAACACTAGAGCTCTCGACAAGTCGAATCTGATACTAATGTGCTGGATTTCAGGCTGCCCTACCCCCCAGCGCATTGCCACCTACTCCCTGTCGTCCAACCGTCAGCGCCCCTTGGCCGGTGCCGGTCACGCTGCCATCTTCAACACCTTCCGCCGCTTCCGTCACCAGGTCCTTTACGTTGCGCCTCCCTTCATCATTGCCTACGCCGCCATGAACTGGGCTATTGAGCGGTAAGGAACCCCCCCCCCGCCCTGGGTTGACCCTGGGTTAACCCGGCGATTGCACGGCCAGGACCTGTTTTTGCTGACTCGTTTCTGTTCTAGCAACGAGTACCTGAACTCCAAGCCCGGTCGTATGCTTGAGCCTCAAGAGGCCGAGTAAGCGTGTCTGGTGTCGGAGGGTAATTTCGTTTGAATTTGGATTATACCGAGTGCGCATAGGATATCCGTGACGCACGGCTGTATCAACTGTACAGTAACTAGAAAGCAATTGACCATTTGAAGGTTTCCTTTGTCCTTGAAAGGTTTCTTTCCAATTCCATACTGTTATTCGTGATTGTAGTTGAGATCACTGGTCGATCGACCTGGGAAGATACAGAATGACCAGTCAGCGTGAATTGGGAAGTTCTGATTGGCCGATTGCGGGACACCGCCCCACTCTTACTAGTTGATGATCTTATGGTCCATCTTCACTCTCTAAGGGCATGCCTTGAATGTAATATAGGAAGCGTCTGTTGGGAGAGCAGGGCTACAGTACTCGGGGCATATAACAGAAGAGATGCGACAGGAGGGCGTTCGGCTGAAACCAAGCCGGCCTCGCATGGTCGGCAAACATGCCCATACTTCGGAGGGAAACTTCCAGGATTATCAATGAGGCTAGGCTGGAGGGGTGATCTGCAGGAACTCCAGTGACGTCCAAAGTACTGGTGATGAGAGGCCCGGGCGATGTTGTTTGGGGAGTGTGCCAATAGCGAGCCAACCCTAGTGATCTGATCCAGGTCTTGCCGGTGCTCATCAAGTCCTAGCGACCCAACGGCTAACTGAGCGGTTGCAGTTGAGCTGCGTGCTGATGATCTTATTCAGGTCCCAGCGAGATGAGTCGAGTCCTGGCGGGCCCTGCGTCTTGCGTGCGGATGCAGGAGGTCAGCCAGCCAGCTCTGCCGTCCGCGGTTTTACGAGCACTTGTAGATCGGAACCCCCACAGTGCGTCATTTTCCCTGGCAATGTGGCTCCCTGTATGCAGTTCCTATCGCAAGCGTGTGCACTGCTGCAGTTTGATTGGTATCCCGCGCTTCCCATAAATCTGCTAGCCGTGATTGTGCCCGCTTTTCAGACAAGGCTTTATGCACATCCAGATAGGCGAGACGCCATTTGACTTTAGACTGGTAAGGATAGCAGACCTCTCACAAATCTCTCAGCTTCCAATTTATTGGGTGCATGTTCCTGAAGACTAGCCCTGCCGTTGTGGCATGTACCATTCTGGTCAGCGGTTCAATTGATCTCCAAGAATTGTCTATTGGGAGGACCTGAGTCTTATAGACACTGGAGGACCAGAATGGAACAGGTAGGACCAGCTATCATACGATCTATAGCTTTATCATTCACACAAGCCTCGTCACTCCTACCCCGCCGCATCATCCCGCAGTGGACTCTCGACGTCAGTATCCAGCAGCCCCTCAGCAAAAGGACCACAAGGCCCAGATCCATCCAGATCTTGGCTGATCATCTGTCTTGCGCAAACAAAAATCCAAGAAATGGCATTTGGGTAGCAATGGGAAGAGCTTGCGGGCTGCGTCGCTGGGGCCCGAAGCGTCCCCACTTGGAAAAGCAAAAAAAAATTCGCCCAAAATAGTCAAACTTCCGCCGATGCCTTTTTCTTCTTGAATGCTTCGTGCTCGTCCTCTTCGTCTTCCCTCAATTTCAATTCTTTCGCTTCAGGCCCTTTACCACCTTTCCATCCATCATGAGCGAGATCACCCACCCCACCATCAAGGGTATGTATTCCCGAGTGTTGCTCTTGTCTCTTCTACCCCGCCATCACCCCGCGCCACATTGACATGCAACCAATTGCTCTCCCTTGGAAATCCCCCGCTTCGACGGCTAACCATATCCCATTCGTATCTTAGATGGCTGGTTTTCTGAGCAGTCTGACATGTGGCCCGGCCAGGCCATGAACCTCAAGGTCAACCAGATCCTGCACCACGAGAAGTCCAAGTACCAGGATGTCCTCGTCTTTGAGAGCAGCAACTACGGCACTGTCCTGGTTCTGGACAATGTCATCCAGTGCACCGAGCGTGATGAGTTCTCCTACCAGGAGATGATCACCCACCTTGCCATGAACTCCCACCCCAACCCCGAGAAGGTGCTCGTCATCGGTGGCGGTGACGGTGGTGTTCTGCGTGAGGTCGTCAAGCACGAGACCGTCAAGGAGGCCATTCTGTGTGACATTGACGAGGCCGTCATTCGTGTCTCCAAGAAGTACCTCCCCGGCATGAGCATCGGATTCCAACACCCCAACGCCAAGACCCACGTCGGCGACGGCTTCGAGTTCCTGAAGAATCGCCAGAACGAGTTCGATGTGATTATCACCGACAGCTCCGATCCCGAAGGTCCAGCCGAGAGTTTGTTCCAGAAGCCCTACTTCGAACTGCTGAGTGGGGCCTTGCGCGAGGGGGGTGTCATCACCACCCAAGGTTGTTCGTTGCCTTTCCTTTGTCTCTCTTATCTCTTTGATTTCTTTGTTTCCTTTATGCGTGTAGCCCTCGGCGTGTTTACCCCGTCCCCTCTTCATCCACGAACTTCGATTTTTGAGTCCTTGATAACTGAGACATCGGGCTTTCCCCGATTTGATATGACATTTGGCTAACTTCATCGCACCACCTCCCGTAACCCCGCTTGTCGGGCCTGGGTTACGGGGCCTGCATTGTTTGTCCAACAGCCGAGAACCAATGGCTCCACCTTGAATTGATCACCGGCCTCAAGAAGGCTTGCAAGGAGGTCTTCCCCGTCGCCGAGTACGCCTACACCACCATCCCCACCTACCCCTCCGGCCAGATCGGCTTCATGGTCTGCAGCAAGGACCCCAACGCCAACCTCAAGGAGCCTGTCCGCACCTGGTCCCGCGAGGAGGAGGAGCGCCTGTGCCGCTACTACAATGCCGACATCCACCGTGCCAGCTTTGTTCTCCCCAACTTTGCTCGCAAGGCTTTGAACTAGAATGGATATCATTGGACGGGTGGCTTTGCTTCAAATTTCGGTTATGCTAGTATAAAAGACAAAAAGGGTTGAGTGCCAATATGGAATCTATTTACGATGAATGCGATACCCGGGCGTAGTCTTGTTCATTGTTCTGTAGTCCAGAGTTTAGGCCGGAGGAGTAGGGCCTGAAGCCCTAAAGGAGGGATGACGGGTAGGCAATATAGGCGTGGCATTTCTACGAGTACGTTTGTTTTGTCAGGCTGAATGCCAGGTGCCCTAATTTTCTCTGACATAGTACTGGGCTAATAAAGAACCCATCTGTACTTCGAGGCAACATTGAACCCCAAATCTCCACCTTGGAGAAACTCAAATCCACTGAATAGACTACTACTCAATTTTCTAACAATCCTAACTTTCCCTTTGAACAGAGAGGGCGAAAGCATCCACAAGTATCTATCTGATCCTCAGCTGCAGCCAGATTACTAGGGAACAAGTTCAATAGTTGCCAGGCTACGAGAGACAGCCAAACCAGAGAAAGAGCATGAAAATGAAACAGAATCCTAGGAAGTAATTGAGTCCAATCCTATCACCTGAACAGACATCAGACGAGACATGAGGTCGTCATACGTCAGATGATAGGTCGGATTTCTGCAAAAACATATAATCTATCTCGTCCTGAATAGCGATGACTACTGACTTGAACTTCACAGAATACTTCGTATCAGATTGGGATTCAATGTCATCCGAATCACCATCCAGATACCAGAAGAAGTCTCTACCATGCGTTTGAAACCAGTTTACACCACATTTTACCTTTCCTCACCGATAGTGACTTTCCCGAATTTGGCTTAGTGAGGTACATATTAGGTCTAGTGTCCCCGCTCTAGCTTAGCCCTGATAGACATGCTCGAGTACCACCAGGAACTACAAGCAACGTCAGGCCTATCCATCATGCCCCATTCACATATGGAATCACAAAATTGAAGTTGAAGCAGCTGTATTGCTTTCCCTGTATTATTCTCACTACAAGACACTATTCTAATAGTCGCGCAGACTCGATGCCGACCGATCCGCTTTGGTATAGAGTTGCCGGCGAGCTTCCCACATCCTCACTCACCTTGCCTGCAATACCAATTAAAAGAAAGCCATTGGCCTTGTAAAAACATACCGCGGAAGCATCTACTGTAGACGTTAAGATCCGAAGTAACCGAATCATTGAGCCGAGGCTTGACCGACTCCACTCCCCACTTTCCATATAACCTCTTTCATTGTTCACGACACGCTTTTGTTTCGCGCTGCGGAAGCCGCGGAAGATAATTCGAAGGCTCGATGCCCCTATTTGCATGAATTAGACCCATAAAACGGGCTCGCGAGAGAAACCACGCAATATGTAAGGCAATCGCGTAGGGAATCGAAGAGGATCCAGCGATTAGTTTGATTCTCTTGCTACCATCGAGTATTCCTCTCCGAACGCAGTAGTATCGGCCTCCTTCAGTCCTATCCTATCCCCATCTCCGAGCCTAGTGAATAAAAGGCTTCACATTCATCCTCTGTCATCCTCGCAATTCCACCACACCTCCTCAGTTATATATATATCAAACCATGTCGAGCCCAAGCCCACCCCACCACATCGCCCTCCTAGGCGGCGGGACCATCGGCCTGTCAATGCTCGCCCTGCACCTCCGTCGCCCAGACACCAAAGTCACCCTCTACGACCCGCGCCCCGACATCGAAACCCAGCTCCGCGAATCCCTCCCCACCTTCCTCACCCTCCCCGACACCACCCCGGACACCCTCGTCGACACCCTCCTCCGCTCTGCCCGCCTCACCATCCCCCCTCCCTCGAAGCAGCCGTCACCACCGCGACCATCATCCAGGAACAATCCCCCGAAAGCCTGCCCTCCAAGCAAGCCCTCTGGACCTCCGTCGCCCACTCCGCCCCTCCAACCGCCCACCTCTGGAGCTCCTCCTCCGGCATCCCCGCGTCCCAGCAAGCCGCCACGGCCGGCCCCGCCGTCGCAGCCCGCCTGCTCGTCGTCCACCCCTTCAACCCGCCGCACCTGATGCCGCTCATCGAGATCGTGCCGGGCCCGGACACGGCGCTCCCGCGCGTGGACTTCGTCACGGAGTACTTCGGCGCCGTGCCTGGGCCGGCGGGCGTCCGGGGCGCCAGCGACGCGGCGTCGAAGCACTACCGGCCTGTGGTGCTGGGGAAGGAGATGCCGGGCTTTGTGGGGAACAGGCTTGCGTTTGCGCTGCTGCGGGAGGCGGTGTATTTGGTCCAGGAGGGGGTGGTCTCCGTGAGGGATCTGGATAAGTTGATGATGGCCAGTCTGGGGCCCCGGTGGGCGGGCAGTGGGGTGTTTGAGAGCTATCATGCCGGGGGTGGGGAGGGGGGCATTGCGGCGATTCTCGAGAAGTTGGCGCCGACGATCGGGGAGGTGTGGCGCGATTTGGGGCAGATTGATTTTTCGGCGGGCAAAGGGGAAGGGAAGGAGAGTGAGAATGAAGGGTGGAGGGATGTGGTTGTGAGGCAGACGGAGGAGGCGTATGGGCCTTCGGTATCGGTTGAAGAGAGGACGAAGAAGGGGGAGATGTTGAGGGGGGTGATTGATTTGCAGAAGCAGAATTTGTGAGGGAGGGACGCAGTACTGAGTATCTAGATGGTCTACGACGTTACTGCAGAGTAGGGAGGGTTGAGGGAGTGTGGGGCGTATTATATAGTAACAAAGCTTTAAAATTCTTAGACTTCGTTCTATTTCATTCATTCTTAAAATCTCGAGTCATCAGGGCTGTCGCCTCTTAAACTAACAAATCCAAAAAAAAAAGAAAAGAAAAGAAAAGAAACATTTTCACGCCAATGCGGCAATCCCTTACAGAAGCTGCTGGAAAGCACGGTTGACGGGAGAGCGCACCTTGTGGCCCTTGTAGAAGTCGATGGTGGCAAGAGCACGCTTGCTGATGCCCTCGGGGGTGAACTCGAACTTCTCGTAAACCTTCTTGTAGGGGCCGGAGGCACCGAACCGGTTCAGACCGAACTGTTCGTGCGAGTAGCGCTCCCAACCCATGGTGGACAGAGCCTCGACGGACAGAACGGGGATACCGTCGGGCAGGACGGACAGGCGGTAGGACTTGTCCTGAGCATCGAAGACCTCGAAGCAAGGGATGGACACCACGCGAGCGGCCACGTTGTGCTTCTCCTTGAGGTAAGCGGCGGCCTCGATGGCGATGCTGACCTCGGAACCGGTGGACACAATGGTGATAGCGGCGTTGGGGGTGTCCACAGCGACGTAACCACCCTTGATAGCGTTCTCCAGAGTGGAGTTCTCCAGCTGGGGCAGGTTCTGGCGGGTCAGGGCCAGGATACTGGGGGGTCTCCTTGGAGGTCAGGGCCATGTAGTAGGCAGCGCTGGTCTCGTTACCATCCGCAGGGCGCCAGACCATGCAGTTGGGGAGAGCACGGAAGTGAGCCAGGGTCTCAATGGGCTGGTGGGTAGGTCCATCCTCACCCAGACCGATGGAGTCGTGGGTCGCGACGTGGATAACACGGACGCGAGAGAGAGCGGAGAGACGGACGGCACCAGCGGCGTAGGAAACGAAGTTCAGGAAAGTACCACCGGCGGGGATGACGGTTCCGTAGGCGGCCAGACCGTTCATGACAGCAGCCATGGCGTGCTCACGGACACCGTAGCGCATGTAACGGCCGGACCACTCACCAATGCCGTACTCGGGGGGGCTGGAAGTCCACAGCGTTCTTCCAGCGGGTGTTGTTGGAGCCAGTCAAGTCAGCAGAGCCGGAGAGCAGCTCGGGGATGACATCGTGGATCTTCTCGAGGACGGCCTCGGACAGCTTGCGGGAGGCCACAGCAGGGTCGCTGGGCTTGTAGGTGGGAAGGGCCTTCTCCCAGCCCTCGGGGAGCTTGCCGGAGAGACGGCGGGCAAGGTCCGCACCCTCGTTGGGGAAAGCCTGCTGGTACTTCTGGAAGAGCTGGTTCCACTCCTGCTCCTTAGCAGCACCCTCCGCAGCGTGCTGGTGGTAAAGGTCGTAGACCTGCTGGGGAACGACGAAGCTCTCCTCGGGGTTGAAACCGAACTGAGACTTGACGTGCTGAGCATCGTCCGCCTTGAGGGGGTTTCCGTGAACACCGCCGGTACCGGCGAGCTTGGAGCCGAAACCAATGGTGGTGGTCAGGCGGATCATGGAGGGCTTGTCCTTGACGGACTGGGCCTCCTTGATGGCAGCCTCGATACCTGCGAGGTCGTTGTCACCATCCTTGACCCAAACGGTGTGCCAGCCGTAGGCCTCGAAACGCTTAGTGACGTCTTCAGTGAAAGCGCACTTGGTGTCGCCGTCTATTGGACAGATGGGGAGTTAGTTCAACCCTTTTTTTTTTTTATATTTTTTTTCCAACCCCTTTAGGACATATATTGCACGGTGGGCTTACCAATGGAGATGTGGTTGTCATCGTAGATAGCAATCAGGTTGCCCAGCTTCAAGTGGCCGGCTAGGGAGGCAGCCTCACTGGCAATACCCTCCATAGCACAGCCATCACCGAAGAAGGTGTAGGTGTGGTTGTTGAAAAGCTCGTAGCCGGGCTTGTTGAAGACACCGCCAGAGTGGGCCTGGGCGATGGCGAGACCAACAGCGTTGGAGAAACCCTGGCCGAGGGGACCGGTGGTGACCTCGACACCAGGGGTATCGTGGGCCTCGGGGTGACCGGGGGTGATGCTGTCGAGTTGCTGTACAGGCAGATTAGCATCTTGCGGAAGCTTCGCAATTTGCTCTATTACTTACACGGAAGTTCTTCAGGTCATCCAGAGTGATCTTGTAGCCGAACAGGTGCAGGAGAGCGTACTGCAACATGCAACCGTGGCCGTTGCTGTACAATTGACGTTGTTAGCTGTCGATTTTTTCCAACTGGAGCTGATTGGCGCGGGTTAGCGCCGCGGAAGAGAGCTACATACGAGAGGACGAAACGATCGCGGTTAACCCAGTCGGGGTTCTGGGGGTTGAAGTTCATGAACTTGTTGAAGAGAACGTGGGCCACCGGGGCCATGCCCATAGGGGCACCGGGGTGACCGGAGTTGGCCTTAGAGGTGGCATCAACCTGCAAACAGAGTCAGCGATGCCATTCCACTAGAAGCGCAAGGCAAGCGCAAGGCAAGCCACAAAGGAGCACAAGGCTGAAGCAAGCTCTAGACCCTCATCGGAAAAGGAGGGGATCCGATTGCGCGTCCAGGCCTCTTCCACCGAGCATCCCCCCGGGGCGAGAATGGAAAGGTGACATACCGCGAGAACACGGATGGTGTTAATCGCCAACTGGTCCAGATCAGTATAACCCATGATGACAGATTCTAGAGAAAGTCAGTGCGGAGAGCTTTCAGGAAGAAGCACGAGAACCTACTCAGGGGACAATTGGTATAGAGAAAGAAGGTGGGAGGAGAGACGAGAGGAGGTATTTGTTGGTGGGGGTGATGATGTCGGTGGGGCAGGCCCGCAACAGCCCGGACGCTGCGTTTTCTAGTTACGTCCAGCTACGTTGTCCCTTCGATTTTTAGCGCCCAGAAGCACGGCAGAGCCAATTGAAAGACTCTATTTCTACACGGCGTAGATGGCCTAGTACCAATTGAACTGTTCCAGTCCCACTAGACTATTTCCTGTGCTAAGGGGAGACCAAAGCTCATGGAGGGGCACCTAAGCTGAGCGATAGATGACTCAGCGAGGGGCATTTCGCAAGATATTTCAAAGACGCAGAAACTCCGGTGTCTACCGGAAGGCAAAGGCTAATGGGCAGTGGATCCATCTTTAGCCGGGGCACATTGGGCGGGAATCACTGAAATAGGAGTTGCTGATGAAGCTGATCTGGTGACAAGCTGCTTCTACACCGGGAGCCGGAGGACCCTGCTCCGCCCAGGGACCGGTGGAAAAGTCGCCGATCTGGGCTCTGATTCTTCAAAGCAGTCCAGATATGACAGAAAACTGATTGACAAGACGCCTGGGATATCCTGGTCGGGTTCTTTTGCCCTGCGGTCTGATCGGCTTCCCCAATCAGGCCAACCCGAATCGGTGAGCAGATCTGCAGGAAGAAGCAATATGGAACTCCGAAGAAACAATTTGAAGAGTTTCCCTCAATCCCCACTAGAGGAAGACGTCTCACGAGTTGGGGATCTCGGTGAAGTTGGAAGCTCTGGGGGCGGACCATAGCCGCGCTGGTTCATCTCTTCCCAGGGCGGATACGTGGGTTATAGATGGTCTATAGATCAATTTCAAAGGCATAGAGCATAGAAGTACGGGGAATAGTACGTCAACTTGAACCAGTTGGGGGTTGATCCGGCCAAGAGCCAATGTAGCCTTTACCAGTGAATCCGTCTGGGCGATTCCTAATGGTCCGTAGGATGATGTCCCCGAAGACACGGAATTATGGAGCCTTTCTTTCATCACGGAGGGGTTCAGTCCGAAGATGAATTTTCACCCCTGTCACCACATTGCCGTCAGATATTCCCCACAGGCATTGAATTCCTTCGAGACTAACCCCGTCCCGTCACGCGAATGACGGGTGTTGGAAGTGCCGAATCCGGGAGCATTGCATACGATAGGAGTGGGTCGGGATCCCATACAAAAGTCGAAACTCGTGTCCTGCTCCAAATGACAGAATTCAAGTTGAAAGGAGATATAGGATAATATTAGCGAATTACAAGCCATTGACGATTTGTTATCTTTCGGGTCACAACGCTATTTCCCATCACTGGATCATGATGTACACAACTAGAAGTACAGTCCCATTCCCGGAATAGATTCGAGTCATCCCAAGCTTCTGACCGGTTATAGATCTCAGAAAGGAGGGACCACATCTTGAGGCAACCGCCTATACATCCGGTACCGTAGGAACATCGTGATCGTCACTGGGCCTCTCGGCTTCGGCAACGTGAGAAGACGATCCAGCACCAGCGTGACTGCTCTTATCAAAAGAGCCGCGCATGATACCAGCATCAGCCGGGAATTGGAACTTCGTGCTCTTCCACGGCTTGACATTCATAAGATACATGGTATCTATCTCCTCAAGCGTACGCCCTTGGCCTTCAATGACAGCCACGTAGACGAGCCCAGCCGCGAGGAAGAGACATCCGGCGAACACGTACCCATATCGAAAGTCAATAGCGTCGGTGATAAACGGCGTGAAGAAGGCGAGGAGGAAGTTCCAGAGCCAATTAGACGCCGTCGCGAGGGACATGCCCCGAGCTCGATATTGCGATGGGAACAGCTCGGCGATAATCGTCCATACCATAGGGCCCCAGGTACTCGCGAAGCCGAGAATAAAAAGACAGGAAAATACGACCATGACCACCCCGGCAGTCTGGGTCCTCTCGGGATGCAGTCGGTCCAGAGAGAAGTGGCCCACGGAGGCGAAGATCATGAAGCAGACGAACATCCACAGTGCGCCGACAATGAGAGATCGGCGGCGACCGTAATGCTCGATCAAGTAGAGGCCGAGAAAGGTGGTACCGAAATTCACGCCTCCCAGGATCATCTGCGTGACATAGCTGTTGGGGATTCCGGCGCCCTTGAATACAACCGTTCCGTAGTAGAAGAAGTAATTTGCGCCAGTCAGCTGCTGCAGTGCCTGTAAGGCGACGCCGACAACCACCCGACGGGGCATGGTCGGAGCTTTGAAGAACTGCATCCAAGTCGGATTTCCATTGCGCACTTCCTCCTCGTACTTCTCCTTGATTTCTTCGAATTCAATTTGGAGCGCACGGTGGTTTTGAGGAACACCATAGATCTTCGCCAGATTGTTCATCGCAGCGTCTACCTTATTATGTCGATAATCGAATCGGGGGCTTTCGGGGAAGAAAAGCATGCCAACGCCCAGGATCAGAGCCCATAAGTAGGTGATCCCGAGAGGAATCCTCCAGGAGCTGGTGTCGGTATTCTTTTCGGTGCCGAAATTGATGCAGTTGGCCACGAAGATTCCCAGCGTGATGAAAAGCTGGTACGTGCTAGATCAACCATCATGTCAGTAGCCTCTTCGCTAGACGTGCTGCGGAGGTATAACATACCTGACCAGAGAGCCTCTGATATGCCTTGGCCCAGACTCTGCCTGGTACATGGGTACAAGGAGCGACAGCGCACCCACCCCCAGCCCAGTAACCCAGCGGCCCATAGCGAATTGATACCATTTCCCGGAGGGCGACGAGATCTGCACGGTAACGCCGACACAGAGAATAGCACACCAAGCACTGATCGACCATTTTCGTCCCATGCGATCCGCAATCGGGGCCGCAACTAAAGCACCGATCAGAGTGCCGATGGAGAGCTATCAATGCATGCCCGTCAGCATGAGTCGTGAGAACAAGGCCATCTGCCAAGGACTTACCAAGCCAACTATCAGGCCCGAGCGGACATTGCTAAAGTGGTACGTGCCGTTTTTGCCAATTTGGCCATATCGCTGCAGGAAATCCTTCATCTCAAGGAACCCCGAGATCTGACCGGTATCATATCCAAACAGGAATCCACCCATGGACACAAAGAGACCCATGACAAGCGATCGCCATGTTACAAGCGGGACGGGCGTGTCGACGACATCGCCATGGCCTTTCTCCGAGTGCTCCCTGGTAGAGACCGATTCCCTGGGCAGATCAGTCTCCGCGTAGAGATCCTGCGGCCGTTTTCGGAATATCTTTTCAAGCATGATTGGAGCTGTAGAGATGCAGATAAGCCAAATATACTGGCACTAGTACGGATTGGATGTCTTCCAACACAGCGGCTGGGGAAACCGTCGAAAGATATAGAATATGCGGCTACCATCCATCGCATGACCAAGGACCGCCGAGACTGGGCAATACATCACACTGTCTCAGGCGTCCTTGGGGAATTGGGGATGGACAGATGGACCAATCAGGAAACTATGACCCGTTGATTCAATTGTTTGCCCATGCGGCCGAGTGCCATGCTCGGCGAAGGCGAAGAATCCGGGGATGTGGAGAGGATTGTACTCACTCCATTGGTCCACCCACCAAATGCAGCGTGGTAGAAACACGTTTGCCGGCTCCGGCTTGGGGCTGAGCAAATCATGGGGCAAGTGCTAGTTTTTCAACGTCTTGTGACATTGGTTACTAATAGTCATAGTGGTGGTTTGATGCCGTGTAATTGCATGATTTAGCAGTCTGTGGGGAGTCCCTTCTCTGGAGATGAGATCCATGATGCCGTGTGTTCCGCAGGCACGAGCTGCCAGTGCCAAAGTGGTTCGAAGTTTCAACAGGCTCGCACGTGGGCAATACCAAGATATTCGCTGAATGGCGTTGCTTGATATTATTATAGTTTATACCTTGCACGAATGAATAGAGGACATTTTTGATCATCAATCATCAGATGAAATAGAATCGACAACTATATACAATAATTAGCATGGCCCTGACGTGCATGACGTCATACATCGCAAACTCAAACCACATCGCTAACGCCTAAATACATCCTTTGTAGGATTAGAAATCATGAAAACGCCTTCCGAGGTATCATTTGACGTCCAACCAGAATATACTTCCAAAGAAAAGAAAAAGAAAACTCCGACAGAACAGCCCATATAGAGTAGATTTAGACGATAACCGGCCGATCCCATCCGTTGACCAAGGCATACTCATCCAGATCTTCCTCAGATGGCAAAGGAAGACCATTGAATGGATCCAGCATGGAACCCATATCTTCAGGAAGAAGAGGAACGTCACCGAGCTGATGAATATTGTCGTCCGCGCTACCCATGCTTTCCCCAGAATAGCTCAATACACTCTGCGCAGTGTGTGCGTTTGTAGGGTTCGGAAGATCGCCGCTGCTGGATGACCATGCCTCGGGTGAGAGGTCATGGAAGTCGTGGGATGGTATGTTCAAAGCACCATCATCGTTCGGCTTTGATTGGTAGGAAGCGGTGATGGATGCAAACGGACCGGGGTCCTCTGCACACTCGTGGCCGCCGTAAATACCATTGAAGATGTTGGAGAACCCACTATCCATGTCGCTCAGAACATGCTCCCAATCAGCCATCGTGATGACTTCACTAGCGGCATTCGATGGAGGGGAGTGCGACATTGGCCTATTATCATAACCAAGAGACGCCGGTCCCATTCGTAGATCTGAGGGTAGATCTAGAGAAGCATGCCGTGTGGCAGGGTAAGCAGCGGCACGCTGGTCGGCCTGACTGGCATGGAAACTGGCCCAGCTGGGAGATCGAAGGTTCTGCGGGCCCATTTGGGGGGATGCACCTGAGACGGTGTTTCGGCGAGAACCTGAATCTTGCTTCGGTGGCTGGCTTTTGCTTATGCTGGAAGTAAGGCGAGACTTCAGAGACTGAAACTGTTTCTTTGGCAACTTGGATGACTTGTTCTGCGAAGCCGCCAGGTCCGAGTGCGGTGGTGACTCATTGCTTCCCTCGCCAAGAGGTAAAATAGTACTCGCGAGAACGGTAAATTCACGCGCGGACGAGGACGATTCTTGTGCCAGTAGCTCAATGACATTCATAATGAGTTTCTGGCTCTCCTTGACAAGCTTGCTGTCATGGTTCAGCCCAAGGGTCTGCCATAGCAATCCGAGTCCGGAAGAAAAGACAACCTCCTTGCGGTTGATACTGATTGACAGACATAGACGGCGTTCATCCAGCAGCTGGAAAATTTGAATGATATGCTTGGATGAATCAGAGAGTGCTAGAACTGAGGGCGAACGGACGTGCTCCTCAGCGAAGCACACAGCTGGACGGTGGATCAATGAGCGAATATAGTAGTAGACAAGAGACTAGATGAGTGTTAGCAAGTGTGAGCGAATGGCTGACATCTGTGAATACTCACCAAGAGCGGGGATCGGCTGCTGGTAACATTTGTGCTAGGCTTGTCCTGTGAAAATACGAGGCGAAGGTGTGAGGGTAGGCTATGCAGCCAGGAATCCAGCTGGCTAGCCATAGCCCGGATCTTGGAGAGATTGACACTGTATCCGGACTTTGAGGGATACAGGTTTTCCAAGACCTGAGTGAGGATCCTCGACGCGCCAAAAAAGGCAAGGGCACTCGACAGACGGGTAGGTTCACCGGGAAGAGCTGGCAAAAAGCCCGCCTCAGTAACGTTCTCATCGTCGATATCAACCGGATATTCAATCTCAATATCAGATTCCCGTAACAGCATGGGCATTCCGGTCAGAGCAGTAGACATGCGGTCCAAGGTATACTGGCACCAGAAAACCTTCTTGGAGGTTTCTTCCTCTAGCCGATTCGAGGCCACATCTGCTTGACTCAGATGCAGTTCAAGCTGGTGGCAAATATCGACCGCAAGTGCTCGATAGCGGAGCAGACTGGGGTAGTCGCCCTTGGTCATACAGTAGATTTGAGCAAGGACGAAGCATTGGAGACCGGAGAGGGAGGTCTGAGATGGAGACGAGTCAAGAGAGTTTGACCATGTTTCCTCGAAGAAAGATGGATCCTGCTCAGTTCTCGACTGTATGATCCGTCAATAAATTTGTTTCATGGGGATTTGGGGTTGCCGTTATTTCCGGTGACCTACCTTGGACGATATAGCAGCGATCCCGAAAATAAGATTCAGTTGAGTCATTCGGTGCATGTTCTGCTTCAGCGACTCGGGATTATTCACATATTCCTCGTAGGCCTTCAAAATGGTTGGGCGATGAACCACCGGATACAGCGGGGCCCACTCTTGGAAGAAAATGTTGATAAGCTGATCCGATACGAGCCGGGGGGGAGGATTTATTGGCTGGTTAGGTGATCCCCGAGACACGGCCGGTGCCAATTTAGTTAAAGAATTGGTCAGGATCTTAGCATCGGATCTACCATCATTGACAAGCTTGGCAGTCAAAGTATCTGTAAGGAATATAAGTTAACTTCAGTCTCATGAACAAAACATCGCATTCAACATACCCGCATAACCTTGAGTACTGACAAATGCAGTATAAGGATTTTCAGGTGATGGTCGACTAGAGGATCGACTTGCTGCTCGTGGTACACGAATAACATCTTCGGTTTCGTTGGCGATGGCAGGTTTAGTTGGGGCGGTTGGGATCGTTGGGGGCGATCGGGAACAGGGCGACCGCTGCGATTGTGGGGAGAACGAGTGTATGCGCGACAAGACATCGATTTTTTCGTCTTTTTCATCCAATAGGTCTTTCAAGTCCTTCACTTCGGCTTCTAGTGCTCGCACGCGCTCTTCGAGCGATTCGGTATAACCTCGAGGAAAGGCTCGGCGGCTCAGTTTGTCGCTTGTCTTACATTCAAATCCGACATTGGCGCATTGTGTGCAGCAGGGGCGAACGCCATCACAGCGGATCTTTTTGCTTCGACAGCGGTCACAAGCCTGGGCAATACGGCTTTGGCTGCCAGTACCGCCGACTTTAATGACTTTCATTGGCAGAATCCCAGGCATGTTGGTGGGTCGGGCACGCCGGCCGCCTTGTTCACTTTTATAGTTCGTATAGAGGGATTGACGGCAGTTGATACGCAGGGTGATTGCGTCGTCGAGGGGAGAAAGTGTGTCAGGAGAAGATGATGAAAAGTAAATTGAGGGGAAACACTAAGGCCCCGACCCCGGGGATACGATACAGATGAGTCAGCAGGTAAGCGGAGACCTCGGGACCAATAATCCTGGCCACAGTCACTACCGGCCAATCAACACGAGGCCATTTGAGGTATCGTTACGTATCGCAACCTAAGGATGAACCTTAGCTGCTACTTAAAATTCTCGAAGGTCGCCTCCTCCAGTTCTGGTAGAATCGCCTCATTCTGAAGGACGTTCCTTTTTCTCCGCCGGAAACACGTCATCTGCCTTGATCTCCCCCGTTCTGGGGATCGAATAGTATTAGGGATCTTCCGGGGGACCCCGGACTCCACATGTCCGCGTCCTGCATTTATTCTCTGCCGCACCGGAATTCAGTAGTTTTTGGGTTATTCCACGTACCACCTCCGTAGGCCCGGTGGAACGAAGTATATCCCAGGCAGCCAATAGCGTCCGTCTTCTATGCCCATCACGGAGTCTATCTCATGCGGGGAGTAGCAGCGCACAGACCACTATTCCCAATCAGTACAGGCCATGTGCCCCCCAGCCCCCCAGCGCCTTTACGGTATGTCCCCGGGTCTCTTACACTCGCAGAATTGTCGCGTCTATTGTACCGATGCTCTGTATTCTATTGATCATTATTCGCACCTGGTTACCAGTACAAATATTCACCTGCCCCTATCCAGTATGCGTTACGGGGGAAATTTTTGGGGGTTGGTCCGTGTCTGGGCTCAATAGTTCCGTGCATGGCACCTCCGCGCTTCTCGTATTTGCGCCGAATGTCGGCGCGACCTGTGCGCCCAGCATGCCACCCAAAAGTTGGGGTAGGTCGGGTCGCTTTTTTGGACTGGCATGCAGGGCACATCTAATCCCTGTCAAACCCGTCCATGACATTCGGGGCCCCCTCCCCCAGCTTTCAGAGGCTGAGGCTTCAAGTTGCCACTCGTGCAAGGACCTCGGGCGACTAATCATCTTTTGCCCTGGCACGGTCATCCTGGGCTGCCAGGGTACTCTAGCGCAGTTCGCGTGCGGATCGAGGGTTTCCTTGGTTCAACCCGTTCGCGAGATTGTGCCGAGTTAATCGCGAGTCTTTCCCATGCCCCACACCCGTTTCAAATCCCTGTCGCCTGGTTCTCGGAGAGCTGTTCGGTGGCCAAAGTGGGATTACCCCTGGTTCGCTCTCATCAAAATTCTGGAGGCCTGGCCTCACCTCAAATGCCGATGCATTCCCGAAAGGAAACCTGATACTCACAAGGTTTATGTGGCAAGCATTGCACGGCCCCTTGTCTCGGTGCCAATGTGAGTCTCAAAAATACGTTGAGTTTCCGTGGGTGATCTGCATCTCTACCGACTACAATCGCCTGAAACGAGACCGTGTATGACTGTCGACGGAGCCTAGCCAAGTTGGCAAGGCTCAAGCGCTGCGTATCTGCGTATGTACCCCGTAGTGGGTACCCTGACGCACATTGAGTAGAAGATCATGCCGACCTTGAGGTCATCGAAATCTTATTACCCATAGAAAAGCCCAACTTTTCGCGGTTTAAGGTTTGCTCCATGTAGATCTTCCCGCGGGGTCGAAGAGACTATTGGAAACTTCCTACTTGACGCGCTGGCAAGTCGCCCTAAGATTATATTGTCATGTGGGCCTCGCATGCAGTTCCCTCTCCAGGGCAGGGGATGAATTCGCTCTATCGGGCATAGTGAATTGGCCTCTGGATCTCGGTCTCGGCCTCGGTCTCTGGTTTACCTCTTTGATCAATTGCCTATCTTGATCTGGCGTCACAACCTTTCGTACTTATCACTACATCACAAGCCTACATGCTCGCGTGTCAAGGCCCTGCCATGATGTCACTAGCGGCATTATTCACATTTACTAGATATCCTCGGGCCTCTATGATATCGCTGGCTCAAACAATGGAAGGTCCGTGGGCAACAAGGCATTCAAGCTTCGTTACTCTGGTCGGCCAGGTAGGCCGCCACAGCTTCCGAGTTCATGACATCGTCCCTCTGTAGTATGATTAGCTCAACCCAGCTTCACAGGAGGATTCTTGCTGTTCTCCAATCTTGACTTACCTGCTGCACAAGATCCTCGATCGCGCTCTGTAAAAGTGTAGCCTCGAGATTACGTAGTCGAGAGGTCAGCTCATAGGTATCGGGACTGAACATCGAGTCAACTAAAGTTTTGTCCTCTTGCATACTTGACAAAACCTGTTCGGTCTGGTGTAGAAGGGCGAGTTGTTCCTCCAGTCGCTGGAGTACGAGCACCAGAGCTCGAAGGCGAAATATATCGGCCATCGCATCTTCTGCAATTAATTCGTACAAGTAGGTTGGCGATCGTATCTTTTCGCCTTTCCAAGTGGCTTCCAGTTCTCTCTGCCCATCAACCGTTTGCACGACTCCGATATGAAGACCATCTTCCTCGTTCACGCTCGACCACCAAATCAAGGGACTCTCCCAAGTCGTACTCCTTGAAGCACCCGAGTTATTGAACACGGAGACTTTGAGCCCTGGAGTATCCTTACAAATCATTTTCTTTGCAATACCTAGTGGATCATCGTCGGGGAACTCGATGTTAAGCAAGACTTCCCTCGCTTCTTGCGTGGAGCTGTCGAGAAAACCGTACGAGAAAACCATTTCAGAAGCCGGTTTCTCCTCTCCATACCTATTTTCAATCTGATTAGCCGCTTGCACTTTCTCTAGCTGAGAAGGTCATACAGCCAAGAACCTACGAGATGGTCACCTCTTCGCCGGCTTTCAGAGACCGGCCAGAGCGTAGCTGAAGTATAACATTTCCTTCGGAATCTGCGTCGTACCGCGAATTAACCGCAGGCTCAGTGGCATGATTGACCATATCTATGCAAGGCACCATCGCATGTCCGGCATTGGGTATTTCGAGCATGCGCGATCGATAGGCTGCGTCGACATATTTCCAATCATCTAAAGTTAGCTTCCCTCGTCCTCGCTCCACCAGCACTCCTGGCACCAAAGTATGCCATCCGTAGCATTTCGAAGAAGATCAAATTCCTTCTCAAGCGATCCGACCTTGGCTTCCACTGCATTTGCAAGCGATGTCCCTCGAAGAAGCCCCTGCTCGGCCTCTGAATAGAGGGTGGGGAGCGGGAAAGAGGGGTGGAGAAATTGAGTGTACTCCGTCCATGGACTCGACAGTCCTACTGAGCGTGTGCTTCCATTTGATTTGCGTGTTATTTGCACCAGAAGGAAGATCATGATGGCACCTCTCGGGGTCTAAACCATGTCAGTAAATGTCTCGCTTGCCAACAGCCAACTGGTCATACCCTGCCAAACTCCCCCACGGCTTCCAATACAACCCGGAGGTCTGTATCTGATTTGGAGTGGTTGTGTACAGCATCCAATGACAGCACTAGGTCCGAAGGAACCCGAAGAAGCACATGTGGACCTGAGGCGGAAGCATCATCTGTCTTGTCCACGGTCGCTACAATGGCATTCCCTTGTCAAGGCCCGAGAACTCGGTAGCTGCCATGGATCCAAGTCTCTGGAACGCCGTGCCTTGGGTGGTTATTCCATTAAATTTGGCCCAGGCTTCGAGCGAGTTCAGTGGAAGATATTCTCGCTTCATGGCTGCGGTGGTCTTGCAGTGGTTGTTTCTGAGGCTGAAGCCGACATGTGAAAGTGCAGTCTCTTATCGATTCATCTGAGCATATCACTCAACCCTTACTTAACACCTGCAAATGCCCCACGGTGGAAATAGAGTGAGGAGCAGTCGCGGACGGAGCCACGAAGCTGTGCTGACTAAAATCACTACCATGCGCGGCAGATCACCCTGCAGCTTCTCCGAACACAGTCTCTGAGTAATGGCCATTTGGATTGCCTAAGGACATATTCAGCTATATCCTGATAGGGAATCGATCGCATGGCTCTGGTGCGGCCGAGCTTCTGACAATCCTAAGTGCAACAAAGCAACGTCGTTTGAACGTCATCGACATCGACCGGAATATCGTTCTAATCCAGGCAAATCCCAGCTCTTGCAGTTCCGAACCTTCGTTCTTGAATTCTATCATTGGCTACCTCATTTAGGCGTTCTTTTCCGTACTGATCAACACGTCATCGTTAATAGCCCTCTGACGTGCGAAGATTTGTCCCCTTAAGCATGAGAAGGCCGACGTGCTGATTTATTATTAGTTCTCATTTAGGAGCTTTTCAAAACTTGAAGTCAGTATGTCTGTGACAAGAACCCGTACTTTCTCAAGCCTAGTTGGTCTGTCGCATCGCCGACTACAGGCATGGCGTCCTCGAGTAACAACCTCGTTTACCAGCAGAGCCCGATTCGTGAGTTTGTTCCGGGGTTGGAAAGCAGCCCACGTGAATAGCACCGTTAGATCCCAACGCGGTGACATCTACGATCCTTGTGCACTTGCGTGTGCGGATGGCGTAAAAGCTAGAGAGGCCAGAGAACAAATTGCTATCAACATGAAAACGGGAGCAATGCCGAAAGGATGTGGAACTGGCTTATATAGTCGGCAGATGAAGATGGAATTTCCCGAAGCTCCACAGCCCATCATTGGGATGTCAGATCTACGTGCGCAGGTGAGTCTCGTCTATCTTGTGCTTATACGCAGCGGCTTACTTTGATATCAGAAGGGTCATTGAGATAAGTCTTGGGGCTTGAGCTTGGGGTGATTCGAGTGCAGAACCATTTCAATTCTGAAGTATGCCGCTACTTTGAACGTATTCCACTTTTAATTGCCTCCAGTTAGTGGTACCTGTTTCAGGATGTTTAAATTCATCATCATTTCTCACACAAGCCTTTAGACAAGGCCACAGACTACCTAGTGTCTTCATCCTCAGCTGTTATTCCCAACTGCTGATTAGGACTTCCCATGGTCGCTGTGTTCTAGCAGCTCAACTTTAATGAAGTGGGATGTCAAGTGATTTGAGATATATACATATATACACTTCCATAATATTAGGTACAAATGCTATATGTCATGATGATATCTCTGATGGTACTAGTAGGCTCAGAATCAGTATGACGCCGTGCGCAGCAGTAAGCTCGTACTACATTATATCTTGAACATACTTGAAAAACAAAGGTGCCGTTGGCAACGTGGCTACAGATACAAGAGGGAAAGGTCACAGAACATAGGTTTCACATTGAAGGCTTTGGGGTTGGCCCCTGCTGTCTGTCTTCGATTCCGTTGAATTGCCTTACAGATATCCCTTATGGATGTTTCTGCGGCACAAACACCATATCTTAACCCATATGCGAAGAATATTGATTTCATATTTTGAGAGACCTCCGCCTTTTGAAGGTCCCCGTCTATCCAGGCTCAAGGAATCTTGTGCACAGAATAGATTAGCAGATTAGTAGGAGGTGCCGTTGAAAGACGACACGGGCGATCTCGTCGTGGGTGGGGCAGATGTCGCGAACAAGAGCAAATGATGTGCATCGTATTGCAAGTCAAGCTGCAACAGGAATGACGCGATAAAATGCGATCGAATGGCTTTCTGGTGCGACCTGCGGGGTAGTTCCCAATCGTTCCCAGTCGTTCGAGGGGGCCGCTCCAAGTCGGGCCTCTACATCCCACCGACAGCTTTCCGCTCATCGCCCTTCCAGTGAATTTCGAGTCGTTACATTAATCATGTCTGCCACTCAGACAATCATTCGGCCCACCCAGCCTGATATTCAGTACCAACCGGACAGGGCGAAGTACGAGGCCCGCACCAAGTATCGCAAGGAAAACGAAGAGCTCCAAACAACGCTGCCTGCCGGATTTCCGGAGAAGCTAGTCTCCCCGCTCGTCTGGGAAGGCGAAGAGATCGAGAAACGAGACGACTGGGCTTACAAGCTGAGCGATGCTCAGTTGGATGAGCTTGATACTGCTTTGAAGAGCTTCAAAGGTAACTTCTCAACAATTGTCTAAATCGATACCTGTCTGACTTATTTCCAGCTTTGGGCAAGCCCTTGGGGTACATCACACAGTCTACCTTTCCCCTGCCGACCCTGCATCCAGTACTAAGAGAGCTATCAAAGGAAATCCATAATGGACGTGGGTTCGTTGTCATCTGGGGTTTGCGTATCGATAATTACTCTCGGGAAGACAATATCGCAATTTACACTGGGCTGTCATCCCATATCGGAAGTATCCGAGGACGCCAGCAAGATACAAGACTCCAAAATGGCACTTCTCCTGTGATATCTCACATCAAAGACATTACAAATACTGTGCACAGAGACCTGATCGGCGCTCCATCTAACACGCCAGACAAGCAGGTCTTCCATACCGATGCTGGCGACATCATTTCACTGCTCTGCTTGAACACCGCAGCAGAAGCAGGCGAGAGCTACTTGTCAAGCAGCTGGACTGTGTATAACATTCTTGCCAAGGAACGGCCCGATCTGATTCATACATTGTCTCAAGACTGGCCTGTAGATGGGTATGAGACGCTACCCGAAGGTGATGCAATTGGTACTAAGTCATCCCAGGTTCGGTAACCCTGAGAACCCATATACTCTCCGGCCACTGCTATATCACCAACCAGCCACGGAAAATAAACCAGAGCGTGTCCTGATTCAATATGCTCGGAGATATTTCACAGGTTTCCTTGCACGGCCGAGATCCGACGGCATACCGCCTATCTCAGAAGCGCAAGCTGAGGCATTGGATGCCTTGCATTTCCTGGCCGAAGAGCACCGGGCTTCCCTTGGCTTCCGAAAGGGAGATATCCAATACGTGAATAACCTGAGCATTTTTCATGCGCGGAATGGCTTCAGGGATGGGCCTGGCAAAGAGTTGGTTTCTTCAAGTCCATGTATCGCATACCCAGGCTAATTTTTCCACTGTTTCTACAGACGACACCTTGTGCGAATTTGGCTGCGCGATCCTGAAAACGCATGGGAGACTCCGAAGCAACTTCAACCTCGCTGGGATACTGTCTATAAGAATTTCACCGCGGACGAGCAAGAGTTCCCTTTGGAGCCAACCATCAGGAAGAATCTCGGGGGCTGAAGCTATTTATCTTCAGCCATGCTACGATCCAGGAGAGGCTCAGTATACCTCTGTCACCTTGAAAGATCTGTATGTAAGGCGGAAAGATTGGTCCTTTACTAGTAGTCCTTCAATTACTTGGCAGATAACGTCTTTGGTGCCAAATACACTACAAGCAATCCCGCAAGAATATTGGAATGTCTCGGCTTGTGAGTATAGTTGGAAAGCTCCTTTCGTTAGACATATCATTATTAAATTTGCGAAAGACCTTTTGAGACCGAATCTGAGATAAGCACTTTCAACAAGCTGCCTATGGCCCAGATCGCTAGCGATATCCACATAGACAATATGCTCAGAGACTCGGGAGGAAAGTCCAGGTTCAAGTTGAGACCAAGTTGATTCTTTCTGAATATGGCGGGAACTTCTTGACGTACCCCTTACGCGGCTATGCGCATCGATACATGGGCATTAGTTTCTGCTGAGTTCTGGTAGGCACCACTAGACTCGATATAGGAGCCAGTCTTAGGTGAACTACCAGCAATGATGACTTGCAGAGTATAATGATCGCACTATTTGAGCAAGAGAAACCTTTTATCAGAAATTGGCATGTCGTTCGGCAAGGTTCAAACTTGTATAGACTCCAAACTAACTCTGGTGATTCTATCTTGGCCATCGTAAGCATCAATCTCCACTGTTGGACAAACCATCGGAAACAATTGAATGTGCCTTTGTATTTGTATAACTGATACTCTGATTTCTTGATCATCAATCTTCCGGTGGGATTCTTAGAAACATTATGATGATCCATCTTCAGTCATCGCCCCCTTGGCAAAGCCGCAAGTAATGATCCTGTTCTACCAGCGCTACCTGCTGGACAACGCAGTCTGGAAAACATCAAACGCAAGATAACCTTTATCCTGTGAGGCAACGTAGCGATCTCTTCTAGCGGGGCCTGCTTCGACTCTGGGATCAGGAAAACGAATTCAGGAGGGGGAAATGAATTCATGAAAAGAGGTAGGATCCGCAGAATCCGCAGTTCCCTATTTGCAAAGCTACCGTAAGCAAAAGGAGCAAAGAATCGGCCGTAGCGCGTTTGATCTATAGACGAATGCCGCCACGTGACCTCGCGCCCCTCCACGCGCTCTTCCACGCGATCGTTTGCTTCCCGCTTAGCCGCTTTTGCTTGAGGCGGTTTGCGATCTTTGCGATGCAATAGGCTTCTTTGGCTCTTTTTCGCCTATTCTTCTTCCTGCTATTCTGGCATTCGCTCTCTTTCACACTCAAAGGCCGTGGTCCCCATCTTCCAAAGTTCGTCTAGTCTAATTTGATCACCTCGCATTCCATCATGCCGCGCAAATCGGCGAAGAAACAGACTAGACTCGCCTTCGCTCCAGCCGTCCCATCAGCTGGTGAGGATAGCGAAAAGGAGGACCGACACAGAACACTACGCTATAACCACCCAAGTCTCGCTTCAGTCCGCTCAAACAGCCCGCGCAAAGACAAAAAGTCAAAATCTTCCAAGAAGGCTAGAACGCCGGAACCTCAAATCGAAATCCAAAGCACTGAGCCCTCACCTCCCCCAGCTCCGCAGCTCAGCTCTGAAGAGGAAGACGATATCGTTCTGCCTAGCTCCTCCCGCAAGAGAAAGGCACCAATGAGCCCACCGAAGACCGAGTCTCTTACGCGGATCAAACATGAGCCGGTACCGTCAAAATCCCTTGTCATCTTGAGTGATTCGGAAGATGACGAAGATCCCGTTGTATCATCGCCAACAAAACGACGCAGACGGCTCGCTGATTCAGAATCACCGACGACACCGAGGGCTGGTGCGACAAAAGATGACCTTGAAGTTGCGGAGGACGTCCTAGACCTCCAGGACTCCGATGACTCTGGTAAGAAAATTGCTATCTTGGGTACTCGACTTTTCCAGGCTAAAACATTACGATAGGTTTGAGAGAAACACGAACCCGGGGAAGGATCGCCAATTCAGCGAGAAGTAAGCGAATGGCGCACCTGGAAACCCTCCGTCGGAGACGTGCGGGACAAAAGCTAAAGAGTGATCCGGAAAAAGACGATGAGCCTCGTATGTATAATGGGGACGAGGAACCGACTGATGACAGTGAAATCAACTCGCTCATCGGCGAGGAAGACCTAGACGCATACGACGAGGACTTTGTGCAGGAAGACGACACCTTCGGCGTTCCCACGGAGATGCCTCTTGAATTTACCCGTCATGCTTACAAAAAGCCGAAGGAATACTTCCAGGATGTGGTGGGATGGATGGTTCATAATTATCTCGACCCAGCCTTTCCCCGTTCTGATGCCATGTATGAGGTGGCATTTATGAAGTTGAATGATGAAGTCAACGGTCGTGCAAGCTCTCAGTTTACGTCCTCGAGTTGGAGCGCAGAGTTTCGTAATGCGTTGCTGGCCCGTCCTTATATGGAGCTTCTGGGTTTCAAGAGCATCTTCGGCACTGAGACCTGTGAGGCCTGCAACCGGTCAGGCCACCCTCCCTCTTGGGAGATGAAGTTATACGGCAAGCCGTACTCGCTTGAAACACTGGAGCCTCTCGACGAGACGGATGAGACGGATGAAGAGAACGACGGACATAATGATCATGAACACGACCACTCGAATGTTGAGCGTGACCGGGAAGGCCATGTTCTACCTGATGAAAATAGGCGGTTCCTCCTTGGACGGTGGGTGTCTTTATGCCCTGCATTATAATTCGGACCCTCGCTAAGTGTTTACCAGCCACTGCAAGGACAATGCAACTTTAGCACATCAGCTCACTCACTGGCGATTTACCTTGAATGAGTGGGTGGTCAATTACCTCGAGTCCAAAGGCCACAAGGACGACGCAGAGGTTCTCCGCCGCAGTAAAATGAAGCAAAAGCACAAGACCAGACACGCTATCGATGTTCATAATACAATGATCAGCACGGGCGAAGTCGAAAAGATGTATCGTGATTTTCACATAGTCCTTAAATCTGCTCGCGAAAAACCGGAGGTCCGGTTCTCCAACTCTAGGAGGTGATCTTCTTCGACCAAACTGCCCGAAAATAAGTTTGCCGTCGACGCCTTGGGGATGGAAATTTTAGTCTCAATTGTTTTCTCTCCGCCGCCTTTACCAATCTTGCATTTCTGATGATACCCCGAGCACCCGTGGCTCCGAATTGAAAACGACTTTGCTTTGTTTTTTGTAGATATTGAAGTCTGATCCGAATCGGAATTTAACACATATCCCACCGTAAGAATGAACATGAGTCGAGCTGCTCCTAGTCCAAGGAAACCGTGGCATCCTATAGTCTAGCTTTTTCAGAGGGTACTTCGTTGATATTTGACCAAATACAGCACCAACACATGCTCCCGAATCAAGACTACTCCGCAACAAAACACAGGTTAATGCAAGGAGAAGAAGAGTATAAAACATATATAGAGGACATAGAGAGGGAAAGAAATAGTGATTGTTATACAAATACATGCATGAGCTGCCGGAGCCAAGATTCTGGAAGAAGACATCAAGGAAGCAAGAAAATGGTAAAACGGGGAGTCGGCCCAGAACCAGATGAGGCCGGTGAAACCGCATTTACGTCAAGCTCCTGTATTATAGGAGGTTCGAGGATATACCCATGTATCCATGTCCATTGTGTGTGATGCGTTGCCGGCTTGGACGGTTCTGGGAACGGACCCGCTGTTCTCCGAGACGGTATTGATTTACAGAGCGAGCTTATCCTCCTTCTTCTCTTCGGCGCCAGGGGTGAGCATCTATCGAATGCGGTTAGTTGCTGTCTTACGGTTGCTGGAATGAACTTTGTGAACGCACCTCATTAGCACCCTTGATCATGCCCTGCTCACGCTCCATCTGAATGTACTGCTCCTCCTCGGCGTAGGCTAATGCCCATGGAACACCGATGAGGAAAGCGCTAGTGCTGATGACCCAGAGGGCCTTTCCACTGAAGCTCAGGGTAGAGGAGGTGAAAGATGTGAGAGCGGAGACGGTGTTGGTGGCGGTGCGGCGAGCGGAGGGGGGGGATCATGTCTTTCAAGGCAGAGATACGGTCCAATAGAGTTTCCTCATCGAGTTCGTCATCTGACTCCTCCGAGATCTCCGAGTCTACCACGAGGAGGAGATGGGTTAGCTGTGTTTTCAATGGGATTGGCGACTGGTAAGAATTGATTTGAGATGCGCAGCTGCCGCGCTGGCAGAGTGGATTGTTGGATGAGTTCTGGCGGAGAAGACACGTCGCGTTGAAGTATTGGCTTAGTTCGATCTTTACGAACCGAAGCCATTGTCGCTGCGCGGTTCGACTCGCGTGACTCGCGGGAGAACAGATGTCGTCAAACACTTACCGGTGTCGCTGTAGTCTTCGTCGTCATCGGAGACGAGCAGAGCATCGTTCTTGCTGGCCTGGGGCTTATCGGTGGTGAAAGCCTCATCCTCGACCTCGTGGAGCTTGACCATTCTGGCGGATTATGTGGAATATGGGAGGACTGACGATGAAAGGTGGATGGGGGTGGATGGATGATGGGTGAAGCGCGCCCGAGATGGAACCGACTTTTTTGCCGGGCAAAAGCGGCGAGAGCTTGGACCCGCCGGGTGTTTCTTACATAGCCACTCGTTACTGCTACAACTGAACTGGATAATCAAAAGAGTATTCTACAAGTTGAATGTCTAAATTACATGGTCCTGACCTGAGTATTTGACCGCACCACATGAAGCTCAAAGGATCTGTCTAGCTAAATGTGTGCAGTTGTCAGGAGGTTCAAGAAACTAGCGCCGACCGAGCTTCCACCGCGCAATTCGCTCCTGAATTTCTTCCCAGGGGAAAGCCCGACGTCGGTATCCTTCTAGCTCGCCTTCCTGCATGACTACAGTGGGCTTTCCGGTGCCTTGACCTTGATTCTGCACCTGGCCGCCGAAGACTTGGCGCGCGACGCGGCGGAGGTCTTCGACAGTCAGAGACTCAATAGCATCGCACATCTCCTTTACACCAACCTTGCGGCCATGTACTTGGACTTGGCGACCAAGATCTTCGAGTTCGACCATGCGAGATTCAAGGTTCATCAGCAGAGACGAACGCAGCTGGTTCTTGGCGCGGTTGACCTCTTGGGTTTGGAGAGAACTATATCCGGAATCTAGAGTAAGGGCCTGCAGCTCCCGGCACATCACCTCGAGCATCTCCGTGGTGCGGGTGGGGCTACAGGATGCGGAGATGCCGAAGATTCCGCTGTCGGTATAGCTGTGGTTGAAGGCCATGCAGCTCTCCACCCAGCCGTGCTGGTTGAGTACATTCGTATAGAGTCGCGAGTACATACCCTTACCAGGACCTCCAGCCGAGAAAGAGCCACCGCCACCGAGCAGGGTTTGCAAGGTAGCTAGGGCGTAGATATCGGGGGATGATATGGGGAGAGCCTCGAAGGCAAGGTGGATATGGCTGAGACGAGGAAGCATGGGGTTGGCAGGTGGTGGAATGGGAGGAAGGGCCATGAAACCACCAGTGTAGTGTGCAGGGCGACGAAGGTCCAACGCGGAGGACTCGACAAGAGAGGGGTGGAGGGGCTCGACAGGCGGCATGGTTTTGGGATGAAGTGGAGAGTTTCTTGAGGAATGGGAGCTTTGATAGGAGCGAAGAGTGGGTGTTTTGCGAAGCGGCTGGGCTGGTTACAGTAGACGATGGGGTGAACTGGGGCACCGTGGGAACCTGGCCTTCCTTGGCGGCAGCATTAGAGTCGGAGAGGGTTGTGTCAATCCCAGAGCCTGATAGAACTGGGCCTTTGCTGTGAGCAACGTCGCTGCTTCGCATATCTCCGAAGTATTGCTCAGTGAGCTTGACAGCTTCGGCATGCGGTACACCGGCAAATGAGACCACCATGCGGTCCGGGTTGAAAAAGACCTCACGATAGCGCTCGACTGTCGCCTTGTTGATCTCTCCCAATCTTTCGGCAGGGCACAAGAGAGGGTTACCGAGGGTGTTGTCCTTATAAGCCGTCATGTGAACTAACTCGGGGAGGATAAGCTCTGGCTTGGCCCAAATCTCTCCAATCTCGTATTCGGCGGTAGCAAGTTGGTCGAGGACTTCCTCCTCGGTGATGAGAGGATCACGGATTGTCTCAGCGAGGAGACCCAGTGTGGTGGGGACTGCAGAGTTGAAGCTGGCCGACTGGTACATCAAAGTCTCTCGTGATGAAGCACATTGGATGTTGCCACCTAATGCCTCCAAAACTTCCAACATTTCATCTGCGGTACGAGACTTGGTTGATTTAAAGGCTAGACGGTCCATTATATGGCTAACTCCACGCAAACTCGCATCTTCATAACGTGATCCCGCATCGACGTAAACGCCAACACCTGCGAAGGGACCCGGTAATGACTCTGAGGCGACTCGAATTCCGTTTGGTAGGGTCGTGATCTCATCGAGCTCTGCAGGGTCCTTGAGACAAAGACGATTAATACAATATCCCCATGGACATGTAGAACATGAGCCATACCTTGGCCGAATTGTTCAGCGTAGCAAAGCTTCTGGACGCTGAGCGTGGAACCCGCGCCAAGGGCTTTTTGGATTGCACCGCCCGCAGGCAGACCGACGCATATTTGCGCTCATCTCGGCACGCAAGCTGTTCGGGAAAAGGAAAACGTTGAGGACGCCTTCCTTGCGAATAGCAGTGAGAGTCGGAAAACTGCGCGCGCCGCAGAATCAAATCCGGAGTGAAACGCCGATTCGATGACTAAGCATGGACTGATGCTCCAGGGCTCCAGGGCTCCAGGGCTCTTGCCTTGGACTTTTGAGACAAATACGAAAGGAGGGCTCTGTGGAAAGCTCAATCCGCTTTTTCTTCTGCTATTAATAATATACTTTATAAAGAAGTCGACTTCGGGGGTTTCTGGCTCTGTATCGAGTTGCTGATGTGATGGCGGCAATCTAGAACAATGACGACATGCTTGTATATACACCTGGCAACCTTTCATAAATTCTATCATTCCGAGTCTCATTACTTTATTCCTCCCAATTTTGTAGACGAAACATTCAAGTCCGCACACATGATGTACTAGCAGCAAGGGACTGGCCACACAATCAGGCATTTTCAGAAGCCCAGTTGCGATACCATTCCAGACACGAAGCATTTGCAACGCTGGCTCCAATCTTGATATTCAGGCCACAGAGAATCTGCTTGACAGCATTTTCTACCTTTTTGCCATTAGAAGTCACTGGGATCTCAGGACAAGAATCGATGATGCCAGGAACATGACGAGCACTGAGCTCTTTGCGAATGACGGACTGAATCCGGCTCGAGAGCTCTGGCATGGTAACGGACTTGCCAGGGAGAGTTTAACAAAGAGGACCACGGTCTCGTCAGAGTCAATACCCTCGCGTCTCCGGCCAACACACAGAGAATCCTCGATCTCATCGGCAAAATGCTTGAGAAGGACATTGTATATCTCGGCACTTCCGAATCGAACACCAGATGGCTTGAGAACGCCGTCACTGCGACCTAACATCACAACACCACCCGTGACAGGATTCACACGCACAAAATCTCCATGATGCCAGATGTTGGGACCGAAGACGTCGAAGTAGCTTTTCCTGTATTTTTCGAGCCCTTTGGGGCCTGGTGGCCAGAACATGACCGGCTGCGCTGGGAAAGGCACGGTGCAGACCAGATCGCCAGGCTCGCCCGAAGCACTGATATCATTGCCAGCAGGATCAAAAGCCGTGACAGCCATTCCAAGAGAGCGACATTGGATCTCTCCTTTGTACACTGGAAGTATCGGGCAGCCAGAACAGAACAGAGACAAGATATCTGTACCGCCAGTGATAGAGCCCAGCATGATGTCGGGATGGATAGAAGCGTAAACATACTCGAAAGTTGATGGTGCTAACGGAGATCCAGTGCTGAAGATCGCCTTGAGCGTGCTAAGAGAAACTGGACGATGTGCATGCTTGGAAGGATTCAAGGCCGCTTGCTCCAGCACGGAGAGGTATTTCGCCGAGGTACCAAAATGGGTAATCTGAAGCTCTTCAATGAGACGTGGCATGGCCATTTCTCCATTTCCCCCCTCAACATCGAAGGGCCGGAATGGCGAGCCGTCGTAGAGAACAATGGTAGCACCGCTGGCCAAGCCTGAGACTAGCCAGTGCCACATCATCCAAGTAGTAGTGGTGAAGTAGAAAAGACGATCTCCAGGTCGGAGATCACAGTGGAGAAGATGCTCTTTCTTATGCTGCAATAGCGTGCCCAAGGACCCATGAACAATTGGTTTTGGGGCACCTGTGGTGCCCGAGGAATAAAGGATGTAGACTGGGTGATCTGGCGGCAAGCTCGCAAATTCCAAAGATGCGCTTTCATTTTGAACAGCAGATTGGAAGTCATTATATGTTACAACCTTTCCATTCGCAGGCCGGACCCCTTCAAACTTGAAATCCACGTCCTTGGCAGTCTCGAAGACCACCAAGACTTCAAGAAATGGTAAATCAGCGACTATCTCGCGCACCTTAGCATGAGAGCCATGGACCTTGCCATTGTAAAGAGAAGCATGGTCGGCAAAAAGGATCTTGGGCTCAATCTGCTTCAGACGCTCCAGGACCGCATGCACACCAGTATCTGGCGAGACGCCCGTCCAGTAGGCACCAATCGAAGTGGTCGCCAGCATAGCTACCACGGTGTTGGCATGATTTCCAACAAAGCCAGCTACACGATCATTGGTCTGCAAACCGGCTTCCTTCAAGGCATTGGCGCATTGCCGGACTCGCTCTCTCAGCTCCTTCCACGAGATGAATTCGCGGTCTGCTTCGGTAGCGCCGATGATGGCAACATCGTTCTCATCTGGGGCATTAGCTGGGTACAAGAGATTCTCAGCAAAGTTCAACTTGCTGCCCTCAAAGAAATCTGGCCGAGGAAGAGAGTCTTGCTTGATTCTAGGACCTGAGGTTCCTTCAGTATTACGTTGGTTTGCACGAGTATAGGCAGTAGAAGCCGCCTTACCTGTTTATATGGCCTGTGAGCTTTGATCTGCGTGTAGTGCCAAATTTCCTCCCAGAACTTGGCGGGTTCTGAAATACTCCATTGCCATAGAGCATTGTAATCCTTCAAGGGGATGTCATATTTCTGGCCAACCTTCGACATAAAGTCATAGATTTGAGTTTTTTCTCGGGACGAAGGTCTCCAGAGTTCCTTCGCCCCTAGGCTTCCCTGCTCGTCGCTGTGTGGCATAGTTCCTCTCAGAGGGCGCTAGAGAGGACAGCGAGAAATTAATGGTGGTACCGAGCTTGAGCTTAGGGGTTGAGTATTTAGTTCTAGTCCCCAGGGAGAACCTTGAAGAGATAGAAAGACGCTAGGAAGTGATGTACCGGTGTACTCTGCAGAGCTCAGAGCTTCTCGGTAAATAAAGGTACAGGAGACTTGGTGGGCGGGGCGGCTGAAGTCGGGTACAGTGTAGCCGCCGATTCCCGCAAGTACACAGTTCAATGGTTTGCCAATTATGACAATGCTGGCAGTTGAGGCTAGAACGATGAGGGCTTCAAAAGGAGAGATTGTCTGATAGAAAATAAAAGAATCAATGGCTCTGAATGATCAAAGAAGGTCACTTCCTACGCGATGCGATTCTGTGCCGTTCTACAAGTACGAGACTGCGGAATGCGGAACGCGGGAGCAACATTGGCGGCCTGAGGCTTGGGCCTCGACCGTTTGCGTGCTCGTGTCTTCTTCTGCGGCTCTTCATGTCACACCGAGCTGCAGGGGCTGCCAAAGGAGTGCTGCATACTTCCTAGGGGCCTGCTGGAATCTTACTCGATATAAAACCATAGAGAGATACCCCTATACTGCGTAGTGCCCCTGAAAACTACATGACATGCATAAGTTTTTTCAAGTTTGTAACGAGTTATGCTAATATTAAAGCCCTGCGTAGTGCCATCTGGGCAGGTGAGTTTCCACTTTGCAAGATCCATGGTTATACTAGGGACCTGCCGGGGCTGACTTTCTGGGCCTGGACGTCTTTGACGACGCAAGAGTTACATTGACAGTCACACTTGAGCTATGTGCAGGGGCAATGGGCAAGCAACTTTTATCAAGCACTGGGCGGGCAATACTCGGAGCCGAAAAAAGAGGCACAGGGGAATAGACTGAAAATCGGAACCTGGAACCTGGGCCGAGCAAGGCAAGATGCAAGAAAATTTAAACAAGATTAAAGAAAAACTGGTACCGCAGCCGTAAGTTGGCCTGTTACAATGCAGGTTGGCCAATAATGACACAATACAACCGTATCAGCCACGTTTCCTTCTGTCCAATTTTACCATCAATACCAGGAGACACTATCACTGTCCCATCATCCACTTTTGAGTAACTCTTTTCCTCACCCTCACCCCTACCGTCACCCCTATTGCCTTCCAGTTTCCTCTTGTGCATGGGAGACCATTGGGCTCGGTTTTGTCTTGAAGGTCGACTTGCACTCTGAAGTCCCTGTTCATTCCCTAGTCCACGTGTTAAGCCACAATCCTGCTTAGCCTGCCGGAGCTCCCGGCACTTCCTCCACCCCCGACCATAGTCTTGAAATAGCGTACGTTCTAAAGCCTGCTTGACTCTTTCTACACTTCACTCCACTTCAGCCCTTCTTGCCAACTCTTCTGGGAGACTGCCCCCCAAGGACAGTCCATCGAATTGTTCGAGACTGCAGCTCCCCTTTTCGAGGACGATCAGCTAACTCCTCAGCCTCGACTCCAGGTTGTCTCCACAGGCCTTTTTGAATTCCAAATTCCAACACAACCCGCAGACACAAGAGCGGTGACTTGGACTCAGCTATACACTTACGGTCTACGGTATCGCCTTTCGTGGGTGGCCCCTGCCTCTATCGTCGGTGTAGACGCGTGAAGAAACTTGCACGCCCCTAACTTCCCGACGGCCAAAAAACCCCCGTTCCATCCCAACACGGCTTATCCCCGATTCGCTGCTTCCCTCTGCGATGCCTCGTCGGTTTAGCGGTAACTCCTTGAACGATACCTCTTCTAATTCCTCTTCCTTTTCGCCTTCCTCCGGAAAGGGCGGAACCGCCATCAAAGCGTCCTCGGTCAAGTCCAACCGCCTGTCCCAATTCTTCTCGGTCTCTCCTAAGCCCAAGGGCGAGTCGCAATCAACACAGGTGACCTCTCAACCGACCGGCGGGGATACAAACACCTCAGGGCCGCTTAGCTCGGCCTCACTGTCCTTACCGACCATCTCTTTGTCCACCGCAACTGCGGACAATCCAACCATGGACGAGCGATCGCCGACCACTCTTTTCCAGCCCCCTACGCCGGAAGAGGCTCGTCGACAGGCCAGACAAAATGCTCAGTTCGGTCCGATTAGTCACCCCAGTCATCGATACTCGAGTCGGCACCCTGGTGGTGTTTTCCCGGAGCCGGTGATGGACGAGCCGCCGTATTATTACTTGCTCACCACCTATATCAGCTATTTAATCCTAATTGCTTTCGGGCATGTCCGTGATTTCTTCGGCAAGCGCTTCCGCGAAGAGAACTACCGGCACCTCAAGCCTCGTAACGGATACGGTGCTCTCAACAGCGATTTCGATAACTTCTACGTGCGCCGCCTGAAGCTGCGTATCAATGACTGTTTCGAGCGTCCCGTGACCGGCGTTCCTGGTCGTTACATTACTCTGATCGACCGTGGTACCGACGATTACAACCGACACTTCTATCTGACTGGCACTCAAACTGATACATTGAACTTGAGCTCCTACAACTACCTTGGATTCGCCCAATCAGAAGGCCCATGTGCCGACATGTCAGAAGAGTCTGTCCGGAAGTATGGCATCAGCACTCCCAGCACCCGCGCGGAGGTCGGCACCCAGGATCTCCATCTTGAAGTCGAAGACTTGATTGCCAAGTTTGTTGGCAAGGAAGCTTCCATGGTGTTCTCTATGGGATTCGGTACCAACGCAACTATCTTCCCCGTCTTGGTTAACAAGGGCTGTCTTATCATCTCAGACGAGTTGAACCACGCATCCATTCGTTTTGGTGCCCGTCTCTCCGGTGCCTCGATTGCCATGTTCAAGCATAACGACATGAAGGATTTGGAAATCAAGCTTCGTGAGGCGATTTCTCAAGGACAGCCCCGTACTCACCGACCTTGGAAGAAAATTCTCGTTGTCGTTGAGGGTCTGTACTCTATGGAGGGCTCTATGTGCAATCTTCCCGGTCTTGTTGCTCTGAAACACCGATATAAGTTTAACCTTTTCGTTGACGAGGCTCACTCTATCGGAGCTGTTGGTCCTCTCGGTCGTGGTGTATGTGATTATTTCAGCATTGACACTGCGGAGGTTGATGTTCTCATGGGAACCTTGACCAAGTCGTTCGGTGCCAACGGCGGCTACATTGCAGCAGACAAGGTCATGATCGATAAACTTCGTGCCACCAACCCTGGTGTCTTCTTCGCAGAGGCTCCCGCACCACCAGTGCTCACTCAGATCTCTTCTGCTCTTCGCATCATCAAAGGCGACCTTGTTCCTGGCCAGGGTGAGGAGCGTTTGCAACGATTGGCTTTCAATTCCCGCTACCTCCGCCTCGGGCTGAAACGTCTTGGCTTTATAGTATACGGTCACGATGATTCACCAATCATTCCAATCCTTCTCTTCAACCCTGCCAAGATGCCTGCATTCTCCCATGAGATGCTTCGACGAAAGATTTCCGTCGTCGTTGTCGGGTATCCAGCCACCCCACTGGTCTCGTCTCGCGCGCGTTTCTGTGTATCCGCTGCCCACACTAAGGACGATCTTGACCGAGTCCTGACTGCCTGTGACGAGATTGGCAACGTCCTTCAATTGAAGTTCTCTACCGGCATCGCTGGCGGTGCTCTCCCTCCTGCAGAGGAAATGGCTCCCCCGCCCGAGATGGAGAAAGAGTGGCAGCGCAAGCGCAGCGCCAAAATCAGCCCTCCTCGCTGGCGCGTTGAAGATGTCATTCGACGCGGAGCCCAGGATGTCAAGTCACCACTGTACTAGGTTTGGCTTTCCTCGTTATGTGACACTGCCATGATGCGATCTTGAGGTTTTGAGATTCTCCCCCCCCGCCGGGTCTCGGTTCGTGCTGGTCACGCCGTGTCGCAGTTTAATAATCCCGATGTGCCCACCTCTTTCGTGTCTATTCTTCCCCATTCTTCCCCCGGTCCCTATTCATCTTGCTTTTGGTGCTTTCTACATCCTTTGCTCTTTTGCGAGAGGAGTTAGAAAGTGTTCTGGTATTGGGAATGAATGAGAAATTGGGTGGCCTAACTAGAGAACAACCAACCCCCAAGAAGAATTCCGGCCGTGATATTCGAACTCAGCAACGAATGAATATGCCCCTTTTTTCTTATATGATCCCCTTCCTCCCATGAAACGTTCCCCCCATTTGCCTTGCATACAAACTCTTTTAATCGGCCATGTCCCCTTTCTCTGTCACCATTATTATGTTTAGAACATTGTGCCACTATGGCTTGTCTATGTTTTCTCTTGCATACGGAGCACCGGCTTTTTTTTGCCGTGCCCTGCCCTTTCGCTCTAGGAAGCCCTCGTTGTACCATATCCCAAGGCCGTGCCCATGTTGCTTGATCTGGGAAGATACCGAAACCATTTGTTTTGCTACACGGGGCTGTTGGTCGCTTAACATTCTGGTGGGCTCGTGCTCATTGCCTCTTGAGGCTGTTCAAAACTATTTGTTCATAATAAGGAAGATTCTGCCTGTTGCCGCAAGACTTGTGTCTGATTATTCTGCCTCAACTTGTAGCTTACCAGCACTGGTTCCGAGCCTGTAAAAGGAAGACCTGTTACGCGGCGATCATTATCAGTATCTACTTTGACGAGGCTAGATGTTTCCCTGCCATTCTTGATTCATCCATGAGAAATAGTGTATGCATAAAACCCCCGCTATATACAAGACGGGATATAGCGACAGTAACTCGACCTGTAGATAAAGCTCTGTGTATCCAGGTCCCAACCCAACGCCCAGAATGACTGAAAATCCCAGATGCATGGCATGCACGACAAAGAGAAGACCCGAAATGCAGATTGAGACCAAACCATCGAGTGGCCCATGCAACCGCAACAAAAGAAATCATAATAGGTTCCAACGAACCCAGCCAAATCATAAATCGTTATATAGCCTCTTGTCTGAGCCGTCTCGGCGAGACAATCAGCAACGCACTTCTCCCCAGACACCTCGCAATGCAATCACACAGTCCCATACCGCCCCTGGTCCGCCCCCAGCAAAGCCTGCCCCTCACGCTCATTCTGGACCCTTACAGGTGACGCAGACGGAATCCATCCTCTCATCCACCCTCTCACACGACGCCAACGGCTGCGTCCCCGCTTAGGCCCCATCTCATCCGAGCTAACGAAACTCTGGTCATCCACCTCCTCATCAGCCCCGTACATCAGGAACTGCACGCCCATAAAGCCGTCCAGTCCCAGCACCCCGAACGCCCCGAGGAAGAACGGCAGCGACCGCCCGATCCACTCCCACCGGTCATTCCCGTGGAAATCGGCCCAGCCGCCACCGCCATAGGGTGGGAAGTCGGACCACGCGTTGGGATTCGTCGCGAGCGAGGCCGAGTAGAAGAAGTTGCCGCTGAAGGCAGCCATGAAGAGCAGCGGGGATAGGCCCTCTGTGCTTTTACGCAGGTAGTTCTTATACAGCTGGGGTGGCCGCGAACCGAGGTACAGCAGGGTGGAGAGCCAGGAGATTATGCGGCCGATGACTTCGATTATTGTTTCGCGGGGAGCGTCATAGATAGGAGGGTGCGGATCCGGGCTGCCTGCTGGGCTGGCATTTGCGACGACGGCGCAGAGAAGTGAGGCGAGGAGCATTGTGCGAGGGAGGGCAAAGGGAGGGCTTGTTGCGCTTGTGCCGAGGCGTGTTGGGCGCGAGTGTCTCTTCTCATTTGTGTAGTAAGTGGAGCGGCCGGGCGTGGAAGTGAGGGTTGAGCCTGTTTGCACGCCCATGTCGTGCACTTCTGGGTGTTTGTGGGTTATATTGACAGGGCCTTGCGGAGTGTTTGGGCCGGGCAAAGGCTTCGCAGACCGCGGGTCGGAGTCATGGTAGTGCTCGTGATGGTGGACCTCGGGGTAACCGCCGTAGTGACGGGACTTATAGTGGGTGTACCAGAAAAATTGTATGACGAGCGCTAGGTCGACGAAGACGTAGTAGCTGGCTACTATGACTTGCCACCCTGCTTGGCGGGTGAAGAGGGCTCCGACGAGGTTGCTTGCGTCTCCGGCGCACCAGATGATGAGGAAAAAGATAGATAGGCCGGACGTTGATTGGAGCTGGTAGTTCTTGTAGATTTGGGGCAGCTGGGCGAACAGCCATGAGACAATACTCAGGATCCCGAGAACGGAGGAGATCAGCGCTAGTGGTGTGGGGAGGCAAATGTGGAGGTGTGAGGAGATAGCGGTCAGGAGGGGTGACGAGGGCTCGCAGTGCTCTGGAAGCACCCCGGATGGGAGGTGTTGTAGTAATGGAGGCACCATGATCTCGAGAACAGATCTATAATCTCTTTGTTGCTAGGGCGAGGGTCTGGGTTCTTTATGGACTGCACAGCAAGGGAGGGGGGGAAGGGAAGAGGAGATGGGCCGGCAGTCTACTTCAAGCTTTAAGACTGAAAGAGAGATAAATTTAAGAAGAAAGGACAGACGAGAAGCACTCAGCCCAGCAAGTTAAGGGGAGTGTGAACAAGTCACGCCGATGCAGCACGAGGGGTGGGAGCTGAACCCGGGGCTTATCATTGACTCATGAGATAAGCTAGATCTAGCCTATCACGGAGGCGATGTGGGGGAATGCGCAGATCCGAACCCTTGACACATTTGTATTGACGACTCGAGATAAGATACATTACGACTGGGGTTGGGGTTCACGTTACTGCGTATACCAGATCTGCCAGGTCTCCCAGATCTCTTGTCTAATCCTCACAGCAACACCGCTGCGGCCAAGATCCCCGCCGCGCCAAGGAGGCTGCTGGCCACGGCCGTGTGGGAAGCGGCTCCGGGGAAGTTCGGCTTATCGGATCCACTTTCGCTGGGGCATTCGCTCTGAATCCATGATTTGACGCTGGACGGCAGGTCACTGTACCAGCTGGGGTAGTGTCCATGCTCAATCTCGTTTGCGATGGACGAAGCGGCCGAGGGATTGGCCATCTGCGAGAGGAATGACTCCGGCACCGCGGTGGCAAGCACAGACGCGATAGAGGCCGGAGGTTGGCCTGGGTATGAAGTGACGGAAGGGCCCTTGGAGCCACTGGCCAGTGCAGTATTGGAGGCAACAGCGGCTATCGAATGGTCACCCAAGTTGGAGGTCAGGGGGGCTCAGGTTACCATTGTCCGCCTCTCTGTTCGTGTAAGCGTAGAACTTATGTTTCCCCAAAAATAATTAGCCAAGGGGAATGTAACATACAAACTGGAAAGCTCGGCATAGTAAGCGCTACTGTACACACTGTTATAGATGCTGCTGTACTCAGAGTCGCCGGGGTCGGTCTCATACTGCTTCTTCTCCAGCTGGGCGACAGCAATGGCAGAAACAGGTAAGAGGAAAAAGGCAAGGGGCTTGGTGTGCATTTTGGTATTTGTTGATTAAGTGTCAGGCCCTGAAAATGCCGATTACGGGTGGAAGAACGACTGCTGGAGAGAATCGTCGATTTGCACCACAGGTCGGGGTGATCTGCCCTTTTAACCCTCAAGAGCCTTCTGCAATACCCACACAAGAGGCTGAAAACCTGTGTGCTCCGGACATTGTCCCTATTGACCGTCCCAAGCCTCTGGCGGATCATGGTGCTCCAAAGCGAGTCTGGAATCTCTTCGAGATACCGAAAATTCAAGCCAAACCTAATCAGGGTCAATCCATGGGCCACCAAGGAGCCGTCCAGTCCTAAAATAGATAAAGGAGCGCTCCAAGGTCGGTATGATCCAGACTAAGCCTGGCGTACCTGAGGTGGCGCTCTCGATTTCGTATCCCTGGGGAATAGGGGTATACATAGGGCTCCGGCGCCGTTGGGGAGCTGACGACCTCAAATGGTCTGTGGACTCTAGATGCAGGGAAATGCCATTCTAGACCTGCAGTCTCGTGCATAGATGCTATTGGCCTAGTAGAGACCTACATCTTGGCTGTCGAGTGCTTGGGAGGACCTACATCGACATAGAATTAAACTAATGTGGGCGGTGCAGATGGGATACAAGGTGCAAGGTGGGTAAAAATCAGTAAGACGAGTGAGATAAAGATTTATGTGCCGGTTCAGACTCCTCTGAGAAACCGCCGAGACTTGTAAGTAAATTCAGCCCTAAGTGTCTAAACGCCTTCAAGCATGAAGAAAGGCGTTGCGTGCAAAAGTTCGAACCGTTCCATGACGAGTTCTCAAGGTCGGAAATAGGCAGAAATCGCCGACAAACCAGGCTCCACCGTGACATGTAGGGGATTTTTTTCCCAAGCTTATCGACTCGACACTGATGTGGTGATTACCAGTACTACAATAGGGGGCAAACGTCTGTGTGCATACCGCTTCACCTACCCCGTCAAATAATGATGTATATTCACGGTTATATATCCTACACCACCAATCCTTATTGGATCATACTAAAATTAAATATATTGAATAATCAGATTTATATACAGACTTCTCCTGCTCAATATCTTGCATAATAACCCTGGTTTGTATACAATCTATCTATCCTTCTTTCTATACTCCATATCAATCTTCGTCTGGTCTAACACATCCTCTATAGCATTAAAACACTCTTTAAAATAAGCCGGATCCTCTTCAGATCTTCCTATCTATATAAGGTCTTTAAATATCTAAAGAAGTTAACATTTTAGTAGTTTCCAGACCAGTTCAATAAGATTAAGATCAGGCGAGTATACAGGCCAATCTTTAATATATATCCTGTGCTCTTTAACCCAAACCTGTATATCTTTCGCTATATAGATCTTTCTATTATTTTGCTAAAATATCATTTCAGATTGATCGTGATCGATTCCATGGGGAAGGTGTAGGAGAAAAAATAAAAATGTGGGTGGCTGTTAGGGTGATGGTAATGGGGCTGAGTGCACACAGACTTTTGGCCGGGTGGTGTAGGACTATTCCCGACTCGCGAAATTCCAATTCATTGTTCAAATGCAAAGGCCAATAAAGGTCAGCTGTGGTCGCGTGCTGTCCTGCCGGAAACGGAAGGTTATCCTCTTCTCGAGAAGGGAGCATCCGCGGCTCAAGTGCGCTTTATCAGCTTGAGCGACTGTGGACTTTGAGAATACCTAGGTAGTCCGCACTATTTCCGGGTGAACATTTGTATATCTCGAGGGAGGTTAAAGGATTCCAGCATGTGATCCGTTATGGTTGATTGGCCGGTGATGTGGGTGCAATCGCTCCCAAAGAGGACCTACAATCTGCTACCAAGCTGCGATTGACTAGGTGCAATCAATTACATGGTCAATTATCTCGTGCTTGAGCTGCCCAATAATATTCGAGCACAGAGATCTAAATACTGTGTCTAAATTTAGGGGAAGGCGGTGGCCGGTCTAGGCAAAGCTAGCGTTAAGCTGGGTAGTTGTCACCACACGCTTTGTTCCAGTTACGAAGACGCCTCCCGACTCGCGGAAGACACTTGGAGGACACTCGGTGTTCGAGTAGTAATGGCCTCCTTCAGCCGTACCCTATCCTATTTTCGAGCCTATCATAGAATAGGCTTCACAGTAATTGAGTCAAGCGCCTCTCATGGATACATCCTTAGCCCAACTGGGCTAGGCGGTATTTCGAAGGCACCCAATACCGTTGGGCTTAGCGGCTGCAGACTTTGCGAGTCGGCTTCGGGGATCCCGAGCTTCAGGGCTACCTGGAATTGATCCTATAGAATGGGGGGGGGGGGTGAATTGGCAGCCAATAACGGATTGTGTGTATGGAATGTAGAACACCGTATGGGATTGCTTGTTTCAGATTCGTAGAAATAGATTGTAAAAAGCCCAAAAGGCCCCAAAGGTCCCATGAAAGCGAGTGAAACGATAGCAAATGACCGCCGCACGTGCAGGCGGCACATCAAGCTATGCTGGACGCTAAACCCAAAACAGCCGAGCTAGCGCGGGCCTCGAATTTCCCTCGTCATCGCGGGGATTGGCCGCTCGGGTTTTACTCTCTGCTATCATTTCCTCCTCCAAATCCTCGTCTTTGACGATTTTCTCGGTCCTCACTATACTCAGGGCTACAGCTTCCCCCGGACTCGACTTCTTCCCTGCACAATGTCTTCACAGCCTCTTCTCCAGACCGCGCCCGGTAAGTCGAGCTCTCTCTTGCTTTAGATAACCCGTACATCTCTGGAGCTCTGGCCGCCAAAAGATCAGAAGCTTCACAGGTACCATTCTCCCGATTCCCCGGCGGCCAGTCTTGATATGTCCAAGGATTTGCGTGTCGGTCACTGTCTTTGAGATCTCCAAGCTAATATTAGGTTCCTCTTTCAGGCAAGCGGATCGCTCTTCCTACCCGTGTCGAGCCCAAAGTCTTCTTCGCCAATGAGCGAACCTTTCTCTCATGGCTCAATTTCACCGTCATTTTGGGCGGTCTTGCCGTTGGTTTGCTGAACTTTGGCGACCGAATTGGCCGCATTTCTGCCGCCCTCTTCACCGTCATCGCCATGGCGGCTATGATATACGCCGTCGTTACATTCCACTGGCGAGCCCAGAGTATCAGGCGCCGCGGACAAAGCGGGTTTGATGATCGCTTTGGCCCGACTATTCTGGCTATTGCTCTCCTGGCCGCCGTCGTGGTGAATTTCATCCTGCGCATCCAAGATTCCGAGTCCCAATAAGACAGTCGGGATCGTGCTTTTCTTCTAGCGTTGATTGGGGTCTGGGGTCTTTTTTCCTGCTATGTCCAAACTCGTTTACTCATTGGGAAATGTCCTCGCTATCATCTCTATATATTTGGGACTATGGCGCCGCTGGTTGTATTTCATCTGTCTTGGTGGTGTCTTGTTTCATGATGTTATTGAGTCCGCTCATATGCCAATAGGACCAATTGAAGCATTTATGACCCAGAGTCTGACCTTCATAACCAACGATAAAATCTCAGAAGCTAGTCTGCTCGCCGAATTCCAGTTGGTCTTCCAATTTATTTTTCGCTAGATAAGTTTCATACTATGGCCATAATAAGCGGTTGTGTCAACAGTCTATAGCAAAGGGAACGCCATTCCATCTCCCCTAGGGTCACTGCCCGCACTATAAACACGCTGTCCCTCGTCATAGTGCACACGGATAATCTGCCCGCGTCCAAAGACCGACCGATCCCAGCCCGCCTGCACCTCGACCTGATGGCCAAGGCGACGGAGCCCCTCAACCACCTCCTCGCTGATACCCTCTTCAATGATGATCTTACGATTCCTCTTTTCACAGATAGGCTTTTCTATCAAGACACGGGGTGCGTCTAGGGCGGCCTGGGGATGGTATCCGAATGCAAGCATGTTGAGCAATACTTGCACATGTCCCTGCGGCTGCATATAGCCACCCATCACTCCGTAAATCGAGTGGAGGGAACCATCGGAGACATTGGTGATCAAAGCTGGAATGATCGTGTGGTAGGGTCTCTTCCGACCAGCCAAAGCATTGGGATGGCCAGGTTCCAATGAGAAACCGGTCGCACGATTCTGCAACGTGAAGCCGCAGCCCGCTGGGATGATCTGCGTTCCGAAGTCCGAAAAGTTGCTGTTGATAAAAGAGATACCGTTGCCTTCGTTGTCTGTCACTGCGAAGTACACTGTATCGCTGCGGGTGTGGGCTGGGCTACCGTGGTCCATAAGTTCTGATGCACGGTCGGGCGAGAACAGTTTGGCCCGTTCGGCAAGATACTCTCGATCAAGGAGGTCCTGGCTCAACACTTGCGATGCATCTGGGTCCGTTACCCACCATGCCGCATCAGCGAAGGCGATACGCAAACTCTCAATAATGGCGTGCAGATATTCGGTTGAGTTGTGCTGGGCCGGAGTGAACTTGGGGATCTTTCCGGCCTTTTCTAATTCTTCCAGTATCCCCAATGCCATCAGGGCAACGATGCCCTGTCCGTTGGGAGGATGTTCCCAAACCTCGACACCTTGGTTCTCCTCGCCATCCGTCCCAGCCGCTTGTTTGGTTACAATGTCCTGGCCGGTGAACTTAAGTGAGATGGCTTCGGTCTCTTGACTACCAACTTCGCAGTGATAAGTGAGATCGTCCAGCTCCATATAAGACCCGAGGTCCTTCAAGACCTTAACAATCTCTTGTGCAATGCGACCTTCGTAAAATCCCTTTTTACCTTCCCTTGACAAGGTGCGGAAGGTGTTGGCCAATGTCGGGTTCTTCATGACCTCGCCAACACGGGGGAGCTCTCACCCCGTCCTTAGCAGATGGATCTTTCTTGAGCATTTCACGGAAGTTAGGAGATGCTCTACGTATGTCCGCCTCAGATCCTAGCCACTGAAGGAATATGTCAGCGTTGATAACAATAGGAGTAGGGACTATTTACTGACTTGCGCGGACGAGACTTCTGATACAACAAAGCCTTCCTCACCCATCTCGATTGCTGGTTGCAATATCTGCTCCAATGAGAGCTTCCCACTCCCGAATTTCTCGACAGTATCAACCCAACCGCCAGCCGCTCCAGGAACGGTCGCCGCAAGAGCATTTAGTTGAGGAATTTCTTGTGGTTCATCAGGAGATAGGTTCAGATCCTTCTTCACCTGCTCCAAAGTGGCCTTGCCCGGGTATCGGCCAGATCCATTGAGTGAGGATACCTTCTTCGTCTTGGCGTTATAGAAAAGGCAGAACATGTCACCTCCAATTCCGGTGGCCCCGGGCTCAGTCATGTTAAGTGCAGCAGCTGGCGAGGACCATCTAATTAGTCAATGTGCTTTGATTCGATGCACTCAAGCCTTTTACATACCAACAGCCACAGCAGCATCCTAATAGACGGATACCTTGTTAGTTTCCTCTCTTCCTGATTCGTCGTTGACTAACGTACCGCGGCATTACCACCTTGACTCAGGATCTTATGCCCAGCCGCAGCAGCCAAAGGCTGCGAACAAGTGACAATTCCCTTAGTGCTATGAACTGTACTGCGCCGACTGGCAAACGGCACCAGCTGGGCCTCCGATTTCGCATAAATGGCTCTAGAATTAAGCGGCATATTGAACCTCTGGAGCAAAGATAGAAGAAAAAGTATTATCGTGACATCCACGTTTTCGGCCCAGACCCATGGGACCGAAGACCTTTATATTCACCATATAACCCCGCGCTAAGGGTATGACTGGACATGAGCTATCTAACCACCTGCTGAAACGGGGGCAAGGGCAAGAGAAGCGGGTGATGAGCCCCGCCGACCCAGTTTGCGATTTTGGAGAAATTGGAGTCTATCGATCTTATCGGGGGAGGACGGCCAGTTCTCCGATACGTTTTCCGAGGCTGCCAAGATCGGCTACTTTTAACGTTTCTGGCTGTGAAATCCATTCGAGCCACGGGGCGGAAGTACCCGATGCCTCCTACCCAGAGTTTATTGCATTCAGACGATGAGAGAAGTCAATTGAGGGACGATTGCTCTTTAGCAGTACTCATGGGCCGGGAAATCATGAAGGATCTGATTTCGACCAGGATTATCAAAGCGGTACGGCAGAGAAATCCCGTGCTGTTAAAATTCGTGGCGACTTTAGACTGCAAGTAAGTACATTTGGACACACTCCCGAGGTAGTAGCATTCGAAATGTGTTGCAGGCCCCGCACTGCAAATACGCAGTACCTCTGGGCGTGACTGCTTATCGCCACGTGACTGATAATCAGCTTTCAAGAATGAATTATTCAGGACCGTGTTGAAGATGAAATATTCCATTTCGTCATCACGGTCCACTCGTCCATATCTTGTTGCAGATTATCGGATACGGGGACTAATCGAGATTTTCCAGCTGACAGATCTGGGCATTTCTGCAAAGGAGCATGCAGTAGCTCTCCCCGATACCATGCATCAGCGATCGTGTGTGTCCCTGCCCATACGCAGTCTCCTGGCCGGAAGGCTGGTTTACAGCCCGCTACTGCTTCCACGAACCCTCAGAGCCAATATACAGATTCAAAGGCTCTACAGCACAGCCCCTGCCGATACGAAACCGACGTACGAACCGTTAGATAAGGGGCCTGACGACCTCTCTCATTTGAATCCCACGCCGGAAGACTACTCGCGCTTCATTTTCCAAGACAAATGCACAGTCACAGTATACTCTGGCAACGGAGGTCATGGATGCGTCTCATATCTACGGGAGAAATATATCGAGGAGGGCCCGCCTAACAGGGGGGACGGCGGCAGTGGAGGGGGTATCTACATCCAAGCAGTAGAAGGCCTGACCAGTCTGCATAAACTCGCGCGGAGAGGTGTGATCCGGGCGACGCGCGGCACAAACGGACAAGGAAAGAGCAAAGGAGGGAAACGCGGCGAGGACGTGTTGATTCAAGTACCTGTTGGGACGGTCGTGCGGGAAGTTGATCGTTATGACCCCGTTGCCGAGGAGTTCGCTCGGATGCGACGAGAGCGCAGGGAAGCTGCGGAAGCAGGCGAGGAAGAGTCAGAAGAGGGAGTGATTGACTTCAAGCCCATCCGTCATGACCGCTGGGTGCTTCATCCTAGCGCCAAGCCATCTGATTTTCTGACTGTTGCCTTTCCCAAGCTCAAACCTCGACGACAAGGCATTGCAGCGATGGAGCCTGAAGCTCCGATCTTTCTTGACTTGTCAGAACCTATGGACAAGCCTATGCTCCTTGCCGCCGGTGGTATAGGAGGGTTGGGAAATCCGCATTTCGTGACGCGTTCTATGGGAAGGCCTAAATTTGCCTCCCGAGGTGAGGGTGGTATGAGGCTGGATCTTGACTTCGAGCTGAAGCTACTGGCAGATGTTGGGCTCGTAGGAAAGCCCAATGCTGGTAAAAGTACACTTCTTCGCTCTTTGACCAACAGTCGCACCCGAATTGGAAACTGGGAATTCACGACTTTGTCTCCCCATATTGGCACAGTGGTTATCGACAATCACAAAGGGCGGCCATTGATTGAGTCTAGAGGCAGAATCCGTCGGTCCCATTTCACTATCGCTGATATCCCCGGGTTGGTAGAGATGCGCACCTCGATCGTGGACTAGGACTGGGTTTCCTTCGACACATCGATCGCGCTGGGATTCTTGCCTTCGTGATCGATCTCAGTGCCGGTGACCCGGTACAAGAACTGCAAAAGCTATGGCGAGAGCTTGGTGAGTATCAGCGAATTCGTGATGCCCAGCCAGATCCTTCGCTTGAAGAGGAGCCCCCGAGAGGAGTTATCGATTGGGGATCGGATATTTCTGAGCCACAGCTTGATGCTGATGGCGAGGAATCCTATGATGGCTCAGTGTATAAGCCTCCTCGAGCTCTTCCATTCCTCGAAATGGAACCGATCCACACCAAGCCCTGGTTTGTTGTAGCCACCAAGGCAGACTTGGAGGGCACGCGAGACCAGTATAGAGCTCTGCAGGACTATTTATCTGCCGTACAGAAGGGCAGTGTGGAACACCCTTCCGGTCATGCTGATGGCTGGAAAGAAAATGTGTGTGCGGTGCCTGTTAGTGCCATCCGTGGTGAGGGTGTCTCTCGTATACCGAAGCTGGCGATGCAGCTCCTGGAAGAAGATTCTCCCTTCACGAACTAAATGCATGATCGCAAAATCTTGTACAATAATGTTAAATTAGACTTTGAATGTATAAATACCCATTTCTCAAATTCTTTTTTTGTGAAAAGCAATATGAACACTCTTTAAACTCCGATTGGGAGTTGTAATAGTAGGAATAATAGAAACTTGCACTCGAAGGTTTTATTCACCCCAAGCTCAACCCAAACTTTAACTACTTCATACATCAGCCGTAATCAATCTATTGCATCATAGTCACGTGACAACGCGACAACCTTCGCGGAGTGAACCTGCACTCCCCCACGCGTCAACCAGGCCGCTTCATGGCTACTTCAAAGGAACCTGATCCGGTGAGGCTGTCGCTTCCACTGGTAAGTTCTCTTCAGATCAGTCATGACCTTTTCTTGTGTCTGACGTCCAAAATAGCAATATCAGCAGGACATCTTCAACGAGCTCCGAACAACAGATGAGCTGGTTGTCCTTGCTCGCGGCTTGGGATTACTACATCTCATAACAAATCTGCTTCATTTCTACGATGCGGCGGGGAATAACTTGGTGCTTGTGGTCGGCGCGGACGAGCGGGAGAATGAGTGGATCGGAGAGGGTACGCCAACAAGTGACAAGATGCACGTTTAAATGCTAATATTGTGAGTTCGTAGGACTGGCAGAACTCTCCGCAATGAACAAGTCTACGGTTGCTCGAGGGTTGAAGGTTATCAACACGGACAAAGCTTCGGTGGCTATGCGGTAAGGACCTGTGTAAATGGAAGTGAACGGAAGGAGGCTCATTGTTCACGTAGGGATCGCATCTACAAACAAGGTGGCATTCTGAGTGTAACATCCAGAATTCTGGTAGTAGATCTTTTATCGAGTACGCTACCATTGCTCTCGTGGTCATCGAAGCACTGCTGATGTTAGACAGAAATTGTTGACCCTGAGAAAATCACGGGCTTGATTGTCTTGCACGGTGACAAGTAAGGTGATTCGCTGTGAAACTCTGTTTATAATTCTGATTTTTTTTTTCTTTTAGGGTGGTCGCAACGTCTCTCGAGGCATTCGTTGTGCGTATCTACAGGCAATCCAACAAACGAGGCTTCTTGAAGGCATTCTCCGATTCACCCGAGCCTTTCACAACGGGTTTCGCACCCCTTGCAAATATGCTGCGGAATCTGTTCCTACAAAAGGCTTCTCTATGGCCGAGGTTCCATGTCACGATCTCTGAAGCCCTCGAGGGAAATCGCAAAGCAGAGGTCATCGAGCTGGAAGTCCCGATGAGTTCGAAAATGAGAGAAATCCAGAACGCAGTCCTCGAGTGCGTTGAGGTCAGCGTTGGTGAGCTTCGAAAAAGCAATACAGGCCTTGACATGGAAGAATGGACACTGGATAGTGCCTTGCACAGGAACTTCGACGTGTCTATTAGACGGCAATTAGATCCTATCTGGCATCGGGTCACATTCCGAACCAGGCAAATTGTCAGTGATCTCTCTGATCTTCGTTCAATTCTCCAGTTCGTGCTCCCCATGGAATTCTTTTAGCCACTTGGAAATCTGACTTTAGCACAGTGCACTGCTTACTTTCGATGCCGTGTCGTTTGTTAAGTATTTAGACACCATTGTGACGGCCCATTCGCCTCCTGCTGGATCTAATAAGCACAATTATTCCCCATGGCTTTTCCTTGATGCTGCGCATGTGCTTTTCCAGACAGCTAAATCTCGTGTCTATGAGGGAAAGCTCAGCAATGACCTTTCTCGCCCGTCTGCGTCAACTGCGTTTTCAGCTGAATTGAAACCTGTTCTGGAGCCGCTTCCGAAATGGCACGTTCTAACCGATGTACTTGGGGAAATTGACCATGACGCATACCTGCAGCCCGCAAGTGTGGATGAGTCCAATAACACAATTTTGATTATGTGCAGCGACCAACAAACCTGCCGTCAAATTCGAGAATATATCAGCAACATGCATGTGCGGGTTGGCCAGGGGCTTGCATCAACTGAGAAAGACGATGATTCAAGTCAAGAAGGGTCTTCTGCAGACGTATTGATGCGACGCCGACTGCGAGACTATCTCAACTGGAAAAGATCACTTTCGAACGTGAACAAAAACTTATCGCAGGCTCCAGAAAATGACCAGCATATGAAACCAACAGAGGCAACACCCAAGCCTCCATCGCAAGGCCGGCCTCCGCCTGCTAAGCGTCGCCGGGTCCGCGGAGGTGCTGTGGTCGCCACTTCTGCAACTGGGCGCGACCCAAATACCAGCGTTCAAAACAATTCCGAACAGCCGGGCCAGGTCGTCGACTTATTGAACGAAATCCAACCAACCGAAGTCGAAGAAGAGCAGAAAGATGAGATAGATATGGATCCTCTAGAGCATATGGAAGACTTCTATGAGCTTTATAACATGGACGATCTTGTCATGGTGCACCCGTATGACGGCGACATGGATGAGCACATCTTGGAAGAAGTCCGGCCTCGATACATCATTATGTATGAGCCGGATGCGGCGTTTATTCGCAGGGTTGAAACATATCGAAGTTCTCACTCGGGCAGAAATGTCCGAGTCTACTTCATGTACTATGGTGGCTCTGTGGAAGAGCAACGGTACCTCAGTGCCGTTCGCCGCGAGAAAGACGCTTTTACCAAGCTCATAAAGGAAAAGGGGGTGAGTATTGATTTTTACGTGAATGGATCGGTTTCCTAACTAATCATCCACAGAATATGGCGGTCACTTTGACACATGATAAAAATGCAGATCCGCAAGAGCAATTTCTTCGCACAGTCAATACTCGAATTGCAGGTGGCGGACGGTTAGCGGCTACTGCTGATCCACCACGAGTCGTAGTAGACGTCCGAGAAGTCCGAAGTGCTCTCCCGTCTCTACTGCACGGCAACAACATGATTGTGATTCCATGCCAACTGACCGTGGGTGATTACATCTTGACACCTGACATCTGCGTGGAGCGCAAGTCCCTTCGGGATCTGATATCTTCTCTTCGTAATGGCCGTCTGTACAATCAGACAGAGACCATGCTTCAACATTACAAGTATCCCGTTCTGCTCATAGAATTTGACCAAAACAAGTCCTTTACATTTGATTCGTTTGCTTCCGTCACCACAGCTAGTACGTTCCTCACGGACTATGGCTTCTCTACAACCGGGGCAGCGACAAGCTCCAGTTCCAGCGCACTTGTGAATCCGTCGAATCCCAAGTCTGCTCAGCACATGCTTGTTCTACTCACCCTTGCATTTCCACGACTGAAAATTGTCTGGTCCTCCTCGCCGTATCAAACAGCCGAGATCTTTGCAGAGTTGAAGAAGAACGCTCCCGAGCCCGATCCAGCCACAGCTGTGCAGAAAGGTCTGGATTTCGATATCACGGGCGAGTCTGGAGCCGGGGAAGGCATAATGGCCGCTACGGGAATTGAGCATCGTACATTTAATTTGCTCCCGCAAGATCTTCTCAGGGCTGTGCCGGGTGTCACCCCCCAGGCATTTGACCGGCTGATCCTGGAAACAGAAAATATCGCTGAGATAGCGAATATGGATGTTGAACAGCTGGACCCGCTGGTAGGGAAAGAAGCAGCTCGAAAGATCGTCGGATTCTTCCGTAAGAGCGTTTTTGAGGATTGAAGAGTGTATCTAGTTCTCCAACGCCAACCATCCTTGTGCAACAACAATATAATGAGGGAAAGGGCTGGGACTCACAGCCACATATGCCTCGTATCTCAAAATTCCAATCGACTCAAGGTTAGCCTCCTATCATTGAAGAACAAGTAAATCAAAGTGAACTTGGGTAGAGCTGTATTCAATGACGATCACGTGACATATAGCTAATCCGATCTGCTCCACCTGGGTCGATCTTCTCTCAGCTTCTTCTGTCAAATCTCTCCTTCCAGTCCTGATTTTCGCACAGTTCGAGTTTCGCGACATGTCTCTTCCACCAGAGCAGATCAATATCAAGCGTCGACGAGCGGAAGAGCCTGTCGAGGCCCTTTGTAAGTTGTCCTGCCTTCCTGTTATTTTTACCCCACATTTTGCGATTCAACCCAAAAACTGTCGCATTCGGCTGCATCATGACAATTGTCCCTGTGCCTCCCACAAACAAAACATAAATTTTGCGCTAAGACTCGGCGCGTGCTATAACATGCTCTTATAGTACCTGTCACTAACAGGATACAGACATACAGGATGCAGTTACCGCCAAGAGACCCCGATTCGAGGAATTCTACTTTCAGCGCGTGACTGTCGACAGCAATGGAAACCCCAGTGGAGCGGGCGCATTGACGCCTACTGATCCTGCCACACAGAGGATCTTGCGTACCCCTCGCTCGGTGAGCAGCCCTCTTGTTAATCGCCGATCGACCCAGTCGACAGGCGTACCCTCTGTACGTGCCACCTCGCCTGGTGCAGAATTTCGAGAAGCACAGCGGCTTGCAGCAGTCCGGAAGAACTATGCAGAGAAACGCCGACAAGCATTGGAGTCTACTCCTATTCATTCCTCGCCACCTCCCACAGAGGCATCATCAATCACTGAACCAGCCACGCCGGGGAATGTCTCTAACTCTGGGATCTCGACTCCGTCCTCGAACCGCCCGGAAAATCTGCGTCGTTTTCAAATCACCCGATCCGGTCCCAGTGGTTTGAGCGGGCTGCTCGGATCACCTGGGATTCAGAAACGTAGACGCTTCGATGGAAAGTCTCCTATTGCGGTTCTCATGGAAAAGCGCCAAGGCCCTCTGTCACGCAAGGCCTCGGTCATTTCGGACATAGTGACGCAAGTTGAGGTCGAAGCAGATACTGTGGATGTTGCCGTTGAGGAGAAAGTCGAGGAGAAACCACGGAAACGGCCAGTTGTGAATCAGGCTGAGAGAAAGTGGAGGGAGTCGCGCCAAGCAGCTATTGCCGAAGCCAAACGCCAAATTGATGAAAATCTAGAGAAATCTGCCCATGCGCATAACAGCACTTGGGATGAAGAGTCCGATCGTCTTGCGAAAGAGTTTGAGCAGGTTGCATTGGAGATTGAGCGTGGTAATGTCATTGAAGATCGCATGGAGAACCAAAAACAAGCGACACCTCAGCTGTATCATTCATCTCAACCCCGAAAGCCATTGAAATACCAACCCAAGGCACCAAAACACCGAGCGGCGGCACAGACTCAACAGCCTATTCATGAATCTCAGGTCGAATCTCCAGACGTTGAAATGGAGAGTGACTATGTTTACGATGTGTACATCCGTCGCCCTATTGCGGAGATGGGCATGCTCACCAACCCTCTTTCCGAGCTCGAGTCTGAAAACCACTTGAAATCGCTACAGGCTGCTAATTCTGGCATCGGCGTCATTGTCATCACTCCCGAGGACGAGGACTACTGGGAGCACTTTGTCGAGGGCGATGAAGAGGAATGGGATAGTGAAGACGCTGATTCCAATGGTGAGTTTACTCACTATAATTACCCCTGACCCAAGTATCCAGCTAACAAGAACTTACAGCCGAAAATAACCCCGCGAATGACTACCCTGAGGATGAAATGTCTTCTGAAGATGAGGACGATGACCCGACTGCGATCTACAGCAAATATCGTAACCGCGGTGCTTCTGATGACGAGGAGTACAACTTTGATGACTCGGATAGCGACGGTGGAAATCGATACGGGCAGTGGCGTCATGGTGGTGGTTATGTTCACTCGGACGATGAGGACGACTGGTAACTTGCCTTCCCACCGCTGCCTTTCCCCCCCCTAAGTGGAAATTTGGCATGTGTACCAAGGATTTGGTCCACGAATTTACGAACTTTAGCCAATAGCTTCTAGACCTGTGGCCAGCACTAAGGTTGTAGAATCCTTTTGATACCTGATTTTAATTCCAAGTCTATCCCCAATTGCCCCAGTAATCATAAAGCGTAACGAATAACAACCACCAAGTGACTCCCAAGTACAGTGAAAGAGTAAAGTCTTTCGAAACCCTCCAATTCCATATAGAAGGAGATCACGATACCAATACACACTCAATGAGGGCCTCCATGGTATCAATCCGAGTTCAGATCATGATAATAGTGATTTTGGGGCCGACAGTCTCAAACGAGTTGTCCCAATATCTTTCAATGCCTTCCTATGCCACCAGATCGATCATCATGATATAGTCGAGGAACATAGCCTTTTAAGGAGCACCATGACCAAGAACAATATTCTCGTTGATCAAACTCTTCCTATAAACCAGGATCATCGTGGAAAACAGTTTTCGAGAGAATACCCTTGCGAGTCTCATCCTCTCAGCCGTGGAGAACAGAATGCAAGAAATATGCCCTGCGCATCTAAGTCACACTATGTGTTAGAAGCGTTTTAGGCCATGGCCTTATCCTTTCAACATACCTTTGATCTGTTGCTATGTATAAAGTCGTGAGCCATAAGCTCCAAAATTGTGGTAACTTCAGTCAGATATCGCCAACTACTGCCCAATCTGAGTTGGGCCATTGTACATCCCTTTTTGACATCACTAGTAATATGACGGTAAACGCGGAGGGGAAACACCCACGATCTTGCTATCTCGTAAAAATCGTAATACGTTCTAATTTCCTCCAAATTGTCCGCCTCGCCTCATCCTGTGGCTACCTTCGGGGCTATAGGGTCATCCGCACACTCTACCTGCGTAACATGGTGATTGACCGTGGCTTCACCGAACTCTATCACAAGTGCGCTGAGCCTGTTCCCATATAGGCATCCTGAGTCTAAGCCAATTGCATGCTTGTTCAATTGCAAGCGGCGCTTGGCGTCATGGCAAAAACCACCGTGATTCGAGATACCAGCCCCTCTTGCGAACGATCCCATTGCGTAGCCCATCCTTCTTCCCCAAACTCCTCACTGGCCACCAAAGCATTGCCGTCCTCGGGCGAGCGTGTGAAGCTGCGCATGTGCATCACAGTATGAGCATCCTGTGCTTCGAGAGGGAGCCCGGGTACAAGACCCGCATGCACCACGACCAGCGTGTCACCAAGAAAAGGTGATATATGAAGAGGGAGCTTGAGCCGCAAAATCAATGGCAAATTTGCCAACCACTCCAGATGCGTGCCTGAAAGCTCGAGTGCGGTCCGGTAGCAGTTTAAGCCGTGCCTCATCTGGGGTTCCGTTGTAGAACGTGAATTCTCGGCGGAGACCGCGTCATTTTTCGAATCCACTGTACCCGCCTCAGGCTGCGCATGGCCATGGGCGCTCAGTGCGTCGAGGATGGCTTGCCTGCGGCTTTCATCTTTGAGTTCCGCCGAGGCATCCAGCACGGCGTTGTCGTGGTTGCCTCGCACGGCGCTAGCGCCTAGCTTCATGGCCAGATCCACGACGCCAGGGCTGTCGGGTCCCTTGTTGATAAGATCGCCGACTAGAATCAGATGGTCACCGTTGGCTTTGTCGAATTTGACTTCTTCCAGGAGAGCTTCCAGAGATTTTCGCATGCCATGGACATCGCCTACGATGACTAGGCGCCGGCGAGGGAAAGCATGCTCGGAGGATTTCGGGACGATCAGGTCACTTGGTAGATCAGAAATGAAATTCTTCACTGGGAATATATTGTCCGGCAGTTTCGCAGATCCTGCCATTCCGTTCGAATGCCTGTGGGAATAGAGATTGAGGAAATGAGGTTGTCATCCAAGTGGGGGTTTCTACGGTTCTCCGGTTCGCCGGGAACAGGCTAGAGGCAGGTAGAGCATGCGGTACCTCCTACACCATACTAGCACATCGAGGGCGCAATAATAATATATTCTAGTATTTGAGCTACTGTCGAGTGTCGGGAAGTCCTATCAGATACTACCGTAACTGTTGCCGTCTAGATTGACAGAAATTGAGAACTCGGCGCGTTCAAATATATATTTATCTATCAAGGTATGATATCGCGTCGTGCAGTGTCTCATAGAAAAGACCTGAAACCACACGGCAACGGAGAAAACTTCTGAAAAGCCAGTGGCTTTACAACGCCGAGGCAATACCTTGCAGGAATTCGCTCAGCCCATAAGCTCCAGGGTCAGGAATCTGACCGAGCCACTCGTCCTCTCCACCAACATAGACGGTGCGTCCAAGATTCGCCTGCATATGCTTAGTGGCTTCGGCACCAGCTTCTGCTGCAGCGGCTGCAGCATGGACGTCCCCCTTTTGGAGAGTGGTACAAAATGGAAGGAGAGCATCCATCATAGTGCGATCGCCGACCTGCGCAGGCGTGTACTTGCCGACGGCTTCCACCGAATGATCTAATGCACGTGCCCAAGTTGTTGTACTGACGGGCTTGGTCTCCGCATCTTGAGCACGGAGTCCGGCGACGAGGGAATTGAGGAAAATGGCGTAAAGGGCGCCTGAGGTGCCGTCCATTGTCTTTTCCACGACGCCCACAATCCGTTCGAGAATCTTAACGACGTCATTGTTTGAAGAGAGAGATTTATCGTGGTCGAGGAGGGCTTGGACGGCTTCTGCGCCGCGCCTGAGACCAACTCCGCAGTCTCCATCGCCGACGATCGAGTCGTATCTGGTGATGTTTGGCTCGGCTTTGATCAACCGCTGGATGCCTGCCGAGAGGATCTTCTTGAGAGTTGAGAATTCGACTGTATGGTGTTAGTCTATCTTCATGAAATCAATATCATATTTCGAATGCTTTTACCTTTCAGGCTTGTAGGCTTCGTGTCGGCTTCCGTGGTCTTCTTGAATTCGACCGGTGGGTACTCGCGCTTCCAAACGGACGGACTAACCGCGGTGGTCCAGCCTATCGCATCAGAAGGCGCTTCCAATAGCTCAAGCATAGACTTGCCACTTCCAAGGCCGGTATCGACGAGTCTAAGCAAGGAGATGCTGAAGCCCAGACCATTCAAACTAGTCAAGAAGGTACCCTGGATGACTCGAACAATCTTGAGCTGACTGTAGTCCTTTTGGAGATGTTTGTATACTTCGTTCGTCAGGCCTGCAATCTCCAACGGACTAACACCACCCAAGTTGTTGATCAGCAAGACAAACTCGTCCCCAGCATCATATTTCAGGAAGGAACGGTCTGGATCATTCTGGTCCAGAAGCTGTTTTAGCATTATGGAAACAACCTCCGGCAAAGTCGCCTTGATGCGCTTTGAGCCAGCCTCATTATGGATTCCCATTCCGAGTTCAATATGACCATCCGGAACTTCATCAAGTTCTGACTCGCCACGGCCGGGGATATGGACATGCTCCAAGGAAGAGCCAACTGAGACCAGGTTCGACCTTGCAAGCTCGAGGAGGCCTTGAATTTCATCGATGTTCCCTCTAGTGACTCGTTAATTGAAGCCGGAAGAATTTAAGAAATAACAGCAGCAACATACCCTGCTTCAGCCAACGCACCAGCAAGCTTTATAATAAGAACACTTCCAGCAATTCCACGACGGCCGACTTTGCCACCCTTTTTGCGGCCAACACTCACATCGTCGCCCATAACGAAGAACTCCGCGCGAACGCCGGCAGCATTTGCTTTTTCAACCGCGACACCAAAGTTCAATACGTCACCAGTATAGTTCATTGGAATGACAAGCACGCCCTTTTCCGTTGGCACCCGATCCAGGACAGCATTCCTAATTTGTTCGGTTGAGGGCGAGGCAAAAATGGTGCCTGCGATCGCAGCGTCACACACGCCATGGCCTACGAAGCCTGCAAAGGCGGGCTCATGGCCAGAACCGCCGCCGGTCACGATTGACACCTTTGGCTTTCGGGTGTCAGTATCGCGACGGAATACGACCTTGTTTTCTGGGTCGAATCCCAAGGAGGGGTTGGTCAGGGTGTAGGAATTGAGAGCGGAGAGACCCAAATAGCCCGCGTCTGAGAAGAAATGTTTGCCTGCAAAAGTTAGACTCGCTTGTTCTTGACGGGTGGAGTCTATTGGCGCATTCCAGTGTACTTACTCTGCATTGTGTCTATAACTGCCACCGGAGCTCCAAGGAAGGAAGAGGATGGAATAGGGAACAGAGTGGAGGAGAAAGACTATAAGTGGACCGGAACTGATTTACGAAAGGACCCTGTCGTCTCCCCGCACTCCGCAGCGGGATAAAACGCCTCGACCTGCTGGTAGACGTTGGGCCAATCGACACGGATCTTCCCGGCATCTGGCCATTCTTGGACGGACGAGACGCCTGGATTCGGCTCACTTTCCATAATTTGGGTGCTGCGCGCAATCCTCGACATGGGAGTTCTAGACTGTTGGTTGCATTATCGCTAGTGGGGCGTACCATTACTGTGAACCCCTGGACTTCCGGCTAGGAATTTGACGAAAATCATGGCGCCGACCTTCTATGACGTGGGGGCATACGAAATGTCTCCGACTTTCGGCGTGGAATGGCATCGGTTACAGGTTCGTATCCTTGGTCCCCGAAGCTGGATCAGCAAACCTGTTTACTCCCAAATCATGCGGGGTTCTGCTTCTGATAGCCCCACTACTTCCACGCGTCAAACCTTAAATAGAAATGTGGGCACGATCGGCGATTTGCTCTACAAATCTGAGGCTCTACAGTGGAGAATGTAGGACTTTTTGGGGGGGATTCGTAGAGCGTTTTGAAGTAGATTTTGAATGCACACGCTGCTTTGTATTTGAGAGCGAAAGTCGGGGCTGGGGGGCTTGTGAATGTTTCACGAAGTGTTTAGCCGAGGCTGGTTAGTATAGGGTACAAGGTGTTATGTCCTCGCCCAGACGCAGGCTGATACCATGCTGGAACCCTTGTTTGGCAGTTAATGTTTAAAGCAATCCGTATCATAGGGCTAATCAACGATTACATTGCGGCATCAATGTATGGGTGGTGAATGGTAACAATACCGTGATAGCATGCCAATATTAATAGGCGGTAGATGCACAATTTGAATAATGTCCAGTTTTAGTATATAGTGGCTGGGCTGAAAAAACGATACGGAAAATTGGAGGACTGGAACATGAATGGCGGCAGAGTGATTGGCCAAATTTTACAGCTCCGGCTATGCATCCTTTCGATGGGATATAGTCAAGCTAGCCCACTTCGAATTGGAACAGAGCCTCTTTTCCTACTGTCCTGGAAAGCATTCCCTACATTATATCCAATGAGGATCATTGAGAGTTGTGGGTTTGCTTGCGAACACCCTCTGTGGATAGCCTCACCATCATGGTGGGCATCAAATTGAAGAACGAAAATCAACTTGGACTACGGATATAGGAGCCGTCTTCACTCAGTATGGCTCTTCAAGCTTAATACAATGCTGAAGCACACCGCCCTTGGGCCGTATATAAAGTTTCCGTTCGTTCCTCTTTTCTTTTCTTTCTTCTTCACGCATACCCGCTTGGGCGGCCGCGATCATGAAGGCGGTCCACCACAGAATAGTCCCTGCATTGCACGCCGTGGTGGAACATTCTGTCCAGTTGTCTCCGGGCCACTGTCAGGCGTATTCTTTGGCACTCCCCACTAAGTGGGCCTTTTTATCATGCATTGAGTCAGTGACTTGGGAATGGAAATAAGGCTATCTCACGTGAATACCGCGCTTTGGCATTGTTTATGTTCGGACACGCGACTCTTTGTATGAAGTTTCCATGAGCTTGGGGGGAAGGGGGTCTACTTGTACTTGAAACTTGGGCTTCTTATGTTCATGATATGTCTCATGAACTAATGAAGTGGGGAGATGTTATGGACACCCATGAGCAAATATACAACTTGAACTTGGAAAACACACAAAATAAAATTCGGATGCGACTATCTCCGTTCCACTCACATTATTCAAATGTAACGTGAATATAGAGCGGCTACCTTACAGACTTGATTATCTGCTATAGACCAAAATAACTGCTGAAAGTACTAATGCCACCTAGGCCATACGGTAGTTCTGACAGCCGGTATTACCAGCTCCACTCCTTTATTTTTTTTTTTGGAAGGCTTTTCAGCCTCATTGTTTCAGTGTACTGTAAGTTACCGAATCTTATAATACCGGGTCATTTGTTTATTACCTGCCAGATCTAGAGGCTGTCACCTCCCTAGTCTTTGAACAGCGCTACCTGTGCAAATGTTTGCACGTACTTGTGTCAATACCCGCCGATCTCTTGAACAACCATGCAGTTCTGTATTGACCCGGCTTCATGTCCGTAAGACATCATTGAAGTCCACTTTCGGCTTCCTCAATGCAGATAAGACGCGTGGGGAGACACATGGAACATGCGAGCCTCGTTCACCGGGTGTAAGACTCAGTAAGACACAGTACAGACTCATTGAAGACGTTGAAGACCTCGACAGGTACAGGCCTGGCGGATATCATCCGTTGAAGATCGGGGACGACCTCAATGACGGCCGATATCGACTAGTTGACAAACTTGGGTACGGAGGGTCCTCGACTATATGGCTAGCCCGTGACCTACAGATGGCCAGATATGTGGCGGTGAAAGTCATTATAGCTGATGCCAGTGTTGATGCACCTGAGGCTATTCTTCTAAGTTCTCTTGCAAGATCGCCATCTAGACCAGGGAGCGAAACTATTCCATCCATCATCGAACAATTCTGGGCTGTCGGTCCTAATGGGAAGCACAAGTGTATTGTCACCCCGTCTGCACGAATGAGCCTCTTTGATGCAAAAGAGGCTTCGAAATTCGGTCTTTTTCGGCCTAAGGTCGCGCAATCTATCATTGCCCAACTCATCCGTGAAGTCGACTTTCTCCACAGTGAACATATTGTACACGGCGGTATGCGACACTGTAAATGTTGCAGCAAGATTGTATAGCTAACGACTTCAAGATCTTCATCTGGGTAATATCCTGGTCCATTTTCCAAAAGTGATCGATCATTTTCCTACGTCAGAATTATACAAGGAATTCGGAGAACCTAAGTCAGAGGCTGTTATCTGCGTTGATGGCAAACCATTGTCAACTGGCGTACCCACGAATGTATACGTTCCCGGTTGGTTTGGTGCTCGCAGCGATGAACTTGCTTTAGGAGAGGAGAAAATCATCCTCAGCGACTTTGGAGAATCTTTCAACCCTCACAAGACCCGCCGGTTCTCCTCAAATACCCTTCCTCTCCTCCAACCACCCGAGGCCAGGTTCTCTGATAAGCCTCTCTCATTTGCCTCCGACATTTGGACACTCGCCTGTACTATCTGGGAGATTTTTGGCCAGCGACCTTTGTTTGAGGCTTTTTACCCTACTGCAGATCGCGTCACCGCGGAGCAAGTCGAGGTCCTTGGTATTTTACCTCCTGAGTGGTGGCAAAAGTGGAACGGAAGGCTGGAATGGTTCGACGAACAAGGCGAATTGGATCCGAAATCAGAGGCGTCTAGGGGTCACGACAGGATACGTATGACCTGGGACAAGAGGTTTGGCTACTGCATACAGGAGCCTCGGGCTGAGGCGGGCCTGAGAGACCGCCTCAGAGGAAGAGAAAAGAGCTTTCGAGACGATGCTTCGATCGATGCTAATGTTCCGGCCGAACGAAAGAGCGACAGCACAGCAGGTATTGAACTCCGAATGGATGAAAGGATGGGGAGAACCGGCTCTTGAAGAGAGCCGGCGTACTATGCTGCATATTAATCCTGTGATGAAAGGGAACTAAAACGTTGCGTACACACTCGCTCAACCCTTTTTTTTTTTACCTCTTTAGCCTTTTCAATTCTTTATCGACCTCTATTTTGCATAAATCTGTTCCCTTTTATGGATAGTCTACTAGAATAGAAGTGGCGGCCCTTAGCCTCGAAGGCACGGTTGTTAGTCACGTGACGTTCATGGATGACGTCCCTGGGCTGTTTGTCTCGAAGAGCTCCAGCTCTGTAGCTTGGCCCATCCCCAAGCCATGTCGACACAGTACGCCAGCGAGCCCAATCCGACCGCATCAACGACCTTGAATACGACGGTCGGCCCTATCCATATCGCCCTATTCGCCAAACAAGCGCCTCTCACATGCAAGAATTTTCTCCAACACTGCAAAGACAACTACTACGCGGGGACGATCTTCCACCGTGTCGCGACGGACTTCGTTATCCAAGGAGGTGACCCAACGGGGACTGGTTCTGGAGGTACTTCCATCTACGAGTACCCCGAGTTCGAATATGACCCCGAAGCGCGCGACCCGAACGAGCGGGTGGTGCTCCGAGATGAGATACACAGTCGGTTGCGCTTTAATCGGCGTGGGCTGGTCGGCATGGCGAAGAGTGAAGATGGGACTTATGGGAGTCAATTCTTCATTACTTTGGCAAATACAGAGCGGGAGATGAATGGGAAATGCACCTTGTTTGGTCGATTAGAGGGTGACAGTATCTATAACGTGCTGAAGATCGCGAGCGCTGAACGCATCGAAGGCTCCGAGCGCCCTGTTTACCCAATCAAAGTGACATCGTGTGAAGTAGGAGAGTTGGGGCCTCTGACCGGGAAGTTGAAGGACAGGCAAATTGTCTCGAGCACATCGGGGGGCGACAAGCCTGCTCCTAAAAAGAAGAAGAAGAACGCCAAGGCCGCTAAGACTTTGCTGAGCTTTGGAGGAGACGAAGGAGACGAAGATATTCCTATGCGTCCGGCCAAACCAAAATTCAATACGAACCTCGTTGTCGATGCGCCAGGTGCCACTACCCACGCCCCATCAGCGTCAACATCCCAGTCAGAAGCGAAAGAACAAACCCGAAAACGACCGCGATCCCCCTCTCCAAAACAACAATCACCGCCAGCGCATAAGCGACCAAAAACCCCTGAACCCGAAACTCAACTTCCATTGCCGAATCCGGAGTCGCCTTCTCGATCACCGTCGCCCCCAGTGAAAGAATCTAAAGCATCGAGAATGAACGCCGAAATTGAATCCTTAAAAGCTTCTATGCGTCGCACGGTTCATAAAGGCCCCGCTGATTCTGGCCACAAGAAATCCGCCCTCGAAGCTATGATTCCGGAGAATGCAATCCGTGGCCGTAGACGTCCTGCCGCCGGAGCTTCAGGCAGCGGGCCAAGGAATGCAGAAGAGATTGAAGCGCTGAAAATGTTCAATGCATTCAAAGCCAAACTTGAAGGCGCGAATACTGAAACATCAGGCCCAACCTCGCGTGCCCACGCTCATGATAAGTCCAAAAAAGAAACCGAGGACGTCGACGATGAAGAGGCGCAACTTTGTGATCTCCACTTCATCGCAAACTGCCAGTCCTGCAAAGCATGGGATGATCCCGAGGCCGCTGAGAATGACGATGACGATGAAGATGACGGATGGCTGTCACACGAGCTTCGCTTTGGGAAGGATGCCCTCGGCAAAGATCTGAACTGGAAAAAGGATCATCGGGACGACATCGACTCGCTGATGGTCATTGACCCTCGGGAGAAAGAGAAGGAGATTACGCGGGGCGGGCGTCGCCGAGGCCTGCAAAGAGATCGTGAACGAGAGCGCAAACTTGAGCGTTCGGGTGATCTAGAATGGGGCAAAGACCAGCGGCGATGAACTCCGCTTTAATTTTGCATAATGAATCGAGACGAATCGGTCTGCATGTTATGGAGAAGAGTAGTAAAGTATAATAGTGTAGGCTATTTCGAAATATATCATAGTTTAAAAGCCACCTCTATTAACCTAACCGACATTCGACAATCGACTTAGAGCTTTGCCTTTCTCTGTCGACTCTTAGCTATAGCTCGCGCATAAGGATGCAACCTAGTAGAGGGAACCAAATGGTCTATGTCGCCAGTGTGCACAAGATCAGGGGAAGCCTGGTCCAATGATGTGATGCCCACATTGCGCATCGCAACTTCCAGCTCGTCTTGCATAACTAAGAAATTGTTAGTCTAAGAAGGCCACCAAAGAGACCTACATCAACTTACTATCAAGTAGATGCTCAACTCCTTCCTGTCCATAGTTCATCGAGAACAGAACGCTCCGACCCATTCCAACTGCAGTAGCACCCAAACACACTGCTTTCAAAATATCACTTCCACGGCGAATACCGCTGTCAACATACACCTCCAGAGCATCAAACACTTCCGGGCACCGCCTTTGGATCTCAAGAAGAGTGATGATTGAGGGTGGGCTAGTGTCCAGATTCCGACCTCCGTGATTGCTGAGCAAGATACCATCCAAGCCAGCCTTCATCGCTAGCAAAGCATCATCTGCGGACATGATGCCTTTCAGGACCACCGGCTTGTGGGTATGCTGCCGCACCCATTTGAGATCTTCCCAAGTAAGACCGGGGTCAATATAACCAGCCATCACACGGCCGAGGCCGCCGCCCCGCTTATCATTCTTCGCCTCGCTAGGTGACATGGGCACGCTGATGGATTCATCGGCTTTCACTCGTTCGTCCGCCTCCCGTTTTCCAGGGGCCGCCGCGTCCACAGTCACGAAGATTGCTTTCACATTTGGATTTACCGAGCACTGTCGGAGTAGCTCGGCTGATTTTTCCCGTTCGCGGTTGACATAGAGCTGGAAGAAGAAGCTGGTCCCTGGCGACTCCGTCCGTAGTTCCTCGAGGGTGAAATTAGAGTTATTTGAGACCTGAAAAGCACACTGGCATTAGTACGGGTCTTTCATGCATGGTGAGGCCGGGTTTGTGAGATACGTACACCGTGCATGATTTGCTTCTCCGCACATGCCCGCGCAATTGCGCACTCGCCTTCGGGGTGTATCATCTTGGCCATCGCCGCTGGGCTTACGAACAGAGGCAGTTTATAGTCTCCTCCTAGCATCTTTGTGCTGGTGTCCACGTTTCGTACGTTCTTCAGCACTCTGGGACGGAACCATATGCGATCGAAACTTGACCTGTTGGCTTGGAGGGTGTGTAAGTCATTGGCTGCACTAGAGTAGAATGCCCACGTCTTTTCTGCTGCAGTTTTTGAGGCCACGGCTTCAAAGTCATGGGAGCTGATAAGAGATTGAAGGGGGGGGCTTTTCGCCCGCGGAAATGGCCCTCTTTTCTGTGCCTGGTGGTGGCTTGCTCCATTCTTCGTCGACGGTGGACACATCTAACACGCCCTGGAGCTTCTCTGGCTGCAATCCTGATCGTAGTACGCTCGGGCCGTGGACTTCTGAATAGGCTTGGGTAGCATCATGGCCAGCATATTTTAGAATCACTTTTTGACGTGGTTAGCCTCATCATTGCATATTTGTTTGAAACTTGACGTACCTCTAGACCCGCCTGGATGTTCGTCCAAGAAATCTGTCACATCCCAGACCTGGTTATTTACAACAATCCAACAGTCCTCGGGCGAGCTGTGCTCGGCAATCAGCTTCGTCGAAAGAAGCTTCTGCTCGGTCATCTTGGGGGTATGAAGAGGAGGAAAAACGTAGCCAGCTAGACAAAGATAAAATACTCAAGGATTGGAGAGCCGAGGGCCCACTGTAGTTCTCCGTGCCCACCACGGCAAAGTCGCCGGGGTATCGTACCCCGGACTCTTGATGCCGCATTTCCACTAGATGTCATGCAGATCGTGGCCTGAAGCTGCTGAGGGTCTGCTTCCTCATTTCCACTTAGCCACTGGGGACTACACAGTGCTAAATCTACCACGCTGGCTGTAATGATTGAAGACCCAGCAATGCCCCATCTCTGGGTCTCCTCGCATATGAATTCGGCTCTCAATTGCTCCAGAAATCTAATACTTCCGGCAAACATGCCAATCTCAGCGCCTCGACCTTTCGCGATCGGCGCAAATCCGACCGGCCTTCTCTCCGCGTATCTTCGTGCGGGGCGAGAGTCCCGCTGGGGCAACGCACAGCCACATGTTACTTATCATCACAGCCACATGGGTGGCTGTTCTCCGGGAGTCAACACAATTTGGTCGTCGTCGCCGATTTTTCAGCCTCATCGAGTATAACAAACAGAACAAACATTAGCAGGGACCGCGAGCTCTGCTCGAATGCATATCGGACAAGCTAGCAGGCTCACCCTGAACCACCTTCGGTACGCCAGTAGCTTGCCCAGGAGAATCGCCGTCTTCCAAGGAGGCATCCCACGTAGTTGGAGCCATACTACATACCCCCCAGGTAGGTTTAGGTTACTAGGCAAGGCTTGTATGCTCTTTGGTCCTCGACATACAGCATCGTGGTGTCTTCTGGGCGTGGATGGCCTCATGGGTTTATGTACAACACTAATATTCGCCTCAGTCGATTTGCATCACAAGAAACCTTTTCACTCGCCGCACGCGAACTCTGTTTCGAGCAAAGTGCCTTGCTCGACCTTTTCGACAGCTACTAAAAGTCAAGCCCATTCCAAGATGGGAGAATCAAGTCCACCACTCCGATACGTTGATGTTCGTATCCCGAATTTGCATCAAGTATCCGCCCTGCTAAGATCTAACTTCTGTCCATCAGATCGGTATCAACCTGAGCGATCCGATGTTCCAGGGCACATATCATGGTAAACAGGCACATGAGAGTGATCTCGATGACGTTGTAAAACGCGCCCAGGAAGTGGGCTGCGCCAAATTTATGGTGACAGGGTCCGACCTGGTCGAGTCTGCGCAAGCGATCGAAATTGCTCGCAAATACCGTGAGATTACCTCTTTCAGACCTCGGGATTCACCTTGGACCTGACTAATGTACTCCACAGCCGGATTCTGCTACGCAACGGTGGGAGTACATCCCTGCCAGGCCAAACTATTCGACGAATACCCAGGAGGCGCTGAGTCCATGATCCAAGAACTTCGGAAATTAGCTACCGAATCAAGAGACTCCGGGCTAGCTGTTGCTTTTGGTGAGATTGGTCTGGATTACGATAGGTTATTCCTCAGTGAGAAGGCACCTCAGTTAAAATACTTCGAGGCTCAACTCGATCTTGCAGTGGAGCTTCAGATGCCTCTGTTTCTGCACTCGCGAGCTGCCAGTGAAGACTTCGAGAGGTTAATTGGAGCGAAACTCCCTCAGCTTCCAAAAGGTGGATTGGTACATAGCTTTACTGGGACTATGGAGGAGATGAATCGACTCGTTGCTCTCGGTCTTGACATTGGGGTGAATGGCTGCAGTATGAAGACCGAGGAAAATCTGGAGGTTGTGAAAGCTATCCCGTTAGAGAGACTTCAGATCGAGACTGACGGGCCTTGGGTAAGTGGCTCACTGGTGCAGTGAATCTCAAACGACACTGACCACATCGCTAGTGTGAGATCCGGCCGTCCCATGCCTCAGCCAAATTTTTACAAGGAGCTCCGGAGCTGCCCAAGTCTGTAAAGAAGGAGAAATGGCAGAAAGGCTGTATGGTCAAGGGCCGTAATGAGCCTGTTGCTATTGTGCGCGTCGCCCACGTCATTGCTCAGGTGAAGGGAATCACCGTGGAGGAGGTTTGCGAAGCGTAAGTCTCCGTGAATCGCCAAATGCCGAATATTTACTGACCCAACTAGAGCGTGGAACAACTCTATCAAGATGTTCGGTCTTGGGGAGCAATTATAATCTAGGAGTCTGTTCTGTCGTCCAAAACGGGGGATAAATAGTATTTGGTAGATAGAGTGGATTTGCCCCGTGATACACTGTGGCGCTGGATCATTCAAACAACAAACTTCACTATTGTTCTTCCTCCCCCCCCCCGCCCCTCCCCGGAATCCACTAGAAAAGATTCTTGAAACAAGGACCCTAGTCCCGCACAAGCAGCCTCGTTTTGCACCATGCAGACCCTACAGGCTTATCCAGATATTTCAAATGGGGCGTTGTGCCCCGCGAATCACAACCGTTTTCTGTCGCTCTAAGTTACCGGCGTTGGCTCGCTGATTGGCCAGGCGTTGGAGTCGGATCGCGGGATCCGGATCGCCCTGCGGGAAAATGCTCCCCAGGGGTTTATCTTCAAGACCCTCCATATGTAGAGCCACCGCCACAACCACTTCGAGTGACAGGGTTTCAAAGCATTGGGCTCCTGCACTTTGTTTGGTCTGCCTTTATACGGCAAGCGGGACGTCCCACTCGCAGAATGAATCCACTGGTTGAGCTGAGACACCGCTCCCTCCGAGGTTTGTCTCCACTGGTCGGGAACCAATAAGTCCAGTCTCTGCCAGACATATGTTTCATCTTGGCTTTCCTGAAAAATCCATATCAGATAAGCCTTTTTTTTTTGTTGGGAAGTTACTAATAGGTACTTGCCCAGGTATAATCACACAGCAGGAGTTCTAGTGCCACTGTTTTCAGTTCTGCCCGGCTCTGCCTTTGGAGACTTCTTATCTTGAGTTTGATATATCGTCAATTAATCAAGGTAAGAAGTCTCGCTGCTGGTCTTCTGGACCATCAGACGCAAAGGGTCCGCTCCAATTGCTGCCGTCGCGGTCTGGTCTGGGGAACACGATCAACGTGGTCATCGGGATGTGGTCGTTTCTAACCTGTGGTTCGAGACCGAAGCACAAGGCGCGTCAGTGTAAAGATGTCGAAGGTTGGTGCTTGTTCCCGAATACGCGTGGCTCTTCCATGTTTACCTAGATATTGTCCCAATTTAGACAGTTCGGAAAAATCCGCGGCATGGACTGCTCCCCAGAACTCCCTGATGATGCAGGGCTTTGAGTGGCATGTGCCAGCTGACCAAAACCATTGGAAACGACTTCAAGACGCGTTACCCAATCTGAAGGATGCTGGCGTGGATAATATCTGGATTCCGCCAGGCTGCAAAGGAATGGATCCCGCTGGTACTGGTTACGACCTCTATGACCTCTATGACCTAGGAGAATTCGACCAAAAAGGAGCACGATCGACGCGCTGGGGTTCGAAGGAAGACCTTATGGCGCTCATGCGAGCAGCACAGAGCGCGGGGATCGGGATATACTGGGATACTGTCCTGAACCACAAAGCCGGAGCCGATTTCCCCGAGACGTGTCAGGCAATCAAGGTCGACCCGAAAGGTGCGTGTGCCTTTTTATACACGATTCCCAGAAGGCTGACAAAGTCCCAGACAGAAATAAAGAGATTTCTGATCCCCAGACCATCGCTTGTTGGGTAGGATTTGACTTTCCAGGTCGTGCAGGGAAATACAGCTCCATGAAGTATCGGCGGGAGCATTTCAATGGAGTCGACTGGGATGATCTGCAGAAAGAGCACGCCATCTTTAAAATATCAGACACGCGCAAGGAGTGGGCCAAAGACGTCAGCGATGAGAACGGTAACTATGACTACCTCATGTTCGCCAATCTGGATCACACACACCCGGACGTACGAGCCGATATCTTCAAATGGTCGGAGTGGCTTGGGACTGAGCTACCAATCAGCGGCATGCGCATTGATGCCGCCAAACATTACTCTGCAACATTTCAAAGGGACTTTGTCAGTCACCTGCGGAGTACAGTGGGGTCGGACTATTTCCTCGTTGGGGAGTACTGGAGAGGGGAAGTAGACCTTTTGTTGCAGTACCTGAAAATGATGAGACACCAAGTCTCCTTGTTTGATGTACCTCTCCTCGGTCGATTCGCTGTCGCGTCTCAGACGGAGAACAGTGATCTGCGGAAGATCTTTAAAGGAACCTTGGTGGAACAAAGCCCAAGGCATGCAGTAGTAAGACACCCCGGCCCTATTCTATGCCATGTCATAATTCTAAACGAGGACTTATAGACTTTCGTGGGAAACCATGATACAGTAAGTTGGACATGAAGCACTGTACTAGCATCCATGAACAGACTGACATTATACCTAGCAACCCGGCCAATCACTTGAGGTATGTCGGACTGGCGTTCATTTTGCCTATCTCATTTTGTGCTGACATCCCTTGCAGACCTTCATAGCACCATTCTTCAAACCAATTGCATACTCGCTGATACTCCTCCGCAGCCAAGGTCAACCGTGTGTATTCTATGGCGACCTCTACGGACTCAAGGGCGGCTCAGATCAACTTTGTACCCCTGCCTGCAAAGGCAAGCTGCCGCTGCTGATGAGGGCTCGGAAACTATACGCGTACGGGGAGCAGCGTGATTATTTTAATAAGCGTAACTGCATCGGTATGTACTATCATTCTTAGCGGCACATAAAACATGCTTATCGTTCTAGGATTTGTCCGATATGGCAACGTGCATCATCCGTGGGGTCTTGCGTGCATTATCAGCAATGCTGCTTCATCATACAAGCGGATGTATGTCGGATCAAATCATGCGGGGGAGGAATGGTCTGATATCCTAGAGTGGGCTGACGGGACGGTCATCATTGATCGCCGAGGCTATGGTGTGTTCCCTGTAGCTGCGAGGAGCGTCAGCGTCTGGGTCAATACACGAGCCGAAGGGCGAAAGTACCTCAACCGGCCATTGTGAGTGACGCTTCTCAGGAAATACTACGGGATAACAACTGACATTTTATCGTGCAGTGAGAGCGACATCTACCAAAATTAGGCAGATCGAGGATGATAGTAAACAGATTCGACTGGATACTAGTATTAATGAGATGGAATAACTTACAAAAGTTTCTTAATATTTCGGTTTTGCAAGGCCTCTTGCTCTTTTCATTATCAAGGGATTATTATCATCGAGGTAGATGGATCTCAAATCCGTCTTTGAATGTAGGTGTTTTTTTTTGGAGCCAATTCAAGGAAGCATAAGCACATACTCGCGACTGCTCAGGCCGAACTTAATTACGTCTTTATCCATGACCTCCACGTACCGTCCGGGAGGGATAGGGTCCCCATTGACGATAGATCCATTCGCGCTCTCCAGATCAATGAGGTAAGGCTTGACCTTGCCAATTTTATCTCCGAACTCGTTCCGTTTCTCGACGTAGCGGAACTGCAATGCCGCATGTTGCTTCGAGCAGCTGGGATGATCCACCGGGAAATCCACAACAGCTCGTTCACGGCCCACCAGCCAGCAACTTCGCTCGCTCAGCTCGACCATTTCCACCAAATCTTCGCCCTTGAAGACGTACATTCGCCATGGTTCTTTGGCGGGTGGTTTCCGCGCCTCGGGAGGTTCATGGTATTTCAGCACGACCCCCTCGCCACCTTGGACCTGAACAGTATTGCTCTCTGCTGCTAGACGGCCCGTATTCTTGAAATTAGGTTTTTGCTTCTCCGGTGGCGGTGGCCCGCTGCCCGGAGGTGCAACCTCAGTTGTGAAAGCGTCAGCTTGCGAAGGTAGAGGCCCGCGTCGTTGGACGGCTGGTGGGGAGGTTTGACGAGGGCGTCGGGGCGAGCGCGATCGCGATCGTGGGCGCCGCGGACGGTCTCTGGAGGACCTACGCTCATCGCGATCACGGCCATCGCGACGGCTGCTTCGAGGGCCTCCTGGGCTTCTAGATCGGTGACGATCACGTCGGTCTCCGTTGCGGCTGCGGTCGCGATTGCTGCGGTAGTTCCGCTGCCTTGATCTGCTGCGGGATCTGGGTCGTGGATTGGATCTGCGGGCGTCGCGGTCGTCGTCCCGTCGTGGGCGGTTGTCGCCCCGGTCTTGCCGACGCCCGTCGCGGCCACGATCGCGACCTGGGGAACTCCGAGGAGGAGAGCTGCTTCCGCCGTGGTCATTCGGTGGCGGAGGCATCTTGGATTGTGGATTGAGGTGTGGGGGGGGATAGCTCTTCGAAAGTTGGGGGAAGTTGGTGATCAGCTATATGTCACGTGATATGATATGATAACGTCCTTCTCCACCTGAATCGATTCACGCTACGGTCGAGTATTTCCACATCTTAAGTCATTGCAGATCCAGCCTGACCTTTTGTTTTGGAAGATTCACCACCTCCAACAAACTCGCAAGGCCTTGGAAAGGCGAATGAATTGCTAATCTGATTTCTACTTACGAGCATACCAAGTAAGTGGAACTGGACTATTGTGGGAGGGTCAGGAGGTAAGGGGTTGCAATATATAGTATGGAAGTGAAATATATGTAACTCTGATCTCTCTAAAATGACAGGTACCGACTGTTTGTACAGTAGGTTCTTTATATAAGAAAATTTATGATTATTAACTAACCGAGAAAACGAAGGTTTGGTAATATAGTGATAATCGTACTGCGTAGACTGCGGCCATCTGAGAGCCTCTGGCCTCACCTCTTCCTATCTCGAAAAACATATATGGTTGTGATTTTACTTTTGTTTCTCGCTAACCTCCTTGTCTATAGACGATCCCCATCCTGCGAAAATTGATGTCGACGCCCAGGAAGCAGGCCAGGCGAATGACTGCTGGGTATCTCTTATATCCTCACCGGAGACCAGGTGATCTACCACGGCGATAAAGATATAGGCCCCTATTCCAGTACAGATATGCCACCTATTTCAATAAGTTCAGTGTCATAGGGAAGAAAAACACGTAAGAATTCTGAAACGCACCACCCGTGAAGCTCTAATGCAAAAGCCCAGGGAAGACCTATTGCTTCTCTCGCTTTTGTCAAGAAGCCGCAGGCCCACTGATCAACCAGCCAAAGCCAATACCCAAGGTTGAAAATCGCTGTCAACACAAGTTAGTCGTTTAGAATACTATTGTAGGATTAGATTACCGACCTGCTCCAAACCTAACCATTCCCCAGATCTGCCGCCGGGCAGCTGAGTCCGGCAGCGTCCGGCTATTGACGAGTCGAATAGTGTGAACTCCAATAGCGGTCACCGCGCCGACGAATGAGACGGAGTGCAGGACCAGCTCATCGGTGATCACATGGAATGTTATCAGAAACAGCAACATAGAACCAAGAAGCATAGCAATGACGATAGAGTCTCGGCGATTGGAATTAGCTGTTAAGACACGATGTAGGACGGGGGTTGTAGCGAAATGCATAGAGAGGTCGTCCACTAGTAGAGGGAATAATGAGCCGGATAGTAGCTGATGCAGGAAAGGCGCGGCACGTACTCATTTGGGTATGGTACTTAAGGCTGAGATGGAATGCAAACGAACACAGACCGACCGCTATTAAGCCCCAGTAGGGAAGGACACGTAAAGGATCACCATGTTTGTTCGCTTTCTGTCGCAGCCGGCGCAAACCGTAGATGCCGTAGATTACTGATGAAGATAAATTAGATGATAATCTCACGTTCCTTCCGGTCTCTTACTGTAGACGACATTTGTCAAGCTATTGACAAACTCGGCGATATATTTGCTCACAGCGTAGTCTGTCTCGCAGAAGCTTTGTCGAGGTCAGCAAGTGAAGAAACGCTCAAGTGGCATACTGACTTGGCCTTCGAAGTTGGAGGGCCCCAGAAAGAATCTGCAGAGTCTATAGCGTTCATTCTGGACTTGACTGAAGTGCAGGAAAGTGGTGGTAGAAAGATGATAGGGTAGCGAGTGGGGTAACACGCGCCTTTATGTTCCGATGGCGTGTTTACAGAGTCTCCTCGACGATTTCGCTCGGCGGCGCGTTCGGGAGCAGTCAAGAAGCCTCAGTTTCAATGTCGAGTTCCATTGGTTGTATTGGTAGTTTCATAAATCGATTCCAAGGTTGAATTAGCCGCAGTCGGCCCGACTTTCTTGCAGTCGCCCCAAGTCGCCGAGTACATCGGGGGCGGAAGCCGCTCTTTGATACAGATCAATCCTTTTATAACCAGCGCCCTTCGTTTGTTTCTGATTTCCCAGCCTCCTCCATATTGAAACAGCAGGTTTATGCCATAACCCAGCCTACTAGAGACAAAAGCATGAGATTCTACCTGGCCTTCTTACATTACCTTCCCGCGTACGTTGGAGACTACGACTTTTGCTATATCCCTTCCAGGAGGAAACCCCTGAACATCTATATAATAGTCTTATATGCCGTATTATATTCAAAACAACTTGTCGGCCTCCACCGTACACTATTTCTAGGCCAACTCGGTCTTCCTGCTATTAACAGTGCTGACCCAGCCTCTCTTCACCAGCCTTTCCAACGTTTCCGGTCGCATATACCTACTCTACAGTTGCCTCTTCCTATTCGCAGCTGGCACAGCTCTTATCGGTCCAGCGCCGAACATCTACATACTCATTACTGGCCGGCTCGCCCAGGAAATTAGCGGTAGAGAAAAAAAAGTACTGACGGAGATTATCGTCACCGATATAACTAATCTGAAGGAAAAAGCGTTTTACATCGGCTTATTAAATATCCCCACTGCTCTAGGCTCCGTTTTGGGACCTGTAGTGGGGGTAGCTTTTTCGACGTATGTCAGTTAGAGATGGATTGCATGGATAAATCTGGTATGCTCTTCCCCTTGGAGTATTAACTGCAGGCGCTGACATGTCGAAGCCACTTCTAGGCGTTGGCGCAGCACTCAGGATACTCTTTCTTCACCTAAATCAATTAAATTATCGTTGCAACCGAAATAGGAACGCATTGACTAGGTTGGGATGGTGCTTTTTGTCATTAGGTCTACCGCCACACTCGCCCCCCCTTAGCTAGGGAGACGTACCTTTCCCATGGAGGGCGTGGCAGACATACGTGCCATTAACAATCGTTCCGCTGGTACTAGGTATCCTTGCAGTCCATGAACACCACACCAAAAGCCCCATGTGTCCTCATCGGATCCTTGCAGGCACAACTTCTGTGTGCTCCATGATCGGGTCTCTAATCCATAGGCTGATAACAGCCGCTGTTATATATATTCTCCCTCTGTATTTTTAGGGAGTGCAGCAGGAACCGCCGATAAAATCCGCAACCCGTGCCTTAACATTCAGCTTTCTGGCCGTTCCCTCTGGTTCAATCGCGGCGTACCTGGTTACTTCCTGTTCCCCAGGACGACTGGGGCATTTGGACAGGGCGGGTTAACATCAGCCTGGGCGTCGGAATTATGTTCTTGTTGGACCTGCAATCCTTCAGGGGCCTTCAATTGATCCTGGGGGGGGGGGGTTCTGCTAAATTGGACTTTTTGAAGGTATAGGCTCAGAATGGCATTCTACAATTTTGCGGCTGTATTTCATATCTTCCATGCTCCAAACCGATACGATAAGATCTGGAAAATTAGAACAGGCATATATGTGGTAGTAGAGCCAAATCGGAGTAAGATGTTTGATGCTTCTTCGGTTGGTATTGAAAGACCGAGAACTCCGTACTAGTACGGAACAAGAAGCGTATGCTGCGTGAGATAAGAGCAACTGAATAAGGCCAGTGATATCTCTGGGATTCTCCGTTGGGATGGAGACATCGACTGCCCAGTTCCTTAGATTCGAGTAATGGACCTCATTGAGACAGAAGATAAATTCACCGTTGAGCAAGTTTAGCCATTTCGAAGTAAATGTTCTTCTTTTCGACCCAGGTACATATCACAGATCAAATCTTGGAGGTTCAATTGGGAAGCAGTTCCGAGACCTGCAGGCCACAGCTGACTTGTCTTGTGGACCAACCGGTTGGTCAACCAATCTATCGGTGCTAATTTACATCACTGGCTTGGATAAGTGTTCTGCAGGCTGTCGATCGGAGAAACACAATTAGGGCCCACACAACATCGGCTATCTTCACTGTTGCGACATACCGGAGCATCGTTCAGGTTAGATTGAACCAAAGGCCACTGATCCAGTCACCAGAAGGTACGCAACCTGAGGTACCCAGTGGAGTAACTCCTAAACGGCTCGATTCTGCCCCTTAGAGTAACTAGAGGAGACTCTTGGTTGTCGGGATAGACTTGTGGTTGGGCCTCCCTCGGCAAACACTCCAAACTGACAGTTCGATATGCACGTTCAACACACGAATCTTCTAGATAACCATGTTTTAGATCGAAAAATATACGAATGCCACCCTATTGGAAAAGTGTTCGTGACGCCATCGCACGGTGCAGCAGGCAGTCCCCACTCACGTAGGGGGGTGGAGATGCCCCCACAACAGGCAAGGATCGTCTGGGCGGCCGAATCGAGGCAAAATTGACCGGAGCTCAACATTCAACTGCAAGGACCTAGAGGACCGTGGTAACCCCGCATGACGCAGGGGCAGCTTGATACGAAATAAGCAAGTTCTGAGTTCGCTTCACCAGGTACTGGCATGGGAATACCGAGGAGATGGTCGGACGCAACCTATCTCACCGGACCTATCGCACCGAAAAAGAGGGATTTCGATGAGGACTAGTGTGGACTTTTGCACCTGATGATATGCAAATGGCAGGGTCAGACTAGAGATATCGGCGGCAGTCTTACAAAAGCAGACCAACCTTCAAGTGGGATACCCCACCACATGTTTTTAGGGTTCGAGTGGAGAGCCAACCCACAAGGACCGAAAACCGAGGTTGCTTCTAGAGGAGCAAAGGCGCCGGGGGCAAATCCGGGGGAGGGCTGGGCCATAGAGATCGTTGCCCACGATCGAGGGGGTGGATGATCCTCATAGAGTGATCCTCGCCAATAGAAGGGCCCCCCAGTGCATAGACCTCACACCGGGTTCAGACTAAGGCCGAGGCTGACGCACGAGTGAGGGGTTTCATGTGGATTTCGACATTTCACAAGGACTCGAAATCTTATATCAATCAGAACTACTCTTGGAGTTTCCCTGGCAAACCCCATTCGCTCTCTATCGCCTGCATTCAATTGACCACCATGACTACACCAGCAATCAAGCCAGGGTTCTTGGGGAACCTCAGCAGCGACCAGGAAGAGAAGCTTCAAAAGCTATGGAAGCTCGTGCTCGCTGCTGGCAACTATGCCAATGAGGGCAGCGACGAAGCTACTGAGGATGAGGCGCCCAAGAGCCCTACCTCACCTCCTCCCCGCCGATTCTCTCTGCTGAGTCGCACCCAAAGCAATATCTCAGAAACCAGTGTTGCCACATACAGCCGACCATCCCAGAAGAACACCCTTGCTATGCTTAAGGATATGGGCATTCAATCCAATGAGACTAAAATGGTTCAGAATGCCCTGTCAAAGATTGAACCCAACGAGCTGCAGCGAGCTATCTTAGATCTGATAAAGCACGATAGCCCTGACGCAATGCTGCTGCGGTTCCTTCGTGCTCGCAAGTGGGATGTCCCCAAGGCATTCGCTATGATGACTGAGGCCCTTGTCTGGCGTGTGAAAGAGGCTCACGTCGACGACCAAATCATACCTCAGGGTGAATTACACGCTGCGAAGGCGGAGAAGGGCACGGACGCCAAAGAAAAGAAAATGTCAGAAGGTTTCTTAGCTCAGATGAGAATGGGCAAGGCTTTCATCCACGGCTACGACAAAATTGGCCGCCCTGTTGTCTACATTCGGGTGCGGATTCATAAACCTGGTGCTCAGACCGAAGAGGCTCTGGAACGATACATTATACACACAATTGAGTCGGTCCGCTTACTGTTGAAGGGCCAGACCGAGACAGCTGTAAGCATGTATTGTGCAAAACATTCGAGATGCATTTGCTGACATATACCAAAGGCCGTTTTCTTCGACATGACAGGCTTCAGTCTCTCCAACATGGTACGTTTTGAACGCAGTGGTAAACATCAACCACTGGTACATGCTAACTCCTATTTTTACCTGATCTAGGAATACCCTCCCGTGAAATTCATCCTCAAGTGTTTTGAAGCAAACTACCCCGAAAGTCTTGGGGTGTTGATCATTCACAACGCACCATGGGTCTTCTCGGGTGTCTGGAAGTTGATTCGTGGCTGGATGGATCCTGATATCGCCGCCAAGGTCCAGTTCACAAATAACGTGGCTGATGTATCGAAGATCATTGATCCCGACCGTCTTCCGGAAGAGCTGGGCGGTAACGAGAAGTGGAAGTATGAATACATCGAGCCCAAGGAGGACGAGAACAAGGCCTTGGAAGATGTTATTACTCGGGACGCTCTCTGGAAGGAGCGCCAGACAATCGGCCAAGAGTTCCTGGCTGCAACCGCCGCGTGGGTCGATGCCGCCGCAAAGAAGGATGCCGACCAAACTCAGAAGACCAAATCTGAGAGAGAGTTTCTGACTGAGCGCCTCCGTGTCAATTACTGGAAGATTGACCCATACACACGCGCTCGTAACTGGCTGGACCGGACTAACGTGATTCAAGATGGTGGTCACATTGATTTCTACCCTGAGGAAACGAAGGAAAAAAGCTCGGAGACTCAGACTGCCAATATGCCTGCCGAAGAGGTCAAATCTGATGCTAAAGATAAAGAGGCAACAGCCCACATTGAGACGACAAATGGTGCAGATGTTGAGGTTGCTGCTTGATAAATTGATAACCCCTGTTTATGATGTTGGTATTAGACGGCTTTTGTCATAAGAACAATATAGTTATCCATATTTGAACGTTTTGCATTCCCAAAAATTTCCAAAAATGATGTGCTTTATATTCAAACTTACGTAGCTCTCTGGACATAACTCTCATTTAATCTTTAGAGCTTGAACAAAGGCTTGTACTGCGAGCAATCCCTTGCCTAGAACATTCTTTTAGTTCAGAGCGGGCGGTGTCTTCCAGGCCGCCCTTTTCTGCCCAGAAACGCCCGCCAGAAGCTGATCGCGATACTGGACTTTGATCTGAGTTAAACATGACGTGACGGAGTCTGTTTCCTTACCCTGGGCTAACCTGGCCAACATACCACGCGGAAGCCTTGGGCTTTTTGGTGATATCCGGCGTCGCCGGTAGAGCTCATGAGCTGCATTCCTTGACCTCCGAGATTCGGACCACTGCCGACAGTCCGTCCGGCGCCCTCTTGATTCATTTCGCAGCTACGGGCCATGGCCGTTGTGGATGCTTGCTGCAGTCCCTCCGACGCGGCACCGCTCCAACCCTGGCCAGGCAACGCTTGCCTGGACTCAAGCGACTCCGTTACCCAACTTCACCCGTATATCAAACCACCATGAGCTCTCACGATCAGACACCGAACCAAACAGCGCCTGCTGGGAGGGATCCTCCGAACTCGCCCCACAACCACTCGCAATCGGACTATGGGGAGTTTCCCAGCTTTGTCTACGCCGAAGATGAACAGATGGACGCGAAAGACGCCGCTTCGGAAGAGGTGCTGACGGAGCCGCCGAACCCTGATGCTGGTGCTACCTTGGACGGAAACACAGAGGTGCACGACATGCTCCCGCCCCCGAAACCACCGGTCCCTCCGAATCCACAGTTGACATCGGAGGAGTACAACGCGCAACTCCTATCTGACCCCCGAATGAGGCAATCCAGTGTCGTCAATCCGGAATTCCTTCAGCAATACTACCGAGAGTCCCGACTACACCACCTCTCCACCTGGAAAGCGGAACTCAAGGCCCAGCTGCAGGCAGCTGCGAAAGAGAAGGCTCAAACACAGGGTGCCAGGAAGAATCCTGTGGCTGGTGCTAGAAGATACATACTTCATGTGGATTTCGATTCCTTTTTTGCAGCTGTTTCTCTTCTCAAGCACCCAGAGCTTCGCGATAAACCTATCGCTATTGCCCATGGCTCTGGCTCTGGATCGGAAATTGCCAGCTGCAACTATATTGCACGTGCGCATGGAGTCAAAAATGGGATGTGGATGAAGGGGGCTCAACAAGCTTGTCCCGAACTTAAAGTTTTGCCGTATGACTTCCCTGCCTACGAAGATGCGAGTCGCAAGTTCTATAAGGCGATACTGTCAATAGACGGGATTGTTCAAAGTGTGAGCATCGACGAAGCGCTTGTGGATGTTACGAGCCAGTGCATCGAAGCCGGGGGCTCGGACGGGAAAGCGATATCGGAAGGATCTATATACCGGGAGCAGGCAAGGGCAGACGAAATCGCTCAAAGACTTCGAGATGAGGTCAAAGAGAAGACTGGCTGCGCAGTATCTGTGGGCATTGGTGCAAATGTTTTGCAAGCCAAGGTTGCGCTGAGAAAAGCGAAGCCGGCTGGTCAATTTCAGCTGAAACCTGACGAGGTGCTTGAATTCATTGGCAACCTTGACGTCCGAGACTTGCCGGGAGTTGGATATAGCATGACTGCCAAGCTCGAGGAGCTAGGGGTGAAGCTTGTCAAAGACTTGAGGGAGTTTACGCGAGAAAGACTGTCGTCCTCCCTTGGACCAAAGACTGGAGTTAGACTGTGGGAATACTCCCGAGGTATGGACAAAACAGAGGTCGGGAACGAAGTTGTGAGGAAATCGATATCCGCAGAAGTCAATTGGGGAATCCGCTTCACCAACCAAGAGCAATCAGAGGATTTTGTCAAATCTCTCTGTGAGGAGCTGAACCGGCGACTTGTTGATAATCTAGTGAAGGGCAAACATCTCACGCTCAAAGTCATGCGACGGTCCATGGATGCTCCTCTGGAGCCTGTCAAACATCTCGGACATGGCAAATGTGATACGTTCAATAAGAGTGCTGTCCTGGGCGTCGCGACAAATTCCCCGGATATCCTAGCTAAGGAAGCTATCTCCATGCTGAGAACTTTCAATTTCTCTCCAGGCGACTTGCGTGGTCTCGGTGTACAAATGACCAAGCTCGAGCCGATCAAAACTGGCCCGTCAGCGAATCTAGATAGTAGCCAGAAGTTGCTTAGTTTCTCCAAGTCGCCGTCTCGCAAAAGCATCATAAAGCCTGAAACCCGTCTCAGGAATGATAAGGTTGCAGAGCCCACCACACCCCCGCCGGGCACGAGTGCCGCACAATCAATGGACACGGCAGGGTCCCAATTCATTATGCCTACTCAGGCAGACCCAAGTATTCTATCCGAGCTTCCGATTGACATAAGATCGAGACTTGTAGCTCAAGCCAAGCCACATCGCGACTCTCGCTCTGGATCACCATCACCGTGCCCCCCACAAGCTCAAAATAAAGCACCAGCGACAGCGACTCTTCCTCCTCAATCCCAGTTGGATCCTGAGATCCTAGCTGCCTTGCCAGACGATGTTCGCAACGAAATCATGGGCTATTACAACCCGGATCCATCTCCCCGTATGCCAGACTCAATGCCTCAATTGGGATCGCCTGGTCCTGCTCCTGCTCCTGCAGCGACGACCTCGCGCCCTATGTCCGCTGGGGCGCTGGGAACAAAACGACCATACTCGCCGTCCAAAAAGCGACGCGGACGCCCACCGAAGGTCGCCAGAGTTGACAACAGTACGAACATGACATTAGCTGGCTTTGTATCACGGCCAGTGACAGCGGCGCCTCTTGCAAGTCGCGTCGAAGAGGCTCATCGCCAAGTGTCTCCAGCCGTCGAAGAACAGACTGAAGTTTCCGCTGAATTCTTAGCTGCTTTACCAGATGATATTCGACAGGAGATCCTAGATGAACAGAGGCGTGCCCAAACAAAGCAAGACGCTGTACCTGCGCCCAGACCTGCTACCCCTCGGGAAACGCCCCCGGTCGATCCAGAAGACGATACTTCAGCGGATCAGATGGAGAAGCGTCTTCCCCTCCCTCCTCTCCCCGCACGGCCAGTCTTCACATCGCAGCGTCTCTGGCAATTGCCAGACCTACGAAATGCCGTTGAAGAGTGGCATTCGGCCTTTGCGGCTGAAGGGCCTTACACAGAGGATCTTGAGGTTCTCTGTGCATACATAGGCCGTGTCGTGGTGGACGAGAAGGATATCGACAAAGCCGTTTCGCTAGTACGCTGGGTTGCGCGTCTCGTTGAGGACTCTCCTTTTGACCAGAGTCAGCAAAGTCAGGCCCCGCATTCTGCTCAGGGAACCGTGACCTGGGAAGAAGCCATGGCAACCCTGTACACCTGCGTACAAACCGCCTTAGAAGCCCGAGGTCTACCACCAGTAGACTTTGATTGAACCGCCCCGCGTCATAATAGACAAGCCACATGTTGATTAAAAAGATAATTCCCATGACTGTTATGAACGTTGTATATACACAAAAATAAAAACCATCCCGTCACGAATGAAAAGGACGAAAACTCGAAAGAAAGGCCACGCTATGCAATCAAAAAACAGCCGTCGCATTAGCCGGACTAGCCACTCCACCAGGCACATTCAACGGCTGACTGGTCAACAAGAACGTCCAGCGTCCCAATTCTGCGCAGACAGAACTCAATTCCTCTAGATCCCACTGCTCCCCAATCGGCATTCCCCATCCACTCAGAAACACCTCGTGCATACTCACGCCCCACACCTTCGGCGACGGCCACGCTTCGTACGCAACCGTGTCACTGGCCACGGCCGCAAAGCCATGGTCCCAGTGCCACTGAATGCTCTCCTCGGTGGCCTCGATGCCGCAGGACGCACGGTCGTCGCGCCCGCCCAGGTGCTCCTTTTCGGCGTCGGAGAGCTTGAAGTACTCTGCCGTCCAGCCGGTGCGGATTAGGAGCACGTCGCCTTGGCGGAAAGTGATGCCGGCTTCGGCGGCGATGGCTTGCAGGTGGGAGAGGGGGATGGCGCTGTTTTTGAAGGGCGAGATGGGGTGTCCTTCGCGCTTGGCGTAGGAGTACCAGTCTAGTAGGACCCCGCGGGTGACGATAGGTTTCATGTCTGGAGGGATGGAAATTAGTCCATGTTTTGAGATTCCTAATTGGAACCGATAGGAGACTGAAGATGATGGATGGGCACGTACTTTGGATGCCGATTTTGGTGTTTGCGTTTGGGCCTGAGATGTCCTCTTGTGTGGCGCCGTTATAGTACTCGAGAGTGCCCTGATAAGGGTAATGCCGGAGTCCGTCCCAGTGACTGGAGCTCTGGGTGTTGATATGAAGCTGGATTGTAGATATCAGACCGAATGTCCTCTTTTGCAACATGATCAAGCTGTAAAGAACCAACCTCATCGTCGTTGGCATATCCCTTAGCATGGATATAATGCGAGCATCTCTTACGCCGAGGATTCATGGGCTTCTGAGGAATATCAAGAGGCAGACTAAGCACGACGGTCAGCGGGGATCCATGAGAGTGGTGATAAAGATTATAGTCCCGCTATCATGTTGTCTAATTTGAACGTGACGCCAACCAGGTGGACGGATATCAATTACTAACTTCAAGCTAACCGACCTGCCGAGTGTAACCTCAGTAGCGGCATAACGAGTGACCTCTTCAGTCAACAGATTCAATGTGCCACGCTCATCGTCCGCACCCCATACTCCCCAAGCGGAAGCCTTCGGATGCTCGGGATGCAGGGGCAGTTCATGGAAGCTCGGACGAGCTTGGGGGGCAGCACAAGCCATTGCCGATAATCGAGCTTTAGATGGAACCGCGTACTCATCTGAGAGAGCGTGATGGTCCAGCTGAATGTCCCTTATACTAGGAGCCATGATGCGGATGTCAATCAAGGTTGATGAAGTAGAACGTCAAAAAGATAGTGCCATAGATTCCCGGCTGTAGATGGAGGGGAGTAAGAATGCCGGGGTAGCCCTTGCAGGGATAGTGATTACCTGTGTCGCACTTTGCCGATCGATTGAGCAGTCAAAAGGCGATAGAACGCTAGATTCGGAGCTTTTCATCCTGCCTATACATGGGATGTTCCCGAGGGGAATACAGCGCAAAACCTCGAGATCGACAGAAGCTGCCAGCCTCGGCATGATGCCGACAAATGACTGGCCGCCACCAGAACGGGGCGGGAACTGGTTTGCCGCAGTGGGGGTTTGCAACGAATCGAGAACGGGGAAGCACCATGCTCTCTCCTGGAGGTAAACGAATGTCTATTCAGCCCATGGCAGTAGTCTGAGGGCTAGAGCACGTTGAAAACTTCCTCATTCGGAAAGTATAGCATTCATAAATGCAGCCAAGCAATTAGTTATCCCGATTTCAAGATCCAGCTTGCTCCACCATTTTTAGGCTCTTCTGCGCCCTCGCTAGTGTCGGTAAGTATGCGATTGGCAGATTATATGCAGTCTAGAAGAAAGTGGTGCTTATTCACAAACGCCGCAAAGCCATAGAATAATCGGCCCCCTTTCTCCAGTTCCCGGGGACCTCGTATTCTGGGACCATGTTCGTGGACGGCATCTATTGGTCGCTTTTGTACAATATCGTATCTATGACACAATTATCTTGACAAATGGATGTTAATTCCACGGTGGTAAGACCTAGTCATCCAAACCGTCCAGGTCTACCAAAGGGTATCCTTCAAAAATTCGTTGGTAGCGATCAACCGCCTCAGAGCTAACCTGTGATAGCTTTTGTAATGCAGCAACTGTACGGTTCGTGGTAGAGCTATGGTGAACCCTCTGAATTACTCGCTCTGGGTGTAATTGGCGAGGCGAGGACCCAATCTGCGGAATTGTGTCCTGAATGGGACCGGTCTTCTCCATTCGATCATCAAGCATCCTTTGCTGATCGCGAGCCAGGTAGACTGAAGAAGGAGGCGGTATGTCGACGGGTTCGGGCGTCACCTCCCCAGTTCTTTTCCTCGGTAGAACGGGCTCGGAGCTATTCTTGCTCTTGGTCTTTTTCTTCTTCGGAGCTCCGTCGTCTCCCAGCGTCGAGGCTCGGGTGAATCCTGTCTCCACGTTGTCTGGCATGTGAAACACTTTTGGCGGCCGCTTTGGCACGCGGCCCTTGCGCTTGGGTTCCGGCATTTCTGGCTGTGAGTTTTCTATGGGGATATCGACAATGCGCTTGTCAGCCACAGGACGGATACCCGCTGGCAGGATACGAGCAGATCGGTCGTCGTGGTAAGTGAATCGAGTCCCACTAGCAATTATCTGCTGCATCTTCTCGTAATTGTCCTTGGCTTTGATGTAGCTATCCTCCTCCTTGCCCTTCATCACCAGCAGCGTGATGTTACCGGCACGCTTTCGCCCCGTTCGACCCATCCGTTGCAGCATGCGGATCGGCGAGGCAGAGGAGTCGTAACACACAATTCGATCTACTTCACCAATATCCAACCCTTCCTCGCCAATAGACGTAGCGACCAGCGTGTTGTATGTACCGTTCTTGAACTTAGTGATGATATCCAGTTGGGTCTTCTGGTTCATCCCCTCAGATCCCTTGGCACTACTCTGACCGACGAAAATGTGCGGTCGAATCATGGGATCGTACCGCTTTAGCACCCGGGTGACTTCCTCCGCACTGTCACGGAAATGAACGAATATCATGACTCTCGTCGCGGTGCGATTGGTCCCGTCGGCTTGTTCGTTACCCTCGCCTGCATCCAAGAAGTGATTCAGAATCACCGACTTCAGATACTCCAGTTTGGGATGACCAATGAAATCCGGGGCTTTGGACCAAGGCTCGATATGCTGGAGGAGCTTCTTGAAGTGTTCATTCTCCACGATCTGCTTCAGGTACTTACCCCCTTTTTTGCCGTCATTCGCCTTGAAATGAAGCATATGACGGTAGAAGGGAACGATGCCGTGGTACTTCAACAGATCGAGACCATGGGCAACGCTTGCAAGCAACGTAAACATTTGGTTAATCATCCCCTTCAGTCCCATGCTCGCATTGCGACCGGAATCCGACATCATCCATTGCTGGCGAGCCTTGGTGAGGCCATACGCCGTCAAACTAAGGGGGGTCTCTCTGCCAGTATGCATTCAAAGTCTTCAATTGGTCAACCATAGGCTGTAATGTACGGGAGAGAAGATCCAAGCAAAACTCCATCTCATCCGAGTTTTCGAATGTCTCGAGCTCGATGTTCCGGGCATGAACGTAGTCTCGGATATCCAATGACTCCTCTGTGCGGATCTCGACCCGTGAGATATTCAGGCCATCGATGACCTCTTGAACCGTTTCAACCGTAGACCCAGGAGTAGCCGTGAGTGCGAGAACACGGAAACTGTTGTTGAACCGCCCCAGTTGCTTAACTACTTCCACGTAAGAATATGCCCCGGTAGCACGATGAGCTTCGTCGACCACCAATAACACAATGCGTTTTGGGTCTGCAATTCCAGTTTTGATATCGTTGACCATTGTCTGCGGCGTCATGAAAAAGACTCTCTTCGATTTCCATTCCTCTGCACGGACACCTGGAGGTGCACCTCCAGTCAGCATAGTCACCTGCGAGCGTGGAATACCGGCAATGTTCAGACAAGCCGACACTTGTTGGGAGACAAGAGGTTTGGTAGGAGCCACAAAAACAATCTGGGCATCCTTTGTCCACCGGAACCAGTTCAGCATGACAGTCGCGGCGATGAACGTTTTGCCCAGCCCGGTGGGAAGAGCAACGAGCAAATTATGGAATAGGCCCTTCTGGGTGATGTTAAACTGGTAGTCTCGTATGGTCCCGAGATTGGTCGGATACCACCATTTGTCGAGCTCATCTAGGTTCAGCTTGTGATGGGTTGGAGGCTCATCCTTCTCTGGCGGGCCGGGGTCTTGGTCTTGCAGCGATTCAGGGTTCCGAGTAACCATCCCAAAGAGGTTGGTTTGTCGGAGCCTTCCAGTCGCTCGCTCGTGATTTGATGAGAAAGAAGCTGCCTGATTGGGCTGTGTGATACGCGGGGCCGGAGGAGAGGAATCAAAGACGTCATCTGGGAAATCATCCAAATCAAAGACGCCATCAATAGCTGCACTTTGGACAGTACTGGTCGGTTGTCTTGGCCTGTTGTGGCCATTACTGGTCCCATTCCGCAGGGCTTTGTCTTCCTCGAACGACTCCAATGAAGCTGCCATTGCAGCTCTAAGTTCTTCGTCATCATCAGGGAAGTCATCCGAGATGTCTCCATCTTTATCTTCGGGAAGGCTTGTAACTTGGGGTACGTGCGAGGGAGGCGCGGGCTTGGGTTTCTGCCATTTTGGTCCACGGATCCTTTCAGGGCTCGATTGCGGTTGTGTCAATTGAGTAACAAAGATGTTTTCCGAGGGATTCGTTCGCTTGGGGATAAAACTTCGGTAATTATGTCGCGCCTGCTGTTTCTCGTATCTGACAGGGGTATCGATGTCGTTGATCAAATCCGCATCCATGTCGGAGAACGCATCTGTGGATTGACCTTCATCTGAGTCTTCCTGTCGTGTAGGCGGTCGTATACGTCGGCGTTTCGATGAGCGACCTTCATGCTGACCATCCTCGTCTCCGTCGGGGACCACGAAGTCTCCGCCATCGAAATAATCCGACTCGGAGTCAGAGGCCGCCATCGCGAACACCGCAGGTCCGGTAAACGCCCCGGTTATCTCCACCGAAAGCAGTTGCACAGGGTCGAGTAGGGGTTGCAGCTTAATTTATACAGGGCTATTTTCACATAGAGAAGGACACTTTTCCCACCCAAAAGCGAGAAATTCAAGAGGTTGCCATCGGCAAAAGTCCTGAAGGAAACAATATGCGCGAAGCCGATAAGACGCGTCGCGCTCGTTATCTGTACGCCTCAGGTGTCAACACTTCCTCATTGGGCTTTATTGATGCTCTAGCGCTCGAAATCGAATCTTAGTCCTTACGTCTGTCGTATACGAGCGATTAAATAGAATATCTAATAACTAATGGCATCCACAGATATATACAAAGTAAAAAATCATTCTGTCATCACGGCCAGCGAGCTATATGTATGTCATGAACCATGGAAATACAAACTCCAAATGTTGAAATCGATCCAGGAAATGCCCGCGTTAAACCCCGACCCAATGCCCGACGGTTGAACCCAATGTTGAACGGCATAATGTTAAAACTGACCTCTCTCACAAAGTCACTATATGATTACAGAGTTGACTGACCAGAGACAAACTCTGCGACGCCTCCTACTGAGGTGGCTTCTCGTATCCATAGCCCCCAATGCCCTCGGACGCATAGGTTTTTCCCTGGTTCCCGCGTCCATTGCGGGGACCCCGAGCTGCGAGATCTTCCTTCAGCCATTTGAGAACCAGTTCGCCCAAGCGGCTATTCTCAGACGTCCACTGGGTTGACTCGCCGTAGAACTGCTCCACCGGCCCCCAAGTTTTGACCTTGCCCAGGTGCATGTGGACGAGATGGGTCGGCCATTGCGCTAAGTTGTCCAGAATATGGGTGGCATAGATGATCGTGCAAGGCCGAGACTCGGTCTCGCGCTTCAAGAAGGCAAGGAAATTGCTTCGGGAGAGCAGGTCGAGATCGACCGTGATCTCATCGAGCAGGAGCACGGTCCACGGCCGGAGGAGACCCATCGCGAGCTGAACACGACGGCGCTCTCCATCTGACACGGCGTGCATGCGCCAGCGAAGATCAATATCAAGAATCTCGACGAGCTCATCCCGCCGCTCTGGGTATGCGTCGCCACCGATAGACGCTAAGAGGGTGGGCACATCGATGTCCGTACGGACGATGCTGTTCAGCACCCACTCCACGCCAAGATAGGTCACGCCCTCCAGATGGTCCTTGAAGGGATCCTTGCCGCCCACGGAAATGGTGTTGGTGGGGGCTAGGCGTTTCCCTGATAGCAGACGTAGCAGGGTTGTTTTCCCCGCTCCGTTCGCTACGAGTCATGCATAGATTAGCTACTGGATTGTCCACACAGAAAAGAAGCATTATTTGTTTCGGCTGTCCTACCGCCAATCAAGAGGGTCCGACTTCCAGAGGGAAGGCTGAGCAGCACGTCTTGTAGCCCCGCAGAGTCATCTGGGAATTTATATGACAGGTTCTGAACCTCGACATAGGGCCCCGGGCCACTAGCAGCAGACTCTGACATCTTGGACCACAGTTCTTTTTAAAAACGGCGAAACCCCCAAAAATAGGAAAGGAATAACAAGGGAAAGAGATTAGCCAAAGGCCCAGAGACTTAAAGTGGCTGTAACTAACTAATCCTAGCGCGGGCTAGTCGCGGATGATTAATCGCGGCGGATCAATCCCGATAAGCCGATTCCACGATACTCCACCACTTTTTTTTCCTTCTTCCCAACTAGACGCATTCGGACCAAAATGAAGGGACCGATATGCTCACTGCCCTCAGATCTACATTTTCAGGTCGGAGAGCAACTATGGATACCCTCATAGCAGTTGTTGGCGCGACAGGCACGGGCAAATCCAAGGTAATGCAAGTACCCCGCGACGCGCGAAATCAAGGCTAATAAAAGACTGTAGCTCGCAGTAGACCTGGCTTGTCGATTCAATGGCGAGATAATAAATGGAGATGCGATGCAAATGTATCGCGGTTTACCAATCATCACCAACCAGATCCCCGTTAACGAGCGAAACGGCATTCCCCATCATCTTCTGAGTTGTGTCGACTTCGAGGCTGAAGCTTGGCGCATCGGTCAGTTCAAGCGAGAGGCCCTGAGACTCATAGACGATATCAGGTCACGTGGGAAGGTCCCGATTCTCGTGGGTGGCACGCATTACTATACGCAGGCTGTCCTATTTAAGGATTCTTTAGTGGGGGAAGGCTCGGAAGATAAAGAAGAATCGGACATCCCCGCGGAAAGCGCTTCCTCATCGGAGAAATGGCCAATTTTAGACGACGCTCCGGAAGTTATGATGGAGAAGCTGCGCGAGGTAGACCCCGTGATGGCTGCTCGGTGGCACCCTAAAGATGGGCGGAAAATCCGGCGTTCGTTGGAGATCTTCTTCCAGACCGGACGGCGGGCGTCTGAGATTTACGCAGAACAGCAAGCACTGAAAAAGGAAACGGTCCAAAACAAAGAAGGCCTGCTCCGATTCAGCGACACTGTAATCTTTTGGGTCCATGCAGAGAAAGAGGTCCTGAACGGTCGTCTAGACTCGCGGGTCGATACCATGATCGAGCAAGGACTGATGGCGGAAGCCCGTAAAATGGCGGCCTATATCGATGAACAGCATGCGCAGGGTGTAGAAGTTGATCAAACTCGCGGCGTGTGGGTTTCGATAGGGTTCAAGGAAATGGTGCCGTATTTCGCCGCACTTCAGAAGGGAGATATGGATGAAACGGAGCTGGAGAAACTCAGGAAAGAATGCATCGAGTTAATCCGTATAGCCACACGTCAGTACGGCGTTTCGCAGGTCAAATGGATTCGCAACAAACTTTGGCAGGCTCTCTCTGAGGCGAACATGACCAACCGCCTCTATCTGCTGGATAGTAGCGATGTTTCCCAGTGGCAAAAATGTGTTGCTGAGCCTTCAGAGCGCTTGGTCGAGTCGATTCTTCGGAAAGAACCGACTCCGGATCCGAAGTCACTATCTCGACTCGCCGAGGAGGTATTCAGCGCCAAGGAACAGAAGGCCCGAGCCACAGTATTGGACAATACATGCTATTTTTGCGATGTTTGTAACAAGACTCTGGCCGGTGACGAGCAGTGGAAGATTCATCTCGCTGGCCGAGCTCACAAGCGGGCTATCAAGTCAGCCGCTAAACAAGCAAATATGGCGGAGTATATTCGGCAGCGAAAACTGGAATCCCAGGATCTGAAACGGGAGTCAGCCGCAGTTACGGAAGGCTAGGGGCATTATGTTGCGGGGTCCCTTGTCCCATACAGAAGAGAGCTTTGCATACCCAAATCAATCCAGTCGATTCATGGCCCCCCGTTTCGTGTAGCATCTCCCTTAGAGTATTCTTTTCGGCGCACGTCACTGTGCCAGTAATGACTCGTATACGTTTCTCGTAGTTATCTCGGCTACTGTGTTGAATGATCCAACTCGGAGTGCGCGAGCTGGCTGACGTAGCTGCGTCGTTCTATGGTTATGTCTCGACTCGTTGGCCCATGAGCGGAAGCCGAGCTATCCGCCTGTGAAACTCCTGGCGTTTCGGAATGCAACGAAAAACCTGGAAATTCCACGAGTACCATCGCGAAGCCAGCAGCTTTCGTTTTAAGAGCCTCATCGACGACTCGAACCCCCCCCAGTCTATGACTCGGGTTGGGTAGTATTGCAGTACGAATGCAACTAATTGATACTACTATTACAAGTCATGCATGCGTGGGGGTTGCATAAACCGAATCGTTGGATAGTTTTACTGTCGATCAATCGAATAAACATGCGGCCTTGGGCCGGATCCCGAAGACAGGAAGAAAAATCAAAAACAAAACCCGGCAAGAAAGACAAAACGAGAAGAGGGGAAGACCAGGATGGCAGAGGTGCGTCTGCATTCGAGCTGCATCGGGATTTGGTGGTGCCAATGATGACTCCCAAGGTCTCGCGGCCCTTGCTCGTTCGTGTTGGCTGCACTTTCAGTGGAGAGCAGCTCTTCCACCCCCGGTTCCCCCTCCCGACAATCTCAGAATCCAACCAGATCGATTTGTTAACACGGCAAATTGTCCGCTTGGGAACGGGCGATATAACGGGCCAAGGCTGGAACTCCGTCATAATAATCCAGAGCGAGTGTGAATATCGGAATTTATCGGACCATGGCTAAATCCTGGTTATGAATTAGGTCACTAGGTCATCCATCGGGGAAGGAATTGACTAACTGCGTGCCACATGTTTGGTTTCTCCACCTCAGCTGGACCATCCCAGTGGTGAATGGTCACTTATTTTGTTTACTCTTATCATCCACCTGCGAACGTTAAGCGGAAGCAATGGGGGAACATGAGAACCAGTTTACCGACCCAACTTCCAATATCTTTAATGTCGCTGCCGCTGCCGTCTGGTCAGCTTCCCAAATAGGCCGGTCAATGTGTTTGGGGGTTCATACCCAGTTCCTCCTTCATTATCTGCAGGCATGGTGGGCTGTCAAGATTTTGGTATATAATGTCCGATATGAGAAGAAGGAATAAAAAATAAGAAATAACAATAGAAGATCGATAATTAACTATCTTAGAATACCTCGAGGTAGGTCAGGGCTGGGGGCTGTTGTGCGAGTGAACAGACGTGCAAGCTCTGAAAGCGTTGATTTAATCTTCCTCGAGCGGAGCAAAGGCGAGCTTTTATAATCTAACGACCGTGAGATCCGTCTCCATGATGGTGCAGTCCTTGAGAATCCACAGGGTCAACACTGATGCCGCTTGCATGTCTTTGGGTATACACGCTTGTCACCGGCTATTATGTGTATCCAATCAGCCCGAGCTTGGAATCTAGCAGATGGTCAAATTTGCCGGACAGTCGGGAGAATGTCTGAATCTTTGAGGTTAGAGCCTCAAAAAGTAGTAGAATAGAATTGTCTTCCCCAAATAGGTTAGCAGATTGGCTGCCTTAAATGATGCAAATGCGAACCATGCGACCGAAGTCTGCATGGGTCACTCGGCCTCTTCCTGCCGTTTGGGCGCTTTCCATTGGACCAATCGCTCTTGCGAAGGCAACCAGCTGTACATATTTGCACCCGCTAGCCACAAATGTTAGGGCTAAACGTGATAATCTAATAAGCTTTCCTCCGTAAGTCCATCACCACTTCATCATGATCAACATCCCTGTATCTTTAGGCATCGAAATTTCTGACCTACAGTCTATTTTTCCTGTCACAGGGGGTGCAGCTGTTTGGAAACATCTTCGCAGGTCCGGTGGTACATCCGAAGCAAACTGGATATTCCAGGGAGCTTTTTTCAACAGTTGGGTATCAACATGTGCCGGTTGCTCTGTTGAGAACATAGGCAAGCAAGACTTGGATATTGATTATTGGGTGATCTCACGCAGAGGTATGTTACATCAACAACCGAATGGTTCCAAGGTTGGAACCTCGTCACTAGCGATTGATAGGGTCTCGTATTGGAAGCTGTGGAACTTTACGAGGCGCCAGTGGCGTGCAAGCTGCCGGTGAGGTTGTCGAGCGGGGGCCAGATATACAAGCTACTGCAAGCTAGACAGATTACATTTTTATATTAACCCGAGTCATTATGGCATGCCGTAGTACCCTTAAAGCGCTTCCACCGACAGTCCAAAACCCATAGATAGATACCTTCAGATCAAGTAGTTTTGTTCAAGGGAAGCTCCTATGTCGGCCATGGCCGAGCTTATCTTATCGGCGAGCGCCGACGTGGTTGTCCGCTTCCCCTAGACTTTCTCCACGGACTGACCATTTCTCTTCTCTGGTTTTTTTTTTTTGCTTTCTATCTTTCTTTCTTTTCACTGCAATCTTTAGTTCGTAAAGGGAAGGACCGGGTTTATCTCTGACCCTTGTCACTTCGGAAAGCCGTCACAATGGCGCCGATCCTCACCTCCAATCCATCGCGAACCCTGCTCCCGGAACCCCTCACTCCAGCCAACTTTGCGCCATTCGGCACCGCAATCTGTTCCCCTCTTCCGCGCGATCTCAGTATCGCCCCACAAGTCGCCTCTCTGCCACCTCACAACCCGGCCCCGGTGCTTGCGAATCAAAATTCAGCATTAAAATATAGCCCAATCTCCCCGCTCCTCGACCACTACAAGGATGGAAGCCCAAGTGGCACCGCAGCGTCGGCACGGATGACCATGTTCTGCTGCTTCCCTCGTAAACTGCGAACGATCGCCGAGAGCAAGCCCGAGAAAGAGGTCTTTGACGTGCGGATTCTGGAGCGCCACCCTTTCACCAACCAGACTTTTATCCCTGTCGACCTGTCCAGTCATTCCAAGGTCGGCGATGGCGAAGACGAGCCGATCTACCTCGTGGTCGTTGCACCCACGTTAAGGGGCCAGGTGGCTACGGCGAGAAATGCCGCGGGCGAGAGGGTGACTATTCGTGACCCGCCTGATTTAAACAATGTCAAAGCTTTCATTGCGCACGGTGGTCAAGCCGTGACCTACGGCGTCGGAACGTGGCATGCACCAATGGTAGTCCTCGGGCGCCGCCGTGTCGACTTTGTGGTGGTGCAGCATGTGAACGGAGTCGAGGATGAAGACGTCCAAGAAGCGGAGTTTGGAGAAGGCATCTTCGTTGATCTAGGTCGTAAGGGTCAATATGGACGTAGGGAAGAGGGCCCTCCCAAGCTTTGGACTGCTAAGCTTTAGATTTCCGACGACCGCCTATTAAGTTAGATAAGTACTCGCCTCCTGAAATACCTGGTACGCCATGGAGGGTACATGTCGACTCACCGGAGGTCGACGTGAAAATTGAACCTAAAAAAGACTGTACATATATACTAGTATACCTAGGGACCTTCCTGCATAGTCATAGAGCGACACTGGGTTACTCAACGTAGGTTCCTCTACTAGCCTAACCTCGGAAGCTATAGAGCTTTTCTGAGCCTTGGCCGGAATGGCGCGTACTCTTGTATTTTCCTCCCAGTCTTTAACATTAGCAAAGTTCGTCAATTCAGAATGAACTGCATAGGTATATTCTCTTGATCGTTGACACTCGTTATCTTCATTCCGTATTCACCAGAAATCCGACCTTAACCCATCTACATCATCGTTTCCTGGTGGACCACAATCCTCCACTCTCCGTCTGACCCTTGGCTCCATGTAGTGGCACCCGTTGCCCGATATTCCTTATTATCTCGCGTGGCATAGACCTTGTATGTCACCGACGCCGCCATGAGATCGATAATAATGGTGCGGACATCGTCGAGCTGGTACCCATCGAACCGGTGGAACGGCGGTTTCATTGCAGCATCGAAATGCTCTTCGTCTTGGAGCGTCAAGGTCTCCATCTTGGGAAAGATGAGATTCACCTCCTCGTTGCTCAGCTTTTTGATTTCCGGCGCAGGATCAGCAGACGTGAGCGCCGTCCATAGCGCGCGCGTCTTGTTGAGTACTTCCTCGCGGATCCGATCGTGGATAGAAGGCATGATGATTGGTGGAGAGCGGGAACTAAATATAGCGAGGATGTTCAAGTTAACTATCAACTCGAAGCCTTTCCCTTGCTTTCACGCAAGGGGATCAAGCGAGTACATACCTAAGTGTCAAACACAGCGACCGGGATAATCGTCAACTTCTCTGCCCGTCCAAGCGGGGACACGGTGGTTTTATTTACCTTGTTCAACCTTGAGTCCGATATATTAAAAATGACGTCAGTGGGATGACGTTAGGAGCCACCGACAACGAGGCATCTTTAATCTCCGCTGATCAGCGACTAATCCTGTCATATCGTTGCCAACTGACAGCTTCCTGACATGCGTCATGCCCCATACTGGCTGAGTTGAGTCCCACTAGTGGCTTGAGCCCCGCGTCATACTCCCAAGTCTTCACGGTATCTATTTCTGGAGACAGGACCTAATGCGGTCGGGTTTGGATGCTGTAACCCACGTGTCATCCATCTTTCTCTAAAGTTAAATTTGTATAGATTTGATGGTCTAGAATTAATTTGGCATTAAGGCTTTTTGCATCCGTGGATACCTTGACTGTTCTTGTTCCCCTTCGGGAATAGAGACCGCGAACGGAATTCTGTACCTCTTAGTAAGGGGACAGTTGAATTCGCGACTTGGACTTTTGGAGTCGTCCGTGTGGACGGTTCCAGCGGGATAGAAAGGCGTCTGGCATATGAATGAGAAAAGAGTGGACCCACTCAGTCCTATTATGCATTTTATTTATTCGAAGCAGATTAATCTAGAGTATCGTAATAAAGCTATGGGTATATGACAAGGAAGGCCAGAGATTGGGAGCCACCGGCAAGCACAACATTTTCATAGAAGCCTTTCTTCCACCCCCAATGGATATATCGGTAAGAAATATGAAGCAGCCCATAGGCCGCAGAAAAATCCTCGATAACCCGAGCTTGGCCATAACCACTAAGCTAAATGGACGGCAGAAACTCTAGACATCGAGATTCGATGTGCATGCCATATGAATAGGATGGAATGGCCCATCTTACCCTGGAAGAACTTGTAATGAAGGTTCCGTTGAAGGGTACTCCAGGAGTCACCACATGTGACCATTCGATGTGATATCGCGTTCGGAGTGACAGGACCCCCGACTGTACAGGTGCCTCCTTTCAGCCAAAGTAGACGAATTTCCAGAATTTATCCCCAAATATTAATTGAGTCAACAGGATTGCGGAGGTGCTGGTATTTTTGAGGGCCGAGCAATTAGCTGAGTCCTTTGAAACTGCATCAGTCCGTCCGGTTTGCGTATATTCGATCACACAGCTGATGACCGTTCCGGAGTTGTCGGGGTTGCAGAGGCCTCCACGAGCTGAACTCGCAGGACACAAGGCGACAGCTGGCTAGTTTGCTCCACAGTCTTTTCGCTCAAGAGACCCTAAAAATACCCAAAAGGAGGGGTCCTGCCCTTACCATTGCGCGTCACTTTCTGCAGCAGTATAATATCCACTTCTTTCGAAATTGAACGTAGGGTTGGTTGCGAATAGTGATGAACGATCAATGAAAGGGTCGCTCTGACCATACTTGCTGGGCAATTCTCACGCGCAGCCAGAGCTTGAAGAATGCCAAATTCCATGTCGAAGCTACTTATGGGTTATGCCCCATTTTAGGGAACAACACGCAGGCCTGATAAAGGCTTTCGACCCTTGTATCGCCTTCTAACGGAGAAAACGCGAACAGGTTACTCGAGACAGACTGCGTACAAAGGATGGAACAGTTGGCGCCCACAGGAGAAATACTAAGCGCCCAATGTAGGAGCATCCCGGAGCCTAATGCACAAGCCGAGAATCCCGTAGGGGCCGAAATGAACCGTTGGCGCTTATGATGGACAGTCTGCTTTCTTGCATAGGGCTAATGGACCCACCGGATTGTTCGCTTCGGGTCGAGGCCCTAATATACCAACTCCCAAGGCATACTATGAGCAGGGATCTGCTGGCCATTATTTATACGACTGTGATCGGTTGTTTTGACCCAATCATGTTCCACCCATGCGGTTCGTCGAGATCCACAATTTTGGGGTGTCCTAATTTTGGATCAATCTGTAGGGGGGCCCCACTATGCAAGTCACATTTTCCTTATCATCACGGCGCTTAGGAGTCGGGTTGGCAGCTCTTCGTCTCTGCGCTGCAATTGGCACTAGCAATAAGACCGAGCAGTTCCTGAAGAGAGAGGCAGAATCCTGTCAGTGCACATATCAGGTCTCTAGATGGCTCGTTAGATAGCGCACGCGACGAGAAACGCCATGTCTGTCGTCCCCCCTAAAGCGCTGCGCTCCATCTTGGTTTTGGTGACCGCGATCGTAGTGCTACTCACCCTTTTCTGTTATCGACCATATTCAAGCTCTGTCTCTACTCTGCGAGGTGTCGTTCCAGAGGCCCGAATCGGGGATGTCGACTGGTCGCGCTACGCCTACACTCAATATGTCACAAACACCGATTATCTGTGCAATTCCGTTATGTTGTTCGAAGCTCTCCATCGCCTTGGTAGCAAGGCCGATCGGCTGATGATGTACCCGGAGGACTTTTCCGTCGAGGATGATAATACTTCAAAGGAGTCAAAGCTTCTTCGCATTGCCCGGGAGAAGTACAATGTCAAATTGAAGCCTATCCAGGTTCAGAGCAGGCTTGGGGTTGGCGGTTAGTTCCTCGAGAGTTCTATGGTGATCTATAGCTGACGCGATACAGCCACGTGGGCCGAGAGCTACACAAAGCTTCTTGCATTCAACCAGACCCAATACGATCGGGTTCTGAGCTTAGACTCCGACTCGACTGTTTTACAGGTGAGCGATACTAAAGACACGACCCCTTTTGATGGTACTTGGCTGACCTAGGTCTTACACAGCCAATGGACGAGTTATTCCTCCTACCGTCCTTCCCCGTTGCGATGCCACGGGCCTATTGGTTATACCCGGACTACCAAATATTTAGTTCCCAGCTGGTCTTGATCCAACCATCCAAGACCGAATTCGACCGGATCATGGAAGCAATCAAAAAGGCCAGCATGGACGAGTACGACATGGAAATCTTGAACAAGTTATACAAAGATAGCGCCTTGATTCTACCACATCGGCCATATGATCTTTTGACCGGAGAATTCCGGGGCGATGACCACTCTGCATACTTGGGCACTAAATTGGAAAAGTGGGATCCGTATCGGATTCTCCACGAGGCCAAGTTCCTACATTTCTCAGACTGGCCTGTACCCAAGGTAGGACAACGCTTTTCGATACGCGAACCCGACATGCTAATGTGTCACAGCCATGGGACTCCGATCCTAGAAACATGATGGAGAAAAAGCAGCCCAAGTGTCAATACAACCCGGAAACCAAGGAGGAAGATGACTGCAGGGCTTTGAATGTTTGGTTGGAGATTTACGATGATTTTAGGAGGCGGCGAAAGGTAAGCTTCTCACGGCTCTTCCAGTCCCGTCGGGCTGCTAACTTCCTCCCAGGCCATTTGCGGCACCGAGGACGACGCTTTATGATATGATCCGTAAGTAAAATTGGCATTTTTCCTATGGAAATTCCATTGTAATCTTCTTCGGCCTTTTCAAATTGCCATTTTTTTTTTTGGGTGAGCTTTGCATATTACATAGCGATGGAATCCCCGCCCGCGGGCGGGACGGCGGACCTGCAGTGTGTGATGATACCTTCTTGATTCAAGATTAGACCGAACATCATCAATTAATAGCGATTGTTCTGGAATTTACAGTGTCCTAACCTTCAACAAGAATTCCGGACGGTTCTCATATACCAGGCTCTAAATAAACCGATAAGCCCAATCCCCACCCCGCCCGGGACTAGTAATGAAGTGCCGATCATTGGTCTGTGAGCTCCAGCCTGTCTGCAGTTGCCGAAATGATGCAAACGGAAGGTTGGGGCTTTTAAGCAATCTAGAGGATTAGAATCACTCAACGACCGGGAATTCTTCTCAGCAGAGCAACTTGCATGATATGCGGAATATGGTGTTTTTTTTTTTTTGGTGTTTTTCCCCAATTCTTTCCGAATTCTTTCCGAACAAAGTTGGAATCAGCACCTTGACGCTTTGACGGTTACCCACGGTCCGTTCACCGGACCAATGAGGCTACATCAGATCTTGCAAATACGAATCGCATAATTCCATCCCCTAACGTTAATCTTCTTCTCCGAGAAAAAAAAGGGAAAATTATGGGGCTGGTTGGGGTCAACCCTCGATTCAACGTTCCTGCTTGGTCCGACTACTTTCCCGGATGTCAGTCTCGCCAATTCCCACCCCTTCAAGGCCGTTCGCCCGCCCATGTGCCTTCCTCTGCCCCACTTGCTTGCAACCATCGAGCCGGTGAATCTTCCCCTCCCTTGTAGTCTTTTATGCTTTCTTTCCATTCCCTCTCCTCCCTTTCACACAATGTCTTTCGCTGTCTCAAGGTCACTGCCTAGGACCGTTCTGCGGTCTTACGGCACCGTCCAAGGTCCTCCTGCAGCCTCCCTCGCCAATCGCATTCCCAATGCTTTAATCGAAGCCACTACGGCCACTGCTCCTCGGACCAACTGGACCCGAGAGGAAGTGAGCCAGGTCTATAACACCCCGTTGAACCAATTGACCTATGCTTCTGTAAGAAATGCCCCTTGGGCGCTAGGAAACCCTTAAGTGGTCCTATAGCTACGGATACCCCACAACGCTTCATGCGGCCAATTGAGTCACGGTCAGAGGTGATCATCTTGTATAGCAAACTAACAATCATAATGTAGCAAGCGGTGCACCGCCGTTTCCATGACCCCTCCGCCATTCAAATGTGTACCCTGATGAACATCAAAACGGGCGGCTGCAGCGAAGACTGCTCATACTGCGCCCAGTCCTCCCGCTACGACACCGGGCTCAAAGCTACCAAGATGAGCCCTGTCGACGAGGTCCTCGAGAAAGCCCGCATGGCCAAGGCCAACGGCAGCACCCGTTTCTGCATGGGTGCCGCCTGGCGCGACATGCGCGGTCGCAAAACCTCCCTCAAGAACGTGAAGCAGATGGTCTCCGGTATCCGCGACATGAACATGGAAGTCTGCGTCACCCTCGGCATGATCGACCAGGAGCAGGCTAAGGAACTGAAAGAAGCCGGCCTGACTGCTTATAACCACAACCTCGATACCTCCCGCGAGTTCTACCCGACTATTATTACTACCCGCTCATACGACGAGCGTCTGCGGACTCTTGACCACGTACGTGACGCCGGCATCAACGTCTGCTCTGGCGGTATCCTTGGCTTGGGCGAATCGGACGAGGACCGCGTTGGTCTCCTGCACACCATGTCAAGTCTGCCGAAGCACCCTGAGTCTTTCCCCGTTAATGCCCTGGTGCCCATCCCCGGTACCCCGCTGGGCGACCGGAAAATGGTCCCCTTTGACCGATTGCTTCGGACTGTTGCGACTGCCCGGATTGTCATGCCCGGTACTATTGTCCGTCTTGCTGCGGGTCGCATTGCGCTCTCGGAGGAGCAGCAAGTTGCCTGTTTCCAGGCTGGGGCTAACGCCATCTTCACGGGCGAGAAGATGCTGACTACTGACTGCAACGGATGGGACGAGGATCGTGCTATGTTCGACCGATGGGGTTACTACCCCATGAAGAGCTTTGAGAAGCCCGAGCCTCTAGGAGACGCGAAGACTACGGCCACCCCGCCCCCGGCTGGGGATGAGCCTGTTGCGCCGGTCGCAGCTACTGCTTAAGATAAGATGCAAAATTATGAGTTCCAGTCGACAAGAAACAAGCCGAGGTGATGGCCTCTGTATGCGATTAGACGACAATCAAATGTCAATTCTTGCTGACATATGTTTACGAGTACCCTCTTCCCAATTGGCTCGTAAGGAACCTGTATATGCTTTCCGAGCAAAACACTAATACCCTCACCTGTCAATCAATGCCGACGGCAAACGGGTCTTTTCGGAGAAGCCTTCGGTTAAACCTTCAGTATCAAACCTGGCCCAGACTCATTACATCTAATCCCCCAACTCAGCGGATCCCGGGAATGCCCACCGGAGTCGCCTGCCTGTACTGAACGTAGTCCGCCCCAAAGAAGCGAACTAAGAAGGCTTCCTCGCCTATAGACACTCTCATTAGCCACAACACCATACAACAAGAGCCCACCAGGTCTTGACTCACGCTTAATCCGCGTAGCAAAGAATTTCCACAACACAAATGCATACCCCACGAAACAAACCACATTCCCCAGAACCAGCTGCGTCCCGAGCCCCCACCAGAAGAACCCGAAGTAGCTCGGATGCCGCAGAACACTATACACGCCCTGCGTAACAAGCACATGTCCCTCCTTCCGCTCGCTCTGCACATGGTGGTTGAAGTTACTCGCTGCCTGCGCCATCGCTAGCGTCCGCACGATCTGTCCCACGGCCGTCAGGACCACTCCGAGCAGTAAGAGCACTGACACGGCCGAGCCGCTAATGGGCTCGGTGACGGACATCCAGCGCCCGAACCGCGTATCGCCGGGCCAGAAATACTGCGTGACGAGACACTCGAGGAGAGCGGAGCCGTGCGCGACATTGTACGCCCACCCGTTCGAGGAAAGGAGGAAGGCGGAGACGGTTGCGGCTTGGGTGTTGTAGCGCGCGGTGACGTAGAACTCGAGGAAGTGGAAGAGGCTCAGGGCAGCGATGAAGAACGGGGCGCGCCAGAGCGGGGTCGGGAAGAGCGTTGTTGTCAGGAGGACGGCGGTGCTGCTGAGACCGAAGGTCGTTCCGAGGAGAAATGCGCGTAGTGAGATGCCGGATAGCGCTTTCGTGCCGTTGGGGTAGATTGCAGCGTTGGCTGTAGAGAACTCGGCGGAGGAGGCGGAGGAGGGCGAGCTGGAGCGGCGCTTGTTAGGGAATGAGGGGTGCCATTCTTGTGGTTGGCGTGTGTTACGTTCGATCGGCCAGGAGATGTTTGGGTCGCCGAGCTCAGGGAGGGTTGGCTGCGCGCCTGTGGCTGTTGCGTCGGAGACCATGGGGGGGAATTTGGAGGGAGCTCAGGGGTTAGAGAATGCGCAGCTCTATCATAGCTGTGAGCTCGTTGAGGTCAGGTCTTTATGACGCCGCTGACACGGTTGCATGATTCATTGTTTCGAGTTCAGCCGCGGCTGAGAAACAATTGAACGCCAGTGATTGTTTGGCGGGTCCGCTTGGCCAAAGCGGAAGGACCATTCGAAGCTCTGCTGCAATTCTTTGTCCCCGACAATCCTGAATTCTGGGCTACACTAGGAGTGAGTTATAGCTCGCTGTTACCTCGCGCTTTTCTTTCATCCTAAGTTGGTCAATCCGACGATAAATGACTTATATACTATATTCAAATGTGTTTTCGAGGCTAGACCTGCTGCCTTTGTGTCTATAGGGTATATAATTCATTGAATCGTGTCATAATGGACAGTCCTTCCCTGGTATAAGAATTGATCATGCTGCAATAGCCTGCTCAGGCTTGGTTCGGCCCAACCCTTCCTTGGCATAGAAATCCATAGGGTAGACACCTTTGTTAGACGTGTCCCAATTATCTCGAACGCCAAGTGCTATGAGCGCCTCGTACGGAGTTAATAACGGGCGTGTGAATGCATATCCCCAGTCGATGCTCAATCGCGGGCAGGCAATCTGAACCCAGCACTCAACGTCCGACATGGACGCCAGTTTCCCAGGGAAAATCTCGCTAAGCAATAAGTTGACCACAGGAATGCCTTTCTCCGCTAGATGACGCTCGATCATAGCCATAGTGTTTGGGTTTCCTTGTCGTCCTAATGACCCCAGTATGATGCCCCACTTTCGCGCCGACTTTGCTGTGGAGATGGCATCTCGACGGATGGTGTGCATTTCGTCATGATCGTACGACTCCCGGGTGAGGGTCCTCGAGTAGGGGTCGTACCGATATGCGGGGATAGAAGGGTTGTGGATCATAGCAGACTCAAGATGAAAACGGCCGTCTCCAAGATAAAGGATGACATCGACCTCTTCATCGGAAAGCTGCGGAGATGTACATCCCAGGATTTCTCCCTTAGAAAGGGGCATGATCTGTGGGATCAGAACCTTGAAGCCTGCTTTCTCTAGCACCGGCTTCAGTCCGTGTAGTGTGGCGTTAAATTGAATGGTCCCGACAGTCGCGATAGTTTGTCCGGGCTTGAAGTTGCGCTCCAGGGTGGCGATAAGATGGCCGGTGTCGATACTAATATCAACAAAGATATACAGGGTCTTGATTTTTGTTACATCCACCGGAATCAGGCAGCTGTGTGCGTAATGAACCAGCAAGTCGCAGCCGAGAGCACGAGCTGTGTAATCGTCGATGCAGCAGGCGCCGTATGTGACATCGCCCATGATCAAAGTCTCGATTCCAGGACAAAATTGCGTAAGGATATCGGAGATGGTCGTGGCAAAGATCAAGAGACCTTCGGGGAACTGAAGGGCAACACGCTTAGCTCCCGATGAGCGAACTCTGTGGATTGTCTTGGGTATTTCGAAAGAGTAATTCTTGGGGAGCAACTCGATGGCTGCTTGGATCTCGGGATCATTCAAAATTTCGGGAGGGACTTGATGCAGTGTTCGTGGCGTGCGTCGAGGAGTAGCTTTTCAAAATCAGCAAGGTTCAGCAAAAAGTATATCCAGAATGCTCCCGGTGCATACCCTTTTGGACGGCTGTAGATTCGACATCGCCGTTGGCGGGGTTGGCTTGCGCCTGAGCATCTGCAGTGCGCCGGCCAACAAAGCGTTTCTTTGGCTGCCGAAGAGTGCTGTCCATTATGGGGAGGATTCCGGGACCCTAGGCTTTAAAATGAAGAACAGATCAAAAATTCTGATAACCATCGAACGATCTGCCCAAGCCCCGCCATACTTTTTTTTCTGCCGTTATCCGCCGCCGTACCGGCCTCAAGGCATTCTGAACTAGTCCCAAACAGGTAAAGCGCTCTCCGCATTGCATGAGTCCCCCCGTGTCTTGTGCTCTTTCTCTTGACGAACTTGAGACAATCACCTTTGAGGAGATTATTGGCCCTTGCTCAAGCTTCGGTAATGGCTACACGACGTCACATGCGCCTGTTCTCGGCTCTCCAGCGGCCTCAGCACCTGCGCCGATTTGCTACCGAGTCGCGGTTAGCCTCGGATCATGTACGCATCGTGGAGGTCGGTCCACGAGATGGGCTACAAAATGAGAAGAAGTCCATTTCCATGGAGACAAAGCTGGAATTGATCCAGCGGCTAGCAAAGACCGGCGTGACTACCATTGAAGCTGGCTCTTTTGTTCCCGCGAAATGGGTGCCCCAGGTATGTATCGTCGCAAATCAGCTATACATAGCTTTACAACCAATACTCACGCAATGGCTCCTCCAGATGGCCAGTACCAGTGAGATATGCGAGCACCTCCTAACATCGCCTCCTCAATCTCATGATACAATCGCCTACAACTACCTCGTACCGAACATCAGAGGGCTAGAGAATCTTGTCAAGATCATGGACGCCAAGGGCGCCTCTGCAGAAAAGCCGGCTCGGACGCTAGGTCAGGAACTACCACAGAAGTCTCGCTCTTCGCTGCCGCGACCGAAGCTTTTTCGAAGGCCAACACAAATTGCACAATTGCTGAATCGCTGGAACGAATCAAGCCGATCGTCTCTCTTGCCAAGTCCAAAAATATACGGGTACGCGGGTACGTGTCTGTTGCACTAGGATGTCCGTACGAAGGCCCGGAGGTGGATCCCACAAAGGTCGCAGATATCACTGCTACGCTCTTGGAAATGGGTGCAGATGAGGTATCTGTGGCAGACACGACGGGTATGGGTACGGCGCCCAGGACGAATGAGCTTCTGAAGGCGCTCAAGGCAGCTGGCATTGCCAGTACGGATTTAGCACTTCACTTCCACGATACCTACGGGCAGGCATTGGTGAACACCATTGTAGGCTTGGAGCATGGAATTCGGATATTCGATAGCAGTGTAGGAGGGCTGGGTGGCTGCCCGTATTCCAAAGGTGCGACTGGTAATGTTTCCACGGAGGATCTGGTCCACACGCTCCACAGTCTGGGGATGCATACTGGGGTCAGCTTGGATGAGATGTCACGCATCGGGGCCTGGATCAGTGCAGAGCTAGGCCGGTCCAATGATAGTCGTGCTGGCAAGGCAACGAATGCCCGATTGTCAGAATAAGCGGCCCTTGTGCTGGAGGTTAAAAGGGCTTTTTTCCTTCGATGTATTCATTTTTTACACCGGAATCATTCTTCTGTTAATTCAAGCGATTTGTTACGTCGAAACAGGACATTCCGAGAGGAACGCTATATCAGTATTGATGGTAGTAGGTAGAAGGGTACCCCCACGTACCAAGATAAGAGAGGCCACGAAATTTTAAGTTCATGCAGACGGCTCACAGGAAGTAAGGATTTTAACGAAACACCTCACCAATGGCCTTCCTCCCAAGTAAACCAGACATGAACGCCGCAGGATCACGAAGTCATCCAGCTTATGCTCCAAGTGCTCACATGTGCCTGAATCCTCTCGCGGGCACTGGCTTGATTACAGCTAGCAATGAAATGGCTTTTCTTTTTTCTTCCCTCTCTTCGCTCAAGTTCTACTATTAAGTTAGGGCATCCAGCATACTGGTGTGATAAGGCGGACTAGTTATGTCAATTGTCCAGATCCTTGTTCTGTCAACTTAGTTTACCCAGATTCATGGAGCTCGAACTAGCTTGAAATTGACTAGTGCTATATAGTTAATTTCACTGTGAAATAGTAGCATAGCATCCTGGCATGTGTGATGCATTGGGTTGACGAGCTGTTGCCGGATCACTCGGACCGGACACACTGGCTACCCCTTAATTAATGATTGCAGACATGGCATTGGACCTCCATGAGAGATATCAGTTTGTCCACGCAATAAGAACAGCAAATTTTAATCTTGACATCCCTCCGGTGGGTCCGTCCTAGCCGAGGCATCCGCACACTGCGACCATTCGATTGCCCGGGTATTCTTCGGGTGGAGAGCCATTGACACATAATTTCATACGATAACACGTAACGGCCTTTATCACTGATTCAGAGGGTGTGGAGACGTGTTCTGGTTGACGCCTCCCTCGTGTTATCAGTTCATGCAGAGCGTGGAAAACAAAGCAAGCAGAACCTTTATGCATATAAGCATCCTAATTATCCTTGCAGGGCCAAGCCCTCTGTTGGGCGCCGCCGAACCCCTACGGCGGGATCCACCACCCAAGTTGTGGGGGACAAAGTGGTGGAAAACGCGGGGAAATGTGCTTGATCCCAGATCGAAAGCCTGAGGACCAATAGCAGCAGCAGCCACATGCAAACGATTGCACATAGAAACGTAGGGGTCCCCGAATTGGCAAGGAATTGTGGGAAATGCCGGTCTGGAAGAGGCTCTGCTGGATCTCGCAGTGCAGGAGGCCATGCATGGCTGATCAACGGCGGACGCCGATGCCCGCCCAGATGCTCCAGCTCCGGTTACGTATCGGACCGTCGACCTTGGGTTCAGCGGTCGTGGACCCGAAAATTTGCATATAGAACCTTTCATTCCTTGCTGGTCCTCTTTGAACTCCATTTCTATGATTCAAGTTTTGTCTTTTTGCATGCTTCTCATAACTCATCTCGACGAGTAAGATGACCGGAAAATATTTGGGCTTGCGGGGCAATGCCCTTCTCCGGGCGGCCGTTTGGCTCGTCGTGTGTCCGACATTCACTTGCTATGGATACAACATGAGTGTTGCTGGAGGGTTACTCACCCTCGAGTCTTTCAATGACCAATTCCCTGCGATGGATACGATCCATGGTGATGCTGCGACCAAACACAACAACTCGACAATTCAAGGTAAGCCAACAGCAGCCAGCAGCTCATCTACTCGTCAAGACTAACGGTACTCGACGGATGTAGGCACGGTGATAGCCCTATACACCGTTGGAGGTATCTTCGGCTCATTATCCTGCATCTACCTTGGCGATCTTCTGGGCCGACGAAAAGTCATTTTCATTACCAACTTAATCACAGTCATCGGAGCCATTCTCATGGCTACCTCATTCCAGTTGGCTCAATTTATTGTTGCAAGATTGGTCCTCGGTCTTGGGATTGGCGGTTATCTTGCTACGGTTCCAGTCTGGCAATCCGAACTCTCGCCATCACACAAACGAGGCTCAAATGTTGTCACCGATGGCATCTTTGTCGGTATCGGCGTCACAACCGCTCTTTGGATCGACTTTGGGTTCTATTTCATTAAAGGAAACTCGGTATCCTGGCGATTCCCTTTTGCCTTCCAAATAGTCTTCTGCCTGGTGGCAATGGCCTCTATTACCTTCCTTCCCGAGTCGCCCCGGTGGCTGATCAAAAATGGAAGGATCGAGGAAGCTCGGGTTGTGCTGGCGGCTTTGATGGATGTCGAGGAATACTCGGAAACCATTACAAACGATATTTACGATATTCAAACCTCTCTCGCCAAAGCCGGATCGGGATCCTGGCGCGATATGTTCACGATGGGGGAGCAGCGATTGTTCCACCGCGCTTACCTTGCTGCGACGGGGCAGATGTTCCAGCAGATGTGCGGTGTCAACTTGATCACCTACTATGCATTGAACATCTTCCAACAATATCTCGGTCTCGATCCTGTTCGAGCCCGAATCTTGGCGGCAGCCATGGGCCTCACACAGCCGCTGGGCGGTCTGATGGCCTTCTTCACAATCGATCGCCTTGGTCGTAGGCCACTGATGCTGTGGAGTGCTGGAGCGATGGCGGTGTGTATGGCTGTTCTTGCCGGCACAACCTCCCAGAAAGGTAACACGGGCGCGCTGGTCGTTGCCGTGGTATTCCTTTACCTCTTTCAATTCATCTTCACCCTCGGATACTCTGGCCTTACCTTCCTCTACGCAGCAGAGATGGCCCCCCTGCAGATCCGAGCTGCTGTGAATGCCGTGTCGACGGCTACGGTGTGGACTTTCAACTTTTTGCTTGCGGAGATTACTCCTATCGGCTTCGACACTATCTCCTACCGTTACTACATCATCTTTGCTGCCACGAACGCCGCTATTATTCCGTGTGTCTATTTCTTTTTCCCAGAAACGAAAGGACGTACGTTGGAAGAAATCGATGAAATCTTCGCGCAATCGAAGTCAATCTTCGACCCTCCCCGTGTCGCTCGATCCATGCTCAAGGTCCAGGTCGGGCAACCGCAAAGCGAGAAAGGGGGAGAGTCCGGGGACGAGGGCCAGAGAAAAGAACAGGCATAGATGGGAGAGGATGGCGTTACTACTGGGTAAATAAATGACTTCAAAGTCATGGTGCATTGACAGAAAAACGATCCAAGGTCCGATATCGGGTCATCATTCGATGTATATACCTTTTGCACATAGTCCAACGAAACATTATGGAATGCATACAAAATAGACTGCAGCCTCGCTACTTCATAGAGCTATTAATCTCTACTGCCGTGAGCTGCACTATCGAGCCCACCCGGGTCGATGCTCGGGCCCAAATTTGGAGCCCGAGCGGGACTTTCCGCATCCTAAACTTCTCCAACTCGTTGCCGAGATGCTCGTCTGCCTCACCAATAGAACGCCATTGCCTTTATCTCGGCAAGTTCTGTCAGTGCGCTCAACGGACGGAAAGCGGAGCATTCTCCGCTGACTGCTAGTTATCACATGGCGCACGCCCACCCACTCAAAAATGGCCACTTAAAAGTATCTGTGGTCAACTCGGTTCCTGATCTTGGAGCGTGATCCAGCTGCATTCACCATTTCCATTTCGTCATTCGGTCTTCCATCTCGCAATGGAAACCTCCCGCCGTCCTTATCTGAAATCCCTTGGCCATCGCGGCACCATTGAAGGAGTGACTGTCTCTGTGGGCCAGTCAGACCTATGTCATTATTTTGGAGGTGTTCGCTATGCCCTTCCACCTCCTGAGCGCTGGCGCAGGGCTCGCCGTCTACCATCTGATTATACCTATGGCAGCAAAACTGATCCCGGTCGCTGTACTGGAGGCGCTGGGGTCTGCCCGCAGCCCGGATTCATGACGCAAGCCAATCCAACCGAGAAGGACTGGACTGAAGATTGTTTCCAATGCAATGTCTATGTGCCAACCGAGGAGGCTCCACAGGATGGCTGGCCTGTCTTTGTTTTCATACGTAAGGTCGAACTTCATTCTAGCAGGCATTCGAAAATACTCATTCCTTAACTATAGATGGTGGATGGCTCCAATTCGGTTCTCCAAATGGGTTCAATGTTGCTGCGTTGCTTGGTGAGACCGAATTTAAAGCTGTTGTGGTCATGCCGGCCTATCGAGTCAATGTGTTCGGGTTCCTATATTCCGCGGAGTTGGAGCAAGATGCAGCTTCTGTTGGCGAAACAACGGGAAACCATGGCTTCTGGGACCAGAGACTAGCCTTGGAATGGACCAAGGACAACATTCACTTGTTTGGAGGCGATGCTGAGAAAATTACAATATCGGGATACTCTGCTGGTAAGAGCCATGGAAAGGTTTCAGATTCACATCTGCTGACTCGATGAACCAGGCGCCAACTCGGTTTTCCACCAGCTCGCATACGATCTTCGTCAACCTGACAAGAAAGCCATTGTTCGGCAAGCAATAATGTTTTCTAACTCCTCGGCTGTACAGCCAAAGTATCCAGCAGAGACTCAACACCAATTCGATGAGCTTCTCACAGCACTAGACATACCCTTACAGCTTTCGGCCAAAGACAAGGTCGCCCGGCTGCGCTCTACGCGACCCAAGATCCTTCTAGACGCAATTAAGACAATGGGCCTGCATCAGTTCCGACCCACAACGGACGGCGGTTTCGTTCTCCCAACTCTCTTCGAATCTCTCGACACCGGCGAATTCGCCAAGCGAATACTGGATCGGAACATTCGCCTAATCATAGGTGAATGTCGTGACGAGCACTACCTGTATAGCATCTGGTTCCCACCAAAGGAAAACACTCTTCCTGCATTACGAAAACGCCTTATCGCCGACTACCCTGAGCGGATCGTCGATGTCATCATCCCGCTGCATTACCCCGATGGCAAACTGCCAGCCGACCGCGAAAACTGGGTGCCCGATGCCTGGGGCAAGATCTATGCCGATATGCAGGTCCACCATATGCAGCGCGGCCTTATCCATGCTCTCACCACCAATTCGACAGGGGTGGATGTCTCCCATTTGATATACCGCTATCGTATCGAATTTCGCGCGAAGTGCACGGATGAGTCTCTGCCTGTCGAATGGGGTGTTACACACTCGTCTGACTACCCTCTTTGGTTTTGGGGTAATGGGAAACTGTTGACGGATGGCGAGAAAACCATCACCCGGAATGCTTTCACGAGGCCCTTGGGTCGATTTGTGCGGATTGAGGATGATTTTGGTTGGGGTACAAGTGGCAAAAGCACTGTCCGAACTATCAAGCCGGATGGTACCTATAGGATAGAGAATGATCCACTGTGGGAGACGGGCGTTAGAGCGTGGAAGACTACTCGTAGTGTTGACACTTACAGGTCAAAGATATAACGATTGCTCAAGTTATCATGTAGATGATAGAAGAACTGTCTCCCTCGCAACGGTGGTAGTGGTAACCTGAAGGTGAGATCCAATAATCTGGAGAGAGAGAATCACTCCACTCTTGGTCAGTTTCCAGTGGCCTGCATTATCGAACAGAGACAATTCACCTTAAGGTGGCGTCCAGTTGAGCTACCGAAGAGCTTACTTCTCGTGTTTTGTAATGATGGAGGGGCATCCCCTCAAAGATTGCCCGAAGACCCAGTGAGATGTTCTTTGAGCTTGCTTTTTCAAAGCTTTCTGGCCTTATAATACCATCCTGCACTGGCAGGATGATTTCATAAAAATTCCGTAGTATGTATAGAAACAGGAAAAGAAGGAATTAATCAGCTTTAATGACAATATATAATATAAAGATAACAAAAAGGAGATTCATAATAAAGCAAAATAGAAGGTATCTATACTAGTAGACACAAAACTGCAAACAAAGGCGAGGGTCGGTTTGCTACTACTGAATACGAATTAACTACGACACCGATAGTTTCAAATTTACAACGGGTCACCATACGCTTTTCTGTATTCTGGCGTTTAGAGCATCCGACGGACCTGACTCGGTGCCGCGGGCGTTCATTCATGGAACCAAAGAGCCTACTACTGTTAGTATGCCTTTATCATGATTGAGGCAGTCCAAATCAGCTTTTCCAAAATCAGCACCATGGCATAGGGTATCTGATTTGAGACAACTTGCTTGAATATATGGACACAGTCTTGCTATCATCGAGAAGACAACCGGACTCAATACCCTTCCTTTGAGAATTTGAATTCCATCTTGGAATAAGGGCCTGGGAGAGAAGTGAAAGGCATAATAATAGAAATGCCGTAACCTACATGGCTATACTGACACCGTAGGTAAGGTCTCCATTCTTTCAATTGCACCTCGATCTACAGCTCCTCCATGTCCATTTCCATTTCCGTGATCATTTGTTATGTGCCGAAGCCAATTATCTATGTAGAAATGGCTTAGCTGAATAATCTGACCTGCGGCCCCATCTGCTCTGCTCGTCAACGCGGGACTCCTTTACAGCAGTGTTTATCTGAAAGCTAATTGAGATAGCTTTGACACCACCCGGCTTCAGAGTTCTGTTACAACTAACGCTACTTAGAAGATATACAAAAGGGACTACAAAGGGACTTTCATATGGAACTTAGATTCAATTTCAACTGGCACGAAGCTCGGCATGGTCTTTGTTTCACCTACTTATCGGGGAAGGACTGAGGACAAACTCTTCCTAAGCCCGTCCGCCCGGGTGTTATGCAGGCACCACAGGCTGATCTTCTCCGTCCGCTACTCATCCGAGTCCTCGACATCCTCCCACTCATCTCCCTCTCCATCTGCCGTGCAGAATGGATGGATTTGTTCCCGAGATGTCCATAGACTCGCTCCGTCTCCTTCATGGAAGGAAACGAAGAGCCCTTGTTCTTCCCCTCGACGTACTCAAGGGCCGCCGGGGTTTCAATCCAGCAGAACTGTTGCTTCAGGAACCAGGCGCAAGCTTCCGCTGGGCTTCCTGCCTTTGCCAAGGCGTTATTCTGCGAGTACTGCTCAACGAGGGCCTCGACAGCGTTCCATGGCTTCGCGACAAGAAGTTTCCACCAGTACCTATTTGCTTCATGCACCTTGCAGTACAGTCCGTCGACCTGGGCATCCAGTTCCTTGATCATGTCAGAATGACCAAGCGAGTTCATAATGCCCTGATCGGTCCTGATCGCCGAGGTCCGGGGACCTCCTTAAGGATCAACTCCAAGACCTCCCCAGGTACCTTTGGGCCAGCCCATTCAATGGCCCTCTGGAGGTTGCGTAAGTCCAGAACGAGCTTGATCTTGAGCAAGGTCAAGGACAGCAAGAACTGGATATGGTCCTCCTGGTTCGGAAACCGTGTTTCGATGGCGAGGTAGAAATCGACCGGCTCGAAGACATTTGGGCTATTGACGTGAGGTGGGAGGACGCAATGGCGACTGAAGCTTGGGGGCCAGGAGAGGGGTGGCTCGCGCTGTTCGAAGAGGTACCAGGACTTGATGAACCGGTAGACCTCAATATCGTCATCAAGGCGCATCCAGACCGCAGTGACCTCGCCGCCGTTGCGATACTTGTCTGGGTTATGGAACATCTTGGTTTTGTAGATTTCGAGTAAAGAGCGAATGGAATCTTCCGTGTATATGAAGTAGTACACAAAGATCAAGGTTTCCAAAACGCTCTCAAAGGCCATTTGGATACCATTGGGGAGGTTGTCCAGATTTGGTATTGATGCATCGGCAGCATGAAATCCCACCATGGAATAAATGGAGTCCAGGTACATCCGGTGTAGTACAGCGCAGTCACAGAGGCGCTTGTGGCTAGCGCGGTGCTGAGTCTTATGATCTTTGCTGCAATATGCAACCAAATTACAGCGACACTTCCTGAGATTATCGCGTTGGTTGCAGATTGGACATCCTGATGGCAGCTCTGTCTTTGCTCTGGGAAGCTTAAAGGACTGCGAGATTGGCTGTCCTGGGTGGGGGTCAGGAGACATCTCGGAGCTTTTGAGATATGTGGAAAGACACGCTATTGGGAAACAAGGAAGAATGCGAATGAGAGAACGAACGAAGAAACAGCAAACATGTTCACTTGCGAAATGAAAAACAAAGCGGATTATACCGCCCTCCCCTAGCCACCAGATCTATAGTTCCTGTATCTTTCTGCAAGATATTTTAAAGCGGTGGACCTCACGTTATGAGCTTCATCAAAAGCTCTGTGGAATGTCTCTTTCGTTAACTTCAATTTCTGTTGCTTGTCTTTGTTTTTTTCATCCCCGAACCACCAGACTGAGCCAGACCCTCGCCTAGTCAAGGTCATTTTCCACAAAGCCAGTCTTGGCCGTTCCGTGATCCTTCCGAGCTTGGTGAGGAAATAGAGCCCTGATAATCCATAATTTGGCGGTTTGGACGATCTCAGATTGGGGAAGATACGACTTGATGAGAAATTGGAGAATATCACAATCGCAAATCGTTGTTTGCCTCCTCTTTAGGCACCGCTAGGATCCTGCAAGCTTCCGATAGCTATTAGCCCAGCATAGACACGTGAAACGGTTTTACTCGGAGTTCGAAACACTTACTGAAGGATGTGCTTTCTCGGAGCTCTATTGGCACCCGAAGTTCTATATAACCGTACCGGTCCACTGTGCTTTTAGCGAGAGACTTCTACTGGACTAAACCAAGATAGATCGCAGATATGGAATGGCTTTCCTCTTGGAATCAACTTGCCTAGGCAAATTCGCCGCCGGTATTGATTCAGTGAGATCACTTTCGTACTCTAGCAACTGCTTGTGCGTTACTAAATGAGAGGAACCGGCGTCCCGCTGACGCTGACGGTTTTCCTTGCGATAACCTTATGATTCTTATAAGGCTGTAGCTTGGGAGAGTGGGACTACGCGTCACCCGGGGAGGAAATTGACCTATCATAGGCTTGGAATGCGACCCAGATGAACCTTGCACTAGTCTTATTCATGTGATACTGATCAAGATATCCCTGATAAGAAAAGGCATGCTTACTGACGGAGCTTTGTGCTCGACGGGTAAACTTCGGGTGCAGAGCTCGCAACCTGCAGCTCCACCGCATCTCACCCCGCCTCGATCCGATTCAAGTTCTGACCCATCCTTGCGAACTTGATTTTCAGTCAAATCAAGACATATGCAGCTTTGATTTGATATCTATCAGCGAAAAGGCTTTGCAAGAATCATCAAATTATCCCATCTTCTTCGAAGGTATATTGCGGCTCGTACTTTCGAAATAAGCTCCAGACTCGGCGCCACACGCTCTTAGCGCAGGACTATATAACGGAGCAAGTCACCATGGTTCAACTAGACGTTGAGAAGACTATTGGAGAGCTCACGATAGGCGAGAAAGTCTCCTTGACCGCAGGTTAAGTCTGACGGAATTTGTTCCCTACAATCTGAATGGAAACTGACCCTTCCGCAGGAGCGGACTTCTGGCACACGGTTGCCGTCCCACGCCTCAACATTCCAGCACTCCGCATGTCAGATGGCCCAAACGGCGTTCGAGGAACTCGGTTCTTCAAGGGCTTCCCGTCAGCATGTTTCCCTTGTGCTACTGCTCTCGGTGCCACCTGGGATACGGAATTACTGACCCAGGTAGGTGAGCTGCTCGGCGAAGAAGCTATTGCGAAGGGCACACACATAGTCCTGGGCCCGACTATCAATATCCAGCGCTCTCCTCTCGGTGGACGGAGCTTCGAGTCCTTTTCGGAGGATGGCACACTTTCTGGCACTCTGGCCGGATACGTTACGAAGGGTATGCAGAGCAAGGGGGTCGCTGCGACCATGAAGCATTTCGTTTGCAACGACCAAGAGCACGAACGGATGGCCGTCAACAGTGTTGTGACAGACCGTGCGCTGCGTGAAATATATCTGCTTCCTTTCCAGCTAGCCATGCGCATCGCCCGCTCCGCTTGCGTTATGACCGCTTATAACAAGGTCAACGGCATTCATGCAAGCGAGAACAAGGCCTTGTTGAACGATATCCTACGCGAGGAGTGGGGATGGGATGGTCTAATCATGAGCGATTGGTAAGTGGCTTCAGGACTGGACTCTGAAAGGAAAGATGCACTAACATGAAATTTTTTATAGGTTCGGTACCTACAGTACATCCGAGAGTATCAACGCTGGTCTGGATATTGAAATGCCTGGGAGAACTCGCTGGCGCGGTGACGCCCTTGCACACGCGGTATCATCACAAAAGGTCCACGAGTTTAAGCTGGACGAGCGTGTCCGCAATATTCTGAATGTGGCGAATTTTGTTGAGCCGCTGGGTATTCCTGAACAAGCAGTCGAAAAAGGGTTGAACCGACCAGGAGACCGAAAGCTCCTCCGCCGTGCTGCCGCAGAATCAGCTGTTCTGCTGAAAAACGAAGGCGCTGTCCTTCCATTCAAAAAAAGCAAATCCATCCTTGTGATTGGTCCAAATGCTAAGATCGCTTCTTATTGCGGTGGCGGGTCAGCTTCACTTCATCCTTATTATACAGTGACTCCGTACGACGGAGTTACAGGGAAAAGCGAAGGCGAAGTCAAATTTTCGCAAGGCGTCTACTCGCACAAGGATCTCCCCCTTCTAGGACCACTATTGAAGACCACTCATGGCAAGAAAGGATTTAGTTTCAAAGTCTTCAACGAGCATCCCAGTCATGGAACTCATCGAGAAGTTGTGGACGAGCTCCATCTCGTGGATTCAAGTGGTTTCCTGATGGACTATTATAACCCAAAGATCAAATCAAAGACATACTTCGTGGACATGGAAGGCACTTACACTCCAGAAGAAAGTGGCCTGTACGATTTTGGTGTTACGGTCGTCGGCACCGGCCAACTATTCGTCGATGGACAGCTTGTTGTTGACAATACGAAGAATCAAAAGCAAGGTTCTGCATTTTTCGGCTCTGGGACCATCGAAAAGCGTGGCTCCATAGAGCTCAAGGCTGGCCAAACATACAAGATCCTCTTCCAATTCGGATCTGCGCCTACCTCCGACCTTAACACTCGTGGTACTGTGGCCTTCGGGCCCGGTGGCTTCCGATTCGGGGCATCTCGTCGCGTAGGCCAAGAGGAACTCATTTCGCAAGCCGTGGAGGAGGCCTCAAAGGCTGACCAAGTCGTTATTTTCGCGGGTCTCACCCAAGAGTGGGAGACCGAAGGCTATGATCGCGAGCACATGGATCTCCCCCCCAGGAAGCGATGAGCTGATCAGCCGCGTGCTAAAGGCGAACCCAAATGCGGTCGTGGTTATCCAATCTGGCTCTCCAGTTACAATGCCGTGGGCCCAAGATGCCCGCGCCGTGCTTCAAGCCTGGTTTGGCGGGAATGAGTGCGGTAACGGCATCGCCGACGTGCTCTACGGCGACGTTAATCCCTCAGGCAAGTTACCCATTACTTTCCCTCGGCGTCTCCAGGACAATCCGTCCTACGTGAACTTTCGCTCTGAGCGTGGGCGTGTGCTCTACGGAGAGGATATATATGTGGGGTACCGGTATTATGAGAAAACTCAGGTTGAGCCCGCGTTCGCTTTCGGCCATGGTTTGTCGTACACTACCTTTTCTCGATCTAATTTAAAGATCACAACTGTCCCCGAGGCCGCAAAGTACTCCGAATCCGGAGAGCCGGTGACTGTCTCCGTCGATGTGACTAACACCGGCACTGTGGCTGGTGCAGAGGTTGTCCAGCTCTGGATCGTGCCTCCTGCAACCGACGTCAACCGCCCCGTACGAGAGCTCAAGGCGTTTCACAAAGTCTTCTTGCAGCCCGGACGGACCCAGACGGTGCAGCTTCAAGTCGAAAAAAAGCTTGCCACGAGCTGGTGGGATGAAGCGCGCGACAAGTGGATCTCCGAGAAAGGACGGTATGAAGTGCTGATTACAGGCACCGGCGACGAGCAGCTCCGCGGCGAGTTCAACGTGGACAAGACACGCTTCTGGCTTGGTCTTTAAATGATTCTTATGATTATAATATTCCCAGTTTGTCTTGGATGATAGGGCTAGAATGAATGGAACCCCGTGTCACATACGGTACGATACCATGAACTCGATCCACAGTGGGTAATTCGTCGGTGAAAGCAAATGAGCCGATTTTCGGGGCAAATCAAGTCCCCAAACTCCAGACTAGGACTTTCCAGACTCTCCAGGCTTCCCAATTGTTTTCGTTCATTTCCCCCCAGAAGGTTCGGCCATCGTCGGCCCTCCCTCGGGCTCCCTCGGGGTCCGCAGCCTATCAGATCGCTGCGATGCGCCGCGATTTTTGATGATTAGATTGACCCCCGCGATAGGATGACTACAGGAATCTGACAGCCGAACTAACTAGCCCATAAGGTTGGAAGCACATTGGTCGAATTGAACTTCTAGACCCTCTTGATAGATAGCTACCCCTCTTTTCGATTTCCCAGAAAGAATTGAGTCATAAATCATGTAAATTGAATTTTTTTTTTTGGAGGCCGTCAAGAGCGTTAGGACATGGTAGTAATGAGGGAGAAAAAGAGCTTATCTACCACCCGCGCTTAGCGAGCTTGTCGCCCTCATCCATCTTCTGCACATTAATACCAACCATGGCCTCCCCCAGCCCCTCGCTCACCTGAGCAAGTATCTTAGGGTCCTTGTAGTGGGTCACAGCCTGCACGATAGCCTGCGCCCGCTTCTTCGCATCGCCCGACTTGAAAATACCCGATCCAACGAAGACACCGTCGCAACCCAGCTGCATCATCAGCGCCGCATCAGCGGGAGTGGCAACACCACCGGCAGCAAAGTTGACCACGGGCAGACGACCCAGCTCAGCAGCCTGGCGGAGGAGCTCGTAGGGGGCCTCCAGTTCTCGGGCGAAAGCGCGCAGCTCAGGCTCAGGGTCCAGACTGGATTGCAGGATTCCGCGCGCGCGGGCAATCTGTGCGTTCACGGTGCGCATGTGCTTGACGGCCTCGACGACGTCGCCGGTGCCGGCTTCGCCCTTGGTGCGGATCATGGCGGCGCCTTCGGAAATGCGGCGCAGGGCTTCGCCGAGGTTGCGGCAGCCGCAGACGAAGGGAGCCTTGAAGGCGGACTTCGTGACGTGGTAAACATCGTCGGCGGGGGTCAAGACCTCGGATTCGTCAATGTAGTCGACGCCAATGGCTTCCAGGATCTAGAGAGGCGGGGAAAGTAGACTGCAATTAGCGTTTGGTTTGCAATTGAGGTGTTGGGAAAGCATGGAATGGGTTCTGTCTCGCCACTTGCGAGTGTTTCGTCATATGCTGCCGGTGCACGTACCTGGCATTCCACGAAGTGTCCGATACGGGCCTTGGCCATGACAGGGATGGTCACAGCCTCCATGATGCCCTTGATCATGCTAGGGTCTGACATCCGAGCAACACCGCCCTGCACTCGGATATCGGCGGGGACCCGCTCAAGGGCCATGACGGCGGCGGCACCTGCTTCTTCGGCAATGCGGGCCTAGGAACATGCGACATAGTGAGATTAGCATACCGAGAAGGTTGCACAGATTGGTTTAGGCTCGATTACCTGCTCTGCGTTCACAACATCCATGATCACGCCACCCTTCAACATCTGCGCGAGGCCGACCTTGACAGTGAAGTCATTGCTCGCGGTACCGTTTTGAGAAGCCATTGTGAATGGACGGGAATGAAGGGCAGGAATGGAAAAGAAGGGACAGAGATGCAGGGATGCAGAAGACACAAGGTAGATTAAGAAAAAAAGAGTGACTCAACAGCAACCTGTGGGCAGAGGCAGTTGGAGTTGGTTAAGTGGAGGCCAATCAAATGCCCCTCCGCGGGGCCGTTGTTCTTTGGCGCAACTCAAAGTCTAAAAGGGCGTTTCCCCAATTACCCAAAGTTACCCGAGGATACCAGCCAGGCCCCGTCACCGTACGCGTATTTCCAGTTTCCAGTTATTTTACCCCGTTTGGCAGGTGTGCAATTATCGCCTCAAGAAGCAGGCGAAGGCAACTTCGGATCGTGGTCAGATTGTTACTATGCTGCTCCTAATTACATTCAGGCCTTGCCGCTCGACAGTGATTCAAGATAGGACCCAAGGTCCACAACGTCCTCGGTAGGAGATGCCGATGTGCTCTCATTCGACCCAGAATCTGGCTCGGTTCCCAACGATGCAGCGGAGCTGCCGCTATCTACCAGAGACTGGTGATACTCCGAATGGAATGATTTGATGTTTCCGTTTATTTCGGCGGGGGAGATCTTCTACAGTCTTGATTGCCGGCGCATTCAAGAATCGAGAGTCAGCGTCCTTCGAAGGTGGCTCGTCAGTTTTGGTATTGAGCTTGACTTTGGGGATCAGATGTGCTGGAACCATGTCAATCGAGGACTCTAGAAGCTCAGAGATGGAGCCCGCGCTAAAGATTTTGAGCATTGGCATATCGACGGCGAGTTCTTTAAGGAACCATGAGCGAAGATCCACAGCGACCAGGGAGTCGACTCCAAGTTCGTCCGGCGTCAACTCAAGGACTGACTTGCTGGGGTCTGTATCCAGGGCTGATTGAAGTTTCAGCGTGAACGATACTGCGAGTATTAGCGAGTTTTTGTCGTGGGCGATCATGGGGCCATACCTTTAATAATATCTAGCACCTCTTCATGTGACGTCGCTTCAAGTAGCTGGGTCTTGACCATCACCCCGGCTCGGTTCTTTTTGTCGACCGACAACATTGCATTTGACTTGGATACCAAATGTTGGAACATGGGGTTCATGATCCAGTCTTTCGTGTCGTCGTCGTCGACTTTGAGACAGCAGCAGATCTCAGAAGTGCCTTTCTCTTCCATACATGAAATCACGCCTTCGGCAAAAATCTCCTGGAAGTCCTGTTCCGACATCCACGATGAACCAACTTCCTGGACCTTTTTCTGCTGTTCAAGCTGGAGTTCTCTGGTCACGTAGCCATTACCGACGATGGCTCCGATGTTGATTGCCTGGCTTGCAAGACCTCGCTTTTGGCGCTGCGCCGCCAAGCTCGTCATGAACATATTCGCAGCATTGTACGCTGTTTGGCCTGCACTCCCTGTGATGGCTGCCATGGATGCAAAGAAGATCATGAAATCTAAAGTATCTTCCGAGAAAAGCTCGTCAAGCAAGAGACTGCCTTGGACCTTGGGCCGGAGGACGCTTTCAACACGCGGAAGATCGAGATCAAGGAGCATTGTATCTTGCAGAACCATTGCCCCTTGTGCAACGCCGCCAACTGGAGGCATGGTTTCCACAATCTTGTGATATGTACTGTATACAGATTCCCGATCGGTGATGTCGCTGCTACGGTTAGTGTGCAAGCATATATCGAGAATAGTAGATTCTGCTTACTTTGCAAATACTCGCACTGTACATCCATGGTCCACCATCTTCTGGATCCATTTTCCGTCGACTCGGGGGGTTTCTGCTTGACAGTGCAATGTATTTTGCACCCTGCTGAGCCATCCACTCACATAGCGTGAGACCGAGGCCAGCTGTAAGCCCGATCAACCAGTAAGTTTTGTCTCCGGCAAACTTCACCTTCTTGGAGGCTGGCAGTATTTGCACTGGGAGAGATTCCCCTTCCCAAGAAAGAATAGATTGTTTCTGATTGGCAGAGCTGCTTTCAATAACCTCTGAAATCCCCAAAATCGGAAGTCTGTGCAAGTTAATTGGGCTTGGAGAGCAGGAAGCTCGGTTCCATGCATGCTGAAGATGTAGAGCAACTTGATCAGTCCTGGATAATGCTGATGAGTACTGAGAATCCTGCATCGTGATTGTCATTTCCGTCTCGACCTTGCAATGCGCTGGTAGGCTGGCGGAGATTCGAGACAACACATCATTATTATCACCAATACTGAGTAACTTCGTGATGTTTTTAGGGATTCTGTCGCGGACTCCCCGCTGGGTATGGTTTGGATGGATGAAGATCCAAGGCAAACAACATGAGTTTTCAGTAGTTGTGAAAAGGACCAATTCCACTCCGCTCTGGTGAGAATATTCCTGTAGCACCGCGGCTAACGAGAAGTCGGGGTCAATGACCGCCACTTTGCTACCAGGCAAGGCTTGACCGATGAGTGACTGGGCCAACAACTGGTTGTAGACTTTTAGCATGGCGCCCATAGCTTCTGCTTTTGACTCTCCACATTTGATAAGCCATGACCGCGGAACGTCCACACGGGAGGCTAGCTGCTCTGACAGGGTTATCCAGAAGTGATTGGTCTGCGCATCGCTTCCAACAAGTAAAAACAGGTGGTCAGTCTCAGTGACCCTCACTGATCGAAGAAGAGAACTCGAAACGTTGATCTGGATGCGATCGCTATATGTGGATTTGACTGGTGCTTGTTCCAGGACCATGTATCGATTTCCTGACTGCTGAACCGTGACAGTCAAGGTCCGACGGTCGGAGTCTTTGATGATCAGACGTTTATTGGAGTTATACCGGTCGTTTCTCGTGCTGTCAAGTTTGACTCTGGGAATCATTGCATCACCATCTTTGAAGTATATCTCAGGCTCTGCACTCCAGAGCAATGGCCCTGACCATTTGTCTTGCTCCCCGAGATTAAGCGCTTCAAACACCAAAAGGCGTTCGGCAATCAGGTCGCCACTAACGTCTTCCCCTGAGCAAAAGTTCAAGAATTGTTGGCGTAGATGAGGCATCTCTACGGCAGCCGTGCGCTGCACGCCCAAAAGCATTTTGCCGAAAGGATTTGGTCCTTGGGCACCATGCGCGACCCACAACACATTTTCACTCCGTTCAAATACACTCTGGAATGATTTGAAAGCATTGGGCGTCATTGAGGGGAAGAAAGGTTCATCCAGCTCGGTCAGACTAAGGACTGTCCCCATGACTGGAAGCTCGTCAGGGATGATGTCCGAAAGGGAGGGAGATACGCTGACACTCTCATAATGTTTCGAAACGGCTTTCTTGATATTACTGACCAAAGCCGACGTCGATGGAGTTTTGCCCCCCACGATAGTCAGCGACTTCACACCTAATTTGGCGTGGTGAACAGCAACGGGATCCCGCAGGAAGTCCACCCTATCATCGGTGGCTTGGGCAACCATGAGTGAGAAGGGCACAGGGAGTTCTTTGCTGTGCGGCATGCACCTGTCAATCCCGGAGAAGCCACTGGACTTCAAAAGCTCATTCCATTTCTGCACGGATACAAAAGGCGTAATATTGCGACCTTCGGAGTGACCCATCCACCAAGCCTGGAGGCTTCCAAGTATGAGGCCAAGTCGCATAACATTTGGGTCGGTCGCTTCCAGCAAGATCAAATAGCCACCGGGTTTAATGAGACGGCGCACGTTGGCAAGAGTAGTTTGCAGACATTTAGTTGCGTACAATGACATGGAAGCAACCACCAGGTCAAATGACTCTTCTGCATAGCCTTGATCTGCGATGTCTTTCTCGATATCTAGAACCTGAAATGCCATTCGCGGGTTACGCCCTTGAAGGTTCTCGTGAAGATTCTCGACTTGTGATTTGAGAAAATCCGTGCATGTGTAAGAGGTGAAGGCCGTGCCAATTTCGCGCAGAATAGACTCCGTTGCTTCCCCCTCTCCGGCTCCTATGATTTATCGTGAGCACTTCTTATCATTTCATGGAGCTAAATACGCACCAATCTCAAGGATCTTCATGTGTGGGTATCGGTTGCTGATTAGGCCTGCGATACTACCCAGCTCTTGCAAGTAGGTGTCGATTCCAAAGGTTTCTCGATAGAATCGTTCCAAGGAACGGTCTTTCACGATAACGTCCAGGAGGGTCTGCCGTCCGGTCACAATACTTGGGAGGTCTTCTCCAATTTGCCGAATCAATTTCACTTCAAAGCTTTCTGCATGTCTAGAGAAAGTCAGTAAAGTCAGTATCTTTGGATCTATTAAATCGGAATCATTTTACCTCTCGAAAACCTTCAATATGTCATCAGCAGTGTCGTCCGCCCATTCTGGCTTTGCAAATGGGTGACTGCCAGATTGCACGTGAGCAGCGCAGTAGCTTGCATACTTGAGAAAATATTTGTGGTGCTGTGCAATGTCCGTATTCTCTGGAAGGGGGATGGTTTGATGCAGTCTTCTCAAGTAATGATGTGAGATCCTCTCCAGATCCAAGGAAAGGGTATAGTCGGCCGCAAATTCGATGACTGGAGTCTCCAGTTTCCTCTGGGCTGGGGCTTCTAGATTCCACGTAACTTTAGTAAACATGGGCACATCATTCTCGGATGAGAAGGGGGTCAAGGGCGTTGTATGAAGCCCCTCGAGCTGTATGGCTGTGTTGACACCATCAGAAGAATACATATCCACATCGCCTGAAAGGTCTGAGAAGCTGGTCGTAATTGCGGAGGATCTAAAGGGAAGATATGAACCAGGGGTGGCTGATTGACTCAAAACTTTGGGATTGATACGAAGGCGGTCGATTTTTGTTGGAAGCTGAATGTTCAGCATGCGGCCATCGCCAGGGAAACTGTATGCCAGCATAATGGCTTGGAGTGCGGCATCCAATGGCGCAGGGTGAATGAGCAGAGGAGCTCCATATTCAGCATGCAGTGGTACCGCAATTTTCCCGGTTGCCTCATCCATTCGTCTCCTGAGATCAGAGAGGGCATGAAATGGGCCTGTATAACCAAAGCCAAGGTCGGAAACAGAGTCATAGAACCGTTTCGGGTCAACGGCCAGAGGTATCTCGTTGGTGTCGTCTTGTGCTGGTAGAATATCGTTAGTTGGAGGTCCAAGCGAGATGCTGACTTGAGCAGAAGCGTGGAGAAGCATTGGAGTGCCAGTCTTTTTCGGAGCTGAGTAGCAATTGTAGACACCCTTCACAGTCCTCTGAATCGTTTCGGTAATTTTGAGAGTGAAAATAACCTCCACACCAGCAGCTTCATCAAGCAGCAAAGCTTGGCCGATGATAGTATCATTAAACTCAATCAACTGAATTGATCCAAGTCCGTATTCCTCCAGGATGATCTCTACTGCTGCTGAGATGTATCCAGCAGCAGGGAAAACAATCTGTCCTTGAACTTGGTGATGTTTAAGCCATGGCAATTCGCGAGTGAAAAGGAAGTTCCGCCAGCGCAAGTCCATCGGTGTCGCGTCGGGAGTTTTGGTCCCAAGTAATGAATGGAAATGATCAACATTCCCGTTTTTGAACTCCAAGGACATGCGAGATTCGTGCCAATATGTGCGGTCATGGTCCCACGAGTATGAAGGCAGTCCTTTCAATGGTTGTCGCTCCTGTTTCCCCTTCGACCCGATCATCTTGTGTTGGAAGCTGGAGAAGTCAACTACGTTTTCCCCTATTGAAGCCCAGATATCTCCCAATGCGGAAGCGAATGCTTCCCTGCTGTTCTTTCCGCGGCTTAATGTCCCTGAATAGGGAATTGAGCGCCCTATCCTTTCTGTAATTGTTTCCAGGCCAGGTCCCTTCAAGGCTGGGTGGGGACCAATTTCAATTGCCATGTCAAAGGGTCCACACTCTTTGATGGCAACGGCCAAAGCGTCGGAAAACAAAACAGGATGAATCATATTGTTGCTCCAGTATTCTCCCCTCAGACTGTCCTGTACTTCTTTGATGTCTTTGCCGTACACGCTGGAGATCCATCTCGGACGATCTTCGGACGGACACAAGACTTCGATCCCACATTTTCGTGTCGCATCGATGTATGGGCTTGCACACGGGAGCATGTGATGGGAATGATAAGCCCTATCTACCTTTAGTAAGCGAACGAATTTATTTTCGTCTTCGAGAATGTATTTCGCTTCTTCGATGGCATCGGCATCACCAGACAAAGTGACGCTGGTGGGTGAGTTGCTAGCTGCCACGCAGAGTCGCCCATCGAGATCTTCAAATGCACAGAGCTCTTTAGCATCTTCAAAAGAGGTTCCTACGGCCATCATAGCACCATTCGCTCCGCTTTGTGATGCCGCGTACTGCAATGACCATCCACGATAGTATGCAACCCTGATTGCGTCTTCAGCGGAAATGTATCCTGCCGCGTACCCAGCCGCTATTTCGCCCGACGAATGGCCCACGACGGCCGTGAAACTAACCCCAGCTGCTTCTAGAAGATCGACGAGGAGTATCTGAATTGCCGTGCATATGGTTTGGGAAAAAAGAGCCTCTGATATGCGAGATGAGGTCTTGTCCTTCAATATTTCATCTTTCAGACTCCATTTGGGACGGCTCTCTACCGGCAGGGCTTGCAGAGACCTGTCGAGGCGAGCAATGCAGTTAGTGGCTAGGTTTGATGATGTTATCAACTCCGCCCCCATGGCGGCCCATTGCGCCCCTTGGCCAGTGAACACCGCGAGAAGCTTTGGCGCCTCCATACTTGTGGTCTGGCCAGCAAGCTTCACGTTTGAGGAAGGACTTTGAGCCGCTTGATCTAAGCTGTAGATCAAGCTGTCAACGCTTGATGCTGCAATAGATAGTCGAACGGGCAAAGTAGATCGGCGGCAGTTCAAAGTCCATGATAAATCTTGGAGATTTGTCATTGGGTGACTCGTGAGAAAATTGAAGTAAGATTTGAGATTGGTCATCAGCGACTTCTCGGATGCTGCTGAGAAATTGAATGGCGTGAATATCTCTGCCTCTTCATCCACCGACTCATTCTGTGCCGACGTGTTTTCGAACGATTCCAAGATTGCATGTGCATTTGCACCTCCAAATCCAAAACTGTTGACACTTGCGCGGCGCGGGGCGCGGGGTGATCGCTCTGGCCACTTTTGTGCCTCATCTAAGATTCGAAGATTGCCATAGAATGGCTTAATGGCGGGATTGAGGGAATTCAACAGGAGGTTTGGGGGGGACAATCCCGTGTTGCAAAGCAAGTGAGGCTTTCAGAACAGCTGCCAAGCCCGCGGTTCCCTCAGTATGACCGATGATTGTCTTGATAGAGCCTACATATAAAGGGGGCTCTTGAGTATCATCACGGTAGTAGTTAGGCTGCGAGCCGAAGAAAGCAGTGCTAATAGCCTCAGCCTCGACCGGGTCACCGGCAGGGGTTCCTAATCAAAGTCATTTCCGTTAGTGATATGCAACTAGATCTGGGGCATCCCATCTATACCTGTTCCATGCGCCTCAAAATACTGCGGCCGATCGCTGGCTTTCGATAAATCTAATCCAGCTCTCTCGTATGTTGACCGAATCAAATCAGCTTGAGCGCTCGGACTCGGCATTGTGATACCCTTGGTCTTGCCATCTTGATTCACGCCAGTTTCCCGAACAACACACTCAATATGATCGCCATCGGCCAAAGCATCACTCAGGCGCTTCAGAATAACAGCTGCAATGCCTTCGCCGCGCGCATAGCCATCCGCATCCTTGTCCCACATCTTTGAGCGACCGTTTGGGGAAAGCATTTTCAGCTTACTCTCCGCAACGTATTGCTCAGGGCCCAGGAGGAGGTTTGAGCCAGCGGCAACTACGACATTAGCCTCTCCGGAGCGTAAGCTTTGCACGGCTTGGTGCATGGCAGTAAGACTAGCAGAGCATGCGGTGTCGACAGTCATCGAGGGGCCGTGCCAGTCAAAGAAGTATGAAATGCGATTGGCAAGGATGCATCTTGATATACCGGACGCAAAATACGTCGGAAACATTTGGATATCCTTTCCCATCAGGTCTCCGTAGTCATTGGTCATAACTCCGACATAGACACCCGTATTTGACCCTCGCAGTTTCTCCATTGGTATGCCTGCCGACTCCATACCCTCATACACGGCTTCAAGTAAGAGACGTTGCTGAGGATCCATTGCATTTGCTTCGACTGGTTTCGTTCCGAAGAACTGTGCATCGAAATATCGGATATCATCTGACAGCACATACGAATGGCGAACATTGCTGGTTCCGTGATGAGAGCCATCCGGGTGGTAAAATGCCGCGGCGTTGAATCGGCTTTTAGGTATAAGGCTTAGGACGTCTCTAGGCTCTTTGACGAGCTCCCAGAGCTTTGAAGGAGAGATCGCATCACCAGGGAACCTACAAGCACTTCCCACAATAGCGATAGGCTCGTTGCCAATGTTGCGGTCATTTGGCATTGTGGAAAAGAGGTTTCTGAGGTAGAGTCTTGATGTCTATGATCAATGATTTTTCGTTGGTCGAGTTCGCTTCGATTCACTTGATTTGTTTTGAGCGAGTGAGCGGTATACCCGCACTGATATTTCTGCTTCGTCGAGAGTTGGCGCTATCTGCATGCCTCTTTCTTGTGCATGGATTGTAGTGACGGCCAATACTTATGGAGTAGTGAGATCCGCACTGACGCTCGAAAATTCGGATATGAATCGGATACTCGAACGCTAGATAAAGCTGCTTCAGCCAGCTAGACGTAGATTCAGCGAATAGCATTCTGTCAATCCTGTAGGAATAGGCAGCTTCTCGACAATTCTCGATTTCTGGCACGTATTTACTCCATGACCTGGGCTGAACCTGCATTTCCCTACATTAGTTATGGCAATATCTTCGGGTGAGATCTTCTCGCATTGCATCCTGTAGTCTCATCACGCCGCGAGTCCCTGTTTCCCACACGTGGCTGACGAGAAGTTCTCATGTAGACCGCCGAAACCGACTCCGACTCCGAGCGCAGTCATCGTAGTCGAGAGATGGGCTATGACCCCGGCGAAGTTCTTCAATGGCGATCATATATGCAGGGCTATTGGAAACCGGGCGCTCTTCCTGTCAACGGTTCCTTGTGAATGAGCCATATGAATGTGTCCCATGACTTCAACCCGGCTTACATCCAGGAGGGCGTCTGCATCCCACGGGCCTGGTGCGCTGTGAGGAACGCAGGGGGGTTCGCGTGGGGGTCGCGGAAGTGCGATTCCCGTTCCCGCTCCTTTTTCTATCGGGCGCATCGAGTCATCATGATAATCTAGTTTGGGTTAACCTTGGAAATTGACCTGCTGCACGAATGAAAAACGCCCACCACCAAAATGAGAAAACACAGAATATTTATATCTGATATGACCAGTACTATCAGCAGCAGCTCAAGATCATTAATGCGCTCATACGCGGGATAATGGTTGAATAATCAATTGCTCGTCAGACTAGTAAATATATACAAACTCATCATTCTGCCGATCCGTGACATCTTCCGAAGCAGCTTCAGCCCTCGTATGCGTCATGCCTTCGCCATGGTCCTCCCGCACTCCTCGGAAATGACTTTGCATGGAGTAATCGATAACCTTCGCGCTCTTGCCATTTCGAACGCGGCGACGAGCTTGCAGTTTGTTGAGGAACCAGAGATTGACCCACTGAAGTAGGACGATGACAATCAGGGCGCAGAAGATGCCCAAACAGGCTTGCAGCCCTGGATGGTAAGTCGGCGCATCTTTGGATGTGAACAGCAAAGGACCAACAATATTGCCCGCGGACACTGCAGCGTTGTACAAACTCATGGAAACCGACTTCTTAGTGGTACCTGCAGTATTACCAACAATCCAAGACACAATCAAGGGGTTTGCGCCAAACAGGAAGCCCAGCAGGTAGTACCCGGCAAGCAGTCCGCCTTGGCTGGCATCGTTGCGCGGGAGAGCGTAGAGAAGAGCCAGTCCCGCGACAACTGGCAGCATGAAAATGGCAATGATGACACCCTTCAGTCGCGCTGTTTGGGCGAGGTAACTGCCGAGAAGAATGGCAATAAATTGCATTACGCCAAAGGGCATCGTCATGAGACTCGTCTTGTATTTGTCGAAACCCAGGCCACCAATAATCAACGGTCCGAAGGTGTTCGTCACACTGGCGCCGATATTGAGCAATAGAGCCATCCCGATCCACAGGTATGTTTTGGGCTCCGTCACGGCTTCGAAGACTTGACTGAACTTGAACTTGTTGCTTCCCGTGCCTGTTTGGTTAGCCCGGAGGCGCTCAATTCCTTGGAGCTTTTCTTTTTCCGTCAGGAATCGAGCAGAGGATATATCGTTATCGAGGCGCCAGTAGACGAAGGGGACCGAGGCAATTGTCAGGCAACCAACAAAGAGAAAAATACTAGAGGATCACAGTTAGGCACGAACCACTCATTGAATCGGAGGAAGAATACTTGCATCTGCCACGATTCGAGTACGTTAGAATTGATGTGGGCCAGTCCATATGACAGTGCAGCAGCCACTATGGTGGCAATGCCGTTGGTCCCGTACCACGCCGCAACGCGAATGGGTTGCTCAGCACGCAGATACCACTGACTGGTCAGAACGCTGAATAGAGGCAAGCAGCCCGCCTCAAAAAGACCCAGGAGGAAGCGAGTTGCCATGAGCCCGCCGAAGTCATGGGCTGCAGCCATGCAGGTCTGGGCGATACCCCATCCAAGACACATGCCCGGCATAAGAATCTTGGGCGGTACCTTGACAATGAGATAAGAAGAAAACGGCAGCCAACATAGCTGCGCTATAGGGGCAATAGAGCCCACCAAGGAGTACTGGTTCCCGGTGAGGCCAGTATCTGCCTGTAAACCAAATGTTGCACCGTATCCTAGCACACTCTTGTCAAGAATCTGCAGAAAGTAGACCCAAACCACAATGACCAGGATCGTCCGATCCGTCTTCCGACGAATTCGCTTGTTTTCCTCGTCTGTCAAGGAGACGTGGCCCGGGGCCACCTGATCCGGCTTCAGGGCCGCCGGGTCTTCATCATGAACGGATGTAGGCTTGGACATGATGCTAGGAGGGAAACACAGCACCGATGATGCATCGAAGATCTTCCAAGGGGCTATTTATCCCGGCCTGTTAAGCAACCCCCACAGAACTGCGAGATGCGTGGGGGCTAGCTTTCCCCGCGTTTTGCCCCCCACGCCTCCGCTTTGTGTCAGTTGATGGGGGAAATGGGGCAATCTTTTCCCTTATTCGTGCTGAAACGGGCTCTTCTTGCGCAGACCGAGGAGTCCCCGTCGTCATCGCCAATCATCAGCCAGAATTTGGGACTCTTCCGCTCACCCGTCTCATGGGCCACTGTTACCTTACGGGAGTCTCCTACTGTCACCCCACGAAAGTCTTTACGTCACGATATCTCGTGTTGTATATTATCTGCAGATGGCGATATGTGGACATTGCAGATTGGTCTTTCTGACGACCAGTGGCTATCACTCATTTATGTCCCAGTTTGCAGTCACAAGGTAACTAGTGACTGGTGCACTCCACACCAAGTCCCAGACCTGACCCGACAAGAACTATCCAGATGAAGAACAGCGATTCTCGAAGTAGCATATTTAATTTTCCAACTTTCAAGCTGGGAGGCTCTGTTCCAATAAGGCAATGGGTTCCCTGTATGTAGTGGCAACGCCGATGGGACCGGCTATTCCTTGAGAGCATCATGCCCCCAGTTCTTCAGGGATCGGTAGCTCTTGCTATCGGTGTTCTGTTTAGCCGCCCCCTCCTGCGCAAGATGGCGTTTGCAGTAGGAGACAACCTTGCGCATGTGGTCGATCTCGGCGTCCTCGTAGGCATCGGGGTCACCATCGGGGTTATGCTCCAGGATCTGAATGATCTTCCGACCGCTAGGATGCTCTATGTTAAGCTTTCTGCAGGGTGCCATGGCATATGTACTGACCTTTCATGCCCGACGGTCTCTCCCGAGCCGTTGCTCCATCCTGCAGATACGGAGCTGTCTTCCTTCAGCCAATCGCGCAGCTCATTCGGGGTCATGTTGACCAGATCATTGAATTCTCTATGGTCCGTGAGCGGGCTATGCTTGGCGCCGTAGATGCATGGCGTCGTCGGGGTGGGTTCACCTTATCACTGTGTCTTTGTCCTTGACCATGGTCGCTATTATGTCCAGCCCTCACAGCTTCAGTTTAGAGTAGAAAATACTCAGAGAGTGATGATTTCAATTTTAATTTTGAATGCGGCTCCTCTTTCTACCTTTTGAGTCTATTACACCAGAGCCGCATCTGGCGATTTCGTCTCTTTTACGTCATGCATTCAACAGGGAAACGCGAAATATTGTGCGTCGGATCTTGGTTCTTAGTATATAATGGGGCAGTCGAGCCTACGCAATTCCCACAAGGGCTGGCCTCATCCTCCAACTTTTGATCCCAACCGATGGAAAGCAAGTCTGGGCCCGCGGAGATCTCGAACGCGCGATGCATTACGATCGGGAGCCTTATCTATGCCAAGCCCAGCATGCTTGATAAATACTCGCGATATGACTGGCTGCGTCTCAATTATTCTACAACCCCCATGGGGATGATCGACATTCTGTGTACATTAAGCGAACTTGAGATCCTCCTTTTATCTTTACCTTAACAAGAACGAATCAACATAGTCTGATCGTCGAACTTTGGCCAGCTAGTGCGCCAGTGCTTTTTGCTATTGAACTATCATTTCTCAGCTTGCAGATCATGCCGCGGGACGTGCAGGAATGGAAAGGGAGCTTGGACAAGATAAATAGGCCAAGCAAGCAGGGTCCTAAATAGCTCGAATAGTGTGAGATTTGGCTTATTCTCAAGCTTTTTTAGATCTTCCATTTGATTGGTACCAAGAACTGAGCCATCGCCCCCAAGCGCGCCCTCTGCAGCGTCGAGAGATTGAACACCTTCGTGTAATTACCGGAGCCTCTCATGATGTCTTTCGACTCTCTTTCCCCGCTGGAGGTCGTCCAGGCCCTGGAGAGAACTGGTATCCAGAAAGGTAATATGCGACTGGACAAAGTCTTCTTCAGCTCTGTCTCAGCTGGGTGTTTGCTTGCCTTGGCTTGTGGTACTGCCCTGAGTACCAACGCGTCGCCCTGGTTCCAGAGTAATGCCCCTGGCTTGATTCGTACCATCAGCGCCTTGGTCTTCCCTTATGGTTTAGTCATGATTATTCTCACCGGTGCAGACCTTTGCACTGGTTCCTTCATGGTGAGTAACTTAGAGCATGTCATTCACCCGATGCAGTCATCGAGCAAGCTTCACCAGCTAACATTCTTGAAGTACACCACCATTGCTGTACTCCGAGGAAAGCTTCCATGGTGGAAGATGTTTGTGCATTGGACTGTAACCTTTCTTGGGAACTTGGCCGGGTCTCTTTTCCTTGTTGTGATCATATTCGGATGTGAGTAATTCCGATGACCACACTGTCAGCCAAGTGGATATTTTTCAAGGCTCTAATATATCCCAGACGGTGGTGTGTTCGACGCAGACCCATTCAAGTCCGCCGTGCAGACTTTTGCGACTAAGAAGCAAGTTACGCCAAACTTCCGTGAGATTTTCCTTCGGGGAATTGGTTGCAATTGGCTTGTCTGTCTTGCCTGCTTCTTTGGTCTGCAGGGTCGTGATCTTGCATCCAAGATCATAGGCATCTGGTGGCCTATCTTTGCCTTCGTTTCTCTGGGATTTGACCACGTTGTGGCCAACATGACTTTCATTCCCCTTGGGATCTGGGTCAGTACCCCCGGCATCTCCGTTGGTCTGTACATCTGGAAGGGAATAATTCCTACATTGCTCGGCAATATTATTGGCGGTGGCCTGTTTGTTGGTAAGTATCGACCGTCTCAGGTGGATGGAGGACAGAAAGTTTAACAACGTCGCTATAGGCACTTACTACTGGTACATGTACCTCTTGGACATCAATGAGCTTCCAATGCGCGGGTTCAAGAAGAAGCAGATTGACGCAACCCCAGAGACACGCTCCATGACCAAAGAAGGGGACATTGAAGCTTCTGCTGGCGCTTCTAGTTAAGCCAACGGACCCAAGATTGATTGGATGGCTCGTATGTCAGCTTGTCGTTGCTTGATGCCCGAAAGTGATGTCCGCTAAGACAGTCACATGAGATAAAGGCGATCATACTTCGCACGTGCTGATAGAGCCCCTCCCAAGGTGTTGGTTGTATTTAATTATTGCATGTAATGTTTTGTGATGAGGTTTTAGCCCAGAGATCCTGGACATATGGCTCTGTTGATTACATTTCTGACCGTCCTAACCTTGCATTGTTTCCGCATGTGTGTCTTGATGGTAATAATGCGATATGCCTCATAAGATCAGACCAATCAAGGAAACCAACAGCCATAGAAACCTGGAACCTAGTAGAATCAAGATAAGAGAGATCTTTTACAAACTTCGACGTCATCTCCCGTTCCCGACTCGGCATTTCCCACTTGCCCCGCCCCGCCGCGAAGCATCAATCTTTTGTTTCTCTTTCTTATTCTTTCCACAAAAACAACCATGGCTACCGCACAACCTAATCTCTACAGCTTCCCGAGCACGGAAGCTCTGGCCCAGCAATTGCGCCCTTACGTCCTCCGCGCCCAGAATGCCGCCCTCGCACACCACGATAGCTTCCGAGTTGCCGTATCCGGCGGCTCCCTGCCTACTGTGTTAGCTCGCGCGCTCCTGTCTCCCAGCAATGGCAGCTCTGAAGATACCCCCCAGTTCGCCAAATGGCACATCTTCTTTGCCGACGAGCGCGCAGTGCCCCTCGACCATGACGACAGCAACTACCACCTACTCAAGGAGGAGCTGCTCAACAAGATCCCTGCGGAGCTCGGTGCTCCGACCGTGCATACCATCGATGAAGCCCACATTAACGACAGCGAGCCCCAGGAGCTGGCGGACCTGTACCAGGAAGAATTGCTTCGTGTTTTCGCTGCCAAGGAGAGCGTCAAGCTGCCCATCTTCGACCTGATCCTGCTAGGTTGCGGCCCTGACGGTCACACGTGCAGTCTTTTCCCTGGCCATGAGCTGCTGCGGGAGAAGGACGCCTGGGTGGCTGCGATCAGTGACTCTCCTAAGCCTCCTCCCAAGCGTATTACCCTCACCCTTCCCGTGGTGACCTCTGCTGTTCAAGTCGCGTTTATTGCCACCGGTGATGGAAAGAAGGAGATCCTGAAGTCTATTTTTGACAGCGAGGAAGGCCGGAGTCTCCCCTCTGCTCTTGTTAACAAGGGCGGTGGTGAGAAGGTTAGCTGGTTTACGGATGATGCTGCTGTTCAGGGCGTTGCTTTCCCTCGTCGCGGTAACCTGTGAAATTGCGTGATGTGAGGTGAGATGAAAATGATGAAGATATCACTTTAGAATTCAATTTTGCACTTTGACAATATCGCAAGCATGCTCAAAGCAGGACAAAACATTTTATTGATCTTAGTTTAGGCTGGAATGGATGTCAATGAAATCAAGTTATTTAAGTTAAGGTCGTTCTCCGTGGTCACTCAGATATCCTCATATATGATCGACAGTGGACTTCGATTGGGCTACATCTGTACAGGAGAGACTTTTGTTTTCCTCCGGACCCTAAAGGAGGTACTGCACCATTGCCTGCAGCCGTGGTATGGTCAGCCGTGGACCTCTAGAATAAATCACGCCCCAACTGGAAACTCCACGGTGATCAGACACTCTCTTGGCCCGCAAGAGTTCACACTCCAGCTTTACTTTCAAATGACACTCAGCTTGTCCAAATCGAGAATTGGGCTTGAACAAACACAGATCTGTGGTCGGACAGGATATCTCTAAAAGCCACCCTTCTTTCATGGGGATATACTGTGATCATTAAAGCTACAACATAGGAAAAGCATCATCGTCTTCAAGCTGAAGTGCATAATTACCACCATCTCAGGAGCTTACAAGGACTGCACATCCCTGTCAGACTTGGGAACTTTGAGCCCCGCGTTACATATTGGTATCACGGTAACCTGATGGCTCAAATGATGATACTCAGTTGTTCTGTATGCGACTCCAACATATCATTCACTATGACAGTTGCAGCTTCTTTCACCGAGAGCATGATAAGGCTTTGGCTATGCTCCGGCCGCATGGAGTTGTGCATAGCGACATGGCGCAATATGTCATGAATGGGTTTGTTTGTTGATTTAGAGGATATTGAACTGGTCGAAGCACCCTGCTACCCACGTCCGGCAGATCGTGCTGCCATGGTTTGTTGGGATCTAAGAGGACCTGGCGATGCTCGACATGCCCGAGTCCGGCACGTGGCCGACCTTGCCAACGCCCATCGCGATCAGATACATAACCCCCAAGACCCCTCCGGCCAGACCAGCGCACCCACCTATAGAAGACGAAAGATTTCCAGACGAGACCAAGACATGAAGTCGAACGGATACTCGCGAAGAGGATCACCAAGCCCCGCGGCCGTCCCCGCTCAGACGGGACTGCGAGACCACCCACCATTAAGTACCTGGTGAGGTGGAGGAGACAATCCGCGCGGGAAGGCCAATGGGTAGCAGCGGAGGACATCGCAGCGGAGGAGCTTATTGCAGAGTTTGAAGCCGCTCACCAACCCGGTCCCTACAACGCCTCCCACCAACCTGGTCTAACCAGGACCTAACCAGCTCAATATGCCTCCTACTATCTATCCTTCCTAAATATCCTATACCACCACCGATATCGCAGAACTCGCACAGTGATAGTACACCAAGTGAATATTCACTACCGATACCACACAATCGCGCTATCGATACCTCCAGTCCTACCTCACCTTCAGCTTACCCTGTAACCACTTACCTGACCATACCTCACCTGGTGCTCCCACCTATTCCCTTCCTGCGGCACCCGCCTCGATAGCCGGCGTGAAGGATAATCCCGGGCTAATTTTCCAACAGCTGAGCCAGAAGACCACCATATCCGCGCTTCATATCCGCACTTCATATACGGATATGCCTAGGCACGCTTTATATAATACAAGTTCTAGCTGGGATTTGTGACAGCCGGGTCTCCCAATCCCTCGTAGGGGCCGCACGATGGACCGACCCCGGGGTCTGCGAGGAGCTAGATCTTCTCTTCGGCGAGAACTTCGCGAACGGTGTACTTTTGGGGCCAATTCGTACTTCCAGCGACGGGACGAGGGCTCCCTCTAGTCATCGTATCAATTCGAGCTAACATAGCTATCAGACTTGAAATTGATCAGCTTTCATATGACTGCGGTGGAGGATATGACCAAATAATTTTGGTAATCCTTATACAGTAAATATACAAAGATTTCGGGCCCGCCAAACTGGTCCCGCTGTCCCTCCAGGGCGATTCCTATGATGATTGGTAAATACTGGCAAACATCTTCCGCCCAGGTAGATTCATATTTGCAATTTCCAGGGTTGCATCACGCCATCTTGCGTGATCGCTTTGATATGGAATTAGCCGACGAGCCGGTCGATTCTGCCCATCCGCAGCAAGCTTCTACGCAACAAAGCGAGCGGAAAGGTAGCCGACAGCCCGTAAGCGACCCATCCGAAGGCCCCGCTTTGATGTGCCAGGGAGTATGGTTTCATTTGGCGAACCAGGACTATATAACATAGAATTCCTCAGTGAATTTGGTTCAAGCATTTCTGCTCTGGCTCAGGCTATTGTGGATTTCACGTTGGATCTCCGTCGTAGTCGAACCCCATGGCTACGACTACGCAGACCCTCCCGGCTGTCAAAGCCCAGGGAATCGACCTCACCAAGTTCCCCGACGGACTGAAGACCTCAGGCCAACATGCTCCCATATACGATAAGGTCTGGCCTTACAGCAAATTCCCTAAGCGCCAGACCGGCCCAACCTTGTGGAAGGCTGAGGACTATCGGGACAACCCCGAGAAATGGACCCATAAGTTCACGGACGAAGAGATCAAAGAGATCGGCGAAGCCGCCGATAACTTCATCAAGAACGGCCATCCCCTGACGGGCATTTCAAAGGTAGGTTCTCTTCTCGATAAAATCCCATGCTGCCTGAACCTAACACCATTTAGTCCAAATTCCCTCTTCCAAAGCTTTCAGCCCGTCTAGAAGCTCTCAGGAAAGACCTGCTCGACGGCAAGGGATTCTGGCTCTTCAAGGGAATCCCCGTCACGGAATGGGATCTCCAAAAATGCGCTACCGCATACATGGGTCTCGGAACTTACCTAGGCTACTTCACCAGCCAGAATGGGCGAGGCCATGTCTTAGGCCACGTCAAAGACCTCGGGGAAGATCCCACCCAGACAGACCGAGTCCGCATCTACCGCACCAATGCTCGGTAAGCAGAACCAACAGGCTGATCCAGAGTCGCCCATCTAATCCGTCACAGCCAATATTTCCACACCGACGGCTCTGATATCGTCGGTCTTCTCTGCATCGCCAAGTCCCTCTCCGGCGGTGAATCGGACATCGTGTCTACCCACCACGTCTTCAACACCCTCCAAGAACGCCACCCCGATGTAGTCGAAACCCTCGTGACACCAAACTGGTACTTCGACCGCAAAGGCGAGGTCTCCGAGGGCCAGGAGCCGTGGTATCGCGGCGCCGTCATGTACATGGAAAACGAACGCTCCGACAACCCCCGTGTCTACGCCCGCTTTGACCCTAACAATGTCACCTCCCTCAAGCGTTACAACTCCGGTCCCAATGCACTGATCCCGCCTCTCTCCGAGAAGCAAAAATATGCCATGGAGATCTTCGAGAAGACCTGTGCGGAGCTAGCACTGCATATGATTCTTGCGCCGGGCGATATCCAGTTCGTGGCTAATTCGCATGTTTTCCATGCCCGGACCGCGTACCAGGATCACCCCCCTGGCGCGGTCGATGAGAATGGGCGTCCGGCTCGCCGCCGCCATCTTATGCGGCTGTGGCTTTCGGCTCCGGAGTCGGAGGGCGGTTGGAAGACGCCATATGCGGATGCGTTGGAGCAGAAGAGGGGTGGGATTCAGGTTAATGATCAGCCCCCTCATTGTCCGTTGGATGCGGAGTAATTGCCACTGAGAGGTCTCCTGGCCCTTTGTATATACGTTGCTAAGGGACTTTTAAACATAGCTTTGTTATGAAATTCACGAATATCTTGCATTTGCAGCGGAACACTAGCATCCAGTCCTTTTCTGCCAGAAGAAGTGGAAATAAAAGACAAAGCGGACTAATTCTGCGCTCGAGTATCAACCTCCATATCTGAGGCTTCGAGCCAAGAAAGACTGAAAAGCTTCGGTGCTTATCGTTAGTTCTGCTGCGGGAAAGGAAAGACAGGTAACCACGGTTCCGCCTGTGTGACAGGATAACCGCCAGCCCACGGTAATAGCCCAGCCCCTTCAATGCCTGACCCAACAGCAGTGTCAGCCGGCTGCCAGGCCCACCCAAGATCCGACATGAAAAGTGTCTGCAACTCCTCCAGGCTGGCCTGACCAAACATGGCCTCGTTGGAGGCTGTTCTCTCCGGATCGTGCGTTGAAGGGTCACTGGGATCGATGCTAGACTCGCAGACTGCGCTGTTTGGAGCGGATGATGTGGCTGCTTTTTCCGGAGCATGTCGTTCTGGGATGCTTTTGCGTGCCATGCGGAAGATTGAGAGGGGGTTCAAAACATAGTCGGGTGCACTCTGGACCGGGGTGCCGGGAGACTTTCGCTAGTGAGAAGGTTAGGATAGTTAGTTTCGAGGTCTGGAGTGAAGATCCTACCTCGGGTCCTCGTCGCCATTCGGTTGGTATGGATCGTCGGGAATGCTATTCTGGGCGACAACTTCCGATCCAATGCCAGAGCGATCAAGCATTGTTTCGGCAGCAGAGCACTGGACCTATTGGTCAGCACGGTTTTGACGCAAAGTTCGAACTAGAGAGGCCTACCAGAGAATTGCTTATCACGCTCAATGATCCCATAAGCTTCAGTGACTCGATGTTACTCTTCAAAAGGGGCAGCGTCTCATTCGTAATGTTCTTTGTCTCCTCGGCTCGGGGGTCAAGTATCTGAGTCAAGTGGTATACCATGATCCGACAGCTGTCATATGTGATAGTCGGAAGCCAGGAATCAGCCAACATTCGAGCTCCATGGCGTGCTGTTTCTCCAATGATTGTTGCAAGGGCACAAGCAGCATCAAACAGCACTTCCTGCAAATGCCTTAGGAAGCCCTGTTGCTCGGGTGGGAAGTCAAAGGCCGCGCGAAGCTTATATAAAGCAGGAGCTCCTAGTCGGTACAAGTCGCACATGGTTTGGTAGTGCGCGCAATGAAGGACACACAAGGCCCCGAGCTGAGACGAGTCTTTTCGAATGTATATTGCATTCGGCGTAAATTGAAGACTTGGCGGCAGGGACTCGTACCACGAACGACAGTCCGCGTCCAGCATCGCGAATTCCGAGTCCGGCTCCCAGGGGACTATGGCTTCATCAAGGTGTTTAATGTATCTACTAGCAAGTCAGTGGAATCTGTGTAACACAATTCATCTCGAAGCCGACCTCAGAACCCTCTTCCTGATAGAGGTGTGTCGTATAAAATGTGCCATCATTCCAACGTTAGACATGAGGTTACTGGCATCTACCTCTGCCTCGGGTATAAACTTCAGCCAGTTCCCCGGCTCCAGAGTTTCAGTGAGACACGGGATCTGCTGGAGGAAATTCCGCTCATTGCAGGGTAATTGGATCTTCATATCCTTTTCATCAACTAGTGTGAGCTGGTCGACACCGCTTCCCACAAGAGCATCTATCACGTAGCAACTCCACATTAACCGCCGCCGTGACTCGCGTCCAGTGACCGAAGGACCGACATCGCGGTTCTTGCAGAGTATGTCTGTATTGTATTCTAAATTAATTTGAAGTGCCTGAGTCATGCGAGTGATCAGACCGCTAAGCATGAACGCATTGGCGAAATTTCCCATTCGGATTGCGAAGTCATGAAGCAGGACGGACGCCTAGCCGGAGTTAGCAGCTTTTCACCCTTAAAGCCAATCTTGGAAATATTCCTGCTGACCATGAGGTTTTCAATCGTCACAATATCCAGAGTTTCGAGAATAAGCCTTTGCGCGATTCTTGCCCATTGGCTTCCAGCCATAAGGATAGTTTTTGCAGGGAGAGGAGCGACGGTTTCGCTATAAGACAGCGCATGAAACCTGCCATTCGTTTAAGTCCGTCTGCGCAAAGGTCCCACGGGAAAGGAGGACCTTACTGGCCGCCCAAGGCGCAAATTACGTGCAACAAAGCATGATTTTGATATTTCTTCGAAGTATCCTTATCAAGCTTTTGAAGGAAATGACGGCCTGTGCAAAAATGCAAAGCATCGCAGGGGATGAACATTATTGAAATACTCTTCGACCAAGAGCCCTATTCGCCATGGATCGGGCAACTGGGTTTCCGAGAGCCTTTCTATAGTTAGCGTATCATGAAGCATATGGCTACTGTTTCCCAATCATACCATCTCAGGGGCGAGGTCTGAGCCTCACCGGGTTCAGCACCTGCTGAAAGATTCGCGGCATTCAGAGACGAATCGGGCTGCTCACCCGGTCGCGACATGAGCCTGAGTCTATCCCTAGACGAATGATCAGAAACAAGGCCCGGCTGAGTGATGGCGGCTGGGTTCTTATTCGACATCTCCACCCGACGTATCCAATCTGGCTGAGATGATTCAGAGTAGGAGCAGCTAAGGCTTTTCCCATGGCATCTTCGGCAGGTCGGCCGCTCGCCAGAGCACTTTGTTTTCGAAGCCCTACAGGCTGTGCATGATCGGTACGTTCGTTTCCTCTTCGAGCTCTCGACTCTATCCTTTGCGATATCTTGCGTCTGGGACACTGGCGATGTGGTGTAACCCGAGCAAACCAAGCGCAACCTGGCACAGTTCCCACACGTTCCCGGTCGCTCATCACATTTGACCTGCAGATAATCAGATGGTGAGATCCAAGGATCGGTTGCTTGCTACTTACTTTGCGCGCGCGACAAGTGCGACAGCCTGTACTCGTTAAAACCGCCCCGGACCAGGCAGGACTGAACTTACCGAATCGTGACCGGGTGCCTTTCGGGGTACTTGACGAGCCCATCCCTGTTACCGAGCCATACGGTCGCCCTTTCGTCCTTTTGGAGCTGCGACAGTTGTTCGGCTCGTCGGCTGTCGGGTCGGGTGGTGAAATCCACGTGCGTAATGACGAGCTCGAAGGGCGGGAAAAGCGGAGAATGCGGGGTGTTGACGATCTGCCTTGGCTCCATAAGGTTTATTTCCCTGGCTCGGACGAGGAGCGAGATAGTGGTTAGATTATCTTACTAGATTATTCGCTGGGGCGGACTCACATTCGTTCCTATCGGAGAGAAGCATATCGGTGGCTAGAAGCGGAAATTCGTCGAAAGATATATATACGCAAGAATTACGCGATAAGCAGGCCCAAAATGGGATGCTAGCCATGGAATCGACGCTAAGAGTCATTCGAATTTGACCACAATGTCTTGAATTTACCCTGATTGGTATAAGGAAGCGAGGAAATAAATCTTCAGTTTCGCATTCTTGTCCATGCCGCTTTACACCGTTGGCCTTGCGTGGTGCTGGATAGGCGAGTGGATCCAGCATATGCCCGAGAGCAAAACATCATATCTAGTTAACTATCATCACTACCCCATGTTAGGACTTGGCTTCGGCCTATAGGCAGCGAACACGAAGGAAGTCTCCTCTGGTCATTATAAAACCAATTCCATGTCTTCCTGCGATCACCAGTTAAATGGCTACAATGAGAGCATGAAAAGAAATCGGGAGGATTTCTTGATAGATCGTAGATTTTACGTCTCGCACGTCAAATTGAACGTCAGAAAGCAGTATCTCATACTCTGAGATGCACCACTACAGGGCTTCGCAGCTCTGGCCCAACTCTGGAGAAAAATATAGCCCTCTAAAAGGCCATAAATACAAGGAATGATCAGGTATGAGCATCAGCAGCACTGCAGAAAAGACCGGTGCCCAATCGCCTAATAGCTCGAGGTCGGACCTGAAGAAAAGCAAACCCTCGAAAACAGATTGGCCATGATTGGATCTGAAGGGGTTGGTCGGATATTGGTAGCCAGTGCATTACCTGAACACAGCAGCACTGGGTCAAATCCGAAGAAATGTGAAATCTACCAGAAGACTGGCCATGAAGCAAATTTTTAGAACTATCGGACATGATCGTCTGATAAACCAACCCCGATGACCTGTCTCGCATTCAGTCTATTGGTCGATCTGGCAGATGCACCACCTGAAAAGCATGTAGCCCTGGTTCGAAACCACAGAAACGCGGAATCTTCCATTAAACGGCCATAACAGTCCCCCAAAGAATATGCGCAGGGGAGTCCCTTGCAAACCAGCCAGGCTATGGTTTGGTATGAGGCCCCCTGCGTCGGAGCCGTTCTACTCTGGCCCAACTGTCAGATTCTGGCGCCCGCGCTATGGGCTTCCCGGGAGGTCTCGGTCCTGAGTAGAACACTTCATATTGTGATCGATGCTAGGATCGATGTGTGAAACGTGATGCCCAGGCATCAGCTAGTACTCAAGATGACATTATTCGCACCTTCCCAGTGGCAAGTAGTTGGCTCTAGCGAAGTTTCCCGAAGTGTCTCCTTATGAAAGTATCAATTAGAGGCAAGAAAGAGTTGACTTCCAAAGTCCCGTGAAACAACTCCTTGGGAATTTCGGAAATAAAAATGTAGGGAACCGCTTCTTTTTTTATGTGTACTCCGTTCAATATTGCTATAACTCCTCGCTATGTTTCTAGGGATAGCGTGGGGGTTACGTTGTCAACGAACCCCAGTGAATAGTTCCAAATGGAACGGGCATGTCAATAACCCGGTCTTCGCAATCAGACAAGACTCATGTTTGAAATCCCCGAAGAGCTGCGCAGGAGTAAGAGGATAGCGACGAGACCCGATCTTTAACTAAAAAAGTCCCTTCTCAGGAACTGCACCGACATATCAATGACATGTCAGATATTCCGGTTCAACTTGAGCCAGCCTTCTCACAGTGTCCTCCTTCTCAATCAGCATGCAGCTGCAACGCATTATACCCGCAACCCAGACCGCGATTGTCCAGCATGAGGGAGGAGTGCTCAAGGCGACGCCCGGCCTGCCCGTTCAAACAGTCGGTCCCTCGGATATACTCGTCCAAGTAAAGGTCGTGGGCTTGAATCCTTGCGATTTCAAGATGCCCCTTCGTTTTCCCACGCCTGACCTCTGGGACGGATGTGATTATGCGGGCACCGTCGTTCAGGTGGGCGACGAAGTAGCCAAAGCAGGGCGCTTTAATGTTGGCGATCGCGTTACTGGTGGTGTGCAAGGCTCCAACCGAGCAGATCCCACAACGGGAGCATACTGCGAGTATCTCAAGGTGAATTCGGTGTTTGCTCTGCATATACCGGAGAGCATGTCCTTCCAAGATGCTCTCGGTGTATCTGGCTCTGGAATATCAACGCTTGGGATTGCATTCTTCTGGTCGCTCCAAATCCCGGGCAGTCTTCGTCAACCTGCAAGCAAGCCCCATGATATTCTCATATACGGTGGGGAGCAGCACTGTCGGATTACTGGGTATCCAAATAGCCAAACTGTAGGCCAACCCTGAAACCCTTCCGTTTTGGAGAGATTGTGACAGGAAGGTTAACTCACGCAGGTGCGGCCATCGGGTTATCACAACCTGTTCACCTCACAACTTCGACTTAGTGCGGTCCTACGGGGCGGACCTGGTTTTCGACTATCACCTGCCGTCCTGCGCAAAGGACATCCGCGCCGCCACCAAGAACTCGCTCCGCTATGTCCTTGACCCATTCTCCGAGATCAAGACACTTCGTCTCTGCCATGAAGCGATCGGGCGGATGGGCGGAAAATACTGTGCTTTGGAACAATACCAACCAGATCTGTGTGTTCGGAAGACAGTGAAACACGAGCTGATCATGGCTGGTGCCATATCAGGCAAAGGCGTTGATCTTCCCGAGCCTTACTCTGTTCCTCCAAACCCTGAGATTGGGGAATGGGCTTCCACCTGGTATCCTGTTGTGGATAAGTTGGTCCAGACTGGGAAACTTCGGCCTGTTCCGGTGGAGGAAATCCAGCCAGGGGGCTTTCAGGGGATTCTGGCGGGCCTTGAAGTCCTGAAAAAGGGCGTCTCAGGACGAAAGCTAGTTGTGACCATAAAGGAGGACTGAAATTGGACGTGGAAATGTGGGCAGGCGATTCTCACTGTATTCGGCCGTTGACTTTCTAGATTCTACTATTGGAACTCGAAGTTCTAATAGGAAGAACTGGACACAAAGCATAGAAATCTTATTCACTTAGACAGCCAACTACTTGATCTCTATAGATCCATACGGTGCTAGGAAGCAAGATGGCAGCATATTCCAAGTTCCAAATTTTTTCCAGGGCTTTTCAGACTTCTTATTATACTAGGTATACCTTATAGGTACCTAGGAGGCATATTGTGTCTTATAGATCTTCCATGAGGTACAAAAAGAATTCAGACTGAATCAAACCAAGTGGCTTCTAATAGCCCAAATTTCCGAGATCAAACATTTGATGAATCTTTCACCAGTTGCTGTAGGCAGCTCATAGTATCCCTGAGCATGGTCCCGCAATTGATACTCTCCGGTGTCATCATGTGTTCACGTACAGAGGCCAAGGGGCTATAAACTGGAGAGGAAGGGCTCATTCCACTCCGACTGCCGGAATTTTGAAGTGCCGACATCCCAAGCGCATGTTCGATCTTCTCTATTAGACTTGAACTGAGCTCAATGAGGACTTGCATCTGGGAACCCAGACTGCCATCAATTTGAAAATTCCCGAAGTTCAACGTAGGCATCGTAAAAAAGGAGCCGGCTTCAGTTGGTGGTACTATCAAGAATAGTTGGTAAATTTCGCCGAAAATGGCGCGGTAGACACTGATGAGATGGCAGTATGTTGACAACATAGTCAATGAGGTCGACAGGTCATATTTAGAAGACGGGATGGCCTTCGCGTCGTTAATGGACAAATAGCCCGAGTCGACCGATGATGTGATGGTCGACCTGTCTTCCACGACTTCGTTTTGCGATTCAGCTGGAGAGTACTGCTGATGGGTCCGCATTGCTGAATGCCCGAACCCGTAATCAAATACAGCACTCTCAGACTGAATCAATTCTAAAAATTGTGTGGAATGTCTCAAGGCCCGGTGGATGGGGATATCAAGCCTGCCAATACCAGGGTTGAGGCCCTCCTTCGGAGACGGATATTTGAGGGACATAGAGCCAGAGTCAAGAAAGTCTAGATCGTCTAACAATTCCAAGTCCAGCTTCAGAAGACTTCTCCGGAGTTTGTAGGGGCTGACAACACATTCAGTTTCATCGACCTGCCCGGGGTTATCCCATGGAATATTCGGCTTGAAGTCCTCCGGAAGTGAGAACTGGAAGTCGTTCATTCCAAAAGATTCTGAGGGCAGACAGATTGAAGGATCAAAAACGGGCCCTTCCTGAGGCTGGAACTGGAATGGCGGATCCATCAGAATGGAATCCGGCCCCGACACCTGAGGTCCAACTCGTGGACCAGGTTGAAATAGGATGTCTTCGACTTGAGGCTTCTTGAGGGCATCAGCTATGATGTTGGTAAGAACGGAGGTATCGAAACTTACTAAAGTGTAATAACTTGGCAATCGGGGAAGCTCTGGAACAGTCCAGGGGTGGAAAGGGAATATCTCATTTGCGTAGGGGTTCATCGGCAGACAAGGAATATTGTCGCTGGGCAGGCATGGGAAAGGCTCTGAATCTGGCCAGGTATTGAACCTTTGGGTGGGATGCCTTCGAGGATGAGGATGAGGAGAGGGTGTTGACTTTCTCACTTTGCCACTTGAGGATTTCCGAAGGATTGGCATGGCGATTCGATCGTCAGTGTAAGCCCTCCTGTCACAATCGCTAGATTTATTGAGCATGAAGTTCTGGGATGGATGGCTGATATTAGTCGTGCAAACGACCTGTGCTTTGAGGCATCTTTCACACGATCTGCCGTTGATTTGGTCTCGTTCACATCGTAACTTGAAGCCTCGACACCGATCACACGCAGATCGTCGTGACTGTCTGTAATTGAGCGCAGAGTGCATTTTGAAGAGGAATACTGGCTGCGTTCATAGAGGCTCGTGGAGGCTCGCGTGGAGGGCTGGGTTTATAGACCAATAGATGGGACTTGAAACTCAGTACTGGCACTGGTTCGTTTCTAGTGCGCCACCTGGAGGCTAGGCCAAACATGTAGGCAGCCCTGTTTGAAACGAGCGTTCAGTGTGTCGCTCGTTGTCGTTACTGAGCAGGGTGAATAAGGGGGTTTGAAAAAGGTGCGAGGTCTAACAGGAAACAACTGAAAGTTGCATGGAGATCAATATCTACCTACACTGTATCCTGCAGCTTGCAAAGGCGCACATTACATAGCATCTCCCACTGTCGCATACTAAGAGCGACTTACTCGATAATTGATAGTAATCTTGTGGTAAGCCAGATAAGAAACATGAGCCTAAATGAAAAGCATAGCACGTCCCGCCTGAGGAATTCCTCCTGAGCCCGTGGACGTGGACTGTTTTGCACAGGATTACACAAGTCCGCAAATTGGCGATATGGGGCTGAATATGCATGCAGCTGCTTGAACTATTTCTTTTTTTTTTTTTTTATACTTCAGATTATTGTAGGTTGAATCTCTGAAGATGGTACGGTGGATAGCCCCTGCGAAGCCTTTGAGGCAACTCCTAACGCAACCTTGGCGTCATCTATTCCAAAAAGAAGAAAAGGGAAAAAAGGGAGGAAGAACTCTGTGTTTCTCACAGTACTTCATGGTCTGTGAAGGTTGCCAATTGTGTTTATGCGAGTTTTCACGCGTCCATGGCGCCACGAGTTTATGCTCACCATGGATTCCATGTGAATGGGGTAGGACAAGAGAGAACAGGGCCGCCTTGTGTATGGCCCGGCTGTTTGGTTTGGGAACGAGAGGGTGAAGAATTGAAACACAGACCACACACTTCAGTCCTTGGGGATTCCCAGATAATGGACTTGTTCGAGAACTGGCGGCTATTTTCCTTGCCGTCTTCATGCACTACCAGTCCCGTTCCTGACTGTTCAGGAAGCTTGCGTTCCACCGCGCCTGGAGATTCAGTCCAAACACGAACATGCACGTATCAAGTGCTAAAATTGTCCAAAATCGCCGACAGGTGTCCGGTTCCAAGCCACCCATGTCGTTTTGGACCCTTTATTCGACGGGGTACTCGAAGATCCGTACGACAAACCAGTCAGTCGTATCTCCATGTACCCTGCCAAGATCTGAAACAGTCCGTGCTCAATAGTTCTCTGGGTTCCGGGAGTCAATCTCAAAGACCCATCGACCTAGTGACATGGCATCACCTATTCGGCTTGCACTATATGGCTTGGGCTTGGACCCTCTTGTATTTATAATATTGCTAGTTGAGGGCGGTATCTTGTCCGGTTGTTGAAGATCTGCCGGCCATTAGCCGTGGACTTGACTCCACGACAGTTACTCTGTAACGTAGTGAAAAGTCGCGGATTAAATGAGCGTCCCTTGGGCCAAGGGGGAGCGGAATAAGGAAACCCATGATTCAAATGTTGTCCGTTAGAAAGCCTAAAGAGAGATTCGCTTCTCGTAAATGACTTTTATTGTAAGTATTCCTGCTTGAGTGCCGATATACTGACTATTGACGAACGCTAACGAATGATTTTCAGGCGGAAAGGGCATGTGGGTATTATAAAACAGGTGGCGCAACGAAAGAATCGGGGATGCCCTCGAAAACCCAGTTGAGAGAATCAAAAACTTCCGAAAAGCCAGTCTCTGTGAAGAAGGCGCCGCCTTCATCAAACTGCGGTGGCAACATCATAGACTGGTCCGCAAGTGCGTTATCCTGTTGTTGTGTCAAGGGTCCCATAGTGGAGGTAATATCCTGGTTGGCCACTGCGGCCGCCGCTGCAAGAGAGTAAGCAAAGGCTTCTGCCCCTGTGAACATACTGGACTTACCTTGCATTTCCTCGATGCTTTTGAGAGGCCGGAAGCGTTGTCGCCAGCGCCACACTGTATCATAAACATGGCTCATGCTCATTCGACAGCGGATCTTGAGCTGAAGATTATCCTCTTCAGCCGGCTCGGGACTGGTTGCATTCCACATTTGTGCAAGGATATCAGCCAACCGGATGGGCCGATCGTGATCCATGACACTAATTCTCCGAATCGCAGATATCGCCCCATTGAATAAGAGCTTTCCGTGGTTGAAATCAATGTTTCTGTTGAAACTGCTCCTCAGAAGCTTCATGAGGGCAAACGCAGCCGACACAATCATTTGAAGAATGTAATTAGTGGCGTGTCCGATCAACTCGCCCGGCGATGTCTCAAGGTCGAGGACACGACCCAGAAATGAGGTAGTGGCAATGAACAGTTTGCTTAGATCATCGCTTCGTGCATTTGACCCTAAAAATACGAAATACCGGAAGTGAAGCTCTGCGGCCCGCAAATGAATCATATTAATGGCTGGGAGTTAAGATTAGCAAGGTTTCGAATGATGCCAGCTGATAGTTGCAATGTACCTGAAATCGTTTCGCGAAACTCAACTTCCATATCCCGTAGCTCATTTTCTAGAATTTGAATGATAATGAGCTTCTCCGGGCTAATGAATTCGACCGGCTCAGGCTTGCTGCTATACAAAGCCTTGGTTACACGATCGCAGAACTTCTCAATGCGCAATCGAACGGCGAGCTCATCCGGCAAACGATAATCGGCATCCTTGAGAGACGCTGGTTCGAGGGCCCAGTCGTACATTGTACTTGGCGGTTGACCATACCCAGTGGCAACACTGTATAAAGGATTAACAAGGTTTAATGGACGTAAAATGGAGGAAACTTACTTCTGGGCAACGATGTTGCAGATAACCCAGGTATGCAAACGATCCTTCAGTGCTTCCCCTTGAACTTCCATCCGGAAGGTTGTGAACTCTTCGGACTGGACCGGGCGATGTAAGCCTAGCTGCATTGCAATCTGCATCATCAGTCCGCTGAGCATGAATGTCGCGTCAGTCCGTTGGCTGGTCGTCGGCAAGGGCCAAGTGCATAGTATACATAGTGCCTTGACGACTCGATAGTCTTGAGGAACACCAGTAATTGTCTGCCAGAGCAGTCGACTAAACGGCCCGGACAGTGCACTTAGCAAGCCCGGCTCGGATGGAGATCGCCGACTGGCGACACAGACAACAGTCCATGCTAATAGAGGACAGCGGCCTAGATAGACTTCGGGGGGCTTTGGGAGGTTAAGTAGAGGAAGGAATGGATGGTAATAATTGTAGTAACTGGGGAGACAAGTAAGCTTCGAGTGACAGACTACTATTCGGGATGCACCTACTGGTCATAAAGCCGGGCAACTCGTGCCCTTGAAAGAACAACATCTTCGAGGCGCCAAGGGGTATTCTCGTCTTGTGAGATGATTGACCCAGACCTCTTCATCGCCAAGGGTGTTCCTATGGAAGGATGCGGCTCCGCGGCCACGGACACAGGCCGTGAGGTTGCAACCGCAGATGATTCTCGACGGGGAAATACATCCTCGGAGCATGGGGACTGATGATCCGCGATATTCGAATCATATTTGGTTTCTTCTGCATTTGTGGAAAGACGTTTACGAAGATCTGCGATCTCCTTTTCCATCTCCGCATTGCGTCTTCGATTTTTTTTTTTTCATTAGCCACAAGAAGTCCAAGCAGAACGAAACAAGCAAACCTTCTCTTCGAAATTCTTTTAAAAGATTGCTCCACTTTACACTCTATCCCTAGCCGACGGCAGCGAGAGCACGCCGCGGCGGGAGTTTGTACAATGTCACATCGAAGCTATCCATGACAAGTCAGCTTTAGCTGGGAGTGCTGCGGGGAGAGTACAAGTCCCCGTGGGGATGTGGTATCAACGGGGCGAAATACGGCTCACCTTCTGCTGCTTACACTCGTTACATGCCTTGCGACTACCGCCTCGGCGCTTGCCTGTGACAGGCGGAGTCTTGTCCATTTCGCCTGACTCGGGGCTTCTCTGCATGAACTCCACAGGTCGGGGCAGGCTCGGGGTCCGGAAGTCGCCTTGGGGAATCAGGGGTGACCCATTTGGTGCTAAGAGATTCCGATATTCCATATCCATCGGTATCGGCTTGCGCTCGCCCGGTATAAAAACCCTGTGGAACAGGCGATCTGCTCGTGGTGTGAATCTGCCGGAAATCGGAGAAATCAACTGCCAAAGGGGGGAACACGCACTGGTGGACCAAAATTGATCCTGGTGGGGCAAAGAGCCGCCTATGATTGGTCAAAGGTAGCGCAACTCGGCACTGGCCTAAGGCAGGATTGGTGCCTGAGGCGAGATGGCGTTATAAATCAAAACCATAGCAGTAACCAGCCAATTGCTGCGTACTTTGGTACAATTCTTCAAAAAATGATCTCAGCGTAAATTGAGTGACTGGTAATATGAAACAACCACTGGCATGGTCTCTAATTTGTCCCAAAGAGACTATACTGATAGATTCCTCAACCGACACATCCCACTGTCGCTATTGGCCTGGGAAACATTCATTCTTTGCCACTGTGAAAAATAAACTCTAGTGCTTGGAGTCACCTGAAATGAGGACTTGGAATGTGTCCAGTACTCTTGTGGTCTATGTGATGCTCAGTTAGGGAATCGAAGCACTTCTCAGTTGAAGAGAAACCGAGGTCCGAATGCGGGGAAGCTCCCCCTTCACTTGCAGGCAACTTAGCTCAGTCTACATAACAAAGACGGAGTAGAACCCATGTCATGATCAGGGAAAGCGAAGATGAATTTTGAACTACCAGGTGATCTGAAAGCGTACTTGAACACGCTAGACACTTTCATCAACGACAAAATCTTACCGCTCCAGCATTCTGGCGATAACAACAGGTTCTTCGATTACCGACGAGAGCACTCTCGTACGGACTGGGATAATGATGGCCTTCCACGTCCGGAGTGGGAGAACCTCCTAGGTACAGTCACCAGGTTCTCGAATGGAGATGATGGCTGCGCAACAAGACTAACCTCATAAAAAGCTCACGCCCGCAGTGTTGCCGACAAAGCAGGTTATTATCGTTTTGCTCTTCCCAAACAGTATGGGGGCCAGGAACATCCTGATACCAATCTCTGGATGGCGGCCATCCGCTATCACTTAGCATCACACCCGGTTTATGGGGGCGGTCTGGGCCTTGCATGCGACCTACAAACGGAGCATTGCATCGTAGCAAATGCCCCCGATATACTCATGATCCACCATTTCGGTACCGAAGAGCAGCGACGGACCTTCATACCAGCGCGCCTTAGAGGTGAATTTAGGTCTACATTTGGTCTCACAGAGCCACGGGAGCGATGCAACGCATATGAGTACCACGGCCAATCGACAGCGTGGAGGGTTTGAGATCACCGGGGCCAAGAAGTGGCAGACCGGCGCCCATCATGCGACACATTTCCTCGTGTTCGCAAGAACATCAGGCAAGCAGGGCTCTGCGAAAGGAATCACTGCATTCTTGATCCCTCGCGAGACCCCTGGCGTTCAGATCGTAAGCTATGAATGGACGTTAAACATGCCGACTGACCATGCGACTATCCACCTGGATCGTGTCTGGGTGCCAGAGTCCGCTGTTCTAGGGACTACAGACCACGGGCTAGCCATTGCGCAAACCTTTGTCCACGAAAATCGGATACGCCAAGCAGCGAGCTCATGTGGAGCAGCGCAATTTTGTCTCGATAGGAGCATCGAGCGAGCTCGCGCTCGCAAAATCTGGGGCGGTGATAAAATGTTGGCTGACAATCAAGGGATCCAATTTCCGGTAGTAGAGCTGATGACCCAGGTGGAGATGCTGCGTCTCCTGATCCTGAAGACCAGCTGGGAAATGGACCGCATTGTGGCCGCATGTCGATCATCGCAGAGCAAACAACCACCATGGGTGGAGATTGAAAGGAGGCTTAGTGACAAGGTTGCGATGTGCAACTTTTGGGCGAATCGACTGTGCTGTCAAGCTGCCGACCGAGCTATACAGGTGATTTGAAGCGAACCTTAGGCAGCGACAACAAACTAATTTGGGCTTAGATCTTTGGGGGCGATGGATATAGTCGCCATGAGCCATTCGAGCACATATATCGCCACTTCCGTCGGTATCGGATCACCGAAGGGGCAGAGGAAATCCAGATGCGCAAGATAGCTGCTTTTATTTTTGGATATATTGGACCAAAGAAGAAGGAATACGAAGCGAAAGAGAAGGCCAAACCCAAGATCTAAAGACCGTTTGTTGTGCTAGTACTAGTATACTAGCTAGGTGAAATATCGAATTTGAGTCTACTGATCAAAAATCTTCTTATGGCATCATTTCGGAGAAAAACCCCCGGGCGGGTTTCGCTGTAGAAGTTGGCGTGGGTTGACTTCAGGTCACATATAGCTCATTTCGGTTCTCTGTCTCGGCGGCGAGCAAGATTTTGGCTGCCTTGTTCATGCGAAACTAGCAGGTTTCCCAGTCATCAATACCTGGGCATTTCTCAAGCGCGATTCCACCAGGAAAAAGCCTTGAAGAGCCTGGGGCGTTTATTCCGCGGTCAACCGTCTTGTCCTTCCCCATTTGGCTGGGTTTACCTAACAGCATTCCACTCGACGAAATGGGTGGGTCTTCGCTTTGCATTGTCTGCCCCACCCATGTTCCATTGAAAACGGAATTTATCCAGATATAGAGGAAAAAAAAAAATCTTGCGACTTCTTGGGACAAACAATCGACCTTGAGTCGCGCGGTCAAGCGTAGAATATCCGATTCTGAGAGCTCTGACTCGCCACCGCGCTTGTCACAGGAGCTTAAGATGCCTCCTAGAAATGCTGCCTCCACCGCGCTGAATAGCAACCCGTCGAACTCTTATGTGTCAGGCATCGACTTCGGTGCGGAGCACAAAACTATCCACCAGGATATCAAGCCCGCCGATTCAGAGCAAAATGATACCGGGGAGTCAGAGCCCGGTCAGCTGAAGCGCCGGTTGAAGAGTCGCCATCTTCAGATGATCGCCATAGGTTCGTCAAAGATTCAAGCTTATTCTGATCTGCAGATGCTAATTTTGTCTATAGGAGGAACAATTGGTACTGGTGAGTACTGCAAAAATAGCTCAGTACCTGCAAGGCTTATTCTAACCGATCCAGGTCTTTTTATCTCAAGTGGTACTGCTATCGCTAATTCAGGCCCTGCCGGAGCCTTGATTGCCTACATCTTTGTTGGATCAATTGTATTCTCTGTCATGATATCCCTTGGCGAGGTTGCAACATTCATTCCCATTCCTGGTGCTTTCACATCCTATGCCGCTCGGTTGATTGATCCCAGTCTGGGATTTGCTATGGGGTGGATCTATTGGTTTAACTGGGCCTCCACTTTCGCCGTCGAGTTGACAGCCACCGGCACCATCATTCAGTACTGGCGAGCAGACTTAAATATCGCGATCTTTATCGGAGTCTTCTGGGTCGTCATCACAGCGCTGAACTTCCTTCCCGTTGGATTCTATGGCGAGACGGAGTTTTGGTTTTCTACGATCAAGGTGGCGACAGTGATCGGTTTCATGATTTTCGCGATCTGTGTCGACTGTGGCGTAGGAGGCCAGGGATACCTTGGATTCCACTACTGGTCCGATCCAGGTGCCTTCGCGACGTATCTCGTTGACGGAAAGATCGGTGTGTTCGTGGGATTCTGGTCGGTCCTCATCCAAGCTGGGTTCTCGTACCAGGGTACAGAATTAGTTGGTATCGCTGCAGGAGAGACCGAGAACCCTCAAAGGACGGTCCCCTCCGCTATTCGGAAGACGTTTGTTCGAATCCTGTTCTTTTTCGTCTTGACAATGTTCTTTATTGGCCTCGTCGTTCCCACGATAATGACCAGCTCACCAATAGTGATACCAACGCCTCAGCTTCGCCGATGGTCATCGCGGCCAATTTGGCCCATATTAAGGTGCTGCCATCGCTGATCAATGCAGTGTTACTCACTGTTGTCTTATCTGCGGCCAATTCCAATGTATACAGTGGCAGTCGAGTCCTTACTGGACTAGCGCTGGAAGGGTTTGCGCCGAAGTTCTTCGCGAAAGTTACCAAGAAAGGTGTTCCATACGTGAGCGTCGCATTCACCGCTGCATTTGGCCTTCTTGCCTTCATGAACGTGTCCGAAAATTCAGGCCAAGTATTCAACTGGCTGGTCAATCTTTCCAGTGTCGCCGGCTTCGTGACATGGTCCTCTATCAACGCGTGCCATATCGCATTTATGCGGGCTTGTGCTGCCCGCGGTATTTCACGAGACGATCTCCCTTACAAGGCGATACTCCAGCCCTACCTGGCGTGGTATGGCCTAATTTTCAACATCCTCATCGCTCTTACCCAGGGATTTACATCTTTCATCCCCAGTTTCCAAGTCAAGGATTTCTTCATTGCATATATCTGTCCGATCGTGTTTGTTGTGCTCTATGTTTCCCATAAAATTTATTTCCGGCCGGCATTCATCCGGGCTAGCGAAGCGGATATTGATACCGGTCGCATTGAATACCAGAAAGAAACTGAGCTGCCGCAGCCCTGGTACTGGAAGATGTGGGAATGGATCACGAAATGACAGCTGGATTAACCACGTCATTTCTTTTTCTTCGCATCATGTACATTATTCACACACATCCCGAGCCTATGCAGCGTCACCGGCCCGGAATAGTACAAATATCTATGAGTTATCCAATACACATTTCATCCATTGGCACCCTATATCCATTTGAGCCAACGGAAAATCACCGATATACCACCAACAAGAGCAGTGGCGCCTGTGCAAACAACAAGTGACCCGTACTCGCTCCCGTACAATCCTCCTGCCTTGCCCCGGAGCATTGGCGCTTTTAGCAGCGCCTCACTTAGCGGACCACTCGCCACGTTCCCTATTCCCCGGCCCAGCTCCATGAATGGGAAAATAACTGCCGGATCTGAGCCCGGGTTCGCCAGTTGAATCTCGTGGGTGATACCCGCCCACGTAGAGGAGTACCCGTCGGCCATCAACCCGTAAAATGCACAAAATACGTATAGAATAGGAAGGGAAGTCGAGAATCCCCACAGGAAGAACACCGAAAGCACCGTTCCGACAGTAGATATCAAGATGCAGATGGTGACATGGTAGCGGTCGCTGAGAAAGCCGATCAGGACGTTGCTGAATACCGCAGCCAGGTTAAAGAGGGTCACCGTGAACGACGAGAGGAATTTACTGGCGCCAAGGCTTCTGGCACACATTGGAAGATAAATAGTTGGCAAGAAAAAGCCCAGGGCCTCGATTGTGTTACCGAGCTGGTACACAAGATGCACTTTACTGACCAGGAATCGGAAGTTGAGTCGTTCATGGCTGGCTGTCTTGGCGGGCGGGAGGCGGGGATGGTGGAAGTACAGAAAAGGCGCTGCGAGGAGGCAGAGAGCAACTGATGAAACTCTCAATGTGGATTCAACCCCATATTTGTTCAGTAACCATTCGATGGTGATTGGAAAGACGGAGCCCGAGATTGCCGAGCCTGCCTGTATGCATATTAGTGACATTCCTACTGGTAAGACACATGTTCCAGAATGCCTTACCCAGACAACTCCAAAGGCCAATCCCTTTCTCTTGCAGAACCATTCGGACATGTAAAGGATTGAAGGAGTATATGCCAGACACCCGCCAACCCCGAACCCAATCCCCTGGGTCAACATAAGATGGGTAACGTTAGTAGCGAACGAGCTTATTGCGAGAGAGAGGCACATAAGAATAACTCCAACCGTCGAAACCCAGCGAGCAAATCGGGGAACCAATATCATGAACACAATCGCAAAGGGAGCTAACATATATGCAAGGCCCTGTTATGCAGTCAGCTCTGTAAGCTTCCAGTTAGTTACCTTGGAAGATCCACGTACCATCGCACATGTTCCGATCACGGCAATATTTTCTGACCCTTTGAAGGGCGGAGTTGCGCTGTAGTATTCCTGGAAGACACCGAATGCAAATGCATATCCTAGTCCAAAGGTCAGCTGAATGGTCGAGCAGGGTGGACAGGGCTGCAAGACATACCCCATACAAGAGCTTCTAGCATAGCCGACGCAAGTAGAAACATCCAAGCATGGAATCCGCCATCCATAGGCGGTACATCTATGGAGTCTGATGTCGTGTATCGTTCGATAATACTGTAGGACTCCTTTTTGGATTCATCGTCACTGGTCGAATTGGACTGGTATCTGTCTAGGTCGACAGAGTGGGCGGGTAGTGCCCATGTTCGTTCAGGCACATGCAATGCCATTTTCATCAATATTGGCCTTCAGAGTACCAAAGGACTTCAAGGAAAGCTCAAGAATAGGAGGAACAGTTTATATAGTATCTTTGCAGCACTTCGAGCATGACGAAATGAACATAATCCACGCCAGTGTCCCCACGCTAGGTCCCCACTTTGGATGTCTAGTCACATACTTGGTGCCGGGAGATTTCTTACCTCCGGGCAATGTGATACTTTTATCCTTGATTCAATTTTGTTATTACGTCAAGAAAATGCTCATTTTTCACTATCGATCGCCCAACGATAATGATACAGGATACTGGCCGTTCGTCCTCCCAATCTTGAACAACCACGGCCCCGAAGATCTCTATACTACCCACCAGTAGGACAAGACGCCTAGGTGCATCACCGCATGTGACTAGGGCCAGATTCATCAAATCAAAAGTGAAATCATCCCGATAAATCACCCATTGAGATATTGTAGGGGTGCGGTGGGGACACGCGTCTGGAAGGGTGTCGGAATGTTGATCAAGGGAGGCGTTACAAGCAAATCCCTTCGAAGCTATCTCTCGAAGACGTCGCCTATTGGCGAAAGATAAAGCATCGTAGCAGCGGGGCCTGATTTCAAGTTTTGGGCGGGCACATCGCTACTTTTATTTAAGCTTGTGGCAAGTGCTTGTGATAAACACTTGCCCTTGATTTGGAATTTATGCATTGTCACTTGATTTTGCCGGCAATACCTCGGCATGTGAGCATTCAGCACAAGTTCGGGCTCTGCCCTGGCTAACGTACACTGGATTTATCCAAACTTACAGCAGTCAAAAAAAAAAGAAAAAGAAAAGCCATCTATCGTAGATATATCAAGCAATGTCGTATGCTATCCACCGTGCGCCGCCAAGAACTTTACTGCATCTGGCAGCTCGGTTGGGGTGTCGTCGCGGAACTCATTGGTGATCAAATGCGTGAAGGACGGCGACCAATCTACACGTGGTGACTGACTTTCCAGTCCCCACAATTCGTTCAGAAACCTCAGAATGGAGGTGTGAGTATACTCATTCTCTTCATCGGCAGGTGCATGTTCAACGAGCCCCTTCCCGACCCATGGCGAGATCAAGACCGTGGGGACACGAACCCCCAGGCGGTCGAAATGGAAAGTGTAATCTTGCCCGTCGCGCGCCCTTTCAGTATAAGTAAGACTGTCCCCAGCGGGAACGTCGGACGGCGGTTCAACATGGTCAGCAAAACCACCGTGCTCGTCGAACGTCAAAATGAATAGCGTATGGTTCCATTGAGGCGAATTGCGAACCGCCTCATATATGCTCTTTACAAAATTCTCGCTCATAGAAGTGGGCGATGGTGGGTGGAATGACATATAGTTGCAGCACTCCGGGTTTATCCAAGTGAACTTCGGTAGCTTTCCCTCTCGGGCATCCTCATAGAATTGCTCGATCGGAAGGATGTTGGTTTTGCTAGCCCCGGATTGTTCCGTCCACTCGTAGAACATAGCATCTGGCAAGAAAGGTGGGCTGGACTTTGTAGAGTTTTCATAGTTGGCCCAGCTAATTCCCTTCTCTGAAAGCTGCTCAAAGATCGATCTTTGTGGTAGCTTGGATTGGAGGAAATCGCCATCATTACTGCCATGTCCGTAGGAAGTGCCCGACGTGAGGTAGGCGCGGTTGGGGTTTGTTGGGCCGGGCACTGCTGCGAACCATCTATCGAAGAGCACATAGTTCTGGGCGATCTCATTGAACACCGGGATATGGTCGGGAGTAAAATAGTCGATTACTTCCGCAGCCCTGACAACATCATCGTGTTGGTACGAGGCCATTTGCTCGGTGATGAAACCCTTCATATTAGGAGACGATTTGGCGGCTGGGTGGTAGCTGCCGAAAATCTGCATATTAATGCCGGTGAGACTGTGATTTGGATCCTCCGACGCGATATTCTCGGCGGTGTTCCGAGCGCAGACGCGACCGGAGATCGGTCGGGAGACCTTTGCCGGATTGCAGTATTCCTTGTTGATCAAGCCATCAATAGTGCTGTTGTATTCGAGGCCACCGGCGAAATGATCAAAGGAGAGATTCTCTTCCACCAGCACCACCACGTTCTCGATATTGCTTAGCGTCGAAGGATAAAGGTATTGTTGATAAGCGGCGGAACCTGCGGTCAGCGCGAGGAGCGCCAGCAGGGACGCCATGTCGGGTATCGGCGAGGCGAGCCCTGAATCTGGCTGCAAGAGGTGCGAAGAAGTCTAGGACATGGAATTGAACTCAGAGAAAAGGTAAGCTCGTAGGGTCGAGAGGGTTTATCGCCCCCTCACGCTGGTCTCCGCAAATCCCCCACCGCAGGGCCTCCGCATGATCAAGGTGCGCATTGCCATTGGGCGATCGATGCTCGCCGTTTCGGCAGATTGTTTTTACGAACCCGGGTATATTCGAATCGGGTTTAGTGAGAATTCGAACAAGATGTGTATGCGCTATTCCTTTTCTCTCCTTCTTTTCCCCCAGATTTACCTCACGTTATCGTATTCTGGGATTTGGGTAATCCCATAATGGTAGCCTCTGCTAGCATATGGGGGCTTTATCCCGAGAAAGAGACTACTGAAGCTTAGTTTAGCAAAATTGACATAGAACCTGGGATGTACTAAAATGTGGCTAAGGCTGGGTGACATTATTGTAAGAATACTCGAGTAAGCGCAGGCAGGCCCTAAGTTGCAAACAGAATGTTGTCGCGTCCTACTGCCCGCTCGCAGGCATGGCTAAAGGTGATAATTGAACGTGGTATATTTTCATCAATTCAGATCAAAAATTGTCCATGTTATATTCTATGTAAGCGCCATGAGGAATCGTCAAGGAATCGAAGTCTATGGTATCAGAATAGGAGAGAGAAAAGAAAAGGGGCAAAAAAAGGCATAAAAATGAATCATGAGCATCCAAGTGAATTCCGCAGTCAAAAGATTTTGACTTCACACACTGTGGTGCGTACCATCATTGCGCTGCTGGAAGTTTTGGAAAGGGTGTGCCTCCTCATCTCCCCTGAGGCTATTCGCGCTTTCAAGTCTTTGGTGTTTCATTTCCATCTCGGCTTTTCTTTTCAGTTCCTTCCTCTCCGCCCTACTCCGCTTGGGGAACTCCGAGTCCGGTCCTTGTAGATTGCGACCGGGGTGGATCACATTTAGGGTCACTAGTGCAATGAACATGGGCACAGCATCGAACACATATTCATAGAATTCATGCGTTCAGACCGGGTTGTTGACCTCGTAGCCTTTGGCGTACTGAGCGATTCGGAAAATGATACGAATCTAGAGACGCTATCAGCAAGGTACTTTCGCGGAATCACCTTATACCAGGATCCAGGGACGACTCACGGTGATCATGACCAGTGCAAAGTAGGTAGAATAGAAGAGCCACCGCCATGGAATGGGGCCTGAAGCAAGCTTGTCAGATTGCTCCCCTCGCTTCTCCAATTGAATGAGCATTCGGTGTAGTTGGATGGTGAGTCCAGTGAAGCAAAGAATAAATACTTCTTGAAGTCCAATGCCACCCATATAGATATGGATCCCATCCAGTACAATGCTGCCTCCACCCTGGTTTGTTGTCATTATCGCGCCGGCGGCCTGAACGACGAAAGCCACAATATCTAAACACACAAAGATGACGCCAAAGCGGCGGGCAGAAATACGGAAGATTCTCCGGTCGGGGTGATAATAATATAGCATACGGCCGATTGTCATGTACAGGAACGCGTTGATCCCTGGGACTGTTAGCAAAAGGTGTCCGAAGAATCCAGATGATCCGGAAAAGTAAAACTCACAGATTGGTGCAAGCAAGAAGAAGACTGTATAGAGTGTGTCCCACGTATCAGATGCTTGGTTGCGTGTGAGCAGAGCTCGGAATACAAAAGCAAGAAGCTCCCACGTTCCACCCATGATGACAACCCACGCATATTTCTGCACAAGAAGTTAGCCGAAGCTCTGGAGCAAATTAGTCATTACAAACCTTCTTATACAAAACTGCTTGCACAATATGGATACCGCTCGTCAATCCGTAGAGGACGCAAAACAGTATGGCAGCAGCGAGCGACGGTACATAGAACAAGATTGCATTGCATGCCTCTGGGGGCAAGTATCCATTTTTCCCCGGTGGCACATTGAGGCAAGTTGCAGATGCCGTTGGCGAAGATGTGGCTGTGGGAGAGGGTGTCATGGTAGATGGTTACGATGACTTAGTGTTGACTGGAATCCTTGCGGCATTTTCGATGCCCCTAGGGCTTTATATCTCACCCCATTTCGTGTTATTCCAATTTTAGCCTTGACTTTTTTTGGTTCAGCCTATTTTCCAAGTATCTTGATGGCGCAGCGTTAGGCATCATGGAAAATCGGGGCTGGAGCCGCCCCCAAATCACGTGGGCGTGCACCTCAAACGAACAGGCCAATCAGATGTTGTTCAGGGAGCTCAGCAAATTTTACCAGTTCACTGGGAAGCCAACCTATTGGTTGGCTCGTCTGAGAGCTTATTTCTTAGTTTGCCCGTCGCGACATGGCGCTAACGTCTCTCCGAGTGAGATCATCATGTACACTAAGAGAATACGTACCGCTTTCTAAACGTCTATCCAAGAACTATTTTTCCCCCCTAAAATGATTTGGTCAATAGCACCACGAACTTTCAGAAATCAACGCCTGGTTGTAAAATAAGCTGCTGTGCCATCCCAGAGTTGTTAGAAATTTCTCAAGGATGGTGATACTTCAAACAACCCGGTTCGTGTGAATACCAGGTTCTAAGGACTTTCACTGGACTTGGACGAAGGTTGATACTGTAGAAAAAGACAAGTTGGCGTTTGTCAGATGTGGTGTTCCAAGGTTCCAAGGTTCCAAGGTTAGTTTGAATAAGCTGAGTAATGATACAAGAACCCTCCAGGGCTTAGAGCTATCAGGATTAATAGACGGGCCTACTATATATAGCTCTTCAGTCAATGTATATAAATCCAACCCGATGCATACTCCCGCATGAAGTACTAAAGCCACTCGGCATCTAGGAATTATTTGTTTTGCAGAGCTGCGGGGAAGATAACCTTGTCTTTTCTGGTACGTAACAATGCCGCTGGGGCGTAGCGCATCTGGCAAAGTATACGCGCATTTCATGAGTGGCTTGCCAAACGTGCGGTACCAGAGGTCTCAAAAGAACATGTAGATATTATCTGGATCTCACAAAGTAAGATTGTAGGCAATAATAGAAATCTAGCCCTAGGTCATCTCTCAGATTATTTCCTTGATAAAATCATTTTATCCCACGGTTCTAATATGGCTTGGAAAGTCACCTACACGACCTCAAGCCCAGTATGACCTGAGACTATCCTCAAGATGAGCATATCCTAGGGCTAATGCCAGTCGCTACATCTAACCAATTGAAAGTAACTATAGGTCAGAAGAGCCTCCCTACAACTACCCAGACGGTATGCTGGGCTCTTTTGAACATTTTGAACTTGTGGATTGGATACACGCCGACTCGTTGTCGGATGACTTTCCCAAGACAGTCCAGACCATGTGCCATTTGGAGTGCCAACCAGGAAAATATTAATTAAGCAGAAACTCACTTTCAAAAAAAAAGAAAAGAAAAAGAAAAAAGAAAAAAAAGAAAAAATCATCATCATTTGGCAAATGTTTCACATCTTTTTCATGATAAAAGTAACCGTCTGAGCTATTTTAGCTTTGTGTCAATCATCTAGAAACCCGGTGAGTTGGTCCACCTCCACTACATCAGAATCCGAGGGAAGAAACCACCGAGAAACCGAGGAATCCTTGAAGAACCTCACGGTCAATTCACGTCGTAGAAGTTAAAATAATCTGTAATATGCCGATTTACGCTGATAAGTTTCAAAGTTGAGCCTAACAACGCTCTATATAATCACCGTAGTCATAGCTTTCAAATGTTGACCGTCCCTACAAGTGGGAGACCACTCGAAACCCGACTTTTCAATTGACACCTACATCAGCAACCACCTTTCCGCGGACATGACTGCTTTTCCAGTTATCAGTCTCATTTCCATACGCCAGATCACTCTTCCAGCCTAAATGCCGAAATGGGGGAGCCTTATAACCTCTAGAAATCCGTCATATCAATGGCCATTGCGGAGGTTGTGGTGTTTAGACTTGTAAGCACGCTTGTGCACACTTTCATTGCCGAACATATATGAGTTCAATTCTCATTGGCTCTCTTGGAAATGATATCTTAATGAAGATCTCTTTCTCCTGACCGCTCCCGACTCTGATCTTCCTCGGTGTCCAGTATGCATCAGTTTCCGCCTATCTTTTCCGTTATTTGGAAATACTCCAATATCTCAATACCGTCACCGGTTGTTTATTTTGGGCTGGGATTTTTGTTAGTTTTGCGGGATTTTGCCTGGGTAATTGCAGAAGGGATCCGTTTTTTCTCGAACCACTACGAATAATGGGGGCGATGCTCGGCCCATTCTTCGCATTCTGATTCCTGGAACTGGAGAATCTTCTTGCACGCTATGACGATCATGGAACTCTTTTCTGTGAAGGGCAAGGGATATTTCGCTTACTTGACCTGATTTTTATTGTAGGGCTCATCTTAGTGGGCCTGTTCTTCCTGACCCAAGCACATATATACGCCGCAGCCCCCGAACTGAGGCAAATGCAATAAATAGAGCAATGATTTATGGCCTACGAAGGGCTGATTCTAGGCTTCGGTGCAGGGCGTGATTGATTGCCACTGGGAGCAGACAGCGGAATTGATTGATTGTGCGAGTAATGGGCTACGAGTATGAGGCCGTGTAAGTGACTAAAAATGTTACATTAGAGCTTTTGCGGTGGTTCGGAACACCTCGCACAACTAACGAGCAAGCTTAAGTTTACTAAGATGGGAGGTCGAGGCTCTTACGGTTAATTTGTAAAAGCGGCATTTCTAGGCTCGGATAACTAATCCTTGAGCCCAGACTCGTGGACCCGTGGACCCGCAGCCCATTTCCTTACAAACAAGCAGTCCCCAGCACATGATATTTCACGTGATAGAGCGTATGGCTTCCTATTTGGCCGTCACATACAACTCACAGCGCTTCGAGGGCAGCATTTGCCATGACAAATCCGCCGAATCAAGAGAGGCCGGCCGCTCACCAGGCGTCGTACTGGGTGCATGCGCTGCCGTATCCGAAGAAGAAAGTGTAGGTACATTATGTATACCACCGTTAATGGCCGCATTTGCTAAGAAAGGGCAGGCGACGAAGGAAAACCACGGTGCCAAAATTGCATTGATCGAAATTTCGAATGCCAGTACGCGTCTCGGTTAAATTTCTTGGAGAAGAATGTGCAAACAGTGGAACTCCCTCAAGCGCAAAGTTCGCCCGCTAAATATGATGCCATTCGAGTAAGAGGCGCGACTATATTTGTTATCGGACATGTGTTGATTCACCATCAGTTTGTGAGCGAGGAGCCCCAAAATGTCGGAACAAGGGATTCGAAAAAATCCTCGTCGAGCGAGAAATATGACTATGGAGAGTCCGCACAGGAAAGAGCTGAACTGGTTCCACCAAACGAGTCCACAGATGCTGTCCTTAGTACGCCGGTATGGACCACTGAAAGCAACTCCCATCCGGTCTCTCAGCCCGTTCCACCGTTTGTGAGCGATGAGGATGAGCTTGCTGTTGCGAGGCTTCTAGCATCAGGAAGCAGTACGCAGGAAAGCGTTCCACCTGCACTTATCCTGCCGGAAATTGCGGTTTCCGCGCGTGGCAAAGGACTCGGGAGACAAGCCGTAACTCCGTGGACAGCTCCAGAGACGCCTGCGAACTTCCTCCCGGAGAACACGCCTAGCACATCAAACCAATCATTAGATATCTCACAGTCGACCGAGGTTCTTGAACTCGTGCGAAATTATCGCTATAACGTGGCACCTTGGGTTTGTATATTCCTGGCTTATCAGAACTGGAAGAAGTACTCACAAAAGTTAGCTGGATATATCTGATTTCGGTCAATTGTTTGGAATTCAAGGGCTTCAGCTCGCATTGAATTGCAAGCCCATTTGGGTCTCGCTGATGGGTCTTTCTGAGACTGCAATGGCTTTACTGCAACTTGCTCCTCCCCAAATTGGAGCCGTTGGGTCTGCATCGCCGAATTTCTATCTTGACACGACGGCCGTAGCTTTTATACGCGCCTTAGATACCACTAAAGAGTGCATCATGAATATTGGGGAGACCTGGGCTTCCCCGCGACAATTCCAAATGGAGCTTATGGAATCGCTGCTTGAGCATTCGACCGGGAGAAACTTCAAGTCCGCGCTCTACTGGCTGTTTCTGAGACATGGTAAGTGCTTTTTTTTCATTCGCCAATTTGGGCACGGCTGCTGAATGAGTATACCACAGAACTTGGTGCTGCCCTGGTATCTGATATTAGCATCCAAATTCCTCTTCCGTCCTTACCACCATATCCTGCGGAAGGAGAATTCGGGCCGGATCCGTTTGAGCGTGAGTTTTGCTTTGCAAACCATCCACTCTGGCTGTGCGCTCGTGCAATCAAGTTCATACACAACGAGGACACAATCCCTCAATATCCGCCAATGCATATGTGGACGCAGCTGATAGAGGAGCTTCAGCATTGGTACCAAGGGCGTTCACCAAGATTCCAAGCGATGCTGGAACTAGAGATGGACCGTCAAGAATCAGGACTGGACCAAACCTTCCCGATTGTGCTGTTTGGTAATGGGGCTGGCGTCTTTAGCAATCAGCTCTACCACACAGCTATGCTTATTTTACTCAACAACCGGCCACGTACTGCCCCAACGGCAGACTACCATTCAGCGGCCATGTCACCATCATGGCATGCGCAACGCATATGCAGCATCGCCCTCAACAATGAGAGGCGGGAATGCTGGGATCCCTGCTTACTTGCATCATTCATAACTGCCGCTCGACGAATGACCCACGAGGCCCAACAGCAAGAGATCCTGGGTGGCTTAAGTATTATTCAAGAAACCACAGGCTGGAACTTTGGGGGCCTTGTTGGCTGTCTCCGAAACGAGTGGAGTATCCTCGCATCATGATATCTAACCGCCACCCAACGTTGTCTTCGGCTGCCATCTCGAAGTGGATGCGTTACTGGATAGGTCCAAGCGAATTCGAAATCTCGAATGCGCCAAGAAGCTCTCCACCCGGTTTCTGCTTCAACTCGCCTGAAAATATCGACAATGATAGTATGCTCAGACGGGTAAGTAAACAATTGACCCGCGATCCAGAGCGGCCGAATTGAATTGCTCAGGCAACCGTGATGGAGTTTGGCAAGCGATATACCGCAAACTTGCCTTGCATGCAACAGAGCTGGTCCAGTTAAGGCGACTGAACCTTAATGCCCTTTGGCATTGTATTCAAAAGTGGAATGCAAAGCGTGTGGTAAATTTGGGTAGACAAATTGCAGCCCAATGGAGGAAAAGGATCTGAGAGAATGGTATGCTTGAGGTAGCGTGTACCGGAAACAATTCTCGCGGTCTTGTCTCGACCCGATTCTGCAGATCATCCAAGAGCTGGAGCCAGAGACGGTAAACGTCTCACTGGCAAACTTTTTCTGGGCTCCAAACTCAAGGGATTGAGTCCGATCAGACACCAATTCGCAGGTTTGGGCACAGAGGTACACTGCATAGTTTGCATGCGTGTCAGGGGATTTAGCAGCATGGAATAAATTTGCCATCCTCGTCGTGGTGACCAAGCACAATCCACTTATTTAGCCATAGTGGGTAGATTTCTGTCCCATCAGGGAGAGCGTCGCATGCATCTGGCCTCGCCAGTATTTTTTATAGACAAAAGCCAGCGCATCTCACAGGATTCCATTGTTATTCATTCGAACGTATCACCAAAAGACTGCCTGTGGTATTCTGCTGGAGAAGCTGTGAATTTCAAAGGCCTCGAATAACGTAGCGCAGCCTTTTGAGTGTGAGCCGACATCATCTCCAGACAACACAGCAACACGCAAGTGGCGACGACCTTAGGATCCCGCACCTGCAAAAGTAGGCCCAGCAGGCGAATAGCCTCGAAGACTTTCAAATTCTCATCACTCATCGATGGCGCAACCTACCCAACATATTTCTTTCGAAGTTTTGCTCGGCGCGCATTCGAAAGCGCCGGTCGCATTTGCTCCAACCCCCGCGATGCACCTGCGGACCCAGGGCCATGCTCTGCCGACGACTCCCCGTGTGGGCGCAGCAGACTGAACAATGGTAAGAAGCATGCACTGTAGCTTTTCCTGCAAAGCAAGGAAGCAGCCCCGCTCATGCGAAAAGCCATCGTGGCCCCAACTACCCCCGCCGCCCAGCGGCGACACAAATGCAGGGCTGTTGGTGGAATCGGAAGGCGTGTACGCAGTAGTGTGGCCGTGAGGCTGAGGACGAGCCCGAATTTATGGCATATGGTGATGGAGCGATGACGAACGCCCAGAAGGGCTAGTTACCGTCTACTTCAGTACGCAGTAGATTATTCACAAGCTCGAGGACTCGCGGTGCATGAGCCCACGGGAAAGGAAACTGTGGGGAAGACGATCGGCGGGTATTTTTGCCTTTTGGGATTTGGATTTCAGTGCCGGGGGCTCTTTGAAACATTCCAATCCCTCGATTCAGGCACTTTGGCAAAGGGTGCTCCTCCTGTAGGGAGAAGCAAGGGATGATGCTAGCTGGCCTCTTGGCTTCTGCGCGTATGAATGCCGGCTAAGATCAGATCTCCCACCTGCATCCATGTTTTTATTGACATCTGGACTAACGCATGCATGATGTACGCTCTCAAGTCGCTGGCTTTATTGGGTTTGGCTCTCGTTTCGGCTTCTGCGGCCAAGGATACCACACACACAACAGTATGTATCAGGGTGGACTGTTCCAAATGCGCTCGGTTGCTAACTTGGTTGATAGGTTGGCATTGAGACCGACGCCGCGAGCCGTGGACTCAATGTTGTGCTAGATGACTGCTTCGATGTGGACGAGGAGTGAGTCGTGATGAATTTTCTCCGGGATCCATAGTCTAATCAGGGCTACAGGGACGTTTACACTGTTTCAGTGCGCAAATACTGCCGAGTGTTCACGTAAGTACACGATTCGTCCCGCCCTTAGCATACTGAGCTGACCAGGACTTTAGGGGCCCTTTCTGCACTGGCCGAAACACACTTCTTCCCCCAGGCGACCACTCGAACCAAGATCCTGTTCCTATTACATCCATCTACTGTCACTCCAAGCCCCCGTTTTAGCGACAGATAGCCGGGGTCAAACGCCGGCCATTTAGATATCTATTGCTCTTGCATCTGAACGGCCTCCAATCATATACAAACCCTCAGATAACGGTATCATAATTGTTTATTCCATTAAGGTCTATGCGCAAAATGGTAGTTGAAGAATAACGCATCAATCTATGCCTAAGCTTCGCCGTCATCGGTGATAAGAACCTTGACCTCACAGTTACCGTTAATTGCGCACCAATGAAGTGCGTCCTCTGCCTTTTCCAGAGGAAACGTATGAGACACCAGCTTGTTCAAATCGAATCGCCATGTCTGAGACAGAATTGTCGGGGCTCATGTGTCATGATAGCGGTTGATTAATCGTAGGGCGATCTCAATACCCTAGTAATGGGACTTTTTGGACGAGGAAAATGCTCTCACCACGGCGAGGCAAACGTGCATGAAGGGCAGGTTATTCGTGACGGATTTACCAACACAACCCCGATAACCATGACGACTCCGCGACGCACAGTGTGTCTAGGACCGCTACGCAAACACAATTTTCTACTCCAGTGCATTAGTTACGAGTAGCCTGAAGGCGTATAGAGCCGTATCGACTCCAAGTATTTGAGAATTATGGCAGGGAATGGGAAGCTCATGATAACACTTATGATTTTCGAAAGCTGATCACACAAGAGAGTACGCTTTGCATCTCGAATCTTTACGCTCTGCATATGCTGGTTACACAGGCGTACACTTTGTCTTTATGGCGAGCTCTCCAGAATTCCGAGAATATATTCACGCTTTCCCATTAAGAGTCCATATTTTTATTTCTGTTCTTTGGATGCTGTCTTTCCTTCGAACTTGCCCGGGGATTTCCTCTTTGCGAGCCATTCGGCTACTATCCCGCGATAGACAGAGGGCTGGTACACTCCCGTCAACTCTTTGACGCAGAATCCCCCAAGGCGGTTTGGATTGATTCCCAGATCTCGCAAAAGTAGGTCATTGTACTGTGATCATTTTAGCAACAGACTTCATAAACGAAAATAACCAAATACTTACTTCAATAGGATCAACTGAGAGCCCGCTCAGGGTTAGATGTCCAACAAGAAAGTCCTCTGAGATGCTCTGTTCCATGGCTTGGACAGACACACTTGGTAGGGAAAGTTTATTGGAAGGACCGGAACACCCATCAAACTCTCCCATCAAGAACGCGACTGCCCATAAAGCTTGGACTTCGGCTACTATAGCTATTTTGGATGTAGTTAGTAGGCCCATTGCAACGAAAGAGCGATCACCAGCTGCGACTAGCTCGGGAGCAACCATGCGACGGAACAGGCGGTAAGGAATATGCCGTCCACCCAAATCATTTGATCGTTGTGGTTTTGTCGGTGGTTGACACCCGGTTGTCGACAGTTGGCGTCTTACCTTTGGCTCGAGCGCCTTGTCGATGCTTTTCCAATGCTGCATCCGGCTGGATACTTTGGCATCAAGTGGGATATTCGTGCAATCAAAGTCCTGTGACTGCGGGTTTGATGTATCATCGCGAATATTTCCGCTGAGACCGAGAGTAAGTCGAAAGCTTGGGGGCTCAAACTGAATAGGAACAATGGGCTCGTATCCAGTGGCTTGTGTGACCAGATCAAGCCCTTCGATCCGAGTTCCATTTTCCAGGGATATTACCACTGACTGCTGCTGCGTCTCGTTTGGCATCGCCAATCCCTTGGTGATCGAGACAATGCTGGATCGGTAAACCTTGACATTCGGGGACTGGATCGCTTTCCACAAATCGGGTTGATTGGCAATGCCAAAAATAGCACCGCAATCTGACACTCTAGAGGCTGTTAGAATCCATGTCAATTAGTACAGTTGGACGTTACTCACCTAGCGGCCGGCCGAAGCAGTTGCATCTTCGATTCTGTCGAATACCCTGCAAATTCCTCCAAGCCTTTCTCAACGGAGTTCCAAAATGAACGAGTCCACCATCGACCTAAAGGGTTTCCATGGAAGAGGCGTGCTAACCACGAGCCTTCTGTATAAAGCTTCCAGCTCCCATATGTGAGGCGCTTGGGGATTTCATAAGAGCAGGCACTGAGATAATGAAAGATTCGCATGCTCGATGCTTTGTCGCTAGCTACAACCTCTCCGGTTGGCAATGAAGATGTGGGGGGAACCATCCACGAAGGTCCTGTGCCATGGTCCCGAATGATCCAGTGGACCTGGACAGGATCGTGGGGGCTGCATCGCAGGTTGAACACAGGGCCGTTCTGATGCAGGGTCGCGAAAAAATGAACTAGGTCGAACGCCGATTTTGCGCCTCCGTAAACCGCAACAGAAGTCACCCCCGCGACAGTAATGTTTCCTTCAGTCTTGCGTTTGTTTCCGGCGAAGGGCTGATATCCCAGATTTTGTCGACTCCATGCCCCGATATCCTTGGCATGAATTACTTGCCTAGATACGTCTGCGTCTAGTGATGCTTTCAAGCCTTCCGGAAAATGAGGCTCTGATGTAAGGCCAGTGGCTAGGATGAGTTTGTCGCAGAAAATCTCGACGTAGGATTCCGAAGGGTGGGTGATGCAGATGCGGAGGTTCCATTCTCCCGTCTGAAGACGGCGAATGGTATCGACCTACCGAGAGTCAGTGATTAGCAAAAAGGCGCTGATCAAGCCATATACCTTCCAGTTCAGCCTGATGTACTGCTTCAGAGCCCATTTGTCCACCCATTCATGCAAATACCGATTAATCTTCCAGCCCGGAATGAAGAAATCATCAGTCTCACCACCTGGACTGTTATTCACGGCCAGGGGCATGTCGCTGTATTCATACATCCCATAGGAGTCTTGGCTTGAGAGATTTGGATAAAGGCGCTCTTCAGCCCATGTTCCCCCAATGTCCGACGCCGCATCGATTATTAACAGTCCAAATTTGCTTTCAGAAACAGGAGATGCAGTGGCGGTGGTGAAACCACTTGGGACGGACTCGAAGGCACCGGGACCACTAGGTGTTGTGTCAACACTGTAAGCTTCTTTTACCTGGAAGTACGTCTTGGCGGCAATAAGGCCGTAGAGACCTAGACAGTCAGTCAGTGCTAGTGCCTGGGTGTATTGAGTTCAAGATGACCGACCTGCACCCACGACGACAACGCGCTCCATTGAGATTGGCAGGGTCAACTCCAAGGAAGTCTCTTGCGCTGCGTGAAAAGATGAAAATCGAAAGGGGTCCATCTTCGCGGGCTTTGGGGAGGAGAATACGCCAGCTTGATAGTTCTATATTGTTCCCGTGGGGCGACCCACAACATCCCAGCACTGGCAGGGGTCCAGCGGCCAATAGAGCACCATCACATGGACAGGGGGGCGCCAGTGCCAACTTGAATGAGAGCAGAATCCGAAAAATCATTCTGCGGGCCATATACGATATGCCTACGTATCACTTAAGTTTTATTTTTTACTGGTTACATTGTGAAAAATGGAGAATCTTGTTTGCTATTCCCGCTTTAAGCTTTACATACACATTGGACTTGGGTTGAACATCTTTAATCAAGGATTAAGTTCAACTTAGAATAAGATGGTTATTCTTGCGACTTTATTCTTCCTCCTCTCAATCTGAAGCTGCGATGCTATAAGCGAGGAATATCGAACGATCCCAGCAATTAATAGGACGGCCCGTATCACGGCCCGTCTCCCTCAAGCATCCGGAAACCGGGCCGTACTGTCAAAGCCCAGGCGGGCGCATATAAAGCTATCGCTAGGGCGCAGGTTGGATTTTTAAAATTACCTGTTTTTGAATTCAAACACTCTTCTCCATTTCCGCGATGGAAAAATCAAGACGCATTGTTATCATTGGCGCTGGAGTCTTCGGACTTGGAACTGCACTGACTCTGAAAGAGCAAGGATATACATCCGTCACAGTTCTTGACCGATCGATGCCCCCAGTGCCGGATGGCTCGAGCAACGACATTTCCCGAATAATCCGATTCGACTACGGAGATGCTGTGTACGCTCGAATCGCCAAGGAGGCCTTTGATCTATGGAAAACAGAAGATTACTCGGATGCATTCTACGAAACGCCAGCTATTTGGTTGACCCAAGACGCCGTCCCCGATCAGCCAATCCAACCTCGAGCTCAAGATTACAGTCGGAAGACCCGCGACGTATTAACACAGATGGGCCAAGAGTGGCACACACTCAAGACCTTGGATGAGGCCAGGACACGCTTTCCCGAACTCGATAAGAACATGAATATCCCCGGATTCGACGCCTTCTACAATACCAACGCTGGATGGGCGGACGCAGGGAGAGCCATTAGCCGTTTGGCCTCCCGATGTGCTGCTGCAGGAGTGTCATTTATTACAGGCCCCAGCGGCCAGGTAACAGATTTCGAGAAGAATCCCGACAACACCATCCGAAGCGTGATGACTGCGAGCGGAACCCAAGTTCTGGGAGACAGCTTCATTTGCGCCGCTGGAGCCTGGACGGCGAGTCTCGTTCCCGCTTGGAATTCCATGCTCGCAGCCGGGCAGGTGGTCGGGTATTTGCGTCTGACTTCTGAAGAAACCGCACGGCTGAAGAATATGCCGATCTGGTTTAACTTTTCCACTGGGTTCTTCTGTTTCCCTCCCCATGAAGGGTCGGGATACCTGAAGGCCGCTGTCCACGGGTTCGGATATACCCAGCAGAATGAGAAGGCTGCCGTGTCTTCACCGTCCCCGTCAGCGGTCGCGTCGCGGGCTAATTTCGTGCCGCCCGATGGGGAGCGAAGACTGTTGGCGGGTATGAAAGATATCTTTCCGGAGCTTGCCAAGCGCGGGTTCGAAAGAACTGGACTTTGTTGGTATAACGACACTCCGACTGGCGATTTTATCCTTGATTATCACCCCGAACACCAGAATCTCTTCATTGCCACAGGCGGAAGTGGACAGTAAGAAGCCCCAAGTTGCTCATGACGTGGCATTATACTGATGGCCCGTAGTGCGTTCAAGTTCCTGCCAGTGATAGGTAAGTATATCGTTGGAAGCTTCGATCGCAGTCTTCCGCAGGAATTGTTGAACAAGTGGAAGTTTCCAACACAATATCGCGACCAGCGCCAAGATGATGTATTTGCTGGGGATGGGAGTCGCGGAGGACCGGAGAGGCGGGAACTCTCGGCCAGCGAACGAGCAGATTTCAATGCTGCTTTAGCTGCTTCCTCACGCCAAAGCAAAATTTGAAGACGCATCGATTGGAACGTTCCGGGTCTCGGCACAATAGTTTCCGCAAATGCCAGGAGATCAATGTCATTTCCAGCCAACGCCACCTGTGCATGCATCGATCAAGGAAGCCAGTATAGTTACTATAAATGTTCTGACATGAAGTCACCAAAGATCATCCAATCAGGAATATCCGGGACGCTTGTTGCAAATGTGTGACTGTGGTGGCCTTGGTTTCCAAAAGACCATTCTGAGGTTTCATTTATAGTCTGTGAAGTTTGGCTGTCTAAGATGGGGTTGCCGGTCGGTTCACGGTTCGCATGCTTCGATGAAGCTCTAGTAAATGTGCGATTTGTCCTGCTAGCTTCAGGCGAACCTTGAACAGTAATGTCAGATACACCAGGCTTCCTATTGACAGGAGACGAAGTGATGTCAAGGATATCCCACATCAAAGACTCATCCTCCGGGGACATCCTGGGTAGGTTTGAGGGTGTCGGCATGCTTGACAAGGCGCCAGAAAATCCTTCCTGGTTGTAAAACAACGACCCATGGTTTTGGCGCCGCGAAGCCAGTTCGTTGATTCTAGTTACCAAAGCGTACATACTTTCCCATTGCGATGCGAGCTCAGTGATATACTCCACGAGCACACGGTACTCATTATTCACCAAAAGGGCAATTTGAGGATTTCTGTTCCCCGTATGCTCCAATTGGATAGTAGCAGCGATTGCAGCCAGATAACCAAAGAAAGGGTCACGTAACCGTATATCACCGTCAGCCATCTCCTTCACGAATCTTGCGATCCATCGTGAATGAAGCAGAGAGCTCTCGAACGACTTTTGTAGGAAGGTAGCTGACAGGTTCTCACTCATATGGCGAAGCTTTATCATCGTCACAAATGGATGATGAATCAGGCACTGTATAGAGTGAAACAGGAACTGAACACACAGCCAAGTCGACAGATAAGGCCGCGAGTCGGGATCTTCCCGAGCGCGGCGCTTGAAATCAACGTTCATGTAGCGATGGGCATCAGCAAATTGGGTTTCAAACTGCATCCACTCGGATTCGAGGATAGCAATCGCCGATCCGCTTTGCCACGGGGGCAAACAACTTGTTGCCAAAGGCTCAAATACCCATTCTGTTGCTTTCCCCCATAGAGAGTAGAGTTGGATAAGACAGGCCAGGATCCCTTGATCCGCCTCGTGTCCTTGGCTCATAGATCGCTTTTGCAGAGAGCCGCACATAGCATTCTCATTTTGGCCCCGCATCGATGGAAATGGCAGCGTGAAATGATTGTCAGATAGACACAAAGAGTAGTTCCGCGACCCATTGTAGGCCCGGTCCAGCATAAAATATGCCCAAGTAATTCGATTTCTAGCATCTGCCTCGAGCCCCTCTGCAAGATCCATTTTCTTGCCTTGGTTCAATTGGAGAGATTGTATTACTCGCAGGCCGATTGCTACCGACAATGAGCCTTTTTGCGTATTCCCATCAGCAAAGTCAAGTTGAGAGAGCAAGAAATTTCCTTGCAGAAAACCAAGATCAGTCTTCCCATCCTGGTACTTGGTATTCAACATCCTCCGCGCACGATCTGCGCAGAATCTGGCGGTAGATACGTTTCCTACAGGGAAACCGGGCGAAATAACGGCCAGTCGACATGTTAAAGCCGCCAACGGAAACATTACTTCCGGTGGAAGATCTTGGGAGTTTTCCAAGAGCCATTGGCTAGAGAATATACAGTAAGGTTGGTCATGAAAATAGTTCAGGTAGGCCTGCACCTCTGATTGAATGAAAGACGACGTCAATGGAGACCTGGGACATCAATTTTGGATTGTTCCTCGACAGTTGACGCACGAAGCTTACCTTAACGACAGTTCTGGAAGGCCGGATTGGGCCCCCGCTTCGGGCGATGATGTTTCGTTGTTGGATTGGATCTCGGCGTCGCATACCGGTAGATACTCAAGAGTATGAGCCAATTTGGTCGGCAGGAGTCGTTCTCTAATGGTTGGAATCGCCACGTATAAACAAACGGTCAAGAATACAGGCACAGTCTTACTCACCTCAATAGCATAGAAATATCGTCTAGTCTTCCTTCTATGTTCTCAAACCGGCGCGTGATAGCATCTTGGCCCTCTTCACCTGGGTTGCGCCGGTTGTCCCCCCGTGCGCGCTTGCACACCTCTACCTCTTGGCAGAGCTGGAGACTCGTAGGAGCACCGTTGTCTTAATCGCTGACACAGTGAACATGCAGGCTTTTCACCCGGGCAGCGAGCCTTTTTGCGACTAACATGTGATCTTCATTCAGTATTTTATTTATATAGATAGCGATCTCGAGCGACAGCTTACCGACATGGCGCGCAAGCTTGGCGAGTACGTTTTAAGGAGACTCTATGTATCGTGTGATTGTTATTTGGAGTACTCATCGTTCTAGGTCGACCTGGCCGATTCGGCTTTGAAGCTTACAAACGGGCGATGTGGACGTGTATCTGGGCAGAAAACATTGCTGAGACTACATTGGGGAAGCGGTCACTCTAGGACCAGATCGAAGCCATCCGCGCCTGTTCCTACCCAGGTAATCTGTTCCTGAATTACTGTGTCCATGCGAGTCGACCACCGCACAACGACATGTCTCTAGAAAGCCTATGCGCGATGGGTTTATTAGATGTGGGGTGTGCCTTTCGAAATTGAAGACTCCGCGGAGAAAGATAAGCCCTCGAGACTCGGACAAACGTCAAAAAGGAACGGGAGATCCAAAGACCAAGTCTTGAGCTGTTCTCCAAGGCATTCCAATAGCTGCGCTAGATCATATCGTGAGGCAGACCCGTTAGCCAATAACATCGAGTGCCACACCCACTCCGTGAAAGGATGCCAACGGATTGCTGCGGATCGAAGGACTCCAATTCCTGATCTGGAGGCTTCTACCCCTCAATTTACCGTTTGGCACTCCGCCGCGACCTCTATCAGACCCATCGGCAGCCACTCTCCGCCTCCGTCGGCCGGGATGGTCGGGAAAGTGGCCCTTGAATTCCCCAATGCCCTACACCCATCACTCGGCGTACAGATGCCTGTCCTTATATGGATAGGAGTATCTTCTGATTCGCCACAGGCATCATGGTCTTGCTAACCGGGAACATGGCCAGCGTTCCAGCAAGGCTGGGGTTGGTGCCAGAGTCAAAATGGCTCTGCCGTGCCGATGCCAAACTGGACCAAGCCATGCCTCCTGTACGCACGCTGGCAGAGAGATCCCCACAATTCTGATCAACAAAGAAAATCGACCGCATGACCGCGCGGGCTGAGTAAATCCTGACCCAATTAATTCGTCGGTATATTTTTAGACCGAAGCAGTCGAAGCTTACTAGTCACTCAGCCCTGGTTAAAAAAACGCTTCAAAGTGCCACATAAACCGTAGACCACGGATTATTGGTCTTAGCGTAATGCTAGCTAAGCAGTTCTTTCCCCCCTGGAACGGCTTAGCATGGCTCATGTGATCGGTGTCAGGGGGAAAGGCACGACGTTTTACGCCCGTGCAGCCCTGCTTGCGTGCACTAATCCCATCATGGACTAATCAGATGATCATGTAAGAGCGGTTTCTGCAGAAAAACTCGCCGTTAGGTTAGGTGCGTCAGTAGACTCGGATACCCAGCCACCAACAGGAAAGCGCGATTGCGCCAACACCGAAAAGCTGGGGGGTTTTGGCGTGGGGGGTTGGGGAAATCGCCCTTAATTAACAATCATCGGCTGCTTTTGTTCAAAAATACCACAAGGATAGTTTCAAACAAAGATCATCCGAATGGCCAACGTAATGCAAAACGCTGGTCGCATCAATGGGTACTTCCACTCAAGCTACATTGACCAGTCACTGAGCAACTCGGGAAATCGAGGAGCAGCATCAGGGATAAATTCGGGGAAATCACGTCGGTGGGTCTTGGTCCTGAATGATAAGCATCAGGTTGTCTTCTATGGTTAGCCTGAGGCAGTTAGGTAGGAGGTTATGATTGCGATTAGGTCTAGCTACATTGTGCATTACCAACCACTGCCACGGGCCCAACATCAGAGTTGTTATCGAGCCTAGCTTCGTAGTAGGCCCATCGTGGCTTTTCTTTCTTTTTCTTTTTTCTTCAGATGGCTACGAACGAATTTGGCCGTCTCTATTATATTTCTACTTAACGAGGTGGGTAATGGCGCATTGTGTGCAGGCGGACTTCGTCCGAGCAACCCCTCCAATTGCCTTGCACAGAGCGAAAAGATGGGCACTTTATCTGTGCCCCGCGCGGAGGATCAAGGATCTCCATGATCCCTTCTATGGAGATGAAACGTGTCTCCAGAACAATTATCGCAGTTTGAGTGACGGTATATGAGCCGATAAGACCGGGTGGCGTTCCACGAAATCCGGGTGCCAGGACCGTAGAACCGCGCAGCGCGTGGACCAGTTGGGAATCTAATGAGCCCCGCACGCGGGCAATTGGACAGCCCAGACAACCACTCGCTGTCCGGTTAAGGATTCCGTTCCGATCCTGTGACCGGAAGTGAGATCGACTCCCCGGATTCTATCACGCCTATCAGAGATACGCAACTATATATGACAATAGGCCATGGATCAAATTTGGCGTTGGTATTCCATTCGAAATCGCCTCCAAGACTATCCTGATTGAGTAGCACGAAATGGCATCTGCTTTGAAAAGTTCTTTGGGCTTCAGCGAGCCCGCTGGCCTCAAGAAGGATGAGGGGACTCCACTGAGGGCTCTGCCATCAAACTGGTACACGTCACCAGAAATGTACGAGCTCGAACGAAGGGCCATCTTCTCCCGGAAATGGCTTCTGACCACACACAAGCTGCGCTTCCAGAAGACTGGCGACTACCTCCTTTACAAAGCGGCTGGATATCCATTCATCCTGGTTCGGGACCGCGACGGCAACATTAATGCATTCCACAATGTGTGTCGCCACCGCGCGTTCCCTGTTGTGACCGATGACAGTGGTACCGCTCGGATCTTCTCTTGCAAGTACCACGGCTGGTCCTATGGCCTGAACGGAAAGTTGGCCAAGGCACCCGGTTACCAAGATCTTGCAGACTTCGACAAGAGTAAGAATGGCCTCTTTCCAATCCACGTCCACATCGACGTCAATGGATTCATTTGGGTGAACCTGGATTCCAAGCCGGAGCCGGAAATTTCCTGGGAGGAAGACTTCAAGGGAATTGATTTGCAGCCGCGCTTTTCCGGGTTCAACTTCAACGATTATACCTTTGATCATACATGGGAGATGGATGGGGCCTTCAACTGGAAGATCCTCGCCGACAACTACAATGAGTGCTACCACTGCGGAACCGCCCACCCAGACGTGCCGGCAGTCGCAGACCTGGAAGCCTACGACGTGGATAATCAGGGTGCTAGCATCGTCCACAAGCCCGGGACCACCGCCGAGCAAACCGCCGCGGGCATGACCGTTGCCAGCACGTACTACTTCCCGAATGCCTCCATGACCGTGACCCCACACTTCTTCTTTATGCAGCGTTTTGTGCCGACCTCGCCCACTAGCTGTGAAATGCGCTACGAGGTCTTCCGGCACAAGGATGCCAGCGACGAGGAATTCGAAAAGATCAATTCGCTGTTCAAGCGCATCATGGCCGAAGACAAAGACCTTTGCACCAACACCCAGAAGAATCTGAACACTGGTGTTTTCGTCAACGGGGAACTTCACCCGCACATGGAGAAGGGCCCCCTCTACTTCCAGGCCACCGTGCGAGACATTGTCACTAGCTTCCACAAGCGGGAGCAAGAATCCGGCCAAGAAATCTGGCCCTCTCGACAGCAACTTCCTGAGGCTGCCACGATCAGTCAGGATGACGTGGACTTCTGCTTGAACCTCAAGAATAGTAAGCCTCCAGGGGAATGCGCTACCCAGGCTGGCGGTTGCTGTGGAGGTGGCTGCAGCACCGCCAATAACGACGCTTTGGTTTTCTAGATACCTGTCTCCGATACCCTCCCCTTCCCCCCACTTCTCATATTGCATATTAGCCTTGATCATGTTTCGTCCTCTTTAGTATAAGTAGTTTATTTTAGATTCAAGATTACGAATAATGCAAGTTTTGACGATCATCTCCTTTCCCTCGGGGAAATTGCCTCTTATCTACTACCGACGATTCTCCTTCCTTTATCTCTTGTATGACCACCCTGGTCAGGCCAAAGAGGATAAGATGGCCAGGATGACATCAGGATCAGCTTCTTATCCGGGAGTTCATCGAAAAACCGTTATCAAAGTTTAGAGACCGCCCCTTCTTCTTTGTGCATATTGTGGGAGCGCCTTATCGGACGAATGATTCATTACGGGATGCCATGACTGGGCGAATCAATACGGCGGAAGGTACGGGATCTTGTCAGATAGCGTTTCTTACGCGTGGTCGAGATAAAGACCGCCGACTGAGCCTCCCCTGCATTCTGCAATACAGATCTTCCTATTGGCACATCCAGTTGCTTATATGGTTGCTCCAGCCAAGCAGCCAAGTCGACTCTAATATTTGGTCGTTTGCCACGGGATCCGTTTTCCCGTTTTAGCATTAAAGTTACATTACGTCTTGTAAATTAGCCTCGTATGTACACGGACCATCTTAACCCCCCCCCCCCCAAGGCTGTGGTAGCGCCGGACGCCCAGTTTGGCCCAGCGAAAACGGGGCTCCTGCACGAATCTAGAATATTCAGCTAAAGTATACTAGTTGCTAGGGCGGGGGGGGATTTTAGGTCCCAAGGACTTACCGGGAATTTTCCCTTGGGACCCTATCCTACCGGTCGCTCTTCTTTTCCCCGCACGAGGTGATCGCCATTACGAACTTCTTTCGCCCCCTCTGTCCATTTCCTGGACGCTATCTTTCTTTCTGGAAAGCCCTGCCGCGTATTCGTTCGTCTCATTCGTCGTAGAGAAGCTTCTTTTTGCTATTCTCTTTCGTGAACCCTCATCGAGTTACCACCTATAATGCCGCCCCGAGAGAACAATCGGGGTAGATTACGTTCTCACGAGGCTTGTCTCAACTGCCGGTAAATTTTCCCTCTTCCTTGCTGTTGCCTATTATCTGCTCATCGTGTTCGCTGGATAGGAGGAAGAAAACGAGATGCCCGGCTGAGAAACCGGCGTGTTCAAGCTGTGTTCGCCTAAACCAGCCATGTCTGTACACTACAGTGCAGCGAGGCTCAAGAAGTGGGCCATCTGTATGATCAAACATATTCTGGCTTTTAAAATCCGGATGTCTGACCCTTTCCAGGCTGACCGACTCGCTTATCTGGAAGAAAAAGTGAATCTGATTTTGAGCGGAAACAAGTGAGGAATGATCACAGCCTTATGTCATTCATGGATCCTCTAATTCAGTCATAGATCCGGTTCGCATGATCAAGCCCATGGCAACCTTCCAGATGCGCCAGAGACAGGATACTCGGCACCCTCATGCCCTTCCTCCACTGACATTGGGGGTACCCTTACTGATTCATTCCTGCTTGGCCTGGGTTATGAGGACTCCAAGCTTCATGGTCCCGCCCGTGTGTCACAAGCCATAGACGTATATTTCCAGTATTGCCACCGACAACCGATATGGTGCTTTGACCGCGAAGAGGTCAAGGATCCGAGTTATATCTCTGAAGAGCTCGCCTGCAGCATATTGACCCTAACAGCCCGCTTCTCGCAAGATCGGGACGATTTGCAGCATTATGGAGACACGGCGAGAACCCTTGTCATGCTTCGCATAGCGAACGGGACAGTGGAAATAGAGACAATCGAAAGTCTATGTTTACTCTCCTTTGCCTCATTTCTAGGTATGACCACTGCCCTGCCTTGTCCACGGGGAAAGAGAAGTATAATTGACCATATGTAGATGGGAACGGCCACCTGGGACGATTTCACCTCGGCCTTGCTCTACAGCTTTGTCGATCCGCAATGTTAGACATTAGCACTACATATGGAGTTGAATGTCCTGCAGCAGAGCGAAAGAAACGCTTATTCTGGAGTCTCCAGTCTCTTGAGCAAACCTACGGGCAAATCAATGGCACTCTAAGTGTGCCTGGCGAGGTCCTACGTTCATTCTACGTGGATACGGGAAACGACCCCAATGTCCAGCACACAGAGCGGAAGCCACCCCCAATGCCTCTTGATGAGATCGGATGTTCTGGTCCGGATGATACAGGAATCTGGAATCTCTCGTTGCATTTTGGATGGGTCTGGAGCAGAGTTAGAGCATACGTCTTTGACTGCGCGCAAAGCAGGCTCAAAGAGCCATGGCGAAACGACTCCATGTACGCCACAGTCATCTCCGATTTAACGGAGCTGGAGAACAAGCTTTCATTATGCCACCGATACGACTCAGTCAAATTCTATGAACGTCGCGCCGATGAGCTACGAAGGAGTCGAGACTACTGGACGCCGTGGCTCAAACTGCAATTCACCTATCACACTATCCTCACCGTCCTCAATCACCCTTTCCTCTATATCGTTGCCTCCCAACACAATCACAACCTGACTATTCCGAACACCTTCTGGCGAAGGTCCTCCGAGCTCGTTGTTTTACACGCGACATGGATTGTCCGAATGATCGATATGGTGAATGATAAGAAAATGCGCCTGACCGATCCGTTCTTTGGACATGCTGCTGCCATTGCCGCCACGGTCCATCTTTACTACTGTTGCGCGGCAGACCCAAGGCTTAAGTATAAGTCGAAAACAGACTTTGCGAAATGTCGAAAGTTCTTGAAAAGCTTTGTTTCCTTCTCCCCTGCTTGCCAAGGCTTGGTATGTCGAAAGCCCCCGTTTCTATTCCCGGAACAACAAAACTTACCATAGCAGGACCGAACCTTAGACAAAATGACCCGAATCGCCTCCGGTTCGGAGAAGGTGGACTTTGACTGGGAGCCTTCCAAAATTCATCTCAGTATTCCTCTCATGTGGGAAGTTTTGCAAATCAACAACTCGCCACGTGCTGAGGAGCCAGCCACTGCTGCCCTCCTGCACCCGACTCTTTCTCCCATGGTTTTCCCCGAAGATACTGATAACCCCTCATCGACTCTCGAGATCATTGTTGCAATGTCTCCTGAAATCACAGTCAACACAGCGGACGGAGGTTCCGCCGCACATATACCACCTCATGTACCTCGCGTATCTTCCTTGCCAGCGTCACCGACTTCTAACGCCGGTGCTGATAAGCTAGTTGCCCCTGCTGACAGCCTCATGGCAAACACCCCTTGGCTTTGGACTGATCCTGCACAATTTGTTGATATGGAGCCTCTTGGGTACCCCGAGTCAGAATCCACCATGGGCAATGTTGACGGATTCTCCGCTTGGTGGGATATTGGAAACTTATAAAGCGCATTGATATTGATTCATCTTCATTCCAACTTCACGCCTTATTATTCCAGGTCCCCTCACTCTTATCCTCGCTGATTTTCCAAGGTGTTCATGAAATCTTGAGTTATTGTCGAGGCCCTCGCACCCATGCCTAGTCTGACAACCCCCATGCGCGGAAACCATTGCAACTTTTTCCTTTGCCGCAGCGACCATACTCGATGTTCCCCCCTGAAAGAGCCCCCGATCGCCTTCCGTGTGCTCTGAATAGATTGCGCCTGACCCTCCTGCCAATATGTGTCGCCAAAGGGCTCCCAGACCAGCATACCCCTGAACAGCACATGGAAACGACCAAAGCCACTATCGACGCCTGAATTGAGAACGCGCCCAATCCACCCCACCATCTTGACGAACTTCGATCGCGAAAAAGGAACCTGCGCTCCAGTTTAACAAAGAGTAAGTACCCACTGCTACAGCGAATCCCCCGTGATGCCCGGGCCTTCTCCCATCCCCGATATCCTTGCGACCAGGCAAAGCCTCCGCGACTCTGCGTGACTCTTGAAGGGATTCCCTTCAAGAGGCCACCCTTTCCGCATGCAACCTCACGAGGTGATAGTTATACCACCGAGTAGTATAGTAGTCCTCTGGCGATTATAGGTGATCTTTTTTTAACGAAAGCGAAGGTTGGGAAGGTGGAAGCAGGGTGTTTCTTCTAGAGCGAGAAGCCTGTCGGGTCCTTGATAGTATATAGTTCGTTGAGTGCCACAAACATCGTAGGATAGTACACAGGCAAGTATTGTAGAGCTCTGCAAGAGGGCCCGTTTTTCACCTTGTTTGATTGCTAAACCCACACCGGCCAAAGCTGAGCTCCCTTTACAAGGCTGATTTCCCAAGTATCGTACAATAGTTCCGAAGGCTCTTCTATGAAATGACGGGTTTATAATTCTAATGATCTTTTTTTCCCTTTAGGTCCATTGGCCAAAAAGGGCCCGATCGACTAGAATCATCACATACATGGCAGCGTAAGATGTTTTCAAGCATCGGGTAAGGTAAAAGACCCACAATGCGGCTCTGGGCCCTACGTCCTCATGTGGTGTTATCAGACGGTCTGTTTGACCAAGACCCAGGGCGCTAGTGCCCTTGAACGCCCAGGCTACGATTTGACGGAGATGAACCCGATTTAAGCTGTCCATCCAGCTGAATTATTGCACGTTTTGCCCGGCGCATGCTATTCATGTCGCCTTCGGAGAGAGAAGCTCAGAAAGCAAGGGTATGATTTGACAAACAGAGGTATTTACAACACTTCACTCCACCTTGCGGACTTGCGTGACAGGAGCCTGATAGATATGGCGCCCATGGATGAGATATTGAACGATCGCAAATATCACGACGACACCGAATACAAGAATGGACCAGTTCATATCCACGGGCGTCGGGTCATTCGCAGTGGGGAAGAAGGTGAAAATGATAGCAAAGCAGAGATACGCAGTTGCGAACACGTTGATTGGCAGTCCCAGCTTGCCGAGGGAGAAGCGGGCGCGCGGAATCCCACCTGGCTGCAGACGAGCACGGATGAAAGCCGAGATCGACAAGATATAGGTTGTGAAGAGGGCGGCAATCATGACCGAGGCGATGGCGTTGAATGCAGCGGTGGAGCCGATGTTGATCAAGCTCAGGAGCACGGTGATGATGGTTGAGACGAGAACGGCCGTCACGGGAATCTGGAGGCGCTTGCTGATATGCGAGAGGGATTTGGAGAATGGAAGGGCATTGTCACGGGCAAAGGCGAAGGTCTGTCGAGAGGCAGTCGCGAGGATACTGATCGCGCTGCAGACCTCCATGACCAGGATGATTGCCGCAATCCCGTTCGTGGCGGCCGTTGAGTTGGTCGCATATTTGACAGCGGGGATGAATGAAAAGCCGCTGTCGGGTGACAGGATGGCATCTGTCAGATCTCCCATTTTGTATAAGAGGGTCACCAGGATAATGAACCCCAGGCCGCCGTTGATCAAGGCGGTCGAGATCATGCACCAAGGGATCACCAATGAGGCATTTTGAACCTCCTCCGCTAGTTTATCTTAGCATAATGATCGGCTACAGGGGGAACAGGGCTCCACTTACCCATGTGAGTAGCCGCATCAGGTCCGGTCCATGAGAAGATTGGCGTCAATTGACCAACCAGACAAGCCAATCCAATACCGGACCATCCGCCAGAGTTGGTGAATTCTTGCCACACGGTCTCCCCTGGAGCCACCTGGGAAGTCATGGACCACATGACGGCCATAGTAGCGATGAAACCACCGATATGCAGGCCGAGAATAACTCCCTCAAGGGAAGGAAGAAGTCTTGCGCCGTACGTGTTGATCACAGTGCCGATCGTGGCAATTGCGATCGTCAGAAGGGTGCCGTGCCAGCGGTGGAAGTCGTATACGTAGCCGTCGGGGCCCGGGTAGTTGAAAACCAGCAGTCCCTGGATCAAAGTTCCGCAGAGGAAGCAGATGCTAGCGAATCCCGCTTGCCACCCCAGCACCGATAGCCAGCCGGTCAAGTAACTCAAAAAGCGTTGGAATCGCGGAGCGGCGAATTCGCTCACCCAGTGATATTGTCCGGCCGATGTAGGCGCACTTTTGGACGGTTAGTTCGGTCGCAACAAACAGGTACTCGTATAATACACACATAGAAGAGATCTCTGCCATGGAAATGACGGCAGCGAAGAATCCCACGAACGACGCGATGTAAACATAGATCATGCCGGCCTTGCCACCGTCGACCAAGCCATAGGTACTCGTCCTGCGCGCGGTCAGTTCTATATTTTCCAGCAATCGCCGAGACACTCTCTCACAGTAGAATGGACTCCCAAGTAGCCATCAACGTTGTGGTGAACCCGAGGATCGTGAAAAAGCGGAAGTTTCTCTGTTTGAACCGATTTAGCTGGGGGTTCGCGCTCCCCGCATTTGCTGCGACGAACCTTGAACTGCTGCGTCTTCCCGAGGCGCTCCATGTCGCGATCATCCTGAACATGGGGGGTCAAGCCCCGTCTCTTGGGAAATCACACCTTTGTCCGACATCATGGGCAAGTGGGCATGGGGAAAGGAAGATCAAGGACGAGAGCTAAAAGGCAGATCGGTGGAATAGGGGGGGGGTTTAAGCAAGACATTGGCGGAACCAATGGTACTTGCGGGATCCGGTTTAGCTTTTTCGGGGTGGAGTCGATCAACTCGCGACGCTTCCATCCGGACTCCAAACTGCTAGTGCGCGCCATGGGGTGGCCAAAGTCTAACTAGGGCCTCGCCCATTGGCCTCCCCTTTCCGACCTTCCTGATGAAGGCTGGTGTGCCTGTGCGAGCAATGCACGACCTTTGATTCAGGATATGCATCCGAACGGGGTCATTATCTCTCCCCCCTGGACAGTTGCAATGAACCGCGGAGAATTTGAATGAGCCACGGCGCTCTTGGCGAACTTTCAACTCCACGATGGAGATGGCCATTTCGCTTACACTGTAGTGCGCTTAGTCGCTCTTGGCTTCGACTAATGGGTGGCGCCGCCGGGCCGGCATGGGGGGGAGGGGAAATCTCAGCAGCCGAATGCTCGATCTCCCGCCAAATCGAGTTCGCCATTCATACCTGTCCTGTGGCGATGATTACCGATGTGATTGGTACGGTTTCATAGGCCCCATCTTAATACCCCTCAATCACCGTTGTAATGGAAGTTGAGTAAACGTGAATCGGGACATCCCTCGCGAGAGACAGCAGTTGAAGTAAAGCCGATAAGGAAGAGGACGAAGAAGGGAGTGTAGAATAGATGGGAGAGACACCCGTCAAGGCCATTGCCACCGGATTGTAAGGGAAGACACTTGAAGTAGTTGCAGAAAGCAACACCAAGGTTCGGTAATGGGTCTAGATCGCGATTCTTTACCATTTCTTTCACATTACTCACATAAACACATTTGAATGCCTGACTTTATAAGGAAGACAGCATTTGTTTTTCACGCTAACCGACAATCATGTAGGTTCGAGCGTTGACACCCGTCCAGAGAAGTTTACACCATTTCGAGAAAGCATCTCCAGGTTCGAAAACCAGTCCAGGGCTCTATTCACCGTCATTTTGTTTTCACAGCCCCAAGTATATCTCATAGTCCAATAGAAGATCCCCAAAAAAATAATTTCTAATTCAATAGACACCGAAATTGTGTTATCTGGTTGGGGGAAATATTTAACCGCTTCTTAATTCATCGGGTCCAAAATATGAAGAATTAGAATACAGACTAGCAGTCCCAAATGCTCGTCATTCTACGCTACCACTGAGGTTAGATTCCATACCCATAGCCATCAAACCACTGATGAGCGTCCACGGGATGTCATGGTATTGAGCCTGTTTGAGACCCACGCTGCCACACACCATTTGTCTCCCAAGGTTGATCGATAAAGCCTCAGCCGCGGCGGAGACCGGTGCCAGGGTAATACTTGGGGACTCAGGCTGGTTAATGTATCCCCAAGGGATTTAATGAACCTGGCGGTTTACCAAAATTCCGGGTATTTTTATGCGAAACATCCGCGATACGCGGCCCCCCCCCCCCGCGGCGGGTTTCTAATACTGGCAGATCTCTATGCGTCTATGGTCAATAATACTACAGACAAACCCCGACACGGCCCCCAGAGACAGGAGACGTTGTTCCAATCAGCGCACACGGACTTGATATATATGATCATTTACTATTAATACATAAAGTACACCCCATCCCAATTGCTAAGATTATCGCCCTGTATACCCATAGTTCTCTTCCATTGCATATAACGTATACACATATAGATGCCCGGAGCCTTCGCGGTTCAACGAAATCATACATTTCATTTCACATGGTGATGTTCATCTCTAAACATTACATAGATGGGTATTGTACACTGTGCAAGTAACACAAAAACAAAATCGCTCAAAAGATTCGGGAAATGCTAGGCTTCACCCACAACGGGGCTTCGCAGTGATGGCTCTCACGCCATGCGAGGATCTTCTCGTTGTCCCACCCGGCAGTCAACGAACCATCCCCGAGCTTCTTAGCCTGACCCAGGCGAATGGTCCGCACGAATACGCAGGTCTTCTTCGAGTCGTATGTGAAGGAGAAGCACTCCTTGTGCTCGTGACAGGCCTTGCGGCAGGCCGCTAGGGACTCGTGGGCCGGAGACTGCGCCGGCTCAATGAACCCGCTGAAATCGCCGTTGTCCCACTCATTCCTGTCTTCCAAGTGGCCCAACTGGAGGTAATCGATGATCTCGGAGTAAAGAAGAGGGTTCTGTAGGACAAAAAGATGGTTAATGGCACTGCCCCTCAGAACCAGAGCAAAGGATGAGACATACCTTCTTACTACGCTGCGCCTCCCATTTTGCCAGGCCCGTCACATCAGAGAGGAGTGATTTGTGGAGACTGATCACGGGCTGGCACCAGTGTACATGGTCAAAGGGAATGCCATGCAACGAATGCGCATTGAACATGGGCCACAAGCCGGACAGCTTCACGCCCGCTTCCCACAGCGCGAACCCGAGGACCGAGTCGCCGCAGCAATCCTGGTTCACCACCTCCATGTACTTTTCGCTGAGCGAGGGGTCGATATACTCCCCATATTTCCCAATCTTGCGGTCCGTCAGCATTTCCATCGCGCCGCGCGAGAGGATAAACCCGGCCCCGCCGTAGGCAAACCACACTCTGTTCCCCCCATCCAGTTTGAATCCGGGCGAGGGGGACCCGAAGTAGTGAGGCGCATACGGGTCAAATTGGTCCAGCAGCCGGAACACATTGTCCCATACAAAGTAGGTGTCGGTCTCCAGGAACACGAACCACTCGGCCACGGGGTTCTTCTTCTTCGCCTGCTCGATCATGGGCAGGAACTTGAACCGGTCGAGCTTCCACCCCGCCTCGCCGCCAATGTTGGAGTCGCCGCGCTGCAGCGCTTCGTAGAGCTGGAAGTCCGTGGCGTTGATTTCCTTGGCGAAGGGGGCGATGTCGGCGAGCACATCGTGGACTTGGTGGCCGTGGAGCTCGGTCGCCTGGTCGGCGACGACAAAGAGGTTGTCGATGCAGGCGGTCACACCGTCCATGGAGGCGTTGATGCGGGCGGCGCTCTCGGTCGCGCCGACCTTGAGGGTGACCTGGATGCGCTGGAGGACATCGGTCAGGGAAATCACGGCAGATATCGTCGGGGGCGTCGGCGGAGGATTCCCGGAAGCTGGTCACGGTGTCCCAGGCCCAGTAGTCGGGGCTGTTGTCATCGTCGTCCAGGCGGAGTTTCTCAGAGGCGATGGTCTTGATGGAACCCCAGGAATACGAGGTGAACAAAAGGACGGTGGATACGAGGAGGAAGATAGCGACTAGCTTGAATCTGGCGACGCTCAATACGCGCAAATATGGCCGGGAGGTCAAAAACGAAGGTGGCATGTTCTGCTTTATCGGCCGACCCGCATTCTAGGAGAACGTGGGAAAAAGCGACACAGCATGGAGTTTGGGGCAAATTTTAAGATTGCACCTCCGTTTGGAGGCTACGTGATCTTAGGTAAAAGGGGGCCTGATGGACTAGCGTAGGCAAATCAGAGGGCCTGAAAAGAGGGGACTTTAGGGTCCCATTGGACCCAATGCAGGTTCCTGTGTGCATCTCCACCAGTGACGCTCGCGGAATCGGCGGTTCTTGAGATTTGTGCGCGCTGTGTACTTTTATACTCTCGCCCTGGTCTCCATGTCCCAAGTACACGACCACTTGGCCAGACAGACCCCTTCAGCTTGGAGACAAAAACTGGGCTGCGCAGCTTACAGGAAGATCGCAATACTTGTAGGGTTGCAGCGTCAGCACGAGGCTACCCCCCGGAGCCGGCCGACCGATGTGACTGGTCAGCAACGTTGGGAACTATGGATCTGAGCCACATCGCTTCCTTTGCTGCACGAGGCTGACAGAGAGAGGAAAAGTGAGACAATAGAGTTCGGCGCGAGTCCTTTAATTAATCGATCTCATGGGTTGTTGGGTTCCCGCAGAGCCTCTCTCTTAACAACACCGGATCCGGTGCCCTAGCATTTGCTCCCTTCTACGATCCATTTCCCAAGGGCTTATGGTTTTCCACGCCCATGCGAACCTCTTTTTGTTTTTTTGCCCTTGAGTGATCTGACTGCTTGCCAAGACAAGATGTTACACTTCTGAGAGGGGCTGCATGCTGCCAACCCTCAGTATATTGTTTGGCTGCTGGGGCGAACTTGGCGGTTTTTTGCCAGTCTTCTCACCAGGTACCATACCACCACGAACTACCCTGTACCACGATAGCTTAGGGTGATTTCCATGTATCTTCTCCAATGATCTCCATCATCGCCTCGTGTAGGCCGGAGTAATTCATACCGATAGCGGTCATTTCTCCGAGCCTTCCGGGCAGAAGGGAATAGAGCGAGAATCCGGTACTTAAAACTTCCAAGACTTATCGTGAAGCACGATCTAACCCGACTATTCCTAGTTCTACTCCCATACAGCCTTTTGCAGGCCTTTCGTCCTTCATGTTCTTTTTCTCTAGCTGCCATAGGGTGCGGTGAAAAGGAGAAACGAGCGACGCTCCACCCAAAGCGCAAAAGGTCAGCCCTACGGACTGAATAATTGCTGCCTCCGGCAAAGCCCGCGGGACTCGCAACTCAATTTTCCTGCCGAGACGTGGATTGTCTTCCCCAAAATCTTTCTCCGCCCAGAACGGGTTGACCCGTTCCCACTTCTGAATCCTATTAATTCCCTCCTCCTCCCTCCTCCTTCCCTGCGCAGAATACACCTTTCCGCCCGTTTCCTCTCGCAATGGAGAAACCCGAAGAGAGGCCCGCGGACCTGGAGGCACGCGCTCCAGGCCCGGCCTCGGAGTCCCCCAAACACTCCACCATTGCGCGACACTGGAAGCAAGACCTGAACCCCCGTCATGCAGACTTTGTTTGTCTGCTGCTCTGCTTCTTGACCGGCCTTTGCGACAGCAGCGCGTACAATGCCTGGTCCTGTTTCCTGGGCATGCAGACGGGTACGACTTCTCCAACCCAGGAGCTCCGGTGCCGCGCATTCCCCATAGACTAACCGCTCTCCAACATGTAGGTAACACGATCTTCCTTGGTCTTGGTGCATCCAACCAGCCTTCCAGCAAGCCATGGGGCTGGCTGAAGTCGCTCATCTCCATTGTCTCGTTTTTCACCGGCGCCATGGTCTTCTCCCTCGCGATGCGCTCGGTCGGCGCTCTCCGACGCGGAACCCTCTTCGCTTCGTTCTTGGTTCAGACGGCTCTGATCATCATCGCTGTTGCCCTCATCCAAGCCGATCTGATTCCCCACACCTCTGCCGACGCCTCGCTGGACCACGGGCCTTTGTTCTTGGAGCTCATCCCGATTGCATTGTTGGCCTTCCAGTCGGCCGGTGGGATGACTTGCAGCCGTTCGCTTGGATACAATGAGATTCCCACGGTCGTGTTGACCAGCGTTTACTTCGACATTGCCTCCGACCCCAAGATCACGGATAAACCCACTGCCAATGTGAAGCGTAATCGCCGCATTGGGGGAGTGGTGTTCTTGCTCGTGGGAGCTATTGTGGGCGGCTGGCTGAGTCGCAGCAGCGGAGGGATGATGTCTGCTTTGTGGATGGCCGCGGGGCTGAAGTTTGTCGCGGCCCTTGGCTGGTTGGTGTGGAAGGGTAAATAGACTCGGACGGATGGGGATGCGAGGATGCGCTGATGCGCTGTGCCGACGATACTAATCATATATTGCATAGAGCATTGAATAGAAAGCATGATTCTGTACCTGACCACCTTTCAGTGAAGGGTTCATTGAATGCTGGAACGTTCCACAACACTACTAGTACTAACGACCATGATTCGCATACTACGATATAAGACAAGAAGTGCTGATATCTATAAAAACTCTCTCCACGGCAATCTCTCTCCCAGGTTGATGGACGGCCAGGAGCATCGATACCGTGTCCTCTCGCTTCAACTTTGCAATCCCTGGGTGAGCCCTATCCGGCTCAGTGCACTCTTAGACCTTCTCTTGACGCTGGACCATGCCACTCGTGGTGGACTTATTGCTGAACGAAGGGAGAATCTGAAGAATCTTCAGGGGAGAAGATCTCTCAATGTCAATGTTGAAGTCTGTCCCATGATCAGCAGTATGGCTTTTTGTCATCAAACAGCAAATCAGATTCTACATGGCTCCAGACCGCAATTCTGATCTCTTTCACGGGACGACGTGGCCGCATTTCCCCCAATTTATCGCGTTACATTCGAAATACAAGCCAAAAACGCAGGCCTACTCCAAGAGAAATTGATCTTCGAAACAGTGGTAGAGAACAGCTGTGTCTCATTGCATGGATATACAACGGCTAAGTATGATTTCTAGAATTTGCTGAAAATTGCCTGCTAGTAGCTAGACCATGGAATTGCTAATGTACGAAACCCATTGCCTAAAACCATCGAGTCAATTTCCAGCTTCCATCGTGCAGGGATCATACCAGACAACACCCTGCTCTCAAGATTCGAAATCAGGATCGTCCTCGCCGATGATCGTATTGGCGCTGGTCGGAGCAATTTCTTTGTTTGCCGCATGGCCAGATCTTCTGGAAGCATTCCGCAGGTTCTCGTCGAACGAAGCCCACACGTCAATGACAGTCTTGATGTGAGCGACGTGAAGTGGTACCTTTTCGAAGCGCGCAATGGTTCGGGCGGTGTTGACGGCGTTGGCAATTTCTCTTCCGTTCATCTTGGCAGAAATGAACTTGTCAATGGCCTCCTTGGGATCGACCGAAGATTGATCTTTCGGGACCAAAGAAAGCATTTGCTCCCACAGTGCCCGGCGTGTTTCGATTCCTGGTAGCGTGTATTCAAGAGCTAGATGCACGCGCGATTTCATCGCTCGGTCAAATGACTTGATACGATTAGTAGTGAGAAACACAATCCCCCCGAAATACTCTAATTCCTTCAAAAAAACTACATTGAATCTCAGCATCGGGTCTAAGATGTTATACGGGAAATGGGAGATCTTGACATACCGGCAACCAATGCATTTCTAGAGCTCCTATCGCCATGTTCATCACGGGCCTCAAGGAAGACGTCTGCCTCATCCATCAAGATAATGGCATTCCATAGAGTGGCAAGTCGTAGAATGAGGCGAAGGCGATTTTCAAAGGCCCATGGGCTGGATATGTTAGGACTGGCATGTCACAGGCATCTTAAGGGGATACTCACAAATCTTCCTTGTTGAGTTCTCCAAGGGACGTCATAATGAGAGCCCTCTTCGTCCCCTCAGCTGCAGTCTCCGCAGTAAATGTTTTACCTGAACCAGGGCTTCCATGAAGAAGCACTACCAGACCCCGACCTTTCTGGGTTGTTTGGTTTCGAGGGTTGTTTGGATAGGCATGCGAAGACACGAGCGCCTTCAAGACCTCTTTCTCGCGATTGCCAATGATGAGGGAATCCCAGGCATCATCCTTCCACTCAACGTTGGCCACGCAATCTATCAGGGCACGAATCCACTCCTTCCGAGTGACTGAGAACCCATATTGGTACGGCGGACATAGCATCGGATCCGCATCGAGCGGCACGGCCCTCACGACGCTACTGGGCTGTTCGTCGTGGAACAGTTGACGGTCAATGATAACTCGTCCGGACTCGGTATATGGTAGCCAAACAGCTGGGAACTTTGCCATATTGGGATGGAAGAATTGGGCATCTGGCTCCTTCAAGTATTCTGCCTGGCCCTCATATGCCATCACAGACATCTTGTTCAAAGCGAAGAATCTATTCCCGCGCTCTATCAAGCGATCTTCTAGATTATCTTGGCCCTCCACAAACTTGCGCGGATAGACTGGCAAATCAGTGATGATCGCCGGGGTTTCCCCGCCAAAGCTTTCCCTCTGGAAGATGGTGAACGTTTTCTTGGCCTGCCCCTTCACGGTGCCATCAAAGTCAGAAAACGAGCAGTGTAGCTCCAAGTATGGGCCCTGCGTCGTGTTTTCTTCGTATGTGGTCTTTTCACAGCGCAAAAGCCAGGGGTGGCCTAAGACTTGCGCATAGACAAGGTCACCAGGCTTGAAGATAGCCCAGGCATTCGAGAATGTGATCTTCTTACTGTCGGTCATGCTGAGTAGGCGATCTCGCTCGGGGCCAATCTCGTGTCCCATGAAGTCGAACAGCAGCCCCAAATGCATTCTCTCCACCGGATCTTGGCATTCTTCTAGCCGGACTTCGAGGGCATCCCAGTAATGGAACAATATCCGGAATGGGCTGGTCAACTCAAAGGGGGTTTTGAAATCCGAAGGAACGGTCGAATAAGATCCAATAACTTCTCGAAAGACCTTGAGAAGGGGGCTGGAGTTGACTTTGAGAGTGGCTTTGTTCAGCTGTCCCTTTTCGCTATAGTAGCGATGTATGACCAGTGCGTATGCTCCGTCTTGGCCGTGGAGGGTGAACTCCTGAAATGGCTTCGTGAGGACATCGACATTGATGCTTCCGTCCTCATTGGGGACGTGACGGTATGTCTTAAAATCGCACTTCTCGCCAATAGGCTCGCTTGTGGTGTACATTCTGCGCTCGTGAAGGTAATATGATGCACTATCTCAAATTTTAAGAGTGATGGTAACATCTCAATGACTCCATCGTGGTGGAAGTTCGGGCCCTTTAAATAATAATAAGAGGACCTCAGTAGTCACCGAAGCACCACAGCAGGCACATAAACCTGTTAGGTTCTGCTGTACGAGGATCCATATCAAATGTTCCCATGCGCCTTATATTGAAGCTACCCCTCATCGATACTAGCTGTTATTTTCGTTTTATCCACCCTCTTGATCTTCGTTTCCCATCCAATCTACAGAGATTCATACAAAATTATCATGCACCTAATTTATGGGCTATCCCTAATATAGACTAGCTGTTATTTCCCTTGTATCACCCTTCTCGATAATTGTTGCCCCCTCCCAGTCTAGTGCCGCATCTAATCCTTTTACGATGCTCGTGTATGGTGGCTGCTAATGCAAGGCTACCAGTGCCCCACTGTAATTCTGTCGCCAGATTCGTTTATCTACGGGGGCTCACTTCTGAGCCTCCTCCGATTGCTTATTGCCAGCCTCAATGAGGTCATAGCAGATGTCCTCGTGATATGGGCCAAATTAATTTACATTCCATACTAGCTTCGTTTTACTGTAGTCTAATACCCGAGCGTGTTATGCCTCCTAAATACCATTCATTCATGGATTCCAGTCAAGGTTGTACCATATAAGACATGTCTAGGCATATTCGCAAATGGGATACGGACATAGTCGGCTTACGGTCTAGTGGAATGGGATACCGGCCTAAGGATTTTCTCTCGCAGAAAGTCCTTAGCCAATCTTTTGATGTTGCGGGAGTCCAACGCCTTCGTTAGCTAAGAGTTTCTTTTATTTTGAATATCTTTAAGCCTTTTTGATTATGGATGGAAACATGTACTACAAAAGAAGACACCAAAGTCTTAATTAGAAGCGATCAAGGCATAGGAACATAGAGAAGTGAATTGCACACCTACCAAGACATATTGAAGAAACCACTGGTCTAGAGGGAATGAATATCAGGCGGGACGGTACAAAATAACAGCTAGTCCAAATTTAGGATAGCCTCGTTATGAGATACATGAGAACTTTCAGTATGGACCTCTTAGAATGAGAGTCTATGACAAGGGTAGTCGATTTGTTCAATAGATGGTAGCCTACGGTCAGGCGCCCTTCTGGCCGGGTCCCCGTGTTATCCACTAATGGCATGATTCCTACAGTCAAATTATCGCAAAGCGTGTCTCAATTGAGTGTTCCCAGACTACCCTTTCGGCGATACAAAGCATAGTAAAGCTTGACATGTAGCCGGGCTTTGCCGTATATGGAGCGACCAGCCAATGCCCGGCTAGGCGACGGCCTTCCTAGAGTAGCCCTTGAACCTGCTTTGTGTCATTGTTTCGTATAGATGGACTGAAGTGCAGCTCAGGCAACGTATTCTGTAGAGTTTGTTTGTACTTGATGTCTAGGAAGATGATGAACTACAAATCTCGGGCTCTAATGGTGGATCCTTTGTAGGAGACAGGGTGTATAGTGGCCAGGGGCTCCCCCCTCAGGTGTTATGAGTCTTTTTACAAAGGTATGAAAGGCCTCTATGAGCATAATTAGCACGTTGGACATAACATGCACTAGAATAAGACTCGGAGCCATGCAAAGATTGGTTCAAGAAAGGCTAAGATATATGCATTAACGCCCATGATCATCGTCGACATACATCAACATTGTCATCGAACATTGAACAAAATTACATGTGAAAGAATGGTCCCCTCCTCATATGTCCAGCCAGCATCTCCATTTATCTCTGTAAAGGAAGCCCGAGAGACATTTAAATCACAGTACCCTTGACCTGCTTCTTGTCGACATTGACGTTACGCCACATCAAAATGGCAGGGAGGCCAAGGGCAAGGATAGCAGTAGAGGCGATACAATTCTGTCTCTGGGTCCAGCCCCAGGCGTACGCGACAGCTTCTCTTTCTGGTCCTTCGGGGAGCGGAATCTGAGCCTTGACGCCGTGAAGCGTGAGATAACTAGCCTGAGACTTCAGGTTATCGGGGAGGTGGGCGCGCAAGGTGCTCTCGAAGGTGCTGTTAAAGATGGCAGCGCAGACCGCGTATCCGATGGCGCCGCCCACACTCTGGAACAGACCGACCAAGCAGAGAGCCATGGGGATACCCTCCCGATCGGCACCAGCCATGACAGCCATATCGTTACCAATCACATTGGTACCACCAGCAAAGGCGATGAAGATCTGGCACATGATGATGAAGCCAATTCCATGGTCGTTTCCACGGAAATAGATCATCAGACCAGAGCCGAGAATCATGAGAGGTTGACCGAAGAACAAGCAAAGATACTTGAAGTGCTTAGTCTTGTAGATGTAGATACCGACAAGCACACTCCAGAAACAAGAGCCGACATTATAGATCTGGGCCATGTATCCGGCATCGGTGACGTTAAGGTCATACACGATGTACAGGAAGTTGGTCAAGTAGGTGTCCCAAAGATCGAAACTGAAGTTCATCAGGGCCGACAAGAGACAAGCACCGGCCACACTACGGTTCTTGAACACTTCCCAGCGAACAAAATGGGCTCGTGCGAAGAACCGTTCCCAGATCACGAAGACGGGAAAAAGGCAGAGGCCAACGACAACCATGGCGATGAACGTGGCACTACCATATCCGGTAAGGTTGTAGGAAGTCAGACTGAAAGGCAACAGGAAAAGGACGAAGGCGGCCATCAAAAGGAATGCACCAATGACTAGAAAAGGACATGTTAGGAGCACCACCGGGGAGATATGCAGTAGATAGACACATACCATCAAACTCATGAATATAGTGAGCAATAGACTGCATGGTAGTGCGGCCGCTGCTCGACTTCTTGTACAAGCCCAGCTTCACAGCCTTGCGCTCATAGAACTTGAAGACAAAAATCAATGGGCCGAAGACAAAAGGCTGAATGATCGCAAAGCTTCCGTAACCCCAGCGCCACCCCGAGGTCGCAAGGAAGGAATTCGCCGCAAGAGGGGCAGTGAAAGCCGTCAAGATGAAAGGCGTCGAAGCGAAGGCGATGGCCCAGGCACGGTTCCGCAGCCCTGTAGTGTCCGCGATGAAGATTTGCAGGATCAGGTAGATCAAATCGTATCCGATCCAATAGAATACATAACCGGTGGCGTAGGAGGCGGGACCGGTGCACGCTGCCAGGATGATGATACCCATGACATAGGCAACCAGAGCCATGAACAGACCTTCGGCACGACCGAAGAGGTTAAGAATCTTAGCGAGAGGCAACTTGAGAATACCACCAATCAGAATACCAGCAATGTTGGCTGTGGTGATTTGAGGAGCATTCTGGAAGTCTGCATAAGCGAAAAGGCCGAATGTGGGGATCATAGACTGATGGAAAGCTAATGCAAAGAAGCAAACCCATATCCTGTCGATATCAGGCCCTGGTTAGCTCTGGCATGGGATGCAATGTAGAATTCGCCATCACGGGTTCGTCAACTCAATGAGAGGGGTCCTCACCATGCGTAGATACTGTAGACAACCTTCTTGCTCCAGACAAGAGCTGAGGCCTCGGCTTTCTTCAGACCATCTTCGGCCTTTTCATTGACGGAGTCGGGATGCTCGTTCAACTCCTTCTCATCCCGCCATTCTAGCGAGCCAGTATAGGCCTCTGCCGAGACAGCCGCGTCGCGCTGAGCGTCATCCTCGACAAAAGACCGTGACACGCGAGCATTCTGGTCACGGACCCTGATGTTATCAAGAACACCCATTTTGCAGTCGGTCAGGGAGATACAATAGAGAAAAAAAGTTTTCTCCTGGCGACCGATCGCTCAATTCGCGGGAGGGGTTGAAAAAGACGAGAATAAATCCGGCCAAGCAAGAAAGAATCCCAGCCGGGAGAGAACCGGGCCTTTTCTACTTTCTTGACGAGAGAAAAAGACGAAAGGAAGACCCTCTCCCCTGGTGGCGCTCAACTCGGGTTGGCCCAGCATTGGGGGAGGACTCCACCGCTTGGGATTTAATTTGTCGGCCGCGCTGCACCCGGGACCTTGGCGGGGTTAGACGGGATTAGCTGGATCAGATAATTTAATCCCAGCGGGACTGTGCTGGTCAGAGCAGCCTCCTGCCAATCACCGGCTACTTGGGACCAGCCCTCCGATTTGATTTCCGGTGGAATGATCAAGTTTCTACGCAGCGTACACATCTTCACCGTCGAACAATCTGGCTGTGCTTAACAGGCTAGACAGCAAAGAATGGGTACAAGGCAATTCCTCTAGGCGAACCAGGGTATCGCTCTTCTCCACAACTCGATGATTGCCTCTTGGTTCCTCTGGTTTTGTTAAGCGGGCATGGCCGCGGGACATTGCCATGAATAGTTATCAGATTGATTATCAGCCCCGGCTGAGCTCGCTGATTGGGTGTAGATTTACGAAGCGGGGCTGACTAAAATGGCCTGGTCGGACCGTTGCTTTACACGGCGTTACAGTACGTCTGGAAACTGGTGCAACTGCCGACTCTTGCCAAGAGGCACTAAGCTATATTAGCAACTTACACGGAATAACAATATCCCTGTGGCAGTCTCGATACCGTGGGTTACTTTCATTAAAATACAGCGCCTCGTCTTGTGACTGTATTGGCGATCCACGGGAACTAGAATTTCCCTGGGAAAGTTTTTCAGGGGAAATGTAAATAAGTCAAACGCTAGAGCTTGCGAGGCCTTCGAAGATCAGACCATCTGCCATTTCCCTTCTGCTCCTATGTCTAGGTCTGTATGTGGGGGCTTGCTCGGCACCTGTGCTGCAAATAGTGACTTCTTATCTTCATAGACTAATCTAGCCATGAACCTCCTAATCACGATACTCAGCCTGTCAGCTCCATGCTAATACGATCCGTATTGGCATCTTCTGCTTTAGGGTGATGACTCACACTTCTTTCAACAACGATGGTGATTATGATGCTTACCACTCTGAATTGCTCGTTATATGGGTTCGGACTCTCCTGTATGTCCCCTGGTTACCCAACTATGAAAGGACACCGTCAGTAATCTGCCTCTCACCTAGCTCCGAGGAAATAGTTGGCGAAGGTCCACCTTCCTTGTATATGTAGCCAACATAGTTTTGATCCTGTGGTTGAATGTGTAGGACATTGATGAACGCTTTGAAGGTACTGGTGTTAATTCCATAGCAGTAAAGAACCAGCTGCCAGCGTGGACCTCTTTCTTCTAAAAATAGACAAGTGAGGAAAAGCCATCAATGACTATACGGATACTCATTGACTGAGACATTTAGATTGATGCTGAGCTAGCTTCGGGCCCATATTCCATCTAATGAAGCGTTTATCATGTTATGCGATATCCCAGGCCTCCATGTCACCATAAAACACGACACCACAGGCAAGATCTACAGCATATACGAGTCAAAGCCTCGTATTTGCCTAATTTGTCAGGGTCCCAGGGCCGCGGCGAGTAGCTCAGCTGATCCGCCTACACAGACCGGCATCGCGTCTAACGAATATTACACGATTTTTTCTGGGGACTTGTGCGCGGCGGTCAAGAGTGCGTTTGAAGTAACATCTGCGCAACTGTACGACGCTTAGAGTGGAATCTGGTGATTGGGTCGGATTGTCAGTATTTGCCCAGGTAGATTTCGTCTACACCATCTGGGTCAGAGTCTCATAGACCTGCACCAAGACCAGAATAGTACCTCGACAGGTAAAGAGAAGATTAGCCAGAGTAGAGATATAGCATTATCAGTAATATACGTGATTCTTCAGAAAATCCATCGCTTGAGCGCTGGGACCGGTCTCCGCTCAAAAGTGAAAACCAATGGCTGGTGGCCGTCGATACTCCAAGCTCCAATCCCAATCACCAGTCATGCGTGAGGAGGCTGCAGTCTGCGCCTCCTCATACCGAACCTTCATCCAGCCAACCTCGTTCAACGTACAGCCGTACGCTGGCTCGTATCCATCGTCTGGCCCCTCTCCTTCAGCCATCCCTTCGGGGTCCCACTCTGGAGACCACCTCCCATTGATAAGAATCACAAATCCAGTAGTATTATACGCTTCCAAGTCCTCGATTGGTATATCCAACACAGACTGTAATGCCTCCTCGTCAACCATGATACATAGTCGATACCGGCCCGAATATGCCCACTCTGCACGTTTATATGGTACTCCTTGCTCTATCTCGCAAGCCACCCTCGCCCATTCCTTGAAAGCATCCCGTATTTGGTTAGGCGTGGCCCTATCAAAGCGGCGTGCGTCTTCCATCACAACAGGCCGAAAGGAATCTAACATATCGAGCCCATCGTCGGATTCCAGTTCTGTGCGGACACTACCCATGAACCGATCAAGGAATTTCGCCCAGTCCGCGTCGTTCTTGTAGGTGGTTCGGTATATGGTAATACCCCAGTAACGGAACCCGTCCGTCTCCAAATTTCTCTCAATAAGGTCAGCCGTATTGTAGCTCATTGGAAGCCATGGGGTTCTTTTGGAGTCTTCGATGACCATGTTTGCTGATGTGGACGAAAATGGCCGAGGTATTGATCTCTCCCTGGTAAAGCGTTGAGTCCTTGGCTTGGTGCCCGGATGTAGTATTTTCTCCAACCGTGAAGCGAAGACAGTTTGTCTAGTGCAGCACGTAGAAAAAGGGGTAATGCTAGAGGGTGTTCTCTTAGGAGTGCTGAACAGGTACGTTGAGCTTCTGAAGACTCGGGAAGAGAATGAGAACGACATTGAATTATCTGTAGCCTGCCCAGGCAATTAAAGAAGTGAATTCAGATACGGAAACCGAGAAATTGTGCGCAGTTCCATCTGCCGGGTCAGCCAGGAAAAGAACATGACTTCACCTGGGCATTGAAAGGCGGCCTAACTAATGTCCGTTCTCCACCCATCCCCCGAGAGCGACCAGAAACCCCGACGAGGTCTCAGTCAACTCTCCCATTCCCGCGCGATCGAGACTCTGACAGTCGCAAAATTCTACTTGATCGAATTCAGGAGAAAAGCTCAGTTCCAGGATTGAGAATAGGGCCGGTCGGCCTAGGCGGCGTTGGGTGAGTGCAGTGCGACTAGTCCTGGTCCATTGCTTATAAGTCAAAAGGAAGTCGTAGCTGGGCATTGAGTACTCTTATAAAAACTGATCTCATTCAGCGACGTGGGTACATATCCTAGGTCCACGCGAGTAACGAGTTCCGATCCGCACAAAGTTTCCGGGATAGCGCAGATCAGCTCAAAATTCCAGATCGTCATAATACTGAAATTAGCATCTTTAAACTGGTCGAAAATTGGCTCCGGGACCAAAAGAAAGGAAACTGGGTCTGTATTCTTGACATTGTCGATGGCACCAAGCTGATTTACTCGTCCTCGACGGCAAACACGGGCTACAGAAGTATCAGATGTGTTGAATCTACAGGTAAATACTATACACGACTGAAATTATCATGTAAAATACATACGAGGCAATACATATGGACCTCCCGGAAGAACTACAAATACAGACGAGTACGTCTTGGTGTAAGGGGCAGGAAAGTTAATCGGAGGGTGGAGCTGTTGCACCGGCTTCGCAACTTACTGTATACTTTACGAGCGAAAGGAAAGATCCGGCTTCTTCCAATCCCAAAGCAAGTGGAATTCTCGGATCATATGGACCAAGATCCGCTGATTGAATATCGTGATTATCTCCATATCTGATCAGATAATGGGCCTGTGGCGCTCGATAGACTGACCTTGGCTGTGTTTCTCCTCTCGTCTGATGACCTAGTTGGGTGCTCACCCACTCTGGGGCTTTTTTTTTTTTCTTTTTTTTTTGTCTATACTGGCATTCGCCTCCGTTGTCCGCACTGTGCTGGCGAACTACACGAAGGAAATACGACCCTAGCTTTTGCGTTTGGTAACAGATTGTCATCTAATGGCGCAGAGCCAATAATCCAGCAGAGAGATGGATCGGTTGATCTCTGGATGTTTCGGCCACGAGTTCCCTGGGCGAAAGGGCGCTTTACCCGAAAGAGCGAAGTCCACGACGGCCACATCAGCCGAGTAGCGTGGTCCTTGGCTAGACCCGAGCTGTTCCCCAACTCGCAAGCTACACCCTGCCCCATCCATGTATCCACGTACTACAGTAGTTAGTCTTTGGTGGCGTTTGAAAAATGTCAGGGTAAAGAAAAAAAAATATTCCTCATCACCGGTGGTCCAAGAAACGCAAGACTGATCGCATCACTTCGGCATTGCCAGGGCCGGGTAAATTACACAAGAACGAAATCATTGTGGGATAACCGATATATCCGACGTCTTGATCCTTGAGCACTTTCCTTTGCTACTCGAGAAGCTGTCTTGTGTTGACAAGGTCATGGGGATCTTGGACCTTGCTTGTATCCCACCCATCATTTACTCGGTCCACTAAGCAGGAGGAACCGACGGCAGCGCCGGTCGACTACCCAATTTTCCTCCGGGGAGGTGGGGGATTTGGTGGGCTCCAAAAAGTCACTGCCGTTGAGCCATCCAGGGCGTACACCAAAGAAGCGAGTAGTTGATATCTGTTAATGGTGCCCTATAATTGAGATTCACTAGTCACTACTCCTGGTTATTAGTTAGGTAGTCTCCGGAGGTCCGATTGAAGGTTGTATGGAGGATTGGCTATTTTTCACCTCATCATTCAAACCCAACCTACCTTCTGAGATGTGTTCAGCAAGAGTCTGTAATCTCCTACTAGTATACTACATTACGGTCGGAAGAATTGCTCATAGTAGGTGTGCGGGTCATCCTAGCGCCAGTACGGGGAACGATTACCGGCCATTCTGAAGACAAAAGCATCTTGATAACACACTCAACCTTCATTGTCGCGTTAGAGGATTCTGGAATCGTGAGGTAGAGATCATTTAAGATTGTCAAGATTTAACAGACATGCCAAGGATCTTGCTCAGACTTTACTACAGATCTCATGTTTCACTCTAATCCACAAATAGCTTGACGATATCCCTCGGAGAATTGAACTAAAACTAGGAACCCTAAATGTAGCACCAGTTGAATAGTTGAATATAGCTAGGATACTAGTAGACTAAGGCTGCGAGCTCTGGGAATCAACGCGAGTCGCCGTTTCCAGGATCAATAGTTGTTAGAATAGCGTCGTTCCGCCGCATATCTCCAATGGGTTGGCTACGGGTGGGTAAGATATTGTTTCCTGGGGGATAGTAAGGCCGCGCACGCTGAAATCCACACCGAGAGCGCCCGAACTAGATGGCCTACGGGGCTTATGAGCCCCACAGTCATGGTTGCGGCGGCACCATATATCTCTCGAAGAGAACGGGGTTCGAAGTTTCAAGGTCGAAAAGGAATGAACTGGGAAGCAATAAAGACTCCCATGGGTCAAGACTAGGACCATCTGCAACAACTCAAAAATCCTGAAGACAAGCTGCAAGGATCCCATATCAGGTTTTCACAGCTCCCGAGCCGTACTGGTAGAGTCTGGTTTTACTTAGCACTCCGGATAAATAGGTTTAGTGGCTTTATATAAGTAAGCTCCCACTATGGATACTGTAGAGAATACTCTCAACTGGCCCAGATGCGGTGTCGAAAGATGGGTTTGAGAATGGCTTGTTTGGTCTTGCGGACGATGAATATGATACTTCAACCGAATCCGACCCTGGCAAACTGATCCGAGGGAAAGAAATCTGTTGGTCAGATATTGACAGGGTGATGATGAGATGATGCTTTGCTCCGAAAAAGAAATGTAGGTCAAATTAAAACATATGGATCATGTTTCTCAGAGCTGCAGCTCCATAACCAGACCACTGCATAGCCCGAAACTGAGCCTTACAGAGCCCAGTTCAACCCACCAACGGGCTACCTTTCAGTGGGGCACCATTGGCCCTATCAATAGGGTGTGAGCTAGGGGTCGGCTTTTTAGGTTTAGGCTAGACAGAGATCTATCTATAACCATCACAGGTCGCGTAGTCTCGCATCTTGCGCTAATTTGACGGGTCTGCGAACTTATGTGGCCTACAGTAATGGGGTTTATAGACTACACCCAACTTTGGGCAAATGGAGACGCATTACAAAGGCCCCGTGCGGGAGAATTAACTATGGATTGATTAGGGCTGTCTATACCCATTGGTCCGCATGCAGTAGCACGGCTGTGAAGAGGATTCCTACAAAATGAACCAGGTATGATCAAGGTCATGATTGGGGATATATAGCTTTTTCTTGTTTAATGTACATGTATAATAAGGAGAATAATAGAGAAGAAGAATCAAACAAATCCTCTCAGCAGATCTGCGAGAGCACTTTGGGCTTGTTCGAGCCGGTATTTGGGCAGCTCGTTCTGTGAGGCAATACGAGTAATCATCAGCTCCGTTGTAGCGCCAGGAAATGAACAAAGCGATTGTAAATTCAGTAAAGCATGCAACAGGCTATATTTCGTTCAAGCATTAGAAGGCTGGAGACGAGCTGCCTCAACGCCGATCTCCCCAGAGGCCAACAACCCCGATCGAAAACGCCACTCCAGCAATCAAGGATCGAACGTACTGGAGACGGCCTTCCCGGTCCATATCGAGACGCACCGCTTCTCCGTTGATGTCCTCCTCCGCCTCAACGACGACGAGATCCTCGTCTTTCCGGCCCGATGCGCGTCCGAGTGATAGGCCGATTGTGTCGCGAATGGTTTCGAGAGCCCATTCCTGGAAACCGAGGGATCGATTGAACCAGTAGTCGGTGGCTAAAGCGCTCGACGATGAGAATACCACCATCCAAATCAGGAATGGATGCTTTCGTCGGGGCGGAGAAAGGGTATAGGCGAAGAGGAGCAATCCATTTGCGACCCCAGAAAGACGCATCGCATGCTTACGACTAAGCCGTTTCACTTCATTGAGGGATCGAGAAGCAGTGCCAGCGGAAGGAAGGAGTTTGAGAGATGGGATGGTGATGGTAGACGTCGCGTAAGAAACGCCCTGGTGAGATGTTAGCTCAGGCGCCACAGGTGGTAATCATTCGCGGTGTTTACAGTGAGCAATCCCAAGGAGACTGTTCCGACGAACTTGGAGATTGTGAGAGGGCAGGCCATTGCGATGCTCTGTAAAGCTCGGTTCTGTTTGGGAAATCTCAGGGCGGTCGAAGAGGATGGCGCGAAGATTCATGGAAATTGACGCCGAGCGTAGGTGACGCCAGAGGCCAGCGCGGGCCAATCAGCATGCTCGTATTCTCATGCTCGTTGTCAGCCAGCACAACCCCAGCTTAGGAGTAAAAGAATGATAATTATGTCGGGAACCTGGATTGCACTGAGCTACACAAGGCTAGGAAGGAATTAGTTATCAGTGAGGGTGTTACCATGACAGGTGTGCAAGTATTCAGCTATTCTGTGCTAGGTCCTCGGTCACATTGGTCATCCATATTTGAAGATCATGGATAAAACTCATTGAGCTATGAATGGACACCTGCGCACCTTAATTCGAGCTTAGCTATGCCGCCGCACTAGCCACGGTGGAGCTGACTCCTGGTGAATATTTTAAGCGCGTGAAATCCAGTCATCCAGAAAAAGAGCAGCCGAGGCCCGAAGACGGTGGGGATAACGCGACGGGGTTACCGCGCAAGTCTGGAACTCCGTGTCCGTACGGTCGATTACTTTCTACATAACATTGCGGGGGACGTTCTTGACACTTCTTCAAGCCCCACAATGTCAGTCCCTACTTCTCAATACATAAGCAACGTCTGGAAAGATGGCATCTTCGGTAGGCAGCCCTGGAGTCCGTTCGATCCAGTCCGACCGAGCTAACGCCCCTGGCAGCAAATAAGGTGGTCTTCTGTACTGGCGGCGCTGGCACCATCTGCAGTGGCCAAGTCCGCGCGTTGGTTCACTTAGGCGCAAATGCCTGTATCATCGGTCGCAATGTCGAGAAGACCGAACGTGCGGCCAAGGACATTGCCACTGTCCGAGCGGGTGCAAAGGTCATTGGGATCGGCGCCGTGGATGTTCGCAAATATGACAGCCTGAAGGACGCCGCGGATCGCTGTGTTAAGGAGCTTGGTGCGATCGACTTCGTCATGTACGCTCGCATCGCTATATCTTATGGTGCTTGGAAAATTTGCTAATTTCTGCATGCAGTGCTGGCGCAGCAGGTAACTTCTTGGCCTCCATTGAGCAATTATCCGTCAACGCTTTCAAGTCCGTCATGGACATCGACGTTCTGGGGTCATATAACACCCTCAAGGCAACGCTTCCTCACCTGGTCGCCTCGGGAACGAAGCACCGCATTGACTCGGACTCCCGTGAGTAGCTGATTAGCTGTCTTCCATTCGATCGACGGGGTATGCTGATTTTAATACAGTTGAACCGTCCCCTATTGGAACTGGAGGTCGTATTATCTTCGTCAGTGCAACTCTCCACTATCGCGGCACTCCTTTCCAGGCCCACGTGGGCGTTGCGAAAGCCGGCATTGACGCGTTGTCAAATTCGATCGCTATTGAATACGGTCCGCGAGGTGTGACGTCTAACATCATTGCACCGGGGCCTATCGCACAAACGGAAGTATGTCTTATCTCCAACTATAATCACGAGGATCTGATTCTAACTAGCTGGACAGGGGCTGGAGCGCCTTCTCCCCTCCGATACCAAGGCCGACTATATCAATTCGCAACCGCTAGGCCGCATCGGTCATGTGCGCGATATCGCCGATGCAACTGTCTATCTGTTCTCAGACTCAGGAAGCTATGTCACTGGTCAAACACTAGTCGGTATGTTGTCCATTCATGATATTTATAATAGACAGCCACTGACAAGATTTAGTTGATGGCGCAAACTGGCGCACCTCTTCTGGGTCAGGCACTGGTAACCTAAAGTACCCGGATTTCCTCTTGTCGGGGAAGAGGTTGCCAACGTTACTGGAAAAAAGAAGTCGAAGCTTTGAGGGTGACGAAATAGAAACAAATCTCGCGAGTTCTAGTTTTTTCTCCGACATTTTTTTCACACTTGACCTTAATATACTGGCAAGGATAGTACCAATGTAACGACATTTCCACCTACATATTTCGCTTTGAATCAATCGATCGTGATTAGAACTCGAGATGAGAGGAAATAAATTATGTACATTGCTTAACCCAAGTATCACTGAGGCTCCAAATTGAACTCTTTCAACGAAAATATATCTTACAGATTTATAGGGTCAAAGGTCTAAAAGTCTACCATGAATTACATCCAATAATTGTGGATCCAGATGATCGCTTAATGGATCTTCTCCGTCTCTTGAAGGAGCTCCTCCACCTTGAAGTTTTCAGCATCACCTCGGTTAAACATACGAAGTAATTCCCCCTTGCGACCGCTTGCTTGACCTTCAAAGTCGTAGAATCGTTGGACGCAGCTAACGAGCCAGGTAGCCTCGGAAGTAGACACACCGCGGTCAGGCACAACTTGACCATGCATCAGAACCAAGCCCTTGTCATCAGCAAGATCCAAGTAATGTGTTACGGTCGTATGCGGCTGAGCATAGGCTCCATGCAGCTTGTAAGCTCCAAGGTGGGTGAAAATCACGGTGGATGTGTGGTTATTTGCGGTCTCGCTGGACGGCCGTGGTGACTCTTCTGCGGGAGGGTGGAAGGCCCATTGGAGGAAATGAATATCTGCAGAGGTCTGACCCGCCGCAGCCTCTGCGCTTTGTTCTCCAACTTGTTCCTGGGCGGCCTGCTGTCGAGGAAGAGGAAGAATGAACTGCGGATTTTGGCGAGCGGCAGAGAAAATGCGCTTGTAGGTATCAAGAGGGATAACAGCGCTGATATAAGTGGGATTGTTTGCGTGTCTTAGTCGCCACAGTGCTTCGATCTCCTTTGGTGGAAGCTCGCGGATTTTCTCGACGTCCAAGTATGCGCTAAGCGGGCTGATGGGGTTGGCTTTGCCGGAAACTTTTCGTGCAGCTTTTGCTGTAGGAGATTCAGTCGGTGGCGGGGGAGGGTGAAACGCCGGTGGGGTGCTTGGGACGGTCGATGAGGACAGGGGCGAACCCAGCTCTGGAGTGGCTACTGTTGAGGCTTTGCGGCGGAGGTCTTGAATCTTGTCACTGTATGCTTTTTTGAGAGACTCGACTGAGTCATGACCCTCTCTGGGTGAAGGAAGATCTTTTAATCAATTTGTCCGAAGATATTCAAAATAGTCAGAATCGCCGCACTCACTCTTTGGCCTTCGCATCCAGCTTGGCGCGATATTTGTCCAGCACATGCTTCGGGTCATGATGAGAAGCGAGGAATCGTACGTCGTGGACCTGCGCCCAACGGCGCTGTTGAGAGCGAAGAAGGGGGGACTGGCCTCGCAGGACAGACCGGAAGCCCTGGAATCTAACTGAGGCCATTTTGAAGTGAAAGATACTTTGGAGTTTCTTTCGGACGTTTGGTCTGGTCTGGACTGCGGCAAGATCGCTCAGTCACATGACCGTAGTCACCTGCCTCCCAGATCGGGGAAAATGTAAACCCGTTTCGAGTACACACTACATCTTGTTCACTCTCCCCTCAAGACTTCCCCACTATGTTCTATATGTGGCGCAGTGGAGCTGGTTGTTTCTAGGCAGCGACATTGGCAGAGTGTGACTCGAGCTATCTAATGTTTTGTGTTGATGATTCCGCGGCCATCTACAAAACTCAATATAGAGCATCTCCAAATATCGTGGAACAGTCTCACTGCAAGTCACATCCTTCAGAGAGGCATGAAATTATGGTCGTGGTCTTTCATTCCCTTATAACTATACTTTGATGGGGTTAGCCTGTCATTGGAAGTAGAGTTTAACCCCTGAAGATGAGAGCCCAACCCTGCAAATCCTTGGACCGGATAGGCTGCGGCCAATTACTTCTGCAACAGAAGCGCCAGTCTAGTGTGCTACCCCACCACCAATCAAGCACCATACCTTCTCACAACGAATCATAGCCCCGTATCACGACGCCCCGCCTGATGTTAGAAGGACCATCACAGCAACTTGGACTGGGCGCTTAGCGCCTGCCTTACCTGATAAAATATCGTGGCTTTGTCCTGCATCTCCTGAATAATTTTCTCAGACTGCGCAGAAATGAACCCCGGCGAGAGTCGTGGCATCCACCCTGATGGGGAGATGTTTTTCAACTCTTCCAACACTCCAGACGAGTCGCCCGTGGTCGGTCCTTTGAGAATCAGTAAACGAGACTCAGCATCCCCTACTTCAGCACCGAGTCCACCAAATGCCCCATTGCCGTACCCCGATGATAGAGCTCGCCCTCAACCGCGTACTTCGAGTGCCAATGACAACCGTCCAACGGATCCCTATAGATATGGATCGCCGCCCGCCGGGACCAGCTCAGTGAGCCCCGCTAACTACCCCGCGGCTTTGCGCCCACGCGAAAGTCGTGAGCCGCGAGTCGCGACACTAGCGGAACGTCGAGGTGCTGCACCAAGACCGCTGCCCGAATCCCCCGCCGATGTTCCAGATCGAGAAACATTAGCTGCCAGGCCCTATCCAGCCCCTCCGGCTCCGGCCTCCAACGCGACGACATCAAATGCAGGTCATTATGATTATCGTCAACAGTACTATCCACCTCCCCAGAGCTCCACCCCTCGACCCTCTGCTACGCCTCGGCCTTCCGCCAACCTCCAACCACCGCAGGATTCATCTGGACTGAATCGCATCAGCTCAACTGCCTCTACCTCAACTACTCGTGCCCAACGGGGATCTCCCCCGCCACCAGAGACACCTGTTGTTGGACCAGGCCAACAGCCGAGCTCGGACATTGAAGCCCGGTATGCTGCAGCGGGAATCGCCGGGACTGGGACGTTGGCTGGCATGCAGTCCCAAGGCTCTGCCGCCCAACGGCGAGCCGAGCAGTATTCTGGACAACAGCCAGTCCAGAGACCATGGACGCCAACAGAACAGCCAGGGACCCAGCCCCATGGACCCCCAACTGTATACCAAGGCGCAGAAGTTGTTAGTAGCCCACCTCCAGGCCCTGTTCACCCAGCGTATAGCAGCCCGCCGCCTCCTCAGTCTCAGTTAGTACAACCACAACTACAGCCGCAGCCACAGCCACAGGCTCAGCAACAGCAGCAGCCCCAGAGGATCCCATCCAATGCTTTAGAGCAGGATATGGACCGAATGCGGATCAGTTCTTCACCTCCACCTGCTTACTCTAGCGTTTCTGGGTCCACACCTGCAAACAGTTATCCAAATGAGAAACCGAGTGGAAGTGCCGCCGCCGGTGCCGCTGCCACAGCCTCTCCGGCTGGCCATCCCGCGATGGCTAACCAAGCTCAACCTGGTGTTAGCAGCTCTCCTGCACCGACTGTGTCAGACCACCCTGCCTTTGCCAATGACCCACCACAGCAACGACCTCAGACGGGTTATACGCTCTCTGACCGTCCGGTCAACGATCATCCAGTCGCTCAGCAGGCGACTCAGATGACGGTCACTTCCCCAGGGCCCTCTGGAGCTCCACCAGCATCTCCCCCGCCGCTTCCTGAGGGTTGGATGGCTCATCTGGATCCGAGCTCTGGGCAGTATTACTACATCCATTTGCCCACGCAATCGACCCAGTGGGAATTTCCAAAGGGGCCTACCCCGCTTAATCTTAACGAGGCCCCCATGTCTCCTGTTGGCAGCGTCTATAGCAGCCATCCCATGGCATCTCCTGGACTATCGGTCTTCAGTAAACCCTTGGCTTCCCCTGGTGTGCCTTTGACACCCGGATTCGAGAGTCTCGCGTCTCCCATGACTGGGTTTACAGGGCCACCTCCCACCAGTGGCGTGGAAATCTACAAGACTGCTCCGACGAATGGTGTCTATTTTGGGCCTTACCTGCGTTATACAAACATGGACATCGATCGTGGAATATGGCTTGGCTCTATCCTTTTGGTGACTGATGCTGCACAGCCTCCGACCATTCATATGCATCAAAGCGTGGATCTTTCTCCCAACCCAAGGCAGCTGAAAGCGGTCAATATTGCTGCTCATCAGCGTTGGACCTTCTACAAGTATGAAATTGATATTCAAATGGATGAAGCAGGACCTGCCAAGTGGACTTACGCCATTACTTCTCACCTCGGTTGCACTCGCTACGAGTTTCTGGTCGCTGGACGACACGAGACTAATTGGCGTTTCATTGCAACTTCAGGCAATGACTTCTCCATCAATGTCAATGCCAATGAGCGCTCGCGACTTGGCGGTGTCGGCTTCATGTGGAAGGATATCATGCAAAAGCACAACGAGATTGGAGGTTTCCATACGCAACTCTCTCTTGGAGGTCAAATCTACGCTGACCGCATGTGGAAGGAGATCCCTTGTCTCAAGCAGTGGCTGGCCATCCGCGGAAAAGAGGCAAGAAAGGATGCTCCATGGACGGCAGCAAACCAACAAGATGTTTCCCATGCATACTTTCATTATTACACAAGCCACTTTGATCAGCCTTACTTGAGAGAGGCGTTTGCACAAATTCCTTACATCTGTCAAATAGATGATCACGATATGTATGTCTTGCTGCTGACGATGCTACTGATGCTCGCTAACAAAGCCCCAGATTTGACGGATTCGGGTCCTACCCGGATCACATGCAGTTCTCCAACATGTTCAAAAACATTGGCCGCATTGGTATCGAAATGTACCTGCTTTTCCAACATCATACTACCCTTGATATCCTTCGGAATGTCAGCAATGATATGGATCTCTTCACGATTACTGGTACAGGCTGGCACTTTGTGAAATACATGGGCCCCGGTCTTGTGGTTGTCGGTCCTGACTGCCGCTCAGAGCGTAACCCTCATCAGGTCATGGCTGGTCCAACTTATCAAGGGCTCTTCCCGAAAATTGTCATGCTCCCGCCAAGCGTGCAGCATTGTATCTGGATGATATCTGTTCCACTAATCTATCCCCGGCTGGAAACAGCAGAGCATATCGCCCAGACCGTTGCTACCGGCAAGCGGGCGGTTACCGGTACCTATAACTTACTCGGAAAGGTGACCAGTTCCGTCGCTGGTGTAGTTGGAGCCAAGGAGTTTGTTGGATCCGGATTTGATTCAGTCAAGCGTGCAGTGGGTAAATCCGGACTCATGGGTGGCATCTTGAGCCCTTTCGGCGAATTTGACCTCATGGATGAACTCCGAGACCAGTGGACCCATGACTCAAAGGTATGTTTTGAACCGAGATTCCCAATACTACAACCAGTCTTCTAATCGTATTAGGATATCGAACGCACATATCTCATTCGTACCTTGCAAGGTATCTCCCACCAGAAGTCCATCCGTATGACCTTTCTCTCTGGAGCGGTCAATGTGTGTGGTGCTGGTCTCGTGCATGACCCCGCCCAGCCGTCCGATCACAAAACCATGTATCAATTGATTGCCTCGCCCGTTGTGAATACCCCGCCGCCTTCGTACGTGGTTAAGATGTTGCATAGCAACACAAAGCCTCTTTACGTCCCTGCCAATGGTCAACGCTCATCGGGACAGCCGACTGATACCAAAGAAGACATGATGGAGATCTTCCAGACCGATATCAATGGACAACCTCGTGAGCATCGCAAGCTGATGGCACGACGGAACTACGTGGCTATTGTGGCCTACGACCCAGATGTTGTGTCAGCTCATCCATTTGCTCAGTCTCCAGTGAACCAGGGTCAAAAGAGCAAACTCAGCTTGGCTGCCGACTTCATGGTTCAAGGTGAAAGTGCATATGCGAACGTCGTCAAATACGGCCCGGTCATCGTGCCCAGTTTGGATCACGGTCGGTGATATTAGTGATTAAGATTTGTTTCTACCTTCACCCCTCTCTGCTTTCAATTCTGCTATGAGTTTACTTTATCCCTTGAGCGAGCCACCCTTTTTCTTTCACGTTGCATAGTTTTTCAAGCATTGATGTTCTTGATTTGATATGCCCATCTCCCTGGAGCTTTTATGACTAGTCTCATGCCCATATTGTCAGAGGCTGTATCCTAGAAATTCTTCGAAAATTGGTGTGCAAGTCTCCCTAGTACGGAAAAATATAGATCAGGCACATCTGGAATTGCAGGACATGGTAGGAATCTCCTTGGGAATGGAAACCAAGCTTCCGGGAACGCGTCTATTCCACGGCTTACAAATTACGTAGAACCACACCGCGTAGACACTGCGAGTGTGATTTCTTCAGTTTCATCTCCGCCACTTGAACACTTTTTAAATGCTTTGTCGAGCCGTCGTGCACTGGCTCTTCGGGAGCCATAGCCATACACAGTCGACCGGGCCAATTAGGCATTTCTAATCCAGCCAGGCCTTTCATTCTTCACCAGCTTTAAACTCTGAGTCTCCCCCCACTATCCGCTCGAGCATCCACAGAAGCTACATAATACGCTAGCCTTTTTTGGACTAGGACACCGGAAAACAACGGCAGCACGGAATTCGTTCCGTGTTTGGATACATCGGGCGCTTCTTGACCTCGAGACACTGAACGCTCGATTTCATCAAGAATCGCGATATTGTAGCTACTAGGGTACAGAGGCTACATATCATTCAAAGCTGGTTAGCATATCTCTTCTTCGGACAGTTACCAATCAAGCAACTATTCGCTCATGGGAGAGCCGTGCGGAATCTTCCCGTTTATTGGGTGCTCCCTGCATCAACCGGCGCGGAAAGCAGCCTGCAGACCACAGCATTTGAGTGCGGAGGGGCGGGCATGAGGGGCCTACGTCGGGCAAGAGACATCAACGTCACCTCATTTACAAAAACTTCGTTTCTTCCCCATCTTGCTTTTTCTTTTCCACCTCGTCACCACAGTCACTATGCCTGTCACGAATTTCAATCAGCCCGATCCATACACTTACCAAACTGGCTTCGACTCCTACCATGAGTACGCTCCCTGGAAACATTCCAAGGGTTAGCTTCTATACTGACCGCTATCGCATCCTAGGTCTGAGGCCATTGAGGGTGCCCTTCCGGTCGGACAGAACTCTCCCCAAAAGGCTCCCTACGGCTTGTACGCCGAGAAGCTATCCGGGACCGCATTCACAGCACCCCGCCATGAGAACAAGCAAACATGGGTCTACCGTATCCTTCCAGCAGCGGCCCATGAGAACTTTGTAGCTGAAGATGAGGGCTCTTATCACCTCCGCATGACTACGGAGTCGTCCAAAGTGCACCATATCCCAAATCAGCTACGGTGGAATCCTTTTGATTTAGATGAGAAGGTCGATTGGGTGCATGGCTTACATCTGATTGCCGGAGCAGGAGACCCAACTCTGAAGCAGGGCTTGGGGATCTTGCTCTACGCTGCTGGCAAGGACATGGGGAAAGAAGCATTCTACTCGGCTGATGGAGATTTCTTAATTGTTCCCCAGCACGGTACACTCGATATCCAGACAGAGCTTGGTCGGATTTTCTTGCGCCCAAATGAAATTTGCGTCATTCCCCGAGGGGTCCGGTAAGTGGGATCTGCCCTCTTTCTTACGAGGATAATCCGTGGCTCGACCTTGCTTTTCATTCTGACTTTCTATAGTTATCGAGTGACTCTTCCCGATGGCCCTGTCCGTGGATACATCTGCGAACTTTACCAGGGCCATTTCCAACTCCCAGAACTAGGACCCATTGGCTCCAATTGCCTCGCCAATGCTCGTGATTTCCAAGCCCCTGTCGCATCTTTCGACGATGAGGAAGAGCCAACCGAATATAAGCTTTTCAGCAAATTTAACAACTCACTCTTCTCTGCTCGCCAGAATCATACTCCATTCGATATCGTCGCTTGGCACGGCAATTATTACCCTTACAAGTACGACCTTGGTCGCTTCAATACCATCGGATCAATCTCTTTCGATCACCCGGATCCCTCTATCTTTACTGTTTTGACAGGACCCTCTGATCACGTTGGAACCGCTATTGCCGATTTTGTCATTTTCCCACCTCGCTGGCTAGTAGCTGAGAACACTTTCCGCCCTCCATGGTACCACCGAAACACCATGTCTGAATTCATGGGGCTCATTTCTGGGAATTACGATGCAAAGACCGGCGGTGGATTCCAGCCCGCTGGTGCCAGTTTGCATAACGTTATGAGTGCCCATGGCCCGGACTCATCGGCATTCGAAGGAGCAAGCAACGCAGAGCTTAAGCCCACCAAGGTCGGCGACGGTAGCATGGCTTTTATGTTTGAAAGGTTTGTTATTCTGAGTTGCCCCGTTCTCTGAACCCTGACTTATGCTTCGCACAGTTCCCTCATGGTGGGTGTCTCGGAGTGGGGACTCAAGACATGCCAGAAGGTGCAGGCGGAATATAACGACCATAGTTGGACCCCTTTGAAGCGCCACTTCAAGAATCCCAACAAGGCGTGATTTTGAGCCTTTGTATGTCCACAGCGCCCTCTTGTCGGAACAAGGTCACAGTCCCTCATTTAACGGAATAAACCGTCCTGTACATACGAACATTTACACCTCGTTATTCTCATTTACCTCGGTACCTTCGTTTTGGCTGAGCCATTCCAGTACCCATCGTCTGTAAAACCGCCCGCTGTGGCCATTGAGACGTAATCACAGTAGTCGAGTCGTTCTTTTTCACTTCTTCAAATCAACGGGAGGGTCAAGTCTTATTACTTTTCCAATACAGTAGATGGGGATGACTATGCCGGTCTTGCCGACTTGTGGATCCTTCGCCAGTCATGGTTTTTTTTAGGCTGGCCGAATTCCGTGTCGCCTCTGAAATAGTTTGGGCCAAAATTAGCAGAGCTAGATAAGGCGTTAACACTAACTGCAAGCAGTGCTTTGTGTACGCATATAAAAAGTAGAAATTGCGGGTTAGAAAGAGGGGGAAAGGATAGGAGGTTGAAGCACTCGGAAAGCATTAGAAGGGACGTTAGCAGCTAACAAAGGGGACACGGAAAAGCCTAACGCTTCGAAAGTGCCTCTTATCCCAGTCTTATGCTAGTCTTATCAGATACTCTGGAGCCTGTATTCGGAATCATCTCGTTCATTTCTCGTTTCATAATGCAGATAAACCTTGGAATATGCTGGTTCCCAACCATCATGTACCACCGACTGGAATCTCAAAATGCGGAACCGCTCATGCTTGAAACCCTCTCACTTTGCGCCATTACCAAGGAACATATCAAAACTCCTCATACAAGCAGTCGGCCAGTCGCAACATTAATCAAGCCCGGGGCAGTTTTCACTGCTGATATCCGCAAATCTCGTATAGGGATACGGATCAGTCCAGATCAGGTCATATCTAAACTCATCATCAGCCATAACCCGCCTCTGTGGGGGCGCCTGGGAGTTCAACTAACCGATCATCGGGGTATAGGGGGGCGTCCTCGAATCCGAGCTCCTCAGCCAGGTCAGTCATCCGGTGATGCTCCCAGCAGATCAGAATATTGCCACCTCCTTCATAGCTCTCTACTGCCTCCTTGACGCATGCAGGATCATCGCGATCGCATGAAGTATCGACTTCAATACCGAGGTCCTCTGCAAGGGGTTTGACAGTTTCATAGGGACGAGCTCGTTTGCCATCTATGAATACAGTCAATCAGCATACTTATCTCTGAATCAATGTAGAAGGCCATTCTGCAATTGCGCTGACTCACTTTTCTTCGGCCTTTGAGCAAGAATGTAGCCAATATCGTAGTCTGAATGGGCCCCGAACACATCACGGATACACTGGGCGCGTTCAAGGCCATCTGCACTCAACCCCTTGCCCCCATCCCCGGGCTTCTCTCCGTGTCGTATAAAGTACACGTCCGGACAGGCAGCCGCGATGCCAGTCAGCGCAAATATACTAAACAGGCACTTGTGCATCATGGTCGGTGATGTAGCTGTGGTGATCACGTGACACAGGCATCTATCTCAGAATGAAGACAAATTACAGATGCACGGTTTGTTTTAAATCAAGCCCAAGGTAACAGCCATTTCGCCTCGCAAGGACCTTGGAGGGCTGCGACGGGCTTGACAGCGGAAGTCGCATGTCACAATCGGCTTCTGATTCGTCTGGTCGGAGGGTATTTTTGGGATTCGAAGCGGGTGACCACACTTGCAAGTGTATTTGGTGTTGGAGTTTTGAGATGGCAAGCCATACATCTGGATGATCGGCACCTCATGCTCCTGTGCTCGGCTGTGATTCGTGGGGCGAAGACTGCGGACCGTCAGCAACGAGGGTCCCGTGAGGAAGACCGCGGATGATCTAGAAAACGAGATCGGCGATACACAAACTCTGTCTTACAAGAGGAGCATTGCCGCCCTCGGGGCTTTCGTTTCGCTCTTGGGAATGTCTTCAACACTCCAATGGCATGTCAAAGATCGGAAGATCAAACGATCTACGAATCTCACCCGATCTTGTTCAAGTGAAATCGTGAAATCCGAGTCGAATCCGCAGGCGTAATGGATCAAGCGCCGGCCTGGGAGACGACCACGATATTCATGGGCCAACTGGGCCCCACAGGTGTCTATTGTTTGAGATATTGGCGCCGGATCTGAATCCAATGGTCAAGGAGCTTCCACACCCTAAACCGTTGGGCGTGAAAAAGTGCGCTCTTTGGTTTGGGGCGAAGAGCATCTTCACCGGCATAGACATTGGATGATCCAGAGTCTCACAAGCTTGCCTTTAGGAGCCGGTCTACTGTGATATCAGGAGTCTTAGCTGCGCTTATAAGAGGCAGTATGCGCAGGCTCCAGGGCTGGCCGCCGTTGGATGATTCATCTTCTCTTCTTATTGGTGGGTCCCGGTGGGCCCGCCGATAAAAAAACGAGCGCGAAGCTCCTGGCAAGGAGTCACCGCGGCCCCCATGATGCATGATGAGCAAGCGCTCTTTCGAAGAGTCCAGAGAAAGCCAGGAGGATGGCCTCTTGCCTATCCATGATCTGCTGTCGCCCGGTGAGGAGCCTGACGCTCCATCCGGTCCCAGCAAGAAGCCGCGCAATTTCATCGCAACAGTGGTACGTTTCCCGATCGCGCGCGATTGGTCTTTGCTCAGAAGAATTATTAGGCATGCGAGACGTGTCGCTTGAAAAAGACACGATGCGATGAATCAAGACCGAAATGTGGGCTGTGCAAGAGCCTCGGTCTCGAGTGTGTCTATAATGAGCGCAAATCATCCAAGTGCGTACAATGACGGCCCCACTACGAGCAATGGACGTTAACAATTTATCAGGCGAGATCAATCATTGACATTGATCATGAGTACTCTTCACCGGCTGGAGACAAAGCTAGAGGATATCCCCAGCTCCATCGCCAAGGACATCCAGTCCATTGGAGGCCAACTGCGATATCAGGCCTCTACTAATATGGATCACGAAATGACTCGCTCCCCGGTCAGAAGTGACGCCCGTCCTGTCGTATCGTCTTCCCACATGCCTGCTCCGCCAGAGGTGGATGACCTCGATTGGGAAGACAATTCGTCGGCCAAAGATTCAGCCGGACGCATTTCAATCTCTTTTAGTCAACACGGTGTCATTCTTTGGCCAGGTGCTCGCACAATACTACCACGAAAGTTACTAGCTGACTACGAACTTCTGGGCAAGAACTATGTCGTCGATTTGGAGCTTTCCCGCCCGCCATTACCCATGTTCACCACTCCGTTTCCTCTTCATGCGGGTGAGCACTGGCTTGAAGCCTTGCCCCTGGCTATGATCAGGGGGCTTGCAGAAGCCTTCTTCGCCGTGTTCAACCCCTTCACGCCAATCATGGATCGGAGCTTTTTCTTTTCATATACTCTAGGATCCGCGATTGAGAGCGGATTTGGGTATACTGTTGAGAGCTGCCTTGTTCTCAATGTAATGGCACTGGGATGCCTTGCTGTTCTGTCTCACCAAGAAGGCGATTATCCGCTGCCAGGGTCACAGAGCAGTCGCTTCGAAGCCCCAGACTGGGTCAATGTTATCTTTGAAGAACAGCCTGGTTTGCGATTCTTCAATGAGGCTCGTCGCCGCATTGGATTTCTGACGTGCGATAACGACCTTCAAAGTTGCCAATTTTATCTCCTTTCGTCGTAGGGATACCCACATATCACCGGCCACTCTGTTTCTCCTCTGACGTTCTGCAGTGTATATTATAACCAAATAATCCGCCCAATGGATTCTTGGGTGCTCCAGCGCGCCGCAACCTGCTGCATGTTAATGCTCACCAAGTAAGTCGATGACTTTGTTCAATCGCTTGCCATTGTTACTGACGTCGGGTCAAGTCGGGATGTGGACTTCAACCAATGGGAGGGTGACATGAAGTCCCGAGTGTATTGGAATTGCCTAATGAACGAGACCATTCTCTCTCAAGAGCTGCATCTACCCCCGAGTGGCCTGTCGAGGTTAGAAGAGCAAGTTCCCATCCCCAAATTCATTGTCTTCGAATCTACCGGCTACGCCACAAGCCGATTTCCTCCAATAAATGTGGTTGACGACTCTTTCTTCCAATACCACTTCCTTGCTCAAGTGGCACACCGTATCATCCTCACACGAATCCGCCACTCTCTCTACTTCTACGGTATGTACCCACGTCTCCATTGTCCACGTAAGATCACCTGTCTCATCAATTTCAAACAGCCGAGTCCGGGTCTATCCCTCTTCCCGCTGTGAACATCGAACTGAATCACCAGCTGGAGCAGTGGCGCAGAAATCTCCCACCCACAATTCAATTCGACGACCCTACACGCCCGTCCAAACAAACAGGCACACCCATAGCCACCCCGGTGCAGCCATCACCTTCAACTCCCAATTCTCCGCACCCAACATCGCCTCTGCCCGCAGACTCGACTCGTCCACTGTCACCCGCAGTCGCAGTAACAGACGCTATGTTACGCGGCCGGTATATGATTGCACAGTTCCATATCGGCCGCCCATATCTGTACAAGGCCCTGCGTTTGCCTTCCAAATTAACCGACGACGATTACGAGCAGGTCAGAAGAGGGCTGCGCAATGCTATGGACTGGCCCGTTACTTGTGGCATTTTCCGCGATATGAAGAGTTGTATTCCTATTAAGTTCGCCTTCTGTTCCCAGTGAGTAATTTTCCCCCTCCCTGTTGATTCGGGGCCAGTAGCAAGGCTGACATGCTTTTAGGTTCTTTGGCCAGGTTCTCCTATTCTACTGCATCGCACACTCGCCTCATCCTCGGGTACGAGAGACTCTGCCCACCGGTTGGGAGCGCTGGAATGCTGAAATGATGGGATTCTTACGGGATTGTGCCCGTCAAAGCCCGGCTGTGGCGCAGGACGTAGAGCTTCTGCAGAGTCTATGGCCTGCCTCCGACTGAGAAGTTTTCCAAAGGTTCATCGACACAGGACATGTCGAGACGGCGGGGTTGAATAGACGATATCTGCCGCTGCTAGATCAGGGAGGTTAAGTCTTTAGGGTTTACTGGAGGTAATGCGGGTTTAAATCTAATAATGAATGTAAAATCCAAAACTATGTACAGCAACAACTTTTAATTTCATCACTCATTGCGGGAATCACCGCTGAGATAGGGTATCGTCTAGTCATCTCGGGATAATCCGTGTCCGTCATACATGCATCCATTACCCATTCCAAACGGTCGTAAATCAATAAAATCCAAAAAATTCCAAAAAGTAGAGCGCCAGGTCCATCTACAGCTGCTCCACCCAAGGGGCGGCACCAGCCTGCATCTGGTTGAGCCACTTGACAAGCTCGATCAGCTCGGCACGGCGCTCATCCTCCAGCTGATCCTCATCGCCGGTCAGAACGGCCTGGAAAACCGGCAGAAGCTGGGGGGTGAGTTCGCGGATGGTGGGATCCTCCCACTTGTACATCTGGCAGATCATGCGGTACAGAGGCTCGTTCTCCTCGTAATCGTTCTTCAGAGGGAGAATGCTGACCAACACGGGCAGAACCTCTTTAGTAGGGGACGGCATCGCGGTTGCGCAGAATCATACGGCTAACACAGCCGGTTGCGTTGTCTTGCAGGCGGGAGACGTTCATCTGGAGGCACTGCTCGAGACGGCTCAGAATGGTAGGGTACTCCTTGACGATCTCGGCATCAGACGAGGAGTGTTGCACCAGGCGGCCGATAGCGTAAGCCGCGTTGGACTTGGTCTGGGGGTCCTCGTCGGCGAGACGGTGGAGCAGCAGCTTGAGGAAGGTGGAGGTGAAAGGGGTGACACCGGCGGCCATACCGTTGATGCACTCGGCGAGGACACCGACAGCAGTGGCACGCTCGAGAGCCTCGCCGCTGCTGGCGTAGCGGAGGATGGTCTTGTCAAAGACCTTCCACAGCTCAGCGAAGCTGGGGCCGAGGGCAGTGGCGAGGCCAGAGACGACATCCAGGGCGGTGTCGACAACAACCCAGTCGAACTCGGAGGTCTCGTCAGCGGGATCAAGGTCCTCATCCTCGAACTCAAGCTGGCAAGGGTGCTTCTTGGTGATGATGTCGGTGATCATCTGGATCACGTTGTGAAGCACGGTCTCGTTCGCGATCAGGGCGGGGCCACAGAAGCGAAGGTTCTCGGCCATGTTACGGTTGATATCCGCAACGGTAGCACTGCATGACAGACGAGTTAGCTATTGTACACAAAGCAACTCTCGTGAAATTAAAAGAAAAAAAAAAAAAAAAAGGATTATTCTCAGTCGTGATAAACGCGGTTCACATCAATCATGCTCTTTGGCATGTCAAAGTGAGCTGGGTTAAGCGATAGGACTCATCATAGAAATCGAGGGGGAAGAAACGTGAAAAGGAATATAGGGGAACGTACCGGTCTTCTTCCTCAGTCCACATCTTGATGGTAGCAGTCATGAGGATCTCGCCGAACTTCTGAACCTCCTTGGCGGGCTGAACCTGGAGGGGAAGGCCGGGCTGCCACTTGGCAACTTGGCCGCTCTCCTCAGCAATGGTAAAGAGCATGGCGTAGGAGCGGTGGAGGGTGCTGATAGTGCTCTTACGAACACCCTCGTAGTGGTGCTCCGCGAGGGGCAGCACAGTCTCAATAGTCTTCTCGAAGTAAGGCAGGAAGGAGCTGCGAGTGTGGGTGACGAGGTCACCAAGCACCTCCACAGCAATCTCCTTCTCCAAGGCCAGAGGAGTAGTGGCAGTGATCTCATCATCCCAGGCATCGTCGTCGTCCTCGACATCAATGTCTTCGATGTCACCTTCGATGTCGTCGTCATCGTCGGCGCTGGCAACCTTGAGCTTGCGGCCGCCGACGGTAACTTCCTGGCCAATGAGATCCTTGGCATGCTCACCCAGGGAGACTTCCAGATCAGTCTCATCCTGGTCAATGCAAGCATAAAGACCCTTGACGGCGCCTTCAAGGAAGGGGGAGAAGTGCTCGCCGTAGACCTTGGCCATGGCGCCCCAGAAGATGTAAGTGCTCTCCTTAAGGCGAGAATGGCCCAGGTTTAAGGCTTCCTCGGTGGCGCGCATGAGAGGCTCCACATATGGCTGGTAACGTTCGGGGCCAGCAGCGTTCGCCATCTCGCCCATAGCGTCGGTGACACTAGCCCGGAGGTCGAGTTCATCTTCGGTGTCCTTGACAGTGGCGAATTCCTGCAGAAGGTGCATGGACTCGTCAAAGAATGGAAGGAAAGAGTCGCCGGCAGAAGAGGCGAGAGAGCCGAGGGCGCCGGCGGCAAGAGACTTAATCTTGAAGTCGGGGTGAGAGAAGAGCTTGTGCAGAAGGGGAACAAGCTCAGCCTGGTAAGGAGTAACGTCCTTCTCATCCAGACCGTCCACCACAGCATCAACAGCACCAATTCCTGCCTTCAAAATGTCAACGATGGGGCCATCTTCTTCGCCCTTGTATTCCTGCATCGCACTCTGGAGGTTCTTGAAAAGAAGGGGCATGAGCGATTCGTGCTCACGGCTGAGGTCCTCGGCAAGGTCATCGGCAAGGCGAGCAACAGTGTGTAGGGCAGCCTGACGGACCTTGACCTCCGGATCGGCCAGAAGCTGGCTAACCATGGGGTAGATCTCCTTCATTTGAGTGCTGATGAAGTCGGGGGCCCCCTCCACACTCATGCCGAGGGCAAGAATACCAGCACGGCGGTAGTTGGGGTCGCTGTTGGTAAGGTATTGGCCGAGGGACTGAAGCAGGGGGACCACCACCTGGCTTGGGGGCAGGCTCTGGGCGAGCATATCGAGGAAGCCCAAAGCAGAGCGGGGGGAGTGATATCATCGTCACCGGGAGCGTTGTCGTCGAGCTCGGTCACAATGTGCAAGGCAGTGCGAGTGAGCTGCTCACCAATGCGCATGCCTTGGATCTTCATCTTGCGGTAGGAGACACACTGCATGAGGAAGCTGATGGCCTGAGTCCGAGTATCCTCATCGGCCTCGGTGTTCCCGGCAATCTCATTCATGAAGATCACCAAGTCCTTCAGATGGACAGTGAGCAGAGCAGGGTCACAGCCAAGCAGGGTCTGGAAGACTTCGAAGGCCTGCATGATGCGGTCCTCCTCACTCTGGTCAATGGCATTCTTGAGAACGTTGACCATAGCAGGCACCATGTTCTGGAAGGTCTGCACAGCAGCCTGGTTGGTCTCGGGCTCAAGGTACATAGCCAGCTTGCTCAGAGCCAACAGAGTGTTGATGCGAACCTCCGCACTTTCGGGGTCCTGGATGGTCTTGCCGAACAGGCTGAACAGATCCTGGAATTTCTCCTCAAAGCTTTCGCCCAAAGTCTCCAGAATGGTGAAGAGGATGTAGATAGCGACTGCCCGCTCCTCTTGGTTACCGGTATCAGCAGCGCGGAGCAAAACGTTGGGAAGATCACCCCACTCTCCATCGTTCAAATCTATCTTAGCCACAGCCGAGATGATACGAGCAATAGAGTGGCGGACGAGAGATGAGTTCTCGCCCATGGTGGAGCGGAGCAGCTGTTCCCGAACCTGAGGCTTCTGGTCGGCTGCCACCTTCAGCCAGTGCTTGGCAACAAGGGAGCGAGCCTCAACGGCGGCCAACTGACGGAGGGCATGGTCATCGTGGGCAGTGGCAATCTGAATGAGGAGAACAAGGGACTGAGGCTGGCTGTAAAACTCCTTCTGCAGGATACCAGTAGCCTCCTTCACATTGCCCTGAGAGGCTGGAGAGAAGCAAGGGTTAGCGAGCCAGAACTTCATTTGCAGATAAGGAGAGACGGTTCGTACGATCGAGAACGATCTGCAATTGCTGCAGGAAACGTTGTTGATCCATAATGGAAAAACAAAAATGTGGTTATCACCAAAACTCTTTCTAGGTTTCTTTCAACCTTCTCGTCCCGAGCCACAAGTTGAGATAGGCGACGGGACTAAAGGACGAGCAGCTTGTCGTAAGACAAAAAGCCTCGCGTGTCGGGGGTATCTCAGAGGAAAAATCAAAAGGAAAGGAAACAATGAACGACACACAAAGGAGAAGATGGTGGGGGAAAGAAAAAAAATAATAACGCGGCAGAAAAAAAAAAGTCAGGGGCCAGTCCGAATTGGGTTTAGCGTGTAGAAAAGCGATTGGGCGCGTTGGGTCTCTATCCCTCAGATTGTGATATCATCGTGCCGCGGGGTAAGGAGTTTCAAATGCAGTCTTTCCTCATCCATAGTACGGCAAAATGGAAGGCCCATATTGGAATTGCGGCAGTATTAACATGCAAAGTATCAGGGTTATTACAATTTCAAGATTGACTGCTTGAAGGGGGGTCTGTGGTTACCGGTACTATCGCAGAAGATACCCGAGACTGAAGAAATATATAATTCTGCAACTGCTCCAAGTTGATCACGACTTTGGCTTCTTAAGCTTCAAGCTGGAAATTCCAAGCATACGAAGAGAATCCGCCGAACATCCCCTTTCTGAGTTTTAATATCATTTCAAGTGAAAGGAATGAATGTAAAAGTGATCAGAATCGTGGTACTGTGGCCACTTGGTGGCAGCCTCTCAAATTGAATGAGAAGTTTCACCTTATCCTTCCATATGTCACTTACAAGTCTCACATTGCAATCGCCAAGGCCATGTGCTGAGCTCAAAAGTTCATTGCTATGTATATTCATTGTGAGCTTACCGTCATCGCCTAGATCCTGTCGGCTACACTGGCAGGGATTTGAGGCCCATGTCCCTTAGCCTAACTCAGATTGCTCCAAGTTGATTTTACCTTCTATGCCCTGCTTCCAAACCAGTGACCTTGTCCTCTCATTTAGACCTCATGACCTAACTCCCGCACTCTTCTTTTTGTCTGGGAGCAAGCGTCGTTCTAAACCCGGAAAAGTCATCGCCGGTTTTGGAAGATCTATATCGCCCTTTCCTCCATGCTGGCGTCAAGTTTAGTACTAGCATATGTCTCGGCTGTAACGCCTGTTTTATCCCTATATATACATATGCCACTATATATAATATCTTTCCTATACCCGGCTTTCTCATCTTAGCTGCTCCCGTTTTTATGAGAACGCTCAGAGTCAGACTCGCTGAGTATTTCAGTCAAAAGTCACACTAAACAACCTCTGATTATTGGGATATTTATCATAGGTATCTATTTCGTACCAGGTCGACGCTCAGCCTATATCTTAAGGAGCGCTTTATCTTATCGTTCTGTTCAACTTCCGACCTACTTTTTGATGGACCTCAATTCAGACTGTGCCCGTCTTTTGTGTTAAGGTGCTTGATCGATTCTCAGCTCTTACCCACTTACAGACTAACATACGTAACTAGGGCACGATGAGTTCGTTAACTAAAAATGGAGGGCCTAACAGGAGGATATCACGGGTTAAACCTGCTTTCTACTATATCGCGTCCGGCCGACCGGCCTTGTCCTTGGCTTCGTTAATGCCATTACTGTTGTGACGACCGAAACCGCCATATCGAGTTCTGCTGGCAGAGAACGGGGATCACGGTGCATGTCCGGTTCAGGAGGGGAAAAGCGGAATGAGACCTGTATTGTATCCTTACCGGGGTCTATCGGAATTTAGCTGTCTAGAGAATACAGACACCCCCTTTTGTGGTCATCTATGGAGTAGATACCCCCACTTTCGCCTCGTACGGTCCTCTTCTACATACCTAGGGGTGGGTCGCATATCCCGCCTGCCCCTATTTCTCCTTTCTGAGATTTCTGTTCACAGCATGTGCACCTAGGTAGGTTGCATCAAGACTTGCTTTAGCCTTTTGAAATTAGGATTTTCAGTGTTATTTTATAGAGATGTATAGGGTCCAGGGGGGTTAACTTAAGCTTCAACTTAGCGGTAATGACACAATAAATAGATAAATCAAGAATACGTCACGTGGCTGAATTCTCACGGCCCAGAATACCTCGCGTCTCGGATTGAATGGGATCCAAGAAAAAGCTGAATAATTCTATACCATGTGATCATAGCCTGAGTGCTCCTCATTGCAGCCCGAAATAATGAAGTTTAGACCTGCTGCCCAAACGTAGGTAAATCAATTTAATCTCGAAGACGACGAACGGCCCGGTCCGCTTTGAGGAACACTTCGATATACTTCCTGTAACGCTTGCATGGTGTACCTCGACCATCGGCAAAATCTCCTTATTTTGCACTCTCGACCAGCGACCAAAGGATACCGTTACCAGTGGATACCTTTCATACAGTTAGGGTGGTGTGCAGGGGGCCCGAGATGATCTCGGCAATAATGGTCATTGCGCTAACACATCTGCCGGTTTTACAGACGTACCTTAATCAGTTCTATTTCCTTCACCGGCTCTTTGCTAAAAATTCGAATCGTTTGGAAAAAGTTTCCCCCATCACTGCTATAAGCACCTCGCCGTGTACGCAGAGGCCTGTATAGCCAATAAAGCAGACTATTGGGTAAGGTCTACGTGGATTGAAGTGTTCACTGTTGGTATACATCTATGGCCCCTTTCCTGCTCTTCCTATGGGTTTTCTGGGTATTAAATTCTGCACGCCTGCATGTGTATTCGGGTAGTTTGTGTTGAACTTGAGACTGATCGGCTCTTGTGTGTCCAAAATTGGACATGGCTCCTGTGGGTCTTTGGTGAATAGTTGGTACTACCTCGTTCGCTATTATGCTCTATACGGCGGACAGACAGATGGAGCCTCAGGAGGAATAAGGTCTGTAAGGTACGGTATTTGCATAGACTATATGTACCTCTGATTGTTCTAAATTCATATGTACCGACTATTTATAGCCACGGTAGACCTTTTCCATAAAAAAAGTTATGAGAAACGATTCGCCAAGAAACAAACGATGGTAATACAGTACTAGCGGTACCCCGTGTTCCGACACAGGCTCTCTCATTTAGGTTGAAGCGGTATTGCAAGTTCGGTGGATATGTGGGCTTTCATTACGCAGGTAGAGTCTGCCATTTGTCTTGCCACGTTAGCGAACTTTCTTAAAACTTCGTATTTGTATGATCGCTATTCAACTTGCGGGGACGACCACCGCGAGGTTGACTGATGTTGTTTACCCGTCTATTAGCTCGGCTAACAGTAGCTAGAACATGGGCATCATCAGGAGCGTGTGCGTCCTTTTCGCTATTGGCGTATACCACGAGGTTATGTCCAAGAGGGGCGTGATGTAACTCTACACAGCCCCATCGAAGTGAGACCTGAGAACATAGAATAGACTAGTGTTTTGTATCGAGGGAAGGACGTCAGCGATAGGCAAAACGCACCAAGGAGGATATAGACAGCTACGCAACATGCCGTCCTCACCTTAGAGAGGAGTTAAATGTTTGATGCGAACTACCGGCGGTCAGAATGGCTGGCCATAAGGACCAAGGCTGTAGTGTCTAGATGCACCAGGGTTTATATTGGCATTGGGTAAACCGCCTTCCTCACTACATAACCTACACATCATGGTACATATGGAGTATGCTTCCAACATCCAAGCACAGTCTTGATCGATATTTTCCCGTAAGGTGCCCCGGATATGCAGCCGTTACTTGAACCCTTGAGCTAGGAGCAAATGGATACACATCGACGAAGATTTGATTGGTTCTTTTCCATCAGGCGTCCTGCACGTATAGCCTTAAGTTAAGCCTTGAGATAAGCCTTGAGCTCACTAAGACCACGGGGATATGCAGGAACGAATGATAGACAAGTTAATGGAAGTTATGGTTGATTTCGTTTCTTCAGGCGCCCTGCGTATGCAGCCATTGCTTGAAGCCTTAAACTAGGCCCAAAATAGTCCCACAGCGACGAAGCTTTTATTGGCTCTTTTCCATCAGGCGTCCTGCATGTGCAGTCTTAAGCTAAAGCCTTGAGCTCAGTAAGACCACGGGGGTACGCAGCGACGAATGATGGATGAGTTGACGGAGACGAGAGTGATTTCCTACTGGATACCTCGAGTTGTATGTAGCAAAATTAGGCGTTCTAATATGGTCGATTGTTGAATTGGCTATCTTAAGAATAGAAACTAGCCCAGATACCTAGGTATAAAAGCCGTCATATCTCTACGCATCAATTGATCAGACATATCTCAAGTGCCTTCTTCTCTACACAACAGTCTTAACTCCCCTTGATCACCACGATGATCGGAAACAGTCCCAAGGTTTTGACTACGGCAGCTCTGCTCATGGGCCTTTTACCTTCTGCTTTGGCATGCCTCGAAATTTCAGGATCGACAAACGTTTATTTCGAAGGCCCAGGCAGCATCACCACCGTCGATAATGGTGTTCAAACTTGCCAAGGCGAAGTAGGTACAGGAGATCAATATGTTGGTATGTTTTGCCTAAATTCGCTGCTTCATCCCCTCTCCTGATACCTGTCAATGGTGGCCTACGTTGGGGAACAGGAAGAACCAGCAACGGCGCTCGTATTCGAGATACTAGAACTATAGGGGGAGAGGAGAAGGGAAAGAGGGAGGAGCTACTGTAGCGGCCTATCTACTCCTACGCAAACCTCCATCCCATCTATGCCCACCTCGTAGTTCGGACGGTCCTTCTTCCAGCATCAGGGCGGTGACAGGAGGCAGAATCGAGTGAGCAGTGACAATACCCAAGTCTTGCAAAAGTATGCTAATTTAAAGAATAGACTGTATCTCCGGTTACTCGCTGAACTACGACTACACGGATAACAGCCTGACTGGGCCTATGCCAATAACCTATTGCAACCCATCGAACTGGTGAGTACTAAAGTATCCTACACGCTAATTGGCGGGCCTCTCCCGATTCCAAGTTTTTCAAAAGGCATAAGATTTGGAAACTAATACAATCGGTATACTAGCTACGGTATCAACGTTCCAATAGACTGCCCTTCGAGCGGAATCAACTACAAGGGTTGCACCTTTGACTATTCAACCTTCTGTTGAAGATATTGATAAATAGCCCCAAGCTGCCCAGTGTGAGATATTATCTTACCCTGTGGACAGCTCCAGAGATTGATCTTCTCTTCAAAGCAGTCCTTCAGTCCTGCCACCACCCACATTTTCACATCTTCTTATGTGTCTATTCGTTCTTTAGATGGCAAATTTTGACTCTATCTTACATCATCATACTTGCTTTGAATGAAGTAGAAAGCTATAGAGGAGGTTGTATACATCGAGAAGCTGACAGACGCAAAGTAAGGAATACCAGTCCTGTAGTTCTATGAATATAACTCTATGACTTGAGTCAGGTCTAAAAGAATTAGCATTCCAAGCCTCCATCGCCCGACCCGCGTGGAAAAATTGACCTCTTGCACTATCTCATTTCGCGATGACCATATTGATACACCATTCCAAGAAGGCTCCAAACCCTCTATCAGGACCATTCTCAAAATAAACACAGATCTACTGGGGGAGTACAAAGTGGCGCTCGGTGCGCTCAAGAGTCAAAAGAGGAACCGAAGACGTGACATAGGAAATTGATGCATAGATTCTGAAGGAATAAGAAAATCTGGATGACTCTCTGGTTCACTTAGGCCTGGAACTTCAATCTTTGATCTTTAAACTGGAACCCAGCATCCATTGTAGCAGGAGTAACCTTTGGGATATTGGACTATGAAGTGCTAGTAAATAGACCTCTCTCTGATGTTCAGCTTGAGGCGGCTACCGGGTGTCAGCAAGGTTCAATTATAGGCGGGTGATCGTAGCTAGATAGATCGGGTTGTTATAAAGTGCTTCTCTGAAGATGGAATCGGCAACAAGACAAAACACAGAAGTCCCAGCTTTTCATTCTGTGCATACACGTTTTGGACTCGGAAGGCATATAGGTACCTCTGACCATACAGTAAATACCGTTGTCAAGAAGCGTATTCAGAGTCTATCGAAGAATAGGGGTCGCTACACCGAACACGTGCCAGCACCTACACTTAAAATTCAGGGTTAGGCTCCAAGTCGGTTCAAATTGATGATACTTCGTAGATCTTGGTTCAGCACTACCAGGTTAGACACCATAGGTGGGCCTATAGAAACACGGATCACAGCAGCTCTCCACACCGAGTGGACCGTGGTCGGCACGCGTCCACGCGCAGCGCGCCAACGTCCGCGATTTTACGCGTCAAAAAAGGAAGCATTACGATAAATCACATTGGCGCGAATCCATGGCGTTTAATTTCTCCTTTAGTGGGGCGCAATTCTAGCAATACAAGTACGGGAAGCCTGCCTCTTTCCCCAGGATTTTCTGACCCTAAAATGCCTTCCGTCAAAACCGCCCAGTGGCCATTACCCCGTACTTTTAGTTTCTCGACGCCCACCACTTGAGCACGAGGTTGCCCATATTGCAATGGACTTCTTGCTGGCGCGCCCGGGTTTCCAGGACCCTGATACCGGGGAAATGGTCTACGTCGACTCCGCTTGCGAAATCTTTCACAAACTCCTCGGATTCCCAGAACAACATGAAACAATCCGCGGATCCCCAAATAAGGTCAGCTAAGTCTCTCGAGCCACCCTCTAGAGGCTGCAGCTGACCTGTGCTTCAGTCTGGAAATGTTCCTTGCACACACGTGTATGGGCTGGGATACCCATACCGGAGGACATGGCACTATGACAACAAGTAGGAAGTGTAATATACTAAGCAGTGGTCCTCCGCTAATCAAGACCTAGAAACGGAACCAAGCTTTTCTTCTGGAACGAAGCTGGCCCCGTAACATATATCTATTCTAACGGCAAGCCCATGTTCCAAAACCCAGCTCCGAGTCTCGGGCGGCCGGTCTTCGATGCAAATGTGACGATCCCCATGGACGAGAAAATTGGCCTACCCAAGCATGCAAATCAACAGGGGATAGACTTTACGAATGTTGAATCGAAATGGTCCATAGCTTCTGCCATGGGTGGCATTCACGAGGTCGTGGCTGATTCCATTGCCCACTTCTACCCCCCGGATTGGGGCTCGCAGCCCATCAACACTGTGCTGAAGATACGCATGCCGTCGAGATCAGGCACAATTTTCACCTTTGAGGATGGCATGGTCTCTCGATATCCTAGAGATACGCCGATCCCACCCAAGCTGAATATCTTATCTACCGGCCAAGTCTACATGGGGGAGAGTGAGATGGATAGTAAGTTCTTTCTATTCCAGCCGAAACTGACCGGTAATGGGGGCCATGCTATTCGGCCAAGACTGACAACCGCCCGACGCCAGTGTCAACAAAGAAGTCTATTGTAGCCGCAAAAGAGAAAGAGCTCCGCAATGAGCGGACAAGAGATCTGAGAAGAGCCAGGAATCCGTCAATCAGAAGCCAGAAAGCTATAGCAAAGCAGCAACGTCGGGGAAGAAAGAGTCAAGCGGAGAGTAGCGCGAAAAGCAGCGCGAAAAGCGAGGCGAGCTGCTGCGCACGAGCGGCAAGGCTCTGGCCGCAAAGGACGCCAGAAACCCATCGGTCCAAGAACAGATGAAACTGAAGTGTCACCACAGACCTTACAGCAGATGCAACAAGAGTCGTCGAAAAAGGAGAGAAACAAGGCGAGGAACCGAAAGCGAAGATTATTGAGACGGAAAAACAAGCTGTCAAGGTGGGTTTGCAAGTAGCATCCTTTCGGGTGGCTTTTAGGATCGGCATATCGATTTACTGACACTCATTAGATCGGCTGCACTTCCTGTTCCGCACAATGAAGCAGGCAAATGAATATCATGAACGGGCTATGGGGATATTCTTAGATCAGTCATCTCTGTCTTGTTTATAGGTTTATTATACCCACTGCTTTAGCGAGAAGAAAATCCCTTCCTTGACGGCGCTTTTGGTTACGATCAAATTTATAAGACTGTGTCCGCTCAGTTTGAATATTCGTTGATCGGCAAGGAGAACAGCTACTTGGGCAACAGCTATTTGGGCTTATGCTCATGCGGACGTGATTTAATGTTGTCTGTTGGATGCGGTGTAATGGTTATTGCATTCGCCTGGACTATTTTCATCCAAGGCGTCAAACTCAAGAAGTTCCCTTCAGTGGGGATTGTTTTTTTAGACGTATATCCCATGTTTTTGGTCCGCTTTTGACACTATCATCAATGTCTACCAAGTTAATTAGCTTCCTCTTTCCAAGATTGCCTATCTAGAAGATTACCCGTGCTTTACCAAAAGAATTTAACCTGATCAGTTATACATAATGCGATATCCCTATAATCAAGGAAATCCAATATTGTTCCAACAAGCTTAAACCTTAAAGGACCTATCCCATAGTCGTCTCCCATTTCTTCTCGATCATGACATCAATCCAATACGTGTCTGTCTCCCCCGCGTCCATCCGTCGCCACACTTCTTTCACCAGACGTATACAAACATTGATCGGCTTTGGTGGCAACACGTGGAGGAAAGATGATAGACGACCAAGGATGAATTTGCGAGTTTGTGAAACTTCGATAGCCTCCATTGAAATGCCAGGGAGTTCTGTACTAGATCTGGAGCTTTCCTCTGCTGAACTCTTAGTGTTCCCTTGGAATGACCGACCTGTTGGCTGGGGAACTTGCAAGTCGGGGGGGCCGAGTGGCTTGAGGGTCGTCATTCCCAGCGCTTTGATTATTATGCGGTAAACGCGGCAAACGTAGCTCGCTGCATGCAGCAACCAAGAGAATTGGCTGCAAACAACGGGTACGTGATTCAAATGGAATTGTCTTGAGACGAGATATGATCGTTATTGCGAAATCAGTGAGCCATGCATCGTACAGAGTATCCGCGGAGGTTTCAGATGCATTGAAAGAGTTAATATTATTGTCGGGCGGCATGGACGGGAAAATGTTGATATGAGGAGATGAGATAGACTGGGAGCCATTACGAGGCGTCTCATGCCCTGCATCGGAGAATCCCCCAGAGAGATTCATGCTGTCTAAGTCAACTGGAAAGAATGGGTCACTGCTATTAGAGGCTCCGGCTGGATCGCGGAGCCGATTGCGTAGTAAATCTGGGAAAACGCGGTACAGCTGCATCAAGCCGGTGCAGCGATAGACCTCTGCCATAGTCAGAAGATGCCACACCGGCGTCTCGTCATCGCCAGGGCTAACAATTTCAGCCTCCGTTGGATGGGCAAGATTGAGTAAGCGCTCTTCCAGTTCCTGTGCTTTTTCAATGGCAGCCTGTGCTAGCTTGAGATCACTCTGTGAGGTGAAATTTCGAGATCGTATGCGTTTGCGCTCTCTCCGAACGAGTCGTCCAACTTCGTGGACTGTGAATTGAGTGTCTCTTGCGATACCCGTCCATGGGTGCGGCACCCGTTGTAAGAGAAACGATCCCTCGGTGGACGAGTGCCGGAAATCTTCTGAGAACATCATCGAGTCGCTGTCCGCCACAAAGGACAGGAGCATCTCCCAGTATATGAGAGCTTCCTCGAAAAATCGATAATTGTTGCTGCCGCTCTGTGTAAGACCATGACCGGAAGAGCTTGACTTGGACCCTATCGATCGGACCTCTTTCCGCAGGATGTTGAAGAAAGAAATGCCAAGGTCTTTTGGGTCATGCCAGCTGGCCGTCTGGCCGAGCATTAACAATGCTAGGAGAGACTTGTCGTCCATTACCGCTTCTCGGGTAATAATTTCGACAGCCTCATCGCGCATCTTTCGCCCAATAGGGCCGAACTGCGGAAAATCATTCACAAGAGTTGCAGCTGCCATGCTTTGCATTGTTCGACACATGGCCAGTGACGAGCCCCAGAGCCGGGAAACCGTTGTGCGAAAAGGGTTCATCTGGCTATCATAGCTGGAGAACAATGCGGCTACCTCCTTGAAATAGTATTCGATCAAAGTCCATGATGGGTTGTTGAGTGGGCGGGATATTGACATGAAGTCGCGCTGGTGAGGCTGTCGAGCCATTGGCGGATAGCTGCGCACAATTGTGGACGGCGCGAAGTCCGGATATACGCTATTAGGATGGTCTTCATGCGTATAAGGGGGCTCTATTAGCGATAGAATACTTGCCAGCTCTGCTGCTGTATCCCCCGAGGATGTTAAATCGTAAGCCGGATCCCGTGGCTGGGTTCTAGGCGAGAGAGGACAAAGATCGGGCAATTCAGGAAGCGATCGGCTGTCTGGTAGTCCCCATAGGTTGTCACAGATATTGCCATCGAGATCTTCAAACCCAGACTGAGCTTTATCATGGTGAGATTCAGGTTGACCATGATTGAAGTCAGCAGGGGTTTCCGAAGCCGATAGAGCCTCGTCCAGCAGCGGCGAGGGGTGTGGCTTTGCGACAGAGGGCCGAGGACTCGCTATTTGGGCGGTTGGTGATGCCACTGGGCTTCGTTCCTCATATTTTGTTACCCAGCGAAGGGATTGAGCATATCCTGGGCATCGGACCCCCAAGCGAGTGCATCGATTGCAATTCGGCTTTTCCTCGCCACATTTGACCTGTTCAGACAGTTTAGCACGGGCACAACTTGCAACAATCGTCCGGGCACACCGACCCTCTTGCTCTTGCATCTAGCGCATCCGTTCCGGGACTTTTTCACTCGTCTCATGCTTGAATTGCTGTGCAAGATAGTAGTGCGAGAATTGCCAGTGCAAGACGGTAGTAGTATTGCGGGGAAACTCTATCTTCGTTGCGATAACGGGATTCTTTTACCCGATTGGGATGACCAGCGGATTATACGCTGGCAGATAACCCCATAAGACTGTCACCTCATATGAATATTCTCCTCCGCAGTTCAAGTAAGCAGAAGTCTCTAATCATACGACATCTTGAAGTCGGGTTGCAGCTTTTGCATTCTGTGTTTCGTACTACCAATACATTGGTGGACCTCCCTCCCGATATCGTGCCTGATATAACTATCCGCGACTGGACGACGGTTGTGGAGCCGAATATAGCTCTATTTGACCTCCTCAGAACACAAAACCTGGTGAACAAGTCGAAAATGATGAAGTGATGGACCAAGAAGACAAATCGCTATAGAGATTTCCCGACCATAACGAGGTGGAGTGTATAGGTGCGGTGCGTCTTGAGCCTCTGGAGTAGCGAGTCATACGAGAAGACTTATCTTGGAGGCAGCGTCGACCTAAAATAGCACGGGCACACCATGCCATTGATAACAGCGTTGATCCCCAAATATCAGCAGTATCGAAGAAACCGCTCACGCTACCCTAGCTCGGCCCTTCGTGAAAATCAGCACTTTCAATGTTTCAACACCCATTACCAAAGCTTCTGGCGTAGTTAAGCCCTACATTGCATGCTTCTTCCGGGGGCCAGTTTTCTAGCCATGTCTTATTAACAACAAAAGAACGCTATAGGAAAGGCCCAATTCCACTCTAATGCTCAGGCCAAACCCCGTCGACTCGGAAGCGGAATGAGAGGGTGGAACACCAGCGCCCCCGCAATCTAACGGGATCGCCGCGGAGGGCGCTTATTATTCTGGGGGTCCTCATCCTAGGTAGATCATACCACCAGCGTGGAGCCTACAAGTATGAGTTCTCCAAGATTGACTATAATCGGCGTCAAAGGCCGACAAATTACCTTACTATTTTCGCTCAGGCAGGCCCCTGTCAATTGCTAATAACTTGCAGTGCCGACACGCTTGTTTATCCACAATTAGTTTATGCCATCATGCACAGGGCAGACCTGGGCTGTCGAGAATCCCTCGATGGAGCTCAGAACGGTCTCGGCTGCTGGGTCCAGGATATCGACAAAGTCGTTCAATCGGCAAAGAAGGGCTTCGAAGCATGGAAGGCAGTTGCAGAGCTGGAAAAGGGAAGGGTTATCCGGAAACTGGATAATTTGATCGAACGGGATGTGCAAGACCTGACATCCATTGGGCAATGATGAGCCCCGATGTCCCCTTTGGAGTTATCAAGGAAAGTGGATTTGGCCGAGGTATGGGCAAGGAAGCGCTGGAAGGATGGACGAGCATGAAGGCCATCCAGAACAATATTTTTTCCCATCTATGACTGGATCGCTCGTTATGCCCATTGAAACTATATTAATGCATACCACATAGTTCAAGACACGGAGAGCCAATTCTACCCCAACTATGGAGTAGATTCGTCTTAAGTTCTCCCGTTCTAGGCAACACCAAGTCTTTGGATCCGCTCCGCAATGACGTAGACCAATATAAGGAGGCGACCATCGTTTCTCCTCTACCATTTATACACAATACACCATGTTCGAACGAGTCGGCCAAAAGATTCTCAGTCACCTGGAAGGCAACTCGCGCCATGGTGCTCCGGGCGCGCAGTTGTCCGGACGCGGATCTGTGAACAGCGACGAGCGCCCCTTGTCTTCAGCGCCCAACCGCGGCACCTACCCGCGCCTTGCACGACTCTCTGATGGCTCGATCCTGTCCTCCTTCACGCGGTTCCCCGATGGCAAACACGCGCTCTGTGTCGCACGCAGCGTAGACGGCGGCCGTACATTTGAGGACTACTCCGAGGTCACGCGAGCCGCGGGGGATGTGGACAACATGTTTCTCCTTGAAGCTGCCCCCGGGGTAGTCCTGGCCGCATTCCGCAACCACGACACTGGGCCCAACGGCCCGACGCACTTCCGCATTACTGTCTGCAGGTCTATGGACGGCGGGCGGACGTGGGGATTCGCGGCGCAGGCCTTCGAGAAGGGCGCTCCATTCGGAATCTGGGAGCCTTTCATGCGTCTCGGTCGTGGCGGAGAGGTCCAGCTAACCTTCTCGCAGGAGTTCGCGCATAACAATCAGTGTACGATGCTCGTTGTCTCGCACGACCATGGAAGCTCGTGGTCTAAGCCGGTCTGTCTACATGGCGATAATGACCCGCTGCGCGATGGCATGAACGGCATTGCTAGGAGCTTTGACAATGGCCGCGAAGTGCTTGTCATGGTGTTTGAGACTACTCGATACGGCCCGTTCAACATCGAAGCTCTGCTCTCGTATGACGATGGGCACACATGGCATAATCGCCAAGAGGTTTTCCGGCCAAAGCCCGCACGTAACGCGGGATCGCCGCAGATCACCTCTTTTGCAGATGGTTCGGTCGCAGTGGCTTTTATGACCGATGAAGATTCCTCACAGGTTGAGTGGGTGAAGCATGCCGCGATCAAAGTTATTTTTGGATCGCCGCCTCAGAATGGGCGTATTAAATGGAGCTTGCCTATTACTGTATCCCCAGCGTCAAGCTTCTGGCCTGGTATTCTGGCGATTGACCATCACACTGCGCTCGTCACTTACGACCGTGGAGGCCCACTCGCCAAGAGTGTCACTTGGAATCCTCAGTAGGAATACAGCACACATGAATGGGCTTTTTAGCTGCTTGATACGAACCAAAAATAGGCAATAAATCAAGATCTCGTTCTTTTGAATACATTTGAACATCAAGGTTGTGGATCCAGCCACTGGCAGACGATTAGTAGTTCGCTATTATTCATCGAGAGATCATCACTATTTCCGAAATTCAAGTTCGAGTTCAAGTATAGTACAGGCTATCTGATGAAGTCATCCAGGTATCACATGTCACGGTATGACTTGGACGATAAAATGTCCCTTGAGCGATGAGCAGCCTTCAATCACTATCAGCAACATCTGTCTATGCTGCATGCTAACTCAAGGTTCTCCAGACCTCGGTTCGATCGTGACTGGATCCCACGCTATGACGAGTTGACAGATCGGTCTCTGTCTTTTACGTTTTCGGCAGTTGAAGCGACTGAAGTGTGGGGGTACACGATATCCTGCAGAGACGCGGAGTTTCTCCGATCTGGGTCGACGAGCTCGGGGTATCGCTTGCCCGAGGGCGCTGCCTCTGCTGAAGACCCGCGGTCCCCCGCATTTTTCTCCGTTCTCGATTGTTCCTTGTCCATTCAGTTTTGTAAGTTTTTTTCCCCAGCAACATGGGTTCAGTAAAAGAGTTTCCCCGCATCAAGGAGATCCGCACATTCATCATTGACGGCGTCGGCTCTGGCGGCGACTACCACAACGTAGGAATCATGCAAACTTGAAGAGCTCGAGATATGGTGTATACTAACCCCGAAATCAGGTCGAAGGGGGGCATTGGTTGATTGACAGCAACATTTCTACTCCCATGACGAGATGGGCTCAGTACCGCGGCTCGCGTACCTCCTGGGGTATCAACGTGCTTGGATCTTTCTGTGTAGAGATTGAGGCTACAGACGGCAGCAAGGGATTCGCGACTGGCTTCGGTGGCCCTCCAGCTTGCTGGTTAGTGCACCAGCATTTCGAGCGTTTCCTCGTTGGCGAAGGTATGCAATCTGCCAATTATTGGATTGGGGGTAAGTCTTATGATTAATCTGCCTCCTAGATCCTCGCGACACCAACAACCTCTTTGAGAAGATGTACCGAGGATCCATGTTCTATGGACGCAAAGGCCTTCCGGTGGCGGCAATCTCTGTGGTAGACCTGGCCATCTGGGATCTCCTGGGAAAGATTCGGAACGAGCCAGTGTATAAGATGATCGGTGGCGCGACTCGTGACCGCTTGAACTTCTATTGCACAGGACCTCAACCTGCTACTGCTAAGGCTGCCGGCTTTATTGGGGCCAAAGTTGCCCTTCCCCACGGCCCTGACGAGGGTACCGAAGGTCTTCTGAAGAACGTCGAGTATCTCCGTCAACAGCGCGCCAGCGTGGGGCCCGACTTTCCTCTTCGTGTCGATTGCTATATGTCCCTGACCGTCCCCTATACCATCCAACTGGTGAAGCGCTGCGAGGCTATTGGACTAGACATCGATTGGTGGGAGGAGTGTCTCACTCCGGATGACTTCGATGGCCATGCGCTGTTAAAGCAAGCTCACCCCACAGTGAAGTTTACCACCGGCGAGCACGAGTTCTCCCGCTACGGATTCCGCAAGCTGGTCGAGGGCCGCAATTTGGATATTATCCAACCCGATGTCATGTGGCTAGGTGGCTTGACCGAGCTATTGAAGGTCTCGGCGCTTGCAGCTGCCTACGATATCCCCGTTGTTCCGCACGCCTCCGGACCCTATTCATACCACTTCGTCGTCTCGCAGTCCAACAGTCCCTTCCAAGAATACCTGGCAAACTCACCAGACGGCAAGTCAGTGGAGCCGGTGTTTGGAAACCTTTTCTTGAACGAGCCTATTCCTACCCATGGATACTTGGATGTTTCAGTCCTTGACAAGCCTGGTTTTGGTCTCGAGCTCAATCCTTCAGCTCCTTTGATCCCTGCATCTGCGCTACTGACTCCCGCACCACAAAGATCATTACGTGCCCCCGATGATGGGATGCCTGCCCAGTAGACGTTCTCATTGAAAGACGTTAGATGATGGATTTGTATGCTCAACTTTCTACGTATAGTTGACTACAAGATGGTTTACGACCTTCATATGCATTGCTTGCATTTTAATACTACATTAGACGCTTTCCGGAAATCCAAATCTGTATTACTGAGGGAAGAAGCGCTTTGTGCGGTCATTTCCCAATTAGAATCGTAGTTCGTCTTCTTGGTGGAGCTTCTGGACCCGGGTGTGTCGGGGGGGTTTTCCTTGACGCGCCTAGAAGCAGGTCAATCAGATCGGCTTCCCACTCGGAGCTCAACTTATGAGATAATTTGACATTAATCACAGAATAATGCCCCTCCGCCGAACTCACAACCTCATCTTCGGATTGCAGTCAGCCTTGAAACGGCGACGTCCTCATATCTAACTGTGCCGCCCAACAGAAAGCCCTACCTAATTTCCCAATGAAGGTACCAATCGTGGATTCACATGTTCACCTCGTCCCCGCCATACATTCTCCCACGCTGGCCTCGTACGATGGCCCTAACGGGCGGCCCGGGTATCCTGGAACGGTATATGGGGAAGGTCAGAGCACGGGCGAAAACCGAACATGTATGGCGGAAGATACGTGGGGTCAGGTATCTTGTTCAAGATAAACCAGCGGGAGTAATGCTGCAACCGCCATTTCTGCAAGGGGTGCGATGGATCGGGAAGCAGGGTTATACCTTTGATTTGGGAGTCGATGCGAGAAAAGGTGGTTTGCATCAGCTGCACGAAGCAGTGGAGATGATGCGGCAGGTATACGACGGGCTGGATGACCCGACGCATGCTGTTGCGAATGGCATTAGTAGCGTTGCCCTTGAAACCCCACGCGTGTGTTCTTGTTACTGATTTGACTTTCTAGACCATATGTGCAAACCAAATCTCCACTTGCCAGCAGAAGCCGCGCTTACCCATCCAGAATTTCTGGGTATATTTGAATTAATGTTACCTTTATTACCTAAAGCTTCTTTGAATTATACATATATTCTTTATGGAAGGATTTGGTTACTCAAATGGCTCGCGCGAGTGAGAAGACCTATATGAAGCTATCCGGGCTTTTCTCGGAGCTGCCGCCACTGTCTCCAGACGTTGATCTCGACATCCCTGCATTGATAGCCCGCCTTAGTCCATGGACTAATGTTATCTTCGATGTGTTCGGACCTGACCGGATAATGTTTGGGTCCGATTGGCCTGTTTGCAATATTGGAGGGGGAGGAAACACTGTGGCCTGGGGTCGCTGGCAAGCTGTCGTAGAAGCTCTGTTGGCCAGGAGAGGATTATCGGAGGAGCAAAGGCAAGCAGTCTGGGGCCAAACAGCAGTAAGAGCCTATGGTATTGAGTTTGAGAATGAACGAGTTCCATTGAAATGCGATGCCATTACTGCGGAATGTTGATCTACTGCAAATTTACGAAAAGTCCTCCATCCACCAAGATCTGAGCACCGGTCTATTTGAAGAATTAGGAGAATATTGGGTAGATTTGCAGGTCCCAACTTACTACATAGTTGCTCAGCTCTTCGCAAGCCAAGAATACTGCCGGGCCGGCAAGATCAGGCGGCTGGCCCAGTCTGCCAAGGGGAATTCGCCCCTCCATATATTCTCGCTTGACAGGATCAGACATATCGGCATCGTTCAACTGGGTACGAATAGTTCCCGGCAGGAGGGCGTTGCACCGAATGCCATACTTACCCAGTGCAACAGCGCATGACTGCATGAGGCTAAGGACACCCGCCTTGGTCGGGGTATAATGGACCTGCTCTCCGCCACCGACAAGGGCAGAGATCGAACTAATTCCGATAATTGATCCCCCAGGAGGTGACTGTGTGAGCGCCATCTGGCGAGCAGCAGCTTGAGTCGCGAAAAAGGCGCCAGAGAGGTTAGTAGAGACCGTGTGGTTGAATAGGGAGGGCTCAAGTCTATAAATTTGTTAGGACCCGCCATACAATTGCGTAAAGTTGATATTACTCGAGAAAATCAGCAAACTGGCAGACACCAGCATTGCTCACAAAGACATCCAGCCGTCCGAAGGTCTCCACTACCTTCGCGACAAAATTCACGCCGGTTTCGGGCTGTGAGATATTCCCAGCCACAGTGATAAAACGGCTGGTCTCTGCACCAGCTTCAATCTCGTTCACATCTTTGCGGAGCGATGCGAGCAGTTCATCCTCTTTTGGCCCGCCCAGGTGACTGACGGCAACTTTAGCTCCGTGGTGGATGTACGCCAGTGCGATTGCCTTTAAGGGTTCTTTAGCTTGTGCCTCTTACTTCCAATGACTGGTGGGAAATTGCGAACCCGTCCAATGCCGGTCAAACCTCCGGTGACAGCGGCGACCTTGCCGACAAGTAGTTGTGGAAGAGGCATTGCGATTTTATTCTGTGGAAGAATGAAAAGTCACTTCGAGCATGCCTTTTTGCATGTTGGCATCCCCGCCAATAAGATATATCCCGATTCGCGATGATATAAGACCGAGCGTGGGGTTGGTTTCCCCACACTTGAGGGGTTCAACAGTCCGTGCCGACTTGTCGCATGGCCTTTAGCCGTCTATTTCAGGCCGATGGCCTCTTGAAGTGAAACACCGCTATGTTGAGTCGTGTAGATTGGCTCAATAAGCCGCTATCCATATGCTGGCAAAATAGATTATCCGGACGTCGGATGCATCAGAGACTGCAATAGATTGATCGGATGGACGAGTTCTCCCATTTCCATGTTTCTTGGCTCGAATCAGACGAATATCTCCATGTGCCATTATACGTCTCTCTGAAATTCCTGCAATACCTTCTGTGATTTTGCAATTACTTATCTAGAAAAGGGAATTTCGTAAGAAGGGATATCGGTGGACATTCGATGATCAATTCTCATATGCGCTGAATAGTATGTTCGCTTCCATTGACATAGATCAGAAAGCTTTCCAGATTTTTTATTGCTTGTCTAATCCGTTGATTCCATCTTTATATGGCCGTAGGTCGTACTCATCCGGGTACGTCTGCAAGATGCGTTTCAGCTCTTGCATTTGTTCCTGTGCTTCCTCCGTAATATCTTCATAGACATCTGTGAAAGCCTCTCGGATGGGGGGGTTTCTTCTCCCGCTCGGCTTCCGAAAACTCCTTCAGCACAGCCTGGCGTAGTTGATCACGAGTCTCCTTCTCCATATCTTCATTCCAAAGTCCCTTGTTTTCCAGCCACTTGCGCAGCCGGATGATGGGGTTGTCCCGCCGCTTCCAGTCTTCAACTTCTACACGAGCACGGTAGGCAAAGCTGTCATCACTAGTACTGTGGTGAGACACTCGGTAGCTCATAGCCTCAACCAGAACGGGTCGCCCGCCATCGCTCAGTGCACGGCGGCGGGCTTCTTTCATTCCTTCGTAAACAGCGAACACATCGTTGCCGTCGACTCGGATCGTGTCTATGCCGTATCCCACTCCACGACTCGCAATCCCGTCACCTCGGTACTGCTCTAAAGTGGGTGTAGAAATTGCGTATCCGTTGTTGCGACAAACAAACACCACCGGACACGATCGTGTCGCTGCAATGTTCAGTGCCGCGTGGAAGTCGCCTTCACTTGCGGCGCCTTCGCCAAAGTAGCAGGCTACTACTCGAGGTGACTGGTTGGGGTTTTGAAGGTCCTGGATTTTTAATGCATAAGCTGCACCGGCAGCTTGGGGGATCTGGGTTGCTAGCGGAGACGAGATTGCGTGCTGTTTTACCGTGTACTTAGAACTTGTTGATCGCGATTTAGTGCTAGCGGGGACTTACTGTTCGGGGGTAGCTTTGCGCGTAGTGAACAGGCATGTTTCTTCCCTGCCATTATCGTTCGCGTTTGCGAATAATTGGCTCATGAAATTCTTCAAGGTAAAGCCTCGTTGTTGGAAGACGCCGGTTTCTCGGTACTGCACAAAAACAACATCGTCTGGCGTGAGAGCTGCAGCTGAAGCGACTGCGATTCCTTCTTCGCCCGCGGAGACCTAGATGGGAAGGTCATTAATCCCACGAGTCTATAATATATCTCGAGGCGGTCACCTACCATGTAGAAACTCAATCGTCCCTGTCTCTGAGCCTCAAACATAACGACATCCATGATACTCACTACAAATAATCAGCACTGCAGCCTTGGTCAGTTATCGGAGAGGACCAACCGGTGAGCATGTTCTTATACCAGGTCAATACTTCCTCGTCTGGTACATCGGGCGGTCCCCGCGTCTTATCTACTATCTCGCCATCGGAGTCGAGTACTCTGTATGTTGGGATCGCAGGGAGGTCGGATGCTTTCAAAAATTTCATATCACTCGTAAACTTGCTGTTGACTGCACCCGGGAAATGCACCCTGTCTCGCCATTATTGTGGATTCTCTTGGATTCGCGCATCGAAGCACCTACCGGTCCGACCCCGGCCGCTGGGAGATTGAGCTTCCCCATCTTCGCGCTGCGATCGCTCGTCCTGCATTGAGCATAGGAGAGGACCTAGTAGCTAGCCATGAGCTACTAACTAGCTGTCGTGAAACCATTGTGTGTGAATGGTAAATCTGAGCCAAATGAGGAGAAGTAATAAGAGGCTTGGGGAAGAGCTCGGTTGCCCGCGGGGCTGTGATGTGAACGCCGACGCCAGCCGAGCCCTGCCGCTCGCGGGGAAAGCATCAGGTGACCCTTATCTACTGCGTACTTTGCGCTCACTGGTTTTTGTAGATCCGAGTTGTTGTTATCTATATGCTTTCTGTCCTCTTTCCTGTCTGGCTATTGTGGGTTATGTATCGATTGCCATAGTAATAGTGGTCATGAACAGGATATCATACATTGGCCCCGACGCTATCTTATCGAAACAACTGATGCAAATAACATATGCAACACAACGAAATGGTATGAATGAAGAGCGACACCGCATTAAACTAATAGGAGCATGATTTGAATGATCTAGAATCGTATTTCTACACCTCAAATCCACTATTAACACACAAGACGCTCTTTGCGCTCCTTGTCCAGATTCCGCACATGTACGTGGGTATAGAAGCGAACAAAGCTAGTCAAAGAATGCGTTGGTTGATATAGAATGTCCCGGTTTTCCTGCCATGAGGGATGCAGCCCCAGAGGAGCCTGCATGGAACTTGCAGTCCCCAAATCCAGACCCGCTGATCCGGGGGCGTCTTCCCGCAAAAGTGGTAGCAAACCGAAACCGACAGTGCTCCCCAATTCTAGTTCTCGTTAGGGCCTTTCTCTGCACAACAAATGGGCAGCTTGCGGGGTCTCAGACGGGTTAGTGTGGTTTTAAGTCCCAAGTAAAGACATCTAGTTCCATTCTGCACGTACAGACCCAATCTGCCGCCTGCAGTCATTCCATCTGCAAGATAAACTTGAGCCAAATTCGTGGAGGTCTAGCAGAGCTGTAGATCGAGAGTCTTATTATTCTAGACCCCAACCCATCTTGAAGGCCGAGACTGAAGACAGCCGCAAAGCGAGGTTCGAATGGACCAGACTTCCACGATGCGACGAGATGATGCTCTGGACTTTTTCGATATTCTCCGACCGAGGTTGCTCATAGTCATTGCATGATCATGAGTCAATAAGCTTGCGCAAGAGAAGACTGTGTTCATCAGATATTCACTTTGGTCGAGCGCTCTGTCTAGCCGTAGACCTCGGACCGTTTTCAATGTCGCACATTTCGAATTGGAATTCGCCTAGATCCTGCTGATCAGGCATTTGCTCATATGTACCCGCAGGAATGTCATTCAAGGAGCCCGTCTTTCCACTGTAAGCCGATTTCTTGGAACTTAGGCCTGGAATGTGGATTTTCCACCCTTTGTTCTGAGAGTCGGATGTATACTCGCGTTCTAAGGAGCGCATTCTCGCGCGCGCGGGTTGTAGAAGAGGCGCATATGTTGGAAGACAGGTGCATAGAAAGGCCAATCCCAACTGAAGTGACATCAAAATCATTCCTGCGGGGAGCGCGGGGTAGTGGGACCACGCTGGTCGCCAACTATAGCCCACCTTGACCATGCTCGCAATGCAGACACTACCCGGATTAGTACTTGTACGACATGGGAGCCAGAGGCTATGAACTCACAGTCCCCCAATGAGGAATATGCCGCTTAACGACCACTTCTTTTCCCGTGTCAGATTCAGCCGACTGATCATCAGCACTGGTAAGAAGAGGATGACCACGTCGAGAAAGAAATTCGACAATTCAGCCCCGAGCCAGATCTTGGAACTTGACATGCAGTAGTCAAGCGATGCAAAGGCGTCCCAGTACATATGAACCGGCGAGCATTGGAAGATCGCAACGAACAGTATTATTATGAACCAAGTCGTACATGCGCCGGCTGTTGCAAAATTGAGAAGCCGGAAGAGCCGCGAGACGGAGAACAGCTGATGATATAGCGCAAGAATCGAGTACTTGAGGAATGTGAGAGTGATGATATAGAAGACTTCGATCTTGAGGAGATTCTGAAGAAGAAGAAGCATGTTAGCGAAGTTAGAAGTGATCAGTATTTCTTAGTTCGATACCTTATAGAAAAATCTTGTCCAATCCTCACCACCGGGCTGTTTCATCATCCATGGAATGTTGAGCGAACCTGGACCCGGGCCAGCAACGATGTCTATCCAGGATTAGCATGCATCGCATGGGTATCTTCATGGTGCGCTCCTACAGCTAATGAAGACGGCGACATAGACACAGAAAGTCGCCAAGGCTCCAAAAACAAGCCAATCCGCGGCAATGAGTGGCATCCGAACAGACAGCTTCACTGCAAATCTAAATCCAACCGAAATGACAGCTAAAATCAGCATCGCTATTGCCATTCCAAGATTCTCCCTCCCCGAGGTAGCGAGTTCCTTCATCTTGATGTCCACAACATATGCAGAGACAGATAGAAAGGTGAAATGATGAGTTGAACAGAGCGACGGCCGTGGAGTGTTGCACTGGGTGGCGGATTTGGCAGTGAAGCTCAGCAGATCATTCCTATAACTATTCTAGTCCTTCGTAAGATTGCCAAATAAGGATATTCTGCAGCACTTGAAGTTGGCAGCGGGACCCACTCTTTGGCTCATCCGGCCCCTTCTCAGGCGTGCAGCCCCATTGTATCCGACGGCGTGCCAACTCCTCCCGAAGCTCTATTCTGTGAAGACTAGCTAGATCACACCACGCACGAGTCAAAAGCACCTTTTTAATGACAGATTAGCTTATAATTAGCGTCATGGCGACAACACGTTCATAGTATGATCTTTCTGGGGCTAATGCTCTATCCTACCTATATCATTGCCATTCCTTGTGGCTTAAGGGGCCAAGACTGACAGGCAACCCATGATGAAGAGGTAACCGCCGGATTTGTTTCCAGCACACCAAAGCAAAGCAACTTATAGAATATCAAGCGGAATCCAGAAACCCACTGTTCACACATTGTTCCTGAGCTATATCCTTCTTGGTGATGGTTTAATGATCAACGCAGAGGCTTCTTTGCACGCCAAGATTCTGTAGTAGATTCCGTCGTAGGGAGAAGAGCCAATTTTGCACGTAATCATCTTTATAGAAGGCTTCGTTAAAACAGGCCCTCAAACGCAATTTGCCACCCCACGTGTAGCAGTAGTGGGCAATAGAAGAGTAGCTATTGGACACGCAATAAGACACATCTTGGATTGTGACGGGGCCGTAAAACCGGTTTAGGAAGGCGCCTTCGATAATCCCGATGCTTGACAGCGCTGGCTCAGGCTCATCAGCCCTGCCCCAGGCTTGTGAGATGTTCTCTCCTACGTGCTCCATCGTTAGCTGGTAAGCAGCAATCATATTTGTCTCAGTGGGGTCCCAGGAAGATCGATAGAAAGGTTGTATTTTCTCCGTGAGTTCTCGCCAGTGCGCGTGCGCATCAACATTGAAAGGCAACGCTGCTATGAACAGCGACGGTAAATCAGAGGGTTTTCGGATAGAGGAAAAGTGCTTGCGCAAGTCGAAGATACAAGCAGATGTGTGATGAGTCTTAGCTGAGCTTGGATTCATGCGGGTTGTTTCAGATATCATGGATGCATGTACGGCAGTTGTCACTGTAATCCCCAGCCGACGAGCTGAAAGGCAGACCTCATTGGTCAAGTCTTTCGATAGTATCACCTCCGCGATTCTCGTATTTCCTGGGTTTGCGTGCGGGTTGATGGGGGCCAGGCCGATCCCCGGGCCGTCAACCTGAGGATGAGCAAACCATTGATAAGCTTGCTCGGCTAAAGCCCCTTCCTGATTCGTACTTGATGATATTGATGCATTTGTAATGTCTTGCATTGAATATGGCAGTCGCTGGTACTCCTCGCCGGCGTATACCGGGGGAAATAGACTTGGGCTTTCAATTTCGGAAAGTAACTTGTGCAGCATGGAGGTTGCCCCCCGAAGATCCCAGCGCCAATGGGGGGGGATACAAGCGAAATTTCCTGGCTTGCGGGGAACCAGTGGCAGTGGACTTTGGACCCCATCAGGCCAGTCTCATGTGTGAAAAACCCATCTGCAGAACATGCTGGCTCCACATGGAAGGTGCCGTTGCACCAAAGCTCCAGATCCTGTGCACTTCTAATGGGGGTGTACCGCTTTTCGTAACCTTCGATATCAACAGCGATATCTGGACACTGGAGCCGGAGTGCTTTCCAAGCTTTCTGGAAGGCAGGTATAATCTCATCTTTTGAGCAATTCTCGATTTTGGCGGTAACCATTACCAGCCAGTGCTCGTGGCCGACGTCTTTTCCACGCTGCCCAATAATATAGCATGCTTTCTCGAACGTGTCGAGGGGCCGGACCCAGTATTCGCCTTTCTGCGTCCACGACATTGTCATAGATCAAGATCTCCAGACGGAGAATACCATTTAGTAGCTTTTGTGTGATGAGGGATGGGAAAAATTGCACATCCGGTGACAACTCGAGACCGGCACTAATATGATATCCCTAGATTCGAGCCCCTTGCATGAATTTCAGCCACGTGCGCAATTTCAATATCTTGGGCGGCATCCGTGTGGCAAGCAATATGGAACGACAGCAGCGGGAGGAGTCATCTGCCTGAAGTCAGAAGCAAATCTGCAGGATGCTCCCTTGGGAGTTGGTGGATGCACTGATTAACAGACCTTACTGATTTTCTTCTTCTTGCCTAGCTTTGATAACTGGACAGTTTCATCCCAGCTGCTCTGTACCTTGCATGTCTGGACTTTGTCATGACCACCAGGAATAAGCTGGCCCAGGCCTATCACTCAGTTTGAAGGCCAGGTCAGGCGAACGCTAATTAGAACTTGGAAGGTCGTGGACACAGAGTGTATGGACGAGAAGTGGGCTCGGAGCCCTTGACGAGCCAAAGTTCCCAAGCCCTGAATTGTGAATCATTACTCGCTTCGAGGGAGTTCGCGTTGCATTCAGTTCGAGCGATCGTGGCATTTCCACATTTCCAGTTGGTAGATATGTGTTATGTCGGCGACGAGCAAGAGTCAAATGCGCACCCGGTAAAGAGCAACCTAGGAGACGCCTGATCAGGACGCGTATGTTGGAACTCAGGAAAAGACATCTTAGGTCTAGATCGAACACCCGTTCTAGGTCTAGAATTGCTGGGTTGAACTATATACAGTGCGTAACCAGAACGATGGCATTCTCATATGCATGATTGGGGAGGCGTAAGCTCATCCACAATGACCACCGACACACACACCTATTTACTGTGAGAATTTGGTAATTTTGGACACTGTGTAAGTCATTTCCAGGAGGTTCATCTCAGGAGATGACATTCAAGCGAGCATACCCAAAACGGGGTGGAGTTCTACGACTCGCCTTTTGGGTACACTACTAGCACCTGGACTGATGTTAACTCTTGTCAGTTGTGGACTTCGAGATGAACCGATCTCCTATTGTGAGATACGGCCCTCTCCACTGAGGCCGATTTCGCAGGGAGCGTAAGCCGAAGAGATATGATATTGGGAAACAATCAACAGAGCCAACAAGAGACCAGGGAGTTGGCTAAACATTTTATGTATCAATATTCGGAAAACAGGCGGCTCCTATCCCTTTAAGAACCCTCGCCAGAACTCTGCACGTATGCTCATCTCTAGGCTTCTTCAATTGACCACTGGCTGCCATTGCCGGTCAACAAGAGACGCTGAGATGGGCGTATTGTTTCTCCGGCCTACGTCCTGTCTGATTAAGCTCTTCGTACGAAAAACTAAAGTTGACGCGAGACGCCAATTGACTAATATTTCCGTAGCATTCCAAGGTTCTCCCGGACTATTTATTTTCAGTTATCTTGAAGCTAGTCGCCGATATTGCATGACGGACGTGAAGTACTTCACTTCATCACCCCCAGCCTCTTCAATTCTAGTCCAGAAACAGGTCATCATTTTTCGTTATCGACACGTATGGATCAAGTCTAAAGATACCTCACCATAGGGCGGACATTTCTCAATTCAAGTGGAGTCCTTATACATATACTATAGGGGGCAAAAGTCTGTGTGCATACCGCTCCACCTACCCCATCAAATACTGATGTATATTCATGGCATATCCTACACCACCAACCCTTATTGGATCATACGAAAATTCAAAATACTGAATAATCAGGTTTTTTTGCAGAGTTGTCTTGCTTAATATTTTGTATAGTTATCTTCGTTTATATACAATCTATCCATCCTTCTTCCTATACTCAATATTAACATATCAATCTTCGTCTAACACATCCTATATAGCATTAATACACTCTTCCAGATAATCCCGGTCTTTCTCAGATTATTCTATCTATATAATATCTTTAAATATACAAAAAAATTCAGTATTTTAATAATTTCCGGACCAGTTTAATAGGATTAAGATCAGGCGAGTATACAGGCCAATCTTCAACGTACATCCTGTGCTCTGTAAACCAAACCTATATATCTTTCGCTATATAGATATTTTTGGTATCTTTTCCAGATTGATAGCGATCGATGCTGGTCTAAACGAAACTTAAACACCCAGCCATATCGCGCATTGGGTGTGGTTTTGCTTTCCCTCGGACTCGATAGTGCTTAGCCGACTCACTAGTCTCTTTCGTTAACATTGCCATCCCCTGTCATCATAGTATCAATTTATTGCCATCGTCAGACCGGTTAGCCAATCCGAACAAGACATAGTCTTCCTCTCGAAACTGTTCGATGGTATCAAAAGGAAGTGCCAACCGAAACCCAGAGATGTGTCTTGAAATGACGAGAATGAGAGTCAGTGCCCGGGCGCTTAAGAATCCTTGACCAGCAATCAAGAAATATCACGTACATCGTTCCAGTAGACGCATCATATATGAGCTTCGTGGAGTCGGCCAGGCATGGCATGACACCGTACGCTAAAAATTTTCTTTTTTCAGTGGTCAGCGTCTTGAAGTATGTGAGGGTAGGGTTGAGGATATGAACTTACTGATAAACCCGACGGAATTCTCCGCGGATTTTTTCGCGATCCTGTCCTTTGAGACTCCAAAAATATTCCTCAGATAGCGGTTCTCCTGGGACTTTCTCCCAGACAATCAAGACTTCAGAACCACCAGGGACAATTTCGTTCTCTCCCTGCGTTCCTTCTTGGTAACCTAGGAGTCGGGGAACGACAGGACATTTCTGGAGTCTCTTGAATGCCTCTAACTCGCTAGTCTGCCTTTGCGGGACTGCCTGGCTAGCTCGAATTTTAGAGGGGGCGAATTCGGTGCCATCGATAGGGATTTGACGATAAATTCGCATAAATGCTAGCTTTTGCGGGTGACCCTTCAGGTGGCAAAGAAACTTCGCGGCAGCGGTTCCGGGCTTAAGACCACCATTGACATCCTGCTGGTTTATAAAAGAAGCCAGCTCCCCAAGCTTTTTGATGATAGTCCATGTCCGAGATGGCAACTGGTATTTAGGCTTAGCCTCAGTAGTAGTCTCAGTGCCTTCAGAGACCCAGATATAGGAACTTGGGCCGCTATGCATTTTGTTGTCTGTAAAAGTTCAAGAGACGGGTCGTAGGTGGAAGAGAAGGAAGTGTGGGAGAGGAGGAAGCGGCGTACGACTTGAGACACTTTAAGTAGATAGAAAACAGAATCGGTTGATTCCGCTGGCTGACGCGAACATGACACCGGCTCTTTGTATGGCTTTCTTTGATGGGCAATCATTGCCTGATGCCGCAGGCATCGATTGATCTAATAATGATAGCGACTCCTTCGAGATCTGTCTTATCGTCAAGCTTAGCGTTGATATGATTAAGCTTTCTGTCTGGCGGCCCCAAACTTAGGCTAATCCCGGTCTACGGCTTCGCAGAAGACATCGTTCTGCAGTCATTATCTATACAGCGACTATCTTTCGAGACGATATCTCTCCTACAGTCCGATTTGAAAGCCATACATCATCTATACCTACTCCATATGAGATCAGACTACCTGAAGCCGCTTTCACCGGATACGAGCTTCCACCTCACGTCCATACCAACCTCGAGGATGATATCGTCTTGACCGGAGGCGATTGAGCAACTTTAGGAAGAGACTACTAGATTCCGAGAAATAGATACAAATGATGGTAGCCTTGTACTTTACTTCTGGTTCCCTTTTACTTACTCTCCTTTTTTGCTCTCTGGTTTATTACTCTATTCTCACTATATACAACATTAGCTTTTACAACGATGTTACCTGTTTCATCCGTCCATCAGATAGGATGGTCTGTGTGCCGCAGTGTCCAACAAGCCGAATAGTATGCAATAATACAAGAGTTCTCACCTCTTGAACTCAGGAATTAATCCAGCCTAGTAAATAGATCTTTGAGCAAACTCAACAACAACATCAGTTAAGAGGACACCTGTGATGACAACGCTGGATAGCCTGCCTCACTTGAGCAGATAGATCAACGTATTTCCATGTATATAATCCACAAATTTTATTCTTTTTTTTTAATTCTTCCAAGTCGTTGTCTTTCCCCATCGCTTGTAAAGACACCGCAACGCAGAAGACCTGGTCGCTGCTAGCTTTTTAGGCAAATCCCTGGCCCAGTAGAGAGACAGAAGTGCATGAGTGCTTCTCGTCTACTCCGAGTACAATATCTACAGCTTTCTGATTCGCGTTGGTAAGTCGGCCACTGCACGTTGTGGCCTACCACCCATACCTTGTAATATCGACGTTGCACTCGACTATCAACTGGCAGGCCAAGACATGTGGCATTACCAGTCTACAAAACATTACAACGAGGCTCTCGGGTATGGCAAACATTCGATCGAGATGGAGACCTATGCAGATAGTACTGATAAAAAGGGATTCTTGCTGCGGTCGCAATATGCGCTTACGAACTGATAGATGCCCCCAGTACACCCTGAAGGGACGCCTGATCGCCCTGTCCGTTTCCCAGGAAAAATATGCAGACTCTATACCTGCATTATCGCCTGCTATTATTCCAAGCACACGATGAAGGGTCTCCGTGTTCTGGCGTCATGCACCGCAATACTCACTGTGTGCATGTAAGTGAGGGAGAAGTCTCAGAATCGAACTGGACGCGGTATTCACCCTTACTGTCTTCGGCATATTCCCGCCACCTCTGGATTTGAAGGATGCAGCACTTTTGGCATCATGTTGGCCTCGTGACCGATCAAGCCAGAAACCTGATGCCGTTCAGTCTCCTAGAAATCTGGAACCCTGGAAGACAGAGGGAGTCATCAGCCAATCATTTGACCTCGGAGGACTCTTTAGTCCCCGAGGACTATCGGCTCCCCCGTTCGTAGTAATCGGCCATCGGATTGACTCAAGAGAATCTACGTGACAAGTAGAGGGTTTTATGGAGCGCGCTGGAGAGTTAGCGCGACCGCGTTGCACAAACCTTTCCGCCGACAAGACCAGAGGGAGTAGCTCTGCGACAAACCAGACCTGAGCGTTGTATACCCTCGAGCAGGTGTTTGGGTTGACCACTGTGTGCTGCGACTGGTCAAAGTTACCCATCCAGCAAGTTTTCCCTATCTAGTTCAACGGCCGCATGACGGCTATCCGGGTTGCAATATCGGAACGTTGGGGTGGTATCGAAATCTTCTGGGCGAGGTCTGATAATATGCACGCGAGAATTGCGGCGTCAGTCTTGCTAATCCGACCAACCCATTGAGGGTCCATTCTATGCAGGCAATATTTGTGGCAACGCAAATCTTCGAAAGAAGAGAGAGCAGGCTGCGGTACTTGAGATCTTCATGGGGAACGGGGAAGAATTGAGATGGACCACAAAACCTCATCGAATGACGCTTGCGGATGAATCGTCTACTGAAAATGTTCTGTGATTGGGATACAGGGATGACTGCTCTGTCATTATGGCCAATTGACTCTCGAGCGGACCGCATGCATAGGTGACACATGGATATTACACACCAAACGCATTGACAGTGGGGGGAACTACCCTCGTAGCTTTGCGAGCAACACATGCCAACAGACTAATCCATGCGCTCCAGAGCTGCCTGTGGATTACTGCGTAATTGGAGGCGACAAAAGATGATGTATAACAAACCCGAGAGATCGACCATTGAGGTCTCGTCCCCGCCTCGCTTACCAGTTATGTTCAAGCTTTTTCAATTATACATGAGAGGCGGCCCCTCTCATTGGATGAGTCGTACAGGCTGTGACCAGTGCTGCACTCGATGATCCCAGTCGCACATCCCATTCCTTGGTCCTTGCGCCATTGGGACCTCGGGGCCCACAGAATGGCTGAGCTGCTTTAGCCGGTCGGGCTTGCTCCGAAGACCTGTTCGACTAGCACAAGGAATATGTCCCTACCGTCTTCTTCTTCTCCTTCTTCTTTTTTGTTTTGCCTGAGTATAATGATCGAGAGATGTTTGCTGCTTACTAGGCTTGTCCGGGTAGCGAGAGGTGATTTCGGGTGCTCGGGGTGAAGCTAGACCATTGCAGGCTTGCCAATTATTGGAGTAAAGCTCGCCTCCGCTATGTCTTATGACGTGGACTCGACCTGTAAGAACACAGGCCCTCTCCACGGACTAGGTCAGCATTATCCCCTGCCTGGAGGCAAACAAATCACAGTGGCGTCCATGCAAGGTACAAAAACGAGCCAAGGCTCGTGAGCCACGAGAAAAAAAAAAATATGTTCCAGGTCATACTGCCTAGTGCCTTGCCAAAGGTCATGACCGTAGCTCTCGAAAGAAGCTGGACCATATGCATGCAGAGTGACTCGAAGGAATTCAATAGCTCCCTATTTTGCATACGGTCGAGCCCCGGGATCTGTAGCTCTGACCCTGCAGAACTAGAAGCAAATGGAAACTCCGGTGGATCTTAGCAAGCACGGAGCGTCGTACAGCAGCCAGCTAGCCACAGCTGACCTGCAGCTTTGTGGAGCAGACGGGTCCAGCCTCGAAGAAGAAAGAAGTTGCGGGTTTTGTAAAGTGGCAACTTTCCATCGTCCCGCTGCGTCCCGCTACGTCCCGCTCCGATCGATCTGGCCCGACCTAATTTTGAAGCTGTCTTGCCGACAGGTGGTTTGCCGTCCATCTGTCGATCATTTGCCCTGAACCCTCCCGTCAAAACAAGTTCGTGACTGATTGTGGGGTCGTTTTGGCTCCCGCGCCAGCAGAGTTCGCGCCGGAACAAACAAAAGTCCAGCCACCGCGCCTCAACAAGTTCGACGTGCCCTGCACCAGCACACTCATTGCCTCAGCTCGGGGATCGACCAACAAATCCCAGCGCAAAATTTACAAAATGGGGTTTCCTATTTGGCTCAGCAATATGTGGGCGGAGGCCACCTTGGGCCCAATCAATTCGTAGCTTATAGCACCAGTCTCAACCCCGCACGTTCTCTTTTGCTTGTTGACACCGAACCAACGGAAAGATCGGAAAGTTGGATGGCCCCACTGATCGATCCCCATTGTTCCTTCATTGCTTCGTACGGAATAGCCTTCCATACAGTAGACATACGACGGAAAATAGGAGCGAAGAGCAGTGGTTTACCCAGGCCACAGGCTTAATGGGGGGGTTACTAGTACTAGTACCAGGTGCCAGTGCCGGGGGAGCCATGGAGCTCTGAGCTCAGCTTTCTTCCCACTGGAGCTGGCAACAATGACCTTTTTCATCCTGCTTGCATGCGCCCATGCAAGCTCGTCGTATCAGCCAGCCACGTTCGCAATCAAGTCCGCCCATGGGAGGCTTCCTCTGTAAACGATAGGCCAGGGCCATCTGCCCGGACGATCTCTCCAGGATGAGGGGACATCGCCCCCGAGCCAAAGTAGGTAGGATATGTCGCATCTTGCAGCTGGGAATGCAGGATCTGCAGTTGTTCCTTGGTCCAGAGATCCACTTCGGCAAAGAGGCAAGCTTCAAATTCGAGTAGGTACCCTGGCCATTTATCTTGTAGCTTCTCGTGAGTCCTCGGAGTAGAACTTGCTTTGAAAACCCTAGAAAAATTTTTCACGAAAGGCATCATGGCTCCCAGCTTGATAGAACCTCAAATCATTACTCAAAATCCTGTGAAGGGGCCACTGAAGACTCAATTGTCTGCATTGCCGAATCAAGATGTTGATTTAACCTTGACCCAGCGTCCGCAAAACCTTCTTTGTCTGCTCGAGCTGCTAGATGTTCCATCCGATATCCGATATGAGCATTCGGATGTGCAGCTCCAGCGGTTGCTCCAATGGGCATGGGCCATCACCATCCGGGCCTTTACATCATCAAATTCGATCTTCGTCGGCGAGAACTACCTGGAAGGGTGCTCCTTCGTCGGCGACTCTCCACCCGCCGACGTGAAAACAGCTCAAGTTCATCTCGATACTCAAGATCCCATTCAAGAACTGTTCAGCAGTATAACCAGCTCGTTGAAAGTTCAACAGCTGGAGAACAAGGAGCGAGGCAGTGGTGGACAAGAGAGCCACTTTAACACCACGGTCATCTATCAGCGAGAACCTGCTCAGAGGAATGGAGATGGTCTTGCAGCGTGCTCCGGCGCTTGCACGGCCTGTTGCCCAGTGCCAATCGTGGTTTCCGAACCAGAGAGTTCCGCAGACGGCTTGCGGTTATATATCCGACGTACGCCAGACAGCTACTTCGAGGCGAAGCTGGATGTCGGTCGCACCCCAATTAGCCTTCCACTCGCAACGAGCCTTCTCCACAGCTTCAATCGGGCGTTGTCATCGATCAGGGAAGCTCCCTCGCAGACCATCTCCTCCGTTGATTTGTGCTCGCCGCACGACCGCCGACAGATCGCGAAACTCGCCGAATCACATTCGCCAGCCCAGAATGTCCTCTTGCACGACCTCTTCCTGCAGCATGTGAAAGATACACCCGACGCCCTGGCTATTCGTTCCTGGGATGGAGACTTCACCTACGCCGAATTAAATCGTCTGTCATGTCGCCTCGCCCATTGGCTGGCGGAACAGGGTGTCCGTCCCGGGATCTTCGTCGCGTGCGCATTCTACAAATCGACCTGGGCGATTGTTGCTCGGCTGGCCGTCCTCATGGCCGGAGGCGCATACATCTGCGTCGACGCACATGATCCCCCGGGCTATCTCGCATCGGTGCTGGAACGCACCGGGATCAAAATCATGCTGACATCCACCGGTTTCGCTCAAAAGTTCGGCGAGGCTGTAGAGACCTACTTTGAAGTCTGCAAGGAATCGGTAGAGGAACTTCCATCTCAGGCAACGCCACCCGCTTCCACCGTGACCCCCACAGACCCCTGTGTGGTTCTCTTCACCTCCGGCAGCACCGGGACTCCCAAGGGAATTATCCAGGAACACCGCAGCTATGCCTCGGCGTTAACGGACCTGATCCGTGTCATGGGCATGGGACCCCACACGCGACTCTTCCAGTTTGACGCTTACGCGTTCGATATCAGCAATAATGATTTCCTCGCGCCTCTCATTGCGGGCGGGTGCTGTTGCGTGCCGACGCCGTCGCAGACCGTAGAGATGCTGATGCAGGACCTGAACATGCTGGAAGCGAACACCACCTTCGCGACACCCTCGGTCGCAATCGATATTGACCCAGAGCGTGTGCCAACCTTGCAGACAATGTGTATCGGCGGAGAACCAATCTCCGACGCCGTCTTGACCAAATGGATGGGTCGCGTCCGGGTCATTAACCAGTATGGCATGGGTGAGGTGGCTTCCTTGTGTGCCTTCAATGCAAACCTTCAGATTGGCCGGGGTGCAGTGGTCGGGCGTCCTGCCAGTGGAGCGATCTGGATTGTCAATCCGGATTCAGCAGACCAGCTGATGCCGGTTGGTGCGGTGGGCGAGCTCCTCGTCGAAGGCCCGCACATCTCCCGGGGTTATCTGGACCACGTGTCTGGCAAATCAGAGAACTTCCTCGCCACGCCGCCGCAGTGGATGGCGGCTTTGGATATCAATCGCGAGTCATATCGATTCTACCGCTCCGGGGACCTGGGTCGGTATAACCACGATGGGACCATCGAGCTCATCGGCCGGAAGGATACGATGCTGAAGCTCGACGGCACCCGTGTCGAAGCCAGCCAGGTTGAGTATGTCCTGCGTCATGAACTCTCGACCGGTGATGCGGCGGTCGTCGATGTTGTCGGCAGCGCGGACGGAGTCTGCGAGCCCATCTTGATTGTGTATCTGTTCCTGTCAAATAACCCGATGAACTTGGAGAGTGGCCCGATCGAGGATATGCAGTTCCGCCCAGTTACAGATCGCCATGCTATCCATCGCCTGACGCAGTCATTGGCTGATGCTGTCCGGAGGAATCTGCCGTCGTACTATGTTCCAAGTCTGTTTTTGCTTGTTGATCGTGTGCCGCGGACCAAGTCGAAGAAAACAGATCGTCGCAAGCTGCACATGCTGGGCCAGGCATATTACATGGCGCACCGAGAAGAGCTGCGAGATATCACGGTCTGGCCGGATTGGGAGTGAAAATATGGGGTGTATAATTTGTTCTCCCGGGCTGGGTTCTGCATATTTAATATAATACATGGGGGATTCCCCCAGTATATAGGGTCTATATGTACAATTTTATTCCACGTTTTGCATCACACCGGAGTCGTAGAAGACCTACTTTGTATCAACTCCATTGGCCCGCCAGCATCGGCCGTTGAATTTCAACTGCTCCCTTCTGCACACGGTCGCGTACGCTCTGCCGGTAATTCTCCGCTGCTGAATCGTTGCTCTTTTCTGCATCCCAATCTCGCCAGTCGAGCCATCGCGCTCGCGGCCAGATCCTTGCGACCGCTCGTCCATGAATGAGACTGACACTCACTGGTCCATAGGTATTGCTATCGAGCGACTTGCTCGGGTCTTCGGCATCGCCCTCAACCCAGACGTGATTGAACGGAACGATCATCGACGGTTTGAGCGAAGGCCCGCGAGTCGTGATCCGGTCACCCGGCAGCCCGATAATACGTTTAACGGCAACGTTAGAAGGATTGGCGGGGGACCTGGTGCAGAAGAGCCCCGTGTTAGCCGTGATTCCTTCCCATCCGCGCCCGCGTGGTTTGACCTCCACAGCACACAGAGCGAAAGAGCCTCACTTACTGGAATGATACGACCATCCCTCGCTCCAGTCTGGCGACCTTGGTATTCCACGGAAACCCGGTCCACAGCGAACTGTTCATCAACAACAGGTCCCGCTGAGTATGCATTTCTGGCCAGTCCTCGTTTAAGTAGGGGGTCATCGATGGACCATTCACCCATAGTGTGTGCATCACGTATTCATTGAAAGCCCAGTAGATAGGGAACAGGGGCGCTATGTATATCGACGTGCGAAGGACTCCGCTGGCGAGGTGTCTGGTTCGGGGCGAGAGGCCTTTGTAGAAACTGGAAAGGGCGGATGGGATCCACGACCTCCGCGCCAGGCTTGGGCCCTCGGTAGCAGAGCTCGGGGTAGCTCCTAGTCGTAGCGAAGCATATTCTTCAGCAAGGCGAGCGTTGGCTGCGTCGCGTTTGGCTGCTCTCTCTCCGGCGGACGCTTGTTGAGAGAGGAGTTTTGCATCGAGAGGGTCGAGGACCCGAGGTTCGGAGCGTGGAGGTTTGTCTCCTTTGGCCATCTTTATAGGGGTGCGGCGAATGGCCAGTCGGGGGCAGACTGAAGAGATCAGGCCAGGCTAGGTAGTTGCGAGATCGCGAATGCGGAAAACCTTATCGGTTATCGCTTATCGTGGACGTACAATGTATGTACAAAGCTCCGAGTCCCCTTGATCTTTGGTGGCAGACCGTTTACCAAATTTCAAATTTTGAGTGTTAGAAGTTAGCATATCATGGTCATCATTTTTGAGAAACAGAATCCGTATTGAGATACTGAGTGGAAGGCAGGGAAGGTATCGAGTACCGGACTATAGCTCCCTGAAGTACCCGCCATGCGTGACTAGCAAGCGTGAGTCAACATGAACAGCACTGCTATCTTCTCCAATACAGCGACCTTCCTCCTTCGAACCCCCTGTCCACCATGGAATCTGAAATTCTGATCGTGGGAGCCGGTATCTTTGGCGTCAGCACTGCATACCACTTAGCAAAGCGGTTGCCTGCGCCATCGTCCATTACACTGCTGGATCGGGCCCCTCCACCTTCGGGAAACGCTGCGTCGACCGATATTAACAAGATCATCCGGGCCGATTACTCCAGCCCGTTGTACATGAACCTTGCGTTTGAGGCCATACAGGCCTGGCTTCATGATCCATTGTTCGCAAATGCCGGTGTCTACCACCAGACGGGGTGGATCGCAATGGGGGAACGCGGCCGAGATGTAGTTAAGCGGATTCGCAACAACTTTCAGTCCAGCGGTCGTCCTGACCCTACGAAGGACATGACAGAAGAAGAGGTGCGTCAGGGGTGGAGAGGGGTGCTGAAAGAGGCTGATTTCAGCCCGTTTGAGTCGTACTATCTCAATCCTCAGGCTGGCTGGGCAGATGCCGGTCGCGCTCTAGAGATCATGGCCAACGAGGCTATCCGATTAGGAGTACAGTACAAAGTCGGTGAGGCCCGTCGTTTAATCCTCGGAGACGGAGCCATCAGAGGAATTGAGACTCGGGCGGGCGAGTTGCACGTTGCTAAGAAGGTGGTTCTAGCTACGGGGGCTTGGACCAGCCACTTGATGAGTTCGCTCGAAGACGATCTAGACCTGCCCGTTGAAGCGCGCATCGAGAGCCAATTGACTGCAGCTGGGGTCTGTGTTGCGCATTTCCAACTGTCCGATGAGGAACTCGCGATTTATAACCAGCTTCCTGTCTATGTGTACGGCGATGAAGGTACGCGAACTCAGCCCGCCCACGCTTTGGCATGCGACTGACTGTATTCCAGGCGAAGTGATACCTCCCACAACTTCTGGTATCCTTAAGTTCACTGAAACAACCTCATTCAAGAATACCATCCAAACGAACAGTGGCCACTCTTATTCGGTTCCCCCGAAGAAGACCAAAAGAAGATACCGGAAGGGTTAAGCAGGGGATTTATCGACTCCATCCGCGGTCGCTTGCCACAGCTCTTCCGCAACAACCGCCAAGTCGACTATTATCGGTTATGCTGGGATGCGATCACTCCCCAGCAACATCCGTTGATTACTGCACACCCTCATCCCCAGCTGGCTAACCTCTACCTTGCGGTCGGGGGCTCATTCCATTGCTGGAAATTCCTGCCTACGATTGGGCGTTATGTGGTTAATGTACTGGACGGACACACCAATGGACCTGATTGTGATGCAGCGTGGAGCTGGAAGGAAGCCGGGAGGGGTAGAGGGGTCCACGATGCGCTCATCCCACAGAAGGAGCTTCGCGATTACTACCAGATTTGAACTTCGAAAGAGCCGAGGTTTCACCGCAAATTATGCGCAGCACTCTTCCATAGTATAATAATAAATCGACCCAGACCGGTTCAAAAGACAACTTGAACTTAGAATGGCGTAATCTAACGGCGAATTACACGGGGTTGACAGCGCTCTATAAGTCGCACCTCCCAGATGGCGGTTCGCAGCATTCGTGTATAGATGATCCTTGTCGGTTCCGCCGAGGTGACATTACCCCTTCCCCGCTTGGCTCTTGGGCCTCCGCATTAAAGCCACAAAGCCCACCCAATCTTATAGGCGGTCTAATTGGCACATCGAGGCAAACTGCCCATTTAATCACTGCGGGGAAGATCAATTAACGTTAGGCCGAGGAACCTATTCCACAGTCGGCTATGTTGAGAGCGCCATACATAACCCCACTCTAGCTTCCCCAAATTTCAATCTTCTTTCTATTTTAATTGACATTTTAGCTATAAATTGGTCTGTTCCTTGTCTTTTCGTGATTCGGTAGTACCTTCATTTTATCGAAGTCCTCATTGGCTGTATCTCTCCAAGCCGATCCAGAGATTAGGGGAATATGGATGCTGGTGTGTGCATTGCCCACTTTTACCAGCACTAAACCTTCTAGCACGGTACTCACATTTTTTTAGGGACTACCGCAGCTGTGCTAGCTGGAGGTGTCACACTTGCGGCCTATCTGAATGCCAAATTTCATATCGGCAAGGATGTCAAGGAAATTTATAACCTTCTCAATGGCCAACGCCAATATCGCAAGCAAGGTTTGTATCTGATGGCCATTGCGTGATATGAGTACTAGTGAAGAGAAATCATATATTGACTCCCTCCAGATGCCAAGGGACTCGCGAATACCTGGTTCGTCTTTATAGAGGCGGCAGAAAAATACCCTGACATGGTCTGCCTGTGGACCCGGGAGAGATTATACACCTACCGCGATGTTCGCGAGCAAGCATGCCAGTATGCCCACTACTTTCTGTCCAAGGGCGTGAAGAAGGGTGATTTAGTGGCGTTCTACCTTCAAAACCGTGCGGAGTTTCTGATTGCCTGGCTCGGTCTCTTGAGCATAGGCTGCGCACCTGCAGCTATCAACTATCACCTTTCTGACGAGGCGCTTCTTCACTGCTTGAAGATCAGCGGCTCCCGAATCCTCCTCGTTGACGAAGATGCCACCTGCCGTGCCAATATCGAGAAGCTTCAAGCCACTCTCACTGGGGAGCTGGGCATGGTACCCGAATGGCTCGATGACTCGCTGAAGGCGCATATCCGCACGTTCCCAACGACCTTTCCTCCAAAAGAGCTGGCTATGGGCATGAAGGGCGATTTCCCGACGCTATTGCTGTATACGTCAGGCACCACTGGCCTGCCGAAAGGCTGTGCTTTCACCACAGCTCGGTTCTATACAACCCTCTGCATGCGAGGCGGCCTCAAAGATGTCGGGGGTCCGAATGGAGATCGATGGTACAGCTGCATGCCATTATACCACGGTACTGCAGCAATGACTCTCATGGCCACCTTGGCGACCGGTCGGAGTATCGCTCTGGGTCCCAAATTCAGTGTTCGGAATTTCTGGCAGGATATCCGAGATTCTCATTCCACGTTCTTCGTTTATGTCGGAGAGACCGCGCGATACTTGCTGTCAGCACCCCCCTCTCCCGATGACAAAAACCACAACATCCGCGCAATCTACGGCAATGGACTCCGGCCGGATATCTGGGCGCGTTTCCAGGAACGCTTTGGTATCCCGTCCGTTTACGAATTCTTCAACAGCAGTGAGGGTATTTTCGGACTTCTGAATAAGAGCACCGGCCTGTTCACGACTGGGGCGGTAGGTCATCATGGTGCGGTGATGCGAGCTATTCTGAACAACACTTACGTGCCTGTGGCTATTGACCCCGACACGGGCGATGTCCTCCGGGATCCAAAGACCGGGTTTGCTGTTCGTGCGTCATACGAGCAGGGCGGGGAGATCATCGTCAAAATTCCGAATGAGGAGGCCTTCCAAGGATACTGGAATAATGAATCTGCTACGCAAAAGAAGTATTTGCGAGATGTGTTCAAGAAGGGCGATCTCTACTACCGCTCCGGTGATGCATTGCGACGACAGAATGACGGCCGTTGGTATTTCCTTGACCGACTGGGAGATACCTTCCGTTGGAAGAGTGAGAATGTGTAAGTCTCGATGAGAGAACCGTGACTGGAATCGATTAATCCTGACTCTTTTTGTCTGTATACAGTGCAACCGCAGAAGTGGCTGAGGTCCTTGGACGATTCCCCGGCGTCAGCGAAGCCAACGTCTACGGTGTCCGGCTCCCTAACCATGAAGGCCGTGCTGGATGCGCCGCAATTCAAATTAGTCCTGAAGTGCGCCAGACATTCGATTTCGCCGCATTAGCACGCTATGCTCGCTCGAAGCTTCCCCGGTATGCCGTTCCTGTCTTCCTGCGGCTGGTGGACAACCCTACCCACATTCACAACCACAAGCAGAACAAGGTTCCCCTCCGAGACGAGGGAGTCGACCCGTCTCTCATTGGGACTAAGGTTCCTGATGGAGATGTTAGTCAGTTCTTGTGGCTTGCGCCAGGGAAGAAGGATACACGCCTTATGGAAAGGCGGATTGGGAGAAAATCACCAACGGGAGTGCCCGGCTGTAACCCACAGACACATTCGTATAGACCTTACGATAATCAATATTGAGTTTGAATCTCTCGGGTAATCTATTCAAAGCTGTACGGGGGAAGTATTCGAGAAGTGGAGGGATTTTATTTGGATATATCCTGAAGTATCGCCTTGATAGGGAATGTGTCATCCCTGGAATATATTGCGAGTCTGAGTTTTGACCAAAAACTGCAGAAGGGTCAAATTGAAAGATAGCGTTTTAGGGATGACGATAAAGCTCTACAGTAGGTGCCGCAGTCTTTGATTATGTTGATATGAGGACAGGTTCTCTGTCCGCCAGCGAAGTCCATCCGGAAGCGACTTTGTCAACAGACTCCTCCATTACGAGATGCGGAATCGAGCGCAGACATCGCAACGCGGCCACAAGGCCGTTGCTCAATGGCTGGGAATTATCCCGAGGTCATGTATATATGTTGCGTAGTCAGGAGGAGCTGGGAAATTTGGTTGTAGAAGTTAGAAGCCAAATGGACAGCATGAAGCTTGATGTTGCCTCAGATGAAACACGGTCGAGAGATGAGAGAAATCTCATTCACGCCTTTACGCTGGCTCATCCAACTTTGAAATCACGTAATATGTGGAGTACGGCTTGCGAGGTTTTGTTGATATGCCTTTACTAGTAGGTATCAAAGTAATCCGGCGTAGAAAGAGAGCTTAAATCTACGTGAAAGTGAAAGGATGACTGCGGTTGCAGGGCGGCAAATTAATCCAATTGGTTCATTTCTAAGTGACACTATAGTTTCCTCGAGCTTCTGGCGCTCCAGGAGGATATGCACACCTACTGGGTACGTAGGTAACCTTCCGGAGAGTCTCGTAATCACATTCACCCTATACGTTTACACTCTACTAGTAGAACGTCGAAGCAATTCATCTTATTCGTACTGCAAGGTAGTACCTAGAGCTACCTTGCTAATGCTGAATATGTACAAGAGCTCTACCAAAGCCTAGGCGCTTTTCTTGGCAGAGCTCTCCTTCTTCCCCCCGGCTTCAGGCCGCAAAGTCCACACGCCACGACCACGGCGATCCCGCTTGAGCTCCGCAATTTCTTTGAGAAACCGCTGGAACTCATCCGCACGCTCCTTCTTCCCGCAGTAATGATTGAAATGATCAATGATTACCTGGGTAGGAACCGGCTGGCGGCGGGACAGGAAGAACTCCCGAATCAACGGAACGAACTCCTTGCCCCGGGCATGCGAGCGGGAGTCGCGCTCGAAGAGCTTGAAGCTGCGCCGGGATTCAGGCCACCTATAATGGAACTGGAAGAGGGGCCAGCCCGTGGTCGCGACGTGCTTCCAGCAGGTGCCCCACGGCCACCGACTCCGAACTGGCCAGTCCACGTGGGAATGCCAATTGGCAGAGATCGTGCCGTTTCTTCAGCCCGACGCAGCTCTTCGGCTGCTTCGTTTGCGACGCGGCGAGCTGCGTCCTCAATCATCTTCTGGTCTGCGCGGACGACGCGTTTCCCGTTGATGATCCGGTCGTGTTCCACAGCGGCATGGACACCGGAGCGGGAAAAGATGCTATGCATCAGACGGTCCTCACTCGGCTTCGCTGCTCCGTGTCCATCAGAACCACTGCTCTCGCCTCCGCCGTTGGCCTCATCAGTGCGGAAGTCCTCAACTTTGGCCACCCCTTGGACCTTGTTGAGATCCTCCGACTGATGGCCTTGGTCTGCTTCGTAAGTGACTTCGGCATCCGCGAAGAGCTTCGTCGTCTCTAGCTCTTTGTCATTTTCATCTGTCAACGAGAATAGATCATAGAGGTCGCTGAGATGGAAGCTTTCGCGCTGATGGGGATCTTTTGTGATCTTGTTGGTCAGGAACTGCTTGAAGATTTGACGGTGATATATCTTTTCCTCAATGGTCCCTTTCATCATGAGGCGGAAGATAGTCACATCGCGTGTCTGGCCCAGACGCCACGCACGCTCTCGAGCCTGCATGTCAGTCGAGGGGTTCCAATCCGGATCATAAATGACCACCCGGTCTGCGCCGGTCAGATTGACCCCGATGCCGCCCACTTTCGTGGTGAGGAGGAAGACATGGATGTCGGGGTCGCTGTTGAACTCATTGACAAGCCTCTGTCGTTTGTTGATTGGCGTCGCACCGTCCATACGACGCCAAGAAAAGCCCCCCAGCGACTCGACAAACTTCTCGAGGATGTCCAACATCTGGACTGTCTGGGCGAAAAGTAAGGTCTTATGACCGGTATCTTTCCAGACTTCCAGGAGACCCTTCAGTACTTGCATCTTTCCGGATCTGTTGGGGTCGCCATATCCCTCTTCACGGGATCTGATCTCACGGTCCGCGAGGTCTGGGTGATTGCAAATTTTGCGCAACATGTCAATCCCCGAAAAGGACTTCCTTGTCCCCTTGAAAATGGACTTCATGTCATCGGAGCTGAGGAAGCGTTTATAGATGGTCCTCTGCCATTGCGTCAGCTGGCAGAAGATGACCTGCTCACTCTTTTGTGGAAGGTCGGCCGCAACATCAGCCTTGAATCGCTGGAGCAAGTAGGGCTTGATCGCATCTTTCAATGTCTCGGCACATCTAGCCGCGGTCTGGACTTGCAAATTTGAGGCAGCTGCATAGCCGCCTTGGCGGATGGGGATTTCGAATTGGGTCTTGAAAGTGATCAGGTTCCCCAGGCGCATCGGGAAAACGAAATCAAAGAGGGACCAGAGGTCGACCAAGCTGTTCTGAATGGGCGTGCCAGACAGAATGATTCGGTGCGGTGTACGTAGTTCCTTGCAGCTGAATGTAATGGCAGCATCTGGATTGCGAATTTTATGGCCTTCGTCGAGAATAGCACAGCCCCATTCTACGTCGACCAGCGCGTCAGAGTATGATTGTAGCCCTGAGTAAGTCGTGACCAAAACATGGCCTCCTTCCACCACTCGCTTGATGATCTGTTTTGCAGCTTTCTGACCAGCGGACGTAAAGCGAGGGGTACGGCCGCTCATCATCTCTGAGGTCAGCTGATCCTCTCGGCTGCTTTCTTTCTTCAAATTCAACATGCCACTGCCAGAGGAATGCAAGATCGATACCCGAAGTGAGGGCCACCAGTTATGGAACTCGGTCACCCATTGAACCATGAGAGTAGCGGGGCAGACGACAATGACCGGCTTGTCAAGCATCTTGCTATGATGCAGCGATGCCAGATAGGCGATCGCCTGGACGGTTTTCCCTAGCCCCATCTCGTCACCGATGATCCCCCCAACAGACTGCTGGTGAAGCTCCCAGAGCCACTGGACCCCGGTTCGCTGGTATGGGAAGAGGAAATGAGCAATGTCGCCGGGAATCGATAGGCCATTCGGCAGCTCCATGCTAGGCCATTTGGGATGCGGCTTGTGCCATTCTTCATCGTCCTCATGATCTACATAGTCAGGCTGTTCGCGACGACGAGCAGAGCTTCGGCCATTGACCCAACTTTCTAAGCGCTCTTGATAAACAGATTCATCGCCATCATCAACGGCCCCGAGGTCCTCCAACTGGGCATTTGTTTTGGGCATTTTGCCGCGCTTGCGCTTTGATGCCGTGGACTCAATCTCCGGGATGACATCCGGCATGTATTCTTCCTCTGAAGAAGGCACTCCATCTTCTGACGCCACATAGCTCGCTTCAGATGAAGCACTCGGAGAGCTGGAGGTACGAGTTCGAGCGCTCTTTCCTTTTTTGGTGTGTGTGGAGCTCTCTGTGATTTTTCGACGCTTTGCGCCACTCTCAGCGCCACTGTCCTCGCTTTCTTCATCGAATCCGAAGGTTGGCCGAGCCAAGTTCCGGTGAGGGGCATCATGGCGCGCTCGATCGCGCTCCTCTTTCTCCATTTGTTCATCTTCAACATCCACCAGAGCATCACGCAAGGGAGCCTCGGCCCCGGTAGGGTCGCCCGCCGTAGCCAGTTCAAATGGAGTGATCTTTCCAGTACGAAGTAGATAATCCCGTCGTGACTCATTCGGGAGGCGCCCTGGGCCATGACTTGAAGAGACATCTTGTTGCGCCTGTCTCTTTCCATCGATACGATTTTGGATATCGCGCACATCTTTGGCGAGCTCAATCCGGCGATTCTTCAAACGGTCAAGTTCGCCTCGCAGGCGGCGTTGCGCTGCGGCCGGTGCGTGGTGGGCAAGTTGATTTTCGGTGTTGCGGATCTGGTTGATAACCTTCCTGAAGAGCTCATGGTCAGCTAATGAGGCAGAAACGGGCTTTCGCGATTATGCACATACTCTCGTTCCACCAGGGCCTTCTCTAGACGTTTTGTTTCGTTCTCTTCTGCTTTCTCGGCAAGGAGTTGATCGGCCTAGACATGGTAATTAGAATCAAAAGAGCCTCACGTTTTAGACAGTCCATACCTTCCGCGTGATGTCCCTTTCGAGATCATCTTGGTTGCGGACAGTGACATTCAGGGCCTGAAGACGACTCTCTTCCGAGTCGTGTGATGCCATGGTAAATGAAGAGCAGAGCGATGGCAAAAGTGAGAGAAGCGAGAGAAGTGAGCGAAGTTGGAGAAGAGAGAGTTGCCAAAGCGAAGCTGCTATGAGAAACAGAACATCATTAGTTGGTCGCAGACCCTGCCCTTATTGATAGGGGGGAGATTTCTGTCGGCTCTCTGATGCCATTCACTGCTGCTGTGGACTGGTAGTTATTCACTGGCGCGATTCACTGATTTCATCATTATAGGCAACTACAGGCACTATCCCTCACCGCCCACAGAGCCGCTTTTGCCTCCAGTCATGTGATATGTGAGTCATGCCTCTGCGACTGTGTGTACAAATCCTGCTGAGCAGTGGAACGTTGAGCACTCTATTATTTTGAACGAGATAACCAAATATGGTCCATTATCAAGGGTGCTTAGAAAGGGCCGTCTGTGATCCCTCCTGAGACTTCGAGACTTCACAAAGTGCATGGAAAATCCCCTCCCGGATGACGTACGTTGAATGGAGACCCGGCGGGCTGGGATGGTCACCTGACCTTCGTTTTCGTGGTTCTGGATTCCAGATACATTTGGATCCATGGATCGTCTCTAAGTAAGTCGTCCAACCATAGTATGACGCTGATTGTTTATTCGCACGAGGGTCTCCATCCATCCTACGAGGAATAGATCATCATGCAAGCAATGGAAGCCGGGATCCTGCTTCGGATCCCTGCCAGCAAGTGCAGGCACTAATACTCTGGGTGCTCTCCGAAGGGGGGTCGGTATAGCAGCTTGTTGGCCCCAACCTGAATGGTTAATCTCCCGTGCTTGCTCCGTATATCACACTTTTTGCTTCCTCGTCACACGCGTCCTTCCCTTTCCCTGCCATCGGCTCTGAAAACTGCTTTATTCCCTCCTCCCGCCAGTACGAATACGAGGGCTCTGCCCAGCGGGAGTCTAGTACAACGATAAAACAAGCAAGCGCTGTGGCTCCCAGTCGCCACGATGCCTTGCAAATGAGACGCTGAAGCAGGCCGAACGCAGATCGAGGCTTGTCCAATCAGGCGCAGAAAGGCATTAGTGCGATTCCCCGCACGGAAATCCTTGTCTACGGCCCGTGGCTGGAGCCAACCAGCATCCCTGTCACCACACCTGTCGTTCCCTTGTGATGGGTCAATTTACCCCCCTTCCCCCTGCCCTGTTCCCCCTAAATCATCGCCGATCGACAATCTCCTCGAATCACATATTCTTCTCCGTGGGCCAGGGGGACTTCGAAAACTGCAGAACGTGCCAAAGGTGTGTTGATCGTAGAGACCTACATATAGCGCCGGTTCCTGCGTTCGAGCTCATGTATCAGATCTCCTAGAAGACCCGGGCGACTGGAAGAGGGCGGTTAAGAAGTCCCCAATGCGTGCATCGGGGCTGCAGGTGCACAAAGTTATTTTTGGGCTCATCACGCCCGGCGCTTCGGCCTGGCTAACTGTGCCCCTCGCTGCCCCGCTGCACACTGGCGATATCTTCCCAACCTCTCCTTATTCGGCTCTTTTTGCTTGTGGCCGGAATTTTCGCGCAGAACTCGGCTGGTGGTCTTACCGCATTGCATTTTATCACGCCACTGGGTCCCTTGTTCCTCCCCCTCTTCCACTTTCTGGCCATCGCATGATTCTATTAATACACTTCCACACTTGCTGCCATCCAATGTGCGGTCCAATCTCGTAATCTCTCCGTACATTGGCATTCGCCTTATCCTCCGCATCGCAGTTCTGTGGTCTTGGCAGCCGCGAGTCAGTCAAGTCCAGTCATCTTGGAACGCCATTGGCAGCGCGATAATAATAGCGTCGGGTCTTCCCAAATGAGTGGAGGTCCCTGGCAAAGGCTCATTTACTCTCCCGGTCAAGCGGTGTGCCCGCGCAGGAGTATCTCTAGGGGTTGAGCCCTCTTTTCCTGTATCATTTACCAGCCCACGCTTTTGGAGAACACTACCTTGTACTGATATCGACTTGTCGGCAGGATAATGTCGCTAAAGCAGGTGGGTTTAACATTTTGCCTCTCAGAGTCTCATACTAATGTTGACCAGGAAATCGAAACCTGGGTGGCTGCACTCGAGGCCTATGATAAGAACAATTTCGAAGAAGCCCTGCGTCAATTCGATCAGATCGCCGACACCTCCAAGATCCTCTTCAACTGTGGTGTCATCTATGCCACGCTGGGTGAACATGGTAGAGCAGTATGTCTCTAAAGCTACTTGAAATCTAACAAATGTCCAGCTCACTGACTTGCATGCTCCAGGTTGAATGTTACCAACAAGCAGTTGGGCTGGATCGCTACCTTGCAATCGCCTACTTCCAGCAGGGGGTCTCCAATTTCTTATTAGGGGACTTTGAAGAAGCCTTGGCGAACTTCAACGACACCCTGCTGTATCTCCGTGGAAACACATCTATCGATTATGAGCAGCTAGGTCTTAATTTCCGGCTATTCTCATGCGAGGTGTTGTTCAATCGCGGTCTATGCTATGTGTACTTGCAGCAGCTTGATTCCGGCATGCAGGATCTGGAATATGCTGCCAAGGAAAAGTAACCGAGGACCACAACGTTATTGATGATGCGATACGTGAACATGCAGATGTAAGAACTCGAACACAAGAAAGCCACCCTTCACAGCCTAACATTCAGCACAGGGGTATACGGTTTTCTCAATCCCCGTTGGAGCCTTGTACCGGCCCAACCCGGCTAAAGTCAAGAACCTCAAAACCAAGGACTATCTAGGGAAAGCCCGTCTTATTGCAGCAGCCAACAACCAGAACAATGAACACCAATGGAAGCCTGAAATGGTCATTGAAAAACTGACTGCTGAAGACAGAGAGGGCATGTCTTGGGGAGCCACCCACCTTGTCCACAAAAACTTGAGCAGCCGAACTCGTCAACAGTCCGAACCACCATTAAACCGCCACGTCTTCCCGCCAACACCCCCTCCAGAGGATCGTGCCGCCGCCGCCGGGGCTACCCCCTTGACTCAAGGGCACAGTCGATCATCGTCTCTCCGCAGCACTCGCCCCCCACGCTTGGATCTGGATCGAACAGGGGCTAGCTTAGAGCGCCGCCCCTCCGCGTCAGATGTCCATGAACACGTCCAAGTCCCCAACCCGGGCCCTCCTTTCGCTCCCGCACCAGCGCAGAAGCCCCGAATCGGCACAACTCGCACCGCATCAGAGCCAAGAGGACCCCCAAATCGGCAGAACCTGCGGGGCCTTGCCCTTGATACCGGGCGCGGACAGTGGGCCCAAGAACAGCAAACGGGACACCGTAGGAATTACAGTGATACCGACTATAGCACAGGCCATGACTACATCCAGCAACAAGCCTACGACGCATATAGCCAACCCCATGGTATGTCCCAAGGATTCGGCCGAGGAAGCCGACACCAGCCACCGCAGTATATTCAGGAGGAAGACGAGTTCGACAGCGACCCGTGCGATGGCGAGCCGCTGAACGATGTTGGATTCGAGATCGTCCGGCCTGGCGAGGCACCGGGGCAGCGTCGCACGCGCTCTCCTGCTGGATACCGGCGGGCCACTTCAAGGCGCCCAGATGTACGCAGGTTTCGAACCAAGGTCCATGCTCCTGATGACATTCGGTATATTATGATCGGGCCCACGATCGAGTATGCTGAGTTTGAAGCTCGAATCCGGGAGAAATTCGGGTTCCAGGGTCCGCTCAAGATGAGGGTACAGGATGATGGTGATATGATCACCATGGTGGATCAAGAAGATTTGGACCTACTTCTTACATCTGCTCGCGATGTGGCTCGTCGGGAACGGAGTGAAATGGGGAAGATGGAAGTGAGTGTAGCCTTGATCTTTGCCGTTTGCCCCCTATACTAACGTTGTTCCAGATTTGGGTTGAGGAAATTACCATGATTTGAGCGATTTTGATTATCATGAAATACGGGTCTTTGGTTTCTGGCATGGCATGTTCCGCCTGGCGTTTGGTTTTTGTATACCCTTTAGAGCGAGATGATGCATTACTTGTAACTCTTGAACCTGTGCATTGTATGAAGCGTAAGCCTTGATCCCATCGCCTGATGATTCCTACTAGCATACACTCCGTGATCTTCAATAGCCCTTTCATCTCATCCTTGGTCAGACCAAGGATCTCTCCTGGATCTCACGGGTCCTAAGTTGAATCCGTTTGGAAGCTTGCTTCAGGCTCCTTTCCTTCTGCTCGTACGCTCTCCCTGTCCACTTGCCTTCACTTCGATAAGTGATCCAAGCAACCCCTAAGTTCGAACAAGCTAAATCCTTTCCATCTACCGGTTTCATCAAGGAGTCCAAATTATTCAACGCACGATGTCTTTCTTTGGAGGCAACGGATTCACCGGCGGCCAGGCAGCTTCTTCCACTGAGGCTCAGCCAAACGCGCAAGGCGCTGGCCTCAACTTGCCACTCGACACGGCCGTGGTTTCCCAACGCTCCAACATATTCCAAATCGAAGACTACGACCATCCTGGGACGACACACACTTTCAACACTCGCGAGGATTTCCAGAAGTGGATGAGCAGCGACCCTGAGGCCGCGTGGCGATCCATCCGTTACAAGATCCGCCGTGCTGAGGCCATGCACACCATCGCGGAGAAGACCACCGAGATCATTCAATGCGAGCATCAATTGCACCAGATGAAGGGAGAAGTTGAGCGCATCCGCAAAGACCTGGACGCTCTTAATGATGATCGCACGGGAAAGCTTGGCGATTCAGATCACGGCGCTCTCCGAAGCGAAACCTTAGAGCCCCCCATCTCGCAGCCCGTCGCAAGCCACCAAGCGTTTGGCCCAAGCGTTCTAGGCAAGAGACATGATCACGAATTCTCCGTTGCCCCACTTTCCAATGAAATGAGCTCCTCGTCCAAGAAGAATCGTATGTCCGGCAAGATGTCGCCCTCTGGCAGTGCACGCGTTCGGGCGTACAAGCGAGCGCTCGCCGATTTGGCTTTGGATTAGAGCGCGCATGGATACAGCGGAAGAAACTCACAAGGATAGTTCAAATGACGGTAGATCACCAGATTTGCTTTGCTTCTGTCTCCTCTGAGAGGATATCTCGGCGTGGGACAAAATAATACGTTTCTTAATGACAGGATATGGCTCCTTGGAGGGGGGGCACAATTGGTTGCTTGCGACTGCTTTACTACTCTGAACAACAACCTCTGGAGACTGTGATTGATCTAATTAGCTAGTGGAATCAATTAACCTGAAACCATTAAAAACTTTCATCTTCTTTTTGCTGTATGAGTTAACGATAAACTTCAGGTTGAACCTTGGTCTGTCGTAAGCGCAGGCCCCTAGGATAGGATTTAGCGAATCAAGTTCCGCAGGGGAATCGTACAAGGGGAATGAGAACATATCTTATGTATAAGGAGTCCGTCGCCCTCTTTTGTTCGTATCAGCCATCTGACTATGAAACACGCCACGTTTCTCGTGTCCGGGCGCTTAATACCGTCTGTAATTTCCCCGCTCAGGATTTAGTGGCCGGTGATCACGCAGGGGCCCTTCTTCTGGCCCTGAATATCATTGCTTCGTACGGCAAAGATACCCTTAATCTAGTGAATTCAAACAGTCCACTATGTGCTATTTGCCAGCCTTGTACCTCGTAAGATTCGTAGATCGGCAGCTTGGCTAGGAGTCAAGGATTTGGCTGCCAGGTTTCGGCAAGGCGCCACACAGATGGCTCTCAGACTCGGGCGCTTCTGGCGATCAATTGAAATATCAGATCTTCCCTCATCCTTTCTTGTAGATCTCAGATTTACTCACTTTCATCCTTTTCTTTTTTTTTTTCTTTTTGTTTCTGTGCAGATTCACTCATGTAAGTTGCAGGGATATGGAGTAGTTGGGCACTTGTTGAAGATAGCCTTCCTATATACCATGAAAAGCGGCTACGACAGACCAGTAGCCATGGTGTTCTAACTCTCGTGATTTAGTATGCTGCACGGAGTCCGCTCTTTTGCTTCTGCTGGGTTGCTAGCCACGCTGGCCGTGGCGTTCCCAGTGCCTTTTTCTACTTCTACGACCGCTGCGACCTCATCCTCTACTTCTGCGTCGACAGACAGACTGGTTTTCTGTCATTTCATGGTATGTTATCCATGCTAATTATCCATGCATGTTCCTCGCACCTTCTGGTTTGATTGTCTGACTCGAGTACAACAAATAGGTGGGTTTGGTTGGAGACCGCCAGAGCTCCAGCGACTGGGACGACGATATGATCAATGCGAAGGCTCTAGGAATAGACGCATTTGCCCTGAATATCGGTACCGACGACTTCACGAATACACAATTAGGATACGCATACGAATCCGCAGCCTCTGCTGGCATGAGCTTGTTTATTTCGTTCGACTTCAACTGGTTCGCTACCGACCAGGGAAGTACTGTTGGCAGCATCGTTGCCAATTATGCTGGTCATGCGGCACAGCTGAAGGTTGACGGAAAGCCTTTCGTCTCCTCATTTGATGGTGACGGTGTAAATATCGAGGCGATTCGATCTGCTGCTGGTCAGGATATCTTCTTCGCACCGAACTTTCATACAGAAGACATCGACTTCGATACTGTGGACGCAGCCTTCAACTGGATGGCCTGGCCTAGTAATGGGGATAACTTTGCGCCTGCCGCAGGCCGCCATGTGTCTGTCACTGACGGTGATATCTCCTATCTGAGCTCATTGTCTGGAAAGCCTTATATTGCTCGTGAGTTCCGACCCTGAGTTCTGCGCAAGATCGGGATGCAACTAACTCTGGCAGCTATGTCCCCGTGGTTTTCTACGCACTACGGAGCTGAGGTGTCTTACAGCAAGAACTGGGTTTTCCCGGCTGATATGCTCCCATTTCATCGTTGGCAAGAGATCTTGACTCTAGGGCCTCGCTTCGTGGAGGTTATTACTTGGAACGACTACGGAGAGTCTCATTACATCGGACCATTGTCGTCTCCCCACACTGATGATGGCGCATCCAAGTGGGTCATGGACATGTGAGCTTCTCGCAAAATGCAGCTGGTAATCCAGAAACTAACAAACGAAATTTCAAGGCCTCACGACGGATGGCGAGACATGATGAAGCCGTTCATCGCCGCCTATAAAGCCGGTGCCACTGATCCATCCGAGTATGTCACAGATGACCAGCTCGTTTATTGGTATCGCCCTACACCGAAGACAGTAGACTGCGACTCAACCGACACAACTATGTCAGGCGGCGCGAACAACTCAACCGGTCAATTCTTCGAAGGCAAGCCGAATGGATGGAATCAGCTGGCGGACGAGGTCTTCGTTGTCGCGCTGCTCAAATCAGCCGCCACAGTTGTCGTTCAGTCTGGCAGTAATTACCAACAAACATTCCAAGCACCGGCCGGTATCAGCGCTTATTCTGTTCCCATGGGCATCGGCCAACAGAAGTTCTCGGTCACCCGGGGTGGCCAAACTGTTCTGTCTGGAACCAGTCTGAAGGAAATCACCGACACTTGCCCTTGTGGAATCTACAACTTCAATGCTTACGTAGGAACCCTACCTGCGCCCACGACTCTTGATCAGCTCCAGCCTGAGGGTCTCTCTCAGTTGACCGCCGGCCTCAAAACGTCCTGCCCGGCTAATACTCTCAGTGTAGGGACGTCAACCGCCACGGCCAGCGGTTGATTAGCCTGTTGAGACAAGAGTTGTCAATACACTTGTCTTAGGTGTGATAGTTCCACGCGCCAGTTTATGTATTATGAATCAGTTCACACTTTATCTCTGTAGTCACTCAAGAAGTATCAGATGGGAAATCTCTGATCCTCCATCTACTAGTGCATAAACCCGTATTTAGCAGACTCCTCCTGAATGGTACGACGCATTACATGCACTGGCGCAGGCATTTTCGTGAATAGCTTATACTGGGAAGCCCGTGTTCAAAAAGGGCTTTCAGTCCATCTACCATGCCCCATCCTTCGGTCCTAGGCGCAAGCATCTGCTTCATCAACGGCGTTTGGAATGGACCATAGGCAACCTAGAGTATTAGCATCCTGTTTAATTCACATATCATAAACAATCCTCACTCAACAAATATGCCCCTGGTGCGACTTTCTAGCCATCTTACTGCGACTTGCATCACTACTGGTGGTTCTCTGCCTATGTCAGTCCTGTAGGGGAAATACACGCAGCCACAATACTTGTAGATTTTCGGGCCGCGGGCCTGTCGATTGAAGAACACTAAGCTGGAAAGTAGTGTCTGGCTTCGACTTAGCCCACTGGCTAAAATCACTCTCTAATTTCTGGGCGTCTTCGAGGATCCGATTATAGATGCAAGGTCTTCGAACGCCCAGCTCGTAGCAGACGTAGACTACGGCATATGCCATGGCCCTAGCGCCAATACTCAGCGCTGATGCGCCATCTAGTACAGCACTCACGGGTCCGAGGTGGCCATATATGCAATCCCTGATTCCTATATGGTCTGGGTCATGTTTTGTGAGAATATCTTGCGATAGCATCAATTCGAGTTCGCGGTAACATGCTAAGCCATGACGAGCTATGAGATCTTGGGGCGAAGTCAAAGTCTCGGATCGAAAAAGAGTATCAAAAATCAATGAATCGCCGTCGAAGTGCTCCAGAAGCTATTATGCGAAGCGTTTTCTTTCCTGCGGCAAAGCATCCAACCAGCGATAACGTAGCGTCTGCATGGTATTGCCGACAAAAGTGTAGAGCCTGCCTGGGCAATGGATGAGGATAATGGATCTTGGATTGCGCTACCACAGTAGCATCCATTGTATCAGATATCCAGGAAGAATTTTTGTTGGAACGCGTTTGATTTTTGGTTTTTTCTATCAAAAGATCGACGATGTCGCCGACCTCGAGCGCAGTCATGTAGTTCATCGCAGACCCGGTCACATGACCCGTACGCGATGACCATATTATGTGAGCTCTTATTTAGGGTGTTAAATTCAAATTGATTTCTCGTAAATCATGTGGATCGCATTTCAGCAGTCAATGAAATTATCCAATTTTTAAATTAAGGGATGTTCTTCCGTTTTTAGTCCGCCCGGCGTAGGCTTGGAGGCTCGGGGCGGGTCTGAGAAACGTAGATCAGAAGTGTGTCACCAGGGACTCACATTCTTTTTTGCTCTTGCGCTTGCATCACCTGTGATCAGGAAAGATGCCATGTCTACCAACCAAAGGAGGTGGCTAGCTGGAGACATGAGTAGCTCTATGCACGAATGCATGTATGTATCTTGAAGCGCGTGATGTACGAAACTGGAGGAATCAAATGGGATCCACACAAAATGCAGGGTGACTTCGTCGTGATATGTAGTATACATGGGTATGTACAGGCAGATGCATAGATATAGGGACATGTGATGAGTGGTGATTAGAAATACATGAGAAGGCAAGTCGTCCTACCTCCACAGACGCTGTTCCGGATACTGGACAGGCGTCCGTTTTTTTACGCAGAAGCTGAATTCTCCTGCTGGCCCATAGAGAGCTTGCGGACCTCCCATTCAGGGCCAGCCCAGTCCTTCTTCTCGCCGAGGACACAGGTAGTCTTCTGAGAGCCCCGCACCAAGAATCGGTCGGCAACTTCGTTGACATCCTTGGCGGTCACATCAAGGACCTGCTCTCTCCAACGCTGGTCCATCTCATGCGTCACACCACTCAGGAAGTATCGAGAGCCCTCTCCGTCCACGCTGACAGGTGCGTCAAGGCCTTGGAAGATGCCGAGCTTGGCCTCGTCAATTTCCCGTTCAGACCAAGCGCGGTCGCGAGCAAAGACGCCGCTATTCTCGAAGACCTTCAGCGAGTTTAGAGGGTTGGGGTCACGGTAACTCATGAAAGTGAAGATGCCCTTGAGAGGCCCGTTGCTTGCACCAGCTCCGTACGCACCACCCTTCTCTCGAATTTCAGGGTGAAGGTAACCGTGGGTCAAGAGCTGCGACAGCACTGTGAGAGGGGCACTAGCAGGGTCAGCGAATGGGACGGTTTGGGTGGCTTGGCCCGAATAGGAAACCTTGTATGGGAGGTCGTAGAAAGCCTTTTCGAAAGGCTTGAATGCCGAAGTGGAGAGTGTTGATTGCGGCGAACGAACTTGTGGAAGACCAGCCATCCACTTCTGCAGAACAGACTCATTGCGCGAAGCACTTTCAGGTTCGCAAACCATTCGCACACGGAGGTTTGAGGACTTGGAAATTGCGAAAGACTGGATAAGGCGCAACTTCTCAATCAGCTCATGGAGCCGCTCCGGTGAAGATTCCGCATCACGCAGAAGGTTTGCGGTCGCCTGCAATTGCTCGAGGCCAGACTGCTGTTCCTGGACCCAAAGGCTTGGGGAGAGACCAGCAGCGGCAGCATTCACGGCAAAACGATGACCGGTTCCGGCAACTGCATCCAGGGCCCCATTGGTCGTCAGGCGCAGAAGCTCTTGGATCATTGCAGGCGCAGCCGCGCTCGTGAAGTCGGTCTCGTTTACCAGAGTTGATAGGATTTCCAGCATTTCAGGGGTGTTTCGGTTCAAGGCAAAACCAGAAAAGTTCAATCCTTCTTTGAACTTGTTCAGGTGGGTAGGTGAGGACACAAGGAAATTCGAAGTCGAAATACCTCCGGTCTTGAGCTTAATGAGATCTTCCCACTGCTCCATCGACTTGTTTGCGGTACCGAGACGCATGATGCAATCGTTGAAAAGTGGCATCAGGAGTCGAAGATCTGCTGGCAGGCCGTCGAATGAATTGACGGCTTGGAAGTATGTCAGTCCATTAGTTGGGGCCTCGCGCCAGACAACGTCAACGCCGTCGACAGTAGACTCTCTCAGAGGCTTGCGCTCTTTTTCTCTTGAGATATCCTTGACCTGAAGAGAAGGAAGACAGCTCAAGTCTGCGTTGTGCGCATCCTGCTGCACTTGAAGAAGCTGGAGCTCCTCTTGAGTCAACTTCGTCAACGCCTTCTCAACCGAGCCATGCTCTTCAACGAGCTTTTCTAGTTTCCGGGCCTTGCGCACTGCTTCTTTATCATCAAGTTCTTTGTTGAACGTTGGGCTTCCGACCATGGTGAAGGTCATGCAGCGGTCATTCAGAAGGTACTTCTCCACCAGCGATTCAAGATAACCTGGCTTCTCATACCTGTTCTTGAATTCCTGAATGACATCGTTCCATGCGAGCTCCTTCATAGGATTAGATCCATTGAACCAGGAAGAGATTGTCTTCTCCATCACTCCAATGCCAAAGTTGGCGGTCTTATGCCGCAAGGCGAGCTCGAGCTGGTGCAGGAAACCCCGTACCTTCTCCTCGCTGAATCCAGTCGAGACGGATTCTTGGAAGGCATTTTGAATAGCCTGCTTCACAGTAGGAGCTTCAGCCTCGCTGACTCCGTTGACACCAACTGAGAAAATGGGAACCTTGCCAGATGAGTCGAGAGCAGTGTTGGGAGTGAATGAAGAACCAAGCCCGCTCTCAATTAAAGCCCGATACATGGGAGAACCGTATCCGTCAAGCAAAAGGGATGAGATGATGCCAATGGAGAAGGTTTCCACAATATCGGTAGAGTCGCCCATATACCACGAAGTGGATGTCTTGTACTGCTTGTCCTCGCTGGCAAAGGTATCAATTGGCCCTGACACGGTCACATTAACCGGTCCATCGAGCTTCATGGGCAGCTTGACATCGGTATCCGCTTGCCCCATCTCAAACCCATCCAACACTGCCCCGACTTGTTCCAGGTGACGGCTTAGGGACATATCACCATAAGTCAAGATCTTTGAGTTGCTTGGGTGGTAGTTGCGCTTGGAAAAGTCGAAAAGCTGCTTGTGGGTAAGATCCGTGATGTACTCGGGATCTCCGCCAGAGTTGTGGATCGCAGGAAAAATACTTTCCTTGAATCGAATGTAGTACAGATAGTTGGCATCTGACATTTGGCCCTTCATCTCGTTGTACACAACTCCCTTGAACACGATGTCTTCCAACTGTGCCTTCTGTTCAGGGTTCGACTGTAATGTTTGCGGGTCTTCCGGGCCTAGACGCCAGCCTTCCTGGCGGAAATCTTCCTCTTTGAGAAGCGGTCGCAAGGTGGCATCAAGATAGACGGATAGAAGGTTCTGAAAATCTTGCTGGTTCGTGGTTGCGAAGGGATAAGTGGTGTGGTCGGAAGAAGTGAAGGCATTCATGAAGTTGGAAAGAGAACGGGGGAGCATCTTGAAGAAGGGATCGCGGATAGGGTATCTGTCGGTGACAAAAATTAGCTGACGGACTAGTTGAGGCATGGAATTTGCCATACTTTTCACTGCCGCAAAGTGTCGTGTGCTCCAGAATATGAGGGACACCTGTGGCGTCTGGAGGATTGGTCTTGAAACCAATACCAAAGACATTGTTTTTGTCGTCGCGTGCGATATGAAGGTAGTCCGCATTTGTTTTGTCATGGGTCAGCTGCACTGCTGTCAGGTGCAGCTCAGGGACGTGCTTCTTTTCGCGGACGGTGAAACCGTGAAGCTTCTCGCCGATAGCTGGAAAGTTTTCCAGGCTGGTCACGGTTGATGCCGTTCTGGCATTTTTCAGGCTTTGGCGGATAATGCCAGAAGAGCCTAAAGAGCGCAGGGTTGGAGCCCGCACTCTGCTCAGGCCGAATGAGGAACGTAACATGGTCAAAGAAGAAGCTTGTCGGAAGTCAAATGCAAATCCGCGGTCGCGAAACATTGACAGATCAGCATCACGTGATATATCAGCCTATCAGTTACTAATATTGTAGATTCTAGAACTCAGTCAATTTTTTTCAACATGAAGAATGTTTCTTGACCGAACTGACTTGCAGGGATTTTGGTCATAATCTCTTTATTCTTTAGATGAATCCGAGTCAGCCCACAGATATCACTCGGCACAGTGTTCCAATAAGGAGATACGCTTTATATCGTCTCTCAAGTCTTCATTAGAAATAGCACACGAAAAACCATCATGATGTAATGTGATGACAATGACGAATCGCGAAGGGAATTACTTAGTTATTTCTGTTTGTAGAGATCCCCATTTCATGCTATCGTGAGTCGCCGATACATCCCAACATGGTCGATGCCCTCTTCATCCCACCGGCCAAGTGACTCATCTGTTGTAAAGCCCATGCGTTGATACATTTGCTCGACATCCACTTGTGCATGTAAAAGGACCAACCCCTTCCACTTCTGAGATGGCGGTGGGTCATTGCGCTGCTCTGCAAGCTGTGCAGAGGCTTTGTCGATCTCTGCTGCATGTTCCGTCGCCCACGTAAGAACCGTCTCGACAAGACGGCGTCCGAGGCCTTGTCCTCGATACTCCGGGATCACAGCAACGCGGGTCAATTTGATACACGGTTCGTGAGACCAATCGAAAGCTGGCAAATTCTGGGTTGCCGCTGCTTCAGGGTGAGTCAGAAGCTCGTGTGGTGGCTGTGGTGGCGGTACCAGTCGAATCGTCGCGACGGGGATTTTAGCAGCGGAACTAGGAGAGTCGTAAACTACCCATTGCCAGCTGCGCGCATCATCACTGTCTATTTCTGATTCCGCCGGGACATTTTGCTCGTCGACAAAGACCCGGACACGCACTATCATCGCGTCCTCGAACACGATAGGGTTGGTGGCGGATTGGCCCGGGAGTGTTAATTTAGCATCAGGGCCCGGCGGGGGTTGCATTGCCGTGGTCAAAGAAGTCGGTGACATCCTGTCCAACAAAAGGCTGCGGGTGGTGGGATTCCTGCCTTCGTGCACGAAGCGACAGCTGTAGCTTTAATAGCTTGGGGCGGCCTAACCCTTCAACGTCTTTTCGCTGGGAAATATATCGCGACGGGATCGGGTCCCTTTTCGAACCAATGCGGTCCACATCCGCGCAGGTCTGACTCAGAACGTCAACTTCAAGTTTTGAATGATATCTTGTATATCTTAAATCCTTGGGGAAAGACTCCCTCTGTAATAGCTTTCTTGGTACAATGGGCGTCGTCTACATCTTGGGTCTGAACATGGACAGTTCCAATGCCCAGGGAAAGAGTAGGATTTGATAGGCTTCTGGTCGGTAATTGTGGTTCGTGAAAAATGCTATGGACGTAGGCATCTGAAGGTAAGGATGGAATAAATGGATATTATCTCATGTCCCAAATGCTCGAGAGATAAATGATCATCACTGCATCCATGGATCTGAACTTTTGGAGCCCCAGGCGAGGCGCGCGTTCTCGTATGATTGCCCATACATACCTAGTATAAATTCACTATGCAGTGGTATGCTAGTCCTTTGTAAGCAGTGTGCATTGGCCCGCTGGGCCCATTCTTTGCCGGAAGCTTCTTTCCCTTTCTGGCTCGCAGTTCCTCGGATGAAGGGGTGGGGTCCCCATGTGATGTGGTCGTTTCCTCTCCTCAACCCCGCTAGGTTGTATGATTTTGACGATCTTACCGCATTATGTTGGCCGGCTGCTTTTAACTAGAAATGGCGCCCCACACTGCCATCACTTTCAACATGATTTGCAACCGAGGCTTCCCCCTTTCGCAATGGAGCTTTCACGACCTTAGTGAACGTCCATTGACCTTTCACATTCCCGAGCGGTTCGCGCCAGAGAAGCTAGTCGAGTGGAGAAGGAGATGTTCGAGATTCTAGTATAATTTCGATCTGCCCCGAAAGGCTCTCTCGTAGACTGTCCGGGGTCCACTGAGTTTCTCTTGCTGTGATTTCTTACACCAGCATGTCTGACCAGTCCCTTTCCACCTACACGCCCCTGGAGGTACCCGTTCCTCCGGTACCAGACGCTGGATTCTTCTCCGAGACGCAATGGACAATCCTCTTCGCACTGGCGGATGCCATCGTGCCATCCATCCGCGCCTCCACTGGGTCGTCTTCGGACAAGGTCATCTCAACGAAAGAGTGGGACGCAGCGATCGCTAAGCTCACTGCAAATATCCCTGGTCCCGATGCCACGAAGCTTGCTACGCGGTATCTGGAGGAGGATGCGTCCTCTAATCCAGCTTTCCGGGCCTACGTGCAGCGGATTATCGGCGACCACGTCCATGATGAAGCAAGATTTGGATTCGGTTTGATCCTGAATACACTCAAGTCAGTGGTTCGATGCTTGCTGTGTCAGGAAAAACACAGAGAATGGCTGACCTTTCTATTAGCACACGCGCTGGATCGTTGCTGCTGACCGGTTCGACCACCCCTATTCATCAACAACCGTTTGCCTTCCGAGAGAAGGTCTTCCGCGGATGGGATTCATCTCGCCTGCCACCCTTGCGGGCTATCTACCGAGGCCTGACTGCGATTGCCAAGCGAGCATGGGTGACGACTAGTCCCACAATCAATGACGTCCTGGGGTTTCCACGAGTGCCCGTACATGGCAAGCCGACAGATGGCTTCGCCTACGACTTTATTCAAATTCCACCAGGGGATGGCCCGGAGACCATCGAGGTCGACGCCGTCATCGTTGGCAGCGGTTGTGGTGGAGCTGTGACTGCGAAGAATCTTGCTGAAGCAGGTTTGCGCGTGCTGGTGGTCGAGAAATCATACTATTATCCCACAAAGGCGTTCCCAATGACGCCCGGTGAAGGGTTTGTCAACCTATACGAAAATGCAGGCGCTACACTCACGGACGATGGCTCTTTGGCTATCCTCGCTGGCTCGACGTGGGGTGGCGGTGGAACGATCAACTGGTCTGCGGCTCTCCAAACACAGGCTTACGTTCGTCAGGAGTGGGCCGATGGTGGCTTGCCCTTTTTCACGTCTTTTGAATTTCAGAAGAGCTTAGATCGGGTCTGTGAGCGGATGGGTGTCAATACCGAGTTCATTAAACACAACCGTCAAAATGATGTGATCCTGGAGGGTGCCCGGAAATTGGGCTATGCTGCCAAACCAGTTCCTCAAAATACCGGTAATGAAGAGCACTACTGCGGCTACTGCACACTCGGCTGCCTATCAGCTGGCAAGAAGGGGCCGACTGAGACATTCTTGGCTGACGCCGCAAGAGCTGGAGCTACATTTCTGGAAGGGATCAAGGCTGATAAGGTGATCTTTGGCCCAAAGAAGGGTGGAAAGCGGGTCGCTCGTGGCGTGGAAGGAACCTGGACGTCTCGCGACTCATACCTTGGTCTCAGCACTGAGGGGTCCTACAAGCGCAAGGTCGTAATCAAGGCTCAGAAAGTCATTGTCTCTTCCGGTACCCTTCAGAGTCCACTGCTGCTGCTGCGCAGCGGCCTCAAAAATTCACAGATTGGCCGCCACCTACATCTTCACCCCGTGATGGGAGCCGCTGCAGTTTTTGACGAAGACATTCGCCCATGGGAAGGCTCTGCGTTGACAACTGTGGTCAATGAGTTCGAGGATCTCGACGGCAAGGGCCACGGTGTGAAGATTGAAAGTGTGGCAATGATGCCCTCGATTGCTATCCCGGTTTTCCCCTGGCGCGATGGGCTGGATTACAAGCTGTGGGCGGCTGGTATGCGCAAAAGCACCAGCTTTATCACCCTATGCAAGGACCGCGACAGTGGCCGCGTCTATCCAGACCCCGTTGATGGACGCGTCCGGGTGGATTACACGGTTTCTGCCTTTGATCGACGCCATATCGTGGAAGGCATCGTGGCCAGCGCGAAGATCGCATATATCTCGGGAGCTAAGGAATTTCACATTTCTTATCGCGACATGCCGCCGTTTGTCCGGCCAGAAAGCTCCAAGCATGGATCTCCCGATGGTACCAATGACACCGCTCTGCAGAATTGGATTGCTGAGTTGCGTCGCAAGTCGCCTCTCAACCCCGAGCGTGGACTTTTTGCTAGCGCCCACCAAATGGGCACTTGCCGCATGGGGTCTTCGCCCAAGAATAGTGTGGTGGATGCCGACTGTCAAGTCTGGGGTACTGATAGTCTCTATGTCGTGGACGCATCTGTTTTTCCCAGCGCTAGTGGTGCGAATCCGATGGTCACCAACATGGGCATCGCCGATCACGCCAGTCGAAATATTGCCCAAGCGATGAAAAAGCCTCGCAGTGAAAGGAACATGGCACGTCTCTAAAAAATTAATTTTTCTATTGTATCAAGTCATTGGTGCCTCGGTCTTTACGATCTCTTCACGATATCCAACGTTTACCCTCGTAACATGGTTATTTTTAACCCGAAGCTGTATATATATGCCCTTTGCTATAATCATGGAAATAGTACCAGGTTGAAGAAGTCTTTGTCATTTTTTTTTTTAGCTCCATAACTGAGTCTGATTGAAAATCACCTCCAACCAATTTTTAATTTATTCCGGGGTGTCCTGACGCTTTTCAATATAGTTTTGAGGCCCGAACGCCTCCTTGACGCCGTCCACCTCAATGACACGCTCATACCAAGCCATGAGGGTTGGGTGTTTCTGACGCATCTCAGCGTCGATGATCATGGAGAAACCCCAGATGAGGCTCGAGGCGACAGTAATATCCGCCATGCTAATCTTTTCGCCATCAACCAACCACGTACGACCCTTGAGGTACGTCTCGAGGACACCAAGAGCGCGAGTCAGCTTCGTCATGGCCGACTTCTCAGACGCTTCGTTATAAGGATAAATCTTCATTCGCCAGAGCGCCAGCGTCTGGACATTATCGAGGATCTCGCCCTGTGCGAAGCAGATCCACTGACGGATCTGCGCACGCTGCGACGGAGTCGATCCCATTAGCTGTCCAGCTGCCGGCCCACTCTCGGCACAGTACTGCGCGATCGCATCGGATTCGATCAGGTTGGTTCCATCTGCACCCTCGAACGCAGGGACCTTGCCTGTTGGGAACTTCGACAGGTACTCTTCTGTCTTGTTCGTCTTGCCAAACTGGAAGTCTGGGGCGATGACCAGCTCCTGGCCGTTCAGGTTGGCCGCTGCCTGGGCCTGTTGGGATTTAGCGACGTGGCTTCTATCTAGGCAGGATTGGTTCCCGCTAAGATCGGATGTGGCGTGCGTACCTTGACAAGCCGAGGGCTTGGAGTGTATGTGTAGATAGTGCCCAATGGTGCCATAGTGGAGGTCGATGAGGAGATGATAGATGTAGGCCAGATCTGGGTTTCTATATAGTCTGTTGTGGGGACGGATTTTAAGCGCCGTATTTTCATCCCGCAGATTCGATGTGGCTCCATTGCTGCTTTGCTTCACCGTAATTCTGGTCTTTGCTCCACTATGGAATGATTACCATATTATTACCAATCATCAGGCACAGTTTAATAATCCAATTCGTGCAACCTGTGGACGGCGCTGACATGTCAGTTCGCTGGAGATCTCGAGGGTTTCGCATGTGAAAGTAATCAAGGGTGATCTTGAGCTGGAAGTTCAACGAGGATTCAAAGACATTGGAAGCTACTAATCGCCCCGATGCTCAATTCTTAGATTGCTTAGCCAGTAGCACAAGTGAAGCATATGGTCCATCGTATTCTGTGCCTGGACCCTTTTAACGGGAGCAACCGCGATGCTCGCATGCCGCCACTGCACACTTCCCCAACTTCCCCGATGTGAACCTCCATGCGCCCCCTGCTTAGTCTACCACCCGAACTACACCTTCTCATCGCCCACTTCCTCCCGATATGCGACCTCCTCAGTCTCAGAATAACCTGCGCCTACCTTCGTGACCTCATCCCCCGCCCCTCTCACACCCAACTCCTCCTCGCCGAGTCCACGCCCTGGGCAGCCGCTCGCGACCTCTACACATGCCGCTACTGCCTCCGACTCCGCACCGCGGGGCACTTCGCAGACCGCATGCTCCGGCGGCGGCGGGGCCGTGCTGGCCGCGACGCAGATCACAGGTTCTGCATCGAGTGTGGGCTGAAGCCCCGCCAAGGCCTGGCGCGGTATGGACCCGGCGCGCACCTGTCTGTCCAGGGAAGCTTCTTCGTCGTGTGCCTCACCTGTCGCCTGTTTCAGCCCGGGGCCTGTGATCGCTTTGGAAGGAATACGTCCGTATGTGTCTCGTGTTGGCAGAGGCGTTGCGGGGAGGCGGAGGCTAGGGAGCGGAGGCTAGGACTACGGGGTTTAGCTACCGAGGGGGGAATGTAGGTGGGTCGTAAGGGTATAATGTGGGCAGGCTCCATTTATTCTTTCTTTTCTTCCTGCACGAGTATAGTATAATTCGCTCAGTTATGATACTGGGTCTGGTTGGCAAGGACTTCCGTCCGAACGCTGCACGGGTAACAAACAAAGGATATCGAACTACATAGGGGAAACTGCTGGCGAATGCTGAGCTATTCAAGCTGCATCATGTCTGGCATGCTTCGTTCAGGCGCATATAATTCCAGCATACTGAATTGCAAGTTAGTGGCTCCTCTTTTCTGGACTCGGAGGGTTGTATACGTACTGCTCTTAGCCATGTCGTCTCCGAACATCTGCGCCAGCAACTCTTCGCCATCCTTGGTCCCGTCGGTTGGAGTATAAGTGACAGCCTTGTGGCCCAGCGCTAAGCCCATGAGAGATGGGAAAGGGCTCAGCTCTTGGTAGGCGGGGTGGATCCCGTCGCGCTTGGAGAGAATGCGCTGGTGGATGTTGTTCGCGGCGTACTGGCCCATATGCATGGCGCCACCGCAGCGCTTGATACCAGTCCAGGAGGCGATGTCTCCAACTGCGAAGTGGTCGTCTGCGTTGGGAACATCTCCTGCAAATTGAAGTCTGTGATGCGTTAGATATTGTACGGAGAAATCCACTCGCGATTCGTATCTTACGATGGACGGATCTTGATGTAGCCGTCTTCGTCAAGAGCCTCGGATGGGAGGTACGTTGAGGTAGGAATGCTTTGTGATATGGCACTCAGGACATGCCCGGCTATCAGCTGGCGGCCGTCACTCAGCGTAAGTCGCCACATGCGCTGCTCGGTCTCGGTGTCGACGGCGGTGGTGTCGATGACGCGCTGGCCGAGGATGGTCTCGACCCCGACCTCGCGGAGGACAGTGAGCACTCGCTCGGCGAATTCATTGGGCAGTGGCTCGGAGGACAGCAGTCGGTCTCGGGAATGGATCAGAGTGATTTTCTTCTGGGGATGGAGGATTTTTAACTCGGCGGCCATTTCCACGCCAACGGCCCCTATATTTCGTATGAATATCGCGTTGTGATTTAGCGACTAGAACTTTCACATACCTCCTCCAACGACAGCGATGCCTTCTCGGGCGTTAGTCACAGCCTTTGATTGCCGCTGGGCTTCTTGCAGGAACTCGACCCGTCGCAACGATTGCGGCACTGTAGGGAACACTCGGCGCAGGCCCGAGGCCGCAATCAGATAGTCGTACTGCTCAATGCGGTTCGCTTTGGTGGCTGTGTCGAGAATATGGGCGACCTTCTCTGCAGGGTTGATAGTGCTGACGGTGCCTTGAATAAAGTTGATATACGGCGACTTCAGGGCTGGGATGTCTTGGAACCGAGTCCATGACTCCGCAGCGAACTTCTCGCAGGCGAGGGATTTGGGAGATCCGATAAGATGGTCTATGCAAGACTGTGAGTGAAATATAAAAGATAACGATTGACCCAGAAACCATACAGTAGCCATCGCGCTCGTCTACAATGGTCATTTGGATAGGGACTTTATATGCGGGTACTTTGGCCTCGGGATTAGAGTCAAATCGAGCGACGCGGCCTCGTGCCAGATCGTGAAGGTTTAATGCAGCGGCGAGACCACCGTAAGAACCCCCCCACAATGAGAACCCGAACGGCTGGGAAACCAACCAGTGCGCCGCCGTTGGGAAGCATCTCGTTCTGTGTTGGAAAATCACAGGCGGTTTAGAGGAGGCGGAAGGAGAGAAGTGAGGTAGGGAGAACAAGATGAGAAGGCAAACCAGTCAAATGGGGAAGCCCACCGTGACCCCGTTCATGCGATCAGATATGGTCCGTCCGTGGAGCTGCACTTCGAAGGATCTTATCAGATGCGACATCGGGCGTGCATTCGTCAAGGGTTGGGCATTGGGTAAAATTATCAGATCCGAGTTCCACCCGGTTTTCCCTAGCGAGACCTCAATTTCCCCACCCAAACCAATCCCTCGGGGTCTCCTTGGGCTTGGCACGATTGCCTTGTCTTGTTTCATTATTCCAGAGGGTGCAAGTATATGTTCTACCGGAAGTCTACGGGGTGATCTCCCGCGGAGGGCAATTTCTTTACAATTCGGATGTCGTAGCCGTGATCACCCCACGCGGACCCCAAGTGAGTTCCACACTACGTCGACTAGGAAACCGACATGGCCTTCTAGAAAGCGGATGATTTGACCAATGAGCTAGACCACTGACGGATCTTGAAACCTTTCTTCCCGTTCAAGGGTTGGCTAGGGGAGATGCAGGATCCTGCTAGTCACCCGGATCGCTTGGATGCGGATGGCGTGTTTCAATCCGACCTCGGTTGGGAATTGGAGGCTCCGAGCCAAGGACTTCGTGGTCGGGCAAGGCAGTCCACCAACAAGGGCATAAGGGTAGGATTCAGGATTTGTGGAGGTAAGACACACTCTGGGTAAATTGTCCCGAGGTGGTAATCGGAGTTAGTAGAAGTGGGCCTAAGGGGAAATTTTCACACAGCAATGACAGGCGCAGAAGCAGACGGTGAGAGGCAACCTCGTCAAGTCTTGCCTCTTTGGTGCAGTGGGAACATAGCAAATGAAGAATACGTCTGCCTTCGCGTAACCAATACTGTGCTGTTCCAGACATGGTTAGCGCGGTAATCTTTGAGGCTAATATCAGACAACGTAGCCAATTACAGCACGATTCTTGATCAGACAAGATTACGCATCTAATCTGATTAAACCTTGGAAGGATCCGCGGCCACGCCCGACGCCAAATTTTGCTGGGAGGGGAACGTCCCAATCTGGGAGGTGGTTCATGTGAGTCGGATGCTACGCGAGGCCCCACCGTCGTGAAGGAACCCCCTCGAATCGCTTCATCTGATAAGAATTCTGACGCGGGCAACTCCGGTAAACATGCCGCTCGTTCTAGCCTAGGCCTCGAATGCTCGATAAAAAGAAAAAACAATGAAAGTCACTAGGGCAGAATGCCCACATTAGGGACTAGTGCCAATCCTTCTAGAATCAATAGTTATTGTACATTTTTTTTCTTCTGGGCCGCTCTGGAAGATTCATGCTTGCGCTGCTCGTTCCGCTCGTCCCGCCAGCGCCCTCACTGCCAGCTGCCGTAATTCCACCTTCCGAACCTTTCCGCTACCCGTCACGGGTATAGTGCTAGGGATGCCCTCCTGCCCGAAAACAAATACGTATTGTGGAGCTTTATGACGACCCAGAGTTTCGCGGGTCCAGGTGCGGAGGGTTTCGTCGGTTGGTCGGCTCTGGCGGGGGCCAATTGGATGAACGCGCCCGCCACTTCTCCGTATCTCTGGTCTGGGATGCCGATGACGGAGGCAAGCTCGATTGATGCGTGGGCAGTCAGTCGCTCTTCGATCTCGAGGGGATAGATGTTCTCGCCGCCTAAAAAAATGGTTAGACGTGATTGCATCGAATGTTTTAGCTTACAGATGCGACTTACCCCGGATAATAATATCCTTGAAGCGACCGGTAATGGTGCAGTATCCCTGTTCGTCAAAGGACGCTTCGTCACCGGTATTAAGCCAGACTGTGCCCTCGGAGTCGGTCGTCAGTGCCTCAGCTGTCCTCTCCGCGTTGTTCCAGTATCCCTTCATCAATTGGTATCCAGCCATGCAGAGCTCGCCGCGCTCGCCGATGGGCACAATATTGCCCTGGGCATCGATGATTTTTGCCCGCGCGTGAGGAAGGACTTTGCCGACAGTTGTGAGTCGGGTGTGGATGCTATCGGTCGTAAAAGCGTTGAAGCATGTAGGTGACGCTTCCGTAAGACCTGGCAGACCTCTTTAGCTGAGGCTACGAGCTATGAGACCTAGCCTGCGTGACGCACGTACCATAACTGCTAGTATATTCGGTCATGTTCAACTCTTCAAACAGTCGCTTCATTAGCGGTCGAGGAACTGGAGCGCCTGCAATGATCCCGGTGCGCAGATTGGAAGTGTCGAATTCGCTGGGTTTGGGGATGCTGAGAATGGCCTCGAACATGGTCGGTACGCCGTGGAGAGCAGTACACTTCTCATCGGATACAGCGTGCAGCACAGCCCTGGGATCAAAGGTCTCGCTAGGGAAAACAATCTTGGAACCGTGGGTGACCACTGCTAGCATTCCCAATACCAGTCCAAAGCAATGGAAGAGGGGTGGAGGACAGCAGAGAATATCAAAGGAGGTCAGCTTCATACGGTCACCAATGAAGCGGGAATTGTTGACGAGATTGCTATATATCATTAGCTTTGCGAATCCTAGTACCATCTCGTAGGTTTCACATACGAATGGGTCAGCATAGCGGCCTTGGGGCTTCCCGTGGAGCCGCTGGTGAATTGTAAGTTGCACACGTCGCTCGATCGTAATTCCGCTTCGCGGTCCTGAAGGACGTGAGCGGCGTGTAGAGAGCCCCGGGCAATAACATCTTTATAACTCGTGAAGTCCTGGTAGGTATTGCGCAAGATGATGATCTCTTCCAGGTCTTTCGAGGCTCCGCGCTGCTTGGGGGTTGGTCCGAGTTCGGCTAACATGTCCTCAAGATTGTGGCGTCCAATACGCGGGGTCATGAAAAGAAACCGGCATCCTGTGAAGAATAAAACGACGAGATCAGCCTATCTGCATGCCATATAGTCGATCCCACACATCCGAGTCCTCACCGCTGTGGTTAAGGGCGTAATAAAGGTCTGATGGAGTATAGGTGTTGTTCAGCACCACCAGAATGGCCCCAACCCGAGCTGCGGCGAAGAATAGCGAAATATACTGTTCACAATTGCCGGCCATGACGCCGACCCGGTCACCCCTTTGAACTCCCATGGCAAGCAGACCTCTTGCCAGGCGATCGGTCTCCTCCTTCAGGTCCGTATAAGTCCAACGCGCCCCGGTCCAGGGGAAAACCAAGCATTCGTAATCACCATACTGCAGTGCTTGCAGGGTCAGGAGCTCTCCCAGAGTAATATCTAAGAGCTCTGGAGTGCTTGGTCCTTCCACATGCGACCATTTTAGACCTCCGGGTGCTGGCTGCACATGGGAAAGAGTCTGTTGCAGACGCTGCACACTCCGAGGGGTAGTCATCCTGGATTGACTGGAATTATCCCGAGGCAAAACAGGGGAAGAACTGACGGCCAAGAGGGCGCCTGGAGAGCTTATAGGAATGGCATGCGAATGCCATGGAAACTTTTTTTTTTTTTAGTACAGATTCCCTACGTCTAGATTTCCTCCTTCGTATCTGATCCGATCGAATCGGTCAATCAGCGGATCGTGGTGGAGACCTCGTACGGTAAGTCGGTAACGTCTGCAAGGGCCCACTCGTCAACCACGTGAAATGACGGTCCATTGCGTGGTGGATTCGTACTCTGTCTCGTCTACCTGTGGACACTAGTAAGCCACTCAATAAATGAGTCTCCAGTCAGCTTAAGTGTATTTCCCCTTGCTCCTAATGTCTAGTTTTATGCCGAGGTACATTCTGGTGAGCCCTGTGGGTCCTTTCAGTGTCTCGCTTGTAGGGCTGGGATGACGTCGGGGATCTTCTTCTTGGGTTTCCTAAGTTGGGAATCTATGCCGTAGCTTATGGTCCGAGAGGCAACTGGGTCCTTGACGCGGCGATTAAAGTTCTAGTTCGATATTAAGACAGTGGGGCTTCCCTCCTCGTGGCACTCCACTGGAAGCATAGGGCACCTACCAAGTCCAAGTAGCGTCGGAAAGATCCGACCGAAATCAGGTCTTATTACTTGTCACGTTGATGAAGGGGTCTTCCGGCCGAATAGGGTGGAGAAACTCGCTCCAATAATCATTGAGGCAGAGACATTCTAGTCAAAAAGATAGCTGAGCTAGACCCGTCTGAAACGATCATAGAAATGCATTGACCGATTCAATAATCCCCTCCCCATTTTCTTCACCATTGCCATCCACTGGTGTCCTCGGGCCAATCAGTACGGTCAGATGGCTTAGCCAATCCGTAAATGACATAGTCTGCTTGGCGAAACCGTTTCTTTGGATCAGTAGGGACTGCCGCCTCAAAATTGGAAAAGCATCTATTCCATGAGAGTTAGTGACCACTTAGGAGTGTTCATCCATTGTTGAAAAAAAATCACATACAGGCTTCCAGTAGACTCATCATACGTGAGACTCGCGGGGGTAGTATTCAATGGCGTGATTCCACATCGTAAAATCTGTCTATTTGAAGAGTTAGTCCCTTAACGAAACACCTGTAAGGAAGGATTAAGGATATGAACTTACTGGTAGATCTGGCGAAATTGTTCACGGATCCAATCGCGTTGCTTCTTTTTGAGACTCCAAAAATAGTCCTTGGATAAAGGGTTCCCCGGAACCTTCTCCCAGACAATCAAGACTTCATAACCACCAGGGACAATTTCGTTAGGTCCCTGTGTACCTTCGTGGTAACCTAGGAGCTTGGGAATGCCAGAGCATTTTTGCTGTGTCAACGTGATAAATGCCCTCAGCTCACAATTCGAAATTCGCGGGACTGCCTGGCTAGCTCGGATACTAGAGGGGGCGAATGCGGTACCATCGATAGGGATTTGACGATAAATTCGCATAAATGCTAGCTTTTGCGGATGGCCCTTTAGATGGCAGATCAACTTTGCACCAGCACACCCAGGCTTATAACCATGGTCGATGTCCCACTGCGTTGTGACATTGGCTATCTCTTCGAGCTTTTTGGTGATAATCCATGTCCGAGATGGCAGCTGAAGTTCGGGCTTAGCCTCAGTAGTGATCTCAGTGCCTTCATAGACCCAGATATAGGAACTTTCGAAGGGATCCATGTTATCTGTAAAGGCTGGGAGAGAGAATCGTGTGTGAGAAGGAAGTTTGGTACGACTGTCGATACAACTGTGGCAGATAGGAAACAAAGAAAGATATGTCAGAAGATGGTTCAGAAGCTGTCTGACGTGGGCGTGACGCTGACACTTTATATCGTGTCGATAGCCAAGCAGCGCCTGATACTGGAGGCATCAACGATACGCCGTCATGGCGGAAAAGGCCATAGACCTAGGCGTCTGTATTTTGAGGGATCCAGGTATTATCCAAATTTTTATGCACCATGTTTCTCTCTCCTTCCACTTCCACCGACTGGTTGCTCGAAAACAGAGTACCGCGTTGGTTGATTTGTCTTTACTCGAGCTGTGAATAGACTACGTTTCTATACCTTACATAGCAAGAACTTGGAAGGATTCAAAAATTTGCTTGCAACTATTGATGATCATCTGCCAAACTCCTTTTAATTGCCGAACCAAGCGGATTTAAGTGGCTTGTTCGTAACTGGTCCCTCGCGAACTGCAAGTTCCGCAACATGAAGGAAACACTGCCTGACTGAAACAACCAGCTGGCCAGCGTTCTGATTGGCCGGGACATATCTTGCAGATCCTTGGATGACAGGAGAATAGTATATTCTCCACGTCCCTTGGACAAGCTCCTGCTTCAGGAATATGGTCTCATCGTACGTGCTCAAGAAGCCGTACATACAGTCGAGATCATACATGTAGTTAATCGAGTCGGAGAGTAAATGCCTGAACTGCAGTGATTGTGCGGCGAGACCAGATAATCTGTGTTTCCTGATCCATGGTACCTTCAGTTCACCTACTATCTTCAGCTCGGTCTGACTGGTCTGCAGGATCGTGTCGGGAGTGCCAGAATATCGGTGTCCTAGGCATTTAAAGTCCGCAAAATGCAGATCTATCGCCTGAGCTTGGAAGACATGACCCATTACGGAGCCTATCCATTGCTGGAAGCGACCCTGAACCCCATACTCGTCGCCAATCTCCACTACCTCTTCATCTAGGCGCTCAGTGTGTTTTATCACTCTTGTACTCCATCTCTGAGACGTGATCGCTGCGTCCACATCCCGTATGAAATTAGGCCAGGGCAGGAGAGGGCCTTTGAAAGCAAGACTGTTGGTATTGCTGGTTCGTGTGCGGAACTGCCCAATCCGAAGAGTGGGGAGCTCAGATGCCGTGACTTGTTTGGTCCTCCTCCGTGTAGTAGATGCCATGCTGACCGAATGTCTGGCTTTTGTTTCAATTTAGTAGGGTATGCTTCATGCTAAGATGAACGTGGGGGTAAAATACCTACTGCTTGAATAGCTTTAGTAAGTTACTGTTTTGATCACCGCAAGTAAGGAGTTGAGAGGCAGAGGGATTATTTGATGATGGATAAGTGATCGATGTGTAAGGCGAAACTGACCGAGAAATGATCGAAGTGTAAGGTGAAGCTGATGAGTGACGCTGCACTTTTATACTGCATAAGCAAACGCAATATCCGGACTTTGTATATTTCTTTCGGAATTGTCCGTGGAAGAATCCGTACCTGAAAGAGGTTGCCTATCTGATAGAACTTTCTGGCCAGATCATCTTGGCCTAATAAGAGACTTGAGACGAGAGAGAATGAATGGTTCAGGTTCTTGAAAACGTTCTTGATCTGAGCCTTACGGCCAAGGTCTGTCACCAGATGTCAAGTTTAAGCTGGCTGGCTAGATATTAACTACTACAAGTATATGGATCCCTCTTGTTTCTGGTTCGTTTCTTTTAGGTAATATATTCTTTTGATTAAGCCAATAATATATATAATACATAGTATTCATATGATATACAGTGGTGTCAAGGGGAAACCTAATCGGAGTTGGGACATAGTAATAACAGTATTTCAATTTAGAATACTAAAGCTAAGGAGGGAAGAGGAGAAGTGAAAGAAGAAGAAGCTACAACGACCGATCTAATAACCAACTCCGACCACCCTACCATCCACTTTCGCATGTGTTCGGACGACCGTAGTTCAGATGGTGCTGGCATCAAGGGCGGTAGGGAGCGGCAGAATCGGCCAACGGCTGACAGGTGGTACATTAGAGCCACGAGTACGATACAGTTCATGATTCTTCAAAGCTGCCCCCTATTAAGCAAGTTCACTCAACCACGATTTGACCTTCTTTCCTTGCTCAGTCTCGGTGTTGTCACCAAGCTCTAGGTTATAAACGGGAGCAACGTGACATTCGCGCTTTCCAACGAACAGTTCGACGTTAGGAAACCCGGTCTTGAGCTTCTCAGCGAAGTCAAGGATGAGAGGCAACAGGATCTCATTACCTCCGGCGGTAATCAGGATGTGATGCACAGGTAAGGATTTGAACCACTCTGTTGGGGCATTAGATAAATCAGTGTAGTAATCACGTTTGGCATCTCCCAAATAAGATGAGGCCCAGGGAACGGCGACTGCCTGTGTGATAAGATCGCCGCCATGGTAAATCTCCTGATCCGGGAATTCAGTGTCAAGGAGTGTCCATGGCGCAATCAAAATCGCTCCAGCAAGCTTGCTGCTCAGAGTCAAAGGCTCAATTTCCGGGTGTGGGTGAGCAATGTGCGAAAGCACACCGCAGGCCAGGTTGCCGCCCGCCGATTCACCGGCCAGGAAGACATTGGCGGGATCCCGCTTCTGTTCGACGATGACATGGCGCAGAGCTGACACTGCTTGCCGTAGTTGGGCAGGGTAGATTGCCGTCGGGGCAAGGGTATACGTGAGCGAGAAGATGGCGACGCTCTTGCCGACACGCTCAAGATCACGAATGATCTGAGCAAAGAATTTGAAGTGGCCTTCGTTGGCAGGCAAGTTGAAACCGCCACCTGCAAGCAACAATGAAGATTCAATTAGTATATCTCAAGAAGTCAGGTTTTCTCTGGGTAATTGCGCACCATGGTACCAAACAATCACGTTGGTCGCATTGCGGTCGCCAACCCAATGGCCCAGGCCCCCGTGTTCCAATTCCACAGTCTCGGCAACCTGGCCGCTCTTCCGCGCATACCGCTCGTAGATCTTGTTTGTGGGTGGCAGGATGAATTGGAGCTGCCGGGGCGAGAGCCGGGCAGTAGCCTGGCGGAAGATCGCATAGCCAAAATGCAGGAACAGGGTCTTTGCCTGGCGTTCTGTACGCCAAAGACCCGTCAGAAGGGCATAGAAGCCCGCTAGGACAATGGAGGCTAACGCTGGCACAAAGTCCAGGGCCTCAGCCAGGGTCAACTTTGCTCGGGTGAGGGCCATCGTGGAATCATACGACCGTCAAATCTGCGCGACCTGGCGCGCCTGATAAAGTGGCGGGGGACATGATGGCATATTGAACCTCGGAGGTGAAGAGCGACGATCTGCTTCGCAGAGCTCTCCTAACTAGGCAGCGATCATCGTCGTTCCAGAGCATGGAGAGGATCGACCTTATTCTTTCCTCTTTGGGACGATATTGCTCCTTTCCCGCCTTTTGGGACCGAGGCCACCGCTGGAGTCGAGTGGAGTCCCTCGGCCAGAAGCAAGCAGAATTCACCATGATTGGAGCGCTGGAAGAGTTGGAAGAGTGTGAAATTTTTGACAGCTTCCGTGGTCATGCAACGACACGTTGAAGATTTGGTGGTTTGATGATCTCGTGAAAGTCAGGGCGATCTCCAGATGTACCAGCTAGGTTTTCGATAGGATTGAGATCTGTGTAACTCGAACCAGGACCTCAAGGAGCCTCTAGAGTTAGGAGCGCCTCAACTCCCGCGGGAAGGTGAATGGCACAAACCACCCCCATTTCACAAGACATGCTGATGGCCCGAAAGTAGGCAACCATGGCGAGCAGTTTGTCTTAGTGCGTACATCTCGCGAGCTACCATATGCATAGAACTCCTGGCCCTTGTGATTTGGCGCAGGTTCCTGTGATGCAATGGGGCCCCGCAAATGCCCCATTCGGTAAGAACCCAAAAATCCACCCGGGCGATTTGGCCCAAGTTGGTCCCAAACAGTATCCAGAGCGAAGATCCAGCCCACCATAAACCGAGGCATGTGCTTCTTTGGGAGCCTCCAAATCTAAAAAAGGACCGACTCCCTCCATCGGGGCGCTTTCACCATTGTGTATTCACTGCCATCCTGCCACCATGAACGGACACGCTAATGGGCATGCGGAAACGCGCTACGACGTAGTGATCATCGGCGCAGGCGTCTCAGGAATCAACGCCGGCTTTCGCATACAGGACCAATGTCCAGGCTTCAGCTATACCATCCTCGAGGCGCGTGATGACCTCGGAGGTACCTGGGATCTCTTCCGCTACCCAGGCATTCGCTCGGACTCAGATCTGTTTACTTTCGGATTTCAGTTTAACCCTTGGAACCTCGACAAGCCCATTGGAGAGGGTCACCTGATCAAGAACTACGTACGCGAGACCGCCGAAAAGTTTGGAATCGACAAGCATATCAAGTACCACCACCGCGTCGTGTCTGCGGACTGGTCAAGCAACGACAGTACTTGGTCTCTCCAAGTGGAGCGCGATGGGACCCCGACGACCTATACCGCTCGATTCGTCATTTTCGCTTCCGGATACTACAACTACGAAAAGCCGCTCGAGGCTGTGATTCCGGGTCTGGATAATTTCCAAGGCCAGCTAATTCATCCTCAGTTCTGGCCGGAGGATCTGGACTACGCGAATAAGAAGATTGTCATCATTGGTAGTGGTGCCACTGCGATCACTCTGCTCCCAAACCTGGCCGAGAAAGCCGAAAGAGTGACCATGATCCAGCGCAGTCCCTCTTATATCCTCTCGCTTCCTAATCGCACCTCTAGCTGGTTTCTCAAATATTTCATGCCCACAACCGCTTATCTCAGGCTGCAACGCTTCATTTGGCTTCTGAGCTCTCGCTTTTTCTTCCTCTTCTGTCAACGGTTCCCCTCCATCGCCCGCTGGATTCTCAACCGTCGTGCGGGCAGAGAGTTGCCCAAGCATATCCCTGTGAACCCTCACTTCACCCCCCGCTACAATCCGTGGGACCAACGTCTTTGCGTCTCTCCTGATGGTGATTTCTATGAGAGCTTGCGTCGCGGGAAGGCTGATGTGCGGACGGATACCATCAAGACCGTCACAAAGAAGGGGGTCACGCTTAGCTCCGGTGAAACTGTAGACGCCGATATCCTTATCACCGCGACAGGTCTCAAGCTGCAGATCGCCGGTGGCGCTACCTTATCGGTAGACGGCGAGAAGGTTGATATTGGCCACCGCTATCTGTGGAACGGAGTCATGCTCCAGGACCTTCCCAATGCCTCTTTCATCATTGGATACACCAACGCTTCGTGGACGCTGGGCTCGGACGCCACTGCGCAGTTCATCACTCGCCTGCTCAACTCGATGAAGACGCGCAAGTTGATCGCTGCTACCCCGACCATGACTCCCGAGCTCGAGGCGACTATTCAACGCCGACCTCTGCTGAATCTCACCTCCACTTACATCAATGTTGCCGACCGCGTTCTTCCCTCGCTGCCGATCGTGGCCCATGGCAACCGCGTGACCACTACATGAAGGACATTAAGTTCGCCCTCAAAGGCAACATTGATGACGGCATGAAGTACACGCAGGGTCCTAATATCCACCTGCATGAGAAGCTCGCATGATTCATGGTCATGTGTGGATATTCTGACGGAAGATGTAACGAATCTTTTTTTTTTTCGCCCTTGTTCATATTCATTCCCCCTTTTGTTCAATAATTAGTTAGAAATTTAAATGAACGCTTATATATACCGGTCTTACTGGTTCTACAAGCCTGGAAACATCGATAATTTGAATCCACCCCATGGCGTTAGTCAATGCCGGTACATAAGGAGCATTATAGATCCAACACCATTGGGCCAAGCCTGCGTAGCAGGACTTTTTCGTCAGTAGCATTGAATGAAATTTCTGATCGGTCTGATAAGTTGAAGATGTGGACATTGGATGGAAGGCTTGTGTGTGTTAAAAGATACTAGAATCGGTCATAATGCTTTCCCTGTAGATAAACCCCGAAATCATGATATGCAAACCTCAAACATGGCAGGCTTGCATGTGTAAGAAAAATTTGAGTCGGTCAACGAGATACCCTTTGCCGTAGAAATTCCCGAAATAATGAAATGCGTGATAAAATAATGAGACTTGCATGGAATAAGAATTATTGGATCGGTCAACGAAATATCCTTTCCCCATAGACGGCGCTGAAATAAATGAAATGGATCGTTCGAACATGGGACAAACCCGCACCTGTTTAGCAGTCATGTTTTATTCGCTGGATTGGGGTTTCTCCAGGTTGGGGCCCAGCATCCCCAGCACTCGCTGCCAGGAATGGCTGGCCCGAGCGGCATGCTCATTAGGCACCGTGGGGTCATCTTCGAGCAGAGTTCGCGAGAAAACCTCCATACTCACCCATCCGGCATAGCCGAGTCCATTCAAACATGCGCCCGCCACCTCACGAATGGGCAAGTATCCGCCCCGCTCCTCCTCGCAGGGAAAGAGGCGTGCATTGCGCGACCAAGTCAATAGCTTGGGCAGTGTGGGGTCCTGCAGGAAACCAGACTGGGGATCGACCCGCTCACCATCAGCCAGCTGCACCATGATCACCCGGTGCGGATCAACCTCCTTGACCAGACGGGCCATCGATTCCTGGAGGTCTTTATCGGCGTGCTCCGGCAGGCGGCCGGTCGAGCTGGTCGGGTCCCCCCACACGCGGGCCGCGATATTGAACGTATCCAGGCAAAGACCCAGGTTGGGGCGATTGGCCCGCTTCACGATCTCCCACGAGTCCTCCCAGGTATTCACATAGGTGCCCCATGCGAGCGCCTCGTACGCAATGCGCGTCGGGTACGCGAGATCGGCGGCTTCAACCAGATCCGCTACAATGCGGTCGCGGTCACCGGTGATCTTGGATGCATCGAGGAAGGAGGAAGGGATGAGGATGAACAGGTCGTCGCCGAGGATACGGCAGAGCTGGACCCAGTGGCGCAGCTCGTCGAGGCGGGCAGCGTGCTCGGCACGGTCGATCAGGCCCTCATAGTGACGGAAGGGCTGCAGAGCCAGAATCTGCAGACCCCGCTTGGAGCAGAGATCACGGATGGCGTGTGCGGCGTCGATCTCGTAGGCTCGATCGGTGCGGGCCGGGTCCGGTGCGGTGGCGGAGAGGGTCTTCGCGAATTGCGCGAGGTCGTCGTGGAAGAGCTCAAGGCCCTGCTGGCCATTGCGGGCGGCGGCGTCGATTTTCGCGGTCAGCGAGTGCAAAGCGCTAGTGCCGAGACTCACGGTCGCAATAGCTGGTTTCCAACAGAGCTCCAAATCGGAAGTGGGGGGCGTTGGCGGAAAGGACTGCATGGCGGGCACTAAAAAATGACGTGAACGCGATCACGATCTGGCGGGTTTGGGTAGATCGGGGTCGGATTCAAGATTATATGTTGAACCCGGCTGCTTACCACTTTCCCGTGCTCGTTTGAAAAAGCAAACATCCCGTCTTCAGATCCTTTCGACGTGTCGATCAGCTCCTTCAGGGGCTTTGCAGCTGCAGCGAATAAGTGGACCGCGCGTCAGGTCAGGGCGTGTCGAAGGGCGACCCGCGTGGGCCACAAGCTGATAAAGTGGGGGGGGGGGGCTTTCGTCTGGTTCCTGCAAGGTGAGCAAAGATGCTCGGAGGAATCGAGCTGGGAAACAAGGCGCAGGGTGGGGCAGATAGACGAGCTATCTTGGAGAGTGAGTTGCTACGCAATCAAGTAAACACTATCACACCAGCTAGGGAATAGCGCAGGTCTGTTGCGTGCATCAGAACGCCACGTTATGACCATTTGGAATGGAAAACTTTCGGTCTCCTGCAGCCGCTCGTGGCTGGCGTAGGTTCATATCGGGCATCGACATTGAGATCGAATGATCGTTCTCGACCTTTCGCTGGTTATACTGGGGTCCTGCCTGCAGGCAGCAGGGATGTCATATGCATGACCAATGATCTACAGAAACCTGGCCAGCTACACTTTGGCGATCCCGACGCTCATGCAGTTATGCTTCCAGCTTACTAGGGCTTGCAGTTTTCGGTTTTTGGTGAGTTTTGTTCTGGTCCAAAGGGCCAAAAGCTGGCTTGTGGGTTCAGAGACGCTCTGCCCTCCATATCAGAAGTGGATTCCCTTTGCAGATCCATGCCACGCTGAGTCTGTTCAGAAATCGGTCCCCATTGGGTCCCAAAATAATGGTCACTGGTTCCGAGGACGATCTATCATCGCTCCAATTCATTTTATTGCGGCTAGCGCCAATAGAAACCCCGTATTGCCCGACGAGGCTCTCCTGGATCCCTCTCGCCCCCAGGTGACGGACGGGAGCTTCATACAATGTAACCTTGTGAGATATTGTTATCAATATCCAATCCATTCGTTCGTCTTGCTAGTATCCTTTTGTATTCCTATCTTCTATCCGAAACATCATGATGTCTGTAATTTCTACATAATCGTCAAAATTGCTTGTGGGGCTTCCGAATCAAGATCACGGTGCAGCGGAACATTATGTTTTGGATATATAAAACCCACCGCTTCAGGTACAAGGATGAGACCAAGCTTCAACAGCTTCAACCTTCCGTGGATTGGCCAGTATCCAATGAAAGCACTTACCGGCACTATCGATTCCAAGTTGTAGGCATTGAAATTATGCTACATATCTCGCAAGAGGGTTTCCAGGTCACTGGTTGAAATCTTGCCTATGCGGATCTGCCAAGCCTCCAGGGTGTTTGCTCCTGTACGGAGTATGCACTGGCAACAAAGACTGTGGCGATTTCTCAGCCAGCCTTGAGATCCGTAACCTTTCATTCATGGTACACTGTACTCAGACATCGGAAGAAACCTTGGAAATCCCTCTCGAGGGATCTGTACTTTTAAGTTTCTGCTCAGGCCACAAAACAGCAATGGAATCACCTGGGGAATAGTGAACGATCCAGGAGATGAGTTTTTAGAATATCTACAGTGGTAGCTACGTTGGATACTAGGTTGATGAGGCTGAGCGAGACTGACTCCTACAAGCGTCCGAGATGACTGGTCGTTGGATCTTGACGTGAGGGGAGTTCACGAGGAAAATCACGAACCTGGACCATCTCGGCGCGTCCATGTGAACGGATGATCGCCAGTTGACTCATAGGATCCAACAATGAGACTTTTCCCCCGACCCAGTATGTGGCTGCTTTGATAGCCTCCTACTTGTAGAGCCACAGCGTTCTTCCACAAGGCGAGCGGGGACGTGACGGCTGTCCAGGCGACTACTTGGAAGTAGCGGGGTGGCTGGAGAGAACGAAGCTTTCGGGCGAGGGTGTAGGCTGAGGGAGGACTATGCGAGCTTGAAGGCGGCAAGGATGACGAGGCATAAGGTTCGAACAAAGTGCCAGGGCGACCGTGGATGCGGGAAAGGGAGGAGCTAAAGGCGGGAGCGAAGGCAGCCAGGCTTGGCATCATCGTTCGTTGGCAAGACAGACGGACAAGACCTCCCTGTTCGCCATCTCAGAAAACGCCAGAAGGGACAAATGAGGTCCGTGTCTGTTGTTTCCCCCGCACCGCATTCCAAAATTTCCTCCCAGCAACGCATTGTGATCGCCCACCCTACATTGCTGAGCTTCCCGCGCGACAACGCTACGCGAACTTCCGCGCGCTCTCAGACTGGCTTTCATTCTCCCTGTGAGGCATTATTGCGATCTTGCGGCTCGACCGTGCGTGGATCGGCAAGCTCAGATTCCAACTCCAGGCCACGATCAACAATTCGAGGGCAAAGGCCTAAGTTCGGGGACTGCAAGTCCGTGTTAGCTGGAATTTGATAGAGCATACTTGTAAGTCGCTGGCCATCCATGGCATTAACCCTGGTTTGTTTCTTTTGCTCTTCTTGGATCAGAGTTGCTCCTCGACAACCGACATTGCCCCCATAATCCTTTGCTGGGGTTGGCGATATCGAGGCCCACAGCCAAGACATAGAACAGTAAAATCGACAACTGTATCTGAAGTCGGCCAATTCTGCCAAGATATACCAAGAACCATGGAGAGGGCAATCAATTGGAAGGCGAAAGCTTTGCTAACATGTCTGTTTGCCGCAGATAGCGTGCTTTGTCTGCCAAATCCAGCCGGTTCGACGGCCACCGGGGCGGCGACAGCTTTTGAAACCCAATATCCTCCATCAAACCCGGAGGATAGATTGTTAGTACCCGAGACCAAACCGGTAAGTTGCATGAAATGAAGCATGGCATTAAAAAGATAGAAACTGACGCTGAGCGGTAGGTCTATCGAGTGGCATTGAAGCACGAGGGACATCCGGCGCAACAACCTTTCCCTATTTACAGCGTGGGCCGCCAGCTGAATAGCCAGAAGAACGAAGACAACAGCTACTACGACGGCGAGGACGAGGACGACGAGGACGACGATTTCGGTATTGGTGGCTTTGGCGACTTTGCCGAATTTGAAGGCTTAGATGGTCTCAACAACTTCTTTGACAACGAACCCACGCCGAGCTCGTCTGTTGTTCACGAACAAGCCCCAAAGGCTACGTCTGAGCCCGTGCCGGAGGCTGTAGGAACTATCACAGGTGGGCTCAAGAAGAACGTGGATTGTGAGGGCGAAAACTGATCTATTTCTTCAGATCAACTTGTGGCTGCTTCAGCTCCTAGTAAGCAGCACAAGCCTCAGGCCTCAGCCCCCAGCCAGGCTTCCGATATGAGCGGTCAGGATATCTTTAGCCCAGTTGCGACTGGCCCTCCAGCAGCAAGCATCAAAAGTCGGGACGACCATCCAGTGGAGAACAAGCATGTCAGTATATCTCAAACTATGCTCAGAAGATATACTTACCAAAGAATAGGCTCTTACCGAGGACGCCATCCAGACTAACAAGTTCTATGCTGGACTCTTCCTCGGCTCCCAGACCAATGCAAGCTTCACACAGCCATACTCAATTGCTTGGTCTAAGGGAACTGGCCATCTCCAGAGCTGGGGCATGGCAGTATCGCACGTCGAAGCCAATCTTTTGGCATACGGACCCCAGAACCACAACATCTCTGGGAGCCCCGTGAGCTATTATATCAACCCCATTGGCCTGCAGCACATCATATTCTCGGCAAAGGAGCTGGATGAAAAGTCAACACTGCACGTTGAACAACCAAAGGCGTTTTCGGCACACGCAGTGGTGAAAACCTCCTCTAAAACGCAGTCCATCACCTTTCCAATGGTTCAAGGTATGGGTTTCGTGACTGCTCTCTACGATGGTATGGAGCCGATCCTTGAGAGTGGCGTTTTCTTCCGCAAGGTCGTCAACGCAGGCTCCCCCAAGCCTGGTATCTTCAAGTATCAAGTCTTCCTCGAGGACGAGACCGTCTGGTTGCTGTATGCCACGCCTGACGATGGCAAGGACCCTCATTTCAATCTCACCTCCAAGAACGCTTTGCAAGGACCCAAAGGTTATGCCGGTACCCTGCAAATTGCTAAGAATCCTGCTGGAACAAGCGGGGAAAAGTTGTTTGACAATTCCAGCAGCGTCTATCCTCTTGCTGGTCACATTCATGGATCCGTCACCTCGGACGAAGGCACCTATGGTCTCTCTTGGACCAAGGCTGGCAAATACGCCGATGGGACGCCCCTGATCATGTTTGCCCTGCCTCATCATATCGAATCGTTCGACAATGATACAAAAGGCCGCGTGACTGATATCCACTTGCGCACAACGACCAAAGGAAAGGCCACTGCGGTCATAGGAGAGAAGTGGACCATGATTGAGTCCAACTTGCCAGTGAATATTGGGTTTGCTCCGTGGTCACCGACCCATGGATCCGCACATCTCCTGTCTCAGGGCGCTCAACAGGTCATCCTGAAAGCCGCATCGGAGGAATTGAAACAGGATATTGAGGCGCAGTCCGACCTTAACAGCATGTACTACAGTGGAAAGGCCCTCAGCAAATTTGCCACCTTGATTTACACTGTTAACCAGTTCACAAGTAATGATGGAAGCGCCACCAAGGCTTTGGGAGAGCTGAAGAAGTCCTTTGCTCGTTTTGTTCAGAACAAGCAGCAATATCCCCTTGCCTATGATTCGGTGTGGAAGGGCGTTGTCTCTACTGCCGGGTACAATGGAGACTTGAATCAGGATTTCGGTAACACTGCTTACAACGATCACCATTTCCACTACGGTTATTTCATCCATGCTGCAGCTATCATTGGTGCCCTCGATCCGGATTGGTTAGCAGAGAACAAGAACTGGGTCAACACCCTCGTTCGAGATGCTGGAAATTCGGTCGAGAACGACGAGTACTTCCCATTTTCCCGGTCCTTTGATTGGTACAATGGACACTCGTGGGCCAAGGGTCTGTTTGAGTCTTTTGACGGAAAAGACCAGGAGTCCACATCTGAAGACACTATGTTTGCTTATGCCATTAAGATGTGGGGACAAACTACTGGAGACCGCAGCATGGAAGCTCGCGGAAACATGATGCTCGGAATCATGCGTCACTCCCTGGATAGCTACTTCTTGATGAAGCAGGATAATCAGAACCAGCCAGCCAACTTCACCAGCAACCGAGTCACTGGAATTGTGAGTTTACCCATGCTTTGACCTACCACGGGAACGTACTGACCAATTCCAGCTATTCGAAAACAAGGTTGACCATACTACCTATTTTGGCGCCAACCTCGAGTTCATACAAGGGTATGCTTCTATCATTGACTTGTCAAGCAAACTAGGGCTGATCATCGTCGCAGAATCCACATGCTTCCTCTTCTTCCTCATTCGGCTTACACTCGTCAACATGACTTTGTCGCTCAAGAATGGAAGGACATGTTCTCGCCTGGTTCTCTCACACCAGCTCACGGGGTTGAGGGCGGGTGGAAAGGCGTTCTGTTTGCCAATCTTGCCATTATTGATCCTCAGCAATCATGGGACTTCTTCAGCCAGGACAACTTCGATTACAGTTGGATTGATGGAGGTGCCTCTCGCACATGGTATTTGGCTTACGCTGCAGGTGGGTTTCCTTCACCCTAGCATTACTGTTCCGATAACTGATTATTATTAGGTCTTGGCGGAGGGCCAAACTGACCTTGCTCGTCTTCGAGTACTGATACCTTTGATGGCATCTCATGCTTGTGTTGGCCTATATTTTATATTTTGTCGGATTTAACACCCTTCGAGCCTTACTGTTATCAGCACCGGCTCATTCCTATAAATATTTGATCCTTTTTTCTTAACTGGTTCATTTCCATTACATCCTTTGTGAAGGACGACATCTTGAGCAGCTTTGCTTAAGATAAGTTCTGCACAGTAGCAATCGCGGTTCATTAGTGAGGATCCAAAAACCTCTACTCGTAACTTGAAGACCGAGCCTTTGGTGAAACAATCCTAAGATGTATAGCCCATCTGCCAAATATAGAGCAGATGCTCGGGAGTTCATGGATATAGCATAAAGAGCAATGAACTTTCCGCCCTCCGTGGTAGTGCCATTAACAGGGGCCGCCAAGCCTCCAGCGGTAGTCACGTACAACACTCTCTCGTTCAGCTGACCACTGTTGCCCCTGCCAAAGACACAGACCCTCGGTCCCAAATAACCCAATGATTTAGGCGATCCCGTCACAATAGTCGTGTTCTTGACTCCCTGGGGCGCAAAAACGACCGTCTCATCCGCGGACGCAAAGTAAAATCTTTACACTGTTTACAGCAGCTAATGGCGCCCAAGATCTTATTGACGAGCCAAGTTCGACCAACGTTGTTCCGGCTGAATAAAGATGAGATATTCGCTTGAATAAGTTATTGATGCAAAGTACTTCTAGTCAAAATGATAGCTAAGCAGGGCGCGTCATAAACATCATAGAACTCAATTACCCGAAGATTCACAGGTTTAAAGGAATCTTACCCCCCAGCCATATCGCGCGTTGGATGTAGTTCCGCTTTCCCTCGGACTGGATAAGTGTTCGGGTAAAGATTAGTCGACTCAATAGTCTCCTCCTCTTTCGTTGTTTTCGCTGTCCACTGTCGTCATAGTATCAATCTACCGGTATCGCGAGACCGCTTAGCCAATCCGTACAAGACATAGTCTGCATCTCGAAACTGTGTGGCTTTATCACAAGGGAGTGCTAATCGGAGCCCGGAAATGTACCTTTTAAATGACGAGAACGAGAGTCAGTATCCACTTAAGAATCTTCGACCAGCGGTAAAGAAATATCACATACATCCTTTCAGTAGATGTATCATATATGAGCTTTTTGGAGGAGGGCATGCATGGTGTGACACCGCACTGCAAAATTCCTCTTTTTGAGTGGTCAGAGTCTTAAATTATCTGTAGGTAGAGTTAAGAATATGAACTTACTGGTAAACCCGACGGAATTCTCTGCGGATATTTTCGCGTTCCTGTTCTTTGAGACTCCAAAAATAGTCCTCGGATAAAGGGTTCCCCGGAACTTTCTGCCAGACAATCAAGACTTCAGATCCACCAGGAACGATTTCGTTAGGTCCCTGTGTGCCTTCTTGGTAACCTAGGAGTGGGGGAACAAAACGAAATTTCTGGCGTTTCAGCGCCTTGAATGCTTCCAACTCTCTATTCTCTCTTTGCGGGAATGCTTGGCTAGCTCGGATACCAGGGGGAGCAAAGTCGGTGCCCTCGATAGGGATTTGACGATGGATTCGTATGAATGCTTGCTTTTCCGGATGATCCTTTAGGTGGCAGAGAAACTTTGCAGCTGTGGTTCCGGGCTTAAGACCGTGATCGATATCCTGCTGGTTTATAAAAGAAGCAACCTCCCCGAGTTTTTCAATGATAATCCATGTCCGAGATGGCAACTGATATTTGGGCTGAGCCTCAGTAGTGATCTCAGTGCCTTCAGAGATCCAGATATAGGAACTTAGGCCGCTATGCATTTTGTTGTCTGTAAAAGTTCAGAGATGGATCGTGTGGGAGAGATGGAAGAGAAGGAAGTGTGGGAGAGGTGGAAGAGGAGGAATTGTGGAGAGGAGGAAGTGTGGGAGAGGAGGAAGTGGTGTACGACTTGAGACACTTTAGGTAGATAGAGAACAGAATCGGTTGATTCCGCTGGCTGACGCGAATATGTCATCACCGGCTCTTTGTATGGCTTTCTTTGATGGGCAATCATTGCCTGATGCCACAGGCATCGATTGATCCTAGTGACTGAGACCTAATATTGATAGCGACGCTTACAGTAGGCATCGGTGTGATTTATAGGCATTCCTTCCTTTACTCATAAGCTTCCTGGGGATACCTTGGGTATAGCCCCTTCACAGCCAAGCTATATCACTGCTCGGTAGGGGTCTCTTGGCCATATGAACCTCCCACACCTTGGACGTATTGGCCACAGGTACAGCTATATGGGAATATTCAACTTCCGCCAGACGAAATACACTGGGCTGCACCCCTGTGTTGCCCAGGAGGGGACTAGTGGCGAAGGTATGCAAGACTGAAGAGACGAGCTTTCAGGGTAGGAGATCTGGTAGAGGTTTGGCGTATAAGCAGTTTTGTGTAGCAAGAATATTTCCGCTGGGTTTTACAGCCAAAATCTCCAGCCAAATTGGGTCTTTGTACTGATGCACCACACGAGGCTTCGCAGGAAATTTGGGGGCTTTCTGTCCGCGCGAAGTGGAGGCCGCGCCTATCACAGACCAGCGACAACAACGTAGAAAAAACCGCCTGCAATTGCATGGTGACGGGAATCTGGGTGCCAAGAAGCGCACTTGAGACGGAGTCTAAAGCAAATGCAAAGGAAATCTGACTCGACGTAGTGTGGAATTCGGGGGATCTAAAGATGCAGTGCGGGTGCGAGTGGATATGCAATATACAACTGTCGGTGATCTTTTACCAGCCACTTTCCACGCCAAAAGCTCCTATATACTTGCCACTTCATTCAATCGGGGTTTATTACGATCTATACTCCACTAATTTGCAACCACTCAGATGCTCAAATTGTATGAAATTGTGGAAACTGGTGCTTGATTGGCCACTGTGAAAGCACTGAAAAGCATTGAAAACAAACGCTGGAAGAACCGTGAATTCATCCAAATATGTATGGTAGAAGGCTAAAAGAAGATAGTAACGCCTATGAATGGTCATAAGATAGTGGTAACTTTGTCCAACAAGAAAAAATTGTTCATTGGCCTTTCCCGAGGCTCTGTAAGTTGACCAACTCGTAGTAGTGGCCTTTAAGACGTAGCAGCTCTTGATGTGTGCCACTTTCAACGATTTTGCCTTGATCAAAGACGTAGATCACGTCTGCTTTTTGAATCGTGCTCAGTCGATGAGCGATAGCAATGGTGGTACGACCGCGTGCCGCAGCATCCAATGCAGCTTGGACGACCTTTTCAGACTGTGAGTCGAGGGCTGAGGTGGCTTCGTCAAGAAGCAAGATCCTGGGGTTACGCAAAAGCGCTCGTGCGATTGCAACGCGTTGTTTCTGCCCTCCAGATAACATAAGTCCCTTGTTTCCGATCTTGGTTTCGAACCCGTCGCTACAGGAGAAGTTAGTAAAAGAAGCACAAAAAGAAAAGCGTAGGAGTCAGATACGACTTACGGAAGAGACATGATGAAGTCATGAATGTTCGCATCGTAGCAGACTTTCTTGATCTCTTCGTCTGAAGCCTCACCGCCGTGCACACCCATGAGAATGTTCTCTTTGATTGTGCCCTGGTAAAGGGTGGGCTCTTGGCTGACCAGAGCTAAGAGACTGCGGTACGAATTAACATTGAGGTCAGTGATATTCTTTCCATCGATGTAGATTCCTCCGCGCGTGGCATCGTAGAAGCGCTCAAGAAGAGCGATGGTCGTACTCTTGCCACATCCACTTGGCCCGACAAGAGCAATATATTGTCCCGGGTGGATCGTAAGGTCGATGCCCCGCAAAACGGGTTGGTCTGGCCTGGATGTGTAGTGGAAATGGACATCGCGGAACTCCAGGGCCCCCCTTGCCTTGAACCGCATCTCTTGGACTGATCACTTCACCCTGGCTGGACCAAGGATCAATCTTCGGGCGGCTGTCGAAGAGCCTGCGGAGCTCGAACGCAGCATTCTTAGCCTTGCCCATATCGGGAGCAAATGAAAAGACTGCACCTGCAGACTGTGCTCCGAACAAAATCTCGGAGAAAGCAACAAAAAACGAGAGCATGTCATACTCATGACGGCCAAGAAGACCACCGCCGTACCAAAAACCCAAAGCCACACAAAAGAAAACCAGGGCTTGAGATGCAGCGAATAATAATGAGGCGCGAAGGTTTGAAATTAAATGTGCGTGATTCTGCGATTCCAAGATCTCATGGTAACTGTTCCAGACCTCCTCTTCGCGGGTCAAAGAAGCCACGATGCGAATTGAGGAGGCAGCTTCGCAGGCAAATGAAGCTGAGTCCTTATGCCCCTCTTTGGAGTCGGACTCGAATTTGGCGAGCATGTAGAATTGGAAGAATCCACAACCTAGAAGAACGGGAAGCAGAGAAATGCAGACTAGAGCCAGTTTCCAGCCAAAGGCCAAAGCAATGCACATGGATCCGATCAGGGTCGTGAGAGTCATGAGAATCATGCCCAGGTTCTGTCCACTAATGCCGGCCAGACTCTTGGTCTCCGTAGAAAGGAAAGATGTCAATGCGCCAGTCGAATTCTCTTCCTTGTCGAAATAGCTAATATCTTGTCGTAAGATTCTTCGGAACGCCATACTGCGGGCCTTTCGGACCAGCCGTTCGGAGCACACACCGAAGCAAGCTCCGTGGACGATAAAGGTGATAAATTGCGCGATTCCGATGGCGAAGAAGACGAGAGACCAGTAGTTTGCCTCCGTGCGGAGCTTATGATAGAGGGGCTTTGGCAGGGACAGAACACTCAATGCTTTGGAGTAGAGGTAGGCCTGGGTAGGTTGTCCACCACCAGCAAGGCAGGAGAAGACAAGCCCAACAACCATCCAAATCCATTCCTCTTTGTTGAAAGAGGCTATGAACGTGATCAGTGACCAGAGCGAGTATTTTTGCTCAACGTCCTTTGGCGCGGGAGCGAGGAACATGCTGTGCACTGATTTTCGAGTATCCATCTTGCGGATACTATGACGAACACTCTGGATACGGTTCATCTCTTTCAAGGGAATGGCGTCTTCTGCCAGTGAAGGAGAGTCGATAGAGTTGCCACGGCCAAGCTCTTTGCCATCCTCGTCGGAGATATCGGAAAAGGTAATGGAGAGCTCGTCCCCGTCGTGATCAAGGACGTCGGTGACAATGTCCTCTTTGAAACGTTGCGCCTCGACGAGCTTGGAATAGGGGCCATCGTTCCGAATGAGTTCATCATGTGTACCCTGCTCCACGATTGAGCCGCTCACTAAAACCACGATGTTCTGTGCGGTTTTGATCGTTGAGAGACGGTGCGCAATGGTGATCGTGGTCCGTCCTGCACTGGCGTTGTCGAGTGCAGCCTGCACCAGACCTTCAGATTTTGTATCGAGAGCCGATGTCGCTTCGTCGAGAAGTAAGATCTTAGGGTCAGATACGATGGCGCGGGCAATGGCAATACGCTGCTTCTGGCCGCCAGAGAGCAAGAAACCACGCTGTCCGACGTTAGTGTCATACCCCTCTGGCAGAGCATTGATGAAAACGTGTGCATTCGCAGTCTTCGCTGCAGACTCCACGAGCTGCCTCACGGTATCTTCAGATTCGTGCTCGTATTTGGTTCCAGTAAGCCCGTGTCGAATATTGTTGAAAATGGTGGTTCCGAAAAGGACTGGCTCCTGACTAACAAGAGAAATCTGCTGACGGAGCCATCGCAGATTAATGGTGGACATATCGACGCCATCTAAATAAATGGAGCCTCCGACCGGAAGATAGAATCTTTCAATCAGATCCATGATTGTGCTCTTGCTCGAACCTGACGGGCCGACAAGAGCGGTGGTCTTCCCTGCGGGAATGAAAAGCGAGAGATCCTTCATAACCGTCACGTCAGGCCGAGAAGGGTAAATATGCTTGATGTTGCGAAGTTCGATATTGCCTTCGATAAATTCCGGGATGATTCCCTCCGTTCGTAATGTCGCGTCGACCGGAGGAATACGATCGATGGTACTGAAAATCTTTGTCGCGGCGGCCACAGCTTGAACAAAGGCTTGTCCATTTGGACTGACGTTGCCGATAGCAAAAGAACCAATCAGTATAGACATCAGGACAGTCAATACTTGGCCAACGTTGACTTCTCCTTGCACCAAATATCGCGAGCCCATCCAGAACCCAAACCCATAGTTCCAAAACATGATACCGAACATGGGCCCCATGATGATAGCCATACAAAGCTGAAGCCGAAATCCTGCTTTTTCAGCGATGTGTAGATGCTCATCATATTGGCTGGCTAGTCGCTCTTGTGTGCCAAACGCTGTAGCCACCCGAATCGAACTGAGCACTTCCTCTGCGACAGTATCACCAGCAGCATAGCTTTCCAAGGATTGCTGGCTGTATTTCACAATGAAGGTAGAACCAATGCCCATAAGCAAAACCAAAGCGACGATGGTTGAGGTGCAGATACCAGCGAGACGAGCGTACTTGGAATAAGCTACAATGAAAGCTGTCACAAAGGTGGCCACAGCAGTCAAAGTCAGGCCTACCTTCTGAGACACGCCATCCTGGATCAGGTTTGTGTCAGCGGTGATACGAGTGGTCACCTCACCGGCACCTAGTTTGTCAAAGTATCCGATATTTTGCCGCAGGATAGCTTGGAGGTAGTGCTCGCGAATCTTCTGCGTAACCCGCCCTCCGGTGTAGGTGAACCCAACGGTGCTGATATAGACGGTGATAAACTCGCCGATGCCCAGCCATACAAAGTATAGCACATTCTTGTCCAATTCCTTCATAAAATGGTCGTAGGTAATGGTTCTCAGTTCGATTTTCTGGAACGCCGTCGTTAGGGAGCCGAAGAGGATCTAGATCGCGGAATAGTTGTTTAGTGGATTGGTTTTTGCCTTTCGGAGCATTTTATGGACATGCAACTGTAACCCACCGTAAATAATGGCATTGCCGCACCTGCGGCGATTGCACAAAGAGTGCTAATGGTAAGAATCGCCAATTCGAGTTTTGAGGCATAACGGTACAGACTGAAAAAACTGATGTTGACTCGCGGCGACTTGACCTGTTGTTGCAAAATGGCCTGTTCGTGTTCGGGCAGATGTGAAAAAAGAAGATCCTCCTGCTCCTCTGGCGACGCGGTCTTGTTCTCATTTGCCTTCTGAATAATGAGTTCGTCTGCGCCGGGTTGGGCGTGCCTAGGAGAACGTGAGGCTTCGGACGTGGTCGCAATCGCCTCCTTGGACTTCCCCTCCACGGCCACCCCTGCCGGTTGCGACATGGTGAGGGATCAGGCGCAAATAAAATTAGGGCGCGCCAGCTTTCAAGAATCGAGCCGGACAAACGGTTGGGTAAGGGAATGTGTAAGAACCAAAAACCAAGGGAGTGACGACAAGGCGATAGCGAGGGATAAGAAAGGAGAGCCGGAATGCTTTCTGGGGGAATATCAACCCCGAGTTGGACTAAATGACCAGATAAATGCGACCTTGCCACATTTCTCGACACAACCTTGGTAGGCTGCCGTAGACATGAAGAAGCGTTCTTTTGTGAATGTTCTAGGGCGCGTGGAACATGAGGGCGAACCGGACAGTAATTCTGTTCAGGGATGTCGATCACTTCGGAGAAAGTTTCGAGGGGCCTGCGGAGCGTTTCGCACGGCCAAACCAGTAAAACATTCAAAGTCATGTTCAGATCGATCGATAATCGCTTAAGCATTGCTGAGGACTCCATTCTGACGGCATAGCTGGCCGGGTGGTGACTTAGGGTCGTTGATCCATGCTGCTCTTGGCTGCCACTAGGTCGCTCAGGGTTAAATGGCTGCTGGTCTCTATTTCGACGTCTCCACTGACCCGCGTGCACGGAACCCGCGCACTTAAAACACCTTAAATTGAGGTAGCAATGGAGCCATGGATGCAGGGGAGCACGAGATAGACGAGGACGGCCGGAAGCAGTTCAATCCTGGCTCGTGCATCAGAGCATCGGAGTGTAATTGCATATTCCGGATCATAGTGGGTTTCAGGGCAGAAATCGGTTGCCCCCTGGGCCTCGACATGTCTGGCTTTTTGGCTGTGACTCTGGATTCTCGCAAGAAGCTCAAGGTCCTGCATAGACCTGTCCATTTAGGTCTGTAAGGACCTCCGTGTCCTCCTTATTCAGGCGGAGTGACCAGTCCCCACTGTAAATTCGATAGACTCAACCTTGCAATCGATGGGGAAGATGATCCTTCTCGGCCAATCAGCGTCCAGGTGGCGTCAGGGCGAACCAGGTTGAACGAGAAAAAAAAGCAACGCAAGTGGACGTGTATACTTCGTCGGAATCCATGGCCCTCAAAAAATAGGGGAGATCAAGGAGGAAAAGCGATAGGCGGTCATCCATAAAGAAGGGTCCGGATCCCCAGACCCCCGACTTGGTGGTCTCGCAGTTTCAGATTCGCGCAGTTCGACTTTTTCAGCCATGGCGCCTTACAGGGCTGCGACCCCAGGTGCTCCAAGAGCTAAGTCCATGAAGACAACTGATCTCAAAAATGTCATTGAGAACAATGTGGACCCTGAACATATCGATCTACTATCATCATCGTCCGCGTCTGGCGCAGGTCAGATGCCTACCGGGGAAAAAACTCGACCCCCCAAACAAGGTCGAGAAGAACAGAAAATCAAAGCCTAAGCAGCCTCGCGACGCTAAAGCTCGAAGACAGGTGCGGTACCTCAGTCGCCTGGAAGTTTTACCCAAAGAGCTCCTGCAGCAGATCTTCTTCTATTCCCTGAATTTGAATTTTACGTGCGTCTCCACATCCATCACAGCGGCGATCACCAATGAGCGCATCTATGGACTCCTCATTCTGCAAGCCTGCTGGAAAGGCCCAGAAGGACAGGAGCCATGTGCTGCTGTCCGCCGCTATTTTGCACCCATGGAATTCACTCCACTCTCTACCGAGGACCGCACGCAACTCCAGAGCGTGATGTTCCAATGTCCCTGGTTCACGGCTGATCGACTACGGGCCCAGGTCTCAACGTTGATGATGCTCAACATTCATCAGTACTGGCTGAAAGATGTCACAATGGAGCCTCAACAGAAGACGGCCCTGGCTCAGCTCATGAGCAAGGCGGACAACGCTCCCCGAGACTTCCATGGCGACGGCCCGCCACTGCAGCATTTTCTCGATAAACTGAACCACCCGTTCGATGAACACAATCGACGAGAATATCTCAGCTCGCCCGGCGCTCATTCATACGATCTCCATATCTCTGATTATATGGAACTAGAAATCAGGCGGACCAATATGCCCAAGCTGACTGACGCCGTCATCAGAATCCCCGCTATCAGTCTCCTCTGCATACCTGATCACCTGTATCGCGGTGACTCCGACCACTTCCCAACCGAAGATCTGAAAACCCTTGAAACTTTGCGGTTGTGCTCGGGGCTTTTCCTTGCTCCAGGCCTCCCTCCTCTTCCTACCCCCATCACCATTAATCGCCCCGCTCTTCATCGCGGCGTCAAGATGTCCATCAAGTCTAAGGACTTCGTGGCTTTAACCAGCCTTCTGAAACTAGAAGAATATTGTATCCGCTTCGGGACTCAAGTTCGGGATCACATCTACTTGATCTCAGAAGAGCACTTCATCCGAGTCGCCAGGCTGCGCGAGCACCCGATCAAAAAAGTGGTTCTGTTCCGGAATCTTCTCCGCGCGAGTGCAGAGTCGGTGCCGCCTATGAGTGAAGAAGTCATCGCTTGGAATAATAAGAACAAGACGCGCCCGGCATGCAAGGAAGTCAACTTCCCTAAATTTGCGCACTGGTTGTCAGATTTCATGCTGGATCTACCTAACGATGTAGGGAAGGAGAAGGATCAGATGAAGCGGCAGCTTTTCTACTGCGGGGGACTGGATCATCAGAGTCGGCATGCTGAGGGGTATTTGGAGGCGATTAGCCCGAAGACTCTTGGCCCCTGGATGCCGGCGAGCAGTGGGTTTCCTGTCCAGCAGCTTTGGCAGAAATCCGGCTAGTTATTTGAATGTTGATTCCTGTACATTATCTTTTCATTATACCCCGAGCACTACGCCGTGCAGCATATGTTATTACCAAAATATCATTACTTTTTGAGTTATTAGTTTATATACAACCGAAATGAAAGCCTGCCAATATATACAGATCTGAACTCTATAGATTGCTGAGTAGGCGCGCCAAACCAGCAATCCACCCGCCGACGGTCAATTGGTACCCCGTTTCCACGATGCCCTTGCACATCTCCCATGCAGCAGGACCATCCTTCTTCCCAGCCTCGCCTTCGCGTTTCTGGATAGGATAGTCCAAACGTGGTGGGATCCCCGTGGCAATGACCTTTGGGAATTTATCCACGCAAACTGACTTCAGGTTACACAGACCACGCAAGCCCTCGTCTCCCGCGAAACGGCCGTATCCAGAGCCCTTGACGCCACCAAATGGAAGCTGGACAGCGTAGTATGCGCCGAAATCATTAACTGAAACCATACCAGCCTTGATCCCGCAAACACACGCCTGCACGTCGGCGTCGTTGAATCCGAAGACGCTAGCACCCAGAGCGTATTCGGTGGAGTTGGCGATGGCAATGGCATCGGTCACAGACTCGGCACGCATCATGACGAAGACAGGCGCGAACAATTCCTCCTGCGCAATCTTCATACTGGGCGTCACGTCCGCCAGAAGAGTGGGTTGGAAATAGTGGCCGTGGGGGTGGGCAGGATGCTCGTAGCGCTTACCACCAGCAATGAGACGAGCGCCGTTCTTCACGGCATCGGCGATCAGAGCTTCAAGCTTGTCGAAAGAGGCGGGAGAGATAGATGCGCCCATGTCTGGGGTTGGTTGCGTGTCGAGGAATATGGAGCCGAGACGGAGAGCCTTGATACGAGGAGTGACCAGTTCAATGAGTTTTTCATAGGCGCCTGGGAGAGCGACAACACGCTCAATGCCAACACAGTTCTGACCGGCAGATTGGAAGACTCCACGCATAAGGATCGAAGCGACGGAAGGTAGATTGCGCACTGTACGGGCGTCGTCAAGAATGACAGAAGGGTCTTTACCACCCAGCTCCACAGTGACGGGGGTGAGCGATTTAGCCGCAGAGGCACACACTTTGTGGGCAACAGGACGAGAACCGATGAAGGTGAGCTGCGCGATCTCTGGGTGAGAGGTCAGTGCATCAGCAACAGCAGGTAGGCACATAACAGTCTGCACAAGATCTCGGGAGTGGCCACAGCTGGAAAGGGCACCCCGAACAACATCCAGGAAAATGTGGTGGACCAGGCCGTCTGCTCTGAAGGTTTGACAACAATGCCATTGCCGCTAAACAACGCACTGATCACGGGGCCGATGAAATTGTGGAAGGGATAGTTCCAGGAGACAGCTGCGGAAACCACGCCGAGGGGCTCATAGATGACCGTGTTCTTCTTGTACATCATCAGGAAATTGGTTGGTCGACGGGATGGTCGCAAGGCGTTCTCTCCATGATCAATTGTCCACTTGAGTTTCTCAGCAGTCACCAAGATCTCGCCAAACGAAGCGTCCACCTTTGTCTTCCCCGAGTCGAGGGAGCATGCTGCCACGATCTCATCCTGGTGCTCGAGCACGTATTTCAGCAGTGTCCGTAGAACTTTTCGGCGTTCGGCGAAGGTCGTCTTGGCCCATTCACGCTGAGCACTCTGGGCAGCTCGAACGGCTTGGTTGACATCCTCGATCGTCGCCGGCCGTATTCCGTTTCCAAGGATCCGACCATCCGCGGGGCAGTAGCTCATGATTAGTTTGTCGCTCCATTTCTATAGCGAGAGGTTTTTGTTAGTTCTGGCCACGCGCTCTTGAGGATGCACAAATCCAAACATTTGGTAGCAGCACTCACACCTCGAACCTGGTCCTCCAGCACCTGCCTCTCCAAGCCCGAGACATCTTCCCACTTTTTCAGGACAGTATTAGGCTTGCGAACCTCAATGGGCACTGGGACATTGAAGGCGACGCCGGCCTCCTTAACGCTTTGGACGTAGAGAGACCCCGCGTAACCCACGAACAGGGTTAGCAGCGCGATACCGATCCACTGAACGTGCTCTGCAGTCAAGAGAGACACGTAGGGCTCCACGAGGGAGTGCAGAGATGGAGGGATATGGGATTGAAGGCAATCCATGCTGCAAGGATGGATTGATGGAATTGGCGAGCCTCCGGAGCTGCGAGAATGCGGAAGCTCCATCGGCGCACGGACCGCCCCCGTTTCTATACTTCGAGATTCATCCGAGTCAGACCACCATGGGGTTCTTTTCAGCCCATCTTGATGGGAGGAGAAGCTTCCTGATCATTTCAGATTTATACGATGCTTTGTGCTGCAATTCTAGCGGCTATCTGGTCCCCTGGACCTGAAAATAGGAGACAGTAACGGCTAAGCTTATAGGTGCTCTTGCTTCAGTAGTATGCTCGTTTCCAATATTTTGGGAACTTCAAATTTATCCATGGCTTGTGCTTTATTCAAATTCTGAGAGAGGTTTTACTGCGCTCAAGGCCACAGATTTTGCAGAATGAATTTGTTGAAAGCGTCATGGTCCACCCTGTTTCGGTGGTGGTCAATATGTTCTTATCTGGCCTGCCAATGAGTCTGTTACAGGCTTGGCGGGTGTTCCTGCTGCTGAAACTCCTGTGGCAGACAATCATTGCAGAGTCGTTCCATTCAGTGCAACGTTATACCTGAGATGGATGCTGAAAAGACGCGCAAGTCAGCGCAATGTTACATGCCGTATTCAGGTCCCGTCCTGGCTCATCTGTCTCCCAAGCTCCTTGAATGCCGTCTACATATGATTGATCTATACTACATGAATAGGCGTGTTGGCTTGTTTCCTCATATCAGCTTCATGGCCCTTGCCCTTCGGAGTAAGTCACATCTGGTCGTACAATATTCAACTTGAAACACAAGGCGCGCTAGAATCCGTCTGTAGCTAAATAGTTCTCATCCCAGGTTAATCCAGGGGTCTCCCCGTAGTCTTGACTCTCAGCCCAGAAATCATTTCCTGCAAAGATGCCTAGTCTGGACAATATTACGTTACGATAGTGCAGCTCTTAGCATCAAACATGTAGAGACAAATGCCGATTCCGCTTGGGGGAAAAGGAAAGTCGGATGATACGTCAAACATATACCAATGCTACTGGAAAAACCTGGAATGCCTGAAACTTAGGGATCATTTACTGGGTCTGACTTTCCGCTAGTATGAAGCCTTGGAGTAATATTACTCGTATTCCAGTTGAGCGCGGATAATTAGTGGTCGTTGTAGGATAACGTGGGCCTGTTTTCTTGGGAAACCACTCGGCGTATACACGGCCAACGATTAGAAAGTATAATATCCCGCCGAGTTGTGGTAATTTCTGGGTTGGGCAAAAAGGAAGTTTTGTGGTTGGAGCTTTTGCCTTCAGCGCCAACGCAAAGTCTCCTTTTAATACTTTTCCTGTTTACGCTTACCTCGTATCTCTTCTCTTAGCCTATCCCCCACATCCTCACATCTCTTGCTACTGAAAAGGCCGATCCGAATCAACCGTGCAGGATGACCGACAACAAAGGAGAGGCAACAGAGACCGTCGGTGATCGGCCAAAGTCTCAGAAAACACGTATTTGCTCTGGCCTTCGGGGGAATTTGAAGCGATGGTGGTGGCTTTACACAATCAGTTTGTCGGTCATCGTGATGGTTGTGACTTTGCCAATGTAAGTAATTAAAGTCAAAGCATAGCGCTCAATGATGCGAATCACTTGTCGGAAAATTTGATCTAACCCATTTTTTCCGCAGCGTTTATGTTGCCTACCCCAAGATCGCCCAACGAGACGTGAATAAGTCCACTCTGAACATCACTCGCATGGTCATTAGTGATCCTGACCCGACGTCTTTTGTACTCTACCAATCTCAAACCGTGAAAACGGCCAGTTCCTTCCACCCGTGGATCTACTCGTTTGAAGCCGCCGTTTCTCTACCTAGAGCCCCCAGGCCGTTTATCTCCGTTCATGTTCCAAAGACAAAATCTGTCAATGGAGCAGTTATCGAAATATCACAGAGCATTATTTTGAGCGACACAAACTCCTTCGCGAACTTTGCAGAGGTGATCATGACTCAAGAAGAAATTCAGATGGATATTCAGGGCAAACCAAATCTCCAAGAGGGCGGTTTGCCCAAGGTTCCGATATCTTACAACAAGACAGTGACAATGCGAGGTATGTCCTCAGCTGATCCTATTCGTCTGGTTTTTCGTATCGGTCCTGTGAGTGAGGGGAATGACTAACTACTGTGTGTGACTCTAGGTCTCAACAAGCTCAAGGGATTCAACGTGACAGAGATTCAACTTCTGCAGAAACTGGACAACGGACGCAATATGAAGGGCACCGTCTTCATACCTAACCCTACCGTCATGACTATCACCTTGGTATGATTTGATCCCATCTCATGCACAGGTATATATCGCCGACAAGATCTTGAAATAGGGAAACGTAACATTCGATCTCTCTGCGCAAGACCAGCCAATCGGCCAAGTCTACCTCGATAACCTTGTCCTCAGACCAGGAGGCAACACCGTTCCCATGACTGCGGCCATTGACGAGATCAAAATTGTGCATCTTTTCCTCTCCAAGACAAACCCAATTCGAGAAGGAATGATAGCATTCAATATCACGGGTAATTCGAGCGTCTACAACAATAAACAGTTGCCTTATTTTACCGAGGCCCTGAAAGCCAGCAGTTTCACTGCTCAGATAGATGTCACGCAGGCGCTCCAGACTCTTGATATTCACCTCTGAGATCCTCTTCTTGTACACGTGCTTTTCGAATTAAGGGTGGACGGCCCTTTGCTGAACGACTGTATTCTAGAGGTTCTTATTATGCAGAGACCCCCTCAATGATAACCTTGATTACGCTTTCTTTTCCTTGCCGCACCAACTCGATTTCCTCTTCTGCTTGTTCAAACTTGAATCGGTTAGTGATTAGACGTTTGACATTGATCTTCCCACTCGCAATCAGATCCACCGCTGTCGGATAGCAACCGACCGTGTAACGAATAGAGCCCCGAAAGTGCAAATCACGGATGCAAGCCGTGGTGATTGGGAAGACCACCTTCTATCCCATCATTAGCCTTGCACATGTGGATATGAAGCAGTAAGTCACTTACCTCGCGTCCGATGCCAGCCTGGACATACATCCCCCCCCTTCTTAGTCAGGTGAATGCCAGTCTGGATGCAAGGTTCGGCACCAGTAGCCTCGAGCACTACATCTGGTCCCTTCCCGAGATCAAATCTGTCCTTGATTATCTGTGCAACCTCGTCATTCCACGGAGTATCATCCTTGCCCTCGGGCTTAGGGGGTGGCACAAACACACCGTCTGCACCAAATGTTTCGGCAAATTCCGCGCGGGACTGACTGATATCGATACCAATGACCTTCTCTGCGGAGTATGCCTTGCTCACAGCCTGGCACAGGAGACCAACGGGTCCACAGCCGAAGACAACAACAGTTTGGTTGGGCCGGACTTTGCCGACTTTGGTTATCTGAACTGCCATTGCAACCGAATCTACCAGGGCCCCTTCTTCGAAGTCCATGTGTTGTGGTAGAGGATAGCAGTAGTCTGCTTGTGTGATATAGTACTTGGAAAGGGTACCATCGTGGGGAGGAGTAGCGGCTAAGACGGTTATCAGGACACAGGTTGTAAGAGCCACTTCGGCAGAAGTCACAGCTAATCTGATTAGCATGCATCTGTTGATAAAGACGAGGACTCCGGCTTACTTTCTGCACGGGACACCGGGCTCAATCGCAACTCGCTGTCCCACTCTCAAATTCTATACGGCCGATCCAACCTCGACAACAGTGCCCGAACTCTCGTGGCCGAGAACAATGGGCGACTGTATAATGAAGTCTTTCAAGCATTAGCAAGTCTCAGGAATTTGAATGGATTGAGGGGATCAATTCACCTCCAATCCGTCCCCGTTACCAGTAATGTACATCACTTCCACAGATACCAGTCTGCGCCACTTGTAATCGTACATCCCAAGGATCTTCTAGCTCGGGCACAGGACGGTCTTCAAGGACAAGGTATTTTACAGCACACAAAACAAAAAAAATGGTTGCTGAGAAGCTTCAGATGTGGAGCAACTTGATAGCTGCCGAAGTACACGTACGCCCATGTTTGCGCTTCTTGCGATGGTTGCCACTGCGAAAATAGATAGAAACATATACTGTAGACATGCAAATTCAAACGGTAGGACTGATGGAGTCCTCCAAATTAAATGAATCTCGCCTCACTTATTTCAAGTCCACTAATGCGCGTTCCGAATTCCCGCATGTCGGATAACTTCGTCCGTAGCGCTGGACCCACTCCGGGGCTGAGCTTGTCCAAGCATGAGCTGGCCTACTTCGAGCGATGCGATGCGGTCATGGTCGAGTGAGTCCCTGGTGATTTGAAACTAGGTGGCATTGCTACTTGATCAGCATAGTGTGAACGGACCAAACTGCCAATGCCACCAGTACTAGTAAGTTCGTTGGTTGGGCATTTAAATATGAATTCATGGATCCAGGCAGAGTTGGCTAGGAAATTATCAAAAAGCACTTGGAGTTTTCAAATCTTGACTCTCGACCAGGACATCCTAAGGCTATTGGTTCGGTCTACATTTTATTTACCATCAAGACAAAATGTCGTCACTGTTGGTGTCACTAGCACTAACCCTAACTTACAGATCTCTAACCTGTCCGTTGAAAGCACTAGCAGCTACTACCACTAGGAGGACACAAGATTACTTTATCATTATAGAATTTTGTATTTCACTTTCGAGACGATCCGTAGACATCCTTATTTTGCGGCCTCCTTTGTATCAGGCTCAAAAGACTTACTCACTTCGTCCATGACTTTGAGCCAAGTCCGAGACCAAGTAGTGAACTTATCTTCTGCTTTGTTATCGCCTGCAGCATCCGAAGACCATGGCTGGGTTACCAGCTCCACGGCCTTGGTCGCATTCACACGAATCTTCCGCAAGAACTTTATACAGCGATCCATGTCTTCTTCGTAAAGACCCCCCGCAGCTTCGTCCAGTTGATCAGGAATACGCTGAAGGTATGTCATCAGCTTCTCCAGTTTATCAACCCGCTCGCCAGACGACAGAGGTATGTTTTTGGTATTCTTTAGTCGATGAATGTTTATGGCAGGGTAGACCTGTGCCACCGGCTTCAAGAAGCGCAGAACGGTCTTCTTTTGTTCCTGTAGTGCGGCAGTACTTTCTTCGTCGTCCGATCCACCGTCCGAATCTCCATCTTTCTCGTCGTCTCCTTTATCTTCACCTAGGATATCATCAAAGAAGTCCTCCTCATCCTCCGCCGGATCCCACTCCTCGAGCTCTTGCACGGCATCTTTGACAAGATCCCTCCACTGCTCGACGCGACTAGCAATAAAGCCCACCACCCCATTTGCGGCGATTTGGGTTACCATATCGCAGGAATCCCAAACCCGCCCAGTTGCGACCGTGACTTCGTTCTTATCGGACTGGGGTAGATCCTTCTCTTTTTTGGCTGGCTCGTTTTGTTTCGCCTGTTCCTTTTTGCCCGAGATGCTTTTGACAGCTTGGACCAAATTTGAGTATTCTGCCAAAGTGGTTTTGACAAGATGCCATACTTCCAAGTGAAACGCTTTGGTGTATGCAGTTGGTGTGACGAGCAGTGCGGCGGTCAATAATGAGGGAAGGACGCTTTCGTTGCAGGCTCGAAGGATAGTAACGACCGCTGAGGGTGTGAAGGGCGTGGTAATAGCCAATAAGGATAATTTGGTGACTTGGGCTCTGAGCGCAGCCGATGAAGCCGTGAGGAGGGGCAAAGCGTCCACATCTTTGTTTGGTGGCGCCGACTGAGCGGAAGCAGGAGAAAGGGTGTTCTGGAACTGCTCGAGGAGAATGGTGGACGTCGCGATGACCGAGTCAAGTTGCGACATGGTGAACAGAGCCCCAAGGCTCAGCGCGTTGTGTTGTATCTTGGTGGGGTGAAGAGGAAGCGGGCGTGGTGTACGGGGGATTTTTTTTTTCCTGTGTGGGGAACAGTCACGCCAGTCCGCGCATGCTGGAGGCTCTCGCAGCCACGACGATAGACATTGCAGATCCATTGTCGCGCCCTTCCTCATGCACGACGCTAGCTCGACCCTGAAATACCAGCTAAGATCTTACTATGGATTTGGGTGACACTGAGGCCGGTTCTCATACCACGGGGTAATGCTTTTGCCGCGGGTCCTACGTAAGTCCCCGACTCGCAGGTCTCACGGCAAATCGAATCGCGATCTCTCCAATCTGCAATCTGAAATATCATCTTACTCTCTCGCTCAGGTCTCTGGTCCGACGATTCCATCGATTCCATGCGGCTCATGCGACATAAGCGCAGGAGGATGGTCCTTGCCCTCGACACGTAACCCTCTGCATGCCCATCCTTGACTTTGGTTGCTGGGTGCTCGACCGACAATCTTGCCGTCGCATTGAGCGCGAGCCCCCCGCCCTTCCGCCCCCATAACTTCACGAGCTTCTTGTTCGCATACAATGGAATCTCCACAGATACCAGCCAGAAGGACTTTCGAGCCAAATGCGTCATTGGTACTCGTAGGCATTCGCGGGTCCGGGAAGCGCTCGCTCGGGTTCCTCGCGGCCACGGCGCTTAAGCGACGGTTTATCACCGAGGAACACTATTTCAAGGAGGTGACTGGGGTTTCGCGACTGGAATATCTGAAAGTCCATGGCAACCAGCAGTTTCATTCTCGGTATATTGACGTCCTGCAGTCAATGTTGGACAACCATCGCACGGACTGCGTTATCGAATGTGGACTAGGCAGTTTCACCCGAATCGTACAGGACCGGCTCCGGGAGTACTCCAAAAAAAATCCAATTATACACCTGGTACGCGACATAGATGAGATTCAGCAGCAAATGCCTGGGATGGACGAACAGTCTGTTGATCTTCTCCGGAAGGGAGATCCGTTACATCGAACCTGTTCGGATTTCGAATTTTACAACCTGAAGGACCGGTCTCGCGTGAATGGCGACGATGGGAGTGCTGAACCACGATCTGCAGCTGCTTCGTTCAAGCTCCAAGAGGTGAAAGAAGACTTGGCTCGGTTCGTTCGGTTTGTTCTTGGGGTCGACGTGAATCACTCGAGCTACGCTTCACCGTTCGAGCTTCTAGAGACACCACCAGAGCTTCGTTCCTTCACACATGCTATTCTAGTTCGCTCTTCTGATCTGATCGATGATACTGTCAACCTCCAGGAGCTTGAATCTGGAGGCGACGCTATTGAGCTTTGCGTTGATCTTTGTCAGCCAGACATGCATACCGTTATCAGTAAACAAGTTGCTGTCTTACGTCGAAATGCCCGAATTCCCGTCATCTTGTCCGTCGACACTTCTTCGACCAGTCTAAACAGGACCGACCTGACTGCTTTCTATATTGGCATTCTCGAGCATGGACTTCGCCTAGCGGTAGAGTATCTGGTCGTGGATCTTGGACAGGATGATTTTCACTTGGAGAAGGTAATCCGCTCTAGAGGCCACACCAAGATCATTGGGCAAAGAATTTTCGAATCATCCTCCCGATTCAGTTGGAATAGTGAAGAATGCTTGGACGTTTACAGCAGAGCGGAGAAGCTTGGCTGCCAAATTGTGCGGCTTCTTCGCGTCGCTAAAAGTCGTGATGAGAATACGGCTGTGGTCGAATTTACTAGCAAAATCCGAGCTCTACCTGGCAACCACCCTCCCCTTATCGCTTATAACATTGGCCCCCTTGGACGCACATCTCAAGTCTTCAATTCTATCTTGACCAATGTGACGCACAAAGCTATTACCAGGCAGGCCATCAGCGAATGCGATCCTCAAATCACATCTCAGGATGCCATTAAAGCTCTCTTCCAAAGCTATGTCCTCGACCCTCTCCATTTCTACATTCTTGGAGCAAATGTGACCTACAGTTTGTCACCTTTCATGCACAACGGAGCATATCAAGCCTGTGGCATGGGCCATAAATATCGCATTCCTGAATCACCCTCCCTCGCCGTCCTGGACGAATTCCGTCGAGATCCGAATTTCGGCGGTTCCAGTGTCGTTCAGCCCTGGCGTGTGGAGCTCTATCACAAACTCGCCGCAAAAAGTCGGCACGCAGAGGCCATTGGGGCAATCAATACAATCATGCCCTTACGTGGAACGCCCGAAGGCGAGATGTATTCCCTGCAAGAGCAAGCCAATCGTCGCAACCAGGCCGGCCCAGTCTTGGGCTGGTATGGCGAAAACACAGACTGGATCGGGATCATGACCTGCCTCAATCGCCACCTCTCTCCGCGGAATGCCATCAGCGCCAAAACTACAGGCTTGGTGATTGGTGCTGGTGGCATGGCCCGCTCGGCCATCTATGCCATGCTGCGGCTTGGCTGTCGCAAGATCTTCATTTATAACCGGACTCTTTCGCGGGCGCAGGATGTTGCGAATCATTTTAATTCTTGGGCATCGTCTCAGGTTGCCTCGGCAGAGGTGGTGCGAGTTCTTCGTTCCACGCAGGATGACTGGCCGGAAGATGCCAGCCCGCCCACGCTCGTCGTATCTGGCGTTCCTGCTGACCCCGACCGTGAAGAGCCGCCGGCGAACTTTGAGATGCCATTACCCTGGCTTGGAAGTCCGACCGGCGGTGTCATAATTGAGGTAAGTCATCCGCGAGCTTTTTATTAAATCACCGTCATCTCGATATTGACCAATGCTCTAGCTCGCATATAAACCGTTAGATACGTCGTTGCTGCAGCAAATGCGCCGCTTCCGGAACTCCACTGGCCGCTCGTGGGCTCTGTCGGATGGCTTGGAGAATGTTATTGAGCAAGGTATTGCACAGTTCGAGCTCATGACCGGTCGGAAAGCTCCTCGGCGCTTAATGGCTCTGGAAGTATTGCGCAACTACGAGGATGAAAACGGGCGCTTGAACGAAAAGACCATACAGGCCCGGTTGGATGGTGTATTCTCATGAGCAATGGCATGATGAATAGAATATGAAACCCAATCTATGGAGCTTGTAGACTGTCTATGAAACTATTCCTCCCGAGTGCAACGGTTGCAGCTCAGGACTTAATCGCGACCTTCTCGTGTTGTGTAACTTGTCGAATGAGCACCTCTTAAGCCAAGGCCCTCGAGGCTGCCCAAAACACGCTCAGGCACCTCAGGCTGTTCCGCTTGGTCGCTCTGCCCAGGGCCAGATTTCTTTCGGATATTTGGCGGCCGTTTCTTCTGAGGATGGAGCGCACGGTCCCACGAGTCATCACTCGGGGTATGCGTTCTCGACTTCGTCTCAATCGACTTCTTGGCCCGGACCGAGTGCGGCCATTCTCTGAATACGGCTCTCGCGTGTTTTCGCAGTATGCTCTTTCGGATCTCATTGGTAACTTCTGGCTGTGAAAGTCGCAGATAGAGCATCAAGTCATCTCCTTCTGGGTATTCGTTGTATATGAGACACGGCATCGCGGCTGTGAAGTGCTTGTACGCCGACGCAAAGTCCTGGCGCTCGAACTCAATGCGCCCGATCCAGTAGTGGCATCTGAGTGCATGGATCTTGAGTCTTTTGGTGGTTGCCAGGTGGACCGCCTTCTTGATCTCTTGTTTAGCTTGGTCCAGTTGCTGGGCGCTGAAGTAGCCCATTGCGGTTGTAATGGTGAATGATATTTCCAGCTCGTCGAGTCTCCTTACAAGGTCCACGGATGCTGGGCTCATTGACGTAGATGGCATGGCTGTTGGTATTTTGGATTGTTTATCCTCCGCTCCCAGAGAATTGGTATTCGGAAGTTGCACTTGTCTCGGTTGGTCCGGACGGGGTAATGATGATGGTATTCGTGCAACCAAGGACTGGGGACAGAACAGTTCATCTTTACTATCACTCTTATCTCTTTTCTCTTGACTCACTCTCAGGGTAGAATTGGGTTGCTGTAGGGCACTCGACCCGAGCTCCTGTTGGGCCATGGTGACGATTGGGTATCGACGCGGACACCTAAATGTAGATGTCCCTGCTTGATAGTAAATATTTTTTATCTTCTCAAAAGACTCTTTCACTCTCGTGCGCTGAAATGGAAATAGAAGCGACCTGGAGTTACGCCCGGTCTGATTGGAAGGTGACTTGAGCGTGAAAGATTCTTTGTCCTGCAGGGTTCTCAAAGCGCAATCCCAGGTCGGCACGCAGCCCGTGCTTTGCTGTTTTAGATTTCTCAATAGTCGGACAGCTACAGCTCCATCAGCTGTCCTGCCTGGTTTCTTTTCTTGCCGGCGGGAGGATTTGAATCATACAAATTGGAAGTCGCGTGGACCAGAAGTCATCACATCATCTCCTTCCGTTTCCGGCAACGAGGACGGTTCCATTTCTAGAACAAATCCCCCACTTTACTATAATCATGTTATTCTACTATGGAATACCGGCAGGTTAGAATATTTATTCAATAATATTCTAGGATACGTAGAAAAAGTTGTACACACTGAAATTGGTGCCACTGCTCCGGATTCGACCAGGGGCACTACGGCCGAGAAAAGAGGGGCTAGAAATCTTTCCTTGTAATTTCTATGTTCGAGTCAGGTTATAGACATTTATAGTGATAAAATAACGCTTCAACTTGATTCCATTCCTCTGGGCTCTTAGCACATACATCTCAGCCCCCTGTTCAATATTCAAGGGTTTGCTTCATAGCATCATAGATTCCTAGAGCAAGTGTTAGCACAAAGATCGCATACGGCGTGTCGAGAGAATAAACTTACGCGCAACGTCTGGCAGGATAAATGGTTCGAATGCAAGTCCTGTATGAGTAGTCCAGCCCGCCACTCGCTTGACGGGCGCTTCCAACCGAAGGAAAGCACCTTGTTGGATTGTAGCCGCAATCTCCGCCCCAACGCCATAATTGACCATGCTCTCATGAACGACAATGGCCCGGCCTGTTTTCCGCACGCTTTCCAGAATTGTTGGACGGTCCCAGGGATAGATCGTCCGGAGGTCAATGAGCTCAATGTTGACGCCCTTCATGGTCTTTTCCAATGCGGAGATGGCCGCCGAGCAGTTATATAAGGGCTGGCCGTATGAAATTACAGTCAGGTCCTTACCTGGCTTTACTACCTCGGCCTTACTGAGGGGAATCGTGTAATATTCATTGGGCACATGTTCCACGGCAGCGCGGTAGAGAATCTTCGGCTCCATGAAGATCACTGGGTCATTGTATTTGAAGATGGACGAGAGGAGCAGGCCCTTGGCCTGCGAAGGGGACCGTGGGACAACCACCCGGACACCAGGGATGTGCGAAAAGAGCGATTCGGGTGACTGCGTATGGTATCTTGTGTTTCAATTTCTTGTTAGCCTCCGAAATCGAGCCTTCAGCCAGAACTCAGCCGGTCATCACGTACAGTGCACCGTGTCCCACAGCTCCGCACGGCATTCGAATCACCAATCCTCCGACGTTCCCGCCTGTGTTGCCTTCTCTGTATCTGAACTTGGCGGCTTCATTTACAATCTGGTCAAATGCTGGGTAGACGTAGTCGGCGAATTGAATCTCAGCCACAGGTTTCATGCCTTCCGCTGCGGCTCCGATAGCAAACCCCGCAATGCCTTGCTCCGTTAAGGGGGTATTGAAGACGCGGTCTGAGCCAAATTCGGTCTGGAGATCCATTGAGCAGCGAAACACCCCGCCGAATGCTACATCTTCACCAAAAAGGAGCACCTTATCGGAGGTAGAAAGAGCGGTGCGGAGAGCAGAGTTGATTGCTTGGAAGAGGTTCAAGCGTTTGCTAGTTGCAGCCGCGGGGAAGTCTGCTATCCCTGATAACGAAGAAGGGGTGTGATGAAGAAGAGGGGTGGACTTGTAATCGATTGGTAAATTGAGCTTCGCTGCCGGCGAGGGAGCCGCGGAGTAGAAGCGACGGGGAACCCGGGGGCTTAGCCACCGCGACGCCCTAGGTACAACCATAATTTTGAAGAATATGGCGCAAGATGTGCTGCTCCAGGTAGAGAGATCAAGAGAAATACTTTTTGCTGTGAGACCAGCTCGAGGATATTCAAGGGCTCCAGGTTTGCGGGGGAGCCGATAGAAAGCGCCGCGAATAACCGCGCCCCCCTCCAATCGCGGTTTATGCCTGAAAATAAAGGCACCAATCCAGTTTCGTCACAATCAGGGCTACGTGCATTACTCGGTATTTATAGAAAATGACTATTTCAGAAATTCAGATTCCTCTGTGGCTGGAGACTATTAACTACCCCTGAAATCGCATATCTTGTCCTTCCCCTGAAATCTGTTCACTTCAATCCACTGTCCATCTTGTCCGCCGTTCGTTCTGTTCTCCTTGTCTCGCTGTTGCTCCCTTGCAGAGTGGTGATGATTTGAGCGCCTAGTAGCGGTACTCGCGGTCATCATGAATGGGGATATGTTCATCGTCCCCGTGGAAATCGTCACCATCAAAGCTCAGGGAATGACCAGGTGACTTCTTAGTCGGAGCTGGCTTATCCTCGTCGTCTTCGTCCGTGACTTTGGCCTTGGACTTGGGAGGGGCACGCTGCTTGGTAACCTTGTACTTGCTAGCGGAAACGCGGGCAGAGGTAGACATGTGGCGCTGGGCGGCCTCAGTCAGCTCGACGTGCTTGAACTGCTCACGAATGCGAGTGTAGCGGGAAGCAACCGTCTTGTAGGGGATGCCGAAGTGCGTGGCGATGACCTGGTGGTTAGGCTTCCGTAACAATGTCAGTATCTACAAGGATAGATCGTAATTGAATGTTACTTACGTGGGCTCCGCTGGCCAAGTGGTACAGCCAAAGCAACTCCATGTTGTCCGTGGTGATAACGGACTGCTTAGGTGAGGCCTGGCGGCTAGTGGAGCGGCGAGCCGGGCTAGGGGAGCCCTGAGCTTGAGCTTGAGTCTTGGGGCCCATTTTGCGTATCTAATCTGCAGGATTGAGTGTGAGTTCATGGCGTCGGCTCAACAACGAGTGTACAAAGCGGGTTGATTAGTGGGGTTGATGGGATGGCGAAGTAGGATGGCGAGTTAGAAGTGCTCTCTAATTCCATGATACTAACCTGCAAGGAAAAGAGTTGCTCGATGTTTAAAGGCTGTTGCAGCTTAGGTTTCGAAAAAAAAGAAGCTTCAAGATGTGGTGTGGAAACACGCTTGAATGAGGATGACGTGAAGGAGAGAAAGAAGGAAACAAAGAAGGAACTTTAAAGGGAAAAAGTCTACAATCTTCGAGCAGCTAAACGTCCTCACCAATCATTGATGCCGCGCTGCGCGCCATGAATCGCTGCCTCAGATCTCAATAGTTTATAAGTTCGGTGTCTTGTGCGCGGGTTTCTGCACGTCCAATTTCCTGCAGCTCACAAAGCGCGGCCATGCCATTCTAGATTATAGAGTTTGGGGATCCATTGTTGTTATTTCACATTCGGCATGAGTAATTGACGTTTTTAGAACATGTTGTCATCAGTTTGCGTGAATTGGCGTGAAATTCCCAGGATGAACCTTAGCAGCCGTTCTAAAAATGATTCCTAAATTTCGGTTAAGGTGTCTTTCTCCGAGACCACCACAGTTTGCAATCTCTCTTTAGTAGGTGGGGAAGCGCATCTCAGAATGCCACATGGCCCCTGCAGTATCAGCAATCAAGTATTATAAGCATTTTCAATTATTGCCTTGCCTTCGAAATCGTTCTTGAACTCAGTATAGACATGAGAGAAACCCTCATGCATATAGAACGGGCCGCACGGACCAGCCCGTTCTGTCCCTCGAATGGCTTCGAGAAATCAGAAGCTCGGATGAATTTACTATCAGGCTGTCTCGGGAAAATGGTCTAGTTCATGGGGATAGACGGGCAAGTGACAACTTTCTATATCTTTGAATTATTGAATTACCCGAATACAGTCTATGTGCATGGTTTTGGGGTTGAACTCCCACATGAATCGAGCCTTTTTATGCCCTGCTTTTGTGGACACTGTCAACAACATGACTTTCCAGCTTCTCGAATCCTTCGACAGCCTGGCCATAGCGTTCAAAAAGATCCTTCTGGTAGCCATCTGCAATCTTTTCGATAAACTCCTCTTCACGCCAGCGCTGGCCGACAAGGTCTTCGAACGTCTGACCTGGTTGACGTTCTAGGCCCCAAACAGCCTTGTAGGCGGCACCCAGTGCGCAGGCGTTATCGCCAACATCAAGCTTGTAAACTCCGTCCACGCCACCCAGGATCTCTCCAGCGATCTTGGCAATGGCTTTGTTCTTAGATCCACCGCCAACGAGGTAGACTCGACGGGGCTGTGCAGGAAGCCCGTTTCCAGGGCTCTGGGTCAACCCCTTTGATCGAAGGCGTAGTGAAAGCATCTGGCTTTCCACGATGGCACGCGCCTCGTCTTGTGGTGCGACCCAGCCGTCGGTGGTCTCCTTGAGATTGCCTGTTGCGGGATCGTATGTGAATCGCCACTGTCCAGCAGGCAAATTAGGCACAATTTCCGGCCGAGGAAAGAACAATCCCAGCTTCATGGGATCCCCGGGGCTCTTCTGGCCTAATGCTGGAGATTTCAGCGAGATTTCGTCGAAGTTGGCCCATGGCTGGTCAGGGGTGTTCTTCAAGCTTTCATTGATTGCATCGCGCACGTGCTCGCGAGCCAAGCCACCATTCTTATAGCAGAGCATGAACATATAGAGGCCCGGGGTGGTCGGATGGTTGAAGAAGTGAGTCGCGGGATCGGGCTTGTAGCTCGGGGTGGACATCAAGAATGTGGTGGATGTGCCCAGAGAGACCATCGCATCGGACGGCCGAAGGGGCAAGGCCAGGATAGTCGCCGGGTTGTCTCCGGTGGCAGGGATCACCGTACAGTCGGGGCTGAATCCGTAGCGCTTGGTATAGTACGGGTGGACGGAGCCTAAGTGTAGTCCTCCATCTTCCGGCACATCGCCAAGCTTCTTCTTTAATTCCTCCACGCCAAATGAACCACCGCAGAGTTTGAGCAATTGTTCGTCGAATTTTCCTTGCTTGATATTCCATAGGTTCATGCCACAGACATCTGAGATATCAAAAGGGGCGTAGCGCCCGAGGAAGAGGGAGGCGAGGAATGACGAGACGAGGGCGATTCGATCAGTCTGTTGGTAGACGTCGGGGTACTTCCTCGTGAACCGGAGGATCTGTGGTCCTGTGAATCGCTAATATAAAGTTAGCCTTGGCTTAGGGTCGGTATTTGAGGGAATTATCGGGCTCTTACATGGTGTGCTTTGCTTCCGGAAACATGCGCGAGCTGCTCACGACTCCCCAGGACGGCGTCGAACTCATCGCACTCCTTTTGGGTGCTCGAGTCCTGCCAATTTGGACTGTAGGGATGCGAGAAGGCGGGCTGGAGCTGTTCCTCAAGGGATTTAGAGGCGTCGAGATTCTTCAGTAAACCTGCAGCCTGGCGTCCCCAGTAGACGCTGCCGTGCTGCTGTCCTGCCGCGCTGATGCCCTTGACGCGGCTAAAGTCCAGTCCTTGCTTCCGGAGGCTCTCCAACACCCCATCCAGGGCCTGCAGCCACAATGCGACCGGGGCAAACACTTCATGTTCAGCCTCGTTCGTCAGCACGCCCTTCTTGATGGGGAACCCCGTCGAATCGGCATCGAAGTCGAACTTGGCGATATACACGACTTTGAGGTCCGAATTGACGACCAGGCCCTTGAGCTGCTGGGTCGACAGGTCAAACCCGATGTAAAGGGGGTCTTGCGAAGCCATGGCTGGATACTACTGCCAATGGAGTACCGCAGGGTTTATGAAAGGATAATGGCTATCTGGTGTGGGGGCGGGGGACAAGTGCATTTATCCTGGGAAGGAGGGGCCGCGGTGACGCGGGGCCTACTGGTCGAATGATGTCAAGGAGCTCGATTTTTCCCTGTTGGCTTCTGCAATCTGGATCCTTTCCTATTCCACGTCCCGAGTCGCTGGGAACTCGCTGTAGCTAGGAAGACATCTTTGATAAGTACACGCCGGTAAAAAAAGTTCCGGTTTCGTCTGGACTAACCCAAGAAAGTCCCATGTCTCCAGCTTCCCGGTTAAATTCTCTTTAACCAGAGCCCCACTATTGTCTACTTATCGGTACTATCCTGGCGCTCTATCCAACTTTCATATATCCAGCGATGCATATTGCCGTGGGGCTCGTGTCTTCTACCAGTACTGAGTCACAACTGTCTGGCTTTTGGGCACCTGGTGTCGCAGAGCCTGCTTCGACCCCAATAGCGATGGGATATCGATAAGCGTATAATCCCGCAACTTGTAGTAAAATATCGACTCTCAAGGTCAAATTTCTCTCTTATAATCTCACCGTAATAATTCGCCATCCTACCTCCGGGCAGAAGTACAGAAATTGGCTGTGGCTACTCATACTGACGTAGAAGGAGGCAAATCTCTGGCATAAAAGGCGGAGACTATGGAATCTTCTCAGGACAAAAGAAGAAGAAATAAAGAAAGCATCTTGCTGAGATTTTGGACAGACCAGCTTGGCTGCTCTTGGACGCCGCGTTTTCTGCATCGCAATGGCCACTGACGAAAAACGCAGTTTGATCATCGTCTCTAACCGACTCCCGCTATCAGTCAAACGCGTGGATAACCACTACGAATCATCCGTATCCAGCGGGGGTCTCGTCACCTCTCTTTCTGGCCTCACAAAATCTACTCAGTTCCAGTGGTTTGGCTGGCCGGGGATGGAGGTCAAGGACAACACAGACAGAGAGGAAGTTTCTAAAAGCCTGTCCAAGCATAATGCGGTGCCGATCTTTCTGGACAGCGGCCTCGCCCATGAACATTACAATGGGTTCTCCAGTATGACTCTTTGCATTCCCGGGAGGTGGCATTCTCTCGCTCACAAGACTACAGATCGTATCCTATGGCCGATCCTCCACTACCAATCAGGGGTGACCTTCGACGATGGGCCCTGGCAAGCTTACAAAAGGGTCAATGAGCTATTCGCCGATCAGGTAGCAGATGCGGCTGGAAATGGCACTCTGATCTGGGTGCATGACTATCACCTGATGCTTCTCCCCGAGCTTTTAAGAACGCGGCTTCGAAACCAGGGCAAGGCTTGCGCTATTGGCTTCTCCCTTCACACCCCGTTTCCGGCCGGGGATTTCTGGCGCAATTTACCTGTTCGAAAGCACATCATCGAAGGCCTTCTCGCCAGTGACCTTATTGGCTTCCATACAGAAGAGTACAAGCAAAACTTTATCGAGACATGTGCCACATTGATGCAAGTTTCCCATCATATCTTGTTCCTGGGGAATTGGAGAATGAGAGAATAGCTAATACCTTCAAGGGGTGCACGCACAGAGATTCCCAACCAAATCCAATACAAGGACCGCCTCATCTGCACCGGCAGGTTTATTATCGGAATTGACCCGCAGAAGTTCACCGATACGCTACAAACGTCCGAGGTCCAAGCCCGCATTGCCGCGCTCGAACAACGCTATAAAGGGGTCAAAGTGATCGTGGGCGTGGACAGGCTCGATCACATCAAGGGCCTTACCCAAAAGTTGAAAGGATTTGACACCTTCCTGGATGATCATCCCGAACTCCAGAACAAAGTGGTTCTTATCCAGGTCGCCGTTCCCAGCCGGGAAGATGTGAAAGAGTACCAGGACCTCGAGACTGAACTCAGCACCCTGGCAGGCAAGATCAACGGAAAGCACGGTGAGTTTGCTTCCTTCTACATGGAATGCTTTCTCCGATACGAGCGCTGATTCTGTCAGCCACACCTGAGGGGACACCATTGCTGTACATGCATCGGTCGGTTCCTTTCACCGAGTTGACGGCCCTGTATTCGATCGCCGATGCCTGTCTTCTGACTTCCACTCGAGATGGAATGAACCTCGTCTCATTTGAATATGTCGCCTGCCAGGAAAACCGACACGGAGTTTTGGTCCTGTCCGAATTCGCCGGTGCTGCTTCGTTTATGCGGGAGGGCAGCATCCCATTCCACCCGGCGAACAAGAGCGAGATGTCAGAGGCTCTCTTCGAAGCACTCAATCTAAGTGATGCAGAGCGCACGAAGAAGTACATGTATCTCCGAGACTTTATCCACGAGCATACGAGGTGAGTGTCGCGTCCTGCACGTACATAGTGTGCCGCTAATATCCGTTTAGTGCTCGTTGGGGCCAGACCTTCATCGAGAAGCTGAGCGCTAGGACATGGGATAGGGCTGGGGCCAGCTGCCCATAACTTCAAAATTGAAACAACCATCCTCCTGGCCATTTTAGACTAGCATCCTAAGACTGTAGATGAATGGCACTAGAATGACCCTTTCCCCCGCCTTCTCCCCCTCGGCTTCCTCCAACTCTCGGTCATCAAGGTCTAGCCTTTGCTTATTATAAAGCCAGCATTCGGCCATTCGGGCCATATGTAACGAAGATCTCAAGCTGTCGACTCTTCAAGGCAGCCTGATGGGCCAATGGGAGCTGAACCGAGGCGCATGGCAAACTTTGTTGTGAACCCCTTGTTCGCAGTCAACTCTTCCCAGTCTCGAACGAGTAAATCGAAGAAAGGCACATTGTGAACGCCGTATTGAAATTAAGCCAATTCCCAGCGCCTAGAATCCTGGAGTCTGGCACCATTGTGCAACGCGAGCGTGGAAGATAAGCTCCACGACCGAATTTCCCCTAAATCGACCCCATGGCGACGCCCATTCCCAACAAAGTATCGAGTGCGGGCTTCACATGGAGTGGATCCGGGCGATCATCGGTCGTTTATCCTAGATCGGATAAGCCGAGGGCCCATTACATCACGCAACATTATAACCTTGAGATTCTGCAAGGCCGCTGCTTCTTTATTTTTATTTTTCCGGAGCAAAGATGACGGACAATAACCAAGGCTGCAAAATTACCCTTTACTGGTGAGTATGCGAGCATCGTGGGTCGCTGGACTGGCACTAACATACCGCAGGCTCGAGCAATCTCGAAGCCACCGCATTCTCTGGCTCCTGGAGGAGCTCCAGCTGCAGTATGAGCTGAAGACCTTCAAGCGTCGCGCAGACAAGCTTGCGCCCAAGGAGCTGAAGGAGGTGCACCCGCTCGGAAAGTCACCTATTGTCACGATCGAGGCGCCGGGCGCCTCGGAGCCTCTGGTGCTGGCCGAGTCGGGGGCGATTGTGGAGTACCTGGTCGATCACTTTGGCAAGACTAAGCCTACTCTGGTTCCAGAGCGCTACGTCGCAGGTCGCGAGGGCCAAGTTGGGGGTGAGACCGAGGAGTGGATGCGATACCGCTATTTCATGCACTACGTAGAAGGCTCGCTCATGCCGTTCCTGGTGATGACCCTGGTCAATGATAGTAAGTCCTTGTCAATCCGGTGGTTAGTTGGTCGGATGCGTATGCTAATTTGTTTTTCTTCCTTCTTTTCAAAGCTATCCGAAATTCTCCACCCTTCTTCGTGCGCCCCATCACCAGCATTGTGGCCTCGCAGGTCGAGTCGAACTTCCTCACTCGCAACGTCGAGGGGAATCTGGAGTTCCTTGAGGAGCGGTTGAAGACGGCGCCGGATGGTGGCCCCTTCATCTGCGGCAAGAACTTGACGGCTGCTGATATTTTGCTGAGTTTCCCGGTGATCGCAGCGGGCGGACGTGTCTTGAAGGACAAGAAGCAGCGCGATAAGTACCCTCTTTTGGCTGCCTACGCTCAGCGTTTGGAGGGAGAGGACGGCTACAAGGCGGCTGTGAAGAAGATTGAGCAGATCGAGGGCAAGTTCTCTGCCTCCATGTAATGATTTTACGTGTACACATGTTGCTTTGTTTTTGTTTTCCCGTATTGAGCTTACTAGTACTATATCTTTGAATATACAGAGCTCGAAATACTGGCTCTCGTCATCGAATGATCTTTTTTTTTGCGGAAGATCTAGCTCGTTATTCATATCTAGTGGGTGTCCACGTGTCGTGGGAGACAACAGAGTCCGTGTTCATCGTCCTGCAGGTTGTCTCAGGAGCGCGCTGCGGCGCTCAACGACTGGAAAATCCCCGGCCCAACCTCCTCTATAGCATGTACAAGGGCCTCAACCGTCTCTCTAGCTGTGGACACATTTACGACACATCTAAAGAACTTCCCATCGCCAAGGGCATCGACATCCCCACTGGGCGGTGCAAAGTCCACCATAAACCCCCTCGGAACAATTGCGTGCGTTATTTGTTCCGTGACTGTACTATTCTTCTTCGCCCTCTCTTTCTCGTCCGCAATGGTACCCCGCGGGCACAGCAGCTTCTTACCCGGCGCATAATAGAAGCATACTTGCAGACACGGTGGCGCATTCTCGCTCACAAGAACAAAGTCCGGGTGCTGAGCCACCGTAGTCGCCAGGTAGGTCGCGATTTCATGCGCAGTGTCGATCTGCTGCTCGTACCCTTCAGTCCCGTAGTACGTCCAGCCCAGGAACAGCTTCAACGCATCTGCGCGACGACCACATTGGAGCGTGAGATCAGCCAGATCCCACACTTCCGGCTCGCGGTCCGACTCCGCCGCATGGCCATTAGTCTCCGTCTCATCATTGTTATGGAACAGGTACCCTGCTGGAAGCGTATTCGCGCGATGGAACTGGCGGATATCGGCTGCCAGGAGGAACGAGCAAGTCACCGGGACGCCGAGCATCTTGTGCGGGTTCACGGTGATGCTATTGGCCTTCTCCGAGCCGGACAGCTTCACGCGTTGCTTCTTGGAGAAAGCGAACGAGCCACCCCACGACCCGTCGATGTGGAACCACAGATTATGTTTCTGGCAGACGGCCGCGATCTCCTGGAACGGGTCGAACGAGCCCATGACGGTGGTGCCGGCCGTCGCATTGACGTAGAACGGGGTCCGCCCTTCGCTTTTGGCTTTCAGCACGAGGTGCTCCAGCTCGGACGTAATCATCCGGCCCTGCTTGTCGACAGGGACCTGCCAGACGGCTTTGCTGCCGAAGCCCAGCATCTGCGCGGCCTTCTCGACGCTGTAGTGGCCGTGCACGCTGGTGAAGAGCACAAAGGCATAGCCCTGGTTCCCTTCTTCCTTCGTCGTCGGGTACAGGTTGTTGCGCGCGACCACGATCGACGTGGTGTTCGACGCCGAGCCGCCCTGCACGGTGATCCCACCTGCCCGGGGCCCAGTCAGTCCGAACAGACCCGCTAGTTGCTGGCCCGTATATTTCTCGATCACCGTCAAGGCGGGCGACACTTGGTATACGTGCACATTGGTGTTCAGGGTGGCGAGGAGAAGCTCGGCTGCTATCCCCGGCGCATTGGTCGATGCGTAGAGCTTGTCCAGGAAGCCTTGGTGCCATGTGTTGACCGAGTAACGCAGGATCTTTTGGACAATGTCGATCAGTCCGTCTTGCCGTGTTCCTTGCTGGGGTATTTGCAGGTTGAGGATCTGCTGGAGCTCTTCGGGCTTTTTGTATTCGACTAGCGTTGATCGTGGGGAATGTCCGTTCGTTTTGGTCTTATTGGCCTCCGTCTGGGGTGTCGATTGGTCGGCCGATCGTATAAAAGGAATCACGAGGTCTTCTACAGCTTTTAATACCTGCGCAGGAGTCAGATTCCTTCGTGTTTGCTTGTAACCCCGTATAGACAGAATCACCAAAATATATCTTGAACATAGCCCCAGGACTTACATTTTGCACCTCTTCGGCGCGAGTGGTGGGGATGGTGTCTGACATCTCTAAGCACAAGACAGTCTATCAAAAACAAGCAAGCATGTGTACAGTGCAAGAACGGAAGACAAGATGGAACAAAGAAAAAAAAATTGATACGCCGATAGCGGGGAATTGCGACAGTCGCGCGGAAGCTGACATCATTTGGGCTTAAACTAAAAAGAATCAAGCGGTTCGGTCAGCATGATTGGTCTCTTTATGTTCGATAAGGATGCATCAATGATATAAGGCACTGGAGATGTAAAGTATAAGCATAATTAGAGTTTCGAGTTGCAGGCGCCTCGTGAGTTCGGATGCAACTGGGACGACCTGGCAAGGGCCCGTGCGAGACTCGATTTATGCATGCACTACATATCCTCCTACGTCTGACAATTATCTGGACCTCATTCGGATCTTATGAAAACCTCACTATATTGTATTGCGGAATCCTCCCAGGCCAGAGATATCTATGGAAGTTGACGCAAAAGAACCGAAAATCTATTTTACAGGGACCATGGCCATGGTCACGGGCAGGTCTTGAACCGTGGTAATCAAAGGCGCCAGATGACAAAACACAAGAACAAGGACTTTATAACTAGCAACTTGGTTTAGATCACCAGGGCAAGACCCATGGCAGCGATAAACAAACTGGCACCGGCGTGTACCCGATCAGCAGCTCCGGTGAACACAGGCCCCATTTCTGAAGTGGCGCTGCCTTGGAAAGAGTGATAGTCACTACCAGATGGAGCGGCAGCAACATTGTTGGTAGGTGCTGGGATCAAGGGTCGCGAGGTCTGGGGACCATTGGAGGACGCAGGCATGGCGGCGACATGGGAAGCAGAGGAGACTACAGGGGCGGTTTCAACGGGGACAGGCTTGCTTGGAAGCGCAGTAACAGCCACTTCAGAGGTCATTGGCAATGGCGAAGCCGGAGCATTGATGGCCGCTGCGGATGTGGGAATAGGCTGAGCCTGGGATGAGGGCTTCCCATTGGAGCTTCCGGCATCAACCTCAGTTTCCCATGACGTCGGAGGCTCGTAATGAACCGACAAGGGACGTGAGAGCCGGACGATGCCACGACAGTCTCGACAGCGATGGATGGGGAACTGTGAGATGCAGGCAGAGCACTGAAGGGTTCCACCGGAGCACCAGAGGGCTGGGCGGCAACGACGGAGATTGGAGTAGGTTCACTGTGTGATTCCATGCAAATTGTGGTCAGGGAAGTCACCACTTCGGTCACGTAGCGCTGAGTCCTTGTGATATGGTTGTAAGAAGTGGTGTCAACAGTGATAGTCTTGCCACTCTTGCTGGTGGTCGGTTCAGCAGCAACAGTTCCGGGAGCAATGGTCTCCTGGGCTGGCACGGTATTCTTTGCTGGGGCAGGCTCAGAGGTAGTATGAGGAGCCTTCGCAGGAGCCTCGGACACCGATGTCGCAGCGGGGATCTGAGTCGCAGCGTGGGAAGAGCTGTGGACGGGATTGGGGTTGATTCCCTTGGCGCCCAGCTCGTAGACCTTGACGGAGTTGATTTCCCAGTAGCTCTGCTCGAACGCGGATGGGTTGTTGGCGACGTAGTTGGTGCAGCTCTGGAACGAATCTCCACCCGTCAAAGGACATCCAGATTCACCGAACACACCACCAGCCCAATCGCCACAGAATGTCACGTCGAAGATGAAGGACTGCGCCTTGAAGCTGTTCGCCACGTCACATCCTTCCTGCACGAGGGCCATGGGCAGGCCGAACTCGCTGGGGTCCGGCTCTCCACTGGTGATGGAAGCTGGGATTGAATGGCGCGGGAAAAACCAGATCTTGAGGTACTGCGAAGTCCATTCCATCGCATAGACACCACCGCCTTGCTTATTGAAAGGAGTACCATAACTGCCCTGATCTCCCTCAATGACGCATCCAACTGGACCCAGATCTTCACCACACCCGGTGGCATTGATCGCTCCAGTCATTCCTTCGGCGGAACCCAAGGCACACGTTCCGGAAGTGTGCATCACGATCTCATTGTGCTCCTGCAGGTTAACACCCTCGATGATGTCGATCTCTCCATCGCTCGGCCAGTTCTTGCCGACTGACCAGAAAGCAGGCCAAGTTCCGCACGCGCTGCCCGGCATATGCGCAACATCCGCCACGACAAGCGATTTGTCGTAGTACTTCTTCGTGCCGATGCGCACCGAATCGCGCCCTTTGCCTTTGGGATCGAGAGTGGTCTTGTGGTCCACACCGAGGTAAACACTTCCTGAGTCGGTCACCTTGACGAGTCCTGCACTCTCTGCGTCTTGTTGGTCAAGATAGTTGACGTATCCATTGGTTGGGTCCGCCCCGACATGGAAGTTGAAGTAACTCAAAAAGTTTTCGCCTTGCCAGGTTTCAACCAGACCATATTTACTGGCTGCAGCTGCAGGAGCGGCCAGGGATAGTAGAAATAGCGATCCAGCGCTAAGAGAAAAGGACGAGGCCATCATGCTAAGTGGTTTGGATAACTCGGACCACGGGTGATCAATACGAGATGGTATCCAGAGAACAACACACCACTGGAAATAAAGAGATAAGTCAAGGGAGGGGAAACTAGAGCCGTCAAAGGCTAAAAAAGAATGGAATTTAGTAGACAGAAGGGCCCAAAAACAATGGGAAAAAGAACGGAAAGACAATCGCAGATCGTCAACAAAAAGTGAGGAATGTGAAGTAAATCGGGGAAGCCGCGTGTCGGCGCAGTGAATGGTATTTAGGCACTTGGCTGCAATTCCTCCACTTCCATCCCTTCTGGCCTTTTTTTCCGCTCGAGCCATGAAGCGCCTGTGCCTGGGAGGGGAACAACCCCTGAACGGTGGCACCATTGGCCCAATCGAGCTTGTATAGGTCCAGGTGCCCAGAACCCCCCTCCACCTTAGGGCGCTGGCGGCATAGTTGTGCCGTTCTAGCCCATCACATCGGTCCAGTCACGTCTCCACTGATCCCTCATTCCTCACATGAGTGGAGCCGCGCAGTATCCATACGCCGTTGGTGCGGCGCCTAAGTGGCGCTGGGCTTCAACGTGAAACGTGATGCGCTCGGGTGTGATTGGTGAAACGAGGAAATGAACCCTCGGGGGGCGCGGCACATCTTTGCAAATTCTGTCCATGAGAACATGAACTAGACTGGATGCTTGCTGTATCCCTGGGCAATCGGCCATACCACATTCCAGCGCTGCGGTGACGCGACCGGTCGATCCGGGTCGAGTCGCCGCCTTACTCGAGCTAACTTAATTAGCCTCGACCAATCGAAGGACGAAATCCAGCTTTTCCCTTTGACACTGTATGGCTTACAGGGGCAATGAAGACTCGAGCTACGGAGATGGCCCGGAAAAAAAAAAGGGATCGCCGATTGGCGCTCGCTGATCTCGAGCTGGAATCGTCTCACAAAATCATAACTTGTTCATATGCAGAGGGCCAGGGTATAGTTACTAAATGTCCGAAGTGCTAAACAAAATCCAGGTTGGCCCGTGATTAGGCCCCACCGCATCTGGGAAAAATAAGACCGAACTCAACGCTTGGAGACCATGCGGAACACTATCGTGTACATCAAGAACCAGACCGACCCCAAGAATCGAAACAGGGCTATACCGATGGCCAGCCACATCATTACTAAGATATAATTCCAGACTCGGATGTTGGGGCCACTCTGTTCGAGATGAGTTAGTTTGTAAACGTCAGGAGGGAAGATGAAGAAGACCCACATCCAAGCAGAATTGCTTGATTCCAGTGCTCGTCATACACAGAACCAGAATCAAATTGCTGAAGACCCACAACAGCACAAGATTCGTCCGGAACGTCTTGTACGAGTCGTCCGCGCTGTAGTCGTTGCCCTCTTCCGGTGGCACAAAAGGAGCCAGCGCCCGCTTGACAGTCATCTCGAAGTGGCTATCAATGTCAATCTGCGGTCGATCTTCTTCTTCGATGAACCTCGACTTGGCGTCTTTCTTGGTCTGGGCTTCGGGCAACGCTTTGCTCTTGTCCACGACCTTTGTGCCGAGGGAGACGTCGTGCCAGTTGCAGAACGCGTAGACCGTCAAGATGTTGGATCGCCAAGTCAGGCCAGCAAAGTACATCCATGATGAAGTGATGATGTGCCAGGGGTCCAAGTAAAGTAAGCTCGCGACGACATGCGTTCCGCAGGTGGCAATGAGGGTGTACAGGAACATGTCTGTGCCGATTCTGTCGTTGGATGTGTGGTCTAGGGCGTACTCGTCCAGGAGCAATCTCAGGCTATCACTCGTGGTCGACTTGGCCACCAGATACAAGACAAGGACCATAATGTACAGCTGAATAATGGTGAATACCAGGAATGAAAGCACATATGCCAGGCGGGACCTGTGGAAATAGGGTCAGCAAGATTTCAGAAACCCCCAAGGGGACGTTTGAGCGTGTTCTCACCCTTTCGGTCGCTGCCCGAGGGCTAGGATGTACTGAATCATCAGCACAAACACATATCCGTATTTGAGGAAATTATTCACGATCGACGATGCGTGGTTCCCAAACGGCCAGCCGCCGACCAGGCCCGGCTTATCGACCGCCCCGACTAGATCCATCACCACCGTGATGACGAGCCAGAATGTCGCTATAACAAGTTAGCAAGATTGTTGAATGTGGATTCTGCCCAGCTGGGGAGCGCGCTGTTCTTACCGAGAGAAAACCAGTGCAAAACAAACTGCGCGCAGTTGTAGATCATTTGCACATGGAGAAGAGCCAAGCGAACAAAATTATGCCTGCTCTTGTACACGCGGTTGAAATGGATGAGCGTGTACAGATTCGCTGCAAACGACCCGTTCAGCCATTGCCGCTGGCTGGTAATGAAATCGACGATGTCCTTGGGGACTTCAGCCTCGGCCCTCGCCGCCTTGACGAAGCTCATATGCCACTTGGATCCTGCTTTGGCCATCATTTCAAACGACAGAATGCGATCGCCGGCAAAGAACATGTTCTTTTTGAAAATGTTCATTCCCTCCACCCCCTTTTTGCCTAACTTCTTGGCCAGCGTCAAATCTCCGTTAAAGTACTGCTCCAGCGGCCGACCCATAATCGCTCGATACCGGTAGGCCGAGAATTGACCCAATGAGACATGTCCGAAAACACTTTCCAGCGGCTTATCCAGGAGATTTCGCTTTTTGTACTCGAAGTTTTGTGCGGCCACGAATGGGTTGAGGAAGTTCTTTTTATTTTGAATGGCGTGGATTTCACCACAGGACCCACCCAGATTTTCATCGTTGAAGAAGGCCTGCCATAGTGAGAGGAAGGATTGTCGGCCGGGTTTCGTGCCCGCATCGAGTAGGATGACGATCTCCGGGGTTAACATGCGACAAAGCCCGTTGAAAATCCAGCGATGCGAGTTGATCTTGCTGCTACTCTGCTGCTTCAAGCAGAGGATCATCTGAACGGGCGGCAGATTACTCGCCTCATCTTCGTTGGGTCGGATTAATCGCTGATCGGGGGTCACGGAGAGCTGGGTGGTGTATTCGAACTGGGTTGGTTAGTTTCGACCGTGGAACACACGCAGCCGCTCTCTGGGTGTATACATACGATATGTGCAACCGTGTCTCTCCCATCGACCGACCGTTTCATCAATCCATCTTGATAAAGACCGATGGTCGCCAAGACGTCCAGGGTATTTTTATCACATGGATCAATTCCATCGAAAACTAATGTGACCACGATTTTTTGCCACGCCGGGCCACCTTTCGTCCAGAACTCGGATTTCTTGAGACTCACGATATCTCGGATGTTCTGCATCACCCCATGGAGAGTTCGAGTTGTGAGGACTTTGTTCTCGCTGCGACAGGTAATGGCGATCAGTAATTCGGTATGACGGTTGTACATCGAAGGGCGAAGGTTGTAGCCATTCCGCATAACAAACTCATCGGGGTCGCATGTCACGGCCGTGTCTACTGCAATTAGATTCCTGTCTGGAAGTTGTGTTGTGCTTGGGGAAGGGTTCACCCACATCGTAGATTGGAGAATTCTTCTTCGAACTCGTTCGACTCTCGATACTTCGGTTGGATGGCATTCTGGATTGCACTAGGAACGGGATAGTTGGCGCTCAGGATGGAGCCCTGCACAAGCTTGATCTTGCGGGTAGGATAGCGGCGGAGGCCCGTGATAAGCGACCGGCGCTGCAGCGATAAGGACTCGCGCGACGAGGCGTGCGACTTTGGTGCATAGTGGATCTCGGATTCGTAGGGGGTTACGATTTCTTTCGCTTCTTTGACTTCGTTGACTTCTTTGGTCTCTTTCGTCTCCCGATAATCCGAATGGTGCTAGAAGAACCAATCGCGTTAGCGCGTTTCCTGCCCCCCGCATTTGCGGCAGTGTTGTCGCCGACTTACGTCGGATGAGAGATGACTGGTGTGAGGACTGCTCTCCCTGGTCCTCTGAGACGAAGATAGGCTGGCTCGCTGGGGTAGAGGGATTGGGCGAGCCCCCGGCGTGGAAGCACTGATTTGCCGCTTGTCCGCCATGACGGGACAAAGGAGGTTCAGAAAGCGACTGGGGGCGGGTCCTCCATTTAGCGGAAGTAAAACGAGCGAAAAAAAAAGGCCGAAAGGGATGGAAGATAGCGATAGAGAAGGCACTAGACACCGTCGGGGAAAGATTAAGACCAAACCTGGTCGGGGGCCACTCCAGCTTATAGCAAGCCACCGATCAGCATTAGACTACGGAGTACGGGCTTACGCAGGGCCAACTGGGGTTACTAGCGCGGCCGAAAGAGAAATGATCGGAGGCAACACGATCCCCGGACCAGGCCCAGGAGAAAAACATTCTTGGACATCGCGTGGTGCAGGTCGAAAGTGGAGGGTGTTCGATTGCAGCCTCCCCCCCTTTGATTGGAGGTGTCTCATACTGCAGAGAGAGAATCCGTGGAATGGCAGACGTTGCGCGATGCAGACGTGCAGACACGCCTGCAACGCGCAAGGGCTCTACATCAGCGCGCGATCCCACACGCAGGACATGAGATTGTAACAGACATCGACCCTGAGCATCCTTTCCCAAACATTCCACGATGGAAGGGTTTGCGAGCTAAGCCAAAGAACCTGGGCAAGGCGCTGACAGAGAATGTACCTTGCTCTTCCAGGGTTCCTGTTCGGGCAAAATCCAATTGCAGTGGAGACGTGCATGTTATTGGCTGGAACGGCCCGGCTCTGGCGTCCTCGGTCTGATACGTCGACTCGAAGGACCATTGCAGGGTGGCCAGGTCTTAAATGTCCGGCCTGCTTAAAATAGCCAGGGGCGTTATCGGCATAAATGGGATAAAGTTGTGTCGTAATCTCAGGTCTGCTTCTGGCTCGAGTTCAATATATCCAAACGCCAGCCAGTAGTCGTACAACTAGTCTGACCAGAGTTGGATATGGTTTTCCCAGCACTCTCAACTTGGTCACGGTCCATATCCGCTTGATCGTGCCTAGTATCCGGCGCGATCGGGCTAACTTCCAAGATCGAAGGGGTGTTCGGGTATTTGCTCCGTACAACCTGGAAATGCCTCGGAAAATAACTACGGCTTCGCCAGCAACAGCGGGTCCCTGCCCAATGCCCGGTGCCAGCGGACCTGCGAATAGTTGGTACCAGCAAAAGAACCGGCGAAGCACATAACGAGTTTGGGTCTACCAAGCCCCTTCCAAGGTTAGTAAACTGCTCCTGCCATTAGGAAGGGGCTTGAACTCGGCAGGCCGTTGAATATGACTCGTACTGATAAACGGCAGCCGGCAGTGCAGATTGGAGGCACTAGTGGGAGCCGTTATCATGCCATTGCTTGGTCATGCGAGAGAGAACTTGAAACTGGGAACTTCTTCATTTACAGTCGAATCGCTGCGCTCTTTTTGGCCGCACTACCGGCCTTGCACTCAAAAGATACAGATTCATGGCAAATCACAAGTTTGACGCCTTGATGGCATGTAGAAATCCCATCTAGGGGCCTTTTACCCCCCCTGGAAAGTCCGAGGTTTTGGGCTGTCGCATTGGATCACGCCCCCGCGAGACCCACCCGTCCTTTTGCTCGAAAACTCTTTCCAACCCCTGATCCGGCTAAATCGAGTAGTATGCTTGGATGTTCTTAGGGGGGAGACACGGATATTCTATCAACCCTATTGTCTGCAGCTGGGGTAGGAGCTTCAAATTCCATAGACCCTTGGACTGGGTCCCTGTAAAAAAAATACACCACCCTTGTTACAGAGACCGGAGGCCATGGATCCCTCCACCTATACAGATCCCCAGCTGACGCTGCAGGACAAATTGGTGATCAAGTCGCTGGTGGATGACCTCGATTCAGATGGTCAGTAATCTTGCCCAGCTGGGCATGGCTTGGCACAAGTCACTAACGGTCAAAGGCAAAACCCCCCCGGCTGAGCGACGAGGAGTTATCGCAGAAGCTTTTTGATATGAACAATGGCTCGCATGCGGACTTTGATCCAACGATTTTCCAGTTCTGGGATACCGCCGAGCTGCGGGAGAAGCTCCCAGCTCCCATCCAGCGGTATGTGCTGCAGCCCTATCTCAACTGGGCCCGCGGGGTGGTGCGCTTCCCGACGGATGTGGTCATGTTGACCCATTTGATCCTGTATTTCACCACCATCGTCCCCAGCGCCATCTACCTTTTCTACCATTTCAGTTGGGTGCACGGTGTCCTGCACTGGGTGATGCAGCTATGGTACTGCGGCGCCTTCACCCTCATGAAGCACCAGCACATCCATATGAATGGAGTGCTAGCGCCTCAGTATTGGCTCTTCGATACTCTGTTCCCGTACCTGCTGGACCCCTTGCACGGTCACACCTGGAATTCCTACTACTACCATCATATCAAGCACCACCACGTCGAAGGCAACGGGGCTGAAGACCTGAGCACGACCATGTTCTACGACAGAGATAGCGGCGTCGACTTCGCTTGCTACGTCGGCCGCTTCATCTTCTTCATCTGGCTCGAGCTGCCGCTCTACTTCTGGAGAAAGGGCCAGGTCGCCAATGCGTGCAAAGCGGCATTCTGGGAACTCGGCGACTACCTCGCCATCTACCTCCTCTATAACTACGTCAACCCCCGCGCCACCCTCTTCACCCTCATCCTGCCGCTCACCGTCATGCGCTGTGGCTTGATGGTTGGAAACTGGGGCCAGCACGCGTTCGTCGACCCGAGTGACCCCAATTCTGATTGGCTCTCCAGCATCACTCTGGTTGATGTCCCTGTAAGTAGAACCATGGATTTCTTTTCCTTTTCCCCTCCAAAAACCCTCGGCGCAGCAATACTGACTTGGAGCTCAGAGCAACCGCTTCTCTTTCAACGATGGCTACCACACGTCCCATCACTTGAACCCGCGCCGCCACTGGCGAGACCACCCTGCGGCGTTTGTGAAACAGAAGACTCGCTATGCCGAGGAGCGTGCTCTGGTCTTCCGCAACGTCGATTACATCTTCATCACCGTCAACCTACTGCGCAAGAACTATCTTCATCTGGCAAAGTGTCTGATTCCTATCGGAGATCAGGTCAATATGACTCTGGACGAGCGCGCAGAGATGCTACGGACCCGCACCCGTCGGTTCAAGCGTCCAGAGGCGAAGAAGCAGGCCTGAGGAGGCATTGCTGTTGGGGCCTTGCCGGGGTGATACGGCTTTGCTCGGCCTTGGGAAATAAATACAATACGAGTGTTGCTACAAACTGAATAGCTCAGGCGCCACAGGCGCGGAACATAGATCAATCGAAAATATTGGGAAAAAAAAATAAAAGAAAAATCGGGCAGGGTATATGGTATGCTCTAGCGTAATGGACAGGATGTTCACATATAGATGAGATGGCAACGACCTGCATAAGGAAATATAATCACAATATCTCCACGGCACTTAGTTGGCGGTACCTTCTTCGGGCACGGTCGCCGGAGTCTCTTCAGCAGCAGGAGTCATCTCCTCCACATAAGGGGGAGGAGCGATTTCCCCTTCACTTGTCCAGACCTTGCGCAGCTCGTTCTCAATATCCTCACGGCGTTTTTTCCACTCGTCAACGTGATCGAGGCGCTTGCGCAGCTCCTGCAGCTCCTTCTCCACGCCAAGCTTCTCTTTCTCGGTGCCAATCCGCTCAAATTCCCACTGCTCGCCTTGTTCTCCGAGGCCGAGCGTCAGATTGAAAGTATGGTACTTCTTCAAAGATGCGCGGGTGGAGATGGTGATCAGGGTGATGCCGCGCTCCTTGGCCCGCTCGTACAGGAGACCTTCAACATCCGACGAGACGGCCGAGGTCGCCTCATCGAGGAAGGCGTATCGGGGCTCGTGGTAGTATAGCCGAGCAAACGCCATTCGCTGTTTCTCGCCACCGCTCAACACATCCTTCCATCTTTACGAGCGTCCCATCCACCCTCCCGTTGGGGCAGGTAGCCAAGGTGCGCGGCATCAAGGATCCGCTGCAACGTGGCGTCGGACTCGCCAGCCTCGCGCATGTCGATCTCAGTGTGCGGATAGGTGACCTGGTCGCGGAGTGTGCCGACGCTGAGATACGGTCGCTGGGGGAGGAACATGATACCGTCCAGCCCGAAGGATCGAGGCTTGCTGACCAGCCCGCGGTAGACTGGCCACAGCCCGGCCACAATGCGGGGGATGGCGGACTTGCCTACGCCATTCGGTCCGGAGATCAGCAAATGATCGCCGGAGTGAACAATGAAAGAGAGTGAGTCGATTAACTCGTCGCCGCCCATGGGGTGAAGAGCTGGCGCTACAATGGGGACTTGTTCCAACCGCACACCGTCAAAGCCGTTGTGGATGGTGCCCTGAGCATCGGCAAGAGAGTAGAGCTCTGGGCGCGAGCCCGGCGGGGGGTAGTACGCACTGGCGTGCACACGGTGCAGAGTCGAGATCAAGGTGTATACTCGGGAGGTGTAGCCTGCAAGCTCAGAGATGTCCTTGATGCTGTACATCATACGGCCACCGGCGTCAGCGAGCGATAGCATGAGGCGTTTGTTGGTGATGAAGTCCTTCATTCTGCCACGTTCACGGCCCGTTCCCTCTGGTACATCGACCAGCTCTGACGCACCGCCCGTCCCACCCCAAGCGGGGAGGAAGACGGGCAGAGATGTAACCAAATAGCCAAAGGCAGACCACGCATACTTCAGAATGATGTCCTCAAGCATGTTATAACGGATCTTCAGACTGTAGATGCCTTCCATCCACCGCTGCAAGTCCTTGAAGCTTCGGACCAAGAACACTCGCTCAATGTCGGCACCGCCGTAGAAAGAAATCTCCTCAGCGTTGGCTAGAAGCCTTGAGTGCAACCCGCGGAAGTCGCCTTCTTTCTTGCCCTCAACAGCCTTTAGCTTTCCGAAAGGCGGCGACAGCTTACGCAGAACCACCGCTGTACTGAAGTATCCCGCAAGGATTCCGCTCAGTGCTAATGGACCAAGAGAGCGGTACAGCTGGTAGTTGAACACAAAGAGGTCCACCATGGGTTTCCCTATGGAAGAGTAAAGAGCCGCAGCGGCAGAGCAGAAGAGCGTCAAATCCTGAGTGATGAACTGATCCGGGCCTTGACCAATCCCCCGTCCAAGTTCATCAATTTGTAGTAATTATCATTGCCCGTCAGGTAAAGGTCATGGATGTATCGGGTCAAACGAGTTCGGAAAGCGATCGAAACCTTGGACTGAAGGAATTTAATCATCGCATTCGTATACGATGCAAGTGTGCCAATCCCACACCACTTGACGATTCCCCACAGAAACGCTTTGCCCTTGCCAGCGACTAGATCTCGCACGATTTCACCATCTAGTCGCGCAATCAAAAGCGACAGATAGGTTCGGAGCAGAAGAAACACGCCGTGGCTCATGAGCAGTCCAGTCTCTTTGCTTCCCCACCGAGGCACCATGATGCTACCCAAACTGAGGAACTGATGCAAGAACGCTAAATTCAACCCCGGTTTCGTCGTCGGAGGGGGGATTTGGCTTGCCGAGCCTTCTTCGATGCTTCGGGCCGACGCCGGGGGGTTTAGAAAGAGTCGCCGGTGGGCATCGAAGGTGGTCGGCTTCGTGGGGTAGATCAGGACCTTCGAAGTGCGCGAGCCCTTGTACGAGACATAGATGGTACGAGAGCCATCCTTGCCCCGGATACCCGAGTTCCGGCGAAGGAGACGGCGGCCTTGCGCGCGTTCCTGTGCGCGCTGCCGTAACCACGTATAACCTCCATAGCCGGAAGCGACGATAGAGAAAAGGAGAGCGACAGTGGCAATGAGACGAGTGGTCCGAGTGCTGCGACGAAAACGGGAACGAAGGAGATCGGTATAGTGTCGGTAAAGCGTCAAGAGGGGGTCCTCCGGGCGCCGGAGAGTCGACTGGGCGGCCATTTTTCCAAGGCGGACTCGGCCTCGGATACAAGTTGCCCAGTTTGACAGATATTCAACGAGGGAGTGAGGCCATGGGCCGAAGGCTTGATACCCAGATCATGCAGAGGGAGATATGGTAGAAACGAAGAATGGGTATGAGAAACAAAGTCGACTTGCATCATTGCATGTGAACCTCGGCGGAAAGTGGGCACGTGCCTGGGGTAAGCTGTGGAGCTCCAGATACCTCAGAAGTACTTATTTTGACGTGTAGCTCAGCCTACACGATAAGTACTCTTCAAGTACCGTGACTTGGTCATAGCGTTTGGTGGATCACGCAAACCGAAGCTGCATTCCGCCCCATTTGCTTCCTCAAACCCCAATTGCTTTCTTAGTCCAGACCGAGTTCAGGCACCGATGGCCTATTCAACGCTAAATCGTTATAACAAAACGTGTCTGATATCCGCCAAGCACCGACTGAGATAATGGGATTACTGAGGATATGTCAGTCTTTACAGCTGTATCGGAAAACCGATTCACTTCATTCGTGGAGCTTAAGTCATTCTTAAGAACATCTCAGTTGCTAGGTGATAAGCCAATAAAACAAAAGATAGCCAAAGGGAGGTGGTTGTAGTATCGCCCTAAACCAATAACAAAAAGCAAATAAGTGGGCTCTGGCGATCCACTCGAGGTCAACCCTGGCACCTCTGCAAGCCAAGAGGCTGACGCAGGCATCTACTTCTTGCCCGATCCGGAAGGAGGAGTGTATGTAGAGGAGCCGCTCCCACTGTTGTAATAGGTACTTCCATTGGGGTTGGAGTAGTAGTAGGAACCGTTGCTAGTGAAACATGTGCCGTCAGTCTCGGGGTCATCAGATGCCACCAGGATTTCTGCAAAATTCACCTGTTCGAGTAGTGGTAGCTGTTGCTATTGGAGGCACCAGAGCCATAATCACGGCTGCAGTAGTGGTTGCCCTGTCATCTGGTTAGCGATGGCTTGCGTGAAAAGGTGTCACTCGAGCTGGTAATGGGTTGACCCTTGTGTCGATGAAGTAAGAGTGGACGGAAGTAAACATACCTGGCTGTTGGTACCGGAGCTAGTGTAAGTGTAACCCTTCGAAGATTGAGGCATGTTGAAGAAAATTTAGTTCAGGGGATCGGTGATTCAGTAGTTCAGCGAGTCAAGCAGGCTGTGAGAGAAGAACCGGTGTGGAGGAAGTCGGAAGTCGGAAGGAGAAAGTGGGCGGGGTATTTAGAAGTTCGTTGGGTCAAGATAACAACCCCTGATTTAGGCCTCCACAGCTAGCAGCCTGGGATCAGGCAAGGTCCGCGATAAGGTTAAGGTCAACTTGAATGCATCAAGGCCTGACTGGAACAGGGATTGCCTAGACTCAATCGATTATATGTTTGTCTTGTAGTAACTGCCGACCCCTTCAGGGGCCCTGCTAATTCTGTCTAATTTCTACATCAAGTACAGAAAGCCGAGCTGAACCAGACAATTTTACCTGCTTCCATAAGGTTTCTCAGTATCCTTGATAGGCTGGTAATTTCCTTTCAGCGCAGTGTCAAATACCTCCGTGAGGCGTTTGATGGCCTCATCCGAGACCTCTGCAGCAAATGTTATTATTTCCATCTCTGTAAACTTCACGCTGGGGAAGGCTGGAATTACTTACGATAATGTACGACGACTCGTCCTCCGAGTAATAGTAATCCATTTTCTTTCCCAATAAGTGCGAGGTCATTGGGCCCGAGCCCAGAGCTTTCCAGATCCAACCATACCATGTTCGTGTGCACAGGGTACTGGAGTTTGCCTCCACGACTAGTCCAGGCCTCTGCAACTTGCTGGGCCTTCACATGGGTGGCTTGAAGCAAACCAGTCTTGCCGTGTGGGTCGGTGCCAAATGTTTGATTGAGGGCAACCCGCGCAGCTGCAGCTAGAATGCCTGTTTGACGCGCTCCTCCGCCAATCGACTTACGAAACCAACGAGCTTTCTTAATGAACTCCCTGGACCCCACAATGATGCTTCCCATGGGAGCTCCCAGGCCCTTGGAGAAACATAAACTCACACTATCAAACAAACTTGTGTACTCGGATAGGCTACCAGCCCCAGATACAACTGCTTCCCATAGTCGCGCTCCGTCTAGGTGAACTTTGATATCGTTGGCATGGGCCCACTCAACGATTCGCTTGGCCTCTGCTAACGGCAGTATCATTCCGTCGAGGGTGTTCTCCAGGCTGATCAGTTTTGTAGGACAATAGTGGATATTGTCGCTGAGCACCGCATGCTTCTGGACATCCTCTAAGGTAAGATGTACTCCATTCTTTGGGACGACCGTCTGTACTGTTGCTCCAGTCCATGCGCTTACGCCACCGGCCTCGTAGCAGATGATGTGTGCCCGATGATCACAAAGCACGGAATGCGGGGGCTGCGCCAGATGGGACCGGATCGCCACTTGGTTTCCCATCGTCCCGGACAGCACTAGCAAGGCATCTTCATGTTCGGTTCTTGCCGCGACATAGCTTTGAAGGTCATTTGTTGCCGGGTCTTCCCCGAAAACATCATCGAGCAAGGTGGTCTGGGAAATAGCTTCTAGCATTGACGGGGTGGGTTTTGTCATGGTATCACCTAAGAATGCTCGTCAGTAAACCGACCCAGAGTCCTGTATTAGGCGGGAATGATATGTACTTCGAAGGTCAAACTCGGCCGCCCCTGCGCCATGCCAGCTGCTACTCTGATTTGCGGCAACATGGGTGGCCGGTTGAGTCGGCAATTGAGACATAGCAGGCCTTTGGAGAAATGAATCACGCTTGCACGAAACAGAGCTTCGAAAGGCCCCAGCGGGGCGAGCACAGCGTCTTACTAGAGGATTCATGAGTCATTATCCCATGCACCGCGACAAGGTCGGAGCGTCAAATCGAGGAACTGCGGGGAGCGCTGGTGTCACATGATACGGGTGGGTACTATATATGCACGCCTACATGTATTCGTACATGTCTTGTTCATAGCACAAGCAATCATTGCCTCAAGACTACCCGCCGGAGTATTTGAGAAGAGCCTGAAATATCTAAGAATAAGACATAATCCTCCTAATGAAAAGGTCCATTCTAATAATAGTAGGTAGATCGTTCTGAGCTAGATACGGCTTTTATCTCGGTAGAACGTGCGTGAGCTAAAAGGCGTTCAAATGAGTAGGGCTGTGCCTTATATCTTCTCCTGACTTCAGTCCCTTTATAAAGCATAAATCTTGGTGAAGGCATTGGGAGATCCCACCCCAGAGCCATGTGCGTACACGGCTGTGCCCTAGCTCCATTTTGTTTCAGCAAGGCCTGGCTCAGGGAACAGCCGACGATATTTCCCTAGGACACGATCGCCAGCCAGAGGGACGTAAAGTGCCATCTCAGGTGCCGTATAAGATGCCATAAACATCAAAAGGGGCCACGATGGTGGCAATCCCTCGAATCAAGCGCACAGCGATTATACTACCAGCTGTCGATATCGAAACGCAAGTCGAGGGTGGTACCCCCCTGACCGTCAGAATGCTCGTATGATCCAAGCCAGGGCCAGACTAGGTAGCGGCGAATTCGCCCGCCAGCTCTTCGTACTCTTTAATGGAACTTCAATTCGATCAATATTCATTTGATGGGGTATCTTAATGCTGTCTATATACATATGCACTACAACTCTATGATGCGACATGCAAACATTCCAAAGCTATTCTTAGATCGAAAGATCTTCACAAGAGCACTAAATCTCTTGAGAAAGTGCAAGATCTTGTATCTCGCTGTGCAGTTCGTCAAGCCCAGAGAATCCCTCCTCAATGGCCCACTTCGAGTCGCCTGGACCGTGAAGAACATGGCAACTAGCTCCAACCACCAAAAGTCCAGGTGGCCGAGACCCGGCTGCTTCAAATGCCTGGCAAACATTCTTCAATGTTGACCGGATAACTCTCTGATCCGGGCACGACGCTCGTTCAACAATAGCACAGGGCGTATCCTTCGGCCACAGTGCCCGGGTACGTTCCAAGTCATCGGGTGCGTACTCAGTCAAGACCTCCACTAGAGCAGACAGCCGATGAAGAGCCATTAAGAAGACAACAGTTTGGGTGGGGACATATGCCGGCGGCTCGGGAGCAGCACCTTTCCTTCCAGTTCCCGTGCAGATAAGAACCTGGTCAGACACACCACGGTGTGTGGCTGGAATATCAGCGAAAAGCGAAGCACTCAATGCACTAGTGATCCCGGGAAGAACCACCGGCGGATATCCTTGGGCGCGGAAGAACTCGAATTCCTCTGCGCCGCGCCCATAGAGATACGGATCCCCCTTGCTTCAGCCGGAGAACCTGCTGTCCCTTCTGTAGGGCGGCTAGCCCCATTTGGAGAAGCTCTTCTTGAGCTTGGTCAGCGTTTCCAGGAAACTTGCGCGCAATATGAAGCTCTGTTCGGCGAGGAATCAAATCCAGGACGGGCGACGGGACGAGCTTGTCTGCGAGGATGATGTCGGCGTTTTGGATCGCGTTGTATGTTGCCCGGGTGAGTAAATCTGGATGACCTGGTCCGGAGCCAGCAAGGATGATCTTGCCCTTTTTCGATACTCCGTTCACTCCGTTTGTTTCGTTCATATGGTTGGAGGATGAGTAGGCTTTAAGAATTTCGTTGATGTCGGCATCGGTGATGGCGGTTAATTTCCGCAGTGGCCAGTATTCGCAAATTTGTGACAGCCAGCGAATGCGCCTTGTCTTTGCTGCTGCCATGTCCCCTTCAGTGACTAAATTATTAAAGGTATGCTTCTGGCCTGTGGTATCGTCGTCGTCCACCTCGAGCGCAGCATCACTAAGCCCGGCGGCATGATCTTCCTCCCAGAGTTTCCTTCGTACAGAGCCAAGCCGATCGATAGCAGATCCCAGGTTTTTAGGAAGGAAGGCGGCAATCTCTCGCCGGAGTCTCGACGCAAGCTTGCATCCTCTGCCGGAGGTCGTAATTCCGATATGGAGCGGTCCGTCTGAATAAGTCGAGAGGAGCGTGAATGAACAGAGATCGGGGGCGTCAGATACATTGACTGGAATCCTTAAGCGACGGCATTTCTGTGAGATGTGTCGGCCTGGTTATCTTGGTCAGCTTCTGTTGAATAGGACCCCAGGAATGCAGATTAGATTTACTTAGTGCGTGCTGGCCACCCAGAGTGATGAAGACCATGTCTACCACACCATCCACTTCTTCCCGGCCAAGACTTGTCAAGTCGCTGTCCTCGAAATCACGAGAAATCAAATGCGCAGCGCCTGTCGAGATATGTTCGGCGAGAGAAAAATGCAAGTCGGCAGTTTCGGTGGCAATGATAATTGGCCGTGCGCCCACTTCTAAACTTTTTGCGCAGCGAGCAGCAGCCAAGGAGTTGGCTCCAATGATAAGATGAATTTGAGATTGAGCATCCCATGCTAGCATCAGCGGGGCAGAAGATGCCGCGCCGTTAGAGGCGTCTCTCATAGTAGCGCTTGCTCCTATAAATCCTGTACGGTCGAAGGGAGATAGGATCGAATGGAATATTTATAAGTCCCCGTATGAATACAGATCCGGGAGGAGTTCCAGTTTGGAGTCGAACACCGCAGTCTTTCCAGGATCACGATTGGACCACTTTGGACCTGTAGGGCCTCCGCGGAGAATTGAGCAATGAGTAAAAAAGATCGGGTGTACTTGGGGCGATAAGCCGATAAGGATTCCCCGCGGTTTATCGGACTGGTGGGGTGCAGGCGAGCTGCACGATAATGAGATGGAATCCGACTCGGAGCTCAAGAAGCAGAATGGCCCCTTAAACGCAGAATGCAGAGGAACGCTCTTCAACACGAACAATTCTAAAAATCCATAAACGTACAAAACCGCGATGTTCTTCATCGTCGAAAAAAAATCTTAAAGCGGTTTAGCGCGATGGCGTGATTGCGACGTGTGGTAAGCTGCCTCTGATTGGCCGGTTTACTTCGACTACTCTAGCTGTACAAGATCAGATCTATAAAGAATCCCGAGATGGTGGAAAGTCAAATCTATTTATGTAAAAAAAAGCATTCGCAATGCATGGAGTTCTATATGCATAATAAACCGTAGGGCGAGACCGGCTGGGCATACGGCTTATCCAGAGATGTTTGGTGAGTGGGTGTCCATCTCTTTCTAGGGATTAGATGCACCAGGGCATGGTGATCTTAGTTCTCACGGTTCTCGCTCTCATCCTCGCTTTCTTCGGCGGCCTGTAATCCCGCAACAACGGCCCCGTCCCCCTCGTCATCTACGTCATCAAAGTCGTCCTGAAGCATACTGACTAATTCCAATAGTGCAGCCTGCGAGCGCCACGCTTCGTCACCCAGTGGATGGGTTGGGTCTAGAAAGTCATCATCGGTGGGAGCAGACTGTTCTCGGGTGTTTGTTGTTGAGCTGGAAGGTGAAGGTTTGCGTGAAAGGTCGGGTGCCAGGCTGACAATTCGAATGGCTTTGGTTGGGAAGATGCGGGCAGGGTTGTCATTTTGCCGTTGACCCGCTGGAAGATCGCCTGGGATATTCGAAAGAGATTGGCGCCAGCCAAGAGTCTGTAATATTTAGGGGGGAAATGTATTAGCTGTGCTGCACTCGTCTGTCATTCGATGGCGATAGTTCCACAACGTACAGTATAGGTGGTCATGATCGCATCGTCGCACAAAGTCATAAAGCTGACCGGCACCGCCAGTTGTGGCGCGGAGCTGGTCAGTAAGGCATAAGAAGAGGGGGCCTGGGGACTGGTTGTCTGGACCTTGTCATGGTCATCAAGCGCAACGATGTAAATCCGATCTTGGATTTCAAACATCAATCGATGGTTGCGTACAGCTAGCCATCCACCGAGTTCAAAGCTTGACCCATCCGTCTCGCATTCAATGATCGAGCTGGTCGCCTGGAAACTGGACTCGTCATGAAGAGCCTTCCGCCAGTCGGAACATATGAATACACGACCAGCGCGTGAAAAGCCAACGAAGAGATTTCCATCTAGCATGCCTGCTCCCCATTCATCCTCTTGGTGCCATACATGATTGGGGTCAGTAGGCGGAGAAAGAGGCCCACGTGAAATGTTCACCGAGACAAGGCAGTCTTTACGAGGTGGACCTGGAAGGAATATGCGATGCGCAGGTCCATGCCGGGCGGCCCCCGCTAGCACCGCACTTGCAGAACGGGAGGGTGGTGGAGGGGCACGAATATGATATCTATCCGTAACGCGTGAAGGATGTATGGCACCTAGGTATGCACCGGATGTTTTGTTGTAGACGTGATAACCGCCGGGCCCGATAGAGTAAATCACCACATCGTGGCTCTGGTCGAGGTGACCGATAGCATCTCGTTCGATATCAATCTCTCTCGTCAGCTTCGGAGGGCGTTGGGTCATGTCGTATACGAAACCCTTTCCTTCACTCGACACCACGCAGAGCGTGGAATAGGACAGCTGGAAACCTCTCGTCATGCATTTGTGGTTCAAGACAGCGATCTGACGAAATTCTCCGCGGGGTGCGTCATCCACATCAGCTTGCCAAACTTCGACTGCATCACCCTCCCGATCAAATACAACCATGCCATCCTGATATTCCAGATGTGCGTAGGGCCGAACGGCATCCTTGTCACGGTCGAGTGATGAAGGCAGTCGCCAGAGGATCCGACCAGAGTCCATATCCGTCACATTTAAACCACCTGCATGAGAGGTAGAGACGAAGAAGCGACGTTTAAAATCCGGTCGAAAGCGCCAGACGGGGTCGTTGCCAACTTGCAATACCGACTCCTGTGTGACCGGTGTGTGTTCGGCCCAATTGTGAGCGAGCAGTGTCTGGCGTTTGCATAGATCCTTCCATGACGAGGTACCTTCGAAAAGTCTGGAGAAGCTCTGGGTATCGTTTAAAAAGCTGAGGTCTCGGGTAGGATTAGGTGGATGGGAGGTTTTGGACTCGTAGATGGCGTCCTGGTGAGTGACGTCAATAAATTGATGCCAGGCCGTCGAGACTGCGGTCAACGATGCGAGTGTGGAAATGGGAGAGAATTCCAGGACCTGCAGGATAATCTCGGGGGGCAGGAGGGCCAACGGGTCTTTGGCAAAGGTGGGGTTCATATTCGAGGGCGTGATAGTGAAAAGAAGCCGCCAATAATTTTGATCCCCGAGGGGATCTTTCTTTTGGGGTGAGGGGGGATTTTGATAGTCCTCACCGCCCTAGTTTATCATCTTATCTTATCAAGCTCGGAACTACACAATAAATTCGCCCGCTCTATTCAGGTATTCAGGCACATTCTTCGACAAAAGGATATGGTGGGCAAATCCAGAATCTCTCTCAAATTTTTTGTTCTGAATTGGTATTGCATACGAGTTTTGTCATTAGGTGGTACGATCTACCTAGCTCTGGATAATGGGCAATCAGCTCGCGACCGTCATCATTGAATACAATATGTATATATAATTGACCAGGCATGTTCACCCCACACACTGGAAGGAATGAAAATTCGAGATCCCATTCTAGACCCTCGTATCTCTCTCATTATAACTCGGTCCAGCTTATTTAGAAGCCCATCGCTTTTCGGGGAAATTGAGACCGGAACTGGTGACACGAAGAGGGAAAAAAAAGCAAATATGTCCATTACGTACACGATCTCCGCGGCAAGTGGCTGGCTGGATTTATGCCAAACAAACACTTGATCTGACTGCCAGCACCTTGCAGCACCTTTTGCGCGAACAGCTCAGCCCAGCAAATGAGAATCTACTGCGTGGTTGTACTGAAAATCCTTGGATCCACATAGACAAAACCGGATGGTCCAGCCAGTGTCATAAGTGCGGGGATCCCCGACCCTTGAGTTTCTCCGCGCTGCCCCCTTCAACTGTACTCTCTTCCTGTCTCTCCTGAAGGAGAGGTGCCAACGACCATGCCGAGTCAGACGTTGAAGGAGATAAATGCTCGCAATCTGCGGATATTCAAACATGATTATCTTTCTGAGATCTCGGGCTCTTTGGGTGATCTAGGAACCTTTCTGCCTATTGCGATCGCCCTCTCTGTCAACGGGACTGTATCCTTGGCAAGCACTCTAGTCTTCTCCGGGGTGTACAACATCTTGACCGGGTTATTCTTTGGAATCCCTCTTCCGGTCCAGCCTATGAAGGCCATTGCTGCCGTCGCTATCGCTCGCAGTTTCTCCAACGGTTCCATCGCTGCGGCCGGTATTTTCGTTGGGGCGGCTGTCCTTGTTTTCAGTGTCACAGGTCTCCTGCGCTGGTTTGCACATGTCATTCCAATTCCTGTAGTCAAGGGTATCCAGGTCGGCGCAGGCTTGTCCTTGGTGATCGCTGCTTGCACGTCCACACTGCGTCCGCTCGGGTGGGTTAGTCCGTCCTGGGCCGACAATCGCATCTGGGCCCTTGCAGCCTTTTTGGCGCTGATCATCACCAATCTTTTCCGCAAGGTCCCCTATGCTCTAGCAGTCTTCGTGCTTGGCCTTCTTTTTGCGATCATCCGCACGGCTTTGGCTGCCCACTTGCCCGGTTTCGAAATTTGGCACCCGTACACGGTTGTTCCAACTCCCCACCAGTGGAAGGTCGGCGCCATCGACGCAGGTATCGGCCAGCTTCCTTTGACAACCCTCAATTCAATTGTAGCTGTCGTTCACCTTGCTAGTGATCTCCTTCCGGATGTCCGTACTCCGTCCATCACCCACATTGGTCTCAGTGTAGCTGGCATGAACTTGTTGGGCTGTTGGTTCGGCGCTATGCCTGTGTGTCATGGCTCTGGGGGCCTTGCGGCTCAGTACCGCTTTGGTGCTCGCTCGGGGTCGAGCATCATCTTCTACGGGGCCCTGAAAGTCATCATCGGCCTCCTGTTTGGAGAGACGCTGGTCGATCTGCTTAAGAAGTTCCCTGCTGCCTTCCTCGGAGTGATGGTCATTGCTGCAGGTCTTGAACTGGTCAGTGTCGGTGAAAGCTTGAATACATCTGGTGCTAGGGATCTAAGCATTGCTGGAAATGGAGTATTGGGCAACGCCGAACAGCATCTTACCTCTGGACCTAGTGAAGAAGAGCGTAAGCGTCGGTGGACTGTCATGATGGTAACTGTGGGTCTGTTAGTCGGGTTCAAGAACGATGCTGTCGGCTTTCTTGCGGGCATGCTAACTCACTGGGCTTATGAATTACCTACTTGGTGGGAGAAGGGCCGTGCCCGCTGGTCGGAGGGTCGTCTTCGTCTGCGCTAAATTCAATTATCCAGGTAGAATTATTTTCGGGTATTCTATAAAATGTTTGATGTCGACCGTGTATCTACAAGATTGAGTTCGAAAGATCTAGCTTGTCGTAAGCCGGAAGCACCCCTGGAAAACATGCACACATAGCTTAAATCCAACGGTCACTCGAATTTCAGGATCCAACCTAAGTTCTATAATGCCCTATACTAGTATCCATACCTGCTTCCCAAAATATTGAAAGCCCATATCCCCAATATTGGTCAAACCTGTTGAGGTCAACGGAAGCACTGGATGCCACCAGAATACCATTCGCCCAACTGCGGACTGGGTTGAAAAACCGATGAACCCATCGGGCATCGCGGGCATTAACAAAGCAATTTCGGCTTTCTGCATTGCAAAAGATATACAAAGCCACATTTTACGCGAGACAGAATCATAGAGTACTTCTGCAATTTGCCACATACTAGTAGTGGGGGCTACAATTCGACTCACATGGCTCATTCCTGGAGGTTCTTCTGAATTTGGCCGATCTCTCGGCTTGTGGGCTCTAAAGACCGGCCATAAGGTTATCGGAACCCCTCGGGGTATCTCCAAAGCGCATAGTACTATTAGATCTTGATTATAGCGGACTCAATCTGATCATGAAAGAGACTTCATTCAAGTTTCGAGTTACACGCGACGGTGTTAATCAGGAAGACAGAAGACATGACACGCTCCGGTTTCCCAATTAGATGTCACCTTGTAGATTTCTCAAGGAAAGGTGAGCTGGCTTGTGAGCTGGCTTGTGACTCAGAGAAGGCCGGCCATCACGCGTGTTAGCTCTTGGTCATCATCTTGAAGTGTGCCAAATGTAGTCGGCAATCGGGAGTCTCCGGATTGTGCAACGCCCATATTCACCCCGTTCAGAAAGCTCATTTCGGCCCCCGGATCAAAATAGAGGTCGCCGGCATACTCAAAGAAGCTACTCAGGTCTTCACAGCTGTGAGATTCTGCGTCAGCTGCCGTGCCAGGTGAAAGGGGCCATAACGAAGTCGAAGAAGGCTGCGACTTCCCTCGACTCTGCGGTAAGAAGGAAGAATTAATAGGCATTGGCGAATCTCTGACGGAAGATACCGGGGTCGTATCCGACGGATACCATGAGGTCCCGCGTTTCCAGGATGAAAGACGTCGCGTATCAGCAGGTGTGCCATATGCCCGGTTCTCATAACTCGACGAAAAACCTGAAGTTTGGTTATGTGTATGGAAGTTAGACTGGATCCGTTTGAGGCTACGGATGATCTTTTGCAGCCGCCGCGAGGTTCGTGCGCGAGTCGCAGATCGGCGAACCATATCAACGGCGATGTAGAACTCTGGCCGGCAAGTTTGACTGAAAGTACCTGGTGCATGTCTCACGCCCAAAAGCAAGGCCGCCATTGCAGATATCAAGAAGTAGTTGAAAGGTTCGGGGCGTTGAAAGTAAATGTTGGATACGCGACTGAAATAGTCCAACATGTGTATGGTTTTCTTGGCCGTTTCCACGGCAATAGAAGCACCGGAAACATTTTCAGCGATACGTTCACTGTTCAAAAGATTCTGTCGGTATACCAAGATCCGAAGCTGATTTGCTTGGAGAGCAAGGAGCACTTGCAGCATCATAGTTCTATCTGTGTGTTCCGGCCCTGATGGAGAGCGCCAATTCGGATCAAACCGCAGCTCCTGTGGTATAGAATGAACCCACTTTTGAACCTCCGCGTCCAAGATTGCACAGCTTTCCGAGGTCGCTTGATGTGAGCGTCTCGACCACCCGATAACCAGGCCCCATATTTTAGCGCCAAGGCGGGCATAAGAGATCATGCACATCAGATAGGGCGTCGAATGTCCTGGCTCTGGTAAATCTGTATCCATGTCGGAGTCCTGGATTGCGAATGGCAGCCCTGTGCCGAAAGACCATTTCCGGTCCAATACATAGATGCACCAGAATAACCGGCTCGCCCACATCCATTCAAGCGCCCCAGGGAAGACCCCGCCAGCCTTCTGCCAGGTTTCCTGAAAGTGAAGACCGAGTTCCATACAACCACGAGCCGCCATGCCGGTTAACCGCCATGCGATTACCTCGTCATCACGATAAGAGTGAAAAATAGACTAATACACTCAGCAATCTAGAGATTGATGGTAATAATTCCAAGAGTTCTGTACTCACCAATAAGACTAACAGGAGAATTTCCTTCATGTCCACGTCGGCAATTTTAAGCCTACTGGCAAATCGATCTTCCACACTATCGGCCAGCTGAGCCGCGCGCTCGCTCCGACCGTGCGACTCCACCAACAAGGCTATCGCGCAAAGGATCTTGAGAACCTGAACATCACGCGCATGGAACCAATCTTGGTCAGAGTCTGCGAGAGTAGGATCTGCCATCTTATCCATGACCGGGTCGTAAGTATGATAGAACTGGACCACATATGTTCGCAGGCTAGTCAAGTCAACACAAGGATACATTATTCCTACAGCATCCTCATATACTTGGACCAAGCGGAGCGTCTCCTCGAGGCCTAGAGCTTTCAGGGGATCCCCATCAATAGGCCCTTCCCTTTCTGAAGAAGCCGCCAAGCTTAGAGGCGCGGGTGTTGATTCGTTAGAGTCTTGCGGTTCGTTTTCGCCTCCGGCAGTGCGTCCAACGTTCTCGGGGGCAGTCAAGCTCGCTTGTTGTTGACCAAGGCCAAACTCGGCACTCGTGGGACCAACAAAAGTCGGAGATTTGGGAGGATTCAAGATTCGCTGCAGAGCATGTGCTCCAGTACTCATTCCAGGTGACGGCTTCGAAGAAGCCAAGGGGCTTGACGACTCAAGTTGATGTAGACGGCCGGAAATGGTCCGAATCTCCTGTTGTAGATTCGCGAGATGTTGGTCAATCTTTTGGAACTGAGATGATTGGCTGTAAATAGTTAATCAGTCTTCAATCCAACGGTGACCCAAGGTAGCGTCAATGGCAAAAGTAACAATCATACCGCTCGTTCTCGACCTCGCCTGATGGAGAAACGATGGGTCGATTGGCAGGGAATATACACGGTATATCGTTTCTACTACATCTCATGCAGATCTCCCCCCCACTACATTTCAACTTGCGCCGCTTGCACTCATTGCTGACGCTGGTAAGCAGGCAGTAACCTGGCTGGTTCCGGGGCGGGTAAGAAGCTACACATACCACGCAACCTGAGTATACTTGGCCCTCTTCCTTGGTGCGTCCGCCAAAGGCGAATGGTCATTTCGCTTCGCATTTTCTGCCATGGTAAGCCAAATAGCAGGGCCCGCAGCGATGGAAAGAGCAAACGGCAGCTGAGTTGAAGTGCGGAAAGCGGAACAAATCCGAAGTCTTATCGCTTATCGCATACTGTCTTATCTTCTCAGTGGCTTACCCCTACACATGGTAGACCTGAGTCTTAAGGAACACAGTCTGACGGCGGATCTTTTAGGGAAAGTAAGGTTCTCCCAGAAGGGCTCTTTTAATTTCAACTTGGAGGCCTCCGGTATTCAAGGTGGTATCAAGAACGAGATAGATGAAATCAGATCATTAATAGGGAAAAGGATATCTCAACGCCAGAGAAGTGATAATAGATACAAAAATGAGGGAAAATGTGTTATGTGCAAGGATATTAGGAGAGGATTGCCTCCCATGAGATGCATACAGAGTCGGCAGAGGTGTGCAAAAAGACATTAAGGCTTGGAAAGTTGTTCTTTCCGGAAGAATAGTAAGAATCCCGCACTGTACACAATTTGTTAGCGTTTGAACCAAGGCATCAAGGAATGAGAATCAACGTACCAAACAAGTAACTGGCAGGACAAAGCCACCCAAAACCAACCATTGGCCAACTGATCCGCTCCTTTGGATAGGTCCGGTGAAATAGGCCCTGGTCCAATCCTGTTGGGTCCAAAGGCTCTTGCGCAGATGGTTGCCGCAGATCCAATGACCTGCGAGGCAATGAGAGCAAAGCACATGTGTACTCGTGTCAATGTCTGCAGAAGAATGATACCGAATCCAAGGCCTTGGATCGAGTCCAAAACACCCAGCCAAAGCCAGAGACTCCGTGATGCAAGTGCTCCGCCTGTATATCCACCTGCTACCCACGGCAAATAGTAACCGATGCCGGAGATACCCCACCAGATCTGGAGAAAACGGGGTGCTCCCAGGCCACAGGCGAATATAGGGAGGAACCAACTATGACGCTTGGAAAACCTGCTCACAACGTACAAGAAGACGCACCAGACCAAACCGAAGAATATGATACACAGGATAGCGATTTGCCAGCGAGAAGCGTGATTCGAATTCCAGAGGACTAATAGGATATTAGCTTTTGTTTCATAGGTATTTGAATAGACATCTTGGGGGAAACTCACAGCTCCAGTTCCGACCGTAAGGAGCGCTGAGGAAGAAGTTCTGGAGGATAACGGCGACAAAATTCCACAGGACAATCTTCCGGCGGAAAATAGACTGGTAGAAGGAGGGAACCTTGCCTGGCTTCTGGCGGTAATAGTTGGGGAGACCGAAAACCAAGAGAAGACCGATTCCCCAGAGGAGCATTGCGATAGGATAACAAATTGCACTGGGAAGAAGTTAGAAATCAGCTCTGAATGAATCTGGTACGGAAAGAAAATACGTACGTCATCTTCCAGGTGTTCGAAAGGGCACTATCGGAGTTCAAAAGTCCTTGACTTGATGCCTTCGCCAGCGTCGAGCCCCAGTACCAGAGCGCGATGACATATGCCTGCTGAATCCCCTGAATCAGACAAGCGCGGAAGATCCAAGTCTCCACTGGAGCACCGCCTTCATCGCCAAAGTTCGACGCGAAGAAGATAGAACCACTGGATGAAGCCGCCGCGTAGCAGCCACTTCCAATGTTTTGAATCCATCCACGGCGGAAGGAATTCTGCTCCCAGTGGGCAGAACCGATAAGAAGGAAAGCCAGGCCGTAGAAGAACCAGGGTGTAGACAGGGTAACGACTGATTTGAAGTACCGATACAGCATCCACCAGCAGACAGATGTGACTGCGTATGTGGTTGCAATGCCGTAAAGCTTCTCCGCACTCTCACCAACTTCGCCAGTTAAAAGAGTGATCTGGTAAGAGTTCGCAGCGATGATCTGACCCATCGCCAGGAAGACTGAATACACCGGCCAGTCACCAACCTTGATTTGCATCCATTTCTTCAGCCCAGTCGGGGGGGACATAGTCCTTGCCCAAAAGGAACTCGTCATCAGAAGTGGCGGAGTCGCCGTCGGTTGATGTTGCAATGCCTTCCTCAGTAAAGGAGGAGATCGTGGGTGGAGCTTCACTGTAAGCACCACTGTGGATCCGAGAGTGGTTGAAGACAGAACCGGCAGGTGACTTGTTTCGGCCCAATTTTGCGTTTCGAAACCTGTCAAACCAATCCTGCTCACTCTTGACGAGGAATTCCTCAATACAGTACTGGCTCTCCGAGTTGGAGCCGTTGAGTCCCTGTAGCTTTTGCTCAAAGTTGTGATAGTACTCGCCGTTGCTATCCGTGAAGAATGGATCGACTTTCTGCAACTTGAAGTCTTTCTTGTCGCCGACTACGGAGTCAAGTGACAGGACAGATGTGCTGCTGTTCCGGTTTCCTCCAAGGAATGGCCGAGGAGGAGGTGAGAGCTGACCAGCGCCCAGTGGGCTCCCGGGAGAGTTGAGTGGGAGGGCAAATCGAGGCCGCATGGACTCTTGGCTTGGACGACGTTTGAGAGATGATGGGCCCCCTTCTGCGTCCGCAAGGTGGGAAGGGGAGATGGTGTACTCGTCATCGGCATACACGCTGTGTGCTCTGTCCTCGTCACTGCTTTCTTCCGCGTTTCCTTCAATGTCGCTGGCATCTGTGTCTTGGGCATCCTTGTGGCCTCTGCGCTGCCGACCACGAGCCTCCAGATGACCAGGGCCCGAGCGAACTCCAAGGGACAAAGATCGGCTCAATCCAGAAGTTGGCTTCTCGATCTCCGAGGGGCTGATCTCCCTGCTGTAGATGTTCTTTCTTGGCGGGCGAAGCTCAGTGATCTGGTTGAAGTTTGAGTAACTGCTGTCTCTGGAAATGCCCGGGGACGAAGCTGGAGTTAGTCCCAGAGGGGGCGAGCCATTTGTTCCGAGAGGAGTCGAGGAACCCGAGGTCAGTGGCCGACTGTGACCTTTGGAAGCCTCCTTGGTGTGAACTCCAATGGCAGTTGACTGCAGGATTTCGAGATCCTCAACCCACTGGGCAACAGGGAACCGCTGCTTCGCAGACCGGGCCCGCATCATCGCGCGAACCTCAGTCTTAGAGTTGAGGGCAGCGTCGATGGCCAGTTTGAACTGGATCAGGAGGTGAGATGTAGAGGTCGATTCCACATTGTACCACCAGCCTGGCATTTGACCAAGACCACCCACACGCGCTCCAATACCCAAGGCTCCCTTTCGCCCGAACTCGACTGCCACAAGGCCGAAGGGTTCGTCACGGGATGGGATCAGCGCAAACTCAGCTCCAGAGAAGATGAAAGGTGGAAGAGCTGTGAACTCGGGCTTGGAAAAGACCCGACCGGGGTAGATTTCCATCATGCGACCAAGCTTAAGGGCAGCGAATTTACCGTACAGGTCAATGACCGGACCGATGCAGATCAGTTGCACGTTGCGACGAGCCTCCAGAATGGCAGGCATGGCATCGGCAATGAGATCCACGCCCTTCTGCATCGACCAACGACCAACGAAGACAAGGAGATCAGCCTCAGGGTTTTGCTCAAGCCCTGCCCACTCCTGAGCTTGTCTTTTCAGCTCGGCCCGGCCAGCTTCATATTCAGAATCAACTGTGATATCTTCTTCCTTGATCGGCTGCTTCGTCCACTCGCCAACGTCCGATGGGTCAGGATTGGGGAGATTTCCGACCTTGCGCAGACCCCAGAAGATCGGGTAACGAGCATATGATCGTTTACCGTATTTTTTGGAAACTCCGACAGCTCCAAATCCTTGCTGGTGGACACGGAGATAGCTTGCGCCGGCGTGGAGCAAGTTGAATACCTCACCGAATTGCACGTAGCGCCTGGCAGTCTCTTCTTCCAAATTGAACACGGAGCAGACCTCGCGACGCTCCTTAACAGTACGCATAGGCCACAGCCCCTGGAACTCAGCATTATGCAACGAAAGACAAGCAGGGATCGTCTCAGGCAGGAGATAAAGAGGGGCCACGGATCCGTGATAGTCGTTAATGTGGTAGAGATCGATCGGGAAACGCTTGATTGCCTGGGCAATACACTGATTCCAAGCCGAATAGTAGATAGCACTGTCCAAGTCATCCATGCGTGCCGGATAAGGCTCGGATTTGGATTGCTGACGGAACACGGGCGCATCCAGAAGAACGTAGGTAATGTTCTTGAGGACGTGGTATTGGACCTGCACCTGGTAAAGGCTTCCCAGGATAGTGACTTCCATTGGCTCTGCGACCTGGTCGACTGGGTAGTCAACACCACCGACACAAGGAACGACCCAAATCAGGTCTTGATGTCCAAGTGTCTTTCCCATGAGTTGTGCCATCACACCAAGACCACCAATCTTGATCTTGATAGCCCAGTCTTCGATGTCATACTCCATGGTAGCGATCAGAACCATTCGTCGCTTTTCTGCGTTCGAAGCCTTTGCCAGTGCCGACGAGCTGTTCATGAACCCTGACTTGTTGGCCAAACGGGTAAGAGGGCCCGGCGAATAATCTCTCTTCTCGCCCCTGGCGAACGACTTGAAATTTTTCAACATGACCATCGGAGCGAGGCTGCGCTTTTCGCTGATGCCGACCTCATTGAATTTGACCTTGTAGAACGAGACCATGAAGATATAGACACAAGCCGAGGCAGTCAAGAGAGGCACAATCCAGAACAAAACATACATAACGATCTGCGTACTTTGTCTTCCAGCCGGAAAAAGTCTGAATTTAAGAGTTCCATCATCGACAGAGATCCTCCAGGCCAGATATGGCGAAGGTGGTGGCTGGGTGATGTTGATCAAAGTGCTTGAGAGCGATGAGGGTGGCATGCGATCCAGAATACTGTCATTGTTGACATCTCCCAGAACCCAACTCTGATCGGGCTTTCCGTCGGGGTTAACACCCCAGATGTTGATCTGTCCAACCGCAGGCCATTCTGAGGTGAAGTGGTAGGTCCATTCCTCGTCTTTTTCGCTCAGTTTGACTTCGTTATCAAGACCGGCATCATAGCCGTATTGGTTGTACGGTCCATTGAAGAATGCGTGGGGGAATCTTCGCGGTCCCTTGTTCCAGTTGATGTCACCCTGTTGGACATAATCACTGCTGCCGGTCCACCGACTCCAGTATTCAACTCGAACATGGTCACCCTCCCATGCCTGCTTCTTGGTTCCAGACCAGGGAAGGCGATCGATGGTATCGTTTCCGCCCTTGTAGGTTTTCCAGTCAGAGAAGGTGGTCCCCCAGTTGGTTGAATAACGATACATGTCTGCGCCCGCAGCGTGGTGCTGAATGAACAGAGTATCGTTGTTAGGCTCCTGGTGGAGCAAACTGCTGGAGTAATTGGCGGTCATGAATATCATAGGGTTGTCAATCTGGCCAATTCTGAAAAGCAGGTGATCGATGGCGTCGGTGGATGCGTTCTTGTGGGCGTTGGTGACATTGTTGACAGTCAGACGGTGAACACCGTTGTAGACACCAGTCAGATTCGCAGACCACATCCAAACTCCTGGAATCTCTCCTGTCAACGAAGTATCAGCAGCCGGGACTGTGGTACACTTGACAGTCTTGGTGTCCACTGTCGGGGCCTTTCCGATCTCAGTGGATGAGTTCAAATAGATGCTGTCCGTGATCGAGTCGCAGTCCATTGCCTCGGAGAAGTAAAGCTCAACATGCACGTCTTCCGCCCTATTTGGCGCGACAGTAGATCTTAAGGGCACGTCATGGCCAGGAGTGAATTTCGTGAGCATCGGACGCGGTGCCTTGAATTGGTCTACGGGCACGTAGGCGCGGAACTCGTAGGCATTCAGAGTCATGTTGGGATAGCAACCATTGTATTCAGTGGAACCATTCAGCCCAAGCTTTATGGGGCCGCTAATCAACTCGATCTCATCATGGGGGGTAGAACAAGTTCTTGACTCGAGTATGTGTCGGGAACGGAGAGATCAAGGCAGTATCATTGTCATTGCAGTCAAACTCGTAGTGGATGGTGCGGTTGACGTTCTGGTAGACAAGCCAAATTGGCTGGTTGTCCGCATCAGAGCCAAGATCTTGAACGTCGGGATTGACATTTCGAACGACGGACCACATTCCAGTCTCGGTGGGAACTCCATCGGAACCAGGATAGATGACATCTTCGGTCTGCTTTGACATGTTCTGGATTGAATATCCGTCGTTCAGAACGGGGAAGTCATCGCGCATTTGATACATGTGCTTCATCACATTTCGCACCGGGTGGGATGGATCACGGTGGTCATAGGAGACAGTGTCATCGCGGCAACCGTCACGAGCTTTGTCGATCGGCCAGTGATAGTACTGGGATGACTGTAGAGAGAAGCAGCCATTCGTTTGCCAGGCCGTGGCAGCGGACATGGCACCTCGTCCGTAGATATAGTTCTCCGCGGTCGCGTCAAGGACATAGAATGCTTGCTCTTCGCCCAGAGGACGAGAGGGATTCCGGGGAGAAGCAGAGTGGTGATGAAGCTGGCAAGTAACTGTCGCTCAGTGCCATATTGAATAGCAGGCCAACGGAAAACATCCTGGTTGGTCGCGCCAAACATATGGCGAGGATCGAATTTCCCCGTGTTCGCATTCACGAGGTCGTTCGACTGCAGCATCTCATTCCATGCGTTGATCCAGTCAATTGGTACATCATAGCCGGCTGAAAGCTGTCCATCCATACCCAGGAATCGAGTCATAGATCTGTAGACCGAGTAATGGAATGCAGCGCCGTCGATAGCTTCCTGTCCAGCCTCCCGCAAGAAGTACTGCGCGTCCGACTCGTTGGTCATCTTCATGGCAGCAATCGCATCGGGCGGGAACTGGTTAGGCTGCCTTCCGCGACCGAGATAGATCGAACCAAAGGTGTTACCACCAGTGATTTCACCTGCAATAAAGAAGTTTTCCTTGCCGACGGCACGGGCGCATTCACGATAGGCGTTGGACATGTCTCCGAGCGCATCAACGGTGGCTTGGGTTGCCTTATCGTAGCGGAAGCCATCGATATCGAGAGAGGCGATCACCATGCAGGAGTGTCGGATCAGTCTACTTCGGACTACAGGGTGCCACTCTCGTAGACGATCCTGCACCGAAGCAAATTTTGCCAGTTGACGTTCCCAGTCAGGGAACACGCCGAAGGCCTCGATGTCGCCATATTGATCGAAGTCACTGTCATAGCAACCGACCAGCCCAGCTGTCATCGATTCGTTGACGGGGAATCCGTTCTCGTACCAGAAGCGTGGGTAGTCGCAGGTTGAGTTGTAAGTGTTTCCGATGTCGAAGTCGACATATCGACGATCACTCTTCCAGGTGGTCGGGTGTTCTTTCACGGAGAAAGGCGTCGTGGTATTGAGGTATCCCTCGAAGCCGATCAAGTCACCCAGACTAATTCACACAAGGTCAGACATGGAATTGACCTTTCGCGATGACAAGGAGCACTTACGTTGCGATCGTGTTGTCAAATAGGACATACATCCCGCGCTTATGGATCTCGGTAATAGCATTTCGCCAGACCTGTATAGTACCATAATGCTGATCGAGCAAGGTGGTATCGAGGGCAGAGTATCCATCAAATCCCCAAGGCTGATTCATAAGCGAGGTTCCAGCCAGATAGAGCCCCTATTTAGGTCAGTCAGCTAACGAGTCGGACAGGCTGGGGGTGTCAGGCGACTCTACCTTGATACCCATTCCTTGGAGGTAGTCCAGTGTATCTAGTAAACCGGCGACATCTCCACCATGGCGCATCTGGTTGGAGGTGAGGTCGTGTTCGAATAGTGATCCATTGATATTATCGTTTGTTGGGTCGCCGTTGACGAAGCGATCCAGCATAAGAGTGTAGAATGGGAACCGCCAGTTATCTGGGGAGGGATGATATTTGCCCTCATGACCTGGCCATTCTCCCCAGTAGTCGACAGGGTTAGTGGCAGTCTTATTCTCGTTGAGGTTGTAGTCAACCAGCGATTCGTCATATGGCCATGCCGATGTGGTCGACAACAGAGCTGCAACCACCCAAGAAAGCACGAAGTACTTCATAGCTTCTGTCGGCGATCTTCAGCGTCAAGGCCTTTTTCCTTCCACGAACCTATCTCAAGGCAACCTGCACAGAAGTAGCTCGCTCAGCGAGCGGCACCAATGAACGATTTGTTTGTCTGAGTACGGTATCGCGGTATACAGCACAGATGTAATAATAGATAACCAAGACCGGGTGGTGCTTGGATGGCTGCGGTATCGTAAAAGGGGGAAAACGAGTGAATAGAACTTGAAGGAAACGAGAGAGGGAAATGTACAAATAGAGGAAGAAGTAAGATAGAAATGACCCAGGAACAGCGGGGCTTTAGACTAAGATAGCGAGCGTGGCGTATGGTTCTTGGGGCAGACCGCAAAAGCAAAGCCCCCACGGTGCAGCATGCTCCATTCTTGCAAAATGAGACAGCTTAAACGAGGCTGAGTTCTACCTCCGGAGCAGCCTTCTGCGTGTACGGGGCAGGAAGCTCTGCTTCTAGACCTAGTATGCGTACAGATATCTATGATTAGCTCGGTGTACTCCGGTCCACTTTTCCAGCCCTGCTAGAAAGTGTAATTAAATACAGGGTGCATTCCTATTCCGGATTTGTTTCGCTAAAATTGTTTTTACTTAAGACGAACACTCGAGCTCAGGCACGCCCAGGGTGGCCTGAGACTGGGGATGCCGCTAGAAATCTCCTGTATAGGAAAAGTCCACTTTATTGGAAATATTGCGGCGAAAAAAGTTAAGACGCCATTATCGTGTACCTCCCGCGTGGCCAGCCCCAGTGGAAAACACAAAAATAGAAAACCGTTGTATTTCCGTACCCAAGTCGCATCGTACATGCATCATAACGAGGATAAAAACCCAAATAGGAAAATGAGACATCCCCGAAATGGACCCCGTCCACACAGTATCCGCAGAAAATACATACGTGAACGCCAAAGAGACGCAATGGGAGCCGTACAGATCTCTTGCATATTGGCCTCCATCCATTTGTTTCTCCGAGCCCCATCCATCCACTTCGGGCACTGTCGATTCGAGAATGTCGGGATGCTCGGATCGTTCGCCTGGGAGGCTTTTCTTTTCTTTTTATTTTTTTGCTTCTGCTTGCTGTCAGACAGCCGTGGGCATCATGGGTAAATATGAAAAGGAAAGCCGATGTAGTCCCGGCCGAATCATCAGGGGTGACTTGCAGATAGGGTCCTAGTTGACGGCCCTGCTTGGGTTTGAGTTAGCGTTGGCTAGTCCGGCAGTACTGAGCAAATCGGAGAGAGCCATCGGCTTTGGCCTCCCGAGTCCAAGGGAAAGATACGGGCCGTGGCTTGTCTTCGGCTAAGCACGTCCAAATGGCGAGATTATGTGCTGCACGATCTGAAACCAGTCGACTCGAATTTCCCTTAGTCCGCTTGTTGTTTGGGCCGAGTAATTTTCAGTTCTGCGTGCCCCGATTGGGCTTAGCCGGTACGATATGTCAGACGAAGTGAAAGATACGTCAGGGTGCGAATCCTCGACCAATCAGCGGCTCACCGACTTCCGCTGAAAACCCTAATAGCCCTGTCAGATCTACGGTTGGGCCCAATCAGCAGGACTGCCAAGGCGTCCCCTGTCGATTCTCTGCTTTTTGCGATTTCTTCCCCCCCGATTTTCTCGATCCGTGGTCTTCTCTTTCTCACCCTTCCCCCTTTTGTCCGCACCAAGTGGAACGGTGGGATCAACAAGGTACAGGACCCTTATCCACCCGTTGCTATTTGTCGCCGGGTGGGGGATACTTCTTCCCTTGTCATTGCACTGCCCTGTCCCGCGAAAGAACACCTGCCGAAATATGATATGCCCACTCAAGCGGCAGTTCGTGAAGCATCTGAGCCCATACCCTCCACACCGTTCGCAATGCATTGTTTCTCCTGGCTTGCTAATTCATCATCCAGCCGTGAGGAAGACGATGTGCTTCTTTTCTTCAGCTAATGGTTTCCGAATTCCGAGACCCTTTCTCCACTATTCTTAAATCCTGTTTCTCCACTATTAACCGAAACTTGGATTGAAGGCTGGGCAGCGATCCATTTGGTGAGGTAGATTCTTCTCTACGCTTCGATATGTCCACTTTTCCTTGATCCGTATATCCGGGATTTTTCCAAAGAGCCTACTGTCTCGGGCTATTGACTGATTCCATCACTGAGACAAGCATTCTTGGCGCTTCGTAAGCGAATTCGCTATCGAAGAAGTTCGGCAAATGGTGTCTCAGACGCTCCACTGCTGTAGCGATAATGATCCAGAGAAACCAGTTAAAATAGGTAACCATATCCTCCAGAACAAGGTTCTGCAAGGACTGGTAGCGGGGTGACCACATTGGTGGAAATTACCACGCGCAATCTCTGCCCCTGGTTCACCCTGGCCCCCCAGGGATGCATGTGCATTCTCCACGGGTCTGCTAAAAAAAAATAATATGGGGTCCAACGGCAGGAACCCGTGTGCGAACGGTCTGGAGAAGCCTCGCCAGACTCATAAAGACCTAACATGTCATTCCCGGGCAAAAGGAAGCATTGGTATTGCGCATCACAAACAACACGGTCCCGGTCTACAACCTGAGATGAGCACACGTCCACAAACCCTAGTCACTGGTATGCCTTCATTTGAGCTAGCCATGTCTTATCTCCAGCGGGCTTTTGAGGGGGTACCGAGGTAGCAATCCTGGTAAAATGCCTGGATCCCGACGCTAAATGCCCTGGCACGGTATCTATTGGCGTAGGCTTTGTCTTTCGGATAGAGTTCCATTTCCCCCCTGAATTTTTCCCCGTTCATCACACCTTCGCTTTTCTCAGGGCCTTGTGCCTCTGCCAGATGTACTCACGCTCCTTATTCTGAGAATCACATTCATTGACCTGATCACATTCGTTCATTGACCTGATCGCATTCGCTCAATACCGTCGCTACTCCCCGACATTCATTCTTTCGAGCTCGACAAATCACGCATTGTACATTTATGTCTAGGCCGCGGCTACAATATTACGCTTATCATCCTATTGTCTGGGACGATCGCAATGTTTGAACCGCACCACTCCCTCATCGGGGGTCTGGTTACCTTTCTGGGCCTCTTTGGTTTCACCTGGTCTGCCAATACCTCCGCGTGGAAAGCTCGATCGGTCTACCAGACAATGACCGATCGCTTTGCACGTACTGATGGCTCCACGACATTCCCTGTAACACGACAGAAGGCCTCTACTGTGGTGGGACATGGAGGGGCACAATCAATCATCTGGATTACATTCAAGGAATGGGCTTCGATGCGATTATGATTTCTCCCATCATCGAAAATGTCCATGGTCGCGTGTCCTACGGCGAGGCGTATCACGGATACTGGCCGTTAGATCTGTATAATGTCAATGCTCATTTTGGAACGCCGGATGATCTGCGCGATCTCAGCAATGCCCTTCACGCCCGGGGTATGTATCTCTTGATGGATACCGTCATCAACAACATGGCCTACATCACGAATGGTAGCAACCCTGCGACTTCGATCGACTACTCGGTGCTCACCCCCTTTGATCGATCGGACTACTACCATCCGTACTGCAAAATCACCGACTGGACCAACTATACCAACGCAGAGCTGTGTCAAACAGGCGACAACATCGTGGCTCTTCCGGATCTGTATACCGAACACAGCGAGGTGCAGGAAATATTGGAGAATTGGGCAAACGATATGATATCAAACTACTCCATTGATGGTCTGAGAATTGACGCTGCAAAACATGTCAGCCCGGGGTTCCTGAAGAACTTTGGAGATAGCGTGGATACTTTCATGACCGGGGAAGTGCTTGAGGAAAGTTTTGACATCATTTGCAAGTATCAGCGGGACTACATAGGAAGCTTACCCAATTACCCGATATACTATGCTATGTTAAATGCGTTCACCCTGGGCAACATAAGCTCACTCGCCCTTGAGGTGGAGATGGTGAAGAATGCGTGTCCTGATGTTACCGCCTTGGTTTCTTTCTCCGAGAACCATGATGTTGCTCGGATCGCCAGCATGGTCCCGGATATTGCGGTATGTCTCACTGTCCCCGAGGGTGGAAGAAAAAAAGAAAAGAAAAGAAGAAAAAAGAAAAGAGAAGAAAAGAAATCCTTCAGACTTCAGGTACTAATCCTCGGTATCATGCAGCTTGCAAAAAATGTCATCACTTTCACCCTTCTCTTCGATGGGGTTCCGATGATATATCAAGGCCAGGAACAACACTTTGACGGTGGGACGACTCCACAAAACCGAGAGGCATTATGGACTTCTGGATATAATACCGATTCAGAACTCTACAAGATGATTGCCAAGATCAATCGTATCCGCTCGCACATCATTGGGCTGAACTCGGATTACTTGGACGCGCAATCTCACGTTATCTACCAAGGTAGTAGCGACATTGCCTTTACGAAGGGCGTGGACGGACGACAAATGATCATGCTTCTGTCGTCCCAAGGATCCAAAGGTAAGCCCTATACGGTCAGTTTACCTGTCGGCTATAATGCCGGGACAACCGTGACGGAGACCCTGAGCTGTAAGACGTATACGGTGAACAACCTCGCAGAGTTTGTGGTCGAGATGGACGCCGGAGAGCCGCGGGTCTTTTTCCCCACTCAGTTCATGAATGGAAGTGGTCTCTGTGGATACCCATTGAGCAATATCTCGTATTCCGAGTTGAGAACGGGGCATTTGTCTATGGGGGCATCCTGGGGTATTGGGACCGGAAAAGATTCCCGGGCGAGGGTCACCGCACCTCTAGGACTTATGGTAGTCGTTATGATGTATATGCTCTTTTAATCACCAACTAATATAATGGGTAATTCACGTGCCCTTGTAACACCACTGCAAGCTTTCCTAGCTATACTCCTATGATAATGCGGGTTTATTGGGGTATATACTTCACCCAGGTTTTGCCCCAACAAAAGCCGCCCCCCCCAACTCGGCTGTTGACGATTGTGGCTGCTTCGATTACTGATGCTCTCTTCTCAAAACGGGAATCCCGATTGGCCTCCATAGCCCTCGCGGCCAATGAATCCTTATCGTGCGTCTTCAGGCGCACTGTATGGCGTGAGGCTTTTCTTGGCGGACCATTTCAGCCGCAACAAACGATTACGAGGTCTCCGCGCAAGGGTTGAGCTCCCTCGATAACTGGCAAGTGCATGCAGGGTACAGCGACCGCAGCATATGACAAGTTTCGCCGACTTCTCCCCAAAGAGTCGGTGAAATTAATTTATTTTTTCTTCTCTCTCTCTTTTTTTTTCCCCATCAAACACGGCTGGGACATTAGTCAAAGTTTTGTCACTTCTTAGCAGCGCGCTAGCCAGGCTTCTTTTTTGGGCTTGGGTTTCAGTTCCCCTGATCTTCACCTAGCAAACATACCACATCACTATCACGTTGACGCTATTGGTCTCTAGTGTCTACCCAGAGATAGTCGCTTTGCCATGGTGTAAAGGGGGATTTTCTGTCACACGAGTCGAGTGCTGTAGCCCAAGCGCCTCTGTGACAGCTGGCACTCTCCGTAAGGGTGTAGTTGACGTGATCAAGAACCTCCGCTGCGCCCCGGGGCTGTTGGGGGGAAGCCTTTCTCAACGGCGAGCGTCCGAGACATGGGAGGGAAAAAAAAAATTAAACCGACAGCAGTGAGTCTTCGTGCTGGCAATGCACAGCAGTGGGGCTCAAGGCTTGACACCGGTGAGTGACAGTGACAGCCCTATAATGACCCAGGGGCGGAAGTAGAAGATAGCAATACGAGACTTTTTAATTTCCTCTTTGTTTTTCTTTTCTTTTTTTTTTTTAGGCGCGTAAGTTTGTGTATTGCAAATACGGCGCAGGATGGCGCTGTCGATCTAGCCTGGCCCAGCATGGCGGTCCGTGGTTCGCCATGTGTAGCGAAGGCACATTCTGGTTGCTCCAATCGGACGGCACCAAATGCCCGGTGGATCCCCACGTGGGCCAATGAGGGTTCGGGGGACCCGGTTCCACGATTCTGCCCAAGTATAGACTTCGACGCCCTATGTTGTCTTATTCTCTAGATTTGGAAAATGAATCTCGATCCTGCTATTTTTTCCGAATATCTGCGATTTTTTGGTATTCGTGATTTTACATCCGATGTCGAGGCTGTGAGGCTGCTCCTAGACAGATGTCTCTCTTGCAGAACCCACCTGCTCGCATGGGTGCCACCAATTGATCCAGTATCAGCATCGACGTCCCAGTATTTTCGGGCTTGTACATAGGATCTTAATTCATATTTAATCCAGTTGTCCCCATTCCAAAACCTGGTCGATTCCAATCCCATTTGTGCAATAAGCCTAAGCCAGTTTCTGCATACATCTTCCTGGTTCCCGATTCCCGAAGTACGCCCTGTACGATGTACATTCCCGGTGCTTTGCTCGTCCTGCCCCTGGCTGCCGTTGTAGGGGGTATGTAGACAGCCTCTTCTGGGATGCTATGCTGTTGATTGACTCCTTTCTCCAGCTCTTTCGGTGACCAACCCTGAGCAGGGTGCTATCCTTGACCCAAAGTCATCTCTGGTTGTGAAATGGACCTCTGTCGAGTATGTCCCCTGTCCCCTCCCAGTTCATTTCCAACGGTTCATCAGTTCTCATATGTTCCAGCACCGATCCTTCGAGCTTTGACATTTACCTGGTCAACAATGCCGTTTACCCCCCCCGTGAGCAAGAAGCTCGCATCCGACGTAGACACGGACAAGGGCTCCTACAACGTCGGGGACCTCGGCGACATCAAGAATGGGTAAGTGCCTTTATCTGGGATCTGTTCAGGATCTGACAAGTAAATCAGTCACGGCTACCAGATCAACCTGCTGTCAGATTCCACGCAAAACACTGGAATTCTAGCCCAATCGCAGCAGTTCAATGTGTCCGACTCTGCGGCAAGCTCATCCAGTTCCACCACTGCTACCTCCTCGACCTCGTCTTCCTCGTCCTCTTCCTCGTCCTCTACCTCAGTTACATCCACGACTGAGTCTTCCAGCACCACGTGGACTACTAGCACCACGATGACTACAAAGGGTGCTGAGTCTACCTCAGCTACTACAGGCACTGCGACCGCATCTAGCTCCTCTGGACATATGTCTTCTTCCAGCGTGTCTGCCAGTGCCACCCCGATGGGAACTGTCTCTCCCAATGCTGGAGATAAGCTCAACGGGAAGCACCACGCGGCGGTCCTGGGTGTCGCAGTGGGCGCTATGGCTCTCTTCCTCTAAGGACTCGGGTGACTGTCTTCGCACGGAGATGATGCGCCTGGCGATGGGCTTTATGTGCCTTGGATTAATGACGGTGGAATGTTTTTTTACCTTTTCATTGTCTCTCTAGCATGATTCTGAAGGGTTGTACGTTGAGTCACCGATCCCAACAAGCCCTTATGGCTTGAGGAAAGGCCCGGAGTTAGCGTTCTTCTGACGGTAGCTAGCTAAACTTAATCAATGTTTCTTATTCTATTAATTCAATGAAAGCAGTTGTGTTCCCAATTAACCATCACTCCTCCCTATTTCAGGTGAAGGATAACCTCATAGAGAGAACAGGTACTAATAAAGAGCACGTTAGAATGGTTTCTGGCTCTGATCATAAGCTCGAAATGGGTGGTGTTTTGTTTAAGGGGAGCTATGCCTTGCCACCTGGCTTCTATGGACCCGATGAATGCGGGCTTTTGGTCATAGCAGCTGCGCGTAGAATTTGCGAGTTATACCCTGCATTGTAATCATTCCACCAGATACAAGTTGTGCTGTCACCATCAATACACCTAGAATTGAATCCGGTATAGACTTGGATGATAAGATATATTCATCATGAGTACCGTTTGAGCTATAGGGAGATATATTGGCCGACTGAATGTACTTTCACCATTACTTCGATAATGAGGAAACATGAGAATCTTTGGCCTCCCCAGTCTGAATGACCTGTAGTATGAATCGATACCTCTTGATCACCAGCTTCCAAAGCTTCGTGTTCTCCTAGTCTCCTCAAGTGGCTTTCGCCTTGTGAGTGGTACCCCCTTGTAGGTGGTATTCAACGTGTAAGCTCGTTCTGAAATGGTCAAATTATGTTTCTGCCTTCCGCAACCCCAGCACCACGCTGGTGATCAAATAGAAGCTTTAGTATATACGTTCAACATACGCTCTAAATACAACTACATGGGAAAACCTCAGGGTACAATTACTAGGTCTACAACATTACGAGCGTATTGCCGCAGTCAGTGTCTAAGTAGCTGTTTCTAGAGATAATTGTGCTGTTACATGCAAGCCTTCAGGTATGATATATATCCTGTCTTATCATTCCTCTTTCTCTGCACGTGATTTCTCAAATGTCAGCGCTTTTATCCCATCCAGTCATAGACTCAATCGTCGTCATGAAAGCCTCATAAGTCGAGCTCAAACATCTCTATCCCGACGCCACAAATCAGTAATTTTGGGGATTGGCGATCTGTCGGAGGTTGAGAGTTCTGAATACTATTGCTAGTGTTCATTCGCGAGAGAAGGCCAGACGAAGAGATATCTGCTACAGAGCTATATCGATCAAGCACTAGCTCTATGGCCACACTAGCTTGGCCAGTGGCGCTGAACTCGAGGGTGACTGACCATAGCTTGACACGATGGTCGTTACCCGAGGACACCACCGTGAATTGAAACCCAGTCGGGGTCTGCTTGATGGTCTCTGCGAGGACCAGAGTAGTCGTTACAGAGGCTGCATGAGCATCTGGAATAGACACAGTAGCTACGCTCGGTCCGTCCGATTTAGTTTGCAGAACCGATACTGCAAATCTATTATCATCCCCTCCGCTCAGGATCGCGGCCGCTTCTTCCGAAAGAAGTGCCACGTCCATCGCCTTGACGCTGTTGGAATGAATTTGGAAGCGATCTTCACATTTGATCTCGACTGGTTCAAAGTCTGCCCCTTCGGGCCATGTTTTGACCGTCAAAGCGGATGCCTCGATCTTGTAGTAAGGCTCCAGTACGTGGGTCAGATCCCACATAATGAAGTACCCATCAGTCGACGCGGTGATCAGGCTCAGGGAAGATTCCTTTCGTATGACGTGACATTGCGTCAAGCAGTTCGTCATATATCGCCCTGTTGCTAGAAGAGTGAAACAATTGTCGTTCTCTGGCGAGAAATGGAATATCTGTCGGTCAAACGTTTGTCAACTTTCGGGCCAGGAAATGAAGAAATGAGATCATACCTTGATTGTCGAATTAGAGACCGTCATGCAGATAAGATAGCTGGCGTGACTTGAAGAGTCATCGATTGTGACAACATCGAAGCTTGTAAGCCGGAGCTCTGACTTGGGATCACTCTTGGGCGCAGTGGCTTTTAATACAGTAGCCAAACCGAAATAGGGAATCCACTTCGTTCCCCAAACGAAAAATTCTTCATAAGCAGAGCTAGTAAACAAGAAATTTCCATCATTGGACCATTTGACTTGTTGTATCCCAGCTCTGTGCGTGTTGAGGGTACGCAAGCATTGGAATGACCCCCACGGGCCTGCATTGTCCGTGCTCAGTGGAGCATAAATTTGCACAAGAGTGTCTTCTGCTCCAGTCGCAAACAATGACCGAGCTCCTTGGGGATCATTGAAGATATCTACACTTTTTATTTCACGACCATGTACCCCAGCGCGGAGTGACTGGTACATATCCATCTGGATGCGCCATCCTTTCAGTTCAGATCTCTCTCGCCACAGAAGCAAAGGACCACTGTTCGCTTTCGTACCGGGCTGGAAGGCCCACAGTCTGCGAGCTCCTCCGGACGCAATAGAGACGATATCCCTTTGCTGTGATTCATTGCGCAGGACAAAGTTTTGCATTTTGAAGCCATATATCATCAGATCACCAGTGATCTGGTCGAAATAGGCCCCTTCGATGTTTCCCACGAGCCCAGATGTCGTCCGGTGTACTGTTTCGAGAGATATTTCATCTCTCTGATTATCTATGGGCTTGAACTCATGAAGACAAAAGTTACCATCACGCCCGCATGTAAGCAAGTATTCCAGTTCTTGGGAGCCAGTAGCCTTGGTGTTAGGCAACACCTGGATGTGGTTTGTGCCTTCCGAACCATGAAGACGGCGCTCGATCAATAGAGGGCACGAAGAAAGAGTCAGACCCTGGGTTTGGTATACGGTAAAGCCACCGAGCTTTGATCCGAGGAGGAGATATTCTTCGTTCCACGCGAAGGATGCCGACGATATCGTAAATCGCGGTCCGGGGAGGGTGAAATCAACTTTTTCTGTCTTGAAAGAATCATTCTCCCGCTTGAAGGCAGTGACCAGTGTGGCTAGCTCGTGGGTGTCATATGAAACAACAAACGAGAGGCTCTGAGCTTCTGCATCCACAGGAGGGTTGCTATGCAGAGAAAACATCCCAATGGGCCGTCTGCCGAGATCCGCCAGATCGGCGACCGAACGAGAATTGTGGTTGTACAGTTTGACACGGCCTTTACTGTCACTTATTAACGCAAGGTTTCTCTCGGGAATCCCCGTCATCAATATCGGTGAGGAAATGTTGTCCAAGACACACAACGTTTCCCATGTAACGCTCACAGCCATCCCAGGATTGATGCATCCGAGGTGGAGCTCTCCCTCTGTCGTGCACACGATTATTTGATCTGAGGCCACGAAGACGAAGGCCGCTAAGCCTTGGGGCTTTTCTGCGTTTGATTTAGTTGAAAGGCCTCCCTCGGCCTGACTTTCGGCTTCACTTATTTTGAAGGTTTTCAGTGCACCGTCTGCTCCTCCAGAATAAACCACTGTTTCACGGCTGTTGCTCCATAGATCAAACGACCATATATGTTTCCCCGAGTGGTTTTTGATAGATGACTTTTCGATCAGTTGATAGCTCACCTCCCCAGAGGAGGAGTGCCAGGCTAGATCCCACACAACACAGGTACAATCTTCACCGCGAGTCACCAAGCCTATCGCAGAGCCATCTGGCTTGAGCGGCCGGAATTTGATGTCCCAAATACGGGCGGAATGGCCGAATGCCTTCGCAACGCATGACTCTGACGCATTTTCAGGGTCACCTGGAGCATCAATGCTGAAGCCTGTGCTTCGAAGACCAAACCCATCTGTGGAGTATGCCGATGGCTCTTGGGATGTTTTGGTTTCACAGCCCGATATATCCCAGATCCTGACGGTCCTGTCATCGCTACAGCTTGCCAGGAGTCGTCCAGGTTTGCCATCCTTCAGCGAGGGTATCTGAGGCGAGATGCGTACGCCAAAGACGGTCCCGTCGTGCCCGGTGAAGAAATGGTGAATAGAGCTAGTTAGCCGCGGATTTGCGAAGTCATCTTGTTCCATAAAACAAGACCAAATGATGATTTCGCCGAAGATGGTTCCCGCGGCAATGAGCAAATGAGAGGCTGAAAGGGCCACCAGATCGGCTGCACAGAGGATTGACTTAACACTGGTTGCCAATTGAGATAAATAAATTTCTGTGTGATACGAAGAAGAAGGATTCTCGCGCAAGTCAAGTTTTAGAGGAGCGTTATTAGCGGTGATCAAGTACGCGGTATGTGGTTGATCATCGCTGGCCGGACATCCGTTCATGATCCAGTCTGGACTTAGGAACTCTGCACTGGCAAGTGTCAAATATATGGTCGCATGGGGCGCCACATGGACTTCCACCATGCGTACGGATTGACCACCCCATACGATAATCCGAGCGAGGTTTGAATCCTCTGGGAGGCCCGAGGAAGTCAATGGAATAAATCCATGGACATTATTCCTCCGGAAGACGCGCGCCTGAGCAACCACATCTCCAGATATAGCATCTATCACCTGGAAGAATGGCCCTTGTCCTTGGAATATGTAGTTGCTTCCCTTCCACACAAACGCCTTCAGAGCTGTTATGGGAACACAGGTGCCCAACCGCTGTAATTGTCAGCGTCTTCCAAGAGTGTCCCAACTCCCAAATGTGCCTGTCGGCATTCGCTTACCTCAAGAGACATGGCCGTTCTTCTGCCTCCCTGGCGACCACGGAATTTTCGTACCTCACGACACTTTTCCACGCGATATTGAGAAGATAGCGCTAAGCCGAAAATAGATTATCACACGTGATGCTCAGTGCCCGCCTGAGATAGACAAGCGCATGTATCACGTGACTATGCGTTCTTGATCTCCAGTCACGTGGTTTCTCACCACATCCGAATTTTGCTCGATCCGAACTTCCGACTGGTCGGCCCGACGTTTCTTCGGAAGGGGGATTTTGAAACGAGTACAGTTATGGCCCAAGTCACAGGATTCTATCCGACTATAGATAGGGAAGGGAGAAATCTGGCTTGGTCTTCGACTAGTCTTCCATCTTCCCAATTATCAAGCCCAGGGTAGCCGGGGAGAAACCAAGCCATGACACAAGACAACCTGGAGTACTCGCCTGTCCAAGAGGCCGGCCGCATTCTCTCTTACCTGTATGGACAGTCCGAGCGGCTGAATCTGCCCCAGGAAGTAGTGGCAAATAGGGAAAGCGTTTCCTTCTCGTCCAGTCATAATGAGATCTATTTCCCGATTCCGTTCAAGGAAAGTGAGACGCTCGCGGCTTTGAAAGCGCTCGAGGGGTCTGTGGCTGGAGCGCTCGCTGATCTTCGATTTGGACGTGGAACGCACCCGCGGGCGGTTGAGGTAAGCCTTGAAGGGGCAACAGCATTTGGATGCCAGGCGTACATGGCCAAGATCGACGGTCTATCGAAGTTGGATCCGAAAGTAAAGTCCAAACTGAAAGGTTTGCAGCCAAAAACATACACGCTCATGATAAATTTCACCTAACAATGGGGGATTAGATACGGACCTATTGGCAGCCCAATCAAATGGATATCGGCGTATGTCAGCAAACCTGTACAAGACCAAGAACCCGAATGAGTTCTATCACATCCACGGCTCTTTAGAAGCAACGACAACGCTCAATATGATCGGCCTCGAAGGCCACCGGCCAGATTTGACTGATTATGAGGATATCATCCAAGTCATCGAAAGCCACGTGCAGCAGTACACAGTTGCTGAACTGGAGGAGATGAACAAGGCTCGACGCCAAGCAGGTGTTCCGGCATTGAAGTATGAGGACTTTCTTCAGACTCCACATGTACGTTCCTCGCAAGAGTAGAGGTATACGAGTGTAGGTGCACTGACATCCAGCGCAGGGAAAACTGAATGTTGAACAACCACCCTGGAAAGTACAGCAGCTTCTGGGGAACACTCCCGCGGTCAAGTTCCCAGAAGGCAAGAGTGGTAAGCCTCGCGTTCTCGAGGGGATCAAGGTGCTAGAGATGTGCCGCATCATCGCAGGGCCTACGGTCACGCGGATTCTCGCTGAATACGGTGCCGACGTTCTGAAAATCACCAGTCCAAATCTCCCAGACGTTCCCTTCTTTCAAGTGGACGGAAACATGGGGAAGCATGCAGCAGATCTCGATTTGAAAACCGATGCTGGGCGCATCGAATTCGAGAAACTCCTGGCCGACGTGGATGTGATCGTAGATGGATACCGACCGGGGGCTTTGGAAAAACTTGGCTATGGCCCTCAGTCAATGGCGGCATTGGCCGAGAAGCGGGGCAAGGGTATTGTCTACGTCAACGAAAATTGCTTTGGCTACGAAGGGGAATGGGCTGGCAGGGCTGGATGGCAGCAGATTGCGGATTGTGTAAGATTTCCGCTCCTTCAAACGTCAGTTCCAATATTGGAAGCTTACAAGATGAACAGGTGACCGGTGTTGCTTGGGCTCAAGGCGAATTCATGGGTCTTTCGACCCCAGTTGTGCCTCCATTCCCCATCTCTGACTATGGAACCGGTTGTATGGGCGCGATTGCTGCGCTGACCGGTCTGTACCATCGGGCTCAGTCTGGAGGCTCATATCATGGCATGGCATCGCTGATGCATTATGACCTGCTCTTGTTTGCAGTCGGTCAGTATCCGGCCGAAGTCCAAGAGCGCCTCCGCTCTACTCAACTGGCCGAGTTCTTCAAGCTCCGTCATTGCGATAGCGTGGACCGGATTTCCTCGACCGTGCTGAAGGGGATGCAATCACGATTTCCGCATTTGTATACTCCAGATGAAGGTCACGCATTGACGGAACGCTGGTTTTCGCATGCGTATGGCGCAGACATAGAGGTTGTACGGCCAGTGGCTAAGATTGAGGGCGTTGATAACACGTTTGTTCGAGCAAGCCGACCGAATGGTGCCGATGCACCCACTTGGGGAGGTTTCACTATCGATGGGAGCGGAGAGGGCGATATTCGCAGGGGATAGTCGCATGCATCAGCAATTCTAAGATTCAAATAAACATTCCAAGATTTCCCTTCAGGTGTCAGGATTCCCAAATGGTATTCTTCGAGCTGACTATCTCTGTTCTATGAAGCTTTACGTACTAGTGGTAGCAAGACTCGGATTCCGCCATAATGGCTTTCTGCCAGTGTGGCATCCATGTTTGATTCAGCCCTTTTGGGTCTTGGTGTGTGTCTTTCTTATTTTCTTCTTTTTTGTGGGACGATATAATTTGCATACTCCATCGTTCCAGTCCCACGTGGGAGGACCCGTCGGCAAAAGCTTGAAGCGTCATAAGCAATTGTCAGCAGGATCCCGCAAAGTATATTCCCCACTCCCCTCCCGGTTTGAAGACAGAGTTTCAGTGACATCAAAACTAACCCGAAGAATAACCGATAAAAGCATATAAGATATGAAGCTCGTTTCCCTTATCTGAGTAGCCTCCCGAGTGGAAGATGCCGCAATTGTCGAATATTCTGTCTCCTTTGACGATCGATGGATCGACTAAAGTCGAACCAGCCCCGACAAGGTTCAACTACTCTTCCTCAGTCCAGCATGAATCCCGAGGTCGGGGCCTGGACCGGCGAGAACCACTAGTATTGATGGCTCTGAAATGATTACAGACACTAAAGTGCAAAAGATCAACGTGGAATAATTTGCGTGCGATTAATAGGCTCTTTAATGGTATGGACTCCTTTAGGCCATGATATTGTTGTACCTCCAGTTCCAAATACTCTCGTAGTTTCGTGTGAGCTTGAATAGAACCAATAGCTTCATAAAATCAAAATGGCATTCTATATACTCTATCAGTTGGACAAGATTAGTCTATGGAAGAGAATCTCAGGAAACATCCTTATGTACACCAGTGACGGCAGGAATAAGCTGTACAGACAACGAGTTCCCCTCGGAAGTCGTGAGGCCGTCTCAGAAAGGATCCCTAAGCCCGGCACATCCGGCCAGATCCAGACACCTTCCAAGCATCGCTTCCAACGGCCTTAATGCCATAGAAAAAGGAGCTCGGGTCCCACTTCTTCTTAATGGCGAGAAGACGCCCATAGGTGCTGCCGAAGAACGTCTCCTTCCAGTGGTGCTGGCGGAAGCTGGATTCGTTCTCGTAGGCGCCGCCACCTGGGGTGATGGCTTCGAGCTGAGGAATGAAGTCATCGGCGATTTTGTACTGATCGGCGACCATTTCAGACCATGGGGCTGTTGCGTTCCAGAGTGTGCCGAACTGGATGGTGATGGCCGCTTCGCGCCACGCCGGGAAGACAGCGTTGGACTGATTGCCAAAAGACGAGACGTCGAGGGCAACACCGACGATGGCAGCAACGCCGGAGTCCGTCAGGTTGCGGAGTACGTTAGAGATGCCAACAGGGTTGCTGTCCAGGACCTCGCGCGGAATCAGGCGACCACCGTACTGGAAAAGGGTTACCGCAATGTTTCCGTACGGCAAAGGTCCGAAGAAGGCTTTATAGTGGTCGTAGTACGAGTCGTGGTCGTAGAAAGCTACCTGAGTGGGGATTTTCAAGTCCGAGAGTGCAGACAGGAAGGGCCTGAAGATTCTCTTGAGATCGGTCGAGGTCTTGTTGTAGGCTGTGACAGAAGTGATCAGAAAGGCAGTTGAAGTCACCTGATAGACGACGGTGGCGCCCTGATCAATCATCTGCGGCAGCAGGGCATGGAACGTAGCAATGCCATTGGTAAAATTGTCGGTGGTGGTGTTTGCCAGGGTGAACGCAAGCTTGGCACCGGCGATCTTTGCATCTGGGTGGGCCTTCACAGTCATCGACATCACAACGCCAAGATTCCCGGCTCCACCGCCGCTCAAAGCCCAATAGAGGTCGGAATTCTTCGATCGGGATGCCGTGACCAACGTTCCATTTGCAGTGACAACTTCGAACTCCAGCGTCTGATCGGCACCGAGGCCAAACTCCGTGCTGAGCGTAGAGTGTCCACCGCCCTGTGTGTACCCACCAGTCAAGCCGACAGTAGGACAATCGCCAGAGACGACAGTGAGACCTTTCGGGTGTGCAGCCTCGAGGGCTTGGAATCCCATTACTCCAGCCCCAAATTTAAATGCAGGGCCATGGTATAAGTTGTCTGACCACTCCTTATACTCGATCTCGTTCAGATGGTGGGTCCACACGGCGAGGGCCCCTGCGCCGGTTGAACGTCCAAGGTAACTATTGAAGTGTGAGTGTCTCGGATAAAGATCCAACGGGTTCGAGACTTGAGGGATGACCTACTCATGGCCCGTGTTGCGGATCACAAAACGGATATTCTTGTGCTGGGCGAATTGAATAGCAGCAATCACGTCCCGACTCGACGATACGTTGACCGCGTAGCTGACATAGTTGCCCAAAGTGCAGGGCTTGGACCTCGCCGTGAATGGGTCGCAGCTCTGATTCGCAAAGTAGGATTCCATCACTGAGGAGGACGAAGCCAAACTGTGATCTAAGTTAGCCTCTCAGGCTGTCTAGGATGACCCAAGCCGGGACAACATACTGAGGCTCTGGCGTGGTCCAGTTGGACCGTAAGACCGCACATGCCTCTGCATCGTATGTCGGATCATGGCAAGGAGATCCAATAGGGACGGTCGCAATCAACCGGCCTCCGACAGTCGCGTTCAACGATTTCCATTCAGAAGGCGACGGCCAGCAGGGGTCGCTAGGAAGGCAGTGGCAATTGTCTAGGCCAAATGCCGCCGAGGCGAAAGCTGCCACAATCAAAACCCAGGCCTGCATGATAGATGATGATTCTACTCGAAGGAGAGTTTAGGAACTATGCAGAAGCCTCGTCGAAGAATCTGGGCTTGCCGATCTTCACTCCTTTTTGCTTCAATTTAAGTTCGGGGGAATGTCCCGCATTCGGCCGAGGTCCGACTGAAGGATTGGCAACTCCACTAAAGAATCGCGATCGAATCTTCAAAATACCGGAGATTTTCCAGAACCAGCTGGTCTCTGGTTCCTGGGATCACCCCGAACACTCTTTGCTATTCCCCAGCAGGAAAATGCTTGGAACTGTGGAGTATAGGGAATCCGGTCCGCCTCAAAATTCGGCTCGATGCGACACGATGGCCTGCAATCTCTACCACTAGCACAAAGCCAAAAAACGCCCTATCCACTACATGGTGACCTGCCGAAGGCTTGAACTGGGCAATCCGAGATCTTCAGTTTGTGTCAAAGTTCTCATAGAATAATCAGCATGTGAAACGGATCTCCTGCGGGTATTGAGGACGTTGGCCCATAACGCTTTATCGCGCAGCTCCACTGGGTTCCGGGTATTCCGTGGAACTACGCGGGGGGGTTTCCCGCAAACCCTCCCATGAAAAGGGGTTGGCTGGATGTCAGTTCGCCACGTGCGTTGTTTGCAGGGAACATCAATGGGCTCTTTTCCCCCAGAATAGAGTTCAATTGTATTGTCCAAGGCTGTTGAGGGAGGGGGAAAAGGAGCCTATGAGCGTTGACGTACCGTTATCGAGGGAAAGATGAAATTTGGGACCAAAGAGAGTTTTGCCTGAGCGGCTTTGGTGGACCCCCTTCTTGCCAGGGGAGCGCAGTCACTACGGAGTACTGGATCGATCGATCCGGGCGCGTCAGCCCGCTCATATGTGGCTATTTCCATAGGGTAGAGTATCCAATCGAGAACTCGATAGGATGCAGACAGAAACTTTGTTCCAAACCCCAAAATTAAGTCCTCCCCAAGTCTGGCTCTGTGCGCGTTGCCACATTCCCATTACTGCGATGGCTCGAGGTTGCGAAGGCTCGTACTTGGATTAACTGCTGCGTATCCCCCTGCCAGTATTGATTTCTTCGTGAGATGAACACTGCGATCCTGCCAGGGAAACCGCCATTTCTTCATCAATGGGTTCATCCATCACTGGACCTAGTCTCGAAGGCGGGCTTTGGGCAGGGATTGTCATCGCCGCGGTGATCGTCGTTCTACGGATCTACGCAAAGTGCTTGATCAAAAGATTCCGCGCCGACGATGTCCTGATGCTCTTGTCCCTGGTATGCTGTCTCGTGCTCTCCGACGAAAGGAACGAATCATCCCGTCTAACTGAAAACGTTTAGTTGCTTGCGATCGCGTCGATGGTCTTGCTTACCCTCTCCGTCAAGCATGGATTCGGCGGAAATTTGGCGCTGGTGCGTGCCCACGATCGAATGCTAGTCTTGAAATACGTGTCTATCCAAATCGCAACAGTCACCTTTAGCACTACATCTGCCCGCACATCCTTCATCTTATATATTTTGGGATTGTTGGGCACCAAGAAGACCTATCTGTTTCTGCTATGGGCCGTATTATTGATCCAGTTGGGTGGCAATATCGCGTCTGCGATTCTTCCACTGTCCATCTGTCGTGATGCGAGTATTCTCTGGGATCCGACAGTCAAAACAACCTGCGGGGATGCATCGGTCATCGTGCCGTTTGCTTATTTTTCGAACTGTGAGTTCTGGCTTCACCGTGGGGCTTATTGCGGAATCAGAAACTAATTCTGGATAGCGTTCAACTCGGCTGCCGATCTGTTCCTGGCGGTCTTCTCCGCGTGGGTTTTTTGGAGCCTGAATTTGAAGACGAGTATGAAGCTTACGCTTATCGCTCTTCTAAGCTTGGGTCTCATGTAAGTTTCCATCCTTCTTTCCCCCCTCGTGTGTTTAAATCTCCTCTACCGAAGGAATCGAAGAGCCCCCGGCTGATTTTCCATCCCAAGTGCGATGGTCGCCTCAGTGATCAAGACCACAAAGTTGAAAGATGTTCCAAGTCCAACAAACCTCGGCACCGACGGTAGTCTACAACTCATTGCTTGGGGATATGTGGAGCTCATCATCATTATGAGTACGTCTTCGATCCCATGTCTCCGTCCGCTCATCGTCTCCTCCATCCGGAAGATTTCATCGGGCGGCATGTCGCGTTCGTACGAACTGAGTGGCGGCAGAAGCAACAAGTTCTCCAGTCACTCCAACCAAAACGGCGGGTTGTTCTCGAGCCACTCCAACCGAAACCACGGGTTCCGCAAGACACCCGATCCTGAGAATGACAGTATTGAGCGGATCCTGAACACATCGAATAATATAAGTGCAAATGGAGAGCATGAGCTCTCCGAAGTACCTTATAACCGGGGACAGGTGATCCACAAGCAGATCGATATCCATATTACCTCCGCAGGCTCCGAAGATGACCATTGATTATGTGTTATGTATGGATTGTACGAAATAATGGAAGTTGTATAAAATTCGGATTTTGGGAGGTCTATCTATCTGGTTCTTGTATAGGGAATGGCAAGTCAATGCTATCATGAAAGCTCGTGTCGCGAGCGCGACAACCGAACGCTTATTTCTATTCCTCTGAAGTCTTTCGGCTTCTCACAGACAAAATTTAAGTATGCGCCATAGTCGCGGGACTGCGGCCAGTCCCAATGGTATGAACATAGATAGGCTTGTGGGTAATGCCCTGATTGTCAGATTGCACGAAGCCGGTCCCTTTAAATCGTGAGTTAAATGGATATGCACGAGGCGAAGCCACATTGCGTCCACCCACAGCAGTCACCCGGCGCGGACAGACAGGCCTGTTTTATCATCAGGGGAGCGGCTCCTCTGCATCCGTCTCCCCCTCTCTGAGCATCTTGACCAGAGTAGACGATAGCGTCGGAAACCATCGCAGTACCACCAGTCCGAGGGGTCTGTGAGAAGGTCACAATTTAGAGTAATCGACTGACTCGAGACCCATCAGAAGAACGACCCGAACTACCAGTTTATCCACCCTTGATCGATCCGCTTGGGACTGACCGTTGCAAGACTTTCTTCCTCCTGCTCAAGGCGCTAAGCGTCGAAAACTCGCTGTCGATCGTACGGATGGAGCACCTGCAGCCCGTCGTTCGCTTTGGCCCATGATGTTTGCCCGCCTTGGTATACAAGGCCGCAGCATGATGTCCTTGGGCCTTCATTGAAATAACATCTACGATTCACTAGGCTTTGTTTCTAAGAGTCTTTGGTCTTGGGCTCGATATAAACTGAGACATCTGGAACAAGGGTGGGAGCCGCTTTAGTTTCCGTGCTTCGAAATGAAGAAGACCTGGACTGAATCGGACTGACAGCTGACGGCAATTCCATGAAACTGGCGGCCTCGAAAGAAAACCAAGTACGTGACTGCTCGGAGCATCGGCGCATCAGCCTCAATTCGGCTCTGAAGGTCCGCAATAACGCCTCGGATCCGGGGTGAGATGCTTTAAGGCGTCCGGCGAGGATGTCGGATCCGATGAGCGAAGACATCACGCCTAAAGGGCAGGCCGCATTCAGTAGAGATGTATTCGTTCAGATGCATATTGAACCACAGTACATCGTCAAAACGGCCAGTGATTTGCCTATCAGCTGTTCTTCACAGATCAGAAACCAAATTCCCAGGTCCTCTCTGTAAAGCATCAACATGACTACAGACCGCGTGGCGATAATTGGCACTGGCTTGTCGGGCCTGGCTCTAGGTCTCGCGCTGCACAATCACTCAATTCCAGTGACGATCTACGAATCCCGCCCCATCTCTCTCGACATTGGCGGGGCGATCATGCTGTCGCCAAACGCTTTGAGAGTCCTCGGCGACTTAGGTGTTTACGAGACAACCAAGGCTCTCGGATACCAATTCTCGCTTCTGCACTTCTATACCGGCAAGCCCCTTGATGCGTAAGAATTTGGCGGCTCCGAAAAGTATGGATATAATTCCTTGCGTATCTGCCACTTTGAGCTGATCGACACACTCTTGTCTGCGGTTAAGGAGCGGGGAATCCCATCGAGTACGGCAAGAAATTCACCAAAATCCGATCAGAGACCGAAACTGGCGTTACCTGGGAATTCGAGCACGGCACCACTGGAACCGCTGCCTGCCTTGTAGGCGCTGACGGTATGCATTCTCGCGTCCGAAAATACCTCTACCCCGGACTCGAGCCTCACTTGACTCGGCGTGACTGCTGCAGTGCCCACCAGCCAGCTCAAGCAGGGGCTTTACGAGCTGCCTCTAACTCTGATGGACCCCGACCGCGGGCCATTCATCATCGCACCCCAGCGGGTAGATGGAGCGAAGGTTCTGATCGGAAAGCGAAAGCGGGATTCAGACGATCGTCAAGGCTGGAATGACCTGTTGGAGAATGAAAGATGGTGTGTCGATTTCCTCAAAGAAGGCGCAGAGGACCTGCATGAGATGTTCAATCCGCCGTCTCCAACATAGCCTCTCGACGAGATCAACATCTGGCCCTTCTACGTCGTCCCGCGTCTTGGAACCTGGGCGTCTCAGCACTCGCGCGTTGTCATCCTCGGCAACGCTGCACATGTCATCCCGCCCACCGCTGGCCAAGGTATCAACCAAGCCTTCGAGGACATCTACACGTACGCTTTGAGCTTGGCGAAGTGCCAGGGCCAGAAACTGAACAGAGCTCTGCAGGTCTGGCAGCGGGTCGATCGGGTGCTCGAGCTCAACAGCCGAAAGAGGATGGTGCGGCTGCACAGGATCCAGACATCAAGCCGTTCGAGCTGGATTGGCTTTATAATCCAAACTTCGATGCTATGGTCGATGGACATTTGGAGCGTCTCGAGCGATTTCTTGCTGTTGCTTCTTTCCTAATAATTGACCCTTTTTGTTCGGGCTTGACAAAGAGGTTCTGGTACTGGTTGGATATTGAGCAGTGGTGCTTGGTTCATTTAAAATATATATTTCTATTTATCCCCGCAAAATGCATGTCGTGGTAGTAACGAAGACCGAAAATGCAATGTAGATACATGACCCCTAAATGCCATCATCTATACATGTTAGTACTAGTAATTCATTTTATTCAGTAGAAAGCTCATTTCTTTCAGTCATTACACTCGTCAATCTCAGCTTCGGGCTGACTTTGTTCTTTAGAGAGTCGGGGATTTCGTAAGATGAACGCCAGGAGGATCATGGGCGCAGCAATGCAGATGCCGGTGATACAGAGAAGCCTCTGCACCGTCCGATAGCTGAGGATAATGGCGGACCTCTCGGGGGTCCCGACGGGATAGTTGGGAACTACTTCAAACGGCGAATCATATACCGCACGCGCGAGAGTGGAGTTTGGCTGGAAGGCGAGGTTCGTGGCGAGTGATTTGTAGAGAGTCTGCGTCCATATAGCGCCAGATGCGCAGGTCCCGAGGGCGCTACCCACATTGTAGGAGCCGAGGTAGATCCCCGTCAGTACCGCCATATGTTCATGCTTCGTGGCGGCTTGCACTGAGGCCTGGGTCGGATAGGCGAAAAAGCCCCCCGGCGAGACCGAGCAGGATCTGCGACGTGATCACTCCTGCTTTGGAGCCTTGAGAGGCACCGCCTCGGAAATATATGACTAGCCCATAAGCGATCATGAAGAGACAAGTGCCCACCACAATAAAATACTTCAACCTTCGGATTCGGTAAATGATGGCCCCCGTGATCAGGCCACTGATGAGGCCGAAGAACGAGTAGAAGGACTGAATCCGGGTCGCAGAGGCTACCGAGAAGTCAAACGCAACAATGAGGACCGTGTAGAGATAGTCCGCTTGTAGGTACCACGAGAAATTGAGCAGGCACCGAATGGCAAGTGCACTCCATATGCCACGATCCTTGAGAAGATGGAAGGGCGCGAGAGGTTCTCTCGCTCCTTTCATTTCCCAAAAGATGAAGGCCGGAATACATAACACGCCGAAGGCCAGAGGCAGGGTGATGGAAGGTGACTTCCATTGTGACTGCGCGCCGCCGGCAATGGTTAAAGGGGCAAGGATGAACCCAAAGATGGCGATCATCAAGACGATCCCGATCACATCAAGCTGGTGGAACAGGTTTGTTGCCAGGCGTTGAGCTCCTAGAGAGCGCAAAGCACTTGGGTGATTCGCCAAGGCCCCGGATTTCTGGACGCGGCGACTGGTGTAGAACAACATCCATAGCAGAGGTATGGAGCAAACTGAGTAGATGATACACCACATGCCAATTCCCCAGCGCCAGCCAGCCTTCTCCAAAACAGCTGCAGTGATATTACCGCTGATCCATGTGTTGATCAGGAACGGCGTAGCCGGAAGGTAGCTGAAGAAAACTCGCGACCTCATGGAGGTGATATCTGCAACGATGATTTCCACCAGAAGGACTATCCCTGTGTAGCCCAGCTGATATAGAACGGTTCCGACCGAGAAGACCTGGATCGACGAGGCGGTACTTTCGATCGTCGTGCCTACCAGGTATAAAACCATGGCAATCGCCACCAGCTCGAACCGCCCGAAAACATCCGCTATTCTTGCCGCGGCCGGCTGTGCCGCAGCAGCGATCACGCTTCGGACGACATTCACGGTCGCCAATAATGAGTGTTCTCCGAAACTCGAGGTCGCATAAGATTGATAAGTTGCACGGACCTGGCTATCGAGGCCGTAAGCGTAGCCGACGAGGAAGACCCCGACGAATATCCAGATTCGGTCGCGGCGGGTCAGGGATGCGTTGATAATTTCGATCCGGGCGACTCCCGAGGATTTGACCTCGAAGCCGGGTGGCCTCAGGAGGGGTTGTGTTTCGCCGTTCTCCTCATGGTAGACGCTGTGCGACGTGGCTTGGGTGATGGAAGCGTGAGTCCTACGTGTCTCGTGCCCCGCGGTCACGGAGCGCTTCACAGATGCCATCCCCGGACCGGCATTTAGATCCGGAAAGATGCGAGGAAGATGCGAGGGATGTATGAGTTTTCGTTCTCAGGGATCAAGAACTCAGATCAGTGGGAAGTGGGGAGTTGGAAGTTCGAAGTTGGGTGGGCCAGATGTCAATCAGATAAGATGGCCAAGGGAACCCGAGAGGATCCGTGGATCGCTGGGATCAGATTAATAAATAGATTAGGTTCTTTGACTCCTCTTCCTTTTTAGCGCCTAAGGCGCGTCCCCACCGTCGGGTACGCCATGCGGATGAAACGATCCATAGGCTTTCCTGCTAGGGGCCATTTTTGGACCCTTGAATCCCTCGATATCGTTCAAGGTCTGCGCGTGGCGCTGAACATGGCTGACCTCGGGATTCTACTGGGTTTCCCCGTTCCCAAGAGCGAGTTACTCGCCTGTCTACTTGCAGACTCGCACAGCCATTTAGCGGGAAAACGTCAGCCAGCCACTCGTCGCAAGAGCTCTTAGCTGCACCTGATCTGCAAGTCCTGTGGATCAATACGAGTCCCGAGCTGCATGCTGGGACGAGTTTGCCGGCGAACCAAATACCCACGAATAGCGCCTAGAAGACGCCATTAAACAGGATGTGCTTCATACCTTTCCATCTCAGTAGCAGCTGGAACTAGACTCTTACGTGGACAGGGGAACTAGTGTAAGACGAGAATGACCTGCGACGCGGATCTGCGAACTCGTGACGCCCGCGCCACTTGGCACGGCGTATCCAATCCCGCCAAACCACCCCCTTGCGTTCGCAAAGGCGGTGTGGTATTACCGGATGTATGTGCCCTTTGTGGGCAGATCTGCCTAGGCGAGCAGACTCGGAATTTATAATGCGTAAGCGTAATATTTTTCGCCCTAAATTGGTGGTGTATATGCAGACCCTATTAACGCCCTTCTGAAAATAACATGGTACATCTAGACATTTGGTAGAAAATTGCACGTCGTTGAGGCTCCTCAGGTGTCAAGCGACTGGTGGATGACGCTGGTGCGATAAGTCTCACTGCGCTGGATCAGCTCAGTATGAGTTCCTTGCTCGACACAGCGGCCCTCTTCAATCAAGAAGATGCGGTCTGCCCGGTGGATGGTGTTCAGACGGTGTGCAATAGCGATAATGGTGGTGCGTCCACCAAGAGTCGCAAGCACTTCCTGGATCTTCTTTTCGGACTCCACATCCAAGGCACTCGTTGACTCGTCCAGCAAGAGTAAGCGTGGACGCCGGACAAGAGCACGAGCGATGGATAGCCGCTGTCGCTGGCCACCCGAAAATTGCTTTCCATCATGGCTACACTGAGTCTCGTAACCTTCGGGGAGCGCAGCAATAACATCGTGGATATTGGCCATGCGACAAGCTTCCTCAATCTCTTCACGTGTTGGCTCATGGCCCGGTCGAGCGCCCAACCCAATATTGAACGCGACCGATCCTTCAAAAAGGACATTCTCCTGGGGAACGAGAGAGATGTCATCGCGGAACCCAGTGCTCAGTTGGCGTGTGATGTCGGTTCCGTCAATGATCACAGCACCGGAGTCAGGGCGATAGAATCGCTCGAGCATCGAGAATATCGTAGATTTTCCAGAACCACTTGGCCCAACTAAGGCACAGAATTGACCGGGCTGCACACGCAGGCTAAGGCCACGCAGGACAGGGTGGCCAGGGCGGGAGGGGTACTCGAAATGAAGGCATTGGAGTTCCACACTGATTCCGCCCGCGGAGAGAAGAGGGCCAGATATGCTCCCATCTTGTGAACTGACCTCGGCCGCCTCGACGTCTCCAAGCTTCTCCCCATGGAGGTGGGTATCGTAGTCGCTGACCTTTTTGGATGGGGTCTTGTTGATCTCTTGATTGGCCGATCGGGTGGTGAGCAGCTCCGTGATGTTTGATGACGCAAGACCGGCCTTTGAAATATCTGGCGCAAGCGCAAAAAGCTGGCTGCACGACTGGGTACTGAACAGGAGTGCGGGCAGGATGATGAAGAACTGTGTTTGGGTGTAAAGACCAGACACGATTTGTTTCGTACCCCACCAGTATGCCAGGGCATACACGAAGTTGCTAACACTGAAGGCCAAAGCAAGGAAAGCATTTCCATACGCAATGGAGCGAAGTGTCTCACGATACGGTGCGCGCAAGGCTCTCTCATACACGCTGTAAGATTGTTCCTCCAGCGAGAAAGCAGACACTATTCGAATGTTGCCGACGGCTTCCACCGTGATGGATGTGGCTTGGGCAAAGGCCTTCTGGTGGCGCTCCGCGAATTTAGCTTGGGTCCGAAGTTTCATCATGCCGGATACCAGAAGAACGGGGATCATTGGCAGAAGGACAATGGTGATCTTCCACGCGAGAACGAATGAGACAATCAACCCGGCTACTAGGTTGACAGCAGCAGCCAATAACAGCCCAATCGTAGTTCCCGTGATACTACTGAGGGCTGTCGCATCGCCAGTGATGTAACTGATGAGGGTACCTGGCGTTCGGTCGTCCTCTCCATGCCATGCAATAGTTTGGCCTAGGAGGGATCGGAAGGATAGAACTCGAAGGCGATAGAGAATCTTGTCGGCAGCCCAGCCAAAGGCACAGCCGCTGATAACGCTTGCTGAGAACTCAACAATGGCAATCACAAAAAATAGGAGTCCGTAGAGGTGCCCACCATGACGGATGGCGTCGGATCCAATGCAGGGACTCAGACTCTGGATTGTGTGACCGAAGATGACGGCTTCTGCGACATAGCTTCCTCCGATGACAACAGACATGCCCAGACCAAGGAGGATATAGCCCATGTTTGGGCGGAGAAGAGCCGCAACAAACTTGAAGGTAAACCAACCCGAGCGTGTGTGTTCAAGTTTACCTTCGGTACCCTTGGTCTTTGACCTTTTCTCTTTTTTATTCTTTTTCTCCTTCCCTTTTTCCTTCTTGACGAGTTGAGCTTCCTTGTCTGGCAAGGGCTCATCGACCGCGGTAGCAGTGCTGACATCCAATGAAGCTTCCCTCTTCTCAATCGCCGGTGCAAGGGAGTCAGACTCCAGCTCAATGTTCTCTTGATCCAGAAGCCCAATAGCAAGATCAGCTGCACTCAGCTTCCCAAGATTCTGCAAGCGAACCATCTCCGCGTAGGTGCCATTTTGGGATATTAGGTCCCTGTGGGAACCCTCTTCTACAACTTGTCCCTTTTGCATGACAACGATCTTATGCGCATCCTTGGCAGTAGCAAGCCTATGCGCGATGGAAACCATTGTAACACGGTTCTCCAGTCTTGTCAGGGCATCTTGAATCAACTTTTCACTGGTCGAGTCCAGCGCAGCAGTAGCTTCGTCAAGAATCAACAGCGATGGCTCACGAACCAGGGCCCGAGCAAGCGCAATGCGCTGCTTTTGGCCACCACTCAGGTGGTTTCCAGAAGAGCCGGCACTGGTCGAGAATCCATAAGGAAGAGCGTCGATGAATGTCAGTGCATTGGAATCCGACGCTGCCTTGCGCACGAGTTTTACAATTTCTGCGACCTTAGGGTCGAATTCCTTGAGGGCTTCAGTCTCAGGAGTCCCGTCACGGACCTTTTCGACAAATTCGGCCAAAATGGAATCTGTGATCAACGGAGCCAGTTCTTGATGCCTCCTCGACCACAGACACCACCAGTCCATACGCGATATTCTCCAAAATAGAACGGTCCAGCAGGGATGGCTCCTGTTGCACAAAACCTATGCTTCCTCGTAAGTAGCGCACGTTCAGCTGTCGAAAGTCCCGACCCCCGATGCGAATTTCTCCGGATGTCGGATCGTAGAAGCGTTCTAGAAGAGCCACAACAGTCGACTTTCCACCTCCTGAGGTTCCAACGATCGCGGTATGCTTGCGAGGTGGGATTCGCAGATTGACACCCCGTAAGACGGGCACATCTGGCCTAGCGGGGTAGTTGAAGTGGACATCGTGCAAGACAATGTCTTCTGTGTCGAACGGGGCAGACTTGTCACCTGCCTCCACGGTTCCATCGATCTTGGAATCCCGATTGATGACTGCCTGCAGACGTTCTGACGCGCCAGCTGCCGACGCAAAGATGTGCACAAACGGAGCCACCTGGCTCAGAATGAAGGAGGCGTCGATCAAAACAAAGATAACCGTGTAGACAGCACCGACAGATGTACCGTTGCCACCGGAATCCACCGCATCGGCGATCAAACGGGATCCTTCCCAGAAGGCGAGCGCATTAGAACTGTACGCAATGAAATACAGAAGACCCAATTGTACCGCATGCGCCGCAGCCTTCTTCAGAGAATCCATTCGAGATTGCGACAGATGATCGGCGAAAAGGGCCTCGAGGCGTGCATTCGAATTAAACGCATGGACCAAGGGAAGATGTGAGAGACTGGATGAAGCGATTGAAGTGGCTGCGTTAGCGTGCGTGGCGATTCGCCCCGCGTACTTTCGGATGAAATAGCCTCCGCCATATGACATGAGGAAGTAACACGGTACGACCGAAACCAACATGCCGGCAATCTGAGGCACTTTGATGAATGCTACTACGTAGGAAGCCACGAAGTACGACAAGGTCGAAATTACGAGCCCAACCTTTTCCGACGTTCCTGACTGCACCACCTCAATGTCGCTCACTAATCGCGAGGTGACATCGCCAGCTGGTAGACTTTCAATAAATCCAATCTCCTGCTTGATCACACTTTCGAAGTATCTCCGGCGGAATCGGCGGGCGATGCGCTCACTGGTATAGCTCCAACAACTGCAATGAATATAGATGAGGCAGAAATTGGCAATTGCGATATAGACAACATAGAGAACTCTCTGCCGTACACTGTCGCTGATGCCCGAGCCTGTCGAAGGAGTAGACGAGCAAGAAGCCGAATTCAGGTCATTAATCAAATCACCAAAAACGAGACCCAGCAAGGGGAACGGGATTCCGGCTGCAATGGAGAAGAACGTTCCCGCGACTATCAACAGGACATCTGTTTTTGTGTAGTCCAAGGAGAATAGAAGTTGAATGTAAACGAAGACCTTTCGCATTCCTTCCTTAGTGGGGACGAATTTTTTCGCATACCGAGCCTATTGAACGAGATTATTTAGCGAGGCTGTTCTGCTGGTCGAGCTTTGGTTTTATGGTGGTCATACCACTCGAGACTTCTTCTCCCCGGTAGAGTTGCCTCTGTGCTCTCAGCCATCATGATGGTGAGCAATTCGAGCTCCCGACCTAGTATGGAGTGTCAAGCTGGGCGAGGTTTTCCTCCACATGAGAAAGACATGCAAAACAGAATGCGAGAAATGGACCAACCGCCCAGAAGCTGTAAGGCGCGTACGCGGCCAGTGCCCGCGGAGAAATGAAACCACCAATTGGGATACGATCGACCTTTGGCCGTCACATGTGGTAAAAAGGAAGCTCTAGGAGAGAGCAGCGGAATTGCAGACCAAAAAGAAACGCCCAAAATATGGAGAAAAAAAATAAATTACCGGAACCCAAGAAAGCAAAAAGCGTGAGCCCCACCGACGATCACTCCGATCGCGGCCATTTCACCGTCAATATGGAAGAAAGTGGAAGGTGGGGAACGGCGAGGGAAAGATCAACGGCTTTTCCTCGGGCTGCGCTTCGGAAGGAGTCAAAAGCAGCACCTGGGGCAGCCCCTGGAGAGAAAAGAAGCATAGCGTAAGCAGAAAAAGAGCCGCTCGGGCGCTGCTGGATCATCTCCAGGGTAGAACGACAACCTTGGGACGACGGGGGACTAGACTCATCATGGGGTTGGTGAACTGGGCGAGAACCTTGGGTCTGGAATCTGTTCCCATTTCAGCATTCCAAGGGTCCTCTAGTGATCGGCGAGAGCCGGGAGGGTCCGGCCCTATGAAAGTTTGACAAAGAGAAACTCCTCACCCCTTCGGTTAGTGATTTGCTTCGAATTCGACCCGCCGCGGCGCATGAAGATTCCCTCATTGGCTGTTTTAATACGCCATGTGGGCCTGTTAATCTAATCTGATTGATTGATAAACCCCTCGTAATCTCTTGTATTGTGGGATGACCCGTGCTTTTCCAGAAAAACACGCAAGCCGCTTTCTTCAGGAGGTTATCGGAACAAAGCGACAATGCATTACCCCACGTTTGCTACGCAAAGATCTCTGAGCTTGCCATGCCCCTTGCCATGCCCGCCGCCCGAGGCCATACTGCCCGAGCGCCAACTCTTCCGGTGCAGAAGCTGTGCTTGCGAAACACAAGTCAACGAGCTATCTGGTGATAGCTTCCTTCTCACAAGCCTTTGAACTGAGCACCAATTTCAAGAACAGATCGCTATCATGCCTGTGAAGCCCCTCTCCTTGCTCCGCTTACCGGAGCCTTGGAAGACGGCCTACACAAACGATGAGCATCTGCGACTTTTCAACAAATGTCACAACGATCCACGTGTGGCTCAAGCGTGGCAAGAAACAGGGACGCTGGATGACTGCCGTGAATATTTGCGGCAAATGCACGAGGACTCCCACCAAATCGCCGTCCTTGCTGAGGTCGATGATACGTTCTTCTCGTACCACGAGTTCTACTGGACCAAGCTATGTTTCTAGCAACTATGTGAAGCGGATTGGCCTGTTCCATCCCTCAACTCTCCTAGGGGAATCATCTAGGTGTTCACTACAAAGCCGGAACTTGGGACCGTGGTCGGCTTTCCCTTGTTGCAGACGAGCGCTTTCGAGGGCCCCCATCGCGCAATTACCTGGTAGACCAGCCTAATACATCATATTTTTCTTAGACGGCCCGCGCACGGAGAATGTGACAGGAGAACATAAGTGGACAAAGGGGGCATTCTCGACGTATAACCATGCGATCGCGTTGAACTTCTCGAAATTGATCGACTTGGCTCACAAGCGGTCCGGCCTGAGCTTTGGGAGTAGGGAGAAATTCTTCCAAGTGGCACTCGTGCGCTTTGACGGATAGGTCAGGCCGACATTGAGTTCAAACATAAAAACGATGTGTATTCGCGTAGAGTTTAGAAGCATTGGTCTCAACCCCACGATGCATGCTTTGTCGTTGAGCTTTAAATTTCTATATACTTTCTTTCTGGGTTCCGCTGCAAGTCAGCTCACGGAACTATCCTTCACGGGAAGGCAAGGAACGAAAGTTAGCGCGAATTGATCGGCGAGGGTGGCGTTTTCCCTTTATCAGATCGGGGGGGCCAAAGTCCTGCACACTCAGATCCATGGATGCCCCAGTCCCCGATGTATAGTGCCAAACGACCCGCAGCTAACGCGGCTTTGCTCTAGGCGGATGTTTGACATGGCGTGAAACCTTTTTCTAGGTCTCGCAGTGATCGCCCTCGACTATCCACAATAGCTTGATCAAGGAGCCGCGCTTGAATTGACCGCTGCGACCCTTCCGGAACGGCGTTGCCTGGTATGATTAGCAGGGTCCGCCCCGCAGAGACGAGATACAATATAATACAATACATACATTAGCAAGGTCCAGTGGAGACTGGGCTGCGCAATCATTCAGATGACGAACACTGGCATGTGGGGACTCGGTCACGTCCACCGACGCTTGGCGCTTCTCGGGTGCATGGGGTCCTTGGCCTGGATGTAACGGATGTGCCTCGTTTACAGACCTCGATTGACCTCTATTGGGGAAATCTTTTGGCCATTCGTTTACAAATTGGCCATTCTAAGGACTGAGGACGAGAATCGTTCTCGTTTTAGTATTTCGCGAATGCCCAGATCGCAAGCATCCTGCAGCTTTCAGTAGCCTCGGTAATCTAATCAATCTGCCCGGTATCGGGGCCATCCCCATTTGGTAAATGATCGTCGGTTCAAAGTGATCGAGGAAATTACTTGGTTTCCCAGGCCCCACTCCGTACCGGATAAATCAGAGCAACCGGTAAAGTTTCTCATGCATGACGCTTCCATTTAGGAGAGAGGAACAGAAGGCTACTTGGAAGGAGGAGCCTCGGAGCATCTGCAACTAAACTATCTGGGGTTATTCCGGTACGTAGATTGGCAACGATAGAACAGCCTGTTCATATGATAATACTGAATCGCAGATCCTGCCAAGAGGAGATTCCTAGTCATGTCTCAGGTTGAACCAACAGCGGCATTGGCGTCCCCTTTATCACCAAAATGCCAGCATTGGATACCGTAGATGGTTATGCAGTATCCCACGCTGGCAAACTTTATGCATGCAGCGAAGTGGTTAAGCTCCTGCAGCTCGGCAAACCTATCACCAGCCGAGGTCATCCCCTGTCTTGCATTGGCAGATGAACCAGTTGCCCAGACTGAGCTCTGGAAAGGCGGAATGCAAAGCTATAGCTGCCATGTTGTCGCAACAAACTGAGACAAGCAGCTCCAAGGCTTCAGAGCATATAGTTATGGCTGATGAAGAAACCGACTGGGATTCCAATGCGGATCCAGTTCGTGACTTGATGCTCACGGCTCTTGCGCAAGCCGTCGGAGAAGAGTTATCTACTATCAGCCCTGACAATTCGCTGTATGCTCTCGGGTTAGACAGTCTGGGTGCGATGCGGTTTATATCTGGAAACTTGCAGGAATCTAGAGATTACTGTCCAAACTGTTTCTATTATCCATTTTCAAGATAAAGGCTTTACTATGCAGACCTTCCACGCACTTAGTGATTCTGGTGCCTTGAATGGGATTAGCAACTAAATCTTGCTGGTCTCGAGGGGAATGGAAAACACAGTACCGTGCCCCATCCGAAACATTAATTGTGATGTCGAGAAGCTGTTGTAAATTGAATCTCAGATAGCGTTTTTTAAAGTTCGCTTTCTTCATTGGATCTGAATTTGAGCCTGAATGAGCGACTGTCCATAGATGAAGAGCCAACTTGCTTACAGCCATCGATGTCTAGTGTATCAATACAAGTCTTCTTCGGTGATTCTTTGTTCTGAGAACGACGTGAATCACTCGGCATGCTCGATGGATGAGATTATACCTGGTATTATCGCCTGGGTTATTCTTTGTTTCGTAAAACTGGGGCTTGCATGCTGTTGTCTGACGCCCATCTGGTCGAAAATATGAAAAGAACCTCATAATCTGGGAAAGGTACGGGACACGACGCTTCCCATATATCTTTCGGTTACCGAGCTCCCAAATATTCCTGGGGAGTCCAATCATAGCCATCGAGGGTGGGCGCCAATTCACGCGCCTTCTTGTCTGGTGGTTGATGTGACGAATGGACGTAGAAGTCCTGCGGCGCCTCGAGGGCGGGTCCAAGGCCGCCCGGGGCCGGACCAACGATCAATTGGTGTGACACTGATCTGATCCCTTGGCAACCGCTCAACAACAAACACGACACCCACAAGAAGACCTTTTCGCAACCCTTATCATCTTCCTCCACGCAGTTCGCGCTTGACTTATTACCAATGAAAAGTCCGCTCTCACAAGGATTACAGCAGTTGAAATTGTCTGAACATGAGCAAAGCCGGCCACAACGGCCGAAACAAGACCGCCACGACCGCACATCAATTTCGGGCCGTCACAGTGTATTAGATGGAGCCGTCAAAAAGGCCTCTGCCCATGAAGCTAGAGTCGCCAAAACGACGGTACGGAGCAGGGGGGAGAATCTACTCATTCACAAGGTCTGTTCCGCCCGCCCGATCTAAAAGGCATCCGAGCTGACCTTTGACACCTCTAGTATCCTCCTAATGACATCGAGTCCTTTGAGCGCGAATACAACATCATGTCCACCGTCTCCAAGATTCCGGCTCTCGCCAGCTATGTCCCGCGGCTCATTGGAGCAAACCGCAACTCTGGCACAATAGTGCTCAGCACCCCAAAACTCCGCTGGTTCCGGCTCCTGAACTACATGGAAGCGTCGAAAATAGACCTTGACCAAATGCTCGAATTGAAAAAGGAGCTTCGCTCCTATGTCGATCTTCTGTACAGCCATGGCGTGGCATACCGCGTCAAGCATGACTTTATTTACCCCGCCCAAAAAGTCACCGGTCGTTGGGTACTTCATTTGGCTGGCTGGATGGATGCAGATTTCTGTGGTAACCCGAGTCAATTGGAGTCGGCGGAGTGGAAGCAGCGGGAGACCGAGCAGTTGAACGAAATAGAGCGGATTTTTGAGCTGCTGATGAGGCGCTATGAGGACCTGCAGGATGCGCGGATCCGTGGGCAGAGGGGACATCGAATCGAACGGTGGAATCTGACAGATCAGCTCCGGGGGCAGAACTGATCCGAAATTCCTGGCTTTTCTGTGCTTGGTGTTTGGGAGCGAAGGATGAAAGAAAGGGACTGGAGCCTTGGAGATACCCATCATGATAGCAGCCTCGGTCGTACTGCTGCTATTCGTTATTATTACCCCCGTCACCTACAAGTGGATGCGGACTTCATCTTATTGCTACAGGTAGTTCCGAACTCTCCGGTCTCCCTCAGTAAGATTTGTCTCCATATGCACGGAGTATACGCACAGACAAGCAGCCTTTTAGTAGGCATATATTCCCACAACGCTCCCCTCTTCTGCTTGATCTAGCGTCGGAGCTCATGTGGCCACGTCCGAGCGTGTGTGACTGCAGCCGACGGCTTTCTGACTTTGATTTGCTCAACTTTCCTCGAGTGCGGGCCAATCTTCCCTCGACGATCGTCGTCCACTTCAGGGCTCAGTCACAACGGGCGCTTTGCGTCTTGACACCAAACCCAACGCGGACTTTCCCCAGCAAATCACATGGAAAGGCTTGATCTAAAACAAATTAACAGCGACCGCGGGGAAGAGCCGAGCCTCGGAGATGTCAGCATCTTCATAGACCAAGAAGGGCAGGGGCTCGTTGAAAGGCCCCCTAATCAGACGAAACCGTCACGGGCCAACTGCTCCAACGTTGTATCTGCAAATGATCCCCCCCGGAGCGGGTTTCACCCCTGATTCGTCAACCCCACGGAGTCCCCTTGTGATATATTGAGATCCCCCGCATTTCGGCGAGGCTAACTCTTTTCGCGAAGGAGGTTTCTGGTGCGCAATTCTCTTGTTTGGACGTACCGTTAGAATGACTCTGGAATGCTTCTTCCAGCCAGCCGCGACAGTCCCAACAACCCCATAGGGTTGGACGGATGTTCAGGGGGGCCGACCAAGCAAACTCCACGAGCATTCAGGAACAAAGTGCTTCTCGACCAGTGAGAACTAGCCCTTAGACTTCATGATCCCCGCTCTTTGTGTTCAAAAGGAGCCAGGATTCCCCAGTGATTCCTGCGCGCGTATGTAGAGAGCCGTAGGCATGTCGATCCCCCCTCACGCCCCCACAGCGCACGCCCTGAAAGGCTCGCGAGCCGTAGCATCCATTCGCTGACGAGCGGACGAAGAGCCCATTTGGGGCATCTTGCCTCAGAACTTTTCGGAGGTGAGCCACACCCCGGGGATTTTCCCCTGTCAAAAGACAGAATAGTATATGCTCCGTGCGCGCGTGCCGAATCCTGTACGGACCTTTCGCACGACTACAAAAAGGGAGGGCACCCTGCTGTCGACCATGTCCAGGTTCAAGTCGTTGGATTATCCTGCTCCTCGAAAAGATGTCGCTCCTTGGAAAGTTCTGGGCTCTTGCCGCTGTTGTGGCGCAAGCTGCGGCCTTGCCCACTGCTCTGAAGTCTCGTGGTTCGTCTATAATTAAAAAAAAAAAAGCCACTCCCCTGGAGAAGACTGACGACGGCTGATAGATATCGATTCCGGTCTCCTGAGCTCGCTGTCTTTGTTCGAGCAGTACGCTGCTGCTGCTTACTGCTCCAACAACCACCAGGCTGGCTCGACCGGTGATATCTCCTGCTCCGTGGGCAACTGCAACGATGTTCAATCCGCAGGTGCTACTGCTGTCTATGAATTTGACCAGTAAGTGTGCTTTGGCCGAGAGACGTAGACGCTGCTAATTCCTCCCAGGGCGAACGACTATGGCGACGCAACGGGTTTCATCGCCACAGATGCGACTAACAAGCTGGTCGTGCTCTCTTTCCGAGGAAGCAGTGATATCCAGAATTGGGAAGCCAACCTCAACTTTGCCTTGACTGACGTTGATCTGTGCGATGGCTGCCAGGCCCATACCGGCTTTTGGGCTTCCTGGGGAACTGTCTCTGACGAGATCACCTCCCAGATTGACGCTGCTATGAGTGCTAATTCGGGCTACGGCCTCGTGGTCACCGGCCACAGTCTTGGTGGAGCTCTTGCAGCGCTGGCGGGCACTGCCCTCCGTAACTCGGGCCATACTCTTGACCTGGTGGGTCTTTTGTTTCTTTTTTAACCCGGGCCAGTTTGTGTGGTCACTAGTTTGGATTTTCCCCCTTTTGGCCGTTTCTCTTGGGCAATATAAGATGTCATTAACCAGGAGTGCACTCTAGTATACCTACGGTCAGCCGCGAGTCGGAAACGAGGCTCTGGCTCAGTACATGACTAACCAGGGGAGCTTGTACCGTGTCACTCACACCAACGACATCGTCCCTTCTGTGCCTCCCGAGTCTTTCGGGTTCTCGCACGCAAGCCCCGAGTACTGGATTACCAACGGCGATTTGAGCCCCGTGGGCACTTCTGATGTCCAGGAGATCGACGGCATCGATGCTACGGGTGGTAATGCTGGAGAGTCCAGCTATCTGATTGACCCCCACCTATGGTACTTCAACGCCGTCACTGCCTGTCTTTTATAGATAGTGCAGGATGGATAACGACCTTCCAACGCTTCGATGACGGCAAATGTCCATAGGCATGTCGAATCTTCCATGTTTGAGCAATAGGTGACTATAATGATCAAAGATCAACCTATGTCTTCGGGTGGTTCCCGACCGCGTTGACAAGATTTAAGTCTACTGCATCTCTGTATCCGGACACCTTAGTACTAGTATCTCTTCCAAGATTGGACTGAAAAGCCATAGACAGAGCATCCTTCAAGCCCACTTGGGCTACCCGAATAATACTGGCATGGAAACAGTGGAGGTAGTTAGACGTGACTTTTTCACGAAGTAATCTGACTATGTGCAGACCCTATAGCAGTGGACAGGCAGGCGTTTTACGCGACATCAGTCGCTGCCTTTTGAAAATCCCTCATCAGGCATAGGTCAATTGAATAGTCTTACGTGAACGGGAAGAGTTTATAGACAATGTAGACTTTCGGAAGACATTGAATCATTGGAATAAAAAGTCAGACGGTACCTCTGCACGATCACGCGAAGCCGAAGTGTGTTTCCTTACGCGGGCTGCAAGCAGCACAATAGACCATAGAACAGACCAATGGTCCTGTACGCAGGTGCAAAGGTCGTATATACACATATACAAGATAAGAGAGGCAACAACGCTTCCAATCTCTTATTGGCAACGATAACACGAAACCAGAGGTTTTCCCGAACCAAGGATCCCTCAGGTCTTTATATACAGCAGAATAACAGCAGAATACCTAGAAGAGACCATAACAGACCACATCCCGCGCATCACCAGGAGAAACTCTCCTCAAAAAAGTCAATGTTTGATCCTGACTGTCTCTTTCGGCAGACGTGTCGCACATCATCGCTAAGACTGCCATTACCACAGACGAGAACGCCCATGGCACCAACTTGGTTCTCAACCTCCATGCTTACGAGCGTATCGATATTCGGTCTGCCCGGGAACATTTGCACCGTTGCCGAAGGACTCTGGATTTCCTTGGTATTCCGCGGGCGGGTCACGAACAGCATGATACGGAGGACCTCCCGGCGACGATCCATAGCCAGGATACTGGTCATCCAGGGGCGAATCCACTCCAGATGCTCGGGAGACTGGATGATCCACACCAGAGTCAGCCGCCGGGTAGCAACAGTTCCCTCTGCGAAACCCTCGACCAGGTGTCGGACAAAGGGGACTTGGTGTGAGATGCCCACGCCGCCAGCGAATAACATGGTTGTACCATAGGAGTCCATTGAGTGGAGGCTGCCGTAGGGGCCTTCGGCGAAAGCCCGGAGGGTTACTCGAGAGCCGAGGGAGTTGGCGGCGTACTGGAAAAGCTTGTCAGTCATGCCAGTCCGCCGTCGGACAAGCAGAGAGAGTGTCGTGCGGTGAGGTGCATGAAGAAGGTCATGGTTCGCCATCGGCAAGGTCTTCTCGTGGGAGATAGCGTCTTCCGTGTCGCTCCAGGCGACGGAGAATGGGTGGGACGTCCATAATGCAACCGCTGGGATGTAAAGGTAGATGTGCTGGCCGGGGCGAAATTTCCAAGGCCGGGCCAGACATAAAGTAATGCGCATGGCGTCTCCAGGCATGACCTCGACCGTCGCTTTTGTCGGGTCGTACCCGAAATTGCGGTAGGCCAGGAAAATCAGACGAACAAGGCGCTTTTGACGTGTTAGTCTTGATACTCCCATAATCCGAACGTGACGATTCTTACCTCAAGAGCCCAGAGAATGATAGAGGCGAGTAGATATCGTTGGGCAATCATGCCGTTCAGATGTATCCAGAGGAATCCCATGCATACGGCGACAATAGCAAAGTGAAGATGAACGAATGTCTCGTAGAAGGCGTGGCGAATTGGCGATGGCGAGTGAAGCAAGATTGCAGTCATCGCGCAAGAAGCCTGAGTCGTCTCGATCAGCAAATGATATTACGGCCATCTTGACATGAATCACTGACCACTAAGCCCGATAATATGAACATACTTCCCTGAATCGCCTCGCCAACAATACTCCAGCCGGCTGAAAACTCCCTGTTAGTAGAGGCTCTGCAGATGCGAGCATGTTGCAACTTACCCTCTTGTGCTTTTGGAATTGCCCACGCGAATGTATGAGCCAGGGCTTCCAACACAACGATGCGGCCCAACCATCGGTGAAGCAGATTCCAAGTGTCGAATGGCACACGTAGCATAGCAATGAGAGGGTTATTCCTTCCTGCCAAGATAACGAGGGGAATCAAGTTGACCGTAGCCATCGTGCCTGTCCGATTCCGGATGATGCCCGCCGTGGTCTCTTCTTGTGCCGCGTAAGGAACAGTCACCACACAGACAACGACATTCATCGCCACAATCCCAATAACCAAGAGCCCATGCATCCGGCTCGGCAAATTTCCCATGTTAATGGCCTGGGAAAGTTGGAATTCGCGGTTATGGCGATTGTGAAATAGTGGAGCGTAGATCAGGTATCTTTTCAGCGATGCGTATATCTCGTTTGCCGGCACAAAATATCTCTGCCTGTCATCTCCAAATGTTGATAGTCGTCGTAGATGTGCAATGAAATGCACGCCGAGCTGCCAGGTTCCATACAACATTGCGGTGCAGGCGAGGGCGATCAGGGTATACCGCGCAAGGCTATCGTTTTCGGATTCGTAGAAGGCTTCCAGGGCACTAGGGCCACCCTCCCTTTTGTCAACATCTGCCGCAAGCCCAAGGCTGGCCAGCGACGATGCCAATAGTAGGTACTTCATCCCGTGCGGTGGGGGTTTAACAACCCGGGTTTCCTTGTAACGAGATGCGATTTCTATTGCAAGACCAGCGTGCTTATGAAGGAGTGAATTGCGAGGAAGCTAGCCCCGATGGAGAACGAAGACTGGTAAGTATCTGAAAGCAACACCAGGTTGCTTTTTCGTGATGCAGATGGCGACAGTTGGCGTGGTGGTAGAGGCCCGGCCCTGAATGAGGATAGTTGAACAGAAAAGACCGATTGTACCTTCGCCCCCTTAGCAGTATTCAACAAAGAATGAGTGCCAGATTCCTTTCTCTCTGAGGCTGCTTCGATGGGCAACGGAAAGAATGTGGTTACCAAGCCACCGGTCCAAGGAAGATGGCGAAGGGCTTGATGATACAATCGAGCAAGACAAAAGCTAGAATAAAAATGGAGCCAGTCCAAGATACAAAACCACGGAAAAGAACAGAAAATCAACCATCAACCTTCAGACGAAAGGACAGCTCCAAAATCTAGGGAAGGAGGCTAGGGGGGGACAATAGACTACTTCTACCCTCCCTGTGGGGTATGGGGAAGGATGAGACAAGCCAGGGCTGCGCTAGGGCGCCATGGTCGCGACGGGGGGAGCTGTACAATTCCATTGTGCGATACTCCGTAGAGTTTCCTCATCCATCAACGGCACAGAACGCGATAAGAAGAAAGCGGGCAGGCCTTCCATTGCCAAATTCGCCGTCGGATTGTTGGATCGTGGGATTTGGGATTGTCAGGGATCCCATCGTCCCTATGGCCAATGAGGTTGGAGTGGTCCTAACCCAAGCCGGTGCTAGTCTGCCTGAGCCTCGAATTGACAGCTGAACAACAACAGACATGCCACTTGTGGCAACGCAGCTTGCCGCGTCGACCCACCAGCAAGCGGGATTTGGCTGGAGGTTGAAACAGCCCAGGGTCACAGGGGGGGATTTTGGTGCCGATCGGGCGTCCTAAGTGGTCGGAAAAAATGTCGACCCTTACGTGCCAGTGGCGCGGGATTGGACCAATCCGGGGCAAAAGGGCCAAAGGATGGAGAAATCAAGGGAAAATCAAGACCCTGTTACAGAGACGAGTTTACGAGGTTTTGACGTTTCAAAGTCGGAGAAATTCAAGATATGACACACCTCCCGCTACCCATACGGTGCACGGAGAAAACACGCCTTCATACATCCCGCATCTTTGTCAAGGATGCAGCTTATCATGTTGCTGGTCTGGGTCGAGATGAGCTATCACCGACCAGATTTCGACAACCTCCTTCAGACCACGGGTGGACTTCCGGCTAGTGTCAACTTAGTCCGTCGCAAGTTGATTGTGCAGGAACGGCGGAGGGGCCTGGGTTGACATTTTGCTCAATGATCAATCCACCGAGCCCCTCGGGATAGATTGAAGACCATACTTATCGGGTCGAATCCTGATTGAGGCTGCGACTGGTGCGACTGGCGCCCCATATACTCCAGGCAGTCCAGGCCGTCTCGTTGAGTCTAGACCTTCGAGGGGCAACTGCAACGACGGAATTACGCAGTATTGCCTTTGGCCGGGGATCATTCCGGTGGTGCGCAATAGGCGGAGTTATATGGGTATCGTTAAACTCATCTCTTTCAAGATATGTAGGTCTAGAGTAGACGTCGCCCACGACTTATATACATCACTTCCAGAGATCAAAAGCTTTCCATCAGGCGTTTCCGAACAGTCCACATTCGAGCTCGCTTGCCATAGATGTACATGGGGATGCTCATCGACAACAAAAATAGCTGGATGCCCCCGATGGCCAAGTAGACCGTACGGAACCCGTCTGCCTCCAACCAATCAACAATGAAGAGCGAAAAAACGAGGCCGTGCAGAATATCTGACAGATCGTTAGTAATTGAACAAACAAACTCTCAACGCTTGACTGTGACCTACTCTTGCTAAAGTTCAATGTCACGAGCGCCTCGCCGGAATACATTCGGTAGCTGTCCACGCAGAATGTAATGGCCGTCGTGCTTCCCAGACAACACCCAAAGGATACCAGTCCGAAAAAAATGGTTGGCACGATCCACGCATCCTTGAGCTGTGCACTCCATCCGAACCCCATCAACCCAATGACAGTGGACAATGCAATCGGAATGGCCATCACCAAGCGGAACTCAGGCTCATAGATGCCGCCGTTCCGCCGCGTGAGGTATCGTACAACGATATCAGATACTTTACCGGCGACCGCAGTTCCCAGGAGTCCTCCCACAAACGGGGATATGTAGATGAGACCAGTCTGTAATGCAGTGAACCCATATACCTCCTGACTTTCGTAGATCTTTGACACCGACTCGGAGATCACAATCAGCCATCCAACAGAAAGGGCATAGACAACGGCGGACCAAAGAACAGAGGGATAGGCGAAAAGTACGAACGGTCGGACCGCGACTTTCAGCCAGTTGTCTTGTACAATCCGCCCATTCCAAACCCTGAGTAGTGACAGGTAGGGGACCTTTGGGCGTTCGCGTAGTCGATTGGTGTACTGTAGGGTGGAACTCTGCGGCGTTCCAGGCTCGAGTGACTCGCTTCGAGCGGGAGAAAGAGTTGTACGCCGGGCAGCTTCCAGAGAAGCGGATCTTTGGAAAGAGTCATCTATCTCAGTCTGCACGGGCTGGATTGTATCATTTGCGCTCTCATTTGCGCTCGTTACAGGGTGTAAGTCGCTGGCGGGAGCTCCGTCTAACTCAGTAGGCTCCTCGTTCTTGGGACCCGATGGGCCTACTTCATCTGCCCCAGCATACTTCTCCTCAACAATGTCGGGGTCATTTGCAAACCCAAAATGGACATTGGCGTTTCTTGGCTTTTTGATGACCTCGGGACCCTCTTCGTCCGTTGGATCAGGCAGCTCTTCCATGTGCTTCTCTGGTCGACGCCCCTTCAATCCTTGGGTGACTAAATCTGAAACGGTTCGGTGGGGGTGGGCTGGACGTCTATGGGGGCGTCGAGGACGGGGCGTTCTGTCCCAAAAAGTCTCTGGAACGAAAAGGAAAAGCAGCACTAGGAATGCTCCAACGATGATGGCGACAATCCAAAACACCCAGCGCCACCCAAGGCTTCCAATGACAGCAGCACTAGCCAACGGAACAAGGTTCTTACCACCCAGAAGAAGTAAGGTGTAGATACCCACTCGATAGGCTCTTTCATGCAAGAAGTAGATCTCTGCGATGGTCGCTGATGGTAGGCATTCGACAGGACTCACAGCAATACCCTGAAAGACGCGAGCAACAACCAAGCTAGGGTAGTTGGGCGAGAGCGCACACCAAACGCCCGATATAATAAAAAGTGTAGCACTCAACAGATACACTGGACGTTTCCCAAAAAGAATCGCAGTGGGTGACATGATCACGGATCCTACGCCGAGACCCAACATATACAAGCCTGTTGTAAATGCGACCTGCTGTTGGGTAACATTGTAGGTCGCTGCAACCTCGCTGAATCCTGCGGCTAAGATGGTGGTCATACCTCCTCCTATAAGACAATAGAAGCCTAGCGACAACAGCGCCGCATCTCGTTGCCACATAGGCCAATTCAGAGGGTCATTAGCTGAATCATCTGGCTGGGGATTCAAAACAATTTCCCCATCTGCTGTACGCTTTTGTCGAGGGCCTGCATTCCTTGATGATGACCGGGAGCTGGGGTTGCTGATGGGCAGAGATGAGGCTGACATGCGCTGCGGCTGATGCCGCATTCCCAGAGGCTCATTGCGATAAGACGATAGAAGAAGGACCGTTCCTACGAAAAATCCCCCATGAATACGTTAGCGTCATTTTCGCCGCACCCGGTCTGGAAGAACAGCCGTCCTTGCGCATCTCCGCTTACCAGGTACTTCATCGGTGTGCTTATCACTCAGAATCCCCAGGGTCGATTTGGGGCGGTAGGAAGCTTCCTGGTCAGACGCCTGGTTGCCCGTGGAACTCTCGCCAAAAAATCGCCTCCATGTTCGTCCAGGGGTGGTGGCCTTTTTCTCCCTGCCGTTGTTCTCTGGTATCCTTGACGGGGACGGTGCTTCCTCCACGGGGTTCATACCGAGGCGATCGAGAGTGTATGGGTGCGAGGTGGGGTGAAGTCGAAAAGTCTGGGCTATAGCGCACTGTGATGTCGTCCCATTAGCGCTCGGTTCTTTGCTTACTCCTGGTCTCGTGGTGTGGCCCGCACCTGCAAGACAACGAAATTCACAGATGTGGCCCGAGACGCCGGAAACAGACACCAAGACGGCGTTGTAAACCTGTCTGGTGCAGGAGAAATCAGCCGCGTGAGCCAACGATCAGGATTTAACAACAACTCATAGCGGGGAAGAGTTGCTGATAAGGAAAACCGCGCCCGGTATTAGATACGAGCGCCAACCTTGGGAGAGGTCTAAGGATATTGATCGGCCAGCGATCGGCAGAATGTGGAGATCACGGACGTTTCTCTTTGGGTTGAGGGTCATTCGGGAAAAGGCGGTGAAGGGCTCTTTTTTGCTTCTGCGATCCTCGAACGCTCCGATCTTGAGCTCGTCGCAAAGAACATAATGTTTACTCTGTTACTTCGTCCGCGCGATCTATTCCGAGGACCGCTTGCTGCGCGTTGGCCGCGAACGGGAGAATCTAACGTGACGGCACGTTTTCGGGATCGTGCACGATGGCGTCAACCCGCATACCTCAAGAGCCAGTCATGGCCGCAGGCTCCACAGAAGCTCTGTCCCCCACCAGATCAGCAGGTCATGATGGTGTGAAAGCGCCTCAGACTAAACCAAGACATTTGCAGCACGGCGCGCGAGCCCCCGCTGTGGCTACTGGGTCTCCTGCCAACTGTTACGCGAAACAAGACCGAGCGAGAAGACACGTAGACGGCTGGCCTCCGCTAGTCCTTCAGTATGAGGCTTTCCCTATGGGGTCATGTTAAACAACCCTATAGCGCGGTACATGTAACACCAAACATGAATATCAAATATTACTGATATGCCACATCCTCCGGAAACGAGCTTCCAATATGGAAATCAATGATTTATGGGCAAAACTGCGCTGGGGTATCTTCCTACGACATCGGGGGCCCTCCAAACAAGTTGCTATCCCATAACTCTGCCCCGCCCTGAATCTAATCCATCAAACCAGCTACCAAAATCTATTGACTGTGAAAGAGTTAGCGTGCTCCGTAAGAGTACGGATATGAGTTGGCTCACAGTGAAATCTCCAAAATCTGCAGCAAGTAGGGCTGCGGGGTCGAAGTCGTCGGATGAACCCGAGGGCGTTGGCTGCCCCACCGGAAGAAGCGTCTGCTCATGGATGATATTAGACACTATTCTTATGGATGAGCAATGATCATGACTGAAACTGACCTGTGGAAGGGGGTTTGTGGCATTTTCCAGAGCATTTGAGTACGAATGCCCACCAACAACCGCCCGAGCCACTCGGAAGGCTTTTTGAGACGCTTCTTCAATATTTGCCAACGGATCCTCTCCTTTGACACGAGATTTGACCGATGCTAAAATGAGGCACAGGAAGAAATATGGCTTGCAGCCTTTCCCCCGGTCCAATCCTCCGACCAAAATCGTGCCAGGTTCGTTCAACGGCCTGGAGCATCACATTTTGTTGAGATCGTACCATGCTCATGAGGACACTGGAGCTGTGTATGCTTTCCGTCGGCATCCCGGCAGGACTCCCCATTTCCTGCGATTGCAGGGACAACTCCACACAGACGGTAACGGCCGCATGGAACGTCTCATCTCCGAACATACCACCACCCAGCTGCGTGATATGCGGGTATAAGATCGAGTCTGAGGGTGAAGGAAGCTCCATCTGGGAGAGAATCTCAAGGCTTGCTTCTAAGCAAACCTTCCGCGAGTAGGAGCATTTGGGCAGTCGCACCACGCTCAGCGAAAACGGGCGGTGAAGTGCAAGGAGAAATTTACGAATAATGAACAGGTGCAGCGATTGAGCAAACCGGTGCTTTGCGACTTCATTAGGGCTAACTCCCGAAGCGTTATCATCGAACAAGGATGACGCGTGCTGGACGGATTGGATGAGTTCCTCGCCCATTTTCAAAGCCTGGTCATACGACAAGTCAAATTTGAGAGAATTGATTCGTTTGCCGATGCGATATCGTAAGGGGAGCGTTGTGGCGAGGAGAGTTTGGTAGAAGTTGCGGGTGTATGCGGTGTTTGTAGGGGTAGGCGGGTCAGTTTCCAACTCCGCTGATAAATCGGAATCGTCCCAGTTGGATGGAGCATCGCAGTCACACTCATCAAGGTCAACCGATGGAGGAACACCACGGTCCAGAGAAATTTTGAGATCCAATTCTACGATGGTCGTCCACAATCTGCGTCGTAGCTCGCACCAATGCGGCTGCACCTTTTTGCGGAAGCGGGTTGGGTCACGATGCAATCCCATGGTCATAGCAGAGCGTATGAGAGACCCAGAAGAGGCCCAAGACACATCGCCATCGCGCGCAGTGCCTAAACGAGCCACTAAAAGGAGACATTGGATTTGGAGCATTTGAAAATCAATTTCAGGGCTCACAAAGGTGCAGGAGATGTACCATTGAACGGCCAATATCCATTTCATCGCCGGCTGTTGATACTCGTCGTGCTGCTCATGCCCTGGCAAAGGAACATAGAAACAGCTCCCCGCAGCACAAATTGCCAGCAGCTGGGCTGTGAACTTCATATCGTGTTCTGGGGAAGTCCAGTATGCAGCATATTGGTTCAAAAAGGTCGGAATGTGCAAAATCCGATAGCTAGACTCAAAGGTATCGAGGTAAAGCTGAACCAACTGATCCGCAACGGTTCGAGCGGGGACCATTTCTTCTAGTCGAAAGGCTTGTTCTCGAAAGGCCCGCTGGTGATTTTCGCTATCACGAGACCAAAGTTCGCTCTTGAACTTTTTCAATTCGATGCAATCTTTGCCCTTCCCACGGCCACGCCTCATGAAGGATTTGAGATCTTGAAACTGTGTACAGTACCATTAGCTCCGCCGACTTGTGATGTCTGTTCTCATGCATCACCGACTTACAAAGGACAAGGTCGTAGTGTAATGGCTTCGTCCGAAGTATCTACTCTTGCTTGGTTTCCCCCGGAAACAAGCGTCGGGAAGATATCGGATCCTTTCATCGACGCCGGATGCCTCTGTACCAAAATCTCCACCTTCAGAGAAGGTCTCTGGGATCGGGTGATGGGGAGCATGTAGCGCGCTGGGTTTGCTCAATGCATTTTCCAGGACACGCAACCGATGCCTGAGTTCATGCAATTCATCCAGCTGGCCGCGCTTGACTACGCGGCTGGAGCTAGGCTTTGGCCCCATCTTCGAGTCGAATACAAGAATTCCCCCGTTTCTTGAGGTTTGGCTGTTGGGGACGCCCATTTGTGAGTTAGACGAGGATGCGCGTGGCGACGATTCGCGGTGTTGGTTAGGCTGGGGTCCCACGAATACACAAGAATCCCCTGTTTTAGAGCGCACACATTGCCCGCAAGGCTGTGAGCGGTCGCACTTCAATTTGCGGCGTCGGCACTCAGTGCACGAAAGTGGGGGCCGTCGACGTCGCTGCACTGGTTTGGTAGACTCGATACCCTCCCCTTGGGAGCTCGCATCATATTGATCCATAGCAAGGGAGTCTGAGAATTCGTGGAAGAAGGAGATTTGTAGTCTTCCCTGAACTTCCAACCGTGCATCTCTCAGCCGGCTCCAAACATCTCATATCCTTAGGGACTCCCGAGTCAGCAAAAGGAGATAACGTAATCTTGTGAGATGATGCTCAGGTGTAGGGGCCCCGGTTCTTCGAACCTGAGCAGAGATACGAACTGCTAGAGAAAGACACTTGGTGAAGTATACACCAGGTCTTTTATCTTGGTCCACGGGATAGGATAAAAGTCCAGAGACGCTGAATAGAGCGAGCTCGATGGAATATAGGTTGACGCGATGGAAGAAGTCCGACCGGACTATTTCGGAGTTACCGCATCGGGCAATTTTGCCCATTCCCGAGTCTTCATGAAACTGAATTCTAAGTCGTCGTAGGTAGGACGCTGGGGCTGAATAGGCTTCCCATTGTATGTCGAAAGATGTTTTTTTAAAATCAACACGTTATGCGTCTCCTGCTGTTCCAATTAGCTCCATGGTCACTCCGTGAAATCACGCCGTTGGCACTTCGCAAGTCGCGGTCCGTTTGTACATCTCAATTTATTCGAAAGAATATGATCGGTTGTTTAGCCCGGATAATCAGAGCGCTGTACGTACAGTGGCCCTTGGAAAAGGTATTAGATGGTATGTTGGCCAAGCTTGAACACTTTGAATTTGTCCAAGTTTGACTTCCCGTCAAAAATTCAAGTTGGTGCAATATATATTGTTGTTAGAATATGTGACCATAGCAGTACCAGTAGAACTCCTTGAAAGGCTAGAGAGTTGATCAGACAAGAAATTACTCCCGAGCTGGATTGAGAAGCAAAAATTAGCTCCTTTCAGTAGAAGACGCGATATCAAGGCTCTATTTTCCAAAGGTTACTTAGACCATATTTCGAAGGAGCCGGGCGAGATAGACTTCTAAGCCGGCAAATTGACTGCATTCGGGCTTAGTACTACTAGTAATAGCTTCATCCATGGAGCTATCATCGTGCCTACTTTGAATGCTGACTGGTATCTGCCAGTGCTCCTCTTCCTTTCTTTCAAGTCGAGTTATCTCTCGGTTCTGCAATCGGACGCCACTAAGACATAGGTCCCCGTCAGTCATTCCCCGTGCAAGTAGTATGAGTGCAGTTGATCCTCCGACCTCGGGAACCTCTTTGTCGCTTAGTACTACTGAATTCCGCGTCCCAATCCCAGGAGGTCCAATGAGCCCGGGATATCCACAAGAAAGGGGGAGAAAAAAAAAAAACAAACTCGAATAATGTCGAAAAAAAAAAATTAAATGCAACTCTTAGCACTTCTGACAACGACCCATTAATCCTCGGCAAGCAGTTTGCTTGTCAACATACTTGTAGTGTTGCAACGCCATATGGCCGCGGCGTAAGCTAAGCCCTGTCAGGGGCCCCTGTCAGCGCTGCGCCCCCTGTTAGCGCTGCGCCTCCTGTCGGCGCCCCACGGACGATCTTCGCTCCTGAAATCCCTGGATATTCCAACAGTCTGCAACTCCAAGTCCAATTTGAACTTGAAATTGAGCCCGTTCCCATGAATTGTCACTGGCTTTGAAAGGCACGGTATGCGTAGTAATTGCAGTGCTATTATGGCCCTATGAAAGATACTGCTCTTCATTGAACCTCATGCCTATGTTGGATTAACCTGTTTCGTATCCATTCCTCGCCTTACCAAATCGAATCTGAATCCTATCGATGTTTCAAACATGCTAGATAAGTCAGCATCACAGCTAGCCGCATCCACATTGGATGATCGACTAGGCTGTGCACTTGCCATAAAGGGCCGAGGCTGCAACCCTAGTACTTATAGGCTGCCGGCCAGGATTCATTACCTTCTGCTACAAAGACACAAGTACTAGTAGCTTTCATTTTTCCAGCAACCGGCAGAGGATCATCCAGCTACTCCAGCTTCGAATTTCCCCAGATTCTTCCCTACCTTCTGACTACTCCAAGGCGGAGTCTGGAAATATCACCAGTCCAAAATTATCCCAATCATTGTCGTTTCCAACAATGCTTGTCTCTTCTGAAATTATCCCTGCATTAGGCCTGTTCTTGGGGCTCACCACAGCTACATACACCTTACAGGATGACTACGGCACCAATCAGACGTTCTTCAGTAAATTTGACTTCTTCACAGTACGGTTGCACCACTATCATCTTATGCAACTTTGGGCAGATACCCATGCTAATGCAATATAGAGCCCAGATCCCACCCACGGTTACGTAGAATACGTTGACCGCGCTACCGCTCAAAGCGCCGGTCTGATCAGTGCATCTAGTGGCTCTGTTTACCTCGGCGTCGACACAAGCAATGTGGCGAGCTCCCCAGGTCGCCAAAGCGTCCGCCTTACCAGTAAAAAAGCCTACAACCATGGACTGGTGATTCTTGACTTGGAGCATATGCCAGGAAGCGTCTGTGGTAGCTGGCCTGCTTTGTAGGTTTTACCCTCCCTCGAACGCAGTTGCTGCTAGCCTGAAAGTGCTGCTTCTGATCTGTTCCGAAAAGCTGGATGATCGGCACAGTCCCACCCACTGCCGGCGAAATTGATATTATCGAGGGTATCAGCGACTACACTACCAACGAGGTCACTCTGCACACTAATGAGGATGGCTGCTCGATCCAAAACTCAGGCTTCAGTGGGAGTCTGGATACCAGCGAATGCTATATCTACACCAAAAGCGATGGCAGTGGTGGTTGCGGCATCATCGACCCAAGCAAGCAGTCTTATGGAGATGGGTTCAACGCTGCCGGTGGTGGTGTCTTCGCGACAGAATGGACCAGCGATGGGGTCCACGTCTGGCGCTTCTCCAACTCGAGTATTCCTGCCGACATCAGCTCTGGCCGCCCCAATCCGTCGACATGGGGAACCCCGGTCGCTAGCTTCGCTGGGAACTGTGATTTCGACGCCCAGTTCAATAACCTTCACATTGTTCGTTTGCAAGCCATCCATCTCTGCTTCCCATGAGCTAACGAGGGTACGAATTAGGTCTTTGATATCACCTTTTGTGGTGACTGGGCTGGCTCGGAGTGGTCTAGTGATTCCTGTACCTCCAAAGCCCCCACATGTCAAGATTTTGTGCAGAATCACCCGAAGGCCTTCACCGAATCTTACTGGAGGGTGAGATCTCTTAAGGTGTACACCAACGACAGGAGCACCAAGCGAAGCGCCGGCACCAACACTATACCCAAGGTACGCCGCCGCGGTGGGCACAAATATGGCATGTAAAGAAAGATCTTGGCTGGGTGATGCGTCGTCTATCATGATGGATTGAATACTGTCGTGCTTCGGGGCAGAACATTCTGTCATGATAATTTTCGGGGCATGGAAGATCCTTTGTATTAATTGCTCATTTCCGAGTTGTTTCCCCTTTCCTGCATCGGAGTAGGTGACTCGTCGTATATCTTGTCTTCCTATGTGTGCCGCGACCGCGTAATAGAATAAGCCGCGTCAGATGGGCATCTAACTAGTTAGTTACTCGGCGTGACAAAGCCAATCCATGGATTGCGGGCGATTGGCTGGGGGTGGGCTGAAGTAGTGGAACATCTTACAATCTCTGGGTCGAGCCATATTCTGGTATTTCTAATCTGCATCCTCATGGACCTTCGGAAGTCCAGGACTACAGGGCTGGTAGGGCCAGGATTATTCAGAACCGAGGACCAGACCAGCCTATCAGCGTAATCAATTGCTCTGGAGCGGCGCCGAGAGGGGCTGTGGGCCCCTCGGTCTCGCATAGCCAATCACAGCAGAATTGTTAATAATGGTCAGGATCCGTTCCAGAAGGTGTGGGGCCAATCATGGGTTCGACGACACGAGGCATCACGAAATGAATGGGGAGGGGGAAGGTAGGAATGAGACTCGGTCGTCGTAAAGCTGAGGCACCTAGAGAGGGCTGGGTGAAGGCATATCGGAGATCGAGGTAGTGCCTAGGGATGAAGGAGATTAGAGTTCAACTTTCAGGGCCAAAAATAACAATAAGGACGTGCCCTTCTCCAGCCTGTGAAATGCGGAGAGCGCCGCGGGAAACGCATGGTCCCGGGGATTGGTTAAGAGTCTCCAGTTCCGGCTTCTTCCTACTTCTGCCCCTTGCTACAAGTGCTTCTTCCTCGGTTCATTCTTTTCTCCCTTCTCCCACTCATCACACAATGGCATCTGCTGCACGATCTGCTTCTCGCGCGTTCTTGCGCTCGGGCTCGTCCGTCCGCCCCGCTGCGCGCAATGCTCGATTTGCTCTGCCTGCCCATGGCGTTCGGGTTGCCGCTCGTCGCGGATACGCCTCGGAGTCTGGCCAGACCAAATCCTCATCCAGCACCGCCTGGGGCATTGGATTCGTCCTCGCTGCTGCTGGTGGTACATACTACTACCTGAACAGCGAAGCAACCCCCAAGGGTCCTTTCGTCCCCACCAAGGAGGACTACCAGAAGGTGTACGATGAGATCGCGACTAAGTTGGCCAACGAGACCGACTATGATGACGGCAGCTACGGCCCTGTAAGTATATCAGACCAGCATGGGACAAACTATATCCTTCGAGAACATATCTCTGACCATACGGATTGAATCATAGGTCCTCGTCCGTCTCGCCTGGCACGCTAGCGGTACCTACGACAAGGAAACTGGCACCGGTGGTAGCAACGGTGCTACCATGCGATTCGCCCCCCGAGTCTGACCACGGTGCCAACGCTGGCCTGAAGCACGCCCGTGACTTCCTGGAGCCCATCAAGGCTAAGTTCCCCTGGATTACTTACTCCGACTTGTGGACCTTGGCCGGCGCCGCCGCCATCCAGGAGCTCGGTGGCCCCACGATCCCCTGGCGACCTGGCCGTGAGGACAAGGACGTCGCCGCTTGTACTCCTGACGGCCGTCTTCCCGATGCCTCCAAGGACCAACGCCACATCCGGGATGTCTTCGGCCGCATGGGCTTCGATGACCGTGAGATGGTCGCTCTTTGCGGTGCCCACGCCCTCGGCCGTGCTCACACTGATCGTTCCGGCTTCGAGGGACCCTGGGACTTCAGCCCTACCGTCTTCACCAACGAGTTCTTCCGTCTCCTTGTTGAGGAGAAGTGGAACCAACGCAAGTGGAATGGCCCCACCCAGTTCACTGATAAGACCACCTCTACCCTGATGATGCTGCCAACGGATATTGCTTTGGTCAAGGACCGTTCCTTCAAGCAGCACGTCGAGCGCTATGCTAAGGACAGTGACGCGTTCTTCAAAGAGTTCTCTGATGCCTTTGTCAAGCTATTGGAGCTCGGTGTTCCTTTCCAGAGCAAGCCTGAAGACCGTTTTGTCTTCAAGACTTCTGAGTAGAGAACCTTCCGCTTCTCATAAACCCTTTCCTAACCCCCCTCCTGTCTTTGATATCCGAAATATTCTGTGTCGATAGTTTGAGATTCTAGATGTTAGATTCTAGATCTTTTTTCTTTCATTGAAGCGAGATTTGTCCATAAGCTGGTCAGGCTTCCCTAGTAGTGTATCCAAATGAGCGTTCCTTGACATGTCTCCTGTCTTATGATGCTTGATTAAGAGTAAGTAGTATTACAGCTGTGCGTCTGGCTTGGACATTATGAGTATTTATTGTTATGCTGAGTATGGACTGCAGTCCACCCGATCATCGATCATCTAATATGGGAAGATATGTACATGCGTAAACGGCTGTCATGGCCGCACTTGATATGCTGCGACATGGCTATTCCCCAAATCTGCCTACAAACGGTGTTGTACGAACGAGGTGGGTTCTATTCCTGGCGCAGGCGTCTGCTCCACCTGGCCCTCCCACTTCAGAAGGCGGCCCATCTTGTGGTAAGAGTCAATCCCCCTGCGCGCATGCTCGGCTGGGGTGAATGGATCAGGATCAGCGAGGGTGCGACTAAAAAGCTCCAGAGAGACCCAGCCTCGAAAGCCGAGATCCTCAAAAAAGACGCGTGCAACGTCGACAATCGGAAGATAGCCCCCGCGCGACTCTTCGCACGGGAAGAGCCGAGCGTTGCGGGACCATGACATGCGGGCCGGCTGGCCAGCAACGTAGAAAGGATGCCTCTCGTCCAGGGGAGCATCTAGTCGCTCTCCGTCCACGAGCTGGACATAGAAGATCTTCTGAGGGTCAATATCGGCGGTGCGCAAGCGTTGCAGCGAGGCCGCCAGGTCCGCCGCAGCATTGGGGGTGCGGCCCGGTAGGCGAGGCCGGGTCCGCATATACACGACCGGCGATGTTGAAGGAGTCCAGGCAGAGACCGAAGTTGGGGCGGTCGACACCCTGTACGACCTCCCATGACGCCTCCCATGTGTCGATGTGCTCTCCCCAGCATAGGGCTTCGTAGACAAATCGGAAGCCAGCGCCAGCACCCAAGTCAGCCAGGCGTTGGAGGTCACGCACGATCACGCCACGGTCGCCGGTCGTGCGTGCCTTTCCGGTCTCGGGGTCTGGGCCCAGAAAATTGGATGGCACTTGGATCATGTCGGTTCCCAGCGCCCGCGCCAAGGTGAACCATCGAGGGAGTTTCTCGTCGAGTAGTCTATCCGATTCGGCTCTGTCCAGCAATCCTTCGTACATCGAAAATGGCTGTAGGCAGATGATAGTCATGCCTAGCCGTTCGCAGAGTCGGCGGGTCTGTCGTGCTGCTTCGAGGTGATTGCCGTTGAATGTCCGCTGGGCGTAGCAGTCGAGGTCGTCGAAGAATAGTTCGATCCCTTCGAATCCGTGCGCAGCGGCTTGCATCAATTTTCCTGGGAGGTCATGGATCCATGGGCGACCCAGGGACATCGAAGCGATCGCAGGACGGTTTATTGCCATCTTGGATGGATGTGTAAAGGATCAGATAATTTAGGTTTTCTTGGATATCGGCTTGCTAAACCCCCGGGTCTCCAGATAAGGCGGTTTACTCTCACAGAAAGCCAGTCACAAGAAGAGTAGTGTAACAACGGAAATAGGTGAATTTCCAGGGCTTATCTCTTTTTCCCATAGCAGACGGCGAAACGAAGGGGGAGGGCGCCGACAAAACGGTTATCCCCATGCCGGCCATTATGGAGGCTTCTCACCTTCAGAAAGCGAAACAATCCGAATCTGAGCGAGCCCGGCTAAGTGTTTTCCACGATCTTTTTGGTGGAAATCGCTTACCCGGGCTGGATCATTCTTGTTCCGTTCTGCTTTCTGGAACCGGTACGGAGCATCTCCGCATTCCATAAAACTCCTACCCGGGGAATTCAACTTGTCGGGAGCTACCCCACATTGGAAAGGGTTCGTATACGAAACCCCTTGAATATGTGTCTAGATAGAGATACTTTATGAATCTCTGTGCTGATGCTGGGATCACGTCCGGGCCAATGGTGCCGTGTCAGAAATACATATCCAATTGATCCTGATCCAGCAGAACGTCACTGTGACTAGAGAGACATCTAGCACTGAATGAGATATGGCACGAAGCGTTAGAATGGGCCTTCAATTTTCCGACTGCTACAGTGGCGGTAGAAAGCATGTTGTGATCAGAAGTCGATTTCGATGGCTGCTAACATGTCCCAGTCCTGTGCACGTTACCATGTCTACTAGATCTGGCATACTTGTGAATAACCAGACTTTGTCGCTTTGCTAGGGGCCAAAAATTATACGAAACAAGCTTCCTGGAGACACCGGTCAACCGCTGTCACGGACAGTATGGGTAGGAAATCGGCGCCAGGGCTGTTAAGCGCATCTTAGGAACCTCCGGATGATACCTAAAAACGGGAAAAGTGGCAAGCTTCCTAAGCTTCGTATGGCTTAATTTGCGTAAACGGGAACCGTTCGAGCTCCAGGATTCTCCACAAACGCTGTGGTTGGTCAGAGTGGAAATGTATATGGGGCCACTTGCGCCTGGAAGCTATTCTTGGAATGATGCGCGGATGTCCGACCGTCACGATAGAAGGAGGGGGGAAGGCTGCGAAAATATGTGACCACCGACATTGGTCTAAAAGTAGTATTGATATGACTCCGCTATTGGACAGGTCAACTATCGAGAGGCACCGGATGTTGGCATTCAATCGTCTGCTTTCGATTAGAAGTGCAGCCTCCGCGTCATCCAGGCCTCCCGCAGAATCCACAAATTAGGTTCGGCCCCATTGAGCGACACGTGGAACCCCTGGCAGGCAAAAAGAGGCTAGACGAACACATACACATGCATTAGCGAGTATGTATTCATTTAAAAATCCAGCTTGAACACTATTGAAGCCAGGAAGCCTGCAAGCCCGATGGGATCGGTTAGTGAGTTGTTATTATCATGGATCGTGTATGTCAAGGTCAATGGCCAGTGGATGTCATTATACTGGCGTATCCCGGCCTCCCATCCCTGGAATGTTGATCGCGATATATTCAGATCTACTGATCTTCTTGAGACCCTAGTTTCCTAGATCAAGGCATAAAGATTGGCCCCCATCCCCGCAACCATGTGGCTGAAGAAGCATTCTGGACTAGAACCCATCACTAAGGACTTGGCTGCATGGCAGGATCGGTGCGTTAAGCTAGTCGATGCGACATGACAATTAGACCCATCGACGATCATATACATATCCTTCCGCCCAACGCGAGATGTCGATCCTGCAAAAATCCTCACACACCCAGAGAGTCACTTTCTCACCCTTCTTTCCTAGCTGTTTGCGTTGCTGAAAGCCTCGCACCTCTCCGATCTCGATGTATTGGCTTGCATCATTATGCGCCGCCACTGCCCTCTTGCACAGTGGGATTGTCCTCGGGGTGCAAATTCCGTCGGAACTCTCACGGTATTTCCACACCGATGAGAATCTGATTGCAAGCTTCAACAATGGCACCGACTTTGTCACCTACCCGGGGGAGCGTCTGCCGACAAAGGGTCCGTCAGTCGTCGTCAAATCACCGATGATATGCTAACTCCGCGCAGAAACACAAGATTCCCCCAATATCTATGTTCCTGGCCCGATGACCGGGTCTTCGCCTTACATTTTACTTATGGTCGACCCATCCTATAATGCAACGGTCCCGACAAACACGGTACTACACACAATCGTGGGGAACCTCACAGCCGGTCAAGCGTATAATGCGAGCTGGAGTGATAATAAGCCTACACTCGCTCTCAAAGGGCCTCAGCCGGTAGTTGCACCTTACGTCGGCCCCGAGCCCCCAGCCCACCAGCCATCGCACAACTACACGATCATGTTATTTTCCCAACCTCCCAATTTCCAGGTCCCAAGCAAGTATGACCAATGGATGACCCTCGACATGAGTGACCCTTTCACCCGAACCAACTTCCCCGTCGTGAACTTCGCACGCGACACCGGGCTTGGGCAGCCGGTAGCGGCAACCTACTTCAGACTGACCTTGACCAGCGCGAACCAGGCTGGGTCCACGTCAACGGCCACGGCGTACGAGAACGTCGCCTCCTCGACTTCCGCCTCCGGTTCCGTGGCGACTGGTACCGTTACCGGGAAAACCATCCTTCGAGCCCTGTTACCGACTTCTGTTTACTTTCTGATCTGAGTGTACGATACATTAGAGCGGAGTTGGGAAAAAAGGTGCTAGTGGTTTTTTTCACCCTTTTTTTGTGGCTACAATGTGCATATTAATATCATGATAATGTGCCAAGGTACTCCTGACGTACTACGGGAAAAAAATCATACACCAGAGATGCAATTTTACGCCGGTATTACTATTTCCTCTATGCCTGGAATTGAAGACATCTATATCGTAAAGCATCTTTGGCCTGATAGATGCGTAGACTGCACATTGAACTACATAATTCTATCAAATCGTAAGTTATCGTCTACCGCCCCTCGCATGTGCTTATTCGAGACGGGTAATCGTAAACAGCAGTCTGCGGGAGTTCTCATCTTCCACCGGGTTCTTCTTTCCCTTCATGCCAACCTCATCCAGCGAGCCTTCAACCTTCCACTTCGTCCCTGTCTCGGAACCGACCTGGTCCCACATCTTCGTCAGAGTTTCAACATCATGTCGAAAGCTTGTGCTTCCGGGCTTGATGGCAGGCACCTCGCCCGGCTTCACGCTGCCGCTCTGTCTTCCGACAATAATGCCGCCCTTCTTGACGAGCTGGGCGATGTTCTTGGCTGCCTCGATTTGTTCATTGAGAGGGAATAAATGGAAGAAAGCAGAGCAGTGGATGACATCCGCTCCATTTGCGACCAAGCTCGTCCAGGGCTCACCCTGTGACTCGCCCTTGAAAATGTCCGCCACTAAAAACTTGCTTTCCATGGTCTTTTGGTCGAGGAATAATTCATAGCCAAGGTCCATCAGGGGACCTTCAATGTCTAACCCAATGAGCTGTGAGGAGGGGACTCCATCCTGCACTAGCTGGCGCAGATCCTGGCCAAAACAACAGCCCAGGTCCAAGTAGACGGATGAGGGGTTAGATTTGAGTCGCCGAATAATCTCTTGGTAGAGAGGATGGGTCAGAAGCGTCAAGTTGAGGAACCGATAGTGCCCAATACACGGGTAAGGATTCTTTGCAAAACCGAGCTCGCGCTGGAGAGAATTTCGATTAGTGGTTTGTGCTCGAAGGGTCGTGGCTGCCGATGTCTCCTAACGTACAATTTTGTTGACATGCTTCACAACATCCGCGGGTGGCACTTTCGAGTAGTTCTCGAGCAGAGAGCGGATTTCTGGGTTGACCTCTTCCAGGTCTGGATCGTACCATTGCTGGTGACGGTCCTTGTTGCCATCATTGGTAGCAGCCATTTTGTATGTGGAAGAAGAGAAGAATAACAAACAGCGTATGAGCTATCAAGGGGTCGATCTACCAGGTGACCCTGATTTCTTTGTTGATTCTTCGGAGTTGTGAGCTGTTAACCCCGCCGCCGGAACCGGGCTGCCGTGCGGGGCTGGACAGCATCATTCCGGGACAAACTACGGACAAACTACGCGTCGCAGAGGTTGGACGTGGGGAGCACAGGAACACCCCCTCTGGAACCTGCATAGCCGAAGATGAACTTTCAAGCTTGGAATTTGAGATCAGCAGCGACCGGGGAGTTTTGGACGGAAAACGAAAAACCGGACTACGAGAAGGAAAGTATGGACGATTAAGCCGTCTAGTATACTTCCATGCTACCTCGCTGGGCTGTAAGCGCCATAGTATCATCATAGGCCACTAAGCCAACTACTATTCGGTGGCTGAAGAATTCACCAGACTGCGAGATGCGAGACGGGCGTGGAGTTTCACGTTCGAGGAGGTACGCATGTCCTATCTGGTCGCGCATTTTTGGCCCCCAACACCAGTTCTGCAGGAAAGCTTCGCCTGTCGTATTTCGGGAACAGCCCCCCCCTCGCCACCCGATGATCCCAAGCCCTTCAGGGCTCAGGCCGCCCTGGGCTGGTTTATCTACTCCCGAACGCAGTAAGCAGTAGGCAATAGCTCGGTGGGCCCCGAACTGCAGCGTCACAGTCCTGCAAGTCCCTCAGGGCTAAAAAGAGACGATGACATTATCATCCAGGGCGAGAAGCAGCCAATGGCACCCACCAGAGCTTAATTTGGCTTGATTGCCATGGGGTCATTGGTGGACTCGGGCTTTTCAACTAAGCCAAAACAGAGAGATTCTTCCAGGGTGGTTCCACTTGCGGAGAAACCCTCTTCAGGGTGGTGGATCCTCGGTGGGTACCAACTTCATCGTCTTCACTCCTGAAGTCCTCAACACTTGTGGCTGCCGCGGGGCGGCCGGCCTATGACAGGGGCGCAATCTGGGGCTGAAAGTTCCTTCAGCACAGGGCATTGCGTTTGGCCCCAGTGGGTAATGAATAAACTACCCCGACCATCGCCCTATCAAGTATTGGGTGACCCCGATGTGCCCTAATTTAGCCCCCAATAGATGATGCATGACTTCCAAGGTATTTAGCTCTGCAGGTTAAAGCCGAATATGCAACGTGCAGATGTCGCTCATCAGGGTCTTATTCAGCTGCAGATGTCCCCTCTTGCCATCCTTTTCTCTTCCCTCTACTTCAATGACGATTAGCTCTTCCCTGTCCACCACGTGGAGAGTTTTCGCTGCAGCCTTACCGGGGAGGTCCAACGGCATGCGAGATCTAGGAATAAACTGAGAGTCAGATCTTCTCGCACCGCCATGACGATTCAATTCACACCGAGCCTGGATGGCCCCGCCTACGCCACGCAGGCTCAACACTGGAAGCAGGATGAACGACCACAACAATATGCCGCCATCGCGATTTGCACCGCCGCACCAACCATTGCGGTCGCAGTCCGCCTTTGGGCGCAGCGCACCTACCGAAAATCCTGGGGTCTCGACGACCTTTTCATCATCGTAGCGCTTGTATGAGATCCCCCCAGTTCTCGGATAATGAATATTCACCGCTCATCGTCTTTTCTAGCTCATCGTATATGCCGAGGTGGTTGCATCCTGCTTAGCCTTGAAAGCCGGTGCAGGTCTGCACCAAGTCCGGGTGCTCAAAGAGGATCAAGATCCACCGAATGGGCTCTCATATATCTACATTGTAAGTGGCTAGCCTTTCGAGTGAGGAGGGCTTCCACTGACCGTGACCTCGTCTTGGCAGAATTACTGGATCGTCTCTGTTCTCTGGGCCCCCGGGGTCATGTTTATCAAACTCTCGATTCTGATTCTGTACCGCCGCTTGTTCCTCGTCCAGCAAAAGTGGTTCAAGATCGCATTGTGGGTCAACGCATTTTATGCCGCCGGTCTGGGTATCTCGTCCACGTTCGTGTTCATCTTCCAATGTGCGCCAGTCGACTGGTACTGGACTCGGTATCGCGCATATTATGGAATTGAAATGACGCAGGGGACTTGCTTGCCGCAGCTTGCCCACCTGGCGGCTCCGCAGTTCCTGAATACCGTCTCAGATATGGCCATTCTGCTTCTGCCCGTTCCTGTCATTTGGAATCTTAAGATCCAAAATGCGCGCAAGGTCGCGGTATCGGGAGTGTTCCTTCTGGGTTGCTTCACGGTCGGCTGTGGAATAGCTCGAATCGCCGTCATCTTCCGTGTGAGCAATGAAACGGATGTAACAGTACGTTCTTGGCCTCATACGCTTGAAACCTTGGTTGACAGCCCGATTGCTAACCTGCCCTTCAGTGGAACAATATCGATACAGTCACTTTCACTGTAGTTGAAGCCGGTGTCGGCATCGTCTGTGCCTGCTTACCCCGTCCGCACCGCTGTACAGCTATCTGATGAAGAAATGGGGTCTGATGGCGGGTGGCTCCGACCCCAAGGTCCACTACTATGGCGAGACTACGAACCACCCCCGAAGACACTCTCGGTTCACCAAGATCACGAGCTCCAAGTCAGATCCTAACAACGCCAGCCTTGAGTTCCAGGACCTGGTTCGTGAAAGCGACTACCACGCTTGGTCTCCTACTGGGAACAACCGGAATTCTGGCGTTAAACTGAAGAGGCCCCAGGATGCTATCCTGGTAGAGAACCGCATAGAGACCTCGTCGGATATTGGGGAGGATGTGAAACAGCCATTTCGGTTTTAGCTGGTGATCAGTGGAAAGCTTCCCTTCCAATATCATGTGCCCGAGAAGAGATGATATAGAAGCAAAGCTTCGAAGAGGTAACCGTGCTGTCCGATAGCTGGTCATTGTTTATAGCACATGGGGCCGCTTCTGGGTTTCCTTTTTTTTTTTCATAGATATATAGGGGGTTGGGAAGGCGCTACCGGTCCGTTGAATTATGAGTAATGCATCATTTATAACTAATCAATCCTACGAGAAGTTCTCTTTTACCGCCTCGCATCATTGCCCAATCTTACTGGTAATATCCTGAGGCATGTCGAGGCGGCGCGTTCCGTATCAACGTCCACCTCACACCGCCGTCCTGTTGAGATCTGGAGGCAGCGTGGGGGGGGGTTGCGAAGGTTCACCAATTCTTGACCGACATCCGGCTGAGGGATTAGACTAATCATTTTCAAGTTAGGTGCATATCACAATGGGCTTTGTCCGAGTTCTGGTAGAACCCGCGGACGATGCCTGGGGACGAACAGGAATCTCACCTGGTTCAGACCTTGTCCGTACCATGGTCCATGGCCCATGGATACTAGCAGATACTATCAATCCTTCCACCGCTACTTGCGCTTCAATCCTGGGCAGTACGGAGTAAGATGACGCGCCAGTCAGGCTCAACAGGCCCAGCAGCAGGTCCACAGAGGTTCCATTTCCACGGAGATCTGCGCGTAAAGACCCGGAGCTTTGGGGACGTCCACGACCCGACGTCGTGGTCCCCTACCGCCATGCCAGCCAATGGCCAAGATTACACTGAAAATTACCCGGTAAAAGGAGCGTTCGTGGAAACACGCGAAAGTGGGGAGGGGGCGAAACCTTGGGACCTTGGAAGGGGCGGGAAGCTTACTATGTACTGTACGAGGTATTGTACCATACAAGCCTCGGTAATAGTTTCACCTGAAGGTAATTATGTGGGTTTCAGGTTCTTATACCCGTTCAAACGAAGAACGAGCGATCCATCCACTCCCTCCGACCTCACCTGCTAAGTGTGATGTTGGCCGGTTGGCATTGATTTCTGAAGCCTTTCTTTCAAAGAAACCAGCATGGCTTCCGCTAAAGACTCAGCGCCAGAGCTCCTGATAACAGATTCGCGACTGAACCGCAGTTACGCTATCCCTATCCACCCTGGTGGGTATGTGGAGGCCACGGCATTCGCAGGCGTGAAGGACACTTCAGGGGAGGGCCTTATGCTGTTCGACGAAGGCTCCCGCAATACAGCCTGCATCAAGTCCGCGGTATCGCACCTGTTCGTATATCCCAACCCCCTCCTCGAACCGGAAAATTCAAAGGGAAGAGGAAACGCCTCCTAACGTTCGCAGCAATGCCGCAACTGGCGAGCTCCAGTATCGCCAGTACCCAATCCAAGATCTCTTTGGGAATTATGGGTTTGCAGAAAATGTTCATCTGCTCGTCTTTGGGTCTCTGCCCAATGCGGATCAAAAGAAAACCCTAGACAGAACGCTAGCCCAATCTATGTTGACCTATATAGACGCATCGAAGGTCATTCAATCATTTGCGTATGTATGCCCCCGCACAGCTGGTCTATTGGCCTAGTTCTGACTTGCTACAGACGAACGGCACCCATGATGACCATGATCATGGGTGGGCTGAGCGCTTGCAATGCCCTAGAGCCCCATTTTATCCCCGTCCACGAGGACCGAGATATTTACGGTGACGCAGAATCGGTTGATGACCATGTCATTCGGACACTGGCAGCGCTTGCCGTGGTGATCAGTGCTGCTTACTGTCATAAGCAGTCTTTGCCTCTACAGAAGCCGCGTGAGAATTTCAGCTTCATGGACAATATGCTTTTCATGATGAATTTTATATCCAAGGAGACAGGCCTGCCGATACCTGAGCAGGTTCGTCATGTGGATGATCTTGTTCTACTGCATTCAGAGCACGGAACGTGTAACGCAACAGCAGCATTTTTGCACACAGCCTCGACGCGTGCTGACCCTATAGCCTGCTTGTCAGCCGGGCTGGCAGCTATCTATGGGCCTATGCACGGGGGGGAGCAACATTGTGACTTATCATCAGCTTCGTACAATTGGGAGTACAACAAACATACCAGCCACGATCCAACAAGTCAAGAATCGCAAGCGGCGACTGTATGGGTTTGGGCATCGTATTTACCGAGCAGTCGACCCCCGGGCTACCCTCTTGAAACAATTTCTCCAAGATCGCGCAAAGGAGGGCGTCCCGATGAGTCCGTACATGCAAGTTGCATTGGAGTTGGAACGTATTGTCGAGACGGACACGTTCTTTACGTCACGGAAGTTGAAAGCGAACACCGATCTATACACCGTTCTTGCATATGAGTCAATGTGAGCCTCGAGACCAATAAACGCAGATTAGGCGCCTTGTTGACATGCACACAGTGGTATCCCGGAAGAACTTGTTTTCCCTTTCATCTGCATCTCTCGAACAGTAGGGTTTTTGGCACACTGGAAGGAGCAAATGGGTATGTGCCTGCCTTCCATTCCCTGTGCATTGCGCTTTCTGTCACAGCCAAGCTAACACTGCCTGTCCAGCTACTTCTCCTACGCCGTGGAGACCGCAACAAATTTACGTCGGGCCACCGGTACAGCGGGCGGCCAAACTTTGAATTCGAAGATTATACTCGTTAGACGTTTAATGATAGCGGACTTTCTATTACAGCAATTATAATCCATTCTTCTCATCTCCTTTCCAAAGGATTTCAAACAGAGCCGTTGCCCGCGCCTCCTTTTGGGTCTCTATCATCTGGATCACCGCGTCGACCGTGTCTTCGTCATACGTTAACCGCAAATTCTTGATGACTTTCTCCTTCACCGTGCGCTGGGTACCATCATGCTTAGGGTTTCCGAGCGGGAATTCAATGATCACCTCATCGCTCTTGGTTCCATCAAGAAGTTCAATGCTGACGGCGCTTGCCATACTTCTCACGGCAGGGTCATGGTAATCGGCAGAAAATTTCTCATCTTCAACAACAACAAAGCGCTGCCTCAAAAAATCGATTCTCTCGTCTTTAGCCCAAGGCGACTCGTCGCTGTAATCACCGTATTCCGGGGGCGACCCTTTCAGCAAGGCCAAGGCCATCATAAACTCCAAACAGTGGTCTCGATCTGCCGCATTGGCCAACCTCATGCTAGCCGGCTTGCTGATGATGAGCACAGCGCCATTGTGCGTACGAACGTTCACTCGAGCCACCTTGTTCACATCCCACGCTACCCCTCTTTTGTCCCAATCTTGTCGGATCCGCACGCAGGCCTCGACAGCAGTAAGCGAGTGGCCTTCGCACGGCATGAGCTTGTAGAAGACGTTTTTGATCACATAGGTTCCGAATTGCGCCGGCTGCGGGCCCCCGAGCTCTAACGCCTTCGAGCAGCCGTTAGCACTCTGGGGCTCCGCTCCTCTACTTGCTCCCATCACCACGTCATGGAATCCCCATCGTGGGGCTGACAGGGCGGTTGGCGCTCCGGGTTGCCCATTCAACGCTAAAAGGGCGAGCTGGACGGCACGGCTGCTGGCACTTGCGCCGGCCCAGCCTTTCCGTGGGATCGTGTTTGGGGCGTGGCGATAGGTTCGAAGGGGAGCGTTGTCGAGAATGCAAAACGAGAGCGCTGCCAAGGCTTGTTCCTGGGCGAGGCCGAGGAATGAAGGGCCGCTGATGACAGCGCAGCAGGCAAGCTGTTCGAAGAATACATGGTCGAGGCCGCGCTGATTGAGGCTGTTGGCTAATTGCAGACGGCCTTGGATTTCGTAGGATTTGATCAGTGCGGCCAGGAGATCGTCGATGGTGACCGCCTTCTTCTCTGCCCGCGAGACATAGTCGGCTACGGCGCAGATGGCGCCCAGCGTATCTTGTGAAACCGTGAGTGAAGTTGCAGGGCAATGCTAGGGGCTGAAGCTAATTTTAAAAAAAAAATTAAACATACCAGATGGGTGGCCCCACTCCAGCCCTGTGAACCCGTCGTTGTGGTCCAGATACCGAATTAACACACTGAAGTCGAAAGCACCTTTCACAGGGTCCAAAGTCAGGCCTGTGCCGGGCAATCGAAAGCCATTGGGGACAACTGTGCCTAGCACATAATGACCAATCAATTTGTGCACGTCCTGGTTGGTTGCAAGGCTTTCAGAGGCACAGCCCAGGGCATCCAGGAGGGAAAACCTTGCCATATTGAAGGCTTGATCATCTTTCGATATGTCGCCATGATACACGTAATCAACTATCTGAACGAGAAGGGTGTCGTACTTGTTCACTGTGTGACTATCCATTGCTAACTCCTTCTCTTTTCTTCTTTCGTCCGGCTTATCCAGACAGGCAGGAAGAAGAGTGAAATGTAAGGGGGCAGCTGATCGCCTACGAAACTTCCAAACTGCCGGAACGAGGGACTCACTGCATACACACATTCAGACGAAACCGCAATTACGGTAACAGTTGTAATTGAAATACAGCTGACGATGACGTTGCCACTGTATATTCTGTACATTGCGGTACGAGAAGCTCGAGTCCCCGCTATGAACCCCTTAAGTGGGGGCCGAATACTGTTAATCACCGAACCGTCGGCAATTACAGCTCCGGCCTGCTCATACGAAGGATTCTACGCCTTTATCTGACGCTAATCCTGACAGTCGGGATTCTTGATCGAGGAAAATTCCAGAGCACTAGGTACACGTGGCAAGGGCGGGTCCCCCAAGAGCTCAATTGTCACGAACGACCCGCCTCTCATGTACTTTACACGTGTATATGCGCGGCTAAGTCTCTCTTTGGTAGGTCGTCCTCAAGAAAAGGAAACCCGGTGGCTCCGGGTGGCATTGGACTGAAAGAAAGAATCGCTCTCTTGCAACGGACCGCGATAATAGGCTAGATCTGTCCAATCTTGATTTGGTCATGCATCTCCTTTCCTTTTGGCTCAACCGCCAAATCCCTGATGGTGATCCAATTATCGGTCTCCACCCCTGCCCAGTCAGCAATGAGCATGGTGCATGATCGGACGGCGTTACATTCCTCGTCGCTCGCGCCGTTCTTGCGTAGGCCGACCAAGTGCCGCCGAGACGTGCCCAGAAGCCCCATGCACGCCATGCAGGAATAGGACATAATGGTCGTTTCTTGGCGATTCAGGATTCTTTCATCTGAGAGGAAGATCCCATAGATGATGTTGTCGGCTGTCCAGGTGATGTCGGTCCTCATGCTACCCCAGCTCGCCATGATATCCTCGAACCGGTCCTCGCCGTAGATGGCATGACACAGCTCTCGCCCGCGGGCTCTTGTTTCCGGAGACATGGTCTCGCCCTCCCTAAGAAAGGTTAGTTGGAGGTCCGAGGGGTAACTCGCAAGGTCCCACCGGGTTATTTACTTGCTAAACGAGTCGTCTGCATCCTCCGGTGCCTCCACCGTTGCGAGCGCCCGGACGGCGGTGATCACCTTGGGAATCCCAACCACCGTCCATTGCTTTAACATCTGCTCTCGCAGTCGGCGACTCAGTACCTTGCGCTGCTCATGAGTAGACCATTCTGGTTGAGCAATGAGGAATTCGTAGAGAAAATTGATGTTTGCGGGGTTAGATACGGTGATCAGGGCAGAGGCCTGGGATTGATGTGAGCAAGAATGACTGCAACGTCGTCTCATCTAAGGGGGCGCTTTACCGCCAGAATGTACCAGCCATGCGGACTAATAGAGCTTGGGAATTCATCTTTGATTTGGCGAAACAGCGCGGGAAGCTTGGAAGTATCGGGTGCCATGTTGACGAGTAACTACCGCAAACAGTTCAGATGATCCAAAATGGTAAAATATGATCTTCACGTTCAACTGAGAGAGTTAAAGCTTAATCCCCCGCCTTCGAGAAACCTGCAAAAGACCTCGCATCTGCGTAAACCAAACCCCCCCCCCCACGGAAGCCAAGATACCGCTAAATGTGGAAACCATGATATTGGTAATACAGTAATCCTAAGCGGTACGTATTCGGTGTACTGGGTGTGTATTTCAAAATTACCAAATTCTCGGGGTTCTGGAAACCCGCGGGTTCAGTCCTCCCGGGGCAGATGTACATATACATTTCAGAAAAGTCCTGGCAATCCTTGGCAGTCTCGGTCCGTTCTGGTGCTCAGTCCTCGCCGCTTTTAATCACTGAGTCTGATCTCTGATCGATCTGGCCCCGGGGCCCGATCAGAGAGTATTATGTAATCTCTCGATCCGCTTAAACTAGCGCGGTCCCGGGTCGGGCTCTCAACTGCCCCGCGGTTCCCCAAAGCGAGCTAGACCACTCTCGTCTGACTTGTCATTCTATGATCCACCGTAAGTATAGATCACGATGGCTCGCTAGAGAAAGTCGTACATCTTCTGAGTAACAGGCCTGTTGAGGAACGAGCCTGATGGGGATCTTAAAAGAGAGGTGGAAATCTTGAAATAGTATTCTAAACACTTAACGATAACTTTGGCGACGATGAGATTGTGAATCATGGCTAATGTCACAATAGAGCCCTTATGGTGTAGAAGTGACATGTATCCAATGGCGCTGGTATAACTAGGAGGTGGGATATCTAAAAGCCTGTTTGAGCTAAAAGTTGTATGAATCCTATCATTGTTAGGCTCGGATAGGGGATAGGATACTACTGAAGGAGGCCACTACTACTACGAGCTTGGGGTCGAATAACTCGATGGTAGCAACATACCCAAACTAACCGCTTGGGAAACCTTCCGGTTCCCTTCGCGATTGCTTCATATATTGTGGGTTTTGTTTAGCGAGCCCTTGTGGGGGTCTAATCTATACAATATGTGCGCCGAGCCTTCTCCGAGTTCCCTCCGCGGCTCCCGAGGCGCCTTCGTAGCTAAACAAAGCGTGTCGTGACAATTTAACCCTTTAGGAGACTGCCAGATGGAGATGGGAGATAAGTAAGGGAACTACCGGATTTGGTTGGCACCAGTTGCCCAGGCAAGCAAATGGTAATCAATGGAGAATTCACGATGGTGTTCCCGATATCATTCCGGTTGAACAGAGCCTGAAACTCAATCTTCCAGCTAAAACAGACTGACTGCTTTTATAGGGTGGTTCGCCGGTGGATTCGTCTCAAGTTAGGTTTCCATGCGAAGGAGCATTTCTGGGCTGGTGTTCCGCCAACTGAGCCAAAAGACCACCATATCCGCACTCTCGACACACCTTACATAGTACAACCCCTCACTGGGCTCCGTGATATTCCAACCTTACTTCTACGAATGAATATGAGGTGACTCTTTGGCCCCTGCTCCAACTCGCAACAGATCGATTCACCTTCGGACTAAAGGCGATTTGATATCCCGTCAAAGAGGATTCAACACCGCTTGTATGGCAATCCGCCGCCGAATCCGTTGTTACTTAACATGTAATCAAATGTCTTTACTTATTTCTACCAATTAAGAGCCAAGAAACAATCACAACCGGAAGTCACTACAGAGAATGTAAAGATTTTCCCTCACTATCGAATACGTAGGCCTAATAAACAACCGTCCCACATGCCTTGCTATATTTTACAGCTTCCTTTTCCAGGCCTATCTTTCGCCGGTCGCGTTTCTGTTGTAATAATTTCTCCTTAACGCTATAACTGCTTGTTTTCCCTCGAGGGATTGTTGATATTATCCTTGTAGTATATATTGTTGGCTGATAAGAAGAGGGTAAAGAAAGTGTTAGTTTCATTTTGTCACCGCTCACTCGATTCTGCCTCCTGCCACCGCCCTGATGCTGGAAGAGGAACCGTCCGAACTACGAGGTGGGCATAGATGGGATGGAGGTTTGCGTAGGAGTAGATAGGCCGCTACAGTAGCTCCTCCCTCTTGTCCTTCTCCTCTCCCCCTCTAGTTCTAGTATCTCGAATACGAGCGCCGTTGCTGGTTCTTCCTGTTCCCCAACGTAGGCCACCATTGACACATTTGGCCTGACAGGTTCTGAAATGTATACAGGAGGGCTTTCGGCTTTATGCATATCCCAAGAACGCCATTTCTTTACTTCTGGGAATTTATAGAATCTTTCAGATTTCCGCACATCTGAGAAGGCAAGCGGAAGGTAATGACCTATAGATAGTACAATGGCGCGAGGTGTAGCCTGGACTGGCCCAGTCGTTGAAACGGGATACGGTCACTTTTACTCTTGAAAAGCTTCGGCTGCGTCATGCAACTCAATCATCTCGCCAATTGTATATCGTCTAAGTATATATAGGAAGATACAAGCTTTAAACGATAGTTGAATCTATGTCTGTCACGGGCCAGGGCCCGGTGTTGATCACGTAGGACACGTGACCTCGGCGTACTAATAGCGGAGGACCGGCGCATTGAACTCCTTTCCTTAAGTTTATCGAACACAGTTCGTGACCTAGTATAGATTGAATCAAGTCTTGCTTTAGCCCTTCACAATGTCAGTATTTACATCCTTACGTTCATCAAATCTACCACAATTCAGAGATAGGTATGCAGGGATCCTATGTATACATGGTGGAATCATCAGTAGTAAGAAAGCTATTGTTCATTTGGATATAATGAGAAAGCTACCTTTCTTTTTCTTGACCCCAATGTACCATGTCAAAGGTCCTGTAGATCGTGTCTCCATCCGTTCGTCCTGGATACTTCAAGCAGATCTCTGACGTATCTGTCATTTGCTCATAGGGACGGCCCTCTTGGCTTAGGGCACGGTTCCCTCTTCGTGTATTCCGGACTCTGAATCGGAGATGAGTCTAGTTAGACTCGGTCAAATATCGGTGGATGTGGGCCCGCAAATGGAGAAAACCAGCCAATCGAGGCCCGTTTAGGTCTGTGGGGCTGTAGATATCCTTGTTTCGAGGCGTTATTCAGCGAGTCTGTAACACCTCGTCGGACAGATCGGGACTTCATACAGATCGGGCCTTCATAACATCTTGGCGGCTCATTGGAATGGGGTATTTAAATCTCTATTCACTCGCCGCATGAACAAGTTTTGTGTATCATGATTTGAACTGGGACTATCATCCATCATCAAACCTTTGTCTGCCGTTTCAGGCCTTCGAAACGCTACTTCATAAAACTATGTTATTTTTCTACTTCTTTGCTCTCAATATAGGCACAGCCTGGAGTGCTCTCACAAACAAGACAAACTGTGGGAACGATTTGTGCACTTGGTGGCATGATACAGGCGAGATTAACCGAAACGCCCCTGTTCAACCTGGGAATGTTCGCCAGTCTCATCGATATTCCGTGCAGGTCAGCGTCGCCGGCCGTGATGAGTTCCTTGATTCCTTCGTCCATGAGACAATTCCTCGGAATGGCAATGGCAGAATTTCGGCTCCGTCTGATGCCCCCAATAGCAACACGCTTGAGGACTCGACCGATGACGGGATCTCCATTGAGCCCAGTATTGGCCTGAACATGGCATGGACGCAATTTGAGTATAGTCAAGATGTCGACCTCAAGATCTCTACCATTGATGGGTCCCCTTTGGGGTCCCCAGAGGATGTGATTATTCGACCTACTTCTATCAAATACTCCATCACATCGTCGGATAGCGGGGATATTCTCGTCCGGATTCCCTATGATCAGAATGGACGCAAGTTCTCTATTGAGTTCAAGAATGATCTATACACCTTCCGCTCTGATGGAAAACAATACGTTTCGTCTGGAGGTGACGTTGTGGGGATTGAACCGACCAACGCCCTCGTCATTTTTGCCAGCACTTTTCTCCCCTCGAGCATGATTCCTGCGATGAACTCGGATAATACCCAGACTATGACACCTGGTCCAATCCGCCAAGGAGATTGGGGTGCCAAGCCCATTCTTTATTTTCCTCCGGGTGTCTACTACATGGATGAGGATACCAATGGTGTCTCTGGAAAATTAGGCTCAAGCCATATGATCCTCGATCCACAGACTTACTGGGTATATATTGCCCCCGGTGCATACGTCAAAGGCGCTATTGAGTATACCACACATGCATCGAAATTCTATGCCACGGGACATGGTGTTCTCTCAGGAGAGCACTACGTCTATCAGGCTAACGTGGATAAGTCTTACACTAGTCACAAGAGTGACGCAACCAGCCTGCGGATGTGGTGGCATAACAGTATCCAGAGTGGCCAGAAATGGTTCTGTCATGGCCCAACTGTCAACGCGCCCCCATTCAACACAATGGACTTCAACGGGGATGTGAACAGCATCAGCAGCGAGATCACCGATTATAAACAAGTCGGCGCATACTTTTTCCAGACTGACGGCCCGCAAATCTATCCTAACAGCGTTGTTCGGGATGTCTTCTGGCATGTCAATGACGATGCTTTGAAGATCTACTATAGCGGCGCTTCAGTGTCCCGTGCCACTATCTGGAAGTGTTTGAATGATCCTATCATCCAAATGGGCTGGACGACTCGAAATGCTCACGGGGTCACCATCAATACACTGAATGTGATTCATACTCGCTATAGGAATTCCCAAACCGATGTGCCAACGACTATCATTGGGGCCTCCCCGTTCTATCAAGGCGGAAAGGCCGATCCAAAGCAGTCTATTAGTCTTACAGTGTCAAAATTGATCTGCGAAGGACCATGTCCATCACTTGTCCGCATTGTCCCTCTGCAGAGTTATCGGGATTTTGTTGTAGAGAATGTTGCTTTCCCGGATGGTCTGCAGAGAAATTCTATTGGCATTGGCCAGAGTATTATCCCAGCGGCTCCTGGAGTGGAGATGGACTTACAGATATCGAATTGGACGGTGGGAGGAGAGCGTGTCACCATGAAGAATTTCCAGTCTGGCGATCTTGGCCAATTGAATATCGATGAGAGTTATTGGGGGCAATGGAGTATTTCTTGATGGCTTCTGGTGCTTTCTATTCAACATGCACGGCACCAACTGAGATGATTCAGTCCTTGCGGGCCCTCTTTGCTTCTTTCTGTCGACATATCTCATTTTTCATGCTGTCCTAAAGCACTTCACTAGGTTTCTGTCTTCTTAAAACAGGACATGTCCTTACCGACACTATTTGTGGGGCAGCGGTTTCGTAGCAGTAGTGAATGTCAAGTAATAACTTACGGGATGGGTTTTATTCAACCTCAGGGCGTTCTTGTAGATGATCTGAGCTTACATAGTTGGGGGCATCGGTTTTTAGTTGACCCTGCCATCCTGTAATCTGTCATTACACACTTTGAAATTTGAAATTTTTCCTTCTTTTCTCTTTTCTTACTTTCTTGGGAAAGAAATATTGGAAAGAAACATTGCATAAAAAGCCCAGTCATCCTTCTGCTGTGCTACTCTCTTAGATCACATTCCACATGTGGATTTGAAGTAACAATGCTCGAATGTGCTGGTGCGGGCGTTTCAACGGGATGGTGTTCCAGGTTTCTGGGCCACCGCCACAACTCGAGGCATAGAAAGCGCCACACCATGCCTAGCTTCATCCTCGACATCCTCAAGCAACTTCCTAATATTCGCCGCATCTTCGGTCATAGACTTCTTATCGAGAGACTTTGCAAACTCTTCCATTGTCGCCAGATGCTGCTCTCCATTTGCAGTGATAAGATCGCATCGATCCCGAAAGTGGTAAAGATGCGCTCCTGTAAACCCATTCTGCTCCAAGATACTTGCCAAATTCATGACCCAATCATGGCGACCGCTTGAGTACACGAACTGGCGCAACCGGTCAAAAGCCGGTGTCTCTCTCGTGCTGTCTGCCTTTTCAACATGGGTATCGGGATAGTTGAGGTCGTCCCATTGGATATATCCTCCGGGCTTGAGCAGACGGGCGACGTTTCGAATAACCGGTACGGGGTCGCTGTTTTCCACCACAAGAATGAGGAGGCGGAGGTGAACAACGTCATATTTTCCCACCAGATTCTCCGGCGCGGGGTCGAATACGCTCCAATTGTGCAGTGTGAGACCTTTTGGTAGCCATTGTGCGGGTGGAGTATTGGAGAGGTCAATGTCGAAGCCATCTAGTGTGGCGTCTGGAGCGGAACGAGCAACGTCAAGGAGCCAAATGGAGGTTCCGGTGCCAACATCTGCGATGGCTGGAGCTGAAGGTATCGGGATCGAGGGGTGGATGTTGAACTGGAGGGACTCTTTCCACAAATAGAACTGAAAGTTAAGACGGCATGCGGCTGCATGGCCTCGGCCAAGCATGTAGCCTTTGCTATCTGCAAGGTGGAATCCAGATTCAATGGTTGAAGACATCATGAAAGGAAAATGCGGTCAACGCAAGTTGAACGGACAGTGTTCTTGGATTTCCCGCTCGAAATAAATGATGGACCAGCGCTCCTGCGACGCTAAAGGGTTTCGGGATTTAAAATCCGCCTACAAAGGATATGCAGAAGGCGAAGCTTCTAACTAACACCATGTTAGGCCGTCCGGTGCGCATCTCACAATTCCGGGTACCGAAATGGGGGCGAGGAAGCTTCGCCTTGGCCCCATGGTCTGGGCTCACCTAGGGCGAATTTTAGTCTGTTTATCGGTAGGAAAAGTGGGGATTCGATTCAGATTGAAAAAGAAGAATGGCATAAGTGGAACTTGGCACTTCATTTTAGTGGCTGATCGCCTGGTTCAGCCTCGCAGGAAGGTTGAACTAGTTATTTGGGAGATAACGCCCGCCAGCCGGCGCTTACTAGTGCGGTCTTATCATCAATATAAATTTCAACATCCGAGGTCTTTTACATACATTCCACTTTCTTTGCGTCTCATATCAATACATCATGGATTCCCTCCTTGTTGGGCTAGCCGTCGGCGAGGGCACAGGCCCGGAGTTGATGGGCATTTTTGAGAAAGTCATCACGGCCTTGGCCAGTCCCTACAACCTGAAACTTCAGTTCATTAAATCGTCACGAAAATATCATTCATATTCGTCTCTACTGGCCACCAATGACACAGATGTTCTAGCCGAAGAAACACTCATCGATGCAGACCACTATGAGCAATTCTGCCATGAAGTGTCCAAGCTCGGCGTTCGTGCAATTTTCCGAACCTCCATTAGTGCGCAGGCTCTGTATATGGTCCGAGACCGACTACAAGCCGTCAAGGTTGAGCATTTCAACGTGAGTTCGTCGTCATCCCTCATGCTGGTCCGTGACCAAGCACAAGGGTACTACTCAGGCGTGAACGAGATCGATGCCAAGGGCACCACCGTGACGAGGAACTCGTATTTCTCGAAAGCTGTCTTCGAACAAGTACTTGCTTTCTCCATTGCACGCGCTCGAGAAGTCTGGGGGCCCGATGTCCCCATCAATACCGTCACACTGGTGTACAAGTTCCACTTGTTCGACGGATTGTTCCACTCATGGTCACAAGAATGGAAGAAAACTTACGGCGTCGACGTAAAGTTCATCCAAGGCGATACCATGAACCGCAACATCCTTGCTTTCGGCATTCAGGGGCACCAGCTTCTCATCGCCGCCAATGAATACGCGGACATCATGCAAACGATCTTGCTAGACCGGTTCGGGTACGGGGCCCAGGAAGGCGCTTGCGCAGAGAACATCTATCTCGCAGCCCCAGCGGGCTATCTCAGTGAATACCAAACAGCCCACGGCTCTGCCGATGATATCACCAACAAGGGAATTGTGAACCCTTCGGCCACCATCCGTGCCGCAGGCGCACTGTTGGAGCGCCATGGCGCCTGCGGAGGACTTCGACACCAAGTGGATCTTGCCTTGCACAGCATCTACGTGAAGAACATCCGAACGCCTGACCAGAAGGGCACCTCAAAAACGACAGAGTTTGTGGAAGCTTTCTTGCAGGCTATCGCCCCCAATCTTCCTTCCAGTGCCGATGCCACGTATCTCCACGGGAGTGGATCTGTGGCGCTGAGCCGCCCCCGTGGCAAATCGTGCTTTATGGTAATGGATTTCCAAAACGACTTCATGGCACGGTACAAGGCACCCGACGTGATCGATCGACTCAAGGAGACCGTTCCGCGGGCTGTGGACTGGGCGCGTAAGCAGAACATGGAGGTCGCGTTTGTCCGGTTCCTCGGAGACGAAAAGTACCAGCCACGAACGTGGCTACACCGCAACAAGGCGCAGGGCCGAGAGCCATGGTGTCTGGAGGGGAGCTTCGGAGCCGCCATTGCAAGTTGTGTTCCTGTGCAGCCACAGGATCAGATTTTCGACAAAAAGGCCCACTACGACCCGTTTCTCTCGCCCGAATTTGAACGCTATGCCAAACAATTCGATCATCTTGTGGTAGTGGGGCTTTACGCGGATATATGTGTGGATGCTGCTGTTCGAGGGGCCTTCCAGCGGGGGATATGGACAACCGTGATTCAAGAGTGTACGACAGGGTTACATTTGTCTGCGGAGCAGAGCTTCTCGTATATGCAAGCGGTTTACGGAAGCCAGGTCATTTCGATTAATGACTTGGTTTCAACGAACCGAGTTGCAAATCTGTAGAGGAGTTATTAATACCTAAAGCCACTGACGATCAAACTATAATTGACTTTGCTGCTTAGTGAAGGTTCACTATTATGGCGTAGTCTCTTAGAGCACTCCTGCTTGAACGCAAGAAGGAGGTTAGGCTTGAAACAAGCACGCCATGCAATGGTAGTTGACTAAGTAGTGGCTGGTTCAGCAATCTGGACCAAGTCATCAAGAGCGTTGGCTATATTTCATCTGTGAAGTAAAGAACGTAGACGATGAGATCCGTTCAGTTTCCAGGACCACGTGGAAAAAAAATCTAGCTGGAAGGTCCCCCTTGGCCCCCATCCTGAATCCTGCCCGAAGGCTGCCAATTCCAATAGCGGCTACTTCGTATAATAAGCAGGGTTTCAGTGATACGGTAGTGCGTTGGGGGCGCTAAGGCGCATACCACATACTATATTTTTGTGGGAGCTAAAGTTGGGGGCCATGTAGCCAAGCCTCCAGCCTGCATATATCACGCGGGATACGAACAGCCATCGTGGGAGATCCAGTGTCTACCAAACCATGTCTGCACAGGCCGCTATAGATTGCTCGGTCTGGTACCAACCAGAGATCGGCAACCGATTAAAGCCAGAGACCCGATTCGTCTTCCGTGAGTGGAGCGGCTTGTCGGATGAGGATCTAGTGGCGCATCTTCATCGCATCGTAAGCACTAAACCGTTCCCCCCCCCCCGACGCCATTGAGGACTGCGAAGGAATGTGTGGCTGAAGTGATTCTTCTGTCCCTTGTTCCTGTTCCAAGCCCCCGAGGTTCGACCGGACTGACCGTTCGTACAGCGCGACCAGGCATGGCCTCTAGGAAATACCCGTGCATCGGACTTTGGATGTTTCTCCTACCGGGGATTGCAGGATTCGCCGAATTCCCCAGCGTGCTTGAAGTTGCCCGGCGGCCCCATGCAAACATACTAGATCTTGGATGCGGTCTCGGCCAGGATCTACGATTGCTAGCCGCCCATGGAGTCCCAACCGAGCGCATGTGGGCCCTGGACATCGAGGCCCAGTTGTGGAATCTGGGCTTTGAACTATTTCGCGACCAGGGTCGCATGCATGCAGGCTTTATTCAGGCTGATTTCCAAACGACCGATTTGTGCGACACTAGCCCACTTGGTGCATTAACGGGTAAAGTGGATTTGATTATGGCTTCGCAATTCCTGCACTTGTTCGACTGGGAGGGCCAGTTGGCGGCAAGCAAGAAAATCGTCGGCTTGTCGAAGCCGGGGACCATGCTGGTGGGGTTTCAGCAAGGCCGAGAACAGGCAAGGGAGTATATTCGGCCGTGGGGGATGATGTTCTATCATAACCGCGAGTCTTTCCTCCGCCTTTGGGAGTCTGTTCAGAAGCAAACGGGGACGCGATGGAAAATACAGGTGGCGGCTGTTCCATTGCAAGACTGGGGAATGGAGGATGAGGACCTAACTTGGATGCCAGAAGACCGTATCGGTATGAACTTCTTGCTGACTAGAGAAGAATAGCCTGTGGAATATGTTCTAAGTCCGGGTGGGATCTGAATAGATTTCCAGGATTTCTCAAACCATCTATCCTTGTCCATCTTCTTCGCTAGATACTCAATCTTCTATGTAATTTAGGGAAGCTCACTGATAACCTCCCGAATCAGCGCTAGGGTTTCATCCTTGCGGTTAAGGAAAGGCGCGCAATGGCTGCAAGCGATCTCTTTGACAATCCACTCTTTCTGAGACCCAGCCATCATGCCATACTGAGCTTCCTTCGGGACAGCCGGATCATTCGCGGTCACAATAAATGCCAAACGTCCCTTGAACTCCTCGTCCGCCCAAGCAGGATGTGGCTGGGGAGCGGTAAATGCCAATGAAGAATGAGGTTTGATCTCCGACACAAGGAGCTTGGCCAACTCAGGCTCGACATCCGCGGCAAAATTTCCCACCGGGTCATCGGGGAGGTTGAGGTTTGGCGATGGCTGCAGGTGATCGGTTAAATTCCGAAACAGTAATATGTAACCCACGTCTACTTACATTGTCAAGGAGGATCCAAAGGGGCAGATTCCCACCTTGCAGACCTGCACAGCTAAGGCCCTCAGGAACTACAAACGCCCCAATAAATACGAGGCCCATGACACCGCCCGCTTTGCCCTCTTTGGCCCGCTGGGTTTTACTCAAACGAGTGGCTGCAGCTGCTCCAGGCATACCCGCATAGGAATGAAGAATGATTAAGACATCTTTTCCCTCTTCCTCCACGAGGGGTTTTAGTGTTGAAGCAATTGCCTTCGTGTCGGCCTCAACATCTTGTGCCGTAGGATCCTTAGGGTCTAGAGATGGATACGCAGCAAAGCGAGTATCATAGCCAGCGCCACTTAGTGTTTGAAGGAATGGCTCATAGGCGGCAAGTGTGATCCAGGCCCCGGGGACGAAGAGAATAGTGGTCATGCTGGGTGAGATATGAAAATGAGGTAAGAAGAAGCGAAATAGCTCAAGTATTATCGGGCGACCTTGGCCTTAATTTAAAGACCCAGGGCACCCGCCCGCGTTCGCAAAATCCTAGGTACCCTTGCTCTGCATGAGGGGTTCCATAGACAGGTAGCAAATGAGCATTCTTTGTGGGTGACAGGCAAATCTGAATTTCACGTCTCGACAACAGATTCCAGCACGAAACAAAGAATCCTACCCCGCCCCCGGGGGGCCATAATGTGGCCAGATTATCCACTAGCCGGGCCCGTTCGAAAAGACCCTGTACGGAGTCCGACCCTGGTAATTATTGCTAATTTCAGATTTCCCAGGGCGCTAGGTTTGTCATGCAACGTGGAAAAAAAGGGTTTGCCTCGCCCAGGCACCGTGCCAGGGCGGGCAGCACAGCCATCGATATTCCGGTGGATCTGCGACCATCTGAGGTAGCGCGGGGGCCAAAAGCCCATAAGCATGAACCCCGAGATTATGATCGTATTCGACGCGACTATACCAATGCAGATTATTTAGACTCACGTATCCCTATCTGGTTGGAAGTCCTAATCCACCCTCTGGTACTGGCTGGACCCTCTTGGCACGCTCTTCATCAAGATGGATCTAACCCCTCCTCCCGGCATAGACCTGAAAGAATCGAAGCAGGGCCAGCTATATGCCATCTACACTGTGACATACGCCCTAGCAGTGGCGGCGGTTATCTTAAGATTTCTATGTCGGCTGAGTGTGAAAAGGACTGCCCTATGGTGGGATGACTATATGAGTCTTCTTGCACTGGTACGAAAGAGTTTTTGTGGTCCCGGACCCGGCCCCATGGCGCTTCTTCACTATTTGGCAAGCATGCTAACGGAAAAAATTGGGCAGATATTCGCGACCGGGAACTATGTCGATATGATGATATGGGTGAAACGTGGTGTCGGAACTCATATCTACCGATGGGGCTTAGCCGGCGTCTCGCACTTCTACATAAATCTGTTTGTTTGCGAGATCTTCTACACGCTAGCTTTATGTGTGAACAAATATTCGATCCTCCTCTTCTTCTGGCGGATTTTCAAAAGTACCAGCATTTCCATCCCGATCTACGTGCTGGCGGGCATAATTACGGCCTGGGGTTTGGGTGTGGTATGATAGAAGTCACCGCGGTTGCTTCCATGTCCTCATAGCTCACTGATTTTCTCACTAGATTCTTACCACTGTCTTTCAATGCATACCTCTCGAGGGTCTTTGGAACTACAATGTTCAAGCGCACTGCGGCGTCGATATCAACAACTTTTTCATTGGAAATGCAGTACCCAATATCATTACAGACTGGGCCTTGCTCATTTTACCGCTTCCTTACGTGTGGTCGATCCACCGCAATACGGTACAAAAGATTGCTTTATGCGCGACATTTGCGATTGGAGGCTTGTATGCGACCCACTACACCAGGAAGACCTTGAGAATAGCTCCAAGGCTACGAGATCGCGATTGCTAATTTATCTAGTATATGCATCATTTCTATTGTCCGTTTGGTCATCATGTTAGACGCCTATAAAGTGCCATCCAGTGACGTTACGTGGGTGTTTGTTGGCCCTTCAACTTGGACAGCTGTGGAAACGAATATTGGAATTGTTTCAGGTACATCAATATTCTCGAGCTGCCTTTCACTCGGATCATTCGTATCGTATGCTGACTACTTCAATTCCAGCCTGCCTGCCCTCTCTTCGCCCTCTGCTCAGAATGGCGACCCGTAAAATGGGCTATGAGGGCAACACAGAGGTTCCTAGCCATAAGCTCGTCCCGTACTCTGGGTACGCATCGGGGACAGGGAAGAATGGCGAGAGATTCACCAACAGCAGTCAACTCGATGGTCAGATTGATGTGACTACGGATCTGCGAGTCGATTATGGCCCCAGGTACAGCATGAGAAGTACGTAATGGATGCATCTTTGATCTACAACGTTTACGCTTTTCAAACCCAAAAATAATTGTCTTGATGCTCCATCTATCAAGCTACGCATATTGTCGCCTCCTTCATTTTTTCCAACGACAATGAGATACCTTCTCCGAAGGTTCCGTGCAATGTCCTGCACCGCCATCTTCATCGCCAGCCTCGGAAATGAGATACTTCAACACGGACCATCCTTCTTGCATACTGCGTACATCTCCGGACAGGTTAATCAGACGGGACTCCGACGGTGCTGCTTAGGTCACCTGATTCCTTGCCTATCCCTTCTAACTAATCTAATCACTGAGTCTAAGCCCGTGGGCGATCTCATAAAAGCGGCGGCAGGATAGCAAAACCCCACAGACATCATCTGGTCTATATAGTTACCTGTATGCATGCAGCCCTTAAACATGAATCTACGAATGGGGCTTCGAACGAGACTGACTTGGTCTTGATCTTGGGCTGAAGTTCGCAATCCAGCCGAAGCTATCTTTCGATTATTGGAGCAGCCAAGAGAACACCAGATCCAGTTGTACAGAGGAAGCGAGAAGGGGATTGTGTTCCACGGGGTTAATTGCTCAGCGTGACTGCGTCTATGTCTAGAGGTTCCACCCATAGTATATCGAATTTGACACAGGGGCTCAGTGGGTCCGGCATGGTTTCTTTGGACCAAAAGTTCCGTCGGTTTGCTCCAGACTAGCGCGTATCGGTCCAGATTGCCGCTTCCAAGCCTCACTTCGTACTGCACAGAGCTTGGACGCCACTGGTATTTTCACTTATATCGTGTTACTCTTTTGCCGCTTTGAAACGTCATATTGTGACTCGTGTCCTCATTGTGTTTCATGTGTGGAAACATCGTATCGAATCACCTATGGAAAGTATAGCGCGAAGGCTGCATCCATTGGCATCCTAGTCTGGGAATTTCAGTAATACCATACGAAATTTTACTAGTGAGTCTGCAATTTCTTAGTTTCTGGAGCTTTCGTCTCCATGGTAATTTTCGACAACTCAACCTTCCTCAGCGTAAACTGCGGCAATCAACTAACATCCACGTCCCGGGAGCTTTGCGAAGTGGCAGGAGTGAAGATACATGGCTGCATAGGACCACTGCCCGGTCCTTTCGAAGCAGTTTCATCCCTAGTAGGCTATGGCATCTATGGAAGGGACAGAGCGTATGAAGTGTTCTCTCCCACCCGCTTCTTGGCGACACCCAGGCCTTCATACCCCCACTGGCCTGCTCCTCTCGCATTGAAAATGCTTGCTGAATGCCTTGGTGATTCAGAGGCAGAATGCAATGAGCGACTGTGGGCTACACACAGATGGAAGTTACGCTTTGAACTAAAGCTGCGCCTTGTCTTTCAGGATCGTTCTTCCTCCGCCATCAACCACCAACTGCAGAATGGGGCTCCCGGCATTTATTAGATGAGTGGGTTGAAGATCAAAAACGTTTCAACTCAGACGATTGGACGAGCTTGCTTCTGAAGTCAAGGGAAGTTCCGCCTTTGCTCACATCTGTGTTGGGACGTACCTGTTTTCATGGAAACCACGAAGCTAGTGAGACCAAGTTTAACCCAGCACAGAGAAAATGACATTCAAACCCCCCGGTGAGCTGTAGGCGCCAGATAAATAGCTGTATCGTGCAATCTGGCGAGTATCGATGTGCCTGGGTGATCGAGTCGCATTCCGGGGTTCCTCGGGCGCGCGTCAAAGCGCCACTTTTTCGGCTCGCGTGGCGTTCTAGACTTTCCGAGTTGTCCAGGTCCTTTGACGTAGTGTTCGACCTTCGGAGAAGCCCATATTTCTCTGTGCCCTCGTGACTCTCTGTGGGTATCCGTTGGCGTCCAAGTGAACCGCCTCGCCTTATCAGACCTGGCACCCGAGACTCCACACGCGCACCGAGCTAGGCCTACGATGTCTGCACCCAACCGGGGAATCGCAGTAATATCAGGAGGAAGCGCTGCCAATAACCTGGTCGACGTGTTCGACGCGATCCGAAAAAGTAAAGACTGCCCCTTGAGCTACATCATCCCGATCAGCGACAATGGGGGCTCGTCATCGGAGCTGATTCGAATCTTCGGGGGACCAGGAATTGGCGACGTTCGAAGTATGTCACCGTCATTCCATTGAACCTTTCTAGCACGGTTGACACTATCCACCAGGTAGACTCGTGCGGCTTATCCCCGATTGCCCTAACAATCCAGAGAGAATGGCCGTGAAAGCTCTGTTCAATTCTCGCTTGCCAGCCGCCACGGCCGCCGCATCCCAGGATTGGCTTTCCATCGTAGACGGTACGTCCAACCTATGGGACTCCATTACGCCGGCAAAGAAAGAACTGATTCGGTCGTTCTTCAACATGCTCAACCTTGAGATACTCAAAAGGGCACGTCCGCCTTCGTCGACTTTTGACTTCACTTCCGCCAGCGTCGGCAACCTCTTCCTGACGGGCGCTCGCCTTTTCAGCGGGAGTTTTGAGAGCGCCATATATCTCTTCAGAAGCATTTGCGGCGTGCCAACAGATGTCGTACGTGTCATCCCGGCGATCAACTCGAACTTTTCGCATCACATCTCTGCCACCCTAGCCGATGGGACGGTCATTGTTGGCCAGAATAGCATTTCCCATCCCAGTGATGAGGCCTCCAGCAAAGATATCGGTAGGCGCCCCAGTCTCCTTCTCGCCGATGGAGACTGCTCAGAGGATACCGATTCTGATATTTCGGATGCTATTTCCTACGAGGAGGACCATCTCCCAGGGTCGCTCGCAACACTACGTAATAAGAACATCTCGTTCAGCAAAGCTAAAAACGAAGATTTGCCGTCTCGGATCAGTCGAATTTGGTACATCAACCCGTACGGGCAGGAAATACGCCCTCCGGCAAACCCCCGCGTGCTGGAAGCGCTGAACAATGCCCAGGCCATCATATACAGCATCGGCTCCCTATACACTTCCATCATCCCTGCCATTATCCTCCGGGGCGTGGGGAAGAGCATCATCAACAGCCCCGCTCGCCATAAAATCCTGATTCTCAACGGCTCTCTGGACCGAGAAACTGGGCCGATGGCTCGGCCCTTTGTAGCATCCGACTTCGTCGAAGCGATTGCACGCGCCGGCGAAGAAAGCCGCGGCCGGCAGCCCCATGATTTCCCACCTGGTCGTGATTCATCGGACCTGCCCACTTCTCCAGATACCATTCGGCCCTACAAGCCCATTCCGTACAACTTATACGTGACACACATTCTGCATTTGGATGGGCCGGGGACGCCCCGTGTGGACCGTGATCGGCTTACAGAAATGGGCATCGAGACACTCCGATTGTACGGTCGCAAAATCGCCTCGCAGGATGGTAGTCAAGAAACTCCTCTCGGCATGCAATATGATCCAAATGCATTGATACAGGCTCTCGAGGTAGTCCTGGGCAGGAAGGGTGACGCCATCGTCAGAGACGGAGTTGGGAGCGGACTGGGCCGGCGAATACACTGGATCCTGGTGGTCGAGAGAAACGATAGACGGCGATATTCCTCACGAGTATAGAATAGAAGAAAGACAAAACATCCACGCCTCATACCTTACGACGATGCAGTTCAAACCTGAAATTCAAGAATTTGCAGCTGACGTTATGTTGACCTATGACCGGTCCCCCCGTGAAAGCTCCCCTCGGATAGATTGAGCAGGGTGATTTGATCACCATGACGGTAGCCTAGTAACTCCCGGCTGATAATGTAGTGACTCTAACCGTAAGATCTTGGGCAGAGCAATCGTGGGATAATAGCTTTCTATCATCAGATTATGGCAGATGCGGTGGTTCAACTTCAGTGCAGTGTGATAGTAAGTTTCCCTATCTTCGCTAGACGATCTAGTTACTTCTTCCGTATTAATCAATCCAAGAAAAATGCATGGGGCAAGAAAGGAAGGCACTCCGTGGCAGCTCAATTGTGGTCCAAAACACCAGGCCAGGATCCAATCGACGAGTCTCAAATCTATTCTGAGGTAGTCCGATCTATTTGGAACCGGGGCATCTTTCACATCAATATGCTTACTATTTCTGCTTCTCCAGATGTGGATGGGCACACATCCTTCGAGTCCTTCATACCTTCTATATCTACCGGCGAACCCCTGGCAGAGTACCTAAGAGATAACCCCCAATTGGTGGGAAAGGCAGTTCTAGATCGATATGGACCAGAGATTCCGTTTTTCACCAAGGTATTCAAGTCCTATCCTTTCTGAATGAGGCGGATAGTTAGTTAATCCCCGGCAGATTATCTCCTTCGCTAAAGCGTTAAAGCTACAGATCCACCCGGACCGGACCCTCGCGCAACGACTTCACGAACAAGTCCCTGACAGGCCAGGAGACGTCAGGCGGAAGCCAGAGATCGCGATTGCCCTCTCAAAGTTCGAGCTGTTGGCGGGCTTCAAGCCGCTCGAAGATATCAGAGGACTGTTCAGACTAAGGCCCCTGGAGCAGTTTGTGCCTTCGCAATCCGACTTCACCAATGCAACGCTCAGACAAGTGTGCACAAATATTTCGAGTGCGAGTCCCGAAGATATCGCCTCAATAATCATTGAGCTACAATCCATTCCCGAGTCGCAGTTCGGAGCATACCCATATATTCCTGGCCTCTTATGTCGACTCAGTAAGCAGGACGCAGGGCCTGACAATGAGACTCTCCTGACCACGCTGCTAATGAACCATATCATCCTCGGACCCGGCGATGCTCTGTATGTCCCCGAGGATAGTGTGCATGTGTATCTAGAAGGGGACGTGATTGAATGCATGGCGAGATCAGACAGCGTGATCAGTACGGGCTTTTGCCCGGCACCGAGAGATGATAGCGAGCTATTCAAATCGCTGACATTCGTCCCACGCGGTGCGGAGACTGCCCTGCTCCCTCGTTGCAAGAGTGACAAAGGCGTGCATGGGAAGACAGACGCCTACGCGCCGCCGTCGAGCGAATTTACTGTGTTATGTACCTGTCTCGGTGCCGGCGAAAAGGAAAGCCACAAGGCGATCCGTGGGCCAAGCTTGGTGATCGTCGTAAAGGGCCATGGGGCTATGCAGATCCCCGGGAATGAAAGTGTTCGTCTGTCGGAGGGATACGTGTTCTTCGTGTGGACAGGGCGTTGCACTGCATTTGAGCTCCGATAAAGGCATTGCCATCTATCGCGCATATGCCGAATAGAAAGACTTGATTCAGACAAGATGGTTCCAGCTACTAGACTTAAATAGAGTTTCCCCCTCCAATCTTAATAATGAGGCGGTGGATGACGAGAAAGAGAGGGTTTAAAAGTACATTGGGTGGGATGAGAAGAGAGGAAGACAAGATATGACAAGATACCTGATCGAACGGGTTTATGGTCTATACCACTCGCTGTACAACCGTTCCTACCGGTCGCTCAACGACCGTCATAAGCCCTTCGACAATACTTTGTCGAGCGCCTTCGCTGGAGACCTTTTTGCCAGCCAAGTAGTTCAACCACACCAACCGGCTGACTCGCTCGTCCGTGACACGGCCCATCCACTGAATTGGCTGCTTGGGATCAGGCTGGAAGAGAGCATCCAGAGCACCGTGGGCACTGCGCAAAAGGAACAGTGTCTGGCCCTTTGGGACGCTCTTGCGTTGCCCACCTCCGAAGACAGCCTTGAATTCATTCATAGAAGATCCGAATGTTTCATCCTGGAATTCGCTTGGTCCATTGCCAGCGGGCTTTTGCTGAGCACGTGCCGTGATGCCACGAACCCACCCATCGCGAAGGTGCATGAAGTCCGTGTTGCGAGTGGGTACGATGCGGAATGCGGTACGAATCCCGTTCTCCTTGAGCAGGGCCGTCCAAGCGGCGTCGCCATGTTCTGGGTCTAGGGAGGAGGTCGTGGAGTTGTTTGCGCTCAGGGGGGACCAGGGAGGTTGCGGATTCAGCGCCAGCTCCGGATATAGCAGCCACATCATCGGATTTAGCCGTCGGTGGGTGGATTGCGGTGCGGAGAAGGCGCTGCTGCAGCTCTGTGATATCAGCCTTGGCGACATAGAAACCAACAACGTAAACCTGGATTGATAGGAAAGAGACACTTCGAATGCCGAGCCCGAGAAGTTGATACTCATCTCCTTCCGACGTGGAAAGAGTGTCTCCGGGCTGCTTGCTGGCCTCTTCGTCGACTGGGGGCAATCTGATTGTTGACGGGAAGAACGGCACCGAGCTATTGCCAGTGGGGATTTGGTCAACGCCGTCCTGGCCTTGGATCGGAATCACTGAAGGCCCTCCGTCGCTCGGGAACCCCGGCGGTCCGTCCATCCTCAATGCCCCCTTGGGGCTCATCATTGCGGGAGACGCATTCCGCTGTTCCGAGCTCTCGACTGACTTGTTTTCCTTGGCCGCTTCGAGGGCCTCCAATCCAAACACATCGGACTTGATGATTCCATAGACAGCAGCGGTACTAGCCAGCAGCCCACATGCAGACCAGATGATCGACCGTCGGTATTTTGCGAGCTGTTCTGCGTCGTTTGATTGGCTCGCTGAGGTACGAGCCCGCAGAGGGTTGCTGTTATGGGCGACCGACCGGGTTGCCGAGGGCAGACGGGAAAGGTGAAAGGGGGGGAGGACTGGGAGACACAGCGGTGCGCTCGCCGCACGGTCCGGAGTGATTGTGATGCCATTTTCAACCAGCTTTCGGAGGATTGGTTGATCGAGCAGGAATAAGTGACGCGCATCTGGAGATCATGCGGTCAAATCACGTGCCTGTCATCCGGGGTTTTAGGTTCGCGAATCATCTCTAGAGGATTGCAGATATGCAATACAGTGCGCTCTTCGCACATCTTGATCTCTAGTTAAAGCTCGAGATACACGCGCACGTGTCTTTCTTTGCGTCCGGTCACGTAAGACTGATGACCTTGTATCTCGAAATGAAGGACATCTGGATCCGGAAACGAAGGATAGAGACAACCACGGCCGGTACAATTGCGGGAGTTAATGAGATGAATACTCTGCCAAGATTTCTCTGGGAATTTGGTGGAGTTTACCGTGGCAGTCATGAAATAGAGATGTAGTAGATTAGACTACCCCCACCCTGTTGCCAAAATATATAACTAATACCCATTTATATCTTTGGACAGCTTCGATCGTGGTGGCAACCCGATACAGGCCATGTTGGCTGCAGTTGGCCTCTTATGGAAAGCCCTTGAGCCGAAGCTTGGAGTTCAGCAACCAAGAGTATGGCGTAGACGGTGTAGAATACTCGTACAGGATTAGAGCAGACGCGCACCCTTGTAATGCACATCACAAAGTCTAAAGCCAAATAAATGGAGCGATTGGCTCGGGCAGGCACGGGCAGCAAGTGATTGGCTGGCAGTCGATGGCGAATCGCCCCACAGCTCTTGAAGATCCATGAGGCCCAGATAAGCCCACATTAGAAAAAAAGCTCTTTCTCCTCCTGCTATTGAGCATTTGTAAAACCTCCAAACCCCCATGTCTCAGGTGGTCCACATCTCAGTCGATGCGCCAGCTGCCAGTGTAGACTCGGACAGACAACACCTTCGGTCTGGAATCCACCCACATTTACTCCAGAGCGCCAATCCCCTCAAAGGCCGCGAATTTCGTGCCTCCGGATTCATTCCGAAGGGTACTTGTCTGTTGATCGATCGCCCCTATGCAATCATCCCCGTCGTGGACGAACCAACCACCAACGACAATCTCATTTGCAGCAATCCCGCCTGTAATCAAGCCTCCCGTCTTGGCGAACGAGCCCATTGTCCTCAGTCATGCAGCCCTGATGTGGCATGGTGCAGTTCGTCCTGCAGGAGTGTCGACAAGAACCGCCATTCTTTCGAATGTACATGGCTGAAGAGATACGCATCGTCGATTAGAAAAAAATGGAGTGAGTATGATTTCGGTATGCTGTGGTTGGTAGTACGGATACTTGCCACTCGGCAGCTACTAGCGCCGCCTGTGCTCTGCGGGCCTGACGAGGTCAATTTCCACCAGACTTTGCACCAACCAAGCACATGGCGGGCGATCGACTCGTTATGTGGCTCTTCGCAGACTTGGCCCCATGACCGGGTCCGGTTCTGGAGTATTTTGGTAAAGAAATACTTGCAGAATAGCGACGCTCTACCCCACGGCATGACCAAAGACGCTCTTCTTCATTTGATATGTCAGGAGGAAGCGAATTCGTTCGGGCTTTATCCCCAAGAAACGGGGTCCTTCCCTGTGACGAAAGGTCAGTCTGATAGAGGCGAACAGTTCGCCGCAGCGGTTTATCCCGTCGCGGCTATACTGAACCATTCCTGCTCACCGAATGTAAGTACGCCCTACTCTTATTCGATATGGATAGCGACTCACGATTTTGTTCCGAAAAGATTGTACACAAACCTGATAGACATGGCCGCATGGTTTTCACGGCCTCGCGTGATATATATCCCGGTGAAGAATGCTGCATCGCTTACTTCGACTTGACTCAGTATAAGGACCTTTCTTCGCGCAGGAGCATCTACGAAAGGCCTTCGAGTTTATATGCCGATGCGAAAGATGTTCTTCTGAAGAGCCAGCCACTGTGGACAAGCATGAAGACTCGGACTGGGAGTGGTCTATGCTACCACTTCCCCTGTAAGGACGACATTATGCAAAGAGCGACCAGCATTTCACCAGGAGTACGGACGATAGCGACCATTACGCATGCTTAGAGACAAGATCTTAATAGATATGAAATAGAGATATTCCACAATCGAATTGACGAATTTCATTGTCAGACCTGTTATGGCTTTCATAGCCGAATAGCTGAGTGACACGATGGCGCAGTGAAAACAGCGCGGATGGTAGATTTTCTAGCCCAGCGGATACTGCCAGCGGGAGGTGAGCTTGCTACAAGCTGGGACGGCTATTGAACCATACCACTGCTCATTATGGGACAGCATAGCTTGAACTCGAGAGTGTCTGCAAGATAGATCTGCTCTAGCTTTTCAACATGGCATTTTGAAAAGCTTCTTGTCTCCATCTCAGCAAGTCGAACGTGGCTAATTATCGGGATCATAGGTTTTCTCCACTCTCATTGTTCCTCCCATCTCCGCTGGATTCATCCCATATTGGACGCGCAAGGTTCGTCAGCGGTCGAAGCTTCCACAGCCTCCATTTGCAAAGTGGTAAATGGTCGGAGTCCTAGAGCGGCATGGATTCCCATGCATTCCAATGGACTCGTCGAAGTGCGCGATGATATGAAGGTTAAGGGCACCCACAAAAGCTTTATGTCAATTTCAGAGAAAGTGATTACTCCTCGACAATGCGACGAGTAAGTCTGACCGGCACAAACGGATTGTCAAGCAACCCCTTTTCCTCCAAAGTTCGTGCCAATTCATCGCCATCTCGGTCAAAGTAGAGTGCCCACTGCCCTTCTTCTTCTTCCACTGCGATGAACGCCTCCCTTTCCTCCAGCGTGATCATTCGCTCGTCCTCTGTCCAATCCCAGGGACCGACAACGTGTGCTACACTCTGTGTGCGGTTTCCATATTTCAGCTCGTACGTATCTTTGTCTGCATAGATCCAGTTGAGAAGCGGAGGGTTTGCGGACACATAAGTAGGAAGCCCTAGGCCTCGCTTCAAATGTTTGGTCTCCTCCAGTTCAGGGTACTCGATGTAAAAGGCAAGAGATGTAAATGCAGGAATGGTGCGTTGAGAGGGGTCACGATGGTCCAGATAGACCTACATTCGGCGCATGGATTAGCAAATTGGACATGGGAGGAAAATGAAGCAGGAAGCCAAGAACCGACCTTGTCATTACGAACAACAGCTATCCGCCCATTGACATCGCGATCGTCGTCCGTGTCGCCTTCACATACAGCTTCGATGTTGAATTTCACCATGCGCCGCGCGTCTTCTTTTCTTTGATTGGATTTGCGCTGCTCGGTGACGGCAAATGATACCCCTGTCACCGTGGGAATCGAAGCTATAGTCAACAGTCCAATCACCATCTTGTCGGTCGGTGGATATGCGGCTCAGAGGTGGCTTTGAAGCGATACAGACCAAAGTCGCAACTTGTCGTGCGAAAAATCCTTGCGACACTTTGATTTTGGCCTTGGATGGGGTTTAGAAAACACTCTAAACAAAAAAGAGATTATCCATCGGGGTCGTCGACTTCTCCAGATTTTCGCATAGATTTATCCAAAATAGTTGCGGAGACCGATCTAACACCGACGTCATTAATACCCACGTGACGCTACGCTGGTTTTGTGCTCCAGAATCAGAGGAGGACATGATCGGTGAGCGAGTGATTCTTTCCAAGCACACTCTTCGATGATCTTCTATGGTTATTCTAATAGTCTGTCTATCGTGTATCATGATTTCGTTGTCTCGTGTCTCCATGCGTCATCGCGAACGCCGACTCATGCTGTGTTGCTCCATCCCCAGATGGACCACCAACACTTGACCTCGAGCACATCCCCATCAGCACCCTCCCAGTCATCATATCCAACCTCTTCACCTTCGTCCACTATCGACAGTCCCAGTTCCGTCATCCGCTCGCGAAACTCTCGAACTTGCGGCAGGTACGGTCCCCGGAGCGGCATCTCAACCACAACCCGCGCGTGCTTCTTTCGCCTCAACCAGAACCCTATCGTCTGTACAAGCCATGCCGGATGACTAGGGGAATACAATGGGTCTGCTGCAAGCACCACATCGAATTGATCTTCGGCCGTGGGAGTGAGTGTTGGAGCTACCGACCAGTCTAGAATGCCGGTTGTCGCTGTCGAGCCCACCCCCCTGAGGAGTTCGACATTGAGGGCGGCGTTGTGGGCGAGATTTGGAACAATTTCCGGCAAATCGGTCAAATGGACTGTGGCTGATTTGCCGGCAACGGCTGCGAATGCGAGTCCAACAAGACCTGTCCCAGCGCCTAGTTCGAGGGCTCGAAGAGGCGATTCGTTCTTACTCGATACTACATTTGGAGTGGTCCCCGTCTCCACAAGCTCTGGTGGGGATTCAAAGATACTATGTAATCGGCGTGCTAGGAGATACGAAGACACCCATGTCTTCATCCCTAAGTTGTCTGCGGTGAGGGAGGGTTCGTGCAAAGTAAGCGTGTGCGACTCGCCGGAGGAGCCTGGTATCTCGAAAATGCGCGACATGGCTGGCATAGCTAAGATTGAGGGAACTCAAGTGTGAGCACACCATATCCACCTCTCTGACAATAGGTTTGCGGGACTGGCTTACCAGCGCGCCCCGACCTTTCGCTGAGCCGAGCGGAGGCGTTATCCCACACTGCCTCGCGCAGTTCCTCCGTGTCTAGCCATGAGAGCGGGCTAGAGATGATTGAGGTGAGGTATCGTGTCACGCCGGCCGGCTGCACCGCTGGGCCTTTGGGGAGTTTGGCGCTGGTGCCGAACGCCCGCGGCTGCAGGGTCAAAAGGGCCAACACCTTGAGTAGATCAGTCCCAGACGGCTTCTCGTGGATTTGAGGCAAATCGAGCACTAATCAAAAGTTGACCTCATTAGCTGTCGTCTATGGCATAGTCTTGACCAGGCTTGTTTACCGTGAAGGGGCTCGTCATCCGTGGTGCTGATCATTATGACAGGTGCCTTTCCGGGTCTGGGATGATCTGTTGACTAGTTCAAGAGTAGATGCGTAAATCGGAAGACTTCAGAACCCCCGCCCGCCGGCAATGGGATGCGCGACGGCGAGAATGATAACAGAAAAATCGCAGAATCTCCGGGAAAGAAAAAAGGGCCCACAGTTCAATCGGCCCAATCATCGCGGGGGGTTGTGATTTCTGAACCAATCAAAAAGACCTGTGACTTTATTCTTTTGCCTCCCAAGTGACGTTCCTATTAGCCCGGCACGCTACTGTCTAGGATCATAGTTGGGATTTGCTTGTTCAGGCAGGACTGCTGCAATCGGAAAATCCGAGATGTCGGCGGCTGCGAGGAGCCTCAAGCCCCCCGACACGGGCCCCTCGCGTGTAGTAATCTACTATATGCGCCCGAGGCTACTTATGTTTCGATAACTTGTTCCAGTTAGTAGAATACAGGCATCAAGAGACATCAACTGCAGGCAGACTCCCACAGTTCATTTTTTTTCCCCTTTTGAGAAGTAGCATGTCCCTCTGTGCTGACATTGTTCTGGCTTGGCATCGATAAGGGAACATCCATGTGCATCGGGTTAACCTTAATCAAAGGAACCCAAGCTATTCGCAGATGTCTAGGCCAATCCACTATCGATTGAGGCTGCCTGATTTATAAATGGAGTCGGAACCGGTGTGATTCAAGCCATTAGTTAGGAGAGCCGGAATACAGTAGATTTTCCTTAGGGCCGCCGGACACGGACTATCGAGCTTGTCCGTGCCCGACTAACCAATCATCGCGCCCACACATACTCCTGTTCCAGTCCGAGGACGTCAGAGTATGCCAAAGGGTACCAGATGGGGCCAGGGCAAGCATGTCTACCATCGATCGCAAGAGATCGATCGTCCGCAGCAATTACTCCGAACAATGTGGAGCGGCCGGTTGAAGCCCAGTCCGTCTCGATCAAGTCAGTTGTCCACCAGGACGATGACGGAGGCTGTGCCAAGGAAACCATCGTTAGGGAGGCATATAAGATGACAATAGACTGCAGGTACGTCTTGCTGGTAAACCAGGTTGGTCAGCTGCAATCTTCGTTCTATCCTAGTATTTCTCTGGATCATTTCTGGACGACACCCAACAAAGCTTCGGTACTACTAGTATACCTTGTCAAACATCATGCCGGCAAGTGACACTGCTAACTGTACTTTATCAACCTGTCCTATCGATTCGGCATTTGTGGATTACCAACCTTCCATTCCGGCGAACGCCTTGTTCATCGGAGTGTTTAGTCTGCTTCTATTGCTGCAGCTTGGCCTCGGGCTGTGGTATCGAACATGGAGCTTTGTCATTGCCATGAGCTGCGGCTTGATTCTGGAAGTGTTAGGCTACATTGGGCGTCTTATATTGCACCATAATCCATTCAATTTTAGTGGGTTTCTGATGTATGGATCGATTCTATGATGTTCAAGACGAGGATTCAACATGCTGATATTCTGACAACAGGTACCTGATTCCTCTCACGATTGGACCCGCCTTCTTTAGCGCGGCAATCTACCTCTGCCTCGCGAAGATTGTGAAAATCTACGGCGAGGGCATTTCCCGCATCCGGCCGCGAATGTACACTTTGATCTTCATCTCATGCGATCTCCTTTCCCTGATCTTACAGGCGGCTGGCGGAGCCATCACATCAACTGCCGATACCCAAAGTCTTACCAACACCGGAATCAACATCATGATTGCTGGTTTGGCATTCCAAGTCTTTTCCCTGGCCTTGTTCATCTGCCTGTCTGCCGAGTTCCTCATGCGTGTGCGAAGACACCCGAAGGAGAAGAACCCGACTACGGGGGCGCTGCGGGAGAGCATGAAGTGGAAGTGGTTTTTGTTCGGTAGGTCGCAGTTCCGCCACGCATATGCACATGCGCGTTGCTAACAGCTACAAAAGCCCTCACGGCTGCGACTGTCACCATCTTCGTTCGATCCATCTTCCGGGTTGCCGAACTACAAGGAGGCTTTGATAGCTCATTGGCCAACGACCAGACTGCATTGATGGTTTTGGAAAGTACCATGATTGCTATTGCCTGTATTTGCCTGACAGGCGGTCATCCAGCAGTCATCATGAACCGAAATTGGAATTCCATTTGAAGGCGATTTAGCTTGCCGTTGTCGATACCCAATCCACAGATGTAAAGCTGGACCGGTGACAGACTCGGACTCTTGCCCGTCCTGACACCCAGGAAGTGCTTTCGAATACTGGTAGTAATATATTCCGATTCTTGACAATACCAGGCGATACTACCATCAAATCTCCGGCATTTGCAGTCGCACATTTTCTCCCCTTCTCTCCCCAGATTTCGGTGGAATGCGACCATGGAGTTACCTATAGTATTATTTTCAAAAAAAAATATTAAGGATTGATTGAATAGATCATTTGAATTCATGAGGTTCAGTAATTGTTTTCCCTACTTTCATGCGTACACGAAAATACAAGTCGACGATTAGTGCGGTCACATTATGGCAATTCTGCCCATCACATAGCTTTGCAAAAAGGCCAACGGCAAGCCAGGAGAATAATAACAGCGATACCGCATGCGTAAAGACCACAGAGAGGAAGAATACTTCGATAGGTCCCATTTCAGTGACCGTCGCCCAGTACTTTGCAATCGTAGATTTTGGGTTGCCTTTACTGGCCTCTTTCACAGTCATCTTGCCAATCTGGGGTATCCATTTGAACCCAAAGCGAGTTTTCTGCTTGCGTTCTATCAAGCCCTCGCGAAGAAGCTTCCGGATAAACTGTGCTAAATGAGTAACTTTCTCCCTCTCTCTTGCAGATCGGAAGAGACTTACCGATACCATGAACTCATCAAAAGCGGGGACCAGGCGCTGTGCCCAAGCTAGCTCAACGGACAAGATATACTGCCCAACAAATGCCATATACTGTAGATAGCTGGGATGTCCAAGGTTCAGCTGGTCGCTGAGATCATCGCCGTTTATCCACCGGCTGCCTGCTTCGAGAAAGCCGCCCGAGATGTGGAAAGGCCAGGGCAGGTTCGCAACGCATTGGATGAAGTTATATGCCACCGTGCGGGAAGTTTCTGTCACCTGCAGATCTGTGACACAGAGACTTTCCATTAACAATTTGGCATCTTTGGGCCTTTCAAAATATGAGGGCGGGACTCCGAGGATGTACCCGATATATCTGAACAAGGCAACGTAATCCACAATCTCTTGGTCGGTCGGGGTGATTCCAAGGCGTGGTAGGTGCAGCCACAGCTGATTCGACGAAAAGGTGCTGATCGTATGGATTTGATCAAGATCATTGCATGGCAGACCCCAGTTCTGGAGATCGAAGTATTGAGGGTCTTTTGCTGCGAGGATTCGAATCCGCGCTCTGACAGACGCATGGAGAAGCCGTACACGGACAGTCGCGACGTGAGCATCGCCCCCTGGCTGGATGGAAGGAAGATCTGATGTGATTTGGGCCAGCCACTGGAACGTATTCAGAAGTCGCCTCAGGAGCTGTGATGTAGAAAAGCCCCCGGTGCGAACAAGCACTTCTACCACGCGTGATGATGCCTGTGACCGCAGATTAGTATACAGGAATGTTGGATCGCACGCGTTCTTGGTTCCCTACGGAAGCTTCTGCCAGGAAGGCTTGGAGAGCAAACCCAATCATATGAGGAAGAGCATAGCGGGGGAAGTGAGCCTGCGCTCTCTCCAGTTGTTGCCAGTCAACCCAATCTGGAACAACATGCACTTGATCCCAGAACCTGTGAAGAACGTCATCTTGCTGATGATTTGCCTTGAGAATCTCGTAGAGATCACTCTCAGGTGGCCGCCCTGTCTCGCTTTGACTAGCAGTTAGCGCCTTCAGAGCCTGTAACTTTTCCAAAGCCTGATCCGCCAATACGTCGAACTCTTGTTGTAGCGGGTCCGTTTGAATGTGTGTCAAGTGCTGCTCTGTCCATGTGAAGGAGTATCCCCACTTCTCAATATGAGTGCCTGGCGAGGGGTCAATCTTTGACTCGGACATATTGCAAACCTGGAATTGTAAGCGGAGCTAGAGAGCAGTGAAAAGCTCTGAAGCGGACACTATTATAATGCCTGCCTCGATTGGACCGCTAGGCAGGCAAGCAAGACGGTGGCAAAGCCCTACCCTACCAGCTCGCAAAAGCCCAGCCGTACGAGCTGAATACCAGGAGAAGCACCAATTCTGTTGATTCATGTCGGCATTAACTGGCATTGGCGTATTCCGGAAAGAGTAAAAGATCCGGGATGGACGGGTGTCGGGGCAAAAGGATTTAGTGTTCATGGGTGCCCCTGTAGAAGGATTCCATCGATTCCAGTATGTGCAGTGCAAATCATCAGAAGTGTAGCAAGTAGCGCCCATGATAGAGTCACGCCAACTACTTCATTTGTACAAGTGGCTCCTGACATGATTCTTCAGAAAATGGGTTGCCCTGATCGGGTTATGCAGGATTGGCCTGTGGGCCTGTTTCATGTTTCAACGAGGATGATAGTCCAAATGTGGGACGCCTAGAAGTAAAGTCGATCAAGATGCTCTGATTCCGCGGGACCATGGGGAATTGATACACCTGCTCTCCATCTCCCGTAGAATAAAAGCTGGTTTTAATCGCGACCTCCTCGTTCGGAAGGAAATTGCACTGAGATATATGTCCACGCCCTTCCCGACAAACAGACCAGCAGAACAACTGCGTTCTTCGCCTCTCCTTTGTTGGTGCGGGGTATTGTGCATGGAGCTTGGAAGATCATCAGGAGCTATGCCTCGACAGGAGTCTAGATGATGCCGAGCAGGATTCGCCCCCACCCGTCTCGGGTACAGAAGATTCACCATCTAATGTCACCTTCGTGAAGATCCCAGACTACTTCTGCATATGACGCGTATTTTAGCAGGTCAGTAATTGATAAGCTATGGGTCTGGGGACTCAAAATTGAGATACAATTACCGAACCACTGGGTGAAAGAGTGGCAGATGATCGCCCGATTGACAAGTTCCAATCCCAGTGGCATGGGTAGCTCGGGAAAGCCTGGCTTGGAGTTATGCATGAAGCCCCATGTTTATGTAGCATTCAATCATCCTCGGGATCCGGAGTGTTGAGAAGCTGTCGAGGTGTAGGTGATCTGAAACACCTTCGAGCCGGGTTGTTCTTCCTGAACCTTATTACCTCGCGAGTAGATAGCAAGTTGCCCAGAACGGAGCAAAGGGAGCAGAAGGGGCGAATAACAATAAGGCCCGCATCATGTCACTCTATTTGCGGGCTAACGCGGTCCAGCATTTTGTGCTTGGATGGCGATTTTGATACCCAGCCCCACTACCTTCCTAAATCTAAGAACTCTCCGAAGGTACCACTAGTCTGGTGCCTAGCGGGCAGTATCTTGCTAATGATCTTCATGCTGCCTATCAGGGAGCCTAAACTTGGGTTCTCCATGTCCGTAGGGACCGGGTCCAGCGTATTCGGCGTTTAGGGTGGGGCAATGACCAAATGGCAACCACGATGGAACTTGGATAGGCCCCGAGATGAAGCAGGATTTACTATAAGAGAGCCGCCTAGAACCCGAGGTAAAAGTACGTCTTACTCAGTACCCTAAGCAGCAGGATCAACAAAGCTTGACCCGCGAAAGATTCACGCCCAAGCATGCCTGAATCACTGCAATCAAAGCCCCTCCACGGGCATGACTCGACTACTCTAGTTCAGTTACCTGATCTATTCATATTGTTTCTCTCTGAAGCTCCTGCAGTAAACCCTCACTATGCTAACGTCAAGGGCGAGTCAGAGAAGTGGATTGCGGAGTAAGTATTGACGTGTTCCTTCAGCTCTATCCGACCTTGATGTTATTAATGCGTTTGTAGAACATGCTGTATGAACGACCGCTCCAGGAAAATACTGACGAAGACCAACTTTGCCTTGTTCTTGTCTATTGCCGCCCCCGAGGCCAGAGTCGAGGAGCTTCGCACCCTTTTCGACTGGGGAAACTGGGTATGCGGCCGTTCCCTTGTCCCACGGTTATTATGTAAAAGAAAATTGGACTTACTGATCGATGCTTTCTCAATCAGGTGTTTCCATTTGATGACAGTAGGCGATCCCGTCTCCAGATCCGGATCAATCTTGACCAATCTGATTGAGTGCAGTGTTTGACAATGGTCACCTGAAAGATGACGTCCAGAATGGCCAAATTATGATTGATGCTCTGATGCATAGGATGAGAGACGATAAGGCAGAACTACCTGCTCCTCTCCAGAGCCCATTAATTGACGTTCATAATTCTGTTTGGGAGCGTGTTGTAGAGGTTTGCTTTTCCACTTGATCAATCCGAAGGCGAGGCTGATTCAGGCAGGGCGCCCCAAGGGGTAAGGAACTCGACAGAATTCAAGGCAAATTGATGCTGAGCAGCCTTAGGTGTTCAAAAGCGGTTTGCTAGAGCCATGGCCGACTATAGCCATGGCGTTATCAGCCAGGTAGAAGTTTGCTCATCCGGAGAAAATGTGTCGCTTGAGGAAGTACTTGCACTTCGCAGGCACTCAGCCGGTGTATCTCCGTTGTTCCCTCTCATTGAGTAAGTGGCCCCAGATGGTGTGCTTCACAAAGCAATTTGCTCTTCTTGAGTCCTACGGTGCTGACTTTTCTAGATATGCCCATAGACTCCGTATACCGGACCAAGTTTTTGAATGTCCAAGTATCAAAGAGATTGAACGGGTTGGTATTGACTTTGTCGTGCTGTTCGTGTTCCAATGCACTGTCTTTACTGGAACTCGTAATATTGACTTGAGGCCTAGGCAAAACGACATTCTGTCTTACTGGAAGGAGGAGGTGAGTTTATCAGCAAATCAGCGCAGACGGAGGTAGATCTAACATATCTATGAAGAAGGAAGGCGTGATACATAACCTTGTGGCAGTCTGCCGTAATGCTGGGATGTCGGCTCAAGCTGCATTCGACCACTTGGGGTACATGCTGCAGACTCGTTACCGGGATTGGTACCTTGCCTTAGCGAGCCTGCCTAGCTGGGGAAACGAAATTGACGCCGAGGTCCAAAACTACATTCGAGGCGTTCAAAACGTGGTAAAGGCGAATCTTCACTGGAGGTAGGTCGCTGTCTTTCTGCCCTTTGGTGTATCTGGCTAAATATGATCACAGCTTCAGCTCAGGTCGTTACTTTGGGGACGCTGTTCATGAAGTCCGCAAAACCAAGAAGATCCGGGTTCAGAAGAGAGAGACAGATTTTATTCCACGAGGTGGCCCTATCGACCGAGTGGGTACATATGAGCCTGTTCTCCTCTCACGGGTCTAAGGTCTTGGTCTGGGTATGACACCTGAAAGTTCAAGATGTTGCTTTTGAATAGTTTGGAATAAAACCTTATGCTTAAATTCATGATTCCAGACACATGCCTGCGAAGAATGTCTTGCCTATGGGGCCACATGCGAATATCGCGAACCTGGCCCACGTAGAGGTGGAGCGAGCCGTACAGCACACACATGGCTCTCTGCCCCCTTGGAAAAGAGGCAAATAACTTTGGAATGGGTCCAATTATATTGCCTGCTAGTGCTAGCCCACGTGGCAACAGGGGTTAGAACAGATCTGCTTTGGATATCGGCGGGGTCACTTCTAAGGATGGCCATGCAAACGGGGTGAGATCAGGATCCAGACTATTAAAATGGGATCAACGACCGGACCCTGCGGTCAAGATTCTTCGAAGGGATATATGGTATACCATCCTGGAAATCTGTCTATAGATACTAGTCGATTCAGTAATGATGCCTTTCAAGGGGGGGTTATACAACTCGCATACCATTCGATCCAGAGCCAGAAAGGAGCCCGAAGTAGCAAAGGGTTATCATGCAATCTCCCCTGGTCAACACTTTGAATGTTCTTCAGGCAGATTGGAACGAGCTCTCAACATGCAAGTGGAGCTATCAATATAACTCCCGAGTCTCCCCCTGGGCGTTGCCACGTGACTGTGACGCGAGTCAGACATGCCGAAGTCCTCTGCAATTCGCCAATGGGACCCAATTTTCGATTCAGGGTCTTTTTGCCGCCTCCATTCACATCCGCGTCTCAAGACCCGCGTCTCAGTTTTGGAGGCTATCTACGAATTCCGGCGAATACCAGATCATCAACAGATGCTGGGTGTTGATGAAGAGCTGATTTGTGCCTGCAAAACCGTCAAACATGCAATGAACGGAAAGGTCTCCTAGTCGGGGACAACTGAATAACCCAATTTGCTTACAATCTCTGCTCCCATAAATTTCTTCGCCCCCGGCTATGTCCTCATGTTCCGTTCGCAACGGACACACCGAATCATCATCTCTTTGCCCATTTGCAAAGAGTGTGCCTGGAGGTTGCACTGGAGCTAGCCACCCTTCTAGATGATGAGCGATACAGTCGGATCATGATCAGTGGCAGTGGCATGTTTCGGAATATACTCCCTCGAGGCGGGTTGACGATTGTTGCAGAGCTATATCCCGAGTTGGTGCCCGAAATTCCTCTTGTCAGGAGGAATCGTGCTCGTCAGCAATCCCTGTAGAAGGATGCTGAGAGGGTCCTCAAGTACACTAGGATTTCATGCAGAGCTGGGACTTGATGTCCGATTGGAGATTCTCGGTTCAATCCTCGTACGAGCTCTTATCATGATCTAATATTAATTGTGTATCAAGTGTCTAGGCTCGAAGTGGTGGCGCGTCTTCATTCCAATCACGAGTTGGAACGCGCAGGTGAGTTTGAGCAGGATTCTGCGAATCCTGCGGGGATATATTCTTCCCGGAAGGTCGGAATATGATTGGAATCCGATCAGCACGGGAAAGCTGCGCTCAGCACTACGCACCATCATGTTAGACTCATTTCACAGATAATCATACTAGCATCGCGACTACATCCATAACAGTCCGGTCTGAAAGGATCAGAATTATTGGTTAAGGCCCAGGTGCAGACGCCATCTCGAATCCCCAAAGTAACAGTGACGAAGAGGCGGTGAAACGGGACCCACTTGGCTGAAATAAACAATAAGAACATCCGGGCTGATTGGATCGAGCTCCCCAGCAAATTGTACTAGTGCTAGTATTCCTGTTATGCGTCGTGGCTTGAGCATGACGCTATCAGATAACTAGAGCAAACTTGAAAGAAGATTTGTGATGAAATCACTGGTTAAAGGCGCCGCCACGCTTGAATCCTGATGCTGAAGCCGGGAGGTTAGCGAACCTCCGGCCCCCAAGGGATGTTGGAATGGCCACTGCGCATGGGTTTTTGGACGTTTCCCGAGGGTGCGACCAATGATTCAAGTCCGGGCCTTAATTCTCGTCTGGCGAAGGCGAACTTTTTGGCGAGGAAGCCGCCCGTGAAACAAGGCCCAATCGGCAATGTCAATATTTTGCCTGCTGGGGTCTTTCCCCGTGATCGTCAAGCTCAGATTATTGGCTCTCCACTGGGGTCCGTTCCATTGGGGGCAAGGAGCATGCATACTCCACCTCGGAAAGATTAGGCCACTAAAACGGAAAGTGGGGATTCTGCAGCCTTCGTCAGTGGCCAGAGACAAGCGTTTTGGGTGGGCCAAATAGACTTTTGGAGGCTCGAGGCTTGCATATTGCATATTGGCGTGACGAGGTGAGGAATCCTTCGATCCTTCAAAGGTCTAACCGGATGGGCCACAGCTTATTTTTGTACTCTGTCTCATTTCTATGGGTGAGGCTGGGGCGAAACGGAATCTCTGCCTCTGGTAGTAGAGGGGGCGAGGTAATCAATCCTTTTCTGGGAAGAAAGTTGTCCGATTCTTGCATTCTTTGCGAGCCAGGGAATTTGGCGCGTTCCAGGGCTACAGAAACGTGAAGAGCCGACTAAGTCTTTGCCGAATCATGCGCTTCTCCAAATCGGTAGCAGTTATTATCTGGTAGTCTCTTCTAAGACGTTTAAGCTCGCGGCATAAGCTTGGGGCAATCTTCCGCGGATCTACTCCGCACGCGGCTGGGAGCTGGCAATTAAACGAGTACTGACGGCATGAAAGCCCCAAACCTTGAGCTTCCATCGAGGCTTGCGATCCCTCAAGGTTTATGGGGGCGGAATAAACTATCGTTCGTCTCGAATGGATCGCTTGCATTCCGGGCACGGTGGCCCTAAAGAGACGAGCACGGACAATGTCCCCAAGTGAACAAAGATTCTAGAGTGGGGATTCGCCCTTAGTTGAGCGCAAAGCTATATTAGTACGATGTGGGTCATTGTGAATAAGGCTGTGGCGGGATGCTGAAGATTCCAAAAGTGCATGGTCACTGGTATCAGGCCGCTGGAATATCCTCCCGCGGCCAACATGAATCTACGTTGAGCGACTTATCACATCCATTCGCCATCCGGGCCAAAGTAACTCTATAGATACTGTATCCATGGATATGAGGCTATGGACACGAGGTAAGCCAAGCAGGGTCCAGAAAGAGATTGGAGTGGGCATTTTGTGGCTACTTTTGGATGGTCAGGATTTAGCACGAGGTGGGTCTTCTCTGAAGGATTTGGCCAAATCCAGTAGGTCGTCAGCACGTTCGTAAGAATTAACTGCGTTAGTCATCTTTTGCCTGTAACCCGTCTTAACCAGTTCGGGGTGCCAAAGCTGCATCATCAGATGCCTTTTTTCCCCACCTTCTGCGCGATGGTGCTGCATGTCACCATCGAGGAGATTCACCTTTCGCTATCTCTTATCGCCTGGAGGGGTTTGGACTAGATCATCCGAGTGGCTTTCAGATCTCCAGAGATGTGAACTTCAGCTGCCTGGAGTCCTCTTGAACATCTTCATTATTTGCTGGGGCTGCTCCACCCTTTCTTGTGGCCTTGACCTCGAAGAATTTCAGCCAACACCCTGAATGTAAAGCCCCCCAAAGGAGATAGTATTATTTAGATTCCTTACAATGGGCATCCTCTTTAGAGATAGAGTAAGCTTTCTGCTTTTTCACGACTAGTCATCCAGTCTGACACACGTGACTCTCATCATCCATACTTCCACCATCGATACTATTCCAAAGAAAGAACCTTCACCAATGAGATCCATGGAAGATCCCCGTCGAGGGAAGAGGAAAGCCAAAAAGCTCAGGGAAGGGGCCGTGGCGATCCTATCTGCCGCCTTGGTGGGGTTGCTGGGCTACTCCTTGTGCCACACCATACAACCTTTGCTGGTGGCGCCCATATCCCGCATTAGTAGGGGCCGGATTCCTTCACCTGTCCGTGGAAGCGTAGATTAGAACGCTTAGCTGAGTTAAGAGATAACAAACCTTCTTCGGCCAAGGATGCACGACGTCATGACCGCTATGCTTGGCAGAGAGCATTCGCAGATATCCTGTACAAAGATCCAAGTACGGTAATATCGGTGCTTCTGGCCTTATAGAGGACCGTTAAAATGTTCTGGCACTACATACGAGAGAGGTCTCCGTCTATTTTGATCTCAGAGAAGAGAGTTCCATTCGATGAATGGGCAACCACAGTCGTGGCCCCTAGTGGATCTTCTTTTGACCTGTTCCGCTAAGCTCCCTACCCCACTGGGCCTGGTCTGGCGTTTCAAGTAGCAATGAGGATTGCAGTCATCGGCAGAGGGACGATGCAGATACCAGTGGGACAAGGTGGCATCTGCGGACAACAATGCAGGTGACGGATAGAATCTAGCTAGCGTTGTTTGAAAGACCAAGAGAAAAAAAGTAAATAAAAAAGCAATTGGCAGAACGATGCGGTCTGCCTACGCTGGAGCACCCGAACAGTTGGGGGTGCATGGCGAAGAGTGGGGCTGTCCGAGCGGGGATTCGCATGCTTGGGGGCTGTCAACACTCACCTTGCGAATGCTCATGCACCATGTGTAGAACTCCGCATCGAGGGCTCAGGATCAGGATCAGCCTCGCAGGACGCATAGACTCGCCTGAATCGAGATGGGGCGATTTTAAACTCTCACCGTCCTGAGTTAATTGGATTTGCGGGCCAAAACTGCGACGACAAGAAGTATATAAGGAGGCTTCGAAGGCATTACTGACGGACCAGAGCCTAGCATCTCCCTTCTTTGATTGAAAAGTCTCAACACTTGAAATTTGCTCCGTCCTTTGGTCTTCTCCCTTTGACCACCTCGAACTCAACTTGAACAACCCCCTTTCTCCCCACAATTATACATAGAGAGAAATCCTTCAATATGGCCACCGAGGCTGTACCGGATACAACCCCGATCGCCATCATTGGCTATGGATACCGTGCCCCTGGAATTGGCCGTAAAGGCCTCTGGGAGTACTTGTCCCAAGCTCGTTCTGCGTGGTCGAAGATCCCCTCATCGCGGTTCGACCACTCGGCTTTCGCCAACACTCCCAATGGCCCAGATCGGGCGGGAGTTTTCAAAATTGATGGAGCTCATTTTCTTCCTGACGATGTTTACGCTTTTGACGCCCCCTTCTTCAACATGCGACCAGAGGAGGCCAAGAACACCGACCCGCAGTTCCGTCTGGCCCTGGAGTGTGCCCTCGAGGCCGCCGAGGATGCGGGTTACAGCCTAACCGACCTTAATGGGCAACGAATTGGTGTATTCATGGGTGCTGGCCAACATGAATACTCTACTAACCTTACCGACGATCAATTCTTCCCTGGCACATTCTCGGCCACTGGAGTTGCCCCATGTATGCTCTCCAACCGAGTCTCTTATTTCCTGAACATTGATGGGCCGAGTGTGGCGCTCGATGCGGCTTGCGCCTCCAGCGTCTACGCTTCCCATATCGCCATGGCCTCAGTCCGCAATGGCGATTGTACTGCCGCCTTCGTTGGAGCTGCATCATTGAACTTGGGCCCTGGTGGCTGGTTGGCTTTGGGTAAAACCGGGTAAGGCTCCACTTCCCGCTATTCCCCCACTACCCCACCCTTTTGCCCTGTCCAGGCCCCTTTGGGACGGTTGCTAACAATAAACACAGAGCGCTTTCCAAGCACGGGCGAAGCTACTCATACGATGAGAAGGGCACTGGGTTCGGCCGTGGTGAAGGTGCCGGCTGCTTCTTGATTAAGCGCTTAGATGATGCTATTCGAGATGGCGACCCTGTCCACGCCGTTCTCCGTGGCTCTGCTTGCAACCACGGTGGTCGATCGGAGGGTATTACCATGCCAAATGGCAATGCCCACCAGAAGCTGATCCGGAGAGCCCATGAGTCTGCTGGCCTGGACGTTCGCAGGACTGCCGTGATTGAGGTAAGTCATCCTCTCGTCTTCCGTTCTCTGCCGCGAGTTCATGGGAGAGGCCTAACGTCTGAATAGGGCCACGGAACTGGTACCGGTGCCGGTGATCCTATCGAAGCCAGTGCGTTTACCAAGGTTTTGGGCGCTGAGCGAACTTCGGAGAACCCCCTCTATATCGGTTCTCTGAAGTCTAACTTCGGGTAGGATTTCACCCTCTGCCCGCGACTCAAATCGAAACAACTCACTGACTTTCCTACTTCTTCAGACATCTCGAAGGTGCATCCGGATTGGTGGGTATGATCAAGGCAGTGCTCATGCTACAGCACGGCAAAGTTCTTCCGACCGCCGGTTTCGAGAAGATCAACCCCAAGATTGCGAGCTTGGAAAAGATTGTTGTCCCGACTGCACCAATGGACTGGCCCGCTGGCGAGGAGCGACGCATGCTTATCACTAACTTCGGTTTCGGTGGTAGTAATGCTGCTATTGTCATCGATGGTCCTCCTGAGCGATCCCTGCCCGAAGCGACTCCCCTATCGGGCGAGGAGAAGCGTCTGTTCGTTTTCTCTGCGAAGAACGAGCTGAGCCTGAAAGGGTTCTTGTCGGAGTTTGAGGAATATCTCGAGGATGAAGCCCCTGAATCTCCCGAATTTGTCCGTGACCTGAGTTACACTCTCGGCCAGCGTCGCACTCACTTCGCCTACCGTGCATTCGGTGTTAGTGACTCCGTGGAGGCCCTTCAAGAGAAGGTCTCTGCTGCCAAGCCAGCTCGTATCAAGGACCGTGTCATCGGCTTTGTCTTCACTGGTCAAGGTGCCCAATACGCCGAGATGGCCGTGGGACTTCGCAGCTATCCTGTGTTTGCGCAGAGCCTGCAGGATGCCGAGAAGAAGCTCCAGGAGATTGGCGCTCCATGGTCTCTGGTCGAGGAGCTCTCCAAGCCCTCTGCCGATTCTCGCATCAACGATGCTGAATTGAGTCAGCCAGCCTGTACTGCGGTGCAGCTTGCCATTGTAGCTCTCCTTAAGAGCTGGGGTGTGACCCCTCGCGCTGTCACTGGTCACTCCAGTGGTGAAATCGCTGCTGCTTACACCGCTGGTCTGCTGTCCTTTGACGCAGCCATTGCTGCCTCGTTCTTCCGTGGACAAGCTGCCGCCAGGTTGCTGGCTACCCAGAAGAAGGGAGCCATGGCGGCTATCGGTGTTGGTGCTGAGGAAGCCAGGAAGCTGATCGAGGAGTCTGCTAACGGTTACGCAACTGTGGCTGCTATCAACAGCCCCCGAAGCGTGACCGTCTCTGGTGACCCAGAGGCAATTGACAACGTGCATGCTGCTGCTGAGAAGCAAGGCCTGTTCGCGAGAAAGCTCAAGGTCGAGATGGCTTACCACTCTCAACACATGGAAGAGGTCGCTGAGTGGTACCTGGAAAGCATCAAGCCTTACTTCCAAAGCACCACCTCCGAGAGCACCGCGGCTTTCGTCTCGTCTGTCTTCGCAGGGGCCGTGGAGCCTTCTGCCGTCGACGCTTCCTACTGGGTGAAGAACCTGGTCCAGCCAGTTCGATTCTCCGAGGCCATTGATGTGCTCTCTACTTTGGCTACAGAGGGTCACAAGAACTCCATCCCTAACGTGATCGTTGAGATTGGTCCCCATGCCGCTCTGAAGGGTCCTATCAAGCAGACAGTCGATGCCGCGATCGAGAAGGGCGGCGCCCCTCAGCTGTCTTCGTTGGTCTACTCCCCATCTCTGGTCCGTGGAACTCAGGCTCAGGAGGCTATCCTTGAGCTTGCTGGTACTCTCTTCACATTGGGAGTTCCAATTGATCTTGGTGCCGTTAACCAAACTTCTAAGGCTAATGCCAACGTCGTCACTGGCCTCCCCAAGTACTCCTGGGACAAGTCCACCGTCTACAGAGTTGCGCCTCGCGCCTCTGTTGAGAAGAAGCACCCCGGTGATTCTTACCACCCGCTTCTCGGTCGTCCTCAAATTTCCGTTGGCGGCCTGGAGCGCGTCTATCGCCAGGTCTTCAACTTGGATGAGATGCCTTGGGTTCGTGATCACGTTGTTGGCGGAGTTGTTGTCTTCCCCATGACTGGTTACCTTTCTTGTGCCATCGAAGCTTGCCGACGAATGACCGGAAAGCCCGCGGAGTCATTCCTCTTGCGCAATGTCTACATCAAGCAGCGACTCGAGGTGCTGGAGGAGCAGACAATTGACATCTCCACCAGAATCCGCCCTGTCAATGGCTCTCCCAACAGATGGTCTTGGGAGGTCGCTTCCTGGGCCGAGAAGGATGGCTGGAGCATTCACGCTGATGGTCTGATCCAAGCTGAATTCGAGCCTGTCAGCACTGAAACTCCTACTTTCAAGACTGCTTTGGGTCTCGTTGACAACACTCCTACCATGATCGAGCATGATGTTGAGCAGTCGATGAGAGATGCCGGTGTTAAGGCAACCCAGTACGGACCAACCTTCCGAAATTCCACTCGCTTCTGGGAGGGCAAGGGCTATACCGTCCTTGAGCACCGCCTTCGTAACATCCCCGAAATAGAGACCAGACTAGGATCTCCTGTGACTGTCGACCCCCCCCACCCTGGATGGCTTTCTTCAGGGTGGTGCTCCTCTGCAAATTACTGAGGATGGACGCCGCCCTGCTCAGATGCCCAATTTCTTGGGTCGCTTCCGAGTCTCTAATCGTATCCCCTATGTCCCCAAAGGCCGTGTTGACATCGTCACCCGCTTGATCGACTACGACTACAAGGGTGGACGACTGACAGTGAGCGTTGCCGCATTCTTCAATGATGAAAATGGCAACAGAACCCCTATTGCTGAGTGGGAGACTATCCGTTTCCGTACTATTGGCTCTGCCGATGAGGAAAGTGATCCAGTTGCGACTCTGCCAACCCACTGGGCCTGGGATTCCCTCAAGCGCTTCGATTTCCTCCCCATTGATGAGCTTCGCAAAAGTCTGACGGTTGACTTCACTGACTTCCGCGGATCTAAGTTGAGTCGAATGATCAAGTTGAATAAGGTGTCTTCCTACTACCTGGACAAGGCTGCAAAGGAGCTGGTCAATGATGATCTGAGCAACCTGCCTTTCCACCTGGCTAAGCATGTTGCCTGGGCCAAGGGAACCCTCGCGGGGCCCGAAGGTGCTGAGATAGCGGATGAAGCCCTTGTTGAGGAAGTCCGGAAAATGGATGCTCAGGGTGAGCTTCTTTGCATCATTGGAGAGAACCTCACTCGCATCCTCCGCCAAGAGGTTGACACTCTTGAACTCATGCTGGAGGACGGCCGTCTTACCCGATACTACGAGGCTGACCCTGCCAACGCGGAGATGAGTAAGGTCGTGGGAGACTTAGCCGATCAACTTGGAAGAATCGAATCTGATTTGCGCATTCTTGAAATTGGCGGTGGTACTGCCGGTACTACGCTCCACGTGTTGAACAGTCTCTCTCATGACCGCGTGGAGCCATCTTTCCTCAACTACACCTTCACTGATATCTCCTCCGGTTTCTTCGAACGGGCCCGTGAGAAGCTCGCAAAATGGAGCGACCGCATCACGTACAAGAAGCTTGACATCTCCCAAGACATCCATGAGCAAGGATTCAAGGATGAGGAGTTTGATGTTGTGATTGCTGCCAATGTTCTCCATGCTACTGAGGACATGGTGGTCACCATGACCAATGTCCGTCGTCTCCTCCAGCCTAAGGGTAAGCTTATTCTTCTGGAGGCTAACCGCCACCCCCTCTTGTCTTGCCTTTCTCTCTTCTGCCCGGATGGTGGTACTCCAAGGACGACTACCGTGACCATGATATGGGTCCCATGATGCCTGTTGCCGAGTGGGACCGACTGCTCAAGGACACTGGATTCTCTGGTGTCGACACGAACATTCAGCCATTCGAGCGAGAGGAAGTTGGCGTCATTTCCTCCTCTAGAATTGGCAAGCAGGATGAGAACCCGATCACCATTGTCGCACCTTTCTTCGATGAAGAGGAAGTTGAATTTGCTCAGACCGTTGCCGACCAGCTTGGCGAGCAACTGGGCTGCGTTGTTGAGACCAAGCCCTTCTTCGAAGTGGAAGTCGTTGAAGAAATGCACTATGTCTTCATTGATTCGCCTCGCCAGTCCATTTTTGGTGAAGAGTTCTCGGCTGAGGCCTTCGAGCTTTTGCAGAACCTCACCTTGCACAACAAGTCTCTTTTGTGGGTTATCCCTCAGGGCGCCGATATCAGAGCCAAGTCCATCAAGGGTATCATGCGGACTCTGCGCCTGGAAACTATTCCCAAGAATCTTCTCATGCTTGAGGATGTGCCTGCCACGTCCGAGGGTGTGCCCGACATTCTGAGACTTGCAAAGACGATTCGTGACCCCGAAGTCAGCCGTACCGACGAGCAGGACTTTGTCTGGGAAAACGGTCACATTTGCCTCCCCCGTATGAACGATATGGGCGTGAGGGAACGCTTTGCAGTTGAGAAGGGCCTTCTCTATAAGAAGGTCCAAAGTCTGTGGAATGGCGAACGTGCTCTCGAGATGACCATTGAGGGAGCTGGTAGCGCAGAATCTATCTACTACCAGCGTACTGATGCTCTTCAGAAGGTTCTCGCCGATGACGAGGTTACGATCGAGGTCGAGGCCGCTGGTCTCAGTCACCGTGATCTCGATGTCATCCTTGGTGCTCTACCATGGGCACCCCCAGGTTTTGACGGTGTCGGCAAGGTGACCCGCAAGGGCGCTGGCGTGAAGGACCTCAACGAGGGCGACCGGGTGGTTTACCTTTCCCTGGAAGGCAGTGGCTTCGCTAATTACAAGACCCTGAACTCGTGGCAAGTGGCTAAGGTTCCAGCAACACTCGAGTCTGCCGATGCTGCCAGCGTACCCCTCGCATACACCATTGCGGTTCTTGCTCTCCACCAGACTGCCCACCTCCGCAAGAGCGACAGTGTTCTTATTCACTCCGCCGCTGGTGCAGTTGGTCAGGCTTGTGTCAACCTCGCTCAGAAGATCGGGGCTAAGATCTTTGTGACTGCTGGTACCGATGAGAAGCGCGAATTCCTTCACAAGACCTTCGGAATCCCTAAAGAGCAGATCTTTTCTGACCGTACTGCTGAGTTCCGCGATGGTATCCTTTCTGCGACCGGTAGTAAGGGTGTCAACGTTATTGTGAACTCCCTTGGTGGTGACTTGCTGCCCGAGACGTTTGCGCTCATCGCTCAATTCGGTCGCTTTGTGGACATTGGCAAGAAGGATTCCTTCCAGAACAACAACTTGCCCATGCAGTCTTTCTTCCGCAACGTGACTTTCAGCAGCATTGACCTCCGTGACCTCTACAAGCACCAGCCAGAGGCTGTGCAGGAGGCATTCGCTCAGGTTGTCGAGTTCTTCCAGTCCAGCTCGGTGCCTTCCATCCAGCCTGTCACTGTCCTGCCCATCTCGCAGCTGGACGCTGGATTGCGTAAACTGAAGAACGGTGATGTGACCGGTAAGATTGTTCTGAGCCTGGGTAAGGAAGAGCAAGTTCTGGCACAGAGCGACTTGAAGTCTTCCTCTACCAACCTCAAGGCCAACGCTACCTATGTTATCACTGGTGGTACCCGTGGTATTGGTTTGGACCTTGCCCATTGGTTGGCTGAGAATGGTGCGCACCACATTGTGCTGCTCAGTCGGAGCGGACCTTCTAGCCAGGGTGCCCAGGACATCCTGGCTAAGTACCAAGGCTCTGACATTGAAGTGCGCGCTATCGCTTGTGATGTGGGCTCTCGCGACGCCCTTGCCGAAGTTCTTGAAAGTGTCAAGGATATGCCTCCTGTTGCCGGTGTCATCCACAGTGCTCTTGTCCTCAAGGTGAGTCAGACCTGCTTTCTAATTTCCGATCCTTCTTTCCCCCTTTGGCAAAACTAACCACTACCACAGGATAAAATTTTCGACCATGCCACCTATGAAGATTGGGAAGCAATCACCCAGCCCCGAGTTGGAGGTGCTTACAACTTGGATGCACTCCTCCCCAAGGACCTCGACTTCTTCATTATCCTTTCGTCGTTCCTTGGTGACAGTGGTAACGCTGGTCAGGCTATCTATGCTGGTACATCCGTGAGTGACCCGAACAATTTCATTGAAACCCGGTTTCACAATCTCTCTTACTGACATATGAATTATAGACATTCTATGACGCTTTCTGTGAGGAACGCAACGCCCGCGGCCAGTACTCTGTGGCCATTGGTCTGCCCGTTATTCTCGATGTCGGATATGTGGCCGACAACGATCTTGCCGATACGCTCAAGACCAGCCTTGGTGGAACCCTGACCATGGCTGACATCCGTACCATTATGAAGTGTGCGGTCGAAGGACCATCCTCTCCTTTCGTCCACAAGGGCAAGATTTCTGCTTTCTGCTTCTGGCTTGATGGCAAGCCTCAGGGTGACAACGAGGCCATGCAGCATTTCCACCCTGTCCACACCCGCGAACGTATCAAGGCGCAGGCCAATCGCCACGGCCAAATCGCCAATAGCAACAATGCCAACGTTGCCACCTCTTCTTGGACCAAGGCAGCCGACCCACAGGCCGGTCTGACCGAGGCCTTGATCCACAAGGTCGCCACAATGACCATGATGGACATTGAGGATGTGGCTGCCGATGTTCCTCTTGCTTCCTTCAGCTTGGATTCCCTTGTGTCGGTCGAGCTTCGCAACTGGATCCGTCGTGAGACCACTGTTGAATTGACTCTCAGTGCCATTACCCAGTCAGAAGGCTTGTCCAGCCTGGCTTCGGAGATTCTGATTCTCAGGGGCTCAACTTAGATAGCATCGTTCTGGAGTTTATTTATTATATGGGAATGGATTCTAAGAAATCACATTTATGAATAGATAGAAATGAATTTCCTTTATTGTCTGATGATTTTTCTCCCTATGTTTAGTGTAAAACCACTAGTATTCTTCCAACGGTAAGGACTTTGCCCGTTGGTCCATGTTTGATCATCGATGTGCTTCCCCACAGGGGTCTGATTACTACTTGCAGACATACTTTGGACGAAACGTTCGTAGGATTCAAATTTCTGCAATCTGCGAGTAACAACAGTCTGGGAGGAAGACAGTGTCCGTACCTGCAATTCTGAAGAGGCTCGCTGAGGGCCCTTCCGCCCGGCTGTCGGGGCCGGATGTCTTGTGATTCGCTACAGATTTCTAGTCCTGCTGTTCCCTGTGTCTCAAAGGGCCTAGAATCAATCGGGATTTCTAGAAGGAGGCCCCGGGGAGTTCAATGGAGAAGAAGCGGAGGCGAGGAAGAAGAGCCCAAACGGCCTCTCGTGGAATCTTGGCTTCACGATACCTGTTCCCCTTTACTCTTCTTACGGATTGGCGTACAGGCACTGCAGGTAAAATTGTATTTGTGTGAAGTCCGAGGAAACGTATACCAGGTCGATACTAGCATTGGAGCCAGTGGACCAATCAGAGGGCATGTATTAAACCACACATCGTATCATGGTCTGGGCGGGGCCTGTGCGGCTTCCCCCGCATACTCGTTCCCCCGTTACCCCAGACGAAGGGGAAGGCACTCTTTTCCTGGTCCTGTGTCTCCTCCTATTCCTCCTCCTTCGCTTCCGGATGTCTTGTCTTCATCCCCTGATTATCTATTACATTTCTACGCCTTCCACTTCCTATGATAGTGAGATGCGGGCAAAGATGGCTCCATCTTTCCTAGGCTTTGGTGCCATGCTTTTGGTGGTAGACGAAAACTTAAAGCCTTGAGCAGGTAAGATGGTATATTCTTGACGTCTATCAACACAACATGCAATTATCGCAAATCAAAAATGATACATGATGAAATCCGACAGGCAAGGTATTAAAGCCGGGGACGAAGAGGGCCCTTGGGCTTGGGGGGACCCGTTGCAACGTTGCTCTTCTTCGGTGCCGACACATACCCGCCTAACTTGTTGTCGGTGTTGATAACGACACCCTTTTCATCACGCTGGATGCCTAACTCGATCAACTTGGCGAAAGCCTTGGAAAAGTGGTCGAAGAAAAGGTCCTTATCCTCCGCATATTTCTTGACCCAAGGAGCGAACGCCTCGTCAGTCTTGAGTGCCATGTCTGTGGGCAGCATCATCAGGGGCTCCTCGTCCTCGGCGGCATCCGGGTCTACATACACGAACTGTGACATCCCGTTTGCCAGCTTTCGGGGCTGCCAGTCAAGTTGAAGGAGCAACTTGAAAAAGGAGTTGGAAAATCGGGTCGGGTTCGTAACCCAGGGCCCTTCAAACCCGCTTCGGTCGCCATGGCATCGGCCCAGGTTATGTCCACCTGCCAGGGCGACGATCTCTTGATCGTTGAATCCCATGCGGTAGAAGATGAATCGCAAGTGGTCTGCGCCTTGTGCACCGTCGGGCAGCCGACCACGGGGCGGTACCTTACTGTCGTCTACGAGATCGGTGCGGCCTCCCTTCCAGGGGATGTCTGGGCCTCCCAGCTCCTTGATTGCAACCACGCCGGCTAGGGTCCAAAGATCCGAATAAGTGATCCATGGGTGCTTCTCCTTGATGGGCTCAAGGAACGCTCGGCCGTGCTGCAGACCGGCGTTGGCCGGGTCGCCCCCTTCCGCCTCGTATCGCATGCCAGCGCCATTCGAGCCGCCGGTGTCGGATTCGGCGTCGTATGTTCCTGAGGAGTGCCTGTCATCATTCCTGAGTTAGCGGACTGCTGCGGTTCTAATATACCCTCCGTACCAACGACCATCAGTCGGGGATAGCGAAACCAGCGTTGTGGATCGAGTCATCTCCGTCGACGAAGATGGACAATCTAAAAAGGGATATCACTCTGACATACCATGCTAGTCGCACGAAGACCGGGCCTGCGCTTCCGTCGTCATACCCAGGTCTGTGTAACTGGGCGGCAATGTCCTTGCGGACAGCATCAAAATCGCCAGGTTTGCTCATTTTTCCCACCGAATGCCGATCGTCTTCGAGATATGGATGTCTGGGGGGGTTTGGTGAGGGAACTGAGATGGGCAGACGAGGTCGAGTCAGGTTTTTGGTACGCAAATGGGGCGGTTTCTGTGATATATCCAGCACGCTTTGCGGAGGCAATTAGTGGAAGGAAAGACTGGGTTTTGATTGCTGGCACATGAAAACTGGAAGTGGACCCGCGGATGGAATATTCGCCAGCGCGCATTGGATTTTCAAGATGCCGAGGTCCCCTTCGGCCCCGATAAGGCGGCTACGAGCACAATCGGTATCTTGTGGGCTCCCCGAAATGGAATTTCTGTGGGACGCGATTCTTGGTAATCCGACACAGGTGACATGGACCCTTTGCTTCTTGCCACATGCTGGGAATCCCCGGGGTTTCCACAGCCCCGTAACTAGTTAATGATCGCGCGATTTGTAACGCATGCAGCCAAAGCCCTCGGGCAACTAAAACTCACAGCTGTCACGTATATTGACCTGCTCTTGGCGCCGCTGCTAGGTACAAATGGACCCTCGTGCCATGGCGCTCTATGCTACGTATTTGGCACTTCGGCTATGCCTCGGTCATCCCAATCGCCCAGGGCGTTCTCTACTCATATTATCGGTAGATCCCGGATTCCTACAAGCACCAAGTCGTTTGCAGACGAACCGAATCCCGATCGACAACCGAACCGACTTTCGGCGGTGTCGGGCGGTCAGTCCCAGTTCTGCCGTTGCGGCTGCCCAGGTGACGTTGAATGCTTTGACTAATCACTAGGAGCGCGTACGGCCAACCGAAGCGGGCCCCAAAAGATGTTCCAGCGTAGGTGATAAGGGTCAGACTCTCGATGGTCAGCCTCACATACAATAGGCGGCAAAAGTCCGTGTACATTCCGCTTCTACTTACCCGATCAGATACTCACCTAGGCATGTATATTCATGGTTACATATCCTACACCACCAACCCTTTATTGGATCATACTAAAATTCAATATACTGAATAATCAGGTTTATATACGGAGCGTTTGTGCTTAATCTTTGGTATAATAGCCCTCGTTTGTATCCAATTTATTCATCCTTCTTCCTGTACTCAACGTTAACATATCATTCTGTACTGTGCGTGAACGGTGTTAGTCGGCCACATCCCGTATCTTGGAGCTCCAAGGCACTATTTTTGCGGGATTCTACAACGAGAATCTTTTCTAATGAGATACCACAACGCAGTAGGCCCTCCGAAGGGCATTTTATTCGACTGTAGCCAGTGTTTGTACCTGTATGTGTTGGGGTCTATCGGCACGTGATCTTCTAGTCGCCTCTTATCGCGTTCTGGAGCCGAACATCAATTACTGTGTACTCTCAGGATAGCCAGTGCGGGGATCCTCATGTGTTGAAGCAAATGGTGTCGAAACCCAAAAATGGTGGGCAACCAGGCCTGACTGTATTTCAATCTGTTCTCACCTGACTCATAGGCACCGCACACCCTTGAGACACTTCCCATAGAACTACTGATTCTCGTCTTGTTGGAACTACCCGACCGAGCTTCTTTGAAGGCCGCGGTGACTGCTTCGTCTTCTTGCCACAGAGCCTATGTGGCTGCACGGCAAGATGTGCTCTGGTGCATACTCCAGAAGCAATGGGGCAACCTCCTTGATCTATCTGAGGCAATCATTGCTGTCCGATCCGAAGGTCTTTGGTATGCGCATCACAAGGAAGAGGCCACTGCATTATTGGATACTTGGCGCCGAAGCCAAGAAGTTAATGCGCTTATTCTGACGCCCACGGCTCGAACCAATAAACCACGGAGTGTCGAGGAAATCATCAAGCTTTTCACCTTGCACAAGCGGCTCAATTTCTTCCTGGATGACTATTCCCTCTATGTACCGCGCCCCGAGTGGATCGAGCCTGCTCATTGGAATGAGCTGCTACCCCTACAGCTCTCTGATGTAGAGAAACGGCGCTTCCTGAGGGCTATGTGTCGCCTGCAAATCCATGCTAACATCTTCGGGACCCCCGAGAGATCTCTTGATCCCCAAGCACCCCCTCCTGTCCTCAACAACTGGGCGGTCGGCAGCTACTATACTGAAAACAACGTCCGCACACATGCATACCGTCTTTTCTTCGGCACGATGCCTCCGTGGGAGTACCATGAGATGGGATGCGCCTGGTCATACCTTCAATCGAAATACACCCAGGTCGTTACAACTATCGCTGATGATCTGACCCAGCTCGTAAGATCGGAACTGGCAACCTCAGACAGTCAACTGAACGATCGAATCGACTTAGTACCGCTTCATAAGATACTTTCAAAAGATCAATTACCTTACTCTGGGTTCGTGCAAACCTTGGAGCATCTAGAGAACTCTCAGGCGATCGTTAGCGGCTTGACGTCGATTGGACCCGATCTTCTTTATCGTGTACTCCATTCAAAAGGTGTTGATCAGCGCAATCTAGTCCTGAATAATGCGCATTCCCATCATCCATGGATCGGCCACAGGGTTGGTATCCGCCCGGAGGAAGATGCCTTGCCCATGATTTATCCGGCAGATCGACATGCAATTCCCAATTTTGAGCATTTCTGGTCAACCTTACCGCCAATCGAACGGCCCAATGCGGGCTGGCGGTTAGACAGCGTGATGCCCGCTAGACCGGAGACCGAATTCGAAGACGCTTTGTGGCTGTCGCTCCTCAATAAAGAGGAATGGAATTGGGGCTATGCCTTCTGGGATGAAGTAAGGTTGCGAGAATGGGATGCGCCGCTGTTGGAAACCCCCTGGGCCCGCCAGCCTGAGCCTGGGCCCCTACTTCTACTCCCTGCGCCTTACTACGACACGTACACTGAGGTCTCATAAATCTTATCACTTCATTCATGCGGTCAATTGACATCGACGCATATGCCAGGTAGCAAGTAGCGAATAGATCACGAACAGAATGATACCACCCGTTATGACTCGTACTAGTACTTTACGGTTGGAATGCATACTGAGCGGGTCTTGATACCAAGGTAATATCATTCTCATATGCAGAACTCAATAAGGATTATCGCTGCTTGGCCTATAATAATGCCGAGCCTGAGTTCTGATGAAGGCGGCCCCCAAACATATCAAGTTTTGTTATCTGTTCTAACGAACCTTTGCGTTCAAACCGGTATAGCCTGCGAGTCCTCTAAGCATACTCCATGGGCCGGTCGTCTATATCCGTATGCTAGAATTGGCCAGCCTTGCATATCCCTGCGTATGTATCCAGTTTGGTACGCCCTATTATATAAGGGGCACTTTCTAACCATGCATATCGTATGTTCCTTACTTCGCTTTTTTCTACTTTGCTTATGCTGCACTATGTGCACTTGAGGGTTTGGCCTGGCTAATCTGCCATCTGCCTACCAAGACTTAGCAACCTGCCCTAGTTACAGGTCGGAGTGAGATCAGGTATCCCTTAGATTCTAATGCTTTCTTCCATTTTTGGCTTTTAATTTCGGCCTACTCCCTCAAATTCTATCAAAGCTGCCTTCTATTATAATATTCTGCACTATCATAAACCCTTTGATCTCTCTCTTACATCTAGAGGTCAATCCGATGATTCTGCGCGAACTTCGCGTGTCTCCAAAGGAGCACTTCCTCCAACAGATCAATTCAGAAGCTAGTGATGATAGTCCCGACTCTCGGAGGGCGTCTAAGAATTATGTGACCAGGGACTGGACAGCATTCGCCGCAGCTCCGCAAAGCCCGACCATATCTATAACGCATTTTACAAGACCAAAAGGCGGTCCTCCGAAAGACGTTTTTTTGGGCTATTCTACGAAAGATTACAGCTGGCCACCGGACCAGGGAGGGTATGAAGATAACCGCCTAGTTGTTGTGTGTATTGATGAGATGCGAGTGCTGCTTCAATTTGAATCAGTGCCCGTCCGGGCTTTCCGGTGAGCCTTATCGATCTGGACGGAAGTCTAAAAGAAAGAATATCCACAGATCTTTTATCTCATTCTAGATACTATATTTCAGGTTTCGGACCGTTTCTCACCATCTGTGCATGACCCAAGCCAGAAGACTCTCAGTGAGAGATCCAAAACAAAGCTTTTCCCGCCAATTTACATGCTCAACACATGGAACGTTTTCGTGGTTGACAAATCAGAGCGAGCTTTATTCGAGGAATCAGACGACTATACTTACAAGGAGGAGCAGACGAAAAAGCTTTCTCTTTCGGCAGGCCACTATGCGGCGCTGGATCACATACCTGTCAAGCAGGAGCATAGTTCCTACACAGAAAGTATCATGGGCGTCCTAGCACTGGCAATACAGAAAACGTACGAGTTCGACGCCGAGGGACCTACTGGCTACTTGTCTCTACTCTCGTACCGCATCGATATTTATATCCATCGATATTGTTGGACAGAGCGGTTGGTTTCAGGATGGATGCGCTACATCACATGGATTGGGGAGAATCGAGAGATTCTATACACTGACCAGCCCTCGGAACCAATTGAGCTTATACAGCCTCGATATTCATGCATAATCTACAAAGGCGGAATAAGATTATTGAGGAATTCTCGATGCAAGTGCAGGGGGGCACTATAGATGTCAGTGACACAGGGGAGATTGTTGCGGCACTACTCCTTCTCTTCGCCGCAGAGGAGCCGTCACCGTTTCATCATCATTATCCGTAAAGGGACCCGATTTTCAGAAATATAACATCTTTTCTTGTGGGTTTCAGTCATCGCGCAGTTTTCCTAGATACGGCTGTGACAACTTGGCTCTCTTCTCCATGTCTTTCTGGGTCCGTGTAACGAATCCTGGATACTTGGAGATTGGGGTGAATGTAGACCGGGTATATTTTTGTTTGGCGGACGCGTCAATGTTTGTCAGCGAGATTAGGGATCTGCCTCCTACCAAAATATTAACCCACTTGAGCCCGGAAAGGACGCAGAAAAAGACCAGGCTTGTCCAACAAGGGCTTCTTCAAGCAAATATTCGATCCATTTCGACTTGGCCGGTAAGCCTCATCCTGTTGTAGCATATACGGTCCCAGTCCGTATAAACCAGACGCCATCCAATTCCCGAAAAGCCAGCGAGAATGGCCATAATGACTTTATCCGGGTTTACGTCGAGGCGGAGACGAGGCTGCTCTGACTGTGTCGCGCCTCTCTAACCTACTCCACTGCCACCCTATGCCTATCACTCCTCAAAATGAGAGTCACCGGGAATATTTGACCCCGCTTCGAAATTTGTGGACAGCTAGCCATTGCTCAGTAAATTCTTAGAAGTTTGGTGTATCATTAAGTGCCTTCCCTTTCTAGTCAAAAGCCCCATCCACGAACTTGGGATTTGATGAGTTCCTAATATAATTTTCCTTCGCTGAGGTGTCAGGTACAGAAGAATCTGCAGTATAACATGTAGTAAGTGACGCTGCAGCTTTTGACTCAGATACTTGGTAACATACACCTCATGTAAAAAGAACTACGCGCCCCTAGTTAATTAGTACCTTTCTTTATTGACCAAAGAGCTAATTTCAGCACAAAGGATGACGAGCAGTACTACTAAAAGCACTTATAGCCCAAGAGAAGCACTGTAAACTTGGTCATAAATCTTTCTCCCCCTTTGGAATGGTGAGGACATGGTTTATGGACCCCTCAATATCCGATGGTATCTTTTGATTAATTTATCTAGTAAGAAACTTCGATTCACGCCACCATACCCAATTCTTGTTTCTTAAGGGCCTCCTACTTGGGGTTTATTTAATCTATGGCTTCGATGAGTCCTTTGTCTTCTATCTTGCTATCTTTCAAATTGTTGGATCCACTCCAAACAAAGACGTCTAGAATCCTTTTTGGCTTCTAGACTTCTCCCATTCACGTTCACTTCAGAAAAAGTTTGAGACCTAAGTGAGACATGGAGCTCTGGAACTCCGAGTCAGACTACCAAGGTCGACCTACCAGATGTGCTACCACTGGGCATTTATATATTCCCAGAAGTACCCTTGCACCTGTGCCTGTCTACCGAGTTTGAACATTTCACGTACTCCTATCAAATGACAGCAGGATATTCCTCATCACCTAGAGCACCATTACAGTCCCATTATTCGAAATTTGCAAGTAGATTGCAGGCTTTGATTCTACTTAACGCCATGGGCAGACATGGGATTGGAGGACACACAAACCTTAAGCAGAAAAGTCTGCTTGCGCCTCCGGCTTTGGCTTGGGCTGGCTTGGGAGATATTCCACGCCCGTACAGGCCGCGCCGCGCTATTTACTGCATTAGGAAGTCATCCTCTGGGAGGCAAGGAATCTCGAAAGAGGGCAGGACTGCAATACCCCCTTTTGGGTATGAAGCCATGTGCTCTTTGAATAAGGTCCAAGACTATGTACCCCGAAGTGCGTATCTCATCAGTGACAAAGAGCTGCCGCCACTTAAGCACAACGCCCCGTACAAGCCGGGTATAAAAGGCCGGGTGGCTGTTATTCCGAAAGACACGCTCGACGCGGCTTATGCACTCGAAGAGGCGAGGGAACTTCTGGGGAGCACAGACGAAACGATGATTTGTATCTTCAATATGATCAATGCCGCCACGCCTGATTGTGGTTGTTTAAGCGGGCACAGCGCGCAAGAGGAGCACTTGTGTTGTCGATCCACCCTGCCTCAAGCCCTCCCCTCTCGGTTTCATCGCATGGGGGAGTTAGAGTGTGTATACTCCCCTTCGGTGATCGGTCTTCATGAGAACGACAAGAAAGGAGACTTTTTGATACCGAGTCAGGAATCTCCCCATAAAATACTGAAGTATAGTGTCATTAGTATGATGGCCCAGCACAAACGACTCAACGTCCAAAGCGAGAACAACTGGCGCTCAAAGGATCAGAACTTGATGGTACAGAAGATGCGTCTGATTCTTCGAACTGCTGCCTCAAATCGTCACCGGCGACTCATTCTTGGGGTACTTGGCTGTGGGATATTTGGTCACCCCAACGCGGCAGCCTGTTGGGAAGAATTTCTCTCCGACAAGGAATTTGAGGGATGGTTCGAGATAGTCGTGTTCGCCATTAGTGACCGCGGGAATGATTCGGACTATAACACTTTCCGTGATGCCCTACACGGACTACCGATTTGACTGTTTCTGCTTGCGGTCTGAACTTGAATCTCTTGGAATTTCGACGGCCCTAATGCGCTGATGAGATCCATTTCACGCCAAAAAGAAAGGGATATAATCTATGTACTCTCCTGCTGTTAGAGGTTTTTCTTCTTCATTTTGGGATATTCAAAGTAGTTTCTAGATTCAAAGCGCTAAGATAAGGACATTTCACCAGCAGATTCGATATCTCGCAGGATTCATCGTTTTACTAGTATGATAGTTTTTGCTAGTATGCAATCGATTGAGTATCAACATATTGTTTGCAGTAGAAATGGTATCTTCAATTTCACTTTCTGACGCGGGTTGACCGCCGCCTGCCGGTTGCTTCATTTGTTGGTTTCTCGTCAACCTCCTTCTTCACTTTTGGAGCTTTGGAAGTCTCTTGTTTAAGTTCATGTTCAGAGTCACTCTCATGCTTTACACCGCGTTTTCGTTTGGCGCCGGGGGCTGCATCCCCGTCTGCGTCTTCAGTCACTGGCCCCGTCTTTTTTTGTACGGCGGGGACAACTGCACTTGTCCTACCCCCAACCGTGAGGAATGTGATCTTGTCACCATTTGGAAGGACGGACGGTTGGTTTTTCTTGCCTTTGCCCCATCGATGTTTGAAAAGCCAATGCTCGGGGAATTTCTCGGAGTCGGCCAATAGGTCAAACGCCGTTTTGCAGACATAGTGAATGGATGTATGAAGGTCTTTGATCTGGTCATCGCGTAGAGTGTTGCTGTATTGTTCTGGATGTATCCTGGCATTGTACAGGATTTCGTCGCTTTCGAACAACTTTAGTTTGTGCTGGAGAAGCCTGGCTGGGCAAGAAGGACCTACCCCATCCAATTTCCTATACCGCTTATGTTTGCTTGGTCGAGAAGCAAAGCCTTGATCGGAACCTTTTTACTCTTCAACTTTTCATCCAACCACGACAGCGTCAGGATATCTTTGTCCGCCACGGGGTCAGGGCCGTTCTCCTTGAGGGGAGAGTAGCTGCGTATCTCGTCGGCAGGACAATCCACCAAACGAATACGGCTGAGTCGGCGAAAGTCCACAAAAGCAGCTTCCGTCTTGGGCTCGGTAGTCTCGAGGAGGAATTTCCAGTACTTCGGTGGCCATTCTTTGTCTGCGGGTTTATCGGTGCGGTAATAGTAGGTATCAGCGTCCTTGATTTTGAGCCACCCGGCCATGCCAAAATGCATCAGCGCATGCGGGGGGGCTGGACATTGTGATCCAGAAATATTTGCCTTGCTGCCCGGCACCCGTGATTTTCTTCCCTTGTAAAGCTTTCTGAAACTCGGCAGCACTTGTCCCTACCTTGCCAAACACAATGTCATCATGTTGGGCCTGGACTTTGGAGAGCGTCTTCCCCACCAGGTGCTTATGAATGAAATGTACGATTCGGGAGACCTCAGCATGTTCGGGCATGATGGGGCAGGGGTGCCAGAGCGTCAGTGATGAGAGCAAAAGGGGACTTAGAGAGGGACTCTCGATGGAAACCAACGCGCCCGCAATGCTCAACACGAGACGCGTGATCACCTGACCTACAGGCTATGCCCGATTCAGATACTGACAGTTATGGGCAGACTTACGCCTCTCGCCTTTCCTTCTAGTTATACACTGGCCTTGAGGTTAGTCACCCGATACCATTTAGTTCACGTATCGTCGCAGATTAATGCACGGAGCTGCAAGCAGCGAGACAATGATGTCTTTTCAGCAATAATTTCGAAGCATCCCTATGCGCCCTATTGAACTTGAAGCCCTGGGCCTACATGGATGTCTTGAGCTTTTGATGCGCTTTCACATTTGGAATTGCAAGTTAACCTGGTATCGCCAATCATCTTGTCAAAATTCACCAGAATCTCCGCCGATCGCCACGTCCTCTAGCAGCCTAGGTAAATTGCTGGTTCTATTAGTCTATTTTTGGATATTTCTTGGACATGGCAAGTGCCATTGGGGACGAGCGAAGACATACCGTTGGCGTACAACGCGTAGGTATCTGCATTCAGGACTGCTTGGCTACTGTTAAGCGCCTCTATCGCCGAATAGCCATACCCCAGATCCTGGGTCCCCGGACTATAGACCCCGGGTGCGTGGGTGAATTCATGAAGGGCGGTCGTGGCCCTGTCTTGGTTATGACAGCCAGTCGCCAGATCAGGTAAATACGAGTACCAGATGTCACAGTTGGCAATGATGTTCTGGCTTGGAAGGGTGTATGCCAGCACATTCGACTCGCAGAATCCAAGCACATCGGAGCAATAATACGTGGTTGCCCCGGAGTCTCTCGAATCTGCTTCCTTGGCAACCGCAAGCAGTCGACTTGCTACTATGCTTCGGGTCTTCGCATCGTCCGTTTTGAAATACTCAACGAATTTATCGGCGGACCCGGACTGCGCAGCGTTCGCCGCAGCGTTGGCGAGGGAAACCACGTTGCCTAAGGCTTCACCCAGAATGCTCGTTCTTTGAGAGTCGGTACACGTCTCTTTGGTATGCCAATTTAGTGGGCTCATGGTCTTGGGTCCCTGAAAGGCTCTGGTCCCGTTGACTTGGATGGTGAGCTCCTCAGAGAAATACGGAAGGTATCCCGAAACCGCTCCGTTATTCACGAGAGAGACCGAGCCAGAGGAACGGAGGGTGAACAGGCCACCGTGGCCTAGATCGCTTGTTTCAGCAAGGTCAAATTCATCCTCGAAGATTTCCCCGGCATGAAGTGTCGTGAGGACCTCTGGTGTCAGCCCGTCAAGGCGAAAGTGCTGCCTGATCCCCTCAAACTGCACCCGCGTATCTGTCCAATGTGAGTGCCACTTCGAAAGAGGACCCGGAGTGGAACCATACTGCCACGGTAGATATCTACTTTTTGAACTGGTGCCGGATCGCGGAAGAAGTTCAGATGCACGAAAGTCACATCTTCCTTGCCAGTGTTTCGCACACGCGCTCTGATGAGTGTGTTGTCAGTCTGGCTTAGTTTGACTTCTAAAGTGGGCACTCCATTCAAATTCAGAGGAATTGCAGATACATGGAGTTGAAGAATCAATGCCCAGTAACATACTACAATTAGTATCATGGCGCGTAGTAAGGGTGTGACGACCTAAGTGAACTCAGTAGAAGGGTGCGTATACTGAAATAATCTACCGAAGAGCCCGTGGACGCAAAGGTAGGCTTTATAAGTAAACAACGACTGGACAGACATGCTAAAGACGATGTATTATCTGTTCTTCCTGGAAGGACGGAAATCTCAGAAATAAGCACCCCTGCCAGGGCACGAAGAGCAGCCGACGGGAGAAGCAAAGAGGGTAGTATCCACCGCTTCCACTTGAGAAACATGAATCTCCCTGCTACCAATTTATCTTTTGTCAGGGCCCTTACTCCGGTCTTTCACTGCTGGCCCCTTCTAAGCAGCTGAGAACATATTATGCCAAGATGGCTTGGTTGAAGAACTCAGCACAGTTCCATCTAATCCAAGTTGTGTTTCACCCATTCATCACCGAGTGTTCAAATATACAGACGCTGAAATTTTGTGGGACGGCATCCAGGTCATTCGTTCTTCGTCAGCCTCTTTCATTGGCGCGGCAACATGAGGGTTTGAAGCGGAGCGGAACTTGTAGTAGCAATGTAACTTTTCGAGATGTTTGTGCTCAGAGAAAGATGCGCTTATCCGCAAGCCTTTGTCCAATATGCGGAAGCCAGTCCAGCTGCAGCGTAAAATCAGATATCTTGGCGCAGAGCTGGGCAGTGGTCTTCGAGTATAATGATGAAGCTGCAGAAAGCGTATGCCGTCCTAGAGCCGATTAGGCTAGACATCTGGAATGGATCGATACTTTTGTTGATCGGGCCCAATGGCTTATTCAACATTCCTGGTTCTCAAATATAGGCCACAAATTCATTAGTCATAGTGGGTGATGTCTTCCAGGCGATTATTGGCATTCGCGTTTTTTAGCACTATGTTACATCCGTCACGGCTATTGAAGTACCTCAGAGTGGTATAATCGGATAATATGGCCCTTTGATGGTTCCACGGCATGATAAGACGGATGTACATCTACCAAAGCGAGCCCAGGCACTGACAGTTGGTTTCCCCCACAATGTTAGTACTACCGATACAACCATTTGATGCACGAAGCCTGAGGCCCATAACCTTGGAAGGAGGTCATAAGATCGTCATCTCACTAACTGCCCATAGGGCGGACCTAAGGAGCTTGTTCTTCAGGATAGGTCTGGGCCTGAAGGAGCGGCCCCCAAAGGGCCGTGAACCTTCATAGTTGGGCTGCTGATTGAAATGCTGTATCGAAGCCTTTATTAAACCTAGAAAAAAGAAGGATGGGCCACGAGTAATCGATTTTAGGAACCAAATCGGTGTACCTGACGATATCATAAGCTCCTGCCCGCAATAGTCTCAAGAGTTCTTCCTGCGGAGGGACTTTTGGCAGAGCGAACTTGGCCCCCGCGGCGAGTGTGAAAGGCTTGTGGGGGCCAACCTCCCTTCGCCCTCCAGAGACGGCCCAGCGATACACTTATGGCCGTGCTATAATTAAAATAGCCTTCCGCTTCTGATGGAGAATTCGTGATTCCTGACTTCCTTCTCTTGCTTGAGCTTTCTACGATGGCCTCATCCCAGTCTGAAGTGGCCTTCGCAAAGGCCTCCATTAGAGGCTCTGCACGGATTATGTCGAGGAACGAGGTCAGCCCAGCTCAATTGTCAGAGATTGCAGAGCTATGTGGTCTGTCTGAAGACCAGATTGAAGACGTTTATAGTTGCACAACTACCCAAGTTGGTTTCACATTACAAGGAAGGACATCCACGCTGGTTTTTGTTTATGAAATTGGCCCCGACGCCGACATTGATCGGTATCTAGATGCTGTTCGCGAAGCAGTCGCTCGAAATCCCATTTTTCGTACCCGGATAGTGAAGAGCAGCAGCCTTGGCTATGTGCAGGCCGTGACGAATGTGGCGCATGAGACTGAGCGCGTTGATGGGGACCCGTTTGAGTATGCCCAGCGGCCAGAGGTCTACGATAGGGTCCTGGGGCAGCAGCTATTCCGTACAACATGTATCGACCGGCATTTAGTGGTGGGAATTCACCACAACGTCATGGACAACTTCTCTTGGAACACCTTCTTGAATGTTGAGATCGCGGGGGTATACCAGGGGTTACCTCAGCAGAAACGAGCTCCGTACAAGGAGTTCGTGAAGCAATGTTTGGAGCTGGATGAGTCGGCCGCCACGTCATTCTGGAAGCCTCGTTTTCAAGGGGTTCCAGCGATTTTCCCCAAGCCATTGCCAAATCACAGAGTCCTGAACAAGATCAGGCCCCCGCGCAAGATTCCCTTGGAGCACATTGGAACGAAAGTGCCCGTGTTCCAGGTACGTAGATTATCACGCTTCGATCGGTCGCCTCTAACAAGATTGGGAAGGTACCTTCTTACATTGAGATAGCATGGGTCTTGACAGCTAGCATCTATGCGGATAGCGACAAGATCGCTTATGGGATGATATTGGCAGGTCGCTCCCCTGATCTCGACAGTCATACAGGCTGGCTGGGTCCCATGTTGGTGGGTGTTCCCCTGCAAGCCAATATACAACGCACCATGTCCATCGAGCAGCTTCTCAAAGATCGCGTGGTGTCTCTGCGTCAGCTCCAGAAAGAACCGATTCTTCTCCAATTTGGAATGGACCGGATTTCTGACATCAGTGAAGCGAGTAAGGTCGCTTCAGAGTTCCAGGCAATCTTGAACTTTAGAGCTCCTGTCCAGAAAACGACCGAATCAAGCTCAGACGCTTCTCTTGCTACGCTCCGCGGGTCTTATAACATGTCTTCATGCTTTCCCTTAGAGATCATCTCTGCCCCTATGGATGACGGTATCTCCATGGACGTGAACCAAGATAGGGATGTCATTCCAGATGAAGAGATGGAACGTGTTTTGAATCAACTGGAACATACCATAAGAGCAATCATGGACGCACCACCTCAAACTAAAATTGATCAGCTCAGGCTTCTGAACCGTCACGATCATGCGCAGATTCTTTCGTTCAACGAAACGACTCCTCAGAAGCTCGAGGGTTGTATCCACAGTTTGTTCAAAGAGAAGGTGAATGAATATCCTGATAGTACAGCCATCGAAGGAACAGATGGGAGTGCGACTTATCAAGAGTTGGATCGACTCTCAGATCGCCTGGCTCATCACTTGCGGGCGAACGGTGTCAAGCTTGAGGATCGAATCGGCCATGCGTTTGCCAATTCGCTTTGGGCCATAGTCGCGATCCTTGGTACCATCAAGGCTGGCGCTGTGTGCGTTCCTATTGGTATAAACGAAGAATCCGATCAGATTGGAGCCTTCCTATCTCAGACTGGTATCCGAACGGTTCTGACGTCGCCTACAGAGGATGTGCACTTCACCGACACTGGAGCGAAGGTGCTCCTAGTTAACTCTGAAGCCAGCAAAGAATGGCCAGAAAACTCGGGAACCCCAAGTGAACAAACTGCTTCCCCCGAAAGCTTGGCCTTCATTACATCGTCTGATGCCAGTACCGGCCCATCAAAGCGAGTTTTGATTGAGCATAGCTCTGTTGTATCAGGGCTAGTGCCTCTCCTTGAGCAACTCAAATGGCATCCAGAGTCTCGAATTCTGCACACGAGCCCTTACACATCAAAATATGGGCTGACCGAGGCGCTTGGCGCCCTTTTAGCAGGCTCTCGCCTTTGTATTGCCCCTAAAGGAATGAATGGGACAACGCTCTCGAGCTTTTTAGGCGAACACAAAGTGACCTGGGCAATGCTGCCTGCCACAGCGCTGCAAGGTCTATCCGCGGAATCTCTACCAAGTATTGAAGGGATCATTCTGACAAGTGGGTTGGCCAAGTCTGACCCTGCAGCAAGTTGGGCCAAGAATAGCAAGATTTTCAATGCCTGGGGGCCATGTGAGGCAGCAGGCTTTTCCACTATTGCAAAAATAAGCGGAAAAAACCTTGACCACAGTTCTGAGGATATTGGTATCCCTATAGGCTGTTCTCTGTGGATCGCCAATGCTCGCGATATCAACCAACTGGCACCAATCGGTGGCGTAGGGGAACTAGTGGTCGAAGGACCTCACATTGGCCGGTCGTATTTGGATGACGTAAAGCAGACCACAGCAACCTTTATTCCTCCCCCTGAATGGGTACCCGCCAAAGACAAGCAAGCAAGGTTCCTTCGCACCGGCCAGCTTGCCAAGTACAATGCGGATAGGAGCATCTCCTTAGTTGGCAGAGTCTCGAATCGAGTAAAGGTTGGCAAGGAAACAATACAGCTTGAAGAGATTGAGAATTTGCTCGCCAGATGCAATGAGATTCGGGAAGTTGTTGCCATCTCGAAGATTATCAGAGGCCGCACCAACTTGATTGGCTTGGTTAGCCTGTCAGATCCGCGTCTGCCAAGCGCGAAGGTCTTCCAGCCTCTCGGTGAGGCACAGCTAGACGTCTGCAAAGAACATCTGATGTCAGTGCGCACGCAGTTGGCGTGTAAAGTGGCCTCTCATAAAGTTCCCACCACGTGGATCGTTCTGGAAAGGCTACCGCAAACTCCTTCTCAAAGAATCAATCGAACCGCCGTTTCTGAGTGGATGAAGGCCGGCAAAGGAGACAAATGCTCCATCAGCATCTAATAGGCCCAGTCATTAGTGACAGTTGGTCGATCATCGAGATGCCGATCTTGCGATAGATTCATAGATTAAAGGAGTATTTTCTCCTGAGATACAATGCTCTAAACATTGAAGGTATACAATAAATGCGAGCTTATTCCATTTTCCAATGCGCAACTATTTTATATTTCATCCCCCAAGGCCGGGCAGGTAACAGTGGTGAGGAGACTACTTGATGAATTAGTCTTCGCAAATTGATTGTCCAACATTCTAGTTGGACTAAGCAAAACTAGTGCAGCAATGACAGGAAAATTGATTCCAAGCTGGAAATCGTATCTCCCATCTTGCCATCTATCTGTCTTTTGCACGACTGGTCTTCTCAGTCCCTAGTGAATCGAGGGATAAAGGCTTCTTGACAAAACCCGCAACCGCATCACACATTACTACAGGCCCTGGAGGCAATTGATTCTATACGAATCACCGAAAGTCTATCCGACAATAGAGGAATAAACATCCTCCTGACTATCTGATCCGACTACAGTTCAAGACTACCGGAAAAGATGGAGTTAAAAAGACTGAGACGTGCTTTTCAAGACCCGAGTTTCGAACAGCGGCCAAAATACCGGACTCTGATAGCTACAGTGAGGTCTTTCTGGGCCGAATAAAACCCACGGGTCATGGGAATGGGCGGGCGAATTTCTACGGACCCCTACAATTTCCTTCGAGGGGATGTTACTGCCTCTCTTTCATGTAGCACTACTCTTTGAAAGATGAAAGACCTTGAGTCACTGAATTCAACTCCGGAGGGGTATCATTGAATGCGGTATTTAGTATCTGAAGAAACTAGTTAGCAAAGAGCAGTGAAGAAGATGGAGTGGCTTAAACTTACGAAAAATTCTCTCTGTGAAGCCACAGTTCCTTTGCAAATCCAGGTTTGCCGGAGAGAATGTGACTTTGGGCCTCTGAAGCCGCCGAGCTGACATCATGAGTCATGGAAGCTGGTCCGCAGACAACAGTCCCAATGGACGAGCCAGCATTTTCAGAAATATTCTGAACGGCGAGTGGTAGATTGGGCCTTCCAGAGAAGAACTGAACATTGAATATCTCGTAGACCAAGGACTCTGATTCCTTAGAGTGCACTGATTTTGATGCAGTCCCCTCTTCCACTTCGAATACTTTGTTGTCTGTTGTCGGTGCCAATGCCGGAGTGGCGGAAAAGGTTTCGTGAATACGGATGCTGAGCCCGGGTACTGACTTCTGCCAGGACTGTCTGGTCGCCAAATCTTCCAAGGCATGCGTATACCAGGCCTTCATTCCTGGGTCTCGTGTCGCAAGAATGACCCTCATTTCTTTCCCTTGTCGGAAGTTGGAGCACCGGACAAACTCTTCGATGAGAGACAAGGCTAGTCCTGCACCAGCACCGCCGCAAATCACCAGGCTCTTGTCGAATTCTTCCAGTCGCCCTTCGGAGAACCCGCCGTAGGGGCCATCCATTAAAACAGGAACTTGGGCTCCCGGGGTCTTCTTCGCCAAGCCCATCAAGCGGGCTGTCAGCCCACCACGCTGCCTCACGTAGAAAACTAATTCATTTTCCCCGTTCGTCTGTGGAACAGAGCAGACAGTAAACGGGTGGGCCGTCAGGGCATGTACGCCACAGGTCAAGAACCGAAGGAAGATGTGCTGCCCAGGTGCCCAGTGCATTTGGGTCTTGATAGTGATTTTCATGGTGTAGTCAGATTCCGCAACCAGGGTAGCCTTGTGTCGTACACCATGTTCAAACCAAGTTCGACATTGTGCATATAACCAGCATAGTGTATAAAGAACACCCGTGGCAATGAAATAGTCCCATGAGCTCATGCGGAAGTCGCAGTGAAGGAAAAAGAAGATGACGAAAACTATTGCCATGAAGTAATGGGTCGCTTTGAAGAACTCATAGTAGCGGTTACTGAGATAATAAAGACATTAGTCTCCATGTGAGTGATATGGGAAATTGAAGGGCGCGCATACCGGATCCATGAGATGGAGAAAAAAGTCAGCCAAGCTTGAGCGATAATTGCGACTACTCCCGTCACCCAGATACCCTCATCATTCCACTGTTTAACAAGATCCCCCTTCCAGATGTGGTAAACGATGAATGGGAATGTGTGCACCAAGGCCAGGACGAACATGGCCCAGGCCACCCAGTTGTGCCAGACATTCAGCTTCTCATGCGATATGCCTGTGATCGCAGTGATCGGATTTGCTTTCGCACCAAGCACACTGAGAATCGTTGACGGTCAGTGCTGTATGCACAGGGACCAGAGCACAAAATACGTACATTAGAAAAGGCATGCACCCCAGAGCCAAGAAGCCGGCTCTCGTGGCGATCGGGGGAGAATTTCCATAGCTAATCTCCCTCGTATTGGGCCAGTAATACGGGCGAGGTCCAAGGGTCATTGCTGGAAGATTCGACAATTAGAACACACTCCACACATTCTCCCTGAGCTTGTTCTTACCAAAGAAAAAGATGAGTCCTGCTCCGCCAAGCAGGAAGACGCCCAAGGATTGCGAGTTCCATCCTGCAATCCTCCACATTTTATAAGACAGATAGCGCAGGAATGCCAAAGGCCGTAGCCATATTGAGCTTGCCTTTACGCGAGTTGGCGATACTTGCGACACGACATGTGCAATGGCGAAAAGAATGATCGCAACCATGAAAAATGCCACGGTAGGCAGAGCGTAGCGATGGTCAGCCTCATACCAGTACACCCAGTACCGAGTTTTGTATGCGCACTGCTCTGGGGTCATGGTACACTCTCCCGGATTACGAGAGGAGTGCAACATGACCGGCTGGTCCAGGAATGGGACCATCGGCATCTTGAACAATAATTGACCAGAATCGTCCAAAGGAGATGTTCAGCACGATGTGTCTAGAGAGGTTGACAATAAAATCACCTCCAGACCAAAGAGTCACTCGACATTATTAATATTCCTAGGATATCATTGCCAAGGTCAAAGCTAGGCTCCACCGGAGATATAATTTCTTGCTCAATTCGTCTCGCGCTAAGCGCCTTTCTTGCTCACGGTGGTGAGAAATGGGCGGCGCTAATTGGTCCACAGGGGACCCCAGAGGAGCCTGGGCGGGTTGAGCACGTTTTCCATCAGGGCTCTAGATCACCAGGTGTCTGAGCCGACCTGCGTTCTCGTTGATTCGTCCTCTTTCAGAAGTTGGATGCGGGCGGGTTTTACGAGTTAGCCCCGCTGAGCAAATTTGAGGGTGTTTTGAGTGGATTTGGTGGCTCGAGTGGGGACTTCCGCCCCGGTTCCGCCAGCAACATGTGCGCTCGCGACAAATCACAGCCCGCGATAACCCAGGAATATTCGATGAAGCTTCGTTAGGGAATCGGAACTTGCAGGCTGTTCAGCCCAGACTACCTTGGAGGTTCCATTCGGGGGACTAGAAAGACCCACTTCGGATCTTGCCCTGTGACCAACCCGTTCTTAAGTGATTGCCAACCCTCCATCTTTCGATCGAGGAGAGATTGCTTAAGGCCATGAAATAGATCGCCACTGCCCCATGTTCTAGGGTTGTGAGTCTCTTTTTTTCTTCTATCCTCACAAGTCCAGCGCTCAAGGCGGCCCCCCCTCCAGCAATATGGATGACATGTCTGGTATGGGTGGTATGGGTGGTATGGGTGGTATGGCCACCTCCACCATGTCAATGGCAACAGCAACGATGACCTCGGGCATGTCGATGGCGACGTCCACAGGCTCTTCTATGCACATGGGTTCGGGCATGTCCATGTCGATGTCGGATATGGCAATGACCTTCTTCACCTCCTTTAAGACTCCGCTCTATTCGGACGATTGGACCCCCAGTTCAGAGGGCCACTACGCTGGTACCTGCATTTTCTTGATTGTGCTGGCCGTCATCCTACGAGTATTGCTCGCATTACGGCCAATCTTCGAAGGCCGTCTCTGGACCGATGGCATCAAACATAGCATGGACGATCATATCATCGAAGAGCCCATGAAGCGAACGTCTGGGGTCAGGCAAAGCTTCCAGGAGATCGGGCGCCGATGGTCAAGGTGGCGCGTGAATCCCGCTGCTGGCCGCGCAACGTATGAATTGTTCGTAGCGGGTATCGCCTACTTGCTGTAAGTTATTCTATAATGTTGTTTTCTAGGTCCTTGCTGACTTTCCAGGATGCTGGCAATCATGACCATGAACGTGGGGTACTTTCTATCGGTGCTAGGAGGGATATGGCTGGGTACATTCATCATGGGCAGTGTGGCGGCTGAAAGTTCATGGTTACATTGCTGAAACGCTTCTTTTTCCTCCTTCTCTCCGTCAACATACGGTAACACGTTGCAACCCCTCTTTTGCATTTCTGTATATATATATACACCCTCATTAGCATGTCAACCAACATTCCTACTTGAGCTGATGCTCTGGCTTTTTCTCTGTTGTAGGAAGTCGGTGCCATTATATCTAGATACATAGAATAGTCGTGGATATTAAGCATTTGAGTAGGACAATTCTGTAGCTGGCTGTATCACATTATGCCCGATTTCCAATTCAACCTGGTGGCGCAACGCGCAAGAATGGACTGAGCCCTTCATCTGCGGTACCACATCCTTGTCACCGGGGTTCTTCGGATTTTCCTCTGAAGGAGGAATATACCTTGCAGCAAAGCTTCTGGGGTAGGCGGACAGCCAGGGATATAGATATCTACCGGCACAATACGGTCCACTCCACGCAACACACTGTAACTATAATGGTAATACCCTCCGCCATTTGAGCAGCTACCCATACTAATCACCCACTTGGGATCAGGCATCTGGTCATACAGCTGCCTGAGTGCTGGCGTCATCTTGTTGGTCACTGTCCCGGCAACTAACATAACATCGGATTGGCGTGGAGAAGCCCGGAAGATGATACCCAGTCGATCCTGATCATATCTTGGCATGGATCCCCCCATCATCTCGACACCGCAACAAGCCAGGGCAAATGTTAGCGGCCATAAGGACCCTTGCCGGCTCCAGGCAAGGATCTGGTCCGCCTTCGTCCTATTCATAACAGTCAGCACTCAATTTCTTCTGTCCAACAGAACGGATCATGAGCAAGGTGGGAGAAAGGAAATGGCACGTACAATGCGTAGCCAACCGCCCCAGACTTCGGTTCATTGAACCGGGGAGATTGCTTTAGGTTAAGCTTTCCAGGCACCGAGTTGGTGTTCTGGTCGCCCCAAAAACGCGTTGTGGTATGTGCAATTTGTGGTGAGATCCTCAAGGAATGATGTATTCGCAACTGTGATGCGGGCGATGCATAAGGGACAGGCAATGGTAGGACTGTTTGCCGCAAGAGTCCACAAGTTTTAGACATTGCTCCGGGAATGAGATTCAGTTGAAGTTTGAAGGAGACAGTCAAACCTCATTTGGGTTTTGTTACTGGCGATGGATTGTATGAGATGCCTACCCAAGATTCAGCCAATCATAGGAGGCCAAAGTCGGCGACTTGATGGGGCAGGCCAAAGTCCCCAAATCAAAAGCTGTGAAAGTCGGCGAACATGTGGGGCATCTCAACCTCGAATCCAGGAGCGACATGGCTTACTTTCTCATCCCGTAGAGATGCCGCGAGCGGCTCCAACAAAAATAGCCTGTGGATTATGCCATGAGCGAAGAGTGAAATGCGACCGAACCAGTTATTCCCCTTGTACGCAGTGCCAGATTGCACGGATTCCTTGTGAACTCATCGCCTCGCGTCGCGGAAGGTATGACCTCACAACAAAAGCAAAGTGCTTGTACTTATTTGCAGACACCGAAAGCTGCCACTTCCAGATGTTCCCCGACCAGCGCCTTCCTCCCAGTTTATCACAGCCAGTCAAGCGACCGAGGCATGCGCGACAAATGCGGTCGCGCGGAGTGAGGAGGAAAGTCAACACAAGCAAACTGAAATACCATCTCTGCTACCGACAAGAGTTGGAGAGAAAATCCCGTACATGGTTGATTCGTCAAACATAAACTACCTTATTCGAGAATTTGGTCACCCTTCACGACTTCTCACGGATGCAGGCTCCCAGTCGATAGAAGAGTATCTTCACGAGGCATTGACGGGACGATTAGACCAGACTACAGTCCACAGTATTAAAAGTCGGCGATTTGGGCTAATTGATCGGCTTAGAGATCAGGGGGCATTTGATGTACCGGCCGAAGGGATCAGAGCTGCATTGCTCGAGACATTTTTCCAGACATCCTTTTCTTACTTCCCAATCTTAGATCGGTCAGATTTCACGAAGAGGGCCAACGAAGGCCCAGCATCTCATTTGCTGTTGAATGCAATCTTTATGGTTGCAACAATATATTGTGCTGACTCTCTTGTCACCGAAGCTGGCTTTGATTCTCGTTTCACTGCAAGTCTCACCTTTTATCACCGAGCAAAAGATATTTATGATGCAGGCTATGAAACTGATGTGATCACGGTCATACAATCTACGTTCCTTCTGTCTCATTGGTGGAGTGGCCCGCTTGAACAGAAAGACCCCTGGTACTGGCTAGGTATCGCAGTGGGTATGGCACAGGCCCATGGCATGCATCAGTGGTGAGTCAATTCATCTATACCTCTAGATCAGTCGACTAATTTATTATAGCAAAAAGTACGCCTGCCTCCACTCTCGTGACAGGAAAGTCTGGAGAAGGTTATGGTGGATCATCTACGTGTGTTCAAAAATTCAGCATGAACAGATCTCCAACTGACTTGTGCTTAGGCAGCGGACATCTACATGTCGATGTGCCTTGACAGGCCTCCACATGTATTGGAAGGTTTCTGCGAAATAGAAATGCTTTCAGAGGCTGATTTCGAGAGCCACGCGGACTCTGTGCCAGGAAGCGTTGGAACGGCACGGGAGCAAATGTTTTTCGTTATTCACCATGCTCTATTAGCAAGAACAGGTAAGTCCAGACTCACAGTCAGTGAATTATCGGGTCGTCTAACATGGATCCAAAAGCCAATTCTCCTCACCCCTGGCAACGGTCTGATGGGGGGGAAATGTCGCGACAAGATGATTGCCTAAAGAGGATTTCGAACTTCTTGGCGTCAATCCCCTTGGACGTGACACGATCGCCGAAAGGAAAACCTTGGCTTATGCTTATTCAACTCATTAGCGAGTACGTTTGCGAGCGCCAATCCCCCTAAAGATTCTTTGTCTTAATCTTCTCTATTAGCCATTATCAATTACTTTGCTACAGAAAGGTTCCAGAAGCAGTACATAACATCACGCCAGGTACCCCGGTGTTTGAGTTATGCACTAGGCTATTCCGCAATTTTGAAGATCTAATGGCTGTCGGAGCATTGCACTCCTTTTGCGGATATGTGTAAGGAAGTCACCCAAGATCGAAGTTGAGTCTCTAATTCTTTCTTCATCATAGGCTCCCTCCAATCATGGCAACACTTTGCTTTCATATCATGAACTCCGGCAATGACGACCCAGAAGTCAGCGGTATATCTGCGACACGAGCCCGGTTCTGTTTATCTATTTTGAGGGAGTCACAAGCAGGTTGGCCGATTATTGCCTCTGTTTACCCTTTCTTTGTATCATTGTTCAAACAACATTCAGCTTTATCTGCTTCGGACCTGGATCTTTCTCAAGGAGCGGGAGCAACAGGAAAAACCGAACTCGGGATGAATGGGCACCACTCCGGCTTGGATAGCAATATGTTCCATGATTGCGTCGTGCATGGTGAAGCATCAGCAATGGCCTCTACATTTCCGTTTGGTAACATTTTCGATATCTTCTTGAACCTTCCACCGGATGATCCCCAGAGCTGATTACCGCACTTGTTCGACAGCCAGTCAACATCCTTATGAGAGTTAAAGATCAAATTTCTACTGAACAGAATTATCTACTTAGGCCTTAACTTTCCCAGGTGAAGTGGAGGCCTTTGGTTAGACAACTTTGATGTAGAGGCTGACTCCAATTTGCACACATTTCTAAGGCCAAATCATTTGCTTTGAAGTCTGAGATCCGTACCAGTACGAAATCGCTTATTATTGATCGGAACGTATCCTATCCATAGACTAGAATCAGGCACAGAATGGAGTGCTAGTAGTCGCTCATGAAATCCGTAGTCTGGGCTTTTCCGGCCCGGGGATCGTCACATGCACGCTATCGATCAGATAAGATGGATTATTCCGATAACACTGCCGCTAGTCAATTGTGCCATGGTATAACCCCACGCGGAGTAGCTCACCTAGTCAGTACTCTATCAAGTAGTGCTTTTTGGTTTTTGCTCCCAATTGAAGATATCTTTTCACCTCTAAGCTGCCTTGCGTGATCAGTGCCCAAGGAATACTAGCACATCGTTTAGCCGTTGAGGTCATACCGGGGATCCACCGCTGAATCTTGGATTAGATCTCCGACTTTCGGATTTTATCCTCATCCACCTCTCTCTGCTCGGCAGGCTTCCAGCGCTGACCGCAATCATGTTGCGCTCTGGCTGTCTGACTGTATTCGTGGGTGCCCTGGGAGCTTTCGGAAACTTCGTGCCTGTCAATGAGCGATGTGTGACTGCCATTTTCTCTGCCTACAATTATATTGCCTTCGCGGGAATCCCAGCAAAGGGAATGTGGGCAACTCGGTGCCAAAATCCTCTACAAGTCACTTCGATCTACGCCGCCAGCGACCTATATTGCGGCGATGCGGAACGCGCTGCAGGTCTGGCGCGCCTGAAAACCGAATGTGAACAGTTTGGTCACTGCGATTTACTCCCCAGAGATGCCGTGGCCGAGAACCTGACCGAGAATGCCATCCGAAATATGCGCATTGTCGACTACTTTGACGTACCGCGTGGAGAGCTCATGAATGCTCCAGTCATAATTTCTGCGTCCTATTTCAGCCGGATGTTCAAAACCATTGTAGGCGCACCTTCGAATGTCAGGATGGGAGGGACACTCACTAAATCTTTTTTCTAACAATAGGAATCATGGAATTTTGAGGCCTGGTCGCATCTTGCATTTGGGTATGTATGAAATCTTTCAATCCGGACCTAGCAGCTCAGACGAGTTTGGAATTAACTGAAATAGATACGCGGGATATTTCTACTGGGGTGGAATTCTACTTCTCGGTGTCCTCTTCCGACTCATGAAATGGGCCTTCACTTCCCGCAGCTATGGCGTGGATCGTGAAGTTGAATCTACTTCATATCCTTTGACGGTGAAGTGGCATAAGATACTCGGGTTTGGTGGTCTGATTCATTGGGCGGAAACTCATTTACTTGTGTCGACACCATTCAACAAAAGCCAAGAGGTGCTTACTTGCACCTTCTCAAATAGAGCCGAGGCATTGGTCGTTGCGGGCTTTTGGATAATGAGCTTTGCCTTGACCTTTGCCGCGTACCAGACATTTGAAGGAAATATTTAGTATGTGCAACAGCCTCCGCTCGAATGTCCCTCGCCCAACTAACAGCTCACAGCTGGCCCAACAAAATAGATCAGATCCTACGTTATTCGGCTGATCGGACTGGCATCATGTCATTTGCAAACTTCCCTTTACTGTGGCTCTTCGGGGCTCGCAATAATATTCTCATCTGGGCGACAAATTGGAGTTTTGCCACATTCAACATCTTCCATCGTCATGTCGCCCGTGTAGCCACTTTGCAGGCAGTGGCACATACCGTTTTATACATTGTCATATATGCCCGAAGTGAGTTTTCCAAGAAGCTGCCCCAGTAAGCATCTTCGACTGACCAAAATAATGCGGCGCAGCCGGGAAGTGGTGGAAGTTCCTAAATAAGGCGTACATCCTTTGGGGCATTGTGGTAGGCTGCTGAAGAGAAAGCCCGAGCCATAGTGGCCTCTGAATGCTGATTTAAACCCAGGGAACGGTAGTCATGGTCCTGCTGCTGGTCAGCTCTCTGGACCGAATCCGTATCGTTTCTTACGAATTCTTTCTCATCACACACATTGCCTTTTCTGTTCTTACCCTGATCGGGTGCTTTTAGTGAGTCCGTCCATAAAACATCCGCATCCTTCCTCCCGCTAACTTCAAAGCCACACGATTGTTTTTTGAGGGGAATGAATATTGGCAGTATCTATGGCCGTCTGTGGCCGTGTGGATATTCGATCGACTTTTGCGACTAGTCCGCCTTGTGTATTGCAACCTCCACGTCGAAATGTTTGCGCGGACTCGGATGGTCTCTTCAACCAGTTGGATGACCTACGACGAAGTCGCTGACGTGATTAGATTGGAGATTTCGCTGAGGAGACAGCGATTCCGGCTTAAACCCGGTGATTATTTCTTCCTTTATCAACCTTTTCGGTGGACTGGATGGGAGAGTCACCCTTTCACTGTCGGTGCGTGGACGCAGGACGGAAATCCAGCTCCGAATCCCTCTATTTCCCGGGCATCAGAGTATTCAGCGGACACATCCCACCTGCCTCTTCTAGCCGATACAGCACCAGAAAACAATAACCTAGATGCGTCAGATGGGGAGTCCAAAGGGGGTTCTGAATACTCGGGATCAATAATGACTTTCTGGATTCGTCCGTACGACGGCTGGACCCAGAAATTGCGCCAGCAATGCCTCAAAGCCAAGTCCCAGCCCATAAACAGCACTATCCTTATTGAAGGGCCGTATGGACACCAAGTCCCCGTCTGGGAATACGATTCCATGCTGATGATTGTTGGTGGGACCGGCATAGCTTCCGCGGTTCCATATCTTCACGATCACATCCGACGGTCGGCAGGTGACCGCAACGCACCTCAACGCAGGACCCGTATCCAAGACATTGAATTGGTTTGGACGACAAAGCAGGCTGCATTCGTTGGTGATATCGCCCACCAAGAATTGAAGCCTCTCCTTGCGCGATCTGACTTCAAGGCTTCTTTCTACTCCACAATGAGGCATGCTCATTCGTCGCGGGCCAACGAGCTGGATGATCTAGGGTATAGTATCATCTCAGGCCGCCCATATTTGCAACCGCTCATCATGAGCCGTGCATGTGACGCCTCGTCCGCGGGGATTTCGTTACTAATCTTTGTCTGTGGCCCGGTAAGTATGGCCAATGAAGCTCGCAGGGCCACTCAACTTGCCATGCAGCATGGACATCGCGGAATTAAATACGCAGAGGACTCTTTTAATTGGTAGGAAGAGAAATAAGGCTGTAGTTTCATATGCAGCAAGTTGGCTGATATTGTCACTTACCATGACCTCGAAAAGGTTATCCCATACCAGTAATTCAAGTCATGCCCTACGACCCGCTGGCACTGATCTTGGAAAAGATAAATAAAACGCGGAACTTTTAGGGAGTTATACGTAGCACGACTTGATAAGCCTACTAGTAGGGAAAATCTAGTGACTGACTGGCAAGCTGCTAGCAGAGCGCGGAGCAGTGCAGTACCAATCACCCCGATAGGCCGTTTGTTCCTCGGGCGAATATACTTCGGCTGCTATTTTCGGCACCTGAGCCCGTTAGTCACCGCCAATGGGATCCTAGAAAATAAACAATCAGCGACTCATTCCATCTTCATGTCAGATTCTCAATCCTACTTATCCCTGCACAGTAAAGGCATGTCACATATTCCAACTCGGCAGAAAGGCGCTGTTGTTGAAACCCCCGGCGAGGAGTTTCAAGTCCACGTCCGAGACGATCTACCCGTTAGCCAACCTGGCCATGGAGAAATCCTAGTAAAGATGGCCTGCAGCGGACTTTGGTATGTTCTTTTCCGTTTGGATATGGCGCACATCCAAATTGCGTATGTCACTTTCTCACCTTAACTAGTGGGTCTGAAGTAAGGGCCGTCAGGAACTGGGGGGGCCTACAATAAGATCATTGGCCACGAGGGTGTAGGCCGCGTTGTCGCACTTGGATCCCACGTCTCCCACGATCTCCTTGGTCAACGCGTTGGTATTAAATGGCTGTATCGAGCGTGTACGCAATGCACTGTGTGCCAGCGAGGCTTTGAGCACCACTGCCCGAACCAGCTCAACACCGGTAAATCTGTTCCTGGTGTGTTCCAAGAGTATGCCATAGCAGATGCTAAGTTCATTACCAAGATACCAGATCAATTATCTGATGAACTGGCAGCACCGTTACTATGTGCTGGGCTTACCATGGCGGGCGCTCTGTCTCACCTCGACAAGGAGCTTTGTCCGGGGATTGGATAGCTATTTCAGGATCCGGAGGTGGGCTGGGTCACATTGGTGTCCAGATCGCTGCTCGTGTCAAGAAACTCCGTGTTATCGCCATTGACACTGGAGCAGACAAAGAGAAAATAAGCCTGGAGTCTTCGGCAGAAGTTTTCCTTGATTATCGAAAGGAAGATGTAACTGCTCGCGTCTTGGAATTGACGCAGGAGGGCGCGCATGCAACCATCGTAGTCCCAGGGTCAAAACAGGCCTTTGAGACCGCCCCTTCTCTGGTGCGCAATATGGGCATTATCGTCTGTGTTGGCTTGCCGCGCAATGACATTCAGCTGCCCATCTCAGCCACGGTGTGTGCAGCTCGAGGACTATCGATTAAAGGATGCTCGGTTGGAAACGAAGACCAAATGAACAGGCTTCTTCAGCTAGCTCTCCAGGGTACAATCACGCCCGCTATCGAAGTTTATGATTTCGCAGAGACGCCGAAGTTGATTGGGAAACTGACACGAGACGAAGTACGGGGCAGAGCTGTGGTGAGAATCGCCGCGGAGTCAAAAGTCACAACGCGGGGCGAATGAGAGAAAGACAGTAATTAAATATCTCTCATTTTCATCAACATTCAAATAAGTAAACTGGAAATATTTGCAAGCTCCATTATCCGTGGGCTTGGGGTTTAGCAGTCCTTATCGATAAGCTTATCACGTATTCCGAACGAACCTCGAATTTGCGGATGCATTATAAGCCACGCAGTTAGAACTTTCTCCTTCTTCTCCTTCTTTCCAGATCGCACGCTTCAATGGGCACCAAACGCTCCTGGCAAGGCCAGCCCGTGGGAAACGAACAAGGCGACATGGCTTCAACCCCGGCTGGGCCCATTATGGCCATCTTCGAGTCATTTCGAAATGAACTGGACGAGCATCACGACCGCCGCGAGCGAATTGTGAAAGTTTCTCGAGATATCACCGCTCTCTCCAAGAAGATGTAATATATACCTCCTTTCACCCAATCTCCTTCTCCAGCTCCTTACCGACCATTGCAGCATTTTTGCTCTCCAGCGCGTGCGCTCCATCCATGAACCCCTCCCGCCGAAAATTGCCTCCGAAAACCAAGGCCGCTTCGACCAGATCAACGACCTCTTTACATCTATCGTCCCCGAAGTTACCCATATCAATGCTTGGAGATACCAGCGACAAGTGAGCGCCGGTCTGCAAGAATTCATCGAGGCGCTCTCTTTTGACCACTACCTCCGCACACAAAAGCTTATCACCCATGCGGAGACCATCGCTCACCTTCCACCTGGAATCATGGTGACCGAAGATGACTACTTAATGGGTCTCTTCGATTTGACCGGTGAGATGATGCGATTCGCTGTTGTGGCACTGAGTTCGAGTAATGCGAATGCCAATCCGACACAATCGACGAAGAGCCAATCCACCGAAGACGATGCGTCCAGTACCGCCCATCTATCTACCACTCAAGCGGGGATTGTCCTTGATCTACGGGCCTTTCGCACGGAGTGTGAGGCCCTAAGCATCCCTCGACGGGTTCAAATAATGCGCGACTTCCATAAGAAACTAGAGGTCATGCAAAACAGCGTGGAAAAGGTAGAGAGGGCTGCGTACGGGATATTGGTGCGCGGAAGCGAACGACCAACCGGTTGGACACCAGACCTTTCCGGGCCCGTAGAGATGGAAATCCACTAAGAAGGGGAATGTTTGGTCGCAGCCGTTGCGGTCTTTACTTCACAACTTGGGCATAGAAGTCAATAAAAGGCTCCCCCAGTTACGAACGCACCACTAAAGAAGAAAGTTTAGGGAGAAAATATTTGGCACTGGGCTCTTTCGCAGGTCTTGAGACCACAGTGCTTCCATTAGAAACTCCGTCCCTGACTCGGTCTGACCAAACATCGAAACATCTTATTTGCAGTAGAAGCAAGGGCGGTGATTGGCGAGGCAAAAGTGCCGGTCATCGGAGCGGCTAATGCGGGGAGCAAAACCTGGGGGACTTCTCCACGGCCCGAGGTAGAAGCCGGATTTTAAAAAGAGACTCCCCAAGCTCCTTTTGCTTCACTCCGCAGGATTTTCAGGAGCTACGGTCCTCCCTTCCTCTCTAGTCCCGCAACAATGCTTCGTACGATATCGCGACGACTGCCGCGCCAACGTCCCATCGCAACACCGATCGCGCGTCTCCCCCTGCGGTCATTCGCGTGCGGCTGTCCTCGGATGGCACTCCCCCCCGGTTGAACCGCCAGTGTCCACACCATTGCCCTCCGACGCATACCAGCTGCTATCAACCAAGGAAAAGGCAGGTGCAGCTGAAGATGCATTGTACGAGCAACAAATCCGTGATGTCGAGGCCTGGTGGAGTACCCCTAGATATGAGGGGATCAAGCGGCCATACTCGGCAGCAGATGTTGTGAGCAAGCGAGGAAGCCTGCAGCAGACATATCCAAGCTCCCTCATGGCACGAAAGCTTTTCAATCTGCTTAATGAGAGAGCGGCTGCTGGCGAACCCGTTCACACTAGTGAGTGTCTCCCTCAAATGCGACCGAACCAGGCTTGAATAGTGTAAAGACTAACGAAGTCTACCTTCCGCAGTGGGCGCAATTGACCCTGTCCAGATGACCCAGCAGGCGCCAAATCAGGAAGTCCTCTACATCTCTGGTTGGGCTTGCTCATCTCTTCTCACCTCTACGAACGAAGTCTCACCGGACTTTGGTGACTACCCTTACAACACCGTGCCCAACCAAGTCCAGCGTCTGTTCAAGGCGCAGTCCATGCACGACCGCAAGCAATGGGATGCTAGGAGGAAACTTTCTCCAGAGCAGCGCGAATCTACACCATATGTTGACTATCTACGACCAATCATTGCGGATGGAGACACTGGGTATGAGTTTCAATATGCCCTGCCGCGGTACATGAATTAGCTAACACCAGTCATGGCGTAGCCACGGAGGCCTGTCCGCTGTCTTGAAATTGGCAAAACTTTTTGCGGAAAATGGTGCGGCGGCAGTCCATTTTGAGGATCAGCTACACGGTGGAAAGAAGTGTGGTCATTTGGCGGGCAAAGTGCTTGTACCTATAGGCGAGCATATTAACCGCCTCACTGCTGCTCGATTCCAGTGGGATATGATGGGCTGTGAGAACTTGGTCATTGCGCGAACCGACTCAGAGAGCGGACGATTGATCAGCAGTGCAATTGACGTCCGTGATCACGAATTCATTCTTGGAGTTACGGAGAGGTTGAGCCCTTAGCGGAGACACTGCAGGCCATGGAACGCGATGGTGCATCTCCCGCTGAGATCGATGCCTTTGAGCTTTCCTGGGTGAAAAAGCACACTCTGGTCACTTTTGATGAAGGTACGTAAGCAGCCTTCCCTATCATACGTTCTCCCGGTCATTTCGTCGTGAACACGCTGGACTAAACTTAAACCTAGCCGTTGACGCCCACCTCAAGGCCGAGGGTGCTTCACAATCTACCCGTGATGCCTACAAGTCAGAGGTCCAGCAGAACCCTGATCTTTCTTTCTCTCGGCGCAGGGTCGTCGCCAGCAAATATACCCAAAGCCCGGTAGTCTGGTCCTGTGATATCCCACGTACGCGTGAAGGGTTCTATCATTACAAGGCAGGCTTCCCGGCGGCAACTAAGCGAGCTAGGGAGTTCGCACCATATGCTGACCTGCTTTGGGTGGAAACGGGCGACCCTAATGTCCAAAAGGCAGGCGAACTTGCCGCCGAGGTCCGCGCACAGTTCCCGGGGAAGAAGTTGGTGTACAACCTCAGTCCGTCATTCAATTGGATGGGACAGGGCTTTGACGAAGCATCACTAAAGTCGTTCATTTGGGACCTCGCCAAGCATGGGTACGTTATCATCTCGCTATTCATATTTCCCAGCTAGTCACAAGTCTAACACTGGAACAGATTCGTCTTGCAACTCATCTCTCTTGCAGGTCTGCACAGTGGTGCTACTATTACCACTGAACTATCCCGAGCCTTCAAGGATGAAGGCATGCTTGCCTACGTCCGCCTTATCCAGGCGCGCGAGAAGGAGATGGGCGTGGACGTTCTAACGCATCAGAAATGGAGCGGTGCTCCATACATAGATGGGATTCTGGGAGCCATTCAGAGCGGTAGCAGCAGTAGCAAGAGTATGGGTGAGGGGAACACAGAAAAGGGTGAGTAGCCGTCTCGTCAAAAGCGTCCAGAGCTAACTTGCGACAATTTAGGATTTTGATCTAAGGTTTAAATCAGGATATTTTAGCCTCCAAGCCTAGATGGCGAATTCTATAAGATCAGCTCATTCATTGCGAATCTCTTGTCATACCTCCAAATCCTCCTTGCACGCAAAGTTCATATAGCTCCGATAGTTGTGGCACGCGTAGTGTACAAGACCAGCGACGTAGTATTATTGGGACTCTACTGACATGGCTGCTAACCCATTTGGACCCACATTCAGTTTCTACTGGATCCTACTAATAAATGTTCCTGCTTTCACCTTGAATCCTTTCAGGTCATACCGCTGAAGCTTATCGCCCCCGATGCCGGCGATAGCCTTATCCAGGCGTATTGTGTCCGGGTTACGGTATTCCGATCGATACCTTGCCAGCTCTGGGGTAACTGTGCACATTACCGCGTATCAAGGAGGTATTTGCAGTATCTTTGACTGATAACCCCTCCATCTGATCCACACCCTACGCCCTACAAGTGACACGGGCACAGCTTCAGCCCAGTCAATATAGGCACTACGTCCGAATTAGTTAACAGAATCCACCGTGCCAACAGCAACTGGGCCAACTTCGAGTAAAATGCGTAGCTCCGTGTATGAATGAGTCATGTGTTCCGGAACCACTCCAACAAGGTGGATATGTGAACTCGGCCGCGCTGCTCCATCAATTTTTTGCCTTCGTTCACACTTAGACCCGCGCCACATTCAAAGGCCGCACTCAATAACCTCGCTCGGTAGCTACTACTGCCCCCACTGATTGCTGTGTCTCGATTATCTGATTGTGCCTCGCAGACGTGATCTCGTGATCTAACACACAATCTTTTCTTCTCACACCTCGTTTGATCTAAGCATTAGCAACGCAATGAGCCCCCCTGCAGCTTTGGACGTCGAGCTCAAGGCGGATCCCGATACATCCGCTGTGCCAGTCCCAAGTCCGTTGACAGTCAATGGCATTCCAGCATGGCGCGAGAAGATGGCCAAGATGCCTACGGGCGTTGCCCCGGCTTGCAGCAGTGACATGTTCAAGAGCCCGGTACGCTAAATCTCTAAACAACCTTCCTATGATTTCACCGGTAAAATTTTCGGGTGTAAAGGATTTGAAAGGTTCGCTGACGACTATCTATGGCCCTAGGTTTGCTATACTAAGCCCAAGGCAAAGCGATTTGAACGTAAGTTTGGAATATTCATACAAGGATTGATCAACTAGCTGATCATCTTGCATAGATCTCTTATCTACCGAGGCAAAATCACGGCAGGTATGCATTTTCTCAGAGTGCAATACTGGGAGTGTCCACATCAATTGACCCGTCAAAGGCATCAACATTGAAAAACGCTGCACGCTTCTTGAAGAACCCTGGTACAAACCCTTTGCGCAATGTGAGCAATTTGAGAGAAGGTTGGCGCTAATATATTTCAAGGCATTATTTCCCTTGGTGGTGGTCTGCCTTCATCTGAATATTTCCCAATTGAGCATCTCGACATCAAAGTCCCTACTCCACCAGGATTTTCTCCGGAGGCCACACAGAAGTCTGGAACTGTCCTGCATAGCGGAAAGCACGATATTAAGGAGGGCAAGAGCCTGTATGGTCGGTTATCTACTACGTATCATAATCCGTGGCATATGATAGCTGACAGCGAGCTTGGCAGATCTGGAAATTGCGCTCAACTATGGTCAAGCTACTGGCTCCCCCCAGCTCCTCCGATTTGTCACTGAGCACACGGAGGTATGTAGATATTGCATTCTTGAACTGATCGAGCCCGTTGACTGAGATTTCAACAGCTTATCCACAGCCCCCCCTTACTCAGACTGGCAATGTACCCTGACAGCTGGAAGTACATATGCATGGGATACCGCGCTGCGACTCTTCACGGAGCGCGGCGATTACATCATGATGGAGGAGTACACCTTTGCTAGTGCTGCCGAAACTGCTTTCCCTCTGGGTCTTAAGGCTCTGCCGATTCCAATCGACGAGCAAGGCATTGTTCCCGAGGGTATGGACGAGCTTTTGAGTAACTGGGATGCGAAGGCTCGGGGCGCACGAAAGCCATTCGTTCTATACACCATCCCCACAGGTCAGAACCCCACCGGTGCCACTCAATCCGCTGAACGCCGCCACGCGGTGTATAAGGTTGCTCAGAAGCATGATGTCTACATCATTGAGGATGAGCCATACTACTTCTTGCAGATGCAGCCGTATGCCGGCGAAGGGGCTGCTGCCCCGGCTCCTCCTGCCAACCATGATGAATTCATTAAATCCCTTGTTCCGTCTTTCTTAAGTATGGACGTTGACGGGCGAGTTTGTCGGTTGGAGTCATTCTCGAAAGTGATTTCTCCTGGTTCACGGGTTGGCTGGATCGTTGCCTCCGAGCAAATTATTGAGCGGTTTGTGCGCAACTTTGAAGTCTCATCACAGAACCCCAGTGGTATCGCCCAACTCGTCCTCTTCAAGCTTTTGGACGAGCACTGGGGCCACTCTGGGTACCTTGATTGGCTCATTGACCTTCGCATGTCCTACACCAGTCGGCGCGATATGCTGCTGCATGCGTGCGAGAAACACCTGCCTCGTGAAATCGCGCACTGGGTCGCTCCTGCCGCAGGAATGTTTGTAAGTGGCAATCCCCCTCAAGTAACTATCACTGTCCTATAGCTAACTTGGTTTTAGCACTGGATTGAGGTTGATTGGCGCAAGCACCCTGGTGTTGCTGCTGGCAAGACGCTCGAAAAGATTGAAGAGGAGATATTCCTATCGGCCGTTGAACATGATGTTCTTCTTTCACGAGGCAGTTGGTTCAAGGCCGATAGCTCGAGTAAAATGGAAAAAATGTTCTTCCGTGCAACGTATGCGTCAGCATCTGCCGAGAAGATTGACGACGCCATTGCTCGCTTTGGAGAGTGTTTGCGTTCCCAATTTGGTCTCTAGGTGATTCTCTGGATTTTGCGCGCTTCGTCTTTTACGAGATCACGAGTGGCAATGAAACGATCGCTTCATTCAGGCCAAGGAGCATATAGACAGTGGAGTTTTTGTCTTTCAAAGACAGTCCGCTCCTTCATTTTCTCGGCGAGTCGAGTATACGTTAGTTGATGATTCCATGTGTTTAATTTTCGAATAGCATAATGGAGTTTCACACGCCCTTGGCAAGTGGCCCGCAGCATAAATTCCAAGTTTCTTCGGGTCAGAAAAACGATTATGAGAAGAACCTCCAACCACTGGAACATCTTTGTCTAGTTAACTGCACCCAATATGGTCTGGAAGCCCGGGCACAATCCACTCGATTAGTAATGTCCGGCGAAAAGGCCTCCTGCGTCATCCCGGGCCCCTCCACCCCTAAGCAGCTTCTTAATCCTGGAAATGTCCTTCTGGCTACGCTTTGCTCAAAGGGTCCCCATTCCTCGTGTCCCAGCTTGTAAGGTTGCCTTTCCCCGGGAAGCTCAAGCCAATCATAGTGACCAGATAACAGTCACAAGATCCTTCACAATGGCTACCGATACCAATACCTACAAGCTCAACCGTGCGTATCCTTCCCCTCATGCTTCCGTTCCGCAACATTGACACGATGAGCAGACACTATGATCCGGGTCAAGGACCCAAAGCGATCAGTGGAGTTCTACGAGTTCCTTGGGATGAGTGTGATTAAGAAGTTGGATTTCCCCGAATGGAAGTTCTGTAATTATTTCCTTTCCTACAATGGACCAAACTCCTTGCAAGGCGACCGACACTTTACCGACCGCAACGCCAACATCGAGCTTACCCACAACTATGGCACTGAGAATGACCCCAACTATAGTGTGGTTAACGGCAACACTGAGCCTTACCGGGGATTCGGCCATCTCTGCATCTCGGTCGACAACATTGAAGCCGCGTGCAAGCGCATTGAGGACGCTGGATACCAGTTCCAGAAGAAGTTGACTGAAGGTCGCATGCGCCACATCGCCTTCGCCAAGGATCCCGATGGATACTGGGTTGAGATTATTCGTCGCGGTGATGAAGACCTTACTCCCACCACCGACCCAAGCAGCTACCGGCTGAACCACACCATGATCCGTGTCAAGGATGCCGAGAAAAGCTTGAAATTCTACCAGGAGAAACTGGGTATGACCTTGGTCCGCACGAGCGAGAACCCCGACAACAAGTTCAATCCTATACTTCTTGGGTTATCCGGGGGCCAACCCCCCTATCAAGGACGGTGTTAAGAACGCCGTCGCTGAATGGGAAGGCTTGCTTGAGCTGACATGGAACTACGGGACCGAGAAGGAGGAAGGTCCAGTATACCACAACGGGAACACGGAGCCTCAGGGATTCGGCCATATCTGTAAGTGACCCTTTGAGTTCCGGGGAATTCCCTTGGTTTTTTTTTTTTCTCTAACCGTCTTATTTGTAGGCATCACTGTCGATGACTTGGAGGCTGCCTGCCAGCGTTTTGAGGATCTTGGTATTCCATGGAAGAAACGTCTTACGGAGGGTAAAATGCACAACGTGGCCTTCATCCTGGACCCGGATGAATACTGGATCGAGGTAATCCAGAACGAGCGGATCAAGCGCACTTCCAACTGGTAATTCATGAACGCCCCATGGCATGCTGTATTCATAATGTAGATTGCAAATCGACTATCGTTATGCCCTCCACAGAACCGTAGCTGAAATCAAGAACAGCTTTATAGTACCAAGACTCCTGGGCTGAGAGGTCCACGGTTACATAACGAATGCGGGCATCTTATCATCGTGGATCTCATAGGCGGACGCAGTGGGCCTTTTCTCCCCAAATTGCCCCAAAATTGTTCCCCCGCCTTCTAGACCCGTAGTTTGCGCTCTGGGGCCGACACAATTTGCACATAAGCGAAACTTGTATATACAAGGCGATGGATCACCATATTGCTGATGCAGGATGATCGAGAACCCCCTCCATTCTTTTGCGCAGACTAGCTGGATCAGCCCATCCAACCACAACTTTCCGGTGGGATCCTGAACCCCCGGACGCAAATCGCATCATGTCGCCCGATCCTGAGAAGCCGAAACGGGCTCCCCGGAAGCATGTCACCACGGCGTGCGTGCCGTGTCGCGAGAGTAAGATCAGAGTATGTGGTCCTTCTCGTCCTTGGCCGGGGCAATCTAACGAACTCTTAGTGCGATGGATCTACGCCTTATTGCCAGAACTGCGAGCGCAAAGGAAAAGCCTGCAAGTACCAGCATGGTGATGACAAGCGCAAGTAAGTATCCTGCTGTAGTGAGGGGTGGTGGGTATAGTTGTGGCTCTCAAGGCAAGGAGTTGACGCTAGCAATAGGGTCTCTCTTCGAGCAGCGACAGAACTTTTCTCTGCGCGCATCGATCAGCTATGCCAATTCATTCATGACCAAGGACTCACGCCCCCGTCTATGGACCCAGAAGACGAAGCAGGGATGAACCGCGTCTTGGATACGCTTCAAATTCCGCGCGGAGTTTCTAAAGGTAAATCTGCCGGCATCGATGACGTCCAGAAGATAGAGTCAACCCCTCATGTTCCGACCAATGCATCCCCTGCTCAAGGTTCACAGAGTGCCAGTCCAAATGTACAAGTACAATTGTCTAAGAACTCAGCAACCCCAGAAGCTTCCCCTCGAGGGAATACTTCCAACCAGCCATTTGAAGCCGCCATGGACCCTTGGAACCCATTTGGCATGGTTCGAGGGGTCACTGACAACCAAAACTTTGTGCATTGGGGCTTCACGTTGCCGACAGCAGAGAGCCTGGACACCATTTATGCTAATTTGAACAGTCGTATCGAATCTGGACTTCCAGTCAATTCAGGGCTAAGCCCGCAAAATTTCCAATTGGGCATGGATATGGCTCAGCAGCCGGGCGAACATGTGGGCCAATTTTCCGCAGACCAAAGACAGGATTCCGATAGTGACGAAGAGAATGAAGCCGAGAGTGATGTGATTGAACAGTTGTCCAATCGAATAGGCACTTTGAAAATTGCAGGGGACGGTCATTGGCGCTTCTACGGCGCGACCTCTAATCTTAATCTTGTGGATGTTTCTGCAACCCAGCAACGGCAGCGGCCTGACGCACGCACAGTACGGCATGACGGTCAGGATATTCTGAACCACCTGCGAGTGGGGCAATCCGTCGATCAGGCTCTAGAGGATCATCTAGTCGAGCTTTACTTTACGTGGCAGAATCCAAGCATCTATGTCGTGGATAAGGAGATGTATATAACTGCCCGTACAAAATGGCGGGAGGAATACGACGATACTCCATTTTATTCCGAAGTCCTGACGAATGCCATGTTCGTTTCAAAGACCCTACGACTTGAACATTTGTACATCCAGCTGACTTTCACAGGTGTGCTATTGGGAGCGCTTTTGAAGCACGATATCACCCTACATTCATCACATTTCCCAAATCTCTGGCAGAATTCTTTGCAGACAGAGCCAAGGCTCTTTTGGAAATCGAATTAGACTCTCCATGCGTTGCCACTGTCCAGGCACTCGTGCTAATGAGCTGTCACGAGGGAGCCTCTAATCGCGACGCACGTGGTTGGCTCTACAGTGGTAAGTAAATATTTGCCAGTGAGCAAGACCTAGGAGCTCATTCATTCCACAGGAATGTCCATGCGCCTTGCGTTCGATCTGGGATTGCATATCGACATGACGCCGTATGTCGACCAAGGAGATATGAGTCCCCACGAAGCCGACGTGCGCCGTGCAGCCTTCTGGGGGAGCTATGTCGCAGACCAGTAAGTAGTGATTCATACCAGAAATGTTGAAATACTAATATTTGTAGTTTTTGGGGCTTCTATCTTGGCCGTCCTTTCCGCATGAATGCAGGAGATATCAGTGTCCCAAAGCCCGCCTCAGGTCTTGGGCCTGAAAGAGAAGATCTCTGGTATGCATACGGACTTCATAAGCCGACCAGTTTGCTCCATTCTGGGTTAAAGAATCCAATGGAACGGATTTGTAGGCAGTTTGTGGTGCTTTGGGAAATGGTTTCCCCGGTGGGCCATATATTGTACGCCTTCTCTGTCCCTGTGTATCCGTTGCCATCCAAATTAACCTTTGTTCTAGGTATGGCTGCTCTGATATATCACGGCATGACTTGCAGCGGCTGTGTTTCCAAGTAACAGAAGATCTGTTTGCCTGGAAAGCAAATCTCCCCTCGGACTTGGAAATAAATCTCGATGATGATACTACGCCTAGGTTACCTCATTTGCTTGTCCTTCAGTATGGAAATTTCTCTAAACGATTCTTCCCTGACCTCTCTAATCCGATTTCTCAGTATGCAATATCACCAAATAATCATTTTCTTCCACCGTCCATGGGTGTCGAAGAGCTATATTCAGCCTCGGAGTCCTCGCCAAGGACCCGGATACCATCATGCTCGACGCATGTGCATTGAATCCGCTACAGCAGTGGCTCGTCTGCTTCACATATACGAGAAACACTATACCTTCCGCCGGATGAACAACCAGGTGGTAGCCATTATCTTCAGTGCTGCTCTGATGCTCCTTTTTGTCACTGTCTCTAGCTCTCCGTTGATGCCTTCTAAGCCTGGAGAAACGAGCCAGCCTCACCCTCGCAACGCTGAAATGGTGGCTTACCTCAATCTTTGTTTCCGCGCACTTGATGAATTGGGCCAATCTTTCGAAAATGCCAAGCGAACCCGAGATTACCTGGTTACTCTGCAACGTCGCTGGCAAGCCCATATGCGCCGTTCTGGTCCTGTCAAACGACAACTCAGCAGCGCTAATCTGCGATCGAATCCACCTCCACGGGGTCCGTCGTCCTCCCAGCCAGGCGCCAAAAGAACACAGTCAGATCCCTCGCGCAAGAAATCGCGGCTATCTGCTGCCCAAACTCATACTCAAGTTGACGTAAATCAGAAAGTCATCCCATCTGCTATAAACGACGCTCCTGCCCTTCCCGCATACCCTCCATCTGAGCCACTATCGTCTCAGCAGAACGCGCCCGTCTACGCGCAGCAGAACCTCCCGACAATACCCCAGCCTGGGAATTTTGACTGGAGCCCGACTACTGGTTTGGATGTAACGCCTGCAGCCCATAGCATTGGATTATCTAACCCCATGAACCCAGTCTTCCCTCAGTTTCCTGATGAGCCGGGCATGCTCCCCGATCTGGGAGACATGGAGGGCTGGTGGGGATCTTCTCCCAATGGCAGCCCTGGCCTCGGAGGCTCATCTTTATAAGACCCTTTTCACTCTGGGCATCAGCTATCTATTGTTGTTCATGTGCTTTCTATTTCCTGTATTCCATATTCCATTTTACTCAGACCCGTAGCAGTTGCACAGACGCAATAGAAACAGCATGTCTAACTTGAAGGCCTCATGCCGGCTAGAGCGGAAGTACAGTACATGAGATTGAAATATATCATGGATTACTTGAACTACATTAGTCCTCGTATTACCTATATTTCTAGACAGCCAGTATCTAGCTCAGCCTCAAGCAGCGATCGAAACAATATATAACTCTACGTTACCGTCATGGTTCTGTTTACAGCCTTTCAAGGCCTAGAACTCAATCGCGGCTCCACGTCATGGGCTGGTCCGTTCCCCGCCGCAGGAACGCAAGAGCAGCAAACCTCGAGTTCAACCCCTACGCCGTCGCAAGCCACTCCCTCCTATTCACCTTCCGCCCCTTCAAGTTGTGCGTACTGATTCAATACCTCATCCAGAATCGCTGCTAATATCGCGAATGAATTCAGCATATCTTTAGGTCCTTCACCACCTCCCCCTCGGACAGTAAACCTCACATTTATCGCTCTTTAATAAACCTCGATCCTGGCGCCCAAACCTCGATTTCGCTGGCCAGTCGCCCGCTTCCGCTCACCCCTGCCTCGCCGGGCCCTTCCTTCAAGCCTTCTTTGGACCCGTCTTCTCTTTCGCCGCAAGCCGAGACCGAGCCCTCTCTCGACAGTCCTTCGGGTTCTCATCGGCCCTAGACGAACTCGCCAAACACAAAATCGTCTCTGGAACCTCAGGCACGAGACTCTGCCAGCTCTCCGACACCGCGCACAGTCAAGCATCTACAGGGCGATCGTCCAACGGCGGGCGCAGCGAGCGGAGCGCACCCGGAGCTTTGGCGGGGGCATTGTCGCCTACTTCTTCGGAAATCGGCGGCGGCTGGGCTCCGGACGTGCCAGTGTATTTTCTGGCGCCGGGTCGTTTGTAAGACGAACGAGAGCTATCCGCGGGCCCGCAGACGGGCCTGACAATGCCCCAAGAGGCCCGATGGCGTCGTCCTCGTGGGGTGCAGGGGGAGCGGGGACCGGTGACGGCTCCTATGTCCCTGGGAGTCGGCGGAAGAAGGCCTACGAGTGGCTAAAGGCCGCGAATGAATTGGGCCAGGCGTATACCGCGCGATGGACCGGACAGCCCGGTAATTCACAGGACGATTATTACCACACTCCCGGTGCTTTCCCGGATGTTGAAATTGCGCGCTCAGGTGATGAGGAGATGGTACTATTTCCAAGCTACGGAAGGCGTTTAACACCCAAGAAGGAGTCGCAGATGCAGACTCGACAGCGTCGTGATTCTTGGTCTGATACTATCGATGACTACCGTGGGGTGGCGAATGGAACCGGCGGGCAACAAAGACCGCGGTGGGAAGAGGAGGAGATTGCAAATGCAGTCGCTGATGTTGATGTGCGTGGGTGGATATATGCTCCTAGCCGAGGTCCCATGAACAGAAAGCATAGGCTTATGATCAAGCTGGCGAGGACTCTGAGCGGGATACCAACCCCTACAGGCGGGGCGAATGAAGATGGGCCTGATCGGCTCAATGGCAGGAACGACGACGACGATGTCAACCATCAAATGCAGGATCTCGTTAATACAGCAGAGCAGGGCGCCGACCAAGCATGGAAAACTACCCACAGTGAACAAGCTCGGGTCAACCAAGGTCAGCCCGTACCGATGAACAAGGATGAGATCTCGATGGCAAATGCGCACTTGATGGAACGACTTCGACCATTCTTGACAAATCCCATGGCCGGTATGCCGGTGACTGTGTTTTTCTTTGACGATCAGCAGAGCGAGTCCCGCAACATCATGACAGATGAGTCTGGCCATTTCAGCATTCGAGCGTATCTGCAATTCGTGCCTACACATATTCGTGTCCTTGCGTCAGAAGACCTCTCTGCTGCTAGACCCATTGACATCATCGAACCAGTGGGCATAAGCTTGATCAGCGACATCGACGACACTATCAAACACTCGGCCATTGCCAGTGGTGCAAAAGAAATTTTCCGGAATACGTTTGTCCGTGAGCTGGGTGACTTGAAAGTTGAGGGCGTAAGTGAATGGTACACGCAGCTAGCCAAGAAAGGCGTGGAGATGCATTATGTTTCCAATGCGCCATGGCAGCTCTATCCATTGCTGGAGCGCTATTTCAAAATGGCTGGCTTGCCACCAGGCTCGTTCCATCTAAAGCAATATTCAGGCATGCTGCAGGGGATCTTCGAGCCAACAGCAGAGCGTAAGCGGGGCTCCTTGGAGCAGTTGATGCGCGATTTCCCCCAGCGCAAATTTATCCTTGTTGGCGATAGTGGCGAAGCTGATTTGGAGGTCTACACCGACATCGCTTTGGCGAACCCTGGCAGAATTCTGGGAATATTCATCCGAGATGTAACAACGCCGCAGCAGCAACCTTTCTTTGAGAACTCAAACAAGAATCTCAACCAAGGGCTTCGCAGTCATACAATAGCCCAGCCGAATCATTCCGACGTGCCGGAAAATAGACCTGCGCTCCCTCCACGTCGGCCAATTGAGGTTATCATCCCTGCCGATGATGCGAAAAACACTCAAGTGGGCAATTTGATCGATCTAGACGACAGTGACACTCCAAACTCCACGAGCCAACCTATGTCTACTCCAAAGTCACGGTTGCCTCCAACAAAACCATCCAAACCATCATCTCTACGATCTGCAATGGAAACTGCCAGGGACAGCGATGGAAAAGTGTTCTCTCCAGAGCTGATACGTCGGAAGCCAGTCCCTCCTTTACCACCTCGCCGAGGATCTGCGGCGAAAACAGATCCCTTGGTTGATCAGGATCAGTCCTCGCCTGTATCTCGATCTCAGACACAACCACTTGGGGAAGTCAATCAACCACCTCGGTCCAAGGCTCCTCCCCCGTTGCCACCGCCTCGGCGAAGCAACACAGCCTCCTCGGCTGCGACTTCAGGATCTAACACCCCACCGTCAAGGACCCCAGGGCCCGGGCCAAAACCATCATACGCTTCGGCAGCACTGAACTATGCCACTGAACGGCTTAATCTTTCACAAGCACCGTCCGCTAGCTTACGCCAATCGCCATCAAATCAGTCGCTGGGACGAACATCATCTAACCTCAATTCCGGAAGTTCCAATGAACCCGGAATGCCGCCTGCGCCTCTACCCAACAAACGGGAAGAGCTATGGCGCCGCCGTTGGGAGCGGGCGAGCGGAATTCTAGAAAAGCACAATGTGGTGCTGGGAAGCTGGCGTGTCGGGAGTGATGCACAGCCTGTTTGCCTGTGGTTGGTCGAGGAGGCGTTGAAAAAGAACCAGAACAGTGGGTCGGTCGATAATACTGCCGGCCCTTATCAACGATAATGCCAAACCTGTGCTTATAAGCGTCCCACTGTACATAGCTTTAGACTCCTGCCCTCAGCTATTAGATACATGTGTAGAACATCTCTATCTCTCGCCTTATAATGTGTATCTGATCATTGAATTCTAGAGGATGCAAAATCATAGCTCGACTGCGCAACCGCCAAGGCTCACTTCACATATTTAGAATATTGAGCCTAATAGTAGTCTGCGCCTTTACCAAGATTCCTCTCTTCCCGATGGCGATATCAAGGGCGATATCAAGGGGTGGATCTCCCCGCATTTTCTAATATAATTTGCCCAATGAGAAGCCTCTATTTCAACTTCCGTCCGAAGTGTCCTCCCGTGAGGCAGGGGTGCAACCTCGACATCACCCTCCTCATAGAAAGATCTTCAGTTGTGGCTGTGAATTTAGTGACGTCTATTTTTTGTCTACTCTGATTATGAACAACGAAAATGCGTTCCCTGGCTCATTAGACCTCGACACCCATGATCTCGCCCAGGTTTCGTCGAGCGGCTTAGCTCGATCTCCGCCCGTGTTACCAGAGAGGCCAGCCAACAGACCTCCCACCACTCCCAACATCCATTGGAAGCCAACAGCAAAGCCCGTTGAAGAGCCGCTTGCCGAGGGACTTTCCAATGAAGACCTCTGGATGTTGGTTCGGCGATTCAACAAAGTAAGTTTGAAGTTGATCTGACCATGACATGCATCTGACATGTGACTAGCAAATCTATCATGTGAAAGCTCTCCCAGGCGCCAGTGCAGATCTGGATCTGAATCGGGTCAATGGCGAGCAGTTTCCTCCAGAGAAACTGCGAATCACGCTCGAGAGGTTCTATACGTCTGTTTTGGTCGGGGCGGTTGAATTCTTTAGGCATATCGGACGATTGCGATCATGGAAGGAACCAAGACGGACGTCTTTGTTTTTAGCAGTATGAGATTCCTTTGCGCCCTACGTCTGATCCATCAGATCAATACTAATCTCGACAGGTCTATGTCATCTCCTGGTGGATGGATCTGATCCTTCCGACCTTTTTGAGTTTACTTTCTGCACTCGTTCTTTTTCCACCCCTCCGGCTTTCTCTATTCCCAGAACAGAAGCCTGTTCCCTTCGCGAAAGATGGGCCTGCTTTTGGGCAGCCTGAATCGCATGATAGCTTGACTGGTGTTCCAGAAGCACACAAGGGCGAGGCAGCTGAGCAGGAAGCGAAGAATCTGATTGACAGCGTTGCGAAGGTTGCTCTTGAAAGTGCCGCTGCTAGGTATGGCCAAACTATCCCCGAAGAGGACCAGGAAGAGGATCGAGAGCCCGAGTCTCTGGCAGCCATTCCAACCACCACAGAAACTCCCACCGAGGGTGCATCAGAGGATAAGACCAAGCAACCTATCAAGAAGAAAGTTTCCCATGCGACTGATGAACTCATGCGGATACTGAGCGATATCACCGATATTTATGAGAGATTTGCCAAGTAAGACAACGCTATTGTTGGATAGAACTCCCTTCTAACTCTTTGAAGTCTTTTCGTTCCCACCCCGCCATTCTATATGGTCGTGCCTCGCCTTCGCTTAGTTGGCGTCTTGGGAGTAATCATCGCCACAATCCCTTTTATCTCCAGCTACTGGATTGTCAAGTTCACTGCGTTTAACATTGGCTTTGCTTTCTTTGGGGGCCCAGTGTTCTCTCGAGTCCTAGCTTTGTTAGACTATAAAGTACCAGACTGGCAGCAGCGCATAGACCTTCAGACGTAAGATCCGAACCCAGGACTCACTTCAGACGTTATTTCCTTCTAACTACTCTACCCTCTCAGAACACTTCTTCAAGGTGTTCCTACAAATGCGCAACTCACACTGACCCTTCTACGAATTGGGGAGATTAACTCTTCGCCATTGCCACCACCCCCAACATCCTCTTCTGATTCCATTTGGCCGATGAGGCGCAATAAGTCGAAAGCCACTCTTGCCTCCCAGTCCAGCACGGGCGGCTCAACCTCGGATCTACAGCATTCTGCATCAGATCCGCTTCCGGCCCCGAAACCTGAGACGGCGGTTTTTGTATAAATTGATGAAATTTTTTCAACGTTCCGTTGCAGCTACAATCAAAGGACACATGGCGATTGACCGTGCAATGGCAATTGCTGGGTCCGCGCATACTAAGAATCTAATAGGCATGCTGCAACATCGACAATTTGCCTCGACACCGTTTGGGCCGCTGAAGTTCGATGCCAAATATGAGCGCAAGCGTGGTGCAGCCGTGATTGACTCCGAAAAGGAGCCGCCAATTCTGTATTTTACCACTTATCAGTCTGCTGGATTGGATGATCTGCGTATTGAGAGTCGGAAGAAGGGATCTGTTCTGTTTCAAATCCCCGTGACAGACATTCGAGAGCTTAAAAAGACAGAAGGGCTGGGCTGGAAAGGAAAATTGGTCGTGGAGCTAACAGCGGGTAGCAAAGAAGCGGCCGATGGATTGATCGTCACCGGGAATGAAGAAGGCCAGAAGTTCCATCTGACCGGCATGCGGTCGCGAAACCAACTGTTCAATAGGCTTGTTGCCATTGATGCACAGTATTGGGAGAGTTGGTAGGTGCTGGGGGGAGGTTATTCTCTACGTGTGATGTATTGTACCCAGGTCGAGCCCATCAGCACTTGGTCGTATATTTGTACTAGAGTTCTCAAATTGACCACCATTGATCTTATGTAGACCACAGGGGTATTTCTCCAAGCAAGTCCTTCGTATGATCATAATGCCCAGGTGGGATCAAATCGTATTAGTCATGGAGAAGTGGCAGAACAAAGCGGTCAAGGCGCCAACCTCGGCTCCGCATGATGGGACTCGGCGACGTGCGACTCCGTGCTCGGTCGCCTTGTCGACGTCGACTTGTCATTCACTCCATTTCTAGGATGCTTGGTATTCACAGCCATGGAGTACCTTCCAAGCTTAACACAGGAGTTCGATGAGTTCAAGCCGTCCCTCTTCGGTAAGTTCCAGCTCTGCGGGGACTCCGCTCCAACTTACATCCTAGTCTTGCACATCCAAAGTTGCTAACAGTACATCTAGAACTTCTTGCCGAGCAGCAATTATCGGACCTCCTTCCCCCTTCTCTCCGATACCTTCTTGCCGTTGCTACCCACCGCCATCCTCGATATCTTCTCCGGATTCTCAATTCGTATGACGAGGTCTACGCTCTTCTTTCGCTGGTCGTTGAACGCTACTACCTTCGGACGTTTGGCGGCTCATTCACAGAGAACTTTTATTCGTTGAAGCGTGAGCGCGTACTTCGCACGAAGAATGGCGAGGTACCTCGCGCTCAAGTGGGCGCCGGGGGTCCCGTGCGCGAGGCTCTCAAGCTTCATAATACCGATGTGTGGAAGAACCTGTTCGTCATGGTCGGCATCCCTTACCTGAAACGCAAATTGGATGAAGGATATGATATCCATGCCGCACCACAAGCTTCGCTGGTTATGGGCGGCGGGCCCCGCTATAACCCAAGCGACGATTTACCTCCACGCCCTACAATTCGCCAACGCATCTTCCATTATTATAAGTGGTTTCTGCGTAATGTATATCCATCCGTCAACGCAGCCTATTATTTTTCCATTCTCGCCTTTAATCTTGCATACCTCTTCGATAATACCAAGTACTCGTCGCCGTTTCTTTGGCTGATCGGGACGCGCATTCGGCGTCTGGGGGCGGCTGATCACCGTGCCATTGCCGAGGTGCTTGATCCCAAGCCTGCTCCTGGTGGAAGCCGGTCTCAGAGACCCGGCTCAGGGCTGCTGGGCCTTTTCAGCCCACAGAACTTACATACGCAGGCATTGACCTCTCTGCGCTATTTTCTTCCCGCCTCCATTTTTGCACTCAAGTTCTTGGAATGGTGGCATGCAAGTGATTTCTCTCGTCAGCTAGCCCGCAAGGCGACCGAGGTCCTTGATCTCCCTGCCCCTGTTGTCTCGGGGTTGAGCAGTCCAGCGGAGCGACGAAAGTCAGGGCAGGATGAGAAAGAAAAGAAACACTCCGAATCGGAGAAAAAAAAGCACAGGAGACCTCAAGTCCGCTCTCAAGCCCCCTCGTCGCCACCAGCCTCCGATATCTGCAACATCATATCTGCCCATCTATACTGTCCCATTACCCCCGCCCGATGCCTCGAGTGCGAATACTTGCCCAGTTTGCTTGAATACCCTTGCAAACCCAACTGCTTGCCAAACGGGATACGTGTTTTGCTATGTTTGTATATTCCATTGGCTTAACGGAGAACACCAACGTCAGCTGGATTTCATGAACGGAGAAGGTGCTGGTGAGCCTTGGGAAGAGGAAATTAATGGAGATGACGATGACGCTCCGGTCGAGAATAATGGAGAAAGAACCTCCCGTAAACGTGGTGGGAAATGGGAAAGTGGCAAGGGAAGATGCCCAGTTACCGGCAGAAGAGTTCTCGGGGGCACTGACGGCTTGCGTCGGGTTTTGATCTGATCTCTTCTATACTAGTACCTGTATATTTTGATGCAACATAGCATGGGTCAAATAGTCCTCTTTGATTGAACTTCTAGTTCGCGTACATGTGCACTTTCCGAGTGCACGGGTAACATGGGATATGACTTAGAAGTCAAGTTTCCTTGCAGAATATCGTCTCACTAATCTAGAAAAAAGAGCGGGAGAGGAGATGGGGGCAATTGTTAGAAAAGTAAATTGGCCGTGTAGGGCTTTGGTGTTGAGGGTTTTCCAGTACAAACCGCCCAGAATTCCGCGCGGAACAACCTCCACTTTTCAGCTCATCCTTGAACCCAGCATGGCCGATCTCAAGACGTGGGGTCTCCCTCGACTGGGCCAGCTTCTTCCTCTAGACGAGGAGTCCTTGTCTCAAATCATCGACTATTCCGCCAGTCTCCCGGTAGACGCCTGTGCTGACCACCTCAAAAACCTGCTTGGCGACTCCCCCGCCGCGCTCGAGTTCATCGCCTCTTTCAATAATCGCCGCTCCCCCCCAATCACCCGCCCCTGCTGCAAGAAACGATGTCTCCTCTTCATACCGTGATCGCCCGAGGGGCAAGATCAAGAAGGAGAAAAAGTCGATTCACAGCACGGGTCCGCCTCGTCTCCCAGAAAACTACGGCGATGTCACCGGCGGATACAAGAAATCCGACAGGGAAGAGGATTATATGTCTACTAGCAAATCCGCGACAGCGACAGCACTTTCGCTAGCCCCAGCTGCCACTGCCACTTCATCTAGCGGAAACTCGCGTGCCCACTCCCCGTGCCACCCGTCTCTTCGAAGGCACCACCATCCGCTGCCGGCTCGGTCCTCTCTGATATGCTCCCGAATGTACGATCAAAAGCAGGCAAACCGAACCGCAATACTGGTAGCAACGCAAACTCGAAGAACAGCGGAACCCTCACCACATCCAATATTTCTGATCTGACGGCCGCTATCGCCGCCTAGAGGTCTCGACAAACCCGACTCTGGATACCGAAAAGCGAAAATGTACCTGCTATGCCTCAATCCATCCTCTCTTCACCCCTGCCCCGAATTGCTTAAATTGTGGGAAGATCATCTGTGCCTTGGAGGGGCTCCAACCATGCTCTTTTTGTGGCACGCCGCTGCTTTCCGCGGAAGAGGTGCAAAGTATGATTCGGGAGCTCCGCGCAGAGCGTGGGCAAGAGAAAATGCGTGCGCATAATGATAGCGTACACCACGATCATGGCCCCCGACCAACAGGGTCCGATAGCAAGCTTGATGCCGCCAAGGCGCATCGCGATAAACTTCTCCGATTTCAAGCCCAGAACGCGCGACGGACCAAAGTCGTTGATGAAGCAGCCGACTTTGAAACCCCCAACGTTGCTTCGACCATTTGGATGAGCCCCGCACAGCGTGCTCTGGCTCTGAAGAAGCAGCAGCGCATTCAGCGGGAAATGGAAGAAAAAGCGCGCCCAGAATGGGAAAAGAAGAAGACCGTTATGAGCTTAGATATCAAAGGTGGCAAGGTTCGGCGGGTATATCAAAGCGCCGCTGTGGAACCAAGCGGTGCGCCTGATGACCAGGCAGATGCAGCTGATGAAGCAGAACCGGAGAAATCCAGCAAGGGTGGCCAGGCGCTTAGCCACAACCCTTTGCTGGCTGCTGGCGGCCTTGTGCGTCCTATTTGGCGCGCCCCGGAAGGAAAGGAGGGCCAGCCTCACGAAAGGACAGAGCGAAAGCAAACATGGCGGCGCGTCCAGGATGATAATGATGACAACGAGCAGTGGATACTCGATGGTGGGCTACATGGATATAGTTCGTAAGGTCCTCTACCTGCGATCCAACGCAAAGCTCGCTTCTATACCACAGAGTACCACTCAATAAAATGATACCCACCATTCACACAGTGCTTTATTCCAATCCAAACATCGCAGCTAAAATCATGAATGCCGAGACTGCAGTAAAGTCTCGGTATCTTTTTTGAGGGCGCCGAGCCCGAAGTAGCCGACTCGGCTGTATCCCCGCCCGCGATGATCCCCAGAAGAAGATGGGATGGACGCCTTTAAGCACATAGACGAACAGGGTTTGAATGTTGTCTAAATATACCACCCCCTTATAGGATATCCTTTCCAGCATGCAATTACTACCAACCCTACGAGCGTTGACATCATCAACTGAAGCAATTGGCCCAGTCCGTGCTATCTCAGCACGATGCTATTCAAATGCCGCCGCGAAGAAGCACCGAGAGGGCCCGCTCGCGGGGATGACAGTTGTTAGCCTAGAGCAGGCTATTGCGGCCCCTTTTTGTACTCGACAACTGGCAGATCTTGGAGCTCGGGTCATCAAGGTTGAGCGTCCAGGGGTTGGCGATTTTGCTCGGCAGTATGACAAACGCACCAAGGGCCTTGCTTCCCATTTCGTGTGGGCCAATCGGTCTAAGGAAAGCTTGGCTCTCGATGTGAAAGACCCCAAGGACCATGCAGTGTTAATGAAGCTGCTGGAGAAAGCAGATGTCCTTGTACAGAACCTAGCGCCGGGTGCTGCTGCAAGACTAGGTTTATCACATGAGACGTTGACGGTCAAGCATCCCTCGTTGATTGTCTGCGATATTTCTGGATATGGACAGGACGGTCCATATCGTGACAAGAAGGCATACGATCTGCTCATTCAGAGCGAAGCAGGTATGCTGTCGGTCACTGGCACCGGAAAAGAGCCCGCGAAGGTCGGGATTTCCATCGCAGACATTGCTGCAGGGATGTATGCCTATAGCAATATCCTATCTGCTCTGCTGCAGCGTAAAAAAGACGGAAAGGGTTGTCGGATCGATATCTCTATGTTAGAAAGCATGGTCGAGTGGATGGGATTTCCTATGTATTATGCCTTCGACGGCGCACCGGGGCCTGTACCTGCCGGTGCCTCGCATGCTTCCATCTACCCCTACGGCCCCTTCGAGACGGGCGATGGCCAGTCAGTCATGCTAGGAATCCAGAACGAAAGAGAGTGGGTCAGCTTCTGCAACCGTGTTCTTGTCCAGCCAGAAGTTGCCACAGATGCTCGCTTTTGCACCAATCCCCTCCGCGCCCAGAATCGGAAAGAGTTGAAAGGAATCATCGATGGAGCATTTTCCACCATGACTGCCAAAGAGGCTCTCGCCCGCTTGGATGAAGCCGCAATCGCCAATGCCAGTGTCAATGACATGCAAGGAGTCTGGGGCCACGCTCAGCTCGATGCTCGTGACCGATGGACCGAAGTTGACACCCCGGTTGGCCCTATCCCCGCGATCCTCCCACCAGGGGCCACCAAGTCTGCTGATAAGGGCGGCTTTGGGGCGAGACTGGGCCCAGTGCCAGCAGTAGGAGAACACAACCAAGCAATTTTGGCTGAGCTGGGGATCTCACAATGAACTCTTACTGCGTGGACTGCTTTGTCATAGGTCTCCTGTTTTAGTTTACTAGTTTATAGTCAATATAGATGGCCGAGATTCTCCCACAGAAGGATTTAAAATGAACGCCGCAGCTCCAAATCAAGGAAATAGACAGAAACCCGAATCTCAGATATCAAACGCGAGTTGTTGCCTGGTTCGTCAGGCGCAAATCCATTTTACCAACGCGAACCGCACTTCCCTCTCGACTGCTTTCACTCCAAAGCCACGATTGACTTTCATCGAAAGAGCAAAAAAAATAAAAAATCCAAATGCGAAAGCTGATCCCATAATGGAGCCTGCACGCGCTCTTTACAAGGGAGGCATCGATTTCAAGGCTCTCGCCTTGCAATCTCCAGAATTTGCTAAGCAGTGAGTGATCAACTGAACCGGCAAGAAACAGCACATTGACTGTCGATAGTTTGAGCTCCAGCCAGCAGTTGGATTTTAATGACCCAGAGGCTGTCAGGTAAATGGAGGGTTGATTGCAGTGTAGCAGGCAGACTAACAATTCCCAGGCAGTTGACGATCACGCTGCTGCGGCTCGATTTTGGCCTGGAAGTCAAACTACCAGAAGATCGACTATGCCCACCAGTGAGTTATGGTTCTTGTACAATGTTGCCGGTTGCTAATTCAAGGTGCAGGTACCTAACAGGTGAGATACGGTAAACAAGTCCTAAAGCATCACTAACAAGCCAGGTTGAACTATATTCTCTGGGTACAGGACCTCCTGGACTCCACAACAGGGAAGATCAGTACACGATATGACCCAGAGAGAAAAGTATTGGGACTTGATATGTAAGTCATTTGACATAGCAAGACCTTTGAAGAATGCTGCTCACAGTATTGGAAGTGGTACTGGATGCTGTAGCATCTATCCTCTTCTAGGCTGCAAGGCCAGACCCCATTGGGCATTCCTAGCGACAGGTAAGAAATTCGGCGATCTGATTTGGGATCTAGAAAATTGACTTATGGTCAGATATTGACGAGAATAACATTCGCACGTCCAAAGAGAATGTGGCTCTCAACCAACTTCAGTCAAGGATTCGCATCATTCAAACTGATCCTCAAGATAGCTTATTCCCACTCGACAAGCTGCAAACGTCCAGGTAAAAGGTCTCAAAAATACTTAGAAGCATTGCACTAACCGTTTCCAGGCTCGATTTTACTATGTGCAATCCGCCTTTCTACAAGTCGCGAGACGAGATGATTGAATCTGCGGAAATCAAGGCGAATGCTCCATCCTCAGTTAGTTTCTTGACTCCTGATGCTTCTCACTAATGCTTCTGTTGACGTTTTGAAGATTTGCACTGGAGATCCGGTGGAGATGATTACTCCTGGCGGCGAGGTTGCCTTTGTCACTCGCATGATTGATGAAAGCCTCCAACTGCGTGATCGTATCCAGTGGTACACCTCTATGCTTGGAAGCCTGAGCAGCCTGAACCCTCTAATTGAGACTCTCCAAAAGCATGGGAATCATAACTATGCTGTGAAGGAGTTTGTACAAGGCAATAAGACTAAACGCTGGGCAATTGCTTGGTCGTGGACAGATATGCGACCTGCAATGGTATGCCTACCTGCGCTCAGATTAAAGATAAGTCTACTAACTCCGCTCCTAGACTGCTGCCAGAGGCATTCCAAAATTTGCTCCAAAACAGCTTCCTTTCCCAGCGGATCTTACATTCACGCTCCCGATGGCGATCTCTATTGATGCCGCTAGCGCGGGTTTGAATGCCGAGTTGTCTGAACTTCCATGGTACTGGCTATGGGACCAGCGATTGAGCGCTGGTGTGGGCTATACCTCTGAGAATGTTTGGTCCCGGCAAGCACGCCGGAAGGCCAAGCTTGCTGGAGAGGATGGCTCCGCAAGCAGGTTGCCCACGGTTCCTGAGAAAGTGGCATTGGGCGTTCGCATCAAACTGACATTGGCCCGTGGTAACAAGCACACAGAACAGCAGGTGCAGGTTCTAATCAGTTGGGTCCAGGGAGCAGACAGCGTTCTCTTCGAAAGCTTCTGCGGAATGGTCAAACGGAAGCTTGGGGAGAGATAAGAACCGTCAGCGTTCCACTAGTATCTTTGCGAAACCTGGGTTAGGCTATTACGCGTTCAATTATGGGTAAACCAATCATTATCCAATTCAATATACAAAATCACGTTGTTAAGCAGCAGATAACCAGTTTGGACGTGATCCGGGAGTGATCCGAGAATGATCTCATGCTGTGGGGACGTCTCGGCATCTACTTCTGGATGCCGATTAGCCTCGGGCCCGCAGGGGAAGGTTGAAAACCGCCCAGAACCACCCGCTTCCTCCTTGTAAACCATGGCGAAACTGTCCAGCAGCCTGAAGGCTTTAATTAATGCGCCTGCCGCCAGGCCGCATACCGTGCCAGCTCCTGCGAACATCACCTCGGTCTATTCGAAGATCCAGCAGACTGCACAGGCTCAGAATGTGTCGCAGCCATCATGGCTGGCATTATCGGTAAGGCGGTCCCTCCTGGGAGGGTATGGCCAATCACTAACTCGGGGTAGACTGCAGCGACTATGACGATGAACTCACCCGAATCCCTCGCACTTCTCTACCAATTTGCTTCGTCAACATCGGACAATCACGTGGAGACGGCGGAGCTCATGCGCGAGATTGGTCTCAAGTGCATCAGCTTCAACGGGATTCCCCGGACGATCAACTGCCTCAATGCATTCAAAAGCAGCCTTCCCGAGTCTGTGGGGGCGCGGTTATCGCAGACGCCTACACGAACGCCCACCCCAGCCAATATTACCGAGATCAGTGAACGCGGACTCTCCTTATGGGATTCTATTTACCGTCCATTCGAACGCAAGCTATATGACAAGCTCGCCGACTCTCATCCTGATCTCCCTGTCCACATTCTGAACAGCCATTATGGCGCTTTGCTATCAGACCCTGCCCGCGAGATCGGCGCCTCGGTCGGTCGCGTCCTGACTTCGATCGTTGCGGTGTCTTGCCTTCGCGCCCAGACTGGCGTGGGCCCTCAAGTACTGTCCCATGTCTTTGGACTCCGCAAAGCGCTTGAAGATGGATCTTGGGCTACGGATGTTGAGGGTGAGCAAGGGGCCCGCTGGTTAGCAAGTGATGAAGGGAACACCTGGATTCTGAACAGCGTGGACTCTATTGTCGAGGCGATCAGCCACGGGTCGGGCTCGAATTTCGCTCCTGGGAAGGCGAAGTTATGAGTTGGCGTGAGACGTATAGTGTAAAGATTTCTTGAGCAAGTCGATTCTCTGTCTAGTCTTCCTCTTATGGATTCTGTAAAGATAGCTTCCGGAATAAGCAGATATTCCTTTACACTTACTCTACTGCTACCATACCCGCTTCATACGTTTACGACAGTCAATACTAGTGTACTCACTGGGAAAAGTGGCATTCCAAGAGTAAAGGGGATCCCATCTAATTGCTATAGTTCTGACTATATAAGTGTCTATTCCATAAGCTCAAGCTGCTCCGCAACGGTGAACTTAGCATCGGTCTTGCTCTGCACCTCTTCCACCTCCACTCCGGGAGCCAGTTCTGTGAGCGTTAGCTCTCCGGTGGCTCGGTTGACCTCAAACACACACTGGATCTGTTAGCTCATTGTAAAGGATCTAGATCGAAATTTGTTCTTACCAAGTCCGTGATGATGGTGCTCACGACATTCGCGCCAGTCAACGGTAGGTTACACTTCTGGACAATCTTTGGGGACCCGTCTTTGGCTACATGGCTTGTGGCAACCACGATCTTAGTCTGATCCGGGTTGGAGATCAGATCCATGGCGCCACCCATGCCCTTGAAAACTTTCCCGGGGATCATGTAGTTTGCCAAATCGCCATTAGCACTGACTTGGAGGGCCTGGTTGGACAATCCATCAGTCTCCGAATCCACCAAATTTGCTTTATGTAGACTGCTCAGTACTTACACCAAGAATCGACACATCGACATGTCCACCCCGAATCATTCCAAAGGATTCGGTACTATCGAACGTAGAGGCGCCGGGTACAAGAGTGACTGTCTCCTTTCCAGCGTTGATGATATCCCTTTGGGCAAGTTAGATCCAGTGGAAATGACAGTAGGGCCAGACTGAAACTCACGGGTCAACCTCGTCTTCGGTTGGGTAGGGTCCCTAAGTCCATATAGTAAGTATAAGCACCCTCGAGACAGGGGGCCAAGTAACCTACCATTCCCAATATACCATTCTCAGATTGGACCCAGACCTTCACATCGCTAGGCAAGAATGACGGTGCCAGTGTGGGGATACCTGAGACTCATCAGCCGGAGAAATTCTAACCATTTTCACATCAAATACTTACCAACGCCCAGGTTGACATAAAATCCATGCTTCAGCTCCTTGGCTGCCCGGCGCCCAATTCGCTCTCGCTGGAGCTGGGCAGGGCTTTTAGACTCGCTAGAAGTACTTCCGTTCTCAGGCTCTCTCAATTTCTTAATCTCGATATGTTTCTCATCGGTTGCCGGCACAATGCGGTCCACGAATATACCAGGCAGGTCCACATCGTTCGGATCAATTGCCCCGATTGGCACAATAGTTTCGGCCTCCACGATTGTCAGAGTCGCAGCCTTCGCCATGATCGGGCCAAAAGCCTTAGTAGTGTACCTGCGGGACACAACTCGTATTAGTTTCACACTTGGCAAGTCAAGAAGAGGGATCCATACCGGAAGACACAGTTCCCAGCTTCGTCTGCCTTCCAAGCCCGCAGGATTGCCACATCGCCGGTCAATGCAGTCTCCATCAAGTACTTCTTGCCGTTGAATTCCCGGGTTTCTCTGGGGGTACCAGACTCGAGCACTTTCCCCGACTCATCCATACGCACAGGGATCTTTCCCTCTTCAATGAATGTATCTGGCGGGGTGTTATTCTTTCAAATTCAAGACACTTTGGGGAGACTAAAAAAACTCACGAGCTCCGGTCGGCGTGAAAAAGGCCGGAATGCCGGCTCCGCCAGCGCGCAACCGCTCGGCCAACGTGCCTTGGGGACAAAGTTCGATTCCAATATTTCCGCTGAGGTACTTCTTCTCCAATGCTTTGTTGTTTCCAAGATAAGAGAGGATGAGTCGGTTGAGTTGCCCATTCTGCGATAGGATTGAGAGGCCACCCTTGCCAGCAGCACCGGCATTGTTCGAGACGGCCGTCAAGGAATGCAGATTGTCTGCACCTCGGCGGCCCATTGCATTGATGAGAGTCTCTTTAAGTGACGGACCACGATATCAGTTTCGAGCTTTCGAAAGCGAGTTCGGGTCGTGCTTACCAGCAACCCCGCAGAGACCAAATCCTGAGCTCAAGATCGTGGATCCGCTCTGGATATCCGCGACTGCAGCGTCGGCATCTTTGAACAGCTTCGACCCTCCACGCTCGATCTTCGGGGCCAAAGAGCACCTCGCGGGTGTTGTGGAGTATGACGCACTCGGGCGCGTGGTTGGCACCAGCGACCGAGCTGGGCAGCGAATCCCAATGTAGAGTTGTGGACGACAAGCAGCCAGTGCCTTGCGTGACAGCGCCGCGCTGGTAACTCGTAAAGCGGCCATGATGGTCTGATTAGCGAAGAGTAGTAAAAATGTTGGTTTTAAAACACGTCAAGTAGCCTGTCTCGGAGCTACTTCTGTGGCCCGAGTGGCGGCTATCCGCGCATCCGCAACCACTTCCGCATTTTGATCTTCCAACGTGGTGGAGTATCGGATACCTGGACTGTCACTGATCATTCCCCTGTGTGAATTCCAAGCTAGATGCGAAGGCTGACCAAGTTACCTGCTTTCATGTTCAAGTTCTCTGGAACAGGCCGACCAGGAACGGCCGGCGCGCCCTGTCGATGACATTCGAGATCCGAGCCTATCAGTGATCCATACTCTGTAGACCCACTGCCCTCGTTTTGCTTGACATTTTGTATAAAGCCACCGTGGTATAACAGGCACACTGCCCGATCCCAATATTGCAAATTCGTTCTCTGGCAATGCGCCGGTCAACACGCCCAACGGCCCATGAGCTCACTGACCTCGACGCCGGCCCCTCCGATGCTGCCAGCGTTGCGTTTCCCGACGGCGGGCGCGAGGCTTGGACTTGTCTATTGGGGTCATCTTTGATGATGTTTCCTTCATTTGGGTTCCAGACAGCAGGTACAGACCATTATCTGGCTCAGTTCAACGGGGCGCAAGGTCTAACGCTGTGATAGTTGGCTCTGTTCAGGACTACATCAGCACTCACCAACTGGCCACTTACAGTGTCGGAGATGTGGGCTGGATCACGGCGGTGTTGGTCTTCTTGACGCTCTTTCTAGGAGTGCAAGTAGGCCCGCTGTTCGATCGCTATGGCCCTCGCCTGCTGTTAGTATGCGGGTCGCTGGCCAGCGTCGTCTCCTATTTCCTGCTGGCGGAATGCACCAAGTATTGGCACTTCATGCTCTGCTTAAGCGTCCTGGGCGGCATGTCATCGGCAGTGATTACCACGATCGCGATCTCTGCCCTCAGTCATTGGTTCTACCGTCGTCGAGCACTTGCATCGGGGATCTGCATGTCGGGATCGTCAGCGGGGGGCGCGATTATTCCGCTGTTACTACGATCCTTGTTTGGCAAGTATGGCTGGTCGTGGGCCATCCGGATTGTCGCGTTCATGGCTCTGGGTTGTTACGCTGTTGGCATACTGCTGGTAAAAGGACGGCTACCAGCCACGACTTCGAGCAGAGCGGTAATTGATTTCCGCGCGTTCAAGGCCCCGCGGCTTTGCTTTTTGGCAGTCGCTGTTTTCGCCTTTGAGTTTATTATTTTTGGCTGCGCTGCCCTGCTACCAACATATGTTCGGTACACGGGCATGAATCTTGACGTACAATTCTACTCCCTCACGGTGCTCAATAGCATGAGTGCACTTGGCAGGATTGTCCCCGGCTTTGCTGCGGACCTCTTGGGGCGTTTCAATATTCTCATTTCGTTGGTCATCCTCACTTTGGTCGTGATGTGCTCCGTATGGATCCCTTTTGGGTCTCAAAGCGAGGCCACTCTCTACGCCGTTGTGGCAATCTTCGGTTTTGGGTCTGGAGGCTGGATCTCCCTTGCTCCAGTCTGTGCTGGCCAGCTCTGTCGCACGGAAGAGTATGGGCGTTTCTATGGAACTGTCTACAGCGTCGCTGCTTTTGGTGTCCTCCTTACTGTTCCTGTTGGTGGTCAGCTGCTCCAATCCACAACGCCTCAGGTTCTGGTTGGGTTCTACTCAGCTATCTTATTAGTCGGGCTGGTGAGTGCTGCCATGTCTCGCTGGGCACTACTAGACTGGAACTGGAAATGGAAAGTGAAGGTCTAGAAATTGGCGCCCTCGTTAGATCAGTATCGGTAGAATACCTGGAGTTCCTAGTGAACAAGGTTAGATAGAAGGAATACTTTGCAGCAATAATAATTCGGTAGCTAGCAATTCCGTCTGACATTCCTGTTAACAAGATAATAATTTCCGTGGGGGCGCCATCCCAATAAATCGATATGCATAGAGCGCCGGGTATATCAGGCAAAGCCACAAAATGCCTTCTTTGTTCAATAATCATTCCACTCTTTTCACAATTCCAAAATCACATAAGATCAAAGTCGTCCATTTTGTCCCGATAGCGCATGATGTTGCGCTTGATCTTGCTGGAGTCGACCCAGGTCACAAAATCTTCCATGTTCCGAGTGACAAGGTAAGCCGGGTCAGTGACCACCTCCGTTCCGACGCGGACGTGGCCTTGCTCGATGAAAGTGGTGGCCTAGAAGAAAGTCAATACAAGGGACAATGGGGGTATGGTCATGGCGCAACAGGAGATATAGAACATACCGCCTTGATAGTCTCAACCATGCCGGAGCGCACCATCAAAACCGCCAAGCGCCGGCGGCAAAAAGCAGACACAGTGACCTCTCGCTCAACGCGCGACAGTCCGGCACCTTGCTCCCGCGACTGCTTCAGGATACCCATCCGCCACAATTTGTCCAAGAGCTCCGATTCCAGTTTCCGGCGCACGGGGTCCGAGTCCGGGTCGAGCTGCGAGAGCTTGTGGGCGAGGGAGCGCATCGAGCCGCATAGTTGGCTGTACTTCTTATAGTCCATTGGGTCTTGTAGGAGGTATCGCTGGCTGACCTGGTGTTCGCGGTGGTTGCCATCGGATTTGTATGTGTGGAAGTCGACCTTCCGAAGAAGTCTGCAAGAGCCATCGATTAGGAATTTGCCAAGCGTTAGCAATAGAGCAACTTACTTCTTCTCATGGTGCTTGAGCTGACGAACCATCGTGGCGGCGACACTCTGAAACTCTCCCCAGCGATAATTTGAAAGCCCGTCTGCTAAAGAATCGATAAGAAAATTATCTCGGGCGGTGTTGTTCTGCCGTACCACAGTTTCACCGCCCACAGCGCTTGTCCCTCGCGCTGTGATTGGCTGAAAGTCCCCAATACTGTATGCATCTTGATGTTTTTAAATCAGAAAAAAAAAAACGATCCAATTCCTACTATTTTCTAAGAATCTCAAATCCAATTACTAAATAACAACGAAGAAGAGCAAACCAAACACCGCACAAGGTCATCCATTACTGCGCTCGCTCCTTGATGGAGACAGGAATGTTTTCCTGTCGCACGAACCAGGAATTTATGACGTGCCATTGATGGTCTTGACGTGGTAACGCCATCTATCGAAATGAGATTCAGCGAGAGGGACCTTGCAGGGTATATTACGGGGCAACTACTCACATCGAAATGGGTGAAAAGTGCCGCGACCAGCTTGTAGCTCTCCAGTCTGGATACATATCTTCCCAGGCACACGCGCGGCCCGCCTCCAAAACTGAAATCTGTGGCCTTCATTTTTGAGAAGCGTCGTTCGTAATCCTCATCCCGCTCGCCGGGGTTCTGAAGCCAGCGCTCCGGGATGAAGGACTCGATATCGCCGCCGTAAACAGCTTCACAGCGGTTCATGACCCAGGGATTGACTCCCACCACGGTGCCCTCCGGGACAAACCTTCCATCCGGCAAATGGAACCCACCCTTGGGTACGACCCGCTCAAGGATAAGCCCGACTCCACCTCCAACACGAACCCCTTCTCGCATCACGGCATCAAAGTATGTGAGTCCTTGGAGCTCCTTCCAGGTCGGGGGGAACGATAAGTGGGCGGCCCGGAGTTCAGCGCAAAGCTTCTTGTGAACATGCGGATGTTTCAAAACGTGGTACACAATGCTGCACATGGCACCAGCAGTAGAATCGGAGCCTGCAAGGACGTTCGATAATAGCCAAAGAATAATGGTGTTGTCATCTACAAGCTCGGGATGCTTTTCCTTCGCTTCAAGGAAGCGATCTAGGTAGTCGACATGTCCGCTTTCTTTTATGCCCCCAGCAGCCAGGCGCTTCTGGAGTTGCTCAACGCTGAAAATATTGGCCCAAATGAATGTTGGAGGTCCAATGCGCATGACAGGGTTTTTATCCAGCAGATGGTCCAGAATGGGCAGCTGGGAAATCTGTTGATCGGAGCTTAGCAACACAGGATCCAACACGTTGAGTCATCAGCAGTCAAATGATCTGGACGAAAAAGGCAGCGATTCACTACCCCTGCCCAATTCCGAATTGAACACAATGGATGGTCTCTATTTGCTTCGGAACAACCGACTGTGGAGGCCCGGCCTTCATTTCGTTAACTCGGACTTACCGAAGCGAAATAGTCCAAGGTACGATTGGACCGTTTAAGAAAACCCCTGTAGTCCCATCCCGCCTCAAGAATCCCAAGATTCTGCGAAAAGGTGATTTCGCTCATGGCGTCCCAGGCAACTGGATTGCCGCATTAGAGCGGGATCTCAATCTTAGATCGAGCGGCTGCACTTACAAAAGTTCAAGTACTCAGACATGTCACAAACGTTTCCGGTTTTCACAAACCGCTCGCGCAGCTTCTCGAAAAAAAGAGCGATTGTTACGTCCAGCCCAGGCTCCATATCCTGGACCTTACTCATCGAGTATAGGCTTTTGATGGGCCGAACGAAGGTCGAGTGCCATTTCTCATCGCGAGTGGAGAACAGGTTGCTGTAGCGAATTCCGTCGACGAGGACATCGTTTGGAAAGTACATGTCGCTCTGTATGATTTGTGAGTAGAGGAATACACTAGTATCAGGGAGTCTTGTTTTTTTTTTTTGATTTCGAGTTTCGAGTTTACTGGTCCTTTCTTTCTTTCTTTTTCATTTTGGAGAGATGATAAAGCTCACCTTTTGCCATGGAGTCTTCGTATTGTAGACCTGGCTCACGACGTCTGGATCTGATAGACTAAGCAGATTTGGGCCTAATCGAACCGCGGATCCATACTTGCGGTGGAGCGCGTTATGCGTTATATCGCAACGGCCTTTGAACACATCCATCATGCGCCATACGTTCGTGAACGCAGCCACAGGTGGACCGGGGAAGGATCTGAGTGGAGACCGCAGATAGCTCCATAGGAATCGAGAGACCACAAGAATTGCAATAGAGAGGACTAAATTGACTGAGACTTCGGTTACAGATGGCATGGCTTGCGGGTGGGCTGGTCAAATTCGAATTTTGGATCAGTGGTAGACAGAGCTCCGTCTAGACTCTTTTCACCCCTGGCATGTGGGATTGAACTATCGAATTTAAATGGAATTCATAGACCCATTGCGCTTTTTCAATGACCTTCTTTCCCACCTCCCACCCCCCCTTCCCCCTCAGCCAGAACCTCTGTCCACCACAGCCCCACCTGTCTAGACTCAATAGACAGGATTTTCCATGTTCTTGCCCACGAAAATAGGGCTAAAACCGGAGCGTAGGCGCCAATGACAGGTTGGAAATTAGCCAGGCGGGATTAGCACGAACAGGCCTCGAGGGACGCTCGGCTCGTCCCAAAGGAGAATGGCCAGTGGCACGCTGATATCCAAAAGTACGTGACCTAGCCCGATTCAGACTGTTACAAGAAAATCGCTCTTAGTGCCCAGAGTGTCTTGGTACGGCGGGACGCACGGCCGATCAGCGTGAATAACTGTCGACTCCACCTGTCGAGGCCGTTGGGCAGCGCGACCTTTGGAAGAATTCTGTCTCCAGTCAAGCTATGCGACCTCGGCCCCTAAAAATGAACCTACCATGTCCATATCTGGTTAGGCGAATATAAGCTCCATTCTGACAGCGGAACCAGAGTTGATAGATCACATTTGGCTCGGCCCCACAAGGGGAAACGGAGGCGAGAATCGCGCTCAGCAAGTTCCTCTTCGACATGCAATTGTTCCTTTTGTTGTGGAGCTTCTCTTTTTTTGGAGGGCGCTTCCTCGTCTCAAATCCGCATAGGAGAAACTAAGTATGTAGACCCAAGACGAGTAAAATATATATACCCCCCAATTTTGAACACGTTGAAATACCCCAGCTCAAGGCATGTCCGAGAGGCATTAGCGGCCCGGGGGGGGGGGGGCCATGTTTCATCCCTCGTGCGGTCCTCTGAGATGGGGACCTTTCAGATATGATCGATCAGATGGTCCCAACTCTGATGATGCCATTGGAGAATAAACCCCTGCAACCCCTTTGCCATCGCCGATGGCGGAATTTCCAGAGGTACTCCGCCTGATAAAGAAGGGCTGAGATCCGAAACACAGGGCTCCAGAGTCGCCGTGGAGGGTTAATTAGGCCGCACCTCAGGGGAAGTCGCAGCAAAGAGCGTTCAGGGGTATCTGTTGCGACAAAAGCGAAAAAAAAAAACACAAATACCCCGTGAGCCACAAGCGTCGAAGCTAGAATGTGATGGCTGCATCGACCGTGTGGGGCGCAGCCATCGCCACGAGCTAAAAGTCGCCGGATCAAACCTTCCGTCGTGCCGGCTATCCACTATGGGTCTTGCAATGGCCATGCTTTATCTTGATCCGGAACCATCCCCGCTTCGAATGGCTGCAGTGATGGGCTGATCTGTGATAAGCGAGACCTTAGCTGCAGGCCCAGACCGGGCCGGTGGCATTAGCCTGTGGCAAAGTAATTGCAGCTATGACCCAAGGCACGAGCGCTACACAGAATGCGAACTTGGTCATGATGTACAGGCTTAGGGCTTCTATTGGACCAAGTCAACTGCTGGCACCTGTCATACTGCGGGAGACAGAAGGTTTGGGTTTGATACTATTAGGTTAAAGATGGTCTAGCGTCTGTGATTGGGTGTGACAGCATAGTAGAGGCCGAGTTTCCCGCGCGACACTGGGTTCTACCTATCGATCTGCCATTTGGAGGAACAAAAGTTCCTCCAAGTTTTGGGTCTTTCATCCTGGAATCCGTCGAACAGGGGGCCCTTGTATCTAGATACATATTCAGCAGCCCCCGGGGTCTTCAGCACGTCCTCGTCTTCAGATGTGCCGAAGTCTCCATGAGCTGTGGCCAACTCCGAGGACATTATATCGATACTGAATTATTTCAAATTTCTGTGCTGTTGCTCTGCGCCGAGCCCCGGGCTGGATATCTGGACAATGGCGCAACACTCGACCGCAGAGAACAACCAGACCGAGGGGCCTCTGATTCTCGGAGTCTCCTGGCTCTTGATTGCCGTCCCAGGAGTTACGCTAGCCCTTCGCATTTTCTGTAAAACCGTGCTTAGCCGCGGGCTCGGATGGGATGACCTTGTCATCGTGTTCGCCTGGGTATGTCGTCCTCGATGGAGTTGAATGTGTCATGACGCCTGCGAATCTTGCTGATGGTTCCTAGCTTCTGCATGTGACCTACACTGGGATGATTACACATGGAGTGAAAATCGGGGTCATTGGCAAACATGTTTACGCCATTGAAGATGCCTCGAAGATTCCCGAGGGGCTGAAGATGGTATATATCAGTTTTGTCATTATCATTTTTGGGTGTGTATTCGCCAAGACATCTTTTGCGATTACTTTACTCCGTATCGTGACTCGCCCCTGGATGAAGATCTCTCTGTGGTTCATTATCATCAGCATGAATATACTCATGTGGACCACTGGTGTCTCCTATTTAGCTCAGTGCTCACCCGCGGCCGCGCTTTGGCGAACTGAGCTACTGGCGACAGCCAAGTGCTGGCCTCCCATCGCTTTTGAGGTTCTCGGCATGACTGCTGGAGGTATGTGCGGCCGTGTCGGGTTCGAAGTTGATGCTAATCTTCTTTGATAGCTTATTCGGGCTTCATGGATTTTGTCCTCTCTTTGTTCCCTTGGGTGATCCTATGGAATTTGCAAATGAACAAACGAGAGAAATTCGGCATTGCTCTTGCTATGAGCATGGGCATATTGTGGGTCACGCCAACATTACTTGGATCCATGGAGAGAAGACACAACGTGCTAACTGGAAGTAGTGCGGCTGTCACCGCGTTTATCAAAACCTCGAAGCTGGTCAATGTGACCGAGATCAAAGATTTTACCTGTCAGTCTTGCGGCTCTCTGGCTTTGGCGGGACCAGATTGAAAGTCTGCTAACCATCCTCACAATCCACAGACTTCTGTACCTCGTTAATTCTCTGGGCATCCGCCGAAACAGGCCTCACAATCTTCGCAGCCTCGATTCCCTCCCTCCGACTCATCATTGCGCGTATGCGATCCAGCTACGACCGCATGGATGAGTCTCAGAAATACGGTCTTCATTCTTCGAGTCGACGCACGGCACCCCGTCGGGGTGATGCCTCCCATGATACCGATCCATACTACTACATGGGCGGTGAGGCGATCACTCTTGCTGATCGGAAGGATGATAGCAGCGACAAGAGTATTCTTGGGAAATCAACCATTCAGCAGACCCAAGAGATCTCTGTCACATACGAGCACTCCATGGACGAGGAAGGAATGGCAGCAAACCGGGTGGATACGTTTCCCGCTCGGTTGCACTCTCCCTCGCCGATTCGCTTCTGAGCAAGGCATTGCTTGTAGATTTATATGATCGAGAGCGACATTGAACCGATCAGGGTATTGCGAGGCTGGTGTTTGGGATCTTTCAAAATTAATACTGTAACGGTGCCACTTTGTTTGGGTCGTCTATACTTGGGGCGGATCTGTACATAAGAATCTTTATACTCGAATATGCAATGGCGTTTCTGGGGGCTTGCCATTGCTACTACTGGCAGTAAATGCTCCTCGTTCAGGTATAATTTATGCAAGTTCAGAGCCAAGCCGTCGAAGGTTCGGTTTGTGTTGGACTTGTCTAAAACTATGATTAGCCACTCATACTATAACCCTAAGCACGTTCTAGTATATATATATATATATATATCTTCCCAGATTCCTATGTAATCTTCGGACAGAAGGGATCCCACCCCGACAGAGCCCCGCCAAGAGCCCACGACGAAAAAGAGCCCCGGTAGAACCCCATTCTAGCGGGGGATTGAGCGTTTGGAGCTCTAGAACTGCGGGGCGAGCATGCCACGTTCTGCGTGGGAGTCGGAGACCAACTCCCGCGCACCAATCACCACGCGACAATTCTATCGAGGGGTTGAGTGGGATCAACAATTGGCATTCGCAGGAGAATCTTCCACGTCTCATCCCTGCCTTCAAAGACAACTTCTCTGCCCTCCCCTCGAGAAGAGACAGGCCCAATCCAGCTATCATGTACACCCCCAAAGTCGGCGATCGCGTCGACGATCTCGACACACCATCCATGATCGTAGATCTGGATCTGATGGAAGCCAATATCCAGAAGCTCATGGGGAAGCTCTTGCCGACTGGTCTGAATATTCGGCCTCATCTCAAGACGACCAAGAGTGCGATTCTCGCCAACAAGCTGGTCGCGGCGGGCGCAAAGGGTGGCTGCGTCGCCAAGATCAGCGAAGCAGAAGCCATCGCTGCTGCTGGCTTCGATGATCTTCTTATTACCTGTGAGATCATTGGCCCAGCCAAAGTCAAGCGCTTAGTGGAGCTGTATCGAAAACATCGGAAGATCCGGATTGTGATCGACAGCGAGACTGGCGCCAGTGCGATTAACAATGCGTTGGTGGCGTCTGGCATCGAGGAGCCTATCTCGGTGTTAATTGATCTTGACGTCGGACTTCATCGGACTGGCGTGGCCCCAGGCGAGCCTGCTCTTGCTCTCGCGCACCACATTGCTGGGTTGAAGCAGTTGAAGCTCATCGGCGTTCAAGGCTACGAGGGCCATCTGCAGCATTTACACGATCGAGAGGATCGCAGAACCCAGTGTTTGCAATCAATGGAAATCTTGACAGGAACCGCGGAGTCGCTCCGCCAGGCTGGGTTTGGCATTGAGGTTGTCACAACGGGGGGAACGGGCACAGCGGAATTCTGTGCCACGGTGCCTGGCGTCACCGAACTTCAGCCCGGATCGTTCATCTTCATGGACACGGACTACAGGAATGCCGTGGGCACGTTCTACTCCAACAGCTTCACCATCCTCTCCACCGTGGTCAGCAAGCAGGGGCCTCGTGCTGTCACCATTGACGCTGGCCTGAAGTCGTTGACCACAGATAGCGGCTTGGCCGAGTGCAAAGACCCGCGATACGCGTACGGCGTATTGGGCGATGAACATGGTTCTTTGACTTGGGATGAAGGCACGCCATCACTTGCTGTTGGCGACCGTGTCCAAATGATTCCAAGTCACATTGATCCCACCGTTAACTTACATGACTTCTACTATGCGTACCGTGCAGGTGTTGTTGAGGAGATTTGGCCAGTCGATTCGAGAGGAAAGGTTCAATAAAACGGGCCGGGAGCATTGGATAGACAAAATACTAGTATACAGCTCGAGGTCATATCTAGCAATCCTATAAATCTTTCATTGCGACTAGCCTCTTTCCATTTCGCGCGGGACTCTCCTGTGAGAAGGCTTTAAATCGAACTTTAAGGTCAAACGGACGGATTGGGACCTTGAATGAATTATGAAACGCGTACAAGGAGCACCAGAAGGGCACTTCCATTGAACCCTACACAGATGCGCCTCATCGAAAAAGAACGGCGATCTTTCATTCTCAAGGATAAGGTTGCATTATCTGGCTATGCACAATCATCATAAGTTATTTTTAAGATAGAAGCTTGGTTGCATCCTGGAGCCGCTCTTGGATGATGGTGCTCCATTTCTAGAAGTATGGTTAGAATACTGAATTCGAGATCTGGCAAAATACCTTTCTGGTGCCACTTACCTTTGCGTTTTCCAGATCCTGGGCTTCTAAGCTCTCAACCAAGCCTGGATAGGTTGCACCCGAGTATCCAGTCCAAATGCCGGGAGCGAAAACAACATGCTTGAACCATTCGCGACCGTCGAGTCCAGGCTGGTACAGGAACGCACGTTCCAACGCCTTGTACTTGTCGTTGGCGATGCGAACCTGGAAGAGCAGCTTGACTTTCTTCCACCAATGGTACCAAGGAATATGGTGGCCCAGTTGCTCGGTGAGGCTAGCAGTGTAAATGTCAAAGGCCTTTGCGGCAAGCTTGAACTCAGCGATAGCATCTTCCAGAGGGGCAAAATCCAAGTGGGTGCCGGCAGGGAGTTTTTCAGCGGTTGGTTTGATGTGCTCCAGGTAGGATTGCAAAGCGTCTGCGTAATCACCAGAGCTGAAGGCAATGACTGGCGATTCGATAAGTTGAGCAGCGGCCAAAGCCCAGAGTTTAGCGGCTGTAGCATGGTATGCGAAATCTTTGTCCCCGAACCTCTCCATCCACGCAAAGCTATCGTAGTTGGAGTGATAGGGATAAACAGGATCGTTCTCTCCTCGGCCAAAGCCAAAGTCCAAACTGGCGACGCCGGCGAAATCTTGGAATGCGGTAAAGTCACTCCCACTGCCCATGGTGGAGATCTTGCCGTTCCAGACATCACGCACGGTTTGGCCTGGCACGGTTTGGTTGGGAGACTGTACGAGTCCCGTCACCTCCTGGATAACTTTGTTTAATAGTGGAGCAGCGCTCGGTGAAAAGGAAGTTCCGGCAGTAGCAACATCAACATTGAGGTATGCGACATTGGCCTTGGAGAGCCAAGGGAGGTTCTCCTCCACCCACTCAGTCGAACCGAGCAGGCCATACTCTTCGCCATCCCAGCTAGCAAAGACGACGGTCCGCAGAGGCCTCCAACCGGCCTTGAGTGCCTCGCCAAAGCTACGAATAACTTCATTGAGGGCAGCCGATCCGCTGTTGGGATCACCCGCACCACCCGCAATCCAGGCATCACGATGGTTACCCAACACGATGACCTCGTCTTTGATATGTCCCTTGATGACACCGATGACATCCCATAGTGGAGTAGTCACATACTCTTGCTGGTTGTCAAGGTTGATGACGACATCTTCGGGTGAGGGTCCAATGTTATACTCGACGCCCTTGTAGCCAAGACCGCCGCCCTGCCAGTATTTATTGAAATCAGATGCCTTGGGACCGTGTCCGTTAAGAGCCTTCAAGAATGGAAGGGCTTCCTTGTAGGAAATTGGGATAGAAGGGATTGAAGGGATCGAGTGCTGAGGATCCTGTCTCTCAACACCGGGCTTGGATGCATATCCGGGGGGTGGTTGGGTCACCAGGAAGGATGCCTGTTTATTGTGTTATGAGCCGACCAGGCACAATAGAAAAGGAACGTGGAATCCGATACTCACTCAAGAACTGAGTACTTCCCCTTTGGATAGCACTGGGATTGCGTGCCGGTCCATCCGGGTAAGCTTTGTATCCATTTTCTTCGGTGATCTTGCCGTCCTCTTGCGGATCAGTGTAGATCACCACCCCGACCATGCCAAGCTCCTGCGCGCGCTTTACTTTCAGGCCACGGAAGATTCCACCATATTTGACAAGAGCAATTTTGCCTTCGAGGGGGACGTTTGCAGCAACAAGATCTTCATAATCTTGATAGGTGCCGAAGTTGGCATACACGTACTGGGCGGTAACATTACCATTCGCAGAATATCCGTGAAATGAGGGGACACGGTCTGGCAAGCTCGTGGTCGGGTCTTCTTTGAGTTGATCTTCCTCGAGGGTGGCCTCGAAGGTAACCTCGGTCTTGTCCGCGGACTTTTTCAAAAGCGCCAGCCGATGGTCTAGAGGGTAGTTGAGGTAGATGTCATACGAAGCGAGAGTGGTATCCTCGACGCCGAACTCCTTCCATTTTTCTAGGGTCCAGAGGGCTTGGCTCAGGTTCTTACCAGCCAGGTGGGGCCCAGCAGTATAGTAGGAGCTCCATTCGCGAGCTTTGGCTGCGGATGGGATGTTTAACAGGATTTGCTGCAATTGATCATACGAAAGCCCAAGGCTTTGCGGCCAGGCCTCGTGGGGAAAGGGTTGGGCCCAGGGAAGGTAAGAGAATACTGATCCATGTGCTCGGGGCCACAAGGATGACGGAATTAAGAACAGGGCCGTAGCAATGAGGAGTAAGCTCAAGAACCAAGTACACGCACGGCGCACCTTATGATGAGGATACCGATAACGCTGAGGTGCGACATTGACCGTCAACAAAGGGGTTGACTCGGTTGGAGCCATCTTTTCCTTCATCTTGGGCGTTTCTGAGGAAAGAGAAGAGGGAAGAGGAAGGATACCGATGATGTGATGCGTCCCTCTTCTCCGCACTTTAGTTATCGCGCTATCGCTGACTAACGCCTCTCCGCACACGCCGACTAATTCCGGTCGAGCAGATCAGGCGATTCCCAGCAGTTCGCGATATTTGACTTTCCCCACGATGCCATTGGACTTGTCGGTGTATTTGGTCACGGACTCCACTCCCGCCATCCTCAGGGATCGCGACCTGTGCACGGTTGTCGAGGCGGCGCTGAAAGGAGGTAAGTCACAAAAAACCAGGAACATCAAAATAGAGAATTCTCGAATGGCAATTAGTGATAGAAGATCACTTCGGGAGTTGTGCGAGAATGATCAGCCAAAACTCACTTTTGCTCTGCAGGTGTCACCGTGGTGCAGTACCGAGACAAGACGAGCGACACTGGTGTTTTGATCGACACGGCCAAACGATTGCATCAATTGACCCAGCGCTATAACGTGCCTCTGCTCATCAATGACCGAGTTGATGTGGCTCTCGCCGTCGGCGCAGAGGGCGTCCATCTCGGACAAGATGATATGAGTAGGTGCCCCGCCATTGACAATTACCCCACCATGGTCCATCATCTCACAGAGTCCAGAGTTTGAACTAGCAAAGAAGCTACTTCCCAAGGACGCCATTATTGGCATTAGCACATCCACAATCCAGGAAGCAAAGCAGGCGGTCTCCGATGGCGCTGACTACATTGGCATTGGAACTATGTTTGCCACTCCCACGTAAGTATTGTGTGTTGACAAAGCTCTACAGGCAGCTCTCTGAATTCTTCGCAGGAAGACCAATACCAAATCGGTAATAGGAACAGCTGGTACGCAAGCCATCTTGGAGGCAATCAGCGATGCCTCTGCGATGCGCACCGTCGCGATAGGGGCATTAACCCCTCAAACGTGCAACGAGTGATCTACCAGTCCCAGTCTCCAAGGAAAGCCCTGGATGGGGTCGCCATCGTCAGCGCAATCATGGCCGCCGATGACCCCCAAGCCGCTACAGAGGGGATTGCTCAACTCATCAAATCGCGACCTCTCTTTGCATTGACCCCGAAGGTCGCACGGGACAACGAGGTTGGGGCTTTATTGCAGGAGGTGCCGCAGATCGTTCAGAAAATGGTCGAGGTCCATCCACTTGTGCACAATATGATAAACTTTGTCGTTGCAAACTTCGTGGCCAACGTCGCTTTAGCCATGTAAGCTCTCATACCCTCACGTCGGGTACTCTGAAACTCATGAGAATTTCTTTAGTGGGGCATCACCCATTATGGCTCCGTACGGCGATGAAGCCACAGATCTTTCCAATTTTGACGGTGCTCTGCTAATCAACATGGGTACCTTGACCGGCGATAGTATCTCCAACTACCTGAAAGCCCTCAAGGCCTACAACTCTCGCGGGAACCCGGTTATTTATGATCCAGTAGGGGCTGCTGCCACCGAGATTCGTCGCAACGCGGTGACCCAGCTGATGGCAGGCGGCTATTTTGATCTGATCAAGGGCAACGAAGGAGAGATCCGACAAGCATGGGGCAGCAGCGCAGTGCAGCAGCGTGGTGTCGACAGTGGACCCAGCAAGCTCGATGGTCAACAGAAAGCTCTATTGGCCCGCGATCTGGCTCGGAGAGAAAGTGAGTGGGCCTGCCATTTAAAGCGAGGACGGATTACTGATCCATACATAGAAAATCTTGTTCTGCTCACAGGCGCTGTGGACTACCTGAGTGACGGTGAGCGCGTCATTGCTGTTGAGAATGGCCACTCTTATCTAGGCCAAGTAACAGGAGTAAGTTGCCACTTCTCGAGAAATTGATTGTGCAGAGCTGATGGACTTTTCGTTCCTTAGACAGGCTGTGCTGTAGGGTCTGTCTCGGGTTGTTTCCTGAGTGCCCACCGCTCTGACAGGCTCCTCGCCGTACTATCCGGCCTGTGATGTATGAGATTGCAGCTGAAAACGCTGCGAACAAGGAATATGTCCGGGGCCCGGGGAGCTTTGTGCCAGCGTTCTTGGATGAGTTATACGCCATCCGTACAGCTGCGGCCAAGGGCGATAACAGCTGGTTTACTGGACGTGCTAAGGTGCATATGGTCAACGTCTAGAACTTCCAAATTAGACTACAAGTACGATGTATAAAAGTTCGATTTAATATCACACCCATTTCAAGCAAAGAAATTCGTATCATTAGCACTAGTACTCGGAGCATACTTTTATTACTCCCGTCAAATAACACCGGCTCATAACCTGTCGGTGAACAAGCAAGTCGTCCTTCTACATACCACACCTTTTTTTTTCGTTTTCCTCTTTGATAATTCAGGCACGTCTATTCACCGGGACCAGACTCGGCCTTTCGACGCCGAAGCCATTGGCTCAAGCTAGATCCCAGCCCATGGAGACCCCGTTGTTCCATCTCACGGCGCGCAGCCCCGTCAACGGCATCCTCGTCATCTTGGGCCTGACGATAGCGCCCGTCGACTAGCCAGAGCAGGATCTGCATAAGCACAGCAGACAGTATACTAGCAATGAGGATGCCGATCATCACCAAGTTACTCTTGCGGTACTTTTCCCGGCCGGGGGCCTCAGAATCGCTCTTCCAGCCCGAGTACAGAGCATAAGTGGTCAAGATACTACCCAAATTACCCCAGCCTGATACGACTGCTGACGCAACAGCCACGCCGACTTCACCGTGGCGGGGCTGGAAGACCTCAGCAGTCCATGTCATGGTAATGGGGACCGTAGGACCCAAGCCAAAGCCGACAATCAGTAGACCGCCATATCGGGGCCAAGGATTAGCATCACTACCGGCATAGCTAGTCAGGAGTAGACCCAAAATCTGTAGGCAAGTTGGGATCGAGAAGAACAGTGCGCGGTGGCGATGAAACCGGTCTGAAAATGGTGTAACAAGAACAATGGCAATAAGATCCATCTATGTATGGTTAAAAACGTCTGATCAGGAGGGGAGGGTTCATCATCGGTTCACTTACAATCCAGATCGGTGCCGTCAGCAGGCTCACATCAATGCCGCTTAGCGATGGGTTAATCGCTTGGATGATGACGTTGGCATAAAGCTGGGTGCCAATTCCGACGCCTACAACCCCAAAGTACATGACCAAAAGGGGCCACAGTCTCCAATCTAGGAACACACGAAAGAGGTCGCGGATATTCCAGGCGGGGGCATGGTAGACACGCTTCATGTCGTAGTAATGGACTGCGGCATCGTGGCCTTTCAGGGCTGGAGGGCTGCGAGGTACCCAACGCAGAAACCAGGTGCGTTGAGGGTATTCCGCGCCGGGTGCTATTGGACGGTCCGGAAGCCACCACAAGAGAGCAAAGCCAAGTGCGATTGTCAAAACACCGTACACCAGGAACATCCACTGAAAACCGACGTATCCTAATTCCCCATCCATCTCCTGGAAACCGGCTGATACGAGGCCAACCACAGCCGCCGAAAGTTGGGAAGCGGTAAAGTAATAACCAATTCGCTTGCCAATTCGGGATGGAGGGTAGAAAAGAGTCAAGTAGTAAGTCATGCCGGGCCATAGGCCTGCTTCCACGATCCCTAGCAGCAGGCGCAGGAGACTTTGGGTGCATTAGCTACCACTCAAGAAAGACGGGGGGGGGGTAAACATACTAAAAGCTCCATGCCGCTTTCATGGCGACCATGCAGGTCCCAATTAGACCCACACTAAGCACAATGCGACTCATCCAGACATGCGGGCTCAGCCGAGTCATGACCAAGTTGGAAGGCAGGTCAAAAACTACATAGCCGACATAGAATAGTGCTAGGCCAGTCGATATCTGATGGCTATTGATATGTAGGAAGCTGCCCAAATCATGACCGGTTGTCTCATTCATCGTCTGCGCAAGTCCAATGTTTGATCGGATCGCCGAGCACATGAAATAAAGCACCCATAAAGCAGGTATGATGCGCCAGTCGAGTTTCCTTCATTCGTCGTCAGTACGGAGACCAGCGTGCTTTTATTGAGGACTCACCGATATATCCGCTCGATGTTGGCGACATCCAAAGCGTTAGGGTCAAGCTGATCCACAAAGTCAGCCCCCAGAGGGGCCTGTGGCGGCTCAGAGACCGCTGCTGATAACGGCTCTTTGGTGTTGCCCATGGGTGCCTCCGAATTGTGCTGCGACATATGAACGTCGATTCCAAGGTTCTATCTGGAGGATTGAGAATCCGAGTCGCAATGATCACAACTTTCCCACCATCAGAACGCTGCTTTTGCTGGCTGTCTTCGACGCTATTTTATATAGGATCCTATTGCAGACATGTCAGCTGGCGTTTTCGCCGATTATCTTCGATTTCCGATGCCTTGGTACAAGCTGAAAGAATTCAACATGCCGTGATCCGACGCCAGTCGTATCTAAAGGCAAGCCTCCAATTCAACACTTACCCGCGACCCTGTCGAATAAATGAAGCTGACTGCCAACAATTGGTATCAATTCCGACCAAGCACGAGTCTCCCGATGAAAAGCGGAGAGCGGAGGATCTGATCCACTGCTTGATGGCGCAGTCACCAATTGCCCAAGTGCTCGATTGCGCCTGGCGATGGGACCCTGAGCCAACTTAAGCGCTTTTCTCTCTCTCTACTGGTGGGCCGTTGGGTTGAACTGTTGAGTCACGGTTGAACGCGGTCACCGGGAAAGAAAAAAAAAAACCCACCAAGTCACGAAGCCCATGAAAATCCCTCCGATCCTCGGCGTCCCCCATCTTCCTGCACTCCCCACGGATCACTGGATTCTATTTCCCACCCTGATCCAACCGTGAAATAGCAGGCCGCCATGGGATCTACAGTATAAATTCCACGGTCGGGAAAATGTTTCCGCTCTATGCCTATGGGGCTGCTTGAGAAAAGCAAGTCAGATGCTGGGCGGATCCCCAAAGATCTGGAGATCTCAGAGTGAAAGAGTTCAGAAGATAATCTCCGCTTGCGTAGGCATAACTCCGCATTATTCATTCGACCTTGTCAGGCGCCCAGGCGTATCAAGCTTTATCTGCGGAGTTTACTGGAAATCTCCGGCTCTAATATCCGCCAAGCCTGCTTGTCCCCCCAGAATCACGGCTTCTGGACTTGAAGATGCGGCCAAAATCCGAGCTTCAAGCGGTGGTAAGCATCGGCTCCGTGGATTTGGTATATCAAAAGAGTAGTACTTCAGGCTTGCGGCAAGTTGTTCTGTCTCATAAATTCAATCACTGCACCCTGCACCCTGCACCCTCCCAGACTATATATTCCCCGCATCCCCGCCCGTTTTCCAAGTTCAAGTTGCTTCCTAAACCAGACCCAGAACGCTTCGTCTCAACACCCAACCCAAGATGACTCAAACCTGGCTCGTGACTGGTGCTTCTTCGGGCCTTGGAACTGCTATTGCCGAGGCGGCTCTCCAAGCGGGCCATAAAGTGATCGCTACAGCACGCAACCCGACCAAAGCAGCTCAAGAAAATCCCCAGGTCGAGAAGCTTGGAGGGATATGGATTGAACTAGACGTGACCAAGAGTGAGACGACAAAGAGAGTGGAAGATGCGATAACTCAGACAGGTGGAGTGATCGACGTGGTGGTCAATAATGCCGGATACTCTCTGCTGGGCAGCATTGAGGACATGAGCGAGTCGGAGGTGGAGACACAATTCAACACAAACGTCCACGGCCCCGTCCGCGTCTTAAAGGGGGTACTTCCCTTCATGCGGGCGCAAAAGTCAGGAACGATCGTCAACATCAGTAGCTCTGCGGGTCTAGATGGTCTTCCTACCTGTGCGATGTATGCGGGGACTAAGTTTGCTCTTGAAGGTGAGTCGACTTCTCTCATTCAATCTCCAAGCTTGCATTTGGATACATCTGACACACATCGCGAACAGCCATGTCAGAAAGCCTTTCGAGGGAGCTCGAACCATTTGGCATTCGAGTGGTGATCATCGAACCAGGCCAGTTCAGGACGAAGTTCCTAGCATCATACGTGCAGCCCGCGGCGGGGATGAACAAAGCTTACCTCGGCACCCCTCTGGATGATGTGATGAAGTTCTTCAAGCAGGTTAATGGGAGCCAGCATGGCGACCCTGTCAAAGCTGCCCAGCGGATCCTGGAGATAGTGTCAGGCACCGGCATGGCAGCTGGCAAGGACAAGGTGCTGCGGTTTCCGCTGGGCCCGGATTGCTACAAGCGCTTCCAGACTAAAATCGAAAGCATGCAGAGTGACTGGAAGGAAACGCAGGAAATTGCCCATTCGACTAATTATGAGTAAGCTGTGAATTTATGTGGAATCGATTTCATCAGAAAGACCATCAGATAGACACACTACTGGCACTACTGGATGCCTATGCAAATCTTGAAACTGAACTGTCTTCAACAACGAGAATGAAATCCTGAGAGAATTGTTCATGTTATTTACGTACGACTTTTAGTTGTAAAGACTGGGCTGAATATTTAATCCCACCAGCCTTGTTTCATTCATCCATGTCATCCTCTGCATCTTCATCTTCGTCATCATCCTCAAATTCCACTCCGATATCACCTGTAATATCCCACCGGTCTCCCTTGGCAGCAGCACTGACATATTTGACAAACTTCAAGGTGCCGCTGTCCCGGAGCACGATGCTCAGCCGGTTCCAACCGGCCTGGGTACTGAAAAGAATACCGTCATCCTCATCGGCACCTGCAGACCGGTAAATGGCGGGATCGGCCTTGGCTTTCTTGGGCTTGAGCACTTGGTCCGCATTCTCTTCGTCTTCCTCCTCTTCCTCTTCGTCGCCGGCCATGTATATCTCATAGCCGCCCACCGAAGGATGTTCGGCGGGGTCACTTTCGGGCTTGCTCGGTTTCGAGGAAGACGACTGGGCTCCATTTTCCGCCTGGTTCGCCTCTTCGTCCTCGTCCTCGTCCTCAGCCTCAGCCTCTTCCTCTCCCACCCAGGGGATGGGGTAAGGCAAAGAGTAAACTCTAACCGTGGCTCTTCGCCGTCGTAGCCACTAGCCAAAGTATAGTCCGCGCCACGCCGGAAGCGCCGAGCCATAAAGTCATGCGTCTTGAGGTGGTCCACGCCAGTAATCAGGGCAAGCCATTTTCGGAATGCCTGCGACGGGAAGAGAACATTCAACAATTCCTGGATTGGGTTTGATGAATCCTTTTCGGAAGGTTGCTGGAAAAGGTAGCGGTGTTTGTGGGGTGGTCGGGCCACTGTCCACTCGGTCTCCGCCTTGATTTGCTCTGAAGAGGATGGAAGGAATTGTCTCTCTTGCTCTTCAATGTATGCACTCACCCTGGAAGCAAATTTTTCGTTGAGAAAGCGTTCAAGGCTAAGTGACGATTGGGCTTCAAACGATTCCGACATTTCCTCTGCGATATCCGGGGTCAGATAGGATGGTGCCAAAAATTGCACAAGGAACTCGAGATCAGATTCGGTAAACTCAGCGCCTTCAGGCTGCTCTTCCATTTTGCCCTTGCCCTTGCCTTCGTGCTCAGGTACTTCCCATGAGACGGGCCGTGGCTGAGGCAGATCGTAGATATCCGCGCGGCCTTGTAGTTGGGCCAGACTGCTTCGTTCGGCTAGCTTTTCCTCTAATCCTTCTTCGTATCCATCTTCCCCTTCTTGGGGGATATGGAACCACCCACTAATGGCCATTCGCACGCGCTTCTTGGTCTTATCCTCGCCTTCGCGAGGGTGGTAAACTTCCTCAACATCGTGAAAACTTTCGCCCGGCTGCACAGTGAAGAAGCTCAATTGGTTGAAAGCTGGCGGGATGGAAAGACTGAAATCAGGGCTGGGAACCTTCACATCCTCCCCATTGGCATCCTTTGCTGTTGTGGTTGGGTAGAGTCGTAATGCACCACCCCACTCGGCTTGCCACGGGGCGTCAGGGTCGGTCAGATAGAGGATGTAGCTGACCCGACGACTTCCAATAACATCGTCATGACACAGAAGATGGCACCCTTCGGTGTAAACGTTGATCGCCATATCGGTCTTGCGCCCGCTCAATTTCCCCGAGCCGGTAACAGAGGACAGGTATTCGCGAAAGCGAGCCGAGTACATAGCATCGCGAAGCTTGAGAAGAGATGGGAGCTTGGAGAGAGAAGCATCGTCCAGCCCATCGAGGTTCGCGAGATCTCCAGATTGGAAGATTTTGTAGATATCCGTCTCTTTCTCGGTGAAAGACAGGTGTTCTTGGATTTCATCACGAACAGATCGCAGAAGGGAGGGCTCGATTAATGGATGAATGACACCGTGGAAATAGCTGAGGTCAAATATCTATTAGTACATAGCAATTGGGCTATGGCATGGCTCAACATACGGAGATGACTTGGCATATGCCTCGGTGTACTTCTGCTGCTCCGCAGGATCAAACAAGCCATCGCGAAAGCGTGCAGCTGCCTCTTCGCTTGAAAGAGCCCGTTTCTTGGATTCTGGTGGCCCACTTGCTCCAGTAGAGCTTGTTTCATCTGTCTTGCGCTTCATCTTGGCGAATTGAATGGAAAAGGAAGCTCATCTGGCGTGGCCTGATGTAAATTTTTGTGAAAGCGGTGAAGCCCTTTGCACGCCGCTCAGTGGAGGATGACGCGGAGCCACTCGGCAGAAAAAGGCAGGCGGCGATAAGATCAAACCAGCGCATCACCAAGTCCTCTGGAAACTCAACTGTCACACGATGGGCAAAGGACCGTTGGAGCGGAAGCTCCAATTTGACAAGAAGAACCATGACCTTGTCAGATTACCGAAATGTCGCCTATGTTGTCCCAACTTTGGAATTAAATTCATTACTAACTGTGCTTATAGACGCGAAAGTAGAAAAGCGCCCTATTCCCCACCCGCCTATCGCCTCTCCCTACGCTGGGGACTCTGTACCAAAGGTCGTCTATGTTTCAAGCGGAACGCCATTCATGAGTGCGGTGAAGCGTGTTCAAAAACTTCTCCACCAAGCCGAAAAACGCGCCACTGCCAACATCAATCTGGAAGACACACGCAAGACAGAGCAACAAAAGTTAGCAGAGTTGGCGAAAGCTGCCGACAAGCGCGAAGAGATTCTAATCAAGGCCACCGGACGGGCTATCGAAAAGGCACTCAATGTAGGCAAATGGTTCGAGGAGAAAGATACAGAATACTCTGTGCGAGTAACGACGGGAAGTGTGCTCGTTGTTGATGATGTGGTTGAGGACGAGAACAAGAAGAAACAAGAAGCGGAAGGGGCTGCCCGAAAACAAGGGAAAGAACAGGCCACATCAAGTGAACCTCTTTCTCAAAAGGACGACATCGAAGCTGGGAAATCGAAACAAGCCATTAACACCGCTTCAAAGAAAAAGAAAACAATCGGCTTTAGCTTTTAGCGAAGGACCCGAGGTACCGGCGGAACTGCCAGAAACACGAACACGATGGATTAAAATGGTCGAAGTGGCAGTCTGTCTCAAATGACTTGTGTGGAAGTGCTGTCTTTACAAGACTGTTGAGCATGGCTTGTCGTTGTTCGGAGCAGTTTTCGCTGCGCTGCGACCCTCGAATTGTGCATTATCTGATCAGTGAGCTTTATTGAATGCACTGGCTCACTGTGATACAAGCCTGCGTTGCATTTGGCTCATTTCCACGTCAAATAGCCATCTGTCATGGCATCTCTCTCCGTGGGTGAGCCCTCTTGCCCTTCCGGAGTGGTGACAACGAAGTCACCCAGCAGCCAAGCCACTGCTCGTACCAGAACGACCAGGTACGAGCCGTTGAATTCTATTCGCGATAAAGATCATCCAATCACTCCAACCGGCTCTGATTCTTTGAATCGGTGGGGCCACATTCAATGTTGTCCAGAATCTCCCGAATTGCTTTCTCTACCTGACGTCTACCGACTTCCACTTCAAGTCTGTCCCCAAATGCGGTTTTAGCGAGGCAACAATACTGGTTGAGGCTCAAAGCAGGCGAAATGGAAAGCAATTGAAAGAAATAAACTCCCAATGCATGCTAGGAAAAATGCCCACCAGAAGAATTATCTCACGAATCCATCATATAAGCTATCTATAACCGTAAACATTCGGTCTCTAAACATACAGACCGTCAACACCGATGCCTCGGAAGAATAAACAAAGAAGAAAAGCTATGTACGTTTAACATTCTGGAATACAGGCCCAACTGCATCCAAGACGTTTAAAAGGCAGAGGCCGTAGTTTTTCGCCCGAAGTTCGAGGTCGTTTCATCCCGTTTTCGTGCGGTACGCAATCCCACCACTCAATCCACTCTGTTCGAGGCATAATAAACTCTCGTCGACATACCGAGCACTGCTGGCTCCCTGACGCGCGGATTTTCTTCACCTGGCGCATTAAGGGGATCAGCAAGGCAGGATATTCTTCTAGTTCTTCATCAGTAAGAAGATCCAGCTCTGGCAACTTCGATACAGCCCGCAGGGCCAATTCACGGAGTGATGGGGCTGCCGATTTTGAATGTCCCGAGACTGACGCCGATGAGCTCTCAATACGCCGGCCCTCTAGATCTAGCTGGGTCACGGGCCCCGTTGCGACGTGCACAGGACTCCATGCGTCGAGTGGCGCTATCTTGTAATGGTCAAAAGGGATCGAGTCGATGGCGACACCGTCTCTCTTTCCGGCAAGGTTCCCTGTGCCACTTCACAATTTCCGCGTGCTCGATGGACGGAAATGGGTTTGGATGGGCCGTGAAATGCTTCAACTCCCCCGCTTGCATAAGTCGCATGAGATCCCATGGGAGCTCGGAGAGCTGGTTGACTGCGATGTTCAGAACTTCCAGAGACGTCAATTTGCGGATTGCACTGGGCAATTCACGAAGCTTGTTATTCCGTACGCTAAGCACTTTCAAATCTTTCAACTCGAAAATCTCAGTGGGAAGAAACATCAAGGAATTTCCCGGCAGGTATATACTAAGAAACGGCTGCAGGGAAGTGTACGCATCCTCAGAGATGGGCGCTTCCCTCACGACGGGGGGCTTTTGTCAGGTGCTGAAGAGGCCGGAGAAGACCTGTTGGAATGTTTCTGAGATTGAGGTTTCTGACCGACTGTTAGTTCAATAACCCACCAAGGGTAGCCCATCCCCAAGACACACGTACCCAAGATCAATGGTTTCCTCGCCCTTCTCGAGACAATTATGCACTGTAGAACGGGCAATACGGTGCTCCTCCGGCTCGTCTGGTGCCTTCAGGATCGGCACAGGGAGGAGCGATTGCGTTGATGCAGATACTTTACTTGATAGTAAGGAGGGCCCTTGCGGGGGTTTCGATGTGAAGGTAGTCTTCAGCAGATCCTCCCCCCATGCCGGCCCATCGGAGGAAAGTAAGGAGTCGGCGCCCGACTCATCGCTGCCCATCCACACACCACTATCAAGATGACGCTTCTCTTTAAAGTTGGCCCGTTTTCTCTTCGGGTCAATCACCTGCTCCCCCCACCAGGTCCCACGATATCGACGTTTGCGCCCCGTCCCATTGGAGACAGGGGCATTGTAATTTTCTAAACCGGAGGCAGGGATATCATCGCTTGAGAACAATGCGGGGTCACTGGAGGGCTGACTCGACTGATCGTCGAAACGTGGAAGACGAGGCCGAAAGGACGCACCCGAGCCTGCGGATGGCAGACGCGCGCGCGATGGCGAACGGTGCCGAATGCGTCGTGGTGGAGGTAGGGGAACCTCGTTGTCCATTTGGGGATGGAGCCTCAAACAGGGCAATATCCTCCGAGGTTCAATCGCAGCACAGGAATGTTGAGTGAACAGTGCACGCGATACGGTTTCAAGATGTGGATCCGCGATGCCGCCGGTCAACAAACGCGTCTCGCGGAGTCGCGTCCGTGGGCGATGGGGGAAAAACGTTGGGAAGAAAAGGAGAACCGTTCAGGGGAACGCGATTTCCGGGGGGAATTCCTTTGGTCTCCGATGCCTTCAGATCAATCTCTACAGATTAAGGCCCATCGTCTTCCAAGGACCCAGTCGCGTGGCCACAGAATCCACGGCTCGCTCCGTTCGGCATGATCCTCATCCTTTCGCCCCTCGTCTCTTTACTTTATCACGGGAGATCGACTTAGACTGTTATAGAGCCATTCTTAGTACTCACCGGGCCTTTGCGAATCCGAGGTCCAACCAGCAAGTTCTTGGACCTATACGCAGATGACTTACGTGGTAACAACGACTATCTACGCCCTTCTTGCATCATGGTAGAGGCTGGTGCTTGTCGATTGTCCAGCTTGTGTCATACAGACTGATACAGACTGGGAGAGTTCCACACACACTTAACCATTCAATATCTGTCGACAAACCTTGACCGTCCAAGGGCGGCTTATATACTCCGTACTGCAAGCAATGGCAACGGCGTAACCCGAAAGCCGCAGGAGTATAAGCTCGGAGAATTTCTGACGAAGATCCTGTCCAGAACCTTCCTTGCCGTCGCCATGTGGGCACCGCTCGAATCCTGAAGGGGATAATGCAGCTCCAGGAACGTCAGGCTGCCTGGCAGAAGTCTATATACCCTGACAAATGGCTGGAGTCAGCCCCGATGCAACTGACTCGGGACCTGGAACACTCAATTTTGGGAAGTTTGAGATCCTGGTCTGACATCTCTGGTCCTTCGTGGTGGCCATTTGTCTAGGAGACTCGGTGCCCAGCCCCACCCTGAGGAGCGGCCGCGCTCCGCACGTCACGGAAAACCGAAGTACGTATCTGCTATCTGTTATGCCTCCCAGTGTTTCAGGCTGTGGCGAACCGGGGGACTTGGGAATTTTGGTTTTGAAAAAAAAGGGAAACCAGATGCGGGGCCGGTGGAGATCACGCCGATCGTTATCACCAATGATGTCGCTGCGTGTGAGGTGCAAAGTTCTAGTGACCCCTGCCGCAAGGGATTATTAGGCTCAGGACCTCCCTGAACAAAACTTCCTAACCATGCCCCTGATCCAAAATGCTGTACCGCTGCTTTGAATCCAGCGAAGAAGTCCTCAAGACCTTAACGCAGCCAGAAGAACCCAATGCACTAGACCGACGAAATGCCGCCAAGGGCGCAACGGCATCAAGGCCCCGGGCCCTGAGCCGCGTGCACGAGAGCGAACCGGAAAAGCAAGTGGGATGGAAAAAAATTCTGGGGAAACCCAAAGCACAACACTATCTGGAACAAGACCAGTCGCCGCTGGCTCGACTGCCCGTCGAAGTGCGATCGCGGATCTGGGCCTATTACTTCGGTCGGGAACAATTCCATATTGTCCGAGTCGAGCGACGGTCATTGGTGAAAACAACCTCGAAGCTGGTTGGCATCCGATGCTCCCAATCGCGGGAGACGAAGGGCGAGTCGTCTTGCAATCACGCCTGTGAATCGATTGCGGAAACCGTGGATTTGGTGCCATTACTTCGGACCTGCCGAATGATGTGAGTATTCAAGACCGATACCAGGGTCGCCGGATACGTGAAGGGCTGCTCATGGGGTTTGGCAGATACTCGGAGGCCGTCAATATCATGTACCAGCGCCATGTGTTCATTTTCGATAACGTAGATCGTATTCTCGATTTCGCCTCCGCCATCATACCGCGCCGCCTCGCTCAGATCCGTGCGGTTCATTTCACCTACGTGTTCCCCTTCAACCCCAAAGGGTATCTTGGTGACCTCGAAGCCGACTGGCGCCGCTATTGCTCTGCGTGTAATGCGCTCGCCGATATGGCCTCTTTAGAGGAACTGATCATTCACATCCATCCACAAAACGGGCTGCGTGCGTACGTGACCCCTTACCTAGTCCAACCCCTGCGCAAAATTGTCCGTCCTTCCAACTTCATTGTGCACGTGTTTGCGAAGGGACACCTCAACCAGTCCGAATCGGTCGATCGAGCGAAGAATGGCATGTCGAGCTATAGCGGCTATAGTGGCTTCAGTGGCAGCTCGAACTCGAGTGGGTCATCGGTGACCTTAATTGACCCCACTGGCAGCTCGCCGCCATTCAAGCTCGTCCTTCGAAGGGACAAGGACAGTTGCGGGCCCCGGCGCTTGATCGGATCGAAGGTGCATTGACTTGGGGCATGAGTAATGAATACGTGATCGGTTTAATGTTTATGTACATATACGGCGCGTCTCGCTACGAGGCGCCGACCTATGTCCCCTGTCAACCTGGCTGGCCATGACTATATAACCCCCCCCCCCCCCGGGCAGTGGATCTGCCAATTTCTAATGCTAAAATGCGCTGGGCCTATTTCCCAAGAGACCTTGTCTTCAGCGACGCAACCTGCGCATGCGAAGGACCACCGGAATCAGCACCTGCCTGTCGGGCAAATATATTGCGAGCTTGATCATATCCTACAATGATCAGCACTTTAGAAACAGTCGACTGGCACCTGCTTCGAGTCTATCCTTGTGTCAGTTGATGACTCGCCCAGGGATCTTGGGCACCTATGACTACTAGTTAATAGTACTGGAACTCATCAGGCTCAGCATCCTTCGTGATTCCTTGATCAATACACATTACTAGTCTTGTATAACTACTCGTACATTCCAATTTGCCGCCTCTTCATGTTGCAAACCGCATTAACTTTGCAAAGCCTTTTTGAACTGAGCGAGCGCTCTCTCACGACTCGCTCCATGCTCCACAATAGGCCGAGGGTAACCTTTTTTCTCTGCCTGCGCGCCAGCTCCTCGTTCATACGGGTCGTGGATGGCCTTTCCCTTGATGTCGCGGAGTTCTGGAACCCAGTGACGAATGTACTCTTCCTCCGGGTCAAATCGCTCGCTCTGTCGAAGGGGATTGAATACTCGAAAATATGGTTGTGGATCAACGCCGGTACTTAGAGCCGAAGCCCCAGCCCCCATGGTTCGAGGCGAAGTCCCCATCGATCAAATTTTCCATGAAATAGCGTTCGCCCCGGCGCCAGTCAATCAGCAAGTCCTTGGACAAGAACGATGAGACCACCATGCGGCTGCGATTATGCATCCAGGCAGAACCTCGAAGCTGTCTCATTGCAGCATCCACGATGGGAAAGCCCGTCTTGCCTTCGCACCAGGCTTCAAACTTGGCCTCGTCGTACTCCCACTCGATATTCGTATGTTCTGGTTTAAAACACTTGTTCATACTGCCATCATGGTTAGACCATATCACAATACAAATTGGGGCCCGGAAGATAGCCATCTAAGATAGTCCGCAAATGGACCGCAGGGGAGAGGTGGGGAAGCTTACCAGATGAACGGCCAATGCGCTAGGACATGTTTATAGAAATCGCGCCAAGCAACTTCACTGATCCATGTCGCCAGACTCGAATCGTTCCTGTCCAGACAATTCTTGTTTGCTTGCTTTGCTGTGATCACGGCGGTGCGGGCGGACAGAGAACCAGCTGCGAGATATGGACTCAGGACGGAGGTGCCATCCCCGCTCGTAAGATTACGATTCTTCTCGTATTGCTTGCCTTTTTCTTCCAGGAAATTCTCAAGCCTCTGGAGTCCTTCGTGCTCTCCGGCCGGGTAGAGCTTTTCAAATTTCTTTTTCGCTTCTTCGGTCAATGTCTTGTTTCCAGGCGGAGTGGGCACCTTGCAATCGAAAAGGTCAGCGAAACTCTGCCGCGTGTCCCTTGGGTTTGATCCGGGTTCCTCTGAGGCTTCCAGGTAGTCGGGGTTCTCTTTCAAGAAAGCGAGCCAGGTACGAAACCATGGTGTGTAGACGGCGTACTGCCGCCCCTGCTGCGAGCTCAACAAGCCAGGGGGGCACAACGCAAGTATCGTGAGAAAGGTTGAAAGCGATGCCCTTTCCCGAACAAAGGCGAACCAGTTTCGCGTCGCGACGCAATTCGTCTACTTCGTACTCGATGTTTCCAAACAAGTGGTGGGCCTCCCATGTTTGGCATAGAGCAACAACTCGGTTGGGGATAGCCTTCCGTTTCTCCTGCATTTCCATATATAGTGGAATATCGAGCTCACCCAAGTCTCGCTGCAGCCGCTGCAGGGTTCGCAGGATGAAATCTACTCTTGCCGGACTGACACAGTGGGCTGTGAAATCTTCGGGGGAGAGGATATAGAGTCCTATTAGAGGGACGTTGTTGTCGCGCGCCAATTCCTGAGCCTTTTGGAGCGATCGATTGTCGTGCAAGCGCAGGTCAGTCTTGAACCAGTGGACGACAGCTTTGCCGATCGGGACATCGCGGTTCTGGTCAGCCGTGTCGCGACATGCATGCTCGAGCGTCTCAATTGGTCGTTCTAGGGTGCCGTCGTTGTATGCCTGGCATCTCGCATTGCTCATTTCCGGGGGGGTAAAACTCCCGTAGAACAATTCCAAAGTCCTCGGTTTGTTGCGCATTGGGGTGTGGCTGGTGTAAATCCGGTTCCTGTCGTTTGGCAGGCTTAGCCTCCGCCTCGGAGCTCGATCTTCTGCGCTTGACGGGTGCCATGGTGATCTGAATACGCCGAATTGGATATTGTCGAAGTCTATGAAGAGGAAATAGAAAACGCATCACTTCGGGGTTGCTGAGACGCGCCCCTTACCACGTCGTGGAGGAATGCGATACCATCGATCGAGGAAATATCACTGACGTCACCAGATCGCGATCGCCTTGCTCAACTAGCTAAAGGATCCTAGGGATGACTAGAAAGTCGTATTTAAGACCATCTCGACTTACGTCAGGCCTATTACCTGGGCCCTTTCACCGGTCGCAGATGTCTGCGTAGAGGGGAGAGTTGCTAGTGTTGACATGTCATATGATCAGATACGCGACAGAGGGTCAGTCGGACAGAATAGCGCAGTTGGCGACTAGTAGAGACGTCACTTCTCAGATGGCTTCCAAGGATTCCCTTGGCTGCCTTCGTATCATGATATTAAGGCCCAAGCAGAATTTCCGCGATTGCGCCTCGTTGGCGAGCCCAATATAGCCTGACCTGCAATGCACTTTCAAGTTCCCAGGGACACCGATTCGCCTTGGAAGATTGCTTTCTGCTAGCTGGCAAAGGTAGTAAGACAAGAAGGTGGGTATATAAGGACGATCTAGCGCAAATGAGCGCGCGGATGTAGACAAAGACAAGAGACAAGGACGCTCAACTGGTCTCTTCGGCCTGCTGTTTCTTCCAGTTCTCCACCCATTGGGCGATTCTGGCGCAATTGCTGTCAACATCTTCCGATTTCTCACTGTTCAGTTCCACCACAATTTCCTCATCAAAAGCTTCCTGCGCTTCCTCGAGAAGAACCCCGAAAATCTCCGCATCCAAGTTCTCTTGTAGTTTCTCTTCGTGGTAGCCCCTGTTTCTCTGAAATCAGTTTCCTTGTCGCATATAGCGGGACTCTGGAGTATGACCCAGCCAGCCAGATCCAAGTCATACATACCTTGAGGAAAGGCGGTCATAATGAACAGACGTCGACGGGCATCGGAGGACCACGACAAGGTCGATCCAGGATTTAGGAAATAGGTCGCAAGCATGCCAGTCGATGAGATATCCGCCCTTGAGGACTTCGTCTTCTATCGCATCCAATAGCTAAAAGGGGAAAAAAAAGGGAACAGTTAATCGTGGGTCCGGCGACTCAAACAGCTTTGGATAATTCATGGCGGGGCAGTTCGTGGAGGGGTATGGTGTCGCGTCCCAGTCGTGATTCCATAGAAGGCGATATACCACAGCTACCTCCATATCCCGAGCCTCCAAAACCATAAACGCACAAACGCACCTTGTCTTCATCCACTACCCAGGTCTTGAGCTCCTCATCGTAGGTCTCATGGCAGTCCCGGTCCTTGGCGATCTGGTTGATGGATAGATGTTTTAATCCGATCTCCTCGGCCAATTGCTCACAGTGTACCGTCTTCCCCACCCCGGGGTGCCGGTGATGATCACATTCGGAGATGAGCGCATGCTTTGCGACGAATTTGGACTGAATCAAAGCGAGTTGAAGAGACGGAAATGTTCGCGACAAAAATGACTGTGCTTATCTTATCGGTTCTGACCTCCGCGACCGCCCCGTTCCAGAAAAAAAAACAGCATCACCACTTTTGGAGACTCCCTTGTCCTCTTTAAATCGCTGAATTCACCTTTGCCCCTTCCGCGTGCCTTTCTCTGTGCATCTCAGCACCGGAAAATCCATGCTGGCGTTATAGTCCGGCCAATTGACGCCCCCGAGGCCAATTTCCGTATCAATCGCATCCCTTAACTCCGAAACAATGACTGTCGAACAGTTCATCCGCCAAATCGATGCCTACCGGTTCGGCACCGGTGTGGCGCTGCTTTTCCTTATCGCTGCATACTCTCCTGTGATGGCCTTGGTTCTATCCCCGGTGTATGGTTCTTTACCAACACACATTTTCCATGGCTACGGCGTGGCGATATTTGCAGGCGCCGGATGGTTTGCGAAGGACCAAGTGATGAGACGTCTCGGCCGAACCGCTGCGTATATGCTTCCTGTTCTTGCATTCTGGACCCCTACTTTGCAGTACTTTGCTATGCAGCAGAGCTCCAAGCTTGGAAATCCAGCTGGTCCGGTGATCACCGAGTTGCTAGGTTACTACCCGCTGGTCGCGCTCACAGTAGCAATTGCAGGCAAGCAAATCCAGGCGTCTTTACACCTCGAGTCTCAGGGTGAAATTGCAGCAGAACATATTCCTCTGCTGGCTTCCTACGTCATCTATTCAATTGGAGAAACCATTACCCGGAAGGTCTTGGCCTACGCGATTGGGGTCACCGTTGTTTTCTCTCGAGCGGGAATGCAGTTTGTCATCGCGCTTCTTTATGCCATAATTGTACCTCGGTCTAAACTACTCCTCTTGGCCGTTCCGTCTCTGCTCTTCACGGTCACCTCTGACGTCCATCTTGGAGGCATTGGCGCGGCGAACCTTGCCATTCAACCTGAAGGATTTTCTCTTTTAGCGCGCAAAGAGTCTACAACGGGTTATCTTTCCGTCCTTGAGAATGAGGATGATGGATTCCGAGTCATGCGGTGTGACCACAGTCTTCTCGGTGGGCAGTGGATTAAGACGACCCCCGGGTACCGACCTCGGGTCGAGGATCCCATCTACGCGATTTTCGCTACCCTCGAGGCTGTTCGTTTGGTTGAACCAGACCAGGGGGGCCAACGGGAAGATGCCGGAAGCAAAGCCCTTGTCATCGGCCTTGGTATTGGCACTACCCCAGCAGCTTTGATCAATCACGGTATTGAAACAACTATCGTCGAGCTTGATCCTGTGGTCCACCAATTCGCGACTCAATACTTTGACTTGCCATCTAATCACACTGCGGTTATTGAAGATGCGACCAAGTTCGTCAAACATGCACAAAAGGTTCCTACCCAGTACGACTATATCGTCCACGATGTCTTTACGGGCGGTGCTGAGCCAGCTGAGCTGTTCACTTATGAGTTCTTACGAGACTTGAGCGCCCTTCTCAAGGAAGATGGTGTCATTGCCATCAACTATGCTGGGGACCTCACTCTGTACCCCACTGGCCTCATTGTTCGTACGATCCAAGCCGTTTTCCCGTCTTGTCGTATCTTCCGTGAGCAGGCCGCTAGTAAAGATGATGAAAACTCGAATTTCACGAATATGGTACTCTTCTGCAAGAAGAATACCAACACTCCGCTGACGTTCCGAGAACCCGTGAACGCAGATTTCCTCGGTAGCAAGTCGCGGGAGGCATATCTCGTTCCGAAGCATGAGATGGACTTCTCGTTGTTTTCCACCATTCCCAATGGGGGAAGACGTGTTCTTGTCGCAAAGGAGGTTGGACGGCTACACAAATTTCAAGATCGAGCTGCCTTGGAGCACTGGGAGATCATGAGAACTGTGCTGCCTGTGGCTGTGTGGGAGAACTGGTAACTTGTTGCAAAAATCCTGGTAGCGTGAAGGGTTTCGATCATTTGGTTGTTTTTGCATATAAATGTGACTATAGAGTTGAAGTGAGCTCAAACCCGCATGCCGCGGCACCCCAATGACTTTGGTCCTCAGCTTCTCCTATCCATACCAGTAAGAACCCATACAAGTAGGGACTTGAAGGTCTGTCGCAAACAATGACTATTGTCGAGGCTTGAAAAGTACGGACCCTCTACGGTTGAATGAGGCTTTGTTGCCTTGTACTGTGTAGGGAGCTCGGGGGTAGGCTCTTGCATTCATTCATTCATAACTCATACTAGTAATATCTGCTCCTATATCTCATTGGTCTGTCCAGCGTGACATCCAAACGCTGATATACCGGTGGATCAACCCCTCTGCAACCGGATCTTTGACAAGAGCAAGGGAGGGGCAATCTTGTGTTGTGCGTTTCGTTTCAAACACAAGCCCGGCGTTTTCGGATTGCCCTCCATTCTGGCCACTATACTTAGATTGCCAAAAGTCCAACAATTTGATGCTGGGATTTTTTCTCTGGATCTTGGTCGCTTCCTGCCAGCTTCTTTAGCCACTCCTGTGGCGAAACAACTTCAAAAGGGGGCAACGCGGATCCCTTCTTTAAAGCTGGCAAGAGGTCATTTTTCCAACTAAAGCTATGTGGATTGACAAGATGGTAAACAAGGTTCTCTTCTTGAGAGCTAGATGTCGTGGTGAGGGAGATGTCCGTAATGGCCTGAGCACATTGATCCACCGGCAGCCAACTGGGTCTTTCTTCCAAAGCAGGAAGAGAACCTGTCGTCAAAGTGCTGCGGAACATTAAAGCAATAGCCTCTGTATCGTTCCATCGGGCACTACGAGTATCGCCACCGAGCTGACCAATTCGCAATACCCTCGCGTAAATGCCCGCATGGTGCATGGCATTCCGAGTGATATGTTCTGTGACCAATTTCGACCTTCCATATCCCGTGGTTTGGGCATGTGCTAAGTCTTCAACCATAGTCTCGGGGATAGAAGCAGGCTTCGGCGTATTGCTCGCAGTGCTCACACTAGAGCAAAAGTAGAAGCGAGGGGGGACGGGAAGCTCGGAGCGGAGGCAAAAGTTGATGAGATTATATGTGCCTCGAATGTGCTGTTGTTCAAACGAGCGGACTCCGAGGTTGAAGTTGATGGCCCACGCGCTGTGTATGACTCCCGTTAAAGAGGACAGAAGATGATCAACAATGTAGTTGTCCAATCCCAGGTTCGCCTGAGAAAGGTCGCTGGGCAGTGCTCGAATCTTCGCGGCTTCATCATCAGTCAGGGCTATATCCCGGTCAGCCAACGCTTTTGTTATGCGAGCCCCAGCACTTGCTTGCCCTGGGGCTCGACAAGAGCCCAGACTGCAGACACACTCGGTCGTTTCACTAGCTCTGCAATGATAAATGCTCCGAGGTTTCCAGTCCCACCGGTGACAAGGACCGATTCGGCGGCTGGCTGATGTTGAAGGGTGGGGATATGATGCGCGAAACGAGAATATTTCTCAATTAGTTCTCTCATAACTGGCACTTCATCCTCCTGGTCTGTTTCTTCGCCATTGCGCATCTGGTAGAGGTGTCTTGCAAGAGCGCGAATAGACCCCTTCTCAAAGACGATGTTTTGAGAGAGACTTTTACCCTGGTCTCCCAGGTCTATGTCACGCACGATGGATCGCCAAATCCGGGTTGTTTGCAGGCTATCAACACCAGCTGAGAAGATGTCGGCGTCGACACTCTCCAAGGGTACATCCAAATCGTCATGGAATCGACACATGAGCCAGGTCTCCAGTTCCGGTATACTGAGAGCAAGAGACCCAATTGCTTCGCCGCTCCCCTCAAAGGCTGCATACGCAGCCTTGATATCTTCGTCAAACTGCTGATAGACCTGGGCGCGAATACAGGTGCCCTTGTCTGTCCTCGGATAAGTGACATCAGCGCCCTTGACCACCACGAGCTCTTTGGGAATTTGAGAGAATGACTCGGCTCGCGAATTTGCTGCTTCGATCGCAGGCCAGATCCTTTCCAAGAACTCCTCATCGCTCAAATGCGCTGCCTTCCCAGGAGCACGGAAGATCAACGCCCCTGGAACGGTTCGTTGAAAGCCAAAGACGACACAATCGCCAACAAGCTCTTCCTCTCTCACGCGGCCTTCGATTGGAATCGGAAGCACTTTCTCTCCGTTGACGAGAGTGATCCGATCGTCCAAGCGACTGAGGTACTTGTAAAAGTTACTCTTCCTGGGGTCTGGGTGTCTTGTGAATAGATCAGCTGTCCTAAAGCTATTTGCAGGGTTTTTCTCGCTGTATGGTGGCTTGGAGTTGGAAGGGCCTTTGCTAGGCAACCCGTCCAGTCCCACGCATTCGAAAACACCGGGTGATATTTCGTCCATCAAAGTAAAGTCCGCAACCGGGGGGTGCAGTCTCATATATTGCCATTCGGTGTCTCCAGCGTTTCGAAACGAAGTCATTATCTGCCCCGTTTCCGTGGCACCGTAGTTTGCGACCAGATTGACTCCCTGTGAGACCAACCTGTCGCCTAGATCATCGGGAAAACTCGAGCCACCAAATAATACAAGCTCAGCTTGAGCGAGGGCAGTTATTCCTTCTTGTTTTTCGGCTAACAGCTTGATCACGAAGGGCACGGCGCTGATCTGCTCTGGCTTTGCAACCTCCAAAGCGTCATATAGAGTTTGATATGTTACCGGAAGCGAGTGGTTTCCAATGTAGGCGGTCGCTCTCGTATAGAACGCCCGCATAATCTCCATCAAACCATGCGAGTGGAAAAGAGGGCTAATGTTGAAGAGACGAAGGCCGAAGCTCTTCCGATAATTGGCCAAGACTTGATAATTGGTGAGAAAGATGGGTTTGGGGAAGCCGGTGCTTCCAGACGAGTGCAAGATCCATGCCATCTTCTGGCTTTCTTTGACTAGGTCAGCAGTGTCTCGAGTAAAACGAGTAGCGGGTGCTGGACGGTTGAACCAATCCATTCTCTGCAGCATGGGGAACTCGCGACAGCCAGGTCGTTCCTTGCAGATGTTTCCAAAGGTCGTTCTATATTGACGAGTTACCACCATAAGATGACTCTTTGCCATATTCATCAGGCGGGCAAGGGCATCGCCTGGCAACCGAGTGGAAAGAAATAAAACCGCATAGCCCATTCGGTTTAATGCAAAAAAGGTCACGATGACCTCGAAGCTTGATCCGACTAACAGGGCTACCACCGGCGCTTCTTCCAAGGACGGATCCTGATAGACATATTAGAGGAGTATGAAACACGGTTCCAGATATGTGTTTAGCTTACTGCCGGTGGGAGACCATTGTCCATGTAATGTTGAACTGCGACATCTGTATATCGGTCCAGATCCTTCGCTGTGTGCTCTTCGAAGTCATTCGCGCCTCGAATCGGATAGCATATCAAGGGCCTTTGGCCCGCATCTGGCTCTTCGGCATGAGACCTGAGCAAGCCGTCGATAGTCAGGAACTTTTCCACGGGTGGATAACTGGCGTGGAGAGTCCCATTCAAGAGGCGAGTCGCAAGATCCTGTGCCTTTGCGTGTGCCTGCGGTGGCTGCACAGTCCGGGTGGACGTGGTTGCACTTAATGTGGACATTCTTGCGGGCTGCTACGCCCGGACACCCGGGGGGCCCAGTAGTTGTTAAATACTCCAACATGCCATTTGCTCGAGTTTCACGATCGGTGGTTCTCCGAGTCGGCAATTGTAGATTCCCGGTTATCCGGCGCAGCATTTCCAGACGCCGGAAAAACCTACTCGGCACTCGTCGATTATCTCTCGGGGTTGGATTAACAGGAGGAGGATCTTTCATCCCATTTTCTAGCCCCCTGTACTTCTCTCGTCCCTGAAATGTCCCGCGATGCTCAGATTTGGAGAATGAGGAGGGTTCAATACCCGCCGAAGACGTCGGATAAATATCCCCCGCACTGGTCGGCGGGGAATCTATAGGATCCCCACATGTGCTGGTCATGTACCCTTGAGCTGCCAGTACATAGGGATCATTATGCCCTATATCTTCGGCGGTTCGGGTGGACCTGGCTTACTTGTACATATACAATTTGAAGATAGGAATCAGCCCCTCTTTCTGAGCAATGTATCATTGTCAGATTGAAACTATTCGTAGACTAAACCATGATTCGTATCGCTGCGCGTTATTTTACAAGAACAAGAATGCCACGGTCACAATGGCGGCCACGGTCACCAAGCTGCTTGTGCCCGTCATTCCTTGCGAAAGCCCAATAGCGCCACCCTTTGCCGTGTGGTTGGCAGACCCATTGAGTGATGTTGGGTGGTCACCCACGCCGAACGGAAGCCCCTGGTATCCGAACGTCAGATTCTGGGGGATGGAGCGATTGTAACATTGGCCACTGCCAATATCCAAGTTGGTCAGATCGTCGGGGTGCAAGAAGAACATGTAATTGGATTGATTGAGGTTCTTGAATCCCGACGTGTCGTAGGGAAATTTGTCTCCAGTGTCAGTTCCAGATGTGTTGCGCAGGAGAATGCACTGAACCTGGCCCGGAAATTCGGTGGCCATCTCTGGGTAGTCCTTCATCACATCACTGTTACTGGTATCAGCAACCAGAATGAACTTGCGTTCGGGGAAGGTTTCAAAGATCTTTTGCAGTAGGAATTTCCGAATGGAGAGCGTAGCCGAGACATCACTGAAGTTTAAGGGGCGCGTATCGAAGGACCCGCCGGGATAATTGGTGTAGATGAATTGCATGTAATTCCGAGTGACTTGCTCAGGGGTGGTAGTCTAGATTTGAATTTAGCAATCAGCATTCCTTCCGGGATGAATTGAGGGGAGAGGGCTCACCAAGTAATGGAAATGAAGATCGGGAAGGCTGGTGGACCAGTTTCGGTATATGTCCGGCATGTTCTCCCATGGCGTAAATGGGCGAGCAAAGGAATTCAGCAAGCCCTGCTTGGGCTCATAGATCTTTGTGACCCGCAGAATGTCGTCGATATCCGAAATGACCGTGAGCCCCGTCGGTGGCACCAGGTACGCGGTCGAGTTGCCGATGCTGGCGCCCTCCACCTGGGTATTGAGTCTCTGGATCGCGGAGGTCTTGTTGCCTGCCGTCAATCCATTGCTTTTGATGGGAACGAAGGTATCGAAATCACCCTCTACGGTGGTATTATACGGCAAAGTGACGTCTTGAGTGCCTCCTGTCGTGTTGGCGGATCCTCCACCTCCTGGCTGTCCGCTCGCGCCCTGGCTCTCAGCAGGTTCCAGGTGGATCGTATTCACAGCGACATGAGGCTGTTGGACCACGAAAATCTCCGCTGTCAGGTTGCGTGCCTGGACCTGCTCTGATTTGGGCAGGTCCGAGATACTGGTATTGACGAGAAAAACATCTGCGAGCTTGTTCAAGTCCGACACAGAAGTGTTTGGCTGCTTATAGACATTCCCGTGGAATCGCACGTTCCAGCCTGAGTTGGTCCAATTGGCATATGGGTCGATGTTCAGGACGTTGGTGGGCAAGGCATCCAATTGCTCATGATTCAACCCCAGAGAGCTCACAACAGCGTCGCCGGTGGGGAAGCCTTGGAAGAAATTGGGGACTCCCGATGCCACCCAGGAGGGCAGACCGGACCCAAGACCGGAAAGTACGCTGTCGACATCCGATTGAACATCACTCAGGATGTTTCGGCCAAGGACTCTGGACGGGTCATTCTGAACTGGGGAAGGGGTGATGGCGGGCGCAATCTGATCTGCAGTATTGGAGAACGCCGTAGGCGCAGGAATAATCGCAGCTACAGATGCCAGTAGTGCGGCGTGGGTTAACACCCGCGTGATGGGCCGATTCATTGTTAACAAGAGACGGCTCGAATTTCGTATATTCCCTTTCGCAACCTCAATAAGTGAGGAGAGTGAAAAGACATCCAGCATTTAAGAAGAGGCATGCGATCATCCAGCAACAAGTAAAAGGATGAAACGACGTCAGTGGAGTGGGTGGAGCCTTCCCGATAGGCTGTTGCCCGGTTTCCCAGTTCCACAATAGATTAAATTAGACCCCTGGGGCTTCAGGACCATGGCTCTGCGTCACTCTGAAGATTGGCCGTTAGACTATTCCTGACAGGTAAGCCCCTTGGGGTCAATGCATAAGCACAACCTCGGAACAGTAGCATCCACAGATACTCTTAAGCGTACATAGGACAAGATATTCAGCTCCTAGTACTTAAGCCAAATCCAAGGGCTTCGACTGATACTTCAAGTTCTTGCTTGATTAGTACTGGTACCTGTGCGCACAGCCTTTCCCTGCTACTAAAATATGCTTGTCTTTGCTTGGTACTCGTACCGCCGCAATCCTGACGCCGCTTACTAAAACTTTTCTTTCCACCTCCAGCTCCGTGGCCTAGAAATAGGATTTCCGAGTACATGAGATGTAAGATACCATGGCTCTACTGGCAAAGCTCAACGCGTATACTCTTCTGGGCTAGCCGAAAGGCAGGTTTTGTAGATTGAGAGTGGAAAACCTGTTAAGTAGGAACATTCTGAGATGATCGGACCAGACATGCGGCCCATCCACAGGGGGGGAAAGGCTTGGAATGCTCGGCGAGAAAGGAGTGCCAGATCCAGATCAAGAAGCCACCTGGGCAGATCTCCTCCGATCGACTCGGCCAGTTCTGTTCACTTCGATCGTACCTTGACAAGCCATAATTCAGCTTATCGTGGGTTATCGTCTTCCCCGCACGGGGCCTCCAACCGACATCCCACTTGACGCGTGGGGGAATCTTTACGTGGGGAAACTCTGCGTGGGATCTGAATGCTCCTTCTTCTATCAATCAGTCTCAGAATCGACTCTTCTCTCTGCACACCCTCATCATGGCAATTCCCGGCGTTACGCAACCCCCTTACCCGCTCCATGAATCCGTCAAGGATCTATTGGACCCCGAGTATGTCGCTTTCTACAACAAACATGTGATCAACAACCAGCAGGTTCACCTGCAACCGGTGGCCGCCTCGCGGACGAGCGGGGCGTTGATCCCTGGCGCTGGTCCGATGCTCGAGGTGGGAAAGACTCAGGATCTCGCGGTGCAGAGGCGAGAAACGGAGGGCCCGCCAGTTCCCGTTCGCTGCATGACGCCCAAGGGCGAAACGCCCGCGGGCGGCTGGCCGGTAATGCTATACTTCCATGGTGGAGGCTGGGTATTGGGAAACATTGATACAGAGAATGTGGTGTGTTCGAATCTCTGCGTCCGCGGCAACTGTGTCGTGGTAACGGTCGATTATCGGTGAGTGCTTCGTCCGCTCGAAGAAAGCATGCTTGTTCTCATGCTAGGGTTCTAGACTGGCGCCCGAAAATCCATTCCCGCCGCCGTACACGACTGCTGGGAAGCTTTGCTCTGGCTTGTCTCCGAAGGACCTGCGGCTTTGTCGATCAACCCGTCAAAGATCGCCACAGGCGGTTCCTCCGCTGGCGGGAATCTTGCAGCCATTATGACTCACAAAGCGTTGACGCTGTCGCCTCCAATACGCTTCTCAGCTCAGTTACTCTCGGTCCCCGTCACCGATAATGTAGCAACCGTGGAGAACAACGAGTCGTATCGTCGATACGAGCACACTCCCGCGTTGCCCGCGGCGAAGATGATCTGGTACCGGGACCATTATTTGCCAAACCATGCGGACCGCACCAACCCAGAAGCGAGTCCGCTTTTCTACACGGATGACTGGTCACAACTGCCGCCCGCGTTGGTTATGGTGGGCGAGCTTGACGTGTTGCGGACGGAGGGCGAGCAGTACGCCGAAAAGCTAAGAAAGGCCGGGGTGACAGTGGATCTGCAGGTCATGAAAGGAATGCCCCATCCATTCCTTGCCATGGATGGTGCCCTGTCCGAAGGGAAAAGATGCATTACTCTCATGTGCGATGCCCTACAGCAGGCATTTTGGAAGTAAGATATAATTAGAAGGTACCATAGACTAGTCAGGCAAATAGATTCGTTCTATATCCAGTCCAAGACGGGCAGGCCCCTGCTACCCGAGCCGTTAAGGTACTACTGCCAGACCCCTAATAAGAGTAAGCGAGAAAACTCAGTTCAGACATCATCTCCGACACCCGCGAAAACGTCCTCAAAACGCAGCTCGTTGAACCGTACGTCGGGCTTCAATCCAGCAAACTTCCAAACCCCGTCAACCTTTCGGTAGTAATGCTCATTGGTAGCATGGCCATGGCCTCGCAGTTTGACCTCTTTCAAGTCAGCATCAGTGTATACCTGATGGGCGGCACGTAGCTGATGGTGTCCAATGACTTCCGTATCGGAGATCTTCTCCCACCAGGTCTCGCCCAGCAAGTGCTGTGTCTTGACCGTTGGGTCACCCAAGAAGCCGGGATGGGTGACCAGGGCCATGTACTTGTCGGCAGGCATATCGTCCCATCTTTGAAGGCCGATCTTCGTGTAGTCCACTGTCAGAGTCGGAGCAATTATGCCACGTAGGCGGTCCAATCCTACCATCATTAGCCTGGCGAGAATTGGATATGAGATGCAGGGGGGCAAACCTTGGAGTCATAGCTATCAGCCCAGTCAAAGACGAGTTTAGAAAGCGCCAAATAGTCTGTAGCGGTCAGTAGCTTGCACAGAGGACCTCAAGGGCTTGGTCAGTACACACCTTGGAAGCTAATATCCAGGCTAGGCTCCATATTCTTCACCGCAGGCGACATTTTCGCTTCGTTGTTACTATTCACGGTATAGCCCGAGGAATATCTGGTGATGCTTAAGAGCGACAGGCGGCGCCGTAGATCTGTGGATCGTGCCATGCCTGGCCCAGGGACTCCCGAATGCGGGCCGGATCCAAGGCAACTCTTGAAAGGGGGAGGGATCCAGCGAATGCAACAGGAACGTGGCGATACAACATTCGGCGAGGCGAGTGGTGCATCTTGGAGTAGATTTCCGCATCCGGCAGCCGAGAAGCTCGCGTGGCTGGAGATCAGTTCCTCAAAGAACTCGAACGAGGCGAGTATCTGCCGGATCAGGGGGGGTTAGCGACAGGTTGTGTACATCTCCATTTTCCTAATGCGCCTGGTCATGATCCTAAACCGGCGAAAGGCACAACGCATACCCTGTGTCCAGGAGTTGAGCGTGATATAACTAATCCCCATAGGGGATCTCAGACAAGAAAGAAAGACTCGACAGCTGCATTTTTTTCCTTTCGTTCTTTCGTGTCCGAACAGCTCAGCCCTTACTCTAAACGAAGGCATATTCGATCTCTACAGCCCAATCTTCTACAATGGTTGGACCCACTACCTCCGTCGCTCCGGCAGAGCTTGCCGGCAAAATCGCTCTGGTGACTGGTGGAAGTCGAGGAATCGGAGCCGGTATTGCTCTGGAGCTCGCAAAGAAAGGAGCTTCCGTTGCGATCAACTACGCACGCGACCCCAAGTCCGCGGAGAAGACGGTCCAAGAGATCAAGTCGCTTGGAGTCTCCGCGGCTGCATTCCAAGCAGACTTGACCCAGCTGGACGCCATCGAGAGCCTCTTCCGCCAAGTTGTTGAGCATTTTGGACAATTGGATATTGTCGTCTCCAACTCAGGAACAGAGAAATTCGTCTCGCTGGCCGACACCACCCTGGATGACTTCAACCAAGTCTTCGACCTGAACACGCGGGCTCAGTTCTTCGTGGCCAAGAATGCGTACAACTATCTCCAGCCCGGCGGTCGTGTGGTGCTCATGTCGTCCATCGCCGCGGGTGTCGGTGTCCCCGGCCACGCTTTGTATGCTGGGAGCAAGAGCGCCGTGGAGGGTTTCACTCGCTGCTTTGCGGCCGACTTTGGCAAGAAGCGGTGCACGGTGAACGCCATTGCCCCTGCCGGCGTGAAGAGCGACATGTGGCTGGAGAACTCCTGGCGCTATGCTCCAGGCTGCGACCAGAATTCGTCGCTGGAGGATGTCGAAGCTGCCTTGGCCAACGGAAGCCCTCTCAAGCGATGCGCCGTTCCCGCGGACATCGGTCGCGTCGTGGCATTCCTGGCCAGTCCGGATGGAGAATGGATCAACGGTAAGAATGCAAAACCCACTAGGTGTCAAACTTCTGCTAATCGCCACATGTAGGCCAGACCATTCCCCTTAACGGGGGCTCTAGTATTTGAGCGAGGCGATCAGGAGCCGCGCTCAAACAGTAACCTCGCTCCGGATGGAAGAAGTTCATAGCAACCGTGTATGATAATGTGGATAATTTGTCACATCAATCCATCTGCGTATATTCATATTAAACACTATGTTTCTATTACCCACGGAACTGCCTTCCTTTTTCATTATGTACATCTATCCTTCAAAGTCGTGATCGCGTCGCAGGGTGAAACTTATCATAGAGCTGATGGCTTCCAAGGTTTGGGTATTATCGATTTGTAAGCCGGCGGAGAAGAGAACCTGAGGCCTTCTCGATTTCGACGATTATCGCGACGGTGAGGACAAGGGTGGCCAGGATGATCTAGACCAAAGTCAGTCAGTGGCTGCTGAGTGCCGCAGTTTCTCCTAAGCAGGACCTCACCCCAAAGAGAAGAATGCCCACCGAATTCAACTCCCACCCACCAGCGTGTACTTTCGCCCTCGAAATAGCACTTTGTTGCCTCCAGAATCGATATGCGCCGATCAAGGCTACTACGACGGCCACCGCATGGCAAGTGACAGCGAGCGGAATCCCCACATCATAAAATTTGAGCCTGTCTTCCTTCATCGGAGATCGTTGGAGGCGGAAAAGTTGGGCAATCACCACCCCTTGCATCGCAATGGCCACCGACGTTCGAATATAAGCCAGGAATGTACGCTCCAACGCTGCATGGTTCGTCAATCGTGCTGCTCTTGTGTTTTTGGAGGGGCGCCACTCTTCACAAACCTAGGTGATCTCGATTGCTTTTTTGTGGAACGGTCAGGGTAACGTGATGAGTCCAGAATCGACACAATCTGCGCCACGGCCCCGAGGAGCCGCGTTGCGAGCCCTGGGTTGTCGTACGTGTGATCTGACGGACGGCACCACGACAATCGTCGCCGGAGGAGGCTGAGGGGGAGGAGTACGCGAACTCGTCATCCTCGTGTGTTTGGATTTGGTGGAGTTCCAGGAGCTGGTCATCCGCGGGTTCAGGCCGAGACGAGTCTCTGACAATGGCCGTCGAAGGCCGCTCCAGCGAAGACATGGTCGGAGAGACTATTGTTCAGGCAGATGGCAATGCCCGCAGGACTTTCATGGCATCCAATCCTCGTAGGGAACTCCGGTCTCGTCTGAGCTCACTGTCCGGATCGGTTCAAGCCGAAAAGGGCCAAGTCCGGGCAGCCCCGCAATGGTCCGGGGTCCCGGGGGCGTGGGATTGTCCATCTTGCGGTTTTCGTTCTGAGGACGCAGCAGGGGCAGCAGCAGAAGAAGAGAAGAAGCGCGACACAGAATTGACTAGGAATGCCTTTATTTCTAGAGGTCGCCTGTATCTGAATTCGACGGGCGCCTGTGGTTCCTACTGGGCCAATCAGAACAGCGGATTCCCGATGGCATCATTTCCCTCGCGATGTTGACATGAAGCGCCAATCATAGGTCTACAATTCTAATGTCATCCACCCTTCAATACTGTCGACGATCTACGTGGAGCCTAATGCCTGCAACTCTATGGGGATCGGAGACATATATAGTCTAAGAATAGGCACCACGAAGTCTGGAAAACTGCACCTTCTTTGCAGTATGTGATACCAGGCCTTGGTATTCAGTCTTCGGTCTTAGGCATTTGGGCAACCTGCTTCGAGCGGTTTCGTCCGCGGTCACTTTGGGGGCGATAGATACGCGCTTATCCGTCGCCCTTGGACAGAAGCAACGACCTTGGGCCTATTGAACCTGCTGAAGACTTTGACCCCGCTCGACAGAGATAAGACGACCTCACGGTCACGCAGCATGTCTCGATAACAAGCCAAACTGGGAATCCAGATCCGAATGAAGATACGCCATGGATCCTGCTCCAAATGCACCGGGACTCGCTTTCCTCGAATAGGGGATTCTCGACAGTCTCAATTTTCTCCCCAGGCAGCTTCATGTCATCCGATGGGCGCTAGCTGGATCGGTAGATGTGGAGCCCCAGATGGCACTTTAGCGAAAATGAGAAAAAAAAAAAGGAAAAAAAACGAGCCTCGGGTAGTGGATAAAAAAAACATTTAAAAGAATCCCCTTCCTGTTCCGCCCACTTCTTTGTTTTTGCGTATCTGAATCCATCTCAGATCTCCATAAAGAATGCACGGTGGTGCATAAGCGCCGCTTCTCCACTTCCCCGTGCTCGATCGTCCTGGACCCCCCACAAAACATCATGAAGACTGATCATGTCGAGCCGGACGATACGCAGGCCTTGGCCCGGCTGGGCAAGAAGCAGGTGCTTAAGCGGCGCTTTGGCTTCTTTTCCATTGTGGGATTTGCAATGGCTGAACTCATTACCTGGGAAACGGTCGTGACCCTGTTCTCCCAGGCGTTCGACGATGGTGGCCCCGCGGGGGCCTTTTTTGGGTACATCATCGCCTGCCTATCCACCTTGTCGGTCTATACCGTGATTTCGGAATTGGCCTCGATGGCCCCCATCGCCGGCGGCCAGTACTACTGGGTATATATGCTGGCGCCGATGCGCTGGAAAAAGATCTCCAGCTATCTCATTGGGTGGCTCACCACATTAGCATGGATCGCCACGATCGCCACGGAGACTATCTTCTTGGGCACCATGATCGAGGGGCTCATCATACTGAATGACCTAAAATTCGTGCAGCAGCGATGGCAGAATACCCTGCTCGCCTGGGCAAGTGTGGTTGTGACCTTCTTCATCAACGTGGTGTTGCCCAACATTCTCCCGCGCTTCGAGATAGGCATCCTTGTGCTACACTTGGCCGGCTTCATCGCCATCATGGCAACCTTGCTTGCCTTGGCACCCAAGAAGTCGGCCCATTATGTGTTCCACACCGCGTTGAACGAAGGCAATTGGCCCACACAGGGCCTATCGTACTGCGTCGGCTTTATTGGGAACGTTGCGACCTTCGTCGGGGCTGATGCAAGTGTGCACATGGCGGAAGAGGTTGCCAACGCCGCGGTTGTGATCCCCCGGGCGATTATCACCGGCATGACCCTGAACAGTCTCCTTGGGCTGGCCATGATGCTCACTATCCTGTTCTGTCTGGGCGATACTGACTCGGTTCTGAACTCCGCAACAGGCTTCGCTTTCATTCAGATATTCTACGACACCACCTCTTCCTATGCAGGGGCGTCTTTCATGACAGCCATCATCATGGTCCTCACCATGGCCTGCTGTACAGGTATCACGACTACGGCATCGCGTATGACGTGGTCGTTCGCCCGCGACGAGGGTCTGCCATTCTCCCGCTATATTAAGCGCGTACACAAGAGCACCAAAGTCCCTATCATAGCCGTCTCCGTAGTCTGCGGATTAGCCTGTGCCTTGACTCTGATCTACATTGGATCTACCACCGCCTTCAACGACGTGATCTCCCTAACTGTCACCGGTTTCTACGGCACCTACTTCCTGCCCGCCGCATTCCTTCTCTACCATCGCATCAAAGGCCATGTCTTGCCCCATGGCACCGTGCTCGACGCTCTGCCAGATTCCGCCGCTAGCGCCAACCCCTCTGCCCTGGAAAAGCCTGCTGCCCTAGTGCGCCCTAAGAGCCCCAGTAAAGAAGTCTCCCCTGGCCAAGCTCCTCCTGATAGCCCCGAACGCAACACCTCGGAAGACAAGGTCAAGCGACCGTTGGAGTTCGAAATTGCGCAAGCTCCGCTGATCTGGGGGCCGTGGAAGGTTCCTGGCATCTTGGGTACTCTTAACAATGCGTATGCCTGTGTATACATGCTGTTTGTGATCTTCTGGAGTGTCTGGCCTCCCACAGCCCACGTTGACTACACCACTATGAACTACAGTATCGTAGTGACGGCGGGGGTTCTGATTCTGAGTGGGATCTGGTATTGGGTTCGCGCGCGGAAAGATTATCACGGCCCTCTGATTGACGAGGAGGTTGCTGAGATCATGCATCTTACTCCTGGCGCAGCTCAATGACACCTAGAGGCTACTGAGCACGCTGCAATCAGGGCATGCCGTTAACATCTCGTAGCTCCAGTGATGACATCTGGACGGTGACCTGCAACCCATGTATCTGAATTGTGCGAAACTTAATCAACGGCATTTTCTCCAAGTCTCTAGATCAGTCACTACTCTACGCATTTTTGTAAGATTTTCGAGGTTCTATTGGGCTCCCTATTCAGAATTGATTTCCGGCGGATGAGAGCTCACGCGAGGGCTGCTAGTGAGGTCTCTGGCCGGATGGGCGCGGTTGGGAGGCCCTTGCCTGCGTGAATCAATTACAATAAGCGTAAATGGCCTTGCTCCATCATTCCATCGGGGCTCATTTGACCCGAAAAGCCATGTCGTATCTGATCTAGCCTATCGGTATGCTGAGCTTCCCTGCATGTATCTACGATAGACAGGGAATGGGCTTTGGTCGCGATAGTGGGGGCCCCTGGCTGGTTGACATTCTTATTCGTTGATTGATTTCTGTGTTACCAAGGGGGTCAGTCTTGTGACATGCCTATGCTTGGCCCCAACTTAAAAACCGCTGAGGCTTAACGGTTAGGAATTGTGACTATACTTACAGTACATGGGGGTTTACGACGCCGGTATGGGCAACGCCCGCGGTCTCTAGTCATGATAATATTGCCCAGAGATACTTCGATAATGATACAGATGGTATACATTCCGGTGATTTGCTACAGGGTAGCTGTGCCGAAAGTATGGAAGTTTAGGTTACCTAGACAGATCCAAGTCGAGTGCTGGGGTATCTTTATCCTTATAATAAACATCGAAAGCAACCTTCATGAGCTCCAGGATATATCAGTCTTGTAGTTGTTCATGTGATACAGGATCACTTTGGACAAACATTGGATTAGTCCGCCTCCATGGCCTCCTCGCGTTGCATGGCAATGCGAGTCATGGTCTCTCGCGCCGCAATCTTGGCCTTGCGCATTTCTTCCTCTGTCTCTGTCGTGTGTGAATGCTTACCGCTTACGTTGCTCGAATTACCGTTGTTTGGCTTTTCAATCTTCTCACCTCGATCATGCCCGTTCTGGAGCGCTCTTTCAATCGTGACGGTCTCATCCCTCTCGTTTATATCCGGTCCGCCTCCAGGTTGAGAGTGCATACTTCGCCGACTCCGGCTGCGGCGGCGGTGTTGCGTGGCTCCTTTAGTTGCATCCTGTGTGTGATTCGACGCCGAGTTCTGAATAGGCACTATTGTACTAGATGCCTCCATTGCGATTTCCGAAGCGGCGTTTGACCCCTCCGAAAACTGAGGGTTGGTAGGCTGGCTCGTGGACTTCCGGGGCCGACCAGGTCGTCGTTTCTCAGGAACAGGGAGCTCCGCCGAGGTGTTCCCGGCCGTGAGACGAAGTCGCTTTGCTGGACTTTGGTTTGGGTCTCGCCCATTGAGCACACTGTGATCGCGAGGGTCGACTCGAGGATTCGGGGATAAAGGTGCTGGGTGAGGCTGTGATACGCTCTGGGAAGCGCCCTCGGTATCTCGGATCACCAGCAAATCGGCATGACTTGGTAAGTCACCTATGGAGAAATCATCGTCCCCATCATCTTCGCCAAACGAATCAGGAATGGGATGGATGTGGCGGCTTGAGAAAGCGTCAGGCCACGCACGTTTTCGTCCCGCTTGGACCATCTCTGGGCTTTTCACGGGAACCGCACCATCCATGACTGACAGGTTCTCAGGGCTGCCCGGCTTGCGGTCTTCCATAAACCGATTTTTGAACTTCAACGCCTCAATTTCTAACTTCAGTTTCTCGATCTCTTCGGATTTCGACTTGAGCTCTTTCAACACGGTCGCGATCATATCAAACCCATGCCCTTGTCCATCTCTGCTGTCTCCCATGTGGCGGGTCGGCGCATTCAATTCGATGCGGAGGGAGTTAAATGAGTGCTTCAGGTCGGTCATGGTGTCCTGCAAGTGATTTACCGAACTCGAGATCTGGTCAATGCTGCGTCCCTGATGATGCATTTCCTGTTGCATGGTCGGAGCCAACGTGGTGGAATGATCTAGTCCAGAAGGCATGAGGGCTGCATCTCTGCTGTGAGTGGTACGGCCGCGGCGGATGGGTTCTTTCGGAATTGGTCGCTGTCGCTCGAGGGCAGCTTCGGTGAAGACAGGTTCCGCGGTTCTCATAGTGATAATTTCTCGGAAGGAGATTTTGGTCATTTTCCAAAGCACGTTTGGGCTGTGGAGGGAAGAAAATATATCAGTATATTATGTTTCCCCGCGAACAACTGATCCAGGCCACTTACCCATCATCCAGCATGCACAAGACTCCCAGTTTTTGCTGGCACAGTTTGCATGATACTTCTTGAATAATGCGCCCACGAAGAATGATCATTTCTGAGGTCTGCGGGATCTGCCTCTTGTCCGACGAGACTGATATGCGCTGTAGATTGATGCTCTGCCAGCCGACAGGGATCGAATAGGTATTGGATAGTTTCGCCCATTCATTCTCCAAAGCTGCCAGCGAGCTGGAGCATCGTACGCACTGGCTGAGTATGGCCGGCCTGGTCAGGCTGGCAAGATCCATGATGGCTGCGCAGCAGAAGCGTTGCCAGTGGAAACGAGGCCCAATCCCACTGACAGTTTCCGGGCGCGGGTTGGACCCGCCTGGGCCTCCAGTTCTGGTGAGTCAGCGATCCAGACACCGGTAAAATAAAAGCCCGGTCCTATCGATAACACGGGCCTGAAAACAGCCGGAGGCCTGCAATACTGCAATTCTCATGTCCATAGATGATACTTGATAGTCCTTATGTCTCTAGTCGCCCTGTTCGCAACAAAGAAAGATTTCTCACACACCTATTTACAGTGATAGCAATACGAAATACAGTAGTACTAGTAATACAGGGTGAGGAATACCTGGCTGCCAACAAATTTGTACCTGATATATACATATACATCCTGCTACTATATGCCCAGGTGGGCGCTGAATCAAAATAAATCCTACTCGCACTATAGCAATGGGCTTTACGGGCAAATTAGTCCTCATAAATTCGAGATAAAGGCTATCTCTCCGACTGACAGTACGTCTTAAGCTTCTTTCCGCAAAATCCATTGTCCCTCTTCATGACTGGAGTTCCCAAGCTACGTCAGAAACAAGAAACGTCGCGAGGTCACGTGGCCGAATAGTACTCGAGATCGCCGGTGCCCCAAATTTGAAACGAACGCGGGGAGCTGCTATCTCAGAGAAGCCAGCTAGGGGAGCTAATTCCGAGCTCCCGAAAGCAGAGAATTCAATCATTGAAATTTATTTGGTGGTTGGTGGTTGGTGGGAAAGGTGGGGAGCATGGAATCTGATCAAATGCTCGGAGGCTTAACGGTGGGGCTCATGCGGCATTGCTGATTCCTACTTCTTTCTCCCCACTACTCCCAATTCCTTTATTACTGCTGGCCTATTTCCACATTACCGTGATCAACCTAGCTATTTATGAGCTTCTATAGCTCATTCACCCTGCTTGTTTCATACGATTGGCTCTTGAAGCCCAAAGATCAACCCTTAAGTCATCAACCCTTAAGTCGCAAGCGTCATCAGCTCCTCTCTTCCCACTCAACTTTCCTCAACTTTCCAGTTCCTCACACCTCCTCACCCATCGACGAACAATTACAATGAATACGGACGGTCGCTCTCTTCGCATATTGCCTAAGCTCAACCCCCAAGCCCCGCCTAACTTCATCACGCCCGGCAAGAAGATCCATGAGTCGCATGATGTTTCAACGTTTCTGGTTTCCAAAGCGTACATGGATATCATGACATTTCTTCTCCAGCTGAACCGATCGATGTTTCCTTCGAAGCTCCCGAATGGAAAATTCCAGGATTGGCCACTTCATTCAGATGCTGTCCAATTCTCTGCGCCGGTCCGCCAACTTCAAGGGTTGCTCGGCAGAGTAGAGGATATTATTACGGAGGTACCACCGGACAGCGGACCGCGCAGATTTGGAAATATCAGCTTTCGGAAATGGCATCAAGTTCTCACCGATCGAGCATCTGAGTTACTTCGTGAATTTCTCCCGGCGGATCTCTTAGAGATGCGCTCGCCGAATTCCGAACATCCTTCAGCCGAGGTGGAACTGAAGGCATACTTTTTGGGTAGCTGGGGAAGTGGCCAAAGATTGGACTACGGGACGGGCCATGAACTGAGCTTCTTGGCATTCTTAGGTGCTATCTGGAAGCTCGGTGGCTTCCCCCAATCCGCGGATGGGGTCGAAGAAAGGGCTATTGTCCTCGGAGTGATTGAACCGTAAGTACCTAAGTAGCCCCCACCTAACCTCTGGGAATGTCTTACTCATACTAGACTAGATATCTTGAGCTTGTGAGGACTCTCATCAAAACGTACACCCTTGAACCTGCCGGGTCACACGGAGTTTGGGGTCTTGACGATCACTCTTTCCTTCCGTATATCTTTGGCTCTGCTCAGTTATCTCCCGCGATCCACGAGGCCGACCTGACCCCAGAAGAAGGCTCATTGCCAGGTGCCCCAGACCCCGGTGATGTGGTGAAGCCCTCCTGTGTTGAGAAAGAAAGAAAAGTAAATCTTTATTTTTCTGCTATCGGATTCATATACGATGTTAAGAAGGGGCCGTTTTGGGAACATAGTCCTATGCTTTATGATATCTCAGGCATTCGTACAGGATGGGGCAAAATCAACAAGGTAAGTCTTGTCGTCTAAGCCTGGATTCCGCATCCTCTGGCATCTTGCAAGCTCACATCTCCCAGGGCATGGTCAAAATGTACAACGCCGAAGTTCTGTCCAAGTTCCCCGTTGTGCAGCACTTGCCATTCGGCGCTCTATTTAGCTGGGACCGGGACCCAAATGCTGTTACACCGGTGGCTTCTGTGCATTCCACATCTGGCCCGCAGACACGGTCGGTACAACCTGAGAACGAGGCACCGTCGACTACCGTTCGGCCAAATACAGACGCGAGCACGAGAGCTCCCTGGGCATCAACCGAGGCCAACCCTCCTAGTCGAGCCCGTCCAACTGTGGCATTAGCAGGAAGTCGACATGAGCCTCCATCATTTACTTCAACTCTTCCGAATACCTCTCGCTTACCGCCTGGCCCGATGGCTCCGACGCGAGCCCCTCAGGCGCCAACCATGCGCCGGTCACCACCAGGCGGAGATGGACCTACAAAAGCTCCATGGGCTAAATGAATCACGAAACATGATACCCTTTCTGAATCCTTACTACCTAGAAATACTCAACAGATGAAACACAATGAATTTCAAACGCATCTTGGGGTATCTCATCAACATTAAACATAGACATGGCGCATAAATCGTTCTTTTGGAGGTTCAGTCTGAATCGGAGGCATAGCTCACTAATGCGGGGGGCGTGGTCACAGAGGTGTCTTTGTCATCATGCGAGGGCTTTGCCGGATGTGCTGGGGACTTCTTTAAGCTAGGGTTAGCGAGACCCACGAGTTTGGGCACTGTAGAAGGCCTCTTCCTCTTTGCCCCAGTCTTCCAGGTTTCCGAGCCATCTGCGGATTCAAGTAAGAAAGGATCTACTGCCGCACGGGTATTCTGAGTTAATTCACGGCTCAAAGATTCTCTGTGGTTAGCAGCCGCGACTGCCGCCTTGGTCATGTCATAAGAGCTTCTGCCCCTGACGCTCTTCACGTCTGATGGGCGTTTGCTCTCAAACATCGGTTTAACCCGCGTCGCTCGTGAAGCCATGGAATCAGCCAAACCCTGACCATCTCCGAAATCAACCAAGCCGGCCTTTCGGCGATCCTCTTCCGTCTCATCCACAAGGTCAATACCTAAGCCCATTTTGTCTTTGATGGCTTCTCGGTCTGCCTCTCGTTTCTCGAGAACCTTCCTCTCCGCTCGAAACTTCTTTCGCAGGCGTCTTGACTGCGCATATGGGTCATCCCAGTCCCGAGCTTGCCGTTCCTGTAGCTCCAATATGCGTCCACTCTCGGTTTGGGCCCGGAGCTTGTCCTCCGCCTTGCCCTCGAGCTTCGCAAAAGGGTCCTTTTCTGCAGGATCTGGGCCGAGTCCCGGTAGGCGAATTGCAATTTCCCCGGGCTGCAACTCTTTGTCTTCCCCGGTATCGCGTTTACGCGCCCCCTCATGTACCACATACGCCGTATTCGCCGGGTCCGTGCGGATCTCAATCCAGCCATCGCAAACCGTGTGCTTCATGCGGAAGCTGTAGATCGGCGTGGAATAATAATTCCCAATCTTCTTTTTCTCCGCGTTGAACCTCACTCCTTGTCCGATGATCGTTTCGTGCGGTTTGCATGTTGTACACCACACCGCAAATGGCATTTCGAAACGCACAATCAGTGCGCCTTTGGTTTGGAGATGGCGGGCGCGGGCGCCAAGTGGGTGTTTCCGTGCGATCTGGTTGCCGGACAAGACCCCCTCCTGGTCCGGCGGGACATAGCTGGGATTGTTAGAACGTTAGTTTATCGAGAGTCTGTACGACATACCGTCCCATGTCTAGGGTGGTGATTAGCAGGATTCATCGCGCGTATCGGATAGTTACTCACTGAAGCCTTGCATCCTGGCTGACGCGGGTCCACCTCTGGGGGTGGCGGTCCACTTGGCTGTATCAACTAGTGGTGTTGGTTACGGATAAATGGATGGACGGATCTGCAGATGCGCTTTGGTGCAAGATTCGAGATTCGACCCCGGACTTAAGGCGGTGAACTCGGGTTTAGTGTTCTGCCCTTAGGGAATACCTTCCACGTGACGCGGTTTGGTCTTTCCGGTATCAGACTTGAGGTTGACATATTCAAGTTTGAGCTTCCATGCATTTTTTTCCCATTCGAATACGCCGCCTAAACACTTCTACGCTTGTTCCACGAGAAAACAACAACGCATCACTTCCAAGGTTGCTGTGCACAATCATTCATCCAATCGCAGGGCTCCAGGGCTTCCCTGAGGATCCACTGCTCGTCAGCCTATGAACACGTCGGAAATCAAATCAGAACCGGGAATTCGAAGATCGGCCAAACCCCCGAGGTCTTTACTCGAATCGGCCGAGAACATCCCCACCTTTTACGCCTCCAACTCCCCAGACCCTATAAACCCGAGGTCGGGAGGCCGCGTGTTCTTGACTTCCCTGCTTTTCACTTGTTCTGTACTTGTCTACTTGCCCTGCCCATAAATAATTCCTCATCACAATGGCTCAAGGCAAATTAACAGGCGCCGCCGTCGCCGAGCACAACTCTAAGGACTCGTGCTGGGTGATCGTACACGGCAAGGCCTACGACGTCACTGAATTCCTCCCTGAACATCCTGGTGGCCAGAAAATCATTCTCAAGTATGCTGGAAAAGATGCGACCGAGGAGTTCGACCCAATCCACCCGCCTGATACGCTCGACAAGTATCTTGATCAATCCAAGCACCTCGGCGAGGTCGACATGAGCACAGTCGTGCAGGAGGAGAAGGCCGCGGATCCCGGAGAAGTAGAACGTCAAGAGCGCATCAAGCGCATGCCTCCGCTGTCAGCGTGCTACAATCTGTTGGACTTTGAGACAGTCGCTCGCCAGGTCATGAAGAATACGGCTTGGGCGTACTACTCCAGCGGTGCGGACGATGAAATGGTGCGTGTGAACCAACTATCCCCACTTCATCCAGCGGTGCAGCCTTGGGTGTGGACTACTCCCATTTGCATCGTTCTGGACACTTGGCATTTACGGGTAGAGCTGACCACCTCCCTAGACTATGCGCGAAAACCACTCGGCCTTTCATAAGATTTGGTTCCGGCCACGGGTGCTGGTGGACGTTGAGCACGTGGACTTCACAACTAGCATGCTAGGTACCAAATGCTCGATTCCATTCTACGTCACCGCAACAGCACTTGGCAAACTAGGACACCCAGAGGGCGAGGTAGTACTTACGAGGGCGGCAAAGAAGCATGACGTGATCCAGATGATTCCAACATTAGCATCCTGCTCATTTGACGAGATTGTTGACGCCCGACAAGGGGACCAGGTCCAGTGGCTGCAGCTGTATGTCAACAAGGATCGGGCGATTACAAAGAGGATTGTTGAGCACGCCGAGAAGCGTGGATGCAAGGGGCTTTTCATCACGGTCGATGCACCCCAATTGGGCCGTCGCGAAAAGGATATGCGCTCCAAGTTCGATGATGCCGGGTCAGATGTGCAATCTGGGGATGACGGGGTGGATCGTTCTCAGGGTGCTGCCCGTGCTATCTCATCCTTCATCGACCCCGCGTTGTCGTGGAAAGATATCCCCTGGTTCAAGTCCATCACTAAGATGCCAATTGTCTTGAAGGGCGTGCAATGTGTTGAAGATGCGCTGCGGGCAGTGGAGGTCGGTGTGGACGGAATCGTGGTCTCCAACCATGGTGGTCGACAACTGGACACCGCTCGCTCAGGCATTGAGGTGTTGGCAGAAGTGATGCCGGCTTTGCGAGAGCGTGGATGGGAGAAGCGCATTGAAGTCTTTGTCGACGGCGGTGTGCGCCGTGCTACTGACATTCTCAAAGCTCTGTGCTTGGGCGCGAAAGGTGTCGGGATCGGTCGTCCATTCCTCTTCGCCATGTCTTCATACGGCCAGGATGGCGTCGAGCGGGCTATGCAGTTACTGAAGGATGAGATGGAGATGAACATGCGCTTGATCGGTGCCACTTGCGTTGAAGACCTGAATCCTAGTCTCCTGGATACTCGTGGCCTTCTGGCTGGTCACTCCGGCGTTGCTCCGATTGATAACCTAGGCCTACATGCCTATGACCCACTCCAGGCGCCGCGGTTCAACGAGAAGCCAAAATTGTAGAAACTTCCATGGGAGTTTCCTTTGGGCATGTCTGTATATTTTGGGTTGTCGTTTTACTAAGATATATATTGCTAGACCTTCTTGTGTGTAATTATACCCGTTATCTGGCAACTTGGAGCTATGTTGGGACATCATGTTCCGGTGCAGGGAAATGAACAATGGTTCCGTTATTTAAACGACATTTCTAGAAAGTGCAGAAGGTTTTAGGGCGTAATATCAGCTTCCCATATATCCATCATCCCTTTTACTCGCTTATTGCTACCGTCCCCATGCATGAAGGCTATGTATTGTATGTCAGGTGACCCTATCTACGACCAGTCACGTGGTGATACGGAGGCTCTGCGGTCGCGGATCAAATGCCGGGAAAAGTGCTTCCCATGTCAATAGCAAGTTAGCCTCGTTCAACGACCACCCCGGTATGACCCTGCGCTTAACGTCTGCTCCGGTTGCAGGTATCCAAAAACGAAAAACGACTAAGACTGCTGCCCGATCGCGCTCCTCCCCGTTTGCCACCCACCCGCGCCGCAAGCCAAATGCATCCAGCGGGGTGAAAACCCCGAAGTGGGAGCCAGACGAGCCTTTGCCCGACCTAGGTGCCACATCCTATATCTCTGAAACCGCGCCTGTACAGGATGTAGTGCAAGCCATTCGATATGTACGAGATAGCATGTTCGATGAACTCCCTGCCCGGGCGGGGATGAACAGTACGAGAATCGCCGAGGTGCTCAACCTGCGCCGGTCGCTGCCCCCAGTAGCATCGGTGGCCCACGTTCATACGGTGCTGAACGCGCCGACAAAAGTGGAACGGGAAATTGTCGAGCTGGTGAAATCAGGCCGCGTCCGACGGCTTATAGTCCCCGGGCGCGGCAATGATGCGGCGGGACTAGGCGATTGCTTAGTCCTTGCCGAAGACTGGGATGGCATAGTTCGGAGTAGCCCATCTTTGGCTGATCCTATTAAAGGTGCGTTGTATTTTGAACGAAAGGAGCTGCACATCTTCCGGGCGGGAAGAGACTTGCTAACCTGACTTAGAGAAATTCCTCAACATCTTAACTCGCATGGGAACCAGCTCTGCTATCTCGCAAGGTGTCTTCACGCCGGAAGAATATAGAGAGTTACTTCGTGCTGGTCTGGTAGTTTCGTCCTCTACATATACTCAAGGGTCATTAAATCTCTCCTCTCTGCCGAAGCTACCTTCAACCGCTGTCTCCGCCGCCAGTAGGGGTGGATGGTCGCAGACCCCCGAGATGGACCACCCTGTTCAAAGTGATGCCCAGGCTCGAGCAGCGACTCTATTTCTGTCCCTTCCAAATACCGGGACCTATTTACGATTGCTCGGTGCTGGCCGTGCTCGTCTCCTCGCCCTTCTCCGCCGGTCAAGTTGCGCCGAGGCTCCGTTGAACCTACTCCAGGATCGATGGGATGGAGCCGTGGAGACCGAAAAAAGCTTCCACTTGGCGAAGAGGGCGCGTGGGGAGTTTGCAGGAGTCCTGCCTGGGAAGACGAAAAAGTGGAAAGAACTCCACGGGATGCGGTTCCGTTGGGCGCTAGAAGAGGCTCTAGGCGCCGGACTGGTTGAATTATTTGACACCGGCAGTGTTGGTCCTGGCGTTCGTTGTCTATAATCCTGATTCTACATTAGATTTTATGAACCTACAAATGTTAGCATGGATGCACGAAGCACGGAGATCGGACCCGCTACTCTTATGGGCGAATCACGCGTTGCCGATTTTCGTAGGCCCCCTTAACATCGCAGCTTCTCCAACTAGATCTCCAATGAGACACAAAAGGACAACCTTTATCTCACAATGCCACTTATTCAGCTGAAGCCTCATCTTTTCACATCGCTCCCACAGCATCCATCCTTTGCGGACAACGATACGCGGACGAAAATCCAAGATGTAACGCGGGACGCGCTACACGAAGCTCTGGAGTTTCTTCACTCGGTACCCTCCGCGTTCACGGCAGACCCGAAACTTCGCGCCTCGTCGCCATCAGCGGCGAAAGTCAAGCTATCCCGACGGTGGCGTAAACAGTCAGAGCTGGAACCAAACGCGAATGATAAAGCGAAACCGGAATTCTGGGTCTGTCGGCAAAGCGAACATCTCGATTCTAACACAGACGGTACCGCATCATGGGACGAATTCCAACAGGGGCTGAGGGTCAATCACGCCGAGCATGAGATGGAGTATACGCCAAGCGTTACGGGCGTAGAGCGCCTGCTGGAGTGGCCAAGGGGGGAAATCGCCGACTTGGAAATCAACGGCATCAAGTTCCATGATGTGGACGCGGAGGGTAGGTACCTCGACAAGACCTCGTCCCATCCATACATATCTAACCTCCAGTGAATCAGTCAACTTGATCACGCATTCATTTCACCCGGGCGTGCTTATATCGCCCCGCAGCTTCATCTCTTTTACGCTATCGGCCGCCTATAGCCAGTCCGATGCTTCGGAAGAGCAGGGCCCCACCCAAACCCCGTCGCAAGGCTTTATGACGATTCAAATGCCTCTACGCTCAGAGCCCACATCGACACCACCCACCTTGCATCAGAAGGTTGTCTCTTCTGTGCCGCGTCGAGCAGTGTTTGCCAATTACGCAAGCGTGGAGCGGGTTGCTTTGCTTGCTGCGCAACCAGCAGGCACATCTAATACGGGCAAGACAAGCAACAAGATCGAGTGGACGATGGCGACAACGTCTGATGCAGGAGGTTCAATCCCACAGTGGGTACAAAGAAGTTGGACATTAGGCGGGGTGCCTCGCGCAGTTGTCGCAGATGTCGGCCTATTTATTGGATGGGTGACGGGACGACGGCGTCGTCAATGAGGCCCAGTCTCTGTGGTGACGAGGAAGACGTTGAATCGAGAACTCCAGTTTCCTATCTGGCCGCATACCCGTAGGGCCCCGAAAGGTGAAATAACTAGTGGGCTTTTGACGGACCACTTGGGTACACCCATGATGTAGATACAATGGCTCGGCCTATCCGCCTTGGGGTCATAAGAAGGGTTTCGGGCAATCAATAGTTAGAGGCATTATGCGGAAGAGCCTCACAATGCTCACCCCAGGCTCAGCAACAACAGCCGCTCTTCTTTTCTTCCATGAAGAATCTCGCCTTATCGTGGATATGCTTGGCGGAGGAGCCTCAAATGGGGAATCGACCTAAGAGCAGCTCTTCGGACCGTACACTTCCATGGCTTTATTCTGCGACTCATCCAGCCGAGTCTAAATCTCCTCTGATGCTGTTCCACCCCCATCAAATTTTGTAGTCTTATTGCGATGGCGCATACTATCTAATCTAGTTGGTTCTGCCAGGATCATTCCGCATGTAAACAAACTACCGAGCTCCACTTTTCGACCGCGTTCGATCAACCCAGGTACCCCAACATCCGTTACGTTACGGCCATGGCCTCACTCCTGGACAGAGCGCTTGACCTGATGTCGATGGATGCGGTGGATGCCGTACGCGCCGGGTTCCTCCTTGCAGCTGCCACTGTCTACGCCGTGAGCGTCCCCTCGGCCCTGCGATCACGATTCCTCGTCTACGGCCCACGCGCCACCCCGACCACTTCGCCGGAGAGCTCTGGTCTGCTTGATCGCCTGACAAAATGGCGCGTACCTCATCATTATTTCCGACAATTTTATATCGCCTCCCTGCTCTCGTCGGCATTTTGGGCTTTCCAATTGGTTACCCGAGGATTTGCTTTCCAGGCCATTGCGGCGCGGGTGAATGATGAGCACAAACAACAATCCATGTCCTTGCACCAGGTCCTGACCTGCTGGATCCTCCTAACAATGCAGGGCCTGAGAAGACTGTGGGAATGTAACATATTCGCCAAGCCGTCCTCATCACAGATGCTGGTGCCGCACTGGCTCTTGGGGCTTGGTTTCTATCTAGCCGCAGGAGTTGCAATCTGGATCGAAGGAGCAGGATCACTCCTCTCGCACACCTTGACTATCGACGACCTGAAGATGACGAATGCGCCATCCATGCGAACCTTTGCGTGTGTTCCGCTGTTCCTCGTCGCTTCGGGTTTGCAGCATGACTGTCATCATTTCCTCTTTACGCTGAAACGGTACACTCTGCCAGACCATGCGCTCTTCCGGGGAATTGTGTGCCCTCATTATGGGGCGGAGTGTATCATATACCTTACTCTAGCACTGGTTGCTGCACCACCAGGCCAGATGGTTAATAAGACCTTGTTGAGTTGCGCGGCATTCGTTGCCGTGAACCTGGGCCTGACCGCACGAACGACGAAGGAGTGGTACATGAATAAATTCGATCGGGAGCAAGTGAAGTCTCGTTGGCTCATGATACCATATGTTTACTAGTGACTAGACATGGTGCCGAGATCGGCTGGGAGAAAAGAATCAATAGATATATCAGAACATGATTACAAGGCTGATATACTGAGTGATGAGTAGATATAGAGACTTTGAGCACCGTCGCAAACTAAAACGTGTTTACAGGAGTAACGCTCGTACGCCTCGCCTCCCCGTCCCAGCACGCTTGCAAAGATGCGGTCAAGGCTTTTGAGTTCCTCGCCCTTGTTGCAAGAAATATGCTCAGACCATGATTCGTCAGTCGTAGGAGGAGTCGATGATCCATATCGTACAAAAGGTTACACGTCGTGGACAAAACGGTTCGTGGGTTTCAAGTTTGGGCATACAGTCCGTTTGATTACCGACGTCATCCCCTACATCTCCGCCCACAGTATGTCTATACCCACGGACTCGATCTTAGTCTCGGAAACCGTCTTCCGCCTCAAAGATGCCAGTCGAGCCGCGGACTGATCGCCCTGTGGCAGTCATCGGCGGTGGCCCATTGGGCCGCCGTATTGGATGCACTTTCGTCGCTTCAGGATACGATTTACATATCCAGGATTCGTCTGCCGAAGCTCTCCAAGGCGCTATGAAATACATTGACGTGCACAAAGAGGAATACTCCATGATGTCACGCATCAACAAAGGAAGAGAAGGCGAGCCTGACAGGGGCAGCCCGGTAACTCTTGAGACTTACTCACATACCCACTTCGGAAGATTCGAGGCCTTTGAGGAAATTGCGCCGGCGGTGTCGAATGCCTGGCTCGTGATTGAAGCCACACCGGAGAATCTGGACTTGAAAACTAATCTGTTCGCTGAACTAGACGTGAACGCCCCTCCAGACTGTATCTTGGGATCGAACAGCTCCTTGTTCAGGTCAGGTCTCATGATATCCAAAGTGTCCAGCGAGCGGCGGAAGAGAGTGTTGAATATTCATTATCCCGTACTGCCCGCAATCAGAACTGTAGAGCTTATGACGAATGACGAAACAAGTCCTGACATTTTCCCATACCTGGAAAATATTCTGGGCGAGTGCGGCCTCATTCCAGTGATCACTACGTGTGAGTCGACGGGGTGAGTTTCCGACTACCAGGCCCTCCAGTCGAGAAGTATCCGATAGGACTGACTGTGTTCTCTAAACAGATTCATCTTCAACCGCCTCTGGGCCGCTATCAATCATGAGCTCCTACACATTCTGTCGGACGGTGTGAGTGACCCGCATCAAATGGATCTCTTGTGGGAGCATTTCTTTAAGAATGGACCTCTCCCTTGCCAGCTCATGGATGAGGTTGGATTGGACATCATTGCCTTGATCGAGGATGACTATGTGAAGGAACGCAGTCTGAACAGCAAACTGTCAGCTGATTGGTTGCGAAGAGAATTTATTGAGAAGGGCCGTTTGGGAAGGAGGAGTGAGAAGGGCGGCTTATACCCACCTCGCGAACGACCAACCACAGCCGAAGCAACCCCCACAAGCCCCTATCCTGCGGTGAAAGATATCTATCTGTTGGATGTTGGGCTGGGAAGTAATGCTCCAGATGCATCCCAGGTTCACACAAATGGTAAGGTTTTACGATTGAACCTGGCGACGCAGAAGCTCACCCCCATCGTTGTCAGACAACCATTGCCAGATGGAATTGATGTCTCATTATCGAAGCAGCGCATCTTCTGGACAAACATGGGCCGCAGCACTGCATCTTGCGATGGATCTGTCTGGTCGACCAATCTGGACGGTAGCGAGACCAGGTGTATGATTGCGCCAGGCAAAGTCCACACCCCAAAGCAGATTGCTGCGGTCGAGTCGCGCGAGCAAGTCTTTTTCTGTGACCGTGAAGGCACAAGCGTTCATCGGTGCAACTACGATGGAACTCAGCATGAGATCATCGTACAGCGACGCGTGGACCCCGAATCCACCTTGTTGGACCGGATGAGGGCGTGGTGTGTAGGCATCGCCGTTGACGATCAACATGGTCTCATGTATTGGACCCAGAAGGGCCCGAGCAAAGGTGGACGGGGGCGGATCTTTTCCGCTGGGTTGGACATACCCGAAGGTGAGACTGCTGAGACACGGACAGACATCCGACTAGTCTTTGACAGCTTGCCTGAACCCATCGACCTTGCGATCGACGCCCAGACGCAGACTTTATACTGGACCGACCGCGGGGAACATCCCACGGGATGCGCACTTTATCGAGCTTATGTGGGCGGGGAATCAATGGACCTGCATAAGGTCATCCTGGCCCGTCACTTTCATGAGCCCATCGGATTGAGGTTAGACAAGGTCAATAACACCGTGTACGTTGCTGACATGGGTGGGAGTCTGTATTCAGTCTCGCTGGAGGATGGCGTCAAGGTCGAATTGATACGGAATGACGGTTGCTATACAGGGATCGCTTTAGTATAACGGGAAGGGGAGAGTAAAACCAGACAGGACGGTGTTGCTACAGAAATATGGATTCAGGACTATGATATCGTACGCTGTGAAAGACCATCCTAGATTTGTATACTGATCGGGATACGCTCAAGGTTTAGTCTCGCCAGCAGTCGAGCCAGGAGTGCGCTCGTTCCTAGGCTGGAGCTCGACCCCAATATCGATATCTAAACGTCGGCGTTGGACATCTCTCCCAAATAGACCAAGGCATAGAGGAAAGGGTGCAGCCGCTGCAGACACAACACAGGAGAAGATCAATGCATTGCGCATGTTCGAAGGTGGACTAGCATTCTTCCCCGCCTTGAGCGCATCTTGGATGAGAATAAAGCATGCCCCAAGCAGCTGGCCCCCAGTCCAACAGATGGTGCTTCCAATCTCTGGGGAGAACGGATATGTGAGTTCGACCAGATACTCGAGGACTGTGTGGAGAAGCGCAAAGGAGGATGCCCCCATCAGTGCCATGACCACATAAGAGGGCGCTATTCCGGCAGGGCTAGCGGGTGCAAAGATCAATCCGATATAAGAGGCGACAATTATCGGTACAAGAATGCGGATCGATCCCAGATAATGCTTGAACCGGTCCGTGAGTGGAGACACTATTGCTGACACTACGAGGCCCACAACAATCAAGATGGCACCTGCAATTCCGGCGTCTGTTTCGGAAAAGCCATAAGGCTCTAAGATCTGATTCAAAAGGGACGATACGCTGTTGAAAAAGCCAACGTAAACCGAGAATGGCACCAGGATGAGCCAGAATTCTAGTGTTCCAAGTAATTCCCTTGTGGCTGGGATTAAAGGCGTGCGGGGGGCTTCAGAAGAAGCAGTCGGTGGCGTCGGTGGGGCGGCAGGAAGGAAGAAGGATGGGATAGATGCAATAGTTGCCTACGGAGAGGGGGTTCTAAAGTGAGCCGAAGACTCTGGGAAAGAAGAGCCAGCATAGCTGACGCTGTATGGCCTCGATATACCACTCACAATGACAGAGATGTAGAGCACCATGTTCGGGATATCTGAGGGCTTGGTGACCCATTCTGAATCGACCAGCTGGCCCAATGCCGCACCGAGGGGATTAGCCAAACTAGCGACTGCTGTGGCACTGGTGCGGCCGCGATCTGTAAACCATAGATCACTATAGCGCGTGGGCGCGCATAGACAGAACGGCTGGGCCAGGCCGATCACGAACTGCCCGAACATCGCCAGACCGAAAATGCCCCCGTTTGCTCGAGTGCCCGCATATCGCAGCCAATTCCCGACCAGCAAAAGGGTTGCTGTGGTGATAATTGCAGGCTTGGGGCCTCCTTTATTCAACACCCAGATCACGAACCTAAGCGGGGTGAGCCCTGGCGCATTCGGGCGGAGGGGGGCAGGTCATTCCCAACTCACGGACTAGCGACACAGAAGGCGAACAGATAGCCAGTGCTTAACCAGTTGATCGCTCCTTCAGAGACCTCAAAGTAGTCTGCGGCGGTGCTGGAGATGGAGGAGAAGGTCAACCACTGTGTTGTTAGTTAGGGTGATCGCCGCATGCGGAGTTGGCCGACATACATCCCAGCTCACGACGATATTCAGCAGCACAAGCTGCGCGAGGCCCCAGAACCGTCGCTTGTACACCTTATACACAGGCCGGATGGTCGGCTCCTCTGACTTAGAAGTCATCATGACGAGGAGAAGCAACCAAAGTCTAGAGGAGGCAAAAGCAAACAAGGAGACCTTGGCGCAGTGAGGTGGTATTCCATATGCTTGGCGGGGAAGCCCCCCTCAGCTCAATGACACTCTGAGGGTCTGGGAATCCGGAAAGTCCCCTTGAGTAGTAGAACGTGAGTCCGTGAGTCCCTGAGGCAAGGATATGATACGCGATAGAGGCATCTCATCACACTGCAGATTTGGAAGCCGCTCAGTTGGGAAATTTAATGATCGGTGGTCTCGAACCCTTATACTTGCCAAGAATCAGATATGCGATACAATCGTCTAAAGGCAGTATCTCTGAGGGACACCCTAAGAGTCCTAGCATCCACACAGCTTCAAGATCAAGTTTCTGCCTCCTGCCATAGCACGCGATCGGATTCTCCAAGGCCGGCCGATTAGATGAGAACCTGAGAAGATTGGAAGTCCTTTTGACTACATCTCCATGAACATAATACTGGGCGCTTTTGAGTTCCTTCAAGTTCGCCGTAATGGCCTGAATAGATTCTATTTGTTCGTCCCTTGATGTCGTTTAAAATATATATCCCGAAAAAAAAAAAGACTTTCGCGAGCTATGTGCCGCCGTCTACTCAAAATATCCCCGATAAAGCCACGAAAGCTTCTCTTTAGCCTCGGGGCTCCAATTGGGCTGAGGAGTGCTGAATCCAAACTTGACAGAACCAGCCAGATGCTTGGCATTGATCAGATCGGCGTGTTCATCGCCGGCCAAGGCATCGAGAACAGCAGTAACAAACCGACGAGCGTTGTCGGCGTTGGCCTTCATATGGCCCATGACCATCTCCACCGACACATCCTCGGTCGATTCGTGCCAGCAATCGTAGTCTGTAGACATACAGATCATCTGATAAGCGATCTCAGCCTCGCGAGCCAGCTTGGCTTCGGGCAAGACGGACATGTTGATGACGCTGCCACCCCAGGCACGGTACATGTGGCTCTCGGCTCGGGTAGAGAATTGAGGCCCCTCTAAATATCCAAATAGGTCAGATGCCCGCACAATTCAAAAAAAAGAAAAAATCACGAGAGACGCAAATCTTTACCTATGCAGACAATAGTCCCACGATCGTGCAACGTAACCCCATCGCCTTCCAGGCTGTGGCCGCAGGCCCGCACAACCTTCGCAATTCCCTCGTCGAATGGATCACCAAAGGGAACATGGCCAACCACTCCACCCTCGAAGTAAGTCCATGGGCGAACGCCCTTGGTCCGGTCAATGACTTGATCCGGAACCACGAAATCGCGGGGCTTGATCTGCTCCTGCAGACTACCGACCGCCGAGAATGCAATGATGCTGCGGACTCCAATGGACCGCAAAGCCGCGATGTTCGCCCGAGCGGGAACCTCGTGGGGAGCGATCTGGTGGTGCAGGCCGTGACGGCTCAGAAAAGCCACAGCGACGACCTTGCCATTGTGTTTGCACTGATGGTGGAGAATGGTGATCGGGGACGAGGGTTCTCCCCAGGGGGTCTTCACAGACAGGGAAGCCACTTGCGTGAAGCCAGGGAGCTCACGCAAGCCGGTGCCTCCAATAACAGCGATTGAGACGGGGCCTGTCGTAACGGGCGGTTAGCTTAGGCTGAAATGGCAGGTTCGGATAAAGATTTGAGGTCATCCCACCATCGTAGGTAGTGGCGAGAGAGGCCATTCTGATGGCTAGCTGTCTTGGAGTCTCGATGCGACGGAAAGGTTTGGAAATCGAAGAAAGTCGACGCACGCTCAACAGACCCCGCATAGCTTGAAATTCACAGCTGCCCCACCACAATTGGCCCATCGCGCCCACGTGCAAACTGCCTAAGGCAACAAAGGCGTCATCGCGTTATCACGTTATCATAATTGATTTACACGCGAGGCCTTTGTGTAATTCCAAGTCTCGATGTTCAAGTGCTACAAAGACAAAACCCCCAGTAGTATGGGTCACCATGTCTGATAAAAGATCTAGAAGAGGTGGATTGCTGAATATACGACTTCAATCCCACGGGGAACACTAATCGGCATCTCCTCGCATTCACGATTCTATCAAGCCACTTTCCACTCATAGTGATGTGGCCCTTTCCTCACGGGCCCAGGATCCTCGCCCTCAATACCCGGCTTATTGTAGGAATGGGCGCCGAAATAGTCCATTTGAGCTTCCATGAACTTGGTCGGTAAAGTCAGCCCTCCCTCATACTTCAAATAATCTAGCGTGGCAGAGATTGCGGGCAGATACTGGTCAGACTGGGTGCCTTGAATCACGATGTCCTTTAGGGCATCAAAGTTGTTGTGCAGCTCACGCGAGACGCTGTCAATGAACTTCATGTTTGTCACCTTGTGCTTCGAGAGCGGCGGTTGCAACATATCGGCTATATAGTCAGATTTGATGATACAGCCAGCTCGCCAAATCCGAATACAGTCGGCCAGATTTATATTCCAGCCTTCATCCTCGGAGGCGCGGGCGATGAGCTCTAGTCCCTGACAGAAAGAAGACAAGAAAGCGCTGTACACCGCTCGACGCAACTTCTCCAAGATAACCTTGGTATCGCCGGTGTTTTGAAGCGGCTGGGGGGGTCGGCATCTGAAGCTTCCGAGAGGCTTGAACCCGTTCTTGTCGATTCCCGCTGGCAATGCGCAGGTAATGGGCTGCAGCCAGCGTTGGGCATGAAACGTGTCGGGCTGCAGACTCCATGAGAGACCAGAACGGCGTGCCCTCTGTACCATCGTCGTCCTGAACTACTTTATCGAGAACATCATCCAGAACGTAGCCGCCGTCTCCAACCCCTTCTCCTTTCCCATCTCCCTGGGGTGTTTTCTTCTTTCGGAGGAGATCAGCACCGATGTTGATCAAAAAGTTCCCTCGTAGCTCGCCAGAATTGCCCCATGCCGCAAAGACATCCCCGATCTGGTCATATCCCATCCCCAAGCCACAATGCATGTAAGACCAGGCTTCCGCAAGAGCGGACATCATGCCGCCTTCAATGCCATTATGGACCATCTTCACAAAATGACCGGATCCACCAGGTCCGATGCGGGTCACGCAGGGAGTGCCAGTCTCGGGATCCTTGGCCGCGTATCTCTCCAAGAATGGCATCACCAGCTTGAGAGCCTCCGCATCACCACCGGGTGAAAGACTTGGCCCCCGGCGGGCAGATTGATAGCCACCAGACACGCCCATGCCAATCCAGTGGACGCCGATGCTCTCGCACTCCCTCTGCCGTCGCTCAGTCCGGCGGTAATTCTCATTGCCGCCGTCCAGGATGATATCGCCCCGCTCCAGATCAGGCTTGATCAGCTTCAGAACGCTATCTGCCGGACCGCCGTGAGTGATGGAAAATATAAACAATTTTCGAACCCCGGACTTTCCCAAACTCTTGGTAAATTCCTCAATTTGGTAGAACCCCTCGATCTTTCCTTTGACATCTTGAGCACTTCGGGCCCAGTTGGTTACCTTATCAACATTTTTCTTGTCCACATCCCATAAGGAGACGTCGAGTCCCATTTCAGAGAAAGCAAAGGTCATCATTGAGCCCATACTTCCTGCCCCAACGACGCCAATCCGCTTGAAGTTCTCGACGGGATCAGAGGAAGGCATTTTGAGCTCGAGGGCGGGGACTTGCTGAGCTTTTTGAGTAGTTTCGGGTCGTTGAGTTAGGTCTGAAATATATGAATGTCAAATGTGCGAAGAGGAGCCATTGAAAAAGAGAAAAGGAAAGACACCATATTCATAGTTCAAGAGAAGTCAAGGTGGCAACTGGATTGCTGATCCGAGCCGTCATGGCGCTGTCAGCGGCGACTATGGAGTGCAATCCGTCCGTGTGGAGTCTTCTGGTGTCTCTTGCCTCTGTTCATTCAAGGAAGCCAATAACCTCAATGGGAACTGGAAAGCATGGGAGGCCATTTGTAATGTTGCCATTTGCCAACTATGCAAGAGTGACCTCAGTTGCCCTAATGCCCACCCTGGTCCTTGGGCCACCGCTCTGTCACCATAGCATATTTGGTCCATACGAGATATGCTTATCTTTTTGTGTTGCGTGCCCCCTGGAGGTCACTCTCGTTGCGTCTGCTTGTCTTGCAGTTGGGATGCAATGTACTTGTACGCGTATAGTTTGTTTTGTAAAAGTTTTGCCTCGATGCAGTAAATTTATTTTCCACGGACAATAGACTCATCCGTCAAAACCTTGTAAATTACTGCGCTTCTATACTTCCTAGACTCTTCGCCTTCGAATAACTTCGCTGTGTCTGGCGGCAGAACAATCGCTGGGAATGTTTCCGCCCCCAAAGGTCGAAGGTGTACTTCGTCCCCTCCAATTCAATCTCACCCCCAACCCACGCTACCATGTCCGACTTTACCAGTCTAACTGGGAAGTTTCGTATCCAGAAAGAAAAATCAACCAAAGCCACTAAAACCACCAGACGGCATCGAGAAGCAGTAGCTTGCAGTCGGTGTCGCGCAAATAAGCTGCGTTGCGATCGGCAGCACCCATGCAGATCTTGCGTTCAGAAAGATGAAGCCCCTCTCTGTTCTTTCCAACGCGCTTTGCCGACGGCGAAAGACGCCGCGACTGCGAAAGATCGTTTGGCTCATTTGGAGTCACTCGTCAAGGAGCTGATGCAGAGTGAGCCAAGCGAGGACTCATCTCCGGGGAATGATGCGCTGGCAGATCCTAGACTCCCAGATCAGAACCCAATTGGAACCTTAGGAAAAGCGGCCTATGTTGGGTCGACGCACTGGTGTGCGATTCTGGACGATATCCATGAGCTGAAAGTGGCCCTGGGCCGCCACGAGGAACCACGCGAGACCCCAGACGGGCACAACGCCTAGAAAGTCCGCCCGTTCGGAAACAATCATCTTTGGAGCCGCCGAGAACTACCCACTAGATCAGATAATCTCCCAACATCTCCCTCCGCAGCGAGAAGTCGACCGTATGCTTGCGATTTTCTTCCGGGGAGAAAGCTTTATAGTTCCATTTGTCCATATCGGTCAGTTCCGACGCGACTATCGTGCCTTCTGGGCCGACCCAACGGCCGTGAATCCTCTATGGCTTTCCATGCTTTTTTCCATTTGCTCAGTCGCTACTATCATTGCAAGCACGATTGGTCCTCCACAGGCCTCGCGGGAAGAGACCATCGATAAAGCGGCCAAGTTCCATGTAGCGGCGGGGCAAAGCTTGGTTGCCGGCGAGTATCATCGTCCGCAGCCTTTAGTGCTAGAAGCCTTAGCCATGTACGCACAAGGCAAAAGCATGCGCAGTCTTGACCCTTCTCGAGAAGCTGGGGCCATCTTTTCGATGATCGTACGTATGGCTTATGAGATGGGCTACCATCGAGATCCAGACAAACTCGGTAACTTCACCCCGTTTGAGGGTGAGATGCGTCGACGCCTTTGGGCCATGATGAAGCAGGTCGACCTAATGACTTCGTTCCAACTCGGCCTCCCCAGTAACATTCGGTTTGAGAACTGTGACACTAAAGCGCCGCGGAACCTGACAGACTACGATTTCGATGTGGATACTAAGATATTGCCTGAATCTCGACCGGAGGAAGAGCCTGTCAACCTGCTGTGGTTCATAGTGAAAGACCGTCAGATGGACAGTTTCATGAAGGTATGCCAAGAGGCCTTGAGCTTCCATGAGAAATCAGAGGCGGAGGTTCTCAAGCTTGATGCGGAGATCCGGCACATGCAAACCACCATCCCTCCAATGCTTCGTGCCCGGCCTATTGCCGACTCGTCTGGCGACTCGCCGTTCCTCATTATGGTCCGTATATACGTCGAGTTTATCTATCTTAAGAGCCTGTGTGTTCTCCATCGACGCTACATGGGCTGCGGCAGAGTTTTCAGCACGCAGTCTTGTATTGAGGCCGGGCGTCGACTCGTGAGCCAATTTGTTGAAATTCATCAGGAGTTTCAGCCCGGAGGCCAGTTGCACCAAGCACGGTGGATGCTCACCAATTTCACTATGAATGATTTCCTGATGGGAGTGATGGTGCTCTGTCAGATTGTCAATATCTGGCGCAGCAAGGGTCGTCACTCTGCTGTTGATCCAGGCACCGAGGGCGCTACGTTAACGCTGTTGAAACAAGCCCTGGCTATCTGTGTAGAGAAGTCCCCCGCTAGTCGCGATGCACGATACGTGGCGCGTGCAATAAAAGTCATCTTGGACGGCCCTGTTGGTCCAGCCAGGAATGAATCTTCGCTATTTGTACTGGGCGAGGAAGGCGAGGACGTTGGGACTTCTCTTGGATGGCTGGACAATTTCCACGGAGAGATGGACTGGCATCTTCTGGACTCGCTCGCCTTAGATTGATAAGCCCGATGTCACATAAAGTCGTGGTGGATTCCTGCCGTATCATTGGCGGATGAAATGGCGGTGGCAGATTACATCATGTGTTTCTCACATGCTGAAGCAATTGCGCGTCTCGTGTCTGCCCTGACAGTTCATCTCTTGGTAAGATGCAGCCTTGATCCTCCCCCTTACAGCACGCGCCCCTTCCACCATTCTTATTACGACAGCGTTCAAGTTGGCTCGTGCTCAAGCTCTGTCGCGGGCCTGCAAGACCGCCATGGCGGGCGCGGACCAAAAGTCCTTCCTGGGGGCTTTCTCCCCATGGGCCACTCCGAGAAGCTCGACTCCGCGACCGGAGAGCCAGACGAAGCCGGAAGCATTGCAGCGATCTACAGGAGAAGACCACACCGTGACCCACCGACACCGAGTGAACCAGCGCCTCTACCCCGCCGACTGCCCTCCGTTGAAGGTTAGATGGTTCTACGCTGTCGATGCGCCCAAACGCAAGCCTGCCTTGCTCGACACCGAAAAGAAGGCCGAGCAGAAGCCCTTACCCAAGCCGAAGAAATTTGTACCTTTCTCCGTGAAGGATTCTCTTTCAATCGAATCGACCTTCCAGCAGCTATCGGATTTCGAAGAGGCTAGCAAGAGCTCCCAACCTTCCCAAACGTCTCAACAATCACCAACAAAAAATGTCCCTGTGAATGAAGATTACCTCTTTGATGTCAACATTGAAGCTCGGGAATTGAGCCCTGCTTACTGGGTCGGCCCCGTGTACGAGGTTCGCCGCGGGACGTGGTTCTTCCAAGAAGGATCGGCACTGAGACCCTGCGAGGAGAATCTTGCAACACAGCTAGAAGAAGGTTATTTGAAATTACGGCCGTGGAGGACAGAAGCGTCGGAAGGTAGTGCAATCGACACGAGCCTCCAAGACGGACAAAAAGAGAAACCCGCGACAGCAAACCAGCAGTCTAGCGCCGGCGTGGCCAAACAAGCAGACACCTCGAAGACTTCTGCCGCAGAAGCTGGAAATGATCCCGCGGTGTCCTCCTCCCCCTCAAAGAATACCGTTTATTCGGGGCGTACATGAACCAAGTGGTTGTCTTTAAGGATGCAACGACAGCCTGGATAAATACTGACGATTTCGTGTCACGCGTAAGCACCACTGTCTTTCAGAAACTAGGTCGTGCGCCAGGTACCAAAGTCGTACGAGGCCTCCTTGACCTCCGCAAAGGCAAAGAATCTTCTGAAAATCGTGGGTCTGAACGGAGACCAACGGAAAGCGCTTCGAACACTGCCAACCCCAGCCCGCCCACCGGTGAGATGGAACAAAAAGTCTTGGTCCCCGGGTCTTCTCCTTCATTAGAGAAGACCATATCTACCACCGACCCAACCCCGAGACGGCCCAAGTCTACGCTTGAGCGGCAAATGTCTTCCCTTGCCGGAGAGCCTCAAAATTCGGCTGAGCTCGAGGAAGAAGCTCGTCAGCAAGAAGAGAAGGAGATGGAAGATTCGCGGGAAGTGGAGAACGAAGATCGGGAACGGGATATTGATCACCTTGTCCTTGTGACCCATGGCATTGGACAGCGACTTGGATTACGTTTGGAGAGTATTAACTTCATACACGACGTCAATGTGCTTCGAAAGACGCTGAAGACTGTCTACAAAGCTTCTCCTGACCTCCAAGCCCTAAACTCCGCCTTTGCGGACAGCAAGGACAACTGCCGCGTCCAAGTTCTTCCCGTGTAAGTTGATACTATATCCGCCTGCAAGTCTTGAAAAGCTCAGAATACTAATTGCGACGTAGCTGCTGGCGCCATCTGCTAGATTTTCCCTACCGCGGGGTCCGGCAGAACCGGAAGGAGCTGGACTTGACCGATGCTGATTCACTGGAAGACGACGCATATCCCAGCCTTGCTGACATTACCCTGGAGAGTGTACCCGCTGTTCGCAACCTCATCTCAGATCTGGCAATGGATGTCTTGCTTTATCAGAGCGGGTATTGCGACCATATCTCGAATATTGTGAAGCAAGAATGCAACCGGATTCTTCAGCTTTACAAGGAACGAAATCCTTCTTTTCATGGGACCGTGAGCCTTGTCGGCCATTCTCTCGGCAGTGCAATCCTTTTCGATATCTTGTGCCACCAGCCAGATATGTCTTCCATAAATGAAGAACAGAAACTCGCGGCGGATGGGAGTGATGACATGAAATCGCACCGAAGACGAACAAATGCCTTGAATTTCGAGTGCGAAGAGTTCTTCTGCCTGGGGTCTCCCCTCGCGCTATTTCAAATGTTGAAAGGCAAGACCGTTGCCGGTTACTCCCCCGTTGGTGGAACCGCACGAGACCGTAAAAATACCCTCGACTCCGAGCTCAAGTCTTTTGGATCTATGAAGCACTCCAAGAAGCCCTCACACAGTAACACCGATTTTACGAACAATTCTGCCCTTATTTCTGCCCCGAAGTGCCGCGATATCTACAATATCTTTCATCCTTCTGACCCAGTGAGCTACCGCCTAGAGCCCCTTATTTCACCAGCAATGGCCACTCTCAAGCCCCAATCTCTCCCATCGGTTAAAAAGAGCCTATGGACTGCATCTGGCCAGAGCCTCTCCATCCTTCGAGATCGCATGGGACAGAGCGTCGGCTCCCTTTGGACTAACATCACCTCCGGAGTCGCAAGCAGCTTGCTTAACCGGCACTTGGGACTCACTGCCGAGGACGCCTCTGCTGCCGCCAAAGCCAACCAGGCCACAGGCCACAAACGAACCCAGTCTGGCTCTCCCAGAGAAGCATCGCAAGAGGACGAGCACTTCCATATTTTGATTGATCCGGATATCGAGACACTCTATGATGGGTTTCAAAGAGGGCGAGCTGAGGCCAAAGAAGGACAGGATGTCAGCTCAGAGCAGGCTGCATCAGGGAACCCCCCCCGAAGAGCAAGATCGGAAGATGAAGTTCGAAGATGCGAAAGTCCGCGCCTTGAATGCAAACGGCCGAGTCGACTATAGCATCCAGGAGGGAGCTTTTGATATCTCGCTGATTGCTAGCATTGCGAGTCATCTGACCTACTGGGGCGATGAAGATGTGAACCACTTCATGTTGTCTCAGATGCTCTCGAGAAAGTCGCGACATCGGGTGCGCGCGTAGAATCGTGAATAGAATGAGACCCGAAAAAGGATAGCGCGGGTCGCTTCCGTCAAACATCCTCTTTGGGACTAGCGCATGGGTTAAGCCCGCTTTTCCCTTTTCTCTTAAAAAACCAAACTTCGTAAGCTCTCCCCTTTCCTGTCCTTCTCACATCCCCCCTTTTGCTTCTCAGTTATCCGGTTGCCCAAGATGAACGCCGAGCTCCAGCAGGTCCATAAAGTATGGGAGCGCACTCGTACCAACAGCCCGATCTATGAATTTCTTCTTAATGAGGTGGAGATTTATGAAGCGGAGAGGGGGTTGGTACGAGCTCGACTCCAACTGGGCCCTCGCCAGCTTAATTCCAAGGGCTCAGTGCATGGGGCATTCTCTGCGACCGTCACTGATTGGGCGGGCGGCATGGCGATTGCCACTCATGGACTCGACTCGACCGGCGTGAGCACTGACATCCACGTAACATACCTGTCGATGGCGATTGCGGGCGACTGGATTGAGATCGAAAGCCGGGCCAGTAAGGTTGGCAAATCGTTGGCGTTCACCACGGTGACGATCTCCAAACGAACGGAGGAGGGCCTGACGATCGTCGCCCAGGGGACGCACACCAAGTACGTGCGGACTCGATCATCATAGTCCTTCATCCTATTAGATTAGAATACCGCAATCTTCTTTGCATCTGGCATGATCTACATGTACTTTGAATGTCTGGATTCACTCGGATAGCGGAGAGCAACCTCCATTCTGATATAGCTTTAGATGCCTGGCTGCGTCGCATCGACCGCGAGGTAATGATGGATGGATACATACCTGATGAAATACAAGTTCATACCTTATGTTATATATCTTTTTTCTCTTATCTCAATGCTCTTTTTCCCTTGCATCGATAAGCTCGTGATGTGACCTCGGGATGGGTCCGTAGAATGTCGTAAGTAGAATGTCGTAAGCCTCTCGGTTCCATTGCCCAATCCAGTCCCCGCGAGATTTACCCCTCTCAGAAGTAGGCTTCTGCGCTCGAGATTTGGAATTCGAAAAGGTTTCTCCAAATTCAATCCACGTTCCAGTTGGATCCAATCCCGTGAAGAGTCTTATTATGTCTACCACGCATGAAGAAGAGCCCCTCCTGCGCTCGGCGCAAAGCACTTGGAGACCCCCGCCAGGGTTCCTTTGGATACAATTGGGTATGTCAAGCATCTCGTCACAAAAGCCAGTGCCTAACAGAAATAGCCATCATGTCAAACGTGTTCCTGTCTGGGTTTGATGGGACAATCACTGCGTCGACGTATGCGGTCATCAGCTCCGAATTCAATGCTGCCAACACGGCATCGTGGCTCACGACCTCATATCTGATCACGAGTACTGCCTTCCAGCCGCTATATGGTCGCTTCTCGGATATCCTCGGCCGGCGCACGTGTTTCTTCACGGCCACAATCTCATTTATCGTTGGGTGCGTAGGCTGTACCGTCGCAAAGGATGTCGTCTTCCTGAATATCATGCGTGCGGTCACCGGAATCGGCGGGGGTGGCTTGATGACAATGGGTAAGTCGAGATGAACTCCGCCTAGAGACGGCCAATGACCTGCAGATTGCTAACAGCATGCGCTCAGCGACTGTGATCAACTCCGACCTCATTCCATTTCGCAATCGCGGCATGTACCAGGCCGTACAAAATGTCGCCTACGGCTTTGGCGCTATTTGCGGTGCCTCTTTCGGAGGTGCTATTGTAGATACTATCGGATGGCGCTGGTGCTTTTTCTTGCAAGCACCAGTCTCCTTGAGTGCATTGGTTTTAGGCTACTTTGTCTTGAAGTTCCCTGCGAAAGATGCCCAGGCCACGACCGAGCCGCGAGGCATTTGGCACCGGATTGACCTTCTTGGCGCCTGCCTGCTAGTGCTGGCTCTATCAAGCCAATTGGTGGGCCTCAGCCTGGGTGGCAACGAGCTTCCATGGACGAGCATCTGGGTGATCTTATCTTTGCTCGCCAGCATCGTGTTCTTGGCTTGCTTCATCATCGTCGAAGCTAAAACGAAGGCAGCTCCCCTGATCCCGTTGAAAATGCTATCTGGCGTACTCCCAGTATCAACTCAAATTGCCAATGTCTGTGTAGGCATGGCTTCATATGCGGTATGGCGCCCCATCATGACATCTTACCTGCGTTCACACTGGCTGATCACATAAAGTTCCTCTTCACCTTGCCCTTGCTCTTTCAAGTGATTCTGCTTGATAGTCCAACCAAAGCCGGCGCCCGACTGGTGATTCCTTCCCTGGCGACTCCACTGGGAGGTCTCATCGCAGGCATTGTCATGTCACGCTGGGGTAAACTGGCCCACCTTGTTCGGGTTGGCGCTGCTCTTATGTTCATTGGAAACCTCCTGGTTGCTCTCCTCCGTTTCCATGATGACAATTGGAAATACTTCGCTTTCATTTTCCCTGCCAATCTTGGCCAGGGAATCGTATACCCCGGTATCCTGTTCACCTTCCTCGCTGCGTTTGACCATGACGGTATGTCTTCTTCACCGCGTTCTTACGATATCTCAACTGATCTTTTGGAATGTGCCAGACCATGCTGTCTCCGCTTCCACCGTCTACCTCATTCGTTCTCTTGGCACGGTTTGGGAGTGGCAGTAACTTCCGCTATCATCCAAAATACACTGAGTTCAGGCCTTGACGAGGCCTTGAGTGAAGTACCAGATAAATGGAAAGTACAACCACTCCAGAAGAAAAGAAAGGCATGGCAAATTTTCGTGTTGAATCAAATGCTAATCAGGTTTTCTCCCCTTAGTTGATTGACGAGATTCGGCACTCAGTCTCCGCAATCCGTACCCTGCCCCCAGATGTCCAGATCGCCGTTCGTCTCGTTTACTACCGAGGCATCAGGCTTTGCTTCGCCACATCCGCTGGATTTGGGCTCATTGCGACATTCGCAGCTCTTTTTACTGGTGGCAAAGGGTTGGAACGTTCCGCCGAGCCCTAGTTACCCAGGGCGCCCCCCCTAATGCCATTGTAGAAGCAATTCCTGCGTTGAGATGGAATTGCATGATCTATTTGATCGGTAAGTTGGGTGCTACTCGGTATTCTGAACTGCAATCGCTGCTCTCCTGTGCTGTCTCTTGAGTGAGATGGAGGAGCCGATCAAGCTCTATGGGAAGTGGCAAATACTGCATTCTCTTGAATAACGCTGTTCAAATTCGCTTGTTGGGACTATTGCTGCATTCAGTCTGCTTCTCCTTTGGTGCTATAAGGCGAAAGATATATTATATAGATTGGTACCGCAACTGGCAGCGCATGGTGCTACTTGCCATGTGAAGCTGGTTGGATAGAGTCTGGCTTCGTTCTTTTGATAGTTTTCCAGATCCTTGAATCCTCTTCCTCCTGAGAACCCTCATATTCTACTTTCTAAACAAGCCCTAGGCTCAATCTGGACCATAGACGTATTCTTTGTGTCACGGCGCGAGACTCGTGGTATTATCTGGTGCAACACTTTACGTCTTTCAGCTGAAAGTCCCAGGATGAACCTATCATTCGCCCTTCGAAGTTTTTAGAAAGCCATCGAAATACTTAGTTGCCTTCTCAATGTCCTCGAACTCGCCCACCCAACCGATGTACTGATCGGGGCGAACAATGAAAACAGCGCCACGTTTTCGGTCAACTCCCCATTTCTCATATGCCCTGCCATCGCAGTCGCGGTCCCAGCTGCAAGAATCATCGCACCAGATTTTGCCATAACTCCATCCAAACACAGGATCTAAGGGCCGGAGGGCCTCTGGAAAGTGGAAGAATTCTGTGTCTGGCCAGGGGGCACTATGGACGGTCAAAACATCCACGAGTGATTTGGAGCGTCCCCTTATCGAGCTATATCTGGTCAAGAGCGAGCTATTCGGTGGCTCGGAGCGGGATAGGAATGCACTCAAGGTTTCAAGGCGCTGTTTCTGTGCTACCTCGCGAACATCACCGGCCAACACAACGAGCTTGAACTGGCCATTACTCTCGAAGAGCCGTGTTGTCCAGACGTTGTTTCCCTCCGCCTGCATGCGAAGTTTGACTGGGGGTACTCTCTCTCCAGGGATCAAGTTGCATGTGGTGAGATTCACCCCTCCGCTTTGTTTACAGACCAGAGGGCTTTCGCCGTAGAAAGCTTTGATGCCGTCTGCAAAATCCTGGAACTGCTCCACGACCTGCATCATGCTTTCTGTCTTCCCTTGGGCACCTCTGGCAGCGGGCTTATTCTCTTGAGTAAACATGCCTGCCCAGAGTTTGTCAAATTCAAGCAACAACTCTGCGAGACGATGCCGTTCTTCGTGATAAGTCTGGAGGATACAAGGATCCGCGGCCCCGGAAACCACCAGAGCCACCTTCCACCCAATATTGAACCCATCCTGCATGCTCATGTTCATCCCGAGTCCCACTTTAGGCGAATGCGTGTGTACGGCGTCGCCCGCGATGAACGCCCGGTTCCACCGCGAAAAGCTCGGGGCGATTCGTCGGCCAATCTGGTATGCGGTCCACCAGTCGAGGATCTGATAGTCGAATTTGTAAGGGGCCAGAATCGCCTGGACGCGTGCTTTGATCGCTTCGGGAGTGATCTTCGACCGGTCGAACCGCCCATTCTCTTCGTCCATGATCTGAACTGGAACGTACAGACGCACGAGTTGTTTTTCGCGTGGGATGACGAGAATCGTGCCATGCGGACTCGTGACTGTGCAAAGACGTCGAATGTCCGCTATATTCCTGTTAGCTGTTACGCGCGGGTGCTCCACTCCGATCTACTTACGGAAGTCCGTGATGGGTATCGTGTCTATAACGCCCCTTCAGAAGGATATGAGTTTTACCTGGACTAAAAGACCGGCTTGGGGTTAATTTCAACATACCACACATGCTCGGTGCTCTCCCCTTCAAACGGGATATTTAATTGTCCCCTTGTCCAGCTATGAGCGCCATCGCAGCCAATGATATACTTCGCCCTAACAGTCTCATTTGGCACATGCGCTTTCTGGTTCTGTTCAGCGAGATTGTTGTGATCTTCGGGGGGCACGTTACTTTGATCAAAACCGCTTGGCTTCGTCGAATGGCTGGCTTGCGAGCCCTGGCCTTTTTCTTGCGGATCATCAAGGATTCTCCGGAGCTGCACCGTGATAGGGTAAGCATTGGGGTCTTCGCCGGGGGTCTCGTCGTAGTGGAACGATTCTGCTATAACCCCACGCTCCACCTCGATATCCGAATGCTCCCGTATACTGTCCAGGATGAAGTCCTCGATACGTGCCTGGCTCAATAGCATATGGTGGAAAGGAGAATGATGCGCTTGACCCGGAGTAATGGGGCCCTGTCGCATCAATTGTCCCTTCTCCCCAGGAACCTGCCCTTGTGCAGCCCTTGTCAGTAGGGGCGTTTGGCCTTTACGGAGGGTCACGAACCCAGAAGTTCACATCTACCGCAGATTGGGCCTCGTGGTCGACACGGTGCTGGATCCCCATACTATCAAAAAGCTCCAGAGTTCGCATGCGCAAGCCGTCCGCATGGCCCGTGAATACTTTCGTGGGCCGTTTGTCAACTATCCGAGCTCTTATACCGTAGCGCGCCATCCAGTAGGCGGCCATTAGCCCAGATGGGCCAGCGCCCACGATCAACCTGGTAGATGATATTTCAGAAACGCCATAATATTGGTTCAGAAGGGGAACGTCTTACACATCCGTGTGGGACTCGGCGTCTACGGCGGGACACGCTTCACACATCGTGATTATCGAGACAGGGAGGGATGACAAGCGGCTGGTATATTCGAGACGTATGATACCTCTGAATCTCCCTTGCTGGACTCAACGTACTACTAGGCGTCGAATGGGCATGCGTGAGTTTGACCCCGAAGACGCACCAAGCTTATCTACTACCAGACCTTATAGGGCTCGTAGTTATAAAATCGTGCGGGGCACTACAGCCACCCGGGCTACTCCGATATATTGACTAAGCGGATGTACTAAAACCGACAATGTTCTTTGAATCCTCGCGGAATATCATAATACCAGTACTTTTTATCCGGGATTCTCATGCACGACCAAGGTCTAACACGACATGGATAGGTTGAAAAGACCACGATCTTCAACCCCAGGATGACAGTGCTGAAATGTATGGGTGGTCAGCTGATGAGCAGTTCGCGCTAGGATTTCTCCTAGGAGGCTTGCGCTCACAATGTACGAGTAGTAGCTCACGACCGCCCGCTCTGGGTAGCGTTGTGGATGGTAGGACGAGGATACCTGCTGTGAGATCCTGACGCCCTGTCGTGATGCCCTGGAGTGGGAGAATTTTTTGCGACGAGAGTTTCAGAATTCCATGTTACCCAAGCCAGCAACACTTCAATCTTAGTCAAATGGCTGACATGGAAAGTGGTGGTTACATGCCCCCTTCGGTCGGGAACCAGAGCGGAATCTGTCCCTTAGGGTTGAATGTTGTTCTGGATGCCAGCAACCTCTGGGCGTTGAATCCAGCTAGGCGCTGGCACAGAGGAACTCTGGTCCACATAGCTACATTACTTGCACAGTGTCTTCTACCCCAGGCAACATCGATGGATCCCTGGACGAGTCAACTCTGACCGAGGATAATCCAGCTGTCGGTCGTAGCGAGACGTGTGTAGACATAAAATACGCGAGTGGAGACGCACTGCAGCCAATCAATTCGGGAAGGCGTCGACCGAGGTTGCTCGCCATGACGGTATCGTATCGCCTGGCGCTGATGATCAACGGCACTTCAGCTCGGCTGGGGTCTGCAATGGAGCCGCGGCTGCTTTTTCATGAAAGCGATGTGGAGGGCTTTAAATGCAGACGCGTTCCACGAGCAAGACCCCATACAAGATGTCATCTGCACAGGAACGACTTTCGGCGGTCGCCAACCAGTTGTCGGCGTCCCCGCGGCAACAATTGCTAGCGAAGAACCCGGATGATGTGGTCAGTTAGAGAATCTTCGCTTGAGGTCGCACGTTCACTGATGTGGTACGCTGTAGGTCATCACCTACTTGGCCCGGACGCCGCTCACCAAGGCCCGAAAGGGGGGTCTGAAGGATACAACCCTGGACGACCTGTTGATTTCGCTGTTGTCGGTGAGTAGCGAGACACAGAGATCGAGTCCGTAATGCAGTCCGCTCATGATAGTAGACCGTCCGAGAAAAGTCCCAGATTGATCCCAACTTGGTGGAAGACGTTTGCGTTGGCAATGTGCTGGCTCCTGGCGCAGCGTATGTCGCGCGCTCGGCGGTTTTGGCTGCTGGCTTTCCAGCCACCGCAGCAGCATCTATTGCGAACCGGTTCTGCTCATCCGGCCTGCTCGCAATCCAGAATATCGCAAATCAGATCATGGCCGGGTCGATTGATGTTGGTATCGCAGTAGGAGCGGAGAGCATGAGCACGAATGCAGACGGCGGTGCGCCCGAGATGTCGCAGCGCATCACCTCCCACCCGCTCGCGTCGCAGAACTCGCAGCCCATGGGGCAGACCTCGGAGAATGTCGCGGCTCAGTTCAACATCTCGCGAGAACAACATGACCGCTTCGCAGCGGCGAGTTACCAAAAGGCTGAGCGGGCACAGAAGGCAGGCTGGTTCAACGAGGAGATCGTACCGGTTAAGACTCACATCAAGGATCCCAAGACTGGGGAGGTCAAGGAAATTGTCGTCGATGGCGATGATGGAATCCGCTATGGCACTACCGCTGAAGGGTTGGGTAAAATCCGCGCGGCATTCCCTCAATGGCAGCCCAGCGCGACTACCGGGGGCAATGCGAGCCAGATCACCGACGGCGCCGCTGCATTGGTGCTGATGAAGCGATCCAAGGCTTTGGAGCTTGGGCAGCCTATTGTAGCCAAGTTCTGCGGAGCTACCGTGGCTGGGCTGGAACCACGCATCATGGGCATTGGTCCCTCTATTGCAATCCCCAAGATTCTGAACAAATTTCGATTGTCCAAGGAAGACGTGGATATTTTTGAGATCAATGAAGCCTTTGCCTCCATGGTGTGTCCAACGGGTGTCTCTGCCAAATGAGTTGCTTCTAATGTTTCCCAGGGTGTTTACTGCGTCGGGAAGTTGGGCCTCGACGAGGCTAAGGTGAACCCTCGAGGTGGAGCTATGTAAGATTACCGGGCTGGAAGATTACTGTGCTCTGTTGACTAACATTTGATAGCGCCTTTGGCCATCCTTTGGGTGCGACTGGTGCACGCCAAGTGGTCACTGCTCTCGCGGAACTGCGCCGACAAGATAAACGTGTCGCGGTGACGTCGATGTGTGTTGGGACAGTAAGTTGGCCATCAACTCCTCGTTGCCATCTAGCACTAATCAAGTCTCCTAGGGCATGGGCATGGCGGGTATCTTTGTATCGGAGCATTGATGCTTGAGGGATTGTCTGTAGGCAGTCGCGTGGGGCAGTCCATGACTCCCTGGCAGGTGTATGTCTATTAGTAGCCTCGCCTCGCCTGCTACTAGAACTAGAGATACTGATCCGTGCTACTGGCCAAGTCAGCTTGAGCAAGGTACCTTGGGGGTGATTTTCTCATGTTGGGAAGTTGATGTCCAGGATTGAAATGTCATAGTTGGCGACGTCAATATATACAAATGCGACATGGGCGTGTCCTACTAGGGGAAATGACCCGCACTGTTAGAAGACTAAGGACAATACGGATTATTTCATCTCAAAAGGAACGCGACCGATGATTGATATTATCCGTACTTTTAGACTCCAAAGCAAACCTTATTAGCTGACCGAACAGCCTTCTTTTCGCCTTCTGTCATGGCCTCGTTGATTTCCCAGGGTTGGCTGCCCAGTCCCATTGCCCGCTGTCCTTCAACATTTAGCGAACTCCAGTCAAGGGCACCGTGGAAGCCCTTTTCTCCAGGGCCACCGGCACCGGGGAAATCCCAAGGCGGGGAATAGTCAAGTGCTGCCTTGCGCTGCTTGAGGAGATAATCAACATTCATCTCGCACAGCGGTGTAGCGGGGATGTAGAGGACACTCGAATCTCCGGCACCACGGTGTTCCCTGTCGACCGAGTGCAATGAGTCGCAGTGCCATGCAACAAAATCGCCGGGCTCCACCTGTGGCACCGAAACCATTGTGTCCTCCAGCTCCAGGTGGGGATGTGTCACGGGGTTGTACTCCTGGCACGCACCGGGAACGGAACCCGGGAAGGTGGCATCGAGATTAGGCTTGCCAGTTTCGACCTCAAAGAATGGACGGAGGATGGTGTATGCAGTGCTGTGCACGACCATGGGGCACACGTGAAGCGACCCTTCCCCGGGAGCAGTATCCGACATGGAGAGCCAACCCTGAAAGAACCGCAGCATGGAGCATGCACCGGCTCCGTTGTACAGGTCCATCTTAGCTCCGAGGCGATGCGTCACATCCCAAGGGTCGTACTGCTCCCACTGGCCTTGCAAGATCTTGGTATAAACACTTGCGTACTCCGGGTCTTCCCATCGCTCAAGCGACCCGCCATCCACATGCGGGCCGAGAGTGAATTTGGCATCGCCGGGATTCCTGATTCGCAGTCGATCGGCATATGTGAGCGGATTTTGCGTGGACACTTGCGCGTTCGGGTCGGACGAATGCCATAAGCGCTGCAGGAAACGTTGCGCATCGAGAACATTGCTGTGCGCACGGGCTTCTGCTTGGGACGGGCTCCAATAGAGCTCATACACCGCAGGGGAGTCGGGTGGGAAGGCCTTGACGTGCTCCTTGTTAGCGGCAATGTATTCTCGAATACGCTGCTTGTAACCCAAAGCTGTGTCCCGAGGCAACACGTTTCGAATCACCACACTCCCTCGATGGTGGATCTCTTTGATGGTAGAGTCAGGAACGTTTCCGGCTAACACATCAGAGTAATTTATGGAAGGAATTATCTGGCGTCCATGTTAGCGAGCGTCATCTCACGGTAGCACAGGCCGAGAGTTTCATACATCGCTGCCTTTGGACTTGATCTTGTCCACTTCCTCCTGCAGACTAGGTAAGAGCCTCTCCCAGCTTTTCGTGATCACCTCTTCATTCCCTCTGAAGTATTTCAGTTTGAGGTCGCGGAATCGCGATGGAAGAGGCTCTGGCTTGTAGTCTGGTCGTAGACTCGGGAAGACAGACGAAATGTCTCCCGCTGCTTTGGTCGTCTGGGCTAAGGTTGACGCAGCACGGATTGAAGATTTCGAAAGAAGCCTTGATATCGACATGGTAATATGCAGGATCTACTTCTAGGGAGTATAACCCGTTCCTGATGCAACATATGAAAGGAAGGGGCCTGTCCTTCGGGCGTTTTATATACTTCGCGGGGCATACTACTAATAAGGCGGGTAGATCACCGAAAGAAGTAACCATCCCGCTTGGCGATGCGGAAGCTTACTTGATCTGGATAGAAGCCGCCAGTGGCGAACCTGCCAGCGGAGACATCGGCTCAGATTCGAGTTTTATACAGTATACGCAGCGTATATCAGGAACCTACCGGTCCAAATTCATTCCTGCGTAGAGGTGGGTTCGCAATTACGACATTGAAAGGTCAAAGACGCATGTTGTCACTGACAAATGTAGAGAAGAACTGCCATCTACACATACACACACATATATATAAGTACATTTGTTATACACAGCTATGCCATAAGCTAGGAGAAACTCTTTCGCCGGAATGCCAAGTAAGACTTCCAAGGGAGTCTCCAATCTGAGCGGAGCAGTTCAGGTCGGAAGACATCGAAGTCGTATTGTTGCAACCGGTCCAGCCACAGCCGAGTGCTAATGGCGGGCATAAAAACGCCAAAAGCGCGATTGACTTCGTCGAGGGGGGGATTCCCGGGAAACATACGAGTCGTACTCATGGCCTTCTTCTCCGGCATGTTCAAAGTCATGACCAACATCCTTGCCAGCACGAAGATTGGTCAGCATTTGTTCCACGGTGATCAGATGGTCGCTCGCGCGGGTCGCGACGGTGAAAACGGCATCGCGGAGACCTTCAGCATCAGCACCGTACCGGAGAACGTCTTCTTCCTTGACACCGGCTTGAGCCATGACGTCTAACGGCAACATGACTGCTCCTTGTCTTGCGCCACCGCTGAGCCCGAGGCTGGCCGCAGCGCCGCCATGGGGGCTTTGGGGCGTCGGTGGTGGAAATGCAACCAGGGGCAGTCCTCGTAAGACGGCCGCGATCCCCACTGCTTTTCCAATATGCGATGCTACGTGGTCCGCTGTCACCGAAGTCATCGGGAGTGCCGCTAGCGTGAGGTACATGAGGGTGGAGTAGGTGTTTTCCGCGTAGGATTCAAGGTCCGCGATGCTCGAATAGGGATCATTTGTGAGGGTCTGCTCGCGTGCACTGATGAGGCGTGTGAGCCAGCTTCGGCTGATACGAGCGTGGCCCTCGGTGCGCTCGTGGAGATCGGAAATGGCCGATGCCAGTAAAATGGCGACCGGCTCTTTTGGCGGCGAGCCAGCCAGGATCTTTGCGACTGCATCACGCCAGAATTGCAGTCGCATAAGACCAATCGTGTGCGACGAGGTTGTTTCGGGAATGAGAGCGAGGGAAACGTTCAAGGCGCGGAGGGCTAGATAGAAGGAGCGCGCATGGGGTGGAATGAAGCTGCTGAGCGTGTAGGACGGTCGGTCATATTTGCTAGGGTCGACGACGTTAGTACAGTGTGGCTCATCAGGGCTGCAGGGCAAAAGCATCCGGCATACGAAAGCAGATCGACGCAGTATTTATGCGCGCCTTGGACTTCTTCGGGCGCGCGACATTGCTGGGAACGGCTGAACGCCCGGGTCTGTCGACACCGTGGACTTGAACCCCAGAAGCCCGGTCGGAGGGCTCGGGCGGGCGAGCTTCCCTTCAAGGTCGCCATGAGGTGAAAATGTTGGTGGGCTTGAAGGACGATGGAGCCCCCCGACGTAATAATCTAATAATCCGCGGACTCGCAATTGGGCGGATCCCTTTTTTCCTTCCCGCACTTCGGTGGTTCCAGGAATCTACATTTCTTCTACTCTTCTTATGGCTTTTCTTTCTTTCATGGAGCTGAGCGTGAAATTTGCAGATGTTTGTGACTAGCGCTTGGCCGAAATTGTTAAATACGAAAATCCAGGCTGAACTGGGAAATTGGAATCATCGGGTCATAAACTTGCAACCGTCCTCGAACTTTGACCCCCAACACAGAAACTGATTAAAAAGAGATTGTCACGTCTTGAAGAAACACGCCAGGTATCAATGCTACTCTCACACCCAAATGCATAAATCGACCAAAGTCATTGAACTCATACCAAGTTGCCGCGCTGCTCCTGTTCTCGCTCAAGAGCCTCAAACAGCGACTTGAAGTTTCCGGCGCCGAAGCCTGAGAAGTTGTGGCGCTGAATAATCTCGATGAACACAGTAGGACGATCCATCATGTGCTGCATGAACGTGGTGAGAAACTCCTAACTCAATCTTGAACGGAAAGGGATAGGACATACCTTCGTGAAAAGCTGCAGCAGATATCCATTCTCATCAAAATCGATGAGGATATCCAAGCTCTGGATCGTTTCGAAATCCTCTTCAAGCACCAAGCCCGATTTCTTTAATCGGGCCCTCATGTCTATGTAATAAGTCTCGGGGACTTTGATGAACTCCAGGCCGCGGGCCTTCAAGTTGGTGATGTCCCGGATAATGTCGTCCGTCAGCAGCGCAATGTGCTGCACACCGGCGCCGTTGTAGAAGTCGACGTATTCTTCGATCTGAGACTGTTTCTTCCCCTTCGCAGGCTCGTTGATCGGCATCTTCACGACGTCATTGGGCGAGGCCATGACGATGCTCTTGAGTGCGGAAAATTCCCTGTCCTAATTAGCACTTTTCGCCCTTGATACCGGCTATCAGGTCATGGAACACTTACGTGCAGATTTGGCTGTCATCCACGGACCAGAAACGATGAAATCCAAGGGCTTTCTCATAGCTGTGACGAAAGAAGTTAGCGGCCTAGGCCCCACGTTCGAAACCTCATGATGGAAGAGCTTACTATTCACAAATCTTGTCCATTTCGTCCCAGTCCTGGTTTCCGACACAGTGGTCAATGCGGGTGAGGTGCACACCAGGCAGGAGCTTTGCAACCGGGTCTTCGCCTCCCTCTAGACGGTATCCTGGCAAGAAAGCGCCGTGGTACTGGCTTCGCTCAATAAGCGTATGGGTGGTTTCTCCATAGGTTTGGATCGTGGCAGTCTTGACTTGGCCTCCGTCATCTTCCAGGGTCTGCGGAGCCGAAACTGACTTGGCACCATTCTTCACGGCTGCAGAGTAGACGGCATCAACATCGTCGACCTCGAAAGCAACGTCTTTAACTGCATCGCCATGTTTCTCAAGGTGACTATGGATTTCACGCAAGAGGGTTTGCTCCTCGGGGCTGAAGCGGTCGATCTGGTCAAGAGAGCGAAGGGGAGACGTGAGAATAAAGACGATGTCGCCATTCCCAATCACATGGGAGCAGATGCTGCGGCTTCCGGTCTCCAGGCCCCGATAGGCAATACGCTTGAATCCCATGCGGGTGATATAGTAACTCGCCGCTTGCTTGGCATTTCCAACATACCAGTGCACATGGTCATAGCCACGGTAACTGGCCAGTGATGCCGGGGCAGCAGGCGAAGGCGAAGGGGAAATGGCGGAAGGTGCCATCTTGAGGGGTTCTCGATAGGTGTGCTGGCTGGAAACCCAAAGTAAAGATTTGCAAAATGTTGGAAGAAGATAGTACGAAATAAATCCAGACGAAGAGGCTTATCCTATAAGCAATTTAATAAACCCTCCTTTTCTCTGCGCCGGAGTATCACTGCAATAGCCTGGACGGGTTGATCCTGCGATATCCTGAAACACCCGCCAACAGCCGGCTCTATCACCACTGCGGAGTGTATCCGCCTGTAGCCCTACTTATCTCGCTCTTTCGGCGTCTACTCTCCTAGGATTTCCTATTTCCTGTTTTCCTATTCCTGATTGCTTCTTCTGGATATCTAATCGTGGATCGAGCTCTGCGAGCGGAGAACTCTCTTCTTCCCAAGTCGCAAGTCCTTCCGCAAGGATCATACCTACCAGCCCACCATGTCGGTTGCAACAGCCCGTCCATCATTGTCTTCAAATGATACGTCCGTCCTGCAAGCCTTATTCGACGCTGAATCGGCGCCTTCCTCTGGCGTGAAAATTGACTCGCAGCTTCCACCGTGGCCTGCTACTCTCAACATCTCCCCAGCAGACCTCGACTCCCTCAAGGCCCAGGAGACGCAAATCGTCCGCAAGTTGCACTCCAACGAGTCACCGCAGCGTGAGCATGTAGAATCAGCACTTCATAGCTTGGACGGCCTTCTTAACGATTATCCCTCTTATCCGTCGGCATATGCAAACCGCGCTCAAGTTTTGCGGATCCTGGTCGATCTTCAGTCCGATAGGACAAATTCCCATTCTCCCGAGACGATACCCAGGGACGACCTCTTCCGCCTCGAGTCTGCCGAGCTTTGCGATCGCATTCTTTCCGACATTGGAAAAGCGATTTCCTTGGCAACTCCGGCGTCACCTGCAGATCCTGTATCGCCAACACAAGCACGGCTACTCGCCGACGCACACACCCATCGAGGATACCTGCTGTTGAAAGCAGCCCGAACAAAGAAGACCGCCGGAGGAGTTGGCTTTGGAGCTGGCCTCCCCTCTCGTCTCTGCAATCTCAATGCGGACCAGTTAGAGGAAATGGCAAGCCGTGACTTCTTCTTTGGTGGGCGATATGGAAACAAAGTCGCGCAACAACTCTCGGTCCAAACAAACCCGTACGCCAAGATGTGCGGCGCGATCATGAAAGAGGCCATGATGAAAGAGATGCGTGGGTGATGGAACGCGCAATCTACATAATGCTTATTTGCTGGAATTTTACATTTTATAGATGCATATTGGGTCCTGGCGTCGGTGTACAGAGACATTCGAGATTGGCTTCCATATTTTACGCAGAGAAACCATGTCGAACCCTAACGCTGTTGCGGAAGGTATGGAGGCTAGGCTATTAGTACAGCTAGTAGAGGCGAGGCTACATGTACTAGCTGAGGCAATGTCATTACGGACCTGTTCTGCCTACTCGGCCGCTTTGCCTGGTTTTTTGTTGGGGAACTCCCACTTCTCCATTTTTAGAATAGTAGCGATACGTCAATTCGAAGTTCAGTTCCACTTTCCCAATTCTCAACCTTAAACAGGGCTCGGAAGACCACTCTCAGCAGGGAGAGGGAGCCCCTTCGTCATCCCTTCGTTTACGAGCTCTGCGGGGCCCGGGAGATCGGGTGCTATTCAACGCTAAGGCGGTGTTGAAACTGCCTAGTCCCGATTATATAGTTACAGTAGGATGAAGATTACTGTTAATACGCCAATTTTTCCCGGCCGCCTAGACGGCTGCACCTCCAACCACGTCTCGTCCTACCCTCCTGACACCAAGACACGATGGCACCGAACTTGCAGGGAATCACGGAAAGAAATCTACAGGATCCGCGGCGTCGGGATCCCCCAAAGAAGAGACCATACCCGGGGGAATTGAGGGGAGCTCTAGCGAGCAAGACTCGGATGACCAACCGGACTCAAAGTACAAGCGCAGATTTTGAAAAGGACGTGATGATGTTGAGCGAATTGTCATTTATATTGATCAGGGTAGATAAGGCAGCTTTCACAATGGACCGGCCATTGCAGCAAACTGTATAGACAGGGTTGAAAATTAATAGTCAACCTGAGAAGCGGAAGGGCCGCTTTATTTATGATTTATACTCGAGCTTCCGACTGGTCGCCATGAGAATGGGAAAAATGCCGCTCACTCTTTCTACACGTCAACTCCGCGCTATCGCACTGGCCAAGAATCACTACAGCAATGGACTTCTGTGCTTTATAGAGGCAGGTGGTATGCGCAGGAACGCGGGTACCGCACAGAATCAAGGAAAACAGCAGCTAGCCTGAGATAGGGTGGATTGAAGGTTTTTGGGGATGTGAGGGAGTAAACACTTGATAGCAGTGCAATGTCGGCAACAGCATACCAGCTAGAAGGATGGTGGAAGCCGAGCGACTCCTAGGGCGGTTTTCCAAATAGGCAAGGCAGAAGAGTGGCGTGGCGGCGCTAAGCTAACAACATCAAATCACACCGCCTTTAGCGCCCAAAAGTACTTGGACGCTGGAAATCACGAGTCCCTGATGATGCTTCCTATTCTACGTGTACGATCGTCTTGAACCAAGTGGTGAGCGGCTAGGACAGAAGTCCGCTTGTTTAGCCCACAAGATGCCCATCCCGCCTCCCTCATCGCGAGAAGATTTCAAGATCACCATCATCTGTGCCCTGACGCTGGAGGCGAAGGCTGTCGTACAACTCTTCGACGCGATCTACGACGAGAGCCTCGACCAATACCGAAAGGTCCCTGGTGACAACAATGCATACACGCTGGGAAGCATTGGGAAATATCATGTCGTCCTTGTGTACATGCCCGGGGCGGGAAAGGGGTATGCCTCCAGCGTGGCAACCAATGTCAAGAGGAGCTATACATGCCTGGAGCTGGCACTTGTTGTGGGCGTGTGCGGGGGTGTCCCATACACGAAGAGCCAAACATTCCCACGGCAAGATATTTTCCTCGGAGATGTTATTGTTAGCAAGGGCGTCGTGCAGTATGATCTCGGGCGCCTCTATCCTACAGAATTTGTCCGGAAGAACACTGCGCTCGCCAATCTCCCAAGGCCTCGCCCGGAGATCCTTTCTTTCCTCAACAAATTGGAAGTTGGTTATGACCGGCTGGTCAATCGATTAGCCACGTATCTAACCGATGTTCAGAAGAAGTTCCCAAGTCGCTACCCTGGCGCGGAGAAAGATAGGCTATTTAGCCCCGAGTACGGACATCGAACGAGGAACTGCAAATGCGCTGAATACACCCACTGCGATAACGGCATCGTTGCTCGCCAGAGAGATCACGCGCGGCACGATCAGGGAGTAGTGGTGCATTTCGGCCTTGTCGCATCCGGAGACACGGTCATAATGTCCGCGCACGACCGTGATCAAATCTCCGAGATTGAAGATATCATTGGCTTCGAGATGGAAGGCGCAGGTGTCTGGGAAAATCTTCCATGTGTCGTGATAAAGGGCGTGAGCGATTATGCCGACAGTCACAAAACGAAGGAATGGCAGCACTTCGCGGCAGCCAGTGCAGCAGCATGTGCGCGATCGATCTTGGACGAGACTCCAGTCTATCTGCCTAACCCTTCGGTTAGAATTTCTAACAGTACGTAATATGATGGGATCTATTTTGAATCGACCCCAGTTCTTAGTTGACCGATCGACAGTAGATCATAGTCAAGGCATGCCGGTGGCATCTTGCAGGAAAAGGCCCGCTGTAGAGATCAGCGAATCCGGCTATGAAGACGATTTTTATATTGAGTCTTTGACGTTCCCACAAGCTCAATTCCGTCTCGAGGAGATAAGCTCCGCTCATGAGACGACTTGCGAGTGGATAACTGGACGTCCTGAGTACCTGGCATGGATGAGTGAGGAATCTTTGCCAAACCATGGGGGCTTTTTCTGGATGAAAGGAAAGCCTGGCGCCGGGAAGTCGACTATTATGAAGTACCTGCTACTGAACGCGAAGAAAAGGCTTCGTGATACTGTCCTCCTGTCCTTCTTCTTTCACGCCCAGGGCACTCTGCTAGAAAGATCTGTTATGGGAATGTATCGATCATTATTACACCAGCTTTTGCATTCCAGGGCGCCGCCTGACGCTAAAAACACATTTCTCGATGTGGCTAAACGTCTTGAGCTTCAAGATGGCGATCTTATCTGGACGAAAAGAGATGTGAAGAACTTGTTGTCATTGACTATCAAGTCTTTGAAGGGGCGCCACATACTGTTTCTGATTGATGCAGTAGATGAATGCGATCAAACTGAGGTCGAAGATATGACAACGTTCTTTCAAGAGCTTGGAAAATCCGCAGTCGACCATACGGTTTACCTGAGAATCTGCTTGGCAAGCCGCCACTATCCACACATCACCCTTGACAAAGGGATCGAGCTCATTGTTGAAGATCAGCAGGAGCATGAAGAGGACTTGAGAAAGTACGTTGAGACGAAACTGAAAGGTGGTCGGTCCAATGTTGTCCAAGATATCAGGAACCTTATTTGTAAAAGAGCAGATGGTGTCTTCTTATGGGTTATGCTTGTTGTTCGTTCATTAAACGAAGCCTTTGACAGAGGCAATATAAGCGCCTTGAAAAAACGACTGGACGAAATACCGGATGGACTCGATAATCTTTTCACGGACATCCTAACGCGAGATCAAAAAGACATGCACATGCTCATATTCAGCCTTCAGCTCATTCTTTTCGCTCGTCGGAGTCTGACAAGAGAAGAAGTCTATTTTGCTGTCTTATTCGAGAAGACAAATGTCCTTGAAGACTATATCGATCTAGAAGTTGCATTCAACCACGGTCATGGATAGACTCGTGCTCGATGTTACCAAAGGCCTTGCTGAGAATGCTGAGCGAAGCAGAGCAAAGCCTCGTGTTCGTTTCATCCACGAGTCCGTGCGAGACTTCTTACTTCAGAGAAACGGCTTGAGTATAATCCAGTCCCAAAGCAATGACTCAAAGAGCTTCATTGGAGTCTCTCATGACCGTCTGAAACAGTTCTGTTTTGACTATATTTCTGGCGCGCTACTATTATGTCAGCCCTGCTCCGGCAAAGAATTTCTAATGTTGAGAGATACGCCGCAAGGCAAACGACAAGACGGATCCATACAGGAAGCTTTCCCTTTCCTTGACTACGCCATTCGCAAAGTCCTCGAGCACAGCGATTTGGCACAGGCAGAAGGCATCTCTCAAAAGGTGTTCCTAGACGCATATTCTAACCGGTTTTCTGACTTCAACCACGTCTACAATGCTGTTGAAAAGTATACAACACCACAATACAAGGATGACTGCTCACTCCTCTATTTTATGGCCCATAGGGACCTGCATTATCTCATACAAGTCCAAGTTCTTGGTAAATCGCATGCGTGGGATTTGGGCGGCCAATACTTGTGTCCAATGGGTGCCGCATTTCGCAATGGAAATATGGCATCCGTCCGAGCTCTTTTGGGACTGCAGCCCGACTCTCAACTACAAAGTTCAGACGTTGCCGTTGAGCCCGAGATGGTTTCCCGCATGAAGCAATTCTTCGTCGAATTGGACGGACAGACAATGCAATCCAAATCAGAAATCAAGAAGAGTCAGGAGTTATTATTTTTCGCACTCCAGGGCAAGTGCGTGAGCATATTGAGACTTTTGCTTTTCACAAATTTCGTTGATTTCAACGAATTTCTCAAAAATAGCGGAAGAACTCCTTTGAGTTGGTCAATTCTGAAGCGTGAGCCTGGTATGGTCGATTTTTTGGTATCCGAGGCGAAGATCAACATACAGGCTCATATCAATAACGCTGACCGCATCAAGAGGCCCCTTCTTAGGACGGCTTTCAGATCGACTACTGAATACGACATGATTATCCCCGTGGGTGTTGATCAGTGGGCAAAGGCCGACAGGGGCATTTTGGATATATTGCTGCGGCAAGATTCATTGAATCTGAAGTGCCAAGATGAAGATCGAAAAAACGCCGTTCATTGGGCAGCCCTAGCGAATGATGAATGGTCGCTGAAATCTCTCATCAAAAGAGGATTCGACTACGAACATTGTGACTATATGGGGCGTGACCCGCTCTCCCATGCTGCCGAACTCGGTCATGTCGATATTGTGAAGGCTTTGCTTGAAATAGAGGGAATCGAAGTTGACAGGCGTGATGAGACAGGAAGAACCCCGCTCATATGGGCTGTAAATGGCTCCCGGGATCGTCCAATCGGGCAAACAAAGTTAGTGGTTGAGAGCCTATTCAGGACTAACAGGGTCGACTTCAATGCGCGAGACAATTACCTCAGGTCTCCTCTAGCTACTGCGGTTTCGGAAGCTTATCCGGGATCTTATCCAGGGGGAATTGAAGTTCTGCTGAGCTTCGCTTCTGTGGACGTCAACAGCAGAGACTTGTACGGACAGACACCACTGATTACGGCATGCACCCGCGGGAATACAAGGATCCTCGAGTGTCTCCTACGTTGTGACAGAATAGATGTTGACGCACAAGATATCGACGGACGAACAGCCCTTTCCTGGGCTATGGGACCGTTGAGTTTTCCCCGTACTGCGAGCGGCTATGTTAGTGCATCCTCTGAAAGGTGGTATTCATGTATTGATGCGGCGAAACTCTTGTTGGCGTCCCGAAGGCCTGACACTGGCCTGGCCGATATCTGGGGCCATCCACCAACGTGGTGGGAAAAGGCCTATAAGATCTTTCTTACTGAGGTAGAAGGTGACAGGTTTCAAGAGAAATTGATGGCCGGGCCTTCCCTTCAGTCTCTCCTAGAAGATTCGCATTATCAACCCGGGGGTGCCGCGTTGGTTCAGTCTATGGAAACGGAAACCATCAAATCCGAAATTCAACGATTTCTGGATGGGAAAGTTAAAGTGAAGAATCACGTTGAATTCGACTTGAGATACAAGAATGTGAAATTTGGGACCGATTCGATGCTTCAAGGAACGGAGGCCAAAACATTGAATCTGTAGCTTAGGCTGAGAATCTGAATTGTGCCCTTTCTGAATATTTTAATGAAACTATATTTTGGGGGGGGGAGAGTGGTAATGTCTGACCGTAAAATCCTAAACCTACCCTTCATTGTATCTTGCACTTGGGTAGGTACCAGCGGCTGGCCCGGAACTATAGTTCTTGATCCGCCTTTCATTCAGTGAAATTAGCAATAATGCTTGACGGCTCTGCTTTTCGTACGTATAACTTACAGCTCGCGTAATAACGTCTTGAAGGAACCTGTACTTTGTAAGCTTGGCGAACAAGCCCCCATCTACGCTAATTTCATCCAGCGTCGTGTGTTTCGATTCCGGGTTCCGAATACAATTCGTCTGTGTAGACCATGGAAGCCAATTTAGGATCCGAATGTAATCGGGTTTTCTTTTCTTTTCTTTCTTAGGATTATTGAAGTAGACCACTGACTATCGCAATTTGAGTACTTTGTCAAATAAGAGAATTTGCTGCACAATGACAAATAGTAATTAGTTAGCATACTGTGACCCTGCTTTTATCTACTTGGCTTCAAGTTTGTTTTGCCTTTCGGGTGCGCAGATTGCAGGAGAAAACATGAGAGTCAACTTTGAATGATACACTTTTTCACGTCCTTGAAATCGGCTGCAGGCGCAATTCTAACTCATTTGCCATTGATACTAATACGAAGGCTCTGAGTCGGAGCAAAGTGATGAAATGGAGCGATGGAATTCATATGCATTTTATCTCCGAGATATCGTACCTCATATATGTTATTTATCTGGTGCACCTCTCATTTGGCGGGCGCCATCCTATCCCCACCTTTTCCATGACAAGTTTCTCTCGTTCCTCCATGTTCTGCCGCCGTGCTCGAGGTCCAGGACCTGGCCATTTACGACACGATCCCGGATACCACTCGAGTCAAATTTCCAGCCATGGGCCTTCTTCGCATACCGGCGCAAGTCGCGCTCGAATGTTTTATCGCCAGTCCACCCGAGGACCGCGCAGCCGACGGTACGCCAGGGCGAAATGATAATATCGACGCGGCGATGAGGGTTCGAGCTCATGCTGCGGGAACCGTGAGCCTCGCCAGCTCGACCCGGATCTTGCCAGACCACCAATGCTTTATCCAACGTATCAAAATGATGCCCTGCTCCCTCGCCTCGGTATGGCAGAGTTTGCTGGTCACGACTGGTGGTGGTGAGGTGGAGAGAAAGGGTATGCGTAATGTACTGTGCCTTTTCCAAACTGGCAACGACATCAACAATAAGATTCCGCGTGCAGATTTCGTCAGGATGGGATAAGATGAGATCCACATCGCCACATGGATCCTTGCCCCGGCGATAGCCTCCGACCAGGATACATTCGATATCTCCGTCTATTCCCGGCCTCACTTTGTTAGCATGCGCTTGGACGACGCGGGCGATCGACTCTATCTCGGCCCGTGGGATTCCGATTTGGAGTTCGTCATAGTATTTGACCCCGATCTGTTGGACACGGGAGAGTGTGTCCCAGCCGTGTTCGACGATGTCGTTAAGATCCCTCCAGCCTCGGCGATAAAAGAATTCTCTGGCGGTCTTTGCGCCCACCCCCAAATTTGGGAGAAATGGTTGAGAGTATCGCAGGGTGGGGTCTGCTTCGAGAGCGTCTGCGGCCGCAACACCGCGTCCTTCATTGCTTTGGAACTCCAAAAACAGGTTGGCGATTTTGGAATCACAGCCGGGAAGAGCGAGGATTTCACTTGGCCGGCTGAGCTTATATGGATATGCTGCCACAGCGGCAATGGAGGTGCTATAAGCTCGCACGCCGATCTCGTCGAGGGTCAACTCACGAATGTGGCGGATTTTCAGAAGAGTGGAGATGAAATCTTCATTGGGCGTTTCCAGCGGAGTGGAGCGGAGACACGCATAAAGGACTTGGTCCCGAACCCAATCAGGCAGAGGGGGAGGGGGGTTCTCCTCTTCGGATGTTGTTTGTCTCAAAAGATGTGGCGGGCCTTGCATGCCGTGGGGCCCCTTGGGTCTCCGTGGCAGGAAGTTTCTTGGTGGTCCTGGAGCTTGTAAGGCATCATTCGCCTGTGGTCGATCTTTGGGACGTGGCGGCGGGGTCGCTGCAGCCGGTCGAGAGCTTGCTATCATCTGGCCTTGATACACCAGGAAGGGTATCCACGGGAGAGCTTTTCCAGCTTCAACCGATTGCACCAGCCAGTCAATCTTCAGAACAGTCACTATGTTGCCTCGCCTATCGCCATTTTTGACATGACCGGCAGGATCCTGTCGACTGCGGTCCGCGCCTTTGCTCTCTCCCTCGTAGCTGGGGCCTCGGGGCACAGTCTCTGGATCAGACATGGAGAGAGTCTCCGACGTCGCGACGCGCTGGCGTTTCCTTTCATGCTCACTTCCATGTCTGCTTTCCATGCTGGTTGCATGGGGCTCTTGGGTCGCACAGACGACCTCTTCTGTCCACAAGTTCCGTGCCCGCAGTTCCAGTACTACTCGCTTCTTGTGGGCAATTTTTCCCAGGATCAGGCCTGCCTCTGCAATTTCGTAGGTCAAGTTACCGCCGCTATCCACCAAGCGGCGCTCAAGTTCATGGAGCCGATCCAGGGGGAGATGAGTGGGCAGTATGAATATTGGGGGAAGCCCGGCCAGAACAGCAGGAAGGCTCTCGTCCGGAGTCCCTACGCTCATTTTATCTTGGGCGATTTTTGCAGTGTTTCAAGCGTCGTGTCATTTCTGCATCGTTGCTGCGTCCCAAGCCGTGATCTCATCCGAAATCAGCTACTGCTGCAGCTTCTTCACGAGCACACTAAGCGATCACCTGGAAGTAGCCATCGATTTACGAAATCAATATTGTCATCAAGCTGTGCATTTGTAGAACACGAATTCAAGATCCAGCACGAAACCAGGCCCCGAGGTTGAATCGCTGACGTCAGACTTATGCCTGAGGCAATCAACTTCTCAACTTCCCCTGCTTTGCGTTTTGAGCTCGTTCGCCTCCAGGCTCTGCTGAATAGCACCTAGAAAGACGGACGCGAGTTCTCCTGGCGCTTACACTTGAAATTACAAGGAAACGCCGACTCGGAGCCAAAATCAAATGGCTTCCATGCCTTGCCCCCGATGAATGGACCCCCACATCGTTTGGTATGTAACTCCAGCGACACTGGCATTAAGTCAGCAAGAACCAAGAGTGAAAGTGGCGTGCCATACATTTCCAGTCAGGCTGGTTGCAAAGAAGCTCGAGACATCCCATCAGAGCCCCAGTAAAGATATCACTTGGACAGGTGCAATTGGTGTGGACGAACGAATCACAACCTGCCGTCGCCGCCGCTGCTTCATTACACCTTTTCTGATTGCGAGAGAAGCTTTCGTTAGTATGGTTGAAGGCTGAGACGACGTTAGTAGAACGTGAGCGTACCAAGCAGGGCCCCATGTTGTCAGGGTTGTTTGGATCCACAGCCAATGCCCTCGGCAACAGAGCAACTAGTGAAAGAGTGATCGGGAGACGCATCTTGATAGGTTTCAAGGGCTCCTGGCAAGCTTAGAGTCTGAAGCAATATCGCGCTTCGAAGGTGGATATACACAGCAAAAAGTATATGTAGACATCGCGAAAACCAGCGCGGCAACAAGTTCTCTATTGGACTGAAAGATTACTAGCCGTACTTCATGTTGTACGCCGGCAAGCACCGACTTGCATACACGATTGGAACCATCTGGATCCATGATGACCTGAATTTGTGACTAAGCCAGGAGGTCAGTGGAAAGTTACTCGCGGATTATACGAGAATGCTCATCCGGGATTGAAAGGAGCTCCGGGTTATATTGTACAACCTTGGGGAGTGTTGGTGTCAGGAACTGAACGTTGACTACACTTACATGTCGGGAATTACTCGATGAAGGGTCTTCCAGGCTGTCAATAAGCACATGAGGCTAGTTTACTGTTCCCAAGATGCCGATGGGGGGGGGGCGCTGCACTATACTATCTCATCCTGACCCCGTTCATCTCTGGTCGTCACACAAGACGTGGCCCCTTTACCAACGAGAACGCAATCCTCGTGCCCAGATACACCCGTTGCACAAGTGTGGATAATCACTTGGCCCTGGCCACCCGAACCCGAGGGGTCCTGTTCATTGAGATTCTTCATCCAGAACTGGACCCGGGCGACCGTGTCGACGATCCATCCACCGTCTCCAGGGTTTATATACCAGGACACTCAGCCCGCCAAATATTATGAAGCAGCCACAAATCCCACCGCCGATTGCATCGTAGTAGTCACCGGCAGTTTGGACGCCGTCCCAGAACTTTCCCTTTGCATCAGTGACGTTCAGGATCATGGTCAGCAGTTGAATGACCCCGATCACAATGGCCACAATTACAGTCAGACAAGTCAGGACAATCGAGTAGTACAGGAATGCCACCGGGTCTCTGTGATTGGCAGCCGTTTGCGCCAATTCTGCAGAAGTTTCAATCTCTTCTTCCGAGGTCGTCTCGTCGGGTTTGGGCGGCAAGAAATTGGCGGCCGGTTGAATGTACAGCGAGAACATGAGGGCCCCATCAATTGTATCTAGCAAGCACATCCCGGCTGAGACCCAGCACGCATGAGACATTGAAAAATCCACCCAGGACAGGGGTCTGTGCACTCACCGGTAAACAGAGCAGGAAGAATAAGAATCACCCAGAACGAAGTGCCCTTGGCCGCTTCAATTGAGGAGATCCCCAGCAACGCAATCTCGGAAGAAGTATCAAAACCTAGGCCAAATAGAATTCCCAGCGGATACATCTTCCACGGCCTGAGTCCTCGTCAGTGACCATCAGGGTAGAGCGTTGCATGGGGGAAAACACCCACCGGTCGATGATTTTGAACATTTTCTTCAGCACAGAGAAGAGAGGGCCTCCCCCTTCGATTTTCCATGCTTCGTCTTCTTCGCCCTCCCGCAACATGAAGACTTTCTGCATCTGCTTGATCAACTTGTACAGGATGTAGCCATTCATAAGGCCCAGTAGGATCAGAAACGCAGCGCTGACGGAACTCCCGATAATCCCGCCGATGGTGCTGAAGCTATCAAACCGAGAGGACACGGCAGCAGCAGTGGCAGCAACCACGATGGAAGTGATGATGACAATCCTGGAGGGCTTAGTGATGCGCAAGGGTGGTAGAGAGATGCTGACCTACGTGGAATGCCCAAGAGAAAAAAAGGTCCCGACGGTGACTGGCTTTTGGCCCGTTGCCAGAAGTCGTCGAGTCATGAGATCGATGGCCTGGATTGTCAGTCACTCATCGCCTGTGCCATTCCAAGAGTTCACGCACCGAGATGTGGTCCGCATCGAAGGCATGGCGGAGGCCCAGCGAGTAGGCGAGGGCCGCAGTCGACACCAAGGATCTGATGGCAGTGTCAGTATCTACACGTTCATAAAGGCCAGTCGGGCCTAGGTGCTCCACAGACGTACGGATTAAAGCGCTATGCGACCTGTTAGTCAGATTTCTCACAGGTCCCAGTCCCTTCAATGGGAAGGGAGGGCAGAGGGGGACTTACCAACACAATAGCCGCTGCAATCCATACCACCACATTGAGAAAAGCGATGAGCCCGATGATTCCCAGCGCTCGCAGCGGGATCTTTCTAATGCCTGGGAGGCGTCGGTGGGAGCGCTCAGCGTGGCGCAAAAGCGGCGTCCAACTCCATCTATCGATGGATTCTACGGAGCTCTCATGCTCGCTCATGGTGATGTGAGTGAGTTACAATGGAATGGGCCCGGGGCCTTTCTTAAAGAGCCCCGGCCTTATCTCGATTCTTCGCTTCAAGGTTGCTAAAAAATTTTCTGGTCTTATCGGCTGCCAAGGTACCGCACTGCGGGGAAGCTTCAGCACTGCAGTGGAATCGGGGCTCCAAGACTTCACCGTTCAACTAGCGAAGCGTCAAGATGACAGGGTTATTGAGCTCCACGTCCGATGACTGAAATGGAGCTCTAAATCCGTAAATTCTCTGAAACAGGCGCAATTCCTACGGCTTCATGGCCGTGGAAACGAGACTTCAACCCGCGGGGCAGCGGGGAGCTCCGATCCGTCCAGCTCATTATTCATCCGGTTTGTTTTGGTCGCCTAATACATTCTCAGTACCACGAAGATCAGCCCCGCAGTATTTGAGCTGTATCTAAGCTGCAGTTTGGGCCCACGGGACGCCTGAGAACGAAGGTTATGACTCGCTTGGCGAGGTTTAGGAATCTGTTCTACACCTTGCCGCCCCCAGCGCCTGTTTGGCTCGCAAGTAGGAATCGACTCGGCAGATTGGGCATTTCAAGAGACTGAAGCCTCCTTGGATGGTTCTATTATGCTGTAATACGGGGTATATATAATAAGAAAGCCTTAAATAGTAATCGCCGCAATCAGCGCATCCAGCGCTGAGCTCTGGGTCGTGGCATCGATAGGGCCATTGAGCGGCCCCGACCAGACGACCCCCAGTTGGCCTTGGTTATTCCGGTCCTTGGTCCAGATATGGTCTGCACAGCTGATGATAACCTGTTTATAAAGGTCATCTGGGGCCACGCTATACAGCATCTGTAAGTTGCGAATAAAGATCCCCTTGAACTGAGTGGCATTCGGTTCACAGTTACTGGGCTCGCATGAATCGTGGATGACCTTGTCGGAATCAGCCAGGGTTTCAATTGCAGCCTTCGCAATGCGTTCAGCTGAAGGGAGATATGTGTCGTTCGGTGCGGCCTTGTTCAACTCGACGAGCCCACCGAGCACTACCCCTTGATTGTAGGACCAGCTGGAAGGACGACGTTAGCTCAATCTAGCGTAGACCGCGAGTGGCAAGACCAAAGCCCGAACTTACACCGTGTCACCATTATTCTGGCAGTTATCTAGCAGTCCGTCGTTGATCGTGCCGTTCTCGCCAATGAAGCCTTGGGCCTGAAACCACTCCCATTCTTTCTGGGCCCAATCTACATAGAAAGCTTTACGTGACGGGACCCGGTTGGCCAAATGGGCCGCAACGGACAGGAAGAGCTCGTTCGTAATAGCGTTCACATAGGTGCTGGTGGGATTCCACTGGATCCCACCGCCACACTGCGTGCCCCAGGCAGCTTGCTAAATGACTGGTCAGCACAAACCGTTCAGACAAGCTGGGGCGAGGCGCTCCACTGATCCCCCGTTGACTTACCAGTGCGGCAAAAATGCCTTCTGCTAGGTCCAGATAGCTTTGCTCGTGCGTGACATCGTATGCCGCGATCCATGCAAGGGCCCACCACCCGTCATCATCATACGCCGAATCCAACCATGCGGAGGCATTGACGGCAGGACTAGCACGGCCGAGAAGATGGCGTCGCTTGGAGGTCGTCTTGGTCTCGGGGCCAGGGTGAGGATTGGAGGCCGGGGCCTTGCTATAGGTGGTCTGAAAGACATAGCTGGCGGTGTCACGCACCGACGAGTCCACGGCAGCCAAGTCGGCGACGGCCGTCATGCAATTGGCGCCATTCCACCACCCGGCTGTATCCCACAGGCCCGTCGAATTATCGTACCATTCTTGAAGAACATCGAGCGCATTCTCGGCTCTCGATTGAGCGTCGTCGGCAACCGCACCAGACACAGCCAGCACGGTCAGTGCAGGGGGCAAGAGACGTCCAAGGGTGAAGCGCATGGTTGAGGTGTGCCAGCACGAAGGAAACCTGCCTCGGTAAACATGATGTGAATTGACGCGCCTTTAAGTACAGGAGACCTGGGTTCGGGAGCTCGTAGTTGCATAGCTGAAAGGTCCCAATCGCCTGCATTCCCCAGGGGGGAAACCCCCCTTCATTGGCTAAACATGTCCAATTTTGGGGTATCATGCAGGCCCACCTATGCGCTTAAACTGAGACCCCTGATCAGCATGATCGACCAAAAGCACACGAACCAGAACAGCAATGTGGTAGCGAAATGTCCGAGCTCCCTCGCCAAGGGCATGGCACTGACCTCCGCTAACTTCTAAATCAACCCCCATCAAGGGATGACTCGGATGAAGCTCCCCTTGCAACGCCGAGACCACGTCTTGTTTTTGTGCCTCTCCCCATCACTTTTGACGCAGGAGGTGTAGATGTGCCTGACGCCGGACCCGCCCCCTATTGGACTCGGGAATTTCCCTCGGCCCACTCGGAGCTGAGCAACCGGGATGATCTCTTGGAGAATCATGCATGCTAGGCATGCCCATTTGTACCCGAGAGCGCCCTCAGACCGCACCGCAAACACGAAAATGCCATCCTCGCTGATTCGCTCTGATCGGTCGGACTATTATCATGATGATAAATGCCGTGCGAAACCCTTTGGGGCGGGATCTTGGTTCGATTCGCCGCCCCGTCCACCATCTTGCCAGCTGGGCTTCTCCGGGTTTCCTCTTTCCTCCGAGAAGCGGAAGGTTTATGCACTCGAATTGGGCTGCTTGTACGATCGTCCGCATGAAACATGCGTCCACGCGTCTCTCAGATCACAAATTGCAGGTCGGATTTGATTGATCGTCTCTGACGTCAGCGTTTGTCTTGTGTCACTTAGTCCCCGTGGGCGCCAAATGTCTCACAAGCTGCATTGGGCGGTTCCCCTGATATTGTCCTCCTAGCCGCTTTTCCAAGACAGAGAACGATACACCGTGTAATTTGCCATGGGCCTCGGACGTTTCATGGGGAGTGTAGAATCTTGTGCTATGAGACATATTCTGATACCATCGCGCGACCACCGCACCACTTGCCTGTAAGAGGGTATTGGGTGCTCTGGCAGGAACGGGTGTGCCAATATGATGGCACTCATCAGCCCCCGAGACGAAGAGGACTTGGCTGTGGATGATCCTGGCAAGACCTGTTCGTATTTCCTGAGTGCCTGCACTTCACCTTGCTTCATAGTGCTGTTCTTTAGAGTACTTTTGTTCGAGCGTGGCCGGATAGTGTAGCTAGAGTCAGCGCGCCATTTCCAACGCTAGACTGAGTGAAGAACGAGAAGCAATGGCAAGGGGAACTTCTTTGCCCGCTTGTTGATGGGGTATGACCAAATATTAGGCTGGCACCACTATGGTTTATTACTCCCATCCTGCTATGAGTCTATTTGGCCTGGGAAATTACTGAACATTGAATTTCAAGTTTGAAGACGTGATTTGCTAAAGATGTGTCGCGGTATTCGTGGATGGAGTGCTAGTGCCACGGGGCTTTGTAGGTCGGAGCCTCTCAGTGCCCAGTGATCACCATCGACTTGGAGTATATGTCACTCAAGTGCTCCTCTTACCAAAGGATCTACTCTCCGTGTCACATCGACAATACGCTTTGTGCGTTATCACTAAAGCGGGAACCTTCCGCGGGAGTCTCATTTCGAGCTCCGAGTGAGCTTTGTTTCTACCTTGTAGTCGCGTTCCATGTTGATCATAAGGGCATTGTTCCACGCGGCTGTGGCTACTAGTCCCACAGTGGGCCGGAGGACTTCAACTGGGATATATAACCGCGGCAGGCACCCCAGCACCACTGGGATTCCGAGTAGCCCCAGTTCACCATAGTACCTGAAAGAGCGAGCATCATACCAGATTGCTCATCCTTTTGACATGATGGTCACGCGGTTATCTTCCAACAATGCGATCGCGCACTAGGAGACCGTTGCGAGCGCGCCACTGGATGGAGCCGGCGACGTCATATGCTACCGGGACCCAGTGCCCACACTTCTCATCTCATTAACAGGGCCAACTTGGCGCCATGATCTCATCCGGATGTTGATTCTCTGCTGCCTAATCTCCTCCAGGGCTGCCGAGATCCATATTCTCTTGGCGCCAATGGCACTCGATTCATTGGTCGCCTTGTCCTAGTTGGCCGTCATAGCCCCATCACCCCTCGGCCTTGCGCGCTAAATTCAGCCTTATGGATTCTGACCCTACCTTCAAACGATTTCCACTCCAGCCTTTTTCCATCCACAGATTGTCGCAGCGAGGTGTTTGGACATGGATTCATCAGGGGGCTCGTCGGCATCGACGGTACCTATCGAGCAGGGAGCCGATCCAGAGACCTCCCCTCCGATACAAGATCCTCCAGTGATGTCTTCTCTACCGCCCGAAACCAAATAAATTCCCTTGTTGGCAATACCTCAGTTTCCGACGTGTCAAACAAAGCCACGACGGCAACTTCCGAGGCGGCCAATGGGATCAAGAAGACCGTCCTTGAAGATGCGATTCCGGCCACGGAGGAATTTCTAAACAACGCCCGGGACCGTATCAGCACGCTATGGTCGGTCAAAGCAACAGTGCAGATGATCAACCGCCCGGTAGGCACCCAGCCTGTTGGAGACCAGCTGATTGTGGAGATTCCTAACCTGGTTCCTCATAGATAAAAACACCACACAATATATTGAAGACCAGCAGCGAATTGACCAAATGCATCCGGAGCAAGTCTGCGAATTTCTGCGAGAACGACATAAGAGCACCACCTTACGGTCAAAGACGAGCTGAAGTATTATACGACAAACTCCATGGTCCTGCTGAACCCTCGGCAACGAGCACCCCAAACCGACAGAATCCATGATATGACGCAGCGTAGGTTAAATGCGGAATATATTGTTTGTTATGGAAATGAGACTCGTATCAGAGTGAAGCTCTAAAGCCCGCATTGTGGCTCCGATCTAAGCCTAAGAAATCTGCCACTTGCCCAATATGATCGACCCCCCAAAACCCTTCCGTTTTGTTGTTGACATTGGTGCACACAAACCACGGTAGTCCGAATGCGCCATCCTTGAAGGCCCGCTCCGTGTTTGATGTCAGGAGTGACTTCACATGAGCCTGGCCCACCTGGTCATAATCACGATAGTTAGAAATGTCGTTGCGAGGATCTTCGGGACACTCAGCGAGGGAAACCACCTGCTGCGCAACCTCTTCACCGGCGACTTGTCCTATAATCGAGCCGAAAGTATTGGGGTCAACGATCTTCGCGTTCCGATCGACCCATGACGAGCGGAACAAAGCTTCCATCGCCGGGGCAACCTGTGCAGGAGAGATCTGGGAGAGGGCGCAAAGCGCCCGTTGGACTTGAAGTGTCCGAAGAGGGAACCCGTCTGGGACCCGGTCGGCCATTGGCACCGAAAAGTATTTGGCCCAACGTAGCCGCTCGACATCGATCCATTTGTCCTTGTCTAGATGATCGGATATTGGTCTGGTTCGGTTTTTTTTTTTTGGCAGTGGGGAGGAGGCTCTTACTTTTGACTGCTATTGGCGGCGTGTTGCCACACGTTTGCATCAGGCCCCCGAGGAAGATCGGAACATATTCAATCTCGCATTTTGCAAAGGTCGGCGAATTCTAGCGAGTCAGTTCTAGTTCCCTTCACCCGGATGTAGAGACATACCCTTAGAATGTGGAATGCAATGTATGCAAATGGGCTCACGAGATCGAGATATACTGTGATCTTCGGCACTGCCATGGCGGGTCCAAGTGATTGTCTGGTCAGAGATTTGGGAAGTCGGAGGACTGATGGACCTGTTGAATCTCCCCTTCGTTTCCATTTATCCCCCCCCCCCCGCAGGGTTGGAGACTTGGAGACCCGTGGACCTCGGCCCATGACTCAGCGCATATTCGCGGCATATTCGCGGGGCTTACGGGGAATCCACGAAGCCCGTAGAATACGAAATTCACCGTGTGTAGAGAGCGCGAACAGGAGAAGTAAATTTTAGATATAAATTCTCAGACAGACATGGGGCCTCACCGTCCAAGTTCTGGCGGGCATCGCTCCAACTCGACGATTGGCTGTTCACCATGTCTATCGCCGAGTCTATTGAAAGTATCAATACTCTGGCCGGCAATGTATCGGGCCTGAAGGGAAACGAGCGTCAGGATCTACTACAGGCCTGCGAAAAGCTCAGAGATAAGCTTGAGAAGCCCTCCGATACGATCGTGCGCCTTGCATTTTCCGTAAGGTGCCCCTGAACTTTCTTGCTGGAAACGTCCACGGCGATGCTGAATGTTATACGAACAATAGGGTCATCAACTCGTGGTCCTTCGACTTGCTGCTGACCTCAAACTGTTCGATGTTATGGCCCTCGAAGCAGGCCAGTCTCTGGATGGCTCAGTGAACCTTCACGCGCTTGCGGAGAAGACGCCTGCGGAGCCTTTGTTACTCAGTAAGTGTCGTGTGCAAGCATGCAACAAGTCACGATCCTAGTCAGGGAGGCACTGACTTTGCCCCTTTAGCTCGGATCATGAGATTTTTAGCAGCCATGGGAGCCGTGCATGAGATTCGCCCACAGGTATATTCGCCAGCCCCATTGGCGGCGGATTTGGTGTCCAGCTCTCCTCTTTCAGCTGCGCTGATTCATTGGTAAACATCCCCCCAAGTCGTTCAAAATTCGACCAATTTATTCCGTCCGGACAAAACACCTACTAACAAGAGACTGTGTAGTACGCATTTCATGTCAGTATTGTCGAAGCTACCGGAGTATTTCAATGAGAAAGGGTGGAAGAGCCCCCACGATGCCCACGATGGGCCTTTTCAGTTCGCCTTGGGATCCAGCCAACATTATTTTGAGTTCTTGAGCTCCAACCCGTATTATGGGCAAGCGTTCAATACGGTGATGGCGATGCCATTTCGCCGACGAGGGAAGAACTGGTTCGAGTTTTATCCGGCCGCCGAACGATTACTGGTTTCCTCCGCAGGTGATACTTTGATCGTTGATATCGCGGGGGGGCCAAGGCGAGGATCTCAGGATGTTCCACGAGCGCTTCCCTGATTTGCCGGGGAAGCTCGTGCTGCAAGACCTGGCTCCCGTCATCGATAGCGCCACGGCGCTGCCGGAGAGAATCGAAAGCCAATCTTATGACTTCTTTCAGGAGCAGCCAATCAAGCATGCAAAGGCCTACTTCATGCGAACAGTTTTGCACGACTGGCCGGATCAGCAAGCGGAGAAAATCCTCCGGCGCGTCTGCGATGCAATGGGCCCGAATTCCGTTCTGCTGATCAATGAGCTCATCTTGCCTGAAGCGGGGGTTCTTCTCTCTTCCGCGCTCGGTGATATCCAGATGATGGGCTCATTTGCCTCTCTAGAGCGGACTGAAGCACAATGGAAACAGCTGCTTCAAAACGCCGGCCTTGAGCTGGTCCATGTTTGGCTGCCTCAAGACTGTGAGAAGACTCCAGAAGCCCTAGCAAACCAAGCCGCTGTTTTTGAAGCTCGTCGAAGATACGGTTAAGTTGAAGCAAACCGATCAGGAGACAGCCCGAAGATTATGATGAGGGGGTGACCATCATTTTGCTACAGGGGATAATGTATTCATAATATTCTGTACATGCGCAAGATAGGAATTTGTATTGGAAAGAGATCATTTAGTCTACATAATATATTCTACCCCAATGCACTTTCATCTATCAGAGCCGATTTTATCTCGACGGCCCGGTCAGCAGCCAATGGAGCGGCCGCATCAAGAGCATCTCTGCGAAATGTGTTTCATCGGACAGTGGGTTCCCAGGGCCCCAGACTCTGTAGATCCATCGATCTATGTGTCTATTCTATAGAGTGCATCATCTACTGCTACGACAGTGACAAGCCATTACTCTTTAAAACCAACATACATACTTGGATTTACCTGGAAGATTCGCCCCGACGGACCGACTGTGATAGTCGGAGTGCAAGACTCGCGAAAGCCTCATGAACGATGCCAGGACAGCCGTTGCGAAAATCCTTAAAGCAGTTCCACAAATAATGGGAGAGGTCAATATTGAAGAGTGATCTCTTAAAAATGACGATGGAGAGGGTCTAGGCAGATTGCACGCGACAGCCGGCATTCAAAGGAGAAAAATCTTGTGGGGTAACCCACGCAAAAGACCTCTAGGATAAACAGGGCCCTAAGCACGAGACCATAGCGCTAAAAGAACGATAGTTGACATGCGCTTATCATCAAGGTCATTGGCTTATTGATCGGACCTCGGGCGAGACCCGAAGAGCAATCATTCTGGAGGAATTGGTCGAAATCTTCCGTCAATCACAGCGTGCAAACACTAGGAGCTTGCCGACTAGCCCCACAACCTTGCTATCAGCCACAACTTCGAAGTTGACTGGAGAGCTTTGTCCCGTCCACATCAAGTTGTTCGAGTCAATCACAAGTAGCTGGTTTTGGTTGGGGGTTCTCAGGATGAGCCTCTGATGAGATAGTCGCCTGACCACATATGTCATGGTATTCATAGCTGCATGACAATGTCATTTTGATAACAAAATGGGTGCCAGATCATGGGTATAGTCGAACAGGCTACACAAAATGGCTAGGATGATATTGTGAGCAGCAATGGTAATGATTTGATGGAGCCCCATCTTAATTTATTCAGAATCAGAGTCAGAGCCATAGGCTACCAGTCCCCCACCAGTGGCCACTTTGGACGCTTGAGAATCAGGACTCTTCACTGCTCCAGGTAGATGCGGTGGCTGGGTAACAGTGTTGTCGGGCTTCGCAGGGGCCTCAGTTGCCTTGGTAGTACTTTGGGGGGCAGCTTGGTTGACCTCACGATTCTCCACGGTAGGCTCATTACCCTCGTTAGCCTCTCGCGGCCGGGGATTACTTTGGTCTGGTTCTTGACCCTCTCTTCCTAGCGATATCTTGCGTTTTTTACCAGACAGCAGCAGGTCTTTCCTCCCTCGCCGTTTCTTACGCGCAGGGATTGTCCATTCTTCCTCTTCCGCGGGCGTGACATCTGACGATGTCGGGCCTAGCTGGGCCTTTTCTGCTTCTTCGCGTTGCTTGCGGAATTCTTCGAGTTGATCTGCGGTCTCACGCTTGAGAGCGGCTTCTTGGGCACGGGTAGATTCTAGGACCGAGTCGAGAAACTCGACTTCGTCGTCGTCGAGGGCGCGAAATTGGTTTTTCAATCGTGTCTTTTCCTCGAATTGCTCTTGCTTGGCCACTATGCGCGAGCAATAGATCGTCCCAGCATGTCAGTTCTACGAGTCTACCGTGTGAACCAACACGACACCGCGGGCATGCCGCATGTCATCAAGCAATGGGACTCACACTTGTTTTGCTGTAGCACTTCGTAAAGACTCTTGCCATCGCCCTGTTTTCCTGCGTCGGCCTTACGCCGCCGCTCCTCCTCTAGCTCCTGCTGGACCCTCACCCATTCGGCATCACGCTCCACAGGCTTCTCGTTGGTGCCAGCGGAGACGAACCCGGAAGACATTCTGCAGCAATTCGCGGAAAGCACACCGCGAATCCTCTTGGCCGTAAAGTTCCAGAGCTGTATACCAATCTGTCGACACCGTAGGCAGATGAACTGGCGCCAGGAAATCGACGAGAGCGGGACAATCAATCGCTGGGGCATCTGGTGAACCCAGACGATCTGCCGCTTTTACTAGGCGGTATGGGCAGCGGTATGCTATGCTGCATGATCACTGTGTATGAGGGAGATTCGACTCTCGCAATGAAATCCCAATCTACCGAGCATAGAGAGAATCGTAGATGCAAGTAAAGATATGGATACCGGGCACTTGGAACAGCTCCCACCTGTAACTCAGGTGGATAGGGACTAAAGATGGCGCGTTTGTCCCGGTGTGTTCCCAAGTTGGACAGAGCAGTCCTGCGAATCGCGTAATCTTCCTCGACATCTCCGGGCTCTTGCCTTGGCGCCCAGAACCCCAACTGAGCCTCTCCGGGGGCGTTCATTGTCTCAGAAAACGGAACAATAGAACAAGTCAAGGTCTACAGTACTTAGGGACCACGTGACCGGCGGTTCTAGCGTCCCAAGTGAGAGTCCAGCGACCTCGCTGGAAAGCACCTGTCAGCATGGCTCCGCGCCGAACGCATACCAAGTCACGAAATGGATGCGATCAGTGTAAGCGGCGGCGTGTCAAGGTAAGCCTGTGAGCGATGAGCGTGGAATGTCCACTGCGCTAGAGGAAAGCGGGTCGATGGCCACGTTTCTGACAGATCCTAGTGTGACGAATCGGGCCCTCCTTGCACCAACTGCATATCCCGCGAACTGGATTGTACCTACTCGAAACTGCCAACGCGAGACACGACCAGCCAGAATGGCTTGACTTCTCGACGCGGATCGGCTATGCCGAGAGATCGAGATCACCCCGCAACTCCGCGATCCCTGGGCCCTGTGAGTCCAGCCTCAACTTCGTCCGCCAGCTCAGGTATACGCGACCTGGAGTTGATGCACCGTTTTGCCACGGAGACGTTCCGAAGTGTCACCACAACCGCAGTCTCATTGTCGGTGTGGCAGAAAGAAGTCCCACATCTTGCCTTGAAGCATGACTTCCTGATGAACGGGATTTTGGCGCTGGCCGCACTGGACATTGCCAATACCTTAGAACCTCCCGCATCACTGGCATATGTCGATACTGCCCTGCAGTATCATAACCTCAGCTTTGCGCCATTCCGGGCAGCCATTGATGATCTCACGCCACTCAATTGTGAGGCCGTCCTGGCCCAGTCTATGATCACCACTGTCATTGGTATCTTTCTCCCACGGGCCATGGCCCCTCGAGACGAGCCATCGAACATGACGGAGAATATCATCACCCTCTTCGAACTTCTCCAAGGAATCAAGAACATCATTCAAGCCGGCCAGTCGTGGATCAAATTAAACCTATATACGAGCCAAATATTCTTCCAACGGAACAGCCTTACTGAGTTGGAGTCTCCAATTCGAAAAGCCCTTGATCGGCTTGGAACGCTCAACGAGGAAACCCTTGCAATCATTGATCCCGAGGAATACAGAATCAACAAAGATATCATCGCCAACCTTCGGTATTGTTACACTCTGTTTACGAACTCGGGCGATCCTTCGAATGTCATTGCATGGCTGGCCGGGGTGGATAAAGAATTTGTGAATAATGTTCGACGTCGTCAGCCATTGGCTCTGTTAATACTTATGCACTGGGGGGTTCTCCTCGGAGAGTTGGAGAAAGCATGGTGGTGGGCACGCGATTCGGGTCGTGCATTGGTCTCGGAGTTGTTGCAAGTCCTTCAACCCATCCATCCTCGTTGGGAGGATTCACTTTCCTGGCCTCGTTATAAAATGACACTTTAATGCAGGGACGGGGTCAGAGTCCATATCTGGCCTACACTGGCAAGTCCGTGAACTTCTTTGAGGACGCGAGGCGGGGATTTGTGTTTCATAAACCTCCAGGGCCGTTTTTGCTTTGATAGCCAGCACCTCTGTCAAGCAGCTCAACCGCACAGGCTGCTTCTGTCCATTCTGGAGGCCTGTCGCCTTTAGTCCATGCCACGGGACCAGCTGCCTAGTTGCGCGGACCTCGAAACAACATAACGAGCTTCTCCCCTCAAGACACATGGCAGTTATTTGGAATTGGGATTCACTGTGTGTCTCTTTATCCCTTTGGGTGATTATACCCCACATAGCCGTCTGATGAAGCTTGGAATCCTCTCCGGCTCCCATGTGGATCAAGGAGGATGGGTGTCGAGAAGTCACCATGACCAATGTGGACAGTATCGGAAGTCCAAAACCTATGAAGTATATTCTCTACGCGAGGATACCTAAACATGTCCTTGTCTGTACTTTAGAAACATGTGTCTGATACTAACGATCTTGCATACTATATAAAGCTTCAAACGTGGGACCGATACGAAAAGATTCTACAATTTGCCGCAAAGACTGACTCGCTTTCGAATATAGATTCCCTCACAATCTTGGGGATATCGATGTCAAGGCTGTCATTTGTTCATTTCTTGCGACTTCAATGAAAGAGCTCGAGGAATGAGGGAGGTATGGTAGACGTGGTCTTCAGTAGCTGGCAACGCCTTTCAATATTTCTCATGCATAAGGCCGGATGTTAATTTGATTTTCGAACCTACACTTACACTTATCACTGAGATAATAGTACTTCAGAGTATAGCGGAACCCGAAGACGTGGCTCGCGACATCCTATGCTAACAGATTTGATCAATCACTCGCAAACATTTCCTCTTCCTGTCTCACTCCAATTCGAACGTCTCCACTTTGATATGGACATTGTCTTTTGTCTCCGTCACTCCAGGCTGTACCCCTGTTTTCACCAAAGGATCCCGTGGCGATGCTTGCGATTGTGGCTGTGACACTGACGGTGTTCCCCAGCTCAAGCCAGAGAGTGTCGCATGGCCGTGACTCGGATCCGGGATTTCAGAGACATCGGCGCTTTCTTCGGCCTTCACATATTGAGCATGCTGTGGGGACTGTGTGCCCAGTTGTGGCTGCGTATGGTTTTCCATTGGGTTGTCCCATCCGAAAAGCGGGAACTGGAAGCTCTGGGGCTGGCAGCCAACCTCTTGGGGGCCCTCTCGAGCGACTCCCCATTGCTGGTAACTTTGCGAGGGCGCTGGAGAGACCGAATGCGGCATATCCGAAGTTGCAAAGGGCATTCTGTAAGGGAGGTACTGTGATGCTGGAAATGTGAAGCTAGGCCCAGGCAGTGGAGTCATCTGCGGCCATTGGTAGGTTTCCTGAAACTGAGTTGTCTCCTGGGAGGGATTGATAACCGATTCTGCATGGAAACCATGGGGCTCCGGCTCCTGCTTGATGGAGCTGAGCGGCAAGTTGCTGTCCATAAGCTCTGGCTTGACTGCGTAGGCACTCATCTTATCATGAAGAGATGGAAAAGAGGGCCCAGGATTGCCTTTGTCCATGAGCTTCTTAGCCTTTCTCTTCGGGGCTCTCGGGGCCGACGGGCCATCCATCTGCTTGCGAAAGCGAGCGAATCGCATACGCGCGGCATGGCCGTTGGAAATATCAAGCTCCAGAGCAAGGCGGTTCCAATCAATCTGATCCACACAGGTCAGCTCACACCCCATTGGAGTATCCTCGCTTGAACTTACTATCTTGAGGTCCATCTGTCGAATGATGGCGTAGAGGAACTTTGGAGTTGCTCCCTCAGTTTCCAGAACCTTTGTTCGCTGACCCATGGTGAGAACTTGAGAGGGTGGCTATCAACCTGGGGGTAATAGTTTGACCAGTGTCAGTGAGCAAGGGTCAAGCGTACAAAAGGCTTCTGGTGAGGAAGGGCTAGATATACTCTCTCACTGCTGGGTGATTCTATGTGTACCTGGTTGTTGGATTCAACCGTACTGAGAATCTTAAGGAGTAGACTGGTACAAAGAAACAAGATGCTGCCAGTGATGAAAAGCGTGTACCCGATTGTTCTGTTCGACGAAACTACAGCTTGTCTATTCTCTGCTGCGGGCATATATTCTGATAGTAGGAACATGACCGCTAAATAATGAATCTACAGGTGCCCCGCCTCTTGGACAATGGGAGATGTAAATACGATATAAGAGATAAGAGGGTATAGATAGAGCCATGGGTAGAAGACCGAAAAAATAAAGCTTCTTGGACAATGAAATCATTGGCTGTAGGTTGTTCCTTTGTTCCTTAGTCTACTTCTGCTGTTACTAGATATACTTTGCATAGCCTCTACATATGTTTGGCAGCCTCCTGTCCATACACGGCACCAGCTTACAAGCAGTCTTTTTTCCATCTTGACGTGCATCCTTCAGATCCCTCTCTTTATTATAGTGCCAAACAGGCGTTCCTCAGATGTTACTAGTATACAGTTTACGCTTAACCATGAGATGGAGTGGTTCTGATGAAAGCCAGTGACGTTTACTGACGAGCATCTGTCTAAGAAAATTTGATCATCCTCCAGTCTTTAAGGCTCAGATAGTTACCAAGTCCCTCAAGGCCTACTTGAGGACAACTGAGTAAACCAATTCTGACAATGGTGCCAAGAGAATATACAAGGATTGTGCCATTCGTTTATCAGCGTTATATGGAGTGTTCTGAGGTACTACCCTCAATAGATTCAATGAAGCTTCGGCCGCATTGAGCCACCTTTGCCACTGCTGCCCCTGCTGCCACTGCTGCCAAAAGAACAAGAAGCCTCGCTCCTTTCGCGTAGTCACGTGATGATACGGTAATCACGCGGGTAATTCAACCTCGGCATGTCCGGTTAAAGGCGGCAAAGGCGGGAGCGGGACATCTCGCAGGTATAGGCGTGTTGGAGCCGAGCTCGTCTTCTGCTGTCGACACCTTCGAGCGTCTGAAATCATATAGGTCCTCATCATGATCTCGCCTGCATGCTCACCGCTCCGTCTGTCGAGGCAAGCGAAGGTCTTGTCTCGATGCCGATACTTTAGTTCCGCACGTCCGATGCGGAGGGAAATCCAAGATGCCTACATTCTCAGCGCCGCCAGAACGCCGACAGCTAAGGTGAGTTACGATAGACAGGTACGATGGATGAAAGAATTGAGACTGATCAAGTTCTTCTCTAGTTCAACGGCTCGTTCGCATCCGTCTCCGCCCCAGAACTCGGCGCGGTCGCAATCAAGTCCGCGGTCGACAAATCCAAGATCCCCGTCGAGAAAATCACCGATGTCTACATGGGTAATGTGCTACAGGGCGCGGTCGGCCAAGCACCCGCTCGTCAAGCGTCAATCTTTGCCGGCTTATCACCAACCGTCGAGGCAATCACCGTCAACAAGGTGTGCGCTTCGGGCTTGAAGGCGGTTGTCCTGGCAGCCCAGAACATTCAACTGGGGCTCGCAGAGGCCCAGATTGCCGGTGGAATGGAAAACATGACCCGAGTACCATATTACCTTCCCCGATCAAGCCAGCTGCCTCCGTTTGGGGAGGTCAAATTGGAGGACGGGCTGATCAAGGATGGGCTCTGGGATGTGTATAACAAATTCCACATGGGAATCTGTGCCGAGCACACCGCAAAGAAGTATGAAGTCTCGCGCGAAGAACAGGACCAATATGCTATTCAGTCCTACGAACGGGCCCAGCAAGCGTGGAAGGAAGGCCGCTTCGAGGAGGAGGTTGTCCCCGTGACCGTCAAGGGAAAGAAGGGAGACACGGTTATTTCTCGGGACGAAGGATATGAGAACTTGCGTGCCGACAAGCTAACTACGTTGAAGCCCGCATTCTTGCGGGATGGCACCGGCACAGTCACAGCTGGGAATGCCTCGACTATGAATGATGGTGCTTCGGCTCTTGTCCTGGGTGACAAGAACCTGGCCCGGGAATTTGGAAAGGGAGGTCGTGTTCTGGCGCGGATTGTCTCGTCGGCGGATGCTGCGATTGACCCAGTTGACTTTCCTGTCGCGCCCGCCAAGGCTGTTCCGATTGCGCTTGAGCGTGCGGGCATCACGAAGGACCAGGTTGCCGTTTGGGAGTTCAACGAAGCATTCGCCGCCGTCATCAAGGCCAACGAAAAGGTAATGAGCATTCCATGAGTTCCATCCAAATTCTCTTGCGCTGACCCGCTGCCCCTTAGATTCTCGGACTGCAGAATGCAACAGTCAATGCTCTAGGCGGTGCCATTTCCTTGGGCCATGCTCTTGGAAGCTCTGGATCTCGCATCCTGGTCACTTTACTGCACCAATTGCAGCCTGGTCAGTATGGCGTCGCTGCAATTTGCAACGGCGGCGGCGCTGCGACCGCGATGGTGGTTCAAAAGCTTGACCGTGTAGATTAATTGAGCCACGCCTTTGACTCTCTGCGATTTGCTCCACAGTATACCCCAGCTGGCATATGAGATTAAACAAGTCGGCCTGGTAGTCTATAGTTAACATGGACATAGAAATCTATGAGCATATGCCAGTAACCAGAACATCTTCTCATACCTGAGAGTAGTAGCAAGTGGAACCTGAATTTGCTTCTAGTTCTAGCGAGAACCAAAGCGACAGCCGCCTATACCCCGCGCGGGCAATGGGCCGACACCGGAAGCTCATAGTCATAGTTAAATCAACACTTTCCAATCCCCTTCTTCGCATATCATTATACAGCCCTACCACCGTCTCCAAGAAAATAGCACCATAATCCAACCTCATCAACCAGGTTTTGTTTACCAACTTCCTTCCCTAGATTCTACAGCATACTCAGCACCTATTTTGAAAAAATGACACCAGATTTCATTTCAATCGACCAGGTGCTGATTACAGATTCCTCCTTTTGGATACGACCACAGTCTTTACACCCAGCTCTAGAAAGTGACATCAGGATCTAGCAAAATCCACCAGGATCAACTTTCGTGACTTTTCCGCCAGATACTAGCAAAAAATATTTGCTGGCTCAGCATTTTCTCTTCTTGCAACCACCCGACCTTCATAGCTTTGATTGGGCGTAGCTTGACCATTCCAGTTCCACCTATCTTCAACAGATTCCACCAGGATCGACTTTCATGACTTTTCCGCCAGATACTAGCAGAAAAAGATTGCTATTTCTGTATTTTCTCTTCTTACAACTACTCGACCTTCATGGCATCGTTTGCTGTAGCGCTAAAGCCCCGGTCATAGAAAGTGACACCCATCTCTAGCAAAATCCACCAAGATCGACAGCAAAAAACCTTCATATCGGTGCTGGAGATACCAGATTTGTTTGATTTCGAAGCTGCTCTAAAGACCAACCCAAATCTACCGCTGACGAGGCGTGGGGAGCTCGATAAAATTATGGAAGAACAAAGAATCTTCATAATCATCGACTACTGAGTAGCGTATTCTTTTTTACCTGCCTGGTCTCTGAGTATTGCGACCGTTTGTAGTCTTGAGTATATCAGGACAAGTGCCTGTAGCATTTCGAGTGCTCGAGTGTTCAAGTTTTCTACGTCTGCTGGTGCGTATGTTGCAATATACTAGGACAACACCGGCAGAAATCATCACTTTCACGAGGTCGGGGACTCTCAAAGGGCATACCATGATACAAAGTACGGTTTAAGTCAAGTTTCGCGGACTTCCCATTCAATAGATATCTTGTAAGGTAGTCTTCGTAACAATTCCACTAACCAGATATTATTCACGATCGGGCCATATAAACACCGATCTATAAGCTCTTTCGAATAGTTAATAATGGGGGTTTCCGATGCGGGAGAACCTTTTCGATCATTTCCGCCAGTTCCAGCAGCTCTGCATCGCGTCCACGTCGACCCATCAACTCGATACCCACAGGCACGCCTAGGGTAGCTGATTGAGTTGCCTCCGTAAAGCCAGCTTCGAACGAAGAAGTTAGAATCCTTTCGAATACTAGTGTTCTCCAGAGAGAGAAGCTTTTTGGTAAAGCGGAATAGGCTACCAGTGGTTTGCTTACCTGGAAGACATATGGCAGGACTTCCCGTTAAAGCAGCAAGTACCCCGTTACGCCTTGGCTGCCTCATAGCACCAATGGCAACGGGTAGCTGCCGCTGATGTGGATAAAGAAAGGCATCGACATCGTATTCCTTGAAGCATCGCTCGAGAGAAAACTTGAGCTTGCTGATAGCGGCCAGCCGAGCGTGGTATTCCGGGCTGTTGGGAGAGAATACCCTCGGGTTGTCTCTTGATGCAGTAAAGACCTCCGTTACCGCTCCTTTGTGATATTCCCCGCTCTCAAAAATGGATTCGAGAGACGTGTGTGGTGATGAAGCAATGAAAGGTGCTTGTAGGAACTCATTCAGCTGGGAGCCAAACTCGTAAGGCTGCGTGTCAGCTGTTTCTAGAAGTGTATCCACCTCCCAGGACTGATCTGGCTTTATAGCAACAAAGCCGATATTGGTATATTTTTGTATAAGAGAGATAGCCCCGCGGGTAATATTCTGGATAACTCCGTTCTCGGCAATGGTACCCGGCGAGCAAGACTGGGGATTTCCAATCCCAAAGTAAAGATCGAGGATCCCAATTCTGGGATTCCGGACTGGAGGCAGGGGCAATACATCGTCACAAATACCGCGCATCGCATAGTATACTATCTTCACATCATTGACTGTTCGTCCCATAGGTCCAGCTACATCTTGTGTTCTAGATACGGGCACAATGCCCTGTGTCGGTACTTTGCCAGTAGATGGACGAAACCCAACGATTCCACATGCAGACGCCGGAGAACGCAGCGAGTTCATTGTGTCTGTTCCGCATCCCACCAAGCCGAAATTTGCCGCAAGCGCAGCGGCAGTACCACCAGATGAACCCCCTGGAGTCCTTTGAAAATCATATGGGTTCAGTGTTTGGCCACCTAATGAAGAGGTCGTCGTTCCATGTAGGGCGAACTCGTGTAGATTCGCTTTCGCGAGTATAATTGCGCCTGCTGATGTCAAGTGGGAAACAACCTGACTATTGTTGGCGCTCTGAAGGGCCCGGAGTGCTTTCACCCCCGCACTTGTAGGAAGGCCCTTCGTCATGTAATTGTCTTTCAGAATGATGGGCACCCCATGCAATGGTCGGAATGGTGCCATTGTCTGGATCAAGTGTTTTGTTTCTCGGTCTTTGACCGCGGCGATTTGGAGTGCTTCGTCATTCAAACATATAATAGAATTCAGCTCAGGATCGAATTGTGCAATCCGACTTAGATAAGTCCTGACCAGATCAACACACGTGGTGGTTTTCTCCCGTAACGCTGAATGGAACTGAGCTATGGTGAGCTCCTGAATATCTAGCTTCCTCATCGTGGACTGAGTGACCTCGGGAGCTCTCGGGACGTCGTGGGATATCTAGTGCCAAATCGTTGGGAACCAAAATGCATGCAGATTTACTGTATGGAGCCTGAACCCTTGCCTGGGCCACCGTGATTCCCAGGCCCTGGGAGGAACACTTTTGGGCGAGGTCGGTATCGTCTTGAATGTTCCGTAGATGTTAACTAACCAAACTAGTTAGTTAACCTCTTGGCGCGCGTAAAGTCTGCTAGGAGGTTCAAACAAACGTGAGAAAGGTAAAACAGACCTCTCAAGGGCAAAGGCGGCGCAGGCCTTGTTGGAGTCCGAGGCGTCACAGCGCTTTCGTAACCGTACGCCGTTAGAGGGCAACCACATTTTACCAGGTTATTTTCTAAAGAGGACAGTGTTGCCGAGATTCGGGGTAGGTGCGGGGCTGCGTAAATCTGTCATCCATTTCCGTATTCACTTTCAACGGCGAAATGTCCGAGAATATGCGCCCTGCAGCGATTTGACTAGGATAAAATCCTAAAAATGAAGAGAGCGGATAGAGAGGATATCCAACCCCTGGTATACGCGTCAATCTTTGGGAATTTACCACGCGCACGGCTTCATTGAGCCACATTATTGGTAGTAAATTGTCGCCCATGTTGTCCTGCCCCATTGATTTAAAGGTTACGAGCATTTACAACAACAACGAAAAAAAAACAAAGAAACGTTAGTTCAAGTGCGAAGCCCTCCAATCCTGAATAAACGTGTACAAAATGTTCCTACATGTCAGAAAACTGGTTTCGGGACAAGACTGGGAATATTGGTTCCTAACCGGGCAGTGGCTCCATGCCCCGCGCTCTTAGGGACTTATCTGGGTCGGGGTCCAAAATATCTTATCTGCGAGGGCTAAGGCTCGTAAGTGTTTCTCGAAGTAAACACCGCACTGAGAGGCCTACTGCGCTTTGAATTATTCGAAGATGAGGTAGCGGACTGGGTGGTTTGCAGCGAGGTCTGAGCTGTATTCGCTTAGTATTATATCGCGCTTGGTACGATTGAGGTTCCTCCTTGTCATTATTTCGAGGATATAGCTCGCAGACAGGAGCTGGCCCGAATGTGCCGATATAAAACATGAAATTTGCACAAGATATATTCTACGAAATTTCTCAACAAGTTGATCCAGAAGTACTCAAACGTGCCTTGAATCAATATATCAAAGAACATGGCAACACCATTCACTATCAAAATGATGTTCTCAAAGTTTGGCCACGCAAGTCTGATCGTCAGTGTCTGTCTGTTGACACTGAGCAATCTGAGTCGTGTCTGGACGATTGAGATCTTTGCGTCAAGCACCTGCGACGGTACACCAGCGGCTGTCCTCAAGGGTGGCGGTGATGCGAACAGCGCTGAGCTCATGACTTCGCGCCGGAATTTCGAGTTGAGTGACGTTGGGGACTGTATATTCACGCTTTATTCGTCAACAGACTGTACATGTAAAGGAACGGCCAGATTCGAAGGGCACCAGTTGACCAGGCAAGATAGTAGTATTCGACGGAAGTTTATAATAGGGTTCCGGTCTGAAAAAAGCCTAAAGCTTATCCTTGCAGCTAAAGTAGAAACCCCTTTTATAGAATGTTTCGCCAGGGTTTCCATCTTGAGCCAGGTTTCAATCCTAATTCTAGCAACGAGGCAAGGAGCGCGCGCCCTCTTTGGCGCCCACTCCACTGTCCCTGAATGGGATCAACTTCATATCAAAAGGATTCAACACCACATCAAAGGGGCTTTAATGTCTCTTTGATGGCGTTTCGCTACTGAATCCTATTGAGCCTTAACACTAAGACTTGGACTTAGGCCCAAGATTGGCCCACAGGCCCACATCAGATCAGGCTTTAGGCCTAAAGATATCTATTCAAAACATTAGAACTAGAAGGGGAAAGGAAAATAAACAGAAAGGAAAGCAACGATAATAACCTAAGGACTCCCCATAACCTCAATCCAAGCTTCGTTCATCTCATGGTTTAGACAACTACCTATAACCCCAAGGTGATAACTAATAGCAGGATCGAGTAATTGATAACATAATTCTATTTAAGATCCTAAGTGAGAAGTCAACTTAATGAGTAAGACCACTCAAGTGATTTTGATAGTTCAATTTAGATTATTCTGAACCGATTTCCCAGAAATCAGGTGGCTATCGACAGCGAGAATTTCAAAGTGGAAACTTCAACTATGGGCCACTTGCTCTTGAAGCTGAGTAATACCTTCTCTCGCCGCTGTCGAGGTCACCCTGCCGATCACTTCAATCTCCTTCAGTCTTCTCAGCCAGAAATTCCACCGGTCCATACTCATAGGTCCTGGTGCCCAAAGCCTGCCCTCCCTCTCCAGCGCCCACGATCTTTCTCCCTTTCTCGCTCCTTCTATGAGTCTTTCACCGGCTATTTTGATCCATATTGCTGCAGCAGGAATCTCAAAGTCCCACACTGCGTGCTGGCATTCGAGGGCTTCGGAAATGCACTCGTAGCCCCAGCTTAAGGGCAAGATGCCATCTTCAGCACTCGGACCCACATCAGCCATGGCACAGGATGCCTCAACAAAGGCCAAATGGGTGTGGGCCTCGCGTCTCTTGGCCCTAGTCGCTGGGCTTCGTGTTGCCAAGGCTTCGCGCCAGTGGCTTTGCTTCCATTTATCTGACCAAAAGTTGCCGAAGCTTCTCAGTCCTTTCCACACTGCTTCCCCATCCTCTTCCTCTGGTAGCTGGCTGATATCCTTCAACAAGCTGACAAGAGCAGGCGTGTGGGTCTCGGGTAGCTCGAAGAGCGCATCTTCGATGATGCCCAGTACACGGTCTCGCAAGTCGGTCATTTTCTCCGGGGTATGAGACTTGGTCATGGCAACAGCTGTCTCAGATGATGTCTGGCCGCCTTGAAGATATAATCTGAGAGCCGCGGATTGATAGGGATGAGCCCCAGTCTCTTCCTCTCCGTCTATGGGTGCGGTATGTTGATGGAACCATGCATCGTCGACAGCAGAGCCGAAACCGTCAAGATCAACCGACTTGCATGTCATCTCTTCAATAATATTCATTTCAATGCGGATAGTGTCCGAATGGGTGGGGTAGATGGTGTCGCGGTTAAACAGTCACTAGGGTTCTGTTGCTGTGACCGCTATGCGAGGGAAAAATACTCTGATGAATAGAAATCAACGAAAACCCTAAGCCTAAATCATAACACGGCAAGGTGCAGGATATGTTCCAAAATTGTTCAAAGTGACATCACGGGCCACTGATGCCTGATATGCCGATCAGGACCGCGGGGGCCTAGAGTTTTGATGCAGCCGCGTGGGGGACGAGCAAGGCGTAGGGCCAGACTTCCCTTCAATATCCAACTATCTCCGCCATCTAAGAAGACGGATCTATATGGAGGTATTTTTAGGAATGGCTCTGGGGGCCAGGGCCACAACCCCGCGATCCAACTTGAGCACCTGGCCCCCATACGGCCTTCTACCGTCAGATCACAGAGCAACTTGCGGCTTGCCCTGGCTGGACGGATCAGTGGGAAACTTCGACAAAGGGTCCAAATGATGAAACTGACCTCCACGTAGGAGGCCTTGGCCTTTTTATAGATGTCCCAGGTAATATGGTACTTCTGAACTCCAATGGATAGTTATAAAAGACCCTTGGCTGTACTGAAGATCAAAAAAAGCCAAACAAGCACTCAGTCACAATAGCAGCTTCAATAGCGCAAGTGAAGCCCAGCTAGGCCTTTTTATCCAATCATTTGCCATACCGAGATGAAGTTCACCTTGGCAGCCGCGTCCGTCCTCTTTTTAGGAGCGACGTTGGCCCTTCCAGCTGAAAGGGTTGTCGACCTTGAAGCACGAGCAAATCCATCCAACGAGCCCATTGACGTAGGTTGTGAATAAGCTCAGATTCGGCGTCATGCTTCTGACTGATAATTCTGACAGTGGGACGGGCCCAACTCCTCCGCATCCATCCAGTGCGGCAAGAATACCTATGATGGGCTCGATATCTATCTTGCCGCAGAATACGCCGTAAACTTGGGCCTCTTAAGTCCTCCAGAGACAAGGGGTGCTGGCAACTACCCAAATCCTTTCGACAACGACGACAGCAAGGGAAACCAGTTGCATTTCCCTGCTCACTGCCCAGAGCACGACGAGAACCGGAAGGAGTACCCGCTTGTCAAGAATGGGCCTTACAACGGGGGCAAAAATAACAGAAAATACGGGGATGAGCGTGTGGTCTTCTACTACGATGGCGCATCGCAAGGTGTCGACGGTCACCCATTGGTCTACTACTGTGGCTTGATTACCCACGAGGGTGCGCCCAAGGGGGGGCTTCAACCAATGTGACAGTGGGAAATAGGCTTCAACTGGGCTTGTTCTGGGGATTAGGAATTCTCTAGTTTTTCTCAAATTGGAAGTTAATGATGTATCCACCCCACCTTCACCTGTGAAGGTTGTTCAATAGTACTAGTGGGCTGCCGGAGAGATTCCCTACTACCAGTATCACGCTCAGAATAATAGCGCCAGTTCTATGAGGTGCATCGTCTCTGTGGATCCTCTACATGATATGCCATGATGCACCGGAGGAATTCAATACTCGGCCATGATAGCAGTCAATTGATTTATTGAACGCGCTGTCTATACCGCTGGGAGGTGTTGCACCGCCATGGCGTGCCTCCAATGACCCGACAGGAAAACGTCCAATTCAGAATTGGAACGTAAATCGGTAGAGCTTGGCGGCGGAGAATAGCTCCATTCACACAGAGATCGCACGGAAGAGTTTTGGTGTCCATATAATCACCCTTGCTATCAGGCTTTGCGGAAAATATCTCGCCGCGACTCTGCCAACCATATATGACAAACTCAAGCCCAAAGATTGTACGGAAGGGCCTAAAGCAACGGCGCCAGAAGTGGCTAGAGCATCGCAAATACAGGTTCTGTACGGCATGTGCTAAAAATGTTCGGGGAATGCAGCAAGCACCACCATCAGGCAAGGGGCCCATAGAGAGACAAACTAGCCTGGATTGGAATAGTCAACCGCCATTGTACACAGTATAGGATGACAGGGTAGTGAATAATGTGAGCCATTCTAGGATCGGCTGGATAGATAAGATAAGAGTAGTAGCCTTAACCCGATCAGGAAAGTCGCCGGTGCTTGCCGTGACTGTTTACACTTTCTGGGATCTTGTCTTCTCCAACCTCCATCCTTTCGGGGTAGGCGCGGAATCAATGTCCTGTCGAGTCTCAACGCTTCTTTAATTGTAGTGTTGAGAGTCTGGCCTACATGTCATACATTAAACTCACATTGAAAAAGCTCAATGCTCCTACCTTGGCGGCCTTTGTTGCCACCAAGGCCTGCTATATTCTCGTTCGCTAGAAAGTCGCCCTTAAAAATCCCGCTCAGCCCCGGTCCTCTAATTCCGCAACGAGATCTTGTGGATGAGGAGATCTGTCCTGACTATAACTCGGCAACGTTCTACCCTGCAAATCCTGGACAGGTCCTTGCCCGGAGATTCCAGTTACTTGTGAAGATCGGCTGGGGGTCGCAGTCAACGGTGTGGCTGGCGCAAGACATTTCGAGGTTTGTATTCGTTGCGGGTCGGAATTTATCTCCTTCGTATTGCACGCCTCGAGACTGACCCTGCGACTTTCGATCAGATACAAGTGGCAAAATGAAAGGCTATGTAGTTTGAAAATCATTAACAGCAACAATGCAGATGATGCTCTTCATGAATTGGAGATTGAAAGGCATATTGCGCAGCAAAATCCAGAACATCGTGGCCACGTGATTCTCCGCACGTGTCTGGACCACTTTGAAGTCAAAGGTCCGGAGGGCCGTCATATGTGCCTTGTTTACGAAGTTATGAGAGAGCCTGTCTGGATATTCAAGCGGCGTTTCGTTGATCGCGAAATTCCGCTACCCCTAGCGAAGGCTTACATCTACTTTCTCCTCGCTGGCCTCGATTATCTTCACTCCGAGTGCAAGGTTGTCCACACGGGTGCGTTTCCCTGGTGTTTCTTGCGCTTGCGCAGGAGTTACTGACTCAATTCATTCCTTGGAGACCTAAAACTAGGAAATATACTCATGAGCTTTGAAAACGCAAAAGTCCTCAGTGAATTCGTCAAATGTCAAGAACCGATGCAGAGGAAGATTGATGGCCACACAGGCCGGACTGTGTACCGATGCCATAACGACTTTGGCCCTCTTTCTGCAAAAGAACTCAAGAATATGGTTCCAAAAATCGCGGACTTCGGTCTAGCAGCAAGTCTTGGCAAACAGTCCACCCACAACGGAATGGTAGGGGAGCAGTTTGGGGTTTATCCTATCCAGCCCGATCATTATCGCGCCCCGGAAGTTATACTTGGCTGTGGTTGGGATTGCAAAGCAGACATATGGAATTTTGGTGTGCTGGTAAGAGCCTCTCCGATTTCAAGAATTGGACATCAGGAAAAGATTATATCTTCTCCTTGATTGTGACGAATTATCATGAAATGCAATTGCTGGATCGAGCTAATGATCATGGACCGCAAGTTATGGAATTTTCTCGGGAACCAGGAGTTATTCCAACAGGTATTGAATACGAAAGGCCAATATGATGCAAAATCACACCTTGCCGAGATGGTCGCTCTTCTTGGACCCCCTCCAAAGGCACTGCTCGCGAAATCAAAGGCCATGTCAGTGTATAACTGGCCCCATATGGTCTCAAATGATGCCGGTGAAGTTTGCAATAATGCTCAACAATTTTTTAGAGGCCCTTTTTTCAATGAAGAAGGTTGGTCGGAAGCTAGTGTTGTTCGTCAACTTTACTGATTTTTGCAAGGTGGATTTCAAGATGATACACTGATCCCATCCAGAGCCCTAAAGGGACACAATCACTTTCCTCGGTGAAAATGACCGAGATGCGTTCTTGTCATTTGTTCGAAAAATGCTTGTTTGGCTTCCAGAAGAAAGAAGCACAGCTCGCGAGCTGATGGACGATCCATTCCTTAGGCTCGGGGTCTGATTGCTCTCTTACTTGCATGTCGGTAGAACTGCAGAGCCTTCAATTAGACCGCACACACCTTGCATGGCTAAGCGCTCAAGAGGGAGGAGCACTTTAGCGGCGTAACCAGTCCTTAATATCTCCCAATTTTCAGGCGATCCCTTGAAGTTTGGTTTCATTCAGCTCATAAAGCAGGGGCCGTCAGTCACCTGGTCAAATCTTCCGTTAGTTGGTGCCATAGCTGCCTCTGCCGGTGGCAAAGGGTCACTGTCTATATTACACTGATCGGGGCTGGGTGTTACTCTGTGTAACCTCATCCACTCATACGATAGCCGTTGAAATAGTCTTAACGCACACTTCCCATGTCTGCTCCTATTGATATTAGTTATCTAGCATGTCGCAGCAACGATCTTCCAGTCTCAACAGCGGCGTGTATATCCAGGTTGGTTCGTCTCATCCGAAATGAAGACAAGTTTCCCCCCCTTGCAACACTATCTATGCCCACATGGCCTTGAATTTCCCGTTAAAATCATCCTGTAGCATTTTGAATGCTCTCAGAACCCTTAAAATACCTTCATTCCCGCCGTCAGTTTCTTCCCAAGAGCTTTCTGAGAGTCTCTCAGGTTCACTTCGATCCACTCCAATTTCCATTTCGATAGCTTGTGCGTTGGTTCCGGTTTGCTTCGGACGATTCGAAGTGCCCTCACAGTCATCATTACCTTGGCCAGTCTCATCACTACTAATGTCATCCCAGCTCTCTGCAATAATCGAGGTTGCTAGGGCCCTGGAAGTTTTCTGGCTCTTCTGATCTTGCTGGGGTTTGGTTTGTATCGCAGGCTTTGGCGTTTGGATTTTTCGCATGTCCAATTCGTCCAAGGTGCTGTCTACTGCCGCTTCGTGATCTTCTCCAGCACCCATGATGTCCAACATATCAATTTCAGTCCCAGGGGTCAATTTGAGAAAGTTTTCCAAACTTGTGACGACCGTCGCTAGTACGAGCGAGAAGTCATTCAATAAGAACCAGATGTCGCCCTTGCGGATGCCGTTCTCCTGCTCCAATGCACGGATATTGCCGTGTTTGAAAAAGTCGAACAGATACGCATTCAGAGCTGCGCCGTCTGGGTATCCCATCATGGAAGGTACAACGGCTTCTTCGAGCCACACTCCACCCCGAATGGTTTCGCAAAGATCGGATATCTTACACCATTTATCGGAATGCCCTGAAAGTGCATAAAAGGGAGAAATGACATAGGTGTCCTTTGCGGGTGTGATGTTCGGAATGCCTAGCTCGGACCATGATTCGCTTCCTCCGCAATTGGTATCTGTAAATGGAAGAGTGCGGTCGGGGTCGACGATATGCTGGTCGATGAAAGTGGTAACATAAGCAACGTACACGTTGAGGGTATCCTTGTTATGCTGGTGCAAAACCTTCAATGCCTTCTTTGGCATTGGAGGAAGGACCACCAAGGAGGTGCCCTTCCGAACATTGCTTTGCATCTGCTCAAGTGTAGCGTGGCGCAGGTTCTGCCGGCCGAACAAGTGGGATAGAACAAGCATGAGCGTGAGAAGGGTATTCTTGGGCTGTCGGACCACATTTGCACAGAGAGTGTGGAAGTACCCGGCATTCAGCAATGCGTGGAATGCAAAACTAGAGTTCTCCGTATAGTACAGGTGACTGACACATCCTGCGAAATTCAAGGGAGCTCCATGGCGGTCCAGAAGCTGATTCCGTCGAAGATACTCAATTGAAAATCGTAGGTGATGGAGAACGGTATCTTTCATCTTGGGCCCCCCCAGGTAGATTCGCGCGCAGGATAGGATGGAGTTGACCGCGTTGACTGCATACGGTGCATATTTGGACCCGTACAGGAGGCTGCACAAGCGCAATACGAGACTGGTGGTGATGGGAAAGTGCCCATTCAGATGCGGCAGTCTTGAACTGATCAGACGGCACACCTTTGAATACGGGATTCCTTGGAAGACAACGTTCCCAAGCATGTCAAACCCTCGCCGGCCTGCTCTGCCGGCCGCCTGGCGGTAGTTGAGCGCCGTCAAGAAGACTGAATCCCCCGAGAAAACCACTGTTTTACACGGCATGTTGATCCCCAGAGCTAACGTCCCGGTCGCAATGACCACGCGGAGGTATCCCTTACGGAAGAGCATCTCACAGACCTGACGGTACTTTCGATTCATACCGGCGTGGTGGACTCCGATCCCGCGCTGCAGAGCCGAAATGAGCCAGTCGGCGACTCCACGCGAGCGAAGTTGCTTCGCGTATTCCTCAAAATCGCCAGTCGACAATTTCCTGATGTTGGCGAAGGTAAAAGGGTCCAAAGGAGCGTCGGGATCGAATGACTCATGTGGACTTGTATCGCACGACGCGGACTGGCGAATGCGCTCTGCCCGGGATAGGTCGTCATCCTCTGCTCCTCTGATTTTCGACGCAGAGGGCTTCTTCTTCTTGGCCAGCTTTTCTTTATTGAGTTTCCATTCTTCCCATTCCGCTACCTTCTTCTTCCAAGCGGAACTTGACTTCTTCCAGCTTCCTTCAGCAGCCACCAGGCTGTCCCAAAGGATGCGGCATAACTTTTCGCACATACTCCGATCATAGTTGAAGAATAGAGCAGGCAGTGCATTGAGATCATGCAGGGAGCAAATTAGAGGAAGAGTCGTGTTCAGAAGATCATCAGGATTTAGTGTTCTCGGTTGGTATGTCAAATCCAATTTCTGGGGAGAAGGGCCAGTTCCGGATTGTGTTTTGCTTTCAGCACATTTTGTGTTTGTGAGCTCGGTCAAGACGAAGTCAAATGGGGACGCGGTGTTCATAACCCATTCTCTCAACAAGGCCTTCAGTCGCGCTTCCCACCGCACTACGTCTATCTTCCGAACAATTTGAGGAAGACAAAAATGGGGATCGAGAGACTCTTCCACGGGGAATGTCGATGTCTCATGCTTCTTCATAGCTTTCCAAAGCATGAGGCAGTCCCGTGGCTCTAGGCTCAAATCGTCAGGTATGCCCCTCGAACGGTCGATAATGCTAGCGACGGGATGAATGAATTCCATTTCAGCTGTATCTTCCAGGCCCAGAGCGGGCATCAGATGAGGTTGAAACAGCCCACTGAAGGTGAATTGCTTTGGCGGGTGATAGATGTACTTGCGGAGATCGGAGTAACGCTGTCGATGCTCGACCAGCCTCAACTTAATGCTGTTTGCTCTTTGTGCCATGCTCAGCCAGTCGCAGAATTCCTGCGGGTTGCCCACGGTAGCGGACAGGGCGACGATGGGACAACATGACATCAGAAGAAGTTGCTCCCACACCACGCCATCCTGTGCCTGTCCAATGCAGTGAACTTCATCGAAAATGATCCTTCTTACTTTGGACGACCACGTCCTGGCATTTACCGGCGCAAGCAGCATGGTTTGCAGATATGCGGGACTGTGATAAGGATCTGGCAGTTAACAGGATTGTTGATTCGGTAGTCACGCGTGTGTATCGCCCAGACTGACTTCCCACTGCACTTCTTCGGATACTTCTTGGAGAAGCGGGCTTGGACCTCGGCCGCGATCTGGTTCACCAGAGCCTTTGTTGGCGCTACATATACAAGCACCCCATCATCATCATCCTCAAGGACTTGCTTCATAGCATAGAAGCTATACATGCTGTTAGTTGTAGTCCCCATGATCCGATAACATAATCAGGTTGGCCGTGAAACACTCGGGAAAGGGACTCACGAGATGAAGGTTTTGCCAGCGCTCGTTGGCGCCACGACAAATACGCTCTCCCTGGCGTCAATCTGGTCCAATACCTGTCGCTGCCATTTATCGGGCTCAAAATCACGGACCCGACTATCCGGTGCCGAGTCCATGTTGCGATCTAGGAATGGGCCTGCATGTGCCAACTGGAACTCAATAGGTGACTGGGTCTCATGAAAGCCCGGATTTGCGGAAGTCAGTCGGACAAACCTAAATGGCAATCTCCTCGTACTGTTCGCTTGGAGGTCGACTTGCGGCAAACGAAGGGCATTGGTCACGCTAACAACGCAAGCTGCGATGTCGGCCGTGACTGATTGCTGCAGTCTCGATATTTTCAAGACGGTGGACCATATTAATCCTAACACGCTGGTTTGCGAGTAGGGTATTGATTTTTTGGTTGCCAGGGCATATATTTGAACCAACGTATCGAGCTGGAAGGTCAGGATCTCAGCTTCCAGCGACTCACGACTTTCCTTTGCTATGCTCGATATAAACCGCCCTGCGCTCAAATAGCGCTTGGCCAGATCGCTTTCTGCCTGAAGGCCTTCTACCTCCCGATGCCACTTGGCAACTTGTTTCTCGTGACCTTCTTGACGCTTTCCTTGCGTGAAAGACATAGCTTCTTGCCGCACAGCCATTGATCGTGGTTTGTCCACTCTCTTTTTCCCAGAGTTGCCTGAAGAGGCTTCCCCGATATCGGTGACAGTACGAGCGGTATTCCCGTTTCTCTTCTCCTTTCCTGAAGCCACGAATATCACTTCCGGGTCGAGGATGTTCCCAGTCGCATTTGTCAAGCTAGCCGCGTAATCCCTCATTTCAGTCATGAAAAAGTCGTGCCGCTTCTGAGCAAGCATCTTTTGTCGTGCCGACATGGTACTATGTGCCTTGGGGTCGATTGGCCGACGCGAATTGTGCCAATGGCTAAGCTCCCCAAAGATTTTTGACCTTGCCGCGGAGACAGACTCCGGGGCAGATGCATCGATAGACAATTGTATCGACCGCAAATGGGCGTCAATAACAGAATTTCTAAATGGTAGAAGACTGACTCTGGGCTTAGGATCTTTCTGCAGCGGTTCGTCTTGCAGGCCCCGAAGTTCCTTCGTCTTCGGTTTCTTCGCAGGTTTCTCCTTTATCTTTCCCAAGACCTCTGTCTGAGTAGCATTGCCAAAGCCACAGAGATCCCCAAGAAACGCCCAGATATCTTCCATTTGGGAAAATACTGACGATCGAACATGATGGACTCCACCCCATCTATCCATCTCTGATAAAATCGTCAAAAACAACCTTCCATCCACCAAGTCGTACAAATCACAAATGGGGGAAGCGAGATGCATTTTCTCTTTCCAGACAGGACACTTCAACAGTTTTAGACAACTTTCTGTGAATCGGTCCAGAAACGGCTGTTCTGTAACTTCAGGTACAGAGGCCATTGCACGCTCTGAAAGACTACATCGGCGTAGAATTATCATATGCAGAAGCATAGCGCGTGCCGCTCCGAAATCGTGCTCCATCATGCTCCCTGACTCCGCCATCATCACAAGTGTGCTAAATATCAGATACTCCCGCTGCGTGAAATCAGATCGAGATGTACCTACAACGGCCAAGCTACTCTGAAGGCGGCCTGGGTCAACTATAGAGGTTGGTAGAGACTCAGAGGTCCCACTCGCGAATGTTGAATCATGACTGGTTGAGCGACACGGGCTTGTTTGCTGCCTGAGAGGCAGGTGTGCACCTCCGTCTACTCCATGAATTGGCGCACTGCCGTCTTGTTTTGATGAAGCATCGGAAGTCATTCCTTCATCACTTGTATCCGAACTTTCGCTATCCCTGACATTATTTTCTTCCGGAGTTCGTCGTGAATTTGTCTTTATGGATTGTTCGAGGATCATTGAGAAAATCTATGTTCGGTTAGCTCATACGGTACAACTGTACGGCTCTCCTTCGGCAAAGCTGGCCTTTGTATCCCTGAAATCAAGGCTATTAATCAGTGATATATTGTATCCACGGTCCATGAACCAGTGAATCATGGCTCGCAAGCTGAGCCGGTATTCCAACACCTCGTGGGAACTGCTGGCAGGGAGCTGCTCCCCGTCTGAACTTGTACCACCGTCTATGTCTGAATCACTAGCCGACTCTTCGAAGCTGCTATGACTTTGGATGTCAATATCAGTGTCCACGAATTGCGGGAACGCGCCGTCGTGGCACATGAAGAAATAAACCCCAGCTGTTAGCAGGTACGAGTGAAACTCTAGTGCCCAATAACTGGGAAACTCTCTGATTGACGCTGTGCCGGTTGTAGAACCCATCTTCTGTTTGAGATGCAATATGATTGCTTCACGAGCGAGAAGATATCTGGCACGATGTCTGTCTCGTGTCCCCACTGGTACGCAGAGGTGCGCATTCTCGGCAAAGAACACTAAGTGAAAAACGCATCTCCTTTGCTTAAGCTTCTGTAGGAGTGATTCCACGAGATATGTTGCGTGTAAAATCTGGAATCCGACCGAGAAGTCGAGTTTCTCATTCGAGAATGATTGCAGCAAGAGAGAATCCCCGTCGATTATAAAGAGTTCATCTCCGGCATAGTCTCCTACGAGATCGACCGTTCGCGAATACAGACCTTGATACCTAAGACAACGTTTCGAGAGTCACATGAAATGCTAATAACGGTCTCGATAGTTCCCTCAGATTCACTCACCACAAAAGTATGCTCGAAGACATTGTTCGGCGCGTGGCTGAATCGAAGTGCATACTGGGCGTAAAGTTTAGCTGAGCGAGGAAAGACGGTAATGCCGTAGGTTTGTCCCTGTGTTGAAGTTGAAGTAACTGAGTCGACGCTTTATTTGACCTCTATTAAGAGGGGGTTTCGAGCGGGGATCTGCTTTATCGAAGAACTCAATCTCGTGCTCGGTGTCATTGGGCAGCAAGTAGAAGCCAAGGCCCTCTACCATGGTGATGGTATTTTGCATGTACGAGCTAACCTTACCACCCGGCAGTCATCTGGCCACCCGAGGGTCCAATTCAGTTGCTGACCTTGACTCTATGAGCTGGCTTACTAGATCATCCCTGCGCGACACCAAGGAAATTTCCCATTTCCTTATCAGTTCCAATGGGCTCAGTTTAGGTCATTCATCTTAAAGGACCACCACGGTTGGTAGACACGTCGTTAATTGGCTGGCAGCTGTGCGTTGCCCATCAAACCCCTGTCAAAAGCTGCATTGCCACGTCAGCGTATCGACCATTTCAAGTATCTATGCGCAGTATCACCTTATGATGCATCTTCTTTGTTGTTACGTCTGTTATTATTTGTTGATGGAGGACAGTCGCACGAAATGGCTCATGCCGTCGAACAATCAGTGATACGACCCCGACGAGTGGAATAGAGTGTGTCTTCTGAGGCAGTACTTCATTTTACTCGTCATAATAAGAGCTGCTCTAAGCTTTTGCTCAGGTGACACCAAAGCAAAATCTCCGGTAATGTGCCAGAGGCCTTCCAACGTTGGTTCCGCATGGGTCGAGGTATTATATTGTTTCACCAGAGCGGGGTGGACGGAGGCTCTGGTCACACGCCAAGACACTAGGGCGGAGCAACGGGAATTTATATTTAGCTGACAATTCTCATACAACACTCGACACCTCGCTAATAAATTGTCAGGAGCATTGTACCTTTGGGTCTTGCGACAGAATACTAAACTTGCTAGGGATCCACTGGTAATGTATGGCTTCTGATTCGGGGCTGTCACTAATTTGATCAGAGGTTAAGGGGATATCTACCTGCGCTGATTATATGTTCTTGGGCGGGGAGAAGCTCGAGTCATGAAGGCGGAGCTCCATGCTTGTGAGAAACTTTTACATCCAGTCTATGGGGCAATCTCAAATGATAGGTGGAGCTCATCCATGTAGAGAACGTCTCTGCGAGCCTAGAAGTAAGCCACTTGATGACATGCATCCTATCACATCTCACATACCACCAGGTTGGACTAAACCATGCAAGCATGCGTTGGCCCAGCCGATGAGGGCTGATTCACACTGCTTATTATAATTTACATAAATAACCCCCCTTCATAACTGCAATACTGGCCTTTGGTGAAAAGAGCATGGCTTCTACTTGGATCGCAAACATCCCCCGCCCGGGGTTCACAAAGATAGGCAAATCGAGTCCTGCATCACGAATGTAGAGCATCTGTCTTCATACAATTGGATTGAATCGGACTGCCCGACTATTGCTGTCCCCGGCTGCCCCCCCACTCTGGGCCCCGCCCAAAGCCCCCAAGACGGCGGCGAAAGATTCCGGGCTAATTTATATTGCTCAGAATGCCGTCCGCCATCCTGAAAGTCCGCTTGAACCGCTTTTCCGTTCACTGTACATCGAAAACCCATCGTATCGCATAAACCAGGTTGACTTGATCAGCGATCGAAACAATATTCGCAAACTTCTGTCTTTTATCAACCCGAAGTTCTCGAGAAGTGGCTTGGAGCCTTTCACCATTGAAGTTGAAGTCATAGGAAATACAGCCGTTTTCTGTCGGGCGGAAACCAAAACATATGAGTTTATTGGGCCGAATGAATTCAGAGGCTATGGTCACGAGTTCGAGAAAGCCTTTACAAAGCCCCAAGTGCCTGGCAGCACAGGACATCATCGGGTCGTCTCCTATAACCTGGGCGGACTGAAATTCGTAGTCCGCTACGAGACAGATGCGTACGATGGAGAGGACCTAGGACGCCAGCGTGAAAAGTTGAATTCGGAAGAGGACAGTATCCTGAACGTGATGCAAAGCCTGTCTTTGTCGCGACACGGAAGCCATTCCCGCGCGACGGTCGGATCCAAATTAGTCGTTCAGAAAACTGGAAAAGAGGTCCCTCCCGATTCCACCCTTGAAATCAAGACGCGCGTGTCTCATAAGCATTTGAGCATTCAAGAAGTCCTGCCACAGCTATGGGTCTCGCAAACACCCAGACTCGTCCGTGCTTATCACAATCGCGGCACATTTGCGCCTCCGCAAGTCGAGCATGTCACGCATGAGATTGCAGAATGGAAGAAGGCACATGAGCATGAAATCAGAGGGCTGGTGGTGTTAGTCGAAGAAGTCCTCAAAGTAGTGAAAGAGCATGGTAGGAATGCTGTCATAAAATGACGGTCGAAGTGACAACCTTGAGATTTGGAAGAGAGAATCTGGTAGGATGCTACCGGATGATCTCTATTCGAAGCTTGCAGAGGGAGCAGAATCAACGAAAGCAGCTAGCGCAATGGAATCTCTCTCGGAAAAAACCCCACTAAAGATCGGAGACACGGTCTATAAGTTGGACGTCTCGAAGATTCCATACCTCGCGGCTTTCGTCAAATTTCAACGTCTTTCTCGACCGGGAGATGATTTAGATCTTGTCCATGGTGATATTGCTTTGTTCGATGTTGCTCTCAAGGGGTTGGAATCAGGGTATCGACAATGCTTCCGGTGTTTGCGAGGAAATATCTCGCAGTATCACACACTCTGTGAGACGTATGATTTCCTTCGAGTTGACGTCCTCCGCGGCCAGTCAATTGATACTATTTTTGCCGACTTGAAAGCCTGCAAGACCGATTACAAGTTTGACTATCAGCGTCCTCGGGCTGTAAAGGGCGATAAGACCCAAGCACGAGACGCGGCATTTCGACTTTTATTTCTCATCATAAGGGGCAAATTCAGCGACGAGAAGAAAGACCCTGCTAAGGTTTACAATGCTGTCCTGTTCATTGTCTCGCACTCAGCTACTTTCAAGCCAGCCACCCGGTTTGTAGTGTGATCTGCTTTCCTCGAGCGTTTAGTCGTGTCTGCGAAGCAACGAATTCAGTTGGATCGTTGGCAGAAGGGGAATACTGATATATCTTCACGTGTTTCCAGCACAACAGGGGAAGATTTTGATGTTCCCTATCTTTCTGATAATTCCTAGGCTAGTAAAGACTGATCTATTGCGTATCCTAGCTAGTCGCGGCGTTTTGTTCGGTTTGTTCACAATAAGACCCTTCACAACTGCAGTCATTAGTTCCGGTGGAGTCGTGTTGACTCGTCCTATCAAGTTATTAAACGACCAATCGCCATTCCCTGTCTCGAGCCTAAAGAACAAGAAGTAAATGCAACTCAAATTTTAAATCTTTCGCCAGGCTGTTAACTTTCGTTTCCGTTCTTTTCTCCATGGTCATTTTTGCCAGCCCTCTTTCCACCGTAGCGAAGGATATATAGCTGGTCGTAGTCGGTGATAATGATTACGTGGTACTGGTCATGATGCTCAGGTACCACTTCTCCAGTGACGCGAGACATGATGCATGCCCTGTGTCAAATAGGTTGACTGTCTGCCAGTTCCTTTTCTACACATCCTTGCCGGAGCACCCCAACAACGAAAGGTTTCGTATATATCCTGTCCAAAGTCCTAAACTCTAGAAACTCTCTCCGCGTGCGCAGATATTAGGTGGTTAAAAGTGATGGGAAAATGGTTCTGTCTGTGATGACGGCACCCTTGTCGAGAACCTCCAAGATTCTTGCATGTTGTGTGATGGATCTGCCTTGAATCAGGGAAGAGGCATGATTGAAAGATAAAACGCAATACCCAAAGAAGGAATTGATAAGGAAAGTACCTCCGCTGTGGCTGTGCGGGGTTCTGCATATGACTCAACTTACAATGAGGAGCGCCCCTCGGGCTTACCCATCGTCCACAAGTTGTAAGAGCGGGAAGGGCACTTCCGCATCATTTGATTGGCCAAGTCTGACGAGGACACCCCTTCCAGGCCAGACGAAGAGGTTTCTGATAAGTCACTTGTGTGATGCAGCAAGGGAGGGGTTTATCTCCAATTGGCTCTTTTGAGTTGGTCAGGACTGACGTGGCCATGCTCGTACCCTCTCCACTACCTTCCCAGAGATCAAACTCGTGCTCCCTTATAGTATTCTACCTCCACCGCAACCGTAGAGCGACGAGAAATTACAACAGACCGTATATCCTCAACTCCGAGCATCCTAGTTATGGATCGACGACACCCTCGTGAGTATCAACTCGAGATGCTCGATGCGAGCCTGAAACAGAATATCATCGTGGCGGTTCGTCTTTTCTTCAAATCCGTTATAGACCTTGCTTATGACTCATGATCTTTTCTAGATGGACACGGGCAGTGGAAAAACTCAGATGTATATCGCTATTCAGGAGCGTCAACCGTCATCAAGCTGATCAAAATCATAGTGCAGTAATGCGGATCAAAGCAATGCTAGAGGATGGGCCGCCAGAGAAGGTAAACATCACCCGAGTGCTTTATCTAAGAGATGGGAATTGATAGTATTCATCTAGCTGATCTGGTTCATGGCCCCGACAGTGGCCTTGTGCTCCCAGCAGCATGAAGTTATTGCTTCACAAATCCCGAGTGTCAAGACCCAGGTTCTCACAGGTCAGGATAATGTTGATAGATGGACCCAACAATCTGAATGGGATGCCGTTCTTCGAGATGTGCGGGTGGTAGTCTCGACCTATGCCATTCTTGCAGATGCGCTGACCCACGGGTTCGTGCGGATATTGCAATTGTCGCTTCTGGTCTTTGACGAAGGTGGTTCATGTCTAACGTTTTGGGTTTTCTTCTATGAAATCTGCGACTGACACTGGCACTAGCACATCATTGCATGCGGAATCATCCTGCGAACAAAATTATGGCGAATCATTACCATCCTAACCACCACCCAGATGATTCCGTTCCGCTTCCTTGTATTCTCGGTCTCACTGCTAGTCCCATCGTCCGGTCTGACATGAAAGAGCTAGGGTTGGCTCCTCCATCTAAACATTCGCAAAATCGCAGCTAAGTCTCTCAGGATTCTGGAAAAGAACCTCGATGCGATCTGCAAAGCCCCTCGCGTTCATCGGACTGAGCTCCTGCAACATGTTCACCGCCCAAGTCTCGAGCGCATCCCTTATACCTCATCTGACGACACCCAAGGTGCTCGAAAGAGTCGGCTCATGCATTCACTATCACAAAGTATTGCAGCTTACACCGCCCAAAATCTGGAACTGACTAGGGGACTCTGCCAGTGCCCCAGCCATGACCAGTCGGACTATGAAGCAATCACCATCAAAGGAGGACTATTGGAACGTCAGTTACACAAGTTTAGGCAGAAAAGTGCCCATATATGTCAAGAACTGGGCGCCTGGGGTGCCGATTACTTTATCAGTGCTTCGGTGGATCAACTCCGAAAATCACTTGGTGAAGAGATCGAATTGTCTTTCCAAGATAAAAAATGGCGTCTGGAGCTACTGCAGGCTTTATCCACTCTGAAAACGCTCGAAGATCCACCAAGCGATTCCGACATATCCCCGAAAGCAAAAGCCCTCGTAGAGTTCCTGCAGCGAATGGATTCCCCTCAACTCTCAGGATTGATTTTCGTCCAACGCAGAGCGACAGCCAGTGTGTTAACGCAACTCCTCACTGATCATCCTGCAACAAAAGGCCGGTTTCAATGCTCCGCTTATGTTGGGTGGTCAAGCGGCAGCAAGCGGACGGAAGGCCTTGGTGATCTACTAACCCGTGCATCTCAAAAAAACACCCTCGCTGAATTCAAATCGGGCAAGAAGAACCTTATTATCGCCACCGACGTCCTGGAAGAGGGTTTAGATGTGAGCGCCTGTAGACTTGTCATATGTTTTGACAAGCCGTCAAACCTCAAGTCATTTATTCAGCGACGGGGACGAGCTAGGCATCACGAATCCACGTTCGCCATCATGACCTCGACCGAGGACGACGCCATAGATGTGGCAAGTTGGCAACGTCTGGAAGAAACTATGATAGCGTTATACCAGGATGAACAGCGTCAGCGGTCCGAAGCGATCGGACTGGAAGACGTGGATGAAGAGGTACCCGGGTTGCTCCGAGTACCATTGACCGGGTAGGCAGTCCTGTGTTCATGATTTGCGTTCGTTTCTGACCGACATCGCAGCGCAGTACTTTCCGCAGATGGCGCAGTGCAACATTTGTACCATTTTTGCAACGTCTTACCTCGCCGAGACCACGTCGAAAATCGCCCATTCTTCTCATTTGAGGAGCACGATGGATTGTTTCGGGGCACAGTCCAACTTCCAAGTGCCGTTGACCCAGCTGTACGAAGGACAAGAGGAAGGCGCTGGTGGCGATCTCAACGGGCAGCGTCGCGCGAAGCAGCATTTGAAGCGTATAACTCCCTGTGGGAATATGGACTTCTGAATAACAACCTTCTACCGCTGATCGATAAGCCTGATCCAATATCTATCAGAAGCAACACCCTCTCCGCAGAGATAAGTTCTTGCTCGGAACAGTTTGACCCTTGGTCAGAGATTGCACAAGCATGGTCGCTGGATAAACCTTCGAGTGATCTCTATAAAGTCGACCTGAATATCACACAGGACGGAATTGTGAATGAAGATCTGTCAATATCGATCGTTCTCCCAAAGCCGATTGTCTTGCCCCGAGCGATTCCCTTGTACTGGAATGACCAGACAGATCTGGTAGCCTCATTCGGGTCTTTGGAAAGGTTGCCTTGCACTGCAGCGCATGAAGTTTCACTAATGAAAGACATCACTGCGGTGTTCCTCCAGGCTCCATCTTCTAGACCAGATGCTCCCGATCGAGATTTTGTGATCTTATTCATCCCGCAGATACCCCACGCGCAACTTGAAGATTGGAATGCAAAGTTTTGCGGGGTGATGCGGCTGTCGGATTTCCATAAGGATAACCCTCACAGTGCTCCTCTGGGTATCATTCGCAATCCGGAGAGGTATAATAAACCACGGGTCTTTCGAAAGTGGATATATCCCGAACAAGGCGGAAGTCAAATTACGCAGGTCGAATGTCAATCCATTCCTCGAAGACGCAATTTTCTCCAACCTGGGGCCAGAGTGACGACTTCTAAAGATGGAAAATGCCCAACACAAGGGTCCCCCCAAGGTCGATGTCACCCCAATAGACTTGTGCACGTTGACTCGCATACCAGCATCGAAAGCCATGGTTGGACTCCTTGTCCCGGCGATTCTCGACCGAATGGAGGCTCTCCTGGTCGCAGAAAGGTTGAACTCTACTATCCTCGATGGCGTGGGAATACAAGACCTCGATCATGTATTGACCGCCATCACCACTCCGCTCTCCCAGGCTACTAGAAACTACCAGCGGTATGAGTTCTTTGGAGACACGGTGCTGAAGTTTGTTGTGAGCTGCCAATTGTTCTTTAACAATCCTACTTGGCACGAAGGCTACTTGTCTGCAAAGCGGGACCAGATCATCAACAATGAACGTCTGGCTCGTTCGGCTCTTGACGCCGGGTTGGATCGCTTTGTGATTACCACTCAGTTTACCCAACGTAAATGGCAGGCGCCCTTGGTCTGCCAGAAGCTGAACAAGCCGAGGGCTTCTAGAAGCCTTGCCTTGAAGGTATTGGCGGACGTCGTTGAGGCGCTGATTGGAGCCGCTTACCTGGATGGGGGGGCTAATAAAAGCACAAAATTGCATATGTCGGTTTCTACCGCAATTACATCCTTTGCCCGCGGAGATTCCATCCTCGCCTGGTGTGATGTACCTGAGTAATGGATTCCACCGCGACCGGCTGGTGCCCATTATCGGATACAAGTTCAAGGATGCATCTTGGCTGATAGAAGCTCTCACCCACCCGTCTCTAGATTACGACACGACCTCCAGATCTTACCAACGGCTGGAGTACCTTGGGGATGCGGTTTTGGATATGGTGGTTATCTCGCTCGTATCCGAATCTCCCATCAAGCTGTCGCAAGGACAGATGACAATGGTCAAACATTGTCTTGTGAACGCCAATTTGCTTGGATTCCTTTGCATGGAGCTCAGCGCGACCGAAGAAATGACTGAGCTAGTTCGTTCATCAAGTGAAACCCCAGTGTTTGCTCGAAAGCAGGAGCAAGTGCACCTATGGCGATTTCTGCGCTTCGGAGCACCTTCGGTCAAAGATGCACGAGACGCATGCTTGGAACGTCACCGCATGCTCCGCACGCAAATTCTGGCGGCGATGGATCACTCTCCGGACTATCCATGGGAGCTTCTAGCTCGCTTACATCCAGACAAATTCATGTCAGACATTGTAGAGAGTATGCTGGGCGCAATCTTCGTGGATACCGCTGGAGACCTTGGGGTGTGCCGGTCCTTCTTAGAGAAGCTAGGCCTCGTCGCCTACCTTCACAAGCTGGTCAATAAAGGGATCAATGTAAAACACCCTTGCGGCAGAGCTCAGGATTTGCTGAATACTCAGGGTCCTCTCGTGTTTAATGCCAGACGCATCGAGGCAGCAGGAGCCCCCGCGACTTATGGGTCTTCTGCCATGCTTGGAGAGAAAGAGCTTGCCTCCATCGAGGGGTGCGCGTCATCTGAGGAGGCCGACATTCGAGTTGCACATACCATCATTAGCAGAATGACCGAAGCGCGGCGACAGTCTCCTAGCCTGCCAATGGAGAAAGATCTGCAGAGAGGAGATGATACAGATTGTCCCGAGTGAATGACACATTGTCACCTCTACTGGGGGCTAAACAGCATTGGCCCGCGGACATCATCCGTATTGCTCATCAAAGAAAATTGAGAGGGCATTTGTAATGACTTCACTGTCGTGCGTGGCAACGTGTTTCAATGTCGCTTGACCACTATGTATGTGTATGGAATCAAAGGGGCTTTATGGTACCATTCCCTCGACGCATCTTGACTGTTGATGCCGTACCCCTTTGTGCTTCCTCTCTTGGCTACTTTCAATACGCATGTTTGTTTACTGGCTGTGTCAGTTACAATTTCAATACCGTAATATACCCGTGCATTGAGTACTCATCGTTGTAAAGGCCATGGGCGAGATCTGGGTAATACTGACTCCCCCCTTGGTTTTGAGCAATAGTGGAGGGCTTACGGACACTACCCCTTGATAGAAGTATAACATCCGCTCCCCGTTTATGGAAACCTATGGTCTATCCTAGGCCGTCTGGACAGCTCTTGACACGGGTTAGAGAACACCTCGATATATAGCAAGCGGAAACGGAACCAGTTAACTTTTAGAAGCAGTTGAGGGTCATCGACAGTTTTGCATGGAAATGGAGTGGCAGCCTGCCGGGGATCTTGTACGTCCCAGAACTACTCATCGATTGACCTGCCTTACGCCGAGACACACTATGATGCATGGAAGCATGGTGTGGTAGATAGGAGGTATGGAAAAATCATGTACATTTCATTGGTGGACTCAAGCAATGTTGAATGGCGAAGCCCAAGCTAATAAAAGAGTGGCACAGGCAGTTCAAGCCTAACATAAACCAACTTCCGACGGTTGCCATTCTGTAGAAATCGCACCAATGGACCTATTTGTGTGCTTCCAGAAATGCCTGGCCAACCATTCAGAGTTGGATAGTGAGACAGTTCAAAAGACCCTTTTCAACGTTAGTTTGGAGATCCTGCCATAGGCGTAGAGCATGACTCACGACCCCATTTGTCTCGCAGCATGCTGCCTGGTTGTTGCAATCCGCAAGCAATGCTGAACTCAGTTAGAACTTTGAGCTTCGTAGTTTCCAAGGACACTCACGAAGGCACAATCCAGGCAGGACATCAATGTTCAAGATATCAAGGCTGAGGCCGGTGCAGCATTTGTTAGCCTGCGCCGTGGTGCATTGAGAAGGACTGCCACCACCACCGCCACCAGGAAGAGCACTGACGGCAGTAGCTGCCATAAGCATCAGGACTGTAGATAGAGAGTGCATCGTGGATCAAAATCAAGTGAAAATGTAGAATTGTTGTGGGAGCAATCGGTGAGAGGGCTTGCTATCAATTAATTTTGGCGGAGGGAGTCCCTATTTATATATCTTTCCCTGCCAGACTGAAGTACTCGGTCAGGTTGTCAACTCGCATAACCGAAGCAATTCAGGTTTTTCCAAATGCCCTCCAGACCATCACCGTGGCTTCTGTACTTTTCGTCTGGTCCAATCGGTTGTCCTGTTCATCCAGCGCGTCGAGGGACCCCGCAAAGCTGGTAGCATCAGCAGACAGAATGAGGCGCACAAACAAGTCTCAAATCAAGCCATGGAGGATCTAGGCCAAAGGATCTGGGCGCGTGAGCTGTTCCAAAATACGATGCTATTGCCATTGACCCTGATGGGGATGAGAGAAATGGCTGGAAGACCACGCTGCCCTCGCATTAAATGTAATTTTCCTTCAATTAAAACAGGAGCAGCATTCTATGAATTAGCCAACTGGATATGATGAACCGTGGTGGGTCTAGAAGGTGGGAGGCTATTCTGGTCCTTTAGTTGTGTCGTGGTCAATAACATGACATGTCGAAGATAAAGATAAGAATGACAAGGTTCTTGCAGCTTGAAGCAATCTCAGTCAGACCCCGAGCTTCCCATTCAATTCGCCAATGCCCAAGGCTATTATTTCGAGTTCACAATGCTCGAGCTCGGTGCTTGTACCGCTAATTCCTAAACGAGAGGGACCTGTGGAGTTTCTGCCGCAAACAGAATAGACCAATCTGCAGGATGCGGGTATCTCCGAAGCGCTGGGGATGCCAAGCACACTAAGATCCAGAAAATTCTCAAGGAGATTAATTCCCCAACCCGGACTTTGGAATGAAGCTTCGATTTGCAGGGCCAAGGAGGCAAATGCACCCCGTGGGGGCGGGAGTCGAGTTAAGTGTCACAGGACTGGAGATTAGTTCGTATCCGGGTTCTCAACCCGGAGGCGCTTTCGTCTGCGATGGCCAGGATGAAAGTCTAGAAAGCGAATCCTCAATCGAATGCGCGACTCTCACCGTCACCAGTCCACATCGCGGACAATTTTCTCGCGATGGCAAGATACCACACATTGACATCCCTGGGGAGCAAAGCGTGGCCATTCGCAGACTCCCAGTGAAACGTATGGAGGAGTTCCATCAGAAACGCGAAATCCCAGTGGCGATCATTAGAGTATTTTGCGTTCGACTAAGCGATCTTTTGGACTGATCCGCGTTGCCACCGAATGGTCTCCACCGGCTGGAAACAGGATTTGATGCCTGCTGTGTAACGAGACCTTACTTCTTTGAGAGGTTTAGCCTGAAATCGACCACTTGTTGCTATTTCTGTATTGAAAGAGGCACGCAGGCAAAAAGGTCAATACGTTACAGCATCGGTGTCTGGGCTCTGTCGACCAGCCCTGCGGCTTCTCTGAAGGTCACTAGTGCTTATTATCCACAGTACGAGACCTTGGATGGGCAGTCAAGATGGCCGTCCGGATCGAGGACTTCCTGCTACGTTATGCTGAAGGAGAAAGGTGGAGATACCGGCCTCGTCCATGGCACTGGCGCGGCCGTACTCCTTCAAGGTCGACTCCTGGTGAGCCTGGGAGAGAGTGACCAATAGGTCGGGCGTGGTTCCTTGCGTAAGATCGTGCCTGGCTTTAGATACCCTCATGTATCACACCACTACATACAGCCCCTGATCGGGGTGTGTTCATTGGGCGATGGACCATATCGAGATCACACGCCACATCGCTGTTCGTCGACATACTTTCGAACCCCCAAAAATGCAAAGGGTAGACTATGACATGTCAATTCTTCCTCCCCACGACCTTTGTCCGGCATCGACGCTTCCCGATTTCGTAGTGTCATTATTTCCAAAAAAAAAAAAAAATCGCCCAGAAGTGGGAAGGGCCAGCAACGAGGTCCCCCGAAGCCTCGAGCATATTTCCTTCCAGGAGTTACCCACTATCGCTGTAGCGAACGGAAGTGAGTATCGGGGCCAAGCATAGACTGTCACGTTGGGCCATTTTAGCAAAGGAGCAGACGCTGGCTCATCGAAATATATACTCGTAGAATAGGGAAGGCTAACTAGCGGCCCTGATGAGACGATCGTGAGAATCGCCTTGCCAGGCGACCTGGCCAGGCACTCGCCTCGATCACGTGTGACCAACAAGGTCATGTGACCGTAGACGCCTTGCTCTCGTATCCCCTTTTGACAGTCACAAGGTGGCTATACCATGATGTACGCAACCTAGATATCATTCTTCTTATCTCGTTCTTTAAGCAAGCTAGTAAAGTCCTGTCTGGGTTTATCATAGGAAAGCTTCTCTGCGTCGTGATGACGAGTCAAGCATTACGCCTTCCACTACTTCGGGGCTCCATAACATTAGAAGAAGCTCTTCAGCGGGAAGAGGATATGCTTCTCGATGTGCTCTTATCCCAATTCCGGGATAGATTTTTTTGTGTCTCTCTATAGCCATCGCAATGACATCGCGGCAGTCGTTTCAGGCCATTTGGGACTAGGCCGATCCAATCAGTGTCGCTTGGGAGAAGTGAGGGAGTGGATACACGGCAGCTTCAATGTTTGCATCCCGGTTTACGTCGAGAATTGGACCGCAGGTACAGCTAAGCGGGTTCTCATCCGGTTTCCCTTGCCGTACAAGGTGGGGGAGTCGGCTTATCCAGGAAATGCTGATGAGAAGCTCCGTTGTGAGGCAGCCACATACATTTGGATACAACAGCATCTCCGTGATATCCACTTCCTCGCCTTTGGGGGTTTGGATTGGCTGGGGGCCAAACTGTATGCCATCCAAACACACGGTGATCAACTTTGACGCTAACAATGACTGGGCATAGTTCACCAAGCCCGAAAACATGCCAGTGGCGACCAGGGCGATTTGGTACTTCAAACGATGCGTGTCATGGCTCTTAGGATTTCCGCTACCGTGCCCTTTATATCATCCATCATCGTCAACAGATGCTGGAGCAGAGTTACCTCGTCATGGACTATATTGATGAGCCGGATGTGAGGAGAATGTTGTCAGAAACATGGGATGACTTGCCACATCATCCAGACAGAACAAGCAACTTCTACCGGGACTTATCTAGGATTATGCTTTCCTTGAGCCAACATCCACTACCTCGAATAGGGTCTTGGACGATAGGCCCACATGGAGTAACTATTACATTTTTCTAATTGACCTCTCACTCTTCCCCTTCGGCAGTTAGAAAATGCTGAGATCCCGACCAACATCGATCGGAATGTGACTTATCTATCCACCGATTCATATTACTTGGATATTTGTCCTGTCACGATAGTCGCATACGGCACCAGTCGAACTCCATCCACGATGAAGAAGACGGACGTGCGCAGGTGGCGAATCTGGGCGTCATGCAAGCGCTGCTTCCTCATATCACCAGTCGAGAGCTCCGCCAAGGACCTTTCTTCTACCGCCTCACAGACCTGCATCAAAGAAATATCTTCGTGGACAACGAATGGCATATCAGGTATCTAGTCGATCTTGAATGGTCATGTTCGCTTCCAGCTGAATCCTTGCGCCCTCCGTATTGGTTGACCGGTCATGCTGCAGATGATATTCTTGGTGAACGTCTGGTCGCATTCAGCGAAGCCCATGACAAATTTACGGACATATTTGAGGAAGAAGAAAAGCGATATCCCCTTTATTCAATGACAGCGCGTTCAGGACAAATATCATGAGAAAAGGCTGGCAGGTCGGAAGCTTTTGGTTTTTCCAAGCCTTGGATAGCCCTAAAGGCCTATTCAACATTTTCCGTGACCATATCCAGCCAAGATTTGCGCCATCTCAAAGTGCTGATCCATCGGACTTCTCCAGAATAGTAACCGAGTACTGGGCTGTGGATACCAAGGATGTTATCGAGGGAAAGTTGAAGGACAAGGAAGTCTACGAAAATGAACTACGTTTGCGTTTCCGAAATGGGCCTGATTGCACATAGCACTGTGGTATATAGTAAAAAGTTTCACTTAATGCAATCTTTAGGATTCGCGAAGTCCGCACTACCTTGACGATATAATGTTGCTTGGAACAGCCGTTGTGGAGAAGCTTGATTCCGATATGTATTACCTAGATGACATGCGTACTGCCAAAGAGATCTATTTGCCACGCTTGACTGCAGAGAGGGTTGTGATCAAAGCTAAGCCCTTCGGATTGACCACGTCGGATAGTGGCAAAGATGGGATTCCGAGGGGGGCCTAGTAATCTGGGATTCACAATTTTCGGCATGGATGCGACTTGTTTGGATAATAAGATATTGGATCAGGAAAGCTGCATTGAGGTCAAGGAGATGTATGACATTCTTGACGCCAGAGACCTTTCAACTTAGCAGGAGTATATAAGGAATGGCTACAACCAACTCTTTCCAAACTTGCGTATCTCGAGCAAGTCCAGGTGCCTATAGACATCTTTAAAGCCTGAGTATTTGGATTCACGGAGACACGGAATACCGGCTGTGAAGCGCTTACTCGGTGTGGCATACACCACCCAGCATCCTAAATTTTGCCCTCTGGGTCTCTTGAATATTTGCCACATGATCATCGTCGTTCGATGTGTCATCGGATCCTGAAGCTTTGAGTGCCCGGAAGGTCAGGTTGATGTCTAACAAACTTGTCTTTTTGTATGGATACCTCGGAATAATCCCATTTAAACGGTATAGCCACTAACCTACACCAATAATGGTTACGAGCACCACTGTTTGCCCCCTCGAACTCCCTGTGAACGCTCGGTCTGCTCATAATTGGTCTTTTTTACGTCATAAAGACGGATGGCCTTTCAACTAGATAAGTGCGCCATCAATTTCTGCGAAACTATTAGGTTATCCAAACAAGGGATACTATTCTAAGGTACTGACATGTGACCTGTATGAACCTCCCGCTGTTGTTGAATTTTGGCGGATAAACTGGCCCAAAAGAGAATACCATTTTCGGCAGTAGACGGGAAAAGAGCCTGGCGGATGGTTCCATCCTGGGGGGTATAAGACAGTCTCTGCAGTAGTTCAACCTACCAGAGCAAAATGGGGGTCATGGGACGGCGTATTCATAAAGTATACCTAAGCGACATTCCTTACAAAGTTCGCTATCTTCCTGGCTGCTTTAGGCGACAGGGGCAGTTACCGGGCCAACGTGACATAGCATATATTCCTTCGACCAAAGCATCATAATTCTCATCCACTGCTCGTCAGTAAAGTTTGGATCCCACTCAACTCAGTGCCCTCCACTGCTCCATGGAACTGGCTGCTGCAATAGGCGGCTTTGTAAGCCTTGGATTACAACTGTCTGAAAGCATCATCACGTATTACGACGGATGGCGAAATTGCAGACAAGATGTGGACGATGTCTGTAATTCCGTGGGAGAGATGCGTCAGATGCTAGCGACTTTGGCAGAAGCGGTAAGGCGGCGGACTCTGAACGGCTTTGACGAGACAGCAGTCTTCAAGCATGCATTGCAGCGATGTGAAACAACCATGCGCAGGTTGGACAGGAAGGTTGCAAAGGTCAAGGACAACACGGCGACGGGTGGCTTTCGTGCTCGCACCAGGTTCGAGTGGGAAAGGGTTAAGTACCCGCTAAAAGAAAGTACTATTTTAAAACTTCGAGATCTTCTTCACGAACAGAAACTGGATCTAGTTCTCATTCTCAATGGCTTGAATCTGTAAGTCGTCTCTATTACTCCTTCGCTGTCAGATGCTGAGATACCATACAATATGCCAGTGATGCATCATCTGCCGAATTAGATACTATCACCCAGAACATGTCTCGGTTGTCCTGTGATATCTCTCAAATAAAAGCATACGTGGGACAGAACAACGAAATGCTAGAAACGTCACGTCAAGGTTTGTGTTTCTTTCTTTAGAAGAAGAATATACGGTTATACCTGACTCGACAACAGCCATCACAGAGCTGGAGCATAAAAAAGTCCTTGAATGGATTTATAGTGAAGATCCAGGTATGTCTTACCAGTTACGTGAGGCCAGGAGGCATCCAGGCACATGCCGGTGGTTTCTCAAAACTCAGGAATTTCTGCGATGGAAATCTACAGGGTCACTGCTGTTCTTGAAGGGGGAAGGTATATGTCCAAATGCCCATCATATTGGCTATATTTGACTAATCCGTTCATCTCACAGTCGGTCGTGGGAAAACAATTTTGTGGTAAATCTCAAGTATCTGTATAGGCAATAACGTTGACATGCGGGCTAACTTCCCACGCAGCTCTGCAATAATCGAGCACCTCCAATCCTTCTGTACAGCAAACACCGACAATGTCCTTCTATTTTTTTTCTTTTCATTCGCTGATGCCCATCGGCCAAATCATCTTCTTTGCCTCTCGTCATTATTAAGACAAATGTGCGCGGATGACCGAATCTTCCGAGATGTCATGAACTTATACAAGAAGTTCAATGAACCTGCTACAAGGAGCAATCTGCAATACCAGGACATTGAGCTCGCACTAGATTCTGCCTTTGCGTCCCTTGAGCGATGCAAAAAGATACACATTATCTTTGATGCCCTCGATGAATTACCCAATGACGCTGACGAATTCCAAAGAAGCCGTGTGCTTGATTGGGTTATAAAAACTTCTACACGCTTTCGGCACGTACGCATTTTAATTGCGAGTCGAAGTAACTCTATCTCTCAAGCCATTGAAGGCTGTGCAGGTTCTATCCCGTCAATGGAGATTGCCACAATTGACTCGATGAGTAACCGCGAGGACATGTTCCTGTATCTCGAAGCACAACTTGAGAAAAATTGTGTACTGGGCAAAATCCCTGGCGATTTTCTCTCCCAGCTCTCCAATGACATGATCAGGTTGTCTGATGGAATGTAAGGACTTTGATTCATTAGCGACAAACTAGAAACTATAGTTACCTATCGCTCACAATAACCTCGCAGGTTTCAATGGCTTCATCTTCAGATTGTAGAGCTCACGAAACTGCCTAACCCTCGGATAAAAGACATCCACCGAGTCTTGAAATCAATGCCAACGAGTCTGGACGACACATACGTCAGAATGCTACAGGGCATTCATTACGTCTTTTCAAAGGAAGCAGCAAACGCCCTCATGTGGCTTTCAATTTCCTTTGAGACCACTCCGCCTGGTCGAGGTCAACGAGTGCTGTATTATATCGCCCAATAATAGGCCAGTTATAGCAGAAGAAGACAGACTACAGGGAGAAGGCATTTTGCCGTGTTTGTCCGAACTTGTCCGCCGGACTGAAATTGATCGCAACTGTCTGGTTCTTTCCCATTTCTCAGTCAAAGAGTTCCTCACCTCGGAAGCTCTGAAGAATAGCCCTCATTCGTCATATGGGTTTGATGAGAACTCAGCGCATGCTTCAATTGCGGAAAGCTGCATAGCATACATCAATTATTGCTATTGCAGTAATCATAAAAGATGTACATGGACGGACCTTGAACAGTTTCCCTCTCTTGAATATGCATGTCGTTACTGGTTCAAGCATCTAACATCAGCTGGAAAGAAAGATGAAACGAAGCTGGCTCCTTTAGCATCCACATTGCTTCATTCTGGCGAAGAGTGGGAGTACACCCTTCTGATATATAACCATTTGGATCCTAATCCACCCTTCGAATATTCGCGTCGAAGACGGCATCTCCGCTCGCCTTTAGGGTGGGCATGTGTCCTAGGCCTTGAGTCAGTGGTCAAACTTCTGTTATCAGAAAAGAGTGATCTCAATCTGATACAAGACATCGAGTTCACTCTGGAGATTTGTCCTCCACACGCCGATGAATTACCCAGCTTGCGTGCTTTCTTGCCGTCCAGCGGTACCGCCCTCACGATAGCAGTCGAATTTGGGCATACTTCAATAGTGGAACTCCTCCTTGATAAGGGCGCTGATATAGACGCCGAGGGATGTGGAGGTGATACCGCCTTGTCAGTTGCATGCAAAGATCGAAACGAAGACCTGGTCAGATATCTCCTGAGAAGAGGTGCCACTCCACATTGTCATTGTCTAGCTGCCGCGGTATTGGTGGAGGCCGAGTCGATTTGTGAAATACTATTAGCCGCTGGGGCCTCAGTGAATGAGGAAGGGAAGAAAGATACCCCATTGATGGTAGCAGCCATGCATGACAATTGTGAGATGTGTCAATTTCTCCTAGACTTTGGCGCAGATATCAACTACCAGACGAATCTTTCCGAATACGAAATACGCCTTAATGGTCCGAATGATGCTTTGGCTACAGCAGTATATTATGAGAATGTTCAGACGGTGAAATTCCTTCTTTCTAATGGGGCTCACATCAGAGGCAGTGCTCTGTTGTTTTCTTTAACTGGACAAGACGATGGACCCACAGCTAAGCTCCGTGAGATCTGCCATATTCTGATTCAGCATGGGGCGGAAATGAATCCAGATTTCGAGGGGAATTTTAAACCGCCGCTTGCTATGGCCCTCTCTAATGGGTGGCTGGATATTGCTCGATTCATGATAAGCAAGGGTGCTCTGGGTGACCCGGGGAATTCTAGCTACCTTTTGGGAGGTAACATATTACTCGAAGCTGTCTCTAGCGTCGATATGACCCGTGAGCTTCTGTCCCTGGGCGTTGACGTTAATTGTCCAATTGTAGCTGTTGACTCTTGGTCCTTGGAAGATGTGTTCGACGCATGCAACTTCACTACAGCCCTCCAAGCCGCAGCATATCATGGACATGTTGACACCGTGAAACTGTTACTCGAGAATGGTGCCGATCCAAACATCCGTGGTGGGCGATTCGGAAATACTTTGCTTTCCCTTTTCGCAGGGGCTTATCACGCCATGGTAACTAAAATCATCGACTTACAGCGGCAAGCACGGAGACACGCCCTTATAAAAGACAATACACTACAGATTTATGAGCTATTGCAGGAGCGAGGTGTCGATAACATTGCTCCGTGGAATTTGCTGGATGGGCTTGCGATCTGTGAATGCGCACTTGGGATCAAATATTCAAAAATCGAGGCCGATATTGTTATTCCTAGGCCGATTGAGGAGAAATTCTCTGCCATTCCCTCTGATCAAATCTATCTTATAGTTAGGGCGGATACTGGTGAAGAATGAATCACCCTCGACAAAATAATCGTCAGTATAACAGTATAAAAGTCATCCATATTCCACTTCTTGCGGCTAAATGGACCAAAGATGAACAAAGAAACCTGCCCCGATAGACACGTTAGACTTTTATTTCTGTAGGGCGGGAGCAATGGCGCAGAAGTATTCCCATCCTTGATTTCTATCCTCGCTAATATGGCTTAAAACAGAGTCACCAACATGGTCAGTGTCGCCTGAGCAATCGGTGACCTCATGAAGGCAATTTGTAGCTGGCCGCCCGCGAAGTTTCCTTAGGCCCTTATACCTACTGCCTTGTACACACCATTTCTTCTTTATCACATTTTCTAGAAACCGATAGACAGTGAGAGATCGTAATATAATACTAGCAGAGACTGAGAGAGAGCTTGTCCTTAGTGATCTCCCCTAGTCATCTTTTACTGAGACTTTCCAAGTTTACTTTACTAGGAATAATAGTTCTTTAGAATGATGTTCAAACCGAATCCCATCTAGAGGATGTACTATATAAGGCGTGCCTGGGAATATCCGCAGATGAAGTGTGGATATGGTCGACTTGTGGCATAGCTGATACACCATTAGCCCAGGCATGATTCATCACAAAATGGGTTTACAATCTGATGGTGTCGAAGATAAGTATATCAAGCTGAGCCCGACTCGGAATCCACTTTTCTACTTCTTGTTCTAAAGCAATGAAAGGAATCTTGCTTATAGGCACTGGGAGTACTAAGGAGTTGGAACGGTGGAAGTATATCTTCTTGCGTACAGCGCAGGGCCTGTCTAGGCAGAGCCGCCACACTGGCCCGAATAATCCACAATTTGCGATGCTTAAGATAGAACTTATTCTAGTGCTGGTCTTCATTGCCAGTCTGAGGAGAGCGATGAGCAATTGCCCTAGAAGCCAAACCATTCCATATCCTGCGCTCCGTGGATGGGGACTGTATGGCCGACGCCCGTCGCGAAGATTCCCTGGAGATTAGGGCCCCAATTGGTGGTCTGGTAATTAGCCTGTGGGGTGTTTGCGAACGTTGACTGGGGAGCATCATAGTTGTAACCGAAGACACCTGCCCACTGCTTACAGGTCTCATGGTAATTTTGTGGGTAGAGAGTCGTATCGGCACTGCCGTGATAGATCTGCATCCGGGGCCGCGGCCCAGAGTATCCAGAATACATGGACTCCGCTATTCCGGCCCAGACGCTAGGGTTGCTGATGACATGGCCTTCGGCACAGCTACTGTTCCACGCATCGACTTGGTTGCTGGCGGAGTAGAAGCAGCCGGCACCAACGCCGGAGTAGACTGTCGCTGCCTTGAAGAGTTCTGGGTACGTGGCTGCCATGACATTCTGTGACAAGTTAGTGGCATTGGCAAAATATGCAACAAAAACTGACTACTCACTGTCATCATGGCCCCAGAGCTGGATCCCGTCACAAATACTTTGCTGGTATCTGCGTCGTATTGACTGATGGTCCAAGTCACCATATTGGCGATTGAGTTGCTGTCTCCACCGCCATTGTGGGTCAAACTGGCTTGTGAGCTGACGTCCCAACAGGTCCCGCTATAGGGGCTCTGAGGATATATGACAATGAAGCCATACTGCTCAGCTAGCTGGGCATAGGGTGATCCGGTGTAGTATGCCTGGGCTGTGCCAGTGCCTGGACCATCCTTTATTATTGTTTCATTCCAGACCAAGGGCATTATAGACACAAGCAGTGTACTTACAATAGTGGATCGCGACGACAATGCCGGGCTTAGCAGACAGTTTCTTAGGGACATAGATGTACATAAGAGTCCCAGAAGGATTGCTTCCAAAGCTGGTCACTTGCTGGAGTGAACCGGCGGTGACTCGCTGGTTAACATCCTTTTCCAGCGTTCTCGCAGAGGAAAACGCCAGAAAGAGAAAGAAAGTAGTAAAGAACAAGAAAAACTGGCGTCTCATAGTGGGCAATGTTGGTGTAAGCCTGCTATCGTCAACTTGACTCCATAGGCTGTTTGGGCATGAGGCCAACGGCAATGTTTTCAATTATTTATCCTGGAATCACTAGGTGACTTTACCCGCCTCTGCGAAGTTGCTCTAATATCACAACTTATTAATTTCTCCTAAAGTTTCATGAATTTTTCCGCAAGTTTCATAAGTTCTTCCGCAAGCTGCAGACCGTTGTCGAATTTTGGCTAAATTCTCCAGTTGCTTACCAGCCTCGGGCGAATGAATGAAGAGCGGGTGGGGGGCGGTTAGGCTATCTCTAGAGCACCCTGAAACCGCCAAGGACATGAATCCCCCGCATTGGTAACATCTGAAGCTCGTAATTTGCAGAAGCATTGTCACACCTCCTGAATGATTCAATTAATGTTGTGTCGGAGTTGGCGCAAGCTCCACAATTCTGTCTCTTCAGGGCGCCCTCTTCACCCGAAGTTGGACCGTTGTCTTGAAGTCAATTTATAATTTCGTATATAATATAATAATCTAATAATAAGCTTTACTGATACACACTTAGTAGCTTTCTTGGCCTCACCAAGGCTTTAGTGTAGTTAGTTTATTGGGCAAGTCCAATCAAGGTGAGGGCTGATGTATCGTCGTCCGTGTTATGCCATCATATAATATCACCGACGGCCAATGGTTTTAATGCATCGAAAGCTAGCAGGGTATAGGACTATCATGAGGGATTTACTACTTGCCCATGAAATTTTTCTTCTTTTTTGTTTTTCGTTTGAGTTTTGCTCGATATATCTTTAGTACGAAATAAATGTCCATCTATGTCAAGCCCTTTATATTGTTATATGCTCGGGTTGTATCACTGCTATAATCTTAGAGTATCGTTATTATGCTTGGTATATCGAGACTATGTTGGTGCATTGCCTAAGACGTGGTCACTTATGGCTCCCTTAGTCAGGACCAAAACCTCCAAGTTACCCCTGGATACGGAAATGCGCCCGCCCCATTTGCATGCTTACGGCATCACTAACAAGACCATCGAATGTAACTATCAGCCACACAAAACACAAAATCGTCGAAGTCAGTAGAGTCAACAATTCTTCATAGCTTCTAGGCCATGGAACCCATCATCAAAGAGCACTATTCAAAGAAACAGAATACCAGCTACATTTCCCGAATAATGTAGAGGGGGTATGTTTCAAAACAGCATTGTCAGTTCCTATCAAGGCTTCTGCTTTACCGCATCCTCCCTATCATTATGGACAATTCGAAGGCTATCTTTGACTCCTAAGCCCTTTTTATTTTCCGTTTCGAGCGTCCAGAACGATGAATGGCGCAATGCTTGCCAGCTTCTCCCGAGTTTCAATCAATTCCCGTTGCGGATTAGACTGAGAAATGACACCCGCCCCAGCTTGAATCCACCCCCGGGACTCGTCTTGGAACACAGTGCGTAGAACAAGTGCTGCTTCAAGTGAATCCGAGTTTTCGATAAGCAGAATAGCACCGGAGTAGAGTTCCCGCGGCCTCTCTTCCAAGCGCTGAATGCCGTCGATAGCTGCATTCTTTGGAATTCCGGATGCCGTAATTGACGGGAATAAGACATTGAAAGCATCCCACATGTCTTTTTCGGATGATAGAATCCCGGAGACACTAGAGCCTAGATGCTGGACAGAACCACGCTCTCTAATCGACATCAAGTCGTCGACTTTGACTGTATCGCTTGAGCAAACTTGCTGAAGCTCTTGGATCGCCTCCTTTACTGATATGATGTGTTCCACGATCTCTTTCGGGTCGCTGAGTAGTTCATTTCGCAGGCGTTCGACATGTTCTCTTGTTCCTTTGGCTGATCTTGTCCCGGCTAATGGCTCAGTCACGATCTTTCCATTCTTCGCTGACATGACTAGCTCTGGGCTAAAGCCTGTAGCCTGGTACCCCGCATGGCTTATGGAAAAACTGCGGGCGGGATTGTTGGATTGCCGACCAGCTAAAAGAGTAGCTTGCATATCGATTTTGTGGTTGATATCCAAGGCGCGTGATGGAATGATCTTCGTGTAACGTCCCACAGATATATCATCAAGAGCTTTCCCAACCCCCGTGATGTAGGTTTCTTTGTTCACATCTGTGTCTATGGGGTAGACATTTTGAGAAGACGTAAAGTCGCAATTGTTAATTCCGTGACGAATTGAATGATGCAATGCCTTGACTTCTTCCTCGTCGTCACCCCTAATAGTAATGGATTGCTGATGAAGGGTTATCTCGATACGAGGAACCAAAAGGGCTATAAGAGGCCAGCTCCCAGGAGTAAAGTGTTGTCCGCGGATTTTCGCAGCAAAATTGAACCCGACCAGGCCAAATATCTTGTAACCAGCCTTGGTTCCTTCAGATACGAACTCTCTCATCACGTCCGTAATCGATGATCGCCCTAGTGGGCGTGAAATTTGACTGGATGGTCTAACAATGGTAACAGTTTCGCCCTTGGAATCAATAACCATTGAATCTTTGCTCTTGATACCAATGTACCAATTTCCTCCCGTTCATATGCGTAGTAGTCTTCATGCTGGTACTTTCTTAGCACCGAAAAAACTGTCTCCAGAACGTCGGCTTCAGTTCTGAAATTGATCGAAGTTACGTAGGACGACATTTTGTATATCTGGACGTTGAAACAGTTGAGTGGAAATTTTGTATCGGTATTCTCTCTGTAAGGAAGACCCTTATCCTATTGTGAACAAACATGCATGGCATGAAGAGTAAATTAATAGATTTCTGACACCTTAATGAGACCCCAGCCAAAACAGGATTCTATGAGCTCTCTGGCTGCACAGAAATGAAACTTTCTTATCTTCTGGACTAAAAACCATCCCTTGATAGGTAGGCCCAACGCTACGGTTACAATATAGAATGCATGACGTATCCATGGCTCACTAGGCTCCAAAGGTATTCGTAAGTATCTCTTCGATGATTAACTTCAGGAAATACACAATATTCTTGCAAGCGAGAAAAGCTGAGAGATGAACGTGGCGAAACCTGCTTGTATGCGCCCGTGAATCCAACATGATCGATGTTTGCCGACATGTTCTTGAAGTGCTTCTAACTAAAACAAGGCATGCCGAGGTCTACACAAAAATTAGTCCACGGCTTCGGATGACCAATTCTGCAAGATCTCCGATCGGCGTGGCACCATTGCTTGACTAGCTGCAATACCACCACATGTCAGAGAACACATTGGGTATCCCAGATATTGAATCTTTTCTATAGTATTTAGAAGTACCTATACAAATTCAAGATGCTGCATGATAGGAAGCCCAACTAAAACGTGGATATGATGGATTCGCCTAAGTTTCGGATGTTATTTCCTAGTCGTTTCCTAAAGCGGAATGATACATATATACTTACTACTTCAGGCTTCCCGGTTTGTGTTCTATCATGGTACTTGCAGTGTAGCTCTGATAAACTTGTTTGCTGTGGTATATGCACTATAGCATCATATCGCGTCATAGAAATCCAAACTTGGCGGCTCTTAAACGATACTTTTTTTATGGTACCTACCAATTACGCTGAATGCTCTGGATAAGCTTCGGAACAAACGTCGAAGTATATAAGTCCTCGGCAAGGAACTAAAGCTGGAAGGTAATTATCAACTGACCATATCGACATCGAACAAAAGCTTCGCTGGAGTTGGCTTATCTTGGAATATTGATCCAAAGCATCTCGCAAAAAACCGTCGTCGTATGTTCTTTCATGAAAGACATTAGAACTATGCCACAAGAAGATGATTATGTCTTAGGCCGGGGTATTGTACAGTCAGTGAGGTCAGTTTACTCATGTCAATCCTTGCCCATATCGAACGCTGGAGCTTCAGTCAAGAAGTCTAATAAAACCAGATTGGATGCACAGCATCTTCTGTGGAAGCTTCACAGAGGATACGAACTACATCCTCTTATCCCTATAAAGGACGATATGAAGATTGCGGAGCTTGGAACAGGAACTGCGTATGTACTTGGCTTTCTTTAATACTCTCTAGATCTGAATATTCCTTCTGACTCGGCATATCTTATAATAAGAGTCTGGATATTTGACCTTGCAAGACAACTTCCACCGACAGTTCAGCTGCAAGGATTTGATATATCCAACCGTCAGTTCCCGGTAAGGGATACATGGCCACAGAATGTCACTCTTGGGACTTTGGACTCTCTGGTAGATCCACCTGCGTCCCTTTGTGGTCAATTCGATGTTGTGCATCTACGAATGTGGGCAAGCAACCTGCGGCAACATGATACATCTGCATTGATTGGACACGTCAAGCATCTCTTAAGTATGACGACCTTCAGCAGATGAGTTTGACCATTATTGACGCTAATCTTAACTTCTAAGAGCCGGGGGGATATTTGCAATGGGAGGATGCTGATTTGGTGAACCAGCATATCCAAGGTCAGGACGCAGAAAGGTTTGAGCAGCAGTTGAATGAGGTTTTTAGGAAGGTTGGTCTAGATTATAGGTACGTGTTTAACAATCTGATCTCAATAGGTTTCGGGTTGCTGAAACTATTCTTTTCGCCAAAGTTGGGTCCCAGACTTGCCAAACTGTTTGCGAATGGAGAAGTTTGACGTTCTCGAAGCGGAAAAGAGCCGATTCAGACCGGAGCTAGCTCAGCTTTGCACGAATACCTATCTGATGGCTCTCCTTGAGATTCTCCAGGGGATCAAAAGGATACTAGCACACGATTCTTTGCTTTCGATAGTCGAACAAGAATTGGCTCTGCATCGATTATCGTCCAATAATACTGAAGTCATTTATAACTGGTCACCCCTGGCAATATTGGCACAGTACCATAAGGATGATCTTTGAAGAGCATTATGGATAAGAGCTTTACAATTGATAAGGATTTTCGCTTATATGAGGGCCACCCGATAACCCTCCCCGATAACCCTCATTCCATATATAGTTCTGTAGCTAATTATGACTGCGAATGACATGTAAAGCTTTTCATTCTATATATCATCGTTTATAATGAAATAGAGTATGACGAATGCTTAGATATCTCATAACTGGAAGTGTTCTTTGTGTGTGAATAGTAGACGTACTAACATCTCTGCCATGGCCTATGTCGCGAAAACATAGACAATCTGATATGAAGCCAGCACCAGCGGATGAATAGTAAGGAGGGACCAAATGTGTCTCTATGGTTATTGTAAGCTACGAAGCTATGTGGATCGTAATGCTGCTTAATAATTTTGGAAAGGCGTCGAATCGGAGTAAAATGAAAGCTCAAAGTTAACAAGGGGCCTTTCTAGTGAAGTGGACGTAAAGTGTTAAAGGGTCTCTCATGAAATACTGTATGAAATAGATAGACCTCTATCAGATCGATAAAAGCTGTACCAGAATGGCTCTAAATGTAAGCGCCCTTAACCTCGCCGCTGTTTTTGGCTTCTGAAATGGGTATTCTGGCTGGAGCAGTAGCTACCAAGCTCCTGGTCCTACTGGCCATAGCCGCAGTATCGGGTATCGCAGGAGGGGTGGCTTACTCGGCGTCCATGGATGAGCAGGCTGATGGCTGGGATATTACTGTCTATGCGGCCGGTGGGGTGGTGGGGGTGGTGACGGCCATGGCTGCGAGGCCACTCGTGCGGCCCTAAAAGCACAGAATCTGTCTAACTGGGGAACTCGGAAACCGCTCTGTTGGGCTTCTGGAAAGACGACGTAAAGGGCTTTGCAGCACGTAACGTAATTCACTACCGAGTGGCCACCCACCACCGAGTGGCCACCCCACCTAAATATAATTGATTAAAATGCATTTATCTCAACCACAACGCTATTAAATTCAATAAGCTAAATTCGAGTTCTATTAGGGCACGCGGTCAATTTATGCCCTCTAACTCCACATATACTACACGTCGGCGGCGCCCTCGTACGTGGCTGAGAAGGTTCCGGATCCAGCCCTGTTTCAGATGGTGTTGGAGCTAAATTAGCTAGTTCTGGCTCTTTTATCAATTGAGATGCCTCTAAAGCTAAGAGGCCTTCATTAGAGATAATTTGTCTTGTAGAACGAGTCATTTTTTGCTTCTTTTTCTCGTTTTCACCACGTAATTCGTTTACTTCCTTCCGGAGTAAAGCGGTCTCTTGCATTGTCACTTGACAGGCTTTCAAAACTTGATTAATTGCAGTATTAAGTGGACTTGGTGGACTTTTTGAATGTTGTTTCAATAATCTTTTGATCGAAGAGGCTTGATTCTGTAATTGGATAAAATTCGAAGGAGTTTTGGGTATCTAATCAATTTCTTTGTTTAAAGAAAGTAATAGAGTTCGAAGTCGAATATTTAGTTTTAAAAGAACTTGATCGGGATCAAAGGGTATTATACTAGTAGCAGCAAAGCTATTTTTGATAATATCTAGTTTAAAGGCCTCTTTTCGTGTAGTTAGATAGGCTTCAAGAAAATCTAACTTGTCGATAAAGTTAGTTCTAATCTATATTTTCGATTTAACCAGCCGACCATATGTACGTTTTAATACTGCAAAACAACTAACATCAAGAGGTTGTAAAAGATGTGATGAATATGCAGGCATACAGATTGTAATAATATTATTTTCTTTACACATTTAGTCGAACTTTCCTGTCAAATAGCTTCCATGACTATCAAGAATCAAAAGTCGATATTTTCCTTTCGTACACGAAGAAGTAGATGGAATGAAGATTTTTTCAAGCCAATAAAGGCCAATTTCATTAGTAGTCCATCCGTTTAGACTAACTTCGAGTTGCTAGTCGGTTGGAAGATTATCGAACCATGATTCAATAAAAACTTTGCCTTTGAAAATAATATACAAAGGAAGCGCCCAGCCCGCTACATTGATACACTTAATTACAGTTACCTATATACGATTTCCAGACTGTAAAAGCGATCTCCGACCGTAGTATTCTTTTCTTGTAACAACTTTAGTTGTTGCAATTAAATCTATTGCAAAACTAGTCTCATCAAAGTTATAAATATCGTCGGGATCGATGCCGTATTGAAGGATAGTCTTTTCAACAAGAGAAAACCAATCAGAAATAACTTTTGGATCTTCGCATTTAGCTTGTTGATAATCGTAACATCTCGAGAATCGGGAGGAAAGAAGAGGATGTCGTTTCACGAATTTTGTAACCTAATTTTCACCAACTATAAGAGGAGATGTAGATCCACGTGTTGCAAGTAATAAATCTGCCATTTCTCGAACAGTAGAAGGCCGGGGAGCTGCTCCACGTGCATCCATAGAAAGAATCCATTTCTCGAGGGTTTCCTCTTCAATTTGAGTCAATTTATGACAATTGGCGCGTGTTTCAACGCGATTTATCCGACCGGTAAGACGGCGACGGAGCGTTGTACGAGGCACGTTGAATTAGGCTGCAGCCTCGAAAATTGATCGAATTTCTTGCTTTTTAATAGCTTCAATAGCTAATAAAATCCTACCCTCCTGCTCCGTACGTTTTTAAGAGGATTTAGTACGAATTGGTGGCATGGTGGGTGGTTGGTGAAGGAAGGTGTGATTAAACGACGCGTTTTTTGATGGGGTGGCCACTCGGTAGTGGGTGGCCACTCGGTAGTGAATTACGTTAGGCTCTGCGGCTGAGTCATCGGACTTCGTGGCATTGGTTTGCGCTGCTGATCTTAGCACTGCAGTATAATGGGGTTTATGATTGTAGTCTGTTTGTGAGTATCTTAGTATGGCAAACTGTATGGATGCAATGATGATCAAATATAGGTGTACAAATATGGAATCACGTACGCTCCGGCACATACCGTATGTCATCTATTATACTTCTACTCTAATATCCTTATAGATGCCTATAACTAGTTTCGGGAGTACTATCTAGTTTATTCTCGGCCGGCTATACAGGTTTTCCATTTCTTTTCAAAACAAAGTCGGACTTCACACCGACATGAGTAGAATTTTCCCAGCTCCTATACATCCTTTCCGGGGGCGTATCCGTGGCATGCGGCGTGGGTCCCGTTCGTGAGCTGAATTGAGTCTTTATAACAAAAAGTCAGGTGCCAACCATTCGGATCTTCCTGGTGTCTACTATTGATGCTGGTAGTCTTGTGAGATCCGACTGAACCTTGTATACCATTAGCTGCTGATCCGACTATAGAAGAGAGAAATAATGCTTATAATGACATATCTTCTAGCGAAGTATGTTGCCTATAATTTAAGATTTGAATTACCTGATCAGGATCGCTTTTGGGTACAACTTCCAGTCTCTAGTTTTCTGATATGCAAGAGAAACTATATTCTTCAAAAGATCGGGATCTTTCGGCATCATATTTCTGTTCACAGTCGATATTGCTGCAGCAGAGGTTTGGTCAGTAAATGGGCTCTGGCAAAAGGGAATAGTCCACACCAGCACTCCGTCACACGTACATGCGATGATGTGGATACAGTTTATATATATACTTTGCAGATGACGACTTCTAGAAACTATAAGCCAATCGCCTCTAAAGAAACATTCTTTCCACAAGACGATGCAATTGGCTTTCGGAGGCACAATGGCAAGGTAGTATGGAGGTATCATATTGAGTTAGTTCGCTGAAAAATTCGAAAAATGAAAAAAAAACTATATGCACGCGTAAAGTCGCGGAAATATGCGTTAAGTGGTGTAGGTGTCAGGTGCTTCGCTTTGCCAAGAACTTGCAGCACGCATCGCGACTTGATTTCATCTGTTGGCTGGGCATACAGTCATGCATATTGCTCTCTATTATCAAAGAAATTGGCAAATTTTAAGCACTGTACGGCTAACTCAGCATTACATTTAGTCGTGGAAAATTATGAGTTCCTGCCTTTACCATCCCGGGCTTGTCTCGATAAATTTGACGTATCTTATGAAGTTCACCTTCTGCCCTAGTATGTCACAGGAAGTTAATGCGATGTATACGACAACCAGTTGATACATAGGAGGATTTTAAGACTGAGCGCCTCCATTAGGCGAATTTGCAGATTGGCGTGTAGGGCGGCAGAAGAAGCGGTGAATAGACTAAGAGGGAATTTCGGGTTATGACTGTGACGGCAAGGGCAAGGCACTTTTTCTGCCGGCAACTCCTCCGTCTACGGGGCAGCCAGAGTCAGGTTCGCAGGACGGTGGAGCCGTCACCATTCCGTGCGCCGCCGCAGCCACCGCAAGCTAGAGCGCACCGTTAGACTGGACGCAAAATTCTCTCGACATACTCTGCGTTCGTGCACATTGGCCTAGCCTAAGCAAAAAGTCTTTCTCTGCTCATCAGCAAAGAACTAATGGTACCAACTGCGCCAGCGACAAGCGGAATAACAAAGGCTCGTGCCATCGCCGATGTAATTGCTTGAATAGCCGCACTCCGTAGATCACCATCCAGCTTTTCGAACAGCGTGCTCTGAGCTCCTGCGACAGCACCATGAATCTCAGCCTGACTGAATCCCTGGCCGGCCAAAACATGATTCAGGTTTTTCACGGCATTTGACTGGAATGCCTGGCTAGCAATCACGAGACATATCACAGTGGCTCCAATCTGCGCGACATTCTGCAAGTTGATGGCGCTGAGAATGTCAGTGGGCTTGACCTTCAGGCTGCCCACAGAGTATCCCAGCTGCATGGTTATGCCCGTTCCGACTCCCATCAGAATGCTGAAACCGTAAATTTGAGCAGCCGGCGTCGATGGAGAGAGATAAGCCACAAATAGTGCGCCAGCAATGGTCATCAAGATCCCAGACACCAAGCACATCGGCATATAATACTTGATCTTCGGGAGCGCCCAGCCAGAAGCCAGGTTGAAAGTGATCGTGAATAGTAAATAAGGGAGCAATCGTACCGCAGCCATGAGTGACGAGTCGTTCCGAGTAAACTGAAAGTAAATCGGGATATAGAACGTAGTGAAGAACATGCAAGTATTGGCACAAGTGGTTGTGATGTAGAACAGGACCTGAGTCCGGGACTTGAGCAAGTGACCGGGGAACGATCTGCCCTCGCGAGTCGTAAAGATGCAAAACCCTTGTTGTATGGCGTAAAGAGCAAGAAGAACTCCCCAAACCACAATCATTGCGATGGTACGACCGTCGTTCCACTGCCAGGCACCGCCGGCAAAGATGAATCCCATAGCAAAGGTCACCCACATTCCTGCGCTCAGAACAAACCCAACATAGTCTGGACTCAGCAACCGGTCTCTGAGGGATCTTCCTGGGGCTGGATGAATCGCTGGAAGAGAGTATAGGCAGACCGGGGCTGTTATGGCACCAATAATCAAGTTGATGTAGAATCCCCATCTCCAGGTTGCGGAGGAATCGGAGAAACCGCCGCCAACCACCGGGCCCAGGATCGCACCCAGGCCCCAGACAAAGCCAGTACCAGCAAGGTATGCACCACGTTCCGCTCTAGTGGTCATAGCCGAGAAGTGATTTAGGCCACCCAAGTATATCCCTGTCCCTCCCGCACCAGCAATCACGCGTCCGACTATCAAGGCGCCCATGTTCGGGGCACCACCGCAGAGAGCGGAACCACCCTGGAACAATGCAATTCCTGCAATGTAAAGCCATTTCATGTTGAAGGTCGTGAAAAGAAATCCGTAGGGAAGGATGACAGAGACGGATCCTAGAGGGAACCTGGCCCCAATCCAGGCGAGTTGATCGACTTGATGGAACCTCTGAATCACTGCCCCCTGTACATCTGCAGCAATGGTCGTATCAAGTCCATACATCAGGGCCGACAGATATAGGGCCGAACAGACCAAGAACCAACGATACCCGGTGATTTTGCGAACATCCTCCTCCGTGGTCCCTGCATCCCCTTGGTCTTGTTTTTCGTTGCCAATGGGATAGGCGGAAAGCTCTTCCCCTCCTTGGCGAGCAGGTTGGTCTTCGATGGTTGTAGAATGTCTTGGGCTGGTTCCAACGTCTTTGGCCATGCTCGAGGTAGATTCGATGGGTGTGGACACAGCCATCATGTAGCGCTTACACAGGGCTATCTTGAGGAAAGATGGAGTAGCGTGCGGTGATAGGTAAGGAAAAGCTATATATCCCAAAATTAGCAACAACTCACGAAACCCTGACAGCTATTTATTGTTTCCTTTCCTTCTCCTTCCCGCCAGACGGAGATATCATAGATCATAGAGGATATGGCCTACCTTAGATCGTCAATCTGGCCTTATTTCCGTTATAGCCGTTCAGTAGAGACACTGCGTAGATCAATGAAGAAGAATCTAATCAATTCTTGCGATATACCACGGAAATAGGGGTTAAAGGACGAACTAACTAACGCCGAACATTCTGGTGAGTTGTAGTATTAAGCCCGATCTTCGTCGGCCGAGCACGCCAAGACCCACCCTACACCCGACAGGGCACAACTTGGCATCTAATGTGGACGTATCACAGCCCACGATTGAGCTTAGGACTAGGTATGTGGTCCCTAAACCCTGCGGTTCAACATGAGCAATTGCCGCTTTCAAACAGCAGAGGAAAATAATTAGTTGCAAGGGGCTCACGGGGATAACCGGCCCTAGCATGGGGAGAAGTTCCATCTTTAACATTACACCTTTACCCTTCAGGGGTATTGAGACCTTGTAGGACCTCGGAAGAGAATTTGTCTAACAGGTCAAAAGATAACATTGTGCAATTCCAAAATTGAGATCGAACATAGCAGTTGTATACTTCAAGATTGTGGAATTATTCACATTGATGAATGGAAAAGACTTATCTTGCTGGCCGAAAAGGCGTTGGATATACATTGGAGTAAACAAGAATTCAGCTTGAATTTGAATCGGTAATCAAAGAATAAATGTAAGGAAACAATTTCAATCACTAAACTATGCGGCAATGGCCTCCTGCACGATAGCCTGTGCCATTGCATCAATGCTTGTTCGTGCATTCATCAAGTCCAACATGCTCATATTTTCCCCAAACGCTCCATTCAGCCAACTCCGAAATTCTGCAGCCAGCAAGCTATCGATCCCATGATCAACTATTGTACTAGCTGCGTTGACTGCAGAGGGGTCAATAAAGAGCATGCCCGCCACCATCGCCTGAATGGCCTCGGTGACCAGTGCGACGGCCTTCATGACTTCTCCTTTATCTTGGTTATTTCCAAGCTTTCTGATTGAGTTATCAAATTGTCGACGGAGTTGCGCGGTAGGCGACTCATCAGCACCTTTCGAGCTGGCTACGCCCTTGTCGCTACCATCCACATCCCGATGGCGCCACCCATCGTCCAAGGCACGTAGCATCAAAGACACGCGAGGGTCGCGGTACCACCGAGGTACAGAACCAGAGGTAGACGTCTTGTCTTCTGCTAGTTTCATGTTGACCAATACGGCCGGGTCAATGCCAGTAACGATGTTGGCCGCGGAAAGTGGATCCTGTCCATGGCCGAGATAGTGATGTTCGGTCGTAGGATCGCTCACAAATGCAGGCTCCAAAGCTCGTAATACCTGACTACCCGTGACAGTTTGACCCTTGGCACGGAGAAACAGATTGACGGTTACGGCATCTTGGGTAAGGGCTCCTAGATCATTGATGAATCCAAGTGATACGGTCGTTGCCGGTAACCCACATCGACGTCGATAACGTGCGAAATAATCCAGGAAGTTGCTGGCCGCCAAGTAGGTGCTCTGGGTAGGAAAAGCGTAGACAGTTCCCAGGGAAGAAGTCATGACGAAGAAATCCAAGGCTAAGTCGGCTGTGGCTTCATGCAGATGCTTTGTTCCAAACACCTTAGCAGCCATGTCCTCACGGAACTTTTCTTCTGCCATCTTATCGAACGAGATGTCCTGATAGGAGACCGCAAAGTTGAACACTCCACGCAAGGTGCCCTGTGAGTTCGCCTCTTGCACTCCGCGAAGGACTTGCTCTCGGTTGCTTACATCGCAGGCCACCGGTTGAACACGTACACCCTGCGCTGCCATCTCCTTAATGAGACCCTCAGCTTCAGAAGCCATATTATTCGGCCCTCGTCGTGACCAGATCACCAAATCTCGAGCCCCTCGGCTAGCCATCCAGCGGATGATAGATCTTCCCAGACTGCTCAGCCCACCCACGAGAATGTAGCAAGCTTCCTGGTCAAAATGAGCACGAGGAACGGATTGGTGTATGCGTAGCATTGATTGCGGATTTTGATATGAGATGATCATCTTGCCAATGTGTGTTCCCTTGGAAAACTTAAGCAAAGCTTGGACAAGTTGAGAAATGTCCGATGCATAGTAAGGACGGATAGGGCCAATGTGGCCAGCGCGGAAATGCTCGCTGACCGTGGCCATAGCTCCCCCAAGTTCCACATTACGTTCGATGACAAGGCCCAGGTCAAAGGAAGTAAAACTGGCGCTCTTCTGGAAGAGCTCAAGGGAAATGCTCTTGGAGTTTGTGACGTCTAGGCGGCCGACATCCACAAAATGGCCGAGCGGTGCCAGTGCCTTGACGGACTCGTAGAGCATGTCTCCTTGAGAGGTACTGAGAATCACATCAAATCCTCCATTGAGCGTAGCGGTGGCCAAGCGTGGCAGATCCTCTAGCCGGCGAGAGGAATAAATATGATCTGGAGCAATGCTCATGCTGTCGATCAAAAAGCGCGTCTTCTCCGGTGTGCCTGCCGTGACATAGACATCGGCGCCCTTGGAGCGAGCTAGTTGAATGGCGGCCAGACCGAGACCACCCGAACCAGATTGAATTAAGACTTTCGAGCCCTGCTTCACTCGAGTGATGTGCTCGAATGCATAAACGGCGGTCATATAAACCAGAGGCATCGTCGCTGCTTCCATTGCATCAAGCCCGTGGGGTAGCTGCTGCGCCAGCGCTGCTGGGAGACGAGTATAGTTTCCAAAGTGGCCCTTGCCCATACCGTACACACGGTCGCCGACCTTGACATTGGCCACCGCGGACCCAATGCAGGAGACAACACCAACATATTCGTTGGAGAGATTGTTCTGATCGAACCGCCCGGAACAGAGACCCAAGTCTTTCCAATTGAGGCCGATGGCCTGCACCCTGACCTCAATCCAGTCCCGCGGTAGAGGCTGCAGGAGCTCGGTGTATGGCCGAAAGTAGAGCGAGGTGAGAACTCCAGGAGTCTTGAAGTCTGCACGAATAGGCCTGACGTTGCCCAGCGGCATCAGCTTGATGTCACGGTCATCCACTGTTGTTTCGTCGTATCCCAGGAAATCCGCATCAGGGACAATCCGGCTCACCCACATGCAGCCGTCCTGCCAGACCAGGTCACGATTGACGGGACTCTCGCCGCCATTGAGAGTTTTTGCTTGGAAGGAAAGCTCTTGATCGACCAACGAGCGGAGCAATTCATCCTGCTCGCTCTCCTTGACTTTGAACCCTTCCGCGTCAATGTCTATGGAGAGGAAGTCGCTAGCAGGATTCTTGCTTCCCAACGTCCGCAGCAGGCCTGAGACAAAGGATCCATCGGGGTTGCGACCCTTAACCAGGCTACATGAGGTGAGCCAGAGCATGCTTGCGGTATTTGCAGCCAAGTATTGGAAGAGACCAAGTCGACGCTGATCAGCGCCGAATAGCAAGTTTTCGCCGTCCAGGGATACAACGACGTGGGAGTTGGGCGATAAAACATTCCGCACATCATCAAGGAGGGAAGTCTGGGTGGTGACTCCATGCTGCTCAATGGCGCGAGCTAATTGACGGAGAAGTGATGGGGCTCCATTAGCCCCATGAAGGAAATGCACCACTTTGTTGTGGAGATGGTCCAGCTGCTGAGAGGCGCTAAGAATGTGGAGAGTGACCGTAGACTGGTAGTCTGACCCTACAATATCTCCGATAAGCTTGAAGCCAGTGCTTTCGAGGTTGCGGCAGTCGCTGGCCTTGACTGTGGTCCCAATCTGAACAAGGTACCCGCCTGGGCGGATGGGACTGCGCAGATGTTCCCAAGCCTCAGAGGAGTGCGCAGGACTAGACCAAAGAACAATGTCATAGAATCCAAGTTGGAAGCCTTGATCAGATGGATTCCGGTTCAAGTCTAGAATCGAATAAGAGACGTCGCGGAAGTCCGAGGTGGATTCACGGACAAACGAAAGTTGCTCATGGGAGACGTCTGCTACAACAAATTCGCTGTATCGCTTGATACAGTTTGCTCCAACAAGCGTCTCAAACACGGCTCGATGCGCGCCTGCATCGCTGCTGGCATTCACTTCCAAAATTCGCAAATCTGGATTGGCATGACCTGCCAAGTCGAAGATGTTGCAAAGCTGAGGGAATTGCTCTGCTCTCCCGGAATCGACGCGAGAGCCTCGTTGAGCTGATTCTTGCTCAGTGTGCGAAGGTCAGGTCTCCAGACCAAGCGCGTGAATGGGCTCCAATAAGGCTTGCTGGCCGAGTCTCCGGTCGCAGATGAATCTTGTTCATTATTAAGGCTGGTGAACCGCATATTATCCACGTCCAACATGACGTTGCCCTCCTCATCCAGCATCTGCAGCTGGGCGTAAGCACCGCGCAGACCGCGCAGCTTGCCACGAGAGATGCCGGTGGCCCACTTACGACCCTCCAGCCGACCACCGGTAAATCGCATTTGGCCGAAGTGGATCGGAAGCTGAACGCTTGGAGTTTCAGCCTGGCCACCATTGCAAGCCATGAGGCCCAGACGAATTACCAGATCCAAAGAGGCCGGGTGAATCGGATAGGGTGATTCGCCACCGGGGAACATGCCTGCCGTGGTATTCAAGGCCAATTTGGCCGATGCGATATTCTTAGCTGGATCAGCACGAATGTCCGAATAGCCTTGGAAGGATGGACCAAATTGGAGGCCCATGTCGGCGAAACGCGTGTACCATGTCTGCGCATCCATGGCTCGCCCATCCATCGTAGTGTCGATCGGCGGGACCTGCTCGAATGGAGCCACTTCGACCTTGATCTGGCCCGAGCAATGTTCGGTCCATTGATTGGCATCGCGGACGACTGAGGCGATGGAGAAGCGGGCCCAGCCTGGAGATTTTGCAGTGGCTCCATCCTCAAGCTCCATAGTGAGTACAATCTCGACGCCATAGTCATCCTCAGGAACCACCAAAGTCTTTTTGATGGAAACGTTGCGCATGGTCAGGCCGGATATAGGAAGGGCGTCGGGAAACTCCTTATAGGCATGTTCCGCGGCCACCATTGCCATCACAATGTGAGCAGCGCCGGGATGCAAGACATGAGGCGGAACGCGGTGATCGTCCAGCCAAGGTAAGTCCTTGAGACGAAGGATGTTTCGCCATTGAGGACGCAGCTTTGTGGTTCCTGGCACTTTGGACCCAAGGAGGTCATGGCGAGGGGTGCTCCTCAAGCGATATTCTTTACTGAGTCTGCTCTCGTGATACTTGATGGGCCCATAGGTGTACTTGTACGGCGGCAGATCAATGGCTGTGCAGCCGTGCTCTAGTTGTCGTTGACCATCGAGTAGCTGTCCATCAACGGCATTGACCGCTACCAGATTTACATCGACGTTCAGGGCGAACAGGATCCCTATGCAGTCGAGCAGAGATCTCTGGGCATCTTCATTCCGCTTCAACGACGGGACGTGCGGGATGCTCTTGCCGAGGCTTTTGACGATCTGTCCCAAGGGACTCTTCAATGCGGGATGCGGACGGATTTCTATTAAAGCACGAATATTCAGGTCCGGCACGTCCAGCAGCTTCGAGACGGCATCGGTGAAGCGGACCGGGGACTCCAAATTGGCCCTCCAATATGATGCTGACACTTGAGCTGTACTTTTCTCTGGTGTGACAGAGGAAAACCAGGGAACAACGGGATATTTTGCATTTTCAGTATCGACACCAAGCTCTTCAAGACGGCGCATTCCAGCGTTGACTTTTGCTTCATATTCAGAGCCCAATGGCACCATGTGGTGGGAATGATATGCGAGCCCACCGGTACGGACTAGTCTGTTAAACACCGTCTCTCGAGTAAGCTTTGCACTGAGCTCTTCCACAGCTTCAGTGTCGCCAGAGATGGTCACGCTGCCGAACGAGTTGATGGCCGCAACCCTGACTTGACCCTCTAGCCCAGCTTGTCGGATATACTCCACTGCTCTTTCGGTCCCGAATCCGACCGCTAGCATTGCACCCTTGTGCTTGTTCAAGAAGACTACATAGCCGCGGTAATAGGCAACCGTGATGGCTTCTGCAGCGGTTATGCGTCCGGATGCATAGGCTGCAGCCATCTCACCAGATGAATGCCCAGCGACGCCCGAAGGCCGAAGGCCCCATGAAGCGAGAAGGTCAACAAGCCCAATCTGGACAGCTGTGCAAACAGTCTGTGAAACTGCGGGTGTCTGAATCAGGTCCTTCTCGCAGTTTCCGCGAAGAATGTCGGGAAGCTTCCATGCAACACGCTCGGGCAACATGGACAGAATCGTATCTAGGTAAGAGATAGAATCTCGGAACACCGCATATCCAAAGAGGCCCTTCCCCATTGCATGCCACTGTGCGCCTTGGCCAGTAAAAATGAAGCCAGCGGAAACATGCCGAGGTGAAGAGAAGATTTGGATGTCGGTTCCCTGTCTCAGACCAGTCTCTGCGACGCTATCTTTGTCGACAACAAAGTAAGCTCTCTGTGTGAAGCGGGATCGTTTGGCAGCGAGAGTATATGCCAAGTCAGCCAGAGAGTGGTGACGAAGATCTTGAGATAAAACGTCGATATTGGCATCAAGCGAGGTTCGATGATGTGCTGAGAAGGGAAGGACCACTAATTTTCGAGTAGCTGCATCGGCTTTCCGAACCATAGCCGGCATGTTGATCACAGGGGAGTGGTGATTTGACAGAGCTGGGATATTATTGGTGCCACGGGTGCCGTCGATGCCAGTATCGCCTGTTTCATTGGCATATCTATCTGAAACTTCATCGGTACCGTTTACATGGCTGTCACCATTTGTCCCACTCATCTGCTGGCCAAGAATTCCGGGCTTAAGATAGGATGGAAACACGTTGTGGACGTGGTCAATCACGCAGTGTCCGTTGGTCCCACCGAAACCGGCAGATGTGACGCTTGCACGCTTAATCATGTTCTTGGGCCATGGCTCGACACTCGTGGTGACTCGTGCCTTGGCAGTCTGGAAGTCTATGCGGGAATTGGGTGTCTGAAACCCGAGGGTGGGTGGGATCTCCCTGTTCGATAGCTGCAACCACCTTTAGAATGCCAGGAAGAGCGCATGCCCCTTACAGATGGCCGAGATTGGTCTTAACAGACCCCACTATCAGTCTGTCTTCATAGTCTGGAGACTGGGAAACCCCAAAGACGTTTCCGACTGCTGTGACATCAATGGGGTCACCGACGCGAGTTCCAGTGCCATGACACTCAAGCAGCGTGGTTTTGGAAGGATCAAGATCTCCGGCATTTTTATAGCTGTGGGTTCTTCTTGTTAGCCTCGGTAAGCCACCACATTTCTAGGCCACTTACGCTTCTCTAATAACAATCTCCTGGGCCGGGCCGCTTGGGTTCGTGATACCATTGGTACGGCCATTCGCGTTGATTGCCGAGCCCATGATCAGAGCGCGGATCGGAGAAGCATCTTCGATTGCCAGCGACGTTTTCTTCAGGTAAAGAGCTGCAAACCCTTCACCACGGGCGTAGCTGTCAGCCGATGCATCAAAGGTGTGGCTTCGCGAAGTAGCAGAAAGCGCGCCGAGCTTCCCCATCGCAATGTGACAGTTTGGGTCCATGATCCAATTGGAGCCTGCTACAATAGCAGAGTCGCAATCCCCGTTCCGAATCGAAGTGAGGGTCAGATGTAAGGCATACATGGCCGAAGTGCAGGCACTGTTGACCAGCAGGCTGGGTCCCTTCAAATTGAAGACGTAATGAATACGGTTGGCCAGCATGTTGGGAAATGCTCCGGTGGCTGAATACTTGCCACCCATAATCCCAATCCCGCGTCTGCGATATATAGTTATCAAAAGAGATATCGCCCACAAAGACGCCAATGCGAGGGCCAGATACACTTTCCCACGTCTCTCCGGCGTTCTCAAAGGCCTCGTATGTCACTTCGAGAAGCTTACGCTGAGAAGCGTCCATCGTTTCCGCTTCCACATCTGTGATCCAGAAAAAGCCTGGATCGAACAGTCTTGGGTCCTCTTCCAACAGGAATCCACTGCTGGCGACAGCGGTGCCAGGGCGATCCACATTGGGATGATAATAGCCCTTGGCTGAGAATCGTGGCTCGGTGAACTCTTGAAGCAAATCCCTTTGCTCCTTGAGGAAGTCCCATTGGGCAGGTATTCTTCGAACACCACCTGGCATATGGCAGCCTAGTCAAGTCAGCTACTGATCAGTGCTTGTGCCTGGAGTGCCTTACCAATCCCAACAAGAGCAATTGGGACAGTCCCATTGGGGCATGAGGCAGGCATTATGTACGCTCGTGAAAGGATTTTCAACACACTTCAGAAGTTTAGTACATCCAGGTTGTTAGATGAATGAATCGTAGAGCATTGGCCATGTTGATGGCAGATCCTTTATACTTGTGGCACTGGACGCTGAATGAAGGGAAGGATTGGGATCCATGACGTATCCGCTTACTGTTTCATATCACCATGGCTGTTGCCTTAGTGTCTCCGTCTATCTGCTCCATCTCAATGCACACATCCTTCAGTATCAGGCTCTTTGGTTCTTTTGTCTCCGAATTCGGCATCTCTTGAATGTTCCTAGGGCTCTGGGTAATCTCGAGCATTTGCCATTCGCCAATCACCATTCGCACCATTCGCGATACAGACACTCATTGCTTCATGCATGTTGTCGGGGAGCTTCGGCTACCAGAACAGATATTGCCGAAGTCTCGATAGTCGATCTGTGCCGAGGGTCTAATGCTGTGTCAGTTCAAGCTAATTCTCATGCTCGATGGGCATAGATAGGGATCCGACTCATCTGGAGCGGAGTTCGATAAGCCCAGCCCGTATATTGCCCTCTCTATCTCAGCCTAGGATCGTCGCAGTAACATCGGATCCACATCGAGCCATCGACGCAGCCTCATCTTCTGACAGATGCATAAGTGGCGGCATCAAGTGTGCATAAATGTTCATCAGCTCGCAACAACCCTAGCAAGTCCGACAGCCCGGGCCAATTGGAAGAAGGATTTTATTCACATTGATATTGTGGCCGTCTGTTAGAGTTCCTTGATAGGAGTTTCCATAGTCTATCAGGATCGCATCCATGTGGGCCATGTGGTAAGGCGTGCTAAGTTAATGCAGGATTGACGGGACGGGACGGAGCGGGGTCGGCGCCGAATAAGAAGGATGTGATTTACATTGACATTGTGGCCGTTATGATTCTCTGATAGAGTTTCCATAGTCTATCAGGATCGTATTCATGGGGGCCATGTGGCAAGGCGTGCCGAGTGAATGCAGGGATGACGCGACGGGATCGCGCGACTGGAGGTGGCGCGGTCGGCGAATATTAATCCGGGACCCCGTGGACTCGTTCTTTGTTCCTTTGGTCTAGGTCTTTGAACATACGATGACTTGATACCCCCCTGTTCCACCCAGCCCCGATCTGCGTCGGCCGATATCTAGCGGTCTTCATCTCGTCCAGCATTTCACTATGCAGCAGAGCCGAAAACGCCGCGTTAGAACGTGTTACCCATGCTACACACGGAAACAGAAAGTAGGTGACACATGGACTAGCTTAACCTAGAACCCTGGGCTGATAGACTTGCAGTGTAACCGGGAGTACCCTTGTAATCATTGTACCCGCCGTCGGCGACCAGAGGAATGCGCTCTATAGTGCTCCGCCAGCAGAGAAAGCCTTCCAGGATACGTTCCGCTCGGAAGGTGCGATAGATGAGGCTCCGGGTCCCTTTCTCGAGCATGCACGGCCCTCGAGCAAGACTTCGGGCCTGCATGACGGTCAATGTTACTGGTCTAGCCACTGTAGCCAGCACTCAACTATAGCCAAATCCTTCGGCTACTTTGAGGACAGCAACTCCAACACAATGGCGTTGCTACGGGGAGTAGGTTTCGTACGTTCTTTGTTTTGTTGTTGCCTTGAACTGATTGATTGGACCCCGCAGTTGCCTCTGGGAAGTGAAATGGATCTAAATGACCCTTCGCCATCCATGTGGGAACCTATCCAACAGGAGCTTAGCCGTATGCCTCCACGCAAAATCATTGACTTTCTCGTACAGTACTTCGTCTATGAGCTGAATTGGTAAGCTTTCTGGGCGTACTCCCACGCAAAGTTGACTATCTTCTCTAATCCCGATTATGCGTGCAGGATGAAGCAGGTTGTTCATGCCCCCAGCTTCTTGACCCAATACCAGCAATGGTGGGCAAAAGGTAAGCCCGTCGGAGTAGCCGATGTCGAATATGCCGTCCTTATCCTTCGCATTTGTTCGTATGCTACCCAATTCTTGCCCTCATCGACTCATACCACCGACCAGATCTGTGGTCGATCGCTCTCGGAGATCCGCAACACATGCAGTGACGTCGCATATAGCCTTGCCAAGCTCTGCGAAGGTCTTGATTGGAAAGGATCAATGTTCCGTGTTCAGCATATCATTTCTGCGGCACTAACGGTCTCTTGCGAAGGAAGGACTGACCAATTCTGGGAAGCTATAGCGTCAGCCAGCCGAGCCGCCCAGAAAGCTGGCATTCATACTAACATTGGATCCAAAAAGTCGCGTGTTCCACAAAATGACAGTGCCCAGGAATTAGATAAAGAAGTTCGACGAAGGGTTCTTTGTAGTCTTTATGTCTTGGACAGGTACGCAAAAGACAACACGATCCGGGACAAACACTAATACCCCATAATAGCCATTTGAGTCGTCAGCTCGATCGCGTCCCATTATTGCCCGATCACTTGGTCGATAACTCACTTCCCCGGCTGCGCTTGATTCCAGATGTGGGAATTATGTCGGCAGACATTGATACGAATGCACCAGACATGTTTACCGAACGGCTCATGCAAGTCCAACTTGGTCAGTTTTGGCGCCGAGTTGGGCCACGTCGAAGCTGTGATTACGATCCGACGCAAAGCGAGCAAAGATACGAGAAGATCTGCGCCGAATATCTCCCAAGCCTGCATCCGGCATTTGCAATAGACTGTCCAGATACGAAATGGGACAATGCCCTGCCAAAGCTACCAATGCAGAGACAACTTCTGCATATCGCAATTTTCGACTCAGTCTGTTGGAATTTCCGCCCGCTCTTGTCACTAAAGCCTGATCAGATCGCGGAGCTTGCCCCGTACAAGCAAGTGCTTCTCCAATCACAAAAACGAAGACTGGGCATGGCTGCAGTGAAAGTACTCGAGGCTGTCACTGCGCTCCATTTAATGTTTGGAGGCTCCTATACTCGGTTTGCCGCTATAATATTCAACACTTTTGAAGCTGCCATTCTCTTACTTTACCTTTGTTGTCACGGCGACTTCCCCTTTGATCAGCTAGACGAACACACGAATGTACTGGGCATTAAGGCTAAATTGACGTATAAAAAGGCCATGCAGGTTGCTGAACAGGCGATTGGTCGCCTTCAACTGCTGGCCGAACTCAGCGACATGGCTGCGACCGGGCTTGGGGTGGCTGCTCAGCTATGCGCCATAGCCGCCAAGACAAAAAAGTCGCCAGACTCAGTGGCTCCGGAGTCGTCGGCCAATACGCCTTTTTGGCAACCTTCTTGCTCGGCTGATCTGGAGACCGATAATGGCATGGATTCCCACTCATGCTTGGGACAAGCCGATCCCGTATTGTTGAGCGACATTTTCTCCTGGACCGCGCAGGGAGACTCGTATTCAAAGCTTCCTTCCTCATCTTACGAATTCCCCATGTCTTGGGAGGGTCCGGTGCTCTAGTATATTTTACCCGCTGTTAGTGCTCGTGAGTTCCACAGCACTAAGAAGCATATAAGATTGCCGGATGGTTAGAGGAAAGCCACCGTTCACGAAATATGACCAGACGATCAGCGAGCGATAAGGTGTTCTTTGACTTTGTCAAAATTGGTTGGTTTGTAGTCAAGATGTAGCCATCACCCCTTCTACCCTTGCTAAGTTCGCAGCATCGGCAAGCCTCAAAGAAGACTCCCTTGAGAAAATAGTAATTACAAAATCCTACAAAAAGACTCTAGGTAAACAAAGGGTGTTAACTAATAAGAACTTGAACAAGGAGACTTGTGCCGTAGGGAATCCATTAATCCATGTATTTTGGTTAGATCTGGCAGGGACCATGTGCAGACATGGATGCCAACCCATGCGCCATGGGGCCGTTGAGATCCCCCACCTAGGCCGGGCTTGACGCCGGATAATAAGCCATCGAATCAAATCATGCCTATCAGATATGCTACTCTGAAATCCTACATGGCTCTGACAATTGTTATGATGCCATTGGTTCACTCGTTTAGATAAAACTCTCAAGCTGAGACTGTCATATTGTCATCACGCAATATACATCATGCATCATGCATGCAACGTCTTTAACATCTGTCGGCCGACGTGCGTCGGGGAAGTGGCGGAGATTGTGGAGAAGAATCATTATCTCCGATGTTCTTCCCGGCGTACCCTGTCTATCCCCAAACTTGATATCTAGCCACGTTGAAGATATTCCCCTCCCATAAGCATCATTACGGACACAATTGGGCCAATAGTAGCAAGGATGCCATGCGTTGCTGTCAAGGTACTTATTGTAGCCGAAATTTCGAAATGGCCTACGTTCAGTCTCTGGCATTAATCATTTTTGACGTTGATGAAGAACACTACAGTATTTTCAATCATGTCGTGGCTCAGGATACCACCAGATTATGCGCCATATCTGGATTTGAGAGTGACTATTCTCGTTGCTTTACCTCTTATTGGCTTCTATGCCCTCTATAGGTGGCTTCTCCCCAGCCCCCTTCCCGGTATCCCGTTCAACTCAGAGGCCGCTAAATCGATTTGGGGTGATGTTTTGGAGCTTCGAGACGATCCCTCGGGATTGGCCAAATGGTGTAGCAAACAACTTGAAAAACATGGCTCACCAGTTTGCCAGGCATTGATGGGACCCTTGTCAAAACCAGTGGTTCTAGTTGCCGATGTTGGGAACGCGCGTGAGGTGCTGATGGGGCGAAGTGACTTTGACCGGTCTGCCTATATTATCGATCGATTCCCGCTGTTTGGCGATTTTCATCTCAATATGAAGACTGGAGACCGCTGGAGGCAGTCTCGCGGCTGGCTCAAAGATTTTCTCGCCCCACAGTATCTGCACAATGTTGCCGGTCCCGCTATTCACTCGTCGACGCCGAAGTTAATCAAATTATGGGACTCCAAGTCTCGCCTGGCCAACGGGCAGGTGTTCAGTATAATTTCCGACCTTAAGACTATGGCTTTAGACGTTATTGTGACCTTCAATTTCGGAGCCGACTTCCAAGACTCCGCCCTTGATAGACAAGTCAATCATATCGACAACCTTGATGGCACAAAGCTACCATCCGGTCAGCACGGCGAGGTCACTTTCCCCAGTGCACCCTTGCACGAGCTTCAGCAGGGCCTCACCGATGTCGGTGATAGAATGGCTGCTATCTACACCACGAAATTCCCTCCGTCGCTGGTATTGTGGTGGGCACGGTATATGTCTCCCTGCTACAGGCCATTCTTCGAGGCGAAGGATAGGTTCATCCGCAAGCACATAGATCTTGCTATACGGCGCCACTACAGCGACCAGGACCCTACCACTGGCATTTATCATATGGTGCACCGAGAGGCAAAAGTAGCGCGAAAGGCCGATCGTGAACCGCTATTTGTCAAACAAATAATGATCGATGAGGTATGACCCCTTTCTTCCAGAAGAGAAGCTAATACTTCAAATGGATGAGCTAAGTTATATAGGCATATGGAAACCTCATTGCGGGCCAGCATACTACGAGCGCAGCCCTGGTGTGGATTTTGAAACTTCTAGCCGACTATCCCGACATTCAAGTCAAGCTACGAGAGCACCTGTACACTAAATTTGCTGGTTCTATACAGGACAACCGGCTACCTACGGCGGCCGAAATCATAAACACAAAACTTCCGTACTTGGACGCGGTGCTCGAAGAAATGCTGAGCCTTCGTGCAGCAATGCTGGTTCCACGTGACGCTACAAAGCATACACAGCTGCTAGGCTATCAGGTTCCTAAAGACACAGTCGTTCTTCTCGTCTGTCAAGGACCTGACTACAAGCCGTCACCCCCGTCAAAGTACTGGAGCGATGTGAAAGCGTCAAGGCTGTACCCCGGCAAGGGGAATCCGGACTTGGAAAGCTTTGATCCAGAGAGATGGTTCGTGCGTGATGAGAACGGAAATATCGAATTTGATGGTTCCAGTTATCCTCAGTTGGCCTTTGGACTTGGGATCCGAGCATGCTGGGGACGTAGACTTGCCATGTTGGAGTTGAGGATCATGACGACATTGATGGTGCTCAAGTTCGGGCTGAACGACGTTCCAAAAGAGCTGGCGGGCCATGAGGCGAGTTATGATATTTCATATCGGGCAAAGAAAGGTTATCTGAGTTTGAAACGTCGTTCAGGCCTCACGTGAACGGGCATCAGCCTATGTGGCGATTTTGCTTAGCAAGGAGTGAATGTTATCAAGCTAGAGAGGGGAAGATGGTACAGGTGGTTTCTCCCCGTATATTACGTGGGAGAATCAAGTGGACTATCTACTGTGGAACCGCTTGCCGTAGCTTTCCTTAGGGCTACTCGGCTAAGAGAAATGTCAGGTGGAAGCTCTGGTCGAGGCTCCATGATCACACAATAGTCTACAAAAAGTCCAGTGAGTGATACGAAGGGTTGCAGTGTAGTGTTGCGATATTTTAGTCAACATCCTACGATAGGGCCGAATAGTGTTGGCAAGGACTCAAATATCAGGTTCTACGCCAAAAAACATGGTTCTTTCCAATTACATCAAAATTTAGCACGATATGCCGGATAATGTATAATTGGTGAAGTGGCCTGTTGGTGACGGAAATTCACAAGAACCCCATTCCTAGCTTTCTTGTTCCACAGATTTGAACGTCGGTCATAAATAGAAATAAGCACTGTGGGGGGGGGAGGGAGAGAGAAAAGAACGCCAAAAAGAGGCAGTGGCAGAATAACAATCGTGGATTCTGTATCCTTTGTGGCTCGCAATTACTAAAATGATCGATACTGCCATCCAGTGTTATATACAAGCAGCATCATCAGTCTGCCTTAGACTTTTCCAACTCGTACCCGTCGTCTGGATCGGCTGTCGGCGCTGGCAAAGAAGCCAAGGTTGAACCCAAATCCTTTCCATTCCGGCCAAATTCATTCAGAGCCCGAACTAGGCTCAAAGTCTTGGAGATAGGCCCATCTTTCAGATTTACAAGTAACGAAAGGGGCCTAGGGACGGCCACAGACCGTTCTTCTTCTAAGCACAGGCGCGACTCGGGTAATATGAGACGGTCCGAGGATGCAGAAACTCCATTACCATAACCGCCAACCGAGGTGTCAATGACTCTATAAACCACCCTCATTCTGAGACCGAAAGGCAGCTCCTCTTCGCAGACAGCTTCGTCGGCCGCGGTAGTTATGGTGGCTTTCCCCTTTGTAGGAGCTGACCCAATGCTAAAATTCGTTGATGTGGGGCTGGTGCGCCTTTCATCCACTTCCGCCACCTGTGGGTGCCAAAAGAGGTGTGCAAGTGCGGTGCGATTATGCAGGAATTTAAGAACGTCCTGCTGAGTGAGTGTATCCGGGAGAGGGTAATAAGCTTTCCTAGCTGTCTGAGTCGAGTAAAGGACTGTCTGGTAGTTAGCCACACTGAATTAGGGTCGCAATCTGCTCCTAAGTAGGCAAACTTTGAGAGGAACTTCAGGCAGGGTGGGATCTAACAGGAAGTCATGCCGACATCAAACATGCCGAGCTGGAGACGATGGGGCACGGTAGTGGCTTGAAGATTTTGCAGTCTGCGTGCTAAACAGTGCTGGAGAGAGGGATGGCTTCGGACGGGGTTTTGCGAGATTTTCCGAGCACATTAGTGTCGCGCCCGCTGAGTTAGCGAAGGCCGGAGGAAGACGTGATCCAGTTATCTTGTGTCGGGACATATGGTGTTGTTACCACTGTACTATGAGTCGCTCATTTCTCGGCGAATAAGTTAGTTAGTTAGTTATGATAACTAACTAACGTGATAACGTGATAGTTAACGCGATGACGTCTTTGCTGCCTTAGGCAGTTTGCACGTGGGCGCGTATGGCAACGGTGGAACCTCGGAGGATCTAAAAACCCTCTCCCCCTCAATGACGTTTTTACTATGCGGGTTGGCCCTCTTCCTCTCCTCATGTTGCATTGCTAAGACTTACCATACGGGTAACAAAGGCATGGATTCGGATGTCCTCGGGAGCAAAACCTGGTATGCATCACAGAGAAGGTATCAAATATCCACTGCCAGCATTGATCAGATACAATTCATCCTGGCAAAGCGGAGCTAGTTCAGAATCATTCAAGGCTAGGCAGGGGGCCTTACCTGGCTAAGCGGAGCTAGTTCAGAATCGTTCAGGGCTAGGTAGGGGGCCTTACCTGGCAAAGCGGAGCTAGTTCAGAGTCATTCAGGGCTAGGTACAGAGTAACACTAGGGGGGCCTTACCAATTCAAACATACCCGAATAACAGAACTATGGCAACATTGAGACCTTGGAGGATCTAAAGAACCCTCTGCCCCTCAATGACGTTTTTACTATGCGGGTTGGCCCTGTTCCTCTCCTTATGTTGCACTAACATACAGGTAGCAAAGGCATGGATTCGGATGTCGTCGGGAGCAAAACCTGGTATGCATCACAGAGGACCTCAGGTATCAAATATCCACTGCCAGCATTGATCAGAGACGATTCGTCCTGGCAAAGCGACTGATCCACTCGAAGCATCGAATTTTCTCTAGCGCCTCCGCCGATGAGGAGATGGATTTTTCTATAAATTCGATGTACTTCTCCTCCCAGGAGCTCTTCTGCTTGATCACAAGCCTCTCAAGTAATTCTCCGTGTCGAGTTTCGTATATCGCATCGAAAGTCTCTCCCGAATCTCTTGAAATGGAAAAGCCGTCCTACGAAGACTGCGCAGATGTGCTTTCTGCTGAACAACAAAGCACAACATGGCAAACCTTATATACCTGCAACCGTCGTCTGAAGAGAGCCTTTAGGATGCTGCTTGTGCTTGCCATTCTTTTTGGCCTCCTTTTTGCCGGATTCCTGTATTTGACTGTGCAAATTGGCCGTGAGCGAGACCTAGTTCTTCACTTGGAGCAGCAAATCAATGAATATGAAAATCATGGAAATGCCGTCAGCAAGCGTGCCATCCCATGGTTCCTCGGTGCCGCGTTCTGGGTCACGAACCAGATCTTCGCGTTCTATGGGCTGGCAAGCAGCTGTAAATCCTTCACCGAGAGTGCTGGCAATGCTGCCCTTTGCATCTGGGGTGCCATCTCGACAGCAGCGACATTCATCGGGACCGCCGCCCACGGAGCGTCAGCAGTGAAATCGATTCATGACCGGTTGGCTCAGAACGGTATTTCTATTGGCAATTGGAAGCGGGATGACGCTGTTTCCGAGGCAGAGGCGGAGATGAGCAAGCTCCTGCAGCTCCCTGTGACCCTGGACGGGTTCATTCCACACCACCACCCGAAGCTAAGACGCATGAAGTTGGCAGAGGGTACGCTGTGGCCTGTTTTTCACTTCTATAACCACCACAATACCAGCATGCATTTCACTCTCACTGCTTATGAGGAGGACTATGCCGTCATGACTTTGGGCTTTGGTCACAAAAGCGACAACAGCAGCATTGCCAGAAGAGAATCTTACAACGACGAATACTTTTCGAACGGTGGGATTGATTTCACGGATTGCTTTAATAATCAGCAAAGCACGTACTTGCTCAACACTGGATCGGACTATCAACAGATGGACCGGGATATCGAATGTTACTTCCCTGATCTCGCGAACACGTGGGGTGCGGAAATTCAGCTATATGACTCGAATATTCAGGGGACCATTGGGTCGGGGTCAATTGCTGCTTACAGGGGAAGTGACCATGCTAGTAGTATCAATGACATGCCTGGTTGCCCAGCAGGTGTCTCATCCTCGAGTAAATGCAAAAGCGCGTAGCCATAAGGCTCGCGGCTATTGTATTGGACGTTCCCCTTGGGCGAAGGATGTCTTAACACCTGGGGATCAAGGCTTCTCAAACTGCCTCTGTCTCTCTTTGCATTGTATCACTTGTTTCATGTCATTGAAAAATTCGTATAACACTGATTCCCGCTTTATGACGGATATTAGATCTTATATATAGGGGAAATACCAGATTTGGGTGACACCAGGTGACCAGGCAAGAAAGTGATATTCGATGGGATTGCATTGTAGGGTTCCGGTCTGAACAAAGACTAAAGCTTACTCTTTCTTCTAAACAAACAGCCCCTTTTATATATGGGGATTCGCCAGGGGTTTGGCCCCGGCTCAGGTTTCAACCCTAATCCAACCAATAGGAATACAGGAGGATCTAGACGACCCTGCTTATCGACATTGAATAACATGACTTTAGCTTAAAGGGCCTCGATATAGCTTCAAAGGTGCTTTCGACGCCGATTCGACGTTAAAGAGCCGCCGAATCCCATTATTCCGTGACAGAATTAGGTAAGTGATGTAACTATAATATCTAACTAACTAAACTGCTGACCTGTTATTGAATGTCAACGAATAAAGTGATATTTTATAATCTGACTCATTATATATTGTTTTCATACAGGGCTATTATTCGACAGATATTAACTGTGTGTTATAGTAATTTAGAAGAGCAGACCATGCACTGTGACGTCACACAGTTTGATAACGCCATTATTATGTAGGTTGTGATTATGCATCAGTAAGGCTACTCAGACAATACATTCGGTCTTTCTGGAAAGATGGTGGTGGGTCATTTTTAGTTCTTTCTGACACTTTTATTCTTTCTGACATATGTTTGTTGACGGGGCTGCCAACCATGAATCATGATAAAAACTACAAAAGATATAATGCTTCAATTAAGTCCACCAATGACAATGAGGGCTCGATCCGGATCAGCTACATCGACTGCGAACCAGTATCAACCTCGCCAACAAGACGGATAATGCTTCTTATCCACGGATTTCCCCAGACATCTTACCAGTTCCGGCACGTATTACGACCACTCGCTGAAAATGGGTTCCGACTCATAGCTCCAGACTACCGTGGTGCTGGACACTTATCACATCCATCTTACGATTTCAGAAAGTCAACAATGGCTCGGGATCTATATGCCCTTATTCACGATCATCTTGCAATCAAGTCGAAAATACATCTGGTCGGCCATGACATTGGCGGTATGATTGCGCACGCATACGTTTCGTTGTACCCGCAAGATGTGGCTAGTATTATCTGGGGCAAATGCCCACTTCCCGGAACATCTTGCTACTCAGCAAACAGAAGCATGCCGGAGCAGTTCCATTTCGTGTTTCATTGCGTACCTGATGACCTAGCATTAGCTCTTGTTTCTGGGAGAGAGAGATTGTACCTGAATGACTTTTTCTCTAAGTTGAGTTTCAACGCCAATGCAATATCAGCTTCTGACTGTGAATATTATACCTTGCAGTATTCACAACCAGGAGCCCTTCGGTGTGCATTCGAAGTATATAGAGCATTTCAAGAGGATGCTTTGGAAAATATCGAGTCACTGAGGTTGAAAGGCAAGTGTATGAGGCCGGTACTCATTCTGAGTGGTTCGGAAAGCCGACATGCACCGGTGGCCGAAGGCATGGTGAGTGAAGTTTATGGTGGCGATATTCAGGTTGCGGTGGTCGAAGGTGCTGGACATTACATTACGGAAGAGAACCCCACTGGGTTTGTGCAGGCTGTCTTGGAATTTGTGTCAAAGTATCCGGAGTAGCTGCTAAGAGGGTGAAAGGAAAACAGGGGTTTCTAGAAGAAATTTGCAATTTGAAGATATACCTATTCATCTACCGTAGCACTTCGAATATCGGCATTGTGCCTATATGTAAGTAGTATAGAACAAGGATCTAGTGATTGAACACAATTTTTTGCTAGAGTGACTTTAGGCGACAAAGCTCCGAGACCCTTCCTATCAAGCTTGCTCTTGTACATTACATGATAGAGAGTTAGTCTTTATCATATCTGTCATTGTATCTTTTTCATCTTCTCTCCCTCCTCCTATAGCTTTAGTATTTCGAATATAAGCGACGCTGTTGTCTCTTCCTGATGTTACAGACCCACTTCGGTGAGGAGGGATAAGTCAACCAAGACCACCGATCTGCCAAAAGTGACACACGTGACAGGGGAGCCAGATACGGTGGTTAGCCAACCAAAGGATACTGCACTAAACGACGGGACGGTTAGCGGAAAGCCACAAACGGTTGCTCTAGGCAGCAAGGCTACCACAACACATCAGTGATATGCGGAAACACCTCGGCGATGAATGCTTGCACATCAGCGATGCACGGAACGCATTAAGTGATGAGTCCCGGACTCATCAACTGATAGGAAGGACTAGATATATAGGGCCACTTATTGGCACCATGTATTTAGTTCTTCGCGATCAGTCTTCTTATCATCTTGATATTGATACTTATGCCCACAAGATTGGAATACAATAACGGTTCATTTTCTTGCTCGATCTGAATCCAAACGTAACGACGAAGGGAAGATCCGTAAGAACCTGATCTCGTCGGCGGTCTCGGCAGCTCCACCTTTACTAAGTAAACCCTCTAAGGCCCGAGGACTTGAGCATCTAAGGTCTATTGGCGTTTGTGATCGGTAGGCAGTGCAACAAAGTGACGAAACACACTTGGGGTTCGCAAGTCACCAAGAGAAGTATGGTCTTTGAGGACCTAAGTACTGGTCTTGACTAGGATTGCGTAACACGGCGTTTGGGGGGGGAAATACCCCCTTTGAAGCCACCGAAGCCTTACCGTATCAGCGAGCCACCCAACCCATTTGGGTCGACATCGAAGTCTCAATCGATCAACGATAACAGTTCTTAAACATTAAGAAAGTTCTAGAAAGGCGTGGCTACAGGGTTGAGATGAAAAAGTGATGTTAAGAGAAATCACTTAGAGATATACATTCCATATCGGACAAAAGTGGTGCGTCTTTGTGAAGATAAGTATAAAGATATGAAGAGGAACAGGAGCTGATCTCCACCTCTCCTTCTTTCTGCCAGGGCTACTGACATACTAGGCTTCCACTCTTTTCAGTGAACAAGTTCTATACGTTGACATCTACTAGTATTTGAACCGAAGTGCCATCATGAAAGCTGTAGGAGCTCAGATAAAACAGCTCCGCCAAGCAATTATTCCCCCTCCCGGTGCCTGGAACGCATGCTTCGTAGCCATTTCACAGCGCGTTCATTCCCGCAGGGCAAGTCATTCTTCTCGCCTTTCTCGACACCTTTTGGATTCGTACGGGAGCAAAGTGTATTCGCGCCCTCGGAGAATTATCGAAGCCAATATCGCCCAACTATATAACACAATAATCTCCACATAACTAGGTCTATTGAAGTTTAACGTACACATATCCTCAACTGAAATTAAGCGAGACCGGCCATGCTGACTAGCAAGAGAGGGCCCACGCTGAAGGGCGCAGTGAGATAGAGAGAAACTCCGGAATCTGCCACTGTTCCAGAAACTCCTTTCACCACCTAAAGCTGGAGAAGTCAACTGATCTTAAAGTATAACGCCAGCTGCCACCAGTGGCAGCGCGGGTTGTTGGTAGGGTCATCCATCATGCTCATTCCAGTGACATTCAGATCCAGGATCTGCTTCCCCGAACCGTAAGGTCGAAAATCTGGGAAGCCGACTTCATTTGGCTGGCCGGTTATCGCAAACTGCGTATAATATGTTTGCAGTGCGTGTGCGTTGGTCGTATTGATCACCTGAGGAGAAGGCCCATTGTAGTAAACATAAGCCACGTCTTCGCCGTGATAAGCCGGAGGAATGCTAAACTGATAGGCAAATGTCAGAGGATTGATAGCAGAGAAATCTTGCGCAAGGTAGTTTGTGTTGCAGGTAAACGACACCTCGCTGGAACTCAGCTCGTTTCGCCCTGCTGCTGTCGTATACCCGATAGCAGCGGACCTGTTGCCCGGCGGTGGGTACAGAGTCTCGCTCACATAGTCGACAATGGACTCTTGGATCGCCGGTAAAGAGGCTTTCAAGTTCTTCCGGAAATCAGCATCAGTAGTTGAGTTTGGATCAATAAAAAAGATTGTCTCATGGGCATTGTGACCCGTCATGATGCTAAGATTTTTATCAAATAGAAGCTGACCAGGCAGAGCTGGGACAAAAGAACAATCTACCGAGGGCGCGAAAGTAAACTGCCCATACCGCGAAGCAGCAACCAATTTAGAATTTACTACTACGAGACTTCGGAAAGGCAATTTTCGTACCTCTTAAATAGTCGTCACGTTAAGTTCTGCAAGATACTGATGAAGCAATGCAGTTTATTAGAAATTGGAAGGGAACGGTTAGAATCCTAGTAATGCCATTATAGCCTGAGAGAAAGGCACGGGGCCACGGGCGCCTCCATATGCGGTGATTTTATGCAGGATTGACGCAGCGCCGGCAGATTGTCCGAAGAGAGTTACTCTGTCAGGGTCTCCTCCAAATTGGCGGATATGTTCTTGAACCCATTCCAGCGCTAAACGCTGGTCAAGAAGGCCGGCATTGGCGGTTCCATTGCTCTGAATTTCGGGGCCGGAGAGGAATCCGAACGCACCACCCTAAAACCGGTTAACGCCCAGGTCATTGTCACACACAGCAGGGGTAAGCATCACTGACCCTGTAATTGATTTTTACATAAATGACACCGTCGCTTCCTGCAGAGCTTTCCTTGCTCGCTGCAATGAGACCAGCAGGGTTTCCACTATCATCAGTGAAGGTGAAACCACCACCGTAGAGCCAGACCATGACCGGGGCACCACGATACGACTCGTTGTATCGGTTTTGAAGAACCTCCTCGGGCACGAGGACATCAAGGAAAAGGCAATCTTCCTGTTCCCGGGGGTCTGGTGGTGGGATAAGCGAAGTAGGATCATCCTCAGCCTTTTTGAGAGCATCCGTATCGTGCTTTAACTCGGCGAGCATACGAAGGTACCATATCGGGAAAGCCTGCGGACAAATGGCGCCCTTGTCACCTTTGTTCACGGTAGAACGGTTGGTCAATGGCTTCAGCGGCGCATCAAATCTGTCTGCCTTCCGGAGGCTGACCGAAACGGATGTTGGAAAAGTTATAGTATCGGCCAGTTTCCTATGGTGGGAGCTTTTTACTACCGAAGGTCGTTCCTGCACAACCCCTCAACCTCAACCTCAAAGCACTTACGTCAAAGAAGATAGCTTCGTGGATTTCATATCCTAGTTCCACACGGGGCAGGGAGTGGATAACGTGGGCGCAAGCAAAAAGCCCACCAACGACAAGCCATAATGGTAAGAAACGCATTTCCAACGCACAAAGCAGAGTATTTCTTGCGCTAAACGAAGAGACCATAAGAAGATCCCACAATGCCTGAGAACTGATGTCGCTCTGATGGATTGCCGTAGGACCTATTTATGTAGCTCTTGCTTCTGCTGCTATCCATGGGAGAAAAGATGCCAAGGTTTGCTAACGCTAAGGACTGACCCGACTTTTTCTGGGCCGGGACTAGGAAGGATTCAAGGCGCACCCCAAGTACCCGTACAATGCATCTAAAATAGTAGGTGGGGAACGATGTGCGCTGACGGTTTAGTGGGACGAACCGCCACGTAATACGAAGGCCTCTCTTAATTTGGATTTCGTTGGGTCAACTAAAGGCCTTTGATCAACAATTGATCCATCTAACCCAGTTTTGGCCCCAAGGTCGCGGCAGATCTTCACCAAACTTGGGATCTTTATCGAGTATTGAACGGATGAAAGGCGACACAGCAAAAGCTTCACCGCTTTGATTACTGTAGCCGCAGCCCGCTGCTCAAATTGAGACTTTAGGAAGGCCTTCCTCAGGTAGACGATCGGCGGAGGAGTGCTGAGTTGTGCTAAAATTAAAACATGCAGGGTCGAGTCAAGGCGGGCGTTTAGAGTTCGGTATAGGGCTTATTTGCGTTCACTAACTCCACCACACCCTGTTTGACTCCGGCCGGGAACGGCCCTGGAGCTTCTTTTGTCGCTTTCCCCTGACGAAAGGGGACTGTCAACACGTAGAAACGAGCTTCTGGACGGTGTGGGTTTGTTCCAGTATGGTCAACGAGAGCAAACCTCGGAGAGGCTGCTTAATATTTTACGAAGAGGAAACTCGAGGCAGTCACCACGTCTGCCCCTTTTGATATTCCAAGCAAGGTCCTCTTTAACGCTCTCTACTAGAGTGCGATGAGAACCCCAGCTTACTCAGTGCGCCTGGACTTGATCTTTCGCAATCGTCAGCTCCCGTCTTCTGTTGTTACCAATCATAAAGCTGCAGCAATAATCTGTCTACTCAGATCCTTTTGCAAGACGGGGAGTCTCAGCCCGATATCACCGGCTCTTTACAAGCGTGGCATTTCGTTCTTCGTCCGTCTCTATTTATCGGAAGTTGGTAAGACCCCACCATACGGAGCTCAAGAGTATTAGTACCGCCATAGAACTAGACCTTTACGGGAAGCCCAGAATCTTGCTGCATTCCTTGATCTCCGTACATTCATATACAAACTACAAGTCCTTAGCTGACGTCTACTTACCTCGGATTGAGTAAGACGGTCCAAAGTAGCTCATACCAGTCTTCCGCCTAGACCTATTTTTGATTAGCGCGATTGCAAATTGAATGCAACTTGGGCTTTGGCTGTAGCTCCGCCCCTATATTGGCCATTGAAAGGGCAGGGCGCATTAAATCACCATTTCCCCATTTGGGAGTCAGCATAGCGAATTGATGTAAGTATTTCGCGCGCGAATTACCGCAGATCTCGTCAGTAAGAGTACTCCTGGCAGTGTTTGTGGTTCCAGCCGCCGTAGTGAGCGCTGCAAAGGGAAGATAAAAGTGGGTAAACAACATTCTGCAGTTCCGACTATTTCGATAAGATGATCCGAAGAGTTAACAGCCCAGACCGGAAGGCGTGCCTCTTTATATTATATACCATGATTGGTCGTCTTGTTGTGTTTAGTCGGAACGCAAGGCAAAGTAAGTTGTCACTAAATATACCCTAGGGAGTACACCCAAGCAGGGCTGTACAACCGGGTCCACTTTGCAACCCTCGGGCCCCCGAACCTGCCTGCGCCGTGTCGCCTAAGGGCCCTTACAATTGGCGACTATGCAAGACTAGCTGCGTTGCAAAATTGCTTATCGTAGCTGGATAACAACTGTGACCTTCTTGTAAAAGACTCAAGTATGCGGGTACAATGAGAATCCGCGTTGGAAAGCTCATACCAAGATAGCCAGGATAATCGGAAAGCAAGACGGACGCCCTTGCGTCAATGTACTCATAGTATCCTCTTGGCCATGACACTCGGCATTCGTTATATCAATTTGCTATGGTTATCGGTTAAAGTAGCCAAAAGAAGCGACAAGAACCTTCGAGCGTAGGGTCTTCTCGGCAACAAAACAACAGGGATGGTCCAGATGGTGCTGAATGGATTTGTAGCTCGGTAGGCAAGGCTAAAACTAACTTCAGAATAAGGAACAGCAAATTTCGGGTCATGGGACCCTAAATTAGAAGCCATTCAAGATGCCTCATTACTTTTCCTCGGCACAACTACTGCTGCCAACTCCTCCTCTGTCGGCATGTTAACGACCATCAGATACAGAACATCCTGTAAGAAAATTTGCTGTCAACACTTGGAAACTGGAATTTAGCTAAAAGGGTCTAGTCATACCTGTCGGAGTACCCTCTTCAATATACCCTCCCTATTTGCAACCCTGGAATATGGAACGCGCTCGATGCTTCCAGTTTCTGCCAGCTGCCGATTGGCCTCTTCACGTTGGTGGTCCCGTCCTTTTTGCCGTAACTTGTCCACACCCGCCCTCGGGTTTACATGACCTCCGGTGAGCAGAGAGATGAGGGACCCTTGCGAAGCTGGATTATTTGGGTCACTGTATCTGGACGCAAACTGAATGCGCTCCGAGTTATTGGTACACAGCTTGGAGTCCGGGTTCTGGTATTCCTGTTGTTCTAATTAATCGAGAGAACTCATCAGGGCCACGCGGATGTCATCCTCCCATGATCGCCAACTTACAAACTCTGCTTGGGAGCGCCGATCGTAATAATCGGACAGGTTCGCTTTCACGCTTTGCAACCTAGACTCTTTCGCTCCACTCAAGCTTTCTAGATGGGGATAGACAAGGGGTGCACACTCCGGCAATTCAATGTTGCCTCTTGTGGTGCCACTAGATTTCCGAATACTTCTCAGTTTGTCCTTGAATGTCGATTCGGCGGGCGTGCTAAACTTTGCAACGGTCTCGGTTATATCCATGGGGCTACATGGACTCGATTTATTCGGCTTATGGGTCATGAGAAGGCAATACAGCCCGCGAGGCCGGAAAAATCTATTGTTCATATCGTCCAGAAAGGTATTAGTCCGGTGGAGACTCTGGATTTGCCTAGCAGTTTCCGCTGCTGTTTGGACCAGTATTGAAACCACAGTGGCGGTAATATCTGGGATGAACCCTGTGACAAATGCAGCCATGTTCACAACCATGAATATCGGGTTGGCCTATCGAAGTTAGTTTCACTTTCCTAAATGCCCGTATAAATATCATGACAATTACTTACCTTGCTAGCCTCGTAGAGATCTTTAATGAACCGTAAGAACATTTCTTGACTTACGTCGCAATTGGCGAGGACTGGCGCATAAGCTCGTGCAAATCCTCGACTCCTATCGCGTGGACGTCGCTGCGGAATGATCACTGGGTAAGGAAGTCTGGCCAAGGATCTTTCTTGTTGGGGCTTGAAGCCCAGGGCGGTAGTTTCAAGCATGCTCGTATGTTTTGAGTAAGGAGGCGACTCTTGTTCCTTAAATTCCTCGGCAACAGCATCAGCCAACCATGCCTCTTCGTCAACATCCTGAGTGAATGCATTCCTGCCAACTAGCTCTGGGCAGTCATTGTCGTCTTCATCGTTATTAGCGTATGCGCCTCGTGTCAGGGCTTGGATTTCCCATACCCTGATTTTGCATCGCCGGATCGCTGTTAGTTTGGTAGTTGGAAACGATAGTTTCAGTTGCGCTAGCGGATAATTCCGTCCGCTTCCTTGCCATATTCTCGCGCACAAGGCCAATGCCTTGGGCAGTCAGCCGCACGAGAGGGCCCATTTTTGGCGAAATTTCTAATCCCGTCTCTCAGAAATCTCTCTGGAGACATTCGGAGGACATAGAAATCTACTAATTTATATCAGTTCCAATCTCACCACATCTTACCAGTATAATCCAGGAAGCTGGGCTTCGGGGTCTGCCGCTCTTGTAGATCAGTGAGTTGCGATTGGCCACTATATTTTCAAAACTCTACCCGATTCTCCACTCGCCCACTTAGTTCGGAGATACCATTTCCCGTGTGGGGCCATGCGCTTTTGTGATTGGGTGGGTCGCAAGGCTAACGTTTTCTAGGTCTGTGCCCAGGTGAGACTCAAGGCGCTTACATGTCAAGTTGTGGCTATAGTTACCAGAAATAGCCAATGCCCCACATGTGCCGAAAGATAGTCATTGAGGACTCTTCTCAAAATAGCGTTGGAACCACATACATCTCCTAACACGTCCATGTTTTCCGACATGAAATTGTTCTATATAAACAGCCGTTTCTCCCTATATGTCGGCGTATCTTCTGGGTTTTCCGACGATCTCCAGGTACGTGGTCATGTCAGGTCCTATGTTCGAAAAAGCGAAGATGATCAATCCGCCCCCTGATACGTATAGAGCAAGTAAGTCATTTTATATAAATCACAATACAGGTGATTCATTAACTCGACTGACACCAAAAGCCTAGTTCAATGCAAAAGACCCCATGAACAATGGGAGATCGTCAGCCTGCCCTTTCGGGACCTGGGTTCCACAGAACTACTTATTCGTGTGCACGCATCAGGCATATGCAACACAGACCATTTCCTCATGGACGGGACTTGGCCCGGAACCCAGTACCCTCGAGTTCCTGGCCATGAAGTCATTGGAAGGATCGCGCAGATTGGGTCTGATCTGATGAAGAATCCTTCGAAAGCAGATCGTTATGCTGTTGGCTCACTTGTCGGGGTTGGGTGGAATGGAGGATTTTGTGCGCAATGTGAATGCTGCCGAAATGGCGATTTCTGGTCTTGTACAGAAGTAGCCTATACCGGATTCTCCCACGATGGGGGCCACGCAGAATATGTTTATGTTCCTGAGTCTGCTGTCATCCACATAGCCGAAGAGGCCTTGGAAACAGCGACATATGCTGAGCTCGCGCCTCTCTGCTGTGCTGGAGCAACCGTCTTTGGTGCTATTTTGACGTCAAAGTGGTCACCCGGTGACATCTGTGCTGTCCAGGGTGTAGGAGGGCTTGGGCACCTGGCGATTCAGATTGCCAGCAATCTTGGTATGAAGGTAACATGATATTCACCAAAGCAAACTGCGTTTGAAGTTTAATTGCTAAGAAACAAGAAAAGGTCTATGCTATCTCATCGACAAGCTCAAAAAAAGCCCTCGCTATATCACTAGGTGCATCCGGGTTTATTGACTCAAGCAAGGAAGATGCTGTCGACTACATACGAAAATTGGGAGGCGCTAAACTGATTATCTGCACGGCACCATCATCATCTCAAATTAGTGCAATACTTCCTGCCATTTCAAAAAATGGTGAGTTTCTGCGGAACCCTTTCAATTCCTACTGCTAAAAACGTTTTAAAAAAAGGCATGATTACCTTAGTGGCTGCTGCCACTGATGGTCCGATCAAGGTGGATAATCTTCTCCTCAATATCAATCGCGCTGCTCTACGCGGCTTCGCTTGTGGATGTGCACAAGATACGGAGAAATGTATTAGTTACGCGACGGCGAAAGGCATAAAAGCGAAGGTCCGGGAATTTTCGCTGGAGAATTTCACCGAGGCCTACGAAGACGTCATGCGCAACACGGCAAATCTACGTAACGTGGTCGTCTTCCCATAATGGAAGGGTACTTTATTCTGGAATAATATTCAGTATGATTTCTGATAAGATTGTCGCTTTCTAAATATGGGAATCCTCCAAAATATCTGTGCTCCTTATTATACCTGTGCATGTAAGATGCGGCTTATGGGGATGGAAGCGATACGGGCAATAGAACGTAGTGGAAGGCAGTTGATTGAACTGTTCGCTGCTCCACCCTAGGGTGCGAACTATATAGCGCGAACCCTAGCTATCCTGCGAAGCGGTGTAGACTTCTTCGAAGGGTGCGTTGCCTCAATATTGGGCTTTGACTCGCTTAGTGCCTTTAGCATCCGAACTAGTACGAGGCAGCGTCGGTGCTACTGGCTTGGCTCGGAGGGGCTCTTGGCTATCTTTGTCATGCGGCAGTGCCTAAGATGTCCAGCGGCGGCTCGGAGGCCTCGGGTCCTGACAGTGCATACCTAATTGGAATACGTCTCATGTGTAGAAAAAACAGGACGTACAGTATGACGTACATATATAGCAGTGGGTTCGAAAGTGGTGCATTCTGCTTCCTCTATTGCACATCAGAGAGATTGCTAGGAGAAGCAAGGCAAGGTGGGGATTTTCAAAGTAGCTTTACTGCTCAACAAAAGTTCCGTTCAAAAATCTTATCACGCGAAATTCCCGAATTAACTTCAAGAGAATTTTCAAAGCTTCTGCTTACATATATACGGGACCGTCAAGCCCTAACTACATCACAACCTCGAGATTAGTACGCACTAGTTTCAAGGAGCCTTGATATATCTAGGAATCTTCTCGTCGGCTCTGCTGACTTCACCTGATGATTAATCGTAAGGTGAGGCTTCTGACCGCCTGTTTGACCAATAGTATAACCCGAATCAGGTAAATTCGCCGGCCATGGTAGCATTGTCTTAGGGGCGACAAGTCACGTTGGAGCCAAGTAGATCGGAACTGGCTGAAGTTTATTGGTTCGAACATAAAACTCCAGATGCGCGCATCTTTCTGAAAGTAGATAATGCCCCACATAGTTCGTATTTCCCGTCGTCAGCCTTATCATGGCAAGGAACATCTGACCGGCCCCACAAAAACTTGGGGAAATTTTCGTGGGGCCGGTTACCAGCCGGGAATCCGCACTCCAATGTCCGCAAGTTGGTATACCAACTGAGCCTCACCACGCCAAGCTTCATGCTGACGAACGAGGGTGCGCTAGCAGGCTGGTATGGATAGGGCAGGAACGTATTCTTGTGTTCAATGATACGCCACCCAGAAGGATGGCGGCGGTGATGATTATTGCAAAGCCGGAGTGAAGCATTGGAAGCATTTACTGGCCCCAAAAAATGTCGGCACATCCTTTGTTTACAAATAGCTGGCTTCGGAATATTCAAAGTCGACAACCGTGTGTGCGATAGCGACGTCGGGGTTCGTCACTTGGCAACTTGTATCCCCAGTGTTGCTAATGCTATGGTTGACAGGATCACTGGTCTTCCCAAGTAGCAGAGGCGATCACATTATGGCATCCTGACAACCTATGTTTAGACAGATCTCGTAATGAGCCTTAACCCAATCTCCGAACTAAAGAGTTGCCGGCCAAGAACTCTATATAGCTGTGCACCATCCCACTCTGGCACATCCTGGCACTGCTGATTCTGTACTATCTCTATTGTGTAAGGACTCTGCTGTTATATCATGCGCTGTATGAGCTTGCCTGTATACGGGGAATCATCCAGAAATTCCAGATTACCAAGATGTATCTGGTGCTACCTATCATTGTGGCTATGATCAAGCATCTAGCTCTGAAGAGAGGAATGCATGAAATCAGTAGCATTGCCGAGGCTTTCTTGTGCGCTATACTGTTAGTCCGGTAGTATCTCTGTCGTACAAGCCGCTTTGACCTAAGAGACACAAGAATGTCAAGCAAGACCTTATACTAACTGAGTGTCTGTTTTCTATGTTAATTTGCTAAGTACCACCATAGCTTGAAGTATAAGTCTACTCTGACTTAATGTTGGCTCGAATGGGGGTTTACCAGCTTCATAGTAACTTTATGGTCAACCGGACTTCATGGTGGGCTGGGCGTAAGATGAGGATTCAATCGAGCTAAGCCTCGCTATGTGTTTAAGACAAATCTTGAGAAGCGATGAATACTCTTCTGTTGTGTTCGGCCCCTTCTTGGTTACTGGAAAGAATATTCTGTCATGAGTCAACGTGCCTATGACTTGAGTGGGGTAATCAAACGTTCTTCCGTACGATTGAGCTTCCATTTAGAAGTGATGGCCTTTAGGACATCTTGTAGTATAGTAGAGATAGATGACACGACGTTATGCAATTGCCCAATTCTTCGTCGTGACAAGGGAAGGATGGAATAGAGACCAACCGAGAATTGCATGAAATCGACCCAGGTGTCTGTCTTCACTTCACTTAGAGAATTGCAAAGTAACCTCAACCCACAGACTGTACGCTGCTGCATCGCAGGCACTACCTAGCCAGAGCATCCGTCTCAAGATTCTCTTAAATTGCTCCCACTCACGCACAGAACATGATTCGACGATGTCGCCGAGCCGAGCGACGAACCAAGGTCTCTTTTCCGTATCAACCGCCACTATGCCACCAACAGTAAGGATCCAGATAAGAATACCCTGTGCATCTAGTGGCAGGAAAGGCTTTGACAGTATTGTCAGGATCTGGATTTTCAGGAGCTCTGTCAACTTCGGTAGCGGGGCGGCTGCGTATGGCATAGGAAAAACCACACTAATAGAAAATATGAGCCCAGAAATTCGACACGCCTCATAAAAGGCCCTCTTTTCAGACATGGGTTGATCGATCTGCTCTGCACAAGGCAAGGATAACAGAGAATGCTGTAGAATGTTCCGTCGGTCCGCTATTTCACAGGTTTGGGTTTCAAACCTGGGCGGGCTTTCGTGCTCTTGCAACCTCTCAAGTGTTGATAAATAGACCCGCATGGCTTGGAAGGCTTCTGCTAATGTCTGCGTAAAGCCAATTTTGCAATACTGTCCCATGTCAAGCGCAATTTCTAGGGATCCGAAACCAAATATTTCTTGCAAAGTAGGCTTTTTGCTGTCTTGAAGAGGATGGAACGGAAACAGCGGGCGGGTCAGTGTCATAGTAGCAGCCACAATATCCGAACTAGCAAGTCAGGAGGTTAGTTTCCAGAATGCAAGCTGTTGATGACGACTAGACAGAGATTGTGAAAGCGTACAATGAAAGTACCGCGGCAAGAGCCGGCATCTCGATACTCTGGAGCCCCCCTTTTAGGTGGATAAGCCGAACGAGTGCCCTATAGTGTAATTGGTTGAACGAGGTCGCTCCATAACTATCTAGGCACTGAAGGTGACGCAGTGGAGGCCTGAATGGAGACTTTTCCTTCAAAGACAAGTTGGCTTTGTCGGAAGAACTGTTCGCCATGCAGAGAACACTGAGAATCAAAGAATCTTTGATATATTGATGTGAGCTTCGTAGAGCCTTGTTGATTGCCCTTGCTGACTCCATCTCCAATACAAGAAGCCTCCTGTGCTCTTGCAATGTCAATTGCGCGCCGTGAGGTTGCGCCATAATTTTCCGGCTTTCCTTATGGCTTAAGGCAGCAAAGGATAAAGCAATATTCAAGGTCTCATCCACCATGTACTCGTGAGACCATGCACGCCTTACAGTATATGGATTTGCATTAGCGTAGCTAGGGATCAAGGAAGGCCATAAAATAGACTGGTCTTAACATCAACTTAGAGAACGTCATGTCTGAAGGAGCAAGGGAATACACACTGTAAGTAAAGCACTTCTCAAATGAGCCTGCTGACGGGCATCTGGGCGGATAGCTGTGAAAAGGGTCCCGAGACCCCGACCCGAAGCGCTCAATGCCGGCAATGGCAAATGGAGAATCCCCAATTCGGTTTGTCAGGTGTTTGGGGGTACGTGATTGTAATTGACTGAGACTGCGATCTTGGGAATACACTTCGGCTGATGCATGCTGATCATCATCCGTGAAGGCAATACGTGGACTCGGCAGGTGTGGCACGAAGGACGATGACTCAGCTTCAGACGCTGAAGCCGTGGCAGTGTTTGTATTCGAGATGGTGGAGTCAGACCGTCCATGTAGATGCTTATTCTGGACATTCACGTTGCCGTTATCTCGATCATATCGTTTCTGTGCAGCATGTGACCGCACCTGAAGACGAGCTCTGGCCTTCTCGTCTTCGGATGGTTTGGACGATGGTAGGTACGTAATAAAGAGGTAATCTTTGGCCCTTTGAACCTGACAACATTGGGTCATGGTGGCCGTCGTCGATTTATGATTAGACGATAGGTTGTTATAGCAGCAGTCAACGAATCTCGCTCTGGAGGCGTAGTCACAAAATATCCCAGTTACAAGATCCGGATGACGTCCTGACTTGATCCTGCATACACAAGGGTTCTAGAAGACATATATTGACAATACTAGGAAGATGGGGGGGGAAGGGGTTGCCTCCACGTCAGTGATTGATTGCAAGTCTTCTGAGTCAAGGGAGAGCGCACCGAAAGGCCTTTGCAGGAGCGAATATAGGGGCATACACTTGAGCGGGCCCCAAAATCCTGAGCGGGCCAAAAAATTCCTGACTAATTTTGGGGCCCGCTCAACTCTAGCACCTGACCGGAGCCCCAAAAGTCAGCCTTATAACTAGTGCATCCGGCAGGAAAACAATGTTATCGTTAGTTGTCCTTATTTATCTTTGTTTATTCCCACCATGGCGGAGCCAATGTTCCTACTACCACTTTAAGCGCTCACAACCATCTAGGCCTTAAGGCTGTTGCTGAAACAGCAACTAATGCAGCCCCTGTCACCGCTTACTCGATTCTGCCACAAGTTACCGCTTTGGGGTCGCAAAGAGTCGTCTGAAATAGAGACGGGCGAAGTTGATATGGAGATTCGCGGGGGAGTAGTTAGGCTGTCGTCGTAGTTCTCCTTCCTCTCCTTCCTTTTCCCCTCTAGTTCTAGTATTTCGAATACGAGCGCCGTTGCCAGTATCCACTCCAACGTAGGCCACCATTGACAGCTGCTAGCCTTGAAATTGATCAATTTTTATACAAAGTATCAGAATTGAATGAAAATAAGTCAAAGAGGGTTAAGATTAGGTGACAAGGATTTTTTGATGTTATTGTATGGAGTTGTATGGAGTTCGGGGGGTTCCCGAGGTTAACTTTGGATCTCTTATATGATACAATACACAAATAACGTATAAATCATGTGATGAGGGCGATCATGCCTAAAAGGAAAACATGCAATTGGGGGAGCGGGGGTCAGAGCTGCGCAATTCTGTCGCTCCTTTCCTTTAATGAATTTGTATTACTTGGTCGGGCGGTAAGAGTACGGGAGGCTGAGGTAGAACATCAAGATCTCAAATTTTCATACCACCTTCCTACCTACTCTATTTGGAACATCAACTGTCTGGCCTGCCGACAGCACTCCCGCATATGAGCATATACTTAGAACGAGCTATGTCGGGCCAATGAAGCCACCGCCATCGTCATTCCCTGCGAGATCAAAGCCGTACAAATGAGCAACCGGTACTTTGTAGAGGCACTCTGTGGATGCATAACGACTGGATTCAGCGAAGGGCCTCAAAACCTTTAGTTGAGTTGCTTATTCAGACTCATGTTCAATACTATCGAAATTGAGCTCGACAGAAAGAAGATTCTTCAAATGATAATCGGAGATGAAATGCGGAACGATTACGTATACCCTTATTATGATCCATAAGTATGGTCAGATATCATTCACCGGCCCCGAACGAATTTGGTTCATTAACCTACGAAAGAAGGCGGATGAAAGCCCTCGTCGGTGAAACTGAGAAAGACCCTAAGAAAAAGAAGATCGTCGAGCTCTCGAGGTAATTCATTGCAAACGAGGAAAGAAGACGATCAATTTCTGCAGTGATAAATCCAATCTAAGCTACACCGTCAACGATACGATAGACATACTTAACTGCCTTCGCTTCACCACGCTGCAGCTTTTGGAGGCCAAGTTCGATACCTGCAAGGCCCCCCCGGAATTACCTCAAACGGATGTCCCTCAAACTCGTGTTTTGAAAGCAGCCGCGAGATGTAATTGATGAGAACATAAGAGAACTCCACGTCAGCCTCGACAGACGATTTATCGGATGGTTGCTTAGGCATCGAACTGAGAAACTTGCCGGAGTGGGCCGACCCAACAAAGCTGTAGCTGATTTCGACATTCGCAGGAATATCCGGCTCGTCGTATTTCTCGCTCCCTTGGACAACCGAGACGACACCACCTGACAGCATCTGCGCAACTTGTACCCATGACTTCGATTCACTGATAGCGTCGAGAGCATGAAATGCCTGGAGTCCGTTCAATGCCTTTTTCACGTCTGACTTCAACACATCCGCGCCATTGCGATAGTCCACAAGTGCATCGCCTCGGCTATAATCCAAAAATTGCTTTATATAGTCCGATGATCCACCTGCAATAGCAATAATGGGATGAATATTGGCATGGCGCGCGAGCTTGATCGCAAAACTCCCCAAAGCTGAGGAGGCACCGTACACAATCAAAGGCAGAGGGGCTGCATTGGTGCTGCGCTTCATCCATGGTGCTGGTAGACTTTGGCGACGGAAAAGAGGAAGCGCAGCTGCAAGGGTTGTTAACGGGATCGTTGACGCTGCTGTTGAGAAGTAAGCTAATATACAAGGGCGGAAGATATCGGACCAGGGGAGCGAACACTCAAAGCTGATCCATTGAGGCAGGAGCAAAACTGTTGTGGCTGGGGCGAGAGCATACTCAGCATACGTTCCCCCTGGTGTCATCATGGCGTGGAATATGGCAACACGATCACCTCGCCTGAATTGCCCAGATGATTCAACGGAGCTTCCCAAGTCTTCAATAATACCAGCAGCGTCATCACCACTGTTTATTGCGGTCCCTGTGGAAAGGACATGCTTGTAGTCTGATGTAGGTTCTTATTTAGAGGATGTCTTCATTGCAATGGTATCGAAATTGTTGATCGAGGGCCTCACCTTTAGGGTTGCTGGCTGCAACCACAACGCGAATCAATACTTGATCCTTTGCAGGCTTCGGTACTGATACGTCATGAGTCTGTGTGGTGACTAGGGGGCCTCGTTGGTAAAACAATAACTTCTTTCATCATGAGACTGCGAAAAATAGGAGAGCGATGTCAACTCTTGGAAAAGTGGAAATCTATAAGTTGATGGGTAGAAACACTTTTCAGTCTCAAAATTGACGATGGACCTTTAAGTACTCCAGATAGATTCGAAAGTAAAGCCCTTCTTCATCGGCCTCCGAAGGCACCGGATGGCTTGTCATTAGCGCTTACAAGGCATGGCATTAGTCAGAAGGAAAGATGGGGACACTGTAAGAAACGTGCCAAGTCTCTCGGAAACTACTATGCAAGTGAGTGCATGGCTCGCGATAACTTATTCCGGTTGGTGTCAAACCAAATGGAAATCATTCCTCAAACCAATGGAGCTCCAAAACGGCCCGAACTGCGATCCGTAATAGAAAATGCACCAGTCCCTTCAAGGTTAGTTTGTTTTTTGTAACTCTCTTATTGGCTCAAGTTGCCGCGGATTACAAAATTTAGGGTTTCGCTAGGGAAGGTGTGGGGCTTTTACCAAATGCAGATGTAATAGGACTGCCAGAATGATTATGGACTAGCGTAAAGAACTAAAGCACTAACCAGCAAGGCTAGATGATCAAGTTCAGCCTAACCATGGCTATTTACCATTTACATGCGGCGTGTCCTGTAACATCAGATGCGCGAATTAAGTATTGTCTTTTTTATTATTTCGAATTATAAAAGACGACACAGTTTTAGAGCACAAACCCGTAATGGTCGGGTTGATAGTGAGATACGTTATATTAATGAATTTACTGTCCCATCATTTCCTCCTTTTGGTCGCTTGATTTGCTGGGTCTTCCTTGTATCGTTGTAAGGAACTAGCAGAACTTAAACATGATTTTCTAAATAATTTCTTTGAGTCGGTTGGATATTCTAGATATTGGGCAGATGGAATGTCCAATAGCAGTAATGGGAAAGGGGAATAAATGCTAAGTCAGATTCTTTTCTAGATTCGACTTTTAAAGTATTACTATTTGACGCGGTTCCGCAGGTGGCAAACAGAGAGCGGGGCTTTATCCACTTTAGGCAATGCCACTATTACCGCACAGAAAGCTAGGAGATCCATTCGCCCACAGGCAAAAAAAAAGCAATAAAAAAAACTGGAGTATTGTTGGTTCCCACAATCACATAATCTGCCGACAAATCGGGTGGAAAGACCTGACAGAACCGCGAATGAAATAATCAATCAATCATCAATCATGATCCCATAATCTTACCCTGGGTTGGGCTGTTAGGCAGGTCCCAGACAAATTAATCTTATTGGCAGAACCTGGACTGAGAAGACCTTCCTTTCTTGAAATCGAAGACCGTACAGTATCCAATTTTGGAAAAGAGGATGCTTATGAGAGTTCTGATAGCCCGTATCACTTTGAATGAGGGCGTAGCTGCAGGGTTCAGAGATTTACAATGAGACTGAGAAAACCCCATAAACGATATTGAAACATATTAAAGTCATACGAATTGCAATTGGTCACTACTCTTCGGGCAACGCGCTTCAGCGCCCGTTAAGCATCTCGCTCGTTCATTTTGGCCGCCTAAGTAGCTAATGGCTCTCGAGGCATTTCCGCACCCAACCAGTTCGCTGGAACGCTCACACTAACGTACTTTGTCTAGATGACCGGTTCTGTAATGGTCATCCAGCCCCGTGGCCTATCAACCAATCAACTGCCTGTATCAAAGCGGGTGTATGTCCACCCATTGGGGCGCATTTGATTCAGCCCGACGATATCTTCATTATGGAAGCCGCTCCTAAAATCGTTGTCGATTGTTGACCAGTAATCATGGATGAAGTTTCAGCCCTCTCTTTCACGGTCTGGTTCTTGGCTTAGAAAATGGCGAGAAGTTGGCTGAAATCGGGGCTCATAATTTCCTTGCTAGCCCTCTTCACCAGAGACTTTGCGTAAAGCCGATGATACGGTAATAAGTGAAATATCTCACTTGCGACTATGCGGTATTTTTGTTATTGGGCGTGCAGTTGCTTCAGCGTTAGCGGGCCATAACTCTCTGGATTTGATTAGCGTGTCAACGGCATTTGATCACACCGTCCAGTCATTGTAACTAGACAGCCCAAGACTATATAAGACTCTTGTAGGGCTCCTTGGTAGACTGTCCAAGTTTGTAATGAGCCATGTTACCGTCCATATTCATAGTACCTGGCTTTTATGAAGGGCCCAGGGTTTTTGATCCTCTCGTCGCTGTCTTACGCACGGCTGGGTTTGAGAGTATACATACGGCCACAATCAAAAGCACCGGTACTATACCACCGGGGAACCCTACTATGGATGATGATATCGCCGCTCTTGCAATTGAGCTGGCTTCTCTCGTTGAAGAAGCAGGCGACCGCGGAGTCGTGGCAATTTTTCACTCTGCAGGGGGTTTCCTTGGCAGTGCAGCCATGAAAGGGCTTAGCGTTGAAGCGCGCAAATTGTCGGGTAAAGCCGGTGGTGTGAGAGCTATCGTCTTTCTTGCAGCCGGTGTACTGCTTGAGGGGGCCGAACAAGAATCATGGCCTTTCATGGAAGTAAATGTATGTTCGTCCCAGTTTGCTGCAATGGATGATGTGGGAGTAACCAAGCTGACTTGCCAGGTCTCGAATGGAACACAGACATGCCGTAACCCTATGGATTTGCTTTTCCATGATTTTCCGTCAATGGAAACCCACAAATGGCTGGAATTGATCCAGCATCAGCCAGTCAACTGGGGCACCACTTTGAATTATTGCGGATGGAGAGAAGTACCAAGCACGTACATCATTTGCGAGGCGGACCGCCTCTTACCGATGGAACTACAGGAGCAAATGGCTTCACTAGCAAGCAGTAGGAAAGTACGGCTTCCTAATGCTGGTCACATGGCTCAGCTGAGCCATGTACATGAAGTCGCAGTGGCTGTACGAGAGGCATGTCAATAGGACGTCGCATCCGGCATTGATTATATCCAAATCAACATACCGAGAAACCATTCTCTAACGGCATCGTTCCGTAGTCGAAGTTACCTTTGTATCATCATGCTGAATGATTCCTATTTTGTACTAACTGGGCTCTTGACGAGTCAATAGAGATTGGGATTGCTTGTTAATTGGCGCCATACCTTGTTCAATCATCAACTAGCCGGTTTTTCCCTCGAGTTGTTGTTAGTAAACGCGCCCTTTGGAAGCCATCCACGGTGGAGGATATTGCTGCTCCGATATTCGATATTGGGCTTGAGAGCGGCATTATTTCATTTTTGATGTGGATATTTGTGATACGAAGAGAGTTATTTAACATAATAATCATCAAGCCCGGATATCTGATCCTCACTGGTATCGAAATTCGAACTTTGCCCTAAAACCACCCGAGAAATTTCCGTAGGAACTACAGGAGGCTCATAAAAGAGCTTCATATCTGATAATAACCAACAAGGGTGGATTCAGGGGCTAAGATTTGTTGTACTGAACTGGCAAATTGCTATTGGGATACCACTCGCCGATGATCCAGGCTTCCCGGTCAGAAAAGGACGCATTGGACATGGAAACCTTTTCTGACATATTAATTGCCAATTGCAATCCCATTGCTTGACCAATTTCGCGCAACTTTCTAGATACCCAGGTCTTAGTGGCCATCGGGGTGGTACTCAACATACCAGACAGAAATAAGGGCCAAATCAGTTGAAAACATGCCGGCGTACCTGAGCAGACTCCTTTGACCCCGTCCTCGTCCAAGCCTCCAAGGTAGTATTGAGCACTGCGGCATACTCCCGCAGTCATGTCGCGGAGCACATAGACAGCATTTTTGCGAGCACTTTCCTCAGCTTCCGACAAACAGCATGGGGTTGCAGATAAAATGTGTTGATGGATCATGATTCGCACTGACCGGTAATTATTCCACATCGACGCAACCCAGATATCGGGATAGACATCATTGTTGCATGAAGTAGGATCAGAAGAGGGGTGATGCAACTGATACATCCAAGAAACAGGCAATGAGGATACCCACTGCTCTAATTCTCTGTCAATTGGCAGGAGTAGAGCTGCAATTTCGCAGGAGGCATAAATTTGTTCCTTCTTTATTCGGTGACGGACACTGGCAAGTCTTGCGTTCACTTCCGCGAAATAATTCGCTGATAGTGCATCTATGGAATGAGACGATGGAAGCCATAGAGACCATTTCTCAAGATTACAGGGCATTGGTTCCTGCAGCTGATGAACAGTCATTACCTGTTTGATTAGTCAGTGCGCGCTAGCGGGTATATTGTTACTCTCACAATCAGCCGACGGAGCTCCAAGAATAGGCTAACAGACATCGCATTGTGGAACTGATCTGGGCCTCTAAGATCAATGAAATGAGCGGCGGCGATTATGTGCCTGCTGAACGACGTCATTGCTTGCGTGTCTGCAACAGCAATGGCCTCCAAACTCCACTTAATATTTGTAGCGTTTCGATATTGAACGTGAATACTGGAAAAACTCACCTCGAATGTTCCTAAGAATAAAATGGATGCAAGAGTATGCTCCAGAACTGCCAGATGCGAATCATTCAAGCAATCTCTTAATAGCTTCAGCGCTTTCCCATACTGCTGGTATGCCATAATCCGCCAGGATTTCGAGTTTCCGGCGTTTGCTAAGGCTGCTAAGCCAGAAGCAATCATTACAGCACGCAGGAGACCGGTATTATCGGCTGAAAGGAGTCTTGGCAGACATTCAACAAATCCCAGCTGTGGAACCCTTCTGTCAGACTCTAACACATAATGATAGACAAAAAACGAGATGGCACGGTCCTCAAGTGGCGGAGAGAGTTGGCTCGGACACTTTGGCCTGGCCAGCACAATTTCCCGCGAGGATCCACGTCTCTTGATAGCGTCAACAGCCTGCTTCTTCGGGTGCGAGGACAGTTGGTAGCGAAATATCAAGTCGACATCCGCCGGATACCCTGGGCACTCCTAACGAGATTTGGCACATTGGATGCAGGTTGGTTTGGTCTCATCACACTTTGAAAATGTAAGCGTTCAGAAGCAGGTATAGAAATGGAGAGGGAACGAGGGTAATGACACTTGCCTTCACCTTCCTCTTCGCACAAGTTGAGCATCCTTTACGAGGTCGACCTATATTGACCATCTTTTGTGAGCTTAGCACAGATTGAAGCCTTGTCTTCGCTAATCATATGACTGCTCTTCTCATTAGATTGATATTTGTTTCTTTCTGAGGAAATGAGGGATAAGCGACCCACTCTGATCACCAACTTTAGGCAGACACCTCCGGGTTCCAGTTGAGCAGGACCCAAAAAAAGTCCAACCGGGCCTCCCCCAAAATTCCTGACTAATATTGGGTCTCACTCAACTGCCGTGGATCACGTTATCCTTCTGCGTCGGGTAACTAGGAAACTCAACCTTACTGATGCCTAGTTACCCACCACGGCATTATCGATCCCATAACGTCTACCCTGAATGTATCATCAGCTTAATTAGGAAAATGATGCGGAAATGTCTCAAACCCAAGTAGTCTGGTGATAAATCCTATGCTTTTTCTCAATTTATGTAAGATTCCTAGACTGGAAACAAGCAAGATGTTACGCACTACCTAGCGAGTCTCGGTGAGTGGGTCCTCAAAGGGTGATACTTCTCTTGGTCACTCTGCACGCCAAGGGTGTCTCGTCACTCTATTGCAATGCCTACCGATCACACACGGCAACAGGCCTTAGATGCTCAAGTCCTTAGAGGTCTTGCTTAGTAAACGTGGAGCTGCTGAGGGCGCCGACGAGGTCAGGTTCTTATGGATCTCCCCTTCGTCGTTAGGTTTGGATTCGAGACAAGTATGAACAATGAACCGTTGTCGTATTCCAATCTTGTGGTTCCTAAGTAACAATGATGTAGAATCAAGAAGAGATTGATCGCGAAGAACTAAATACATGGTGCCAAGTGAGTGTCCTTATATATCCAGTCCTTCCTGTCACTGATGTGCAGTGCACATCGCTGATGAGCCACTGTTGCCTTGCTGCCTTAGACAGCTGTTCCTGGCTCCTTCATGCCAATTGGTCGGCTGCCATACCTGGGCTTAGGGGTTTTAGGGGGTTTTAGGGGTTTTAGGGGTTAGG